GTACCAGAGGCCGGGGGAGAGGTCGTCGTAAGAGACGACGAGGTCAGTTGTGAGGCGACAGTAGACGACATGGGGAGGTCAGTGGTGAAAATCAAAGCAGGTCGTGAGACAGCAGGCTAATAATACAGCAGCAAGGGTGCGCCGTCGTCGTCGCGGACGGCGGTGTGCGTTAGGAACGTCGTCGGGGAGTCGTAGAAGAGGACAAGGAGATGCGAGAAACGGGTCGGGGTGGGTGAGGATTTATAAATGGCCTGGAGTCCGGTCATCGCACGGACAATGGTGGGTGTGCGCCGAGCTCGCTGTCGAACACGCCGAGCTCACCATGTCCGAGAGAAGCACGGATACGTCGCAGACAGCGTTCAGCAGCCGCAAGGCGCCGCCGGTCGTTACGATATTCTTGAGGGCAAGGATGCAGCCCTGCAATCTGGCAGGGTCGTAGCGAGCATGGTGAGTGCGAGTGGGCGTATTTTGGCGCCGGCACTGGTCGCATGGGCGGCAATTTTGTGCGTGGAGGAGCCCGTCGCGGACGGGGGGCGGGCGTGGAGGTCTGCTCTCGGGTGCGGCGCGCATGGGGACTGGGGAACGTGGAAGGCTCCGAGCGCGCTAAATGTATGCAATGAGGTGATTTTATTGTACGTTGTCGGACGAATCCGATGGCTATATGATCAGGACTTCGGATATGTGCTCCTAGCTTGCGTGCTTGAACAGCTGATGTGACCTGTGCGAGACTAGGAGTGTCGTCGAGGTCAGTGATGATGGACCGGGCAGGTAGTGGGGGAGAAGCTAAGGTAGTTGGGCAGCTGGGCTGTCGGTAGACTGATATCAAGGAGCTATCTGTGGAGGCACTGTCCCAGCAGGATGTGCGCGCGGAGGGACTGGTGGGAAGAGAGACAACGGCGCACCTTCATGACGCTCGTCCTGCTCAGCGAGTGTGCATGCGTCATGGACGGACATCCTCGTCGTCCATGCCCACCCTCTTCCTAGCCCATCTCTCTGCCGCTACCGCTGTTTCCTCTTGCTCTTGCTCTGCCGCCAGCGAGTTAGACTAGGTCGAGGGCGGGATGGTTGACGAAAGAGAGGTCGGGCGTGCGCGGGGTGGAGTGTGAGGCCTCGGCGATGAGGCAGGACGATGAGGCAGGACGATGGAGGAGTGAATGACGGTCGACAAGAGGAGGGGCCGAGAGGTCGTGCGTGCATGAGGGGCTGGAAAGAGATGTGTGGACGCAGATGTTGGTCGCAGGCGAAGATAAATGCGCGGGCCCAAGTGGTCGAGGGGGTTAAAGGCACTCGGCGGCGGGCGGGTGTGTGCTAGAGGAGACGGGTGTGGGATCGACAGGACGCGTGCGGGTGGATGTGGATCGCAGGCGAAGGCGGGTGCGTGGCGTTGAGGGGTCGCATGTGCACGCATCAGAGGCGGGATTGACTATCGAGGAGGTCGAGTGAGCGAGCGGGCATGGCATCGAGGAGGCCGCAGAGACTGCGAGCAAAGGGCGGGCCGAAAGGACGAGAGCGGGTTATACGGACCTTGATAATGCTCTACCTTTGTCTTCCTAGCTCATCTATCTACTACCTCACCCTCCTCGTCGACGCACTGAAGCGTGCGTGGCATTCTCTTGGCGATGATTTGTGCGCGTGCGCTGAGCACAAGTGCGGCGAGAGCGGGGCAGCGTGGAGGGTCCAGGCGACGCACGAGCATGGGCTGGAGGCGATAAACGGGAGGGTACTGAGTGGCGCAGGTGTGTAACGTGGAGAGAAAGACACGCGTGCGCACATGGGCTCGAAGGCAGGAGCGTGAATGTCAACATCAACGGTGTAGAGATTCGAGGGTACTAAGTATGCGACGGGCGTGGGCTCAAGAAGATGGGCGTGGGCTCGAGGGGACGAGGGAACGTACGCACGCGGCTTCGGGTCTGGGACTTCTGGACGAGCGACTCAGGCGAGGAAAACTTCGACTTCAACATGGAGATGGTGCTTTGCGCGGCAACCTGTCGAGCGTGGAGCTTGCGCGAGGGCTCCAGCAGAGATTCGAGCCAGGAGGCAATAGCATTAATACGCTCCTCAGACATGGAAAGCGTTAAAGGCTGAACCGCTTAGAGTTGAACAGCCTGGAATTCTGACGCGTGTATACATCGTTAATCTCCGCACTAATTCTCATGCCTGCTTAGCAACGCAAAGAGAACTAAGCCACAGTCTAAGTGCTCAGCAAATTTAGTGGAACATCAGGCGAGTTTGCTAGTGCAGTTGCACGGGATCCACATGCGCACGCAGCCGCTCATCCAGAGCGTGATATCTGCGTCGCGCTCGAGCATCCAGCTTGCCACTAGGCACTGCGCAGTCGGTTATGCGACTGGAAAAGGGCGGAGGACGGCGGCGGGGGCATGATCACGGGCAGAGACAACTCGCCGTATCACTGCGAGGACGCGGACGTGCTGAGCAGCCGAAAGAACTTAGCGTTGGAGCGGTCGTTCGACAGCGGCACTGGACTTGCGAGGTGTGCAGTCAGCGGTAGGCCGACAACGAGCGTGGCTTCCAGATGGACGACGAGAAGACAGATGGAGAGATGAGCATGGGCATAGAGATGGGGACAGGGATGGGAATGACAGAGAACACGCTTCCGAGCTCGACGTCGAAAATGCCGCCACGCGGAGTCAACCCTGTCCGAGGTTGCATCGTGGGAGTGTCGCGCATGGCTTGGACCTCACTGAGCTTGTTCGTGTAGTCGCTGAGCTCGCGCAGGATGTCGTTCCCCTGCTGCGCCGACGCGGGTGGGAGGTTGTTGTGGCAGACGGCGACGATACTGCACACGATCTTGATGATCTGCGTGAGGTTCTCGTTGAGCGTCGGCGAAGGCGTCAGGGAGCGGCCACCGGACAGAACGCTCTGGATGGCGTAGACGCTCGAAACGGTCTGCGCCTTGAGGTAGGGCTGCGAAAAAGCGTGAGTGCGGGGGTGAACGACGCACGATACGAATTTTACCTTGAGCTCCATCCAAGCGTCCTCGGAGCCCTCCGCGACCTCCGAGTCGTTGCTGAGCACGCCCGTTGTGCTCCCCGTGGGCATCTAACCAAAAATCGGCAGCGGCGAGCGGCCCGCGGAGCTCGAGCACTCCGACAACGCTTTGCGGAAGCGGCCATCGCCCGACGAGCGCCCTGAGAATGGCAGACGCCTCGACGGCGACTCGGCCGAGTAGGGCGGCTGCTGGCTGAGCAGATTGGGCTGCAGCGGGTAGTGGGCCTCCTCTGGACGGTCCACGCGCCTGTTCGAGGCCGACGACGAGCTCGCGCGCCGCACAGGCACCGCCGGCTTTGCCTCCTCGACCGAGTACAGGGTGGGCGAGGACTCGTTCGATGCTGATGCCGGGGCGGGCGTGTACTGCTCTAGCTCCTGTTTGGTCGCCCTGCGGATGGACACCACGCGCTCGATCTCAGTTACCACAGCCAAGACGTGGCTCGCGGCGTGCGCCCCTAATCAACTAACTACCCTCCAAAAATGAACCACACAATGCATGTCGTCGCATGAGCACTTATCACGAGCACAAAGGGCTGCGAACGTACCTTCAAGAGGAACCGCCGCCCCGCACATCGTGCACATCTGCTCCCGCACCTCTCAACAGTTTGTGTAGACCAACCAACATAGGCGGAACCCATGTGCCCACATCGGCTCTCACGCGGGCGCGCCGACCACGACTTCGGAATGTGCGATGACGGCCCTCAGGACGGAGAATATCGAGAGATCGAGAGCGTGCTCGTGGAGGCTGTATAAGCGGCGAGGAGGGTGTCCGTGCTGGCAGTGCTAAGGTAGGCAGTCAAAGATTTGGTGATAATGTTGATAAGGTAGAGGCGGCGGAATCCTACTTAGACAGAAAGACGCCGCGCGACTGGGGAGTGACGGTGGATGCGTTGAAGCAGTGTTTGAGGGAGGAATATAAGAATCGCCTGCACTGATACATGTTCTTGTCTGGCGGGTCCGCGACATCGCGCGCCCATAGTGTCTTCAGCGTGCGGTTCTGCGAGACGTCGCGTCCAAAGCCCACACTCGCAATAACCTGACCGAAGCGCGTCGCCGGGGGGAGTGAGACGAGGCGGGTGTCGAAGAGTAAGAGTGCAAGGAACACAAGGAGAGGAGGAATAGGACGTGGCTGACATGACGAGCCTCGCTGCAGCTGGAGAGGCTCATCATGTCAGCCATGTATTGGCAGGGCTGAGTCCTGATACGCGGCTGACATGACGAGCCTCTCCAGCCGCAGCGACGCTCGTCATGTCAGGCATGTATCGGGACTCATCCCTGTCAATACACGGCTGACATGACGAGCCTCTCCAGCCGCAGTGAGGCTCGTCATGTCAGCCACGTATCAAGACTCAGCCAAGCTGATACGCGGCTGACATGACGAGCCTCTCTAGTGGCAGTGAGGCTCGTCATGTCAGCCGTGTATCAAGACTCAGCCAAGCTGATACGCGGCTGACATGACGAGCCTCTCCAGCCGCAGCGAGGCTCGTCATGTCAGGCGTGTATCAGGACTCATCCCTGTCAATACGCGGCTGACATGACGAGCCTCTCCAGCCGCAGTGAGGCTCGTCATGTCAGCCACGTATCAGGACTCAGCCCTGCCAATACACGGCTGACATGACGAGCCTCTCCAGCCGCAGACAGGCTCGTCATGTCAGCCGTGTATTGGCATGGGTGGCTTCTTCACCTCTTAATGGCCTTTTTAGCCCTGCCATACCCCTGTCCTACCCTGAACCTTCTAGCTTTTCAGGTTAGAATCAAGACTCAGCCAAGCTGATACGCGCCTGACATGACGAGCCTCTCCAGCCGCAGTGAGGCTCGTCATGTCAGCCACGTATCAGGACTCAGCCCTGCCAATACGCGGCTGACATGACGAGCCTCTTCAGCCACGGACAGGCTCGTCATGTCAGCCGTGTACTGGCATGGGTGGCTTCTTCACCTCTTAATGGCCTCTTTAGCCCTGCCATACCCCTGTCCTACCCTGAACCTTCTAGCTTTTCAGGTTAGAATATCAAGGGGATGAGAGCAGGATTGATGTCAATATCGAGGTCAAGGGGTACTGGGAACTGGGAGTCAACACTACAACACGCTGTCAGCAATGTGTGGACGCGACACGACGTTGTAGTGTGCTTGATCACGAGACGTTGAAGGACTGTCGAAGGGCACTGTGTGCCGACACAGTCGGAGGGAAAACTCCAACTGTGTCCGACACAGTCGGACTGTGTGCCGACACAGTCGGACTGTGTGGCGCGACAATCAACGGACTGTGTGCGGCACGGCCGGACTGTGTGGCGCAGATTCACCGCCAAATCTCGGACCGTCACCGAGAATCCGGACTGTGTGGCGCTAAACTAGCGCCAAAATCCGGACTGTGTGCGGTCTCGGCCGGACTGTGTGGCGCAACAGAGAGACTGTGCGTGGTGTGACAACAGTGTGACAACAGTGCGCCCGCAATCTCCCGACTGTGTGCCGCCCTTTCCCGATGCTGACTAAACTGTGTCTCCGGGTTGCAGAATACCCTCAACATCACAAACAATTACATATCTCTCGATCCCCTCATCCAAATAATAAAATTAGGGTATAATTTGAAAGGTAGTGTATGTGTGGGCATTTTATTAGTTCTGCAATAGAAATAAAAGGATAATTGTGGACTGGAGACTCGGTTTTTTGAGGTTTTCCCTCAATTCTGTATTTTGTCTGTAACATCTTCAGTTTTCCATGTCTACTAATGAAAATATTAGGGTACCATTACAACTACATTTTAAGCCTACTGAATCAGACAGAATGTTGTGCAACTTCAGATTTGGTTCCCAAAACCCAGACTGTGCTTCACACAGTCTGGTTTTAGGGGGTAGACTGTTTAAATCCATATCTATTGAACCCCTGATTCAATCTCACTGCTTCTGGGCCTCAAAGTTGAAGCAGGGTATGAAGATTACAGAAAAGATTTTTTTGTATTTATAGTTGCATTTAATTGGCAACACAGTAGTTTCGGATATCGGTGGACTCAAAAGTGTCGGTAATACTACTAGGAGCCGCTGACACGTGCATATGGTAGTTCCGCGCGTTTTTTGTCTTTTCATTGTTTTACTTGCTCATCTATTCAATAGTCGCTTGCCTACCCACTCATGCTTGTGTATGTAATCTGAATAGTATAGTTGCAGGTGCTCGTACTTAGAGCGCCAGCGAGCGCGCGAGGACAACACAAACGCGAGTCGCGCCAAGTCGTGCAGGTCACATGATAAGAAATAAAATGTTTGCGACGGAAAAAACAATTTAAAAAGAAAGAACAGGCGAAAGAAACACAAAGGACTGAAGAAACCGGAACATTGTGCTCAGTTTGTTGGAATTCTGGGGTTTGTTGGAAGTGTTTGACAGCTCAATATCTTTTTTCCTACCTGCTCAGACCTGGTGTTATGTCCGTAGGAAGTTTCTGACCTCGTCCTACCAGCCGTGGGGGGATTCTCACTGGGCTTCATGTCTACATCGAGAGCTTGCTTCCCGAAGATCAATATCAACGAGAGCATGTGTCTGTAAGAGATTCGTACAGCGGTTCCGAGTTGCACAATATCACGCCACCAGAATTAGCATCAAACTACAAACCACCACGTCATATAATAGGTTAGTTAAGTATCAAGCAGAGGGGGGCACCGGTACATCCTGTACACGAGCTACAAACGCACGACATCCATCACTTCACTAGCGAGGCGTGTCACTCGAGTGAGCACTATAAAGAATAAATGAGTGTATGTAAAAGAGAGAGAAGCGGCCTAGGCGCGCGTGTAGCAAAAACAACCAGTGGTAGAGGGGAATGGTATATCAATAGAAGGACCGTCGAGGACGCTAAAGGGCAGAAAGACACGGAGGCCGAAGCGCCACCGAGAACAGGATGACGCCGCGTAATACAAGTAAAGCCACCGAGACCAGTTATGCAGACAGCAGAGCACATGAACCGCACAGGCAAGCAGCGAGGCCATGTGCACGATACACGGTCAAGAAGGCCATCATAAAAAAAGAAGCAAGGCAGCAGAGGAGGAGGATACATAGTCCGGGATGATAGCGACACACGTAAAACATCAGCAGTCCGATAGAGGGAACGATAAAAATTGATATCGAACAGGCTATACTGGTCATTCACATCATCATCATGGCGAATCCATTGCCATTGCCGCCGCCGCCGCCGCCGCCAGTGATCGAGATGGGAGATGTGGCCATAGGACCCATCTCGTCCCGAGCCCAATTGGGAATAGCACCAGTGTTGATCCTCTTGGGAACCCCATAGCCGTCGGCGCCCTGGCCACCACCGTTCGATAAGAGACTCGGCATATCATAGCTTCCCGAAGGTGAAGTGACGTGACGGGAGTGCGGAGGCGAATCAAAGCCACTCCCGGCACCCATGCTACCACTCCTCTCTCTCCTGCCCATGTGAGCAGATCCAACGGACGATGCATCCTCGTTGTCGACAGGACTGCCGAACATGTGCATTTGTTGTTGCTGTCTCATGCTGGCGAAATACGCTGCGTTCCCAAAGTTGGGACCCGCAGACGACGGACCGTGGGAGCTGGGAGGTGGCGTGAACAAGTGGTTTCCACCGAACTGCTGTTGCTGCTGCTGCAACTGCTGGGCCGCGAACAGTTGGTTGTTCCACGCGGACACCTTGTCGTCGGACTGAGCCAGATTAAATTGTTGCATGTGGAACTGTTGCGTAGAAATCTGAGGATGAGATTCGAAAAGTGAAGCCATCGCAGGGTTTTCGAACGAAACACCGGGCATGCTTTGGGCGATCATGGGCCCGCCGTGAGCGGACGGCCGCGGAAGAATGTGTGCAAGATGAGATCCCCCGGACTGAGAGGGAACATTATGGGCAAATGGGTTGGGCTGATTCTTGACATACGTGGGCGCAATGGAATTTCTCAAATCGTCGGCCTCGTCGTGAACAGAAACTCCAAGAGAACCGGGGTTGACGGAGCCAATGGGGAGTTCATCATCGTCGCCGTAACCGTCACCGTTCCCATCGTCGTCTTGGTCGTCGACACCAGGGATGGCGGTGAGGACCTCGACTTCGCCGCTCAGAACAAGGGCGAAGCCATCGCTGCGGACGGGCTCCTCAACACGAGGGAGATTGGTACGGTCTCGCCATTCGTTGAGCTCGCGACGGAGGGCGTCGGCCTCGAGTTTGAGAAGTCGAAGCTCGCGGGAAGCGAGAAGGCGGTGACGGCGAGAGGAGTGAATGTGCGCGATGGAGGAGTTGACAATCGCGGACTTTGAAGGGCGGCGAATCTGAGAGAGGTTGGGAAGGAGAGCAGCGAGGTCCTACGGTGATCGAGGAGGTTAGGTCGACGTTACTATTCAGGGAAGGAACGACGAACCAAGAACCTGCTGTTCAGGGTCTCTCTCCTTTGACGTTCGACGGCGTTGTGTGTCGCACGCCTCTCGGCGGTATTGGCTCTCCTAGAGGGCTTCCTCTTCGCCTGGGCGCTGGCGGAGTTTAAATTGGCTTGACTGAGCTGGGCAGAGGACTGATCTGCGGCGGAAGGGAGGGTGAGGGTATGAACGGGGTTCGTGGGGGACAAGGGTGTCTGGGGGACATTAGGACTATCGGCAGATGAAGGCGAGTTGCCGGCAGACGGGGACGAGGGAATGGGAATAGAGAGAGCCATTTGGTCGTGTAGCTGAAAGGGGCGCCGGAGGCGAGGTTGTAGGAAGTACAGCTGTAGGATTGAGCGGGAGCAGCGGGTCTAAGCGTGGGCAGAAACTTGGACGGTGCAAGGGTGATGCAAGATATTTTGAGGAGATCGGGAGGAAGGAAGACAGGCCAGAAACGCGATTGCTCAGCGGAAACCGGGGCTGTTGAGGGACGGAGGAAGAAGCAAAGGAGGCTTGAGGTTGCGGGGGATAAGAATCGCGAGCAGAGCTCAAGCGGGCGGGATTAGGGCTGGCGGGAAAGAAGACGATCTGAGCAGTCGCGAGCTAGGCTCAAGCGTACTGCAGGTCCTTTGAGTGGGCGGGAAGAGAGAAGCCGGCAGGGTCGCGAGGATCTGTGGGGGGTTGGTGAACAAGGTAAGATAAGCGGAAACGGGGAGAACAAGGAGCGGAGAGGGACGTACTCCAGGCGTTATCCTTAGCACGGCGAGGATGTTCGGAGTAGAGGAGAAAGAGGGGGAGGGCTCTTTCGCTCAGAGGACCATAGACAGATGGAGGACGAGGAGAGAGAAGAGAGAAAGAGAGGGAATGTGTCGTGGGCAGCACCAGACCGCCTCGGTTATCCCTCACCCCGCTGTTATCCCGGCGGACTTTCAATCTCCGTACAACTCCGATGACCTACAAAGCACACGTGCCTGGCCCGAGTTCCCCTCGGGGTCTCCGCTCTTTTCGCGGCCCGCCATCTCCCGCCATCCGCTTCCGTCTCATCACTGATCTCCGTGTCCACGGAAACTTCGTCCTCGTCGACGTCGCAAACCCTCTCGTACACCCCTCCACCGTGCCTCGGCGACCAGGCCCCGGCCTCTTCCTATCCATCGGTTTATCCATCGGTTTTTTTTCTCCCTGATCTCTGTACAGTATCAAACTGAGCTCGGCGCGCTCTCGCTAGGTCCCCGAAGGATAGCTACGGCGTCATCTTAGTACCCCTCTCACTCTTCAGCCGAGGACTCTAAGCTCCCGAATCGAGGTTCTCACCGGCATCTTGGTTCGTGTGAAACCCAGGATCGATCTGCTACTCACCTCAGTTGCCCGTAGCTCTCCTGGCAGCCTACGTAGGCCTACGATGCCCCCCAGATGCATCCACCGTCCGCTAATCACTATCACGTACGTTCAGAGTACTTGTGCTCTGAGCGCCAGGAAGGCTGAGGTTTCTACAAATGAGTCCTCGGGACGCCTTGAGACGCACAGTATCTGCTCAACACTCTCTAGCATACCCTTCGAGTGTGTTCGAGGCGCTTGACAGACTTGTCTTCGATCCAACGCCGATTCGTCAGCCGGTACTGCATTTACAGAAGCTCCCTCAACGGTGCCGGTCAATCTTGATCGCTACAGTAGTCAAGTCTCGCGTGATGGCAACGATGCTCGCCGGAAGCCACCGGAAACCTATGGAAACCTTTGCAGGTTCAGACAGACTCAGACCTGCCTCTCGAATGAGGAGCTGAAGACAAAAGCAACGTCTCGCCTGGTAGATCCGGTCATCGCCAACTGGGTGATAGGGGTACCGTCAAGCTTACTTACACAGATCCTGGCGGGAGAGATCTGTCGAGAAGGCCACTGCCACACTCGGGTTTTGCAAGGTTTTGCACCGGTCTGCTCATGAAGCCCCGGATGCCGACGAATGCGATTTCGAGCTCGATTGTCAAGATCTGCATCGCCTCGCGCTTACATCCTCGATGATCGGACGCCGTCGATCTTGTCAGTAAAATGTGTTTATTCATTCCAGAGGCGCCTGTTTGCTCCCACTTAGCAATAATCCATCAGAACACGTTTCCCCACTCGCGTGAGGCAGCTGGACAATTCGAAAACCAAGGCGGCCTTCTATAGCCTTCTATCTAACCTTTCGTCGCTCCTGACCTGTTCCTTTTACTCATTCGCTGTTTAGCTTATCACGCCACCGCATGCTACGCGTGGAGCATCATGCAGATCTCGACTGTCTCGGCTGGCGTAGACTAGTATGCTTCCGATATCTGTTCAGTTACCATACAGTTAGCTTCCTCGTGTAGCACAACTGTTGTCAAAATCCATGAGTACGGACTGTCGCCGCTCAAGATAACGAATTCGACGCGCATAGAATACAGCAGCACAACAATGCAACAAAGACGATCACTACAAGAAACGACACAGCCATAAGTTCCGAGAGTATATGCGAGATTTCACAGCGTGAGGTGAGTCAGCTCGCGCTGAATCGCTAAGAGCCTTTTTCGTTCCCCCTCCAACAGGGTCCGCGACTTAACCACCTCCGTATCTTCACTCAACAAGTCCTTCATGTTAGAGCGATCCATGCCGACTAAAATAGCTCTAAGGAGTTCGTTGGAAAACGCTTGGTTCAAATCATGTTCGATCCTAAGCGGCACTACGTCCGTGAGCCTCTATAGCACGGAAGCGTGAGCGTCGAATTTCAAAGAAATTATAAGGAGCACACCTTGTAAGCCACTTCGAAGAATGCACGAACACTTGCCATCACATCTAACTCTTGCTCGAAGGCGTCTGGAGGGTACAGCCGCTGAAGATCGAACACACTCGGATTTGGATAGCCAGCCTCTGCCAGGACGATCAGAGCCCTTCTCTGGGCTGAAGTTGGGTCTCCGTACACCGGCGAGGCAGAAGAACGCTGGTACAGGTGTGCATGATTCCTAACCTGCTTGTAGTGCGTCAGCCATTTCTGCCTCATGACTCCATCGTGTTCATTCTGCGTCCAGAATGGCTCTGATTCGCCACTGAGAGTTTTCATCACGGCTTCGTGAGCTACCACCTGAGCTTCATGATGCCGCTCGACCACGATAGCTCTTCAAGAGGTTTATGTGATCAACGCGCTGTCATTTTAGCACGCTTGAATGCCAAACTCTTACCGAATAACCCTTTCCAGCTGTGGGAACTGCCCAAAGTGTTCGACAATCAGCTTCTCGACGATATCAAACAAGATCTGATATGCCCTGCCGAAGCAATCTTCCGTTGGCGCCGACCACCGCTGGACGAATGACCAAATGAGTTCCTTGTGTGCTTCAAAAGGAACAATTCCAGGATGCTCCCAGCCAACATGCCTTACAAACAAAGTTCAGGAACTAAAGGTCTGAGAAGGATGGTTCGACTGACTTTTGTATGACTCTTCTCACGTCATACAGGTTCAACTGCGCCAGAGGATTTGTATCTGAGCTGCCATCATCTCCATCACCCCCATCATCTCCAGCGACACCCTCGTTCCTGTACAAGTGAGGCGAATCGGATGGCCAAAAATCAGGAGCTGTTTCTTCAATTTCCTTTTTGAAAATGTTGTAGCTCGTCCGGTTGCGTTGAATAAGCTCCTTAGATCCACCTTGATGACCGTGGACCATAGCCTTGAGTACAGTGCAAAATTCGGTTACTCTCAAAGGAACCTCAGCATTAGGATTGTCGGTCTGTGGTGGAGTCGGCAGCTGAGCAAGTTGAGCGTCACAATCGGCCAAATGCTCCCGGACAGCTTTGTTCAACGCAGGCAGTCTGTGTGATACATCAGGCAAGCACAGTATTTAACAGCAGGCGGTAGGAGCGTACTGTTTCTCGATGAGACTCATGAATAACGACGATAACTCTGAAACAAATTGAGGGATGCCGAGCCTCCGGCGATCTGCAAGTTGTTTCCAAGGGTCTCTTGTTTCGAAAAACTCGTGTTCGATCCTTTCAGCTTCACCTCGAGTGATGTTCCGTGAGCGATCGGCGTCATCGGGGAGGCGCACACAATAATACCCATGAGTCAGTTTATTGCTTTTCCCTTGAAGGACATCTACCCATCGAGCGAGGGCGCCGAGGTCACCCGGCCGCAAATTATCGGGCTTGGTCAACACGCCTATGGGAAACACACAGGTAGATAAAGAGTCTTCCAACGTAGATTCAGCAGCACACGTACCGATGGTTCGTTGACCCTCAGGGTCGACCTCTCTGGCCAACCGAGATGCCAATTGATTCTCCATCTCGTCTGCCAAGAACATGAGCAAGCTGACATAGACAGTTGAGAGGATGAAGTAGCATACCGGTAACTGGAATAGTGACAAGGATGATGGTGGATTCGACCTTGATGGTTGAAACAGCCAGTTCCTGAACGAGGTCAACCATCTCTGGATCTTCGTTCTGCACTAGGCCTAGAGAGCGCTTGAGCTCAGCACGAAGCCGTCGTAATACAACCCACCTGGAAGATCAATGAATGCCAAGTCGGTTGCAACAGGGTCTTCAATGTCTACATAAACAACATCCCGAGAGAATTTCATCGTTTGACTGTCCTTTTGCAAGACGCGTAATTGCAGCAATGTCTGGTCGTGGAAATACTCTGGAAGATGGTGCGGAGAAAGAAGAGCTGCTTGGGCTCTACGAAGCCAAATCTCCACATCGCCCTTCTTCGTCAGCCTTGGACTGAACGGAACAGTCTTATAGCCAATCGATTCGTCAGGCTTACACTCGTATCTAAGGCCGATCTTGCACGACCATGATTCGGCAGAACTCGACACCATGCACTCCATCGGACATCTGTTGTGGTGGTAAGGTCAATGATTATGAGGGATATCTATCGACAAATGACCTTGTACATGTCCCGTAATCACGCGGAACACTTATCTGAAAGCTGAGTGTCAGACATTATGATCAAATTCCAGGCTGATGAACTCACTCCTGTCAGAGCCTCGACAACAGAACTCTTCCCAGCTTAGGCCCAAAATTTCAGTCAAGCTACCTTATGCTATAATGTACAATGTCAGGGACATACCTGATTGTCCGCCTATAACAGCGATTCTTGGGATCTCAAAGAATTGACTCGCCCTGTCAGAAGATGATTACCTGACTGCGAAATATGTGATTTGGGAGATTACCCCTGTCCCATAAGATTCTTGATGAGATTAATGAGTTGTTTGCGCTTCTGCGCATAGGGGGTTGTTGAAAACGAGTTCCAGTCATTTGCCATGTCTTGCTGGCCAGCGTCATGGTCTGGCAATCCCAATTGTTTCTTCAAATGGGCCTGTCAGAGATATACAGGAAGACGACTAGAGATCTGGGCACCTGGGTCCTAATGGTAAACAGACAATGAGCTCGAAAGATCAACCTGAAGGAAAGGTCGAACTCACCTTCCAGAAAAGAAGTTAATCCGCCTCTTAGCGAACGAGTCCCCGTTCGTATGTGTTGCAGACATTAGTAGTGGTGGATGGCGACTACTACCTGTATGCCATGGTGGTCTTATATACGAATGTGTTCGTATTTGCAAAAAAGAAGCCATGCTTGAAAAAGGATTCAGTCAAGCGCCGGTCAATCTATATCGGCATAACAGTCGTCCAGTGATCAGAAAAGGCTTGCTTACCTGGCTTCCAGAACGATAGATACATTGCGAGCTGCGCACTGGATGCGGATCGATCTCAGAATTCGGAAACAAGTGTTGGGTTCGGCACTTACTGTTTAGATGGTACGGCACAACCGATTGGCTTAAATGAGGCATGTGGACAATATCTGCAGCAGGAACGTTGCCTTGACAAGCTAGAGGGATCCTTAGCTGGCTATGACTGAGCGGAACCGTCGAGGTTTGTGACAGTGCAAACGCAGCACTTGCGCAGGCTGCTGCGAGCGCCGCGCAGTCCTATCCACATCGAAAACGAGACACGCTTGTCGGAGCAATTGACTGCGCGAAGAAAGCTAGATGGGTGCGACTTATGATTACAGATAGAAGAGGACATATGGTCCTGAAAGACAGAGCCAACGCCTATTTGGAGCCCGTGAATGGTCTCTTGTAACACCTGTAGATGGGTTTCCTTCAAACCACTGCGCGCAGAGCTTGAGGTCTCCATGGGAAGACTGTGGAAAGACTGCTAGAAGGGACAAACATTTCGCTGAATGTCATCGCTTCGTTACAACTTATCTGACAAAAGCGTCATTATTGGATGAACGTTGAACGTTAGTTGTTCAACGTTGAACTTCAAGCTATTTTCTTAGAACCGTTACATAATATTTTCACGGAAAACCCCAAGCGCCGTTGTATCCTCGTGACTCCTGCGATTGTACCAGTACATACCAGTAAATACCTGCTTCCTCGAACAAACTTCAACTGTCTCGCGCATGCGCTGCGCTGACTGTGATGGACTATTCAGAGACTCTTTTGAGAAGGAAACCCAGCGCTGGTGTCATTTCCGGTTAAGAACAGATACAGCACGAGGCCAAAGCAGCGAGCGCCTCGTGCTTGCGGTAATTGATCGCCCATTCGTTTGAAGTACAGTAATCTAGATCAGTGAGACAATGTCAAGCATCTTGCACCCCCGATCTTTGCAAGGACTGCCAAGAAGAATAATTTCCATGGTCCCCAAAATGCAGCGACCTCAACCAGTCCACAGCCATCCTCAGCACATGAAGTCTAGACAGGACAATGAAGCGGGTATCATTCCGCCGAGGAAGGCCGTACTTATGTAAGTCTGGTTAGCATTATTGCCTTCCGAGCGCTGAGCACGAGTCTTAGCACCACTGCCTAACTGCCCACATCATCTTGACGACAGCCTTTCTTCTCCTTTCTTACCTCGACGCTTGAGCATTTCATGGACGAGATGCCCAATCTTTCCCAAACTCACTGATATCACACAATTTCTTCATGGGCATACCGCTTGACAAGGCAGAGCTTCTTGCGCTCTTTCTCGAGACTCTTGTCTATGGTATGCACTTCCGACTGGCCACATCAACGCCGCCTCTCACTCTTTCATCAAGGCATATTCTTTACCCTGTGCTGCATCACATGTATAGTTCTCGCCTCCGTCCACCATGGCGGTACACACTCTCGCAAAATCATCATGCCCACAGCCTTCCTCATGCTTGCTCTCGCGACCGCCGTCAGTCCCAACCCGTCGCGCCTCGATCCCTCGTCATAGGTTCTCATCTATACATCTCATAGCACCTCATCATCGACTTCATACGCGCTGCGCATGCCTTCATTACTCTTGGTTCACCTTCAGGGGCAGCTATTGAATACTTCGGCGAAGTTTCCGACGGCCTATTCTTAGCCAAATCGCTGTTGTATCTTTTTCAAACTCTAGCGGGTGACAGCATCATCGTACGTGCCCTTATCTGAAATCAGTGCTTCACGAGCCATTTTATGATAGCGGGTCGTTTCGTCTTCCTCTAAGAAGCAAGGAGAGTTGTCAATGATGATAAGCGTGTGTAGATCTGGCGCTGCTATATAGTAACAAATCGTCGGCCGATGCTCATCGCATTACCGCTGATCGCATTTATTGGAGATATTGGTACGCACCCTCCAAGTCACTTTTGAATTGAAGTCTTAATGTCAATCAACAAAAAGTCTTTGGTTGCATTATCGTTGCGCGCATGATACGAGCTCCTGATGGTGCGACTATATTTTCGGTACTACGAGGAAGCTTTGCGGCGTATACAAGCATGACACTTGCAATCACAGCCTATTGCACAGGCGAGCGACCCTCACGATCCCTCTGTAAAGGCATAGCTGATGTCTTCTACCCTAGGCGCAATCTGCTGGCGCATATATCAACCAAGCAGGGAATGGGGTGGAGTGCGCACGCTACTCCCTGTGCTGATGGCGATCATCGAAAGCGGCGCTCTTTACACTGCAGGAGTGCTCACCACGCTCATCCTTTTCTTGATCGAATCCAATGCGCAATTTGCAGCGCTCGATCTGCTCATGCCTTTAGTCGTCAGTAATTTTTGTCTACCTCTTGACGACCATTTCGATGACGCGGCGAGGCGGGTTGGTAGGGCGTGGTATACTGCTTAATCATTCTTCAAATACGCTACCAGACGTATCTTCTGGATAACAACACGGACACATCCGATCTACCGCGCGATAATAACATCGGCAACAGGCGTAGGCGCCTGGTATTGTATTCGTCGATGCGATTTTGGCACGAGACGGCGATGGGGGACAGGGACGAGCGGAGTGTGACGGCAGATGGCGGACCTGGACGAAGTGTTGAAGTGGAGCTTGATGCGGGAAGGAAAAAGAGAAGGGAGCATGATGAAGAAGCCACAGAGACGAGAGAAGGCAGGTCCGGGAACGTGCCAAGCGAGGGGCGGAAACGAGGAGCAGGGTCTATGTAAGGACGGCGTTAAACTTGCAGCTATGACCTCATTTTTTCTTGTTATTGACGAGAGTCGGCTGCGTGGGTTTCCCCCGATTGAAAGAGTGAGGCAATGTCCTTGCAAGTTCCCACTGCTATGCGTTGACTTCATATAGGTGAGTTTTTATACCATGCATGTGGACATTGTCGAGGACAGTGCATTCGAATCCCTCCGACGCCCTTATGACGATAGGTTCGGCAGTTTAGTATGTAGAATCCATCGGGATGATCGGAAACGCTCTGTGAGTAGTGCTAACCAAGTATCCACATTCTTGACTAAGTACAGATCTTCTGGCGTAATCGCAATGATAAGCCTGGCAAGTATGTCGTCGCTCACGTACATCCGCTTTTCTCTCGCCGCAACACAACATCAAACCCTTCTTCAAGTCCATATTATCTTGCAAGGACCGATGAGCTCCAGAAGATTCATTGCGGACGCGAGGAGCAAATCGTAGAACTTGATCTAACGGGACGTCGGTTTGTCTCACCTTCGTATTCGGCGCTTGGACTCCGGCCAGCTCGGCCAGCCCCCTTTTGTACGCGTATATTGCAAAATGCAGTGGCCTCACTGAATACTTCACGGAGGGGACAGTTCAAGTTCGAGCATTCGGCACATATGTAAATCGTAAATCCCGAAATTTCAATTGCGAACAAACTGACATTTTATTCGTGCACACTGTAGGCCTTAATAAAGCCACCGCTTCGATTTATCCTCTTGAGATTTGATCATGGCATTGTCGCTTGCTCCTGCATTTTAGCTCGTACGTTGTCTTATGACTCGTTGCAGTGGCGTCGTTTTTGTCAACAATCACAAATTGACGCTATTGCCACCAGCAGATACTCCGCATGTAATGCCACATCTTTCTCTATCTTACCTTGTCTCCCTGTGAAGGCATCTATATACTGCGGCGCCGCTTTCCTCATCATGCCTGTCGGCCACGCTTTACCACTTACTTTCTATGCCAAACTCCAAAAAATCCTGCGGCGCAACGCTAACAGCACTAGAGAAATTCTACGGTCTCGGCCATGGAGACATTTCCCGCCCAACGCCCAAGTACAGACCGATCTGAATCTTGGAACAGAACTTGATACTATTGATCTAGACTTTGATGTCGATGACGAATGCGACGACTGTGGCTTGGTCAATCTGAGTTCCTCGACACCTCTCAAGATAATGACAATACCTGATACTGCCCCTGCTCAACGACATCTGAGGAACATTATCCAATATCCTGCCGGGGATGGACGAGAGGAAGGATCTTCAACTCAAATACAGGCCCATAGTGCTCAGGTAGTAGGCGTACTTCATCCACACTTCAAACGATGTTCTGACATTCCTCAGTCTCTATCTTGTGACGCTATGGACTCCCCTCCTCTCTGGGAGGAATTCGAACAACCCTACTCCGGTTCGCCGGAGGAAGCATAGATCTCGTCGCCGTACTCAATCCGTTCACTAAGCCCACTCTCCACTCGTTCTTGACAGCATGCGCAAGGCTGTGGTTTGTTACCCATCGTTCTAGACCAGGTTATACACAATATAGGAGGGAACACCAACCCTATTGAAAGCATTAGGTACGTTCCTTCTACGTTGACTAAGTATGACCTTTTCACTCATGCTTTGTGTCAACCTCAGGACTGTTGACACAGCCCCCATCACCTCCTCTTTGATTCCATCTTTGGCCTCTTCAATTCTGCTCTTACGATGACGCTCCCATGTACCGTATCTCACAATAATTCAGCCCGGGTTCAAAGCCGTATGTCGACTTGAGAAGATTTTTTTGTCTCATTCTGAACAGTTAAACCAGGCAAGACTAGACAACCAACGATATGGTTTGACTTAGTTATGCGCTGTGGTGTAATAACTTACCTGTTCGAGACATGCGCATGATTTTCAGAGAGTATCAACCTGTATCAACCAAGGTATCATATATCAACACTTGAATTTCCGAATCAGGCCATCCATTGTCATCTACCGACTTGATCTTCCCTACTGCAAGCAATCAATTACTAGCGCTCCAAGAACTTGTTTCGTTGTCCGATGCGGTCATAGACCGCTGACCTCGGATCACCTCCCCACATATAATTACTGATCTCAGGCGCGACACTTTGCCTCAGTATTTTCACCCTTTACACTGTTCAAGAGATGGCAGCCAAGCAGACGTTCATAATCTGGGCCCCCGATTACACCGCGGAGGACGTTCTACCTCGTCGTCAATCTTTACTACAGAAGCATCTGGAAGGTATATACGCGCTCGCAGCGAAAGGCTGGTTTAGTGCGTGTTCAATCCTTGCAGTTTGCTCTAATTTACTCAACGTATCGCAGAGTCTGGAGGCTATACTGTCACACCTGAGACGACGACGAACCCAGTTCCAGAGAGGAAGGTGACAGGTTCGATGTTGATAGTAGAGGATGAAAGCGTTGAGGCTGTCAGAAAGCTTATCGAGGTTGACTGTTACTGGACGGAGAACATCGTGAGTAAATTGTTCAAAGTCACATATCCGATTCCCTAGTCTAACTGACGTTGGGGTGCAAAGTGGGATCATGAAAAGCTTGAGATTAGGCCATACTTTTCTGCTTGAGGGGGAGTAATCCGGTACGGCGATGGCCTGATTGAGGGTTCTTGTATGAATAAATAATCAGACGTTACATATACCCACTAGTCTCCGAGGTCAGACCTAGACCTAGCCGCACGGGCATCGTGATTCAAGCCTGAATTGAATAAACGCAACACCAGGAGCGTGCGTGGGGCAAGACTTCTCGTCATCTCTCCGCAGTTGGAATCGCAAGCGAAACTATATTAGGCTCCGAGTAATCGATTAGTATGATATCTTGAGTGGGGCGTGAGCGAGAGACAAGGTGGAAATGACGTAAGAAACTCTATAGATGTCTGCTTGCGCAACAACAGATAATGGGAACCTCGTAAAGACCGTCGATCGTTGAGCGAACGTGGGCATCTCAGACGTAATTTGCAAACAAAGGGATGAGGGACTGGGCGATCGTGTAACTGAAGACGAGTTTAGGACCTACGACCAGGATCTGCACCATCGGTCATCAGCGAACGCTTTTAAACCATCGAAGTTCGACCCGAAACTAGATGTACATACTTTGGGCGTCAATCCCTTGAACAGTGCTCCAGGACCCTCGTGTTTCATCAGTTCTTTGACAACTGTAACGCCAGACATCTTGTTCTCAAAGTTCACGTTCTGAATACGAGTCTTCACGACGTCCAGAGGGGCAGCGACTGTGATAGATGCGACAGCTCCTGCAATTGATGCAATGAAATTTTGGGTCCAAGTTGCTTTGGAATAGTCGGAAACGCCGAGAACGTAGTCTTTTGTTACCGCCGAAGCGCCGAAGAGCTGCACAGGGACGAATAAATAACTGAAGGCTATAGATTGTGACTGAGCTCACGGCGAAAGATCCGGGGGCATTGCGCGCCATTGTCCAGCCCCAGCCTCTGTACAATGTTGTCCCCTCTTCGAGAAAAATTTTGATGACTCCGCGACCACGGAAGGCCTCAGGATTCACTTGGCGCTTGATCTTGAGAGCGTCCAGGGGGAGCAAGACCTTTCAAGCACAGTAAGGTCAGCAGGCGGTGTAGAACCGACCGATGAACTCACCACTTCACCGATACCTGTCAAACTGAGCGTCCATTGTGAGAATCCGGTAAGCGCACACTCAAAGGAACACAATGACTCACCTTCCGGCTGTCGCCTGCATGATGCTTTTTCCCTTTCGCTCACCGAAGGCGCTGGTGAAACTCTCTTTGTAGTGTCGATTAAGAAGGTCATTGAACCAAGGCTGTCCACCGAACTTGTATATCCGTTGTGAGATTTTATAGCCTGCAGCGTAGCCGAGACCGGGAAACAAAGAGAGCATTTTCCGATTGAGGGGAGCTGTGGCCTGGTCTCGGAATATAATAGAAGAAATTGTTGCTGAAGAAGCCTATTACCATGGAAGAAAATGCGTGAGATGTAGGCTGTATACCGATGGTGCGACGTACCTTAGCCTTGTTGCTCATTAGTCGCTTGGCAATAGTGTCGACCGGATGGAATACGAGCAGTTCAGCGACGCCTAAACATCATTCGGTGAAGCCAATCATAGCGTATAGCAGTATGAGGACACTGCACATGCTGACGTCGCAGTTGTGGGGCACGCACCAGAAGTCCCTGAACCGAGAACGCGTGCAGTCCCGGACTCCTTCCCTTTACCGGTCATCGAAGGGGACATTTTACAGGAAAGTGGAAAATGGCGGAAGGGATATGGAGGGAGGACTGTAAGAGGTTGAGAGACTGCCTCGCTGAAAATAGACCAAATTTGCCCCCAGCATTGATGAGGTAAGCCGACTGATATAAGTGCCTTACAGAGTTGTCGCGTCGGCATGAATTCAGCCACTCAAGGGTATGGACCAGATGTGGAAAGCCATCCCCTCCGCTTCTACACCCAAATGATGCTGATATAGCCCACAATGCCATACAGTTTACTGCACGTTTACGGAGTCCACGCATCTATCTACATCACGCCCCGTGAGCCCAAGCCCAAGGGCTGTTTGCCGATCCCTGCTGCCGAGCAATTTCTTCATATTCTGCTGCGCGGGTATTTGAGCTGTTCAGATTATGGCGAGATCCTCCGATCGGAGCTTGACATTCTGGACACCTGGCCTCTTCCATCGCACCGCCGCACTAAAGCATTCATTAAAAAAAGTCAGTCGGTGGCTTTTGAAAGCCATGTGATTGAAGGACTTACTTCGCCAATGACAAACGTATGACCGTTCTGGCAGTTATAGAAGTGGCCACGATGTGCTGGATAACAATGATGTTAGTCTAATAGTGGTTGTCAGCACAGCTACTTGCAGACGCACAGAATCCAAACGCTTTGACTACATCAGCCATCTCCTGGATCGACAATGGCTGATAACCTCGGTCTGTCATGAGATGTGTCCCAAGCTCCGTATATTCCTGGACGTATCTCTCTGCCTTTCGTCCACAGTTAATTTCAAACCACTTGAGTTCCTCGCCAAGAACCTTCAGCGAATTTGACGGTCGGCTCCGGATGTACGATGTCTCTACGTTCCGCAAGAACTCACGGGCAGCGTTGGCACGCGCGCTTACCATATTCACCAGCTGCTTGCGCTCTCCATCGTCAAGGCGTCCGGTCCTGGCCAGGCTATCTCGTGCCCTCAGAATCATTAGACGGAATTTCTCGAACTCGGAACGAAGGACGTATATGGCCGACCGGGCTGCAAGCCTAGATGCGGACGACCTCTCTGCAACGACGAGAGCCTTTTGCGAATCATTTAGGCAAGAATCATAGATGAATGCTGTAAACGAATTCCAAAGTTCCTTGTGATGCTTGACATCTTTGTCGTCGGAAATTGTAGCAAGGCTTTCAACGCGACTCTGAGAAATTTCTGCCAGCATGAACCTAAGCTCAAGGGAAAGAAGGAACGCCTCCACCTGAAAACGAGTGTCTGCTTTGTGAGGCGGTTGTCCAATCTTCTTATTGACTTCGATCATCGCCAGCGGCTCAGGGGCGTCAGTGGCTCTGGCAGAGTCCACTGCGATCACTGCAAGTTCGAGACGGTACAGAGTAGACAGGGCTGCTTCATAAGCACGGATATGAGGGCCGCGAGTTGTGGCCACAGCAGAGACCTTTCGGTATGCCTTGACGATACCATTAACGACGGCTGTCCAACTACTAGCCTCCTGGGTACCAAACCCATGAGTTGAGATCATTTTTTCTTGCGAAAAGAGGATGTGGGGAAGAGGTTCATCCTCTCGACCGCATTGACTATCGCGAATCTTCGCCAACCGGTCAGAGTTTGTCAGATCCCAAGGGACCACCTGCGGCTTGATTTCCTTTGCTTTAGATTTGAGAGATTGGAGCCTTGACTGTAACATTTGAACCTCAGGGCTCACTTCCTCCAAGGAATGTGACATTGTGCTCGCAACGTTCTGTTCGAGTATGTCGAGATTAGCACGTTTCGTAACACGGCCGTATCGCAAAGCTGAGATTGGCCCGCGACATGTGGGGCATGACGGCGGGGATTGATAGTTGATGGGCGGGGATTTGGTACTTGTGTAGCGACCGACACCGTCCGTCTCGTAGAATTCCGACATTCGGCAGTGTCCGTCAAGAGTTTCAACCGTGAATGTGTGTCCGCAAAGTAGACTGATGAGGCGCTCGCTCGTGTCCGCGGAAGTGGTATCGATATCCGCCAGTGTGCGTTGCATGATGAAATCTACGATATAATTTTTCTGATCATCGGGAAGACAAATGACACACGTCTGTATGTCACAAGGTTCTCCGCAGACTGTATGGTCCAGAAGGAGTGTCAGCGAACGATGATAGCTCGCGTGAGTATGATAAACAGACCAGAAGGACAAGGATGGCCACATGACAACTGATGTGTACATGGCTGGTCGCACGGGAGACGGGAGCATATCTTTACAGCTTTGATGAGAAATATATTTATATATGAAGGGTTGAGGAATGCATACCGAGCCGCAAGAAACCGAGCAGGACATATGAGCACAGGTCCAATCGCATGGTTCCATGCACGGTGGGCAAGGCTGCCAACAGGGCAATGTACAGGCGTGGTGCGAGCAGGTTTGACGACATTGTCCCGCACACATCGAGTTACAGTCGTGATTCTGCGAGCATGCTAATCCACAGTTGTGTTGACAGTAAAGCAGCCGCTCGCAGGGATGCTCAACGTGAGAGGTTCGAGTAATGATACCGACGAAATTATCAGGAAGAGATGGCCTCGTCACTTGTTGACAATCGGAGCACTTCGATCTGCATGACCTCGAACAGCACAACATCGTACCCCCACACAATTCCTGGCAGACAGCTTTGCGAGGATCCTGATGACAGGAAACGGACAAGGAGTGTCCGCATGAAGGTAGCTTTTTGACAACCTTCTGCTCACACTGGACTAAGGTCAAATTCTCGAGCGAGTGACTTTGTGAGGAAAATGTCAAAAAAGGGTCATGCAGGTTGATTGATTGCTTACCATGGAACTCGTTTAGCCGTATGTCCACAAGGTAGAACGACATTATATATAGGAAACTGGCATTTCCCGCAATCCTCCGAGCAACGAAGAGGGCATGGGTGTCTTCGTATACATGGCGTGCGCGTACACGGCTCGTCACATATCATCCCCCGGTGGCCATCAAAATCTGGATGACACTAACACATGATAAACTTAGTTGCAGGTCATCGTGGTAGACAACGCAGTGAAAAGCCTCGACATACCACAGATTGACATATGTGCCCACAGGGAAGGCGAACTTTGCAAGGAAGGAGGCAGCCTCCCTCAGGTGCGACTGTACTCAGCAATTTTGGACTTGCCACGATCTGGGCTTGTTTAGGATGCCGAGGACAGACGATTGGAAATCCCTGTCCAACTTGCTCTCGGTCTTCCATTTCATCAAGGATTTTCCCCCAAGTTTTGTTTTGACGGAGATTGGAGGCATTACCTAGAATGAACAGACCATGTTTTGCTCTTGAGAGGGCGACGTTGATCCGGTTGGAGCTCTGGAAATGAACTAATCAGTTCGTGCGACATCAATTCAGATTGTGGCATACCTTCAGAAACCCGATAGAAGATGAATCTCCCTCGAAAGATCCCGAATTTCTTACCAGAGAAACTATGACGATTTTTGCCTCTTCTCCTTGAAATGTATCCACCGTACCTAGTCGGATCTATGCTCTGGTTAAGTGACCAGGATTGAGCATTGTCTGAAATACTTACATGGTTGGCCACAGACACATTCTCAGACTGTCTCTCGGCATCCTCGCCAGCACCTTGCTTGCGTAGTTGATCCTCGTCTCTTTCGTCAACGGAGACAGTCAACTTGACATCTCGCAATGCAGCTCGAACTTTCTGTAGTTGGCCGAGGTAAGCGCATAGAACGGCTATGTCGCCTTGACCACTATAGGGCCCTTGTTTGAGAAGATACATGACTAGATCGCGAGTCATCTCAACCTGCGTCACCATTAGGTACATCGTAACGCTTCATGAACGTGTTCATACCTCGAACGCATTGAACTTTGATACAGAGTCGGCTTCCCCGTTTTCTTTATACGTATGCGTGAAAAAGAAGACATCCTTCTGCATACCTACCACGGAAGGGTAAGAATGCACGATAGCATTGTCCTCCAAGTTATTATACAAGATAGTCCTACAACATCATTAGCAAGTACAGTGATGGATCCCGCATTGCAAAGTAATGCATACCGTATAAAGTGGGAGATGCTGGGTCTCATTCGCCTCTGCACAAGAATTTGAGACATCGGCATTCCGTTATCGGCAAGCCTCTCCATGAGTGATCGGTCGAATTTGTAGAGTTCTCGACCAGTATCACTATCCATGGACAGCGCTGACGGCCAACAAGATCAGGGTTTGAAATTTTTTTGAAATAATATGATACGAACCATAAGTTGTGAGCGTCGGCCGCAACTGTTGGGGATCACCGATGCAGATTATGTGTTCAACTAACAAGTCTGTGGTTAATATCGTAGCACTGGTGGGCATGAGATAATGTATCATTACCTGAAGGGACAAGCGAGGCGATGATATGCGACTCAAGAACCTGGCCTGCCTCCTCGACCATGAGAACTTTCGGGCGAATTGCCTGGAAATTACGGGGAGTCAACGGGATTCTGGAACTTTATTTCGGTTGCTAACATACCGTAAGTAATGAAATCAGCTTTGCAGCCCCTGTTGTAATATAGGTTCGATATAGAATAATTCGCAGCGCCGTAGCGATTAGAGAAAAAAATACTGGCCTGTCGTTGTACATCCAATCAAGGCTGTTTGGCTGAGCAATTGTTGCCGCACCTATGTAAAGCAAACATCAGCCTGCACTGCAACTAAAATACCAGAGAATGAAACATACTTGGTCTCTCGCGTCATTGTATCTTTTACACGCTTCCCTGTACCGGGCACGCAGCATCTCAAACTCGGAGATGTTGGACTCATAGGCCATCTTACGGATGTCCTCTTCCCACGAGGCCGATAAGCGGTTACGTTCATCTCGTGACATTGACCAGACATTGTCAACATCAACCAGATGATTAGTGAGTCTTCGTGATGACGGGGTGGTAGGAATCAACCCTCCAAAACCTAGTGATTCGAAGAAGGTTAGTCGAGGGTCAGTGATAGGATCAGCTGGTGAGTCTTCTGCCGCAACTTCGTCGGTATGTGCCCGCTTTCTAGACTTGGACTTCTTCCCCTTGGGAGTTTTGGACTGTGTTGGGGGCGGAGGTTGGATAAAATCGAGATCTCCAGCTCGTTTCCAGAAACCATAAGGTCCATTCCGCAATTCAGGATCATTTTCGTCCCTCTGCTTGCGGGATGATGACGCCTCAACTCTTGTCCACTCGCCGTTTGTGGCCTCGTCAGCTCGTATCTGCTCGATCAAATGGGAGATCCAGTAAGGTGGACTTCTCAAAGACTCGGCCTGTTCTGGGTAGTGGATATCAAGAAATTGCTCTAACTTCTCCCACGAGAGGCGGGGGATCTGGATTATCTGGACTATGTTCTGCATATCCTCCTCGATCTCTTTGATGGCAGCATATTCTCGGTGAATAGATCTATCAAGCATAGTTCTGCCCCCCATCTTCTCCAGCTTGCCCAGGTTGTACTCAGCAATACGTTCGTCCGTTGACCGGGATCCCAAACGTACAATGTTGTCGGTAATTTTTGAATCCAAGATCGATGAAATCATGTGGTCCAAAGCATGATTTGTGAATGCAATGAGCACTGGGTAGTCGTTGAATGAACCAAGTTTCAATTATCAGTTGAATTTAACCAACCTATAGGTTTGATTTTAGATGCGAAGAGAACTCGCAATATTTCTTTCCCTGTATAGCTCTGTCCAGAAGGCATGAACGATGCGGAAATAGTCTGTTTCGGTTCAAGGCTCACCTTTCCTGTTCCAGGAGGCCTATCATGGGCGAAATTGAGATGATGTTCGTTATTGAGTATTGTTCGAAACGCACCCTTGGATGAGTGATACCTCTCTGGTCAGGGCATCCACCATAGCTTCAGCTTGAGACGGGTCAAGATCGCTTGCACGACATAGTTCTTGACGGGCTCGCGCAACAGAAATTTGGTCCTGAGCATTCATACTTTGTATATGCTGTCCCGGTCGAGCCAAAGAGGTGAGATCAAATTTGAAACCAGGTACCCTAGCATATCGAGGAAGGTCGACAGGAACATTCTTTAGAGTTGCATCCTGGGCTATGTAGCGAGAGAATGGGATTGAAGTCGGCTCCACGGTCTGGAGAGTCTCCAAGAATGGGCGAATAGATTCAAACATGATATTATTATCGATCAAGAGGCCGAATTTCGATTTTCCTGACGCAAACTTGTCTTGCCGAAGTGCGGCAAGCTCAATCTCTGCGTCAAAGAATGACACATGGAGCTGGATCCGGTCTGTCAAGGCTTTTGCTGACTCGGCTATGTCAGTTCCCATAGAAGTTATCGTGCCGAGATAGATTTGGGAGCTATTCGATGAAACAAGGACCAGCACCACCAAGCTTCCGTTCTTAAGTCGCTGTGAATGTTCCCAATACTCAGCCCGTTTCTTGGAGGAGGGATCCCGGGCAGGCCCAGGTGGGGCATCGACAGAGAGACCGACAGCAAAGTTTCTCCTTTCAGCTTTCGCAGGAGAGAATTGGACGTTCGTGTACATGTGGAAGAAGACCGAGTCATGACCAGAAGTTTTATATGCTCCTCCATTGTTATCGATGACCTTCTCGAGATTGGTCGGCTTTCGCTTTTGACGGGGTGATGTCCACATTTTCTCAAGGTCCATATGCAAAACAGAGATCGATTGTCGAATAGTATGACTGCAGAGGGTTTGATTAGCATCATACATTCGTGACTCGCAGTCTACAAGTAGCTCACATCAGTTCCTGACGCAGCAACCGGAACTGGATGTCAAGATGCCTCTCCATAGAATTTGCAGGTAAATGGTGGGGAGCTCCCGGAACGAACTTGGGGAGATAAGGCTCGATTGGGGACATGAGCTCTTTGTGTGTAGGGGCAATGCGAATCTTGGCAATATCGGAGAAATCGTTATCGTGACGGACCTGACCACCCTCACGCAGCTCTCCGGGAGGATCGTACGTCTGCCTCAGCCTCGCTATCAAGGCCTCTCGCCGCTGTGCGGCAGACACAGTAGTAGATCGGGCACCGGGCCTGCGTGATTGATCCGCACGTCCTGACTCTCTAAGAACGATCGCCCTAAGACGATGCACATCATCACGGAGCTGGCCAATAGTAAGGATCTTCACATTCTTCGAGGATGATATGATGGGATCTGCGAAACGTGGCGTAGAACTCGAAACAGCGGTAGACCATGTGTCGAACCAAGTCGTGATGTCCTTGACCAAAGACGATATTTGTGGGTGATTTTGAATCGCGCTTTTGAATCGAGAAAAGTACCTACGAACACGTTAATCAGGTGAATGAGATCACATCTGACGAACTTACTGAGATAATACGATTGACAAAGTTTTAAATACCATGACTCCGTCCAGTGTCCCCTTACGTGCAGCCGAGAGGCCGGGTGTGGGGTCTGCCCAGCTCATGGCTTGCATCATGTCCCCAATGCATGTATGTAAATTTGCGTGTATGACATCGTAGTTGTTTTCGATGAGAGTGTAAAGGGCACTGCACTACGTCAATATACTTCGCATCGGATGTGCGAACCTGATACTTACTTGATATTGTGATGAACAGTGCTCCTTAGTACGAGATCCGAAGCGAGATACTAGTTGGGCCAAGGATATTAATACATATATTGCAACATATAATGCAAGAGCATGCCTGAAGAATGGGAAAATACGCGTTCTGAAAGGACAAGACAGAGGAACCCACGCCTGCACGGATAGAGACCGGTTCCCAACGGAGGGCATCTCCAATCCGAAAGAGAGCATTTCCCTGCATTCATAGCGTGAGCACAGAACGAGGGCCATATCTAGCCTGAGATGCTCACGTTGACGATGCTATCAAGAAAAGACTACAAACATAGCGAATCAGTGAACATCCACATCGGACAAAATTTGACATACCTGGGCAGTATCAGCATTCTGTAGAGTCATTCAGATCAAGATGCTAGTACAACTATAGACAAGACGTACCCAGTGTTTGTTACGTGCATCGACACTGGCGAAAATCCGTGCAAATCCTTCCACTTGTAACGGCCTCAAGAATACGAAGTTATTGGGAGTGAACTGCTTGAGATGGTTATGAGCCTCGCTCGGTTTTAAAGTATGCTGCTCATTCCTGACAGATCCGTTGTTGAAAGCGAGGCCTTCTGTGGAGAAGAAATCAGGCGCTTGATCGATGTCATCAGATGGCGCTACGATAGCGCTGGCCTCCACGACATTTGTGTTTGGCTGATGACGGAACGTGCACTCGAAACCACGATTGCATGCACCTGTCGACCAGTAAAAGTTGCATATGCCATTTGGAGCACGCGGCATATTCTGGCGGTGGGCGTGCATGTTTGCTGGACTGTTGTCAGTGGACCGCGAGGAATTATGGTCGTCCGGACCCGAGGTTCCTCGTGACATGCCTCGCTTTGACGAACGAGGCCGTCCGCGATATACATAGTTATTGTCGCTGTTTCTATGAGACATTGAAGTAGAGTTGAGCGAGGTGGTGGCGGTGGTTTCGAAAGAAGAGGCGGCGATATGTGATTTGGACAGGAAGGCGTAAGATCCCAAACAGCGACTCGTGTGTCTAGCGTTCTCTGACGTGAACGAAGGAAGCTTGCACCCATAAATAGAGAGACAGCGCTTACCCCGCTTATCTTCCGTATCTTTGCACCATCTAGAGCATACAGAACGACTGCGCAGCAATCTATCCGTGCGCAGTCATGCATTGTGCTGTTTGAGGTTCTGCGGTAGATTCAGCTGAATGTGCTAGCGCACGCCGTACTACGGCCGGTGTCCTTGATATGGAGATGCGGACGGAAGGCTTACACAGCGGGCAAAGTATCGTGTGTTCAGCTCGAAAGTAGTGGAACATGGTGATTACTTGGTGATTACATGGCCAACTTTCCTTTTTTTTTGGGTAGGTTGGCCGTGTAATCACCCTTTACCGGTTGATTCCATGCTGAACACATCGAACTTTGCCCACGGCGTTACATACTGTATCTGTGTCGAAGTCAGCCAACAACCCGTGGGAAAACGATTTCTTCCAGGCGTCGCTGAACTTCGCTGAGTTTAGTTTGGACGACCCGCCATCTCGAAATGCAGCGACATCTCGCATTCTGGTTTGACGACGGCTCGTTGCTTGTCCCCACTTCCTCTTACATTTGCAAAATTCATGAGCCACTCCTCACACGCCATTCTCCAACCTGCTCCTCATGGATCGTCGTTGCTTCCAGCTCACAGTTCAGCCATCTCTCTAATCATGCCGAATTGTCTATTCCGGTTCTCAACATACCACACGATGCCGGCGTGACACCAGAGGACTTTGAGGTCCTCTTAGAACATCTTTATCACGACACGTGAGTGCATAAAGCGTGTGAGCTCCGACGACATCATCCTCATCTAGGTAGTCCCTCAGCCCTCTCAATCACTCGACCCAATACTCCCGCCTTGCTTCTCTTCTGCGGATATCTTCTCCGAAGCAACTACATATCCCATCGTTGTACTCACAAGTGTGCGCATACCTTGCCTTGATGTTCCCTGGTGGATATGCACCTTTCGCACTTCGACATCCTCAAGAACATCTCATGCAGGCGCTGGAGCTTGCCATGGAATTAGCTATCGATGTAGAGGTGCGTGTCTGCACCTCGTCACTCCCTCCTCATTACTGACGCAGCTGCCCAAGACAAAAAAAGCGATCCTCTACAGCGTAGCAGCGACGACCGACTTCGATCCCACCGGCGCGCACGATCCGGCAGGCCTACAGCTATCCGATCCCACGAAAATCTCGTCCACAGAACCCCATCTCTCCCTCCGGACGCTCCGGATTTGTCATCACCTCCTCTCATCCATTATCTCCGACTTCACACCACTTCTCTTCACTGTCGGCTCCACATCCCATATGGAATGCACTGATGTCCTCGCAGATCGATGGATGTCTGTCGTCATATCTCCCGCACTTGCTGATGGTGGGGTCGGGAAGCCTCTGGAGACGTTGTACAGGATGTCCGAGTGGAATTGGAAGGAAGAGGGGATCTGTGATAGCTGCATTCAGGGCAAGAAAGATGAGTGGGAGATAGAAGCGCGGGCCGTTTGGGAAAAAATGGACGGATGGATCGCTGCGGCCGAGAACGAATTTACTTCCGGCGCAGCTTGAGGGTTGCATTAGGCGAGGTCCAGCATCATATGAAGACGCTCAACTCCTCTTTGTGTTGAATTTTCATTAACAACATCACAAGGTTCTTTCCTTTGTAACATCGAGTAGCCTATTTAAATGACTGAACTTATAGATTCCGAGCTCTGTGTCCATGCCGATGCTGTTATGTACCGTCCGTGAGTTCCTGAGACCTCTTGCATCTTTGACATGTTGACCTTGAAGTTATTTTGTTCCTCTACAGTCCAAAAGAATGACTCTTAGGCAAATCCTGAGATTGGTCTTACCGGCGTCGAGTATACAAACAATGCATGAGAACAACTCACAATATCTTTCTTGCAGCGTCAATCGACAAAAGCAACTCGAAAGCTTTGTCAACTTCTACATCTTCACGTAATGGCAGGTGAGTGTTCATCGTCAAGCTCATGTTTATGCGACCAGGTGGACTCACCATTGACAATTCCTTTCTTTCATACATCTAGACCCTACATCATCGTCTCCTAAAGGAGATATATCTCACCCCTCTCGTTACTTACTTCCTAGCAGGCACAAGAGTCATAGAGCATCTATATGTGCCTGACATCCTGACGTCGTCTGTGAGAAAAAACATGATTTCCTTTGGACTGTCTGTTCTTCTGTCTGTCATCTTGCTTAGCCATGAACGCCGCTTTCTTATGTTCTTACCACCATAGGAACCCTTCCCGGCTTTTCAAGCTCCAGGCTCAAATTCTGCATGCGTAGTCCACGGCTTCGCTGAATTCCGCATTCTGCTTTAAAGCGTTCAATCTCAACTCGCGTCTCCGTCTGATTCACGATATCCTTCCCCATTCTCCCTCCGTGCACCAGACCAGAATTAATCTAATTATATTACCTCTGCGATCAACAATCATGGAGGCAGACAAACACATCCACGATGTCCTCATTGTCGGTGCTGGTAGGTCAAATAATCCCAATATGCGACAGCTGCGGGTGGCCTTATGGGTTCTATACAGGACCGTCTGGGCTCATGACGTCCGTGGTACTCTGCAGGATGGGAATCAGCCCCTTTGTCGTCGATTCCGGCGGTCGTGCTGACCCAGAGTGGGGCAGAGCAGACGTTCTCCACAGCAGGTAAACATCCTGCGCTTAATCTTCATTCGATATCTAGCCCTAAATTTTTGTCCTAAGAACTTTGGAAGTTATGGAAGTATGCGACGATATCATCTAATGATTTATGGCATATAGCTGATCCTTTCGCATGTCTTCTAGAGTCTCGGTGAACCGTTCGAACAGATCATGAAGATGTCCCGCCCTCTCAACAACCACACGTTCTGGGTGTCGGATAACGGGGCCGTGAAACGCACCATCAACGCCCCATTCTACTTCAAATCCATCGATTTTAATGTACCACAGCCGCAGGCCCTGCGTCAGGGGCTCTTGCAGGAAGTACTCCTGCGTGACGCGGAGAAGCATGACCCTGCGTTCCACGTTCATTGGGGGCGTAAGTTCGTGGACATGCGTTATCAGGCTGATGGGAAAGTGTTGGAGGTTACCCTGCAGGACGTGGAGACTGGGAAGATAAATGTTGTCTTGGCGAGATATGTTATCGGTGCAGATGGAGCAAAGTCCGCCGTTCGAGCTTGGGCTGGTAAGTTCGGCGTCCAGATGGAGGAGCACCCTACGCCGGATGTATACTGGGTTCAGGACGTGGTTGGCATCAGGTCAAATTTCCCCGATCTCGAACGTTTTTCGTACGTCAGTTATCTTGATCATTGAACTTATGCTAAATCTACGATCATCAGGGTCATAGGTAGTAATGATGGTATTGCAGTCAACATCCCACGTGAACCTATCAAAAACCAGAGGGCGACCCGATTTGCCCTGCAGTTGCGCAATGCCACTCGAGAAAGATCCAACCACAAATTTGCTACAACCCTCAATAGAATTCTTGCGCCATTCACGGTTGAGTGGGACGAAGTTGTCTGGACCACTAACTATCGAGGTGCGCATTGCTTCTTCTCACAAACGACTCAACTCATCTGATCCTGGTGCATATCAGTTACCCAACGTCTGATCAATGAGTTTGTTGTGGACGACAGGGTTTTCTTCCTTGGCGATGCTTGTCATACTCATAGTCCTCGCGGTAAGCTCCTGTTATTTTCGATTCCCAGTGTGAACCTCGATTACTGACTCGTGTTGCGCAGGTGGATTAGGGGCGAACACCTCCATCTTAGAAGGGCATAATCTTGGGTGGAAAATCGCGCTGGTTCTTAAGGGCATCGCACAGCCGAATATCCTCTCGACGTATGCTACTGAGCGATATGCTGTGGCGTATGACCTCATAGATATGGACCGTCAGCTTGTCAAGGCCACGGCTGAACTTAGTGACCCGCGATTGTCTCTGGACGATGATTTCGCAGACTCAGCTGCCGCTCGAAACAAGCGAATGCAAGACCTCCAAATTCTCAATAGCAATGTATGCCTATCTATTCTCCCACACCTGCCCTAGCTAGCATCGACTCATTTGCACTTGGCTTTAGTATCAATCGGGTACCTCGATCATATATTCTCCTAATTTGCTCGTCGCCAAATCGCCCAAGCAAGTTGAAACGTTCAACCCTGATGCTCCGGGAACGCCTATTGGAGGGCGCACCCGCCCCGCATTGATGAGACGCTTCTCTGACGCTTCACTCGTTCCGGTCCATACCCGCTTCGATGGGCGCTTTACGATCTACCTTCTCGTTGGTGACCTCGAGCGCCAAGGGGTGGTTGATGCCTTACTTATCCTCGACGACTATATCACCTCTTCTGGATCCATATTCACCCGCTATGCACATGATACGCGCATGGAGGAAATTTCTGTAAATTTACGCATGCCTTCGACGGACTCGACCACAATGGCCGCTGCAGACGCCCCTGACACTCGACAATTCTATACGTACGAAAACGACGACATGCCTCAGATTGATGGCGGCTACGGCACACGTTCCCACCCAGTTTTTCGATCGATGATCATAACCACAACGAGTGATACTCGGGCCTTCCAGCTGGATTCATTGATGAAAAGGGCATCGCCGCTCGACATCTCGACGTCTCGCCTCTTACATCCCTCGCGATTTTTCTCTGATGATTGCCCTGCGCTGTCACCGTTTGCGGAGGGCGTCTTGCAGCATCCCGTGCATGCGAAGTGGGGCGTTGATCAAAGAGTTGGAGCCACCGTGATCGTCCGTCCTGACGGCCACGTCGGTGCCTATATCGAAGGATACGGAATTGGCGCTTGGAAGGATGTGGAGAAGTATTTCGCACAATGTCTTATTTAGCCATGCCTTGCAGACCAAGGTATCAGAAATGTTAAGCCCTAGGCAAAAACACAAAGATGCGCGTAGAATCTTAGAGATGATCAAGACCGAATGCATGGTCGTAGTCGGTCGACTTTGGGCCACAAAAAACCTGTCGCGACATTTGTTGGAATTTCTAGACGATGACGGCGGGAGTTGCTCATGATAGCTGACATACTCAACCAACTTCTCCAGTCATATAGAGTTGATTCTTTGACAGAACCTGATATCCGACATGGAAGGCGAACTTTCATCCACCTGTTGAAGCGCATTGCCGATCGAGGACGGACGAACGAATGCGATGGCGGCGTCCGTTTTGGGAAACTACTGTTAGGAGTCGACGGCGTCCATATTTAGGTTTAGGAGTTCAGCTCCATTTGCCTCCTCACAGCTCCTCACCTCCTCCCTCGTCCTTCTGACATCCCAACAGTTGCCTTTCCTCAACACTCGAGTAACATACTCGCGAGATGCCTAACGATATTCAAATCAGTTGAACTCCAACTAGTTCATCCATGGGCATATCGCTCGTCCAGGCAGAGCTTCTTGCACTCTTCCTGGAGACATTCGTCTATGGTATGTCCTTTCGACTGGTCGCCTCAACGTCGCCTCTCACTGTTGTGAAAGGCATATTCTTTACTTTATCTTTGATTACCTTTACCATCCTCTCATCTGCTCGCCTTGGCCGTACCCACTCCCGCACAATCATCTTGCCCACCGCCTTCTTCATGCTCGCTCTCGCGACCGCCGTCAGTGCTTGCTCAATCTATCGTATATTATGCCTTGCAAACGACTGACTTTATTCCTTCGCATCATGCAGCACCTCATCATTGACTACATACGTGCTGCGCATGCCTTCATCGTCCTTGGTGCACCCTCAGGTGCAGCAAGCGAGTTCTTCAGCGACATTTCTGAAGGAACATTCTTGGCGAAATCACTTTTATATCTTTTTCAAACTTTAGCAGGCGACAGCATCATCGTACGTTCTCTCATACGATTTCCACGTGCTCCATAACTGTTCTGTGACCGTGGACGTCGCCGTCGTTTCATCATCTAACGATAAGCCAGTAACCCCTGTTAATGATTGCTCCTGTAGATCTGGCGCTGCTATATAGTGACAAACAGCCAACCGCTCCTCATCGTATTTCCGCTGATAGCTCTAATTGGGGACATCGGTATGTACTCGTTGTCTACTGCTCGGATCTATTTCATGCTAACAGATGAAAAGTCTCTGGATTCGTCATCATTGCGCGCATAGCACAAGCTCCGAGCGATGCACTCATATTCACGATACTGCGTAAAAGTTACACGGCGTACACAAGCATGACCGTTGCAATTACGGTATATTGCACAGGTGAGTCACGCGTATAATGATCTGCAAATATGCAGCCGACGTTGTTCTATCCAGCCGCAATTTGCTGGCGCATATATCAACCGAGTAGGGACTCGCGCAAGCTTCGCCCTGTGTTGGTGGCGATCATTGAAAGCGGCGCTCTTTACACTGTGACCGTGCTCACTTCACTCGTACTTTTCTTGACCACGTCATATGCTCAATTCGCAATCCTTGATCTGCTTATGCCCCTTGTCGTGAGTCGTTTCGTGTTCCTCCTATCAGCATTCGGCTCACTCGGCAAGTGGTGATAGGGCGTAGTCTATTGTTTGATTATTCTTCAGATACGCTACCAGACATATCATTTAGATAACGCTACGAATACATCCGAATTACGGTGCAATCATCATAATGGAGCCGGACGGCGGCGTATGTACTCGTCGATCCGGTTCTGGCATCAGACGGATAGGAGAGACGGGAACGGTGACGAGTGGAATGTGACTGAAGACGAAGAATCGCGAAGAAGCGTTGAGGCGGACGTCAATTTGGGAGGGAGGAAGAGACGGGAAGAAGATGAAGAAGCAACAGGGACGAGCGAAAGTAGACCCGAGAACTTAATAATGGAGGAACGGCGACAAGGAGCAGGGTCAGCGTAAGAACGGTATTGGACCTGCAGCTATGAGCTTTTGTCGCATTCATTCAGCATGAATTAAGATTTTCATGTTCTTGATGCACGTACACTTCACTTTTCGCCCAAAGCAATTAATGACCTACACAGTTGGGGCATATGAGTCTCAACGAATTCAGATAAATCACGACAAGGTATTCAGGTGGACTTCGCGCGATGTCGATGGTGGATGCGACACCTAAAGAAACGGCATAGGGCTACAGTCTCGCAGTATATTTATGATTACGAAGGAACAAACCCAGAGCAGGAACAGAGCACATATCACACCTCGTGGCTCAAGCACTCGATAGCAACCTGATGGTCTTCTGGAATTGGTTACACAGGGCCAAGACGTCCAGTAAGTACATGAGACGAGATGTACGACACGACAATGAAAAAAGGCCTCGAAAACAAGACCGACTAATCCCTGCGCGACACGCGACGGCGTCATTCACGGGTAGATGAAAAGATCGGAGCCATTTCCAAGATGACACGGTAGAATATCATGAGGAAGGGCTGTTGTACTTGGTAAGGTAAATAGGACAAATAGTCTCTGTTGTCGCATCTGTGAATAGATGGACATCGTCATGCACGTTGAAGTTGAGCAAAGGGCCAGATTTCCCTCGTGCATTGTTAATAATAAGGTCGCAGAGCGTCTGATCCTAGAAAATAAACTTGGCGCCACAGGTTTCGGGTGTGGCAAGTTCGAATTCACCCGTGGGATGATCAAGTCCTCCTGGATTGCCGTGACCCAGATTGATCCAGAATGGTCTAACGAGTACGCGTCTTGTTTCACATCAAATTGTCCACGCTGACAGAGCACAATTCGGGGAACCGCTCACCCTCGTCGTCAAGAGTAGAGGATAGAGTAGCCTTTGAGAATCGCCGCGTTTCTTCGCCTTCTTCTGTGTTTCGCTAAGCAAACTCTCCACACCCTATCAGCCATCCGCACCAAACAACACGACGTCGATACAGCTTACTTGAGCTCATCAGTCCTGGCAACTTCACGAGCCCTTGCCTCCTCATGCTACTGCTTACTCTGCTGAAAGTTTAGCCGTATACGACCAATTCTGAAAATCTTTGAAGGTTCTTTCATGGAGTCATTCTGCCTAAGGAAGTGTTGGAGGGCTGAGCTTTTTCAGTCCCGTAAAGGGACTGCTGCGTACATGGCTCGTAATCCTCACGGGATTGGTCTCGCTGTTTCGCGAGACCATCTTGGCGATGGGGTTCAGCTTTGCTCGTAGACATGCGAAAAGTGGAAGGGAAGTAAGAACGGGAAGTGATGCGGTGACAAAGCGACTAGAGCTCCGAATGAAGTCTGTTCGAGAGAATTACTCCCGTGAGCTGTGTCGGAAGTGATCTCCCCAGCAGAGTGACAGATAATCGATGATGAATCGACGAGGTGGGTCTCTCCTATGTACGTGGTGCAAGGGGTGATGTTCTAAACCGACCTTATTCCAAAAGACCGCATATATCCTATTAGCAGCAAGTTGATGTGTGTCCGCTAAGGACTCGCACGATAGAACAAGCCATTAGGACAACTCAGAGAAAGATGCAGCACTTACAAGAATAGAATGAGATACTTGAACAGGGTGTGAAAGGTTTTGCAGCGATGCGTCGTGCGATACCGAGAGGTAAGAAGGCAAGCAGGAGAAATAAGGAGTATCAAGGCAGAAGGAGAAAGGAGAGTGGAGCTTGGAGCTTGGAAGGCCAACGGCTCTGCCTGCGGTTTCCCTGGGAAAGATCTTGACAAGTCGTTTAGGAATTAATAAGCATTTTTCTAAGGGTTTATCAATGGCATTTGTGAGTAAAAGACGTCTGAATCTTTCCACTCTGGCTTAGTTAAGTTGCTGATTGATGCTCAAAGAAAAAAGTATGATCTGGAATGGGGAAGTGGAGGAAGGGTCGGTGATACCCCAAATTTTGCCCTATCTTGTGCATTCATCGGGGTCTTAGCCAACCTAGACTTATAGATGTCATCGGTAAACCCCTTAGAAATATATTTATCTATTTCTAAATGACTCATCATGATCTTTCCCGGGAAACCGCAGGCCCTGCAGCTCCCTGCAGGCAGTGCAAAAATGGACATGTTGAGAGTCCATGACAGTATCATTGATAATGTCGTAGGCGCCGCGGTGACCAACCGTTGGTCCCAGGAATATTCGGACAGTGAACTCTAGTTCTCCCATGAACATATCGCTCGACAAGGCAGAGCTTCTTGCACTCTTTCTGGAGACATTCGTCTACGGTATGTCCTTCCGACTGGTCGCATCAACGTCGCCTCTCACGGCCATCAAAGGCATATTCTTTACTTTATTCTTAATCACCTGTAGCATTCTCTCATCTGTCCGCCATGGCAACACCTACTCCCGCACAATCATCTTGCCCACCGCCTGCTTCATGCTCGCTCTCGCGACCGCCGTCAGTGCTTGCTCAATCTATCGTATATTATCCTCGGTGCACCCTCAGGGGCAGCAAGCGAGTTCTTCGGTAATACTTCTGAGGGCTCATTCTTGGCAAAATCGCTACTGTATCTTTTCCAAACATTGGCAGGTGACAGTATCATAGTACGTGCTCTCGTATGATTTCTGCGTACTCCACGAGGCATCCTGTGATCGTGGATTCAATCATCGTTCCATCGTCTACTGATAAGCCAGTGGAACTTTTTTTAATGACTTTACCCTTGAGATCTGGCGCTGCTATATAGTGACAAACAGCCAACCGCTCCTCATTGTCTTTCCGCTGATTGCCTTGACTGGTGACATCGGTACGCACCCATCATGTACCCATCGGATGAATTCCATGGCCGACTGACGAAAAGGCTTTAGTTTTATTATCATCGCGCGCATAGCACAAGCTCCTGAAGATGCGTTTATCCTCTCAATAGTGCCTAAGACTTATGCGGCATATACGATCACGACCGTCGCGATTACAGTATATTGTACAGGTGAGTTGCGCGCATGACCCCTCGTGAACACGCAGCCGATGTCTCCCAATCAGCCGCAATTTCTTGGCGAATATATGCACCAAGTAAGGAGTTGCACGGGCTACGTCCTATGCTAGCAGCGATCGTCGAAAGTGGTGCTCTTTACACTATGACCGTGCTCACCTCACTCGCTCTTCTCTTGACCACGTCCTACGCTCAAATCGCAGTCCTCGATATGCTGATGCCCCTTGTCGCGGGTCGTTTAGTGTTCCTTGCTTTCCACATTCCGCTCATCCGGAGGGCATAGGGCGTGGTCTATTGTTCGATCGTTATTCAGATACGTTACCAGACATATCATTTGGATAACGCTACAGATACGAACGGAGACAGGCGGCGGCGTATGCATTCATCTATCTGGTTCCAGCATCAGACAGACAGAGGGGACGGGAGCGGGATCGAGTGGGATGTGACTGAAGACGAAGAATGGGGAAGAAGCATACACAATAATGGAGAAGCGGCAATGAGGAGCAGGGTCGGTGTCAGGCCAGCATAAGACCTGCAGCTATAATATCCTAAACCTCCCCTTTAAGTTTGATGTTTATCCTTGCAGCACCCACGTCCTACACTATTCGAAACATCATGAACTTTATTGAGCCATAACCAATGTTCTTGGTGGATATCGACGAGATCCAGCTGAACTTTGATGTCGATGGATGCGACACCTGACGCGGACGAATCGGTAGAGGATATACGCATAGTTTTACGAGATATATTCCATTACTAAGGAACAAACAAGGAGCAGCAATAGTACACGTCCACACGTCGTAGTTTACTATAAAGTATTCATGGACTCCCTTCCAATTCATCATATTGTTTTACTGAATGAGATGGATGACGCACGAGGGTTGTTAGTTTTGACCCCAATAGCATTGTCAGAGGGACCTGTGGAAAACTTGATTTCTCGTGAGTATCTCGATATTCTTGAAAGCCCAAGTTCGCGCACATGAGCCATTCTATCATGAAGAAAGTCGAGAGGCCAATAAGCATGAAGAGTAACCATCGTTCAAGTCGTGCAACCTGTTTTCAGTTTTCACGCATGATTACGAACCTGTATTCGACATTTTTGCTCGCGAGATGTAATACGACAAAGAGGAGAAGACCGACCGTACGAAATACAGAAGGGCCTGAAGATGGAACAATGGAAAAAAGAAGCACCAACCACTACCTTCGCCTGACACAAGCTCAGCGGCCAGCTTGTCGTGGCACGCAAGTATAACGGTGATGAGTAGAGCGAAAGGTTCTGCGATGAGAGCACAGATGGAAGGACGGACTGATGAGCCTCGCGTTGTCCTACACCAACACCGAACCTCTGCCTCGTCGTCAACCCGAAATGTCGAGCTGACATTAGCGTCGAGACAGTTATCCAAGGAAATTCGCCGAGGGCTAGAGAAAATCTTCGGCCCTAGCCCGCTTCTTCCCTCTCGACTCCTCCTGCGCATATGATCCTTGCGCGGCATCAGTCTTCGATTCAGAAGTAGATGAAAGCTGGCCCTTAGCGAAATAGTATTTGGGATGAATGGCGCGGACCTCGTCCTATGCACAAGTGAGATTGGATTAGATTGAGTATTTTGCGACCGAGAGCAGAACCTACCGGAGAGAAATTGGGCTCCGGGTATTTGAGGAAAGTCTTCTTCTTCAGATCAGGATTTGTTTGAGCCAACGAAGGATTGGGCAGCGTTAGTTTTGGCGGAACAATGGGTGGCGAGGACCTATGAGCGCCGGACGGAGCAGGAGAAATACCAGAGCCCGGTACTGGAGCGACAAATGGGGGATTGGGAGTGACAGAGGCCGATGGAGGCATCGGTGTGGCACCCGAAATAGGCGGGGTTGCCATGTTCGGAGGTTGGAATGGCGGAGAAGCGCCAGGTGCAAATGGCGGGAACCCTGGGGGCGGAAGACGCATGCCTGGCGGGGGAGGGAATCCACCTGGCGGCATCATGCCCATAGGATGTGCACCCGGGAATCCTGCTGGAGGGAGAAAAGGTGGCGCGCTGATCAAGAGATGAAAATTGGATAATGGGCATGAGAGAAGCAAGGATAACTTACCCAGGAGGCATACCAGGCACAGGAGGGAAAGGAGGGAACGGCATCTGTCCTGGAGGGACACCCGGAGGCATTGGCATTCCAGGGAAGAAGGGTGGCGCACCTGGAGGCATTGACGGGGGCATGGGAGGGAGGGATATGGGCGACGGGGCAGGAGGAGCAGCATACGCCTGTGGAGGAGCACCGTATACCGCGCCCTGATTTTCCGAAGCGGATGCTACCGACGGAGCCTCATTCGCCCCCATAAGCGCCTTATGGGCTTCAAGCTGTGCTTTGAGCTCGTCTTCAGAGAGCGGACGGTTTTCAGTCTTGGGTCGCTTTGCTTGAGGTTGACTGATAGATCCAGCACTCAAACCCAACTCGATTTCCTTACGACGCTTGTAATCCGCCACGTCAGGAGCAGGGATGCCCTCCATCCCAAAAATCTCAACCTCATATCCATCTCGGCCCGGAAGCGCGTTTTCTATGCGGGGTAGACTAAAGCAGAATTAGACGCAGAAACCAGCGACAAGGCACGTACGCACTTCTCAGGCTCAAGTTTATGAACTTGCTGGATATGGACGGCGAGACCTCCGGCCGTGTTCAAGCGACGAGGACACATATTGCACTTGAAATGTTTTGCCTTTTGATGCTGCATGAGAACTAGAAGTCGCGTATAAGTATGAATACGAGATGAAAGCACGCAGACTGTCACCTTTCTCATCTTCAAATTCTCGTTCACAGTACCAACACCAAGGACGCAGAATCTATGCGATCATGTAGTTGTATAATACTGTGAGAATCGTGTGGCCACTGACCTGCTTGTTCTTCTTTTTGGCCATGATGTTGTAGTTTGGTGACAGAGACGTTCGGGAGAAGTCGTTGTTGGGGCAAAGTTTGAACGGCGCAGCATTGTGCAGTCTAGTATTCAATCGGAGCTTCAATTCTTTGATCGAAGGAGGCGCGTATCCGGGGTCCAATGTGTGGGCGAAGCCTTCGGACACCCGAATAGAGCGCGGTTGCAGTCTTGTGGCAACTCCGTGGCACCACCCCAACCAAGTACAAACGTCTTCATTCATGGTGCGTTTTCTGACGTGACTATCCCCTGAACTGCCTGCATCGAGGCCACCTCGTCTACGGAGATGATCGGTAAAAGCTTTTCAGAACTTGTTTTCATCAGACTTGCGATCGCTTGCATTCGCCTTGTGACTCCCTTGAGCATCGCTTACCTTGCGGCCGACTGCTATGTTGGCAGGATCCTCGTATCCCCCGTCCTCGCACTATATGCCCTCGCAGAGGCCCTGTTCTACTCCGCTGTCTTTTTCCCCAGGCGCATACGGATGCAAAAGGTGCGTAGTCCAGAAGTGCCTCTTCCACATCTATCCCTCATATCTTTCGCAGGCAGCTGCACACCCTCCGCGCATGTCGCGTACGGAGAGGAAAGAATTATTTGATAAATGTGCCCAAATGATGACAGCACAGTCGACAGAAGGCTGGTTCTCTCAATCATCTCTTTCTCGAATACAGCAAGGGAATGTTATCGAATGGCTCCTCTGGGCCTTGTTCTCGACTGATGCTGGTCATAACCTCGGAGAATGGGAGGAGGAGCTGAACTCGTATATATCCGTCTTCACGACCATTATTGGATATCCTCTCGATACCGGGAGCAATGGTGAGCTAAAGACCATGAGACTTACGCTGGACCCTGTGGTTATGATCCACCGGCCACTCATATGGTATACGGTACGTGTTCTTGACTCGGAATGGAAGTCTGTGCTCACCACGGCATCAGATTGTTGCTTTGGTCGATACAATCACGTCTGTTTCTTTATACAGCCGCGGGTTCAATCACTTCAATACCCAGACATGGTTGCACGTATTCCCACCTCGACCTTTCCTCTCACTGATTTCGAACACATCGACAAAACCTGATATACCATATTGGTATCGACCCCATCGCTCGTCCAGTAAGCTGCCTATCCTCTTCATACACGGCATTGGAGTAAGTCACATTTTTTCACGCCGCTCACAGATCTGACTTGCTTTGTAGATCGGGGTTTGGCCATATCTGTCTTTCTTTTCGGATGTCATAAAACAAGACCCCGACGTTGGGATTCTTGTGCTTGAAATCCTTCCCATCAGCATGCGAATAACGTCGCCTCCGCTAGATCGGGAAGCGATGTGTTCTGCCATTCAGCAGATTCTCGATACCCACTCACTACCCCGCGTTGTTGTCGTTTCGCACTCATACGGCACAGTCATCACTGCGCATCTTTTTAGATTTCAAGAACTTTCCTCACGCATTGCTGCGACCCTGTTCGTCGACCCGATACCCTTTCTCCTTCACCATCCGTCAGTCGCGTACAATTTCGTCTACCGCGCCCCTCGAGATGCAAACGAATGGCAGCTTTGGTTCTTCGCAAGTCGCGATCCCGACATTGCGCGCGCGCTATCAAGGCACTTTTTCTGGTTTGAGAGCGTTCTGTGGAAGGAGGAATTGGAAGGGAAGCGGGTTGTCGTGTCGTTAGCGGAAAAGGACCAAATTGTAGATGCTGGAGCAGTGAGAAAGTATCTGACTGGGGAAGACGCAATCCATACAAGGTGGAAGAAGGATGGCCTGGAGGTGCTGTTCCACCATGATTTAGATCATGCGTCCGTTTTCGACGCCAAGGATAGGTGGACGACCCTAGTGGAAGTCTTACACGGGCTCGTGAGGGAGTAGCAGACTGTATTGAATTTGGTTTGCGATTGTCTGACGACTTGTTCCAGCTTTAGTATATGTTTACAGGAACCACTATCTAATACCAGTCAATCCGTGGTTTATATTGTGATCCACTCTGGAAGCCGTCAAACTTAGAAAACAATCATTTGAAGAGTAATGAATTAGGTGAAGCAGAACACCGATTACTGAGATAAGTTCAATAGGCTAAGCTTACACCCTTCCCCGCCCATGTCGCCCATTCCTCTCCAAGCACTCTTTCTGCGATAAAATGCGCCACGTCCTGTCTGCTCACATTGTATCCCCCAGTGACCGCTAGATCGTCGTCCGACCTGACCCTGTACCCTCCCTTTAGCCCCTCAGCTCTGCATTCCCCGTCCGTTAATAGTGCAGGCCGCACAATGACAACGTTGTTCGCGAGCACACCCTTCGGTGGTAATCCTGCTATCTGCTCCCAATCAGGTGGAAGTATAGTTTCCTTCGGCCCCTTAGTGCCCATACAGTGCGCGAGCACGCGCTCTGCACCACGCTTGTCTTTGTGGGGCGGGCCAAGGAGGAGGGTGTACATGGAGCGGAGCGCGAAGGGCATGGAAGCGTGTGCAGCGGGCGTCAGGCCGACAGATGTGACAGCTACAATGCGCGGATATGAATGCTCCGGGGGAATCGTGGACAGCGCGTTCAAGGCCGAGCGGGAACACAGATCTGGTGGATTTATGACGAACCCACGTAGGGGATGAAAGGAAGGCACCCCTCCTGTCCAACGCTCCAGTTAGCCCCGTAGTTGGTGAGATAATAGGAGAACACGATTCTTGCCGACTGTGAAGAGCAGGACATCGACCCCTCCTTCTGACGATGACCCATCAGCTCCTTCCCGCTTGCCCGCCACTGCCCATCCATGCTGCACCTGATCCTTGTTCAGCGCATCCCCCTTCACTAACCTGACCTTTCCTTTTGCCAAATACTCCTGTATCACTTCATCTGCATCGAACACTTCTGTCCGACGCAGCAGGAAAGTCACTGTTGCGCCCTTCTCTGAAGCACATAGATCATGGCGTGCCAATTTAGTGGTCACCAATCATACTGTGATAATCGTAAAAGATGACATACTGAGTAGACGCACACTGGCGTGATACCCAATGTTGCACGAGCCCCCGATCGTAAATACATTCATGATGGAGACGAAAAAATTGATGAGCGACAAGAAACGTATGCAAGGCTCGAGTCCAGGAGAGTCTGTTTATATACAAGCCCCTCTTACTCAGATGGGCCGGATGGACGAGTCCCAGCGGTCAATCAGACGCGCAAAGACGACGAATGCCCACGGCGGCCACCTCTGACAGGCCTGACACGTTGACAGCTGCAGGCAGTCTGCAGGCAAACTTGATATGGGATCAAGGGGCGCAGCAGACTAATTGGAAGGCGGTGCAATCTTGACAGTGATTCTCCAGCCCTAACCAAAACTCATGCAATATCAGATGGTCGTATTGGTTCTCGTGTAGCGCTTTAGTCTGCAGCGCCCCACTTGTGCATAGCATTTCGTATGGGCGTTGCACATCCAACATCAGAAAGTCACACGTAGAGTTGTAGACATCTGACCCTGCAAACATGTTGGTCGAGGCGCCTACAGATATGAACTTTACTAGAAACTCTCGTAGGTCAGTAGTAGGATCAATCATCGTCTGACACAAAATACCAATAGAAATATGCTACATTGACAGTGTCATGATGATGAAGCTAATACAACACTTTGCTCAGCCGCTGGACGTTGTTGAGCAAAATATCCCCTTTGCGAACGACAGTGTCGCACTGCGCGCTCTTGATCGCAGGCCGGTTTGTTTCAACAACACCGTGCACTTTGTCGATCGTCGCATGCAATCGCCCAGAAGCAATGAACCGTGAAAGCTCGCTACGACACGAGACAGCGCGTAAGGAAGCATTTAGAGGAAGGAAATTAGGTGATAGACATACTTGTCCACGAAGTCGACACTGACACCGAACGCGGCACTGAGGCTCTCGAGGGTGAGGGAGCGATAGGATTCAAGGAGTTGGGTATATGCCAAAATGCGCATTTCTCGGACATAGAAACGTGTATGTGGTGCGAGGAGGCGGGATGGAATGAGATGGGTTTTCTCAAGAGTGGCTGCAAGATCATCAGAAGTTGAGAGGTTGTTCGCATGTAGACATGCAGCGCGAGCCTTGAATATTCAACGCACCGAGAGCGACAAAGAACTTATCGTAATGGCAGTCGTACAGATTTTTTGTTAAGTCCGCTAATGTTGGTAACTCGGGGAGAACCTGGTTAACCTCTGGCGCTGCAATGATCTGCCGGGAGATTATGGAAGACTGGACTGGATAACAACGACCTCTGAACGCACTTTCTTCTTGAGATCAACCCGATTGAGGGTGAGGGCACCCGCAATAACAGTCAACGCGACAAAGTCGTTGTAGGAAAGCAGCTCGGTCGCGGTGAATGTGGAAAGTGCGTCTATGAAAAGGTCACTCGCGGGCTTGAATTGGCGAATGGATAGAAGATGAAGGCCGCGGTAGACTTTGAGACGATTGAGACGGTCCCAGTCTCCACCTTGTTCTATCAGTTCTTCTGCTTTCGAGAGATAGGTGGTAATGAGCTGGTTGTCGCCAAAGAAGAACCCAATGCGTATGAGGGTCAGCGTAATGTCGATTCGTGACCCGACTCCCGGTGTCTTCTCGAAAGCGAGTAGTTGCGCCTTAACTGCTTTATCCTAGAGAATGACATATATTACGCTAAGTACTGTTCTACTGGGATCAGGAGCAACTCACCTTTTCCCCGATTCTCGTCAAGTAGCTTGCCCTTGCTCGCAGCGCATCCCCAATCTCGCTCTCACCTTCGATCTCTTCGGCTTCCTTCAATCTCTTGTCTAGCCGTTCAAGCTCCTCTAGATTTTCCTTCTCCATCTTGTCGAGGAGAGACTGGTCTAAGGGCAATGCGTTTGCGGCCGCGACGAGACGGTAGTAGGGTGCCATTTGGTCGGCCTGTATGCCTTCCAAGAGGGTACGTCGAGATTGTTCGTGAAGATTGGAAAGAGGAGGCTGTAGTAGAACATAGTGTTCTTGTGGGAGGGTCAGGTTTGGGATGGGGAGGACTATTTCTTCAGCCATGGTGGTCGACGATGCGAACGGTCTTGACGCGACGCGTCAGTGTGTGTTTGGACCCTAACCCGATCAGCTCTCCGACGCGTCACCTTCGCTGTTCACGTCCACCCACACCCAATCCCTCTTATCTCTTTCTTTCCTTGCCATGTCTACCACCCAACAGCTTTTGGAAGAAGCGCAGTCGGCTGCATCGACAGACACGAAGCGCGCAGAGGCAATATACAAGGGTATTCTTAGTGCAGCTGCCACCACCGCCTCTAACCATGTCTCGGAGGAACGAGATCAGTCTTTACGAGACCAGGAGACTGCGTTGGTAAAGCTTGGAGAGCTTTACCGCGACAACCAGTACGTCTCTAGGCCTTCATCGCTTCTTTTCTCTTAAAGCTTTCCTAGAAATGCAGCAGGCTTAGCCGAAGTCATCACGCTATCCCGCTCGTTCATGTCATCGACTGCCAAGGCGAAAACCGCCAAACTGAGTGCGTGTAGTTCGTGTCACATAACCATCTGGATGCTCAATTATTTCGCGCCTGGCCAATTGCGGGATAATATCAGTCCGCACCCTGCTCGATTTCTTCAATCACATCCCCAACAGCCAACAGACGCAAATAGCTGTGCTAAATGAGAATATTGAGTGGGCGAAGAACGAGAAGCGTGTCTTCTTGAAGCAGAGTCTTCAGACGCGCCTTGCCAGCCTGTAAGGATGCTGCGTATCCGCATTATAGACACTACTGACTCAAACCCCTGTGATCTATACGTCAAAAGTCAACTCGATATACAGCAGTACAAGGCTGCACTCGCGCTCATTGACAATCTCCTGACGGAATTGAAGCGGCTGGACGACAAGATGATCTTGACAGAAGTTCACCTATTGGAATCACGTGTATATCGCGGCATCGGAAACTTTCCCAAAGCTAAAGTAAGCTATTTCTCGTGCGTCTGCTCTGATGTTCAAACGTGATCGTGTAGGCTGCACTCACGTCGGCTCGCACCGCCGCCAATTCTATCTACTGCCCACCTCACCTCCAAGCTGCTCTCGACCTTCATTCCGGCATTCTCCACGCTGAGGATCACGACTATACCACCGCGTACTCATATTTCTTCGAAACATTCGAGAGCTTGAGCGCCCAGGATGACCCTTCGGCACTTGGCGCACTGAAGTATATGCTCCTTTGCAAAGTAATGCTGAACTTGGTCAGTTCTTCACCATGGCTTTTCGGCGGGCCCAACTTGACATACAGTAATCAGCCTGAGGATGTCACCTCTCTCCTTTCTGTCAAATTTGCCCTCAAATACGCCCAGCTCCGTGATGTTGAGAGTATGCGAGCGGTTGCACGCGCACATCAGAATCGCAACCTTGCGGACTTCGAGAAGGCGCTGCGTGACTATCGGGAAGGTAGGCGTCAAAAAGACATCGTTAAGTGACTTGATTAACCGCCCATGATAGAACTTTCTTCTGATCCGACTATCCGTTCGCATCTGGCGGCTCTTTATGATACCCTTTTGGAGCAAAACCTGTTGCGAATCGTAGAGCCCTATTCCGTTGTTGAGGTTGAATATGTCGCGCAGCAGGTCGGCCAAGGTCGACAGGCAGTTGAGGCAAAGTACGTACTCATCTATTTCCCGCTACACTACTGGTGTTTTATGTCGGGCTGCCCGGGCAACTAGGCTATCACAGATGATCTTGGACAAAGTTTTCCATGGTGTGCTCGATCAGGGCCGTGGGTGCTTGCTTGTGTTTGATGAACCAGAAGCGGATGTGAGTTGTTCGATCCTGACATGTGCCGTTTGGTCTCTACCTTACTGTACTGAAAAATATGTCTTTGGCACAGAATACCTATGGTGCCGCGATCGATACGCTAGAGCAGGTCAGCAAGGTCGTCGATTCGTTGTATGCCAAGGTTTGTTCGTCTTCACCCTCTCTTCGTCCCCAAACTGATACATGCTTGCCGTCTCATCCAGACGGTAAAAATAGCATAGTGCTGTGACTTGAAATCAATATCTTTCCAGTTTGTATATTAGATGTATACAACAGGATGCTGTGCAAGCGAAGGTGTCGTTCTTTGTTTAAGTTAAAGACAGCTCCGGCTATCCTGTTATGCCATTGAGATCATTTGTGCGTCATGTCCGTCTATTCCTGCAGCCGGCCGGGGCGTATATACATCAGTTCCTGTACATTGTGATTCATGGGCAGCGGGAATAGCTTGGATCTTTGCATCAACACGTGTGGAAACGCCCTTCCTTCTTGGGGCTGTGTCCCTTGGTGGTGATTTGCGTGATCGTCTTCCTTTCTATAGTTGCGAAGCTGGGCCTTATGTCCTGCGAGTGCCGCTGGAGTGCACGAGTACTTGGTGAGTCTCGGCCTTCTCCGATCTTCATCGGGCCATCTTTTGTTTGATCGCAGGGACTGACTCGACTAAACGACAGAACGCAGTTCGATCAAGGGCCGCGTAGCTGTCGCGCACATCAGTCTAAGTTGTAACAGGCTTCACAAAATAACATTCAACTACTCTATGCAAGGCTTAGAACTAGAAAGCAAAAGTTACACTACAGTGCGAAACGCGACTGGATCAAGAAGGCGTAAGGGAGCCCTGCTGCTAGGTATCGCACAAGGACGCTGTCAAGACATCGGGACTCAGTATAGGGATAAAAATGAAGGTACGGCATGATCGTAGTGAGCGGTTATAGGGGCTGTGGGGGGCACGCCAGCCTACAGCTCTAGAGGTGTAAGTAGTTTGTATATGTTAGCTGCCCATAACAATACTGACGGCTCAGTTTACTTCTGGATGATGGAAAGTAAGACTCAGCTGTCAAGGTGAAACAATGCGCAGCATGCACTCACAGATTCGGTGGGGCTCTTCCATTTCTCGTACTCGCCCTTGAGCTCGGCCCACCCATCACCAATCGGTGCCTTCAAGGTTTTGAGATGCCCGCGCTTATCCGCGTGCTCGTCCTTCTTTAGACCACAAAACTTGTCCTTCAGTGCATCGAAGACTAGGCCGGCATACCAAAAACATTGGTATTCTATGTCGTACTTCGGGTGCTTTGTGGTCGCAAATTGTAGGATGGAGGAAAGATCACGGTCGGTGGGGCGGTTCTCCCCAGAAAATTCGAGGGTAGAGAGAAGTATGTGCTCCTTGTGCTTCTCATTGATGTGGGAAATGGGATCTTTGAACTTGGGAGATGCAATCGAAACTAGGTCTGAAGCAGGGATGGGCGCGACCAAAGAGGTGCTACTGAAGCCGAGCACGGTCAAGATATCAGGTTGCGCGGTGCGCTCGACGAAAAGGACTATCTGGCGATCACGCCGAGATTCCTTGGAGGCGGAGGGATTGGCGATGGGTTGATTGATGGCGGGGTGGTCAAGGTGCACTGCAAGGAATTCGTGATTGAACCCGTTCGTGCACTTATAGTGCTCGACCTTCTTGATACGGGCGGGGGAGACTCCTTGAGACCGTCTGGATATCATGTCGATCCAGAATTCACTGTCGAGACCCTGCACACCCTTCTTCAGGAGGATGAACTCGGGATAGGGAGAAAGGGAGCGAGACATCGAGGGGGAAATCAGCGGGCGAGTGGTCTGTGGATTGTGCCATCGCAAACTATTCTCATTCGATTTAAATCAAAGACTACAGGAGGAGCAGTGTCCTGCAAATGCATGGAGCTGTCAGACTTACGTGGCTTGCTAATGGATGAAATAACTCCACATGGGGTCCGGCCATTATCAAGTGTCAAGAAGATATTGAAACTGATTCAACTCGCTTGTGTTCAAGTCACTTGAGGAAATCCTGCGCAGCGAATTGAATTGAGATACATTGTGCATTGCAAAAATCAAGATGATGAATAGCCTCTGCTAGATAGGAAGCGATAGCATTGCCAAATTTGAGCTGAAGCGCAGTACGATACCATACATCTATGGTATAGCTGTCGTACCTGAGAGTGGAGACGAACAATTAGAACATGTGTGTAATCCATGATAATATGGAAATGTGCGGAATCCTGTTCGTATTGACGTAGGTGTTCCTGCGTCGATGAATATGGAGAGAAGCAGGCGCTAGCGAGCGTTGTCTTGGTATTATGCGATACCAATTGATATGTCGCCCATCTGAATAGGATAAAGCGGGTGAACGGCGCTGCGATCTGAAGATCGAATGGAAACGATCGCGGAATATTCGCGCGGATGAGGTTTGGATATCCTCGTAGGAGAGAGCTGCACTGTTGTCACATCAGTTCCTCGCGTATTGCTCTTCCAGGTAGATGCGGAAAAAAAAATTAAATAAGTCATGTGGCGTTAGAATGTAAATATCATGTAAATCCAGATCAGACAAATGACTTCTCCTGAGTGGCCCCGTAAGGCATTAGCGCCTCTTCATGGTTGGTTATTCAATTATGGTGAACAATCTGCCACCTGGGACTTATAAGACAAGGAGATCACATCAGCCCGAGAAACCTGTGAAGTTGAACACGTTCTCCGAGCATTCATCCTGATTTGAGCTGTCAGTACAACCCTGATTTTCCGAAGCATGATTTGAATGTTTGTCGTACTGTCTGACACTACATATACTAGTCCAAGTGAGGTGTCGTCGCCATTGATTGATCTTCGGAACTCACCGATACTCGCATCTTGAACCTCGATTGAAGCAGTGTTGATCGTTTCATGAGTAAAACATAGTGACGACGTGTCAAGAGAAGAGGTCAGCATTTTGACAAAATGAGGCAGCCAAAAATGCCTTCGAGATAGGACAAAGTCAATCGGCTCGACGTCACGAAAAGGCCCATGGCATGATGCACAGGATCGCAAGAGCACGCAAGCCGGTGCAACGATACTATATCATCCGAAGAATGAATTCCAGGGGACTGGACCCACGTTCTTTCGCCAGGGCACAAACACATTGCATTCTGGCAAAGAAGTACGTTGTGCCTAGCAAGCGTGAACGTCTGGGGGTAGTAGGCTGTAGTAAGAATGATGTCCGGACTCCGGATGGGTATACGTTCCTGAGAGCGGTGGATCAGACATAATATTATGGAATTAAGACGAGACCGCTTCACAAATTTTGGATTCCATACCGAGACGGTATCGTCCCCAGCTTATCTCAGGTCAGATTAACTAGCTTGCATCACGACTCTCCGCTGCCATCCCACTGACAGTGATGGGCTAAGGTTTAGTAACGGAGTTTTAATTGATCAGAGCAATCGACGGTCATTCAAAATATTCCCGCTCAGCCTCTCCGATTCGGGTCGGCTCCGACGGTCAAAGGCCGCGTTGCAGTAGCCACTGAGGACAGATACACATATCAGAAGACGCGGGGGGATCGCAAGCGTTGTAGGCTTTCGGGAGACTACCATTGAGGCGGCCCAAAATTATCTGGTACGATATCAATAGCCTCATCGCAGACGGCATCTTACTATATGCTCAAGACTACTGTGGACATACTATGCCAATAGTCCATATTTCCCCCGATCCAGCACTATACAGTACATATACAGACTCCTTACCTTGATCATAGATGAATTGAACAGGAATTTACAGCCAGCGACTCGGTGTTACAGCCCCCTAGCACTTATCTCCACCAGGCATTTCGTATAGCGTGGTGGTTATGCCCTTCACAACCGTCTCCGATTCTCGTCCGACTCGTCCGATTCCTCATGCCTCACAGGTCGTTGCAGTATGAATGTCAGCATTTACGAAAAAATCTAAGAGCCAACCGTACAGTCTCGAAGACATATCAACACTAATGATCGCAGTCCACACGACAATTGTAACATCCTTCACTATGGTACGTGCAAAAAAGAGTATGTTATCTTTGACACATACGTCATAGGAGCGACCGTACATATCTCTGCTGGGATCTGGAGCTCTCGACATCCCTTTGCCTCTGGGAAGCTCTTGAGTGGAGATTTAACGCCTCAATGGGCCAGATTACTCACCAGTTTCCTCTTCATTATTGCCTTTTTCACTCGCTCTAAACTCGACACCTCCAGGTGAAGTACTAGAACTACCGCCGGCGATCCGGACGCGGGTTACCGTCACTGATATTGGACCCGGGGATGCGATCGCCGCACGCATCAAATGCCCTTGCTGCAAAAGATCCATAGGCCAGATATTCCTTTTCGTCTGTCTCAAGAACTGAAAGCTGATCTTCAAGGATGGTGGCCAAATCGCTGTCTAGTGGATTGATTTCGAAGGAGATTGTGCGAATGGGCTCGTCGTTCTCCTGGATGAACAAGGCGTGGACACAATTTCTCGCTTGATTGAGTTGTGAAGATCTCGTGATCGTAACGGGTGATGAGGAAGAGATCATCTTCATAGGAGATGTTACTTTCGAAGAGAACAGACGAGCAAGAAACGCCTTCTGTGGAATCGAATGTTCGATGAGGAAAACGGTCTGACCGTCATGAAGAGGATGCGTGAGATAGACCGCGAGGACTTCGCGTCGTGAATGGTCGAGTTGTTTGCGGTGCTCAATCTTGTGTACGACCGCATCCGAGAGGCCAGACGGTCGAGTCCGGACGAAATCAATCCACAGATCGAGACCGAGAGGTTTTCCTTGATCTCGCTGAAAAAGAATTTTCTCGGGATACTCCATCGAGAGGGAGAGGAAGATGGATACCCAGTAAGTAATGCTCTCCGTTATATATAGAGGGTGTCACCTACTTACTGCATCGGAAACTACCCCTGTCTCAGTGATCTTATTGATATGGTGACGAGCTTGTCAAAAGTCATTTTAGTAGAAATTGAGGCGTCTGACTCACCTCTTTGCCTGAGTTTGAAGCCGGCGATTCTCCAAGCGCCTATCTGTGCGCGCAGAAGCGTGCAGCTGGGGTCAGGCGTCATAAGTATAAACAGAACACCATCTCATTCGCTGAACGCCCCAGCGGGGTGAGTAAACATCAGCATGTTGCGATGTTTCGATCAATCAGTGGAAGTCGATAGACTGGAAGAAATAACGTCACATTTCCACAGAGCGCCCACAGCTTTCCTACAGAACCCAAAGCGGACACCAGTTTGATTGTTATGAAGCAATCTCGATGGATAGAAATTGCCACAGAAAGACTCCGCTCATGACAATGGAAACAAGATCTGTGAACTCTAGGAAAAACACAGACAGTATCACTGGTATGAGAAGTACGCAGAACTAGTTGGTAGACATTTAGCAGGTCGCAGAGCTATGTCACAATTGTATGAGCTATGAAATGCAGATGAGGATCATAGACGAGACCATGAAGATGCTGCGTGCCAACAGCCAGCATCAGCGTGTCCAAGAAGAATAAGACGAAGCCCTATAACGAGGGCAAGGAGTAATGATATGCTACAATGAGCTACAGGCGCGGCTGTAGAAATAGGATGGATACTTTAGTTACATTACATCGGTCTCCACTCACAAATGTTTACCTTTTCGTCCCAACACGCCACAACATAGTCATGAGCAGAATATACAGGAAAAGCTAAAGGGCGATCTTACCTGTGATTTCTGCAATCGCGAATTAACCCATTTTTTCTTTGGTAAAATCATCCCAACCAACTCGGAAATTCTCGACGGCAGCAGCAAACAGGCCTGACACAACTTCCGAACTGCCCTTGACTAATGACTGACTTCCCTCGCCTTGCTCCCGTCCCATGAATAGCGCTTTCAAAAGGTCGAACACGCTTCGAGCGTAAGAATCGAGAAGGGGCGGGGTGTCGTGCACGGTCTGGAGGAGTATAGCTAGCTGCATATCAGACGGCGAAGCCCCACTGGGGAAATAAAGTGTGCGTAGAAGCCGGCGGTCCTTCCGGCGCTGGGTAATCGAAGAGAGGGGTTTTTTCGCTTCGGGAGTGGGGATCGAGATGGTGAATTCGGGGAGAGACGCCCAGAGGGAAGAAGACGATGCGTGAAGGAGGGAAAGGAATGGCTCGGGGGAGCCGGCTGCGGGCTTTCTGCGCTCGATCACAAAGATCGTGGGGCGGATAGGATGAGTAACATAAATGGCAAGAAAATCTTGCTGAGGATTTTTGAGACTCTGATGGTGCTCGACTTTGGTGATTGCAGCGTCTGCAAGGTCCAATGGTCGGGTGAGGACAAGACTGATCCATATGTCGGTGTCCAGGCCTCGGGCACCTTTTCTGAAAGGGATGGCCTCTGGGTACGTTTGGGTGCTTTGCATTGTGGGAAGAGATGGAGCGTAGAGGACAAACAGCAAACGTCGTTATAGGGTGTGAGGCCATGAGGACGCTTATCGGACGCTCATAGAACGAAGTTCGAGATTATAATGGCAAAGAAGTGTATGCTTACAGACCCTGCGCTCCAAGATATCATTAGAGGAAGGTGAACTCATGAATTCACCGACTCGAAGGCTCAGACCAGGGACTTGCTCAACTGAGCAGACGAGAAATTTTCTCGATGCTTGCGACATCGACAGAGGCTTCGTGCGATTCGTGCCTATACCAATAGTTGTATAATGCAAGACCTGTAGACCGACATCCTTTTCAACATTTTAACACTGGAACAGACAAACTGCTCACATGACATATCGATATGGTATTGATCAAGCTGTGTGACTAGATTAGAACACGGGTATGGTCAGGAGGTTGTTGACCTCTCAAACATTGTAGACCCTTATGGGTGCTCACGAGAATATTACGAGGTGCCAAGGCAAATAGAGGAAATCCGATAGAAGCTACCTATCACCGACCTTTCGAGTTGACAATGAGGCCTGCCAATGCATTCTGGAAGGGCAGAGGACTCTACACCAGAATAATGAGAGGATGTTTCAAGCAATAAAGTGTCGACAAGCCAACAATCTCAACAGGAGTCATCTTCATGACCATCCCGCTCTCGACTTTTGCTTTTCTTCCCCTTGGCTCTACCTGCAAGTTTCTTTTCGGTGGCCTTCTTTCCATGGATCTGGACTATAGCCCTGATGTCGTTTTCGGCTTTCTGTAGGTCAAATTCAGTCGAAGACAGGCGATTCAGAGCGGCAATCTCGGCGCTCCAGACCGCGTCAAGGTCATGTGCGGGCGTCTCGAGAACTAAGGGAATCCCTTGCATACGTGAATCTGAAAGAACATGGGAGAATGCGCTGATAGTCAGGGCGCCACTTTCCGGTTCCGCAGAATTCGAGGTCAGGAAGGAAATTTGATTAGAAAATGTCCTAGTACTCACAGTCCAATATTCTCATGGCGATCTTTCTTCGAGCCGAGGGGCTCCTTGGAATCGTTGAGATGCATGGCCCGAAGATATTGGAGTCCGATCACGCTGTCAAATTGCTTCACTGGAACTTTGTGAGAAATCGATCGAGTTTGACGCTGTCACCCACTGGTCGAACTTTCATGACATGTCAATGCGATGAACAACGACGAGCATTGAAGAAAAAGAAGCTTACTCCCAGCTCTCCTGCGTCCTGATATCATATCCCTGTAGAACATGTCAAAGGATAATCACAGATGACACGAAATGCACTGACCGCTGCAAACATGTGGCCTACGATGGAGGAACATTCGACTGAAACTCACTTTGAAATTGAAAGAAATATCGACAACTCACAAGTGTCGAGACATACACCGACGCGAGACTTATCCTTCACTCTATCGATGATGCCTGCAATGTCCTCAAACTTTCCACCAACAATGTTTCCTGCGCCAGCCTGCGGTGCTCATCAGTTCATCTCGCCCCGACGTGGAAGCAACGCAATACTCGACCATGTTCTCTATGACCGTAACGACATTTTCTGTTTCCTTGTGAGCGTCATTGATGCACTCTGCAATGAACCCTATCGACTCGTCGACGGTCGCCGCTCCAACGGTGGATCCCGGGCTTGAAACAGACATATCGTGATCACAGCACATCCAAGAACGGAAAACGCACGCACTGAAAATTGTACAGCAGCAGGCCGAGCTGCTCACAACGCTTCAGCTCATCCAAGAAGCACAAGTATGACTTTTGGCGCTTCTCGCTGACGCCGTGATGTCGAACAGACCGTGAGCGCTGGAGAGTCCAGAGAAAGAAACAAGATCCCCCGAACGAGACCACTCACGCGTCCGGATTTCCCAGATTAATCAGGTAGCTTCCGTGTGGAAGGATATGCTCTGGAGCGTAGTCGAACTGGGCGAGCCGCGCGCGAAACGCCGATATCGACTGTTCGCTCAACGGAGGGCCGGTCCATCTACGCTGGGACTTGAGGAAGAGCGCAAACGCGTTGGCGCTGTGCTCCGAATGGAGACACGATGATGTTATTTGGACAGGGAGTCAGTGAAGGCACAAAGGAGACGAGCGGGCGCCAGCGGCGGCGGCGACATACCCGAGCTTTGCCGCGTTCAGTATCGCGTTCTCCACCCCGCCAGCAGCAGAGACGTGCGCGCCGACCTTCCACGGCGTCTGTACGCGTGCGGGATACTCGCTCGGCGTCTGTTCGCGCTCGCGTCCTGGCCCAGACCGCCCTCCGCCCCTCTTCTTCCGCGCAGCGGGCGACGGCTGCGACGGCTGCCCCCTCAACGCGTGCCTCGACGACGGCGTGGCGGTGATCGTATCTGAGGGGCGCGCGCGATCTGGATCTGAAGGCCCGGGCTCGCGCAAGACGTCGTCGCCACGCACCTTCGTCGTCCACGCTCGTTGCCTTCTCGACCCTGACGCGCTTCGCAGGACGGGCGGCGCCATCGTCGCGTCCCTCGCCGCTGGCTCGACGCGTCGACGACCTCGTAGCAGACACCATCCTCGCAGACTGCAGGTCGGTCGCGCGCGCTGCGGAAGTGGTTCGGAAACTTCGCGTGTGCTGGCTCGCCGTGGCCGAGGCGAAGTCGACGCGACAAGGCCGAGTACGAGGCAAACAGGCCGATATCACCAGTGCCGGCACCTGCCGGCCCATACCAGCTCGCGTAACCCAAGGCGGAGGAAATCAGCATGAGGAACAAACCGACGCAAGATGGCAGACGGCGGTAGAAGACTCTAACAGACAACATCCTCCCAAGTAGCTCACAAAACCCGACAAACAGAGCACGCAGATAGTCACTTGTCACTATACGGTCTACATATCTATGATGTCTACATTGCATCCTTTCCTCGATGGATATTTTCCGCGCGAACATGTACACGCGCTGTACACTTAATAGATACACAGCCTTCCCTCCTCGCGTATATATGTATGTATGTATGTATGCATGCAGGGACACCGCGGCCTGCCCTCAAGCCTCGGCAAAACCTCAGGGGGGAGCGTGCACACGGCGGCGGGGCTCGCCCACCGCAGCATCCTCGACAGAGCCCCCGGATCCTCCGCGCAAAAGATTAAAGTAAAGAGATGCCGCCGGGTGTGGCACGAGCGCGGCCGCGATAGGCGACCGGGCACGTAGTAGGTACGTGTACAAAAGGGGATCGTGATAGGGAGTGGGAATTCGGACAGGGGGGCTCGACAAGGGGCGGGGGCTCGGACAAGGGCAAGGGCAAGGGGGTAAGAGGGTGAGGCGCCGGGCGGCGGAAGCGCGGAGGGAAGGAAGCATGATGGGGAACGATGACAAGCGCGACAGAGCGGAGAGTAAAGAGAAGAGAAGTGGAGAGGACGAGGAGAGGAAGGTTGACAATGGGATGATCGGCGGACCAACAACAGCAACGAGGAAAAAGGGGAGAGGTCGTGACGGTGGGGCAGAAGCCATAGGCGGCGATAGGCGCCAAGAGATGGTATGAGCGTGGGGACTGGACGCAGGAAGGGGCAGAAGGGCAGAGCAACAGCGACGGGGTGCCACTGGAAGTAGAAAGAAAAAACGATAAGAAAGCACAGAAAGAAAGAAAAAAAAGAGCGAATAAAAAGGCCACCAAGCGCAGCGTCAGGCGCGCGTCGTCGGCTACTCCACAATCTCGAACCTGCCCCGCTTCCCATCGCGCCCGTCCTCTCCGTCGTCCTCCAGCCCCCGCTTTTCTGACACGCCCATCCCTAGCGCGCCGCTCAGACTCCCGCCGACACCGACACCGACACCCACGCCGACACCCACGCCGACGCCCACGCCGGCACTCATCCCGCCGTCGATGCCCACGAGCCCCACGTCGCCGCTGACGAGCCCCTGGAGGATCATCGCATACTGCTCGTCCGTGAGCCCCATCCCCGCGAGCGGGTTGATCTTCCCGTCGTCGTCCCCGTTCTGCGGCGGCAGCGGGTTCGCGGACGGCTGCACCGTGAGCGCCTCGTCGAACCCCGCGTCCGAGAGCGGCGGGATCCCGACCGTGCGCGGGAACTTGGACATCTGCTGGATCACTTTGAGGTGCATGAGGTGTTTCTGTGTGCGTGCGCGGGGGCGGTCAGTGCTTGTTCGTCGTGCGCGAGGGAGACGGTGGAAGGAACGAAAACGCGGGGAAAAGGCGAGGGGCGAGGGGCAAACGTACCTCGAGCATTTCCAACAGACCCTCCTTCGTGAACGGCTTCGGCAAGATATCGTTCATACCTACACAGAAACAAACAGCCGGTCGTCAGCACCCAACATCACCATCACCATCAACCCCGCCCTCCTTGACCGGCCGGGCCCAGAGCAAAGCAAGCAACGCGACCCTGGCGCGGCCGCCCACCCGCCCGCCCACCTAAAGACACCAACGCAACCCGGGGCGAAGGAAACGGGGAAAAGAAGGACGACGCACGCACCCGAGTGATAGTAGGTCATGATCTCGTTCGGCTTCGAATTGCTCGTCATGGAGATGATGGGCGTCATGTGGTCGAACTGCCGGATGAGCGACGTCGCGGAGACCCCGTCCAGCTTCGGCATCACGATATCCTGCAACCGCAACGCGAGCGGCGTCAGCAAAGACGACGACGATCAAAGCGCCCCGCGAAACACGAGAGCCAGGAGTGAGAGCCAGCCGCGAGACACGCTACGCACCATCAGCACCAGATCGTACTTCTCCAAATTCATCTTGTTCACCGCGCCCACCCCGTCCACGGCAACGTCGATCGTGCACCCAAACACCTGCAAAAACTTGCTCGACAGCCGCCGGCTCACCGCGTCGTCCTCCACCAGCAGCACCCGCGGCGGCACCGCCCACCCCGGCACGAACGCCGACCGCCGCACCCGCAGCGTCTGCGCCGACGACGGCCGCGCCATGCCCTCCCCGCCCGCCCCACCGCTGCTGCTGCTACCACTGGCACTGGAGGCGCCCGCCCCGCTCGGCCCGGCGGCGCCAAAGTCCTGCTGCGGATCCTGCATGCGGTACTCCCCTTGCTCGTCCCCCTGCCCCTCCCCAAGCGGCAGCGGCAGCAGCCCGTTCAGCGCGCGCGCGTCGAAGCTCCAGTTCCCGTTCTCGTCCTCCACGCTCGACCGCGGCAGCAGGTGCCCCAGCGTGAACACCTGCAAGCCCTCGTGCGCGAGCGCCCCGCCTCCGCCTCCGCCGCTCCCCCCGCCCCCACCTCCGCTGCCACCGCTGCTCGCAGACGCGAGGTACGGCTGCAACGCGCCCTCCGGCGTACTGGGCATAATAAACGGCTCTGACCCCGCTGACCCAGACCCCGCCCCTGCAGCAGCAGCCGCGCCACAGTCCACCCCCTCCGCAGCCCCGCCCGCCTGCGCGCTCCGCGGCCGATGCCGCTTGAGCTCCTCCATCGCCGCGAGCGCGTCCTGCCGGCTGAGCGTCGCCTCGCCCGCCTCGCCCGCGGTGCCGGGCGGCGGCGCCATCAGCCCCGCAGCGGCCGCCATAATCCGCGACGCGCTGCTCGGCGGGCGCGCGGTTGCCGGGGCCGGGCTGCCATCTGCGCTGCTCGCGCCCGTATTCGCGCCCGTGCTCGTGCCCGTGCCCGTGCCCGTGCTCCCAGACGCGCCCGCGCCCGCGCTGCCGCCGGCATTGGCGCTGGCGGTGCCGGTGCCGGTGCCGTTGGCGTTGGCGTTGGCGTTCGCGAAGGACATGCCCGCGACCTCCGCGCGGCGCGAGATCTCGCTCATCTGGAAGAGCGACGCGCGGGCGACGTCCGTCTCGTGGTAGGCGCCCATCATGCGCTGCGCCTCCTGCGTGGGCAGGAACGGGTTCGGGTCGGGCGCGAGCGGCGCCGCGGCGGACAGGTCGTCTTTCATTTTTCCTGCGCGCGCGTGCGTATGTGCGTATGTGCGTGCGTGCGTGCGTGCGTGCGCGGGTGTCCGTTCAGGGGTGCGTTCGCGGTTGCAGGTGTGTTTGCGGTTGCGGTTGCGGTTGTGTTTGCGTTTGCGTTTGCGATTTGCGAGGGCGGAAAGGCGGGCGCGCGAGCGCGAGCGCGACGGGGCGGCGGCGGCGGCGGCGGCGGGAGGGCGATGCCAGTGGAAGCGCAGGAGGGAAGAGAGCAAGTCAGCTTCCCGTGTCATATATAAAAAATGAGAGCACGACAGACAAATAAAATAGATTGGGATGCACACGACGGGAGGCAGCGAGAGAGACGCGCGAGAGAGAGGCGAGAAAGAGAGAAGAGAGAGAAAGAGAAAGAGAAAGAGGGGGGGAGGGAGGGAGGGGGGAAGCGGCGCGGCGCGGCTGCCGTTCATCTTTTCTGCTTTGCAACATCTACGCGCGACGAGACTAGTGTGTGTGTGTGTGTGTGCGTGCGTGTGTGTAGGGGAGAGTGGGGAATGCGAAACACGAAGTCCATCCGAGTCCTCCAACGTCGCCGCCATCGCCGCCGTCGCCGCCGCCGCCGCCGCCGCCGCCCCCACCCAAAAAGAAACGAAAAAAAAGCCCAATGAAGGAGAAAAAACCCCACATAGCGACCCCGACGGTACGAATACACAGCCCCCCGCCGCCGGGCCGAAGCAGACAACAACAACAGCAACAACGACAACACGACACGCTACTGACCATTCTCCAACTGCAAAAAGTAGCCGATCAGGTTCTGCATGAGCCCGTCCTGCTGCGCCATGTTCCGCTGGAAGTTGACCATCTCCGCGAGCACGTTCTGGTAGTTGTTCTCGAGGTTGCGGATGTGGGCGGCCATGTCGTCCTGCGTCTGGAGCAGGGCGGCGACCTGGCCCTGGAGGGCGTCGAGGGTCGTCGAGGCGGGCGAGGGCGAGCCCGCGCCGGGGCCACCGCCGCCGCCCGCTGCGGCGCTGCGGGCGCCGAGGAGGGACTTGCGGGCGGCGGGGACCTTGCGCTTGATGTTCTCGAGGGCATCGCGGCGGTCGGCGTGAAAGTCGGGGTGGCGGAACGTCCAGCTCTGGAGGGAGCGAGGGGGCGATCGCGGGGGCGATGAGCATGGGGCAGGACGGGGGGAGAGGCAGGGGGGACTCACGTGCTCGCCAAACTGGTTATCGTCCGTGTTCTTGACCTGAGATGGCGGAAGGCGCGGGGAGGGTCAATAGGAGACTCGGAGGGAGCGAGGCGGGGCACGGCACGGCACGGACCTTGTGAAAGTCGTACTTGTTGAGCTGGCGGACGAAGGAGGCAAAGTTGGAGTGCTTGAACATGCGAGGGAGGATGGACTTTGTAAACTCGTTCATGTCCTAGGCGGGCGTGGGTGTGTGGTGAGTATCGGTGGGCCACAGGCAGATCGGAGGGGAAGCGCACCTTGACGACGAAGCAGTCGCCGTGTGGGCCCCATGAGACGACGTCGTGGAAGGACGGATCCTCGAGCATCCTGCGAGGGAGGTCAGAAGAGGGCCGAGGGGCAGGAGGAGGGGGGCGACGCACTTGTAGAGCTTCTTGACAAAGTCGGACGTGGGGGGCATGCCGTCCTCCGAGTCCTTGTGGTCATGCTGGGGCTGCTGGGGTGGGTCTGGGTCTGTATACTTTGGCTTTGGGGGGTCGAGCTGGCGCGGGGGGTAGAGGTCGTCGCGGGAGGCGGATGTGCGATGGTTCGGCCATGGGAGCTGGTTGGAGGGTGCGGAGGGCGGGGGTAAGGGGGGGAGGGAGGCGGGTGCGAGGGAGGGGTGGTAGGAGGCTGGGGGGTAGCGTGCGATGGGGGTGGGCGCCAGGTTTGGGATGGGCGGGAGGGTGTTGTTGCGGGCGAAGGAGGAGGCGATGGGGAGGTGGAGCTGGGACGGCGGGGGCAGCTGGGGCGAGCTGTAGAGGGAGCGGGCCTGATGGGCGGACGAGTGCAGCGGGCCAGAATACGGGCCAGACGAGTCCATGGGTGCAGTGCGTCTCCGAGCCGTATCCAAATCCCTTACTTATGTACGTCCAGCCACCCCACAGCACGCGCCACCCGTCCTCCCGTTCCCGCGCCCCGTTCCCGCGCCCCCCTCCCGCCTCTCCTGGCCCACCTCGACCCCCTCGACCCCCTCGATTTGTGCCCGCCTCTGCCCCCTCCCCTCCCCCGCCCGCCCCCCATTTTCCCCCCTCTCCCCCCGCCCCGCCACGGCCCTCCACGCCCACCGCGCCCCTCCCTCCCACAGTGCCCGGGGGCCCGCCCCGGACGCCCTCGGAACGCGCGCGCGGTCCACGGCAGCCTAGACCGTGCCTTCGCCCGCCCAGACCCAGCCACTACCAATTCGCCGCTCCTCCTCGCCAAAGATCTCCCCCGCGCTGTCGCCCAGCGAACGCCCCCGTCGCCCTCGCTCACACACACCCACGCCCCTCCGAAGCAGCCCCGCCCACACCCATCAGGCCCAGGCCCGCCGAGCCCCCACCCCCGCGCGCCCCTCCCTTTGCCTTCCCTCGGCTCGCGCACGGCCCAGCACCGCTTTCCTGCAACATCTTTGCTGCACCCGCCCGCCGAACGACATGTCTCCTCCGGTGCCTCATCCCTCCCGCACGTGTCATCCCCAACCCTACCCCTCACGTATCGTCCCTCCTGCCTCAGCACGACAATCAACAACGTATCCCCAAGCGCCTTCGACGCCACGCCCGTTTTGCCTTTTAGGCCTCCACGCCATCATATCTCCACCCATCGCATCGCGTTGCCATCCGCGACACCGCGATACATAGCACATAGAAACAGTTCAGGAAACACCCATGGCCACCGCCCGCCGGCCTTCTCACTGACTTACACCAGCTTACATGTCCCCCTCGCTCGTGGCGTAATACCACATACCCTCTCGGTCACCAGACCCCAGCCACCCCGCCTCTTGCCCCCTCCGAGGACGTCCCTCGCCGCCTGCCCCCTCGCGTCGGCTGCACGCTCGACTGAAACAAACCCCGCCCAGCGCACATGCCCGCGCCGCTCGTCGCCGTCGCCGTCGCCGTCGCCGCGCAGGCCTCGGCGTTTCGGCTCTTGCTCTGAGCTCTCACTCCGGAGCACCAGGCCTGGGCGTGCTTGTCTGCGCTCTGTCTCGCGGCAGAATCGCGACGGCCGGCGTGCACCGCGCGCGCACGCTATGCGCTACAGTAGCACCTGTTGCACGTGTATGCATGTATGTATGTATATACCACAGCAATATCTACACTACTTCGTCGCGCCGACGCTCGACGCATGCGAACATTTCTTTACCGCTCCCCGAGTCCACCCCACTCACCCCACGGCGTCGCGCAAAGCGAACCCGCGCGCACAGATACACATACGCCCCATATCCATATTCGCATCCCCTGGCAAACCCACATCCCCGTCATCCGCCACCCATCACACAACCCGACAAGCACCACGCCCACGCCCACGCCAACCCAACCCATTCGCCCCACCCGCCCCGAGGCCAACCCGTGACCCCGTCCCCTCGTCCCCTCTCTCATCGGCACAGAACAGCACACGATGCGATCAGCGCCAACCCAGTGACGAACGGCACGGCAGGGCAAACAAACAAACAAACAAACACACGACGTCAACGATGTGCCAACTGACCCCCTTGCCTCCCCAACGCCTTGTCCGTGCTCTCGCCCGATGATGCACAACATTCCGCAGAGCACGCTCGCACGAGTCCAGCATTCCAGCCCGGGACGGCTACACCGGGCTCGCCTGAGGGTCGCAGGACACACAAACCGTGCTCGACGGCCGTCCAAGACGACGATGACGACCCCAACGCCCCCAGCGCCGAGCAGGCCAGCTGACCTCCCACGCCGCATCCCGATCTCCGAATTCGCGTCCGGATCCCCATACACCACGCGCCACCCACCACCGCACTCGCACACGCTCGTCACACTCGTCATGCTGCCCTCGAGGCAAAGCCCACCCCAACGACCCCACGTACCAATGACCCCCACGCGTCGGAAATCCCTGACGATGACCGCCTGCAGAGCATAGCATGACGATAATGCCATAAATACCGCGCATAAACAAGAGACGATCACGACTCGCGTCGACCGCACGTCGGCGATGCCCGATCGGAAATGCCTGCGGAGGGGGGGGGGCTTCGGAGCACCGGAGACAGAGCACTAGTGGCGAGCAGCGAGAGGGGCACACGACCCGCCACGCCGTTCACGCATGCAGGCCGGATGCGGGCGTGCGACGCCCTGCGCACCCACGCCCACGTCACTGCAAGCCCAAATGAAGAGACGTCGGCCCACGGGAAACGGAAACAGAGCTCGGGTTCCGGCCCAGGAGCCACAAGCACGCCTTCGCGCACGGGCCCGCGCTGAGAAGGGGAACCCACTGCCAGAGGATCGATCCGTCGCGGGAACGGCGCAAAGACACGTCAACTCGAAGAGGCAAGGACGGCAGGTCAAAGCGCCAGACAGCACACTGCGCATGCGCACGCGGATGCAGATGCAGATGCGGCAGCGATCTAAGCACCGTGAACGGTGAACCGCGCCTGCGCAGTACCCTCGCATTTCGGCCCGCAGAGTCGCCTGAGCTCATACGCTCGGCACGGTGCGGCGGTCTCCAACACTGAGCCCCTTCGCGCGGTCATTACAGACGGTACCCTCGCCACCCATTGATTTGAATCCTGTTCACGAGGTGTTCGATCAATCCGGACGTGAAAATGAATTTGTGCCAGTCTGTATCCCGAAAGTGACGTGGCGCCGCGCTCCTTCAACTCCTGAGAAAAGCCCCATGGCAAAAAGCGGAGGCATTTGGGTATGGAAAACCCCAAACTCGGCTGCTAAGCGCTAAGCAAGCAGCCCTGCGATGCGTGTCGACTGCCTGATCTGCGTTGCACCGCATCGTGTGCTCACGAAAGTCGGCGAGAGTCGGATAGGGGGCTGCGCGGATGCCGGTGAAGATTGAGCAAAGTCTATCAGTCGCTGCAGACCGAGAAACGAGGCGCGTCGAGACGGTGTCGAGACGCGGGCGATGACTGAGAGAAAGTGCGAACATCGAGTGCCTGCTACCTATCTGGGAACAGTGAGAAGGCTTGCTCTGTGGGACGGATCCCATCATCGGTGATTAGACGCATCGACACACCCGCTCTGAAGGCCGGGGCCTCAACAACAGGGCGGTACGAAGCGCGCACCATCGCGTTTCGTCTCGCAAATAGATAGATTAGGTCGCGCGCATTCGATGACTGGCGCTCTGAATCCCCAAAACATGCATATATGCGCGTTTAAAAAGTCGTTGAGATATCGAGGACGGCGTAGACCGACCTCGGTCCTCGATCGGAGATAAAGATCCTGGACGAGGTCAGGGCAACAAGGAGATCTTCACAAGACGGACAAACTTCATATAGGATACGGAGCAGGCATGCTTCCTCAAGCGCTGGGTCCTGATCTTCTCAAGGGGCGCCGTCAAAACTTCCCAGTGCTTGCAGACACGCGACAAGACCTTCGATAGACATCATACCTAAAGGACCTAGGTGAAGTAAAATCAAGGTGTTGCTCACAAAAAAGGCGTCGGACGGATATACGCTTCATGCGGAACGAGGAGCACGCACGCTGATCGAGTGCCATATCCTGTGCCGATCGAACCGCGCCGCATCAGTATTGCAACACTTGGGGAGCGCGCGATGAGGTCCCTGGTAAGCCGTGACGACGTCTGAAAAGTCTCTTCTGTTGTCATTGTCAGCTGGATGGCACTCATCGGCGGTCACGCTGATCGGTGCTATGGAGGCGAGGGAGGCAAGTTTACGGCGGGTTGGATTTAGAAGGCGTTGATGTATGCATTGACGCGCGGCTGGGATAGTCGTCACTGTCGTGATGGGGTGCTCGTGTGGGCATGGCTGAGAACGAACATCATAGGTCGGTGAAAGGAGTGTTGTAATGTGCGTGCTCGGGCTCAACGTTGATATCCACGTCGTGAGGAGGGAAGAGGAAAACCCCAAGCAGAAATCGCGAACATCTTGTCATGTGATCGTGCTATGCGTGTCGGGTTAGGGTTTTCGCAGCCCGAGGATGGTCAAAATATTGAAGTTGCGCAGCCAGCTCAACGTCAGGTCAACGAATAAAAATGATCAAATCGACAGCACTGTCAGATATCAGGCAGAAGTGAAGTTGTTCTTGCAGCACTGTGGTGGAGGCTTTGAGCAACTTTTGACATACCGTTAGAGAGCGCGGTCGGGTGATACCGGCGGCCAGCACCATACCCGACAAGCATGCAATTTGGTTCATAAATTCGCGTTGCGGGCAGGCGCACAGACGAAGCTGTAAACACATGAAGCGGAATTCATCTATTGCGCAGATAGCAGGACATGTCCAGCATGAAGGACAGGGAGGATGCTCCTAATGGTGCGCCGACTCCTTCTCGATCTGGGCCGCGTACGGGTTGCGCGGGTCCTTCGCGAATGCCTCGGCTGAGCGAGCAGAAGTGAACCAATGCAGGGTCAGTGAAGAAGAACTATGGAGAAACGAAGGAGAAAAAAGGGCGCACATCTGACACCCATGTCTTGCATTTTTGCGACGAGATAGTAGGTGATGCCAGTCGCGGCAAAGAAGGGCCACAGAGGCTTGAGAACCTAAGTATGTAGAGATAGGAGCGCAAAGACCGACATGCAAGAAATGATATCAGAACGAGAGTGCGGTCAGTTAGGTCGTGTCGTATCGCAGACAGCGCTGTTACGCACAGGAGTGGGCCACTTGCGGAGACCGAGGAAAGCCATTGTGAATAGAAGACGGAGGGGCTGCGAAAGGCAGTGGATCAGGAGGAGTGAGCGGGATACAATGAGGATTGACTGACCGGATGTGTGTGTTGAGAAGGAAGGTGAAGAGGTCCTGGGAAAGTCGGGGGACGCACTCGCGTCCGTCATCCCCGTGGCCGACATACCGTCCCTGCTGATCCTTACGCTGCACGGTCCGCGCTCATATAAAGCGCTTCATTCACATTTCTATTGTTCTTGTGCTTGAATCAGGAATCAGCGAGATATAGACTGACTTTGAGAGCCGTGCGCAATGTCCACTGGCACACCAGCAGGACTCCCAGCTGCTCCAGCGGTGAGCAGTATGACATATACAGTCCAACGAACCATCAGCTCATCTCCCACAGGGGAAACAGTTCTCCTTCTTCGACGTCGTGCCGGTTAGGGACGCCCACGATCTCGCAGGCAGCCCACACATATTACGCGTGCGTCTACATCGCCTCCATTTAGCGTATGCTTGCACTCTCTGACATTGGAATAGAGTGCGCATGAAATTTCGACTATCTCCTCATCATCGTATGGTATCATTGTCGCCGATATTCATGGAAGCGTCCACGTCCTCGACCGCGAGTTTGAGTCTGTTACGAGCTGGATCGCTCATGTCGCAGGGCGCGTCACACACATAGTTGAGCGCCGCGGTGTCCTCGTTACACTCGGAGTAAGCATCGCTAACTTTTCACTTTTTCTGCCTAATTAACATAGTATGATAGGAAGAAGATACAGTGCGTTACCCGCTGCTGAAAATATGGCATCTAGAAAAGACGGACAAGAATGGATTCCCGATTTTACTGCGCTCGCTCAAAATACAGCACAGTAACCGACCGCATCCCGTACGCACCCGTCTTTTTCGCCGCTTCAAATCAACACTTCACGATAGCACACACAGGTGTCTAGTGTAGCCCTCTCCGCCGCACTCTCCTACCTTGCCATCGGTCTCGGCGATGGCACCGTTCTCTTCTACCGCCATCTCGACCAGTCCCTCTTCTCCGGCTCCTCCTCGCTCACTGCGCTCCCCAAGCCGCGCGTCATCCATGAGTCGCCCACCGAGCCCATCACGGCCCTCGGGTTTAAAGAGGCCACCACTGAGAGTCCGCACCTGCACCTATTCATCACGACGACGAACCGCGTTCTCGTATACCAAGCGTCTGGCCGGGGGAGCGGTGCCGCGGCGACTGAAGTTGACGAAGTGGGCGCGGCGCTGGGGTGTGCAGTGATGGACTGGCATGCACGAGATCTGGTCGTCGCGCGGGACGAGGCAGTATACGTGTGCGGAACGGAGGGGCGCGGTGCATCGTTTGCTTATGAGGGCGAGTCTTTTTAAATTCTCTTCAGCAGCGTTTGATGACTAGATGTTATCTTATCCCCGGCATTACAGGGCATAAATCATCTGTGCACACGCATCTCAACTACCTTGTGATCGTGTCCCCACCATTTCAGCCCTCCATGTCTTCCGCGTCTGCGACGGTGCGCAACCTTGTTGCGCGGGGCGGTACGACAGCAGGAGAGGAGATCACTAGGCTCGCGGTGTTCGACCTGGAGAACAAGTTCCTCGCGTACTCCGGGACGTTCGCCGAGGGTGTGCGCGAGGTCATATCGCAGTGGGACCAGCTCTTCGTGTTGTCTAACGATGGACAGGTATTTCTTCACACAGTTCAATTTCATCGAGCCGGTATTGATACTGGTTTTGTTGCTTCTGTTGCTTCGTACTTGCCGGCTTTTGTTGTGTGCCATGCGTAGCTTGTGTGCCTCGAAGAAAAGCCGACGTCACAGAAGCTCGAGATGTTGTACCGCAAGTCGCAATACACACTTGCGCTCAGCCTCGCACAGACCCAGCGCTTGGATGAGTCGAGCGTCGCCGACATCCATCGGCAGTACGGCGATCACCTGTACGGAAAGGCCGACTATGACAGTGCGATGCAGCAGTATATCAAGACGATTGGAAACGTACAACCGAGCTATGTCATTCGCAAGGCAAGCGCTTGTTTCAGGTTTGACAAATGTATTCTAACCATTGGCTTCGCAGTTCCTGGACGCACAGCGCATCCATAACCTTGTTACATATCTGCAAGAGCTGCACTCCCTCGGCGTCGCCAATTCTGACCACACGACGCTCCTCCTCAATACGTACACGAAACTGAAAGACGTTGCGCGCCTTGACAGTTTCATCAAGACTGAGTCGCGGCGCGCAAGTGCAGAGGCGAGCGAGCTAGACAAGGACGAGCTGCCATTTGACCTTGACACGGCGATCCGCGTGTGCCGCCAAGCGGGTTACTTCGAGCACGCATCCTACCTCGCGAAGCGCTGGGGGCGGCACGAGGATTACCTGCGCATCCAGATCGAGGATGCAGGCAATTTCAAGGATGCCCTTGCATACTTGCGGAGGCTAGGGCATGAGGCCGTACGTGGTCCTCGAGTTGCTGAAACTGACACGTGTAATTGATCGAACCCGATGGGTGCACAGGCTGAGCATAGTCTCGCGCGGTACGGACGTGCCATGCTTGATAGTCTCCCAGACGACACCACCCAACTTCTCGTCGACATTTGTTCGAGCTCTAGCCCCCTGACGTTTGAGCCCGAAGATCAGCCCGCTTCCCCGGTGAAACAAAGCAGTGCAGGCGGGTCTTATCTCTCCTACCTCGCCCTCAACCGCACCTCCACAGCACCATCTGATACCCCCCTACCTTCATCAACGTCCACGACAACCGTCCGACCTGGCGAGCGTGACCCACCTAACCGACGGGACTCGGTCCACGACAGCTCGCGCACTAGCACTCCACCCCCGTCAGCACCGCTGACTACAAAACTCCACGTGGCGCCCGCACCCGTCAAGCGCCCATCGCCCCGCCTTTACTTTGCGAATTTTGCCGGTCACCGCGAGCACTTTGTGACGTTTCTAGAGACGGTCGCGCTGCAGAGGTGGGGACAGAGCCTGGATGTGCGGGATGGTGGCGTGCTAGCAGAATCAGGCGCAGACGTGCCTGTGGGCGATGCCGTGGAGAAGAGCGATCAGGCGGCGGTGTGGAATACGTTGCTGGAGCTGTATCTGACGCTATCTGGCGTCGGGGACGATGAGGGTGGGGGGAAAAGCCAGGATACGTTGCGGGACAAGGCGCTACGGCTGCTCAAGGACGAGCGAATACCTTACGATCCGACGCATGCACTGATCCTGTGCTCGTCGCGGCGGTTCACACCTGGGCTTGTGCTCTTGTGGGAGCGGCTCGGGATGTATGAGGACGTGCTGCGGTTCTGGATGGATAAGGATCGTCAGGGCGCAGACGCGAGCGCAGCTGCGGAGGTGATGCGGTGCTTGGAGCGGTACGGCGCAGATCATCCACATCTGTACCCGCTCGTGCTAAGGTTCTTGACGTCGTCCTCGGAGCTGCTGTCGAGGCATAAGGGGGACATAAAGAAGGTGCTGGAAGCGATCGATGAAGAGGATGTCATGCCGCCTCTGGCTATGGTGCAGGTGCTGAGCAGGAATGGCGTAACGAGTATCGGGCTCGTGAAGGAGTGGCTCCTAGGACGGATAAAGGAGGCGCGGGAGGAGATCTCCACGGTAATTTGCACTTGTGCTGTATCGCCTGTGTCTGCTTGTGTATTGACTTGCATCCAGGACCAGCAGTTGATCAACTCGTACAGACTCGAGTCTCAGGCGAAGCTCAAGCAAGTCGAAGAACTTTCCGACCCGGACCACCCACGCGTGTTCCATGTCACGCAGTGCTCGAGCTGCGGTGGGCAGCTCGACTTGCCGAGTGTTCATTTCATGTGCCATCATAGTTACCACCAGCGGTACGTCTCCCTGTCTTCCTCCCTATTATTCCGAGCCGTCGCCCGTTATCCGCCAGACGATGTACGTCTAGATGGTTTCCCTCTGATACTAACTGATCGGTATAACAGTTGCCTTGCGGACCACGAGACGGAGTGCCCGAACTGTGCACGTGCGCACGGTGTCATACGTGAGATTCGGAGGAACAACGAGCGGCTGGCGGACCAGCACGACGTGTTCCTTGCGGACGTGAAAGAAAATGGGTTCAGCGCTGTAGCCGCTGGCTTTGGCCGCGGAGTACTAAACGCGGCGCGATTGGACGAAGTTGCCACATGACAACGACTTCTCGCTACGAGGATACGCATTGTTCTTTGTATCTTTTCTTTTGTTCCGTTTTGGATCCTTGCTGACATACATGTAGTATACCTTGCATAGTGGATGTTGTTCAGTTCAAAGCGAAAGGCAGTGCACATCACTTAGACGAAAGCTGTCACCGGATTTGAGCTAATTGACAAGGTTGCATTCCCATTCGGTACATTAGCATTGTCAGAGCTGATCTGTCAACAATGTTTCGATTACCCCTCCTGGCAAAAATGATGCCGCTAATATAAATGGTGAGACGTACAAAGATTGCATGCCTCAGGGTCCTCTAATAGCGGCGTTCATTCAACCTGTCACACAGCCTTGACCCTCCTGGCAGTGCTGGCTGCTCCTTTAAAGGAAGAATGAACCCTACCTCAAGTCTATCATCGATGACTACCTCACACCCTCTCCCTGCAGACTACCCGGAGTCTATTATCGTCACCAAGGGCATTCAGGGCCTTGACAGTGGACTGTGGATCGATATGATTCACAGACGCTCTGCTGACGTTCCTCGGGCCATTATCAAAAGGATTGAGCACTACAAGTGTACTGACGGCTTCGAACAAGAATATCTTGCTGCACATATTGATCATCCATTGTGTATGAATGATGACCGTCAGGTCGTCCTCTTCGTCGAGCGTACTGCGCGCTTTGATTTCTCAACCATACTCGGTCTCAGCTGCCTTCCTTTCACCTCACCAGTCCCCGCCTCAGATACCATCTCGATCTCGTCGCCGTCCGTGAAGGACCCCATCGCATTCATTGATAAGGAACATCAGAACCACATCCTCATCTCTACCATCGATTTTTCTCAAGTGGATGCGCGCCCGACGGACAAGGATCTTTCTGATGTCCTCGAGATCGCCGCGGCGCAGCGCCCGTCGTTCGACATCAAACATCAGGGATATTGGCTTGCCAGATTGGTGTGCGATACATTATATGACTCATTTGGAGGCCAGCAGACCTCAGAGAATGCGCATAAACACGGGTATCTCGGAGCTCTTAAACTTCCGCAAGGCGATGGGTGGAACGAGCTCAAAAGCGCGTTTATATATCAGAGGAATAGCGAAAAATCAGTGAGTCTGCATGTTCGTGATTGAGTTGGCGCCATTCATTAACTTTCATAAATTTTGGAGCAAGTTCACTGATCATCCCAATTGCTCTCTGGATTACCGCAATATGCCTGGCCCATAGTGCTCAACCACGTTGGTCTTAGATGAGCACAGATAGAGAAGTAGTGCCTGGTACGGATAAGGAGGCAAGCAGTTTTCGTACAGTGTCTGTTGTAATGCCTTGAGGACAAGATTGGGCGTTCATGGACATCCAAATCTTGCTAATTCCGTCGATTCTTCCGTCAAAACACGCCTCTGCACCACCTTACACGAGCCTATACGATTCGTGACCAAGCCAGGGTATCTTGTTACACGTTGCGATGATCATCTACGATGTTACATTTTCGCGTCTTGTTACATTCTAACCCTCTACCACCCTATAGCGTACCTCTTATGCTCATTCCCACCTGTTTTTTATCGTGTCGGTTTCTTTCTGCGTCAGTTTCATCAAAATTCAACAAAGTTTCTAAGACCGCTCTTGTCTGCTTTCATATACACAATTTCATAGAGGCTTGGAGCGTGTACTTAAGAACGACAGATCTTCGATAACCAGTAAGTGAACCGAGCTGTCTATATGTTGGTACATGGATGGTGTCAATCATGGATCCTGAGAAAAGGAAGCCTAATTGCACTAGTTGATGCAACCACCTGAAACGGCTATGCACTTGATATGAGCCAGTATGCCTTGGAAGTAAAAATGACGATATGAACCAGTATTCCAGTGAATTCAGGACGGTAAAATTTTCTTCTCTAACTCAAAAGAGCATGAGCTATTGAGAGATGGTGATGACTTGGTAAAGTTACTCGCCCGTAGTGTGCTTGCCACCGTCACTTTTCTCCTTCTGATCCATCTGCGCCCTCTGTACCCCCTGCGCCCCCTGCGCCCTCTGTGCCTTCTGCTTCGTGGTTTGAAGTAGACGCCTTGCCCAACGGCTGTCTATAGGGCCACCACCTCCAATGCCTTTGCGGACGCTCTCCTTCAATGATCTGGCACCCAACGGTATCCTTCAACGAATCAAAGACGCTTTCAATCAGAGACGCTCTAGGTTCGTGGCCACTATCCTCTGCTCCAGACAATCGTGTATTGATTAATGCGGCTAAACGCACATCATTTAGAGACTTCTGTTCAAAACACATGGTGCGAAGTACCATGGTTTTGTAAAGGCCATTGTGGCTCAATGGGGTGGACGATTGCACGGGAGGTGGCTGAATTGAAACCTTGAAGGGCGATTGAGGGGCGACTAGGGAAGAAGGGGCCGTGACATTCGCGGAGAACACACGGGCTAAGTAGGGTTTCCCTAAAATATGAGGCTTGATGAAGAGGACGGCCAATTTATCGTCATAGAGGGGATGCATGAGATAAATAGTAAGGCTCTCGTGCTGGGATTTTTCGAGGGATATGCAATGCTCGACTTTGTTGATCACGGCGTCCCGAAGGCCGCCTGGTCGATGGAGGACATAGCCGACCCAGATATCGATATCAATCTCCGATTTTGTCTTCGGAGTGAGTAAGAAAGCTTCTTCTGGATATCTTGAGCGTCTGTTCATAAGGGCTAAGGTGATTCGCCTATCTGTAGCGTAATGCTGAGGCTTATAAACGCCAGTGCTCTCTGAGTCTGAAACATATTGGTTCTGTGAGCGATTAGATGCACATGCAGGGATGGTCAGGCGTCCTACCTATGCTTAGGACATCATCCCATTTGATGGACGTAGAGGACCAGCGAAATATCAGGTGGGGAAATGAATGATACAGGAGGAGAACATGAGGGGAAGTTTTTTTTTAACAACGCCCCCTATGTCGAAATCAGCGACGAATGATCATTGAGACAGAGTCTAGATTCTGCCGGTGATAGAAGTAATCGAGCACCTCATATCTTCGCTATTCGGCATAGTGTCTGAGCAAACTTAGACCCCCGCTCGAGACATGGTACTGAGCGAGACAATATCCGTATTTTGCGCGGCATATTAGATTGTTACAAAATGAATGGTTTGGCTGTGAACACAAGTTGGAAACATGTGTTTCACCTATTGAGCATGTCGTAACTTGAGTGATACCAACATAATACATACATTCTACGACTCGCGGTCATGTACTGTACCGGCATACCTTCCACACCTTGAGCTACAGGAGACATGGACCGATCCATTAGGACCCACAGGGTCTGGAAGTATCTAAAGAATAGTCAAGCTACAACGGCAAGCGACATCATACGTTTATATGAGCCATGTCCTGGACAAGCCTTAATCTGTAGCGAGATGACCGAAGTTCCGTACCAATCTTTTCCAACCGCGAGTTATACCGGTGTCTCGAAGCAGCGCGTCTGCGCTCAATTCGTTGTAATCAATTCAATAACGAAGGCAGGAGATCGCTAGCGAGAAAGCTCACCCTTTCTTCCTCCAGCCCTGAACACCTAATGTGATATCCTCTTCTGATGAAATGCTGTCCACACGTCTTGAAACCTCTGCATGACGGTGGCAAGTGAAATCGTGAGACTCTGTCCAGACCCCTCGACGCCTCCTGTGGGGAAACCCTTATTTTTCCCCACTTGCTCACGACCTGTGAACAGCTCCTTCAAGACGTCAAACACGCATCGTATGTAGGAATCGGACAGAGATGGGAAATCTTTCATGACATGAAGGAGTACTGCCAGTTGTAAATCGGATGGTAGATGATCGGGAGGAAAAATGAGTGTGCTCGCGACCTTGACGTCCTTGTGTGTGCGTATGATAGAAGACAACGCTTCCTTCGCATCAGGGGTTGGGATTGAGATAGTAAACTGGGCTCGGGAGGACCCCCACATAGAAGATGAGGACGAGCAACAGAGTTCGATGATCGATCGAGGCGGCGCAGAGACAGCGCGTTCGATGACAAAGATGGTTGGGCGAATGGGATGGTTAACATAGATAGCAAGAAATCCTTGATCGTTCTTGACGCTCCTGTGATGCTCTACCTTGTAGATAGTAGCATCAGAAAGGTAGGTTTTTCGACGTGAGACGAGGCTGATCCATATATCGATATCTAGGCCTTGGGCACCCTTTTGGAAAGGAATTTTCTCGAGGTACGCTGCGTTGTTCTGCATTGGGAGCAATGGGAGTTGAGAAGGGCAAAACAAGGCGGTTGGGCAGTCGGAGTGTGTCGTTATAACGCAGACGTGGATTCACGAAGACGCTTATCGAGTGCCCGCATAACGATCTTCGGGGATATATTGGTCAAATGAGTGTCCGCGTTTGGAGCATGTGTGAATCGTGACCTATGTGGAATCTTCTTCGGAACGTGAGCAGGGCTACATGTGAGGTTCGACGCACTTGGGAAGATCAGATGGCCTTGAGTTGGTCCATGTGGGTCCACATCAAGATTAAATAGTCGCCCATAACACTTCGAAATGAAGCGCTGTGGCCACATGATATCGATATGTTCTTGTTATAGATACGATAGCGATGTGGAAGAGTTGTCCTTCTAGACGTTTAGAGTCCGCTCGGAGTGATCGTACATCGAACTATTACTATTCCCAATCTACACAGAGATTAGCGGATAGGTTGAAGGGAGAACAACGAATATGCGAACTAACCATCTGATATTGTAGAATCGTCGGGAACCACCCTTGTGAGGGGTTCCATCATTCTCTTATTTTGTTTCGCTTGACTCGCTGCAAGTCTGCTATTGCTATTTTCGTCAGCGCTTTGAAATATGATCATCCTAGGAACGCCTATGGAAATTTAGGCCAGTAGCTTATGCCGACCAAGTTAGACTGGGCCTCGCTTCCAAGGTGATCTATGCAGCACAAACTCAACCTCACAATATACATGAGCCACTGACCCTCATTCAACTCTCCAATGTCATTTGCGAGCATCAGTCAAGCATGTGTGATTAAGGGCGAAGCAGATGCTGGAATAGGATACACAACCAAGAGTCAAGCTAGTCAAGAGTCAAGACGTTCGCGATCTGCATAGCAGCCTGTTCCTGCCTGTTCTAGCTTCGCAGACGATGGCACGTGCGATAGGTTATACAACAATTTCCCACATTCTGCTGTATTTCATTGGAGTAGAGCCTGTGCGGCTTGCCCGACCGTAGGGACTTCGACGAAACGCACTATTATTTCATTTCAGCCATATTCCTGTCACAAAAATCTCGAAACAAAGGAATTAGCTGGAATTAGCCTGAGCGTCGAATGCGAGAAGCGGGAGCGGACAATAAGTAATCGGCATCTACCGGCACACCGACAAGATGTTCCAGCGCCGACGCGAGTTCTTTTTCGTCGAGGCCCATCATAAATTTGGCTGTCATTTCAAGCGGCTCATTCTGCCTGCTCTATCCGTCTTCATACAATCACACACCCGATTGCTTTATATTTAAGCAAGACATCAGTGTCTTGATATTCCATGCTGCCAACATCCTATTCTAGGACTGCCAGTTGATCGGAACCTTGCTGGACAAGGCGATGCTTACAGCTTGCGTTGATACGGGGCAGCGAAAATCCGATCAATGTTGTGAGCATGAAACATGATGAATTATTCAATTCTCCTATCCGTATGACTTCTGCATTGAATGTTCACACTGAATTTTCAGACCGTGTGCACGGAGTATAGTCGCCCTTGCTGAGAGCAGGTGCGTTGGCATCGTCGCAATATGTACGTAGACTCGATGATACTACAAGGGTAGGCATGGTTGACGTCTATATTTTCAGACCCAGTTCCGTCCGCTCCTCGATCAGGATGCTTTCAGCGATTGTTTAGGCCGTCACTATCGCAGCATTATCCTATAGACTCTGCAACGAAATCATTGATCAGTGGCTATGTGCTACATCCCGCTGAGAGATATCATATGGCCGACTTGGGTAACAGACAATTCAAACGAACTATGAATATGGCCCGTTCTTGCTTATTCTGGCTGGCGAGTCGCTCGACCTTACCCAACTGTGAAATTACTAACACCTCATCCACAGGGTCAGTAAAATTCGAAAATAAGTATACCTTAGGCTCAACATCCCTCTTTCATCTTTCGTGACTTTCCGCTTAAGGCCTTTGAAATCATGATGCAACTCTCTGATAAGGTTTTCAGGAACATATTAGCGGAAATCGGACAGCTCGAATACCGCGCGAAGACCCCGATCGATGTGTCGAGTTATAACCAAATGTGTGCAAAAGCTGCGCGAACTTTCCAAAGTCATCCTGGGGCGTCCGTATCTCATATTCACAGCGTTCCCGCCATTCCGGCAGACCGTCGTTGTTATCAACCACAGGTACGTAAATTTTGAATTTCGCTGCTTCGGATGTTGGCGCAACCTTGCGCCCAATGTCAACGCAATTATGCGGAACAAATGTATACATCCGCGTCGCCGCTACTCGTTCTGTACCAAACCAGATCTGTACAATAGTTTACGGACAGGATCCTCCAGTATTGTATCAGTCTATGCATAAGCTTAGGGTCTAGTAGATGCTGCAAGCTGCTCTCCTGAGCCAATGCACTTACAAAAAATGTGAGTGATCCACGGTTAAAATGCTGTAGTGGCTTCACTCATGGAATACCAGTCTGAATGATAGTGTATGTGAGGTCTCGATCCTCCAGTCGGGTTAGACAAGAGCCTGTTTCGGATTGGTATATCAAAGCTGCAGGTATTCCTTGACGTCCTGGGCTGTCACGGAGAAATGGTCTCACCTCCATATATCCACAAAAATCTTATCATTTCCGATGTCCCTGTGTCCTTACAAATTCTCTGTCCGTTCTCCTGATTTAAACTGACCAGGATCCTGCGATGGAATTATCAACAACCCACGAATCATCCCTCCAATGAATTCTCTCCTTTCAACGGAATATCCGGAGGAGGTTCTTCTCTCCAAAGGTGTACTGAACATCGACACCGTTTTTTGGGCCGATATGATCCTTCAACGCTCTGCCGATATCCCTGGGGCGGTCATCGAGAAGGTCGAGCACTATAAATGCACCGACGGCTTCGAGCACGAATTCCTCGCCGTACATATCGATCACCCTTTGAACGACGCAGCTAGCGGCCGGAAGATCGTCCTCTTCATGGAGCGCACCCAGCGTCCCAGCCCGTTGACCATTTTGCTCAGCAGCACTGGATCACCTCCACCCATTCCTGCCACCGATGTCATTTCAATCTCGTCTCCAGAAGTGCTAGATCCCATTCAATATATAACAAACAACCACTTTCGACACGTCCTCATCTCCACTCTCCAATTCGACGACCGCCGCCCAACTGACAGGGACCTTTCGGATCTTGTGAATTTTGTCGCAGCAGAAAAGCCCAAATATGACTTGAAGTACCAGTGTTATTGGTTTTCAAGCCTCATCTACGATGCGTTAAGGGATATATTTGGTGGCCAGCCGACCGACTCCGAGCATGCGGAAATGCGCGGCCATTTCTACGGTCGCAAAGCGCCGAAAAGCGAAGGGTGGGCAGAACTCAAATCTAGGTTCAAAAGCTCGACATCTACCCCCGAGACGATCAAATCTGTGAGTTTGTTTGTCCGCCTCTCCGTCTTGATAGTTTTCTGAACCATCGCGGCCTACTCAGGACGAGGGCTTGTAGCGGGTCTGTCGTTAATGCCACATGGTGGTTAGCACTACTGGAATACTGATGTTGGCTTCACTTTTTCACAGACACCGCCGTAGCTGATAATGCCGTGCAGGGAATGACCTTTCCATCTGCGATGAGGTGCGATATCACAGATTATTTCCCCCAGCTTCCTGCCGCGCATGCCGCATGCTGACTTGATGGACTTCCATCTTTGCAGAAAGCATTTCGCGTCGATCCGATTCTTGATACGCCTGTGCCTTTGTTTCTGTGTCCGAATTCCTTGTCATCGTGCACCCCGAAAACCCCGAAAATGTCTAGTTGTTATTGTTCTTTATTTTGTAAGCTAGGCCCAAAGGCGCCTTTTCAGATTTTCTTGATGGGCCAGGTTGCTGATGCTATTATTAAAACGAAGTAGTAGAGTTGATAGTAGATACACGAGCGTTCTCGATTTGCGGAGTGCTTCTGGTGGTTGTCGAATGCAATGTACTATTATTATGCTACCGAAGATCGGACTTCAGCCGCTGGCACTGAACCAGGAGATAGAAAGCCAGCCGTCGCGTTTAGAGATCGGAGCCCATGATCAACTCGCATTTGGCATCAGCGGCCTCCTAGGCGCCTACGACGGCGCGATCTCGAGGCGACAACAGACTCGGTTACGTTGCTCGCCAGGAACGAGAGGCACGAGCGCCAGTAGTAGCAGAGTGCCCTGCACGAATGTCAAGGGGTGGTCCAGCGGTTTTTGACTGTGGTGTGCTCAATGCCGGTCTCATAAGTTGCGTGTGTTTCGAAAGATCAAGGACCTTGTGCAGTGAACACGATACCACCGAATGCAGAACTGTCCACTATAATACATAATATACAGGACACGCGCCGAAGCGCAGAGGGAGCAAGGGAGTATAGGGAGCAGAAGAGCAACAGAAAGCCTATGTATCCACGGCCCCGGCCAACTGGAAGGTACGAGAGAGAGCGCGTGCGTCGTGCGACGTCGGTCAGCGCTGGGCGTCCGGCTGCTCCTCTGGCGGAACGCCCCACTCCGGGAGGCCCTTGGGCCGCGGGATGCGCTTGGGCTCCCACTCGGCATCGCCCGCCGCGCTCAGATTCTGCAAGCGCCGCGTAGGGCCGAGGCGCGCACTGGTTAGCTCGTTCGGGCTGTCCGAACATACACGCACGCGCATACACACGCATGGGGGGAGCGGGACTCACGAAATACTCCTCGCGGATGTCGAACTTCTTGCGGTTCCTGTCGAGCCCAAGCGCCTGCTCCTTCGTGAGCTGTGCGCGGTGCAAGCAATCGCGCGTTAGCCAGCCAGCCGCCGTGAGCCCCACGTCCAAACACATGGGACGATATGGAAAGAAAAAAAAGGACAGAGGGAGGGAGGGACGTATGTGGACGTGAGCGCATGCACATACCTGGGTGACCTTCTGGCTGTGCAGATCGTAGCGCGTCTGGGTGAACGCCTGGAGGCCGAAGGACGTGCCTACAATGAGGCTGACGAAGGGGATGCCGAAGAGCAGCGGGCTGCGGCGCACTGCGCGTGCGACGGCTGACTGGTTGAGGGCGTTGGAGCGGAAGGTGGGCATCGCTGCTCGGCGAATGCGCGCGCAGTGGCGGCGGCGGGGATGAGGAAGAGGAAGAGGGGTCGTGGAGCGACGGACGTTTCGGCCGGGGGCGGGCGACGGGCGCCTTCCTTTCTGGGACGAGGCGATGGAGTCAGCGCGAGATTCCGCCCATCGCATCTATCGGCCCTCTCTCTCTCACTTTCCAAACAACATCGCAGCATCAATAACTTATTCAACCCACGCCATCCGCGTCTGCAGCGCTCTCCATCCTATCGCAGGACACGCCCAGCAGCCAACATGAGCGGTACGCGCCCCTCTTCCACCCGCTTCTCATTTTTTCGCTGCTGATCCGTCTGTTACTCTATGTTGTCTTCACCATTGGATCGCGGCGCATCGTAGTCACGGTCGTGCTTGGCTCGCAGTGGGGAGACGAGGGCAAGGGCAAGTTGGTGGATATCCTGTCTGCCGAGGTCGACGTCTGCGCGCGCTGCGCGGGCGGCAACAACGCCGGGCACACCATCATCGTTCCGATGGGCCCCGAAAACACAAAGACGACGTTCGCGTTCCATCTCCTTCCGAGCGGTGCGCGCGTTTATCATAATAACAATAACAACAATATTAATTCCACTCCTGCGGCCGTGCCCACGACGACGCCCGATCTAGGTCTCATAAACCCCAAGTGCACGGGCCTCATCGGCTCGGGCGTCGTGGTGCACGTCCCGTCTTTCTTCGCAGAGCTCGATCAGTTGCAGTCACAGGGTACGTTTGGGTTCCTTTCTCTCCCCGCTCTTCGAACGACCGGACGGCTGACAGGCGCCCGCGATCTCGGTGTGCGTTCGTTCGCTTCCCCGCAGGCTTGGATTGCACCGACCGGCTGTTCATCTCCGACCGCGCGCATCTCGTCTTCGATTTCCACCAGATCGTCGACGGGCTGAAAGAAGTCGAATTGGGGGGATCTAGGTGCGCATCTCCTTTACCGCCCGCACTCGCGCCCACACACGCTCCCCTCCGGCGTTTATACTCATCTCCGAAAGGCACGCTTGGCTCACGCGCGTCTCTACAGCATCGGGACGACGAAGAAGGGCATCGGCCCGGCGTACTCTGCCAAGGCCTCGCGGTCGGGTCTGCGCGTGCACCACCTGTTCAACCACGATACGTTTGCGGACAAGTTCCGCAAGATTGTCGAGGGTCGGTACAAGCGCTACGGGCACTTTGAGTATGACACCGAGGGCGAGATCCAGCGGTACAAGGTGCGTGCGCCGTCTCTCGCGCTTGGTGGTAGGATGGATGCTGACATGGTCGTTGGGGGCAGGCGCTTGGGGAGCGGCTGCGGCCGTACGTGGTGGACAGCGTCGTGTACGTGCACGCGGCGCTTGCGGCGGGGAAGCGGGTGCTGGTGGAGGGCGCCAATGCGCTGATGCTGGACCTCGACTTTGGGACGTACCCGTTCGTGACATCCTCGTCGACAACGATCGGCGGGGTGTGCACGGGACTGGGGATCCCACCCAAGCGGATCGGCAAGGCGATCGGAGTGGTTAAGGCGTACACGACGCGGGTCGGCGGGGGGCCGTTCCCAACGGAACAGCTGAACGTGCGTGCTTCTCCGTCGCGGGGGGTTTGGGCGGCTTTGTATTTTGCGTGTGTGGCTGACGATGCGGACAATTTAGGAGATCGGGGAGCACTTCCAGGAGGTGGGAAGGGAGTTCGGGACGACGACGGGCCGGCGGAGGCGGTGCGGGTGGCTAGACCTGGTGGTGCTGAAGCACTCGCTACTGATCAACGGCTACGACACCCTGAACGTGACGAAGCTGGACGTGCTGGACGGCCTCGCGGAGATCAAGGTGGCAGTCAAGTACGTCGTGGACGGAAAGGAGCTGGCTGGGTTCCCCGGTGCGCGCGGTTGTTTTGGCTGCTATTTTTTGCTGATACTGATGGATACCGTTGCAGCCGACCTGGACGTGCTGGCGAAGGTGGAAGTGGAGTACGTGACGCTGGCTGGGTGGGGGACGTCGATCGCGGCGACGAGGGCGTTCGAGGCGCTGCCGGAGAACTGCCAGAAGTACGTGTCTTTCATCGAGGAGTTCGTGGGTGTGCCGGTGGAGTGGATCGGGGTGGGCCCTGGGCGGGAGAGCATGATCACGAAGAGAATATAGACAGATAGAAAGAAGTGCAGCGCGGAAATGGAACTACAACTGTGGCTGGCAGGGAGCAGCGGTGGCGTGCGCTTACGTGAGGGAGTATATAAGGGGGGAGTGTGACAGTATTTGGCAGGATTTGGCGCCTGCTCTTGTCACTGTCCGTCACGACGCCGTCACCCCCGCCGCTGGTCCGCAGAGTGAAGAGAAGAGAGCTAACAGTCGAGGAGAACGTCGCCCGCGTTGTTGATGGACCCGTCGCCACAGTCCCTGCCTGCGCCCCCGCTGCTCCCGCCAATGCCCGCGTCGACGCGCAAGCGCGCGCGCGAGAACGAGTCGCCGAGCCAGAGGCAGAAACGCGAGAAGGCTGCAGAGCGGCAGCGCCGCAAGCGCGAGCGTGACCGCAACGCCAACCACCACTTCCTCGTCCTCGCACACCAGCAGCAGCATCCTCACTCGCAGCAGCAGCAGCAACAACAACAACATCAGCAACAGCAGCAGCAACACCCGCAGGCCCTCCAGCAGCAGCAACACCCGCCCCCGCCCTCCGCCCCGCCCTCCGCCGACGACTACCCCATCGGCGCAGGCCTCACCGCCGACGAGCTCGCCCGCCGCGAGCGCGTGCGCACCGCCGCTCGCGAGCGCCAGCGCAAGCACCGCGCCCTCGTCAAGCAGAAGAAGCTCCGCGAGCTCGGCCTCGACATGGGGAACGACCTCATGCCTGGCCTCGACGACTCCCCGTACCGCGTCCAGCCCGACGACCCCTACGACCCCGTCCTCCCGCACAACCTTCAGCACCCGCACCCCCTCGCTGGGCCCCCGCACGAGCCGCCCTTCCCCCAGGACCAGATGGTCGGCGGACAGATGTTCGCTACCACCCTCCTCCTGTCCTTCTCCTGCGCGCCGCTCCTTAAGCAGCACCTCCTCCGCACACTCAACATGACCAACGAGGAGCTCGCCTCTATCCAGCCCTTCATCGCACAGGCATGGGATCAGTGGGACCACCAGGTGCGTCCCGCTGCACAGCCTCGCCACCGTCCACCCTCGGCCCGCCCCTGACTTGTTTTTTTTTTGTATTTCTATTTTTTTTCCATTGCATTCTTGCGTACAGCGCCGCATGCACTATGCACAGCACCAGGTCGCCCCAGGCGGCCCCAACAAGGGCCCCGATGGCCCCCACTCACTCGCCGAGCCAGCCACCTCCGCGCCCTACCCGCCCCAGGGCCTCCCCCTCTCCGACTCTGCTCCGCCATACGCCACCGAACCCTCCTCTTCCTCTTCCTCCTCCGCTGCTGCTGCCGCCGCCGCAGCGGCAGCGGCGGTGGCACACGCGCACGCACCAAACGACTTCCGCGCGCGCTTCCACCGTCCGCTCGTCGCGCCTTCGCCGTTCCGCTTCGCCCCGGACGCGCGCGGCGGCGCGCCGCAGACACAAGCGCAGCAACAGCAACAGCAACAGCAACAACAGCAGCAGCAGTCTTCGGGGGCGGGCGCGACGGGTGCAGACGCGATCGATCCACATCTGCAGGGGGTGCAGGGCGAGCAGAAGAATAATATTGATCCGGAGCTTGGGCAGGCGATGGGCGAGGCGGAGGGCGTCGTCGGGCGGCTAGAGCGGGGGTAGGGCCGTCGTTGTCGTCGCTACTGCTGTGGCGTGCGTCGGTGCGGTGCAGGGCGGGCGCGGGGGTGGGGGGGGGGGGGGGGGTGGGGGGGGGGGGGGGGTGGCGGACAGGCGGGGGTGGCGGAATTAGTGTTTCTTTATCATTTCTTTTGCCTTTTTTCCTTCTCTTTCTCTTTTTCTTTCTCGTCGTGCTGTGTTTGCTACGTTTGTTTCGCTCGCGGCGCGTCGGTTCGCGTTCGGCAGGTGTTCGGGCAACTGGGTCTGGTCTTAAAAGCGTGCTCTCTTTCTCCCCCTCGCCTCCGACGTCATCTTCGGCGTCCTGCCATGTCCCGCTTATCTCCGTCCCACCCCGCCCCGCCCCGCCCCGCCCCGCCCCGCCCGTTCTGCCTCCGCCGAATGCGTGTCGAACGCCGGACGTACCTGTACAATAGTAGTAGTAGTAGTACTTATTATTGTCGCGCCCGATGGTTCGCCCCGGGCCCACCTTGTAATGACGACCGACGGCAACGGTCATGGCCATGGCTATGGCTGTGTCCACGGTGGCACTCCATCGTACATACCAGCGTCGGTCCGCGAGCGAGCGAACGAAGTGCAGCTGTATCTCGAGAAATCACATGCGTACTAGATGTATGTACATCGTACAGGATGTATATATGTACAGGACCGGCGTGCGGGTCAGATCGCGATCTCGACCACGGGCGCGAGCGCAGGTGTGGGGGCGGGGGAGTGGCGCGGCGCGAGGCGGCGCAGCTGCGCGACGGGCGTCTGCCGCAGCTGGCCCTTGACCGTCGCGGTCGCCGTGCGCTTCGTGTACACCTTGAGCCCGAGCGTGACGTCATCGTCCGTGCGCTCCTTCTCGACGAGCGGCTGCCGTGTGCGCGCGCGCGAACAAGCGGACGCGGATCGAGCGAGCGAGCGAGCGAAGGCGCGTCAGCGTCGGCGGTTAGGTCGGTGCCTGGAGGTGGCTCGCGAGGACGTACGGTGCTCATGTCCACGCGCGGCGTGGCGGGGCGAGGCGGGTCGGCGGCGTCTGGGAGAGGGCACGCGCGCGCGGGGAGGGCGACGTGGATGCGCAGGAGGGGGTGCTCCTGGTCGTGGACGTTCAGGTCCAGGCAGCTCTGGCACAGGTCGAAGTCCTGACACGCCGGGCTGCGTGGTCATACAAGTGACAGCAGGAAGGAGAGAACAGGAAAAATGAAGAGACGTCAGCGCGCGATTGGGCGGGGTGAGTCGCGTACGTACGACGTGCAGCGATACCGCGGCCCTCTGATCGGGCGCTTCTGTGGTTCAGAGCGGGCGTGGCAAGTCAGCGACGATCCGGGCGGCGTGCAGGGTAGGAGGAGAGCCGGCTGACCTTGCAGTTGTCACAGCCGTATCCGACGTGGACGGCCTCGGCGGCGAGAGGCGTGCTCTGTTCAGCGGCGTCGGCGCCCTTCTCCTCTCCCGCCGTGTGCTCTTCCACGACCGGCGCGCTCGCACGCATCTCAGGCTCAGCCTCAATTGTGGGGAGAGTCGCTGGTGCCACGCTGGCCGTGGGCGAGGCAGGCGCGTCGTCAGTTGGGCCCTCGCCTTCGTCTGTATCACTTTCTGCGGCTTTCGCAAGCGCTTCTTCGAGCTCGGCGAGGCTCTTGCCTGCGAGCAGGTCTTCGGGGATGGGAAGCAAGTTTGTTTGGGTTCTGAGGACAGGCTTCGATCAGCATCACCCCAGCGGATAGACCGGGGAACAAGACAGACGCGGGGCTAAAGTCTGGTTTCGGTGCATCAGTGAATGACAGAACCAGTCAGGCGAGGAAGCTCACTAGAAGCGATGCTCTCGCTCTGCAGCGCGCTCGCCAGCTTCTGCGCCGCCTTTCGCGAATTGGCACCGTCGAGGACATCGTTGATCTGGCCGTTTGTTCTGAGCACCGTCCTGTCGAATCGCACCTGAAATGCGGCAATAATCACACCTGAGGCTCGAACGAGTGAAGGGGGACATGCGCGTACGTGGACGACGTAATCGCCTTCCTCGAGGTCGAGCTCCATCTGCACACTCCTCCCGTACAGGCGATCGTGCACCGACCGGCCGATCGGCTCCGACTCGCCCTTTTTGTAGAGCGCAAACTCGAGCGACCAGCGGTAGGGCCCTGCGATCTCCGCGTACGAGCGGGTGTCAACCTGCGCGAGGACGATGACGGCGGGCGTTAGGGATGATATGTTGATTGTGACTGGGATGGGGTGTTCGGAGTAAGTGCAGGAGTGCAAGGTGGAAGAGGGCTGAGGGTGCGGGACATACACGAGACATCGCCGAAGCTCCAAGCGCCTGGAAAGAAAGCTGGTGAGATTGCGGACGTTGGGCACGATGCGTGGGCTACGTGCTTCGGAGAGGGCGCCCAGTGACACACAACCAGTGAGAGCTCATGGCCCATGTCGAGTCGAAAAGCCGCACGCGCTCGATGGCAGTCCATACGGACAGGAAATCAGAATCTAAATTCCCAATAGACGCAGATCAGTAAGGCAACGATGAAAGAGTCGCAGCACTCACACTCCATCAAAAACTCCCCGTCGTCGCCGAACTTGTGTCCGAGCTCGGGCAGTGCATCAAGCCACTCTTTCGTCCATTCTTTGGAGCCGTCAGACCACCTTCCTGTCCACTCGGTGTCACCCCATGGGTTACGAATCTTCAGAAACCGCTTTCCGTTTACCACCATGGCCCGGATGATAGAGTATGCATGATCTGATGGACACGGCGTAAGTGGGTAGAATATGAGAGATCAGGTCGATGGAGCTTACTTCGCAGTATACCTTAAAGCATTCCAAAGATTGACATTCAGACTGCGCCGTTCACACGCCAACACACTCACCGTTGAGAGGGTTGCCGTTACCACCATCCGAGTCAACAAAGCACCCAAATAATCTGTCCTCGTTAACATGCATTAATTCTTCTGTCCAGAACTGGTCTATATCGAATATGTCGGGCACAGCATACAAGCTGGAGACTCCTCTAAATTCAAAAATAAATTAGTTCTTGAAGCACAAACCGCGACTGCGACAAACCCAGTGAGATCTTCAACAGCTTCTCGTGCGTGTCCGCCTTCCAAGGCCATGAAGTCTCCGTTCAATTTGGCGTAGGCTTTTTCGATGAGGGCTCTACAGGGCTAGTAAGATTGGATCTGTTCATGAGATATTAACAGGCAGCCTACACCCAGGTTTCGTTCTCGGTTCCAGAGCTTCCAAAGTAGAGCGATTTCTGGCCCATACGAGCCGTCCTATTATACAAATCCCTGTTCTCTTTGTGCATGGCTCGCGCCTGGTAAAGACTATTGATTAGAATAAGATTCAACCCAGACTGTATGGAACGGACCTGGTCAGTTAAAGACTCATATTTCGGGATACCGGAAAAAAGGAGGCTTGAACATGACGTATGAGATATGGACCCTTGAAAAGTGACAGCAGGCACTCACTCGTCAATCACAACACTGACCCATCCCGATTCCTTGAAAAATACAAATCCGTAAATTCCGAACTTCTCATCTTGCTGTCAAGCCGATTGACCAGCACGCGGAAATAGATCAACACGAGTCAATGTGGAGGAGAAGAACGTCACGTACTGCAACACAGATCTTTTCAATCAATCCTTGTACAGTGCCCACCATCGCCAAAGCGCTCAGGAACCAGCAGTCCCCCAATGCGCCTTGGACGATATCGCCAGAAGACGCCCCGTCGATGAAAAACTGGGGTTTCTCGAATATTTGCGTCGCACGCAGCACATCAGATGGGGTCAAAGTCACGTTTCCGTTGGTATCCACGGGCCTAGTAAGACCAAACAAACACCTATCGCGATCATCGTACATGTCAAACGACCGGTCTCTGTAGCGACGGTTTTGACGCCTTGACTCGAATGATCAGTTTGTCTGATACAAGAATATGCATGAAGACAGACGAACTGGCACTCTTTTGCGAGTCTGGCCACTTCAGCCTCGCATTCTCTGACTGCTTTTTCGAACTCCTCAGTTACGAGCAAACCCTGAGACAGTAAAAACGGCGTCGTCAGCGTAGCGCCCGACTAAATCATAGACGACCCCACCGCTTTCTCTTTGGGCTGGTCAAACTCCATCGGGCGGTTTAGTGGAGACTTGGCGCGCCCTTCAGGTTGAATGCCCTTCTGGGCATTGTATTGGAGTAGACGGCCGAGCATGATGAATTATTCGATGCCATCTTCGAGCAGACGACCCTTTTATAACTACTCGGTGATGAGAGGAGCTAAACCGGATCAGGCACGTATAGAAATGTCAATGTACCTACGAACTCTGGATAGGCGCGACGAGATGCCGATCAATCATCACCTACCACTTCAATAGACACGAAGCCGTGTAATCATACTACAGCCGAGCGCTCTGGAGCGCTTCGAAGATGACACGCCATTGCAGAAAGCGCTCGAGGATTGATGGTGATTCCTTGCCAGCTTTCTTGGACATACTAGCAAGAAGTTGTGCGGGATGATGCCGACACGACGCTATTAGAAGTTAGAATGCGATAATAGAGTTTTGGAACTGGGCGCGAAGCTTCACTTCAGCTGGAGTATCCAGTCGACCTCCTCGAGAAGTCGAAGGTGAGTAGTTTTATTTCGAGTTCGGGACGCTCTCGGAACATAGGTGGTCTGTCTGCACGATCAGCTCATGATAAGAATTTCAGTCGAGTTAGAGCGATATTAGTAGCGGAACTTCCAGGCGTGTGGGACGGTAGCAGGAAGAAGTTGGTTTGAATCACTCGGCGACGGCGCGAAAACCGTGATGGGTGGGAAAAAATCTCAGCATTGCAGGCTAATAGTCCCATTGACACCGATTCAAAGCGCACTGGTCCTTTGATAGCTAGATGTATACTCCTTGAGACACCCTAAGGACATCGAGAACACGTTTATTATTATTCTCAGTATGTAGGAGGCTTAATACGCTAAATTAAGCAAGGCCTTTTGCAGCTCCTCAATATCTACGTCTGCTTGGGTCGTGAACGGCTCAGGGGTGATAGCCTCTATGCTCGAGCAGGCGGTGGAACAACTGTTACTGGTCACGGGCAGGCGGTCTGTCGTGAAGAATGTGCCAATCAATGCCACCTCCTTACGCAACTCATCCAGCGAGATGCGCTCATAGGGGTTCATCACGAGTATGCGACGAAGGAGAGCGTTTGCTTGTATCGAAATGGTTGGGAAGAGTGTGCGTAGATAATCAGGTTCCTTGAAGAAGTTATTAAAGTCCCCATCGCTTGGGTGGGCAACAAGCCATGGATTACTGCTCGTCAGAAAGTTCAAAAGAATGATGCCAAGTGCCCATATATCGCAGTGTTCAGGCGAGAGCCCCCTACGAGAATATTCATTTCGATGACACTCTGAAGTGTTCAGGGGTGAACATGCATTGCAACGAAGACGGAGACTCAGAGTTACTCACCAGGACTCATATAGTATGTGGTACCACCGTTGTTGATGGGAATGATGATATTGGTAGTGGCGATTCCGAAGTCTGCGAGCCAGAGCTCGGAACCATCTTGGGAACACAGGATATTCTCTGGCTTGATATCTCTATGGTATATGCCGTCGTTATGACACGCCGCGACGGCATCAATGAGCTTGGTGAAGGCCAGCTTCACCAGCTCATCGTTGTTTCGGTAGACCTTTCGGATAAGAATAGCATCGTATAGATCACCGGCCTCGCAGAGATCCATCACGATGAAAAGGTATCTTTCATCGTAGACTATGCGATGAATAGAGATGATGTTGGGATGGTCAGACACTGCTATATGCAATGCTATCTCGCGAATCTGCGCGAAGGTTTGGTCGTCGAGAGGGTCGAGTTTAAGCATACACTTAACGGCGTATTCCTTGGGAGTACCAGCAGCGTTGGCATCTACAGCCAGGTAGACGACGCCAGAGCCTCCAGAACCGAGACATCTTAGGAAGTGAAGGCTGCCATTGTCGATGATTTCCCCGGTAAAATCAGGAAGGTCTGAGATTGGGGAGGACATAGAAAGACGAAGGCGAGTGTGTGGGGATGATGTGAGTATTTGCGATCAACGCAGAAGAGAGTAAGAAAGTAGGAGAGAGAGAGTGATGAGCCTCACATTCTCTGTGAACTGGGGTTTATCACTTTTCTGCCGCAATTGGCCAACATTCCATTTCCTACTTGTCTCGGATGCTGCTAAGAAGGCTAGGGGCGGGTCGACGCCAGGCCCAGAGCTCGAGGCTTCCGAGACATGAGCGAGTCACGAGACGTTGGGTGTGCAACCTAGATCACATGATGGCCCGACGTGGACGAGACAGCGAGCTTGCAAGGCTACGATGGATTTTGGATTTTGGAGGATTCTCTGTGAGATTTGGACATAAAGGTCGTAATTTCTATTGGATATATGTGGCTATTGATACAGTTGTGAGGGTATCCGAAGGGTATGAAAAAAAACACGTGAGTCAAGTCGCAGACTGATAAATAAGTAATACAGCAAGAAGAACAGAACTCTATGAGGCCCTCCACCGCCGGATCGCACGACGGAGAAGATAAACAGGACCTTTCCGAGGGTCACTCAGAGGAATATCCGGCATGAGACGTGTTGCTTGAGGAAAACGAGGGTCAAAACTTGACCCAGGTGTGCAAGGCCCGTCAGAGTCGGATGCGGATTCAGATGAGCTCGTAAATCCACCGTCTACAGCTTCTAGATGAATAAAGCCATACTTAGTGCAACGGAGAGACATTTACACACCTGATGTTGTTTCTGAGGACGTGTCAGTCTTCATTGGGAAAAATGTTGTGATTCTTGCGATATTGTCACGAAGCTCAGGGAGGGATATGCGATCGTCGGGGTTCACAGTAAGGATACGTTGAAGGAGGTCGAGGGCCTCTCTTGAAATAGGGAGCAGCTTTGAAAGATGATCGGGGTCCGCGAGGAAGGCACGGAAAAGGGGGTCATTATCGTGCGCAAAGTTCCAAGGATCAATTGCTGTGAGCATGTTGATCAGAACGATCCCGAGACACCAGATGTCGGCCCGCTGCGTCGAGAACCCATTTTCGGCGTATTCGTTCCCAAGGCCCTCTTGGGACACATAGGGGCGGATCAGTGCGTGATGCAGAAAGTCGAAAAAAGTAGACCAACCTGGACTTATGTAATAGGAGCTACCGAGACCACACATATTCGTCGTCGTCTCAGTAGTAGCAAGTCCGAAATCAGAAAGCCAGAGTTGTGAGCCATCCTTGGAGCAGAGAATGTTATCTGGCTTGATGTCGCGGTGTGCAATCCCTCGCGAATGGCATTCCTCAACGGCATCGATGATCTGGGTGAACGCAGATTTGACGAGCTTGTCATTCCCCTGATACACATGACGAGTCGAGATAGCGTCGAACATATCACCATCTGTGGAGAGATCCATGATGACGAAGTGGTAGAACTCCTCCGTTACCAGCCGGTGAATGTTTATGACGTTGGGATGGGTGGAGACGGCCAAATGCAAGGCAATTTCGCGGATTTGGGACACCCCTGCAGAAGTGTGCGAGTCTCGCCTGAGGAGACATTTTACGGCGTATTCCTGACGACGAGGGGAGGTGGTATCAACCGCGCGGTAAACAACAGCCGTACCTCCCGAGCCCAAGCGCTCTGTGAGAAGGAGAGCGCCATTGTCGATGGTCTTTCCAGTGAATATCGGAAGAATAGCACTGAAGCTCAAGCTCATGATGAGTGCAGGAGGTGGGGGTGAGAGGAAAAGGAGGGGGGAGACTTTTTGGCTCATATCATTGCCCTTATATACATCGCGAGGCTAAGACATTGGAGCAGGCTGTGAGGTCCAGGACAGCATTCAAGCATGGAGGAAGATGAAGGGCGGACGTCAGCATGTTTGAGTCGGCGGCATCGATGTGCGGGAAGTTCTGAGACAAGCGGATGTGTCATTGCGGATGACTCTTCGATTTAACGCGGCATGTCCTCCTAGTAGCTTTCCAGCTCTGTCCTTGACTGAGATTGTTGGCGCTATTCAGACGGGACAGAAGTTGGGCTTCGTGCTTCGAGTAGTGCATTGTCTCGATTGGTGAGAATACGAATTTACCTGATCCAAGTGGATATCGATTTCAGAGACTGACGACGGTGCAGGCAATAGAAGTAGCGGGACAGTTTACTGGCCCGTGCAGCTTTCGATACTGTTACTCTCACCTCCTGTATTTTCAGAAAAAATAAACACCCAAGTTTTCACCTGGTTTTCCTCAAGTTACCTTCCCGCGCTCGATACTGACCGATAAATACCAGTTCATCCATCTTTGGCTTGATAGATGCTATGCAACACATAGTAAGGTTGATGTTCAATTTTTTCTTCCTATAACGCCATTTAAGAGTCCTGGGACGGATCCGGGAAACTCAGCATATCCGAGAACCGTGTTCCCTTCACTTGAATCGCGAGGACGTTTCGTGCCGATTTGCCTTGCCTCCATTCGGACTCATTATCAGTGAGTGCAAGCACCCTAGAAATCCTTTAGGCGAAAACCCCATCTTCCCTTCTGGTATGCGCCATTGTTCAACGTTCAACACCCACCCCCCCTTTCTTCGATGGCAAGGCTCAGCCGTTGGCGCACATCATGACTAGTTTGTTCCACCCTGTCATAGGATGGGGGCGTAATCCAAGCGTTCTGATGCCCGACATTCGGCCTCATGTGATGGAAGATGGGACGATATAGATGGAGTTATACCCCCAACCTCCCCACTTTTTCCGATGATCACAAGACGATTGGCATATGTGAGTCTGTCGCTGAGAGACCTTGAAGCTCTAGCGCACCTTCACTTTAAATCGGTCCAAAGTGATGCTCTATCTATGGGCGCGACGGAGTCAGAAGCTCGCCCGTTGTTGCCCATAGACAGTCAGACCAGGTTGAAAATAAGCACCTTCGCCGGCAAGGGTGGTATGTATTGTTTCCCAATTAAGGAGGTATGTAATACCATAAAGAGCTCGAGGAAGCAGACGGACGCCGTATGTATTTCCACGCCGGCGCGCGATGGTCTCCGTTGTGAACGATTAGGTCACTAGGATCAGCGCCGGCAGCAGATCCACGATGGTAAGAGGGCTACATGTCCGTTATCACGATTAGAACTGCACTGATGGATTATCACTTCCTCTAGACCTTTCCAAAGAGCCATGAGGCCAAAGGGGTGTCCTCCGATTTGCTTGCCTTTGTCTTTTATCTAGATCCATGTCGCACACTGTGGCAATTCCCACTTCGCCATCGAGTCTTTGTCGAAGCATAAATAAAAACCAGCATCCTCTCTGCCTCTGCATCTACATCATCTCGGAATTTGCCCGCACTCGAACACCATCTACCCACTAGCGCGTTACAGTGCTGCTTCCAGACTTGCCAGCGGTTGTGCGCCTCGATATTTCCCCTTCCTCTTGCCGTTACCTCGCAACTCCTGTAATCTTCATTACCTCAAAACGCTATGCAAGAGGGATCACAATTCCAAAAAGTGCAGGAAAGGTCGACGTCGACTAAACCTCAGTGTTTGAGTTTTGCGGTCCGTGCAGTCGCTTAGATACCCGCTGACGAGAGCCTCACCAGGATTCTAAAATTACACAAGAATCATTGACAACCGCTGAAAACAAGACCGATGATATTACTGCAGAGGCCCTAGCTGAGGGGGATGAGAAGCTCAGCGCGAATCTGCAGGCGTATTTGGCGCCGTGCCCTACTCCGGGTGGCCTCAGCCCCCCTCCGTACCATTATAGGATGAGAAATTTAAGTCAGGTACGCCCTTCACATGAAGCGGTATGATAATTTTTACCTAGCCATATTCTGCCAAAACGCTTGTCAGCCGCGCAGGTATCACCTTTGAACAAAATGGTCGCTCAGTAGCATGTAAAAATCATCTGGTGCTTACCCGTACCATAATACCCCTCCCAAAATTACCTTGTGCACTTACCAGTGTACAAGCCTGTCATCTTATACCCAATTTCATAGTTTGTTTCTACTAGCCTGAGCCCCGATTGAACATAAGCGTACCAGTGCCAAGGTGTGAATCGAGTGGCGGGAGTGAACGGAGTTTGAAACCGAATGTAGGCAATTCGACGCGTTGCTCGTTTCTCTCTTACTTTTCTCTCCTCTCACCATCCTCATTCTCCACATCTCTGTTTCCTCCAACTTTTTGCAACCATGGCTATGTCTTTTATTGGGTTCGTAAAGTGCCTACGTGGTCTTTTGACCCTCCGTTGACGAGGCTCAGTGTAGAAAACCTATCTCTTTGATTTCTCATTCAGATGTGCGGTACCGTGGCATCCTGGCGGGGATCGACCCGCAGGCATCGACTATTCAGCTTTCGAACGGTGTGTTTCCTTTGCCGTGATCGCATCACTAATTGCGACTGATGGTGGGGCCTAGTGTTCTCCATGGGCACTGAGTCACGACGGTATGTTTCAGTTTTTTTGCGACACGTCGTTGCTTGATGAATCAATACCGGATGTAAATGAGCTACGGCTCTATCGTCCGAGAGCGCAAAACCGTGTGGATGTTTCCGTTGCCTTCCTTCTGATCTTTTCGTCGTCCTACATTTCCGTTTACGTCTTGCTGATACAAACATGCTCACCGCAGACCATCAGCCGAGTTTATACCACCAGTGCAAGAGCCATATCAGTACATCATCTTCCGAGCTTCAGAAGTGAAGGACCTGGCTGTTGACGAGCCTGCGCCTCGAAGAAGCGTACACGACGATCCGGCCGTCCTTGGGGTAAGCTGTCTCTTGTATTAATATCATGTCTCTTTTCTGGTGATGAAACCAATAACGGATGTAAGCAAGCATGTCTTGTCTTGACCGAGAGCGCAAAACCGTGTGGATATCCCGTTGCCTTCCTTCTGATCTCATCCATCTCACGTCATCTTTTGGATACCTCGACATGTAACTCATGTATTATTAGGCATCAGCACCGGCAGTGAACGGTACATATGCGCCCTATGGACAGCCTGGATTCCAGCCAGGCCAGCTTCCACCAGTCATCCAACAACCTTTGCAGCAACAGCCCTACGCACCGCGACCGCAACAACCTGAGATAGCTCAACCACCAAATGGGAACCGGGCAGCTGGTCCCAGTAATGGCGTAGCAAGTAATGATGGACGACGTAGTGGTGGATTGAACTCTGCTGCCGCGTCTCTCGAGACTGTGGAGCGTGCTCTTGGTGATCTTCGTGTAGCTAATGGTGCGCGCGGCGGCAGACGTGGTGGTGGCGCTGGTGGAAGAGCCGAAATCAAAGCCGGTGATCTGCGCGTACCAAGTACGGACTTTGACTTCGCCGGATCCAATGCTCGGTTCGACAAGTCTGCTCTTGCTGGTAATAATAGCAAGAGCCCCAAGGCCAAGGGCACTTCGGCTTCTGACGAAGAGAAGACGACCTTACAAGACAGCGGGGATGTTGAAGCGAAGGAGAAACCGACAGAGGAAGAGGAGAAGGCCTACAACCCAAGCAAATCTTTCTTCGACTCGTTGTCCTCGTCTACGCAGGGCCTTGCGCCGCAGGGTGGTGGCCGCGGCGGAAGAGGAAGGGGTAGTGGAAGGAACAGGAGGGAAGAGGAGAGAGAGAAAAACGTGGCAACGTTTGGCGAGCCGGGCGGAGTGGGGCTTATGGGGCCTGGTGCGTATGTTGGTGGGTGGGGCGGGTATGGCAGAAGAGGCGGAGGTCGTGGAAGGAGGAACCCCCAAGTAGGTGGACGTTAGGTGAGTTGATGATGGACGTGTGATGGACGTTTCGGTCGGTGCTATTTTCACATACAACGTTGTTCTCTGAGAGTTATTCTGCCAAGTGCCCCACTCCTGAGATATTCTGTCATTTGTTGAATGTGTGAATGTAGGATGTGTAGGAGACATTCAAAATCCGCCATGGCAGGTTGAGCACTATATACTCGGCCGGGAATTATTGACAACCAGAAAGGTTGGTCAATGCAAAAAATAATAACAGAGGTACCCAACAGTTACATGCGACTGCAAGCTGCAAGGCTCACAAAAAAGTACAAGTAAGATGGTCCGCACGAAGGTGAGAGCTCAATGAAGCCTGCTTTACATAATAACTAGCTAACTCTAGTCAGTAACGCATGGCAGTGTCGAGTCGGATCGACCGCAGGAGCTCACAGAGTCCTGCAAAGAAAGAGACTGCATCAGCCTTAGTGTCCAAACAGCCATAACCTATCAGTACATGGGTCCCTCGTTGATCCGAGCACACAAGAAACCAGCACAAAGTGAAGAGAGGCACTGTGAAAGGGAAGGTCAACAAAGATGATCGATAATGATGTTGCAGAAGCTGTGTAAGGTGTGAAACATTGAAAAGAGGTGTAGAGAGGGGCAAAAGAAAGGGAAGGGCAAGAGCAGGCAAGAGAAGTCATGCATACCTCTCCACAATCACCACAAAGGTGGGCTTGGACTGGCTTGTGTTGGACTGTCTTCCATACTCAAGCTCAAGCTCATAAGGCCCTTCGACCTTGCTTTGGTTTCCGCAGGCTCCAATGTCAGAGGCCCTCCATTTGACAATGGTACTAAATTGGCAGCAGGCTTGCCTACAGGGTTGTCCACCCTGTGAGTGGATGTTGTCACGAACGGCTGTTCGGGACGAGAGGATCCTAGGCCACAAATAACACAAGAGGATTTGGGAGGGTGATCGGGACTGATCAGACTAGTGTCTTGCAATCAGAGAAGACTGTGTGAACAGCAGTTCTTAGATTGGACAGAAGTGGATAGCCTAGGGCTTCCATCCTGCGCCGCAGTATCTATAAATATGTACAAGCAGATGCACGGACCAAGTATCAGTGGAGCGGGAACGCGAGGTATAGTCGGGAGAAAGGTCCTACGAGTCCTTATCAAGAAGGTGGGAAGAGGTGAGTAAGCATAGGTGAAACGTTTCGTAACATTACCCCCCCCTCTAGGCCGTCAGTGCCAGAGACGGTAAGTAAAAGTTCAGGAAAAACATAAGCAATGCGCGTAGTCCGAGTCGTACAAAATAATACTTAGGGCACATATTCTCGCTGCCCACAGTCGAGTCATGACGCGATAGCCCTTGAGTACGGACGTCATGATACCCCACCTCGTTACCAACCATGCGGGGACTGCGTTCTAGAGCCGAGTCCCTCTTCTCATCATGGCAGTGGGTACCGGCCCAACGGATTCGAACCGTCGTTTGCCCCGGCAGTTTTACGTCATACCGGACGAGGGCGTCTGTCGTTTAAGCTCCACGAGGACGGAGTATAACGGGCGCGGTGTCGGACTCGCTGGAGTCGTATTCAGTGAAGGGGGGAGGGGGTCGGGTTCGTAGCGAAGGACGGATGAGGCCGGGGGGCGCGGGAAGAAGGTGAATGCGGGGGGAGACAGGTGTGAATCGATATACACCTCGTTCCCTGTCGGTTCTCGTGGGGTAGGTCCCCGGCATTGGGCGAAGCGGAGCGCCATTTGAGGCCGTAGACGAGGCACGAGATACCACAGCCGTGGTAGGCATGTGATACTCGGTGGAGGGAGTGGGGTCGTCGGCGGGGTGAAAGGAGTCTCGAAGATTCTGCAAGCCCATGAGTTTTCGCTCTCCAGCGTTAATACGGGCGATGATCGTGCCCTCTCGGATCTGCAGAGCTCGCTGTGCGTGTCGGACAAAACTCCTTTCTTCCTCTAAAATCTCCAACGCCCTCTGAATCTCCGGTCTGGTCGGTCCTGACACAAATTCTGTGTTAGGCGTCCCCTCGATAAGTCCCATCATATACGCAACGGGGGTCGTGAGATAAGTTTCTCTATCCGGAAAGATGACGCCTTCGTTGGCTTCGCGGATCAGAGGGGGCGGTGAGGGAGAGTGGGAAGGTGAAGGTCTATCGAAATCCTCCGTCAGTAGTCTGATCATCTCGTCTTGTCGTCGTTCGTCCTCGTCCAGTCCTTCCAGGTACTCGCTGAATCCTTCTTCCGCCTCCCGCGCTGCTTGTTCTTCGTCTGTGTCCCACGGTACGGACCGTTCTTCTACTACGGACATCTCGGGGGTCGAAGGAATGGAGGGGTCGGTGGAGGGCGTTTGTTCGATGAGAGTGTTCTCAGAAGAGAGGTGGGTGGATTCGTTGGAAGGCATGTTCGTTGGGAGGATGAATGAGTGATTGAAGGAATGGGGGAATTGTAATGATTGAATTTGGGTTTTTATACGTTTCTGATTTTGTTTGTCCGATGTTTGCAAGGGCTGCCCGTAATGGTAGATTATGATGTCGCGTATCGTATGCTTCCAAAAGTTCTTTGGCGTTCCCTAGGTTTGCTCTCGTGACCCATTCGTCCGCGGAGCTCGGATATCCTTTCCAGTGTACTAGGTATTGATACCCGCGTCCTCGTTTCCTCTTGTCAAGAATCTCTTCGACTTCGTATTCCTCCTGTCCGTCTATGAGGTCGGGTGGTGGCTGTTCGAAGTTGGGGCCGTGAGCTGTTGTTTCTTTGTATGGTGTAAGTAGGGAGGCATGGAACACGGGGTGTATTTTCCATGTCGGCGGGAGCTTTAATCGGTACGTAATTGGCCCTAGTTTTTCTTCTATTTGGAATGGTCCGTGTAATTTAGGGGCTAATTTGTCTTTTGGATGCGTGGTGGTAATGTTTTTTCCCGAGAGCCAAACTTTCTGTCCTGCTTCTAATTTGACTTCGTTCTCGGCGGTTTTTCTTTTCATTAGTTCTGCCGCAACTTCCAAGCTGGCCTTCGTTTCTTTTCGGAGTTGGTCTAGCCTTTCCAGCCTTAGCTCCACTCCGGGGATGTCGGACCTTGGTGCGATCTGGGGTACGAAGGTCGGGTTGTAGCCGTACATGAGTTCAAACGGTGATTGGTGCGTGGCTGAGTGTTCCCTTACGTTGTGTGCGAATTCAGCGTATGGTAATAGTTCAGGCCAGTTCGTCTGCTCGTAGTTGCAGAACGCTCGTAGATACTGTTCTAACTCTTGATTTACTCTCTCCGTTTCACCGTCTGTTTCGGGATGATAGGCGGTTGATAACGCTGTCGTGACTCCTAGCTTCTTCCATAGTTCTTTTGTGAATCGAGCGGCAAATTGTGGACCTCTGTCGGAGATGATCTTTTGTGGGAGTCCAAATCGTCTCCAGACGTTTTTCATGTAGAGGTCGGCCGTTCCTTCCGCATCTATGGTCTTGTTGCACGGAGTGTAGACGACTCCTTTAGTGCTTCTGTCCACTGTTACGTGTATTGCGTTATATGGTCCGACTTGTGGAAGATCCGTAATGAAGTCCATGGTGACTGTCTGCCAGGGTCCTTCTGGTATTTCGTTAGGAATGAGTGGAGTGCGTGTGGGGTGTGTGATATTCTTGGTGTATTGACATGTTGCACATCCTGTTACGTACTCTTTTATGAACGTGGACATTCCTGGCCACCAGAAGTTATCGGATACTAGGACATAGGTCTTCCATCTTCCCGGGTGTCCCGCTGCTGGTGAATCGTGGTACATTTTCGTGATTTGTCTTTTAAGTCCGTCGTCTGGTGGAACGTATATTTTTCCCCTGTGCCAGATGAGATCGTCCTCGTAATTCCATTCTTGTAGACCTTTGGAGAGGGCTCTGGGTCCGGATGCTTTGATAAGTTCCATCGCATCTGTTACTTCTTTATCTTTGGCTGTGACTTCTCTTAGCTTTCGTCTCAGCTGGCTATCGAGCATTTCAATTGTTCCTCGTCCCGTTGCACTTTTGACGAACATTTGAGGTTGTAGTAGTACCTGGTTTTTGTTGTCAAATTTTACCCCCTCTTTCAGGTCTGGACGCCTGGACAGAGCATCGGGTCGGTGGGTAACGCCCGGTTTGTGGACGAGGGTGAAGTCGAAGCGGGAGAGGAAGAGTGACCACCGTGCTTGCCGGCGGGAGAGAGTTCGCGCGGTGGAGAAGTACAGGAGGTTCTTATGATCGGACCAGATCTCGAACGGGTGCCGTGCGCCTTCAAGGTATACGCGCCAGTGATCAAGGGCGTGTATTACGGCGAGCAGTTCCTTATCGAAGATGTCGTAATTCCGCTCGGCCGCAGTGAACGACTTGGATAAATAAGCGACTGGGTGCCATCCGTCATGGGGCGTCTCTTGTGACAAGATGGCTCCGGAAGCGAAGTCGGACGCGTCAGTCTCGAGACGGAATGGGCGATTACCGTCCGGGTACACAAGAACGGGAGTTGACGTGAAGCAATGCTTCAGTTGTTCGAATGCTTCGTTCCTTTCGGGGGTCCATTCGAATGGAACGTCCTTCTTCGTTAGGTCGTTAAGGGGTCGGGCTATAGCGGCAAAGTCTTTGATGAACCTGCGATAGAAGTTTCCAAAGCCCAGGAAGGATTGTACTTCCTTCAGGTTCTTCGGAGTTGGCCAGGCAGCGATTCCATCAACCTTGACGGGGTCCATGGATATACTGTCCGCGGAGATGATGAATCCGAGGTATTCGACTGTGTCCGTTTCGAAGGTGCACTTGGAAGGCTTTAGGAATAGGTCATTGTCCAAGAGTATCTGCATAACTTGGGTTGTCACGCGTCGGTGTTCTTCGATGGTTTTCGTGAACACTAAGATGTCATCCATGTAGACTGCCAGGACTTGTGCTACGATGAGGTCATGGAAGATAATGTTCATCATTGTTTGGAAGGTGGCGGGTGAATTGCAGAGACCGAAGAACATCACGAGGCATTCGAATAAGCCGAATTTGGTCATGAAGGCTGTTTTCCATTCATCGCCTTCTGCTATGCGGATGTTGTTGTACCCCCATTTTACGTCAAACTTGGAGAAGATCCTCGCCTTCGATTTGGCGATGGTTCTTATTACGTCGTCAATCAGGGGTAGCGGATATTTGTTTTTTATGGTCCATTCGTTTAGTCTCCGATAATCTTGCACCGGTCGTAGACTTCCTTCCTTCTTTTTTACGAAGAAAAAGGGTGACGCTTGCGGGGATTTAGATATCCTAATGGTTCCTCTTTTTAGGTGCTCTTGGAGCATCTCGTGGAGCTGGTCTTCCTCTTCTTCCGTCAGCGGGTACAGTTTACACCCCGTTGGCTCCCATCCTGGTTTCATATCGATCTTATGGTCCCATTGTGAGTGTTCTGGAAGTCGCTGTGAAGCTTCCTGACTGAAGATTTTGGCGAATCGTTTAAGTACGTATGCCGGAACGATTTCCTCGATAGGTCGTTCCGTTTTTGCCTTGTTTGCCTCTTCTGCTAGCTGTTGCGATTTGTTTCCGATGGAACCGATATGAATTGCTTCAAGGGGGTGTACTTCCAATGGATTTTGATAGTACCATTCCTCATAGAATTCGGAGAAGAAGGTATCGTCGATTTCGTCTTCTTCCGGATCGTCTTCTATTCTGGAATATCCGACTGTTCTGTTTTTCCTTTGCTGTGCGGGCGTCAGTGCTTGTATGGTAAACTTGGGCCGGCTGACTAGACATGTGGTAGCGCAGTTTGAAAACGTAAGGCTGTTTTTTGCCCAATTGATTTGTGGGTTATGTTCATGCAGCCAGTCCGTTCCCAAGATCACATTTTCGCCTCCTAGGTTAGTGACTAATAGCTCGCATTGTTCGTCGTGATAGTCGTCCTCTTTGTTTGTCATTCTCATAAGCATGCAGGCTTTGTTGGTGATCTTTCCTCCGTCGTTGGCCGTTCCATCTACGTTGAATACAGGGATAGGTCTGTCAATTTTCTGCGTTGGTATGTTGTTTTTCAAGCAGAATTGTTTGTCGATGAGAAGTCCTTCTGCTCCTGAATCGATCAATACTCGAGCTTCGGTGGTTCCTCCTCTATGTTTCAGATGCACGTTTATTCTCATAGATGATTTCCGATTTGATTTGGTGAGCCGTACAAATGTTTTTACAGGAGGAGTTGGGACAGGTCTACGGTACACCGGAGCCGTAGGCCTAGTTAAAAATCCGATTCCTTTCGCTTGCTCATCTCGCTTAACTCCTGAAGGAGTGCTTCCTGTTCGTCCCACCTCATCTTCCCGATAACCCTTTGGATCTCTTCTCGGCTAATCTCAGGCTCCGTCTCACGTACAGGCGCATCCGGTCCGGGTGCGTGGGCCTGGCGAGCTGCGAGTCGGGCTCGGAACGGGTTAGTCGTCGCCACGCTTCTACCTTGCGTCGCAGTGCCTCCTTGAGGACTGCTTGAAGCTCCTGTCGAGAACGTTCGGCCATAGCTGCTTCCTCCGCCTCCCATCCTGCCGCCGGTCTGAGCCGAGCGGTTCCCCATCGTTCCACTACTCTGTTGAACATATCTAGCTGACCCTTCATGTACCCTAGACGAACCCCTGACAGGGCATTGGTTGGCCATATGTCCTTTTTGACGACAGTAGAAGCACCCACCCTCCATCCTGAGGCGGTTGCGTTCTTCGTCGGTGAGAGTCGTTCTGACCGAATCTACGGCCATGGGTACGACGGAGTTGTTCATGGAGGAGGGAGCGTTGGAGGAGTTGTAGCGGAATGGGTTGTTGGATCGAACAGTAGCTGAGGGTACGGAGCTTTTTATGCTCTGTAGCTCTCTCCATTGATTATCGAACCTTCGGGTGTATTTTACCCAATCATCCATTGTCGTCGGCATGTCAGGGAGTCTGTAAATTTGTTTGAGGATCTCCGGGTGTATGGCGCGACGGAAATAGTCGACGGTGGATTCGAGATCGAATCCACTTTCTCCTGCCGTCATGAGATAGTCCGTGACAAACTCGTCTGCGGACCGCTTTCCCATTCTCATTGTGAATAATTTTTGTCTCGCCTTCTGTTCGAGACTCTCATCTTTGAATGCAGCGGCCAGTTCTTTCAAGAAATCCTTGAACGTTCCCCATACTTTTCTCGTCTCCGTCGGTTTGTACTCCCGAAGTTCCCTATCGAAATAATATTTCTGTGCAAAAAGTGACGCCGTTCCTTCTCTCATGTATGATAGCACCATCAGGGTTTTGTCCTTGTCGGTGTCATACTTGGTTGGGTTGGCGAGGATATACATGTGACATTCGTATATCCATTCCCTATATTTCGACCTCGTGCCATCGAAGTCCTTCGGTTTGTTTCCTCTGTCCGACATTTCGTCTTCGTCGTCTGTGGTGTCTGTTGTCGGCGGAGGGTTCGGTTGTGGGTTTGGGTTTGGGTTTGGCTGGCTTGGTCCTGCTACAGGTTCCGGGTCTTCTTCGTCGACCGGGGTTAATACTCCTGCGGGAATTGGGGTTTCTTCGATATCTTCTTTGGGAATATCGATCGGTGATAGAACAGGTTTTGTTCGGATGGGGGAGTCTACGGTTCTGAGAGGTGCCTTCCTGTCTTCCCAGGGTACTAGCGGGGCGTCGACTGTTTTTCCGCTGTTCTGTCCTCCTACGTAAACCCAGTTTCCCTTGGATGTTCTTCTGATCGGTTGTCCGAAGTGGACGAATGTGTCGGAGTGTTTTAAGTAGTCGGTTCCGTGTGGAACTCGTCCTACGCTTCTTCCTGAACTTTTGGAAGTCGTCTTGTTGGATCAAAGAGCCCGCGCTAGTCTCGACCTGATCAAGGTTCGAGGGTCAAGGCAACAGCAGCTCGTTCTGGCCTGGTACAGTATTTCTGCTTCTGGTATAGTACCGTACGTAACGTCGAGTGCAGTTGTTTCGGTCGTACCTCCACTGGGTTGACTACCAGATAGAAGTATTCTACAACCTGAAACGACCCACACTGAAGTGGAATCGTCCAACCGTTCGCTCGAAGTGTATAGTAACTACTACGGTCGACGGACACTTGTCTTTTGGGACTGCCTAGTGCCGTATGTATCTAGCCGGTGTTCTGCTGCAAAGAAAAGGGTGGAGTAGGATTGTGTGGAGAGGCTATCCAGATGTCACGAACGGCTGTTCGGGACGAGAGGATCCTAGGCCACAAATAACACAAGAGGATTTGGGAGGGTGATCGGGACTGATCAGACTAGTGTCTTGCAATCAGAGAAGACTGTGTGAACAGCAGTTCTTAGATTGGACAGAAGTGGATAGCCTAGGGCTTCCATCCTGCGCCGCAGTATCTATAAATATGTACAAGCAGATGCACGGACCAAGTATCAGTGGAGCGGGAACGCGAGGTATAGTCGGGAGAAAGGTCCTACGAGTCCTTATCAAGAAGGTGGGAAGAGGTGAGTAAGCATAGGTGAAACGTTTCGTAACAGATGTTGTTGATATACTATTGTGTGCTCTAAGGGTATTGCTGGCAATCTGTGGAATGCCCAGAGACATTGGGATCTGCCCTACAGCTGCTTGCATTGGCTCTGGGACAGGCTTGGAAGTGGTGGGCCTGTAGGTGGTTGTCCAAGGCTGCATCCTTGGTCCTTTTGTCTTACCCATTTTCTTCCTGGTTGCCTTCTCCTTCCTTGATACACCTCCATCTATGCTCTCAATGGCTCTCTCACTCTCTGACTGACTGATGCTCACCTCAGGTAGACCCTCACATCTGGAAAAACCTCCTCTTTTAATTAGATCTAATTATTCAAGATACTAATCAGAACTGATCAGAATATATTATCCATAACCAACTTTATAATCAAATCTACAAGTAAAGGTAACATTGTCTATACTACTATAGTCCCATTGGAATCTATAATCCAATTGCAGTTTTACACATTTCAAATCCAAATTGTGTAAGTGCTATAATCTTATTTTTACTATATTCTTTATTTTTTATTAGTTTACTATATTATTATCTAGTACCCAAATTCAAATATTAGCCCTGATTTTTAGTGCATTTATTGACCTCTTTATATATAGAATAGATAAAAGATAAATGTGTAAGAAAATTAGAAATGTTGAGATTGCCTTATTTATATCAATATATTTAGGTTACCAGGTAAATAATTTAAACCTTATGGCTTAGTGGTTTAGAGCACTAGTCTAGGGTATATGGACATGAGGTTGTTGGTTTAATTCTGGTAATGGGCAAGTTTATAATAAGATATGACTTTAGTTTAATTAGTAAGCTCTATACATACTCTATAATTGGAGGTGCAGTAGTAGTAGAGAAACCATAGAAGTAGGTTGGTTGATTTTTTTTTCCAAAAATCCATATAATAAATTAGCTTTAATTAGCTCTAATTAGATCTTATAATTTCAGGATTAGAGAGGGGGTAAGCTAAAAATCCTTAATGGTAATTGGTAAAAATATAGCTATATTTATGCTTAACTATGGTAAATTTAATATAGAGCTTTTCCCTGATGCTGAGGCTACACTAGCTAATCTGTCACACATATATTCTTATGAACAGCAAGGATAGGTCAAGAAGGGATTAGTTCATCCTATCATAGAGAAGTCATACCTGGTAGTCATGGTGGAAATAACCAGGCTGGGGGTCATCCAACCTTGATTTGCTTATAGGCATTAGGCAATGGCAACAAACTTGCAAGTGACAAGTAGCTTAGCTACTGGCTAGAGGCAACGGGGAAATCAACAATTTGACCATATTTGATACCATAGGCGATGGATTGATAATTTACACATTGGCTTGGCCATATTGACCCGTGAGGTGGAAACCGCCACTGTTTGGAAGCCGAGGACGAGCTAGGACGAGTTGCAAGTCATTATGGTGGCACCTAACCTAATCGGGTGTCGAATTGTTTGATCCCCGCCGACGCGATTGCACACCTCTCCACGGATCCCATAAGCAACACAACCTCAACGTAGCTCGACGCTCTAACCCGGCTTAAGTCGAATTCTCAACTCATCAATCTTCTCACTCAAACTCACTCAAACTCTAGACACAGTCTAAACCCATTCGTCCTCCACGCAGCCGGACAATCTTGAAAGCGGCCATGGAAGGAGTCACCTCGGGCACAAGGTCATTCGTCTTCTTCCAAGTAAATGTTGTCGGCACAAAATGATCAATCAATCAATCCATGCAGCGCGAGACAATACTGGGCTCGTGTCGCACATCCGAGAATGGCATTAATCAAAGCATCCGCAAGCACCGATCAGGGTGTTTTACAGACAATTGACGATGAAGTAGCCGCTTTGCGTACACTGATCACTAGCATGAATCGACAGCGCAATAGCTTCGCCCGCATATCTTGTCTTCCGCCTGAAATCCTGAGTCGTATATTCTCCTTTCTGGCAGTCATCAATGTGCCCACTGGTTACAATTTTTCGCCCAAGAGCGTAGGTCAAAAGCTAGGGTGGATCAGGGTCTCCCACGTTTGCAGCTATTGGCGGGAAGTTGCTCTCAAGGATCCCACACTATGGAGATGTATTCCTTTCCTCCTTGGTTCCCAGTGGGTGGCGGAGGCGCTTGTACGCGCAAAAGGAGCACCACTTATTATCGATATCAAGGATCAGTTTCATGATAAGGAAAGAGCGCGATCATTCATCTCGTCCACTCTACCTCATCTCTCCCACGTTCAATGCCTGAAGCTAAGCGGATCTACAACGCAGTTCCTGAGCGCAATACAGTCTCTTACGCTTCCCGCGCCCATCATAGATTCCATTGACTTGCAATTTTCTGGTGAAGACATAGTACTTCATCTGCCTCCGGGTCTCTTTGCTCAACATGCCCCACGCTTACGCACAGCTCTATTTGACGACGTGAAGGCTACTTGGTCCTCCCCAATCTTGCGTAATCTAACTACCCTATCTATCTCGTTATCCCAAAGGAAAGTTTCGCCCTCCAACTTACCTTCCCCATCTGAGTTTTTCGAGGCGATGTCAAACATGCCTCATCTCGAGCATTTGACCATCCGGCACTCTCTTCCCAGGCCCCTTACCGCTATTTCCCATGGGTATAGCCTTACCGTCACACTCCATCGACTTATGAGTCTTACTTTAGAAGATACTTGGTTCAGCTCTATGGCAGCCCTCCAAATCATTCGATTTCCCAGCACCACAGATCTGGACCTGGGTTTGACATTGGCACAAAACACCCGCGAAACTAACAATATACTCCCTCGTATTCTCCAGCGGCGTACATCGCCTCTGCGCGCCATATTCATCGAAAGCGATGCATATAACGCGAACACGAATCACAAGATCTCCGGCTGGTCAGACACTGAAGGTTCGCGCGGGCTGTATGTTGATCCTTCTTCCAAAAAACCGATTCAACTACGAGTTTCCAAGGCGAGCCAGTCTACACTTAGGGAAATAGCATCAATCATGCAATCTATCTGCCTCCAAGATCTGACGACTCTCTCAATCAACATCAAAGGTACCAACATCTGGGACATCAATACTTTCTGCGAAGTGTTCACACAAGCACATGGTCTGAAGTATGTACGCCTTTACGATTTTGCTACAGTGCTTTTCTGCATACTTCTCGCTCGGGATTCACACTCGAAACAAGTGAGGAATGAGACAGACGTACAACGCAGCGAGGGGGCTCTTTTCCCCAACCTTCAGTACATGATGATGATGCAAGTTTCATTCTCATTGGTCTACGACCTCGACGATACACCGTTCCTCCCGCTACGAGAGCTCCTCCCTCGCACGCTTCAAGAGCGTAAGGCCCTGGGCGTTCCGCTGCAGTCGCTTGACATCAGAACCCATAATCCGATGTCGAGGAAGTTGTTAGACGAACTGAAAGAGATTGTGCCGATAGCGCATTGGTGGTCGCTGTAGTCGAAGCTCAACAGAGAAGTAAATTTCCATGTCATCGTCATCCGTAAACAAACCGACTCAACTTATCATCAGGGTCACGTCTAAGTATGCAGCATGCCGCGTTAGACGTTGATATCAAATAATAAACAAATATCGTCAGCGTTCGTAGTCACCTCTGCCGCCGTCTATTCTCAGACCCTCTGTGCTCGAGTATGCGTTGCCTTGTAGAAGTCTAGCGTGACCGGCGTATTTAACTCAAAGCTGGCGATAGGGTTTGGCGTCTAACAATGCGAGGTTCGTAACGGAGGGGTCTCGATCTACGAATACATACCGCACATAACAAAGAGCTTGCTGATCGACACGAGGTACTAATCTTCCCTTGGAAACGTTATTTAACAGTGGGAATACAACATGTCATGCTACTTGTGTTACCAGCGCATACGACAGATATACACTGTCCTCGTAGTGCGGGCGAGACTCATTACCAGTATACTCAAGAGAGATCTCCTCCTTCGCACTCCAGGTCACCGTCGAGTTGTCCAGATCCATATAAAAGAACGGAACATCCCCGTTCAGAAACCGCAACCATTTCAGGTTGGGATCGCTATCAAGATTGGACCTCGGCTGCTTCAGGGCATAGCCGCGCGATGAGCACACCTGAGAGCCTCTAAGGGCCAACAGGTGATCAACGTGGACGGTCGTGAAGGGATAGACGACGGCGTTGATCGAGGCGTCCCTACGTCTCTCACCCCAGTCCCAAGGCCAGGACGCGCTGTATTTTATCACGATCGGGAGCAGGTCGACGCGGGCGTCGGCGCGCTTCTGGAGACACGTGTAGAGGAGCGCATCGAACCCGCTCAGCCGCTCCGTGCCCATGCAGTACTTATGCGGGAGCAGGAGGCCGAATGGGCTCGGGATCTTGTCGAGGATGCCCTGCACCCGACGCGCAATCTCCGGATCGCCCGGCACCTCCGCGCTGGCGTCCGCGTCGTCGGAGCGGTAGACTTTGAAGGCAAGCACGGCGCGGTGCCCGCGGGCGATGGTCGTGACACAGTGCGGCACGTCCGGGTAGAACGCGGTCCACTCGCCTGCACACGCCGCGAGCGCCACATCGCCCACCTCCAGATGCTCGCGGCGCGTCGAGTCGCCGATGCCGACGAGGAACGTGCCTACGAGACCCGCGGCGGGGGTGTCGCGGTGCGACTTGAAGTGGCCCTGGGGGCCGTACACGTGGATTTTGTATGGCTCGATGCGCACGCGCTGGGGATGGAAGTCCGCCGCCCATAAGCGCGCCACCTTGTCGAGGAGCGACGGGTCGATGGTGAATTCGGAGCTGGGGATCTCGCGCGCGTTGCGGACGTCGAGATCGAACTTGGTCTCCTGGGCCCTGACGTCACCGAATCCGGACGGTGCGGCGTGGTCGTACAGTCGACGAAGGAACTCCCCGCCATCGGATTCGTCGGCGTAGTAGTCCTTGCTCGGGACGATCCTGTCGTTGAATTCGCATCCTGGGCGCGATATAGTCAACTTGAATGGGGTCCTGAGGAAGCCATGCGCATGGTCGAGGAAGTTTCCGCGGATTTCTGCGAGCTCTTGCACCAGTTTCTGAGAAAATTCGCGTAAGATGTGCATCGAAGGATAAAAACAATCCAAGCACGAACCTCGCTGGATAGAACATGTTTTGGTATTGGTCCCTTCTTGTTTCCCTTCTTATACCTCCTCTCTTGCTCGGCCTCTTCTGAGTCTAGGGTCAAGTCGAAGTCGTAGTCTTCTTGCGTTCGTGCGATCCTAGCTGGGCAGCTGCCAATGGCTTTTAGTTTGGAAACATGCTCGATGGCGTATTTGATGTCGAGCGCAGTACGAGTGGACAATGGTAAGTCGTTGACCTGGGCTAGTGATCAAACAAAACCGTCGACGAGAAATCGAAGATAGAGCTCGCACCTTGATACCTCCTGAAGGTAGAGATCCAGTAGACATCATAGCAATATATTACTGTCTCCTGCAGAACAGGGGTCTGAGGCGATGAACGAGGGTGAAGGCGGTAGAGCAACAGCCATGTTTTTTATATGTGCCCGGAAGAAGGATGTATGCGCCTCGGAGCCGCCGCCAAAAGAGGTGCAACCGTGGACGCGAGCCTCGGGACCGTGACGTCGGAGTCCTCGACGGTTCACTCTCGTTCACATCTAGCTTGGAGTCATGCACGCCATCCACCACGCCCGTTCTCACTCTTGTCTCTGGACGCGCGTCACAACATCATGGCCCCGCCGCTTCCCTCCCTCCCGTCAATTCGCGTCGGAGCTCCCGCGCCCGCCTCCTAAGGCCCAGCCCCCAACCGAGACATTCGCCTCCCCTTCCCAGCCCCGCGCATACTACACACGTCCAAAACCAAGAGACCTGCCCCCATATCGTGTAGACTTCTCCATAACATCCATATGCACGCGCGGTCCCCGACTGACTCGTCCCGCGTGTTCCAGAGAACGTGGCCGGTTCTTCTCGCGCTGGGAACCGCGGGTGTGGGCGTATGGGCCGCGTTCCTCACATACGTCGCCAATCAGGAGCGTCTGTCGAGCTCTGTCATGCGGCGGGTGGTTAGCACGATCCGCCAGAGCCCGGAGGTACAGGACCTGTTGGGGGAAGCCATTCGTCCCGAGCCGGCGTGGTACCTCAACGGGGACCCATGGGTGACAGGATCGGTTAGTCGTTCGAGTCGTCGCCTTTCTACCTTTCCGAACCATCTCGTGACGAATTTGCGGAACTGGGCACCAGGTCAACATGCTGCAGGGTAACGTAGATCTCAGCTTTCGCGTGAAGGGTCACAAAGGTTAGCGATCGAATGACGTTCACACAGCCCATCCAACCCGACTGACTCGATTTTCCTTTTCAGGAGCCGGTACGCTTTACTATACGAGTATACGCAAGGCCAAGGGGGAACCGTTCACAGATAGTGCGTGTCCGACTTTACGTCCTGTCCGTGCATCTGCCGACTTCCACGCTCCTGTACTTCTTGACTATCAGTTCGCTTCAAAATTATCGCCGACAACGGTGCTGTTTTGCAATTGACAAACGAGCCGTAACCGGTGATCAACCACTTTGGCTGTAATACTACCACATACATGAACTCGTTAATCCCTGCTCGTTTCGTTGTGAAAGCGCATGGTGGGAACTTGGTTGCCAGTGGGTGGGCTTGGTGGCTTTATATGGGCGCCTGGCGGCTGACTTCCTAAGAGCATATTGTGTCATCCGTGAGACACCCTTCTGTATTTTCTTCTTGCAGAGATGTATCTGCGTTTTGTAAAGCTGCGACTGCCTGCAGGGCGCCGCGACGTCGGCTCCCGGTTCCGACGCCTCGAGCCGACGCGGCTGCTGTGGGCATCTTCACATAGGTAGAATCCGACTCAATTTGTTGGGAAAATGCAAGCGGGTATATAATGCGCAGGCTTTACTGTCTATCAACCGGTATCACTGCGTGTTTTCCGTCTTGTCTCAGTTCGCCACGACCAACTGATTGTTAACAATGTCCGAGGCGTCGACAAGCCCCAACCAAGAGGTACGAGCACATATGTTCTCTTCTGGCAGTGTTTTAAGTTCATGATTGACTCGCGCTCACAGGTTGACGACCTGCCCCCTTTTCTCGTTCCGCGCTGGACATCAAATCCGCCCTCGAACATGTGTACCTACTGAAACCTATAGGCTATTGTTCCACCATGATCTCCGCCCTGAGTGAAAAATACGACTTCGAAGATGAGCAGGAAGAATCAGTCATCGACAGCCATGTAAGCTGCACATATATCTCCAACTTGCCGCATCTTCCTTGTAGAACCTCGTAAGCGAACTGGCGCGCGTATACGAGAAAGCGCCTGTGTTCGCCAATGGCTTCCCGAAAGCGCCCTTCAGATTGGCGATTTCGCGCCCCGGATGCGAGTTCGACGGCGAACTCGAGCCGACCAAGGATTATCAAAAAGTGGGCAGCGACGGCGAGACGCTCCTCCGCCGACTGTACGACCACGCCGCCGTGTCCGGTTACGGGGACGTCAAAGCCCAGGAGACCAAGTTCGATGCTCACATCCGCCACGCGCGCGAGATCCCCGCATCCGAGTTCAGCGTCGGCCCCGGGCTGGTCGACGAGGTGACGCGGTTGTGGGCCGCGCATTTCTACCCCACGCGCGCGCGCGTCGAGCCGTACAAGATCCACCTCTACGGCCCGCGCGGGCACTTCAAGGCGCACCGCGACACGCCGCAGGCCGGCCTCGTCGGGACGTTCCTCGTCGGGCTCGGCGACTCGACCAAGGACGCCCACCCGCACGTGGGCGACGCGGCGTACGCTGCCTCGCCCGGGGAGTGGACCGCGTTCTACACCGACGTGCCGCACTGCGTCACGGCCCTCGCGCGGGGGCACCGCGCGGTGCTCGCGTTCAAAGTGCACCGCGCCGACGCCGACGCCGACGCCGACGCGGGCGCGGGCGCGGAGCCGGGCCCCGACGCGTCCATCGCGGGGTGCGATCCCGCGCTCGTGCGCGCGGTGCAAGACCTCGTCGAGAGGATCCCGGCTCCCTTCGGCGTCATGCTCCCGCGCAAGTACTGCATGGGCACGCACAGGCTCAGCGGACCCGACGCGCTCCTGCACACGTGCCTCCGGCGGCGCGCGGGCGCGCGGGTCGATCTGCTGCCCATCGTGATCGACTACTGCGCGACGTGGGTGTGGGACGAGGTCGATGACGAGCGGCGCGCGGTGCGCGCGGGCGTGTATCCGTTCACGGGCGTCCACGTCGACTATCTGCTTTCGCGCGCCGGGCTCGTGTCCCGCGCGGATCTCGAGGCGCTCGCGTGGGACCGGGTGAGGCCGTTCAGGAGGCACTCCGTGTACGGCGGCAAGGCTGTCGCTCGCGATTCCGACGGCTACGATCATGCGAAGGGCGTCGACGCGCTCGGTTAGCTGAGGAATGTGGACAAGGACGTGCCGTTTTTTTGCATGGACGTTGAGAATTCGACGGTCGTGTGGAGCGCGGAGATGGAGGAGGGTTCGGAGTACGTTGGGAATGAATCTCGGCCGCACTATGAGGACAGCATCTATCTGTCGTATGCGCTGGTGGTACAAAGCATTGAGGTGCCGTGAGAGAGAGCCGGCCGGATGTAACTAAAAATCATCGAGACACGAATGTCCACCGCACAGAAAGGTGGAGAAAGTCAAAAGAAAAGTGTACGGTTGTGATTCGACCCAGGCTCGAACTGGGGACCTTCTGTGTGTTAGACAGATGCGATAACCAACTACGCCACCGAACCGTGCCAGTGAGGAGAGAAGAGTGTGTGAGGGGACGGGTGGACGGGGATGCGCAGGCAAGGGCGACGTGCGCCAGAACGGGCTGAGCATGGCTGCCTCGCCCCGCTCCTCCACAGACCTCCTCCGCCCGCTCCTCTCGTCCCCCGCCCGCTCGTCCCCCTCCCCCGCCCCGCTCTCCAGAAACCCCGTCTCCTTGCGCATATACAAGGTCCTCGGCGCAAGCTTCGATGATCAATCCACCAAGGAGGCCCTCAACACCCTTTCCGAGCTCTACGCCCCGCCAGACGCCCGCGCGACCTCTTCCAAGTCAAAACAGGTCTCCGCGGACAGCGATGACGACTTAGACAATGACGCGCTCGACACCCCGTCCGACTCTCGCCGCCCCGACTTCGACATCCTCGCGTTCCTCGATGGCCCGCCACCGGGAGAGACCGCGGCAAAGGCGCGCAAGAACCTCCGCCGCGACGTCGAGAGCAAGCTCGCAGAGGGCAGCCAGAAGTTCCTCCGCGCGTTCGGAGAGGTCGACCAAGTGCGTGTCTAGTCCGCCTGCCTGCGCGCTCCCCGCGAACCCTCGCGGCATCTAGAAACTCGATGCCCTGCAAGAGCATATATCGGCCATGCGCGCGCGCTGCGATGACGCGCAGGCTCAGCTGCAGACTACCAACGAGGCGTGCAAGACCCTGCTCGATCGCGCCGGCAGTCTGCGTGAAGAGAGGTATGAACGACGCGGCCCTCGCCCGCGCACACCGCGCTGATGGTTGCAAAGACAGGACGTGAGCCAGAAACAGTCCATCGTGTCTCTCTTCCTCGAGCGTTTCACACTCACCGACGACGAGATCGAGGCCCTGACCTCGGGCGAGGTCCCTATCGGCACGCGGTTCTTCGCCGCTATGGACAAGGCGCACCGCATCAGAGACGACTGTCGGGTGCTCATGTCAGGCGAGGAGCACCCGTCGCAGGCGGGGTGCGTAGCACATCTACAGTCGTGGGATGTCGCTGACAGTGGTTCTGCAGGGTGGACATCATGGCGGCCACCTCAGGCTACCTCGAGAAAGCCTTCGACAAGATCTTCCGCTGGTGCAACTTCGAGTTCCGTAAGATGGGCCGCGACGCCCAGCTCGACGTCAGCTCGCAGATGCGCGAGGCCGTCCGCCGTCTGCGCGTGCGCCCCGAGCTGCTCACGTACGCGTCGAACCTCCTCTCTCTTTCCTGCCTCTACCGACCGACCGCGTGCCCAGCGAGGCCTTCGCCACGCTCTCCCAGACGCGCCAGTCCGCGCTCCTCAGCGCCTTCCTCGACGCCCTCACGCGTGGCGGCCCCTCGGGCCTCCCGCGCCCCATCGAGCTGCACGCGCACGACGCGCTGCGCTACGTGGGCGACATGCTCGCGTGGGTGCACCAGGCTATCGCCGCGGAGCGCGAGCTCCTCGAGGGCCTGTTCGGCCTCAAGGGCGACGGGCGCATGGTCGGCAGCGTGCGCGCGCCCGCGCGGGGCGAGGAGGAGGAGTGGATCGCGGAGCTGATGGACAGCGCGGTCGCGAAGCTGTGCGTGCCTCTCAAGGTGCGTTTCTCGTGGTGGGATATGTTCCGCGCTTTCGTTTGAGGCTGATGGTCGGACATTGTGCAGTCCCGAGTGTTGCAGACCGTGCGCGCGCAGGAGAGTGGCATCACGGCGTATAGGGTCTCGAACCTCCTGCAGTTCTACACCCTCACGATGGTGCGCACTATTGGAGAGGATGCGTTGCTCTCGACAACATTGAAAGAGTTAGCCTTTCGCTGATTCGCTGCGAGACTCTTAAAGCTTATGTATCGCATAGGATCACGGACGTGTCCTACAAGGTCTTTTACGACGCCATCGAGGCTCAGGGCCGCGCCCTGGTCCGCATATCGCTCGTCAGTCCAGTTCACCCCTCTCATTCCCCCACGCGCATAACAATCGCTGACCCGCTCGCGATCCCAGGACCTCGACGACCCAGAGGTGAACCCACCAACCGCGCTGCTCGACCACGCGCAGGTCCTGCGCGAGGTCATGGCCGTGTACGCGTCCTCGCTGCTCGGCGACGAGAGCGCGGCCGAGAGCGCGGCTGGGTTCGCGCGCATCCTCGACACCGCGGTCGACCCCGCCGTGCAGATGTGCACCAACGCGGCGGCGGAGAAGCAGCGCCTGCGTCCGCTGTGGGACCAGGCCGTGTTTGTGCTTAATTGCTTGACGTATTTGCTGGTGCGTGTCGCTGTGAGAATGGGGCTCCCGCCGCGTCTGTTAACTAGAATCGTCGGGCTGTAGAATGTACTGGAGCCCCACGCGTTCACGGTCGAGAAACGCAAGGCGCTGGAAGACATCGTCGAAGACCGCGTCAAGGAACTCATCGACGAACATGTAAGCCCGCCGCTCCACACTCCTACCCTCCCACTGATCCACCACACAGTACGAAACCCTCCTCGCCGACACCGACCTCAAAGACGCAGTCGCCACCTGCGCCTCCTACCATCCGCCCGCCGACATCCTCTCGCACCTCCCCGCAACGCAGCCGCCCGCCCTCGCGCGCGCGCTGCACCGCTTCGCGCAGTGGCTCGAGGGGCTCGACGTCGTGCACGCACCACGCCTCGCTCGCCTCACCGCGCAGCCGCTGCACACGCGCGTGCACCACGCGGCGCTCGCGCGGCTTGGGCGCGCGTATGCGCGCGTTTGCGATGAGGTGCGAAGGCCGGAGAATAGGTACGAGGCGGCGGCGACGCTGTTGGGCGGGGAGCGGCCGTTTGGGCAGGTGCATTTGCTGTGGCAGATTTTTGGGCTGCAGGAGGACGCAGACGAGGGCGACGAGGAGGAGTTGGAGGAAGAGCCTGGTTCGGGGTGATTGGATAGCTGGTGGCCGGTTTGTGAAATACCCACGGTGTGCAGTGTAGGTAGGTAGGTAGGTGTAGGCGTCTTCTTATTCGAAGGTCGGCTAGGATCGGCGTGCCACTTGTCAGCTCAAAGTCACCACACACTCACACAATCAATCGGAAGGAGCTTTCTCTGACAAAGGATGGCGCTGAAACTGCGTCCCGTGCAGAAATCATAGATTGCTGGAGTTTGCGCGTTTGGCTTCCCCATCGGTCAGTGTTTTCGTTGACATCGAATCTTGGCACAGCAAGAGATGTCCCGTATGGAGTGAGTTCTTTTTTTTTGTTCCCGAGCTAAGACAGCTTGTTGTTATGGTGTCATTCTGTCTAGCTCTCGCTCGGCCCAAGCGCAGAGCTCAGACTCTTCATTGCATTGGAGACGGGTGTGCAGCCCGAGAGCCTGACGACGTTGTGGCATCTTGCTGCGAACTCCGTCGATGCTTGTGCCCACATGCGACCTTTCAGAACCTGCGCCAGATGTCCAGGCCCGTCCGTGGTTTGGCCTTGTGGCATAGCGGCTATAAGTCTCGCGCTGCTCTTTGAGTCGTGACCGTCCGCTTCCCCTCTTGCTCTCCTCTCGGGATCTCAGCTACAGCTCGCCTGAATCTCTCTCATCCCGCTCGATCTCGGCGCTTCTTCAAGTGGCAACCACGATGTCTTCGTCCAACAGTTGTTCGCAGTGTGGCCGTGTCTCGGGCTCCAAAACCCTTGTCGTGTGTATATATACAGAGAGTCTTGTCGATGTAGGTGGTCATTGCCTTCTGTCCGGGCATGACAGACGTCTCACAACGATGTAGCAATTCGGCCCTTCTTTCTTTTACAAGCTGTTTGACGGCGAGCGACCTGGCCAGGGTTCGTGCTGCGACGTCACACAGTCCGTGTACAGTACCATGGACACGAGGAAAGACGTTGTGCGGCAAGTCTACGGAAAGGTCTGCGAGTTGTATGGAGGATCAGACGACCGCATCTATCTTTTCGGTATGCCTTTGTCGCGAAGGAAGCCGTACTTGGTTCATGACTGTCCTCGCTAGGAATCGAACGCGGTGCAGACAAGGTGCTTGAACTGGTCCAGTGGATCGAGATGGTAATTCCACCACCATAGATATCATCCGTAGCGCTGCGATGTCTGATCCGTTATTGGCCAGTTTGGGTTGATCTGCCCGGGGCAGGACCATCTGTTGGATGAGTGGGTTTTCTTTGTGCTCATCGCGTTGTAGAGGCCAACTGATGCTGTTTTCGTAGAGCGAAGATCATTTGGAAAGACAAGAATTCAAAAAGAGCGTGGGCTGAACGGTTCAAATATACCCATTCCAAGCAAGACGTCCGCATCCACTTTGTTGGCACCTGGTGAGTGCACCTCTTTGTCCTAGGCCACTCTCTTCATACCTAACCCTGTGCAGGGACTCTGATAGGCAACGTCCCGAGGGTCTCCGTCTCGGAGACGAACTGGCAAAGCACACTGTGGACTTCTACCGTCAGGTCGTCTCCATTAATGAGCGTGCGGTGGGAAACATACCCACGCCACACGGCATCGAACACCGAAGCGATGAGAAAGGCCGTAGGACCGACGATCCGCCCAAAGCTTTCCCCTCCGAAGAAGGCTTGCCACCGTATTCCGAAGGCTCATATCGCCGTGCCGCCTCCGCTGGCGAGCGTGCGGTAGACGGCGCCTCAGCCCCGCGCCGGATCGAACACCAAACCGACAAGCAAGGCCGTCAGACCGACACCCCCAAACCCGCCCCGTTCGAGGCGATCCACTTCCAGGAGCCGATCTCAGGCGGCCGCGATCGCGACTGCCCCGCGAGTTTCCACTGGCTGGCGCTCCACGCCAAAGCCGCAGGCCTCCGCGTCAGACTCTCCCCGCCCGCCGTTGCGCAGCGCTTCCGCGCTTGTCTGTCGCCGCGCGAGGCACCGGCTCCGCCACCCGGACGCAAGCGCTTCGCGGATCTCCTCCCGGGACGGAGCGCGGTCAACGACAGGTGCGTGTCCCCTTCGTCGCTTTTACAGGCGAAGCGAGCTGAGCTGGTGCGCCGGCAGGTCCACGGGCTCTGCGGAGCGTCTATCGATACCTGTGTGGTGCAGAGTGGACGATGGTAAGCCAGGCATGTCCAATGGCGGCGAGGTGGAGCCTTCGTATACCGTCGAGGACATCGTGGTCAGCATGTAGATAAATGGCAGAGTCTGCGCATTACAGGACACAAGCTGAAGGTGAAAGCCATATGCGACACGTTTGTCACGCTCACTGGCATAGCCCGAAATGCAGTTCACTTTGACCATGTTATCATCTCAATTTGTTGCATGGAAAACACACAAATTTTGAACCCCCTAAATCCAGCTGGTAGGTTGCTCTAGTTGTATAGGCAGCGTTCGTAATTCCACTACGGATGGATAATCTACCCTCCTTGCTGCGTCCAAATGATAGGCAATTCGTAGAACTCCATGTTCTGCTCTTCAAAGTGTGCCCAACAATAGCGTATGCAATTATATGCCACAGAGCGCGAACATTCTACGGAGTGAATACTGATGAACTAATCGTCTACAACCGCCCCAATCGACACCAACAACAAACGACAAAGGCAAAGGCAACGCAACCCCTACATCAAACATCCGACGCTCCCATCGCCCCGGCAGGATAGCGCGTCAGCCCAACCGATCAGTAGTGGTGCACCTCCTCGCGCTCGCGTCCGCGCATGAACGGCGGCTCGGTGCCCTTGTAGTAGATGTCGGTCCAGAGGTCGACGAGCGCGGGCTCGGGCGACGCCTTGGCCTCCTCTACGGCCTTGTCGACGATCGCCTTGCCCTCCTTGTCAATTTTCTGGGAGCGCAGGAAAGACGAAGGTCAGCAGGAGAAGCGAATGCGGACGGTGAAAACGCACCTTGAGCTCCTCGGCGGTCGCAACGCCCCACTCCTCGATGTAGCGCTCGAGCCCGCGGATAGGGTCCTGCGTGCTACGCATGCGCTGGACCTCCTCGCGAGTACGGTACGTGGTTCCGGGGTCGGACATACTGCAAATTTACAGAGAATGGGTGAACAGGGCTCACGTCGAGCAGGTGATAGACGTACGAGTGACCACCATAACGGTACGTGACGAATTCGAGGAGCAGAGGGCCCTTGCCGGAGATGGCCCATTCACGAGCGTGCTTGACAGCCTGGGACGAGGCGACGATGTCCATGCCGTTAGCCTGATAAGGCATAAGATGAGATAGAAGACACAATTAAGAATATTATGGATAGATACGCACCTGGATACCGGGGATCTTATCGCCACGAGTGTAGTACTCCGTGTTGGAAGAGCTACGTTCGGCGGACGTTCCCATTCCATACTTATTGTTCTCGATGACGAAAACGCATGGAAGGTTCCACAGTTTTGCCTGGAAACAATATGTATGAGCGCAACCGTATAATCGCAGAGTAATTGAGACGGAAAGAACGAACCATGTTGAACGCCTCGAACACCTGACCCTGGTTACTCGCGCCATCACCGTACATGGCAAATGTCGCGGTCGGCTTCTCGAGGTACTTCTGTGCAAAAGCGATGCCCGCCCCGACTGGGACCTGCGCGCCAACGATGCCGTTACCTCCGAAGAAGCGGGGTGTGAAGATGTGCATTGATCCGCCCTTGCCGTTGGACATGCCCGACTGGCGCCCAAGCAGCTCCCCGAGCACACCCGCAACGGTGCCGCCGCGGAGAACGGCGAATGGATGACAGCGGTATGAGGTGATGACGAGATCGTCGGGGGTGATTGCATTCTCCATACCTACAGCAACGGCTTCCTGCAGACGCGCCGAAAGGGAAGCGAGCGCGAAACGACGTCAGCGGACCTGCCACGTCTGTGCGCGTTCGGCACACAAAGGCGAAAAAGAGACGCACCTGGCCAATTGCAAGATGGCAGAAGCCGCGGATGAGTTTGGAGCGGTAGAGAGCGTCTGCGCTCTGCTCCATACGACGCATGAGGGTCATCTCGCGGTACATCTTGATGAGACCATCTTTGGTGACCTGAACCTCAAGCTCGGGCGTCTCCGTGCGATACGCGCGGAAGGAGTCCTCGTGAAGCTTGACGGTAAATGGTTTTGAGCCCTCTTCCGGAAGAGGGTGGACGAGCTGTGTGCTGTCCGCCGCGGTCTGCAACGAGCGCGCGAAGGCCTGAACGGAAGAAAGAAAATATAGACTTGGTCAGTCCAACATGATTGATTTGTGTAAAACCTGAGACATACAGATAATCTAGGTGCGATGCGAGGCCGGAGACGGGCGAGGGAGGCCATGGAAGGAGAGGGGGAGGGGGAGAGGAGGAGGAGAGGATGGGAGGAAGGAAGGAGGATGAAGTAACGTTGGGGGCCCGAAAGAGGAAACCCCGATGGACAGAGCCGCGGGTTATCCCGGACTCCGCCTCCCGCCTCCTCTCCTCCAACTCGTCTCATGGCATCCGGCGCATTAAACAACGGCAGCCAGGCAGCCTAAGCCTTCGCAAAATATCACACACTAACCTCCCTTATCCTTAGGTATCACAGGCAACACCTTCACCGTCTCTGAGCTCGTTTGTTCCGATTGGATGCTCGCCCAATATTTAACAGCGCCATTGGGCGAGTCATGGCTCCGGGATGCTCGCAAATCTTCCGTTGTTGCTGTTATCTCGAGCGGCCTGTACCGGAGAACTGCTTTTGAGTGTATTGGACACCATGATATACAAGGAATCGAGCTTGCGACATTCGCCGGCGCTGCTAACGCTGGGAGCCATCTGGGGATGTCACCATTTTTATTGCTTTATCGACTTTTTCTGGATGGCACGCGATCTTCATAGTCCAGGCCTAATGGAGGAGTACTTGAGCCCAACAATAGCCCAGCCCACTCAACGACGCTCAGCCCTTCAGATACCTAGGATCCGTCTATCGCTAACGCCAGCAGACTCGGGGTCAAGAGCTCACTGTCGTAGCAGATTCATGTCTACTTCTGTTGCGCTCAATGATGAGCTGTCGACCGAAACCATGTAAGACTCTCCTCGCGAGGCCGGTCTTGCTGAAGCATTGAAGGTTAAATGTCTGGAAAGTGGCTACTTGACTATTGAGGCTGCAAAGAATCTGACGGCTTCAACTTTACGCCTAAGACGACTTCCCTGAGCTTTTCGAACCCACCTCAAAATGTAACGACATGTTTGTGAAGTGGAGGTGCGAGACTGACACGATCGATTCTCACAATTTTTTGCCATTATGCTGCCACTTTTGCATTGTACGCCCAAGTGCCGAGCAGAGGATGGATGTGCACATGTGCCCCTTTATAAAAAAAAAGCAAAGATATAGATAACATGACACACTTATGGAGCCAATAACTCTCCACCATGTTCGATGCAATCGAGCGCCTGCCGCGCCTTGTCCTTCACCTCGCGCTCGAGGCTCATAGGGTTCCCAGAGAACGATATCGGACTCACCGCGCCTGCGTACTCGCAGATATGCCGCAGCGTCCCGTCGATCCCGGCCTCGCGCAGCTCTTGGCGCCTCCACGGGTCCCCACTGGCCAGCTGCAGTACGCACGACACGGCCGCGCGCCGAACCTCCATTGGCGCATCCACGAGACACGACCGCAACGCACGTAGGATCTGAGCGTTCCCCAGGATGTGCGCCTGGTGATCGGCTGTGCCGTTCGCCAGGTTGCAGAGGACCCACGCTCCCTGACGCACACTCAGTGGTTATTATCGTGATAGCAATAGGAATGGGGAGAGACACAAGGACATACCTGCAGCACGACATCGCCATTCTTAGAAATCAGCGCATTTTTCAGCAGCTGGAGCAGCGCGTCATCTCCCCCGAGCTCTTGGAATACCTGCTCCACGTCCTCCTCAGAGGACGCAAAATTGCGCAAGACGTGCAGGGCTTGCTCCTGAACGCCCGAATCCGGGTCCGAGAGCAACCTGCATCCACAATAAGCACTTGAGCTGAACTGAACTCACTGCCACGACGTGCCTCTCGATTTCGTCCCACCCGAACTCGTTCATGATGGCCTGCTTCCTGCCTGACGTGTACTTGAAGATCAGGTTCTTGAGAGCCCAGAGAGCATTGAGTTTGAGCTTGGCATGTCCAGAGTGTATCAACTGCAAAAGCCTCTTGATCAAGCCGTCGTTCAAAAAAGGCTGCGATCGAATACAAAAAGGAGGACAAGGTTAGCAAGCGTTCTAAGTTACAAGTGATGCTCACGAACCTCCCGCATCGGCGAGTGTTCGTTGACCAGGTTACATACCGCCAAAAGGGCAGCGTAGGTGACGCGCGGGTCCTCAGTATCATTTGCGAATGTCTGATACAGGCTCCTGCCGAGGTCACTATCAAACAGGCTCGTCCGCACTACTGCGACAGAGCGGCTGAGCGCACGGACACATTGACAAGCGCCATATCGGACGCCAGCATAGCGATGCGAGAGTGCGACACTGATGAAGGGTATCAAGTGGAGGTTGTCAGTGATGTCACAGCGTATGCCATTGTCTGCCATCGCGAGAACGGATATGGCTATGAGCGCTGCCTGACATGTGGGGATTCAGCTGAGTAGAATTACATCGCAGATAGGGATGAATCATTTCTGACCTCGCGAAGACAGGACACGCTCTCGGCTTCGTCTTCGTCCCATTCAGATGCTTTCTCCGTGGGGGTGATAGACTTGACCAAGGCCGCGAGCTTGCTAAGAGACCCACGATCAAAGGCCAGCTGACACAGCTGGTTATCGTTGGCGACTAGGTAGTCTGTACCACAGCAAACCAAAATTTCATGACATTCACTCAGACAGAAAGATCACACAACGTCACGCACTGAGAATGAAACACGCCTTCGTACGTGTTTGGGGTGGTTCGGTTGGAGACGCTATGAGGCGATTCATGACGTGCATGACAGTCAGCGCAGATGACATATCGGGAGGGACAGGGTGGTGATGGCTGGCGGTGCTAGCTCGGATGATGTGCGTCGCACTGGTATGGGATCTACATCTGCACGCATTCGCAACGAGAATAATCAGTGTTCAGACGCACCACAAGCCCGCGGCAAGCTGCACACTCGTGATGCGCGTCTTGCACAGCGCGAGAGCCAAGGAAAGTGCAGATGTTTCTGTCAGATCAGTCAGCCTTTACAGTCTCGGCGATAATGCGCTTGCGAAACGATGATGCACCATTACCATTGGTCTCGGAGCCTGACTTCGCGAGGACCGCCGCAACTTCAGAGTTATCTTGAGCGAGCGCGGCTAATCCGCACAGAGCGGCTTCCTGAACCTGCTCATTCGGTCGAATCCCGTTCAGGATCCGTCGAGATGACTGACGGAGAAGAAACGCACCTTAACATCCCTGCGACGTAGTAGTTTTATCAAGTTCCTCGCCACCCACCCACCCTGTCGCCCTGGCGCATATGCATTGTTGACCTCCAGCTTTTCCCATCCTCGCTTGCTTCGCACGTCCTTGTTTCTGTCCATAGGCGGAAGCCATTCCGCTACTGTGTGTCGGTGCTCCTGGGTGCGCAGCGCAGAGCCGAGGAGCTGAGCGATAGAAGTACTTACTTGAGGAGAGGGATCATTGAGGAGGGGAAGGTAGACATCGAGAACCTCGAGCTGTTGATTGCGCAGTGGGTGAGAGGTTGTACCTTACAAGTATACAAGTGGGCGGACTTGGAAGAAGTACTCAAGCGTGACCTTTGCTTCATCGCGCATGCTGGAGTCGTCATTATGTAGGCCCCACTGCGAAGGTCCGACAATCTCTGCAGTTGCTGCTGCAAGTGCGCGAAGCGCGCGCGCAAATGCGGCCTTGAGGCCGACGGACTCTGATGCATTGAACTGGGAGATCGCAAATAGGATGGCTTGGTGTGCATTTGCACAGAGCACGCCGTGTAAAGCCTCGGAGGATCCTAGCAATTGAATTACGCTATAGACAGATACTCGTATGGGCTCCAGTGCGACGCACCATAAGAGAGAGAAGAAAGGACTTGAGCAGCTTCTATACGAATATCATCCTGAGACCCTCTCGGGCCTTCAAACTGCTCCGGTGCGTTCAGACAGTCTACAAGCCTACGGTGGCCCCAAATCATAAGAGAGCCTCATCGGCAGCATTGATGTGTCACTGACGTTGAGACAAAGACCTCGTCCCGTGCTATGGACAGTTTGGCAGATGGATTTCCGATGACATCGTTCTTGACTTTCTTGAGTATCGCGACATTGAGCGTTGTGATGGTCATGGATTCCGAGAGTGGGGAAGATGAGCGCCACATCTGGCCGCGGGGGTCGCAGAGCGTGGCGAAATACTTCCTTTTACGACACCGCTCGTACCCATCGTCTGGGCGGAAATTCATGGGACGACTGATGCAAGGAGACTACCATCTTCCAAGTCGATGGTGTTTGTGATAGTAGGGGATTATAGAGTTTGAGCAAAGATATTTTGAGAGCTTCAAGATAAAGCGAGTGTATTTACTGCCGGCAATTCACTTGATATCGGCAGGCATAATATGTTCCACAGGATATCACAGACGTGGTGTCGTATTTTGCGTTCAGCTCCACGAATGGCTCCGCAGATGACATTGTTCTTTGTGACCTTGAAAGCTGGAGATGACGGTGAACACTGAACAGCTGGTGAACAGCGGCGCTGCGCGCGGCGAGGCCCGCCGCCGCTGGAAATGACAAGGCGTGGAAAAGCATTTCCATCTGCGACGGCTGTAACTTTGATGCACACAACACGCATTAGCCATGGCGTTGCTATCACAGAAATATACAAGCAGCCATGTTGCATGTCTCAAACGTGGTCTGTGCCCCGCTTTGTCCTTTGCCTCTCCGCTTTTGTCGCCCCAGCTTCTGATGCGGTGACCCAAATATTCAGAAGCCTTTAAGTAGACGCGCAGAAGCCTTGTGAGTCCATAGATATATCTAGCCACTCGATCCCCGCAGCAGAACACCCTCCCGCACGATGGAACTCGAACTGAAAGGCATAGATTTCAATGCCACCCACTACCAAGTCGCAAAGGCGTTCGAGACCGTCCTGCACGGTCGCGATTTCTACGATCCCGATGACCCTCAGACCAATGGCCGTCCCCCGAACTTCCGCGTAAAGCTCAATCCTAGCATCGCTGGTGGCGTCGGGAACAATGGAACGGGCATTCTGACTCTTCCTACTTCTCGTTTAGGCGACCGTTTCTTGACATGGCTTAAAGAAGTCCCCTCAAACGAACACGAAATTCGCGTCTTGGGCAAAAAGATATCTGCATTTCGGCGAAGGCGCGGCATTCCTAAGGAAACAAAGGAGACGCTACAGAAGACACTTTATGTGGACCCTGAGCTGGAGTATCAGCGCGAGGAGAAGTTGAGGAAACTAGATCATCGTCTGAGGGTTGAAAAGGTGCAATTTGGGACATGGTTCCGAACGAGTGAGTCTCCAACTGCATCGAGGTCCTTCTCGATCGAGTATGAGCGAGACTATACACAAAGAAGTGCTGGATACTTGGGACTCGAGTACGATCACAAATTGATACGTGTCGAAGTGAGCTCTATTTTTTATCTGGCAGAGATACTTACTCATGATCCGCATAGCTTGGAGAACGGATGACGGAAGAGGAATGCTTTCATATCGTGATCAAGTTCTCAAGTATCCGCAAGATAGGGATGGGCTTCGATTTTGGCAAAGCCTGTGTGTACGACATCCTTAAGTTTTATATGTCTATTAAACAATTTGACCACAGTTGTCGTCTTCGACATGATGACCCCCCCGATTATAGAGGAAAACAGTTTCAACAATCGTTCTAGAGACGGAGTCCGACGGAAAAGCCGCAAGGAGCGCGATCGCGTAACAGCGATAGACGCAGCTCACGCCAGGATTGCACCGTACGCGCATCATGTCCGCATTGTCCTTTTCGAAAGGGACGATTTCCTTCTTTTCGAGCGTCTCTGTCGCGATGCGCAATGCGAGCCACGACCAATGCGCCTCCCCGAACGCATGGTCGAGGCCGAAAAGCGCGGTTTCTTTTCCGAAAGCCAGTTGAGTAAGATCGAGAAATGGATCGTCAAACTGGACTGGAAGCATGCGTTCCAGATCGAGGCCCTTCTGCGGAACGGACTGCTCAACACGGAGGACCTCTTGATCGACCTCCGACCGTTGATCGACAAGCTGATCAAGAACGAGGGCGAACAAGCGGCGGACATCTTACGGCACTTCCACGACACGCTCAAAGAGCGTAAGCTTGGCGAGTCTCCACGTAAGTGCTTTGAGCGTGTATGTGTCGGGCTCCCGCACATCCAGAACATCGAGCTGTCCAGTGGCTCGTTCTCCTGCCATCGTATCACCTTCACCCCCACGCGTATGCTCCTTGAAGGCCCCTACGTGACACAGTCCAACCGAGTCATCCGTCGATTCCAGGAGCGCAATCCCAGGCTCATCGAGAACTTCATTCGCGTCGATTTTAGGGACGAGGATCGCCTGTCATACCGTTGGGACCGCGATGTCGATGGTGCTTGGTTCCTCCAGCACCGGGTGGGCAGAATCCTGAAAGACGGGTTCATCCTCGCCGGCAGGGCATTCGAGTTCCTTGCCTACTCGTCCTCCGCGCTCCGCGAGCACGCCGTTTGGTTCATGGCGCGCTTTGAAGACCCGGTAGAGGGCTGGATGACAGCGGAGAAGATCCGACAATCCCTGGGCGACTTCTCTAGCGTTATCAAGCAGCCGTCGAAGTACGCTGCTCGGATCGCGCAGGCCTTCACAGCGACGGACCCGTCTGTGAAAATCAGATGGGACCAGTGGGAAGAGATGCCTGACTTGGTTCCTGTGGAGGCCCAATACGAGGAATACCTGTACACCGATGGTGTCGGCACGATATCACCACAGCTCTCGAACATGATTTGGGAGAAACTATGTGAAAAGCGTCGGGACTCGGGCGTTAATAGTGTGCAGCCATCCGCAGTAAGCACTGAATTGCTCCAGATGTCGTTTGACTGATTCACAAGGTTTGTCTTGTCGCAGTACCAAATACGGTTCCTTGGATACAAAGGTGTAGTCGCCGTGGACGAACGGCTTGAAGGCGTGATCATGCGACTGCGCCCGTCTATGAGAAAATTTACAGTGCCGGGCGTCGAAGAGGCAGACATTGAAATCGCGCGGGCGTTCCCGCGGCCGAACGCAACCTACCTGAATAGGTCGGCACCTTCCTTTTCACTCTAGCTTTCATAACTAATCTCTCTTTAGGCCGATGGTGTCCATACTAGAAAGTAATGGAGTCCGGGCAGAGACCTTTCTGGAGCTTCAAAATTTGGCAAAAGCTAGTGTGTTCACTGCCGGCGATTCACTTGATAACTTCTTGCTGTTGCTAAAGGGCAACGGTCTGGGATACGGCTTTCACCTGCCATTCATCCTCGATAAACTAAGCAAGCTGAACCTGGACATGACGGACAGAGATGGTAAGGTGGCCATCGCCAATGTGTTCATCGGCCGCTTGTTGCGGTACTCCATGAACGATGTCCTGCGTGATATCAAGCATAAAGCTCGCATTCGAGTTCCGGCCAGTTATCAACTCGTTGGAATTGCAGATGAGGGAGAGGCATATATCCAAGAGGGGGCAGACCGTAAAGACGTCTATACATTGCCCGAAATGCACATCTTCGGTGGGTTACCTTGAGTCCCAAAATGCCCTACTCGCTCACGCACGCTATGTTGCAGCATGCATACAGGAGTCTCCAGAAGACGAGCCCAAGTTTCTCAAGGGTCAATGTGTTATATCCAGGAGCCCGGTTGTCCACCCTGGCGATGGTCAGTAGCTCACCTAACATCCAGAGCTCGATTCTGAACCTCATCATCCTCTGGTCAGTCCAAAGAGTGTATGCCATAGGCGAGCCTCCCAAAGACAAAGTCTGCTTCTTCCGACACTTGAAGAACGTCGTCGTCCTTCCTAGTGCCGGTGCGTTCCCTTGTAGCCTCCGTATCCTATGTTGCAATAACCCGTGTTCGCAGGCGGGCGGCCCTTGGCGTCCTGCCTTGGCGGCGGCGACTTGGATGGGTTCGTGACACTACATCAATTATTGACGCACTCATGTCCTCATATTCGGTCGGTAGAGACCCGTATGATATATACGCGGAGAACCCGAAGCTGCTTCCAACAGGGCACGAAAATGCAGCCGAGTACATCAGCGCAGGTACTCGCACGATAGAGCAAGACAGCACGATCAACGACATATGTGACTTTGTCGTCGAGTATATCAACTCTGACGTTTTGGTGCGTGCCACACCGAGAACGCGGTCGCCCAGAGTCTAACTCTCTACTCTCCAGGGTCTGCTATCCGACAAACATCTTGTCATCGCCGGTTCGTCCCGCTCCTTTTCCTCGCGCATAGAGCCGGCTGACCATGACTGTACAACTCGACCAGACCAATCCAGCGTAAGCACCCAAGCTTCACATACGTCCCCTCCCATTATCAACCTGACTACTCCTGCAGGAAGGCCCCCGCGACGCGCGCTGTCTGAAGCTCGCCCAGCTCTGCTCCCAAGCCGTCGACTACCCGAAGAACGGCATCCCCGTCGACCTCGACGCGAACCCGCTCCCGCGCTCGCTCATCCCGTTCAAGCCCGACTGGAAGAAGGCCGAGGTCTCCGACGCGCGCGACGCCGACTACTACGAGTCGGACCGCGCGCTCGGCGTGCTCTTCCGCAACATCGAGCTCGTCGACCCGCATGCGCCGCTCGCCCTCCCCGACGCGCCGACCGACCCGTACGCGGACCCGATCTTCTGCGCCCTCGCCCCGCTCATCAAACGCACGCTCACCACTTCGTCGCCCCTCACCGCTCTGCCCCCTGCGACCCCCACCACGCCCACCCCACCGCTCCCGCCCGCCGAGCTCGACACGCTCTTCGCTCACTACACCCGCGAGCTGCACTACATCCGCGCGACGCACACGCTCACGGACGCGCCGGACGTCCGTCTCGCGGAGGAAGAAGTTGTCGTCGGCACGATCCTCGCCAAGTGCACGCAGCCGCGCTGGCGCGCGAACCGCACGTTTGCGATGAAGCTCCACGCCGGTGCGCTCGTGCACGACGTGCAGAACCGCATCGTGCCCGACATCGGGCGCGCGGACGACGCAGCACTGGGTGCGGGCCTCGTGCGCGCGTGGGAGGCGTTCGAGTGGACGTATGCACATCGCAGGAGGACCGTTCGTGTGCCTGGGCCCCGTGGAACGCAGGAAGATAAGAGCGAGGAGGTCGAGGGGATGAACAGCTTCAGCCTGCTCATGCTGGGTCTGGTGCTGGACTGTTTGCATAGGCTGAACGCGTTGTGATGGCCTACTTGTGCGGGTCTTGTTTGATTTGCGAATCTTATCTCACAGAATGTTGTGCTTTCTCCTGTATTATCTTCTCTCGCATACTGCCTCGTCGTTGACCTCTATACCGCACATACTCAAGCACTCTCTGACACCTCATTGCATATCCATTTTGACCTGTATTCCAAACGACAGTACATGGCTATAGACTCAAGCAATGCACTCTGGCCCATCCAGATCTCCTACTAAGCATACACATCAACATCTCAGCACACGAAAAAATCCCACCACGCAAGCAAAAAAAAAGCTCACCAACTCGCTATCCGAGCGCCGCACATTCGGCTGCGCGCCCGTCACCCGCTCACTCTCCGGCGGCGTCGACGATGTCGGCGGCTCCTCGCCCCGGTGCGGATGCGGGGCCTCGCGGAGTCGCGCATGCGCGTCGCGTTTTGCGCCGGCGCCGACGTCCGGCTGCAGGCCGAGGTACTCACAGAAGAAGACACGCAGCAGGAGGTTCCACCGGCGGAGGGTCGGCAGGTCGAGCGCGCTCGCGTCATCCTGCGAACACACGACGCGGCACAGCGCAAACGCCAAGAGGTCAGCGAAACATATGGGACGAGGTGGGACGAGAGGAAGGGGGTACGCACGGCGAGCGTGTGCCAGACGCGCGGGAACGGCTCGGCGATGACGTGCAGCACGCTGACGCCGCGCCGCAGAAACGGGACGTGGTCGTCGCCGACGTAGCCCATGCTGGCCTCCTTCCCCGTGCGCGGCACAAAAAAGCTCCGCCAAGCCTCCGCCGCGCCCGCACCCGCAGGATCTAGCAGCCCCTCAGCGCGGAGCCTGTCCTCGGCACGCACGAGCATGTCGAAGAGCCATCCGGTGTCGGGAAAAAAGGAGCGGATGCGCGGGGCGGAGGCACCGAGAAGGTCGAGCAGGACGAGGTGCTCGAGGGTGCTGAGCGCGGTCGGGGGGGAAGAGTAGGGGAGAAGGCGGCGTTTCGGGTGGGGGGGAAGGAAGGTAGACGACCATTTGTCCGCAAGGTGGCTGGCAGAAACGGTGATTATTAGCCTAGATGCGGAGGGAGGCTGAGACGAACGTACCGCGCGCCGTATATCGAGTCTGTATCTGTCCAGTCCTTGAACGCCTCTTCGCCGTCGAAGAATATGAGCTGAAGGGTCGTGTGCAGCGCCTCGTCCTCGTCCTCGTCCGCGTCGGGGTTGAATGTGCCCTCGGCGTCAGCGAGGCGTTTCGCACGCGCATCAAGGAGGGGATTGAGGGCCTCGGCAAGGTCTAGCATGAGGGCGCATGGCGCTGCAGAGTCGGTCGCGCCGAGGAACTACTGTGCAGACGGGAAGGCAAGGGTTGGTACGCCGTACACGTGCCTATATGCGCATACAGGCACACAGCGCGGAGGGGAGGGCGGAGAAAAGTCACGCACCTGATTCTCGGGCGACTTCTCGAAGAATTTGCTGTCGAAGTGGGCGGCGAGGGCGACGCGACGAGGCGCGGAGGGGTCCTTGGTGGCGATGACGTTGGTGAAATTCTTGGGGCCATAGGGCGTGGTATCGACAAAAGAGTCCTCCTCGATGTGCCAATTGAGGGCGCGGAGGGTGGAGATTATGTACGTGCGGACGAGGGTGTTGTTCGCGGTGTCGGCTGAGAGCAGGGATACGTGTCAGCGCTTGGTGGGGAGAGGAGAGTGAGCGTAGAGAGGCAAGAAGCGTACGTGGACGGGGAATGAGGATGTGGGACAGGTGGGAGCGAGGGTTGGACGGGTCAATGTTCTTGATGGGGTCAGGGGAGCCGACGAGGGCGGCGAGGGCGGAGAGCGAGAGAGGGCGCAGCTGGCGTTCCCCAAGGGAGGCGGCTTGCTCGGTGCACTGGACAAGGGCAAGCACGATGAGAATACATCCTGAGAGGGACCACAATGTCCAGCGGGAGATGGCCGACATCGTCGTCGTCGTCGTCGCAGTGGTCGTCGTCGTCTCTGGCAGGTGGTGCTTGATGCCAATGGATATGAAAACCAAATGGGGATTGAATGGCACGGTTCGGTGGCGTAGTTGGTTATCGCATCTGTCTAACACACAGAAGGTCCCCAGTTCGAGCCTGGGTCGAATCACAACTCTCAACTGAGTATCATTTTTTGAAGTTACGAGCTACCATAAATACCGGTTCTGTGTGTTTCTATCGCGGTGCTGAGCGACACATACGCCAGAATGGCCATCTTCGGGCTCTGGGTCTGTCCCTGCCCCCTCCCGTTCCCGCATCCCTCGCTGACTCTGCCTAGGTCATCAACAAAGCTGGCGGCCTCGTCTACCAACGCAACTTTGCCGGTCCGCGTTCTCCCCCCCGCTGCTCCCCGTGCACGCTTAGTCTAACGCGGCAACGCAGAGGGCCTTGCCCAGCTCACGTCCAACGAGTACCTCGTCCTCGCCGGTACTCTCCATGGCATCCACGCCATCACCAGCCGTCTCTCCCCCAGCGGGCCCAGCTCAGGCGCTCACGTCATTGAGGGCGAGTCGTTCAAGATGACCATCTCCCTTACACTCACCGGTGAGCACGACGCCCTTTCCATGTATTCCATCCCGATCCCATCTCATACCATCCGGTACACGCTAGGAACAAAATTCGTCCTCCTCACGTCTCTCGCCGAGCACTCCGCCGACGCCGTCCTCCAGAAGGTGTACGAGGCCTACGCTGACGCCGTCATGAAGAACCCGTTCCACACCCCCGAGATGCCCATCCGCACCGAGGGGTTCGACGCGCGGATCAGCGCGATCATAGGCACCGGGCATACCTGAAAGGGAGTCTGTGAGACGCTGGTTTGGACTTCTGGGATCAGCGGGGGACAGGAGCGATCGAGGTTGGTGCGCTGCCGACTCACGCTATGATAGCAGATCTTTTGCATGTGCGCATGCCTCGATCTTTCAAAAAAATCTCAGCGGTGACATAACCTTTACTTAGTCTCCGTGGCTTACACAGAAGACAGTTGTTCTGTGTATACCCCTTACTCTGAGATTTGAATGTAGACTATCTGGCTATTTTTGCTACGCGAGCCTGTCCTTGGCCAGATCGTTTTTCGGCCATTCTGCGTCCCAAAACTCCTCAAGTGATCCATTTGAACCTCGAGATACGGAATGTGTTAGTACTGTCTGGTCTAATGCAGTTCGAACACCTGAGTGGCAACACAAATGTATAGAATATGCTCAAACATAACTTGAATTTACTGGTAGATAAAAAAACATGCCGTGGATGGGTATACTGAAGGAGGCGAATGGGCCAAAAAAACGGTGAAGTGTCAAGGACGAAACGTTGCAGGCGTTAGCGCTCGCGTTCAAGGCAATAGGTGCTCAATGCGGAAGGCTGCTCCTTTCCAAAGAACTCAAGACAAAGTTTAAGAAGAGAACCGGATTTATACATCACCACCGTTGAGGTATACAATCTATTGATACATGAGCTTGCATTTCATATGAGCATCTGAGCGTCCGCCAAACCTAGAACGAGGGTACACGCACGTTCTGGAAAAATGGCGAGGATGTGAGATCGTTACGATTGCCCCTCCTCAGCAACCACCCCTCCATCAGACATCTGGCCGTCAAAAAGACGTCTAAATGCGATGGCCCTCTGGCCCGAGCCTTCACAGTCTATCGTCCACAGCTTATTTGTTGCCCGGATGATGAATTTTCCCTCTTCAAGGGGAGGCATCAGTCTTTTCCTGTTGATCTGCTCGGGCGGTTTCAACCGGACAGGCTCTACAATCCTCACGAGGCGCATGGCTAAAACTCGCTTGCCAGCGTGAGCCGGCAAGGGAGAGCGTTCAAAACAAACATGAATGAGGCCTGTGAGCCAATTCATCAACGTGTGCGTGAGAACTCGTCTAAAAAGTAGGAACTGAGATACCTGCATCAAAAGCAGAGTATGTGCGTCGCTGCGTCCTGGGATTAGTAGACTTATACGTCCACGGATGAAAATTCCTAGTCTCGGTGGCGACGTCTTCACGATCAGTCCAGATGACGAATGTGGGGCTCGAAAGATTCATAGGGAACACCTGGCCAAGTTTCATGACCGGGCGGATTCGTTTTACATTTAAGCGTCTGACGGTCATCTGGCCGAGACGTGTGCGCAGAGACCTCGCTTGTTCCGCGATCTCTTTGGTGCCCAGATTTTCCTTGACAAGCAATTCGCCTAAAGGACTATACCCCAACACCGTAAACGCCCGGAAAATTGTTATACACCATGGGAGGCCGTCCAAAGCAAGAAGATCGGAGCCGCTGACAAAGCTAGAAGGTTCGCTGTCTCGGGTCACACGGAAGCGGATTTGGCCCTCAGTGGGTATATCTGGGTTCGCCCAGTAGTAGAAAAATCCATGAGTTTCCGGGGGAAACGGCCGTCGTGACCCGTAGGTGAATTGAATTTTTTCGCTGTACGCAGAGACGCCTTGTTCGATATTTTCCACATGGCAGGCGGACAACTCGCCGTCGAGCTTCACGAAATCAGATTTTCGAAGATGATGCTGGTTCAAAGTTCCGAATCTACGGAATGCTGCGACAGGGCGCCGCTCCTCTGTGACCTGGAAACCGGTCGGCGTCGTGAAAAGTCATCGAAATTAATCTTGAACATACATTCAGCGATTTAGGGGTTCCTTTAACACGCTCAAATGATGGATTCTCGGATGGAGGCACTGTCGAAAGACATGCAGCCGACGTTTTCAATCGAGGGAAATGAAGAGCGACAGAAATGCATGCGGAACGAATCCATGGGGAGAGAAACCTCATGACGCTTTGACTAGGCAAATGCGCGGTGTGTCGGAACGTAGTTTCACCCAAAGCCATGGGGTGAGTCACGCACACTGCGAAACCAAGAGGGTGTTGAAGCTTGAAGGTGCGATCATAAGCTGGAGAAGTCCTAACCCTAGCACAGGGGTAAGCGGACGTCGATCCATCGGAACTTGGATGCGAGCAGCGGTAACGTGATGCGGGGAAACAGTACACTCAATACTCGTCCACCACAGACGTAACGCTGGATATCTTACGGCCATGCGGATCGCGTTCGCTCGGTATATGAATCGGAGATTGCTCACTCCTGGGGCATACAGACTATATCATGCTTCTGTCCTTCCTTCCTTCATCTCACCATCGACCCCCGAGTTCGTAACTAAATCTAAGGACATGGATGGGCTCGTGGCTGATTTCGAGGAGAAGCTATCCCAAGGCAGACTAGGAGGAGGCTTGAAGGCTGCAGAGAGGATGAAGAGCAAGGGGAAGAAGCTTCCTCGAGAACGGTCAGTTCCGTCATGCACATTCATGACCAGATGCATGAGTACCTGAACAGGGCACCCTCGTCTAACGTAGTTTGTCTCTTCTGTTAGATCCGCATACACCTTTCTTGGAGCTATCACCTCTCGCTGCCCAGGACGTATATCCTGAGGCTGTTCCAGGCGCTGGCATCATCACAGGAATAGGCAGAATTTCTGGAAGAGAGTGCATGGTAATTGTCAACGACGCGACCGTTAAGGGCGGATCTTATTACCCTCTGACTGTGGGTTCAATAACAATCTGGCCATACTCATATCTGATGTACATTGTATTGCTGCAGGTTAAGAAGCATCTACGTGCGCAGGAAATTGCCAGGGAAAACTGCCTCCCATGCGTCTACGTTGGTAAGTCAGTCGAAGATGTGATACGGTGTCGTAGCCGCTTATACCTCTTCACTCTTTAGTCGAATCGGGTGGCGCTGCGCTTCCACATCAAGCCAATGCAAGTGCCTCTAGTCTTTGATTCTTATGGGGCTATAGTCTGAGTGTGCCTCCAGGTATTTCCAGACAAGGAACATTTCGGTCGAATATTCTATAACATGGTTAGTATTCAGAATCCTTCTTATCAAAAGCCTGCACTCAATTTCACAATTAGGCACAAATGTCTGCATTAGGCATACCGCAAATCGCCATCGTCCATGGAATCTCAGTAGCCGGTAAGAACAGAACACTCTCACATTGATCTCATATCGCGGTGTGCCTTGACAAGGTTCGCATTAGGCGGAGCGTACGTACCTGCTATGGCAGACGAAAACATCATTGTTCGCGAGCAGGGCCGTATCTTTCTCGCCGGGCCACCTTTGGTGAAAGCTGCAACAGGCGAAGAGGTTGACGAAGAGACCCTTGGAGGCGGTCAAATGCACTCCAGCGAGAGCGGTGTGACAGACCACTTGGCGCGTGATGACGAACATGCTATTGCCATCGCCCGGGGTATTGTAGGCGACCTTGGAAAGGCTGGCGGAAGAGAAGTAGCTGTGAGTAGCCGAGCTATGTTGCCTCTACGAACGCGCATAACTTTGACATCTCTGATCGCAGCCTCCGGCACCCATAGAAGACCCGCTTTATCCTTCCTCTGAGCTTCATGGGATTGTGGGTACTGACCTCCGCCAGGCCTTCGACATGCGAGATGTCATAGCCCGTATTGTTGACGGAAGTCGATTCCGCGAGTTCAAGAAGGAGTACGGCACCACAATGATAACTGTGGGCTACTCTGTAACCATCTCCTCATCTCCCCCTCTCATTTTCTCTAGGGCTTCGCTCACATCCACGGCTACCCTGTCGGTATCGTGGCGAACAACGGCATTCTGTTCTCCCCCTCAGCTCTCAAAGCAACGCACTTTATTCAGCTGTGCTCACAGCGCCAGATTCCCCTCCTGTTCCTTGTGAACGTTACGGGCTATATGGTCGGGTCCAAAGCTGAAAAGGGCGGCATCGCAAAGGACGGCGCGAAGATGGTCCGCGCAGTTGCGTGCGCTGACGTGCCAAAGCTAACTGTGATTGTTGGGGGTAGCTTTGGTGCCGGGAATTACGGTCGGTCTATATACAGCTTGGGAAGTTCCTTAGCGGCTGATCTCATATTCTCTTCATTGCAACAGGCATGGCCGGCCGTGCTGTGAGTGTTCTGCATCGCCCATGCAAGGTCTACTCAAACTGATGGCTGGCTAATCATGAATTTCTAGTATTCTCCACGCTTCTTGTGGATGTGGCCTGTACGCTGCGCTCGCCATCACATCCCCCCCTCTTTCTGATCCCTGTGATTTTCTCTAGAATGCGAAGGTATCTGTCATGGGGTCGGGGCAGCTATCCCAAGTAATGCAGACGGTCTCCCGGTAGTCCCGATCCCTTATCTTCCACAGATAGACAGAACTGACCGAAAACTTGAAACACAGTGACCCTTCGCAGCACGCATCGCTCAAGGCAGAAATTGAGGCTCAGTCGTCGGCACTGTACGCTACTGCACGGTTATGGGACGATGGGATCATCAAGCCCACGGATACCCGGGATGTTGTAGGCCTTGGGCTCGCGCTGGCGGCGCGTGAGCACACAGGGGGTCCGAGTACGACGTGGGACGGTGCCCGGAAGGGCTTTGGGGTGTATAGAATGTAGCTTGCACTCATCGCTTGACTAACCTATAATTTGGCTCTGGATAATCCCGTTGTAAGAGCACACGCAGTCAGAAATACAACATTTGCCTCTTGATATTATTCAAGCGGCAGGGCAGGCCAGCTGCTACGGCAGAAAAATATAGAACGTGAGCGTCCATGACTGTAGGAAAATGAGGCCAAGATTACAGTGGTATACACGAGTGTGCGACGATGTATCATTACAAGAGAAGGGTGTGCTCGTTGTGGTAATAAAGCAAGTGAAACGGTTCCAGAAAGCGAAAAATTTGACAACAATGTGACAAGGGACGAGACGAACGATTAAACCGGAAATGGCGATGAGATGGGTAGATGATAGGCTGGATGACCAGTGGGATGTACTGCTGAATTAAGCTGAGTTATACATTGATATCGTATGGATGTCGGACGAGTTCGTCGTATAGTTCCGGGGGCAGGTCACGGACTAGGGTGACCGCTATCCCAATGACAGGTAGAGCCTCGATAGGAGGAAATGTGCGAAGGATTCGCATCGGCCTGAGTCGATATACGTTAGAGACGCATGCGATCATATGCGGGGAAATAAATTCACGAGGAAGAGTTCATGACTTCGTCTCGGATTAGCAAGAGTTGCGCGATGACACAAAGCACGTTCAAGTGAACGCCGAATGCCAGGAGAAAGTCCCAAAGTTTGAGAACTTGGTCAAGAGGCGGTGTGCATGCGCAAAGGGTCAGCACCGCTGCAATGGAAATAGTTAGCAAAAAAGAGTGTTGCTTCAAAATACAGTTGATCAGCATACAGGGGAATGCATAAAGCTCAGCGGACAAGTTTTTTGATCGAAGGTAAGCGAACAGTTCAGGGTCCACTATCCGCAAGCAGCGATCAAGGAGCTAATGGGGGGAGACAAGGTGAGAAGGTGCATGATGCTTGTGCTACGATAACATACCTTCAGGCCACGATGTACGCCTTCCAGCGTTGGCTGAACATAAAGTGGGCAGCACTCCTCGATAAAATTGGCAAAACAAAAGAAGGCTTCCAGCTCTGAAGGCATTGTATACAAGAAGGGCGCAGCGAGCACATTCATGCCTTGTACATAGGTGAAATCTAGATGATGGGTCTCTTGTCGATCTATTCAGATACAGAGTGAATAGACAGTTCGACATGATCAGGTACCAACAGACCGTGGTTCCGCCAGACAAAGGCATCCAATAACCGAACCAGCATGTCCTCTCGAACACGCTCTTTGAATCCACGGTCGGTGGCGAGTGTCCTGGGAGCAACGCTTCAATTGTCATTGTATGAGAGAGTCAATATTTCTCAGATGAACCTGAATGTATCGTTCCGGATCTTTTCTCTGACCGCGCATGGCCCTCGAGCGACATACTCAAGGAAAGTACTAGCCGGTAGCTCATTGACGCGCAGAAGGATCTTCCATATCCGCGGTCGAAGGGTTGAATCCTGAATATATGTTACAATATGATGGATATGATAGGAGGATAGGGAGATCGCATAACATACCACCTGCGACGGGATACCGTCGATGAGAATAAGGCGCCGCAGCTTCCTGACCCCTTCTTCGACATCTTGTTGACTTCGTGACTTTGACGACGTCTTGGATGGAGCGAGAATTTTGCTGAAAGAGTGGGCTATAGATTCTGGCGATGAGCGTTCTTGTTCCGACATCGTATGTGGGGGACGATAGTAGATGAAGGAAGTTGTATGGGGTTGTCAGTGCCGAAAGCGGCGGATGAGCTTCAAGAGGATGTGCACGTGCTACTACCAGATTCCAAATTCAGCACTTCAGCAGCCCACCACGACGTACTAACGAAGAACTCGACTTATGATACATGGATATCGGGCCCTTCATATCCTCTGGCGCATTGAGCAGGTCACATTATACCCTAGTGCGTAACGTGGAAGGCGCGTCGACCTCGCAAGAGGCCGACGGATACCTACTGGCCGAGGTGGGGAAGCTTCGCGATCGTTTGTCCCTCCCTGGATTATCTTCCGTGAGTTTCAACCTCTCTCTCAGTAGTTGGATGTAGATCTTACACGTGGCGGTAGAGACAATGCAAAGAATGTTTTGTTCTGATCCTCTACTGCTCAATGTCTGTGACTTCGAACATATTAGCCAACCAAGTCGAGTTTGCACTACACCATGCTGTCAACTTGGCTGAGGCAGGGTCCACAATACATGAGCGCAGAATAGGTATTCAATTCCGTGTAGCTTTGTGCGTGTATCTGACCGTATATGATACGGTAGGATACTCATTCTGTGCCGAAATAATGCCCCCAAACCACGAGCTCCATCTCATGCTAGTGAACACGCTTCGCAAAGTACGATGATGCCACTCTGTCTGAGACCAGCTCTGACGACGGTACAACAGGACCTGGAAAGCTCTGAAGCTCCCCGAATTTGTCTCGCGCTGGACTATATCATTCAATGTCCCCGTGAAGACGTTATTCCTGCCATTCAGTCCCGCCTCCATGACCTTCTGTCGCACAACTCGTCAGTATGTGTTAGATTCCTGCGTCTCAGAGACCATCCTTAATTTTGTGCGATCGCCCTCAGTCCACATGTTCGCCGGCGAGTGCTCTTTTGTGTAAGGGCATTGTCGACTCGTGATCCTTCTGTCTTACAGTGGATGTCACAAGAGATATTGAAGAGGCTGAGGGATTCTGATAATATGGTTGCAGGAGCGGGTATCACGACGTGTATCGTGCTTCATGAGGTACCTTATAGCTCTCAGCATCATTCGTGCTTAGCCCTAACCATCTATCAGAACAATCTTCTGGGCGAAGAAGCCGTGTTAGGGATACTAAAGACTCTCGGACGTGCTAGCCAGTCCGTCAACTTTTCAGCTTCTGCGAGACAGATGACAAGACGGGCGCTGCGTCTCGTTTCCCTTCTATCGTAAGTCCTAACTTTCTCGTTTTATACGATGGCCACAAGAATTTTTCGCACAGACCATCGCGAGAAGCTGTTCAAATTGTGCTTGAACTTATCCAGGATATATCAGTCAAACCTACACGCATGCAAGGTATACGATCTTGTTATACTGCTCATCACATTCTTGTTCATCACACATTCTTAGTCCTTCTTTGCGAGTGCTTCCGTGTCCTTCGACACGTGCCTCTCGACCTCCTTTCAACGTTTCTTCGCACACCCGAATCCTCCCCAATCGCTCTCATCCGCCAGCTAGTTTCCTCAGAAGAACCCAACGAGCAATACGTCTTCCTCACATGCCTGGAATGTATTGATCCTGTTCTATGGGCCGGTACGTTACCTGGACGTCCGGCCGTTCTCGATGCATGGGAAGTGGAGCGCGTTATGCAATTTCTACATTCAGCCGACAGCGCGATACGGAGAAAGGTCAGCACCCCCTCCCTTTCAACGTACCATTTATTCACACAGTTCGTCTCTACTATGGTTCAGACACTGAGCATCCTATCCAACGTCGACCCAAACCTTCTTGGCGCTTATTTCGAGCAAATATCCGAGACACTTTCTGAGACAGCTCAGGATGAGAGTATGGTTATCATCAGATTACTCGAAATTGTCGAGGTAGTATCCGGTTGGGATGGAGAGCTCTATGCGCGATCTGTCAGGGACGTATTCTTGAAAGCGAGCGGTAGACCTGATTCGCAAACTGGTCGTCGTGTTCTTGAGCAAGCGGTGGAGCAGGTTCTCTCGCGAATCCGAGACGGTGAGCAAGCGAAGCATATATTCAATTCACCACAATCTAGATTGACATGCCTGTGTGTTCAGGGGATGCATCATTTGGACTTAGCGTAGCAACTACTCTCTTGACTTTGGCCATTGATTCAAATGACGAGCCAGGTTCAGCATCGCTCATGGTCATCGTCGCTGCGCTGACATGCGAATTCGCATCGCATCTTTCAATAGCCCCTGTTGAATTGTTGAAGGCCCTACAGAAGAAGTTGAGACTTTATCCTGGTAAGCTCTCCAGATATCGCGTAGGTTTCAACGCTGACATGTCTTGGCTAGCATCGATTCAGGAGGCTTTTCTATTGGCGATGCTGCGTCTCATCGCGGAGTGTAACGAGGTTCCGCAGAGTATCGTTGAGGATATCACTTTGCTGAGCGAAGTCTCTGGGCGATATATCCAACGTGCAAGTGTTCTGGCTTTCTTTTTACTTGTTGAAACTGAGCCCAGCATCGTTTCAGCGTTGCGCTCAATTCTTGGCATTCTGCAAGCAGCCTGCCTTGTTGAAGCGAATTGCGTCTGGCGCAAAATCACGTGCTGTCAGTTCTTGTTCTCGGGTAATCGAACATGTCCTTACAGTTGAATCAGCTTCCAGATTTCCTTCTTGCGTTAGAGTCCAATCAATACCCGTCTGCGGTTCCCCACAGGACCCCCTCTCCCCCTCCACCTCGAATGCGATCTCCGAGCTCTCCTCGTTCTTCGTCTACCCAAGCATTGCGTTACGCCGCTTACGACCCACCGCCCCCACCGCCCTCGCGTACCCGCTCACATACTCGGCACAAGTCGAGTGCACGCACGGTCAGCAGTTCGCGGTCTGTGGCGTCCGACGACACGCGGCCGGGAAGTGCGCTGAGCGCAGGTGTAGGTGTCATAGGCGAGACGGTATCACCGGGAGAACTCGCGCTGGTTGCGGGGCGTGGAGACCTAGATAAGATAATCAGCCCGAACGTACGTGATTAATCGGGCCCAATGTTTTATATACTGATCTTGATCATGGTGTAGGCCAGTACACCTACTCGTACCATGCCGCCGACTCCCGTTGACCTTCTGGTACGTACCACATCGCCACATCGTGATTCCCGAATGAGACAAGGAAACTCAGCTGTTTGCGCCTCGTTAGGGCTCTCGAATGGATCTGATTTCTCTCGATTCGCCTTTCCTCCCCGAGCCTGTTGTTTCGCTCAGTCAAGCCATGCTTTCCTCGCCAGCACCCATCCCCAATGCAATGTACGAGGTGCAACAGGCAATCTATAGCCCTGAGCAAGACTTCATGCGCATTTGGAATACGCGTGAGAAGCACAATGCACGGGGCTGGACCGAAGCACCATTAGATGTCATTGTACGGCGGCTGCAGACCATCCAGTTGCATCTGGTCATGCTTTCTGCAGACCAACCGCCGTTTGAAGGTGATTGTTATTCAATTCATTTCTTTCGACGTTTTGGTTGTGACCATTCTGCTTTTTCTTCGTTGGGGCTTCAGGTGAATTGAAGATCATTCTTCGGAGCGACGCACCATCGACTTTGGGGACTGCGGCCATGAGGCTGAGGGATAGCGACGAAGATGGTTGCTTGTGGCGGTTAAGATGCGATGATGAGAGGTTCGTGGCGCACCTGAACAGCGTGTTGTGCGAGAGTGCACGGTAGCTGGACGGACAGAAGCGGTTGTTCAATTGTAAACCCGCTAAAAATTAACATGGACAACGCTTTCCCAGAACAGACGAAGGCAGCCGATGCAGTTACATTAAAACGACACCAATAGACACTGTAACTACCAGCCCATTCTCACGAGAGTGAACTATACATACCGTCATACGTCTGACAAGTCCCAGTAGTGTAAGATAGCCACTATAGCAGCATCCTCCGCCCGCAGCATTCACCCGACTGCACTCTTGCGTCTGTTGCGAGTTTCATACATGGTGAGCCTCTGGTTGAGGTTGCTGGCCCTCAAAATCCATCTTCTGGTGACTCATTGACCATCGGACACTCGGATCCTGCTTTTCAAAGCGATCCAGGAAACTGTCACTGTGCTTCTCGAGTGCTTGAAGTAGCGTGTGGGCGTGCTCGTGCGCCAACATGCACAAGAAACTGGCGTAGCGAAACATCCCTGTAGCAGTCGAAATATCGAAGGAGCGGCCAGCTCGCTCGAATATACACACCTAGCCAAAGTCGGAAGCGTTTAGTACATCGATGAGGAAGTTAAAAAGTCAATCATGCCTCGGTCTGTGGAAGACCATCCTCCTCTTGATCCTCAAGTTTTCTAAGTCCAGTACATGTCACAACGCCTACAGATCCTTCTATTAAGAGACTGAAGATAGGAAAGTCATAGATGCCGATGCTGCCCAGAAACTTCACAGCTGCCGTCGAATCCATTCGGTGTTGATTGGTCCCCGTTTCATTGAAGGATTCATGAGCGCGCTTATACTTCATAAGAAAGAGAGGTAAGAATAGGGGCCCTTGCGACCGTTGGGCACCTGGGAGGTCACTAGTAGACTGGGAACGATGAATACGCCGTCTCGGCTTCGTTGCATTTGATTTTTCTTAATAACAGGGATTAGATCAGTATTTTGGGCTCGACTCGAGTTGACAATGGGGTCTAGCACCTGTAGGGGTAGCAATGCCAGTTATTTTGAGCTTTGTGAATATGCTTTGCGCTTCATCGACTTCGGATGGCTTAGCACGATTCAAGCCTTCTGTCTGGGACCGTGATCGCGGGAAGTTCTGCAGCAAAGTACAAATTGGTCTGTTATGGATGTGGTGCACAGATAGTGGACTTACTGCAAAATTGGATGATGAGATAATGGAAGAGGGAAGAACACCGCCGACTGATTGACCATGAGCCGGGTGCAAAGCAGTGGTTGGGTCTGACAGTAGAGCCTCCCGGAGCGAAGACTGGATGAAGGGATCACCTTCAAGCTCTATGTCGTCATCAAAATCTTCAACCCGTGCAGTTGTGAAGAGATCGTGAGGATTTTCGCCTGTCACATCTCGTTGAACGATACGCTGTCGAATCGCAAGGGCTATGTTGGTTGACTCCGTCTTCGTATTAAATTGATTACGCTGACTGCTAATAGAAACCATATTGAAGTTTTTGACTTCGGCCATCTGGAGAGAAAAGGAAAAGTAGCATGGAAAATGGATCATACCGATCACATCACATCTAGCGATCAATGGCTCCATGGACACGCGCTCCTTCACTGCACCAAGCTGTTGTTGCCAAGATTGTGTGATCGCCAAGTCTTCCTTGAGTACTGCCGTTGTGTGTGCGATCAATAATGTGGCTCCGGATTGAAGTCTCTCTCTGCGCTTGACAGACAGGTCAAAGGGTAAATGTTCGACAAAGCTATTGAGAACCGTGTCGTTTCGTTGCGTAAAAGCAACTGCCTTGTCTGCAGCTAGAGTCATAAAATGTTGGTGGAGGGATGGCGTGCTCAAATGATCAATGTCTTGGAATGTGTTCTGATTGTCTGCAAGATTATTACGTGGTAATTTGATGTCTCGTTCAAGCCTGTAACAAGATGATATGAGCATTCAAAACATCGAACAACCTGTCGTGGTATCATAGTTTTGACTTACATTGCTGTCAGTTGGACACCATGCTGCTGCTTACTCGTACTCTGGAGTGCAGTACAAAAAAATATGAAAAATATCGCATCCCATTCATGACGGCATTCGCTCTCTAATACTGATAGATTATGAGTGTCGTTCTTCTTCTTTTCAGCGGACATGGACAAATGCATGAGTTGGGAGAATCGTTCTGTGATGGCCTTGATAGCGTAGCTAGGCATCTCCACTGGAGGTCCATGCATGTGGGAATCATATGATTGGAAACCTTGAAAAAGCGCTGTGCGTTTCTTCTCTAAATCCACAGGCACGAGTGGCAGCTATGGTACATATTTTTCAACGTCAGCACATCAACATTGCAACTCACGATACCATGATGATCAAATCTATCTTACCTTGTCTATCGAAATCCACTCCTTCGGCCAGTGAAAGCATGTAAGACTGTCGTACGTCTTCATGAAAGGAAACAGAGGCCGATAGGTAGGATATTTGATAGTCAGGTCTTCATAATCTTTCGATGAGAGATGCCGAAGAGTAGGCACAAAACTATAAGTGACAGCATTACGGTCCAATAGCCAGTTGGCTGGGTTCAGAGTAATGTCCTTGTCATTGCTGGCCAATCTATGGCACATTCAAGATTGGTTGATATAGCATATAGTCATGATTTACAACTTACATGGATGCTGCAATACGTCTTGAGTCTTTAGAGTGACTTAGAATCTTCGAAAAGTTCCTGAATGAGAATAACTGTTAGCGTGTTATAGAGATATGAACAAGGTACGAACCCAGAACTAGAGATAGCACTTGGCTTCTCTTCTGTTGTATTGTCTATGTCGCTACTTTGTGCAGTACGGCAGCCTCCTAACCTACATATTCCAGACAAAGCTAGTGGTCATGGAATCCATAACAACTACTACTGATGGCCGTCTCACATTGAAGGTTCCGACCTAGTAATATTAGGTGGTATTTCGTCTTCAGGAACTGCCCTGGAATGAAGTACCGCATTAGCATGATATTAGGAGATAGGTATACCGAACAAACGTCAGCGACAGCTTTTTTTCTGCTTGGGTGCCAATGCTGGCATTCTAATCACAATAGGGATGGGGGAAAGAGAGAGTAAGACACAAACCTGTTCGCATTACAGCCAATGTCACTTAGCCATGCGAGCACGAGTGAGTTGTCCGGATTGGGACATTTTATGCTTTTGCCTAAGATTTGGTCTGCACGCCATACCCTAACCTGACCTTCTTCATAGCGGATTGGCAGACGCCACGCTTCTAAAGCAGCGCGCTGTTCAATGCTAGAAAAGTGATCTCCTAACGCCACAAGGAATACTGCTAATGATAATGCCGAACCCACATCCGCCAATTCAAACCATCCCTGCCGGACACAACCTATATTGCCATCTGGAATAGCTTTTGCATGCGCAATATGAATGGCTGGCTGTGATTTGCAAACATATATCAAACAGCAGTCATGAGTATAGATGAGGCACTCACAAGATCATGGTCAGGCAGAGTGTCCTCCGCTAGCCATGCAAGCACGATCTGCACAGCGGTCTTGTGCTTTTCGAAAGTTATGCCGACCACTAAATCTGGAATTTCCCAGGTCCGCCTATGATATAGTGTACTCGCCAGAACGTCGTAAATATGATCGTGATCTGCCATGCATATTAGCGGTAATGCTATTGGCCCATCAGGGTTGTCGCACAGCATCGAAGCCTCTAAGACAGAGTTCAGAGCACCTTGTCCGTCGTCAAGAGAGGGAGTATGATAACCAAGAGTGTTCGATGAACAGCACGACGCAGGGATCTGAGCACCACAGCCTGGCGATTGATCTGAGTTGATTTCGAGAGAGGGATCATGGTCCAAGCGTGGTTGTACTGACTGGCCAGAGCCTTGCCATCTCTCCAGTGTTTCCTGTTTATCGTCATCGACGTAAGGGGAGGGCAAAGATTGACCATAGTGAGAGTAGTTTGACTGTTCCAGTAGCACTTGTTGTTCCCAGACTGCCTGACATGATGGGATATCAGAAATATCTAGCGTATCGGACTTGAGCCGCACTGAAAAGTGAGGGCAGGAATCTATTATCAGCGTCGGAGTTGCTAGCGTGTGAGGGGTCCCATTGTCACTACCCTCGTCGCATTGAGGTTCAACCTCATGCGAGATGATGAGAGTGGCCATTGAATATGCCGGGAGAAATTTTACCCAATCATAGCGAGAAGCATAGGGGTGGCGAGAGAGCGAAAACACTGCATTTTCTCTGTAAGATCTGTGAGTCTTAAAAACACAAAAAGGGGCTACTGATGCTCACCGAATTTTAGCATTGGGAGAGCGAGCGAGCGTTGCTGTCTGCACAAAGTCCGCGATATAACATGTCTTTGCATTAGGGTGCATATCGAGTTGGTTCTCCCGGTTGCACAGATCACGTAGGTCATGAACTGTCATGAGTAGCCAATCAAGTATATTCCAGAGATATTTGCGAGAGTTTGATGGGTCTGAGCGGGACGTCTGTATACACGAAAGTTCATGGAGCAAGTATCGGGTTTTCGGTGAAATAAGCAGATATGGTTCCTGTGAGTAAGGTGAATTTTTAATATCTAAAAAGCGCTCATAATAAACGCCATGTACCTGCGATGATAACCAGCAAGGAAGGGACTCTGGCAGCCATTTCGCGACCGCTATCACAGGCAAGGGCCATGAGGAAGTTGGGCCGGTATCATCCAAAAGATGAAGCACAATGTCTAGGTGGGGACTTCGATGAAAGGCCATTTTTATTTGTACGTTTTAAGACTAATGTCTCTGCGTGGGCGCGGTGCTTCACTGTTGCTCCAGAACGACGGAATGTTGCCACTGCATTGATTCTAGTCTCCGTGGCCGACCTTTACACAGAAGACAGTCGTTCTGTGTATAAGGTCTGCACACAAATTTGATGATTTGGCGGGAGGTCCAGCCTCGGCTGTTTCCGAATGATTCATGTCGTTAGGCGACTCAAGCCGAGCAATGCCGGAGATGCCGCTACATGCCGTTCATGTGCCATAGTGAATAAAATGATAAGCTATGGATAACTATGAAGAATATACAGAGCCTTTTCCTTCAAGATGCAAACAACTTGGATATCAGGGAAGTCCTTCCTGCCAAGTCCGTGTGTGAGTGTACTGAATATTATGTGCAGGTTGGGTCGTTCACAGGATCTTCGGATCGTCTGATATGTCCCATCGCAAAAGCCCAGAAACTTGGTGAGAGATGTCTCAGCCTCCGAGCCTAGTGTTCTGCTCATCACTAGGATAGGAATGCCAACAGGGATGCATGCAATGATGTAGTTGATCTGACCATAGGCTTCGCAGAAGTCTGCAGCCCATGGAAGGACAATATGAGCCTCGTCAATGACATACAAAGCAAGAAGCTTCCTAAACCATTTGTTTTGTACAATTCTCTCGAATTCCAGTGAGTTCAGCCATTCTGGAGACAAGATGATAACCAACCACTTCCCCTGTTCAACCTCCTCTAGCAGGTTTTGCCTTTCTGGTGCACTTCCCTCACTGTCTCCTTGTCTAGCGAGACCGCTCTAACTCCCATCCTTGACATTTCTTCCACCTCCTTACCTGTCAGATCCATGTTCTATGCTGATGCATTTAAGACTCACTTAACACAGTCCAACATCAATCAGGGGTGTGATCATCAAGACTACAGCAGTTGACCAAATGCTTCTCACAAAGGATAGCAAGGATCTTGGAGGCTTCTTCAACAAATGGGAGATTAAGATTAGATGTAAATATGCGACTGCTATCTTCCCTTCACTGCAAGCAGCAATAACCAATTGATTATTTCCTTCTAGTATATTGGCAGTACTGTTAACTTGCCAGTAATGGGGACCATTTGGCCAAGGTAAAAGAGTGCATAGAGTTTCTTTGATGTAGAGGATCCCTTCAGGGGATGTCCAGCCATTCATGTTCAAGGAAGAATAGATTATGGAGAAAACAGTGTATTTTTTGGCCCCTAAGTCTCCTAACAAATTCAAGAAAAATCATGTGAGTCCCTTTGAGTCGGAGACGGAATTCTCTCTGTTCTCGCCCTGCCGTCTCCTGCCGACCTTCCTAATAAGGCAGGTCGCTGGACCCCCCGCCAAAGCATCAAATTTGTATGCAGACTACGCTGATTCAACAATGGGCGAGGTGTCGGAAAATGCCGGCATCGTCCTTTCACTATTCTCTCAAAATCCCTCTAGCCAGCCGCTGGCGTTAATTGGCAAGCTATATCCTCCATGCGTCCTCTCAAGTAAATTTGACTAGACACAAAGTCTGCGGTATTCGAGATGCGAGCTTCATTCTTTCTACGGTGTCTTTTCCCCCTCATAATTTTCAAACATCATCTCTCCGTGCAACTCGAAAAAAAGATTGCTTAGCGCCTTTGAGGGAGTTATATGCAAGGGGAACTCTTGGTCAGGGTTTCGTGATTTTGTGTCAACAATCGTTCGACTGGCTGCAATTGAGGAGCAAGTAGAACAACATAAATTCGGTGTATGAAAGGCGAGCGAACCTTCCGCGCTAGGTTATTTACGGACATCTACTTGTTTACTCCACGCCATGTCCGTGAAGATATGTACAAAGCGAAAGAATCGAACGTTGGGCTATAGATCACAGGTCGTAGATGTTCCAAGACTGGGACACACAGCATGTGAGCGTGGTGAGTCTACAGCAGATAGGCAAAGAGCACATACATCGCGCCAATGCAATCCCCAATGATCGTTGACAGGGCCATCAATCCCGAACGCCACGCCCTTGAACCACCAGAAGTTGAGCACGATCGCGGATGCGCTCACTCCGAACACGATCCACTTAGCGCGCTCTGAAAGACGGCGAGAAGCCAGGAAAAAGTGGTCGATGAGATGTGCAGCCATGAGGACAGCAAAGTAGAGTGTCGGGAGCTGTAGAAAGATGGTTATGCACGTCCTCACTAGCAGAGACGGAAGACGTACGTAGTGATGTACATATGTTACACGGCCCATGACCATGAATGGGACTGATTGGCAATGATTCAGTACCGTGTTCGAGTCGTCAGAGTTAGGCGTTACCGTAGTGCAAAATCCAACCGAACAAAGCGATTTTTCCGACGTATAGGAAATGATCCCACTCTCCTACGGCACAATTGCGAAGTGAGAGATACAGACATTAAGTAAGACGTCATATACGTACTGGGCTCCATATCGACATATCGCCGCTGCTGGCGCAAAACATAGACCCCCAATGCAGCTAGGCCAAGCACCAGACTCAATGTACTTCCCCACCATATGATCGGGGTTCCTAATAGGTAGTACTTGGGCTGATTATCGCCCCAACCGCACATGCGCAGACCGAGACGCATGAGAGGCCAGTCTGAAGGGTTAGAGGCCAGAATATCTTCCTTATCGGGATCGGGGATCAGCGCGTTATTGGACGTCATCATTGCAACGTTCAGGTGCCAGAAATCACGAAGAAACGGAGAGCTGTAGAACTTGGTGTTTCCGACGGGTACTATGCCATCCGAAGATCAGGGTACAGAACACCGGGATGTCGAACAAAGACTCACGTCTGTCATTCCAATGGCTCTCAACGTTCCAATAGGTATGCACATCATTCACGTTGTTCTCCTTGTCGCAACTAACCTCTACCTGCTTGAACCCCCACTCCGGAAGGTTGGCGTTCGCCGCGCGCAAATAGCAGTCTTGAGCCTGATGGCGGAATCGGAGTCTCGTCGTCAGCGAATGGATTCTGTGCACCTTGTCCTTGGACCCCTGCTTAATATCATCGACGACCTCCACGACCCAATAGTCCTGAAAGTCGCCGATCGTCGCGTTTCCGTAACAAGAGACCTCATTGTTGAGCTTTGTGATCGGGGCAGGGACAGGGTGAGAGTGCAGGTTTCGGCCTGTGGCACTGTGTACAAGACGGATGACGTCTCCGTCGTGGAGGAACTGGATAGGGCCGTTAGGGTCAATGTCAGGTTCATCCCAGCGTGGAGTGATTATCCAGTCATTGTTTATATCCTTGTAGTGGTAGCAAGTAACTTGCTGCTGATTTGAGCCGACGGGGTATGTCTGGACATGCGAATGCAGGAGACCGCCTCCCCAGCCGGAATTTTTGAGTGTTAACCTTGAACCGTAGGCGATTTCTAAAAAAAATTAATATATGAGTGTTTGCACAGAATATAGATCGCTCACCCAAGGGATTTGTTGCGAAATCGTTGCCTACGAGGTTGGCTTGGAATAAGGAGCTCATCTGGGCATCGCCTGGGCCGGAGTGATTTAGAATCAAGAAGTGCACTTTGAAGCATGCCATGTAGACGAGGATAGGAAGGAAGATTAGGCATGCGACACGGGCCCCCCAGTGCCAGAGTTGTGTTCGCTGGAGACACACTTAGCATATAAAAGTGTAAAACAAAGATATATGCATACCACAGACATACGGAGGTCACCAAATTTCTCCCAGAGATCCTCGACAGTGTACAGCCCCACCAAGGCAGTGACAAATAAGCCAACCCATTTGACGCTAAAAGAAAATGATAGTCAGTCTCGATGACCTGACGGTTAAGCATCCACACGGACCTTGATACACAACCGATAGAAACCCCTGTTAGTGAAAGCCATAACCACCAGTCAATCGAGAAGGGCCTATATGCGATCAGCCATTGTCTACAACGAGAGCCTCTGCCTCGAGACGTACTGATATTGCTGATTATGGAATTTGGTTAAACAAAAGACCGTAGTGAAGGTGAAGTACAGGAGCATAGAATCCAAAAGAATGAACCGGGATATGCATAACCATGCAACATCTGTAAATCTAGTTCAATACAACCTCCACAATAGAGTGAAACATCAACGAACCGCAAAGGACCATAAGCGCAACCAAATGGCATGCACGTCGACTCAGCCCCAGCTCCACTGCAGTATACCATCCGAGTGGGACCATGGCTACACCGAACATGGCGGTCATGACGCGCATAGCGACATACGGCACCTCCTCCGGATATGTGGACCCACTCTTGAACTCGAAGTGTCCATCGTAGCCCGCCAGCAGCCCAGTCAGGCCAACAAGCATCTTACCCAGCGGGGGATGCACATCAAAGTAGAACTCGCGCTTGAGGTAATGCGAGCCGAACTTCCCGAAATGAGCCTCGTCCCAGACGACGAAGTTGGCTTTCCCGATTTTGTGGAAGCGGGTCCAGCAGGAAAGGAGTGTGTAGATAGCAGGGGGAAGATGTTCGAGGTTCTGCTCGAGGAACTCTCGCTACAAGAGGGGAGAATGGGAGTTTAATACATACTGCGACGCAACGACGTTGGGAAACGCACGAATGTTGTTGGGGGTGGAGGGGGGGCACGCCTCGCGACCCGCCCGCTGGAGAATTTTGCAGGGCCGGCCTTTGCATAGACATCCTTGCCCTCGTCATCGTACTCCCAGTTGTTTTGCTGAGCGTACCCGGCGTCCACAGCAGCGCCCGGCCCGCGGGGAACTCTGCGTCGGGCAGCGGTGTCCTCAGTCATGTAATGGAGGGGAAGTTCCTCGTCCCTGCGGGATGCAGACCAGGATGCAGAAGAGTGTGACGGATAGTTGATTTCCTCAAAGTCGGAGGATGTACGTGGCGGAGTGGTAGGAGGGGAGTCGACTGTGATGGCTATTTGGTGTGGCTTCATGAGCTAAACAAGCTCGTTTATCTGCCGGCGCAGCTGCAACGCAAGGCTTTTGAAAGCCTGAGCCAAGGCTTGAGCTTGTGTGGGTGCGAGATCAAGGAATGAGGCTGAGCAGCGCAAACACGGCGCAAACGCTGTACACTCTCTTGTTGACACGTCGACTAACGCTCTCAAGTCCGCAGCAACATCATCCGCGGCCGCAATTAGCAAGTACCTCTCCAGACGCCCGCCGAACAGCCCTCGCTCAACTACACATATCTGAGCACCGTGAAAAGAAGATTCGATAGCAAAGACATTAAAGATACACCAGACAAAGAGACGCAGCCCCATCCCCAGAAACCGAACACTACAGCACCACCGTACTATGCCTCGTGCCGCAGGTAGACAGCTATTGCACAGAGCCTCAGTATACGAGAGACTTGATGATACAAAAGACGACATACCAGTAACCATGGCATGATCACGTTCGTAGGGTTCCAATGTAATTTGTTCAAGCGGCTTGAACTTTTCATTCCGCAGAGCCGCAACCTCGTTTTGGAATACGACTTCAGCGGGTGCCGTCGAGTCAATACAGTTTGCCTTGATGGAGATGACAACATGGCCACCCTGCTTCAAGAAACTGTGCGCATTGTGCGCAACGATACGAGCTTGATCTGGCTGCGCAACATCCGCGAAGATGACATCGACGGAGGAAATAAGCATGCGGTACTTGTTTGGGAAACGAGCGTCTTCCACGATTGCTATAAACCAGAAGTCAATATTCAGTGCGACCAAACGTAGTAAGAAAATCTGGCGCACGGATGACATTCGTCCGTTTTTTGGCCATGTTAATAAGGTCACGACCTGACCGAGGGGAGAACTCAACGGCGTACACAACACCTTCCTGGAAAGAACGCGTCGTTGAGGGGAAAAAATGGACAGAGGCATGAAATCGACTCACAGGACCTACGATGTCCGCGACGTGACTGACACTCGTTCCACTGGCGGCCCCGAGGTACAGTACTTTTTTACCAGGTGCGATGTAGATATGATCCATCCCACCCAAAACACCGGCCGCAAGCTTGGAGCGGAACGGGTTCCAAACACGGTACTCGACCTTTGTCCCATCCACACCCCCGTCGATGGAGATCCGCTTCTCGCCGTAGACGGACTCACCGGGAGCAATGTTCTTGGTGACGAGCATCGCCTCCTTGCCCTTGGCGATGAAGATGCCAGCGTGCTTGTGGGGCTCGAGGATCACATTGACACCACCTCTGCCTCCTCCTGGACCTCCCCGCCCCCCACCACGGCCCCCACGGCCTCCACGATCGCCGCCGCGCCCCCTTCCTCCTCCGCGTCCTCGAGATTGAACACCACCACCTCGAACACCACCACCTGAGAGTTCACGTGAATCTTCACGTTTTCCCCTCCAAATAAAATGACTGCACACCTCGTCCGCCTCCTCTGAAGCCTCCTCGTCCGCCTCTATCACCACCTCGTCCACCACCTCTATCCCCACCTCTAAATCCTCCTCGGTTTCCAGGGGCTCCTACATAACGAAAAAAAAAATCAGCGTTCCGGGTTTAGCTGTCGGTGTAAATGGTTCTGTGGAATGCGAACATACCAAATGCCATTTGATGTGTAGCCTACACTGTAAACAAAGTGTGGTAGTGGTCTGCGAGCCTCTTCGAAATTTTGGTACTAAGAAAGCTGTAGCCAAACAGAGCCAAACGATCGAACGCTTACACATTTGATAAGATTACTGAGTTAGATACATAACTTCAATCGCTTGTAGTCTTTGTAGCTCTTCGTAGTCCTCGAGTAAACCTTGTGAGTAACGACCTCGACCATACATTGTTAAGCGCTCGATTTTCCAGCGATAAATCATGTCATACACCGGAACACCAGTAAAGAAGTTATTTCCATCCTCTCGCTTTATTTGAGAGTCGGACGCTGAAGATACCATTTTAGGAATTACGAAAGGCGATGCGGGAAGCCGTGATCTCGAATCTGAGAAAGATGCCGTGCAAAGAGTAGTCCGCCAGCGAATCGTGAGGTGCGTACTGCCGCCAGCAGGTTCGTCATTTGTCAACAAATTATACAGTCAATCGAATAACGCAGCGCTATGTGGATACACAGACAATATACATGCAAGAGGACATTGTCGATTGTTCAATCTCAGGCCGTCCAAATCTCATGGCGTAAGTGGTTCGTGCTTCGCACACTGATATGACATATAACCAACAACAATATAGGCTACATTTGGGTCCGAGAGATAGACTGACTTGCAGCAATGACCTGCGAAAGCTGTCAGACACTCGCAGTATCTCCGCTTCCCACAAAGCTCTGCGTTCGCTCCACACATGATGCGCTCCTGATATAAGAAGGGATACCGGAACTCATAGTGTTTGATGTTGCAATGTGTAACCAACAGCCACGACACGGCTGCAGTCTGGACGACACTCGGATACGCATAACATGTTTGATCCAGCCATAGACCCTGGAAAGGGAACGATCATGGTGCAGGACACCGGGAAGCTAAGGCAAGTATGATCATGCTGTTGCATATAACTTGCTCGCATTGCGGCTCAGCTCAATTTATCAAATGAGCGCAATTAACGACGTCACTGTAACAGTTGATTGTCAATCTCCAACCAAAGCATGGTCCTAATTTGAAGCGCTCACCCCTGCACGAGGGAAGTCGGTCGAACATAGGCATAGCCTACTAGTATGGATGTCCAGATTCATATGTCCAAACTCGACAGCAAGTACTTGGATATTCGGATTTAGCCCACAAGGAAGTGAGTACCTTGTTCTGCGAGAAGCGTCGTTGATGTCCAGGCAGAGACAAAGTGGTCTCTGGCAGACCGCAGCCCGTTTCCTGGCAGGTGGGATATTTGGGTCATTAGTCGTCAAGGTGGCTCGGTCTGAAGGGTGCTATCCAGATATCATTTCCTCCGATATTTCGGCGGCTCTAAACGCTTGCCTGTGGGCTGTGCAGGCCGTTCAATCTGGTCGGGAATTGGGGTACACGACATACTTGGCCTGTGCACTGTGCTGTCACTGCTTCTCATTCACGCACACTGTGCGTGTGTCTTCTTTTTGAAGTCGGAAGGCGTGTGACGCGCGCAGCCGAAGTTGAAGATCATCATGTTTCGTCGGTGTTTGGGGTCTATATGCGTGCAAAGATCAGGACATCCTATATGCAAGGAGTCTTTTTCACACCTGCTACAGTTTCGATATATCCTCGCGTCTGATCGCGCACTAGAGCATGTGTCTCAGGACAGGACGTTGTGCAGGGTAATCATGGCGTGTTCTGTAAAAATGAATGCGACCACCCGTTCGAGCTGTGATAGATTAAATCGACGGGAGTTGGCTGAGCGTGCCTCCGCGCAATATGGAGAGGTCACGGCGCATTTCTTTCTCCATCAACCATTTGATGCACAATCATTGCCGACTTTTAGTCGCTCGGGATGCACAGCGACTGTCGGGTACCGTCCGCGGAGAGAGCGACGGCGCTGACGGCTGAGGGCATCATCACTGTGAATATGATATATTTTGCGATCAACAGTGTACCTAAAAGATGGAGGACGGATGGGGCGGACAGCGAAGAAAGATTGAAGTTGAGCGTGGCTGACATAAGGGGAGACGCTGAGTGTGAAAGATGTTCGGGGGGATCCGAGCGAGGACGGGACGAAAAATTGCTATCAGGCTGTCCGACACACCCACCAACGGCCAATCGATCAGCACCTTCCATCGCCCATCCTCCAGCGCACCTTCCTTCGTGCCTACATCCGCCTTGCTTGTTTGCATCTACACATCAAAAAAACAAAGCCCATCATGTCTGCGTCAGTACCCTCGTCTCACTCTTTTGCCCTCCTCTCCGAGCATGATGGCACTTTGACTGCACGCTGACCCGGCGCTCCGCTGTTTTTTTTTGTCTCCTGTAGGGAAGAAACTCTCCAGGATGTCCCTGAAAGCGAGATCGAGTCCAACTGGGATCAAGTCGTTGACAAGTGAGGCTCTTCTGCCTGTGTCCCTAATCGAGCAGTGATTGACATCGTCATGCCTTTGTCTGCGTATCTTAGTTTTGACAACATGGAACTCAAGCCCGAGCTCCTTCGTGGCGTGTACGCCTACGGGTAAGTCTTCCGCTGCTACTCTGCCTCGCCTCCGCGGCCTGGCAATGTGTGTGCATGTGTGCCGACCGATTGCGCCTCTCATAGTTTCGAGCGCCCGTCGGCGATTCAGCAGCGGGCCATCGTGCCTGTTGTGAAGGGCCACGACGTCATTGCACAAGCCCAGTCCGGTACGGGCAAGACCGCGACGTTCTCGGTCTCCATCTTGCAGAAGCTGGACCCGAACGTCAAGGGCACTCAGGCGCTCATCCTTGCGCCGACCCGCGAGCTCGCGCAGCAGATCCAGAAGGTCGTCGTCGCACTGGGCGACTACATGAACGTCGAGTGCCATGCCTGCGTCGGCGGCACGAACGTCCGTGAGGACATGGCGAAGCTCCAGGAGGGTGTCCAGGTCGTCGTCGGCACGCCCGGACGTGTCTTCGACATGATCAACCGTCGTGCCCTGCGCACGGACACCATCAAGATCTTCTGTCTCGACGAGGCCGATGAGATGCTCTCGCGTGGTTTCAAGGACCAGATCTACGAGGTCTTCCAGCTGCTCCCCCAGGACACCCAGGTCGTCCTGCTCTCCGCCACCATGCCCGCCGACGTGCTCGAGGTGACGAAGAAGTTCATGCGTGACCCCGTCCGCATCCTCGTCAAGCGTGATGAGCTCACGCTCGAAGGTATCAAGCAGTTTTACATCGCCGTCGAGAAGGAGGAATGGAAGCTCGACACCCTCTGCGATTTGTACGAGACCGTCACCATCACCCAGGCTGTCATTTTCTGCAACACCCGGCGAAAGGTCGACTGGCTCACCGAGAAGATGCACTCCCGCGAGTTTACGGTTTCCGCCATGGTATGTTCCGATCTTTCTTTGACCTTTTTTCTTGGTCTCTGGTTTTTTCGATTGGCTGACTCATGCTGTGTCAGCACGGTGATATGGAGCAGAAACAGCGTGAGGTCCTGATGAAGGAGTTCCGCTCGGGCTCGTCCCGTGTGCTCATCACGACCGATCTCCTCGCCCGCGGCATCGACGTGCAGCAGGTTTCGCTCGTCATCAACTACGACCTCCCCACGAACCGGGAGAACTACATCCACCGCATCGGTCGTGGCGGTCGTTTCGGTCGCAAGGGCGTCGCGATCAACTTTGTCACGACGGACGACGTGCGGATGCTCCGCGATATCGAACGTACGTGTTTTTTTTTGTTTCGTGTTACATCATCGGGTAGGTAGCTGACGTGAGTTTGTCCTCGCAGAGTTCTACAACACCCAGATTGACGAAATGCCGCTCAACGTCGCGTACGTGTTTTCTCTGCAGCGTTGATTGCCGACGCGAGCCGCTCACTGATCCTGTTTATGCTGCACACAGCGACCTCATCTAGACACGCACTCACCCGTACACGCACTCGCACGCCCGCACCGAATCGCACGCTCACGAACCGACCCCTGACACGCTTGAACCTTCGTACCCACCCGATCGACACCACTCACAACCCCTCCAGCTGCCTCCGCACTCTCCACCAGAGCAACTCCACCCTCCTCCTCCGCCACCTCACCCCACCCTACCCCTGCCGTGCCGTCTCGCGTCTCGTGATTTGTGATTCGATCGCGGGTTCGCGTGTGCTTCGATTTTTCATCTTTGTTCGCCTCCTTTCGTTCCGTCCCTCTCGCGCTTTTTCTTTTTCTTTTTCTTTTCCGTTTCTGTTCTATGTCTCTTGTCGCGTTGACATCCCCGCCTGGCAAAAGCCCTCGCTCCGCTGCACGTATTACTACCACTACCACTCCTTGTCGTCGTCGTCGTACGCTGTCGTCTGTTGCCCGGGCGAGCATGTATGTATCCTCATGTGCAGCAGCTCCCGAATCGTCTCGTCTCGTCTCGTCCGTTGCCCCCCGTGCCAATGCGAGTCTATGTCTTATCTCTCTCCCTCGGTCCGACCGAGGTCGACGAGTGCGTTTGCCCGTTCCGGGATCCCAGGATCCGTCGAGGTTCCGAGGTGTCGAGGTTCCGGGTTCTGAGCGGGTGAGGCGGTGCGACGTGCGACGTGCGACGTGCGTGCGACGTCCGTCGGGATTCATCTGTCTATACACGTGTGTGCGTATATCACGGAGCCAAAAAAAAAAAAAAGAAGAAGAAAAAAAAAAGTCGCATGTCATGGACGAAGCGTCGCGCGTGTGTGTGTGTGTCGGTGTGACGGGAGGCGAACGTGGATGATGACAAAAGGCAAAATGACGTGTGTCGCGGATGGGAGCGCCGGGGAGCGCCGGGGTCGGGGCCGTATCAACCGTTAGCGGCGGCGGCGGTGGCGGTGGCGCTGGCGGTCGAGGGCAGTTCGGGGGCGCGCGACTCAAACGAGGGACAGAGAGCGGTTGGTAGTCGAGGTCTGAGACGACGATGGCGGCGGCGCGGGGCCGCTCGGCGACCGCTTTCATATCGTAGGAGCGCGCAGGGTCAGAGTCGGACGCGGCACGGTATGTATTGGTATGTGTTATAATAAGTATGTGCGGCGTGCGCTGCTCGTACGTGGATGCAGGGGATGGGTACGTGTGCGCGCGGTCGGTGCTCGGTGCTTGGCTGGCCGGAATGGCATGGGGGTTTGGAGGCGAGCGCGCGATGTGCTCGGGTACACGACCTTGGATGGGGGCGCGCACCGGCCATGGCGGGTTAGCGCGCGGCGCGCCGGGAGACGCCCCGAGTGAGGACCGTCGAAGACCATCGAGGACCGAGGCTGCAGGGCGCTTGGCCGACGGAGATGGGATCTCGGGTTGATGGGGTTGGACGCTGCTAGGCGCTGGATGGTGTTGGGTGCGAGATGGTGTCAGATGCGGTCAGATGCTAGATATTGCTAGATGCTGTTAGATGCTGTTAGATGCTGTTGGATGCCGCTAGATGCTGTTGGATGTCAGATGCTTGTGAGATGCTGGTAGATGCTGGTAGACGCTAGAGGCCAGAGGCTGCTAGAGGCTATTAGAGGCTGCTAGAGGCTGGTAGATGCCGTCGGGGCTGCGTTGGTTTGGTCTGGACCGATGGCCGATGGCGGGGGCGGAGGCGACTCAGATTGGGTTCGGGATCTTGGATCTTGGATATGATGCATTGATGCATGATGGGAAGATGAGGAGATTGGATGGAACAGGCCGACGTTGACGGGCAGGGCAGGGCAGGGCAGTCGCATCGGAATCGGAATCGGAATCGGAAGTCGATGGATGGCAGAGGGTCGCAGAGGGTCGCTGTGATTACTGTGACTGCGCGGATGGATGGGCGGTAATAGATGAAAATGCGTAGTGTTTGATATCGAGCGGGGGCCGGGCAGACTCCGAGTGACCTGCGTAGCCTGAGCGCAGCAGCGAGCGAGCGAGCGGGTGGGCGATGCGCCAGACGACGGCGACAAAATGAAACGCGTCAAGTGAGATTCGGTTTGTAAATGCGAGGGCGGGGTCGTCGACGCGCGCATGTGTAGCCGGTAGGCGGTCGATGATGCGCAGGGCCATCGGGCAGACGTCACGTCACGTCATCGCATGGCGTGGCGTGGCGTGGATCACGTCGGGTTCGCGCGCGCCGACGCACTCGGGAGGGGCCGTTGATGAGTGCCAAGTGTGCTGTGCCCGCGTCGACTAGAGTGCGGTAGTGGAGTGGAGTGGAGAGGCAGAGCGGAGGGGCTGGGATCGAGATGGAGGGGTCGGTGGCGGTGATGCGTAGCGCGTCGCGTCTTGATGGGCCCTCCTGGTGATGGCGGTCTCCTAGAGAGGCGGGTCGCGTCGTCGCCGGGCGCTTACGGACTGGGCCATCGAACTTGCGGTCGCGGATCGGGAGATGGGAACGCAATATCGGCAAGCGCGAGGGGTGTGGCGGCGCGGCGCGGGCGGGCGGGCTGGCTGGAACGAGTTTAGGTTGGCGGGGGGAGATGCAGACTGTACCGTGCGGGTGTCGGGATGTGTCGGTGGTGGGTGGTCTGTGGCCGGGGCGGAGGCGGACGAGGAGGGCAGCTGCGGTAGCTCGATCAGCCACCGTTCAGTTCACGCCGTCTCCACGCCGCGGTGCATATAGCCGCCGCCCCACACACACAAGCCCTCGCTCCCCGACCGTCCGTCTCCGCGTCACTGCACCGCCTCCGGGGTCCTTCCACTTTGCCAGCGGCCCCCTCCTATATAACGCCCCCTCTGCCCCATTGCTCATCGCCACCATCATCCCCATCAGCTTCCGAGGCCTCTTATACTGCCTCCGCCCACTCACTCCTCGAGCCACCGTCCGCCTGCGCGCCATCGTCCTTGTTGTCTGCCCTTCTCCCTTGTTCTTCCTTTCCTCCGCTTCCCCATCAGCGTCCTCTCTCCCGCGTTCAGCCGTGTCATGGCCCTGGTCGACCTCAATCTCAATCTCACACTCAATCCCAGCCCCAATCTCTCCCGCCCACACTACATGCCCTCCCCCATCAACGCCCCCTATATATACCCCAACGTGAGCCCCTTTTCCCCCTCGCTCTCTTCTGCTCCCTGTCCGTCCCGAAAGAGCATGCACGCTGAACGTGACTACCACTCCCCGCAGCCGTCGCTGCACCTCTGCGCGCCCACCATCTCCCTCACGATACCCCCAAGCGCCTCCCGCTCGCGCGCCGTGACCCCCGCACACTCCGCCCACCCCTCCGCGCCCTCCGCGCCGCCCTCGCCCTCCCCCGCGCCGCCCTCTCACCACCACCACCACCACCACCACCACCATCACCACCCCCAGCAACAACAACAACAGCAGCAGCAGCAGCAGCACGCCCGCCGCGCCTCCCTCGCCCCGCTCGCCCTCTCCCCGACCACGCCCTCCCCCTACACCCACACCCCGCACCCGCACATCCACAGCCCGACGCCCTCCGCCTCCCAAATCACCCCGCGCCTCTTCCTCGCAGACCTCTCCGCCGCCGAGGACCCCGCGCTCCTCGCCGCCCTCGGCATCACCCACGTCCTCTCCGCCCTCCCAGGCCCCGTGCACCTCCCGCCCGCCCTGCGCCTCGCCGCGCTCCAGCTCCCGCTCGCAGACACCCCCTTCGCGGAGCTCGCCGCCCACCTCCCGCGCACGACGCGCTGGATCGCAGACGCGCTCGACGAGCGCCCCGACGCGCGCGTGCTCGTGCACTGCGCGATGGGCGTGTCGCGCTCGCCGAGCGTCGTGGCCGCGTGGCTGATGGCTGCGCGCGGGTGGGCGCCCGAGGAGGCGATCGAGTACGTGCGCGGGCGGAGGGCGGGCGTGTGTCCGAACGAGGGGTTCGTGCGCCAGCTGCATGAGTACTGGGACGTGCTCGAGCGCGAGCGCCGCGCCGCGCAGTAGCCGTGCGGCGGCGGCGGTGCTGGTTATTGGGTAATTTATTCGAGCGTGCGCGTCTGGGATGATGGCGCTGCGCTTCTCCTTCTCCTTCTCCTTTTTTCTGTTTCTGTTCGCGTCCACGTTCACGTCCACGTTCACGTCTGTTTTCTTCTCCGCGGGTTTTTTTTATATCTCTGTTCATCTGATGCCCCCGCCTTGTCTATCGATCTCGATGCGGACCCAAAAGTACATTACCGCGCCTCGGGGCGGGGCTGGGGCTGGGACTGGCGCTCGCGCGTCCCGTCCCGTCCCGTCCCGTCCCGCCCGGTATATATCCAACTCACGTATCTATTTATCTATGTACGCGCTGACGGCACGGCGCACTCGCACCCACTGCATCCACACCCACACTCACACCCACTACACCCACACGCGTACGCCCACTACACTCACACACGTACGCCCACACACGTACGCCCACACACGTACGCCCACACACGTACGCCCACACACGTACGCCTCCCTCGTCCGTCTGCTATGCCATGCCATGCTATCACGCCAGTGCCGCCCCGTGCTCACGCCCTTATATATGCTCCCATGCTCCCCTGCTCCCCTGCTCCCCTGCTCCCCTGCTCCCATGCTCCCCTGCTCCCCTGCTCCCCTGCTCCCCTGCTCCCCTGCTCCGCTCTACTCTGCTTACTCTGCTTGCTCTGCACACACCACCATCACCATCATCACCACCACCATCGTCACCGCTCATCGTCATCGTCATCGCTATACCCCCCACATACCTCCCTCTTAATTTATCAACGACCGAGAGCCCGCTCGAACGTCGAACGTCGAACCCTCGTGGGCTCGTGGCCCCAACCTACCCACCACCACCACCACCACCACCACCGCGCGCATCCATCGGCGCCGCGCTCGCCCTCGGGTGATTCGTGCGCTGTGCCTATGGTGGCTCGTACCTGCCGAACGAAGCATGCATAGTGCGCGGATTTGTCTCGCGGTATCTCTAGTGATATGTATATTCTCACTGTACCGTACTGTACCGTACCGTACCGTGCCGTGCCGTGTCGTGTCGTGTCGTATTGCATTGCATTGTAAGTTACATCCGCGCCGCACAGCGCTAAGGCCACCGGTCGCCCGTGTCCGTCGTTCAAAACATACATTCTACACAGCCATACAGCCATACACGCACGCACACATACACGCACACGCGCACACGCACACGCATACACGCACGCGCGCGCGCGCGCACGCATACACGCACGCGCGCGCGCGCGCGCGCATCCAAGTGAGCGAGCAAGCGCGAAACAGCGGGAGCGAAACCAACGCGGGCCCGGAGCCGAGTGCGGGATCGAAACAAGAGTGCGGGATCGGAGCCGAGTGCGGGATCGGAACAAGAGTGCGAGATCGAAGCAAGAGTGCGGGATCGAAACAAGGCTGCGGGATCGAAACAAAAGAGAGAGTGTGTGCGTGTGTGTGTGTGTGTGAGAGAGAGAGAGGGAGGGAGAGAGGGAGTGAGGGAGGGAGAGAGGGAGAGAGGAAACACGGGGCCCTGTGCATGGGCGCCGTGCGGTGCGGTGCGGTGCTGTGCGAGCGCAGCAGGCAATAACAACAATAACAACAACAATGGCGATGGGGATGGCGATGGCGATGGCGATCGTCGGCCGCGCAAGGACCGCGGTGCGCTGCGCCGCGGCTGGATGCGTGTGTGGGAGGGCGTGTGGCGTGTGGCGTGTGGCATGTGGCGTGTGTGGGAGGGCGTAGGAAAGATAGGGGGAGGGGGGGGAGGTGAGGGGGAGGTAAGGGGGCGGGTAGGGGGCCGCTGCTGCGGAAGGCGGGCAGCGGGCAGCTGAGGAGGACAGGGCGGGGGCGGGAAGACGGGGAATGGAGACGGGCTCGGCGGGTACAGACGGCGACGGCGGCGTGGTGGCGGCGTGGTGAGGAAAATGGTCTGGGATGAGGTGGGGTGGCTACGAGCTGCAGCACTGCGCGCGGGCGGGCGGCTGCGAGAGCGCGATGTCGGCGCTGGACGGCTTCGAGAGCTTGACGCCGGGGGACTGTGCGTTGCGTTGCGTCGTGTTTCGATCGTAGAGAGGGGTGAGCGTGAGGATGATAGGACAGGACAGGACAGGATGGGATGGGACAGGATGGGACAGGACAGGGCAGGGCAGGACAGGGCAGGCGTGCAGACCGGGGCGGCAAGAGCAGGCGTACGGTATGTGTGGGAAGATCGGGACGGAAGGAGGAAGGAGAGGGAGAGAAGGGAGAGGACGGAGGGAGAAGAAAGATTTTTTCAAAGGGAATAGGGGGAGGCGCGGACGCGTGCACGGGTGGGACGAGCGGGGCGGTGCAGGCGCAGCGCGACGACAGAGGCGGACGGAAACAACGCACGACGATATGGCGACGGCGACGGGTGATCCGGAAGGACACCGGAATGCAGGAATACGCACGCAAGCACACAGCAAGTCACGGAGGAAAAAGGCAAGAGGCAAGAAGGAGAAGAAGAAGTGGGCAGGCGGCAGGCGGCAGGCGATCGAGAATCATCAGGCCCAGAGATCGCAGCACGACGAGATACCACGAGATGGCCGTGTCGCACAGCACCGCACAGTGCGCAATGCGCCGGCGGCAGACGGCAGACGACGGGTCGACGATGGATCGCAGATGGCAGATCCGATGCGGGAGATCACAGATGGCAGATAGGGGGAGATGCGAGCGGATGGGGGAGGGGGAGAAGGGGCCGCCGGTGCCGGCGTTGGCGTCAACGAAGCCGAGGCGGGCAGGCGAGCAGGCGCGCGTGCGGCGGCGGAGGGGCGATAGAGAGAGATCCGGCGCGCGGGACGGGAACGCGTCATGCCATCAAGCCATCATGCCGAAGAACGTGCACGGTGCGAAACGAGGGCGAGTCCGGCATTCAGAGGACGGCGAGGTGCGGTGCGATGGGTCGTGTGCAGCGGTGCACGGTTTGAGAAGCACGGTGGGGGAGGGCGGCACAGCGTGCATCGAGCGCAGACACGGCCACGGACAAGTCAACAGAAGAATCAACATCGGAAAAAAAAAGCAAAACAATTCGTCAGTACATCTGCACTGCGAAAAACCCCATCAATCAGCCCCATCTCTCTGATACCCGTGTTCTCTCTGCTCTTTGTTTTTTTTTTGTCTCTTTCCGCATCGAGAATAACGAAAAGTCACACACTCACCCGTTCATCATCGAATACCCCTCTCCGGATCTTGTCCAGAATATCCCTGCACGCGTCCTCGAACGCCCTGTCCACGCCTGACCCGGACTTGGCTGACGCCTCGACGAAAAGGAGGCCCTCTTCGCGCGCCCACGCGGCGGCCTCGGCCGCGGGAACTTGTCGCCGCCGTGCGGGCACAGGCCCGAACGCGTCGTGTGTGCTGTGTGGGGGTGCGGAGGCGGAGGTTTCAAGAGGCCGTGGAGCGGTGGTGTCGGAGGATTCGGACTCGGGCATGGATTCGGGTGCGGGTTCGGGTTCGGGCTCGGGTGGGCAGAGGTCGATCTTGTTGCCGACTAGAATGCATGTTAGGTGTGGGTCGGCGTGGGCACGGACGTCAGCAAGCCATGTTCGCGCGTTGAGGAAGCCTGACAGGTCCAATCGGATCGTAGAGGCGACGGGGAAGAGCATAAAGGAAGGTGAGCATGGCGTACAAGTTATGAGAGATGGGTAGACAGACTTTGTCGGGACGTGACATCGTACACCAGTAAGCACCCTGCGGCACCACGGTAGTAAGAGCGCGTGATGGAACGGAAAGACTCGGTGCCGGCCGTATCCCAGCCTGTTGCGCAGCGGGTATAATAGCGGGGACCAAAAGAATATAGCGGTAAGAAATCGTTAGCGCGTGTTTTTTCGAGAGATTAGTCGAAGAGAAAGTCGTAAGAACGACCAAGGGGATGAAGGGAAGTGTTGATATGTAGGGGAGGGGGAGGGGGTAGAAAGAAGCGTACATTGCAGTTTGATAACTTTGTCTTCTTCGGGTATCGTGATGAGCTTTGAGCCAAATTCTACGCCTAGCTGCACGTGAGTCCACGATCAGTCGCCGAGGGAGTGAGATATGCATTTATGTTAGATTCGGTCAGGATCGACGGGAGGAGGGCAAGCCTGGAGGACTACGCACTGTCGGATCTGGATTTGTGAGGAAACGCTGGTCGGTGAGGCGTATGAGCAGCGAGGACTTGCCAACGGCCGCATCACCTGTTAAATTCGATAGGTAGGTGAGCAGCAGGGATTTCAGTCTGAGCACATCGGAACAAAGGCGAAGAGGCGAGGGTTGGGGCCATAGCAGTTGGGACGGGCACGCACCTGTGATGATGAATTTGAGAACGTAGTGCCATGATATGTCGGCCATTGTGTGTATCGTTGATTCGGAGGAACGATGAGACGCGAATCCTGGGTGTAGAGCGAAACCGTCTGCGTCTGCGTGTGGTCTGAAATCGGCACTCCGAATGGAGGCGGTATCTGTATCTATATATATTGTGCCGATGCGAGTGCGCGCGTGCGTGTATATGGGGCGTGCTGGGTGCGTGCGAGTGCGTGTAGGGCGTGTGCTGCTCGGTGCGGTGCGAGTGCAAGTGCAAGTGCGAGGCGATAGTCGTCGTCGCGATGCCACCCGCGGTCAGAGCTATTGACTCATCTGCCATGACGCTGTGGACGCTGTGGACCGGTCCACATACCGGCGGACTAGCAGCCCGGTACCTCCCGACCTTCCGCTCTCTTCGTCCACGAAAGCGACTCCAGCACAACCAACCTCTTCACCGACGATGTCTTCCGCTAGCTGGCGTCAATTCTTCACGTACGTGTGCTCGATCTTCTCGTATCATCATAACGGTCTCGTTTGTCTTTGCCATTCCTTGGTTTCTTTCCAGCACGCTGCGGTACTTGGTTGATTCGTTTCGCTGACACGAGATGTGCAGGTACAACAAGTACACCCAGATCTCCGCGCGCGCCGTGCGCCAGTCGCTGAAGGAGTCTGAGCGTCTCAATGCTGAGAAGCGTGGTCTCACAGTTCTGCGCTACCAGAAATGGGAGAACGGCCAGGGAGGCGAGCAGGTACGCGTTTGATCACTCTCCGTCTCTCGTCTTTCTGCTGTTCTATCTTGGCCTCTTTCCGGGCCTGTTGACGATACCAACTCTGTTTCCACCCCCTTCCTCTGTCCATTCCATACATGAGGTGTTGACGTGCCGACTTTATCCAGGTCTTCTTGAACCCTCCAGAGGACACGAAACCCGCAAAGTCAGCAGCAGTCTGAGTTGACCGGATCAGGAGGCCTGACTCGAGTAGGGAGGGCACAGCCCGCCGCGATGAGGAGTTCAGGGTGAACCAGGCATTCGCCCACACCAGCGCCGCGGTGATATGCCAACTCAGAGATACTTGCAGCAAAATCCAATCCTGTTCTGTTCTTTTGCGTTTGATCGCACGCTCAGAGTCGCGTCCGAGTATCCGGCTTCAGGCCTTCAGGTAGAAGTTCGAGACTTCGCTACAAACATACGTCCCGGCGCCGCTCCTGTGATGGCGGTCGTCTTCTGGCGTGCATCGTCGTCAGCAGGGGTAATTGCACTGTTGTCTGAGATTTTCATATGCGACATGGACGACGGCCATCACAGGTTTCGTGGAGTGTGTCGGGGCTGTGGTCTGTGCGACGACACATGTCGGGAACGTTCATGCCGATCCCGTGCGCCCTCAGTTGCCTGGTCACTGCGCTACGTCCGCTGAAATGCAGAAGTCCCTCTGGTGCAACGTTGTGTGCTATTTTTCCCATGTATGATGTGACTGGGAAGGAGTGGACACGGCGACCGCAACAGTCGACCCAACGGCATATAAAAGGGTCTATTCGCTTCCCCGTTCTCGCCACGATCCGCCCGCATGCCCGCTGCGCAGAAGGAACGAGGCAGACACGCCCCCTCGAGAGAAACGAGTTCCGACCCGTCGCTTCGCGACTCTTGCACAGTGCTTAATAGTATTTCTTGGGGTTAGGGTTGAATCTGAGTTTTGTAGTTTAGTTTTAAATGACTATGAGGATTGAAATATTCCGTGTTAGTTGCAAACTATGCATTGATTATAGGCTACCTACAGTCTGAGTGTGGTCTGTATGTAGTCTGTGTGTAATCTATTGTTGGCTATATACTTGTGACTTGATTACCTATTACATGTGCTCTCATTTTATATGCTTTTATTGTATATGCTCTTATTGTGTGTGCTTCTGTCATATGTGCTCTCATTGTGTGTGCTTGAATTAGGTGTGCTCCTATTGGGTACGCTACTATTGTATATGCTTCTATTGGATGTGCTCTTGTTGAATGTGCTCTCATTGAGTGTGCTCTCATTAGGTATGCTCTTGTTGAGTGTGCTCTTATTGGGTATGCTCTTATTGGGTATGCTCTTATTAGGTATGCTCTTATTGGATGTGCTTGTGTTGTATGTGGTGTGCTTTTGTTAGATATGCTCTAGTTAGATGTGCTTCCATCATGTGTGCTCCCATTGTATGTACTCCCATCATATGTGTTCCTATCAGATATGCTCTAGTTAGGTGTGCTCCTATTATATGTGCTCCTATTACATATAGTATGCTCCCATTATGTGTGCTTCCATTGTGTATGCTCCTATTGTGTATATTCCCATCACATGTGCTTCTGTTAGATGTGCTTTGGTTGGGTGTGCTTTTATTATGTGTGGTAGGCTCCTATTAAATGTGCTCTAGTTGTGTGTGCTTTGATTATATATGCCCTTATTGCATAGGCTCCTATTGCTTGTACTCTTTGTTGTATGTGCTCCCATTGCATATGCTCCCATTGTATGTCCTTCTATTGTGTATGCTTCTATTGTGTATGCTCCCATACTCCTATCATGTGTGCTCTTATTGTATGTGCTCTTGTTGTATGTGCTCTTTTTGTGTGTGCTCCCATTACATATGAGCCCATTGTGTATACTCTCATTATGTGTGCTTCCATTGTATATGCTCCCATTGTGTGTGTTCCTATTGTATGTGCTCCTATTAGTTTCATTGCACTTCTCTTATAGGTTATTGGACATTTTTAATCTAATCTGAGTAATGTTCCTGGAGTTTTCCACCAATGTAAAAGACATATACACAGAATGCATAGATTTAGCAGGTATTGAGTTGGGAATATAAGGTACATTGATGGTTAGAGTCAGAATATATTGCCTTGTGCTCTATGGATTTTGTCATATTTTGTCAGGTTCCCTTTTTGGATTTTTGGTGCAGAAAATGCTTTAATCAGGAGAAGAGAAAATAATAATTTGGCCAATAAAGTAATTGTTTTAGCCTCGCGCTTCGCGCTCGCCGCGGCTATCGCCGCAGTTTGTCAGGTTTGGCCCCTCGCGCTTCGCGCTCGGGTGCTCACGTGGTTTTCACGTGTTGCCACGCGAGATACTGCCCTTCCACTCTCTTTAGACTAGCTTCTCACCCGTCGCGTTGCGACGGCGCAACCATGCTTAATCCGAGTTTTTGTTGCAGTGCTTAGTCTTAATCTATGTTTGTGTTATAGTGCTTAGTTTATGGTTGGGTTTTAGTTAAGCAGCCAAGTTAGAGTAGCAGTTTTATTTCAAGCATACATATAAAAAGTTAGAGTGGGGATTGAGAGTCAAAGTGTAAGAAGTTTCTATATAAGTTTTATACTACAGTCCTTGTTCAAGTCCTATTATAATTGTTAGCCATGTCACAATGATTATAATCTATGACATACTATTGATTATCTAAAATGCCTTGCAATACCTCAGGGTACACTATATTGGTGGTTTTGGTCCCTTGTGAGTCTGGTGGGAATAACACCTTGATTCTATCTCCTGATGTGCAGCGTGACAGTGCAACATAAAGCTGGCCATGGGAAAATACAGGCCGCTCCAAATCTAATCCAACAAACTTGACAGACTGTCCTTGTGACTTGTTGATGGTCATAGCAAAGGCAACATGGACAGGGAATTGTCTGCGCTTCAAAGGAATAGGACAGGCTTCTCCAGATGGCTCCAGGGTTAATCTAGGGATAAACACAATTCTTCCAGCATGTGCTCCACCTAAGATGCGGCATTTTAAGACACGTGTCCTTGCCTCAAGTAAGATGAGTCGAGTGCCATTGCATAGGCCATGAGAGGGATCAATGTTGCGCAAAAGAATGAGAGGACAACCTCTTTTGACATGGAGGTGAGCAAGAGGAAGGCCAGAGATATTGATAGAGTTCAAAAACTCTATAGGATAACCCTCTATGTCCTTGACAGAGTCAATGCTGGTCAGGAGCTTGTCTTCTCCAGGAAACTTGGCCAGAATCTCCTTGTTGATCTCAGCAACAGTGTCATTGCGCCCAGAAAGAATCATACGGTCAAGGAAGAAGTGGTCTGGTTTGGGGTGCTGATCAGAGATGTCAGGATAGATAAAGTCAACCAAGGATTCCTTAGTGTTGTTATCAAGATGCATGTTGGGAGGAAGTTCAATAGACTTGTCTTCACCAAGGTTATGGCCAGAACCAACATTGAGGAGCCATTGAGCAAAGGCATTGCTTTCAGGAGTCTGGTCTAGACGCATGTTCTGTTTGAGAGTAAGAAGTTGGATGTGATTCCAGAGTGAGGACTTGCGCAAAGATGCAGCCACAATCTGCTCTCTGCTTCCTTTGGGAACCACAGGCAAGGTCTGACGAAAGTCTCCAACAAACAGCACAGTAACACCACCAAAAGGAGCAGGGTTGCCCATAAGATCCTGAAGAGTGCGATCAACAGCTTCAATTCCATAGCGATGCTGCATTGGTGCCTCATCCCAAATGACCACCCCAGTCTGATGAATAAGACCATCAAAGTCAGAGTTTTTCTCCCAAGAGCAAGAGGAGCGCTCATTGAGACCCTCAATGGGGATTTTGAAGCGAGAGTGAGCAGTGCGACCACCATCCAGAAGCAAGGAGGCAATGCCAGAAGAAGCAACACAAAGAGCAGCCTTGCCTTGAGAGCGGACAGAGGCAGCAATGGTGTTGCAAACATAGGTCTTTCCACCACCTCCAGCACTGTGCAGAAAGAAGACTTGGCCTTGGTTGGACTGGACTGACTGCATAACAGCATCATAGGCATTCCTCTGCTCAGCATTGAAGGTCAATAGATTAGTCTCCACCTGAAATGCAAGGTCAGCTCAAGGTCAACTTTGAAGGATGCATGGTAACTGACCTGTTCCCAAAGAGCCACATAATCATGGTTGAGCTCATCCTGAAGAAGCACATTTGTAGCTTGGTTCCAATCTTGCAGAGGCAAAGGCATAGGAGGATAGTCAATGAGGCGCTTTCCCATTCCAGTAAGGACTTTGTCCAGCAGATAGAGGCCATAATCAAAGACATCCTCTTGAGTAGGATCAGGAAAGCCCATGGCAGTAAGACGCACATGCAGATCATCACAGATTTTGTCCTTGTAGCGATTCCAAAGAATAAGAGGTTGTGAAGGAATGCAGAAGCGAAGGATGGTGGCAAAGAGGGATCTAAGTTGAGTTCCAGTCTGCATATCTGCTGCTTCAGCCAAGGCCATATCCCACTCTCCATCATCCTCCAAAAGGCCACGTGCAAAACAGGCATCACGATAGGTAGGATATTCAATGCCTTCATAAGTGCGAATGTCTTTCCAGTCCTTGGCACCTTTAACAATGGTGAGCAATGTTCTGAGGTAAAAGCGTTCGCCTGCAGAGGGATGGACAAATAACACTCTGCCAATAGTAGAACCCTGCTGACGTGGAGTCCATATTTTCTTTGACTGGTTCCAGACATAGTGAAGAGGAAAGTCCTGGTAGGTATGAGCATGAGCAGCAGGAAACTTTTGGTTGGCAATAAACCATTCAGTCAACTCGGTTTTCTGGGACCTGTCTCTGTTTAAGACTTCTTCAGGATTATCATCAGCATCAAAGTAGACCTGCTGTTCATTAGGGAGATGGACAGGAAGACGATAGACTGTGGGGGATTCCAGATGCCTTGGGAATTCAAAGATGTTCCAGCAAGCCTCTACAGGTCCAATATAGCGAGCATCCACATAGTCCTTAATCTCATCAATGTCTCCAATCTGAAGTGTAGCACGATCAGGACCTTTGTAGATATACTTGTGGATATATTTGACAGCCTTGATGGATGCACAGACCTCCACATTGATATGGCAGTTGTATTTGGCAAGAAGATAGGGATTATAAGGAACAACATCACGATTGTCAAACTGCATAGTATGCCGAGTGAAGGTGCGCCCATTGTTTGGCCTAGCATATGTAGGATAGCCATCCTCACCATAGAGGGTCTGCTCAGTAAAGTCCTTCCGATAGCGCTTGCTACAGAGCTTGACTTTTGTGCCCCCAATATCTTTTTCTTCCATGCAACGTGCTTGAGGAAACTCAGGGCCACAGCGTCCATGGAGCATGTATCTTGTGACAGACTCATAAAGCATAGGATGGATAGCAGGATCTGGAAGCTGGGCAGAGACAATCCTATCCACATCTTCAGCACTTTGAATTTTGTCCTGTGCATCAAGGAAAAGAAGAAGATGCATATGAGGAAGACCACGCTTTTGAAACTCAATGGTATAAACCATCCCTGCCACCTTGCCAAACAGGCCCTCCTTGATATCCTTTATAAGAGCCTTCATCTTCAAGGCAAACACACGTGCAACCAAGTCTGGATGATCAGAAGGCTGCTGAGTTGAACCATCATCATATTTTAAGAGCTCTTCAGTGATCTCTGGCCAGTTAGGGTTTGCAGTCATGGTGATAAAGATGTCAGGCTTATGGCAGTGGCGAGTGATAGCCATAGAATCTTGGAAAAGCTGATACATATAACGTGGACTGCCTGCATGAGTAGAGGGAAGCACAATACGTTTTCCCCGCTGGCCTAGGTCTACCTCAGCTTCTGCATGGATAGCATCAAACAATGACTGGTACTTTTCAGCTCTAATCTCCTTCTGATGATTCCTGATCCAGAAAAGGTTGCTAGACTCAATAGATGCCCAAGCATCAACCACATATTGCTGAAATAGCTTGCCAGCTCTAAAGATGGTTTCAGGATCAAGCAGACGGCGCATAAGACGATAGGCATAATAGCAGCGCTGAGACACCTTGGATGAGAGCATTTGGCCATTAGGTCCAGGATGAGCAGGAATATTGGGATGAAAGCCTTGTTCGCCATGTGGAAATAATGTCACATAATGCAAGGGACTGTAGTGAGGGTGAAGATGGCTGAAATGCTTTAGACCTCCATGGTTATAGCGGACAACAATATCTCTGTGCAAGTCCACTTCCTCATCTCCACTTCCAGGAATGATGGCAGCAACTTCATCTGCGGTAGGCTCATTATAGCGGCGATGATCAGTATTGGGCAAGACAGCAATACGGGCTGCAAGCTTGTCTCGTTCTCCAGGATTCTTGTCTGCCATGATTTGATAGGCATGGCGGTACAGGGGAACATAAGGATTGTGCTCATGAAACATATCCTGCAAGTTATTCATGATCTCAGACTTCAAGTTGGGATTGGCATTGTTGCGCTCATTGAGTGCAGCCTGAGGATCAATAACATAGAGCTGAGCATAGGAAGGTCTAAGATGGTTGGGTGGTAGCAGGGTACCCATCTGATGATAAAGTTCTCCATGGATTTTAAATGCATATGGCCCAGAAGTAGTGGTAACATGATCTGATAGCTTGGCAGCAATAGAAGTAAATGCAAATGCACTATTGTATTGCCTGATATTTAGCCTGAATGATTTGGCATTCTCAGTGTCTCCACAGAGAAGATTACGCAGTGTTTGAGGAGGGTCCAATAACACAGGCAGCCTAATTTGGCCTTGTAAACAGCACATGCCAAAGCGGATATGATTGCGAGTAGAGGATGATAGCTTTTCAGAGGAAAAGTGAAGGGCTTTGCAATGGGAACATTCAACATCCATATGGCCAACACTATAGCGTGCGTCAGGCTCTTGATAAGGACGACGACCAAGAGGTAGCTGTTGCATCACTTGATTTTGAGCCAAAGCATGGTGGTTTTGCTGGATGGCTAGATTGGCATAATGCTCCTGCTCTTCTAGATGGACTTGTATTTGATTTTGAAGGTGCTGCTGCTGCTGTAGATCATCAAGATGTTGTTGCTGAACAAATGCCTGCTCATGGATTCCTTCCTCCTGTCTTTGCAATTCATGCTGCTGATGTCTTTGCTGAGGCTGCAAAAGCTGCTGACGGACCTCTTCAAGACGCTGCTCATGAAGGAATGCTCTATGCTGATCAAATGCCTGTTGCTCTTGCTGATATTGCAAAGCCTGTACATCTGACTGAGGTGGCAATGGAGGCTATGGTCGATAAGAGGAAGAAGCTGGATTATGAGGGAGAACATCTGATTCAGGCCTTGTATTCTCACTACGACGCCGTCTACGCTCTGCATGGCTTTGTTCAAAGTTATTCATCATGCGGCGCTCATAGTCAGGATGGCTAGCTGCTGCAAGACGTGAGCGAGCCTGTCTATCATGATTCCCAATCAAGTGTCGTGGAAGATTAGGATAGGCAGAAACATTCACAGGCCAATAATGAGGTGGTGGTGCAGGCATTGGAGGAGGAGCATAGATAGGATACTGTCCAGGAATTTGGTAAGCTGTAGCACCTTGATAGACAGAGTGTTGGAACATGGGAGCAGGATAAAAGTGGGGAGGAACATATTGAGCAGGATAATATGATGGAGCAGAGGGAGCAGCAACTGCAGAATAGTATGACTGGACAGGAGGAGCAAGTGTGGCAGGCTGGTGAAGCTGAATGGGTGGTGCAAGAGAAATAGGAGGCTGAGCAGGATTAGAAGTGACAGGATGGGAAGGTCTAGAGAGATCCTCAAAGACAGGCTGACGAATAGAGCCTCGTAATGCAGAACGCTCGCGCCGAAGAGTAGGAGAAGTCATCTGAAGCCTTTCAGCACGCTCTTGCTCCCGCACAGTCTGGCGCTCATGCTCAGGAGTCCTAGGAGGAGTTCTTATAAACCCTAAAATTAATAAACAAATTTTGTGTGATTTAACAAAAACTGCATACCTTGTCATAGTCACATCCCCATGGGCAGCCTCTTCAATAGCCTCTTGGTTTTCAACATGTCTATAGTTTCTTCTTTTTAGCCAATGACCATAAAAAGATTAAATAAAACCACATACCCATTGAGATTCTCAGGTGGAGGAGTCATATACAGATCATCCTCATCTTCACTATTATTGGCATTCTCACTATAGCAAATATGAGTACACACAACCAATAAGCAAAAAGTAAGTCACATACTTATGTACAGTCTCAGGTGGGGGTGTCATATAGAGATCATCCTCATCATCATCTCTAAAGGGAATTTTAGCACTAAAACAGTATCCAAGCAAGCCAAAGATACTCACAAAGGTGCCAATGCAGGCATCCAGACTTCCACCACACCCTCGTTAGGAGGCCTACAAAAAGAGTTGAGCACAATAGACATGATGCAAGCAACACAGACTTACAAAGGTGGAACACTCATTGTGAAAAGCTAAATAAAAAAAACACCTGCAAACAAAACCAAGAGCCAAGAGTGGTTGCCAAGCTAAGCACTCGCTGAATGCCCCCTCACAGTTCACCTGAAGAAATTGCCGCAAGACAGTGCCAGGGGAAGAGGATTCCCAATGCTCTTTGACAACTCAATGTCACTCGTTGTCTGCAAAGCAGGTCGTTGTGACTGTGAGATTGTGGTAAAAGGTACCTGAGCAACTGAAACACCGCAGGATGAGAGAGGTCCAGGCAGCTATGAAAAGACTGCTTTTGGCTACAGCAAACTAAGGCCGTGCTGGTAGACTTCACACCCTGTAGGCTCTTTCTAAGCAGAATCCGTGCTCAGAGACACCCAGTAGAGCAGAGTAGAGTTTGAGAGAAAAGCCAGTGAGGAATAAAGCAGAGGAGAGCACAGATGAGGGTCCAGGACAGAGATGATGGTGGTTGGCGGCAGAGATCCAATGTCGCAAGCCTCGCGCGGAAGCGCTGACTCATCGAATTTCAAACTCCGACACGCTCCGTTTCGCGTCCCGAAGCCTATGGGACAGTGGTCTCGCGTGGTTTCTTACGTGGCCCACGCGAGCATAAGCGAGGAGCACGCGAGCATAGCCGTCGCTTAAGCGCCACAATTTTCCAGTGTCGCCCTCTATTTATGGACTAGCTTCTCACCCGTCGCGTTGCGACGGCGCAACCATGCTTAATCTGAGTTTTTGTTACAGTGCTTGGTCTGATGTGTCTGTAAAGTCTAGTGTTCACAAAGTCCAGTGCCTATAAAGTCTAGTGCCTGTAAAGTACAGTGCCCGTGCTTAATCTGAGTTTTTGTTGTAGTGCTTGGTCTCATGTGCCTGTAGAGTGCACGGACTATAAAGTCTAGTGCCCGTAAAGTTCAGTGCCCATAAATTCTAGTGCCCGTAAAGTCCAGTGCTTATAAAGTCCAGTGTCCACAAAGTCCAGTGCCTATAAAGTCCAGTGCCTATAAAGTCCAGTGCCTGTAAAGTCTAGTGCTTGTAAAGTCCAGTGCCCATAAAGTCTTGTGCCCCAATATCCCTATATGGCTCTTTTATGATATCCTATAATGTCCTTCCTATAAGATTCCCATATAAAGCTTCTTATAAGGTCCCATCCATTAGATTCCCCTATGAGATTCTGCCCTATGAGGCTCCCCCGTGAGGTTTTCTGTGAGGTGCTGGGATGTTATTTCAAGCTCCAATGGCTGCTGAGGCATAGCCCACTCCAGTTGCTAGGATTGCTAGGAGCACCAAGACATGGCTCACTCTGCTTACTGAAAGTCCTGTGCCCCAATATCCCTATATGGCTCTTTTATGATATCCTATAATGTCCTTCCTATAAGATTCCCATATAAAGCTTCTTATAAGGTCCCATCCATTAGATTCCCCTATGAGATTCTGCCCTATGAGGCTCCCCCATCAGAGTCCCACCTATGAGGCTCCCCCGTGAGGTTTTCTATGAGGTGCTAGGATGCCATTTCAAGCTCCAATGGCTGCAGAGGCATAGCCCACTCTAGTTGCTAGGGTTTTTTATGTGGCCTACATAAGTATAAGCAAGGACATATGACTTGAGCTATTAGCCCAGTGCCACCATTTCTTATTGTCCCCTTTTATTTATTATTTATTTACATATAAAAAATACCCGCAAACAAAACCAAGAGCTCAGAGTGGTTGCCAAGCTAAGCACTTGGTGAATGCCCCCTTGCCTGAAGAAATCACTGCAAGACAGTGCCAGGGGAAGAGAATTCCCTATGGTTAGGTCAGCTCCGGGCACGCGCGCGCTGACCAACTCCGTTTCAGGCTCCGACATGCTCCGTTTCGCATCCCGAAGCCTATGGGACAGTGGTCTCGCGTGGTTTCTTACGTGGCCCACGCGAGCATAAGCGAGGAGCACGCGAGCATAGCCGTCGCTTAAGCGCCACAATTTTGCAGTGTCGCCCTCTATTTACTAGCTTCTCACCCGTCGCGTTGCGACGGCACAACCATGCTTAATCTGAGTTTTTGTTACAGTGCTTGGTCTCATGTGCCTGTAAAGTCTAGTCTCTGTAAAGTCCAGTGCTCGTAAAGTCCAGTGCTTGTAAAGCCCAGTGCCTGTAAATTTTAGTGCCTATAAAGTCCAGTGCCCATAAATTATTTTGCCCTAATATAGCTCTCTGATCATATTCTATAAGGTCCTGCCCATAATATTCTCTATATAAGACTCTCTTGTCAAGTATTATTTAGTTCCTCTATAAGGTCATACCTATAAGGCTTTCCCATAAAGTGCTGCGATACTATTTCAAGCTCCAACAGCTGCCAAGATATGGCCCATATAAGGTTCTCCTATATAGGTTCCTTTATTATATTCCCCTGTTAGGTTTCTCCATTATGCTTACCTATTATGTTCCTCTGTCAGGTTCCTCTATAAGATCTTGCCAGTGAGGCTCTCTTGTGAAGCTCCTCTATAAGGTGCTAGAATATCACTTTTAGTGCCCATAAAGTCTAGTTCCCATGATATTCTATAATGTCCTGCCTATAAGATTCCCCTATAAGGCCCCTCTATGAGATTTTGCAAGATGACATTCAAAAGATTCCCCTATAAGGTTCCTCTGCCAGATCCTGCCTATATGGCTTCCCTATTAGGCTCCCTTTTCATATTCCATAAAAGGTTCTGCCCATAAGGCTCCCCTATGAGATTCTGCCCTATGAGGCTCCCCCGTGAGGTTCCCTGTGGGGTGCCAGAATGCCATTTTGAGCCCCGATGGCTGCCGAGGCACGGCCTGCTCCAGTTGTTGGCATTGCCGGGCAGACCGGGATGCCGTGTGGAACCCCGACAGCTGCCGAGACACGGCCCGCTCTAGTTGCGGAGGTTGCCGGGCGGCTGAAAGGACAGCTCGCTCCGCTCGCCAAATTTGTCATGGCGCTCGCTTCGCTCGCGTGGTTTCTTACGTGGCCCACGCGAGCATAAGCGACAACACGCGACATTAGCCGGCGGAGTTTTGCCACAATTCTTCACTGTCGCCCTCTATATAGGGACTAGCTTCTCACCCGTCGCGTTGCGACGGCGCAACCATGCTTAATCCGAGTTTTTGTTGCAGTGCTTAGTCTGAGGTTATGTGACAGTGCTTAATCTATGTTTGTGTTATAGTGCTTAGTTTGTGGTTGGGTTTTAGTCAAGCAGCCAAGTTAGAGTAGCAGTTTTATTTCAAGCATACATATAAAAAGTTAGAGTGGGGATTGAGAGTCAAAGTATAAGAAGTTTCTATATAAGTTTTATACTACAGTCCTTGTTCAAGTCCTATTATAATTGTTAGCCATGTCACAATGATTATGATCCAAGACATACTATTGATTATCCAAAATGCCTTGCAATACCTCAGGGTACACTATATTGGTGGTTTTGGTCCCTTGTGAGTCTGGTGGGAATAACACCTTGATTCTATCTCCTGATGTGCAGCGTGACAGTGCAACATAAAGCTGGCCATGGGAAAATACAGGCCGCTCCAAATCTAATCCAACAAACTTGACAGACTGTCCTTGTGACTTGTTGATGGTCATAGCAAAGGCAACATGGACAGGGAATTGTCTGCGCTTCAAAGGAATAGGGCAGGCTTCTCCAGATGGCTCTAGGGTTAATCTAGGGATAAACACAATCCTTCCAGCATGTGCTCCACCCAAGATGCGGCATTTTAAGACACGTGTCCTTGCCTCAAGTAAGATGAGTCGAGTGCCATTGCATAGGCCATGAGAGGGATCAATGTTGCGCAAAAGAATGAGAGGACAACCTCTTTTGACATGGAGGTGAGCAAGAGGAAGGCCAGAGATATTGATAGAGTTCAAAAACTCTATAGGATAACCCTCTATGTCCTTGACAGAGTCAATGCTGGTTAGGAGCTTGTCTTCTCCAGGAAACTTGGCCAGAATCTCCTTGTTGATCTCAGCAACAGTGTCATTGCGCCCAGAAAGAATCATACGGTCAAGGAAGAAGTGGTCTGGTTTGGGGTGCTGATCAGAGATATCAGGATAGATAAAGTCAATCAAGGACTGCTTAGTGTTGTTATCAAGATGCATGTTGGGAGGAAGTTCAATAGACTTGTCTTCACCAAGGTTATGGCCAGAACCAACATTGAGGAGCCATTGAGCAAAGGCATTGCTCTCAGGAGTCTGGTCTAGGCGCATGTTTTGTTTAAGAGTGAGAAGTTGGATGTGATTCCAGAGTGAGGACTTGCGCAAAGATGCAGCCACAATCTGCTCTCTGCTTCCTTTGGGAACCACAGGCAAGGTCTGACGAAAGTCTCCAACAAACAACACAGTAACACCACCAAAAGGAGCAGGGTTGTCCATGAGATCCTGAAGAGTGCGATCAACGGCTTCAATTCCATAGCGATGCTGCATTGGTGCCTCATCCCAAATGACCACCCCAGTCTGATGAATAAGACCATCAAAGTCAGAGTTTTTCTCCCAAGAGCAAGAGGAGCGCTCATTGAGACCCTCAATGGGGATTTTGAAGCGAGAGTGAGCAGTGCGACCACCATCCAGAAGCAAGGAGGCAATGCCAGAAGAAGCAACACAAAGAGCAGCCTTGCCTTGAGAGCGGACAGAGGCAGCAATGGTGTTGCAAACATAGGTCTTTCCACCACCTCCAGCACTGTGCAGAAAGAAGACTTGGCCTTGGTTGGACTGGACTGACTGCATGACAGCATCATAGGCATTCCTCTGCTCAGCATTGAAGGTCAATAGATTAGTCTCCACCTGAAGTGCAAGGTCAGCTCAAGGTCAACTTTGAAGGATGCATGGTAACTGACCTGTTCCCAAAGAGCCACATAATCATGGTTGAGCTCATCCTGAAGAAGCACATTTGCAGCTTGGTTCCAATCTTGCAGAGGCAAAGGCATAGGAGGATAGTCAATGAGGCGCTTTCCCATTCCAGTAAGGACTTTGTCCAGCAGATAGAGGCCATAATCAAAGACATCCTCTTGAGTAGGATCAGGAAAGCCCATGGCAGTAAGACGCACATGCAGATCATCACAGATTTTGTCCTTGTAGCGGTTCCAAAGAATAAGAGGTTGTGAAGGAATGCAGAAGCAAAGGATGGTGGCAAAGAGGGATCTAAGTTGAGATCCAGTCTGCATGTCTGCTGCTTCAGCCAAGGCCATATCCCACTCTCCATCATCCTCCAAAAGGCCACGTGCAAAGCAGGCCTCACGAAAGGTTGGATACTCAATGCCTTGATAAGTGCGAATGTCTTTCCAGTCCTTGGCACCCTTAACAATAGTAAGCAAGGTCCTGAGGTAAAAGCGCTCTCCTGCTGAGGGATGAACATAGTACATTCTGCCAATAGTTGAGTGTTGAATACGTGGTGTCCATGCTCTATTCTTTTGATTCCAGACATAGAAGGGAGGAAAGTCTTGATAAGTGTAAGCATGGGCAGCAGGATACTTTTGGTTGGCAATGAACCATTCAGTCAACTCTGTCTTTTGGGACTTGTTACTATTGAGAAGTTCTTCAGGATTGTCATCAGAATCAAAATAGACCTGCTGCTGATTAGGAAGATGAACAGGAAGACGATAGACTGAAGGAAACTCCAGATGCCTTGGGAATTCAAAGATGTTCCAGCAAGCCTCCATAGGTCCAATATAGCGAGCATCCACATAGTCCTTAATCTCATCAATATCTCCAATTTCAATAGTGGCACGATCAGGACCTTTGTAGATATACTTGTGAATGTATTTGATGGCCTTGATAGAAGCGCAGACCTCTACATTGATGTGGCAGTTATATTTGGCAAGAAGATAGGGATTATGAGGAACAACATCGCGATTGTCAAACTGCATAGCGCCTCGAGTGAAAGTGCGCCCATTGTTTGGTCTAGCATATGTAGGATAGCCATCTTCACCATAAAGGGTGTGCTCATTGAAGTCCTTGCGATAATGCTTGCTACAGACCTTGACCTTTGTGCCACCAATATTCTTTTCCTCCATGCAACGTGCTTGAGGGAATTCAGGGCCACAACGTCCATGAAGCATGTATTTGGTGACAGACTCATATAGCATAGGATGGGTGGCAGGATCTGGGAGCTGGGCAGAGACAATTCGATCCACATCTTCAGCACTCTGAATTTTGTGTTCTTGCTTCAAGAAAAGGAGAAGGTGCATGTGAGGAAGCCCACGCTTTTGAAACTCAATGGTATATACCATGCCAGCAACCCCTCCAAACAGGCCCTCCTTGATCTCCTTGAGCAAAGCCTTCATCTTTTGTGCAAAGACACGTGCCACCAAATCAGGACGATCAGAAGGATTCTGAGTTGTACCATCATCATATTTCAAGAGCTCTTTTTGAATCTCTGGCCAATTAGGATTTGCAGTCATGGTAAGGAAGATGTCTGGCTTATGACAATGGCGAGTGATAGCCATAGAGTCTTGGAAAAGCTGATACATATAACGTGGACTGCCTGCATGAGTGGAGGGAAGAACTATGCGCCTTCCTTGTTGGCCTAGGTTGATACCTGCTTCTGCATGAATGGCATCAAACAATGACTGGTACTTGTCTGCCCTAATCTCCTTCTGATGGTTCCTGATCCAGAAAAGGTTGCTAGACTCAATAGATGCCCAAGCATCAACCACATATTGCTGAAATAGCTTGCCAGCTCTGAAGATAGTTTCAGGTTCAAGCAAACGGCGCATAAGACGATATGCATAATAACAGCGCTGAGACACCTTGGATGAGAGCATTTGGCCATTAGGTCCAGGATGAGCAGGAATATTGGGATGAAAGCCTTGTTCGCCATGTGGAAACAATGTCACATAATGTAGGGGACTGTAGTGAGGGTGAAGATGGCTAAAGTGCTTTAGACCTCCATGGTTATAGCGGACAACAATATCTCTGTGCAAATCCACTTCCTCATCTCCATTCCCAGGTATAATAGCAGCAACCTCATCAACAGTAGGCTCATTATAGCGACGATGATCGGCATTAGGCAAGACTGTGATGCGAGCTGAAATCTTGTCATTCTCTCCAGGGTTCTTTTCTGCCAGGATTTGATAGGCATGACGATACAAAGGAACATAAGGATTGTGTGTATGAAACATATCCTGCAAGTCATTCATGATTTCAGATCTCAAGTTGGCATTATTGTTGTTGCGCTCATTAAGTGCAGCCTGAGGATCAATAACATAAAGCTGAGCATAGGAGGGTTTGATGTTGTTAGGTGGTAGCAAGCTTCCCATCTTATGAGACAGTTCCCCATGAATTTTAAATGAATAAGGCCCAGAGGTAGAGGTAACATGATCTGATAGCTTGGCAGCAATAGAAGTGAATGCAAATGCACTGTTGTACTGCCTGATATGATCTCTAAAAAATTTTGGAACTGAACCACCTTCCCAAAGCAGTCGGCGCAAGGTTGGGGGAGGTTGTAAAAATGCAGGCAATCTGATCTGACCCTGTAAGCAGCACATGCCAAAGCGAGGGTGGATACGACTGGAGTTGGTAAGACGTTCAGAAGAGAAATGGAGTGCAAGATAGTGAGCACATTCTATATTCATAAGACCAAGGCTGTGACGTGCAATAGGCTCTTGATATGGACGGCGACCTAGAGGCAGATTTTGGAGAGCCTGATGAGCCACTACAGCTTGATTATTTTGTTGGATAGCAAGGTTATGCTGATGTGCCTGCTCTTCAAGGTCTAGATGATGTGCCTGCTCTGCAAGATCAAGCTGATGATGAAGGTGCTGCTGCTGCTGAATATCTTGCTGATGTCGCTGGTCAAGAATTGCATAATGATTATTCTCTTCCTGTTGTCTTATAGAAGATGTAGGATGAGGAGGGTTATTGGGTTCAGGCCTTGTGCTTTCTCTACGACGACGTCTACGTTCTGCATGAGTCCTTTCAAAATTCTCCATCATACGATGCTCATAATCAGGATGGCTAGCTGCTGCAAGACGTGTGCGAGCCTGTCTATCATGATTCCCAATCAAGTGTCGTGGAAGATTAGGATAGGCAGAAACATTCACAGGCCAATAATGAGGTGGTGGTGCAGGCATTGGAGGAGGAGCATAGATAGGATACTGTCCAGGAATTTGGTAAGCCGTAGCACCATGATAGCCAGAGTGTTGGAACATGGGAGCAGGATAAAAATGGGGAGGAACATATTGAGCAGGATAATATGATGGAGCAGAGGGAGCAGCAACTGCAGAATAGTATGACTGGACAGGAGGAGCAAGTGTGGCAGGCTGGTGAAGCTGAATGGGTGGTGCAAGAGAAATAGGAGGCTGAGCAGGATTAGAAGTGACAGGATGGGAAGGTCTAGAGAGATCCTCAAAGACAGGCTGACGAATAGAGCCTCGTAATGCAGAACGCTCGCGCCGAAGAGTAGGAGAAGTCATCTGAAGCCTTTCAGCACGCTCTTGCTCCCGCACAGTCTGGCGCTCATGCTCAGGAGTCCTAGGAGGAGTTCTTATAAACCCTAAAATTAATAAACAAATTTTGTGTGATTTAACAAAAACTGCATACCTTGTCATAGTCACATCCCCATGGGCAGCCTCTTCAATAGCCTCTTGGTTTTCAACATGTCTATAGTTTCTTCTTTTTAGCCAATGACCATAAAAAGATTAAATAAAACCACATACCCATTGAGATTCTCAGGTGGAGGAGTCATATACAGATCATCCTCATCTTCACTATTATTGGCATTCTCACTATAGCAAATATGAGTACACACAACCAATAAGCAAAAAGTAAGTCACATACTTATGTACAGTCTCAGGTGGGGGTGTCATATAGAGATCATCCTCATCATCATCTCTAAAGGGAATTTTAGCACTGAAACAGTATCCAAGCAAGCCAAAAATACTCACAAAGGTGCCAATGCAGGCATCCAGACTTCCACCACACCCTCATTAGGAGGCCTAAAAAAAGAATTGAGCACAATGGACATGATGCAAGCAACACAGACTTACAAAGGTGGAACACTCATTGTGAAAAGCTAAATAAAAAAAAACACCTGAAAACAAAACCAAGAGCCAAGAGTGGTTGCCAAGCTAAGCACTCGCTGAATGCCCCCTCACAGTTCACCTGAAGAAATTGCCGCAAGACAGTGCCAGGGGAAGAGAATTCCCAATGCTCTTTGACAACTCAATGTCACTCGTTGTCTGCAAAGCAGGTCGTTGTGACTGTGAGATTGTGGTAAAAGGTACCTGAGCAACTGAAACACCGCAGGATGAGAGAGGTCCAGGCAGCTATGAAAAGACTGCTTTTGGCTACAGCAAACTAAGGCCGTGCTGGTAGACTTCACACCCTGTAGGCTTTTTCTAAGCAGAATCCGTGCTCAAAGACACCCAGTAGAGCAGAGTAGAGTTTGAGAGAAAAGCCAGTGAGGAATAAAGCAGAGGAGAGCACAGATGAGGGTCTGGGACAGAGATGATGATGGTTGATGGCAGAGATCAGGTATCGCAAGGCTCGCAGCAGCCCCAGGCACGCGCGCGCTGACCAACTCCGTTTCAAGCTCCGACACGCTCCGTTTCGCGTCCCGAAGCCTATGGGACAGTGGTCTCGCGTGGTTTGTCGCGTGGGATTAGCCGACGGCTAGTTGCCACCGGACCCCTACTGTCGCCCTCTATATAGAGACTAGCTTCTCACCCGTCGCGTTGCGACGGCGCAACCATGCTTAATCTGAGTTTTTGTTACAGTGCTTGGTCTGATGTGTCTGTAAAGTCTAGTGTTCACAAAGTCCAGTGCCTATAAAGTCTAGTGCCTGTAAAGTACAGTGCCCGTGCTTAATCTGAGTTTTTGTTGTAGTGCTTGGTCTCATGTGCCTGTAGAGTGCACGGACTATAAAGTCTAGTGCCCGTAAAGTTCAGTGCCCATAAATTCTAGTGCCCGTAAAGTCCAGTGCTTATAAAGTCCAGTGTCCACAAAGTCCAGTGCCTATAAAGTCCAGTGCCTATAAAGTCCAGTGCCTGTAAAGTCTAGTGCTTGTAAAGTCCAGTGCCCATAAAGTCTTGTGCCCCAATATCCCTATATGGCTCTTTTATGATATCCTATAATGTCCTTCCTATAAGATTCCCATATAAAGCTTCTTATAAGGTCCCATCCATTAGATTCCCCTATGAGATTCTGCCCTATGAGGCTCCCCCGTGAGGTTTTCTGTGAGGTGCTGGGATGTTATTTCAAGCTCCAATGGCTGCTGAGGCATAGCCCACTCCAGTTGCTAGGATTGCTAGGAGCACCAAGACATGGCTCACTCTGCTTACTGAAAGTCCTGTGCCCCAATATCCCTATATGGCTCTTTTATGATATCCTATAATGTCCTTCCTATAAGATTCCCATATAAAGCTTCTTATAAGGTCCCATCCATTAGATTCCCCTATGAGATTCTGCCCTATGAGGCTCCCCCATCAGAGTCCCACCTATGAGGCTCCCCCGTGAGGTTTTCTATGAGGTGCTAGGATGCCATTTCAAGCTCCAATGGCTGCAGAGGCATAGCCCACTCTAGTTGCTAGGGTTTTTTATGTGGCCTACATAAGTATAAGCAAGGACATATGACTTGAGCTATTAGCCCAGTGCCACCATTTCTTATTGTCCCCTTTTATTTATTATTTATTTACATATAAAAAATACCCACAAACAAAACCAAGAGCTCAGAGTGGTTGCCAAGCTAAGCACTTGGTAAATGCCCCCTTGCCTGAAGAAATCACTGCAAGACAGTGCCAGGGGAAGAGAATTCCCTATGGTTAGGTCAGCTCCGGGCACGCGCGCGCTGACCAACTCCGTTTCAGGCTCCGACATGCTCCGTTTCGCGTCCCGAAGCCTATGGGACAGTGGTCTCGCGTGGTTTCTTACGTGGCCCACGCGAGCATAAGCGAGGAGCACGCGAGCATAGCCGTCGCTTAAGCGCCACAATTTTGCAGTGTCGCCCTCTATTTACTAGCTTTTCACCCGTCGCGTTGCGACGGCGCAACCATGCTTAATCTGAGTTTGTGTTACAGTGCTTGGTCTGATGTGTTTGTAAAGTTTAGTATTCACAAAGTTTAGTGTCTATAAAGTCTAGTGCCTGTAAAGTCCAGTGCCCGTGCTTAATCTGAGTTTTTGTTGTAGTGCTTGGTCTCATGTGCCTGTAGAGTGCACTGACTATAAAGTCCAGTGCCCGTAAAGTCCAGTGCCCGTAAAGTCCAGTGCCTATAAAGTCCAGTGCCCCAATATCCCTATATGGCTCTTTTATGATATCCTATAAGGTCCTTCTTATAAAATTTCCATATAAAGCTCCCTATAAGGTCCCATCCATTAGATTCCCCTATGAGATTCTGCCCTATGAGGCTCCCCCATCAGAGTCCCATTTATGAGGCTCCCCCGTGAGGTTCTCTGTGAGGTGCTGGGATGCCATTTCAAGCTCCAATGGCTTCTGAGGCATAGCCCACTCTAGTTGCTAGCCTGTAAAGTCTAGTGCCCATAAAGTCTAGTACCTTAATATCCCTATATGGCTCTTCTGTGATATCCAATAAGGTCCTTCTTATAAAATTTCCATATACATATAAAGCTTTCTATAAGGTCCCATCTATTAAATTTCCCTATGAGATTCTGCCCTATGAGGCTCCCCCATCAGGGTCCCACCCATGAGGCTTCCCTGTGAGGTTCTCTGTAAGGTGCTAGGATGCCATTTCAAGCTTCAATGGCTGCTAAGGCATAGCCCACTCTAGTTGCTAGAGTTGCTAGGAGCACCAAGACATGGCTTACTCTGCTCACCCAATTTATCATGGATGTTTGCTTTGCTCACATGGTTTCTTATGTGGCCTACATAAGTGTAAGCAAGGACATATGACTTGAGCTATTAGCCTAGTGCCACCATTTTGTATTGTCCCCTTTTATTTATTATTTATTTACATAAAAAATACCTCCAAAAAAACCAAGAGCCAAGAGTGGTTGCCAAGCTAAGCCCTTGCTGAATGCTCCCTCATATTTTACCTGAAGAAATCACTGCAAGACAGTGCCAGGAGAAGAGAATTCCCTATGCTTAGGTTAGCTCCGGGCACGCGCGCGCTGACCAACTCCGTTTCAAGCTCCGACATGCTCCGTTTCACCTCCCGAAGCCTATGGGACAGTGGTCTCGCGTGGTTTGTCGCGTGGGATTAGCCGACGGCTAGTTGCCACCGGACCCCTACTGTCGCCCTCTATATAGAGATGGATGGATAGGCAGGATCGCGGTCGCCGCTCACGGCGGTCCGCCGTCCGGATCTGGCACAAGGTTTGCGCCGCCACGTGCCGAGCGGTTTATGAGAGCAGGCGCCCGACGCCGGTGTGTTTTTTCTTCCTCTCCACAACCACCATCTTCTGCCCTCCCGTCGATCCCTTTCGACTCTTGTTCTCCTCGAAGCCCACAAGCTCTCGAAGACCTAAAATCCCTCTACAAGTAACGTACTACCCGTGCGTCTCGCCTCGCCCTTATGCGTCTGTTCGTCGCGCTGCAGCCCCGGGACGCGCGTACCTGGTGCATGCGCCTGGGTGGCCCAGCGTGGCGGGCTACGTTGGGTGGTGACCGAATGCCTAGCGTTCTGACATTCCCTTTGTCCGCCCGCTTCAATCACTATCGGGCCCCGCAGGTCTACTCAAGATCTCCCCCCTCTTCCGAAAGAAAAATGGCTGGCGCTCGTGGATGCTTCAACTGTGGTGGCTGTGCGTGGTGTTTTCGTGTTGTCGTTGTCGTTGCTATCACCGTCGTCTCTGCGGCGGCGGTTCCCCGTTTTCGCCACCCATACTGTCGGCGTCTAATTTTCCGAGATGGCCTGCCGTTTCGTGGATCTGCATGACCGACAGATGTTTTTCTTACTTACACCCTCCCATATCTCGACCACAATTTTTCATTTTTCATTTTTTCTTGTTCATTTTTTCTTCTCACGTGTGTGGTGCGGCGCTGACGGAGACCGCGTTTTTCTTTGCTTTGCATACTCGTCGATACCCATCGATTCGGCACGCACATCGTTGCGCATGCACAAATAAATTGATTCAACTTGCAATTTATCGTGTGGTGGGGTGTCGCTTGTCGTTGTTCCTCTGCATTCGATGTGCTCGTATGCGCCGATCACTGTCATGTGTCGTCGTCGTCGTTTTTTCCTCGCTCTGCGAAACTTCAACTGTTTAGTCGGTCACCAGGCTGCCAACTGCCCTAAAGCAGGCACCCCTACCTGGTAACAAAACAGGTTTTTATCCCAGAAAAGCAGCGGACTGACCGTCGTGGATTGTGGGATGTGTTCTATAGCTACAACTGTGAGTGCTTCTTCCCCGCCTTGCTTCTTCGAGCTCGATCTGATAGATCTAATGTGACTTTAGGTGGCCTCGAGGGTCACGTCTCCCGTGATTGCACGATGGAGCAAAAGGCAAAGTCGTGCTACAAGTGCGGCCAAGAAGGCCATATTGTGCGTCAGCTCCGACACCTTGCATGTGTTGTGCTGACGCCGCTTCCTTTTTGTCATCTTCTTTGATTGTATGTGTAGTCGCGCGACTGCCCCGACACTACCGCTGCGCCAGGCGGATTCAACGCCTTTGGCGGCGGCTCGAGTGCAGGTGCTGGCGGTGCTGAGTGCTACCGTTGCGGCAAGGTCGGCCATATCGCGCGGGCGTGCCCCGAGGCGCCAGGAGGCGTAACAGGCGGACGTGGAGGCTACGGCGGTGGAGCAAGCTACGGCAACTTCGGCAGCCAGCAGCGCACCTGGTACGCATTGTTTTACTGTGCGTTGAGAGCTCCGTAGCTGACGAAAATGTTGGGTGTCGACTCCAGCTACACTTGCGGCGGCGTTGGCCACTTGTCGCGTGACTGCGTCCAGGGTTCAAAATGCTACAACTGCTCCGGCGTTGTGAGTTTGCTTTCTCGTCGCTGGGTTGGGACGATGTTAAACTTTTCTTTTTTGTCTCAGGGACACATCAGCCGTGACTGCCCTCAACCCCAAAGGCGGGCATGCTACACCTGCGGCTCCGAGGGGTAAGTTATCTTTTCCTGAGCTTCATCGTCTTGCAGGCGCTGATGATATGCACGTCCTTATAGCCACATCTCTCGTGACTGCCCGGGTGTAGCTACTGCTGAGGGCAGTGCGTAAGGAGTGTCCGGCTGTGCCCGGAGGGGGAGGAGACTGTCTGTCGTCGTGGAGTAGTCTTTGCGTCGCTTCGTCTGTCTGCTATCCGACCAGTCGCTTTTTTCTTGTTTCGTGCTGTCGCAGCGTCCGCGTCGGTGCGCGCGTGTCCATGTGATATCTATAATGTGTAGTGTTCGCCGCTGTTTATACATGCTCGATGATAGCGAGTGCTCCCTGCTCTGATGCTGCGTGAAGCGCTCGTGGATCGTTTCATTTGCGTTTCTCCGTATGGCAGGCCACAAGGAGTGTGCATGGGATGTCCATAGCGCGTTAGCATTGTGGAGAGGCTCTCGAGCGACACAGACGGCTCCAGGCTGGAGGCTAGACGTGATTGCAGGCGACATTGCGGCCGGTCTGCCCCGACACGTTCCCACGGTAGCGGCCTGGCGCCAGCATTCCCGTGCGCGTATCACATTTATTCCATTTCGACCCTCCTCTTCCTCCTCAGACACAACCTCCACTCTTCCCTCTCTCTCTCGTTCCTCAAACCACAGATGCACCCCGCACTTCGTGTCGCCGTGCGCCCCGCCGCCGCCCGCCGCTGCTTCACGACCGCCGCGCACCCCATCGCGTCGTCGTCTGTGACGTCGTCCACCGCCCAGACCGCCGCCATTCCGCTGTCGAACGTCGAGGCGCAGTGGGAGAAGCTGAGCGCCGAGGACCAGGTCGTCGTGCACCAGCAGCTCGAGGCGCTGCAGAAGAAGGACTGGAAGGAGCTCAGCATCGATGAGAAGAAGGCTGGTAAGTTCTGTCTGGTGTGCTTGTGTGCTCGGGCTCGTTCCCCCGGCGGGGTGTAGTGGTTTTTTTCTTTTGGTTCCGTGAGGGCCTCGTCGAGGTAGGATGAAAGATGAAGACTGTCTGGGCGCACTGTTGCTAGGCTTCCTTTTTGCTACGCCTTTTTTCTCGCGGGGCTTACGGTGTCCCTTTTCGCTTTTTGGCTCTGCTCTGCCTTGCTCCGCTCTCGTCTTGCCGTGGCATCTGTGCACTCTGGCTGATCTTGTTTTCGTTTTTGCTCCCGTCTGCAGCGTACTACGTCGCGTTTGGCCCGCACGGCCCCCGCACGCCTGTCAACCCCCCCGGCACGAGCGCGAAGGTCACCGCCGGCGTCTTTGGCCTCATCGCAGCTGCCGCGGCCGTCTTCGCGACCGTCCGTGCGTTCGGTAAGCTGAGCCGTTCGGGGCTGCTGTGTGTCTGTGTGTATGCAGCTCTGACGTGCGCGTGTTCCACCTCTGCCTCCTATCTGCCCCGCAGCGCCGCCTCCGCCGAGGACGATCACGAAAGAGTGGGAAGACGCCGCGCTGGAGCGCGCGCGCGAGATGAACATCAACCCTATCTCTGGTACGTCTGCCCTCGTCCGACTCCTGTCCCCCTTTGTCTTGCGCTTCGTGTTGTTCTTTGCTCACTCTCGCACGACTTTTTCTTGCTTAGGTGTCTCGTCGGAAGGGTACGCCGGCAAGGGCTTCAGCACGCACAAGTAGACCGCGGGAGGGCTCTGCGTCGGGACGGACCGGGTGGGGGCAATAGGCATGGTAGGCTTCGGGGTAGTGGTACTAGAGTAAAAGCGCGCACGAACTTCGAACGATCGTCAACCGTCGTCGTTGTCCTCGGCGCCGCCGACGGGCTGCGAATATATTATGGTTTTCTTTCCATGTCTGCGGGTTGTCTGTCGTCGTGAACTCCTGTTTGTTTGCTCGCTGGTCGTTACATGGGTTCCTGTGCATCTGCTTTCTTACTGCATGTCAAGGCATGTGATGCGACTATGATGATGTTCACTACTGGGTCAAGTCTGCTTCACAGAAGCTGCATCTCGAGAAGGTGCATCGGGACTCGGATGTTTTGGTTTACAATTGTATGCCATGCGAGAGCGAAAGTAGTGTAGCAGATGATGGAAAGAAATAATAATCCTACAGGCCCTTGTCGGTTTTGCTCGAGTCCTTCTCCTTGCCCTTCTCGCTCTCCGGCGGAGTCTTCTTCCCGTCCTTCTCCTTCTCCGCATCCGACTTGACGCCCTTCTTCTGCTCGCCCTTGCCCTCCTCCATCTCCGCGCGCCCGATCGACGCCTTGTTGTCCACGAGCGCGTGCAGCGCGATCACGGCGCGCAGGAGACTGCTGAGGTAGACGACGAGCAGCTCGTCGTTCGTGCTCGCGGCGAAGCTGCTCGTCAACGCGGGATCGCTGAGGTCCGGGAGGAGGTTGAGCGCGTCTTGGAGGTGGTACACGATCTGGTGGTTCACGGGCATCGCGCCCGCGGCGACGTCGGCGAGGTACTTCTGGATGTCGGCGATGCGCGATTGGAGGCCGCGGAGGGAGGCGAGCTGCTCGGAGACACGCGTCGCGAGCGTCGTGGTGGTGGAGTCTTTGATGTCGCGCAGGAGGTGCTCGACGCCGATCTCTTCGGCTTCTTCGGCCTCGATGGCGGATGGCGCGTGGAGGAATGTCGAGCGGGTTTCTGTGCCGTCCTGCGGGGCACCAGTCAGCGTGAGAGGGCAAAAAGGTTTGGAGGTGGAGCGGAGGTGGTGGTGCGGGAGGCTCACGTCTTTGATCTCCTCTACTGCGAAGTATGCGTCTGTGGGGATGCCGACCGTTTGTGGCCGCACGTCGACGATGACCATAACGGGCCGTGCGATGAATTTGCGGAAGAGGTCGTTGATCTCGAGGTCAGACGCGCGGAGCTTGGGGCCGGTGTGGTACCAGCCGATCATTCGTTCGCGGGCTGGAGGAGAGGGTGAGTCCGCGGCGCGGGGCACGGGCAGCGCGACTCACGGACCGTTGACCTTCTTGAACATGTCGAACATGCCGTCGATGTAGTTGTGGTCTAAGAACCACGTCTTGCTGTCCTTCTCGTCCTCCTCGAACGGGATGCCGAACGAGTTGGCGACGTTGATCGTGGAGCCGTTGTCCTGCCCGAGCAGCACGCCGACGACGCGCTTCGACGAGCCTTTCGAGACGGACCGGGCGTGGTGGTCGGTGACGGAGAGGAGGACGAGCGGGTGGATAACTGCGGTGCGTGCGGGGGTGGTAAGTGACGGTGCTCGCGGTGCGGGCTGGGAGGTGATGTCACGAGAGGCGTACCGACGGTGGTAGCGGCGAGCGCTGTTAGCTTTGAAGAAGCAAAATGAGATCGTCACCGGGAACGATGGCGAGAAATCTCACTTGTTCTGTCGTTGTTGCGACCATGGCGGCGACGGCGAGGGATGTCGAGGGGAGGAGGGTACTGAGGGGGGCTGCTCGACGCGTACGCCGGTGTAGACGCGCGTATTATTTGCGCTTATTGACGAGGCCTGCCCGCTGATTACGTCAGCAACTCCTTTGCCTTGAACGCGCCTCCTTGTGCTGGTGTCTGCGCTCACTCGCTGCTATGGCCACCGCTGTCCAGACCATGCCCGCCATCAACGGCACCTCCGATATCAAGCTCAATGGCAAGGTCAAGTCCAAAAACCAGATGCGCCGTCTCAAGCAGAAGCAGAAGAAGGTCGTGCAGGCTACACAGGTGCGCCAAACGACCCCGTCGAATGCATGCCGTCATTGAACGCCCCCTTTCTGCGTCCCACGTCCGTGCTGCTGCTCGCGCCGTGCAGGAGAGCAACGGAGATGGCGAGGTGGCGAACATGGAGGTCGATGGGAAGAGGGTGGAGGTCAAAACTGAGAATGTCGAGTACGTCTCTGAGCAGTTGGATGTTAAAGGCCCTGCCCTCGAAGCTTTCTCCGACGTCTTTGCTCGCTTCCAGTTTTCTCTCGAAGACAGCACCGTGCGTCTCTCTCGTATCCTTCCCTCCTGTCGGCGTCAAGCCCTCGCTGATACCCTGATCCTCCTGCGAGCAGCACGTCAAATCCGAGGAGCCCTCCAAAGGAGAGGTGATCTACTCGGACGACGACATGGCCTCCGAGACCGACTCCGAGACCGAACAGACCAAGAAGCCGCTCTCGAAAAAGAAGCAGCGCAAGATGAACAGGCTCACCGTCGCCGAGCTCAAGCAGCTCGTCAAGAAACCAGAGGTTGTCGAGTGGACCGACATATCCGCCGCCGACCCGCGCTTGCTCCTCCACCTCAAGAGCTACCGCAATACCGTCCCCATTCCCGTGCATTGGAGCGCGAAGCGTGACTACCTCCAGGGCAAGCGCGGCATCGAGAAGCCGCCTTTCCAACTGCCCTCGTACATCGCGGACACAGGCATTGCCACACAGCGCGACGCGGTCAAGGAGAAAGAAGCGAATATGAGCCTCAAGGCCAAGACGCGCGAGCGCGTGCAGCCCAAGATGGGCAAGATCGACATTGACTATCAGAAGCTCCACGACGCGTTCTTCAAGTTCCAGACGAAGCCCCCCGTTACAACCTACGGCGAAATGTGCGTGCGCCTTGGATGAGTGCCGCTCACCCCCTCGTGCTGCTGATGGCGCATCTCTGATCTTAGGTATTATGAAGGCAAGGAGTTCGAGACGTCGCTCAAGGAGAAGCGGCCTGGAGATCTCTCGCCCGAGCTTGTCGAGGCGCTGTCGATCCCGCCATTGGCGCCCCCACCATGGCTTATCAGCATGCAACGCTTTGGACCGCCACCAAGTTACCCTACGCTTCGTATTCCTGGGTTGAATGCCCCTATTCCTGAGGGGTCTGTGCTTTTTTCCCGTTGCTCAGATGGATACAAGTGTAATTGACATTTTCCCCTCGCATCTGCAGCGCTCAATGGGGTTTCCATCCCGGAGGTTGGGGAAAGCCACCACTGGACGAATACAATCGACCACTGTACGGCGATGTCTTCGGTGTACTGCCAAAGACAAGTGACACCGATGTGCGTTGACTTTTTCCCGAGTTTGACTTGTTGGCTTAATATATGTACAGGTCGGTGAACCTGTAGACAAGAATCTATGGGGCGAGCTTGAGCCAGAAGAAGGCAAGTATTTTTCATTCCTGTCATTTGCCTTTTTTGCTTATAAAGTGCGCATTTTTTAGAAGAAGAGACTGAATCAGAAGAGGAGGACGAAGAGGAAGAGGAAGAAGAGTCGGCAGAGCCCGCTCCAGGAGATGGGCTTCAGACACCATCAGGCTTGGAGACGCCATCGGGCATGACATCGGTGGTCTCAACAGTGGCGGGCGGACTGGAAACACCAGATTTCCTCGAACTGCGGAAAAATGCACCGCGGCCGACGTCGGATGCGCACGATGCGTCGGGCCCGCGTTCGCTGTACCAGGTCGTACCGGAACGACAGACGAGCGTGCGGGGGCTTATGGGCAGCGACCGTGGGTACGATGTAAGTGGTGTCTCGGGGGCGCCGATACCCGTGCTGGGCGACGAGCGGGGGACAAAGGTACGCCGCGTTGGACTCGATGGCGCTGTTCATTTCGCCTTGTTGACGGTACGTTGCAGCGCAAAGCCAATGGGGTGGAGGTGTCGATCGATGCGGCGGAGTTGGAGGGGATGTCGGAGGACGAGCTGCGGCGGCGGTACGACGAGCATGCGAGAGGCGCTGCGGGTGTGCCGGGGGCAAATCGGGAAGACTTTTCGGACATGGTGGCGAAGGAGATGGCGAAGAAGCGGCAGAAGATGGAGGCGGAGAAAGACAGAGGGAAGAAGGGCAAGGAGTTCAAGTTCTGATGCGCGCCATTTGGGCCAGGCTAGTCTGTCGTCTGCATGTACTGCGTGTTTCGGTTTCATATATTTTCTTCATTTTCCTCGTGTCGTTGGCGTGATATTTGACCTGTCTTGTCTGTTGCCTGACGTGTGGGATCAGTGCACGGCTTCATGGGAAACTGCTCTGAGGCGTGCTGAATTTTTGGACAATGGCGTGAAAATTCGATCTGCGTCCGGCACATGGGTTGTCCAGCGCGTACAGGCCGAGATCAGGGACGGGTTGAGGAAGATGGGGATGGATGAGAGACGGATATCGAGGAGGCGTTCCTAGCGCTAGAATGATCCGAAGGTCATTTCGGCTCGGCTGTGCGTCTGAATGCGGCATTCATGATATAACTGGTCCTCCTCAACTCCCGCTCAGCGCCCTCCTCCTCCCCCTCTCCTCCCCTTTCTCCTCCCTGTGAATGTCTCAAGCCAAATTGTGAGTGCACCGCGCGTGTTGGGTCTTCGTGGGCTCATATCCGTCTGTGCGCGCTCAGAACACTCAGACCACCGCCAAACGTCGAGTTCGTCCAAGGTCCGTCGGCGCGCCCGTTTATTCGAGTACCAAATATTCAAACATTGTTTGATAGGCTATCCTGGCATCCCTCCCGGCGCACCCGACCGCCCCCAAGCTGCCGTTAAGGGCGTGAGTGCTTCTGGAGTCGTGGGCATTGGTGTGCATTAGCTCAGCGCGTGCGCATACTTTTCTGGCAGGCTATCGAGGTGCGGCTGGGACCGCAGGGCGTCAAGGCAAAATACGTCCGCATCGAGCTGCGCAAGGTCGAGACCTTGCCTGGCGGCGGCCAACAGAACACCTTCGTCGACTACGTCGGACAGAGCCCCATTAATTTGTGGCAGTCGAGCGAGGAGTTCAGCACGTTGCATGCGGTGAGTGTGTGCGAGACCTTTGCATTACTATGGTCCGTGGAGTGCTCAGGACGGGACTCTGCAGCAAGACATTCCTTTCTATATCCGAATACCAGAATCCATCGCGCCCAGCCTCGCGCTCGAGAAGGGAGGTGAGTGGCGCTCCGCCGTTCCATTTGGGCGCCTGTTCATAAAGGCACAGCGGGTGTGAAGTATGAGCTAGTGGGACAGGTCTGTGTTCAGGGTAAAACGTATGTGCCTCGCGCGTGTCTGTCCGTGCAGGTCACTGACGCGTGCGCGAGTGCAGGAGCTTCTTCCGTCGCAGCAAACCCATCGTCCTCTCTACATCGGCGTCCATCATCATCGACAAGCACGAGCTGCATTCCACCTGGCCGGTCTATCAGCAACCGGAATCACGCCATCTCACACAGGACGCGGTCGTTCTCACCGTCGACCGCTCGCAGAACTGCTACGGCCCGGGCGATCGCGTGTCCGTGACGGCCACGGTCAGGTCTGACAGCCTCCACACCGTCATCCTGCGCGGGTTCGAGTTCACGCTGAAGGAAACGACGATATTCCGCGCGGGGCCGCACTCGACGAGCAAGAAGGGCGCGCCGCAGGTGAAGATTAACATCATTGGGGAGCAGAAGGTCCCTGTGAATCAGACGCTGTATGGCGGAACGGCACACAAGACGGAGCTCGCGTGCACGATCCCTACATCGCACACGACGACCACGCTCACTTCGGCGAGACACATTGATATCACCTACATCTTGGGGGTCAAGGCCCTGATGGGCACAGGCAAACCTCTGATCATGGAGTTGCCCGTTATCGTGTCCAATTGGCCCAGGTAAGCCAACGCTCTGTCTATTCACGTTAGATGACTCAACAGATCGCCGCTTTTCGCAGATATGTTTCCGCCGAAGCGATCAGGTGAGTTGAGATCAATCCGTTCGGCGCTACCCTTCACTGACCGTTCCTTTGCCCAGACGAATCGGCAACGCACCGAGTCTCTGCCTACAGCCCGTGCTGTCCATCTCGTCCTCCCATCCCCACGGCCGCTCCAACATCAGTCCCTACACCCCTGCCGGCCCTGCAAGCGCCGTGCAATCACACACCATCGCCGAGCGCATCTCCTCGCGTATAGATACCTCGGACTTCAGCGCTGCGAGCCCCTTCGCACACCGCCATCCTCAGACCATGCCCAACATGAACGGCGCGGTGACGACCTCCATTGGCCGTGTCGACGAATTCGGCTTCGTGCGCCCGAGCTCATCGGGTGGGCCTGCACGCCCGACGACGACTAGCACGACGCAGCGCCCGAGCACAGCAGGGAGCGATGCGCGCCCAGGTGCCGACTCGGACTTTGGCGTGCTCACAGGCGCGGGGTCGGGAGCGGTTGTGACGCCGACCGTGGGCCGGAGGTCGCGCGCGGGTACACTGCAGACAAACCGGTTTACGATCGTCAATGCAGCCGAGAACGAGATCCCGGAGGAGGAAGAGAGCACGGGGACAGGGCAGTCGCAGCCGCAGTCGCAATCGCAGCCGCAGTCGGCAGCGGCGAAGCCGTGGCTCTCGGCGGAAGAAGAAAAGGCGGCGCTGTACCAGCGGGCGGTGGCGAACGTCGAGCGGGTGCAGGGCGGGATTGATCGTATGCCCAGTGTGCAGGTGCGTCTTATCTACCTCCGGCGCACGCGAGCGCCAGTGGGATAATATCATGGTTGATCGCTTTTTGCGACACCTAGTCTGTTGGTATTGCGTCGTCGTCGCCCGTCACCCCGCCTGCTCAACGTTCGGTCTCAGCAAAGGCGACGTACTGGCCCACAGCCGAGGAGGAAAAAGTGCGACTCTTCAACCAGGCGCAGAGCAAGGCATCGATCACGCAGGGCTTCGCCTCGCCAGAAGCCTCGCCTCCCGCGAGCCAGCAATCGCATGCTCGGACGGACTCGAAGGACTCGGGGCGGAATGTACAGCGGAACCAGTACACCGGGACGCAGCCGTCGCTCTCTGCGGGCGCGGCGCTCTATTCGGCGGCAATGTCATCGGTGAACAAACACCTGCCCGCACAACAGGCGAGCTGGTCCACTCCCAAGCAGTCACCCCCAGCATCACGTTCACAAGGCCAAACACATGCGCCTCCAGCGCCCGCCGCCGGGCCCGCGCGCTACCTCTCTGCGGAGGAAGAAAAAGATGTCCTCCGGCGGTATCACGACGCGCGGAATGCGGTCGCGCGCCATCAGGAAGTGAACTTTGGCCTTGTGGACGGCGCGATGGAGTCGTCGTCCAGCCAGATACCCGCCCACGACCCAAACCTTTCACGCTCGTATTCAATCACTTCTGCTCAGGCCCCCGTTGGCGATGATCTGCCGCCGCCGTGGGTTCCTAGCACCGAGTTTCCACAGAATAGCATGTCCGAAAAGGAGCGCTATCGGCAGGCGTTCGAAGCGCGGGAGGCGGCCGCAGTCGCGGCGGCGGCAGTATATTCTGGGTCATCGCCACCTCCACCACCGAGGCACGCATCTCCCCCTCCTGCACCGGCTGGCCAACCTCTCTCCGCTGCGGCTGAGAAAGAGCTACTCCGACAACAATATTCGTCGCAAGACGCGGCAGCGGCAGCGGCCCCCGTCCCGTCCTCCCCACCACCTGCCTTCTATTCCCCGCCACAAGCATACGAGCTCCCAGCCCACCTGCGCTCCCGCCCAACGCCGGCACTTCCGGCGCCACCCAACAGCGGGAGCGCGCCCAATCGCCCTTTGACCGCTGCGGAGGAGAAGGCGATGTTGCGCGCTAGGTATGAGGCGGAAGAGCGCGGCAACGGGGCGAGCAGTGCGGATCCCAACCCTAGCTCGCAACCACCGCCCCCTGTGGTGTTTAGCCTGCCGCCGCCGAGCCCCGAGCCTGCGCCGACCCCGCCGCCGCTGATGCCGCGTCCGCCATCCGACTACATTCAGGAGACGCAAGATGAGGACGCGCGGTTGATGGCGCTCGGAACGGATTCGGTCGGTGGGCTCGACCTGGATGTACTGGGGAGTGACGACACGTTCGGACTCAGGCTGCGCCCGGCGTCGCCGTTCACGCTGGGCGTCGGGTTCGACTCGCTCAACGGCATGTCGAGCATGAACGGGAGGGCGATGGCCGACCCACCGCCATTGCCGCCCAAGGTTCCTTTGACTGACTACTGATTATGATACCCCCGCGAGCTCGCTCCAGACGTTCTTTTGAAATCTGTTTCTGATCTATGTAGCATGTCCTCTCTTGTCCCCTGATGCGATCTACCGCGCAGGCGTTCACTCATCTCTGCCTATAGCCTTCACCCTCGTTTGCTCCCGACGTTTTCTGTTCACCTATCTATTGGGGGTTTGTTTGTTACCGGTACATTATAGCGACGGGGTGCTGTTTTAATCTGACACGTATGGAGGTTGCTATATATTTATTGACTCGGCGTGTGGTCTTTCATTAATATTTTTTTCTATCTCCGGATTTCGATGAACGCAGTCCTGCGCCATTTGCTGGTCGATGTCTATTGGTGTGGTGATCACGAACTTACGCGCCAACAACGCGTCGACGCGAATGATCACGGGCGCAGACTGCTGCAGCACGTGCTCCATCCTGCTGGAGCAGTAACTCGGCCAGTCGAGTCGGCGCCATCGCATACAATGCTTTCACCACTCCGGCACGCAGTACGCAGGTCGCTTGTCTCCTTCGCAAGACCCGTGTCTTCCTTTCCAAACATCACCCTCAACGATGTCGCCCAAGAGCTCGACGCCATCGACGACGATATCCGTCCTCTTCCCATGAAAATCACCGCACCGGCATCGTCGCCCCCCCTTCCCCTGCCTGTCCGCCGCCCAAATCAGCCTGTAGTCCTCGACCTGCCACCTGAAGAGGACCCGCTGCTGCGATACCTCACCAACACCATCATGAAGGACGGCAAGCGGAAGCGCGCGTCGCGCATCGTGTCGCGCACGCTCCTCCGGCTGCACACATTCACCCAAGCGCCCCCACTCGAGCTCCTGCGCCGAGCGGTCGAAATGGCATCGCCCTTCGTGCGCTCGATGACGCACCGCTACGGCGTGAAGAACCAGCTCATCCCCGTCGCGCTCAGCGAGAAGCAGCGCACGCGCTACGCCATCAAGTGGATCCTCGAGGCGAGCAAGAAACGGAGCGGGCAGACGCTCGACGAGCGTCTGGCGCGCGAGATCATCCTCGTCCTGCAGGACAACAGCGAAACCAAGAAACTCAAGGAGCAGGCACATCTATTCGCGATGGTCAACAGGTTCGTGGTCTCGCGCCTTTTTTGCGCTGGGAATGTGCTGACGGTGCGCATCAGGGGAAATGCAGAGGCGAAGGTATAGCGAGCGTGTGTTGCTGCTCACCGGATGGATTGCGACCCTTTGTCTTTGTTTTTATATCGGTTTTCTCCTGGTAATGTCACGCAACCATCATATAATGGTGACCTGGTCCAGCCTCTCTTGGTCTTCATGTACAGGCGCGACGGTACTACCTCCAATCGCTTTCTCCCCGGTCAGGGCACTAGATTGTCGCGCCTGTATGAGAAATCACGCCATGATTTATGAGCGTAAGCTTGTATAGTTGAAGGCTGTTCGGCTTTCTCAGACCACCTAGACTCACATTTGGAGAATCTCCTCTCCAGTGCGAGCAGAACATTCACTGCTGTGTGCATTGTAAACGGTCGCTTTGATTTGCTACTCCCGCATCAACACCACTGAAGGCCCACTGATATGTATCTAGCCAGCTCCCCAACGCGTTTTGAAACTCGGTTTGAAGAAATCTTGCAGGAGCTTTTAGACCTAGATATATCTGGAGTACATACATGCGATGAAAGGCATGCTTTGATCAGAATGATAGATACTAACTAGCGATGGACCAAAATAATATACTGCAGTCTCTGGCCTAGGTAATAAGGGCTTGAAGATAGTATATAGTTTGATAGGTTCGAATCGTGCCTTTGACTAGGAACGCTCAGCCTTGAACCGAGAAACTCTCTTTTCAGATCCTCCAGCATGAGCGGGTGGTTGTGGAAGAGACTGCCTGGCGGACTCTCGAACGGTGGTAGCCATCACGCCCGGCGCGTTTGACGGCCTATTCGTATTCGGCGACTGGAACGACGGTGAGTCAATGATCATTGAAGTGGATTGATTCGCCACACGCTGAAAAAAAGGCGAATCGACTATCATAGATGAGGCCGGGTTATGGAAGGATGGTGAATCATTGACTGTGGCCTGTGAGAGCGACGGCGATACCATGCTGGCCGTGCGTGAGGGGGTTTTGGAGAATGAAGGCGACGAGACAACGGTAGGAGGGTTGGCAGTTCGCGGAGGCCGGAAATCAGGCAAGTCTACGATCATCGCGCTCGAGGGAATTGATGCAGCTGGCACCTGTGGCCGGGGTTGAGGCTTGGTTGCAGTTTTAAGAGTGGAGCTTGATTGCCTGGGCTTCCGTTCGATGACAGTATCGCTGGTCGGTAGCTTTGGCGAAGATCGTGCGACGGTTGTGAGCGGGGTCGTGACGTCAGATTCCGAAGGCAAGGAAGGGCTGCGTGGTGGCACCCGAGCTAGTCTGAATTTTGATGTTTTCGGTTTGACGGGAGAGGGTCCCTGCATGGATGCAGATAGGATGGCCGGTTCACGGACAGTCTCTGCCTCGACTGGAGTGGTCGTTTTCGTGGTGTCCGAGGATTTAGGCGGTGCAGAGTAGGCCGCACTCAGAGCCGCAATCAAAGCATCGGAATTCTGCTCGACCCCAACATTCTTTACATCACCTCTCCTGAATGCGTCTAGGAATGCCTTGATGTTCTCGTCGTCATCTTCACTAGCACTCTCACCTTCTTCTCCCCCTACAAGTTGCTCGTCCTCAACCTTACCAAGCCGAATAGCGTGTTTGATCGTCGACGAGGAGCCGGGGAGGACTGAAGCCCCGATAGATTGTGAAGGCATGGTAGATGGAATGTTTGTATTATAAGCTTGAGCTATACGAGAGGATTTAAATCGCGATTCTGATGATTTTGGGCCGGCGGTCGAGAGTGTCGCCTCCAAAGGAACTTCCTGTTAAATAAATAAAATAAAATCCGATGACTTTCAAGGAGGGCGAAGTTCTGCTTACCGGCTGATCCCACTCATTTTCAACAGGCTCATGAGAATGAGCGGACAAAGCGCGAGCAGCATCCTTCCCAATTATACCGCGTTGTTCGTAGTATGCGAGAGCGATTTCGCGCTGATGACTCGCTGTATCAAAATCAAACTCGTCCTGGAGAACAGGATCTTCGGAAGACTCTTCATCTTCGTCGTCACTAACCGCAGGTTCTGAGCCCTGGTCAGAATCGTGGACGGGAGTTCCAAAATCAGATTCATCATCAGAATCAGGCTCTGGAGGGGGAGGCGAGGCAAGGGGTTGAGATTTAGACGGAGCAGGGAAGCGCTCGACGACCTGAAATTTCATCGGCTGTTTGTTATCTGTCGCTCGCAGTCTACCCGGAACAACATCTCCCCACCCTGACTTGGGCTGGGCTGGGCTGGAGCCATCGTCGAGGGATTCGACTGCTTTTTCTGGAGGGAGGTCAGCAAAACTAACGCTCTTTCTAGGCTTTAAGCGTTTCTTCTCCGCCTCAAGCTCTATGTCCTGCGCCAACTGGTCCTCTTTATCTTGCTCCTCTCTCCGCTTGGCGTCCGTGATATTCTTCAGCAGAGCTTTGCCCATCTTTTTCTGCATCTCCTTGGCTGCTTTCAATCTTTCAAGCTCCTTCTTCGCGTGGGCTTTTCGAGCTTCGAGCTCCTCCTTTCTTCGCTTCTCATCGAGTGCTTCGTTCTCCTCCTCTTCTTGCATCTCTTCCTCTTCCAAGAGATCTAGGATACGCTCCATCTCCGCACGGTCTCGAGCTCTTTGCTCGGGAGACAGAGCTGACAAAGGCATGACCTCGGGCGGTTCCAGTATTGGGACCTTCTCTACAGCAGCGGCGGTAGCACCGGAGACAGGCTCACTTATCTCGACGATTGGCAACCCCTCTTCATTCAGTAGCTACTTTCAATTATTAGCGCCGAGTCCCGAGCTTGTAAGACGCGAACATACCTCACCCCTCTCGTTTCGTGAGTCGCTGGGGCCTGCAGCGCTTTCTGCGTTGCCTAGCAGTTCTCCGAGCTTGTCTGAAAGCCTATGAACCTGCTCGCTCGATATTTTGCCTTCATCATGCCCGTCTTTTGCATCAATAGAATGTAGTAAAGCCTGCAGAGCTAAACGCGTTGGGTCAGCGGGCAGGGAAATATAGCAGGTGCTTGAAATTACCTTCTACACGACTCTCGGTCAAATTTCTTACCGTCCCAGACATATTACTGGCCATGAAAGATGCAGCTTGCACGATGCGAAGAATGGGAGGTTAAGTGACCTGTTTGGTGTGGAGTAAAGACGCTGAAGTCGGGCATTGCCGAAGCTGATCAGCACCATAAAACATGCAGTAGTGCCGCTCGATTTTCTACACCCTCCTCAGCATCTCCTTTGTCAAATTGTAAACAGATCTAGCCTTTTCTCTCCCAAAATTCTAGAGCAATGGCAGTCACCAGCGTCCTTACTGTCACCGATACTCCTGTCCGCAAAAACCGACGCAAAATGTCGAAAAAGAGGGCTCCTCGGACTGCAGACCAGGTCGAGCATGATTCTGAGATGGACGATGAACAAGGCCCAGCGGCGGGTGGAAGCGGTCCATCGTCAACGAAAGCGTCAGAAATAACTGAAGACGACGAACTCATGATCGACGCCGAAGCAGCCCTTCCCGTACCAGAATCCTCTGTACCCGCATTCCTTCCCGTCTCTGCGTCTGCCGAACGTGCAACCCTCAAGTCAGAGACACGGCGGATACCCATCCCGCCACATCGCATGTCGCCGTTGAAGAAGGGCTGGATCAATATATTCGGGCCGTTGACGGAGTTGCTGGGGCTGCAGGTGCGAATGAATGTGCAGAGAAAATCGGTCGAGATCCGGGTAAGTGATTCTTAACGGTCACGTCTGGCCGTTGCAATAGACTTCACTCTACACATCGCTTATGCCCACATTTACGGGAAAAGACGTCAAAACACACGAAAGAAGTTGGCGCGCTGCAAAAGGGCGCAGACTTTGTCAAGGCATTTTCTCTTGGCTTTGATGTCAACGTGTGTTACCTTTCAATATTCGCAATCTTCCAGTATTCACATACGAAACGATCAGGATGCAATCGCTCTCCTCCGATTAGATGATCTATACCTTGACTCGTTCGAGATCAAGGATGTCAAGACACTTCACGGAGACCATCTGTCCCGCGCCATCGGTGTGTCATAGTACTCTCTATTCTTGAGATCATGTCTGATCCACATTGGATGTAGGCCGTATAGCGGGTCAAGATGGAAAGACAAAGTTTACAATCGAAAATGCTAGCCGGACACGGATAATCCTTGCCGACACGTGCGTTCCCTTACTCTATTCATCTCTGCTCCGCTCACCGATCCTGTTTTTCCTAGAAAAATACACATCCTTGGATCGGTCCAAAACATCAAAATTGCTCGAGACGCTATTGTCTCTCTTATTCTCGGCTCACCTCCTGGAAAAGTGTACGCTGGACTTCGCACTGTCAGCAGTCGCATGAGGCAGAGGGCCTTGTGATTCCCGACATATGTTTGTTTCTATGTATCCTTTGTAGCATGATCATCCTATCTGAGGTCTACTAGGAGGCTGTATTCTTGATGTGACATTTGCCTTTGCATGGCCGATCATTCTCGAACTATTTATCGAGACCTTGTTGGAATAGATTCAGAACCATGATTTAATTCAACGACACAATCATTTTACAAGCGACATATTCATGGTAACAAAATAATAGCCAAAGAACAATTGAAAGGATATCAAAAAACGTACCAGTAGGATGTGTCAGATGCGCAACTGCGTAGCGTGAACGAAGAGGAAGAAATGGCAATCGACATTTCGTACACAAAGATCACTCAGACCCTTCGTCCTTCTGCTTGCCCTTCGCCTTCTCGTATTGATCTGGGTCTGTGCTTGTGAGTAAGCTGCCCCAACAAACAAACACGGTTTAACTAAAAGCTCTTGGCTCAATGCAAACGCTTCAACTCACTTCTGCAGGGCGTCCGTGTCGACGGGAGGGCTCTGCCCATCGCCAATAATCACTTTTGCACCTGTGCTAGGTACGCCGTCAACGACAACATACAGCCAGCCGGGTCCAGGAGGATAGATCTTTCCGCTAGGTGGCCCCGTGATGGTAATTGTTTGCTTGTCATCCGATAGGGATGCAGTCAAATAAACGAGGCGGGAATTGGAGTGCACGGCGTGCGTAACAAAGCCAAGGTCCATCAATGCGACTATGACAAGGTTCAGAATTAAGCCCGCCAGATGGGGTACAGGAACGTACCTTTGATATCAAACTTTCCATTGCTAGGTAGCTTGACCTGCAGCTTAACGTCCTCCCCAAACCCGATCTTCGTCGGTACACGGTCCAGAACAGGTCTATCCGCGGTCATGTAAGGAGGAGTCAGCCACTCAACCCTGTACTCTGTGCCAAACTGCACCTCGCTCCGGTCGAGATTCGGGTTGCTGCCCGCAATCATGATGTCTCCGTTCGGCGTGAGTGTCGCGATCGAATGGTACAATCTCGGGATACTGCTCGACGGCATACCACCCGAAGAGAAGCGCTGACCAGAAGGCAGCGTAGGATCGTACAACACGGGGGTCAGCACGGGATTTGCTGCATTCGAGGAGCCGACCTGATCTTTTACATTGCCGTAGCCTGAGATTCCAGAACCAGCACCATTGACGATGAGGATCTTTCCTGTTGGGAGGAGGACGGCATCTGGCATCGTGCGGGCTTCTGGCATCTGTTCGACCTGCCATCCTGCTTGAATTCCGGCGTCGTTAAGCACCATGCGTGAGCACTGAGACGATGCAGGATCCTGAGAGGAGATGTCCCAGCTGGCTTTAGCATCGTCGATCGAAGAGCCACCACAAAGGAGGATCTCGGCTGTGTAATCGTTGTCAGACGAAAGGGGGAGCAGGAGTGCGGTTCCTGTCATAGGATACGTGACACGCACGCCGTTGGGAATCTGAGGAAGCCTTTGTTCGGAATTGGACTCCCAGTCATAGATCATGGCGTCCCGGTTGGCAGCGACAAAAACCCTTCCGTCAGGAAGTGAGAATGCAATAGGAAATAGATTGGAGTTGAGTGTGTCGACGAGGAAAGGCAGATGAACAGGAAGTCCGTTGGATCCGTGTATATTCTTTGGTGGGAAGAACTCGATGGTTGGGTTGTTCGTCGTAGCATTGTTCATCCAGCCTCCTTTGGTCGAGCCTCCCATGATCATAGCGCTGCCATCTGAGATCCTCAGCACCGTATTATACCACCGTGCACTAGCCATCCTCAATCTCGCATGATCCTCGAATAAGGCACAGTCATCCGCATCGTTGGAGTCACAAGGCTCGAGCAAACGGATTGCTTGAAGTCCATCAGCGTCGCCAAAGTCAGCAGCTGCAGTGTGACTCTCCACGACAGGGTTTCCACCAACATTGATCATCGTTCCATTGCCGAGAAAAGTCCCACCAGCACAGAAAGAGTTCGATTGGACGCGAAGGGGCTTCACGGCGTGCGTATTGAGATTATACAGCGCAGCCCAAGCCGGGTGGCCGTCCACGGTGAGGGGGTTATGCTCCACTTTGTCCACCACAAGAGCGTGAGAGGGTGAAATGATAGCCAGTTGCATAGCATGTACGCCCGTGTTGCCCTTTTGCTGTAACAACCATTGAGCTGAGTCTTGCTGGGAGTCTTGAGCGAGATTCTGAGGCTGAGGCTGGGCCACGGCGTTGGACACCTGAGGTTGCACTCGAGGGCTCGCCTGGAGGGGAACGCTCTGTCTATAGCGAATGTGGCCTTGAGTGACGACGAAAGCATCAATGTCTATCAGATTTCCAGTTGCACGCGAGCTCTTCCGTCCAGAATTGATGATCTTGATAGTGTGCCTTCCAAGAGGCAGATTGAAGTCCCAAAAGACCCGCTGCTGTTTCCGCGCGACGCTGGAGTAAGCATCGACGTGCTGGACGAGCTTGCCATCCAGATACACATTAGCAATACCGTGCCTCTTGTCCGTATTCCCGAACCACTCGATGCCCGTCCCAGTGAATGTGAATCTGACCACAGACTTGACCTGAGAAGTAGACCGCAGCGTCTTGCCGACATAGCTCCTAGAGTACGAGTCCGTCCACTTACCAGAGTAGTGAACGAGAGGAGAGTGAGAATCATAGCTTTTCGTGCCCGGCGGGACGTAGTATGGAGTGAAAGTAGACGGCACAGTCGACCCAGGCGTTGTATGACCGTTCCACGCCAGATCTCGGGTGGATGCTGAGGAGAAGAGAACGACCAGCGTGAGGAATTCGAGGACCCAGCCGCGCGTCATCTTCAAGCCAACAGACACTGCCAACGATGCGTGGTCAATAGCGCGGGCGAGTGAACAAGAAATGAAGGAAGTGGAAGAGACCAAACCAAACAACGCAACACGCGACGCGTCTGTTACACGTGACCATCCGACCAAATGCCCAGACATCCGCGAGATGGACAGACAACAGTCCCTTTATGTAGACAATCTAATGAAACACTTGATTCTAGGTCAATGCGTCTTCCAAGTATTATGCAGCCCTATCGTATCATCGACGCCGTTCATGGGCCCTCCAGAAGCCATCGCGGTAGCGTCTCCTACCTCTCCGTTTCCTCCGCGCACGCCGCCGCCACCCTTGCCCTCCAAAGCTCCAACGTCTCCAGCGACTGTCGTACCTTTCACATTGTCTGCTCGAATCTTTTCGAGCTGTTGGAGGTACGCTGCGTCGACGCCCCCAGTCACATATTCACCGGTGAAGACCGAACAGTCGAACTGGCTGATGGACGGGTTGAATTGGCGGACGGAGGAGATCAGATCATCCAGTGTCTGGAAGATGACCAGATCGGCCCCGATAGCTTCGGCGATCTCTTCTGTTGTGCGGCCATGGGCAACCAGCTCGAATCGTGATGGCATGTCAATACCATACACGTTGGAGTATCTGGTGATCACGCAGAAGATGAGCAAAAGGTAAATATCATGAAATAGGGCATTACCGGATGGGCGGTGCACAGCTAGCTACTATGACCTTCTTGGCCCCAACGTCTTTCGCCATCTGGATGATTTCCTTTGATGTCGTACCCCTGACGATGGAATCTAAACGGGACGGATCAATACACTCTATGGGATGGATCTTGATTGAAGAACAAACCATCGACAAGCAGCACGTTTTTGCCAGCGAACTCTAACGCCATAGCGTTCAGCTTGCGTCTGACATTCTTTTTCCTGATGACCGCAATCAGCACGTCGCCCACAAAATTGTGAACAGGACATACCGCATCTGCTGGCCAGGCATGATGAATGTTCTTCCAACGTAGCGATTCTTCACGAAGCCTTCCCGGTAAGGCAAATTCAGCTCTTGCGCAAGATTCAACGCCGCCACTCGCGAGGTATCAGGAACAGGGATGACGACGTCCACCGAAAGATGCTTCTCGGCCAACACGCGTTTGACCTCTTTCGCAAGCGCGTCACCCATAGCCATCCGACTGCGGTACACGCTGATCCCATCCAAGACGGAATCGGGACGCGCGAAATAGACGAATTCGAAGATATCGGGGGCAAAGGTGGCTGGAGCGGACACTTGGCGGCGGGACACCGAGGATCTGGTGATGATAACAGCTTCACCTGTTGAAGGCGTATCGTTCAGTACATCAAGCAGATTATCAGTAGAAGATGGGATACTGACCAGGCTTCACATCTTCCCAGTCTCCGAATCCGCTTGCGTCCGCGACCACGCTCTCACTCGAGAACAGCCAATCCCTTCCGGTACCCCCCGCGGCCTTCCTAGATGCCATCCCTAACGGCCTGATCCCGTTCGGATCTCTGAATGCGATGATCCCGAACCCGGCAAGCATCGCGACACACGCATACGCGCCCTTGCACTGTTCCATGAGGCCCCCAATCGCCGTGAAGATATCCTCCTCGTTGATACGGAATTTTCCCGTCTTTTGGAGGTTGTTGGCGAAGATGTTCAGGAGTAACTCCGAGTCAGAAGAGGTGTTGATGTGCCTGTGGGCATCGGCATCCATGAAGTGCAGGAGCGACGCCGTGTTGATGAGGTTGCCATTCTACCGACGAAACATAATCAGAATAGCGGGCATCAAATTGGACAAAGGACGTACATGAGCGAATACAATACCGTAAGGGGAGTTGACATAGAACGGCTGCGCCTCTGCATGATGCGAACTGCCTGCAGTGGGGTACCTCACTATCGAACGCCATGGAAAAAGGCATCTGAGCATTCTTCAAACGAGCCAATTGATACAATCACCTCTCTTACCATGTCCGATGCCCATGCTGCCCCCCAACCTCGCCACGGCGTTCGCATCGAAAACATCTCTGACCATCCCGTTGGCTTTGCATTGGTAGAATCGGCCCTTGGGTCCGCAGGTGACGATCCCGCACGCATCCTGCCCGCGGTGCTGCAGCAACGACAGGCCCTCGCAGATTTCGGTGGCAGCGTTCACGTTCGGATCGTGCAACAGAAGGCCTAAAATTCCGCACACTTGGAGTTTAGGGTGAGCGGAAGAGCGCGATCCGCTGCGAACGTGGGGTCACTCACTGGCAGAAGTGTTACAAACAAATAAAGAATAAAGAAGTGGCGACGACCGGGGGGGCCGTCTTCTAAAGTCGAGCACAGAGTGCAAGCACAAACGTGCGTTCAAAGAGACCCGATTAGACTTTTCTTATGTAGGTCATCGAGATCGGACGGGGAGCTACGGAGGCGCGTCCCGTGCAATTCATCCAGAAAATTTCCCCTGCGCTGGACCCCGGATCCGATCTGGTCCAATGGACGGGATCGCTTACCTCGCCCAGTCATATTTGGTCTCTGCCTCACACAAAGCACACAATGATGTGAATGGGAACATGACGCGGTTGAGCGCGCTTGCATTCCTCATCAGCAGTAAGGCTATACAGGGTGATGCGACGACTAGATCCAGAGCAATATAGTAGTAACAAGGGTAATCGTAAGATGGCAGGCGTGCGAGTGCAGTTGAATTTCGGGGCGGGGAATAGAGATGCAGGGGTAGAGGGCGGGTCAGAGGAGTGCACGATGCCAGCTCTAGGGCGGGTAGTAGGGGCGTGATGCGTCAATAATAATTATAATGTGGAAGGATGAACTTCCGATGCGTGCAGACGGGCATGAGGGATTGTGTTGAACACTAGTGAAGACTGAAGAGACGTGATCAAAGAATGAGCTGCTTAGGCTTCTCCCAGTTGTAGTCGGGGTTTCCTAGAACAAGAGTAGTGAGAAGAGGCCACCCTCGCAAATACAAATGACCTACCGAAGTGCCCGTAGGAGGCGGTCTTACGGTAGATGGGCTTTTGCAGATCGAGCTGCTTGACTGATGGTCCAGATATTACTCAGCTCCGTGGTCGCAAAGAAAGAATAATGAACACCTACCAATGACACCGGGCCGGAGATCCCAGTTCTTACGGATGATAGCAACAATCTCCTCGTCGGTCTTCTTGCCAGTGCCGTAAGTGTCGACGTAGATCGACAAGGGCTCAGCAACACCGATAGCGTAGGAAAGCTGAACAAGAGCTCGGCGCGCGAGGCCAGCCGCGACAAGAGACTTGGCTGCAAAGAACAATTTTCAGGAAAGACCCGAAGGACCCAGAAACGAATACTAACCGATCCAACGAGCGGTGTAGGCGGCGGAGCGATCGACCTTGGAGAAATCCTTGCCAGAGAAGGCACCTCCACCGTGCGCACCCCAACCACCGTAAGTGTCGACGATGATTTTGCGGCCAGTCAGACCAGCGTCACCCTGAGGGCCACCAATGACGAAGCGGCCAGAGGGTTGAATCTGGTAAGAAATATGACGTCAACAATCCAGAACTGTAATCAAGTCTAAAATGGAGACCGACGTGATAGACTGTGCGGTCATCAAGCAGTTTGGCCGGGATGACCTGCTTGACGATTTTCTCAAGGATTTCCTTGCGGAGTTCCTCAGTCGAGACCGACTCAGCGTGCTGGGTGGAGATGACGATGGTGTCGACGCGAAGAGGGATGGTAGCGCCGCCGTCCTTTTTGTACTCGATGGTGACCTGGGTCTTCGAATCTGGGCGCAACCAAGGGAGAGCGCCTGAGCGCCTCGCGACAGCCATCGCAGCATTAAGTTTATGCGCGAGCATGATGGTCAAGGGCATGAGCTCTTCGGTCTCGTCCGTCGCATAGCCAAACATGATGCCCTGGTCACCAGCACCGTGATCCTCGAGCGATCCGTGGTCAAGACCTTGGGCAATGTCGGGCGACTGCTGCTCGATGGCGACGAGGATGTTGCAGGTCTTGTAGTCGAAGCCCTTCTCAGAGGAGTCGTAACCAATCTCCTTGATCGCGTTACGGATGACCTTCTGGTAATCAACGTGGGCCTTGGTGGTGATCTCGCCGAAGACCATGATCATGCCGGTCTTCGAGGCGGTCTCGCAAGCAACCTTGGAGAAAGGGTCCTGCTCGAGGCAAGCATCAAGCTAGATAGACAAGATGGTAAATTGGATTGAATCCTCATGAGCGAAAGCATGCGAAGCTCACGATGGCGTCGGACACTTGGTCACAAATCTTATCTGTTCCAGATCGTCTCAATGTATGCTGTCGTTTTGATACTGGATGCAACTAACCGGGATGACCCTCGCCAACGGACTCGGACGTGAAGAGGAAGTGGCCTGGCTCGAGAGCGGCGCGTACAGATCCGTTGGCAGGCATCGTGAAAGAAGTGCGGAGGAGAGGGAAGGTGGGAGGGGGGAAGGCAGTGGAAGAAGGACGACTTGCCTGGTTCTTATTTTCAAGTCAACATAAATTGCTTCGCTTACGTCAGCTTCCATCACGCCATTTTCTCAATCATGAGCCTCTTCTGAAGCTCTGAGGCTGGGAACAAGAGCGCACGACGGTCTTCCGGCCTTACGCAAAAATACACCTTGCTTGCTACGTGTTGCATATATACGTACGTTGGACAGCGCCAAAGTCTACAATAATTATTCTCGATGCTCGGTGTTCGATACTCGAAGCGTTCCCTTCAACGAGTCGCGACGTTACGTCCACGCGCAGACTCGCAGAGGCGAGGCAGGCAATACAAACGCTAGACGCTGCGACACAAGTGATTGTTGTAAGTACCACTCAAACGAACACACGGCGCACGAACCAATCCAGATACAATGTGCGAGATCTACAGGTTAAATCAATCCAACTCCCAATGGGTCCGTCATCCTCGGCGGGTCTTCATTCTTCGAAGGAGGCTCAGGAGGAGGTGGAACAGGTGTCCGTCGTGCTTCTTCTGCCTGCCGTTCCAGCACAGGTTTGCTATTGAGTGTCGATGCTCTTCTGGGAACAGGTTGCGCGAAGGCCGAATCAAGGGAAAGGCCCTCCAGCCCACTAGTAACAGGAAGGCTCTCGACCCGTCCTAATGACCCCGCAGATTCTCCTAATGGGGCATGGCTATTGGTCGCACGGGTCTGGGTCTGGGCAGTCCAGGACGAAGGAAGCGGATCTGGCGATCGGACCGTGCTCCATGGGTTGTCGATCAACACCGACGGTATGTTCGGCTTCGCCTTGACACTCGCCCAAGGATTTGACGAGGCAGCAGCAAAGGTACTCGGCCTGACCGCAACACGCACCTCCCCTCCTCCTTCGTTTGGGTTCCAACCAGATAGCTCGTCACGCGCACGGAGTTCGCCTGACGTCTCTCCAGCACTTGTGCCCGTCCCACTCGTGCTCCCTCCGCGGAAATCCTTCGACATGCCGTCATACGCGCCTTGGACTACAGATAGCGCCGCACTCGCATTCGAAGAGAGTTTGCCCCACATAGATCGGACACCAACACTCGTACCAGCTAAGACATCCGGTGGTCTTGTCTGTTGACGAGAACGGGACGGAGAGGGTGGAGAAAGAAGAGACGATGATGCCTCCCGTTGAGATGATTGCAAAGGGCTTGACGCTCGGCGCAGGATATCAGGGCCCAAGACATTCAACGTCGATGAGGCCGACGAAGGTGTCGTCGACTCCGGGGTTGGAGTGACCGTACGTGACGGAGGAAGTGGCCTCGCACTAGGCGTCAAAGGCCTGCTACCCATAAGCACTGGGTCGTCCTCCACCGATTCTACTGGTGCAACCACTTCAATCGCCTGAGGCTGCACGAGTGTAAATCGCCCATTCATCTCCTCATCTCCCTTCCCGTACAGTTCACTCCAGAACCGCACGTTCTTTGAATTTGGAATCAAAACGCCCTGGTCCGCTTTCGGAGCCCTGCTGGCTGGGTCGTCTAGGTCCGAGTTGTAGGAAGGGTTCACGTACTCCGAACACTGTGGCGCTGTGTTCATAAAGTCCCAAATAGAGACCGTCGTATCGCAAGGCGGCGGGGCGCCCGTCCGACGCTCACGCTCCGTATTAAACAGGAATGTGCCAAATTGACATGAGTAGAGATGGTAGTGAAGTTTGCGAAGGAACTGCTCATTGAACTCGAAGCGATCGGGGTATTGGCGTTGGATGTTACGCACGGCTTCCAGAAATTGATGGAAGACCGGGCTTGTCTCTTTGATGTGGTTATTCGAGGTGAATCGATTCTGAACAGATGCGAAAAATGCCTGCGCAGCTTCTGCACCGCCCCCGCCACCAACAGTCTCTGTAGGTGCGACGAAGAACTTCTCGGACGAGAGATGGCCACATCGATCGAGGAACTTGTGCCCAAAGCTGACCCAATCCTTTTCTATAAGGATCTGGAAACCGCGAATAGTCCGGTAGAAAGGATCCAGGCAAAGTTGGGCAATAGAAGACAACTGTGATGTGCGATCCCATCCATCTGAACAATGGATCAATACGTGGGAGTTGTTCACATGGACATTCCGGACGATGATGTGGGTGCCTTCCAGGATACCTGAAATATGTCGCAGCCACCCAGTCTTGCGTAGAGCTTGCCGATCAACCGGGATGAGAGGTGCACTTCCTGGGACATCGCCACTCACGCTCGCCGAAAGCGCCTCGGTCTCTCGGAGGACCTCCACCACTCGAGTAAGAGATTCGCGCATCGCATGTATATGATCGATACCAAGATACACCTTCTTAGAATCTTTGTAATGGTCCATATTCTCCGTACCAGCGCCCTTGGCAGTATTGGCCATAGCATTTGTCGTCGGCCGTGCGTCGACGATGAGATTCGTGGTAGTAGCGCCGTAGACAGGTGCAGTGGCAGCTCGAGATTCGGGAGAAAAATGGGATTGAAATGCAGCTTCAACAAGCTTTTCGTCCTGAACGGAACGTGCGTTCGTCAGCCCAACCATTGGCTGGCTTGACCGCGTGATGCTGCCCTATATGTCCACACAATGTTCAGTGCGATGTTCGGGGAGGAAAAATGGAAGCGGCATACATAATTAGCCCAGTGCAGATATGTTAGCGCGGGAATTCTTCCTTTGCTTCGATACTTCGCAGCGTACTGTAGTGTCGCGTCGCTGATCCTTGTCGGGACGACCAATCGCGCAGGATATGTGGGGGAAAACTAGACGTCGACCAAGCACTGAACGTTACACGTGAATGATATTGATCATGCACAAAGTGAATGGCGTACGGTGTAGTCCTTGTTTATGTCGGTGAAACGCCAGGCTTTAGTTCGTGCGCCGACTCCCATACGACCAAACTCTTCTCTAACAGAGTACAAGGACCAGCCGTCGTTGGCAGTAAGGGGTGGGTTCGGTGTGTAAAAGAATGCGTAAAGCTGTGTTATAGACGCTGCAAGCAGATGATGTGAATACATCCGGCACAAAAGGAATTGAGGAGAACGCACGAGCGACGGTGAGTTCTTTCACGCTCTCAAAAACATCCAACGCCTCGTCCTCTCTATCGAAGAATAACGAGAATGACTCAAACGTCCGACATCGAAAATTAATGGGACATTGGCCACTCAGGGTTTGCGGTAGGCGCGTTACCAGAGCGATCAAAGGGTACGGTACCTGCGCGTAATAAATCTAGCCTGGTAATGTGACAGTCGAGAAAATGACTCGCCCACATCTCTGATTCAGCGTCATCGCTGGAGGAGAGGATAAGATGGTGGGCAGTCAGATGAAGAGTGCCCGAATATATCTTCCCGGGCTTGCTGCATAGCACTTTCTCAACCTGACGGCAAAAGTCAAACCTATGAGATATAAAGTCTTGCCGTAAAGGCACGCACCTTCGAAATTCGGATGGCATCCATGGTGGGCAGTGAGTGAGCCCGCTACGAAGGCCTTTGAATGATATTCCAGGCACTAGAGGACTTTGTTTACGTGTATGTATGCCGGGGGCAGACGTATACCACAGTTACTCAATCTGGAATCATACGTCACAACCTTCCACTTGCCTTCAGCTAAAGCTTGCCTCAGCTTGAAAGTGGTCAACAATCCAATCTGTTCTATTTCTTGTTGTGCATGTAATTGGAGGCATCAAATATTCATTGACGATGCTCAAATTCTATGGATGATTTTCGTCCGGCAACGTGGCGAATTTCAGGTCCCACCATTCATTTTCTTTCTCCCCATCTCGAAAACCGACTGCTCTGCATGTCTGGCTTGTCTTGTCAACGAGTCAACCCATTATTTGAGTATATGCAAAAATTTGGTGCCTCGGGTTGTGCTGAGTGTCAGAAAAGTTCTATTGCTGGCTTTACGCTCTCTGGGAAGTTCTATGCGCGGAAATCGTTCACGAGGTCCTTAAGCTGGCATCCAGTCCTACGTTATAATCTAGCTAGGTCTGTCCGAGATCCTTCGACCCCAAAAATCCAAAATTGCACTCCAGTCGATTTCCTACCGATCCTCGCTGTGCATCTCCATCGATGTCTCCGGCTGATCGAGCAAAACTGTACCGCTCCACAGCAATTTATCCCCTCGCCATAAAAACGGCGTCTGTCCGGCCTGTGCAGCCCGCAATTCAAGGAAACAACCTCTCCTCGACTGTCTCGCCGAGTCCGCTCTCAGATCTCTCCAGGTCCTCCATCAGCTCAGTCCTCAACCAGTTTTCGTCCACCCTGCTGAACACCATATGTTCCTCTTTCAGCGCCCTCAGCGCCTCCATCACCCAGTCCTGTCCGTCCCACGCAGGGTCGTTGCGTCGTACACGGACCTTCTTCAAGCGATCGACGAGTGCCTGCACGCGCTCGGCGTCGACCCACCCCACGAGGCAGCCGCCACGAAGGTCCTGTGCGCGCTCGAACGCTGTGAGGCGCTCGGTGAGGTACGTGAACGTGTCGGTGTTGCCCTTGAGCTCAAGCTTGAGCCCGTGGAGGCGCGAGTAGAGCAGCACGAGTGCCCAGTGCTCCGTGCGCCGGCGGTGACCCTTGATGGCGTACTGTGCGACGATGAGAGGGTAGACATTTTTCGTGGGTGCCGTAGGCGAGGGCATGGCCATGAGTCGTGCGTCGTTCGTCATGCCGTCGGCGTGGATCACGCACTAGAGAGCAGGGTGCACATGTAATGGCAAAGGCAGGGCGGGAGTAGGGGCGGGGTGGGGGCGGAACAATAACGCAGGTGAGCATGTGCATCTGATAACGCCCGGCGTCTCCACCGGACGCGAAATGCGCACTCACCAACAAGGTCGTCGGGATACTTATACACGCTTTCGCACCGCTTCCAGCTCCAAAGCGACGGCCAATCCTCTTGGGCGTACCTACACCCAGCGCACGACCTCGATGTTTGGGTTTAAGTACACCTATCGCGGCGCCCGCTGGGACAAGCACCTGCACGCACGCCCGCTGGCTGGCTGGCCCGGGTGACGTATCACTATCACCTTCCGCTGCATGAGGCCTGCAAGGAGCCGGCGCACGATCCGAGCCCCGGGCAGTATCTAATTCGTGTTTTTGTACGTCGCGCCTCTGTCGCGTTATGTCTTTAACGTTCAACCCTCCGCGCCGCGATTGCAGTAGCCGGGCGCGTGCGCGTTTGACCCCGCCTCCGCTGCGTCATGTGTCGATGCATCCCACTTCTGGAAGTCACATCATTCACGCGTCGCCCCTGCTCGTCCCTGCAAACTGCTTGCAGAAGCTCGACCGATGCGCGTAAGTGACTAGTGAGTACCGAGTCCATGAAGTATACCCAACTGCCGTGTACTTCGGTGCCTTGATCGTTTGACTTCGGTGAAACAGAGCAAAAATCCAAGATCTTTGGACGAAACTCCTTCAACCGATTACAGAGTCTGCTGATGCGAATGCCCAATGGACAGGCAAAGATGCGATCCGATCTATCAGCCATGACGTTCCTCAAACTCTTTCTCCAAACCGGTCACGATCACACGCGACCAATCTCCATCCATAACGGTCCTATCCCGCAACTTCTCTCCCAATCCTCTTCCCGAGCATCAACCTTGCCCTCACGCGCGTACCTTCCACACTCCCCTGTGTGTCTTCTCACCGAGCCGCAGCGTCCCTTTCCAGTCCTTTCCATCCTTTCTTCATTTTGTCAAAAGGCGCCCACCGACGTCACCGACGCTGACCTCCCGATCGTCTGATCACACAGCTCAAACACTGCGCTTTTCTGACAAGAGCTTCAGCAGGCCCCTTGCGTCGTCATTTGTGCGCATCCACGCCAATGGGGTATTTGAACGCACGACCCCATCCGAGTCTCGTCAAGGTTTCACCGGGTGACCTGGCTCAGGCTAGCTCAGGCTCCGCTGAGTGTTGAATTTCGTCATTCTGATTCTGTGACTTAATGGGGTCGTTGGCATCTGCGACCCTGACTGGCTCTACGTCCATGCGCGGCCTCGAGCGACTGCCATCGATTTCTTTCTGACGTCGGCCAAGAACGCTGATGATACTTCAGGGGAATCGGAACAGGCATTTGAACGCATCAGGCCTTCGACATGACAAGGGAATATTCTGCGCGTACTTCAATAGCGTCATTTCCAATATATCACTGAGATCAAATGTCTACCTATGTCCACACACGCCATGTTGTCCTGCGTCACCGACACGCCCGACCTCATTTACCTACGAACATGATCGAAGACCACGTCATTCCGCCCTCACACGTTCACACACCCTCAGGGCATTTTCGCTCCCATCGTTTCTATTGCGTTGTCGCTACGTAGCCCAGCTATCCGTACAGTACCAGTACCAATACCAAAAGAGAGAAAGCAAAGCAGGGGGAGCAAGTACGTGGACAAAAATCCGCGCCGAAACCAAATCCTTCAACAGCGAAAGAAAAAACCGAGGTATCAAAACGCGCGTTCGATGCAATTAAAAAGTACGGGCCACTGTCCAGAACTACCGAACACCATACGCAGGGGCAGGTTTAGAGGACCAAACCGGCGGCGAAACCGAGCGCGGCGAGGACAGCACCAGCACGGGCGCCGTGAGCCATGGCTCCGTTGGTGGTCGCTGATCCAGATGGCGAAGTCGCAGAGCTGGACGCAGAGGAGGAGCCAGTAGCTGCTGCCGAGCCGGATGCGGCGGAACCAGAAGCGGAAGTGGTGGTCGAACCCGACGCGTTGGCGGCAGCCTGGAAGGCGGTGAACGTCTTGGCGGCGGTGGGGTTGACAGCGAAGACCATTCCCTTAGCGCAGTGACTGTAGGAACGTTGTTCGCGTGAGAAAAAAAAATCATCACAATGAAAGGTAAGAAACATACCCGACTTGACGGCAGTAGAACCAGAGAGGGGCACTGGTGTCATTGACAGTGAAGGACCACGATGGGACGGTCGCAGCACCAGCAGCGACAGCCTGGAAGCCGGAGTCGATGCCGCCCGTAGAGAGGTTGGCGCATGGGGAGGCGAAGGAGGACTGGGTCACAGTCTGTACAAGAATCGGATACCGTTGTCAGAGAAACAATCACACTTCAGCCAAGGCCGGACGTACGTGGTTCTTGGACATGAACAAAAACTGGATCGTGTCGCCGACAGTCGCGTTCACGCTAGGAATAAGAAAGAGATGAGAAGACGGTCTCAGGCGATGATGGTGGATACACACCTCTCCGGGGTGTAAGTAAGACCATTGTTAGCACCGACTTGGACCTGGATGGTAGTCTGCGCCGAAACCGAGGCGGCGAGAACGGGGAGGACGGCAGCAGCAAGGGAGAAGCGCATTTTGATTGTTGTTGAAGGTTGATTTGACGAGCAGGGATTTGAAAGCAATGAACGTGTCTTCGAATGGTATGAATAGGAAGGGCTTGCGAGACTGCGAGAACGGCGTTAGCATCAAGGACGGAGAAAAAGGTAAGGGAACTGACCCTGCTCGTGGACAACAACAAAGAAAGGCTCGAGGGAGGGGGACGACTGGGTGAAGAAGGACGGAACAAGGGCGGCGACTGCATTTATAACGCACGGCAGGCCAGCGGGTGGGAGCGCATCAGGTGAGCGGGTCCCTTGACAACCGGAATGGGACTGGTCCACGGCAGCGGAGGCTCCCTCCTTGAGGCACTTTGGCTGTCTCTTCTAGCTGCAGCCTCTGCCCATCAACCGCTGCTCCTCGCGATGAACGTGTGTCGACGCGCATACCTTAATCTTTGTCGTCTAGAGGCCCGTGCATGCATCGTAGCGTGCATTCCACCCCTCTGCCGTTCAGCGCCCGGGCGGCGATTCGACGGCTGGCTGCGGATACGAGTTGGACAAGACGACGAGGGAGTGTGCTGATTGGCTCCCCGCACGCTGTCTACTCGTAACGCAATTGGGCCGTGGACGTCCCCAGCGGTCCCCCGGTCTCCGAGACGACCTCGGCTGACTCTTTCTCGTTCTCTCCGTCAGCCGGCGATCCATCTCGGCCTTGAATACCACCTCCGTGCGCTCAGTGCCATTCCCTCCCCAACCGTCGCGACACTCTCGCAGACAGAGAATAGCCAGACATGTTCGCATCCAGGCTCTACCGCTGCACCCGCCAATCCGCGCGCGTATTTTCGTCCTCCGCCCGCCGCGCAGACCACTTTCTCAATGCAGATAAATCGGTACGTCGCCCTTCTACCCCCCTTGCCGACCATCCATATTCGCGAACAACAACAGCCCAGCCTCTTTCCGCGTTCCGTGCTAATTATACGTACCCGCGACTGATTCTATCTCGGTTGCTCTTATAGACCTTCGACAAGGTGACCTCGCCATCCCACACGGCCGACCGCGTCGTTCTCGTGGACTTTTACGCCGAGTACGCCATGCGCACCGTCTTTGACTTTTTGACTTTCCCCGTCCACTCACATGAGGCCCTCGCTCGCCGGTGATATCTCGCCTTGACGTGTCCCTTGCTCTCGCGCACGCAACTCAGCTGGTGCGGGCCGTGCAAGACGCTCTCGCCCATCCTCGAGCGCATCACCACGGACGAGTCCATCAAGTCTGGGAGCGGACTGCCTCTTGACCTCATCACCGTCGACACAGACGCGGAGGTAGCCCTCGCACAGCAACACAAGGTGCGTGCACCCCATCCTGCGCACATCAGCGGCTCACCGTGCTCTGCGTCCACGTACACCTGTCGCCTATGCACTCGCTCCACGTATCTCCCCTCCATCTCCCCCGCTCTCACGCGCGTCCGCACCGCCGGTATATCCTGCCCACAGATCCGCTCACTCCCGACCGTCGTCGCGTTCAAAGACGGCCAGCCCGTCAGCCAGTTCATCGGCGCACTGCCCGAGGCGCAAGTCCGCAAGTTCATCGAATCGCTTTGAGCCTCTAGTCGCGACCGCCCCCTCTCGCCTCGCGTACTGCGTGCCTCACGTCTGGCGCCCAGCGTCGATAGCGTGTCAGCCGCCCATCACTGCACCGAACATGGAATGATGGATTCATTTGCTCGGGTGCATATCACGCATGCATCAAGCCCGGGCGGGCGGATCTTCTCGAAATGCAACGCCATCAACCGTCTCATTCACCTTGTCTACTTGCTTATTGTCTGCCGTCCACGCATGTTCGGCCGTCAGAAAGTCCGTCAGACAGACGCAATACTACCGTGTATGGGCACCGGGGGGCTGCGTCGCCGTCGACGCAGCGTGATGTGCCCCTTGTTCCATTTCGGTTGCCGCTGGACGTGAGCAACTGACAATAGGCGCAGGCGTATGCGTGCTCGTTATTGCCGCATCGCATGGGCGCGCACGGGCGGCTCTGGGCGGTGGTGATACAACGCGCGAGAAAGACGCGCGCAGTCGAACCGCGAACATATGAGTATAAACATCTGCACCGGCGCGCGCTCGATCGCCCATCAGCCATCTAAGTAGCCCGCTGCACAGGTCCGCCACAACAGGCGCGACACAGGCACGAGGTGCGCGTCGGCGTCCAGTGCGCTGTGCATCGCGGGTTTGCACGACCCGAAGTTGCGAGCGTGTGGATAGCGATGTGCGGCGATGCAATGCAGGACGGAGCGGGACGTGCGGTCTTGGACCTCTCGCGTCTCGCGGATGCCGAGGACGCCCAGCGCGGCTTGGCCGGGGAGGGCCTCGGTGCGCGCGGCCGTGCAGAACGGAAGGCACCGCTGAGCTAGGAACTCGCACATACACGCGCAGAGACAGCGCTCTCGGGGAAGCGTAGATAAGTCGCGTCTCGCGCGCTACACAGCAAAGATAGGGGCTGGCCAAACCGGATTTAGGTCGAGAGCGAGACAATTACAAAGACGGAATGGAAAGAGGTGCAGCAGCACGTAAACGACTCGAGCAAAGGCCTATATATAAAGCTGGAGTATCGAGAGAAGGTGCGTCAAGATGATAGTTGGGTGGAACGGATGGAAGAGGATCAAAATGAACATATAAATAACTACTATTTGGAACGCAATGCAATCATAGGCGACAGTTACGGCGCAGTGGGTCCAAGTGGATCCACCCCTACATCCACACCACTCCGGCTTCCTACCCAGGGAGCGTGCTTGCGCGTATGTTCCTGTCAACCACCCGCGCGCGTCGCATCAAGATCGAGGCCGCCAAGCGAGCGCAACAACAAGAAATCCAATCCTATATGTCACGGCGTCCTCCTTTGATATATACACAAACGACGTCGGCAGCCACGGTCGCCCCTTCCCCTCTTTCTTGCTACCTTCCACTCCCTACCTCCCATCCCAGATGACTCGACTCCGCACACGATCCAAACACGTAGGGGGATCGGCGGAGGAGCCAGAGATAGAACGGGACGTCACCCACACGGTCCTCGCACGGACGGAGGGATAACCAAGCAGACGGGCGGGAGCCGTAGGGGTAATAAGAGATAGATCGATCGATAGATAGATGGGTTGTACGTATGTGAAAGACAGAGTATATATGAATGCACAGAGAAAGACGAGGCCGGTTAGAAAATCATAGAAGCAAGGAGGAGAAACTGAGGCGGAGGCAGGGGAATATAAGAAAAGGGAGAGGGACGAAGCGAGAGTCGGTGCGAGAAGAACGAGCGAGCGAGCGAGCTGATAGGGGAGGTATCGGCGGTGCGATGAGCATGAATGGTATGCGGGACACTGTGGACTGTGGAGGATAGAGAAACAAGACGAGGGAGGGAGGGGAATCATTGAACGAGACAGCATCCTCCACTCGTCTGTGGCGCGTATGGATCCTCGTTTTTACCCACGGGTCCCCAAACGGATGGCACCTGCAGTAAAGAATAGACGGTCAGCGTCACTGCGCCCTCGTGCTCCCAATGAAGAGACAAAAGTGGAAGCGCAAAGGTGGAGAAGGGCAGGACGGCCGCAATCACACATATTCCTGGCGCCACCGCCTCCGCCGCCCGCTCGGTGTTTGAGCGTCGACGAGCACCGAGCGAGGTGAAATTGAGGCTTCATGACAGGATGCTTCCGAGCGGCACGATTACGAAACTCCCGGAGCGGGGTATTATGGCACCGACATTTCCGTGAAATGTGCGCAGAAAAATGGAGGAAGTGGAGGAGGGGACGGGGACGGACGACGCACCAGGTGGTCTTTCGTTGTCTTGCAATACCGGATGAGGCTGGCGCTGGCCTCGCTCACGCGTATGCGCGGGCGCGCGAGGTCCTCTCGCAGACGCTGGTTGTGTTCGAGTAGTCGGCGAAGCTTGAGCTCGGACATGGACTGTTTCGGTCGGGAGGACATTTTGGATGATGTAGAAGGGTATGAATGCGGGACGAGGGGAGGAGGGGAGGACGGTAGGGCGACACAAAAGCGAGGAGGTGGTGGGCGTTGGAGGTGGGTGGGTGATCCGGCGGATGGTGCTGGGATTGGATCAAAGAATGGATAAGCGCTAGTTCGTCACCTGTCACGGTATCAGGCGAACTGCTTGCGCATCCTCCACGGCGATGAAAGATGGACGAGCACTCCCCTGGCTGATATAGGCGAACGTGTTGGGAACGTACCTGGGGATGCTCCCTAGCTCACAGCGCGCGATCCTTTGTACAAAGATTGCGAGAGGACTGGACGCTCGCGGCTGCTGCGTGCGGGTTGTCAGGATATGGACAAGAGTGTGCGGGGAAGAGAGAAAGGAGAGAAAGGAAGGGTGGAGACGCTGGGCTTTGCGTGGGCAAGGGAGAAAAGGGCGGTGATGCGAGAACGGCACCAGAGGCCTGTTTCCCTCTCCTGACCGAATGCTGTCCCAGGACCAGCCACGTGCCAGTGCACAAGCATTCCCACACTACCCGTTTCTCTCTCCTTCCAGTCGTCTGCGACCAGGACATCTGTGGGGAAACGACCGTGCTTCATGTATGCATCCCAGCCCATGGAACTTCTATTAATGCCAAAATCACACCCTGTGCAGTGTATATGACGAGAACTGGTCGAATCGGTCGGCGGCGGGCCGCGAAATTTTCGGGCACCGCCGGGCTCCCATATAAGCAATGCCAGTTCCAAGCCTCGTGCCTTCCTTTTCCTCCAACCAACATGCCAGAGACCGCGCTGATCGTCCCGCACAAGATGTCGCCATCTTCTTTCGCGAGCATGTCCGGTCAAGCAGGCTTTTTGTTGCCCTCTCGCGGCTCGTCCAGCGCCTCGAAGATCTCCTCTGGATGGGAGAGGCCAGAGCCTTGAGCGCGCGTTCGCACATACGAGTTCTCACACCTGCACGCGCCTCCCTATCGCATTCCCGTCGTCTCGACGGCCGAGCACACTGATCTGCTCGATGGTCCCCCACAGCTCCAAATGACTCCCTGCGACCTGCTGCCCCGGGTCGGAGATGCGGTCGTATGGACCACCTCCCCCGAAATCGAATCTCTCACCCACCAGTGAGCAGTTCGTGCGAGGACGTTGACGTCCCCGTTTCCCGACAGTGCTATCGCGCTGTTGTGACCTGCGGACAACTATGCTGAGTCTTGCAGTATGTCACAGCCCCGGTTATTTCTTCGTGGTGCAAGGTGCACACGTCAGGATGCATACTTGACGATGTGCATCATATCAACTATGTGATAACGGGCGAGCTAGTGTCATACATATAATGCATTTCAGTTCGGTGAATTTTATGCACCCCCGATTCGCGACAGGTCGGGTGGCGCCATACCGTTCCCGCGTCCGTATGTTGGGTGGGAGTTGATGGCATTGGACGGGTTTTGTTCTGCATCGGCTCTGCCCTGGTCGAACGTTCTGTCGCCAAGACGATCTGACCATACTATGGGCAGTCATAAGGAAGTTGGCTCGTGGGTCACAGGGATTGGAGTGAGCTGAAAAGTGCTGGTCACACTTTTCTTCTCAAGTGGGGGCTGTTTGTATGAGGGGAGGCCCGCAGATTGTTGTCGGTGATGCGCTCGCGCTAGGGTTATATGCGTGGTTCGCGATTCACGTTTCGTAGGCGGATCGCGAAACATCCACTGCTCGACTTCTCCTGGTATCGATGGGACTTCACTGTCTCTAATTTTTGCACCTTATATTTTCTTTGTGAGGGTTTTCTGCTATGGGAAGATGCATAATAAATGGGTGACGTGGACATGAGCTTGTTCAATGTTTGAATGTTTGAACACAGTTCGGAGGGAGCACACCAGGTATCACCAACGGAGGGATCATATGCATATGCGCTTGCGCCCGTACAGTCAGGATCGATGAGTTTGAGCTATTATAATACGAGACCATGGACAGAGACACAAACCGGACAGGGTTCGTTCAGCCGAACGGGAAAAAAGGCCGAGAAGCGCAGAAATCGTACGGGAATTAACGGGCCACTTTTGGCGTCAAACAAACGGCCCCATAAGGAAGAGAAGAAGGCGCGGTACGAAATTGGATTGCGATCCGGTGCAGACGAATAGGAAGGAAGCAGCAGGAAGTGAATAAGTGAAGGATGAAGCAGACAGAGGGCCGCGCGGCGCGGAGGGGGCAGTAGCAGACGGACGAGGTCCCGATACTGTGTGGAGGCGCTGGGGGAGGCGGCGGGACCGGGGAGGGGGGGGAGTCGAGTCGCTTGCGGTAAGGAACGTAGGTGCGCGAGACGCGGTGGGATGACAAGGCACGGTAAGCGTAATGTACTTGGAAGCAGGGCAGAGAATAAACAGGCGGAAAGGTTTGGCTAGCTTGGGCTTTCTCGGTCTCCGAGCGCGAGCGCGCGTGCGGGCGAGCGGCGGGGCGGAGACGGCGGCGGGGGGGTGGAGATGATGGCGGGGTGGAGATGCGGAGCGATGGAGTGTTACATGATAGTGCATTGGCAACCCGTTGCTGGTGGTGCGTATGGGTCCTCGCCCTTTCCCACTGGGCCCCACACCGAGGGCACCTATGCGAGGGCGGGTGAGGGTCAGGTAAGTGGATCACGAGCGGCCGCGAAAAAGAACAAAGGGAGACGAGCGCAAGGCACGCAGCCGCAGCGATACGCACCAGGTGGTCTTTGGTCGTCTTGCAGTAGCGGATCAGGCTGCGAAGTGAGTCCCTCGATGAGCGAGCGTGCGGGGGACGTGGGTACGGGAAGTTACGCACCTGGCGCTCGCCTCGCTGACGCGAATTCGCGGTCGGGAGAGGTCCTCCCGCAGCCGCTGGTTGTGCTCCGACAGACGACGAAGCTTGAGCTCGAACATGGATTGCTTGTGTGGGCGCGAGCTCATGTTGTGTAGGTCGAGTGCGGGAGGGGGACGTGTGCACAGAGGACGGAGGGATGAGCGGGTGGGGGCAGGGGCAAGGGGAGGAGGAAAGAAAGTGGCAAGCCAAGAAGCTTCTGTTGTGGGATGCGTGGTCAGCCACGGCAGATGGGGGGGGGACTGTTGGGGGACTCACGGGGAGAAAAAGAAAGGAGAGAAGGAGCCTGGAAGGGAGAAAGGCGGATGGCGATTCTGCACGACGACGACGATGACGGCGGCCGCCAACTCAGCTCCCCCATCGGACTTCGAATCCGCATTCGCTCTCCCTCCCTCCGTCACACACCGTGACCCAGAACCCTCTCCTCCGCCCACCACCTTCGTCGTCCCATCCCGCTGCCAGGAGACCGTGCTAGCTCGCTGATGGGCCGTCATCGCACACACGCTTCCGCAAGGTCGAAGCCGAGGGAGGAGGAGCCTGCTAGTTCTTGGAAGTCTCCAAGGAAGCCTGGTGAGCACCTCCGCGCGCCCTCCTGCTTCAATCCTGCGCATATAGACGGCGGCGTCCTTGTATGCGCAGGTCACAAGACTCCCCTACGGTCAAAACTCCTCGCTCAGACTTCCTCGACGAGCAGGCGAGGCGGGGTCTTGGAATCTCTGCGCTCAGACCCTCGTCAACATCCCCGGACTGCTCTTCGATCCGCGCCTAGGAAAGATCCTGATCTTCAGGATTCTCGGGACGATCCATTTAGCGTCTTCGACGCCTTCGCAGAAAATCTGTTATCGGACATTGATGATGAACAGGACGAAGAACCAGGAACAATCTCCGACGACGACGACGACGACGATTGGGACGAAGAAAAAACATTGGTCGCATTTTTACACGATAGGTGCGTCGTATCGCCTTTGTGATAACCACTCGGTCTCATTATCATACATGCCAGGGGTATCGAGGATAGTGAGTCCCCAGCACCTTCCGCGCTTGTCGACAAGCTTGGACCCGCCTTTGCGAGGTCCTCGAAGAGAGCCAAGCAAGACGTTGTGGACAGCCTCCTTCCTGCGATGCGCCGCATACGCACAGTACACGAAAAATTGAGTGAGGATACGGACCGCGGCATCGCGGCTGGTGTGCTTGAGATCGACAACGCGTGTAAACACTTTGAAGAAGTGCAACTGCAGAGGGAAGAGGAGCTGTCGCGCGCGCTCTCCGAGACTCAGGTCATATTTCTCGCCACTCGCCTGCTCCCTTGCGTTCGAATTTGCTGTGCAACCCAGATCACGCATATATTGACTACAGGTCATGCTCCTTGCAGGTAAGGCTCAAGAAGCTCTTCAGTGACCTTCAGAAAAGGTACAAGCTCCGCGAGCAGCTACGGATCGATTTTGATACCTGGGTGACCGACAAGGGTACCTGTTACGACCCTCCCTCGATTTTGTCGTCAATTTTCTGACTTTATCCGAAGCTGAACATATGCGCGACCGGGTCAACGCCCTGCCGGCGGACATCGAGCACCTCATCGGTCGTCTGGGGAAGAAGGCCAAGGATATGGACAAGGACAACGGCAGTTTGGCGAAGGCTCAGGAGAAGATGCTCGAAGGGTTGTTGGACAACATGTGAATCTTCTAGACCTTTCGTGCCTGCTGCCTTCGACTGGGTGGTCGCTTTCTGTCACCTGCTCGCCTGCTCGGACTCTCTTGCTTCTGCTTTCTGGAAGTGCTCGACTTGTCTAGTCTGCCGCCGTGATAATCATATCTGGGGTGTTGTCCTTCGATATCATACTGGTGTATCCTTCCTTCTCCGCGTCCTTTGTAAAATGCTATTTCATGTAATCTCATTTATGTGCCTGACTGCAGAGCATGTCTCGAATGTATCTAGCACTGTGTCGCCTGAATCCATCTATGCGCAACTACAATGCGCAAACGAGCACAGTTCTATTATTACCTTGCGTTGTCGGAGACATGCCTGACGGCATCATAGGAGCGTGGTCAGCGCCCCGAGGCTGCCAGCTGCCAGCGCGCAGACTCATGCAGTCAGAGGCGTTGCTCTCTCTCCTTCGTGTATACTTCGCTTTCCTGGACATACTACTCCCTGCATAATGCCTTTCTCGCTCTCGGGTGTAGAGGCCATCCAGCATCTTAGCCTCCGACACCTCCCAGCCCATGCAGATACCCTGGCGCTCTCCGTGGCGTTCTTCATGATCCTGCACAGCGCGGTCGCGCCCGCTGTGTCCCGCGCGCTCGTCGGTAAGCAAAAATGGGCGGCCCTGCGGGCGCGGGCACGGAACGGGTGGTGCGTTGTTTCTCGCCCGTCGACTCAAGCCGACGCCTAACCAGCTGGCGATGCTGCTGCGCGTGAAGGAAGACCCACATCGTGTCGTTCGTGCACGCCCTCATCGTGGTGCCCTTTGCCGCGCGGTGTCTTAACAGCCCCGCGCTGGACCAGGACCGCGCGTTTGGGTGGGACGACCGGGTGGGGACGGTGTCCGCCATTGCCAGCGGGTGAGCGACCCACTCCAGGCCGCCTCGCGAACGCAGCGCGCCTGACCGCGATGCAGGTATTTTATATGGGACGCCCTGGATTCGCTCATCAACTTTGAGGGCGTCGGGTTTGTCGTGCATGGTGCGTGCGTTTCGCGTTTCGAGTGCCGCCCTCGCTGAGCGTCGTCTGGTAGGCGTGACCTGTTTGTTCATATACTTGTACGGTCTTGTACGCGCCCCTTACGCACGCGATTTTTTATACGACGGCTAACGAGCCGTGCGTTGTCGCAGAGACCTTTCCTTGGATACTACGGGCCCCGATTTTTGCTCTGGGAGCTGTCAGTGCACTCTGTTCTACGCCGTCTCGGCCGGCCTTTGAGAGCTGACCACTGCACAGGAGCACGCCGTTCTTGAATATACACTGGTAGGCGCAGCGCATACCCGCTCCGCGCCCCGCGCCGCACCACTCACAGCGCCCGCCCGCAGGTTCATCGATAAAATGGGCCGCACGGGGTCGCGCCTCCAGCTCGTCAACGGCGCGGTGTTGCTCGCGACGTTCGCGTCCGTCCGCCTCGTCTACGGCGGGATCATGGTGCGTCTGTAAACCCTGAGCCACACTGTCGCGGCCGCGTCATTGTTTGGTTCACCGATCGCGATACGCGCGCTAGTCCTATCGCTTCTGGCGCACCCTGTACGCGGTCAAAGACGACATCCCGCTGTTCCTCGCGCTCGGGTACGGCGTCGGCAACATCGTGCTGCAGGTCCTCAACTGGTTCTGGTGCGTCGGTGGTCTCCTCGGCGACGTCGCCGCTTGCTCACACGTGTGCGCGTCGATTGCACGCAGGTTCACGAAGATGATCGCCGCGCTGCGAAAGCGCTTTAGAGGCAAGGGCACGGGTGCCAAGGTAGGCGGGAAGGAGAATGGCAACGGAAAGGTTGCATGATCGTGCATGCTGCTGTCAGCGCGAGATATCAGTTGTTGGTGCAATAACATGCCTCATATGTCGAGCGAGCGGTGTCACTTTAAGTTCCAAATCACGCCAATACTCGAGGGCTTGTGGTCGGAAATCTCAAATAGCTCTATCAAGCACTGTGATCAAAATAATGTTTACCCACATGGTTCAGGAGCCCATCTCTAGACAGCTACGTTTCGCTAAGAACTTTGTACACCGTCAAAAGAAAAGAGTTTCGAGAGGAGTACCATGCATCCGCCGGGAATTGAACCCGGGACCAAGCCAGCTTACAGAGTGGGAAGACTCGATGTTAACCACTACACCACAGATGCTACACTAAAACTGGTGCAGTTGCTTACTTATATTTTATACAGCCACCCTTGATATGCACAGTCGAACCTTGTTCGAAATACATCGTGGCAATTGGGCGTATCTTCGTAGTCCTGTAGCCGGAAGACGGACCAAATCGGTGATGAATGCTCAGCTGTGCCAGCAGAGCAATGGCGCGCTCGTTTCTCACGTACGGATACGAGGGCGATAATGTTGCGCGCGGTTGAGAACATAAAGTGAGCTATTGCATGGAGGGGCTTTACAGTAGACGCAATATCGACATAATGGGAAGACTTGATGTTAACCACTGCACCACAGTGTATACACCAAACTGGTCCCTAACCTCACACACACTAAATGCAGTGTCAATGAAGTCCCAAGTTGTGGCTAGCAAGAGAAACATTTGATGTGATTTCAGAATAGATGATAATATGCATGTACTATATGGACAATAACAGGAATGAGCAGAAGCAAAAGAGATCCACCGAGCAAGAATGAACACAGTCCCAGATTTACAACCGAGTCACGATGATCCACGTCCAACGTCCATTTTACAGCCTCTCCGTGGTTCCACTCTGCTCGCCTATTGCCCCTTCTTCCTCTATCGAGTCTGGCTCCGCAAAAAGCACAGCTGACACCAAGGGCTCCTTGAGTGCCTCCGGTGACTCCGAAGAGGCATGTTCCTGAATCGAGACAGGTGCAGATTGAGCGGGAGGAATGTCCTTAGCTGGGATTGGCGGCGGAGTCGCCTGTTCTCCTTGCTCGGTCTTCTCTTCCGTCGCGTCTACAATCGCCACCTGCCTGAAGCCAACCTTTTCTGAGGGAATGGGCGTAGACAACTCTACGGCGCTGCCGTTTGCGGGGAGCCCATTTCCATTGACAGTGGGAGGTAGCGGAGAGTTTGGGTGAGACTCTGACGTTGTGGGTAGTATCGGCACTGTGGCGATCGGCGTAGGAAGGGCTTTCTCCGTCGAGCGCGAGAGCATGGTTTTGATCCGCTCGTTCGCGAACAGCGACGTGCGTTTTGTTGGCGGGGGACGAGAGGAGGGCATCTCGGGGAGGGGTGACGTCGGCTGCCCGACGATACGCTTCTCTGAGACGACGGTTTCTAGCATCCCTGTGGGCGCGCTGACGTTCTTCAAGCTCGACAGTTTTGAGTGCAAGAAGCGGGCATCTGCCAGAAGGCTGAAGGGGGCAACATGACTCAACAAGATGAGGCAAAGAACATTAGTAACATAGGACTTACCGCTCCTTTGCCTCTAGAGACGGTAGGTCGATCTTGATGTATTCCTCGGATAACCGGTGATTGTTGGCAGCAAACACTTGCGACATTACATACTACAGGTAAAATTGTGAGCTCAATGCTCTGATGTTGACCAGACACAATTTTCATACCTCCACAACGGAACTGGACAAATACCGAGATAGGACCTTGTGAAGCGTGACTGTCTCCTTGACCAGCAGTTCCATGTAATCGTTGACTCCCGGTTTGGCAGGAGGAACGTCCCATTGTACGCTCTGTAATGACTTGATATGGGCCGCAAGACGATCGCCCATGATGGCAATGAGCTTGGCATGAATCTCGTTCTGGTGCTCTTGGTAGTCCCGCTTGAGCTTGTCGAACTCGACCAGCATTACCGCTTGCTTCGGATTCAGGTGTCTCCGGAATGTTTCACGCACATAGGGAATAAGTGCGATCATGATCGATAGCGACTGAGAGGCAAGTGCTATATTCAACAACGCAAAAGTTGAACAAAAAGACGAAAGCGTGGCATTTGCAACGTACCGAGATGCTTGGCTGTGATGTTCTTCAAGCCTGCGCTGCGCATCGCGCCCGCACCGAGCACGACCTGGCACGTTCTCGAATTGAACGCCTTCAGGAACTCGATCACGCGACTCATAGTGTCCGTAGTCAGGAGACTGAGGTTCACGATGACCTTGAGATAATCCGTGAGCAGGATCAGCGCCTCCTGCGTCGCGGAGACAGCAAAGTAGCTGCGTTCCTCGATACGGATATGTTTGCTTGGCTTAGATGACGATGTGCCGTTTGGTGGAGGGCGGGGAGAGACGGGACGAGGGGAGACGGGGCGGGGCAAAGAAGAGCGGGGGGATAAGGGCGAAGATGGTCGAGAGGATGACGGGGAATATGGCGGCATGAGCGTCGATAGCCGAGGGAGGGGCGAAGGAGGAGGGCCAGAGACCGCCGGGGCTATTCTTAAGACAAAATCGTGAGGATCGTGGACTGCGGCGTCTACTAGAATGTCGGCGATGTGTTGCAGCGATTGTGGGACATCCGCTTGCGACCACTGTTCGTCTTCGACCAATTTGGCGGACTGCGATATCCTAGATTGATGGAAGGTTTGCAGAAACGATTTGGCCTGATGAACGAGCCGTCAGCCAAGTACAGAGAGAAAGAGCGAGTAGTTTACTTGTCCGACGACGACGCCACGGAGACCGACGATCATGCGTCTGCAAATCACTTCGCATCGAACGACAAAGCTCCAGCTCTCGTTGAACAACTCGACGAATTCGCGGAGCTCAAGCTTGGAGTGTTGCTCCGCGCGGGCCGACAGTGCCTTCGAAGCCAATAAGTTGGCGTTCTCTGCAGAGGACGACAAAATGTCGAACAAGGCGTCTTGTGCAGCAGCCATATCCACAGGTATGTCTGGTTGTCTGCAAGGGTGTGAGTATGTCAGCCACTGTAAGAGAGCAATGTCCACACACGAGATGGCCTCGAGAACTTCGAGAAAGACGCCGTTCAAATCTTGGAGACCTTCTATGCAGCCAAGAAAATCTGTGTAGACTCCACGGAGCAGGTCCAAAAACACATCATGGGCCATGGTCCGCACATCACCCACCCAGCTAAAGACATCGTCAGTCAACTTATCTTGATAGTACGTCAAGGCTGGTCTTACGGTCGATCTGATGCCCCCTTTCGAGACGTTTTTGGGTCTTCATCTTCAAGGTCGAATGCTGGTATATGCTAATCAGGAGCGAGAGCATTCAAGATCTTAACATTTTTTGAGTTGATAGAAGATTGTAGTACACGCACTCGCTTGATGACTCCCTTGACCTCACCCAGCACAACGCCTCTCCACTCTGACATCGCCTCTCGTACGCTCCGCGTCCTCACAAGCCCGAGTACAAGGGGTCGCAGCCGGTCGCGTAGCTCGGTATGTGAACTCGCTTGCGCGGGATCACGCGAACCGTGCACGCGCTGAACAAGGTCGACCTTCAGCACACCGACGACATCTGTGGTTAATGATGCAGCTATTTCTAGCGTCAGGACCTGAAGCTGGCTGGGTAATGAAGCGAACGCCTTGAGCTGAGACAGCGGTACCGCTGCCGAAGACTTCGGCGCGGTCCCAGACGCAGTCGAGGTGCTCTCCCAATTATCTGGGGGTTCCTCCAATACGGGTTGTAGCAGTCCGTTTGGCGGCTGACTGCTTTTTGCAGAAGGATGTGATGTCGACTCCCACATCATCTTTAGACCTTCTACCACACTCAAAGCTTCTCCCCATTGCCCTGCACCGACTAAGTTTCTAGCCAACCCCACCATCTCTACCACTCCCCCCGCAAATCGCACACCCTCTCGGACTCGCTTTAAATGCCCCAGCCGTGCCTCTCGCCGGACTGCCTCAAGCCCGCGCATCGCCCCATGCTTGTCTACATCTTGCAGCTGAGACCGCAGCGACTGAATGCGCGCAAGGCAACGTGAGGACTCGGCCTGCAAATCCTGAAGATTCGTGAGAGCGGCAAAGAACGGCGTGGCGCGGCGGGCTATCTCGTGCACAAGATGTTGCTCGAGAGTGTCCGCGTGATGAGACAGCTTCTCAAGTAAAGGGAGGGAGTGAGCGAGGGCAGATGGATCGAATGGGGTCGTTGGGGTCGTTGGGTCTGAAAAGGGCAGCGAGTGGGATGTGAAGGAGGATGTTTCCGCGACGGCATTGAAAGTGCGAGGGTCGCCGAGGTTGAATTTCGGGTCAAAAAACACCTGGGGAATAGAGGTGAGTGGAGGGAGGGCTTTAGTAAGGCGCGGTGTCCGTGGTGTCTCTGGGACAGAAAAGTCTACGTCTAGTGAGGACGGGTTTAGTGCAGAAGAGGATGCCGATGCTGTGCCAATTTGAGCGGCCCCTTCGCGCCCAAGCTCAACGCTTTTTTGGAAGCGATCCCACTCCGGACCAATTGCCTTCAGGTATGCATCGAAATCCTTCCGTCGTACACGAGGGAGGTCGGCGAGAGGGACAGACGGGACTGCCGCGTGCGCTTTGGGGGGATCGGACCGTTTGTGTGGATTGTTGACAACGGTCGAGATGGCTGCCATATTTCGGCATAAAAGGGAATTCCAAAAAGCTGAACAGAGGACACACCATGGAATCCGTGCTTAGAGCTACTCCATTGGGATGGCACGGCGTTCACAACGCTTGTAGACGCTGTGCCGTAGATGTCGACTCGAGGAGTAGCATTGAAATAGTCGCCTCTCCCTTCCGTCGTCTCTGAGATGCTCCCTGGACCTTGCCGACGCGATGCGTCCCAGTTAAACCTGTATGCGGGACGCGCCGTAGCAATATCTGGAAGAGGTCCCACGGGGCTCGTGGGCCGCGACGGACTGGACATCCGATCCGACATGATGGATAATGGCTTGAAGTCTCAGAGAAAATGAGCCAGATGGAAGGAAGAATACGCAAGGTAGTTAGTGAGAGCTTGCCAGCTGTGTTTCCTTATGACTGGTTCGACATTCACTTCGACGAGACAATAATGTAAAAAGGGGATGCACGAAGTCTCGCTGAATATCAGATAGATGAGCTGATTCGTCGATGTGCGGGTCGATGAGGAAAGAGGAACGCGAGCAAAGAGAGTGCGCAGTGTGCCCGCCGTTGACGAACTGACGTTGGCGGCAGTCGAAAGGGACAAGAATAGCTGAATTATGTAACCATCTTCGCCCAAAATGACGACGCGTTTGGAGCTCATCGTCGGTCTCAACGTCGTCGCCCATGGCCTCGTCCTCGTCCTCGTCATCTTCGCTTCGTGCAGGATTGCTCAAGCTTCCAGCACCACTCGCCAAGTTCTTCGCCTTATTTCCCTTGCACACGTACCCCGCCATCCCACTTCCAGACAAACACCCAATAACAGGTCCCACACTTTGGATACATCCCCCATCTGCTCCTCCTGACACGCACGACCTACTCAGCGCAGACGTGGAATGTCTCAAATGGCAGGCGCACCTGGCACTGCGCGGTGTCTCTGAAGTTCAGGTCCGCTGGGATGTTGTAGCAGAAGGTGCACTTGGAGAGCGTTTGCCGAATCTCCAGCTGCCTTTGACGAAGGATAAGGACGGAGAGTTATTGGCAGCGCATAATATTCCGGCTTGGGTTGACGAGCGTCTGGGACCTCTGGGAGATTTGCAGGGATATCGTGATGTTACTACCAGAGATGAGAGTCATGCATGGGTTGCGCTTCTCGAAGGAGACGTTCAGGCAGCCTTGGTACGTCTGCTCACTTATTCACAGTCTAGGACCTGTCATAATGCATAGTATTTTTGCTTATAGACTCTCTCGCAACCTTTGCCGTCGTTCTTTTATCAGACCGTTCTGCAGCTCCCTGCTTCAAATCCCACACGTCCGATAGAAACCCTACTCACACCCCCTCCCACTCCTCTGACTGGCATCTCGTCTCTGCTTCGCCCATATGGTTCTCGACTTCCCATCAAGTCCATCCAATCCCGTTACCGTGAAGCAATCGCGTCGTTGAGCGAACGTCTAGGCACGGACAAGTGGTTCCTGGGCTCAGAGTACGTGATATCCCTACTTCGCATTGTACGCCTAAACTCCTACATCTTCATCCCATCGTATCTTCCTATGTTTCATTTCTAGAGGCCCGACGGCGCTCGATGCCCTCGCCTTCGCGTACCTTTATGTCTTGCTTCACAGCGCTGACGAGCTCCGAGTCGAAGTTGCGCGCCGAGTAAACTTGGTCAATTGGGAACAGCGGGTCTATGAAACTGTCCGCTCGGCGTTTATACCACACTCGACAACGGGCCTGCCTTTGTCTTCGAATCCAGAAGCTCAAATATCTACTTGATGCAAATGTCAATACCCGACCATCTTCTCAACATGTGAGCGCTTGGCTATAGTTCAAGAATTGCGTGTATATGCGGTATGATGTCATGCACAAAATAGCGTTCATAACATAAGCCAATGGAGCGAAGCTGAAGAGAAGTAGACAAGCGAGCCCTCATCACCCCGACAGAGCTCCGAGTCGCTTCAAAGCATCGAAAATAACTCCTAACGCGATCAAACCAAAGCTGCTTGACCCTTCCTGGTTTACATACCTCAAACTCCACGCCCACGCCTCCCAAGCATCCTGCAGCGATACCTTTAACCTTGACTGATCCTCGTCCTCTGTCGCATCTGGATTTGAGGCCGCTGGCATCAGGCGCTGCCGAGTCTCGGCAACGAGCATGTCCACGTGCTGCCGCATGCGAAACTTGCGTTCCCTATGCCAGCGCATGTCTGTACAGTTCGCGATGATTGTGCCCACGACGATTTCTTCCTCAGTCAGTTCGATGTCAGGATTCTCACTCAGCGTGTGCGTTACACGGATGTACTGCAGCTCGCGGGAGTACTGAGCGAACAGCGTGGCGGCCGTGGCGCTCTTGCCATTCGAGTGAGTGTATTGGTCGCCAAGCGTGCGCCTCACAAGCGGGATGAGGCCGAGGGACACAGGATCGGAAAGTGGACTCCCTATATTCATGGGCACGGCGACGATCCTGAGCGAAGCATTTGGGTCAAGCAAGTCGACGCCGCGGAACAGATGCCCCAATGCACGATCTGACTCGTAGAAATCGGCACTTCGCGAACCGGAGCCTTTCTGCTTCCAATCTGGCTTGAACGGGATGAGCATTCGAGGGAGCCTGTTGTTCTTGAGATCGACGGGCACCCCATTCTTGGCGTAATCGACGGCCTGCGAACACAACCCGGCAAGACGCATGCAATGCGGGTCAAAAGTTCCTTTCTAAAGTCCGCGTGAACTCTGGATAGTAATGACAGTGAAAGAGAGCGTGCTCACTCCAGATTGATCTGAGAGAAGACCACATATAGGTCAAAACGAGATTGAAAAGAAAAAAAGCTCGTGGTAGCATACCAGCGATGGTCAGGTGCCTGTCGGACAGGAGGCCCTTCAAAAGTTATCAGTTTGCATTCATACTAAAGATCCCAAAAAACATACTAAGACGTCGGAGTTTATGTATTCGACGAAGAAGTCACAGATGTCTTCTACCGTACTATCCCACTCGACCTTGCGGATTTCGCCCGGATCGTACTCAGCCGGCTCACATTCGAGAGTGGGAAGCAATTTCGGATTTTGTGCATAGACATCGAACAGATCGCTGTGTGGAAAGAGGTCAGAAGGTCATTTGCGATGGAGGAGAATGTGGACCTTACCCATCCAGGTCGCCACCACCTAGGCAAGAGGCCAAAGATCGATTGCCTACCGTACTCACGAATCAGTCATGTCGAAACATTGATATAATACGACTCACCGCTTGTAGGGAAGACGACTACATTTTTCAAGTTTCTGAAAAAGCATAGTTTGTCTTCGGGGGGCTTCCCGACTGCCCACACTCTCTTGACTGCCGAGGGATATGTGGTGAGGAGGTGTCCCTCGACGAGACAATGTGATGTGACGTACCATCGCCGGGATGTACGACTGGACTCCTCGATATTACACAATACCCCTTCAACCATCGGGGCTCATGCTGCGCCGATTCTTGAACGCAAGCTGTGAAGGAAGAATCGACTGGTCATGGCTGGGCAGTCCTCGGGAAAGACGATCAACGAACCGAATATCTGGCCTTCCTTCAAAGTAAAAACTTCGTCGGGATCAACCCCTTCGTTGATATAACTGTTGCCTTCGTCTGCAACCCCAACGAGAAGATGACCGTTCGGCACCCGAATGCGTGCGCGATACTTTATGTCTCGAAGGACGTGGTACATGGAGTAAACACCCAGACGACCGAGAAAGGGGGTCGTCGTTAATATATTTCGCTTTCCCGGCCTCGTATCGAGTTTGAGCTTGCTCAGCTGTTCGAATATGAATGATAGAGAAAAACTTGACCCCAAACCATGATCCGTCAAAAGGGTGCAAAAGTTATCCAGTGAATCCATCGCCATGTATATAGAAGCCTTCGATTTTTCCTGGAGATCCATGAAGGTGTTTTTGTGAACTCCTCTATCCTCTAATACCATTATCACGGGTCTAAAACGAGGTCTTGAGTTCATAGCAATCATGAGAGCGATACGTGTATAAGTACCTGTTCAGATAGCTTGCATTCGGATGATCGAAAGCTCTTGCGATTTCGATGTCTGCTTCGTCGTCTTCATGCACAAGAAATTTCTTCATCGAGGGGCGAAGACGCATCTTGACCCCCGTCAGTCGTTCGTCTACGACCACAACACCTTTATAGCCCAAGAATCGGATTTGATACTATGAGATGAGGGCGATGAACGTCATCATCGTCCAAAAACAAGTTTGGCACCTACCGCGGAAGGTTCGACACAGTTGATCCTATTGTCACGTTTGTTCTTGCGGAGCGTATACCAGATCATGTCGCTGAGCTCTCTTGAAATGGTCCCCACACCATCGGTATGCAAGTATTTCTCCGGGCCAAGGTCAGGCATCTCTTCCCACTGATCCCTTCGAATTTTGACAGATGAGTCCGTCGAAGTGAATGCCTGCGCCATACGAGCTGCGTATTTCGAGGGTTGATTGAGGATGCTAGTGAAGTCCCCCAACCTTTGACGTATCCTGCCCGCAGCGACGACGCCCTCTTCAGGATCCATAAATGGGGACATGAACCACGCAGCATGGTCCCGAAGTGAAGAATTCGAGTGCGCGAGGTATTGAAAGGTTCGTCCAGCAAGTTCGAACCCGCCTTTGAGAGTACCGCCGACACGCTCCTTGAGAAACCATGTGCCATCAACATTCTCTGCCCACCTATAAGATGTCCTATCCTCCTCGCGGAAATCGACTCGAATAAAATTCTCGACCAGGTCAGGATCGTGGTCCTGGTAGTGCCGAATGACACGATTGGATTGGGTTACGTACGGTCCTTCGAGAATCAGACGAGTGGGCGTGATAGTGACATGGTGACATAGAAATGCACCGGGAGGATATGTAAACGGCTTCGCATCCTCGTATTCGGCACAGACCCTTTCAAAGATTTCAGTCAGTTTGGCTGAACGAATCCTCCGCAGCGAGACAGTGAGCCTGCGTAGTATTTCGCTTGCGCCCTTGCCATATTGTTGGCAGACACGGTCAATGGGATCACGGAGTTCGTAAAGAAGTTCTCCGGGATTGAGGAGACCATGTCGAAGGAGCGCCTCGATCTGGAACGCATTCTTCCATTCCATAGATCTCACCCAATTGTCTATCTTGGAAAGCTGGCCTCCTGAGTAAAAACCTCGCCAGAACACGAAGATCCTCGGCACTGGCTCGGGACGAGGACCTCTAGCATCCCTACAAAGCTGCCGGAAGCGGGGTAAGTCTTCGATATCGTGCAAACAAATTCGTAGCTGGTATGCGTAAGGAGCGACTCGAGCGTGCACGATATTCAACGCAGGAATACGGTCTCGATCTTTGTACGGCCGGCGTTGACCATTTTGACCTGCGCCGTCTCGGAATTCCAGGGCGGGAGGGACCAGCATATCCACATATATATCTTCAGCGGGTGCTTTCAGTAGGGTGTGCCCGCCATTTAGTCACCTTACTCACAAGCTTTCCCAGTATCGACAACGGTCTCGAGTTTGCGAACGTTAGAGAATCTGATCACGATGTTATAGGGCTGATTTTGAAGGCCACCGTACTAACCATGCGTTAAGGATGAGCGCGCATGAGAAACGGCTGAGTGCTCATACGTACTTCTATGCGGATCAACTTCTTGTCATACTCGAGCTTGAGATAACAAACCTTTTTCTTGGTAAAATCGAGCCCATACTCTACTGAGAAGGCTCTCAGAGGTAGATGAGAAGACCGAGGCGTGTGAGCGTGCCACACTCCGAATTGAACTTGATGTAGCTGTAGACGATGATCGAGCTCCTGTAGAATCTCCTTTCGCATACGCTCGCGCTCGGGATCCACATAGGGTGTTCTCTCCAAGATCTGCGCAGTCCGGAAGGGGACTATACGTGAAGACTTCTGTGTCGCGATATCTTTGTCGAGGATGCGAATCTTGTGCCCCTCGTTCAACCAGCGCAACAGTCGGGTACCAATCCAAGACGTTACCACCAGCGTACCGGAGCCAAGGTTCCCATCGTCGTCGTGCGTGCCTGGAGGAAGATAAACATGAAAATTAGGTGGGCGCCCTCTGTTCGATCGATTCGTGGGGTTATATAGGTCAGGATCATGTAGAACTTTCTCAATCGCTTTGACCACATCATAGTGGGAAGTGTTCTTATCAATGTCATGCAGGTTGAATTCCATGTTCTAGTGGGGGGGGATACAGGGTCAAAGGTTAGGAGAGATGTAGGACAGGCTGCATGTTGCGCAGCCTGTCTGCGAGAGCCTTTAAGTAGGGGGACAAGTGCAGACTGATCACGAGGCCCACTCACCCGCAGTGTCGAGCGATCTACAAGCCACCAATCGGGAAGCGTGTTGTACCTACAAACGTCACTGGCACTACACATCTCTGCAGAACGGCACCTAAGCGTCAATATCAGAGGTCAGCAGTCGTGAGTGAACGCTACCAAGGGTGCTGCGACAGGCTGCGCTATTAGAACATGGCTGAGCGCTTAGATAATCGGCTGCATGCCCTGAATACGTGTCTTCACATCTCGGTCGGTCCTGTCTTGCCCTCATTCAGATAAGAGCTACGATCTGATGCTGCAGTTGTGGATATTGCGGTCATGAGTAGGGCGAGAATCAGCAGGGAGCATGGGAATTGTGGAGATTTGAACAGTTTTAGCACACGTAGACCCTGCCACAGCTTACCATGATGAACGAAGGCTGCAGCGTGCGATGATGAACCGTAAGTGAATCTATAAGAGGCAAAGATGGATGGAGAATCCACTGCCCTCGCTTCTGGGAAAGTCACGTGAATCATTTCTCGAGCCCTCCAAGTCCCGCCGGCAGAAACCACTAGGCTTCGTTATCTGTATTCCGGAATCTATTGTTCGCTATAGCATACGTATAAGAGTATTTCGTTTATATAAAAAGCTATCGCTGTCCGCCAAAACGATATGGTCCGATCTAGGACCTCCGGATCAGCGGTCCCTGCTCAGCACAGATTTTGGTGCTTCGAATGAACAATAGCATCGGCACCGTGTACGTGCGATCGATCAAGACAATATGCTGATCAGGTGATTTTAGAAAGATTGTAACATACGGACCCATAAGCAGAAAATCCTATTTTCTTTCGAAGAAGATGCAGTATTATGAAGCGAGGTGTCCGGCCGGGGAGCCTGCAGCGGCCAGCCTGCGACGACTGCCGTTGTTGTCATCGAGACGATCTTGCAAATGCACGCCTGTGAATCCCGCACCGTTGCCGAGTGCCAGTGACGGACTCGGAGCCCTCGATTACATACGCGTCCACACTCCCATTTCAGCAGCGGGCAGGCGGCACGCCGTCGCCCGGGTGCGCTCGGGCGCAGGAGTGCGCCTCGGCATCGAAATAACAAGGAAAACGGCGTGTCGCTGGCGGCGCGCAGATCTGCCATTGTACGCGGATCGTGTGAAGGTGTCGCGCCTGTACTTGAGCTGCGACCATTGTCTTCCCAAATAGGAAGGTGTCGTGGTTCGGAGGTCTGCCCGCCGCGGGGCTTTGCTGGGAGAGTGTCGCCCCTGAGCGGGACGTCGCAACCAGACGCAACCTCAGCTGAGGACACAGAAAATGAAGGTGACCGAAGAACCGCGAATCTTCGTAAAGCGGGTCCTTGACGGACTCGCGTTCCCGCGCACTTGAGCCTGGATCGTGCCTCATATGTACGAATCGAGGGTTGTCACACCAGGGCCGGCCAACAACTGTAAGTGATGTTTGGGGTGCCGCCAAATCCCTCCCGGCGCTTCCCGGCATTGTCCGCGCGGATAGCCTGGACCTTGCACAGGCTGTCTCTGAGATCTGAGGCCTGTAGGGCCCGGCCCAGACTGACGGAGGGACGAGAACTCGGCCCCACCTCGCAACGCCACTGCTAGGTTTCGGAACGGCTTGTACGAATACTCGCATTGGGGGAAAAACTGACCTGTGGATTCGTAAGGATCAATGATGGATTTGAGCATGCTTACAAGCGGCAAACGTTGACAAGGTCATGTCTCAGACACGCAACGGCGAGCACAAGGAGCTGCTAAGTCCCGAGAATGATGCCATGCATGGGTGAGCGCGCGCGCGACCGGATTCCAAGCCGTTCCATGCCCATGATGCAGCAGGACACAACGAGCGAGGAAATACAATTCCCCGTCCGCCCCAGGACCAATTCGACGACTCCTCCGAGGGCCGCCTCCAACGCACCCTAAATCCACGCCGCCACTGCCCCGACGGGATATCCCGACGCAGCGCAACCAAGCGGTCGCGCAGCCCATCACCACGACTTTGACGTGCTTCCACCCTGATCTGTGGCCGCCCCGCAGAGCGGTTGCGCCCATCACGCTGAATTTACGCCATCAATAGCGCCCGAGCCAGCACGAGAACTGTGTTATACACGCATGGAATCCACGCACCGCGCACACCCATCCAGGCTGGAAGTGGAGCGGGAGTACTTGAAGGGTGCACGGCCGCTGTTAGATTAAATAAGTGACTGGATCGGTCCGTGTCGCAAATGGAGGTGAACCATTCATTTGTCGACGCCATGTATGACGATCGCGTCAGGCATTATTCAGTGTTCACGTCACGTATGTACATGGTGTACACCACGACCGCTCGCACACCCCACAACCTGCATGAATTTCATCAGTCAGCGTAGCCGAAATCATGACCTCGACAACGGATCCGCGCCCAAACCTTCGGTGAAGGGATTTGAGCGAGGTCCAAATCAAGGATACACGAAATAAACTTACGGCCGTTCCGAGTCCCCATTTATTAGAGATGCCATCTGCGCTGGATAGGGAGTCGAGAGCGACGCATCAAGATAAATAAGATCCAGGCTAGGGAAATTCAGTCTCATCCCCGAAAATACGTCCCGCGTCCCACGGGTGCCACACGGCACACGACGCACAAGAGAACGACCCCGCGGATGCTGACGTTCGGGCGTCCGAGCCGCAGCATCTCCCCCGGGTGGATGCAAATTGGCAATCAATTGCAACATAAACGAGTCGGCCGGGACGTTGCCGAGCGAGACGTCGATTTCTCACAGCCAAGGGATCCATCTGGATCATGACGGGCAACGCATCTATTGGCCGCGGAAAGCCAAAAACGAAGTACAGATCCTTTGTAAAATTTACACGCATGCACCTGACCTGCGGATGCAGAGCGCAACGTGACCGTTGGCATGAGATGCGCCTTACGACGCGTACATGACGTGATGAGGCTCACGCCCGCGCGTGAACACTAAGAATAGCACTAGAATAGACAGAGCTATGCACCGCGACGCAACTCGCCGTCACGCAGCCTTCGCGCGAATGGAACGTTGGATAGAGAAGAGGGGACCGCTCACCGCTGCTTCAATTCTGGGGTTACTGGTTGTGTGAAGGAGGGCGCACGAGCCTCGGGGGACGTAGGAGAAAGCGCAAACCCCGCATGCACGTGCGCACACAAGGCTGCGCGCTCGCAGACCCCAGACGTCGACGGGCGGAACGGCGTCACTGTCGATCATGTAGCATGTGCACGCGCTTCATAAGCCTGAAATATCTGGCCACTCGAGGAGCTCGTGAAGTTGGGGTGCTGTGGGGATCAGAGGTAAGCGCTGCGGAGGCCATCTTTGGGCATGGAACGGCACGGCCGTCGGACTGCAAAGGGCGTCACGCCGATGTCACAGGTTTATCACCGACGTCCGCCGAGGATGTTTGCGCTGGATAGCGGGGTTGCCTCTGCCTGTTATGAAGCTGGTGAGGAAGCACCTGGAAGGGCAAAGACGAGGGAAAAGAAGGACGAAGATTTGATATTCGACGAGTCTAGGTGCGGCGAGCTTGATTCGTGAGCTTGAGAGGCCGAATCCTGCCTGCCATACAGTGCGAGCACGGGGCCTGGAAGTGCGAGAGCTTTCGATGCCCTGACGGGCTATGCATGGCGGGGAAACGCGGAAAGGCGGGTGGAGAACGCGTATTAGAACCTGGGTCGACTGCGCGAGTTCTCAAGACAAGAGTCGCACGAGTACCGCATCGGTGATCCATCTGTTACGGGGTATTTCATTGTGCAAGTGCCAGTAGGGCCACAAATACACAGGCTAAACATAGCTTGCACACAAAACAAGCTCTGAGATGTCCTCATACGAAGACGATAAGAAAACGTACTTGACCGAGCAGTCGCGACCGATAAGCTCACGGCTCAAGGGGCTACTGACGCCGTAGCACTATCGGGTCACGATAGCGCGCAAAAATACGAGCGTCGCTTCTCAACAGAGAGAGATAACGCGGATGTGACTGGTCGTGTTGGACGGACTGAGCGATAGGCGGAGGCTCGGGACAAAGGGCGGCTGGTAGCGTCTCCGAGGGAATGATGCTGTAAGAGAGACCGGGACGAGATCCATTGATGGGAGTCGAGGGCGCTTCCCACCGGAGATGTATTCGGATGGCTTCATGGAAGGCGCGAACGGCGCAAGGGAGCGAGAGGCGCGCGTGCGAGGATTGCGAGCGCGGTGGCGGATTGCGAGCACGTTCGCGCGCGACGGGGTGGCGCGATGGTGCGAGTGTGAAAACGAGTCAGGCATGGCAGACGCGATCGGGGCAAATGCCAAGTGCGAGTGCGCATCACCGGCATGGCGTTACGGTGCAAACGTCGAATGGCGGCATGGCTCGGACCAGATGGCCGAACGTGATGGAATGCATCGGAATGGCATGGAAGGGGACTGTGGGGGTAATTGGGACCGGTGGATCGTGCTCGCACGCAGGACGACCGATGCGGCAGCCGGTAGAGTGGGAGCAGTGCCGGCGGGGAAACGTTTGAATGCAGGCAGCAACGGTTCTGCGCGACGGTTATGGACAACAAAAAGACGGGGGTCTGATGGAGGACATGTGGGAGCGCGTCGTCGAACGTGGATATGAGGAAGTGACAGGCGTGACGGCGAGCGACGGCAGATCGCCGGGGCGATCTGGAGGGGCGGCTGGGTGAGACGATGGATTACGTAGATACGAAGAGAGAAGAAGGAGGACAAACAAGGGCGCGTGTGCGCGCAGGGGTCGCGTCGGGCGGGTGCAAGTAACGAGGGAAGGTGACGGGGAGGTGGGCAGTCGGCGCGTCGGCCGGAGCGTGACGCCAAAGAGGCCGACGCGGGCTGACGAACGTGACGGCCCAAAGGAGTCATCGCTCATTTGGGCCAGTCATCGCCTGCACTCACACCATTTCACGACAGACCCTCGACAGCCGTATATAACCCCCTCCTCTCGTTTCCTCCCCTCTCCCATCCTCCCCATCCTCCTCCTTGCCCGCCCTCGATGTTCCAAGAAGACTGCTGCCTCCAATGCGGCAACCCCGTCCTGGCGGAAGGGTACGTCCTCCTCACTTCTGCCCACACCCCATGACCTGCCCGCATGGCTCACTCCATTACGTCCCTTTTTAGCCGCATCTACTGCAGTGACGAATGCGAGAGTTTGGACACAAGCTCACCCTCTATATCAACCGCCTCTTCCGCATTCTCTTCCCCCCACCTCGACGGATACGACATGCCCGGTGCGCATGACGTTCCCGCTCTCGTTCCCTCCGCTCTCGGTGCAGCCTTGTCCTTCAACCACCAAAAGCACCACTACCCTCTCTCGTCTTCCAAGTCCTCGCTCGTTTGGTACGAGGACGACGACAGCGACAGCCTCGTAATTGCTCTGGACGACGAGGACAGTGATCTCGGCTTCAAGTCCACTCGTGCCGCGCCGTTGGCCATTCGTCCGACCGGCCTCTCTTACGCTCGGCGACCATCGTCGACCAACAACCACTCCACCATTCCCCTCCTCCACCGTCGTACTTCCTCCGGTAACCACTCCCTAGGCACGGCTTACAGCATGACCTCTACTCGATCCTCGACGGAGGATTCAGACGGGCCCGTCCCTACTTCACTGCGTAGCTTGCACGCTCGTTCCCCTCACGGACACCGCCGTCACCCTTCCGCTACCGACGCGCACCAAGAGACCATTACGGCCAAACGTAAACACAAACGTCTCTCAATGCCTGCATACTTTTCTCTTTTGCAGCACGGCTCCCTCCTCACGCAGACCTCGACATCCGCCCAGTCTCCTACCTCGTTTATTACCACGCGCCCTTCGCCCACCACTCCCCGCCTTGCAGGTCCCGCACTTGACCACACGCACGCATTGGCCGTGTCCTCGCCATCGAGTGGGATGCATTACTCCCAGAACCACAACACGTCCCTGCTCGCGAGCGTGCACACCACAGACGAAAGTCATATCCGCGAGAGCTTTGGCGCAGGCCTGACGCCGCCTCGTGGGCGCCGCCGGGAACCCGGTACCTCTCGGCGACGCACCTGCAGCCGTTCGCCCTCCCCTTCGCCGTCCCGCGCTCGCAGGGCGCTGTCTCCGCCTTTGCTCCTGAAGGAGGAACCGGCTTCTGAGGTCCGAGGCCGGAGACGTGTGAATGAGCTGGACGGTTGGGGTGAGGACAAGATTTTCGGGTTTGGGAACGGGCGGAGCGGACTGAAGGAGCGAGAGCGTGGACGTGGGAGGCAACGTTAGGCTGGAGGTGCTCAAAACGGTTTGCGCAACAAGCTGCGCTCGATCCTTAGAGCTCGTGCTTGCGCGCCCATGCTCTATGCACTCCCATCATACCTCTCGCTTTCGTCCATGGCTCTCCTCTTTGCTGTTCACACGCTCTGTATGTTCTCGCTTCCAGGTCTTCGTCTCGCTTTGCATATTCATCCACGACGTCTCTGTCGCCATATTCCCCACTCACGACCAAAATCGACCCACGACCTCTCCATTCGCATCGTCCTCATCCCACTCGCCTTCTTCCATTTATTGTCGCTCAGTTATCCATCCGCCATGCGACGTTTCTCACTTCGGCATCATTTGCGCATACTTATCTATTCGGCATTCAACGTACCCATCAAGGTCAACCCAACTCAAACCTATTTAAATCACCTCGCTCGCCTTGCCGCGTACGACTAATGAGACCTGGCGCTTGGAACGCTACGGTCGCGAAGTGGGGGGATTGGCGGCACGCAGGGGAGTTGAGGAGGAAAAGCGGTCTTCGCACCGCGCCCCAAAAAACTCGGAAAGGAAAGATTCGGAAGGAATAAAAGCAGAAGTATCTCTTGCATATACAGTAGCCCCGTTTTTTTTCGTCGTCTTACGCATACTCATCTCAATTGACACCCATTCGTATCGAAGTATATATCATGCATGCCATTGCCTGTCCTGTCTCGTCTCTTTTTTTTTTTACGCGGCGTTGCCTGTGGGCGCCGTCAGCGGCTGTTTCGATCTCTCTTATCTTTTTACACGAGGTTTCTTCCTCTTTCTCACCGGTGTATTCGCTGGCTAGCCGATCGTGCGTCTGGCGCCGTTCTTGTTTCTCTTCGATCTCGCTCGCTGTCTTGGATTACCTACCTATGTTGCACTCTCCTTGCCCTCTCGCGCCTCTGCGCCCACTCACTCACTCACTCACTCACACGGTAAGTTTAGATGATATACGCGCCGGGTGTACATGCCCTGGGCAATTATACGCTCACGCTGCGAGAATATGATTACATCTGCCATTGCATCGTGCGTGGGGCGAAGATTGTTTTTAGACCTGTCGTCTGACTTCGGGCCGTGTATCTGAGGCACCATGCACATAGGGTCCTCGGCGCCTAGTGCTGAGCGCTGAGCGCACGCACGCATCATCGACGGGCGTCTGGAACAGCTGTTGCCTGTGCGTCACCAACGTGTGTGCAGACATCAGAGCTGTCCTGCGGGCCCAACATCCGTGTGCAGGCCCAGGAACGCTGTATTGTCGGAGACCGTCGGTCGGTCGATCTCCGTCCGATGCTTCTCAGGCCCTGAAGCTCCGAATCCGAAGGAAGCCTGGAAGGAGGACTGGCCATGTATTATTACATACATGATGGGGCTGGGGTCGTCCGAGCGAGGGTCAGATGATGCGGGGTACGCGTTTGTCGGGAAACATGGCGTAGGCTAAAATCTGGGGAAGGGTAAATTGAATGAGATTGGATATGGCTAGGTATGGCTGCTCTGGGTTAGTCTCTGTTCATTTGGAGATTTGGAGGCGTTCAGAGAGCCGTCGAGGGCCTTGGCGGCCGTCTGGACATATTCAGGGTTTAGAGGTGTTTGCTTAGTAGTTTTGTTTTGTGTCAGGGGATCGCCGGTTGGGGATGGTGGAGGAAGGCGGCGTCAGTCTCGAGTTGGCTTAGGTATGTATGGAGCGGAGCGCCACGCGATACTAAACTCGCGATGCACCTTCCAAGTGTTGAGTTGGCACGCTCGGAGGCCTCGTCTTAGCCTCTCGAGGCTTCATTTCGCACCCCACCCCCATCCCCCCACCCCTCTTTCTCCGATATCTTTTGCCCTCTTTCGACCGAAAGCGGCTGCGTCGTTCCTGCTCGGGAATGGAATCATGGGTCCCCGAGCCTGGGCGCGTCCAGCCGCCAGCCAGCGTAGCTTGGAAGGCTAACTTGCACCGTGTGACTGATTCTATTGCCAGTAGGCTTCTTAACTAGCAGCACGATCATGTATCAATCGCAGCGGCGTGCACGTCTAAGTAGCACAGACGCGCAGGTTGGCCGAGGCAAGTGCTGCGTATCAGCTGCTCTCAGCCCTTCTCAGCCGCATTACGCTCGCTGGTCTCGTTTGCTGGCGTATCAGGGCGTGACTGGCTCATTGATGCATGTTTCATGATTGTGGAGGGCGGAGCGCACAGCTCCTTTGTAAGAATACTCGATGAGGACATGCAGCACGGGATGTGCGCAGATCAATCACGCAGCTTTGCAGTAGCTTCGCAAGTGCTTCGTAGCGAGCGCTCAACGAGAACCGTGACTACATAATCGTAGACACATGTATGTTTTTGTTTTAGTTTATCATATTGCGGCTTTCATTAACTTATCATTTGTGGCTCACAGGCTGTGCGGCAGCCCTGCGTTCATTTGAAGCTTGGCTGCGAGTTATCTGCCTTCTGAGCCTTTTTTGTTCTGATAGACCACTACCTGAGCAGTTCCATTGTCTTGCTCCGGAACGCTGCGAGAAATCGCTGGCCATCGATCACACCATAATTGCATTGTCTTCCCTTTCTCTTATTATGAGTTAGTGGCCCACCCGCGGCGTATATCATCTGTTCAACGACTGTACGTGCTCAACAGCGCTGTGCAACTGCTAATCACCCACAGCACACACCCCGCACATCTATCACTGACGTTTGCGTTAGCTCACCTATGGATATCGAGATTTTTTACATCCACCGCGACGCCACCCACTTCGAGGTGGTCAAGGCCATCGAGGAGGTCTTGCATGGACGCGACTTGTTCGACCGTGATGACCCAAAAACGAAGGGCAGGCCGCACAACTTCCAAATTCGTCTCAATCCAAACACTGCCGGCGGCATCGGGAACGATGGCACGGGCGTCTTGACCGTGGCACCTCGGGAGGTCGGCTTCAAGTTCCTTCAGTGGCTACGTGAGGACAAGTCGCACATCGTTCGCGTGCTGGAGAAGAAAATGTATTTCGCAAGACTCGAGCAGCCTCCGTACAAGGACATCGCGCAGACCTTGGAGAGATCTGTCTACGTTGGCCCCGAGAAGCAGTTGGAGCGCGAGGAGATTTTGAGAAAGCTCGACCAGGTGCTGCGCGTCGCGAAGGTGCAATTTGGCATCTGGTTCAAAGAGGATGATTTGCCGGATACTGCTCGTTCTTTTTCCATCGAGTATGAACGCGACCTCGTCAAAAGCAGTGCCGGGCTCCTTGATCTTGTGTATGACCGGAAGATGGTTCGCATTGAGGTGATCTTGTTTCCATTCGAACAATGACTTGTAACATGCGCTCACAACCAGCCCCAGATGGGCGAAAGCATGACCGAGGAACAATGCATCGACATTTTAATCAAGTTTTCCAACATTAAAAAGATCGGATTAGTCCTCGATAGCGTGCAGGGTCCAGAGGGGGCCACAAAACGAGCAGGTCGGTCTGGCTTCATCAACGTGGTGTCGTTTGCTCACTCACCCCTCCAGCCGTCATCTTTGATATGCTGACCCCTCCTATATTGGAGGAGAGGAGCTTCAACAACCGCCCTCGAGAGGGCATTCAACGTAGGCAACGTAAGGATAGGGATCGAATTCCACACCTTGACGAGTCGCACAAAAGAGTCGCGCCGTACGCTCATCAGCTGCGGGTTATACTCTACGACTACAAAGACATTTTGCGGTTTGAGCAGATGTGCCGTGACGCACAATGCCAGCCTCAGCCCGTCAGGATTGGAAAAATCAAGGCCTTCTGGCGTGGGTTCTTCGCTGAGCCACAGGTCCACCGGCTTTATAAGTGGGTCAGCACGATGCCCTGGGCGGTCGCCTTCCAGGTCGAGGCTCTACTGCGCAACGGACTGGTTAACACCAGAGAGCTACTTGACTTGCAGCGGCCGATCGATGCCATCGTCGCGCAGCACGGCAGCCAGGCGAACGAGATCCTTCGCCAGTACTCGGTCGCACTGCGCATGCGCAAGCCTCACGAGAATCCGCTGCAGTGCTTCGAGCGCGCCTGCACAGAGGACGTGGAGCCGATGAAGCTCTCGGGTAGCACGTTCGCGTGCCACCATGTCACGTTCACGCCGACCCGGCTGCTCCTCGAGGGCCCGTACGTGATGCAGTCCAACAGCGTCATCCGCAAGTACCCTCCGGAGTTTGCGGAGAACTTCATCAGAGTTGATTTCAAGGACGAGGACCGGCTCTCGTACCGTTTCGAGGGGAAGGTGGACGCCACCTGGTTCTTGCAGGTGCGGGTGGGCGACGCGTTGAAGAAAGGGTTCGAGCTCGCCGGCCGGCGGTTCGAGTTTCTCGGCTATTCGACCTCCGCGCTGCGCGAGCACGCGGTCTGGTTTGTCGCTCCGTTCGAGTATCCCAAGGGTCAGCTCGTCACCGCGGAGACGATCCGGCAGTCGCTGGGCGACTTCAGCGGCGTGATCAGGCAGCCATCGAAGTACGCCGCGCGCCTCGCGCAGGCGTTCACGGCCACCGAGACTTCGGTGGAGATCATCCTGCCGGACCAGCTGGACGATGACATGCCCGACTTGGGAAAGGAGCCGTACATACACACGGATGGTGTAGGTACAATCTCACCGGAGCTGGGTGATATGATATGGCAGGCGCTTTGTCGCGAGCGCAAGCACATGAGTAGCAGAAGCGTAAAGCCGTCGGCGGTGAGGACTTCCTCTCTCTGCGCGTTAAACAATGCCCACTTACTTCTTGCTCGGTTTAGTATCAAATACGGTTCATGGGGTACAAAGGTGTCGTTGTCGTCGATGATCGCCTGAAGGGCATCAAGATGCGCCTCAGGAAATCGATGAAGAAGTTCGTCGTTCCCGGTCAAAGTAGAGCAAAGATTGAGATAGCCAGGGATTTCAACAGTCCGAACTTTTGTTACTTCAACCGGTATGTCATCTGTCATCTGCAGCAGCCGATGGGATGCTGAACATACTGCCAGGCCCATCGTCATGACTCTTGAGGATCGGGAGGTTCGTTTGCAAGCGTTCCTCGATCTCCAGGAGAAAGCAAAAGCGTCTGTGTACATGGCCAGCGATTCGTTGGCAAATTTCCGTCAGCTGTTGCGAGATACCGGCTTGGGAGCGAAATTTCGGCTGCCCTTTATCCTGGAGCAACTGGAAAAACTCGATCTCGATTTCAAAGCGACGAAAAAGACCAAGGCCATTGACAATCCTTTCCTCGATCGGTTGGTCAGGTATACCACGACCCATGCTTTGCGAGACATGAAGTATCGTGCTCGCATCCGCATTCCAAACAGCTACCTGCTTGTTGGTGTGGCCGATGAAGGGCAGGCGTATATTCAAGAAGGTCTCGATCCAGAATCTGTGCTCACTTTGGAACAAGGCCAAATATTTGGTGAGCAGATATCTGCCGATACGCCAACCTAGCCATATCTGAATGTCGTTTGCCAGCTTGTGTTCAGGAGTCCCCTGACCTAGAGCCAAAATGGCTGAAGGGATGGTGTGTCCTTTCTAGAAGCCCAGTCGTACACCCAGGTGACGGTGAGTGTCCACATTTCTCACGGGGGCATCCCAGCTCCTAAACATGACTGCATTTTGCACAGTTCAGAGAGTTTGGGCCGTTGGGCAACCGCCGGAAGGAAAAGTTTGCTTTTATCGAAATCTTAAGAATGTGGTAGTGTTTCCGGCTGTGGGTATGTTGGTTTTTGTCGAGAAAAAAATATGCAGATCTCTCATGTCGGTTTGCAGGCGAACGATCCCTAGCATCATGCCTCGGTGGAGGCGATCTGGACGGGTGAGTCTTGCGAAATCAGTCGAGATATCTATTTATCCTGAGATCCTGGTCAGGGATCTCTACGACGTCTATGCAGAGAATCCGAGATTGCTCCCCACTCTCGAAACCGACTCTGCCACCTATCTCAGCGCGGGCACTCGCACAATCGATCGGGACAGCACAGTCGACGATATTTGTGATTTCGTGGTCGAGTACATCAATTCTGACGTGCTGGTGCGTGTTAATAGAAGCGGATGGTGCGCTGCGATTATTGACACTCATCCGGTAGGCCTTCTTGGCGACTAGACATCTAATTATTGCAGGTCAGTGCGAACTAAAAGCTTCCATTCGTATTTCTGCTGATACCAGTGCTATCAAAAAGATCAGTCTATGGCGAGTGTTTACCCTTGCACTCGATGTTCATGTGGTCCTAACTGCCCTCCAGGAAGGCACGTATGACAAGCGTTGCATGGACCTTGCCCAGCTCTGCTCGCAGGCGGTCGACTACATGAAGAACGGAATCGCCGTCGACGTCGACAAGACAGGTATACCTCGTCCCACCATGAAGTTTAAGCCCGACTGGACGAAAGCAGAAATTACCGGCGCGCGCGAAGCCGACTACTACGAGTCGCAGCGCGCGCTCGGGCACTTGTACCGTAACATCGAACTTCAGGACCCAAAGGCTCTCGATAGCAACAACCCCGCGAAGACTAGTAAGCGATATCCTCCGCTGTCGGATCCTATCTCGCGTGCGCTGCGGCCGCTGGTTCAGCGTGTCCTTGCGCGCGACTACAGCGCGCCGGACGGGACGTCTCAGCGGGTCGCGACCACGTTCGCGCGATATGCACGGGAGCTGCAGTATATCATCGTGACACACACACTGAGCGATGCGCCGGATGTGCGGCTGATGGAGGAAGAGATCGTCGTCGGCACCATTCTCGCGAACTGCACGGAGAACAGGTGGCGTAAGGATAGGATGTATCGGATGCGGCTGCACGCGGAGACACTCGTCAGGGATATACGGCGCCGTGTGCAGCCCGATGGCATGAAGGTCGGCATGGGCGAGGGCGAGGCCACAGAGCAAACAAGCAACGAGGATTGGATCGCGGCGCTAGGGAACGCGTGGGAGGCATGGGACTGGAGTCTGAGAAACGAGAGGATGGAAGGGGCGAGGAGCTTCGGGTTGATCATGTTGGGCCTTGTGTTGGACTGCCTACAAAAGCTGGACGCCTTGCCCTTGACGAAATCTCCCGAGTCCCCATAAACACTGCAAGTGTGTTCTTTATTTCGCACTCGTAACATTTTGCATCATGAAATACTGGACTATTCCTTGAGTATCTGCGCTCCCTTTACACGAGATGCCGAATGACATCAATTGTGAGTAAATTCTCTTTGCCGCTGTTCGCCATCGTTGAAGAACCGTTGAAGTGACGAAGTCATTCGTCCCACATGGCCCCGGCAGTTCTCTACTACGTCCTTTCAGCCATCATTAGAAGTTATTCCTCAAATGACGCGCTTCTGGCTTTGGTGTCGCCTCATTCGCCAAAGTAATGAACGCTGGGGACGGCTCTATGGTGGCATGTACATCAAGATGAGCGTCCTCATTCGCCCCACAGAAGGCCGCGTAATCGAATCTGTACGCAAACATACCAACGTTCCAGTCCCCGTCGTAATCGACAACTTCGCCATCGACGGCGCGACTGTCCTCATCCTTTCGCGCCTTCCCGGGGAGTCCTTGCCCGAGACTACCGCATGTTGTCGCACACCCAGCTGTCGACGCTGAGCCGAGCTATCTACCATCCTCGCCGACCTTCGTAGTCTGCCAGCGCCGTCCAAGCGGGTCAGCGGAATCGACGACACGCCGCTCTACTGCGAGCGCCTATCGCACGGCACACGCAGGGGCCTTTCAGATCTGTCGAGGAGTTTCATGGCCAGCTCATTGCACGGGCTTGCTCGGAGTGGCCCGAAGATCAGTCGGACTTGATATGGCACAAAATTCGCCAGGTGCATCCGCGGCCCCATCGAATGGTGCTCACCTACAATGACCTGGGCCCTCATAACATTCTCGTCGACAACAATCTCCACATCACTAGAATCGTAGACTGGGAGGTGGCTGGCTGCCTCCCTGAATATTGGTGCGTCCTTTGATTTGATCGATAGTCTTTTTCATACCAATGACATCGTTGGTACAGGGAGTTCACGAAGGCCACGTATCTTCCTGTCTATTGTATTCCCCAGGGAAACTGGCTTGCCTTGATGTTACAAGTGTTCCCGCAGTATTCGGACGAGCGTGAGGCCGAAAGGTATCTATGGAAATATCGCCTGCGCTACATCTAGCTTTCCTAGCATCTGGAATACTGGTATCTTCCACTGTTTCATCTCGTATGCTTCCACAGTGCTTGCTGTCCAGGACAAGACATACTTGAACAGAAAGGCCTTTTCGTTCGGATTATCCTCTTCTACGCATCCGCCGAGTTCAATGCACTTGTCCAGGGAGTGCTTCATGTGAGAAAGGATATTTTTAGTGCTCATATACATGAGTACAGTTGCATATCATCGTTCTGTCTGCAGCCCAGAGTTGCATGATGATATCCCAGGAAATAACCTCTGGAAAATACGAGATTCAGTTACACATACCTCTTTTCATGTTCGAACGAGAGCGACCCTCATCGCCGTAAGAAATCTAGCCAGCGGTACTATATTATCCGCATGACGACTGTTGCGTCTACTACTAGTTCATCACGTTATCTCTCGACGCGTCTGATTGCCCCTGTGTTAGGGTTAGGACTTCCCTTGCCAAAGTTCGAACCATGATTACACCTGGTTATCCTCTCTACTCTGCAGGGTGTGTGACTCACTATTTGGTTTCGGGCGAATCTATGTTTTGACACACCGTGCACTCGTTCAGTTGTAGGTACCATGAGGTTTCTTTCCCCATGGATTCGGTTCACCCGCTTTCCTGTCGCTCTTCGTCTCCCTCGAGTGAAGGTGCTGGCTGCATCCCTGTCGACACTACCTGCATCCGAGAGTCTATCACCTACGCCTTCTACGGGAGCATTTAAATTTGTGAAAGTATGTTTAACATTTACTTGAACCGCTTTCTATTAAAAACACCCACCGGCTTCCAAAGATTGTGCGCCCTATTAGAGTTTTCCGTCATTTCGAAACTTTGGATCAACACCGTCTTCGATCCTCTGATTTCGTGAAGCTCGACAAGATGTGTCCCATCTGCCGGGTTCAGAACACCGAACAAGGCATCCCTCTGTACAGCAAAAGAATGATAATCATCTACGGGTCACGCCACAAGTATCAGCCGTTTCCCCCGGAAACCAAAGGATTTTTCTACTACTGGGCGAACCCAGAGACACCTGTTGATGGCCAAGTCCGCTTCCGTGTCACTCGAGACGGTGATCCTTCTAGCTTTACCACCGGTTTCGACCTTCTTGGGTTGGACGGCCTCCCGTGGTGTATCACACTTTTCCAGGCATTGAACATGGCGAAGTACAGTCCTTTGGGCGAACTACTTCTCAAGGAAAATCTGGTCACTAAAGAGATCGCGGAACAAGCGTGTTCTCTGCGTACGCGTCTTAAACAGTCGGCCATCGAGCACTTGAGGTCAAAACGAATCCGCCCGGTCCTGAAACTTGGCCAGGTATTCTCTCTACATCTTGCGAGCTCCTCATTCACCATTTGGACCGATCGTGAAGACGCCGCCTCCAAGACCACGCGTAACTCTCCATGGACATTTAAGGCTATCAATCCCAAGACGCAGCGACAATGTTTACAAAATGCTTTCGATGCAGGTATCTCGAGCCTCCGAGACGAGTTCTCGAGCGTACGCTGACACAGTGGCCCGCAGGCATTATTCATGTTTGCTTCGAACGCTCGCCCTTACCATCGCACGCTGGCAAGCGGTATCTAGCCCTGCGCGTCGTGAAGATCGCAGAGCCTATCCAGATGAAACCCTATGATCAGATTAATGGGACAAGGCCAATACCTCCCCTACGCGAAGGAGAACTAATCACACGGGTTAGCAATAGGCTGTGGACGATAGACTGCGAAACCTCGAGCAAGAAGCGTATCGCATTCGGACGGCTGTTTGACGACGAGATGCCTGATGAAGGGGCAGCTGCAAAGGAGGAGCGGTCGCAGTGACCTCACATCCTCACCATCTCTTCAGAATGTGCGTAAACCTTCGTTCAATCATGGGAGGCAGGCTCGAATATCTTATCCTTCCGTTACAGTGTACCATTTGACTAGCGTTCGGCCACTTATCTGCCTCGGTACATCGGTATGTGATGGCTAATCCATATCACATTTTGGAGACGGCTACCGGGGTATTCGTGCATGAATTGAGCATATTCTATACGTTCGTGTTGCGGGTGCATAGAAACAACTCCGCAGTGATTCTCCTAATGCTTGCATCTGTACGCAGGGACGGAATGGATATAAATCTTGATGTTCAGATGAATCATACCAACCAGCGGGGGCGAATAAAAGACAGTTGGTCTTTCCACTGATCCTTGTTGTCGATTCACACACTCGCTCTGTTGTAAGCCCTGTACCTTGAGGTTGAAAACCAGGCTGTGCCAAATGCGCTCGCGCCTCAAACACATGCTCTGAGAAGGATACTGGGGACAATAGTTTCGACGCGTATCGTACAACACCGCTAAACATATCACGGTCAAATGATTTGAGAGGGTAGCAAGTATATGTGGGCCATTCCAAGTGTGGCGAATGACTAGAGAGAAAACACGGATCACATCTTCTCCTTCTCACCACGACCCGGCATGAATTTCGTGTGCTAGCATAACACATGAAGGATAAGTACGGCGACACGACCAAGCAGATGATTGCAGCTTACCAGCGATTAGAAACATCCGCCCTGTTCGTTGCTGGCACCGCAACATTCGATGAAGTCGCCTGTCTGATCCGTCATGCAGCCATAATTGACGGGGGTCCCTTGGACTCGAGCGCAGCAGCTCCCAGTAGTGTCCCTGTCAACATCGTTGGTGAAGATGTCCTTGCACTGGCAAGTCGGGGCATCGGCAGCGCGCGCTGCGCTGTGTACCGTCGAGCGAGGTTAACGATACGGACAGAAAGCCATGATGTGTAGCTCACATGGAATCTCCAGCTAAGCCCGCAGCGCCCACAGGGGAGACTGCGAACAGCGAGAGCCCCAGAAGGAGCATCGTGGAGAAGGACACGAAGAAGCGAGTCATGGTCGTTCGAGCTGTAGAGATGCAGTAGAGAGACGACGGGGGTTTGTGAGAGTCAACGCTCAAGATTCTGCGGTATTTAACTAGATGCGCAGCTTGGAGAGGCTGCCCATAGACATATACGTCGTCCCCTTGAATGGACGATGCTGCCAGGTGACCGAGCATGAGGCATGTGCATTGGGACCGAACGCTCCAACGCCCCGCCTGTCTTTGGCAGCTCCGCAGAGATCAAGACGGTGTTGACAGCGTGGAACGTTCACGTTAGCACCGACGGCCCCAATGCCCTCGTTTTTTTAAGGAAACCCCGCAGAGATCAGGACGGCGCTGACAAGCAAATGGAGACGCGCATGGAGAGGCGGCGTCAGGCGAAGAAAACGATGGGCGGTTCAACGGCAAGGTGGTTACTCGAGAAGGCAACTCTCGCCTGAGGTCCATGCTTGCGTGGATCGAGGAAATGGCGAGGCCGACCGGCGATGATGCGTCGGTGTGGTGGTGGGCGGGATGCCCCGCCCGGCTGTCAAGATGACGTCCGAGGGGGTCGTCAGATGATGCACAGCAACGGAGCTCAAACGCCTTCGCTGTCCTCGAGTCGAGTTTCACCAGTTCGAGGAATTCCTCTCGCAAGGGGCCAGGATCCGAAATTCCCAGCCACATAGGAGGATATAGCCTTTCCGAACTCGAAAACCTCAACCGACTTCATACTCGCAAGTCTTTGGGGGTCTATGCTTCTAGCCAGACGAAGAGCATATTTTTACTACGCAGATTCCTGAACATGGATCCGAGAGGTCGAGGGGCGTCCTGATCAAGCGAGAGGACGGCTGAGGATGGTCGTCGAAGATCGCTGCCCACGAATCATGTGTGCTCTTTGGCCGGATTGTGCGATGTGTATGACCATCGACGGAAATGAGTCCACAGCATAGGACCGAAGAGTAATTGTCCACATCACCTCGACTCTGCATTCTGTGCATCCGCGACGCTAGTACGACGTACGTACGTCAAGCGAGCATAGTAGAGGATGCAGCCGCGAGCAAACAAGTACTGGGCCCGTGAGAACTGGCCGTACCGTACCGTAGATATCGCACAGCTAGCCCCCGCATCATTGACACCGACACCTCGACCCCGACTCAACAACTTGCTGTCCGTTTTTATTCACCAGAGCGACGGGCGCTCCGTTCCCACCACAAAAGACGACGGTAGGTAGGTAATACGAGTACATCGACAACAGACACAGACACACGAAAGCGCGGGGGAGAGGAAGAGGGTGACTACCAAATACACTGAAAGACGGCCGGGGCTCCTCTATTGCGGGGGATGCAGAGAGACATGAGTAAGTAAGTAAGTGGGCGCGCGGCGGCAAGACGCGACGCCGCGCGCAAGATACAAAAGGGCACAGGAGCAACAACAACAAAAAACCAAAGAGGAAGCAACGACGACCGAGCGCACGCACGCAAGACCCGGGAATACACACACCGTCCCATGTCCACGTGGCATCCCAGGATCCCGAGCAGACGCGCGCGCGTGCGCGCAACCTACTTTTTGCTCCGCTTCGGCGGCGGCTCCGCCGCGAGCAGCGGTAGCTCCTGCGCGAGCTCTGCGACGTCCGACGGGCGCTTCCGCGCCGCCGCCCCTGCCGCCTTCGCCGCCTTGTCGTCCACGGTGCGCAGCACGGGCGACGCGCCGTCCGACGCGGACACGACCTCGTCCAAGAACGCGTGCAGTTGCTCCAGCGGCGCGTCGTCCGCACCGCCCGCGGGCACGATCCCGTCGAGGTCCGCTGCGCCGTCCAGTGGGAGGTCGAGCGGGAGGTCGGCGCCGGGCGCATCTGGCGCGTGCTGCGCGAACTGCTGCAGGAAGGCGTCAAAGTCGAAGTCCGGCGCGTCCATCGCGGACGGGCCCTCGGCGTGCGGCGGCGACGACGGCGGTGGCTGCTGCTGCGACTGCTGGTGCTGGTGACCGTGCTGCTGCTGCTGCTGGTCGTCTGCGGCGGTCATGAGGCTCGGGTCGAGGCCGAGGTGGTCCATGAGCGAGTTGATGCTCGCTTGGATGGCGTCGACGTCTGCCTCGATCTCGGACGAGTCCTTGTAGCTTTTTTGGAGGTGCGCGGTGTTGTTGATGAGCGGCTCGAGCAGGGGCCCGTCGTCGGCCTTGGGGAGGAGGGCGTGCATGTTGGCGGACGCGCTGGGGTCGGGCACGAAGTAGTTGAAGTCCAGCGGAGGCTCGTACGGCGTGATCTGCGAGTGGTGCGGGGCGGTGGTGTAGGGCGGGACGGGCAGCGACTGCGACTGGAGGTTCGAGGCGTTCGAGAGGGCCTGCATGAAGCGCTGGAGCTGGGCGGGCGAGTGTATGAGTTGCTGGAACGCGCTTTGGAGCGTCGTCTCGGTGGGGTTCTGCGGCGGGACGGTGGTCAGCTGCTGGCTTGAGGGAGTGGCGGATGGGGAGAAGGGGGTCTGGGAGCCAGGCGTCTCTGTCGGCGTGGGTCGTTGTGCATATCCAGAGCCAGACGCGAGCGCTTGCCTCTGCATGTCGTCCCACGACTGCTGAGTGATTCGCGAGGTCGAGGTGTTTGGAAAAAAGTTGGCTGCGGGGAGCATCGGCGAGAAGGTATCTGTGCGGACGCTCGGGGACGCGGCCGAGGAGGGCGTGTCGATTCGTGCAAAGCGGTCTGTGCGGAGGCGCTAAGAAGCAAGGCAGACGGGAGAAACGGTGGCGACGTACTGGGTGACAGACTCCGACGATCGAGGCGGGGTGGGTTCTTCTCGTCGTCGTCGTCGACCTCGACCACCTCCACGCCCTTCGGCTTCGCCTCCACGCCGCCAATCATCAGCCTCTGCCGTTTCCTGGACACGATAGGTTGCGGCGAGTCGTGGTCGTCGTGGTCCTTGCTGTCGTGGCCGTTCGAGCGGCCAAAGACGCTGGCCAAGAATTTGAGGATGCGGTTGATGGTGTCCTGATGCGCCTTGTGGCGCTCGCGCGCGGCGAGGGCCTCCTGCCATAGGTGCTGGTTGGAGGTTTTGAGCTCGTTCAGCTCGGCGGAGATCGCCTGCTGGTGGCGCTTGACGGCGGCGATGCCACTGACGATGGAGTTCATGTCGAGGAGCTGTGCGTTGGTGGGCTGGGTCGAAGAAGAAGCCTGCGCGTTGGTGTCCTTCGCCTCGACGATCGCATCTTCGGGGGCGCCACCCTGTGCGGCCTGCTTCTTGCGCTGGATGAAGCACAGGAGGTCGGGCTGTCCGCGATGGAAGTGGGGGTGCTCGAAGTTCCATATCTCGGTGTCGGAGTCGCTCTTGAGGACGCCCTGCTGGAGGTGGGGGATCTTGTGGAAGCCGTACATGTTGAGCTGGCGGACGAAGGAGGCGAACTTTTGGTGCTTGAACCAGCGTCCCAGGACCTCGCGGGAGAGGCGCTCGTGGTCGAGCACTGCGGGCGGATCGGGAAGAGACGCGGGGAGAGGTGCGGAGAGGACGTACCGACGAAGGAGTCGCCGTTGTCCGACCATCTGATCATGTCGTTGTTGCTCGGGTCGTTCACGATCCTGCAGGGTGTCCGCGCTGAGCCCCCGCGGCGCGGTGCGCAGGAGAGAGAAAGGGACGCACTCGTAGAGCTTCTGGAGGAACTGCGGCACGGACTGGCGTGCGGCCTTTGTGAGGTTTGGGGCACCTGGTCTGTAGCCGCGCAGAGCGAGCTGTGTGTCTGAAGCCATGGTCGAGGAGGAGAGATGGGAGGAGGAGAGATGGGAGGAGGAGCGTCCGAGGACGGCGTCCCTCTGCACCCCGATTGGGATCTCACGTGCGTGGCCCTCCCCGAGCCCTCCCCGAGCAACAACACAGCCGAATCCTCTATGCTCTCGCAATTACAGACTATCGTACACAAAACAGGCAGCTCGATGCGTTGGAAAACCGTCCCCCGCGTCCGCGTGCACGCCTTCACGACGCCGCGCGTCTCCGCCCCGGCTTCCTCGCGCGCCGCACGCGCCTCCACAGCAGCACCGAGAGCCCAGCCAGCAGCCCGAGCGGCGGAACGAGCCAGTTCACGCGCCACGCCCAGCCGACGTCGCGCTGCAGGCGCCGCACAAACCCGTCGACCTGCTGCTCGAGCTCGCGCGGCCCGCCAGAGTTGTCCAGCACGTGGTCGGCGTACGCGAGCTTGTCGGCGATGGGCAGCTGCGCGCCGAGCCGCGCCGAGGCGGCCTCGCGCGTGGAGCCGTCGCGCTGCATGAGGCGCTGGAGCTGGATCTCTGTAGAGCTGCGGTGCAGGGCGGAGCGTGAGCGCGGGCGCGGGCGCAGCGTCCAGCGGTGGGAGGGAGAGGGGAGAACGCACCAGTACACGACGACGACTTTGCCCACCCAGAGCCAGATCCCGGACTCGATCAGGAGCGGGACGTCGAGGACGCACACGCGCTCGCCGCGCAGCCAGCACTTTGCGACCTGCCAGGCCATCGCGCGGCGCACGGCGGGGTGCACGATGGCGTTGAGCGTGCGCCGGCGCGCCTCGTCCGCGAACACGAGCGCGCCGAGCTTCGAGCGGTCGAGGTACCCGTCGGGCTGCAGGATCTCGCGCCCGAACGCGGCGACGATCTGGGCGTACACGCGCGTGCCCGGGCGCACGACCTCGCGCGCGATGACGTCCGCGTCGACGACGGGGATGGCGCGCGCGGCGAGCAGCGCGGAGACGGTGGACTTGCCGGTCGCGATGCCTCCCGTGAGACCTACGACTGCGCGAGGTGCGGTCAGCGTGAGCGTGAGCGGAGGGCAGGGCAGGAGGGGGCCGTACCGAGCATGGTGGTGTCGGTTGTGTGTGGGAGACGTGAGCCGGCGTGACTTCCGTAAGAGGCAACCGCCTGCTCATCGCGTCGCCCATGACCGCGCGCACCGCCGCCCTCGCCCTCGCCGTGCGCGTCCTCGTCGCCGTCCTCACCCGCTCCTTCTTCCAGCCCGACGAGTACTTCCAGTCCCTCGAGGTCGCCCACCACCTCGTCTTCGGCTACGGCGCGCTCACCTGGGAGTGGGTCTCCGCGCGCCCCATCCGCAGCATCGTCTACCCCGCACTCAACGTCCCCGTCTACTGGGCCCTCAAGGCCCTCCGCCTCGACGAGACGGAACTCCTGGTGCGTTCGCACCCGCGCCGCCCGTGCGTGCTGAGCTGAACCCGCGCTAGATCGTCGCGCCAAAGGTCCTCCACGGCTGCCTCGCGGCCGGCACCGACATCTACGTGCGCAGGCTCGCGCGCAACGTCCTCGGCGAGCGCTACGTCTCCACCGCGGTGCGTGCGCCCCGCTCGCCGCACCTGCTGACCGCTGACCGCGCCGCATCAGTTCTTCCTATCGCTGACCTCGCTCTTCCACATCCTCGCGCTCTCCCGCTCGCTGTCCAACTCGCTCGAGACAACGCTCACGACCGCCGCGCTGAGCTACTACCCGTGGGACATGTCCCCCGCGCCGACGAGGTGAGCCCGCCCGCCCGCCCGCCGAGCCGTTTGTGCGCCGCCGCCGACCCGCGTGTGCAGATCGCAGCTCCGCAAGCTCCTCGTCTTCGCCGCGCTCGCGTGCGCCGTGCGGGTCACCAGCGCCATCACCTGGGCCCTCCTCTTCCCGCCCCTCCTCTGGCGCCTGCGCACCCGCGCACCCGCTCTCCGCGCCTTTGCCCTCGACACGATCCTCACCGCGTCCGTCCCAACCCCCACCCTCCCCTCTCCACAACTAACCCAACCCAACCTCGCACCCCAGCTCGACCGCCCTCCTCCTCATCTTCGCCCTCGACAGCCTCTACTACCACACCCCATCCCTAACCCCCCTCTCCTTCCTCCTCGCAAACGCCTCCCCCCTCTCCAGCTTCTACGGCGCCGCACCCCCGCACTACTACCTCTCCCAGGCCCTCCCCATCCTCGCAGGCCCCGCACTCCCCTTCGTCCTCCACGGCGCCTGGCGCGCAGCCCGCGGCGCAGCAGGCCCGCGCCCCCGCGCGGTCCTATGCACAGTCGCCGCGCTCGCGAGCGCGTACTCCCTCGCGCCGCACAAGGAATGGCGCTTCCTCCACCCGGCGCTCCCCCTCTTGCACGTCCTCGCCGCCCCCCCGCTCGCCGACCTGCCGCGCACGCGCAGCCGCAGACGCGCGGCGCACGCCGCGCTGCTCGCGCTCGCGCTCGTGGGCGGCGCGTACGTCGCGCGCGGGCACGCGCACGCGCAGGCCGGCGCGCTGCGGTACCTCCGGGGCGTGCCCGCGGCGGAGCTCGCGAGCGCGGGGTTCCTGATGCCGTGCCACTCGACGCCGGGGCACGCGTACCTGCACCGGGCGGCGCTCGCGGAGCGGGTGTGGGCGCTCGGGTGCGAGCCGCCGGTCGCGCTCGGGTGAGTGCCTCCCGCGTTCTTTGCGGCTCCCGTTTCTCATGTTTCTCGTTATTATTATTGTTGTTGTTGTTTATTTTTATGTTTGTTGTGGTTTTCTTATGTGCGCGGGCAGCGCGGAGGACGCGAGCGCGTATCGCGACCAGACGGACGTGTTCTATGCCGCGCCGCTCGCGTACCTCCTCACGCGCTTCCCGGCCGCCGTCGACCCGCGCTTCCCGCCGTCCCCGTACCCGAGCACGCCGCCCGGCACGCCCGCCGCGCTCGCGGACGCGGGGAGGTGGGCGCACGCGTGGCCGAGCCACCTGGTGTTCTTCGGGGCGCTGCTGGAGCACGCGGGCGTGGAGCGGCTGTTGCGCGCGCGCGGGTACGGCGAGGTGTGGCGTGCGGGGAACGGGCTCGAGGAGGATCAGAGGCGGCGGGGTGGGGTGAGGGTGTGGCGGTACGGCGCGCGCGCGTCTCACGTTGCGCCGAGTCCAGGTCACGCCGGTGTTCAGCAAGGGGGAAAACGGATGGAATGAGATGTGCGGTCGTGAACAGTGCTGTGAAGTATTGTGGATTGGTGGCAGGAAGCGTTGGTTGTAAGTAAGTAGTAAGTGACTACGTAGTTCGTTCGTCGACCGCCCGGGGCGCCATCAACCGGCCGTCTTGAGCTTCAACCGCTGGGCACGTTGGAGCTGCGAAAAAAACACGAGGTGAGACGACGTCGGGACGCGGTGCGGATCAGGAGTGGATAAAATCACCTTGCGGCGCTTCTTCAACCTGGACAAGCAAGCGCGGCGGATGAGCAAAAAAAAACGCGCGAGGGGGCGACGAGACGGGAGGGAGACTCACTTGTGCTTCTTCATCTTCTTGCGGCGCTTGCGCTTCGTGCTGTCGGCGCGGATGTGTGCGGCTGCTGCGGCGGGGTCGAGGGGGATCTGGTCGGTGGGGATGCCGAGGCGGCGGAGGGTGTCGTCCCATGCGATGGCTGCGCCGACGGAGTTGATGACGAGGGCGCGGGCGAGCTGGCGCGCGGCGTCTGCGTCTGCCTCGAGGGACGCCTCGGGGGGGTCGTCGAGGGCTGCGAGCTCTGCGCGGGCGTCGGCGTCGGCGTCTGCGTCAGAGGCGGGGGAGCGGGGTGGGCCGGTGAGGGAGGCGGCGGGGGTGGGGTCGAAGAGGGCGGTGGGGGGCGTGTTGAGGAAGAGCGGGCGGTGGAGGGAGAAGAACTGGTGAAGCTTGAGGTCGTGCGGGGAGAGCTGGGGGTGGAAGGGCTGCTGTGGGGAGAAGAGGGTGGAAGGGTGGAAGGGCGAGGGCAAAGGCGCGGAGGCGGACGAGGGCGCATCTGCGGGCTTGTGGGCGTGGGTCAGGGCGGGTGCTGCCGCTGCCGGCTGCTGGGCGGGCGCGGCAGAGGACGCAGAGGCGGACGGATCGTCTGGGGCGGGCTTCGCATCGGGGTCGGACGGCCTGACTGCGGCGGGAGCGACGGCCTTGGGGGGCTTTGCGGAGTTGAAGTAGCGGCCGCCGCCGGACTTTGAGGAGAAGAAGGAGTAGGCTCTGCGGGACGCGGGGAGCGACGGCGGACGCAGCAGGCGGGGAAACATGGGCGGGGACGCTGGCTGGCTGGCGACACGGCAGAGCAGAGCACAGCACAGCGTCGATGCTGTCCTGCTGTCCCAATCCAGCACACGCTCCCACGCTCTCACGGGACCGGTCCACAGGTCCATGGCTCATGCACGTCGTCACTCACGTTGCAGCCCCTCCCCACCGCCGCACTCGTCATGGCCGCACCCGCAGACGACACCGCCGCCCTCCTCCGCACCGCCACCCGCGGCTTCGACCACATCTTCTCCAACGAGATCCTCGCCGCCCGCGCCGTGTTCGACTCCACCAACGACTCCGCCTTCCACGCCCTCGGCCTCGGCGTCTGCGCCTTCCTCGAGGCCGCCCTCGGCATGGAGGTCCGTCCGCGCCCCTGCCCTCGTCGCTGCGCCCACTCACCGCGCCCTCCAGGTCAGCCTCGTCGCAGAGGCGAACAGGCTGCTCGCCCTCGCAGAGGCAGGCGCGAAGAAGCAGGCAAAGGCCACAAAGGCTTCCCGGAGCGGCGCCCGCTTCCCCCCGGGAATCGAGTACGAGCTCATCCACGCCGACACCATCATCCTCCTCGGCTTGACGAACGCAATCAGGTCCGTGCCCTCCCCGTCTCCCGTCGTCCTCCTCAACTGGACGCCCCGCTCACGGCCTGCCGCATGGACCGCAGCGAGTCCTACATGGGCTACCTCCAATGCTTGTGAGTGCGACCCACACACGGACACAGACGCCCCGCCCCTCACCTCCCCCCGCACACACAGATACGCTTTGAACAAGTAAGCCCCTACACACACACCGCCCCACACACCGCCGCGCCGCTGACCAACCTACCCAGCGCCCACTCCAAGTTCTCCAAGTAAGTCCCGCACCGCACGCACGCCGCTTCACGCCCACGAACAACCAACAGGATATACAAGACCGTCTTCCCCGCCGGCCTCGACGCATACGCCACCCCCGCCGCCTCCCGCCGGCCCTCCCGCAAGCCGTCCACCGTCAGCCTCGCAAGCCAGGCGCCCTCCACCGCCTCCACCGCCTCCTCCGCCCTGCCCCCCGCCGCGTCCCCGGCCTCCGCGTCGTCCGTCTCCCTCTCCTCGCGCGCGACGGGCTTCTTTGGCCGCTGGGGCAGCTCGCTCACAGCCTCGCCTCGCCCTGCGACGCCCGTGGCGTTGGCGGCGCCTGCCGTGGAGGGGGAGGACGGGCCCGTGGAGGAGCTCATCGTGTCGGGCGCTGCGTTTGGTGCGTCTTTTTTTGGTTTTGGCGCGCGCCGGCATTCGCGCTTCGTCGGTGATCGGTTGACGGGTGGTTGACTAACTAACTCACTAACTAACGGGTTTGGGTTCGGCGGGCGCAGGGTACGGCTTGTTTAACCTCGTGCTCTCGCTGCTGCCCGGCAAAGTCAAGTGCGTGTGCGTTTCTGCTACACGCGCGCGCGCGCTGACGCGATTGCGATTGCGGTTGCGGTTGCGCTGGTGTGTGCGTGCGACGGTGCGTGGACAGGAGCGTCGTCGGGTTCTTCGGGTTCGACCACGACAGGAAGCTCGCGCTGCAGGCGCTCGCGGTGTCTGCGGCGAAGAACGACGTGCATGCCGTCTTTGCGGGGTGAGCGGCTGTGTTGGTATGTCCTCCTCTTGAGGCGGGCGCTGACTCGCTCTCGATCTCGGATGTGGACGTGGACGTGGGTGTGGGCGTGGATGTGGATGTGGATGTGGATGTGGATGTGGGTGGATGGGCGGGCGGGCAGGCTGGCGCTCATGTCGTACCATGGCGTCGTGCTGCTGTTGTCGGGATACCAGGCGAACGAGGCGCATATCGTGAAGCAGTACAAGATCATCGTCGACAAGTGAGCCTCACCCTCTCCCCCCTCCCCCCTTCTCCCTTCTCCCCTTTCCCCTCCCTCCCTCCGTGTGTTTGTTGCGAGAACGCGCTGTCGAGCGGCTGGCGTCGCTGTTTGTGTTTGTGTTTGTTAGGCTCGAGAAGCGGTATCCGACGGGGACGCTGTGGATCTTGAACCAGGTGCGCCTTGCTACTTCCGCCCCCTCGGCCGCTGGATGTTGACGTCTGCTCACCGGGTGCGCGTGCGCTGTCGCTTTGGTCGTGGTCGTGGTCGTGGATCGCGCGCGCGGCGGCAGGCGAAGATACTGCGCATGACGCACGACGCGGAGGGCGCGATTCGCGTGCTGAGGGGCGGGCTTGACCCCGCGCGGCCTAGCGTGTTCGTCCAGGCGGACGCTCTCGTGCGTGTTTCTCTCTCCCTCTCTCTCTCCTTCCCCTCCCCCTCTCCTCTCGACGCGCCGTTCTCCCCGACGCGTATGTGTACGCGTGAACGTGTGTATGGGTATGCGTGTGTCAGGCGCTGAGATGCATGCTGCACGCAGTTGGTGTTCGAGCTCGCGTGGACGCTGCTGTCGCAGCGCCGCTACGAAGAGGCGGCGGAGGCGTTCATGCGCATGACGGAGCTGAATACCTGGTGCGTCGCTTCTCTCCTCTCCTCTCATCCCCTGCTCATCCCCCATCCCCCGTCGCCTGCGCGCACGCCCGCAGGAGCCACGCCACGTACTACTTCATCGCGGCCGGCTGTCGGTGGTCGCTGCGCGACCTCCCCGCGGCGCAGCGCCTGCTCGACGCGATCCCCGCGCTCATCGACCGGAAGAAGATCGGCGGGAAGGACCTCCCGACGGAGGTGCTGATCAAGAAGAAACGTGCGTGCAGCCGCAAGCCCCGTTCGCGAGCCGCCGCGCAGCGGCAAGCGGGCTAATTTACTTGTCGTGCCTATCGTCCTGATCCTGATGATGATGCCTGTTTTTTTTTGTAGTCGTATTTTACAAGGCGAAGCGCGTGCGGTTGACGGGCTCCGAGGCCGGATACGCGCAGGCTATCACGATCAGCCCCGCAGAAGGTCCGTCCGACCATCCGCTGCCCAGGACGCTTTCCTCCCTCTAGTCGCTGACCGCCCCGCGTCCGCAGAGCTCGGCGTCTGTGAGTGCCTTCTGTTCTGCCTTGCCGGTGTGAGCCCGTGCTGAAGCGCGTCGCGCCCGCCTGCCAGTCTGGAACACGCACGCGCGCATCGGGAAGGACGTTGCCGAGGCGCATATCCGCGAGTGGCTCGCGCTCGCGCCCCCGATTCCGATCGACATCAGCACGCCGTACGCCGCGTCCCCGCTCGAGCCGCCCGCCGACGCCCCCGACGCCGCCCCGCCGCCCCCGGCGCTCGACACGCCCGACGAGCACGCGCTCCGCCTGCTCCTGCTCGGCATCGCGCACCGCACGGCGGGCCACCTCGCGCCCGCGCGCGCGCTGCTGCTCGCGGCGCACGCGCTGCAGCCGCGCGTCGCGGTGAGCACGTGGGTCGGCGGGCTCGCGCAGTTCGAGCTCGCGGTGCTTGCGCTGAGGGAGGCGGAGGCGGGGGAGCGGGCCGCGGGGGAGAGGATGGGGGCGGAGGGACGGGAGGACGGGTGGGGTGCGGGTGCGGGTGCGGGTGCAGGTGCGGAGGGGGATGCAGGTGCGGAGGGGGATGCGGAGGAGGGAAGTGTGGAAGGGGTGCTGCTCCCGGGCGTGATGCCGGAGGAGGCGCGCGAGGGGTGGGCGCGCGCGCTCGCGGAGGCGGGGCGGCGGCTCGAGGCGGCGCTGGGCTTGGCGGGGAGCGAGGTCGATTTGTCGACGCGGCTGGATAGCAGGATCATGATGCTCCGGGACGAGATCGCGGCGAAGAGGGAGATGCTGGAGATGTGAGCGTGCGCGCGGCGTGGCGCAGCGGTAGAGGCGGTGTGGGTAGATCGGACCTGGGACTTTTTTTTGGGGGGGGTAGAGGTTAGGTTGCTTCGCACATAATAGACGCGCATACGTTGCTTTCTTGGCTTTTCGTTCGTTCTGCTGCATAATTCATGGCAGCGACCCGCGATCATCAGCTCGGTCTCTCGCCGTGCACGCGCGAGTACGTTGAGTGCCGAACTTCGCTCTCTTCCTCATGACATGCAATCGTGTCGCGAACTCATAACATGACGTGTCGCGCCGAGTATCTATCTGTCTGTCTATACCCTCACTACCCGCACACGCACCAGCCGCCCTTCCGCGCCCGGCGCTCAAGTCGGGAACGAGCCCAGCGTGAACAGCGTCTGCTTCTGCTTCCCCTTGCCCTTCTTCCGCCCAACCGTCTCCGCGGCGCCCCACCCCGCCTCGGCCCCCGCACTCGCCCCCGCCCCCGCCCCCGCCCCCGCCCCCGCGCCCCCCGAGCCCCACGCAGGCGTCGCGGGCGCCGAGCTGCCGAGGATCTTCTGCAGCGTCCCGTTGTGCCCGCCAACCGCCGCCTTGGCGCGGCTCGGCGCGGCGGCGGGGAGCTCTGGGAAGAGGTTCTTCGAGAGCGGCGGCGGGGGTGGCGGGCGCGGGACCGGTGCCGAGGAAGAAGGGGCGGAGGAGGGCGCGGGGACGGGCGCGGGGACGGGCTGGCCGGATGCGGAGGCCGACCAGGCGGTGCTGCGGTGCGGCTGGCGGAAGCCTGGGTTGTTGGGCGGGGGCGTGGAGGACGGCTGCAGGACAGGGAAGCGGTCGGGGGGGCGGGAGGAGGAGGAGGCGGAGGAGGCAGCTTGGGCGACGCGGTCCCAGACGGCGCGGGAGGACTGGCGGGAGGGGTGCGCGGCGGTGAGCGCTTTGGCGTTGAGCACGCGGCCGCTGGCGATCCCGGCGTAGCCCGTGCCGACGGACGTGGGGACGAGGTCGGGGAACTGGCGGCGTTGCTGTGCGGGCGGCGGGAGAGGGACGTGAGTGTGCGACGGGGGGCAGGGGGCAGGGTGGAGGGGGCTGACCTCGATTTTGAAGCCGTTCCATGCGCTGAGCAGAGACGATTTCTTGTCGTCGTCGTCCATGAGGTCGACGAGGAGGTTGAGGATGCTAGCTGTGTTGTCGAGGTCGCGGTCCAGGATGTTCCACACGGCCGAGATGAGGTCGCGCGCGGCGGACTCGGACGCACGGTAGGAGCGGAGCGACAGTTTTACGGCGGCCGCGGCGTTGGTGGGGTTCGGTGCGACGGCCCTCAGCCTCGCGAACAGCGCCGCATATTTCCTGACGGAACGCCGGTCAGCGGAACAACGGCGGCAGCATGTAAAAAGATATCGCACTCGGCGGTAGCGGGGTCCATATCGGCGGGAGGCGGAGAGGCTGGACGGCTGGGGCCCGGGGACGAGCCGTGCGTGTCGCCCTCTACCGTCAGATGTCCGGCGAACCGATCCCTCCTGCTATTACCAGACCTGGCAGGTCCTGGCGGCTGCGAACCTGGCGGCGGCTCGCGTTCTCGTGCACCTCTGCGTCTACCGCCGTTGACCTCTTGGAACTCGACGTTGATCCGGCTCGCGGCCTTTTTGTCGCGGGAAGACATGTCCGCGCCGTGTTCTTCGACCATGTGAGCTTGGAGGTCGAGCAGGGACCCGAAAACGACGAATTTGCGCTGTTGGCAAGAGGAGTTGGGACAGGGATGGTGCGCGTGGTCGAAGTGCTTCTCCTAAAGGTATATGTGAGAAGATGTTATGCGCGCGTCAATGCGGCCTACCCACCAGAGCATCGTAGTTTTTGAAACTGGTAAGATGTCAATGATCGTGAGCAAGATTGATGACGTTCAGACACTGACTATTGATCTCTGACTTCGTTCCTCTTGCAGATGAAACATTCTTCGTGGCGCTCCCTCATGTGTTTGTACAATTCGTCGTCGCCAGAGAAGCACTCTCGACAGAACTCGCAGAGCGGGTGTACGCCCCCTTCGACTTGTTCCGGCGGAGCGCCTTTGCGATGTGGGTGAGGGATGGACGGCAGATGAATCGCCAATTGATTGGGCGTGTACAGAGCGTGCTCGTGCGCGAACACTTTCTTGTTGCGCAGACACAAGTCACTGTGCAGCGGTCAACATGCGCAGCTCTGTCGCAGGACAGAAGGGGGCGCACCACATGAGCTTCCCATGCACGGCACGGACATGCAGTTTCAGATCGTTCCATCCTTGCGCGACGTGCTCACAGGTGGACTCGGGACAGTTGAAACGGAGGAGGACCAAGGTTTCCTCCATCATCTCTGGAGTCTCGAAGAAAATGCTCAGCTTGAAGTCCTTGTGAGGAATGTCGGTGGGCGAATAGGATGAAAATGGCCGGTCCGCCGATACCGTGAAGATCACCGATGGCTGGGATTCCTATAGAGCACCTCCCTGTAGGCGCGATAAAGAGCAGTATATTTTCCCGACGCACCTTGCAGAATGTACAGTCTAGCTTCTTATACAAGGCCCTCAACCTGAGTACGCAGACGTGACACGTCCGATGGTTGCACTCCGAGACCGAGTAGTACTTCACTGGCTCGGCACATATCCAGCAAATAAGACTGTCATCTATTTCGGCATCCTTTGGATCCTCCCCGGATGCTGCCTCTACTGCCTGAGCACCGTTCGCTCTGGGGGCCCCCTCGGTCTTTGCCTGCGCGCCAGGGGTGGGTGCTGACCCGGGCCCGCCGTTCCTCCCCCGCTTGTTGGTTCTTCTGCCCCGTTGGGCCTTCTGAGATGCAGAGTTCTGGGTAGCGGTGTCGGGCATGTTGTGATACGGATGCTGGTCTCGGAACGAAAGGTGATCTTGGCCGCTCAGCTGCAGTGAGTCTTTAAGGCTCCGGGCCCGTGGCTGTCACGCAATGCAGTGGCCATTAGTGACGAATCTGTGACTGACATGTGCATCTTGCATGTCCAAATATAGCAAAAAGACCATAAAGTCGCCTAAATGCAGCTTCTACCATGGCCACGGTATCTCTCGTGAATACTTGCGGACGCTGTTCTGAAAGTCACTGGCGAAGAGTCCTGCAAGCTACAGAACCCCGCTGTATTCCTTCGAGCCGACCGCGACACTGATTCTGATTCTTCACTGTCCCCAAAGGGCGAGCAGCTGATCACTGCGCCTCTGCATAGGCGGTCTTGAACTCGATTGGTCTTTTACGTCTACCGCCAGCCTGCTGCCATCATGAGCTTTGTCGAACTTCAGATAAATGATGATCATCCTCTCGCACTCGAGATAACGAGCCTCCGATCTGCCGTCGCGCAATTTCAGGTGCAAGCTCACATTCGTACGCCCGCCTAATAGCTACTCATTAGTGTACCCTGCATACCCACACCTCTGCCGTGAACCCCATCCAGCATGAAGCCCATGCCGCCTCTCTCAAGCTGCAGAGACACTCGTTGGACTCCACGATAGCACTGGAGCGTGCACAGATCCTGGAACGCGAGAACGCGGCGATACGAGAGGAGCTGGCCGCCTTGCGCGTTCATCCGGATGTTTCGCCGCATCCGTCCATGCTACAGGTTCCGGAACTGACGCTCACCCTTCGACGGATGTCGGACAAGCTGACGACAACGGAGGAGACTCTTCTTGCGCGGACCGCTGAGTTAACAAACGCGCTTAGCGACCTGGCAAAGTTGAAGCACGAGATCGAAGGCGCGTATGCGCTAGCCGCCCGCACGAGGGCCAGAGAGGAACAGAGCAAATTCCAAGAGCGCGAGCTACATAGAAAGGTGAGGGCTGCCGAGGAAGCTCGGAGGATGACCGACCACGTCGTGGAAGAATACGCGGATCTGGTTCGCTCACTTGAGGGTAGGGCAAGCACGACGACGCCGTCCTCTTCACCATCCTACAACTCGCGTTTCGGGGGCGCAATTAGTAGAACATCTGACACCACATTGGTCGAGACTCTGAAGGATGGAAAGACTGGACTACAGAGGCTGCTTGAAGAATTCAACGGTGATACGGAGAGATTGGAGAACGAGATTGGGAGACTCCACAGCGAATTAGAGCTCGCCGAGATCAAGTGGGAGGCGGAAAAGAAGAACGCAGATCGAGATCGTGCCAATTTAGCGCAAGCAAAGGCAGAGCTTGAAAAGCACCAAGCAGACGACAAGGCCGCTGCTAAGATGGTCTCGCGGTACATGTACGTGTATATCGTCTCTACCCACCCTTGATTCTTCAATTATGAGTGGCAATATTATAGGAGATTCTCACAATCAACTACCAACTCCCTGCAGCAGTCTCTCGAGAATCTCAGGGCGCGCCATACCGCTACCACGTCCACACTACACCTTCAAATCTCTTCTCTTCAGTCGTCACTTGCATCGGAGCGGAGGCAGGCTGAGCGCCTCCGAAGTGTGTTAGACGAGCTTACCGAACAACTCGCACGAGAGGCGTATGGGCGTCGGCGTGAGGTTGCGCTACGGCTAGCGGTTGTTGGGCGCGAGGATGCTCTCGCGGAAGCTCTCAGACGCTGGTTGCGCCGAGCGGCGGAGACCTATACGCGGGTAACTGGTGATGACACGTCGCTTAACGAGATGCAGCAAGGCTTCATCAGCGTTGTCGAGGATGCTGGAGAACTGCTCGCTATAGTAGACGCCGATGCTCGACTAGAGGACCAAGGCGTGAACGCGGGTATCGGGAGCGTGGCGAGAATTTTGGCGGCCCAAGACGCTGTGAAGACTCTTGTGGAGGAATTGCAGAACGAGACGGAGAAGAGGATGAAGCTGGAGAGGCTCATCGGCAAAGCAGAGGTCGACGAAGATGGACGAATATTGGCTCCAACCCGAGATATCTCCCCTCCCCCACCAACACCACCTAAAGATTCCCGGACGATCCCAGCAATCTCACAGTCGACCTCGGCTCTGGTTCACCAGGAAATGATAACAAGCCTTTCAACGGAGCAAACTTTGGCTTCTGTAGAGCCAGTCACGCCATCCGAGGAGAAGGGGCCTGCGGAAGCTCCATGTGAGGATGAGATTCCGGTCATCACGGTGGCCTCTGTGGACATAATCCACCAGCCTTCTCCACGGTTGCCAGAACCAGAACCGAGGGTCATACTTCCGTCCCTTTCTGATGATCCACAGGATGTTATTCTTCCTTCAACATCACCAACATCACCAGAGCTTCCGAATGACAACATCACCAACTCGTCCGTCATGTCCGAAGCGTCTCAAAGTTCCGCATCACCTTCCACCCATACGTCCGCGCCCACATCAACATCATCTCCCTCCATCTCTCCACCTCATCCTCTTCTGGTCGAACTCACCAAAGTCAAGGACAGATATGACACCCTTCAGCGCGCTTTCCGCGACTGTCATCTCACTCTTCGGGACTTGAAAGGGACTATACCAACACTACCTCTATCACCGTCTCTCTCCGTGCTTCAGACTGCTGTAGCGCGACTAGATGATTACAACGAAGACGCACGTGTAGAGCTCGAAATCCGGGTTTCCGACGAGGAACGCATCACACGGGGCTACGAGACGCTTTTGTCCGTGCAAGGCGCCCTGTCGTCCGAAGCCGAGGCCGGGGAAGTGGAGGCTGCCGTGCGCGCCTTCGTGGACGGGACTGAAGCTGCGGTCGCACGGGCACAGAGTCAGTTCTCACGCAAACTCGACGATCTGGAACACGACATTGCGGCTGTCAAGCGGCGGGTCCACGAGCTGCCTCTTGCGCTCGAACCGGAGGAGACAGACCTCAATCCGCTCAATTCTGGTGCAAATCCGTCGTGGACTTCGCTCGCAGCGGGTTTCTTCGCGCCGCCCAGACCTGCGAGTCCCTCTATCACGTTCGGCTCCGTCATGACATCTCCACGTCTGCGACGCCCAGCATCGTCCGCACACATGCATGTGCGTAGGGGCTCATCAGACTCCGCCGCAGGAGGATTCTCGCCTGCGCTCGGTGACAGAAGTCCGTTCGCGGCACTCGACCTGCGCATTCCGATGCCGAATGTGGTATTTAACGCAACGCCGTCACTCGCCAGGCCGCCGCCGCCTCGGGCCCGGACGATGTCTGGGATGTATATGCTGGGACTCGGTATGCGGAACCCATCACTTGTGGGGACGGGCAATGGCACTGCAGGAAAGCCGCGCTCGGCTTCTATAATCTCGCTGCACAAGCCTGCACCGCCAGCGGTGAAGGCGGTGGAAGCGGTGGAAGATGAGACTTCGGATGTAGAGTAGCTGCTTGCATGATGACAGTGCGAATAATGATAAGGTATCAGTCACGTAGTTTTCTCGACACAGGTACCAAGCGCTAAGCGCTCGATGTGGACAGTTGGGGTGTATGCTTTCCTGATTACCTCGTATACCGGCTATACTCACTCCTCGTGCGGTGCCTTCGATATGTTGACTCGAGGCCGGGCGCGTACAGCCGTGTCAAGCTGCAGGCGGGGGAACGCGAGAAACGCGTGGAGGATGTCGTGTGTAGGGCACGTGACCGAGACCGAGAGTCATCGATGTTTGTGTCTTGTTTATGCCCAATTGAAGTGCATCGACGACCTCAGCTTCGCTCCCTCTCTTATTTTCCCTGCCTTCCGCTGTCCTGCTCGTCGTCGTTGCGCAGCATTGCCTCGTGTCGCAGGCATCGTTATCCAGGCTTGAATTTGTTATTGCTCTCTGTAAGTCGCACAGTCTCGAGACATCGACGCTCGTCTCGCCCTTGTATATCGACTAAGTTGCTGATCTATGATGGCGTACTGCTCTGGCCTGAACATCACTGACTTGTAGCGCTGTTTACTCGGAACCTATCAAACCAGCCTTGCATTTGTACTGTTCAGACTCTAGCTTCACGGCGATTGATCATCATCCCCACGTATGTCTCATCTATATTTGTGCTCAATTTATGTCACCCATCATACTGCAGGTTATATCGACTTAAACCAGCACCATGCCTGGGCCACAATCCCCATATTCCCACCCGGGGCCATCCACGTATTACCATCAACCTCACATCCCTTCGTACCCGCCCTTCCCTATCAATGGCCACGCTCCTGCACCGTACCCGTATCAATATCCCACGCAAAATATCAACGGTCATTCTCCCGGTCAACCTTCATCACCTCGCATCGTTCCTGGTCCTACCCGTGGTGGATATCATGGTGCCTCCCGTGGTGGTCCCGCACCCGGATATCAAACCTATCACGCACACCCTCACCCTCATCCGCCATACATGCATGCGCCGCCACACGTAGCAATGCACTCACCTCAGCCTTCCCCAATCGTCTCGTACCCTCACCACCATTCGCAAAAGTACAATTCTCATCCGCCGCCAGTCTCTTATTCGCCCTCCTACCACTCAGTTCCACCTCCCACAGCCTATGCGCAGAATTGGTCCTTCCAACAACCTATATCGCCCCTGCCCAAACAATTATCCATGCCTCCACCGCCCCCGCTTTCACCATTGATCATCACACCACATCCACCGCCACGGCATGGGGAGCCGTCATTCGGCGTCTCCAGCATCCCTGTGGATCCGAAGCCAGCTTCTCCTTTATCGACTCCGCAACTATCATTAGATGAACCTGTTCAGGATCCGGCCCAAGAACCTGAATCCTTGCCGCCTTCGGAATCCGGAGCAAGCTCAAGAGCGCAAAGCCCTGTATCTGCGCATGGCTCTGCGGCCTCAACCTCAAACACCAAGCCTTTCCTCGGTGGATGGGCAATTTGGTCCCGTCGTCCGAACGATCCTTCTCGTGCTCCTGGCATAATAATCTCGCCACGTGCCTGCCCTCCGCAGGATGTCATTGAAAAGTCGCTTCAACTGCCCACTCCTCCTGTGTCGCCCATTTCTTCTGCACATCCTTCCCCTCTTGTGTTCCCTGCCGTGATTGAGGCAATAGCCTCAGGTGATGGCGTTGATTCTCCTCTGACCGCACCTGAGTCACTGCCCACAGACGAGTCTACAGAGACATCTCCCGACGTTCCTTCCTCTTCTGCTACTGAAACCAGCTCGACTGCTCCCGATACTCCCATGCCTGGATCCCCAGTATCTACAAATACTTCAGTCTCGGTGGCTGGAGGCAAGGTGGTCAATAAGTCACCTGCCTCTCCTCGGGCCATCATCGCTCCCATCGACGAAGCGAAGATTTCCGAAGTAAAGCCCAGCAATGCCAATGAGGCACAGGCATCCGCTCCCGCCGTTGCACAACCGGAAGCTTCCACCTCTGTGCTTCCTGCGCCTGTCAAGGCTGAGCCGAAAAAGTCTTGGGCATCGCTCTTGCGATCCGCAGGAGATCCCGGTGTCGGTGCCGCCGCTAAAGTGTCGAACGCTCTCCCTACTTCCTCTCTCGTTGGGTTTTCCATCCCTGCAGCCCCGCCTCCAGCTCGTGTTGCTCCTGCACGTCAAAAAGAGCTGCTCAGCCTTCTCTCTGGTACCCTTCCTTCAGCCACCGGCGCCCCGCGCATCCGTCCACGCGGACTGGTGAACAGCGGCAACATGTGCTTCGCCAATGCCGTCTTACAGTTGCTCGTATACTCTCCACCTTTCTGGCGTCTATTCACCGAGTTGGGCAAGTTGCTGCGGGAGGGTGACAGCGGCAGGCGAGACGAGGAAGGACAAACGCCATTGGTGGATGCAACGATCAAGTTTTTGAAAGAATTCAATCCTCCGGAAGAGAAGCGCGTGAACGGCAGGGGAAAGGGTGAGGGCAAGGGCAAGGAGGTCAGGCTGAATGACAGGGAGGAGGAAGATCTAGACGCGTTCATGCCTAGTTATGTATATGACGCCATGAAGGAAAAGAAGCGCTTCGACAACATGCGGGTGAGTTTTATAATAAGCATATCGAAGTTTTGTTGAAGGGCTGACTTCTTTCTTCTGCACGTAGGGTGGGCAACAGGAAGATGCTGAGGAATTTCTTGGTTTCTTTTTGGACACATTGGAGGAGGAGCTCCTTTCTCTCTCGGCGACCGTCAATCCCGTAAAGGCTCCTGCACCTGTGAAGGCGGTTGAAGAACGTGAGGAAGAGTCACCGCGTGAGGACGGCTGGTTAGAAGTCGGAAGGCGGAACAAGATGGCCGTGACTCGAACGGTTAGTGACTTCTTCGTTATGCTCATATTATGATCAATCTGCTCCGTGAGCAGATCAAATCGACCGAGTCTCCAATCACTCGAATATTTGGCGGCAAGTTCCGTTCGACCCTCCGCGCCCCACATCAACGTGACTCAGTCATGGTCGAAGACTGGAGATCGTTGCAGTTGGACATCCAAGTAAGCCAGCCGTTGCCTTCTGACAGTGCCAACAGCTGACGCGTCACCCGCAGCGCGAAGATGCTCATACTATTCAGGACGCTTTGTCACATATCTCACACCCTCAGCCCGTCCATGTCATGTCCCCTACCAAACCAGGAGTCACAATTGAGGCGAGCCAGCAGGTCCTCATCGAAGCGCTGCCCCCGATTCTCGTTCTACACATGAAACGCTTTTTGTATGATACGGATGCCAAAGGTGTGGTAAAAATAGGAAAGATGGTCCAATTCACGCCGGAGCTTGAGATCGGCAAGGGTGAGTCATTTCCATATATGGCCAGGGACCGATACTCAGTTCGGGATTACAGACATTATTTCACCTGTGCGAAAAGGGCCGCATCCTGTGCGGTACCAACTCTATGGCGGTGAGCAACTAACATATCTGCTTGACACTCTAACAACATACTCATGTATCGGTATCAGTTCTGTATCATCATGGTCTATCTGCTTCAGGCGGCCACTATACTCTTGATGTGTTACACCCTAACCGGGATTCCAGCACAAAACCACGCGAAGCGTGGATACGGATTGACGATGAGCTCGTATCAGACATACGCCCCGAGGACGTTTTCGATGGCTTGGACCGCGATGACCGGTGCGCGTATCTGTTGTTCTATCGTCAGATTGGTGCAGGCACACGGACTTGAGATGATCTAGATCGTATTGTAGTCTTACGACTGTGCACATGTCCGCGTGTGTGCAGTGGGGTGTTTTTAAATCCATCTTGCTTTGCTATCTTACAATGCCAACGTTCGTCGTGCTACAATACGGTGGCAACCACCTTTCTCAGTGCGGTACGTCGTTCGTCGTTCGATGGATAGGTGGGAAGAATGCGCATGCGTGGTTCGTTGACTCCAGCTCAATGGCATGATTCTGGGGCGACGTGTGGGGTTCTGGGCGGGATCGGCCACCGTCGTCATCCTATGCTCTAATTTCCGATATGTCCTCGTCTTGACTGCGGCTTTATTGGGCGCCATATGGGTGGGCAGCTTGCGAGTCATGTTGACTGCTCATCAATTGCTTTGGTTCCGTGACTCACCGTGCATCTTGTAGGTCCAAGAGGACGACTGCACTCGCTGCTTTAGGGATACTCGTTAATATCTCCATCTATATAATAGGATATCCTGGGCGAACCAAAGTCATATCCTTCCATGTTTTCTACTTGCTTTCGACCCGCTATAAATCTCGTGGGGCAAGAGTTGTAGATCGCTATCCGCTTTCGGAGCACATTAGTTCAGTCATCAGCGATGCAGGTATGCCGCCGGATATCTAGACACTCTGCTCACGCTCACGGGTCACATTTAAGTCTAACAATCCACCCACGAGGGTAACAGGAGACTTTAGGGACAGACAGTTCGCCATATGCTGCGACCTCTTCCTCCTCCAAGCACTGCGCCATTCGCACGAAACTATTCGCACAGACTATCTCGGGTACAGAGACCGTCTGCGACATGGGACAGCGCTTGAGGCGCTCAACTGGGTATCCCATTTCTTCGTGCACCAGGCAAAAGGAGACGTCGTTGCGACAGCATACAGCATTGAGCAGGGCCGCGTCACCCTCTTTGTCGCCAACAGCCATGGAGGACCTAGACCAGAGGATCATGACGCAAGCGCTCGACTGCTCGCCCTGATTCGTGACCGCTTTCGGAACGCTCTCGACGACGACGCGCTCGTCACCGCCCTCCGCCGTCTCGCGCTCCATACCTCCGCCGCGCGGATCTCGCACAAGCTCGCTCTGCTCGCCGGTTTGGCGCGAGAAACCCCCGGAGGTATGCCCATAGCCCAATGGCTCGAGGGGGCTTTCGACCGATGGGAGGCGAGAGGGCACAGAGAAGAGGCGCGGCCATCGGGCCAATTCGGCGAGGCCAGCTGGCGCGACAACCAGAGGACGGGGGACGCCGTGAAGCAGCTCCTCAGGCAATTGGGGTCCATGCTCGCACGCCCCCCTACTCTCACCGGGCGCGCGTCGCGCCAGGACTCGGAGCTCACGGCGCTCATGGCCATCTGGGGCGTGCTCGAGCGCCTGGTGTGGACCGCGTTCTTCCAGGACATCGAGAAGGCGCCTGCGAATTTCTACTCGGACCGCGAGCGGGGCTTGGACGTCGCGGGGCGCAGGGAGTACGCGCTGCTGGCGAAGGTGCGGCGGCGCATCTGGCGCGTGCTGAGGTATTACACCGTGCCTGTGCGCTTCGTGAAGACGAGCCTGCGGCAGTTCTACGATGCGCTAGCGCTCCGCGACCCCGGCGGCGTCACGGGCATGGAGCGGTTCTTGAGCGGGTCGGGGGGTATCGTTGTGCATTGGGTAACGTGTGCGCCGCGGAGGGTGGTCTACGACCGGCGACAATACAAGCTGCAGGACAGGGCGTGGTCGCTGGTCGCGTCGTACGGGCTCGGCGTGCAGCGGGACTCGCCGCCGGTGCGAAGGATGCTCGACGGGATCGCGCGGCTGCCGTCCTGGAGCCCCGAGGTCGCGCCGCGCGTCCACTGCGCGGTGCAGCTCATCTGGTATCTCGTTGAGAACAATATACAGGTGTACAAGGACACGATCGGAATGAGCAAGCTGCTGTGTTGGGCGTGTCACCTTTACGTGGACCAGCTGCGCGTGCAGCAGGGGGCACGTCAGTGGAGGCTGTCGGGGACGTCAGGGAAGGTACACGAGGCATGGACGATCCCATCAGCGCCCAGCATCGAGGCCTCGAGGCAGGCTGTCGAGAGGGTCACTCATGATCTCAAGGAGTTGCTGGTGAGATGTTTGAGCGAGAACGGGCTCGCGCACCCGGGCTTCTCCTACCAGCCAACGACGCGTCGTAGCAATGCATATATAGATGGCCCGGTTGTAGAGTTTTAGATTTTTCGGACGACATGCTTTCGACTGCTTTCTTGGCAGAGGACTTTTACGCTCATAATTATTGTACTTTATTCTTACTTACATGAATTTCGCCGCCACTCAGCGCTCAGTGCTTGGATGCCTTTCAAACGATTAGTATATTGTCCGCTCCTCATTTGCCTATCGCTGTGTTGAAGGCCAGTATATATACGATGCTCCGCTAGCATGTGCTCCTCGACCCGACGATGGCACCTGGATCAGTATAGACCCAAGGCGTGTATTAAGGTTGCTCCTCCACCCGCCCCTGAGACGCGCACCAGCGCCCTGAATGCTCCTAGTAATAGATCGGTATCAGGAAATATCGTGGAGCCCAGTTGAGGCAATTGTGAGGTCGGTCCTGATAGGTCCTGGTCGTCCTGCCATGAGTCATTGGCAGGCGACGATATGCGACAATACGCTGCGATACTACGTTCGCACGCAATAAGAAACAAGTGCCATCCAGGTCATGAGACAAACAGCGTGCACTTCTAGTGACCGAGCACACTCCCAGGACCACTCGTTGTGATAGCCTTAAACTGATCTCATATCAAGTCTTCTCACGTGAATGGGAATGCCCATGATATTGCTGTTGAAGACATTCACATAACTCAAGAGATGCGAGAGGAATAACACATGTGTTCGCGACCTGTTGAACAAGTCCTCATGAATCCAAAGATATCGCAAGTCAGCCCGAAGAATTCACCAGCTGATTTCTCCACGCCCTAACTTGAAGAGAATCCCATGGTTGAAACTTACAAGCCCAAACTAGAGCGTTGCGTTGGAGTTGTTGTTCCGTGAAGGTATCTCGCGTCTCGGGCCGAAAAGAACAGTTGCCGTATTGGAGTGCTCCACTAAGCGCCCCCAAAATACCCGTGATGTCACTTGCGGCATCCTGGCGTCCCTGGCTGGCATTCCTCCGAAAATAATACACGTCTCTGTCCACTGAATGTTTGCGCCAAAAGTTGATGAAAATCTCCTCAGAATGCAGCAGGAGTGCATGCTGGGCAAATAAATTTGTCGGCAAGTTGCAAACCGCTCGCCGGCGCAGATTGAGTCGCCACCGGCATCATTGAGCCAAAAGGGGTACCCCGATCGAGATCTGCTTTGTGGAGTGACCACCGCGATTCGGTTCTGATTCGGTGGGCAAAGCATTTCGCATAGACGAATACGGGTGAGCCCTCCTCCGAGATATCGCTGACATTTTGCATGTTTGCAACTTTTTCAGTCTCTGATATCGACTGAAACACTTTTCAGTGAGATGTCCAACTTGATGTGGTTTGACAGAGCGCGGACTCGGTTGAACACCACCACCACCACCACCACCACCACCACCACCACCACCACCACCACCACCACCACGACGCTCCACCGCATCAATTGTTAGATCTCAGCGTTCAGTTTGTCGTGCGGTCTTCGCGTACGTGAAGGGTTCTTCCGCTCCATCGCCGAAAAAAATGCCATGTTATGTCAGGATTTCATGTCTCCGTGCCCTAGTTGTCCTCGCCCCCACATCCTTTATAAACTAGCAGCATCGGTTGGCGCTTCTGACGTGTTTCCCCCACCCTCACCCTCCTCTCCACCTCCTCTCCTCCTTCACGACCCTGTCTACCGTCTAGGTACTACGACTTCTACTTTGACGACATACTACTATATCCGCTATTCACCATGATCGGAAAGGAGAAGGGAGGCACTCGTGCCGTAGTCAAAAATGGCGTTCCCCATTATCTAGGTCTGACGGGCGACCGACTCATTTTCGCCATCACTCTGACCGCTACATGCGGCTTTCAGGTGTGTAGCTCGCTTACTGTCGCTTGGACCCCATTTTTGACACAACCTGCAGCTGTTTGGATATGACCAAGGCGTCATGTCTGGCATCATCTCTGCACCTCAATTTTACAGAGTGTTCCCCGACCTCAACCCTGAGATCAACCCCTCAGGTTTTTCTACTATGCAGGCCTTCTACACAGCCATCTACGAGGTCGGTTGTCTCGGTGGGGCGTTCTTCGCTCTGATGTACGGCAACAAGCTGGGGCGACGCCGTAATATCCTCCTCGGTGGACTCTTCGTTGTCATTGGCACCCTTATTCAGATCACCACCATGCCTGGTCACAAGGCAGGCCATCAGTTCGTTATAGGCCGCATTGTCACCGGTTTCGGCAACGGTCTTAATACCGCTACCATCCCCTCATGGCAAGCCGAGTGCTCAAAGTCCCATAACCGCGGTCTACACATATGTATTGAGGCCTCGATGATCGCCATCGGCACGGTCATCGCGTATTGGATCGTAAGTCGTTCTTCTGCCTTATCTTCTTGACATGTTTCTGATCGGACTGTGTGATCAGGACTTTGGGCTCAGCTTCGTCGACTCTTCGTTATCTTGGCGCTTGCCTATTGGTCTACAAATGATATTTGTAGTCTTCCTCTACATCGGAGTCCTGTCCCTGCCCGAATCGCCTCGCTGGCTTTTGTCCACGGGGTACGAAGCTGAAGGCGAGCGCGTCGTGGCGGCGCTCGCGAACTCGCCTATCGACTCGGAGGAGACTCAGCTGGACAAGCGCGTTATCCTCGAGTCTGTCCAATCGATGTCGTCGGGCGACCTCAAGCCCAGCGATGTCCTCACGTCCGGACCTACGCAGCATCTGCGCCGGACTCTACTCGGGTGCTCCAGTCAATTTTTCCAGCAGATCGGAGGCTGCAATGCCGTCATCTACTTTGCGTGAGATTGCAATTTTTCAACTCCTTCCCCATATCACGTGTCTGACATTGGTTTTTCAAGCCCGGTTATCTTCCAGCAGTATATTGGTCTCGATCGTCAATTGGCATTGATCTTGGGCGGCGTTAACGTGACCGTGTACGCGCTCTCTGCCCTCCTCTCGTATCCTATGATCGAGCGCGTTGGCCGGAGACCTATGTTCTTCTGGGGAAGCGTCGGCCAGGGCGTGTCCATGCTCATCTCGAGTCTCTGCCTCATCAAGTACAACGTTTACCACGACCAGAGCGATCATATCATCTACGGCGCCGTATTCGGCCTCTTCCTCTTCCTCATCTTCTTCGGGTAAGACGATATCGTGATCTTGATCTTGTGTAGTGAAATTGATGGAGCGTTTTTAGCTGCACATGGCTTGAGCTTCCTTGGCTTTACCCCGCTGAGGTCAACCCTCTCCGCATTCGTACTAATGCGAACGCTATGTCTACAATGACGAACTGGTCTTGGAATTGTGAGCATGCACTTTTGATCATCATTCTCGTCAACCCATTGACTGGATACTGTGCAGTTGCCGTCGTCATGTGGACTCCCCCCATGCTCGCCAAACTCGGCGGTTTCGGTACCTTCTTGTTTTTCGCGATCATCAACTTTTGTTTCTGGTGAGCTCGCTACTCAGTCTTCGCATCGGAACCCACGAAATTGACTCCCCCCACCTCGAAACTCCTCTCACAGCCCCATCATCTACGCCTTCTACCCAGAGACCAAGGGGCGCTCGCTCGAGGAGATCGACGTGTTCTTCGCAAAGGCGTACACAGAGCGCGCGTGGTACGTGCGCGTCGCGGAGGAGATGCCGCGGCTGTCGCCCTCCGAGATCGAGGCGGAGGGCCGCAAGTACGGACTCGGCGGCATCGGGTTCGACACGGAGAAGGCGGGCGATAACGGCATGCCGACGTCGGTGCGCTCGTCGCGGGAGGACGAGAAGAAGCCGGACGTGCAGTGAGCGGGCCTGCGTGGACAAAAGTATGTAGTACGGCGCGACGTTGAACGTCGGCCTTTTCGCGCGTGCGAGACTGAGTTCGGAGGACGCGAAGACACTGCGAGTGCCAGCGCGGCGCGAATAGACTAGAAGATAGAGTCTATAGAGGCAGTCCTTGTACGATTTAGTGTTACCATGTTACCCCATCGTACATATATACTCAATCCGACGACCCAACCATGTATCTTGTTTGCCCTTGAGGCTTTTCCACAACGATATGTCTGCCAACGTATTTTACATTACATATATACATATATCGCAGAGCTTGCAACTTGAGTGCACGTCCGATAAAAGTACATCGAGCACCACATAGCGTGGCGCAAGAGCGGCGGTTACAATTTGGCGGATGGGGCGGGCTTGGCTTCGACTTTGATGACGATCTTGCCGAACTGCTCGCCGCGTTTCATCAGTTCGAAGCCCTGCTCGGCACTCTGCAGTCCGTCGAGAACGTGCGAGACAATCGGGACGATGCGGTGCTCGGCGAGGAAGCGTGTCGCGTCGATAAGGTCTTTATGCGAGCCCATCGTCGACCCTGATTCCACGCGATGCAGATGCGAGAGTGGGACGAAGACAAGGTCCGTCAGCTGTGCTAACTTAGCCAGAAACACGGAGATGGAGCGCACCGATGAGCTGCTGGTTCTTCAAAACCTCACGCATCGAGACCGCGATCTGCGGCGCCGCCGTCATGCCATAGCACACGACCCGCCCGCCCGCTCTGAGCAAGCCACCGGTCTGGCGCGCGATATCGCCTCCGCCCGAGTCGATAACGGCGTTCAAGCTGCTCTGCCCGTCCCGCTGCAGCAGCTTTCCCAGCTCTTTTGGCCAAGAGGCTAGAAAAGGTCACGGATGCGGGTGGTGAGCGGGCGAGCGGCGACTGAGGGGGTCGGCCTACCGTTCTTGTAGTTCACGCCGCCTTTCGCTCCAAGCCCGATAGCTCTGGCGATCTTTTCTTCGCTGCCGCTGGTGACATATACGTTGGCGCCCTTTGCGAGGCACAGTTGAAGGGCGATGAGGGCGACGCCGCCACCAGCTCCGGTGATGAGCACATTGTGTCCTTTATCCACGCGTGCATTGACCATAGCAGCCCTGCTTTGATGTCAGTGATTGAACCACGGGACGTATCACCACCAGAAACGAACCTCCAAGCAGTGACACCTCCTACGGGCCAGGCTGAGATCTGCACGTCGTCCAAGTGGTCGGGGCTGAGGATGATCTGATCCCTTTCGACGGCGACGTACTCAGAGAAAGTCCCTATTGCGAGGTGTTTTGTGCCTCCCATGATGGAAACCCCGGCTCTGTGTGTAAATGAGCACGCACCCTGCACCCGAAGTGAGCGTGACTTACCCCGATTCGGGCGCGTCGGGATCGCTTTCCCACCCGCGCATCGGGACCAGAAAGACGCGTTTGTGGAGCAAGGGGTCGGCGGCGTCAGCGGAGGCGACGACTATCCCTAGAGTGACATAGTGAGGGCTGAGGCCTTTTCTGGATCATGCTGAGCGACGGATCATGCTTACCTGCGCCATCAGCACCCAAGGTATTTCCGAATGTGATACCAGGGTACTGGCCCTTCCGAATCCACAGCTGTACGGAAAAGTTCGATTAACAAAGAAACAAGAAATTATCAGAGGCGCATACATCTCTGTGGTTGAAAGCAGCGGCCCCGATCTTGACCAGAATCTCACCGTGCTTCAATGTGGGAATGGGACGCTCAACGACCTCAGTGCCGTGATACACAGGCTTGCGCTCCTGCGCGTCCTTCTGGACGACGAGTGCCTTTGTAGTCCGTGGTAATGAAGATGACATGGCAAGGTATTCTCAACGAAGCTGCAACCGAGCGGGGGAGCTTCTCATGAGCAACGACGATAGAAGCGTCTGGGAAGATATATATGCGCACCAGTGAGATTCCCAGGCCCTGTGTTATATAGATCTCGAACGACGACTCACTGTCGCTCCCCAGTAGACCTGAGTCCAATTTCAAGGAGTTAAGTATATGCAGTGGTCTTGTGATTGGCCCTAAAGCACTATGACAAACGGTACGCCGGCCATGAAATAGACCGAGAAGTTACAGCACGGCGCAGTGTTCCTTCGCACGGCGCCCGCCGACTCCATTGAATCTGCCCCGGGGGTGCAAGGCCAGCCAAGACGCAGGTGAGCTCCAGGAGGGGTTCAATGTTGAGCGAGACGACGTCGAAAGGGCGATGATGAACGCTCGGGCCGCTCTGTGCCGCCGGTAAGATCTGTGCGAAGGCGGCCAACGCATCTTGCTGCGGCTCTGCATCTTTAAGTCAGACGCGCTTCACGAGATGTCTCGTTCACTCCGTCCTCGTAGGTCACGCCCAAACTACGCGTCTCTTTTCCAATACGAAGACGAAGACAAAGACGGCGCAGGTCCGTCAGTTCCGCGGCACACCGACCGGGAGTATAACTCGGGCAATGGCTACGCAGAAGATGAAGAAGAAGAAGCAAGCGAAGAGGAGGTCGACGAGCTCGTTGGGCTAGACGATGCTCCTGAAAACGAATACCATGGCCCAGAACCAGAGGATCAGGCGATTCCAGCTCCAGGTGGACGAAGGGGAAAAGGGAAAGCACCCACTCGGCAGCCAAAGCGACAGCCTACCGCACCTCCAGGTCTTTCGCGCCCTGCCCGACAGATGTACACTCTCCCCGTGCCAAGCGTTAGCCATCGACACAAAGCCATACCCATTTTCCACCGCGAAAAGTGCGTCGAGCGCCTCACGCGGCCACCGGTCTTGTTCGGTGCGAACGAGACCGTTCCGACCAACAGCTTCACCTCTGACCCAGCCGTGACCGGCAGGCTGAACAAGGCTTGGGGGTACAGCATCGGTCCTGGTCCGCTGTGGGAGCTGCTAGAGGATAGAGGGTGGTACAAGGAAGCAGTTGAACCCGAGGGGGGAGAGGAGAAGGAGGAAAATCGGAGACCGAGAGTATATCCAGAGTTAATCATCGAGGACAGTGGGTCAAGTTTGGATACCGAGTGTGTATATTACTCCATGCAATACATGATGATTTATCTGTTTGGTGATAACTTTTTCAGGGAAGCCGCTCTGTATTTGCCTTCTGACCCGTCCGCGAATGAGCCTTTAAGAGCCTCACCCCGAGTGGCATGCTTAGTTGGTCCCTTCGGGAGCCAGGCGAAGCTAGATCTCGACACCTTCTCGATAGTGAATTTGTGTAGGTTTAAAGATTGTTCCGAGAACACAGGGAAGCTGACATCGCGTAGCTGAATACATTCCAGAGAGCAGGTCGCATATGTTCCATGCAGGCGCACCCGTCTGGGGCCTCGATTGGTGTCCCATCCACCCCGAAGACCGTCCCCGTGAGTCGTTTGAAGCCGTGCACAATTCCCGCCCAAGTTCACTCATCGCTGACCGGTTCTCGCAGATTGCTCGTACAAGCAATATCTAGCGGTCGGGCCCTTCCCCACTCCCGCACACTCCCCAACAATTGGCGTACGAGTATCGAGGCCGTCTCCGGCCTGTATCCAAATCTGGAGCTTGGGCCCCGCACGGGTCGCACAAAACACCAATGCCGACGAGCTCCAAGCCGAAGATGAAAGAGGCGAGATGAAGTGCGAGATAGTTCTTTGCATCGACAGCGGGCCTGCGTACGAACTCAAGTGGTGTCCACTTCCATCACACGATCGAGTATGCAATTTGACCACCTGCAACTAGAAAAAGCTATGTTTGACCCTCATATATGTACCAGCTTTCAGATCCCAAGACCGCAGGCCCTCGCAGGTTGGGTCTCCTTGCTGGGACATTCGAGGACGGCTCTGTGTCCATATATGCGGTCCCGTACCCTCCTGACCTCCCTGTTGCACAAGGCAGTCCCTCTGGGCCGAAATATGGTGATGATTTCTCATGACTCACGACGTGCCGTGGGCTGAGGTAGCGGTTCTGGCAGTCAAAATTTCCGAGCCCCTTCTCCGCATCGAGCTCGAGGAAACAATGTGTTGGACGCTCGAGTGGGCCAATAGTGAGGTTATGGCTGTGGGCTGCACAAATGGTCTGTATGCTCTGTCTTTCATCCTCATATCTCTTCTCATAGCCATTGAAGGAGCATTAGCAGTGTACAACATCGGCGACGCCCTACGAGGAACTCGCAACCCGCTCGAAGGTACGTTCACCGCCCGCATAGATCGATCGTTGATTCTCATCATCTCTTGATAGCAGGGATTCTGCCGACGCATTATATCTTGGCACACCAGTCTGCCGTCCGCGCGCTCTCGTGGGTACGCGCACCGATGCTCTCCGCATCGAAGAGACACTTCATGGCGGAAGATCCTACTGTTATTGCGAGCGGTGGGTACGACGGCGTGGAGTGTCTGACGGACATCCGTGAGCTTACGGCAAATACCATGAACAGAACGCGAGGTAGGGACCCTTCGCTTTTTACTGTTCCCTATACACCGCGTCATTGTATCGAACGTATGAGTCGTTCTCAGAACGGTGATCTGATCTCTTCGGTCTCCAGATGTCATCAACAGCATTCCGTTTTCCCCGTACGCGGGTGGACCGGTGACGATCGACCACGAAAATATTGTCAAGTCGTATTCCGCGTCTCCTAGCATGCTAGGGAGGGGGCATACGCTGATGGAGCCCGGTGGTCCAGTATGGGTACGCTCGCCCGTGTTTCTAAACTGTCGGTCATGAGACGGTTGCTGATTGAGCGGACGGACAGACTGCCTCTGCATCTGACTACCATCCGCAACTGGCGGTCGGATCCGCCGACGGATGTTGCAGGACGACCAACATGCTTCGCTCGACGCGCAGAGGAGGTTCAGTCGTAAGTCCCAGTTCCAACCTAGCATAACGTCCCTTAAACCACACCTTCAACCGAAAAAAACGACTGCGCTCGAACGGGCCACAGCCCTTCCTGATGCACAAGGTTTTCCAGCTCGACTACAGCCGCAAATCGCGCACGTTCCGCATGCTCGAGCGCTTCCTCCCCGAGGAGATCCCCGACCGCTCCTCCGCGGCCGTCCGCACGCGCAAGGGCGGCCCCGCCCCGCCTGCAGGGACCGGCGCGTGGCCCACGGAGGTCGGGGTCGTGCGCGTGGCGTGGAACTCTGCCGGGGGGCTCGCGCGCGCGCCACTGCTCGCGTCCGCGACGGCGGCGGGGCTGTGTAGGGTCGATTATCTGGACGGCCGGTGGATGAGGGACAAAATGCCATACGGTGGCGTCCAAGGGATCAGGAAAGAAGGGGATGGGATGGACGTGGATGGGGTGGACGAGGACGGAGAAGAAGATGGAGAGGATGACGGCGAAGAGGACGGAGACTCTGATTAAGACCTTGTGAGCATGTACGATGAAGCCCTCTCGTGGAGATCCAAGCCCCTGACAACGAAAGTCACGCATGTATCGCCGAACCAGGTGTATTCAACAAACATATACAACTATACCATGGCATAATATAAGCGATATCAAACATACCAAGTGCGAGGGAATGTGGACAGTACTCCAAACTTGTTATCGCCAAACAGTCGTTCGGCCTGGATCAGCTCGTCGCAGCCTCCCACGCTTTGCAGCCCGGGACAGTTGTGTCTTCTGGCCGCTGAGAAGTCTACGATGAGCACCGACCAAGAATTCATCACGTAGTGGCGATAGTCGGCGAACAGATTGCCATGCTCGATACCAACGCTATGCAGCTTGCAGATCGCCATCATGATACGACGCCTATTGTAAACTCGGTGTGAGCGAGGTCCGAAGCAGTGATATGGAAGGCAGTGGGAACTTACTTGAACTCTGCGTAGTCTGGCAGGATCACGTCTGTCCCGATGCACAGATCCATCACAAGGCATCCGACCAATACGCCCTCGATCTCGGCGCCGAAGAACCCGTAACAGCGCGGCACGGCAATGCCACCCAGGGACTGCAGCTCCAGTGAGTAGTAGTCGTATTCCCTGTCAAGGTCCCTGTATTCCTGGTCGCCATAGGCAATCTTAATGCAACACTGCTCTGGGAAATCATATTCAGGACCATCAAAGGTGAGCTTTGCGGAGTAAATCCGACTTCGCCGCTGGTCAATGCGCTCTGGGAGTTCCAGCAGGCTCCGGGCAGTCAGGCAGGATCCCTGTAGGCAGCCACTAATATTTGCGATGGCATTGATGGGCTCGGTAGATATCTGGGTCAAACAGTACTTGCGGCCGTCCATGAAGTGAAGGTGAAGGCTACTGAGAAATGTCGAACAAATACCCCAGGACATAGTGGCTGCGAGAACGGCGAAGGTGTGTTAGCCTGGAATGACGAAGGAATGGGACTAGGATGGAGGAGAGTATCTTGAATGCCACTTATAAAATAACGCAACAATGGGCGCGTCTTCGGGACCATGAATCGTGGCTCCCGATGGTGAGCCACTCGTTGACACTCAAGTATTGTGGCCTTCAGTCCAAGTCACCCTACCGCCACAAACTGTCCTTAACTGTGCTCAGGCATTGAGGCTAAGAGGACTGCCAAGACGGGTTGGAAACGGGAAGCGTGCTGGGTTGAATAAAACAATGGTGGAAATTGAGATCGGGCTGGGCCAACATTCAACAGAAATATGTCGCAGAAACGATGCTTTTCGACGGCACGAGCGGCCTGAGGAATGCGCAGAAGATGGTGGGGGGGAGTCGGGGGGAGGGGAATGCCAGCGGGTGTCGCAGAACGTCGCGACGGTTGCGGGAGCTTGTTGGGTCCAGCGATCGATCATCGGCTGCGACTGAAACCGGCCAGACTCGTCGCCGCCGCCTATATTCATCGCCAGGACCACGACATAGTCACCACTTACTCCTGAATATCTGAATCTTCGAGTTGGGAATCGTGTTCTATCCACGGTGTACTGTACTGCACGCCCTCGCATCCACTCTCGGCTTTCAGTTGGCGCTCAAATATTTCCCGCGCGTTCATGCACGTCCGTGATATGGTCGTCCAATTTTGTGCTGCAGTCACTACTTGATATTCGACAGTCGCCCCACATGCTCCTCTTCGCATGCACGGTAGCGCATTCCACAGAAGTCTGCTCAAGCATGAGTGCTTTCGCCCGCAGCGTGCTGCAAGGATCTGGGAGCCTCCACCTACCGCACAAGTAGGCTCAAGCGTGTGTATCGCCGTCTTGGACGGCGAGTCTGTGCTGCTGCTCGATCCTCGAACATCGCGCTGTCATCTTGCCCAATTTTGCAGGAAATTTTCTGTTCTCCAGTTCTGGACACGCAGGCGAACACGGCCGCCTTGGGCACCCGCATCCCACCCCGTTTGGGTAGAATCATAGACGGGACTCATGGATCCTCGGAGCGGATATTATGAAGAGCATAGAAATTTGGACGTGCGCTCGAGTGGATCAAAATCCCGATTCTTGATGACTGGCAAGCTGGATTTCATGGCAGTGAGATGACCAAGGGGTGCGTTTATCGCAGTGGGTCGCTCTCGCAAAGAGCTCAAGACTTTGGTATGTTTTCTGCCATACCGCTCAGTTAGACTTTTGATCCTAGGCCCGGATCCTCGCTTTTGACGGGCGCGTTAATGTCACATCACAACATGGAATTATGGTGCGTCTTCGCTCTTGCTCATTTCTGTATGTTGGATCTTGAGGGGACACATGCTGGAACGTGGTTGTATGCGCTGCGCTCTTCGCTGAAACCATTTTGTCGCGACGAGGGCTCACGCGCTAGGCTTGAAGCTCGCTGAAATACCAGAAATGGCGTGGATGACGGAAATTCACGTTCATCCCTCTGTTAATGGGTTGGTTCAGCGAAGACGCAACAGAGTGTTCGTGGTCGCGAGAGACACCTGCCTCAGCTCACATCGCGCTTCCATCCTATGCCGATTTGTGACACAAGTATGGTCACGTCTGTCACGCAGTGGGACATGGACTTGGTGGTCTACGGCTTGCGAGCGCAATTGCGCAGCCTGGTATTGTTCTGGAAAGTCGAGGATGATAGGAATGGGAAAGAGGTTCACGGATGAGGCTCATCGATGCGACCAGGGTCTTTGTTCTGGAAGTGCGGCTAGAAGGCGTGACAAGCGCGCAGCTGAGCCCACTAGGCATGCGTTGAGAAGGGACTGAGAGCGGAATATTGCATGCAAATATGCGCAGGAACTGTCGTTTTGACTGTTGGCATGCGCGTATGTCGTTTATGTGGAGGGGGGATGGTATCATCGCGTTCATCTGGACTTTCACTAAGACCGAGTTCGATCGTAGGCCTCGGTCTTTGCATTTTTGTCAAACTTTCAATCTAGCACACTTGAGCCCGTGTTTCTCATGCTGTTGAATTTGTTACTTGGATTTTTGACTCACTGAAAACATTCTCCAGACTTACCGAATCCCAGATGCTGCCATTCTTCGTTTGCCCAAACTGTTCTTGGGATGGAATGTGAATCACCTCCGCGTAGTCCAGTGTCTTTTGAGGTGGTCATCTCGATTCCATGAGCTACGTCAACGTGAGAGTGTTGCCGTCGAACGGAGGTATTTCGACGACGGAGGCAAATCTCACACAGCGTTCAATTGGCGCAGGTCGAAATCGGTCCCGTCTACGCGACTCGAACGCCGTTTGATCGTGGGTGGCTACTTTGCCCAAATAGGACGCGGAGACCCCTCATGGCGTGGTGCACGGTCTCGAGAGCCATTCTCGTCAATTTGCCGACTGAATTCATTTGCGAGTTATATAAGGGCATGGTTCTCTTGCTTTACGCACCCCTTGCGTCCTTTCTTCTCTCTTTCTTTTCTTCCCCTTCCCCTTCCTTCATCCTTCCCACCACATCTGATTCTTCACCTCGCCCCCCACTCTCTTTGCTCGTTTTTCTCTCTCCCATCCACGCCACGGGCCACAGCTCTTTCATTTTACACACAACTACTCTATCAGCGGGCCTCGCCTGCCGGATGCCCAGTATCAACCCACCCTATCCGTCTTTTACCCTTGTCATGTCCAATAACATGGGCAGTTCTGGCACTTCTCGCCCATCCGCATATCGCGGCTCCCACTCCGGGAGGTATCATCCATACCCCCGCGCATACCCATTGCACTACGAAGACCATATGGTAAGGCATTTCACGCATTGTGCTGCATCGCTGGATGCTCATCGCCCCTCACGTACAGATGACCGTTGATTATCGGTACAGCGAACCTCCGCAAGCTTGTCCGCGTTCGAGTTTTGCCCTAGTGAGTGCAGGCCGATCGTGTTCCCTTTTTATAGACTGCTGTTGTATTGAGTGATCGCTCCTGATCTGCAGCCGGCGATCATAGTTGAAGACTGTGATCTTGAAATAGAAGCCGGCGCCGCGGACGATACAGACACCGCCGTCGAGCGTCGCGCCAGGCCCAATATAAAAAACATCGGCGACTATATCTTGGTGCGTCATTCTGGGTTGTGTATATACATGCGCTTATTTTGGGCCGAATATGTCAAATTGTCACTCAAGGCGTTCGTACTTGCCGTTCGGCGTAAATGCCGCAGAGCGTTGACCGTCAAGAACATCGAAGACGAACTCCGGTTCGAATTTGTGAACTGACTCTGCACTCGTTCTTCTTGAGGTGATATCAAGCTCTTCGAGGGGGCAGAACATCAAAATCACCGCCACCTGCCACGACGTCTTACATCCTTCCTAGCTATTGTATCGCTTTGAAATGTCGTGTTGACACCGTATTCCCGATTTCTTGTGCTGGTCCATCCAATGCTGTATATATACGTCCGTCCCGCTCGTCGCGTGGTCAGCGCTACACTGTATCGTAGTCGTCGTTCCTGTTTGTGAAAATTTTGTCGATTGCGGTTCGTTGCACAATCTATGCAGTCCTGTCTTTATCGTTTGAGGCCTTGAGGTCCACGTCTTCGTTTGGAATATTTGAAAGCCGCTCGATGTGCCAAACTGTTCGCTCTACTTTCTACTAGTCGGATGGGGACAAGCGGTCAAATATATTTCAAAAGGACCACAATACTCTTAGCGCATCGAGGGGCCTGTATCGACATGACCCATCTAGTATTCAAGATCATGTTCGCCGAAAAGAATATCGGACCAGAATAGCTCAGGGCAGGAAACGCCTGGGTATTCACCTATCCTATCGCTGACCCGTACCTGCGGCGTGCCAATCGGACAGTCGCGTGAGTGTGGGCGTGCCGTTGAAAAGTCAACTACCAGGACCGAGTGGCCCTGCATGACGAAGTGGCGATAGTACGGATACGGCTTTACGATGTTCGGGACAAAGTGATATAGTCGATCGTGAATGACTCCAGCCAAGTGCAACTTGCAGATCGCCGCCATGATCAGGCGACTGTTGGAGGAGCATTCGTGAAGAGCGAGGATTCGACAGCGCGAAGATGACTTACTGGAATTCCTGTCGTTCCTCACCCTTCCTGTAAGAATTCATTTCCTCCACCGAGCAATTGCCCTCGGCCATTGCTTTCTCCACGAACTGATCCTTTGGAACATTGACGGTTCCGACGCACAGGTCCAGCACTAGACACCCGACCAGCTTGCCTTTCACCATTTTACCGAAGAACCCATGACAGCGCGGCACAGCAATGCCACCAAGTTCACGCAGCTCGTGGCTGTAGAGATCATGCTCACGCTTGAGCGAATAGTACTCTTGGGAGCCAAAAGCCATCTTGATGCAGCACTGGCCTGGCAAGCCATGCTGTTGGCCGTTGACCGTGAGTGTCGCAGCAGAAACCCGTGGCCCCAGCGGGTCAGTCGCGAGCGTAGGACGCAATCGACAGTCCGCTTCGAGGTCCATCAGTCCCACAGCAGCTGGGCAGGGGCCTTCCAGAGCGTGATTGATCTTTGCGGTGGCATTGAATGGTCTGTCGGGCCCTAACAGTGACTGGATCAGACGGAGTGTGCCTTCGTTGTTTCTCTCGATACGGAGAGTGCCAGTAATATTTGGCATGGTATTACGAGGTATCGAGATGGCTGGGCGCGAGGTGGTTTGGGGAGACGAAGAAAGTGAGCAAGGAGCCAAGGGATGCCATCGAATTTATAGGATGTCGAGACAATACTCGCCTCTTCGGAGCCTGGAACCGTAGATCCAAAAGCGAGTGGAGTGGCTTTGACTGGAACATATCTTGTGTGGTGCCGTATCGATCGATGCCTCGGTGCGGTGCAGCTCGGTGCAGCCACTCGCCGTCTGTAGCGTACGGTGAATTTGAAATCAGGAGAAAGGACTCATGCTAGACAGTGGGGCATGTTGTGAGGGACAAAAGATGTGCAGATTGCTGAGCCAAACGAAGATGGGTGGGTAAAGCTTGACGGTTGAAACCAGATGGAGGTGCTGTGAAGTGAGCAGAGGAGAGGGGAGGGAGGCGCAGTGACAGAGCGACGCGCGGAGCTCGCTGGGTCTCTCGCGATCGGTTGCAACTCAGGCTCAAACCGGCCTGACCGCCTCCCGCCGCATCCGCTACCCACGACATATCCATCACTTGCTTTGCTTCTGAATTGTCGAGTCGAACATCGCACTCCATCTTGCATTCGCGGGCCTGGTGATGCGATGGGTAGCGGGGCACTCAACCATTGGGGGACGCCTGAATGGTCTTGGAAGTTAGGCTGGTGCTCAAGCGTTTCGCACGCTTGAAGACGCTTGAAGACGGTCATCTTCGGTGCTGCGGTCTGCAGTGGTCTCCCGAATCCAGCTCTTGCCTCGCATGCGCAAGCGATAGCGCATACAGTGGACGCTTCCCAAGTACGGGCGACCAAAACGCCCGGGGTGAGCCACTGCGAACCTGCTCTACCACAGCGCGCGCCGTACGGGCGCTTTGGTCTCCCGCATCGTGCTGCGAGGATTGAGGAGTGTGTGTCCATTCGACCCCTGAGCAGGCTGGAGTTTCTAGAGAGCATGGCCTCACCACGGTTCGGGCACACCTTCCCGCGGCGTCCTCCATGGTTGACGTCGATACAAAATCCGCCTGGGATGTTGAAGTCGATGGAGAATTTAGGAGTCGGATGTTCGTAGGCAGTGGGCCGTTCTCGCAGAAGAGCTTGAAATTTGGTATGATTTTCGATATACCGTTCAGCTATTTTTTTGATCCTAGGTCTTGGATGAGCCGGTGGTGATGCGGGGACGGCTCGTCAGAGCGTGAAGCTCAGTATTCGGTGCGCCTTCTTTTCTCTTGTTTCTTTCTGTTTTCTGGATTTCAAGGGAGGTTGGTTGTATGTGTTGCGCTTGTCGAGTTCATTGGAACTATCACGCTGCGACAACGTCGTGCGCGCTTAAGCTTGAGGCTTGAAGCTGTTTGCATTGCCTTGTGATAGCATGGGTGTCTGCAGATGCACGCTCATTGCACTGTTGGTGCTTGGGTTCAGCACACATGTTTTTCGTGATGGAAGTCGACGAGAGACACCTGCCTCAGCTTGAGCTCTGATATCGTGACGATGCGTGACATATTAGTCACGCACGTCACGCTGGCGGGCATCGACTTCAAGCGAAATTGCGCAACCTGTGTGTCTTGCAGAGTGTCGGGGTTGGCAGGATGGGAAACATAATAACGACCTAAAACACATGGATGTGGAGACAGTCAAGGGCCTTCACGCTCTTGTTTCTAAGTTCGGCCAGTGGATGTGACAGATGTGTTGCTGTGCTCGTCTGGCTGCATGGTGGATGGAATGTAGAATGTGGGGATTCTTGCATGCTAAACGTCAATAAGAACATGGTTGACATATGTTTTTATCGCTATCATAGAAGGGGGACGAGGGTTTGTGGATCCGGGTGTTCTCGAGGTTCAACTGTGTAGTGGGGTGTACGTCTTCATCTAGCGGGGATTTCGAGCCTGCTATATCGCATTGATATCGTCTTTTCATGCTATTGAGTTTTGAATTTGAGCTGTTTTACTCACCGAAATCATCCTGCAGCTATGTGTTATCTCAGACGCACCTCATCACCCGTTTGTCCACCCTTTTTCTCCACTCCGTTCGACGGGATGTGGATCGCCTCTGCGTAAACTTGTATCCTCTGAGAGGTCCATCTCGACATCACGAGCAATCTCCATGCGAGGGTAGCACTGTCGAGCGGAGGTATATCTGACGACGGAAGCAAATCTCACACGGGGGGGTTGCCAATTCCGCACGTTAATCGGTCCCGTCGCCCTGACGCGACTCGAACACCGCCTGATCGTGGGTGGCTACTTTGCCCAAATAGGACGCGGAGACCCCTCATGGCGCGGTGCGCGGTCTCGAGCGCGATTCTCGCTACTTTTCCGACTGAATTCGCTCGTGGGTATTTAAGGGCTGGGCAACCCTTCTTACTTTGCGCCCCCCTTCGCATTCTTCCTTCCCCCTCGTTTCTTCCTGTCTCTGCCTTCATTTCTCCTCTTTCCGCCCCCCCGCCCCCACCTTCTTTGCTTGGGTTCCGTCCTCTGACCACCTCACATCCTTTCTACACACAAGGACACTACTAGCGGGCCCGGCCTGCCGCATGTCTAGCGTCCGCCCGCCCTACCCATCCTTCACCCTCGTCATGTCCAGCAACATGAGCACCATGAGCAATCCGGCGGACACGTCACGTCTACCCGCGTACCGTGCCTCGCACCTCGGGCGATTTCACCCATACCCTCGTGCACACCCTTCCTACCACGAGAACTATATGGTACGCGTCCGCCGTTCCATCTTCTCGCGCGTTTCTCTGCATCGCTGGACGCTTACGAGTCGTTTCCTTCATCCGCGTTTGTGTGCGATGCGCAGACGACTGTCGACTATCGGTACGGCGATCCGCCGATTTTCCAGCCCCAGCCGCGCTCCAGCTTCGCTCTGGTGAGTTCAGATCTCGCATTCCCCCGTTCCTCTTTGTTTTGTGCGGTTATTTGATCGATTGACCGACATTTGATTGGCAGCCGGCGATCATCATCGAGGATTGTGACATCAAAATAGATTCGGATTCGGGCGACACAGACACAGCCGTCGACCGCCGCAACAGGCTCAATCTGAAAACCTTCAGCCATTATGTCCTCGTGAGTCGCGAGGTTTCGTCCTTTGCTCACGCCTGTGCTCAGTCTTTTCATATGGGGCTTGTTGAAATCGCAGGCATTCGCTGTGGCCGTGCAGCGTAAATGCCGCCGCACGGCTGTCGTGAAGAAGATGGGAGACGAACCCCGGCTTGATCTCCTCGACTGAATGACAAGTTCGTTTGTCGTCCATTTCTTGACACAGGGGCAAACTTCTTCTTGGGGAGGTTGAGTCTCACAATTGCTGCTTGGCGGCACTCGCGTTCTCATCCTATGCTTAACATTGAGGCGTCGCATTTGGATTCCATTTTTGAGTTCTTGAGTGATCTTGCGTCCGGTCATTGAGTTGTATATATGATCTAACGTCGAGTTAGTAGAGTCGAGCAGGTGACTCCGTACTGTATTATAGTCGTATCTTTTGTCCTTGAACTTGCCCTGAAAATCATGCTGTCGGCGTCGTGTTCTTTTGCAGCCCCTGAAGCGATTCAGAGAGTTGAACCCTGTTTGTTTGGGAGATCGCGCGTCCGATGAGGTTGAAGCAGGCAATTCTATTCGAAACTAGCATAGCAGATAACGGCGTGCTGAGATCTCGCAGTATCTCCCTACCCCTTGCAACCCGGTCGATGGGATCGTACAGCACGTACAGACGGAAGCGCCGCCGATTCGAGGGGGATTTAGCTGGAAGGACTGGGAAGACTGGCTGGGTCAATCGACGCCTAGGACGGGGGAATCGAATTCCGTCTGAGATACGTAAGCTTTCGAGCAGAGAGCGAAGCATTAGTGGGCAATTGGCGACTGGATGAATTTCTGCACGCGAACCAGCGTGCGCAGAGTTGACTCGGGCGTGGAGAGATGGTGTTGGGCGAGCCGCGCGCAAACATGACTGCGATCTTTCTGTGTTGAGATCCGGAATTCACACTCTGAAGCATGGCAAGGGCGAGGCTGTCAGTCGTCTCGGGTATGAAACGACAGTTCAAAGATTGCCTCACCATTTTTTACCTCTTCCAACCGCCAGCCTCGGTGAGGAGTCGCAGCAGCTTTGAGGCTATATCCCCGCATCGACGCGGTGGGAGTTTGACAACCGGGGCGAGTGTACTCAAAGGCGACGAGGGTAATAGATTGGCAATAGCCAAGAGAATCCTGGGATGAAAGGCTACCATCAGGACACTCACAACGCTCCATGCAGGCCACCGCTGCTCGTGGAGGACGCGTATAGTCTGTACAGTGTGGTTTAGATGGAGGGAGTGTCGGAAGAGGCTGACTGGGCGGCCCGTGGGCCCCGCGGGCGCCTATGTGGTGCGTCTGCGCACCCGCCGTCCAGGACGGCGAGATGCCAGCACTGGACCCAGCTACAGCTCCTTTCAACAAAAAAAATTTCTTCGCACCACAAATGTCCCAACCGTCTCCCCAGCGACGCGTTCGCAGACAAACATACAGTATATGAGCAGACTTCCGAAGCAACGACGAGACATTGTGTGCTTTGGCCAGTGGCAGTATCGCGATGTTCGCGACATTTATCCTCGGCGAGAGCTGGCACGTTTTTTTGTCTCATTTCGTGAATAGATCCTTAATGTTATACTAAACCCCTGTGTTTCATTTGTTTTCAGTTTGGTGGAGGCAGCAATACGAGCACTTTGGCACCTCGGAAGAAAAATAAACTTGTTGTCCCAAATATGTTGCTGATATGACGAGCATGCATGTTCGTCATGTCAGAGCCGCATCTGTGTCCATGAGGTAGGTTTTTTTTATCTCTCGAGTACAGGAAACGAGACTGACATGACGAGCATATATGCTCGTTATATTAGAGTCTAAGCTGACCTATGTGTGCTGTGAGGTCAGTCCTATCACACATCTCAGAGCGACCTCATCACGGCAAGGTTGCTTCCAGACCGCTGTCCGTGACCATCAATCATATTGGCGGACGCGCAAGCCATCGCCCTTGAGCGCGATATTTTATTCTGGAACGGTTGGCCAGGTTCTGTATATCTGCATAGAAACAGGGCGCTTCCATTGATGAAGCCGAGCCCGCGCCCGTGGCAGACGTCCGCGGTGCGCCTTTGACTTGTAAATAGGCGACGGACACCGAGCGGAACACTGGACTCGTTCGGCCACGGACTGTCCGCATTATCCGTCTGGATACAGGTATAGCACACGAAAACATCACCCATGGTTGTAGCCCCTGTATTCTATACAAGCGGGAAGAAGCACACCTAGCGTGCGCAGGGCACTGGACGATCGCACGGCGCTGGATGATCGCACGCCCGCGGGTCGTCGTCTGACTTGCGGGTGCTCTATTGCTAAAACCAGACGCGGCGACCTCGCCGCCGCGCTCTGGTCGCTGTCTCGCGAGCTGGTGGGTATATAACCTCCTCCCCCCTCCCCCCGCCCGTCTGTTCCTTCTATGTTTCAACCCTCTTGTTGATCCTCGCCTTGCTACCCTATCTACCTGTCCTCTCGACATGACTTCCTACAGCTCGCGCATTCACGACCACCGCAGCTCCCGCGTTTCCAGATATCATCCTTACCCGCGCGTGCGCGCCCCACGGCACCACAGCGGCTTGTCCATGGTACGTGGCTGCCCCCCCAGACGCTCAAGTCGCGCTCATCCTCCGCGTTTTCCAACCCGCAATTCCCCATTCTACTCGCTTTTTTTTTTGCACAGATGCCTCTTGCCCATCTGCACGACGACCCGAGCCGCTTCCAGCCTCCGCTGCTATGGTGAGCCCGCCCGCCCATCCTCAGTCTATGGCTCGTTTTTCGCACCGTGGCCGTATCATACTGACCGCGTGACCAGCTCCCTCCGCAGCCCGCGGCGCTTGCAGGCGAAGCTGGCGACCTCGAGGTCGAGGCAGAGAAGGGTGTCGAGGAGGGCGTAGAAGGGGGCGTAGGAAAGGATGCGGCCGTCGAGCGTCGTCCCGTCCAGCCGGGCCTCGCGGTCCTTGGCGGCCATCTCCTTGTACGTCCCCAATGCCGCGTCCATCCGCCCGCTCGGTGCTTATTTCTTTCCTCAATTCTTTGCTTTTTCATCTGGTTCCAATGAACGTTGGCAATGAAGGCGTTCGTCACGGCCGTGTGGCGCAGATGGCGCATGTAGTGTAATGCCGATGTCATTTATCAAAATAAAATTTCTCGCTCGAGGGGGGATTCATGCGGGTAACGTGATATCATATTCGAGGGGAGCGAACAGAGAAAGCCAGTCCGTCTGTCCAGCTGTTGGTGGGAGGACGGACCAACAAGGACCTGGCAATCGAACGAGGGGTTGAATTTGCCATACCAAATCTGGCCAAGCGAACGTACGTGACAGTGACGTGGTCACGGTCACTCGCGCGCACTTCATTCCACCGCAACACCGCACGCACTTTTGGCACCGACGGCATAGCGTGCGCTCCTCACACAGGACAAACGAACACGACACACACACACAGGCAGCACCATGTCCCTCTCCGTCCTGCGCGCGCTCAAAGCGGGGGCCCGGCGTCAACGACAGGCGTGCGCGACTTGTGGCGGTGGGCCGTCTTTTTCGCGAACGGGGGGTGCGGCGTGGGTTACCAGGGCGTATGCGGTGAAGAGCGGGGGCGGGGGCGCGAAGGGCGGCGCGAAGAGCGCAGAGGCGGCGTCTGAGAAAGAGGGGGAGGCGTCTGTGCTTGTGGGGGGTGGAGAGCCGGGTGCGTAGTTATCCTGCGCGCGACTGGACCGACGGCTGTTGACGCTGACTATCTACCCTCCCTCCCTCCTGCGTGCGTGCGTGCGTGTGCGTGTGCGTGTGTGCGCGCTGGCACGACAGGCTCGCGGTCGATGTGCCCGCCGAACGCTGTGCTGGCGGGGCTGCAGTGGCTGAAGAACCAGCCGCCGGTGCTCGCGCTGGCGGACGATGCGTACCCGGGGTGGCTGTGGACGCTGCTGGATGCCAAGAAGGTGGAGGACGACGGGCCGGGCGGGCGCGGGGAGAAGGTGCGGCTGCGGCGGGAGAACCGGCAGCGGATCAGGGACCAGAACTTCATGAAGACGCAGTGAGGGCGGGCGGGCGGGGGTCGCGGGTGCACACGATGTATCTACACGGGTTTAATAATTGCGCGCAGAGCCGCTGGCTAGCAAAGGCGAGGCGGCCGAGGAGGGGGTGTGTGGCGCGCGTCGATTACGTACGCAGCTGGGCGGGAGAGGAGCTGCGGCGAACCGCTCGACCGCCTTGCACTGTTCGCCCATGACGGCCTCCTTCGCGGCGTATGCGTCGCACTTCATCTCCAGACACCAGCCGTCGTCCCTCGCGTCCTCTCAGCCCCTCTTCTTCTCCTTCACCGACGACGGCGGCGGCGACGACGACGACGACCAGCCCCACGCCCCCCATCGCGATCCGCACGCCGCAGACCTCGACGACCTCGACGACCCCCACCTCCGCGCCAGCGCAGCCTCCACACATCTCTCGGTAGCTGATCGCTCCTATCCCCACGGCGCTGGCCGCAGCTACGGCCCAGGCGTCGGCGACATCGACGACAGCGACGATCCGTATCTGCGTCTCGACGAGGACGACCACGCGCCCCTCCCCGGCGCCTCGTCCGCCGCCGCCTCGCGCTACGATCCCCACCGCGCACCGCTCCTCGCCTCCCACGCACTCTCCGACATCGAACGCAGCCGCGGCTGGCTCGCACACCAGCCGTCCCCGCTCCGCTCCCCGTCCCCCGCCCCGTCCTCCTCCTCCTCGTCCGCGGACTCCTCAGACTCGGGCACCCCCCCTGCCGACCTCCTCAATCCCACTCTCGCCCGCGCCCAGCACCGCCCGCCGCCGCCAACGCATGCCGCCGCCGCTGACCCGATCCCTCCGCCGCCGCGGACGATCCCGTCGCTGTCTCTGACCGAGTCGCTGCTCCCGCGCGACGGCCGCGCCCGCCCCCTCGACGTGTTCTCGCTCCCGGATCCTCGCCACACCGCCCACGCCCGCGCCCGCCGCAAATACCACGACGCGCTCTGGACCGCCCTCTGGTGCACCGGCCTCTCCGCCTGCCTCCTCGCCTCCGTCCTCGTCCTCTTCCTCACCCACCGCCCCGCCCCGGGCCAGCACCCCGGCGCCTCCCTCCCGTACACCACCCTCCTCCACACCGTCCCGCTCCTCACTGTGCTCACATTTGTCAGCGCCGCCGTCTCCTACGCGCACATCTTCCTCCTCCGCGTCTTCGTCAAGCCCGTCGTTATCGCCACCACCGTCTTTGTCCCCGTCACCCTCTTCCTCTCCGCCGTCTGGGCCTTTGTCGGCAGCTTCATGTGGGACGGCGACACCGAGCCCACCTGGGGCGAGTCCTGGGGGTGAGTGTCTCCCCGTTGCCCGCTTCGCCCCCGCCTTCTCCTGACCGATCGAGATCCCCCGCAGCCTCCGCCTCTTTTCCCTCGTTCCGCTCGTCCTCGCCCTCCTCACCGCCCGCCGCCTCCTCCACCTCCCACGCACCATCCACGGCACCTCCACCCTCCTCACCCTCACCACCACCCTCCTGGCCGCCCACCCGCTCCTCCTCGCCCTCTCCCCGCTCGTCCTCCTCGCCGCCCTCCTCGCGTCCCTCCCCTTCCTCACCCTCGCCTTCCGCCTCCTCCTCATCGGCTACTTCACACGCACCCCCGCCGCGCAGCTCGCGGGCTGGGAGTGGCACGTCCACGGCTGGGCAGGCTGGGCCATCGCCGCCACCGTTGGCGTCTGGCTCTGGAGCTGGGGCATCGCCCGCGGCATCCTGCGCGTCACCACCGCAGGCGTCATCGGCGCGTGGTACTTTGCAGAGTGCGTCTCCTCACTACCCCCTTCGTCTCTCGTCTCTCGTTTGGCACGCCCGCGCGCTGACTTTCCAACCCGCACAGCCCGGACCTGCCCCCGCCCCCGCCCACGTCCACGCACGCCCTCCACGCCGCGCTCTACCGCGCCACGCGCCCCGCCCTCGGCACCGTCGCCCTCTCCGCGCTCCTCGCCTCCCTCGCGCGCTTCCTCGCGCTCCTCACGCTCCTCCTCCGCCGCGTCCCGGCCTACCTCCCCCCGCCGCTCCGCGCGCACCCGCTCGCGGGCGCGCTGCTGTGGGCCGCGGGCGTCGCGGCGGGGTACTGCGAGGAGCGCGCGGGGAGGGTGGGGAGGTATGCATTGGTTTATGTGGGGCTTACTGGGGACGCGTATTGGGTGAGCGCGAGGAGAGCGGGGGAGTTGGTTGCTGGGGGCGCGGGTGCGGGCGCGGGTGCAGGCGCAGGTGCGGGTGGAGGGGGCGCGGCGGGCGCAAAGTATAAGAAGCGGTTCAAGACCGAACGTGCGTCCCACCTCCACTCACCTCCCAACGAGCCGCTCACCGACCGGCGCCGCACAGCCCCGCTGACGCTGCTGACGATCGCGCCGCTGACGCTGACGTTCCCCGCGGCGCTCGCGGCGTACCTCTTCGTCGCGCACACGCTCGGCGCGCCGGGCGGCGCGGCGCTCGAGGCGGCGCTGCTTGCGGGCGGCGTGACGGCGCTCGTGGGCTTGTTTTGTGTTGGCCTGGTTCGGGACACGTGCGTGCGCTTTCTTTTTTCGCTTTTGCTCGGCCGCTGGGCCTCGCGCGCGCGCGGGGGTGGGGGCGTGCGGGGTGGGTCTGTGTGCGTATGTGCGTGTGCTGATGCCTTTTGGGGGCGCGCGCGTGATAGGGCGGACACGCTTTATTTGTGTTATTGTATCGATCGGGACGTCGGGGAGCGGCGGCGGGCGGAGGTGTTCGAGATGGTGCGTTCGTTTCTCGTTCTTTCGTCCCTGTTTATTGTTTCGCATTCGCGTCCCTCGTTTCGCGTTCCCGTCTCGTCTCTTGTTTCCGTTCTTCGCTCGGCGCTTTCGGCGCTCTCGCCTCTTTTTCGTTGTCGTCTCGTCGGTGCGGGACGCGAGCTGACGTGAACCTCTCCGATTGGCTGTTGCTGTTAGTTCGAGTACGATCCCCGGCGCGGTGCGCGGGCGCAGGAACAGTCGCAGGCGCGGTATGGGCGGGCACCGCAACAACAGCAACAGCAGCAGGTGCGCGGGCAGCGCGCGCCGTTGGCTCGTGCCCAGCAGCAACAGCAACAGCCGCCCCAGCCCCAGCCCCTGCAATATCACCAGCAACCTCAGCCCCAGCAGCATCAACGACAACAGCCACATCAGCAACAGCAACAGCAACAGCAACAGCGACAGCAGCAGCAGCCGCGCCAGCCGATCTCGCAGCGCGTGCAGGGCATGGCGTCGCCTTCGCCGTCGTTGTCGCCGTCCCCGTCTGAGGGGGGCAGGTCGCTTGGCGGTGGGGGGCGCGGCGGGGGGTCGCCGGAGGTGAGGGCGGAGGCGCGGTTTACGGGGAGGGGGAGGGAGAGGAGGGAGCAGCAGGGGCGCGTGGGGGAGCAGCAGAGGGAGAGGGAGTATGGGGAGTATGGGGAGTATGGGGAGTATGGGCGGCGGGAGGAGCGGCGGGAGGAGGACGCGCACGAGCAAGCGCGCGAGCACGAGCGTGAGCGTGAGGGAGATGTGGACCCGTTTTTGAGGGCGTATACGCCTGAGATCCAGGATGAGGAGCAGGGGTACGGGCAGGGGCAGGGGCGCTCGTTCGAGCACCGGTACACGATTGAGCAGGATTCAGACCACGATCACGATCACGGCCAGGATGCGAGGACGGGCAGAGGGGGGCATGGGGCTACGAGCATCATGGACATGGGCATGAGCGGGAGTGTTGGCGGCGGTGGTGGTGGCGGTGATAGCCGCATTGGTTCGGGCGGGCGCGGGCGCGGGCGGGAGGGCAGGGACGAGGAGGAAGGGATCGCGGCTGGCGCTGGGTCTGGCGCTGGGTCGGGGATGATGTCGGGCCTGTTCCCGCCTGCGGGGTCGGACCTGTTCTGAGCGCCGCGCCGCGCGTCCCTGGCCTCCGCGCCGCCCCGTCCATGCCCATCTCATGTTCAGCTCTACATCCTCTGGTATGCTCTCCGCCTGTTCCTCCTCGCCGTCTCGTCTCGTCTCGTCTCGTCTCGTCTCTGGACCCGCCCATCGCACGCTCAAGTTGCACACCACCGGATCCCGTTTCCTTTTCCTCTGCTCTCGCCCACGCCATTCATGTGCATATCGTGGTTTGTGGTATAGAAGTCGCCGCCGCCGCCGCTCGGACGCGCGCTCGTTGTTGTGTATACTTACTCGCTTTTACTTACTTACGTCGCTGCCTCCACCTGTAAATAATACTCGCTGTTCCACACGCGCGACCGACCGGCACCCGACGGCGCACGCGCGCTCGAGTTGAGTCGAGCAGTCGGCGACCCGCGCGCGAGCGAGACGACCGACGGGCCGTCGTCCGCGACGCGAAACGCGAGACGAATAGGTTATGAATAGGACCGAGAAAAGGTACTTCTAGGACAGAATATCTACAGCGAGCGACTATGCGACGCGAAGCCTTCCGCATCCTCTTCCGTCGTACACCCACACCGGCCACATCGATACAGCTCACCGCGCGTGTCCGTCTGAGCGAGAGAGCGTATACAGCGCCACGGCAATACTTACAACGCGTTCCGCGCGCGCATATACATACACACGCGCCTCGGAGCCTACACACGCGGCCGCCCGCCGCCTATCACGCGCCCGTCGTTGGCCCACCTCGCCCCGTGTCCCCACCGTCCTCCCGCGGCGGCTGCTCCGCCTTTCCCACGTCCTCCGCCTCCGAGCCGACGTCCGACCCCACGCTCGACCCGCTCGCGAACGTCCAGCTGCCCGCCGTCGGCGTCGTCTCCCCATCCACGTCCGCGTCCGCGTCCGCATCCGCATCGGTATCCGCGTCCGCGTCCGCGGTGTGGAACTCGCCAAAGTCGCCGAAGCTGTCGAACGACGCGTCGTGCGCGTCCTCCGTCAGGCGCGACGAGAACGTGAACGGGTCCGAGCCGCTCGCCGCCGCCGAGTCGGAGAACGGGCCGAAGCCTTCGTCCTGTGCGCGCGTGCGTTAAGTCAACGGTCAACGGTCTGCCGCGACGAGCGAGAAACGGCGGCGGGGCGCCACTCACATCATCGTCCTCCGTGCTGAATGGGTCGCCAAAGGGGCTCATCGACACGTCCCTAGGCGCAAACGAGTCCTGGACCCGTCGTTCTTCGGTGAGCCGCGTGCCAGGCGACAGAAAATGCGCGCGTGATGAGCTCACCTCGAACCCGTTGGCGCTCAGCGGCCTGCGCTGGGGCTGTCGAGGACGGGTGGACACGGGCGGCTGCCTATCGAGGTCGAAATGCGACTGCGCGAGCCAGCCGCTGTCTTCGTCGTCTGAATGATCTGGCGACGAGGACGACCCGAACTCGTCCGGAGAATGCATCTCCTGCGCGAGGTACCGCGCGAACTACGGTTGCGGCCCAGTCAGTTAGCCAGGCGCGTTCCGTCAGGGCGAAAAAAAATGCGACTAACATGTGGGTGGCCGCTTGGAGTGAAATCGTCGTCGTCGTCGTCGTCATCATCGTCCGCGAATGCCGCGCGGAAGTCCGCGCTATTCCCTTTGGTAGGTCGTGCACTTGTAGCCCTGCGGAACTCGCCTTGCACCCCCGAATGATTCGAGCCACTGCTGCCCGCACCGGAGCCGGATGCGCTGCTGGCGCTCGGTGCCGAAGGACTGATGTCTTGCTCGTCCACCCTCCATTGCGTGGCCCCAGGACGCGCCGCGCTCGCCACGATGCTGGGTTTTCCTCCCCCGAGGACGCTGGTGTCTTTCTTCTTCGTCTCGTTGTACCGGCCAGTGACGTATTCGTCCCAGTCGGGCTGGGGCGCAGTCTCCGCGACGGCGAGGCGAAGGTCTGGCGGAAAGGTCTCCAGCGCCATGAGGACGTCATCGGCCATCAACGTCAAATAGCCCATGTATCCCAGACGCACGCCCTTGGGCTTGGCGCTGGCGTATTAGGGTCAGATGGCCTGCTCCATCAGGTAGCATATATAAAGGCGGCGCATACCTTTCGGTGTCGTTCCTTCGTTGCCCTTCGACAATTCGCCACATCAGCTTTGCATCGCGGAACAGTGACAGGATAAGTGCACGGTTGGTGCTGTCAGTATGACCGGTCAGAATCTGATGGAACAGGTCGTAGACGACGTTGTGCAAAAAATTATTCCAAGGGTACTCAAAAAACAGATCCTGTGGCTCTCATCAGATCAAGACGGAGTAAAACGCGGGTGTGCCTCACCATCAGTGTTGACAGCACGCCTACTTCCAAGTATTTTTGCTTAAGCCGTTCGCCAATGGGTAGAGGGAGATCGGGCTGAGGGAGATCTTGGATGGTGATTCTTCTGGAACTTCGTCTCGAGCCTGCTGAACGTCGGCCCGTCGTCGACGTCTCCGAATCGTTGCTTCGAGTCGATCCCCGTCGTCGTAGAGGACTATCGGCGGTTTGCTCTGCGGTAGGAGACGAGGAAGCGCCACCGGGAGATGCAGATACAGCTATTGGGCTCGGGCTCTGTTCTGCAGGCGATCGCGAATGCGTTGGCGAAGGAGGCCCGGGGCTGCCCTCCATTTGCTTCGGCTCGTCATACATCGCTATCTCCTCCATGGCATCATCATCCGAGCTTCCAGGTCCATCACCATCGCTCATGTCGTCGTCTGAATCTGACAGAGAAGACACGTAGTGCGATGCGCCATGAACCGGTAGCTCCAATGCAGGCTCTAGCTCTTCTCCGCCTTCGTCCATGGCCTCCTGGTCACGATTGCTGCCGGGTCCCATGTCGACAAATTGAGAGAGTTCGTCTAGGCCTGAAAGCCCGCCTTGGAGAAGCCCTTCTGAGTTGTACATGTTGTCAAACTCGGCCGGTCGATTGAGGAGTCCCAGTCCAGAACAGTGGAAAATCTCGCCGTAGAGCTCGCATATCCGGTATCTCTCAAAGGTGAGAGGCGCGATGTTACCTATCGTGGTGGAGATGGTTCCATTCTGAAACCTGTCAGCACGCGGAAAATGTGCGGAGCTCGCAGTCCGATGAAGCCACTCACGATAGACCGAGGATTCCGCAAAAAGTGATTGAGCTGTTCTAATCGGTCGCAGATGATCTCAAGCAATGGACGAAGATGGACGACGCCGACGTGATCCGCTATCTCCTTCATGTTACGCTCTAATGCGTCACGGTCGTAAACTTGCATCGTCTGTTGAGTGTGCATCAGCCGATTCCGCAATATGTAGAAGAGGTAAGGCTCAAAATAGTCCGAATTGTTTTGGCGCATGAGTTCGACGATGATGCAAATGGACTGAACAACAGAGGAGGTGGAAGATTCGACGTTTGGATAGGAAGAAGTTGCAGATACGCTAGAGTCGTCAACAAATGGTCCTTCATCAGGATTTGAACCCTGTTTCTCTGCCGCCCCCGCTGAAGACTCGGGAGCCGCGCCGGTACCAAAGTCGTGGAGAATGTAGTCAAAGAGCTTCTGCACATTTTCCTGGCGAGCAAGCACGCGAACGAGTAAATTTGATGGGAGGCTGTTCTGCAGCCCGTCAGCGATGCCCGCGCCGGTGCCAGGGGTAGCCATTGATATGATGCCTTTCACGAGCTCGGAGACCACGGTATGCATATCAGGAGAATAGGAGGGCGAGAGTCGGTCAATGAGCCGGGCGATGAGATTTTCGTTTGAAAGCCACTGCAGGCTTTGGTATAAGAGGAGCTCATCGGTGAGCATATGCAGGCAGACGACGACATACTTCTAAAACTCCAGCACCTACTGGCTGTTCATCCAATTGGATGATACGGACCAGCAGGTCAGAAAATGCGGGTGTTTCAATGTGTTGCAGTATTCTCTCCACTACGGCAGGTTGGGCAAGGATGAATTCAAGCATCTAGCGGACGGAGAGGGAAGACGCGTTCAAATGAACAGGGAACGGGACAGTACAGTGCTGCTCACCTCCACCGGCTTTTTGTTGAGAAATATGGCATTGATTTTGGCAAAGTGAGAGGCCATGACCATCTGCATTCTCATGTCCTCTGGAGATCTGTCCAGGACGGTCTCCCAGAACGGGATCAAGAGTTGTTCCGAATGGTTGATGCACGTCTCGACGATCGACCATATCTCACTGCAGAGGACCTCGGTAGCAACATAGGAGTATCTTCACAAGCACAGGTCCGTCTGAGGGGAGGCCGAGACATTATCAGAAATGGCGGCGGTGCTCACTTGGATTTTTCCTCCACCTCTATCTCGCCTGTCACATATCCCAATAACCGCTGCAATACGTCTACTCGCTGGAAATAATCGATGAGCCTTGTATTCTGGGCCTTGCACTCTTGAAGGATGTCATCTTCGTCGAGGATAGCCTCGAGGGAAACGTCTTCCTTGTCGAGGAGGCTGTCTATTGAAGACCCGTTATTGAACCCGAATCTGGAGATGAATATCCGTGAACGGGCGCTCGTCGGACGACATGCAAGGCTCCTCGGAAATACCTCCAAAACATGCGTTCCTGAAGTTATGGGGTCACTGCGCTGTATTTTTCTTAGGTCGGATGATGGAAGATGGACATAAGCGTGTTGTGATCGAGCAAAGTTCGAACGACGCGTTGTAAGGTCGGAATTACGATTCCTAGTGGCACCGGAGAATGTTGCTATTTTGGCACTCAGTGCTGCCGCACCGTAGCGCTTTGACTGATAGTATGGTATAATGTTGCTAGTATTTAGATATATCCTCCGGAAGAAAGCATTGTGATGGCTAAAGTAGTGTAGCTATGATGATACAGAGAAAAAGCAGTGACAGAATATCAAAACTGTACAAAGGCCATGAGTATCCCGCCTAGTCCGTACGCTGATAGAAGGGCACTTACCCGTATCTGATACGACCCACTAGCCTTCGTTAAGTATCTGACCCATTTGATACTGTGATAGTTGCTCTTCTCGAATACCTTGAGGAAGCGCACAATTAAACCAGAAGATGTAAACATCAGGACCTGAAAGTCGACGTCGATGGGCGGGCGGGCCCACACTTGTCTACGCGTCGTACTTGTGAGATCGGCAGTCGCGGTGAATGTACATTCCTGTCCTCCTTGTATGCGCGGGATCCTGGAACGAATATGAGTATGGTTCACAACCTCGGATCATGTCACCCACTTCCAAATTACAACATTCTCGGACGGCTGATACTTTGCTTTACCATTTTGGACTTTACAGTCGACACTTGTGGTATTCAAAGGCGTCGGTATTCGAAGAACCACGTTCGTAGCGGATAACTTGTTGTTGAAGTTTGTCTTGATAGTTATCACGTAAGAAACTTGGGTTGTTCCAATCTCATTCACAGTTGGGATGACTCTCAAGGGTAGCTTGACGTTCGATGTCGCGCGATAACTGGTCAAAAAAGTACTTGAGGGCTTTCTGACATTCAAACGAGACGGAAAATACGCACGTCATGAGTTCGAACTCCCCGTCTGGAGGAACGAAACTGATGGTGCGCGTCTCGTCGAACTCTGTCAGACGCACACATTGGTGGAACCGGCAGTCATCCAATTCAACAGCGTCGATGGATCCATGCTCGCTCTTGTCTATGACGAGTTTGTCGTTGAGACCGAATTTGCATTCCGGCGTCCCCGATAAATATGCGCGCATCAGGATATGGCCGTCGACATCAGCTCGAAGAACAGTGCCTGCACATCTATTAGCAGGCTGCATAACTATAGGTTGGGACAAACACACCTTTGGCACTCATACTGAGGTTGACTGTCTCCACAACATCAACAAATGCTTCGTTCTTCTTGTACTTGACATCTCCACGCCTCCAACTCGTCGCTCCAGTCGCTTGGGTCGTGATCTTAGTGGACTCTTCCTGACAATGATTTCAGCCAAACAGTAGCCAATTAACAGACCAGGAAGGCTCACTGCTGCTATCTGAGAGGAAACAATGCTTTCCGTAGTGATGTAAGTTTTCAAAGTGTCAATTTCGCTGTTTTGAGGGTATCCGAAATCGTTGATTTCTTGTGGGCAATCAGATAATACAAGACATTTTATAAGCTAGATACTCACCGTCGATCAGCTCGTAAATCAAGACAAAGTTGTTCTTCACAGATTCCTCGTCGACCTTTCCGAAATACGACTTACAGATCGAAATGACGCGGTAGCAGAATTCGAAGACGAGCGCTGCGTTGGCATTGTTCCTAAGAAACCCGTGAGTACCATCCGCCTCAAGGCGACAAGCCATGACGCACTTTGTGACAGCAACGAGGTATAGGTTGTTCACCCGGACATGGAAGAAGCTAGTCGAGCCAAGGGTGACAATGGGTGAACGGACTTCGCTACTGGAGATGACTTGGATTCGAAAGACATCCGAAATAGATCGTCTGAAAGATGGGCAGCCATTCAGAGGGAGTGCGAATCGTGCCCCGGTAGATTGCTCACCTTACATCCGGGCGATAGAGTCGAGAGATGAGAACCTGTGTGAAGGATTCAACAGGACATTTCTCTCAAGATTTGTCTTCAACGCACTTCACCCTTCTGGTTGAACACAAAGAATGCCTGCGAGCTGCGTTGAGTAGTGTTAGGCGGCAGTGATTGCCAAGGAAGACATACCGAGATCATAGATGCGCTCAGGTCAAGGTTTCGGCCAGCCACAGTGATCGTTTCTGTTTTGGGCAGTATGCCTGTGGCGTTACTGCATCTCACAAGTCCATCCCTTCACTCAACCATGCTTGCATCTTTTTTTCGGATCTTCGTCAGTTCCGACACCGTCGTTTGTCTTGCCTGTCGTTATTGGCGAATTTCCGATATCATCAATATTACGACAATTCTATGATGTGCTGTAATGCGAATTCGTCTGGAGTTTTGTTTCAATCTCATCATATATGTTCAAAGGCGCTTTTCAGCAAGCTGGCGTTGCATATGTTTGTGGGCGCTTCGCCTATGGCGCCTATGACGTTGAGGTGGAGGAGTAGTGACTATGGCGCCTCGCTATACGCGCTTGCTATTACGGTTTGGGCCAGGCGTCTGCTGAATCTTGGTGTGTAGGTCTTTAGGCGCCCTTCTTTCGCAACCTGTGCAAAGTGCCCACATGCGCACATCCCAGCGTGATACTTTGTCCACCTTAGCTCCTTCATATGAGCGCTTCACGAACCCACTCTTCCACCAGGGATCTAGCCTGAGCACGTTGTACACACTGGAGTCCACGAAGCCCCGGAGAAGTCTCAGAAGAACACTATATGTGCAAGCCCCTCTATCTCTCCTTCTCCCACACTAAACATGGTCCTGGGGCGTCTTTTTCTCGTTCCTCGGCTGCCGTCTCAGAAGCGCATCGGGTGAGCATCGGAATTCAATCGGTGGGAACAAGGGATCGGGGCTCCTTACCGTTGGCGTTTTTATCCCCAGGTCCCCACAGAATCCTATCACCCATCTGCTTGTGCAATCGGACGATCGCTAACGAGATAGACCGCAATGCTGTGCATTAAAATCAATTTGGTGGCCTCAGCTCTTGCTTTTGTGCTTGACGGACTATAAAGAGACTGGCATCTGGCTCAGTGGCATGTTTTCTCCTGCTATCAACCTCACTTTTGTAAATCAGGTGAGGTTCATTTGCTGTCGCCTTTCCCTTGAGTGATTTTCAGACATACGCCCATGTCGAATATCAATACTTCCAATCCTCCGGAGGCATCTATACGGCTAGCGATCGAGCGTACATTCCGGCTGTGGATCACAACTACGGTCATGCCTCTGCTTCTCTGGGCGTCTCCCTTCCATATCGAGACGACCGTTTCTTCATCTTGCCTTCTATCTCGATTTCATCTCACATGGACATCTTCTCCATCGGGACTCCAGGTTCTATCGAGATTGTGGAGAAAGCCCGTCCCGATAATCCAAGGCATGTGAGCCATAGGGCCACCTTCCCTCCTCACACTGACCTTCTCGAACTGTATCCACAGACTCCTGCGCGCTGCACGGATCGCACGAGGCTCAGGGGAAACGCCCGTTGGGAAGACGGACGGATGCTTTCTGGGCGCCTGTGGGGCCTCACCCTGCCGCACACGGTCATCGCGGGCGAAGCTGCCTCGCCGGCGCTTGAGCGCTGAGCTACCGGGACTGAATTTATCGATGTCATTCGGAGCCACAGCGGAACGACCTGGAAGGCGCCTGTGCCTCCCTGCGCGCTCATCCTGACTAGATATCTTTAGCTATCGGGTCACCCCGCAATCCCGTGCCCTGGCATCTGAATTCGCCTCCTTCCAAGCTTTGGTGCACTCATGCCGAGGCTCTGCCGTGCAAGGTGGCCCTGCCGATGCGGGGTATCAGGGCAGCGCGCCTACGCAACTCATGCCCGGCGATTCCTGGTCAGTTTCTCGCGGAGGGCCCAAATGAAGAATGCAGGTTAATGGGCTACAGTTCGCAGGACGACATTCTGCGGGTGCTACCTTGCCTTGGCTCCGCTCATCTGGCTTTGTAACGGCTACACAGCTACGTCTATGGATAGACGGGTTCGAGGGCACCTTGGAGACCTACTCTGGAATATTCTGGACACGGTACTACTTCGTGCAGGTTTGCGCACAGTCTGGTTTATTGTTACCTCCCCCACGTTGCACGCCTCACTGCATTGGGATGAAGTCTCATATTGATCCTATTCTACCCGTATGGTCTGCTCGGCCTGCTTTACTCGTGGTCTAATCTATCCTGGAGAGTGCACTCCCCATCCTATGCTCTCTGAAGATCTTCTTGGTAAGTGGTTGACTGCAGTGTCCTTTTCCTGTCTTAAGCTGCCTCGAGGATGTCTCTTTCACGGCTCCCTGTGATCCTTCACGATATTGCTCTGCTGTTGACGACTGCCCCATATTTTCTCATCCGTCGCCGAAGCCGAAGTCGCGCCGTCTCGTGAGGAGAGTTGACCCGAAAAGGCATATCGCGCCTCGAGGCGCGCCATCGGGCATCCCGCACCTTCTCCCGCTCTACGCCTGCTTTGTGTTGCTCAACGGCTCCAGGTAAGAGTCGCGCAGGTGCTCACGTCACGCGCCCCATAGCATGTATCCTAGCACTCCTTCATCGGATTGAGCGCAGCCTGCTTACGGTTTTCGAATGGTGCTTTCGACGAACAGCCTCATCGATCCTCGCGGACGTCAGACGACCTGTACTCCTTTCTCCCATACAGCTGGTTGAACGGTGTTGCTCAGGCGAGGACAGGAGTCATCCACGTATGAACGCGTCTCTTTTGTTCTCGGTCTGACGGTGGCTCCTATCTGCATGCTGGCCGGTCACCCGACTGTAGGTGTGGGCGCTATCTATCCTCGATCTATTAGCTGTGAGGCTCGTAGACTGACAATTGTAGGATCGCTGCCTGCATGTGTTTTCATTTCTGATGCTTGATATGAACAGAAGGATCAGGCTTGGGATCCATTGAGTTGGTCTGCTTAGTTCGCGTAAGTCATATCAAGAGGTAGACAAGCATCCGCTTAGCTAGAGCTGGAATGCAATTCCAGATACAATTCATTCAGTCATTCGCGTACTCGTCGAGGTCGTGAATAATACCGAGGAACATGGAAGTGTGTAAGGATGTCCAGATAAGATTGTCACGAGATCCGAAGCGGATGAGATTAGATTTCGGACGATGACGATGACGATGGAATTGGCTAGTGCGCTCAGATCCTTCTCCAAATTCTTTTCTTTACATGCATCTTGTGTCTTGACATCATATCTCTCTTCAAGTTTTGAGCGATGACGCGACTATCCTACCACCAGGTCTCGATCTGCCAGGATCTTTCCGCCGCACGAGGCCGCATGATATCCGCGATCTGCTTTCTCGAATCCTCGGCCGTCGTCGAACACACGCCCAACAAGCTCGCCCAACAACTTCCCCGGAAATATGTCTTATCTTCGCCTCGTACACTGCCTCATCGGACGCTCTTCCATGACAAAACCGAGTCAAGATTATGAGGATCAAAATCTGGATCAGAGCACATCAGTGCCGGGACCAGCATAGCACCTCGCCGTAGGCCATTAACGAATGCGACCCATCTCATGCGGATCTTCAAATCCTAGGACCCATTGTTCCATGACCGGCGGGACCTGGCATGCGCACGACAATACAACTCGCGCTCAGCGCTTCTGCAGCCGAGATGCTGCGCGCCGTACGCGTCGATGCGGCTGCAGCACGGGCGGCTCACGCTCCCAGCTCCGAACATCTGCTCATCGACCTGCGCAACCAGGTCCATGCATCCTCAATGGCCCACATCGAACCCGCTCGCTCGCTAAACCTAATACAGGCTTTCCGAGTCGACGGGGGCCGGGTACGACAGCGCGGTCAAATCTTTCGATCCGAGCTTCGAGCTATCCACGCCAAAGCTGCATTCCTACTACAGCACATACGAGGATAGCGACCTTTTCACCATTATCGAGCACCTGAGCGCCCAGACGTTCCGAAGAATCCGTCTTGCTCAGTCGATCCGTCTGGCACCACCAAATATACACCTGAGCCATCACCACCCGCAAACCGCACCCTCTCAGCGTGAATTTATGCCTTGACTGTTCTGCATCCCGGAGCTTACGCACTAATGAAACATCAGCTGCATGTCAGGCCACCCAGGACCTCCTATTCCGCGCAGACCAAATTCATCCTTCTCTGCCACATCATTGCGTAAGAACCGACTAGCACCTACCCCACCCCCACGTTCGAGCGGGACGCGTGCAGATCTACCTGCCCATCACCAGCTGCGTGAATGCACGCCTTTCCGTGCGCCACGGCCTCGCTGTATCCCCAGAATCCGCACGAGCGATGTCCTAGGGATCTAGAATCCTTCTCGCCGCAGCCGGGCCTTGCGCCCGAGCTCGCCGCGCAGTGTCCACCTACACCCATCGGTCCTGCACAGCACACCTATCGTCGCCTCGCCTGCTTTCAAAGCCGTGCTGAACAGTCAGCTGAACAGAGTGGCAGCTGGCAGCGGCCAACTGCACTCCGGGTGGCCCCAAAGCGACGATCGACCTTCCCAGAGGCGTACACGCACGCACACACGCACGCACCAATCTTCGGCGCGAAGACGCGCGCGCTGCGATGTGCGCCGCGGGATTTATCAACGATTATTCCTCTTCCTTACGCGCGTGCCCTTCATATTGACGTGCGTGCTGATTAGATGCGGCTGCTTATCGCGATGTCCACGAGAAGACGCGTGCGGGGACGTCGTTTCGTCATAGCCCACGCCGCGCAGGCCGCATCGCCGTCCTCGAGGCAGCCACGCGCCGGGCAGCGCGACGCGACGAGGACATAAACGCGCACGCGCGCACAAACCCACCCACCCACCTGTAGGGCCTCGACGTGCAGGCTGGTCACCTGCCCGCGCACGGGCACGCAAGGTTGGCGGATTTCGAACGTGGCGTGATGGATCGCCGTCGCGGCGCCGTGCCTGCCTGCTCGCCAGCCTCACCAAAGTCATAAGCCCGCGCGCTTGCGCGCTCGCCGTCGGTCGAAGGCACGGAGATATCATCGGACCTAGGAAATCGCGCGCGTTCGCCACCTTGTGTGCCGCGGTGCGGTACCTACGAGGTAACGGAGGAGTCAGCGCCGACCTTCCACACTGACATATGATCGTCGCGTTTTGCTCACTGCTGGTGCCCTGTGACGCGGGTTCCGCGCAATCACGATACGCGGGCGGGCAGATCGTATCGTAAAGGAGCAGCAGGCCCCAGCTCGGCACTGAGATATGCTTCTCCTGGTCCGATCGCAGAACGGACATGCGGGGTCGCGTCGCTTGCTGCTAGAGCGACGTACACCTGTATGATGGCCCTCCAGCTGTGGACAAGCGTCGCGGTGTAAGCACCTCGTGGCCACCCCTCAGCCGAAGCCCCTGAGCGCCATGGCGAAATGAAGCTGTAGGCCATAGAGCGTCATGACGCAGAGAAGCATTACATTGTGCGATCGAGCGTTGTACATACGCCCTACAGAATATATGCATCCGTGGCGTGAGATTAGATCCTCCCCAGTGTCAGCGAGTGCATGCGAGATGACGTCGACGCCACTTGCTTTGTCCCGTGGCGTCCCTTTGTGTGTGTGCTCGCCACATCTCATAGCTGCACCGTGGCGTCCGTCACCATCGAAATGAAAGCGGCAAGCCAACAGGCGTTCTGGTAACTCGTACAACAAGCCGCGCGCACGACAAGGCTGCAACCGCGTCCCGGTGGCCGTAGCTTTGCGTTGTCCGCGAAGCGCACTTCTCTCGCGAAACGTTGTATAGAGGGGGTCAAAGCAAGAGATGCACATGCGATGAGAACAACCAGAACCACATGAAATCGAATCGTCGCCCGCGCTCGTATGCTTGCTCGCGTTCGCATCGGGGCCCGTGATCTTGGCCTGCCCCAGCCCACAGCCGGCATCCATATCCATATCATGCTCGATGAACGCAAGCCAGGCTTGGCCTCCGAGCTCCACAGGGGCGCAAGGGAAGCAGCGGAAACAGTGCCGCCCCGCCAGTGCATGTGAGATCGCGAGCGTCAGAATTCCCGATAGGCCGCAATGGGCCGCAATACAACGAAGTCGGCAAGGTTCCCACATCCAAGGCGTCAGCGAGTGGGGCAGGCCGAGCGAGCGAGCGAGCGATCGTGGCAAGCATGACACCATGAATGCCGGCAGCGACGATACGCTTTGCGCGATCCGCCCCATTTGCAGGGCCGGCTTCTTCAAGCGCCACTCGCTTCCACATGCAGCATACAGCATAGACATACGCAGGCGAATACCTACCGGTTATTTATGGCGTCGCGCGGGTTTGCTGACGTGCGTGCGTGCACACGTATAGGAAGCCGGCAAGCGCGGGCGCCAGAACACAGAAGCAAGCAGCGTGAGCAACAAGCAGTGGTGAGCGAGTGAGCTATATCGGTGGCCAATCTATCGCTGTCGATCCGATTCCGATTCGATTCCGATGGCGACGATGAAGACCCAGATGCGGCGTCGCACGATGGATCCATTGAGCGTTTATCGTATATACATACGGGCGTCAAGTGCGTGGATCGCGAACTCGAGTTCGGCTTCGGCCGTGAGCCGTGGGTCGAGCGTGCGTTCATAGATCAGGATCAGGAAGCGACGCGAAAGATTGGAGAAGCTAGATGCCAGGCGGATTGACGCGCTGAATCGAATGCAGAATGCAAGATACCGGGCGAGTTGGGTAGACGCGGAGGAAGAATGCTCGGGAGGGAAAGGAAGGGTCGAGTATCGTGTTCGTGGCGCCTGGAGGCGCGCACGATGAGGTCGGGCACCCTGCGAACCGGGAGAAGCGCGACGGCGCCATCGACGGGACCGGCACCCTCCGCGAGGGCAAGCGCGCGTCGACCACACCCGTTGAGACCCGCTTGAGATGCCGCTCGAAAGTTCAGGAAGGCGCCAGTGGGCACGACGAGGATCCACGCGTTGGCGCCTGTGTTAATGAAGACGGGACGCTGAGGACGCCCCTGCCCGTCCTTGAAGTCGAGGAGCTCGCAGCACGGAGCTCCGCGTTTGGCGGGCCGCCGCTCCGCGCGCCAGCCTCTAGTGCGCACCCTGGCAGGCGCCAGCGTCAAGCTACAGCAGCATCCTGTGAAGTCGCTAGTCAAGTCCCCATAGATTATAACGCCAGGTGATATTTAGTTAGCCAGTAGCTGTGGCCAATTGCAAGCTGCTAGAAGAGAGCGCCGAATGCGCTAATTCTCAGATTTGCATGAACATACGTGGCGCATGGAGCGCCTGGTCCCTTGATGTCCGTGGTGACGCGCGCACCTGGGCAGGCGTGTGTAAAGAGCCCGCACGGCGAGCGCCGCCGTCGGGCCTTGCTCACGGAGGACCACGAGATTGTTTTGAATTTTTTCACGAGTCACGGTTGGCGGAGAGACCAGGCACGGTTGTGGGGGTCTGGGACTGGGGGCAACCAGATGCGGGAGCTGATTGAGACTCCGCGAGAAAAGCAGAGACGGCAGGAGACTGAGCCGAGCGGGCGCTAAGACGGATTGGATTGGCGCGCGATTGGCTGAGGGCGGTGAGCGCTGCGGGCCGGCAAGGAACGCGGTTGGGCCTGCGCGGCCTTACGGGGGGAAAGGGTCCGTGGTGGGTAGGTGGGTGGGTGGGTGGGTCTGAGATTGGACGAGATGGTCGGAGAGAAGCACCGACACGGGGTTTGGATTAACAAGAGAGGGATGACAGAGACAGGGAGAGGAGGAGTCATACTCGGGCGAGGGTGGGTTGGGGAACAAGATAGGCATGGGGCAGGATCTTGGAAAGTGTCTAGGGATACTGAGAAGGCAAGGAGGGAGGTAGGATTTGTCAGGATGCGGGGTGGAGGGGGAGAGACAAGGGAGGGAGTGGCAAGGCGAGATTGAGACTGAGGCCGGAATAGGGAAGCGGACGCTGCTTTGTGTGTGTGTGCGCGGGCGCTGGTGCGCAGGGCGCAGGAGCGGTGTTGAGCTGGGAATAGGACACGGTCGGGAGAGTGTGAGGCAGGAGGTGGGGATGAGCCGATGCCGGGGTGGGTGGAACGGGCGTCTTGGAAGCAGGAGAAGACGCGGTACGAGGCGCCGAAGAGGACACGAAGAGGAGGAGAGAGAGGCCGAGGAAGGGCCGGGAGATGACGGAGAGATTGGCTGAATGGAGAATTGAAGGGGCGGCCGGATATGGGAAGAGGTGGGGGGGAGGGCCCGGGGCCGGGGCGGGGAGCATGCGCCTGGCGGGCGATTGGGCGAGGTGTGATATAAAGACGGGGGCCCCTCTCCCCTCTCACAGGCCTCGTCAGACACAGTTCGACCCACCGTCCTCCCATCCACATAGCAACCCCCGGCCACCAGCCAGCCAGACCTCGACGCCACAACCGTGCCCCCCTACCACTAGCTGAAACAGTTGTTCCATTAGCCGACGTGAGTTCCCGCCCCTCGTCCGCCTCCGCCACAGCGACCCATATAAACATCTCCCTGACCGATCCTGTCCTCCGTCTGGCTTTCTTCCCCCAGACCATGTCCCCCACTTTCGAATACGACGTCCCCATGCGTTCTTCCCCTTCCCCCATATTCCCTTCCAACAAACGCCTTTCAACCTACTCTTCTCACCCCGGCAAATATTCTCCCTCCTCCCGCGCAGCCGACATCTCCCGCCTTCTCGACCCTTCTTATTCGTCCTCCTCTTCTTCCTCGTCTCCCACATCTGTCTACGTCGACCACCAAGGAGACCTTCATGACCCTGACTACCGCGACTTCCCCGCTGTGCACGCTCGCGACCTCGCGTCCCGTCGTCGGCCCACATGGGAGCGCTATAACGATGACGATCATGAACCTTTCACGACCCAGGACGAGGATGCCTATGCTTACGACGCAGACGCGTTCGACGAGCGCGCCCGCCTCCGCGCTGCCGCTCGCGACATCCGTCGCCGCTCACACGAGCCTCCGCGCCGTGCCACAACCATTCCCTCCTACAACCACTACCAGTATTCGCGTAGTCCCTTCAACGACGACGCCAGCACCCCCACAGAGATCAAGGAGAAGCGCGTTCGCCGCAAGCTGCGCTCCAAGAGCGAGACTCGCCGCGAGTCGGCCTGGTTCGTCGAGGAGGAGTACGAGAGCCCTGCCATGTTGGAAGAGGAGCCGCAGACCAAGTCTGAGTACACCCCGACGCGCACTGAGACTCCAGAGTGGACGTGAGTTGTCGCGTGTCTCTTTACTCCCCATGCCACAGCTGTTGACCCTCCTCGCTGCAGCCCCACCTGCGGCCAACAGTTCCGCCGCCAGTGGCAGGCACTCTCCCTCAGCCTGCGCTTCACCATCTTCCGCGCCCAGCGCAAGCTGCGACGCAAAATCCATAGCAGTACTTGACCTTCGATGCCAGCCGCCGCGCCAGCCCGCTCCCGGCCCCGACTTTGTCTGGCCTGACCGGTCTCTCTTTGGCTCCTGGCTCTCTTGGCCCAATATGCCCACAAATCCACCCCATCGCGTTTGCGCTCGCGGCTCCCGCGTGCGCGCGCATACCTGCGCGCCGTGGCCCGCAACGCGCTTCGCACACGCATTGACCCCCGCACGCGCAGCGATAAAATGAAAGCACGCGCGCGGGTGGATATGTTATGTCTCGAGACGACCTCTTCCATACCCGGATCGCGACGCCCTCTGCTTCTCACCGTTTCCGTCTCCGTCTCCTTTCTGTTCCTCTTATGCGCGCAGCCTGCGGCCGCGCTGCCCCCTCTATCCCCACCAGCTCTCCTGTTTTCAAGTATGCAAAGGGCCCGTATTCGATCGCGTCCGCGGCCACTTCGATTTCCCGCCCGCGCGCATCTATGTGTTTACCCCTCAGGCTCTGCTTTGCCTCCATCGAGTCGGCCACCACGGGACTCTGGACAGGCAGTCGCGGGATTGCCCCGTCAGTACATATGTGTTATCCCGCCCGTTGATCCCCATCCCGTTCATCATTGCACATACGCTTCCGTTCCTGTTCCTGTCCCTATCCCCCTTCCCACCCTTCCCGTTTCATCCCCACCCCCCTCCCCACTGTCCATTGCCCGCGTTCGCTTTCTGACTGTGAACTGTTTTGAACCCTGTTTTCGTTTCCTCTTGCTGCTCGCGCTGCTTTATTTCCGATTCCCCGCGATCTGTGCTGCTTATATTTTTTTGATTGGTTGATTGGTTATAGCACGACGACGAGTCGACGTCGACGAAGAAGACGTACATACGGATACCTACATACTTAGGGTGTATGCGCGGATGTGTTACGATACGAAGAAGACGAACGAACGAACGAGTAAAAAAAAGAATTATGAAGTTTATTGACATGCATCTCATCCTCCGTGTGTCCCATCTGGAACATATTGACGTGGTCTCATTAAGAACAAAGCTGTGTGCGATGAGAGGTTTTCGGAGCGTGCGAGTCTCCGTCTTAGAATGCACATGGTCGACCCACTCAAACCCACTCCCCGCGGGAGGCGGAGCAAGTCGGTCGGGCCAACACCAACGCCTGAGAACGCCGTGGGCTTTTTCCATTAGGCCCCGGCCAATCCTCCAGGCCTTAGCTCAAAAATCGGCTTGGTGCGATCGACGCCTCCTTCGTCAAAACTTCCGTCATGCCAGTGGCACAGCATGGCACCTTCGTCATTCCAGCTGGATCTGCAGCATCGACACCGCCCCCGCGCTCTCAGAGTGGCCGTGGGCCACTGCAGATTCTGAGATTCGAGATGCGTTCGTTCGAGTGGATTCAGACCGCCCCAGGCTCGATGACGTCTGCCGCCCTCGGTCGGTGGGGCTTCACGCTCGCCTGTGACTTGTGCACTTCTTGCTCGTGCGTGCAGTTTTGCCTGCGTACCTACGTGGACGCGTTTGGTCTTAGTACAGGCGGTCATCGACGCATCGCAGGCGCATTACGCCCGCTCACCCCACCAGCTACGCTTCCTCCTGCGGTCAGAGCTCAGCTTTCCAGAGCCGTGGGGTCGTGGGGCCGCCTGCGATGCGCGCAGCCCCGCGAAGACCAGCACCCAACCGTAGTACGTCGCAGCGCTCGCCGCTGCGATCGCGCGCTCGATCCCCACACACAGACACACGCATACATAGCGGGCGATCACGGTCCCCCGCTATGACGCCACGCGCGGCACCCTGCGATCGCCAAACTTACACACACGGATCTGCAGCCGTTCGCGGAAGCTGCACCGGACGCGTCGGGCGCGCAGCGCGCGATAAGTAACGCAGGTCGTACGATGGCCACACAACACAAGTATTTATTTTATCGCGCGACGCCGCGCCGATGCGGCGCGCCATCTGCGACTAGGACTGATAACCCCTGCCAACGAATGAATGGGCGCAGTGCTTAGTCCGACGCTGTGCGCCGTTGAGCGGAAGCACCCTCGGACCTCCCCCTCGCCTGCGATTCGTCGAAAGGTGCCCGGCGAGGCCGGCCTCCAGGGGGCTCCCACCTGCTCGCGGGATTGGCTGATGGCCCGGGTTTCAAACCGCGGACACAAGCGTGGCAGCCAACTGGCGGCCGTCGTGGAACAAGAGGACAGCGCGCATCGATGACGTCGACGGGCCCCTGGAGGTGCGCCGCGCTCGACGATGACACACGCCCCGAGTGGCCCCAGTCAGACTGCTGGCCCGTATAGGAAACCCGATCGCGGGCTCGGGCTCGGATTCAGATCCTGTTTCCGCAATCGGTAACTTACAGTGTTGTGTGCACCTATGCGCGCCAGCGTGGCGAGGCGGAGCCTAAACGGGTTGGCGATCGTGTTACAAGCCCCTCGACAAGCGGAGGAGCGAGCTGCCTGTTTGCGTTTGTGCGCGAGTGCCGTGTCGGTGGAGCGGTGGATGTCGCTCCTCATTTAGATGGACGGTCTTGTTCGCGGGCGCGTATTCACACCAGACGACTCGATGGTCTTGTCCAGCGCTTTTGGACTCCGTATCGCATCTGTCTGTCGCCAGGGCTGGTCAGGCTGGTACAGCAGCCGACGGATCTGATGGGCATGCAAGATCCGTGTCGAGTCATTGCAACCTCAGCGTATCTGCATAAATGCTGAGCGAGCGAGAGTTCCGCTGAGCAATCCTGTGAGGCCGCATGGGAGCTGAGACACGCCTGCAGGGCAGCACGGGCAGGCTAGAGTCTATCTAGAGACTGGAGAGTTACAGGCTTACTCATCTCGAGACGGCAAATGCGCCACGAATCGCCACGGCATACGGGCGACACAGTAATAACATGCTGTTACCCCTTTTGATCGCGCATTGTATCTGTATCTTGCTGGAAAGCTCTGGCAATGCCAACACTGGCGTGATGTCGGTCGACGAGGGTCAGCTCGTCATTAGTCAGCGGGTGCTGATTCATACTGCTCACGTACGCGTTTATCTGTGGTGGATCGTGATCTATCGTGATGCGTTCAGATCTCTGTTCGTCCAATATTGGACAGCGGCGTCAGCCTGGAGGGGCTTCAGAGCCGACGGAGCCCAAAGACGTGGGCCAGTAGGCACATAGATAGATAGACACATATCCGGGGCTTTCAAGGGGGCCAAGGACGAGCGCGCGTCCCGACCCTAGAAGGAACGCAGCTAGACAGGACCTTGCGAGCAGTTGGGGCTGCTATTAGCCATCTGCAAGCAGTGGCGTACGGAGGACCGAGCAGCAAAAGGCCTTCCACGTACGTGACCCCGAGTCGCTATACAGTCAATAACAATCTCGGACGACCGGATTTCACTTTACGCGATACAGTGTTTGTGTTATCCCGGCATGACGCCAGTATCCCTTGTGGACAGTTGACGCGGAGAGCCTTGGGACAAGGAAGTCCGATTTGAGGCCGTTGGCCATGAAAGTCAAAAGACCACCACGATATCATCCGACGGGCGCAGGTGACCGCCACGTCCGACGTGCCGAATCGAGGAGAAAGAAAATCCGACGGGCGGATGGCCGTGGCGAAAGAACGGACGTGGGTGCGGGTCTGTGCGGCGGGTGCGGAGTCGCGATTAATTTGCTGCTTGCTAGCGCAGAAAATGGAGGAACATCGCGAGGATCGTGCTATAGCGTCGCTGTTGGCTGGAGTGAACGCGTTACGGGGTTTGAAATGGACGCCGGACCCCAAACAAGGGTTGACCGCCGTTTGCGCGTGAATGCAGCATATCGATGACGACGCGGGGATGTGGGGGAGGTACGTCAGGCTTTGGTCCTCAGCTCGGCGTAAATGGTTCTCTCGACTGAACTTCCACGTTCCCCAGAGCTTCAACCCCAGCCTGCGCCGCACGCCACCAATCAATCAATCTCGCGAGCCTTGACATACCTGGCGCAAATGTGTCCTCTTTTGCGAACTTTCACATGCACGGGTGCGCATATGCGCATATACCCAACCCCAAGGACCACTACCACGACCGCGGTATAGCCGCACAGGCATGTGCGTGTGCGCTCTCATGCCGATAGTGTCTACTGCGAGCGGCCAGGTCCCGATGCGCATGAATAGCTGCAGATCATGTGTTTGCCCCGCCCTCGCAGGAGGGAGCACACTCCCAGCGTTCGTGTCTGCGACCCAAAAGCACGCAGGTGTCAGCGCACATGTGGCTCACGCGTCGGGCCTGCGCAGCTCCGAGGTCTCTCCATCCTCGCCATCTTGCTCATGCGCCACGGATCGTGTACGCCACACTTTGCGGCCTCGAGACCATGCGTGCAGGAATCGCCAATTATGTGTGTCGTTCTGCTGCGGAGATCCGCGACGAGATGTCGAGTATCGTGCTTCCCATCGCGCTTTCGCCGACATTTCTCTCATCTTCCTTGTTGTGCGGCCCTGATTATCAGCTTAGTATCAGCTGCGATCCCTCCTCGGAGCTTCGTGCTCGGACCTTGATAAGATTCACGGATCGTGGAACCGCTCCCCGCACATCTCCCCGCCATCTCTGTGCGAGCCTCGAGGCGTGAGCAGATCGCACAACCTTGATCAGCCTTGATCGTGTCTGATCAAGGTGTAATCCTTATCTCGGGATGCGATGCCAGATGCAAAGATTACCTGAAGATCGCGTGTAGCTGATTTCGCGCTTTTCCGGGGCTCGAGCCTGTTGATGTCAGTGAGCCATTCGTCATTCACGCTTGTCGGGTAGCAGTTGTCTAAACCCATGCTCAGGCAGACACAGGGAAGAAGACCTTGTTCGCGAATGTCCGCTGCACACGCACGTCCGTGCAGTAACCGGATCGTCTCCAGATAGCCCCTGAGGAGGACGGTTGTATATATGCATAGTCGTCGGCTGACACACGCTAACATACGCCCATGCATTCCCGACAGGTGAATAGGTTCGCGTCTTCATAGGACGTACGCATCAGCACGCATGTTGATCCCTACGTGCTTCACCAGCCTCGAGTCAAATGGAAGACCGTTCTTTCGCGTACGAACAAGCTTATATTTAGGAGATCTTGACCCTCGCGTATCCTGTACCTACCGCTGGCTCGGTCCCAAGGCCCGAGCAAAACGTAACATCGCGTATGCCGTGGCACCGCGCATTTGGACTCGATTCATCATCTGTTAAGTAAGTAAGACGCACATGCTCGAATAGGCGAACCGCTCTTCATACGGTTTGCATCTTTGTTACTCATTTAGTGTCCAACATTCAACGCCAGGTCTTTTAACCCCTCAATCGCTGATCAACTTGAATGCAACGCCGTGATCCCTCATTGCACATCTGCGTGTAGATGATATAAACACTCAACTCGGGGCTTCGGACATATGATCGTGGACCAGGTCGATATGTCCATGATCGCTCGGTGAGTGTGCATCTATGTGCGCGAATAGCCCAATTGCCAAACTCTACCCAAGCGACGCGTACACGGACGTCCGTACAACATGCACGTCGAACGCTGCGTGCTCAGACTCTGATCCTCTGCCGGCCGTCGTGATCTCCGCCTTGGCCTTGAACCATCTCGGCACGCCCGATCAACACATTCGGACGAAGCAGGCTTTGGCGGGAGGGCCAACGTAGCTCTCGTTATCCTGCTCCAGCTCGCTCAGGCTTCGTTGTGCATCTCTGCACTTCCCCGAGCGCGAAGGACGCGAATCATCTAATACCCCATCCCCAAATTCGAGCACGATAGCAGGTGATTACGAATGCCGTATCGACAGGAGCCGACGACGTCGGCGAACTGCCAGGAGGCCCGTGCAGGGCCATATGTGCCTTTCGACCCTGGCTGGCGCGATGCTCCAAGACGACGAGAAACGGCTGGCATGAGACATCCGCATCCGGTTGCAACATTGTAACCTCGTCCATGTTGGTCTGGAATTGGACCCGGCCAGGTGCAGCATTCGTGATAAATTAAAACCTCCGATGCTCGAGGCTCGACTCGCTGCGTCTACATATCCGTCGTCTAGGGTATCAGTGGGATAATGCCCTTTGCGAGTTGTAACTCCCACGGCAATGGAAGGATTGATTTCTGTTGTTGCCGCAGCCTCCGTCTAGGCATCCGTATCTGCGTATCTCGTCGCGCGCCACTTTTGAAGGCGCCTTTATGCCTGCACATTGTCATTTAGCGTGTGCCAGTCGATCTGAAATCTCGTTGACGAGATTGTTCGGCGAGATATGTGCTCCCCGACGTGCGCCCGCTTCGACCAGCGACTGTGATGTACTCGTGCCATCGTGCCTTGGTCTACGGAGTGACATACGAACATTGAAGCTGCGTTTTGCATGCCTACGACGCCAGAGTTTGAGGAAGGCAAATCACTCTAGTTTTAGTTTCGATAAATATAAAGTCATCTGGGGCATGAGGAATTCGACTCAAAATGGATGCGATCATAAACGCTGCATTCTGAGGCCTGAACTCAACTTGCGACAGGACATATAATCGCTAACCTAGCAAGCCTGAACACTACGACCTGGGGTAGCCTGTCGCACTATACAGTCCGAACACAGCCTTGTTGATGAGGCGCTCAAGCGCTCAAGAACGGCGCGAACATTTAAAACCGAATAGATGTTCATCTAAAAGGACTGCCCCAGTGAGGCTCGAACTCACGACCTTCCGATAGTTGCTAAGATCAGTAACAGTCGGACGCTGTAACCAACTCAGCCATGGGGCACATACTCGAGCACTGCAGTATGGTAATATGAGCAGCCACCTTCAAAGCTCGAAAGCCCTTGGCCAGTCCTTGGCCGTCCATCCTCACATCGCCATCATGGCCGCATTCGTGCGGAACGGCAAGAAGGTATATGCAGCGTCTTGTAGAGCCAACATTTCCTGACGTCTATAGATTGTTGCTATAGGGCGGAATTATGTTGATCATGTCAAGGAGCTGAACAACGCCATCCCCAAGGAGCCTTTCTTTTTCCTCAAACCTACGACTAGCTATCTCCCGTTCGGGGGAAATGTGGAGATACCCCGAGGAATTATAGCGCATCACGAAGGTATGTGTGCCTGTTTCAAATTCTCGGTGAGAGTCTTGACGTGTGTCGCGAGGAAAGTCGAGCTTGGACTGGTTATTGGCAAGGGTGGTCGGGACATTTCACAAGAGAATGCTGGTAGCCATATTGCTGGTTACGGTGAGCTAACTGTGTGAACATTTAAGTTCTTCTGCTGATCCGAGCGAATGGGCAGCTCTCGCTGTTGACATGACCGCGCGGAATTTCCAGGATGAGGTTAAGAAAAAGGGTCTACCGTGGTCCGCCGTGAAAGGGTTCGATACCTTCACCCCCATCAGGTGCGACACGATCTGCTTAGCCGTTTCCGCCGCTGACAGTCGCTCACGCGCAGTTCTTTCGTTCCCAAGTCGGAGGTCACCGACCCGCATAATCTGAAGCTATGGTTGAAGGTATGGCTCTGAGCAAATCATCCGTATCAGCTACTCGACATATTACACAGGTCAATGGCCAATTCAAGCAGAACGGAGTAACGTCGCACATGATATTCCGCATCCCCCGTCTTATTGAGCATATCTCGTCAATTATGGCTCTGGAGGTCTGCACTACTTGCTTCACACTAGCCCTCCAGGATCTAACTTTGTTCCTCTTTTTGTCTCGCCGCAGGAGGGAGATCTCATCCTGACGGGTACACCATCTGGAGTAGGTCCGCTTTCAATAGGCGACCAGGTTACCTGCAGTCTTTCGGATGGTTCCACAGACAAGGAGCTGGCAAAGCTCGAGTTCGGTACTGTGTTAAGAGGCGGCGGATACTTCTACCAACCTCAATAGTCAGCGCATGTTGGAATTAACTATTCTTGTTACGACTGCTGGCATACCTCTCACATGAAGAGAATTTCAAGAGACCTGCTGATACCCAAATTATTGAAACGGACCTAGAAATCTCATCATATGGAGATGGCTTACGCGTCGTCGAACTAGAAGGTATAAAGCCCTTCGTTCAAGCAGCATCCACGCAAATCCTGCTGTTCATCACACGCTGAGCGCTGAGCAGCATGCCTGTTACTGAATTTGCGAGGCTCGAGTTCGTAAAACCAAATGACTTATTCTCACCGCACCTACTCCCTCTTTTCACAAAAGTCTCCGAGCTCCAGGCAGCGTGGTCGGGGTATCCCCTTCTTTTCTACCGAAATATCAACAAGGAGGATGAATACTTCTTGATCTCGGGATGGAGAGACGTCCCTGCACATGAAGCGTGGATGAAGAGCGAACAGAACCAGGGGTTGCTGAAGGCGTTGGGCTCCTCCGTCGGTGCGATCGATCTGATACACCTCGACATAGACTACGGCCAGATGCCGAGGGATTTGGATACTTTGGTGTTGGAACAAAGTTCTGGAGAGTCTGAGGTCGGCAAGGGCACCGGGGGCGACAATTCTGATTGGCAGGCGATCGGGAAGGATGTCGAGGGAAAGCGAGACACCATTTTCCATTTCGCTGGGTATCGCGTTGGAGGAGAAATAGGTACACACGAAGGTTCTTCTATTTTGTCCCGTGTTGTGGTCTAGTGGTGGATGACGAAAGACATTTCATAGCGGAGACTGTACAGACGTTGCGAGATGTTGTGATGTGACGGCCCGAGATGTCTTTCGAGCACAGTCTATAACGCGTTCAAATAGAAGATAAAGGTATTCTAGATCAGACTTTTTGCCATCGCGCATGAACGAGGAAAAATTAAGATGATCATCAAACTGGTGTGTTCGCGACGTGAGAGTGTAGCACGCGACTCACGAAACGTGATCGAGCATGCCTCTCACGTGTTGTTGCCATTTTGGGTTTGCAGCACATTTAACTCTTGCAGTTCGTCGCAGTACCAGGCAGTACCCCGCTCTCCTTATGGCAGAAAAAAACAGCACGCCCAGATCATCACGACCGCATTCCAGAGAGGCGACCGGAACCCCATCGAAACCTGGAACCCCATCGCAGGAGCCGCGCCGCGTTCGACGGAAAAAGAAGGAGAAGGAGCGAGAGCGGGAGGAGAAGCGCGGCGAACGGGAACGGGAGCGGGGGGATGACCGGGATCCGACGGGTGCTGTTGCAGGACCTGGGCCATCTACACTTATGAAGGTGAGTAGCTCGGCTGGAGAGAAAAAACGGAAGTCGAGGGCCTCGACACCCCGCAAGGAAGCGTTGGTGATAGAACCGAAGACGAGCGAAGTGGGCTTTGCGGAAGGATATGATTTTTTGGCCTTTGACGAGGACAGCGGATTTGAAGATGGAGTAAAGAAAGGCGATGAGCGCGATTCGAGAGACGGGAGAGGGAAGGAGAAGGATAGGCCAAGCGAGCGGGAATGGGACAAGGGGAAGGAGCGAATGCAAGATTGGGATCGCGACCGCGACAGGAACCGAGGGGATGCGAGAAGAAGTAGGAGGGATGAGTATGATAGGAATGATGGGTACGCGAACAAGAAACAGCGACTGGACGCTGCGTCAAGGAAGGCACCATGGATCGCGGACGTTACCTGGGAAGGATGCACAAACGTCGCTGAAATGTCAGTGTGATACTCACTTTCTCTATCGGGTGTGACTTACCCTTTAAATGAACACTCTCATCCAGGTTGCATCGTGAAGTTGATGCATTCGTCAAGTATATCTCGCCCACCCCGGAAGAGGACGAAATTCGGTCGCTAATCGTGACCATGATACAGCGAGCAATCACCAAAAACTTCCCTGATGCCAAAGTGATGTCCTTCGGTAGCTTTGAGACCAAGCTGTACTTGCCCCTTGGGTGTGAACGTTTCTTGTGGATCATCATGTGTTGCTGATCTTTTTTTCTAGGGATATTGACCTTGTTGTCCTTTCCAAATCTATGGCCTATTCTGACCGCGTCACCGTACTGCACGCTATGGCCAACACACTGAAACGTGCACACATCACCGACAAAGTCACTATCATCGCGAAGGCTAAGGTCCCTATCATCAAATTCGTGACTTTGCACGGTCGGTTCGCAGTTGACATTTCTATCAATCAAGCCAATGGTGTCGAGGCTGGCAAAATGGTCAATGGGTTCATTGCAGAAATGCCTGCTCTACGGAGCCTTGTCATGATCATCAAGGCTTTTTTGAACCAACGAAGCATGAACGAGGTGTTTTCGGGCGGACTTGGAAGCTACAGCATCGTTTGCCTGGCCATCAGTTTTTTGCAGATGCACCCCAAGATACGAAGAGGGGAGATTGATCCGTCAAAGAATCTAGGCGTTCTGGTCATGGAGTTTTTCGAGCTCTACGGATGCTATTTCAATTACACCGAGACGGGCATCTCGCTTCGAGATGGAGGCACCTATTTCAACAAGTCGGATAGAGGGTGGGCCAGCTACGAGAAGTCTCTTCTCTCGATAGAAGACCCTGGAGATCCATGTGAGTCCACATTGGCACCGCGAGATGTATATGAGCTAAGAAACGTTCAGCGAATGATATATCCAAAGGGTCGTACCAACTGCACCGAGTGCGGCAGACATTTGCTGGTGCATTTGGTATCATGACCGCTGCAGCGTATGCTAAGGCTGGAGTGCTCAGTTCTCGCAGATCGGGTCGCTCGATTGTCTTGCGTGGTCACACTGAACCGGAGGACATGAGCATTCTCTCCAATGTTCTGGGTGTGACTCAAGAGGTATGTCTTTTTGTACATGCTTCAATCTGAGTTTGACTGTAACATTTGATGTAGACAATCAACCGGCGGCGCCTCATCCAAGAGCTCTATGAAAAGATGACCTTGCATCGACTTCTAGATATCCCTCCGAAAGGCGTCACCGCCCGTGACACGAACGGCGCCTCATCTTCAACAGGAAAAGGAGAAAAATCCTCTGGGGTTGAGTCGGTCTGGGCGAAAGCCGACGTGAGTGATGGCGAACTCGGAAATATATCGCGTCATAAACCGTATTCCAAGGAGCGGAAGCGCGAAGCGATCGATGTGGATGTAGGCGAGGAGGAAGAGGGGAGTAGGTATGATATACCTCCGAGAAAACGTCGGCGCTCAGGGACCGCTGCCGATGCACATACCGTGTACACGTCTGATGATGACGACGATGACGACGACGATACCAAGGAGGACATCGTCGTCCACACAGTGGACGGCAGCAACGATAGTCTGGCCAAAGAAGACGAAGAGTATGATGTGCATGGCAGTGAGGAGAAGGGGAGTGATTCGAAGGACGCTGCAAGAGTGAAGGCGAAGGTGAAGATCGATAGGAAGCGAGCATACTGGCTTGCGAAGGGAATGTCGACTGGGAGGAGTCCCAGTCCGATATGAGTGCTGCACGATGTAATTGATGTTTATTTTAGATGTATACCTGTCTCGCCGTCCACACATTTTGTTGGGGGTAATTAGCTCCGCCTATTTACATACCGCGAATTTTCCCCGCGATCTCATTCGACGGTCAAGAGAGGGGTGAGGTAATCGGAGTGGTTGCCAGATATTGCCGTCGGGGAAACGTGACCCTCACGCTGTCAGTCCACCGTTGTAGTAGCCAAAGGCTGTAGTAATTACTGCACCCCTCCTTCCCCTCGTTTGTGTGTCACTCTCCTCTTTCTTTCTTTCTTCTCTGCCTTTGCATCGTGGAGCATTTGTTTCTAGTCTGGGTCTCCCATCAGTTTCACTATCAATCAAGTTGCCGAACATAGGGTCTAGAGTCGCTGGTCGTTCTTTGACTGTCGTCCCCTCTCTTTCTCTCGTATTCCATGTAAGTGCCAGCACATCCCTTCTACGCACAGCGCCCCTCTCCATAGGGCAACAGCTGCTCATAAGTCACTTTGATTTTTTCACGCAGGGCCGCATCTCGTGTGCAGCCATCGCAAGTCAACCTAAAAGAACGCATCGCAGCCCTACAGCAACGTAACAATGCATCACAGTCCTCTAATGGGTTATCACCTTCCAATTCAAGTCATGCCAACCCTCCACGAAACACTCTTCGCGAGAAGATAGCGAAGTTCGAAGAGAAAGGTGGTACGCCTATCCCTCGCGGCAGCTTCGGTTTGGGGGCTCCTCCAGCGGAAGAGGGTGCAGTGAAGAAGAGTAGAGAGTTATATGGAAACCGCATTGCAGCATTGGGTCAAGGCCGCCCTGGTCTTACTCCGCAGCAGGTGCAAACACGAGCGGTCACATCGCCGTCTATGCCAATTTCGCCCCGGAGGAGGTATCTCTCGACCTCCAGCTCTATCTCCGGCGGTTCTCCGACCCTCTCTGATCTTGTTGCATCTGATGTACCCCCAGCATCTGGCAACTCTTCACTCCCATCGCCAGATCTGTCCCGTCGCAACTCAACCGCGGCCCTTAATCGACGGAGCGTCGTCGACATCATTGTCAAATTCGATGAGCCCTCATCTGTGCCCCCTACTCCCAGGAGGACACGAACCGTGTCAGAAAGCAATATCTCGCCTTCTTTCGCCTTGCCCCTTGATTTCCCTACGTTACAGACTATGGAGGAAACCTCCCCAGTTGAAGGAGCATTTCCAATTGCTCTGAAGGATCAGCCAACTCCTGATGTTCCAACAGAGCTTCCAGGGTCCGTGCAATTCCCCTCACTCGCGCCGTCTGCCCCTCTCGAGACTGAGCAGTCACCTCCGAGGCCGCTATCACCCCCAAAGGTCGTTCAAACTCCCGAGGCGGCCGTCACAAAGCTTCCTGAGATCCCCGAGTCATCACTAACTGTGGAGTCTACAGACTCGCGGGAAAAAATCAGCGTCTCTATTCCATTGGACTCTACAACTCACAGCGTCCGATCACCCTCCGTGATTTCACCCCCGATGGCATCATCTGTTTCATCGCCGGCAGTTGTTGACAAGCCCATAGGCCGGAAAGGAGGGAGTATCTCGCTAGACACTTCTGACACTCAAATATCAAGGTCAACACCCTCGGTCGTCTCACCCTTTCCGACTCAACCCACTCAATCCAGCTTGCCTTCAACCATGTCTCCCATCGAGTTCTATGATGATGCTGTCACGCCTACAGCAGGTCCGAAGGGATATTCTGTCGTGGTTCATGGAAGGACGAGCGAAAGTGGACCCGACCGCGTCTCCAGGCCTAGTTCACGAACGGGGACCTACTCATCTTCAGGGCACAAGAACAGCCTGGACAGCACAGGCAGCAATCATCCGCATCCCGTGCTGCGCTCAAAGAGACAGTTCAAACACCTTCAGAGCTCTGTTGCTGACCCGCCTGCCAGCCCCAGTGCAAACGACTTAACGGCACTGCTCCAAGAGGCTGCTTGGTTAGAGCAGAGACTCATGGATGGTAATACATCATTTCAGGAGCCGGTTACACCTGTGTTGGAACCGGATGTCCAGTCTAACAGTCCTATCTCAACGGATGCTTCAACGACACCTTCTCCCATTCTCATAACTCCGTATCGCTTGCAGTCGATCGAGATCCAGCATTCTCAACAACCCATCAGCTCTTATTCCCCACCCACTCTCCAAATTCATGCGCCAGCCGCGTCTGCCGCAGATGAAGAAGTGCCGCCTACGCCTCCACCCAAGTCTGCGCGTACCCGTCGCTACTTCTCATTGCGCTCGAAGCTGCCTACTATGCCAGGCGCGTACCCGCGCCACAGCATGTCTTCTGAGATATCCTCAGAGGATTCTGCCCCTGTCACAACTCCGCCGTCGCCTACGTTCGACCTTGTTATGCCACCTAAACATTCGCATGATGGAATGAGCGTCAAGAGTGCGAAGTCTGGCAGGTCCTTCAGGAGCGCATTGAGTGGCAAGAGTGGGAAATCAGAGACGCCCTCCATGCGCGAGTCTCTCAAGCTGTCGCCGAGACGCGGTGTGGCGCGTGCGACATCGTTCGCGGAGAGATTGCTTAACCGCGCGTCGAGGACGAAGTCGATAATTGAGGATAGCCCCAGTACGCTGTGTGTCCCTTTCAGCCTTTGGGGAATATCGCTGACCGCATTCGTTTTTAGCTGAGTCGATCCCAGAGTTGTCTCGCCTTGAGCCTATACCCCAGATAGAGCCGATACATCCTCTTCCCGAGACGCCGACATCCTTCATTTCATCAAGCTCTGCAGATACATCGCCAAACAATACCATCTCGTTTGATCGAGATATCTTCGATGCGTTTCCATCTGTGCCGGAGGGGCTTCCCCAACGTCCCGCATCTTTCTTGTTCCCGAGCCCTGGCGACCAAGATAGCCCAAGTGCTCTGGCGAGGTCTAGCACAATGCCGGCGCGGCATCGCGGACCCGCCGCACAGCACCAGGCGAGAAGTGACAGTAGGAGCACGTTTGCGTTGAAGGAAGTGGATGAGCGAAGCCCGTGGTTGCCTCTACCGGGAGGCGAGAAGACGCAACTCTTGTAAACGGCTATCCTGCTTGTCACCTGTTTCATTCTACCACCTGTGTTTTGTTCGTGCCAATGCTCGCGCTGTAGTATTTCTTTCCTCTTTCTTCGATCTATTCCACTAGCTCTACTGCATCCTCATACCCTTAGATGGGGCTTCATTACTTTACTCCAGCATCTTGCTTCATCTCAATCGTTAACTGGAATTCATAACGGAATCATAGTTTTGAACAAAATCTGAATGCCGTCGTATTCACATGAGCTGGCGGTTTATAGCTTTGCATATAGTCACTGAACAAAGAATAGTGGTGTATATGTGTCTACATTGATTGGTTGTCTCTCTTCCCTCATCCTCACCAACTGTCAGCAACCGTCTCTCTGGGTCTCTCCGCCCTTCTTTTTTCCTTTTCAAAGAACTTGACTCAGTCTATACGCGACCTTATATACGCAAATCCACCACCACAAGTTCAACCGCCCTTCCTTGCACTCCTCTAGCAGAAGCTATTGACGCAAAATGCCACAACAAAAATCAATGCAGTCTTTCTTTGGGTATATATACCTGTCCCTGTCCGTAGCTGGGTATATCACGCCTCGCACTCGAAATACGATCAGTTTGCAAAACGTCACCTCGCTGCGGCATAACCGCTCTAAACTGTTGTTGGTCCGGTATCAAAATCTTCCTCTTTGCTTCCTCCCACCATCAACAGCGCAGCGCGTCCCCGTCTCCACGCCCGCCCTGTTTTCTTGTCGCAAGAGAGCATGCACTCTGATGCTTGTTTGCCGCAGGTTGCCCTAGCCTGGTTGCCGCCACCAGTTTCTTCTCGTTATACGACAAAGATTGCCAGAAGGATGGCTTCCACCGGTGAACTGTTGCCTGGCAGTGTAACGGACGCCATTCCTGATCTGTTGTCTTGTCCTTCCCACTCAATCCGCATGCTGGTGTGGGAGGGTGCCCGATGTGATATATCTACATCGTCCCCGAGGGTAGAATGGTCGGCGCAGGGACTGCTGTACTATACTGTCTTGTCGATGTTTTGGGCACTGTTGGGAGATCCTGGGGTTGAGAAACTGGTCAGATGGCTCTTCGGTGCGACAGCCCCTCTCGTTCAAATTCCCGCGTGAACCTAAACAGGAGCGCTTCGGCCCTCACTGCAAGGCCTCAAGAAAAGAACCGGCAACATCAGTTCGATACTATATCTGGGTCATATACAAAAATCGATGACCCTAGATTTTTGGACGCGGTACTTAGCGGAGACTTCGGCCTGCACATCCAGAAGACTACTATGTGGAGTAATGGAACTGAACGAATCAGACCGTGCCGCGACATTTGCGCCACACGGCCGTGACGAATGCCCTCAGTGTTCAAACATTTACGTCGGAGCCAGATGGAAGAGAAAAGAAATAAGAAAAGAAATAAGCACAGAGCGGGCGAGGGACGGACGCGGCATTGGGGACATGCGAGGAGACGGCCGCCAAGGACCACGAGGCCTGGCTAGATGGGACGACGTTCGACGGCCGCATCGTCTTCTACGCCCTCATAAACACCCTCCTCGACACCTTCCTCTGCTTCGACCTTGCGGTCGTCAGATTTGCCTACAATCTTCACGGGCCAGGGGTAGACCAAAACGCGCGGTCAGGATGGTCAACGCACAGCAAACGAGTCGTAAATCGATGATGGGCATGCGGGCTCACCATAGCAGCCAAGCCTGGCAGCGGTTTGGCGGAGGGCGAGGAAGGCCAGGGGGCCAGATCGTCGTGCGGATGGCCAAGGGGTGCCTGTGCAGAAAATACGAAAAGGGTAAGAAGGAGAATGTGAGGAGGATGAGCGAGCATCTGGGGAGGGAGCCACGTACCATGGACGAGTCGCTGTGGTGCTGTGGGGTGCGCACGTACGGTCGGTACCTAGGGAATCGAATCGCAGGCCATACGGAGAGGACAGGTAGATATAGCAGTGGTTGAAAGAAAGAAAGAGCGGGAAGGCAGGCAGGGGGTCTTTAAGTACTCACCAAGTGAATGTAGGGAGTCAATCGCCCACGAGACAGCGACCAGAGCCACGACAGCAAGGTCGTTGTGTACAATTATGGCAAATACACTGCCCGCAAGTCAGACGATGCTCTGCAGATGTGCGATCGTCCAGCGCCGTGCGATCGACTCACCGCACATCGTCCCTAATAATCCCCAGGGGATATCTGTGGTATATTAGCAATATACCCGGAATCAACCGCGAATATACCCACCTCCCCTCCGGGGATATTCACGGTCGATTCAAGGTAATGTCTTGAATATACCGTGAATATACCTGGGTACTGAGTATATTCACAGTATATTGTGGGTTTATTCGAGCTCGATATCATTCCAATCACTTTATATGCGCTCCATAGATAGAGAAATAAATATATTAACAAATCATAAAACTAATACATGCTATTGAAGGCTACACGACAATTCTAAGGCTTGAAAGATCTACAAAATATACTTGAAGAGGCGAGAGGTGCGAATCCCGGCTAGATGTTCCCCCGCATACGCAAGCAGCCACGGCGCGCATCAGGGATGGGACGACCAGCACCTTGACGCAAGAATCTATTGCGGTGGCGGGAGCGGTGCGTCCGCGCGTGGCCTCGAATTCGAGGAGTACATTTTGGGGGGTGCGTCGGGCTGCGGCACCGCGCTGTCGAACACGAGCACATCTGGTAGCACGCCACGCGCACAAACGCAGCCGCTGGCGAGTGCATCGGTGCCGGCAACGTAGAGGCGCATCCTGCGGAGAAGCGGGGTGAGCATGCGTGTCAAGGCTGAGAAGATCAGTGCGGGAAGAGACAAGGTCACCAGGAAGGGTTGCAGCTTGATAAGGTTGGCGAGTGCAGGGAGCGAGGGGAATGGAAAGAATGCGGTGTAGTGCGGGGGTCAGTACTGCCGTGCGGGGGGTTAGCACTGTGACACGGAGAGCCCAGATGAACACTGGCCTCACTGATGTTGCTGCTGCTGCTGCTGCCCCGACGACATTGGCACTTGCGCGCGCACCGCAGACTCTGAGGCTAATCCGAGCCACCATGTGCATGAGAAACACAGATGCTAGCACCCACGCCAACGCCACCAAGCTCAGCCTGTGCTTACCCTTGATCTCATCCATCCAACATTCACGCTCACACCCGCAATACCCACCGTTCTGACAATTCTTGCCGCACACACGTCGTAGGCTGTGCTTGCAATCTCCTTCAGTCCCACCCCGGCCCGCCCTAAATGGACGCATATATGCGCTCTGATCCCGCATTTTCAGGCATTAGATCTGATTATATGAGAAACCCGGAACTATAGAGCATATGGAAACATGTTTCAGTGGGAGAAAGACTCACCAAAATATGTGCACACTGGAGGCTCCTAGAGAGTAAGACGAAGGGAGCACTTAAGAGAAATCTCGACGCTGTCCGACGACGCGCACTCATCAGGTGACCGTCGAAATGGATGAGTCATCTCCCAGTTGGGATTGACTAGGGGATATTTGAGGGATATTCCCTGACGAGTATATTCCAGGTATATTCCAGGTATATTGCTAATATACCCCGAATATCCCCTGGGGATATTTGGGGGCAATGTGCGGTGACTAGTGCCGTGCGCACATTAGGTTTGCTTCTTCCTGCTGGTACAGAATACATAGACTTTTTGTGTGCCAAACCAGTATCCAAACGGATACTACATCCCATTCTGCCAGCACCAGATGCATGCGGATGGTCCGTGGCCGACTACAAGTCTAGTGCTCTGCTCCGTGTCCGGCACCGATCCACCGGTTGGAGGCCCACCGCAAACGCCTGTCGCATGCACGGGCTGGACTTTGTGGACAGAAAACCTTCTAGTGGATGAGCAGGTCCTGTCATCCCCAACTTTCCAGATAGTCCTGACTAACCATTCCAGAATCCAAAAAATCATACTCGAAGGCGATGGACTATGTCCCCTGGTACGACTGGAAGTCGTTGACAGTGACCCAGAAACAACCTTGCTGCAATGAGATCGCTCTTTGGGGTGATGGACAAACATATGATGTCAGCCTCTTTTCCGAAAGAGAGATTAGAAAATATATGTTAAGGACCCAGATACGTTGCTAATATGAGGAGCTATAGGCTTGTCATGTCCGAAGCCTTGCTTTTCAAAGCAAAGAGATGCGAGAAAAATCAACCTCGCAGCTTCAAATATGACTGGCTGTACTTCGAGAACACAAGCATAAAGACACTTGACCATCTTCACATCCATGTATGCCAGATCATCATTCTCTTTCCCATCCTGCTAATTTCGATGCTGCGAATTGCACAGACTGTGCTTCAAGACAACCAAGCCGACGGCCACCTGTGTGACTAACATGACACTAATGTGTCACAAGCTGGTGTCTTTTTTATTTTATTTTCAATTCAATGCATTTATATCCCATATGGTGTAACACCAGTGGTGGCAGAAAATACAGAAGAGTATAGCCCCATATACTACATAGCAAGTTAAGGGCTCAGTTAAGGTCTAGATTGTCAGCCTAGCTAAGGCAGGCAATTGGAGAAAGCAGTTGGGTTCCTAATGATTAGGATACAGTATCTACTGAACTCTACACCTGATCCCTCCAGCATATCCCATCATGGATTAGGTGTCAGTGCACAAGCCCTACCAGATGTAGGTTTTGCAGTGGCATTGTGGGTAGTGTGGTTGTTTGGGATGCCTTTACTGTTTGTCCACTTATCACCTAACCTATTACAACTCCCTAGCACCTTTGACAATATAGTATATCCCATCTGGGCATTGGTTTTGCATGGATGTGGATAACAAGAAGGTGGTTATGAAGGGCAGACACTTACCATACTAGCAAGGGGGTTATGGGCACATATAGCACCCTAGGTAAAATATAAGGTGCTATAGGCACCACTAGGAGGATATGTGATCATTTGGGGTGCTTGACTACCTGTGCACTTGTCACTATCCAAGTAGTTTAATAACTTTTTAGTCTAAGAGGGGAAAGGGCAGGGTTTTACAAGGGGATGCAACTATAATCCCATCCCTAAGTGACTCTCCCTAAAAATATAGAATGTCAATAGAAAAACCAGCTCCTAGGGATATCAAAGAATAATAAAGGAGTATAGCACCTATACCAGAAAAGAGTGAGGAAGGAAGAGACTCAGGACAGGTGATAAGCTGGCAGTGTCCAAACCAGAAAGGCAATGGTATAGGTGCAAGAAGCACCATAAGCTAGTGTCTCTTGTCAACTTGCATCACAAAAAACATTTGGGCTGAACCAAAGCACCAACAGCACAATGAGTGTACATTTGCAGCTACCATTGGGAATGCACAAGCTTTATAGCAGCAAGATAGTTTCAATAAACTTAAAGAGCATAGCACATATACTTCAAAAAAAAAATCCAAAATTTGGAGAAGCATAAGAGAATTGAAGGCACACTAAATACTGAGCTTGAGACTCTAATGAGACTGAGAACCACAAATTATCACTAGCTCAATTAAAACCTAGAATCAAAAGTCTAGCCAAGTAATATAGCAAAAAAAAAAAACTACCTTTCTTTGAACATTCAACTTTTGAGTTCTCTATTGAGTTCTCCAACAGAGGAGGCCACTAGAATGTGTGTTTGAATAGTGGTGAAGACATGTCCTCTAGAAACTCTAGCATGCTTAGGAATCAAATAAGCGCATACTACTCAATCCTTGCAACATGATGTGGGTAACCAAAGCACCCATGTGATGTGCACTATGGTATAGCAAGTGTGCAGTGGCTTGCCCTAGGCACTTTAATTAGTAGCCTATGCTTGGGAAGCATTTACTATTGAAATATAGGCTAGAAGTATTACTCAGCATCTATGTAGATCACTTTATATTCAATCGGGAAGTACCTAGAAGTATTACTATGTGACAGAAGCATAAGTAAAAGTGACATGTATGTCTTAAGAGGAAGTGAGCTCACCTTAGTGTCTATGTAGATCACTGAGGGAAGCCCAACACCGAAGGCATTAGTAACTACAAGCACGGTGGCTGGGAACTGTATAGTACTTCGGCAATCTCTGAGCTCGTCAAGTAAGTAAGTAAACGATAAGTAAATCATAGAGAAAGATATGACGAAGGTGATTTGCCTCAGTCCAACATCCACTATATGCGATATCCCTGGTGTTGGCGCATCGAGCTTCATGTCGCTCTGTTACCGCGCCTCCTTCCCCTCACCTCTACTCACCATCGAGTCTCGACCATCAAGCTTCAAGCTTCACCTATCCGTCTTCGTTTGGCTCAGCAATCTGCACATCTCCCGTTCATAACGTACCTTATATGAGTCGTGCTCGCTCCTGGCCTGAAACCTCCTCAAATTCACCGTACGGTATAGCTGCACTGAGGTATCTATATGGCGCCAGGAGATATGTTCAATTCAGAGCCATTCCGCTCGCTTTTGAACCTCCAGTTCTAGGCTCCGCAGGAGTGTGTTTGGTCTCGACATCCTCTAAATACGTTGACATCCTCCCTCATACAAGGTCTTGTTTCTGTTGCCACGGACGCCTGCTCGTGCACTGTGTGTTTGCTTCTGAACGCATTGTTAGTAAGACGATTGTGACATTTGCAGCGCGAAGACTTTTTTTGACAGGAGCTGTCTCGTTTGTGGCCATCCTGGACGTCCGTGTGCACTGCGTGTGCAGTCAAATCAGCCGCCCGTAGCTGGGTCCAGTACTGGCACCTCGCCGTCTTGAACAGCGGGTTATGAATTGACTCATTAGGCGCCCGCGAGCCGCCCAGCCAGCCTCTCCACTTCCTTCGTCCAAGCCACACTGTACTCACCATTCGTCCTTCACGAGCAGCCTTGGCCTGCATGGAACGTCGCGATTGTCCTGCTGGTAACCTTTCAGACCAAGATGCTATTGGCTGTTACCACTCTAATACCCCCGCTGCCTTTGAGTACACTCGCCCTGGTTGTCAAATCCCTACCACGTCGATTCTACGACTCCCGAGGCTGGTGGCTGGAAGAGTCAAAAACGGTGAGGCAATCTTCGAATTGTCGTTTCATACCCGAGACGACTGACGGCCTCGCCCTCCTTGCATCAGAGCGAATTCCCCTTGATGAGCCGTCAACCGATACCTAGGACGGGGGGAACGATTTTCGTTTGAGATACGCAGGTTTTCGAACAGAGAGCGAAGCATTAGTGGGGAATTGGCGACCGGACGAATTTCCGCACGCAGACCAACGTGCGCAGAGTTGACTCGGGCGTGGACAGATGGTGTTGGGCGAGCCGTGCGCAAACATGGCTGTGATCTTTCTGTGTTGGGAGTCCGGAACTCACACTCTGAAGCATGGTGACCCAGCCACTCTTCCCAGTCCTTCCAGCCAAATCCCTCTCGAATCGGCGGCGCTTCCGCCTGTACGTGCTATACAATCCCATTGACTGGGTTGCAAGGAGCAGGGAGATACTACTGAGGGATCTCAGCACGCCGTTATTTTCTATGCTAGTTTCGAATAAAATTGTCTGCTTCAACCTCATCGGATGAGACAAAGCTAGAGCAATCCCCCAAACAAACAGGGTTCAACTCTCTCAAGATCACTTCAACTCCCTCAATATCACTTCAACGGCCTCGAAACAACACGCCAATGACAGCATAAATTTCAGAGCAAGTTCAAAGACAAAAGATACGACTATAATACAGTACGGAGTCACCTGCTCGACTCTACTAACTCGGTGTTAGATTATATATATAACTCAATGACCGGACGCATGATCACTCAAGATCTCGAAAATGGAACCCGAACATGACACCTTCGTGTTGACCATGGATAGGATGAGAACGCGGGTGCCGTCCCAGCAGCAATTGTGAGACTCAGCCTTCTCAAGAAGAAGTTTGCCCTTGTGTCAAGAAATGGACGAAAAACGAATATTTCAATCAGTTAAGGAAATCGAACTGCAGTTCGTCTTCCATCCTCTTCACGGCAATCGCGCGGCGACATTTACGCTGCACGGCCACGGCGAACGCCTGTGGATTCAACGATCCCGTATCAAAAAAAAATGAGCACAGGTGTGAGCAAATGTTGAAACCTTGCGACTCACGAAGACATAATCGCTCAAGGTTTTCAGATTAATCCTGTTGCGGCGGTCGACAACTTCTTCTGCGTCGTTTGACTCTGCTTCTATTTTGATGTCACAATCCTCGATGATGATCGCCGGCTGCCAATCAAACGTCAGTCACTCGATGAAATAACCGCACAAAGACAAAGACGGAGGAAAACAAAACTTGAGCTCACCAGAGCGAAACTTGAGCGCCGCTGGGGCTGGAAAATCGGCGGGTCGCGGTACCGATAGTCGACAGTTGTCTGCAGATCACACACAAACACGGATAGAGGACATGGATCATGAGCGTCCAGCGGCGCAGCATGACACGCGGGAAAATGGAATCGCACGCGCGTACCATATGGTTTCCGTGGTGTGAAGGGTGCGCACGAGAATCTGGGTGGTACCTTTCGAAGTGTGAGGCACGATACGCGGGTAGACGCGACGTATCTGCTGAATTGCCCGTGTTGCTGGACATGACAAGGGCCAAGGATGGGTAGGGCGGGTTCACGCTAGGCATTGGGCAAGCCGGGCCTGCTAATAGTGTACTGTATTTGTGTAAAAAAGAACGAGGGTTGGACTGAAAAATGAAAAAAAGAAGGTGCGGGGCGGGGGGCAGGAGCAGAGGGGACGAAGAAAGCGAGAAAGAGCAAGAGAGAAGAGAAGAACGCAAAGGGGATGCAAAGTAAAAGAGACAAGGCGCCCTGCCCTTATATAACGCACAAGCGAATGGGGTCGGCAAGCACCTGGCGAGAATCGCCCTCGAGACCGTGCACAGCGCCATGAGGGATCCCCGCGTCCAATTTGGGTGAAGGAGCCACCCACGGTCAATCGGTGTTCAAGTCGCGTCGGGGCGACGGTACCGACCGTGACGCGCGCGAGATTACCCTCCCGCCTGCGCGATCCGCTTCCATTTCTGTCGAAATGCTTCCGCTTGAACGGTTTCCTCAATTAGTGGTTGCTCCTAGCACCCAAAAGATTCTCGAGATGCGAGACTGAGCAAAAGCAGTTGGCATCATAGGAAGGCTCGAGGATTATATTCGGCAGATGAAGGCGGATGCCGTTCGCATCTGAAATTATTGGTATGTGTCTGGAGAGCGATTTTGGTGAGTAATGGCCCAAGCTACGAGTCCGACGTCACAAAGATAGGTTGGAAGTCTCTGTCAGATGAAGATGCACAGACCAAGGCCTGCACAATTAGACTTCATCTTTGTCAAGGTGAACGCAACCATATCGTTCCCCCTCCATCCCCTCCGTTGAAAAGACACATGTGCGTTTATCGAAAGTCAAACAGACTTCCCTGCAGATGCCTTGCAGGACTCTCCATCCACAGTCCATTTTCAATTCTCCGCGCAGCCTGGCATGCGCAGTGAAGCGTCTATGATACCAACTGGCTGTGCTCCCGAAAGAAAAATCCTTTGGTCGTGCCCAAGAATCTTTTATCAACCCTCCTCCCCATCTTGTCATCCCTGACTTCCCAGAACCACACCAGGCTGCACAACTGTACTCGCAGACGACCAAGTCCATGCCCACTGACTTGACTAGCGTGACCCCATTATGTCACATCGTCACAAGACCAAGGCGTGATGGCGAAGGCAGGTGTCTTTCGTCGACTCCTAGCACCCTATGACAATCGCGCTGAATCAAAGCATCAACAGTGTGATGTGCTGGCGTTTTACGCTGTACATGCCATTACCAGGCAACACAGCAAGTCTCAAGCTTCAAGCCTGAGCCTGCACGACCTCATTGCGGCGTCCCAACGAGCTGACAGATCGCAACACATCCAACCACCCTCAAGCATGCGCCTCTTCATGACCCAGAATAAAAACAGAACAAGAGAAAGGAAGGCGCACCAGATAATGGAGCCTTTTGCTCCGACAAAACCAAGTCGTCAAAGACCCAGGATCAAATGCCCAACTGAGCGATAACATACCAAATTTAATCTCCCCTTCAAGAGCGGTCCACTGCGCGATAAAATGGCCTCACTATCTGACTCCGCCGGATGCATCTTGCAAGTGGGTTGTGCATGGAGCTCGACCACGAAGAGAATCCGCTCGAATGCGTGTCCGAAATTTGGCGAGGCCATGCTCTCTAGTGTATTCAGCCCCCTATGGAGTCGGTTGAAACGCAAGCTCTTCAATCCTCGCAGCACGATGTGAGTGACTAGGGCACCGAGGCGAGCCCACCATTTTGCGTGGCGCACGTTGGGGCACCCGCTCTCGAGCGAGCGTCGGCAGATGTGCAAGATCGCTTGTGCGAGGCGAGAGCAGGGGATGACTGCCGAAGAATCAATAGTGGAGGACCGCAGCACGGAAAATAACCGTGTTCGACAGAACATATGTGCGAAACGTCTGAGCGCCAGCCTGAATCCGGAAACCCTCAAGCCCACGCTGCTCATCCATCAGCCCGCGGATATGAGATAGAGTACGATGCTCAGCTCGACGTTTCAGAAGCAAGTGGTGGGTATGTTGCAGGCTCTTGGCGGTGACAAGGTTGGCGGAGGCCGCGGTCAGGCCAGTTTGATTCGCAACCGGCCGCCAGACCCAGCGAGCTCCGCGTCGCACTTTGTGACATCGTCAAGCTTGCCCCTCCTCTATTACTCATGCTCACTCCACAGACTCATCATCTTCGTCTACGCGTCCCTCAGCTGCCGTCTCCCCCAGCCAGCAGGTCTGCTCGCACCCGAATAAGATTTGCGAATACTCGTCTCTCAGCCTTGGATCAAATGAAGTCTCAGTCATCTGTCGTCGATTGGCCCGGCAACCGTTTCGTTCTCACCAATTTCTAAATACTGGCCTTTGGATTGAGAGAGGGATTTACAGGGGCTCTATGGAGGATACATGGCTGCATCAAAACATCGATGCGGCGGCAGGGGAGACTCTCTGACTCAAAGCCACAACACGCAGGTGGCTCGCGACTCAAGGGCGCACGCATTGTCTCACCGTGGTGATAAGTGCTGCAAAATCTCCTCTCCTGTCCGATCTATCTGTGCAATTATCCCCACCGCCTCACAGTCGCAATGCCTCAGAATCTCGCGACGAAGATCATCTTGAATTTGATCGACGTTGCCGCCCTCAGGCCCCTCACCATCTGACCGAACTATCCTTATCCGGCAAGCCCATCCATGCCAAAGCAAAGCTCGACTGTCACCTTGGGGGTTCTTGTATACTCGCAACGAAGCTGACGGGCTCAGTCGCCATTCAGTCGCTTCAAGTCTACGCTGCAACGTTAACCTTTGACGGCCCACGGCATGCGTTCCCAGAATAGTGTTGCATCAAGATGGCTTACGGCACCAACGAGTATTCCGCGCTCAAGCGGGAGTGCCGTTTCTACAGCCATGCGCTGCGGAGTCTCGGTGGCATTGCAGTGCCGCGATGCCACGGACTCTTCAGCACAGAGGAAGACGGCGAGCTGGTCGGCCGTCTGGTGCTAGACCTGTGCGTCGGGGCAACATCTGAAAGGAATCCAGAGAAACAATTGGCAACAAAGGCAAGAGCTCAAGTAAGCCTCCTTTACGTTCTTGTACTCTTACATCTTATGAATTGTCCGTCGATAGTCGTCGGATCATAGTTGCAATTTGCAAGCTGCACTCCGTCGGGGTCGCACACCGGAATTTGGATGACTATCATCGCTTCGTTATGCAGGGCCAGTCCGTGCTCATAGTCGACTTCTCGCAAGCCAGAATACATAATTGTTCGGGTGGCACGCCCTTTGTGAAGGGCAATGATATTGATAGGTGGAAGAGGACACTCGTGGACTGCGCCGAGCTTTATGGATGTGAATCCAACTTGGGGCAATCATGTCACTTCCGAGCCCCCTCGCTCTCGTGCTTAGTCTGTCTTTGTACACTTTGATTATTCGTCATATCTCTATTGACATGTTGACGTCGAAATTATCGGAACTCAGCAGTACGTTGGGAAATTCAGTAGCAAGCTGAGTTGGCTATTCCAAGGCAAAGGTTTAGGAAGCGGCGGCGACTCTGATAAACCTCTTTAAGAAGCATGCCACCATTTCTGAGACGAAGAACTAGTATTCAGAAAAATGAATCTGGGGTGCGTCTTCCCGATGGTGTCAACGGCAGGCGCTCCGCAGAGAACAACTCAAGTCTTTCAAATATGACCTATGTGTTACCAAGACTGAAAAATTATTTATTGAGAAGGAAATCTTAAGCCGATCAACGGCCTTCCAAAACTTCTACTGCGCGATGGAAAGTGGAAGAGAAAGCGGACTGTTGAATTTGGCCTTAGCCTACAAGATAGTGATATAAGCATGATTGGAACTAATACTACAGAAGGGGGGAATCCTCAAGATACGCTACCTTGGTGAAGTGCGAATCTACCCCACTTATCCGAACCTCACGTCAGATATAAATAAGCATAAACCGAAGTGTCAACAATATGGATTGGAGAAATACACATAATAATGACAGACACCCAGACAAATATGGAAGAGACTTACCAGGAGGCAGGCGGATTGTCAGCCAAGTGCCTTGAGCGACCGGTTCATGGCTGAGGCGACGAGGCCCTCCTCTTCTTCTTTCCTGGTCCCCCACTCGTCGATCGTCGTGCTGAGGTCGATCCACCGACGCTGCTCGAACGCCTCAACGCAGGCGGGGGCGACTGCACTGTCGGGAAAGCTTCATCATCCACGGTAACACGCCGCGCCTGCGCGAAGAACAGCCTTGCCTCCCGATCCGAGATGTTCTCGATGAAGTAGGTGTTTCCTCGCGGAACCATGATTGAACCTCCAGAGCACAGAATATAGGACGACTCGTGTACTTTGAACGTGACAGCACCCTCAATGACGTAGAATATCTGAGTTAGATCTTTTAGCGCTGGAGGCTTCCACAAAATGAAGGGGGCAGGGACTTACGTAGGTATTGTCGTTCGTCGTTTTGCTCGGTTTGTGCCCTTTTGCAGGGATCATCAACTGGCCAGCGGCGGCATATTCCGAATCGCTGAAGATCTTCTGGAAGTAGAATTCCTTGCTCATCGCAGTCTTGTACAAAAGACGATGTGACGGATAGGCAACCCCTACACGATATAGATGAGCTTATATGAAAGCGGATGGGGGCGCAAAAGACTCACGCCTAGTGATTTCCTGGCCGGTGATGTAATCCCTGATAACACCGAATTCCTTAGTTCCGCTATCCCAGCCCTCTTCGGGATTGTACACCAGAACAGCATCTTCATCGACCGTCTTGCTTTTACTTCGTGGCGCAGAGGATCGCTTGTACTTCTTGCCTGCGATACCGAGAGGTTTTGGAGGCTCTTTGGGATACCGTAAGATCTCCTTGATCGATGGCACGAACGATTTGCCACCGTCTCGCCGTCCGTAAACAACCTTCTCTTGGCGCCACCATTCAAGAGGCGCGTATCGCATGCGTGTGCCGCGCCGTAAGCCAGTTGTATTCTCTGGGGAAGCTTGATGGGATATGTGAGACTGGGATGCTCGTGCAGCAAAGAACATCAGAAGCTTACGCGCTATTGGGATGATTTCTTTCTTCTTTCGTTCCCGAGGTTTCTTTGGCTGCTCGTTCTTTGATTTCTTCATCTTCTTCGAAGGACCTGGCCCCTGTTCTGGCTCGTCCTCATGTTCCGGCTCCTGCTCGTCAGAGAAATGCTGGTTCTCGATATCATCCAAACCTTCCTCGATATCATTCTCGACCAGATTCAATTCATCTTCATTGTCATCGACAGCACGGCCTTTACCCTTGACTGACGAGCGATTTGATGCGGCAATCGGCAGGTCCTCAAGATCCATATTCTCATCCTCGTCTTCGTAGCTTTCCCGGCCAATCTGAGTAAAACTTGTGCGCCTTGGGGTGACCGGGGACACATGAGACTCGCGACGACCATTGGCCAGCGGCGGCTCGTCAAACGGTTGAAAGCCACCGCCGAAATCGCCGTCGTCGTCGTCATCGTCATCGCCCAGATCATCGGCCATCAGCACATCATCATCATACTCTGCAGTTGTCGAATGCGATAAATGCGACGGTCCCGCAGATGATCCATTGTGGACGGAAGATCGTCTGGCGTGTGAGGTGGACGAGCGGGGGCGAGGGGAGGGGATACTGTCGAAATCGAATTCGGAGACGCGGGGGACGGGACGGGACGACGAGCCCGCACGGGCGATGCTAGAAGGCGGCACAAGGTGCCGCGCATTCGCAAAATATGCATTCGCACTCCCAGTGTCCACTACATACGCTCAGCGCCGAAAAAACATTAGCCAGCGGTAAGAAGGCTTGCACTCACCTAAGCCACTGTCGTCCAGCTCCATCGACATCTCTCCGTCCACGTCGTCAAAATCTTGCTGTAAAACGCTCTTCTTCTTCTTCCTTACGCGGGGCGGTGTCTTCGTATCCGCCTGGCCTAACAGTGCTGGAAACGACTCAAAGTCATCCGATTTATGGTCGACCATCCTAATGGCCATGCCAGTCTTCTTTCCTCGTTCGAGATCATCGCGTCGATAAGGTAGATGGATCCTCCCAGAGACTGATGAACGTCTCGATGTACCGAGACTCTTGCGGGCGGTAGGCATGACAAGATGACAAGATGCGTGTGGCGGCCGCGTCGACGTCGACGAACGCGATGACCTGCCGTGGGAACGGTAAACAATCGCGTGCACTCACGTGGTCTGCACAAGACTCTTGATATTTCAGCGGGATCTGAGTCACATCTCCTTAGGGCGTTGTGTAGAACGCCTAGTTTTTAACCGGGATAATAACAGGTGTTAATAACGCGTTAATAACGCGTTAAAACCAGGCACCTATCGGACCCCTTGGTTTTTAAGGTTAATAACTAATTTCCTAAAATAGCAATATATCTTGAATTTGTTGTTATTCAGTGCAATCTCTAAGTTACAGCTGTTTCTGAATGATTTTCAAGCCTCTATAAACTAAAATTAAATGGACTGGAGAGGTACAGATGGCTGGAGCGCAAATGGGGTGATTTGAGTGAGCAGTCGCCTCCCCTTGCGGCGGAACCAGAGAAGAGACCAGGGAGGTTAGGCTAGGAAACCCAACTCCACAACCGCTCACTCAAATCATCCCATTTGTGCTTAGCTATCTGAGCCTCTCCAATCCATTGAGGTTTATTTTCTGTATGTATACAACTGAGTGAACTGTGAGCGCTGTGAGCCATCATTTTGTCGACCCATTTTGTCGATTTTACTTTCATTTTCCCACGCTCACAATGTGTAGTTATTAACATTAGTTATTAACGCACTATTAACACCTCCTGGTTAATAACCGGTTAGAAAGTCCTGCGGAGTTCTACACAGCGCCCTACATCTCCTTTTCTTTTTTTGGATCAAGCATTTATATACCGCGCAGCGCTAGCCAGGGACGGTCAGTCACGCATCTCCAGATTTCATTCACGCAACGAAAGTGTTTGTAGATATACAGATACAACCCGGCCAGAGTTCCCCCCGTACCAGCGTTTTTTTTCCCATGTCAGTAAAAAATATAGGCGGGCAACAGAGAACGATAAGAATGTCGTGGATGAATGGGTAGTGCCGTATGTATGCGAGAGACGAAGAAATAGCGCAGCCAGATACAAGAAAAAGGGACGCTGGCCAGAGCCTATGCCTTCGATTTTGATGTGAGAGATGGGTGCAGGATTTGTTCGTGCAGAGCTTTGCCTGCAGGGACCTGTGCACCGTTTTTGATTTTAGTATATACAATCGTCGCTCGTCGTAAAGGCCACTTACCATGGGGAACACATGCTCGTTTGTCTCTACCACACACTCCATCAATATAGGCCGGCTGCCATCGTATTCCAAGAACTCCTTCATCTTGGCTGGGAGTTCACTCGCATTGTTTACACGAATGGCATGCACGCCCATAGCCTTCGCCAACATGACAAAGTCGGGGTTCGTCATGCGTGTGTGTGAGTAGCGACGATCATAGAACAGATCTATTGCATGATACCGTGAGCGTCGAAGTTCCGTTACAAGAGCAGTAAACCTATCATACCTTGCCATTGGAGCACCATGCCCTGGAATTCGTTGTTGAGCACCATGACCTTCACTCCGATATTGTACTGTGATGCCGTGGCCAACTCCATTGCAGTCATACTGAACGAGGCATCGCCATCGATGTCAACCACGGTCTTCTCTGGTGCAGCCACCTTCGCACCGATGGCAGATGGGAGACCGAAGCCCATAGTCTACGAGCAGAACTCGTAAGCACGTAGAAATCTGACAATGGCGATAGAAATAACGGACTCCCAATCCTCCCGAGGTGACCATCGAACGTGGGTGACGCCATCTGAAATGTTGCGCCGCCCACATTTGATGTTGACCAACACCGGTAGAGATGACGACATTGTCCTTGTACGCTTCGGTTTGTCTGTCCAGCTCCTCGATGACTTCCTGAGGCTTCATCTTTTCACCGTTCTCTGGCTTGCTCTTGATATACGTGAACGGATACTTCTCCTTCCACAATTTGATATCCTTGAACCAGGGCGCTCGCTCCGAATACTTAATCATGGGAAGGAGAGCGGACAGGTTCGACGTGACGTCGCCAAGAATGGGGATGGACGCTTCGACAACCTTGTTGATGTTTTTGGGCTGGACCTCGAAGTGGATGATACCGCCCCGACCCTGAGCGGCTGCGGCGCGAGCCGCTGGAGCGAAGGTATCGACTTTGCCGGTCACACGATCGTCAAAGCGAGCACCGAGAGCGATGATGACATCGGCCTCCTGCATCGCTATGTTGGCATACGCGCTACCATGCATACCGAGCATATGCAGACTCTTCTCGTCCGTCTCATCATAGGCTCCGAGACCCTGCAGAGTCGTCGTGACGGGGATGTTCCCCTCCTTAGCCAGCTGCGTCAGGAACTTTGGGCCCAACTCCGACTGAAGAACACCATTGCCGGCGTAGATGATGGGCCGCTTAGCTTGATTGATGAGATCCGCGGCTTGCCTTATGAGCTCGACATCTGAAGGAGCCAAAGGAGAGTTCAGAGGATTCGAGGGAAGGCCGAGAGCAGAGCCGGGAGTGGTCGCCTTGAATGGCAGCGCCTGGCGGAGAATGCCTGCAGTGACGTCCTTAGGGAGGTCAACAAGGACGGGGCCCGGACGACCTGAAGTAGCAATCTTGAACGCTTCGTTGATGCGCCGAGGAAGCTCCGAGATATCCTTGACCATCACATTCCACTTCGTGCAGCTTCGCGAAATGCCAACGATGTCGGCCTCCTGGAAGGCGTCCGAGCCTATCGCGGAAGTTGCTACCTGTCCACAAAACACCACCAGAGGTACGCCATCGCTCATGGCGTCCTGCATCGGTGTGACGACATTCGTCGCACCAGGACCTGAGGTGACGAGAATGACACCAGGCTTGCCGGATACGCGAGCATACCCTTCTGCCATGTGTCCTGCGCCCTGCTCGTGCCGTGGAAGGACGAACTCGAAGTGTTTCGAGTTGTAGATCGCATCGAAGACGGGGAGGATCGCCCCGCCGGGATAACCGAAGATGTGCTTGACATCGTGACGGAGCATCATCTCATGGAAGATTTGGCCTCCAGAGAGACCTACGAACGAATGGTCCAGAGGAGCATTTGTCTGGGTGCCGAGGGTAGGAGGTGGATTTGAGACATTATTTTTTGTGGGCAGCTGCTGGAATCCGGGTGCGGGGGCAGGACGCCTAAAAATGAGTCAGATGAAGTTAGGGGTCACACAACAATTGTAGAAATCAGCTTACAGAGCCGGGGAGACAACAGCATTCTGAACAGAGGAACGACTGATATTACGGGCGTGCTCTTTTACTCTCGACCTCGCGTCCAAATATGACGTGCTCGAGGCAGCCGTCGAGCGCGAACGAGTAAAGGAGAGACATGGCGAAACCTTGGAAGCGCTTGCGGCGCGCAGCGTTGGAGCAGATATTGTCGACAAGGACATATTTTGGAGGCGAGGTCGCCGGAGACAAGTCAAAGGAAGGGCTGGAGATGGAGGTCGCTGGCAAAGAGACTGGCCTGCTAAAACCAAAATGCTTTCGGACTTACTCCAATGACTCCATCCGTTGGTCCGTGTATGTCCGAAGCCATTCCTCGTTGCACGTGATATGCAGTCTCGTCGCGGTTGAGATCATTTCCAACAGTTCAACTCCTCATGTGGGCTCGCGCGTTCACGAGAGGTCTGTCGTCAAATGTAGCTAGGGTCAGGCCTCTAAGAGGGGACAAAGGTGGGCCTTGCATATGTCTGGTTCTCGTTCACAATACGACGATGCACATCCAGTGGTGGTCGCAATGTCAGGCGGAGTGGACTCTTCGGTCACGGCGAAACTGCTGTCAGAGAAAGTGCATTTGTAGTTTCATCGTGAAGTTACTTCATTCTGATCAACATTTTAGGATTACGATCTCTCCGCGGTCTTCATGCGCAACTGGGACACGCGCGACGAATCCGGCACGGACAAAGGCTGCGAATGGGAGAAAGACTGGGAAGACGTTCAGCGCGTTTGTGAGAAGCTAGACATACCTTGCCAGATGGTGCGTTCAATATATTATTGTGAGCCCACATGCATATGTGGTGACTAAGCCCAGGTCGATTGTTCTCGGGAATACTGGCTGCGCGTGTTCGAGCCATCATTGAAGGCATGGGAGTCTGGTGATACGCCCAATCCTGATATCTGGTGCAACAGGTATGTCAGCTCCTGTGAAACCGCATCAGAGTGGATGTTCATATCATGCAGAGAAGTTAAATTTGGTGCTCTGCTCGATCGCCTCACGGAAGGCACACAATTCATTGCAACAGGTATATAACGGTCATTTGTAAGAAGAGCGTATGTTCATAGCCACGTCCATTCCTCGCAGGACATTATGCGCGCAAGGGGCATCATCCGGTTTCGCAGCGGCCGCAACTTCTCCGGCCCGTCGATCGCCATAAAGACCAGACATACTACCTGTCTTCGATCACAGAAGCTAGTTTGTCTAAAACGCTCTTTCCTCTCTCAGATCTCCGAAAAAATGAAGTCCGCGAGATAGCAGTGCGTGCCGGACTGCACACAGCTTCGAGGGAAGAGAGTATGGGCATATGTTTTGTTGGGGAGAAACGTAGCTTCAATCAATTTCTCGGTATGACTATGTTGGAATCCTTCATATGCTATTTTTACCTGCCTCCCATAGCGGACTACCTTCCACCAAAGCCAGGTCCCATAATTGACTCAGTCACTGGTCACACAATTGGCGAGCACCAGGGTCTATGGACGTACACCATTGGGCAAGGAGCAAAGATACGTGGAATGCAGGAGAAATTATTTGTTGCACACAAGGACAAAGAACAAAATACGATCTTTGTCGTTCCGAGCAGGTACGGCCCTGATACCTCTCATCGTCACAGCGACTCATTGACGGAATGAGATGTAGTCACGAGGATTTACTCGTCTCGAACATGCGCGCAAAAGATTGGTCGTGGATCTGGGCCGATGAACCGCCCTCTGCTATCGACACCCCGGAAGGCTTCCATGCCCGCATGCAGTTCCGGCATCGTATGATAGACGTGCCTTGTGTGGTGCGCAGGTGAGAACATCTCAATTTTCCTTACGCCTCCCCAACGACGCTCATATTCTTGGCCGTTCTCTTACACAGAGTCGCCGACGGCTCTATCCTAATAAATTTAGACGCGCCTCAAAAGGCTGCAGCAACAGGACAGATTGCCGCGATATGGGACAGAGACTGGTGTCTAGGTTGCGGGACCATCGACGCTATTAACCTGTCGACAGCATCTGAGCATGTATTCCCTGCTTGATCCTTTGAATATCATCGTCGATTGTAGTAACGACCACCTTGTCGTATTGCAAACCATCCATCTGCCATCGGATCTTTGCCAATGCGACACATAATGAAGGTAGGGCATTCACATGTGAGGTGTCCTTCCGGATGACGACCCAGGAATCGCTGAGCTTAGAAACTCCTGACGCGCCGAACTGATGGGTACACGAACTTCAGATTTTGACTTTTCAGCGTGCGAAGTCAGCGGACTGCTAAATGGTCTATGACGAACCGATGGGGCTTTCCTGCAATCTCCGTAGCTAGCCTAACACAGAAGATATTATTTCTGTGTAAGCTTACGATGATATGGGCGTTGTCAAGGAACAGTGATTTCGTGTCGTGACCTGTTACCTTTCATGGCCTGCAGTCTTGTTTGCTCTATTCGCATGTATAGCTTACAAGCAATCATTGCAGCCGGACGATCAAATCATACAACAACTCATCTATTTTTTAAATTTCTAATATCGAGACGACCCAATACAACAGAAGGGACAGCTCCTGCGGCATGTGACTTGCCAATAGCAGGACCTCAGCAACATTCTCGCCGGAACCCAGAATGGCTGGGGAACATGGCGCTTGGGAGGGGAGGGGACCACGATGACTATCGTGTGCAAGCATATGCCCCGAAGCAGTCCGGCCGTCGCGGTAGGATGCCAAGAGTGCACATGGGTGCACGGCGCCAACTCGCACGAGGACATGGCCGGGTAGACAACCAAGAAGACTTCCAATGATACCTGAACGCGGGGGAATCAGGGGCTACCAAGATACGATAGCTTGCACCGACAAAGCCATCAACAAGTGCCCGTTGCCCGGAGCGCTCAGAATGCAGTCACACCGCTCTGCGTGGCTGCATACTGGCTCTTCACGTCATCCAAATCCGCCGCATCATCCTGGCTCTTGTAGTCAAATGCACTAGCCATGCTCCCGACTTCGGACGTGCCCGCCAAGCTGGAAAAGCTGGTGCGCCGTGTCAATCTGTCACTCTGCGAGTATGCCACGCGATCCATTGGGCCTACCACGCTGCTAGAGCTGTCTGCAGGTCCATCCTGCGAGATGATAGACGATGCATAAGAGCCATAGCCACCGCGCTTCGCGCCTCCCACAGCCCGCTGCATGCCTGCTCCAAATGGCCCAGAAGCGGCAAAAATGGGTAGACCAGAAGAGTAGGTAGCCTGAGAGCGCAATGATTGGACATCAGAGGGGATGTAATTGAGTGCGTCGTGTGTGCGGTAGAAAGATGCATCAAAGCGGCTCGGCGTTCCGGAGCTCATTGGCACGTTGTTCAATAATTCCCGCGCACTTGAGTCATGACGGCGGAACTGGTCCATTGACTTGCTAAGTGTGCGCCTGGGCTTGCTGAATTGGATCATACTAGGCTGCAGGTTGTTCAGGGGTCCCTCGACAAGGCAACCTTTCTCCTTGTAATGAGTCAGGAGATAGTGCCACAAAGGATGCTAAGTGGAAAGCGAGTCAACAAATAGTTACACGCATGGTGGAGTGAAAGAAAATCACCTTGCTCAGGACTTTAGGGTTGCCTAGAATAACAACACCGTATTTCGCACGAGTGAGCGCCACATTCATACGTCTGGGGTCGTTCAAGAAACCGATGCCCTGGTGCTCGTTGCTCCGAACACAGCTGAGAATGATATAGTCCTTCTCGCGACCTTGGAATGCGTCGACGGAAGCAACCTCAATCTCCTTGTAGAGATCTTTCTTGAGGGTCCCGTTGTACTGCATGTAATTGACGATGTACGAGCGCTGGCCTTCGTAGGGTGTGACGACACCTATCTGGCCCGGCACAACACCAGATTTGAAAAACTTGGTGACAATCTTCTCAACATTTGAAGCCTCCGTTCTAGGGAGGGTAAGACACAGTGTCCTCGGTGAATGAAAACAGCGAGCGGTACCTGTTAAGGAATGACGTCCCACTGCTTGAGATTTCTTCTTGACCAAGATTCTGATAGAAGAACATCGGGGTGTCCGGGACAGGCCATGGGAAGTCTACGTTTTTGCGCAGGCGCTCAGGCGCGGTAACACCGTTTTGCAGCGTTCCTTCGTAGAACATGTTCGAAGGGAACTCCGAAAGACACGGGTGCATACGGTACTGCACTTGAAGACGGATAGGGCGGTTGCTCAGAACGACTAAGCGTTCAAAGAGGGACTGAGTGAGACCCGCGCGGGCCGCCTTCTTGTTCATGATAACAGGTCCGAGTTGTTGATGATCTCCTACGAGCACGACTTGCTTGCAACCCAGAATAAGGGGGATCATGCATTCTGAATGGATGGTCTAAACGTCAGTGATCAGTCGGATGCAATAAAGAAGCGTATCGTTACCTGGCTCGGCAGCCTGCGTGGCTTCGTCTATCAATACTGTCCTGAATTTTAACTTGCTCAACCTTGGATCTCCCGCACCCACACAAGTGCAGCAAATCACATCTGCGGCACTCAATATCTCCTTCTCGCAATGCCGGATCAATGTTTTGTACTTCCTCTCATCGTTTGAGCTCAACTCTCCCTGCTCGTTCTTGAGCTGGATGAGCTTCTGCAGTTCCACATGCGAAGTGTGGTTCGCGACCTGTTGATGCAGCGTCAAGAAAGACACAGATGAGTCGAGCGCCTCGCGCGACTTGGCTGTCAGGCGCACGACTTTGAGGCCAGTAGCGTGAATTTTCTCCGTGAGTTGGTCGACAGCGACGTTCGATGGTGCGCAGACGAGCACCTGGCCTGGATTCATTTTTGCAAGATGGTATACGATCGAAGCTGATGTGACGGTTTTACCCGTGCCAGGAGGGCCCTGAATCAGACTGATGGGCTTCTGTAGGACGCTCTTGACCGCAAACATCTGCGAATGGTTCAGCTCCGGAAGCCCGGGGGCAGAGAATCGCTTGGGCATCTGAGTACGCAAGACCTGAGGCTCTAGTTCGTGGCCGAGAAGTTTGTGATACTGGTAGAATGAATGAGTGACACATCAAGGGTCAAGATTTAAGAAAATGTGTTCACAATATACCCGCTAACGCTCTTCTCATCGACGGCAAAAGTTTTCATGGCAAGCTGCATCCTATCAAAGCTCGTCGACTTCCACACGAAATCCGCAGAGAAGTTGTGAGTGATATCGTGAGGAACGCCCTCGGTTCTACGTAGCTCGAGACCAATTTCGTCCGAGACATCTAGGATCAAAACGAATGAGTACATATTGAACACTTAGAAGTCAAACGAGATACTCACTGTTCGGAACTTTGATCACATGTCCTACACCCTCCCAAGGTTTATGAAGCTCCCCAGAATACCTGAGCCTCAATTCATCCCCTACAGCCAACCTCACTTCCCCACTTTCCAACTTCGGCAGCCCGAACCACGCCACCCTTTTTTGATTCAAACCCAGATCCCACCTCACAGTGATATCCGTCTGGGTTTGACTTTCCTTGAGCCTCTTATCATAATCAGCTTCGATCTTCACAAGCGGCCCGAAGATATTCTGATATTGATACGCGTCCTCGTACCGCAACATGATCGGCTGGGGCTCATCATCTACACCGGGTTTTTCCAAATCTTCTAGGGTGGCGCTAGCATTTTCGCGCCACAAGTCTTCAAGGCGGTTGATCTGAGAGAATGAGATTTGGCGAGAGCGGAGCTGCTCGGTCTCGCTGGGCGGCTTGACTAGCCAGGAGAGGAAAGAGCGATCATCGATGAGAGGCGCCCAGAGAGCTGCATTCCAGGAGATGTCCTTCGAGATTGCTGCGCAAGGTTGTCTATACATAGAGCAAACAAATGAGCTGTAAGTAACATTGCACAAACATCAAGTAGGATACGCACCGGCACAACAGCACGACCACAGTATCGCTTTTCGCAGGTATAAAACCAAGCATAAAGACATTTTTGCTACCGCAATTGTAGCATTCGGGAGTCGTTTCTCCAAGCGGGCTCTCTGCATGAAGAATAACTTCTTTGTGCTTCGCACGCACAAGGTGGTTCACGATGTGCGATGCAGACGTATTCCCACGAGAATTGCAGAACCACTTGGAGCATACGAGACATTTGACAACAGACGCCGGATTGTGAATGCCACAGTAGCTATTAAAGGAATAAAATGAGCCATAGAAACCTCAAAGATGTTGAATAGGACGCACCTGCACGCGTGTGGGGGCAGATCAACTTGTGCGTCGTCCTTCAGATCGTCAAGGACAGCATCAAAATCCTCGTCCACACCCAGTCTAACAGAACCATTCTGAGATAGTGCATGCGTATGGCCGTTGCTGGCTGATGATCCAACGTGAGAGCGGTCATCAATAATCGAAAGGCTCTCAAGGTCCAGCGGCGTGTGACTGCTAGTATTGGCGGTGTATACGGACGAAGTGTCGTCCACGATGCCCATCCCTCCATAAGATGAGGCCGAGTCATACTGGAAATTGTCGAAGGAGTCCATAGTGGTTGCGGTAAAAAGGGAGAGAAAGAGAGGCGGCGCTGACTGGCGCTGAGCATTGGACAGGAATATCGCTGAGTCAGCGCTTCCAACTCTCGTGTCCACAAGCGCCTACACTTACTACAATACTCCTAGAGGCCCCTTCATCGCACGGCATACTATGTCGCGTAGCAATGGACATGCAGAGTCAGAGGTGATCGTTAGTGTATGCATTCCAAATCACCACATCGGTTGCTTCAGTGTTCACACTCTTTATGTGCAGTTTTCAGATGGGGGTGCATACTCCAAAGCCAAGATGGAGGATGCATATCGGGCTGTCAGCTCTGATAAGCCTCAGGCAAAGCCTACAAAAGCCCTCTCCGCCCTGAAAAGGGATGATGTAGATCTCATTGTCAGTAATGCCGTTCAATCATCTTGCACCTTCCTTTGATGGAATACACAGGTCTCCGAGCTTGAGATTCCTCGACCTCAAGCAGAAAAAATCCTGATAGAGAAGGATGGTGACCTCCGAAAAGCATTACATAGCCTGATTACTCCGTAAAGGATAGACAGATGTATATATGACAATCGTTGTGCTCGATCTAGTCGTGCCCAACGGCCCCAACCTTCACAATCCGGTTCAACGTATCTAGTAAGGCTGTCGTCGACGCAACCTTAGTGCTAGCGCTATTCGCTTGTCTCAGCGGGACAGATGATGCCTTCTCTCTTGAGCGAGGACTCGTCATGCTCAGGCGCCTGGTCTTGCTCTGGAGGTGTGTGCGCGCCTGTCCAACATACTTGCGCGATCCCGGCTTGTGAGGACTCCTCCGAATCAACGCCATCTCGGACATATCCCGCACTGTCGTCTCGAGCCCCACTCCTTCCAGTCCAGAGGGTTGTTCCCCAACGACGCGTGGAGTAGATAACAACTTTGCGGATGCCATGCGGAGAGAGAGATTATCCTGTACATCGGACGATCCAGCAAGAGTGGAAACCATCCCTCCAAAACTGATCATGGGTTTTTCTTGCACAGTAATCTGCCGTCCAGGCTGAGGCTTGACCAAGAAGAAATTGGTTAACGGGGAGGCGAGCGCATACGAGAGACCGGCGTTGCGGTGAGGACGTTGCTCGATCATACGGGAAGAGGGATCGCGGTACTGCTCCTGAACGGAATGCTGAAGGAATGCCTTGCGCACTAGAAGAGCGGAGGCTCGTTGGGCTTCCTCGAAGGGTTCTTGCACGATGATAGCCATGGCCCTGTTATCTTTCGCCCGCGCAGCTTGGGTCTGTTGAACCTGGTTTTTGAGGAACTGCTTGAACTGCGGCCTCTGCGCTCGAAGCTTTTCGACGTAGCTCTCGAACTCCTTGGGGCTCATGGCCATGATATTGGGGACGACTGCGTTGTATGCAGAAAGGGGAGTTTGCTCAGCTGGCTCTGTGTTTTCCACCATCTGCTCCTCGCCCGCTTCTGCGACCCGATCACCCTCCGCAAGTAATTCTGCATCCTTCGTCTTCTGCATCTGTGCCTTCTGTGCCTTCAACACCGCACCATCCTCGGTTCCTAGAGTGAAATCTGAATCGATAACCCAGTCATGGTTCACGGTCTGACGATCCCATATCCCTCTCATCTGAACTTCGGTGCCAACCTCGCTCCACCGTCGAATCCAACGGCTCTCCGACTCTCCAGTACGCCACTCCGTCTGCTGCTCTGGCGAGTCGATGGTTTGGATGGTGATGTATTTATCGCGCTTGCGGACAGACAGGGGGCGCTTGAGGCCCCAGTCCCCGCGGTGTGCGTACCCACCATAGGCGGTGTAGATTTGGGCAACTTGAGGGTCGTATGTCGCGAATTTTGACCGTCGCAGCATCGCCGCGAAAGGCGATGGCGGCGGGAGGGCCGCGACGAGAGCTGACGTCGCTACCGTTGCTGCCATGCTTCAGTGGAAATGTGAGTGTGCGCTCACAGATTCAGCTCTCGGTAAATAGGGCCAAACCGTGACGACGTCAAGTCACGAAATCACCAGATGTCACATTTTTGTCACGCCACTGTCACGGCTCTACAAGATCCTCAAGTTGTAAGCAGCTTTACTGATATCATAATACGCAACAGTGGTAAGTAACATGCACGTCTTCAAGCTTGTTGTTGGCACACTTATGCCCCGCACATTCCCTGCCACAATCCCTCAAGGACAGCTGCAACACCCCATGCCCCCGGATCAGGCGGCAGCCCTCGTACATCTCCCTCCCCTGGATCGTCTCCTTTTCCTTGGTTTATACCGACATATACTGCTCTCCCTAACCTAGCTTTCATGCCTCGTGTGCTTTCTGCACCTTCGCGTGCCCTCCTCACGGCTTCGCTCATGCCTCTATAGAACATTAACGAATCGCCGCCGGCCAAGGCGCTGCAGAATGGTGCAAGTGCATCAACAATCGTCCGATCTCCTGGTCGTGCTGGGGTGTGTTCCGAGAGGGCCTCGAGAGCAACAGATGGTGCGGTGTACCAAGCACCAGTTGAGCGAGTCGGGACTGCGGTCGAGAGGGACGTGAAGAAGATTGCCAGAACTGTGACAATGCACGTCTAGATCAAACTCTCTGTGCAGTGATGGAGGGAAGTACTCACGCGCCCCAATCGTCCCGCCCATACTATCCTCCAGGATCTCGCTGAGCTTCCCGATGAGCTGCGATGGATTTAGTGTCTTGATCTCGAGTTCGCCATCATCCAATGCTTTCAGGACCGCTGAAAACGCAGCTATCAACAATCACATCTTGGATGGATGCACAGGGTGAAGAACGTACCTCGGGCACCAGCTGCAAACGTTTCCCCACAGTCGCCGTCTCCAACGATCGTGTCAAACACCGTCAGCTCCTTCTCGGCGTCCAATGCACTGGCACATGCGGCACGGATTCCAGCCTCCACCATACTGACAGATATGTCTGCATCGCGCCAATAGTTGCCCTCATCGCGTTCATTTCTCGGTACGCCTTGGTCCTCCACATGATGGGCTGAAGTGTGCAATAATTTTTCTGATTCGGCCTCGATCTCCTCGCGTGTAGATAGCCTATCTGTAGGCCACGCTCGTACACCAACCCAGGCGTGGGCATCTGTTGGCGTGTCGAGGAGAGCCAGGATGTCAATACGTTCTCCGCCGAGTTGAATGAGGGTTCGCTGGATGCGAGAAAGATTGAGCAGCGATATAGAAAATCCAGGGGCATTCAAAGAGGTCATATATGCTGAGGAATAGATCCTCCGAGGGTTTATATTATTCGCCTCTGTTCGATATCAAGCAAATATCAGCCACGATGGGTCTGCATATGCTTCGACGAATTCGTCGAGACCTACCGAGTTGTGCCAGTGTGTCATCGAGTAGTGCACCCATCTCAAGCTGCGACATGCCGCCGAGATTGTTCACAAAGAGGACAGTCTCGTCAGTTTCAAGGTATGTCTTCCCGATCTCCACGAATGCCTCATGATCAGTCCCTACCGCACCATCTGTGGAGATCAACACCATCTCCAGCATTTCCGTGATCAACCCTTCAGGTGATGCAAATCTCCCGCACCTCACCCCCGGTTCGTTATGGAGTCCCATACCTACCTCGCACTCCTCCCCCTCATTACCATCTCCTGTGTCTTCTGCCACCTTTTCGATGCTTCGTCCAGGAACGTGACAATGCTCCAAGCCGACCCCGATACTCGCTAGGGCCCCGGCGACGATAGCCTCCCCTAATCTCTTCACATCGTCCAAACCCGCTCCCGTCTCTGCATAGGCCCCAAGCACCTTACATACCAGGATGTTGCCCGCAAGTCCACGAGGGCCGACAAGTGATGGCCCGCCCTCTTCTCGGAGCAACGATACATCGTCCGCGACTACAATTGACTCAACTCGCACATCGGGGTACAGAGCTCGCGCTCGCGCTATTGCCAGCCCAAAGTTGATGCGATCGCCAGTGTAGTTATTGATGATCAGCAGCACGTCTGTCGTGTGCGGTCTCGGGCCCAGATCCGCATCGGATGCACCAGAGGAGGAGGACTTCGCGGCAAGGAGCGCGAGCTCGATGGCGGCGAGGATCTGTCGCGCGCTGGGGCTTGCGAAGATGTCGCCCGAGACGGAGGCCGCGAGCATGCCCCGCCCAGTGTAGGATGCGTGCGCGGGCTCATGCCCCGCGCCTCCACCTGCGATCACAGCAACACGAGCTTGTGGTGAGGGATGCGCTACATAGACAGACTTTGACGGAGCGTGGCTAGAAATCGAGCCATTGCATCAATATCAGTAACGAGCAACAGTATTCATATATTGGGTGGATGTGAGCTGTACAGCTACGGGATGATATGGGCTCTCGTAGTGGCTAGTACGTACAGACGGAGGGTGGGGTTGAGTGCGGCTGCGCCGCGGAGAGATTTGAGGACAAGGCCTTGCGGTGAGTTGAAAACATGCTTGTTCGACATCTTCGTGGTCGACTACCTACGGTCGAACAGCATACATGAGGGTTCTCTGCTTGGTGTGTATATATATGAGTGGCCGTCCCATGACCTCTACTTTCGTCGTTCCATCCCAGGAGTCTACAGGCCAGATGATCAATGACGCAAGCATCCGGACTACTATAAGAACACCCCTCTACTCAAAATAGCGATATGAATGTCCTCCGAGTGCGTATAATATGGTGCACAGAGAATAGACAGTGGAGGCCGCAGCTGCGATGTCATGTCAATGCATGTCAACTGAGCTAACAGACTTCGAAGCGCGTCCAATGTTCCCGAAAAACAGGATGAGTATATTTCGTGAACTCGTGGGAACCGTCAAGGCAGAAGTTCAGTGAGGAGCCGAGATTTACACGGTAAGCTACAATATAAGTAAGCTACATATCCGGAAGTCATCCAGAAATTAACAGGCGTAGGTTAAGGGGAGGAAATACAAAAAGATGGACAGTGTCTCTACACATGCATCAGCATGAACCTGCGTGAGAGATCGTGAAAGGAAAGTGATGATGACCTGACGACATGGACGTCAGATATGCCATTAAATAGCAGTTGGACTCGAGCGGAACATGCGCGCGGGAGAATTTTGTGGGGAAGGTGGAGGGCTACTGGCGCCGCTGCTTGGAGGTCTTGTCGCATGGCGTGGAAGGGATTCAACAGGTCTGGAGAGGAGAAAACCTGAAAGATGGGATGTCTGAGCGGTCTGATCTGTCCAGACATAACGAGGCACTCACCCTTCAACCCGGCCTGCTTCTCGCCCTGCCTTCCAAAACCGAAGGTTGACTTATCCCGGACACCAAATTCGCCCGCGTCCGCCTTCCTACCGCCCAACGAGTCACGGAAGGACAATTTACTCAGGGACTGCGGGGCTGGGGCAGTTGTCGGGAGCACGCCGTTCTTCTCCGCGCGCCAGGCTAAAATACTGCGCTTGGGTTTGGCGGATTCGCGGAAAACGAGGCCAAGCACGATGTTGAGACAACCCACGGAGAAAAGGAAGAATGCAGCGACCAGGGTGAAGTCGTCTACGTGGTGCGACAGTACCGTCGCGCCGATTCTGCAGACATTGGTCAGAAACAAGGAAGTCTAAATGGATCGAGCGCCGCGTACAAGCATTCAAAGATTCCGAGTGCGCCGAGGCCAAATTGAGAACCAAGGACGGGGAAGAAGCGGTCAAAGAAGGACATGGGCCATTCGACCTCGGACAGGATCAGGAAGATGACTTGAAAGATGATGAGGAGGCGGTTGACCACAGCCCAAAACACGCCAGCTGGCTGATTTGGTACTGTACTGTCCCTATTGTTCCATGGCAGGCAGTTAGATCGGTGCTTGAGAGAAAGAAAGCCTGATACGCACTCAATATATTCGCAGTCTGCATCCGACGAGTTCAAACCGGCTGCTGTGAACCTGTTCACAGCTTTGATATCGGTGACCATGACGAATATACTACTAGCGAAGACTAGTATGAGAGAAATAAGGCTCAAAGCGCGAACAACGTTCAGGCCGATGAAGTAGACTATCAGGGTATGGCGGTTAACACAGGCTAACAAAGAGGCGCGAAGGAAACAGACCAGAGCGAGTAGGCATCATGTTGAGAACCAAGTATGAGGAGCAAGGTGTGTGCGAATGCTAGAGAGTCGTGGAGAGTTTAGGCGTCCCAGCACCGAGTGGATTGTTAACAAGTCGTAAGAGTCTATGAGGGAATAACCTAGAGGGGATGGAGGACCTAAGTCACAAACGACAGGGTATAAATGGGCTTTCATGTTTGCGAGAAGAATGCGAAGAGCTGTGCGGGCACGCTGGCTATTGTTGTTTGTCAAGCTCATTGTTCTGTTGAACAACAAGTGCGAAGAGGTCATTAGCGACGGCACACGTGACGTAAAGATGTTTGACACCACGTGGGAAGGAGGCAAAGGTGGAGGATTTCGATGTGTCCGACTCTACCGCAGCGACGAGCGGTTTGCAGGAAATACACAATCCATCGAATAGCATCAGCGCGCGCGCTATATAAAAAAAAGCCATTGTGCAATCGTCCGATAAGTTCTCTTTCTCCCGGACCAGTTCCTCTTCAGCCTCATGCCATCCATGTCGACCGTCGAAGCCGTCGCAGAGCAACAGCTCGCTGACATTGACTTATCTGGATACGATGCTGAGCAGTCGAAGTTAATGGAGGAGAGGTGTATCCTAGTAGACGGACAGGATAATGCCATTGGTGCTGCCGATAAAAAGACCTGTAAGTCTGCGCACATACCCCCCATGCCTGTGCACCGCTCATGGCCAGCACGTTCTGCGTATAGGCCATCTGATGGAAAACATCAACAAGGGACTGCTCCATCGCGCATTCTCCGCATTTGTATTCCGCCCCTCCGATGGCAAACTTCTCCTCCAGCAGCGCGCGTCTGAAAAGATCACCTTCCCCGACATGTGGACCAACACCTGCTGCTCTCATCCGCTGGATGACTTTGCCGAAGAGAAGATCGAGGCGAAGCAGCTCGGTGTTCGCATCGCTGCCTCGAGGAAGCTGGAGCACGAGCTCGGCATTCCGCGCGAGCAGACTCCCGTCGACAAATTCCAGTATCTGACCAAGATCCATTACCTCGCGCCCTCAGACGGAATGTGGGGCGAGCATGAAGGCAAGTTTCTGCTTTGTGGAAAGTCCATGTTCTGAGCTGATAGCGAATCCGATGCAGTCGACTATATCCTCTTCTTGACTGCCGATGTCACCGTCACTCCCAATGCCAACGAGATCCGAGACCATAAATATGTGGACAAGGCTGAACTTCAAGCCATGTTCGATGCATCTGGTTCGTTCAACCTGCATCGTCTTGGTCTGCTTGACTCATTTCTTTTTTGCTAGGTAACTCCTTCACGCCGTGGTTCAAACTTATTGCCCGTGACTTCCTCTTCGGCTGGTGGGATGAGCTACTCAACCGGAAACAAGATGGGCTGGTAGTTGCCACGAGCCTCGATGGATTGGTTGACGGAAGTAAGGTCATCAAGATGGTGTAATGCCTTACATCGCAATAGGCGCATATGTACAATAATTTATTTGTTCTCATTGGGTGAAGAATCCCTCAGCCCTTCTCGTCTTTGTCAATTCATGTCATTGACATATTACACCTTTGTGCCATAGATGGTGTATGCCTTTGTAGAATGATCATATAACCGGAATACATTGCCTATTTTTTTCCGTCTTCGTCACCCGCGAAGCCAAGCAGCCTCGCTGCCTCAGACAACACGACTCCTTTTAACTACTTATTTTTCACAACACAGTTAGAGACAACCACGCGCGTCGGTTCTGTTGCGAAGGGATACGGTGATATCATTGACAGGGTAGGTACATCGGTATCAGAAGCGTAAGCTCTGGAGTCCGGAATAGATGGCATAGAGTATTCAGAATGTAGAGTAAGATACGTCGACGTCGAGATCACCGAACGCCAACATGGAAAGTCAGGTGGTGATATCAGTACGCGGAAACGAGGATAGGCAAATCGGGACAACGAATGGCTAGCGAAGCGTCGAGATCGTCCCCGTGAACGTACAAACTCAGTACAAATAGCTAAGGGCATGTGCGTAAGATTCGTAAATGTAGTCCAGGCGTAGGTGATGCGCTGTCCGACCGTTCACTAAGGTCCAAGGTCTAGGGATATGCGGGGTAAAGAAAGAAGGGATACAAGGAAGAATTGCAAAGGGGGTGATTGAGGAGAACAAGAAGAGGCATTCCTAAAGCTTTTTTTATATCGAAATGTGGCAAAAGTCAAGGGAGTGAAAAACAAAACCTCTTATGACCAGTACAGCTCCTCGTGCCATCATAAACGGAGGCTACTCCGCGTAGGCTGGCGGTGGAGGTCCATTCAGGCCTACAACAGGCACAGTGCCTCCGTTTTGCGGGACCTGACCTCCATCGGTGTGCACGATGACGCCTCCAGGCTGCGATATTCTCCACCGCTTGGATGACTTGTGAGGGCGAGGTGGAGGGGGTGTCGACCCGCTGGCGCTTGCAACGGCAGCAGCTGCAGGCATCTGTGGCGGTGTTGCCGAAGAAGCTTGCACCGGAGCGGTCACAGCTAGGACGGGCCCAGGACTCGGCGGCACGCTGTAGTCCGACGAATAGATGCTGGGCACCGTTGACGTCGCGGATGCCCGTCGCGACCGCGGCGGCATGAACGGATTCGCCTGCGCCGAATGGAGGAGCGGGGGAACCAGTGCCTCCTCGACCGCGATGGGCCCAAAGTAGTCCGCCGTGGGTGCGCCACCGATGTCGTTCGGCGCAAAGTTGAACGTGAGCTGGGAGTGCCGCGAGAGCCGGTTCTCAGGGGCAGCGCTGGCATGTGCAGAGGGCGGACGCTGATGCCCGCTCCCGCTCGCCTCTATCTGGTCCGCGCGGCTGGGCCGGCGTGATCGCTCGCCGTGCTCTGAGACACCGTTGTCGGCCAAGTACGACGTCGGGAGGAGCGGTCCGGTTGAATCGCGGTAGAAGGTCGACGGGCGGGAGTGGTTCAGGCTCGTTGGCGCAGGGGTATGCGGCGGGCTCGACGTAGCGCTGAATGAGTTGCTATTGGAGTGTCCTACAAGACCGTATTGATACGGTTTCGGCTCGCTACCCTGGTCCGATTTGGGACGGCCTCGTGATGGGTATGGTATCACTTCATCCTCCGCGTCCCTCCAAGCGTCACGTTTTCGCCTGCTGTGGGTTGCAAGAATAGAACCGAAGGCACGGGTCAGTGGGTTGAGAAAGGGTCAATTGAACAATAGATGAACCTACATGATGTACCAGAGAAGGCCTACCAGAGCGATGAGCCCGAAAAACCCGCCAAGAACACCACCTAAGACCGGAGCTAGATTGCTCGATGAGTGGGAGGTGCTATCCTGTTGGGTAGTTCGGCTGGGCTGTGCTGCGGCGGATGCTAATGACGCATCTGATGAGGAGGGGGTGATTGTAAGGGTAGAGGTAAGCGCTGCAGCGGACAGGCTGGCGAGAATGCTAGACGTTTGCTCTGGGGTAGAAGACGACGAGGGCGAGGGCGTCGTGGTCGGTGAAGAGGCATCAGCACTAGTTAAAAGACTCGATGAGACGATGGAAGAGGACGCCGACGAGGAAGTGTCGATTTGGCTACTAGCACTCGAGGCAGATGAGGTGGTGATAGGTGTGGAAGAGGAGACGGTGGTGGATGTGACCTGTGTCGGAGTACAGCTCGCGAATAGCGTGAGTGTAGGTACAATCTCCGTTATTATTTCGGTGACAACAACTGGGGATCTAATCGTTGACAGAGCACCTGCAAGAAGACGCAAGAAAAGCACTCAATATATGACTAACGCAGCCGAATAATGGTGTAAATAGATCCCACTGCTCGCAGGCTAAGTCAAAAAAAGAACAGAATACACACCTGCTGCCTGACTTGTTTGCGAGATGGCGGTACTAGCGACACATGCACCGCTAAGCGAAGACAAACATGTCTCGACCGCGAACACAACTGCGGATCCTGAAATGGTCTGCACACTCTCTGGCGTCGAAGTAAACGTGCTCGTGGACAAAATGGTCGTGAACTGGGTCGCGGTAGGAGAAGGAACACATGCCATGCTGGACTGCGCAGTTTTAAGCTGCAGCTATGAGCCTATAGAGGGGACTTGAAAAAGAGACAGAAAAATGTGCGCGGTACAGATGAAGTGCAAGCAACGAAACTGTCTGTGAGCGAGAAAAGATCAAGGTTCTAGTGATTGTAAAGGTCCATGAAGGCCGAGGGAGAAAGAGAGGAGAGATAAAGGGGCCGAGACCTGTGCGCCCCAGCACCGCGACGGTCACAGATCCTTCAAATCCGCCTGTCCAAGGCGGCCTAGCGCACAGCCGCGCACGCGTCTCCCCATCACGTGATCGTCGCGATCGAAAACTCAGTGCGAAGCCTCGCATTTTTGGCATGATTCACGCCTTAGCTGGAATGGCTGTTCGTCCTTCGGTGAACGCGGTCTCTTGCAATCTCACAGAAACATCTCATGCATGAATCTAGTCAGCGTGTTTCCCTGTACTTTATATCCCTCTCCGCTCATGGCGTTGCACGGAAGGGCTATCTTTGCCGCCGCGGGAAACCGGGGATGTCGATCACAGAAGGCCTTCTGGCGATAGCACCAGCGCATGGTGTCTGCATCTGTCGAGAGCTGACACGACGGCTGGTGATGGGACTGGGCAGAAGACATGCTCGACGCCTCAAGAAATGTCTTTCACATGCGTTTGGCTACCAGCCTAAATGTTCGGACGCCTGTCGTAGAAAAATCGATGTGAACGTGGACGTACTGCGAACCACAGCCTCGAGAAAGCAGTAAGGAATTATTGGAACCCATGGGCAGTTATATATGTAGACCTGGATGGACATGAAAGGTTATTAACCCAAAATAGTTGGGCAGCGTCTAGATAAGTATTATACGTCAGTCGAGCTGCTGCGCTCTGTGCATGGCCGACATCGGCTGGAGTAGGTGGTGGACCTCCAGGGGAAAGAACGAATGTGATCCATTACACACTAAACTGAAAGTCAAAGTAATCCCAAAATCAGTAAATGCAAGGCACCTAGAAGTCACCGCGGGTATCGCAACGAGAAATAAACTGTACAGAGAAGTGCGGGGAAGTACCCGTGACTTCCTTCCGACGAGGTTACTTCGACGCCTCGGGGACTGCTCGCTGCTCAGCAGTGGGTGCGGCACTCGTCTTCGATACCTCCAGCATACTCTTCATCTCCACGCTGACTACGCTCGATCGCCTGATCCGTGCCTGCATGTCCTCCCCGATCTCCTCCTCCCAGACCCTTCCCCCCTGTTCAGCCGCGTTCGGCCCAGACACCTCCGTCGAGTCGCGGATGATGTGCCGATCTCGGGTCTTTCGTTTACGGCTTTTTAACGAAGGTGTCTGCGGCGGTGGCTCGATCGGCGCCTTCTGAGAAACCCGCCTCCAGAAGTGTTTGCCCTTGTCCATCATGTATCGCCCCAGCACTTCAAATGGATCCTCCGCGTCGGTCTCGTGCACAGGCCCATTTACGGCCTCTTCATCTAAGTCCGTCCACATCGGCGGTGGCCGCGAGAGCCCGCCGTTCATCATACGACGTTGTTGAATCATGCGTGAGCGGGCGGCAACGCCCAATGGAATGTTAGATTTTCGCTTTCTTGGCTCGAGGTTTGGAAGGGGTGCAAAGCTGATGCTAGGGGTAGATGAGGTAGAGCAGTTTGGGAGGGAGACGGAGGATTTGAGTGTGTGCGCCTCGGACGCTGGATTGCTCGCTGAAGGCCCGATTGACGATGTCGGTGAGGAGGATGAAGATGACTCATCATTGGGGACCGCATTAAAGGAGATTGAGCGTTGTATTATAGGTTTTGGTGTGATTACTGATGTGCGAGAAGCCATGGGCTCGAAATTCGAGGAGCTGACCAGTCAGATCAAAACGAAGGTATGAGGAGGGGGTGCTCGGAGGCGCTGGAAGTGGAGTTAAATAGGGGGTAATGCTGGCGCTATTCACGCGCAGGCTGTCATGCGAGAGACGGAGATGAGGGTGAGTGAGAGTGAGAGGAAAGGGCCGCAAGGGAGGACCGGCATCAGCTGCAAAGGCACATCACGCTCAGCCACTCGTATAATACATTACTTACGTCACGTTAAGCTGGCCGTCTTCAACTCCAGACACATCTTGAGATTTGCCTGTACACCGGTCTCTCGATAGAATTGCAGCGCGCATTCATTCAGGAAATTGGCCTTCATTTGGTCCAGAGAGGTGAGTATCGTCACGCAAATCTCGAATCGCAATCGCACGCATCTCGATCCTGCAGACGTGAAGTGAGTAATTGACGCGTTTGCGCTTGCTTTCTCAGGTTCCCCTCATGAGCCGCTAGTACTTCAAAATGTCTGTATCTCGCGCGGAATCGCAATATGGCCGCCGAAGGTCCAACACCGCCCAGTCCCTCTTCAGAAATTTACCAAGTCCGATGACACCGCAGCCGAAGCTTAAACTCGGCGACTCCAAAACATTGAGCGCTTGGGTACATGATACGATGGAGTCGAATGTCTTGTTGAATCATGCGTGGTGGCCTGGTGTATCGGAAGGAGATCTTATACAAATCACGCCAAACAATCCCGAGAGCAAGGACACTTTCCTCTTCGTTGTTTCCAACGAAGACAGCTCGGCCATACCACAAAGGCAGGTCAGCGTATATCGAACCATTTCTCACTTGATACACATTTGAACCGTCGTTGTGTGATCGGTAGATATCCCTTCCGAAGCCTGTTGCTGAGACTCTCGGTCTGCGAAACATGAGTGAGGTCACGGTGACCAAAGTAATGTCGTATCAGTACGTCGGCGCATGCATAGCTTCCTCATGACTTAAGCAGGTTGACAAGAAGGAGTATCAAGCTGATTATGTAGAGTTTACCTTTCAAGATCTATATCTTGGCCGGAACGATATGTGGAGGCTTGGAGAGCAATTAGTCGGGCAGTGTGTCCATCTCGATCAGGAGATACCCTTCGTTGGCTCTGTTGCTGCGAAAGTCAGCGCTGTCTATGTGAAAGGAGAGAGCGTGAGTGTCTCTGATGAATGAGGTTTAACGCTTAGCATGTCGGTTAACTAAGCGCTTCTTCAGGTATTGAGCGCATATGTCACTTCAAAGACCAAAGCCATCTATCGTTCACTTTCTGCCAAAGTCACCATATTCATCCAGGTCTGTCGTGAACTGTGGGAGTTTGCGGGCGATGGAGAACGTTATAACGAGAAGATTGTCCACTCTTTTCTCCCTGAACTCTTCTCCCGATGGAGAGAGGCAGGGGCGAATCACACAGTGACCGTCGTACTGATATCTCGTGTCTTTTACGATCCCTCTGAGATCAGCTACGCTGAAGGACCCCTGCGGCAGGATCAAGATCGTCAATGGTATAAGGACTTCTACAAGGTCATCATCGACTTGGAAGTTATCCATGACTGGCAGTCTACGCTCGTCAGCTTGAAGGATTCTTTCTGGGATTTTCAGCGCGATATCCTCTTGACGCATCATTATCATAATGCGACCCGTGCAGCAGCGTCTTCGATGCAGGAACCTCCTCTAGAGGCTCGCCTAGTCGGGAGGTTGTCGTATGCACACGATGGTCCTCTCCTAGAGGCGCTCAATATGGGGCTCAACCCGACCGAAACACACTACATCGACCGTTCACTATCCCTTACTGGCTCTTCCACTATTGTCATCACTCCAGGAACAGGCTACTATCGTGTCTCAAAGTATCTCTTACGTCTCACCACGACGCGCTTGCTTGACCAAGGATTTGCACTCGACCTTGTTTCTCTCGCAAAGCCGCCTCTCCACCGCAGTCCGATCTTCTCTTTCCAGGGCGTTGAACCAGAGCTGTATAAGCAAAAGAAGACGAAACGTTATGGTTCACGTGCAATGGATTCTCTGTGGGGTGGTGACGACGGACCTGACGACTGCTTCGATAAGGAGAAGCGAACATTCTGGTGGGAGCCATTTTGGATTGCAGTCAGTTTTTGGGACAAGCAGATGGATCTGCCTTTGCGGCAAGATAGGCAAGCTATCTCCTTTATTTTCTTTGACACCGCTGCTGACATTGTTGCCAGATTTGTTGCCCGAGCCAAAATGCATGAGATTCAAATGCTCGGTCTATTGGATCACGACGTCCTGTCGAGTATCGAGGTTCCATTGTTACCGGATCACTTCGACACTGTACTCGGGTCCACGCAGGAGGATGACTTAGATGCGTATTCGTCTGCCGCAGATAAGTTCGACATGGATATATTCGCTCTCAAGAAGGAACAGAGGGAACCAAGGCTGTCCATCATCAGTCGCACCTCGGGCACATCCTCCGGCAGTGGGACCGTAATTGCCTCATCGTTAAGATCCTCGAACGAAAAGCGGCCAGCGGCGGCCCACAGAAGCTTGAACGCTTCTTCGAATATTCCACCCATTGAGGAAAGCCCCCGACATGTTCACCATGACTTGCCTATCGGACAAATAACGCAGGAACGGCTTCAAATCTTGCCCGCCAGTGGGATGAGCACCTCTCCATCACAGTCATCTATACTATCGACACGTTCCACGTCCTCGACGTCTACAGTCGCGACCTCTGACTATCGGTCCAGAGGAGCAACATCTTCCCGGCCTTCTTTGACTTCGAAGTTGACTTCTTCGTGGCTCTTTAATCCATTCCGCAGTGGACCCAGTCAACCAGAGACATCGCCGATACTTGCATCTGGTGAATCGACACCTGTTGCTTCATCTTCTCGTCCGATTCGTGTACCCGCTTCTTCACCATTGTCCGTCTCAGACAGATCCCTTTCTCGTTCACCCCAGCCCATGGCTATCAAGAAGCCTACGACATCGCATCGCTTGAAGACATACGACGAGGATACTGTGAGAACACATAGAGGATCACCACATGTTGGGTCGCCCCATCAAGGGTCCCTCACACGGTATCTACAGTCACCGATCAACACTCCCCCCCGAGATGAATCCTTTATTGAGAAGCGCCGCAGCATAGCCGCGAGTTCTATCTCGTATCCATACAGTTCTTCATCTTCTCCAGCTGTGCGCCAAAATCCTTCGAGTCCACATGTATCTGTGTCACATAGTCAGGCTTCGCTCGCCCGGCGATGGCAGCACATGTTCCCCATCCCGTTGTACAAACACGAAATCAAATGGAAGTCGATGGTCACTCCCGGATGTCTTCCGCTCACGACTGAACAATTTCCGTCCATGTCCGAGCTCGATTCATCATACGACGTCTTTTCGTACGATTTCGTCGTTGATCCGCCAGCACGTTCCTTCCTTGTTAGGCCACCTCATATTCAGACCAACAATCCCGAGGAGATCCGTTGGGCATGGGCCCTGGTCGTCATGCGCGGTATGATAGCCCTTCGGTTGGCTCAAGGGTTCCAGTTCGTGATACGATCGCTGCATGCCCCAGAACCTCAACCTCGTCCACTCCGCAGGTCCAAGTCATATATATCAGACGATGATATGACGCCCAAGCCTGCCGGAGCGGCAGAAGCGCTGAGGTCACAAAATGATCCCGTGTATCTCAGCATGAGCAATGAAATCCATCGAATCTCCTATACGGGAGAGGCTATACAGGTCAGGCGCTATGTGCGTCGGATGCCCCCTTCTCAACCGTTTGAGTACCAGTGCCTGATATGGCCGAAGTTGGGTGTTGGCTATACGAAGCTCGATACCACATTTACTTCACATGGGTTGGAGAATTATGGGTGGAATAGGTCAGCGGAGCAACTCATGATACTGTTGCGACTGGAGCACTGATGCATGATGTTTCATGAATAGGCTGGATATGCTTGTCGCTGGATACGAGCATCAGTTCAACGAATCTTTGCGGTACTGGCGCACGCGGTTCCTCGTTGTCCCCACACTAGAGGAGCCAACCATCTCCACGGGTCCAACAGGCGAAAAGTTGAACGAAGAGGAGGTGCGCATCCTGGGCATGGAGAAACTTGCGGAGATGTTCTCTCGCATACGGTGGCAACCGCCAGATGAACGTGGAACGCCCTTGCCACCTATTCGAATTTTACCGACGGATCTTGGCCCCGCCGCAAGTGTGCTAGATGAACATCTTATGAACCAGCTTGATGAGATCCACTCGTCGGGCCCGTTGAAAAAGAAGATGAAGAGTGAGCGGGATATCGAGGATATGTCACTATCGGCCATTGCTAAAGCCATGCGGGAGGAGGATGGGCTGCAAATCAAGGAGCATCGATGGCACAGGCAACGATATCCTGATTCATTTATAGGATCAGAGTTCGTCAGCTGGCTTGTGCGGGAGTTCAGCGATGTGTCTAGCCGGGATCAGGGTGCGGAATGGGGAATTAAATTGCAAAAGCAAGGCCTATTCGAGCATTGTAGAGGGCGGCATGGGTTTTTAGACGGGTGTGTCTTCCTTTGAATTTTGCAGTGTCGTGTGAGAACTGAAAGCCTATAGGCATTACTTCTACCAGCTCAAGGGAGAGTACGCTGTTGTATCGACCCCCAGAGGATGGTTCCGACCCCGACTGACCACGCAAATGTCGGACGACAATCATGTACGCTCAGGTCATTATCCCTCTAGCATCCCAAGGCCTTTCATCAAGAAGACCATAAAAAGGCTCATATTGAGTCAAAGGATAGTCATCGACATCGACCCCAATAAGGTAAATACATACATCAGGACAAAACTTCGTCTCTTTCTTACATAGTCTGTAGAAAAGCGATCAAGCAGAATCTCTGGTCCTCCACCACGATATCATGCATAACGCCTCGACTGTCTTCCACTTTGAACTGCATTGGATTGGTACGACTGCACGTTGCATTGAAGATCTTCTGCGTCAATGGAGTCGTACGATCGAGCGTCATGGACTGCGACTCGTTGAAGCCTACGTCACCCAAATAAGCGAAGTTGCGCTGACGAACCCGTTTCAGTCTTGCTACCCCATTCGCCTCGCTGTCCTACCACCCATCGTCCCACAACTCGAGAAACGTGTGCCCGAAGGTACCCAAGTCACCCGTTATTTTGAATATGCGCTCCTCCGAAAGTTTGGCTTCGTGCTTGATATTGAGGCTGCAGAATTGTACCCGCCGAACGTCGACGCCGTGTACTCGTACCGTCGGGCACCCTTCACGTACTCCCAGTTCGTTCATCGCTCTGGCGTTGCATTTGTGCAGGTTGTCGGGGGTTCGCAGGGCTTCTTGTTCCTGACAAATAGGCTCATGCGTCCGGGACGTATGGGAGCAAGTCCATCCGGGAAGATCAAGGACGCGAAGCCCGCAGCCGCTGCAGAGGACTTGCGGATACGGTTACACAGATTTTGTACAGATAAGGCGGAACTAATCAAGTTCTACGATGAGGAGCTAGCACTGTTGCCACTCATGCCAGAGGAACCGCCCGCATTGTCGATTTAATATCGCTTTTCCCACTCGTATTGATCCCAGTTTGTCCCTTGCGCAAGTTTATTTGCCAAATCTCATCTTCGCGTCTTCTCTAAGTAATCACACGGACGAAGGTAATCAATGTCGCTCCGTAATTAGTTACAGTATTCAATGTTGTGTGCGATGAACGCGTGGACAACGAGCGGGCCGAACGTCACGAGAGATTGCGCCAAAGAGGCTGGGTGGTAACCCTGTATAACACATAAAGCGGGACGACGACGTGCACATGCAGAACATCCAATCTCGTCTAAGATGCTTTCCGCTGCACCGTCACGGTTGTGGCCACACAGACAAAGATATCAGCCTATCACGGCCCCTTCACACCAGGAGATACAAAGCAACGATCATCAGGCAACAGCTGCAAAATTGCATCAAAGCAGAAGTCCTCACCTCGATCTAGACTTCCCAACCTTGGGTCCACTGGCATATACGAACAATCCAAGAAATCCACAAACGGCAACAAAGTTGCTTTGATGTCGACGGAGTGATTCCATGATTTGGTCAAAGTATTTCAAGATGATGCGCCGAGAGCAAAAGTGCACAAAGGGACCCTAGCTCTTTGTTTCATGATGAAAGGCTTTGGACGTTAGACGCCCAGGCGACACTAGGATGAAGCCCTGCAAAACGCGATCGCGTGATAACGTATTCCGCAACTTCAGCATACTAAGGTGGTGGGAGAAGCTTGATCGCATGTGTCTCCAAGCCAAATGGCCAGGCGTTGCAGAAAGCCCTTTGATCGGTTTTTGGATGTCTGATACACCAGTGAGTTTCAGGAGACAATCGTCCTTGATTCCTGTCCCGGTTCACACTCACAAGGCAGGAAAATGCACGAATCTAGACATAAAGGAACAAAGAGGCCGTAAGATGTTGAACGTGGAGATCCTAGGTACAAACATCTGACTCATAGAACAAAAAGAACTTACAATGTCTAGAGGATAAAGCTGGATCGGAACACACCGGTGCCTGGCGAACAAGTCAAAGAGAGGATTGTCTGCTGAGTTGCCGAGTGCTCTCTTGAATCGGGATTGTAGCAAAGGCCATAACGAGGCACTGCAGGGTGGCGCACATATGGAAATAGTATATAAAGGGTGGAAAACAGTGAACATAATCCTCAGCGAACGAGTACTCACTACCACGCACCGATATCGCCGTGACATCCCCTCGACTTCTGCCATGTCGCAAGACTACCACCCGGCCGAGTGCACTACATTACCCAGCAGCCTTCAACATCGTTCGAGTGAGTACCTCGAGCTACCTTGCATCCGTCACGGCTAGCTCACTATTATCCACGGCTCCCGACCATCCGCTCGCAGCACCGGGTGTGTACCTACATTCCACCCACAGTGGTCTGCTGAGAAGATGGACACACTCTGCCGGTCTTCCCTGTTCGCCTCGAACGATGATCCTACCTGGTATACCTCGGTGGCCCTGTATCGCATCAGTACAGGGAAGGCTCTTAGGAAATATCTAGTGCCGAAGAGCGATGCGTGGGCTGGAGGACGACTGACGCTCACCATAACCTAGGCGTTTCGTCGGATCAGGTAGCGGCGGGGGTCAGGTCCGACAGCGCCATGCACGACAAAGGGATAGAGCCAGACTCGTTCTTGAACGGTCGACAATTCAAGAATGGACGTATGCCCACTCTCACCTCGATTGATCACCCGTCGGACCAGTCCACGAAGTGAGGAGGCGTACTACTAGGGCGCCGAATGGGTCGGGCAAGCTTGTTATCCCTGGATTTCTCCGATGTTCATGCACCTTTCCTCCTCACCATCGACGAGGCCGCCTCTACACGCGTGCGGTGAGAGAGTTGCAGACCAGTGGATTGTTGTGGATGGGTTGGGGACAAACAGAAAGCAGGGTCCCGATAGTCATGCAAGGCATGTGGGCACACCGCCACTCTCTATACTTGATTGTTCTTAGGCGCCGCGATAGGCATCTCAAATCCTAGAACGACAGGAGGTCAGTATCCCGCCGTCTGGGAGAGAAACAGAGAACAGGTGGGAGAGAAATACGAGTTTGGCCCACAGAGCACAGGTCCGGGAATGCGCGCAGCGCGGAGGCGACAGTCGGGGTGTCCATAGTGGATGGTGAAATTGGCATCTAGAAGGTAAGCACCGAGCCCCGTTTGTCCACCTCCAGTCATGTACCCCACTCTGCCCTGTCCCAAGATTGACGAGAACGGCGCGCTGACTCCATCTTCCCCGCTATAGGTGCCTGCTCGCGGGAGTTAGCGTCAAAGGGCCCAGTTGGTAGCAAACACGCTGGATCACCGAGACCCTTGTTTCCTTTCACCCGATGCGCCCACCGAAAGCGGACGTGGTACATGGTGGGGATTATAGTCCCTTCCCAGACAGCTCGCGTGGATCTCCTCCTTACCTAGCATGTCGCCCACGAGACGCATACTCAGACATGGTGCACCGAAGGCTCCGAGCGTCAGCGCATGGTTCAATCTGACAAGTTTGAAGAATGCATACCTAGCGCAGCCTGTCGATACGAGCCAACACATACACCAAGGAATGACGCGGTACCGCGCACCCCGCAGCACTTCGATGACCCCTCGTACGCGTCTGCTGCACACTTGCCGCTCAGCAAAGGAGCCAACCAGCTCATTCCCGTCGTCCACCGTGACCAGATTCCTTATACACATAGTCTATTCGCCCTTGACAGGATCCGCCGCGGCCCGGAACATCAAGTCGACCTCTGGGAGAAGGATCAGCTTCCCTGGCCTCGGCCTCAAGCCCAAACACCCGTCGTCCTACCCAGGTCTCCATGCAGCCATCCATTGACATAGCGTCGTTACACCCATTGAACCCCGGGCCTAGCGGGACGCCGACACTGGCCTATCGCACTATGCATATGTCAAATTCGAATCTAACAATTGCCCATAGTGCTGGATGCGCTCAATATAGGCAATTGAAGCCCTCCGCCTCCGACCGCACTAACGTGGTTGTCGACGCAATTGCTGGAACCTCGAACTCTGGTTGAGGGTCGGTTGAAGGTGGTTACGTCATTGAGAACGTGGAAGCGGCCCAGTGGGGATGTGCATCTCCTACGGGTTCGATTGAGCCGCCGCGGACTGGTCATTGACACACGCACACCTACCAAATCTACTGCTCTGAGGTGGATTCAGGGAGCTCAATACTCTACTAGGGAGGGGAAGCATTTACGACAGGAGGAAGACCCACTAGCGAGACACCCTTCCACACCCGAAAAGCACATGTAGAGTGTTTGGCCCGACCTGGTCGACACACAGCTTATCTCAGACCGCCAGCTGGCCGAACAAGCAAAGCTGGAACACGCACGGATGTACCCACAGTACAGATACAAACCCCGGAAGCGCGGTCCAAAGGGTGCGGTATGGGGCACGCGAGCGTCAAGGCGAGCAGAAAGGTCATCCACCTCGTCGTCCGAGAGCCCATCGCTCTCGCTAGCCCGCGAAGAACCGCGCTGCCTGTGGCCGGCGGGGAGGAAGCGTGGAGAATGGCGTATGCAGCGCTCGACGCGAGGTTGTACAACTGAAGAACATCTGGCGATACGGTATCAGATCGGACAGGGCAGGAACTACTGACCGTGCGCTGCACGGCAAACACCCAAGAAATTCCATAACGGACCGTCGACATCCGGCATTTGGAGACGCGTGCGTGAGTCGCAGAATCGGGGAGCGGGCGGCGTGCGCCTAGGAAGTGCAGGGGAGCAAGATGCCAATCTGGGGGAATTTGGGGGAATACAGGACAAGCAGAACTACGTTAAATACAGGCTGATCAGTGTGTACGCACCGTCTCTTTTGTAGTCGTTTCGTACAGCAAAAGACCTTTTTCTGCTTTGCTCCGCGCGCATATACTCAATCTGGGTGCGCATAGATCATCAACATAGCAATTAAGCGCTACATCGCGCATTCCACGTTTGCGCAAGAACCAATCAAGGCTCGAGTTGGTTCGAAGTATCCTCCAATTATAATTATGATAGAGTGGGGGTGAACAGGGCGTGCAGGAAGAGGTAGATGTATGCGAGTGCGTGCGAGAATCGGAAGATGGGACGAAAGACAATCAAGTCGAAGGTCGATGTCATGACACGTCGTGCGCGCTGACGAACATGTCCCGCCCGTTAGCGCGCACCGAGCGGCGCATGGGGTCGCGCGAGAGCGGTTTTCGCATATCTACAGAACAATGAGCATCCAAAAATAGACATCCAAAGATAGAATGAACACAGAAACGGAAACGTAGTCGACAGTACCGACAAGGGGAGGAGGGATCAACGCACCAAACGCATCCTCCTCATCCTTTCCGGCAACTCCCAGCCCCAGACTCCCGTAATACTCCCTCACGCGGCGATACACGCTGTACCCGAGCCCCTCATACATCCCGATCGCGACCGCGTTCGCGCAACGTACGTACAAGTCAACGAAGAAGCCGCCATACGTCTCGTCCGACACGCTCTCGAGCAGCTGCATCATCTTGCGCGCGAGCGCAAGCCGGCGATACTCAGGCGCGACGGTCAGTGCTGTGACGTGCCCGTGGTGCTCCGTCTGAGAACCCTCGGCTTTGCCGATCACTGGTCCGATTTATGTTGTCCCCGACATCGGTGGGCCGAAGAGGAGTTCAATAGGGTGGACGGGTGCCAATTGTATAGGGAAGAGCAGGCGGGGTTGATAGGAGGCGGGAAAAGAAGGGGAGTGTGGGTCAGACAGACGGGTGGGTGCGCGGCGAAAGGGTGGGTCCGTCACGCACCGTATCCCATGAGGCGCCCGCTCGGGGCCGTCTGCACGCAGCACAAATCCGGCCAGCGCCCGAGATAGGTCAAGTAAAACGGTACCCCGTACTACGCACAGTGCATCCAGCGCGCGGGTCAACAGAACGACAGAATGGAAGAAGTCGCAGGTGGCAGGTGGGAGAGAGGGACACACAGTTTCCGTCCATATGTCCAGGTTCCTGCGTGCGCGTGCGTCAGCGGCGGGCACACCTGTGTTGCGAGGTGATAGACAGGAAGACGACGACTCACACGTTGTTGAATTTGAACATGTCGGTCGCACGGAAAGGACGCAGGACGCTCATTTTTTTTGTATGTATGTCGGCGGGAGGAGAGGAACTCGAGTGAGGAGAGGTGGTAAGGCTGAGAACGGGCGCCTACGGGCAGCACTGGTAAGACCGCTTACGCTTCTGGGTCACGGAGAGTCACAGTGTCACGGCCTCCGCTCTCACGTGCCGCTCACTCAGAATGAGTCACCCGGGCTGACAGGAACGTTTTGATTTGGCAGGCGCCCCATTCCCCGGTGGGCCAGTCATTGTCGCTTGCGTCGGCACGGCACACCGGCACTAAAAGCCCCTCGACGTGCGCGCAGTTCTTTCAAAGCGAGCCGTCCATCCTCCGTCATACGTCCATTGATGAATAAGGCGTCACTCGATTTTAGCACTACACCATTGCGATTTCGGCGCGATAACCAATAAGGTAGAGTAGCGTATAGTACGGTGCGATAACCATGCGTTGAGTAAGTGGGATTGCGAGATGGGATTGGAAGAGTCAATTCAGACTGTAGAGATCGGCGGTAATTGATTGCCAGAGGTAGCGAGAAAGAGAAATGATGCAGCTGTTGTGACAGACATAAAGAGAGGGCGGGTCTTACACGTAATGTAGGTAGCTGTAGCCGATAGGAAACGACGATATGTGCAAATGCGAAGATCAGATTGGGTTGGGAGTCTGAATTCGAGTCGCGATAAAAATAATGTGACGCGAGCGTGAGTGTTGCGAGAGATAAGAGCGGAAAAATGAGAACGAAACGAGAGGGCAGATCATGTGTAAGCGATGCAAGGAAGCCGAAAACAGAAGTGAAGGAACTCGAAAAATGCAGGAGGAACGAGGAAGTGCGGGCGAGATCTAGACGCACACGCGTGCCGTCTGCTGCGCGTGGAGAGGTGGGATGACAGGCTGCGCCTGACACCGCGGGTGTGACGCAGTAGGGTACTCGTACTGCGAAGGCAACTGCGGTTGTGGCTGCATCTGGACATTCGAATCGTGCTGATGGTGAGAGGCAGAGTGATGGGCAGGATGGAGGAGCGAGAGCGAGAGCGGGCGTGGGAGGGGAAACGAGCGCAGCAGACGCATCGTGGAGGACGTGCGCGCACGCTTGGCTGGATGATGCGAGTCATGCGATTCCGCATGGTCCTCGGGATGCGCGGCGGGAGCCGGTGGTGATGGAAGTTTGGGTGGGTAGCCCGGGTACGCCGGAGATGACTCGGCGACGAGGGCCTTGACCTTGGCGGGAATGTGTGCAGGCTCGACGAGCGTGAGCGGCGTGCGCGGGGAGAAGGAGGCGGCGGTGGAGGAGGCTGTGGGGCTCGGCGACGCCGGGATGGAGGTGGGGAGATCAAGAGTAGGGATAGCGTGATGGCGTGCATTGCGGTGGATAGGGGAGACGGCAGACATGATGGCATCGTGGTGTGCGAGGATGTCCGCTTCAGATAGGCCGAGCTCAAAATCGAGGACGTCGAGGAACTCTCGCTCGATACGTCCGATGTCACGCTTGCCGAAGACACCGGTGCAGACTGCCCAGTGTACGTTTTTCAGGGAGGAGTCATTAAGGTACTGATCACACGGGACGGAAATAAGAAACACGAGCGAATGGAGAGATGCGAAATGTGGCGTACCTTGCTAGCTACGATGAGCGCGCCAAGGAAGACACGTTCGTTGGCCCATTCTTCGAGGGCGATGTGGAGATGTGGCTTGGCGCGGTCGAGGTAGGCCAGCGCGGCGAGAACGACGGGGATTTCCACCTCTGCACGCTCGAGCACGTTGCGCACGCAGGTGGCGAAGGCAGAGCCCTCGGAGTGCCTGGACAAAGAGCGCCCGCGGCCCGAGTGGGATGGGCGGCCCAAGGCGTAGTCGACCGTCTCGACGACAGTGTCGATGAGGTATTCTGAAGATCGAGATGAGATTAGATTGGAAAGATGGTGGCAGAGAGTGTGTGTGGTACTCACCAACTACGGCGCGGCTGAGCTTGAGATCGACCAGCTCGAGGAGAGCGGGGGAGTGGAAGGAGGGATCGACGAGACTTGCTTTGTGGACTCGAGGGGAGGACATCGTTGAGAGGCGGAGTGGCGGAGGGAGGGTGGTGTGAGGCGACGGGGGAAATGCAAAGGCGTTGGGGCGACATATATATAGGGCTGACGGGGCATGACTGTGCTCGGACGGGAGGAGAGAGTATGTGCCGATTTGTCAGGGCGTGTCGAGCGGTGGGTTGGCTCGCGTCTGACTGTGCGCGCCCCGAACACGGCTCGCGAAGGCAACCTCCGCTTATCTCAGCCAGCGATGGCATTACGATTCCCGCCGGCTTGATCTTCCCTCTCCATCCTCTCTCTGACGCGCAACACTTCGGCCCATCGGCCTCTCGTCCCCCGCGGCTCCCCGGCCGTCCTCGGCACCCTCTCGTCTCACTGACTCACCCCCGACCTCACCCACTCGCGGTGCGCACAGTCGGCCACAACTCGCAGCCGCAAGCTCTTCCATCGATAACGAACAAGGCAGCCAACCGACGTCGCCACACCACGCCACTGCCGTGCCGTGTGCGCCGAATAGGAATTCCGAGTGCCACTTCCACGCCCGCGCGCTTCCTCGTCTCGACACGGCTCCTCTCCGAGATCCATGTAGCACAGACGACGTGCCACCTGCGCGTTCCAGGATTCTATGGAATCCATGCCAAGCGAGACGCCTCGCGCCGTCCTTCTCGCGGCATGGGTCCTCCCCGGCCGCGCTTCCGATCACCAGACACGGCGTACGAATATCCCAACCTCAGTCCCCGAGTGGCGCCAGTCCTCGGAGCCCAATCCACCGAAATCAGTTCAAATCCGATTTTCAAGCCCCAAGCGGCCCCAAGCCTCCCCGTCACTGCCCACAAGCCGCCCGCTCGCCGCTTGGCTACGGCGCTCTCCTTTCACCTGACTTCCTCTTCAGGCGCGATCACTGTCGATTTTGATAGCTACCGATACTACAACTGTACTGGTGTCCTATCAGTCGTGATTATTATTCACATCGTTTGCCGCATTAGTCGCGCAACTAGTTGTGCTCCCCTGGTGACGGACTCCGGCGCGCTCATCATCCTGCGCCGGGCGACAATGTCCAAATCGCACCATGACTGGACCAGTTACAGCGCCTGTGAAAGCGCAGGATCGTATCACAGCGTATCACCGTACACCGCCTCGGAATATACTACTAGGTGTCCCTGAGGCGCTCGCGGCGCTCATTCGACGCTGTTACCCGAGCGCGCCCCTCCACGAATCTGTGGCGCTGTGAACTACCTACTTCAGCTAGGCGCCCGCCATGTGCCCTGCTAGGCCCAGCTTCAATATCGTGATGCGCGCCAAGGGTGCATGTATCGTGACCCACGATGGAAATATCCACCCCGCATCGCCCCCGCCGCCGCAGATATCGCACTTCCCTGGCTTCTCTTCTAGATCACATTAAAGCTTTCGCTTTCGCTTTGTGACCTTCAATATATGACTGTCTCTCAGTGCTCTGAGATAGACGCAAGGGGTAGATCCGCTCAGAAGCACCCCCCGAATGAACGTGAACAATGAGCTCGGCTCGCGTGGTACCCGAGAGACAATGGAATGATGTGCCCGGCGAGTGACACGACACGCGAGGCGCGATACTCGCGCGATGCGGAGGTGATCACTCTATGACTGTCCCGCTCTGTCCCGGGGCGACCATAGGAATCTGACGTCGACGACATCGACCTGTATGTATCGCGCGGCGCCGATCTCGCTTAGCGGCCTGATCTCTCGCTTCAGCGCTTCAGCTCCCGCCTTTTGTATTATTTACTTCCTTCTCGCCTAGGTACTGCCTAGGTGTTGTCTGACTCGCCACACCTCCCTGTCATCGTCAGTCGACACGAAGCGAATACGAAGTCGCGAGAGAGAGCTGTTTTGTGCTCTGAGGAAGATCACACGGGCGCTTAGATCGCTTCTTGGAACCCAGCATCAAAGAGCATCACCTGCCAACCATGCCACCCACGGGTGTCGTGTCATATCTCCCCGCAGTCAATCTCTCCCCGATGCTGTTAAATTAAATGATCATTCAGGAATCAAAATGGCTTGACTCTGCCTGACTCATAGCAGCTCAGACGGAGCTCAACACGTCGCCTCCCCGCGCGGTCCTTGATAACCGTTAGTCAGGCGCAGGATCGGTCAGAACAAGATCGGTCAGCGAGTTACCACAGTATTCCAGGATGATCGATCCTCTTCGATCCTGAGGAGTAGAGCAGAGTAGAGCTGACCGCCACTGGATGTGGATGACAATAGCACTTTGCTAGACGATACATTGCGGAATAATTCCGTGTCGCATCGATCCTGCGATATGGATCTCGCCGTCGAATGGCCGTTTGTTGGCTGCCGTCGCTTGCAATATCGCTTGTCATTAATCCTGAGAATTCAGGACCGCTCCCCGGTGCTTTCGGCGAAACACTCCAGGACGCATTGACGTCTGTAACACGACGACGGGAAACTTGTACATAAGGATCTTATCAGATACTCGCAGAAGTCTTGGTCTTAGTGGCGGTGCAGACATCACATCTTGGTAGTCCCTTTTCATTCAGTTTTCGATTTTCTGCTTCTCAACCTCGAGTTACATGTGCAGGGCGTCATGAGTACTAGCATTCACATCCGCATACAACGCATGCACAGTGCACAGACCACCCGTCGCGGGCCATCATGCACGTCAAGACCAAAAAGAAAACCCAATAGCAAGTAAAGGCAACCCGCCACTTCTTCCATTCTGACACCCACATTCCATTCCGACCCCAAACGACGTTCATCTGCGCACCGTCCCCACCGGCGATCCCGGTGCAAACGCCGCCTCCCTTCCCCCTTCGCTTCTCCTGCTACTTGCTCCGCATCGCTTCTTGCGACCGCCCCCGCACGCCAGATCTTACAACACCGGGACGCGCCCTCCCGACTCCCGACCTTACAACAATAAAAAACCGCGATACTTCTCCGCTCATTTCGCGTCCCCTGGAGCGCCCGGCGCAGGTGTCGTCCCCACACGTATTGCTGCACTCCGATTTTTGCTGCCCCGTGGGCGCCCGCGCGGGCGCTTACCGGGTGTGGGCTGTATGTCGCCGCCCCCGCCCAGCAGCATCTCGTCTGCAGGGCGCTTCTGCCCTAGCTCAGAGCTCATGCGGCGCTCAGCGAGGTACCTACCGGACCGGTCAGCGTTCGTCAAGGCACATCAAGCGAAAAAAGCGGGAGATATTTTGAGAGAGCCGGGAGGAAGGCGTGGGAGGCAGGCGAAGAAGCAGCGAGGGGACATACTGCGCAGATTTCTCCTCGAGCGTGGCTTGGAGGCTTGGGAGTGGCGGCTGTCCCAGTTCACCGCGCAGCGCGTCGACGTCCCGCTTGGCGATCGCGTACTCGCCGTCCGTGATCTGTTGAATGCGGCTCCGCAGTTCTGTGCATCTGCGCGCCAAGGGTGGCATCAGTATTTGACAGTTTTCCAGATCGCGCGTCAGTGTAGGACGTACTCGCTGTTGATCTGGGCCTCCATCATGTCCGCCTGGGATGCTGCATGGTCAGTTTCGGATCACGACAATCCTGCTGCGCGCTTCGACTGGCCTTATCACGGTCCTCGTTGACCTGCGCAGATTTCCACGTCAGTACATGCACACTGAACGCAGCATCCACAGTTCCTTGAATCGGACGCGATCAACGCACCTCTCGAAGACATTTCAATAATCGTTCGCGCTCGCTCTCTAATCTTCGCCGCGGGAATGACCATTCACATGTCAGTCAAGACCGAAGAAAACTGCCCGCACAACTTCCGCAGATGGCGATGTCGCATGCACTCACTTGTTCTTCTGTTCTTTGATGTCCTGGATCGCTTGCAGCTTCTGGTCGAGAGTCGCGTGTGCGGACAGGGCATGTGCGGTTGCGAGCTGTAAGCTCAGCGCATGTTTTCTGAATAGAACAGAACAGAGGGGAATTAGATAGACGTCCCTCGGAGGTGGCACCATGTGCGCGGCATCAGCAGGGCATCGGCCTATGGTGGACAATGATCGGTGCTCGTACAACAGCCAGATCGAGAAAGTGTGCCCGAACGACGCCGCAAAGAGAAATAAAACAAGAATGAGGGGACAGGAGAAGCAGGAGAGGGGGGACGCACTTCAATTCTGCAGTCTTCGCCAAGTGGACCAAGTTCTTCGTCCAATCGCCCTGTGCGACAAGCGGCGCCTGCTGTTGTTGCTGTTGCTGTTGTTGCTGGGATAGCTTCGATCCCCCTACGGTGAGGTTCTGTTGACCGTTGCCGCTGCCGCTTGCTATGGGTTGCGGGGTGGGGACTGACACACTTGCTGTGCTCGTGCTCGCCATGGGATGGGATAAGCGAGTTGCGGGATACGAGGGTGCACGGGGACCTGTAATTTTTTTCGTGTTCTAGCACGGGGTGCCCGGTGTCTCCTTGGGACCCGCTTTGGCCATTGCTTTCGTACCTGTCTTGTGTATCCCACTCGATGGACGGGGACGAGGTCTGTATGCTCGGCGCTCATCGCTAAGCGCCATTATTTTTTTTCATATCTCATACCAATAGACACCAGGGCTTCGCCTCAAATCTCGAACGCTGATTGAAGTACAAAAATACTAACATGCACTCGCTTAACTGACCACGTTGATCTCATGATTCCACAGGACGGCTTGCGGATCGTACTTCTTGGTATTCCTGCTAGTGACGCGCATCGGTCGATGCCGCATAAGAGCATAATGGATGACTTTGCCTATTCATTGCACGCTGGTACGGCGTCGGATGATATCAGAGGCTAGAGCACGATGATCATTAAATAAATGAGGATCGTCGCTTTTGCCAATTGTCAACACGTTCAACGCTAAGATCTCTGGTACGTGGTGTATCTTGCTTAGATCTGTCGTTCATTCATCTAAATGCTGTTTCGGAAGCCATTGAAAGTCGGTCGATAGCACAAAGGAGACTAGAACCTCTCCTCGTGGCATTTTGAACATTCTGGCAGGGCAAACCTTTTTTTTCTGACAAGTTTAGTCCAGCATGAGCGCGGCTACAATTCTTGTCCCCGCCTTTGACAGAATGGACTCTTCGTCTGACTAGAACTCTTGATAGAAAATGCACATCGAGAAACACTTGCTGACATATCGTCTTCGTGACAGGTAGCAGTGACGTTCTACGCCAATTTCCTCTCAACTTGGGCAGATCTTGCGTCGATGAATCTGACTTGCACGTCGAGATTTTAGATCAGATTCATAACGGTGCTAACTCTGATCTACTACCCCACCTCCTGGAAGGCATCCGTGCGCATCGGACGCAGAGCAGCCACTTTTAGGACTTGAGAGGTACTCGCGATTCGGACACTGGATATTGACAAGTTTCGGCAGATAACCAATCTTCTCGGGGCGCGTTCTGGCACTTGGACAGAGCTCACCGCTGTGTGTCATCAGCAACATGTCATTATTTCATCCCCAGCTATGTGTCCCAGCTTGAAGCTGAAATATCCGAGCCCCCCATGACCTATCGGCCATCCTTCGGACAATGTCAATGCGACGCCATGAATCCATAAGCATTACCATCGATCCTCAGTCATACAGAATAAGTTTTTTTAGTCTTAGGAGGAACCCGGAACGCAGGCCGGTCGAATGACCTCGACTTCCCGTTCATTTCCAGAGGCCTCCCGAAAAATAGCACACGAACCTTAATCCGAGTCTCATGTGGTCCGCGGTGGCGAGAGTGCTCAATGTTGAGTCGGACCTGTGGCACAGAGCGACTCGACTTCACACTATACGAAGTTGTACGAGTAGCATGCTTGTTCGGGGACGTTTCATGGATCCTTTGGACCTTCATTTATCCTCGCATCGCAAGTCTTCGAGCACTCAGAGCGAAGAGAAAAGGAGTGGCGGAATGCGCGTCATACATGATGCCAGAAATCCGAATCTAAAGCTTTATCTCTGTGTAGTACTTGTTTACCTAGTCTACCCCATCTCGACGTTGCAGCGCTACTCCGAGATCTCCCAACCGATTCCGAGATGGCGCGGACTTTGAGTTTTCGGGTGCGGTAGTTCAAGTTGGCCGAGGAACATAGGTGGAGCGCGAGGTGGATGCTCACCTCTGCTAACTTCGTTCACAAAGTCTGTGAGTCAATCCAGAGCTATTTGCGTATTGCACTGGATCAACTTAGAGACTTTGCGAAACCGAGAAGGCATGGTCTAGTGGTAGAGTGATGATCAAGATGTTTCAACATAGTCGCGGCAGTAATACAGTGGACGCGGAGAAGAACGGGTTCATTGAAACTCTGTCAACAGTCATAGCATCGTGAACGGCCCGTGGTTCAACAAGGATGAGGCTCATGACCGACGACAGCCGCGAACCTAACGCTCTGTCGGATACTCTTTCTGGACGGCTTGGCTTGGACTTGAAAAGGAGTCCGTAAAGAGATTCCACCACACAATAATAGTTCCTTCCATAATAGTTAGCAGAACAAAACAGTAGACGTACACATTTTAACTAAGTATTTGTCGATATCCTCGAAGGCGATTTAAAATTTCGATGTACTTCCTTATTTCAAGGAATGTATATCTTCGAAAAGCCTTCCACTCTATAGCATAGATGTTAGCGAACAAGAATATGTCAGTGCAGGATGGACAAACGCACGGCTGACGACAGCAAGGACAGGTATGCTTCGACGCCGCAAAGCGCGACGCCAGATTCTCCCGACAGTCATCGCACAAAGCTAAACATCTTATTAAAATCGAAAGGGAAGGTCGTCAGTTGGATGATGCTGTTGACAATTTTTGGATCACTCACCGACACGGCCAACAAATGATTTGCCTCTCCTCAACCGTGCAAATGACGCAGCTTCTCCTGCTCTCGCTATCCGACCCACCGTCACCTCGACGATTCTTCTCCGCAGCCGCTATAGTTCTCCGGTCGCTCACGAACTCATCCCACGAACCACCCTCTCTACTAGTCTCCGCACGCTGCTGCCCAGTGAGCAACGTTTTGTACCTTCGCCGAGTAAGCGGCAAACTTGAGGCGTCTGTCATATGCGCAAGAAGGAGTGGGGCTGTCGCTGAAGTAGTCGCGCTAGCAGATAAATCTGCGTAGAGCCCAGCGGTTTCATTGTCTTGGTCTGGACTGGACTCCTCATCGTCAGTCGCATCCGCATCAGAATCGTCATTCTCGAGGTTCGGCAACCCTGCCGGATGGAAGTCGTCCTCATCATCATCGGTGACCGGATCGCCCATCAAGAATCGCTCGTAATCCCCTACGTCATCCAGCCCCTCTGCTTGCTCCCTCGTCGGAGAAACGCCGTGAGTCTCACGTGGAGCAGTATGTTGGCGACGTGAATGTACCGGTCGTCCACGGAGGAAGCCCCAAAGCAACCTCCAGAATCCCACAACAACCTTCTTCATTCCGTCTCCAAACTTCGCTAGCTCCCTCACCCACGTGTAGTCAACCCAAGGATCTTTCTGCCTGGACCCAACCTTGACTCCGCGAATCTCATTCGCGAATCCATCCTTCTTGCGCCTTTGCTTTCCGCGTCCCTCTATGCCATGCGAGACAGACATAACCCCTGCAGCACGGCTCATTTCGACCTCGCCGTACACAGGGTCGGATTTGGTGTCGATATCCGCAGAAGACGATATAGGTACTCCGCTAAGTTCATTTCCTAGGCCGGCAACGCTGGTTGCCTCAAGGCTCGCTGTACCCAAGCGTAGCAGGACGATTGAAAAGTCTTCGTCCCACTTGGGCATCAGCGTGGCAGCGTGTCCGAAAACTGGTCTTGTCACGGTACCCTCGAGCAGCAGCTGGGTGAGCGCGTTGAGCACAAGCGCCAAGAGAGTCACTAGAACGAGAAGAGATTCGAATAGACAAGACATGTAGTTTAGCAGTGGGTACGAAGCAGGAGAAAACCATAAGACAGAGTGAAAATGGACGAGCGTCAGTACGGAGCAGATGGTGGTCGGAATGAGCCGTTGATTAGACCAGGATTGCTTGATACCCATAAGATGGATCATGAAGAGCTGTGTATGCCTAAGTCAAGAACCATGGTTGAGGAAACATCACCTGCGAACCTGGAGCAGAGGCATCATGATGGTGATGACAACGTGCATATCAGGGCGTGACGGTAGCCCTTCAAGTTTAAGTGAATGTGTTATGGGAGACGAGTAGAGGTGAAGAAGGAATGCATATCCAAACTGTATCAAAGCCGTTAGTTCCCGAATCGTGCACTGAGAAGGATATACGTAGAAAACATTACCAAGTTGAATGGTGAAGTGTTGGTCGCCCCCAGGCCTTCAAGACCACGCGTGAGCGCCCCAATAGTAAGCGCTCCACATACAGCTCCGAAGGTAGACCAACACACATCTTCCATTTTCTTGTGTGCAGCCCAAGCATCTATAATCTGTAACCACGTCCACTGAGGAGAGGGAAAAGTCCCCGATGTTTGTAACAGAATCACAAACCATAGTGCGAATGCTTTGGACAAAAAATACAACGTCGGGATTCGAAACATCGTCCTCGAGAATGTGGACGATAGGTCTACGGGGAAGAACAGGGAGTATGCGAGACGCAGGAACGATAGTCGGTTACGGCGAGCGGTGCTGAAGGGCAGACGGTAAGGAAAGGGACGTCGGGATGGAACAACAATGTGTTGTATGCGGTTCAGAAGGAGAGCCTGTATTGCGTGATTAACATGCTGAAGTATGTGTATATTTTACCGCGGTGCTCACCATTGCAAATAATGCTACCGCATATCCAGACGCAAAGAAAGCCCACGGCCCTGGCAGAGGTGTGAGACCTCCCGGTGGGGGCGGATGTTCTCCACGCATCCTACGTATGAGGGACGTTCCTTCACTTGAAGCGCCCAGCGAGTTCTCAGAGTCTATCTCTGAGTGCATACCGAAGATGTCGTCTAATCTGCGCATGCGAGCGAACAGGCGGGAGGGAGCGTGCAGGAGAGAGCCAAGATTGAGACTAAATGAAATGTTGAATGACAAAGCAGCTGCATCTCCGGTCGTGTTGGTGAGGCTGGTCGGCACTGCTGAATGAGTTGACGTCGCACTCATCGTGCAGCCTGTAAGCCGTCGTCGTCGAAGAGTCGAAGACGGAGTAGGGAAGGATGAGCAACGTCGTGCACACTCGTGCCGCCGGAATGACCGCGAGTCGCAACAACAAGCGCCCATGATGGATGGATGTGACTGCCTGTGTCACACACTGCTTGTCGTTTCCCGCTGTCCACGGTTGGAGTCGATGCTCGCGGGTATTCGCGCTCATCAAAAATGTCTACGTTCGATCCCCACAACTCACCTTTTGAGGCAGATATATACATCTCGTAATATCTCAGGCTCTGCGTTACACCCAGTCATCCGGACTTTTGCCGCCTCACTGGCACAGACCCAGCCATGTTTTCGCGTTTCTGCCAGCCAGATCCGTCTGATATCTCAGCCCCCTCATTTCTATGAGACATTGCTGGTATGCCCTTCAATCCTTCAAACATGAATAACCTCATATCTAAATGTACTGAACAGGACATGATACGTCGCGCCCGAAGACGTATATTTATTTCATCACTCTACATCGGATCCTCAGAAACTGAGCTAGTCAGAATACCTCTTCATCCTATTTTGGCTTCGCTCACCTTCAACCAGCGTAGATAGAAGCCATCCATTCCTCTCTGGCAAGAACTCCGAACCTTCATGTCTATCTGCAATTGGATCTAAATCGCTCTACGCGCCCTGGGCCTTCGTCCACTACACTCTTGCTCCTCCCGCTTCTTAGAGACTTTCCAGAGAGGGTTCATGTGTCCCTCTTTCGCAGTCCAAAGCTTAAGGGCCTGATGGCTCGGTTAGTTCCACCAAGATTCAACGAAGGTTGGGGCACTTGGCATGCCAAAATATACGGCGCGGACGACGATGTTATAATCAGTGGGTGAGTAGTCTCATTCTCCAATATAACTCACTATCAATGACATCTGTTATAGTGCAAATTTGAGCAAATCGTATTTCACTGACCGCCAAGATCGATACATGCATTTCTCCTCAACACCTAGTCTTGCGGAATACTGTCTATCATACTTAAAAACGGCCTCTGCATTTTCGTACTGCCTTGATGCACCCATACCTTCTCATTCTTCAAATGTCACACCAGAGGTGATCTGGCCAAACACGTCGATTCATCCTCATCATATAGAACGGGCAGCGCACACGGCATTCTCCGACTTGCAAAAATCCCAGCGACAAGGGGCAACGTCTTCGATAGACAACAGGGAGGATGATGAGGTGCTCATCTTTCCGATCATACAGGCAGGGCAGTTTGGTGTCCGTGAGGAGGAGCGCTGTCTACATACACTTTTCGAGCACCTTTCTGCCGAGACAAATCCCAAAGAAACAGATGCTCGACCACTCATGGATATTACAAGTGGTTATTTTGGGTTGTACAAGCCGTATCAGGATCTCGTCCTCAATGCACCCATTAATACGCGTATCATTTGCGCTAGTCCGAAGGTGCGCCATCATGCTCGTTTATATGGCGAAGGGTGTCAATCTTAGCAATTGAACATAGGCAAATGGGTTTTATGGCTCTCAAGGAGTCTCAGGTCGAATCCCGGAGGGATACACTCTGCTAGAGCAGCGATTTATGAAGGCGGTGCGGTCAACACGTCGCGCTATCGCAGACCATGGCGAGGACTCCAATGTAGAGCTGAATGAATGGCAGAGAGACGGTTGGACATATCATGCGAAGGGTCAGTTCGGGATTCACGTCTAAATACACATCTCCTTCATTTGCTGCAAATCCAATTTACATTCACTGATTTCATGCAGGCATCTGGCTCTCCCCTAGTACCAACTCGGCGCCGGTCCTCACCCTCATTGGTTCAACAAATCTGAACTCTCGGTCCTCGCACCTTGACACGGAACTTTCCTTCATGATGTTGACTTCGTCACCAGCGTTGCGGCAAAGTCTGCAAGAGGAGGTGACAGAATTGAGGGCTCATTCTGGGCCATGGAAGGGGGATCAAAGGGAAGTTCGGTGGGGGACTAAGGCAATAGTGGGTGTCGTCGGTGGGATGCTCTGATTCCTAAGCATCGGTTGCATGACGAGTGTGTATTTAGTCGGGGAACTTGGCAAGGACATCAGGGTCCGTATCCCGTATTACTTTACTACCATGAGACTATGGAGCCCGCAGCGAGCCTACTGGAATCCTGGGTCGACGTTCGTTAACCTTTTCGTCAACGGCAAAACAAAAGCCCACCGACCCTCCTCCATAAAAATACATATATTTGGAATATATGATACCATTTCTTACGAGTGCATCAAGTAGCGGCCACATATCAGATCAAGGAGTTTCCATACTTATGCCTCGATGAAGCATTGCCCGTGTTTGATGTCGAATCGAAGCCCAATGAGGACTAAGCGACATTGCAGCCGTCGTCTCTAGATCACGAAGAGACATGTGCTCTCACAACGACGTCGACGCATCTCTCCTCGGTATGGAAACAATTATGCCAGTTTGATCTGCGTGTATCACAAGTTCACGATCGTTACCATCTTTCGTCGAATTCATGCCACGGTTATTCGTACCTGATGATTGTTGTTATTCGCATGCCACACAGCCTTAAACTGCTCCGTCACATACCGTTAGGTCTGCCCTGGTTCTTTGCTCGAACAGCCGGTCATTAAAGTTTCGGAAGTCGTGCTGCTGGCTACGGTGTATAAGGCGCACAGTGTCGCTTCGCCGCAGTCGATTTCCAACGCAATAATGTTCACAGCCATGATCAAGTTCACCGGTTGGTGTACCTTGACGATTTTGGGGTAGTCGATGGAGGTACGGCGGCCGCCCTCAAGATTGGTTCTCTCCGGCGGTGTCTTCGTGCTCGTCGAATATGGTATATGCGCAGGTTGAGTATATACGATCAAACTTCTGACTTCGACGTACATGTTCCATACCACCGGGGCTGTTCTCCTCGGAAATCAGAAGACATGGTGCCAAAGATGTTCAGGGCTCGAGATGTCAGAATGGGTTCTATCCCGCTTCAACTTTGTTATCCACGAGAGGAGACTCCTGGAACCGCTTCCCGTCTGCTGCAGCACCTGCCCGAACGGGTTTGTTCTCAGGTCGTCGGGCCCTCGCCGCACCTCCAGATGGTGAGGGGGAGCCGCCGTGGCTCGCTAGTTGTAGATCCACATATTCGAATTTGCGCGAGTCAAGCTGGAACGTGACGGGACCCTGAGGAATAGCGTGAGGCTCAGTTTATTTTGCATCGACCATGTGCAATGGGAAGCCTTGGATTGGAGCACCGCCGTACCTCGTTCGTAAGAGCAACATTCATCATGGCCCCAAATTTCCCATCTGCATCAGGGAGTACGAACTGTAGTCAATATAGGAGATTGTGCTTCGCATTTGGGCGGTAGGGGAGAAACCTTTGATTTTTTCGGGGCTGTACGCCTGCCGCAGTTCATTCAGGAAAATTGCATACATGTCTTTCGCAGGCTCTGTGGGCTAGCACATGTTAAACATGGTAAAGAGCAGAGATCAGGGAGGAGATTTCTGGAAACGAAAAGCAGTTACGACTTACCATGGCACGATGGAAGTCTGGTTTGTTCCCCTTGGCTGTGTTTGCCATAAGCGTAAATTGGGAAACACAGAGGATCTCTCCTCCTATGTCCTTGACATTCCTCTTCCACATGTTTTCTGTGACATCGGAGAAGATCCGCAGCGAAAGGCTGGAGCAAAACGAGAGGGGAGCAGTGAGCAGTTAGTCATTCACTTTCAGAAAGGGGCAGATGATGTACATTTTTTTGGTCAGGATATCAACGTCGGAGGCAGTATCGTCTGTTCTAGGAAATTCATACGTTCAGCCAGCACATTCTCCCACTGAATGAAGCACTGCTTCAAGAGCTGATAGACCTGTTCCGATGCCCACGAGAACCATAAGACCGCGAGAGATTTGGGATACCACTTCATCGTCAACTGGAGTGAATGATATCAATGGATAAGAATAACTTCGGGACTTTGTGTTTGAAACAACAGACATACCAGATACGGCAGCTGAAAGTACACGCTGTACCACTGCCCGCATTCCCTTCACTCTCCGCCAGGATATAGACGGGTTTCTTCACCTGAAGCTTTGAACGAAACTGTGACACAGCATCGTCCACGTGTCTCGTTCTACATTGCCTTTTCTGGCATCGAATTGCGCTTGCGCGCCTGGATCTCAAATTCTCGTGCGTTCACACATACACCGACTCCATCATGGAGTCTGTAGTTCTGGAAACAAGCATGGGCGACATTCAGCTCGAACTTTACTGGGACCACGCCCCTCGCGTATGTACGGCAGACGTGTTTTCTCTCGATTCACTAATGAGACACCATTCTTATACGTGCGTTTAGACTTGCAGGAACTTTGCTGAACTCACCAAAAGGGGGTATTATAATGGAACCATCTTCCATCGCATTATTTCCGTGAGCTTAAACGGTCGTACCTTGATCCTGACTGATACATACGCCGATGGGCAGGATTTTATGGTTCAAGGTGGAGATCCGACAGGTACTGGAAGAGGTGGGACGAGCATCTACGGCCAGAAGTTGTATGTCAATTCCACAGTTATAACTCCATCCGAAAGCGATTACTCATATCCCGAACCAGCGAAGATGAAATCCTCCCCGAACTGAGGTTCACAGGTGCAGGCATTCTCGCCATGGCCAATTCAGGGCCCAACTCGAATGGTAATGCGCGGAATGCTGACGATGTCTTCGATTGCTCAATATGACCCTCTCTAGGTTCTCAGTTTTTCATGACATTAGCGCCGACGCCCTACTTGGACAACATCCACACGATTTTCGGGCGCGTGAGCTCAGGAATGCGAGTTCTCCAGCGACTGGGAGCCGTCGCAGTGGACGGCCAGGATCGGTGTGTTTAAACTCTGTTCGGAGGAGAATTGTCGGCTGAAAAATATGCCTAAAGACCGCGCGAAGACGTTAAAATTCACAAGGCTCGTGTCGTTTGACGCTCCCGACGCCTTGCGCCGCCGAGGCAGGATCTTCCCGTTCAGGCCAGAGCAGCGCTATTACCAGAGTCGAGCGGGGTATTCAATCTTCACGCTCTGTAATGTATTGCGCCTAAACCTTCAGGTCGAATCAATACTCTTCCTTTGGGTATTTTCATGAGTTGGTTTTGCCCCATACTCCGCCTCGGGCACATTGGCATCTGACTCGTCCATCGACTGCCACCGATTAAGTGTGGCATTTTTTTGGCTCCACAAACGATCTCGTTGCCCGCCACATCGCCTCGGGAAAATCGCCATGTTCAACGCGTTCCCGCACCCGCCCGTCATCCACTGCGAATGTCCCGGACAGCGGATATTGCCAGTATCAACATCACGATCATATTTGTAGATAGTCGGGTGCTATACTGTTTGCAACTGTTCAGGTGCGTCTCTGGCCTCAAGGTGTGTAGGTGCATCGGAGCCGAAGAGCCACATCCCTAATGCCTCCAACTACCAAGCCAGGGTCCATCTGTTGAGATTCCACAAGGGAACCTTGAAGGACTTTTCGTACTCTGTACGATACCAGGGTTTCCAAGCAAGAGCCTAGGTCATATGTCCTAGCCCCTCTATCTTCTATTTCCGCATTATTGCACTCATCCACACGTCTGGTGTCTCTTGTATCATCTGGCTGTGTTTCCCCCTTCCAACACCCTTCCAAGCCCAAAGCTTATCGCGCCACCAGATCCGGGCCACGTCACTGCACGATCCCGTTTCCAAAGTCCTCAGATTCCGAGCTGGGAGCATAACCTCGAGGCCACGGCACTAGTACAGGGATGCACAGACTATCGATAAAACCTGATCGAGACAAACATACGTACTACATTCCGAATAAACACACACACACTGTAGCGTAAATGTCGAAAGTCCATATACATAGTTAAAAACAAGCCGATCGTGTACCCAGGCCGGACCGCGCTGGTATGAACACCGCACACACGTAGGCCTCATGTGGACGCATCAGTATCGCCCCATGGTAGAAAATAGAAGGAAAAGGAAAAGGCTCATATGACTGAAAGAGGCTAGGTGTCTATCGCCTGCGACTCCCCGCAGGCCTGACTCTTGGCCGTGTTGGAGTCTCCTCGTTGCTCGGTAGGCGCCGGACACGACTCGGGCCCGTAGATGTGGATGGTGCAGCTAGGAGGAATCGGCTCCTGGGAAGTCTGCTGGAAGACGCACGTCGGCTGCCCTGGTATGATGGCGAGCGCGAGGGGCCTGCGACGTCTTCAGTCCACTCTTCATCAGGATCCAAAGTCGCCACCCTGAGTTCAGGATCAGGACCATCGACCACGTCATCACCTTGCTCTTGGGTAATCGCAAAAGCACCATCCTCCGCCATCTCCGCTTCCGATGGGGCGATGTCGAGGTCTTGGTCCATCGCGTCAGCGTCGGCTTGTTCCATCTCCTCGTCTTCGTCCTCATCATCCGTCTCGTCCTCATCATAACACCCCCCTGCCGGCTCACCAAGCCACTCGCCATCTTCCTCCCCGTTTCCAAAGTCCCAAACGTCTAGCATAGTTGAATCCATGCGGTTGCTGGCTGCAACACACCACCGGCCTTCGAACACAACCTGCCAGACACCAATGATGCCCGTCAACAGGTCTCGCACGATCGACCCGTCCCGGATGTCCCACATCTTCAGAGTTCCATCAGACCCGCTGAGCACTTTGAACTCGTCATGCTGGAAACAGGTGATAGCCCCGGTGTGTGCACTTAGAATGTGGCGCAGATCACCGCTGTCAGGATCCCATACACGCAGCGTCGAGTCGGCAGCAGCGGAGACAAGGTACGACGGTGACAGCCCGAGGAGACCAACCAGCGACGCATGACCCATAAGGGTATGTTGACACTCTCCAGTCTGGAGATTCCAGACGCGGACTGTGCTATCCATCGATCCTGAACAAGCTTGATTCCGAATGGGATCCAGTACCACGCTGTAGACTGTGCATCGCTTCAGTAAAGTGATATCAATTTGAAATATTGAAGATGTACCTTTCTGGGTGTGGCCAACTAAAGTCCATTTGCATTCCCCAGTGATCGTGTCCCACACACGAACAGTAGAATCATAGCTTCCTGAGACCAATGTACGGCCATGTGCGGCGAGCGCACGAACGGCATGATCGTGACCCTGGAGATGGAGCTTGTGATACGGGTTATCGTCGACGTCCTCCTAAAGAACAAAGTCAGACGGCGAAAATAGCAGACAGAGGGACAAAAACATACTTCGGCGGGGTCGGCATCGGCATCGTCCGCACCACAGCATTTATACTCCATTTCTCCTGCCCTAGGCATTGTCCAGACCCGCAGCGAGTGATCTCTGCTCCCGGTGACAATCAGGGCGCGCTTGGGCCATTTCTCCTTTCGAAGATGACCGTGTTCGTCTTCCACGCTCACCCAGGCTGGTTTGACAATCGCGAGACAGCGAACCGTGCTCGTGTGTCCACCGAAGACATGGGTGCAGCGGCCAGTGGAAAGGTCCCAGATACGAACAGTGCGATCTGTAGAGCCGCTGACAAGGGTATTCTTCGTGGCTGCAAGTGCCCAGACGCCTCCCTCGTGCCCAACCAGAGAAGTTAAGAGCCGGCCGTCGGTTGGTGAGTAAACATGGATAGAGTGGTCGTCAGACGCGGAAATTATCCGTCCTTGGGAAAACAACAAGCAAGTGACGACAGACCGCCCATGTGCGGGGAAAGATATGTGTTTCGGCTCAGGGTTTGAGATCCAGCCATCACGAGTGAGGAATCGAGATTTGAAGAGTACCTTGTAGGGGTTGGGTAGAGGGAGAGATCTTGGCGTCAGAAGGCCAGCGCGACGGCGACGAATTAGTAAAGCCTCAGTAAAAGCTCGTTCCGAGTCGCCTCCGAACCAGAGCTTTTGGTCTTTGAGGAGATCTCGCCACAGAATGGAATCTCCATCAATGATGTTTCGCCAAGTCTTGGAAACCCTGCAAGCGCGCGCCAGACAATTGAAGGGCAGGAAACTGAGTATGTGAGACACAAGTTCGGGAGGAAGAATAGTGAGAAAGTCACGCGCTAGGATGGGTGTCAAGACAGAATGCAGGGTACGCAGCACGGGGAGAGGGGAGTGTCTGAGCAGCGTAATCAAGAGGTGGGATTGCAGAGATGCGGGAAGGGAGGAGAAATGCGAGACGAGCGAGGGCAGAGATAGAAGTGTGGTCAAAGAGATGTCGGGTTGAATAGGAACCTGGGGCTGAGGTGATGAGGCCCCACTGGGAGGCGCTGATGGCCAGATGTCCTGAGGTGGAGGCGAACCGTGTGGAGATGGTAAAGGCGACGGGGGTGCTGCTGCATTCACAGTCGATATTTGAGGCAAAGGCGCTGCCTTTGCTTTCTTCCTTGGGGGGGTATTGGCACTGACCACGACAGTCGCCTCAACACCTTCCATCATACTCTCGCCAGAGTACGTCCGTTTCCTACCATACCGCTCTAGGGCATCCACGAAGCCAACCACGTTGCGTTGCGCCTCTGTCTCGTCCCTTTTGATCATCTGCCATCCCTTACCACTGGACATTTCTTCCTCGCCCTGCGTAGCATCGTCACCGGTGTCTGTAGCGTGAAATGTGGCGCGTGCGCCGTTGGGGAATACGAGAGAGATATGGCGTAATGATGGAGGGAGATCTGCATTCAGAAGAGGGTAGTCTTGTGGGTCTTTTGGGCTTGATGGTGCCGGAAGCGGCGGTAGAGTGATGGGTGCGTATGTTGTCGTCGTGGTCGTGGTCGTGACGACTCTGTACACCGCATTAGCCAGGACGCGCAGAGGGTCTGTGGGGGGAATACATACGTTGTTGTGTTCACGGAAGGTGCAAGGACGAGCGATGGGCGTGGATTTGAAGACATCGTCCTTGACGGCGGCGGGATGGTTGAGAGAGACAGCGAGGACGAAGGACAAGGTTGTGCAGTGAACAGCCCAAACAGATCTTCAGCCACTCAATTTCAAGCACCGCTTGACGCGTCTCTGCAGCTTCTTCGCTCAGAGAAGGAGTCCCTTGTATTCCTCTTGCATGCCCATGCTCCTAATAAGTTCCTGAGGATGCGCCATCGACATCTGTCTGGTCCTCTTCCAGACGTCGGAAACAAATTATATCGCTTGCGGTTGCTGTAAGTGATTATAGCTATCGCTGTTCTCGCAGTTCGGGGGCATTGCAGCCGCCGGCACTGCTGCAACTGAGCAGGGACTATTAGGGATTTATCACCTCCACGTATGCCTTGACATCTGCATCAACATCTTGTTCGTGAACCTTCGGATGATGGCGGCTACGTCACCTCGTTGGGGATAGCAACGTTGGCAGAGCGTGACCGTCGCGCCTCTCCGCATCTTGATCATTTCGGAACCCGAACACGGTCTTCCTCACGCGGCGGGGAATTATGTGTCCAGTACGGCGAGAACGCGACTCTTGCGAATCCAGCGCAAGGGAGACGGTAGCTACTCAACTCTATCTTCCATGTCTCGTGGCTTGGGTCGTCTGCTGATCCTTCGCACAGGTCGCCTGTACGAAGCCTGTTGGTCAAGCGTGGAGCTACCCGATACCCTGTCAAGGGGTCCGCATCACGGGATGGCGACCGTCGGGTTCTGCCAACGACCATCGTCTACCAAGACCTGACTTAGCCACATAACAAAAAACAAGCACACGAGACGCCCCTTATGGAATTCGTGGGCCAGGTTCACCTTCAGAAAGGCAACTCTGTACGCTTCTCCAGTCTGAAGCCTCTTGGCACTAGCGTTTGCAACAGTAACCTTGTGTCATTATCACTGCCAAATAACTTCCCCATCGGTGATTTTTCACTCACTGCTCAGCTCACCTGAAGAGCTGCAACGTCGAGAAGCGTCGTTTTCAAACTCTGGTTGGTTTTGGACGACGTCAGCGTGCCTATGTCTCATTTATGTCTTCCATTATGGACGAAACCGCGCTGCGCTTTCAATATCCACTGTGCAGGTGGCTCGATCGCGTGGACACGCTTGTCCTGCATCAATAGGTAATGTTGCACCCTGCCTCTGCTCTCGCCTCCGAATGACTCCCCTTTTCTGGCATTCCAGAATACGATTTTGTCCCACCACGACAAATCACCTCGGACTTCTTATTCACAGCTGATGGTCTCTACATTCCGCAACCCCGGCGATCTGACGTACGCACGGCAATGTATCATCGTTTTGGTTCAACTCGTGTATATATGCGGTCTTTCCAAATCCTCTGTGCGCAGTGTCGCATACCCTCAGGCACATCCGGTCGGGCGAAGACGAAGCACTCGAGCCGAGTTTGCACGGGAAGCCTCTCTCAGCGCTTGCCCGTCTTCGCTGTCAATCAACTAATTGTGACCCTGACCCGTCTTAACATAGTGCCGTCAGCCCGCGTACAATGTTACAAATGGATCCACCAGTGTGACGGTGGTTCGTCGAGTTCCTTATGCCGAAGAAGGGAGGACCGACCTTGATGTCTATCCATCGAAATAGCCAGGGGCACGGGCCTCGCCTGCTGTTTGTTTTTACTCGCTCTGCACCCCCACGCCCATGTAGAAAGCCCAGAGGCATGGTATTTGCCTCAAGCGCAAGCACCCTGTTCCTTTCTCCTATAATTACCAGCCCATTCCTAAACCACTCGTGAATCCGGACACTCGGAGGTAAACAGGCCCTATTTTGAGCCACAGCCTTCGACGAAGCCGTACGTAGTGGGAACCGAACACAGTAATCAGACGCCGCGACATGCCGCAGTATCTGCAGTCGACGCGCACGCTGCACGCGTCCGAAAGTACTCGAACGCGACCCAAACGTCGCGACGTCGCTCCAGACTGACACTGAGAGAACACGTCGAACTCTGTCCGGGGGCACAACCGTCTCACGCAGATGACCTGTGTATCTACCAGGGGCGCCTGGAAAACTCGCTAGCTCCGCGGCCGACGTCGTGATCAGGGTTCCAGCGCGCGGGCCGCCACAAAGTTATCGACCGTGCACCGCTGCAGGGAAGCGGTCTGGAAATTGCAAATCGTGGCCAGGGCGCGAACGCCCGTGCAATACATGCATACACATACATGGGCGGAGTCGCCGTCTATACGCTGAGCCCAGAATGCTGCAGGACCGATGAGGCAACGTCATGAGAACGCGAGCCTGCACGGCGACAAACACATGTTATCCTGGGAACGGACGCTGTGGGTCGTGGCGTCGTTGACCATTGGCCATATAAGCTCGAGGGCGCACTCGACTCGCGAGACGACCGTGCAGCTAGGCCAGGCAAGGAGTAGCAACGGAGTAGAGTACGTATATATAGTTACGAAACGCTCTGCCCAAAGCGGCCGGGTGTAACGATGGGCTCGTCTTCGTCGAGTTCCACAACGCCTCGAAGGCTATAACGCACAGCACAAGTGTGTGACCGTGCTGACTCGGTATACGTACACCCCCCGGCATGCCAATCGAGTCAATGACGATCCGAATGCCCCGGATAGTCCCACCCATTCCATTCCTGCGCTGGGGGAAGGTATGCGCGTGGGCTTGGCGTTCGGCGCCCGGTGCAGGACCTGAAGGACGCAATAGCCCACCTGCGCGGCGGCCCAAATGACATTTCAGACGCAGAGTCAGAGCGGCGAGGGGCGTCGCGTGAGGCCTCTTTGCCACGACGCGGCGGCCTGCCTTGCGCCCAGCGCCCAGCCAATCGCGCCGGCATTCAAAGCCTCGGAAGGGCACTTCTGGCCAATGAGGGCGCCCTGGGGGAGCGACCAATGGCGCGCGGCGCGTAGTAAGAGCTGTGACCGAAGAGGTCTGTCCGTCCATCCAGGACCCAGGTGCGATGCATCGACGTCTGCGCCGTCGCGTGCATAAGAGCCCGGCGACGAGCGCGGGCGCGGGCCGCAGGCCCGACAGAAGCCAGATGGATGCCTGTGGGGTGCGTCTGCGTGTGGAGAAGGGGGGCTTGCCGCGGTCGCCAGGCGCGGATGGGAACCAGGCGTTGCGCCGCATTCGGCTAGATAGCGCAAGATTGCGAGATATGCGGATTCCTGGCGAGCCAGGGGGCGAGCGGGGTGCGTGGCGCGAAGGAAGGGTGGGGCGAGCGGGCGAGCGTATCGGATCGGAATGCGACACGCGCATGAGGCATTTATTGGACGATCGCGCGCGCCCCGCGCGAGGATCGCATCGGTTGCGGATGTGGGGTTGGCCGACGAGGGCCTTGGGGATACCACCGTAAAGCTTGTTACCGCCACGCACTTCTCCAGCGGCGAGAGGGACGCGCAAGCGCGCGCGCGCGATGCCGGGTGAGCGATGATCAGCCAGGTCGGAGCCGAGGGGGGTGGGCGCGCGGTGGGCGTGTTTGCGCAGGGGAAGACAAACAGACTCGGTCAATCTCTGGGGAGAAGCCAATGGGACGCCGTCGAAGGCGCGTCGAGCACATGGAGCTGGGGCTGTCCGATGGGAAGCTGGCAGCTTATTCCGGGGAACAAGCACGCGGAGGTTTGCGTGCTCGAGACACGCTGCGATGGGCTTCCGCTGCGTTGGGTCGGGGGACGTCTCAGCGTGATGTGAACGCCCGAGGGTCGACTCGGACGTGCCTCGTCGCGCGGGCGGCGGCGAGCCTCGTCTGCGAAGCAGGCAGACTCGCTCGGGGGTGCGTAGGACGAGCTGAACGGCGAGGAGGGGGTGGGATCAGACGGGCAGCGAGAGGAGCACGCACCGTCTGAGGGTCGGAACGGCAGCATGGGATAGGGCAACTCTAAAATCTCTCACAGTCCCGTGGACGTGGATAGGCTGCTTGCAGACACTGCGACTGCTCAAATGACCGTGTCCTTTCGAAGGTCTGCTGCTCGTCCAATCGAAGGAGGGGGGTGGACTGGACCCGACAGAGCGGGGCAAACCGCGCAAGAAGTTTCCTAGTCCGCCACCGTGGGAGCGCAGGGTTGGCAGTAAGCGTTGGGTGCCTCTCGCTGCTTCCCGCCACCGTCGGTGCGGATCTCTGGCCAATCTGGCCGTGGCGGAGTTGCGATAAGTACGTAGTGAGGAAGCCGCAACGAGCACCACGAGTGCTGTATTGGAAGAAGGGCTTGGAGGAGAGTCAGTTGACCGGCGCTGGTTTTCTGGAGAGGCAGGCGAGGTCCACCGACGTCGACGGCGTCGCGATACCAAGACCGCGGTAGGGAAACACCTTATTTTCGAGGCGGATCGACGAGTGGCGATGGCTGGTATTGGAAGTGGCTGAGCCGGGTTCGGAAAGATGTGGTGGTGGTGGTGGTGGTGGTTACAAGAATACAGACGTGCCATCGCGCCTTTTCCGTGTCGGCTGGATTGCCGTCTGAGGACATGGCAGGCTCAGATCTGAGCCTGCGCCATTTCTAAATCCTCAAACATGACCCATGCGGGTGCCCATTGCACGCTTTTACACGATCTTGGCAAGCAAGTTGATTGGCTGTACGGTAAACATTTCTGAGAGAAACCACCCCACTTATCTTGAGCTGCGTATGGGACGATCACGATGGGGATTGAGACAGTACGTAGGAGACAGCAGTCACGAGGCAAAGGCGACGGGATGGTCGGAGGAGCGGTATCCAGGTTGGACAGCCACGACGCAGCGCAAGATAGCATGGGCGGATTACCGGATTCGTGCAGCGATCGGACCAGGTACGGAGGCAGAGGGCCCGAGTCGAGGTCAGGGATGTTCTCATGGATCAGGACGGGGGCACGTATTTTTGACGGGAGGGAAAGATTCACATAGAAAGCCGAGAAGTCCGAACGACGGCAAGGTGGAGGGTCGCTATCGGGGGTGCGATACCTGATAGACGTTGTGGTTGGCCAGGAGTCGTGTCTGCTGAGATGCCTATCTGAACGAGGGACGCGTGGGCGAGGAGGCTTCTGGGGACGCGGTGGAGGGGGTGCCGGCATGGAGATGGACGAGCGTAGGAGGGGAGGACCTATGGGGATAGATGATGTGAGAGCGGACGAAAGGGGAGAGGCGGATCGGACATGGCAGGCGCAGGCAGCTGCGGGGCGGGCGACGGCGGTGACGGCGGCAACGGCGGCGACGGAAGGGCTGCTGCGGGGACGGCCGTGAGGGGGGTCCCAGGGGGCCGGGGCAGTGACGAGAGGCTGACGAAGCTTGTCGTGCGCGGGGGCCACGATGGAGGTGGCGCAGGACTGGACTGGAGCCGTAAAACCTCCCAGGAAACGAGTTTTTCGAGCAGATATTGGCCGCCGTTTTCTCACCGCATCTGATCCACAGAACCCGGGCGGACGAACGGAGCGCGCTTCTGAGGCCGTCTGACAATCTCACTTCCCGTCCTGCCCTCCAAAAGCGCACGAACCCACCCCTGACGAGTCCCTTCTCTCGTCCCCTGCAGCCCGCCTCATCTATCGCCTGCTTCCTTCGCGCGTCCGGAACTGGTCCTTTTGTTCCCAACCTCTCGCCTTTCCCATCCCGCGTCCCTCGCGCAGCCCTGCTTCAATTAGATCCACACACAGAACTCTCCCCCGCACGTGCTCAGACGCGTTCCTTCTCTGGCGCACTCCTCCATCCCATCCTGCTATATAACCCCGCCTCGCAGCCCGCACCCGCCCCCTGGTAAGCCCCCTCCTCCGCTGCCCCGTCGCACTCAATAATGACCATCATGCCCTCCTCTTCCCTCATCTTTTCGCAGTACTACATGGCCCCTGAACCCCCCATGCCTCCCAACCCCTACGCTCAGCCCATCCACCTCCACCACCAAGACCACCAGCAGCACCAGCAGCACCAGCACCAGCAGCACCAACACCAGCACATGTCCCACTCCATGCAGCCCCCGCCCTCCCCCTCAATTCCCATCGACCCCGCCCTCGCCCTCTACCCCCCGTCGTTCTACCCCCAGTACCACACCCAGCACCAGATGCCCCAGCAACTCTCCCTCGCCGCCAGCCTCTCCTCCCCCTCTTCCCAAGCATCCGACGCCATCAGCACCCCGCCAACCGAGCAAATGTCCTACCCAGGGCCAAGCAAGCGCCCGTCATCGTCCAACACCAACGATGCCGACAGCAGGAAACGGCCCCGCAAGGACGAAGACAACGAGCCCGGTCCTTCCACAGACAGGGGGGAGCCCAAGGCCAAGCCCACGCGCGGCGCGAGGTATGATTATCCTTCGGCGGCTTGTTTTGCGGGCAGGCGCTGACCCTCTCCCAGAGCATGCACCGTCTGCCGCCGTCTCAAGATGAAGTGCGTAGGCGCGGAGCAAGGCCCCCCTTGCAAGCGCTGTCTCTCGGGCAACCACGAGTGCATATTCGAAGAGTCCAATCGCGGAAAACGCTCGTCGAAGTGAGTCCCCTTCCCTCCTCCGCACCGGCGTACACATGTTCAGTCCGAGCCCTAGAAAACACGAACTCCTCACGCGTTCGCTTCGCAAGATGGAGCGCACCCTCGACACCGTCCTCCGCTCCATAGGCAACCCCAGCATCGCGTCCGGCATGGTCTCCCGGTCTCCCTCCCCGTCGGCCCAGCTTGCCGGTACACAGGCTCTGCTCTCACAAGACGATCCATCGACGTTGCCCTCCCCCGCCTACCAGCCATCTCGCTTTCAACAGCCTGGCTCGCCCAAGCTGCACTCGCTCCCGGACAACAGTCTCAATCCCTTGGGCTTGTTGGCCGAGGCCAGCCTCGCGAATCGTCGCGCGCAGGCCTTGACCAAGACGGGCCGACCCTTGACCTCCCCCACCACTCAATCTGCAGCCTCCAAAGCTATGGGCGTCGCCAGTGACTCTTACTTTAAACCAGGTCCGTCCGAGCGCCTTTCTTCCGTCTTTGTTCCGAGCGTGAACCGCAGATGCCTTCTCTTCAGGCCCGATGACCATCTTGCCGTTACGGCGCTTGTTCATCGAGCGTCAGATCCAGCCGGAGATGCTTAGCTTCGTTTCGACGGATGAGGTAGTCGCCCTGTTTGACATGTACGCACCTCTCGCCTGCCGTGCCATCCCACCGTTGAACATTCTTCGTCGACAGCTATTTCACTCACATGAGCGTAAGCTATCTGTTCGCTTTTTTCTGGGGCCGGTGCACTGATATTTATGACGCCCAGATGCACTGTAACCTGCTGGACCCCGACTTCCACAGTCCTGCGTTGGTGTGCTCGCGATCGCCCTTCTTATTAACCACTAGTAAGTGCCCTCACGCGTCGTGCTTCCTTTCCCCCCCGCTGAATCTTCCGGTCAGTCTGCGCGATCTCCTCCAAGCACTACACCGCCCGCCCCGAGCTCCATGCCAAGCTGACGGACCTGTCGAAGAAGCTGGCCTTCAGCGTGCCGGCGCAAGGGTACAAGTCCGTCGAGATCGTCCAGGCTTATCTCTTGCTCGTTCTCTGGGGGTGCGGTCCTGTCGAGCGGTACGAGCAAGATAAGACGTGGTTCCTCCTAGGCATGGCCATCCGGTAAGTGTTTCGTCTTGAGTCGGGAGCACTCGGGTACTGACCCGCCGCGCAGGATGGCGACGGACTTGAACCTGCACCGGAAGACCGCGACGATGAGCCCGGAAACCGAGGAGGGCAAAGCACGCGATAGGGAGGTGCACAATCGCGAGCGCACCTGGCTGCTCTGCTTCTCCCTCGATCGAAGCGTGGGGGCCCAGATGGGGAAGCCCTTTTCCATCAAAGAAGAGTGGGTATTGTTTTAAACTCGTTCTGCGCGCGCGTCGCCATCGTCTGACGCGACACGATGTAGCTCCATCATCCGCAACGCCTTGCAGTGGCTGCAGACTCCCCTTGCGTCGAGGCACGACTTTGCGTTGGCAGCTTATGTGGTAGGTCATCTAGTCGTCGGATACACCCGGGGGGCGACTGGGCTGATGTCATGCGTAGGAACTGCAACGCATCATGTCTCGAAGCCTCGAGTCGCTCTATTCGGGGTCAGAAACCCCTTCGGGGCTGCTGATGGACTGCGATTATCTGCTCGTTATCAAGACGATGGACCGGCAAATCGAAACCTGGTTCTCGCAAGTTTCGGAAGGGAACCTCGACGGTGAGCTTCCTTGCGCCCCTCGTTCCACTGCGTCGGAAAGCTCAGATACAATCACCCCAGGGTTCAATGACGCGTCTGCACAATACTCGCGACTCATGTCTATCTTCTACGCGAATTACGCTATGCTCGTCATCAACTCCTTCGGGCTGCAGGACGCCCTGGAGCGCACGCCGGTCAACATCTCGCACTTCTTCGCGCGCGTCCACACGTCCGCGAAGACCTGCGCGCTTCTCATGCGGGACGAGCTGGGGCCCCAGGGCTTCCTTAAATACTCGCCAGACTCGCACTTCGTGTTCGGCTCGTACGCCGTGCTGAGCTTACTCAAGGTGAGTGCGCGCGATATGGGACATATGACCGCATCGATGTCGCGTTCGCGGGCTCACGTGCCCCCTTCCCTGCGTTCTCAGCTTATCCGGCCAGAGTTCCCCGCGTCACACGACACGGAGCAGGAGACGCTCGGGCTGGTGAAGGACGTCGCGGACACGTTCGACAGCGTCTCCGTCGGGTCGTTGCACACGCCGTCGCTCTACAGCGTCTTTTTGCGCGCGCTGCTCTCCGCCAAGGCCGAGCCGCCCGCGGCCGCCGAGCACGGTGGCAACGTCGCCGACGTGCACCTCCAGGGCGGCGGCGGGCAGGGCGCGTCTGGGTTCGGCGGCGGCGGCGCCGGGGGCGACGGGAGCCTTACCAACGGGATCAACACGCCGCACGTCGTGCAGCACGAGCCGTCGTTCATGCTGTCCGAGTTCCAGTTCGCGAGCGAGATGGGCCCCGTGGCGGACCTGTCGACGTTCCCGCCGACGATGGCCGCGAGCCGCCCCGGCGAGGATAATATGGGGATGCTCTCGATCGACAATATCCTGAGCGGCGGATTCTGGGACAACGTCCTCGTGCCCGGTGAGTGTCGCGCTCGCTGCGCGGTTCCCGTGCCTGTGCTTGTGCTTGTGCTTATGGTGATTTTGGTTATGGCGGGCAGGGTATTCGAACCCCATGGAGGGCCTCAGCGGGGGCTTCGTGTACGGCGCGGGCGGCAGCGGGTTCATCACGCCGCATTTTGGCGGGACGCCTGCGGTGTCGGGGCAGAATAGCCCGATGCGCGGGGGGCAGGCGGTGGACGACGGCGCGCATCGTAGCCTGAGCGCGTCCTTTCACTCGCCGTGAGGTGAGTCGGTGGGCCTCGTACCAGCAGAAGCGTCTTGTTTCCGGGTTGTTCCGTGCTCTATCTACGGTCTCTCACTTGTTCATGTCTCTTGTCTCTGTCACTGTTTCTATTTTTTGTCTCTGTCTCTGTTTTACCCGTCGTTTTAACTGTCTTATGTGTACGATTATTGTCACGAAAGCCTTCGGAGGGGGATCGTGTACTCGGCTCTCGCGCTCTTTTTTCGTTCGTTCGTTCGTTCGCTTGCTGGCTCGTCTAGATCTTGCTTGTTTAAAATACCGGAATCGCGACGTACCTGGCTTGGATGGGTGCTCCGCGTCTTTCTGCAGTAGGTACAGGAGAAACAAACACACGTGGTTCCATTTTTGAATAATGTAATACAGATCCTCCCTCCCTCAGGTCTCAGGCCTCTCAGCGAACGAGGCGTGGCCGTGTTATATGTATCGGATGGGGTGGGAACGTTGGCCTCTGGGGGCAGAGCCGGTGCTCTCCACAGCGCTGTGCGGGTGTGGGGGCGCAGCGGGTATTTATACGGCGTGCGCACACGACGGTTGCCATATCCTGGGCGTGCCGCGGTTCCTGCGACGCGGTGCCGCGCGGTGTTTATTCTTGTGGGGGTGGGGGCGCCGTGGGCGAGCGAGCGCGGCGGAGGGCGGACAGCAGCAGGAGGCATCAGGGCGTCCGACGGCATCCGCGCGCTCCCGCGAGCGATGGATGGGGCCGCGCGCGCGGCTGGCGAGGCGGACGGATCTGGGTGGGCATTCGCATTCGGCAGGCGTGGGACAACGGGGTGTGTATATATGTACGGGGCACGCTGCGTATGAGAGCGCGCGCGCGAGGGGGGGGGGGGTGGAGGGGCATATGAATGCCAGGCGCCGTCGGCACCAGTATAGAGTCGTATTCGGTCGACCGGACGTGTGCTTTTTATAGACGGTCGAGAACCCCTGGGTCGGGCGGTCGGTCGGCCATTCGAGGAAGCACGCTGGGGGCACTGCGATCGCGAGGGTCTGCTGTGTCGGTAGCTTGGGGGGGTCGATGGGAATTCAGCGGGGTGGGGTGGGATAGATATGATCCTGCCGTGTGTACGCGTACGCGTAGCAGGGCGCAGGGCGCGGCCGAATGTACTGCGAACCAGCTGGAGGTGAGACCGATCGAAGGCGTCGACGCGCGTCAGGACTCCGACTGTGGAGAACGGCTCTCAAGCGGGCTCAATAGCGCGAGGCGCGTGTTCGGCGGCGGGGGCAATGGAGGGGTGCTGCATCCTGTTCTGTGGGGATCACAAGGCCGACGTCATGCCTGCGAAGGGGGAGGAAGCGGGGCGCCACCATGTCTCCTCGGAGGGGCCACAGCTGCCTGCTCGAGTGCAGCCGGGTGCGAACACTATGTATACCATATATGGTATACAAACAACCTTCGCTGAGAGCGGCTATATGTGGCTGACCAGGCACCGTCTGGAGGATGGCGGGGACCTACCTGGACCTGCTCTGGAAGGCCAGCCAAAAGGCGGGTGGGGGAGGCGCAAAGGCCCAACTTCCCTTGGGTTTTCGTCGCTCGTATAGGGTCTCGACGCTCACTCAGTCTGATGGGAGCTCCTGGGTGGTTCCCGCGAGATTCTTGAGCTCGTTTGGCGATGTGAGTCAGGAGGAAAAAATGAGGTCGGGATCCGAGGCGTTTACCGTTGCTTCACATGATATATTATGAACGAAGCTGGATGAAGCCGCTTGTCGATAGTGGGCGCTACTTGGTAGATCGCAGATTGAAGCGCATGACTCTCCAGGCACAATGTGCTCTCGATATAATATATAACAAAACAACCGTATTTCTGAACAATTTCTCCGTCCTGCCGTTCGTTGTCCGTCGCCCTCCTTGAAGCATCACATTCCTTTCACCTCAATGCTGTGGTCTCTCGTCGCCTGTGCCGTGATCGTTCCGCGTACGTGCGTTTTGGTCCTGGCTCTGTTACGAGACGGTCTGACATTGTTTCCCTCGTTCTTCAGTTGCGGCAGGACAGTCGCTGTATATACCCGGATTTGACTCACAGCCCGTCAGCGTCAGCAACCTCGGTGTGGACAGCCAGGGCCGCACTTCATGGAAGGTCGTCCCGATATACACAGACGCGGATGACTCTCTCGCTCTCACCGGTACGTCCCAGATCCGCTCCAGCCCTGGGACTGCACCGACCCTGTATCCCGACCAGCCACGCTCGCCGAAGGGCCCAATGACGCAGAGATCAACGCGGCCCTCGGTGCACTCTCCCTCGCCGAAAGCTGCACGCTGCAAAACGGCATCGCGGTCTGCGTCGCGACGGAGATCGAACCCGCGGTCACGAACGTCGTGACGGCCACGGAGACGATCTTCCCAATATCGGTCATGGTTGCCTCCGGCACCGCGACCAGCGCCGCTCAGCCCGCGTCGGGGGCCTCTGGCGCGTCCAACTCGATCCCGAGCAACACCGCGGCCGCGTCCAGCTCCGCCAGCGCGTCCGGATCCGCGGTGAACCCCTCCGCGTCGGCTGCAAACTCTGGTGGGAGGAATCTAGCTCAGAGTTGGACCTCGGCGTCGGTCATGACGGGATTAGTTTTGTGCATGGTCGCGCTGTGACAGTACTTAGATAGACATATATACCCTTGCGCTTATTCTAGACTCACTTCGTTATTTCTCGAACTCATCGATCGCGTCATGAAAGTAAGGCAAGTAATCTCCAGTGCCGTAGGCAGCAGACGAATGTGGTGGAGTGATGATGGCGGTGGCGAGGCGCGTGAGTTCGAGTTATTTGAATTTGTAACCGACGCGCTCGAACGCGAGCACTGCCGTCCGACCGCCATTCGTTGCACTCCCACTCCTCCCCGTCTCTCGTAGCGATGAATCTTGGATCAGATTCTCTTTCAACTATGCTGGTGCCATCGCGAGCTGCCGCGAGCAAAGCGAGAACAGCCATCGGACGCCAGCTTACCAGCTCGCCAGAGCCCGAGGTTCCTAGGAAGCGTCAAAACACCAAACGCAGTATGTCTGTGCTGCTCCTCCCTTGCTCCTCACACTCACGAACTCGCGATCCCTAACTCTCTTCAGAACTAGCGCGGTCGAATTCTACGAAATCTATCACTGCTCCGTCCCGGGCCACACAGCCCCCTCCTCCATCTCAGACGCCACTTCTCCACAAAGCCGCGTCCGAACAGGACGTTACCTCCGAAGATGAAGACCTTCCAAAGATGACTGGCCCGTTTGTGTGGGTGAGGGTTAGTCGGTCAGGCGAAATTGCTCCTGTTGGGTCCGAGGTAGGGTCTTCAGAGAGCTTTTGGTGGCCAGGGAGCGTAAGTCGTCCTCCATACCTTCCAGTGGTATTTCATTGATGGCATTTGAAGATTATGAGCGGATCTTTGACTCAAGGTCCAGTCCATGTGCAGCTATTTGGACGTATATCGCCAGGAACTAGGACAGACGTCCAACTTCCGGCGCCTGAAGATTCGCTCATTCGCGACATGAAGACAGAAATGGGCTTCCTACCCTTCAATATGTCAAACTTCATATGCCAAGATACAAATATCGGCATTCAGGAGTCCTTGCCCCCAAAACTTAAGGCAGAGTTAGAAAGGCGCTTCCGAACGGCAGTGGACCGAATGATAGCTGCTGAAGCCAGACAGAACGACGGACTACCGTCTTCTCTCTCGTCGTATGCTGGCGCACTATCTCGAACGTCGAGCACCTTGATACCTGCCAAATCCGAAAACGGCCAACCGTCGCTAGAAGACGGTAAATCTTTTCTGATGTTGCGAGTTATATCGTTCACTCACCAAATACAGATCTCTGGATATCCCCTTCTTGCGATCCTTTTCTCGATATTCCTGGCGAACTTGTTCTTTCCAAGGACAAGAAGAGAAGCACAGAGTACTGGCCGGCTAAAATCGAGGAATATATTGCTCCTCCCAGTCGCGTAATCAAGCCATTATACAGGCTGCGCTTCCTAGACGAAACTTTACTTGACCTTCCAAGGAGCATGTTCTACACTACAGACGAGGAGGGATTCTTCTCTTGTAAGGTCAGTCAATCTTGTTTGAAATTTAATATCCGCTGACCACAAGGTGTAGTTAGGGAAAATCGGAAGCGCTGTTCCAATAAATGCGGATAATATCGATGTCGACATTGATGAATTCGACCTGACTCGGGGACCAAGTCCAGTCCCAGAAATGCCTCCACGCCCTAATTTTTTTGATCTTTCCATCCGTGAACAGTTTGCCTATGTTCAACCGGTCATCAAGGCCATCCTTGATGATCGGTATCCTCCTGCCAAAGATCGCCATGATTCGTTCATAAAAGGCGGCGTATTACGCAGGACGGTACGCAAAGAGGCTCCCGGAAAGGGAAACTTGACCACCAAGGAGGTCACTGAGCTTGGCCTTGTGCTCAATCGATGGGCCCTGCGAGACGAGCGGTATGCAAAGTCGGCGCGAACGGAGTCTGCGACTCTTCCGGTCACAGCCTCTTCTACGGCACCTGTCCATGCGGTAGAGCCTGTCAGTCGTGGAGAAGTTCCAACCTATGTAAGGCTAGAAATGAACGCTTCCATGTGTTTCCGTCTGACACTCAATATCCATGCAGTCAACTGATGTCTCGAACCGGCCCTCCTCCCCTTCGCAGTCTGTCCTTTCGGACCTGACCGATGTGAGCATCGTTTTCTCAGTCCGGGTTTTGGACTGACGTCCAATTCGAAGCTCACGACTTCCCCTTCATCGCGAGCTACACTGCACCTTTCTACCGGGGCGTCCCATCTGAGACTGGTGCGTAGAAAGTCCTTACGTGTTCCCACCTCCCTTGAGCTGTAGCCATGTGCAACAGATCGAAAGTGTCCACGAATCGCCGAGGCAGTGGGGTTGCGAAGCCTACGAAGCGCTCACCATTCCCGACAAAATCGAGGTCAGTGTTCAAAACATTTCTCCTGGGAAATTGAACCGATACCTAGTATCCTTCCAGTATTGCCAGCTCGTACTCCTACACGAGGCTATATTGCAGTTGCTTCTGTGGCGATCAGGCAAGCGCACGTCCTTGGATCTCCTCGGTGATGAGGAGGAGCAAGAATTGCATGACGTCGCCCTCAAACAGTCGGAAGAGATCGATTGGGTCGTCGAGATATACCGATTGCGGGAGGCGGGTCTCAAAGTGAAGCCAGGAAAGACTGCCGTTGTAGTAGGAGGAACCAGATCGAGGCCTAAGATGTCTTCGGGTGTACGTCGTTGATTTGATGTGTTTTTATTGATACCATTTGTAGTCCATTTACTGATGTATCGGAAAGACTGCCCGTCGACCGTTGAACACCGCTACATGTACTATGTTTTACAGCATGGACAATGCAGCTTTGCGTGAAATCGTTATGACTCGAAGAATACTCAATCCGACCTTGGATCTGCCATGGAGAAGCGGCAGCACGGCCGCTCAACGGCATCGGCTTGCCCGACATGAGCAACGCTCTGCTTCATGGCTCTTCCGGAGGGTTCAACGAACGCCAATCACGAATTTTGCAAAGGATTAAACCAGAAGAAGTATGTGTGTCCAATTTTATCAACTAACTCCATCAGTAGTCCTCTCCATATCTATGCTCTTTGGCCGAATGGCCCATGCAAAACTGTTTATTCCTTTATCGGTGCGTTCGTTCCAGACGCTCTCCCAAACAACGGTCATCTGTAATTGACGGTCTCGAAGTTCGATTTGCACCTTGCCCACAGTCGCTGGCAAGAAGTCTGAAAGGGCCAGGCACTCCTGCGACCCTGCGACGTCGAGAAGTCTCCAACGACCATAAGGTGGTCGTCCAGATAGAAGACCACGCATAACGGCATGCTCGAACGACATCGCTACCTTCATGTCAGCCATCGTCAGATGAGGTCTGCTGGAATTGCGATTTGCTTCTCTCGGCTAACGCACTTCTCAGGTGGACCTGCAGCTCGGTTCTGTTTTTGTGTGCTTCGACGTCAATCAACCGTGCTATGAGCGCTCCCGCAACTTCGGTGCGGAAGGACGGGTGTGCCTGCTTTGTGTCTGGGAGCGAGGCATCCATGCTACCTTCGTCGCATCTCACGCAGGCCATCCTTGCTTCGCGACCATGTGCTGCACCCTAACACCCATGCATGATGCATCAAGGCAGATGACGGAAGGACCTCGCTATCAGTCCTCCCTTGACTAATTAGTCAGGATACCTAGTGTTCGTCGTCCTGAGATGCTGCTCAATCATCCCTCAAGAGGTCTGGTTGAACTCGGGTGCTGTGCCTTGCTTGGAAGATCTGTCAGTCAATGCGCATGGGTCAAGGACCCTCGCACTCTTTTAGTAGTGTGGAGAAGTAAGTATCTAAATATACACAAGACAATATCCGTGGCAACCAATCTAAGCATAGAACATATCAATAAATCTTAGGGTATCCGACAAGTTCAGCAGGGAGATACATAAGTGTCGACGGGTCACGGGTCTACAAGTGTGCAGAGGGGAGATGGCGCAAAGACAGGGTGGAAACGTTAATATCGTGCGGATGGGGATCCATCGAACCGTTCATTCGTCATGAAACAAGATGTCAGAGGGAACATGTAGTGCGCTGCTGGTCCGAGATATCGGTTGGCGAGGAACGAGCGTCGACAGGCTGATAGTCGAGGAGTTCCTCGACCGCGAGTAGATCGACAAGGACGAGCCCCCCCCAGCCTCGCCATTGGTCTTCGAAGTGGTGTTGTCGTCATAAGCCCCAATCGTTGGCGATGCCGATGCCGAGGTTGGCTTCGGTGCAAAGTTGTTGACATCATGATATGTGGGGTATGACAGGGACCGTGTGGGAGAGATGCGACTGGGAGATGATTGTACCCCCCGCAAGTACGATTTGCGTGAGTGCGTGTTCGGCTGGGAAGGCCTTGCGCCCCAGAGAGAAGTGATCCTGCGGATTGATCCAAGCCATCGGCGAGAGTAAGGCAGGGACGGGGGAAGCGGTGAAGATGGAGCAGCGAAGTGACCGTTACCGTTCATGTATTCACCTTCTTCAAGTGATATCGTTGTGAGGTCCTTGTCGCGCTTGGAAGACGAGCGCATCCAACGCCTCATACACAACCGAACGTAATGGCGCGTTCTATATGTCACCAGGATTACCGAAAGGAACATAACGAGATAGAAGAGAATGGCGACGAATGAGAAGCCGAGCGAGTGACGACTGAGAGACGGGGGAAGATGAGCTGATATGTGATCCTCAATAGCATCGAAGTCGAGGTTGAAAGGCGGTCTGATTGGGTGGATATGGGAGGGGTCCGAGTCGGAAATGTCATCTAATGGATCAACCAGCGGAGGGGAATCGTGACGAAGAGGTGGGATATCTTTGCTTGCCTCAAGGACTATTTTGCCCAGCGTCCAGCTGATAGCGATGTCGCCTACCGAATCTATGGACTGAAACGTTGGGCGACCCAGGCCCTTCTCTTGAGCATGAGTTTCGAGAGCATCAGGATGTGATGTAACGTTGCCGCCTGGATCCACAATCCTTGGCATTCCGAGGCCCTCATGCAAGACATTGACAATCCAAGCCGCCTTGAAACATTGCATCTGCAGCCTAGAAGCCTCAACCTTATCCCCCCATTTGTCAAGTCCTACAACACGTCCACCCTCCTCAACCTCCCCATCTCCACCGAGACGACCGCGCTGCCGGGCTTGCTCATGCATCTGTAGGATATCGGACCAATTTTTCCCGCAGAAATCGAGCGCTGCTCGCTCATACTGTACGAAGTCGTAAGCGCCCCCTAACCCAAAGATATGCTCCGATGAATACCAATATTCTGAGACTCCGATGAAATGAGAGACGGAGAAATCGATCGGAGGAACATACACGCCATTGAAAAGGCATGGCGTATCTGGACAAGGAGCAGATCTGTTGAGTAGAGGCGATACGCGCTGTAGACACTGTCCAAACGACCCAGTGCCAAGAAAAGTGTGAGGTTTTCGGGTGTGGGACGTCGAAGGACTAGTATGAGCAGGTGATTCGGTGAGTCTGAGGTCCTTGGGCAGACATGGGTCCTCAATGATCTCGCTTGAGTCAGAAGACGAGACGGACAAAGGCGATGGCTGATGCTGCTCGTATTCGTTGATAGCTCGTCCAACGTAACGCTCGCGAGCCATATTTGTGCCGTATCCCAACCAAGTAGTGACAAAGACCTGATGATGGATCTCCTCGCCCCCCATGAGACGCAGCCGTACATCAATCAAGTTTTTCGCCTTCTCCCGTTCCTCTCTACTCGGTTCGAACGCAATCTGTGTTGATGCGCCTCCCATATCCAGGAATCCATAGGTTGTTCGGTCCGCATCGGACGGACCGAATCCATCCATGAGATAGTTGACTGCTATCCATCCGAACAAGCCTTCCTCCTCGCCAGTAATTATTCGTATGGATGACCCACAAGGCCCCGCTGGTGATGGTTCATCGATGCGGAAGTTCGAATGGAATTTCAAAAAATGGCACGTTGATTGAAGAACCGTAGCCTGCTGTTCGGGTGATAATAGACGCATGCCAGCAGTGGCCAGTAGAAACAGTGGTGTCTGGGCGTGAAGCGACGGAGGAATGCGTTCCCGGGCGTGAGCCAACAAGGGAGCAAGATAGGCTGATACGCCTTCAGGGTTGTCGGAGAAAGATGATATGCCTGAGAAAGAAGTACCACAGGGCTCAGTTTCGTATCAGGAGGAGAGGGTGCTTGCTACTTACCAGGTTCGACTTTGGTCACCCAATCCTCCCCGCTTTGTGTTCCTTTCTCAACCTTTGGCAACGAATGGTACACTTTTGCACCGAGCTCGTCTCGAACAGCGCGCGCGTCGCGCCAGCTGTATATCTGCAGACGCGAGCCTGATGAGCCTGCATCTATGACTATGCCAAATCGACGAGAATTAAGCCATGCGTCTGCCGCAGTGGGAGGAGGCATATTAAGGAAGCAACAGCTGCAATCAAGCTTGTAGCGCTTGCTAGGAATTAATGCAACCTTCGAACGGGCTTCCTTGAGCAAGAAGCAAGAAACTAGGAATAACTTTCATGAATGCTTTTGGTATCGTCTTCCCACGCATGATTTCCGTAGCTGATCAGAGTTCGCACGCATCGCAATTTCCGCCCGATCAGAGTCTTTTGCGATCCTTCTCGTTACCTCCCTCATCGCCCATCTCACATCGTAAGCGGAGGTCGTACGCTCCTGATTTCAAGCTGTAGATTTGATTTGATGTATCTCAGGGTTTTTAAGTTTCTGTTTCTTCCCAAGATAGGACCACATCGTTCACAACGAAATACAACGAAATATAGCCATTAATCTAGAGCCAAATCCTCCCCGAACACTTGCTCTTCGGATAGATTTAGGATACGATGGTACAAAAGACACGAACGGAAGGTATATGCGTCATCTTCTGACATCACCTATCCTCTCATCTTGAAAGCAGGTCCTTCGCAGGCGGAACAGCTCTTGCGAGTCACTTCGGGAATTGCGGCAGAGCTCATCAAAGCACACGACATGAATCAGACTGTATCACTCAACGAGCTGCGTGCAAAGATGAGCAAAAAGTTTGGCTTCGGTGGGGTTCCCCGGCTGGTCGATATTATCAGTGCTATTCCAGACGAATACAAGAAAGCACTATTGCCGAAGTTGAAGGCAAGACCGATACGAACCGCTAGCGGGGTACATGTTCACCTAAGATCCTATGCTCCAGATCTAACACCTCGTCATATTGCAACAGATTGCTGTGGTTGCTGTTATGTGTAAGCCTCATCGCTGTCCACATATCGCGATGACAGGTAATATTTGTGTGTGAGCACCAGACATATTTAGGATTGCGAGCTTTTCGCTGATGCTCCAATGCGCATAGGTACTGTCCAGGAGGACCAGACTCGGATTTCGATTACAGCACGCAGAGCTACACGGGTTATGAGCCAACAAGCATGCGAGCTATTCGTGCACGATATGATCCGTACGAACAGACACGAGGTCGTGTTGAACAGCTGAAGAGTCTGGGTCACAGCGTTGATAAAGTGAGGTTTGTCTTTGACCGATATCTACGGCTTCTCATGGCGTTCTATCAGGTGGAGTTCATCATCATGGGTGGGACATTCATGAGCATGCCAGAAGAGTATAGGAACAAATTTGTAGCTCAACTACACAACGCCCTGTCTGGATTTACCGGTACAGATGTTGATGAGGCTGTTCGGTACGTCTCTACTGAATCATCGGTAGTAATACCCTAATACCCTAAAATTCCTATTAGTTACTCCGAACAGAGTAAATCGAAGGCCATTGGTATCACGATCGAAACTCGTCCTGACTACTGTCTGAGGCCACATCTCAGTCAGATGCTCCGCTACGGCTGCACACGGCTCGAGATCGGTGTACAGTCTGTCTATGAAGACGTTGCTCGTGACACAAATCGCGGACACACCGTTCGGGCTGTGTCTGAGTCTTTCCACCTCGCTAAAGACGCCGGCTTCAAAGTAGTGGCACACATGATGCCTGACCTTCCCAATGTGGGCGTCGAGCGCGACCTGGAGCAATTCAAGGAGTACTTTGAGAATCCCATGTTCAGGAGTGACGGCTTGAAAATTTACCCGACATTGGTGATCAGGGGTACAGGGTTGTATGAACTATGGCGGACAGGGAGGTACAAGAATTATACTCCAAATGTGTTAGTAGATGTCGTTGCGAGGATCCTGGCGCTGGTTCCACCATGGACGAGAGTCTACCGAGTACAACGGTACGTTATCCTATGTCCGTATGTACCAAAACTAAACGCCATTTCTGGCAGAGATATTCCGTTGCCTCTGGTAACATCCGGCTGCGAGAACTCTGGAAATTTGCGTGAGCTAGCTCTAAACCGCATGAAAGACTTTGGTGCGGAATGCCGTGACGTCCGCTTCCGCGAAGTCGGGGTATCAACTTCTTTCTTTTCTCACATGCCGTGATCTTGATTATACTATCTTCTTGACAGATCCATGAGATACACCACAAAGTTCGGCCGGAATCGGTAGAGCTCCTTCGAAGAGACTACACGGCGAATGGCGGTTGGGAAACGTTCCTCTCGTACGAAGACCCGGAAAGGGATATCCTCATTGGGCTACTGCGTCTGAGGAAGTGCTCTGCGGAAGGGACTTTTAGGCCAGAGCTCGTACAGAAGGAAGGATCGGATGGAGGGACGAGTATCGTGCGAGAGCTACATGTTTACGGGACGGCTGTACCCGTGCATGGGAGAGACCCAACGAAGTTCCAGCATCAGGTGAGCTGTTCTGTACGTCAAGTTGGGTTTACATTCAAACCTCGTCCCCAAAGGGTTTCGGCACGTTGTTGATGGAGGAAGCGGAGCGGATAGCAAGGGAAGAGCACGGGAGCGTGAAGCTTGCTGTTATCTCAGGTATGTTTGCAGCGCGTTTCTAGGCCCCTGCGATCTGATACATGGCCTATCTTTGTTTCTATAGGGGTCGGGACACGAGATTATTACCGTCGGTTGGGTTATGAACTAGACGGGCCGTACATGAGCAAGCCGCTGTTGTAAAATTACATCGGTCCTGTATCGATACAAAACTTTTGTACGTGGGTATGCAAAATCCTGCACCGTTGCCATCTCTATCCTAGAACTAGTGTGTGGAAATTTGGAAACACCAACTCTTCTTCGACCGTTTTCCTGATGACGTCCTGGATGAACCTCTCTACCCGTGTCACATTTTTTAGGACATGCTTATCGGCCTGCCCCAACTCGCTCTCAATGAAGATGTTCGGTAACAGCCTCTGGCCTATGGGCAACGGTTTGCTACCGCGCTGCTGCGGAGATGCGCCGGTGCCGTTGACGTCCTCGTCTGGCGTCCCACCCGGTAAGCTGCTCATAGAATCCCGTTTTGGCCGCTCACCGGCTGGGCCATATGGGTCTAGCTCATCCAAAATACATAGATGCACGCGACGACTTGGGCCTGCGCCTTCGTACGCCACGGCCAGCTCGCCGGTGAACAGAAGACCTGTGACTGACAGACGGATGGGAAGTGACATAAAAAGGGGGGATGGATAGTTTATGTGGAGTGATGTTGAGAGATTGAGACGAAGGTTGGAATTCCACGTTATGTGAAGGTGGAGTTGCAGGTTAGGATGAGGGGCGGTCTGCGCGGGCTGAGGATCGGCTGCAGATTCGGGCTGCGACGATAGCGAGTCGGCGGGTGGCGAAGATGTGCCGGAAAGAGGAGATGGGGGAGAGACCATCGGAGACGGTCGAGCGGAGGCGTACCGAGATTGAAAGGCAACCGCGAAAGGCGGCGTCACAGATGGTGAAATGTGGAACGGGGAAGCGAGGTATGGATTGCGTTGGCTCAAAGTTGGTACGCTCCTCGCTCCATTCCAAAATCCTCTAGAAGGGTCGAAAGAGGTAGCCGACGTGAACATCTCACTTGATGGTCCGCGGCCATATCGAACGTGGGGCGGGAGGTGATGGTAAGCGGGTGCTTCCTCCGTCATCGCTCGACCCACGGCTTTGCGCGACACCCACTCGAAGCCGTCGTTGTCATCTGCGCCTTCCGTCACCTTGACGGGATCCTTGTCTCCTTCGATGTCATCATCGTCCTCGAGGAAATCGGGGTGAATGTTACGAAGGTCGACAAGCTCGATATCGGGGGCTTGTGAGCCAAAGTCGAATGACGTTACTTCGACAGGACCTATGAAAGATGGCCTCGGTGAGTTTTGAAGCTGTCTGTTGAGAACCTCGACAAGGGAGTTGGCAAGAGACGAGTCAAGTTTGCTCCATTCGAGGTCAATTGACATAGTTTCTCTGATCTACGGTGGAGGAACTCGAATCCAAAGCCACCTCGCATGATGTTTGGCCGCGGCTATTAGCAGGTGATAATCCATGACGCTCACGTGATACCCTCGAGGAACTTCGCGCGTTGTATTCGTTGACGTTGACCTCGCACTCAGAACGACTGCAATCTTCTGTATTGGTGCATGATAGTCTGAGGTTCTACCAAAGCGCTGTATGGTGCAGTTTCATCTAGAGCAAGATATGACGTCAAGGACACCTTATTAGTCTGCATGCGCTACCGATGTCATGCCTCACTTCGACTGCCGTATCAACTGCGCACGCGTTACTCAAGTGTAAATAATGTGAACTATAAAAGATGCCGCGTGGTGGGTAGCAGGAGGACTGAGTCTATGAAGGCGAGCATCCGAGCATGTGAATGGCAATATGTGGTAGTAAGTTTCATATCAAACACTGTTCAGCGTCTAAGTAAATGGGTATCGTTTCGTCCTGCGCTCCGACCTGCGCAGTGCGTCCCGCCCTGCAGACGCGCTTCAGCAGAGGCGACGATCACTCGGTCTATGATCGCTCTTTTCGTCACCGCAGCATGTGCTGAGATCCCGGTCCCTGCGGTGGGGGTGCAGGCGACGGCGTACGCGAGGGATATGGCGAGCCGTAGGGGGCATTCAGATACCGCGGTGTGTCGATTGTGGGTTGGAAGTGAGTATCCGACGCAGGGCTGTACTTCTCCGAACCCAGCGCTGTCGACACGACCCTCGGTGAGGAGGTCTTGTTATCGAAATGGCCGAGTATCGGCGCATTGGGACTAACGGGGGACCCGTGCCACGACAAGCTAGACCGTGAGCTACCAGTTGCGGTGTTGACCACGTTCGTGATGATGGCGGGCTCCTTGCCGGCGGGCTGGTTGTACATCCATGTCGCGACAAGTACGGTTGAGGATCCCACGATGAACGACGGTGTGAGGCGGAAGTTGAAGAGGATGACGGAGGCCAGGAAGGATAGGATGATTGACAACGATGTCGCGAACCCTTTGAGGATATTGTCTGAATATTTGATTACGATAGCCGTCACCAAACCGCCAAAGACCTGGATCGAAACGGTCGCCCACGCCCACCCGCCGAAGTTTTTGAATAAGTCCAGGAAGAACCCGCGCGAATTGGGAGGTGAAGATGTGCAGAGGATGGGGAGGAGCGCGGGGAGGAGCGAGAACAGCGATAGTTGGACATTGCGCACCCAAAGATCCGCTTTAGAGTTTTTGAGCACCATTTCGAAGTACACGCCCGCAAGCCCTGAAGTGAAGCAAGCCGCCGTGACCGCACCAAAGCCCTTCAGCGGGCTCATGATGTGCATGTATAGGGGCGCCGAGTCGTGAGCGCTACCAACTGGGATGTTTGTCGACGCAGGAGCGTGAGCACTGGTGCTTGTCTGAATTTGCACGATCGCTACGCCAATAGCCAGGAAAAATAGGGAGAACCATTTTGTCGAGGTCAACCGCCGGCGCAGCATCACAACGGAAAAGGCAGCGGTAGTGAGAATCTTCATCTGATATGTGACTTGGAATGTCGCAACGGGAAGATTGCTGATGGCAACGAATTGTAGGGAGTTTTGGACGACGTAGAGGATGGCAGGAATAGAGAGTTTCCAACAGTCTGGACTGAAAATTTCGCGGACTACTTGCTGGACGGGTGAGAACAGCGCGCCGGCAAATGGCTTGCGCTGGTCAGCGTTCGCAACGCGCCATACAGCTACGACGAATGATATTGAGCCTTTGAGGATTTCGTTGAGGAGGACGGCAGAAGCAGGGGAATATGCTAAGGAAGGAGGGATTGAGACGCGGGAATAGTGCATAACTATCGAAAGAGCGGCATTCTGGACTGCGAGCGTGACAAGGCTTAGGCACGATTGAGTACTGGTTAGCAACGCCGTGGATCGCTCGGTTTTGAAGTCAAGGATTACTCACGAGACGTATTTGAGAGGCAGTCCAAATATAGTGGGTGCCGACTCGTCCTTTGGAACAGGTATCGCTGGTGGGACGACTGCCAGGCTCGGGGTCGAACCATTAGCGTAGGCGCCCGGTAGAACCGTAGGTTGAAGCAAGGGGGACATCCGTGGAGAGGGAAACTCTGACAGATTCACAGAGGAGGAGTTTCGAACGGAGGGAAAGGGGCGATGGTACATGTCTGGACTAATTGGACTTGTAACTTTGAGAGAGGAGGCGCGTGATTGAGCGGATGTGTACATGCATGCAACGGTTGGGACGTGTTCGAGGAATATGGGAGGGGCCGTGACGGTGGACGGAGAGGAGCGTCGAGGTCGTGAACGAAGTGCGACTTACAACTTCAAGGATGCCAACGGTTCCGGCTATACACTAGTAAGCGTCGTCGCAACAATCGGCGCCGCGCTCGGACGACCGCACCGCCTTTTTCTCCAATCACTTTATTGCTTATTATCATCAAAAAATACTCGTTCACTACAGTTTGAGAACGACACATGATGGTGCTATGATATGTACGGTAGCCGTTGATGCGTGTATAAAAGTTTCAACGTTCAGTGTTCCACATGTGTGATACGCTGACCTAGACGGAGCAACCGCTCCAACGCTCGCCCAATTCCAAAATGACTGCTGATCGATCCTGCCCGCGTCAGCCGCAAATATAGACCAGCCGCAGTTGATCGCCAAACACCTGCAACGGAGGACGGTCAGAATCGCAATTTATGACACAGCATACGAGAAAAGATGAACAGCGGTAACGAAAGCTCAACCTCAGACTCGCCTTTAACTCCTCATGCACACCCAGCTGCAGGTGAACACAGTGGGTCTCCCGCACAGTTCATACCAGCAATAAACCCCTCCGAAGATGAGCGCAGGTGTATCCCTTTACCAGGGTTATCTTCTTGGGCATCGCGCTCGAACCGTTGAATGCCCAAACAAAAACAATGCACTCACAATTTGATTATCGTTCAAAGTGCATAGGGTACAAAAAGCATGTAGATATCTCCAGGTGATCCTGCGTCCTAGCCCCTCGACCAATGGGAGAAGCGATCAGCATAGATTGTTTTTGAGACAGCCAAAGAATAAGATCGCTCTTCGACGTTTGTCTGGGCCGTACATCCCAGGAAAGCAAAGCCCAAAAGGACCCGCGGGGGACATACAGCAATTTGGACGTCGTGATGATATGTAAAGACGCATCCGAGCTTTATAGGGTTTCGCTAATCGCCGAGCGGCGTTCAGACTTTTGGAATCCGGCGCCTTTCGCTTAGACACTGCGTGCACCGCAGGGTTTTTCTCAGGATAAACCGTGGATTTAACTCTGGATATAGATAAAGTTTTTGTTCCAGTTTATCCACAAGCTTAAGGTTAACCCGATATTTTATCACACCCTATAATAAAATATCGAATAAACCTTAAGTTCTTGTTTCGGTAGTTTCCGCAAATAAACCCAAGCAAATTTTTGATTTATATCCACGGTTTTTACTTACACACCGCCACTGGCTTGCGCTGCGCGGAATATAAATACTTGACCCCTCAAAAAAAAATCCACGGTTTTGCCCACGGTTTATCCCGAGAAAAACCCTACGGTGCACGCAGTGCTTTCGGACTTTGGAGAGGCTCCGAGGATTGACAGAATCCAGCAAAATCTACGTTACAAGTCTTCTGTGTACTATCGTTGCACCGGAGTTGCAAATGGTATGAGAGGTTCAAAATCGAGCTCCTCGCGGCAACTTTTGACGGCACCTCTTGAAAAAATTCTTAATTGTTGATTTAAGCACTCTTCAAGTATCAGAGTTTTTGCGAGAACAGAAATTGGGTGCAGTAGTGAGGAGGCAATGAATAATGGTTTTTAGGGCAGAGGTATCTGAGAGATGCTCAAGACCTCTCAGATCCTAGAGCTTAATTACAAAAATAAAAAAATATGAATATGAAGAGGTATCACTGAAAGCATTCAGGTTATTTTGTCTAGCTTTGAGGGCTCCACTGCTCTTCATCAAATTGTTTTTGACGGGCAGTGCCCGATGGCAGGCAGAGTGACAGAGAGTCTCGGGCCGTGTGATGCTTGGTCATTTTTTGAATCTCCGCATGGTAGGTCGTTCCGCAGTGCGCGCTGTCGGAGTTCGAGTTTAAACGTGACGACGTGTGACCCGATCGTCGGCAAGATTTGCAACTCCCAAGATTTGCTCGTTTTCGGACACCCCTTCTCAATCATATCACAATAATTCTTTGCGTTTGCTCAAAAATATGAAAAAAAATAGGAGGGCACATTTTAAGAAGCTTCCGCAGGTACCACAAAAATTTGGAGCGAGAGAGAGCCCGATTCAAGATGCTACAAAGATTATTTTCTTTGCAACTCCGGTGCAACGATAGTATGGTTGATCTTTAATTTCTCCTTTCCGGATACATAGATGATACCAGACACTTAAATAGGTTCCTTGCGCCTTGTAAACTAGCACCGTAATGCATCTAATCATATTTTGACCATATAAACTGAGATGTTCGAGGGAGATTATCGCGGTACATTGCATGTGTTGCCTTGACTAATGGAAGCATAGCTAGGGTGGCTAGTCTAAGTCTGACATGTCCATGTCACTATCGTTTTCATCCCAAAGGTTATTTTGCGGTTCAGGGGACAGTGATCGCTTTGATATTTGTTGTGATAGCGATGGTGATGGAAGCGGTGGAGGCGGCGGTGGTGAAGGAGGTGGACCAGGCGGCGGGAGCGGACTGAGCTCATGAAGGGGCCACCTGCGTGATCTGACTGCAAAAACCCCACTGTCATCCTCTGAAATGTGAAAAATCCCAGGCAATCTCCATGGATGTGTACCAGTTCCGACGCTGCTTGCTTGAACATTGGCCCACTGTGTGGAGCTAGAGCCAGGCCCAAGCTGAGAAGTGATGCTGCTCCAAAGACTTTGGCGGTCGTCGGAGTACGTGGATGATGTTGGACGGGAACGTAAAGACGGTAGGCGATGTCCGCTATAAATCGGTAGAAGATCGTTGGAGAAATATGTCGATGGGTATATTGCCCAGCGGCGCGGCGGGGTGGAAGATGGACGTAAGTTATGCAATGCACTGTCTTCACAAGACGGGTTTAGGGTCTCTTCCTCGGAGTCCGACAAGTCAAAGCTCGGGTCGTTTGGATACATATTTTTGAGGGTAAGATCATTCCCTTGCAGAGCTTGAGAGAAGGTCAGCTCGGAGGGACGACTAAGGTCCAGCTCCTCCACCACATCTTCTCCATATATCGTGAACGACCCTTGTCCCTCCTCGATTGTCAAGTCTCCAACGAATTGATTCTCGATCCTCCTCCTCACCGTGTCCCTAGGATCCGATTTTGTAGCCCAACCTCTCGGATATCCCCATTCAGCTATCCATTTAAGCCATGGCATACTTTCTCCAATATCATCAACTCGCAGATTGAGAGCCTCGCGTAGGATAGGGCCACGGATCTCTCCTGGAGTAAAAGTGTCAAGGAAGAGGAGACGCTGATGTTTCGACTCGAAAGCTTCTGAGAGGGTTTTGGGTTCCATAGTGCGTTCAGAGCGGAAGAAACTGAAGAGTTGACGAGAAAGTGACACGAGATGTGGGTTGTAGGGGTCGGGACAATGGGTTACGAGGTGCTTGGTTGATCCACAGTTGAAACAGCGACTGAGGCCATTATCGGCTTCCTCCTCGCTGTCGTCATCTAGTTCACCCAGAATCCTTTCGCCATGTCGATCATAAAGGATAGGTGGGGATGCGGACCGGTACGTCCACCGAAATTCAGGTCCTGGGTCAGGATGAATTCTGGGTGAAACACGTTGCACATCACAGAAATACAGCATTGAATTTTCATCTAGAGGGGAGAGGGGTCTTCCCTCAGCTCCGTGGGTTTCTGAATCTTCTCCCATTCGTCCAACGCGTCGTTTACTGTCTGTGCGTCCCAGCGGCCCTTGGCGACTTCTTTGTCGTCGATGTGCAGCGCCGGGATCCAATAGACATACTTGCGCTTCCAACGCTCCTGGCCTGCGTCCTGAATATTGATTATGTCCAAGGTGAACTGACGCTGATAAGGTAAAAGAGGTCAGGATCCACATTTTGTGCTTGATGAACATGTCATACCGATTGTCGGACTTTTGAGAGTTCAGCTTTAGCGACCTGGACAGATGCAGATAAGTTATGGAGGGCCAGCAAGAGAAAGTTGAACAACGCACGTCACAAAGAGAGCACTGCGGACCAGAAAAGAGGGTGAGGCGAGCGAGCGTACGAAAGGCACTGTTCGCCGCCATGCACGACGTGGATAGATGTTTGGAGTCGGCCGCGGTGCCGAAGCTTGGCGCCAACGGAAGCAACACAAGTCAACAGGCGCCCACACAACAGCACACCCGGACATACAATTCATATTACTCCTTGTTCACTCCTTTCGTCACCTGTGCTGCGCCCTTCCTTCCTTCATGTCTTCCCGATGACAATCCCGAATCCACCATGGAAGAAGAAAAGTTCGATTACATCTAACTTGTTGCGTTGCACGTCTAACAACCGCCGTTGTTTCTAGCCCGGCCTTGTCCTTTCTATTCACAGGGTCGCTGTCTCTTTTCAGACTCTTGTAACTTTCTGCACGATGTGAAGGTCAAGAGCGCTCTTGACTCCCGAGCTTCAAAATTTATCTCTCACGAAACTTCCATTTCTCCTTCTCCCGATGCTGCCCTTGGCCATAGCGCCCTTACCGCTCCCTTACTCCCGACTTTCTCAATCCAGTCGCCGCACTCCATTTCATCCTCTCCACGCTCGACGCGTATGTCGAGCCTGCTACTCGCATTACAAGATGTCATTGGACCAACCGAAAGCCATACGTCGCCACCATCCCCTCATGACTATCGCCCGGGCGAGGTCGAGTGGTCATCGCCTACATACCCCGATGTATTTAACGCGGGAAATGGAGTGCGACGGGAAACCGCGTCTAGATATCGTTGGAACGAACTGGGCCAAGACGAGACCTCCTTGCCGCCGTCCCCATCCAACTCCGATCACGTGCCTGAGCAAGACGATGAGGAAATGACAGCCCGTCAGAATCCCATCCGGCACCGGGACCAGGTGGACCTAGAAACGGGTGAACAGGAAATAGAGCCCCCTTCTCAGCAGGTTACCCATAGCAGCAAACATTCATTCGACCTTCTCTCCCCGGTCGACCTGTCCTGCGGTCCGCCTATCCCTTTCCCTCCATACGAATTCGATGGCTCAATCCACCGTGAAGATTCTATCGACTCCGGGTATGCTGATAGCTGGGTTGGACCATCTCCTTTTGTCTTGTCTCCCCCAAGGCCGTACAGACCTACGTCCACTCTGGATCTGCTCGCCTCTCCATTTGGTTCTCCGTCAGTTCGGGTTCTGTCACCTAAGTTGGCCGCATTTGCTCCTTCAAGTCCAGTACCATCCCCCACACTTGCCCCGAATCCTACTAGAAGTGATAGCATCGACGATGTCTCACCTGTTCCTTTCACTCTCGAATCGCCCGTCGACGTCGGGGAAGCGGAGATACCTCCTCCAAAGAGACTATCGGCTCTCGTGTCTTTGCCTGATTTTCACGAGCTTTCCCTTGGTGCAGGTACGGTTCCTCACCGCGATGTGCCCCCTCCCATTTTGGAGTCTGCCTACACATCACTGCAAGCCTCACCAGCGCACCGTCAGTCCAAGCCGGTAGTACATGAGATGACAGATCTCGATATAATTGGTAGCCAAGAAGAGGAAGACTCGTGGGACGACATGGATGCGTCTTTCAATTCTGAGGATCCTCGGCATGAGAGGCTTTCGTTCCCCTTACCTCCACCCGAGCTACCATCTTCAACCAGCCCTCCTTTGGAAGTCGACGCCTCGAATCCGATAGATGTCAAAATTTTCCAATCTGCGGAGAATTCTTCTACGGCTCAAGCGTCTCCGACGAGTCCTTCATTGGAAGTAGCTGCATCGATCTCATCAGGTGTTGAGAGTTCTCAGCCTGTGGATAATCTTCCACTTTCCCCACGCTCATCCCTTCGAGCTGCTCTCAAGGAATATATGATCGCTCACCCTACTTCCGCATCAGAGACAATAGATGCGACAGCTGTTGGGGATGCTCTCACTATAGCATCGTCTGTTACATCTACTCCGACTCGAGGGCGCGCGGTTTCTGCTGTCTCGGATTTGACGGTCAGAGCTGCACGGTCAGAATCGGATACAACGCCAGAATATATTGGACACTTAGACCCTAACTCTCCGGTCGTCGCCCTAACGAGCTGGATGGATGATGCTCAGGAAGTGACACAAGGCATTCCTGTCCAACCCACAAATTCACCAGAACAGTCAGTTGGTTTCAGTCCAATGTCGAATGATGACATGTTCCAGTTGATGTACGACGCGTATACGTCGTCGCCCGAAGAGCCTAATGCTGGGTTATCTCACATAACACTGGACAGTCCCACGCTTCGAATCGGAGAAGTGAAGCTGACCTCGCTATCTCACTCTCACGACTCGAGCTCAAGTTCGCCAATGCAAGGTCGATCGTCCATTCAGCACACACTTCGTTCGCCCGCCTCTTCTCCTACACTCTCCGATGCTCGAGGATCGAGAAGCCATAATTCAAGCGCATCTCTATCGCAGGTTGTAGCACAACAGATGTCACCGAGCAGCCCTGCGACTCGTACAGAGATGACAGCCTCATCATCGTCCCCTGACCACATGTCCTCTCGTTCATCTTTTCCGCGACAGACCCGCTCGTCTATCCGTTCGTTTGCCTCCTCACCGGTACTCTTTGATTCTCATCGCTTGAGCCAACGCGCGAGAGATTCGGCGCAGCCTCCATCGCCAAAGGACAAAGCAGTAGATCACTCGTCTTGGACATCTCATATTTCTTCGGATAGCCCTACAGCTAGTATGAGTGAACAGGCAGCCCTTTTATCTCCCCTTGCTCGTGAGTTCTCTCGGTCTTCTGTTAAGCCTCAGCCTCTTTCGCCCACTAGCGCTATTCCACCACTCGTTCGAAATGATTTTCGACGCGCGAGTCCACAGACAAGGAGCTCGGTTTATGACGCGAAATCTTCATGGCCACAGGAGGTTACAGTGAATAGGTCTTCTTGGGCATCCCACATTTCCCTGGACAGTCCCACTGCTAGTATGAGTGAACGGACAGCCCTTTCATCTCCCCTTGCTCGCGAGTTCTCTCGGTCTTCTGTTAAGCCCCAGCTTCCTTCGCCCACCAGCGCTGTTCCACCGCCCGTTCGAACTGGTTTCCGCCGCGCGAGTCCGCAGACAAGGAGCTCGGTGTACGACGCGGAGTCTTCGTCGCCACAGGAAATTTCAGTGAATATGTCTTCTTGGGCATCCCAAATCTCCTTGGACAGTCCTACAGCTAGTATGAGTGAACAGATAGCCCTTTCATCTTCATCTCCCCTTGCTCGCGAGTTCTCTCGGTCTTCTGTTAAGCCCCAGCTTCCTTCGCCCACCAGCGCTGTTCCACCGCCCGTTCGAACTGATTTCCGCCGCGCGAGTCCGCAGACAAGGAGCTCGGTGTACGACGCGGAGTCTTCGTCGCCACAAGAGGTTACAGTGAATAGGTCTTCTTGGACATCCCACATTTCCTTGGACAGTCCTACAGCTCCTATAAGTGAACCGACACCTTTTGTTTCATCGTCTCCTTCCTCCTGCTCACCTGCTCAAAGCTACTCCCGTTCACTTGCATCTCCACCTGCTCTCCCCGATTTCCATAGCCTGAAGCGGACTTCCAGAAGCTCACTACAGGACACGTATCATACTTCGCAGCAGCAGGAGATTTTGAAACGGACGACGCTGAGCAGTGCTGCTGCTCGCAGGAGCGAACATTTTGATTCGCATCACTCAAGTCTAGGTGCTGGAAACTCTTTGTATGATGCGCACACGCTGTCGCCAAACGAGGCTGTAGCTAAACGAATGTCATGGGCCTCTCATATCTCACTGGACAGTCCCGCAGCTCATGTAGGCGAATTGAGCACATCACGATCCTCGTCTCTTTCCATTGAGATAAGGTCTCGTTCTCCTATTCAATATAACTCCCACCCATTCTTATCTTCTCTTGCACTCTCCAACCTTCGCAGCCCAAGTTCCCACACATTCAATCCCCTGTTCAAGTCCCCCCTCTCAGCCGACTCCCCTGATCGCATGTCGTTTGCTAGTCCACGGGAAGCATTGTTCACGCAGCCACCTGTACCGTCTACTGTAAAACCCGCCAGAGCATCTTCGTCGGCGTCTCCGGTCTCTCTACACCATGCCCGCGAAACCATGGGCGTTCCTGCATCAAGCCAGCGCAAGGGGAAGGAGAAGGCGGATCTCGATGTTCGTTCATCTAGTCGTTCATCTATACAAAGCACGGGAACAGACGCTGAGGAGACGAAGTGGAACAGGATGTCAAGGGGTGGAAAGGTTCCGTTTGGTTTCAGACGATCGTTTCAGGTGTGACTTTCTCGTCTTATGTGTGACAATGCATCAATCGCTTACTATGGTCATCACAGGGTCGTGCTATCAATACTCAAGCTAGACCGACAGGGCGTACCCGACCTAATATCTCAACTAATGCTTACACTTCCCCTTCTAGAGCAGATTCTCAGTCTCCCCTGAGCGGGCAACATCATTCTCCGGCAGAATCTCTGCCCAGTTCTGGTGGGATTAGACCGCTTCGTCTTGTATGTGCAGTTTTCGTCGATGATAACTGGATACTGAAATTTGGGCTCAATAGTCGCGCATATTAACTTCTTCACCTCTACATAGTGCCCCTTTACCGTCCAGTCTGCGGTCTAGTCTTACTTCCTCGGTCGGACATCATTCGCAAGCATCCGTTTCCTCTCATAGTGTATCATCAAGGCAATCCATTTCACAAAATCCTCTGGTAATTTCACGCTGATTATAATGCCTTGCTGGACATGACTAACGTCTATGGATCACAATAGCTTTCATCTGTTCATTCTTCAACAATACCGGGACGTATCCGAGATACCCTAATTTCTACTCACAGCGACTCAACACTCCCGCTTGCATCTAATCGTTCATCGTTGCATCGTTCCTCCATCCAGATAGAATCGCAATCTGCACCCATATCGCATTCACAGTCATGGCGCAAATCTGTTATCTCAGACCTTTCCAATTCCGACGGTCACTCGCAGGCATATACTCACGATGAATATTCTCGTACTGATAGTCGACTCTCTGAGCCCGTCATGGGCGCCCATGGCGGGGACGACGTCAACGACTACCGTGACCTCGATGACGATGTCTATGATCACACTATCCGCAATCCCATCCGTCCACAAAGTGTCATCCCTCACACAGCGCCAACTTCTCGATCTTCATCCGCGTTGGGCTCATCTGTGCATGCTATTGCCACACCTCGTCCCACGCTCATGTTCGCCATCGCAAGCGACGACGTTGAAGAAGTGCGCCGGGTTCTCGAGAGTGGAGAAGCAGGCCCGAACGACCAGCTCGGTCCACAATCAGCGCTTGCGTTCACGCTTACAAATGATCGTCTCATGCACAAGATGGAGATTGTAAAGGAGCTTCTAGCCTATGGTGCCAACCCCGCCTCGTTGCACAATCCAGAGATGAATCCTCCACACTCGGCATCGATATTTGCTTCTGGGTCAGACCATGGGCGTGAAGCAGGGGGATGGCCCCTTGTTGTTACGCCCCCGCTAACAACAACGATGGACGGGATGAATCCTGCGACAAGGTATGTGCTAATTTAAAAGAAGCCTGAGGTCATAGCAATCTCGCTTACGATGCTGTGTGCTAGGTACTATATTTCTAGGGCAGACGCGCCTGCTACAAGGAAGACATCTGCGCTGATCCATCGCTCTATCTTCCGCCCTCTGACACGGATGCGATATGATATCGTTGGGCAGGACCGCGTATTCGAGCAGCTGTTCATGCATCTGAATGAACATTCTAGACGCTTTTCAGTGTCGCCCATTGTTTTCCTGTTCTGCGGTAAGTTTAGCAGAATGTGGTCTTTAAAATTGGCTATTGATGACATTGGCAGGACCAAGTGGGCACGGTAAAAGTCTTCTAGCTCATAAATGTACGCGGACTCCCATTCTCGTTTGAGAACTCTCTCGTTATACCTTTTCATTTCAGTTGGATCCCTCCTGGGTATCCCGACCCATACTGTGAATATGACTAGTTTACGATCCACTCATGACCTATGGCAATCACAATCATATCAAGTGAGTGCCTATCTTTTGTTCCAAGGGCTTACCCATCTTTAACGATATTCACAGGACATGTCGCCCCAGACCTTATCTGAGTTTTTGCTTGAAAATGAAGGGAAACGATGCGTTGTAGTGCTGGACGTGAGCTTGAGATTTTTCGTGACGCCCCTGCAAAGAAAGCTCATATTCCTATCCCTTCTCAGGAAATAGAAAAGGTGCAAGATCCAAAAGTGCACTATTCTCTGCTTCCAGCATTCGAGGGTGAGTCTATATCGACCACATAACAGACGGACACTCACTCTGCGGACAGGTCGGTATTTCCTGCATGGGCCTAATCGTCTCGTCGACATGCGGAACGTAGTCTGGCTTGGTACGTCCAATCTCGGGGATCAGTATGTGTTTGAGTATCAAAGCACACTCTCCAACCCAACTGCCGCAATGTCACGAGAGGAGTACCTTGATCTCATCGGTCTCATGCGGACAAAGGTCACAGACCAGCTTGGGGTGTGTCGAGCGCATATTCGCAACATGGAGAGCTTAGCTGATTGAGTACCTCTCCAAACAGGGCGGCTTGATTGGCCGGTGCACGGCAGTCCTCCCCTTTGTTCCATTCACCGAGGAGGAGAAGATAGTCATCGCAACTGAAGCCTTACTGATGCACCAAGCGGACGCCGAGCTCGCCGAAGGATTATCTGCGGCGACGCTCGAGAACGCGGCAAGGAAGTCGCTTGCGAGATATATCCCCGCTGAGGGAGCACGATCTTTGCACCGCGCGGTATCTGCGATGCTGTTGGATTTGTTTTGATTGTTGATATTACATAGTCATTGATGACTTTTCATGCGTGCCTCGAACATTGTATGAGCTCGACTGTTTTCATTCATCTTTTACATCATTTATCTCGTGATGGTCGTAGGGCAGATGAGGTTGTTCATGTGTCGTCTATAGGTGAGTAGCCTCATTCTGCTTTGTGGCGGTCCACTCAATGCTGGAAATCTGTGATCAGCGAGACGACGCCACATACCATGAAGCACGAGTCTGCGATACGACAATGTGACTATTGCGGTATCTATGTATGGTCTTACATTTTAGATGTGCTAACGGGTAAAGTTATCTCATTGAATAATTGATGCAACGGCGGTGGTGTCGCAAGGTTCATGCACTGGTGAGGGTCGGAGATGTTTCTCTCACGATGACTGGAAACCTCCTTGTTTGGCAAAGTCCCGCTTAGAAGAGGATAGATTATTCAACCACACCTTTCAACATACTTCTGATTTTGTTTGACCTATTGACAGTATCAGCTCGACTACTTAAGTCCACGTTGCACAACTAATCTAGTAAATATCGATAGTTTGTTTTCGAGTCGCACTGTACTCATTGTACACCGAGTCGGGCCTTCAGCGTGCTCTGGTGAGATGTCAATTGCTCATTGTGGATGCATTGTTGATTGATATCGGTCAGTGCTGACTTAAATCATGGCAGATGTGGAAATTCAGGGCAATGATGGTGATGAAGCGGTATGCCAGTCGGCCATTGCGGTGGCTGTGTGCCTCTAGCAGACCAAATATGGAAAGCATCGTAGTTCATCAAGATGGATTTACTTTTGGCGCTTGTTTGCAGTCCGTTTCAATTCACAGACTCCCAAACGGATCACCGGCATCGGCATAGCGTTGATATCACCATCATCCAGGCCTATACATATAGACCGACTCGTGAGTTTCCATCTTCACCCGCCTCCTTCCACTCCCCTCCTGTCTCTCTTGAGGCGTCCTTTCTTTTTTCTTTTTTCGTTCATTTTGACATGGCCGTGTTTGCATCAGGTTTTCGTACCTTGGAGCGAGAGGTGGCCCAAGCGATTCAGCCTCGCGACAATGCTTCCGCCACGGATAGCATCAGCCAATCACATCCGTCTGTCAACGTCCACCTCTCCACGAGTGTAAAATCTCTTGTTGGAGTCTTCACTGTGGTTGGCGTGTTCATCCTCGGTACGATATTCATACTTTGTTAATGAAATCATGCTCATGCCGACTATAGTTGCTGCTGTGTGGAAATTTCGCTCTTGGACCAAGCGCCGTAGTGCCGCTCCATCCAGTCAATTCGATTTCTCGAATGTAGAAAAGGGCACAGTGGAGAAGAACATCTTCCGCGTCAGTCTCGCTGACAACAAGGTTGGAAAACCTGACAAAGCTGTCCTCCTGCCTCCTGTCCCGCCAACTCCTAGCGTTGGTTGGACTCCTCAAATCAGGAGTGTTAACCTACCGAGAAGCGGGGTCGCTGTTCCTCCGATTGCTGTCAAGCCAGCTTCCCGTTCTCCCCAGAACAATGAGGAACGAGATCGCTCACCTCCACCGAAATATCGTGCGGCTGCTTATGCTGACCTCCCTCTTCCTCCTCTTCCTCCCATCGCCCCTTCTCCTGCGGTGCCTCCCCCTACACCTCCTGCGTCGAAAAAGCTGAGGGTGGCGGTGACTGCTGCCCCACGCGAAACCTTCGACATTCCTCCCATTCCTAGTCCTCGTACCATATCCTCTGGCTTCCTCTCAGCAGCCACCGCCAGAACACCACGGACGAGCTTCTCTGCTAGGTTCTCTCCCAATCCCCTCCCGCGCCTCATGGTCGTTTCTACCACCTTTACCCCTACTATGGAAGACGAGCTCTCCATTCGCACTGGCGAGACACTACGTCTTCTCGAGCAATTTGAGGATGAGTGGTGCCTCGTCCAGCGCGTCGGTCGCGCAGATGCTGAAAAAGGTGTCATCCCTCGATTCTGCCTCAAGGAGCGCCCTCGCGTCTCACCCCAGCGCGTCACAACGTCTACATTCACCTTTGGGCAACCATGGCGCAAGTGATGGGACCCGTCATCCTCCATCCGTTCTATCATACCATCACGATCATTGCTACGAAAGCCGAGCTTGATATGGCTCCATGGCCGGCCATACAGGTCACGACTTGAGTAGTCTTCCCCTGTTCTCCGTGGCTTTTCTGGGGTTTCCCTTGTAACTTGTGCTCAATTATTTGATTATCTAATATTTATGGCATCTGTCTCTACAGACATCTAGCCAGTGAGTGGTTTTACATGACCATCGCACTGTTCTCACAAACCTCTAGTTTATTTACTGCTCTCCAATCCCACCTTTTTGGGCAAGCTCTACCTTCATTCTATTGTGGCTTTGCTATCCCATCACACATTTTAGTTCATCTTGTCCTGCTAGTCAGACATCAGGCATTTTATAGTTGCTACTGCCATGGACTTATTACTTCGTCACCTACTCACCACAACGATCAAAATATGATTTTGGGCAGCTTTTGTCTGCATCGTCTGACTTACGTTTGTGCGCTTCATGAAATGTCCGTTCAGTCAACCTATTTGGACAAGAAATGTGACGACTGTTACACTCGGCGTGCTACAGTAACCCTATCAATCCTCCGGCCATTCGGACTTCCGCTTGTACTTTGCCTGGTCTCTCAACCACTAGACGGACATATCGATCAAAGTCCTCTGCCCACACATCAAGAAAACATACCTGTCTATACTCGTGAAGAGACCCAATCTTTTCACCTACACATTGCTTCAATGACTAGAAAACAAGTGCGGTGCGAATGAACGTACCATAGAAGTCTGGCACGGGGTTTGTTGCACTCTGGGCGGTGGGATCTACTCGATTTTTAACGATACGGCTGTGGAACTCACGGTCGCGGGCCTCAATGAGGGCCATCGTCCGACGGTGAGTCAAACGCCAGCATGTTGAGCCGATGATGGGCCCAATGAGGTAGCCGAGACCTGTATTTTTTGGTGGATGAGGTCAAGCCTGTAATGAGTAAAGACGATGATATGCTCACCGACACATCCTAGCGTTGCGCCTCCAAAAAAGAAGATGGGGTCAAGACCCTGAGCACGGTGTCAATAAGCAGGATGAAACTGTCGACGACATGAAAGCGTACCATGATTGGTTTTGAGGCATCAACCTCCAACGACCCAAAATAAGCCGCCCCGCCAACTAAGCCAGCTGCCATGCATGGTATGGTAAGGGCCTAGCGATGACAGAACAAGTGACATGAGTTCACGCAACCCATTGCACACACCGCAACACGCTGCCGTATTTCAAAGACGTACCATCTCCCATCTCCGCTTAGCCCTACGGATGGCAAGATATTCTGGCCAGGGCAGATTCTCCTTCGTGCTTTGCGGAAGGGTAGAATTTGCACGTCGGGCGAGGACCATTGAGTTGCTGAAGCGTGAAGGACTAGAAAGGCCATGGCGTAACTCTACATGTAGAGGTCGCCGGAGCGAGCAAGAATACGAGAGGCCCGCCATTGTTGTTTGACAGTGAAGTCGAACAGCAACTTGCAGTGACTACACTTGCCGGGTTGGAGGAATAACGCTTGAGATTGAACCTATATTTCTGTTTATTTCTGTGCTCACGTGCCGCACCGATGTAGTCTCTCTAAGTCTTCCCTAGTCTTCCGCACTTTTCCTACTATCAAGTCCTTCCCCTTCAAGCTCTCCCAAGGCTGGTGGCAAGCTCCACCGTCGGGTAGACTATGGAACCTCGGTGAGTCATTCTAAGTTGATTTCATTTCGAAAACTCAGAGCTGATGCATGATGCTCTAGCGAGGTAAAAGGCTGGAAATAGAGAGTTTAGCGTGTTCAAACCGATTTTCTGGTCGTCAATATCATTAATCCTCGCGCACATCTCTGGCTGAATTATTCAGCTAAGATATCATGCGTGACGCATAACCGCAACTCGAGGTTCAGAATAATCTGTTTACTACTTTCATTTCCTTTCCACATCGTAACCGCTCGGAGACAACTGGTTGCAGCCAGGCCCACGTGTCCCTACACAGCACTATTATTTGCTTGCCTTTCAACTCTGTATTATAATGACAATGGACACAGGTGACGCTGCTGTCAATATCACCATGTCTTCTAAATTTTATGGGTTAGATTTTGCTCACCTGCAGGGTACGTCGCGAAGTTATTGAATCCCACTTCGTAAAGTTTCCCTGGAATCTTCTAGACATACAACCGCTGATACTTGATCATCTGATCAAGTTGTATGAGGGTCAGTGAACTTCTTCTACCTAATCATTGCCACAGGACGTTGCTCCGTATGTTGCACTTTGTCCAATAATCATCACACTCATCTATTACCCATCATGACGATTTCCAACAGATGGCCGTGGTGCAACAGGAACTGGTGTCTATATAGAAAACACAAGGGATATACCTTGTCCGCCCTTATTCGACTACATCTTTGGCAGTGATTGGGGATTATATAGCAACCACTCTTTGCGAGCTCTTTCAACCAAGCAACTTGCGCCAAATTACGCTCATCTCCGAATACTTGTCTGTTCTACCGAAGACTGAATACTCAGAAGCCAACCTAATAGCGCCCGCGGAGTAGACACGCGATGTTGTCTCTCCGCGGACTATGATTTAGATGCCCAAGATAAAAAGAACATTGTGGTGGGTGTGCGGCATCATCGTGTATTGTTAGGTTTGATTCTACGTTACCACGTCTAGATCCATCGCGATGCCGAGAGCCTAGTATTCTCAATAGTCAAACTAATGTATTATCGAGGTGTGCGTACAAGTCTCAATACTCAAAATAATATGTTTAGTCAAAGAAACATACTGCAATGTTCGATCGTGATCGAACCCTCGCCCCGTCTTCTCCTTGCATCTGTTTCCTGCATCTCAGTGATACACGGCATCGTTCTATTATGATGGGAGTAGAGATGTTAGGACTCCTTTAGTCTCCTGAGCGACACCAAGATATGCGTGATCTACACCTCGCCGCCGAGCCCCTCCGTTCTGGCCTATAGTAATTCATTCCTGTCGCCGTGGCCGGTCTGATTCAGATAGCCCGGGAACTAGGTCCTACAGTGTGCTTCTCAGCTTCAGACGGGAATCCCATTCAATTCAGGAGTCGATATATCGCTTCTCAGACGCTAAAGTGCGGGATCAAGGCTTTATTGTGCCACGAGGAGCACCGATGCTCCAACCCCGGATGTCAGCTCGGTTTCTAGAAAAAGACTGCCCGCCGCGCTTCTTTGGCTGCAGATCCATCGAGAGCTGGTTTGCTCACTTCCAATGTCTTGAAGCTCTCTTCTTTCCTCTTCGGCGGAAGCATGTCTCGAGTCCGGGACAGCGTCACAACGAGGATCTTCATCAAAAGCGGACTTTCTTCATCTCAATGACCACAACTCATCTCGGCCAAGGATCCTGGCACAAATGAGCGACTCCGACGTTTCACTCCTTCATTTCAGTCCTCATGTCCATGTTGGCACGCCCCCGCGGCAGAAGTCCAATCCTATTCTGCGATCCCGCGCTTCGAGCGGCACTTCTTTAGGATTTAAAGCTTTCATTGTTGCATGATTGCCGCGGACGAACCGGTCTTTGTAGTCATGCTATTGTTGAACAACGCTGGACCGATGATAATTTTAGCCTTCCGGTGCATGGCAGATTATGCTGAGTTACCGGCCCTCCGCATACGTGTTTACAGCTATATCACAATCATGATTAGCATCGGCCTCCGTTCAAGGTTGTAGCCATGAATCATCCAATATGCGGTGTTGCACAATACTCTCGTATTTATCAGTGTCAGGTTCAGTACGTATAATTTCGATTTGAATTCTTTCTAGACAACTCAAATACAACTTTCTTCTTCTACTTCGAGACTGAGATCCGCCTTGCTATATTCGCATTTCGCAGCATCCTACACCTGTCAACCACAATATCCCGCAGCCAAAATCCACCAGTTTGACAATACCGCGCCTACAGCTTGAAGCTTGACGAAAGACGAACAATCGAATTGACTTGAATTTGCGTTCGGTCGGGCGTCTAAAGTACGGTGCCCAGCCTACGAAACGATGCAAACGGCGAGGGAATAAAATGCACAGCGAAGTCCATACGAAAACGACAGCAATCAAAAAAGCGCACAAAGCGAGATGAGGCGGGGGGAGACAGGAGAATGAAAGGGAAAAGCATAAATCAGCAACTACGCTCGAGGCTACTTGGGGGACACAGGCGGAGAAGAAGAGGAATACAGCAGCGGGACGGCGAGTGCTGCTCCTAGAACGAGCAGCGCAAGGCCGGCCGAGAGAGCACGAGAGCCGAGCGTCGGTGGTGGTTTAGATGAAGGTGTAGACAATGAGGACTTTTTGGACGTCCGATGCGATGCAGTATAGGAAGACGAGAAAACGGGCGCCGAAGGGAAGAGTTGTACGTACCCGATGGATTTGAGGCCGTGTACACTAGACACATGGGTAGATCAGTAAAATGAATGCAGAGAGGAGGAATTATGGAAAAGCATAAGTGAGACGCACTAGTAACCCTCGAGATTTCTGCGAATTTCATCTTCCGACCCGGTTGGCACGCCGTCGAGTGCGAACGTGACCTTGGTGGAGTCGATTGATTGCGCAAGCGTTGTGGTGAGCGTAGCTTCGTGGCCTATATCAGAAGAAAGGTAGTCATGTAAGTTGAGCTCTCGGGGGACAAACAAAGATGCGCACCATCTGGCCAGGTAGGACTCTGCAACGCCCACGTCTGGACAATCTGCTGCCCTGGCATCAGAGCGAGGTACTTCCCGCGCACGCCCCCGCCAAACAGCGTGTACTCTGTGCCCGGCTGCGCGGCAGACTATGTGACCATCACAGAAAACTCAGCACCACGAAACAAACGGGAGAACGGGAGAAAGACACGAGTCGAAGAAACAAACAGACGAACCTTAGCAGGCGCGCGCGACCACGCTGGGATCCGTTTCTCGTCCGTCAGGAGCGAGAACAGGTCATCCGCCGCTGCCTGGAACGTCGCCTCAACCTCAACGAGGGCCGCGTTGACTTTGTTCTTCTCTACCTTCTTCACCACCTTTGGTGCAGGTGCAGGTGAAGACGAAGAGGCTTGCGTTGCCTGAGGAGTGGTGGGAGCAGCAGGCGTAGGCGACGCGGTACGGCTAGGCTCAGTGGACCCAACAATGATGTCTTTGCCATGGGTCTCAACGAGTGCAGCTGGGAATGCAGTGAATTTCACCTCGAGCGCGGCGGGAAGGAGGGATTTGGCAAGCGCATAAAGAACAGATGCTGACGGTGCACTAGCATCGGAGGTGAGGCTCCATTCATACTATATTTCGGTATGCGTATTGCGTCGGGAAGCGCATCATGTAGGATGCGATTTCGAAAAAAAAAACCATCATGGAGTAGTGAATAGTAAGTGATGAGATCCAACACAAAGAACAATCAATAGTCAGACAAGCGAAAACAAGATATTCGAAGAACATAATACATACAACGTAATCAGAGAGCCCATCGAGGGTGATCTCGTGCGAGACCTCGGGGACGACGAGGCGACCTGACGCCTCTGACCCATCTGCAGCCGTCCCCTTCCAGTTCAGGACTACTTTGCAATCGTAGATCGTGATCAGCCTGCCATGCCCACAAGCAAGACACCAATATCGGTATCAAGACCCCAACGAAGGCCAGAAAGCAACGGCAAAGAAAGACAGTTAGTACAAGCTTGACGGTCTCGATAGGTAGAATTCTCGCCCCGAAAAGCAGTGCAAGACGACAGGAACATATACAAAACCGATTGAAGAAATGACGCACTTCGACTTGCGCCTCCCCAGCTCTACATCGCCATCAATCTCAACTACGCGCTCGACGCGGACAACCGCACCATCCGCGCCTTGGACCTCAACCAGCACGAGCTCGCGTTCGAGCCACTCCTTCGCCCACGGCGTCACCGTTTTGTTCTTCCAGTGCCAGTTGGCGGTGGTATACGACATGGTCGACATCTTTGGCTGCTTTTTCTGGCCTAATTACGAAGTTGCAAACTTTTTCGTATGATGCAAGATGTGCGTGCAATTCGGAATAAGATGGAAGTAATCGACAGCGGTGGACTGCAATGGGAGGGAGGGGGGGTGATAAATGCTGCGAGTACAGGTGAGACGCGACAAAAGTTTCTTACGGAAGCGGCTTGCACGTGCCGAGAACATTCCAGTCATTTCGGTGCGCTTTGGCCTCATCTTTCGTTGCTCGACATTTTGGAAGGCTGCTCCGAGTGGGTTGCCAGCGACAGGTGAATCTTGGTGAATTTTGATATAGTACATTGTACGCGACTTTGCTAAAGAATGTCCGAGAACAGGTCTCTTGCAACAACCCTAATGATACACAGAATGCTTCATGACACGGGCGCTGCTCAGACAACTGATATTGAGTCCAATCGCACGATCTTCCAGAAGTTTCCCTTGTGGTTCCTCACTTCTGCTCTCCCTCCGGTGATTCATGGTGCTTCTTCCGAATCAGAACATAGCTGTCTCCCGCCTCCCCAGTGCTCACCGCTTCAACCTCGCCTGGCACTACGCCTTCACCTCCGGGCTTCCCGTGCACGCGTTGAGAGCGAATGAGCTCGAGGTCGTGCGTCAGCAGGCCATGCCCGGCGACAGGCCCCCAGTACGAAATGCTGCCTAGGGTGGTGATGATACATGTGCCGACGAGGATCGATAAGTAGAAACGGTATTGCGAATACCATGCCGGGGCTACATGTACAGACACAGCAGTAAGTGTCACGTCGATAGAGTGGCGCACAGCGTTGGCTTACTCCAACCAGCAGTTGTAGCATGAAGATCTGCCCACCAGAGCCCTGTGAAGCCGACCCATTGTGCAATGAGGGCAAAGGTTGGGTCAAGCGCGAGGGTTGGCCATGCATATAGGACAGGGGCCATGCCGAGCGCGAGACGCTTGTATCCCTTGTGTCCACCGTATCCAGCAAACTCCATACCCCAGTGTAGCGCCCCTGCAAGCATCGCGACAGACGTGAGAAAATAGCTTTTATGGGACAGGAAAGGGGGCCTGGATGAGGGACAAGGACTGGGACTGGAACGCACCGAGGAAGGACAGCATAACGGCGCCATACGTCACCTGAATGCTCAGCGCACGATCAAGAATGGTCAATGCGACACCGGGATCAAGTCCCGTGAGGATCCCTGTCGCACGCCAATGGTCAGTCTTGGACAAATCGGGAAGGAGGGCGCATAGTACCTGCAGTTGCGAGACCGGCTTGGTGTGAGAGGTACATCGTCGCTGCGGACGCTACGATGTATGGCAAACCGCCAGCCAAACCCGTCACGATGTACGGCATCGGGACAGCGTGTGCAACCGCGCTCGTGATTCCTAACTGTCGGTCACATCGTTCTCAGCGTTTGAGTGTTGACTCGCAAAGGACGCCGAGTACGAAAGAGCAAGCGACCTACAAACGTCTCTCTTGTGGACTTCATGCTGTCGACTGGTAAATTGCCGCCCGCAATCGTCTTTGCCCAGTCTGTGGTCGAGTTGCCGACCTCCTCGCGAACGTTTAGCGCCGCTTGCTCAATAGTCTGTGAACCTGGTCGTCCAGATACGGATGATGCGACCGAACGAGTTTGTTGCAGCGCAGTGGCTAGACGAAGAATGCGGGACGTTGGGGGCCGTGGCGTTGGCATCAGGGGCGCAAGGCGGGTGTAAGGTGACCTCAATGTGAGGGGTGCGCGACGCAGAGCCGCTGTGCGAATTGACGGACGCGCTACTGAAAACAGGACGTTCATTGTGTACAGGATGCCAGAGTCGATGTGGCTGGCGAGGTGAAGCAGCTCGACGCCGTTGCGTTCGCCGTATATCAGGAGGGGCTTTCACCTCTGACGTCGTCTGACGTCATAACTGCGCCGTCCATACAAGGAAAGTCTCTATGTTCGACACGGCAGACGCCTGCAATTGCTTCTCTGCAAAAATGCATGGAGGGGGAAGTCGATAGCCTGCGTCGAAACGATTTCAAGACCCTCGGTGAGTAGGTCCGTGCGTCTACCTCAAGGTTGCCAACAGGATTCGGCATGGTGATGCTCCATTTCTCAGCCACCGCTCTGCCACTGATTGATAGCATGCAGTCACCCATCTTACGCACGTCTATTATTTATGGGCTTTGCGTATGCCGTACCATGCCCTCTCGGACTTTCACCTCAATGGCAGCCGCGGTCAGGATCAAATGCCGACGGTGTTGCTAAAATGAAACCCCGGACGACCGCCCTCCTTGATTTCTCGCACGCTCCCGCGCAGTAGGCCGATATATACTTACACTCCCAAACGGCATCCTGATTGCTTATTTGTTGTAATGACCGCTGGTGACGGTTCTCTCACGCAAGAGCGCGCGAGCATACAGAGATGCACCGCTGTTGTGGGACCCAACGGCTCCAGCTCGTTTGAAACATAAGTACGAATCAGTCGCTGTCATCAGATACATCACGGCAGCCCCCTGCGTGCGATGGACTGTGCAAAGCCATGCATGCTCGCGCGAAGGTCCGTCCAGAGCCCTTGACGACTATCGAAACTTTCAACTTCCGGATAGCTCATTCTGAACCACCATCGATACGCTGGTCGGATAAGTGATTATTCTCACCGTAACACATGCACATGGTATCCTGGTCTATATCACCAGTGTTCCGCAGGTTGTTCCATCGCTCTTGTTTTGACGCCGGGTGCCATAATCAGTAAGTACCTTCAAGTTCGTAGCCTCATGTTCCGCCCGTGACGTGGGTGGATGCTACTCATGTACATGTGCACAGTGAGCGCATCCGGAGAAGGCCCTAACCCCCCATGGGATGGCACATATCGATAGTTCGTGCAGAAGGAGTTAAGTCCATATACCATAACAAATCGGCAGTAGACCTGCGCCTGAACCTGAAGCATCTTCCATCCATCTTTCCATCCGTCTACATATTCTTCCTCGCTAGCTAGCCACCTAGCTAGCCACAATTGATTATCACCGCCTCACCCCCGCATCATCGCGCTTCACTAGGCGGCTTGAACTTCGGCCCGATCGCCATACTATCCCAAGGAGGCGAGCTCGTGCTTGAAGATCCCTCATTTGACCGACACAGCATACAGCATGTAACTATCGAATTAACACAGTCACATAACCATATCCACCGACCCTGTTCCATATCGCCGGTATTGCGAGGCACATCGAAACTCGAATGCGGGCCAGCGCCGAGTCACCCATCCTTCCACCCACTCATCGTTGGTAATTTGACATGCGATTCGGGTTACTACAACCTCATGCCGCATTCCCTCTAGGCCTCAGGTAGCTTCAGGTACGTAGCCCCGTCATATCCGCGGCTGAATCGATGCCTTGCCAACCAAAAAAAAACTGCAGATCCCATTCTGTCTCATCTGGCCTGAGTAAACACCCCTATAACTGCTGACCATATCACCATCTGACGGCCAACGACTCTCGTCGATGTCGACTCCGACATCGTGGGTTATGCCGCGGAGTCCTCGTGGTTAAGTCGGCGTGCTCGACCGGAACACTTTGCAGCGTATACCGTCGTGCAGAACGAGCAGCTACGCGCTCAGGCACCCTCAACGTCCAAAAATCTGAATTGATGCAAAAACAGATATCGAAAAGGGACCACAGAAGATGCAAATTTAGACACAGAATCATCATCCGCGTAGAAGGCTCTAGAGTAGACTTCATTTCGGCTGAAACGAGAAACCCACCAGGCAAGCACGCACCTGCACGCATTGTGCCTGTGCATCTCCGTCTGCGCTCTCTGGGCGCTCGTCCAGGCCATGTACCGGACATTCACACGCTGTAATGCTCACTACCGGAGAGCGCCGAGGACAACATGACCCTTACCGCTTCAATGCCTCTTCGCCTCCGCGCATCGACCACGTATATCGTACTCATACCGTAACACACGTACATGCTGCGGATTCACCGCGCAAGCTGTCCCAATGCTGGTATATTCTCTCGACCTTGCCATGATGCAAGACAAAAGGATATTCAACAGCCTCATATTTTAAGCTATAGCTTCAGCTTCGAGACCCTTACTGTGGAATGCCTGCCTGCGCGAGGCAGTGTTCCCTGCCAGCGGGCCTCCATGCTGGAGCGGGTTATGCGGCATTATCGCAGCATCGAGCCCTGAGAATTTGCACGGATACATTAGTTATGCCTCGCGCTCAAGTCGTGTTACGCGCGATGGCTCCACAACAGCCCAATACATCGTGATCACTGCAAAGAGGGTCGTAATATATAAATATTATCCAATGATATGCTGCGCGTGCACGCCTCGTTGGCGGCCAAAGTGCCAGAAGAAAAGAAAGAGAACTAGAACGAACATACGAGTCTATAGGTGAGAATGTCAAGAAGTCAAGAAAGAATAAAAAGCCGTCCAAATAACTGCCACGTCAGAAGACTCAAACTCCTCACACTCGCCGCCCTGCGCAGCGCATACCAGGCCGACGGAACAAACGAAAGCGAGAAAAAAATTACTCCATCCGCCGCGAGTACCATCCTGCCCGCTGCTCCCCGCTGCTCCTGTTTTGATTAAGCCTGCTTCCCGAGGTCCTCCCTAGGCAACAGGCTGACAAACCGCGTCTTCTTCACCGTCGTGCCGTCATCTCCAAAGTACCGGCGCGTCATGAAACTCCAATGCAGAGATCCGACTATCCACTCCTGGAGCCCGTTCACGTAGAGCTGCACGTCGCGGTCGATGTCGGGACCCCACGATGGCACGCGCGCCTGGTTCTCGACAAACGCGTCAATCGTCTGCTTGCAAAGCGCCCCGACCCGATCGACGGCTTCTTGCAGGGTCAAATCCTCGTGCGCCATGAAGATACAGATCATATTGTGGGTGTCACCGCGCGCCTGCTCGACGTTGTACGAGAAGATGTCCTATAAACGGAGCCGAAATCAATGGTCAGCATCCGAACTTCCCTTCTCACACCGCATATTTACACATCGGCGCGCGCTGCGCGCATGCCGCAACAATAGGACAGATCAAAATGAAGAGACTACAAGCTTACGTTGGACCACGTGACAAGATCGTTCGCGCCCTGATTAAGCGCCTTGATGACAGAGTGCTCGACAACTTTCTCGGGAAGCTCCAGGTCGAGCGAGTACTCAATGAGGTCGAATACAGGCTTGCACCCGGACGTATCGCGGCGAACGTCGATGTACGATTCGAGATCCGGGACCACATTCTGACCGCGGTCCTCGGCCTGCCGCTGCACAGCCTCAAAGAACATTTGCATGGAAGACTTGAACCGCGCTTGAACATCCGGGCGCGCGTCACGGACACAGCGGGACCAGTAGCTATGACATACGGAACCGGTTAGCCCGAGATGGTGAGAAAATTCCGGAGCAAAGAGCGAACTTACTCTCGGGCAAGCCTGGCCGCACTGATTTCCTCGACACCTTCCGACTGGCCTTTCAATGGGTGGAACTCGTCGGGCCATTCGAAAGCGTTCATGACCCAATCGCTAAGCCCCTTGGTGTCCTTGGCCATCATCCCGTCCGAGATGTTGTCGAGATGGAATAGATAATTCATGAAGTCACTGACGACGCGAAGTCGCTCGGGTGAACAGTTGTTGTAACAATACGCCGTAAGCTCTCCGGCCTGGAGGCCATGCATCGCGGCGACCTTTCGTGGTGTGAAATGAGGCACGAAGGAAAGCAGCCATTGAAGTGAATCGGAAGCGATAGCATCCCCGTTGGGATGGTACGTGAGTGAAAATGGACAATGAGAGACTAGATCGGGCAGGATAAAAAACGTTGGGGGAGAAAGCGTGGGCGCGGGCGACAGGGAACGTGTCGTAGACGGGGAGGTGGAGAGGGTCGGAGATGTGTTGACTGACATCGGTGGCACTTGAATTTGTAAGGGCGAAAGGCGAGAGCGTCAAAGACAGCGTCAAAAGGCAACAGAAAGCTGTCACGAGAGGCAATCCCAAAATGTGCAGAGAAGCGGAGGAGAAGCGGGGGGGTGAGGAGGAACGAACAACACCACGAACATACCTTTTATATGTGGTCGGATGAACTTCCGCCCCGTATATCCAAGTTGACGGGTCGTGTATGGATCCCGGTTCACCGTCATGCCACAACACGAAATAGTTGTCTACGTGAGGACGTAGGTCCCGTTCGGTCCATGATATCCGAGTGGATCCGTCTGGAAGATTTAGCGTTATTCGAGGGATCTCGCTTGGTCGTTCCTGTCATAGGACAAAGTACTGATCCATTGCGCAGAAACATGATAATGATGGAGGAAAGCCAGACTCGGATTTGGAAACAAAAGACCGAATCAACGGAACCTGCATCTGTCGGTAGATCGGAAGATGAAGTGAATCTGGGGCGACGGCCCCTGCCCATCACGGCAGCGGTTTGAGCGTGGACGGGATCAGGCTATGGCTGTCAATGGTTCCGCCCTGTCATTGACCGCCGTGCACCTACGATGCATTCAGCTCGACGTTTGCATTATCCGCACAGTTCGCATTTTGCACTCGCGTAATAACTGCCAGCCCAAGGAGTCTCTCAAGGCGCTCACAATTAGATGAGGTAAGGGGAGGTCAGAGTAAAGTAGTGCGGAGGACCTTATTGTCAAAGTCGCAGGCTAGCGCCACGAGCGTCCTCGGCGAGTGACAAGAGCAGGCGGCCGAGACGGAGAGCTTTCATATTCCACGGGAAAGAAGCGCTTCTCTCACAGAACGGAAGATGTGATGACGACGAGGAGAACAATAGCGTATCGATGCGCGAGAATCCAAGCGAAGGCACCAGTGTTGAAATCGGGATTGCATTTCATTAATTTTTCGGACTATGGGTAAAAGAGCCAAGTAGCTTAGAGATAAGATTTATAGTGGAGTTGGCTCGAGGACAGAAGGGGGATGTTGATCCGCAGGAGAGTGGGAAAGGACGATGGCGTTGTCGGATGGCGCAGCGGGCAACGAACAATTTCTGCCTCGTTAGGCAAGCGGCGCCACCGCCACCTCAGTCGTGCCTGGAAGGCTGAAACACCTCTACCGCCTCGTACTGTAAGTTCAAAAGTGCCTACCCCCAGATCCCTGTTCTGCCTTGTCATTCGGAGGCCCATTTTGCGGCTTGATCGGTCTCACAACATGTTGCGACAGAAGCGCCCTGATAGCCAACACCCGAACCTAGATTTTCCAGATTCACCCTTCTCCCTGGCATTCTCCGCGTCGACAGCTCAAAGTAGGTCCTACGTTCAGACGCTGTCTGAAGCTTGACAGACACATAAAGCATCAGATGCTTACTCTTCCCTTCCCACTGTCCCGTGAATCAATCAGCACGCAGATTGCCTTTCGAAAACATCGAATCTGAGCTACAAACACCGGGTTCAGTCTAAAGATTCATGATCCATCCACGTCCACTTCGGTACGTCAAGACGTCCTTTACAGCACAGAGATCCTGGCAAATAATCGGCGGACGGCGTTCAATGCACAAGCATGTCATCATGTGAGTTGAGCGGTCGGGGTCGTTTTTTAACTTTATTTGCATATCCTTTGACGGTTGCTCCATACCGCCTGCCGACTGATTGTGCTTCTTCGCCGACGTTCAAGTGCGATCTCCATATGCGACTCTAAAATTCCCAAGCTACAGCATGAGCAGGGGCAGGTATGACTATATCAAGACCTGGGGGAAGCCATGTCACAACGCCCTCAAGACAAAACTTTGCGACCTTCGCTCTCTCCGAGAAATGGAATCACGACAGAGGCTGGCCTAGGTTATCAGACCCATCATACAGATGATTATTTCAATTGCGTCTCTGTTCCGTCTCTCAGGAGGCCAGTCTTCGTGTCTATCTTTCTTCATGCGGATGCTGAATTTCATCTAAGCGGCCAGCCCTCCCCAAAACCTTCTTTGAATCCTATGATCAGGCATTGAATCATAAAGGAAGTACCAGGTAAGCATCGGTCAGATCCTGTGGCCTACGACTCTTTCAAATTCCCTGCGTGTTTTGGTCGACCATAAGTCAAGTGTCGAGCATCGTCGTCTGCCCCATTTGCACCGTTCCCACACCTAGGGTCCAGCTGTCCAGTGCGATGTGCACATGGGCTGTTCGATGAAAGGTACGGTTCACTATTCATCTCCCTCTTTTCCTCCGTCTGCGCAGTTTACCTTGGACTGTAGAGACCGCTTCCGGGATTGACATCAGGTTTCCAGCATTCCTCGATTGACCTCCGCATGCCGTATCGCAAATCCTTGTCAGTTTCTATTTTTGACGACGTCCCGACCTCGTTTGCCGCTGTACAAACAGGCTATTTCGGCGGTGTATTCAGCCGCGTTCCGGCGCATTATCCAGACAGTCCGCCACTTCCCCTAGCGTCCTGATAAGCAACTCCTTTCGACCACCCATTGAACGCCACAAGCGCTTCGGAGATGGTCCGCGCCGTCGTGAAAGGCAGCTCCAGCCCAAGCGGACGGTATTCGTGCATTACGGCTCTGGGTCCACGCATATCGAGCTCGCCGGACGGGCGCGCGACAAATCGCCAGAACATCACGTCCCGCAAGCTCCAGCAAACTAGGTCCGAAATGTTTGGCACTGTCCCACCCAATCTGCGCTCCGTGCCCCCGAGCTATGCTCGTTTCACACATCCTCGCACCATCGCCTTCATGTATGAACGCATGACAGCTAGGTTCCGCTTTCCACATGGACTTACAGTATCTGATCGTTTTCCATAGTCTGTCGAATGAAACCTTTTTGTTACCCGGTGCTCCCGCATCGGCCGACTAAGACAAAAGAGCATCTTGATAGCACCGCTCGCGATTTTCCATCTCCGTGTACGCGAGGAGTCGCATCTGCATCAGTCTTAGTTTGCGATGCCGACGGCCGTCTCCGATCCCCACATTAAATGAAAATGCACTCCACTGCACAGAACAGGCCATACTCTGCCATACTGCGAGCCGTGTCTTCATGTGGGGAGCCAACGGTCACGGGCGGCATTCTTAATGAAATGAATAGATAGTGTTATGTCCCTGAAGTACATCCACATAGGTGTGAGTTTCCGCGCGAATGCTCGCCCGTTCATTAAGTAAATAAGAGCGCTAAGTAGCATGCGAGAATAATCGAGTCGAGCTACAGAAGGCCGATACCTATGATGCTACTTAAAACCACAAGACGCCTAACTGGGGGAAGGGGGAGATGTTAAGCAGATAAAAGTACAACAAACGCGTTGCAAACGAATGTCGGCAAATATATCAGAGCAGACAGATCAAGGAAGGGAAGGAGAGGAAAGTAGGGGGTGGAAAGGAGGTGTCGACAGGTGGCGGTGTGAAAGGGTACTGAGCACAATAAAAGAAAACGGAAAGCAAACGAGGCCCACATCACTGTTCCGGAAGCTGCTCCGACGGAGTTGGCGGCTTCTTCCTGCGCAGCGGCCGCCGTATTGACTTGAGCAGCGTGCTCGGTCGCCGTTTGCGCTCCTGGATCGGCGCCAGCGGATGGCGACCGGAGAGATTGCTCTGCATGCGCCGCATCGCCACGCCGTTCTCTTCCGTCGCAAAGTCGAACCCACGCGATTGCGACCGCAGGCCCGTGGCCATGTCGATCTGGCTCGCTTGCGCAAAGGCGGGCGGGCGCTCGCCGTAAGGATTCGTGGACGGCTGTGAGGGCTGGAGGTCCTGGCGACTGCGCATGTGCGCCTCGTTGACGATGTCCAGTCGCGGGTTGAGCTTGTGGTTCCACCGCATGATCTCGATATCGTTAGGGCTGAAACCGAAGCTCCAGGCCTTGTAGATATACGTCGGAGCGAGAGAGATGAGGACGGTGATGGGGAGCCCGAACCAGAACAAGGGTGAGAGGAAGAGGAAGTGATCGTTGCCAAAGACGTCTGTCGCAAACCAACCAGGGGAGATGACAGAATAGATAGCCTGAACAAGAACCACCACGCATCAGACACTGCGAACCAAACAGAAAGGATCACGAGCACGCACTGTGTATGCCCATACGAGAACGATACCGACGAGCACAGCAAAAAAGACCCAGCCCGTCCACACGTTGGTGTTCATACCATTGAAAAGGTTGGCTGCCATGACAGCTGAGATAGCCATGGTCTGGAACGGAAAAGAAGATAAGCATCGCTCCCCGAAGAAAAGAAGGCCAGGGCCAAGCGACTTCTTACCGTGGCGAACTCGTACTGAGCAACATCATATCCATCGTTTCGGGCGGTTGGCGAGAAGTATCCATAGAGCAAAACGAAGAAGATGATCGCGGACTGTAGTGCGAGGGGCGTATCAGCACCGAGGTCAATCGTCTCCCAACGCTGCAACCCGAGCCACCCACCTGAACAATGCCGTCGGCCATGAACCTAGCGAACAAATTCATGTCAAACCATTTCCCCTCGCGTCCATACCGGTAGAGCTCCGGCAACGCCATCAAAACATGATCGTCTAACACACGCGCGACAAAAGAGGGAGCACATCAGCCTCCACAGACATCGGCGCAGCAAGAATGGACATCAAGTTCTCACCAACTATGCGATCAAAGAGGCCGATGGCAATCACGGGGCAAAGGGTCCAGAAAGAATTCCAGAACAGCAAGTATGTATAATCGAAGACGCTGGTTTGAATGGGTTAGACGTGTCAAGGCGCCAAGATGCAAACCTTGTTCGACTTACTAGGCAGACGACCAACCGCAATATATCTGGAACCACCACAGCACGCCAATGCAAATGATGTTCTTGTAGAAGAAGTTGACGATCCTACACACGAGGCTCCCATCAGTGCTGAAAATGCACGAACTAAATTAAGACACCCACATGTTTCCGTTGCGAGCGTACGACCAATGCCCGTGCACGAGGATCAACCGCTTCAAGAACCTGAACTGCGCGATGGCGTAGTCAGACGAGTTCACAGCCTGCAAGCCTTCCTCCCCGGAAATGCCGACCCCGACGTCCGCGGCCTAACAGAGCCCCAATGCCTTCGATCAGCATGGCGTCCAAGCAACACAAGCAAGCACCGCGTGAAACACCCACCTGAATCATGCTCACGTCGTTCGCACCATCGCCGATAGCCAGCGTCATCGCGCCCAGGCCGTCTTTGACAAGGTGGACAACTAGAGCCTTTTGTTTCGGCGACACGCGACAGCACACGACGGCCTCGCACTGCATCGCAAGATTGAGCAGCAAATGCTTATGCTTGTCGTCGCCCAGCGCCTGCAGATTCGCAAATGCATTGTCAGTATCGGTAAGTGGAGGCGAATGGAAAGAGCACGCACGTCGGTAAGGGCCAGCCCGTCGATGACGAGGACGAACCCGCCCGGCTTGTGTCCATTGTCCGATCCCACGATCGACGACACGCCCGTGTTGACGCGCTGCAGCGGATATATCTGTTGCGAATTGCGGCGGGACGACGTCCCCCCCTCGAGTTCGTCCGTGATGACCAGCGGATCGTCCAAAAGACCGCTCCTCGGGAAGTACTCCTCGACCGCGTGCAGCATCTGCGCATATATCGACCGCCCCTGGTCCCCGCGCCCGCGAACGATGATGATATTCGACTCGCGGCCAATCAGGTTCGTGCTGTGTCCGATAGCTACACGGACAAAGAAACCGCATGAGCACAGGAACAGCACATGAAACGAGACGGGCCTACGCACCGATGGCAGTCTCCAGCTTGTCCCCCGTCGCGACCCAGATCTTGATCCCCGCCTTCTTCAAGTCCGCGATCGCCTCGGGCACACCGTCCTGCAACCTGTCCTCGATCGCCGTCGCCCCGAGCAGCACCAGCCCGCCCTCGATCTCCTCCGACACCCGCTCCACGAGCTCCTCGCGATCGTCGATCGCTGCCGTCGCCTCCGCGTAGCGCGCACTCCACGCCGCATACTCGCCCGCATCGACGGTCCGGCACGCGAGCGTCAGCGTCCGCAGACCCTCGCGCGCAAACTCGTCCAGCTGCGCCTCCGTCTCTGCCTTGAGCCTCTCCGCGCCGGGCGCTAGCCGCTCGAAGATCACGTTGTCCGCGCCCTTGGACAGCAGCATGAGCTCGCCGACTTCTTCCTCCCGGCTCTCGTCGCCCCCAGCCAGCCGCCGCACGATGACGCTCATACGCTTCCGCGCGCTCGTGAACTCCAAAATATTCAAGAGTCTGAACCGGGCGACCTCGGGCTCGAACGGCGTCTTCAAGAATAACACGTCCTTGTCCCGTCCTCTGAACTCGAACCCGACGTCCGCAGCGGCCTGTACGAGTGCGGCCTCGTCCGGGCTCTGCGCCTTGTAGTCCAGCGCGCCCGTGTGCGGATCGACGGCGGCGAGCACGGTGTGACAAAGTGCGAGCACCGTGAAGAATCCATTGAGCCGATGGCGCTCACCCGGCTTGTCTGCGGTGGCGGCGGTGGCGATGTCCGTCGCCAGAGCCGTATCGTGGAAGTGCTCGCCGCCCAAAGGCTTTTCGGTGCGCGCAGAGTCCCCAGTGGGCGGGGCCTTGTCTACGGACGTGTGCGACGGAGACTGATGCACGGAGGGAGGGAGGAGGTCCTGGACCGACTTGCTTGACTTCTGGTCGAGGAGGACGACTTCGTCTTCTGCGTCATCGTCCCCTCGGTAGACCTTGCCCCCGATCGAGCACCGACGGAAGACCATGAGGTTCTGCGATACACAAGAGCATGAGTGACATTCATACACGGCCAAAGAAAATGACAGCATGAAGCCACGGCCTTCTCGGGCATGTTTCCAAATATCCCACTTGTCACGGAATGTCCACGAGCTCCCGACACCGCATGAAAAAGGGGGGAGATGTCAAAGAGAGCTAAACGCACCTGAGTCAAGGTACCAGTCTTGTCCGAGAAAATATACTCGACCTGTCCCAGATCATCCGACAAGTTCCAGCTACGCGCAAGCGTCGGCTGGTCCGTCTTTTCGTACCAGATCTCCTTATCGAAGTATATGAACGCCGCTTGACACGTCCGCACGACCTCGATCGAGATGTACAGCGAGATCGGTACAATATTCTGGAACCTGTCGTACCGAACAGACAAAAAAGAAGAGGAGAAGAGAAATGAACGTGAGAATGCGCAAGACAAGAAGAAAGGGCCGCCAACGTACGTGATGAGCGCGAACGCCCAAGTCACCAGCCCGTTAATAGTCGGGTTATCGTCCGACCGGTTGTCGTCGAACAACCACGGCGCACCGCGCGGATACAGCCGATGTTCGAGCACCGAATCCACGATGGCGCACACGACGGCCATGACAGCCAATATGAGCAAGTTCGCAAACACCATCGGGTTCATCTGCCGCTCGACCTTGCTGCGCTTGCTCGGCGTGCCCCCCGAATTGAGCATCAGCTTTGTGTCCCGACCCGTGTACATCACCACGCCGATCACCCACGCCGTGTTCCGGAGCACGGTCCCGCGCAGCATCGTCATCTGCAAGTCCACCGGCACGCGCGCCTCCCCACCGTGCGTCACGACCGCCGCGTTGAGCTTGTGCATATGCGGCTCCGGGCGATCGCAGTCGACCTGGAACGCGCCCTGCGAGGTGTCCACGCACGCGGCGGCGTCGCGCATGTACGTGAGCGCGGGTGTCGCGTGGCGGGACTTGAGGTTCGTCTCGCCGTCGAGGTTCTTCGTCTCCACGAACGCGACGTCCTCGTCCTCGCTCGTCGCGCAGATGAGCACGTCCGCGGGCAGCGCCTCGTGGTCCACGATCTTCACGATGTCGCCGACGCGCACGTCCTCCCACAGCGTGCGCTTCCAGTGCGCGCGCCCCGGGTCCGACCCCGCGGGCTTCCCGTCGTCGTACTCCACGTCGGGGTGCACGGGGCCAGACACCTCGTTCGCAGGCGAGAGCGCCTCGGGGGGCGCGCCGTGCTGCAGCATCTCGATATCGGACGTGCCCTCGTGCACCTCTCCCGCCGCGTTCGCGCCCGCCCGCTTGCGCCGGCGCGTGAGCGCGCGCACAAACGTTTTGCTTTTCTTCGCCATGCCATTCGGGTTCTCCCATCCGCCGCCGGTCAACACGCGGACCGCAGAGTGGTTGACGCGACGGTCGGACTGGTGGCGCTTGATGTCCTCATAGCCGTCCTTGAGCGCGGTGATGCCCCAGACGACTAGAAGCGGGAGGATGACGAGGCCGGGAGAGATGGTAGAGAACTTGTTGAAGAACTGGAGGATGGCGATGGCCAAGAAAAATCTGCGGTAGGTGAGTTAGTCGAAAACGATATAAAAGCACTCAGGAGTAGAGAAGACGGCGGAGAAAGTGCGGGCGCAGGATCGTGTGCGCAGTGTGGGCCATGTATGGATAGCGGTGATATGATGTGCGATACAGAGGAGCTGTGCACTGTCAAATTTGGAGATTGGATCGCAGTATTTGGGATATGTGGGATGAGGACAGGTGTCCGAGAGAGGCGGACGCGGAGCGTGTCACGGATGACCATGTACGCTCCACCCCTCGTCTGACCAAGCCCGAATAAAACAAATAGCACCGTCCCGCGCGCGCACACAGGTGCTCCGAGGACCGACGAGGCCAGGACGCAGAGCAAGGGAGAAGATAAAACGTGAACGCACATGTTTGCGACGCGGCGGAACTGTTCGAGGAGGTTTCTCGGGAGGAAGGTGAGGATTGTGTACTTGGAGGTGATGACTTGGTTAGTAGCATAGAGGTGATCTTTCTTGATCCTGTGTTTGTGGTCATAATAATCGTGTGGGAGGGGCTCGTTGACGAAGACGGTGCGCGGGGGTCCCGGAGGACGAACGCGGGAGAAGATGTCCTCGACGCTCCAGTTTGTGAGGCGGTCGTACCATGCCCCGAGTCCCTTCTGTTTCGAGGACATGGAGGAGGGGGTGGAAGAGATGATGAGAGAGAGGAGAGTGCGAGCGCCGTCCGTGGACGAGCAGCTGGTTCACAAGCTCTGGGCTGAATCATGATCATTCCCTCCTCGCTCGCGTCAGCCCCCTTGACTCAGCACCCGCCCACCCATCCCCTCGGCGCACCCCGTCCTCGCCCTCCCCCGCTCCCCCGCGCCTCTCAGCATTCGCCATCGTGTACGGCATCTCGCTGCGCCAACGCCCACGGGCCGTCGTCGCTTTTTTTCGCTCACGGAGGCCTGCGGACGCCCACGGGAGGCTGCGTGTGCTGAGCGCCGGCGCAGTGCGTCATCAACTGGATCACGGCCCCTCTCCCGAGCGACGCCCTCCGCGGCACACGCGCCGCTCTCTCCCACCACCAACGCCCTCATCTGCAACAACGACAACATCGCACAGCCCACGTCCGCCCATCCACACCCACGTCTGTATTATGTTCCCGCCTCGCTGAATTTACGGCGTCGTAAACAAGCAAAAACCACGCATCGCACGAGGTCGCATGCCGCGTGACTCGGCGCTCCCGATATCTGCCTCAGATGCCGTCTCCCGATGACGAGCGCCTCGTTTGTCCGACCGACATCTGATCCAGCGGCGTTGGCTGTCTCTGCACGCCGCAACACTGCCGCAACCTCCTGGACTCTCCGAAACTCCTGCGTAGCTTCAAGCGCTCGAAGGAAAGGCATGCGGATAGTCGTGACTCCTCGCCGTCAGCCATCGCCGATGGCACTAGTAAAGGCATGGCGCATTGACCACTTGAGGATCGACCAGTCATCGACCACGCATCGACAATTAAATTCATTGTATATGTCCTTGCATCACAAACGCAAACCTGCAAAATCGACCATTCACGGCACACAAACAACGCACAAGCTGAACAACCGCACATATCGGTAGCGAAAGGCTCGATCACTGCTTGTTCCACATCGCACGGGAGACGGGGACGACAGTAAAAATCAACAAAACAACTTGGCACGATGGTATTCTGGTTCTGAAATCTGATTCCTGGTAGGTCCGACAAAAAGAAACAACATCAATTAGAGAAAAAACTTATCAGCGAAAAAAAACGTCGTGCTGAGCATCTCTCGAGAAAAACGAGCAATGGAAAAGAAAAAGCAAATGAGCGACGGGGGGCGCAGCTGAGTGCGCGGGTATGACAATCTTTTAGGGATAAAGGAAAGCACACTGTGGGCTCTTCAGGCCGCCTGCTGTGGCCGCGCGTTCTCCTTGAGCGCCAAAAGCTGTTTTGAGCGGAACGCCTCGTAGTGGATCTGCGCCGTCGTCTCGATCAGGTCCTGCAAGTGCGTCCTAATTGCACACGCGCGCACGGCACATGTCGTCAGCACTCAACGGTCGCCCAGAGCGAAGTTCGTCAGACGCACCTCGTGAGGAAGTTCCTCAGCGACACGAACTCGCAGTGGGTCTCGTCCTCGACGTTGACGACGCCCCAGCGGTTCTTGCGCCCACGCACGGACTTCCCGCCAATGATCACGTTGCGCTCAGAGCCGACGACCGCGAACGGGATCATGTTCTATGAGTACTGTCGTCAGCACCGCGCATGCTGCGCCCGTGCCAAGAGAATCATCAAACAGGACGCACCCGGATGCTCTCGTTGAGCTGCACCTCCTCCTCGTCGTTCTCTTCCGTGTCGAACGGATACATACGGATGCTATGGTGGAACAGCTCCGCGCGGATCTAGACCGGCCCACACAGGTGCCAAAAAAGTCAACCAATCCCGCAATCAGTACTTCCGGTCTCACAAAATCGACGACCCTACACTTGGCAGAGTAACCGAATGGAGAACGCACCTTCTGCTTGAAAGCCTCGCGCTCCTCGAGCGTCAGGCTGTCCGCCTTCGCGATGACGGGGACGACGTTGACGACCTCGCTGAGCTTCTTCATAACGATCACGTCGATCGCGCGGAGCGCATGTCCCGTCGGGTTGATGAAGTACAAGCAGCAGTGGATGCGCGTGTCCTGGATGTACCGGTCGCGCATCGCGGTGAGCTCCTTGCGCAGGTACGCGCTGTGCTGGTCCTTGATATACTTGATGATCGGGTCCCAGCTATATGTGCCGGCGATAGAGTGAGCGGACGAGACAAGGCATGATGGGAAGAGCGGGAGCCAGAGCGGAATGGGGGGAGCGGCGGACGTACCAGTTCTCGTTGTTCACCTGGTCGCCGTACCCAGGCGTGTCGACGATGTTCAACCTCAGTCGCACGCCGTTCTCCGTGATGACTGCAGCCCGAACGCCCCGCAGACGACCGCGACCGCAGGAAAAGCAAGTTCAACCTCCGGCTAACATGAGAGCTATACAGTGAATAGACGCACCATGCGAGACCGTCTGAATCTCCGTCGTCTGCCTGACAGGCTCGTCCGCCTCAAGCCGTCCCTTCGAATCGATCAAGTGCGACGCGAAGATGGTGTTGATGAGCGTCGACTTGCCCAGTCCCGTTTGGCCTGACGACACCAACAACGACGCACGTCAGCCCCAAAGCTTGAAACGCACAGACCACTACGATCACTGTCTATGCCTCTTCCCGCCTCCACATTGCCCAGTCAAAAGGGAAGACCAGAAGAGCACATACCGACGACCATGACATTAAATTGGAATCCGCGCTTGAGCAGCTTATGCTCGATCTGCTGCGTGATGGAGTCGAAACCGACATACGACGCCGCACGGATTTCCTGTACTTCAACGGCGGCCATTGCTATGAGTTGAACGAGGGGGATGAGAAGTAGAAGGGGAGGAAGACGTGGCGAGGGAAGGGGGAGCTTGAGAGGACGACTGGGATTGTCGTAGACGGCGAAGCGGGCGAACCAAACCGGGACAAATTTGGGTTGTAGTGGCGCAGGTCGGACTGCTTCAGGCGCTTGCAATTGAGTTGTGTCGCGGAACCCATTCGAACATGCAGTATGTAGTTTGTGCTAGTCTGTGAATTGCTGGTAGCCATAAATACAGTGGGTGAGTACACATAGATAGCATGCAGAATCCCTGAAACCGTGAAAAAGATTGAAAGCGATGATGAATATATACGACCATGAGATAAAGATAGATGAAAAATTCCACGAAAGCAGAGGATCAAATCGAACAACACTTTCAACTCGGCGAAGTACATCCTTCAGCAGATCTACAACGATCTTCGGGCACGTTTGATGGGGTCAGGCAGGTAGTCGTCGTCGTCGGAATGTCTCTTAGTCCCCTGGGAAGGCTGGATCGGCGAAGGAGTCGTCGGCTCGAGCATTATCGACTCTCCGAGCTGCGAGGCGTCCAAAAACTGGTCTACCTCATCGTCGGAGCCTGGTACGGATTCGGTGTGCGTATCTGACTCCACCTTGGCAGCTTTCTTGGACGCTTTGGACTTCCGCGGACTCCCTCGACGTTTGGCTTTTGTAGGGCTCTGTCCCATCGGGCTGACGCGACATACTTCGACGGCGACGTTGGCGCCAAGAAGCACGTCGATCCAGAGCTGGTTGCGCGCAAAAATGTCAAAAGCCTGCAGGCAGACGAGGGTTGAAACGAGAAGAATTACCTTCTGGTTCTCCTGCAACGAGTCTCCAGGGCCCTTGACTTCGACGAACTTGCACTCCCTCCGCTCATGGTTCCATAGAAACAGATCCGGAACCCCTGAGCAACGCTTAGCGTACTCCTCGCAGAAGAGCCGGCAAATGATTGAGAGAGCTTTGCCGTCGAAGCACTGCATCGCAAGAAATCAGCATGAAACCCCTCAAGACGGCCGCAAGAAAGACTGACGTCTACAATCTCCAGCAGATTCTGCTTTTCGAATAGGTCCCACCGGACTCCCACGCACCAGGTCCCCTTCTCCCTGTGTTCGTCATCAACAGCCTCCAAGATCTCGCGAGCCCTGCCTAGTTGGATCTCGGAGATTCGCGCGCGAATGAGCTCTTCACGAGAAAAGAAGAATGTGTCTTCTGCAATATCCAACGGGGCAGTCTGGTAAGGGGTCTCGAATGCGCCCGGAACCGGGGCAAACAAGACGTCCCAGAACAAGAGGCCGAAGAGGGTGGTAAGGATGCGACCCTCGGTATGAAACCTGATGTTTTATTGAATCAGCAAATTGCATGCATTGAAATGGGGAACCGAACCCTTTATAGCCGCGACCCTCGTAGTATTGCAAGGCGAGGATTTCAACGCTCACTTGCTCTCCGTCCCTTCCAACCCAAATCGATTTCCCCTTCTTCTCCGATGGCTGAACCTCACAGAATTTATCAGGCTCCCTCAACAGGAAGGAAGGAGGGTCTGTCCTTACCTCCGTTCTTATATCTCCTTTCTTTTCTAAGGATGATAATCCACCTTTCTTAAAAGTAGTGAACAGAGGTTTCTTCACAGGGAAGGGTAATTGGCTTTGCGAAAGCGGCGTCTTTGAGGAATTGGCAACAACCTGCCCAATAGAATCCAGGCGCATTCCCTCCAGCCGACTGTGCACCCGCACGCCCTCTATGGATATCGATGATGTTTTCTTCAAATCATTCTCGGAAGTATGGCGTTGGTCTATCGGGATCTTCAGAATTTTCTCTAGACGAAGAACACGTCGCTCTAGCATGGGTCGGTAGACTGATAGACATCAGCTATGAACGATTGAATAAGGGAAACATTTTAAGTTCTCACCGAGATGCACGTCCGGGTCATCGATCGCGTCTAGCACAGAATTGAGAGCAATCTCGGCGATTTTCATGTCATCCCTTGGAAACTTGTCCATGAGAATCAATGCGCGCTGATCATACCATCGGCCCCGTCGTCCCCGGCGCCATCTTGGTTGATCGATGAGCGCCTGCAATACGTCTAACTCGTGCTTAAATTCTTGTAAAATGTGGAGCGCCTCAGCGCCCTTGACCACAATGCGCGTTAAGACATGACCTAAAGTGCATCAGCTAGCGCGCAAATAAGAGGGTTAAAAGATCTACCGTGATGAAAGCGCTCCAACCCCATAGACCTTGGCTCCTTATGCCCTTCTGCAGCCACTAAAGCCGTCCACTCAGAATATATACCGCCATCAAAGACTAGTTTGGCCACTGCTCTCGCCGCTAGCCTCCGAGCGGTTTCATTCCCTTCAACCCTGTCCTCGTCCCTTGGCTCTATTTTGGGGAGGTCTGGAACAGGCGTACTGCTAAGCACGGACCTAGAGCGCGTGCCTGAAGGAGTGAATCCCTCGAGCAATGCATCCACCTCAGCCTCCAGTTCCAAAACTCGTTCATATGCACATAGTGCAGCGCGGTCAGGCCAAATGTCCCACGTGCGCTCATAGATGTATGGGAAGTAATGCCGCTTGCGTGCAAAGGCAACGATAGCTGCAGTAAGGATGCTTGACGTATATTGTGTGCTGTTTGAAAAGATATGAATGACAGAGTTGGAGAGACCAAGATTCGTTATACGTGCCATCGAAAGTATACCAAGTTGATGCGTCGAAAAAGAGCAAAAATATCAGCGTTGACGCGCACACAAGCACCTTCAAGGCATATTAGCAGGAGGGCGGCTATAACGGGTAAATCATTTACCTAACTGATTTAAGACCATCTCACGCAGCCTTTGATCCTGGCGCTCCAACACTGAAGGCTGTCGGGAGCCACTGGGATCTGACTTCTTGGTAAAGAAGTTGTCGATAGTCGGCTGTGTGGAGGAACTCTTGAGCAAACAATCGATGAGGATATCCTTCTGTAATGCACAGAGAAGATATTCAGCGTAAGCGGTGGTGTAAACCCAGGTGCTAGATGATGACCTTCTTTCGAATTTTCAGCTTGCGGTCCTTCGCCATCTTGTCGAGCTCATCCACGGTAAGACATTGCAAAAGTTCAACCAACGTTGCTTGATCCTGATCTTCTACAAAGAGATTGAATTTTACTTCTGGTGCCCTGTTGGGATCCATGTTGTCTGAAGCATTCAAAGAGTTGGTGGAGTCTAGCTCCTCCTGCTTGACCCGAAATTCATCGGATACCCGCGCTGCGCAAAGACTCTTCACGACAGAAATTATGTTATCTCCAAGTTCAGATCGGTAATTATCAAAACTGCTTAAACGCATCCATTGATCCGACTTTCGCAGACACAATCGGATAAAGAGATATTGAACGTCGTCTGCGACGTCCAAGATAGTGATGGTAAGACAAATAGTGGAAAGATTTGAAGGAATACACACAGTCCATAGACGCGTAAGCTTGAAAACAGCTTATTTCTTCACTGGTAAACAGGTGATGTTCATACAATATAACCTCGTGGAGCATTTCTGCAGACGTATTCATCTTCGTGATGAATTGAATTAGAGTCATTGGACGCACCCTCGAATAATCTAACATACATCGAGTGCGGCCTATCTTTTTCGCCTTCCATTGCGCCGCCATTCTCGTCGGCGCTACCAGTTGGGCTTGCTTCAGTAAGATCCCCCTGAGTTTCAAAAATGAGGCTTCCTGCAAGGCTCGTGGACGGTGAGCCTAGAGACATAGAGCCAGGTGGACGTCGTGTCACTACTGTGTTGATAATATGATAACTCAGATAGTATGGGTTCCAAGAAGATGATGGTATGAGTTGAAGATTCGACGAGTTAACGCGACGCGATCACGCAAGGATCACGCATGTGTCAGGATCAATATCATACGAGAAGCATGTCCACAGAGGTCCACAGGCAACATAGCCCTACCCAAACACAAAGGCTGATAATTTGGATTCCCATTCATTCAACATTCCATACATAATTATTTGTCTCTACGCCCGTCAAATTGACGTCCCGTTCACTAGAATCTTGCTTGCGTTCGTCGGCAGAAACCACGTCTACTTGCGGCGTTGCGCCTGCTCCAGCGGTCGCTATTCAAATGGCCTGCTCGAGAGTGGAGAATATCATTGACACGTCTTATGTCGGTCCAATAGTCGAAGCAGTCGAACTGGGCAACGATGTCAGCGCATGCAGCTAACGCCGCCCATGACACTTGAATGGATTGACTCACTATCGCTGCCCCACCCGAGCAGTAACAGTATTGTAGACCTTGTTTGCTGTAGAGGTCTCAAAACTACAGTGTGAACACAGTGTGGTGTTAGACAGGTAGGGACATGTAGGACTCCAGTGGGGTGCCTCTCGATTGGTCAAACACAAATTTCAGGAGGTTCTACCCCTTTGGTTCCGCTTGTGAAGAAGACTATTCAGCCTTAATCGTACACCACTTTAGACCTTCAGGCGAAGAGAACTTGCATAACTTACTGACATAGATAGCAGATGTACAGCGGTCACAAAATAAAAAAGGGAGTCCTGTTGAATCAATATCCTCTCCTCAATCGCTCGTTCTCGTCTCGCAACCGCTTGTTCTCATCTCTCAACTCCTTCAGATCTCCGACATACTCATCCATAGTGGCTCGCATCTCCTGCCGCCAAGAGCGGCCCATTCGCAGCAGATCGAGATGCAACCCGACCATATCCGTCTTCGTCTCCTGCCTGAAATCGAGCATCGCGTCTTTGATCAACGCATGCAATATTCCCTGCGCGCTTCCAGCAGCGCCCGGCGACCCTCCCGCCACGCTGTGTCGTAGGGGTGATGGCAGGACCGACGTAGCGCCTGGGCGCCGTGGCGTGAGCTGCATCGACATTGTCCGCCTCAGCGGCTCCTTTGCTTGCAACTCGGCGTTCGTATCACCCCATTCCACGTCCTCCACCTTTCCCATGCTCACCAGGTCTCCCTCGTCGCTCCCCACGAAATCGACACGCTTTTCCTCCTCTCGTTGTTTGTCACGTTGTTTCCCTCCTTTGATCCACTTCTCAACCTCCGGCGTGCCGAGGCCTAGCATTGACAAGCCTTTCTTCTTGTATTGTCCGGCACGGACAGGGAATGGCTCCTTCGATGACGACGCCGCTGGCAGAGTAGGGGAGGGCGTGCGCACGACCGAGCCCCTTGCGCTCGCGCTCAAGCCAGAATCTTTCCATGCTTGAGCCATCGCCTTTGCGGGAATTTGGGGAACAGGAGGGATGGGCGAACCGCCGCGCGTCACAGATACCCGCGAGACGCCGGACGCGGTGCGCGAGTGTTTCCCAGAATTAGAGCCAGAGCCCGTGCGCACGATCCCGCCCGGACCAGGCCGCGAGGCCAAGGACGTAGTCCGACTTCTTCTGCCCGCCTGTACGGGCGACGCATTCGCCGAGCCTGCACCCGACGTTGGTGATGTACGCGATGTGACGGATGCTGTTCTCGTACGAGGCGGTTCTAGTCCCGAAGTAGAGTCGGCGCGGGTCCTGGCGGGACTCTTGCTCATCAGGCTCGATGGACTCTTTGGGGCGGAGACGGTCCGCGCGCGGAGGCCGCCACTGGTAGGTGATGCTTCAGTACTGGTCCTAGGGCGTGCAGTCATAGACGTAGTGCGTTTGCGCGGCGGTGGCTTGTCCACATTACCCGCAGGCGCTGATGCAGTAACGGTGGCTTTGTGAGCGGCGGAGGATTTGGAACGTGTAGAGACTCGTGAAGAAGGGTTTGATGCATCAGGTATGGTATCGGGCTGCTTATCCGATTTCTTGACTACATTTTCTTTGCGATTCTGGCTAGCCGTGCGCTCATCACGCGATGCGATGACTAGTGGCTCGCTATTTACTAAACAGATACCAAGCTAGAATTCAATAGGATGAATATCGGCAAAGAGAAAGCAACGAACCGGATGCGATGTTCTCCGCACTTGAATTGCCTTGAAACAGTTCTTTCACAGGCGAAAACGCTTTTTTGGCCATGGCAGCTGTAGTAGACGCTACACGCTTTCTGACTGGTGTCGTCGGCGAAAGAGGCGAAGCTATAGATGTGACTCTCGACCGTGTGGACCCCCTGGGTGGTGGCGAAGTGGCCCCTTCAATTTTCATCTTCTTGGTCTCATCCATGGAAGATGACTTGCCCACAGAACGGCGTGGGCTGTTGACGTCCTGTTGTGAGAGTGGTTTGTTCACGCCAGCGGCCGTGATTTTGGCAAGGTCTGTGCTCTTCGACTTCTTCTAGAACAGGAGCGAGATCGTGAATACAAGTCAGCTTCCTTTCATAGCGGACGCACGGAAATGGCCAGCCCTTCGATCTTATGGCCGTGCTCTCCAATAGTGACCGTTTTCGGCGCATCCATTGTACGCAAAGTCTGCACTAGCAACTTACCGTCCTCACTCCCGATATATAGAGTCGCGCCATCGGGTGAGAACACTAGGGACGTCACGGGAACCTTATAATTAAACGAGCGAATGCGCCTTGAGAATAATTTAGTATTCATTTAGATTATGCACCTATTGATGAACAATGCGCTTACCCCTGCTCTTTATCCAGGTCCACTACGCTGACAGATCCTCCGCTGCATGCAACGGCAAGCAACGTCTTGCTATATGGGCTGCAAACGACAGCTACGATTTCGCCCGTTGCAGCTTCACTCATGGTGATAGTTCTCACAGGTCCCGAGGGTCGTGTGATATCGTATATCACTAACTCTCTCCCGATCCCCAGTAAGAGCCGGATGCGTGAGTACGGATGAAATACGCATGTCGATACTGACTGTCCATCAGAGAGTGGTAGACCACGTAATATAGTGTGTGAACTGAGCGAGAGATTGTGGATGAGGACTGAGCTCGCGGACGCTGCAGCAAGGAGTGTATTGTCATTCGACAGGGACAGCCCTATGATGTGACCGGGGTTGGATGGGGAGTTGAGCGTTTGCGCAATCTTGGATGTTGCAGTGACGGATGATGAGTGCTCGAGAAAATGCACGGAGCTGCCTGCGGAGAAGATGAGAGATCCTTTATCTTTGGCAACCAGGTTGGCAATAAGTTCATGTGAGCCCTCGGCAGGAAGGTGAGTATATACGGTCTTGACGAGCTCGCCAGTGGCATGATACCGTGTAATAACATTGGAGGCAGCTATAAACAAGGAAGACCCATCAGGCGACCAGGTGGTCGAGGTAGGTGGAGAAGAAAGCTCAGATGAAGACCCAAGTGACAGTGGTGGGCGCCGAAGAGTTGAAGGATCCACGAGAGCAAGAGAGGTGGTCGTACTAATTGCGAGCATTCGAGCAACGACGAACGTCGTCGACAGCGTGGTCAACGACGAGTATAGACGCGCTCAGCCGTTCGACAGACAGTCTGCTTGGAAGTTGCAGAGTCGAACAATTGCAGCGCGTGCAATTTCAAACTACGCGCTCGTCACGTGGTCGCATCTAGACTGCCGAGTCTGGCCTCAGCCATCCACAGCCTTGCACTCATCCGAGACATTGCTCTCAGTATCCGACACCATTCCATCCAGCATCCGACCATTCATTCCAGCATCCGATACACGACGAGAGAATGTATAAAATACCATGCGTCTGCGCCTTTGACCCCATCCAACTCTTCTCTTCTTACCACCATCCAACTCTACACTTTCACTCACTCACTGCGTTGATCGCACATTACAATCATGACTCGCCCTAGCACTCTCCTTCCCGATTTCACTGGCTATGCCATTGACAACAACTCTATCCTCCTCACCAAGCGCCTCTCCTCTGGCTCCTTCGGCGTCGTCTATCGCGCCGTCTCTCTTAAATCTCGTCTAGTCAAGGAGTACGCTGTCAAATGTCTTTTGAACCTTGATCCTGATACTCCTCGCTCTGAAGCGCTGGTTCGCGAAGTAGCGTTGCATGTGACGGTGTCCGATCACCCTGGCATCGTTACCATCCACGACGTGGTTGAAGGAGAGAAATTCTCATTCATTGTCATGGACTATTGCCCTGGTGGCGATTTGTTCCAAGCGTCCGTGGCGCGTCGGCTCTTCAGGTGGAATGACGATCTCTTGAAGCAGGCCTTCATGAACATCATCGACGCCGTCGAGGAGTGCCACAGGCGAGGTGTCTATCATCGCGATCTTAAGCCTGACAATATCCTCATCTCTAAAGATGGCAAACAAACGTGGCTGACCGATTTTGGTCTTGGGACGTTCGACATGATCTCAAACGAGCACCACGTCGGAACCCCTAGCTACATGAGTCCTGGTAAGTTTATAGCCCCTCGACGGCATATAGCCTGTACTCATAATCTTCTCCAGAGTGCCTCGGTAAAGATTCGCGGGAAGCGTATCTCACTGCACATAATGACATATGGTCGCTCGGAATCATCCTCTTCGTGATGATCTCTGGTGAGATGCCTTGGAGGCGTGCGCAAAATGACGACTCCGTCTACAGAGACTTCCGTCGCTGGAGAACCTTCTCTGGACACCCCGTATCAACTGAAGCTGAAACTCTGTTACTCCGAATCTTCACCCAAGACCCTACTAGACGAATTTCACTCGCACGTCTGCGCGAGGAGATCGTCAAGATTAAGACGTTCTTCGCCGAACTTGAGTGTCCTGAAGAATTCGAGGAGATCATGCCAGCACCCGTCGCGGCCCCTGAGATCAAATCCCCTGCGCAGCAGTCTTCCCCGACAACGGCAGGGGTCTTCGTGGTTGGGTCGCTCCCCAGCTCGTCGCCTGAAACCTCGGAGTCTGAGAGCGATGGGCCCACCACCCCTGAGACCTTCCCTCATCACCTCGTGGCCATGGTCTCTGACCTCGTCGATGATGAAGATTTCGATCTTAAGTGCCGGCCCGACACTCCTGAGCCCTTCCCCAGTCACCTCGTGGCCATGGTCTCTGATCTCGTCGACGACGAAGATTTCAATTTTGTCTGCCAGCCCGACATTTCTGAGGCCTTCCCCAGTCACCTTGTGGAGATGGTATCTAAGCTGGTCGACAACAACGAGCTTGACTTCGATTGTATCCCCTCGAATGTCCTACAGGGACAAGCTCTCTTTGGGCTCGACCTACTTTGAGCCTGGCTGACGCTCATATATCCAAGCAGTTGAACTGCTTCGTGCCACATACCCTCCATATATCCATAGCAGTTGAACTGTATCCATACCATAGATTTTGTTGAATTCATATTATAAACAAATACATATAAATCCTCAAACAAAAAAATGCGATGGTCATCTAGTTCGCTTTGAGTATAACCCGTCAACAAACAAACAGTGAGTACATGTCGAAATTATACATAGACACGGACCATCCAGTGTAAATAGAATTACGAAGCTTAAGAAATTGAGAGATTGCTCCTAAACCCCCCAGTCGTCCAACAAAGTATCTATTTTCACAAATGCCTCTTGACCATCGAGAGACTCGACCTCTATAATGTCAACAGCGTCACTGCCTAACCTCCCCACCGTCTTGATCCGTTCCAACTCTCCTTTCGTCCCAACGACAGCCACAGGGAACTTGACTTCGTAATCAAACTCCTTTAACGGCGTTGGGAGCAGACTGCCTTCGGCCGAGGCATTGGAAGGTGGAGGTGACATGAGGATGAGACCCGAGGCGGGGTGAGAGGAGATGTAGGTTTGGGTGATGAGTGCACCGTGCGAGCGAGAGAAGATAATGGGGGGAAAGGGGCCAGGGGCGACGGTCCCGAAGCGCAGATGGGATGCGAGCTCTGTCCAACGTTGAACATGGTAACTACGACGTCTGTCTCTCGTTGCTTTATAAAGCTGCCAAGGGCGCGCACCTTTCTCGAAGTGCGCCATCAACTCCGTCGAGGAGCGCTGAGTCCCATCTTGGCGCGGGGACGACAGGTCAATCTCCATGCACATGAACCCCTTTTCAGCGAACATGGACGAGAGCGCTGTCATCCTTCGCCGAGTCGCGACGTCAGATTTGACATGTTGAGGGACGTAGATACACACCCGCGATCAGACTCTTTGTCCCAAGTAGATGCCGACACAAAAGCTAGGGGCGTCGGCACTTGTCGAGGGGCCGTGCGGGGCGGCTCGCGCAATATGAACTTGGAGCTGCCCGCAGATGTCGATTGACGACGCGTACCCTGTGACAGGGCGTAGAGCAGACCCGCAGCACTCACAGTAGATGAGGAGGCCAAATGAAACCGATATTTTGTTGTAAAAGATGAGAATAGTGACATATCGACGTCGATGGCGACCTGACTGGCGCTATAGGTGAAAGTCGACGCGTTCAGCGCATGTGATTCAGGGGCAGTAACACGTGCCGGAAGATAGACAAACAAAGAACATCACCTTAGTCATCTCTAATACCGCCGCCTCTTCGACACCGACCACTCCAACCATCATGGCTACCGCTCTCGCTGCGTGAGTTTTACACTGTAAAGTGGTTCGCGTATAATGTTCATGTCGACTTAGATCACTTCCGGCACCGATTCATGCGCCCGCCGACTCCGATATTGAGGAAGACTATGTTCAGCCTTCTTCAGCTCCAACTCAGACTATCACCTTCCGCTCTATCGTCCCGGCCTATGGTCAACGACAAGGGTGGAAGCCTTCATCGCAAGAAGACTATGGTGCGTCATCATCTTCACTGAAACCACACCTCGCTCAAATTTCTTTTGCGTCGAAAGGGGATGGCGGTGCGTTCCCCGAGTGCCATGTAGCACAATATCCCTTAGAAATGGGTCGGAAGAAGGTGCGTTTACTAGCAGCTGCGAGGCTTACACAACCTGATAGTCTCTTAGGCCTCCTCTGGTAATACACTCGCTTTGCAAGTCGACAGCGAAGGCAATGTTCGCTACGATGCCATTGCACGGCAGGGCCAGCGGGCAGACAAAGTCATTCAATCGCAATTCAAAGACCTCGTCCCCCTCGCACATCGCAAAGACCTCACTGACGAACAGCGTGCGATGGAGCGGCCCTCAGAAGATGACGTACAGGCGACGACGGACAAGACGCGTGCCGCGCTCGAGAAGCTAGTGAATGGAAAGATCAAGGCGGCACAGCCGAAGAATGTACCAGACAGCCAGGGGAAGACCGCATTCATCCGCTATACTCCAGGGCAACAAAATGGCGCCGGGCTGAAGCAACGAATTATCAAGATGACTGAGGTTGTTGAGGACCCGCTTGAGCCACCACGGTTCAAGCACAAGAAGATCCCGCGTGGACCGCCTAGTCCCCCGCCACCTGTACTGCGTAGTCCACCGAGGAAGGCTACAGCGCAGGAACAGAAGGAGTGGATGATCCCGCCATGCATCTCCAACTGGAAAAACAACAAGGGTTTTACCATCCCGTTGGACAAACGTTTGGCAGCGGATGGTCGAGGGTTGCAAGATGTGAGTTGTCGAAGCAATATTTACTCCCCAGCTAATTGTGATCTTTCCTCAGGTACATATCAATGATAAATTCGCGAAACTTTCAGAGTCGCTGTTCGTCGCCGACCGACACTCGCGCGAGGAAGTCCGGCAGCGTGCCCTCATGCAACAAAAACTTGCGCAAAAGGAGAAGGCCTCGAAAGAGGAAACCTTGCGTCTGCTGGCTCAGCGTGCTCGCGAGGAGCGGGCAGGTGTTGCACCCTCACGACCAACAGTTGAAGGTCAAGCTGCAATGAAGACCACGCTTGCGGCCTACGGAAGTGATAGCGAGAGCGGGTCGGAAGCAGATGCGGACAAGGATGAGGAGGGTGCAGCAAAGGTCCGGGACGAGATGCGTGCAGAGAAACGGCGCGAACGCGAGCGGGAGATGCGGATGAACAACATGGGCACAGAGCAGCGCGCAAAGATGCTTGCGCGGCAACAGAACCGCGACATCTCGGAGAAGATCGCGCTCGGGCTGGCGAAGCCGACGATGTCGAAGGAGTCCATGCTGGACTCGCGGCTGTTCAATCAGGAATCGTTCTCAGCGTCGTTTGCGGACGACGAGTCGTATGGCTTATACGATCGGCCGCTGTTCCATGGATCGTCCGCCGCAGCTGCGATCTACAAGGCTCGCGGGAATATAACGGAAGGGAACGAGGAGAGTTATGGTGGTGGTACTGAGGAGGGGATCGGGAGAGCGCTCGACAATGATCGGTTTGGACTGGGTCAGGCGAAAGTCGGGTTTGAGGGTGCGGCTGACCAGGAGGTACGGGAGGGGCCAGTACAGTTTGAGAAGGATACTTCGGATGTGTTCGGTGTGGACAAGTTCTTGGATGAGGCCAAGAGCGGGAGGAAGCGAGGACTGGACAGCGAAGCGTAGGTTCATTCCATTATTGCCTATGAGTGCGCTGACATTTTTTATTCTGTCAGGGGTGGCGCGCGGAAACGGCATCAGCTCGAGCGAGCGGCGGATCGAGAGTAAGCTGGGCGCTGTTGTCTTGACTGTCGTTTCCATTTCTCTCTGTGATATGGTCGGTATTGTATGTATGGTATCGCGTTTGCTCTATTATCAGGAAACTGAAAATCCGCAGGGAGATTTTGAGTAAGACTCTCGGTGTAATGATGCTCCTGTCACCACGTTCGTGTGGACATCAGTGAACTGGAGCAAGGGAATGTTTTCATTACTGCTGTTCAGGATTTCTATTTCTGCATAGAGCATGAGAATAGAGGGCAAACCGACGGGAAGTGGTTGGTCGGGAACGAATGGCCTGGAAGAACGCCTCGGGTACGAAGCGGGGCCGGGCACCCGAGCATGCCCGAGCGATGCAAGCCGGTGACATCGTAGCTGAGAGCTGCCACGTACAACATTAATACAGCTTTGCCATCTCTGTTCGAATTTACTGGCGCTCACATATATAAAGTGATCCCACCCAAACTTGATCTGTGAAAGGCCCCTTGATTAACTGCTCTGTGCACTGCTGTCCGCCCTCAACGTAACTTATAAAATAGGTATTGCTACTTGTACCCTTCTCAAAGCCTCACAAAGTCTCACAAGACATTGCCTGATTGTTCAGAACCCTCTTCCGACAACCCCATGGAAATCTCGTGAGGGTTTCTTCCCTCGACCGTCACGCAGTTCGCTGCTGACGCCCACGCTCGCAGCTCGGTTCTTCAAGGCGGATACGCACACCCTCTCTCGCGGGAATGGCAGGGGCGCAGAAAGATCGACAAGTCCATGCTCATGTACCCCATCTTCATCACCGACGACCCGACCGCCAGCGTCGAGATTGCGACGCTTCCCGGCCAGCGACGGTGGGGCGTTGACCGCCTCGAGGAATTTCTCGGTCCCCTCGTCAAGAAAGGTCTCCGCAGCGTCATCCTCTTCGGTGTCCCTCTCACGTGCGAGAAGGTCTGGCGGCTTTCTTTCAAATCAACGCGTGCGCCCCCATTCTGACGTTGCCCCACTGACCAGGACGCGCGCGGCTCCCCAGCAGATGACCCTGCCGGTCCCGTTATCCTCGCCATTCGCAAACTCCGAACGCTCTTCCCTGATCTCTACATCGCGACCGACGTCTGTCTCTGCGAGTACACCTCTCACGGTCACTGCGGTGTCCTCCACGCCGACGGCACCATCAACTCGGAGCCCTCCGCGGAACGCGTCGCGGAGGTTGCCCTCGCCTACGCCAAAGCAGGCGCGCACTGCGTCGCGCCGAGCGACATGATGGACGGGCGCATCCGCGCGATCAAGCGCAAACTGATCGATGCTGGGCTGGGGAACAGGTGCTTGCTGATGAGCTATTCGGCCAAGTTTGCAAGTGGTCTCTACGGGCCTTTCAGGTACGTGTATCGTGCAGCGAAGAATGCTTCGAAGTCTGATTTAAGTGTGGTTATGTAGAGATGCGGCTGGTAGCGCGCCCTCGTATGGCGATCGCAAGTGCTACCAGCTTCCACCTACCGCCAAAGGCCTCGCACGCCGTGCCATTGTAAGTTTTGCGCTCAAGTTTTCCTGTGCCCCTTAACCTCATATCTTTTTCGCAGCAACGCGACACTGATGAGGGCGCCGACATTATCATGGTCAAACCTGCCCTTCCATACCTCGATATCCTCGCCGACGCTGCTCAACTGGCGCCCGACTACCCCCTCGCGGCTTACCAAGTTAGCGGCGAATACGCGATGGTCGTGGCTGGCGCCAGGGCAGGCGTGTACGACCTCCGCGCCATGGCGTTCGAAACAACCGAGAGCATAGTTCGCGCGGGCGCGACCCTCATCTTGACTTACTTCACGCCGCAATTCCTGGATTGGTTGGATGAGTAAGCTGTCTGTCTTTATGGGTTAGAAAGGTCGAGCCTTTCTTCGGATTGAACGGTCCAAAATGAAAGTGTGACTCCAGAGTCCAGATGCTGCTGTAACATGGGGTATGTACCAATGAATGAACGAATGCCTGTCGGCTGCTATGCTTCGCCCATCCGGACGACCGGCGTCAGAGGAAAGGGGTGCTTAATTGCCCGAATGAATAACCATTGGAAACACTGCGGATTCGATCGCCAAAAGAAAAACATAGACGACATGGTATACATACGTTTTCTTTTACCGAGGTTTGTACGGGGGTGGGGGAGTGATCAGCGACCCCCCAGCCTCAGTCATGTCGGACAAACGCCGTGCCTGTCGGGGATCGGGCAATGGACGACGCCAGACAGGAAGTGGCCTCGATTCTTCTGCAGGTATCGAACCACGGTTTGGTGCGGGCGGAGGCACAGAATACGCAGACACGCTTGCCAAAGACCTGCTCCTGACCCTAGATAAAGAAAGCAATCCTTCACGTAGTCGCGGCTGTGCACCCCGTAATGGACTACGAGCGACAGCACAAGGGATGAGTGATGCAGACGCATGTGACGAATGATTGAAGGAGTCGGAGGTGAATACCGATGTGCTTGAGGGAGACATGATCACGCTGGGCTCTATGGAAGCGGGGATTTGGAGATAATGGAAGGGGAATAAGGGAACGTCGGTCTCTGTGGAGGATAGCTGGTCGGCGGGGGTGTTGCCTGGATTAAGTCTGTCTGCCATCGCGGGATCTATGCTTGGGCGTCGTCTCGAATGGTGGGTCTCCATTGGAGAACCCACTTCCAGCTGAATAAGATGGATGTCTGATGATATCAGGTGATCAGACTGAGATCCTCAAAAGCGAGCTTCAAGCAAAGCGAGGGAAGGTGATAGTGTGATATTTACCGCTTTCGGGTTGCTGTCCCAGAGTCATAGACACGGTCTCCGTTTTCGAGGATGACCTTGACCTTGAACTTGAACTTGTCCATGACCGATATAATAAAACAGCAGCGACGACAAATCCAATGAAACATGCGACAACCCCGACAATGATCACGATGAAGACGTCGTTTGACAGAAATACTCCATTCCTCGAGGTTGCACCAGGGGTGTACGTGCCGGCTGAGTGAATTCACAATTACTGAAGGGTACATTAGCAGACCTATCAAAAGACAGCTTACCAACAGGAATGGGAACGAATGGTGCAAATGACGTTCCAGTTTCAGCTCCTCCAGTTCCAGCTCTTGTTGGAGGATTGGAGGAAAGAACAGTCAGGGACGAGGGAACGATGGCTGGGCCATTCGAATCGGGTCCAACACTGGTGCTCACAGTGCTCATCCTCGAACAATAGGTTTGACACTGTAGGGAATAGAGCCCTAAGACCGCAAGGCCTGAATAAAGAACAAGGAGGGGAGTAAGAGGTGCCCAAGGAGATCAGATACTGCATCGCCTTTTGGCAAGGATAGATCGAGGCATCAGAATCACGGCGTCTTTCTAGAGCATGATCGCAGTAGGATGATGCCTGAAGCAGATGCGGATCAAGATGGGACAGGAATCAACATCGAGAGAAAAGCCGCATCAAACTGGTGGAGTACACGGAGAAAGCAGCAGCGTCCCATGGCTGAAGATCTGCAACAAGCTTAGCTCACATGGACAGAAGAAAAATCAGAGATCACCCAGAATTCCTCGGTCGAAACGCGAGGCTATCTGTTCCGGTATTCCTGTGAGACACACGGTGCGAATCCGTGTCCTTTCAAGAAGATATCTCACATTTGTGTTTCTTGATTTTCTGATTGTCGTGTGGGATATACGGAAAGAGCCAAAAAAAATGAACTTCAATACACGATGACCAAGAGACACAGCTAAAGTTAGGCGTGTTCCTCCAGGTTCCTCTGACATGCGATCAACGGGAGCAGAGTGGCCGAGTGTTTGCACCACAGGCGAGCCGTGGATCAGTGCGGATATGGATTAATGAATACTGGGGTAGCCTCTCACTGTCTTCCAAGAATAGCTGTCAACAGTGGTTCGTTCGCTGGGTGGCCCTAGGGCAGGTACATCAGGCATTTTATATCGCTAGCTTTCCAGAAGCTCAGTACCAGAGAGACACGGTTTCTGTATGGAACAACAGCAGTCTGTTCAGCAAATATTATGGATAGTCAGTAACTCTTCAGCGGTCGAGGATACGGCAGTCAAAGCTTGTGACATGGCGGTCACTACGTGACAGAGCCAAGGTCGAGTATTTCTTCGGGGAATGCCGGTGCAAACTTGGTAGACGTTGGCATGTCTCTCCCCGAGGGAACACCTCCCTCAACCGTATTGCCACCTCAAAAGTCTGGTGCGCGAGCCGCGCTCGAGTACACGGGCATCCCCCCATCATGGTTTGAAAAGCGCCCTCGCTTGCCCTCGCGCAACTGGCTCATCTTCATCGGTGTCACGTCGACCGTCATCGGCTTCTACGTCCACGACCGTCGTGAGTGTAAACGCATTCGCGAAGAGTATGCGAGCCGCGTCAGACATCTCGCAGACGAGCCTCTCCATAGCTTGGAATTTGCGCGTAAAGTCACTGTGTATGGTGCGAAGTGGCCGGGAGACGACGATTGGGATCGAAGCACCCGGTACTTTAGGAAGTACGTTAAGGTCCGCGAACGCGCCCTCTCCTGCTGATCTTACTGTTCTGACCTTCTGACCTCGTTCTTGTTTCGGTTTTTTTAATAATTTTTTATAATTTTCAGCCCATCTTTGTCGCTGCTGCAGTCGACTTCGAGATCATAGCTGGAAAACGACACGGGGATCTGGCTACGCGCATCGCGGAGGATATCAAACAACAACGTCGTATCTCCCTAGGCTTAGAAAGTCCAAATGTCCCCGGGGTGCCGCTTCCGACGCAGCAAACGCCCGAGGAGAAACAACGCCGCCTATTCGCTGGCGGTACCGTCCTTGTCGGTCGACCTGCGTTCAAGGAGTACATGGCGGGCTTGCGACGAGGGTGGACAGAAGGGCTACAGAAAGTCGATCGCGAGGAGAGTTTAGCTCAAGAGTTAGAAAGTGATGGGCGGTTTGACGAGCCCGAGGAGACTCAAAATCATATCCACTCTGAAGACGTAGACAACGAGCCGCTCCCTACCCCCTCCCGTCTTCCCCCGTCCCGACCAGGCGTATTCTCCCCTCTGTCTATGCGTGCACCTCCCCCACGCTCTCCTATCCCAGAAAAGACACAGAGCACGGGCGCAGACGTGCCTCCTCCTGCACGCATCCCCCCTCAGCCTCCACTGCTCCTAGTCCCCTTCGTCAATCACATCGGGCTTTCACAAATTCCCTACATGATTATCGACTTCTTCAATGAACGAGCACAAGTCAAAGCCGGCGCCGAGGCTGCGTATCGACTGGTCATGAACGAGACGCGCCCGTTCATCGGTCCACCTTCCGAGCCATCCCAGGCTGAATCCTCCTCAGTTTCTGCCTCTCCCTCGATGACGAACACCGACTTGGCCTTCGATACAAAAGCCGAACTATTCTATAAATCTTCTACGTCCAAACTACCGTCTGAGACCCAGAAAGTCAGGGATGATTACTACAAATCTCTCCCGGCCAAACTAGACACCGCACGGCAACTCGCTCGGCGCGAGCGTGAGCCTACATCTGACGAAGTTGCCGCTCCTCCACCTACGGAAGTGGAACTTCGGGCAGAAAGGCTGAACAAAGAGTTGCGATGGAGAGGGGACGAGAAAGGATGGGATATCATACGTCCCGACGCGCCCGTAGACTGGGATTCGAGAATGGAAGGAGCTCTGAGTGTGTTTGTTGACCCGCAGGATGGGCATTCGAACGAAGTGCTCAAGGAATGAAGTGCACTACACTCAATTGGATCAAACTACATACACCTTCTATCTTACAGCCACCATTCTGTGCTACACAGTGCATCGTGATAATGATCCCGAATGTCCTGTGTTTACATTCAGTCTCCTCCACTTCCTTCGTAATCAACGATCTTGACAGCCCCACTGTCTATCCACGCTTGAAACTCCTCAAACGGGTCGATGTCATCTGAATCGTCCAAGGCTGACGCCATGTGATCCTTTGGAAAATGGACAGCAGGCACCTTGATCGGCTCGTTAGAGACGATGGTTCCCCCCTTCGAGTTGGTGGCCAAGAAAGTAACATCCTCAGAGCCTGCCCTCGTGTGCTTCGAGGAACTTTTTGAATCTTCATCAGTCTGCAAGATCATAGTAGCGGACATGCTGGGATCGCGGAAAATGGATTCGTCGAAGACAAATTCTTCGTCTTCATCCATTGGCGGCAACCCGTGTCCGTCATTCTGCTCAGTATCGTATTCTATGCTGTCCGAATGACGTGCATAGAAGAGAGGGTCCTTGACATCCTAGAAAACATAGGATTGATGAGAAGAGATAAGAGTCGAATCATTGTGCCAACCTGGCTTCCTACAGTAAGCTTGACCCGCTTGGCGGGCAAATTTGGGCTGTCGTCGAGCGTTCGTTTGCGGCCTTGACTCGAAGAGACGGGGGAGTGACGTCTCGGTCCCTCCGCACGATCAGACTCTCCAGTCAAGTCGATCAAATCCCCAAGAGGCGCATGAGCAATGAGAGCCTCCAATTCCGAATTAGAATAGCTTGTCGAGTCAGAGTGTGCATGTACATCTGGACCAGTGTTTCGCCCTCCAGTCTTTAAAAGTTCGCCCGGTTCGGGAAGCTCATCAGACAGATCAGAGTCGCCAGCAAGCTCGTCAATGTCCCTGATAGAACCTTCCGGGTCAACGTCAAGAAGATCAGCGAAGTTTAAATCGAAAGTCGGAGTAGGTCTTGATTTGGGCCCTGAGGAGCTTGGATGAGAAAATGAACTGTCGCCAAGACTATCTGGTAGTTTCAGCCGCCCCCCTTTCGAGATATTGACGTTGGCACCCTTGGTCCGTTCGTGAAGATCTTCGAGTAATTTGACCCCCGCATCTTGACGAATCATTGCGTTTTTCGCAGTCTTCGGAACTTGTTTGGATGCACGATTGTTCCTGTCAGTGTTTTCTTTTTTGATATTAGAGATAGAAGATTTGCTCGATTTTGTTGCTTTTCCCGATGGTTGCTCAGAAGTCGGGGGACCACTTCCTCGCCTTCTCAAAAGCGGTGGTTTGTCTAATCCTTCACGGCAGCTGCACAAGGACCGGGATTTGAAACTCGGATAAACATTAAACTGTGAAAAGCCATAGGACGGACCACATATGACGACAGCTCGTCTTATCTTTACAACTATGGTTGCACCTTGACAAAATAGCACCGAATCGGTTTGCGAGAAGGTCGTCTTGGCAAGGTACACTCACATGTACTTCCCATTCGAAAGCTTATTGGGAGAATTTTGTTTTGCTTGCTGGTGCAATGCTTGGGGTTTTGTTCGATTGTCCTTGGACATCGTATCCTTGATTGAATGATTTTCTGATATCAAAAGTGAATCACGTCCGAAATCCACCACAAGCTAGATATGTCATCAACGTACTGGACTTAATCTCATCCTTCGGAGAAATGTCCTCTTCTTCGTCCACGCTCATGTTCCAAAAGTCTGGGTCATCGTCCAAGCCCTCAAGATCCATTTCCTAGATGCATCATGTGCCGGTATCAGTCTATTCAGATAGGAAGGAATCAATACGGGCGGCCTCACCATGGCGGTTTTGGGGCGAGTGACCTTGACAGGATATTGGCGGCTGTCAATGTTCGGCTTGTACTGTACTGACTCGCCGACCCCTGCGATATTTTCCTGGTAGAAACATCCAGTAAACCGTGGCTATGCAAAGGGTTCGGACGTTACCGATGATATATGAACACAAATTGACTGGCTTGGTTTTTCGAGCTTTGCAAGAATTGTGAATTTCTTCGCTTCTCTGAGAAACTTTGTCCTGTGATCGGTTTGGTAATTAGTAGACTCGGTGGGTGAGGAAATCGTACGGTATCCTCCTAAAGTCCACATAGTCCATCTCGGACGTGAGAGTCAACACGGTTGTCATATCGAAGTTGCGTTTCTTGTTCTTCTTCGATTTGACGGCGAGGGCAGCGTCCAAGATCAGACTACATTCGATCATGAGCTCGATATCGACACTATCTCCCGAGATGTTCGTGGAGACCTCCTTCACAGAAACGTGATATCGAGGTAAGTCTGCAACTAGCGCAAGGATCTCGTGACCAGCGCCTGATCTTCGATTCAGTAACTAAAATATGTTTCAATGGCGCTGAATGAATCATTAGTATGTTTAGACCCACTGCATCGAGACGCAACGGACTCTGCTTGCGCAGGGAATCGAAAGTTGTGATACCGTGCTCTGCAAGGACCTAGGACATCGTCAAGAACAGCATATAAGGCAGAAATGAACGTCCATACTCTTATCCTACACATCCAAGTATCCATATGTCAGCGATTGGAGTTTCCAGAGTAGGATCACGTTACGATTTTTCTCCGATTTTGTCTATTTGACGCAGAACGAAGGGCCGGTCCTCCCAACATTTGCCCTCCAGACTGCGAAGCCTAAATAACCAAGCTCTGTCAGGACACATCGAGAAACCACTACAGTCGAGCTTACAGCTCTAAGCCTCGTTTTACCTGTACGCCGTTTCGTTTTACCAACGCTACCTCGACGAGGGCTTCATTGCAAAAAGTCGCAGAGTTCGAAGTCCGTTTATCAAACAGACTGAAATTTGGGCGCTTACCCCTAGCAATCCGAGGGATGTGGCGAAATACTGATAACGCCTCCAATTGAGGTTGACTATCCCCTACTCTATATTCCGGAAGGTTCAGTTGTATACCGCCAAGGACAGCCTGGAGAGGAACATAACATGATTGAAGCTGAGTCTGACAAGTTTGAGCACTTTCCTGTATCAAAAGACACATTTTGTCACTGGTCTTATCTATTTTCGCGACTTTGTATCGAATGTCGATGTGTTCTCGGATTTTTCGGAGAACCTATGGTACGGTGCGACGTTACGGTGATGCCGAAGAGATAGAGACTAAGCTTGGACTTGCTGATTTCTCTCCGGAGCGAAGCTTCATATCAGAGAGCCTATGGTGTATTAATAAATATATATATATATATATATATAGCGTTCAATGCTCACTCTTCCGTCGCTGAGATGAGCTCGAGCTACAAAATTGACTTAAAAGATGACTAGATCGCTGTTGACATGAATCATACCAATTCACGAAGACCTGGCGCTTCGGGCATCTGAAGAATCAAACTCATCTGTAAAATGTTTAGAATGAACAAGGGGAAACCAAGCTTAATAGACCCACAGTGGACTGTCGGATGTAATACTAGATCCAGTTAATGGAGCTAGACGTCCTTCATGGATATTAGGGAAAATCCATACCTTGCTCATGATATCGCCGTACAAGGTAGAGCACAAATCGCCCGAGGTTCCATCGACGTACTTGACCAAATCCAATTCCTGCAATTTAGTTAGACTGTCAATTACCATGTCGTCTATTCGCTCTTCCCATGTTTGTTCGTCGTCTTTCCCTATCGCATATCTGTTTGGATTCTTTTGCACCCTTTGAAACAGGAACGAATTTTGTAGCCATCCCTTAGCTGTCTCGACATTCGTAATCGTACCCAGGCCGATTTCCGAGTTAATATGCTCTGCGAGATTAAGATGCAAAGAGCTTTCCAGGATGGTTCTGCCTTGGGTGAGATTTTTGTACTTGTGTTCCAGCTCGGCTTCACACATGATTATAGCGATGCCTTCTTTATCTGCATACAAAACGGATGAGAGAGGTTCCGCTGAAAATCGGGTTCCACAGATGGATAGTTTACCAAATTGAGGTCTTCCCTTATCAATGTAGTATGCGAGGTCAATATAGTCACTTGGAGAACGTGATCTACTCACCGCGCGACCTATCATTTGCATGATGTCCAAGTCCGAATATTCCTCCATAGTACTTCCCTGAAACATCTTGACGCCTTTGATCACAACGATATGAGCAGCTGGTGGTTCGAGCAGATTCAGACGGCGGATCTGACAAACAGGATGCTAGGGACGCTCACGCAGGTTGACCCCTACTGCAAGCGTCTGTGAAATACATTTCACGCTGATGTTCCGGTTTCAATACTAGTCGGCACACGTACCGATGTTGCTACAACGACTCGTAGATCTCTGCTCAAGAATAGACCTTCCGTTGTTCGTTTGTCATCGATTGACAAGCCGGCATGATGCACCCCGATACCCGCCTGTGCAAGCTCTACAAGACGTTGTCTCAGGTCACTGTTGAATCTGGTGATACCCCACGCACTTTCCAATCGTTTGTCATGAAATGACGGGTCAATCCTGGATTCACGGCTTAAGACACCATGTATCCATGAGGGTCAAGAGAGAGAAATTACCGTCTTGATTGACTCCAAGGTAGATTTTGTTTTGACTGGGCGGCCTTCTCGTAATCTTTCATCAGTTGTTCGGCAGTGCTGAGGACACCTGTCTTATATTCAGCAAACGGACACACGGCTCGTGTGAAAAACGTGAAGACACCTTTCCTTGTGGGGCAAAACACCAGCATGGGTTTTTGAGCGGAATGGTGCTGCAGCAGGTTAAACAATTTAAAATTCAAAGAATTTCCGAAGACAAAATCATTCTGATTTTTCCCCTTTGGGAAGCCATAGACAAAGCGTTCCAGTTGACATGGCCTGAACTCTTCGCCGAACTAGATATGGAAAGGCGTCAGAAATTACAGCGACAATAGCGTCGACATAAGCTACCTGGAAGATTCGAGCTTGTTTGCTTGAGTTTTGGTCTCCAATCCAGCTTGCGATGTCTTCGATGTTGGGCACTGTAGCTGAGACGCAGATGAAACGAACCGCCGACCCGCGGGTCTTCATTCGAGACATTACAACCTCGAGCGTACTTCCTCGCGATTCGTTGAGGATGTGAACCTGATGACGTCCAAATGAGTTGAAGATACGGGGAAGATCAAGACAAAATAAACCTCATCGACGAGGAACAGCTGGATTTGCGACAATATCTGCCTATGGTCGCGCCTAGCCATGACACCTTCAACATATTATCGTAAGACAATCATATGAGTTGGACTCACCAACTCCTAGTTAGGCTGTCCCATTTTTCTCCCTGCCGATTTTTTCAGGAATCAAATTCAAAGTATCCGTGTGTTCTGCCTACGGTAGTAACACTGGGTAATATGCTCCATCAGCCGAGAGGACGATATCAGGGATAAAATGACAAACATTATATTTGCGCTCACCGCGTTCCCCCAAGCACTCTTCCCAAAAACGACAGTGTCGCCTGTTAACTCGCAGCCTAGAGTCGTCCCAAGATTGTTCAGAGAAAGGGTCTATTATTTATCTGGGATACGGTTGCTGATTATTCACATTTAATGCCAAGGCCGGAGAATTTAGACTCCCAGTCCCTGAATCTCTCGGAACAAAGCGCCTGCAATAACAACATCTACAGAAGAGCAACGTAAATAGAAAGAGCACCGAACCTTGGTCGGCGCCATATAGACGCATTTAACATCTTCACGGTTTCCTGCGATCGTAAACATGCGTATGATGGAAAGCTCGAATAGCACAGTCTTTCCGCTTCCGGTTGGGGCTGTGATAAAGTAAGGTGGAATATCAGAAATGTTCAATGAGATTTCACCGCGTACTCACCACTGATGACCTAGGTGTATGGTGTGAAACAGAAAAATTTGCGTTTTCTGACATTGAGCTTTCGATACAACGTACCATGTTTTCCGCCGTATGCATAATCTATGGGCCATATTGAACGATGACATAAATATTGAAGGGATAGTGCTCACCGAATCAAAACATTGGGACTGAATTGCGTTGAAGACGCCGAACTTGAACAAGCTTCGATACATATCAGCTAATAGAATGTAGTGTGAGGTAAGAGAGTTGTGGTCAACGAAGATCGTGAACCTTACGAAGCTCCGAGACCAGGCGTAATCGAATCCCGTGTGTGTTTTTCACGGTAGATAGGGCAGAGCGATCAATGCTAGATAAAGGCAGAGGGGTAGCAAACCTTGGCCTTCCGCGGGGCGAAGGGCTTGGAGAGGAATGCTGAGCGTGGTGCATAGACCTAAATTGCTCGTGTAGTTGTGGACGATTGACAATATTTCGAGTCAAAGCGAAGGGAGGATTACGAGGAGAATGAAGAGAGGCTATATAGATCTAAGCATATTCCAGCGCTATGAAATGGCATATACGGACTGCTGAGCTGAGGCACGGCCATTGAGATTGGCTGGTTCATAAAACGAAAAGGGGTCGAGTCTTGGCCATAGTCACTCTGATTTAGATGCGTGGAATATGCATCATCGTCAAAAAGCCCTTCTTCCTCGTATTGGTCGATGTCATCTACACTATCCCGTACTTGGGGTGCAACCTGAACGTGGTTGGTTGTCGCTAGGTGAGGAAATTTTAGATGCCTTCGGTCAGGTGGAGACTGTGACGAGTTTTCTACATTATTGTACAAGTCTCAATGTAAGAAATGAAGTAAATGGAGGCGCATATACCCACCTATATCATCTGTATAGTCATTAGCATAAGTCTGCTCCGGTCCAAGCCGCACACCGTCGGGGGGAGAAAGTTCAAGATAGAGATCTTCGATATCGAAGTCAAGTCTTCGTGAGGCCATGCGAAGATCGCGGTGCAGTGGTGGATGGTGCAGGGGGAGAAAGTTTGGTCAGTGCCCTCAGCTGTGACGCGTCGTGTATTTACACCACGTGATTTGTCACATGCCATCGGCCAAAGTCACGTCTCTCGTGACAGAGGTGACCAAACGCGTTCTGTGTCCTTCATCACTGCTGCAGCTTCCAGATTGCACGTTGCGCCCGCAAACTCGTTCAACGCATACATACACCCTCTCAAATATGGCCGCAAAGCAGCCTGCTCAACAGCAAGCAGACCAGAAGAAAATCGACGAATATATCGAGAAGTGTGCTCATCTTCATCTTAGGCCCAGATCACGATGCTAATTCGCTCCTAGAATCCATTACTCTGACCGTTATTCGGACGACGAATATGAATATCGTCATGTCATTCTTCCGAAGCCCCTCTTCAAGCTTATTCCCAAACAGTATTTCAATGCAGATGACTCTGGGACACTTCGGCTGTTGACAGAGCCAGAGTGGAGAGGCATTGGGATCACACAGAGCCTTGGATGGGTACACTACGAAGTCCATGGTACCTCACTTTTATTCATATGCAAAATTTTTGTCTGATATCGTGCTGTCGTGTAGCGCCCGAGCCACATGTCTTACTCTTTCGACGACTGAAGAACTTCGATCAGCAGTATGCTCAGCAACAAGCCTACGAACAACAACAACAGCTCGCGAATGGGAAGATTGCTGCAGGGAGGAATGGCAGAAAGAAATAAGAATAGGATAACCGTGTTGAGTTTCTTACATTTCACATCGGACTTGTTGTCACATCTGTTCCTTGCATCCAGTTAGCAGCTTTCGTACGGTTCGTTACCCCAACTCCCCAAGATTCCTCATGGTATACCCGTCGTTCATGAGCGATCTACTTTCTCGTTTGGTGTGTATCACGACGATGACGATCCCTAATTGGCCCACTCTTTCTTCACTATGTAATCAAAGCTGTACCAGTTTTTTTCACTCTCAAAGCGAGCCAAACGCCTGAAGTACTCCAGACTTTGTATCACTAGCAACTCGTAGACAGATACCGTATCGCCTCCACATTGACCCGTCCGCTTTGTGAATTGGACGTGACAGCACAGAGTACGACAGCTCATACAAGACAAGAAAGACCGGCGTACATGTATCAACAGCGTATATTGATCCAGCATGGCAAAGTATCGAATCGAGGAACATCGGCGAGGAATATAAGTACAGTAAGGGTAATGTCTCTTACGTCGGAAACGGCATCACGGCGGAGATCACAAGACTCTGACCGAGACGGCTGTTGACGCGTACTTTTTAGCGTCAAGCTGTTCTGATTCCAAGCCTCATCCAGCTAAGCGTCACTGTGAGGGTCGCTGTGAGTACGTACCCCAGCCTGGAGGTCTCCAGAATTCATGTTACGCCGTCTCGCAGTGCCGGGTCGCACACCCCATTCATTTCCTGCTTATAACACCCTCAGGCCACTACAACTTCTCAAATATCGTCTGGTCACTACAATGGCCACCCCCAATGAGGAGGCGCACTGGCTTCACCACACGTCCAAGAAGGGCCTCGCATACTCTCTCTATACAAAGCCTATCCAGAAGTCTCCTCAGGATGACAGAGATTACAGACTCATCCGACTAGACAATGGTTTGCAGGCAATGTTGGTTCAAGATATCAAGGCAGACAAGTCTGCCGCAAGCTTGGATGTAGCTGTTGGACATCTGGACGATCCTGTACGTATCCATTGACAATTCCATGTGCATGCTGTGGAGGGCGAGAGTCCATTCTCGGTTGTCGGGGCGCCATAGAACACCCTCACGAGTACTCAGGATCAGTTATGTCCCGAAAACATAGATCGGGACACGATGGATTCTTGCGCTGGTCCACGAATATGCAGCGGAACCTCTCACGACAACTCTCCCTGAAAAAGCAATCCGTACTCACAAGTCACATAGGTTGACATGCCTGGTCTTGCGCACTTCTGTGAACATCTGTTGTTCATGGTAAGAATTTTGGGAATGAAATCTTCATACAATCCTCAACAATAATTTGATAGGGGACCGAACAATTCCCGAAGGAAAATGAATATTCTGAGGTATGAATACCCCCGAGTGGCTGAGGCATCATACTGATGTCATATCAGTATTTGTCGAAAAACAATGGATCGTCAAACGCATTTACAGCCTCGCATAACACAAATTACTATTTCAACGTCGCCACGCCGATGCTGCAAGGCGCCCTCGAACGCTTTTCTGCATTCTTCCACAGCCCGCTTTTCTCTCCGTCCTGCACTATGCGAGAGCTCAACGCCGTCGACTCCGAGAATAAGAAGAACTTGCAAAATGACATGTGGCGCATCTTCCAGTTGAACAAATACCTCACCAAACCTGGTCATCCGTGGAGCAAATTCGGTACCGGCAACAAAGAGAGCTTGACGCAAGCAGGTAAGGATGCCAAAGCCAAGGGTTTACTCAACGGCGCGAATGGCAAAAAAAGTGTCACTGGTAACACTCTTGCGCCGTCCCCAATCCCGTCTCGCGTTGCATCACCTGCCCTATCCACAAATTCTGCGACCAGTGAAACGGAAGCGGACGGTGGCTTTGTCGGACAGGAGACCCGTCGTAGGCTCATTGAGTGGTGGACCAAAGAATATTGTGCTGGCCGCATGAGAGTTTGCGTATTAGGCAAGGGTAAGAGTAGACTTATTGATTTTGAAGGCGTCTCTTGACAGAATCTCACCGTGCAGAATCTCTGGATGAGCTCTCGGAGATGGTTGTCGACCTGTTTTCTCCAATCAAGAATAACGGACGGGACCCATTACCTATGATTCAAGATCACCCTTTCGGTACGAATGAGAAAGGCGTAGGTCCAAGCCCTACTGGATCGCTGACACTGCTAACGGTTTCTTGTTGCTAGAAACTGATATCTGTTCAAACTGTCATGGACTTTCATGCAATAGAGATATCGTTCCCGTTCCAATATCAACCTCCATTATGGCGCCACAAGCCTGGACAGCTTCTCGCTGATCTTGTAGGACATGAAGGGCCGGGATCTCTACATTCGTACCTGAAGAACAAAGGCTGGGTTACTGCTATCCATAGCGGACCTCAAGAGCTTGGTCGAGGGTTTGAGATGTTCAAAATCACGCTGTATTTGACTGAAGATGGCTTCAGTAAATGGGTTTCTCTTGCTGATTCGGCTCACGCTAAACTGCTTTATCATCATCTTAGAAAACCACAGGGCATGTGCACTTGCGGCATTCAACTACCTTTCTTTATTACGCTCACAGCCACTTCCTGCATGGTTCCAACGAGAACGAAGTCTCATCTCCAACATCCGTTTCCGTTTCCTAGAAAAACGGCGCCCCGACAACTTTGCAGTATCAGTTTCTGAGCATCTCGCATGTCCTATACCTCGCGACCTGACCATCAAAGCGGCTCATGTTGTTTGGGAATGGGATGCTGAAGGCGAGGCAGAAAAGAAAGCGCAGCAAGCGTTAGAGGGTCTGAGAGTCGGAGAAGGTCGCGCTGTATTGATGGCGAAGAAAGAAGATCATGAGCGTATCACAGGAAAGAAGGAGTGGCAGAAAGAGCCATGGTATGGAACGGAGTTTAGAGTTGAGAACTTCGACGAAGAGTTTGTCAAATTGGTATGTTTCGTTCACGAGGGCACTCATGACATTTGGTACTAACGTCTTTCCCTTGCAAGGCTGAAGGCCCTAATGTCGTCCCAGAACTGCACCTCCCGCGACTGAATGATTTTATACCGCAAAATTTGGACGTCGACAAGCGAGAAGTTGCCGAAGCACGTCTCATAATTTTCATGCCTCTATCGCATCTAACTGATGAACACTGCCTATCTGATAGCCACAGCCACGCCCTCACCTCGTTCGCGAGACTGCTCTTTCGAGTTTATGGCATAAGAAAGATGACCGCTTCTGGGTCCCAAAAGCCTATGTCATGGTGGATATTCGGACGTCTGTCGCGCACATACATCCCTCTAAAATCCCAACACACTCATATTGCTCTCCACAGCCCTGTAGCAAACGAATCACCCTTGGCATCCGTCTTGACCCGGTCAGTATGTGGTATTTCAGGCCGTGAAGCCGACTAAATTTGTGTTTAGCATCTACGCCGAGCTTGTGACCGATTCACTCTCCGAGTATGCGTACGCCGCAGAGTTGGCTGGCCTGGGTTCCAATGTCGCAGTATCGACACTTGGCATATATGTTTCCGTCAGCGGTTACAATGATAAATTGCACGTCCTCCTGCGGGATGTCCTAGAACGACTGAAGAATGTCCAAATCAAGGCGGATAGGTTAGAAGTCATGAAGGAACAGGTGCGCTTTTACCATTATGATATGTGTATGGGCCAAAGCCTGATGCCGCTGTCAAACTAGGCAAAAAGGGAGTGGCAAAACTTTTTCCTCGGACAGAGTTACCGTGTTTCGGACTACTTCACTCGTTACCTGATGATTGAGCAGCAATGGACGATAGCAGAGAAGCTGCAAGTCATCGATTGTAAGAAAAATCCGTTACTTTTTTTTTTCACAAATCGGGCTAACATATTCCCTTCAAGCTGTTACTGTCGAGCAGGTAGAAGAGCATATGAAGAAGCTTCTATCAAGAACCTACTCTCGAATCCTGGTCGAAGGTAACATATATAAAGATGTGTGTCCCTCTTTCTCACTCATCGTGTGACATTCCAATAAAGAGAACTGTGCTTTCAGGAGGCTGCTGACCTCGCAAAGATGTCAGAAGACATCATCAGCTCGTCGCCGATGCCTCCGTCTGAGATGGTCGACTTGTCACTTCAGTTACCCGAAGGTAGTTTTGATCGCATCCGTCGTCTTTGACAGTCGTTGACAGTCGTTCTCCAGGCTCCAACTACGTTTGGTCGATACCGGTTCCAAACCCGAACGAACCGAACTCTTCCCTCAGCTATTACGTGCACTTTGGACCGCTGATTGACCCGCGTCTCCGGGTCGTTTCCGTGCTCCTGACACAGATCCTCTCTGAGCCCGCTTTCAACATCTTGCGTACCAAGGAGCAACTGGGCTACATCGTCTCGGCATCGCAATGGGTCGCGCCTGGCGCGAACGAATCAGGTCTGCGCATCGTTGTTCAGAGCGAGAGAGGTCCCGTATATTTGGAAGAGCGCATCGAAGCGTTTTTGGAACACATGAAGGGTGTGATCGAGGCGATGAGCGAGGACGAATTCTTAGAACAGAAAGCAGGGCTCGAGCGACGATGGACGGAGGCCCCGAAGAACCTGTCAGAGGAGGTAAACAGACATTGGGCCCATATCGATTCCGGATACCTTGACTTCCTCCGCCGTGAGTCCTCTTGGTATTGGATCGAGAGCTTCCGGCGCTGACTTAAACAAAAACAGGCTCTAAGGACGTCGCTGAGCTGGCGACTGTCACAAAGGACGAAGTCCTCGCGATCTTCCTGTCGCATGTTCATCCGTCATCCACAACACGGTCCAAACTCTCCGTCCACAGCCGCTCTCAGCAACCGCGGCCGAAGCACGTCAGCATCGCCGCGGCCGAGGCGTTCGAGCGCCTCGTGCAAGAGGCAGGTATTGCTGTGGACGGGATCAGCTGGAGAGAGGACTTCGCGGCCGACGCCGAGCCCCTTGCCAGCGACTTCACGAAGCACTGGGAAGGGGAGGCGGTGGAGAAACTGCTTGTGGCACTGCCCGAGCTTTTGGAGATGCACCCTGCCCGCGCGGACTCGGAGGGTGCGTTGAGAGACGGCGTGATTCATATCGAGGATCCGAAAGCGTTCAGGGCATCGTTGAAGGTGTCTGAACCCCCGAAACCACTGGTAGAATGGGGTGACTTGCCCACGTCTAGATTCTGATGTTCTGAATCGCCGTTGGGGTCGCTACCTAGTATAATATCATATACACAGAGCACTTGTATCATCTACTCGTCATCCTCCTTCACTGATATACTGAGCCTTCGGTCTTGAGTTCCATACAATCATATCATATCGTCTCGTTTCGCCGTGTTCTTGATTTTCGCACTTAACTCTTGACGAGTTTCATTAATAGAATGATCGTGGTAAAAGCCAGTGATCTGAAACAAGACGGGATGCGTGTCACAGGCTTCCAGTGACCCTCCCGCAGCGCATGCCTAGAATCCAGCATCGAGGAGCGCGGGAGATGCCTTCCGCTCGACGGAGACCACCCACTTAAAGCAACTCTCGGCGCTGTGATTTTGATCGGGTGGCGAAGGCTCAGCGCGCTTCGATACTCTAACAGCCTTTATGACTCCGGCAAGACCAACGACCAGGAATAGAACAGTGATTGTTCGTGAAGCGAGCCCGAATCTGAATAGCTTGTTTGAACTGGATATGGACACGCCATCGGGATCCAGGCCACTTTCGGCAGCGATGGGGCATAAAACGTACGGCCGTGCCACTGCCGCAGGCACGACGCACTTGAAACCGCATTGTTGCGGGCGGGCATGATGGGAGCTCGTCGTGAGACAGCCACGACCAGAACGATGTCGCAGGGCGGAAGTAAGAATATAATCAAATCCGCACGTTGTCGACGATGGGCCACGGTATGAACAGGGTTGATTGCTCCATGAAGGACGACTTTGTATGTATGCACGATCACCCGTCACGGATGCCGTCAAGCTCAATGCAAGCATCGTGCCATGCCTGATCAGATCTGCATGATCAAGCGCAGCGAACAGGCATCTAGCTGGCAACGCAACTGATGAATCGATGGCGGCGCATGACACCCTTCCGCGAGGTTGAGATGATGTCGATCAAAACGGAATCATGGCCGGCGATGAGCGAAGACAGTGCACCCACACCAATACAGTACGACCTGATTGCCCCGTGCGCTCGTGCTATGTGCACGGGATGGGAAAAGAGGTGGAGGATCCCGGGCGAGATCCGATTCGGACGGGCGGTGGAGCGCTCGCTGAAGGGTCGCAAAGAGGGTCAACGAGCAATTTAGAGCGAGGATGGAAGGTTAAGTATATCTTACAACGGGCCCTGGGCAGCCAGGGACATGGCGGTGGAACCTCCGAAACGTTGACTCCTTCATAAGACCAAAATGAAGACGAGTCAGGATTTGATTCCGTTGAGCGAGGTGATCGGTGACGGGGATAGAAAAAGGTACTGAACGGCACTCCCCCTTGGTCTGAGATTTGAGTATCTCGGGGGTTATTTTTGATGCGATTCTCTCAGCTCTATTATCGTCCCATGGCCATGAGACGAAAATCATCATCATTCGCGCTGTATCTCGCCTGTAGTCAGATGAGCAGTGCAGAGCTTGACTCACGCTCAAGACGCCGTCCTCCGGCCGATCGCACATTCAAGTCATGCAAGCCGTGGCCGATGTCAGTGCTGCGTCGTCGACGGCCAACTCGACTGGTCAGTCCGATTTGCTCACATGATCGCAAAACTCGGTTTTTGGAACGAACCGGCAGACGGACTGGGACTCGTCTCGATTGAGGGGGTTGCAAGAAGGAGGGGAAACGGGCGATCTGGGTGCTGGAGACGCAGGGCGAATTTGTGGGGCGAGGATGGGGGGCGGGTGGGGGGCTGGACATGCGTGCGGGAGCATCGACGGCGTGGGGGTTGCGGGTGCGACGCGTCAGTGGCTCCGGGGTCGGTCAAGGCACTGGAGACCAGTTCCCGCGCCAGGTGGCCTCTGTTTGTCGCTATCGGCACTCGGTCCCTGGCCTTCTTGTCCTTGCTCGTCCTCCATTCCGACGCGTCTCCCTCGCCTCTTCGCTGCCTCTCCCGTCCACCCACCTCCTTGCCTCTCGCTCTCATATCAAGTCCTCCCACCGCCCACACCCTGACTCCGCACAACCCTCTAGTACTCAACAAAATCGGTGCCAGAACCTGGTGCGCTCTGCATCTGCTTCCGTCTCTTCTCCCATCTGTCTCAACGCGTCGCATATTCTCAAGTGTCCACGTCCCACCTTCTTCGTTTTCCTCTCGCGATCCGTGCTGCGGAGATGTCCACACCGTCAACATTCTCGTCGCGTCATTCGCGTACAATAAGCCCACCACCCTCTACAACTGGCACGAGCACCATCAGTCCACAAACCTCAAGGTTGAACATAGTGACGCGTCTCGCAATCGAGGGAAAGGCCAAGAGAGACGAAGCAAATGTAGCAATCAAAATGTATCTCAAGGTGTGTTTGGTCCGGCGACTGATCTTTTTTTTCCAATTCCCGATGACGACTACTTGATTTCTCGTCAGCTCACCCTACCCGTAGACAGCATCACCCCAGGGAGCGCGATTCTTCTTTTTAAAGGTGGGTTCCATGAGCTTGCTCCCTTTATGCCTTAATTTCATGGACGGGCTCTAATCGCAATATCGTACCCACTCTGCTTTCAAATATCGTACCTACTCATGCGTGCGTTCCAGAGGAAAGCGTTAAGATTTTGGATCACGAAGTGCACCCTCTCGACAATAACTCCGTCCCTTACCATTTCTCCTCCGCCGACTCCCCACTGCTCCACAATGCAGCCCGGGCTCTGAACCTCCCTGCACGATCAGCAATACCCTATTCCACATTATTCGATCAATCTACCATCAATTCGTCTCGGGCCTCCTCGTCGACATCAAGCAACTCAGATCATCCTCACCTTGACAATAGGTACACTGGACATATCCTCGTTACTGGTTATCACGTATCGTTTGTCCTTCCCAAAGAATTTCCACCGAAATACAAGCAGAATGGGATCGAAGGCGATGGACACAGCCAGAGACGCACTACCCCTTCACGGAGTAGACGGGGATCTATAGGAGAAAAGAATGTTATCATGTTTATGGCAGGCATCAGCTTGATGGTTCCGTATCTATCTTCTCCACCAAGGGCACCTTGGCTCGTAAGTCTCGAGCCCATCTAGACAAATCATCTCTTGCCTAATATCTGCTCCATCAAGCTCTCCATTCCGACTCCCAGGTGTCTCCAGAATAATCTGAAACTTCGCTTGTTTCCGCCCAACGCCACGAATTCATCTACGCAGTCAATCTCCTCCACAGAGGCTGAAACGGATGCAACCTGGGACATGACGGCCGATCCTCACGTGACGCGCTCACCAGGCTCGCGTCGCCCATCGTCGTATCTGCATCAGAATTTTGCAGACGACGAAAGCAGCGATTCAGCCAGCGCGCCCGGGTTTCCTGATGGAGTCGGAATCCAGGGAACATTTCCAAGCACTGAGCGCGTCCGTGTTCGCTGGGCTGCTCCTGTTCGTGGTGTCGACGACGGCGCTCGAGACGGAAGACGCCGCGTTGGCGTAGAAAATGCGCGCGCAGAGATGTCTTGTACTATCTTAGGGCGCGGGCGTGATCGCGGGAGCAAGAAAGATGGGGTCTTGATGCGACTGGAGTACACGGGCTCTTGCTCGAGCATATGGTTCCCAGGAGTTGCCACGCTTCTGGGTATGGATGTTGCCCTTGAGGCCAAGAATGCGGAAGTGACCTGGGTCAGGGGGCACGATCCTAAATGGACCATCGTCGGCGGAGCAGGATATACAGGCCACGAAATTGGCGGGACCATGCACCCGAAGGACGGGATGGAGAGGCAGCAATCATTTGATCCACCCACGCCTGTGGACAAGCCGTCTACAGGACCCTCAATGCATCAAACACCATCCAGGCAGGATTCGACGTCAGCCTCGATACCATCTCTGTTGCGCGTTTCCCTGCCAGCTCAGAACGTGGGCGAGTTTACATTCGACACATCAGCGACACCCTCCGAGGCTGGCATGTCTTCCCTCCTATCTGCGGACGGCGGTTCAAGGGGTCGGAGCAGAGCCCCTACGGCTCATGCTGACACTCCGAGTCCCTCTGTACCTATCACCGTCCACCTGAATATCAACGATCTCTTACCGCCACACAAGAACGTATTCACTGTGACGATATCAGGCGTCGTCCTTGTCACGCCACGCACTCAACTTCCCGCTCCTGTCAACGCCAACAACTCCCACGATAGCTCTCTATCTTCTGACAGCGATGACGGCAGACGAGAACTCATTGTCTCACTCCCCCGTTTCCGCGTCCTTGCATCGGACGACGAGGAGATTGACACCACTGTACGCAACGGCATTGACGCTGGCTATGACGCTGTGGACGTCTACTCGTCCGCGGACCCCAAGGCACGTAAGGCGGAGCTAGCGCGCAGCGGCAGGTCGAAGGTGGGCGCCGAAGGAGGGCGCGTTGCTCTGCGTCCCACCTCGCCTTCAACGTTCGCACCGCCACCCCACCGCAATGGACGGCGAGATGACTCGGAGGGCCCAAGCCGACCACCAAGTCGGCCTCTGACTCCTTCGGACTCACGTGCAGGGTCCTCATCAGCGCTCAGAGAGACCATTTTGTCCTCCATACGACCCCGGAGAGATGGCCCTCTGATGATCCCATCCGTCGCCGCTACTGTGACACCGCTGCTGTCTGTCGGGTCTGACTTGCCCGATGCGTATGCTGTCCACGTCGTACTTCCCGCCCCGGTGGACACGGATGACGAGTGGTTGGAGTTCGGCCTCGCACAGCCCTCGCCGCAAACGGACAACGGCAGGCCGCCCAGGGTGGAGATCGCATCTGCAAGCCTGGACGGCGTGCCCCTGCGGTACGAGACTGCCGTGGCGCCTAAGCTGGACCAAAACAGCATGTCGGCGCTCGCGTTTGAGCAGATGAGCAGTAAGGAGTGGATCACTTGGGTCCGCCTGCACATCAATCCAGCGAGCTCAGGGACCGTGGAAGTGGTGTACATTGTCAGGCAGAAGCCCACGAGGGAAGCGAAACTCGTGGGCGCCACGAGCAAAGGCAAGGAGAAGGTCAAGGATGTTCACGCGATGAACGTCATCCTGCCCACGTTCAACATCCCAGTTGGGTGGCTACGAGTCGATGTCGAGGCCCACTCTGGCAAGCATCATTCGCCTTGGAAGCAGCTTACTTTTGGCTGACCTTTGATAATTAGAATTCGAAATAACGTCGGTTCAGTCGAATCTCCCGCATCATCAATCTCTGCCTTGCGCGCGACGGCTGCTCAAATATGCTCTTGAAGAGTACTTCTATACACAACTCAGGGTTCACATTGGCCGTCCTGTGGTAGACGCGCCTCCAATACCTCCGTCGGTCTCGCGTCTCTTCCGCGTTTCGATGAGCACAGCCCCGTCCTTGTTCTTCCTCGTCCTCTTCTTGTTAACGCTCGGGATGAACAACGACCTTGGGCGCATCGGAAGGTCGTTGGACAGTTGCTCCACTATTTTGGGTTCGGGATGGGATAACGTGTCGCCAACGGTCACGGTCACGGCCACGGTGGTATCACGGACGGAGGAGGGTTCGCCGGGTCCGACAGTGTCTGCGGCGGATGCCTCATCACAGCAAACGCCCATAACCATCATCGACGTCACGTCGCCTCCCTCGAATCGACCGCCCGAAAGTGAGAAGAAGCCAGGGAAATCGCCATACAAGGAGCGGTCGGCGCTCCTGCCCTTGCGACACCTGCGTTTGCCGACCAGCATTCGGATCGATTTCCCTGTTCTTGCACACCATGCGATGGACACTGTGATGGACGGACTGAGCGTCGTATGGCAGATATGCAGAAAGATATATCATTTCCCTCTGGGACCACCGTAAGCGTTATAGAGAGCGCTATGGATATTTCACATCGATGCTTCTTTTCATCCTATACTCAGCACATACTCATTCCTCACGACTTCTACTGACATACGATCGCATGTTTATGTTTATGATAATTATCAGCATCGCCATGCGAATTCACGCTGTAAAATTCGTGTTGATTACGCGTCCAACAAAAAAGACTGAGTACATGGTACAATTCACATCACGAGAGAGCACGAGTCGAGTAGCATGGCGGTGATAAATCTTCGGATCGTTCACTGGGCCCAAGGCGACCGAAGAAGGTCGATATAGATGCGGGCCTCTGCAGCAAAGTCAACAGGCTGAATGCGCGTTATGCCATAGCGGACACGAGTTTGATCCTAAGCGATGCCGATCAAGATGTGTCAGCTGCCGTCGATGTACGTCATACGAAAGGCTCACGTTGAACGTATCCTGTTTCGCCCGACACCCAAACATGTATGTGTGGCAAGTCGCCTTCAGCATCAGGTCGTTGTAGGCCGCTTCGTCATTCTCCTGCACGGCATTGAGGGACCGAAGAGATGAAGGAGAGAGGTCATACCTTGATTTCGTGGACCTCGTCTGCGGTCTTACCGAAAACAGCCACACCGACATCATTGAAACCCTGCAACCAAACCTGTCCAGTATGGTCGGCGACAGCCATGGACATGATATACCTGTACATTGTGTAAATCTAAGCAGTTGCGAAGATCGGGCTGGGACAGGGCTGACCGATACTGGGGTTTCGGATAACTGCGATCACATTTCTCGCACCTCCAACCGTCGTGGCTTTCGACAACCTTCTTGCTGCATCCTTCGGTGTGACAGGCAGGATAAGATATGTTGTCCGACTTGATATGCATAATCGTTGCACGAGTAGAGAAGTAATCGGGCTTCTCCTCGTTCATGCCTAGCTGCGCATCCTTCACCTCGCTGATCGTGCGCATTTCGTTGCGGTTGATGGAAGCGCCTGACCCAGCACCTGCCGAAGAGTGCGCCGTGAAGGATGTACTTGCGCCACCATCGTCGTACCATCCACGAAGTAGATGGGCCTCTGAAATGTCTGGACTGACAGCCATGGTGCTTGAGCTGAACATCGAAAGCGAGCGTCCTTGTGGTTTGATTGTACCATAAAGACTCTATCAAGGAACTGATCACAAAGTGCTACTCACCTCCAAATTCACCGACTTTGACACCCTTGAACGCGATGACGGTGGACGGACTTGCATTGAATTGTTCCGCTTGTTTGCCCCATAGAGTGAGACGGACAGAAAATGCTGATCGATCGACAAGTGTTAGCTCCCGTTTTTGAATCTGTAACACAAACTCAGCCGTTGCAACACAAAAGAACATTGTTGGACTGACGGTCCGGTTTGCTTTGGTGTTGATTTCTCCCAAGTCACCGATGTCTTTGACGATACCAATAACGTCTAAGGGAGATAGAATTAGAATTGTAATGCTCGGTAGTCACGGTGGACGTACCGCATAAACTATCCTTCGTTAGATCCTGGAGACCAGAAAGTTCAACAAAGTTGTACTTGACGACCGGTAGATTTGCCGTATCGAGACACTAGGGAGATATGAGACAGAGTGATCAACAGCATTCAACGAACTTACTTCTTCGATTTCAGTGGTACGTTCCAAGCTCAATTCATACTCATTGGACACCGAAGAAAATTTCTTCTTCGATAAATTGACGCGAGCCTTGGAGATGAAGTAGACCTTGTCCTCTTGAAGCTTCTCGTACAGCTCATCCACCACGGCGTTAAATCCAGTTCCTTTGATCTCCCCAGTATCGTCCATGAAAGTGACGTTGAAGAACTTGCCTTCGCCACGTTGATTCGAGTACGTTCGGATGTCAGATTTATGTGTGACTCTTGCCCTGATCTTCCAATTGTTCTGATAGGGACTAAGACCTTCAATAGGAAAGATTGTACTATTCCGGCCGCCTCTCTGAGTCGAAGCTGAGGGCGCACCACCTGAGCGGGCTGAGGCTGGGGCTGGGGCTGGAGCTGGGGCTGGGACTAGCGTGGAGACCGCAGTGGAACTAGAGGTAGGCGTGTCTTTGGCTGGGATACTTGAACCCGGGACTTTGTCTGGCCCAAATGCAGTAGGGGTCCCGATCTTTGGCGCCTCCTTGTGTACGACGCTCAGTGCAAGTATAACAACCAAGCTATATAGGTATGAGATATCGTAGGATAGGACATCTTTGTAATGGGCACGAACCGCTTCTCCTGGATGACGTTACAAGTAATCTTCTCAAGCTTGGCCACGGTATTCTTGCTGATCACGGCTTCTTCCACAAGATGATTGAGCTGAGTGGCCAACATGGCCTGGACAAAATGCACGCCATCGGATACAATGATTCTGAACCTATCCGTAGATGAGGAGCTCCCAGTCGCGATACCTGCCGAGACCTTTTTAATCGAAAGGAATTGGACGATGGGAGAGCTATCCCATAGTTCCTGGTCATCGCGGTCTCCTACTTGGAGACGTTCGCAGATGCCACTTGTAAGTTGAGGGGTTGAAGAGCTCATACTGATGGCAAGTGGTTCAACAGAGAAGAACGCGCCTGCGCGAAACCTCAATATACACGCGTTCGCGTTTATTATGTAATCATGCCGCACGATGTGGCGTGCCCGCAAACCAAGGCTCCGCTCAAGCACCTTCGCCATATTGGCGTGTATCGGCTCTTTTCCATCGTTGAATATTGTGAGTCTTCTCATGGAACCGGCCTGATCAGTACCGTCGATGATTGAAATTCCTGTGCATGCATACAATTATACGATTAATTTAGACGCGGAAACAACACTCTAACAAATAAACTGCCGGCTCTGCCGGATAACCAAGATGTAACGAAAGCAAGTACAGTGGACCCATGTCTCCTCCCAAGTCTAATTCGATTTGTTGCCTCTTATCATGGTGCGATTGGTCGCGTCTCTCCCTGCTTTCAACAAGGTCGAAACCTCATTGCCTCCCGTGCCTCTTGCAGGACCCGTTCTTCGTTGCCTGGCTGTCTCTTCGGACGAACCTGGAGGTATCGAATTTGCCATTGTCACCACATATAGGACGGCAACACGGATGTGTGCATCCCTCAATTTCTTCAGCGTGAGGACCACCGTATCGTATGGCTCGCGAATGATCGAGGTATCCTTGGCTAAGGATCGGATCGGCTGAGGAATGGATTCTAGGTCGGCCAAATACTCTCGGTGCTTCCCGGACATATACCGCCGCATCCTTTCCATGAATCCCTTGTCGGCACCCTTGTTACTCTCCGATGGTGCAGGGCTACGTTTTTGCTGGAGCTTGTGATCGACGTCGAGGAACACGTCTAACGCATGCATCACTGTGCTTTGTCCTGCCGATGGTCCGTCCAAGTCCAGTCCATCGGAATCAGGGACGCCGTCGTAGATCCACTTTGGTTTATCTGGTCCGCTCGCACTACCGTTCCACCACGGCCTCACGTTCCAATAGAAAATATATGGATCGACCGTCTCCCGAGACTTTGCCATGATCTCCATCAGTTCTTGAACAACGGCAGCCAGCCGCATCAAATCCTTTGCGATCTTGGAGACCGATGCAAGGCTTGTACGATCTGTCTGGTGGACGTAGCCATCGATGATTCGCAGCATCTCGACTCCCCGGATCTCGACCCTTGCCGATAAGATGTAGAACTCGACCTCTGTCGCAGTGCCGGACAACGTGTGCATGAAGGTTACGTTGGTGGCTGACAAGGGAAGTTCCGGATCAATGGGGGTCCAGTTCCATAGGACGACGTCGGCAAATGTTAAGATAGGTGCTATGCCAAGTGTGCGGGATACGGTGACCAACGGCACTGCTAAACAGGCTGGGACATGGATCGGCGATTGATCGCTCGCAGGAACCTGCGAGTGGACGTAGAAGTGGATCAAGAAGGCGAGGACCATGTGGGCTCTCTGGAGTAGACGGATATCACCAAAGCATGTCACGTCAAGCATAGGGAGCTATGTATTTGGAGGTCAGGTGTGGCAGTCATACAACCATATGTCGGCTTACCGAGCGGATCCTTTCTCTCCAACCCTCTCCATTGACTTGCTTCGCCACCGCCTCTTCTGCAACGTCGCTTCCGAGACTCAATACTCTCTTTGCTTCTTCCAGCGCTCTCTCCCATAGTTCAAATGCCCCCTCAAGTGGCTTCAAGGGCTGTGGAGGAAAAAATCCTGTCGCATAGTCAATATCGTATTCCTCCAACGACTTCATGGGTTTGGGCCTAGTTATACTCCTCCCCAGTATCCTGCTATTCAGCACGTGCATAAGCAGACGGAAGAATGACCCAGGATCCGGCATGGTTCCAGTGGGGGACGATATGGTGCTGAGGTGGTCCATTGGGTGTGCGCTGAGTATTATATGTTGGTTTGGATGATGTTCAATAGCGACTGGGACAAATCCTTTATATATGTTGGAACTGGCAGACAGTAACGGTGTACGTTTCACATTCGGCTTTACAGATGCGCTCACACAGTGACTCCAGGATATCTGTGACCCTAGGCTATCTGTTTCCAAATCCATCATATCTTCTCCCTGTGGAATCAGTACAGCAGCGCAAGCTATCCGGCAGGTGCTCTCATCTCATTACAGAAGCCAGGCCCGTTCCTTCTCCGATGGCCACCGCCGTCACCATACTCTTGGCCCCTTGATGGGTTCTTCTCGTTACTCCAACACACTGATCTCATGAAGCAAGGGCAGAGTGGGAACATAGGACAAATGATCTCAAAGATCCGTTTCTTGCCAACAGGAACCGGAACACTTACAGGGCTCGCATCACCGACTCCCGAGAAAGGTGAGTGCGACAGTTGTGTTCTTTCTCACGACTCTTACGCCCATACCAGCGCTCAGAACATCGGCGTAGGATATTCCATACATCCGTTCTCCGAGTATATGGCCATGCAATTAGTTTCGTGATCGCGAGCGCTTACGCTCTGGACCCCCGCTCCCGCGGAGGCCAGATATGACGAACCGCAACTCAAAATTAAAAAGGCGACGCGCTTTCTGATCTCAGCTGATGACCTCCCTGTCATGCGTAACACAAGTGCTGTCTCAACTCGAAAGATTAACGTGGAAATGCGCTTTTTTTCCCTTTGAAACAAATTTGTGCGGCATATGTCTACTCGTGTGCTGTTCTGGGGTATAGAATACTTCTCCCTGGCTAAGCATGGATCAATGGCTTATAGCCTCTGTTGATTGGATTTTAGCTAATGATCGAAACTATGAACAGGACCTGTGAGGCTCTGTGTTGAACGCAGCGCGTTTCCGTCGCCGTTGTGCGCTGCCTTGTTAATGATGCTGACTATGCGATCTCCGCTATCGCAGGCAATATTATGTGCGATTTGCGAATAGGAAGCGAATTATATCTTGCGATCTTAACTCAGCTCCTACCAGCTCTTTCTTAGGTACACCATGCTACACCGTATTCCTTACAAATGCAGAGCTGTGAAGAAAGGGCGCATCTGATGTCCTTCTGTTGGACATTATTGTCAAGGAACCAGACCACTGATTCTATCTACATAAAGCCTTATGTATTACAAGCCAGGAACATGCGAATGCTTCTGCAAAATTATGGAACAAGCGCGGGATATATGACATGATACTAGGCTGTTCACTTCGTTGTCGCCGATCACATTGGTCCCACGGCCACGTTGGCCACGCACCACCTTGTCATGCTGGGCAAAACTATGATTTTGGATGTGAATACGGCGTTAGCTGTGAGTAGCTATGATTGCTGCTTGAGCCTAATACCATAATAAGATGTCCAATCACCGAATCCTCGCCTTTTCAGGACATTGTCAACTGAACTTGCAACTTTTAAAAAAATCGTATTTCAGCATCCTCCATATTTTCCCTGACAAGGACATGCCGATAAAAAGCTGAATACGAGACAATTGCACGCTTGAGGCACCAATTCCTCTTCTGTTCAGGACGTCGGCCACAGACTTTGATCGCCACAAAAACGAGGCGGACCGATCACCTTCAGTCCGTGAAACGACATTGTACGGGTTTCAAGTAAGTGGCCGCGTTTTGACCAAGTATTATGTCGTTGTAGCTCTGGTACATGAGTTTTTAGAATGAACAGTCAACCTTGCTATCATTTGTGGTGGCCATTTAGGACCGCAAACCTGATCATAAATCAATATCTGCGATAAAAATTCATGCCGGCTGAGACAGTTATGTACTGTAATAGTGACATCGGCTCTCATCATCTCCGCTCAACGGCTCCTAGAGTCTCCGTTCGATGCTCAGTGCTTCCACCGGAGATACGAGCATCCGTTGTCCTCAAACAGCGTGCACTTCCTCTGCACAACCTCCTTCACCTTATCCGCAACACCGTGTTTGCCCTTCCGGAGATCTTCAAACTTGGCTACAAGATCACTGAGCTCGAGCGCAGAACCACCACTCGCTTTGTGACTGCCCATCACGGCCTGGCCAATCTCCTCCTCGGAGGGAAGCGTGTAGCGCAAAAATTGGGATGGAACTTCGTGTTTCTTCTGTAGCCGCTCCGGGAGATGCAGCTTTGCAGAGGCGGGTTTAAAGAATTCGGATTCAACGGTGGACACAGAAACGCCGCTGAGGTCGGCAGGGGACCACTTGGTTCGAGCCGATGATCTGTCCTTTTCGATAAGGACTCTGCGCACACCGGTCACAAAGTCGGGGGTGGCACCGCTCTGCATCCGCGGGAACTCTTATTAGCGAGGAAACATTGACCAGGAATATGAGGTCTCACGCAGAATGCAGTGGCAATGCCGAGCTCCATATTCAATGCTTCCAAGAGGCTCATAGTTTTTCCTTTCCGAATCGCTAACAACGACACCTTCAAGCTGGTTGGACTCCGTTCCTCCATAGTGGCCAAAGTGTCCTTAGCCCATCGGATAACGTCAGCGTTGTCGCCGCCTTGAGCGTAATTTTGTAGTGTTTCAAAAATTTCCTCTACGGTTCCCTTGCCGAACGCATCATCGAGCGCGATGCGGACGGCGCCGACCAAAGGAGCTGGATCATCAGTCGGTTCCCGTTCGTAAGCTAGTTCCTCGATGGCTTGGTCGATCTGAGTCAACGACGGTTCTTCAAGCGCCGCAATACGCTCGAGGAGTATGGGCACTCGATGCGAAGAGATGAAATGCGTGGCAAATCCATGTTCGCTGAACAATTGTGAACAGGAGGTTTTGTTTCGCGTTATGACTAGAAAAACTTACTACGTAGCGCGTCCTGTGAGCGAATTTCCTGTGAGTGCCAGGTATGTGCCTATCTCACCGTCAAGGCGGGACAAGTAATAGGATGCTCCCACGTCTGGGAAGTAGCCGATTTTGGTTTCAGGCATCGAGAAGGATGTCTTCTCTGTTGCGACCCTAAACCGTGCGGGAGCGGCCAAGCCAACACCACCACCGACTACAAAACCAAAAAGAAGAATGAGAACAATCGAACGAGTGGCCAAACTGCGAGAACATGATAAGTTCCGATGACGACTTATAACGCCGGGAGCCTAGAGATGTATCGAACAGACCAGGGCATCGTCTGCGACATGTTGGACACGTTTGCCCTATAATTTTATCAGTAGTTGGGTGCCCTCGTAGCAGGAACAATAAAAACTGTTGAGAACCCTGAGAGGGAAGTCCATGTCAAGCAGGCTATTGCTGGTAACGAACAGACAATGCGCCGACCGATACATATTTGTTTTGACAAGGCCAAAATCAACAGAGGAGTAACTACTCCACTGAGAATGAGATTTGAAACCAACACACTCACAGGTGATTCCATCCATGACAGCGATGTAAGGCTTCGATAACGTGGCCAAGGTATAGTCGAGACCAAACCTGGGGCACCTGTAAGAACAGTGGTGTTGTAGAGTATGTTTACGTACTCGCGAGTAAAGTATTCAATGGCCTGTTCTTTCCCGCCTTCTTGTGCTAAATGCTCTACGATGCCTATGAATGATAACCCGAACCACGTACACGATATGTTAAGCGTGTTTAGAGAAACGAGGACTGGACTGACGCACCAGCGACATCACCACCAGAACAGAACCCCTTTCCTACACTGGTTCCCACAATTACACCAGTAAGGTTGGAGCTATCCCATGCCTGAGTCGCCTCGAGTTCAGTTGAGGAAATATTCTGAATCCGGAGATGAGCTCGCCTCGAGTTTAGAGGATATAAGATTGATCATTCGTATATCGAGAGCATTGAGCTTCTTTGGGCGATTCAAAATGAACCGCCGAGAGGACAGATTCTCCTCAAAAAGAATGGGTGCCTGCAGGAAGAGTGAGCATGATTGTAAGCGTTAGTCTGTGAAACGATGGAAGCGACAGCATCATAAGAACCTCATCGGATATGGCAGACGAAGAGGGCGTTGCCATGTGTCTTGTAATTGCCCGGGTCCTATTGATGGCAGAACCAGTGCCAGAGCGGATGGACATCCTTGATAGTGAGAGCATGGCGTTCACAGGCAGGGACGACCAGCAAGTCACTCTCGGACCGAAATTCAAAGCGCGACCTACAATGCTAGATTAGGGTTAAGGTTCTCTAAGCATGCCTCTCCCCGCTGTTGGATCCCGCCTCTCTCTCAAAGGTTACACTGCCACAGTCAGATACGTCGGCAACGTCGATGGAACGGTCGGTGACTGGATTGGTGTTGAATGGGATGATCCAGCGCGTGGAAAGCATGACGGCGTCAAGGACGGAAAACGTTACTTTTCATGCCTGTTCGGTTGTTCTCTGTCGCACTGTATACGACGATACTGATCCAATCAATAGAGCTCCTGATGCAGGCTCCTTTATCCGACCGCTTCCCTCGATTGACTATGGAAGGCCTTTCCTTGACGTTCTAGTCGGAAAATACATTGAGGTCCAGCATGGCTCTGCGACACAGGAAACAGTTGTTCTCGGTTCATCGAATGGTGCCATACAAGTTGAGGCCGTTAACCTAGACAAGATTCGTGGAAAATTCTCTCGTCTTGAACGTCTGCGGGATATTAGCCTTGACAAAGAAGGCGTTTCAAGACCGAATCCAGCAGGCGAAATCCGAGCCAAATGCCCAAGTGAGTACAAGGGATCACTTTCATTTGCGTTGTTGATCATCATAACGAAATGATGGGTATTGATCTATCGGATGTTTAGGTGTGAGAAGTTTAGACCTGTCACACAACCTCATACCGAGCTGGGAAGTGATCGCTCTCATCGCGATTGAGCTGCCTCTCCTAGAATGCCTTACGCTGAGGTGAGTCCTCTCCTCTCATGAAAGCGTTGTCTCACTATTGCTATGACGGTAGCAATAATCGGTTACAGTCATTCCAATCCTCTATACACGCGGGGCAAGCCTTCCGAAATCTTACCGAGCTACAACTCAATGCCACTCTCATCACATGGCAGACAGCTCTCGACGTCATCGCCTTCATGCCGAAACTCAAGCATCTTGAACTAGGATACAATCGCCTTTCAGGCTTATCCTCGACAGAGTACCCTCAGGGTTCCTTTGCTTCATTGGAACTGCTCAATCTAGACGGCAATGACCTCATGGATTGGGGCGATATCTGTCGGGCGCTCCGGCCTTTTACTAGGTTCACAAGTCATTCTACGCCGTCATCGGAGTCAATGCATTAGTTTTCTGATATTTCTCTTATAGTCTCCGTCGACTTATCCTCTCCGCCAACCCTATCTCTGTCATTCCGTCTATCACATCTTCAATTTCCAAACCCAGCTCCCTCAAACATCTTGCGTTAACGGATACTCGAATCGATGCTTGGAATTCCATTGATGCTGTATCGGATTGGTGTCCCGGACTCGAAGGGCTCAGCATCAATGGTACACCGCTTGTTCAAGGTCTGTTCCTTCCACTAGTATCATGCTCATCACGGATTTGGACGTTGGATGATAACTAACGTACATATTGATGACAACATGGGCAAAGTAGATCCTGAAACAGTTCAGACCTGGCGACAGCTCGCCATTGCGCGTGTTCCCGCACTTCGAATGCTTGACGGCGCTTCTGTACGTTAACCACATACTTCCCCTCTTCTCTTCACGATTGATACTTGACATCGCGTTCGTGATCATGACAACTTCCAGATATCACCTCGCCAACGCACCGATGCTGAGCTATTCTACCTCTCCTTGATCTCTCGCATTGCATACCCTTCCGATGCTGCGCGTCTTGCAGCCCACAAGCGATGGACCGTCCTATGCCAACGTGAGTCAATTCGATCACTGAATATGGTTCATCTATCATCTCCTTCCTTGCGTCTATTCCCAAATTCGCTCTCGGTGCGATACCGGTACGATACTGATGTCTTGCGATCCCATCATATCCTTCTGCGCCGCAATCTCAACATCGTGGTTACTCTCCACATTGCTCTTGCCTACTACATCTACCGCGCCACATCCCGTTGGTCTGTATGTATATGATGCAATCATTGGGCACCGTCCTGTGACTCTACACTGCACTGATTGTGGTCTCATCCGGCCGTTGTTTCATTGACGACGATACCCCTTGTCACTGCAATGCGCTGGACTGCACTGAATGTATTATGCTAATCGCTCTGAATGCTCATATCTGGTTGCGCTCCTTGATTAGTCCACGGCACACCTGATATTTCCGTATCTGATTCCGCAAAGGACGATAAGCTCAGCAATCATCTCATTGGTACGCAGTCTCCTCGCAACTCTCATTCCGACTCTGAAAGCCCAAAAAATCTTTTAGAAATTGAAGCTATCCTCTCATCTGCACCACCCTTGTTGTCTGCGTCTCACGATATTTCCACTGTCTCCCAAACGACTATACGTATTCTCCCATCTGCCCCTCTCCGCCTTTTGCGTCTGAAACTCCAGAAGGTGTTCAAAGCCCCCCGAGGCACACGTGCTGATGTGTGGATGCACATGGCAAATGGTAAATTCTCTCGGCTTGGAAACCTGGATGGTGAGAAAGGTGTGGATGAGAACAAGGAGATTGGGTGGTGGCTTGATGAAGGAGCAAAAGTAGTTGTATGTTTGAAACCCGGAGAGTAATACCATGGGTCATTAATCACCCTAGGTTGTCTGACGAGCACCATTTGTATTTTTTCATTTCTCGTTGAAGAACCAAACATGACAATTGATTCATCCAAGCATTGACTCTTGCTCTATAGACAATCAGCTCCTACCTACCCCACATCTTTACAGTCATATCGTTGTGTTCACGCTCAGTAACATTGTAAGCATGATAACAAGACAAGGTTGTCAAACATGATCGACTCAAGAATATCATTAATCCCTACTCTCTCTCCATAGCAGATAGGAAGGAACATGCATATATACTGAAAGCAAATTGATTTACATATATAAGTTACATGAAGTACGAGTGCAGTAACATACAGCAGCCACCTACCTCTAGTCTAGCGAATCAAGAGAGGCTACATACCTACTTCAGCTTCCAATGAGACACAATGGGCCTCCAGCAAAGTGCCGAACTCATCGTCAACATCGTACCAGCTGATGTCCGGCGCGCGAACGCACAAACTTCGCGGTAACGTGATCTTCACACACATGCGAAGGAGCGTGTGAAAAGCCTCGATGGACCGGTCGACACCGTTGCTACTGCACCAGATAGGCAAGGACATCCTTCGAGAGGACCAGTGGACGCCTAAGATCCTTGCAGAACGAGGCGCCGTCTACATCAGCGATCCCACGATAGATGGAACCATATTTGAGCAAGCGAGTCCTACGCCTTTACGTCTGAGCGCGCGCCATCGCTTCCTGAGTCCAAGGACTTGGCCATTATAGCCTGCGGGCATACGTACTCGGTCTTGATTCGTCACACCTGAAAGATGCTTGCGACTTGCCCTGGGTCCCAATCGCCCCACGCCGAAGGTGAGGGGACATTTGACAGTCAGAAAGTACAGTGCTCGGTTCATCGCACAAACGCCATCGCGGAAGCCACATACGAGCACAAGATAGAGGCAATACTGGAGGAAACTTGGGAAGAGGAAGCGAGAAACCAATCGCCGGTCCCGGTGTCTGCCTGTCCGTCCGTCCGTCCGTCCGTCCGTCCTATTCGTTGGCACAGGTACCAGGCCTATCCCGTTCAGCGCCACCCGCCATCCCCGTTCGCATGCCTCGAAGACACTCTATCGTCGATCCGGTCGTCCTTCTCGTCGCGGCGCCTGTCATCCCTGCGGCGATCATAATAAGGGTCAGGGCCTCGTCGGTCATCATACCCTCCTCGTCGATCATCGTACCCTGCAGGCCTCCTATCATCAAGATCCCTTCGAGGTGGAGGGGACCTGGGGCGTCGATCGTCCACGTCGCCGCGGCGAGCAGGCGAGCGCGAACGTTCACGGCGGTAGGGTTTATCATCGCGGTATGAACGCTCATGACGATCATCACGGTGCCGATCATCCCTATAGCGGTCATCGCGGTAGCGATCATCTACGCGACGGTCGTCGCGACGATAATTGTCCGGGCCACGCTGAGTCCAGAAATGAGATTTGGTCTGCCCAGGACCAACAGCGCACGTACGTCTTCTTGCAAGGCGACTCGGACAGATTGACCACGAAGATCCTTGCCGTCAAGTTCTTTGACTGCTCGATCAGCATCCTCTCGGGCAATGTATTCCAAAATGCTGTCATCCTGAATCAGCGGTGTCGCGATGAGTCTCAAAGTAGGACACACCCCGTGCCAACGTTGTCGCGGTCGATATCAGCGAAGGATACACTACCAGCTTCCCGACCGAAGTCCTTGAGATCCTAGGTGATATCAACACATTAGTACTGGATCTCCAACCACGTTGCCGACCAAACATCAAAAATTCCAGTCTGTGAGCCACCAGAGAAGTTGGCGAAGCTCCAAAACCTTCATCGTATAGTGCAGAGATACAGATCGGTGCAGGTAAGAAGTCCGTCCTACCTGCCAGCTAGTATCCCTGGAAATGCCAGTGACGGTAATGCGAATGCCAGGGGGCCTCCTGACGCGAGGGGCGCTACGATGCATGTCAGTGAAGGCACCCTTCGCGATGCAATATCAACAAGGGTATACCCGTACCGGTCGTCGTAAGGGTCACGACGAGGACGCGATTCTTTAGCGAACTCAACAACGATGCTAGATGTGTGGATCAGCCAAAGCTTCGTACATGAATGATGATGACACACCTAGAGCCCATGAAATTTTTTCCGTTGAAGTGATGCATGGCATCCTCGGCATCCTATGATGCATGATAAAACTTTAGTGAGATATACAACGCGTTGAAATGATGCTTACTCGCGAGCTTTCAAACTCAACGAAGCCAAAGCCTAAACAAAATGCTCGGTTGAGTTTGATGAGAAGGACAATGGCCGCACCAACTACTCACCGGTCATGACTCTACAATCAACAATTTTTCCATAGCCGTCAAAAAACTTTGAGACATCGTCGGTCCTCGTGTCCGGAGGTAGCTCTGTGTGAGGGAACCTTTTATTGAGAAGCAGGTTTGAATCATGAAGAGGAAAAAACGCACTGCCAAGATAAAGACGACGGGCCATGGCGTATGGAGATGATGAGAGGGGAGGATAAGGGGGTGAGAAGAATAAGGTAAGGATGGGAGTGGCGATACCAGACTCTTTTCTAGCTGAGTTCGAATCTTGCCTCGTGCACGGACCAGTGCGCTTCCGCGATTCTTCCGACGGGAAAATACGAATCTTACATTCTTCACTCGAGATTTACGCAATGCAAAAGCTGCGAGTACGAGGAAATATTACATCGGAAGGCAAGTATATCCGCGGTATTGTATACACTACTAGAGACAACGACTAATTCTGGTGGAAATTATCCGATACTGACTAATCAGTGTATGCATTCAATACTAAGTAAAGAATCATCCATTTTTCCGATTTCTGGGGACCAGAAAACAATGATCACGGGCGTTCTAAAGCTGCGTATATGTACAGAAGTGTAAGAGAATTAGACCTAATGGCCAACGCCCGCATGTACTTAGACGATGAATAGCGCATCGAACATCGTACATCATACAGAGTTAGATGGCGAGCAAAAGAACAGAGCGGCGAAGCATCCATGGAGGTAGCAGGGTGAGTAGGCCGCAAACTAATGTTGCGACCAGTCAATGGAATTGATGTCAATGCCTTCTTGTACCATCTCCCACAACGGGCTCATATCGCGCAGCTTTTGCACAGTTGCGACTATCTTCTCAACAACGAAGTCGATCTCAGCCTCCGTCGTGAACCGACCGATACCAAAGCGTAAGGAGGAGTGCGCCATATCCTCGGCAGCGCCTGTTAACGCACTTCAGTGCTGAAATGAAGGACGAAAAATAAGCACACGCAACATACCGAGCGCGCGGAGTACGTATGAGGGCTCTAGTGATGCAGATGTACATGCACTTCCCGAGGAGAGGGCAATATCCTAAGATAACGACTCATGAACAAGTAGCTTGAGTAAGAAAAATGAATAGCGAACCTTCAATGCCATCAACAGACTCTCCCCCTCGACGTATGAGAAACTCAAATTGACACAACCGGGGAAACCATTCACATCCCCATTCCGAACGACGTGCTCAACCCGTGAGTTAATGCTATCGATCAAACGCTGAGACAACTGTGCGATGCGAGCGTGGTCTCTCTGATAAAATATAAGTCAGCCGAAGTGCTGAAATAAAAATAGAGAAGATGATTGAAAGACGCTCAGTACCCCTGCACAGAGATCCTAGCCAGATCGACAACTCGATGTCCAGGCAGAGCCTTCACAGACATCAAGGGTCACCTGGCTCTTCAGTATAACTGATGTGCAATTTACATCACTGCGCCTTGATAAGAAGGGACTTACTGTCATTTCCAACTTTGCAATCCTGGCGGCCTCACCCATGCCAACAGTCAATGCAGTAGGAAGTGTTCCACTGCGCAACCCTCTCTCCTGTCCTCCTCCACTCAGTATTGGCTCCAATCGCACCCTTGGGCGCCGCCTGACATATGCAGCGCCGACTCCCTTCGGTCCATATATCTTGTGCCCCGAAATGCTCATGAGATCGACATTCATCTCATTCACGTCCACAGGTATCTTTCCCACGGCTTGTGCGGCATCTGTGTGAAGGTACACCCCTCGATGTCTTCGAGCAATCTCCCCGATCTCCTTGATGGGTTGGATGACGCCTGTTTCGTTATTAACAGTCATAATGGAGATGAGGGACGTGTCAGGGCGTATGGCGTCTTCAAGTTCTTTCAGGTCAACTATCCCATTTCTCTGTACAGGAAGATACGTCACATCGAAGCCTTCCTCTTGAAGCTTGCGACACGAATCGAGTACACATTTGTGCTCCTATGGCATGATCACTGTTGAGTTTGTTTTACTTGCAACGCAACATAAATGCAAATCATACCGTCTGAGTAGTGATGATGTGCTTTTTCTTCTCCTTGTGGAAGCGGGCGACGCCCTTGATAGCCATGTTGTTTGTTTCCGTGGCCCCAGACGTGAAGACTATATCTTTTGGGTCTGCACCGATCAAGTCGGCAATATGCTGCGGGAAGCATGAGCCAAACCGAGGATACAAAGTACGGGGTATGCACGTACCTTTCTCGCGTCCTCGACTGCTTTCTCAGCCTCCCACCCATACGCATGTGTCCGGCTATGAGGGTTACCGTATTGATCGGTCAGGTAAGGTAGCATTGCATCGAGCACCCGCGGGTCGACTGGCGTTGTGGCCTAAGGTTTCCTCGCTGAGTGTCCAGCCTGGAAAAATGGGAGTGAAATACGAACCTGCATATCAAGGTAGATAGGGCGGGCTTTGTCCTTCAACGTACTCTCTCGACGAGGCATGTCAAATTTGAAACCGAGCATATCTGACAGAGTTCATTTATGACTTTGTGTGTAAAGAATGAAGTTGCAACGCACCTGCGCGAGGAGTGAAATGACTCTCATCCTTGTAGGTCGCAGGCAGATCAACAACACTAGCTCTGTCAGCACCCGATGGTTGAACATAAGTCCTGAGGCCTTCTACGAGAGCGGAGGGAGACGGTTTTCTGAGCGCAGCACAGCGAACATAATTGCGCGAGACTCTCGACAACATAGCGGTGGGCAAGAGGGAATAAGTTATGGTGGAAGTTATCAGATACTCCCCTAGGCGGTGCTCAGATGACGAACCATGCCGTCGGCACCAGCGCCGCTCGGCAGCTCTCGGGAGTTTCGGCGGAGCATGTGACATCAAGATTCGAGCACATGATCGTATAACGCGTCGCTATCTCCTTTTCTTCTGAATAAGAGGTTCCAGCTTAGATTGTCCAAATTAACTTCATGGTAGATCTAAAGATCATTCAACAATACACATCACCGTCAATCTATATGACGCAGCTACTATCAAAGCATATGATCGTCGAACTCGACCTTCGTGATATGCCTGCCCGTATCAGGCAAAAGAGTCTATGTATTTATCTGTTACATATAACAAACTCCCAATGCGTGACCTCCAAGAACTCATGAGTTCCATCACGGACTCTCCTCATGTTGTTTTACAGCGAAGGGTTGGCAGCAGACACCAAGGTTTGGAAATACGACTGGAACCACGTTCCAGCTTCTGGCGCAGGTACAGTTGCATCAGACTTGAGAAGGTCATATCAGCACCCATTTAAGTAGAGATCGGGAGGTATGTCGTACCAAAGAGCAAGTGCTATCATAGCGAGGCGAGGAGCTATTACTGGTACCGTCACTCTCGCCTCCTGGCTTGACCCAGACGATGGAGTCTATGTATGAAGAGCCTGTATTGGTCGTCGGGCGTGTGCCAATGCCGGCACCTTTGATGTTGCACCAGTCACCCCACTGCTGGCGAATGTTCTGCACACCAGAGCGACCTTGGTCGACAATGAACTGGGCTGGGAAGCCTTGACTGCGAAGAACAGGTGCAAGAGCCTGTAGGGCACGCGTATTAGCGAGGGTTATATCCAACATAAACCAGCTCACATTTATATAGTGAAGCTCATCATAGTTCGGGTTGCCCTGTGTGATAGGGTCAGGAGATGCGGCACTGAGAGCATTGTAGTTTGCAACGTTAGTCGCAAGGCCGCGGAAGAATGGGGAACTCCCGGTCGCCGTATAGATCTACATATCGGGTCAAAAGGTAATGGATCAATGCCTTTCGTCGTATGAAACGACGTACTTGAGCAAAGAGCTGAGCAGCGGGAGTGAGGTTGGCGGGCCAACCGAGCCACCCAGCATGACCAGCATCGAGGTACATATACACCCCTACGGTCGCCAGCTGCTCGATGGCATACTCAACAGCCGTCTGGGTGCAATAAATGTGTCGAGTCAGCGATTGCAGATCACACTCTCTGCCTAGACATACCATATAGGTCGCCTGAGCCTCGGCACACTTCTGCACGCTCAGGTTGGTCACCAGGTTGGCGATAGAGTCAGGCTCGACGACAGCGACAACACGGACATCAGGGTATTCTATCCAATCATTTTTATGAATTGAATATTTTATTATGAACAAAGAATTACTTACGTTTGATTTGGGCAACAATTTGGTCAATGTAGTTTTCGTAATTAGCCAAACCGTTGTCGGAGATTGTGAATTCTCCGTTGGAAGCCTTGGCAGCACAGTCACGATCGGGCAAGTCGTATATGACGATCTGTACGAGTTGCTTGTTTCCGGTGCTCGCAGCAATGGAGTTGGCGTCAGCCAAGTAAGTCCCAAGCGTAGGGACCTTCGCGACCTGGTCAAACCAGGTGAAATTCGGGATATTGGCAACGCTCAGAGCCTTGGCTTTTAGGGTGGAGTCGCTGATGTTGGCAGCCGCCGCTTGGACTTCCGCGGTATAGTACGGAGAAAGGTAGACGCTATAGCCGGTGAAAGGATTGCCAGCAACAGGAGTTGCAGAGCTGGAGGCAGAACTGGATGTCGCGGTGCCCGTCGCAGAGCTGCTCGAAGGGGCCGTGGTTGGGGTAGCAGAGGCAGAGCTGGAGCCAGGTGCATTGGACGACGGGCTGCATCGTAGAGTGTGTCAAGTGGGATATGTACTAGAGGAAACTGGGAACATACATGCACTGAGAGTAGTAGTCGTTGCTGTACGTGCAAGTGGATCCGGAAGCACATGCAGTAGAACCGGCTGATCATACGTAGGTTAGCAAATGACATACGCCAGAGCATACATGCGAGAACGTACTCCAGCCAATGCCGCCGCACTGGCCCCAGACTGGAGATTGTGCCTTGGCGACAGAAGACGCGAGCGCCACGAAGGACACGAGAGCCGCAAACTTGAACATTTTAGAGGAGAATTGATGGGAAAGACCTGAAGACCATTGAAGCCTCCACGATCTGTCCTTTATATGCGCACCCTACCAGCTCACAAATCCAAAAGAAGACCTTCTACTACCGAGGACCCTCCTACAACGACAGGCGTGGCCAACGGACAAAATGAAAATATCCGGCGTTCATCCGGATCCTACGGAAAGTCATCGGTGCTAGCGGACGGAAGATGTCGTACCGCGTCATACGTTCAGAGGCTGTGTCATGAGTTGCAGTGGTTCATCCGAGGACCCCATTTGTTGTCGACGTGCGCGAATATGGATTGATATTGGGCATGCACCATAATACATCACCTAACCTTAGCGGGAATATTTCGGGAACGATGTGCCAAGGAGACTCGTCTTCAACTTCAGCTTCCGGGCTCTGGTGATCATCGAGAAGAATTCGTATTCCCCTCGCAACTCGGAAAGATCATGGGGGTCGGAGCACCCTACAGCGTCAGCAAGTAAGACCAAGATAAGGCGATGCAATCCATGCGTCGAACAAATCATGATTATGCTGATACGTGCCTGCCCTGGTATAAACAAATCGTGGATTCGCTCTATTTTGGGAGCGTGTGGAAGTGTATATGAGCATGAAGGGTCGGTGAAAGTGTGAAGCTACGAATGGCACCAGACCATGTATCCTCAAGTGAAGATGACACCATTGAGCGAACCAAGTACAAAGTGGACCGACTGTAGAAGTCATCAGGACACAATGCATAATTGACATGCCTCCGAGCCGTTAAAGTCATGGATACAAGGCCAAAGCCGGTCGCTGCTGCAATGGACAGCATGGTGCAGAAGAGGACTTGATATCTGTGGAAATCTCGGACTGGTGATTATAATAGCCATCACGGCAAGCATGGCCAGACGGCAATACAGAATTGAATCTGGTTACAGCACGGCCGTCGATCAGTAGCAAGGGCATCAGTATTGAGTAGGATTGGGTCTAGACAGTCGATTGAATAGCTCGAGAACTACGACACGATCTGCATGTAAATTACTCACGTTCTAGGAGGCAGGATCAGGTATTTGAATCCACAATCCTCTTTAAGATCCTTTGCGGACCATCTCGTCATTTTCCACCCGCTTAATGAAGGATCATGAAATTTTCTCTGAGTATCTCCATGGATGGTTGACATCTGTGCCTATATTTTTAACAACTACCTGGAACGCACGACCAAGGAACATGACCCTCATGCCGATGTCGCACCAGATGTCCTATGGAGCAATTCAGTGTTCGCGTCCATCTATGAAGTCAAGCAAAACATACATTGCTAGCCTTTGCGAGGCCAAATCATATCGCGCACGGCATATGGTCCAGAGAGCGAACTGAAATTTCTTATGAATTTTACACAGAGTAGCAGTTTATCAGAGAAACATGAGACACGTGTACCCATCAAATGGATATAAGGGATACAGAAGCGATGCAGTGACCAAGCTGTGTATCGGTGTTATTTCCTAGTACATCCTGGAAACTAGCGCCTCTTGGGCGCACTCGGAGGTGGTGGAAGAAGTGGGAACCCCCCGCCGCCCGAATTAGTGCTAGACACCGTTGTCCCTGATCCCAGTAAGTTAGTCTCAAGTAAACCAGTCTTCGAGGTATCCAGTTTGTTGCCACGCCCAGGAATGGAGATCGAGAAAGTCTGGCCTTCCTTGAGAGAATAATCCTTCTTTGGGCCGGCGGGGATATGTGGGGATGGTTGGTCTTCAGATGTCGGCGAAGGGGGATTAAGGCGAGCTTTGTATCGCCTGTGTACGGAAGATATGAGAGTTGGATCTATCAAAATGATACACAAAGAGTACTTGGTGTAATCCTGCAGCGCCACGTCTAAGAGTCTCGTTAACATGCGCAATGATCGCTCAACAAGAGACACTGACTGAAATCAAAACTGTCTGAGCGTTCGGCAAAGCCCATGCCGATGTAGGCTTTACGTCCGCTATCCTCGACACGGACAACGAAGTATCGGGAGGAGTCTAGAACAGCCTCGACTGGGGGCTTTGCGGCATCATACGACGCCTTGGCGAATACTGACACGGTCACTCTGAGGGTAGGAATACCTTAGAAAAAGGGAAGCAGTACATTCACCTGTTTTAAGTCAGTGCTGGATAGCGGTCGCTCTGATCATGCAGTGCATACCGGTCGTTACATCCTCGAACAGAAGAGAGACTGCTTCTGACTTCTCAACAATTCGCATACGCCCCTTCCAAAGAGGTTGAGCTAGATCGCCCCAGTCCTGAGCACGGTGTCCTTCATTCTTCTTGAGCGGAGGAATCTTGTACACTGAATTGGACCATCAGAATGAAGATGCCTTAGCAGGAGCTCGGACGACGAGGTACCGGAGATTTCTCTGGCGATGTAAAGGATGGATTCGATCTCATCATTTGTGAGGTCGTCCATCTTCAGGAAGTTGATCAGGGATATGATACCCGTACAGGCAGAGAGAGGTGTAGAGTCAGGTCACGGAGACTAATCAGACAGCCACACGCGTAGTGGCGCCTCACGCTACAGCCTACACCATCATGAACGCGCCTCCCACACCACCTCTTGCTCCAGGCGACCTTCCCGCAGATACTGAGACCGAAGCCACACCATCCTCTGCGCACTCGGCTTCAGCAGAAAATACCAGTGCTTCAGTCCCGCCCTCCGATGCTTTCCAGGTGGAACTATCGCTCTCTCATGAGAACCCATACAAAACTGTCTTCCCTCAATTGATAAGTTTGGCTGCTGCAGGAGAACATAGAGAAATAATTCAAATCGCTGAAGAAGCTGAGTTGATCGTAAGTTTTTCTATCCCGATTACGACAGATCAAGATACAGAAAACTCCCTTGTGCTACATTAGCCCGTCAATGAAGGAGATGTCAGACGTCTGTTCATAAAAACACCTCTTGTGCTTTCCTACCTCATATTGGACGATCTGTAAAAGCCCTTCTATCATTGGTTGTGAAACTATTGACGATCAATGTGCCAATACCCAGCCCTCCAGCAAAGTTCGTGTTGACCCGCCTCCCTGACTCAATTGCTTCGAAGCCACTCCCCCAATCCCTCTTCAATATTTTCGCTTCCGTTTGGGAACGCAAATATGAAAACGTCTATCCGCGCGCGGAAGCGCTAATGGACATCGCACATCAGGCGGATTTCCCAGAGGGCCTGGCTTCCTTGATCGCGACTCTGGTTACACAGTTTGTTGGTCAGTATCCACAAAACTATCTATCAAAGAGTCATCTTCATGTTGGAACGGTGTAGAATCATTTCGCAGGAGGACTTTTGCATTGATTTCGCGAGCGTACAGTTCTATTCCGCTTGCACTAGCACAGGCCTACATAGGACTCAGCCAGGAGGAACTTCTCGCAGGTTAGATCTTCCGCGACCCAATATTCAATATGCGTGCTGAGCAGAACCACAGTGACTGAAGCGAACCAGTGGACATATGATGCTTCCTCGCAGATTCTTACACCTGCACCTGTTGCAGGGCCACGCTCGACTACATATATATCAGGTACATCATGTTCGTTACTTGTCAGTGCACTTTGTTGACCGAAACCCTACAGCACCGTCTACCTTGAAAGCGCTCGACCTGATTACAGATAGCGTAGCTCTTCTAGAGGCTTGACAGGGCGAGACTCATGTATACTAGATGTAAACCAGTTGCCAATCGAATGTTTGTGTTGTGCACAAATGATTTCGCGAACAGAAGCGGTTGATGCGGCGCATCAAAGATCCAATATATAATACAGGTCGATTCGAAACGCTCCCGCCATGGCCTATGAGGGAGGATGCAGTGCGCGCACGACACGCTTCCAATCCTGCAGGATTGCATGCGGTCGTGTCATGCTCGACAGCACAAAATCATTGGTGAATCTCACCTTATGGTCCAGTGCTTGGAAATTATCGACATCGGCGATATGAACCATGTATCGTGCGAGCTTGTCGAGCTCACGATCAGCCATGGCCTGCGGGGTATGAGCCTCCTTGAACGCTGAAATCTTGAGTCCTTGCTTCGGATTGAGGGCGAAATTCCGGCCCTAGGAAACGTGCAAATCAATACGCAAAAGAAATGTGAAGTGAGCGCCTATACCAAATCATCTACGTGAATAGTGTTCTGTGCATTACTGAGTAGCCCATAAGTTGCACTGAGTTCCTGCTAATTGATCAAAAGCATGAACTAAACCTACAACTGAGGAAAGCGATTCCAAATGATCTGGAGAGCCTTGACGGAATGGGTATACGTCTTGCCTTCTCGTGTTGAGAAGACGGTAAACATAGATGTCTTATCCAAGACTGGGATTCATCAATGAGCCATTTCCGATGTACGTTTCATATTAACTGGGTTACCAAATGAAACCTATATGGCCATTTAGTAAATTCAAAGGAGATGAGGAGCATAACCCCACCTTGTACGGCCGGTCGGTGCCCAACATTCCGAGCTCAACGAGCTTGGTCTCTAGCCAAATCCAGCTGGTCTGAGACCTGCTTCCAATCAGCAGAATACTCTGACTCATGAGAGGGCATCATGAGCACCATATGCAGATGTCGTAGTACGGATATATCGCAGAGAGGAACTCGTGCAGTCGTGGCCGAGCACATTCCGCTGGCGGTAAAGCGCCAGAAGTCAGTGGTTTCGTGTCTAATATGGCTATATGAACCCGACCACATCAGTGCTCCTAGCCGAATGATGACTCAAAAGAGATCAAGTTACTATAATCGATATCCAAGACCAGCAAGCGTTTTCCTTCACGAAGAGGGTGAATGATATTCACATTCAACCTCTTCGTGGCCTCGCGAATTTTTCTCATATTCCGCTGATCATTTTGGTATTGGATCGCAGCGGCGGGGTCCATAGAAAAGTCGACATCAAGATCGTTGAGTATATCTGGCAGGAATTCCACCTCTGCCCAAGTACTGATGTCATCGATAATCATATCTGAAAGGAGGAGCTTGACGCACGCGAAGGGTCCTTGATCTCGTGTCCTTCCGGTGTACCCACTAGAGTAAATTTCTTACTGCTGACAAGTTTGAGGTTACCTCTGATGAACCATCAGTTGCAAGTACAATTATATGGATTAGGCGCTGTGGGAATGATGGGACATGAAACTGACACGCGTTCTTCATCTGGGGGTAACTTTCCTTTGACCAGTCCGAGGATCTTCTGCCGTTCTGGTGGTACATTCGTCAGGCTGAACAATGCAGCTTTCAAATCAAAAACCCTGAGTATATCCATGGAGTGTCATCCTGAGTTTCAACCCACAGTGTAGTCACGACGTACCTATCAGATTCAGCAACATCCAATGTGAACGCTTTACTAGCCCACGAGAATGCTAGGTGAATCCAGCGTTCGGTGATAGTGTCGTCCTGCATGGCATCAGTCTACCAAGATATCAGATCATATATGATGGTGGAGAGTCATTGTCGCGTTACTGAAGTTGTCAGGATCGTGGTGCTCGTGGCATCGCCCCCTTGTGCACCACTGTCGCTTCTCTGGATCCGGTCAAAGACAGGCGCAGAAGGACCGGCCAGGTTGTCTTCACGATACTCAGACGCATGGTCCATGACTGGTGGTTGAGCGCAACGGTTGAGTTGTTGAGGATGAATCAGGAATCCTAGGACGATGTAGAGGTACCACCTAAGTTAGGCGACGCGTTTGAGGAGGTTTAGGTACGTAGTCAAATGAACACTTACCAGACAAATGGTAGGGCTTTCGACACGTATTCGCCGCAAAGGGGTGCAGAAACCTTGTCACATCCAAATTTGGACAATGCTTTCACACGACTTTTGCACTACTTACTGATAGATATATAAAGATAAGTTTTTTGAGCTCGAATTTCCGTTATTACGAAGGCATGCCCCAATCGCGTTTGTGGCAAATCGACCCAACTCTTGTTTCTGTCTATGCGATTGCTTCTTGAGCTCAGGCCCTCAGGCAGGCCTCAAGCTTCAAAGTCTACCTGGGCAATATTTGATACCTCAAGGCACTTGTGAATTCGAAGTACAGATCCTTCAAAGCGGGTCGGGAATCTTCAGGCATACAGGCAGCGAGGGAGTGCTAGTTTCTATAAGGACCTGTGAGGGCCGATGTGATGTCGCCTATCCTCCCTGAATAGTCGGCTTGCAGCTTTCCTTTCTTCGACATGAAACACATTCTGGCGTGTCAGACTGCCAGCGCGCCTCGATTGGATCACTGATGCATGACGTTTCCTTGTTTTCAAATCGTAACTCACGACGGAACAATCGCAACTCTCGTCAAGGCCCGGATGTAAACAAGGGCGCTACTCTCTACATCAAAGTAGCGCTGCGGCGCGCCCAACGTCGTGCAGTGAGCGAAGACGTAGTTGTGGACGTCGATTCCGTCGGGCATGATTCATATGATCAGTGATATTTTCTGACACCATCTGCGCCCGTGAATGCCTTAGCGTCTGTAGTGATCGTGCTTTGAAGAGAATTTTCAGAGTCCGTTAAGATCCTTAGGGATCTTTAAAGATGCACATAGCGACGCGGCAAACCTGTCCTGTACGCATCAACTGGTCCCCAAGTCCCTATCCAACATACGATGAGACATCATGCATCATCTCGAACCCTGAACCGGCTGATCTCTTTAGCCGGCAACCAAATCAACTCCCGTGTAGCTAGGTAATAAACACGGGTCACTGTCCTTTCATGTCTGCATCCCCGGCGCGCGCTTCGTGAAAGCGGTCACGTCCTTCAGCTTCAGTCGATTACTTATATATATCGCACATCCATAGTATGAATATACTGAATCCCCTTCAGCGCACATCGCAAGGCCGATTGTGGTCGTATCTGCAGGTCCGATTTTTTCAGCGCGGATCCACACTGCACTACCAGCCATTCCATCTGCATCGACCAAACTCTCCATTTACAGCTGAAAGTTGCTCGGTATATCCTTCGTGTAGGAGGGCCTCATCGAACAGCCTCTACTTTTGTCTTCATCGTAACATTCGTTCGATGACAGGTATCGCGTCAGTACACCCGTCGGCGCCACGGCCGTCGGCGAGTCTCATTGTGGTAAATGCAAGGAATGAGATTTTGTTCGTCCATCGTAATCCACAGGCCCAATCATTTGGCGGTGTTCATGTGCGTATTCCGTGTTCCGATTAGACTTTGAGCCGCTAACGCTTGCCACTCAAGCAGGTGTTTCCCGGTGGAAACTACGACGCCGCTCAGGATGATTCATATCAGATGACTGCCATCCGGGAAACATTCGAAGAGTCTGGGGTATTGCTTGCTTCTTCCCGAACTCAGACCACTCTGTTATCCGACGCGGTCGTGGATTCGTCACGGAGGTCTATTCATGCACAACAGATGCTTTTCAAAGACTTCCTGAAAGAGCACAATCTTGAAACGGACAGGAAATATCTTCTTCCGTTCACAGAATGGGTGACCCCGCCACAGGTCCCTCGGTATGTCCTTCACTTCCAATCGACAAGGCTCATATTCATGCTATTCGCAGCCGATTCCACACACGTTTTTACGTAGCCTTTTTACCATCATCGTCAACCACCACCTCAGACTTCTCGCACGGAACAATCCAGCACCGTCTTCCTACCTCGGACGGCGGCCTTGAGGTAATCGCCGCGCGCTTCATCCACCCGCTCGATGCTCTCGCCGAATTCCGTTCCTCAAAGATCGCCCTCATGCCGCCACAATACTACCTCATCACCACCCTTGCGGGTGTCTTACACGGACGCGAGGCGACCCTTGAGCAGCAAGCACGAGTACGAGAGCTTGCCGCAGGTGCATTTGGCAGTATGGTGATCAATCCCCGTGGCCATCCAGGAGGTCAGGATCAAGACGGGAGGTCAGTTTTGACATATGAGGGCGATGAAACTCGTGGCGGATCGAAGGGCCGTCTCCATCGGTCACTCGTAAGATTCGGAAAGAAAGGGGTAAGTGCTTGCCATTGTTCCTCCTGTGGCTCGTCTACCTACGTCTCGGGCTGTAGTGGTCGACGGAAGCAAAATTCGCCATGCTAACACCTATCTCATTCTAGATACCCACCGAGATTGTGCTGTTGAGAAATTTCGACGTCTTTACTGAGATCGAGCACCAGGCATTCTCAAAGCAGTCAAGACTATGATTCCTCTCGCTGTCATCACATGGAGTATTATATTCTCTTAATAATTATGTATCTCAGAATTCTGTGTATCTAACGCCCTCTTATTTCGCAACTAGTTTTCTCAACGATCCTTGCCTGATTGCCGCGTAACATGAAACAAGCTGTCGCGTGATTTATGAGCAGAGGAATACCAAATAAGAATAGGGTTACAGAGACATGAAGTGCTACACCGGTATCAACACAGCTGCAGAGGAGTGGACCACACCTCATTCAAACGATCATTAGGGATACAAAGGCAAGCCACGGAAGCCCGGACAAGTGTAGAACCAAAGCGGTCGAAAAGTATGTGAAAAAAGAAACAGCTGAATCATAGAATCATTCAATTATGCGAAGGTCGTAGAACGTAAAATCCGTGAAACCCCCAAGTAGAGGAGAATCGAAAGATGTAAGATGCAAGAACACCCAAAAAGCAAGCCTGACTAGAATGAGGTGACGATGAAATCAGATGCCGAAGACTTGATAATCGTACGGTACCTGCGAACCCCAAAAGCGGGGATCGCACGCGCCTTCTGATGCAGCCCCTTCACCGCCGAAAAGTAGTGCAGAAATGTTAGACGTCGTAGCAGGAGACCAGGTCGTCAAGGATGACCCCGACGGATTCGGGTTTCCTGTATGGAGGAAGGCGCTGTAACGCGCCTGCATTTCACTGATTAGCGCGGACTGAGCAGAGGTGGGACTCTGAACAGTGCCAAACTGAGAGTACAGCGCACTATTAAGCGCACTAGGCAATCAGAAAAAACGACGAGATAGACGCACGACAATTTCAATATCGTCCTGATGACAGACAGACCCGTTCTGAGTACAGAATGGTACGCCGTCATTTCCTGGGTAGGACGCTCCGAGCGCGTATACACCAACATATGCCTTGCCTCCATGACCAACCCAATTCCTCGCAAACGTCCATGTTGCACACTTCCACACAGAATCCGTGCCCAACGTCTCAAGCTGGACCCGCGCATCGGGGTCTTCCCCGTCCGCAAGTACTGGAATACTGTATTGTGGGGCTGATAGGATAATGCTAGTCCGCGGGTTACCGAAGGTGCCGTTGACGACAGCATCATAGAGCGATCTGCCCATCGGGTCTGGGAAGGAGGAATATATTGTCAGGCCTGCTTCATTCTTGACGTTCGACAGAAGAATTGGTTTAGAAACCGAGGGAAAGGGACTAGTCGAATCGAGTGTAGATGTAAGGAAGTAGCCGTCGTGAACAGGGCGCATAGGCTCAGATTGTGTCGCGGACGGGTCTTGCTCGAAGCCGTTGGCGAACAACAAGTCTTGGGCAGACAAGATGTCATCGATACTCATAGCCTCGAGACACGCGGCATCTGTAGCATTGCACTTGATGTTAGAGTTGAAATAATTTTGGAGCGTCTGCTGAGCGCCAGGGGAAAGAAAGCCGTAATCCTACAGGGATATCAGTAAAAGACCCAAAGGGACAAAGGAAGGACGGACCATAGGGTCCGACTGAAGGATGGCAGACTGGAACAACGAAGAAGCGGATGGTACAGCGAGAAGTGCTCTGATCATGTTCGCACCGCTGCTCTGACCGGCGACTGTTATCTTCGAAGCGCTTCCGCCGAAACTAGGTACAACTTTCTGCAGGAACTTCAACGCAGTCGTTATGTCCTGTAAAGCGAAATTGGTCCTGCCATCCGGCGAATTAAATCCGAGCTAAGGAAGAACAGTCAGATGAGGGTAACAAATCGGCGTGCTGGACATCACCGACTCACTGCGCCCAAGCGATACTGAACAACTGCAACAATCGAGTTAGTTGCCTTGGCAAGATTAGAACCGTCAAGGCCTGGATTGGTTGCAGAGCCGACAATAAAGGAGCCTCCATGAATCCTATATCAGATAATATCTCAGTCGAAAACAGTACAGACAAAATGAGCGTATTTACCACATGAGAGTCGGGACATTGGTCGAGGTCAGAACAGACGTGGGAACGTATAGAAGCATAGACAAGCAATCCTCCGAATAATTTGATGAATTGGTGTTGTCCTGTGGGCAAGCTAGAGGAAGGGCAGTGACGTCTGAGGATCCATTCCTGTCGTTTCGATGATTGCTGGTGGGTAAATACGAACGTAAGAAATGAGGGAAGTCGATGCGCACGGTAGTTCCCAATCCGAGGCCACACTAGACAATTGCCATCTCTGAGCAGAACCGTACTTGACTGAGAATCGAGCAGCCCCACTCGAGAGGGTGGTGCCAAGAGCAATGCCGATGGGTGTTTTGACAGAAAGCCCAGAAGGCGCCTGACGTGGACAGAGGGCCTTCTTGATTATGGGCAAATGACAAAGGAGACCTCTTGGATCAAACGGGGGGAATGGGAGCCGATCACCGACACTAAATGTCTGAGACGGAACTGGCGAGGTGACCGTCGAAGAGACGAGCAACAACGTGACAAGGACAGCAGTAAGAGCAACCATAGTAGTCTAGTATCTGGAAAGAGTGCACCAAGATAATTCCAGTCCAGAAATCACAGCGAAGCGCGGTACTCTTGACCTTCAGCCGATGAACCTGGGGCCGTCGCTGCTAATGTAGCTAAGATGGAGAGAGGGTTTTAAAGAACCTAGGAGACAGAGCTCGTGCCTGCGAGTTTGTGAGCCAGGGTGGATGTAGAGCGTGGAAGAAGAGGAAGGCGGCGAGGGCCAGGGCATCGAAGTGTATTTGGATTACGGAGACCATATTATTTCGACAGCTGCTCCCTTCGGAACAATACAAACCTGCAGAGGAGAACAACAGTGCTCTGCCGTCGACCCCGCCTTCCTCCACGTGCACCTTTTATCCTTGTTCCCAACTGGGCAACTCGTCTCCAGATTCCCTTCCTCGTCCTTCGTGTGCCTATGTTGCGTATCAGTTCATCAGAAATCACCGATTATGACGACTCTTCACGCGTAGGTACCTGATGAATGTGCAAGCTGACGGGGTCAGATTCACAGATCGGGTGGTCATCTTGGTTTGCTTCCATGTCTCACAAGCATTGCAGGCACCGAGCATCGTCCGTAGATGATCGTGAATTCACATTCTTGTCGACTTCACAACAAGTTTGCTTGTGAAGGTAAGCAACTTTGAGAGGGTCGCCTACTGCTATGCTCAACTAAAGGATGTCACATTCGCAGCTAATCTAGAAGAGACCTCCCTCAGATCCCAGAGGTTGCCCTAACAGCGGAGACAGCTTTTTCCTCCCCGGAAGTGCTGGCTTCCAGGGGCCGTGGTTGCTCCTGCACGAGGGCCGTAATCGACAGCTTCTCCCCTACTAATGGTAACGCAATTAAGTTGAATATGGAGGATCAGCGCTCAGCGTCCGCCAGTGCTTCGCGGCATAATTGTCACTAGCCCCAGATGGTTAGGAATCGAACGGACTTCTATACGCACACATCCCTCACGTAGAACGATTGACTTTTGTTGGCGGATACCCATAATCGCCTGATTGTCTCATTCACGGCGATTTGCGCATGTAGTACTGCGTGCTTGAGTCCTGCCGCATCATTCCGTGGGATTAAGGTCATTAACGCGCTTATACAACAGAGCGATTGTGTTCTGTCGAGGCGAAAATCAGAGACTAGGTGGCGCCTGGCGATAAGTAGCTGACGATCCAAAAATACAAGAGCCAAAGTGGGTTATGACAGGTTATGACTGTATGACTGTTGGCACGCGTGCCTGAGAGGCCCAACAAAGCGTCGGCAAACTCCGAACAGTATGGCGTCGACAATACCCTCACCACAAACATTGAAAATGTAACCACATATTCATTTATTCTCTCCCAAACATGCTGATGAATTTATTGGCTCCAAAAAAGCCTGACTGTAGGGTCTGCTTGTGGATCTATTCACGACCTGTTCGCGAAAATACAGGCTATCGACGCGAAACATGGCAAATTCGATCTTGTATTGTGCACAGGAGACTTCTTTGGTCCGGCGACAGATGAAGAGGAGGATAATATGGGAGATGTAGCGCAACTGTTGAGTGGGAACTTGAAAGGTGTGTCAGCTCACTTCTCGAGACCTTCAGAGACTAACTCGCTCAATCTACAGCACCGCTGCCGTGTTATGTTATGCAGGGCGAGCATCCTTTGCCTCAGTCAGTCATCGACAAGTTCTCGAAAACAAGTGGGGAGCTCTGCGCGAATGTATTTTTGCTGAGTAAGTTTTACTTGGTTACCGTGTTCATCACTGTACATGAACCATGAGAGCATAGGCAAGTCTGCAATCTTCACCACCGCAGAAGGGTTGCGCATAGCTTGCCTTGGAGGATCCTACGAGTCAAAAATATACGAGGCATCCGAACTACCTCATGTATGTCTAGTCTAGTATGCACATCCGCTCTGTGTTCTGAACATCGAAAAGGGATTCTCCTCACCGTACTTCTCTTCTCAAACTGTCTCAAAACTTCTCTCTAACTCCCTCTCGACCTCGGTGCCCAAGGGATCCTCTCTCGCATCCATCATGTCTACCAGTAGCTCCTCCCTAGTCGACATCCTGATAACCCACTCTTGGCCATCTTGTATCGCTGCCCTTTCCTCTGCCCCTTTTCCGGTACCTGAATTGGACAAGATTGGCGCGCCCCCTGTAGACGAAATAGTCCGGAAGACAAAGCCAAGGTACATTCTGACCAGCGGAGGGAAACCGCCGTGTTTCTGGGAAAGAGAGCCTTTTGTATGGGATGATGAAGCTGGAAGGGTTTCGAGGTTTGTCAGTCTTGGTTCGTTCGGCGGAGAGACAAGTGGGGGCAAGAAGCAGCGGGTAAATAATTGCCGTCCACATTCTATGAGCGCGTTCTCATGCGCTGCTATTCATTGGCAGTGGTTCTACGCGTTTTCGATCGCCACGCAATCTCCTACAGCGCCAGCACCAGCGCGGCCGGCAAATGCCACAGCAAATCCGTTTACAGACATGTCTGCTCGGCTGCACAAGCGTCAGCTGGAAAATGAAGGCGAGAACTTCAGGTGGGGGGGTGTGCAACAGCCCGGAAAGCGCATCCGGCGAGGTCCGTGCCTCTTCCCTGTCTAATCACTTGATCACGCGCTGAATGCAGCTGCTATATGTGCCATCGACTTTCTTCCTTTCACACTCCCCCGACCTCTCAGAGGAACAGGGAAAACCTCCTGCTGGTTACAAGTGCAAGCGCTGTGACGCTACAGACGTGCGCTCTGTTTATTCTTTCTAGAACCTACAGAAATTGTTGGTTCCTTACCCTCATCTGTGCCTTGCAGCATTTCATCAACGACTGTCCAGAGCGGACCAAACCACCCGAAGGGTACGTGTGTAAGATATGTAACAATGTGAGCTTGTGTTTTTATAACTCCTTTCTGTCATCTTACTTGTTCTGATTCAGGAAGGTCATCTTGTTCGCGATTGCCCAACACGGCATGCTGTAGGTGACACAGGCGGACGTAAGCCGCGTGAGGGATACGTCTGTCGAGCCTGTGGGAGTGAACTACACTACATCGACGACTGCCCTGTTATCCATGAACGCCGATCGGGCCCTCAAAATGATCGCCACGGCAGTGGAAATCGTGGTCGCGGTCCGCCCAGGGAGATTGGACCGGGCGAATGCTGGTTCTGCCTATCGAACCCGAGTCTGGCAAAACATTTGATCGTGGCCATCGGCGGAGAGTGCTATCTGACGCTGCCGAAGGGGCAATTGATTCCGACGCATGATGTCGAGAAGTACAAGGGCAAAGGCATCGAAATTCCAGGCATTCCAGGCGGTGGCCATGTGTTGATCGTACCGATCGCTCATTTTGCGACATTGAGCTCGATTCCTGATGAGTTAAGAGACTCAGTCATCCAAGAAGTAGATCAGTGAGTGACACGTGGTGCGATGCGGGAGATGTTCAAGAGCCATCTCACTCACTTCTCCCCTTCTAACATTCGTTTCTAGATACAAAACTGCTCTCCGTGCTTTCTACGCCAAGCATGGCGCCACCCCAGTATTTTTCGAAGTTGGTCGTCTATCGGCAAAGGGCGGACATTCGCATATTCAAGTCATCCCAGTTCCTTTGTCCCTCAAGGACAGGGTTGAATCTGCCTTCGTCGATGAGGGTAAAGCTCACGGCATCGAGTTTGACATCGAGGAAGCCGGCGCAAAAGTGCCTGGACAAGATGCAGGAAGTTATTTCCGTGTGGAATTTCCAAATGCAAGTAGACGAGTACATTGGATGAGGGACGGGTTGCCATTTAGCGTGCAATTTGGCCGGTGGGTACCGTAAAAGTCATCGAATTATCATTCAGCTTACGATGTCGGACTTACAGACAGGTCCTATCTTCGCTACTGAAGCTTGAGGATAGAATGGACTGGAAGGCATGTGTGCAGGCAGAAGAAGAAGACAAGGCCGATGTACAGGCCTTCAAGGCCGCGTTTGCACCATTTGATTTCACGACATGAGGGTTTGCACAAGAACCTGTACTTCTCTCATACTCTTCCATTCGACACTTTCAAGTTATCTGATAAGCCGTTCCTGACCGTGATGCGTCAGACTGACATCCTGTTTTTTCAAACTGATGGCACGCCTTTAACCTCAAATCTTGAAATCACTCGAGAAATAAAAGACATCCTCGTAGATTGGGTCAATTTCGTTTATGCTAAAAATCTACACGATTCTTCTCTAAACTCCATGTTACTCTCGCCCCCGGATGGAGCCCGTTCTCGTACAGTCACATCTAGTTACACGTGGTCATCCAAGCTTGCGATGCTCTCGATACTCTTCTTGTAGCTGTGGCCGAAACTCCGCATACCCTCCTTGCGGGCCTTGCGCAGAACGCGGCCTATAGCGTCGAGACCTAGCGTATGGGATGAGTAGAGGTCCGGTATATATGCGCAACGTGGACTCACCCTTATCCAGATCTTCTATCGGCGGGCCGAATGAGAGGCGCACGAAGTGGTGGCATGGCGAGCTAAATAGGTTCCTGCGATGAGCAGGGTTGATGTCGAAGAAGATACCAGGGATGACGATCGTCTTCTCCTTCAGTAACTCTTCGAAGAAGGTCTACAGCCCAGGAGGATGTTTGCAGCTCTTGTCAGCGAAATCTGGTGCGTGCAACAGGTAGTAAATGGACAAAACGCACTAAACCGTTGTTCAGCGGTGGAGGCAGCTTCTCGAGGTTGAGCCAGATGTAGAATGTGCTGACGGGTGGGACATCGACGTCTAAGCGGAGCTCATGCAGGCGTTTGAGCACATGGTCGCGTTTCTCCTTGAAATGGCGCTGGAGAGCAATCTTTTCCTTTTGGACATGTTCGGGGTCGAGCAAGGGAATGGCGGCAAGCTGAAGACTATATGGGTGGTGCATTCAATCGGGGTTAGATTCAGCGCTACTGAGAAAGGAAAGAACCGTGATACTGACGGATGGTTGGCGCCTCCATCGAGGAATGATCCTTCACAGATAATCAGTCAATCACATATAAGACACAAGTCAATCAGACGGTGCAGTACCTGATTGAGACAGGGCGGTAACCAAGTTTTTCGGTCCAACGACCCAGCAGACACGCCAGCCAGGAAGGCGCCAATTCTTTTTGTGAGGCGTCAGTTTGGACACTCCTTTGAAGATTCAATGAATAAAATCAGACCTTAGTAAGTCCATCAATGATGACAACGGAATCCTGGGAACCCAAGTCCAAGTTGTGTTGAGTGAATGTGCAGAGATAGATATGAGATATTGTACCGTGTTAACATCCTCGATGTATTCAGCGGACGACACCGACTTGCCGAGGTCTTTCTCAGAATCATGATAAATATACCAAGAATAGAACTATGCAAAAAAAATGAGACTGGCGACATGATCCTTTCGTTCACATTTCGTACCTCGTCAAGAATCAAGGTGGTAGTGTCTTCTCGACTCAATGCCACGAGTTCTTTGAGGTCTTTTCCTCTAAACGGAGGATCTATATTGCGATTACAATTAAGGCTTGAGAACAACGTACTCGATGACTTGGCCAGTTGGATTCCTTGGGTTTGAGGCGATTAGGACAGCAAGACCTTGAGTACGAATGTCTTTCTGTTCATTTATTTGAATGATTTTAGTTGATATTAGAAGGAACTAAGCGCGTATAAGACACTAACCTTAGTTTGTTGTATGTCTAGGCGGTACATATTCTACAGGCTATTCAGTTTGTGATGAATAGTAGAGACAAACAAGAAATTTACCTCATGCTCCAGTCTATACAAAATGAGTCAGAAAATACATCAAAGAACTAGGGGAAGATAGCCTACGCTGTGGGCACAGGGACAAGTCTTCTAAAGGCGGAAAGTACTTGATCATAGGCTGTGTAGTCTGGGACTTGGTAAGACTGCACCGACAACCATCAGTTTGGATCAGACGGAGGGTTCATATCGGTAACAACGAATCATAAATCATCACTTACGCAGTAGACGTCACCGATGACGGCAGCGACGCGTGAGAGACCAGCTCTCCCGCCTGGTACAATACAAACATTCTCATAGGTATACTGAGAGGCCTTTCCCTGACGATACGTATGGTTATAGAGGTTGGCGACAGCATCTCGGAGAGCTGGTAGCAACGGAAGTATAATTAGTTTGATCAAAGATGTCATCGCCGAGGCGGCGCACCTTTGACGCCGGTAGTTGGAGCATACTCCAATGCATCTAAAGAATACTCCACCTTTGTTGGGCGCTCAGTAGCGCCTGGGATGGGTCCGACCTCTGGAGCCCCTTGACCGAGGTTAGCCCACTCGTGCGAGCTCGCATAGTTGAAACCATTGGCCATGGCGCGATCGGAGCAGTAGATGACTCCGGTAGAGCCCGGGTGTTGTATACCGGGAACGGTTTCCTCATCCTGGAGACCGATTCAGCGCTGCGCATAAGGGCAAGGCGGGAGACAAACGGGGTTGATGGTCTGCGGCAAGACTGCCTTCGGGTTGTGGCCAGCAGAACTACGGAAGATCTACCGCAGGAGAGGATGTCAGAAGCTGACGTCAGCCAAGACATCGAAGCGCAGAGCCAGAATGAGTACCTGGTGCGCTTCGGAGTCCTTTTCATGCTTGAAATGCTTGATAACGTCTAAGACCTGAAGACGAGCAGGGCCAGTGCAGATGCATCAAGAGGTCGTCCAAGTGTATGGCATCATTAACTGCGTAAATACATTTTGGAGCCAATGATTGGAACGTACGACATCTCTGAAGTGAAAGGGAGTTGTGGAGCGAGACGGGTTTGCACTGGGTGTGCCGGACATGGTGAAGCTTGTCGAAGATATGAGCCCCGAGCGGGGAGGAGGAGGTTATATAGAGAGGAGATTTCAGATCAGATCCACAGCTGTGCCCTTCACCTCTGTTCTATATATATACCCGTCTCAATTGGTCATATGAAGCTCCTTCCTACCGCGTTGCCGCCAGCCGCAACACGCTGCAACGACGTGGTTGCGCCTGGAAGAACGGCCGGCGATCACAAAGTTGCACACACGTTAACTCGACATACAGGGTCCCACTACAAATCTCGGCACATACGTCTAAGGATACAGTTCTATCCTGACATGATCTCTTCTTAGATACAGAATGACTCAATAATTGACCGTCATTACGCCGCCGGGTTAAAGAAGGGTCTCCCCTACACAGGAAAAGGTTACATGAGCGATGCTATTATGCTCAAAACGATGCGCCTGACTTACCTAGTGCGGCCCGAACAAGAGAACATCCAACGGCCACAGTTTGTTTCACACTCTCCGGGTCTTTCAGCGATGGGTTGACTTCCTATAGACGAAAAATTATCAGATGTGCATCTTCTCTGACTGTCGACAATTTTCAATACCATCAAATCAACAGCGACTAGGAGGCCTGTCTCGTAGATCCTTTCACAGATGTAGTGTCCTTCTCTGAACGTCAAGCCCCCACGGACAGGGGTTCCAGTGCTCGGTGCAACAGAGGGGTCTAGGGCATCCACATCGAAGCTCAGATGAATAGGCTTATCCCTACCAGGATTCACTTTGTCCAAAGCCATCTCCACCACCTGACCAATGCCATACCGATCTACTTCGTGCATCGAAAATGCCGCGATGTTGTGTTTACGTAGCAAGGCCTTCTCTCCTGCATCAATGTCACGAAGCCCGATGTACGCAATACGTGCTGGGGAAAGGTGAATAGAATCGAGCCAGGAGAAAGGCGCGGGCTCATTAGCGGGGGTAGGGCCAGCAGAGGTAGAGTCGGACAATGAGAGCAGATAGGAAACCGGCATGCCGTGGATGTTCCCTGCACGATAGATGAAGACGACTCGGAAGACGGAACGCAAGATGTTATAAAAGCTAACCTGAATCTGTCGTTTCAGGCGTGTTGATGTCCGCATGAGCGTCAACCCAAATCACGGTCAAGTCGGGATAATTTCTGAGACGCGCATCAGGCTCTGCCCCAACTATGGGAACTGCGACTCACGAGAGCGTTCCCCCAATAGTCCCCATTGCCAGAGAATGGTCGCCCCCAAGAGTCAGCGGAAGCTGACCTTGCTTAGCGTGCTCCCCGACCGCTTTTGCGACGGCTTCAGTCACTTTTGACACCAGCCTTGGATTTTTCAATTTTCCGATCGGCGGGTCAGCTTCAGCGGAGATGTCTTCAAACTGATGGTGGCCGTCAAACTGGACGTTCCATCCAAGATCAGTCAGTTGCTGGATGAGCCCGGCGTCGACGAGATCAATGGGGCCCTTGTCCACGCCAGCCCTGTGCTGCGGTCGAAAAGTCGTAAGACACAAAACGATGCAGAAAAGTCTGAGTTAGGCTCACCTGCCCACCACTAAGGTTGGTTTCAACGAGGGTCATTGGTCAACATCAAGAACCAAAAAGCAAAAATACTTCGAACCTGAATGGGCATCCTACCACCTACTCGCGTAAAGCATGAGCTTGTGAATGCAGGATGGAATACGACAGAACTCACTGCGACGGTTTTCGGCTCTGGAAGAAACTTAGATTTCGAAGCCATGAGGATGTCGATGTCGACGGACTAACGAAGAAAATGGGGGAGTCGACAGGGTGAGAGTCTGGGAGGTCACACTTATAGCAAACGGTTTCATCTTGTTTCGTCCGTCCAGCCTCCGAGATCCGAAGGCTGAAAAGTTCGGAGCGCCCGTGCGCACGTGCATCGATAGAGACAAATATTTGAAATTAGACGCCGGCTTGGCCGTCATGCGCTCGGGCCTGGATGTCGAGTCTCTGAACGCTCAGGCGCTCAAGCTCAAGCTCAAGCTCTAGCCATATCTCAGTGGTTCCAGTCAATGACCAGCATTTCACAATAACCTGATACATACTACGAATCAATCTGGTTCCCTCCGGACACCGTCAAAGGCAGTTGCTTCTCATCGACATCAGACTTTCTAGGAATCAATGATCAGAGCTGATCAGAGACATATTTCATCCCAACCATCGAAGATATACACCTTCTGTCAGGCTTTTGCATACATGACTGCAAAATTTCTCATTCCGTGAGGTTCTATATCGAGGGCGAACTCTCCTCCTGTTCGTTTGTAAGCGGTCCTCCAGCTGTGCTCAATTTTCTGACATTTCATATACATAGCATGATAATCTTTTGGCAGAATAGACGCCTGCATATATCTTTCCGAGAAGAACAGCGTTTCGGGCAGGCTCACCGTTCTCTTCTTGCCATATCACCTCTTGCATGTCGCGGGGTATCAATGTGTCGAGTTCGGTGCGTGCTCTGTTGTTCATGATAACTTCGTTCCTCGACTGAACGTTTTTCTGGGGCGCTTTTTTTTCAACCCAGGGTGTCCTCGATAATGCTGTCGATCTTCGAAGAGCAGCGTTAGCGAAAGTTATCGAGTTTGAGGTCCCCAAAGCGCTACCACGTGCTATCAGGCCTGATCGAAAGGTTTGCCCTCGTTCCGTCGTAAACATTCTATGCCATTTATTCCATGACAGAGATGCCTCTCGCAATGGTATTGTGATAGCGATGTCACAGATGAACATGCCAAAACACACACAAGCTAACATTGCGGCGTCGATTTTCCATTCTAGGCCATTCTAGCGTGCCTTTCTGTGAGTGGTTCTCCTTTCTACCAAGTGCGCCACACATATTTCTTGCAAACCTAACAGTGAATGTCCGAACTGTTTTCCCACATCCCGATCGTAGAACCTGTTCCTTCGCTCAGTCTCATCCTCACATCGCAATGGCACCGCTTCGTCATCAAAAAATGCGCGTATTTGCGCATTTCTACCACAGACCCGACCCCTGCCGTGACGTTACGACCTTCCCAGTTTCATCTCAACCACCCAGTCCAGGGCCGCATGACTGGTTCCTGTTACCACCGCCCCTACTCGATTTAGCGGACATGTGGTCACGTCCCTTCCTTCGAGCGCCATCATCTATGCCACAATACGCCACGCCAGCTATAATCGCCGTGTCTCAGCACAATCACCTCTCCATTTCGACTTCTACCTCTGACAAATCATCAATAGAGGATAGTAAACCTCGACCGACGAGCAATGGAGTCAATGTGACGAGTCAGCAGGACCCACCCCAGCATCCTGATTGCTACTTGAAGTTTGGATGGAATGGTTATGACGTGGTTCTCCAAGCGTACGGGAGGCAGGCAATTGTCGTAGTAAGTTTATGTTCTTGATTTTGATGTGCGCTCCCTCAACTTCGGCTTCGTCTCAGGCCGGGCCCATATGTTGCTTAGGCAAGGAGATGAGAAGCCTCAGGAGTCATTTTATGGGTGGAGTACACAAAGCTCTTTGCCCATTCAAAGTAGAAGGACATGCAATGTGCGCAATGTGCAATACAAAGTAAGCCACGTCCCATCGACTTGAGGATCGGTCTGACCGAGCTCGATAAGAGTCAAGCGTGGATCGATAAAGTGGCATTCTGAAGATTGTCCAGCACAAACAAGGGGGTGAACATGTTATGCCGGGGATTGTACGTAGAGTAGTGAGCCAGGGCGATTTCAGGCCGGATAGAACGTTGCCGATTTTCTTCCCTCCCTTGCATGCACTGCTACAGTGCGTACAACCATCCCTTCTACCGCCAGCTACCACCGTGGCTTCGGTGGCGCACGTGCAGTGGTCATTGTGCTCGGTCCACTCACCATCACGCTGCCATCGAGCCACATTGACAAAGCCACGCCTGTCCGAGTGATTTATGCCACGGCCAAAGCCACAGATGGGTCACAATCACAGACGTATTGACAATCTCTGTCCGGTAATTGTCTCTTGTGCAACGCGTTGTCCTGACGTGATATATCGCCACGACAGCCACATTGCAATTGTTTATAAAGGTCAGCCTCTCACACTCTGTACTCATTCCACTACCCCGTGTCGTGATTCCCTCTACCGTCACACTGCTCCCGCATCCTTGGACTACGATAGCGATCTTTCCTCACCAAAAACCATGCAGCGTTCAAAAAATGTACGTCCTTTCTACGTTCGTCAGAGCGATCAATGCTGAGATGACCATAGGCCGCAAAGGGAGCTCCCAAGAGATCTTCGTCATTTTCCGTGCGAAATCCACCAAAGGCTACGCCGATCAGCAGAACCCTGTCAATGCCAGCCGGAGTATTTACTCCATCTATCAAGCAGAGAATGTCTCCTGTGGCCTCCTCTACTATTGCGGAAGAGTCTGAGTCCGAGGCTGCGATAGACATACCCCCTGTGTTGGAAGCCTCTCCCAATAGCGAGGGTGGTTCGTCCAATGAACAGGATGATACACAGCCTCACTCATTGTCGACCGTAGACGAGGAGGTGATGGCACAAGGCTTTTTCCCACTTGATTCTACGTCAGAATTTGAAGAAGACATACCTTACCCAGAATCATTTGATGCAGAGTGGTCGGAATTTTGGACGAAAGTGTGGGAAAGGGCTCTCGAAGAGAGCAAGGATTTGGACGGAGGAGACTTGAATGCGTATTGGGCGAGGTTTTTGGGATATCCCACGGAGGCAGAGTTGAAAAAGTACGAAGGGGAGGCCCAGAAGTTGGTGGATGGTATGAGTTCCGGCGAACTCGAGCTGCTCCAAAAAATCGTACAATGATCGTAATTTCCTCAGATGTAAACAAATTCCGATCTTTCAGAGAACCAGACGGATATAAATCAATATACAGTGTGTTTTCTAACTGACAGGGGAATGAAGATAGATTAGGAGAGGAGAGGGATTTAGATGGGTGATACAGGATAGGTCATGCTACACGACACAATGGACGGGAATATGGAGTACAGATCCGATTACAAATTTTGGTTATAGATTACACTGTGGACGATTATAAAATATTCTGCGTGAACGTTGCAAGCTGGTCAAATGAAGTGATATGCTCGTCGCACTGAGCCATCAAGTTCGACGGCTGTGGCATGCTAGAGAGAGCTACTCCACAGCCAGAGGAGGATTGGGACAGGGACGGATACTCCATGCAAGCAGTTTGGTGGATAGGCAGTAGAGAGTCGGTTATTTGATCCGTGGAATATACGCGGGGTATAGATAGGTCAACCGAATTCTCGTCCGCGATGTACGTATAAGTCGGGAGATCGGCTTGTATCTGGTCCATTCGCATGGGAAGACAAAGCATGACGCTTTCAGGTGAGGGAGCCGCGGATTCGTGGTATGTAGGCGACGGAGTCTCGGAGGTACTCGAATTGCTCGGCGTCGACGCAGCGTCAGCCATTGCAGCAAGAGCGGTCTCAAGGTCATAGATACGTGGGACTGGAGCACTATCTTCGTGTGATGAGGCTGAGGAACAACTAAAACTCGAAGCGGCAGCCAACGAGCTACTAAGAAAATCAGACGCCAGTGGAGAATAAAGGCTTGAAAGTGCTTACTCTGAATAGCTGATATGGCCGTCAATATTATCGAAGTCAACGTCGAATGCCGATGGAGCATGAACAAAATTGGGGCGACATGGATGAGTACGAAGCCCCTCATCTAACTGACCATCGATGAACATCGCCATCTGGGAAGATAGACTCGGCCTCCTGCTCCCTGGCAAGGACGTGAGCGGAGATTGTGCTTCAGATGCGATCGCGGAGGTAGCAACAGAAGATGCCTGAGAAAGATCTGAAGAGGCGTAGTTCCGGACATCGGAATGTATGAAGTGGGGCGACTTTGAGCGGGGAAAGGTACCGTATTCGCGAGCAGGACGATTTGTGGATTCGCCTGAGCCCTCGCTAATAATTCTGTCCTTACAGAGCTCGGCGGAGGAAGATGTAGCGCGAGGACGAGTCTTGTTTGGGCCACGTGCACGGGGTCTGTCGTGCTCACGGTATGTGCACAGTAATCCACGAAGGGAACAGCGCTGACAGACAGGGCGATCGCCGGAGCACTTGAGACAATTAGATAAAGGTAATATGCGGAACTCAAGGGGCAGACACACCTTGGATTTACGTTCGCGACACTTCGAGCACGCATGTACTGTCCTCTTACGCTGAGCAGGCTTTGAAGAACAGTTGGAAAGAATGACATTTTGCGTCCCCACGCCGTCCACACATCCTTCACGAACTAAGGCTGGTGTGTTCGGTGAAATCGATCGTTGAGGGGAGCAAGAGGGGGCATAGAGCTGGGCAGTGTTTGCCTTGTGATCTCCAGACCAGCCCCTAGGTGACGGATACACCGTGGAGGAGTCAAGTCTAGTAAAGTTGTACGGATGGAGATTTGTCGACGGAAAAAGTGTCGGATTTGGCTGAAAGAAAGGGCTATCAAGTGGAAAGGGGTGTACGTCCCGACGCCGGGAACATTGAGAGCTGGGCGAAGGAAATACTTCAAGTGGATGGATGGGCCGAGAAAATACCGTGGAGCAAGAAGCAGGGGTAGGCTGTAGGAACGGCAGCATCGTCCAAAGGGTGAGTAGAGGGGCAGAGGTTTGTAGATGAAAGAGTATTGGCGTGAGAGCAAATTCTGTCAATATATGACTATCCGGCGACGACTGTAAGAGGTGAAAAAAGTGGGGGTGATTTGTCTGAGATAGGGGGCTGCTGGTCCAAAGGCAAATGCGAGCTGAGGGTAGGAGGGCAGAGCAGCCGAGTACCTTGGAGGTATTTATAAATTCGTGCGTGTGGTGGCTGCCAAGGGAGTGCGAGGACAATGTGTCGGGAACTCATCCTCTTTCCAGCCAAACTCAGGAGATGATTTCAACTCAATTGAATTTGGCCCACAGACGCTCCACAAGATCGTCCGCCGAGATCTGAGTTGCATTCGTCGGATTTAAAAGCGCACTGGTTGGAACTGCATTTTAAATGATTGAAAACCATATCATCTCCAAGTGAGCTGCGAATATATGCGATAGTTTGAACTGCCAGCTCTTCAGAGCTGAGAATCTTGCACAACTTCGGCTTGCAAGGTTGGAGGAGGAGTCAGGATGACCAACATTGAGTTCCGTATTATTTCACTCTCCGATAGGCTCCGCGGCTCGGTCAACTCAGCAAACAGCCTTTGTAACAACTCTGACAGGAGCCTCGAACCGGCGGTCCCTAGCTCAGCAATCCATTCTACGAACGATGGGCATTAGTGCAGCTGCCCTACGTCAAACCCTCCTGCTATGTCAGTGTCATAATCTCATCGAGTTGACAGTTTTCGACATAGAAGAACAACAACGACCTACGACCGAACGAGCGATAGTCACCCTGCTCTGTCGTCTGGCCCCTGTCTAGCCGACTCCTTTTCAATATTGCCATTACTAATCCGAAAGTCAGCATATTGAATCCCTTTTTCAGAAGGCAATCTCTCAAAATAGCATTCATTGCCGAGGCCGAGGCCTACGTCACCACACATAGAAATGAACGATGCTGTCGGTGTGCGAGGAGACGCACCGCATCTACTTTGAACAGCCTCATAGTGTAAGCCCACATAGGAAAATAACAGGCGTGTCTTCCAGGTGTCCATCCCCTTCCATTCTCTGCTAATTTGCACCTCGCATCATAGCGGACTTACTACTATATGCTATCCTATACCACTGACAGAAGATTTATCTAACTCTTTCAATCGTGTCTGTGCGAAGTACTTTGCGCAGGCTACCCGCAAGAGAGACACGATGTGCATGAACATTGGGTCAAAGAAGGGCGCCATGGAAGCTCCCAAAATGGACGTCTAAATATTTCTAAATCTACTTGTTCGTGAGAAGATCGACATCTTACGGAGAGAATCGCTGTCCTGGTAAGTTATGGTTTCGAATCTAGTCGCACAAGGTCAACGCGATATCCGTAGACCGAAAGCACACCTATTGCATGGCCACGATCGAGCTCCGCCCGTGTCCAACAGAACAGATGGCATACCTCTGAATCCATTCGTTAGCAAGTTGTGTGTACAGTCTCCGGCAGTCAGCTCAAATAGTCCTGGTTGAACTCTCTCCCGATAAGCATCCTCCTAATCTCCTGTGTTCCGGCGCCCACTGTGTACAACCTCGAGTCTCGCATTATCCTCCCCATCGGGAAATCTGAATCGGGGGCACCAAAAATCAGCTCAAGCCAAAAGCGGAGGACGCAGAGCGAGACGGAAATAGACATAGTGCGTTCGATATCACGAGGCGGATAAGTGCACCCAAAAAGGAAGGCAGAGGAAAGAGAACGACGCTCGGGCCAGGCGCTCAAGTAGGTCAAGGCTTCATGTGACTGACCGTTGATGTATCCATTTCCTCCAAGGCACTGCATTCCTTCCAGAGCGACTTCTACCGCTTTCTCCGTAGAGTAGAGGATAGCGCCCGCACAGTCCTACATATCGTGAGCAATGGAGAGAGGTGCGACCTTCGGACGTCATGAAAAAACACCCACTCTTCGACTGATCTGCCCTCTATCACAAGCGCGTGCGACGGAATAAACATACGACCTGCTCGCATTGATCTTTGTATACATATCCGCAATTTTGCCTAACAAGCGCCGGTAGTACATCAGCCAGCATTCCTTCCGTGAAATGGCTGAAGACGATTGAAAGCTCACCCTGCATCAATTGAAATGTGCCGATAGCACGGCCGAATTGCTTGCGCTCATGAACATAGTCAATTGCATAATCGAATGCGGCTTGCATCAAACTGCAGGTTTGTTCAAGAAGGTTCACGTTAGATAGCGGAAGTTGAAACTTGCCCTAGGGGTCCTCCGCTCAGAACCAATCGTTCAAGGTCGAGGCCAGACATCAAGACAGCTGCGCCCTTATCGACTTGGCCCAGAACATTCTCTATAGGGTTGTGAGACAAAGATGACTCAGGAAAACCACGAGTACGCGAGAAAGAACTCACCGTCTGGAACTTCACAGTCTTCGAAAACAAGTTCACAAGTGTCGCTGCCCCGCATGCCAACCTTGTCCAGTTTCTGATGCGTTGAGAATCCAGGGAAATCATTTTCGATGATGAACGCTGTGATACCCTGCGAGCCCTTCTCTGGAGATGTCTTTGCATACACAACTAGTGTCGATGCCGTGGGTCCGTTTGTGATCCTGTACCCAGCCGAGGAACTACGTAAAATAACACGTTTTGCCGGATCGAGTGCGCTCACCAGAACTTGTTCCCGTTGAGCACCCAGCCTCCCGACTTCTTCACCGCCTTGAGCCCCATGCTGACCACATCGCTCCCCGAGTTCGGTTCGCTCATCGCCAAACTGCCCACTTTCTTCCCCGAGATGAGGTCGGGCAGATACTTCTCCTTCTGCGCCTCCGTGCCGTGCCGGTGGATCTGGTTGACGCACAGATTGGAGTGCGCGCCGTATGAGAGCGCGACGGAGCCAGATGCGCGTGATAGTTCCTCCATGGCGAGCGTGTGTTCGAAATACCCTTGCTCGAGGCCGCCGTACTTCGACGAGCACGTCACACCGAGCAGGCCCATCTGGCCAAGTTTAGGCCACAAATCCTGATCACAGTAACTCAGCGACCTGATGGACTGGGTAAATAACATCGGTGCGCACCATGGGGAAAGTATTCGACTTGTCTATCTCAGCAGCCCTATGCTCGACCTCTTTTTTCGCGAACTGCGCGACGCTGTGACGAAACTGCACCAGGCCGTGGACTCAATAAGTAGGTGTTTCCACTTCTTGATGCTCATGCACACGATTGCCCGGAGCTTTTCGCACATACCTCCGCCTGCTCCTCTGTGAGTCCCGCGACGTCAGCGTTGTAAGTGGATGCATGTCGCCGCCGCGGGGATGCAGAAAATGCAATCCTTCTCAGGCGAGAAGCTGAGCGGGAAGCGAATTGTAATGGAGAAGTGAGTGCCATTTGCTGAGGCTTAGCAGGTGTGTTCGAGTTCGAGGTGGAAAGGAACGCGGGGTTGCCTTACCCCGCACTCGGGCGGACCTTGCATGTGCCGGGCCGATCCAAGATCTAACCCCAGCCTGTGGTTCGACGTCAACGATTCGAGGGCATGTCGCACACTCAGGGAGCTAGTGAAGCACGCAAGGAACTAGTATAATCCCACAGCGAACGGATATCCGAGACACAACCATCCTCCCACTGAGACAAAACTTAGATTTCTGCTGCGAAGCTCTCTAGACTATCCGTCCTGACACGTTCGTCTCAGATCCTCGATGACCGCTGCGTACGATCCCATGATCTGCTGGTCCAGCTCCTCCCAGCCTGGCATCTTCTTCACACTCTTCGGATCCAGATCGATGACTTTCACTAGTCCCTGCGCGGCGGGGTGCGCATCCCGCGTCGGGGGCAACTTGACGAGCACGGAGCAGTCCTTGAATGTGGCCGAGAGCAGGTATGCGAGCGTGTAGTATCGCAGCTCGGACGGCAGAGGTTTGCTATGGTCACGCGCATCGTGGGAGGCGAGATAGGCGTCTACGAAGGCAGTCCAGTCTCCTATGGATGGCTCGGAGAGGTCTGTTCCGCGGCCTGAGATCGGGGAATCCACATCATGATTCGAGGAAAATGACGAAGCTGCGGCCTGTGCGCGAAGCTTAGAGAGCCCTTCGCTGTCAAGCGCATCCAAGGTACGCTGTATCTTTGACAGGTGTCGGAGAAGTGGTGTCTCGAGAACGATGGAAAGAAGTGCGGCCGTAAACTTTGCTCGGAGGTCGTCGTCTGCTAGGTCACTTGAGCCGAACACCGTTTGCGCCCACTCTGCGACACCCTCTTCCTGTACAGTCCATTTGATGGACCGCGTCAGTTAGCATAGCAAGCTTGGGAAGATCTCGGCGAAATGGAAGCGCTGCCTGGACTCACATCGTCGGGCTTGAGCAACTGGCCCTGTGAGAAGATTCTCAGGTTGTTGACACTCCCTCTACTGTCCTTCCATGCATCCCACAGGCCATGTATGGCCCGCGCCGTGCGCGCCTCGGTTCCTGAAAACAAGTCTAACGGACAGTATGAAAGCGCTGCGGGCTCGCCCTTGATGTGCCGAAGGTGATTGTGCATGCAGGTGCGGCATGTGCGCGTCTTGATGAGTGCACTTTGGGGCGACAGATGAGCGGGGAACGGAAGGAAGCCCCACTTTGGCTAGACTCGTTCACCCATGAGAAGCGAGTATATCGTATAGCCCTCGCCGGAAGACAAGCGGAAGTGAGAGCCATACCTTGATTTCAACCACGCATGCCTCTCCGCCCACAAGATCCGTAGCGAGCACCGCTTTGCGTTTCGACAGATCGATGGTGTCGACCTGTTTCCGTTCAGCAGGGCGCGAGGGCTCATGATATGAGGCGAACTGCTCCAGCCATGGGCTTTCAAGATGCGCGACTCGCAGTCGCACGAGGAACTCTGATGAGATTAGTCTGCCGACGATCTTTTGCTGGAACTCGATCATGGGGTCGTCCAGGTCTGCATCATCGATGTCATCAGAAGACTTCCCCCGTTTGGCAGCGAGTTTGTGTAGCCTCTGCTTCCGTAGCCTCAGCACGGTGTTATCGAATCCGAAACCAGGGTGGGTTGGTCCGCGGTATGAGAAGACGATGGTGGCTCCGCCCTCTGAGACATATTTCCAATCCGATGGCGAGGTCTCTGACAGTCGGATGGAGCTGTAATTGGTTGCGTCGGTCATCTCCAGGCAGATGAGAACGCTTTGAGTGGCTTAGAATGCGGAAGAAACGCATCAGCAAGCAATACTCCAATCTCATCTTTCATCACGTGCTACCTCGATCAGGCGTAAGTTACCACCCCGGACAAGCGCAACGGCATGACCGTTGAAACCGGACATTGAATCGGTGCCAGTGATGCAAATCGAATGCACGCTCACGCGAACAGCCGACAAATTCGAAGGCGCACTCGTATGTCGTGGGTACAATTCTATCGGTTCACGATGCGTCGCCCATAGAAACGAGAATACTGAGAAACGCGATGATCCCACATACTCTCACATTCGGAAGTCGTGCGAGAGAACGGCCAGAACACGAACTGTCGAGAACAAGGCTGGGACAAGTCTGGGACAAGGTTTACACGGCGCAATATGATCTCGGGGCATTTGTGCCGTAGAGAAAGCGAAATTTCAGTGTATAGTAGCAGATAGTAGCTTGATCATCTGTCGCCAGAGACATCCTTAGTCCCGAGGAAGAGAAGAGAGCAGGTTGATCAGCTTTTCAGCGCCCCGAGGGACTATGCGAGGTACTTACGGGATCGTCATGTCGGTCCTCATTGGGGGACGCACCTGTAAACGTAACACAGGGTAGACGCTTGAGGTGAGCCGAATTCTCCATGCCGTTTGGGCCTCCCCATTTGTGGAAGACATGATCTCGAGAAAGATGCGGGCACCACTGTACCCAAGTGGCCATTGAGCGGCGTAGTCAAGCAAAGTCGACGGATCCGTCGACTCGTATGTGCGCCCTAGTAGACCTGTCGGTGTAACGCAAAGTAAGACAATTATGAGCGCACAAAGAAGCTTTGGAGATGCCATTCCGCCATGTATGTGACATAAAACAAAATGAAACGCGAGCCTGGGCAGGCTGTGAATTCTGTGCACGCACCTTGATACACGGATCTGGACGTTCAGAGCAAAGTTCCGAAGACCCAGGTTAATGGACGCACAGGACTGCGCTCAAGGTCAAGCATCACAAGATATGCAACAGTGCGCACAGGCCAATCAAATGATTCGTCCAATGTTCCAAGGAAAATGGTGAACGTCAAGTAAGATATGTGATACTGGAATCGATGGTCGGCAGCCTCCTAAAATTGCAGGAGCAGGGCAATCAGGCAGGGATGGCGCTTGGCTGTTGTGCGAGACTGATGACAGAGAGAGAATATGGCACTCATTGGACCGGGAGGTGTTCATCGACATCAGGATGCAGACGACGAGGACAGAGGTCGAGAACAAGGGCCACGACATGCGTAGAAACGAGCGGGAGCATTGATGCGACACGGAACTGTACCTGGAGTTGGAGATGGTGAGGAATCGGACGAGGATGTCCGAAGGCAACGCCTTCTGGCACGGACTAAGGAGGAGAACTCGTCGAGATAACCGTTGCCCTGAGCGAGAGGGATCACGGCTAGCAGCACGGCAGAGCGATTACGGAGGCGATTGGCCAGCCCATCCGGTTCACGACGGCGCCGGGCCGTCGGGCGCTTCGGCGTCTACTAAGCAGCGTCCTAAACCGTTCGCCAATCAACCACCTCGTCCATCTCCACCCGTCCCTCGCCGCCATGGCCCCCTCCACCTCCTCGTCGTCGTCGAGCGCGGCGCAGACGTCCGTTCAAGTTGGTCAGTTCACTCAATTCTCTCCCAACTCCCCCGTCTCGACCTCTCACACCCGTTGGCGCCGACCTAGCTCTCCGCATACGACCGACCACCAAACAGGATACCGTATCCATCCCCGCTCGTTTTCAGCGCGCCGTCATTCACGCCGCCTCTTCCACCTCTGTCACCGTCGACGCCACATCTTCCGCTCCTTCAGCATCCGGCGCCAGCACTGCCTCTGCCGCCAGCTCGTCCGCAGCCGCCAACGCCAAAAAACAAGTCTTCACGTTCGACCAGGTCCACCCTCCAGAGAGCACCCAACATGCGCTCTTCACCTCCACCGCCCTCCCACTCCTCTCCCGCTTTCTCGACGGCTTTAATTGCACAATCCTCGCATACGGCCAGACCAGCTCTGGCAAGACCTTCACCATGACAGGCATTGACCTTGACGCCGATCCATCGGATCCGACAAATGGTATGGGTATCATTCCCCGCGCCGTGTCTACCCTCTTTCAACGCGCAAGGGAGATCAAGGAGGAGCGCGGTAATACGTGGAACTATAATATCAAGGGTTCCTTCATAGAAATCTACAACGAAGACCTTATCGACCTGCTTAGCGATGATGGCGCTGGTGTCCACATTCGAGAAGGTAAGGATGGGTCGATCATCTGGGGGGGCCTTCGCGAGGTCGCTGTTAAAACCTCCGGCGAGGTCATGAAGTCAGTCCAGCGGCCCTCTTTCTTGATTCTACTGTGCGCCTGACATGTGTGCCTTGAAGCCTGATCCGTCAAGGAACAGCTATTCGAAGGACGAACGAGACCGACATGAACGCCCAGTCTTCTCGTTCCCATGCTATCTTCTCGCTCACCCTCACACAAAGGAAGTATAAAGGTTCGGGGGGCGCTCCAACACGCTCATCATCTCCGCTGCCCCCGACCGGCCGATCCCCATCGCGCATCGGACGGCCAGGATCCATGTTTGCAGGAGGAACGGGTAACAGGGTATCCTCCCCGACCTTTGGCGCCCGTCCAGGTACCCCCAACAGCTTTGCTTCAGCCATGGGCAGAGGAGGCGGCCTGCGGCCTGCTAGTGCCCTCGGCTCACATCATGACACTCGGCAGAGCATGGATGATGAGGGAGATTGGATCACTGTCGTTTCGAAATTCCACTTTGTCGACCTAGCCGGATCAGAACGAGTAAGAGGCAACTTCCATAAATCGCTCTATGTGCGAGAAAATGACATTCTTTTCGTAGCTCAAGCGCACGGCAGCCTCGGGAGACCGCGTCAAGGAGGGAATCTCCATTAATAGTGGCCTACTCGCTCTGGGGAATGTTATCTCCGCTCTTGGGGACCCCGCACGAGCAAAGTCCCATACCGCATCCTACGTCCCTTATCGTGACTCTAAGCTCACCCGGCTCTTGCAAGACTCACTCGGCGGCAACGCACACACCCTAATGATCGCTTGCATCAGCCCTGCGGAGTGGAACGCTGCGGAAACGATCAACACCCTCAAATACGCCAACCGTGCCCGGAACATCAAGAATCGTGCCGTGGTCAACGAGAAAGAGGAAGGTTGGGACGATATCGAGTGGTTGCAGGGCATGGTGACCCGGCTTCGGAAGGAGGTGAAGATCATCAAAGAGGGTGGCACGCTTCCCCCATCCGAGGTTTCCCACGCTCCACCAACGGAGTCTAAGGAGCTGGAGGGCGCATCAAAGAAGATGCTTGCGAATTTCAACGAGCTCAAGAATAACTACGAGGATCTTCGGGAGAAGTACGTGGCCCGCAATGAAGAGCTCAACCGGCTCCGCAAGGAGCATGGCGAGCATCATCGGTCCGCGACGACGGGTACCATTCCTGGGATGAGCAAATACGAGGAAATCGTAGGCCCCGTGATCGAGGAGTACGAGAAGACGATTAGCGCTATGGAGGCTGAGCTGAGCCTCAACCGCGCTGCGCTCCGACACACGAACGAGCTGGTAGAGGAGAAGGAAGAAGAGCTGACTCAACTCTCCGAACGGAAAGTCGCGACCGAACTCTATGTCGAGGAGTTAAGGGCGCGAGTTGTGAAGCTGACGGAGCGGGAGGCGTCCACAGAGGTATGTTCTCATTTTTATACGTGTCTTCATACAAGACTGATCAGCATGGTTCTAGGCCTACGTTCATGACCTCGAGGAAAAGATCAAGGCATACGACGAGTCTCATATTAGCTCGAGCGAATCCATGAGCGACCTTAAGCGCGAGCTGAGTCGATTCAAAGAATCAGAATCGCATTCGACTCGGTACATCGCGGACTTGGAGGTTCGTCTCGCCCGGTCCGACGAGTCTGTCCTCGTACTTCGTCAGACGGTCGAGAAGCTCGAGTCAGAATGCGAGAGACGACGAGACGAGGCCGAGGTTCTCCAGGAGCGCCTAGAGAACCTGAAGAAAGACGGCGAGGACTGGAGGACGGACCTTGAAGAGCGCGAGCAGCGGGTCAAGGAGCTCGAGAAGAAGATGGAGGAGTGGGAGGTGAAGAGGAAGGCGGCCGGCGAGGCAAGAGAGCGCCTGGGCGGTGTCGCTGATGAGGTGGCGCAGGCCCGGAAGCACCTTGAGGCTAACATCGTCGACTTTGCCAAGGCCAACGGTTCGGGCAGCAGTCAAGCCTCGGGGACCTCAACGCCCAAGGAGCAGGACCTCTCGCTCGAGAACCAACTCGTTGCACTCCAACAGACCCACACCGCGACCCTCGCCGATCTTTCATCCGTTACTTCCAAATACCGCGATGCCCTGCGCGAAATCTCGGACCTTGCTGCTCAAATCCAGGAAGTGAAGCTCAGCCAATCCGCTCCGTCTGTCTCAGAGGAGCCAGAGCGGTCGATCGACTGGGGTGGCCCGCACAGGCGACGAATGACCGGGGGCCGCCACAGGGAATCCAGCGATAGCCCTCAGAGCGCCCACAAGCGCCTTTTTTTCCGACATGCGATCTCGACAGAATCGCTTCATTCGAGGTAAGCCCGAGCGTCCTTCTCATCATGCGTCCAAATGACGACTTTTGAATAGGTCGCTCTCACAATCGCAATCGCAATCGCTCTCTCAGGAGCTGTCCTCGGCGCGCTCGCGCAAAACTTCCTTATCAAGTCCTGGAACCAGTAGCCCCTCCCATTCCCCATCTCACTCGTCCTCGTCGCCATATACACATTCACATTCTCACTCGCATTCACGCTCCCGTCCGAACCTCTCAATCTCGCTACCTTCTCTGAATGTCAGCACAACGGAGCGCTCCGTCAGCAGCCTGGAGAAGGAGATCATGCGGCTACAAGACGTCTTGAATGAGCGAGAGCAGGAGATCGCAGCGCTCGAGAGTTCTTTAAAGGAAAAAGACAGCGTGTCGTCTTCGAGCACTGTATCGGTCAGCTTGCCGTTGACCCCTGAGGTGGATGGGGAGGACCATGTCAATGGGCGGACGAGCCCTACATCGTACCTCACGCCGCAGACTATGCACCAGTTTGATGAACTCAAGTCAAACGTGCAGACAACCCATGGGCGGTCAGATAGCGTGACTACGTCGGAGGCCGACGAAACGTTGGAACGGCTTAACGAACTTATGATGTGAGTCGGATTTCCCTCTCGTGACTCGAGCGCATATACTGATGCAGCGACGACAGGGCCATGGCACAGAAGGAGTCTCAGCATCGCGACATCGTCGAGGGTCTCAACGACGAGCTGCAGCAGCTTCGGAGACAGCATGATGAACTGAGCACCCTCTCACGCGATCAGGTGCGTTCAAACAATTTTTGCTTGGGATCACGCTGACCGGTTCGCATCGCAGGCACTGAACATGTCAAGCGAGCTGGAAAGTCTTCGGAGTAAGCACGAGGCCGACATCGCACGATTGGAACATATCGAGCAAAGGGAGGCGAAGCTGGCGCAGGCCTTGGAGCAAGCGGAGGCTTCCCATGTCGTTGTCATCGAGCAAATTCGTGTGGAGCACGAGGAAGCACTGCGCATGAAGGGGCAGCAGGTTGACGAGCTTGTCTCGCGGCTCAAGGAGGAGCATGCTCTTTCTTTGACAGCCGTTCAGGGTCAGCTGGAGGAGGCTTCCGCTGCTCTGGAGAAAGCGCATCAAGAACATGCCGAGGCGTTCGGTAGCCTCAAAGCTCAGCACGACGAGGAGCTTCGTCAGAGTCTAGCAGACGCCAGCGCCGCTCTCGCGCAGGCGCGCCAGGAGCATGCAACAGCCATTCACGATCTTGCCATGAGGCACCAGGAGCTTGTTAAGCAGAAGGACGAGGAGTCTGTCGCGGCGCTCGCAAAGACGGAAGAGGAGTACTACAACGGGCTCACCAAACTTCGCACCGAGCACGCCGAAGTCATCGAGCGGCAGGCGGCAGAGGCAAATACGGTTCTCGAACGTCTACGTGAAGAACATGCGGCCTCGCTCCGGATGGCCGATATCGCGCGAGAAGGCTCCATCTCAGACTCTCAGTCGTCCCAGGCGATTGCTCTCAAGGAACTCCAGGACGAATTCTCTGTGGCCATCGCAAAGAAGGAGTCTCAGTTTGCGGAGGACCTGGAGAAAGCGAATGAGGATCAGGCTCGTCTCCTCTCGGCGGCGACGGAGGAGCACAGTGCGGCCCTCGCGAAACTTCGGGATGAGCACGCTGTGGCGCTGGCGAAGGCTGAGAAGGCGCATGCGCAGGCTTTGGCGAAGGCTGAGGAGGAGTCGGGCAAGGAGATCGAGCGGCTTGCGTCTGCGTTGGCGAAGGCTAATGACGATCATGCATCTCTTTCATCTCAAGGGCGCGAAGATTCCGAAATGGCGTTGCAGGCTGTTAAGGAGCAGCAGGCTGTCATTCTCCAGGAGGTCGGAGCTGGTCATCAGGACGAGGTCGCGAGGCTCAAGGCAGCTCATGATGCCGCTCTTCAGGATGCCGTTGCGAAAGTTGACGAGGAACGCTCCGCGCTAGCGCGGACGCACGCCGAGTCGACTGCAAGGCTCCATGCGGAGCATGAGGTGGCCATGGCTGAGCTGAACGCTGCGCTCGTCGCAGAGCAAGAAGCGCATCGTGAGGCCTTGGAACAGTCTCGACAGCAGAGCGAGCGTCTTCTTCAGGATGAAAAGGACCGGTTAGCAGCGGCCATCGCCGACTTGGAAGAGAAGCACTCGCGGGAGCGAGAAACCTTGCAGAAGGATCACGAGCTGATTGTCAACGAGCTGAGGTCGTACAAGGCGGCTTTAGAAGAGCACGCTCTCGTTCGGGAGGAAGCTCGCGTCGCGCACGAGGACTCGATGGCTAAGCAGGCCGATGTCGTCGCCAGCTTGCAGCACGATCTGTCCGAGGCCCACAATGAGCGCGCGGAACTCGCGCAACAGGTCGAGGCGCTCCAAGCCGAGCTGAATAACACGCGCAGCGAGCAGACTATGCTCATTCGGGAGGCGTCAAAGCGGGAATCCCTTGTGGACGAGCTAGAGAAGCATCGGTCCGTCCTCGCGGAGATGCAGCACATGCTGCAGCGCGTCAAGGACGAAAAAGACGCGATTCAGCTGGAGAAGAGCAGGCAGGAGAATGCCGTGCGTGACTTGCAAGCGCAGCTCGCTCAGATCCCACCACCGGAGACCGTCTCGACGCCGCTCCGCCCGCCAACGGAGCGTGGGCTCTCATACAGCCGTCTGAACAGCTTGTCATCCTCGAAGCTTCCTCCACCTACACCGCCGCCTTCTGTACCCCCGCCTCCGGCCCCCAGGGTTGCGTCGTCGTTCAGCAATGACAACGGATTCCAATCTGCGTCATCGTCGACACCGATCTCCGCGTCCTCGTCTCGGGACTCGCAGCTCGATTCGCCAGCCACGTCCCTCACGCCGTCGCTACCGAATCTGCCGAATGGCTCCTCGCACGCGCCCGATCCCAAGCTGGTTCAGCAAATCGAGGAGCAGAGCAAGCAGATCACGGAGCAAGAGGCGATGATCCGGACTCTCAACAAGCAGCTCATGCATTGCGAGAGCGACCTCCAGGCACACATGGATCTCGTCACAACCCTCGAGACGTCGCTGGGCGACTCCGAAAAGAACCGTAAGCATTTTTGTTGTGGTCTCGATCCTCGTTTCATCTGACGATCGTCTGGTTCGTCAGTCCGGAAGGCCCGAATGCAGGCGACTGAGATCGCTCGGGAGCGGGATACCCTGAACGCACAGATCGACTCGTTGCGCGGCGAGCTCCAGGAGAGCAAGCGAGAGGTGGCGACTGTGCGGCGGTCTATCGTCGAGGAGAAGCAGTCGCTCGAGCATCGGCTGGACGAGGAGCGGAGAGCCAAGGAACGGGCGCGGCAACAGCTCGACAGCCGTATGGAAGAGCTGCAGAAGCGCAAGTCCAAATTTGTCTGTCTATGATCTCCCCCCCCCCCCCCCCCAGCTGGTGCTGGCCGTGTCGACCGTCTTCATTCACCCTGCGCTTGCGCTCTCTGTACCACCCTCTCGCGAGCATGCTCCTCCACGTCTATGATCCACCCATCGCTTTAGTGCCTGCCGTCCATCACCCTCCTATGCCCTGCGCGCCGTGCCGCGCCCACATTGCCGTTCTCGCATTCACTCATTCCACGTGTTCCGCCTTTCGTCGCCTGGAGCACGGTGTGGCTTCACCCTTCGATCCACATTCCGGAGCACTTTCGTGTGTATTTGTTTAATTCCGATTCATCGTTTACTTAGGATACTGTTGCGCTTTTAAGTTCTGGATACCCACGTTCGTTTTCTCTCTCTAGCATGAATTGGCTATTATTTCGCTCTTGTCCTATGATTGCATCCCTACCGGCTGCGGTACCTATATATGCTATATACCATACGATCATCGGAGCTCTCTGAATCTCTCGACTACACTGACACATTTATCCATCTGGCTCGGAGGGAGGTGTGTAATGCACTGTCTGAAACTCTAGCGAGTTGTTGGGATCAATATCAAGGCTTGCAACCGCTCCGTCGAGCATCGGGACTAGGGCAAGGCGCCTTCATCCGATCCCGCAGCCAGCGCGCGTTTGACCCGGCGCCGAGGCTTCTCTGTCTGGGGTTGAGTCTCGGCTATGCGCAGTGCGGGGCAGACATGCCATTTACGTCGTGGGGATCAAGCTTCGCGAAGCCGGCCAGTTGATATTCAGGATATCGATGGAAAATTTGAGACGCGACGGAAGCATAAAAGCAATTATGCCTGGAGGTGGTCGTCGTCGCGAGTCGAGAGCAGGACGGCAACTGCCTCTCGAGTCGCGCTGGGTCGGGCGGCTCGGTCCGTGGTCATCTGGGGATTGGGCTCCCCAGACGCGGCTGCTTTAAATTCTCCGGCTGCCAACTCACGCCCTCTCCCGTTTCCCTCTCTCTCCCTCCCACAACAATGTCCTCCCTCGTCTCCCGCGCGTTCCCGCTCGCCACCCGTGCCCTCGCCTCCTCGAGGCAATGCATCGTCCACGCACGTCTCCAGAGCACAAAGGCCCCGAGAGTGCTCCCCGAGTTCTCGATGGAGGGCAAGGTGCGTGTCTCACAGCCGTCGCGCCCTTTCCGGACTGATTTTCTCACCTCACCCTTGGCTGTCGGGCGGCGTGCAGGTCTGCATGGTCACTGGGGGCGCCCGCGGCCTGGGCAACGAGTTCTGCCGCGCCTTCGTTCGCTCGTGCGTGCCCTGCGTCATCCATCACGCCCCGACTCAAACTCACTGACGTGCGCGCCTCCATCAGCGGATGCACCAGCATGGCCATCGTCGACCTGAAACAGTCCGAGGCACAGGATGCCGCCCAGGAGCTCGTTGCGTCCGCCTGCCGTCAGTGCCCTCTCCCCGCGCGCTCTCGGCGGACGTGCCGTTTCTGAAGAGACTCAAGTTAACAGCGATCTAAGCCCGAGCGACTTCAACGTCGTCGGTCTCGAGTGCGACGTCTCCTCCGAGCGCTCCGTCCAAAAGGCCTTCGCGGAGACCATCGACCGCTTCGGGCGCGTCGATTCCGTCGTCGCCTCGGCCGGTGCGTGCACTTTACTCGCCCCTCGTTCTCCAACGCAAGATAAATTTCATCGCTTATTTTTTTTTTCGTGCCCTGCTTCTCCTCGCAGGTATCGTGGAGAACTATTCCGCCTTCGAGTGAGTCGCCGTTGTCAACTCCCCCGCCCCACTTTGAAGTTTCACATGATGTAATCAGTTACCCGTTCGACCGCATAAAGCGCTTGTACGACATCAACGTGCACGGGGCGTTCTTCACCGCGCGCGAAGCGGCGCGCAACATGATACCGCAAGGCGGCGGGAGCATCGTGCTCGTGGCGAGCATGAGCGCGAACGTGAGGGCTTGACGCTACCCCGCATTTTATGTAATACTGATCTAGGCCCAGATCGTCAACGTTCCCCAGGTTGGAAATTCATGTCCTGGGATCTCCGGGCCCACGTGCTGACGTTGTTCCGTGCTCGACATACAGCCTCAGACGCCGTACAACGCGTCAAAAGCCGGTACGTTGCGGCGGCCTCTCATTCGTCGGCGCGCGGCTCATGCGCTTTCTGTGCAGCTGTGCGGCACATGGCGTCCAGCCTAGCGGTCGAGTGGGCGAAGAAGGGCGTCCGCGTGAACTGTCTGAGGTAAAGATGGCATCCGAAATTGACACGAGTGCCTGGTGCTGATAAACGCACCCCGCAGCCCTGGCTACATGTTGACGAAATTGACGAAAACGATCTTGGCCCATGACCAAGAGCTCAAGGTGAGTCGATCGAGGCCTCGACCGCGGGCGCCATTTGGAATGACGTTTTTAGAAAACATGGGAGAGCCTGACGCCGATGGGACGGGTATGTCGAGCGACTTATTCTGTCGCGGCGTGGTGCTGATCGGTGATGACATTGCAGATGGGTGAACCAGAAGACTTGGCCGTGAGTGAAAAAACCACGCATGCAGACGCCGTCAGGCCACTGACGAGACTGTTTCTATTAGGGCGCCATCGTGTTCCTCGCCAGTGACGCGTCCCGATTTATGACCGGGTCGGAAATCCGCGTGGATGGGGGCTACTGCATCATCTAAGCGTCGGTCGCCGGGCGGGGATAGAGTCCAGATAGACAAGGATAGAGCGAGATACTAGACTAGCGTACGGGTATCGTCCATCGCCGGGCATTGCGGCTGTGAAAGACGGGCCCACTTCTTCCTCGTAATTTTTTTTCTGTGTTCTGTCGTGGTGGTCGCGGTGGTCGCGGTGGTCGTGTTTGTCTAGGGAGTGGAATGGGACGCTTAGGATGTAGCGATATCGATCTAATGCGATGATGAGACGTGTATTGAGTGGACATGGACGAGGCCTTCGTGCGAGGGCCGCGGCTGGGAGGAGGATTCTAGGCCGGACGAGTGAATGGCACGGCCACCGGGAGAATCCGAGAGGACGCACGGGGCACGCGCCATCGCCGGCGTGCGACCGCCTGCAACCGCACCCATGAATTAAATACCACCCACGTCCCCGCCCCTGTCCTCCCCGCCGTGCCAGGTCGATGCGACCATGTCCCCCTCTCTCTCCCCCGCAACCTCCTCCACCGCGGGCCCGCGCCCCTTCAACCAAAATAAAACACCGGGCCAGCCGCAGCAGCAGCAGCAGCCACCACCCCCGCCCCTCAAGCAGCCCCCCGCGTTCGAGTTCATGAAGCGCAAGCGCTGGGCCGACCTCCTCATCTCGGAGCTCAGCGAGGCCATCATCCTTGTCCTCTCCGCGTCCTGCAAGGTCCTCTTCTGCGGGCACGCCGTCCAGGAGCTGCTCGGCTGGAAGGACGAGGAGCTCGTCGACGGCGACCTCATCGAGCTCATGAACGGTGCGTGCGCCCCTCTCTAGACTCTCTCTCTCGCTACACCCCCCGCACCGCGCTGCGCCGCGCCGCGCGATCGCTCGCTCGCTCGCTCACGGCGCGTGCGCGCAGCGAACGACAGGGACAGCTTCCGCGGGATGTTCGCCCAGGCGATCGCCGCGCGCGGCGACCTCCTCACCTACGCGCGACTCAAGTGCAAGCCGGAGTACTACGGCGCGGCAGAGTACCACGCCCCGCAGAAGGAGGTCCTCTTCGAGATCATGGGATACCCGCACGTCGGCCCCGACGACGAGTGCAGCTGCTTCTTCGCGATGGCGAAGCCGTACCCCAGCAGGAACATCGCGATGTACGCCCTCCGCCCCCCGTCCCCTCCGCCCCCACTCCCTGAATCGCTGCCGATGCTGATTTGCCCCTGCGGCGCGCGGCGCAGGCTGAACACCTTCCTGGAGCTCAAGGTCGAGAACGCGCGCCTGCGGGAGCGCCTGCAGGCCCTCCGCGCGCGCTCGCAGGAGCTGGGCGCGACGCAGGCTGCCGCCGCCGCCGCCTCGCGCGCGAGCATCCCGTTCGAGTCCGGGAGCATGTCGTCCCAGCTCGCGGTCCACCTGGGGCTCGACGCGGCGCAACCCTTCAGCAGCGATTACCCGTACTACTCCGTCGCGTCGCACACGTACGGCGGCCCGTCGCATGCCCCGGCGGGGATGGGGATGGGGATGGGGGCTGGGCCGAGCGCGGGCACAGGAGCAGGGGCGGGCGCTAATAGTGCAGGTGCGGGTGCGGGTGCGGGTGCGCCGGGGCCCGAGGACGACACGGACGAATCGCGGCGCAAAAAGGTGGGTCGCGCGTTCCTGTCCCCCCCCCCCTTTCCTTCTCTTTCGCCTTCGCGACTTGTGCGCCGCGTCGCGCTGACGACGCGAACCCGCCCGCAGGCGAAGAGGGTGTACACCACGGACCAGCATGTGTGCGTCACCTGCGGCCGCACGGACTCGCCGGAATGGAGAAAGGTCCGTCGTCCTTGTGCCCTCCCCCGCGCCGCGCCGCGGCTGACCGTGTTGCACGCGCCCCGCGCCCCCGTGCGTCTGCGTTTGCGTCTGCAGGGCCCACACGGCCCGAAAACGCTCTGCAACGCCTGCGGGCTCCGGTGGGCGAAGAAGGTGCGCAAGTTCGAGGAGGCGAACGAGGCGGGCGGCGGCGGCGAGGGCTCGCGAATAGTACTGGACAACACGGTCCCCCCGTGACGACCGTGTCGGGTGCGTATACGTGTGGGTGGGTGATGTTCGGGATCGGTCATGGCATAGAGCAGTCGGCTTGTTATCTGTATCAGTAGCGCGAGGGCGGGGGGGGTGTCTCACGAGCGGGGTCGTCGGTACCATAATGTGTAATTCTGTCGCTGGCTTTTATTGTCTGTACATTGTCATCGTCGTCGTCGCCTCTGCCATCGCATGTCACGTCCACTCGACGTCCCGCTCCAACAGCCGCGGATCGCTTGGTAAAAACAGATGGAAAACTGTCCGAGGTCCTTGTCCTCACTTTCTCACCACGTGCACACGCGATCGGGTTTCGGGGTCCCTCCAGATCTCATGCTGGCAGCAGTCAAAAATCATTCATAACGCGTATGAACCGTACGTCGACCCACGAGTCTTCCTCCGCGCCGGGTGGCGTCGCGGTCGCAGCCGCCCGCCGCCGAAAGTTCCCGCTGTACCACATCATCTCCTGCGCCGGCACGCTCGCGAGCGTCGTGTCGCCCGGCTCCGGGTGCGTCTGACGCAGGACGACGCGCGGCCAGAACCAGCGCGACTGCGGCTCGACGACGATGCGCGCGTGCCCCGCCGCGAGCGACGGGAGGAGCGCCGCGGGCGCCGCGGCGAGGCGGAAGGTCAGCAGGAAGCGGTTGTCGTAGAGCACCTCCAGCGCGCCGCTCGCGTGCGCATCGTGCGCATCGCCCACACGCGGGTGCGCGCGCGCGGCGAGCGCGGCGGCGACCTTGTCGGTGACGTCCATGACGGTGGGGTTGGGCTCGCGCGTCGAGGGCGGGGCGCGGGACGCGATCCAGCCGTAGCGCTCGTACGGCTGCGGCGTCTCGTAGCGCAGGCGGCCGTCGCTGCCGATGCGGATCGGGTTCCAGAGGACCTTGCCGACGGACGCGAACGGGTGGCGCTCTGCCTGCGCCTGGGCGGCGGCGGCGGGCGTGTTCCAGAGGCGGTCGGCGAGGCGCGCGATGCCCTCGCTGCGGCGGCGGCCCTCGGCGACGTTGGAGCCCCACGGCGCGGGGGAGACGTAGCGCAGGATGCGGTAGAGGACGGCGGCGTTCACGACGGGGTCGTCCATGTTCTGGATTCTGTCCGTGCAGAAGAGGAAGGTGGACGGCGGCGAGGCGACGGAGTGGCGGCTGATGAAGGCGCTCGCTGCGGAGAGGGTCAGCATCGGCGGGGACGATGAGAGTAGATGGGGTACCCTGGCTTTCGATGTTTTCTGCGTGCTCGGTGAAGGACAGGATGGCGCCCCGGAGCTCTTCGCGGCTCCCAGAGAGGTCCAGCGGGATCGGCAGGTCCGCGCTCTCGGCGCGCTTCACGATCGTCCGGAGGTCCTCCGCCAGGCGCTCAGGCAGGCCGCTCGACACGGACAGAGGCAGGGCCTGAAAAGCGCGTCGGCGTCGGGCGCAGCGCCACAGCGGGAGAGAGAGAGAGAAATAGACGGACGAGGGGCTCACCGCCCGGTTCGGGGGAGGACGCGGCGGGCGCGGTGCGCTCGAGCATCTGCCGCACGGCGTTGCGCAGCGTGAGCTCCGGCTGGAAGTTGCTCGGGTCGTCGACGTACTCCAGCCCCGCCTTTTCGCACGTCGCGAGGATCCTGTCCTAGCAAACACACACACACGCACAACCTCTCAGCGCCCACCACCCACCCGCTCTCGAACCCAAACGACCACTCACCTTCCCAACCGTCAACAGCGGCCGCACGACCCACCTGCCCATCCCCCGCGCGCCCGCCCACCCCAGATCGCCCTCCTCCTTCCCCATCCCCATCCCCCACCGCCGCACCCGCCGCATCCCCGCGAGCCCTAGCACCGAGCTCCCCCGCGCGAGCCGCATCAGCGCCGTCTCCACCTGGTCGTCCGCATGGTGCCCAAACGCGATCGCGTCCGCCCCGCCCGCCGCCATCGCGCGCACCAGCACGTGGTACCGCGCGTCCCGCGCCACGCCCTCCGTCGCGCCCGCGCCCCCACCTGCGCCCGCGCCCCCGTCCGTGCCCGGGTTCGAGCCCGGCCGCGCGGGGAACGGCGCGACGCCCCACGGGATGCGCAGCTCGCGGTGCGGCACGCCGAGCGCGCGCGCGGTGCGCGCACAGTGCCGCGCCATGCCGTCCGAGGCGTCCTGCAGCCCGTGATTCACCGTGAGCGAGAGTATCTCGCGCGGGAGCGCGTGCGCGCGCGTGGGCGCGGACGCGGACGGTGGGGGTGCCTTCGTGAGCTGGGTGAGGAGGTAGAGGAGGCACGTCGAGTCTGCGCCGCCGGAGTGGGCGACCGCTGTGCGGCGTGCGGCGAGCGTGAGCGTGAGCGTGAGTGCGAGTGTGAGCGTAGAGCGCGATCGGGTGGGGCGGGACGGGGTGAAAGGCGCAGCGACCGCACGTACCGAGCTTTGCGGGCCACCCCGCGGGCGGCATGCACCGCTGCAGCATGCGCAGAAACTCGCCCTCGAGGATGGGGCCGGGGTGTGCCATGACCATAACGTAGTCGGCGTTCTGTTCTGTTCCCAAACGGAGCGCGCGTGTGTGTGGAGGTCGGATGAGATAGAATGGCAGGCCGACTGCAGGCCAGAGTGCTCAGTTGGTCATGTTCGCCGCGAGCAAGTCAAAAATCACCGCATTTGCCAATGTTCGCCGCTGCTGCGTCGACGCGCGCCGTGCTCTGCCGTGCTCGGCTCAGCTCACCGAGCCGCACGCCGCATCCGGCTCACAAGACTCGCAAACGACTTGTATTCGTTAAATAAAAACAAAGAACTCGACGAACCGAAACGAAAAGACGACGACGACGAAAGCCGCGACGAGACGAAAGCCGTAGTAGTTACTAGAGTACTTCGATGCGGTGCGTGTGAAGGACCGAGGGCGTGTGTAAGTTGTGCGTGCGCACGGAAAACAAGTACAGGCTAGCTAGCGAACAAGCGATGGTCCACGTCCGTTCACTGTGACGTTCCTTGTCCGAGATGCATGCGGGGAGACGGAGACGGAGACGGAGGAGAGGAGGAAGGAGGGACAGGAGCACCGTGTAGAAACATAGCTTGGGCTTGGGATACTGGACACGGCAGCAACAGCAGCAGCGGACGACATACAGACGGAAACGGTGTAAGAAAAGCGCGACCGGGGACGTTCCCGCGAGCACGCAAGGGCCCGCGAGAAACGGCGAAGAGGAAGAGATAAACGGAAGCAAGCAAGGAGCGCAACCAGGTAGTTAGTAGCGGAGAAAAGAAGTTTGCATGGACGGGTCTGACGAAGGCGTCGTCGTGAGATTATCGTACACGGAATTAGACAAGAAAAGAAAAGAAAAAAGATTCGAAGGAAAGAGAGAAAAAAAAAAACAAGACAAAAGCGAGGAGGCGCGGAGGCGGGTCGACCGAGGCGAGAACATATATGACAGCAAAATATCTATATCCAATGGCGAAAGCGATTGTTCTGATCCAACCGTCCACGGCGCGCGCGCCCGTTTCGCGCACGGGCGCACGCACAGAGACTCACGTTCACGTTCACGTCCACGTTCGCGCTCGCGCTCGCGTTCACGTTCAAGCACGCGCTCACGACGAGAAGCCGGGCACGCCGCTCATGCCCATGTATCCCTGGCCGTGGACGACGGGAACGGGGCTCGGGTTGCGCATGACGCTGTGCATGGCGTGCGGGCTGACGAACGGCGACGCCATCTGCATCTGCATCATCGGCGTTATGTGCGGCATCTGCAGCTGGTGCGACGCGTAGGCGAGCGTGTTGGCCTGGTTGATCGCGGCAAAGGCGTGCTGCTGCGGCGGGGAGGGCGAGGAGCCCTGGGGCGAGGCCGCGGCCTGGGGCGGCACGGGGCCCGTCTGCATCTTTTGCATGGACTGCAGCTGGGTGGCGCGCGCGGGGCGTCAGCGCGCGGGGACTGCAGCTGCGGGTGGGAGACGTACCTCGTAGAAGGCAAAGTCCTGGAGGAGCGAGGTGCGCGCGGGGTGGGTGTGGAAGATGCGGAGCATCTCCTGGCCGGCATCGGGGAGCAGCTCCTGGGTGTCGCGGGAGTTTGTGACGGGCTTCCTCTCCTGTGTGTTGCTGCAGCAGGCGGAGGTGAGCAACGGGACGAGAGACGGAGGGTCCGCTTACTTGAGACGGATGTGGCGGAGGTTGGCGTTGGGGATGTCGCGGACGAAGATCCATCGGACCTTGAAAACGCCCTTCCACTTGTCGGAAGCCCAAACGGTGCTGCTGCGTGTGTAATCGACCTGCCAACGGAGGGCGTCAGCTGATCTGCGTGCCGGCGGGGGTGCGACGATCGAGCGTACCGGTGTCAACATCTCGGCCATGCCGCAGAAATGGCCGCTGCGAGCCGAGAACAATAAATGGGGATGGACCGCGGACCGAGGCGAGGGACCACGCACCTGGCGTTCACGCTGAAGAACAGGTAGATCGGGCCTCTCCCGGCCGTCTCCTTGAACGCCTTGTCCAGCCGCTTGTTCCCGGGGTCCGTCGAGCTCCAGATCTCGTACTTCAGCGACTTGTGCACGTCGTCCTCCATGTACGACTTGATCACGAAGTATCGCGCCTGCAATGCCATCCGCGTCAGCCGTCGACCACCCACCCAGCGTGAACGTCACCCACAAACGTAGGTCGCACGTCGAAGTTCGCGGGGTTGTACCCCTTGGTCGCGATCAGCGTCGGAACATCCACGGGAGACGTCAGGAACGCCTGCTGTCCAGCGAGCCCCGCCTGCCCTTGCCCGGGGCCCGCAACGCCCATCCTCGAGCTCCCCCCCATGCCCTGCTGCAGATACTGCGCAGGAATCGTAGGGACGTTCGGCACACCCGGCGCGCCAGGCTTCCCCTGCTGCTGCTGCTGCTGCTGCTGCTGAGCGTACATGTAGTTCAGGTTCGGGTTCGACGTGCGGCCCTGCAGGACCCGCTCCTTCTGGTCCCACGCCCCCGACGCCGTGTACGCCCGCTCGTCCCGCTCGGCCCCCCCGCGCTGTTGCTGCTGTTGCGTCTGTTGCTGCTGCAGGGGCTGTTGCCCGATCGGCGGCACATACGCCGAGGCACTGACCGGGCCTGCATTCGGGCCTGTCAGTGGCGCGTTGCGCCCGTCCAGGTCAGTCACGAGCTGGAGCTTCCGCCCCCCGCCCCCGCCGTTCGCACCCGGCCGCATGCCCGGCATCTGCTGCGGCGGCGGGTGCGGCGGGTTGAATCGCGGCGGGTGGGCGGACTGTCCCCCGGGGTAGCCGGGCTGCGGGTAGCCTTGGTTTTGATGTTGTTGCTGTTGCTGCTGGTGATTGATGTCGAGCGAGGAGAGCGCGCGCTGGACGTCGTCGATGGCGACGTTGCTGCTGCTGTTGTTCCCGACGAGGTTCGACGAGCCCGCGGGCGTGCGCCATTCGTTGCTCGGCGTGCTCCACGGGGAGCGGCCGATCGGGCTCGTGGGATACTGGCTCTGCGCCTGCTGCGCCTGGGCGGAAGGCTGGCGGCTAAAGTACGCCTCGTCTTCGTGGCCGTTGGAGCTCTCGTCGTATTCGTATTCCTCCTCGGCGTTGGTCGGGCTGGGGCTCTGCGGGGGCTGGCCGGGGGCTCTGATCTGCGCCTGAAGAGTGCCAGCACGCTTGAGGCCAGAAGAAGCCATCCGCCGGACGCCGCCCGTCGCTGCGCCGTAGGTGAGACTCTGATGCCTGCGCACTCCCGAACCAGCCGGAGGGGGCGAGGGGATGGCATGAAAGTGGGGGGACAGCGGGGAGACGCCGGACTGGGAGTCGATCATCTGCTGATGTTGAGGATGGTCGGTGTTCGAGTACGCCGCCTGGAGGGAGATAGAAAAAAAAAAACATTAAGATTAGAGATGAGGATCGGTGGGGAGGACGGGCTGCAGAGGAGGGTGCCTACCTCTTCTTCGCTTCTCATGCGGGCCATTTCTCTCTCCCAGTCTTCCTCGTCGCCTTCCTGGCCTGCGATGGCTGTGAGACTGTTCAAGGTCCGAGGGGTTATGGTTCCACTTTGTCGGGATCCTTGCCCGTATGCTGAGAGAGCATCCGATGTGGGTCAGAGAGAATTGTGATGGCGTGGGTGAAGGTGCGAGAGGAAAGAGGGCTGGAGGTGGGAAACGAAGGGGATGTCGGGAAAAGCGTACCTCTGTTGTAGCGGGTTGGGAGGGAAGCCTGGCGATGGAGCGATCCCTTTTCGCCGACGGCACCCACGGCGCCGACCCAGTCCTGGTCGACGACCTCGTCATCGTTCCAGGTCTGCTGCTCGTGGGATTCCTCGGATATGGGAGGGCGACTGCCAGCGCGGGCAGAGCGCGATGTCGCGGTGATGGTGTGATGGCGGCGGACGCCTGTGGATGCGGGTGCAGCGGCGGCGGGGGGAGGGGGCGAGATGGGGTGGGGAGGCGCAGACATTGTTTTTGAGGGCGATGAGAGGGAGGAAGAGGGAGGGAGGAGGAGAGAGGAGGAGGAGGAGGAGGAGGGACGAGTCAAGGCAGGTTGTCCAGAAGCGGGTTTCGGCAAGGCGATGGAGACAACGACGGACTCGTCCAGCTTCGGCCCGGGCCCACCATCGATCCCTTCCTCCCGCTCCATCCACCGCCTGCGCACAGGCCATCACCTCAGCGGTGCATCCCTGCGTACTCCCGCTCACCTGCGCACGGGCCATCATGAGCCGCGGTCGCCCACAGTCCGCGCTCTACTACCAGATCGGCGGCTATCTCGCAGACTCCACTCACTGGTGACCCCCGTCCGTGGCCCGTCGCCGTGTCCCGTCGCTCATCCCGCCCAGGTTCGGCTACGACACCCCCAAGCTCGTCGACGCCTTCTGGCAGCTCGAGCCGGGCGGGATCGACCTCACACTCGGTTCGTCTCAGCACGCTCCGCGATCGACACCGCTGACACCCCCCGCACCGTCCCAGGCATCGTCCCCTCCGGCGCCAGCTACCTGCTGCTCCCCCTCGACAGATGGCCCGCCCTCCAGCGCGCATACGGCCTCCGCACGCCCCACAAATCGCGCCCCGCCTCCGCCTACCTCTCCCTCAGCCCAATCCACTTCGACACCCCGGCCGCCTTCAAGAAGAAGCTCGACTCTCTCCGCCCCAAAAAAACAAAACAGCCCACTGACACCAGCCAGGCCAACAAGCGCTACGCCATCGGCCCCAAGGACGGCGGCGCGCCGCGCGCCGCGTTCGAGCACTCCAGGTACGCGACTTCCCCGCCCCGCACCCCACGCGTCTCTGCATCCGAATAATAACACCGCCCTCGATCCCTCCCCCTCCGCAGGCTCCTCCTGCGTGCCCTGCGCGCAGACTTCGACGTCGCGCCGTACGGCCTCGCCCGCGGTACGCAGTGGGCCGACCTCCAGGTCCTCGCGCTCGCCTTCAACCGCTGGTCCATGGGCACCCAGCTCCTCGACCTCGGCTGGACCCGCGCCCGCCTCGGCGCCGCGCAGCTCGACACCCAGTCCGCGGTGCACATCGCCCTCGCAGAGGGTGCGCACTTCGGCGTAGAGAAGCGCAGGAAAGCGGTGCGTGCCCCCCCCCCCCCCCCTGCGCCGTACATAGCACTCACACACGCTCATATACACACCGCCTTTTGCGCGGCGCAGGCGTTCAAGCACGGCGAGGCCGAGACGATGGGCGCGCACGCCGCCGCGGCGCGCCTGCGCGACACGCTCGCAGAGATGCGCGCCGCGCCCGTGCTCCTCCTCGTGCACGACGAGCCCGCCGCGCGCGCTGCGCTCCACGACCTCGGGATCGAGACGTCCACGTGGGCTTCCGGCGCCGACGCGCTCCTCCGGTCAGTGCGCGCCTTTCCGCGCTCTCGTCTCCCCGTTCGTTTATCTGACCAGAATCGCGTTTCCGTTTCCGCGTCCATTTTTGTTTCCGGTTCCGGTGTCTCTGTCTCGTGCTGGCTGGCCGCCTGTTCTCACGCATTCGTGCCGGCGGACGGCCGCTGTGGATCGACATCGATCCGGATCGATCCTTGCTCTTCGCGCTTCTCACGTTGCTCTACATTATACATCATACAGCGCCGGACTGGTCAAGCACGAGGCCGACCGCCGCCCGCCGTACCGCGACGAGCGCTCGTACGACAGGCCCTCCCACGACTCGCGCGCGCCCTACAGAAATGAAGACCGCGGGAATGGCAGGCGGGACGGCTATGGCTACGACTACGACCGCGGCCGCGACCGCTCCTACGCGCCGCCGTCCCGCAACGACCGCGCCCCCGCGCGCCGCTCGCTGTCTCCCCACCGTGACCGTGACCGCGACCGCGCCCGCGACAGACGGGACGACCACGCTCGCGAGCGTGACCACTCCCGCTCCGACCGCGCGCGGGGCCCGTCTTCCCGCTCCCGCTCGAGCGAGCGAGACGGGCCCGCGGACGCGGGCGGCGGGGTGTACGTTGTCGACGTGCACGTGCTGTTCGACGCGCTGACGCAGAAGGCGCGCACGCGGCGCACGATCGGGGCGGACGCGCGGGACGCGGGCGTGCGCGAGGCGGGCGAGGGGGAGTGGTGCGCGGGGAACGAGAGCCGGTGCGTTCTCTCCACGCTTTTTTTTTTTTTTTTTTTTTTTTTTTGTTTCGCTCGTCGGCGGCGCGCTGATGCGTGGTCTTTGGCTCGGTGCGGCTGCGATAGGGTGTTGGCGGAGCTGTGGTACACGATGGCGGCGGGCGAGGCGATCGACGAGCAGCGCGCGGCGCGGTGGCCGGATGGCCTTGGCTCGGGGGGGCCGGCTGCGGCTGGTGGTGCTGGTGGTGCTGGTGGTAGGTCTGGGGACGCGACGGACGACGTGGACCCGAACGACGTGGACCCGAACGACATCGAGCCGGCGCGCAACGCGGCGCTGACTATCTACGACGACTTTGACCTGCACGACTCGGAGGAGGAGCGCGGGGACGCGCAGTATCTCTACTGACGCCGGGTTGCTTGACCTGTACTCGTACGGCGCATGCGTTGAAGGACGTGTGCGTTATCCGTCTGTGCGTCGTCTGTGCGTGCGTGCGTGTGCGTGCTGTGTGTGCGTGCGTGCTGATCGTGATTTGTACTTCACTTACTTCTTGCTGACGTTCCGGTGCCCCGCGGTCGAGCTTCGGGTCACCGTCCTGCTCTTCTGTACGATGATCGACGCCCTACGCTTTCGCTTCGGTGTGCCTATACCCCGTATGTCTCGACTGCATTTCCTGTTCCCCGAGTTTTCCTTGTCCCCGAGTTTTCCTTGTCCTTGTTGTCCATGACGCTTTCGATTCGATATACGAGTGTTGCAGTTTACACGGCCGGCACAGTGCAGTGCGGTGCGGTGCGGTGCGGTGCGGTGAGGGTCCGGCTGACGCGCGTCTGAAAGGCAGTGGCGAACGGAAGCAAGCGGAAGTTTCAGACAGTCGACGCTATCATACTCGGAAGAGACAGCGCACGCCGTCCCATGCGACCACACCCGCAGGGAGCTCCAACCTGAGCGGTGAGCTCGAGCATGGCTTGTGACCTCGACCGGGCCTGTGAGCTTTTGAATCTCAGCTTCATTTTGTGAGATTGGTTCCGCCTCGCTTCGTACCTTTTCCCAGCCCCGCCGTCGGGGTGTGAAGTTCAGCTCAGTGACGTTCAACTTGGTAAACAACTTCGCATACCGGTCCTCCGAGTCTCCCTGCAATGTCGTCAAAGGGGGCGACGACCACTGGAGCGGACGATGTCTGACAACTCCCTCGGCACACACGAAGAAAGCAGCTTCGACCAAGCAGGGTGGGTCTCGTTTTCGAACAGCCATATTGGCTCGGATTGACGTCCGTTAGCAGGTAAACCTTCCCGCTCCGTGAAGGGCAAGCAGCGGGAGTCTCCAAAGGTTTATCGTTCTGCGAGAATGTGTCCATGTTTACATGCTCACGCAACCTTTCGTAGCGCTGTTCTATCTGCGGCGACTTTGGAGAGGTGACCCTCTGCAGCAGTCAGTGCGGCAATGCCATGAGTGTTTGGGATGAAGATTCTTACACTGGTTGCATCGCTTTGGAACCCAACGGGCCTGCATCTGTTGATTGCATGAAATGCCCCAAAAAGAACGGGGAACCCTGTACAGTATGTCAGCCACTATTGCTTTCGAACTAACTAGAGTGCAGTACACTATCAAACGACTTGGATCGCAGTGGCTTCAGTTCACATCCACGTTACCGGGTTTATGCATGCTTCAAACCCCCACGGACGACGTGAAGTCATCATGTGGGCGTGCGGGCAAGCCATGGGTCGCACGGAGCACTCTCAGCTCGTTCGCAGCGTCTTAGACAGGTGAATCAATTGTGCAACCCGATTGCGATGTCGCGCTAATCGCATTGTTAGTCACCCGTTTGATTCCGTCTTAGGGTTCGCCAGTGCCAGCGTCATCCCTAATGTAGTCGGGCCCTTTATTGCTAGATTCTGTGTGCTCTGTGCAGAGTACCCGCATCAGGACATCGTCACGCTGGCCCTACAAGCATCCTCCTTGAAATCTATCCTTACCAGCACCCCGGTCGTGGTCATTCACCGTCCCGATCCCGCGGGTCCTATTGTCTCGACCAGGATAGTCTACTCCGTCGAGTATGATATATGCTGGGGAATAGCTCACCACTGTCCTCAGTGCAAATCGGGTCCTCCGTATATCACTTGCAACCCGCACCGGAGGCATCAGAAAGGCCACCAACGCGTGCGCTTTTATTGTAATCGTTGTCTTTGACGACTGTCCTCCGTGTAGTTTGAGAAACCGGAGTGGGTCAAAATTCACGAGGATTACGTCGTGGAAGTACCTCACGAGCACCCTGAGTTCCTCCCGTAGGCATTCGATGAATGGCTTAAGCCGCCCGGACACACGGAGGTACGGGCCAAATATCAATCAACTGTCCGCGGACGGGCGCCCGCCAAGATTTTGGACTGGTTATCTCGAGAAGAGAATAAGGACCACAACCCCCCCGAGGAACTCTACCCCGACAACGCCACCCTTCAACAAAGCGACGCCGAGTTTTCCGATTGGCTGCTCAAATGGCGCAACGACCAGGAGCGGCTTGCTCGCGCCCAATCGAGGCGCCCTGCCGCGAGAGATCCGACTCTCCAGCAATAGTACCATGTCTACCACATACGGTCTCAAACGCACCGCACGCGAGTTCGGGCACACGCCGCCCACGCTCGACGACGCTCAGACGGCAGCGGCGCGCGAGTCAGGACGTCCACCACAACGCCGACGATTCAATGGGCCCCGGCGGTTCTCCGTCGAGCGGGGCAACCCCCGCGACTTTGCTAACGTCTCTCCCCCGCCGCCGGACATTATATTGCCGTATTGACAGTTTCGTCCGACGGCACTGGAGGCGGGACCCTCTCGGTGAGATTAGAGGTGATTGATCGCCTGCTCCAAGGTGAAGCGGACCGTTGGAGGTATGACAGCGCTCGCAAAGTACTCTAGAAACACCGTTCGCGATGGTCCGCCTCGAGTGAATCGGTACAGGAGATGTGGTATAGATGGAATTGCTTTTTTTGACAGTACGTACGACGTATACAGCGACCGAACTTATGTGCGGCACGCGCGAAGGCCTGCGAAGCGGGGGTGGTCGGCGAGGGCGGGCGTCGCGTCGAGGTGGGCCTGGATACGCTCCACAACGACCTTCTTGGTACCCTCGACCGGCAACCCCAGCGCGCTCGCGATGTCCCGCAGCTGCGCTTTGGCCTTCGTCCCGAGGCTCCCGCTGAACACCGTCGACGCGATCGCGCGCCGCGCGTCGCGGTCTCGGGCGGCGCCCCCTTTCTGCGCATCGTCTTCGAGGCCTTTGGCCACGGCGTTCCGTTCCGTTCCGCCTGCGCCCCAGCCGATGTGACGCGCGGCATTGGGTTGAAACGGCGTCCCCCCCGCGTGTGCGTCATTGCGTTGAGTCGGTGTTGGAGGATGGCACATTGCCGCTGCAGAAGGATCCCGCGGGCCTCCGCGGCGTCGCGCTGGATCGTCATCTCATGAAGCTGCCGCTCCAGCTCCCGCAGGAACTTTCGGAGGCGTTGGTTTTCGGCCCAGAGCTGTTCTCGGGTTCGTCGGAAGGGTGCACGTGATGGATGGGGTGAAAGAGGGAGCGAGAAGGCCGTTGGGGAAGGGGTGGACCGCGCGGACGTCGTGGAACGCGTGCGATGTTCCTCGCTGTTACCGTCGGACGCCGTTCCCCAGTGATGTCCTGTTCGTATCAGCGTAGATTAGGATGTTGATGTGGGATGAAAGAAAATAGACAAACGACGTACCAGCGCGCTCGCAGTCAGATTGCGACAGCGCAGCGTATAATCCCCGCCTGAGCGACGTCTCCACCCCAAGATCCATGCCCTCGTCGCGAGTCCCACCCTCCTCACCTTCTTCCTCGTCCTCCTCTGCGTATGCCCAGGAGCCTGCGCGCGCGCCCTCCGCGGTCATCGCTTCGTCCGCCTCTTCGAAAGGGCCTTTGTCGGTGTTCATGATGCCCATCAATGGACGCACACGATCCCGGACGCGCGCGCTGTCGTCGTCGTCGATAAGGCTGCTCGTGTCCTCGTCCGGGGCGGTCTTTGAGGACTCATCCATGTCCTCCGTGGGGTGGACGCCGACGGAGGGCACGGCAGGCGGATGTACGGGACGTGACAGATTGAGGGCCGTGCGAGAGGCCGACGCCTGTGCAGAGCTCGGGGCGACCGTCTAGTCAGGGTCTGGCGGGCAGCACGATGCCGAGAGCAGCAATGTACTCGTACGGTCGAATTGGCCCAAGCGCCTGCAGGTCTAGGCATCCGCGATTCCGCGCACAGACCCGTGCTTGTCCACCCTTCGCGTCCGCTCTCCCCGAAGCGGTGTACGTTGATATGTGCATACTGTATCGTGACGCAGGCGGCCATCGCGTGGACGGAAAGAGGTCTGTGTAGACTACGGCGACGCGACTGTATACATGTGCGGGTTGCTTTAATTCGCCGCTGAGATTGAACAGGATCGGACGACTTTGAGTCGTCGAAGTGTCGTCGACATGCACCGGCCTACACCATGGCATGCGCACTTCGATCTTCCAAGCTACTCCGCTGGGGTCACGTGTGGACGCGCGGGCTGCGATTCGGTGGAGCCGTTCGGTGGGAATGCCGCGCTCGCTTTCCAGTCGGATTATTGTGCACGAGGCGTCGCGTCCGAACTTCGAGGAAGGGCCCAACTGTTAGTCGATTATCTGTGAGGCGTCTGTGTCGTCGCATCGACGGGTGTGCGCCCACCTTCGTCGCTCGATGGCGTTCTCAGGCTCGCTCGAGTTCTTGCGCTGTAATTCAGTCGCGGAACGTCGCTCGGTGCATATATAGCCGGTTGTATCGCGACTCCCATGAGATGTACCTGTGCAGGCCCTGCGATTCGACGTATCTAGAGCGGCAGAAGGCACGTTCGTGATGGCCTGGCAGAGCCTAGCAGCGGACGCTAATACTGCAGTGGGCCCCCAAACGCGAAAAGCACCTTGCCTGCAGGGGTTCGGTTGCGTGAGGGGTCGCGTCATGGATGCTGATGCGCGCACGGGAGAGAGTGCGGCCGGAGTTTGTACGCGGCATGCCCGAGGGCAATAAGGAACACTGTAATATTAGTCGCGCGGCCAGGGTGGGAGGTGGAACGTGCCCGCCCCGAAAAGGGGTTGCCGAGAAGAGGCGGTCGTGCGGGTCGAGGATGATATCGTGCGATGATACCCAAAAGGGACGCGCGCCTTTCCCGAATGGGCCAAGGGCGACCGAGTACATAAACCCGCCTCCGCACCCTCAAACGCACCCCGCTCTTGACTTCATACCGCATCCCGCCCTTGAGTATAAGAGCCCCCCCCCCAGCTCCCTCGTCCTCTCCCCTCGCGTCCACCCCGTCGCACTTTTTTTAACAGTCGACCCCACCCCCTTGCATGTTCTCGAACCAGCTCGGGAGCGTACACAACCCCCACAGAGGATCGAAGCACACCGCCGCTCCTCCGCTCTTATCCCAGTGATTTCACCTTGCTCCTCGTCTTTACCAATCTACCTACCCTACACGCAAACCCCCCCCTCCTACCCAACCATGGCACCCAACACCTCCCCCTCCTCTGGAAACGCGACTCCCGACCCCTCCGTTTTCGAGGCCCCCTTGAACCTCCCTGTTCACCCAACCGCCGCCCGCCGCCCCGCGGACCTCATCTCCGTTCAGAGCCAGGCTACCGTCTACTCTCGCGAGTTCATCACCTCCAAGTTTGAGAACCGCGGTGCCGACGTCGTCGTCCAGCAGGATGGCCGCTACGTCATCCAGCCCACCGTCAAGCCCTTCGAGTTTAGGACCCAGCGCAAGGTCCCCAAGACTGGGTGTGTGCACAGCTTCTCTTATTTTACGCGGCTCTTCTGACCCGACCCTTTTTTTCTTTCTGTAGCCTGATGCTCGTCGGTATGGGCGGCAACAACGGCACGACCCTCATCGCCACCATCCTCGCGAACCGTCACAACATCGCCTGGCACAACAAGTCCACCGTCCAGCAGCCCAATTACATCGGCTCCCTCCTCCGCGCCAGCACCGTTCGTCTCGGGCTCGACGCCACCACCGGCAAAGACGTCCACGCCCCCCTGTGCGAGCTGCTGCCCATGGTCCACCCCAACGACCTCGTCGTCGGCGGCTGGGACATCTCCGGCGCGCGCCTCGACAAGGCCATGTCCCGCGCCGCCGTCCTCGAGTGGGATCTCCAGCGCCAGGTCGCCCCGTACATGAAGGACATGGGCGCCCCGCTCCCATCCATCTACTACCCGGACTACATCGCCGCCAACCAGGCCGAGCGCGCGGACAACGTCCTACCGGGCGAGGACAAGCAGGCCCACCTCGAGCACGTCCGCAGTGACATCCGCGAGTTCAAGGCCAAGCACGAGCTCGACCAGGTCATCGTCTTCTGGACCGCGAACACGGAGCGCTACAGCGACATCGTCCCCGGCGTGAACGACTCGGCAGACGCGATGCTCGCCGCGATCAAGTCCTCCCACGCGGAGGTCGCCCCGAGCACCGTCTTCGCCGTCGCCTCCATCCTCGAGGGCGTCCCCTTCATCAACGGCGCGCCGCAGAACACCTTCGTCCCCGGTGTCATCGCGCTCGCGGAGAAGCACGGCTCGTTCATCGGCGGCGACGACCTGAAGAGCGGGCAGACGAAGCTGAAGAGCGTGCTGGCCGAGTTCCTCGTGAACGCGGGCATCAAGCCGCTCAGCATCGCGAGCTACAACCACCTCGGGAACAACGACGGGTGGAACTTGAGCTCGGACAGGCAGTTCAAGAGCAAGGAGATCAGCAAGAGCAGCGTCGTGGACGACATGGTCGCCGCGAACAACTTGCTCTACAAGTCTGCTGCGGAGATGGCCGCCGAGGGTGGGTCGCCTGCGGCCATCAATGTTATGACATATGCTGACCTGGGCCATGTAGGCGGTGCTGTAGGGAAAGACGGGAAGCCCGTCAAGGGCGAGCACCCCGACCACGTCGTCGTCATCAAGTACGTGCCCGCCGTTGGCGACTCGAAGCGGGCGATCGACGAGTACTACTCTGAGATCATGGGCGGCGGCCGCTCGACGATCAACATCTTCAACGAGTGCGAGGACTCGCTGCTCGCGACGCCGCTCATCCTCGACCTGACGATCCTCGCCGAGCTGCTCACGCGCATCTCGTACCGCGACGTGTCGGCCGGCGCACCGGACTTCAAGCCGCTGTACCCCGTGCTGAGCCTGCTCTCGTACATGCTCAAGGCGCCGCTCGTGAAGCCTGGTGCGTGTCCCTCGTGTGACTCGCCTCTGTTGTGGATGTGTATCTGATTGTATGGACGCGCAGGCACGGACGTTGTCAACTCGCTCTCGCGCCAGCGCAACGCGCTCGAGACGTTCCTCAAGGCGTGCATCGGGCTGGAGGGCAGCAGCGACCTCCTGCTCGAGACGCGGATCTGGTGATCGGCGCTCGCGGTGCTGCGAAGTGTCGGTTCGACGAAGTGTTTCCCGGTGCCGTGCTGTGGTCTCAACACCCTGCCTGGGCGTCGTTAGAGTAGATAGATGTGTCCTCAAGCGATGGGCTCGTGGGGTTCTCAACAACCCTCCCTGTTGTCTCGTTCAATACCATTTTTCGTTTGAAATGCCTCTTTGAGACCAGCCGCGTGCAGATCGTGATCCGTCGCGCCACCGACGCGCCGCGGCTCGTCCCACGCAGGCTATTAGCACTCTATCAGCCTTACTAGCACTCGAGTCTCCTTCAGTCGCTTGTGTGCGGCGATGAGCAGCCTCCTCGCCCCCTCGCGCGCGATCTTCGACGCGAACCCGTACGAGGACCACCCGGGCCTCTCGCCCATCGAGGCCGACGTCCTCTGGGAATACGCGAAGCTGAGCCAGCATATCAAAGACGTGAGTCGTTTGCTGCACCGAGCGCCGTTGGACGCGCGCTGAACGTGGGACGCGCATCTCGCACGTCGTGCATCGCCGCTACCGTATCGTCGCCATCGTTGCCAATATCGATCTCGGGACGATGACGCCCCCGCACACCGCACGCCGCCCGCCCGCACGATGCACGCCTGCACGATGCAAACGCTCAACGCTGCACGCTACACGCACGCCAGCTGGTCGCGCAGACGCGCAGGCTGAGCGAGGCCCCGGACGAGTCGATGCTGAAGCGCCTCCGCGTGCTGGAGCGCAAGATGGGCCTGGTGCTGACCCTCGTGCGTCCCTCCCTTCCTATGATGGCGCTCGCGATGCTCATGCCGTATTCGCGCGCGCTCTCGCCCGACGCAGTTCAAGGCCTCCGTGTGGGGCGTCGTCAACGAGCAGTCGTACGCCGACATCCCGACGAGCCCCCAGAGCGACGCCGCGCGATGAAATGAGAGGCGCACGCTTCATATTGACTGCTGCCGTGCGCGCTTTGCATGTATTCCTAATACCGCCGCCCGACGCTCCGTTACGATACGTGTATCCACCCTATGTATTCTTCCCTCCTTCGCTCCACCTCACTCCACTCCACTTCACTTTTCTCCTCCTCTCTACGCGAGCCGCAACCCAGCCATCTTCCCGCCCAGCCCCCCAACGGCGCTCACGTTCCACACAACAAGCTTCCCATCGATCCCGCTCGTGCTCACGCGCCGCACCGCGCCCCGCGCGCCCTCGTACGCCCGCACGCTCGTGATCGTGTTCTGGTGCACCGTAAACAGCTCCGTGTCCGCCCCCGCCCCCGCCCCGCCGCTCGCGCCGCCCCCCGCGCCCTGCCCCATCCCGCGCGAGTCCGCATTGCGGAACGTGTTGAACGCCGCGCTGTTCAGCCGCCCGACGGGCGCCGCGCGCCCGCCGCCAGCGCCGCCGCCGGCGGACTTGGGCGCGCTCGTGTCGTCGAGCGAGCCGACGGCGCGCCAGCCTGCGCTCGCGCTCCCTGAGAAGAGCACGGGCTGGCAGTCGTGTCCCGCGGCGACGAGCGCGTCCTCGGCGGTCCAGGCGAGCGTGACGTACGGCAGGGAGTTGATCTTGATGGTGAAGACGGCGGGCCCGCCGGGGTAGACGATGGAGATCGTGCTGTCGTGGCCTGGGAGGGGTGGGGCGATCAGTCGGTCAGTGTGTGAGAGGCGCGATGTGCGATGCGTGATCTGAAGAGTGCGCTTACTGGCAAAGGCGAGGACGTCGCCGGAGGGCGAGAATCCAACGGCGTGAACCCAGCCGCCCGAGGGGCTCGTGTACTCCCCGCAGAGAGTGTTAAAGGGCAGCTTCTCGCCCCACACGGTGGGGGCCGGCCTGGATGAGGCATGATGCGTGATGAGCGAGCGCGGCAGCGGCGGGGGAGCAACGCACCTCTTGTCGACGTCCTTGATGTACGCGGAGAACACGCGCGCCTTCATGTCGGCGCTCCCGGCCGCGAGCAGCACGTTGTTGGGGTGCCAGTCGACGGAGAGCACCGTCGAGCGGATCGGCTTCTTGAGCTGGCGCGCGAGCCACCAGTCGTTCTCGGGGTCGAAGGAGCAGATCGCGATCGCGCTAGATCGTGCGGCGTCGTCTGAGCCTCCCCATCGGCAGGGGCGAAAGAGAAGGGAGAAGAGAAGGTTGGGGGGACGCACCGCGCGCCGCTGGCGACGGCGAACTTGTCTTCGAGCGGGCTCCAGCGGACGAACGTCGCGGCGCGGTTGATGCGCAGCATGACGAGCGTCGGCTTCCAGACCGAGCGGCCCGTCTGCGGGTCGGGGGACTGCTGCCACACGTACGCGTTGCGGTCCTGCGAGGCGGTCACGATGCGGTTGGAGTTGGGCGCCCAGTCGATCGAGGTGATGATCTTGTCGTGCTGGAGCAGAGGGCGGCGATGGCGGCGGTGAGCCATCGGCGCGCGCGGAGACGAGGTTGAGACGGGGGAACGCACCTCGGACAGGGTCTCTGTGGGAGTCCAGTCTGCGCCGCTGCGGGAGAATATCTGGAGGTCGTTGGAGTTGAGGCTGACGGCGACCTCTGCTCGAGAGGCGTGAGCGAGGCGGCGTGAGCAGCGGTGGGATGTACTGACGGCTGCGGTCGGCGTTGAAGGCGTGGCCTGTGATGGGCGTCTGGGTGATGTTGTATATTTCCGGGGCAGCCATGATGGTGAGTCTGTCGGTGCAGAGGACTTGCAGTCTACTACTGCGACGGATGTGGTGGTCGACGGTTGCGGGCAGGAGCAGCTACAATGCCATCATCGCTTTAGTACGTACTGCCGTAATCAGTTCAGGTCCGGCGTCGTCGCGAATCAACACACTGAAGGTGCCTAGTACCAGCACGCACACCCAGATCATCTTATTATCATATTAACAGACATTCTACGAGCGAAGACAGCAAAGCGTCAGTACATCTCTACACATGCGACCACCGCGTCCCCTCGGAGCCACTCCATTTCGAAATCAGTCATCAAACTTGAAGCTGTGAGTACCCATCTTCGAATATCAAAAATCAGAGACGGCGAGCCAAGCTGGTACAGCACAGGCCGACGACTCACCGTGATCTCGCCTCCCTTGTACGACCCCCTCTTCTTCTTGTTCTTCTCCTTCCTAAATCCGTCTCCACGCGTCACGATCAGATCCCGACTAGCCTTCGCGCCATAGTCGTCCATCGACGCATTCTGGCAATTCTCGACTCAGCCCACGGACATGCTTCGAGAGAAAGAGCGAAGAGAAGAGCAAGACCCGCGACGACGTACCCTCGACTCGAACGTATTGTCCTTCAATCGTTCGTCAGTAAACTGAACCTGGTCGACCTTGACGCGCTGGAACGGCGTGTTCGTCTTTCGCGGCGGCTTCCCATTCCCGTTCTTCCCGTTCTTGGTCTGGGGTTGCGGCGACTGACTCTCCGACGTGGTCGCAGTGGTCACGGCCGTCCCGTCCTCGGTAGTGCGCCGCTTTTTTGTGGCCCGCTCGCTGCGTTCCTCAATGACAGGCTCAGGCGACGCGCGCTTCGCCTTGGATTTCACGGCCTTCGAGGTCTTCAGCTTGGTCGTCGGCGCGGTCTCGTCGTCCGAATCTGAATCCGAAGAGGAGGACCCTGAAGAGGAGTCAGACTTGGGCTTTGACTTGGGCGTCGACTCGGGCTTTGTTTTAGCATCGGACTCAGACGAAGCGCTGTCGTCGCTGGAGCTCGAGCTCGACTCAGAGTCACTCGGTATTGGCTCAGCTTTGCTCCCCGCCACCTTTTTGGCGGAAGATTTCACCGGCTGGGCCTTCACCTTGGCCTTCGCACTGGCGTTCTCGGTCGAGCTTTCCTCATCGCTCGACTCTGCATCGCTCGTGCTCGATTCTTCGTTTGAAGAGAGCGTCGCGCTCGAGTCTCCGACAGCGGGCGCTTGTTTCTCGGAGGCATCTAGTTTGCTTGAGCTCTTAGACTTTTGAATGGGTTTGGCCTCTTCCATTTCCTCGTCGGAGTCAGAGTCTAGCTCGTCTGGAAGATCGAAATTATAGATGCACGCGCGCGGTCGAAGGTAGACTCACCAGATTCCGATGGGCTGGATCCCTCCTTAGCAGGCTCTGCATTCGGTAGCGAATGATGATCGTCAATTTACGGGTCGCATTGGCGCGAATGCAAGACTGACTTTCGGCCGCTTCATCTTTGTCGGAGTCGTCCGAGTCCGAGTCTTCTGAGGACGCTGAAGGGCTGTCAGTGAATAGACGTGTATGACGCGATAATCGACGCGACTCACGGTCAGACTCGGAGCTTGATGATTCGCTGGACGACGTTCAGTATGCAAGCAGCATCGCAGGAGACCCAAGGAGAGTCGGACGCACAAAGAGGCCACGATCGCCTTCAGCTTCTTCCACTCCTTGACTATTTCGTCCAACGAGAGACCATCGGACTCCGTTGCATCTTTGAGGACGACGACGTCCCTGGCAGACTTTTGGAGTGCCTTGGCGGCTTTTGAATGAGAGTGCTTCAGTAGGAAGGAGTGGATTAGGATGTAAGTGGCTAAGGCGGGGGCGCGTCAGACGTATATTGTCTCGGACTGGATCAAACTCGCCTGCCAAGCTTCCGTCCCCGCTCTCCGTGGTCTCTTGATCAGACTTGGACATGACGAGCAGCGCCAAACGCGAAGAAAGAAAAACAGAAAGAAGGAACCGGAGCAAGAGGCTCAAGAAAGTCCAAGACAAGGATGCGGGGCGCCAAACACGACCAAACGACAGCTAATCCGACTTACGCGCCAACGACGATGAGCTCAATCAAAGGCCTTCCGCAATCCCAATCTTCCTTCGACGGCGCACCCCTCAGGGTCGCCATCGTCCACGCGCGATGGAACAAATCCGTCATAGACGCGTTGGTCGCGGGCGCGGTCAAGAAGCTGAAAGCGCACGGCGTCAAAGACCATAACATCGTCGTCCAAACCGTCCCAGGCAGCTTCGAACTGCCCCTCGCATGCCAAAGGTATGTAGATCTTCCCGTCGCGTCTTCCTCTTCTGTGATTAACCGACGTGGACACCACGCTCGCGTTGTGCGCACAGAGTCATCGCGGGATCCCACGTACAAGCCGGCGCGACGGCGACGGATCTCCTCGGCGGCCTCGGCGGCCTGTCCATGACGTCCCTAGTTACGGGCGGGTCACGCTCCGGGACGCCTATACCGACGACGGCGAACATGCCGAACCAGCCCTTCGACGCGGTCATCGCGATCGGGGTGCTCATCAAGGGCTCGACGATGCACTTCGAGTACATCTGCGACAGCGTGTCGCACGCGCTCATGCGTGTGCAGCTCGATACAGGGGTCCCTGTCATCTTTGGCGTGCTGACGGCTCTCACGGACGATCAGGCGCTGGAGAGGGCGGGCCTTGGGAGGGGGGAGGACAAGGGTCATAATCACGGCGAGGACTGGGGGTCGGCTGCGGTGGAGATGGCATCAAATGCGAGAAGGTGGGGTGAGGGTAAGTTCTAACTCGGTGTAACGATGGAAGAGATGAAGGGGATGGACAATGGGTATAGGGAAGGATCGGCGAGTGAGTGTATGATTTGAACTAGTCCTTTCGGCGAACTGTATTCTATGGGGATGCTGTAGTGCTCAAGCTTTTATAGAGTCATGAACGCTGCGACGCCCTCGGCGACATTAAGGGCCGTCCGGCTCTCGTGTTGAGAATAGGTCGAATGTGGGCAAGCATAGGTGCTGATCGCTGAGCATCCGAGGACTAAAAATCGTCCCTTGCGACACCGACAGCAAACATTTTCCCTCTCCATTCTCTTGCACATCATACACGTTGTGCGCCTTTTTCGACTCGCCCCTCGGGTTCGCATCCTCCTCGCCGTCCGCATGCGCGGGGTGGTGGCGATGTCAAGCCTGACACGACTGGTGTGCCTGCGTCCTGATGAAGTTAGGGCACGTCCTTGACTTGCTTGATATCAAATTGCGCATGATATTCATTGGGCGTAGTTAAAACTGCGTGTTTGGCATGGGTCCTACTATTACCGGTGTTTTCAACACCGATGTTGGATGCCTCGGTCCACGAATGCCTATGAGAGTCGTCTTTGAGGATCTCTATTCTTTTCTTTTGTATTATGAGAAGGAGGATGCATGCAGAATCGAAATCGCAGGAGATAGGGCCAACGATTCTTCGTGCAATTCAAGTTCCTGGGATATTGCTGCTTCACACGGTGGGCCACTCGTGCATATTTTTCATGTGCTGTGGATGGCTGCTTTTGCAACGGAAGGTTTGATCCTACATGCCGCCATGGCTAGTAATTACCTGTAAGTACGTACAGATATTTGGATTGGGGCAACTGTGGGCGGCGAATACTATTGGACCCATCACTATCTTGCCATAGAAGAACCGGATCGGACCAATGACGACGGTGCGCTGTTGAGAAGCTGTGATCCTGCGCGGAAGAACAAAAGAAGCGGAAATTTTGGGATGAGCGCTGGGCTTGCTGATCAAACAACAGCTCGGGTGGCAAATAGATAACAAGGAACTCGGCCAGAAAAGCAACACACGTCTCCGGCAGTGACACATCCTCTTGCCGTGCGGCAAAACAGACATTATGGCTAAGCTTCTCAATCTTAGGAACAACCCGTAAACGAGATGGCACTGCCATGCATTCGAGGGGCAAACTGAGCAGACAACAGGATTGGCTCAAACAACCATCAGAAGACAAGGTGAGGCGATGGCAAACCCGAAGTATTCCAGAGAATGCATATTTGGTGGGACAGTGGGACCGTATATAAAGGCGAGGGGGTATGCCTACAACCTCATCAACATTGCCCACTCACTCACGGTGTCGAGCAATGCCTTGCCAAGATTGTATCTTTGTGTTCTCCTCCTATTGCGAAGAGCCCCTGGCGCGAAGTATTTGTGGTAAAGTATGCTTTACGCACTGCCGGAAAGCGTTGACTGACGAATGTCGGTTTCCTTGAAGATGTCGCCTCGGTTTCCGCCGATTTTCGAGCCAACGCGGCTCCACCGCCGTATGAGCATCATCGCCTACATGGTATCCAGGTAATTTAATCACCTACGATTCTGATATATCGAATGCGAGACTCACTCACCTGCGCAGAACGAGGCCATGCCTCCTCCGATCAATCCCGTCGGCGCATGCCCCTCTGCGCCCCCATCATCCGCCTCTCGACCGCCCTATCGAGCGGCCCACTTTGCGTTGACTGCAGGCTACCGAGGCGACGGTGGCCCCGCACCATTCCTTGGACGGCTTATCCCGGCTTTGCACCTCCCTGGACCTCCCCAGAAGGTCTTCAGCGGCTCCTCCCTGACGGGCGCGGCCGCTCACCAGAGGGTGGCGCGCCTGTCTATGTCTCAGGCGCCTCTATCCTCTCGCCAGTCGTCAACGGCGAATGTACCACAACCTGCGCCTGCGCCTAAGAAGCAATCACTCAGGATGGCCAAGGCAGTTACGGCGAGGAGGAGGTACGAGCAGCAGCGGGATGTCGCAAAGCATCGAGCGATCTTACCCAAGACTTCGGATTCACTGCCGCCGGATGGGAGCCAGGCGAGAAAGCCGAGATAGATTTCTACGCTCGTTCCACAGGGGGGAGTAACGCCCCCCGATAAGACTAACACCAGATCGATGACGTCCACCCACGAGGTGGAAACCTCAGTGGTGAAACAGCCCTCGAGGTTCTAGGTAGCCTAGTGGAGGGTCGTTCCCGCAGCCTGCGGAAGGCCAGGCCGGGCTTCAATAGCGCGAACCTGGCTTGGGCTCTAGGACCTGCTACGCCCGCGGCGCGGTGTACAGCCCAAAGGTGACCTACCGCGGTTATCCTGTCCACCCAAAGGTGACCCTGTGTGGTTGCCCGGATTCCAGGGGGGACAAGATGCGCGAACTCACAACCCTCGCCGCACAGGGCTCAGGCGGTCAGAGGAGTAGACGAGGGGTCAAGATCGACGACTGACTCCAGGGTGCGTGCCGTTTTATCTTGTTCACTTCAATCGTTTCGCACCCCTTTGTTTCCCGCGTCGTCATCCATCGAAGTCTCTACCTTTCTTTTGTCTTGCGCGGTGGCTCTCTTCTATCTCTTCGTTTCCCGGATCGATGCGGTTGTTGCAGACTTCGGACTGTTTGATGTGGAGCTGACACCTGCGTTTCCTGTAGTTCTCTCTCCTCCACCTCTCACAAGGCACCAGGGGTCTGCAGGTCAAGAGGAGTAACCGCCTATGGGTTCGCCTTGTCGCACCCACAATGAGTTTACCTAGGGGCCGCTTGCCTTCTGGACCGAATCATACCTGTTTACAAATCGCCCTGATGGCCTGTATACCGAAGCCATCGACGCTTATCCACACGAACCCGATCAGAGCTGAAGAGCCAAGGACCTAGAGGGAAATAATGTGTACAGGATGTCTTCGAAGTCTAAATAGTAACTTATTGCCATTCACATCGATAATTCGCCAGTCGTAGCGAGTAGAGACATTCGATTCACTATTGCCATTACCTCGGATAGTCATCATCAAGGTCTTGGAGCGGGCGCGGCGTGCCAGACGCGAGACATCTTCACCTTCATTTCAAGAGCAGTCACTAGACAAGTCGACAGAGTGTGTTCGAATGGAAGTGAAGCGAAATGGGCGAGTTGTGAGAGGTTGTGAGAGATTGTGAGAGGTTGTGAGAGGTTGTGAGATGTGTTGGGCAGTGTCGAGCGCGCAGCTTCGCCGCTCGCGTCGTGCGGCGCAAGCCGTGGACCGCGCGTTTCAACTTTGCATTCCGTACAAGACGACTTCGACTTGTCGAGACGCACTTACAGTCTGTGCCTCTATACAATCCGATGATGAAGAAAAAGGTATGTCTCAGAAGTATGCAAGGAGCGACGGATCCACAACATTACTGACAGAAAGGCCGCGACATAAGGTCCTCCTTATGGGAGCCTCGGGAAGTGGGAAGACCTCCATGCGCTCCCTCATCTTGTTCGCCTCTCGCCATCTCCATATCCTTCAACTTGTCCTTCTGACCCTGTTTCCAGCTCCAATAATCCCGCTTCCCTGACTTCTCGCCTCGGGGCCACCATCGACGTCGAGCAGAACCATGTCCGCTTTCTCGGCGACCTCATCCTCAATCTCTGGGACTGTGGTGGACAAGACGCCTTCATGGACATCTACCTCTCCACCCAGCGCTCGACCATCTTCCAGCACGTCGGTGTTCTCATTTACGTTTTCGAGGTCGAGAGCCGCGACATGGCCAAGGACCTCGTCTACTACCGCGACTGCCTCGACGCGCTGAAGAAGTACAGCCCGGACACGAGCGTCTTCCTCCTGTTCCACAAGATGGACCTCGTCAGTGGCGACCGAGTGGCCGTGCTTGACAGGAAGCGTCGTGAGCTCGAGCAAGAAAGTACCGGCGTCGCTGTTACCGTGTTCGGCACGAGCATCTATGACGAGAGTCTTTACAAGGTCCGTCCCCCTGCCCCGCCCCTAGACTCGCGCCGAACCGCGTGATCCCCTCTCAGGCCTGGTCCAGCATTGTGCACACCATCGTCCCCAACGCCGCCGTCCTCACGAGGCACCTCACCATGTTCGCCGAGATGTGTAACGCGACCGAGGTCATTCTCTTCGAGCGCACGACTTTCCTTGTCATTGCTACATCCACCTTTCCGGTCTCTGCGCCCCGCACATCCTCCTTAGTTCCTTCTCACTCGAATCCCGAGCCCGATCCAGACCAGCACAAGCTAAGCCCAACGCGGTACGAGCGCACATCTGAGCTCATCAAAGCCTTCAAGCACTCGTGCTCTCGCGTGCGTGAGGAGTTTCACTCGCTCGAGATGGAGCTGCCCGATTTCACCGCTGTGCTAGACGAGATGACAAAGAATACATACGTCCTCATTATCGTACATGACCCCACTATCGGTGCGTTCAAACCCTCTCGGTTTCCCTCGTGTGTTTCCTTTCAGTATCTGAGCCATCGTGCATGGTATGCTCCACAGAGACCGCCGCGCTAAAAATCAACATTCGCCTTGCACGACGGAAATTCGAGGAGCTGCAGAGCGACTCTATCGTCTTGTGATTCTTGGCTCTCAATGTGTTTACACTGCCCTGTGGTTCCTTGAGAACCCATCCTCTTATCATAGTTTCGATCCATATTGTATCTGTACCTTGTCATCACGGGGGGTATCCTAATTGTTGTTCCCTACAATCAACGCATCATCCACTCAAACCGGTGACACCTAATTATGCATGCCAGTCTGTACTGCATGTGCACATTACATCTCTTCAGCTCAGTTAGACCATCATTGAAGTGCAGCCCAACTGGAGCACAAAAGCAGAGTGGGATGTGTATATCGCAATAAACGAACTAATCAATAAAAAATCAAAAAATCAAAAAAGATACAACCAATCCACTAGGAGAATAGACAGGCAAGCAAGTCCATATCAGATGCGTGCCGCCCTACTGCCCAAGAAAACTGGTGTCGGTACACCCGTGCGACTTTCTCGGAAGAAAGAATAAGTGCCGGAATGACGGAGGGAAGATTTGAGAGAATCAGTAAGATAGGGTACAGCAAAGGGAAAGGGGTAGCGCGCGAGTAGGCCAAAGCGTGTGTACGTGTGAGGGTGAAACGCGGCCTGCACTAAGCAAGTATGTTACGGCAAGATGGGAAACTGAGAAAGGTGCGCGAAAGGAGCGGACGGAGTATGCTAAGCAATGACTTCGAATCAGAGATCAAAGATCAGGCCGTCAGGGTCAATGACAGAACGAAGCGACACAGGATCGGGGATGAAGCAAAGTAGAAACAAGAAAGAGGAAACATGGGTGACGCCAGGTACGAAGATATGATGCGATATGAACCTTACAGGGATGAATGGCGATGTGCTGTGATTGGGAACGTGACTAATCCCCAAACAGGAGCAATGTGCGGCAGAAAGGGGGGTAAGGAGCTCAAGACCAGCATCAGGAGAGCAGAACAATTGAGGCAAGAGCAGGTGAGCAGGGCGTGCGGTATATGCTGATGTACAGATCGGCGGTCAACAGAATATGATAGGTTTGCGATTTGCGATCACGGAGGATGTGTGTTGCGGATTTTCGGCGGTAAAAGAGGCGAGACACCGGCGCATGAACACACGGATTTGACTCTGTGTGCTCAGTCAGAGACCCAGACTGTGGGAAAAAAGACGGAAGGCGATGAGCGTGTGAGGCGGTATTAGTGAGCTGCGCGGGAGATGAGGACTTACACGCAAGGGCAATGACCAGGTACAGCGTGATCAGCCTGTGAGACCATGTCAGCATTGAAACTCAAATGAGCCATGAGCAAACGACGCTCACATAACGCCTTCCATGTAATTCGACCGACCGTCTCTGTTCCATGGTTGAGCGTTAGTATACAGATGCAACGAAAAAAAGGCCAAAAATCAACGACGCACTGGATGAGTAGGTTAACCAACATCACTGATACGAAGAACACCACAGTTTCGAAGTTTGCGAAGAACAAGCTCAGTTCATGGCCCGAGCTGCTATAGATCAACATCCGAACCAATGGGTGATGCGACAATGTACTCACATCCAGCCGATGATGACGAGCAATGGAACAACGAATGCGGCGATTTGCTAGAAGCGGATATGCGGTGCCGGTATTTGAGCATTGCATCAGGTGATGATAGCAAACACGTACAATGGAGCTGCCCACGCAGATTCCAATAGTCAGTTCCATTTTGTTCTTCATAGCCATCCATACCGATGTGACATGCTCTGCAGCGTTTGCCTAAGAGTAATTGTTAGTGCGCCTAAGTGACTTTGACTCGAGACCAGTAAAACGTACGACAATGGGCAGCAAAATGAGACCAATGAAAGGCTTGGGGATATGATATCTTTCGGCGGTTTCCTCAATCGAGGCTACCACTTTGATCGCAGATACATTATTTCGCCGCATGTCAGAAGATAAAACAAGACTGACGGAAATCCGCGACGAAGGATGTAATGACGGTAACGGTGAGCAGTCTTCAGCCCGCGTCAATGTAGTGCGTAAGGATGACGGCGAGGATTGGACTCACGATACAGCGGCAGAGAAAATGCTCATTTTGGGAGTCTCTTCCTCCTCCGGAATGATCTGACCTTCCTCATCCCTTGCAGGAAGCGCCACGAAAAGATCCGCATGCGTTTTCAGCTGATCGGCGAATATATCACGTTGTTCAATAAAAATCCGTGGAACATTTCTCAGATATGAAGGAAACTTACCTGGAAGAACAGATACGCGACGTAAACGCCGAGAAGCAGGAGCGCAGTGCCACGAGAGATGATGAGCAGTCCAGCCTGTCCTTTCTCATCCAGGTTGGAGAGAAGGGGGTCAGAGACGAGCGTGATGACTTCCGTTGGGTTACTGGGCACAGAGATCAAGGACGTGCGAGCGCTGTGATATGCCGCAGGGATGATCATAGCTACATTGTGAATTTGTTTATCACGGAAAGCAGAGCAAGAGGAAATTAAAAACATACTGATGCAAGCAAGGGTCATAAGCTATATACGAGCAGTGTAATTCAGAAGAATATGAAATACCAAGGAGGAGAACAACGTACAGATGCAGAACTGACATCACGAAGAAAATTGGATTCAGATATAAATTTACCGGATGAACGTGCGACGCTTACGCTTGGGCAGCAGTCACCTGGAAGGTGCTTTCACTGTGATATATACCCCCTACGAGATTTTTCAGGAACCAAGTTTATCTAGGCCGGAGAAACCTACCCGCAAGAAAGGAGCATCCCAAAACCAATAGAAGGTTAGATAGAATGGAACCCAGCAACTACGGGGCGGTCAAAACGATAAGGGGTGTTAAATGATTTAAACACATACCGAAGTTTGGACGATTTGAATCTGGCCTGTTGTCGAAACAGACGTCAGTGGCGAGATACGAATCCAGATGAGAGTGTGAAACCGACCTTGCAGCAAAGCACTTATTCCAACGATGATTTCTACAGCGTTCCCGAAGGTCGCGTTGAGTAGCCCGGCAAGCGTCTGGCCCAGCTTAAGTGACATCTGTTCTGTGGCTTCGCCAAGCAGCTACGAAAGGAAAGTGAGGAGCGCGATCCAGCCGATATGACATGAAAAATGACAGCACCTTCGCAAGCGGCACGATAGCAATGAAACTGAACGAGAAGCACAGGGCAGCGTCCCAGTTGAGAAAGTGGGCCAAGGTAGACAGGGGGATGAAGACCAGGAGTAAATTCAACCAGGAGCCAAAGATGAACCATTTGAGGGAGGCGAGCCAGGATGGCTCCCCCTCAGCCTTGACGAGCGCGACAATACGCTGTGAAAACGAATGATGGCCGCCATGGCCATTCGCAAGTAGGGGGGTTGTTTCTGAAGCAGGCATGGAAGGGAAAACGGAGAGAAAGATGGATTGAATTTTGAACTGTGCAGATAAGTTATGTATTCTAGCTATGACGTTTCGGGGGTCTCCTTCCTTGGCGTCGTGGCAGTGTCCTGGTGCCCCCTAACACTGCCACCTACTCCTGTTATGTGTTCATCGCTCAAGAGCGCCTAGGGCATTGGCAAACCTCGTCTCTGCATAGCTCTGCATACACATCCATTGTCCTTCACTTTCCATCTTGCGAATCTCACCAGATATCATATCAGCGACCTTCCCGCTGGTATCTCGTTGGCTTATGCAAGCCTGAAAGAGCCTGTCTCAAGCGCCTTCAACGGCGCCCGTATAGCCATGCCCCAGGATACTCGAAACTGTCACAGAGGCAATGCAACCACCAGACTGCTCCGGGTAGTACAGGAATATTACCAAAACACAAGCGTGTCTATTAATTCTATCTGTCCATTGAACATTCCCCCGACCGATGACCTCTTCTGTACTGTGCATCTCACAGTATTCATTGCGTCGTCCCCGATTTACTCGTCGGCATTTGCCTGCACCAAATCCATATCCCCTTCCGCCAAAAGATGCGTAATGTCCCCGTACTGCACTACGACCCCCGGCCCGACCCTCCCCACCTCCACGATTGCGACTGCCGTGTTCATGCACTTGCCGATAAACACCCCCTTCGCGACCACAGCCCTCTTTGTCTCGACTAGCCCGCGCACGAGATGTCCGATCAACCCGCCGTGGCTGACGGTCAGTACATTCAACGCGCTGTCGCCGCCCGCTGCCGCTGCGTGCTTCACGATGGTTTCGTCCCACCATCCGAGCGCCCGAGCGGTCATCTTTTCCGCTGGCTCGACGGACGACTGGCCGGCCGCTTTCTGCCGCGCGCTGTACGTTAGGCCCTGCAGCTCCCCAAGGAACTGCATGCATCAAAACCCAAAGCCCGACCGGCTAGCAATTCAGTGTCCACGGCGCGAATATGAAGCCGGGTTACTGACCCGCTCCCTAAGTTCCCTCGTTGTCTGCAGCTGTGTATTCGGGTGATCGCTGAGGATGATTTCTGCCGTCTTGAGGCGAACGTTCCCATGACGGCGTGAGCCCCTCTCCTGCAGTGCAAATCAAGGTTGCAATCAGCCCTCACTTACTTTAGCTGCTCTAGTCAGATCGCTCGAAAAAGCCAAGTCGAATGGCACCGCCTGCAGTGCCTTCCCGACTCGCCGAGCCTGTTCTAGTCCGTCTGCGTTGAGCCGGGTATCGAGGTGTCCTTGAATGATTGAATTCCTGTTCTCCTCCGTCTCTCCATGTCGAACAATGTAGACGCGGACTAGTGGCATGATGATTTGCGTCAGTCAGTACAAAGTATGCTATCGATATGAAGATCTCCTCGTAAGATCGGACCGTGTACTATTGAAGGTCCGTGAACACCAGTATATATTGAACCTTAATCCCAAACCCTGCTGTTACCGTCTACAAAAGTTACTGTAAAACCATCGAGCGATACATGTTTGGATATTGTTACATGTATGGATATCGTCAACACCCTCATCCTAATCTTCACCGTGTGGACCCCACAATACATGTTCTATGAGCGATCGCATAACGATAACGTATGCGCATGAGCGGCGAAACGAGGCCGAGAGCCGAGCTTACAACAGCGCAAGGACCTCCCCTGCTACTGCCTTGATCCGCTCCTCCGAGAAAACAGCAGGAAGTGCGCTGACAGTGTTCTTGAGCTCGCTTGCCTGTACGGCTTCGAGAGGATACACCTGGGTTTGTGCGGCGTAGAGCTAAGGATGACATGATATCAATGTCTGTCATGGGTGCTGATCAAGTGGCCTCAAGAACCGGAGGGCGCATACCATATTTCCCAGACCGACCAGGCTGCGATATACAGCCTCTCCATCGATCCGCTCCAGGCGCAAGGTCTATGACACGGTGCAATAATTAATATTCTCAAAAAGTGTCCAAGAGAGTAGAAGTGACGCAAGTTACAGGCAAGCACGCACTTGGTCAGTCAGCCGGAGATGTGTTCTTCGAAGCGTCGGGTCCACACGCCCCTGTAATGCAATGCAGGAGAAGCTGTGCGCGAAGATAGTTAATAGCCATATCGGTAAATCAGGCTTCGAACAGAGGGAAGACGTTACTTGAACAGAATAGTGGCAAGCGCAACGCGCTGGGTCTTGGTCAATACTTCGTACGACGCATGGCTCAGAGCCTCGAAGATCTAGGCGTTCTCCAGAATTAGCACCTCTCATGAGAATCCCTTAGATAGGAAAGCGCTTATTACATTTGTCACATGAGTGCTATCTCCCACGGATGCTTTGTCCTGGAACGCATTTGCCAGTGTGCGCAGAAAGAGGAGAATATTGATCTCCTTAGTCTTGGATAAAGGCGTCGACCAATCCTCGATCCAACCGGAGGCCTTAAACAAGGCATTGAAAAACGTTGTTCTAGTTTCATCGCTTCCGACCAACTTCGGACAATATCCGCTGAGTAAACGAGCCAGGTCGAGTACTATCAGAGAATCAAAAGCCAAATAGAAATGAGAACATTCTAAAAAGCGCGAACGTTGGCACACTCACCTGGGAACAACTGAGCTGTTGGCCATCGATCGAGGACCTGAGAGATAGTGTCGACATCGGAGCGCGTAAGCGTGACTTCGGGTGTGGTTCCCGCAGCAGCGTGCGAGAGGTAAGCAAATGTTTGTTCTATGCAGCTATTCTCTTCAGGATAGAGAGCTAAAGATGATGTCGACTACGATATGATGAGGATAGCTGAGCATAAGGTGAGAAGTGAAACGTGAAACGTGCAGACGCACGATCTCATGCCGTAGAGCTTCGTCAAATTGGTATAGCTTTCCCTGCATAGCAGCCACATTTGCTTGCTTGAAAGAGAGGACTTTCGACTGACAAGGGGTGAGTACGACATCGACTTCCGCGGGACACAAAAGTTGTAGGGAGCGCTCACCACGGGAATGATGGACTTTGATGGCGAAGCAGAGAACGAGGGCTGAGATGGGGGAGTATTCACGTATCTTGAGGCACCAGTAAATGGATCCCCTGAAGAGGGCGCCGAGGACGGCGCGGAGGGCGTCGCATTGCCGATATAGCGCGAAGCACCAGTGTAGGGATCCGAATACGTAGAAGCAGCGGGTTGAGCCGATGGCCCAGAGCCCCTATAACGCGATGCGCCTGAATGACTCAGACACACGAGAAGAGTAAGTAACATTATGCTGGACGAACGAACCGGTATATGGATCTACAAACTCCTCGCTTGACCCCAGATTTACCCCCGATGTATTCTTCTCGATGAATTGCACAACTTGATCAACATAGGTCGTTGGTAGGTCGTTGCTTTCCAAAAAGCGTTGGGCTGCCACATATGGATTTTCTGGAGCTAGCGGTCACAAAAATGTCTGCAAAAGCATCAACTATACTAGAACGTACCATTTGCGTTGTAAGGTAGCTTGAGTGGAGGAACACCATCTTGTATGTCGACATCGAATACGTAATCATATTCTTTGCCTTCGTGGAGTTGTTTTCGACCGGATCCTACTGCATCAACAACCTCGCCGATCTTTTGCCAGTTGCGGCTTGCGGCATCCCACTAGAACGTAAACTGTTGGAAGGGGCTAGAGCTTGTTGCCCGCACGCGACATACCTGATGAGCTTCGACAATGGCGCCGTTTCTTACCATTTTGACCTCTCCGGGTTTCTTGCCTTGAGAGTGAGAGGTGAGAGGTATGGAACGCATGGAAGAGGAAGGTACAGACCTGGTTCAGACAAGGCTTCTGTCCCCAGCAAGTCTGATTTCTTGACATCGCCTACTTGTTGCGATGGAAGGGCCTGACTCGCGACTTGGTCGTCAAATGCCTTGAGATCCTCGGTGGAAGCCCAGCGTTCTTTGGATTCGCTAAAGATACGGACCACGCCGTCGCTGCTTCCTGTGACAATGTCGCCATTGGGCATTGCTGACACTGACCATACCGAGATAGCCGGGTGAACGATTGTCTGTGCGCATTCGCCATCTGATTCAAGTCAACCATCGAACACTGCATGTCAGCTGGACGCCAGAACGCTGTCAGCAAGGAAGAAACTCACCACGCCACACACGAACAGAGCGATCCTCGCCGCCGGAGACGAGATCTCCACTGGGGAGGACGGCCAGGCTATACACAAAGGATGTATGCGCCGACAGGGAATGAACAATGTCACCTTCTAATGTCCATATGCAGATCTCACTGTGATACCGCGTAAGCTCAAGGATCCTAAGTATCTTTAACGAGCACAACTAGCCTGTCATTGGAAGCTGAGGCGAAACCTATGTCAGTCACCAATGCGATGCTGCGTACAGCATCTTTGTGGCCATGATACGTTCTTAGGCATTTGTGCTGCTGCCATAGCTTAATGGTTTTGTCGGCCGAGCCTGAGACGGGAGAGTTGTGTAAATAGAACGTAAGTCGGTCATGCTACGTACCGGTCAAATACTGATCATCATCGACAACTAGAACGGCCCACACTGACTGTGTGTGCCCAGACAAGTCATAGGCCAACTGAAAGCTTTTCCAGACCTTGGCGGTTCTTTTGGGGGATTGTGTAACTCATTGTGCGAACGTGAGAGGGAGATGAAGCCTCGCGGAGTAACATACCTATCCCATGACCCAGATATAATTCTCCCATCTACGCTTGCATGCAAGGCACACACATTATCTGTATGGCCGAGCAGGGAATACTTGGGCTCTTCACTGTTCCCCTCAAGGGCCCAGACATTGATTATAGCATCCTGGCCGCCAGTGACAACAAATCCTTTTTTTCTTATTCAATGCCATGTATCAGGCGAGAATGATGAAGCCGTTCACCGTGCGGGGCTTCTGCGGTCGGTGGTAGGTGAGTCACTGAATTGACGAACCGTTCTCCTGCACGGAAAACGGATGCGGGTGAGAACGAGTGTGCTGGGTCTCTAATCCATGCGATCGCAGTGGAATCGCGTGAAGCTGAGAGGACAAGATTGTCTGTTGGGGATGCAACAGCTCGGACCTGGAAAGTCAGTGAGATCATGGTCGAAGATAGGCTGTAATCTACACACGTCAGACTTGTGAGATGAGAGTGTCGCCGACAACTTGAACGGCATGAGGAGAACTGATGAAGATTTGGAGCAGATGAGTGTTGCGAAGAGAAAGGAAACAAGACAGTTCCAGTGGAGTTGTGCGCGGGTTCGAAAGCCGGTGGCGGCGCAAGCCTAGAACCTTCGACATTGCGCGGGACATAGATCCAAGTAGGCGCGTCGCGTGTCCTCACACGCCTTTTCAACAGGCTTCTCCTTCGTCTCACACCCCAGTCTCGAGCCATTCCTCCATAGTATCCCCCCCTTTTCTTTGTCTGAGTTTCTCTTCTTCTTTGTCTGCCCTTCTGACGGAGTAGCATCTTAGACGCTCGCCTCGGGAGCTTTGTCACGCTATGATCATTCGTGGTGCCAATGCTCGGCTTCTCACCATCTGCGAGGTTCGAGAACATTGAGTGTTGGAGAAGGTGATGGACACAACCCTTGGCTTAAACCATCTTGGTGCTTGCTCGGGAATAACGGATGCTTTTTGCCGAAGTATTCTAAGTACATAACCCTCTTCCTGTAGTCTCGATGATACCCTATTGCAATGGAAACGCGCCATCAATGAACTTCGGATGATTCACAGCTACAGCAATGTACCAGTACGCAGATCGCAGCTTTTCGTTCTTGCGTAGAGAAAGAGGGCTGTCTGAGGCTACCCTAAAAGTTGCTGATTCTTAAAGCCGATCGCATGGCCGGCCCTAAAGACAACCGCCAATGTCACGACAATTTTCCTATCTACTACTCTTTTCATCCCCTCATGATTTAACAAATCGTCGAACTCGCTTCTCTACGACCGACGAACTGTGTCATGAGGCCCTCGCAGGAGATGAATCAATGGTGCAAGGCATAGACTACACCTCCGTATCTCCCTCTCTCCGCATTCATACGGCGTCGGGGCTCGTTAGCGTGGTGCACATTTTCCTTGATGCTCTATCGTATCTATATCACAACATTTTCTAGCTCCTATGTTTTCTGATTTGAAGGGTCTCAGACAATACGCCTGTTTCTCTTTAGTCAAGTTGTTTCATTGACTTCGTGTTTATTCTGTTGCTATCGGAATCAGTTTCAGTACTTCAGTGCTTGGACAGCAACAGTCAGGCTTGTGGAGAAAGTATTATTTCAAGATGGTAATTCCATTTATTTCAGAGCCGTGTGGTGTATGAAAAAGCTTCAAAAGCCCCGAGGCGAAATCCATACCTCTTTTCGAATCTCAAAGCTTGTCGTCTGCTCTGGATCTAATCTCGAAATCATGCAGCGTAGGCAGCTTCGTGTAGACAACCCTCTACAACCCTAGCCTCAAGGATGTCGCGCGGAAGATAAGGCCTTTCTCGAAAAAATCAGCCGCACTGGTCGACAAGGACATCGACTGTATCAGCCACACATCATGTGTCAAGCTTCAAGAGGTACGATGCGCAGTACATCGATCAAAGCATCCGAGCAGGTACTAAGTACTAAGCAGATGGGGATGAAGAACTCGAGGGGGCTAGACAGATGACAAAAGCGAGAACCACGTTCCATTCAAAGACAGCATAGCCCTGATGGTCAAGTCAGCAAGAATGAGCAAGAAAAATCTGTAGGACATGACGAATGGAAGGAGACGGCAACGCCCAATTCAGAGAGTTCGAGAGTCTGTGCCGAAATGGTTCCTAAGACAGAGAAAGCCTGGAAGTCACTCAGTCAGGTCGATGCCAGGCGCTACCGAAGTCTTCAGCTTTTTCATAGAGTTCGCCTGAGCATCAAAAGCCGCCAGAGACTTCCGCTTTGTCCTTTCGCTGATAGTTCCGTTTGCATGGGTCCGAGCTTGGCTATCCACCCGCCTCTGGGCTTCCGACTGTGGGGAATGTGTTATGTTTCCTGGTCGAGTCTCTGGGACCGTGGCGGATATGGATCTATCCGAAACTCTGACAGTGGCATGACGAAATGAGGTTTGATAGTATAACAGATGAAACTGTCCACTCACCGCTTCGTTATGCCATTCCCAGCAGCTTTCTTGCGGAGTCTGATTTTCGATTCTTGCACCTGAAACAAGGACAAAATCAATATCTTACTTGAGGGTGTCAATTGCTTTTCCGATGGAGGAGAGAAGCTTGTCTTCAGAATTCGTATCGGACGTGAAGATGTGTTTTTACATCTTGCAGAACCACTGCCAAAAAGAAGCGAGATCCGGGTAGATATAGCAGAATACCTACCAAGTTGTCAAACCCGATCAACGCCATCTCAGCATCCATTGTGGGATTGAAGTAGTCCAGATATTGTTGGCTTTGCTTCGAGGACCTGGAAAAGACATACTCTTTTTGGGGGTTCTTGCGTTGTCTTGCCTTTCCTGCCTTTGTCTTTGCCTTACTACGGGTTACATGGCTACCTGGGTCACCTGGGGACAATTTCATGATAAAACCTGTCATGGGAAATCGCATTCGACGTCGTGAGTGATTGAACCAGAAATCGTGTTTACCTTCTGTTTCAAGCCTTTTGAAAATTTGGTTGGCGAGCGGCGTCTCGCAACCTATGAAGTGTGAACGGACTTGACTTATTTATTTGATCTGATCTACGTACCAATCAACTTGAGGAAGTCTTGTGGGCTGTAGGTTTCCACGATCTTGATGGCCCTCCTGAAAGTGCATTCCACAAGGCTTGATATGAGGCAAACGAAAGAAGATTTGATCACAGCTTACCTGAACAGAGCGAGATTGTTGTATTTTAAAAGGAGGTCCGGATACCAACTCTGCACGAATATCATGTCGAAGTGATCGTCGTGACGAATGCGACAACGAAAACATTTGAATAGAGGGGGAATCTTCTCGTCTTTTGAAGAATGATAGCTTCGAAAAACAATCAGCTTTAACAGCGAAACCAAAGGACGCCGCTAACCCCATGCACCTGTCATCCGAAACAAGAATTAGTAAGTGAGTAAGTGAAATTGTCCCAGAGCGCGAACAAGTACCAGATGTGAAACCATTTCCCACACCCACCCTCGCACAGAATACAACATTCATCCTCTGTCTTTCCATCACAAACAAAATTAGCCGATATGTCCGACGCTCAAGAAAGATAACAAGTGACCCACAGGCGCACCACAATCACAATCTAATATGCCTTCTCTTTCCTCTGTCCGCCGGACATATAAATTTTTACCAGTTGCCCGCGGAGACCTGGTATCAAGCATGGGTTCTCCAGCGTCCTGGAAGGATTGTATAGGGTCGTCGTCAAAACTTGGAACAACTTGTGTCCCCATCTCTATGGATCGGTATCGATAGTTGCCACCCATTTAATCGATAGAAAAAAAAAAGAAGACCAACCTAGACGTTGCGCACGATAATCCTCCGGTCGGCAGTTTTCGACGGCATCCGTCATGATTTGAGTGCTGCCTCCATGAGCCACAGCGCTAGTGCAACACTCGGTCAGGGTGAAATCAGAAGGCGGAAGACTACTGCTCTCCGAGAGTGACATGACATGATGCGAAATTTCTTGAGACGGTCTACGTTGTGTAGGTTCAGGAAACCCGTTGTCAATAATCTGTCGACGGTTCTATGAAAAGGAGATTTGAGTATGCTGTATGGTTAAAATTAGAGGAAACCTGCCAAATTTTTGAGATCGTTGGGAACCTCTTCGGATAAGCCTCGAATCAACACCTCTGGTGAAGCATCACCAGCATCTACGTCCATGTCGTCGCTGTCCTCTCTACCCCCACATTTCTGAGCCTTTAGCTGGTCTATGGATAGAGGTATAATTTCTCCTTTATCGTCCCGCACGCCAATAGGTTTCCAGGTATCTAGGTCAGCTCCAGAGTCGTTAGGGTCCGTCACATAATCCGGGTCTATCTCGCCTTCAGCATCAGCATCTCGTGAATCGATCCTTCCAAACGCCTCCGCGTCCCAAGCAATTTTGCGTTGTCGCGAGTCACGCTTCTGCGCTTCGGCATGACCTTGCCGCAACTCTAGGCATCCTGCGGTCTTAACGCCGACGGCGGAGCCGGTCGAGAGGCCGGAGAACGGCGCCTTATTGTCGTCTGCAGATGGAATGATACCGGAAACAGAAGCGACATGGACATCAACCCTACGCACAACGAAACAATGAGGATCATCCAGTAGGTGATTGCGAAATGATTACCCATGCCAGGTTGTTTCTAGACTTCCAACACTGCATTTCTCAGGAGTCTCTTTCGGGTCGTGTGTGGTGAAAAACCATCTATCTTTATCTGGGTCCCCAGGCCCAAAGTGCGGAGGCTCGTAGGAGGCTGGGGCGTTCGAGTTGTATAATAATTTGAACTTGACAAACCTTTGCTCTGTAAAATTGAAAGAAATCATCAAGTAGTCAGAATGACACAATGGAACGACGAACTTGGGAGTTGACTCATGGTGGTCGTGCAGGTTATCAGCACCTTAATCAATGACTGTGCTGGATCATTACCGATACAGCAATTAAATCGGATAGCAAGTCGTACGGACCTTGATACTTTTCTGGACATCTCCCAACGTATGTAGTTTACCGCTCTTCGTGACCTCATTGACTGGGTCATCGAGTCCTTTGTGCCCATTAAGCGACAGATTTAAGAGGTCTTCACCCAAAGACATAATCGGGACGGGAGTGTCGCTTCCTGGGACGGACTGGTACTGGACGATCGTGAGTACTTGCCGAAACGTGCCGATGTATTCACAGTTACCTTAAAATTGAATGTGTACGCTTCTACAATGCTTCATATAGAAAACTTAGTTATTCGACGCGCATATACACATATATGCTGTTTCACATACTTGTTCGGATCTTGATCGTCCTTAGCAGCACTATTGACGGTCTGTAATACTCTGAAAGTGGAGGCAACGCACCAAGTAGATAGCGAAAATTAGACTACGAAGGTATTGCTTTTCGATAGCATCAAATATTCCGTGCTCCTGGTGTAGAGTCTGGTGGTAACGCGCATGGAAGCTCAGATGATTACAATCACGCACCAGATAGTCAAGGAGCCTATCCGCCTCAGCGGACCAGCCCCGCGCGACCGTCATGATTCTAAAACCAGATCTTCGTTCTTGCTCTTTTCTCCCTCTGCCTGTGGGAGAGGGAAATCCTGCATCTGAGGGGTTCGACGAGAGTACCGCCACGTCCGAAGATGTTAGATAACCTGCCCAGGCAAAGATGCTAAGGGGCATGTTTTAGTAGGTACAGATTCGATGCGAACTTTCATGGAAATTATCTTGTGGTAACAAATCTCTAGAATGACAAAAGGCTGTAGCACGCATATATCGAGTGTTTAGGGCTTTGACTGTACCGTAGGTAGGTGATGCAACCAAGGCCAGCTTTTAACAGAGTTTGCACCGTAGCTAAGCTCTGCGCAGGTGTAATGGACTACACAGAGTCAGAAAGATAATGTGTGATAACGGAAAGCCGAGTACCTGACACGTAGGTCGAGGTGCTTGCGCTTGCATGACGAGAAAGATGGGAGACGGAGATAAGTGCATGCGCAAAGCAGAAAAGGTTTGACGCGTCCGTATCACGTGACTTTCTTAGACCAGGCAGACCGGCCGGTGGACCTTAGACTCTGCCAGTGACTCGGACCTGCACCTATTCGTCTCTCTATGCATACAGTAGCAAGTAACTAAGCGGAGCACAAGATAAATTAGTGTCTCCAGAACGGTCATCATATCGACGAGCATATGCGAGTTCTACGGTCGAAGAGAACCAAGAGAACCAATTAAATTGATTGCCAAAGATTATCGTTAGTGCGTGCGAAGTGGCACGCGATGGCGGCGAGGTGAAGGCATTAGTAGCCATAAAGAACGACTTCAATTGCAACCACTTGAACAGCACGCAATCTTCTACCCGGCCAGCGACGGATCCTTTGATCTTTATCACCTTCCTCCACACCGTGCATGCAAATATATCTTGTTTCCAGTGCCCCAAGTTGTCAACATTGATCCTCTACCACCATCCACCAACCCCGCTCGGGACACTGTCCCTGTGTATCGTCATCTTCACTCACCCACCTCAGCCCTGGAAGCCTTGAACGAAGAAAGACTGGGCTTGACAGCGGCGAATCACTCTTCGTCGAGAATTGCACGCTCCTCGTCCACAACCGGCACCCCTACCCTTATTCCTGCTACTCGCGCTAGGTCTTACCTCGAAGGGAGCGAGAATAGTGAACCATCGACAACTTATTCTCCCGATCTACTTCCAGGTACGTTGAACGCTTGAACGTAAAGTGCTGATCTTCAACCTCGTATCTCTGGACAGACGGTACTCCCGACTCTGTATTCGAACGAGCGCGCAAGAGACAGCGGATTGACAGCATCAGCACGAGTACAGAAACATCTACCTCCACCTCTCTATCAGCCATCGACCGTAGTCTTTTCTCTGACAATCACATCTACTCCAACGCTAGCATGCGCGTCCCTGTCAATGATCACGACTCTGACTCTTTCGTTTCATCAGATCTCCACCCTGAAGCTGGTCCCTCTTCGATGACCACTACTTCTAAGAATGGCCACGGAACAAACGGAACCACCAACGGTTTCTCAGGTACACCTGTTGCCAATGGAGTGATGAAGCACGGCAAACCACCGGTCTCCAAGGTTAAATTGCACGGCACCACATTATACGAAGACTCCCACATCGACAGAGAGGAATATATCAGACTGGTCATTCAAAGCTTGCGAGATGTCGGATATATGTACGCATCGTCTGCTTTGATTTTATTGTGTATATAGTAACATTTCTGAGCAGTGAATCAGCCGCGACGTTAGAAGCAGAGTCAGGTTACGTTATGGAGACTCCAGAGGTCGCAGAATTCAGACAATGCATCTTGGAAGGAGCATGGACCGCAGCAGAAGATGCTCTTACACAGTTATGTGGACCTCAGGATGATGGACTATGGGTGCGCATACCCCCTTATTCAAATTAGTATTTCGTCTGACTTTTGAGCGGTGGAATCCAGGAAGCCAAGTTCTTGATTAGCCGACAAAAATATATGGAGTATCTTGAGCTTGGCAGCATACCACAAGCACTGTATGTCCTCCGGAACGAACTAGCGCCCTTGCACATTGACCCAGAACAGCTGCAACCATTAGCCAGGTTTGTGCCTTCTGTGTCATTTTCTCAATACAGCTCATGGTCCGATACATGTCTTATACAGCCTAGTGATGTGCACGGATGCAGCAGATCTCAAACAACGAGCCGATTGGGACGGTGCCCATGGCTCATCACGACGAAGACTTCTCAGTAACCTACAACGTCTGTCCATTTCCTATACGTTAGCCTGTATCTGACTTTGGGGTCTTGCCTGCAGAATATATTCCTTCTTCACTCATGATTCCTCCACGCCGTTTTTCCACCCTCCTTGACCAAGCGCGTCTATATCAACGCTCAGAATGCATTTATCACAATGCCCCTGTTACTTCACGCAATTTTTCGCTATATAGTGACCATCAATGTGATAGAGATATGTTTCCTCGACACACGACGGCGATTTTGGAAGTGCACAAAGACGAGGTTTGGAGCCTGGAGTGGAGTCATGATGGCAGGTGGCTAGCGAGTGCTGGCAAGGATCGTACTGTCATCATTTGGTCCGTAGGGGTGAGTGGCTCTGACCCCTCTACCGACGTTCTTGAAGCACGAGCCTGACGTCGCACGCCATGTAGAGTGAACCAGAGCCATCAATACGACGATACTCGCCAGAATTTATCTTGCGTGATCACCCATTTCAAGTTGGTTGCATTGCATGGTCATTAGATGACTCGATATTACTTTCTGCGTCGGAGCAGCTTATAAAGATGTGGAATACCAAGGTTTGCTTCCATGATCATCTGAGTTTGCCGCGCCCTGACCTCATTTCCAGACTGGGTTGTGCATTCGAACTCTCGAAGCTCACACAGAAACGGTGTCAGCATTGGCCTGGGTACCTGACGGATCAGGCTTCATATCTGGTTCTCAGGACCGTAAGATCATCCTGTGGGTACGTGGATTACTTCTCCCATTCCTGTTGGTTGGCGACTCGACCTAGCTCGGTCGCTTCTGCATCCTCGACCATCACCATTCACTACCTTTCTATTGCAGGGCGCGGACGGAAAGCAGCGTGATTCCTGGGGAATCACGGCCGTCCGGATAGTCGATCTTGCAGTGACTCCCGATTTCACACGCCTAGTTGTCGTGGGCGAATGTGCGACAGGAATTCCCGCTAATCATTCGACGCCGCCTGGAAGAGGTGAGACGGCCCCTCCTCCGACTCCAGCTGGCAGGAGTGGTGGGGTGCCTACGAGCGCGAATGGTGCGCGAAACGCTGACAATCGCATGATTGTGTATGACTTGACCACGAAACAACAAGAATTGTATGTATTACTACATCTTTACTTCCCCGTTCCTAGTTCATCTTTCGTGCGGCTATTTGTTCAACCTGGAATTTTTTTTGCCCTTCTAGGTCTATCGCTTTTGAAGACCAACTCACAAGCGTGAAGATATCTGACGACTCACAGTACGCTCTCATCAACCACGCGCCAGATGTAAGGGATCGCCTATATTTTACTTGCTTCTACGTTCTCATCGAACATTCTTCTATCTTGCAGGAGCTCCAATTATGGGACATCTCGACCGGCCGAATGACACGTAAATATACCGGGCAGCGCCAAGGGAAGTTTATCATACGAAGTTGCTTCGGCGGCGTCGATGGTAATTTTGTGGTCAGCGGAAGTGAAGGTACGTCCTGACGCCAGGCGCCTTCTTCGCACCGCAAGCTGAATTAACTTTTGCGACTTTCTTCTCGCTTACCATGTGCTCTCCTGTCACAAAGATGGTAACGTGTATGTCTGGCATCGGGATCGTGGTATCCTCCTCGAAGTATTGTCCGGCCACGGAGCTGGCAGCGTGAACTCCGTTGCATGGAATCCAAGGAATAAGCGAATGCTCGCTTCCTGTTCAGACGACTTCACTATTCGGATATGGGAGGCGCTTCCAGCAGATACATTCGACCAGACCGTGTCATTCCAAGTGGATACCAGAACGGGACAGGAACAGGAACAAGAGTCAAGTGGGAAAGGGAAGGGTAAGAGAAGAGAGCCCTGGGATGAAGAATAGCTCGCGCCAATATATTCGGGTGCATTTGGTCTGACATGGATTGACTGAAAGTACTTAGCCTTGTTCTAAATTCACTTCCACGCACTCGCATTCGTTTTCCACTCATCGCTCTTTTCGTTTTGCATGCATACTTACGGTACACATTTACACCCAACCCTTGCTTTCTCACACATTGAATCGTCATATTTGCATGTAGATGGCATCACTATAGCAATTCTGAATGATGACCAGCGTAATCACTCTCGATGTCTGCTTCTGTCTCCCAGCAAATTACCTCCACAGACGTTGACATGTGGTCATGCTGCCCTTCATCCCTCTTTCGGTGCAGGTAGCACTAAGCCACAAAGAGAAATTATACCAAGGTGGTCTGATTCTAGTCCAACCTATCGGCTGGTTTGAAAGATAAACACACTCAATATTCAAAGTCAATGTAAACTATGCAAACTACTTCAGACGAACACCGGTGAAAATCACTCAGAAATTTGCGAGGTGTAGCTAGCCGGAGATAGACAGAGGTCAATCTGTTACAAGTACAGTTTACAATAAAGAGCAGTGTCCCAATAGTGAAGTACAAGATACTGATACCAGAATACCGTAGAAGGGCGTAGAATGCGTAGTTAAATCCTAGGCGTATTGGAAGATGCCAAGCGAGACGGCAGTTGGGAGTGTGCACGATGTTTCGGCATGAAGAGGGCTGACATTGCGTCTTTCTTGGTCGTACTTATAGATTTCGGTGGACGAGGGGGGGGCGATGTAAATATGGGTGGAGATACTGTTGGAGTTTGACCGGTAACAACGTTGGATCCAAGCTTCTGAGTTACACTAGAGCCAGAGGCCGACAGGGACGATGTGTCGGGATGAGATGGTCGGCGTTGGACGACGTGCCTGACGACAACCCGACTACCAGAAGGTGGTGGTGGCGATGATAGTGGAGGCTTGGCGATTGTTATGGGAGAGATACAACAATATGACTTGGCAGCGATCATCGGCGGCCTCATGGCTGGTCCAAACACAGATTTCTGGATCTTTGAAGCCTCTGTCTTCGTTTGCTGAAAAAGTGTCTTGCGTGGCGGTGCAACATTCCCTGTTATAGAATTAGATATTAAAAATCAAAACGCTCCCAAATGCTCACAGCCACGAGCTCGCTTTGCAGGTGGGATATTATCGGTGAATTTTATTTCTCTTTCCCTTTTACGCTCTTGTTCCTCCATGCGCGCATTACGTATTCGCGATCCTATTTCTTCAAAACGTTTGGCTTCCTGTTCACGAAGAGTCTAGAAAAACGATGAGTGAGTTTTTCAAGATGTTATAGCGTTCTACTTGCTCACAGAAAAATGTTCTTTCCAGGAGGGAGGTGCTGCAAGCACTCCAGTGCTATAGCGATGTGCATAAGCGGGATAAGCTCGCATGCATTGATATTTCCACAGCTCTGCTCAACGGATAGTTGAATACATATATGATGAAATGGCATTTACGCACTCACCATCCGTTTCTAAATCGAGATTCTATGCAGCAGGTTCGTGAGGACGATATGGATGTCGGTGGTATTAGGCACATACTGGCGTCGAGTTCTCGAGTCTGAGAAGAGTATCTGCTGAGCAGTGTTCTAATACAGGTCGGACAAGGTCATAGCGCACATCTTCACCCAAGCTCTCAATTTCTATGAGAAGAAAGTCATTATAGACAGGCTTCAACGCTACAAATATTGGACAAACCGTTGACATGACTTGCAGCCACTGTAGATGTCTAATGAGTTGAGATGAAGATATCTGAAACTGGAAGATCATACCCCTTTGACAGTATTGGACGAGTGTAGGGATTTTTCTGGCTGATGTATCGCCCATATCTGCATCGGAAGACATACTTGTACGATGTGGTACAGGAGAGGCTACGCAGGATCTGAGAGAGTAAGTACGTGGAGTTCGGCAAGGTCAATGTTACCCGTTTAGGAACCGTCTCGGTGAGCAAATATGGTAATCAATTCCCATCTCCCAAACCTTTTTCTACGTTTTCTACAACCATTCGAGATACAAATCCAGCAAGAATAGCCGTTGCTTCGAGGTTTAATTATGCCGCAGACGGCTCGAGTCTTTCAATTTTGGTGCGGACAGATTCGTGCACAGCAAAGCTATGGACTATTATAGATAGCGGTACCAATCCGGTGCAGATGAGTTCAGAGGCTCGTAACTGCGAACGAACGGTCAACAAGCACGAAGCCACGCAGCATGTCGAGCAGGGGACTCATATTCCTCCAACGCACATCAGGCGTATGCGCCCGCGACGCCGCCCCAACAGCTCCCATTGGTAGATTTGACCAAGATTACAGACATGAGTCAAGCCCTAATATGAGGTTCGATCGGAATCTGATCCAAAATGGGGACCGATTGAGCCAGCTTTGGCAGCTAAGTATGACCATAAAGTTGTCCGATTGACCTAAATGCTAAGTTTTGACCTTTTAGATCGGACTTCTCATAGGACACGCCAAGTCCTGCTTCGACAGCCGAGACGTTTGATACATCTTTACAACGGGCGTGCATGGTGACTGCCCATCGTGAGATGGCATCGGTACGGATGAGGTCCTGAGTTCTCAGGCAGAGAATGATCCCTACTTTACAGATTGATACACTGCTCACGAGTCACGACGCATCACCGGTTGAATGTCGAGGCCTGACGAGGACCTGCGCAGCTCGCACGGAGATAGAGTCGGATGTTATTCTTCTTTCTCATGACACAAACGAAGTGTTCACCTATCACAGAGCTCCATAGACTACTATCAAGATGGTTATGTTGGGTGAACACTGAATCGCGTCCGATCGAGGAAAGCCAACGTTGGGACTCGGTAGTCTTAAAATGGTCAACCGAATGATTTTTAAGCATTGATAACCGGGTCGAGGAGCCTCATGGGACACAAGAAGGATGCATGATGTGGAGCCACTTGCAGCCACCAATTTAATGCGTGGGACAAGGAGAACCAAGCTCGAGATCAAGATGCCGCATTTGCCCAGGGCAACACTCCGATCGCTTGGGATCTCTCGTCAGATAACTAAAAAAAACCCAGCTGATACATTAGGTGGACATGCAGCTACCCATGCTTCCGGTAGGCCCCACGCTACTGCAGGGGTACATTGGGAATTATCAAAGTCAGTATACCGGGAGTCAGAGCCATATGTAAAGTGGTACATTTACATCCGTCATGTCAAATTTGCTCCCGCTCACATAACCTCACACTGTGGCGCTGGCGCGGGAGAAAAGGTCTAACTTATACAAATCTCTTTTACACAATTTTCCCAACTCTCCCTCGGGCTCAGGCGCTCAACAGCCCGTCCGGCGACTGAATTTCGATGGACATCATCAATAACCTGTGGCCAAGTCTACCTGTTTAGATCGGCGTTTCCTGTACTACCACATGGCCGAACTGTGCACGGCTCTCCTCGTGGGCGATTTCCAAGTTACACCGCACCTTATTCCATCCAAAATCACCTTACCTGTGGTACTCTATTCATAACATCTCACGAACCGTTTTCTCAAGCATTGCATTTTTTTCTTCCGATTTAAAGGCACCTAGCGAGCTCGACCTACCATGTTCTACAACCCCCCACAAGACATGCAAAAGCCGACCCATTCCCGACTTCATGTTCGCGACGCCCGAGACGCCCACACAGTCTTCGAAGCCGTACGTCAAGGATTCCTCAAACCCGTCGAGCGACGTCTGAACGAGGTCGAACGGTCCATGTATATTCGCTCAGGATCGATTTTCGTCTGGGAAGAGAGCGAGGACGATTTAGGCTTGAAGAGGTGGACGGATGGTCGGGTCTGGAGCCAATCCCGGATGCGTGAGGTAAGTGGCTCACTCTTTCAGGAGATTACAGACACCTCTTGCTTTGAAGCTGACTTCGTTCTTTACGGCAGCCGTATCTCTTCTATGACGAAAAATTACCGTCAGATAGCTCCTCAAACGACCAACCTCCACGGTAAGCAGCCTCTTCAAGATTCAATCAAACCTGAGGGTGACCCGATAGACAACTTCTTAGTTCGCCAAATAACTTCAGATTCGTCGATGGCATAGGCCGGACCGGCGCGTCCACCCCTGCGCTCTCGCACTACGATCGTAGCGAGCAGCATCCGGCGGGATTGGTCAAACAGGCGTATTCGGCATGGGTCCTGAGACATTTTGATACGAAGCCGCGCAAGTGGCATTTAACTGCCTACTTCACGTATTCCGACCTTCCGCGTCTTCCTACAATTGATCAAGATCCCACTCTACGTGGTGTGACTGTGCCGGCAGGGATGTATAGGAGTGGGAAGGCCCGGTCGAGGAATTCGGATGCCACGGGTACACACACGCCCGTTCCGCCTTCATCTTCTCCGTCACCTTTCGCACATGGACATTCAACTTCTTCAGCATCAAGTTCTAGCGGACAGGTATTGCCATCTTTACATGTTGCGATTGCGTCGTCCCAGCAAGATGGTCACCTCTCCGGAAGAGTACACGATGGTAGACCTGTAGAAGATCAGCGTATGATCCAAATGCTCAATTCCCGTCATATTATATAGTTATAGGGGGTCAATACGAACAATGAGAACTTGAGCTTGCTGCGACTTCGAGCTATCACTAAACACGTAGGCGGGGGTTGCCTGAATTCAGCACTAGGTAATCACAATGATAACCTAGTATAAGGTATCAGAGTCAAGACCGAGAAGCACACCAAGAGAAGGGCTCAACTAAAAATACACGAGTGTACTTAATCAGTACATAGGACTCCTCAGTCATCCTCAGGATCTGAAGGGGGGTCATCACCGGGACCAGCTCCTGCTTGCATCGCAGCCACGAGGTCGTCAGATTGTCCTTTCTGAGCAGCAAGACGTTGTCCTGGGAGGAAATGATTGAAGGAAATGTAAAAAAACTAGGAGTGAACGTACGAATGAGCGTATGGACTGCCTGCTGCGTTTGTCTGTCTAGTTTGGAAAGCTTTTTGTCCATTTCACGTTTGAGATCCCAGTTGGGCCTCTTCGGTGCAATGTTGAATAAGTCCTGGACACAGGTCGAATGAGAGCAGGGAATCGAAGTCAATGATAGGAAGTACCAGGTCCTGAGCCCTTCTCTCCTCATCCTCAGCAATGATTTTCTCGGCCAGTCCTTTGACGTTCCCCTCAACAGTGTCCTCGATTTCAACATCTTCGAGTTGTCGTTTACGAAGAGTTCGTGTTTCCGGATCAAAATTACGAGAGCTGAGAATACGCTCTGATGTGTTGTTACTAATAGTAATTGGGGCAATGCATCAGCTAAGGCGACATACGAAGACGGTGGGAGTATAGTTAACCTGTCCTCATCAGTGCTCTCGCCTGCTCTTTTCTTTCTCAAGGCAAGCAAACGCGCCTTCCTTGCCTCAGATTCCTGTGCCAAGGACATGGTACTCGAGCTCTGAAAAAGGTCACAATTTCTCAGGCAACAGGAGGCAAACCGAGGTTGTGAGAGCAAGTAGTCCAGATGGTTGAACAGGCGCTATTAATTCAGTAGCAGCCACTGCTAGTAACTTTGAGGAAATGAAAAGTGCTTAGTCATTGTAATTTCGTCATCCCTTTCTGACACTTTTGGCATGAACCTGCTTGAACAGGCTTGAACGTTTGAACGCCCCGCCATCACTTCTGACTTGTTTTCATCCCAGGTGCAGAGAGTAGCAGCCTTCACATGCTCTCCACATGGCGTCTCTCTTGCTTGCAAGCTTGTCGTAGCGACAGGAAACATTCTACATCTCTATCCTCTGCAGCCTTCAGTACTTCAATGCGCGCTCGAATGGCAGCACAAAAGCTGGTGCACATGGAGGACTTTCCGTGTGACATGATACGGTGTGTCGACCGCCACAGCACTATGATTACACATATCTAACATATCGCTGAAGGAACTTTTCAATCATCGCCCACATAGGTATGCTCGAGCGCGCGAATTGCGGGTTTCAACTTACGAGTGCGAATATGTCTACAGATCATGGAAAGTCGACTCTCGCAGATAGGCTTCTTGAGGTTTCTGTGCATTTCAATATAAATTCATCCTCATACTAATGCACTTGCAGCTGACGGGTACTGTGACGACGAGTTTGAAGGGTTCTAATCAACAATTCCTCGATAAGTTGAAGGTTGAAAGAGAAAGAGGAATCACAGGTACGCCTCACAGCCCGTATCTGAACAGAGTCTTTCAATTATTTTGTCAGTCAAGGCGCAGACCGCAAGGTAAATTTGAGTCCTATCATATATGTATGGCCGAGTATGATTAAGACAATGTTACCAGCATGTTTTACGGCTATAACGATTCGAGGTACTTGTTAAATCTCATCGATACACCTGTAAGCTAGCATTTATCTGGCACGCAGTTGATGGTGCATTGAACTCTTGAATTCTACCATTAGGGGCATGTCGACTTCTCTTGGGAAGTTTCTCGATCCATGTCGGCTTGTCAAGGCGCACTTCTGCTTGTTGACGCCACCCAAGGAGTCCAAGCCCAATCACTTTCTGTTTTCCATACCGCTCGCGAAAAAGGATTAAAGATTATTCCTGTACTCAATAAGGTGCATGTCTTCGGTTATCAAAAAGGATTGATCTTAACCAACGTCTTTGAACAGATCGACCTTCCTGCTGCTCAACCAGAAAGAGTTACAGCGCAGATACAGTCTACCTTTGGGCTTAAGCCCGAAGAAGTTCTCCATATCTCAGCGAAAACGGGGCAAGGTGTTGCTGCAGTCCTTCAAGCGATTGTAGAGCGAATGCCCCCACCATCCGGCAGTCCTTCTGAGAATTTGAAAGCACTACTATTCGATTCATCGTAAGCGAGGAAATCTCAATATTGTGAAAATTGACTTATATCAATGCAATCCAGATACGACCGATATCGCGGTGTTATATCGTTGGTGAGTATACAGAGTGGAACGCTTCGTAAAGGTACAGATCCCTTCGGATACCGGTGGAACCCTCTCATTTCTCCCGGTAGGTGACAAGATTGCTTCTTGTCATACTAGGAAAAGGTACGAAATCACCGATCTGGGCATTATGCACCCAGAAGAAGTGCCAACTACTCAGCTCCTCCCGGGACAAGTCGGCTATATTGCGTGCAACATGAAACAGTCCTCGGAAGGTACTAGGCCCTCAGTCCACACTTTTTCTCGGCCTCATTTAAAAGTTTGATACATCAGCACATATCGGTGACACGATTCACCGGGTGGGTGAGACTGTCGAACCTATGGCTGGGTTCCAGCCTGCGAAAGCAATGGTGTGCCAGTTCTCATCTCATGAATGTTTGTCCGCTCAATGAAAGTAGGTCTACGCAGGGATATTCCCTGTCGACAGCAGTGATTTTGCCAAGTTAGAGGAGTCGATCAAGAGGGTTTGTCAGTACCACTCGAAAAGTTCTGTGTATATACTGATCCGATTCGACAGTTGACACTCACCGACCGTAGCGTAAGCGTACAGCGTGAATCTTCATCAGCACTAGCACAAGGCTGTCGGTTGGGCTTCCTTGGGACGTTGCATATGGACGTATTTCGTCAGCGACTTGAAGACGAATACGATGCAAACATCATCATAACTGCGCCGACGGTGCCATATAAAGGTCGGCGAGGGCTTCAAACCTTCTATACACACGGATATCAAATTTTCTGCCCATCACAGTGATATACAAGGACAGAACGGTGTTTGTCAGCAATCCGACAGACTTTCCTGAGACTAGCGATACGTCGTCGAAGGTGCGGGAGGTGCAGGAACCTATCGTGAAAGCGACGATCATTGCCCCTGGAGGTAGGCAAAACTTCATCAACTATGAAACGATGAGATTTGACGCTAAATGACTTCAACAGAATATCTTGGCGAGATGATGGATTTGTGTTTTTCACACCGAGCAGAAGATATGGACCACCGCTATATGGAGACTTCCAGCGAGGCATCCGCCCGAGCTATCCTAACTTGCACTATGCCTCTGAGCGAGATTGTGACGGGGTTCTTCGATAAATTGAAGAGTCGCAGCTCGGGTTTCGCTAGCTTCGAGTGAGCTGCATCGTGTTACCTGTGTTTTCTGGCGCCAGTTAAATTGTTATCAAGCTACGAGGACGCTGGCTACAAGCGCAGCAATCTTGCTAAGGTGTGTGCTTTCATGCTAGCTTCTTCTAATCTGCAACTCAGCTTGTTCCTCTACAGATGGTTTTTCTACTCAATAACAAGCCCGTAGACGCTTTGGCTCTTATAGTCCATCGATCTGCCGAACAGGCAATAGGTAGGACCTGGGTCAAGAAGCTCCGTATGTTATTTCCACTGCCTTCAAGATGTTGAAACTGACAATTTGACTTGATCAGACAAAGTGATTCCTCGCCAGATGTTCGAAGTGCCCATTCAGGCGGCGGTGGGTAAGAAAGTCGTCGCCCGTGAAACCTTGTCGGCTCTTCGTGCGGACGTCACAGCTGGGCTTTATGGAGGTGAAGGATTATCTGTTCTGTCGTTTGAAGCATCTGTACTGAATTGCGGACTGTGTGAAGGGCATTATGAGCGCAAGATGAAACATCTTGAGAATCAGAAAGAGTCGAAACGGCGCATGAAGCGCTTCGGAAGTGTCGAGCTACCCCAAGAAGCATTCTTCGATATCTTGAGAACGAAGACTTCTTGAACTCGACATAGAGCGTCTATTGTGCCTGATTTCCAGGCTAGCCGCACATTGTAACTTACAAAAGTTGTTGATACATAATGCTATACTAAGAGATTACTGGTTACAGTCAAAGCTCGTTGTCCTCGTCATCGTATGATTCCTTAATTAATCTACGACGAAGAAGTAGGACGGGGTGAGCTAGATGGTTCAAAGGCACACTGTTGGCACACGTACCGATAGATGGAAGGCGGAGGGTGATCGCCGCTAAAGAACACGTCGATCAGGATAACGACATTGGACTCGGAAATGAGAACCCACTCATTTGTGATATAGACATCCACCAACTCTGGACGGACATAATCGTAGTATGGATTGATGACGTCGACCTTATCGACGAGATCACCTTCTTCATACCCAAGGACGCTGCTTGGATCGGCAAAATCGAGGGCGCCATATTCATGGTACAGATTCCATAGTGGAGTGAGCTTGAATTGACCAGCGCAGACTACGACGGGAGTACTGTGCGCTCGGGCTGCTGATGCCGCTAGGGAGGAGCCAGTGATGGCAAACATACCACCATTTGCGAGGATAGCATGTGCGCCGAGGATGACTTTGTTCACACGGGACATGAGAGCGTATATTGAGGAGTCGGATACGAGGAATGTGGAGATGCCAGAGGATGAGAGGGATCTTGCCATGTCGTGGCCCCCGTATCTGCGTTTGAATGGCCAATTGGTTGAAAAGATAGATTTAAACAGCATAGAAATCTTACGAAGGTCCGCTCTCAGCAACAATGACAGTGTAGTTGTGGTAATGGGCGGCCGATTTCAAGAAAGCTTCGACCGTACTCGACTTGCCGATTGTTAGGATGATCTCACTTAGAATAAAAGATATTCAGCAAGTAGCAGGCAATTGAAGAATGAGACTTACTCCGAGTGAATATGATCTTTTGCGCTCTTTGATATGTTATCATAAACTGTGTCCAGCTCATCCAGGATATCTTGAATCGCCTCCATGAGGACGGGCTTAAAAGTCCTCGCGAACGAATCGGGATCATCTGGATCGTTCTCTCTCAGAACCAGAGTCGATTCTGTCTTCTGCGTTGTGAGATGCTTGCGCGGTTGGCCCTGAAGCACGAATTTGGATATGGAAAATGTGGAGGAGGATGCGACCGTGCCCTTCGATGCATTGTTGTATTCCTCTCGAAGGTGATGCAGCATTTTGCGAACGGTATTTCCGACCGTGTGTTCTGATGTATATTCGGATGAGATTCGTCTCGATTATGCTGTACGTACAAAAATAGGAAGCATTGACACCTTTTGGCTGCGCCTCGACAAGCTTCCGTCCTACGCCTCCGATGATCTCGACTAGCTGCTGTATGTTTTGAAAGCGTGCCTTGGAGACCACCTGGCGCAGGACAAGAACGGTTTCGAGTGCAGTTTCACGAGAACCTACTACTTGCCTGTGCAAATCTGACATTCATGATCATTGTAGGGAAGAAAGGGTGTCTGACTCACCGCCTTCGTAGTTTCGCGGCCAGAGTCTCAACAGCACGTTGGCTCGCTGCGTTGTGCAGGTCGGAGGCCATTCGAAGAGTATGCTTATACTACACTAAAACTCAAGAATCGAGAAGGAGATACGTAGCTTGCTTTGTGGTTCTGTTTAGAGGAAGAGATCTGCACAGATGCGGTGACACGGTCCTAAAGCGACGCTGAGCGCAGGGCCTGGGGTTTTTGCTTGAAGATCCTGGGGAAAGGCTTCTATGGGGGACAGATGTCTAGACAATGACCTTATGTTCTTACCATTTATATTACAAAAGGGTGGTACTTGTAATTAATTTGGCCCTTTCTAGGTAAGTTTGTACAGGAATATTACGGAAAACCCAGAGTGCAGTTTATCTGATTAACCTTTTGTTACTTAACTTCGTCGCCGAGAGATCTTATCTTATAATCCCAGAGGGTTCTCGCCGCGTGACAAGGACAACTACCAGATATTAAGATTTTCAGCTGCGCTGATGGAGATTTTCTAATCATCGAGTCTTGCAGACAGACGGCGAAGCTAGAGGCTGAGGTTTCTACCTCATTTTTTGTTCTCCCGTTAACTAGATGGTCCATCCATATCGCACCTTTAATGCTTCACAGCCCTCCCCCACTTTCATGGGAGTCAGGTATCGTTGCAACCACTTTCTATATCTATCGCCCACTAGTAAAGCTTATGTAGTACATGGATCGTACATTGTCACAACACTTGGCTCTTATGCAGACACATGCCAATCCAGAATATCAGCCCACTTGCCAGGAAGAAGCTCTGAGATTTGTTCTACATCCTTATCTCCGCGTCCAGACAAGCACTGGAAGGAAAAACACGTCGGTTCAGGAATGATGATAAAAAAATGACTGTACGCACAATAACAAGATCTTGATCCTTCGGCAGAGTCTTTGCCACACGGACAGCTTCCCAGACCGCATGAGAAGATTCGAGAGCTGCAAGGCAGTTGCATCAAAAGGAGAAGAACAGGAAGAGTAGGAGAGCCCGTACCAGGAATGATGCCCTCGAGCTGCGTGCACATCCGGAAGCCTCGCAACGCTTCCTCATCAGTGGCCACAACATACTCAGCTCTGCCTGAATCCTTCAACCAAGCGTGCTCTGGACCAACACCAGGATAGTCGAGACCAGCACTTATGGAGTGCGTTTCGATGATCTGACCGACAGGCGACTGCAAAATATATGTCCTCACACCGTGAAGCACGCCAGGCTGGCCTTTTGAAAGAGTAGCACTGTGTCGGTCGCCATCGATCCCTGTTTGGGAGAACATTAGTTAGCAGACGGCTGAGAGGTAGGGTACGGAATCTATCTCACCTTCACCACCAGCCTCTACACCTATCAAACGGACGTTCTTGTCCCCGATGAAGTCATAGAATGTTCCTATGGCATTACTGCCGCCGCCGACGCACGCGACGACCACGTCTGGAAGCTTGCCCTTGATCTCCTGGAGCTGAACTTTGATCTCCTTACCAATGACTCTCTGGAAGTCACGGACGATTGTAGGGAAAGGATGTGGGCCGATGGCAGAGCCAACCAAATAATGAGTTGTCGATAAATTTGTGACCCAGTCGCGCATTGCTTCGTTGACAGCATCTTTTAATGTACATGAACCAGAATGAACTGGGATGACCTAGAAGACCGGTCAGGAAAGAGCTGTGAGTGCTGCTTGAGTAAGGCATACCTTAGCTCCCAGCATTTGAATCCGGAAAACGTTCAAGGCTTGCCGACGGACATCTTCAGCACCCATGTAAATGATACATTCCAACCCGAACTTTGCGCAGACTGTGGCAGTGGCTACTCCATGCTGTCCTGCGCCAGTCTCGGCAATAATACGAGTCTTGCCAATCCGCCGAGCAAGCAAAATTTGGCCGATCGCGTTGTTGATTTTGTGTGAGCCAGTGTGGTTCCTACCAACGTCACGTAGTCAGTGGCTGCCAAAACACTGAACACTGGGCTGCATACAAGTCCTCTCTCTTCAACCAAATATTAGCGCCACCAGCATGCTTTGTCAAGTTCTCAGCATAGTACAGCGTGGACGGTCGGTTCATGTAGCCAAATAGGCCCTCAAATTCTTGCCAGAATTCGGGATCTGACATCGCTGATTTGTGAGCGGCCTCCAATTCCACGAGGCAATCGAATAGCGCTTCCGGGACATATTGGCCACCAAACTGACCGAACCGCGCGGGAAGTACAGTGGCCTCGGACGCTGTATTATATGGCGGCGGCCCTGTCTGATTGACATTGACGGCAGGCGTTGGAACACGCGGCGTGCCATTCGCTGGGGGAGAACGGATTCGGGACGGTTGGCCCTTTAGGCTAAGTTCGCGACAGTATGCCTCGACATGCCTCGCGACAGCATCCTTCGGTGCCTGCTTGAGCACAGATACCAATTTGCTACCGATCACGACACCATCAGCGCCAGCATCCGCGACGCTCTCGAAATGCTGCCGAGTTGAGACACCGAAACCGACAGCAAGAGGGATGTCGGTGTGTGCTTTGACGCGAGAGATGATGTCCGGAAGCGCTGCGTTCATAGCAGTGTTATCGGAAGAACCCGTCGTGCCCATCTAAACAATATGTGTGAGTATCATAAAGAGCGTTGAATGTCGAAATATTTTCACCTTGGATACAACATATATGAAAGTGTCCGCGATAGATGCAAGAAATTTGATGCGATGAAGGGTCGTAGAAGGGGCGATTAGGGGCACATATGAGATGCTATGATGCGGAAAATGAGCAGTAGTACAGATGAGTGAGCCTGAGGGGGCATACTCTGATTTGGTACACTTTTCTCTGAAGGTGATGGCTTCTTCAGGAGGGAGATCAACTAGAATGAAGCCATTAGCACCGGATTCGTGAGCATCCTGGATCGCCTTGTCCTCCCCGTATGCAAGCAAAGGATTGTAATAACCTAAGATTTCGGTCAGCCTGGGTGATTTGTTACAAGTAACGTCAAACACACCCATAAGAAGGACTGGAGCAGTTAGACCCTTGGTTCGTGCCTCCTTCACCATTCCTAGACATGTTGCATAGTCTACATGATTTCGAAGAGCAACCTATGAAACGGTATTATAGGAGTGTACGGGTGCGGGGGTGACAGAAGCGCACATTGTTTGTTTCTTGGATGGCGGGTCCATCGGCCATGGGATCAGAGAACGGCACGCCTAGTTCTATGACATCTGCACCCCCTTCTTGCATTGCAAGCAGAATCGGGACAGTATCTTTCGCGGTGGGGTAGCCTGCAGTCACGAAAGTGACCAAGGCAGGACTGCCCTATACTATCTCATCAGCATTGAAGCATGTAATACACACAAAACACCATACCTCCTCCTTTTTGGCAGTGAACACTTTTCTGAGGGCGTCCATGGTTAGATGAGTGTAATCGAGTCAAGAGGAGACTTTTATAACCAAATTTCTGAGATGCGGCGCGCTTAGATAACCACGTGGCTCAGTGACTCGAGCGGAGTTCTGCGGTCTCAGTTGAAGTTGGCGCCTGCGCTCGCTGTCTCAAATCCCACGGACTCTGCGATGGAACTCTCTTTAGACGAATCAAAAGTTCTCATCATCTACACAGGCGGGACAATTGGAATGCTGGTCGGACAACAGGGCTATGTTCCAGAACCGTACTTCCTCACGGAAACATTTCGCAGCCAGGCTCGGTTCCATGACCCATTCCAGGACTCTCTGTTCTCCAATGCGACATCCGTGGAAGGCTTCAGACAATGGAGCAACAATAGCGGGAGATCTTCTCCAACCATTCCTCCATCAACTTCTCATCCTCATGCTACTCAGCATCGCCCAACGTTGCCTGTCCGATCATCACGGCCAATCGGCGTACCAACAGCGCTCAAGCCCTCAGCTCAGCCCCCTTTGATTCACCAACCGCTGAACACGAAGATTTCGGACGACGTATACGAAGCACATCTACCTGCGCTAGTGACTCCTCGGACCATTGCCCCTGGAGGGAGCGCGAAACGCATTCGATACGCTGTTCTAGAGGTAATGAGAGCTGATCAACACATACTTTTCCCAATATCACGATCATTTTTAGTGGGAGCCGCTTTTGGACAGCAGTAATATTGAAATCGACGGTCAGGGTTTCACGCTCTTGGTATGGTACCTGCTCAACACATTTCGTAGTTCAGACTGGATCCGCATAGCTACGGAGATAGAGCTAAATTATCATCTGTTTGATGCATTCGTGGTCCTCCATGGCACAGACACCATGGCGTATACATCTAGCGCCCTGAGCTTTCTCCTCGAAGACTTAGGGAAAACTGTCGTGCGTGGACCAATCCCAATGCTGCCTGGTATCTGATGTAGACCAAGGGCACATAGATTGTGACAGGCGCTCAGATACCTCTGTCCCAGCTGCGCAATGATGCAGTTGACAATTTACTCGGTGCTTTATCCATTGCCGGTCACTACATCATTCCTGGTGATGCCAATCCAGTGCATCGTGAATTTTCAGTCAACTGATCGATGTTATTTATGTGTAAGAGTGCTGCTTATTCTTTAACCACACCCTCTATCGTGGGAACAGGGTCTCGAAGGTCTCCTCTCACGATTTGAACGCCTTCTCAAGTCCAAATTTTCCGCCATTGGTGAACGGTATGATCGAGGCAATACAAGCCTCTCAGAGCCCTAACAGATTAAACTCGCAGTCGGCATCGACATTGTTGTAAATTGGAAGGATGTCATCAGGCAAACTAGTCGACGCAGATTTAAAGCGCACAAAGGTATGCACATCATGCTGCTACGTACAGGAATAAATAGATGTTGAAACAGCTGAAACTCAGAAATGTCTCAACATGTCGGTAAGTCAGTGCCCTTGGTTTCGAATCATCAGCATTCCAACTCGAGTACAGCCACGTTGCGTCTATTCCCAGGCATCACAGCTGCTACTGTCCGTGCGTTCTTGGCGCCGTCGGTCAAAGGTGTTGTTCTTGAGACGTTTGGTGCCGGCAATGCACCTCAACGAAAAGATCTGATGGCCTCACTGCGGGAGGCCTGCGACCGCGGTGTCGTAATAGTTGCTATCACCCAGTGTGCCAAAGGCGCTGTATCTGATGCCTATGAAACTGGTAGGACTCTCTTACAATCCGGCGTTGTTCCGGGAGGGGACATGACCCCCGAGGTAGTTGAGTCTGACAGATTGCGCTCACTTCTAAGCCTGATTTCTATGATGTTGTAGAGCGCGCTCACGAAACTGGGTTATCTTCTGTCCAAGCCCGAGCTTACTCCCACTGAAGTCCGCAACCTCATTGGAACGCCTCTTCGCGGTGAACTCACCCGCTCTATCAGTAATGCTACACCTCGCCAGCTAACGCTGGATCAAAACATTGAAAACATCGAAGGCGTCCTGTCACATGTCGTTCGCCTCTCGTCCCTACCTACGCACCAATCACCGAAAATCATAGTGTCCATAGATGAAATGGACAAAGCAGCGAGGGAAGCAGCTGCTCCATGGTCCTCGACTGTGGCTGAAGCCGCCTTGACCGAGACAGCATTGTTCTCATCCCTGATACATCTCGCTGCCGCGGCTGATGACGTTGAGGGCGTACTGTACTGCTTAGCTTCGGAGAGAACTGCCGGCGATGACTCAGTGGAATCCGGGCAACTACGTACTGCAGCAGGAGGGATTGTCAGTTGGATCAACCCAGCCTCCGGCCGGTCGCCTTTGCATGTCGCTGCGATCAATGGGAGCTTGAAGACAATCAATGTCTTGTTAGAAGCGGGGGCGTTAGTCCATCTGCGAGATACTCTGGGTCACACTGCACTCTATTATGCAAATCCTCTACTGTCTTTCACTTAGTTTCTGTGATGCTCATGTTTCTTGTAGGCTGCCCGGCAGGGTCATAACTCCGTCGTGGATACTCTAGTCAAAGCCGGCGCAAATCTAAATGGATCTGATGTAGAAGGCGGCTTTGTCAGTTTGGCTATGGAAAACGCGCTTCGCAACGGCGATGGAAGGGCAGTCAGGATATGGGAGAAGGCCGGTGCACAAATCCCGACAGATAATACAGCTGTGGGGAAGGTGGACTACGCTTGATTAAGGGAACTGGTACAAAGCCCGAAGACGATACTAAATGTCTCTGCAGGTATCTTGTATAAGGGACTACCCTACAGGGTGTTCGGTAGGTGAGCTGCCTAAACATACAGTACTGTTACTCGATCACAAATGGTAGAAACAAAAGGATTCAAGATCGCAGAATAATAGATACAGCACCGGGCTCATCATCACTCTACCATCTCCACGTCATCGTCATTATCTGCGCCAGGACCCCCTACATTATCCCACAGCGTTTTGAGAAAGACATCCATCTGGTTTCTTGAAAACGTGAATGTATCCTTGAGGAAATCGAGAGATTCGACGAAGTCTGGCGATTCTTTGTCTAGCTCTAGTGGTGTGAATTGAACCTGCTCATCAAAGTCCGTCAAAGCATAGGGTTCTTGCGCGTCGTGCTTTGGAGTCCAATACGTATGCAGTGAAAAGTTAAGGCCTGTAACGAATGGTATCAGACCACATTCAGAAATCACTCAAGAATAGCTCGTACTCTTAGTCGGAGAACCACCTGAATAGACGCAGCGAAAGGTGACTGAGTCCGTCTTTGGCATTGGACCCTCGGCTATCTTGGCCCCCGTAATTAGTAAGTTTGTCACGTCCTCATAGAGCTGGATAGTTGCGCTGTGATGGGGGTCATGAACGGAGACGGATTTCGCGCTGGTAGTGGCGGTCGCAGCAGGCCCCCGTGCTTTACTGGCGATAGCCTTGGACCTCTCAACCTCTGCGTCGAGCTCCTTCTGAGCGTCCTTCACTGAACCACGGTTGAGTCCGTGCAGGTTCTTCAAGATGGTCGCGCTCACATTGCTGTCGGACATTTTCTATGTCAATGTCTTTACTTTTGATGATCTGGTCCTTCTCCTTGATGACGCTTTTCAAGTCTGCTATTTTTGCTTTGATAGCGCGCTGTTCTTCTTCTGCGGCTTCCCGCGTGAGAAAGTGCAATGTCGATGTTTGTCCCGTGTTCACGAGAGGGTCTATTCGCGCAATTTGAGATGTAAGCTCTTGAATGAGATCTTCCTGCGCTGATAGAGGAATCAGTTGTATGCATATGAAACAGGATAAACGCAAATACCCTTGATCTTGGTTTCATAGACCACATTACTTGCCTCAAGTGCCTCCTCTTGCTCTGTTTGTCGTATCGAGAACAACTCCTCCAGCTGGTTGGTTAGCTGGTCACGTTGTGAGATGACCTAGCGTATTCAATTCAACGAAGTCCTTTGGGTGACTGGAGTACAGATGTGGGGACGTACTTCTTCGAGCTGTTTCGTGATGCGTTCAAATTCACGCGTTGATACCGCGTTCTCTTTCACTCGGGGCGCTAAAGGTACGGTGGTGCTCGTCTGTCTAGCCTTCCTAGAGGCCACGACTTTCTGGGTGATTGGTATTTCATCTTCCGAACCTTCAATCATCTCGAAGTCCTCCTTGACCTCCATGGGAATAGTTTTCGAGACCTTTTTTGAGAGTTTGTGAGGAGGATCTGCTTTGGGCTTGCCATTGACCCTCGTCGTTGCCTTTCCATTGACAGTTGGTGGCTCAGTCCTCTTGGCCTTGTTCTTCGTCATTAGTGGCTCGATGTCAGACCCTTCTTCCTGCTCCTCTGATGGATCAAGAATATAGACATCATTGGTATCATCTCCGACCTCGGGCGACTTCCGCGCGTTCTTCCGTTTGTCCGCCGTGGTGTTCGAGAATGGCTTGGTCGATGGACCTGCAGCTGGCCGTGCAGTAGGCTTGCGCGCAACAGGCTTCTTTAACGTGGGTTTGTAGGGAGTTGTGGGATCGAACCCGCCTGCATTTGATCCACAAGTTCAGCTGTGTATGGGGATTTGGAGACGTGAAGACGACCAAATCAGAAACATACCAAGGTCATCCTCGTCGGACATTGGAAAGGTGTGACTCGCTGTTGTGACACGGACGTGGTGAACTCGTTGTGTCAGGAGTTGTGTCGTGCTCAATTAGAACCAAAATTGCCTCCAATTTGAAAGACCGCGGTCAAACTGAGAGGAGATCACGCTAAGCAATGAGAATATACGATCGACGTCTTAAGTAGATAAATTGAGATGGGTTTGAATGAAGAGCAGGCACGTGCGAGACGCGACCGTGATACAGCGTGATCTGCGACTATATAAGGAATGCATCGATGAGTGCATTTGGGGGAATTCGAGGGAATATTTCATGGATATCCTTTTGAAGCGCTGAATGTCAGCTTGAATCCACGAGCATCATCCGATTGTTTTTCAGACTAATTCTAGTATTCTCTTAAAAATTGCTTCCCGAACACCATGCGTACAAAATCGACGCTCAAACCCAACAGGTACAATGTGCACACCAAATGAGGTACGTACGCCGATCATGATTATCTAAACATATCTAAACATGATCAACAACCTCGCAAACTGGCTGCTATCGGGGCTGATAACATGCATAATCGGGCAAAATCATGATTTAGTCCATGTGTATGTCCTTTCATACCGCCATGTCACTCCATTTTCATGATGTTGAGACATATCTGAGCCAGCGTTCTGCGTTTATACAGGCGGACAGAGCTCTGCGCAGGGAGAATGGCAGATTGGGAGTGCTGACCGAGAAGGAGAAGCAAGGGGATGCAATCATCAGGCAGATTCGCAAGGACGAGGAGAGCTCGGTATGGGCAAAGGACTACAACGGTATACCCCATCCCTTCCCTGGGATGGAATTTTTAACAGGTGCCAGGTTGTGCCGTCTACCTAATGAGCTCGCTCGCTAACCTTTTCACATCTACCGGTCAGGAAAATATATCATTGACCAGACGAAGCTGTTTCAGATTGTCCAGAAAGTGTGTTCGCATCGTTACCCTCACGTTTAGAGCTTAGAAATGACTCACCGAAACGAAATGAGTAGATGCCGAAGGGCGCCCTCCTCCACGCCCACTTCGACGCGACAGTAAATACCAAGTGGCTTCTGGAACGAGCTCTTCAATATCCACAGATTCATGTTCGCACCCCTGCTCAAGTCACGTCCACTAGCATAGGCAGCATACTTCCCGAATTCCGTCCGCGGCCCCATTCGACGGCCCTTTTGTCACCAGAGTCTGGCAACCTGACTTCTTCTGCTTATACTCCCGGAGGATGGGTACCGCTCGCGCACGCACGACAGTCTTTCAGCTCTGAAATGGGAGGACCAGAGGGCTTCGATAAATGGGCGCTTGACTCGATGATGATCAATCCCGCCGAGGCGTATGGGACTCACAATACTGTCACTAAGGTTTTGACTTCGTTTCAATCTCTTCAGCGCATCTACCCACACACCCATAGATCTGGAAAAAATTCTTGAGCACATTCTCAGTCGCTTCAGTAGGTCCCGTGAACTCTCCATCTCAGTCAATAATGATTAATGACCTAGTATATTCAAGCCTCTTGTCCTTTTCCGTCCCATTTTCGTCCAATACATCCGCCAATTTCTTCTATCATCCATCGAGGACGGTATATCGTATGCAGAACCCCGCATCAACTTCTACGACAGGTAATTGTCCCTGTTTGTTCACTATCATTGGTGTTGATGGATGGTTCTACCCAGCAGAGTTATGTATGACGAGAATGGACAGGCGAACGTGCCGCACCGTGAATGGCTTCTTGACTTTGATCGCGTTCTGAAAGAGCTCAAGGAAGAAATGAAGGATCAGGGCAGGGAAGACGAATTTATCGGTGCAAAAGTATGTAGGACAAAAATCTTGCGCGCTAATAGTATGTTGACTTAAACTTTAGATTATCTATACCACAGTCCGCGTCGTATCTGCTAAAGAGCTGGAATGGTACACAGAGGACTGCATTAATCTCAAACAAGAATTTCCTCATCTCATTGCTGGTCCGGTTCACTTCTTTTTTACTTCCCTGATATTAGCTAAATGTGATCGATTTCAATTAGGATTCGACCTCGTTGGCGATGAGAATGTGGGCAAACCACTGACCGAATATATCACGCCCCTTCTCGCCTTTAAGAAACGTGTCGAGGAGTTGAGTTTGGATATTCCCCTCCTCCTTCATGCCGGTGAAACGTTAGGTGATGGAACCAAAGCCGACGACAACTTGTACGACGCCATCTTATTGGGCACAAAACGCATTGGGCACGGGTATGCGTCTCCTTTTCCATGCAAAAGAAGTTTTGACTGGCGGACTGATGATTACGTTTATCCAGTTTCTCGATTGTCAAACACCCCAGGCTCATGGAAATATGCAGAGAAAAAGGCATTGCTCTCGAAGTTTGTCCCATCTCGTACGTGTGCTCTCTCTATATGCGAACACATTTCGATCTTTCTAAATTATACATATGGAATAGAAATGAGATTCTGGTATGACATGGCCTTTTTGTTCCATTTGGCCACACTATCTGACAGAATATTCCTTCCCAAGCGTCTGACCTCTTCAATGCCTATGCATCCCCTCCCCATTCTTCTCAATCATGGAGTACCCATAGCGCTGAACTCGGATGATCCCGCCATATTCGGGTACATGGGGTTGTCATACGACTTTTTCCAGGTTATCGCTTCGAGTGAGGTGACAGGTCTCCTCACGCTTGCCCAAATTGCGCGAGATAGCATCACCGTGGGCATTTTGACTGCTTTTGCGACCTCGTGTTCTAATGGTGTCTTTAGTTTTCGACCCTTGATCCTTCGGAGAAAGCAAGGACTCTTGCGCTTTGGGAGAAGCGATGGGACGAATATCTCGATAAAATTATATCACAGGATATTTAGAGCACGGCACATGGCAGCACCTGGCTCGAGCAGACAGAGTGAGTCGAAAATGGTCAGATCACTGAGCGGTCCGGAACCTCGACGAAGTACTGTCCTGGACGACTGAGATGGTTGGGATGCCCGGTCATTATTCGCATGTAGCTGCTGTCGAGAGGTTTTGCATAGAATACCTCACCTGTCGCTGACGCGAGTTTACTTACTGTATGCCACGGTGGCACCTGTGTTGACACCTATTTGGTGTAGTCTGACGGAACAGCGTGAGCGAGTGTCGTTCGTGAGCAAGCAAACCACATAGACCGACTACTTTCCCTCGCCATCGTCGAGGACTCCGACACTCAAGGTATGTTTCCCATCGTTTCGGTCAATGACTGCGCCCTTCTACACTCCCCTCACCAACGTACACCTCCTCTTACCCCAGACCATATCCACATCATCTGACCTCCGCTCCGAACCCACCTCCTCTTTCCTCGTGCTCTCCCCATTCCCACCAACGTTGCGCACCCACCCCCGTGTCTGAAACTAAAGAGAGAACCGTAAACTAAAACACCGACGATGCCAGAGTCCGATACCACTCGCAAGCGGTCCCGTTCGCCCTCCGACAGCGAAAACCAAAAACACCACAAGCGTGCCAACACAGGCGCTACGTCCACCTCGGATGAATCGCCGGCACTCGCCTCCTCTGCCCCCGCTCTTGCTGCCTCCGCGGTGCTCAATGACGTAACCATGACTGAACCTTCTGCCACCGTCATTGATGATACGGCTGCCTCTACCCCATCTAACAACACCGATCAGCCAAAGGCAGACCCGGAGCACAAGGCCGCGGTGGGCGACGCCATGCCTACTAGTGCATCCGACTCGACCGCTCCATCTTCTTCCACAGTACCCCCGCCCCCTCCGTCGGCTCATATCCACATGCGATGCCTCATCGTCACGCAGGACGCGTCGATTATCATCGGGAAGGGAGGCTCTCACGTTAACGAGATCAGAGAGAAAAGCGGTGCGAAAGTCATGGTATCCGAGAGCATCCCCGGGAACCCCGAGCGTATTCTTAACGTCAGCGGGCCTCTGGATGCGGTTTCGAAGGTGTGTGCGGCGGGTATGATCGGAAACCACTATTCGGTATTGACTGTACTATATCTTAGGCCTTTGGACTCATCGTCCGTCGGATCAATGATGAACCTTTTGACGTGCCGTCTGTGCCAGGCAGCCGTGCGGTTACCATAAAGTTCATGATTCCCAATTCTCGTATGGGTTCTGTCATCGGAAAGCAAGGTTCCAAAATCAAGGAGATTCAGGATGCCAGTGGCGCTCGGCTGAACGCCAGTGAGGGTATGCTTCCCGGCTCAACAGAGGTATACATTCTGTTGGCTATGGTAGTCATACACACACTCACGTAGTCCATAGCGCGTGCTCAGCGTCGCTGGCGTGGCAGATGCCATACATATCGCGACCTACTACATTGGGAACATTCTCATCGAAGCCGCCGAACGCATGCCCTCCGGGTCAGCGTCCAACTCGACCTACCGCCCCTCGAATCGCCGCCAGCCCTTTGTCAGCGGCTCATCATACGTCCCAGGAAGTTACTCCAACCCATACATTCAGGGTGGTGGTCCTGGAAGCGCGGATCCCCCTCAGCAGTTGCAGACGCAGCAAATCTACATTCCCAATGACCTTGTTGGGTGTATCATTGGAAAAGGTGGTAGCAAGATCAACGAGATCAGACACATGAGTGCAAGTCAGATCAAGATCATGGAACCCGGTGCGGGAGGGGTCGGAATCAACGGCGCGCCAACCGGTGGTGAAGGCGAGAGACTTGTAGTTATCACAGGCCCTCCTGCCAACATTCAAATGGCCGTCCAGTTGCTGTATCATGTGAGTTTCTCGGGCCTGCTACGAAGTTCACGTCTCATCTCTCTTCCAGCGCCTCGAACAGGAAAAACAAAAACAACTCCGCGCTCAACAGCAGGCTACGTGAACGACTGAAGCCCAATAATACACAGCGCATTCTTGTGAATCGTCAGCAGTTCAAGTCAGAATTACGTCTCCAGTCTCTTCCCCTTGCTTTCGCCGTGATGCTTCACGTTTTTTTCTCTGGTTCGCTTACTTATATATCTGTGATCGCTGATCAAATTACCTCTTCATACTCCAAGTCATCATCCATCCCCTCCCTCCCCCTGTCACTACCTTTCCCCAACCCGCAACTCTTCCTCCAATTTGCACCACCCCAGCCAATACTTCTTTCCTCGACTTTTTGCTACATCCGTAGCTATCATGCATGTCATTCTGAAGTGATTTTTCAAATGTAAAATCTACTGCCTATATTATGACCCACGGACCTAGCAAAACAAATCGACGAGCAGACTGCTCTTAGCATTCATTAATTCATCTCGCTTACATAATCGAGCATTCTCAGAGATTCGGAGGTGGTGAGACGATCGGTTTCTTTCACAACTACTTCGACTCTTTGCAGCGTTCCGTTATGGCTTCTGTCCTCAAGGCCCAAAAAGCAAATGCCTCTCTGATAGACTCCAAGGGGAAGGGAAAGCGCAAGGCAGACGCTATGGATGTGGACGAGGAGGCGGTCGAGTCGAGCGTTCCGATGAAAAAGAAGAAAAACAAGCAGCGAGTCCTAATGCTCTCGTCTCGTGGTGTCACGCACCGTATGAGACATCTCATGAATGACCTTGAAGTCCTTCTCCCACACATAAAAAAAGGTGCGTCAACATCGATATCACCGCGTCTTTGTAGTAGTAAACGCGCTTTGCTTTCCATATCCGCAGACTCGAAGCTTGATTCGAAGAACCACCTCAATCTTCTACCTGAACTCGCCGACCTACACAACTGCAATAATACGCTATACTTTGAGGCACGGAGACACGAGGACCTATACCTCTGGGCAGCGAAGACACCGAACGGGCCCAGCGTAAAGCTGCATGTGCAGAATGTGCATACCATGGACGAGCTCAAGCTGACGGGAAATTGCCTCAAAGGGAGCAGAGGTCTTTTGAGCTTTGATGCCTCTTTCGAGGAGACAGAGTGGGGACGATTGATGAAGGAGTTGTTCACACATGTAAGTTTCGAAAAATTCAATGGACTCAGCACTTGCGATGCTGATCGTACCCCCAATCCAACTGTACGTCTCCGTCTGACGTAGATGTTTGGTGTACCGCCACAAGCACGCAGGGCGAAACCCTTCATCGACCACATTCTTACGTTCTCTCTCCTTGACGGAAAAATCTGGTTCCGCAATTTCCAGGTACGCGCTCGTCTGATCGCTAGCTTTTCCCAGTTGACATTGCTCCTAAACTAGATCATCGAAAAGGACCCATTACATCCTAGTGGTCCACCGCAGACAACTCTCATTGAGATTGGTCCACGCTTTGTGATGACGCCCATCCGAATCTTCGAAGGTGCATTCAATGGCGCGACAGTATTTTCAAACCCTGGTAAGATGGCAACCCCTTGTCTACTATGACTACGGCAGCTGATGTCGTTTGCTCTGTTTTGCAGAGTATATCTCACCTACATCAGTACGCTCTGCGATTAGGAGAGAGAAGGGGACCAAGTACAAAGAGCGAAAACACGCGCAATCGGAGAGGTCAGATAGGAAAGACCTCCGCAAGTTGCCGGAGAACGAGTTGGCAGTGTCAAAAGTGTTCTCATAAAGCATGCTGTTTTGCATTGATGTGTATGAGGCGTATCATCGCCCGTCAGAGGTCATAAACACGATGTAAGTTGTGGTACTTAGTATCGCGATGAAACCGTTCTGTTGGCATATGTACGCCACGCATATGGACCATGGCGGACGGTCGATAATGGAATGTTCGCTCGGAGGGCATCATATAAACTTGAAACATGCTAAGTCTGGACCCACAGGAGTTCATAATGACAGTGTATTGCTGTCAAAGTGGCAAACAGCGTTACGAGATGATGCGATTCATGACTGAAATAAGGGCATACTTCAACGTCGAGACAGGAAGCCCTCAAGCAGACTGTAGACCAGCACCATTGCCATGAGTCAAGGTGCCAGACTGGTGCCAGAAAGTTGCCAGAAGTGGTATTGTATTAGTCAGCGAATGAACGAAGTCTTATTCCGAAACGGGAAACACAAAAAGGACGCATTTTGCGGAAGACAATGGGAACGCCAAACGGAGGGCCGGTCGAACATCAGGGCAACTGTGGTAAGGCCCTCATCTCCGCTTTTACGAATCATGGCAAGCTTTTGTTCGCTTTGACCATCTCGATCGCTCTACGTCAAAGCAGGTCAATGCTGCCACCGCCGCCATGATATATATAACGTCAGGGTCTCCATGACCGTCCCTCTGTGTTTTCTTTTCTGCTCCTAGTTTGCCATGGCTTTGTCCATTGCTGTTATCCCGGACTGCCCAACCATCGACATCTGCGGCGAGCTAGCAACAACGTGAGTGATCCTCTCTAGCTTATCATTTCCACGTCTAACATAACACGGGCCGAAGATCGGCGTACTCGCTCTCTGGCCATGTTTCTGTCTCCCTGCAGTCCTCTTTCTCGCTCTTCGATCGTCGTCGAACTGCGCGCCTCCTTCTCCAGTCGCTCGTGATTACTTTCGAAGGACAGTCCGAGCTGGTAACCCCTGAGACTGGTTATTCTGCAGTCCGCCTCTGCTCGTTACAGCAGGAGCTCGTCCGAGACGAACCTGTCGAGCTCAACAATGAGGGCTTTGAAGACTCTACCCAACCTTGTGCTTGGAATGTCGTATTCAATCTTCGCCTTCCTGGATGGCTGCCCGCTTCCGACGTGTTTGGCGACCGCCAGATGGCCCCAGCAGGCACGCGGTACGCTCTTTACGCCATAGCAAAGTATCAACATATACAAGAGCCTTCACAAACATCTCCGTGGATATCGACTCTCTGCGCTCCCATCATGCAGCGAACGAGAATCGCGAAAGCGCCGAAGTGCAACATCCTTCTGAATCGGTTCACTATCCCACCACTCGTGCCCCACTCAGAGCAGTCAATCTATCCTCTCGGTGGCTACATCGTCTCCACACTATCTCAGAAATCATCCGAGTCTGGTCCTTCCATTCCGAGCGACATTTTGTCTAAAATACAGATTTTGGCTTCGATACCTGAGCACATCGGAACCGAGCAGGATTGCGCCAAATTGACCTTGCGTCTCCGCGCGCCACTACTTTCGGATGAAGAGACTGAAAAAATCAACTTATCAACTTTCACAGTTGATATTGACCAGCGGGAGGTGTACCAGTACGTATCTCGAGTTTTTGTATCATGTCGGCTTTGGATCGCTGAGCTGTTACATCTAGCATGTCTTTGCCATCGTATTACAACCGCTTGCCTATCCCAAATGAGGAGCACCAGCCTCCACGTAAGGCTCTTCTGGACCCACACCCCATGAGCGGGTTATCGGAAGTGGGCCTCCTCGTTACGCCTCAGGTTTGCCATTCATCCGTAGCGCGAAACTTTTCATTGCTTGCTGGTGGATCAACGCAGTTTGAGATCTCTACGGCGAACAACGGGCGGATGTTCTCACGCAGAGTTCTCCCAGACCCTAACGCTTGGTATACCATGCAGATGAAATTGCCTTTGGTCCAGGATTCTGATCACCCAACATCAGAGTCTAGATGGGCTGGCCCGTGCCATCTGCGACCGTCTTCGCGCGGACCGTTCCTCACTGTGAAACACAGTCTAAAAGTCACCATGCAATGCCAATTTGACACTGGCGACGGACACATAGATAACCTCTTGGAGTTCTCCATACCGCTCGACTTTGTCCGTGAACGCCTCCCTTTGTCTCAGCAAATGATTTCCCAATCTCAAAGTCTGACTGATGTCCCCTCTTCTTCCACGCCATCCCCCACAATGCCAACGTCATCACTATACGGCGCACTCCCTGCATATTCCGAGTTATATCACTCGAACGGAGATCGCAAGTACGACGAGTCGGTTTCCCTTCCCCTCTATACTGCAAGCCCGTGATCTCAGTCTGCGGCCTTGTTTGCGATCCCCTTTTCTAGCCGCTGCATCTACATCATTTTGGACCCACAACCACTTCGCATGATCTTTATATCCGTCTTTCACAATCGCATGAAATTCTATCTGAAGTGTACATCTACATCTCGATCTGTTGTGTTATACTGCTGTATCTTTCAACTCGCATCATTTTTCTTAGATTATCAGGTTAATTTGTTCGGGTTTCGACTCGCAGGCTTTTTTCACAAGACGACCAATTCGTCTTTACGCCCATATCACTAACAAGCTTTCGACTTCGCACTCCTCTCGCGTACGTACAACGTTACCTCCATACGTTTCTGCAGCCGGTTGTTCCTCCAGAAACCAATGCCTAAATATTATTTGCTATTGTTTTCTTGACATGTTCCCAGAGTTACGAATTCTTCGCACCAATATTGTACAATATCATTGTTCAATCTTTCGTCATACTTGCAAGCATAATCTTCTCCAAGATTTGCCATTCTTCAACCAGCCCTTCGCACCTGACGATCCATATCTCACTTCCAGTAAAACCATCTAGCTTCGTCTGACCCGATGGGTCTGCACCTGTTCCTTTGCAATCCAGGGTAATTCCGCTTCCGCGATCCTTCGGATTCAGAACCACACTACTCTCCATAATCTCCCTCGTGACTCTCTCACGCTCTCTTACCTCTGCATCTTTGTCGGCGATATAGAACAGAGACATGTGCGGGAACGATGGCGTGCGCGGTTCCGCCTTGAGCGCAGAGTGTATTTCTGCGTGCAAAGAGGCAAGCGCCGGAGAGAGCTTCACGGTCACATACACGGACCGGGTGTACGTCTCGCCGGACAGCAACGAGGAGAACTGGACGGGGACGACGGATTGGTCAAAGGGGATGGATTCACGGAGGGCGGCAATGGTGGTATCGGAGGGGAAGGAGGCCAAGGTTATATGTGGGGTAAAGTTAGGATAGGATGAGGCTGCTAGAGAGGGGGTGGTCGGGCGGTGCTTCGACATTAGCGTCTCTAGCAAGACTCTTTCATCTTGGGACGGAACGAGCCAAATCACTAAGCCTACAGCACGAAACCAGTATTAAATAGGCAGGAGTCAGTGGGATGTATACGATGAGTGATAGGCCTGAGAATCACCCATCGCCTCGAAGTCAATAACAATTCTGAAAGAGACGCTGTCCAAGCAAGGCGTCGACAGATGTTTGAGGCTGTTGAGTTAGAAAGGCTTGATAGAAAGATCTAATCACTTGGATCTTAGAGTCCAGGATCTTCGCTTGCCATGCCACTGTGGTTACGAACACATAACTAGCCATTGAGACACCTAAGCTTCCCTACAACCGACATGAGCAAAAGTACAGTGCATTGGGCTACATTACACGTATACATACAAAGACATCAGAAACTGTCATCATAGAACCACTGACCTTCAAGCGCATTACAGAGTGTGCACTGCCGTGACGAGATAAAAACAATCAAGAACCTACACTGACTCAACAGCCTCACCGCTCGAAACATGCGACTCCTTCGACTTGAGGCTCACCCAGCTATCGCCCACGCCCTCCCCGGCGTTACTCTCGACGTCAACCTCTGACCCTGTCTCCGATATATCTAGGTCAGATACATTTGCGGAGCTATCGGCCCCTTGCTTTTCCACCTGCACAGGGGCAGCAGCGGCCGGTACCGAAAAAGGGACACCCCTCTCCAAAGGTAGAGCGATGCGTGGCGGAACAGGAAGCAGTGCGTTCCTGACAGATAGAAGGAAGTGTGGAAGATTAAGGATCACATCGAGGATCGACGTCGGAAGATACGATGCCATCATGTAGGTGGTCGCTGTATACAAGTTCATCAATTAGGACACAGAGAATATGCACTTATGTACGCTACTCACCGCCCGCGCCTACAGTGATCCGGTCGCCGCGAATCGCGCGCAGAACATGTTTGAGGCCGAAGCCATAGCCAAAGATCGTGAAAGGATCTCTATAACTCCCACCCACGATATCCGCAATCCTCTCGACAAACACGCGCACATCGGTAGGCTTGCGCGTCATTTTGTAATGATGCCCCTCTTCTAGAAGTGACTCGTAAGCCGGTCCATAGGCCAACTTCTCCGAAGCCGTCCAGCCATCCATATCTCGGCGCATATCGTACGTGAGCTGAAGCCGGCGGACAGCACGGGGTGACTCGACAGAGCCAACGTCGACGACAACGACTCTGATGTCACTCATCGAGTCTGACGCGCTAGTCAAAGCTGCGATATGAATTTCCCGGCGTAGGACTTCGGCCCCGCGCAACGTAGCAGCAGCGCTCATCGCGTGGGCAGCAGCAAACGGTAGGCCTACGCGAGCCTCGGCTGCCGGGATACAAACCACGATGCTCCGCTGGCCAGCACCATTTGCAGCCGCATCGCGCGCGCGCGAAGGCGCAGTCCGGAGCATAGGTAAGAGCGCTTGAATTACTTGCAGTGGAGCCAGATGTGTTGCGGTGAAATAGGGGAGATATTCGTTGCGTAGATGGAGGTGTTCCAGTGGGGCTGGAGGGAGAGCTGAAGCAGATGGGAGAGTGAGGAGGGAGATGATGGAGTGTATATAGGGGAGCGTCGCTGGGGATGCATGCGGATCGCCCGGAGCGTTGATGGGAAATCGTCGCGAGAGTGTGGATGCCAGGGAGCGAAGGAAGATAGGAATTGTCCCGAGCTATGTCAGGATCAACATGTGCTTGCCGTGTTGTATCAATCATCCTGGCGAACATACCTCTGTGGGGCTGAGTACAAGTGCCTTGACGTATCCATTGGAATGGGTGGTCTCAAGCTCATCGCCCGCTTCTGGGGTAGCAACACTGACGATGACAATATAACCTTTCTGTTCTAGGTCATGAATCAAAGGCGAAGCCAAGGGCGTATCTCCTCCCAACACCACTGAATGGTATCTAATCAGCATGTGGTGGGTGAAACGCCTCAGCAGAGACATACCTATGACTTGTCTTCTCTCACTAAAAGAGGTTCCCTTCTTCCGCAACCGTGCATTCGCTCTTGAACGAACACTATTGTACCCAACTAGCAACCCAACGCCCACGATCCCAACGCCGATGGAAGCCTTCCACGGATGATCAGAGATCCAATCCGCAGAATTCTCTAGCAAGGATTTTGGTGGAGGAGGTGGAGGAGGCGGAGGAGGTACTTCAAAGTCGCCCAATCCTGGGATGTGGAGGTCTGGAAGTGTAGGCCCGAACCTTGAAACGTCAACCCAAAGACGATGAAGAGCTTCCTTGATCATGGGCATTTCCGCGGACACATCTGAGACAGACGCGTAGACGTGGTTTTCGACAGACTCGACATAGTCGAGTATTCCGCTGATGATGGACATATCGACGTGCTAAGGGTGAAATGCTCTACAACGTTGCGAGCCCTCATGCACTCATGGAAGCAAAGCAGCTACGAGCCACGTGATTTCATACTTCCAACGTCCCGAATGTCTTTAATCCGAAATGTATATTGGGGATGAAGCTATGAAGACGTTCACGATAATAATATAGTTCAATCAAGACATTTTTCCCAATCTCCTTCGCCATCGTTAATCGCATACCCCTGACTTGCCACGAACTGGTCAAGAGCGCATAGCCCAGTCTCTGTGGCTCCATCACAAAACTCCAACGGTTGAAGAGCATCATTCACGAAGATCCTGATAAAGAGCGACGCATCCTGATCACATTGGACTCTCTCAACGACCATCCTAGCGCTGAAAGGAACCAATTTCCAGGTGATCCAAGTTCGTTTATGTTCAGGATTCATCGGGTCGAGAGGTTTGCTTTGATTGAAGAGTCCTAGAGCGGAATATATGGCAATCATCTCGTTATCGTGTGAGAAGTCAGCATAAAAAGTTCGGTTGAGAGGAAATGTGGTAGGCGATGAGTCGAGCGTCCGATTAGTCTGAGTGTTATCCTGGACAGGCTTGTTCGTGAGGCGCGCGAGGAGCTCGTTGATATATCCGACGCCTTGAACGGGGCCTAGTTTCTGACCATACCTTGGATCGAATGTGTCAGAAGACAGAGTAAATAGTGACGGCGTAGACGTTACCCAGTGCCGTAGTATTTGGATAAATCGCCACTATATGCAAACTGCTCGAATTCGGAGAGTGTGAACAGGTTGCAGAAGGGACTCGGGCTTCCCTCGTACAACGTATGGAAGGGGCATAATGATATGAGGCTATACGCGTCCATGTCCGTGAGGTTTGCGCCAGGGGCCCATCCATTCAGACGTTTTGTGATAGGCGGTGCGAAAATAGCCAGCCATTCATCTGTTTGAACGTCGCTATCACCGGCATTTGGGCACATGCTGTCGTCCAAAGTCACATTTCCCTAGAGGCCCCATGAGGAACATCAAAAAAATCACAGAGATGATGACAGAGAAACTGTACCTCTTCGGATATTATGAGATCCAGCTTCGGGACAAATTTCCGCATGCTAGCGTTTGCGAAACCTGGATCCATTGTAAGATGACATACGATATATGATGCAGTGTGTCGACTGACCTGCTGTCCAGTTGGTCGCTGTATCCACAACACGCTGGGAGCTAGCTGCTCTCACGAACGGCACGCTGCTCTCGCTAACAAGTACCGAATATCTATGGTACTCGACACCACCCGCGTCGAACGATCTAGTTCACGTAGCAGTTCAACACGTGCTCATGTCGAAGGATGTTCGGGGTATGTACTGACTGGGCAGCTCCAAAGGGAATCAAGTCATCCTTTCCCAACGTATACGTGAAGTTGTGCAAAAAGTCAAGTTTCTCGTTGTTGTATTCTTTGACAGCTGACAACTTGGTCACAGCGCTCGCGATTTTCGTTCCAGAACCCTTCGTTGGAAAGCGTGCACCGTGCCGCTGGATCTGGCTGGGCGTTCATATTTCGCTGATTTTAATAGAAGGCAGATGTGCTTACCAAGTTAACCTGGTCCACAGGATATGTTATATATATCATGATTGTCGTAGGCCACGAAGTGGCTTGCTCACCTGTGATACTACACACCCCGCAGGTGGATCGACGTACTCTCCAGACGAAAAGTAAGGTGAATACATTGCCCAAGCCTTCTGTAACTTCTCTGGCAAGTCAACCGGAGGGGCCTTGATGCCTGCTCTAGCAGTCGGAGCATGATGCGAAGAGGTGCTTCGAGGATGCGAAGAGACACTGTCGCCAAAAATCCTCATCACTGTCGGCGATGCATAGTGAACGCCCAAAGTGCCTATTAAAACAAGCGCGACGAGCAGGAGAGCTGTGGTGTGCTTCAAGAGAGTGATTTGCTTGCTGATCTTCCCAGAGCTGCGCAGACGCGCGAATTCCGGGTCGAGAGGTGCGTCGGCGCGCATGAGGGTCTCGTTGGAAGATTACAAGTACCCATAGCAGCTGGGTGAAGGTTAGTATATATAGAGGTGGCCAATGGAAGACTACCAATCATCACAACCACGCAGTTCGACGCATGCGAAGCTCGAGAGGTGGCACACTGGTGGCACGTTCGTCGCTAGTACCAAGTGCCAGACCTGATGTAACAAAGTATATATATTATAAAGGAATCGACAAGTACAAGGCGCCATAGCCAAGTGGTTACGGCGACAGATTAGAAATCTGTTGGGCTTTGCCCGCGTAGGTTCGAATCCTGCTGGCGTCGTCTGAGTTTGTTTTAATTTTCACGACCACTTTTGCCACTGACGCGTCGCGACGCGTGAATCAACATCCGTCGTCGCGTCGATCTTCCTGCTCCCTCGCTAACCCTAATCGCTGCGCGTTGCAAGCTCAAGGTTGCATCAACCTCCTCGTCACAAGGCGCCCAGATGGACGCCAACATGGACTTCTTTCAACCTAATGGTCTATTGTCTGTCTCAAAGACCCCTACAGAGCAGACCACCTTCCCCATCGCCCGCACACCGCAGGACAGTACACTCAACTTTATACCAAATGGACTCCTAGGTGAACCTGCGCCAAAGGGTCTTCCGCCAAACCATGGTACACCTTCACCATCTGTGGCAGCGCCATGATCACTCACATGTCTTCCTAGCTCCGATGCGACCGAATGGGTTATTGGGCACACTGTTGGCGACCAATGCAGGTGAGCAAGTCTCACAGCCTCCGGTGTTGGCTGGAGACGATAATTCCATTTCGTCTGGGGGATAAGCGAACGATGCGATATCGTCTCCGATGCGACCGAATGGGCTATTGCAGATGCCAAGCGCGAGGTCGTTCGGTGAGTGATCAGCTTTCGGTAGACCAAAGTGCATGTCATGAATTGGCATTTTCGCGTATCCAGTTGAATCGCGCTCGCAGGATACACTGCCTCCACTCTCTCAAGGTGCGTCCAAATTTCCTCTCTCCCCACCCTGGCGCATAATACATACCATACCAGAAGACGACAGCCTTCCTGACATCGCCGATATCCTCCTTCCATACCGAAGACCGACCGCAGGGCCCAGCCATGCTCCCTTCGGTGAACCCGTTCTCCTCCCTCGCACTTCTTTGCGCTGTACCACACATGACGGAAAAGCTGTCTTTCTTAAGAAGAAAACGCGGAAGCATGATCACTCCTCTGTACGCCTCTCAACCACGCAGTGTTGCATACTTACCACAGCTCACCACTCCTTTCAGATAAATCTATCGGGCCAGCGCATGACCAACCTCTTAGACGTGCCTATACACCGCCTCATGGACGAGCTTTCTCTAAAGACTGCCAGCAAGATATCTGAACAGTAGGCTATCATGCATCATCTGATACTTCTATGTTCGACTCAACGCCTAGCCCAGGGAGCTAGTGCAGGCAGCCGGTCTGAACGCCGCCAGCATATCAACTGCAAAGCCAAAAGATACCCTCTGGGTCGACCGCTACCGCCCCAAGCGCTTCACTGAATTGCTAGGGGACGAGCGCTTGCACCGCGAAGTCATGGCGTGGGTGAAAGAATGGGATCCGTGCGTGTTTGGCGTGCGCAAGAACAAGAAGAGACCGCGGGACGAGGAGGAAACTTACCTTCCTCCAGACCCGTTTCATCGCCCACGAGAAAAGGTGGGCAAAGCCTTTGACCTGCTGCTTTGTTGGACAACGACGATTTGATACCACCTAATCAGATCCTATTATTGTCCGGTCCACCTGGTCTCGGCAAGACGACGCTGGCGCATATAGTCGCCAAACATGCCGGCTACAACGTCTTTGAGATCAATGCTAGGTGCGTCAAACAGACTATCTGCTTACGTTCGGCCTAGCTGAAGGCGCGGCCCACAGCGATGCTCGCTCTGGACAAGTTGTGGACGACCGGATACGCCCTGCTGCAGAAGCTGGTTTCGCCGTAGGAAGCGCCAAGCCCAACTTGATCGTGATAGACGAGATTGACGGTGCAACGGGCGGAGGGGATAACGTGAAATCTACTTTTTCTCCCTTGGAAGGCACTCGGATTGACGTTCATGGCAGGCTGCTGGGTTCATATACAAGCTCACACAGCTCGCGATGGAAAGGCCTCATCAAGAGCGTCCGTGTCAGATGATATTGTCTTAACCGCTCATCTCCTCACGATTCATTCTAGGCAGAGGCAAGAAGAAAGACCCCAAGGGGAAACGGCCGCTCCTGCGCCCCATTATCTGTATCTGCAATGACCTCTATGCGTCGTCTCTAGCAAAGCTCCGCCCGCTCGCGCGCATCGTCCGTTTTACACGGCCGGCCGATGTACACGTCGTCAGGCGGCTACGCGACATCTGCGAGAGAGAAGGTCTCAAAGCAGACTCCCGTGCGCTGTCGACCCTGGTCGGCGTCGCCATGGGCGACCTGCGTGGATGCCTGAACACTCTCCAGGTGAGGCTTTTGGCGTCTGGAATGCCGAGGGAGCGCCGCGCTGACCTCGTCTCGTATAGTTCATCAAGGCGCGAAATCAGGACGTCACGGAGCCGCTGATCCGCACGGCGACGAAGGGGATGAAAGAGGCCGACTCGTCGCTCACGAACGCCCTGAATAGCCTCTTCCTGCCCATGACCAAGAGGCGCGTCAAAGAGCTGGGCGTCAACGAAGAGGAAGGAACCAAGTACGTCGACCGGATCTGTCGCGAGCTCGAGGGCAGCGGCGCCCTCGACCGCGTCGCGCTGGGTAGGCGTCTGCCCACATACACCGCATCTCGACCGGCGCGCTGACCCGGCTGCTGGCGTGTTCGCAGGCTGCTTCGAGCACTACCCGAGCTTGCACCGGCACGACGCGACGTTCGCGCGGTACATCAAGGCGGAGGAGTGGCTCGTCGCGTACGACATGCTCTCCGGCTCGATGCGCGCCGAGCGCGAGTATGCCCTCTTACCTTACCTCGCGTACACGCTCGTCGCGTTCCACCCGCTCTTCCAAGAGCGCGGCGGCGCACGCGTCGAGCGGCCCAAGGCGGATTGGGAGGTCAGTCGCCGTTGTCCTTCCCACCCGCACCCGAAAAGTATTGACAGAGTTGCGCCGCAGAACCACATGCGCACGCGCGCGAACGAGGAAATCGGCCGCGCGCTCGCGCTTGCGGTGCGTGCGGGCAACGGGCACCTCGCCGGCCACCACCGGCACCTCGTCAGCGGCGACGTCCTGCACCTCGAGTTCGCGCCGTACATCAACCGCATCATCGCCCCGCCCCTCCGCCCCGTCAGTCTCTCGTTCGCCCGCCGCTAGCCACGCGCCCCACTGACCGCTCGTGCAGGTGAACAGCCAGGTCATCCGGCCGGAGGAGAAAGCCGTGCTCGCGCGCCTCGTGGGCATCATGGTCTCGCTCGAGCTGCGCTTCGTGCAAGAGAAGGCCGAGGACGGGCAGCTCGTGTACCGGCTCGACCCGTGCGTCTCTCTAACCCCCCTGCCCTGCCCTGCCCTCTACCCCCAACTCCGCACACCGCACAACCACTGACTAAACGGGCACTCCGATGCGCGTCGAACGGTTCTCCGGCGCCGCTGTCCTTCGCCTCGTGAACTCGTCCTGATCCGCCTTCGTCCCGTGGCGCAGGCCGATCGACGTGTTCGTAACGTACGACGGCAAGCGCGCGATGGACATCGCCGCCTCTCGGTACGCCGTGCGCCATCTCGTCGCAGCCGAGGTGCGCACCCATTTCCCCCCTGTCCTCCCTTTCGGTGCTACGCCGACCACGCCTCGCCCGGCCCCCACAGATCGACGCGCAGCTCATCGCGCGGCAAGCCGAGTCCGCAGAACGCAACAAGGCCCAAGCGAGCAGGAGCTTCTTCGGCGCGCGCTCGGGGTGCGCCGCTCGCCTGCTCGCCCCCCCTCTCTCTCTCATACACACGCTGACTCCCCTCCTCCGCCTCCAGGAACGTGGTCGAGGACGCAGAAGGCGACGAGCCCGGCGAGGGCGACATCGAAGGTGGCCTGCTCTCGCACAGCGCGCTCCCCACCGAGGACGCCGCCAGGGCCCGGCCACGCAAGCGCGCCAAAGTCTCCGCCGCCGCCGCCTCGATCGACATCGCAGACAAGGTGCGCATCCACAGACCGCCGACTCTATAAACCCCTCACTTCACACATCCATCCACGCCCCCACCCCCCCACATTTCGCTGACGCCTTTTTCGTCCTCCCCCCCTACAAGCCCCCGGTCGACTTCTTCGGCCGCCCGATCGCCGCGACGAGCAAAAAGGCACCGCCGTCCCGCCGCGGCGCCATCAAGTTCAAAGTTCGCGGTGCGCCCAGCTCTGCTGGCGGCCCCGGAGCAGGCACGGCCACGGCCACGGCGGGCACGGTGAGCACGGAAACGATGACGGAGGCGGTGGCGGTGGCGGCAACGACGACGACGACGACGACGACGTGCAGGGTGTCGTACAAGTTCAGAGAGGGCAACTCCGCCGCCGTGCGCAAGCCCGTCAAGGTGGCGTCCTTCCTGTAGCCCGGCGGCGTGCGCGGTGCGGCGCGGCGCGGCGCAGAGAAGGGACGCGCCGGCCGCTCGAGACGACATTTGCTCCCTACGTATGAAACACGCGTGCGACGATGCGCGCCTTTGAAATCTCCGACGGCGTGCCGCGCGCACACGTGCGCGAGAGTGCGAGATCGCGCGGGTAGGAGGTATACAGTACATATCAGTATCGATAAATACGCATGTACGGGTACGGGCTGTCTATATGTACCGAATGCACCGAGTGTATCGCGTAACGGGGTAACGGGTACAGGACCAAGAACTCGCGATGCGTCGCGTGGCGGCGCATCGCAGGGTCGTAAACAAACTGCTTCTGCTTCTGCTTCTGCTGCTACTGCAGACAAAAAAGAACAAAGAAAAGGGGGGAAGAAAGCCCGACCTGGAGCGGCCTAGAGCACGTATCTGAACTCCCGATTCTGTCTATCCGTGAGGTCCAAAAACGCCCTGTCGACGCGGCGCTCGACGGTCTTTCCGTCCGCGTCCGCCTGCGCGACGTACACCTCGTCGAACCCGTCCTCGTCCCCGTCGCCGCGCGCCGCGCGCGCGGCGCGCTCGCGCTCGCGGGTGCGGTTCTCGCGGGCGAGGACGGCGCGGGCGAGGAGGAGGAGGACGGCGGAGGCGAGGGAGCAGGCGGAGATGACGGCCCAGGGAACGTGGTTGCGCGGCTGGTAGCGCTTTTTCCACATGAGGGGCCCGACGGCGTTGCCGAGGGCGTAGCCGACGAGGACGGTCGCGTTGGTGGTCGTGCCTGCGGAGGCGCGCGCGTCACGGGCGGTCACGGACGAGCGGGGAAAACAGAAAGGAGGGACGCACGTTTTGTGTGACCGGCGGTGACCGAGGAGACCCAGCCGAGCATGAGGGCAAAGGGGACGATGCCAAAGACTGCAGACGGCGCGGTGAGCGCGGGCAATCGACACATGGCAGCGGAAGAGGACACGTACTGGAGAGCCAGTAGGAGAAGAGGAGGCCGATTTTTTTGTGTGCCGGGAGGGTGTTGACGAGGATGGAGCCGAGGATACAGGGCAGGAACATGGCCAGGGCGGAGTACGCGCGGGCGTTGGGCCGGGACGAGGCGAGCGTGACGCCGAGCCAGACGACGAGCACTGTCGGTGTCGGGGGTCAGCCGGGGCCGGGCCGGGCCTGGACGCTGGACGGAAGGGGACATGGACGCACTCTCAACGACGCCGTCGACGCACCCGATCAGCGTCGTCTGGATCGGCGTGAACCCAAACTGGCTCACGATCAGCTGCCGCTGGTTCGTCAGCTGCGCGTCCCGTCGTGGCGTTCAGGCGTCCGAAGCGCGAGTCGGTCCATCCAGTGAGTCGAGTCGAAACGCGACCGAATGTGGAATGCGGGAGCGTGGTGAGGATCCCGCCGCGAAGGCCCGCACGCGACAAGCACGGACGCACCGAGTTGAGGATGTTCGACAGAGCCGCGAAGACTGCGAACAGCCACGTCTTGGGGTCCTGCAGGGTCTCCACAAACCTGGCACCCGCGTTCCCCATTCCAGCCGCAGCGAACGTCACCGGCGCGCGCGCGACACAGATAACGGCGCATGCGACGCATGCAGCAAGTCCACACACACGCAAGCAAGTCCGAGGCACAAACACAAGGGGGTACAACACAGGTGTCACGGTCAGATCGCGCGCACAGCGCACACGCGCGGGGAGACCGAGGAAAAGGAAATGCACGCACTGCTCGCGCTTGAAATGCTTGTTCTCCACGCCCGCCTGGTTCACCCGGATGCGCCGCACCGCCCACACGCGCTCCTCGGCCGTCAGGAAGCGCGCGGTCGTGGGCGAGTCCGGGAAGAAGAACCAAAACAGGACGGACGTCGCGAGCGTGATGAGCCCCGTCACGATCATCAGCCTGCGTGTGCAGCGTGAAGACAAGGTGTCGGCCGTCAACGGTGTGCGAGAGAGAGCGGCGAGAGAGCGGCGCACCATTGCCAGGGCATGAAGCGCCCCGTGTGCGTGTGCAGCACGCCAAACGCGACGAACCCGAGCACGATCACCGCGAGCCCGTTCATCAGGACTGCGCACACGCCCTCAGCACACATACACACAGCGCGCAACGGACAAAGGACAGCCACGCACACCAATATCCGACCCTTCGCGTCTGCTCTGCGCGCGTGTAGAACATCGCGGTCACCAGCATGAACCCGGGCGTGATCGCGCCCTCGCACGCGCCCATGATGAACCGCACCGCGAACAGCGCGCCGAACGACTTGCACGCCGCGTGGCACAGCAGCGCGACGGCCCACACGAAGATGTTCGCGCTGCGCGGGTCCCCCAAAGACGTCGGTCAGAGCTGCCGGCCGCCGCGTGCGAAAGAGACGCGAGACGCGAGACGCGCGCACCTCATCCATTTTCCGACGGGCAGGTACTGCAGCGCGAGGTTCTGCGGGTACTGGAACACGAGGAAGGAGAGGTAGAAGATGGTCCCGAGCCAGTTGAACTGGTTCTGCGTCAGGTGTGCGCCCTGGCTGCGAAGCGGGGGGCGTGTCAGTCTCTCTGCCGAATGCGGCATGGAAGCGCGTTCGGCGGGACGTACTAGATACCAAGGATGGCACTCTGGCCGAGCGTCGTCTTGTCCGCGAAGACCATCCTGGCGCAGATGTGAGCGAGTCGGATCGATGGGGATAGAGAGGACAGGCACGACGTACATGTAGAGCACTGTGGGATCGGCGGGGTTATGACGACGTCAGGATGGGCATCTTTGACGAGGGAAGAAGGGAAGGGAAGGGAAGGAGAGGCGGGCGGAAGCGAGTAGAGCTACGCACGGCACATCAAAGGCATCAAATGCCAGTCGATCTTCCGCCTACCAAAGCCGACGCCAAGACGCATAAGTCAGTATCGGGGCCACGAACGCCCAACGCGGCGGGCAGGGGGGAAGGAAGAGAAGGCTCGCGGGGGACGGATCGGGGGGATCGAAGACAGCAGGCAAGCACGCACCGAAGGCGCGCGGCGGCGTCTGGGGCGAGCGCGGTGCCGGGGTCGGAGCCGGCGGTGAGGGCTGCGGCGGTGTCCACCGCGTCGGCAGAGAGGACGGGGACCTTGGCGGTCGTGGCGTGTGCGAGGCTCGCGGTCATGGTCGCCTTTTCGACGTCTTGCTCGTGGTCATTGGGGCTCGAGAGCTCGCTGCGGGTCGAGGCGCCCATGGCGGGGGTCGCTGCGGGTCGTGGGTGTCGTCTGGAAGGTCGTCGGGGTGCAGGGCGCGAGGTGCGGGCGCTCGAGGCTCAGGGCGGGGGCACCTGGGCAAGGCTGGGGGGGAGACGCGGGGGAGCACATGTTTGAGCGCGGGTGGGAGGTTTATAAGGCAGGGCGATCGAAGGTTTCAGGAGCGGAGGGCTGGACGGGATTGCGGGCTCGGATGGGACAGCTGGCCACCTGCTGGGACTTGGACTCGGCTCGCGCTCAGTTACGCCTGCGATCACATCCCTCCCTCGAGGCATCGTAGGACGGGTGCACGGGCGCCTGCGAGGCGTAGTCACGTCTTTGGAGGTGCTGATGGCATGGGCAAATCGCCTGTGCTTGCCGGCCGCACTCGTGCCCACGGACGCACCCTCTTCCCATACCGCACTGCACGGGCGCGCAGAGTCCAGATGCGGAGACATTCGAAGGTGCCCCCATCGAGCCCCACCGGCGGCCGCAGGAAAATGGGTCTCGCCAGATCCGCCGGTTGAACGACGCCTCGGGCTTCAGACAGCCTCTCGATCCCGCTGAGACTCGCGGCTCTGAGCTAGTCTGAGCTGTCCTCCAAGTGTGGTGCGCGCTGCCGCCTGCGGCTGGCGTCGGTGTGCCCGTCGGTGCTTCAGTTTTGCTGCCAGGAGCTAGAGTGACGTCGAACGCGGCTGCGTGGGCCTCCGACGCTTCTCAGTCGACGGCCTTCTCAGAAGAGATAGGCTGGCCGAGACTGCAGAAAGGCTTTCCATTGCGCGACGTATGCCATTGCGCGACGTATGCCATTGCGCTCCGAGTCGGTGAGACAGGTGCCGACACAGACATGGCACGAGTCGGTGCGCCACGAGCAGATGCGCATAGGCTCACGTTGTATTGGAGAGGCGGTCTTACTCGTTCCAGGATTAAGGGACTCGCTTCGGCGATCGCGATGCTGCCCGAAGGACTCTCAAAGGTGCGGGTGCCTTGTACGTACTGTTGACCATGCCCGATATGCTTCCACACTTTCCGCACACTTTCCGATCGCAAAAAATGGCGGACCCACAAGTATTTATGAATCTCTCCCTTGTTCTCTCCTCGTCTCGCCTCCTAGTATGCATTGTCTATATTTGACCACATTCACAGCTGCTACCGCGCGCGCACAGGCCATATCGCCGAATCATAGAGTAGCTCATGATAATATCATGATCAGCGACGACGCTATAGGCTCGGCACCTTGATCAACATCGAAATGAGCACCCGTCCCTTGATACGAGCCGTCGACGCATCGTTACTCCCGCCATCAAGCTATTCAGAGCTATTCTGGTGCTATTCTTTCATACATCCGAGGTGCAGATCGGCAACGTGCGCCCACATAGCCTCCATGATGGAAATTTTCGCATCTCGCGGCCTTGTTTGATTTGTTGTTGGCGTCTTTAGCTGTTTTGAGCCTGGCTGGTCGAGTCGCGGATTCATGAGCTCTAAGATTGGGAAGATTGACTGGGATGATCCGACGTGGTGCCGACTATGGCTCCGAAAGGGAGAGCTGCAAGGATCTGTGTAACAAGTGGACAGCAGTCCTGCTGCTTGAGAGAGTACACGGGGCCACTGTCGACGGGCCAGAGCCGGATGCCGGCGGCATGTGTCAGCAAAGGGATTTGACCGAATCGAGACATCTGGAACATGGTGGTGGCCTGCAGTGGCCTGCTCGCGAGAAATTAGAGAAAGCTGTTGGCCATGTCCCAGTCCCAGTCCCAGTCCCAGTCCCAGTCTCAGTCCCAGCCCCAGTCTGATCCCACGGCGTCGAAGGAATGGGTGCTCGAGCCCGAGACTGAGTACAGGTTCGAACTGGACCCCGGCACGTCCGTCGCGATCAAGGCAAGTCCCATCCGCTCGTCGCTCGTCGGGCGCGCGGCTGACCTCGAGGAGGAGGACAGCTCGCGGATGGCCAGGCGGAGGTCTTCGGCGCCGAGCTCGTCGAGGGCAAGACGTACCTCTTCGGCCACGAGTGCAAGGCCGCCGTCTTCTCGTGGCAAGGCTGCACCCTCCAGATGAGCACCTCCCTCTCCCTCGCCGTCCCCGCAGCCCCCGCCGACCGTGTCTTCACCCCACGTCGTAGGCCACCCCTCCACAGAATATGTATCCGAGGAGACGCCCATGCACGCCTACGCCAACGTCCACCTCGCCCTCGAGTCCATGCGCGTCCGCGCCCTCCGCGCCCTCCACGGCTCCCCCGTCCTATCCCCCGCACCCGCACCCGGCCGCAGCAGCAGCGGTGACACGGAGCGCGCCGACCCGCCGCGCGTGCTCGTCCTCGGGCCCGAAAACTCGGGCAAGACGAGCGTGTGCAAGATCCTCGCCAACTACGCCGTGCGCGCCGGCCAGGGCTGGGCCCCGATCTACGTCAACGTCGACCCCGCAGAGGTCCGTCTCGCCCCCGCTTCCTCACCTCCTCGCGTGCACTCACCCCACGCGCGGCACAGGGCGGCTGGGCCGTCCCCGGCGCGATCTCCGCCGCCTCCGTCCCCGGGCCCATCCCCACCGCGACCCCCGCGAGCCCCCTCGGCTCCGCCGCGACCAGCGCGCCGACCGTGCTCGCCTCCAACGCCCTCGTCCCCCTCGCCTACTGGTACGGCCACCCCGAGATCCGCCGCAACCCCCTCCTCGTCGACCGCCTCGTCCGCAACCTCGGCGAGAACGTCAACGACAGGCTCGAGGCCGACCCCCAGGGTGCGTCACCCCGCCTCTTGCATCGCGGGAGATCTTTTGGGCTTCTTGGGGTGGCCTCGGTCGCTGATCTGCGACGTGGTTAGGGAGAGCGGCGGGCGTCATCGTCGACACCCCGTCCTCGTTCGCCTCTTCTTCTGGCTCCGCGAGCGCCGACCACCGGTCGATGCTCATCAAAGCCTGCGTCGACGCCTTTCGAAGTACGTCCCTCCTCCCGCACGACGGGCCCGCGCGCACTCACTCCAGGCGCCCCTTGTCATACGTGCACATGACCACGCTCGCTCGCCGCACACGGCGCAGTAAACACCATCCTCGTCGTCGGGCACGAAAAACTCAACGTCGAGATGCAGCGCGCGTACGGCGACCGCATGACCGTCGTCAAAATCCCAAAATCCGGCGGCGTGCGTCCCCCCCCCCTTCTTTTTCTTTCTTTCTTTCTTTCTTGGCCGCTGCCGTCCGCATACAGCTGACCCTCGCGCATGCGCGAACGCAGGTCGTCGAGCTCGACGCGTCCTACCGCCAGCGCGTACACACCTACCAGATGCACCACTACATGTACGGGCCCCCGCTCGTGCCCCCGCCCGGCGTCCCGTACGGCACCGCCTCCGCGGGCGGCGAGACCGCGCTCGACATGCACCTCGCCCCGAGCAGCTCCGTGATCGGCTTCGACGAGCTCACGATCTACCGCATCGGCGAAGGTGCGCGCTCTTTCGATCATCGTCACATCCTCGCTACTGACGCGACGCGACCCGACGCGACCCCGCGCAGAATCGATGGCGCCCTCTTCGGCGCTGCCCATCGGCGCGACGCGCACCGTGTCCGAGATGCAGCCCGTTAAGATCGACCCGGCGTCGCACGCCTCGGGCCTGCTCAACGCGGTGCTCGCCCTCCTCGCGCCGCCGTACCACGACGACGAGGCGGAGCGCTATGACGAGGAGGTGCTCGACCTGCACGTCGTCGGGTTCCTCGCCGTGTACGTCCACCCGCCCTTCCCCTTTTCCCCCCGTTTCGGTGGCTGATGCGGAGGCTCTCGCGCGCACAGGACGAGCGTGGACGTGCCAAATCGGCGGATGACGGTTCTCTCGCCGAGCCCAGGGTCGTTCGCGGGCCGCACGGCGGTCATCGGCTCGTTCGAGTGGTCCGAGCAGTGAGCCGCGAACCACAAACAAAATACAGACGTACAAAATACAGTTGGTATAAAATATCGAATAAGTTTACGCTTGTCCCATACTCTACTCTTCATAATCTACACCCGCGCCGACGCCTGTTCTTTGCCGATGGCCCGAAGCAGATCTACGTTACGTCCAGACCCAGTTCCTCGGCAAGATAGTCGCGCTCGCCGCATTCGCCTGGCCCCTCGCAGTCATGATCGTGGAAGTCGACGATGTGTACGTTCTCCACGTCGCCGACGAGGATGTTCCTGGGGCTGAGGCGGTCGTGCCACACCCCGGCCCGGTGCAACGCGAGCGCGGTCTCGAAGATCGCGTGTCTGGACCGAGCGTGAGCACGGGAGGCCGCGCGCACCGCACGGCGCAGGCGGGGCGACTCACCTGATCCTGTCCTCCACGTCGAACGTCTCGAGGCGCCGGCCGACGTCGTCCATCAGGAGCGCCGTCGTGCCTTCCGCCGCGGTAGTGCGCGACGAGGTCCGGCCCGCGCGGGCGCGGGTGCTTGTACACGCGCAGCCTCTCGCCGTGCTCGTCGGTGCTTGCCAGCTTCAGGACGACGCGGCGCCGTCCACCGGCGCCGGGGTCGGTGCTTCGAAGATCGCCGGACCAAACCCCGTGCAATGCACTGGAATCCATGCGCGTGTCGAGTAGCACGCCTACTGCCTGAGTGCCGCCGGAGGGGGCGATCACTGCGACAGCGACGGCGGGGTCGCCGTTTAGTTCTCTAGTCGAGAGCCGGGCGAGAACGGTGCAGTGTAGATTACAGGTAGCTCCAAGAGAAGCGAGCGTGAAGGTGCTGGTATCGCGACATCAGCGCGAGAATAAGAAAGGTCGATGATGGCTGACAGCTGCTGCACCGCTCTTTTCGATAGATGTGCTGGGGACACCGAGCCCCGAGTCTGTCTTTGTCCGTTTCGGCTGTGGTTCGCTGTTTCGGTCGTTACCCTCTCGCTTGTTGTTCACCTTCGTGGGATCCGGGGATTGTTGCTCCTTGCTGACTTGCTGCCTCTGCACAAGGTTGTCGTAGGCAGCATGCACGAGTCCAGGCAGGATAAGAGGAGTTTGGGGATCGTCGCAGGCGAACAACGGGGATATAGAAGCGCAGCGATGTTCACGGTGCCGGCGCATAACCCAAGTGACCGAAAACGTGCTCACGCATTGATAGGTCAAGTCGTGGCGGCACATGTGGCCCCAGGCCTGCGCACATATATGTCCTTAGACGTCGCATTTCTTCCCAAGGAACCATGGGACCACTCACCTTTAGAGTCACATACACGGCGTTCTGCACCCATTCGACGACCTCGCCCTTGAGCTCACCTTCGATTCCGAGAGCAGCGCACCTCACCTCGATCGCCGCTCAAACGTCACGAATGGGCCGCATATATGCTGGTGCACTAGGCGCATTCTGGAGGTGGCCCTTGCTGAATCGCTGAGACTGCACGACGGCGTCAGGTGGCGACGTACTCCTTCGTCCACTGCACCGCCGCCTGGAGCTCGGCTGGAGAGGTCCCGGCAGGCGCGCCAGCAGAGTCCGGACCATCCGCCGGCACCGGTGCATCTTGGAGGCCCGCGCGAGGGCTCTCGAAGAGGACGCAGTCCTGGCAGGTGGAGACTGGAGCGGGCCCTGAGGATCGCCGCAGACAGACGTGAAGACCAGGAGGGCCAAGTACATGCGCGGGTCTGCCGCCAGAACGTTCTTGACTTCGAAGGCGAGGAATGGCTTGCGAGGGGACGTAGCAGCATGGACCAGACCAAGACGCAGCAGCTCGGGTCTCAGGACCACAAGGTAGTTCGCTTTGCTCCCGGCTTCTCTGGACGGGCGAGAGCTGAAAGCCAGCTGAGTTCGTTGACTATGATGTAGCCCCAGGGCTTCTTGTGTATCGATGAGATTGAGAGACGCGAGGCAGAAAGCCTCGCGAAGAAAATCATATACTCCAGTGGCCACCGTGCTTTCATCATACTGTGGATCGGCACCGGCGTCATCATAAAAAAGCCGGTAGCTGATAGGTGAGGGACCACTGGATTGGTGGTTGAGCGGAGGTGCTGTACAAGATCTTGTTTTTCTGAAAGAGACGTAAGAAGAGATGCTATGAAATTGTCATTCATGCTAGGGTCAATGCGAACGCGCTCCAGGCGATGACTGGGAGCAATATGGTCATCATATACAGAAGGGGGTCGTGTGCCAACGGAGGTTGTATGTTCAGGAGCAATCTCGAAAGAGGACAAGGTAGGCAATTTATCGAGTATGAAGCGGGATACTAGTTGCTTGTCAGAGTCTTCTGTTGGCGCCGGTATAGTGAACGACGGACGTCGTATTCACGCGACGTTCAACGAGGTTTCAAAGTAATTTACGTGCCCAGGAGTTCCCATGCATGTGTGTACATGGGCCCAAACATCGCTATCGACTAAGTTAATAGTATCGGCGGCCCTGAAGTATGCTCAGAGCACCCTCGCCGGCCCTCCAGTGCCCTTGCCACTATAAATCTGTGCCAACAACCCCAACACACCGCCGTCCGCCACTTCCTCCTCCTCCTCCTGCATCGACAGCCCCGGCGCCACCGCCCTGCCTCTTCGTGCCGTCCCATCGACGTAGGACTCGCCCAGCGCACTCCCAACGCCTCCGTCCACCGCGCGGTCCTCCAGCGCGATCTCTTCGCTCCCTCCGCTGCCCCCGCGCAGTCCGGCCGGCGCGATACTCCCGTCCGAGTCGCCCAGCACCGCCGTCTGCGCCATTGCCATCCCGCCGATTGTCGACTGGAAAATCGTCGACGCGCCCGGCTGGCTCTGGCCCATCCCAAGCCCACCGTTGGCGCTCGAGTTGAGCAGCACGGAGCCCGTCCCGAATCTGCGCCGTGCGACGGCAGCGCTCTGGCTCTCTTGCAGCGCGCGTTCGTATTCCTTCGCACGTGACGCGAGCTGCTCGTCGGTTCGTAATGTTGCAGCGAGGTCCTGCTGCTCTAGCGGTGGAGGAGCAGGGGGTGGCTGTCGCCGCCGCGCGGTGAAGTCCGCCATGCGGCTCAGGTAGAGCGAGCCCGAAGGATCGCTGGGAACCCATTCAGGGTGCGCGGCCTTGAAGTTGAGGAAACTCTTCTCCATCTTGCCCTCGTTAGACATGAGTCGTTTGTCTTTGACTTCGGTGGGTGCTCCGAACTTGGTGCAGAGCATCAGTGGAGGGAATGAGGGCGAGAAGAAGGGGACACGTACCTTGACATTCCCATGCCGTTGGAAATCAAAAACGGCAAAGCTGCACACAAAGCCAAGCCCATCGACGTGGACCGTAAACTCACGGAAGAAGTCGATGATGGCGGGTGCGCATTCAGGGAGGGAGAACCAGAGGATGAAGGGAGTCAAAACAACCGAAATGAGCTCCTTCGCAAACGTGACGATTTTCATCGCAAACAGCTCTCCAAACGACTGATGGACCTAAACAACACCACTTGTCCGTTAGTGACAAGTCAATCGTGAGCAAGCATTATTTACCTTCTTCGAATGCAGTTGGTTCTTCCACTCGTCCGGCATATAATGCGTATAGTTTACGACTTCCATCATGAGCATCTCCGAGTCAAACACCCTGTTGTCCTCCGGGATCATCCCCCGCGCAACGGCGAGCACACCACCGAACAGGCTGATATAAAATATCACCGTGCGGTGTGGAGTGATTTCAAGTTGGAGGAATATGTCTGGATCGAGGACGGATGCCAAGAGGAGGACGGCCGCGAATGAGCCCGCGACGAAGGCGACAAATCTGGAAATGGGCCAAGTATATTGTCAGCTTTTTCGAAGTCGCGCAAACCCTGGATATGTATGTATACCTCATGACGATAGCGACCTTCTCGTTCGGAAATTGGCCGATATACATGTTGGCAGTTGGATATGATTCGTCGAGTCTGCGCGTGAATAAATGCGGTAACTCGTTGAACTCCCGAAACTTCCATTGTGCGAAGGGTGTATATGCGCGTCCCCCGATTGAAGATGGGTTCTTGTGATACTCCTGCAGGACCACAATGAGATATCAATGAGAATGATGGAGGAACGAGACATGCTTACCTCGAAGTAGCGGAAGAATGAGTACATGAGAAGATAGAGTACAATGAATGGTGCAAAGATAGCATTTAAGATACCCATGAAGATGAAGCGTCTCCTCAACCTTCAAGCCCGCTCAGCCCGCAGGAATAGACATGAAAACATAGATCGTACTTACCCCTCTATCAACGCCGCCCGATTCTTGCTCTTCAAAAACACCTTTCTGACTCTGCCTCTCTGGTCAAACAGATACTCCATCAGACAAAACCGCAGATTCCACTCCAGCGCCCGCGTGAGGGTACGCCCCTTGCCCTCTTCGGGAGCGACGATGCGCTCGAGGCCCGCGGGAAGCGGCACACGCAAGTCAAGCACCTCCTTGTTGAACAACGCGATGAGAAAGTTCTCTTGGCGCATGATGCGGTTCGCGATGTCGTGCGCGTCCAGCTTCGCGCCGTCGGTGTCGCGCGGCCGCGAAGACAACGCAGTAAGCGGATTTGAATCACGGATGGCCGCGATGCGCCGGACAATTTCGGGCCAGGATATTGTCTGAATATCTTCCTGTGAAGAGTCAAAATGTCAGAGATTGATAGATGCGGAAGCGGGACGGACGGACGTCTGGAATGCGGAGGAGGTAAGTGTAGAAGCGGTACATGTCGACGAGTCGCATGGTGCTCGATACGAACGAGGCTATCTGCCAGAGATAAAAGGCGCAAAACAGGAGGAAGAAGAGGAGCGTGAACCCGGAAAATCTGCCATGACCATCCATTGAGACAAAATGCGAGGAAACAGATGCCTTCGCCAACTACTCACTTCGAGACACATCGGTCGACGACGACATCTGACAACCGCGTCACCCGCTCGGGTCGAATCCGCGAATAATCCACACATCGCAACAGAAATGTCGAGAAGCTAATGACAAACCCGACTGTGCTGCGAACCCGAACATCAGTACACCGCCCAACCACACGTACATGCAAAGAAAGACGACGGCACCGACAGAAGATTCAGCCCGCGGGCGAGCGCGATGGAGTATATGCCCTTCCCCTCGTAGTAATAGTATACCTCCTGCAGGAACGCGTCCAGATTATACACGTTGACCCAGTTCCATAGTGCGCGCTCGTACGCGTCGAGTCCCGGCATCTGTCGCGGGGGCTGTGTCGAAGGTGGGGAAGGCGGGGATCGCGCGTGGTCCGAGTCAAGCTCTGACGGCCGCGGGGGCACCGACATCCGCGTAACGTCCACACCGCCGACAAACATCGGCAACGATGGAGGGCCGCGCGTCTCGCGTTCCTTGCCCTTCCCCAGCCGCGACGGGTTCGGCGGCACCGAGGGCTGTGGCGGCCTGCGCGCGCTCGGTGCCTCGATCATGAAGCTCTGTGGGACCTCGTCGTCGGACTCGGACTCCTCATGTATCTTATCTTCGTAATGGATGTTCGGGCGGAGCACGCTCGTCTCGGGCTTGAGCGCCCACCGCACACTGTGCCGTGGCTGCGCCTCGAGATCATCGACGTCTAGGTCATTATCATGTGCACGCGTGCGGGTGCGGTCGTCGACATCTTCGTCCTCCTCGAGGAGGGATTGGTTCGCGGCGGCGTACCCCCGATATGTATGCCCGAGGGGGTTTATCGTGTTGAGAAATGGGCGGGAGCTTGCGCCAGGTGCATAAAGGGACTGTTGAATTGAGCGGGAGGCAGAAAGGGGCCGTGAAGATGTGCGGCGATGGGGAGGGGAGGTCATGGTGGTTGGAGAGGAAGAGGCGCGTCGGAGCAGAGAGCTGCAGCACCCAAGACGTAACAGAGCCGCCTCCACTCACCACCTGTCCTAATCAGGCGCTCACACCCCTCTAGTAGATGCTCAAACAAGATGCACTGGAATTGGGGAGTAGAATACAATGGATGCTAAATGTAGGAGACACGTCCGCAGGATCGATGATCGTACAAAAGGAGAAAAACGGATGAGGGGAGAAAACGTGGATAGAAACCCGCGACCCAGACGACTAGGCAAGGACAAAAAGACGACGCCGATCCCTGACTCTAGACTAAATGATGAACGATGATGAAATGAAAATGAAAACAAGTGGACACTATGACGGGGTAATATGGGGTGAGTGAGCGGTAAGATGGACCAATATTTTATGCGTGGTTGTAGTGTGCGAGGGACCAAAAATACGGACCACAGAAAGAAAATTGAGCAGAGCATGCCGTCACCGATATTCTTGGACTAGCTCTTCAAGCCGTTCGACCACTTCCGACATCGTGGGTCGGTCTTGATGGTCTTGCGCCCACATGTGCTCTACGAGTTGCACAATTTCGGGGCAATATTGTTTGCGCAGCCCTGCGAGGGAAGGCCTAAGGTACGCAGAAATTTAGATACACCAGCGAACACGAACACGAACACGGCTCGGACGCACCGTTGATGTTTTGCACCCACCGCCTCGTAGATGGCATGTTCATTCATACCCTGATAGTCAGTGTTTAACGACCGCTCTCAGGCCTGTCAAAGAGGACCCGTGCACTACTCACCTCCCAAGGGAACTTCTTATTCGGCAGATGCCACTGCAGCATCTCCCAAAACACCATCCCGCACGCGTACACGTCGACTTTGTGATTGTACTTTGGATGAGCGTGCCACAGCTCCGGCGCCTGCCAGTTGACCGTGCCCACTAGGCTACGGACCATCGATCGTGTCGACTGCTTCACCTTCGCGAGCCCAAAGTCCGCAATCTTCGCGATACCTTTGGACGTGATCAGGATATTCGACGATTTGCAGTCTCTGTGTATGACCGACGGCTTCCGCAAATGCAGGTACTCGAGCCCTCGCGCGATGTCCAGCATGATGCTCAACTGTTGTGACCCAGATTGGTTACACATGGATGATCAGCCGCGGGAGACAGACGATTGCACGTACGATGCGATAGAGCGAAGGCGGTGGTACATTCCGGACATAATCAAAGAGGTCACCGTTGGCGCACAGCTCGCTGACGATCATGACAGGCGTCACGCGTGTGTCTTCAGGTATGCTGACACCAAGCTATCGGGACATGCTATCTATGAGCGACAACTATGATCGAAGGTCAAACGACAGAACACGCACGAAACGGACGATGTTGGGATGGTTGAAGCCCCCCAGAAGCTTGAGCTCCTTGATATCCACTATTAAGAGCATCGCATCAGCATCGAGCCAAACATGCAACTTCGTCCCCTACTACTCACTCTCGCTAAGCTTTTCACGCAGCTCCGCAATGGCGACCTTGCGGCCCTTGAACTTGCCAATGAATACGTCCTTGAAGCCTCCGCTCCCGATTTTGTCAAGTTTAGTCAACTTGGCTGGGGGTATCTCACGGTCCTCCAGTCCCATGGCCTCGAGATCGAGCTCAAGCTCCTCCTCTTTCTGGCCCGAGTTCGACATGGGTGGAGTGCGCGGCTCGTCCTGGTGAACATGCTCAGAACGGAGTAGCACGGGCGTCGTCTGGCGGTCACCGTTGCTCCGTTTCCGACGCCCGTTCGCCCGAGGCCTGGTAGTTGAAGGCGGCCGTACGGTTCCGGTAGAAGAAGGTGAGGAAGCCTCAGTCTGACGGTCCCGCCATAGAAGCAAGGCTTCAGCAAGCTCAGGTTTAGTTCCTTCGACGTCGAGGTCCCTGTGTTCGCAGAGCCGAACAAGGTCATCACGGCGAAGCCGAACGAGGCTCTTCGCCGTTGCGATGGTGAGATCGACTGAGAAGAAACACCATCAGCTGATGGAGGGATCATCGAGAGGGCCTACTCACCATCCATGGCCTCGTCTACGAACTCGCTATCGTTGCTCGCGTTCGACTCTGACTCCGACTCCGTGTCTTCGGCTTCCAGGTCGATGTCCTCATCAATGGACATTTCTTCCACCGACTCTGCTTCCGCGTCTTCACTGTCCTCCGGGATGTCTTCTTCACCGACTATTTTCCCATTGCGCAGCTTCCGCGGCTCCACGAGCGTGGCATCGTCCTCTTCATCGTCCTCTTCCTCTTCCTCTATCTCGTCGACTTCCTCCTCTGCTTCCTCTACATCTCCTGCCTCCGTCTCCTCCTCTCCGTCTCCTTCCTCATCCTCATCAGACCCAACCTCTTCTCCCTCTCCCTGGTCCTCCTCTGCTTCCTCCTCATCGTCGCCGTCACTCGGAGGAGTGTATGTCTGAACTTGTCGAGGTCTCAGACGATGCCTCACGGGTGTGCGCAGTGGCGGAGGTGGAGGCGTCGGGGATTTACTCGACATCAACTCATCCACCTCTTCGTCCTCGTCCTCAACTTCACCCTCTTCCTCAGTCAACTCCTCTTGCATGTCGCTGAGCTTCTCTTTTACCTTGCGCTTAGGCGTGGTCCGCACTTGTTCATCACAGCTCTCGCGGCTTTGTCTATGGTGCTGAGACGGTGCCCGCTCACCCTGACTTCGAAGGCGCCTTGGACTGGGTGATACTGTCATAGTCACCGTTTCGGCCTCGGACTCAGATAGCTCTGTGAGCTCGCTCTCGTCGCCTGGTATTGTCATCCGAAATCCAACCTGTTTGCCCTTGCCTTTCGACTTGGCGGATTGCGACGACTTGGTGGATTGCGACGACGACGTAGAGGGTACGCTGGCGTTGTTTGTGCTTTCTCCTGAGACCTTGCGGGAACGAAGGCGTGTGGTCGGAGGTGATGGCAAAGATGAGGACGCAGCAGATGTTGTGGGTGATGATCGACTGGAACCAGCGGTGGGCCTTCGCCTTGCATATGCAAAGGTGAGCAAAAGTTGCACCAATCGCTCTTTGACACTCACCGATGGACTTGGGCGGGGACAATATCGTCAACAGGCAGATCTGTGATCCGAGTCACCTTCCTTGTATACGAATGGTCGTCCGCGGTAGAGTGATCGAGCTGGCCCATAGACAAACTTCTTTTGGCAAATTTGCTAGAGACACGGTTGAGATCAAACGCGGTGGCTCTTCGGCGTAATGCCAAAGTGCGGTTAGTACAACGTCCGCCAATGTCAGTCTCCTCGCCACCCGCGGCGTTACCGTCATCAGACGAGTAATCACTGGAGCCATCACGGCCGATAGGAGAGGAGGGTGGCAAAGACGCGATGTCATCTCGCGCGGCGACGATAGCGTCTACAATTTCTTGCTTGGTAAACGATTCTGCATCATGCGACAGACCTGTCGAGTGGTAGAGCTGCACGAGGTGATTTTTGCGCAACCGAAAGAGCTCACGAGAAGTCGCCTCATTGATAAGGTAATCCTCGGCTACAAACGCGTCAAAACCGTGTTGCAGACCAGAGGCAGAACAATACTGACAAGAATCCAGGTCGCCGTCATCGGGTTCCGAGTCGTCTGATGCCAGGGAGCTCCTAGGCTTGTCTACATCCATCGTACTCGCAACATCATCCTCGCTCGTCATCTCAGCATATGAATCTGACCTCTGCCTCTTCGACCGTCCACCCGCACGCGCTTTCCCCGCGCCGTGCGCGTTCTCAGTACCACTGATCGCGCGTTTCCGCTTGGACCCGATCTGGGGGGCCACAGGATCTGGAGCTATCCGCATGGATTCCTTTTCAGCAAGCGTGAGACGCGACGGCAGGCGTCGCAAGTTGAAGTGCAGAGGAGCCAGAGCGGGACGCGGGGTGCTGGCGCCTGAAGACGAAGACGCGCTCGAGGTGTGGGAACGAGTGAGAGATGAGGAGGAGGACTGGTGGAACTTCTTGACAAAGTCCAAGGCGCGTCGACGCGATGCCGGGGAGTGACGCAGTTGGTATCGCCGGTAAGAGGAGGATGAGGATGAGTTGGTTACGCCTGTCCTGTATGTGCGACGTTGAGCCATGCCAGTATGGGGTCCGCAAGTACGACAAGTGGCCGGTCAAAAAGGAGCGACGGCGCTGTGTAGAGTGTCCAGAGGTTCAAGGGAGTGTCGATGAGAGGATCAATGAAGGCCCTCGAGGAAATAATTGGGAGGAGCGCCGTTGCCGCTCTGGTCGTCGTCGAGGTTCAATTCACGTTTGTTTGGCTCCCTAACAAGGTCCAAACTCGGCACAAATACACGTAAATAACCGATCAATTACTGTGATGACGGCGTGACGGTCATGCCGTCACAGTACTCGTACATCGGCTGCAACACCCATCAAGGCCAGTCACGCCTCTTAATCACCTACAGGCTGTACTTATACGCTCTTCACTTCGTACATCTTCGATGCCCCCTCAGTTGTAGGCGGCTCTTCGCCGTAGATCTTCGCCACCTTGTACATTTTGATTTCCGCGGGGGGATCGGCAGCCTTGTCCTCCGCTCGTGAGGCAGCCTTCCCCTTCCCTTGTGTCTCGGCAGATGCTGCCGCTCCCACGCCCGCCTTGCTCGCCAGACTAGACGCCCGTCCATCAGGAATGTTAATGAATTCCCACTTCTTCCCTGCCTCGCCCTCAACGATGCCGTCAAAGATGTAATATCCCTTGCGTTCAAACTGGATGATGTCGCCCTTCTTGAGCTCCAACACGTTCGCGTCCGCCAGCGCGTCCTCGCGGAACTCCGTCACAGGCGTTACAAAGTCTTTGACGTCGTCACCCTCCTCGAGCTTCTTTTTTGTGATGATGTAGTCGTAGTCCAACAGAGTCGCCTCTACCAGGGGGTGCTCGGACGTGGGCTGGGCGAGCCAAGTTATCTTTTTCTTTGTCTTGCGGAAGTCGCCCTCGAGATTCAGCTCCATCGTGATGGCGGTCACCGCACCGGAGGCATCCGTCTCCTTGGAACGCACGATGGCATTGCCCCAGTCCATGAGAGTGATCTGTGCATGCAATCAGTATAGGTCTCGGATCTCAGCCGATCAACGACACATGCCTCTTCATTGTCATCGAACGACAAGGCGTCCTCTTGCTCCACTAATACAGAAGAGCTGTAAACTGTCTTCTTCTCGCCAACTTCAGGGTTCTTCTTGTGCTTAGGAAGAGCCTTGACCTCGATGGTGGAGGGTCCGCCAGTGATAGTGACAGGGACGCTATAAAATGCCGTCAACGAGTGGCACTCTCTGGAGACAAAGTCGTACGTACGGCTTATTTTTCAAGATCGACCAAAACCTCGGGGCGACTGGGTCAATCACCTTTTTATTCAGCGCCCAAATCGAGTCCCACTCCAGCGAGACAACAGCCTGACTCGGTCCCTGTGACAACATAAACTGCGTCAGGGCCTCGACCGTCATCCCCCTCCTTCGGATCCCGCGCACGGTGGGGAACCGCGGGTCATCCCAGCCGCGCACATGCTTGTTATCAACGAACCAATGTAGCTTGCGCTTAGAGAGGAGGGTATAGATGAAGTTGAGTCGGCTGAAGTCCCAGATGTTTACGGGGCGCAGCTTGAGCGCGGAAATCATCCATTGGTATTGTGGATTACGGTCGCGGTATTCATTCGTACGCAGCGCGTGGGTGACACCTTCTAAAGAGTCAACGATGGGGCATGCAAAGTCATATGTGGGGTAGATTTTCCATTTGTCCCTGAAGCGCAGGGTCAAAATGGACACCGAATGAATAACGCAATGAAGATTCATACCCTGTGCGATGATGAGGAAGAACATTGCAACGGTAGATGACAGGGTCGCGCATAGCCTTGTTGGGATTATCAACGCTGATCTTAGCGCGAATACACCATCGGAGACCCTCCTGCGTCCCCTTCTTCATTTCCGCGAAACGCGCAAGATTCTCCTCTACAGAAGCGTCGCGATTTTTTGAGGCAATGCCATGCATGCGCTCTTCGCGCATCTGAGAATTACAATGATTAAACAGAATGCATCAGCACCGGAGAGCAACGCACCTGGGCTTGTTCGGTATCATCCGCGTAGGCATTCCCCGACTCGATGATTTTGATGCCAAGATCATAAAGCTGATCGAAGTAATCCGAAGTATGGGAGATGCTATTGCCCTTAATGTTCAAGAGGCTAAGATCCTCGAGGATGGTCTCCTCAAATTCGGTCTGATCCAGGCGCCGGATGTCAGAGCATTTTCTAAATTCAGCTTAAAAGAAACGCACTCGTTCTTTTGACGGGTTGGTGTCGTCAAATCGGATGAGCATCTTGCCATTGTACATTTTAGCGAAATACTGGTTCAAGATCGCCGCCTTCGTGTGACCAATGTGCAGGTAGCCACTCGGTTCAGGCGGAAAGCGCGTAACCACTTCTCCCTCCTTTGCATTTTGGAGGCCGAGCGCGAATCCCGACGCTGTCTTTTGATTCGATCGAGCCTTGTTCGCCTTGGCTTCGTTCAACCCAGCAAGAGCAGCCTGCGTGGACTCCAGTGATTCGAGATGCGAGTGCCACCGGTTGAGATGTTTGTGTAAGTTGTTCTTGAGAAGACCGATGATCTTGATATTCCCTGATCACCGAAGAGAGCGTAAGTTGCGAGAGAGAGAGATACAAGGCTTGTGTACGGAACCTTTGATGGCACCCCAGACCATCCAATCTGCAGCAGTGATGTCATGACCAACCAAAAAGGTGCGATACCCGAGGTGATTGTCCAACGCATTCAAGGCAGCAATGATCTCGGGAACGGCAGTACTGGTGGAGAGGGTTTTCGCGAGTGCGAAGTACGCGGGTGTCTGATAGAACGATAAGATCGGAGCACAATGATCCATTTTGAAACACGGATACCTTTGAGCTGTCCTCCGCCAGTCCGCTAGCTTTAGCCAAAGCTTGGACGATCTGATCTTCAGCAGTGATACTGGAGCCTTCATGGTCGAAAGTGACCGTGGAGGCAGACTCCTCGTAGTTGACCTCGGCCTTTTGAGTGTAAGCCGCGGCCGCAATGGCTGCAAATGGGAAGGGCGTGGCCTTCGCAGACACGGTCAGGACGGCTGTCATGGTCGGGAGTGAACGAATGCTGCTTTGACTCGACTGCATGATAGACTCGACTCCGTGCATTCTTGATCGTGAGAAAATCTAAGCCCTAACCCCTATGTGGGGTTTGGGGTATGTTTCGGCCGAAATTCATTGCAGGCTTTCCTGAAGACTTGACTCGACCTCGAGGAGGCCTCGAATCTGGAGAATACATAAAGCCTCTCGTTTTTCTATCTTCTTCGTTCTTTACGACCGTCATGCCTTGTATGCTGTGCGTGCCCCTCACATCTGTCGTTGACCGCGCACTGTCTGATCGGATAGTGCTCTCTACAGCCTTGACCCATCCGAAAAGTACAAGCCGTACACACCTCTTAAACTCGAAAACCGTCAATGGCCATCGAAGACCTTCACAGGCCCTCCTATCTGGCTGTCCACGGACTTGCGCGATGGCAACCAGGCTCTCGCGAACCCCATGACAATTGAGCAGAAGACTACCTTCTTCCAGTTGCTCCTGGAATGCGGCTTCAAGGAAATCGAGGTTGCATATCCTGCCGCCAGCGACACTGACTTCAACTTTGTACGGGGCTTGATCGAGAAGAAGTCCATCCCCGACGATGTGTGGATTCAGGTCCGTTAAATCGAGTTATTAGGTCGCAAGCTGCTAATGATTCGAATCCCTATAGGTTCTCACTCCCGCTCGGGAAGACTTGATCAAGCGGACTGTTGATGCTGTCGCAGGCTGCAAAAAGGCCATCATTCACATGTACAACGCCACCTCCCCTCTCTTCCGCAACGTCGTGTTCAAAAACTCGAAACAAGAGACCACCGATCTCGCGGTCAAACACACTAAGATACTCCGCCAATTGACCGACGAATGCACGGCAAAATATGGCACAGAGTTCAGATTTGAATATAGCCCAGAGACGTTCACTCAGACAGAACCCGAGTTTGTTGTTGAGCTTTGCGATGCCGTGAAGGCGGCTTGGGGACGTGCAGGCTCAGATCTACTTGACCGGATCATTTTCAATCTGCCTGCAACAGTCGAGGTTGCTCCTCCAAATCACTTTGCTGATCAGGTAAGGCTAGAGGTCATTGGTTCACCGAATTTGTGCTTACCTGGGGTCAGGTCGAGTATTTCCACACCCATATCTCAGAGCGAGAAAAGATCATCATCAGCCTGCATCCCCACAATGATCGAGGTATGTATCTCTCAAACTAGTCAACTCGTCGCTCTCATCAATGGCTACAGGATGCGGCATCGCCGCCGCTGAGCTCGCAATTCTCGCTGGTGGGGAGCGCGTTGAGGGTTGCCTCTTTGGTAACGGCGAGCGCACAGGAAACGTCGATATCGTCAACCTCGCATTAAATCAATACACACAAGGGTTCAACCCCAATCTTGACTTCAGCGATATTCAGCACGTCATCGACGTCGTGACTCAATGCAACGACCTGCCCGTTCACCCACGGCATCCGTACGCCGGCGAACTTGTTTTCACCGCCTTCTCGGGGTCGCATCAAGACGCGATCAAGAAAGGATTCGAGGAGCAGTCGAAACGCCACGCACTCGCACGGCAAAACAACGAAAAAGAAATTTGGGAGATGCCATACTTGCCCATCGACCCCGCAGACCTAGGTTGCAGCTACGAGGCCGTCATTCGCGTGAACTCGCAATCCGGCAAGGGTGGAATCGCATACCTCATCAAGCAGCATCTGCAGCTCGACCTCCCGCGCAAGATGCAGATCGCGTTCTACGCGGTCGTGCAGGCCATCTCGGATCGCGAGGCACGCGAAATGACCGTTGAGGACATCACAACGGCGTTCCGTGAGACTTACCACGTCGGCGGGAGCAAGTATGAGGGCAGGCTCGCCTTGCGCTCGTTCAAGATTTCCTCTGCGCCTCCGGCCGATCCTTCGGGGGAGGATGCCGAAGATATACGTCAGTTCGACGGGACCATCTCGGTCGATGGGGTCCTGCGTGTCGTCCGCGGGGACGGCAATGGTCCCATTTCTGCCTTGCTGAACGCCCTCCACACCCACCTTGACATCGACCTTGCCTTACGGGAATACTCCGAACACTCCATCGACACCGCTTCAGATCTCCAAAAGTCCCGCGCTGCGTCGTACATCGAACTCGTCTCCGCCTCGGACCGCAGGTCCAATATTTCATGGTGGGGTGTGGGCATTGACCGCGACATCGCCGGGTCAGGTCTACGCGCCGTCCTGAGCGCCGTCAACAGCCATATCGGCGACCGCGTGCTGCCCGAGCTCAAGCTCAGTGTCGGCTTCAGTGCGCGCTCTGGCCAAGCCGACATCGCTTCGGCGATCGTCAACTCCCTCGCCCTAGAGCTCCCCCGCAGGCTGCAGGCCGCCTTCTTCGAGGTCGTGCAGCGCTCCGCGCGCGAGTCGGGCGACGCGATCGGGTACGACGCGCTCACCACGCTGTTCAAAGAGACCTACGGCTACGACATGCCCGACGAGGGCCCCGTCTCGCTGCGCTCGTTTGAGCTCGAGCATCTCGCAGGCGCGCGCATCCGCCTTGCGGGCGACTTCATGTTCGCCGGCAAGGAGCGCAAGTTGACGGGTCTTGGAAACGGGCCGCTATCCGCCGTCCTAGCCTGTCTGCATGAGAGCATCGCGGGCACCCTCACGATCCGGGAATACTCGGAGCACGCCATCGGCTCGGGTACAGACGCGGGCGCAGCGTCATACGTCGAGCTAGTTTACGAGGTTGAAGTAGATGGCCAGCTGCGCAAGTCTTCCGGATGGGGTGTTTCGGCTGATACAGACATCGCTGCATCTGGCCTACGAGCCGTCATGAGGGCCGCCAGTAGAGTTGGGGCAGTGTGGAAGAATTAGTTCACCATGGAGAGGAAACATCTGAAGTCGTACACTTTATCTACATTGTATCTCTATTCACCACCAAGGGCTTGCCGAGGGTCCTCATTAATGCTCCGTTTTCATTCTTGGGGTACCAAGCGTCGTCGCTCTCAAACGTTTCGGCTCAAAACCTCACATTTCGAAACAAAGTGAAAATTTTATTACTGGCGGAGAAACGACCGACCCGATACTTCCAACAGCAGAAAACCGTTAAGAGACAAAGAGCCGGTCAGTTCCACCCGCACAGTAACCGTCTACATCCACGTCATCTCGTGCCGCGCTGCTGAGAGGTTTATGACGAGCCCGAGAGCTCCTTGGCGAGCTGCTCAGCCTTCACCTTAACATCCTCGATCGTGCCGGACATGTAGAATGCGGACTCGGGGAGGGCGTCGTGGGTGCCAGCGAGGATCTCCTTGAAGGAACGGATGGTGTCCTTGAGAGGAACGAGCTTGCCCTCATAACCAGTGAAAACCTGTGCGACCTGGAAGGGCTGCGACATGAAACGCTGGATCTTACGAGCACGCTCGACCTGGGGATGGATTGATCAGTTACTGCAGGAAAAATATGACGAGCGTGCACGTACGGTGAGTTTGTCCTCCTCAGACAACTCGTCCATACCCAAGATAGCAATGATATCCTGGAGCGATTTGTAGTCCTGAAGGATCTTCTGGACGGCGGTCGCAACATCGTAGTGCTCGCGGCCGACCTAAGAACATGATATATAATTAAGGTCGGTTTATGATCCGTGGTGTCGCAAACTTACAATACGAGGGTCGAGCATACGGGATTTCGAGTCGAGAGGATCGACGGCAGGGTAGATACCGAGCTCAGCAATGGAACGAGACAGTACAGTCGTGGCGTCCAAGTGAGCGAAGGTGGTAGCGGGAGCAGGATCCGTCAAATCATCGGCAGGAACGTAGACAGCCTGCACGGAAGTGATGGAACCTTTCTTGGTCGTGGTAATACGCTCCTGCCTGTGTACCAGAATCAATAAGAATGTACTCAGACTACCATGAAGGTACCCACATTTGACCCATGTCCGTAGAAAGCGTGGGCTGGTAACCGACGGCAGACGGGATACGACCAAGCAAGGCAGACACCTCGGAACCGGCCTGAGTGAAGCGGAAAATGTTGTCAATGAAGAGCAACACATCCTGACCTTCCTCATCACGGAAGTACTCCGCAATGGTGAGGCCGGTAAGGGCGACACGGGCACGGGCACCAGGGGGCTCGTTCATCTGACCGAAGACGAGAGCGACCTTAGAGTCTCCCTCGAGGTTGATGACACCGGTCTCAATCATTTCGTGGTACAAATCGTTACCCTCACGCGTGCGCTCGCCGACACCTATAGGTCGGCGAACCGTGAGAAAAAATTGCTGGCAGTGCGGATTGGAAATATGTCGTACCACAGAAGATGGAGAAACCACCGTGAGCCTTGGCGACGTTGTTGATAAGCTCCTGAATCAAGACAGTCTTGCCGACACCGGCACCTCCGAAAAGACCAATCTTTCCACCACGGGCGTAGGGGGCAAGAAGGTCGACAACCTTAATGCCGGTCTCGAGAACCTCAGCAGTCGTAGACTGGTCAACGAACGGCGGGGGCTCAGCGTGGATGGGGCTGAGCTTAACGCCCTTGATGGGACCCCTCTCGTCGATGGGCTCGCCGATGACGTTCATGATACGACCGAGCGTCTCGCGACCGACAGGGATCCGGATCGGAGAGCCAGTGTCGATGACTTTCTGCCCACGGACGAGACCCTCGGTACCGTCCATGGCAATGGTACGGACCGAGTTCTCACCCAAATGGGACGCGACCTCGAGGACGAGACGGCCGCCATGGAAGTCCTGGACCTCGAGGGCGTTGAGAATAGGCGGGAGGTTGTCCGACTCGAACTGCACGTCAACGACGGCACCAATGACGGTCTTGACGGAGCCGATGGGCGTCTTGGCCTCAGTCGCATAGGTGCGCGCTGGATGCGGAAAATTACGTGGAACGTTTGATACAGGCGCGACACGTTTAAAACGGGCGGAAATAGTGCAAAGCCCTTCAGACGGGGCTCCAGAAAATCAAGAAAAAAAGTAGCACTGACCAGACTGCGACGCGGAGGGGCGCGCCAGGCGCTGAGCAGCGCGCTGGTTTGTCGACGCAGAGGCCGGGACGGCGCGAGCGAGGATGGGTGCGGCAGACGCGGTGGAGAAGAAAGCGTTAGTCTTCTTTGCGCTGTTCACCGCTCTGCGGGAAAGACGTGTGACGCCGCGGGAGGTGAGCATCGTTGACGACGGCGACGGGGAGAAATGGAAATGGTGGTGCAGAGAACTTGCAAACGCAGGCCAGCGGGTCATCCTCTCATTTCAGGCTCCGTTCAATCTCCGCTACCCCGGCTTCTCCCGACCCCAGCCGGCCATTCGTCAAATCATCGACTCGCGACCGCCGCTCCTTGTACACGCAGCAGCTCGCTGGTACATTACATGGCGAGAGGAGTAGGTAAGTGGTCGTGTCCTTTGCCAGATTCCCTCGGCTTGAATCATGCATCCAGATAGATCATAGACAGCGCGATTCTTCCCTCTCAATTTGCAGAGTATTTGCCTAGATTCTATCTTTGTCGGGTCATACGTATGGCTTTCCCCTTGATAGTGTCATTCCTCGTAGATCTAGTAAAGTATAAGCATCCTCACCGTTCCGTTACTGCATGGACAAATGACTGATCTTTCCACACACGGACTTCCGGCCTCCGGCCGCATCTATGCCGCACCTATGTCGCGTCTAACAATCACCAATGGACAATCATACGTGGGCGTGTTATCGAACACGACGGTATGACCATCCAGTGTGAACTTCAAGTACTCTCGGTCCTCCTATGCCGTTTACGCTTCAAGTATGCGCACGACGGTCTCTACGTATTCCGAGTCCAATGACAGTACATTATCCAAAACCGATCTACGAAGATTCGACAAGCAATCCATGCAAATAGTTTGAGGGTGGGGCACATAGTCAGAATAGGCTGTTAGTAAATAGCCCCAGCAGGGTTTGTTCTGCGTCTAGCTCTGAGCGGGCAATATCTAGCGTTCGTCCAAAATCCAGTCCGGTATCAAGCGTTCACAGCCTGGACAAATCCCGCCCCCAAACGCCTCTACAATCAAAACTACATCAATTATCTTTTCCATGTCAAAAACTGCAGAGACGAAGACGCACCTAATGATCCAATCAATCATCAACAGCGCCCTCGTCCGCGCGCTCACCATCTCATTCCAATACACGCTCCGCCACGCGTACATTGCCGCCAACCCTCCCATGAAGCTCACCCCGCCAAGGTCGAACACCGCCGCATTCCCGATGTATGCGAGCGTGCCGAGGTGCATGTACCGGAACGGCCGTGCGACGGCTTCGTCCTGCACTTTCGCACCCTCGGCGCCAGGCGCGTTGGCCAGCGCGCGCAGCTTCTTACCGAGGTACTTGCCCTGCTGCGATGCGACCTGCGCGGTCTATAGAATTGAATCAAGTGAGCAATACGCACCACGGAAATTGAATAACAAGCCCGAGAGCGAAGGCAGGAGTACCCACAGCAGGCAGAGCCGTAATCTTATTTCCGAGCTCTTGTAGCAGCACCGCAAGCTCGTTCAACGTGAGGCTGTTATCTCCGTCCGAGTCGTACAGATCAAACAGCTGCCGGACCTTCTCGAGCTGGTCGCCCGCCATCGGAATTACCTGCTTAATGCGTTTCACTATAGAGACAAAAATCGGCGTAGGGAGCGGCGAGGAAGGAAAAGACGAGATAAAGGAGGGTCATCGCGGTTATCATCATCAAATATTTTGGAACAGAAGAGCATGCAACCGCGCGCACCCATGATCTGCCACTCATCAAAATCTATCTTCCCGTTCTTGTCTCTGTCCGCTTCAGCAACGAGCTCCAGCAAGTGCGACACGACGGACGTCTCGATCTACACATTCCGACACAGTCCGTTCAACCACATGGCTCGAAATACAGATGACAATCCACATACCGTTGCACAGTCGCCGATCGCATATACCTCTCCGAGCGGCGCACCCTTGACGCGCAGGTGTGCGTCCACTTCAATCGCCTTCTTGTGCACCTGGTTCGGGAGCAGACTCGATACCTACACAGGTCTCCTGGCATCAGAAACGAGCGAAGAAGATCGGCAAGAATTCGACATACCCGCGCCGTGAATGGGTTCATCGCAATGCCCGTGCTCCAGAGTACGAAGTTCGAAGGAATCTCGTGTTTCACGACTTCGCCTGTCGACGGGTCGCGCACGCTGTACACGACGTGCGTTGGGTGCACCTCTGCAACACTATAGGAAGCAATAAATGTCCAAAGGAATTTCATGGGTTTCAAGTTGACCGTCGAATCTCTGGTCAGTATCCGGATGCAGAGTTGGGAGGGAAATGCCTAACCGAGCGGACGTGATCAGGTCGACGTTGTCCCGCTGGAACTTCTTCTCCGCATAGCGCGAAATCGCCTCAGAATACTGCACGCACGCGAGCCTCGTCAATAATGAGAAAAAGAACAGAAAAAAAATAACAAGAGCAAGGGAACCAGAACCTACGGTATTCAAGATATGCTCACGCGACTGTATAACGTGGATCGAAACCTCCTCGCGGCACAATTTGGGGTACTAACGCGCGTCAAGTCAATCTCGAACCTCCAAAGAGATAGATGGAAACGTCGTACGTACGTAGTTGATGATATCCTCTTGGCATAAGTCGTATATTTCCTGTGAAACGAATTAGAGCAGAACCAGAGATGCAGATACAGTACACACGGCAGCGGTCTCCACGCCCGTCGGCCCACCGCCACAGATGACGAAACTGAGAAGGCGCTTGCGCTCCTCGGGCGTCGTCGTGGGTAAAGAGGCAGCTTCAAAGTTGTCTATGCGAGCAATTTAGTATACGCACGACGCAAAAGAAGAAAAAACCCGAGAGATTTAAAGAAGGCAGGAACGCACCGAGGACGCGACGCCGGATTGCCTGCGCATCGGAGACGGTTTTGAGCTGGAAACAGTGCTCCAGTCCGGGGACACCGTGCGTGCTGGACACGGACCCGGCGGCAATGACCAACTTGTCATACCTATACATATGCACCATTCGGACGTGTCCACAGTCAGCAAATCAACATAGCACATCAAATGGGGCAGAATATGACACAAAAGGCACGAAGGGACGCGACAACAAAGTAAAGAATAACTGCTCTCAAGAAAGAGATGACATGGCGAAGACGCACGGAATGTACATGTTCTTGGCAACACCGGCGGGGCCTATCGTCTCTATCTCGAGAAGGCGCTCAGAGAGGACGACGTCGACGGCACGAGCGTGGACGAGGTGACCATGGAGGCGGGCGATAATCTTGCGAATTGACTCGATGAGCGAGCGGACGGAGACGGTGCCGACGGCAGCGGCTATAGGAAGAATGCGGTTAAGGACGCGTAGTGAATAACAAACTTGTGGAGGAAGCCGGGGAGGAGCTTACAAGGGAGGAGGGGCGTGAATGTGGTGAACGTGTCGGGAGAGACGACGACGACATGGTAATCTCCTGGATTGAGCGTCTGAAGGACACTTATTGCCTGCAGGAATCGTGAGAAAACACTTATGACGTTGAGACAGGATCAAGGAAGTAGACACTGACCCCCCATCCACCGCCCACCACGACTAATCTGGGCTTTCCACTGAGTGCGTTCGCGTCCTCGTCCTCCATATCTCCGACAAACGCACTCGCAACAGGGAGCTTTTTAGGGCCACCGCGCTCTGGGTGGAGCGCGAGCGGGGAAACGGGGACGCGGTCGACATGGCGCTCGGTATACGTGAAGGCATCGTGGACGAATATGCAGCCAGTGAGGACGACAACACCCAGGGCAGAGGAGGCAGCGAGATACACGGTAAATTTGGCAAAAGTGCGCAAGCGGCCGAGTACAGGGCGGTGCGGAGGGAGAGGTGGGGGAGGTGGGGGAGGTAGGGAAGCGTTTGGAGTCGTGGAGAGGAGGCGGGGGTATCGTGGTTGCGCGAGTCGGGCAGAGGAGAATATGCCCGACTGGCGACGCAACAGTAGGCGGGCTTTTTGGGGCGTTCTGGAGAGCATGATGGACGACGAACGCAGGCCGAGAGTCGAGCGTCGAGCGACTCGGACGCCGTTTGCAACGTTGAGCGCGCTACACATAGCTAAGTATAGATATGACGTCATTCAGCTCATCATATCGCCCTTCTCACGCCCGCCATTCGGCCCCGCCCCGGCCTGCTTCCCGACAGCGATGACGAGGGTAATTCTGGCATGAATATACTCTGCGGCATGCAAGTGAAATCCGCTGGATGCAAGGATTCAACGGCTATAAATCAATGGCATGGTAAGGTCGGCTACACGTTATATACAAGACTGGTCAAAGTTTTTGACTTGCTGTAACAATACCCGCAAGACTCAACGGGCTATGACTGGAATGCATCATTAGCCCACGAGCTCTCTGCAAACTGCCATTAGCGAAATGCCTTGCTCTTCAATAATACCCGCGGTAAGTCATGTGTTGATCATCGTCAATTCTTTGTATCAATTATATAGGAAATAATGCTGATGGAATCAAGACAGTATCAAGACCAACTGCTTCGTCGTCTGTCGTGTGGTTTTGCATAGTATCCACCTCGTCGAAACTCTTCGGGCCACACTTCACGTACACTGACCGGTGTGTATATGCCGCGCTGGTGCCAAATATTGCCCGACGGTGATGGCTGCCAAACTGGCAGGTGCTCGTCGGACCGTGCTGCAGATGACATGGTACCAAGCCTGGCACCCGCGTCCCACATCATTTTGGCGGCTTCATCTTGAGACCAGAAGATATCATGAGTCAATGCCGCCTGCAATGCGTTCCCATACCACCCTCCTAGCGTATCTGGCTCAGCACCCCGATCCAGCAGTAGTCGTACGACTCGTCCATCGAACTTGACGCCTTCTGCGCACGCCGCCTGCAACGCGGTTTCGTAGCATCCTCCCCTTGCATTGATGTCGGCCCCGTTGTCCAGCAACAGTCTGATGACTGCTCCTTGACAATCACCGCCGCCTGCACACGCGGCCTGCAGCGCGGTTTCGTAGCGGCCTCCTCTTGCATTAACGTCGGCGCCACTGTCTAACAGCAGTTGCACAACTTCTTCTTGACGATTATCACCTGTTGAACACGCTGCCTGCAACGCAGTCTCGTAGTGTCCTCCTCGGGTGTTAACCTCAGCACCAGTTTCCAACAGCAGTTTGACGATCGCAACGTGGCCTCCACGACACGCCGCCTGTAGCGGGCTTTCGGCACGACCATGAACGCTCGCACTGGCACCTCGGTCGAGGAGTAATCGCACGATAGCCTCGTTACCCCCTGAACATGCAGCACTCAGTGTGTCCCCGCCCTTGGGCTCGGCACCCTGGTCGATGAGGGGTCGCACGAGTGGTTCGTGACCTTGCGCGCACGCCGCCTGTAGTGGAGTTCCGTTCGCAACTCCTTCCGCGTTCACGTCTGCGCCTCGGTCCAGCAGTAAACGCACTGTCGTTTCGTGGACTCCATATCACGCCGCCTGCAGCGCGGTTCCGAAAATGCCTCCCTCCACGTTCACGTTCACGTTCGCACCCCGGTCCAGCAGCAGTTGTACAATCGCGTCGTGGCCGTCTTTACACGCCACCTGGAGTGCGGGCCCGAACACTCCTCCCTCCGCGTTCACGTTCGCACCTCGGTCGAGTAACATATCCACGATTGTTTCGTTACCTCGCGCGCAAGCCGCCTGCAGTGCGGTCCTATCGATTCCACCTCCCTCAGCATCCACGTCCGCGCCTCGGTCCAACAGCAGACGCACGACTTCAGTATGGCCACCGGCGCATGCCGCAATCAGCGGATAGGTGAAGTTTCCCCCTGTTGCATTCACCTCGGCGCCTTGGCTCAACAGCCATTCTGAAACCTCGAGCAATCCAGCGTGACATGAGTAATAAAGGGGGCCAGGAAGTGTCGCAATGTCTAGAGGCCTGCCATATTGATACTGGCCCGTGTCTAAATCGTATATCTTGACCCAATTCAAGAATCGTGCACGTCGAGGATGAAAAAGCTCTTGGATTAACATTTGCAAAGGCTGGTCATTGCCCTTGCCTAAACATCGCAAACAATGCCAGATCCAGTGTCTTCCCGCATATGAAACTAGTGCAATGTCCGGATGTTCTTCTAAGCGCTTCCTATCTAGCCCACCGGAATTGTCAAACCGCAACAGGTAGGCAAGACAAATCATAGCGATCGACCTATGTGCGAGGTCGGCATCAATCCGATACTCCAGAGCTCCGCCTGTTCGCATTCGTTTAGACATCAAGTATTCTTGAACAGAGAAGTGCGATAATCGGATGACTTGCGCTATACTCCGCGGGAGGTTCGGATACGGATCATTCCACTGTCGACGAGTATCGGCTTCGGATAGAGAGACCAGGCTGCCACATATTGTGAGTACTTCCGATGGGCTGCGCAACCGATCCTCCGGGACGTAATGCGCCACTCCTGCAGGATCCATATTTACTGTTACAACTTCGGCAAGTTCACCAAGCAGCATGGGGCGAGCCGAGCAACAAAGGAACTGCAATACTCGATGCACCTTCTCTTGATGTTCATCTAGAATGCGCTGCAACATACGCTCATAAGTCGCATCTAGACTTTTCGGTAGACTATTCAAAGCTGCCTCCAGATCAGAAGCTGTGACACATTTTCGCAAACTATCCAACTGGCAACGAACCCACTGGAACCTTGAGGGCCAGCTGAATGTCAGTTGCGATGCTAGTCAAGCGTCAAGAATCACTTACATCCCGTTTGCACGTTGGATGAGAGTGTCTGTGATCATTGCCTTGTGCATGGCCCCCCAATCCCGAAGGTAGAAGTCGTCCCGAAATAGACCTTCAAGATATAGCTGGATATCGTAGTTCATACGAGAGATTTTGCCTTGGAGATCAAACCGACTAGCGCGCAAAGACTCCATTGCCACACCAACCTCTCGCACAGGCCGACTCAACGCCAAAACATGCAGAATCGGGAGATTCTACTTCTTGATTTGATCTAAGAACTGTAGAACTGCCTCTCGTTCCGGACTAGTGCATTCGTCAAGAGCATCTAGAACATTGTATATCTGGCCGAAGCTCCCAGCCATTGTCTTCAGAATCGCGACCAGATCGTCAAGTTTTGGCTGCTGTGTTCCATCGTGGTTGCGCGCCCAAAGATCCCGTAATGGGACAGGAGTACCGGATAATTGGAACAAGAGCTGAATGACCAGCGAATGCACAAGACTTCGAAGGGCGAGTTTCTCTAGATCATTGAAGTCGAAGTAGAAATATGCCACGGCTGTGAGAGATGCATTGGCTGGGCGGTAATCACGCTGAAGTGTTTCGATGATGCTCGAGCTGTGATTAAATGAATCCATTAGGTGTTGTTACATGCCTGCATCTTGCAGAAACATACCATAAGATCGTTTTACCATTGCCAGCTGGACATACGGCCCCGACATCAGTCGCAACGTTCGGGACTAAAAGAGTATACATACGTATGCCATGAACCCAAAGAAACGAGCCCGGAGTTGTCGTCCACTTCAAAAATTCTTGCCCTTCAAGAAACCAGTCGCCTGTCCCTTCATGTCGCGCTTGGAGTGCTGCATTATGGTTCGTCGACGGGTCGGGTGGGCTGAGCCATTCACGAAACTTCTTTCGGAGCTCGTCATCTGGCGTGGAACATGAGCCGTGTTAAGCTGGAGAACACAAACCTTCTACCTCTCGATGCCTCTAAAATCTGCAAGCTTCGTGTAGCATTCACCGAGGTGACGGTGTTCACCATAAGGCTCGCCTGATTCAACAATCTTGTTAGCTTCCTCATTGCTTCACTCGCATCCGTGTTCCTCCCAAGAAGGGCTTTCACGTATTGTGCTAGACTAAAATTAGCAATGATGTATGCGATGATTTCTTCATTCTCACCAGGACGCTTCTGCCTCATCGACTTCATCGTCACTCCCAGCGTCGAGAGGAATTGCGCCAGGATCTCGACAACGACCTTTTTTAAAGGCACAGTGATATTTTGTTGATTGAGAACGCCCAACCGATCGACGAAACCTCTAAGCTCCTCGAATATGTCGATGATCGTGTCATAGTGGGTGCTAACATTTTTCGCAGCCTGTGACCCACAGATAAGTCGGACTTGTCCACGGACAAGCACTTAATCACGTACCTTCAATAGAACACATACAGCGACAGATATCGCCTTTGCTGGTGGGTGGACCTGGCAGTAAGCATCATAGTCATCTGTGAGCGCAGTCTCGATTGTGACAGTAGTGATGATACTCACTGGTGCTAGACTTTCTCCGACCGTCTCTGAGAGTAGCTCCGTTAGCTGAAGGATGGGCTCAAGCACATCCCTAATTTTCTGTCCCTTCTTGCGATACTCCTTGAATTTGTGCTGCTCGCTGTCAATGATGTCAAGAAGAGCATCAGGGGAGTCGGCCTCGAGTCGGCCTTGAAGGATGTCATGCTTGGTATCGCGCTTGTACTGAGAGATCGCAGTGACCCAGATTTAAGCAAACTGTAAGTGTGAGTCGTGTCCTACCATATCCGACGAAGAGGCATGGAAACAAAGTTTGGAGGTGATTTGGAGCGCCCAATAACAGTCTATTAGCCACAACTCTGCATCATGATGCAGAAGAAACCCGTATACAGCCACACGCTCATGATCAAGCGCCCACGGCACCGAACATAGCAAGTGCTATATTGCCATCCCTGACACTGAAATATATACAACGTAGACAATACGGACACTCCTACGTACTCTCCCTTGCCGTATTGCCCTCTGTCGATCCGGACGTTAAGCTAAAGCGGGAATGGCATGCCATGGTCGGGTTCTCGACTTTATTGCTAAGCCCACACTCTGGCGAGTCAAGAAAGAGCTAGCAGCAAGAATAGATTCACCGCTGTTCATCATGATCTTCATCTTTGAAGTAGCTAGGTGTCCAGTAAGTTCAGCCCTAAGCAATCTCTAAAGCTCAAATACAAACTAATCCACACACCGGGCAGACATGATCGATTCACGCCGTTCTGTATTCAATAGAGATCATCATGGATGACGAGCACGGATTAGACTGATGAAATCTTGAAGGTCAAGTGACAAGAGGCGGGACAAACGGTCATCGAGTCGTCCTTCCCACGCCGTTGCACATCTTGGCCAGTCTCCGTTTGCCCAGGATTGCCACAACCCAAAACATACGGTGAGCACCGAGGACCATTTCACCTTGTTATTTGTATCTTTTGAAACTGATCCGTTTACCCAGTAGGACGAGTCAGTGAAGCACATGGCACATCTTGTGATGTATCGCAAAGTGCACCAGTATCATTTTCAGCGATGCTCTACGGTGTTGAACGGCGCGTCGAGCTTTGGTTGGGAAGCATAACACTATTGATCAATGCTGTACAGGATCTATTGAACTTTCATGTTTAACATCACCATATGAATCCCCTGCACGAAGAGCATCTCCCGTGGCTGTTGAACTGGTAGGTACTTAAAAGAGCGCGCCGTGGACGATATGGTGTGGAGTCTAGCATTGGTGTCCCGCCGCACCTTCACAATACATTTTTCCAGCTTCCGGTATTGGCTCAAGAGATGATACCAATTACAACCCATTTTCGTGGGATCCCTGTACATTCACTTCGACACCTCGATCCAGCAACAGTTTCATGATTGCTCCGCGACCTCCCAACGACGCCATCTGAAGTGCGCTGCCATGACATTCTCCCGCTGCATTCACATCTGCGCCTCGGTCCAGCATCATTCGAACGATAGCTTCGTCGCCTCTCACGCATGCCATCTGCAAGGCGTTGACGTGTGGTTCCACATTCGTCTGCTCGTTCACCTCGGCACCACGGTCCAGCAGCAGCTTCACAACTTCCTTCTGGCCCACCAAGCACGCCGTGTAGAGCGCATTCCAGTGGGCTCCTCCCTGCACATTTACCTCAGCCCCTCGGTCTAGTAGCAGCCGCACGATTGTCGTGTGACCCTCCCAACATGCGGCTCGCAGCGCATACCCCCGCCATCCCCCAAACATGTTCACTTTAGCACCCCGATCCAACAACATGATCACGATAGCTTCATGACCTCCCGCGCATGCTGCGTGCAGCGCGTTCCCGTGGTATTTCTCCTGGGCATTCACCTCAGCACCTCGATCTAGCAGCAGTCGCACGATTGCTTCGTGACCTCTAGAGCAAGCCGCCAGCAGTGCGTTGCCATAATAGCCTCCCGATTCGTTGATATCGGCACCTTTGTCCACCAGCAACCGCACCAACGCTTCGCGTCCGCTCTGAGATGCAGCCTGCAGCGCGGTTCCGTAGTAACCCCCCACTCCATTGATATCGGCGCCCTTGTCCACCAGCAACCGCACTACTGCTTCAAAATCTCCAGACTGCAGCCTATTCCCGTAGTCACCATCCACCAAGCTATCGGCACCTAAGTCTTTGCTTGGCGCTGCTTCGTACCCTCCACAACATGCTGCCTGGAGCGCGTTCCCATAATGACCTCCAACCTCGTTAATGTCGGCGCCATTGTCCACCAACAGCCGAACCACTGCTTTGTGCCCTCCACGGGATGCGGCCTGGAGAGCGCTCCCGTAAAAGCCTCCCACTTTATTGACATCCGCGCCGCTGTCTATTAGCAGCCGCACCATTGCTTCATGTCCGTGGGCCGATGCCGCCATCAGGGCATTTTGATGGTCCCCTCCTTGCGCATCCACTTCGGCGCCTTGGCTTAACAGCCATCTTGAAGCTCCGAGAAGGCCAGCATCACACGCATAGTACAGCGGGTCAGGGATGGTTTGGATGTCCCGCTGCCATCCAAGTGGGATATGCTGATATACACCCAACCATGTCACACCAGACATCCTGACCCAATTCAAAAATTGTGGCCGCCGGAGGGGATGGAGGAGGCCTCGTATGGACATCTGCAGAGGTAGGTAGTCGTCGTTTCGGCCCTGACATTGTAAATGCCAGACCCAGTGCTTTGCTGCGTATGAAGCGAGTGCGACATCCAAATCTTCTTCCATCCGCTGGCCATCCAATCCGTCCGGATCATCAAACCGATTTAGGTAGGCGAGACAGGTCATGCTGATCCACCGGTGAGCCAGTGCGGCATCGATCCTGTAGTTCCAAGCACCACCGGTTCGAATTCTCTCGGAGACTAGATAGTCTTTGACGGAGGAGTGTGATAATTGAACCACTCGCCATGCGGCGATTTCATCTGAAGAAGTTGGGTGCCACCGATAAAAAGGCACTCCATTGTCGAGAACTGGCCTGGTCGACAGAGACAATAGACCATCAAACATTGTGAGCACGTCTGATGGGCCACGCAAACGATTCCCAGGAACGTAGTGAGCTATCCCTCGAGAGTCCATAGACACTGTGACGACTTCCGCAAGTTCCCCGAGCAACAAAGGGCGAGCCGAGCAACAGAGGAACTGCAGCATATGATGGACCTTCTCTCGGCGACTATCTGGAATGTTTTGCAGCGTACGATCATACGTCGCGTCCAGTGTTTCCGGTAGGTTCGTCAACGCCGCTTGGAGATCAGAGTGCGTAACACATTTTCGCAGTGAATCCAATTGGCATCGGACCCACTGGAACCTTGAATATCGAAAGCGGCTTAGAATCGAAAATAGACAACGGTGTTGCCAGCTTACATTCCGCATGCGCGCTGAACAAGGGTCTCTACGATCATCGCCTTCTCCCTTGCTCCCCAATCCCGGAGGTAAAAGTCGTCTCGAAGCAGGCTTTCGAGATACTGCCGAATGTCGTGGTCGATTCTAGATGCTTCGCCGTGGAGATCGAAACAGGAAGCGCGCAGATTATCCATCACCATATCGATATCCTGCTCAGGCCGGCTCGTGGCAAAAACACGCAGAGCAGGGAGGTTCCAGCTCTTCATCTCTTCCAAAAACCGTAGGACGCGCGCTCGCTCCGAGCCAGTGCATTCGTCTAGAGCATCGAGGACGATGTACGTCTTGTCGAAATACCCGGCTAATGCCTTCAAGATCGTGGTCAAGCCGTCGACTCGTGGTTGCTGTCCACTGAGATCCCTCGCACAAAGGCTTTCCAGGGAAGCAGGAGTGCCAGGGCCCTGGAATAAGAGCTGTGTGACGAGTGAATGCACGAGGCTCTGAAACGACAATTTCCCATAATCGCTGAAGTCAAAGTAGAAATACGCCACGGCCACAGATGTTCCATTGTTAGCTTGTTGGTAAGCGCGCTGGAGGGTTTGGATGACTGTAGAGCTGTCACGAGGTCAATGAATCAACCATATGAATAGATGCATCTCGGAAGCCTCACCATAAGATCGTTTTACCATTGCCAGCTGCAAGTACGCGTCAGAGGCATCATTTAATCTGTCGGTAGAGACATACGTATGCCATGAACCCAGAGGAACGAGCCCGGTGTCTCCGTCCATCTCAGAAATTCTTCTGCGCGTAGAAACCAGTCCCCCGTGTCGCCGTGTCGCATTTGGCATGCGGCGTTATGATTCGTCGACGGGTCCGGTGGGCTGAGCCTGCTGCGAACCTTGTTTCGAAAGCAGTCTATTTTCGCTCAGCTGGGAGGAATAGGGGGTCCGAGCGAAGCCTTGGAAAACTCACCTTTCGATGCTTCCGATACCTGCAAGCCCCTCGCACTGGTCGCGACAGAGTTAACCGCCTGATCCAATACTTTCCTCAGCTTCTCCATCGCATCACTCGTCGTATCGGCCTTGGTCCCGAGGAGCGCTTTGACGTATCGGACTGCAAACCATCAGATGTCAGCGATCGCGTCGGGCAGCCATTTGCTCCCGGTCCCCACCAGGACGCCTCTGCTTGATCGACTTGGTCGTCACGCCCAGCGTTGCAAGCAATTGCGCAAGAATCTCGACGACGATTTTCTTCGCGGGGGCATCAAGCTCTTGCCGACTGAGGACACTGAGCGGATCGGCGAAGCCGCTGAGCTCCTCGAGCATTTTGACGATCGTGTCGTAGTGTGCGCCGACATTTTTCGCAGCCTGCGGCCGACAGGTGTCTTAGTACTTCGTCTATATGGACATCAAATCGCATACCTTAAACAGCGCGCGAATAGCGACGGCGAAAGCTTGTGCCGGGGTGAGGGACTGAGTATCATCGCGGTCAATGGAGTCTGTATATCAGGGCCAGAGCTGCAGTGCCTACCGACGCCAGACTCCCATCCACCGACTCAGACAGCAGCCCAATCAAACGAAGAACAGGTTCCAGCACGTCTCTTATCTTTCTCTCTCTCGCCCGATACTCTTTGAACTTGTTCTGCTGGCGGTCGATGATATCCAGAAGAGCATCGAGGGACTCAGCCTCGAGTCTCCCCGCGAGAAGGTCGCGCTTCGCATCTTGCTTGTATCGTTCCATCGCAGAGGCCCAGACGTCGAGTAAATCTGATTGTGAATCACCGCGTTCCGCCATGCTCGACAAGCCCGAGCGGGGGACAGCTATGGGTGGATTGAAAGAAGCCTTTGCGACCACAACAGCCATTTAGGCTCGAGCGCTCACAAAGGGCAATTTCATCTTAGGGCCCCACGCAGCACGAGATAGCGACACATGCTATGTAACGAACGCAGGACGGCGTGACCCACTCGGTATGGACGTTGGGCCGCGGGCCCAGCGGAGATGAAGAGACACGCCTGTATGGTGGTTAGATCTCATCAGTCTGAAAAACGCGCAATGCGGTCCAAGATCTGCTACTCGCCGCCATCCCTCTCTGCTTCGTTTCGAGCTCAAAAATGCGTGCCATGACTGTAGTTTTGGCCCGCCATGAGCCCTGCCTGTGAAACAGGCGAGGCGAACCGGCATGCTTTCAGAGCTTTTCAGAGAAGCCAGGCGTCATACCCTAGAGCTTGTATGCGTGTCAGAGAGCTCCGAAGGTAATATGGAACCACGGAGACAGCACCAATCACCATACCTCGTACTAGATGCTTTAGTTCCGAGCATAGTGTGTGACCGTAGTACGGTCTCCCAAAGGCAACGTTGGCGATCCTCCTTCGATCTCCGACGTATCATGTAACCGGCGGGGTGAGTAACATGAGCTCGCAGTGTTTCCGCCGTAACACTCAAGTTGATGAAAGGAAATGAGTATCCCATCGGCATACACCTTGCTGCTATACACTGCGCACAAAACGAGGTAACGATCAGTCCGAGCTTCGCCTCCGACTGACATGGTGGTAAGTAACAGGAAGGGGAAAGAGGCTAGTCGGCTGGTGCCACGCACGTCGCATTCCATACGCTGTTCAAAAACTCAGGATCTCATCATTTCAACGAACGATCCGAGTAAGCAAGAAGTAGACCACCCTGCAGGCCGGGCTAGACCGAAATATTACGACAAGGGCGAAGGGACCTAAGTACCGGGCCGCGTACGTACGTAGCGTATACCACACACAAGCGCCGACACTCGTTATGATGGCTATTGTAATCAGAATAGATGCAACTGTCGATGAGGGTGTGTGCTTGATAATGAGAGAGGCATGATACATGTCGGGCGGCGAGGAAACGGGGAAGGGGGGGTATCATATCCAGATGCAAAACGAGGGTATCCAGAACCAACAACAACACGCATACAGCCCGCCAACGTACTCCGAGCGATCAGCGCAACAACGTCTGCGTCTGCGTCGGCACCGGCCTCGCCGCCGCACCCGCACCAGCGCGTCTCGACCCCCGTGCGCCCTGGCGTGCGAGCTGCGCGCGCCGCAACTCCTCGTCGATGCGCCACATCCCCCGCGCGAACGCGTTGCGGTCGAGCGAGCCCTGCGCATGCGGGTCGCATTCGGCCCTGATCGTGTAGCAACCCGAAACCGAAGCATATAACGAGGAGGAAGACGGCGCGCCGCGGTCATAATTGGGAGGGAATGATAGAAACGCGGGCAAGGAGGCAAGTGGGGGACCGGGGCCGAAACCGAAAGAAGTGAGAAGAGAGAGCAAATTAACGGATGAAGAAGACACGCACCAAATCTCCCTCAACCTCTCCCTCTCCAACCTCGACGCCGCCCATATCTTCCCCACCACCGCCCCATCCAACCGCGCGTCCGGCGCCACCTGCCCCTGCCCCTGCCCCCGCCCCCGCCCATGCTCCGAGTCATCCGACATGCTCCCGCGCCCCCGCCCCGCATCCGCGTCTCCATCCCCCTCAGCCTCCCCGTCCCCATCGGGCAGCGGCGGGTTCGTGATCAGGTCCACCGAGAGCCCGCGCCACCCCGCGTTCTGCCGCGGCTTCGGCTTCGGCTTGCCCGTTCTCTGCGCGCGCGCGCGGACGTTCGCGGAGAACACGGCGTCGTAGCGCGCGCGCACGACGGGGGGGATGGGCGCCTCGCGCGCGCGCGCGAGAGCGAGGGCACTCTGTTTAAAGTGCGGCATGTGCGCATGCGTGGGTGTGGGCGTTGACGGCGAGGAGAGCGCGCTGGTGCTGGTGCTCGCGCTGGAGAGGATGGAGGAGCGATCGGAGGCGGTCGTCGAGGCGGAGGTTGAGGTCGAAGTCGAGGTGAGCGAGCCTCGTATGTAGGACGCACGCGGAGGCTGGGATGGTGGCGGCGGAGGGGCGGGGCGGCGGGACGATGAGGAAGCAGAGGAGGCGCCGAATCCGAGGTTGAGTCCGGTAGTAGTGAGCGAGGCGATGGAGGTCGACGAAGGGGTCGGCGTGAGGACGGGCGTCGTGACGCGAGAGGCTGGGCGCGACGACGACGAAGCGGGTGCGGCAGAGGGAATCGCAGAGGGCGCCGAGACGCGCGGTTTTGGGCGTTGTGGAAGCTTGGGCGGGTCGCTGAGAGGTTTTTGGGTTGCCGGCTTGGACGAGGTGGATGGGAGCGGGGGTTTGGGCTTTGCCGCGGAGGTGGAGGTGGAGGCGGCGGTGAAGGCGTCGGAGGGCGGGAGGAGCGAGGACGGGGTGACGTTCTCGAACGACTCGTCGAGGCTATCCCCGTCTGGCCAGTCGCGCTCGTGGTCTCTCTCCCCATCCCGATCGCGCTCCCGTTCACGCTCCCGCTCAACGGGGAACGTCTGCACGAAATGCGTGAGCGAGCCCGGCGTCCCCGCGCCACCGTCTGTCCCTCCATCCGACGACAGCGACACGGAATGGAACGAGCTGATCGACGAGGCGGGCGCGTGCTTCCTGCGCGCAGCATAGTCTCCGATGGCCAGCTTCGAGAGGTGCGGCGGGTACGTGTGCTCGGCGTCGGGTGGGCGCAGCATGTTGGGAGAGGACGGGGCGTCTGTAAACCCTGCGTTGTACGATGAGAACGAGGACCCAAAGCTGGAGGAGGCGGAGGAGGCATTGGTGGCTATGGGGATGGGCGAGGAGGCGGAGCGGAGGTTTTGGTAAGAGGCCTTGCGAGGGGGCAAGGGCGGGGCCTTGGATGGGGCGGGACGCGGGGGCGACTCGAGGTTGATGAGCGGGGTGCCCTCGAAGATGCTGCGACCTGTGGTGAGGCCAGGCAGGCGCACAGGGGCGGCGGGGTCCTGCGCAGACGCAGAGGCGTTGGTGGCGTCAGGGCGGGAAGGCGGGTTGGGGCCGTCGTCGATGACCCATTCCTGGAGATCGATGAGGGAGGTGCGGTGTGCGAGAGCGTCTGTGCTGGCGTGGGGGGATCTCGGCGGGGTGGTGGGGGTGATGGGGACGTAGGAGGAGACGGTGGAGAGAGAGTCGATGTCGTCGAGGGGGCTGTCGAGTGCGTAGAGAAAGTCCTTGGAGAGGGGTGCGGCGGCGGAGGCGGAGGCGGAGGAGGGGTTGCCGAGGGCCTCGAATGCGCGGATTCTTGCTTGGATGGCTGCCGAGGGCGACATGGAGGATGCTGTCCACGCTCGAGCGCGCGCTGACGACCCCTCCGAACCCGCCACACGCTCCCATTGGGTGCCGCCCGCGTTCCTGTCTTTCCCGCCGCCATGTCCTCCCCACCCTCTGAACTCTACGCCGTCGCAGGTTCGTAACATTCCCTCAGATTATACCCAGCAATCCTTAGTGAATTACTGCAGACTTTTGTCTCATCCCGATGGGCACCGGTCACGATCCCTCGGTACCGTAGACCCCTCACCCCCGCCTCGTCCACCTAATCACACACTCCTGCTGAACTATCAAGGTCGCCGAGTATGTCGCCGAGTGTGCCAGGGTCCTCGAGAAAACAGGGCTCAAGCATCAGGTAGCTCAGCCCTTCACGTCTGCCGTCCGCATCGCGACTAAGCCCGGCCTATTCTGCGTTTTCCGCAGATGCAGTGCGTCGGTTTTCTGTCTCTCCCACTGGCCCGCTCTACCTCACCCCGCATCCGGTAGCGGCTACGGCACCAACCTAGGTCTGCTGTCCTCTTCTGCCCCTTCTCAGCACCTTCGCCGCCGCTGACCTTCCACCTCCACCCGACCACAGAAGGCCCTTGGTCGGCCGTCACCCAGGCCATCCACGACTGCCACGCCGCCGTGCACGCCAAGGGCGCCCCCCGCATCGCCACCGACATCCGCATCGGCACCCGCAGCGCGCCTGCGGTCCCTCCCGAGGGCGAGAACGCACGCAAGCTCCGCCGCGTGCAGGAGATCCTCGCGAAGGACAAGGACGCGGCTGCTCCTAGCTCGACTTGATCGGCCACCCGTTCGCCGCCGCCTCGTCCTCCGCACCCCGAACCAAGCAGGAAGGGCGTCTATGTATCACCTATTCGTATTCTAGGCTATCAGGCCACGTTGTAGAACAGCAGTCACGCATCATGAAAGTGACGAGAGCGGAAGAGACGGCTCCCCTGCAAGCCACTAGACGTCAATCTGAAGATAATAATACATGCGTGATGAACCGTGCACATCCAGATCAGAAAGTTCGTTCCCTTGCACCTGGTGCGACACGCTGACGAGTTGCGACGACGGACACGACGACGACTACAACAAAACAAAAAAAGCTACACCAAACACCTACTACTGCGCAACGAACAAACAACAACCTGCCTGAGGCTACAATGATGTCTAGATCAAGATCAAAACACACAAGCGTCCGGGTATCCAAGACACCGCTTCGTCCTTCGCACTCGAGTTCAAGCTCAAGTCCAGCTCACCACGTCCCCCACGTCCAAAATCCCAGATAGATCGCACCCGAACGCGTCGCACGCAACTCCACCTCCGTCCTCTCTTTCTCCGCTCCCCTCGCGCGCTCAGACTTCGGGACTCCCCTCACGCAGCACGGCCACCGCCCCGCCCGCAGCGGCCTCCTCCGCGCGCCACGCCCGCAGCAGCGTCTCGCCGAGCGCACCCCCCAGCGCGCGCGCGAGCGGGACGGGCACCGCGTTGCCGATCTGGCGGTATTGCTGTTCGCCCATCGCCACCGTGCGCCGTGCGCCAAAAAAAAACAATTGCGCGATCGCGGGCATCGGAACGGCGGGGTCGCAAGCGGTAAGCACGGGCGAAACAGGGAGAGGGGGAGAGAGAACGCGCACGTCGTCGACGATCCGGTTCGGCTTGTCGTTGACGGATAAGAACCGCCAGTGATCTGGGAACCCCTGCGCGCGCGCGCACTCGCGCACCGTCAAGATGCGCTTTTGCTGTGAATTGTTTCATCAGGCGTTCGTTCGAGATCAACGATGCGGTATGTGAGGAGGTGGTCAGAGGAAGGCGCGGGCTCACGAGGGGGTGGATGACGCGGCTGCCGCGGCTGTTGGGGACTACGGTCGTCATCGCGGTCATGAAGTGCCCGTTCCAGTCGATGCGGCCAAATTTAATGACTGCGAGGAAAGGGTCAACAAGACTAGGAAGAAAGAAATGGTGGATGCGCAATGTCGAGTACCTTTTTCCGGGCCCGTGCCCCTGCGCTCGGGTCGCAACACTTCGGGAAGACCTGAAGAACAAGGTGTGAGGATTCTACCAGGCAAGCCAGCGAGGTGCGGAACGCCATACTCCTGTGGTCCGCGTTGGGCTTCATCGGGATGTTCGACACGCTGAACGCGGGCAGTCAGCGTTTACGCCCGACCAGCTAGGAAAAGCGATGACGATGATCAGCAGAGTGCGCACCATTCGATCGTCTTCTTCGGGAACCGTCGGGTGTAATGGTACGCGACCGTCCCGCCTGCCTCGCCGCCGCGGATCCACATCTGGTACCGCGTCCGCGGTTCGTATGCATACTCCACAGGGTCCGCAAAGCCGGGGTAGGTGTCCCCCTCCAAGCTTTCCGCGGAAACGGCCTTGATGCCGCGCGCTCTGCGCTCTGCGTTTTCTTGTGTCGAGACGGTCGTGCGGGGCAACACGTAGTGCGGATTTTTCCTGCATGGCCGCAGAATTTAGCAAGCCCGAAGATTGGGTAGGCTAGCTTCCTTACCAGTCGAAGGGGAGCTGAGAAACGTGATGCTTATAGTCAACGATAGATCGGGAGAGAAAAAACCCCCGGACGCACAAGGTCGCCGATGGCATCTTGCACCTTGACTGGGTTCAGCGGTGCACCGTGATCGCTGTCGTCGCCCGTGCGAGTCACGGGCGACAGCGTCTTCCCATTGGCAAGTTTCGTAATCCCCATTCTCTGCTCGAAGCGGTGCGTCGGCACCGGGAATCCTGGAAGCGGAAGCCCTCGCCGTGCAGCCCAAAAGATGACGCGCCGCCTGGCCTGCGGGGACCCATAATGGCCTGCTTGGAGGACCTTGAAATGGACTTGATAGCTAGGCATAGGCAATTTGTGAGATGGACGTCAAGGCAAGGGCGCTGTGAAAGGAAACGCACCCGATGCTGGTAAGCCCACGGTTTATGAACTTGATAACGGCCATCGCGACTTCTGAGTCGCGTCCTTGAATCTTGTGGTGCACCATCCCCCACACATTCTCCAGGAGGAAGTAGTCGGGCTTGTAAAAGTCAACATACGAAAGCATATTGCATACTAAGGTATCTCTGTGAAAGCCATGAGAGCAGTCCAGGCCATAGATAAACCGACCACTGACCTGATATCATCTTGTTTCTAAGCGAACAACATCGTCAGTTCAACGTTCAGCAAATGGGTACTTCAGGTGTATGTTCACCTTATTGCTGTTCGCCATGCTGAAGCTCTGGCACGGCAGACCTGTGTCTTATTTAGCATCCACCGCCGGGCACATCGGCAACAGAACGTACCACCATAGATGAAGTCCACCTCTCCAGGCTGGGGCATCTGTTGGAGGCAAGTCTTGTTGTCGCGGAGGCTGAGCAGGGGAGCAGGCTCCTTTCCATCGCGAGTCTCGATGGCGTGCTTGAGGAGAAGATTTGAACATTGATTATACACCGTTGCATGCGGGTGATTCGCTCTTCATGGGGGCGAATATGGTCAGCTTGCTCACTAAAGTATATCAAGGACGACGAGGTCAACTTACTGGTACGTCAAGCAGCAACTTGGAGAGAATTCCACTGCCCACTTTGTCTGTACGAAGCCAGACATGTCGAAGCCAGCAGACAATCCGCCAGCCCCTGCGAACGAAGGCGAATTGGTCAACATAACCCAGCATCAATTCAGAATTAAAAAAACATACCCGCAAATAATTCAAGAGCCCGCACCGGACCATTTCGGCTCAAAAGCGCTTCCCTTTCTTCTAGATTTTTCATGCAACCCTGGTGACACCACTCGCAGAAGGTGAAGTCTTCCTGTGCCAAGCGGTTTAGATCTTTCCGAGATTTGACGGAGGCTGCCGATGTTTCCACCGAGTTACGAATGTAGAAGTGGTCCTCGAGGCTGATCCACTGATCGAAGTTGTTGATCGCCTTGAGATGCATAACATAGAATTTTCCGACAACTTGGGCAGCGTCGACAATGTCCTCTTCGGATGTGAGGAAAAGTCGTCGCTAATTTGACATCCAAATTCTATCAGGAACCCAGATAAGCATGGGCATAAATTACCTCGTCTTTTTTCCAATCAACAAGCTCCGGATCCCTCTCCAGCTCCTTGAGGACAACGTCGTCATAGCGGGCTAGATAACGAACGTGAATGTTCAGTCGGCGGGCACCCTCAATTCCAATGATCTGGGCCAAGCCGTATGTCGAGTCTCCGTTCGATGACAGGTAAACGAAGTCGCGGATGTGATATTGCACATCACGCAGAGAAAATGTGTCTTCCTTGGGCAGGACCTTCTCACGAAGCTTCGACAGTCGCTTCATCCCGCAGGACATGCACCTCTCGTGCGGCTCACAATGTGACAGTGCCCGTTCAGTTTCGGTATCTGAAATGTCAACAAATGCACATTCATCTTCATCCCATAGCATGCTGAAGACGAGTCAGCTATTAATGGAAAAGGGTTCCTGATACGACTTGCCTGCAAAAAAAGTCGTTCTCGACCGTCTCCATACCTAAAGGGGGCTCCTGCTCATTCGCAGCTAGGAATCGAAGATTGCACTTTTGTAAGATAGAGGCAAGAGGAATATCGTCACAGAGGTTCATCAAGAACAGGCTTTGAGGATGCGCCGTTTGCTGCAGGACTGTCTTAGAGCCATGAGAAAACCATTGGCCATGGCACAGCTTCTCGCCATTTTCTTCGAACAGATAGCAGATACGCATGAACCTACCAGTCAAGTAGCGGCAAAACATCGGAAATCTTACATGATTCGGGAAAGAAAAATCCGCATACCATTTTTCGTTTCCAAGAGAATTCTTGGTCTGGGCACCGACACTGACATGGTTCATCTCTCGTGCCCGATCATCATCTAGTCCTGGTTCAATGATCACTGTATCGCCGACCTGCAGATACGTTTCAGCATATGAGAGGAGGGATAGAGAGAAACGATGACCTACGTTATAACTAACACCGTCGATATGGACGTTCCAATAATGGTCATGAGCTCTAGAGCGTCTTCCCCATTTGATGGACGTAGGATTTTCCAAATGTACAAGCTCGCCTGCGGTAATGTGCTGGGTACCATATGTTAAAACATCATCAGGGATCTCTGATCCCGCGACTGTGAGCTCTCTTGGGAACAAGCCGTCCGCGACACGAGCTATAATCGGCGTTACAATGGTTGGGTTACGGTGCTTGAGCACCTCGTGTTCTACATTACTCAATTCAGTTGTCCGACCAGGTTCGCGTTCTACAAAGTTGCGGGGCAGTTGGGTGGTATCGAATAGATAGCGGATTAGGGGAACTCGGCCGAGTTTTATGTCCTGTTCTCCTAGCTTTCCTAACATGCTCAAAACGTATATCCTCTAAAAGAGTATTTGAGCAAGCAAAGAAATCAATGGTATAGAAGAAACGTACAACATCGTCGCAGAGGACATCCTCCTTACTGATCTCCCGACCGAGCATATCCACTGCCGTGGCTACATCGGGGGGAGAGAGAACTGTTACTTTCAAGGATTCAACGAATTGTGAAAGCGTGATCCGCGGGTCTGCAATAGAGAAAGCCACAATCAAGTGCAGAATTCGATGCTTAATCCAGAAAGATTCGAAAAATGGTGCGTATTGCTTCGACGGTTTATGTAGAATGTACCAGGCGTATTTTGTTCTCAGGTAAATTTTGCTGCCATGAGGAATAGCTGTCAGTCAGGAGCATTCATCCCTGAAATTTATCCAACTTACCCATCTATCCCAGTTTCGTCGGACACATGATGGATATTGAATTCAAGGATAGGGGACAGCGCGACGCGTTGTGTTTCTTCAGTTTCCTGTTCGAGTGAGTCCTCTTCGTTTTCATCTTCATCTTCATCTTCGCCTTCGTCTTCGTCTTCATCATCATCGTCGACAAATGGCTGTACAGAACCTGATGCCCGGTAGTGACAGTTCGGTGGAGGTGAAACGTCAGACTCAATGAGCGCCAGGAGTTGCTCTGTTTTTACGAGCTGTTGAGTCTCCGAGTCGTAGACAGAGAAATCACTCAGAATCCGAACAGGAATATCGTCGGGATCGTCGTGTGAGGCTTGCTCTCGAATTTCCGTTTCGCCAATGATCTGAAGGTCCTCGTCTTCCACGAGTTCAATTTCATCAGTCTCGTAAAAGGCTGTGACGGATTGTGAGTTTGAGTTTAAATGATTCAATGCATTTGCGAGGATGAATTTGCGCGCAACATACCTTTAGTAATATTACAGCCATTCCCGGCATCTCTATTTTGACCATTCACGAATTCGCTACCTTCTGAATCCACTCGAATATTAGTCTGAATGCAGCGTAGACGCAAAATAAGCTTACCATGAGGGCCGTCTAGACTGTCTTCAAGATTAGTTGTGTTCAAGCTGTCGACTGGGGGTGCGACAGAAGGCTTTGACAATCAAGAGATCAGAGACGTATATTCGATTGAGCAGGATCGGACAAACAAGTCGGGAGGTTTTATGCTTAAGACAGTGTTTGGGAGGGTGTGAGCTAGCCCGTAAGCTCGGGTTCGATTCTCTTCGTCTTGCAGAGTGGGCAGCATGTGGGGTAAAATCCAAATAGTCAAAACGCCGCTTTTTCTTGGGAGGAGTGGTGGATATCATGATGGGATCTTTGGGGGGAGTTGAGATATAGGCGAGTCGCTTGATCATGTCTATGCTCTGCTCATGCAAGATAGAACTGGTTCAGAACGTTCAAGAGTCGCTCGGCCTTCGACCGAGTCGTGAACAAGATGGCTTACTGAGCGTGGGACCCGATCATCAGACGCGTCGCGTTTGTTGAACGTGACCGCGCTCCAGATCATTGACGCGTTTCTCCTCGTTCTGCCATGTCTCTTCCCGTCGTCAACCTCTCCGTCAACTATGACGACGAAAAACGTATGAAATTCGCGTCTTCTCGCGTCCTCTGACGTTGATCGTCGTCTTTAGAGAAAATCGAGACATTCCTGAAGACGTTTGTGGGTGTGGACAAAGACGTTACTCATGGATTGGCAGACATGGACCTTGGAGACTTGGATAATGATGACCCAGCATCGAGAACGAGGGGGTTGAAGTACATGTCGCAGCTGGTATGTGTCTCTCTCTTCAGGATCTCATTGAAGCATTCATCGGGGCGTTACAGCAAAAAATAGCGAACCGCGAACAACAAATGCTCGTCATTGATCTTGAGGACATAGCGAGGGTACGCTCTCAGCGAACTACTCGTTTGTTAAACTCAAGAGTCATTAATGTCTGTGTTTAGCACGAGAAAAATGTCGCAGAACTTGTCTCGCGTATCCAGAGCAATACGCGTCGATATGTCAAACTATTCAACGAAGTTGTGGACAATATCATGCCAATTCCGACCAAGGATATCAGTGATCAAGATGAAGTCATTGACATTATCATGCATCAGCGCCGAGAACGAAACGAACAGATAGAGGGCCTGCAGGACGGTTTTCCGGTACACCTTCTGAGAAGATAGTGAGTCTTGCCAAACCAGGGTTCCGTGGCGCGAACTGAGACTTGATTGACAGCAACCTATACTTCCAACCTCTGCTATCCGATGTGGCAATGGCCGTTCGAAATGTCAAAGGATCTCACCTGGGCAAACTCATCACTGTTCGTGGCATAGTCACGCGTGTTTCAGAAGTCAAACCACTCCTGCTGGTCAACGCCTATACATGTGACCACTGTGGATCAGAGACCTTCCAGGAGATCTCGAACAAGCAATTCACTCCCATAGTTGACTGTCAAAACGAAAACGAATGCATGAAGAACGGTATCAAAGGCTCTCTGCATATGCAGACGCGCGCTTGTCGTTTCAGCCCCTTCCAGGAAGTCAAGGTTCAGGAGATGGTGCGTCGTCTCCATGATCTCAAAGGAATGATAAACTTGACATCCCGCGACAGGCAGACCAAGTACCTGTCGGCCACATACCTAGATCCATGACCATTCACGTTGGCGGGAACCTTACACGCCTCATGCACCCGGGTGACATTGTACACCTTGGCGGAATCTTCCTTCCTATCCCATACACCGGCTTCCAGGCTGTACGCGCCGGCCTTCTCACAGATACTTACCTTGAAGCGCACTATATTCATCAACTGAAGAAACAATACAGTGATATGGAGATCACACCGGAGATTGAGCGCCAGCTCAATGAACTCAAGGTCGATCCAACTCTGTACACCAAACTGGCGTACAGTATCGCTCCCGAGATTTACGGACACCTTGACGTGAAGAAGGCACTTCTATTACTGCTTGTCGGCGGCGTCACAAAAACGGTAGCAGATGGCATGAAGATTCGAGGCGACATCAATATCTGCTTAATGGGCGACCCTGGTGTGGCCAAATCCCAACTACTGAAATATATATCGAAAGTGGCACCGCGTGGTGTGTACACTACCGGCAAAGGATCCTCTGGCGTCGGCTTGACCGCAGCCGTTATGCGCGATCCTGTGACGGACGAGATGGTTCTTGGTAAGAATGAGATTCTCTCACGCAAGTCCTCTTGTTGACCCCGCTTTCATTACAGAGGGTGGTGCTCTTGTCCTCGCAGACAATGGGATCTGCTGCATCGATGAGTTCGACAAGATGGAGGAAGCCGATCGAACTGCCATCCACGAAGTCATGGAACAACAGACCATTTCTATATCGAAAGCCGGAATATCCACAACTCTCAATGCACGAACCTCTGTCCTCGCCGCAGCAAACCCTCTATATGGCCGTTACAACCCGAAGGTGTCACCTGTCGAGAACATCAACTTGCCGGCCGCTTTGCTCTCCCGATTTGACCTACTATTTTTGATTCTCGACAAACCGAATTGGGCGGACGATGAGCGGCTGGCTCAGCATGTTACTTATGTGCACATGCACAATACACATCCAGAGCTTGAATTCGATCCTGTTGACCCGGTCTTGATGCGGTGAGTAACTCCGATCCAACAGATCTCCAGAACTTTGTTTGACACACTCTCAGACACTACATTGCCATGGCTCGATCAAAACGACCAACAGTCCCGCGCGAAGTCTCCAATTACGTTGTGGATTCGTATGTCACCCTTCGAAAGCAATCCAAGGAAGAGGAACAGAAGGAGAAATCTCACACCTACACATCCGCCCGCACCCTCCTCGGCGTTCTCCGCCTCGCACAGGCTCTCGCGCGACTACGATTTGCAGACATGGTCGACCAATCAGACGTGGACGAAGCGTTGCGGCTGATGGAGGTCAGCAAAGAGAGTCTGATGGACGAGGACGATGAGGGCGACCACGACCCTGACCGGACGGCCATCAGCAAGATCTTCCGTATCATCAAAGATATGGGGAGGAAGGCACCAAAACAGAAGGGCCCACGACGATCCAGGCGACGCATGGGTAAAGGACCCGGTGGGGAACGTGCTATGGATGTCGATGACGACGACGATGACGACGACGATTCAGACAACGAAGGGCTGACTGATTTGTCGATGGTTGAGATCCGTTCTCGCGTGTTGAGTGCGTCCTTCACTGAGGATCAGCTAATGGAGACCATCGTTCGAGTAAGTCGTCTCATATGTCATGTCGCGACAACACTAATGGCTTTCAACAATAGTACGAGGAGATTAACATCTGGATGCGAGTGGCAAACGGGTCCAAGATCCGCTTCATCGAGTGATTCTGTCCTACCATGTCCTTGTTTTTGTGTATTTATAGTACTCTTCTACTGTGGTCGCTGTCAAGCATGCTATTATATATGGTGTAGCCAATAATATTATTGAGGGTTCTCCCATTCAATGTAGATCCACACGGCCATTCGAACAACAAAGCGAAGGCAAAAAATACGACTTCTCCACGTAGATACGACGTCCACCTATCGCGTCTGGGAAGCATGCTCCCAACTACCGTCTGCACTCTCACTTCTGCTCCCACTTCCACTAGGGCTAGCCCTATGCTCTCGCAGCTCTTCAGGCTCATCTCTGTATTGAGCGTGGTGCGGCGATGATGCGGTGTGAGGCTCTTCGTCATCCAAGAAGCCAGAATGGAAGCCCAGTCCACCTGGTGATCTATCCTGGGGCCTCCCACCACGAAGTCCAGTCTCTTCATCCGCATCTTCGTCGTCGGACGGCTCACCGAACGCATCGTACAATTCCTTCGTGCGTGGTGCGCCGTGCGGCAGTGAACGCATTGCGACATCGTCGCCGGCGGGCAAGGATGCATAGGCCGCACGACGCCGCCTCACTGCGCGACGCCAGAAGAATATGCCTGTGGCTATGCCGAAAATCGCAACGGCCCCAATTGCAGCGAAAAACCATTTCTGGTCCGAGACGAGGTTGGACATATCGGAGAACCAGCCCTCATCAGGGGTTGGGGTCATGGAGGCATTGGGATCGGCAGGCTTAGATTGCGAAATATCGTTCTCGTCGCCAGATCCGAAAGCTGGTTTTTCGGCCTCGCCCTCCGCGGTACCGTGATTATCGGGTAGGTGGTCAGTCGGCTTTGGATGCGTTTTGGACGTCGCAGAAGGCTGGCCTGGATGAGGCGTCGAGGTGGGGAGCGCGGGCAGAAGAGTCTCGAAGAGCGAGATATCATAATTCTTCTTGATCGTCGGGTCGATTGCAGAGCCCCATAGAGACAAACTCCAACCGAGGAATTGACCTGAATGGCCTTCGGTGCCAATGTCAGAGACGCGAATCGTCCAGTTACCAATGGGATCCTCATCCCTGTGATCGACATTAGCATCCTATAGATATGACATGAGGGATACTACTGACCAATGCTTGACGCTCATGAATCTCCATCCAGGGTATCCGGTGTCGGCTGAGTCCCCGTGTCTACGAGCAGCCAGTATGCTCTTCACACCATTGGGACTGACGAGCTCAACCTCTACATCCCCTCGCCGAGTATGAGTGATCCAGACCCTGACAGTAACGTGCTCCAACGTCTCGAAATTATTCTGTCCTAATGTCTCCTTTGAGACCTGAATGGTGCTCTGGAGTCCTCCAGGAACAATCTCTGCACCGCCAGCCATGGTTCCGAGAAGGTCGCATGTGCCGTTCGCAACTTGGACTGGGGGAATCTCAACCCACGCTTGAGGCTTCACGAGCTGCCATGTCTTGGCAGCATTGACGAAATCAATACCGCTCAAGGCACCGAAGCCATACTTATATGAAAAGCGACGGCCAGAGGCAGTTGTGTCCCAGTCAGGGTCGTCCGGGTTGATAACCTTTGCGGTGCGAACTGAAAGATGCTGAATGTCGCGCCATGTCAACTCAGGTCTGAGGATGGTAGTGAACAACCTGTCAGATAGTAGTAGTAGACGCGGAACATACCGCACGGAGAGAGCAAGGGCAAAGATGCCGACGGCATTTGGCGCCGCGGCAGACGTACCACCGTGAGTGGAAGCGCACTTATTTTTACCTACATCGGTTGTGACCTGAAACGCTCGTTCAGCAGGAGAGGCCATGTGCGAGGAGAAACTCCTACAATGTGCTGCCCGCTGCCAGAGCTGTACGCGACAACCATGTTAGCTGCACACGACTCTGAGTAGGTGGGGTGTAAACCCTTATAGTCGACTGCGGCCACGGTGACAGAATAGATACTATTGGTGTAGCCATCGAAATTGCACTGGTCGCCAGATGCGGCGCCATTGCCACTGGCAAAGACGAAGATAGAGCCCTTTCCACCTCGTCCGTTCTCAACACCATTGACCATAGCGCGCTGAATGAGATATCCTGGTGCTTCCATTGCCCTGCCATCGTCGGGAGGACCCCAACTGCAGCTATAGATAGAGGTGTTTTGATAACCCAAATTCAGCGCTGCCGCTTCATCCATATCAGAGATAGGCCCAGAAAGTATGCGAATGCCAGCAATCTTGGAGTTATAGGCGATGCCGACTCCGCAGACGTTGTTCTTCACTGCACCAATTTGGCCAGCACACCTAGTTCCGTGGTGGTCATCGAAGAGCTTAGGAGTTGGCAAAGGTTCATGGTCGTTGTAGTCATACGACCCCGCCGCCCACTGGATGTTGACCTCAGTATCCGTGAAGAATGGTCTGCGGATAACTCACGAAATTATCCGCTAGATCATCACTTGTATAGTCCAGTCCATCATCTACCAAAGCGGAAATGACACCTTCTCCTGTGATGCCCATCTCCCAGACCGGTGTGACGTTCATCATATGTTGCGGGAAATAGTCGTTGACAAGATGCCATTGCTGAGGGAATGTAGGATCCTGGATACTGAGACGTTCTGCAATCACAGCTGCCTGCGAAGGCGTCGACTGGTCGCCTGGACGAATTGGTGGTGGTGCTCGTTTCGTCCGTTGGCGAGGCTCTTGCCTCGACAAGAATTTGACAGAGGAAGCTACGCGGCGGACTTGCGTCGATGCGGTCGACCGCGAAGTCTGTAAAGCGGCTGCACGCCGTTGCAAGGCATCAAAGGTATCCAAGACATTGTCTGCTCTTCGTCTGTCAAGGAGTGTGTCTTCGCTCGGCGTACGGACGACCCAGTAGTTGTCCAGCTGCCCCATGCGTTCTACCACCTCTACGCCTAGTTCCCGTGTAGCTTCGGCCAGCGATGCACCCGCGCGAGGGTCGTGTTGTAGGACATAGTAGTTGTGTGTAGAGTAGGAACGTTTTTGGTGCGCGTAGGATGGACGGGCGTCACATGCGAGTAGGATGAGAACGAGTGATAATGGTAGAAGCATAGTGAGCGGGTGAAAGGAAGGGATGTGTCCGAGAACGAGCTGCAGTCGCCTGCACGGTACGACCACTTCCGTTACCCACTCATCATCACTCCACGTGCTCCAGATCAGATTATGTCATCCGTTGGCCCTGTATCTCGCCTTCGCTGAGTTGTAGATTCCTCCAATTTCATCGAGGCGTCGAGACGGAACCTGACAAAACAGGGCGAAACACGACAAGACGTGCACGGAGCTCCAGCGATATTCGACCGAATAGTCTCCATGGTTCGAGCAAACTGTGAGGATAATACAGAATATCGTCGACGCCGCAAATACCAGTACAGATACAGTCGTTGGATATTACAAGTAACACATACACATACCGTCCATCAAACCATCTCCAGTAACGGGCGATGAAAACCAAATACTATGGCTACCGCATACTTAGTCTACGCAAGAAAATCTACTCTGTGCAAACGCTCGGGAACCTCAACTGGATTGTACAACAGTTATCTAAGAACCACTCCAGTGCTTCCGGGTTCGAAGGCCCGCTCAAAGACTCAAGAGATGGGAAATTGCTCGTGAAAACCCCTGCACGCATACCGGACCAGAAGCCATCTAATGCAAGTCGATGTCCGAGCAGATCTCCAATGCACGGCTGAAGCTGGGATAGGATTCGCGTTGCTCGCGCAATGTGTTGCAAAGACGGCTCTGGAGGCGTCGCAGCTGTGTCCTTCTCCCAGGCCATGGTGAATACAAGTCTCGTCCGGCTTCGAATGATGTGCAAGTGCTGTAGAGCCATTTTGGCGAGCTTGTTGTAAGTGCCCATGTCCTTCAGTAGTACTTGAGAAAAAGCGATCCACTCTTCGATTTCTTCATTTTCCGGGTTGTGAGGATCCATGATTATGGCCAGCCCCATCATTACTGGGTATGAATCAATCACAAGGAAGCATATAAAAGCAAGACAGAGCTTACATGCAGAATCGAAAACAAGATGCGCAAGAGCCGACCATCGTATATGGGCGCGAGGAACTTGATTTTGAATAAGTTGCAGCATGGCCATTACACGTTTGCTTGAAGAGAAAGACTCAGGAAGCGAAGATGATATATATCGCGAACAGACGCACCAGAAAATGAGACAGATAGTCCTAGCATGTCGATGAAACATGAAAACTCTGCGTTCCTCTTCCGTACTGGGTTCTAGCCCATCCTTGACCGAACGGAGGAGTAAAAATGGACGCTGCACAAATTAATCAAGATCCAAGATAACATTAAACAAATTCCTTACCATAAGGACGGCGCGGGCATGGAAAATACCCATTGTCAGCATATGATTCTGTTGAACATGTCAGCTAAGAAATTGAGCCATGATGGATATTGCGGTGTCACCTGAAAGGTGAGATAAGGATGGGCAGATGCAACTTGACTTGATTGGTACCGAAAGGAGGCAGGAATGTCCAGTTCAAACTGGCGGATTTCGTCCTCGATGTCCAATATAGTACGATAAGTCGGCTTGCTGACGCTGCTGCATTTGTCCCACATCCTGCCAAGAAGCTGCGCATATCGACTGGAAAGCAGAAAGAATACTGTCAAATGAGGAATGAGATGGCAATTACCCATATCTTTCTCCGAAGAAGTGACTGACAAGAATCTGTTGGCTCATCTAGAGCTTTCGGTACCAACTCTGACACGTCTCGCAAATCGACTTGATCAAGGTTCATAGGCAAAGTAACATCACAGTGCTTTTCGGGTAATAGACTGTTAGTGGACGCCTTCATGTGATATACATGACTTACCTGCTCTTGAATAATGTAAGGACGCCCGTATAAAGTACATTGGTATCTGTGACACCATAAGTAGAATCCTACTTCAATTATCGAAAAACTGTACCGGTCAAGGATGAATAATGTCCCTATATAGTCAGTAAGCACCATCAAGAGTAACGATACCATGAAGAGGACATACACCAGATCCTCCTTCTAATTTCAGCATCTTGAGGCCTCATGCACCAAGTTGTCTCCCCGTCACGGTTCATGGCAACTGGAGCGTCTTAGTTGAAAGGTAATTTATTCGGTTTGACAGAACTTACGGGTATGGGCCATCCGAATTGCCTGGCCAACGACGTAGTAGCACTCCGCTGCATTGCCTTCATTCTAAATGTGTACAGCGTAAGAGGCAGAATCGTGTTGGTGGGATTTCGACCTACCCACTGGTACAAAGCAAATACAGTCAAGGCTTGAATACGTTCAAGTGAAGACAAAGGAGGCTGAGGCGTGGCTAACAAGACGTTGCGAGCAAACTCGTACATCCTTTGTTGTAAGATATGCCGCCCGTGTTCATAATCTGCGAATATTATAGACTATGCATCGCGTGAGGCTATGGCACCGCTGATATGGCCAAAGCACTCACGTCCTTGTCACTTTCGGGAAGAAATTGCAATGCAGTTGCGCATGTGATCGCCAACAGGGCAGTGAATTCGATGCTCGGTGGTATTGGTCCAGAAGAGAAGGTGAGATAGAAGTTCTGAAAACACGGCCGATGGATCACTGGCCACAACCATTGCACAGATGATTCATCGAAGAAGTAGGAAAGGAGAAAATCCGTGATCTCGAGATTTGGAAAGAAGGTGGACAACTCTGCGATCTTGCAAGTCTTCCCACCCCGAGTGGCCTACAGCAATTGAGTCACAGTTCGAAAGACCGGGCGTATATAAATTGGTGCGCGTACCTGTTGTAGTACCTCTGCCATCTGGGAAAAGGGGTGTGGATGAAGAAGAGGAGACTCATCCATTACGGCAACTGGAGGAATGTCGTCGGGGGACATCGCCCCAAATTTCGTGACTGTCTCAGGTATCGTCGGAGTGGGTGAGACCGGGGCGACAGACCTGCAGACGGGAGGTGCTGCCGGCGATGAAGTAGAATTTCCGGCTTGCAATAAATGCATCAATGCATCTAATCCCGCTAGAGCTGTAGGGTCCAGATTACTCAGTGTGTTTGAGACGAATCCCTCGAGTTGATTGATACGCTCGGTGAGCTCTTCAGACATCCCGTTTGTGGCGGGCTTGTCTTCAAGCTGCAGCTTGACCTCCATGGTTCTATGATCTAAAGTGCTGTCCGTAACATGCTTTCGTTTCCTAAGTTCTTTGGGTTGTTCGTATGCACAAAGGTGCTTCGTTCCTCTGTCGACACTGCCATAAAATATTAGGAATAAAACCAGGGAGAAGTGTCAGGAGGTAGGTACCATCGTTGACATGGTTGACCCCGATCGCATTGCTGCTTTCGTCGATGACAAGCTACAGAACAGCGTTCAACACGCCTTGAGTCCTTTCATGATCTATTTATTTGCAGATAAATGACCTACGTTGACAACTCCTGCAAGAGAGTTTTGAATGAAAAGCTGATGTCTGATGAGATGATGAAGCTCACAAAATGATTCTGTTCCTCTTCAGCTTCTTCTTCATCCCATTGGAAGACGCAGACTGAGGGGAGGACTGGGACTCGGAGGTACAATGATGCTGAAAAGTCACCGCCGACGTTATCGCCGACGTGTTCGGTCCCGACGCCTCAACCTCTGGCGACAAGGCAAATTCTGCCATCATATTTTCTCTCGTTGTCATGCGGTGAAAGATACTCAGCAGGGTGTGTGTGAAAGTGTAAGCATGGAGAAGGGGACATGGGGCGTCGGGGATGTCGATGAACCTCACTAAGCCCGTGTCAGGGTTACATAAGAATAGACGCCGTCCCAGACGCCGTCAACCACCAAGTCTGCGTAATGGTATGTATAAAATGTACAGTATGAGGGCTGAAATATAAAAATAGTCGCCCACTAAGCCGTAGTTAAAGTTAAAAATATATGTTGACTGTACCAGTACACTCAGCAATAGTCCACGATTACAGAAAGCAGCAAGGGTAGCAAAAACGGCAGAGGAAGAAAAGGGACACACAATCATCACTTGAGCCCGTAAGCCCTTTCTTCCTTGCCATCAGGGATTAACCAGCTAGCGACGGTCAGCTCGTATGGCGAAGTTTTAAGTGGAATTTCTTCATTTCGGAAGAATGCTTCGTGGACTTCGATGAGATTGCCAATGTACGGTCTCATGCGTTTGATGATATCCTCGAGAGCATCAGAATCCTCGCTATAATCGACTGGAGAAAGCCCCGCAAAGATCGGCCACTGAAGACGCGTATGAAGATTATGTAAAGCGCTAGTATCAAATCACGTACGGTTTCGTCGACAGCAACCACGAGTTCATCGCCATAATCATCTCGCAAGCGGAAAAACAACTTGATGATCCATACAACGTGCTTTTTCAGGGTATCGTTGCAGGTCGTGCATGCACGGCGAGTTGTAGGAATCCTAAGCAGTTGAGTCAGTAAGTACCTGGATGAGAACCATACTAAAGGTGACAGACTTGGTGCGGCAATTTGCACAATACTTGATGGAGCAGTCCTTCAGATCCAACGGCGCAAAGTCGACAACTCGGGCCTGTATCCGGAATCTACCAGGACACCGATCGCTGGCCACAACCTCTTTGATGCTGCTGAACCCGTCTGATTTATTCTTATTGGATGGTATAGAAGGAAGTGGCTTTATGCTGGACGCAGTGGCAGATGATTTCTTCCGTCTGTGGCAATCTGTCAGTGCTATCAATGTTCAGATGCATCACGTCGTTGGGTTACTGACTCGAGTAGCGCCATCAGATCCTTGTTATCGATACTCTTCGCGTTAAGTTGCGAGATCAGTCGGTCGCGCCCCCCCAGCTTGCCAAAAAGCCTGTGATTCGTCGCGTTCGGCATCAACCTCAGATGGGCAATATGATAGAAACAGCCTGGCTCCATGTTTTCAGCTATGGCATTTTGGCTATCCCTCAGAGCTATTGTAACGATTTGGTCCTCGCTATGTTTTACCCAATGAGCAGTTGGAGGTCGTTGAAGGTCTTTTCTGGTAGTGTAATCGGTCACGTATATGGTGGAGAATCCGGTTGAATCATAGTCTGCGTGGAGTAACTGTACATGAACGTCAGAATAGATGATCTGAGACTGTCAACTGTCCATACGTACCTCAACAGTACAGTCGAAGATTTCTGTCACCGAAATTTCGCTCAAGAGTTTGTGAGTAAATTGGTGAGGACTGGTGTTGGTCTCGTTCCATGCCTTCTTGCGCCTATGAAGTGTTAATCGTTGATCGCGAGCACATTGAACCGCCTACTCACTCTAGGAGCGCCTTTAACGTTGGTATCTGATCTGCTTGATCCTCATCCAGCCTCTCAGCCTTCCGGGTCTCAGAGAAAGTGCCTTCGAGAAATCCGCCCGTACTCATCTTCATCCGTACGTTACCTATGAACCAGTATTGGCCCCGTTGCATACTCTGAGCGAGCGTGGCTGCTTGATGCCACATCTCGATCTTTAAAACCTGGTTGGAAAGATTTGCGGGACACCAGTTTGCCACGTTCTGGTACGTCCCCTCCTTTGCGGTGTAGTCGGTCACATATACGCTGTGCGGGCCATTGTCGTTTGAGTGACAATATAGAATCTGGGCAAGGAGTCAGCTGATGATTTGTGGCTTGATTCGGTCCAGCGTACCTCCACTGTACAGTCGAAGTAGCCACTTGGGGGAGCCCTCGGGTCCGCGTCACGAATAAGTCGATGCTGTCTTGCACCGGTGTGCGACATGCTCATAGGAGCTTGCACATCACCTCCACCGATCTGTATCTCCTGGCCTTGAACAAGTTTCCGCTCCTCCTGCACTGCTTTCCACCAACTAGCCAGTCGCGCGCAGTAGGAAAGCTCCAGCGCACAAGGCGTCCAAATGGGTGAATAAAGGCCATTTTGGCTACCGCCATCGTTACTTGTAATCACAGGTTTCGTCAGGCCGGTCAGTGGATCGTAGATCGCCCATTGAAATCTGTCAGCGAACCCGGTCAAGGTACTCTGATAATTAAACTCAGAAGCCTAGAGGGCGCGAAATTAGTGCTCATATATGCGTGGCGCAGAAGTCAATCTACCCTCAGGCTCCGCAATATGATAACATCTCCGACATCTGGCATTGGAAGCCATTCTCTGCGAAGCTTCATGAAGCAGTTGACCTTTGCACCACTCCTGGGTAAATGCAAGTAGCCACCGAACTGATCCAGGTTGGACGGGTCTAATAAGGTGAGACACTGCGAGAAGTCTTCGGGACACATGCTCAATTCATATGGATACGCGGGAAACAATTGAGGCACACACCGCCTTTGAACGTCTGGAGTATCTCTCGTGCAGATGTGACGACGCCGATAATTGAGACAAGCTTTCCGTTCTCAATGTTGGCCATCGGGGTATAGTATCCCTAAACGGTGTTTCATCATGAGTAAAACGTTGAATGACAGAGGGACGAAAGACTCACCGCTTCGGCTCTCAAACCGGCTTTCATAGACAGTATTGGATTTTTGCTTTCTAGGGTTGCTGTAGACCCTGAAGGAATAAGATTAGATTTTGAATCCTCATGAGGCGCGCGATTAGCAATTTCCGAACGGGAAGACGTGTTGTCTGACACAGAGATTGGGACACGGTCTGCAATTGAAGGAATGGGACGCGGTAACGAAGATAATTCCGATGCTGTAGAGACGTGCGCTTGCTGCTTCTGTTTTTTCCTATCCGCTCTTTTTTCGTTTTTCGATTTCTTGCTGCGGGCGATCTCCTGTCGCGCTCCAGTGTGCTCCAGTGCGTATTGAGCGCCCGACACAGTCGGCTTTACAGTCGAAGTGGGACCTAAAATACGACCATCTGCCGGAGGCCCGTTGGCTAGCATAGGGGTCTCAGAACGGTGTGCAACAGAGACTAAAGGCCCAGCCATAAGCGAAGCATTCGTCAAAGGTGGATCCAACTTGGGAGAGGTAGCATCTGCAGGAGTAAATCTTGGCTTTGCAAGGGCAGCATCGGTAGGAGTCACTCTGCAGGAAGGTGGTTCAGGCGAGTACTCGGTGTGTGCCATGATGACTTCTCTAGTAGTAGCGTTGTTCGTCGATGTAGGCGGGGCGTTTCGAACGCTAGCGACCAGCTCTTGATGGCTCGTCGAGGATGTTTCAATAGGAGAAGAGAGAGAGACCACAGTAGAAGAGCGTGTCGAGTTTGGTGAAGCGCGGTCGATGGCTGTGGCATCGGACTCGTTGCCGCCAAGATTCGGGGGTACTGCCGGCACGGGCGGGGTATCATACCAGTCAAAGCCATCTGCCTTCTCCTGAATACCTTTATATATGCTATTAACTTTGAGTTGCGATTTCTTGACTGATGCATTCAACGTCAACCACGAAGCGTCGGAGCAATGAAGTTCCAGCTCACCTTGCCAGGCTTCTATGAACTTGTTGCTGTCTTGAGACGAACCTGGCCGATGAAGAATTTTAACAGCAATTCCGTTGCTATACTTTAGAGTAATATGATTCTGTGGGTTTTTGGGTTTGATGATTTCAGCGCCCTTCAGTGAGATCTGCAGCTCATCCTGCACTAGCAGTTCAATCCGGTTGCACCATGTGCCCTCGAGTTGGAGGTCAAGAACAGTAGCATTGAGAGTAGAGTCGTGCTCATCTCCATTAGGGACGGATAGCTTGTAAGTCCTGAGCTTGCCAAAAAACCGAATAATACGCGCGACGATGTAGCCTTCGTCCTCAGCACCATGTAGCTCCGTTACGCTCCTTCTGTGAACGAAGGTATTGGGAGAGGGGCGTGTAGGAGCAGATCGCTTGCGAGAACCTTCGAGTGCACTTTGTGCAGAACGTTTCATGATGCTTCGGTCCTTCGCAGGTGAGAGGGAAAAGTCGCTAGTCAGTCAGCCGCGACGCGACGTGACGGCAGAAGCGCGAGCGCGTTGAGTGGCCCTTCGCGTAGCGCGACGCGGACCCCGGATACGCCGACGTCATGGACTCTCTTCCTGCGCTCTTTCACAGAGCCCTCACTGCGCTCTCGAGGGCATCCAACCTACCTACAATCGACGATGAAACACAGGTATGTCCAAATAAAAGCGCTGCTTATGTTGTGTTCTGATGACGGACTCTCCAGGACTTGATCGCTTCAGCCCAAAAGGATCTTCGACAGGCTCGGTCGCGACTTTCAGACCTCTCCTTGTTCAGTCCAAACGAGATCCTGGAGGACATTGCAACGCGGGATCTGATATATTTATTCGTTCCATTTGTCCTCGCGGAGGCAGAATCGCGCGCCAGGGCTCTAGAGAGAGAAGAGCGGCTTGCACGTCTTCGTGAGTCAGAGGTATGTAATATCTGTCGCACTGGGATCTTCTGCGCCAGGTTTGACCGACTGCAGAATCCAGGCGAATCTTCTCGCATTTGTGTCTGGCCTGGAGAACTACGAGGTCGTCCCCGAGTCTGAGCGAGAGCTATATGGCAAGAAGGCACCTGCCGTCGCTGACCCAGCTAGGAGGCGGGAAGCCAAGATCAAACAATATCAGAAGGAAAAGGAGATTAGATCCAAGATTGACGTATGTGTGTATAAATCCAGTATCATTGCCTGATCCAACAACACAATTGGGCAGGCCCTCCGCCAGCGTCGCCATGCCACGGGCAATTCCCTCGATGACAGCCCCACCGACTTTGACCTCATCGCATCTCTTCTACCTATCTCGGCCTCCCCCTCCGCTGAAGAAGGAGAGGAAGATGATGCAGACGACGTTCTACGCGAAGTCACTCTGCTTCTCCTGAGGCTCGTGTACGCGCAAGCTCGAGCACAGTTGGATAGCCTCAGCCAGGAATTCGAGCTCTTGAAAAATGCCCCGCACACACCTCCAGGGCCTCCAGAGGGGCAGTCGGGATCCCGAAACACAGACGATCTGGACTGGAGGCTCGATGCAATGAGACTGTCCGGTAGAAACAAGCCACTACTGGACGCCAAGGGAAAGGTAAACACGCCTTCAATCCTTCAAAGTGCAAGTATCCTGGCTGATTGCGACCTGCCTGCAGCCGCTGCAACCATTCACAATCCTTCCATCCTCAGCCGCCGACCGTGCCCAATTGAAATCTCAGGTTTTCCAGGCTGACCACCGTCTACCGACCATGACCATCGACGAATACCTTGATATCGAGCGCGAACGGGGCAAATTCATTACCGGTGGGGGGTGAGTAACACGTTGCTCCATGGATCCCAGCGATGACTCATGCCTTCCGCTGCGTCAGCCCCGCATCGGCTGCTCAGCCTACGTCCAAGGAACAGCTGACGATGGATTCGGAGCAGGATGGTACTACCTTTGCGGAGGAAAAGGCGGAAGAGAAGAGACAGCAAGACGAGAGTTGGGCGAGGTACACTGACGAGAACGCCAAGGGTGCCGGAAATACAATGAACAGAGGATAGGTGCGTCACTCACAGAAGAAGCCGAAGTCATGTTTTCACTCGAAAGAGTAGTAGTTCAGGGACTACCCTCTTGCTCAGAGTTGTTTGTACCATATGTTGATACGCACGGGTTCGTTAGCAGTTCAGGTAGCTCCATAATTATCGCCGCTGCCGTAGATGTAAGTGGATGGTATATACTTGAAGTCGTGAAACATCGTTTCCGTCTAGAAGCAAAATGGTGATGCACAGGGGAACAGTCCGAAGTACAGGATCTAACATTGGCACTGAGATGCTTCTGGTACTTCGTTCGTTGCTGGCGAGGTGACGTCAATTTCTGCGAGTGATTGAGTTAAATCCTGCAGTTAGAGCCTGATGCAGATGATCTGGAATGATAAGAATGACGCACTCGTATTCTGCGCCTCCGCATTCTGATTTTCTTTCTCCATGCCGGGGAGCGACATAGCGATCTTCTTGAACAAGCTCTTGACGTTATGCCCTGCCTTTGCAGAGGTTTCCATAAACATGATGTTCAGCTGTTGTGACTTGGCTGTAGCTTCCTCCAGCGTGACTTGGCTGCAAATCGCCGTGTCAGATGCGCCGCAACACCAAGGTAGTTTTGGAGGATCTACCGTTTGTCTGACAAGTCGGCCTTGTTGCCCACCAGCACGACCATCACGTCATTCCCTCGCTCTGACCGCACGTCATCTATCCATTTTGATGTCGACAAGAACGACTGCCGATCTGCGTGTGCATCAGTCGGGGTAGACCGACTCTCTTATGGACAAGACTCACTTGTGATATCGAAGACAACGATGGCAACAGTGGAGTCTCGGATGTATGATGGGATGAGTGAGCGGAAGCGCTCCTGAAAGGGTCCGGATCAGTACTGGAGGTATGCCGCGCGTCAAAGAGAAATCGAAGCACCTGTCCTGCAGTATCCCAGAGCTGAAGCCGCACTGTCCGGTCATCGAGATACAGCGTCTTGCTGAGAAAGTCGATGCCTATCGTGGCTTGGTACGTGTTATCGAATGTGTCATACATGAATCTATGAATCAGGGCAGGCGGACCCATAGCAGAGCAGATGCTCAGAACACGCGCATTGGCCGCACTCGCACTCGCTGCTCCCTGCTCACCGTGTGATTAGACTGGTCTTCCCCACACTCTGGTCCCCTAGCAGCACGATCTTGGTGCGTTTGAGGGTCGACGTCAGGACGTCAGCGACGGGCGATGTCGGGGTGGCCATCTCTGTCTGAAAATAGGGCGTGGAATATGAAGCAAAGTGAGCCTGCACGGGGAGAAGAAAGGCGTGTAGAGTGAGTGTGCGCTCAGACGATGATGTCCTGTTCTCGAGGCACGGGCGCCTCGGCCGGAGTGTCCTATTTGGGCCTGTTTGCTACCCCGCACTCCGGCACTCCGGCGCACGTGGTGCAACGATCCCGTTCCGAGCTTCCCAGTCCGCGCCCGGAATCGGTGACTGAACGTTGGACCGCGAGCACGCACGCTCCTAAGCTTGCTTGCGATCAAAGTACATCATATACGACCGATGTCAGTGACCCTTCAGTCCCCCATGAATCACGGCGCGTAGTCTATGTGTTGATCGGATGGCGAACAGACCTGCTGCCTATGAAATTGGTAGAAAAACTCAAGGCCTCTGATGGGCCCTTCTACACGTTCGAGTTCTTCCCCCCGAGAACGGATCAGGTGAGCGCCGATCTCACTGTCACCCGACGCTCCTTCGATCCCGGCATGCTCGACAGGGCTTCAACAACCTTCTGCTGCGCATATCCCGCCTCGCAGAGCTCAAGCCGCTCGCAATCAACATCACATGGGGGGCGGGGGGCTCGACCAGGGATCGGACCCTCGAGCTGGCGTCACTGACACAGCGAGAATATGGAATCGACACCGTCATGCACCTGACGTGCACCAACATGGAGAAGGGGACGGTGGACGATGCGCTCAGAGTACGGTTCATTCCTGTCAGCGATCCTCGAAAGAGCTGACTGAGCGCAATGACAGGCTGCAAAGGAACTTGGTATCCAAAACGTCATGGCTCTCAGGGGAGGTGCGATCTATGCTGTGTCGTATGAACTTGACTCACCCGAGCCCGCGCTCAGATCCTCCGAGAGGAGAGGAGTACTGGATTCCTACTGACCCGCGATTTAAACACGCAGTCGACCTGGTGTCTTATATCCGCTCGAGCCCCGAGTTCTCTGATACGTTCTCGATCGGGGTGGCAGGTCATTTTGCCGTCTCATCCGTCTCTGTCTGTTTCTGAGCTGCTCCATAGGCTACCCTGATGGCCACACTGACAATGAAGGAACAGAGGATGATGAGATCGAGCACCTGAAAGCGAAGGTCGACGCAGGCGCTGATTATATTGTCACACAGCTCTTCTACGACGTGGATAACTTTATCCGCTGGATCGCCAAGGTCCGACAGCGAGGTCTGTGGAAATAACGGACGGGCGCACGAACGCTCGCTCATCTGTTCTAGGTATCACTGTCCCCATTATACCGGGGATAATGCCTCTCCAGACGTACTCTTCCTTCTTCCGTCTGACGAAGCTGTGCGGTATTCACGTCCCCGACTCCATGCAGGCTGATCTCGAACCCATCAAGGTGAGTCGCTTTCATTTGTCGATGTTCATTCGCTCTTTGTTCACAGCTCGAAGCACGACGACCAAAAAGTGAAGGATTATGGTGTCTCGTTTGCCGTGAATACCATCCATCGATTGATGGGCCGCGGCGGTATCCGGGGCTTCCACCTGTGTACGCTCAATCTGGAAAAGAACATACAGAGAACCCTGGAAACTCTAGGCTGGGCTCCAGGGAGCTCGAAATCGCATAATAGACTGATCGCTGTGCGTGTCTCTCAGGATTACTCACGTTGTACCCTTTGACACTCTGCATGCGTCCAGGAGACCCCCGTCGTCCACTCATCTACCGCCGATTCGGAGTTCATGGTCAGCCCTGCAAGCGCCACAAACATCGCGGCCAACGGGCTGTCGTCGCACCACAGACCAGGCGAGGGCGACATCGGAAAGGGAGAAGTGAACAACGCGGCCACCTGGGACGAGTTCCCCAACGGTCGTTTCGGCGACGTCAACAGCCCCGCGTTCGGGACCCAGGACCTGTGGGGCAACTTTAGCAGACTGGTCAGCGTCCTCTCCCCGCTCGCTGTTCGCTGTCCCCGGCTCTGACCCCGCCGCTCCCGTCACGCAGCCCGTCGAAGTGTCCAAGCAGTGGGCGCGGCCGCAGGGCGCGGCGGACATCACCGCGATCTGCCTGCGCTTCTTATCCTCCGAAACGGCGTCGTGGCCGTTCTCGCCGACCCCGCTCTCGCTCGAGTCGCAGCATATCCTGCCGCACCTGAAGCGCCTCGCGCGGGCGGGGTGGTGGCCCGTCGGCTCGCAGCCCGCCGTCGACGGACAGCGCTCCGACGACCCGGTCTTTGGGTGGGGCCCGGCGAACGGGTACGTGTTCCAGAAGGCGTTCGTGGAGTTCTTCGTCGGGATCGACGCCGTCGAGAGGCTGGAGAAGCGGGTCAAGGCGCAGGGCAAGGGGTCCGTCGACTTGCTCGCGGCCAGCCACACGGTGAGCGCTCCGTTGTGCGGCGGGGGATCGTGTTGACCTGCGTTAGGGCGAGCTGCGCACGAACATCGCCGAGGGGGAGCGGAACGCGGTGACGTGGGGGGTGTTCACCGGACAGGAGATCGTGCAGTCGACGATCATCGAGCGGGAGTCGTTCATGACCTGGAAGGTGCGCCGCGCGGTTCATCGCGTCCTCCCCCCCCCTCCCCCCTGCGCCGATCTGACGCGCCCGCAGGACGAGGCGTTTTCGATATGGAACGACTGGGCGTCGCTCTTCGAGCCCGGCTCCGAGGAGCGCGCGCTGCTGGAGGACATCCGGAACACGCGGTGGCTGGTGAACGTCACGCACCACGACTTCAAGGACCCGGACGCGCTGTGGCGGTTCCTGTTCGAGGACGCGCCGGAGGCGAGCGCGGGTCGATGAACGCATAGAGCACAAAAGTAGAAATAGCCGCATTTGCGTGTACGTACCGTATGTAGTCGCATCGCAAAGCCCTGCCCGGCGCGCACACCGCACAAAGCGGCTTCATTGCCAGAAGGACCGTGGCACAGTCGTGGCACTCGCGCGTCGCGTCGCGTCACGCTGTGCGTGACACCGCTCCCTCTCTCGCTCTCTCGATGTCCGTCGCGACGCCGACCGTGCTGCCCCGCTCGCCGCTCTTCCCCTCGCTGCTCCCGCGCCCGCCGCAGCCGCACCCGACGCCGCTGCCGCGCCGCGGGCGGTACGACGCGCGCATGAACGCGCGGCGCGACCTCGTGCGCGAGATGGACGACCTCAGCGACGAGGAGGCCGAGGTCGACGATATCGTGCGTGTGTCCCTCCCGTGTCCTCGCCGAGCTTCGATTGAGTGGCTGATTGGATGGGCGGGATGGGTGGTCGCGCGGGGCACAGACGTCCGCGGTGCGCAGGCGCGGGTACCACTTCCTCGTGCCGATCGGGAAGACGCTGACGCAGCAGGAGGAGAAGAACGACGTGAGCGCGCGCGAGAGGCTCTCCCCGTCCTGACCCGACTGACCGACTGACCGCCCGCACGCCCGCACGCACGCAGGCGGACGAGGGCTCCGAAGACGGCGACTCGGCCGCCTCCTCGCGCGGCGAGTCTGGCGGCTCGCACATGACGAACGGCAGCGACGAGGACGAGGACGAGGAGCACAGCAACAGCAACAGCAACAGCGACGGCGATGAGGAGGACGGCGAGGACCTCGACGCGGACCTCGACGCGGACATGGAGGACATGGACGAGCTCGGGGACCGCACGGGCGAGACGGAGGACGCGGACGAGAGCGGCAGCGGCAGCGCGAGCGAGGAGCTCGACTGAGCCGCGCGCGCTTGCTGTATATGATCGATCGAGACCGACACAAAGCGAGATGTAATAACTTATGCGCCGCACCGCGCGTAGCGTGTACTACTACTACTACTACTACAACAATACGATATACGATAATGCACGCCAGTATCCAAAAGCGAGAAGCGCCCCCGCGCCCCCGCGCGCGCGTCACCCGACGCTGTCGAGGGTCATCGACGCGACGCGGTGCGCGGCGTGCCCGTGCTTGAGGCGGCGCGCGCGCACGGCGAGCGGGCGGATCCAGAGCTTGACGTGGCCGACCTTGGACGCGGTGAGGAGCGCGCGGGGGAGGAAGGCGACGGCGGTGAGGATGTCGCCCTCGAGCTGCTTCACCTGCGGCGCCGCGTCAGACGGCGCGCACGGAGCAGGCACGGCGCGGCGAGGGAGGGGAAGGGGAAGGGGAAGGGGGGGGACGCACCAGGACGGGCTGCACGACTGCTACCTCGTTGCGCGAGGGCGCGGGGTGGTAGCGCGGGAGCGGGCCGTCGGCGAGCGGGGTGGGGAGGTGGAGCGTCGAGCGGTCCGTGGCGGCGGCGTCGCGGCGGCGGAGGGCGAGCGAGAGCGTCGAGGCGGTCGAGAGGCGCTGCGTTGGCTGCAGCTTCGGGCGGTGGAGCACGCCGCTGGAGAAGTCCCACTGGTGGAGGGACGCGGGCGTGAGCGCGCCGCGGCGGGCGGGGACGAGGGGGGAGGAGGGGGAAGGGGGGGATACGCACCAGGATGAGCTTGTTGTCTTCGCCGACGCTGCCGAAGCGGTACGTCCTGCCGTCGCAGCGCGCGTCGTCGAACGCGACGGCCGAGACGAAGGACGAGTGGCCCTGGCAGCGCGCGATGACGCGTTGCTCCCACGGCGAGAAGATGTTCACGAGGTCGTCCTGCCCGCCGGTCTTTTTCAATCCGGGGGAGGGAGAGAACGCGGGGTTGAGGTGAGCGGCGCATCGGAGGAGGAGGAGTGAGGGGGAGGGCGCGCTTACGATGATGAACCGCCCGTCGGGGGACCACGCGACGCTGGTGAGCGCGCCAAAGTACGCCGCGTAGCAGTCGACGAGCCTTCCCGCCGCCGCCGTCAGCTAGATGCCCGCGCACTGAAGACAAAAAGCGTTTGCCAACTCACTGCTCCGCCAGGGTATCGATCACCCGTAGGCACCCGTCCTCCGAGATGGCAGCGACGTATTTAACATCGGGCGAAAACACGAAATCTTAGGGATCGGGCAGGATCTCCGTCTCACGGCCCACACGATGTCGGACGAGGGACACAATCACGCACCTACGATGCTGCGGTGGGCGACCTTCCAGTGGCTGACGGGGTTCTTCGCCGCCTTGTCGCGCTCGCCGCGCCCGCCGGCGCCCGCGGCGCCAGGGCCGCCGTTGACGGGGTGCCAGGGCGGCATGGTGACGAAGATCGTGTCGAGGGGGTTCCACTCACCGGCGCCGGCGGCTGGGCGGGCGGAGGGCGGCTGCGGGAGGCCGGAGTGGGGGTGCTGGGGCGCGAAGAGGCCGTCGTCGCGGTCTTTGTCGTAGACGATGATGGTGCCGTCTGCGTGGGAGACGAGGAAGAGGTTCGGGGAGGAGGGGACCCAGCGGACGGCGGTGCAGGGGGATTTGGAGATTCGGCCCTGGATGGGGGGTGAGGGACGGGGTGAGAGGGACGGGGACGGCTAACGGAGACGGGAGACGGAGGCGCACCTGTTTGTTGAGGCGGCCGTAGCGCGAGGCGATGGGGTCTGGGTGCGGAGGCTGCGGCGTGAGGGTGGCTGGGACGGGGGAGCGGGAAGGATTGGGGCTCACCGAACCAGACGAGGTCGCCGGTGTTGAAGCCGATGATGACGTCTATGTGCTCGTGGGAGACGGTTGCTTGGTTGACGTCGTGGCAAGTGGGGTAGGCGGAGAAGGATATGCGCGTCAACGGGTCCTGGGCGTGAACGAGACGGGGTGAGAGGGGGTGGGAGGGGGCGGCGGGGGGTGAGAGGGGGGCGCACCTTTGACTTCAAGCCTGTTTCTAACCAGTAAAAGTTCTTTGCAGAGTTGTAGAAGAGAAAGGTGACGTCGCCCTGCTTCGCCTGGAGGGCCCTGGAGAGGCCCTCGAGGGAGTGGAGGCGTGTGATGAAGGTGGAGGAGGTCGTGCGCATGTTGTGCTTCGGGCGGGAGGCGGACTTTTTCTTGGGGGCGGGGTGGTGGGCGAAGAGGCCATGGTGCTGGTCGTGGGATGGGACGGGGGTGGGGGGGACGCTGTCCTGAGCGTTGGAGGGGTCGGGGGAGGTGGGGTCGTCCGGGGAGTCGCTGCTGGACACGCTGGCGGCGTCGTCCCTGTGCGGGGGGGCCCTGTCCTTCCAGGAGTCCTTGCTGCCGCCGAGGAGCTGGGTGAGGCCGGGGGAGGGCGCGGGCTTGGCGGGGGGGAAGCGGACGAGGGCGGCGGAGAGGCGGGTGGGGAAGAGCGGGCCGGGTGCGTTGTGGGTGACGGGGACGGGCTTGTGGTCCTCTGTGAGCGAGTAGACGCCCTCTGGTGCGACGAACGTGGACTCGTTCTCCATCGTCGCGACGAGCGGGCGACGCACAGGCAAGCGCTGGGACGCGCTGGGACGGCCCGCCAGGCACGCGCGCGTTCCCACCCCGGATCTTACCCCGCGGCTTGACTCTAGTTTGACATAGAGGGTGTAGAATAAGTGGGAGCTCCGGCGCCTGTGCTGCTGCTCGCCCCCATGTCCGCCCTCCGCCGAGCAACAGCCTCGGCCCTCCGCCGCCCCCGTCCCCGCCCCCCGCGCCGCGCCCTGTCCACCGACGCCGCGCCCTCCCCGCCCCCGGCCGGCGGCCACCTGCCCTCCATCGCCACCTCCACCCTCCTCCGCACAACCCGCGACGCGTCCCTCCGCACCCCCGCAATCCAGTGGCGCGACCCCGACCCCGGCCCCCCCGTGCCCGACCTCATCGCCGGCAGGGAGACCCGCAAGATGAACCTCTACCAGGCCGTGCGGGACGCGATGAGGTCCGTCCCTCCCTCCCTCCTCCCCGTGCCTTGCATCCCACTTTTGTTACGTGCCCCACAGCATCGCGCTCTCCAAGGACGACTCCGCCGTCGTCTTTGGCGAGGACGTCGCCTTTGGCGGCGTCTTCCGCTGCACAATGGTCTGTCCGCCCCTCTCCCCTCTATCCTCTCGCTCCACCTTCATCTGTTCGCGCACAGGGCCTCGCCGAGGAATTCGGTACGGATCATATCCCCCCTCTAAGCGCCTGCGCCCGCGCTCACCCTTCACCCAGGCCGCGAGCGCGTTTTCAACACCCCGCTCTCCGAGCAGGGCATCGCCGGCTTCGCCATCGGCATGGCCGCCATGGGCCACACCGCCATCGCAGAGATCCAGTTCGCAGACTACATCTTTCCCGCCTTTGACCAGGTACCGCGCGCGCGCTTTCCTCCCTCCCCGTCTCTCACCTCACCTCACCTCACCTCTCCAGCTGGTCAACGAAGCAGCCAAGTTCCGCTACCGCAGCGGCGGCCAGTTCAACGTCGGCGGCCTCACCGTGCGCACCCCGACCATGTCCGTCGGCCACGGCGGCCTCTACCACTCCCAGAGCCCGGAAGGCTTCTTCATGGGCGCCGCGGGACTCAAGGTACGCCGCCCGCGTGCTTGCCCACACAACGTGCCCTCACCCGCTGCAGATCGTCATCCCGCGCTCCCCGATCCAAGCTAAAGGCCTGCTCTTGGCCTCCATACGCGACCCCAACCCCGTGCTCTTCATGGAGCCCAAGATCCTCTACCGCTCCGCAGGTGCGCGCGCCCCCTCGTCCCCCGCTGACCCCGCTGACCCCGCCGATCCCGCCGACCCCGCCCAGTCGAGCACGTCCCGCTCGACGACTACGAGCTCCCCCTCGGCCGCGCCGAGGTCCTCGTCCCCGGCACAGACCTGACCCTCCTCTCCTGGGGCACGCCCCTCTACCACTGCGAAACCGCCCTCGCCCTCCTCGCCCGCCCGCCCCCCGCCCTCGCCCCCCACGTCCCCGCCGCCCTCCGCACCGCGCGCGTCGAGCTGCTCGACCTCCGCACCATCCTCCCGTGGGACGCCGAGACCGTGCTCGCGAGCGTGCGGCGCACCGGACGCTTGGTCGTCGTGCACGAGGCGGCGCGCACGGGCGGGGTCGCCGCGGAGATCGCCGCGGAGGTGCAGCGCCGCGCGTTTTTGAGGCTCGCCGCGCCCGTGCGGAGGGTCACCGGATGGGAGTGAGTGCCGTGTGCTTCGTTTGGCGTTCGCGCGTGCCGCTTTTTTTTTTTTTTGGTTTTTGGTTTTGCTGACCCCCTCCTCTCCCCCCTCGTGTGTGCGCGCGCGGTAGTACCCCGGTAGGGCTGCAGTACGAGCGCTTCTACATCCCGGACGCCGTGCGCATCCTCGACGCCATCGTCGAGACGCTCGCGTACTGACCGCGCGCGCGCGCGCGCACTCGGTCACACACGCATGCAAGCGCGCACGCACGCCATCGTTGGAACCTTTGGTCGGAAGGATCTCGTCCCGCTTTGTGTACACTATATACATAACAGACAGACAGACAGCAAGCATGTACACCACCATACCATATCATACCATCACGCACATACACGCACGCATCGCTTCCCCGCGCGCCAAAAAAAAAAATACAATAAAAAAACGTGCGCGCCGCCTACCCCTCCTTCCGCACGACGATCTCCCACCGGCGCAGAATCCCCCGCTCGAGCAGCGCCGCCTCCCACGCCGCGAGCATGCGCGCGCGCGCATCGAGCGGCGCGCGGTCGGCGGCGTGGGCGCGGCGCAGTGCGAAGGCGCGCGCGTCGGAGACGTGGGTGGCGGAGAGGAGGGCGAAGTGGGCTTGGTGGAGGTGCGAGAGGACGTGCGGGAGGGAGGCGGTCAGCGCGAGCGAGGTGCGCGCGGGCTCGCGGCGGGTTGCCGGCGCGGGCTTCGGCGGTGGTGGTGGGAGGAACGGCACGGCGGCGAGGATGAAGGAGGGGTCGAGCGCGAGCGCGAGCGGCGAGAGGTGCGCGCCGAGGGTCGTCAGGTGCAGCGTGAGCTTGAGCGGCGCGCGCGCCGCCGTGGGGAGGGCGGCGTGTAGGTGGTGCAGGAGGCTTTCGAGCTCGGGTGGGGGGACGGCGTCGAGGTCGAGGGCGAAGGAGGCGCGGGGCGGCGGCGAGGGGGGGCGGGGCTCGTCGTTGTCGTTCCCGGGGGACGGCGGCAGGTCGCCCTCGCGTGCGGCGAGCGAAAAGCAGAGGTGGGCACCTGCGCCGCGCCGCCGCGAAAACGCGCCCCCGGTCAACACGGGGCGAACGGCGCGCATACACCCGCGTAGCCGCGCATACACGCACCTAGAAACGCGTCGAGCTGCCGCGCGCACGCTCCGTCGCTCAGCGGCGCGCTGGGGCTGGCGCTTGGGCACGCGGGGAAGGGGGAGCGGCGACTCACGTCGAACGGCGCGGGGAACAGGCGCTCGCGCGCGAGCTGCGCGAGGACGGTGCACCGGAGCCCGACGTCCACGACCACGCGCACGCGCCACCCGTCGCTGTCGCCGCTGCCGCCGCCGCCTGCACCGGGCTCCGCGCCCGCGAGGAGCGCGTGCAGGCTCCGTGCGGGGTGTCTGAGCTCGACGGCGCCCGCGAGGAGGTCGCGCAGGAGTATTGCGAGCGGGAGGTAGAGCGTGTGCGATGCGTCGGCGTCGGCGCGCGCGGCGAGGGCGGTGTAGGGCTCGGGCCAGCGGGAGCGTGTTGGGACGAGGAGGCGCTGGAGGGCCGCGAGGGCGCGCGAGTCTGGGAGTCGGGGTTGGGCCTTTGGGGGGTGTGCGGGGCGCTGGCGTAGTAGGCCTAGTCCTAGGACGAGCGCGAGCGCGAGGGCGGAGGCGAGGAGGGCCAGGCAGAGCAAGCGGTGGGGCGTGAGGTGGGGTTGGATGTCTTCGAGGGCGCGGTGCCAGTCTACTAGTGTTTTGAGAGATTTTGGGGAGCCCATGTGCGATCCATTTGCAGTCGTGCGGCGGAGGAGGATGGTGGGGAGAGACATGCCTGTGTGCATTGCCCTGCCTGGCTGTTCCCGAGCTGGAATATGGCGGCAGATTGCGAGACACAAAATCTCGGGCGTTGTACACAGATACAACGTACCCTGTGCGCAGAATGCCCAAAAATACGCTTTATCACGGTTAAGGTCGATGGCATGTATAAAAGATCGATGTATCCCTACAAACGACACCAGCAGGATTCGAACCTACGCGGGCAAAGCCCAACAGATTTCTAATCTGTCGCCGTAACCACTTGGCTATGGTGTCTATCCTTATTGGCTGCTGTAGGTATTTACCATAGCCAGGACAAGTACTATAAGGCGACGGCGCCTGTCTCTCGCAGTCTGCCACCATCCAGCTACCTCCAAACGAATCAGCGTCTGATGGATAGGTTTGCTTTCTGTCTTGTTCGACTTCAGCCTGCCGCTCTTTAATTATGTCCTCACAGTTTGGAATTTAATATCCACCAACTTGTCTTGTCCGACTTGGCTGCCAACATTGGCGAATCGGCAGATGACCCTTCGGACCCCACACTCGAGTCTTCTATAAATTTCGTCACCTCGAAAGTGACCACGCGCGCTGTCCCAGAAGATGTAGCTGTGAACGGCGATGTCAAGGCAGGGCTGGAGCAGAGAGTCTTCATGGTACGTGTACACTTGCGAACCATCACCTCACGCGTTTGAGCCCTCGTAAACCCGCCTGCTTTCAAGCCTGCCTCTAGAGTGCGCTGCAACATCGGCTTTGGCGAGCTGGCGGTCAACCTGCCAGAGGCCCTGCTCGGAAGTGCTGTGCCCGTCCTCCTTGACATCCTGCGAGACATCCCATATTTTGACTTTGACCGGAACCTGGCATGGGATGGTGTGTGCTCCTGCTCCAGAGTCGAATGACATTGATAGACTCGCCCAAGATTGGTCTCTCCCGGACCAGCTGGTTTATTCCACCGTGGTTCCACTGCTGCAGATGGCGAACGCCTTGCCGAACCACAGAGAGGCGATTTCTAATGCTATCCTCACATTCGTGTCCGTAACTGTGCACGGCCTCCAGAACGCTACCCGTAAGCTTGCCTGCGTCGCGTTCTCTGCGCGCGCACGACTCACCTTGCACGACAGCGTCCGATGTTCTCACACACTATGCTCCCGCGTTCCATGGCTTCTACCGAGCCGTCATCTCTACTCCGTTCACCTGGCAGTTCGAGGACTGGCATCGTCTCTCTGACCAACTCAATATCTTATTTGCACCAGATGTCATCGAACATCTTAATCGGCTCTTGGTGGACATATTTCAGACGGAAACTGGCGACCCAGAGGCTCTGGACTATATCCAGACCCTTCTCTCTCGATACGTGGCTCACGGACGGCCTCTGAATGGCTACTTCTTAGTGTGTTGTGTGATCGAGGCCCAGTGGACCATCCTAGCTCAAGCTCTGTGTCCTCCTGATATTCCCTGCAAATCAGGTAGGAAGGAGACCGTCGGCGCCGCAGCCGCGAACAAAGCGTGGTCCATACTGTCGCGCCGCGCCGCTTCGCAGTCAGGCGTCAGCGACTCTCGTATTCAGAGTGCCCTCAAGTCGACGCTCGATCTGGCCATGCAATCTTTCACTGATCTTCTGGCGCAGATTGAAGAGATGGAGGCTGAGCCGTCGATTGACACCTATGCATGGGAGACAATGTCTGAGAGCTTGGTGGGTCAAGCACGTTTTCTCTCTTCGACCCCAGTGCCCATGAATTTCTGCAGAAACTTGGATCAGTCTGCTCAGTCGTCCTTCACGACCTGGACAACAACCTATTTTCTCGCCTCAAGATCATCTTGAGTAACGAAACGACCATCTCGGACAGTTTGGTCCAGGTCGCCGCTTTGAAAGCCACGACGATACTAGTGCAGCAGTATGCATGCTACCGTGTTCAAAGGGAGCATCTTGGTTCTGACGTCTGCCCAGCTTCCCGGAAACCGCACCGTCTATGGCGCACCACCTTCGGCGATTCGTCACCTCTCCGCTTCCGGCATTCGATTATGAGTTCGTCAGCGAGACGAGCGCGCCTGCGCCTCTCGCCGCCGCCGCCAAATGTCTTGCGCTGTGCATCAAGGTATGGAGATCAGTCTTGGGCCCGTTCGATGTGCTCACCCGGCCTCGGCAGTTGGCTCCTGGCGATGATTTGATCATGTCCAATATGTATTCCTTGCTGAACTACATCGCTGCCACCAGCAAGGATACACACGACGGTTCCATTGCGCCACAGTCCTTGAACAACTCTGCATTCTCTGGATCGGATCATCTCACTCTGCATTCCGTCGAGACTGGCCTCCGTGGATACACAGAGGACGAAAGGAGACTGATAGGGATCAGCACGATCTCTGTCGTCTCGAGGTTGGCTCTGGAATTCCAACAGGAAGAGGTGGCGTTATCGAAGTTCCTCTGCCGGGTTTTGGCGATGTTGACAACACACCTCAGGTCACGAAACTTACGATCGCGATGCTGGTACAGAGGCTGCGCTCCGCCGATCCGACCGCCGAGGCTGCCATCGCACACAACCTCGTGGACTTGGCGTTGAAGGCCCCAGAAGCGTCGTTTGCGGATATCGTTCGAGCGTTTTCCGCGCTCAATCTATCGGCCAATCCGGATGACCCCCGCTTCTCGAATAACATGGTAAACATGTGTCGTCCCCATGTCCAACTGGTCTCATCACGCGTACTCTCTAGATATTGGCCGCACAAACGAAACTCGCGCAACATCTGGACCAGAGACCGGAGTTTTACGACTTGTATCTGCATGAGCTTTTGACCTTGTTTTGTGACAAGGGTGTGGCAATACAGAACATGTCTATCCAGAATCGACACGCAAAGGTCGGTGGACGCTGTTCCCTTTGATTTCAACCTCATTCATCATGGATTATTTTGAAGACGGACGACATGATCGAACAGCTCGTGTCATTGCTCCTTCCCATCGACGCATTGCTCAGCCACGCCGACTATAATCCTCAAGTCCGAGCATCGTCCGCCCTCGTTGCTCAGTTCCGTAATATGTGGTTTTTGTGTATGCTCTTCCAGTTCACAGTTCCAGAGGAGAAGGAAGCATCCGCGACCGACTGGCGAAAGCCTGCACTTTCCCGCATCGCGGTCAAGACACCACCCCTAGTTTCTGAGGAAGCCCATGACTCGCTCGTCAGCGATGTGGAGTACAACTGCTCGATCCGCCAGACCTTTGCGCAGAATGTGAGCTTTAATGTCTCCATAATCCTTTGGGACGGATACTGATCTGAGCATGTAGGCGCTTGCGAAACATCGAAGCCTTTTGACAAAGTATTTGCCGTACCACGCCGGCGAGCTCCGCTCGATGTCTCCCGGACAAGTCATACTCCTGCTCACTATGCATGACGTTGAGATCATGCGTGCGGCGGCAGGCCTCCCGTCCTCCCTCCTATGCTACTTCACAAATAAGAGCCTCAATGAACATCTAGAACTGAGCACGTGTATGCATTCCATGGCTGAAAAGGTACGACATCATTTCCATCAAGAGCTCGTGCCCGAGGGTTTACTGCTTTCTTAGATCATACATGACTCTGTGATGGAACTGAGCTTGCAGGCAAGAGAGCAGTCCTTACCTGAAAGCTTATCAAAGGAGCTTCGGGCACTGCTGATCGGAAGCACTCATCGCGTATCGAAAGCGCGGGAGGTCTCGTTCAAATATCTTCACAAGTTGATCACTTCCTTCCCAGCGCTATTGTGCGACCCGCCTCTCGTGTTTGCCATCCTGGAAGTTCTGACGCTATTGCGTCGGGCTGGGGAGGAAGAGTTCATCGACGAGGTCTGTCGATCACCCCCCTCTGTTCTCTTATGCATCCTGATGGTCACCTCACTCAGTACAATCCTGTTTACGAATTCCACTCTGAGAGGGCGGAGGTAACACTAGAGCTGAGCGATGACTACAAAGTCAGAGAAGAGATCTTGAATACCCTGTATCGAAGCGCGGAACTGTGGTTCGAACTGGCTTTGAGTCGTGCGCCTGTCGAACTGCAGTCTACACTTCAGGTGTGTACCTTCAATTCCGATCTCCGCACAAGGGCTACATCGTCGTTCTCTAGAAATATCTTGCCGTGAATCAGTCTCTGTCACCTGTCGACACCGTCGACCTCGGCGCATCCGTTGCAGAGCGATTTGGAAAGGCGATAGGCCCTGTCGAGCGGAAGCTGTGTATGTTCTTCACGGCTTGACTTACGTTCTGCGACTCATAACATCTTTTGTAGCTTCTCTCGCCTCCCTTTCTAAATACAGGCTCGATCGTGCCAAGGTTCTGGCTAGTCAGATGGCTTCGAAGGGCTATTTTGCAGGCGAAATCGCTGGCCTTCGCTTGGCCAGCAGAGGAGGTAGGCGGTATTTCTTTGTGTACCGAGCGACAGTATTGATATCAAGATTCAACAAGGCCACAAGCTTGAAACGATGCCCAACGATGAAGACCCTGTTGCAGAAATCGAAGCGCTGAAGACCAAGATGGCAGCTGCGCTTCACGATATCAGAGAGCGGCACAGTTCATTGACCATACAGGACTTGAAACGTCTACTGTTCCGATGTGCATCCGCGTTGATATCGGTGACGAGGGTAAGAATCATTTTCTGTTACACTTATGATAATTGATGCGTGTCTAGTACGAACACAGTCTACTTCATTACATCGTAGTCTTGCCCTTCGAAGTCTTCACACCGTCTGCCATATCCGCCGGAGTTGAAGTCTGGACCTGGGTGATTTCAGAAAGACCTGAATTCGAAATCGCCGTTGTGACCGAGATCAACTCCGCGTGGATGGCGAGCATCAAACAGGAGAAAGGCATCTTTTCCAAGGTCTTGAAGTATGTCTCTTGTTTCATTTATCTCGTTTTGAAGCTGAAATTCAATGGTAGTTACGATGATCCCTTCTATCATCCTGTAGACTATGCCCCCACGGATAAAGAGGTCATTGATCGGGCTACCAACAATGCTCGTCGGCATCTGTCTCCCCATACACTCATTCTGCAGATGCTGTTTAGTCGGCTCCAAGCAGCTAAATATCGAAAGCCTGGCTTGATGCTTCTTCTTCAACGTTTGGTCCTTCGTTCCGCAAGAGCGCACCGTCATATCAGGTATAGAGAGGATAACGACTTGTCCCGCGGTGTATCGCTGACCATGGCCTAGTACTCATCCTCTTGCTCGTGAAGCGCGCTTTAGTTTCATTCTTTTCGGATTTGAGACACTGAATAGCTCTCGATTGGATTCCTTCTGTGAATATGTCCTCCGCGAGAGCCTGTACACGGCCGCTTTTTCTTGGTTCTCAGTGAGACCTCAGTATGTTGCATTCATCCTTGCAATGAGAAGATAGTTGATTCATGCTTTTGACAGATGGTCGCACGGTGCTAACCGTCTGCAGATGGACGCCGATATGAAGTTACTAGGAGAGTTCTTATCATGCTTGCAATCGGACACTGCTCGTTGCTTTTATCAAGTATCGAGCCTGTCTCCATCTCAGAACTCGTCGGCAGACTCTTGTATGTCTCTACCAAACCTCGCTTTTGCTAAGTGATTTACACGAGCGCTTTTTCAGCCTATATCACGCGTCTCAAAAACTTGAGCGCTCCTCTGAAGCTGTTGGTGGAGAATGAGATGTATCGCCTGTCCGTCTGGGGCAATCCGATCAATGACGCCAAAAGAGGTGCAGACTACGCTGCAAACGCGGAGCGAACAATGTTGGAGGTACTGTCTTTGCCCTCCCGGTGTTATGTTATTGGGTTCGATTATTTTCCCACAGAGTCAATGGATTGCTGCTATTCGGACTGTTTGGGAGGTTGATCCTGCTATCGCGGTTCACTTTGTGGAGCGCTTCAAGCAACCTGCGGTCATGAACGAAGTCAATCGATCAGTGAGGTCTAACCCACGCAACGTTCTTCATGTACCAGAAGCCGTGCGATATCTATTAGGAGAGCGAGTCGATTCAGGTCTTCGCCGTGACCTAAGGGTATGTTCTACCGAGTATCCTGCTTGCTGACGTTCTCAATTAAAGGCTTCCATAGCACTTGTTAGTCTGGGATCCCGTCCCTCCCGTGCTCGCAGTGACGTTCTTTGAGCCTCGGTATCACAACGAGCCAGTGATTCTTCAATATGCCCATCGTGTTTTGGAGCAGCATCCCGTCGACTTGACATTCTTTTTTGTCCCTCAGATCGTGCAAGCTCTTCGCTACGATGACCTGGGTGAGCTCTGCCCATGCGAAGCATTGATTGTGCCTAAACCCCTACACCTGAATCGAAGGTTACGTTACACATTTTATCTTCGAAACGGCAAAAATATCTCAGCTGTTCTGCCATCAAATCATATGGAACATGAAGGCCAACTGTTACAAAGACGATGCCGCTGAAGTGGTGCGCTGAACTCGTCGCCATTGTCTGACTCTTCTATTAACTTCGTATCACAGGAAGATTCCATGAAGCCCATCCTGGATCGAATGACCGATCAGATTGTGTCTTCATTATCGGGTGAAGCCAGAGACTTTTATGACCGCGAGTTTGGCTTCTTCAATGAAGTAACGTCAATATCGGGTAAATTGAAACCTTACATTAAGAAGTCGAAACCGGAAAAGAAGGTATACATATCTGTCTTTCATACGGGGATTCTGTTGATATTGTCTGCAGGCCAAAATTGATGAAGAAATGGCGAAGATAGTTGTCGATGTTGGGGTTTACTTACCGAGCAACCCAGATGGTAAAGTGGTTGATATTGACAAGAACTCTGGGCGGCCTTTGCAAAGTCACGCCAAGGCAAGTTTCTCTTAACATTGAGATTCATGTCATGCCGTCCTGATGAAATTAAATTATCAGGCGCCGTTCATGGCGACGTTCAAAGTGCGCAAGGAACGGATAGTCATTGACGCCGATCCCGACTCTCTCCTTACCAATGACGAAGGAGGTGAGGAGCATCGACAAGAGCAAGATGTATGGCTGCAGGCTATTTTCAAAGTCGGCGATGATTGCCGTCAGGACGTACTTGCTCTACAGCTCATCGCAATGTTCAAGAATATCTTCACAAGCGTAGGATTAACACTCTACCTGTATCCGTACCGCGTCACGGCAACCGCACCTGGGGTGAGTATCGCTAGATTTGCCGGACCAATTTCACTAATTCCAGTCGTAGTGTGGCGTTATCGATGTTGTACCAAACGCAACTTCTCGTGATGAGATGGGTCGTGCGAAGGTGAACGATTTAATCGACTTCTTCGTAGCCAAATACGGCGGACAAGACAGCATCGCGTTCCAGAAGGCACGGTTGAATTTTATTCAATCCATGGCCGCGTATTCCCTTGCATGCTACATATTACAAATCAAGGACCGTCATAATGGAAATATTATGATCGATGGAGAGGGACATATCATCCACATCGGTACACCATTTCGTTCTTGATCTGTATATGATTTCCTGACTCACTACATTCATCAAACAGACTTCGGCTTCTTGTTCGACATAGATAAGTCTTTCTTCCGAACACGTTCGCGTATAACAAAACTGATCAATGCTCTGCTCGACGATGTTTACGTCCTGGAGTAAGCACTTTACACTCTACTATTTTCCTACCACCTCTGATTTGATTTGATCAACGCAGGGTGTCAAATTTGAACCGAACTCATTCAAGCTCAATCACGAGATGGTCGTTCTCATGGGCGGGCGGTACTCGCAAGGTTACAACCTCTTCCAGCACCTCACCGTCAAAGGCTTCCTCGCCATCCGTCCACATGCCGACCAGCTCATCAGCACTGTCCAACTGATGCTCGACACTGGTCTCCCGAGTTTCAAGGGCGAAGGCACTATTCGTCGTCTTCGGGAGCGCTTCGCGCTCGGGTACAACGAACGCCAGGCGGCAGAATGGATGATGAACATCGTCCGTAATGCGCATGAGAATGTGCGCAGCACGGCGTACGACGAGTTCCAGAGGGTACGTTTCAACACTATGTCGCCGCCGAACGTGGACTGAACGTTGCCCTTTTTTGTCTTCCTGTAAAACAGATCCAGAATGGTACGTCGTACCAGAAGTGGAAGGTTACATACCTCACCGACCTCATCTTTCACAGGGATACCATACAAATGAAGTGTTTGACGTGTCATCGCCTTTTTATCATGATATTGTACGCCTCACCACGCCACAGTACCCATCTCTACAATAAATGTAACCGGTTGGGATTTATCCAGTTTTCCGCACAGGATCCATTATTTTTTCTTCCTTCCGGACGATGGATACAAACGTCCAGGAAAACATAAGTACTTCCACGAAGTCCACCGGCACAAACGACGCCAGCCAAGCAAATAGCGTAATCAATGCCAAATAAGTGGCGGGTATAGTTCTGCGACGCGAGAAGGGAGTGATAAACGAAAGTGAAAGATGAGGTGCAGACGAAAGTCCAACGATCCCGATCGCGCAAGCGAGCAAGGGACACGGTTCAAAGTACATAAATAGAAATAGGACGTGGTACTAGTAATGCGAGCAAAAAGCGTGAGTTCGTCACTTCGTGAACGAGTAAAGTCTCTGGTGTGTGCAGAGCGACTGCGCGCGTCGTATGGGATGTATACATCGCGCCGTACAAACACGGGAGCTACGACGGAGTGGTCACGGAAAGACCGATCGAGCGGCGCCCGCGGATGCGCTTCATTAAAAAAAACAGGACGCCAGCCCCAACTAAGACGAGGGGAAAGGGTCCAGTCCCCTCAGACCAGCGGAAGGGCGGCGAGCATGTATCTGGGAAAAAATATCGAAATAGCGAATATATATAAATCCAACTCCCGCGGTCCGAACCAATTAGATCCTTATTTCACCCCTTATTCCTACCCTCCCCACCCATCATGGGCGCAAAGTGGGCACAATCAAATGGAAAGATTGTCTTCTCCATCATGAGATCACTTTGTCTTCCTGCTTCGCCGGATCGACACGTAGCGGTAATGAGATCGACGACATGCTGAGCGAGCGGGCCGGGATTATGCTCGTGCTCGTGTCGTGCGAGCCATGGCTAAAGATGCGACCACTTGGGGTAGGGGTGGTGGGAGAAGAGTATGGGGAGGATAAAGGAGTGCGGCGCCCCAGAGACGGCACAAGGTTCAAGGGTGTGGGACGTGTAGGGTAAGGATATGCCGGGACGACGTTCGCAAACGTGGCCGAGGGGGATGATGACGCCGAAGTTGATGCAGAGGTGTTCCGCGAAGACAACAACGAGAACGGAATGGTGGCATTCGAGCACCGTCTGGCACGGAAAGGGAGCACACGCTTGCCATCTGGCTGGCTGTAGAGCCACGTCGCACCAAGGACAACGGTAGCGCCGACAACGAATGATACCGTAATTTCGAAGTGGAAGAGCGCGGCGCTAGTGAGGAATGACAGCACAATGCTGAGACTTGTTGCAAAGCCCTTCATGATGTTGTCGGCGTATTTGATGACGAGCGCGGTGATAAGGCCACCGAGAACCTGAGTGAGCACTGTTGCCCATGCCCATGGGGTGAAGTTCGCGAAGAGGTGGGTGATAGACGGCACACTGTGTACGGGAGTTTCTGACGAAGGCGCGGATGCAAGGAGTATCGGCACCAACGCGGGAAGGAGCGAGAAGAGGGAAAGTTGGACATTGCGGACCCAGAGATCACCGGTAGTGTTCTTCAACACCATCTCAAAATATACACCTGCGAGTCCGGATGTGAAGCAAGCAGCAGCGACGGCCATGAAGCCCTTGACGGGATCCATGATGTGCACGTCAGGACCCGACGACGGAGAGCCCTTCGAAACACCGGTTTGAATCTGGACAATGGCAACACCGACCGCCAAAAAGAAGAGTGCTAGCCACTTGAGTGGGGTGAGCTTCTTGCGAAGAAGGAACACCGAGAAGGCTGCTGTGGTCAGAATTTTCATTTGGTACGACACTTGGAAAGTAGCGGCATCTAGGTTGGAAGCGGCAACGAATTGGAGATTATTTTGAATGACTATATATGGACAACTGTCAGTGAACTGCTTATAGCATTGCAGGGATGACACAATACATACCGTAGAGTATGGCCGGAATGGACAACTTCCAGCAGTCAGTTCTGAAGACCTCCTTTCCCAGTCGCGAGCACCGGGCAAGGAAGACTCTCGGGTTGAATAGCGACGTGGAGAAGCAGTCAGGCTTGGATGAAGGGACGAGGGTATACTGAGTTGGAACGTTGTCGATACGAGTAAAGGCAATGACGAGGGAAATCAAGCCCTTGAGAAGCTCGGTAGCAAGCACGGCAGACGCGGCCGAGTAGGCACGGGAAGGTGGAGTGTATACGCGTGAGTAGTGCATGAGGAGCGTGAGGGAGGCATTTTGGACTGCCAGAGTCACCAGGCTGCATGCATACTAGTTAGCGAACAGACGAGACACATGGAACCTCTGAGCGCACAACGTTGCCAGATAGGGCAACTGAGGCCGTGTATGTGCCCAGTCCACCTGGCACGACACGAGCGCGACAGACACAAGAAAGAATGCACTCACGATATATATTTGAGCTGAATACCCCACAGCGACGGAGAGGGTGCTGGCGCGGTGGAGACTGCATCGTCGACGGGCGAATCCTCCTTGACGTGTAGGCTTCCGTTCCAATGAACGACCTTGTCAGCATGATGTGCCATGAACGAGAGGAGGACAAGGGGAGAGAAGAGGGTTGTTATTGAGGGGTGTTGATCTAAAAGCCCGTCTAATAACGACCGTCGAGGCCCGAGAGTGAGCAAAGAGAGAAACCAAGGCGCAGCAGCGAAAGCAATGCAACCAACCTCTCATATCTCCCCCCTTCCTTCTTGGGCCTAGTCCGGGCTGTGCTGCCCGTGGGAGCAAGTTGGGAATCCCCCACCAAGTCTTCTACGACGCGTGACGTCACACGGCATGCTCCATCATCTTCGCCCCGTCCTCTCCTCCTAATGACGTTTCTACTTCCTCTGCCGTTAGCTCGTGCGACATTGAATCCGTATGGAGCATGCCATGCAAGCTTTACACAATACATCATCAACGAATGCGCAGCGCCCAGTCAATACGACCAAGAACATCACTAATACATGCTGCTTTCCAGCGCCCAAGCTGCCTTGCTTATAGCAATAGGTCAAACAAATTCACTCCGGCTGGTCACAGGCGTATCAGATTCTTGTACTGCTTGATCAGTGCCCTCGCATCCGATGCAACCTGCATATCACAAACGAATCAGTATCAGTGCTACTACGATGATCATCAGAGACCGCACCTGCTCCTCCTCGGCGATACTCTTTAGGTCAGACTTAGCTTTCCGCATTAGCCGTCTGCGATGTCTTTCGCGGAGCGCCGGCTGGGATTCAACTGCACACATATAGATACCATATCCACATCAACAATCCTGGACGCTCACAGCCCGTCACCATGGACAAGGTAAGCACGATGTCGACGCACCCCGTTCGCATCCGTCATTCACCTCCTGGGACCGTTTGAATGAAATCTCTTTTAAAAGCGATGGTACCATTGCGAGCGCGGCGCTGAGTCCATCCTGTGCGGGCGGTGCATAGGCTTCGGTCATTCGGAGTCTAACATGGCATAAAATATCGAACCGGGGTGGTGATTATACGCACGCTGGTTGTCCTCCATTGCTGAGCGTCCTGCGCCAATCTACGTTCTCCCATCTTTTCCTTATCTCGCATCTCGCTCGTGTCGACCAAGACTTGGTCACTGCATGGTATCACAAACATATCAGCATCCCGGATCTGAAGAACACAACTTCAAGCGATCGTATATACTCGTTCGCATCATTGGTGAATAAATTTGATGACAGCAACCAATACAGAAATGAGAAGTGAAAAGTTAACCATGTACGCACATGTAGGCATTCATATCCTTGACAAACGCTTCAGTTTTCTCTCGGACCTCGACGAACTCAGCTGCGACTTGCTTGTTGAATGCCGCAGATCTCTTAGACTTGGCTGCTTTCTCTGCTTTGTAGTTAAGGTCAGATGGAGGTGATTCTGGTACGCATATACCCACTCTTAAATTCTGTGATAATGTTCAGAAGCTTAAGCTGACTGAAAATCCAGTAGATAAAAGTCACCCATGCATGCAACGAAATGAGCGGGATTCGTACTTATCCTGCTCTTCATCTTCGTCTTCGTTCTCGTCCATATTCGATTGCGCCTCTACGTCTCCTGGCTCGTCGTCATCACTGAAAGTTGCGGCTGATATTGTATGGCTCTTTGTCTTCGAGCCTGTACGGGGCACACGCCGTAAGTTGAGCAGCATATATGCGCATATTGAGACACGATGTTGGAAGGCTGTCCTGAGCATATGCATGCTTACTGGTGTTTGTCAGTCTTCTGGGCATACTTTACGTGCAGAGAGTGGTGTTTATACTCTGCTGTTTAGACTCGAGTGGTGTATGTATATGAAAGCTGGATGGGAAGAAAGGATACAAACGAAGAGCATGAAGGCGCGTCACGGTCTGTGAGATTTGATATTCACGTCACATGACTTCATGTCTATACCCCGTGATCACTTACGCGCGCCTCGGTCCTCGGTCCTCGCAATTTTTGGAACAAAAATCAACAGGAAATCATCAATCAAAGCGAATCAACAGAGTTCTAACTTCTCAAGCCTTTCAAATGGATCAAGTAGTCAAGTGCTAGAATTCTAACGATGGCAAAAGTAGATGCGATAGGCGATCCATGTACGGTCCGTGAAGGTGATCAATCCATATACGTCAAAAGGGACAGCAGCTGAAGACAGAGGAACTGAAGGCAGTTCAGCAGAGAGAACTACGCATTCTCGAGCACAGGAACCGCTCCGTAGCTATCCTTGCTCACAACAGGTTCCTGCTCAGGCACAGCATCCTTCTGCATGTGCTGTCTTGCTAGTCTGTCCATATCCGCCTTCTCCAGCTGCTCCCTCTCTCCTTCCTCTACGAGCTTCGCCAGCTCAGCCTCAAGCTCAGCGTCATCAATCTCGATGCCAGCTTCCGCCATAGCAATGTCACCGCCCATGCGGATTGCGTCGTCTACATGTTTAGCGTCAGCGTTGGCAGCGGCGAGTGCGTCAAGCGTCTGATCAATAGTATCACGCTGAAGTGATGGGTGTGCCAGGAGCGTGCGGAGGGTCGTCGTCGATGACTCGTATGATTTCATTATCTGATGAGAACGTTGGAAGAAGCGCGCAAGACCTCGACAAGCAAATGATGTACCTGGATATCGCCAGCGGCCGCCTCAACTCGAATAAGTGTTGATTGAAGCGTTTCGATCGATCCGAGGCGCTGTCTAAGCAGGTCTTCCGACAGCTTGCGTGAGCGTATGTAACTCAACGCAAGCTCCTTACGCTTCTGGCGTAGCGCGACAATCGCCTTCTCAGTGCACCTGACACAGTACGAGTCAGCGCCATGAGAACAGAGATCAGTGTAGCACATACTCGTCCATCTTCCTCTGTATGCGCTCGATTTGCTTATCGAGATTTGCCACCACTGTTTTGAGTTCGAGGATGCCACGGTCGACTGCTGTGATTTCTAGAGGCTCCGTGGTACTTGCATCGATGAATTTGATGACCTGAAAATAGATGCATTTGTGACAAGGATCGGCGAGTGCTCAAGGCTGTTACGTACCTCTTTGTCAACAACGACCGCACTCTTGTCTCGCTCCAGGAACTTAACGAGGACTTTGATATCCATATCTGAGAGTGTAACGCCTTCCAACGCATTGCCCGAGAATTCGACACGGAATGAGTCAAAATTGAACAGGGTGTCGGCTAGAGAGCCTGCTATCTGTCGCTGTCTTTCGAGAACCGACTCTGCTGCCCTCTCGACGAGAGCAAGAACAACATATTCGCCTTTCACCTTCCGCCATCGCTCCGCGTCACTTTCGTGCCCGCCCTCGTCTGTACCGACAATGTTGGCTTGTTGCAGAGCCCACCAAAGAGGCTTACCAATTACATAGGACGCGATACGGAGGGGAAGCCAGCCTTTGTCGTAAACCGACTGTGTTGCGCCGAGGAATTGAGAGAGCGGGATGGCAAGCAGAGAGCTGCTCAACTCAGCCTTTGCTAGTAGGAAAATGCGTCAGGCCGTGATGGACGGTATGTTTGACATGACATGACATGTAATGTAAGGGTGGGCGCCGGACTTACGATTACGGTGCCTAAGCACAACGGCTTGCCCGTGCCCTCGTAGCGCAAATAATCAGGTAGACTTTGGTCTACATGCAAAACGAGCTTGTCAGAAGAGTTAGGCTGCCATCCTTTAGCAACGATGGCTTCGAGTGTAGCGCGCCACCATGAGACATTGGATTGGTACGAAGTGGGGTTGGAGTGCTTCTGCCTTGAGATATCAGAATAGAGTGATTGTAGACGCGATGGGGAGGTTCCAGTAAAGTTCGGCAAGGACAGGAATTGTTTCGACGAGATGCTCGATGTTGGAGGCATCATCACGCACGCTGAGCGGAACGCCGGAATTCGAGTCAACACGGGGACTCCTTGGGACTCCGTACGCATGACGTTTCCCACGTTGAGCAATATAATTAGGTGATTCTGATTTCGAGGTCCGCGGCTAAAATGAGCTTCGACTTCCTTCCGGCACAATTCCTGTCTTGTCTGCAGGCGCCCAATAGCCAACTATCCATATCCACAAAAATATACACGAGCAGCACAGCTATTGCATGCAACAATCTTCCGGAATCATACAGAAATATCTAACCTGTGCGTTCTCAGGGCAGCCAGCAGGTTACTCGGCAAGAGAAAACGCACTAGTCCAGCGGACCAGCGATATGATCAGGGATGTCAGTAATATTTGGACGTGAGGCGTGGCGGTGCCTTCGCCGAGGCACGCCTTCTGGACCATATTAAGCCTATTGTCGTTTTTGTCATGAATTGCGCTTGAGCCCCACCCGCGCTCTTCTCCCTCCCACCTCCATCATGATCCTCCCAAGAGCTGCGTCCGTTCTTTCTGCGCTGGCCCTACCACTGCTGTTTGCTTCTGTGACGGACGCACAGCTCAGCGCGCCGGCCTGCGACCCTGGGTGGGAATGGGTGAGTTATGTATATGTATCAGTGTTATGAAACCTCAAATGCGCCGCAGGCGTCCAACAGCTTGAACCAAAACCCCTGCCTAGTCACTGCTTATTTGGAAGGCGTATGCAATGGCGGACGTAAGTCAGCTTTCTGTCGCTTTTGAGGAGCGCCACTCATTTGTATCCAGAATTCAGCATCCCAGCATTGAGTCCTGATCATCACTACATTGGTCCAAACGGTCCCGACAACGGCGATCTGTGCAAGTGTAACACAGTTGCTTATTCCCTGATCAGCGCGTGTGATGCCTGTCAAGGCTCGATATGGACCGAGTACGTTCGAGTGTTGTTATCAGGACATGATAGAGGCCCTGACTAACTTTCCTGATAGATGGTCTGAATGGTCTGCCAACTGCACAAGCGTGAGCCCACCTGGAACGTACGTCGTTAACTTTTCTTTTCTTTCCCCTGAACCTAATCTAGTCCTCAAGGTTTCCAGAAGTAATCCCGAGTGGGACCAGAGTTCCGGGTTGGGCATATTTGGATGTCATAGTATGTGTTCTGTGAGATGAGGTTTTATCGCCTATGTTCAACATTTCTTAGCAACAAGACATATGGAACAACGTCACTGCTTTCAATAACCGATGTACGTTATATTTTCTACCAGCTCACCAAAACGACACCTACGAACGATTGAACGTTAGCTCTTCCTGAATCTACTTCGACCGGTGGGCCAACTACGATCAACCCATCCGCTACTACCTCTTCCATTCCGGTGACTTCCGCAACAAGTAGTCGCAGCAGTACCGCTAGCAGCGTTCCTCAAAACAATTCCAAGAGCAGCTCCCATGCAGGTGCAATTGCTGGTGGGGTCGTGGGTGGGGTCGTGGGCGTTGCAGCCGTCGGAGCTCTCATCGCTTGGTTCATTCTCAATCGGCGTCGCACGCATGTACCGCCATCGGCAACATACGTAGGTGGGCCTCCTCCGATGGGCCAATATGACGGCGTCCCCACGCCATTCACACCGGGATCAAATGCAACGCCCAAGAAGTATTATGTGCGTTTCATCGCCCATTCCATGCTTGCGGTTGCGGTATCCGGCTGATACCGTTTTGCTATGCACAGGACCCCTCGGACCCCAGTACTTTCCCGACTTCTCCCTCATCGCCTACGATCCACACGACGAACAACACGTACAGCAGCATTGGGGTCAATGGCTTGCAGCCGAACCGCAACCAATACAGTGGGCTACCGGAAGTGTAAGCGATGGAGTCACAACTCGAGTGTCTCGCTCGGCACTGGCAAAAACTCATCGCATCTCCGCCATCATCTCTCTATCACGACCTCCGACGACCACCGCTTCCCAGCCACACCACGGCATCTGTCACTCCTGCCATTGTGTTTTATTCGCCTATGTCTATCGTATCTTCTGCCCTCTGCTGCCTCCTTGCTACCCAACTTACCGAGACTTTGTCAAGCGGGTTGCTATTTTCGATGCTGTGTCTGTTGTGTGTATAAGGATGCACTATTCTTTCTAATCTTACCACAGGTTTCATGGTTCGATCCCATCATGGTATACGTGATACTTGTGCTGGTCGACATAGACTCTCGTTTGTATCATCGGTTGTCCAGTATCTATTGGGAAATGTGTACGCTATGCGATTGAACAAGTGCGTGACTGCACGTCAACGTCAACTTTTGTCGAAAATCACGCTGGACACTGGGACGCTCGATGGACGCTCTCGTCTTGTAGCTAGAAGGAATTCTTCAATCATGGAAGCATTGGGCGGGCCGCCCAAGTCGCTCGTGATTCGTCCCGTGGGTTTCAGCGCTAACATTCATCAAATCATATACTTGGAGGCTCTGCAGGGCATGGCATCATCTCCATATTCATAAGTGCACACATACCTGCACCTGATTCTCGCGGGAGCAGATGATAAGTAGCATCACGACAGGCCAAAAGATTCTGCAACTATTGAGTGAGGGTCATATACAGGTAGTGGTAGGTGTTATATGTAGGAACACTAGGTGACCGAACCCACCCACAAGGATTTCACCAAGATGGTCGGCCAAAGAGTGCACCTTCCTTCTGAGGACACTGGCGATGAAAGACTGCTCATTTAAGAGGAGCAGTCCAACATGTGGTATAACAGCGCCTAGTAGTTGTTAAAAGATGATGGGAAGAGTGCGTCTGGAGCCACATATGGCACATACAAGTTTAGGGCCGGCCCTCAAGGCCTCGTGATAGTCTCATTCCACGACCGCCTCTCCCCCGTGCGTTCCGCGTTGGTGAGGGTATTGGTCGATTCTAGAGGGAATAGTATGATGCTATCACAGAGGCTACCATGAACTCCTCATCAATAGCGATAGTCAGTTCTCTTCGGCGTTAGCCTAGAAAGCCTCTCGCCGAACTCGTTCTTTGTAAGAGACAACTTGGTGGTCACAAGTCGTCATAATTTGCGACTTATCCGTCATCTAATCTTCTTATCTCAGTTCGTGTGTATAAATTGACGGTAGCAAGCTATTGCATCCTCTATACCATCCTGCAAGCCGAGAATATCTACCTCGTCATCTGCGCGTTCCCCCAGAAGAATCTTTACCGCAATGGCTAATGCTCCCCTCAAGCTGAATGATGGGAATACCATCCCTTGGCTCGGTTTTGGCACCGGCACTGCCCTTTATGAGAAGGACTCGGCCAACATCGTCTCAGCTGCGATCAAGGCTGGCTTCACTCATCTCGATGGCGCTCAAGTTTACGCTAACGAAGACTCCTTGGGAGCGGGCATCGTCGCTTCAGGGAAACCACGATCAGAGCTCTTCGTCACCACGAAACTCTATCAGCTCGAGACCGGGACTGTGCGCGAGTCCCTGTTGGGATCGCTAAAGAAGTTAAAGCTGGACTACGTTGACTTGTTCTTAATCCACTCGCCGGCCTTCTTCAAGGCTCCTGGTCAGCTGAAGAACATATGGAAGCAGTTCGAGGAAATCAAGAAGGAGGGGCTTGCAAAGAGCATCGGTGTCTCCAACTTCCGCGTTGTAGACCTTGAAGCAATTTTAGATGGCGCGACGGTCCCTCCTGCTGTCAATCAGGCAAGCCATTACGTGCTTTATTTATGGCCTGCCTTTGAACGATGATTGTTGTAGATCGAATATCACCCATATCTTTTTAAGGCCTCAGAGCCACTTCTTGAGTTCCAGAAAAAGTATGGAATAATTACGCAGTCATATGCTGGCCAGTCGCCCATTTTCCGGTCCAAAGGGGGACCGGTGGATCCTGTTTTGACTACTATTGCGGAGCGCTTGTCGAAGACGGTTGGAAGACCTGTGCAGGACGCCCACGTACTGCTCCTTTGGCAAAGGTACAAGGGCATCGTGTTTGTGACGTATGTGTATTGATACAGATTTTCTTACGATTTTATTGACGAGCCGTACTGCAGGACTACAACGAAGGAGACGAGATTGGCGGAGTACATCAGCACTGCGGACCTACCAGATCTTACCGCTGAAGAAGTGGCAAACATTGACGCGGCTGGATCTACTTACCATAAGAGACATTTCGTGAGTTCATAACCTTGCGGTCCTGAAATTCTAACAATTGACTTGATAGCAGACTTCTTTCTGGCCGGAGAACGAGTAGCACCAGGGTGAAAGACAGAGTAGTGATCGATTGTATTGAAGAATCCAATAGTGCGAATGGGTTTGTATGTTAGGTGCTGAATAGTATCTATGCATCGTGTAGGGGTTGCATAGTCCTCGGTCAACCAAGTTTGTGTCGAAAGTGTTGCTTGGCACTGTTGTGCGAGAGCTTCGGAATTAAACATGCACAAACAACGCGCTCTGCGGACGTGAAACTTACCATACTCGTAGCGCATACGCTGAAACCGTCATCACGCGGACTTTATCATCATCAGAAAATGCCAAAATTTTCGCTTTCATCATTGCCCTTGTCTGGCCTATTTGGCGTGATCAAGCCTTCTGGCCCAACATCAATGCATATCATCAATGAAATAAAACCGTTGATCGCGGGCTCTCGCATTTTCGTTGATACTGCTACGCTGGAGAAGAATAAGAAAAGTAAAGGGAAAGGTGCACGAGGCAGACGTGGAAAGGATGGAATTAAGATTGGACAAGGAGGCACCTTGGATCCCCTTGCAGATGGTGTATTGGGTGCGCATCAGAAGAACTCATTTGACCTAAATCGTCAACCTCGTCTTGTCATAGTCATAGGTGTAGGAAAGGGAACGAAAAAACTGAATGAATTTCTTGACTGCTCCAAGGTACGTTTCATGGCGTTTATCATATTCTGACATTGACTGTCGGACAGGAGTATCGCACCACTTGTCTGCTAGGCTGCGAGACAGATTCATATGATAGTGAAGGTGCTCGCGTTCGAACTGCCCCATGGCGTCATGTCACGAAAGAGAAAGTTGAAAGCGCTTTGGAACAGTTCAGAGGCGAAATTGAGCAAGCACCTCCGATGTACTTCACCTCCGCCATATAATTATTATCACTGATTTCATTTTTTTAGATTCTCAGCGCTGAAAATGGATGGTATGCCGCTCTATGACTATGCTCGGAAAGGAATCCCCCTTCCCCGTCCCATCGAGAAGCGGAAAGTTACCATACATTCCCTCGAGCTCGTCGAATGGAAAGGCAGCGACCATGCTTACCGATGGCCAGAGAAGAAGCTTACCGAAGAGGAGAAGAATGCACTAGCAAAGTCTCTCTCCGAAGTGGATGATAATGCAGCTATCGTCGACGAAGCCGATCCTGACGGCGAGGCTGATGGCAGCGTTGGGCCCTCTGCTTTTGTGCTAAAAATGAAGGTCTCTGGCGGGACATATGTCCGGTCAATCGTGCATGACCTGAGTCATGCTCTGGGCTCAGCTGGTCATGTCGTTACGCTCACTCGCTCAAAGCAAAGGAACTACGTTCTGGAGCCAGAGGAAGAGGACGATCGCAGATGTGTTTCGTGGGAGGTTTTTGAGAAGGCACTGAAAGACGCAGGCGAGGCAGATGAAGAGGGGTGGGTAGAATGGGAGAGGGAAGTCCTCGACAAACTCGTTGTTGTGGAAGCAGATGGTTCAAAATCGTAATGGTTCTTAAGCGTGAGTCACTTTACCTCGCTTTCCACCGTCAAAATATTCCCAGACACCCGTGTTACTTTCAGGCTTGAGATAGCTTTATAATACCTCCATATATCGAACTCATTGACGTGTCAATGAAATGAAGTATCCAGCGAAGGTTCGTAGTCGCAGCGTCCACAATAGTAAACGGCTGTTATGGGAAAAGGGTCAACCTTTTCGCCGTGATATTCTGGGCACACCGATATGATCACACCCGATGTTACCTCGGACATTCACTCCATACAGAGTGACCATCTGCAGCTTTTGTTACGTCGATGTTCATTGTGTTATATCGGGAGAGGTCCGGGCGACTCATCATCTTTGCCGAACCAACTTGCTCACATGTCCTTGCTCATTTGTCTTGAACATGTGTGCTCAATAACTTGCAATCGTCTTGCCTCAGTTGTCTGACTCTGTGGGTCGCCACCAATGCATGTGCAGATGACCTTCTCCTCTAATCTTACAATCCGCATGGAAACCGGACAAACTGGCTGGAACCACAACAGTCATTCGATGAAAGTAGCTACAAGTAATCATCACCTCTGGTTTGCCATGAATTTCATTAATATCGTCTTCACCTCTCACAGATCATAACGACACCATTGCGACGCTTTTATCGCCTTCTTTTGTTTCGCAGGGACCATGGGTGAAAGTGAAGGCGGCAGTACAGTATGATGACGACTCAACGTTCTTGCCTTGTTTTAGATCTTTGTTGGACCCCTTGCTAGGCTATCATCCGATTTGCTGTTTGGTTGGTCATGAAGGCTTCAATGTGCTTCTATATCCCCAAATGCCTTGGTGAGTTCCGAATTCAATTCGTTCAGCATGTACAAGCCCAACAAACAAGCTTAAGCCTATTCTCAGGAAATCCGACGTCTTGAATTGTCTGTGCTTGTCTGCGCCTGTTTCGTTATACCTTGGTCTCGTCTTTCTGTTTCTGTCTACATTTAGAGTCTGGTATTTAATCTGAGTATCATGACTGGTCAAATCCGAACGGCACTTTCTGCTTCATCCATGCAGAACGGAAATTTGACTGGTCCGATCAGTGTCGATGAACGTTGAACGTTGAACGGTGAACGGTGATCAAGTCATTGGTGGGTTTCATTTCGACAAATCAGAATATGACAGGTATAGGTGCACCCAAGGTACATTTAATCCAATCGAATGAAAGAAAGTCTAGGCAGCAAAATCTGTAGTAAGAGGCCACATGAAGGCAGAGTAGCTAATCTTCACCCGCGAACGGGCCGGCGGGCAGTCGGCAGTGATAACGCCGGTCCGATGCTCCCGCGCCAGCTCGCGCCCTTCTCCTCACAGTTTCCATTTATATAAGCCAGAATCGCCCTTATGTCTCTCTCTTCCTTCCTGTCCATCCTACCATGGCCCTCAACGGCTCAAATGGCGTCCATAGCAGTGTGACTCGTCCTCTCCAACCTGGTATCTTCGCTCCAATCCCGACCTTCTTCTTTCCAGACACTGAGGACCTAGGTAGGTCTTCGACACCCCCTAGATTCGACGGTGGATGACTGCACCAACCCTCACGGACCCCTACAGATATCGCGTCTTTTGAGAGTCATATCGTCCGACTCGCACAGGCAAATGTTGGCCCACTGCTAGCAGGATCTATGGGCGAGGCATTGCACCTCTCACATGAGGAGAGGAAGACACTCATCAAGGCAGCGCGTGGTGCTTTGGACGCGGCAGGATTCACACACGTTCCTATTATTGCTGGGACAGGGGCCGGCAGCACCCGCGAGACGATACAGCTGAACAAGGAGGCTGCAGACGCCGGAGCTGATTATGCCATCGTGATCACCAGCGGATACTTCGCTGGAGTCCTTGCGAGTAATAGGAAAGCCCTCAAAGATTTTTACGCGGAAGTCTCGGAGAAGAGCCCTATCTCCATCATCATCTACAACTGTGAGTGTTTGAAGTTCGGATAGAGGATATTCAGCGACTGACTAGGAAGCGCAGATCCTGGAGCGAGTGGAGGTATTGATTTGGATTCTGATCTCATTACGGAGATCGCTACCGACTGCCCGAACACATGCGGGGTCAAACTCACGTAGCTATCGCATTCACGCTATTCCCCGAGATCACTAACGGATGTGTATCGTTGGACAGTTGCGGAAGCGTCGGTAAGCTCACGCGGATTTGTGCAACCGTGTCCGATCCCTCCTTTGCGTCCGCCCACCCGCGAAGGAATGCGGCCGCGCCCTTTCTGGTATTGGGCGGGTTTACGGACTTCATTGTTGCTTCGACGTTCGCCAATGGACATGGAGCCATTACCGGCCTTGCGAACGTGGCACCTGTGCGTGATGATTGATTCCTATGCCTTTGATTTTTCGGTGCTTGGCTAATACTCTTGTGATTAGTATGCCGTCGCCAAGCTCTTCGAAGTCTCAGTGTTAGCTTTCAAGGACCCTTCTTTCCTGGCTGAGGCACAACGTCTTCAAGGCGTTATCGCTTGTGCCGATTTCACTATCGCGAAAGCATCAATCTCGGGGACAAAGTACCTCTTGGAGAAACTCTACGGCTATGGCGGTCTTCCACGAAGGCCGTTGCCGCCGATCGAGCCTAAAGCGGCTGAGGCGCTTTGGCTCCACCCTCACACGCAGGACCTCGTGAAGTTGGAGAGGTCGCTGAGCGGGAAGGTCGTGTCTTGATTCCTGCCGTATCAGCCCTGGAGACCCACGAACCCATGTATAACAGCACAATATAGGCTCCCGAACATTTTATTATGAATTCATCGCTATCCGTCCCTCTTTCGATCTATGTATTGGATCTCTTCAAGGGCGTCCTTACCCCGTATCCGTATCCGTATTCGGGAAAGCTACAATCTCTTAGAGGTACCCACATTATCGGTATAGTTGAATTCTAACTGCATCGGTCAGGTGAGAGAAATTCATATTGAATCCTTAGGTGAGAAGCATAGTTGTTATTCTCGGAATGTCCAATGGTCATGGCATACTCAGCAAGACTAGTGCGCGCGACACATGTTGGTTGTCTGCTTCGGAGCATGGCTGATGCCCTGCGATTCTCGATTTTCTTGTATGCCACTGGAAGATCAAAGATGGCTTACGCCGTTTACTCGCAATTCTGGGCCTTGATAGTTTTTCGCGGGCGGGCCGCCGTAATGCCGCCGTAGTGCCGCCGTAAATTCAGCCCATCCGCAGGTGCTAGAACACTTATCCACCTCGTGTTGATGGTGAAGAACATGTAGAATATCAATATCCGTTGCTTCCTATACATGATGTGCTGCAAGCCGCATAATTCTCTCGGAGTTTGCAGACGGGGAGGTCCCCCTCATCCATGATACACATCATGCGCTTGAAGGATTGACTGACTTTTGTGATTAGCGCAGCGCAGTCGTCGCGCTTCGTGAAAACCCTTTGGTAATCACCGGGCTTGCGACTACTGTGCGTGTTTTGTTGAGTCGCCGAAGTAAGGGACGACGCCGATCAACCGGGCCCATATTGTGGGGAAATAAGAACGCGGTCAAGTAGCCGTAAATACCCACGGCCAGTCGGCCACCGTCCAAGTCACGATCTCGTTGATGTTTCTAGCGACTGCATCTCTAAGCCCGAATATTCCCCATCATCTCCTTGCCAGCGCAGACATCCTCGCCTCGTTGCCCTTTGGCAGCATCGTATCATGGCACTCTCGCCGCAAAGCATTGTCTGCCGTGCATGGGAGTCGCCTTACTATCCCTTCGCAGTAAAGAACTCCTTTCGCAGACATCTTCAACGGATATGTAAGGGCTTCAATACATCGAAAAAAATTGTCACAAATCATTGATGGGATATTCACAAAGCACCGACTACCTGTCGTCTATTTCACTCGTCTCATCGATCTCGAGGAGAGAATACAAATTCGTCTGCCCAGGAAGTGGATTCTGGTGAGCGGCCTATTTCTCGATATAGTTCTTTGCATTGAGTGGTTGCTATAGGAATTCATTACTCTTCTCTTACCATCGGCGTCCCAAGGGAGATCTATCCTCAAGAGCGACGTGTTTCACTGACGCCTCAGAATGTTGCCTTACTGCTGAAGAAAGGCTTCGACAAAGTGCTGATCGAACACGATGCCGGCGTGCTCGCACAATTTCGGAACGACGATTACAAGACAGCTGGTGCAACTCTTGTGTCTCGAGAAGACGTGTTTCACGCGTCCGATATTATGTTGAAGGTCCGACCACCACTACTGGGCCAAGAGGCGGAATATGTTAAAGAGGGCAGCACTCTCATCTCTTTCTTATACCCCAGGCAAAACAAGGAGATCGTGGATACGCTAGCTAAGAGAAACGTTAATGCATTGGCCATGGACATGATACCCAGGATATCGCGCGCGCAAACTTTTGACGCTCTTAGGTTTGTCAATCATGTACTGTGACGGAACAATTGCTGACTTTATATCATACAAGCTCAATGGCAAACATCGCAGGTTATAAAGCAGTACTAGAAGCATCAAATCATTTCGGACGGTACATGACTGGTCAAGTCACCGCTGCCGGGTGAGTTCCTTTGATAATTTAATATTGACTAACGGACATTAACTCACTAATTTTCAGGAAGGTGAAGTCGAAGTCATTTCAACACCATAGTCTTGAAGCTCATGATGTCTCAGATTCCTCCTTGCAAAGTGCTTGTTATTGGTGCTGGCGTCGCTGGCCTCAGCGCCATTGCAACGGCTAGACGCTTGGGTGCCATCGTTCGCGGTTTCGACACTCGATCCGCTGCTCGTGAACAAGTCCAGTCTCTCGGTGCGGAATTCATCGAAGTGTCCATTCAAGAAGAGGGCGGTGGAGGCGGTGGATATGCTAAGGAGATGTCTAAGGAATTTATCGAAGCCGAGATGGCGTTGTTCATGGAACAATGCAAAGATGTCGACATCGTGATTACTACGGTACGTGGACGAGGACAAAATCTGTAGGACTCATTCGAGTGATTTTGCACAGGCACTTATTCCAGGAAAGCCTGCGCCCAAATTGATTACTAACGAGGTCAGCTCGGCTAGCAATCTTAAGATTGGAGTCCTGTTCACATGCTGGATTTAGATGGTTGCAGCTATGAAACAAGGATCTGTGATTGTTGACCTCGCAGCCGAATCTGGTGGGAACTGCGAAGCAACCAAACCTGGAGAGTTACATGTACACCGGGGAGTGACCATCATTGGTATGTGATACCTGTCTTCGATATTCTTGGGTCGTCTAATATACCGGTTTCATAGGTTACACTGATCTTCCGTCTCGACTGCCAACCCAGTCTTCGACGTTGTACTCAAATAACATCACCAAGTTCTTGCTCTCGATGACCCCCACGAATATCCCGGATAAATTCTTCTTGGATCTCGAAGATGAAGTCATCCGTGGTGCGATGGTTGTGCATCATGGCAGTCTTTTGCAACCCGTACCCCGCGCCCCAGCTGTGGCCTCTGTACCACCAGCAACTCCCTCGAAAGCTGACGAGAAGAAGGCAGAGATCTTGGCGATCACACCGTGGCAAAAAGCGACACGCGAAGTCGCAACTGTCACTGCTGGTATGGGAGGCGTGGTTGCGCTTGGCAAGTTGACAGGACCATTGTTCATGTCGAACTTCTTCACTTTCGGACTCGCTGGTCTCATCGGGTATAGGGTACAGTATAACTCCTTCCTCTAAACCATTAAATATAGTAACCTTGCGTGTGACAGGTAGTTTGGGGTGTAGCGCCCGCGCTTCACTCGCCGTTGATGTCCGTCACTAATGCGATCTCAGGTGAGAGCATTTGATCACAGGCTGCGTGGCACGCGAGTGTTGAAGGTTTCACTGATACATTTCCTTTTAGGTATGGTTGGTATAGGCGGCCTGTTCGTGATGGGTGGAGGCTATTTCCCAGGAACGATCCCTCAAGCTCTTGGTGCTCTTTCTGTGTTGCTGGCAAGCGTCAATGTTTCTGGAGGCTTCGTCATCACTAAGCGCATGCTGGACATGTTCAAAAGTAAATCGTCGTGTCATATAGACCATGCTGTCACGACTTGACTGATTAGGGTGACTAGGACGAGGAGATCCGCCGGAGTATTCATGGCTGTATGGTATTCCGGCAGTAGTTTTCACTGGAGGCTTCCTCGCTGCCGCCAGCACGGGGATGGCGGGACTAGTTCAAGCTGGCTATCTGACGAGCAGTCTTCTATGTATAGGTCCGTCGCACCTCCTTAAATCCTGAAAGGCACATCGATCAATTTTTCTCTTTCTTTCATCAATTCACCAGGTTCTCTTTCTGCACTCGCTTCTCAGACTACAGCCCGTCAGGGTAACCTTATCGGTATACTGGGTGTAGGGTCGGGAATATTAGCGTCGCTCGCAGCTGTCGGTTTTCCTCCCGAAGTCCTTGCACAGTTTGTTGCAGTGGCGGCGATGGGTGGCACTGTAGGCACAATCATCGGACGGAGGATCACCGCGACAGAGCTGCCTCAGATGGTCGCGGCGTTACATTCAGTCGTCGGTCTTGCTGCTGTGCTTACGAGTGTCGCGAGTGTACTGCAGGGAGTAGACCACGTCTCAACGTTACATCTTGTTACCGCTTACCTTGGTGTTCTGATCGGTAAGCAGCTTTGCCCCTTCTCGCAATGTCTAAATCTGAGATGCATTTTGATCCAGGTGGTGTCACGTTCACTGGTTCCATTGTAGCTTTCATGAAGCTCGCGGGCAAGATGTCTTCGAAACCGTTGAGGCTTCCTGGACAGCATCTCATTAATGGATCTCTTCTCGGTGCAAATGCCGTGACGATGGGGGCATTTTTATCTATGGCGCCCACTGTTCCTGCCGTTGCTGCTATTTACCTCGGCATCAACACGATCCTTAGTTTCATTAAGGGATATACTTTGACTGCCGCCGTTGGCGGAGCAGATATGCGTGAGCTACTCATCATTGTTAGAAACATATATGAATGATTTGACTCGTTCTGTATCTCCCGTAGCGGTTGTCATCACTGTTTTGAACGCCTACTCTGGTTTTGCGCTTGTGGCAGAAGGTTTCTCGTGACTTTTGCGAGGTCTACACGAAATCTAACATTATCAAACAGGTTTCATGCTTGACAATCCTCTGTTAACAACCGTTGGCTCTCTTATCGGTGTTAGCGGATCTATACTGTCCTATATCATGGTAAGAGCGTTCTTGATGCCATTCCTTTGAAGTACGATTGATATGCGTAAATATAGTGTGTTGCCATGAACCGTTCATTGACCAATGTTCTTTTCGGAGGAGCCGGTGCACAAGCTGTCGCACCGTCTGACTATAAGATTGAAGGTCAGATCACTCAGACGAACTCTGACGAGGTCGTGGACGCATTGGCAAACGCGGATAGCGTTATTTTGGTAAGAGGATCCTTGTTCAAACAGTAACATGATACAAATCATGTTACGGTACAGGTTGTTGGATATGGCATGGCGGTGGCAAAAGCTCAATATGCCATTTCTGAAATAACCACCCTGCTTCGAGCAAGAGGCATCAATGTTCGGTTTGCTATCCATCCAGTCGCAGGCCGTATGCCTGGCCAGTGCAACGTCCTCCTTGCGGAAGCATCCGTTCCCTATGATAGTGCGTCTTGAAGATGTGGCGGTCTCATGTGTGATGCCTGACTCTCAGTTTTGCAGTTGTACTCGAGATGGACGAAATTAACGATGATTTCGGCGAGACTGACGTTACCCTTGTAATCGGGGCAAACGACACCGTCAATCCAATTGCATTAGAACCTGGTAGCTCCATTGCTGGCATGCCTGTTTTGCACGCATGGAAGAGTAAGCAGGTAGTTGTCATGAAGAGAGGGATGAGCAGTGGATACGGTCAGTAATATGTCAAAGTGTGCCTGAGCTATACCTGAATATTTCGCAGCGGATGTGCCAAACCCGATGTTCTACATGCCGGGCACAAAGATGCTCTTTGGTGATGCGAAGGACTCGTGCGAGGGTACGTTTATACTATGGCTCGTCTTGTCTGAGATTGACCGACCGTTTGCATACAGCGTTGAAGCGAGGCTTGGAGGCCAGAGCCTGATAACGTGAATAGTTCTGGAGACTACGGATCTGAAAAAGAAAGATGTACAGCAGGTGTATATACACAGGATATGTCAAATGATGTACAACAACATACTCATGTACTGTGAACGAATTCAATAGGCTTGCAAGCTTGCGGTACATGTCTAGGCGTTTCGAAGCTATCATCGTGTCGTGAAAACATAGATCCAACACGGATAAAGATATACACGAATATTTTTGGTATTCATAAGCACAGCGATGTAGAGCGGTATACGGCGAGGGTAGCAAAGCACAGCAAAGGATAGCGAGAGAAAGCGAGAGATAGCAAGGAATCACGAAAGATAGCAACAAAAAAATGTAAAAGCAACAAAAAAAGCTCGACGAACGCGTTACTTTGGACGAACGGATCTTGGCGCGCAGTCTGTGGCCTGCACATGTAGATCACTCTCCTTGAGGTGGGTTATCGTCAACCATGTCAGAGGGACTTTTGTTGTTGTTACTGGTCAGGTCAAGACTCTTTTCCTTTTTACTCGGAAAGTCATCGTCAGCCTCGTCATGAGAGCGTCGAGACGAGGCTATGGACTGTGAATTAGTGCGCCGTGCCTTCTGTGGCGTAAAGGTAGACACGACCTTCGTTTCAAATCCTGAGCCCGAGATCACGACAAATGGACAGAAGACGTACCTGACGGAGACGTTTGGTACCAGATATTTTGGGGCTAGGGTCTGGCGTCAAGGGCACAGAGACGGCTCGTGGGTGTTCGGGCATTTCTCCCGTTTCACCTGGTAGCCAAGTCAGACTGGCGTAGGGCGTCTGGTGTGGCTCTGATTTCAGTGCGGGCTCGGCGACCATGGTCTCCAAGAAAGGAAGGTTAGATAGCTGAGTCTTTGTCGGTATCTGAGAAGGTTGGGCCGTCTTTAGCGCCTGTACAGAAACTGTTTTCTTGTGTGATGTCCAACCGCTATCGGAAGGCTTGATGCCCTGAGCCTCCAGAAATTCTGTGAGGACAATCATCAATGGCCATTCGGTTTCGATTTCAGATGATACCTCTCCACAAACCTACCTTTCGTTCGATAACGAAAAATGAATGTCACGTAAGATCCAGGATTGGCTTTGTCGAATGGTTCAATACTGAATGTTACGGGAATTTGTGGGTGTGTGGTGGTTTCCTTTCCAAACCTGCAAAAGGCACAATTAGACAAAGCGATGGGAGGTAGGAATATCGTACCCAGCGCGCATCTCATAGTACTTCTCTCTACCTCTCATGAGATTCGGAATCGGCCTGGGGGTGTTTGGCATATGGCCACCAATTCGTCTGATTCGTCGTATGCGTAAAATGATCATGCCGAGTTGTTTGGGATCCGCATCCGTCTCGATAATGTCGGCTGAATATATAGCTCAGTAGCATCGCGCCATTGAGATAAGATGAAGCCAAGATACCTTCCTCGTCAACTTTTGCGAAAACAAAGGGTCGTTCTTTGGAAGGACTGGTTCGAACTCCAGCCCTGTTACTGATGCCATCGCCATATAGAAACCTTCCAGGCACTGTGAAGCCGTCGAGGGTGATGTAGGACATGGTGTCAACTTTGCCACCTAGGTCCCTCCAGTTGACAATAAATTCCTAAGGAAGGAAGAATCGATAGGATACGAGCACAGCTCATCCTACTGCTCCGTAACACTCACTTTGCCCTCTTGACCAGCTATCCAACAAGTGGCCCTGTGCTTTTCTGTGTCAATGCTGATTTCGTATTCGGGTAGTTTCTGCCCGTCGGATGTGATCCAGGCCTCGTATCCACGATAATTCAGCATGTGTGAGGTAGCGTAAATCAAGAGATATTGTCCGATGGTTCGTGTAAAGAGCGGTAAGCAGGGTTATTCTGGTTTGTAGGAGTTGGTGCGTGAAATTAGGTATCTGGGGGGATGGGCATACACCCCTACTAGTGATAAATCTCTGAATGTTGAAACGACAGTTATGGGTGCAGATATGTGTACTGACAATTGGGAGAGAAGAAGGAATAGAGTTGTATTTCGCACGTGGCAAAGGGAGATTATGGCGACGCGTTGCTCACATGATCGCGTTCAATATGACCATGCTAGCAATTACGACCGCGTTTCGCCTGTCGCTGCCATTTTCTATCAGAGCCTCATCTTCAATACCGGCCATCATGCCACCAAAGCGCGCTGCTAGCTCCAGCAAACGCAAAGCATCGAATTCAGACTCTGAAGAAGAGTTCGAGAAAACAACGAAGAAGCCTAAAGCCGTGGTCACTGGCACCGAGTCTGATAGAGCACCAAATGGTCAACCTACTAACAAGGTGCTACCAACGGCTATCAGCTTTCCCTCACGCACAGAGAACTCGGTTAGAATTGCGTCATGGAATGTATGCGGTTTGGCTGCCAGCCAAAAGAAGGTAAGACGGCGGTTCCGTGATTGTAGTGGGGCAATTATCGACATTGTACAGGGTTTCAAATACTATGTCGAGGCGGAAGACCCTGATATTCTTATACTGACGGAAACGAAGGTGATATAGCTATAGATCAGTGTGGTTGTTGCGCTCATATATAAATGCAGGTCAACAATGAGCCCGTAGATCCCAGCTTGACGGAGAAATTTCCCCACCGTTATTGGTCAATATCCGAGAAGAAAACTTATTGTCTGCTACCTTCCACACTCGCTTTGTGTATATTCACTCAACTACTTCCTAGCTGGGACCGCCATCCTTTCCAAGCACAAACCCCTTAGTGTCGAGAAGACATTACCGGGCCATCCCGATCCGGGATCTGTCAAGGGCCGCATAATTACACTCGAGTTTGAGAATCATTATCTCGTCGCAACATACGTCGTGAATGCAGGTGAAAAATTGAAGGTATTCAGAACATATACTATGCCATTTATGTATCCTGACGAAGTCGTTCACTGCGTAACCAGACCATGGATGCTAAGAAGACATGGAACACACATTTTGAGGCCTATATCAGAGACTTGGACAAAAAGAAGCCCGTGATATGGGGTGGAGATCTCAATGTGGCCCCAACGGAAATTGGTGAGTATTTACGCTTTTGTGATGTGAAGCAACGCAATGCCGATCATGGTCATAGACTTGAGCAATGCCAAAAGAAACTGGAATAAAACACCCGGGTACACCGAGGCGGAAACGACTGCATTCAAGAATATCTTGAATCCTCCTGACGATACAAAAGATGCGAACAAGTTTGTGGACGTTTGGAGGAAGCTTCACCCTGACGATCACCATTACACATATTGGTCGTATAGGTTCAACTGTCGTAGCAAGGGAATCGGGTGGCGATTGGATATGTGTAAGTATATTCATTCTCCACCATCATGCCAATGCATGCTCAAACGCGATTCAGTTGTCCTTAGCGAGCGAATAGTAGACCGCGTCAAGATGTGCGATATCAGGAGCGACATATACGGTGCTTCAGATCACTGTCCCCTGACGATCGAGATCGAAAGTCCTCTTTAATGTATGATTCGCTCCATTCATCGCCCCCTCTTTATGCTTGATCCTCCAGTTTGACAATGATGCTCACCGCTTTTGCTTGTTCAATTATTTAAATGCATCTTTCAATGGTATCTGTGAAATTTCCCATGATTTATTGGACTTCAGCGGCGCTCATGCAGAGCTGGGATATTATTGGTCCGATGATCCGATGATTTAAGATACGCGCTGGTTTAAAGTTATGCGGGGTATTTAGGTAAAGGGCTCATGTTTTCTCCGAATTGCTGTTGACTCGACCTTTCATCTGCGTGGGCTGGATTTACAGCCACAGAGCGCGCTTTCTCAAAGACAGAAGCTATCATGGAAGACAGCCCTCATGTGCATGCTGAAGGCTCCAGTTCGGCTGTAAGCCGCCGTTTGTGTCTCTTCTTCAGTTCTCTAACTCTGTGTCTTCCAGTACCAACCCAAACAGCCGCGCATTCAGGAAGAAGATCGTTTTCCGGACGTCCCGTCGTATGTTTTCCCAGTCCTGACCCGTCACGGAGTCGTTGAAGTCCAAGAGCGCAGTGGCCAGACGACACCGTCTACCGCTCCTGCTCGTCCCTCGTTGGCACAACGCGCTCAGCGGTCAATGGGGCCATATATGCGTGTATATACTCTGTGCAGTTTTTTCGCGTCTCTCGGTGGATTTGCGTTCGGGTTTGATACAGGTACGCTCCTTTTGCCTCACCGAAGAGTGTTCTCATTCCATATGCAGGGTCCATTGGCCCTGTGACGGTCATGCCGCAATTTAAGGCAAAGTTCGATCCCATCTCTCCGGCACTACAGGGCCTCATTGTCTCGTCCATTCTCATAACGGCATCGATTTCTTCAATATTCGCTGGGCCTCTCTCGGATCGCATCTCTCGCACGCGTACCTTTGCACTTGGAGGCGCCGTGTTCAGCATCGGTTCGATTATATCTAGTGCAGCGTACAATCTGCCTATGCTATTCGTGGGACGCTGCCTCTCGGGCATCGGTGAGGGACTGTTCCTTTCGACGATCACGGTGTATATTCTGGAGATAGCGCCGACAAATATTCGAGGCAGCCTTTCATGTACTACTCAGCTGCTTATCACCATGGGAATTGCGCTAGGTAAGCCATGTAATTCATTCGACGCAGAATTTACATATATTTTATGCGCCTTTGCAGGCTATTTCATTTCCTATGGTAGTGTTCGTCTTTCGTCGTCCATTTCCTGGCGGTTGCTCTTCATGATACAAGCCTCGGTCTCGTTTATCTTTGCCTTCGGCTCTCTCTTCCTCCCGCATTCGCCCCGCTGGCTAAAGCACGTCGGGCGCACAGAGGAAGCTGCGCAGACATGGCTGAAGCTCGGATTCACGGCGACAGAGGCGGAGAAGGAACAAGAAGTCCTGCAGAGGCTACAAGATGTGGAACAGATGCAGATGCAAGAATCCTCTGCTGCTGTGGGCGTGGACGCCAAGCGGGTCGGCGCGCTGGAGACGACGCGGATGCTCTGGGACAAGGATGTGCGAGGGCGGACCGTCCTCGGCATCTTCTTGATGGGAATGCAGCAGGTGCGTGTGCTATGTCGCATCGTTTCTTGTTGCAGGGCTTAGTCTCATGGTCTCCTCACCGTTTGAGGCATGCGGGATCGACGGCGTGCTCTACGTACGTTGTTTGTGACTCATGATCGCGAGGCTGTTGCTGATGTGGATACATGCGTAAAGTATGCTCCTGTTCTATTCTCCCAAGCCGGACTGTCGTCCACAACGTCTGCGTTCCTCGCGTCTGGCATATCTGGGTTGCTCAACATCGCCTGCACGATCATCACCCAAATTTTCACAGACAACTGTGAGTCAGAACCCCTTCGTTCATCTTGTTGTGTGCTGATCGGGGCCCTTGGGCCTCGTGTGCATCCTACACAGGGGGCCGCCGTACATTGATGATCCGTGGCGGCGTCGTGATCTCAGGAACGATGCTGCTCATCGGGACGCTCTACGCGACTAACGCGTCTGCAACGGCAGCGGGGCGCTGGACGATTATCGCCCTCATCTACATCTTCGTCGTCGCCTTCTCCATGAGCTGGGCCGTGGTAAACAGAATCTACTGCTCCGAGATCCAGCCGATGCGCACGCGCGCGGCCGCAACGAGCCTCGGGCAGTGCGCGAACTGGGTACGTATCGACCACGAGTTTTTCGCCGTTCATACCCTCGACCACCACACTCACGACTCACGTTCGGTGCCCATAGACCGTGAACTGGGTCATCGCCTTCTCAACCCCGCTATTCCTCTCCAAGTCCTCCTCGGGCCCGTACTTCCTCTTTGGCACGTGCGCGCTCGTCACCGTGCTCGTCTGCGTGCTTTTCCAGCCTGAGTCGCGCGGCATCTCGCTCGAGGGCCTCGATGCGATCTTCGAAGTCAGCCCGTGGCGCAAATTTATCGCGCGTCGCGCGCCCAGGATGCACGGGATGCACGGCGAAGAACAGAAGGGTATTCCATTGCGGCTTATTGGAGCTTGAAATTTGAAGATTTGAAGTTCCTCAAAAGCATTGGTTTGTTTTTGTTTCTGCTTTACGAGCTCATGACGGATTACGCTTTGACACGCTCGCAATGAATGAATGATCATCTGTATCGGCTTCCGTTTTTTCGCTTATATCTGTACACAAGAACGCGCTCACGGGCTACGTGCCTAGAAAAGCAAAACACCTTCATGAGCACAATTCGGCTGCATAATTCCTGAGCCCGATCGGACGCCGCGTCGTCCTGCGCCATCCACATATACCTTCTCAGTACTCTCCAAACTTGATGTGCCCCGTCTCGCTCGCGTGTGCACGCGCCTCCTTCTCGCCTTTCAAGCCTTTCCCGCACACCTACAGGCACGACACAGTCCATCGACGGCAAGTCAGAAACACAAGAACAGCAAGGCCGAAAGCGCACTACGCACCTCGCACTTCAGGTCGAACGTCGTCGTGTTCGTGTACTGCCGCTTCACCCTCAGCTTCCCCGCGAGCGCCTTGAGCGCGCTCAGGTTCGGGTCCGCCGCGTCGCTGCCGACGGGCACAATACTAGCGCACCACTCCTCTGGTACGCCGAGCTCCGGCGCGAGCAGCGCCGCATCGTAGTGGATGCCAGAGTAGATCAGGAGCACGCGGTTGCCCGCACCTGCAAGCGGGGTGAAACGGTCGACGCGCCCGGTCTCGACATCGACGGAGGCAATCTCAGTCGCGTAGTGCGTCGCGAGGATGGTGAGCTCGATTGCACCGCCCCAGGTGTTGGGGGAGAGGATGGCGGAGATGTAGTCTGCGCGCGGACGACTGGAGAGAGTATGAATGGAGAGGGTAAGTGTACATGGCGGAAAGGAGGTGCATATATGGACGTATGCCACGCACCCAAGAATAGCGTCACTCCACGTATCCGGATCGTTGCGAATCGCATCCGCCACGACTGTGAGGCAGAGAAGGGTCCAAATCGCGCATACATAGAGAGAAACGCAGGTCCGTCAGTGGAGGCCAAAGCGTGCACTGCGCGGAGCAGCGAGCACGCACTCTTCCGAATTGTAGATGCCTTGGATATATCCTGCTCGAACACGACCGCGATAGACGAGAACAGACAAGAATTGTCGTCTGGTACGATCTGTCCAAATTGTACCGGAATTCAACGATTGGTGTTATCGGGTCGGTGCAGGAGTGGCGGACTTGAATGGGCACTCACGCGATGGATCAGGTACCCGCCGACAGTCTCAACATAGTCCGGCTGTGAGCTGGAAGCCGGGCTTGCACCCGGACGCGGCTGTGACACAGGCGGGGCGACAGTCTGGGCTTGGGGGTTGGCAGATAGCGAGGCCCTAGACGGGACTGGAGGTGCTGCTCCGTACGTAGAGAAGGTAGACGGGGCAGCAGCAGCAGCAGCAGCAGCAGCGCCTGCTTTCTGGGTGACGAGGAGCTGCTCGCCCGGGGCAAGGCCGAGGCTGGAGAGCGGGAGCTCAGGGATGACTGCAGTGAGGGTGCGCGGCGGGTAGCCTGCTTTGACTGATTCACGCAGAGTGCATAGTGAACAATCTCGTTCGAGGAGAACGAGGGCGGAGATAGGTGCGTACGGTCTTGGGCGGAGGGCGGGATGTCGGAGGCAGCGAGGATGGCCTGTTGGAGATCGAGCACGGTAGAGGTCTCAAAATCGACCTGAAGGGTAGACACACCCTTTGGATGTCGCAGCCGCAGCGGGGCCATCGTCGAGGACAGCGATGAGAGTTGTGGTGGGAGTGGAGAACCTGACTTGTTGCGTATACGCCGTCACAGACACATGCTACCACTACTGTCCGTCTAAGGCATCGCCCTCTTCCCCTTCGTCGTCATCGACCAACTCCTCTCCCTCGCCATCAACTAACTCCTCTCCCTCGTTGTCTTTGAAATTGATCACGATAGCAAGCCCCAGAAACAACCAATAACCGACCGCGCTGACTGCCGCCAGCCCGATCCACTGCCATCGCTTCCTATCAAATTCCCGGTCCTTCTCGCTCTTTTCTTCTTCCTTTTTTTTCGTCTCGTTTGCTCTCCACGGAGCCTGGAGCGCGGGGTACGGCAACAGCCCACGCAGAGAGTATGATTGGGGAGGGAGTATCTGCAGCTGTTCGGATGGCGAAGTCGACTGTGGGAAGGCGGCAGAGAGAACACGCCGCGCGTGTGCGAGGAGGCTGGGGTAAGACGTACTGAGAAGCGATGGGAGGAGCGGGTCGGGGAAGGGTGGGTTGATCAGGAGGAGTGTGTGTGCCGCAAGAAGAACATCGAGCGACGTCGGTCTGCAATGCGGGTAAGCTGATGGTCAGGAAGTGGGCGCGAGGCGAGGAGACGCACCTGTCGTAGAAGAAGAACCGTTCGTCACCCAGCAATCGCGCATAGAGGTCAAATGCGGCTCTCGCGCGCTCGAGAACCTAACATTCACCCAAAGCTGAGTTAATTCCATACGCAAAATCCTCGAAGACGACAACACGCACCCGTTCGCGCTCAAACGCGCCCTTGAACACCTTCTTCGGCTCTTCGTCTTTCTTTTTCTCCTTCTGCCCAAATACTTTCCTCTCCGCCTCAACATCCTCGATCTCCTCGCCCGGGAGATTCCACAGCCCACTCGCTTCGAGGCGCACGCGGTGCAGATCGCGCATGCGCTGGGGGACATAATATCGTTGCGGGACGGAGAGGGATGAAACAAGTGCCGGGTGGGTGAGGCCGTTGTAGTTCGTCGGGAGAGAATAGAACATGTGTGCCTAGCGCGGGCTACGTGTTAGAATACCTATTGCATGTATGTAGGACGTACAACAAGGTCGCCGAGGGCGGATTCGACGTGCGCGCGCCATGCGGTTCGCTTGGCGCGCTGTGGAGTGCTCAAGAGAGCATCAAGATCAGTCGAAAACGCGCTCTCTTGGTTGTTTGCTTGCGGGAGCGAGTCTGGGGTCAGCGCGGCGATGTATTTGAAGATAGACGATGCGGGAGTGACGATGTGGTGCCCGTGCGTCAGATACGGCAGTTGTCCTGTTCGACCGCAGGTCACAAAAGAAATAAAAGAGTGAGAAAGCTGCCTGATGTCGATTTAGGAAGCACTGACCCACCGCTGGGAGACAGGTCGGGATTCGTGCTTTCGACTACACGAAAACGACTGGGAATGGAGAGCTGGAGATAGAGCACGGCGGCGAGGCTCGCGGGTTCCATGGACGGTAAATCCCATTTTGCAGGCCAGATATACAAGGTCGGTGGTGAGAGCGTCATGGTCGCCGTGCTCGATGACGAGCAAGAGCCGTCGAGCCGCGCTCCCTCTTCGGACATTGGGCTTGGATCGTCACGTGAGTCGAGTCGTGCCTCCCGTTCGCCGTCACTTCTGTTCTGCTCTCGTCGCTATTGCCATCCTCCAAACAGCAACGCGACCAGGTATCTACAATAACGCGATGGAAGACGACCTCATCGTTGTTGACGACCTCGAGCCCTACTCCTTCTCCCGGCCCACTCCAGGGCCCATCGCTTCCACCTCCGCTCTCCCACCTAATATCAGTATCAACACCATCACCACCAGCACACGTCCCCAGCGCGCGGCTGCCGCTGCCGGAGTAACTGCGCGCCAGCGCAACACGCCCTCTCTTGGCGACCTCTCGCTCTCCACCAACGAGCGTACGACGCGGTCCGCGCACGCGCGGGTGCGGGGCGGCAGCAGCAGCGGTGGCGCACCAAAACTCAAGCTCAAGCTGAGTGACAAGGCGGCGGCGCAGGCGCCAGGGATGAGCTTCCTCGGTACGTACGACCGTGAGCTCGACTCGGACGACGAAGAGTTGTCATTTGAGGAGCAGTTCATTCTGCGTCTGCCGCCCGGTGAGGACTGCGAGCGGTTGCGCAAGATGGTCGCCGCGAGGGAGGTGGGGCAGGACGTGTGGTTCAAGTTCAAAGGTGTGTTCTTACTTGTGGGGGAGAGTTTCGGGAGCGGTGGGTGCTGGGTGCTGATGTTCTGAGTGTTTCTGGTTCAGACTCACGGAGGGCAGTGTTTCACATCGGAAACAATCTGTATTCTTCGAAACTGGTCGACCTGCCATGTATAATCGAGGCTCAGAAGACACTCGACAGCAAGCAGATGTTCAAAGTGGCAGATATATGCCAGGTCCGGGCTCTCTCCCCTCGTGTCTGCGCGCGTCCCTTTCGAACCATCCAATTGACCACGGTCGTAGATGCTGCTCGTGGGAGATCGAATACAAAATGAAGACGCTCTCGGGAACCACAAGAGCTTCAACATTGACGACTTCATCTGGCAGCATGGGGTCACCCCCCCTCTGCACCATGTACGCAAACGGCGTTTCCGCAAGCGCGTGAACAAGCGGACCATTGAGAGCGTCGAGCAGGAGGTCGAGCGGCTGCTCGAGGAAGACGCATTGGCGGACGAGGTCAAGTTCGGTGTGCCCTCCCCTGCTCTCGCACGTCCCGGCGCTTATGTGCTTTGTTTTCGGGCGTCGTAAACAGACGTGCTTGAGAATGTCAACCCCGACCTGTCTGATTCTGAATTCCTCGAGCGGGAGGAGCCATTGGACGCGCCTACGCCAGGCTTCTTGTCTGAGGCTGGCGATGCGCCGACGCCCGCGCCCGGTGAAGGCGGTGAGGGGAGCGGTGAAGAGGACGAGGACGGCGAAGCAGAAGGTGACATTGACGAGGAGCTCGCCGCTGAGCTCGATCTCGCGCTTGCGGACGACGACGACGAAGACGACGAAGACGACGAAAGCGAGGATGAGGAAGAAGAGGATGAGGATGAGGATGAGGAGACGGCACAGGCACGGCAGCTCCTGCACGAGGAGATAACAGATCTCGAAGCTGCGGTGCGGAAAAAGGAGGTGGAGGTCGCGAGCGCGGGCAACCCGCTCATCCGCCGACGGTTCGAAGACGCGCTGCGGAAGCTCCGCGCGGACCTGGACATGAAGCTCGCGCAGCGGGACGAGATGAAGGAGATGGCACGCCGGCGGAAGGAGGGCGGGGTGAGCGAGGGCGGAGACGCGGATGGCGAGGAAGGTGGGGACCCGGACGCGGTGGGCGGCGATGCGGAGGCGGACGACGTGGAACGCATGGCGATGGCTATGGCGATGGAGATGAGCGCGATGGGCCCGCCTCCGCTACCATCCCTGCCGCCCCCGCCCGGGCCACACGATGCGAATGTTGTGGTCGAGGAGGGCATGGATGACGACGATCTTTTTGGGCCTGACGAGGAGAGCGTGCAGATGGACACTACATGATCCGTCGACTCCATTCTGGTGTATTTATTTTCCTTGCATCTTAACTTATGCATGCCCCACGGAACGATCACGGTGTATGTGTATTCAATTCGATTCCCAAATTCCACGGTCGATCTTCGCGTATATCGTCACCAATCAAGGGCTACGACGGGGGGAGGAGCGATACAATGCCCGCCTGCAGTACGAGTGGAACATACACGACACACATAAACGGCGCAAACCACACGCCCAGCACTTCCCAGTGCCACACCGCCTGCCGCACCTCTTCCCATACGGTGAGCCACCCCAGCGCGAGCGCCACGTAAACGCTGTACGCCGAGAGCCGCACGTGCAGGGAAGAGGATATAGATGCGGCAAGGGAAAGCGGGACGCCGAGAAGAACGGCAAGGAAGGCAGCGAGGGAAAAGTTGACGACAGAGGTGATGGAGACGATGGTGCTAGCGAAGCAGAGAAGAAGAGATTTGAGCAAGGTTGGGAGCGGCGCGCGAGTAGAGGGGTCATATGTTGGAAAGAGTAGGGCAGCGAGGGGGAGGAGAGCGGTGAAGAATATTACAGGTAAGGTCAGTGTCTGCAGACACACCGGATGCTCAGTGGGTATGATCGATAGCAGTAGAGCTGTGTGACATACCATTTGATTCTTCATGAACCATGTCGACGAAAGCGCGGTAAATAAGATCGCTCCTACACCATGCGTAGCGCACATGATTCCCAGGACCGGGAGCACATCCCGCCTTCGCCTGATCCACTTCACCTTGGGCCCTTCTGGATCCGCATCCTTCTTCTCGTCCCCTTCATCATCCTCGACGACTTGCGTCCACCCCGCATTCACCCACTCACCCAGCCCCCCAAACATGAGCGCTGTACCGATGAGCACCGCGCTGGGGAGATACTTGCCGATCTTTAGGAAGGTGCCGGGAGTGGTCATGATGTAGAAAAAGAAAGAGGCGTGTAGGCGCTCGATGAGGTTGCTCATCGTACGGAGAGTCGATTCGACAATGCTGCGTGCGACATGAGAACTCGGCGTTGAGAGAATTTGTTGGAAGTACATTACCGGCCTAGCGCATGGAAACCGTGGGGACCGTTTGAGGGTACTGCGTAAAGCGTGATAGCGTCTATACGGAATCTGTGGAGTTCCGATGATTATCACGGATGTACTGCCACGAAGAGAGGGCAAATCCTTACTGATGCAAAAGCCCATGCACGCCGCTAGTCCGTCCCCTAGCTTGATACCCCACATGCCGAAGGACGTTCTTGGCTCGATACGCATATTCAGTCACGTCAGATCTTTCAGCGACAGCTTTTGGCACCCATTGTGGGATGATTTGCAAGATATTTTGATGTCCGGGAAATTCGGACGGCTCAACCTGGTCGTAGAGCACAACGGGGACACCGCCAGTGTGGTGGGAGATGACGCGAAAGGAATTTATGAGGTCTTGATTTGGAAGACGACCGTTCAGGCCCTCTGTATGCAGAAATTTTCGATCGGACAGTGCTCTAAAGCCCTTGAATATCGCAGACGAACCTCGGAAAACGCCTAGGTGAGAAAAGGAATGACCAGGATAGTCGATGTTCAGAGCTGTCCATATAACGCCAGACTGATGTGCAAGATGTTCGGCTTCGAGGTCTAAATTTCTTTTGATAGATATACCTGCTCCTTGACCAGTGATATCATACCGACTTACTGGATTGACCTGAGCCGTGATATGCGCTCAGCCACGCATGCATACCATCAAGGTAGCCGTCGCTGATAACAAAGATGATGTCCTTTGACCAATGTGAGTATCCTGCGAGAAGGTAAGACGAAGTCAAAGACCAGAAATACTATAGACAGACGTTTCAAGAAAGCAGACAGTGCCAGTATTGTGGAGACCCCGCGCAGGTTCAAAGCGCCATCGTCGGGACCGCTCTGGCTTAGCCAAGAAGCGCTGAGGAGTATGGCCTCAGTCCCTGAGGTCCTGGGAGATGAAAGCACAGCATATGCATTAGTTCCGGATATCATCTACGGAAGAATATTAGCAAAGGTACAAAATGAGTATAGGTGAATAACCCGACTTCGGTGCTGGTTGTGAACGCGTATTTTTGTGTCGAAGTCGAGATGCCTAGTTTGGCGAACTCGGTCATGAAGTAGTTTGCCCGTCTAGATGGCAGCATAGTATCAATGCGGGTACGTACACGGGAAACGAACTCAGAGTCTCACTCCTCGCTTGATGCATTCCTGTCTCGTAGCGCTTCGAGCTCGGAGAGGTAACTGTCTGCACGGTGAACGTCGCCCCAATTCCAATACGTAGCCACCTGATCGGTAGCCATGGCTTAGCAGAGCGGAACAACAGAGGCTGCGAGCAAGTACTTGGGCGGGCTGGAGAGCATTCTCATCGATGTATGTGCTTTGGCTGAGCTCAGGGAGCGGCAGCGCAAGCATCCAAATGTACCCTATTAGAAGAAGGATAATTCTGGTCAAACTGAGGGCGTGCACGAATACAAGACGGCAGGGACTGCGAACCTCAGAACACTGAGATGACGCCAGAGGAGGTAGGTCACGACCTTGCGTCTGATGATTCTGCCAACGACTGCATCCTGCGGCTGGTCACCTTTAAGAGGCCTGTGGAAGAGTCGACGTAGCATGTAAGGCGACGGCAAGAGGCCGTGGTGAGTGGTCGTGAGCGTGAGTAAAGAGCGGAGAGGCTCGCCGCAGCCACCTGCACCGCACATTGCCCTCAAATATCCCCAGGGGATATTCGGGGTATATTAGCAATATACCTGGAATATACCTGGAATATACTCGTCAGGGAATATCCCTCAAATATCCCCCAGTCAATCCCAGCTGGGAGATGACTCATCCATTTTGACGGTCACCTGATGAGTGCGCATCGTCGGACAGCGTCGAGATTTCTCTTAAGTGCTCTCTTCGTCTTACCCTCTAGGAGCCTCCAGTGTGCACATACCTTGGTGAGTCTTTCTCCCACTGAAACATGTTTCCATATGCTCTATAGTTCCGGTTTTCTCATATAATCAGATCTAATGCCTGAAAATGCGGGATCAGAGCACATATATGCGTCCATTTAGGGCAGGCCGGGGTGGGACTGAAGGAGATTGCAAGCACAGCCTACGATGTGTGTGCAGCAAGAATTGTCAGAACGGTGGGTATTGCGGGTGTGAGCGTGAACGTTGGATGGATGAGATCAAGGGTAAGCACAGGCTGAGCTTGGTGGCGTTGGCGTGGGTGCTAGCATCTGTGTTTCTCATGTGCATGGTGGCTCAGATTAGCCTCAGAGTCTGCGGTGCGCGCGCAAGTGCCAATGTCGTCGGGGCAGCAGCAGCAGTAGCAACATCAGTGAGGCCAGTGTTCATCTGGGCTCTCCGTGTCACAGTGCTAACCCCCCGCACGGCAGTACTGACCCCCGCACTACACCGCATTCTTTCCATTCCCCTCGCTCCCTGCACTCGCCAACCTTATCAAGCTGCAACCCTTCCTGGTGACCTTGTCTCTTCCCGCACTGATCTTCTCAGCCTTGACACGCATGCTCACCCCGCTTCTCCGCAGGATGCGCCTCTCTACGTTGCCGGCACCGATGCACTCGCCAGTGGCTGCGTTTGTGCACGTGGCGTGCTACCAGATGCGCTCGTGTTCGACAGCGCGGTGCCGCAGCCCGACGCATCCCCCAAAATGTACTCCTCGAATTCGAGGCCACGTGCGGACGCACCGCTCCTGCCACTGCAATAGATTCTTGCATCAAGGTGCTGGTCGTCCCATCCCTGATGCGCGCCGTGGCTGCTTGCGTATGCGGGGGAACATCTAGCCAGGATTCGCACCTCTCGCCTCTTCAAGTATATTTTGTAGATCTTTCAAGCCTTAGAATTGTCGTGTAGCCTTCAATAGCATGTATTAGTTTTATGATTTGTTAATATAATTATTTCTCTATCTATGGAGCGCATATAAAGTGATTGGAATGATATCGAGCTCGAATAAACCCACAATATACTGTGAATATACTCAGTACCCAGGTATATTCACGGTATATTCAAGACATTACCTTGAATCGACTGTGAATATCCCTGGAGGGGAGGTGGGTATATTTGCGGTTGATTCTGGGTATATTGCTAATATACCACAGATATCCCCTGGGGATTATTAGGGACGATGTGCGGTGCTGCGCGTCGATCTTAACGCGTTCCTCGTTCACTCCACGACGACTGCCATAAGTCTGTGCGACATCATCACCAATCCTTCACACAGTCTACGATGACCACGAAGCGCAAGCGACGAGTGGGGTATACCACTGAAGGCCTGGCCGCTGGCGAACGGCTCAAACGGCACAAGCTCGCTACAAGCATATCCGACTCCCCGTGGGGCTGGGTCGGTACGGAAGTCATCGACGCGTCGGAGATCTCTCTCAAACATAGGCTTGCGACCTGCAGCTTTGCACGCGCTCCCACTTTCTGCCCGAACAAGTACAGCTTCCGCCCGCCCAAGCCTGAATACCAGGACACACAGGAGAATGTGGAACGCAGCGCGCGCGGAGGCGACGAGGTGATCGTCATTTCGGATGATGAGGCCCCACACTGCAATAAAAAGCTGTGTCGTAAGAACCCCAATTGTGTGAACTATGTCGGGCAGGAGAAATGGGAAAACAGAAGTGAGTCACTATGCTATATGTCTTGCCGCGATGGCTTTGACGTTGCATCGCGCGCGCTTAGCAACTGCTTTGAAGCAGTACACAGTAGCAGCCAACCTTGGGAGAGATCCGAGCCTCGACAACAGGCAGTCGGGGCTCCCCGTGGGTTTGAAGGTGTGCAGTATCACACTTCACTTATGAAAATTATATGACATCCTCGCAGAATCTCGGAGCCACTTGTTACGCGAACGCATATATTCAGGTTAGTCTCTTTCTCTCTGCTCCTCCTGATCTTTTAAGATCTGTTTCGTAGGTTTGGTTTCAGGATCTGGCATTCCGTAATGGGGTCTACCATTGTCAGCCTTCTCAAGACAAGGAACATTCATTCGAAGTATGTTCATTACCATGTTCCTTTGGATCTTATCTTCATCTCCAATGATCAGGATTCCCCGATCTTCCAGCTCCAAGCAACATTCGCCGCGCTGCAGGCTGGCAAGCAAAGAGTATTCAATCCTTTGAAGCTCGTGGAGAGCTTGAAGTTGCGTACGAATGAGCAGCAGGATGCACAAGAGTTCGTCAATCAACCGCTCATTGTCTACATTATAACGAATGATACTTCGCTGCTCGCAATATTGGCCTATCCAGGTTCTCCAAGCTTTTCATGTCACACCTCGACACTGAATTCCAGAAGCAGGCCGACCCTGTGTTGAAAAACCTTTTGTCTCGTCAAGTATGCTTTTGTTTGCTGAGAGATCCTCTGAAAACATATATCCAACCTAGCCGTTTTCTTCTCTCTCCAGTTTGAAGGTAGCCAGGCATATGCAACTGTGTGCCAGGCATGCGGCAATCGTTCTGAACGGGACTCTGATTTTCTAGAAATCGAGATCAATTTGGAGGTACTACATCATCATGTTCTCGCTTTTGAAGTCGGGCGTTGAACACCCTCGTGTAGAACAATGCCACACTGGAAAGTCGTCTCCAGGCAGTCCTGCAGCCCGAAATGCTGTCTGGGGATAACAAGTCCGTGCATACCTAACCATTTACATTTACTTCGGCTGATCTGCCACGGGGAGCATCCAGGTATCGCTGCCCACGCTGTGGGACTCTCGAAGATGCCACCAGACAGCTTCTCCTGCGCAAACTCCCGCCCGTCTTGCACTTTTCTCTGCTGCGGTTTGTGTTCGACATCTCCACGATGGAGCGTAAAAAGAGCAAGCATGCTGTCGCGTATCCTCTGGTGCTCGACATGAACCGGTTCTTGGCCGATCCTCCCGCGGATGAGAACGAGAATATCTACGACCTTCAGGGTGTCCTGCTTCACAAGGGGCCTAGCGCCTATCATGGACATTATGAGGCTCAGGTTTTCGATGTGACGTGAGTCTTTTTGTGTGTGTGCGTAAGGTTGTAATTGTCTTATGTATCTCAAATCCGCAGCAATAACGCGTGGTTTCAATTTAACGATGAAGTCGTCACAAGAGTGAAACCTCCAGGAGCCAACGGTGTTAGTGACAAAGACAAAGCTAAAGGGTCTGACAGCGTTATTTTTCCCTTCGATCCCATGCTGATTAAGTTCTAGCTCTCAGACAGTCAAGGGAAAGGCTAATGCGAGAAAGGTGCTAAGGATTGAGGATAGCGACGACGATGTCATTGAGTGCGTGTCTACTCCTCCGAAACGTAGCTCATGACCAATGACACGGCTCAGGGTCAGCCCATCCACCAGCGAAGTCAAAAGCGCTCCTTCTCAATCCTCCAGGCAACTACTCCCCCTTCATCATCAGAAGTTTCACAGGTATTCACGGTCAATCGCAGTTACATCACGTCCAAAGAAGCATATATGTTGATCTACGCTCGACGATCTGCGAACACAAGACGAGAAACTCCGGCGCCGCCACCGCGGGCGCTTGATGCAGTGCGAAGGATGAACGAGACTCATGAGAGAGCTTGTGCCGCATACATAGAAAGGTAAGTTTACCGGGCTATGGCTTAGCCACTGTCAATGATTGTGCACCCCAGAGAAGACGCTATGCAAACGCGATTCGACAGCTTGCGCGAGAGGGTGATGCATCTCTATCAATCATGGCACCTCACATCTAACGATGAGGTAAGTACAGATTGTTCATTACTCTCAAAAATGAGACTTATTCACTTCCTCCATAGAAATCCATTATCACCAGTCAAGAGGCATTGGAGCTGTTCCTTTCAAGGCCATTAGGGGAACGCTTGGAAAAATCAAGCGAGGTCGAAGATACAAAGACAAATGGCGAAGGGTCCGATTCATCCTCCAAAGAAAAGGTTGCAGATGCGAGCCGTAGCGCGCAGCAGGGTGCGACCCCTCAACTGGGCGACATCTCCATTGAAGGTATCATCTGTGCTCATGGGCGGCTCGATCCGCGAAAGTCAGACGACATGAAGAGGATCAGCTACGTCCGTCACTTTTCGCTCTCAGCCTTGGCTGGCTAACGACGCGACCGAATCACAGACGATATATGAATCCATTTTACATCAAGAAGGATGTCGATTTATCCCAGAAATGAGTCCAGAAGACGTGTGCGATGAGTGCGTCCGAGAGATCTTCACAGGTAAGCCAAGCCATCGCAGCACCTCATCTGCTGATGTCGTGACCTTGTACGTGCAGAGAAACTTTACCAATATCTCCATCCAAAGCAGGTGGAGCAACTCGAAGATATCCTGACAGGAACAGACGTATCAGATTCTGAAAGTTATTGGATCTCGAAGCAGTGGCTGAGAGGTATTTATAGGCCGTGCGTTCTCTGCTCGCCGGTCATGTCTGACAGAACGCCGCAGACTGGAGACTCAACAAGCCAAAGATGCATACGGAACTGGAAGCAGACCCACCGCCGGATTCGGGTGCCTACAGCGGCCATGTCATGTGTGAACATGGATGTTTGTCTCTAAACACAACGGCTCGTCAGCGAATACCGGAAGAGGTAATGCTTCGATTACATCGAGTACGGCGTTGCTGATAGTCTGGTCAGGCATATCTGGTGCTCAAAGGCTTATTTCCGTCTTGGGAAACATTGCCCGAAGGCGCCGAGCACTGTGCCGTCTGTGAGGCAGCCATTCAAATATCTCGGGAGGACAAGCGTGGGATGCGTAAGGTGGTGGAAACTGAAAAGGTATGCCGAGCAGCATATTGCGACTTTTGAGAGTTGCTGATATGCTCGACACATCCGCAGGCCAGGCTCAAGCATATGCACGACAACGCTCTGGTTGGGAACACCGCCCTCCTCGAAAATGTCCCTTGTGCTCTCATCCCCGCGACCTTTGTCCGTTCCTGGAGACAATGGATCCTGCGACCCGGAGAACATCCACGCCCGGACCGCCTCGACAACACCCCTTTTCTCTGCCCTCACGATATGCTCAACATAGACCCAAATTTGGACCTCGACACCTCGGTCTGCCTTGTCCGAGGAGAGGATTGGAAGACGTTGGAAGAGCTGTGAGTCGAGTCCTCCGTTTAGGCTGCGGACAGTCCCTCTGACCATCACTGCTGTGTTCAGCTACGATGCCAAGCCCCTGATTCAAGTCATCAATCGACCGAATTCCGACGCCGAGGACGGCTCCAACTTTTCTTTCCAGCACCCGATCCCTGTCTGCCATGAATGCCGATGGCAGCGGTGCGTGGGACCCCGCTATTTCAACTTAGTTGGGCGCTGATTTCCTCTGCAGGAAGGCAAACTTCGACACCACTGAGGTCACCGTCCACGTTCTGATGGCCAGTGAGCCGGACCCCACGCCCGAGACGTACGGCTCCCGCCACAAGCCCAGCCAAGGCCTCCAGCAGACGACGCTCGTGACGTACGCGGGCGCGCGCAAGTCGAAGCGCCTCCGGCAAGCCAAGCAGCGCAAAGACAAGCGCCTGTGCATCTCCAAAGACATGTCCGTGAAGGACATCAAGCTCCTGGTACGTGCCGTCCCCCGCCCTCGCCGAGCGAGCCGCCGCAGCGTCGTCAAAACTGACCACCCGCCGTGGCGCTGCAGATCCAGGAACACCTCGACGTGCCGACCATCTGCCAGCGGCTGTTCCTGCGCGGTAAGGAGCTGCAGGAGAACGAGGCGACCGTCGCGCAGCTCGAGATGGTCGAGAACGACTTTGTCGACCTCCGCCAGGAGAACGAGGACGTCGACCTGCTCGAGGACACAGACGTCGACGAGCCTAAGGCGAAGCGCCGCGCCGAGGGCCGCGCGTTCGGCGGCACCCTGCTGGGCGGCGGCGGCGGCAGCGGCAGGGGGAGTTCCGTACCGCCGACGTCCTCGTTCGAGGATAGCACGAGCGAAGGGACGTCCACGCCGCTCGAGTCCACGCTCGCCTGCCCGGCGTGCACCTTGGAGAACCCTATCACCGCGACCGTCTGCACGATATGCGACACACCTCTAGTCTATATATAATAATCTGTAATTTGCTTTTTATACATTGCGACCGTGCATTTACATACTGCTGCTGCTGCTTACTCCCCCTACTATCCCTCGGCGATGTCTATCAGAACAGGACACAGATGACGATGATGAGCTACTATGAATGTACAGGGAAAGGTGGATGTAATAACTTCAACAGATCGCAAGAATAGACCCGCAAAAAGATCAGAAAGGAAGGCGAGAGAAGCACAGGCACACACAAATAAACAGAGAAAGAGACCGGAGATCCGACGATGACAACAACGACGATGAGGAGGAGAAAGAGCCCTATGAATGCTGGAGAAACGGGACAAAGTCGGCCGTCCCTGGCGCGGCCGCAAACATGCCCGCCTCGGACGGCACCGCCGCTCCCGAAGGCAGGCCGTTGAACGTCGACCGCGCAATGAGCGTGCCCGTCGAATGCGGGCGGGCGTGGTCCATCGGCGGCGCGAGCTGCGGCGCGCCCGGCGCGGGTGCGCGCGACTGCTGCTGCAGCAGCGAGCTCGCGGTCATGAGCACGTCAACCTCGCTCGACAGGGGTCCCGCGAGCTCGACGGCCTGCGCGACCGCCGACTGGGTGGCGACCGACACCTCGTTCACCGTGACCTGCGGTGATATCGAGGACGAGGGCGTGAGGCCCGCCGAGATCTGGGCGGCGGCGGCGTTGGAGCGGTCCGCGGCGACCTGGCGGGCGGCCTGCAGCACCACCTGCTGAGCGGCGGCGGCGAGGACGCTGGAGGGCTGCGTGGAGGAGCTGCCGGAGACCGTGCTGTCCACGGCCTGAGCCGTGACGGTCAAGACGTGCTGCTGCTTCGCCAATGACTGCAGTTCCGGACCCGGTTCGCTGGTGATGCGAGAGCCAATGACCTGTGACTGAGCTTCTTGGGCCACGCGCTGTGCAGCGGTGGTCAGGACCTGGATGACTTGGGCGTCCTGCGACGGCACCACGGTAGATTGGGGCAACGAGGCCTGCGCTCGCATCGCCACGGCACTCCTACGCCGACGAGTGATTTCTAGCGGTCGCCTCGAGAAGGAGGACCAGGGGCACTTACCTCACAGGGACTGCTTGCGGGACAATCGAGTCGCTGACGATGCGGCGGGGACTGAGGTCGGTGCCGTTCAGCGAGGGTCGCTGCGAAGGCGTGAACGTCGAGTCCACGTTCGACATCGGCGCGATGTTGATGTGCACGCTCTGCGACAAAAACTCCTCCTGACCGTCCTGAATGAACTGCAGAACACGCCCGAATCAGCGAACCGTACATCGGGTATGCTGTTGTACCGCTTACCCTCGCTTCGACGACGACATCGCAGCTCTGCGCGTCGTGCGGGGGGATCCCAGCCAGCACGTCGTCCTTCCAGGACAGCCAGGCCGGGAGGGAGGGCGAGCTGTATTCGACAGGCATGTTATTTCGGGAGGCCTGTGGGTCCCAAATGCGCGGCGTCCAGGACCAGCGGAGACCCACATAAGCCACACCAGGTGGTAGGCCAGCCAGGCGGCGGTAGAAGGGACGAAAGATCCACCCGCCCTCAGATGCTTTTTTGGCTTCAATGTTCCAGATATGGTTGCCTTTTGATTTTGCCTTCTTGCCGTCCTCGTTGAAGCGCGAAATGTACGACGAGTTCCACAGGTAGTTCCGGATCTGGACGACAAGCGAACGGAGATGATGAGATGATGACGACGAGTGACGGAGCATCGGCGCACCTTTTTCATGGGTATTTTATCCTCGGGATATCCCTGGCGAGCAAGCTAAAAATATACGGGTTCAGAACACGCGAACGAGCGCGGAAGAACGCACGCACCTCTTCCAGGAAGGCGTTGGTGAACGCTTGGATCCGGAACTTGAACGGACGGAAGTCTGGTGACTCGTCGAGGCGCTGCATCTTCTTCGCCATGAGCGTCTGATGAATTGGCTCACCCTTCGCGTCGGTGGCTTCGACTTTATAAATGGCACGAGAGCAAGGTCACGCGTGAGTTTTTTTTTTTAAGCTCGAGCTTCGGACGCGCTAGGGGGAAGGAAGACGCCGTACTCACGGTTGGAACATATCTTGTTGAGAAAGTCGAAGAAGATCCGGTCGACCTCCGCGCGGTACTCCGAAGGCACCTCGTTCCCGTGCCCGAGGGACGACATGGCGGAGAAGTTCTCCATCGAGGGGCGAGACGCAAGCGAGCGGCGCTGGCTCGTGGACGGGCGCTGGTACGGGCTGCCCGCGGGACCGTTGTCGAGACTGCCCATGCGGCCCCGGAAGGTGCCACTTCGCGACGGCGGGGACTGGGAGGGCTCGCCGCCCGCGTCCGAGTCGCGGTCGTCGTTGTCGTACTCCGAGGACCCACCAGGGCTCTGGGAGACGGCGGTCGATGGGCGGGAGCCGCGAGATGGGCGGTAGTCCATGCGGTCATCTAGCGGTACGTCGGGCAGGCTGAACGCGAAGGGGTCGCCGGACGGGTTGGACACGGACGAGGAGCGAGAGAGCCTGGTGACGTCCTGGCGTAAGGATGGGTTGATCGCACTGGCGGACGACGAGGGGGCGGATTGCAAGGGGGGAGACGACGCGAAGGGGGTGCCAGAGGGAAAGGAAGGGGCGGACCCCATGATGAGGTCGTTCACGCTCAAGCCGTTGCTCAACGAAGTGCCGGACATGGAATGGTGGTGCCGCTGGTGTGGGAACACGCTCGCGGCGCTCGTCCACGAGCCAGAGGCGTCTGGCGGGTGGCCAAAGCCCGGCACGTGGCCTTGGATGTGGGACGCGTGGGACGGCGGGGCGGACTGGGGCGGACTGTAGTCCATGGACTGGCGGGGGGGCGCGGACGAGAGGTTGAGGGGGGGCGGGGCAAAGTTGAGGGACATCGAGTGGGAGATCTGCTGGGGTGGGTACATGTGGTGGAGTGAAAGACCAGCCGAACTTGCGGGACGGGACGAGGGAGCGGACGGGGAGCTGGAACTATATGAGGGCATAGAGTGTGGGTCCATAGGGTCGCCGGACGAGGGAAAGGAAAAGTGCGGGTGCAGGGACAGATCCTCCTGCGGCTCGAGCTTGAGAGCCTTGATGACGCGGTCCCCGGCCATGGATGACGCACAGCGCTTCCTCGACTCGGTCAAGTCCACGACGTTGGCGATCTCGTGCCCGTGCGGATCCACGGACCTCAGCGACAGCGACACGCCGGCGCCTGCCGTTGATGGGTGGGACGGCGATCCTCCCTGCCTCTGCGGCGACACTGACTCGCGAGGCGGGCTCGGCCCGTCCACAAGCCTCGTAGCAGCGATCAGCTCAGACACCAACGCGATGGTCTTTTTCAACTCGTCGATCTTGACCCCCGCAGTCAGGCCTTGTCCCATCGAGCATGCCTGCCGCGCAGAGTTGGCCGTCTGCATGATGCTGCACACAAGATCAGCCACAGCTCGATGCACCGCCGTCGTCAGCCTCTTTCACTCACTTTCGCAGCATGTCACCGACAACCATCAGGTGAGGACCACCAGGTATTTCTGGCGACTCCTCCTTTTCCGCGGGCGACCCATCGAAATCCGAAGGCGGAAACTGGAAGCTAGAGCTGTGGCTGGACGTCGGCGGTCCGCTCCCCGCGGATGGGAAGCCAATGTCTGCAGCAGAGGCCATAAAGTACGCCGGCGACGCGGACGAGTCGGAGCGGTTACGACCGATCGAGACGGGGATATTGTCGAGCGCGGAGGCGATGGACGAAGGTGTGACGCTGAAGGCCGGGTTGAGGCCGGGAATGGCCGGAGAGGAAGCGTGTGAGGGGTAGCTCGAGACGGACGCAGCGCCGGGCGACGACTGCACCGGGGGCAAGATGTCTGCATGGGTTTCTGGCGGAAGAAAGCCGTTGAGCGAGGACGCAAAATTGCCCATCGAAGCGGTTGGGGTAGCCTCGCTCGGTGCTGCGGAGGCGAGCGCGCTCATGGAGGTTACGTCCATCGGGGCAGACATGGAGGGGATGGAGACGTCCATGGGAACAGACATGGTGCGGTCGTGGTCGAGGTCATCGGAGAAGAGGGCGGCAGGTTGCTGGGACATTGAGGTGGGGGGGAGGGGAGCGAGGGGAAGGTCCGAGTGGGAAGACGCGACGGTGTCGGCGGGAGCTACGTGGGTGAACTGAACGTCATGAGGAGAATCCATGGGAAGAAGAGGGAGAGCAAGAGAGTGAATCTTGATTGCACCTGAATTTCACGAGCCAAATGCTTTCCAAGCAGCAGCAGAGGCAGCAGCCGACGTGCGTGCGGGATTTGCTAAGGAAGAAAGGGCAGTCTTCGTCGACACGGGGAGGGAGGAGGGTGAGCAGATCGCAGGAGAGAGGCAAGGCCAAGGAGGCAGGAGTCGCGAGGAGCTCACCAGATGCGGTGGAAGGAGAAAAAAAGGCTGTGGGGATGGGAGAGAAGCCTTTGTGAGCGAATGAGGCGTGGGGGATGCCTTGTGAGTGTCTAGGAAGAATAAGGAGGCAGGCGAGTGCTGGGACGGACTGTTGGAGACTTGATCAGAAACCGAGCGGGCAGCAATCCGAAGCCGACGCCCCATCCAGCACGCATGTCAGCCGCAAGGCCTCCGCCACTCGTCACACAGTCACGCTCATTTCCCTCGTCACAAGTCACACCTTAAACACTGCTCCCCCGAGCAAAAAAAGGTTATCTGTGTTACGTGTACGGCCTGCGCCATCGCAACACCCACCTTGCCTTGATGCGCAATCTCGCCAGACGTCATCCTTACTCGACGCTAGCTCGTTTGCGGGTCTAGATAAATGCAGTCCACATTGCCTGTACGAATGCGAGCGACTGCGGCACGGTTCCCTTATGCTCTCATTGCTAATCCCCGACTAGCGCAGCTCAGCGCTCAGCGCTCACCCGCTCAACTTGAGTCTGACAGCCTAAATACCTGCTACTGCTGCTGCTGAGCATTAAGACACATCGAGCAATCGCCGATACCCTGTCCTGTCCCCGTACAGAAAACCCATCGAACATGCACACCGCTCAGCGAACAAGGCAGCCACGCTGCCCGTCGCTGCTGCCGTACTCCACGACTAATACCGCCTTCGCCCAGGCGACCGCGACCGGTCTCTGCCTCTGCGGCGATCACTGTGACACAACGATCATTCAAAGTCAGACAGTGAAAGACTCCTCCCGAGCGGACCCGCCCGGTTCTAGCGCAGGGCACTCACTCATATCGCGAAGCGTGTCGGTCGTAGCCTCGGTCCCGGTCCCGGTCTGGCTCTCGATCCCGGTCGCGATCACGGAAGTCATCCCGCGAAGAGCGGTGATCGCCTCGAGGAGCAGGTGGTCCACCGCTCGGCGCGGAGGGGGCAGGCTGCGACTTGCGCTTGTCACGATCTTCCTTGAACTTGAGCAGCATGTTTCGCAGCTCGTGGTAACCAAGATGCATCTGGAAGCGCGAATCAGGCGAGGTAGGTCACGAGCAGAGCACAGCCGCCAAGAAAGAAAGCATGAATAAAAAAAACCCACTTTTCCACCGAAATGGTCCGCCAGCCGGCGATCAGAGTCGAGCACTGACAGGTATGCGCCACAGACGTCGCAGACACGCAGCTTTTGGTGCCCGGATGCACCAGAAGTATCAGTGAGTTGTTGCAGTTCTCGCTGTAACATTTGGTCAATACGTGAACGACTTTCCGCGCGCTCCCTACGTACCTCTTTCTCACCCTTTTCGGCCTTCAACGCCTCAATGGCAGCCATCTCCTTCATGGACTCCTCCACTTTACCTTGTTCGCCTAAAAACAATCAGTCAGCCACAGAGTACATCTGCGACGCAACAGCAACTTGCCAAGTGTCTCAATCTTCTCCGTGCCTCCTTGGATGGACAGCTCGATCTCAGCAATTTCCCTCATCTGCGCACAGGCGTCAATACGGGGGCCCCGACCCGCAAAGCAGCAAAGAAACGCACCAAATTCGTCGTCTTCGCGTTCTCCTCGGGCGTCTTCTCCAACCGCCGCTGCGCCGTCCGGATCCGCCGGTCACACTCGTCTACGAACGCGAAGATGTTCGACTCGTACTCCGTCTGGAACCGCGCGAAAATCGGGTCGCTCGGGTTCGTCTCGCGGTCCGCGAGGAACTCCGTCTTGAGGCGCTCCGTGTGCGACTTGGGGCACGCGCCGAGATCCATTTTCTAGGGTGAGCGCGCGGCCCCTAGTCAGCGAAGGTGCCCTGCACGCGACACGCGCAAATGTCCAAAAAGAGGAGCGAAGCATGATGGCTCCACTCACTGTGTTGGTGAAGAGCGTGTGGGGGCACGTCCCGCACAGAAAGTTCCTGCACACGTTGTCGTCAGACCATACAAGGTTCGCGTTTGCGACGCCCATGGCCTCCGGGCCCATCATTTGCTGGAGAGCGCACCTCCTTGTTAGTCATTTCTTCGCAAGCCATGAAGCCACGGAACGCACTTCAAGCAGCCTGCGCTGCATCTCCGCGAGTCGACCCATATTGCGTCAGTTCCAAGGGTATATTTTCGACTAGAATATACAGAAGGCCTTGGAGCTGTGAGACCGCTTGACGTCGTCGTAGCTGTTGAAGAGATGTTTGTGCATGTTTGTGCTCAGTGGCGCAGTGTCAGGCTTCGATGGGCGCTCGATCAGCCTCACCATTTCTACACACCCTCAGCGACTGCGCCTGAATCGTGTTTCTCTCAAAATTGAAGGAAACAATCTCCATGCCGTGTAACCGGAATTTTTCGAATACATGCTGCTGCGAAATTTGATTTACAAAACTACAGGCTGATACGTTCACAACAGATTCTGGACGACCGGCTGGAGAACAGTGTTACAAGAATGACGAAGATGCGAAAGCACACTCTGCTGTGCGCACTTGGTAAACGAATCAGATCGACGGTGAGGAGAGGGGACGCGGCGTGGGCAAGAATGATTAATTGCTATACAAGTGTGATAAGAGAACGACGAGGAAGCATGCGGGGAGAATGCGTTGACGAGCTACAAAACAGCGAATTGCACGAACAAATGCGCATCGACGAGATAGAAAAAGCGGTAAAAAAGGATGGTCCTTGTTTCAGATGGCCGATGCATGCGGGGCGACACCACGTCCGCGTCCTCGGCCGCGACCCCAGCCCCGGCTCCTACCGCGCCCCCGTGCGCCGAAGTCTACAACAGCCTTGTCTTGGAAAGGCGCGTTCTGTCTAGACTCCTGCGGGCTGCGCGGCGGAGAAGGGGTGACGCCAGGTTGCTGGCCTCTCTTTCCTCGCCCACGGCCACTGTAGAAAGCACGAGGACGGTCGGATGACGGCCGAGAGTTATCCGAGAAAGCGCTTGAGGGTTCTGCAGCGCCTGAAACACGCTCTGCCTTTGAGAGCGATGGCGGAGACGGCGAAGCAGGAGCACGAAGCGGTCGGTCAAGGCCACCAAAAGACATCAAGAGATTAATTATTTCCTCAGTGATCCCTTCATCGTTTTGCCGACTGTTGTCTTCAACGAGCGCAAAAGCCTTTTGACCGGCAGGCGAAAATATCCAGTCGAAACAGACCTCAATCTCGTCTGAGGTAGACAACTTGTTGTCCAAGACCATCCAAACAGCCTCAGGAAGCTTTGAGTCTAAAGCCAGGCGGAGAAGCGACATAGACGACGGTGGATCGTAGATAGGCTTGTGATCAGAGTCCTTTGGTGGATACGCCTCGAAGAAGTATTTCAAAATCCTGATATCGCCTGCTTGAAGAGCCATATGGAAAGCTGTGAATCCGTGAGAGTCCCGCTCCTCTGGATCCGCATCTACAGATCCAAAATTATGTCAATAAAATCGAAAGAAAGAACGAAAATCATACTATGCGTGTCAAGCCATTCGACAAGCTCCGCGTCGCCGCGTCTCGTAGCAATGTGCAGCAGAGTCTCACTCTTGTCCGCAGGCATCGATTTCACGAAACTCTCGCATCCGATCCTGACCTCGCCACCAGCGGCGTCGACCTCGTCTTCCCATACGCCTTTCTTTACCTTCTCGTTATCGCCTTGTCTGGCCGCAGAGAACACCGCTGAACGAAGGTCCTGCACCTTCTGTTGTCGTGCCCGGGCTGTCCGCTCAGCAGAACTACGAAATGCCTCGGCCGCAGCTTTTTTCTCAGAAGCTTTGACCCTTTGGCGCTGCTCGGCCTGTCTCTTTTCTGTTGTGAAGAGTGAGTGTGACGGTACAAGGTATTAAAGGAGAGGACGGGAGAACGAACCTTCGAGACGTTGCTTCTCTAGAGCTGCCTTGCGCTCCGCAGCCTCTTTGGCGCGTCGAGCTTCCGCAGCTTCCTGCTGCTCACGCATATAGCGTATGTGCTCTGTACTAAGCCCAGAGTTGTCCCTTTGTCGTACATACCCACGCTGAGTGCGATCTGTTCACCAATGTCAATTATATCTCTTTGATAGTAAAGAACAAGGGACATCACGTACGAGCCCGACCTCGATCTTTCATCAATTCTTCGAACAAGAACCTGAAGTCCGGTGTAAGTAACCGACGCCCCTAAGAGACAGAAACTGACATGTAAAAGGCAAGGCCCTCCAAATCATCCTCGTACGAATCGTACTCGGCACCCTCATAGTCATACCCGTCTTCATCTTCGGAACAGTAGAACTCAAAGTCATGAGCACCGTATCCAGCAAACGGGTGGGAAGTGTAGCGTGTCGATGGCACAGGGTGGTGGCCATGTTTCGACAGAACGTCATACGCCTCGCTGACACGCTGGAATTGTGCGGTAGCCTCTTCGTTACCAGGATTCTTGTCGGGATGCGTGCGCAGAGCGAGCTAATAGAAGAGATATTTAAAATCTCTTTTGACGCGTCGAGGCAGTTCGCCGCACCTGTTTGTATTTGCTTTTGATGGCCTCGAGGGGCGCCCCCTGTTTGTTGAGGTAAATGAAGACTAATCAAGGATCTGGCAACCGATCACACCGACCTGTTCGAGTCCGAGGGCATCATAAGCCTCTGAGACGGTTAAGTGTCGTTGGACCATTACTGAGGGGAGGTTGAACGTTGGAGTGTAAGAACGCCGTCGACGCGTGCAAATGCAATTGAACGCGCCGGGCCCAGGCCTAAATATGGACCATTATGCTGACACAAGCACATGTGCCTTTTTATATTTCCATTTCCTTTTTGTGCAGCAAGCTCACACAGAATCCAGAGAAATTTTGCGAGTAGTGGATCCCTGTGAATCCGCGCCAAAATTTCAATTTTCGACGATCCGGAAACTGAGTCGGAGGTTGAAGGAAAATCAACAACGTTGCTGCCTCAAAAAGACTAGACGACGAGGCTAGGTTGCATTCGCCACAAAATCGAATACTGATTAGCCTGCATGCGATATGTCTTACAAGACGATATGGAGCGGTGATGAGAATATTTACCAGGAAACAGCAGCAAATTTAGGTGAATCAGAAGCCTGAGGCTCGTAGAGGCCTGTAGCTCCGAGCTGAAGATCCACAGAACGAGTACAGGTATAGAGAGACGATCAAAGAAGCTCCGCATCCATGAAGACGGATGTCAGAAGTAGATCCTGGGGAATAATGGTACATGGTGTAAGTAGAGTTTATGACAGATACATACAATTACACAGGTTTGAACGTTTGAACGTTCAAGGGACAAACTCTAACAGAACCGGTCACTAGAAATGATTTCAGATACACAAACACGATCGAGTCATGACTTTGAAAACCAACCTCTTCAATTTCGCCCGGCGGTCCAGCAAGGCTTCAGCTAAGCGCCCCTCATCTCGCGCTTGCTTGAGCTACAAAAAAAATCAACAGACTGACGCGTAGAATCAGGAAAACACCTTGCCTCCTTTCTGTCCGACCTCGATACGATTGACTTACCCGCACCCCACGCTTGATATATTTTACTGATATCGCATGAGTGAGAACACGATCATGAGCGATGATAGATAGAACTTACTTTGTACCAGCCTCGTCCATAGAGGGTGCCCCGAGCATTCCTTCTTTCTTCTTCTTCTCTTCTTCATGGGCCTCTTTCTTGTACTTACTCTGGATCTTGACGTAGAAACGTTCGCCAAATCCAACGTTGTCGCTGTCCCCTCTTAGCTGCATCTGCCCAGCAACTTCATCAACACTCAGATACTTCTCGTACACGTTCTGGAAGGCAACCATGCCATCGTCATACACAACGGGTGTCCACTCCTCCTCCGGCCCACGCGCTTCTCGATCTGCAGAAACCAATCCATGTTTGTCGCACGACAAGAACTTCCCTTCACCAACTCCCGTCCGCAGATTTATTGTGAGCGAACCCGCTACCCGTGTCGTCACCCATACCTGAGATACTTCGCTAGGGACACGGTCCATCAAGTTGCCCTCCTCGTCGTCTGCCTCCCCTTTGACCAGTGGATGCAACATGATGCGGTTTCGCGTAGAGTCGAAGTTGATGCATATCGGGGAAGGGTCAGAGGGGTGAAATATGAAGGTCGGACCACGGATTTCAATCGCCTGTCCAGGTCGCACCCAAGTGTCGGGACTCTGTTCCTCCTCGCCTCGCCGTTTTCGACTACCGCTACCGCCTTCCTCGCTAGCGTCCTCCCTCTTTCGCTTCTTCTTCGTTTTCTCGCCCTTAAATTTGAGCTTGGAGGATCGAATTGTGGAAGACATGGTGACAAGAGAACGGATCGGGTGACAGAAGTCCTTACTTGGTACCCACACGGAGCCGCGGAGTGACAAAAGCCCTCTCTGAAGGCCGGAATCCGTAGCAAGACGATTACTACCTTTAATTTCTTCCCTTATTTTTTTTTCTAGTTGCGTTGCTATATACAGTACGTGGTATGGCATCCGATCGTCAATAATACTTGGACGGTGTTCACTACCATCAAACTTGAGCTCGGACCTCAAGGGCATACCTTGACACAACTCAATTGTGGAGGAGAAAGACCACGAGATCTGGTCAGTTTTGAGGGTACGGCGCAGTTCACTGGTCAACATCAATACTTGCCTCTTAATTTGAAGCCAGACGGGGCTGAGCGGATACAAAACAAGCACATGGTGACTCACTGAATGCCTTGGCCCATCAACCAAGAACAAACAGGTCATTTGCGCTGGCGTAGAAGCCAAAGGGCGTTCTCAAATCGTGCTGTCCAAACAGGGGTAATTCACCCCCATACTGTGAGTATAACCGGGGGTATTGCATTTCGTGACCGTTCCGTATCTGAGAATAAGCGAGACAATTACAAGAACAATTGCAGTAAGTAAAGGGAGAACAAAAAAAATTGTCCGCACTAGAAAATGACATCTTCGTCCTTACTACTCAGGAGATCACCACTGATAGTCTCTTCCTCGTCAAGCGTCTCTGGGGGAGGCGGAGACGCGACTTCATCTACAGCCCTCGCCTCTTCCAAAGCTTTTCTCAGCGCTTCTGTGGCTGCGGCATCACGTTTCTTCTTTCCCTGCACTTTCTTCAAGCTGCAAAAGCCAGGTAAAGAATCGATGAAGCGGTACATGCATCCTTGTGACATACCGGAAGAATTCCTCGCGATCCATCTCATCCAGCTCACTCATGATATACTTGATTGTATTGTCCAAACGTGGAATGACAACATGTTCGATGGCGTTTACACGACGGTTCGTTGCACGGATGACTTCGTCCAGGATTGTGAACGCCGCCTGGAGCGAAGCAAGCTCAACCAGTGTCTCAACGGCCTTGGCATATACCTCCTTTGATCGTAGAACCTGCTGTCCGCCTCGTCCAAGACCAGTGAGATTGAAGTCTGCAGCACGCACGCACCCCAAGTCAGAAACAGCCCAATCAATCGAACGAATCTACGCACCCGAACCCGGCACACGGTCCACTTCAAAAGCAGGAAGAACGACACCAGACACATTCTCTTGTTTAGCCTTGACTTTGAACGAGGCTGACTTCGCCTGCTCCTGAACGAGATATGATATATCTCCCGTGGCGTATGTTACCTCGGCGAGTGAGAACGACGCCAGTTGCATCACCCTTCCCATCTTCCGCTTTGCCTGTCAGTATTTATGCACAAACCAAGGGATCGGTGGTCAGATGAGAGACTTTAGTGACCTGACTGCATACGCACCTCATCGACCTTACGCAGAATGGCACGGAATCGAGTCGTCAACGCATCGCGCTTCTTTGCAAGTAGCGAATGCCCAGTCTGTGCACCTTTCAGACGCGTCTTGGTATTCGTGAGAGCCATGCGTGTTGGAAATATATTTTCGCGAGGCCCTGTACCAGACATGATTGCGAAAGTGAACGGTTAGGTCAAGATTTCAGTGCCGCCGAGGCTCGGTCTATCTGAATTGAGCAATCAGTGAGTAACATCGGACCATCATACCACAAGGCCACTCACAGACAATGCCGGGGTAGCTCAGCTGGGAGAGCAACAGACTGAAGTGATTCGTCTTCTGGAGGTCCCGTGTTCAATCCACGGTCCTGGCAGATATTCATTTTTGTCTTTTTCATACAAGTGACAAACACTGGCTGACGATTGACATTTTGGGTACACAGTGGATAGCTTTGCGCAGCCTGAAGTTCTGTGCATCCTCGGATATAAACTTTTTAAAACACATGTGAGCAGTGAGATACAGCTGAGCCTAGCAGTTGATCATCAGACGCCTGGACAGCAGCTCTAATCATGCTTGTACGCTCTTTTTGTCCGATTGAGGCATACTACATGTCTAGCTTCGCGCTTGTGAATATACCGAGTTCTGGCGGCGTGCTGCACGTCGTGTCCCCAGCTTTCCAACTGCTTAGCGCTTATCGCTCGTCTCCAGCCATGATCATCTTGCTGTTCCAAAAAAAAAAAGATCACATGCCAGGACCGTGGATTGAACACGGGACCTCCAGAAGACGAATCACTTCAGTCTGTTGCTCTCCCAGCTGAGCTATCCCGGCATTGAAAATCATTCATTTGTAATTTTTATGTATCACAACTGTGCATCGTAGAGTGCAGGTAAAAACCTTCATGCTTTGAGGAGATTCTAAACATGATTCAAACGGTGTAACGTTGCTAGTTCTGATCCCTTGATTATACAAATGACTTCATTCTGAACGACACATCAGAGCAATAGTCCACTCGGCATCATCGCGCTTGCACATAATCGTCGATTTTTAACAGTAATGTCACCGTCTCCGTCGCCAGTTCGATCGCACTGGTCGATACGAGTAAAGGTTGTACGACATCCTCTTGGAGGATGTCGGAGATGGAGCCCTAGTCAAAGTGTATCAGCACAGACCGCATCGTAACAAAATGGAAGCCTGACCTTTCGGACATTGATGCCTGCATTCCGCTCGCCCAGCGCATGTCGATTGCGCAGCTCAGTGACAATGGAGATGGGGTTGAGGCCAGCATTCTCCGCAAGCGTCGTAGGGATGACCTCGAGCGCGTCCGCATAAGCCTGGAAACAATATGCCTCCATTCCCTTCAACGATTGTGCATACTGGGAGAGCATCCGAGACACATGAATCTCCGGAGCACCACCTCCGCCAATCAGAGCCCTTTTATAGGATTGGTTGTGAACAAAGTTCGGAGCTGACGAGATGAGATGGCCTACCGCTTCTTAACAAGACACCGTATAACGCAGAGCGCATCATGAAGACTACGCTCGCATTCCTCCATCACGATGGAGTTGCTACCCATAGCAAGAATACTGACTGTCTTTCCCCTGTTCTTGACGCCCGTGATTTTTACGATCTTGGTACCGCTTTGGCTGGTCTCTTCAACAAGGTCCGCATATCCCAGCTTATCTTCCGTGAACGCGTCGATGTCAGCGATAGGCTTACACCCCATACTCTTCGTCAAAAACTCGATCTCATCGCGCTCGACATCCTTGATAACGAGTATGTTGAGCTTTTTCAGGAAGTTCAGCGATGTATCTTCTACGGCATCGCGGAGGATAGATTTTTGAATCAAGAGCACGTTGCAGCCCGCCTTCTTGATCTTTTTGCAAAGGTTGAGAAGGTAGGTCCGATTCTCTTTGAAAACTTTGTCCATCTGGCGATAGTCGTTGATGATCACGGTGTTATCCATCTGTCATGCAGGCCTAGTGAGCCCTCATCGCTATGGTGGGTGAAATGTGGCAGACATACATCGGGTTTAGGCGCGCTCAACTGGAATTGGATGAGACCGATCTTGGCCTTCTCTATCCTAGTCGGACCACCAGCAGAGGTGATCACGTTTTGATTGAGTACAACACCGTCTATAAGCTCGGTGTCTTCAATCGTGCCGCCGACCTTCTTGACAATACGGATGTCTCGGAGGTCAACGTTCGAAGATGTGGGGGAGGCAAGACGCGTGACAGCGTCAACCGCAACGGGCGCAAGTGTCGAAGAGTATTGAGAAACGATCTGAAGATTATTTATGAGAAGATGACGACATCTCCACAGCTAACCAACACGATACCTTCGAGTTCAGAGACGTGCTGGCCGCACGCAAGAGAGCAGCACGGTCATTTAAATCGATTGGAGTTGAGATCTCTGTGAGGAATTCGACAGACTTTGCCGAAGCCTTCAGAAAAGACTCGGCGATGATTGTGGGGTGAATGCCCTTTTGCAACATCTTCTCCGCCGCACCGAGGAAGCTACCTGCGAGAACAACCACAGATGTAGTTCCATCACCTGCCTCTACGTCTTGTGCAGCGGAAAGATCCACGAGCTGAGATATGTTCAATATGCATCGTGCTTTAGGCGGAGAAAACACTGAACGCACCATCTTCGAAGCGGGATGCAATGCCTGGATACTGTGGAGAATAGTTGCACCATCATTCGTAACGATGACCTCTCCTTTCGATGTTTGGATCTGCGTAGGATGCAATGATCAGACGCGGTTTACAATTTCAGTGAGTGGTTTACCATCTTGTCCATGCCTCGAGGTCCCAGGGATGTTCGGACAGCATCGCTGATAGCTGCAGTATTAACAGAGCTATTAGAGTGGTGCTGATATTTATCGGGCTCGTCTATTCCGACGAACCTTTTGCCGCGACCAAATTCGAGAGGCGAACCTCCATAGGTTTACCCTGAATTCACGCGTTTGTCAGTACCTGGTCTTGATGTAGATGGCACAGTTTACTGACTTTGTCATTGAAAGCTTTGTTGGACCCTTGAGCTTGTCTGGGAGGCATTGCGGTCAGAAATGAAGGGTAGATGGGACGCCGACGATGTGCAGGCTGACTGCAAGACGAGACGAATTCGCGCAAGCTCGATTAGGCAAATTGAGCCCACGCTATAATCACGTGGGGGATTGCGTATGTACGTCTGTGAGCCTCCCTATTCCGCCAGAATCTATAGTAGAATCTGACCAAACACCGTCTTTCTTGCTCTTCAAACATCTATATTGACCACGTTATCTAAGAGCGAGCATGGATTTTGTCGGTAGATCTGTTCTCCTCCATGCTCGTTGGCTGATCCCTATTCTACAGTTTGGTCAAGAAGGAGGTAACGGTGGCCCTGGAGGACTCTTCGCCCAACTAGCCCAGTATGACGCGTTCCACATCTCACAACCCGCTGAACTCAAATAATCTAATATTCAGGGGGTTCGGTGGAGGATATGGTCATCGAGTTCGATCAGACCCAAGACAGTACGATGAATACTTGAAGGCATATAGCGTGGCCATGCTCCCTGGTCGGGAACGAGAGAACGTCAGCTACGGCGGCAAGAGTGCGTTCATGACTGATCTTCCCGTAATATGTTCTCATACGTCCTCTCTCAATTCTTCTCAGTTATAATGCCTCCATCAGCCCTCGCCCATCTCACGTCCCTCGATCTCGAATCACCTTGGATGTTCAAGCTTCGGAATCCAAATAATTCCGCTGCCTTCACGCATGCGGGTGTCTTGGAATTCATTGCCGAGGAAGGCGTTGTTAATCTACCATACTGGATGATGAAATCCTTACGGCTGAACGAAGGCGACCCAATTCGTATCACCGGGACAGAGCTGCCAAAGGGCAAATTCGTTAAATTGCAAGCCCAACATGTGCACTTCCTCGAGATTTCGGACCCCAAGGCTGTGTATGTATTCATCGAACCTCATCGTCACTTTGAACCTAATCATATACAATGCAGGCTCGAACAGGCTCTGCGTAATTTCTCTGCGCTAACCCAGGGCGATATCATAGAGATATCATATAACAGCATCGTTTTTGGCCTGCTTGTAATGGAAGCGAACCCGGGTGGTGAAGGCATCTCAGTCCTCGACACAGACTTGGAAGTCGATTTTGCTGCCCCAGTCGGATACGTTGAGCCTGAGCGACCTAAAGCTGCCCCTCCATCTACGATGGCATCAAAACTGAACATCGACTTGAACTCTTCGACCCCAGGATCTTCCAGACCAGGAAGCTCAATGGGTGGTACCTCCATGGGGGCAAGCAAGAGTGGAACTACCGTTAGCAAAGGCGGTGATAGATGGGAAAGTTTCAAGGGTAAGGGCGAGACGTTGGCTGGCCGGAAGACAAAGGGACGGGGAATCAGCCACCGTCAGGCGGAGGCTGTGCCTGAGGGCAGTAAGATTATTCGGACAGAGTGAGTTCCACCACTACACTCGATTCTTCAAATCTAAACGACCCTCTGAGATCAGTCAGCATCGAGTGATTTCAAATGACGATCTCTTTTCTGAAACCAATGTGCCTGCTCCACTGAACCTGCCTTTGGGCAAGCTTTTCTTTGGCTACAATATCGCTCCCTACACACCACCTCCAGCAACAAATGGAGACAGTGGGCCACAGGTACTCTTGCCCTTGATATGCATCATAACGTCTACTTATTACTTTCTGGTAGCCTTCCTCGGCTTTCAACAGTGCCGGAAATAGCCTGACCGGTCGCTCAACGATGCAGCCGAAGGTATCCTCTTCCACCAAGGGCAAGGCTAAAGAAGAGAAGACTTCAGACATGAAGTGGGGTAACGGCCAAACTTTGAGCGCGCGGGCAGCCATTCCGGCCACAGTAGGGGCAGGAGGAGCCAGCGTCCCTCGAATCCCACAGAGAGCGCGACGACCGCGAGAAAGGAGCCCCTCGCCTGAGGAAGATTGGGGTGTCGACGATGACGATGTCATCGTCGTTGACAGCGACTAGTCGTTGAGTCGTCAAGATGTCGGAAGTGTACGAGGGTAAGGGACATCTGTATACTACTTTGCAAGCAACGATAGTTATTGTGACTGTAAACTATTGCCTGGGTAACAAAGAAAGGATTGCAAGTTGTCTTTGATGCATACTGTCTGTAGGTTCTTTTTTACATTACAACATGACTACGCCGACCCCCCTTCCTGCCTCCTTGTCTGCGGTACCGGTGACACCCGCTAGGGGTTTTGTCCTCCAGTTGTACAAGTAGAAGTTGAGCAGACCGTCGCCGGACCCGAACTATGCAAGATCATGAAAGTTGGTAAGCACCCAAGACGAGGGACTGATATATGATGACGGCGGAGTACTCGCCTTGAGATCCTGCAGGTAGTACGCGCTATCCATCAGCGTCAACGCATTGAACACGTCAAATTTGGCCTGGTCTGCGACGATGATCGCGTCACCGATGAGGTCACGCAACCGCCGCTTCAAAAGACCGTTAGCATCCGCATCCTCCTGAAACGCGACGTCCGTGGCGTAGTAGAACAGGTACGCCGCTTCCAGAAGGTGGTGCTTCTGGTGATTCATGATCGTCGACGGGAGTGTATAGAATGAGAAAAAATCCGTGATCTTGTGCGTCTCGGGGTTCTGTTCGCCGAAACGAGAGGAAAACGTCAAGTTGAGAGATACCATTGGCTTAGTTGGCAAGATAGAGGGCCAACCTCGACGACATATGTCCAGATGACCTGTCCCTCTCTCCGGCGCGTCGCAGGATCCTTCTCCCCCTTTCCTCTTCCACTCAGGAACTGGTGGCGCACTTCATCATGTGTCATCTCTGGGACCATGTCGAACCGCTTCATATATTTCGTGAAGAGATCCGCAACTTTCACAACGTCGCGCTCCTCCATCTCGCGGAGGCCTGAGCGCGAGAGGTGCGGTGAGGATGGCAACTTGAATTGACGAATCATACGCGCAAGTGTCATGCTCCGAGGGACATAAGTGAATTTGACGTCGACGAGCTTGGGAACGTTCAAAGAACGATGGAAGTACCTCAAAGTAAGAAGGCTCGTGAGATTGGGCGATGATGGACACGAGAAGAGAAATTACCGGCACGTTGAGACGGGAGTAGGGAGCACAATTCCCGCGGTGTAGATGGCCTGGAAGATACCTTTCAGATGACACTGCCGGGTGACTTCCTTGATCAACACCGGGGCGAGTCGCTTCGATCGCAGCTTTTTGTGAACGCAGAGATAATTGATTTCACTTGCTTGGAAGACGCTATGATGCGAACTGTTTAATATACGCAACATCTACACGCAATAGGGGACTTACTTGCCGCGGACACGGAGTGTGATTGGCACACCGGAGATAAATGCGACCAACTTCTTGTTTGAAGAGACGCGGACCCCGATGTGCCATTCCTTGTGGTAGCCAGGAGGTTTCAACGCCCTACATAAAATATCAGACTTGGGGAGCAGCTGATTGTAGGACTGTACGATACCATTCAAGAAATTCAGCGGTATACTGAAAGCGGAAAGCCGCGACATCGTCCTCAACATAATTAGCAGAGAGAAGCTCGTATACCTCCCGGATCTATTTCAGAGTATCTACCGGCTTCAGGGATTAAAACTAAAATGATGGAAAAAGATACCTGGGTTGTATCTTCGATGTCAATGACAGACCACTCGAAGTCCTTCGGCAAGGGATACGAATCCTGCCGTACCTCCTCCCGAGGCCTGGAGGGTTCAATAAAACCGTCGTCCTCTGGGGGAGCTTCGTCTATGCCACAATCAGTACCTTGTATCAAACACAGGTGAACCATACTACCATAGTGAGGAACAGGCTGCGTGGCCCAGAACTACGCATGTCAGCTTTACACCTCCCGGCATTCGAAGAACAACTACGCTTGACGCACCTTATGATCACCAGCGTCTTTCTTGTTCAGTCCCCCAAGCCCACTCTTTCCCTGAATGACGTCTTTGATCTTCAACTGCTCTAGCAACTGCCTGACTGTCTCCGCATCAGCGCCAGGCGTATCTTCGCCATGCTCTTCCTTGACTTTCTTCAGCACAGTATCCACAATCTGCTGCGGCACGGTGTCGCCCTTCAGTGCAGCTAGGGCCCTCGCGGCTTTTGACTTCTTTTTCTTCTTTTTCTTGGAGGTAGCGCTGGAAGACGCAACAGGGAGGATGCTGTCCGACGGGTCGTCGAGCTCTGGTTCTGAGCCGGAGGCTGAACCGTCGATGTCGGGATCGTCTTCGTGCGTAAGCTCGGAGTTATGATCGACTGCGTCGGCTGCTTTTGCTTTGCCAGAGGACATGGCTCCTGACGTCGAAGGCAAGATCAATGCAGGAAAGACTTAGCTGTATAACACCTTGCGCATTATGACACGCGCGCTTTTGGATCTCGCCGAGATCTCGGTGATCGAGGCTCGAAGGTAGCTTTCGGTGCGATACAGCACTGATACAGCTCAACCATGTTCAAAACTGTTGTACAACGAGAAGCAGATATTTATAATTATATATCGGGTATACATCAGACCCTCCGCCGCCTCTTCACGCGTTCGGCCAACGTAGAAACCGTCGGAAGGACATCAGCATCACTTTTCATCTCTGAGTTGGATACTATTTTGGTTTCATCAGTCGGGTAGGTCGCCACCTTGAGCGGCCGGCCTCGTTTTTTACCCACTCCTGCTATTGGTAATGTTGGTGCAGGCGTGCATGGAGGCGTCGGAAGTGACAGGTCAAGCTGATGACTAGGAGATGAACGCTTGGAGGTGCTGGGAGATGGAGGCTTGGAGAGAGATGGAGGTTTGGAAGGCTTGGGAGAGGGACGCTCCGAAGAGCTGGGAGTGGGTGTCGACAGGCCGTAGGACGAGAATGACCTCAAATCAGCTGTGAAAAGCACCTATACAAGTGCATCAGGAAGATGTGATTCGGATTCGTGCAGAATAAGGTCGAGGTACTCACTGAGTGCGCCCATCCGGCATAATCTCCCCAGACGCCCATCAGCTTCAAGCTAACTTCCTCGTAAAGTTTTGCTGACAAGGCCTGCTTCGTTGCAGACGCTCCTCGTCTGCTATTTGCTCCCCGCACGTCATAATGCTTCATGGCGATTTGGTGAACGTGTGTATCGACAGGTATCACTTCTTTCTGGAAGGCTGCCAGTCAGGAACAAATAGCATGTGGCAAGGTCGTCAGAACGACGCACTTTGTCCATACTCATAAGTAGAACGCAGTCGGCTACCTTCCGGCCTACGCCCATGAACTTGAGCAGCTCTGCCCTCACTTGCGACGTTGGCATCTTTCGCAAGGAGATCAACCATAGCTCAGCCGCCTCTTGAGCGTCAGAGGAGTTTGAAGATCCCTCATGCTGATTAACAAGCATCTTAGCTGTCTTTTGTATATATTCCGCGCGGTAGCCAAAACCAAGAGACCGGAGCGTCGCAGACACATCAGTCGCAGCAAGGCGAGAAGGTGGTGGAAATGGATGGAAGGATTCGAGCTCGAGCTCCTTAGCTGAGTCTATTGGCGACTCTGCGAGGCTACTTGTCACTGCTAAAGGAGGTGGCATAGATAGCAGCGGCGGAGAATATTTTTCACACAATGACTTCACCATTTTTGTGATGCGTGTGATGTTATTATTTGATGAGCATATAAAGCTGTCCCATCCCAAGTGAACCTGCGATTCAGATGGAGGGGAAGGAGAGCGCTCACGATACTAGATTCTCCCATGGATCCTGCCGCAGCATCCGTATCCCTTCGAATCTTCTTCTGAACCTCATGAACACCGCGTCACGTTCACTCCACTCGTTGTATAGCTTCAGTAGGTCAACATCGAGCTGGAAATAGTCCTTCAGCCATAGGAGCGTCTCCGCCTCTCTCTCGGACTCTTGTGAGGGGGACAGAGCAGGCTCAGGGAACACAGAGCAGTAGAACAACGTGTCAGAGGACTGGCGCAAGCAGACCACACGGTCACGCAAACAGAGACGGTATTCATGGGTCGGCACAGCAGAGTCTGATACGGGTGTCTCGGATGGTACGTGCAGTGGGTAGATTGACCAGCGAAAGGACTGGCCGCACTGCAGCACCGCTGCGAGTGAGAGCTGGGCTAGAGGTAGAGGAAGTGCACGAAAGTGAGGAAGTGCATGAGCCATCAGCATCAGGTCAGGTTCTGGCGGGCTTGTGGAAAGCAAAGCCCACAGTGGGCAACTTGGTGTGGCAGGGTGTGGCCGTCCAGGCGATTGCGTGGGAAGGAGAGCCGAGAGCACGGACACACATATGGCGCGTTTTTGGTGGTGGCGCGCGGTCTCGTAACGGTTTTCGTTCCACTCTGGACGGCATCCTCTTTAGTACGACACCCTTTATCAGCTTATGTCCTGCCCGATCTTGCCGTTAATAGCAGCCTCCTTTCATACTAGGATGTGGGTACCTCTGGGTAGTAGGTATCTACTGCCGGAGCCCTTGATAAATCAGTCAAAAACTGTCTGCGCACTCACTGCTTGAGGATGACACCGAAGAGCTACATGGCGTTGACCACAATCCGCCACCATCGTGTGCTACACAGGCCGCTTATTCTGTGTAAGGTCAGCCACTGGCGGAGACTCATGGCGCGCCACATTTGCTCGACGCTGCCTGTCAGCTTTGAAGCTCAAAGCACCGTCGCCACATTATCGACTACAGCCTTACCATATATGGGAATGTCAAACCGCCGCCGTTTTCTGCCCGTAAAAGGGCAGCCCAACTTGGAGACCCACCAACAACCCCCCTCTCAATAACGCACACTGAACTGCCCTCACCAAATCTATACCTTACACACCCCTTCACCGTCTCCCAGATGCAGTCGAGGAACGTCTGCGTCATGGCCAAGTTCAATCCGGACTTAGTCAAAGATTGTTACTCTGCTCACGAGTTCATCCCGAATAACCACCGCACACCGTCATGGGAAGTGCCCGACCACCCATGAAGAAGACTGCCGAGACAGGCTGGAGTGTTCGTTGTAGCCAGTGGTATGTGGTTCGAACTTTCATGACATGTTTCCGATTTACTGAAGATTTATATGTCATCTGCAGCAAGCTACTCTTGGACGTGGCCTGTTGTACAAACGTGTCCAGCCCAACATCTCGTGTCCTCGACAATGTAGCATGGGACTCTAGGCATAGGGCAGACCGGTCTCCGAACGCCCCCCGAATTACGAATTTGCGTTCTCGTTGTCTACTGCCAGGCGTTCACATTCACTGCCAGGCATTAAAATCACTGCCGAGCATTCTCATCTTCTACACCCAAGCGCCCTTCACTACCGTCGCACACTCTCATCTCTTGTCAGACGGGCTCATTATATTTCAAGGAGTTCTCATCTTCTACATCCAAGTAATCTTTGTCTTACTTGGAGGAAGCATGGTTCTCTTTGGCCAGGCATTCTTACCCTCTACTGCCAGGCGGGCAGGCGTGCTCATCTTATCGCCGGGCGTTGATCTTATGGTCAGGCGTTCTCATCCTCTACTTCTAGGCGTGCTCACCTACCGCCAAATGTTCTCATCTTACCGCCAGGCGTGCTCATCTTACTGTCGGATGTTCATCTTGCTTGCTGTCAGGCGCTCTCAAACTACCACCCGACATTATCACTCTACTATCGTGCATTCTCATCTTACTGCCAGGCACCCATCTTACCGTCAGGCATTCTAATCCTGCCGCCACGCGTGCTCATCCTACTTCCAGGCACTCACCTTACCACCAGGCTTTCGCAGGTCACTGCCAGGCGTACTCACCCTACGGACAGGAGTTTCCGCCTATGGATAGACGTGCTCATCTTACGGACAGGAGTTCTCAACTAAGCGACACCCTTCTGACCCTGGATCAAGTGCGACTTTCTCGCTATTGAGATCGCACTTGCATGGTATCCGTAAGTGTGCTCGGCTCTCTGTCTTCATATAAGGATAATGACATTCGCATCCAGTTGACGCATAGGAATGAACGTTGTACCTGTGCTCGCATTAGTTACATGTTTCTTTTATTTTATTTTGGGAGGGGGGAATTCAATCCAGTTTTGTGCTTTGTGCCGAAAGATTCTCGTGTGAATACCTTGACAGACTTATGGTCGTGTCCAAAGGTCCACTATCAGAGGCAAAATTACACACGTCTCACGTGGACATTGGTGTGGAAGCGACCGAAGTTGTGCTTGAACTATATTCTGATCCTAAAGTGCTGGTAGGTGCTGGTATCTTGAATAGTGAGTATTTGAATGTCCATCTGTCCGATGCCCTTCCACTAATGCAGCAACAATCTGTTACGGAGCTTGCGCTGCCGAACTTGGCCCCTTCGCAGCGCCACAGTCACACTTCGACCTTTGCCGCTGAACCTTCACTCCGGATGATGTCAAGAATCGAACTTCGAAATCGTCAAAGAGTACATAAATTGTGACACGCTGGCCTCATTCGGGGTTTCCATCGCAGTCGCTCTCGGGCGTGATTCACCAAATTAGAGCATACCACGTTCTTCCCTGGCAAACTATGTTTGTTATCGCAGGTGTACCACCGTGCACTTACAGACGCGTTCTTGGCCTGCAAAGATCATCAACCATCGCCATGCTTCTTGCATCTCGATTATCATTGGATCGGGGTGAGGAACGAGGAACATCATCATATTTCCCTCGCTTGAAGCTGTCCGGTATTTGACAGGTGGATCCCGATTCCATGGGCAGCCGCTACTAGCCGCTACTAGCACTCTTTCAGCCCCTCCGCACCATCCACAGAACAGTGTAGGATGCGCCACAGTGGGACCTGCTGAGGAAGCGAATCGCGCGTCAGCGTCAGCAAATCATGCGAATTCACGTGATGATCTCCATGTTAGATTCAGTCTTCATTTCTGGCGACTCGGAGACTCGGACCCAGCCTCAGTCTGCAGTGAGGGTCCGCTTATAAGCCCACCCTCCGTCCTCGCAATGCCGCCATTGCATCCCGTCTCTCCGCGCACCCGCGCACGCACACTTTGGCGTCCGTTCCCTGACCTGCCTATGCAATGGCCACCGGCAGCACTCCCCTGCAATCTTTCCTAGGAGGCATCGGGCTCGCACTGCCCGTGCACACTCTCCTGATGCTTAATGGGAGTGTGTTTGGGATAGCAGGTTTTCTTCACCGAGCCGTGAAGGGCGGCATGGAGGATGCTGCTTCGGTGCTAGGGTTGCTGCTCGGCGGCATCGTTGTTGGGGCTATCGAGGGCCCCGGGCCCCAGATGTCGGAAGCATCATCATCCACCATGATTGCCTCTGGGGTCTTAGTTGGATTGGGTACCAAGGTATGTGCTGCTTGCGATCTGACACGCGCCATGGGTTGACTTGGAGGATCACTTTGTTCTGTCATTAGTTGAGCAACGGCTGCACGTCTGGGTATGTCCGCTCAGCATCTCGTCTAAAAAAGAAAGCCCTTAACGAACAGTATATATAGACATATGATTTGTGGGCTGTCACGCTTATCTCCTCGGTATGCGCTCGGCGCCTATAGAACATCCTCTTTATACTTATTCGGCATCCCTGAAGATCCATCGTAGCGACGGCTACCTTCTTCATTACTGGAGTCCTCACTACCCACGTGTTGCATAGCAGTAGACTCATAGCAGCCGGACCCGCTGATTATACCCTAGGGGACCATGGTACGACTTTTATGATCGGTTCAAGTGTCTCGATGCTCAGCGCGTTGGTTGTGCAGTATCTCGTACGCACCCGCTACCATTGCTCCCTTTTATTATCTGACCTTGAAAATCATAGCTGTCCCCTCCTGACTCAGTTGATATGCCAAAAATTTACGACGAAACATATTCGCATCGTCGTATAGTGACCTCCTTTCTGACCGCCGTGTCCTTCTCGCTCGCCCTTCGCCTCTCGAACCTGACGTCCCCTCAACGCGTGCTTTCGTTCCTGATTCTTCCCTTCAACTCCTCTTTTGATCCATCCCTTGCCTTTCTTGCAGTGGGTGCGCTCCCACTCGCTTCAGCCTTGTACCGCAAATGGGGACGAGGTCTTTGTCCAAAGACCAGTGCGAAGGTCGACTGGCGCCTCGTGACCGGGGCTGCGGTGTTTGGTGTCGGTTGGGGGATGGAGGGGATCTGTCGTAAGTCTTCCATCCATATCATTGCTTCGACGCGCTTGATGTTTATCGCACCCGTTTTTCAACCAGCTGGACCTGGGCTGGTCAACTTTGGGCGTGCTCTTGCGACGAGTTCTAACATTCAGCCACTCGCAATCTGGCTAGTATCTGTGCTTGTTGGAGGGCTTTTAGTTGCGTAGGATCGCTAAGTTCGGCCTCTTTATAGCCATTTCCTTTGCTGGATTCACACTCATATCTTTTCTACTTGCGGTTATATTCGTTCACTATACTTATCACCTTCATTCTTTCCTTCCCACCTCTCAAAATTGATGACCTCATTATTGTTATGACTAAGTAATGACATTCGCATCAAGAATACCCTCTACCGACGGAAGGAATCATTAAATAGTACCACAACAGCGTATACATCCTACATGGAATTTACCGATGGAAATAAAACAAAGGGAAGGCTACATGCTTCAATCACCTATGTCACTACAGTCTGCGCCATAGGACTGGGCTTGGCGGTGTTCTTGCTTCGTCCCCACCGCACCGCGAGCCGTTCGCCGTCCATGTCAAGCCCATTCGCCCAAGCTTCGGCAGCGCGCTCCGCGGAGGTACGGTCCTTGAAGTTAACGAAGGCGCATCTGAACGCGAAGCAAGGTACATACATAGTGAGCACATAATGAGCAGCCGAGAAGCAGTCAGGGAAAGAGAATGTACCTTGACTTGGAAACATGCACGATTGACCGAACTTGGGCTGGCTGTATCATCGGAAGCGATTGAAGCACACGAGTGCGGATCGTTGTCTCGGTGGCGGCAGTAGGGAGGGATGAGAGAAAGAGGGACATCTATATCGAGCGCATGAGGTGTGAGTAACATTATAGACGAAGTTGGAAATGTGCGTACAATAGACTGGTCTTCGGGAGGCGCCAAACCCTGATTCGTAGCGTGGGTGGACATGATTTTTTTTGCTACAGGGTCATTGCGCCCGTGATATCGATCTTGGATGTTCTGCTTTGACAGCTCATTATCTATTGGCTTTTCGTGCCTGAAGTCGTGGGGTTAGAAAGTGTTCTTAAGTGCAAACGGAGCATCATCACTTCGACTACATACCTGTATGGACACTCAGTACCACGCTTACAATCCCCCTTGGCAAAAAATGAGCACACATGGGGACGGTTACGTTTATAGTAGGGATCCGTCCGAGCAAGCTGCTTCAACATCTCCTTCCCAGCCGATGATGCTCGGCCGGCATCCAACAAGCTCTGATTACCTTCCAACTGAGCTCTATTTGTCAGTAATCATAACAGCACCCCACTAGCGGCCAGACGCACCTTTCCGTCCATATTCTGCGCATAGTACTCTCTGTTGATCTCACTCGTCGGCGCCTCATTCTGCAACGCTAGCGCAGTATCGCGGACCTGGGTAGGCAGGCCGTATTCGAGGTCGAGCAGACAAGTCTGGCAGACATTTTTGATCTTCGCGCACGTTTGGCAGATCACAGTCGTTTTAAAGCGCATGCCTGCACCAGGATTCCAGCGAAAGACGGTGAAGGGCCGTGCACATGTGCCGCAGGAGCGTCCATATTCTTGTTTTGACTGGATTGAGGGTAAGCTTGTGTGTGCACTGTAGCCGTAGAGGTCTGGCTCACCATTCTTACAAAAGCATTGTCTCCCAAACCTCAAGGGGGGTCAAGACGCGCCGAATGATTGAGCAAGGTGATGTTACGCACAGGTTTCACAAAGAATAGGAAATTCGCTCTGTTCCCAGCCTGCTTTGTTGATATCGGCTTTTGGTGGCATATCTCAAGAGTAGCGGGTGTGAGAATATGGATGTGGAGGTGATCTGTCGTGGTCGGTGACAGAGACTAAGTTGGGTGTTCAATAGTTGTGAGCGATGGACATATGGACGAGTAAGCAAGCCTTAACCTTAGTTCCTGGCTTCGGCCTGCTCCGGCGTTCTGAGGGCAGGCAGTCACGCGAACTGGGGCAAGCCTTTAGACAAAGTGATGTTTTCCTCAAGATTTATCCTCCCGCATTTGTTCTTTAGCGAGACGCTTGAATGTATTGTCAAGTTAGTAATCATAGATAAAGACCAAAATCCGTCTTCGTTCTGCCCAATCTCTCATTGGCCGCGACATCCACAGTGTCGAAATTCAAGCAGTTCGAGAGTGGTAAAATGATATACAATTGTACTACAATTGTGACTGGTGTCTACTTGTGGTATTAGTGTTCTTACACATACGTGATTCGCAGCGATAAGCTGAAAGGTAGCGATGCCGCGGTCACGGTCACTTCGCCACCATCCGCTACTAGATCCGAGACCTTCTTCTCTAAGTTCGGCCGCGTCGCCTCTTCGAGCTGAGGTGGAGCCTGGAAGTAGATCTGCTTTGTTGGAGTCGACAATGATGGCTTTTTGATCTGACTAGAAATGATAGTCACACATATGAGTACGGATAGCTTTGTGTTTGCCCAAGGAAAGCCGACTTACATATCTTGCTTTTCGACGAGCATCTCGATCAATTGGTCAACTGTCCAGTCCCTAGAGATTGATATGTCAAGGGATTCTCCACCGCATACAGGGCAGTCCTCTCGCTTCTCATGCTCAAATGTGTATGAATATACACTGTCGGTCCCGATGAGCATGAAGTAGTTGTTTAAATAAGCGGCAGAACTCGTCGCTATCTTGAACGCTTCGTTACAGCAGGACGCTTTGTTGGAACGATTATGAGTATACTCGAATGGGGTATATAGCGTAGACTCACCTGCAATGATGGCATTCGTCGAAGCGATAGCAGGGATGATGTTCTTTACAACACCCTGAGTAAGGGACCAGGTAACACCTTCAATCTTGAATTCTTTCGCTCGTGCCAGAGCAACTGAGTACAGCCAACTAATATGGTCTGGATCATCTGTGTCCATCTTCTTGTCTGCAATGAGAGAGTAAGGAGTATGTCATGGCAGTGCCGTGTCATCATACCTCCTTTTACGCGCGGCCACTCAAGTACCGATGCCCATTCTATGCAATGCTCAGGAAGACGGGGTGTGTTGGCGATGGTGCAGATGGGAAACGCAGTTGGTTTATTGAGCATGTCGAGAGAGCATTCATAACACGAAGTTACGGTCGGCAGAATCACGCGAGCTTGTCCCTTGAATCCTACAGACATCTGAAATCAGTGTCTAGTTCTACAGGAATGCGATAAACAGATATCTGACCTTCCGTACCACCGTCTATGAGTGGCTTCAGGCTCTCCGGATTCTCTGGATCCACTAGGTTGACGAGTGTCGCGTTAATCCATCGACGTGCCTCCACGGAGTCGAGCCCGCAGATCACCAGATTGAATTGCAGGTAATAGTCGTCGTCTTTGTCCTGAATCTTGCCATAGTACCTTTAGGCAGCCATAAATCGAGCAAAACACGCGGCTTGAAAGAGACTCACGGAGTAACTTTCACTCCTGGAACGCGCTTCATCACAAAATCTGCTGCGACAATGGCTTTCGGCTGGCCGACATCCTTTGGTCTTCGCGAGATACACCTTCAGTCTCGTTCTGATGAGTTTTCAGGAGAAGAGATGGCTGCACCTGAACAAGAACTGTCTATTAAGATTACTGATATCAATCGTATCCATGTCGATGACATGAATATCCTTGAATCCGGAGAGCGCGAGGTTCGACAGGATTTCGCACCCCAAGCCGCCGGCGCCAATGACGAGGATCTTGCATTGGTTGCGCAGAAAGTCCTTCACCTACCCAGTTGGACGCACAAGAAAGACACGTCAGAGATGGCGCTGGGAGGCGTATGTATACTGGCTGCGTACGCCTTCCCCAGCCATAAATGAGGGATCTGTTCGGGGACCTGGTCGGTCGAGGATCTGATCGACATGGTAGTACCGATTCGGCCAATCGCTCAATGTCGCGTTTCCGTTGACTTGCGCATTAGGAGCGGAAGCCATGCTCTCTGTTAGATCCCGTTCGTGCTGTAAACCACCTAAGAGAGTCTGAGAGTCGAGAAGTAGTGGCGTGCGTCGCGGACGCGTTGGCTCAGTAAGACTAACTGTGCACCGGAGATCTCCGAATCCCAATTGACGGTTCGCATTACGTCAGCACAATTTCTTAATGAGTTCGGGCGCTTCAGCTACTCGCCGAGCACACCACATCGAAAATTCATCTTATTTACAGGACACTGCAAGAGTTCATTAACGTTCATTCCAGACTACTTGCTACCGGAACCCCCGTGCATCACTCATATTTCGGATTGATTGCTGCGACATGTCACAAGGAGCATCTGTGGTGCATTTTAGCGGTCACCAGTATTTGCGGCACCGTTTAGTGCTCGGTCTCTTGAGCGGGAAACCCGTTAAAATTGACAAAATCAGGACGGATGATAAAAATCCTGGACTGCGGGGTGTGCAGATATTTTCTCGGAGACAAGACCGTATACTGATCATAACGCGCTGCCTGTAGACTATGAGGTTAGTTTGCTGAGGTTGTTGGAGAAGGCGACCAATGGGACGATTATAGAAATATCTCTTACAGGTGCGTAAAGCATCCTCTGAATCATGACATCTATTGACGAAGAGCAGGTACTGCCATTTTGATCAAGCCTGGTATCATTACTGGCGGACCTATAACACATGAATGCCCGCTTTCGCGGTCGATTGGCTACTTCCTAGAACCAATCATCATGCTCGCACCCTTTTCCAAACACCCATTTGATTTGATCTTGAAAGGGATAACCACCGACGACAAAGACCTCTCTGTCCGTGTTTCACTGTAAGAACATGTCTGATATATGTACTGATGCGTGTTGCGTGGTATTGACAGGCAGACCTTATTCGAACAGTGACATTGCCGCATCTCGAACCATTCGGAATTTCGGACGGTCTAGAGTTGAGGGTGTGTGCCAGATACTCTTTAATGAATGATAGCTGGATTTGACCTATCTATCCAAGATTAAAAAAAGAGGCGCTGCACCACTAGGAGGAGGGGAAATTCAGTTCATCTGTCCAATCCTCAAGCAGGTAAAAACGATCAACTTCGTTGATCCCGGACGAGTCAAGCGGATACGAGGCATATCGTACGCAGCTTTTAGTCCTTCGTCATCATTTCTGTTGAAAGGTCCCCGACAGGCATGCAGTGCGCGTCAGCCCACAGTTTTCGAATCGCATGATCGAGGCTTCCCGCTCTGTGTTGAATACATTCATCCCTGACATATACCTGTATTCCGACGTCTACAAAGGCGAAGACAGCGGAAAGTGAGTTCTTGTCACTGTCTCTAGATCACGTTATCTGACACGGTTGCCCAGATCCCCAGGATATGCTTTGACCTTGGTTGCAGAGTCGACTACTTCTGTGTTGCACTGTTCAGAAGCCGTGTCGCAACCGGGCGTTTCACCAGAAGATATCGCCCTGCAGGCAGCGCAATCCTTGCTCGCCGAGATACGAAGAGGCGGATGCGTAGATCGCAAGCACCAGACCCTGGTTCTCATGATGATGGTGCTGGGAAGCGAAGACGTCGGGCGGTGTCTAATGAGCGAACCAACCGCACGAACGTCAGTCAACCTGATCAGTCTACCATCAGTACAGGTCCGACAGTCGTTGCTCACTCATTCAAAATTGCAGAATTCAATTCCTTCGGGATGTCAAGGACGTCTTCTCGACGTCGTTCAAAATCGTTCCCACCAAGTCGTCGGAAGCAATTTCGTCGGAGCTCATTTTCTCGTGTTATGGGACTGGCTACATCAACACTAATAGGTCACTGGCGTAACCTATGATACGTGTACATATGGCTGGCTTTCTACCCGCTGTCTTATTTTTACCACTATCTATATAATGTACTGCACTCTTGGCAGCCTGAATGATGTGTTCGAAACTCGAAAAGACACGTTCCTGGCCAGCGTATATTGACCACATGACGACGTAGACAGAGCTATCTGTAGATGATCAGCACCTTGCCGAAATCCCCGTCTCCTTTTCCCGCACCCAAGGCGATCAACCACTGCTCCATCATGGGCCATCCGACCTCAAATTTCGCACACAATTCGTCTGTATGATGTTCCCCATCCAACAGCGACGCCAGCTCTGGCGGGTACGTCACAGGCAGCGGTGGGGTAATCACCGGTGGCCGCGTAGCGACCGCAGGGGATGACGGTGAACGTGACAGACGCGGGCGCGAGGCGAACACGCCGATGCGTCGTTCTGGCGATCCATTATTGGGGACGGGGGTGTAGCCAGGATTATTCTCGTACGGTGATGTTGGTGAGACAAGGGATGATCGCCGCCCATCATGGACCTCTGCGCCGGCGCCACGCGATCTATACCTTTGCGTCGTGCGAGGGTTTCCCGCCGTTTGACCAAGGAATGGTCCAGATGGTGTGGATTGCCGAGCGCCCTTCAGGGTGCTGTTGATACTGATATTGATGTTGTTGCGTGTTTGGAGTTGTTCTAACGACTGTTCAGCCCCACGGACAGGCAATATGCGCGCAGGCGATATCAATGGATCGGAGGTGACGGAGGCGGGTGATGCGTCGGAGATTCGTCGCCTTGATATCCTAGGATTCAAACCATTGGCAGGTACTACTTCTGTATAATGGAGTGGGGTAGAGAGGCTTGTAGATCGTTTGCGATTCGAGGGCGAAGGGGGAGAAGGGGATTGCTTGGGTTTTTGAGGAAGGTCAGGATCGGGGTCAGGGAGGAGAATAGGCCAGCGGTGCACGCGCCGCAGGAATCCCTGTCAGTGTCAAAAGTTATCGGTCAAGCTAGTGTGTGAAACAGTAGAGAGGACAAACCTTGATGACGCCAAAGCTAGTGAACCGCCGCACATCAATACCAAGACCACGCACGTCATGGTCGTGCATCCACTCAAAAACAGTCCTTCCGGGTTTGAGACGCGAGTAGAGGTACAGTAGTTTTGGCCAGTCAGGAATCATCCTCCCTGTATAGACGTCATGAGCTATTTCTCCAGAACATTTGCCTGAAAATATGGATACCGGGCTTTACGACATATGGGCCACATTCATCTTTCACGTGGAGTTCATCAGCAAGCCATTCAACGCTTTTGCGGAGGGTATAAGTGTTTGAATACTGGAAGATATCAATAGTCATGATTACTTGATAATATCTGGCATGCCATTGAATAAATTTGAGACTTTAAGCTGCAAACTGGAAGTAGACATACAAAAGATGAGAAATGGCTTGACGAGTAAGCTCAATATCACAGTCGGCCAAGTCGGCGATGCGGCTGACATGGTTCGTTCCATCTATATATTGACAAACCTGCCCGAGATATATAAACATGTAAGCAACACTCCCTTCGTATACAATCTACCTTGGCCATAGTGAGATCCCAATTCGGCTCGATGATCCTCTCCAGGTTGATAAGCGATAGTGGAACCATCCAGTCCTTAACGTCTGGTGGATTCGGATAGAATGGGAATATTTTCAGCTCTATCGAGTTGAATTGGTCGACAGGGATGGAAGTCTCAGAATAAGAGTTGAGGTCCTCGTAAAGTTGCTCAATGATCGCGTGCATCTTGAAGGAGGTTTCTGAAGAAGAAAGAAAACACGACTCCTCCTGTGAAGGATAACAAACGGTAAGCAGGTAAGTGGCCAGGGCCAGAGACTTGGATAGTCTTACCTCGCAAGCAGCCAGAACGCGGCTGACTTTGCGCACGATTGGCTCGTAGCAACTCAAGTCCGCCGAGCGATCGAAGACGAAGCACAGATTGAACCTGAAATAATTCCGCTTATATTTCCCTTTCAGCTGAGTGGGAAACCCGACTATTCGATATTTTCTGGTCGCACATATAATCAACCTTCCACAGAGTGCGCTCGGGGGAATGACGTATTTCGAAATGTCATCGAAATTGAACAGGGTTCGACCAGAAGATAGAGAGCGTTTCTGTGGGGAGAACTTGAGACGCGATTCGGGTCGGTAAGCGAAAGAGGAGGTGATAGAGATACTGGAGGCTCGGGAGCCAGAGCTGCTTTTCTCAGTACGTGGGGTGTGTGGGGCGGGGGAGTTGGATAACGAAGTCGCGCCGGAGACCAAGCCAGGATTGGAGAAAATCAGACCTTCTGGGACTTGGTAGATGATCTTTGGGCCCTGTCGCTCGTCAAAGACGGCGTAGAAGATGGATTGGATGCGGGGCAGGAACGAGTCGCCGTCTGCTGCCATCAATATAAGTTTCTGCTTCTCGAATCGTGGAGATGAGAGGGTGCAGGATGGCTTCTAGGCATGCAGGATCGAATTATTGGCTTTGAAGGGACAAGATTCTCCGCGAGCTCATATCCTGGTGATGGTTTGAGATGGAACGGTCGCAGCCACAAGCGCGTCTCCCAAGGATCGCTTCGTCAAATGTCCTTACGCGTGTCGGCGCTGCTGACCCGGTCAACCTCAAGGCTTCTTGTCGCCATGTCCCGCAGTGCTCTCACAGACCATGTCTTCCGATAATGCAGATTCTACACCGTCAATCCTCACCCCTCCCTTCGTAACTGTCGATGGTATCCTCAATGTCCGTTCGGTCGGCGGCTACTCCATCATCTCTGGCGACTCCGATGAAAGCTTGCGGTCACTAATTGTCAAACCCTCATATCTCTTCCGCGCAGCTGAGCCGACGCGCGTGACGGAGCTCGGCAAGGCGCAGCTGCGCGCCCTGGGAGTGAGGAAAATATTCGACTTTCGGTCTGATAGTGAGATCCGGAAATACAAGGCCGCGACGCCCGAGTTTGACGGTGTCACCATCGTGAAGGCACCTGTGTCCGATGATGAGGCGTATGATCCTGCCAGCCTCGCTTTAAGGTGCGCGTTGCGCTACGGTGGACAGTCAGGATTCTAGATTTGATATATGGCCTTTTTAGAGTCCAGGCATTTGAGACCGATGCAGCGCAGGTTCGATACCTTGATCGATGTTTCGTCAAAGAAGTCAGGGTGTTGACTTCTTAGATGAGTACAGGCATTCGCGAAGCTTTACGAAGGAATTCTCGATCTCGCCGGCCCCGCGTTTGCGAAGGTCCTGCACCATATCAGAGACAATCCCGACGAGCCTTGCTTGGTGCACTGCACAGGTTGATCAATGCTCCTTGCTTGCCGCCTGCTCACACTGCTTGAACTGTTCTCTTTTTATCGCTCAGCTGGAAAAGATAGAACAGGCGTCTTTGCCGCAGTATTTCTCAAGGTGAGCTACTCATCTATATTCAATGTTGTGACCGTCGATATCAACACTTCACGGAGTTCTTGGGAGTAAGCGATGAAGATGTCGCCAAGGACTATTCTTTGACCGAGATAGGCCTCGAGCCCATGATGCCCTTGCTGGTCGCGCGGTACCGTAATGAGCCCGTCTTCAAGGACAAATGGGAGGCCACTATGAAGATGGCTAGTGCAAGGTGCGTCACCTGTTCACCATGATTTTATAACACTCAGACGTCGTACTGCCCATGTGCACGGTGATGGGAACGCGGGAGTGTAGGCCTGAGACGATTCTGGCCACGCTAGACATAGTACATAAGAAGTACGGTGGTGCGGAGAATTATTTAAAGGAGAAGGCAGGGTTGACAGACGAGGACCTGGAGGCGATCAAGAAGAATGTATTGGTACGGAAACCATCTCTCTAGACTTGAATGAGATCGTGATCATCGATTCATTGATGCTTTCATGTCTTACTGTATTTCGCGCCTATATTTCTCGTCGTCGCCAGCTCTAACATCCACAGATGGGGCATTGTGAGTTGCTGTAGTTCCGAAAGCCTTAAGATCAGGTGGACCGCTGCAATGACGTCATCGGGTGTAGTGACAACTGCTGATCGCGATACCGAAGGCTTGCGACGTCCTGCACACCAGCAGTGCAGCAATCGACGTGCTCAGCAAATGCGACCAGGCCGATTATTGGACCTGAGTCCTCCAGATGATCTATCCGAATCAGACTGCCAGACCATCTTCGATCACCTTTTCCGACGCCTTGCGGCATATCGCCAGAGCAGAGAGCTCTATGCTCTGGCAGAGTATGGTCGCAGTACCAGTCCTGAATCCAAAAGGCTGGCCCTGCAGAGCGCGTTTCTGCGAGAACTTGATCTCTGGGCACAGACATTACTTGAAAACGCATGGTTTGCTTGTCAGCAACCTGGAGGAGGTCTGTCCATCTATTGATACCTTGGCCGTTGTCCTTATACTTGGAATTCAGGAAATTGTCCTGAGCTTGATCCGTTGTCGGATTCGTCCATAGGTGATCTCCTGCGGCTCCCAACCTCCGCCGCCGTTTCTCAAACGATCAATATCATCCTCTTCATTCACATCACGACGTCGAAATCCTATTCACCCCATACGCGGTCATTTCTCTCACAATTTTCGCACCTAGACGAGCGTACGATTGCAGCAACGCTCAAAAATCCAGAAAGCGCCCTGAAAGAAGCCGAGCAGCTGGTAGAACAAACCAAAGACGAACATGCTTTCAAAGGTAAGACGTTTCGCATGGTTGGCATGGGACTTGGCGCGATTGCAGGTGGCGTGCTCGTTGGCGTGACTGGTGGGCTCGCCGCTCCCCTCGTCGGAGCAGGGGTGACTGCACTGTTCGGCGCACTCGGCGTTGGAGGGACTGCAGTGGGGCTGCTTGCGAGCGGTCTCGCGAGCTCGTCTGTCGTGTGCGGGGCGTTGTTCGGGGCGTACGGTGCGCAATCGACGGCGGGGATGGTCAGAAGGTACACGCGCGAAATACGTGACTTGGCGGTGCTGCCGGTGCGCAGGCCAGAGGAGACGCTGGCAGTTAGGCTTTGCGTGAGCGGATGGTTGACAGACAGGGGTGATGTAACGGCGCCTTGGACCGTGTTCGAGGGGGACGATACATATGCGCTACAGTGGGTAAGACATCTACATGGGCTGTTGTGTGAACTTTAGAAGTTGACCATTGGACAGGAAGTCGAGGCTCTAGAGGAACTGTCCAGTGCACTATATACTTTGGTCAAAACATCGGCTATGCGCTATGTCAAGGCGGAGCTCATCAAGCGCACATTCCTAGCTAGCCTCATGAGCTCTCTCGCACCCATCGCGTGGCTTAACATCGGCAGAATTATAGGTGAGCTATCAACCACAGCCATGACCAATCACCCATCTTTTATTCACCTTCACAGACAACCCATGGATGAATGCCAAATCTCTAGCCCTCAAAGCCGGCTCCGTCCTCGCCACCCTCCTTTCCTCGCACGCCTTCGGCACGCGCCCTATCACGCTCACTGGCTACTCTCTAGGCGCCCTCGTCATATTCGAAGCGCTCACTCAGCTCGCCGCGCTCCCGCCATCCCGAACCACACACCTCATACATGACGTTTTTCTCTTCGGCGCGCCCGTCCCTGCAGACGGCCGCACGTGGTCCGCCGTCCGCCGCCTCGTCGCGGGGCGCCTCATCAATGGGTACGCGGCGAGCGACTACGTCCTCGCAGTTCTGGCGCGCGCCACGGACGCGAGCTGGAACGTAGCCGGGCTGCAGGTAGTAGACGTGCAGGGAGTCGAGAATGTGTGCTGTGATGACGCCGGCGTGGATGGGCATCTGAAGTGGAGAGGCATGATAGGGAGGTGTTTGGAAATATGTAGGGCACCGGGTGTCAACCACGAGGAAGTAGAAAGGCAAACAAGAGAGGTCAGGGATACTGAGAACACGCCAGAGCTAACCTCAGAGGAGATTGGGGAGGCAACGAAGCCTGGACTGAATGAGATTCGCTGAGGCTGACCTTAGACTTCGACGCATTATTTTACTCGGAGAACATGGAACAATTTTGACATTGGTAGAAGGCCATCATACTCAGACAAGGTTCCTGATGTCTGATTGTCCGTTAGAAAAAGTAGCAGTAAACGAGAAAGCAAGTATCGCAGATGTCGTGATATTGTACATGGCGTACGAAGTCCATTGTCCAATATGAGAGCGTGAGCAAACGGAAAGCATGCAACTAGCTGAATGAAAAATTCTAAGTGGAGCCTCCTAAGATGGAGCTCAGACCACTGATGCCCATGTTTTTGAGGACACTCTAAATTTTGGTTCAGTATATACTTTGGGCAGAGGAACTCAACACAACGCACCTGGATCTCGTCGGCTGATATAGGACAGTCGAAGCTCAGATTATTGCTGATTGTGGGATGTATGGTGACGAGGAGGATTCGCAGTCCGAGCTAGTAGTTGCGGCATCAGCGCTTCCATGTCCGAACATCATTTAGGACCATCACGATGATACGTACGGTGATCTTGTACGAGACTGTGAGCTGTTGTTGAGGATTAGACAAACACTTCGTCGCGATGGTAGAAATGATTTGCTGGGAAGGGTCGATGTCGGTAGTGTATTTGATGTCGAAGGGGAAGGTGAAATTAGTGTTTGAATGGGAGGGGAAATTGACATTGTTGGCTTGGCCGCTGCCAATCAGTGTATCATTTATTGGGAAAAAGATCTGACCAGAAAGTATGTTAAATGAAATATCCGAGCAGGAAATGAACGAGGACATACTTCCGCCTTAATACTCTTGAAATCGACGGCGAAGTAATTGGGGTTTTCAACGCTGCGAAAGGTTTAGACCTGACGAAGAGAAGACCAAAGAACAGAGGAATATACCCTATGATGACGTTCAAATTGAGCTGCAACCCGTTGTCTAGTTCTTGGAGCTGCGACGTGGCATGAGAACGACGACGGGACATATATGGATGTGAGTCCTCACCGTGCTTCCATTCGAGGGAGCCTGCACGTCACCAATGTTAACACTGGGCGGTCGAATCCACTATGGACAATCATGAGACTTGACGCGACAGATGTGCACCGAGTGACATACCAATGCCAAGGACAGAATGATGCTGATGATGAGGAATACGGCAACGAGGAGTGTGCAGCAACAAAATCTCCCTATGCACCTCCCGCGCCCGCCCTGTCAGATAGGCGAAGTCACCTTCAGTCGACCTCCACGTATGCAGTTCGCAGCAAGCTGACCTTCGTCCACATCTGACCTCGGTTCTCATATCGCCATGCTCTCAAATTGCGTGAGGTCCTGCTATGCTGTCAGCCCATGGCCTACTCAACGGATGGCATTGGCAAGAGAACACTGACCTTGCTCTTGGAATAGGAGTGCCATAATCTTCCTCAAATCCATTTCCCTCTTTATTGCGGTCCAGTCTCTCCTGAGACTGGTTGGCAGAAATGATTGCAGGCTCATCTCTATAACCGTCGTCGTATCCTCCGTTGTCGTATGTCCCATGAGGTTGATGCGTATTGTATAAGTTGTATTCTGGCCCGTCTTGGTACTGCTGTTGATGCTGGCTCGCCTGGCCAGCGTAAGGGTCTCGGTAGGTAGCCATAATGCTTCTCGATTATAGATCAGGATAGATCAGAAAAAATCAGGACGCAGAGGCCAGCCGCTGCGAGTAAGAATGGGTAGACGGACGTGGAGTGTGAACGAAGAATGGAGTAGAGAGACCTGTCGCCGAGTTGCCGCGCCGCCCACTGCTGCACTGGACTGCTGCGCGCTGCGCTCTCAAACAGTCAGCGACTGGTGGCTGTGTACGCATTCTCTTACTCAGACTCCATCGAAATGAATACGATCGTGAGACATGAATACGATTGTGAAACATGCCGGATAGGTGTAATTTTTGGAAAAATCAGAGAACAAGTCAGAGGACAATGTACATAGAAAATGTCCTGGAAACAATCAGTATGGGACAGCTCCCGTCTACAATAGAGGGGGCAAGATGGGATGCAACGTGAACTCCACACAGATTTAACCGTATTGAGGAACGAAGGGCAGTCTCGGACTTTGGTTATTATGAGAAGGAGTACCAGCAGCACGAGAAGGCGCTCGGGATCCAGATGCAGGAGGAAGGAAACGCCTAGAGCCACCAGAAGGAGTCTGTGGAATGAAGCCCGCTTGCTGAGAGGGCACACCAGATGATGTCGAGGGAATGAAACGATTTGAGTTTGCAGAAGAGGTCAAGTAGGCACCGGAGCTTTTCGAACCAGGTGGAAATCCAAAACGAGACGGAGGATGCTGAGTTGAGACGAGGGCGTTTGTAGGTCGAGGCATTTGAACCGAGCTTCGAGAGATGCTAGCAATTGACAAAGAGTCTGATCGAAGGGCCCCACCCTGAGCATTGCGCATGACAGGGGTAGGAGGCGGGGGCATTAGAGAGTTGTTCCGTGGATGGATTTGATGTATGGGAGTACTCTGCGACATAGAAGAGGCATTCTGTTGCTGAGGAGTCTGGGGGGGAACATAGGCATATTGTCTAACGACCATTTACAGATGAGTCCACACGAGAATGCTGCGACTACGTACTGCACAAAACGACTCGACCCAGGTCGGTCTCTCTGCTGATCTTGGGCCGTACCTCGGTTTGAATGGCTGTTCGCGTCGGAATTGGAGAGTTGTTGGGTAAATTTCGGTTGCTGGTGATTTGCTGGAAGAGTCAGTCGGTTTGGTCCCAACAAATTCGACACTGAATGGGGACTTGACAAGTCCCTCGCTTCTGTTCCACTCCTGAATAAACCACGTCGTAAGATGATGCAATTCTATGGCGATGATCCTACCTATATGCGTCTGTCCGGCGACGCTTCCCGTTCTCACTAGACGCCGTCGCGGATCCTGGACCACTTATCCCGGCATATTGTCGAAGCTGCTCATTCTCTGATCTCAATTCTTCGTTGATCCTTCGCAAACAGACGGTGAGTCGCAATATGAGTAGAGGGGTTTGGTCGTACTTCCGTAGTGACATCGTTTCTGCAACCTCAGATTTGAGGCGCTCGAAGAGGCCTCTTTGATGGAGATACTTTTTTCTGTAGAAACGTGCGGATGATGCTATCATTTCTAGTTGGAACTAAGGGCTAGATTTGTGACTGCAAAGTGGTGAGAAGTGATGGCGGATACCAACTCTGGTAGAATGAGCGGCAGATTCAAGGGCGGTGGGCATGGAGCTGAACCAATTGGCCATTGGGAGTTCCATCTCGTAGACTGTGAACCTTTCATAATACGGGAGCAGAAATGAGGTACCTTGCGTGAAAGCGGGATGATCTGGACTTGCTGCGCCCCACATTGCATGCAACTCTGGTCGGAATCTGTAGGTTAGCTGGTAACTATCGCGAGTCGAGGTACAAACGATATTGCTTCAGGTGTCTCACTTAGATGATTGTTACAAAGAACATGCCCACACTCCGTAAGCCAGAATGGTACAGGGGGAGGCGTGGATGGGTCGGGCGAAAACAAAAGAGAGCATCGCGCGCATGCAACAAACTCCCAGACGTCGAGATCTCTGTTTGATGAGGACACAGTAGACATATCAATGTCAGGTTGAGACGGACGAGGCTGCGAAAACGAGGTCCTGAGAGGATGAGGTGACCTTTTTGAAATACAGACATACCATCGCGTGACAAGCGCGTAAACACGTGACTGGTCGAGTTTCGACGTTTCGAATAGCTACCACACCTTGACTCTGTCGGAAAATGCCCTTCTCTTACTACATCTAAGCTTTGAGATCTCAGCCATCGTGGACTGCTCGCTAGAGGATTGAGAAACTACACCCTTGACTCATCATCTTCACGGTCCATTTAGGAACTACACCGGCTTGTACAACGAGAACTTATCCGCTGCATCTCGAAGGTCGTCCATATTGGATTTCATCACGAGCATCCTATTGTGATCTTCAGAGAGTCTAACGTCAGATCTCGATGCAGGAGAGAGACTTCATCAGCACTGCTGGATGGACTTTCGACGGCCTCCTTGTTGCCGGACAGAGGTTTCGAGAGGTTCCTCGTATTTCGATCGACAGCGACAACTTGCAGTCAGTCCTTGACGAGCACGAGAAATCTGGAGTTCCCTTGATTGTCGAGGGCCTTCATAATCGACCCAAGTGGCCCAGAGACATCTTTAACCCGGACTGGTTTAGCGCCCATGGGCAGCAAAGTACGTCTCTCAAGCACGCTGATCATTATGTCTCACAGCCCAAAATGGTTCAGAACTGAGGGCTCGAAATGTTTGCGACCTCACTGACCAGGAAACAACTCTGTCAACATTTTTGACGAGATCTCGCGCGGAATCTCCATATGCTACACGGAATGGTAAGTTGCCGAATCGCAAGTTTTACTCCTACTCAATATCCCTATTTATCAGAAACGCAGAGGCTTTATGCTAAGGATGTTGAGTGCCCAGTTGAATGGAAAGACTGGATTGACAAAGGGGGCGTTATTCCGTCGTCGTGCTGTCCTTACAGCTCAAAGGACATCTTACAGCATATGCCTGCCTCAGTATGCACACCCACTTGACGTCGTTATCAAGCTCATTTATCTGCAGGCACGTGTGGAAACCCTGATGTGCTATCTAGGCATCGGAGACACGTACACCCCCTGTCACAAGGACCTTTGTGCATCATCTGGCCAGAATTTGATGTGCTATACCGAAAACAATGCCTCCGCATTCTGGTTCATGACGCAGAGCTGCTCAGCTCCGGCTGTGGCCAAGTACTTCCACACCTTGAAACAAGATCTGGATCTGGAGTCATATACAATCACGGTGGCCGAAATGGCCAAGGCTCCATTCGATGTCTATATCGCAGAACAGAAGTTAGGAGACTTTGTCCTCGTTCCGCCGAGAAGCTGTCATCAAGTCGTTAATTCTGGTGGTTTAACGATCAAGATGTCTTGGTCGCGGATGACCATCAAGGGGGCCGAGACTGCTCTTTATCACGAGCTTCCTATATACAGACGGCAAGTTGATCAGTACGGTCACTTTGTCTTTTGCTCATTCAAATATCAGCGTTTGTCGAGTGGAGACGTACCGAGTCAAGTCCAACGTTCATCATGCGCTCCTACACCGCGTTGACCAACTCGAGCGGTTTCTAACTCATCCAGGACACAGCGAAAGCGATGGTACAGGACCTTTGGAATGCCCACAGTCTGTCACATCATCTCCATTTGTTTATCTACGAATCTGATAATCCCCATCAGACATATTCTAGATTGCGCAGAAGAAGCCCGTTCACTCCTCGCCATGTTTGATGACATCTTGATTAGCGATTTCAGCCCCCAGCACGCCTCGTTTGAACACCTTATTACCGAGTTTGTATCTTCGATTTATAAAACAAACACCAACATGCACCACATCTGTGACTTCTGCGGTGCTGACATCTTCCAGAGTTTCTTCGAATGTCGGAGCTGCGTGCAAGATCTCGACCCTCCTGTGTCCTTAGGGGATGGCGTACACGTGTGTCCTGGATGCTATGCCGAAGGCCGTACATGCCGTTGTGGATCCATGGAACCCGTCCAGTGCTGCCCGTTTAATGCTATAGTAGACGACCGAAATAGAGCTGTGAAGGCATTGGCTCAGGTTCATGTGAAATATAGAGACCTTGCCGTGCTCGAGTCCATGTAAGTAGTTTGCTCGTGTAGGGCTTACCCTCGTGCTTATTCCTCGCTGATGACCATACAGCAATGATCTGCTATCAGAAGGTCTGATCAGTCTCTTTGCATCGTGTCTGGAGATTCGTCAATGGCACAAAAACGAGAGGAGCTTCATGGTGGGATCTAGTTTCCTCATTTGGGATTTCTTGTATTTATGAGTTTGACAGTGCGGCAATCGTCGCAAGGACCCAATTCACCAGCACGACATCGTATGCTCTCTCTCTTCTTTGCCCTGCAAACAGTGTCACCGTGCGACTTGTCTACGACATCTGCTCAGCCAAGGAATCCACTCTTCACATGCAATCATAGCTGTCCTGCGGGACAAGGAACATCGTCACTGGCACAAAGGTCATCGATTGCTGAGAGAAGCGTTCCCGAGCGCAAAGAAGTCCATATTAGACGCCGAGTTATCAGGTGATGCCTGCTCTTATATATACGGACATCGCCTGGCCTTGGCCGCCATCACTTTCCCCAAGTGTCAACCTGTCAACCCTGTCTTCGTCAAGCTTGGTTGGTACGACGAAACATACACAACTCCTGTGAGTCTCTGCTGAATACCTTCCTCCCATCGTTGCCAACGTTTTTCAAACAGATAATCGCCGGACCCATAAGCATGGACACATCTCCTATTGAACGCAATCAAGACTGGGGATCCTCCGAGGCTTCGTCGCCACTCTCGGATCCCGACACGATGTCAGATAATCACACATTAGTACATGGCACCACAGTCAAGACGGGCATCGGCACGTCTTTGTTCTTTCGGATCGCGACGCGGAACCTGACCGCGCTGCAGATTCGATCTCTAGCGCCTCGCGATCCAAGGCCAAACAGACTCCACAGAGCTCCGCAGACCCCGAACAGACGAACAAGCGAAAGCGCAAGGCTGCCGCTGACGGCGCCGAGCCCGCCAGGCCAGAGAGGAAGCGAAGAGTACGTTGTCGCTGGCGTCGACGGTCTCTTGCGATCGCTAATACACGAACTGTTCAGACCAATCCCAGGGCTTCGGACGTCGCGGCTACGCGGAGCATAGGCCCGATCACGTCATCGGTCGTCGAGGAGGAGCATGAAGCCCGTCGTACCGTCGACGACAGCATCCCTATATATTTAGATAAGCTTATCGAGAAAGTACAAGATCTGGAAGCCCTAGTGGAGCACCAAAACAAGGAACTCAGGGCTCTGAAGAGCCAGCTGAGTCGCATGGAAAAGAGCCACAGCGAGAACTTCCACAGGCTGCTTAAGCTCTACGAGGATCGACAAGATGCTCCACCCAATGCGCAGCAGCCCCGCGCGCCTCCTCCACGGACACTCGGCCAATTCACCCCCAATTATCACAGCGACCGCGGAGGTCCCAACTGGCAACCTCCCGCGGACGATCAGTCGGTCTATGCTTTCGACGGCTCGCCGCAGCGATACGCGCAACGCCAAAGCCCCGCCGACAACCATCAGCACCCGAACATTTTAGAGGTGAGCTCGCCTGCAACAGACTCCCACCCGCCGCCGTCTCATCTCTGGCAAATAGCCGTCGGAGCCCATGAGGGCGCCGCCTCACCCCTTCCCCCATCGAGGTCGCGGGTTCGGTCGCGGGCGCGGGCGCGGGGCATTCAGGCAGCAGCCCCGGCAGTCGCCATACCACCAGGACCTCGCGCACGCCGCCCCAGGTACGCGGCCGATGCCACGACGCATGCATGATGAGCGGCAGCAGCCGGTGAACTAAGCGTGTTTCACAGACACCGACTACCGCGCGCAGCCCTCCAGAAGAGGCTACGGCGACTCCAGTCATACGCCCCCGCGCCTGCCCTATTCGCAGTACAACGGGACGTGGCCTGCCTGAAGTGGGGCCTCGGGTGCAGGTGCGGACGCTGAGCTGCATTGAGGCCCAGACGAGCGAGGTGAGCACGCGGGCAGGCTCGATCTCCTCGCGATGCTCCGTGCGGGGCCCTGTGCCACGAGCCATCAGTTGCAGGCGCGGCGAGTCCGCAGGCGCCCTGTCCGCGCATATTTTCTTTACTTCTTTTTTGCATGCTTCCATCTCCGCCGTTCTTCTGTACTGTACACAATGCTCTCACGCACACATCCCGCGCGCGTGCGCGCCCATCCCCAACCCACCCGCCATGTAGTACCATCTTGATACGACGATTCCGTGCTCAATGATATCCTCGCTGTCCCATCCCAGTGATGACCGACAGTGGACACACATGCGCCCTCACCTCGCCATAACGTTACGCCGCGCGCAGTGTCCACGTGCAGTCCCAGAGGGCATGCCGCGCGCAGCAGAATCACACTGACTAGCTCTCACTCCGCTGCTCCGAGCCGACTCGTGCATGCTGAATTGCGTGCCCAGAAAGAGCAAGGTTACTAGTAGTGGTAAGATCCTAACGTGAATGAGGGTGTGCAGACAGACCGATTAGGGGGAGGAGAGCGGAATGACGCGGACGCTGACGATGGGTGGTGCGGTGCCGGGAGCATAGAAGGGTATACGAAGAGAAAATCGTGGGCTGAGAAATAAAGAAGAAAAGCAGAAAAAAAAGGGTAAAATGAGAAGAAGAGAGCAGGAGGGAGAAGGACTGCGAGTGTGAACCGACCATGGGAGGATGTGCAACGTGGGATGGATGGATGAATGTAGTATGGATAGAGCGGATGAGTGGATGCGGATGTAAGTGATCGGAAGAAGACGAAACAGCAATGAACGACAGAGATTAGATCGACGGACGCAGAGCGTTGCGGGGGTCACCACTTTAGAACAGGGAAAGAAAGAGAGAAGAGAGATCAAAGCCCCAAAAGCAGAACAGAACACGAGATCTAGAGCAGACGCGGCGGATGCACGCTGACGATCGCCACAGCGCACCGCACACACGGGCGGCGCGCCTCAGGCGCACCGGCACGTCAAGATGCTCCAGAACGAGTTCCGCGGCCTCGCCACCTCCCCGTCCTGCCCGATGTCCCGCCCGCCCGCGCCGACGTCCCCCGCACGTGCCCGCACCGGGCTCACCGTCGGCGGCGCCGGTCCCACAGATGACACCATCGGCGACACGCGGCCATACTGCTGTTGCAGCCCCCCGTACACCTCGTCGTTCTCCCCGCCTGGCCCTCCTCCCGCATTCATCCCCATCCCGCTCGCGCCGCGCCCGTAATCGTACCCAGCAGACGCATAGGGATGCTGCTGCTGCTGCTGCTGTTGCTGGAGGTGCAGCTGTTGTTGCTGCAGCAGCTGCGGGCTCGCGCGGTGGCTCGTGGAGATCGGCACGTTGGCGTGCGCCGCCGCAGACAGCGGCGTGATCTGCCCGGCCTGCCCACCGGGGGTGAGCGCGGTGGGGACGCCGCGCTGCTGCTGCTGGGATGCACGGCGCCCATGGTCGCCTCGCTCCCGTGTGTTGTTCCTGCGGTCTTGGGGAGCTGGGCTCGCAGTGTTTTGGATTTGCGAGAGGATCTGGGCTTTGCTCTGTATATGCGGGGTTTGGAATAGATCACAAAAAGCGAGCGAGTCAGTGATGAGGTTTGGCCAGGAACAGAGAGGTTACTGACGCCTGACGCTTCCCAACCCTTACCACCTGCTCAAAGAGTATTAGTCTCGAAAGACCGGGTATACCATATGTGTATATGCCGCACCATTTAACAGGTTCCAGTCGTATACGCCGTCATCGATGTCGTTGTTGTTCTTCATTACCTTGGCGAACAGCTCGCGCAAAAACTCATAGTCGGGCGTCTCCTCGAAGCCAAGCTTCCGGACGTAGTTCAGGTAGATGCCGAATTCCTCTGTTCGCACACGATCAGCATGACGCGCTCACGCTCGCGGGATGGGCAACACACAGATAAAGGATGGGGAGACGGGAAATGAAAGAAGAGGGTATGTGCGTGGGTGATCGACGTACCAGGGAAGCCGTCACAGAGCTCCTTGATCGGCGTCGTCTGCTTTTTCTCCCCGATCTTCTCGTACTTCTGTTTGTTCGTCGCGGCCTTGAGGCCCTGCCATGGCAGGCTTCCGCGCAAGAAGTACATGAAGACGTGCCCGAGCGATTCGAGGTCGTCCCGCCTTGACTGTTCTGTGACACGCGCCGTCGTCAGGACATGTCGACGCTTAAAAGCCTATTCGGGGCGGGGTAGAAGCGGCGCGGGCTCACCTCTGCCTAGGTGGGTGTTGATGCTCATGTAGCGCGCGGTTCCGCTCAGGCTCTTTCGTTCTCGGTAGGGAATGTGCTGCTTCGTCTTGGGATCCCGGTACTGCTTCGCCATGCCAAAGTCGACGACGTGCACCACTGGGCCGCGGATCATTTGAATAAGGGAAGAGAGGAAGGGAAAGAAGACGAACCATTTGAGTTCTTTGTTCCTGGTCGTCCAATGAGAAAGTTGTCGGGTTTGATATCGCGGTATATGAGGTTCTTCTCGTGGATGGTTTGCACACGGGACAGCTGTCGTCGCAAGGGTGATGAGGCGCGCGATGGTAAAGAGGGCACGGGCTGTGACATACCATCTGGCGGGCGGCCATGCAGACGGTCTTGATCGTGAATTTGCGACCACACATGTCGAAGAGGTCCTCGAGACTGGGCCCCAAGAGATCAATGACGAGGATGTTGTGCAAGCCTTCCTGTCCAAAGTGGTATATCTGTGGGATGCCGGCTGTAGATGGGAGGTGAGTGTGAGATATGGGACGGATAAGGAGATGGGACTGACTGCAGCCGGAGAGGATGCGGTAGGAGCGACACTCATCACGGAGCTGGGGAGCCTCTGCCTTGCGCGGTTCCTGTGGGGGAGAGGAGGGTGAGGATGTGGGAAGAGAGGGCTTGGGAAAGATGGTTGTGCGCACAAACTTGATGGCGACGCTTTGGGAATTGAGCAAGTTCGTCCCTGTAAAGGAATTGAATGGGCATGTGCACGGGCGCTAGGGCGAAAAGAGAGACGGACCCTCGAAGATGACGCCAAAGGAGCCCTCGCCGATCTTCTTGCCGACGCGGTAGTGTATGCCGACGATGTTGGTGGTGGAGGAGTTGTGTGTGTGGGAGGACATTGCGGGTAGCGTTGGAGGGAGGGAGGGAGGGAGGGAGAGAGGGAAAGAGCGGAAGGGGAGTGTTCGGAGAGCGCTACGGCGGAGAGAGGGCAGCTGCCAGTGCGTGCGGGTGGGAGTGCAGGTGCCCTGAGCTGCTGAGGGACGCGGACGGCTGCGTCCTTTGCGGCCTCTCCGCTGCTGCGTTTGCCCGAACCCGGCCCTTGCCGCCGCTTATCGCCGCTTCCCTTCATCCGCCGCGCCGTCTGGCAATCCACCGCTGTCCACCCATCACGACCTGGCGATGAGCCGACCAGCATTCAACGGTCGAGATGCACCTCTCCTCGCGCCTGCTATTGGCGATGTGCCCTATGTATGACCTGGTATCTTCAGGCGCATCCGTAGCCGGGCGTACAAGCCCAAGTTGAAGAAGCTCATCGCACACCAGAGAATTTCGTTCGTGTCCAGAGACATCATGATATTCGCTCGGCTCGTATCCTGAATCTCTCCCTCTGTTCCGGACATTTCGGTGTCCAACACGCATAGTGATCCTTTGGTACCCTCTCTTCACAAAGCGTATGATATCGATGGCTGTCAGCTGTGTCGTCCACGGCACCAACACCTTCCCTTGATCCTCAGACCAAACTCTTTATCCGCACCCGTAGCGGATGATCGGGTGGGAATCCGACCATCTTCAGCATGTGCCCTATACTCGTGATCAGCTGCTGCGCTCTCTCCCGCTCCTCCTTTGGCGCAGAGCCCTCGAGCTTCTTCGACCAAGCCTCCAAAGCACGCCCGAGCGGCGATCCCTCTGCCGTATCCACGACGCCGTCGACAGACGCTTCGGACGTCGAGAGCAAGGGCTCGACGACTTGGATTCGGAACTGCCTATGCGCGAGGGATTTTATGGGGACGATGCATCCCGGCCGGCTGCCTGCCTCCGCGCTCGCTATTGCCTCGCCCATCTCTTCACTTGACGCTCCTTCCTCGTATCCCCAACGTTTCAGATCAGCTCTCATGGCCGCTTTACGTGTGTCTTGGGACACCCTTATCTTCATCACGACAAACCACCCTCTGCCTTCATTCACCTCCCGCTGTATCCAATGCCGATTGATAAAATTGAGTAGGTGGCCCACCGTCGTCGCTCCCCTAGAGTAGTGGTGAAAGCGACTTGAGAGGTCAGGTAGGAAGCGGAGGTGCGGGTCCTCGGCCTGTGACGATGGCGCATTGAGCAGAACGGATCGCGCAGCCTCTCCGAAGAACGTGTCAAGTTGATCATATAGCTCGCGTATGTTCGCCTTCATCGTCGTCGCGAAGTTATAGGTGATTGTGGCGATCCCTGCATAGTATCCATGATCTATTCCTAGAACGGCTGTGTCATCATTATCTTCACTGTCTGTTTGGGGGTAAAGGAGGAGAGTAAAGGCAGGTTTCATGTATTCCCAGATCATGGGCAGAGTCGCAAGTGTGTATGGTTTGCTCGGCAGTGGTGGAGGAACGAGCTGTTTCATCGTGGGTTGATTCCGGCGATGGATGACCACGCTCAAGACTTGTATGTGCGCGCTTATTACTGCGCGCAGAGCATAACGACTCCCTCTTTTACCTTGTATCCAAGCTGAGCGCTGAACGTAGAACACCTGGCGCTTCATTCATCTTCTCATCCCCTGGCATTGATCAAGCTTAGACTTCACAACGGCTCCGGGCGGCTGCCCCCTCTGCCATCTCCAACGTCCCTATTTCACGAGTGATCCAAGGGATTAAAAGGATGGTCATTGCGCAGGAAGTTCATAGTTGATTCCAGCTTGCTCCTTTGCACTGGTCCAGGAAGAAGTTGGTGTGCTCGTCGAACTCGTCGAACCCGGAGCAGGTTTTGAATTCAGGCGGAAGTTTTTATTTCTAGTCGAGGCGCGTTCTTGAAGGCTGGTTGTGGGGGACAGATATTATCATCCGGGAGGACAACGAAGCTAGGTCCTCAGTTAAAGGCGCTGAGTGCTATTTGCACCCATACGTTCTGACATACCGAGGCCGCATTCGCAAGGCACTTTGCACTCGTACAATGCTGATCGTATCATGCTTCTCGACGGATACAATGAGTGAATTTTTCATCCGACGTCTCTGATTACATTGGAAAATGCACGGACAAGATCTGTCCCGGAAAGCAGAGGACAGGGATTTCCGCGCTGTCGTGCGTTCATGGACGACCTTTCATATCGAGGAAGTCAATGTCGGGTTAAGAAACGAGCACAACGGGGTGATCTCGGCACGGGTCGCCATCGTGGTGCTTGCCGGTGACGGAGATTCGAGTCCAGAGCGGAGCATGAACGCAGCTCATGTCGACCTTCATGCCGATAATTTCCTCGGGAACGACCACGATCGACTCCCCGATTCCTGGACCCGCAATGCCGCCGCCGTCCCCTCCAGCACACATCCGATAAATCAGACCGTCGCATCTCGGCCTCGGCCTTTCGACTCGCAAACGCGCAGCAGTAGTGACATATCCATCGCAGTCTGCTACAACGCCAAACGGCGCGTTTTATACGGGCCATCACCATGTACTATACAGCAGATGATATGCACAAGTGTCGTGATGCGTGAAACGCAAGCGGGCTCGTCTCCTCGCTTCTAGGGCCACATCCGCCACCTCGGCTACAGCTTCACAATCGTCCCTGGCCTCACCCCCGGTGCCGAGAAATGTCTTTACATTCTACCTCATCATCTTCAAGGCCTCAAGGCCGCAATTAGTGCGTGTATATGTTTTAGATTTGTCAGTGAATTTCTTCCAAGTGTCTTAAACTACTGGCTTTGACACGACAAGTGAAGGTCAAGTTTCGTATAGTAGTGTATGACTCAAGCGTCATTACATGTTCGTGGTCCGGGGCGAATGTGTGTCTTTCCCATTCTAGAGGCCCAAACCATAATGTCTGTTCTCCCTGCACTACATCATACCTTTCACTTAGACCCGCGCCGCGTGACAGGGAGGAAAGCCTATCATCTTCAACATATGGCCAACGTCTGCCATCAACCGACCCTCCGTCCTTGCTCCTCAGCAGTCATAGAAGGTTTAGGCGACCATACCTCTACGCTGCAGTGAAAAGGCGTGTCCTCTGCTGTCACTGCCATAGCGCTAAATATCGCAAGCAAGGGCTCGATGGCTTGGATCCGGAACTGCCTGTGCGCCATGGACTTCACCAGGACTATGCACTTGAGATGGCTCCCTGCCTCCGCGCTAGCCTGGGCCTCATCCCGCTCCTTCCGCGACCCGCCCTCCCTGCGTACATGATGGATCTCCTCGTGAAAGGGCCTTCGATGTGATCTCTCAGCCGCTGTCGAGCCATGCGACCAACCTCTGCCTTCCAGCTCTTCCATCTCGATCTACCGCCGAATTTAGCAGGTGACGACTCGCTCTGTGAATGTAGCGCCAGAAGAGAAGTAGCAGAAGCAGCGAACTAGGTACGGTAGAAGGCGATGCGGCGCCTCTTCACCTTGGAGGGGAGCATTGGCTAAGACGGACCAAGCGGCATCTGCGAACAACCAGTGGAATTGACAGTACAGCTGCCATTCTTCGACTTGAAGATGGCAGTGTGTGTCCCTATATAGTATGCCTGGTCTACTTCGGGGGCTATCAATGCCCTATCCTCGTCATCGTCGAAATTGTCGGCATATGCGGGGAACAGGAGATGATGATGGGCGGGTTCGGCGTAACTACAAACCATGTCCAATGTCGGAACAAAGGCTCTGTTCATCAGCACTTCGTGTAGGGGTTGGGGGCAAAGAGTCTCATCGTGAGCACTTGAAGGGTGTGCCCCAGAATATGCGAACTAAATATTGCGCGTAGACATAGGGGCGTGCATTTGACACATGACATGCCTCCGCAAAAGGCTGGTCAAACTGGGAATAGGAGCCACTCTCCGACGTTTCTTGCCCAAATAAGCAATTTCTTTGTGGCGTGACACCTCGCGGACATGAAGACATCACATTTTCTTGGCTACGAGTCTGGGATGTCTGCGTTGAGTATACCTACCAGAAATCCCGACATGTCTTGGACTCATCTGATCAGTGCCAACCGACCCTCCTTTGTCCAAGCACTCTACTAGTCCATACACAGCATTGCGTCCATCATTGCCTCATACATCCAGCCTTAGCTTTTCGATCACTATGGTCAAGAAACGCTGGGAAGTCCCGGATAGTTCCGCCATTTGATTTGCCTGCCAACTGAGCTCGCTCGACTAGACGCTTGGCAAGGAGATAAAGTGTCGATGACCACTCAGACGACAGTGCAGCCAAACAAAGATGATTATTCATTGCATAGAGTGACGGCGAAATCTGTCATATACCGCAGGTTCCAGGAACGAGTTAGTGAACAAGCCTACCTGCACAACGGGCGTCTAGCAATCATTGTTCGACTTGCTAACATGGCAGATTTGGCGCGACGCTTTACACAACTGTCGGATCGCTCGTCGGTCTGGAAACAAACACATCATTCAAGCTTCAAGCTTCACATCGGATTGATTGTGTTATACACTTCCTAGTTCCAACCTAATTTCCAATGAAACGGCGACGAGATTGAGTAATAGATAGACGCCGTCGGGAGCGCAGCATCACGGCGCGGCCTCCAAGCCGATAGGCGGAATTGGACGGCTCAGGGCTGCGAGCTTGCCGCTGTAAACCTCAAACGACCGTCGTTTACCACCACTCTGTGTGTGAGACAGGCTGGACGTGGCACTGATTCGGTGCTAGTAGTGAGTGCCAGCCAATGTCGCCGACGACAAGATGCGCACTGGCCTCGGGTTAACACCGCATACACGTCGCAGAATCGCAAGGAATATTCACATCGACTCGGGACGCTCGTTTGATGCGAGGCTACTCCACCGAAACGGGGATTGATAGCCTTGAGGCTACCGTGCAGACCTAAATGGGCGACGAACAACGCAAGCAGAGCATTACGAGGACGCGGTGATTACCATCACCATCATGCAATGCCGAACGGGGGAAGCAGACGCAAGAGGACTCACCCGCCCTCGGTGTGTCGCGCCTCCCATGTAGGGGGCCCTGTAATCGTTTTGACATGCAGATTATCAGCATTGTCGTGCGGGCAGGCGAGTCACTGAGGTGCCGGCTCACAGGAAAAATATTTGATCAAACACGCATACTATGCTCGCTGTCCTAGTCGGTGAGAAGAGAAACCCACGAACAAACAGCAACTCGAGGGGCTGTGGGTTTCAACTGCGCGCGATCACAGAAAGGAATGCACTCTGGACCCAAAGGCCACGTCGCCATCGAAAGCGAACGGTCCAAGGAAGCCAAATGCGGCGTGTTCGGCGGCACTCACGCCAGAGAAGCGGTCGCAAAGTCGAGGAGGCGCACGGCCTCCCTGACTCCACCTGAATGCCTCCTCATAGTCCAAACAAGTCGCGGCGCCCGTCGACAATGAACGTGAACTACAGCGGTACTGCATCTTGTAAAGCCATGCGGTGGGCGTCTATACCAACTCACTCTCTGCCTATCTCCGCATCGTGGAACACCAGAGCCCTTAATTCCGAGCGTGGGTGGCAGCGGGGACGCAGCGCGTTTGTACCTCGGATCATCAAAGGTCATAATACTGAAGAACAAGGTCATCCACCATCATTGATAGACCTAGATGAAGATTCGGAATGCCTTACCACGGAGCGCCCAATTATGCCGTAGTTGGCAACATACACTGCAGACGAAGTGGCGCGCGGTGTGAATAAACATCATAGTCGAATATTGCCCCTAACGAGTCAAGACCTCAGCACCGCAGACGCTTCGAGTCAATGTGCAGCGCGAAGACCTTAGCAGGGTCTGTGCACTCGACGCCTTCTTGTGCGCAGCAGCCGGCAAAACCAGGCAGAATCACGAAAACGGGACAACGCCGGCAGCCACTCGACATGTACCGTGCTCGGAAGTCTGCGTGCGATGCATAGTCAGAGGGTACCGCCTTTCCACGCCCCCCGAGGGCAAAGATACGGTCAGCGAAATGATAGATCAAAACGCCTCTCACCTCCACCTCCACAGCCCCCGCCGCAGCTGCTACTGTGGTAATCAACGACTGGCTTACCTCATGCCGCTGGCGATTGGCCCCGCCCGCTCGGCGCACTTGTTGCGGCAGGGCGAGCGGCCGCGTTTACAGATCTGTGACCGCCCGTTCAGCGGTAAACGATCGAGCTGTCAGCCGGAGGGATGCGACTGGAACAATACCGTACTGCGTTCCCTGGCATGTGGGTCTGTGTGGGCGTGTCGACGGCTGCACATTCCGGGGCAGACAGCCGAACCTTGACTAGCTTCAGTTGACTCTAGGGCGCCTGCAAACCTGTCAATTCGTCATGGTCGGGCGAGCTTGTCATCCGGCGTATGTCCGTATGTATGTGAGTAGTGGTCGATGTGCGCACTTGTGGATCCTGAGCATGAAACGCCGCCGACGATGCTTACCGACGCGACGCGTACGCCCGTCGCTCATCCGCTTGTCTGACTGTGTACGCCATCGGGGGCCAAATATCGCCTGCTGTAGTGGACGCAGAGCATTCCTGTCAGAGCGTTTAACGCGAGGCACGACGCCACTCACGACCTCGACGGCCGCCGATCGAATTAAGAACGACGGATCAATCGTCGGTGCATCATGGAAGACGTCAGTCAAAGCCTGCGCGCGGGCAAAGCCAAACCCATGCGGCGATGCCCTGCTGCTTTCCCGAAACTCATCGCGTCAACCAGAGTCAAAGAGGCGAAGTGCGTGCATTCATCCACAGAGTATATCGTAACGGCGCGACAATGCGAAAGGAAAACCGAGAACATGAAATTCATGAGCGATCGAAGCCAAAGACAAAAATCGACAGTGAAAAGAGGAGCATTTATACACATATTTGACCATATGGGTAAAAGGGATGGGGATGGGTGAAATGTCAGATGGGAAAGGCGTCGTGAAAATGATGCTCAACGTTTCGAGCGAAGCAAGCGGGACCCAAGGAGCAAGTTTGAAGGGCAAGCCACCGACCGGCGTCAAGCAGTGGAGGATAGGAAGAGGAAAGAGGAGTACGAGGGAGCACGATATCACCGCGGCATCACAATCAGTGCGCCGAACTTCATCCGAGGCACACGCGTCAGGCAAGCGTAACGCCAGTAGACTACAAGACACAGCCTCCCGTTTTGTATGACACATGCGCACGGACACAGGCGGACACGAACGGCGACCGAGTCCAAGCCGTTCGTCTCATCGCTTCCCCGAGCTCTTCACCGGAACTCAAAGCTCGTGCTGACGTTCTCCGGAACATGCTTGAGCGAGAGCTGCTGGTACCTGTGCAACGAGACGATGCATACGCGTGAGTTGATTTCAAGGGAGGAAAGGGAAAGCAATACTCACGGCTCCGAATTCTGGTGGAAGTAGAACCCGCTCATGGTAGCCACGGTAGGCCCCGTCCGTGCACCGACCGAAGAGGAACGCCGCGTGACGCTGGTTTCCTCCGGAGTGGCGCTCTCCCGTGCACGGCGTGACGCTGGTTCCGGTTTCGGAGAAGGCCCAAACTGCGCGGTTTCCGTGTCCGCATCTTCAAGCACCGAAGATCGCTGCAGTGGTGATGGGCGCATCGTCGACGGGGCGGTCGGATGAGAATTGAAGTCGACGCAGACGTAGTAAAATCCTATCCAAATACAAATTCAGGAGAGAAGAGCTGTGATACGAACAAAGCCACGGACCTGCAAAACTTGCTCCATTGATGTCTTGTACGCGATGGTCAGGAACGAGGAAGCGCTCCTTCCATCGCATGAACACAGCTCCACAGTCACCGTCCATTGTCAGATGAGGCATCTTCAGCTTGTTCTTGACATGGCGAAAAGCGGGGAAACGAGCCCAATGGACCATGTCCTCCTGCTCATTGGCACCCCAATTCCGCGTCAAGAAACCATAGCGGCTTCCGATGATCTCGGCGTCGAAGTAGGTTGTCAGCTCCGGCCAGTCGTCGGTCAGTCCACGAATACAAAGATAGCCGCACAAAAACGAGGAAGCGAAATCGACGTCCTGAAAGAGAGGATTTACTAAGTCTGGGATATTGCCTGAAAGAAGGGAGAACGGGGCTTACCACGATCGTGACCGTGACTTCGTAGCTGTTCCTGCCGCTTTTTTGGGTACCTTGGAACGCTGCGCCGGGGTAGAGGCAGTGGTGCGCTTGTGGGCGCAGGCGCATCCGGGAAATGTCTACGAAAGGGTCAGGAGAAGAGTAGGCGAACTCGTGATGGATTGCCTTGGTGGACGACGGGGTGAAGCGGGATTGCAGGAGAGGAGAGGATGCTCGGATGGAGGTGGAAGAAAGGGCAGAGGTCGATGGCGAGCAGTCGATGGAGAGTTTGGAGGGCTTTGCGGCGGGGGCGAGAGAAGAAGAGTGAGGGGTGGGGTCGGAAGAAGTGGAGGGGAACGGCCGCTCGTACACAAACGGTATAACAGGGGAGGAGGCGTCCATATCTTGATCGTCATCGAGTGAGTGGCGGACCGGGGTGGAAGGCGAGGGGGTGAGGTTTGCCTCGTTGATGCCATGCGTTGGAGCACGACGGACGAAGCCGTCCCCGGCAGCGGCATACCCAAGCCAATCGCCCCTGGCAAAGGTCCTGTCTCGGCAAGGGCGGCAGATGATGAGGCGGTCGCTGTCGCTGGCGTCGGGGCCGTCGTGGTGGTAGGTCGCTGTTGGAGTTGGGTCGAGATCTACAGAGAGCGGAGAGTGACACCTGGAGCAAAGCTTGACCTGCTGCGGGGGAAGGTCGAGCTGTGGAGAGAGAGAGAGGTGGGATATATTTTCCGAAGGCATTTGGGGAGGGGTGGAGGGAGGGGGAGAGAGATGTCAGAGGGGGCTGGGGTGTGAGAGCGTAGACAGGTCGTCGGGGGAGGGCACGTGGTATCAAGGCCGAACTTCGCGCGGGCTCCTTTATGTCTGTTCTGAGCCCGAGCAAGCGCTTCCGACGTGGTGGTGAAAATAACATCGCCTGGATGGCGCTCTCGCACAGACCAGGTCCCTCACAGCTGCCCTCACAGCTCCAACCCTGCCCTCCCCGTGACTCTCCCTCCTCGTCCCCTCTCGCGAACACATCCCCGCTTCTCGTCACTCACCTGTCTCCCCGCGGACAGACGCCCAGGGCTCACGCCCACCCACGTCCGTCCGTGCCCCTGACCCCGACTCGTCCATCTCGATCCACCCGTCTACAGTCGCTCTTGTTAACGCATGGCTGTCCCCATCCATCTCCAGAACGCGTCTGCTCGAGCTAATTAGCTTTTCCTCGTGCCCTTCAGCGCTTACTCGAGATCATCAAAGATCTCGCTTAGCGCCCAATCCCCTCCCAACCAGATCGCCCGATGCACCCACGCTCTTCCCCGCGACTTCATCCTGTGCGCCCCGACCGCCCACAACTTATGACCGACCCTTTGGACGCCCGACAAAGCCTGGCCTCACAGAGTGGCAACCTGCGAACTGAGACCGCTGGATGGTCGACCCGTACTCTATGTCGCCCGCCCGCGCACAATCTCCACTGGCGTCTCAGCGAAGCAATTGCTCACCCTGACTCGCATGTCTTTGTCTTGACTGTGACCCAACGGTACTCCTCGGCCTCCCACACGAATCCCCGATCTTTTGTTCTGCGGAAACGAGATCATCGGCGGAGACTCCCATCTTCAGTTCCCCCGCTCGCCGACGCGCGCCTGCATCCTACACATCCGCATTTTGATGATCTCATCTCTGTGCCCTGAAACACCGAATATCGCCCTCCACAGCCTTTCATCGGGCGGCGCCTATCTCTGCGCGGCCCCAGAATCGCGGCTGCATCTGGCTTGCATCCTCCTCCATCCTCCTGCTCGCTGTCCGCAGGGCTCTAACTTACGTTCGTTGCGCGTCACCGCCCTCCCCGGCAACTAGTTGCTCACTCTCGACGTCCGCGCCATGTCTCGTTCGGCGACTTAAATGCAGTTATGTAACTCTCGTGTAGCACGCGCGGACCCAGATGAACGACCACAAGCCACTGAACCCTGACCCAATCATGTCTTGCCTCCCGCTCTCACAACAACAACTATCAGTTCTGAGTGCTGCGCAGGCCCTGGCGCTTTCAACCCCGAGCATTGTTCCACTTCTCGCCCGAGTTGTCCGGCTCAGCTCTGATGCCTATCTCGGCCTCAACTGCTACGCAGCGCCTGCAGTTCCCTCCGGCGTCTAATTCGTGTACATTCCTACAAGCGCCCATCAGCGGGCGCTTCATTTCCTACTGGCACAGATCCTTGACTATTCTCGATCACCGGCGTCGCCATCCTCACCAGGACCCTCTTGAACTATATGGATCGCACCGCACCCGGGAAATGATATCGAGATTGAGGATTGGACCCGACAGGATCATTTCGATACGAATGTACGGCGCAACGTATTGATAGTACACCTGACGAGCGCCTGTAGCACTCCCACAGCACTCCCGCCTTCACATCTTTTGTAGGATGTAACCTGCTGAGCAATGCGCGATTGACCACAACAAGTAGAATGTACTTCATCTAGTCATTTCAACGTCGTGATGATGCCCAAATGCAAGCTTGTCTAGATCGTATACTCATATATTCGTAGTCGCGGCGTCTAAGTAATCGAAAGAAACCCCAAGGCAGCGATATCACCTCGCCGCTGCCCTTATACGTCTCCATCATCATTCATCTACCAGACAAGACCCCCCAGGGCGACCGGATGGCGGCCAGGGCCCTGTCCCCAGCTCACTTCTCGACTGGATGCAGACCCTTTTCTCCCTCGCCGGGACTGGCGTCGTCTGTGACCTCACCCGACAGCGTCCCCTCCTCTGGCTCCCGCTTCTCGTCTCTGTCAAGATCCGCCCCATCGACTGGCGCTGTTGGAGTAACGGCAGCGGCACCTTCCTCCAGGTCTTTCCGCGCCCCACTCTGGATCGTGGTGCGTTTCAGCGAGTATGCTCGAATGAAGAGCACTAAGCGCCGAAGAACCGACGAAAAAAAAAAACGTCAACGCCAAGTCTTTCTCATCTCGCCTTCTATCTCTCCCTCATCGATAATTGGCGAGTAGTAGATTCGAGCGACGACACGTACCGAGGATGAATCCGAGGCCGACGATCGGCGCGTTGACGATCCAGATCGTGCTGATAGCCTTCGTGTATGCGTGGATAATCTGCTGGCGTGCCGGTTCCTGTTCGCAGACGCCCAAGCCCAACGACGGGGGTGAGTATCTCAGTTTAGCCGAGATCCCCCACGTAAACAGCGACAATGACAGTAAAGAAGAAGGGTGGGGGGGAGACAGGTAGACGCACAGGGATGTTCTTCAGCTGTCGCACGCTCTCGCTGAGCGCCGCGGGAGAGGTGTCGAAACTGACGTTCGGGAGTTTGGCGACTTTCTGCCTGAGCACGCCCGAGTAGATCGCCTGGCCGATCGACGTCCCGATGGTTCCGCCCAGCGTCCTGGGGCGCGGGTGAAAAGTGATGAGATGAAGCTTGCGCGATAGATGGATCAGGCCGCAAGCCTGCGGGCGTACCTTAGGAAACCGTAGGTTGCCGTAGAGGTAGCCATGTCCTTCAGAGGCATCGCAGCTTGCAGGCCGATGAGGGGTGTCTGCGCGGCAAATATTATCAGTCGAAAGAGGTCATGGGCGACGAGATGGGACGTAAGTGTACCTGGAATAGACAGCCGATCCCCAACGAGGTGACGAAGGGGTAAAGGACCTTCTCGGCTCTTGATTTCACGGTGAGTCCCCGGATGAGGTTCAAAAAAATGGTGCACGTACGTCGACGAAGTGTCATCCAACTGCGTCATCAAGCCCCACCCGAGGACCATGACCGCCCATGCAAACCACATGATCGGCCTATAGCTTCCTGTTCGAGTGACGACTTGGCCGGAACACGCAGAGAACAGAGCACTTCCCAGAGAGAACGGAAGCATCCTGTGAGTATAATGTATGTCAGTGGCATTGTACGTGCATGGGCGCGGCATCTGATGTTTTTACCTGACACCTGCTCCTGTAGCCGATGAGCCCAAGACTTGAAAGTAGAGTGGTAGATAATAAGCGCCTGATATACGATTACAGTCAGTTTGCATTCGAAACAGTTCGGAGCAATCTGCGTATTCACCGCCAAAGAATGCGATTGCGTGCAAAAGATTAGATGTCAAGATGATCGCTGTAGTCCTTGTCTGAAAAAAGCTTTGAGAATATGAATCGACATAAAGTTAACAAACACATTTACCCTGAATAAACGCGGGGGTATGATAGGTGATCTATTCGTGTAAACTTCGTTGATACCGGCCAAGAGCAAGAGCACGCCTCCAACAACGAGCAAAGCTATTGTCTCTGCCGAAGACCCTACAAACGGTCAATCAATATGTTGATCACCGACGCACTGCATAATTAGCACTCACAATTTGTTTCGCCGCTGTTGAAACCAATAAGTAGGCAAACAACGCCGCCTACCATAAGCAGTAAACCAGCGAAGTCAAATTGTTGAATATGTTGCCGCAGGCTCATGCCGTGGTGTGGATTTAGATTAAGGAAAAAGAATAAGATAGCGCTCGCAATGCCACCCGTCGGTCTGAGGATTGTACCAGAATGTAAGCTTGATATGCAATAATGACCAAGTTGAGGTGATCCCTACAAATTTATGAAGAAACACCTTGCTCACAGTATCGGCATCGAATAGTAAGCTGAGCATGTATACAACTCACCATCTCCACGAGACATGGTCTGTAAAGACCCCTCCAAGAAGGGGACCTATCACACTGGCCAAAAAATGGAGATTGATGATGAATTATTAGTTTCTACAGCGGCTGCGCACACCTTGCTATACCCCATGTTGCACCCAAGGCGCCTCCATATTTTCCACGGCTAATAATAGTCTGTAAGCTCTTTTCATGACGTAAAATGGCTACATGGCTCACTCCTCGAGAGACACGATGTCAGATATGGTGATCTGGACTAGTTGAATGATACCGCCGCCTCCAATGCCTTGAACGGCGCGACAAACAATCAACCACGTCATATTTTGAGCAGCTCCACATAATGCGGATCCAATCTTCATAGCCGTAAGAGTGAGATACAAAGCCCTATGACTCACTGATGCCTTACCAAGAAAATGCCAATAGAAGAATATAATACTGGTTTGCGGCCTGAGAACGAGATCAGTAGATGTCGCTGCAAATTTAGCAAGAGACAGACCGGTCAGATCTGATAGCTTTCCATACAACGGGGCGAGCGCCGCGGCCGCTAGGAGGTACGCGCTAGAAGACACAGAAAACAGGTAAGCAGGGGAACGAACGTGCACTCAAGGTGTGACTTGCCTCCCGACCCAGCTATAATTTTTCCCACCACCTAGACGCTCAACAATGGTGGGAAGAGCAGTTGCAACGATTGTCTGACATCGGCGAACATATGCTATCGAACATATAAGCATTGTGACAATCAACATACCTGATCCAATGCAGCCAAGAACGTGCAAGCCATTAAACCAAGAAATACGATCCAAAGGCGATTTTTGGGAAGAACATGCTCCTCGTTAGCTTTCCACGAAGCGCCAGCCTTGCGCTTCCTATCTATATGCTCGCCGGCAGCAATCTCTGTGGCCGGTACAGCAGCTTGGACAGAGTCTGACATGACGTCGCTCGATCGCCGTGTCGTTGATGGGCAGATGCCAAAGAGCTGGACAACTGTCCTTTGCAATGAAAGTCCAGGGGAAATGGACTTCGGGTGAGAGATACGCAACGGAAGAGTCGAGCGGGGGAAAGAACAAGTCCAAACCCACTCGCAGCATATTTATTTTTGAACATACTACAGGTCTTGCCGCAATGCCGGCCTCTTTCCCCAACTCTGTCAGCACATTTGCAAATTCTGCTTTGGCTGCCCGGCCGACTATCGGCACAGAAGACGTGTTAGAGTTTTGATGCCATAATCTGGCAGCCGAAAAGCTTTGAATTTGAAGGGAAGACGCCAAAAAGCGCCCAATTTACACCAAATAACTAAATTGCTCGATCAGCATCTCTCATTACAGCAGATATCCGGCTCGATGACGCCATTCCGAAACATACGGCGGCTCACGATGCTCTCGTCGGCCGTGGAGACAGCCCATACATCGTAGAATACGGAACGGAACATAAAGAGGAAGTGAAGTCACACGAGGCGCATACTGTATATCGACCATCAGAAGACCTCTGGCTAACTACCGAGCATGTCCCTCGGCTTCATGGCTCCATAGGACCATTTAGCTGCCCGATCATCGATATCGAGCGAGACGACTCATATTTTGATACATGAGGAAGCAATGAGGTCCCCGCTCCGTCGTTGACTGCCATCCAAGTGTCTTGAGGAGCAGATTTGGAAGAACATCTAGATTGCGAGAATTCCATAGATATCATCTCGATGTTGATGGTCCGATATCGTGCACAAAAGAGAACATCAGCTACAGCGACTCAGCTGGCCTGCGGCAGTTGAAGGAGACAAATGTTCGGCGTCTGCCACTGCTGACAAATACTTTCCCAGCACTCCTCGTAGAGCTTTCCTTCGAGTTCTGCGCTAACGACCTCTCCATCGTCTTCATCGCGTTCATCTTGCATCTCCCCTTCTCTTCTCCCTTCCATCCCTTAGACTTCTGCCATGACTGAGATCCCCACTTTCAAACTTGTCCTCGGTAAGCTTCATCCTCGCTTTGCTACGCTGATAGGTCTCTCAACAATATGCTTTTTTTTCACTGATCGATGCTGTGATATCATGACCATCATATCACTCATTTCACGCTCTCTCGCACATCGTTTGCTTCATAAGTCGGTGATGGAGGTACTGGAAAAACCACCTTCGTCAAGGTAAACATGATGCGAATCCGAACTTTCTCATGATCAAATCCTGATCTATCTTTCTTCCTGCAAGCGCCACTTGACTGGTGAATTCGAGAAAAAATACATCGGTAAGTCTTGCATATATCTCACGCGAATATCCTATCCTCTCAGTAGTTGGTTGCTCACACTGCACCTGGAATACCTAATAGCCACTCTCGGTGTCGAGGTCCACCCTCTTTCCTTCTCAACCAACTACGGCACCATCTGCTTCAATGTGTGGGATACCGCTGGTCAGGAAAAGTTCGGTGGTCTCCGCGATGGCTACTATATTCAGGGTCAATGCGGCATTATCATGTTCGACGTCACGTCCCGCATCACCTACAAGAACGTCCCAAATTGGCATCGTGATCTCGAGCGGGTGTGTGAGAACATCCCCATCGTATTGTGCGGTAACAAGGTCGACGTCAAGGTATGCAATCATTGAAGAGCTGTAATCCACACATCTGACACCACACATCTTGGTTTTTTACTCTGCGATCATCAGGAGCGAAAAGTGAAGACTGCTCAAGTCACTTTCCACCGAAAGAAGAGCATCCAGTACTTCGAAATCTCCGCCAAATCTAACTACAACTTCGAAAAGCCCTTCCTCTGGTTGGGAAGGAAGCTTGTCGGGTAAGTTTTGGTCAATCATACCAATGATACGCACGCGTCTGAATGTATCTTCAAGTAACCCGACTCTGGATTTCGTGGCTGCGCCTGCTCTTGCTCCTGCTGAGGTTGAGGTTGACCCTGCACTCATGGAGCAGTACAGACAGGAGATGGCGCAGGTAAGTACATCATGTTTGGGGCCCGCCTTTGATCCTCACTCCCTTCTTTTCCTAGGCTGAGGCCGTTCCTCTTCCTGAGGAAGATGACGACTTGTAACTGTTTTCGAATCGCTATTCACGACTGTCCTCCCTCCGTATCACGCCACCAGTACTGTTTCAAATATCAACCTTTCCCCGTATCAATGTTTTCTTCTCTCCTAGTCTGTCGAGGTTGTAGTGTTCTGTAGCCTGTTTGCTCGCATGTATGGTGTGTGATGGGCTCGTTCATGAACGAAGCCCATGTATGCTGCTAGGGTGTATACATACGACTAGGCAAATTCAAGCAGAATACATATCAGTGTGCTTTCAGGATAAACTGCACTTCAATATATCCGTCAGTTGCGCCGTTCGCCGTGACGCGCTCGCCTAGGCCGAATTTTCGTGTCAGCGGCATTCATAACTCCTGTGCGATACTTATACTGTACAAATCGGGTGCCAGTTACTACCCACAACACTTCCGCTACCTCTCGGCTTTTGACTTCATGGCATACTGAGAAATCCATGGGTCTTGAAGCATCTTTACCGGCAGGAAATACGTCGCTTCCCGTGTCCACACCTCCACTGCCAAATGCACCTGTCATAGGCCATAATGGGTCTCTTCTTTCGAGTATCTTCGGAGACAAGTAATTACTGTTTCAAATCTTCTCTCGTCGTGGTTTATGGCTGATCACCCACTACTGTGAAGTAAAGCCCGTACTTTCAAGCTGGCTTTGGCCTCATGGTGCATACCATTCCAATCGCCTCTTTCTGTGCAGCATGTGCTAAACCGACCATGACACGCAGGGAGTGGGCGTTGGCCTAACCATTCTTAAGCAAGGTCTCACCCTATCGTCAATCGCTTTGCGCAGGCGCCTTCTCGTGTCGCTGGAGATCAATAACAAAGACCGCTCGTACGAATGGTTCCTTACGTGGCTGGCGAACCAGAACCAGGCTGGCGCAATAAAGAAGGGTAGAAATTGGATGCGGAGTCATCAATTGAGTGTAGAGACTGCGTATGAGCAAAGGAAGAATGGTAGCTCGGAGGCGTTCTTCAAGCTTGTCGCGGGCCCAGGCGTACATTGGTTGCGTTATCAAGGAGCATGGATGCAGGTACGCTCTTTCTCCATCTATATGCCATTCCCAAAACTCAATACGTCGTAAAGATGAAACGGGAGCGCGAAACACGCTCCATGCAGCTCATGTCTGGTGTGCCATGGGAGACTGTGACATTGACCGCGCTTTCGCGGGATCGAGGCCTATTTCCAACGCTCCTCTCTGAAGCTCGGGACTTGGCTATGAAGAATCAAGAGGGAAAACTCGTCATACACACCGCATGGGGGACAGAATGGCGACCATTTGGTTTGCCTCGGCGGAAGAGGCCCTTGGGCAGTGTAGTGCTGCAGGAGGGTGTCGGAGAAAAAGTCGAACAGGATGTCAAAGCCTTCTTGCAGAGAAGAGAATGGTATGCCGATCGAGGTAAATCTGGATTTACCGTCTGATCGTAACAAGACAGGCTAACAATTGGCCCCCAGGTATACCCTATCGCAGGGGCTATCTTCTGCACGGCCCACCTGGCTCCGGAAAATCATCTTTCATTCAAGCACTCGCGGGATCGTTGGGCTACGATATATGCCTCCTTAATCTATCTGAACGCGGTTTGACGGATGACAAGCTGAATCACCTAATGTCGAATGCGCCGGAGAGGAGTTTTATACTCATTGAAGATGTTGATGCTGCGTTTAACAAACGAGTGCAGACTAGTGAAGACGGGTAAGCGATAGCCAATATTATCAGACCGTCAGATGCTCAGAAACTATATTTGCTCAGATATCAGTCCTCTGTAACGTTCTCCGGCTTCCTCAACGCACTCGATGGGGTAGCTTCTGGCGAAGAGCGTGTCATTTTTCTGACCACCAACCATATCGAAAAATTGGATGCTGCCCTCATCCGTCCTGGGCGGGTGGACCTCGAGACCCTGATTGACGACGCTAATCCACGACAAGCTAAGACTCTATTCATGCGGTTCTACGGAGGCACGCAGGGCGAAAAGTGGGACACTGACCTACCAGCTAGTCAGCTAGATGTCCTGGGTGATGAGCTGAAAGAGATAATAAGTAGCGAGATGAGGGCGGGGCGAAGGGTGAGTATGGCTGCCTTGCAGGGATTGTTCATTAGAAACCCCCCAAAGGAGGCTGTCTTGAGAACAATAGAACTTTTTGTATCTTGAGGATACAATCGTTTTCGATAATAGTGAAAACATCCGGAATGGCATGGGTCGGTATCAGAATATTGTCTTCCGCTTCCGACCTGTGTATTTTGAATCGCGAGGCACGTCCTCTTTCCCGCGCCTCCGGTACAACTGCGATGGCATAGGTATTTGTTTGCAGGTGGGATACTGAAGGTCAAACACACCTCTTTTTTCTTTAGTATCCATTCTTTGCCTAACACTTTTTTCGTCTTTCCGCTCTTCGCCCTTTTCATCTCCCTCTGCCGTCTCTTCTCAAACTTCGCTTTTGAATCATCTTCCTCGCCCACACCATCTCCAACATCAAGTCCCTTCGGTACCTGTGAAGCCCCTCCGCCTCCAACAAACAAACATAGGAATACCTTCCTGGCTTTCTTTGAGTTGGGATAATCAACCACGACACCACCGCCGAAACCAGCTTTTTGGGCGATGGAAGTGATCAATTGCACTTGATCATCGGAGGTAGGGTAAAACTGAAGCACGGCACGGGAAGGATTGCGTAGAGCGGAGTGTAGGGTCGTGAAAAAGCGCGTTAATCGATGCGGGGGAGATGATGTTGGGTGTGATGTCTCCGCATTCAAGAGCCATTGGATGACTGATATACTATATTCTCCTTCAATCCAGGTCAAACTAAAAGCACGATAGGCTGCATACCTGATGGCGCCGTCAAAGCTACCTGGGCGAAATCCAAAGCCCTGTCCAATGTCTTGTAGGAACAGGTCCCCTTCGACTTCTCGCTCGAGCGCGATTTCTTCGAGGGCAAAGTCACATCGATGCCTCGCACGAATTCGTAAGGTTCTTACCTAGCATGCTTGGGGCGATATCAACTCCGGTCCAGATATACCCTTCCTCGTCTAGGATCTCTCCTGAAAGGCCAGAGCCACAGCCGATGTCCAGGAGGAAAGCTGGCTCATCCGGCGGAAGATTGAGCAGTTCAAGTGCACGATATGTCATGTCAGCTTGAATTTGTTGGACACGGGTACTGGAAGGTCACACTGAACATATTACACATGGATATTGTGGATGCTCAGGCGCACTTATTGGTGTACTTTTTGGCCTCTGTGTCACCATAATACTATAACCCGGACATGACTGCATGAGTATATGTGAGATCTACGATGAAGATGAAGCGCACAATCTCTGGCGGTGCTTGCAGTTCGGGCCTAGACATATTCCCACAATTCGAATGGACGGACGATAAGGTGTTGTGTTGTGTATCGAGAGGTGTTCTGCTGACCTTCGCAGCAAAATGAGAACTGGAAAGGGCTAGGCCCTGGTGTGACATGATGTGACTCCTCCCCAGATGCTTGTCACACTCAGATGCAGTATTCCCCCACAGCGATGGCGACCACCAGCAAACAGTACAAAGCCATCGGCGAGGACCTCTGGAAGGGGCGCACAGAAAAGATCGTGCGTATTATTCCCCACTCTGTTCAATTGCTCGCCTTCCTCCTTACCCTGTACCTGACTAGAACAGAATGCAGAGCTTTTCGCCATGACATACGGCGCTCTCGTTGTTCAGCTGATCCAAGACTATGAGGACTACGGCGAGGTCAACAAGCAGCTTGAAAAGATGGGATACAATATTGGCACGAGGTTGATCGAGGACTTCTTGGCGAGGAGCAATATTGGACGATGCGCAGATTTCAGGGAGACTGGAGAAGTTGTCGCGAAGGTCTGCCTGTCACCTTCAGCTTCTCAACCTTGGTTCTGAAAGGATGCATGCTGTTGTTTGGGATTAGGTAGGGTTCAAATCGTTCCTGAACATTACCCCGACCGTGACACATTCCGCACCACCACCACCACCGACATCCCCCAACCGGTCCAGCGTGCCGTCAGCACAATCAACAGCTTCGAATCCATCATTCACTTTGACGTTCGACGAGAATCCTCTAGCAGAGTTCGTGGAGCTGCCGGAGGAGGCTCTGGAAGGAGGCCTATGGTTCAGCAATGTTCTATGCGGAGTGCTGAGAGGGTCTTTAGAGATGGTATGCTCATATGCTTCATATATACATGATAGACGAGTAATATCAGCGCAACTTTCAGATCCAGATGCAGGTGCAGGCAGAGTTTGTATCAGACGTGCTGAAAGGAGATGAAAGCACAGAAATTCGTGTGAGACTCGTGAAATATCTGGAGGAGGAGGTCCCTGTCGGCGAAGATTAGATGGAATAACATGTTGTATAATTATAATGTTTTGGCAAAGTCTATACCCGCATAGTCTTCTCAATGGGGGCTCCTAAGAGTTGTCGACAGTAGATTCACAACGTACATAGACGCGATCTGTACTACTAGCGATGCCTCTCGACCCTGTTGAGCTTCCTCGCTGTGGCCGCGTTGTTCTGGGTGTTCTGCCCTCTGACCGTAAGACCCATAGCATGCCTCTTCCCCACGTAACTGCCGATCATACGCTGATGCGCGATGTTCTCCCGCATCTCCCTCTTCAGGTCCGATTCGATCTTGACATTCCTGAGCTGGTCACCTCCTCCTCGTGGGCTGTACTTCACTGAGCCGGAAGGCACGTTCAATGCGAGCATAGTAGCAGCGCCAGGGAGCTTCGCGAAAGCCGTAGATGCTGGTGGAGGCGTAAAGCCAACGGTAGCGAGGGGAGCGCGAGGTATTGATGGTGCAGTCGCAGGAGAAGAGAGAAAAGCAGTGAGGGAAGTGACTTGGTGTGCGCTGAGTTGCTTGACTTTACAAGTGTCATGGATTTGTAGGCGGGCGCACAGACGGTGGGCTGTTTTGTGACCTACGCCGTAAAAATGCGTCAAGGCATACTGGAGATTAAATTCGGGTCAATTCTCCTGGAGAAGAGAGTGAAAGAGAGCATACTCGGGCCAACTGGTGGTCAGGCAACTGCACCCCGAGGACGTGCACCATGGTTAACGAGGGAAAGTGGGTGTTCAAACTCCGATGTCTTGACTTGACTTCATAGTAATCCGTCACTGCGTCACTTCCCTTTCTCAATCTCTTCTACCGCTTGCATGTCTACGAACAAAGCTGAAGGCCGTCGCGAGGATGCTCTCGCAAAACAACGGAATCAAGCACGCGAGGAGTATGAGCGACAAAAGCAGCAGCTCATCAATGAGACAGAAAAGGCTCGGCCCTCCAACGCTCGGTTCATCGGGCAGAATGACTCTATGGAAGACTCTCTAAAGAAGAGTACAGTTGGTCTTGTCCGGTTGGAGGACTTCCAGCAGAGGAGGAAGGAGCTTGAGGAGGCAAAGGCTCGTGAAGCTGCGAGGACTGATGATCTCAAGTAAGTTATATCGAAGTCCGTTCGCCTCTGCCATCTTGAGTGTACCGCGTTGTTTGGCACGGATGACTTACTGGACGTGGAGAATCTGTTTAGGGAAGACCAGAAGAAGGTGAAGAAACGCAAGAAGGCCGCGAAGGCTACTTTATCCTTTGCTCTCGACGACGAGGGCGGTGAGGAAGAGGGTTCTGGATCGTCCACTCCAAACCTAGAGCTCAATGGGGAGAAACCTGCGAAGCGAGCTAAATTCCGCAAAAATCCCAACGTGGACACCTCATTCTTGCCTGACAGAGAGCGTGAAGAGGCCGAGCGGCGTGAAAGGGAAGAGCTAAGGCAGGAGTGGATAAGAAGGCAAGAGGAGATGAAGCAAGAGGAGATAGAGGTCACGTACTCCTACTGGGATGGAAGCGGACACAGGAAGAGTGTCATAGTGAGCTTTAAGTTTGAAACTTTTGCATTTTGCGCGAGGTTGACAATCCAGTTTCACACATGCACTTCGCTTCCATCTCCTGCCAGTGCAAAAAGGGAGATGATATTGGAACTTTCTTGGAGAAATGTAGACAGCAGTTTCCCGAGCTGCGCTCTGTTAGTGTGGACAACTTGATGTACATCAAGGTGTGTATATCCTCTTTGATATCAAAGGAGCATTTCATTTATCTGGGTCACGGCAATCTAGGAGGACTTGATCATCCCACAGGTGAGTTTGAACTTTCCACACCCGAGAACACAAGCGACAACTTGAATTTTAGCACCACACATTTTACGACTTCATCATCAACAAGGCACGAGGGAAATCTGGCCCTCTGTTCAACTTCGATGTGCACGACGACGTCCGTCTACTCGCAGATGCGACCAAAGAGAAGGACGAGTCTCACGCCGGGAAGGTCGTTGAGAGGAGCTGGTATCAACGAAATAAACATATATTTCCGGCTTCTCGATGGGAGGTAAGCCTTTGCACTATTTTAGTGAGACCGATTGTTCAATGTCTACATGTCCATCTTAGGTGTTCGACCCGGAGAAAACCTATGGTAAATATACTATAGCATAGTGATAGAGTTGTGACCTGTTTTGATTCAATCGCATGATATGCATCGGGTTCTCTCGAATTGTGTGTATCATTAGCTTCTTGAACACTTATGCAAACGACGAACCTATACATATGAAGCTTTACTTCGCGCATACTCAAGGTCAAAAAATGACAAAAGAGATGCCAGGACCGTGGATTGAACACGGGACCTCCAGAAGGCGAATCACTTCAGTCTGTTGCTCTCCCAGCTGAGCTATCCCGGCATTGAACATAGAGCCACATTGGTTTTCAAGAGAACACATAAATTATCATCTTTGACTAGTGAACCAATAATAAAATATACTTGTCGAGTCAATAAGCTAGAAACGAGACCATCGACAGGGCTACTATAGTATGTGCTCAGCACTCAGTTGCATGAGGTGGAGACATCCGGTGTCTGAGTGAGAATCACTTGCTCATATCGCAAAGTCAGACAAAACATACATGTGTCACGATGGAAAGGCCTACCTCTGCGAAAGTCACGATGAAAAGAGTCATCAAGCAACTATAGCACGTTCAGCTCGGAATTCTTGGGCGCTTTCTGACAGACTAAAGCGGAGGGAATATTGAGTGCGTTCCATGGATGTTCGTAGAAAGCTACGGCGTTCGCGATGAGCCTGTCGCGGTTCGTGATGCCTGCAGAATTCGCAAAATCAATCATAGCGTCGGCATTGTCCTGTAAATATCATGATAAGCACACGAACCAATCAGCAAAGAGCAGGATACTCACCTGTTGCGCGCATGGATCGCCAGCGAGCAAGGCATTGATACTACGTTCGCCGGCCAACTGCACGCATGGATCGTTCGTCAGAATGTCGCCACCGCTTGCGAGCTGAAGGACAAGAGTAAATTGTATGCATACAACGAGATATTGGAGACACACGCAAATATCTTTCCATTTCTGGGCCATATCGGGAAGGTCTGCCTGAGCGATGGGTTTGGACTTGCGCCTGCGCGTATGACGGTAACTAGGCAGGCGCATGGAGGAAGTTTTAGACAACAGTTGGCACGCGACGGTGCGAGATCTGTTGGCGGTTGTGGTTGAATTTGCTCCAGGCATGTGGACTGAACCACGAGTACCCGTCCTAATGGCATGTTTGGATATTGTGGCATTTGTGGCATTGAAGGCCGTGTACGAAGTGTTAAATGGGTCAAATAGGGCGATAGTAGACATCACGCTACACGACATTGATAGAATGGTCAGAACGCGATACGAAAGAAATAGAGACAAAAACGCACGAAGGGTGGAAAACATTGATTAGCATGGCACTCGTGATCGCTGCAAAGGTGAGGAAATGCAATTCTTTGGAGGGAAACATCGGGATAGACGGTGGCTTGAACGGAGAAAGAGAAAGTTGAACTGAGCTCTGAACAGATGAGAAAAGCTCGCTTTTATACACGAGCGCTCTGCAAAACTTCATGCACCGCGACGGGGCTCGAAAGCTGCCCCGAAGCCCTCGACAAACAATAGCAATCTTGCCTGGCCCACTGCCACATACACTGCTGTGCTGTGAAAACAACTACAATGTGATTAAATAGTCAGAAACATGCGTCAGATTGAAGGTATGATACGCTTACTATCTAGCTGGTGGTAGGGTTGATTGTTGGTCACTGACACAGTTGATCTTGCTACATACCTTTGAAGGGGAGATCAGGGATCGACCTTTGTATAGATGGCTCTCGTTTTAGAAGATCGTGGCGAGATGCAAGACGAAAAGAGTTGTTCAAGCGTTTTAACTAAAGATACTTCACGAGAATAACACTGAAAGATCAAAGCACAGATCTATTCCCTGGGGATGAAAGGACTGCGGCGATGAGTAGGTGCGACAATGACCTGCGGCAAACTCTGTGCCATCTCCTTCGTTCCAGCCGGGAAAGGCAGATTGTCAATTCCCTTTGGCAACACCTTTTCATATAAGCCTTTCGCTTGGTTGGCGCTGGAGAGGCTGACCATCTTCTTCTTGGCGTCGCGGACCATCACATGAGCATCGTCGATACCAGGGACACAACCACGAACAAAGATCAGGTCAAGAGCGGTGTCGACACGGATGACAGCCAAATTTTGCGTCGTGTTCCTTGTGCCGCCCATTCGACCTGCCATCTTTTTACCTGGCCACACTCTACCAGGGTCCTGTGTCGAGATGAGAGGGAAGTGTCATCACTCATAGGATGGGGACACTCACCTGGTGAGCACCAGTTGAACCTGCAGAGCGATGTGATGCGGAGACACCATGACTAGCACGTAGACCCTTGAAGTTCCAACGCTTCATCGTTCCCTGGAATCCCTTTCCGATTCTGTAGAACATGATCAATGAGCTGGGGCGCCATATCTGCTCCCAGAAAGCCTTACGAGTTTGCGATGACATCCACAAACTGGCCAGGTACGAAATGTACGGCGGATAATGTGGTCCCTTTTCGTGAACGAATAAACAAACGCCTACACAATATATAGCTAGACATACCGACTGGGATATGAGCATCCGGAGTGACTGGAAACTCCTTCACAATCCTCTTCGGAGGGACCCCAGCTTTTTTGAAATGACCCAACATCTGTTTTGTCGTGGTCTTAGCAGGCCTGTCCGAAGCTGCGATTTGAACAGCATGGTATTCCGATTCGTCTTTCCGCACGGTCGTGACGTTCGCCGTCACTTGGCAATCTTCCAGCTGCAGCACAATGAGCTCTCGTCCGAGTACAAATGTATGAACGCCGTACCTGGAGTACGGTGACTGGGAAGCGGGCACCCTGCTCATCCCACATGGCGGTCATTCCACGTTTGCGCGCGATGACACCAGTCCGAATCGAGTTCGGTGTCCATTTTGCAGCAACGGCCGTGTTGTTAGCGACCGCAGTCGCGTTATTAGTGACGGAAGAGTGTAGATGTCTGCACGAAAAGAATGTTGGCCGCTGAGCGACAGCCCAAAACCTGAGCATGGCGTTTGAAGAGCGAACGAGAGCGGATACAGGAAAGGAAATCGGTACCGGTGGCGGACTTCCAGCTGCTTCTTCAACACCTCCTAGGAGAGGCGACGCGGTTATCCGTAAAATTCTCTTGCCCAGTACTGTCAAATGGAATGGATTCTTGGCCTACGAGTACTAAGGCGCGCACCGCGGATCAAAAGAGAAAGGGCAAACAAAAAAGGACCACTAAAGGCTTTCCACTGCACTTCGAAGCAGGTGCGGTGACTGCTGCTACTCTCCAACAAAACGACGGCCGTTTGGTATGGGCATCTGTTTCAAAGAATATTAAGGGTACCGTCTGAGATTCATTGCTGGTTATCCAATTTTTTTATTGACATCGAGGTAGGTCGTAAACTCGTACCCAGGGGTAATGGCGTAAACGCATTCCCCGTAACCCGTTCGCCGTTGTTGCCTAAATCGCCCATAACTAAGTATCAGTTATACGAACAAGGCGTAATCATTTTTTTTCAATCATCCTTAACCATTAATTAATTCTTCTCTAGGTCCATTTCCTCAGAACATGCCATCCCGACGTAGACATACCATCAGACCTCATCAGGGACGAAATTGTCGCGGACACACAAGAATCAGCCCGTCTCGAAATCTTCGACCCTTTTCTTGGTAACAACATTGATTCCGCTCATTGGGCTTTTGGCCCCGAGAAGTCCTCCTTTCTGGCATTCCCGATGGGCGAAACGACATCCGAACTGAGTGAACATCTCTCTTTTTAGTCCATGTCAAACGGACAACTGAAGAGTACGATAGATATATCACCCATCCGCTTCCCAAAGGAAGGCAACGTTGTATTTAGGCCCTTTGCGTATCCGATCGAGTCGTTTACAACGCCAATTCGCCAAATAGTCTCCTCGCCCTCAGAGGATCTCCGAAGTAAGTCGCTCTCAAGTCCCACGGTTCTCTGCTCATCTCTTTGATAGACCCATTTCTGGCTGTCAGAACGTTCACATCAACTACCTTCTATAATTTGGAGCAAGTCACAGATGAATCACTTTCTCCTGTGCCCCAGATCACACAACTGGCTTGCTTCGGGCGGGCCGAATTAGGGGATAGGCAGGCAACCGATGTTGCACTGTCCTCTCCACACAAGACCGCAATGCTTGTGAATGACCTTGGTGCTATGTGCAGGTACAAAATCGATGATGTGCCCAAGCTGTGTGTCCTTTCCCATTCAATCATCGAGTCTTTACTCAGTCACATGCAGCGACATTGTACGACAAGGGAACGATCCAGCGTCTGAGAATGACTTCTTTTGGAGCCTTGCGCTTGGTGATGATACAAACACGTGCTTTATTTCGTCCAGCACAGCACTCAGGAAGACTGACTTTCGCGTAAGCTTGTGGAAAATCTCTACACCATACACATATTGATTGAAGGTCCAGGCCAGGGACGCTGATCTTTCGATGTTCTCGACAGCATTTCCTAAGGACTTAATCACATCCATTGAACGGGTTCAGCGTGACGGCTTGATGCGCATTTGTACAACTCGCGAAATCCTTTGCCTAGATGAACGATATCCTGGGAAGCCTGTGCTGGCCTTCAAACACAGTCGACAGTTCGATCGCACTCTTCAAGCTCGCACCCTTGAGGTTCAATCTGGTGAGTGGACCATAGCATACTTGACTTTCATCTCTCTCTAATTGTTTCGCACACCCCTCAGCGTTGCTTACGATCCTCACCTCCCGGAAGAATGGCCTCATGACCGTCTATGATGTTTCTCGGGAGACTAGCGGTCTCACACATACCTATGCTTCGCCATATTCCCTGCCAATGCCCATGGGACCTATGGAGCAACACGCCGGGTATGTCTTTGTACAGCCACCGGATGGAAGCGGACGAGAAAGCATGTCGATGTTCCAATTATCAAGCCACGGGAGTGTGCACCAACTTGACTTCCTCTTTTCTGCGGATGATTCTGGTCCGAAAGATGCCATGGATGGCTTCGCTGTAATAGAGTGGAGCGAGGAGGTCGAAGAGTTGGGTGCGAAAGCTAAACTAATGCGGACTGAAGCTGGTCCCTTGGGCTCTCGAAACGTCAAAGATATTGATCTGCGTCCTGCATACAAAAGTAAAATGTCTTTCTGCACTCGCAATATTCATGAGTATTAACGGCGTTTCCTGTAGAGCTTTTCGGGCACCAGCACGCCGGAGGAGGCATTTTTCCCAAGATCAGCGCGGAAGCTTTCTATGAAACGCTCGATAAGATGCCGACCTTCTGGCAGGACTCTGACGAGCCCATCGAGCATATGCTGACAACGTGAGTGTTTATTCAAGATTACGCTGGTTAGCACCAACTCTGTCCTCTGCTCCCATTTAGCTTCGACATTGCATTTCGATCGGGCAATGAACCCAGCGACCCTGGTCGAGCTGATTTTCTCACCCAAAGCGCGTTCAGCACGACGAGAGGATATCGGGCGTTCGTACAAGATCGCATACCTCTGAGGAAGCTGGCACAACAGGTTCCATGGCATCGCGATATCACTCCTTTTCTTCAACGGTTCGTGCCGGAAATGGAAGAATTATCCCATCGGGCAGACGATAGTCTTCGAGGGTATGACCTCGCGCCGAGCGACGAGCGTCCAGGCCTCTCACTGCGCAGAGAGTCCGAAGCGCGCGAGCAGCTGACGTTAGACCTGGCGCTTTCGACGGACATCTTCTCAGTCCAGCCGTTTTCAAAGCAGCATGCTCTCGACCCGTTCGACGAGGCTATCGAGACAATGTCACGTGCTACGGAGGCGATATCGCTCACGGACACTGCGGACTTGCCCCAAGTGCATTTTGGCTACCTCAACCCCGTGCCCCAAGCTAACCATTATACGAGACTCGATAACGGCCCCGAAGAACCGTCTCAAGGCGCGCGCGCACCGCTTGGGGTCCGTTTACTTCTTAAGGAGTGGGATGTGGGAGCCGACCCAAATGCCTATGTTTATCATGACCCCTACGGCACCGAAATCCTCGATGGGGGTGATATCCGGCGCGCGGCTCCTGTGCTACTACCCCCGATCCCGAGACAGCAGCCTCAATCGCAACGGCCCCCAATGGTCGTTCCCACCATCGCCGCTGGCCCCCCTATCGTCTCCCGTATAGGGACGGATAACCGTACGAGGCAAGGGGGTTTCGCCCATTCTCAAGGTGCGAACCCAGCCTTGCGCGACGTGATGCAGGAGAGTCAGGACAGTGGGTTCGGTGGCTCCCAGGAGTTTGTGACGAATACGCAGATCGTGCCAGGGCCGTTTGGGGCTCGACAGACGGCGGGAAAGAAGAAAGTCGGGAAGAAAAGGATCGGTGGATTCTGAGATAGCTATGCGTATGTGTAGGATGTAGAGTACCGTTACAGAAATTGTATGGGTTGTTGTGCGCTCGGGCGAACGCGTCGGTGAGATAGCCGGTAAAGGAAGGAAGGGGGCACGCCGACACTTGACGGTACTTGGCGGCCCCGCGGCTTCTCTCCCCATTGCCATCTCCTCGCCATTCATGCCTCTTTCTCTCCTCTTCTCCCCGACACAACTATCACTCTGAAACTACAACTCGTCGCGTGCTCGTGCAACACGCACGGTAACGCACTCCAGCTCGGCCAGAGTCCCACACAACCACTCTATGGATGGACACAGGTGCCGCCTCCGAATGGAGAACAACACGCGTGAAATCGGGCTGACCCTCTATGCGTTCCAGGCCATTTAACTCCCTGTTCGACTCCGCTAATATATATGAGTCCCTCCGACGTACGAGCCTCGCCTAACCATGCCGTGTTTTTGTTCAAAAGGGAATCCTCACGCGTCTACCCCCAGGTAATAAGGCAGTCGTATGCGCCATCTCGGCCAGTTACATATCCACGTTTGCTGGATATCCGGTGGGCGCAACGTTCTTATTCTGGGCACGACACCTTGCTTATCCGCGATTCGCGAACCTCTGTAGCTGGACTCGCTTAAATCAAGACTCCAGACTGTTAAAACCCCCATCTCCGTCCCGACCCTCGCTGTTTTAGTCTACCGTGAGGAGGGCATCATCGGGTTTTATCGTGGGCTATGGATCCCCCTCATGACCATATCTTTCGTTCGTGCGTACACATTCGCATGATTGTCTACTGTGATGACTCGAACATTCGAATGATCAGGTGCTGCGTCGTTTACGATATATAACCGCACGAAAGAGTATTTCCGGGATCGCAATCTACTGAGTCACGATGACTTAATGGATGCTGCAGCTGTAGGAGGCTGCAGCGGGGCTATGGCTGGCTCGTTAATATCTTTTGGGAGTGCTCGTAGGTACTTATCGTTGCCTCCTGAGACTTGCATTGACTTTCTCTCTCTATATCTCCTTCTTTAGCCTTCGAGCTTGTCAAGGTTTTCACCTTCCCCATCCGACTCAAAGTTTGGTTGCTTGACTGAAATATGCATGTAGATCCGTCGTCAGCTGGAGTTCACAATCGCCAGCAAGAGGGGCATACATCTAACGAAGCCTCCAAGTACACTCTCAGCTGTACGCGATATTGTCAAAACGAGTGGAGTGTTAGGTCTTTATGCCGGGTTTCGGCTCCATTTTGGTACGAGCGCTGTAGCTTCGTCTATGTACTTGACGCCAACGTCCAGTACAGTTAGGGATACGGCCGGCACAGCCTTGTATTTCCTCGAGTATGATGGCATGCGGCATCTCTTGGGGCGTACATCGTCTGGAGAACAAGGTCCAACTCCATCATGGCTCCCCATACATGCCTCGCTGGTGCCCTTCGTCTGTGGTTCCCTTTCGGGGGTCACTTCTTGGGCCCTAATATATCCTCTCGATGTGTGAGTAACCATTCCTACCCTAACGTGCATTTCTCACGCATATACAGCGTAAAAACCAAGGTCCAACAACGTGTTTTAGCGGGTGAGCAGTATCGAGGAATAGGGGAGACTTTCCATCGCCTTATTAGAGGTGAGCTCACAGTCCACTGCATTTCTCCCGTCTCTCATTCGCGGTATAGGCCCGGATCCCGAACACCCAAAACCTCTACTTGCGGGCCTTGCTAGAATATACCGTGGTCTCGGCGTCAGCGCTCTTCGCAGTGTCACTACTCATGGACTGCTTTGGACATTCTTCGACCTCGTCTCGAATTACATCGACCGGCTGCCCGAACAGGCAGACTGAACTTTCCCGTCGCTCTCCCAAGAATCTTACATACGAAATCTCCGGCGTTTCATCTCGTCGCCGTCACTCACAAACGCCGCATTTATCTATAGATATGTTCATTGTGCACTGTAGCAAAACGCTTGACGTGATAATATATTCCAGATCTCTGATGCTCCTTGACGGACGCATTGCATTAGTCTCTTCGCCTCTGCTCAAATACCGCAGGTGCAAGATGAGATACAGGTGCGCACTAGCCATCTCGTCGCTTTCTTAGGAAAGATACGTGTTGAATATATACACAGTCAACAATTTCACAACTGAGAATACATCCCCTTTGTGCTACAAATCCTACGGATTACAAGCCGTTTCCCTGGGCCCATATCTTTGCTTTTCTGTATCCCTCGAGCAGTCCTCCGATAGCCTGAGCCTGAAAGTAAATCAATCCCTGCCTCAAAACGTATACCGCTCATCATCACTCACCGCATGATTAGCGTCGATCGAGGTTTGGGTCGGGTGTGTGTACCAGCTGATGATACTCACGAGCGTCACCATCAACCCGCGTTTGATGTCGATGCCAAGTTCCTCGGGGTGTTTCATGACAGTATATACACTTCCGAGCAGGAGGTGCATAGACCCAGGCGAGAATATCGAAGGCAGCACAGCGCTCAAAACGTCTTCGAGGTTCACGACAACTTGAAGTTGCCTGCCGAGGTACGCGAGCAAGGAGAGGGACTGGAGCATCGGGTCCACAGAGTTGACAGGGGCCGGACGGCCTGCATATGCGTGTATCGCCTTGATACAATCGTTCAGTGGGTATATCCAGGATGCTCGTTATTAGTGGCACTCACGTTGCTCCAAGTTTCCTCGCCACTGTCGACGCATTGCTTGAAGGCATATGCCTTCACGAGCTGTACACCCCAGCCTGAATAACTCTCCACTTGTCTGATAACCTCTCGCGTCAGGGCCAGCTGCAGGTCTGCGCTCGGGTTGCGTGCATCCCCGCCGCCATACACCCAGCCTGTGACCATCCGCACCAAGGCCCCCGCGAATGATGGTTCATCGGGTGCCACTGCAGGTCCGAGCGCAACGGACGCCCGCAGCTTATCCAGAAATACCGCGCTCGTCGTCGCACAGAGTTTGTCGAACTCGATCGTGCGGCTCAACTCTTCTGTGAGGTAATGCTGCCACAGGGGGATGCCGTCCCGTTCGTCTACCCAGGGCTCCAAGTTCCACTGTGGCAGAGGAGTGTTCACCATGCCATCAAGAGGATATGTCGGAGAGCCTCTTTCCTTGTCGCCAGTGGTCGTGGAGAGCAGATGCCCGAGGTCCGAATTGTTCACGAGTGAAGATGGGTCGAGGTCCAGCGAAAGATTGAAGGGCAACGGCGCAGACATTGTTTGCTCGCGAGGTCGCGTGGAAGACCAAGTTACGAATATCTGTGAGCAAGCCCACTTCATGAAGGTCACGCTCATTGCGCAGGAATGAGTGCCACTGAGTGGCATGGGCACGGCTGGACGCAGGATAGTGGTGGACAAAAGAAAGAATCCAAGTGCGCCTTTATCCAGTGGCCACGAATAAGCACTTTAAGGTGTGGCATTCTGTAGCTCTTTTCCACATGGCACTGTCGTATCTAGCCGTCGTGCCTTTTGGGTTTTGAGCATAGAAATTCAGATAGCTGCACACTCTAAGAGATACGGAGGTAATAAGGGGTAAGACAGTTCTGGAGATATGATTACTTATTTACGAGGTATGTATCGTACAATGAATTTGGAAAGCGTGGACGGTAATACAATGTAGTAGGGATCATTGGGAGCTAGATGGAAAGAAAACTGATGACAGCGACAAACAGACCTATATTCAACCTATCAACCGTCCTATCAAAGGAACCGATAGATGTACATGACTTCCAGGACCTCGGGATTTTACGACCGAGCGGTTCGACCAAGTGAAGACGCAGTACTAGCTGTGCTGGTACGGTACTGGAAGAGGTTGTGCAGTCTCGATAGCTTGTCTAGCTTCTCCTGCGATGTTCCTTCCAGCTCAGAGCCGCTGATACGAGAGGCAGCCGATCGAGGCGAGGTACTGTCAGCTCTTGAAGGTGACATTGGCACGGGTACAGGATCATTACGTTTGGCTTCCAGTTCTTTGGATTTGTTAGAGGAAGAAGACCATTTGATCCAGAAGACTAGACTTACTTTGCAACGTATCCTGCACAGCTACATCCCTTTCTTCATCTTCGGCAGCTCGACTGGCGAGGGCACGAGAGATGTACTTGCGGAAAGCAGGTCCAGTAGCTTCAAGCATTTTTTCTACCTTTGGCCGTTTGAGCGGATAAGCTTTTAAGAATTGATGAAGCTCGGTGATCCCTTCTTTGTGCATTGCGCCAGTCGTCTCACTCGATATATGACCTATGATCAAGAGAAGCTGTGCATCTGGATCAGGCTCTTCTACTGGTGGAGAAATTGTGCCGCTGATAGAAGTAACACTTCGACTTGTGCGGTGGCTAGGAGAAGAAGGACGGATGTCACCGGATGCAGCAGATGATGCAGTTTCGAGAGGAGAGTCAGCACGACTTTCTGGTGGGGAGAAAGTCCTAGCTTGGTAGTTGCCGTTTCTATTCCGTTCATCACGGGGGCCTGGAGCAGCGGGCGCTTGCCGTACAGAGCTCGAGTTGAGAATCCGATATACATATGGATATACGATGGTCGCCGAAGGATCATCGAAGGACGAAGACAGTATATCATACACATCATCCGCATAGTGCGCTATCAAAGGGTAAGCAGATGATACGACGATATCATGATGAAAACTGACCGACTACATGTTGTATGATGACTTTCACGGTTCTGAGAGGCATGTCGCCACAAGGTACCTTATTTGTTGACCTCGCTCGCCATTCGTTCGGCGGAACTGATTGGAGGAAGTGCTCAACAGCTGGGAATAATTCCACTGGGTCCAGTTTCAGTTCCACAAGATCTTGAGGTATATTTCTCGCCAACTTCCAGATACATTTGAGCACGAGCTCAGCAACTTTTGCATCTTGTGAATCTGCAGATGTGCCTTTGCTGGGAAACGGCTTGACAATTTGCAGAAGGAGTGCAAATAGTGCTCTAATGAATATTGTGAGTTGAGCATCTCGCCGTGCTTTGGAAAGAAATACCTAAACACTGTGATCCTTCTTCCAGTCGAAAACAATCGTAGCATGATCATATTGATGAACCTAGACAGATTCTTCACCTCGTTGTCTGCACTGTCGTCGGTCTGAAGTAGCCTGGTTGCGAGCTCCTCTAGAAGAGGTGTAAGGTTGTCGACAGTCAGAGACTCAGCAAGGAGGGGGTTGTCGCAGAAAGCATTGAGTGTTTGTATCAGATGCTTGGCTAGTCGAATGTTGCGCTCAGGTCGATCCGAGGCATGAGCCATTTGAAGTGTCAGAGTCTCGATCAGTCCCTCAGTATGTTCCGCGAGATCACGATAAAGCGATGACGATGGCCCCGCATCGGGTCCGAGCTGCAAAATTTTTTGAATCTTTTTCAGCGCATCAACACTACGATCCGAATCGGTGCTCAGAATAGTTGAAATGGTCAAGGTGATATCATTAGACGGTGGAGGGGCGGTTTCAGGATCTTCTGGAGGTTCTCCGCTTCGCCAAGATTCTATATGTGAACCTTGAGCGTTGCTGTCATGAATGTATGCTGGTGCTGGCTCTGGCTCCACTACAGCGTCAGCACTTGTCGCAGGAGTTTGAAGCTGAGACCGTAAGGTATTTGTACGTGGCCTGGGAGGACCTAATCTAGAGGGCAGGAGGCTTTTGCCACGGCTAGGAGGAGAGGTAGGCCCGGGTAGATGTGAGCCAGGTCGAGCAATCCCTGATAATGCTGGAGACATTGCTCTGGCAGCCGGAGGGGAACTCGGACGAGCAAGCCGAGACGGAGCAGCAACAGATGGACTGGAAGGTCGAGGCAGACCTCCAGGACGCGACAAGTTAGTGGACGGGGAAGCAGGTCGAGCAAGGCCAGATGTCAAGCGGGTAACCTGGGAAGGCGGTGCTGGCGCCAGGCTCTCTTGTGGTTCTGAAGAACTAGGGCCTGCGACTCTCCGAAGACGCTCCTCGAGCTGTGTCTTATCCTTTGGCGAAAGCGGACCAACAAGAGTCCATATTTTTTCTCCTACCAACAAGAAGATCTCGCTATCCAAGTATCAGTAACTCATCGAACCTTCGAACATGGAAGAATTCACCTCAAAGCTGATAGGGCCGATTTTCGTACATTTGGATCCTTGTCCGCAATCATCGATGCTAGCTGAGGGCATGCTTTTTGGGGCTCGCATGCCCCTAGCCCAGACCGCTTCAGCAAGCCGCCGAGTTCATCGAGGGTGAACTGGCGTGTCTTCGAAACTTTCGACTTTAAGCCGTGTTCTAGTAGTAGCTGAAATACTCTGCTGTAGGCATAGACTTTGGGCAACATTTGAACTATTTGTTGCACACGCAGGCGCACAGGTTCACGAGCATCGCCCAACTGCATGTCGTCGAGCGTCAGGATCATTGCCAAATATCAGATGAACTGCGGGCATACCTTGTGCACTATTGTCGGAATGAAGCACAATGCTTCGCCTTCTGATAGCTGATACTCTACACCCTTCATGAAGGCAAGCACAGCGTCGATAACGTCCAAGCACTTTGAGACAAGGTTGGATTGGGGTTCGTGCACCTTGATTGAGACATACTTGAGGGCCAAATCGGCATTAGCAATCCCGACAGTCTTCAGATCTGAAGGCGACATTCCCAGCGACTCGTCTCCGGCTTGTAATTGCATGTAGAAATCACATATCGAAGTCAACCCCGCAACATGATCGTTCACGGCGTTATGATCGTGACTAAAGAGGTGAGCAACAAGATCTTTCGATGCGTTCGGTTCAATTTGGTGCTGCAAAAGATCTGCTAAATCTTTGCGTGTGCTGCCTCCCTCGTTGATCCACTTTTGTGGATCTTTCGCAAGACGAAGTCTCTTCGTATCCAAGTTCGTGCCGAAAAATGGCAAGGAGGCTGATAACATTGGCAGCGCAGCTTCAGCAGCAGGGGCTGGCTTGAGTGCGGTGGGTACTGGCATCCCAGGTCGCCTCAGACCAAAACCTCCAGCCGCACTTGGTTTGCCTGGCAAGCGAGAGGAAGGAGCGTCCTCGTTGGTTTCGGTCCTCGATTCTGGTCGAGGAAGCGTACCCTGTGGAAGCTTGCGTCGAACACCCGACAGTTTACTTGCCGGTGCCATTTTCGGGGACTGAGGGGGGCTATTGGATGGAGCGGGGGGTGAAGGCATGATAGGCTTCGAGGGAGCAGCTTTGGCTGGAGCAGGAGCTTTGATCGGTGCTGATGCCGGAGCAGGAGCTGTTGATGCTGAGGTCGACGCAGGAGCTGCCGCACGAGCTGCGTTGATGAGTGGCACAGCTGTGGCTTTCGAAGCAGGCTTCAAAGAATTGGTTTGGTGAAGGACGCGGTCGAATCCAGCTGATGCGACTAAGAACGGTAACATGCCTTGAGCACCCTTTCGTACCTCGCTATTACGATCGTCTAAACACGACACTATAGGAGCAACCCAGCCGCTCAAGTCGAGGCCAGGCGATAGCTCATGCTCTTTGAACCAGTCGACCAGCCAAGTCAACAGATTGGCGCGTTGCACGGGGTTATTAGTTTCCAATGCCGTGCTGAGGCCATGGACCAAGGGCTCTAAACTTTCACAGGCTGTCGCGATTGCCGATAGCGTCGAAAGCGCAGCGGCCCGAATGGGGGCTTTCTGATCTGCAACAACTGTAGCAACTGGAAGGACGAAGAAGCGAGTCTGCTTTTCGAAAGGTTTGCCCATGCCAGTAGCAATTCGGGAGACAATATCAAGGGCTAGTGTTTGGACGGCCTTGTTCGCATCGGTGACGCGTGCCTTCAATATCTGGCCAATCTCACCTACAGCAAGTCAGAGCTAGCAATCACGGTTAAATAGAGTGAGCTTACCCATCTGCGGCTTCAAACGTTTATTTGAGCCCTGATCAAGGATCGCCTGTAGTGTCTCGAGGGCCTCTTTCTTCGACTTCCAAGCTTCGCTCTTGGCGTCAGTCAATATTGTGGTTCCCTTCAACAAACCATCGATCTCCACGCGAGGGAACAAATCGTCCAACGCATCCCCAGCAGCAGCATTACCCTTTCCTGCGGACCCTCCCTGAGATCCCATGTTCGCAAGATCGACCGATGTGCGGGTTGGCTCAGGAGCAGGCTGTCCTTCAACCTTGTCAAATTCACTTTGAATAGTCCCCAAGAGCTGAGGGTTCAAGTCTTCAAGTAGATCCTTGATGCCTAGATCCTGTGTAAACGAAACTGAAACTCACGTGCCAGAGTAAAGCGAGGCTCACCAGGGCCAGCGAATAGCTTTACAGACACAAGCGTCTTCGTAGCACTTGTACGCACAGCCGCGTTTGAGTTCTTTAGTGCTGTCTTGAGAAAGTCGATCAGACTTCGTAGAGACAGACCCGCAATACCGAATTCGAGGAGAACTGTTTGAATCCAGCCTATGGCGTCTGCCAAAGCTTTCGGCGCCTTTGTCTTGTTGAGAGGCTCATAAGCTCAATGCAACGAGTGGATTAGTTGAAATCGCGATGTTGAATGATTGTAGAGCTCACCTTGGCCCAAAACAAACTGTAATGAGGTCTTCTCCGCGAAAGTTACGAGCGCATCGCCAGCAGGCTTCTTCAGCTTCATGTCACCCAACTTCTCCGAAAGATGAGGAATCGCCAACGCAGCCGACGATCTCCCAAACGAGGGACACCTTTCCGCAAGAATGACGAGAATGCCGTACAGCTTGGCCGAGACCTGAGAACAAGGTTCAGAGGACCATTTCGAAGCAATTCACATGAGAAAACTGACCTGAAAGTTCTTCTCGTTCGATCCACGTTTGGCTAAGAAACGAACGACCACTTCTGCATCCAAATCATCAACTGCACCTTCAACCCAGGTGGTCATCTCATCGAGCGCTGCCAACCGCGTTTTCCAATTGGCGTCACCAAAATCCGTCACAATGTTGGCTGGTATGAGCTCTGCGACGAGGGCTTCCGCATCTTCGGGGTTGTGCTTAAATTTAAAGGTATCAAGAGCTCCGGGAGCTGCAGAGGCTGCTGATTTTGAAGGTTTGGCTGCTGCTGCTGCGGCGGCGGCGGCGGCGGCGGCAGCCGCAGGAGGCTTTTTCGCTGGCGCACTCGATGGAGCCGCCCCAGCCGCGGCCGGTGGCTTTTTCGCTAACAATCGAGCCGGCGGGCCCTTGGACTTCGGAGGGGCAACAGGTGAGGCAGGGACATCGTCCTCGATAGGTGGAGGGGGCGGGGGCGCCGGAGCTGGAGCCGGGGCTTTCTTCGCCGAAGCTGAGGCTTTCTTTGGAGGCTCTTTGGGAGGCGGAGCCGATTTAGGAGGTCCGCCAGCCCCTGCTTTGGCTTTTACTGTGGCCTTCTCAAAAGCTTCTTTCACCTTCGCCTTGCGCATATCTGCCAGCCCCTCCATCACAGCGCCAAGTGGTCTCTCACCAACCATCCTCATCAATGTCCCTAGAGACGTCGCCGCTTCATCACGAGCCCCAGCAAAGGAGTCTTCAAGCACGGGCGCCAGAGCGTCACAAAGAGGTTTGACCTGCGCAGGGGATATAGGCTGTGTAGACGTTGCTAAACATCGAGACAGAAACTTCAAGGTACCCTCCTTGACCTGTGGATTCTTGTTGCGCATAGCGGGAAAGAGGTCGTCCAAGATCTCCCCAAGAGTAGTCTAGGAGAACGTCAAGACAAATAATATCAGATATGTCTGACTACTCACTGTCTTGAACACGGCATCAAGTGCGGCACCGATGATATCTGTGACATTTGCCTTCCTTTCTTTCAACCTTTCTAGCATTGGAGGAACAACTGCTTCTCTGTATTTGCCAAAAGCACCCGGCACTCCTTTAGCGAGCGCCTCTACGCATTGCGCCGCCACCGTAACGCAGTTAATATTTGCGTCTGCTTGAACGCGTGTGGCCAAAGACTTAGCCAGATCACCCAATTCAGGTGCCTCCTTGATGCGAAGAGTAGCATTCAGAAGCGTAAGAAGATCATCCAGCGCCTCTTTTCGTTCCTTCCACTTGGAGGATGCGAGGTTCCCTTGAAGGTTGGAGGGTAGCTTGGGGACGATATCAACTTCTTCTGCAAATTGTCTTGGATCTAGAGGCGCGAGGTCTGCTCATAATTGTAAACAGCTGCGTAACTGACCTAGATACATCAAACACACCTTCCTCTACAAGCGTGTCAGCAGGACCATCATCTCCCGCTGCAGCCTGAGCTTCGGCATCTCTTGTTTGCTGCCTCGTCATTCTCTCCGGTTTAAGGCTTCCTCGACCTTTCCCATCCTTCTCCATAGACTCCCATGTCTCCTTCAACTCCTTGACTTGAAGTGGCTTGAGGTCCGCCAGAAATGGCTCGATACCAGCACCAAGATACTGATACAGCGCGTGCGTTAAGTTGATTCCTTCTGCACGAACCGTTTTATCAGAATGACCAAATATCTTGGGGAGGGCCTTCAAGACAGCTGTTGGCGGCGTTACTTGGATGCCGAATTGCCTACGAATTCATGTGGTCAGGACATGCAGAGCCGTGATTGTTAGCGTGAAGGAAAGAGAAGAGCGATCCCGTCGAGTAGCTCTGTCGGTAGAGTGAGCGCGAAGATAACACATGGAGGCGGTGACGACCATCGAGACCTTGGACCAGCCAAAGCACGAGTTGCATGAGACATCGTTCACAGAATGAAAAGTTATCCATGGTCGTGCGCACTGCAGATAGCTCAGATGTGACATTGACACTCTAGGTGGTGCACATGAAGAGCCAGACACCCACTACGCGTTCTTATGGCAAGAAAACTCACCGTACTATCTCCTTCAATACCATGACCGCTCCCGTAACGGCTTTTGGCTGCTTGGCTCCCAAACCAGGGAGAATGTTGTCCTATCCCGACGAGGAGCATATTGAAAGTTATGAGAGGATGGTAGGCGGCGATGCACATACCACAACACCAGTTCCGCCATTCTCAACCTCAACATACTGCAACGTAAGCTCCAGAGCTTGATTCTTTGTACCTGCTCGCGTGGAACCGAAGCACTTGTCAACCAAGGCGGGGACTACCACCTCCCTCGTCCGCGCAGCATTCTCGCCTGCAAACTTGACCAACGCCACTAAACATTCCACTCCTTTCTCCTGAGCGACCGCATTGGAGTCCGTTGCAATTTTCTTGAGCAGATCTGTGTTATTCAGGTACGGTTTGAAAGCAGGATCAGTGTCTGAGGCTGTAAGCTGGAAAGTCTTGATTAGAGATTCATAAGCGCTGACGCGGGCCTTCCAGTTCTTGTGAGCGAGTCTATCTTCAATTGGAAGAGTGGAGAAGTCCTCTTCCTGTGGAATCTGGCCATCCATGAGGAGACCGAGCAAGGCGATGTCGTGGAGGATGCAAGCGAGATCGTGCTCAACTGCGAGGACGCGCCCTGCAACAGAACGTGATGCTAGGCGTGACCGAGTCGCGTCGCGCACTGCCGGTTTGGGTCGCCAATCGGACTTGGACGTGTTCTGTCAATGAAGCAAGGTCATCAAGCTCACCATGACTGCGCCCAGGGTCAAATATACCAGCTGTGTATCCCCCTGTGATCCCACTCGCATTATCTCCAGTGGCGTATCACCAACTGATCCAAACCGACATGGTCGGGTTGTAGACATCGTGCCCAGACCTGCAACCCGCACTCGTTTGGGCTTTCAATTTCCACCTTTTGACCGTCTGCTAACAAATGACGGCGTCTATAAACCTCTGCTGATATACGCTCATAAAGCCTTACCTTGAGAGGTAGCCTATTATCCCCTTGAGATGTGCCACAGGCATGCATTGGAGTATATAGGGAGCGCAGCGGCCTCCTGCGACCTCATCACCCTCCTGCTATGCCTCTTCCAGCCAGTACTACACTGCTTATCGTAGGCGCAGGGCCTGCGGGCATGTCTCTGGCCCTATCTCTTCAGCATCAAGGGGTCAATGATTTTGTTGTGGTTGACGCAACGGACCAAGAGGAGCATTCCTCCCGCGCTATGGTCATCCATGCCGCTACCCTGGAGGTGCGTTCTTAGCGTTTTTTTTGCCGATCATTCGGTAAGCTAACTTCTTGCCAGGAACTTAACACCATCGGTGTTGCAGATGACTTGATCAGCCTTGGTATGAAAGTTGGCAGCATGCAATATTACGACCGGTCGTCTCTCCTCGTCTCCGCCGATTTCCATGCCTTGCACCCCTACACGCGCTACCCCTTCTATCTTCTTTTGCCGCAACACATGACGGAGAAGGTCCTTGCAAGCAAGCTCCATTCACAAAAAATCCCCGTTTACAGGCCATACAAAGCAGTGAACATGGAGAAGGCTTCTGGGGACATGGGCCCGATTGAAGTGACTTTCGAGGATGGTCAGAAAATCAGAGCTCGATACGTTATAGGCGCCGATGGCGGGCAATCTATAGTATGAATGCCCTGTATTCCACTATGTCTTTGTTCCAACTCAACGCCTTCCAACAGGTTCGTCGAATGTCTGGCATCGGCTTTGCGGACCCAGATGGCGAAGATTCTTCTGGTGATTCAAACACATTGGCGCAGATGGCCATCGCGGATGTCACATTCAGCCGACCTCCCACCGAAGCTGGTCGCAATGTATTGTTCGGTGTCCTTACTGAGGAGAGCTTCTTCATCTGCTCTCCCCTTCCATACCCGGAGGAGGTATCCACCTCCAAGAGCGCCCCTCGAAAGGCCATATATCGTATTGCGTCGGGAGTTCCCTTTGCGACCTTAGGTGTTCTTCCTGCCCATCCGTCCCTGGAGTACGTGCAGGACCTCGTCGACAGATATGGGCCCTACAACATGTCTTCCGACCCGAAGATCAACCCTGATCCCCTCCACATTACTGAAGTCATCTGGTCGACTCGTTTCCTCACCCGTTCTTCCGTTGCCGATAGCTTTTTCACCACCCTCGGGGACAACGATGCATCAGATGCAGGGGTAGTCTGCCTCGTCGGCGATGCAGCGCACATACACCCCCCTGCCGGCGGTCAAGGTATGAACCTCGGTCTCCGCGACGCCATCACTCTTGGCCCTGTCCTTGCAACTGCCCTTGCTGACAAGTCACTTCGTTCAAACGATGGCATCGAGGCATGGGCGAAGATTCGCCGGGTTCGCGCGCTCCAAGTCATCGCCGTCGCGAAGCGAATGGCGAGCGCAGTGGGCATGACCGCGGGTGGCGTGAATGGCGGTTACGCTGCCTGGCTACCCGTGCGTTTGTCCACGTTGAGGGATTGGGGACTCTGGCTCGCGGGTAAGTCAAGTCGGGTGCGAAGATCGTTGGCGTATCGCTTTGCTGGCCTGGAAGCGTAAGGGAAGTGTAGGAATTCTTAAGTGTCTATTCGGTAGTATCTCTGTTCTCCGTCGTATATGAGTATCATTGTCACTAGCTCGCTCTTCTGATCATATAGATACATCGTCGTCCTGCTACAGAGTTGATCGAAATACGGATGTACTGTGGCCTACCTGGCCGCCAACATCAATCCCACGTCACAGACCAACGCCCAAACATCTGATACCCAATCTTCGGATGTAACGATGGACTCCCTCTTTCTCTCCTCCTCTGTCTCCAAATGTCGCTTTGCAGCCTGGTCCCTTTCCTCCTCCATCTCCAGATTGTGGTACAAAACAGAAACAAGGTACTGAACATCCGCAAGGGAGCGCAGAATTTCCAGCGTTGAATAATCTTTCTCCGCGATAGCGAGGTACGGCATCGCCTCCCGTATCGACTCAGAAGACCTGTTCCCCGCGGCGATGATGCAACGAGCATAAGTGAAACATCCAAGCGCGCGCTGCTCAAGGTCGTCACCGTTGATTATCTGCGTTGGATGTGCTTTGTCAGCCACCGACTGCGTCTGTACTAGACAAACTCACTTGAGGAAGAATCTCTTCCATGATTTTTCTGCACCGCTTCGACATCCCAAACTCTAGCCCAACATCGGCAAGTAAAATAATGCCCGTTCTGTAAGAACCATAACGACACTGAAACTCTGCATGCCAGATGGCCCTGAGAAGCCTCTCGACAGAGACAGCCCCTTGATCCGCTTGCTGTACGCGAGATGTAATCGATAAACGAACAAGCGAGACGTGCGACAGTAAGGTACTCACACGCAGTCGCATCGTCTCATACAACGGATCTCGTATAATCGATGTGGGCGACCCGCCCTCCACGAATGAGTAGTCTTTTGAATTGAAAGGACTTGATGGCCGCCGAGGCCTCAGAAAATCTAGATATAGTCTGTCTTGGCCCCTGGCGCGTTTTGTCACCATGAGCTGCGCGCGCGCAGTGCGTCATTCGAATAGACTCACCGCCGAGTCGCTCTCAGCACTAGGATATGCCATATCTGAGATGCCCATTGAACGTAGTCGCTCATATTCAACCCTCGCCAGACATCGGGTTCGAGAAGCATAGCCAAGGCGGGTTGATATTGGCCTTGTCGGGCTCGCTGCAGGGTGCATCAGGCTTGGACCCTCTCCGAACTCTACGGCGGACGAGGGACGAGCGTACCCTGTAAGCCCTGTTCAGGTTCACCGTAAGGACATTGTTATCGTCTCCCCCGATTTCGCCAAATGCAGTAACGATATCCTCCTCGATAGCGGCCAGTCTATGGCAACCTGGGGTTGTTTTAGACAGGAAGGTGGTAATGCAACCCACTCACCGGCCACGCTCCATACGAAGGATTGGACTGCATGCTGGCTCCATTGCTCGGCGTAGTCTGGTGAATGACCTTGAACGTCAATCCAATGGTCATATAAGCCGTTTGCTTGAGCAATCTTTTCGAACGCAGCACTCAGAGGCTGCTCCTGCAGCTCAAAGTTAGTCACACATTCAGCGTCGTAAAGTAAAGGCTCGTACGCTCGATACTCTGGTGAGCTTCTCGACGTCAAACAAGACTTCGAGCGGATGAAGGCCAGGCTGAATCTCGTTCAGTGCAAGTCTGTCATTTTTATGCAACGGAGGGAGTCGATGCAGCAGACTATGAAAATAAGCCTTGAGCTTTCTAAAGAAGGTGAGCCGGACTCAGAATTACCTCTGACAGTGCTGCAGCGTTTCTGTGTCGTTTGCTGTTCGGGCGATGTCAATGGCTTCCGTCAAGAACTGCGGAGAGGGACCATGAGATAACGCCGAACAACGCGGAAGAAAGCCTGAACCTTGCGAGTTGCCACAAACTCGTGGCGGAGGTAGTGCATGCGAGAAAGATTAAGCAAAGCATGCTGACGAACACCTCTGGTAGTGATATAGCTCCCAACTATCAGAGAATAGACAAACCACTTACGAATCGTTGCCATCGTGAAAATGCTGCTCAAAGAAGCGACGGAGGCTCTCCGACGCCAGATTAGTATCGGCAATGGTAATCCCCCTCTCGAAACTTGAACGGAATCAGTTGCTGCGTTGCCATTGGAGCGTTACGAAACTCACGAGGCATACGGAGCAGGCTGCGCCCATTCATATTCATCCGCATGAGTTTTTGTGACGAGTCGGTCTTGATGGTGATGAGTCGAGTTGTACAAAGAAGACCATACGAGCACTCCTACCGTAAGTTATGAGATCCTTTTCCGTTTGCTCATAGCCAGTCTGGTAACCAGCCAACCAATGGTGATAATCACGTCGCAGTTTGATCACGCCTGCGTAAGAGAGCTTGATGAAGCTAACGTAGCATCTTCGACAGAAGTATCCAAGAAGGGACCGACGATACTTTGTGATGCCACCATTACGATACACTGAAACAATTGACATAAGTAGGAAACAACACACCAATTCTGGCTGAAGATGTCGATCAGATCTACTGAGCAAGAAGGAGTGAGATGCGCCGACATACTTCCATGTCTCCCTTTGGATCTACAAACAAATAGGATGTGGCTTTGTGCGCCATGAGGGCACTGTAGCTGTTTCTGAGCGCCGTCACTCACCATTGAAAAAGTTTGTCATCTGGTCCACAGAGACGAAGTCCAGATACTAATATATATGGCATTCAATTACTCTGTCATGTTTCCTGAGTACGATAATGGATTCACTGCAGGAGCGAGAGTGTCCAGAAAAGCGCGAGCGCCTTCCGTGTTGCTGTCGGGCCCTCGAAACAAAGACGACATCAGCCCTTGGTATGTGCTGGGCTGTCCTACCTGACAACATGAGGGGTCATTCTCAAAAAGGGATTCTCGTCGAAAAATGTCTCAAGCGTACCTCCGCCACTTCATGCATTATCACTCTGTATACGTGAAGAAGGAAGGAAGTGGTAGCAGCGGCCGTAAAACGGTTCCGTGATTGATATTTGAAGACTGTGTGAATAAGACTGAGAAGGCAGACATGATGCGGTCTGAGCGTGTGCGTGGTTGGCGGTGGCTCTTCCATCACAGAGTACGCCGTAGGTCGTTATAGGAGGATGAGATTGAACGTTTCGCGTGCTTTGGACGCGCCGTTCAAGACGCGTGATCAGCAGACGCGTCCAGATTTCGTGAGAAACTTGGCTCGCAAAAGTCTCCGACTCTAAAAACATTTATCTGCTCAGGCCGAACCTCACATGCAAGGAAAGCGCCCATTAAAAACGAGCCAGGTATGTACGTTCTGAAGTGGACCAGTGCTTTGCTGAACATTTCTTCCAGGGGCCCTCCAAAAAGCGTAAGATCACGCACAGCAAGTCCTCACAGAGTGGGGGCAAGACCAAGGCCAAGGTCAAGGTAGCGAAAAAAGAGCGTGCATCCGAGCAAATAACCATCCCTATCCCTGATCAAGGAGACGACTTTGAGCTCTCAGATCAAGACTTGGAGTTGGTGAACGAGTATGGCACTGGAGCGTCTTTCCTGGGCAGCCTGGACGAAAAGGGTATTGCCAGGTGCGTAAAACACTTCATGGGTTGCTTGCGCGATTCAATCTTCCACCGCAACACAGGAGCAAAAAGGAGCAGGATCGACTTCACCGTCTAACAAAACCTGCCCCTAAATCCCGTGTAGACGACGACCTCCCGTCAATAAATTCTCACTCTGACGACGACGAAGCTTGGAGCTCTGGCATAGACAATGATGCCCTCTCGAAAATGACCTCGGACTCCGAGCTCTCAGAGGACGAATCTCCTCCCAAACCTGTGCCTAGCAGCCTTCGTGCGCAACAATACGAGTCTGATTCGGACGTTGAAGCCTCCTACGAGGCCGTCCCGCGGAAACGTCGTTCGTCGTGGAACGAGTCCGACGATAACCAGTTCATAGATCGTCTGCCCATCAAACTCGCTGACGGCCGAATACAAAAGAGCGGCGAAAAGGTCGTGATCCTCACGAACGAGGACCACGAGGACGCGGAGACAGACAAGGAATCATCGGAGGACGAAAAAACAGAGCCCCCACAAAGGGTCGAAACCGTGGCCACAGGCGCTCGGTTTGGCCGCCCGGCCGTGCTCGATGTCATCGGCAATAAGTCGAGGCATCTGAGGATTCAAGGGGCCAAGGAACAGATAGCTGGTATCTGTCAGGAAATCGTGGGCGACCCTGAGAATAGCGTGAGTGCCCCCGACGTACGGAATTCACCTCACGATGCTGACTTCCATCGTAGCTAGGTCTCCTTCGACGCCTCCATACGTTCTCGCTGACAGAAATCTCCACTCCCGCGCATCCCGAGCCCGTGCCAAACGATCCTATCATCCGCAAGCTCGCCATCCTGTCACAACTCGCCGTGTTCAAAGACATCCTGCCGGGCTACCGGATACGCGCGCTCACGGATATGGAAAAGGCGGAAAAGGTCAGTCAGATGGTCGCGCGCACGCGGGAGTGGGAGCAGGGCCTAGTGGGAGTATATCAGTCATACCTTCAGACCCTGGAGGCCGAGATCAAAGGTACTTCGACGTGCACGGTTCTTCTTCTCCTTCAAAACGCTAATTTTCTAGCCACCTAGCGAAGACAGACTTGGCAGACAGTGCCCTTCGATGCATATGCACGCTTCTTGTCGACGTCACCCATTTTAATTTTCGCACGAACCTCATGAGCGTCGTCGTCGCCCGTCTGAGCCGGAAATCCTGGGACGAGGTCCGCTTCGCCGCTCTGTGTCTCGCGATCGACCGTGACGCTCATCTATCCTTTTCCGCAGGCATCCGACCTGTGTCTGAACAGCATCATCTCTGTATTCCGTGCAGACGAGACGGGCCTGGCGTCGCTGGAGATCGTCCGCCTGCTGAATCGCATGATCAAGGAACGCCGTTTCAACGTGCACCCGGACGTGCTCGCCTGTCTGCTCCACCTGCGCCTCAAAACCGAGCTCGGGGTTCGCGCATCGGAAGCGAGAGTCGAACGGGAGGATCGCTCGAACGGGCAATCGTCCCAAAAAGGAAAGGGCAAAGGGAAGGCGAAGCTCCATCTGAGCAAGAAGGGCAAGAAGGCATTGAAGGAGAGAAAGGAAATCGAAAAGGAACTGAAGGAGGCGGAAGCCGAGGTTGACAAGGAAGAGCGATCGTCCCATGTAGGTTCTGCGACTCCTGCGTCGACGGCGGTTCTCTGATGCGAACCGAATGTTAACAACGCCATATACAGCAAACGGAGGCGCTCAAGCTGCTCTTTGTCCTCTACTTCCGAATACTGAAGAACCCGGATCCGACGCCGCTCCTGCCAGCGGCCCTCCGGGGCATCTCCAAGTTCGCACACCTTGTCAGCATCGACTTCTTCAAGGACTTGATGAAGGTCCTCAAGGAACTCATCGCGCGTGAATCTCACGACGCCGTGGGCGACCTGACATCACCACATGCTCACAAGGGCGCGGGTGACGTCCGGCACAAACTTCAATGCATCGTGACGGCATTCGAGCTCCTTTCAGGCCAAGGTCATTTGCCCCTTTTCAGTTTTTTCCCCACCCGTTCCTATCAATGCTGAACTCACCCGTCCTTTATTATTATCACTATCGTTATTATTATCACCCCTCCCCCCTCGCACGGACCTCGCCTTTCCCGCGATCTCCCTCCCGCGCGCCAGGCGAAGCGCTCAACATCGATCTCAGCGATTTCATCGCCCAGCTGTACGCGATCGTCCTCTCGTCCAGCCTCGCCCCCGACATGGACTCCACGCCCGCGCCCGCGTTCAAGTCCGACGCGCCCTCGCCCTCATCCTCGTACCAATCCCAGTCCACCGCCGACCTCCTCTTCCGCGCGCTCCGCCTCGCGTTCCACCCGCACCCGTCCGCAGGCGCCGCGCCGCCCTGGCGCGCGGCGGCGTTCGCGAAGCGCCTGCTCACCGCCGCGCTGCACTGGCCCGCGCCGCGCGTGCTCGCGGCGCTCGCGTTCGTCGAGGAGCTGCTCGCGCGCGACCCGAAGCTCGAGGCGCTGCTGTCGACGGAGGACCGCGCGGTCGACGGCGTGTACCGCGCCGAGCTCGAGGACCCGCAGCTCTGCAACCCGTTCGCGACGAGCCTGTACGAGCTCCGCGTGCTCGAGGCGCGGCACCCCGACGCGCGCGTGCGCAAGGCCGCCGCGAAGCTCGCGCGGTTCAGGGCGTCCTAGCCCGATGCGGTGGCTTGATGTCCGGGGGGTGGGATGGGGATGGGGGCGTCGACAGCGCGCGCGTCTCGTGGGGGTCATGTCATGTACATCATACGTGGACCACTCTATGTAATACATGCATACGGAAGACGCGGATGACTCGATATATTGGGGGAGCGCGGGCTCGGAAGGCTACAAATTTTGGGTTGCGACACGTGCAGAGCGGATTTGGCTATCTCTACAACAAGTCCCACAACGACGCAAGATACAATGAAGGGGCGGTGGTGCGGCACGCGGGCGCGACGACGATGGTGATGATGACGACGACAACAACGAAAAAGGAAAGCAGAAAGAGAAGGGGGAGGTAGGGGGCGAATAAGGTAGACCGGGGCATAGGAAGTGCGTGCGTGCGCCAAAACAAAATGAATGAAGAAAAAAAAGAGATGTAAAAAATAATCCGAACAGTCCTCCTTTCATTTCCAAGAATGAATAGCGAATGAATGAATGAATGAATGAATCCAGCGGGCATCAAGAAAAAACGGGTGTTTATACTACAGCGGCCGGCGAAGGCTGCTTCTTCTTCCTCGTTCGCCGGATTAATCAGTGATATGCGTATCGTACAGAGACCGAAGAGAAAACACAAACGAAGAGAAGGGAAAGCGGAGCGAGAGCGAGACGGGACTACGAGAACAGGGCGGAAGAGGGATAAGAGTAATGTGGCGTGTGCGTGTGCGCCATGTCCGAGGGGGACAGGTGCGGGAGGGGGGCGCCGGTGTTGGACTGCGGACACGAGAAGAACGGCGCCTCGTCCATGCGCGGGGTGAACGGCGTCGAGGGCGAGCTCCAGTTGACGGGGTAGAGCGACGAGGCGGGGGAGAGGAGGTCCACGGAGGAGGAGGACGGCTGGGGCCGATGCGACAGAGGCAGCGGGGTCCGCGTGCGGGACTCCATGTTGAACCCGACAAACTCGGCCGCGGGCACGGCGTCGAACGGCCGGTGAAGCTCGTACACGATGTACGCGAGCTCCTCGTTGTCGACGATGACATGCTGCGTGATGCGCGTCTCGACGCCTGTCGAGACAGAGGACGGCACGTGTGTGGGGGGGGAACGCGAGGTCAGCGTGGTCGGGCGAGGAGAGTGGCGGGGCACGCTCTTACCTGCAGGCAGCCATCTGCATCGGGCAAGACACGAATCTGGAAACAGAGCGGCGACAGGCTGGCTGGCGTTCCCACCGCCTGCCGGCGACGCGCCCGAGGACGCCGCCGTGGCTGCGGTGCCGCCAGGCGCCAATGCCTCGAATGTGCCGACCTCCTCCTGCTGCGAGCCGTCGGCGCCGTGGACACGGGTGATGCACTGCGCGGTGGAGGTCCACGGCGCGGCGAACGTGAGCGCGGCCTGGAAGCCGTAGAGCATTGGCGCGCCGGGCGTGTCGAGCGGGGCGAGGGACAGCTTGATGTTGAGGCAGACGCGCACCGCTGCGGATGGGTGTACGGGAGAGCGGGAGGCGTCGACGAGGCGGTCGACGTCGACGGTGAGCGGCTGCATGCCGTCGGCCCAGAGAGAGAGGCTGGAAAGAGAATTGGGGGGGAGGTGCGAGAGCGGCAGGGGGAAGGTGGAGAAGGGCGTGCGGGAGGTTTCGGGGAATATGAACGGTGAGGAGAGCGCGAGGGACTCGTCTTTGGCGGGGCGTTGCTCGGCGACGCGGGACGGTGAGGAGAAGGGCGAGAGTGGGGTGAGGTAGAGCTGGGACGAGCGCGGATGCGGGGAGAAGGCGAGGGCGCCTGAGGACGGGAGGTGCGACCCGCGCATGTCGTCAAACGAGTAATCGGAGGCGGAATTTGGGGTGGCGGGGGTGAGCGGGGAGAAGGCGTCCCTCTGTTCCTCCTTGACTGAGATCTCGGAAGCGACGGAATCGGGGCTGCGCTCCTTCAAATTGGCGGGCGCCAGGAGACCGTTCTCCTGGAAAAGTTCCTCGCCGCCAGCGACGAGCTGATATTCTGGAGCGGGTGTGATGAGGCAAAGGAAGAGGGGAGAGGGGGGGGGGGGACGGAACGAACCTGGCTCGCCCTTCCACATGTTGCGCAGGACCTGTATGTGGCTCGCGACCTGCTTCTTTGTGCGCTGTATGCCGTTGGAGGCGAGAAAGTCGACGAGGAACTGATTGCGCCAGCGGCTGCGGCCGCGGGAGTAGGTTGCCCAGGGGGAGTCCCAGTACTGGCGGAGGCCTGACGCGATCGCGGACACGTAAGAGTGAGGTACGGAGACGGGGCTGGAAGGGTAATACCTTGAACGAAAATTTTCTCGACGGACTCTGGCCAGACCTCGCTGGTGCCGTCCTTGAGCATCTTTCGATGCTTGCGCTGGGGGGTGAGGGACTTTGAGTCTGAGGAGGGGGAGGGGGAGGGGTCTGCGGGGGAGGAGTGGGGCATTGTGGCAGACGGTGGGGTCGGGCTAGACGACGGCGGCGGCGGTGAGGAGCAGCGGGAGGAGGAGGAGGAGGAGGGGACAGGGGGCCGGGCGGGGGTGTATATATATGTGGGGGTGTGTATGTAAGGGAGTGAGGGAGAGGACGAGTGCCGAAAGCAGCAATGGCGGGCCGCGGGGGCGGAGAGGGTGAATGGAGGGACAGGCTTGGGGGAGGGCGAGATGGGGGAGATCTGAGGGATTCTTAGGGAGAATCCGACGGAGATGGATTGCAGACGAGGCCGGAAAGAGAACTGGCAGGCCGGGTGTTCTGGCTGACCGGCGGCGGTCTGCGCGTCGAGTGTGCGATCGGACTGGCTGCGGCGAGTGGGCGCCTGTGCTGATGAGCAACGCCAAGGGTCCGTGGGGGAGGCCCTCGCCGTGGTTCTGAGCTCGCTCCTTCAGGATCCCATATCCGGAACACTCGATGCGTCCGTCCGTCCGATCCGTCCGCCACACACAGAGCCTCGCCGGATCCTGGTCCGTGGGGCCGGTTCACCGAGACCGGCCCCGCTTGGGGGCGTCGCACGGGAGGGGAGGGGAGGGGGGACGGGGGACGACGACGATGCAGGCGGGAGGACGCTCGCTGGAGGGAGGGGGACGCGGGGGCCAAAGCACCGGGGGGTCATCGATGGATCTCTCGATTCGATGGCGAGGAAGGTGCACGCAATAGGCAGGTCTGGCCCAGCTGCTTGAACCCCCCCAAACCTAACCCCGCCCGCGAGCCCCCTCTCGCCCTCGCCGCCGTCGCCGCCGCCCGCCGCCCACCGCCCACCGCCCACCGCATTCCCCATGGCCTCGCCTCTGACCACCGCCTGGCTCCGCCAACACACCCGCCCTTATCGCAGCCCCGACGCGACCTTCGCGGACATCGACGCCCTCCTCCGCCGCTCACCCACCCTCCGCCCAAAGACGGACGTGTACAGTCAGTCCCCCGCCCCCATTCTCTCCTCATCTCCGCCCTCATCGACACGACCCGCACACAGCTTACGACGACGGCCGCACACAGCTCCTCCTCTGTCTCCACGGCCTCCTCCCCATCTCCTTCCGCAACGCAGCCTACCACATCCCCGTCGCCATATGGATCCCCATCGACTACCCCCGCCTGCCCCCCATCGCCTACGTCGTCCCCACCTCCGACATGCTCATCAAGCCCGGCGAATTCATCGACGTCAGCGGCCGCTGCACCCTCGACTACCTTCGCCACTGGCAAACAAAGAGCGAGGCACGTCCCCGACCCATCCTCTCATCTCCTCCCCGATCGCCCGAGCTCACACCCGAATCAGGGCTGCAACCTTCCAGCCCTCGTCGACGCCATGCAAGCCCACTTCTCCCAGGCCCCTCCCGTCTACTCCAAGCCAAAGCACCCTGCCACTGTCCATCCGCCCCCGTCCGGCGCAACCACCCCGGCTGTCTCCCACGCCGATCGCCCCGCCTTGCCTCCCAAACCGGGCGCGCCTGTCCCTGTCCCTACGTCTCCCCTTAGATCCGCCCCGTCCCTTCACGCGTCACCACGCACCAACGGAGGCCCGTACGGTCCTTCCGGACTCTCTCCCGTAAGCACCTTTCATTGTCTGTGTTCCGTTCACTCGTCACCCCTCGCACATCCCTTTATTTTCGGTTCGGTTTGCGCGCCCCGCCGCAGCCTCCGCCCAGACCGCCGCTGCCGCCCCACCTGAGTCCAGCCACCAGGCTCGGAACACCCCAGACCGAACCGCCATCACTGCACCCTCGAGAGCGACCCACGTCCACATCTTTCGGCATCGCGTCTCCACCGCCTCCAGCTGGGCCGGCACCCGTTCCGAACCCACACATCCGGGCGTCCCTCCCTGCTGTTCCGCCCCTGCCTCCAAACGCGACCATGTCAGCACCCTTTCCCATCATCGCCACGACGCTCCACTCGGCTTCTCCGGGCCCGATGATTTCACCGCCCCCGCCGCCCATCCACGCGCACCTCCCTCCTCAAACACGCACACCCCTTGCACAGCCTCCCCCCGCAATCGCTCCCGCGCGCATACCCCCACCGAACCTTCTCGACGAAGACAGCCCCGACGCCCCACCGGCCCCGCACTCTGCCGCGTCTCCCCCCACGCACCCCGCGCCCTCCGCCTCGGCAGCGTCGGCGGCGGCGTCCGCGCACCTCCCACCGCGCCCGCCGAACCCCGAGCTCCTCGACCTGCACGCGCACGTGCACGCGCGGCTCGTCTCGGAGCGCGTGTCGCTCGCGCAGGCGATGGCGCTCGACGCGGAGCGCCTGCGCGCGCACCAGCGCGACCTGCTCGCGGGGCTGCCCGCGGTGCGCGACGAGAGCGCGCGGCTGCAGGCCGTGCGGGACGTGTGCCGCGCGGTCGCGGACAGGCTCCGCGGCGCGGTGATCGACGCGGAGCGCACCGTCGCGGAGCTGCGGCGCAAGGGCGATCCGCCCGTGGACGAGCTCGTGTGCTCGACGTCCATCGTGCATAACCAGTGCGTCGCGTCCGCGCTTGCTGTTCACCCATTTTTGGTCGCGCCGTTTCCTCTCTGCTTTATTTTATTTTATTTTATTCTATTCTATTTCTATCGTGTTTTGATACGACTGCTCGGTCGGCCCGCGCGGTCGATCGGCGCGTATCAGTGCGCTGTCCGATCGGTCCCCGGTGCTAATGATCGCCTGTCTGTTCGTCTGCTCGCAGGCTCGTCGACCTGGTCGCGGAGGACAACGCGATCGAAGACACCGTGTACCACCTGCACCGGGCGCTCAACGCGGGGCGGATCGACCTGGACCGGTTCCTGCGGGTGAGTGCACCCCCACACGCTCACGCGCACGCGCACGTCGCGCGCGCGTGCGACGCGTCGCGACCGGTTTGCTGATGGGATCCCGTTTTGTTCGTTGATCCGTACATTCAAACCCTGCCGCGTCGCACGCCGTCCCGTCCCTCGCATCGACATGTCACGTCGTGTCGTGTCGTGTCGTGTCGTGTCGTCGTGCCGCCTCGCGTCGCATCGTGCTGCATCGCGCCGCGCCGCGCCGGGGACGTAGACCGCGCGGGTGCTCGCGGAGGAGCAGTTCATGAAGCGCGCGCTGATAGAGAAGATACGCGCGGGGATCCCCATGGGCGCGTCGACGGGCGCCGGGTGGTCATGAGCGCACGGCGTGCGCCGCCGATGCCGTGCGACGCGACGCGATGCGATGCGGTGCGGTGCGATGCGGTGGTGGGTTGACACGGTGCGGTGCGGTGCGGCGTGGCCGTGCACGTGCGCTTGCGCTGTGTACAGGCCAGGGGCGCGCGCGGTGGGAGAGCGTGACGCGGGCGAGGAGCGCTGGGATCGAAGAGACGCCGGGGTGCGGACTAGTGGCGCTGCGCCGGACGCGCGTGCCGTTGTGTTTGCGCTGTGTTTGCCGTTCGTCGAGGGCGTCGGGTCGGGTCTGGTCCGGGTCAGGCCCACGGGAGCCCACAGGGGAGGGTCAACTGATAGTGTGGTGGCGCTCGGACGAGAAAGGAAGGAAGGTTCCAGGGAACTAGATCCGATGACGCATGTATCATAATAGCTCGCTGTGCCGTGCATGCAGTTCGTAGCTGGCCGCTCTGGATCGTCCCAGTCTGACACCCAGTCGGCCAATCGGAGCCCGTCGCGGCCTGTCCGGGGGCCCCCGACGACCCGCCCTTGAATGCCGGGGTACTGTTAGTGCCTCCTCAGTGCCTCCTCCCACCCCTGGCGATGTGAAATTGCACGCGCTACCGGTCCAGACCCCCGATGAAGGCACTCGCACCCTCTTTTCTCTTCGCGCGCGAGACGACAGTATTAGTACTAACTCAGCGGTGGCCTGGTCTAACCCCCCCGCGAGCGCGAAGCTCCGGCGAACAATAACAGCGTCGCGTGCACACTGCACATGCGTCGACGTCCATTCGATCGACGGAAACAGAGCACAGAACACGGCGGCGCGTGGGAAGCGCGCAAAGCACATGCGCACGCGTTTAACCCGTTCATACTGTTACATGAGAGCCGGAGATAGAGCGAGCCCTCGCCATCATCGTTGAGCGAGGCGACGCGATCGACGTCCGAACCATAAGTGAGTAAGGACGTAGTGCCATCAGCGTCTCGCGGGAAGAACAGAAGCCGGCACAAACAGCTAGTAGTAGCCATACGATAAACAGACGGACAGGCAGACAGACAGGGAGATAGACAGACAGACAGACAGGCAGGCAGGCAGACAGACAGCGGGAACTGGCGACCGACCGTGCAGCGTCGAAGCTAGAAGCAAGTCGGGCGGGTTCGAAATAGAATCTGCAGAATAGAAGAGCGTCCCGTCCAGATGGACGGGCGGACGTGGCACAGCAAATGGGGTGGGGGTCGACGGCGGGCCTAGGCCCCCGCCTTCGTCAATAATCAAAACATAAGGAGAACATTTCACCGAAGCGGTTCATAATAAAAATCGACCGAGACGACCCCGAATCGAACCGAAACGCGGGGGGACTCGCTCGCACCGACGCAGCACGCCGGCGTGGAGCACGATCAGGCCTCTCACCCTTACTCTCTCATGCTCTCTCCAGAGAGGCACGGCTGACAACGCGGCTCCAAGAGGCGCTTCGTGCGCGTCACGCCACGATCCTGCCCTCGGGCCCCCGTTCCTCGAATTGCACCCTCTTCCGCCCCGCCCCGCCCACCCACCGCCACACGCGCAGCTCGTCCCCGCCCTCGACCTCCTCCAGGTTCACCCGCACGTTCGCGTTGCCCTCGACCACGCGCTCGACGCGGTCCCACAGCCGCCGCCGCGCGCCGACCGAGTGCTCGTCCTGCATGACCAGGTCCCGCAGCTGCAGCGACGACAGATACGCGTACGGCGCGCTGATCGGATCCGTGTGATGCGCCATCTCCTGGTTCCGCAGCATGTCCAGCGCGACCTGCACCAGCGCCGCGACCCGCTTGTCTTCCACCCACCGCTGCGCGCGGCTCCGCCTCGCGTACTTGTACGCGGCAATCGCCAGCAGGATCGCTGTGGAGGTGTCAAATTTATCAGGACCCAGTGCAGCGAAGCCGTCACGGGGCGAGACGACGACATCGAACGAAGATAGTGTCGAAAGGGACAGAAAAAAAAACTCACATCCGATGTGCAGCTTCCATAGCTGCCAAAGCTCGCGCGACTTGACGGTGAGTTTACACGCGACGTCGAGATCTGGCGTCCTGTGCGCGATGTACTCGTTCCCTCTGCGTCAGAAAACGTGAGAATCAGCACGAACGTCCCGGCCAACACCGACCGCAGCAGACAGCGCACTCTGTGTCCTTGGAAGTGAAGACGCCGCCCCACGCGGTGAGCTGTTTCATCGCGTCGTTGAAGTTCGCATCGTAACTGTGCATGCTCGCCGGCTGGGAAGCAACGCACCGCAAGTTTCAGCCGGAGATGGTTGTCAGACGCGACACCCCGCACGCACCGAGATGTTTCTCTTCGTCCGTTCCTTCAACTTGGCAACCTCGATCCCCCATCGCCTTGCCTCGCCACCGTCTTTCTCCTTGACGAGAGGCGGATCACCGGCGCACAATCTGCGGCCTCGCTCTTGCCCAAGAGCGGATTCGATCGCCTTGCCCAACACTCCGATATGTCGCCTCCGCCGCGGGTCCACCACACATCGAGGTGGTAGCGCTACGGAACCCATTCCCGGCATGCCGTCCAGGCCAACCGAGACGGCATCGAGGATGGCCTTGACCGGAGCGGATATCTTATCTTGACTCACCGGTGTCGAGTTGGTAACGGGGATGGGGAGCAGGGAAAGCAACGGGTGAAGGCGAACGATGTAACCACTGTTGCATTCAACGCTGTGCGCCGTGCACGTCGCATGCTCCGGGCAAGGGGTGCAACTGTCAGGTGCGGGCATCAACGGCGGGTAAGGGCACTCGGGCTCGTCCCGCTCTTGCTCTCTGGTCTCATCTGGCACGCCGGAAGCGGCAGCCGCGGGTAAAACATACAACGTGGTCCTATTTTCTCGATTGCATGCCTCGATGGCGGCGCGTTTGGCGCGGAAACCTTCTAGAGCGTCGTTGGTGGCCTTTCCCGCATCGCAGTACCCGATGGACGCCGAGTCCGCTTTGTACGGGAGCAAGCCGAACCAAGCGCTGGGCAAAACGGCGAACAGGAGGAACAGCAGACGGAAGACGGGGAACCCCCCGGAACTCGACTCCGGTCGACGCACGACAGTGCCGCCCTCGGCGATGATGCGGGAAATGGCATTGGTCTGTTTCGACTCCTCCGGTTCTTCGAGCTCCTCTTCGGGGCTGAAATCGCCGCCGCCGCCATCGCCATCGAACGCGACCTCCTCTGGGAGTTCCTCTTGCGTTTCTTGCGACTCTTGCGGTTGCACCTTCACCTCCTGGCGCCGCAGCGGGCTGGGTGAAGGAAAGGGTAGCGCGAACACGTTCCGCCGCGCAGGTGTCCCGACCGCGGGTGAGCTGCCTCGGAAGATGTCCGGCGGCAAACGCGGTTCGAACTTTGGCGCTCGGGGAGGAGAAACGTGAATAACTGGGGCGTCACCTTCGAATTCTCGTGGGGGAGATGAGGATGGCAGCATCTCCGGCGGCGCGGACGTCGCCTTGCGGCTGGATTTCCGGGGAGCGACAGGTTTTGGTGCAGTGCTCTTCCGAGCGCGGGGCTTGACGGGCGACGGGCGCACGGGAGAAGACGATTCAGCGCCAGACTGGAAGATGTTGTTGTCTTCCCATCCGCTATCTTCTGCAAACTAATTAGAGATGGGCTGTTAGCAAACAAGCGCACAAGCCGACGAGGTCACAGGTATTTTAGAGTAGATACGTACTGCCTGAGAGACGCGGCGGGCTCGTGTGCCAGCGTCTTCGGTCTGAGCGACATCTTATATCAACGAGGAAAGGAGGGATCGCAAAGGGCTACAGGCTTACGGTCTTTTTGCCTCTGCTGACTTTGCGCACTGCTACCTCCTCTTCAGGTTCACTTTCTTCTATCAAAGCGGTCTCCGATGGATACATCGTTCGCTTCGATGGTCCACCAAGATTGGGCTGAGCGGATGACCGGCGGCGTTTAGGCTAGTCGTGATTAATAAAGTAGGTGCGAGTTCAGTGCCACCAGCGCCAGGAAGAGACTTACCGGCTCCGGTACTGTCAACGTGGACTCTGCCTCTTGAGACGGCGCCCGAGAGCTTCGCCTGGACGACCTCCGAAGAGACTTTATAGCGAATCTCAACCGCCCTGCCTTGCGCAGCCAACACGACGCAGACGCACCTTCTTCTCATCCCCTATCTGCTTTCCAGTGATACCGTCCTTGATCCCGTCGTCGCTAGCAGTGCTGTTCTCCCGCTTCAGCCTCTCCTTCTTCAGTTTTCCGGTCTTGGGCTTGATCTCGTCGTTGAACAGCTGGATGAGCTTCGGCTTCGTATAGGGCGTGGGGTACTTGATGTTGTGAAATCCAAAGACACCGAGCAATTGCGTGACGGTGAGCGTTGAGGGGTCAAAATCTGCATCTAGGTATTCGCCAAGGGCGATGACCTGCGCGGCGGTCATCGAGCGCGACATCGTGCAGACGTGGGTGTGAGCGCAAAACGTGGGTCCACAACGCGCGCGTGTCCGTCGCGCTTGTTGATTGTGCATCAACGGTCACACGCTCCTTCGCGTCACTGGCGCGTCCCACGTGACCACGACGCGTCGCGTCTTCATCAGCCTCGACCTGCTCACGTCGCATCGGCATATGCGTGGAGGTCCGAATGCAAGGAATGTATCGACTAGATCTACACCATGGTCCGAACATTCCGGTATAGATGATTACATTTCAGGTCCTGTACCAGCCGACGAAACCGGCCCAGATCTAAGAATACTTGGGACGAACGAACCCTGACGGTCCAAACCACAGTCCCTTGACCTGCAAAGGATAGATGAGACAAAATAGCATTGGCGTTATTTTGACACGTACCCCAAAGTTGAGCCACGCGAAGGGCAATAAATCCTGTCGACAATTTAGCTTTAAGAGTGAACTGATGACTGAGAAACAGAATCTTACCTTCTTGAGATGATAGAACAGCCTGACGGTGCAGATCAGCATATGGAAGCGTTGGAGATGCCACAGATGCTCACCTTCTCGGAGTAGCCTGATCGCCCAGGTATTCGGCAAACGACTCCGCCGGCTCCAAGCCATACTTGAACTCGGCAAGCATAAGCTCGCCATAGCCGGTCAGTAGCTGCACGCTCTCACATCAGTGCTCGATCCCCCTCGACTCTATTAATGGAATACACTCACAGGGCAACTCGTGTACCCGTCGTATCTGGCAGGTCCGACTTTTCCGGTGTCGAGCTGATGGAACAGGTTTTCCACTAGCACTGGCGCCTGCGCCGTGATTGCGGCGGCGGTCTTGCTCGTGGGCAGCGAAGAGGCGTCGCCCATGGCGAACACATTGGCAAACTCGGGCTTCACGTGTTGGAGCGTGTTTTTGTCCACGTCGATCCATCCGGCAGCGTCCACAAGCGGTGTTCCCTTGAACACATCGAGAGGGCCCATAGGGGGCGTCACATGGAGTAGCGTATAGTCCTCCGTGACAGTCGAATTATCCGCCAGATTCTTGAACGTCGCCTTGCGGTTCGCCGAGTCGACCGACACCAGGCTGTGCTGAAATTTTGCGCCGACCCCGCGCTCGACGCGCATGGCGTCAAGGGCCTTCGAGTACTTCGGCACGCTGAACATCGTCGGCATTCCCGTCCTGAAGTCCACTTTAATCTGGTCGCCACGGCCAGACCTGCGGTATCTGTCCCATGCCATCCACATAATTTTCTGGGGAGCTTCCAGACGGTAGCGTCAGCTCCAAGCTTCCAATACAGGGGCTGCTCTGAAGAAAAGCATCGCAAACGCTCACCTCCGGCGCATTTGATGACGCCCGCGGGTTGCGTAAACAGGGCGCGTCCAGACCTAAGCGCATCGATATCTCGCCAGGTCTTGTCGCAGGTGTTGTAGGAATAGATGGTTGAGACGCCGGAGGATGGATCAGCTAGAGCCTTCGGAAGCCCCTCGATCTGGTCGAAGTTTACTTGAAGACCGGTTGCGACCACCAACGCGTCGTACGAAAGCTTCCTGCCTGAGATTGTGGTGATCGAGTTGCCCGAAGGGTCGAACGATTGCACATTCTCCGATATGTGGTTGATATGAGAGGGGATGAGGTCCGCAAGGGGGCGGCGGAGGGTCGATTTTTGCTTCAAGCCGGAGCCAACAAGCGTCCTGGGAGTCGAATTAGCCTTCCATTCTATGCGTATAGGAGTGCTCCATCATTCCGCTCACCATCCAGGCTTCAAAGCAAGATCGACAAGGATGCTTAGAATGCCTGTGGGGCCGGAGTATGGCAGCGAAGACGCACCTGGTAGTGGTGGAACTCCGCAGCGTCCACGATCGCGATGTCCCCGTCCTTCAGAGACTTTCCGGCCTGCTCGAAGCGGTTGTACAATTGCAAAGCAGCGCTCAAACCCGCGACGCCTGTATTTCAAAGCATGTTCTTAGTGCGGACGTCCTAATCCCGTCTGGACATCACAAACCTCCGCCGAGAACAACCACCTTGTACTTGTCCTTCGTCTCAGCCGTACTCGCCCACCGGGCGCCCAACAAGCGCGACGTCAGTTTGGATGCCGATCTCCGTGTGGCAAACATATTGGGCAGAGGCTGTGAAAGCTATGCAGGAAGTTGAGTGTCTGACAAACACTGGTGCATGGTCTTGATTTTTCCTCTCGACTGTGTGCTCGGGTCGTCATTCGCTCTCATAATGGCGACATCGTTGATCAATGGATTAAAAAGGAAGTTTTTATCTTATCTCTTAGATCATCGATCAGCCTATGTATCGACATCGTTCTGCATTACAGTAGGACAAGTTTAAACGAAGTTTATGAACTGAGATGGCTCGATAGAAAGCCATCGGTCCCCCACATTAACTGCTGATGGGCCGCCATCCGTTGCGACCAGTTGGCAGCTTGAAAATTAAGTATCAGTACAGCAATGCTGGCGTGAGCTCACTAAATAGTTTGCGCTCCATCAAGATCAAAAAAGCACTATACGTTTCATCAAGCACCCAACGGCACTCCCAGACGGCGAGTGATCCGATCATTATGGGCATAAGACCGGCTTGGGAAGGAAGATTGATGGTACCAGCGATGGATGGAAGTTGGATGGAGGGTTTTCAAGAGACTTCGAAGGTCCTCCACGCTCGATTTCGCAGATGAAGATGGAGGACGATGAACGCTACACAAGGTGGACTGTTGCAGCCGATCTGCGAGCAGGTGTCGAATCTCGACCACGTCCAACAAAAGGATACCAATTCGGAACCGGCGGTATCCAGAACCGGGCCGGCACATGGCGACAGTAATTCGACAACCAGTCGAAACCGACAGCAGTCGCGCACACGATCCTGAGTCTCATCACCGCCATAAACCTCGATATTTGAAGCTCTCTTTCTCTCTTCCCTTCCACGCAGCTGGCCTGTTCACTTTCACCTCTCCCCGGGCGTGTATATACCATTTATCATTCTAGCGGGTTCTAGGAAATCATAGAGATCAATCGGCATCAACTGATGAGCTCAGTTCGTCCCAGTCGTCCGCGTAATGTTGGCGGCCTTCCTTCTGGCCCTCGTGCACGCTCAGTCGGGCGCGACGTTCATAGAGACTCAGATACCAATGCCAGCGTGTACTCTAGCAGACCAGTGCAGCCGCCCACATCCTACCCTCGGCAGATTCGACCTCAGCGTTCACTCGCGAACATTTCGCCCCGCAGTCACCTTTCCACCTACTCTGAGCGTCCTGCCACCCGCCCGCCGCCGCTCCCTACCTACGAGGGCAGCGTGCGGGAGATGAATAGAGACCCGCGCACGCCGTCTAGGTATGGGCGGGCCGACAACGCGTACGGACGCCGTTCTCAGGACTCGTCATCTCAAGCGAGCTCTCCTGTGTCTGAAACCTCGTCTGGTTCTTCTTTTTTGGACAGGATGAAAAACAGGTCCGGGGAGACATCTTCTGTAACGAGCGTAGAAGACGAACCGGAGCCACCGAAGAGAGGCAGGGGAGGCTGGTTGAGAGAGAGGGCCGCTGCGCAAGAGGAACGTCCCATGTCTTCACAGGATGGTGCGTTTGCGGAGTCATAATGCCACTGGATCGCAGAACTCATTCCCATCGATCACGCCAGGCAACAACTCCGACATGTCTGACCCCGCTGCAGGGCATGGAGCCTCGCTATGGGGGCGTGTCGCTGGTGCGGCAAGTAACCTGACGGTGACGGTCAGCCAGGCCTGGACCAACAACATTCAAATACAATCTGGTGAACGTACGTCCTCGTTTCCCCCCTATAGATAGGATGCTGTTCTTATGTTATGATGCCACCAGAAACGCCCCTTGGACAAGAGTCGCGTCTTACCCGTGCAATGAAGGCTTATCATTTGGAGAAAGCCAAGGATCCGTCCGATCTTCCAGCATGGTTGTTCGACGAGCACGAGCGACGCGCGGCCGGAGGGCGACCAAGCACCACACGTCGATCTGATCGAGGTGATGAGTATAACCAGGCCGAGGCCTCTCCCCCAGCTCAGCGAAGTCGCGGCCTCAGGGATATATATGACTCAGTCGCGGCATCCTCGAATCCTTCCGCAAGATCAGATACGAGAGGGCTCCCATCTAGGTATCCGCATGCTGTGAATGAAAGCGGTTCTAGCACCTCTAGAGCTGGTGATCGTCTCAAGGCTCTCAGAGATGCAAAGCGAATCGCCGCACAGAGGAACACATCAACTACTGCCAGCCGTGACGACGGTGCTGATCCGACCATGTATCGTGGAAGGGAGAATCGCGATGGCCCCACCCACATGGAGCGTGGACGTGATACCGATGAGCGCAGCCAGGCGACGAGCGCAAGGCGACCACCGCCTAGGATGGGACTACCTGTTAGACCAGGACGCGGCGCACAGAGATTTTGAATAGGTGTTCGCATATATATTCACGTTTTGATATGTCATGGGCCTTCCCTATATTTGTCGATGTATCGTGTCTTGGATGTAACCTCACGACCTTCTTTTCTCCCCTCCTCCAGGCTATAGGCTGTACTGGTACATCTTTTCCCGCGTGTTGAGTAGTACAAATTGATGTCCGAACATTGATCATTTCGGGCTTATGCGTCCCTGCAGAGGGTGATCGTTCGGTGCAAACTGTTCGTGGGCGGTGATCATGGCTTTGTCGGAGATGGAGCATTGTCCACGGTGTGACTGAAAAATGGTAAGTATGGATAGCACCCCTCGGCATACTCTCGGCATGGGAAAGAAGGCACATCAAGATCGATCAGGGCGATCTTCCACGCTTGAAGCGACATTAGAAGATGAGATGCGGAGGTTCTCGACAGCATCAGTCATAGGAGGTCATAAGGTTGTCCAGGAAATTCGTCTGCTCGAGTTAAGAATACCGATGTACAGGGAAGAGCATTCAGATGGAAAAGCAAAAATAGCATGCGGATAGAGCTCGAGCGGTGTCTTCGCGCTGAGGTGGCTTCTGGCCCACATAGGGAAATCGCGTGCTCGTCAGGTTAGGTTAGGATTCCCATACCGAGGTAATGGAATCCAATGAGAGCCCACCGCGGGGTGCGTCGGGGTCTGAATCTCCGATAAAGCTCATTTGTCGGCGCCTGCTTGTAAGCGATACGATAGGTCAAGCATTTCACGAGCAAAACACAGGACAGCTCGACAGAGGCTTAGGATTGGACGACAGGATTAGAGCAGTCACGGCACGGTAGACGTATGTTGGGACATGCGGCGCACATGAAGAGAACAAGGGCTGCCTTTCGAACAGGAAGTGCCAGCAAGCGTACTGCAAGCGTCTAGCATTACATACGGAGGGAGGTGCAGACCTGTCGCAACGTGTCGGAAGTAATTGGGTAACATGGCAAAGACCGCAAAGACCGACGACGCCGATTGACCTGTTGAGAGGAGAAGCGTCGTGCGGACCGCGTCAGGCCGTAAGCGGGCTACTTTGAAGAACGAAGGCTACGCTTAGAGTAAGAGTGATTTGACCCGCCTGCCAGTGCCCAATGGGTTCTGCTGGAGAGGCGATGTTATTTTGGAGGGCCAATAATAGTACAGGGTTACCATGGGATGCAGGAGAAGTGAGGGGCGCGGAGTGAAGAGAATGATAATCAACATCTTGATCTCGTTGCCAAGGGCCGCATCTGCTTTTTTCGGACTCCGTCATGGGTCTGTGCCGCGTATATCAGCCTCGCAATGCAAGCTCGTTCTCCCCACCCTCCTTCCTCCCTCTCCCTCTCTCTCTTTTCGACCTTCTCTTCTTAGTCGAGTTGACTCGACTAAGCATCCTTTCGTTTTCTCGAGGTATATTTCTCCTTCGGGTCTCTGCAGGTCCATTCCCGTGCTTATTTGTAATCCTCCTTCCCCAGATCACCCTCTTTGATAGAGAAAGCAATTCGCAATCCCCTCTGGGAGGAAATCTGCACTCGCTAGTCTAAAGACACCCACACCTCGACGGTCTTTTTTGTTTTTGAACGTTTTTTTCTACAACAATGGTCATGCTCTCGTCCCTCCTCGGCGCTGCCGTTCTCTACGCCGGCTTTGCCTCGGCCCGTCCCATGCCGGATAACAACATCGGTGAAGTCGCGGTATCCGCCCCCAATGGCACTCCTGAGTCGGAAGTCCCGACTGCGTGAGTTCCGCCCTTACCATAATAGATCCCTGCGCTTATTCCTAAATAGGACCGCTATGGTGGCCTCGGCTACAGCGTCTGCCGATATGTCGATGGTGACCGGTAGCAGCAACTACGGAAGCAGCGGCAGCAGCTACAGTGGCAGCAGCAACTACGGTAGCAGTGGCAGCAGCTATGGCAGCGGCAGCAGCTATGGTGGTTCCAGCGATAGCAGCAACTACGGAAGTGGAAGTAGCAACTACGGGAACAGTGGTTACAGCAGTGCGGATGTCATGTCAAGCACTGTCACGGCCGCTGCCTCTTCGTACACTTCCGCGTCTTACGGGTCTGGCAGCTCCAACTGGGGCGGCTCTGGTTATGACAGCTGTGTGCAGCGTGAGTTTGTGTTCCTGATGATACAAGAATTTCTTTGACATCAGTATCAGAATGCGTTGCCTCGTTCGGCGCTCCCTCGTCTGTCGCGATGGCCACCGCCACCTCTGGCTCCGAGGGAAGCTCTGGTACCGGCGCAACTCACACTGTTTGGGTCGCTCCGACTCAAGGTGTCCTTCGTTACGTGCCTTTCGCTACCAACGCGTCCGTTGGCGACACCATCAAGTTCGTTTGGGGTGGTAACGAACACACTGTGACCAAGTCGTCCATCCTCGGTATTTGCAACAAGACCGCCGATGCTCCTTTCGTCTCTGGCGAGCACAACTTGTCCTTCGTCTGTGAGTGGTCATCGAACATGTAACTTTGCTCTCCGTATTGACGCCTCTTTTTTTGTTCAGTCACCCAGGTTGTCAACGACACGAACCCCACTTTCTACTACTGCGGTACGCCTGGCCATTGCCAGAAGGGTATGTTCGGTATCATGTAAGTCTTTACAGTCGATTAGCGAGCCATACGCAGTGAGCTCATCTTACCTCAACAGCAACCCTCCGAATGCATTCTCCGGTCCTTCGTCCGTCGGTTCGATGATGCCCTTGATCGCTTCGAACAACTCTGCCACCTCAGCGTCGCTCGCATACACTAACATGGTCACCGCTAACAACTCTGGTGCTGCAAACTGGGGTTCATCTATGGATATGAGCCAGATGCCCGATTGGTCTCACTCCCTCATGGCCGAGAACGTCCTCTACACTCGTGCATTCTTGGCGTCCAACCCTGAGATCTTGAAGAGTGACGGCACCATCGACATGTCCGCTGTTGGCTCAAACCCACTCATGCTCCCTAAGGACGTCGCAGCCGCAAGCAACAACGCCGCTTCGTCTCCCTCCGCTGCCGGTTCATCGTCGGCAGCAAGCAGCGCGTCCGCCTCCTCGGCAGCTTCGACATCGTCGGCGACTCCTGCCAGCAATGCTACCAAGAGCGGTGCAGGCATGGTCACCGCGTCGCGTGTGGCCGTCGCTCTCATCTCCGTTTTCGCCGCCGCCCTCGTCCTGTAAACAGATGGACTTGTTTACGTCGCGCTCGTGATATACCATAATGACGGACGCTTTTTTCGTGGACTTTGCCGTAGCTTTTGGGCATTTGATCGTGTGTAGATACATGTTCCCAGCGTTCAGATACAGCGCCCGCTCGACACGTTTTTGGACTCTTCGGACTCTTCTGTGTTTTGATTTACTTCTTGCATTGTTGTGATCTCTTGGTTTTCTTCTACACTTACTCTAGGCTTGCCTGCGAGGAAAGAGCTGTCCCACAGTGCTTTTTTGGGTAGTCGCTGAATGCAATGCAATCAGGTCGGACACCGCATCTCCTCCGTGTGACCTTGTCGTTCCCAGAGGAATAATGGCTGTTCATATCGGGTGGTTGATTGGGATATCATTCTAGTGGCTGGGTTCAAGGATGTGCCTGCTCCGCATTCAATGAGATTCAATGCTGTTCAACGCCAACATGTTGAAACCTTGACCGCGTACTCTATCACTTCAGCGACGTGAAATGACGATCACAAATTTCTAGTGTTCGTCAAGCCCAACCAATGATCGCAACGTCTCACCCTATATGTAAAATGTACACTGATGTACAGTACATGTCTCTTACTTGTCTCCCGTACGCTGTATACGAACATAACACGTGATCGACAGTAGTATCAATCAGGTTGATGAGCCTCCGTATCGACGAGCACAGACTGACGATGGTCTTCATACATGTGTAGCTCACGCAAGTCAGAATAGCTGTAGTCGAAAGCCTAAACTCTGACCCACCCCGCCTCCCGCTCGAGAGGACAGCGGAACTTATGAAAGGTAAGATAGCCCCTTCATTTTTAGGAGTCAGTTCGTAGTCGCCAACAGCGGGGCAAGAGACATTCAATGGCTAACCCTGAAGCATGTTTGATCTTACTATCAGTACATGTTCGCACCAGACTGTCCAAGAACGAACCATTCTGAACGCTAGGCGCATTTGAAGCGTACTTCAACCAAATATGTCGTCGATCTCGTCTCTTTTCTTCTTTGATTTCTTTGTCTTGACTGGGGCTGACTTTGGATTATGTTTATGGTCATCTTCGGGCGTTTTCCTCTTTTTCACACTTATACCCGAGTTCACAGCTGATGCTGTGAATTGACCAGTTCGATTGATGTTCCCTGGTGCGACTTGTTAGTGAACAGGTACTCACGAGAGACTAGAACAAACCTATGCTGATATCGAGAGAATGGGGGCCAGGATCTGAAACAGATCCCAATTGGGGAAAGGTGGCATAGGCAGCGTCTTCGACAGTTGCTAATGGGCTCATGTTGCGGCCACTGAAACGGGGTGTTGGGGTAGCGGTGCGATCGGTCGATTGCCCGATATCCTCGTCTTCTCCAACATCGAGGAACTGTTCGTTGAGTGCTAGAGTAGTCGATTTAACGTCGGGTGCAGCATTTCCGATGCTATAAGAGGTCAGGGGTTTCATTCTGCGCGCTTGTTTGGACTATAGGGGTATCAGTCATGAAAATGTGACATGATCGGCAGTAGTGCGCACGTGAAGGACTTGAAAGACTTGACGACACTCGTCGTGCAAACATTCAACGATATTATCAACTTGTGATAGAACTTGGTCGAGACGTGAAGCGATCGCAACCATGGTGAGGGTTAGCTGCATGAAAGCCCTATCTCGCATAATTAATGTGAAAAAGCTGCGGGGATTGGTTTGACAGACGTTTCTGGAAGAAGCTCATATGGTGACTCACTGATATATGTCGTGCAGACGACCTCGACTCTAAAGGAGATGGCCAATCAAAATCAACCCATTCCAGTGATTCATGAACTGCTTACCTTCTCTATGAGATGGTGGCATGTTCTCAATTGTTTCAAGGTATACATGAAACGTGAGGAGCTGGGATATTGCGTCCATGCCCCTTTCAATATCTTCGCACTTAACATAATAATGTGTACATGATCATTGAATGAGCATGCGGGCGAGGTCATGCTCACCTCATGGTCGCCTCCTCTCCATAGAATGAGATGCGGAGGGCCTCTGAAAGATCACATGTGCGCATTTCTTGAAGGCGATGGCCGTACCGCCGCATCTCAGATACTCGTTGCCAGAATAGAGAAGAACGATGTTGGTTTTTCCCCTTGTAGAAGAGCCTTTCTAGAATTGCTACCTCATCGGCATGTAGGGAGAACGCTGTCTGAGCACGCCGAACGTGACCCCTGAAGATTTTGAGAAACGCGTTGACTGCATCGCAGCTAGCAGGATCAAGCCCCACCCTGGAAAGGGAATCAAAGGTTGGGGGAACGCTGAAACGAGACATCTGATAGAATGGGCATGAGAATGGGTTGTCTTTCCATGAGCACTGTCAATCAACTGGAGAACAGGTTGTGCACTGGCTATCAGAGAAAAGACGCACAATGAATCATGGAAACTCACTTCAACAGACGAAGGCTTGCCATGTAAGAGGCGGATCGAAAGGACATGCGGCTGAATTAGGCAACTCTGATCGGGCCCGGTGTTGAGCCTCTAGTAGTAGTCTCCTAAGTTCTGTTGTTTACTATTCACCTTCTTGTCTTCGACTTTCATCTTTGCACATTCGACGGCACTCATGAGCGGTCAAGGTCAAGATGCGAAGTTCTTCCAGCGTGGAAAGATCCAGGTGCGTCGACAACCTTCTTCCGGGGCTTTATAGCCGTCAACGAAACATCCAGGAGTTCCGTGCCGAGCTGCAGGCGGCGGAGACGAAGGACAAGAAGTTCACGAAGAGAAAGACCGTCTTGAAGAAGATTGTGGCCAATATCACAATGGGCAATGATAGTTGGTACCCCATTCGTCATGGACCGTAGCTATCTGGCACTCATGATCACTAACTCATCGTAGTGTCTCCATTGTTCACGGATGTAGTTCAATGTCTGGGTACACCATTGTTAGAGATTAAGAAGAGTGCGTCAATGTTCCACTCAATTGCGTGTCTCACTAATTGTGATTAGTGGTCTATCTGTTCTTGATCTATTATGGCCGGGCCAAGGCCGATCAAATACAGCTCGTCATTCCGAGCTTCCTTCAGGTGCGACAGTTTGTCACCGTCATGAGTGTGTGAAGTTGACCGGAAGTAGGACTGTAATGATCGCAATCCCCTCATCAGGGCTCTAGCTATCCGCACCATGTCATACATTCCAATACCTGTCGTGACGGAGGCTCTAACGGACACTCTTCGTCATCACCTTAAAGACAAGGACCCTTACGTCCGGAAAACCGCTGCGATCTGTGTTGCAAAGCTGTATGCCGCTGATCCTCGAAAAGCGGAAAAAGGCGGGTTTGTCGAGTTGCTCAGAGACTTGATGGTGGACAGCAATGCCACGGTTGTCTCTAATGCAATCGCTGCTCTCTCCGAAATTGGAGACAGACAAGACGGAGTCGTTTTCAAACTGAATCTGACTATAGCAAGCAAACTGGTTTCTGCTCTGAGCGAAAGTTCAGAGTGAGTCTCTTCGTCTGGCCTTCCTGAGGGCGAACTTTCTCACTAGCTCACTAAGATGGGGCCAGATTTATATCCTAGACTCTCTGCTCCGCTTTGTTCCTCAGACACACGCAGATGCGGAGCTTCTTGCTGAGCGGGTCATCGTCCAACTTCAGCATGCTAACTCGGCTGTCGTCCTTACGACTATCAAGCTCCTCCTTTACCTGATGAATTATATGGAAAGCCGTCGCTTAATAGATCATATTTGTAAGAAGATGGGGCCACCACTCGGTATGTTATATGCCTAGTACGCTCATATAAGCAATGTAGCTTATCTCCTTTCCAGTGACAATGTTGTCCTCGGGGCCAGAAGTGCAATACGTCGCTTTGCGAAACATTCTACTGATTATCCAGCGAAGACCTTCAGTTCTGAAGAACGACGTCAAGGTGTTCTTCTGCAAATACAACGATCCAATATATGTCAAACTTGCAAAGTTGGAGATCATGTACCGGCTAGCACGAGAAGAAAATGCTAACGAGGTCTTGGCCGAGCTGGAAGAGTGTGTGACCTTAATATTCTACAGGCGTTCATCGGCCATTGCTAATAATACCTAAGGTATGCATCAGAAGTGGACGTTGACTTCGTGCGCAAAGCTGTCCGTTCCGTCGGTCGTCTGGCTATCAAAGTCGAAGCAGCGGCAGACGCGTGCATTCGTTCTCTCCTTAGCGTCATCGACACCAAGGTGAACTACGTAGTCCAAGAGGCTGTGATCGTCATCAAGGATATTTTTAGACGCTATCCGGGCAAATACGAAGGCATCATTCCCACCTTGTGCGAGAATTTGGACGTCCTCGACGAGCCTGAAGCCAAAGCTGCTATGATATGGATCATTGGACAATTTGCAAATCGAATCGATAATGCTGACGAGCTGATGGACGATCTGACATACAACTTCCTCGAGGAGCCAGTCGAGGTCAGTCGTACTTTTCTCATCGAGACGATCAGGTGTTAACTGGCCAGTTCTCAGGTTCAATTAGCACTGATCACAGCGGCAGTCAAACTCTTTATTTACAAGTCATCCTCAGATACAGTGAAAGCGCTCGTACACAAAGTTTTGAAATGGACGACTGAGGAGATTGACAACCCTGACCTTCGAGATCGTGGATTCATGTACTGGCGCCTGCTTGCCATCAATCCTGCGGTCGCGGGAGAAATCGTCTTGGCCGAAAAGCCCGCGATTACGACAGATTCTGACCGGATGGACCGCGGAGCTCTTGACCAGCTCTTGCTTCACACGGGCACTCTGGGCAGTATATATCACAAGAACCCTGAGGTTTGCCATACGATTATATCCTGTCTATCCCCACTCATTATGTTTCTCATAATATCCATTTAGACCTTTATCCGAGGCGCGGCGGGCAAGGCTTTGACTGACAGTCCTGCGCTCAATGAACATTCAAGACAGGTCCTCGTTACCGTGCAACGGGCACGCCTCCCGGCAGGTCCTATAGTCGTACAGGGCCCGGGACCAATAGAGCCCCAGAAGCAGTCAGCATCATCGTCTGTGCTCGTCGATACTTCCAAGCCTCCTCCGCCATTACCGACTGAGTCGAATGATCTACTCGATGTGGATGCCAGTAGCGAAGGAGACGGCGAGGGCGAGGAGGCAGGGCTGCGGAGCGGGGTCTCAGAACCTCCAACAGGTCCTGCAGATCCGTATGCCAGTCTGGATAGCGCGTTTGGAGGCTACGTCGCAGACGGCCCAAAGCCGATGTCGAGTAGGCAGGAGGACGATCTGTTGTTCTGATAAACACTCATGATGCTTTCGAAATTATTGTACTAAATTCCTTTCATCGATACATGGAGATATAAGATACCAATACATGTAAAACATCGGAACCTCCGGAGCGAACATGTCGAGCTAAATCAGTGTCATGGGAGGAGATTCTTGATCGGGCTGGTGACTCGATGTAGTCCGCCCTTTGGTCTCAGTGAGTTGTAGTGCTGTCACCATCGTCCATGAGATGTAGATTGTTGATTCATGAAAAGCAGGACTCACCTCCCCCAAACCATACATTCGGCGATGGTAGCTGACGCGAACAGCCTTTTGATCCTTTAAATTATCTGTTCTGGGTGCGCCGGTGGGATCGTGTACTACGACAGGGGGAGAACCGCCCTGCACAACGTGTATTGGTATTCCATACGCCTTGCTCAACGCCAGAATTTCAGGCTCGCCTCCCCACGTAGCCGTATCTCGTATTGTTGCGCAGTACGCCTCAAACTCTCGAGGTCCCATTATGCCTGCCTGGCTTGTGCCTAAACCATCTTCTCCTAGAACAGAGGGAAGAAATGGAAGAAAGTCGTTGGGATGGGTGTAGATGTAATTCGCAGCGGCTTCCCGAATGATGGCAAAATTCGCCTGGGCGGGTGGGATGACACCCAGAAGTGATAACTGATCGGATATAGCTGCGTACAAGCAATGCCCATCTGGGTTGATCTGCGCATATATTTAGCACAGATCATGACACTGGATGCATCCATACCTCGTGCATCTCGACACCGAGTTCATTACAAGTTCGAGTGATTGATTTCTCCTCTTCTTTCGTTTCACGCTCCAGCCGAGCGTCAGCATCTTTGTCGACAGGTGTCTGCTGCTGGGCCAAAGCTGCTGCTTTCCTAGCCTGTAAATTTCTGTCAGGCTCAATTTCTTCAGTACAACAGCTAAGTGAAAAGAACACCCTCACCTGTCGCTCTTTGAAACGATCCCTGCTAGAGTTCTTCTTGTTGGAATCTTCGTTGGCTATTTGGCTGATCTGCATCTCGTTGAGCACGGCCGCAGATTCTTGCTGCACAGTTTTGTCCTGAGAATCAAGCTGTGCAAGGAGATCGTCCATGAGCTGTTCGTTGTCGGCATCATCGAGAGGCGCTATTGGGGGCGTTGGTATGTTTTTCTTGGATTTATTCTTCCTGGACCCCATGGTGAATATATGAAGGTTGGTGGCGAGTGGAAGGGACGAAAGGCTTCAGCGACGTCATTATATACGAAAGTCACATGCGAGTTGCACAGATGACCGTGTCAACGGATGGCCGCTTTTGCGTTTCGAATTGTTCCCTCACCAGCAGCGCTGTCGGGCTCGCATAACTCGCCTCGGGCTCTGCCCGATGCCCTGACCCAGCCAGTAATGTTTCTTACGAACCACGAGACAAATGATCAGATTCAACGTGGTACTTAAGAGGGGGTGGGCGCACAGTTTCCCCAGGGTTTCTAGCGTCTCTGTCGCACCTATTATGCCTTCCAGAGTTCCTCTATTATTTGTGAGCGCCCGGGCTATATTCACGCTATCTTGTCACTCATACCTATGATCGCTCTCCTTGCAGGGCTCTGCTGTGTTCGGCGATGAGGGACGGACACCTGTTCGCGTAACCGATACCAAGGACGCCCAAGTACTCTTAGACCTGTTCTTCAAGAATAGACATACGGAAATTGATTCCGCTAGGCTTTACGGTGACGGAACAACGGAAGTTGTATGCCTCTCATTTATCTGATTCCCTTGTCCTGCTCGAATGGTTACACAACCTACGTAGATGCTAGGCAAACTCGACTTGAGAGGTGCCGTCGTCGACACGAAGTGCGCTTGAGTTTATCAGAATCTCCCTCAGTGATGTGAACTTACACTTGGCAACTAGGATAAATCCATCGAATCCTGGTGATCATTCTCCTGAGAAGCTTCGTGCCACATTGGACATCTCTATCAAGGCGCTGCATCCTCACAAGATTCGCATCCTTTACCTCCACGCACCCGACAGAAGTGTTCCATTCACAGACACTCTGCGCGAGATCAACGCACTTCACAAAGAAGGCAAATTGTACACGATGTCTCTCAATTACACGGCGCCCTACTGACATGTGTACTAGTGAAGCCTTTGGGTTAAGCAACTTTCCTGCTTGGGAAGTCAGTCATTCACAGCCATGTTCAGAGAAGTTGTTTGACATTCATGTACTAGGTCGTTGAGGTCATACACATATGTAAGGCCAACGGGTGGCTGGAGCCTACTGTTTACCAAGGGTAAGTTCATAAGCTGTCTATGGGAATCGATATCTGATGACAGCTATGATGTAGACCATACAATGCAATCACTCGTACTATAGAGCCGGAGCTCATTCCCTGCGCTCGGAAATTTGGCCTGAGGCTCATCGCGTATAACCCTCTTGCGTAAGGCATCTCGATTTTCTGAGACCAACGTCCTTAACATTTTTTTTTGTGACAGGGGAGGATTTTTCACAGGCAGAATTAATTCGCGTGAAGATAAACTCGATGACAAGGATACCTTTAATCCGGCAAACGGCTGGTTAGGCCCTATCTTACGCAAGAGATATCTGAAAGATGGTCAATTGGAAGCGTTGAAGGTCGTGCAAGCCGCGGCTGTATGTTTTGTTCCAAATCGTTCTGTGTCCTTGGCTTATGCAGGTCTCCCAGGAGAAACACAACATCACCATTCCTGAAATTGGACATCGCTGGCTGCAGCATCATTCTCTCCTTTCACCGGGAGATGGTATCGTGATCGGAGGCAGTTCTGTTGCGCACATTCAACAGAACATAGAGAATGCGGCGAAAGGGCCTCTTCCAGATGAGGTGGTAGAAGCGCTGGATGTCGCAAACAAGATTGTTGGGGCAGATGCACCTCCTTATTGTCGTTGAAAGAGCGTTTTTGTACTTACAGTCCTGTCTGTATTTGTGTTCGTATGAGTGTTGTTGGACACGGACAAATTCGAATGAAATGAAAGGGAGACGCCGCTAAGAGATTATGCAAATAAGATGACGATGGCGAGACGCTTTAGTGGCCCTGTGCGATTCTCTACAAACAGCTAGAAACAGCTCTTGTTCGTTGATCACTCTCGTACTACCTCAACTTTTCAAACCTATTAGCTTGTACCTTACTTCTCCTCCAATTTCAGGACTATACCTCTCCGTCATGGATACCCTCGGACTACACTACACTACTCAAGCCTCCAAACTCGACGAACTTTCGTCCAAACTTGCGTCCCAAGAAGGCAAGGATGAATGGCAGCAGGTTGAGATCTCTGCCCAAGCTTTGGCGAACGGCCTTCGCGTGAGGAGCGAAGATGGTCAGTCCCTACAGTCAGCTCTTCTTCCGCGAGCCCGACGAGACCCCATTCTTTCTGATCAGTCGACACTCACACCATCTTGGGCAAGACGCAACTTCCGCGGACGCTCGCTCGCATACTGCAGTTAGCGGGTGATAGCGAGATACCCAGTGCCTCCCGTGCACCAGCCGTTCTTGAGATCCTTCGTGTTGCCGCCAATCTGTGTCTGGACCACGGTGAGTCTCCCCCTCCCCTGGTGCGATCATACCAGCGTGAATAAATGTATCTATTTGCAGACGAAAATAGAGGACACCTCCTTGATGCCGAGTTCCCCCAATCAGTAGTTGCTCTCCTCGTCTCGTACGAGAAAATTATTCCTGCAGACCGCAAAACGGGACTCCTTCCTATGACTGTCCCTCATCTGAAAGTCGTGAAAACAGCCATAGGAGTCTTACTGAATGCTTGTATCGGATATGGTCTGTCCTCTCTCGGAACTTCATCACTACAATCGACCACTCACTACCTTTTTGACAGAGGCTGTGAAGTCTCTTTTGATCGACTTACAAGCAGCTGTTACGATCCTTGGGCTAGCGACTGCGATATACCCTGTTGGATCTTGGATCACCGCAGTGCCACGAAGCCTCTATCCAGACATTGAACCCGATCCAACCAGCGAGGACATCACAGAGTCATGGACACTAAGGAGCGACCTTTCGAATTGGGCCTGGCGCATCATCTCCGAGTTGAAAGCCGATGGTGAGATCACCTCACGAGTCCATTTTTTCCGAGACTGATTACTTTATCATAGCGCTAGATTTGTTCGATCCTGAAGATCTGTCGCTTTTCATACTCCCGCTTGCGGCATATAGCCCTCCGTTCCCGTCCCCTTCAGGACAATTCGAACACGACAGTCCCCTCCGACGCGCACTCGTTCAGACAGACTTCAATGTTTTCGAAGAGTCATGTTCACTTTTAGAGTCAATGGCGATAGATGTGGAAGATGTGCGCTTAGCGTTGGCGCGCGGAATGTCATCCCCTGACGAGCACGATGGCGTCAACTGTTTGATGGAAATCTATAAATTCGTGGAAGACGGCGACTATCATCCGCTCTGGCCTAGCGATTCTCCTGGCGAGCGGGCACGGAAGGTGAAGGCTTTCGATCACTGCAAGGCTGCACTCATCAAGGTCGTGGTCGAGGTTGCCGGCGAAGAAAAGAATATCGATGTTCTATGGGATGATTCAGACAACGCGGCGCCGGGTGGTCCCTTCGTGTCGCAAATGGTACATTGGATCAAATCGCAGGAACAGCTGAAGGAAGAAGATCGCGACGATCTTCTCGTATGCGCGACCCTCAGTCTAGGGAATCTGATGAGATACGGTAAGCGTTATACCTTGTCATCCGCTCAATTTAAGTTACAATCATATCCGCCCTGTAGAGGTTCACGCAGCAGCGATTGTTGAAGAGCCAATCGCCCTTGGACCGTATCTAGCTGCAATGCTGGAACCAGAAACCGATATGAAAGTCAAACATGGGGTCATCGGCCTTCTCCGACACCTGGCGTATGCCTCCAAAGCTCGAGAGCCATTAGGCAAAGTTGGGATCATCGGTCGACTAATCGCATCTAACATCTTTAAGGAGAATTCTGCTATCGCGGGGTTGGTTCAGGTGAACGCGATAGGCATCGCAAAACACCTCTGCAGTAGCAATGGTGATCCACGCATGCTTTTTCTTTCCAACGGTGTATTGATAGCTTGTTGGTTCATCAGCTGTTGTTTCATCAGCCGAGAACTGCTACGCTCTGTTGTTCTCATCACGAGGTCAAGATTCCGAGCCAAGCGGTCTTGAACAGATTCTGGATTTAGTTAGACGGTCTGATGACGTTCCTATCAAGAGTGAGGGAACACGAGTGTTTGTGAACGTCATCCGGACATTATGGTCGAAAGCTACTCCGGATGACGAGCGAAAGACGAAGGGCATGGTCGCTATCACGAGTGCGCCTGTTGCATTGGCTCTGGCTCAACTCATTGGGCGAAGCAAAAAATATCCTAGTCTAGTCAACGAAGGCATAGTCGCGCTCACATTGCTGACCCTCTACGGGAAAGGAGGTTCGTTTTCAGCTGTATTCCCATGCGCCTCTGGCATTTATTATGCTTCCACAGCCGACTACGTGCTTGATGCCATCACTTCACCCTTACCACAGGAAGCGCAAATAAATGCGGATGGGCCCTCCACGGAGGCAAATGATCTCACTTCCCCAGTGACCACTCCAAGACGAGCATTAGATATGATCATGGCCATCTTCACCTCCCCCAGCAAGCGGTTCCCAGAGGAGATGCGTGCCAACATATGTGTTCTTCTGGGCCATATTGGTCGGCCAGGTGCCGTCACAGAGGATCGAGTGATAGAGCTTAAGAAGTTGAAGGAGGAAGTTAGGCCTAAGCTGGAGGATGCTAAAAACATCGAGCAGCAGTCCAAGCTACAGCAGTCATCCTTAAAGGCGCTGCAGCTATGGAGCTAGACCGTTCGGGATATAATGTCAAGATCAGCGACATAAGGGTATTTATTCTCGTTGTATTGTGTTAGTTGTGACTATAGTAGTACCTGTATCTTGAGTTGTGTCATCTTTTAGAATATTCTGTAGCTCCTTGGTCCTTGTGGCGATGTTGTGAACGAGGTCGTGCAAAATCCGCCCGAGGGTGTTACGAGTCCTTCCCGAGCGCGTGACGCTGACCCCGCTCGTGTCCGGGGAACTATCGACTTGCCCACCTTCGCCTTGTCCCTGAAGTATCCTCGTGATCAACGTGTCCGGTCTTTCTGAACCGGGGTAGCCATGCTGTGAACTCGTAGCCTATAAAAGACTCCCGAACCGACCCCAGACATCTCGAACTACCCCTCGCTGTAAGCCTCTGGAGAATCGGTCTGCGAGGTGAGCAATTCGGATTCACGGAAGCAACTGCGCTAGTAGGTTCAGAAAGGTGTGTAAACTGCTTATTGGCTCCCTCAGGCATTTGAGCTGGCTCGTTTGTCACAAAGCCATCTCAACTTCTATCATGAGCAAAGTCATCGTCGACGTCTCACAAGGAATAGCTACAATCACATTCAACCGTCCAGATACACTCAACGCGATCACGGCAGAAGGTCAGCTTCAGTATAATGAACTGTAGGTCATGGTTGAGAATAAAACCACGCAGATTATGAAGCCTTTGCATCGGCTTTGCGCGACATTGATCAACGTCCTGATGTCCTGGTGACCGTCTGGCAAGGTGTGTGCTAACACAAATTTTCTGGACATGTAAATGGTATCTACATCCATCATCCTAGCAACTGGAAGATGGTTTTGCGCGTATGTCTATCTACTCAAGCTCTTTTTGTGTATTTCTCATCGCGAGGTTTCGACACAGTGGGACCGATGTCAAGGCCTCAAAACTGCCTGCTCCTACACTGCGTCGCCAGTTCTTAACGAGAGTTGCCGACACAAACACTGAAACAAGCCACGCGGTACATGGTAGACTCAATGAATCACACCCACTTTAACTGAATCGAGCATATAGCTGTACACTCACAGCAAGATTTTAGTGGCTGCGTTGAACGGACCAGTCATGGGTGGATTTCTCATTTGATTCTCAATTGAATCCGTCCACTCACACCACTGTCTCGGAGGCAGGCATCGCTGCTGGTATATTTCTTCCTTGAATCTGGTGAATACAGTTTACCGAGACCCAAAGCAGCATTTTTAGGTCACTTTGATTTCATCTACTGTGTACCCAATGCATGGCTATCCGTCCCCTTCACTTTCTTGGGCCTTGTTGCAGAAGGCGGATCCAGTGTCATGTTCATGAAGCGCAGTGAGCTTTTTTCAAGATAATTTTAGCATTCTGACAGAGTAAACATATTAGTGGGAGTTGCGAAAGCCAACGAAGCTCTCATCTGGGGCAAGAAACTGACGGCTGAAGAGCTACTAGCCTGCGGCTTTGTCAAGTACATTTTGGCCATTTAATTTTTTTCTGTCTTTTCTGATTGATTCTTCTATTACAGTCAAATCTTTGCTCAACAGACACCTGAGTCATTTCATGTGGCCGTCCGTAAACACTTGCTGGAACAACTGTCCGGCTTGGAACCAAGTTCCGTGTTGGGCGTGAAGAAGCTGCTGAAAGCCGGTTTAAAGGAGCAAAACGACCCTGACGCCGCCAATATACGGGAAAGTTTCGAACAAGCGAAGCAACTTCATACTGGTATCCCAGCCGATCGGTTTGCCAGGATCGCTAGGAAGGAGATCCGGCACAAGCTGTGAAACTTGTCAGATTGACTCAAAGAATATATCATCCGTATACAGGATCGACACCACAACTATGTTTCCGTGTCTTATGCTCGAATCTCGACTGACATAGCTACCCCGACGCTGCCTGATGCTTGAAAAATATTATGATAGTTTCAGTGGCCGTCATGGATTGTTCTATGTCGGAATTCGTCATATCGAACAGCAGATGTAGGACGGTGTGTCATCTCCATCTCATCAGCAGACGTCAACCTGGTAACAAAGTTCTATTAAGGGAAAGTGCTTACGAGGCAGCCTCAGGTCCAGGATTGGTGGCGCACGCTACTATATAAAGAGCCAAACCGTTTCGCCATGTTCTTCTCAGTATATGTTCAAGCCTTTCCCTCTACTGCTTTCTGCAGCCGCTATCTTGCTTGCGTATCTTTGGTACAATCACACAGTCAACGTTAACGTTGAACTTCCCAGTGAACTGTTAGATATCGCTACAGGAATCCTCTCAGAAGATCATACAAACGAAATGGCCGCCACTCAGATATCAAGGACTGTTATCAAGAAAATCCTAGCAATCGAGACTGAAGAAGCCAGTAACTCTTGCTGCGACAATATTGACCTCAGGCTGATTACCTGGATTTACAGGGCGCTGGAGCGATGGTTCGGCGCTCTATTGGAACCATGACCCTTAGGAATCTTACACCCTTCCTGATGTTGGACCACTTCCATATCTCCAAAGGAGCTGTCAGCTGCCCTCAAATAATCCTTGATAATTTTTTCTCTGATACCATGTCTGCATCAGGGATTCCCCGACCACCCCCACCGCGGCCAAGCAACCATCACCTACATGCTCGAGGGGTAAGGTAGCAATATGCTTTCGACCTATGCGTGACATCTCACGCTTTTCGCAAAGATCGAGTAGACATGAAGACTCCGCTGGACACGCCGGCTTGATCAAGACAGGTGGTGTGCAGTGGATGTGTGCCGTAAGTACTCTGCAATTCAGAATATGATTGGCCTTATAAAGATGCACTTGGGACGCAGGGCCGTGGAAGTAAGCGACTTCATGAATTGAATCGTAGACATGTTTTACAGCGTGAATACAGTTATTCACGCCGAGATGCCGGTAAACGAGCCTGACCAGCCCGAACCTCGTGGCCTTCAGCTCTGGGTCGACCTTCCAGCGAAGGTAGGTTTTTGATCCTAGTTGCTGTGCCCGTAGTTGACTTTACTTTTACTTTACAGTACAAGATGGTGGTATGTACTCGTTCTGGGACTTTCAAAGGCTGTGAACGAATCATAGATTTTGTAGGAACCCACCTACCAAGAATTGGATCCTGAAAAGTCATCCATTCTTTCTTGCTGTGCTTTTGTTGAATCGTCTGATCCATGGTTTTAGCATTCCGAGCGCATATCCTGACGGCCCTGACGGCCCACAGATCAAAGTCATCAGCGGGAAGAGTCACGGGGTAGAATCGCCCGTTCGTCCTCTTGGAGGCTGTTGGTACTTTCATCTCCGGTTCAAAAAGCCTGGGACTGTTTTCCAAGCCGTCCGTAAGGAAATAGCATTTAGCCATACGTCACATGTCTGAATACCCGCCTACACTCATTTAGCGAACGGCTGGACGACCTTCATCTACAGTATGTTCATGCTGGAAGCCTGCCTAACGCGTTAACCCATATTGCTATGTAGCCATCAAGGGAAGTGTCAGCATTGGGTCAAACCCATCAAAGCACAACGCCTACTACACTCTTGTCCTGTCGTCTAGTGAAGATGAAACCGGGGTGAATGTCACTGCCACAGAAGACAACACAGAACTGATCTTGGTGTGTTACATCTTGCTCTTTGACTGTTACTGAGAGGTAATAAAAATCTGCCATGTGCAGATCGCGGGGGAGCCTCTAGACCAGGAAGTCGTTCAATACGGTCCCTTTGTGATGACCTCGAAAGAAGAGATTCAAAAGACGTTTATTGATTGTACGTGAACCATTGAGGCCTCCTCCAGCGCAGCGTCTCCGCATTTCCTAACTTACCTTGTAGATCGAATGGGAACGAATGGATTCGAGAAGGCGCATGTCTGGAAGAGCAAGATTGGTGGCCTATAATTTCAATTTGTATTATTCCCCTCATCGCTCGTCTGTAATTTTGAGCTCCATCTGCGATGCATGGGCCAGTTGGCATAGTCATCGTGGTTGGGGTTCATGATATACATCTCGACAGACGTATGCAGAGAGCTTTAAGTTCAGAGCTACTTTGACCGCGCCTTTTTCAGTTCTCTCCGTTTTGACCGGTCAACTTCAACATCGCTGCCTTCGTCTTGCACGCTCTCCATATCATCCCACACATCGTCTTCCGCCTCGCCGTCGCCGCCCGACTCGTCCAAGGTGTTTGTCTCCATATTGCTACTGTCTCGGTCCCATACTACAACTGTCGGAGTACTCTTCATGAATACTGTGTCCAGAACACCGCCTTTGTGCTCTTGCTGTTGACCGGGTTCTGCGGGGGGGAATGTGCTGTGTATACGAGCATACCGGTCAAGGGCGACCGATGCAAGCACAGTGGGCGAAGGAGCCAGGGAAGTTGCCGTGCCAGATAAGCCTAGGTAGATCGTCAGCAGTGCTCTCAGAGTTTTGATACATATACACAATTACCTTTGTAGCCATACGCAACCCGCCCGTTCCGTAAGTCCAGCGAAAATACGCTGGAGCCTTGGTCTGTAACGAGTGCTTCGCTGCGCAGAATGATCAGGTCCATTCTGAGCTGAGCATTTTGGCAGATGACATACTGTTCATGAAAGCCCTTTTCTACAGCCTTGATGCCTCCAGTCTTCGCCACTTTTTGCCAGTCTGCAACTGGGCGTCGAGAGCTCCGCGTATCATACCGGCGAACATTGCCAAACTGCGTGCCAACAAGTAGATGATGCTGAGAGGCGGACAGCGATGGCATTATGTACGTCAAGCAATTATTGTGTACGGGTTGGCGAAGGCTGAGCGAGTCATTGGCCACCTAAGATAGGAGAGGTGATCAAGGGATTGGGTTGTCATTATGAATTCAGACATACATTTCTTGCCCGCCAGATTTCGCCGGGTAAGAGGCCATCCCGTCGTTTTCGTTTTTGCCCATTGACACTAGCTGTCGCCCCTGGAGGAGTTTTGGAGGCAAATATCTGCTCGACGTCACAAACCGACAACTCAACCTCATCCCCCACGTATGCGAATGTACTTCCGTCCGAAGATAAACGCCAATCGGACAATCGCATGGGTAGTACGGCGGTTTGGGATGTCAGAGATTCATCCTCGATATTAACTGTCCGGCGGAGGGCACCGTTCGAGGTGCAGGAGTAAATCCCTCTGATGTGAGACTGAGCGGACTTCACGAAATTTTGAGCACAAAATAACGTACTGTTGGAAGATGTCCAAGCCGACATAGTTTTGACCAGCCCGTAAGCGGGTTTCTTTCCACTCATGCAGTAATTCAATACTGCTATCTTTCAAGTTGAAGACGGTCGCTGATCCATCAGCGTGCGCTGCTGCTACCTTTCCTTCAACATAAACATTAAAACGTGCAATTAACGGCAAAGTTACGAATTGCATACCACTCTCCCTCGTTCAGATACCGAAGATGCGACGGCGAGCGCCTGGATCGACTTGTTTTTACCGGACCCGCTTCCATCATACAAAGTCTGAACATCCGTTTTGTGTCCATCGACGGAGGTGTATGTGAGAGATTTTATGTTGCCCAACTCATCGCCAGTCAGAAAACGAGCCATGGGGGAAGTCTGAGAAGGCAATTTACTCTAAAAGAAAACAGCCTGACATCACGTGCGGGTCCTTCGAATGACGACGAGCTTCGTGCGAGGCTTGTCTTGCAACAGTTTACCCACTTCCTACGACATTTCCACTCACCCAACATTACCTGGCCAACAAACGATGGACGCAGCGGTGAAGGAGCTCGTCAAGCTCGAGAAACTGACTTCAACATCCTCTTCTCCGAGCAAAGGGAAGTCGCCATCCATAGACAACTCGCTGGACTTCCTCCTCGAAACACTTCATGATCTCAGACAGCATCTTATGGATGGCGTAGCTTCAGAGGAGGAAATTCGGGATCTATGTAAGGTAGTGGATACAAGAAAAAAAGAGATTGACGACCGGCAGAAGGAGGTGTACAACACACTCGCACGATATGGCAAGGCTTTGGACAAGGTCAGTTATGACTCTGGATCCGAGACACTGCTCTATTGACGGAAGGTTCGTCAGCGCTTCACTAACCCCCTGCCCACATACAACCCGTTGTTTGCTAGTTCAGAGGCAGAGAGCGCCCTGGAGCATGTCATCGCTATGCATTTCTTACGAATAGGGCGGTTTTCGACCGCCGAAACCTTCATCGAGGTGAGTTTGAAGCTACTAGATCCAAGTAACTGTCAACATACCTCATTGACGGGACTCAGGAGTTCAACGTGGATATATCGACAGAGCTGCAAGCCCAGTTCATTGATCTGCACCGAATCCTTGTCGCTTTACGAGAGCAGAATATCGATCCTGCCCTAGAGTGCGCATATTGCCAGCTGTTATGACAATTGCGACTAACTTGCCACGTCTGCAGATGGGTCAGGAATAATCGCCCGTTTTTACAATCACGGGCATCATCCCTAGAATTCTATCTCCATCGTTCGAAGTATCTTCGCCTCCTTTCCGCATCACACACGCCGATCCCTACCCATGCAATAGACTACGCCAACAAGTATCTCCGACCGTTTTACGACTCACATCCTGGCGAGTTCCAGCGCCTACTTTCTTGCATAATGTACCTGCAAAAACTTGAAACGTCGCCTTACGCCGATCTGGCTTCACCCACTGTCCACTGCGATCTAGAGCCCATGTTTGCCACTGAATTTAGTGCGTGTTTAGGATTGAGTAAGCAAGTGCCTTTGAAGGTCGTCGGGGACATTGGCGGCGGTGGAGCGCTTGCTAAGATCGAGAAAGGGCGGAAGATTATGAGAGAACGAAAGAGCGAATGGAGTCAAGCTGACGAACTACCCGTGAGTGTACAAAGCGATGACTCTGTGATGTTGGTTGATACTGATTGTGTGCTCTAGATCGAAATACCTTTGCCACCGGAAAATAGATATCACTCTATCTTTGCATGTCCCGTATCCAAGGACCAAGCGACAGAGCAGAACCCACCGATGATGATGACATGTGGACATGTTATATCAAAGGACAGCCTGCAGAAGTTGGGTAAGGGTAACGGGTGGGTATCCGTCAATCTTTCCTTGATAAGCGACAATTTGATCCTTGCTCTACAGGCGGGTCAAATGCCCATATTGCCCTGTCGAATCTGTGACAACTAGCGCATTGCGCGTCATCTTCTGAGTCTTTCCGCAAACTCTGGTCCCTTCTAGCTTCTTAATGAACTTTTAGTTTGTAACATCGAACACAACTACGTGTCTGTTGTACCATACGTCTCCTACTTTTCTCTGTACTATGTAGTGTACGAAATTGTTGCCACAAACGCGTCCACGTGCCTCATGGCTCGACGCGTCTGAGCCGCGGTCCGTCAACAACAGCTTGCCGTGGCAAATTGCCTTTATCATTGTCTCGTCCGCTCAACATATCTTATGCCCCATCCACCATGAAGGCTATGGCATATTTTGCACCCACCCGCGCGTCTACCCCTCCGAGGCCACCCAGCTTTGCTAGTACACCGACTGTCGCTCACCACTCTACTGCTGTTTCGGATCTCTCCCGCTCGTCTGCAGTTTCTACTTCTGAGCTCGCAAGCTTAACCCCAAACGAGATTGAGTTTATTGACGCTGTCATCAGCCGCGCATCACCATCGGCCACCACTTTTCTGTCCATCTTCAAGGCATATAATGACGTACTGCACGAGAGGGGACTAGATCCCCAAAACGAAGTTGTCTATTACGGGAAGCTGCTGAAGTTGGGCACTCTGAAGGGTCAGAATTGGGGGGACAAATGGAATGCGGTCAAACTTCAGCATGGGTACGTAGCGAACTCCACAGCGCCCTCACGGGCAGCGGCCACAGGCAGGACGAGCAGGCCTATTATGAAGCAGAGTCGTCCAGCGCAGGAAGCTGTTACAACCAACGATCCCGCCGCTCGATTGCTCATGCGATTACGGACGCTGCAGCATGGGAACACTCCCAAAGCCCTGGAGACATATCCTCCAGATGATACGGAGATGACGCCTACCGAAGTCACTGACGAGACGGAGCTGGACGTTCATCATCACCATGTCCCTTCTCAACTGCACCGCAGAAGGCAGCCCTCCCCCTCCCAAATGACCGCCACTACCTCGAACTCTGTGGACATTGGCAAAGTTTCGAGTCACCCTACTCCTCAGCCGGTGCCAATCCGGCCTATGCGCCATGTCTCGCGTTGGCCTTCAAGAGACTCAGAAACCATTGATACTGCGGAGTCAATATCAACAACGCCACCATCTTATAAGACAACTGTCCGTGATGTCAAATCTTCCATCGCTGTTCCTAAAGTGGCCCCAGCTCGAGCAAAATCTCAGATCGGAACATATGCTCCTTCCTCAAGGATCGCCCCCGTCGATCCCCCTCGAGCTCAACCGAAACGTGCGAGCGCTATCGACGAAGATAACGCATGGAACAAGATCAAGATGGCTCAAGACGAGAGGGAAGCAGACCTGTTCAGGGAAGAAAGGCTAGTCGAACGGTGTTGGGAGGTTTGGAAACAAGGGCTTGACTGGATCATAGTACGTGCCCTTGCTTTTTGAGTCGTAGGCTGCTCACTGAACTACGTTTACCAGACTACTAGCGAGCAAATTGCACAAGCTCGCGATACGCTCATCCTCAGACTCACCGTGCAAAAATGGCACATGCGTCTGCTAGCTCTTCGAGATCTGGACCAGCGCGTGCAAACCCTTTCTGACAAAAAATGCCTCAAGGCCGCTCTCACCGTTTGGCAAAACAAGCATATACTCAAAAAGCAGGCCATGTGGCGAGATGAGATGAGGAATAAGATGAAGCTCATTCGAGAGAAGAGGGAGAGCAAGTTACAGAAGGACGCATGGGCGAAATGGCGGCAGTTGTACCAATCTCACTTGTCTAGGCAGCATTACACCGAGCGTTTGGTCCTTCGACTCTTCAACCTATGGAAGCAGAAATTGGCTCGGATTGATGGCCTGGAAGGAAAAATCGATGGCTATGTGAAGACAAGAGAGAAGAGCGTCGTTGCAAGGAGCTGGGATATGTGGAGAAGGGCTGCTGATTTGAAGAATCTGGAGGCCGCCCTTGCCGCTCGCGTCTCGACACAAATCGCAAGAGACGCATTGGGTAAATGGAAACAGCAAATGCAAGTCGGTTCTTATTTTGTTGGTTATAGGCTCTAACTCAGATGATTTCCAGGCAAAAGCTCCGTACCGCAGACGCATTCTATGATGTCCTAGTCCAGAAGAGCGCAATGCGACGATGGAAAGCTTCACAAAACCAGATCCGAGTATGTATGCAGCATTACACCCTCGATATATATTGATGACATCTACAGGCCCTGGAAAGACGTGCAGACAAGCACGTTGCTCGTCAAGAGGACGTTCTGGTGCGTGCCGTAGCGAGAGTTTGGAAAGCTCGCGAACGTGGGCAGCTACTGGAGCGAGTCAAGATCACTAGGTCCCTGAAACAAGCTTGGGCGGTCTGGACGAAACAGTTGCAGCGGCAAAAGGAGCTGGAAGGTTTGTGAAATCTGTATCTGCGTTTAATCACGGTCAGCTTATATACCCCTTTATTCGTAGACCAAGCAATTGCGTTTTCTATGCGCACCAACTCTTCTACTGCAGTTTCAGCATTGGCTGTGTGGAAGCAGCGATTGATGAGCCATCACAATTCCGCAGCGTTTGCTGCCCAATATCACACCGCTCAGCTGCAGTTCAGAACAATGTTTACTTGGCGGCTACAACTCAGGGCCATGCTGAAACTTCAGCGACAAGCAAGACTTGCTGAGAAGTTTTTCGTCATGCGAAAAGCTTGGAAGGCGTGGATGCAGAAGCGGGACGAACAGAGACGAGAGAAGATGCTCAAGGAGTATGAGCGGCAGAAGGCAAAGAGGATGTTCCAGGGTACGTGGATGGATGGATGTCGTGTTGGTCGCTTGTGCTCATTCTCGTACAGACTGGTCGCAACTGGCTTTCCGTAGACGACACCATAGACTGGCGGAGGAAGAACTTCGAAGTCGCATCACCACTGTATGTCAACGAGCCATTTGCGGCTCTCATGTCATCTGACAGTGATATGCCTTTAGCGCACTTTGAGTGGAGTCCTTAGCAGATGGACTAATCGCGTCATTGAGATCAAGCTGCGCGAGCTAGAGGTTGCGCAGAGTAATGATAGGGCATTAGTCACGTCTGTTCTTCCCATCTTCTCATTGGTTACCTTCTTGTCTAACAGCACTTGCAGAACCGCATTCAAGAAATGGAAGGGTGTATGCATACGACACGTCGAAGAGCTTAGTCTCATGGAAAGCTACCAAGACGTCAAACGTGAAGGCAAGTTTTCAATCTGTCAACGTATGGCGCCTAGATCGTCATCTGATCATTTTCCTCCTGCTTATAACAGAAAACATGCGACGCATGTTCTACAAATGGCTGGCGGCCGCACGGACAGCTCATAATAGACGTGTAGTCTTGCAAGAAAATGAAAAAGAGATGCAACGTTATCGTCTAGCAGCTGCCTGGGATAAATGGAGAGGGCGCTTCCAGGGTGAACGGCTCCGACCCATTGTGCGTACCTGGACCGTTGAATTCAGGTCATCCCCGTGCTAACACATTCTTTCAAGGAACGAACCTTCCTCTTGCAGAACCAGAATGCCCTTCTGTATCGGACTTTCGTCACATGGCATTCCAAGACCAAGGTAGTTTATTTCCTTGTGATTTATTGCTCCTCAGATCCCCTGACTTCGCCTTGCACAGTCGCTTCCGGCCGTGCGCTTCCATGCAACATACACCAAGGCCAGGTTTTGGAGAGTGTGGCGTGCGGCCATGCCACGCGCGCTACAGGCCAAGGAAGCTCGGGAGAAAGATAAGAAGACTGTTCTTGGTACGTCTTTAACACTGCCATAATTGTGTGTAAGCACTAACGGCGATTCGATTCATGTGCAGCGAAAGCCTTTGAGAAGTGGGTGCAAGCCCATCGGACGAAGATCGCTCTCAGAGCTGTCGCGTGAGTAAACCCCTATTGCTTCATATCCGTGTCCGAATATAACATGAATTGCAGCCGCGCACGATACATGCGTCTCCCTACCGCCGCACCCCGACAGAGCGTACAACCAGCCTTACCTCGTTCCCTCGCACCACCTTCCTCTCGCCCCTCATTCCCACGCAAGCCGGCGCCCGGCACCGACCCAGAAGCTACCGACACTGATGCTGACGCCGATACCGAAGTCGAGGTCCCGCGACCCGCGTCTCCCATACAGCCACGACCGAAACATGTCGGCGCGCGCGCTGGCATTGCCAGCCTTTTGTCTTCACGCGCGCGGACCGGGCGCAATGCTGAGCGGAGCCCCACGCGTCCACGATTTTCAGCCCGAAGCACTGGTGCTCGCGACAGTAGCCCCGGGCGGTCAGTGGGGGCGACGAGGGATCCGAGCCCTACGCGCACAGCGCCGATCTCGGCGTCGGGGGAGCGGGGAAGCCTCTGGACGGAGCTTCGGGAGATCCGGAGGAGGTCACGGACACCTACAGTGAGGGGTCGTTCCCCCAGTCCTCTGAGCCCATGAATTCGTGTATAGTGGCGCGTGCTCCGATCGTTAGCAGTGTGGATACGAGAGTCAGGATCTTATTTATCTCTCGATAACTTATTGGCTATTGTACTGAGTTTGGTTGCTGTCTGTTTTCCTAGACGTGGCCCTAACCCCAATTGTTACATTTGTCTCTGGTATCTACGGCTTTCACTTCACCGTGCTATTGTGTACCAACGGGGGTGGTATATACCTACTAATCAAGAGAGTCTATCTTGATGATTGCGCTGAGTGGAAGGCATGCAAACGCGTCTGCTGATACCTTTCCGTCGTCCACCGAAGACATATGCTCGACGTCACTAAGTTCAAAATTCGATGATGAGCTTGTAGGAGGTGCAAGGAAAGACATACCACCAGCCGCTACCAGCTATGTCGAGGTTATGGACGATTCGAGTAAAGCTCAGCTGCATAGATCCATACGACGAGCAAGAGCGCTTACCACCAAGGCTTCACGAGTTCATGAAGAACTGCCACCCCACCCAGTTCGCAATCGCGAAATAGGACGTCGTGGGGATGATCAGCAGCGCGAAGTACTTGTAATGCGTATCCCGTCGCAGCGCGTCCAGGAGCTGCCGGTCCGGGGATCGTCGGCATCAGTAAAACGGGCGCGCGGTGGACCGGAAGGGAAGGGCTCTGTGTGGAAGTGGAGTCTGAGTCTGAGTGAATCGACATACCCAGATGCCGGGCTGCGGGAGCAGGGCGCTGAGGAGCACGGCGTAGGCGCCGATGGCGAGAAACGCCACCGCGGACGCTATGAAGAGGTAGCCTGTTCGCGCGGAGGGCAGCGTCCCAGCCATGTGCTGCGTGCGCTGTCGATGACGTGTGTGTCTAGACTCTACAGGCGAGGCAACCTGGTGCTGGGCAGTCCGGGATAGCCGTGGAGAACGCCGTCGTCGACGTCAAAGAGCGTTGCACTTCTACTGCGTGGTGGATTCGGCGATGTAAGTAGGAGACGAGTCGCGTTCAGGCCGTGCTCCGGGGTTCCCGCAGGTCCCCGCGTCACGAGTTCACCTCACCTGAGCACGCAATTCAATCCGGTGCTTGAATGTCTCAGAAAACAAGGCAGAAACCGCACAGAGTTGTAGGTCTTGATAGCTTGATAGAGCAGCCAGAAAGCAGAATCCATTACATTTCGAAGTCTTTCAAAAATGTGGATCCCGGTTGTCTCGACCCCGGGCGCGTCGCAATGGAGGGTTCGGGCACTGCCCGATGTGCCGCCTTGACCGCTAAGCCAGGCAAGCATAGAATACATTAACGCCCACGCCGCTCATGGCGCCATAAGGTCCACGAAACACGGAAAAAGATAAATGCCATTGCAGACACTATGTAGCGTACATTAACAGGAATCTGTCATGACCAGACGAGTGTAGGCATGCAACGTCCGGCCGATGATAGAGGTGCCCCTACTCGGCCGTACGAACACAAGATATAGCGGTGACCAACGAACAAGAACAAATCAAGCACTGGAGAAGAACGAAATCGAGCACTAGCGACCGCGAGTCGTGACAAGCGTAAGCAGATGGAAACCCATGGTACAGAGAGGGAAGAGAGGGAGCTAAGCAAGAACAGAGGGGAGGTAGGGAATGAGAGGGCATGGTGAATCCTGGTGATACAGTACATACAACAACAACAACGAGTCCGAGAGCTCATGTATACCCAGGCCGATACAACGAGAAAGATGACCGCATAGTGGAGACAGAAGCAAGAACGACGAGAGAGAATGGGCGGAGGAGTACACGATATACAGAGCTGTTGTTACAAGATCAAGAATATAAGCGGCTGTCGTCCGCGGACCGTGGCGCATGTCCATCAACAATCATATCCGGGGCATCATATCGTGCCCGTTCGGGCGCGCTTGCGGGGTGGGCCGTCCGTCTCCGAACGCGAGTCGGAGACAGGGAACGAGTCGACGCGTGCACCGCCTGCGTCCTCAGAGAGGCGGCGCCGCTTGAGGACCATGGTCTGCGACACACACGGGGGCGTCGCCGCGCGCGAAGCAGACACACAGAACAGGACGCGGCGTTGATCGGCCCTGTTCGGGCTAGCGTCCTGCCCGCCGGCGCCGGCGCCGCCCAAAACGACGCCACCGTCAAAGTTGGGCTCGGTCTTGGCCGCGTAGAGTGCCGGCATGGCGCTCTCCCCGCTGGGAGAGGTACAGTCACTCTCCCTGCGCTTCCGCTTCTTCTTGGCCGGGCTCGTGGTCGCTGAGTCGACGGCAGAGGCGGGAGGGGGAGCCTCATGGGTGTACATCTGTGTCTGGAACGTCGGCGTGTAGACCGCCGCGGCGGCGGGCGGGGCCTCGCGGTCGCCGCCGGGTGCACCAAAGGGGTCAAGGCTTGCATGTTTGCCGCGGAGGAAGGGCGAGGCGCCCGTGCGTCGTTTGACGTCGTCGATAAGCTGGTCGAGGCCCTTGCCCGTTACGGTAGGCTCAGGCAGGTCGTGAAGCGTCGTCGGAGGGGAGATGCTCGCGCCGGAACTGCTGGAGGAGAGCGGCGTGAGGGGAGAGGGCGGGGAGGAGGGAGAGGGGCAGGTGAGGGGTTGTGGCCAAGACTGCGCTTGCGAGGCGACAACAGACGGGTGCAGGCGGCGTTCAAGAGCCACGGCGACCTCGTGCAGGCGAGTGTCATGCTGCGCGAGGACCGAGACAGCCTCTGCACGCCGAGCCCAGTAGGAGAACTGAGTATTAGACCAGCCAGAGAGGGAGAGAATGGTCGCGCGGGTGAGAACAACGTAGCCTGTGGGCGAGCGGTCGTATGCATGCGTAAGCGACTTGAACGGATTGTAGGGATGTCTGTTGCAGCGAAGCGTTAGTCAGAAAGAGCCATCGGAGGACGAGGGCGACATGGGCGCCTACGGGACATAGACCCTCAGGACCTCCTTGACAACCTCGACCTTGACGAGGAACTCGATGGCGGAAGCGCCGCTGTTGCGGGGCTCGTGCTCGGCTGGGGATTTCTTGCCCCGGGTGCGCGCCTTGGACCCGCCAAGGCGGCGCTCGTAGAGTCGAGCGGAGAAGATATTCCATTTTTCGTCGCCGATCTGGTCCTGCAGAAAAGCGGCAGCAAAGGGATCTGTCTCGGCCGGCTGGGATGCTTTGGGGCGTTTGGGAAAAGTGTGCGTCTGAAAGATGGGTTGGTACGAGCAGAGGGATGGTATGGTAGGTATGGATACGTACGGAGGAGTCGAAGCTGAGCATGTGGTCCTCCTGGGCGGAAGGATGGAGGACGGCCTGGAGGGGTTCATGTTTGGGAGAAAGGGGGCTGAGGTGCATAGATCCCGCAGCGGGAAACTCGTGGGGGAGACGGGCGTCTATGGGCGACAGGCTGGGGCTCATGTCGAAATGGCCACTACTGACGAAACTACCTGAGATCGAGACTGGGGAACGCAGTTCTTCGTGGTGGAGGTCCTGTGGGTGCATTTGTGGGTGATGTACATTGTCGGACGGGTGGGAGAGGAGGGATGCGGACATCTGCATATCTAGGATCCGTTGTATATCGTCTGGGGGGGCATATTGATAATTGGGCAGCGAGGAGAGGGAAGGCAAGGGGGCGAGGTGAAGATTTGCGGGGGCAGTGGGCGCATAAGTGTAGTACGGGTCTGGTGCGGAGAGGGGCGAGGATAATTGGAGGGATGTGGGGAGATGTTGAGGGTGGATATGTGGTTGGGACTGATAGGAATGTGGCTGAGGCTGGAGGTCGGCTATGTGGTCGTGGATGGGGTCGGAGAGGAGAGAGCGCCAGTCGAATGTGTTTTGGGAGATGTTGTGGGGAGCGTAGAGGGAGGGGGCAGTGATGGAGCGCATGGGGGGCGGGGCGCGCGTCGGGGAGGAGGAGGAGGAGGAGGGCTGATATCACTCCAAGGCGGGCTGCGCCTCTAACCGGGCGGCCGGGTTTCCCTATTCGAACTCGCTCTGCCGCGTCGGCCAGCGTGCGTCTTCACCGTTCGCGCCGTCGAGCGTCGTAGCGAGTGCTGGGGTGTGTGTTGCTGCCGCACTCGTCGTCGCTGCCGTCGTCCTCGTCGTGGTCGTCTTGGTAGTTGCTCAGAAGCTGAGCGGACGGCAGCGAAGCGAGCAACTCGATGTCCATATACGGCAATCGTCCCGGTTACCAATCTATCGTCTGCGTCTTAGCGTCAACTCCCTCCACACATCCAAGTCCTCCTCGCTCTAGGACAAGCCCACTCTCCTTTCGCCCCCTTCCTCAAAATCATGTCCACCGACAAAGTAGATCTCCCCCACGACCGTTCCCACGTAGAGTGCGTGCAATCCCCGTGTCTGCGCTGCGACGCTGACGTGACATGCCCGTCCCCGCTAGGGCATCGCCGTCCCACCAGAAATACGCATCATCGTCGACTCTGGCCGACGACCAGGCAGAAACGTCGTCCTTGCCGCCTCTCCCGGAAATCCCAGCGCCAGATCTGGACCTGTCGCTTTCGCTCGAATCCATCATCGGCCAATCCTTTCCGACGTAAGTCTTCCCGTCCAGATCTGACCACCCCCTCTCTCCGCTCGAGGCCCGCGCGAACATGCTCAGGGAGGCACGCGGATGGTAACGACGCCCGCAGATCCGACAAGGTCTCCAAGCGCGCGAGCAACGTGCTGAAGCTGTCCGAGGAGAACGAGAAGCTCAAGCAGGAGCTCCGCGCCATGTCCGAGCGTCTCGAGGCGGCGGAGCGCCGTCGCGTAGAACTCGATCGCCGTGCGCGTGAGAAGAAGGCGGCGGCGGCGGCAGCAGCAGCAGCAACAACAACAACGGCAGCAACAACGGGGTCGAACGCGACCGCGGCCACGTCGTGATGCGGCGAGGACTGGAGAGACAGACGGCGCAGACGTTCAGTATTCAACCACCACAATCACTACGCGATCCGGACGGAAGAGTATGGCAATGGAACGTTCGATTCGGCGAGATGCACGACCTATTTAACTGTTGTCCATTGCTCATGGCCTAGTATACCCAACCTTTCTTCGTTCCCTCCTCCACCATTTGTGTTGCGTCCGATTGCAGAGGTCCCCCAGAAATAATAAATGTATCCATTCACGCGTTTATCCCCCATTTGCGTCCGCGCGGTGACGTATTTGGACACACGATAGCCGGATCGGGCCAGTGCTTGGGGTTATCACCACGCCTCCAGTCCTCTCCACCGCTCTCTCATCTGCTCCTCATCTGCCCCCCGCACACATATACAAGCCCTCTCTCTCCCTTTCCATCCCCATCGCACCCCATCGCACCTCCATCCAGCCTCGACTCACTTAGCTCTCGTTTGCAAGTAATTTTCACACAACGCCCCGCCCATGTAGCTAGAGATCGAACACACGAGCTGACGCGGGCTTTTTCGCATTCGTTTTCAGGATATCTTGACTATGCAGAACTTCCCTGCTAACCGCAGGCCCTCGGGGCGTCGCCCGTCCGATAGGCGGCCTTCTGAGATCTCTTCGAGGCGTCCGTCTATCGATCCGTCCCGATTGATTCCTATGGACAAGTACGTGTTCATTTCGCTGCGTCCCAATGCATCCTTGGCCTTTTGGGGTCCACCTTCTCTGTGTCTTGTTACACGATGCTCCATATAATGGTTGAGCATCGTTGGGTTTCCGTTGTGCAAAGAGCCCGACAAGACATGTTTCAGCGCTCCACCCCGCCAGCCCAACCCGTTGCTGACACGATCGGGTCGCCAACAGGGCCCATCATGTTCAAGGCAGTGACGACTTCAACGTCGTCTTCGTAGGCGCCGGTAATATTATGTTTGGTGCGTGACGCCCGATCAACCAGACTTGGAGCTTGGCCCGTCATGGGCCGTGCTGACAGCCGCTGTCTCAACCAGGCTCGGACGAAGGTCCATGGAACCATTCCTTCCGTCTCGAGCAGTAAGCACCTTCCGCCTCCTCCGCCTCCTCGCCCCGCCCTCACCCCTGTTCCCACCTCCCAGCAAGCTCGGCCCGCGCCTCAAGGTCGTCGCGCTCATCGACCCCGCGATCGATCGCGCGACGTCGGTGCTGCAAAAGAAGTGCGAGACGTTCGTGCGCTCCGCGTACGAGAACACGCGCGTGTTCCGCACCCTCGAGGACTTCGTCAAGAACATGCAGCCGCGCGACCGCCCGCGCGCGGTGATTGTCGGCTCGCCGCCGATGTTCCGCGGCACGACGCAGCCGGGGCGCGACATCGAGCTCCAGATCATGCGCTACTTCCCCGGCGTCGCGATGTTCATCGAGAAGCCGATCGCGACTGGCCCAGAGGGCGAGATTGCGGAGGCGTTCAAGGTGTCCCAGCAGATCGACGGAAGCGGGACCATCTGCTCGGTCGGGTGCGTATCTCGTCGAGGCGTGTGCGGTGAGAGACTCACGTGCCATCGGGGCGCAGGTACATGCTGCGGTACTTGAAGGCCGTGCAGATGATCAAGCGCATCATCGAGGACAACAACCTCTCGGTCATGTCCACCATCGCGCGCTACGCTTGCGCCTACGAGGCGATCGCCAAGCCCGACTGGTGGGACAAGTCGAAGAGGTGCGCATGCGCCTCGCCTTTAAGTCAATGGTAATTAAAAGCGTTCGTTCCTGCAGCGCGGGCCCCGTCGTCGAGCAGGGGACGCACTTCTGCGACCTCTCGCGCTACTTTGGGGGCGAGGTCGACATCTCGTCCGTCGTCGCACACTCGCTCGAGTGGCACGAGAACGCGGGGCAGCTGACCAAGATCGCGTTCGACGAGAGCGCGATCCCGCCCGAGAACAGGATCCCGCGCGTCACGTCGGCGACCTGGTACGTCCGCTGCCCGCGTCGAAGTTGATCGAGTGACGTTGCTGAGCGGCGTGCGCGGCAATGGCAGGAAATACGAGAGCGGGGCGGTCGGAAGCTTCATGCACGTCGTCGCGCTGCAGGGACACAACTACAGCTGCGAGCTCGAGGTTTACGCCGACGGGTACCAGTTCAAGTGCGCCCTGATCTGCTTCGCTCGACTGCCGACCGGCACTGACTGACTGACCGACGTCTCTCTTCTTTGCGTCGCGGACGTTGGCGGACGACAGGCTGGTGGACCCGTACGTGCAGCCGACGCTGTACATCCGGCGCCCGGGCTCTGACCTGGACGAGACGCACCGGTTCCCCGACGACGACCCGTTCTTCTCCGAGGTGTCGAACCTGATCGACGTGATCGAGGACATCGAGGAGGACCCTGAGAGCGCGACGATCCTGTCGTCGTTTGACGGTGCGTGCGCGCTGCGCGGTCTCTCTCGCTCCTCCGTCGCGCGTGTGGCTGATCGATCGTTCGTGTGTCAGACGCGTGCAAGACGTACGAGCTCACGTGGGCGATCCGCAAGGCGAGCGAGGAGTCGAGGAAGAAGAAGCAGTCGCAGCCGGCGGCTTGAGCGTACGGCGGGATCGACGGGACGAAAAATGCATGCATAAACGAACCGAGAACGAGCCAAGCAGGAGGGATTTGTCCAGTTGTTTGTTGTTGTCTTTGTTGTTGTACTACCCAAAGTTCACGCTGGAAGTGCGACATCGCGCACGATAGACTAGAGCCCGTGGAGAAGTATTTACATCGAAGCGAGAGGTGCAGGTTAAACATAAGCAGGGCATGCATACAAGGCATGCGCAGTAAGTACGACGGCGAGATGTCCGTGATCGTACGGGGAGATATATATGCTAGTCGGGTCTGAGTCCGAAGCCAAGGGGCCGTCAATCGATGTCCATGGCGTTCTGGCTGGGCTGACGATCCAAATGGCACCTCTTTGGCTGGCGATCGTCGAGCTCGCCGCCGTCATCGTCGTCTGGACCGACCTGGCGCTTGCGCTTCTGTGCCGAAGGTACCGCGGAAGCGGCACTGGGAGTAGTAGCAGTGGCAATGGCGGCGTCGGCGGTGGCGGTGGCGGTGGCGGTGGCGAGCTGGAGGGAGCGCTTCTGCTGCTGCTGGGCGTGGTGGTCGAGGTGCCATTTCGTGCGCGCGCGGAGCTGCTCCCACTCGTGGAGGAGGTGTGCCTTGAGGGCGGGGATGTTCTTTTGGGGCGCGCCGCAGTGGAAGCAGAGGAGGTCCTGCTTGAGGCGGGGCTCGTACTGGGCCTTGTTGAATTTGGAGAACTGCGTGCAGAAGAGGTGTGTGAGCGCGGGGGTGGGGTGGGCAGGAAGGTGGTGAGAACGGGAACGGGGGCACGCACGGAGTCGTAGTAGGAGGGGGTGGCGTCGAAGAGGGAGAGGACGTGGTCGAGGGGGAGGAAGAAGCCTGCGGTCGGGTGGAAGGAGTTGTAGTGCTTCTTGGTCTTGAGGGCGGGCCCGCAGAGGTCGGCGGAGATGACGTGGAGGTGGAGGTGCCTGCGGGGTGGGTCACGGGGACGGGGACGGGATCGGCGGGGGTACACACGAGGAGGAGGGAGGGAGGGAGGGACGCACTCCATGGAGGGGGCGGCGTGGAAGCCGATCCAGGTGTCCCAGCGGAAGCCGTAGCGGGCGAGCATCTCCGCCTCGATGTGGTCGCGGAGGCGGAGGGCCTCTTGGCGGAGGGCGAGGAGGGTCGCGCGGGCGCTGGCGGGGTCCGTGCGGAGGAGGGAGCGGAGGCTGGCGAGGTCGAGGACGGAGGGGCCGGAGGGGGCCGGGGAGGGGCGCGGGAGGACGAGGAAGTGGAAGAGCGACTTGGGGAAGGTGTCGAAGACGGTGAGCGTCGCCTGCGTGTGCGAGAAGTAGACCGAGGGCGGCAGCTTCGCCGGCTCGGCGCGCACCGCGTACGTCCGCAGCGCAGCCAGGTGCGACATCGGGGTGGAGGTGGTCCCGTGGCCCGTGACCCGTGGCCGACGCGAGAGGCATGTGACGACACTCGCTGCGTCACGTGTGTGTGCCGCCCCCGTGAGTCTGCCTCGGGCGCGGCTGCGGGCTGACGAGTCTTGGTTCGACGATGCACGATCCACCGCCGCCGTCGTCCGCCGTCGTCCCCGAGGACGACGCAAAGTACCGGCTCATATACGCAAAGTCAAAGGTGTACGTAAACCCCACCGCCTATGCCCGCGACAACATCCCTGGCTTCGCCGCCATCGTCAGGAAGGTGCGTCCCCGTCCGCAGTCTGGTACGTCGTCGGCTTTTCACTCTTGGCCCCAGGAGGCCTTCTCCTCCTCCTACCTGCTCGCATGGATCCCCGAGAATCTCCTCACAGAGAAGGGCCCCGGCGAATGGGACAAGTTCATAAAGACAGAGGAGCGCCCCGTCGACGAGGATGACGACGACGACGGCATGTTTCATTCGGGTGTTCTCGCGTGCCCCCTGCTGACCTCGCCCCCGCCCCCGCATCTATTAGACGCCGTCCTCATCGACATGCCCACCTCGCGCGCAGAATCCTACGCGTTCTCCGTCCCCCTTAGCTCCATCTACTCCCTCATCGTCCAGCAGCCGTCCCTCTCCTCCTGGTGTGAGCAGCCCCCCTTTCGTCCGCGCACACGTACCCCTCGTTGACCACCTCGTTCCCAGACGGCTCCATCGCCATCAACCTCACCAGCGGTGCCACCCTCCCGACCCTCCACTTCCACGACGACGAGTCCCGCTCCTTCACTCTCCCGCCCAAGTCTCCGCCCCCTACGTCCCCCGCCTCTACCTCGTACCCCCCGCCCCCCTCTTACGCCGCCCAAGTCGCCACCGGCCCCCCCATCACCTCCTGGGGCGGCGAAGACCTCCTCGCCCGCATCCGCTCCTACGCCCACCTCCTCCGCTCCAACCTCCAGCCGACCCTCTTCCTCGTCGATCCCTCAAAGGCAGACATCGAGGCCCACTCCACCCACCTCTTCTCCGACGACGCCGTCGACGACATCCTCGCCCGCTCCTCCTACGCCAACTCCCACTCTCCCGTCCCCTCCCACCGCCGCCCCCGCCCGCTCTCCTCCTCCTCTTCCTCCTCCCCCTCCTCTCCGAACCCCTATTCTCAGTACTCCTCCATTCTCCACCGCTCCCTCCCGCCCCCCTTCTCCTCCACCTCCCCGCCCTCCTCCCAAGCCCGCACCGCCCTCCTCCAGTCCTTCGCCAACATCACCCGCGCCACCCGCCACGCCGCCCAGAACATCCTCTCCCACCCGCTCGCCCGCCCCATCGTCCCGCACCTCCCCGACCCCGTCAAGAGTCTCGTCAGCGCCCGCGGCGACCTCGAGTGGGGCAGCTGGGTCGAGAAGGGCGGCGTCGGCGAGTTCGAGAGCGCCCGCGTCTACCTCGCCCGCTGGGCCCGCATCGTTGCCGAAGAAGGTGAGCGCGCCCGCCGCCGCGAGGCCCAGGCCGTGCCCGTGTCCGCGTCCGCCCCCGACGCCCCGCTCGCGGAGGAGACGTCCGAGCTCGGCATCTTCGAGCTGCTGCAGTCCACCGCGAACCTGCCCACGCCCAAGGCGTCGCGCGACCCGCGGCACCCCGTCGACGCGGCGACGTGGGCGGAGTGGTTCGGCGCGGACGGCCGGCCGCGCATCGGGCGGGAGGAGATGCGGCGCGAGGTGTTCCGCCGCGGGGTGAGCGACAAGGGGGGCGTGCGCCGGCGGGTGTGGCCGTTCGTGCTGGACGTGCACACGTGGGACACGACGGAGGAGGAGCGCCAGCAGGCGTGGGAGGAGAAAATGTGAGCACCCGCGCGCGCGCGCACCCTGCGTCGTTGCTCGGGACCAACTGACGGACGGCTCGTGCAGGCGGCAGTACCACGACATCAAGGACGAGTGGTTCGGCAACTCGGACGTGTTTGACCGGCCAGACGTGCTCGAGGCAAGTTCCTTTCCTCGTGCGACCGTGACCGTGCTGAGCGCCGACTCCCCCCGGACAGGAGCGCCACCGCATCGACGTCGACTGCCGGCGCACCGACCGCTCGCAGCCGCTGTTCACCTCGACCCCGGGCACCCCCGCCGCTAGCGGCGACGCGGACGCGGACGAAAAGGCGCGCCATCGGCGCTTCTCGACGATCGCGCCGAGCACGACCGAGGTCGGCGCGCAGTCCCCGAGCAACGAGCACATCGAGCGGCTCGCGGGCATCCTGCTCACGTACAACTTCTACGAGAAGGAGCTCGGTGCGTGCGGCGCGCCCCCCGCGTCCCTTTCGCAGTCCCTTTCCCCTCCTCACTTTTATTTTATTTTCTTCTTTTTTGCTTGTTTGTTTGACGTTTCCTGTCGCCGTCGATTTGTCGCGCGTTGTGCTGACGAAAAGGATGCCAAGGCTACGTACAGGGCATGTCGGACCTGTGTGCGCCGATCTACGTCGCCATGGGCTCGGACGAGCCCAGCACGTTCTGGTGCTTCGTGGCGGTCATGAACCGGATGGTCAGTCCCTCCCCCCCCTCTTTCCCCCTTCCCCCGCCGCCCTTCACCTCCCGCCCCCGGTCCGTCGCGGCTGATTTTGGCGCTGCGCCGCCGCCCCGCAGAAGCAGAATTTCTTGCGCGACCAGAGCGGCATGAAGAAGCAGCTGTCGACGCTGCAGCAGCTCATCGAGGTCATGGACCCGGAGCTCTTCCGGCACCTGGGTGAGTACCGCCGCCGCCAACCCCTCTCGCCGCGCTCACGCCTACCGCCCCTCCGTCCGTCCGTCCGTCCGCCCCCCCTCACGCAGAGAAAACCGACGGGCTGAACCTGTTCTTCTGCTTCCGGTGCGTGCTCCCTAATTCGAAGTGCCCGCAACCCCCCCGCGCCCGCGCGCGTGCTGAACGACGCCCAGGTGGGTCCTCATCGCGTTCAAGCGCGAGTTTCCGTTCGACGACGTCCTCCGCCTGTGGGAGGTGCTCTGGACGGACTACTACACAAAGTCCTTCGTCCTGTTCGTCGCGCTCGCGGTGCTCGAGTCGCACCGCGAAGTCATCATCCGCTATCTCGTCGAGGTGAGCGCGGCACCCCCTTCCCTCGCATGATCTCGACGCGCAACTCATCGCGCATCGCGACAACGTGCTAGTTTGACGAGATCCTGAAGGTACGAAAAACAAAGCATGCTTCTCGTCTTTTTCGACGAGGCAGCTGACGACCTTGCGCACAGTATTGCAACGAGCTGAGCATGACCATCGAGCTCGACACCACGCTCGCCCAAGCCGAGGTCCTCTTCCTCTCGTTTTCTCAGCTGGTAGCAGACATGGACCGTCGACGCGTCGAAGCGTCGATTAGCTCCAATGCCGAGGGCTTGCGACACCGCACGCACTCCCAGTCCGCGGAGACGCCCACGGCGAATGTCCCGATCCCTAAATTGAGCGCCGAGCTGCGAGAGCTGTTGGACACGAGGTAGGCATAGAACGAAACGAGGCGATAGAGGCAATTCGGACTCGATACGCATACAACTCACACTACACATCTCGCATTGCTTTTCTGCTGTATACGATACACGACCCCACATGATCGCATCCATGTATTTCTGTGTAGTTTTCTTGATACACACCAAGCGCCGTGGCTCGCCACGGTCCATTAGATCAGACAAATCGGCGAGTGCGATGGGGTTGCTCGGTGTCAGATCGAGATGCGTGATGAAAGAGATTGCAAAAAGAAACCGATGGAAATGCAACAATACAAAGACACCTCTCGTACGCTCTAAGCTCAGACGAGCCCACTACTTTTGGTATGACCAGACATTGCGGAGAACTACGCCGATGGACAAAGGTCAGCACTCAGATCCGCAACCTGGGATCAGGTGAAAAAGGCGCGACTCACGTCCAGCCTTGGTCGCCAGTCGGTTGATGGAGTCGTCGCCCTCGCCGTTGGCCCGGACCTGTCCGCAGAGAGCGAACGAGGTGGAGGTACCAAGCGCGCGGCCGTTAGCGTCGACGTCGGCGACGCTGATCTGGATGGACGCGTGGTCCTTCGAGGTGATGAGGCGGTCTGTGAGATGACGGGGGAAGGAGGCGCAGGAAGATGGGGAGGGAAGGTTTCGTCAGCGGCGCCGCTTGGATGCGGTACGGGTACCGGAGAGCATGCAGGAGGAGGGGCACGCACTGGTCGCCGAGCACTTGCGCGGGACGTAAAGGTCGACGAGAATACCCTGTGAGACGGGGCGACATCGCACGTCAGATATGCGGGCGGACAGTGTGCATAAAGAGCAGCCGGACGCACCTGATCGTTCTCCATTGTGAATCTGCGAGGTCGTGGCGGCTGGCGAGGTCGTTGAGCGTGGATGGGAGCGTGGGACAGAACAAGGTTCAAAACTGTACAGTTACACCGCAGCCGCTGCTGTTATGTACCTCATATTATATTATAAACACGTGTATAGTATCCTTCGATAGCTCAGTTGGAAGAGCGCAAGACTGTAATGGATAATGTTCATCTTGATGTCGCTGGTTCGATCCCGGCTCGAAGGATACCATCTTTGCTCCCAGATTTTTTATTCACTATTTCTGCCAGATATCTCAACGTGATCGTTTGACGGTCACGCAGCCTCATCAGCCATATCACACGTTTTTGTGTTGTAGAAATGGTTAACCTTTGGCCCCAGCATTAGTACAGTCATTGTATAAAAATCCTCGCCGGTGCTGGAAACAATCATTGGATCAAGTCTGCAATCAGATGGCACCGTCATGAGGCGATTTCCTCCGCTCGTCGCCGTCCTTCCAAACATCCTCCAATGGGCCTGGTCCGCCTCGGCGCACAGTGCCGTCTACCAACTCGACCTCTTCCTCACTGCCATCATGGTACTGAGACGCGCCGTGGCCACTGGCACCAGAATACATTACATCGGCAGAGGGAGTCGGTCGGTGCATCGGGAGTGTGGCCTCATCACGTTTGATGCGAGGAGAATAGGGACGGTGGGAATGCTCCGACGCAAGGGAAGGGTAGTACTGTCGATAGGCAAAGTATGTGGTCACGAGACCTAGGATGGAGCCGGTGAGGACATCCTGCCAATGGTCTGAGAGGTGATGTATCAGCTTCACTCTAGACAAAATCTTCGAGAGGGCGAGAGGACTCACGGCGATAATCCATCGTACGGGAGATGGCCACAAGAGAGGCGCCCGCCAATGGCGTCAATGCGATCCATGCTTTCGCCTATACATCGATTCGAACGCAATTTAGAAAAGATCACAGGTGCTCGGATGGAGCGAAAGTGCCTTACAGCATGTCCTCGCCTGTCAAACAGATGCATCTTACCGGCAAGATAGAAGGACAGAAAACCGAGACCAGCAAACGATACTTGACCGTGGCCAAGATAAGAACTCATATTATGAACGTGGAATTGACACTCACAGCTGGCATGGCCACTGGGGAAGCTACGGAACCCGTCTTCGAGGATGTACGTGCTGCTCTGGTTGCAGATAGCAGCCGATGAAAGGCCAAATGTTGGGTCAACGGTTCCCTCGACAGGATTACACCGAGAAATAAGATCTGTTATATGGTTTTCAGCAGAGTTCGATGGTTCACCGATGAGAAGGTTGTATTACCTGGTCGCGGGCGACCGACTGTAATCTTCGCGAATTGGGTTATTGCGCCAGTAAGAGAGAGCCCGAGAATCACTGGATGAGTTCAGTTGATCAAATTTTGTACAGAGTCCATGTTATATGACTTACCTCCGAGGGTACTGTTATGGGCGTCCCACCATGATCGAATGGTGAAGACATTTGCCACCCATTGCAGAACTATGGGGGCAACGATCGCGATCATGTACAGTGCGAGATTCTATAATCATCCTGCTCGGATCTAAACTATGCGTGAAGAACCTTATGAAATAAACCGTACCGGAACTCGTTCATGTACAGCATAGCTGCCATGACTTTCAGTTATGGGAGTATCGGGACATAGCTATGCTGCTTACGGATGCCGCAGCCTGGGAGTTCAATTTTGTCAGCTTCGAGAGTCAAAATAATGGTCGGAATGGCTTTACGAAGTATCCGTCACCGAGAACTCCCGTTTGAATCCCGTAACTTTGTCCAATGCAAAGAATGCAGCCCTGTGAGAATTTAATGGCTCGATCTCATACAGCAGAAAACAAATACACGTACGCTAACGCGATAGTCACAACCCTTGCATTTCTATAATCAGCCAAGAAACCCAAAGGTGGCTCATTATCTGCACTCACCAGTCTGGGGCGTACGAAAGCAGCAGCTTCCTCCTTCTTACGTTGTCAGTTTTGCGTCTGGGACGCCCAGTGTCGCCAGAGCCAAACATGAGAAATCCGGGCATGACTGTCATTAATCTGTGCGACTGCGACGGGAGGAGACGTTGACCCCGAGGCAAGACCGCCGCGGTTATATATACGTAGTGGTCCCAGCCAACACGTGATGAAGGAGATTCGAAGGGGATAGGCTTGGCCTTCTCGCACCGCCTACTTACCTGAATCCGCCCCACTGTGTCTGGCTCTTGTTCACTAAGCCTCCAGGATCGCCATGGCTATGGCCCACGACACGCATAACATCTCTTCTGGTTTCAAATGGTCCGAAGGTGCGCCTTTTTTCTTCGTGTGATCCCGAATCGGAGCCTGCAGCTATACTAGATTATGACGCGACTCTCGAACGTATCGCGTCAACGGATGATGTGGAGTACGTGCCAAAATCTCTCTTGCACCAAGTGTGTAGGTTGACCGTTCTCAGGACGCAGTGGGCGCAGCTGCGGGACATCATCAAGTACAAAATTGAGCAGGTGAGTACCCACCAAGTCATCTTTGGAGATAACCTGCACATGCTTCGACGCGTAGAATATTACATCTTTTCTCGCCGATGCAGAAAAACTTGTCAAGTCGGAGGGTCTGCGGCTATTCTCCCCTCAGCCGTCCACAACTGGAGGATTGAAGCTTCCACCATTTCCTCCTCGTCCGCCTGTGGCTCCCAGTCTAGATCCGTGTCCCAAAAATCACTTTACCAAAGAGGAAGCCAGCGCGTTCAAAGAGAGCTTATATGCGCAGCTCGATGGTTTCGATGGGTCGGTCACACTTCACTGCTGCCAGGCGCTTTCGCACTGACACTTGAGCCAGTATTCCTTTCACAATACAACGGATCTCTGATCTTTGTGTTCGCCCTCGAGAACATTACAGGTCCGTTGGGAAATACCTCCGAGCAATCGAAAAAGCCGTCTATGTGACCTCCACCTGGGACTCGTTCCCGCCTTTGTCACCGCAGGCAGCGGGTCCCGAAGCTATCGCCTCCACTGCGTTTGGCACCGGATCCTCTTCTGTGCCCAGTACACCACTATTTTCGCCTATCCCTTTTTTGCACGGAGACGCTCGCCGTTCGACGTCTCGCAGTCCGCCGCCACTCGCATTGAGTGCGGTCACGCCAGGTGGTGGTACACCACTTGACACAACTGTCCTCGGAATGGAGCATCGGGGGCTTGGGTTGGTAGACGAATTGGATGACCCTGGTATTGGCCACATGAGCGATCATCCCACTGCGCTATCATCTGTAACGAGTGTCGGCAGAGGATCTGGGGCAAAGAGTCTCGATGAGCGGTTTGTCCGAGCAAGCGAGAATAGGGTCGGGCCGGAGTCGAAGAGACAGAAGCCCAACGAAGATATAGAGGATATGCTTTTGGATGAACGGGATGGGGATAAGGAGAATAAGAGCTGAATGTATCTGCGTCTGTAATTGAAAACCATGATACATACCTGATTTCACCTGTGCTTTAAGAATAATCTCGCTTGATTCTCTCCAACATCGCAGACATCCTCAGGCGCATGTCGGGCTGTCCTCCCACTCTCACTCTCCCGCCTCTTCCGCTTTCCCTGTCTCGTCCACCGTCTGCTCCCCTTCCCCTTCCCCCACCTCTCCCTCTCCCGCCTCTCCCTCTCCCACCTCCCCTGCCCTCTGACCTTGTTACCTGCCCACGACCTCTCCGATGCAAGGGATCGGATTTATGGTGATGAAGAGAGGAACGTGAATATGCTTGTTTCTCGAGCTCGCGTAGCGTGGGTTTACTCTCATCCTCGGCCTGCGCATCCTTGTCACGGCTTATGCCTGGCATGGATTCAGATGCTGAAGGGTTTTCCTCGTCCTCATCAGAGGTTATGTCGTCTGACCGATTCTGCTCTTGCTCGACTTCTTCCTCGCTGTTTGCATTGGCATCTCGGTCATCTCTCTTTATAAGAGCTGAAACATCTCTGTTGGTCACAATGCCTTCCTTCCGTTTCTCTGCTTTCCATTTGCTCTTGATTTTTTGCTTCTCGACCCACAGCTTTTTCAGCTTTTTTCCTGCGCAGAAAGGTCATCATATGCTGCTTGGTAAAATTAAGTAAATAAACACACCCTGGTGCTCTGGAAGATGCTGGAATGTCGGAGGTAGCTTCCTCTTCGTCGAGGGTGCAGAGCCATTGCCGGACATCGTGGAATAAAGTGGACGACTCGACGAGATATCTCGCTGACATAATTGAGCTTCTGACTGAAGCTGTGGCGCTCGATAAAGAGGCGACTCCGAGTTCTCACATCGCTTCATTCGAACGTCCATCATCTTGTCTCCCATACAGAACTCAACCCCCACTCAGTTTCTTATCCTTGTTTCCTCTCGTTGCATGAGCGTGCAGAACCTTACCACCTTTGGTGCGCACATTATCTTCTCTTGGAGCGGCACCGTGAGAGAGGGACACCATATCACAAAGCTGATCGTGGTGCTTTTCATGCCCTACAGACCCGTTCGCCGACGAGGCCGACCCTCTTGGCGCAAGCTTGGATGTCGGGTCGCAGTCGAATTACATCCATATCCGTATCCAACAGCGGAATGGGCGTAAAACGCTGACGACGTTGCAGGGCCTGCCAAAGGGTAAGTTTTTTTATCTACACATCCATTTGTCCGAGGGGCACGTCTGATGCTTAGCTCTACAGAGTACGACGCTAAGAAGCTCCTGAAGGCATTCAAGAAGGTACCGTGCTTCCCTTGTCAAACTCCTTCTTATATCCTTCCATATCGTCATCGAAAACACCCAACTAACTCTCTTCAGGAATTCGCCTGCAACGGCACCCTCGTCGAGGACGAAGAGATGGGCCAAGTCATCCAGCTCCAGGGTGATCAGCGGGCCAAGATATTCTCCTTCCTCACTGAAGAAGGTATCCCCAGGGCCACCATCAAGGTGCACGGATTCTGAGTTCGACGTTGGAGGGTAAAGGAAGGTCGACAGGATCATTTGTCTGCCTCTGATCTTCCGACGTCGACGCAATACGCACGACTTCACTCGCGTTTCGGATTTTGATGTGTTTCTATCGTTTTCGTTCTGCTTTTTCGATTCTCTTATTCTGTGTCGATGTACCGAATATCATGATTTCTTACCAAGTAGCCAATTTGTTGTTGTGTCGAATGTATGCCGTAAATTTTGAAGCCCCAAGTGATCTGTGCGCTCAGAAGTACCAGAGCACTCGGCGTTGTCTATTTTTTTGGGTGCTGCTCATTCTCCTCCGAAGAACGAATGGGGTCATCCTTGATCTCAAGTTGTAGGTGAGTCACGATGGATAGCGAAGCTTGTGAGTCACGGAAGGTGCACTGAATCCATTACGCAGTTGCTTGTTTGTTTGGTAGAGTCTGAGCGCGACTATAAAATTACTAGAAATATATTCATGAGAAAATGCCAAACGAGACTCAACTGAAGTCGCAGGCAAACACATACAAAACGCGAAGGTATACAGGGAAAGGTTGGGCGCCGTTTGTTCACTGTATTGGGGAGATGTCAAGACTCCGAGTATCATGCGGTCATGAACTGGCTTACCTTCACTCTGTCGAGAGGGCGATTGAAACCACCCCGCCTTTTGAACAGTTCATATCATGAAGGGTCGTGGCAGCAAAACCGAGGACAGACGAACCTGTTCATGTACTGGCGCCAAGTTCGCATTTTCTTGATGTCCGCGGTACCCTCTTGATTCCCTCCAATTTGTTTACCCTGAAATGATCGGAGTCACACATACTATGTTCAAGAAGGATCAAGTGACAGGCGGTGAGCGATACATACTTTTGTTGAGCCAAACCCAGATAAACCCATCATGGCCATCATAGCACTATCGTCTTCATTAACGATATCCATCTCCTCTCCTTCCTCACCTGCGTCATCGATTTTGTGGGTATCCTGTGAGATACCCATTGAAGATGGCCCGGGACCGTTAAGGGTGCCTATATAGACTCGTCAATATGACATGCGTCATGCGCGCAGTCACTTACTAGGTGGAGGCTTCATGCTACCCTCTTGAGTCCCCGAATCTCGAACATCCCTAGATCCTGAAGGGGAATTCCTCAATCGCTCATCTCTGTCCCTCTCTCTTTGCCTCCCGTCCTTATCGTGATCCCCATCTTTGTCCCGTCTATTCCTCTCGTCTCTCCGTCCAGAATCCCTTCTGTCGTCTCTGCCGTGATCTCGAATATCACGGTCATCCTTCCGCCTATCGTCCCGTCCTTCTTTGTCTTTACCTCTGTCTCTTCTGTCATCATAGTCGCGTCTGTCGTCGCGCCTGTCTGGATATTGGACATCTACATTGAGGATAGATTCCCGATAATCTCAGCACGTACCTGGTCGTCTGTCGCGTTCACCTCTTCGAGGTGGACTACGGGATCGGCTTCTGCCACGGACATCCCTACCTCTGGGATAACGAATTCTGTCTCTGTCACTGCCTCTTTCATCTCTTTCCCAGCTCCGTTCCCGACGTCGAGGTTCATGACGCGATGCCATCTTGATATTGGAGGATTCCAGTTAGCAAACTCGTGTTTGTCTGATGAATGTGAGTATATTTGAGGCTTGGTGGACGCGAGCGCCGCAAATTGGCTGCCAAAGATGTCAATGATGTGCTTGCACAACACACTGAAACCGCCTGACGCGCGTTGGGGGTCACGTGCTCCTGGAGAGTAACATTGGAGAAGGGTAAATTAACTGAAAGACTTGCGCTGTTGTCATCGTCCCGGCCAAGCCGCGCGAGCTTTCTCTGGCCATCAATCTAGCCAATTCGACGGATAGTCGCTGGTGCAATATGTCGCTAAATCTTTTCAAGAGAAGTGAGTGTTATCACCTCAGTACTACGCACAGGTCCATTGACAATCCTGCGCCGAAGAAATATCATCTAAACACATGAAACTCAATGGTCTGCCACGGACCGCATTACCTTCTGACATCCGAAGGATGTTGGTAAAGTATAACATAACTGAAAACTTCGGAGACAGTGCGCATCCTCCACCCTTCGTCTGCGTGTTCCTCTAATGAGCTATTTTGTATATAGTTCAGCTAGATTATGGACGGTTTATACCAACTGGTAGCGCGTACCTAACATTCACTGCTCAAAGCGCGCTGCATCGTGCTTTCATCGAGCTCAGAAATGCCTCTCACATGGGATTCCCCATCACCGCCTCCCGAACGCCTGTGCCCATAGGACCTCCTCCCCGCTCGCGCGGGGACAGAGGTCGTTTGGAAGCATCACAGCGTGGCGTCATTAGTGGAGACGGTTATCGTGCGGGCATTACGGAGACGGGCAAGAGCGTGGTCGTGTGGGGTATGCCAGGAAAAATGACTACGGATACCATGCGCTTGTTCTTGCGAGGCTATAAATTGGCGCCCGGGGAGGGTCAAATCACTAAATTGGACTCGTGAGTGCTGTCTCTTCGTGTAGCGTAATCTCCTGTTTTGTGTGCTGTCTGACCCTGAGGTTTTCTGGACTGGTTATTGATAGGATCGGGACCCAGCTGACTTCAAGACACTTCGTGCGTCTGAATTCTATGTCGGAGGCCTACAGACTGGTACGGAACGTACACATGACATTTTTCGAGCCACTCGTATGGGGCGATAGGTATATCATTCGGGCGCGAGTAGTGCATTGATTTACATTCACTGTCTTCCACTTCTCAAGACTATTTGCTATGATGTTGGAGAAGATATGAATGGTTGGCCGGTCAAACCGGAACGAAAGAAGTCTGATTAGTGCTACAGACCACTAAAATTACAAGTGCATAGGGTGTAGGCTGGTCACATCCTGCCAGTATCGAGATCACGCTCTTCCACCCGAGCGCGCTGATGGGATTGTTCAGAGGCAAAACACTTAAAACAGACGTGGGCAGTTTGGACTCACCTGTCGGTCGTTGTCGCCCTCATCCTCAGGCGAACGACCACGCTTGAGAGTGGGTGCAGCAGGGTTTTGGTCTTTCCAGTCTTCTCCGCCACCCGCAACAGGACCGCCCTGTTCTGTGTCCGCGTATCGTTCTTCCACTTCACGTCTTCGTTCAATCTCCAGACGCTGGGCTTGCGCTCCCCAACCACCACGCCCAGGGTCATAGTCTTGTCTGTGCTCGTCTCGGACCTATCGAAGGTTACCATCAAATCACGGTGGTAACAAAGGACCGACGCACTTGACCGCCACTTTTTCCACGTCCAAACTGTCTACCATCTCGGTAGCCCAGATCAAGGTCACAACGGATGATACGCTCATCTAGCTTGGTGCCGCTGATGTATCGCATAGACGCTAGAGCTTCTGCATGCGTGTAAAATTCGACAAAGCAAAACCCACAGGGTGTTCTGATAGCATGGTCAGGATAAGCCGACATATACAAGCTGCCTGCAGACCTGGTGTGGCGGTCAAGGCCCATGATGATTCGCTTCACTCCTCCTCCATCCTCCGGGCTGGCACATTTTGTGAATATATCGTATATTTGTTCCTCCGTTGTATAGAAGCTCAAATTGCCGATCTGAGAGGCACATATAGGTTCGGTGAGCTGCTACGGCCAAACAATAATGAGGCACGGACGTAAAGTGTTGAGGACTTTGAGAGGTAATCATGTTGTTTCTGACGGTCTACGCGGGATTGTGAGTCCTTATAGTTTGAAGGCTGGTCGAGGGGACTGACGACCGATGACATTGTGATGCAAGCTGAGAAGACACTGCTGTCGAGGCCTGATGACTTCACCTCAATACGGTACTTTATTCTCACGGCAAGACGCGTCCAAGCCGCGTCAGCGTTGTCTATGGAACGTACCGCGCACCTCCACACCTCCACAGGCCGCTGCAGCAATGGTCGATGACATTAGAATGGAGATTCAGAAGGAAGTGAGTGTATGTTCTAGCTGTGTGTATCACATTCGCTCATTGCCTTCGTAGGAGCCTACCTTCGAGTCAGTCGTGACCGAGAAGACGGCCCTCTACCAGGAGTTGCAGGAAGATGACCTCTACACAAAGTACAAGAAACTCTCTCGCCACCTTGAAATGCTCGAGATTCAAGAGAGCTACATTAAGGACGAACAAGCCAACCTCAAACGCGAACTCATTCGCGCACAGGAAGAAGTCAAGCGCATTCAATCTGTACCCCTTGTCATTGGCCAGTTCCTTGAACCCATAGATCAACACACTGGCATCGTAGGATCTACTACAGGATCCAACTATGTCGTGCGCATTCTCTCGACCTTGGACCGTGAACTCCTTAAGCCGTCGTCAAGCGTCGCGCTACACCGTCACTCGAACGCCCTAGTGGACGTATTGCCACCAGAGGCGGACAGCTCCATTGCTATACTTGACAAGGAGAAGAAGCCAGATGTAAGGTACCAGGATATCGGTGGTATGGACTTGCAGAAGCAGGAGATTCGGGAGGCCGTCGAGCTACCTCTTACTCATTTCAGTCTATACAAGAAAATTGGAATTGACCCTCCTCGAGGTGTCCTGTTATATGGTCCACCAGGTGCCTTTTATCCATGCAGTTTTGGATTGACCCTTACATAGAACGAATAGGAACTGGCAAGACGATGCTTGTGAAAGCTGTCGCGCACCACACTGCCGCATCCTTCATCCGCGTCGTTGGCTCTGAATTCGTACAGAAATACCTAGGCGAAGGCCCTCGCATGGTGCGCGACGTCTTCCGTCTCGCCCGCGAGAACTCGCCTGCAATCATCTTCATCGACGAAATTGACGCCATCGCTACGAAACGATTTGACGCACAAACAGGTGCCGATCGTGAAGTACAGCGTATCTTGCTGGAGTTGTTGAATCAGATGGACGGATTCGACCAAGGCAGCACTGTCAAGGTCCGTGTTATTTGATAGAGATACTACGTTATCTTAATCCCTCGACAAGGTTATCATGGCAACAAATCGCGCAGACACCTTGGATCCTGCTTTGCTGCGTCCTGGTCGTTTAGACCGAAAGATTGAATTCCCATTGCCGTCTCGTCGAGAAAGGCGCTTGATCTTCCAAACTGTTGCAAACAAGATGAATCTTGGACCAGATGTTGACTTGGAAGATTGTCGGTGCACTCACCTGAATCACAGCTTGGATCATTCATTGATCTCTTTGTACAGATGTGTCGCGTCCTGATCGTCTTTCTTCTGCGGATATTGCGTCCGTCGTTCAGGCTGCCGGTCTGCAAGGTGACTTTTATCGTCACTGACTCGTCGAATACTTGCTCATTCTCGTCCTGCGTAGCTGTCCGCAAAAACCGCTATATCATTCTCCCAATAGACTTTGAAGAGGCGTGGAAGGTAAGTTGTTTGGTCCTTATTTGGCTCGGCTATTTCCTTCGGTTATAAAGCGACAAACCTTGACACGTCTTTTCTTCCTCCCATCAGTCAACAGTCAAGAGGCCCGACGAAACTCACGAGTTTTGTATGTCACGCTTTTCGCTTTCATATATCTTTTTGGCTGATTTTGTCGTTTTCGCACAGATCGGTGAGATGGGGTCGCGGACAGCTATCGTAAGCCTTTTTTTCTGCTTTCCTCTGATCCAATGTATTAACAAGTAATCTTCAGGCTTACCATTTGTATTCTACAATTCGTTATTGCATCTTTCCCTTCTGTTTTGCGTGCATTCTGTAACTTTGACGAACGCTCTGTCATTTTGACGGCTCACTGATATTCCACGGAGAGTTGTTCATTCTTACGAGCAAGAATACCCCTCGATCGATCAACGCATTTGTCGAGAGGCCTGTGCTTTTTTTTGCCTCCCTTACCTTCGCTTGGCGATCTAGGTTGTGAGGGTGGTTCACACGTAGGAGACATGCTCCAATGGTGTATCCTAGTTGTCTTGTACTGTCCATGTAACTATCGGTGCGTTTCATCTTCTGTGTTTGCATTGTGCTGGTTGTAACGTTCATCAACTAGCGTCCGTCATGATAACATATTTTGCCCTTTCGATTGATCTCGTATGATATCGCTCCTCAACACTCTGGACAGCGTCCACACCCATGCGCTATGTTCTCATTTTATAGGAGCAAGAAGAATGTATTCTATATGATTCCTCTTGCCTCTGAGCATTCTTGATAGTAGGAATTGTTTGGAGGTAGTATGGGGGACACATCTTCCCAAATGTTTGATAATGATACTCTTTGCGCATTGTACCTTCGTGCCATATGTCAGTGGTTTGAGTCATGTCGCCGACAATTGTGAGTTCAAGAAGGCCATTCTCACCTATCCTAGCGATGTCATTCGCCCATCCCGATTCCCGTTGTTGTGCGCGTTTGTCGTTGCCGTCTTCTAACTAAATTATGATGATTATATCTTGCTGGAGGATGACGCGGACCAGACGACAAGGGTCATGCCTTGAAGGTTATGGTATCGTCAAGCCTTCTTCAGACATACACCACAGGTTTTACACTATATAATACGGACACCAGTAATCATTTGGCCGGCTGGCCTAACTCGCTTGCTCGTTCCGTAGCCACTTGGATAGCACGAGCGATTGTGGATCGTGTTCTACCATCTTCTAATGTGAGAAGACCTGCGATAGTGCATCCTCCGGGGGCTGATGTAGAGGATGAGATGGTCGTAGACATGACATGAAATGATACGCACTGGTGACGGTGTCCTTTATCTGGGCTGGGTGCATGCCAGGCTGTAATGCCATGCGTGCAGCACCTTGTAAGGCTATCGATGCCGGCCTAATATGAGGTTCCATACATATACGAGAATGAAAGAATACGTACTCTGCGCAGCGAGCTCAAGCGCTTCCGCCCTCGGAAGACCCATCATAACCCCTCCGTCGGCCATAGCCTCGAGAAATAGACATGCAAAAGCAGGTCCGGAACCTGACAATGCGGTGCATGCGTCGAAATGCTTCTCATCGAGGAAACGGCAGCGGCCAATGGATGAGAATATTTTGAGGATGATGGACCGGTCAAGCTCGACCGTGTCGGATTGAGGGATGGTTGTAACGACAGTCATGCCCTCGCGGATCTGACGAAGATCATCTCAAGATCAGGTTTAGCTGAAGTACAAGCGATGTAGCAGCTCACTTTGCAAGGCGTGTTGGGCATGGCGCGGATGACTTTTGTGGAGGGAAGGACCCACGCAGTGAGCTGCGAGATGGTCACACCGGCTAGAATGCTGATGAGAAGCTTCCCCTCGAGAGCGTCCTTAATGCCCGGTTCACTCAAGATGCCATGAGCAAGCTGAGGCTTGCAACTAGATCGATAGTAAGCACCGCATCGGAGAGGGAAGCATTGGAAACGCCTACCAGAGCAGGATAACGTCGGATCGCTTGATGGAGTTGAGATTATCTCCCGCCGTGATCTCTACGGTAGAACTGAGGCTTCCGAGTGCCCCGAATATTTTCTCCAGCTTCTTCACACTTTCCTCTCGCTTCACGCAAGCGATGAAATGGGAGGGAAGGGAGGGGTCCACGTCCGCGGCGTTGACTGGAGTAGAGGTCCCCGGCGTGTGCGACTCCCACTTCTGGGGAGGAAAGCTGGGTTGAAGAGGGCTATGGGAGTCCAAGCTGGCGAGGACACCAGACGTAACAGCTATGCCCATGGTGCCGCATCCTGTCCATGTCGCTACTTAGTTGAAATCAATGATTGTATAGACAGTAAACAAACCTAAGACACAAAGCGTGTAACCCATTTTGAACTGTGGAGGATTATTAGAAGACTTGAGACGACGGTGGTCGGGAAAACGGAAGTCGAGTGTCGAGTCATCGTGAGCTGACTGTGTAGGTCCCTCATGAGGCTGGTTCAAGACTGCGCTTGGTTTCCAGTCAAGTGTGAATGCGTGCCTTCGTCACGGTCGGTTCTACGAAGTTCGACTCGCTGGTGCAGGCCGTTCTCTCACAACCCGTTCTCCATGCCTTGCGTTCGAAGGGCTATCTAAAACTGGTCGTACAATGCGGCAATTCTCATGTTGAAGGATATGCTGACAGTGACACTTCATGGAGTTTCGAAACACATAGACTGGAGATCGAGATGTGGAGGTTCAAGCCATCTTTGGAGGAAGACTACGATGTAGCGGACTTGGTGATCAGTCATGCTGGTCAGTATGAACGTTGTGCTCATCACGATCGAAAATGATCATATGGCTGGCAGGCTCTGGAACTATATTAGACGTCCTACGAAAAGGGAAACCTCTGATCGTCGTGCCCAACCCTACCCTGCTCGACAACCATCAGGAGGAGTTGGCTGATGCGCTAAGTACTCTTGGGCACTTGAAGGCATCCACCGTTAGGTTCATATGTTTCCGGTCTGCGCCCTTCTGATACTAATCAAAGTACGGACTTTCAGCGATTTGTCGCAGACTGTGTTGGATTTCGACGCATCCATGTTGGCGCCTTTCCCCCAATTCGACGGCAGCCGGTTTCGTAGGTTCTTGGACCAAGAGATGGGATACGTTTGAAGGGAGAGTACATCGCGCGATGCGCTCGATGAGGCCATGGCGGGATGCTCAGTCCTAACTTTTTCACCGACCCCCACCGCTGTCCATACCTGTCCACATACCTCTCTTGAATAAATCTCCTCGTCGTTCGTTACGGATCTCTTGTGAATTGAATAGCGGATTCTACCTTGCCGCTGCTGGTGACGTAGGAGGATTGCCCGTTTCACCTCTTCTTGACAGGGACATTTTGACTGACAAATGATCACATTTTGGACTTTGCCCAAAACCAAAAGAATGTCCTCATCCACGGATGTTATCACAACGGTCATAGATACTGACCCATCCACCTACGAGGCAAAGCATGTGCATGAAATCTACGATCGGATTGCTTCTCATTTCTCCTCTACTCGATATAAGGTGAATACTGCCCTCTCTACGTGTGTTTCCCCTGAACGACTATTTTGCAGCCATGGCCTATCATTGCGAACTTCCTCTGTAACATACCTACAGGATGGGTGGGCCTTGATTCTGGCACCGGAAACGGAAAATATCTTCCCCTTCCCCTTGACCGCCCGGGCAGCATATGGACGATCGGTCTGGACAGAAGTCGGAACTTGCTTGATTCTGCAAGGATCGCTGGTAACAATGGTACCATTAGAGAGGTCATCTGGGGAGACGTTCTCGGGAACGGATGGAGGCGGGGAGCGTTCGTACGATCATCTCCATCTATTCGCAAAAAATTTCCATTCAGAGCGCATTTGGTTGAAATAGGATTATGCGATATCAATAGCGACAATACACCATCTGGCGACCTCTTCGCGTCGTAAATCAGCTATACAGGTAGGTCTTGACAGTGCTCATTTCAAGTTCTCAAACAGGCTTATCATCCGTCTGTAGCGATTACTGGAATGTGTTTCTTCTCAACATGGTCGTATTCTGGTCTACGTGTGGGCCATCGAGCAAGATAAACTTTCGAAGAGGGCAATACCAACGCACCAATCTCGAGACCCCACAGATACGATGGCAAGGGGACAGGACGTCTTCGTTCCTTGGATGCTGACTGACAGCAAGCCTCAGTACAAAGCTAATAAGGGGACATCTGGGAAGTCAGAAACACAACCAGGAACAGCGTCCCAGCAAGTCGAAGAGGGTGCCTTCGAAAAGCTGAAACAAGCGCGGTATGATCGCTACTATCATATGTTCGCAGAGGGAGAGTTGTTGGATCTTGCCTGCGAGGCAGCGGGAGAACTGGGATTGAAGGTCGGCCCGAGATTACTGGAATTTGACAATAACTCGAAGGCAAATGTTCAGGGCGTCGAGGTCGTGCAAAGTGGTTGGGAAAGGTCGAACTATTATATTGAGATGAGGCGATGGGAAACATGAATGACAGTAATCTAAAATTGACGATAATTCCCTTAGATGCGATGAGTACAAGGATACGATCGTGCGCAGACATGAAAATGTTGCACATAATGATATCGGAGGTATAAACCTGGCATTCCGGTAGTCCGGAACAGATGGATTGATGTGCGAGATAATACAAAGGGATGCTGCGGAACACAACACGAAAACGAATGATCACTCGCTGGCCGCCATGACTGGAGAGGAGTAATGAGGATTGAGATAAAAGGAAGAACAAGATGTCAAAGACGCACTGGCATTGATGAGATCACCTCCACTCTCCTTCAACACCCGGACGGCTTTTGCTCGGGAGCAGTTCACCTGCGCCATCACGAGCTCGATGTCTTTGGGATCGATACCAGTCTCGTCAACGGGGCCCTCGTCTTCTGGTGCTTCCAAGTCAGGGATATCGTCATCGTCATCTCCATCACCACCAGCGCCAGAGTTTTCGAGGTTGGGCAGAGAACCTCCGCTTTGGGCGAGCTGCTGAGCTGCGTTGAGCTGTGCCTGGGCATTCATGTCTTCCATCTGAAATATTGTTAGTATCAAGACGACTGCTAGTGTTGAAACACGCACCTTGGCCTCACCAAACACGATATAGCAATCGCTGTTTTGGGATTTGTACACATCGGGAGATGCGATGACGAAGAGGAACTAAGAGGGCCACTGCTGCGTTAGTAGAGGTTGTTTGACATGACTATAGATCCAAGCTGTTATCACGTACGTTCTTAGGTCTCCGGAGAGTTACACGTGTGATGCCAGGGACTTTCTTGAGACCCAAGCTCAGGAGAGCCTTCCTGGCCTTGCGCTCTGAACGCGACTGAATCTTTTCGAGCGCAGCGGCAGAGGTGGGATCCTCCTCATGGTCGTGTTCATGATCATGATCATGATCATGCTCATGCTCATGCTCGGAGTGGTCGGATTGAACTTCCTCAATTGTGGCGGACATCTGCATCGTATGGTCACGATTAGCATCCAGAAGTACATCAAGGTCATCTGAAACGCATCCATCATTATCGGAGTCGTTTGGACGTCGATAAATCTGGGATGTGTATCTTATGAAGGAACCTGACCGACTCACGATTGTAATTTTGAATTGGGAACTTTCAGACGGTGCTTGACGTCGGCGACGGTGACGAGCAGGCGTGATTGGCGAACTCGGCAATTGCCGAACGAATACCCTTTCCTCCCGCTTCCGATTTGTTCCCCCTTCCCCACTTGCAACCTCGCTGTATAATATCGCTCTTCATCTCACCATAACCTGTGCTTTCCTTTTCCACCTGAAAACATAGCACAAATTGTCCGCTCCCATCTTTCACTCGCCGTGGCACACTGCCAGATTCTACCGCAATAAATAAGCATTCTCAACCTAGAAGTTTGAACTCCTGTCTGGATATAGTCTGCTGGCTCAGGAGGTTATGTCGGCTCTTATCGTTCGGGACATTCCTGATTAGCTGTGATCATCATGCGCTCGGCCCTCGACGTCATGCTTGCGGGATGTATAACTCTAACTCGACGTGCACTGGTGTACCTCTCGTGCTCCCTGTCCCATCATGCAAGCAGAATTGAAGCAAGGGACGTACCATCTCTCACTTTCCGAATTAGCTGGTGAAGCGTTGTTGAGCTTCAAGCCTATCAACTCCATTCATCAGCATTTCTACGCATTTCATGTATATTCGTGAGTTGACTTTCTTGGACAATCCCTACTCACAACCGATCATACTTGCATAGGCATGATCAAACCTGCTCTGTTGAGGCGCATCACTTCTGTACCCATGTTTCCGCTGATCTGCACCAATACGTCATCTACGACTCATATGAACCTAGAGCAAAGTTGATTGGCATCGAGTACATAGTGTCTGAGAAGGTGGGTCACCGTCCAACCTTGTTGTTATCATCGTGCGAATCTTTGTAGGTCTTCAAAAACCTACCTTCTGAAGAGAAGAGATACTGGCATTCTCACAAATATGAGGTATGGCTCTGTTCACCTTCCCGTCGATTTTTTTCACCAAGAACAACCATTTAAAGATTGAAAGTGGTCTACTTCAACTTATGGTAGCTTAGAAGACTGCATCATATCATACATGAATTGGGCTTATGCAAGCTTATCTGCAGGCCAAAGGTGCCGTGCCAAGTAAGCACACTTCCTTTACTAAAAACATATGTTTAACCCGAATACAAGACGTAGTCACGGATATTGCTGAACATCCTGCAATGCTTGAACTTCAACAAACATATGGCAAGACCATCCATACTTGGGCAATAGATTCAACGCCCGAACTACCACTTGGCCCACGGAACCTCATGATGTCATTCACCTACAATAATCCTCACGATCCTAGCATTGTAAGAGAGAGGGATGAGCGCTATGGGATTGCGACCGATGCGATGAGGGATTCTCGCAAGAAATATCTGCCGTCGTATGAGCTTGTGGATGGAGTAGACAATTGGGAGAAGACCGGGAAGGCTATTGTATTCAAGGCCGCCGAAAGTCTCGTTCAGGTTCACATCTATCGACCCATGTTGTATCTTTTAGTCGAAATGCAAGCGATAGTTTTGCTCATTCACTCAACTTGCGGTTGGATTGTTCGCAAACCACATGACCTGATATTTTTGACCAATTGTGCTTAAAATGTTGGAGATCTGACAGAAGATATGCCCGGAAATGCCAGGTTGCTATGTTTTGCTCAAAAGTGCTAAATTACCACTGGGGTTGAATCGAATTTTGTCCGCCACATTCGTATTCACTTCTGTTATGTCGACAGATATTACTCGTTCATTATCCCGCTTATTGGAATCGGCTCCCCAAGCACCTCCACTGAATGATATTCTCACATCTGTGGACACTTTTATACTTGAGTGCACCTCTTCCCCAGAACCTGAAATCCTACTCTACAATCTAGAGGAGGAACTTCAGACTATACATAGGGATGCCGTTGATCATGACTCTCGCGAACAGACTGAGATCTTCTTAGCAGTGCTATGTCGCCTCATCCCTGTGATATCCTCAACCTCCTTGATCTCGACTTGGTTTGACCTCGTCTTGCGTCCGGCTCTCCGGGATCCCAAGCTCTCCGCTACAGGAATATCATCTGCAAAAGAACTGGTCATTGTTGGATTAGTGAAAGTCGACGAAAACTACCCAGCCAAGCAGGGAGAGTTTCGACGGCACCTCCTCGACCTGTATCTTTTGGACGCTTACAATGAAGGGTCCGGGAATGATGTTCTCGAGTGGGCAGAGCTTTCCGAGGAGCAGCGGGAGCGGAGACGCCTATGGAAATCCAACTTGGAGGATATCATGGTCCAGTTTGGATTAGAACAACCAGAGGTATGCAATACCTGAACCCTCTATCAGAATGAATGAATCGCATGTTATCATATTGTAGGCTCTATTCACGCAAATATTCAACGCTTTCGCCTCCACCTCATCTCGCCTACAGCTATTCATCCTCTTAAACCGATATACCTCACAGCCATCTTTTGAATTGCATGCGTCCGTCCTAGCCGCTCATTCTCTTATGTCCAGCATCCTCACATCCCTTCTGGTTGACAATTCGACAACTGTCTGTACAATTGCTCTCTCGGTTCTAACAAAGCTCCTCCCCATATTCGCAGTCAAAGCATCTCATAATCTCAAGGCCATGCTTTCTCGTCTGTTTGCTATCCTAGCCCGCATCATTTGCTGGCAAGAACGGCAGCCCACTGACGCCTCTGCTCAAGAAGAAGACCCATCTTCCGATGGGACCAGCCAAGGCGATCCAGACGAGATCACACGACAATCCATGCAAAGTAGCCGCGCGCTCAACACGAGAGCTGACCTTGATTGGCAGAGACTGGAGTTGACATTCGGTTCAGCAGCTGCCCCTGCTCCTTCACCGCGACGATTCTTCACATTCCTCTATTATTTATACCCGTGTAACTTGTTATCATTTCTCCGACGCACTGCACACTACTTGACAGACGCAGGCGTGGAATCTCCTTACTCGGTCGATTGGATGGAAGCTCTTGATATAGATCAAATCAAAACTAAGAGCGAGGTGCGTCTGCTATGCAACGCTCCTTTTTCTTTCTTTCTCAATCGGTGCTTTACGGATAGGTTTTACTCCGCGCGCATATCACTCACCCGCTGATCATCTGGCGCAATGCGACAAACGAATTAAATAATCCAGACTTCTTCGAACGATATGATGTGCCTCGTATTGTAACAGAATGCATGCGGTTGGAGGTTCGTAACTCGCGCCTAGAGCGAGTACCCCAAGTCTTCCCCGATGATCACCAAGAGTCCGAGCTCGGGACAGATACTTATTTTCCCCTCAGCAGTCACGATATCGGCGATACGCAGGCCGTCGAGGAGGTGACCGAGGATGAATTTCTTGTTTCAAGAATCGTACAAGTGCCTTCTACCAAGACAAAGATCTCGTTGCGGGACATGGTCAACACCTCTATCGCCTTGAAATCCAACGCGGAGATAGAGATCGTGGATCCCACGCCTACTTGGCCGTACGCGCTCTTCACCAGCGCTAGCATCTCGTCTGCCACGCCCAGCGTACCATTGGCCGGGGAATCGAGCGACGCATCATCTCAACGAGAGACTGAGGTCCCTGTACATATTGCGCAAGCCATCTCAGGGCTGCAGCGAGAAGTGTTGCTCCTTCGAAACGAACTCAATTTTGAGCTATGGCTCACACGGGAGAACATGAAGCAAATCGGGGTGCTGTACGAGCAGCGGATCGTCAAGAGGAACGCTGAGATGGAGAGGCAGGGCTTGGTGCGTACATCGCTATCTTGAGATTGCTCTGAAGGCATCACCTGAGTCCGAGTGTTTGTAGCATAACGCCCTTCGCGATTATAAAAATCAGGTCGCACGCTTGCAGTATCAGCTCAAGGACCAGAAAGAGCAGTCAGACATGGCTAAGAAGAAGTACGGGGACTGGAATGCTGAGTTACAGCAGAAGATCCGGGATCTCCGCGACCAGAAGAGGTCGTGGGTTACGGAAACAGCGTCTTTGAGACAGGCTGAAAAGGAACTCAGGGTACAACGCTCTTTTCTATTGAAGTTTATCCAAAGCTGAATGTCGTCCATAGGCTCAATTTATCGCTCAAGGCAAGCTACTTGCTGAAGCAGCAAATAGAGTCTTCCAGCTGGAAAGCTCAATCAAAGAGAATGCGCACAAACTAGACCGACTCAAAGACTATGAGCGGCAGATAGAGCAGCTGACAACATTGCAAAAGCTATGGTAAGAACCCTACCGCGTGTCCAAACAATAATATTGAATACTAATCATTTGTGTAGGAATGTCGATGTGCAAAAATACAAAAGCCAGACAGAAGTGATCAAGAGCATGCTTAGTAAATACAAGAAGATGGAACTACGCCTCGAAACGTACGAGAAGACGCACACTGAGATGGAGGAGCATGCGCGGTATGAATTTCGTGGTACGAGTGTTTTCAATCGCTCATGCACATTTTCAGGGCATCGCGTCGCCAAATTCAGACACTCGAATTGCAGTTGGCTTTCTCGAAGCATCAGAAGCCGCATATATCCCCGCCATCTGATGCTGCCTATAGGGAAAGAGTGTCTGCGTTAGAGCAGGAAAACGAAAGGTTGCGTAATCAATACGAAGAGCTGGAGAACGAGGTTGAGGAGGTGAAGGAGATGGTCGAAATCTTAAGAGCTCAAGTCAGCAAGAGTCCAGGAATATTGTCGGATGCAAGGCTTAGTCCTAACATTGGCAGCCCGTTGATTTTATGAGATGGGTGGGCGCTGTGGAAAGTATTATTGAAAGTGAAGCATGGAAGAATCGATGTCTCCTATCTAACAGTGTTGTATTTCTATCTTCTCGCCGCTCGCTGAATAACCCCGAGCGAAGCATTATAGTACAAGTACCCACCCCAACCGTCCAGTGTCTTCGCATTCTTCGAGGCGTTCGACCACGTTTTTACCTCTTGCTGAAGTGCAGGAGCGTCTTGGATCATCTATGAACAAACTTCTGCCCTTTCTGCCTGATTTGCAAGATAAGTTGGCCTGACTTACTATTCTGTCACTGCGGCGCGTCTTCAACTTCAAACGCCGGCTCTGTCATATACTGGATACATTTCTGCCAGCTCTCCGGATTGTGATCCTTCTGCGCAGCGTATCTCATCTCAAGATACTCAAACCACGGGGGATAAACCCCTGAAAAGCCCCAGTCAACAACCCACAGCACACTGTGTTCATCCAGCAGCAAGTTGCGCATGTTAAGATCGTTGTGCGAAAAAATCAAGGAGGCAAAAGCAGAAGCATCGAGGGGTTTGCAGTTTGGTGAAGGTGCCCAACCTCCAGAGGCACGGCCTTCAGCAGCGTCATATTCTTCTCGGAAGTAAGTTTCGAGTGCGAAGATCGTTGGAAATGTGCCTTTCGAATCGTAGCCGAACTGAAGATCTTTGCAGGGTGAGAGTGTCGGACCCAGCGGACCGGGTATGGCGTTGGACGAAGAGTATTGGACGCGTCGAAGCTGGCGGAGGTAGGGGCGCATTATCAAAACGACTCTGAGCTTCCCCCAGACAGACAGCGAAGGCCAAGCCACACATAGTTGTTAGGCGTGTGGCACAAGATCCATGACAATCAGGCGGTTTCCTTCTGAATTATGATGACGTGCGTCTCATGCGTGGGTCGGCAATTCGTGTTTGCTTGCGAACGAGCTTCAGAGGTGGTAGAGTCTCAGTCGCGACCGAATTTGACGACTGTGTCTTCTGAGATTTTGACGAAACTGCCGTCCGAGCCCTCGAGATATGGTGGGAATTCAACGGCGCGGATTATCCTCTCGTCGGTCCAGGTATCGGATTCTGGAAACTTTCCTCAATGTCTTCGTATTAGAGTGCAAGGGCTGAGCCCGATACGTAACGCGCTCGAAGAGCTGGGTCGTTGGCGTTCACGCTGTAAAAGGGAACCGAAGGCGAACGTTCTCGAAATACTAGGATGCGTGGGAACACAGATATAGCGGACGCGCGTCGAAACTTCGAGAATGAAAATCTGAGCAGCTACAAAAAGACCAACTCGTTGTTTGTTCGCTCTCATCAACCGCCTACCCATCGCCACTTCATATCTTTCCATCACTATCGCACTTTGTTAGTATCCCGTAAACCCACATCGCATATTATCCTCATCTTTCGCGCAGATCAAAATGTCCGCAGAGACAGAAAGCTTTGGATTCCAGGCCGAGATCGGCCAGTTGTTGGACTTGATCATTAGTAGGTCGCGCGCAGTGTGGCATGTACAATCTGGGGCTGACCTCTCTCTCCAGACACGTTCTACTCTAACAAGGAGATTTTCTTGCGTGAACTGATCTCCAACGGCTCCGATGCTCTCGATAAGATCCGCTATGCATCCCTTACCGATCCCTCCGCTCTCGATTCCGAGAAGGAGCTCTACATCCGCATCACCCCGGACAAAGAGAACAAAATCCTCACTATCCGCGACACTGGTGTCGGTTTGACCAAGGCCGACATGGTCAACAACCTCGGTACGATCGCGAAGTCTGGTACAAAGGTGGGTGGCGCTGCGAGATTTTTCTTCTGCGGATGATCTTATCGACACCTCGACGCGTCCAGGGCTTCATGGAGGCACTCAGCTCTGGTGCCGATATCTCCATGATCGGTCAATTCGGTGTTGGTTTCTACTCAGCGTACCTCGTCGCCGAGCGCGTACAGGTCATCTCGAAGCACAACGATGACGAGCAGTACATCTGGGAGTCTGCTGCGGGCGGTACTTTCACCATCACCCCTGACCAAGTCAACCCCGCTCTCGGCCGCGGCACCGAGATCCGGCTTTATCTTAAGGAGGACCAGACTGACTATCTTGAGGAGAAGCGCATCAAGGACATCGTCAAGAAGCACTCCGAGTTCATTTCCTACCCCATCCAGCTCGTCGTGACCAAGGAGGTCGAGAAGGTTTGTTTTCTATAATGATCTCACGCGAAAATCATTGCTCACGATCCGTTATAGGAGGTCGAAGATGAGGAGGAGGTCAAGGAGGATGAGGCTGACAAGCCCAAGATTGAAGAGATCGATGACGAGGCCGACAAGCCTGAAAAGAAGACCAAGAAGGTCAAGGAGTCAACTCAGGTCAACGAAGAGCTCAACAAGACCAAGCCGATCTGGACTCGCAACCCCAGCGACATCTCCCAGGAGGAGTACGGTTCGTTCTACAAGAGCTTGACGAACGATTGGGAGGAGCACCTCGCTGTCAAGCACTTCTCCGTTGAGGGCCAGCTCGAGTTCAAGGCCATCCTCTACATCCCCAAGCGGTATGCTCTCTTGTGCCACTTTCATGATTTGTGTCTTGATGCGATCTCTCACTAGTGCGCCCTTTGACCTATTCGAGACCAAGAAGAAGCGCAACAACATCAAGCTCTACGTTCGCCGCGTTTTCATCATGGACGACTGCGAGGACCTCATTCCCGAGTACCTCAACTTCGTCAAGGGTATTGTCGACTCCGAGGACTTGCCTCTCAACATTTCCCGTGAGACCTTGCAGCAGAACAAGATTTTGAAGGTCATTCGCAAGCACATCGTCAAGAAGTGCATGGACGTCTTCTCTGAGATCGCTGAGGACAAGGACAACTTCACCAAGTTCTACGAGGCGTTTGGCAAGAACCTGAAGCTTGGTATTCACGAGGATGCTCAGAACCGCAGCAAGCTCGCTGAGTTCCTGCGCTTCTTCTCGACTAAGTCCGTCGACGAGACCATCTCGCTCAAGGGTCGGTGAGACTTCCTTTTTTATATGGTGCATGCTGATCGGGCTCTATAGACTACATCACTCGCATGCCTGAGGTGCAAAAGTCGATCTATTACCTCACGGGTGAATCACTTGCTGGCATCAAGGATTCACCTTTCTTGGAAGTCCTCAAGAAGAAGGGCTTCGAGGTTCTTCTCCTTGTCGACCCGATCGACGAGTATGCTTTCACGCAGCTGAAGGAGTTCGACGGCCACAAGCTCATCTCTGTCTCGAAGGAGGGCTTGGAGCTGGAGGAGACTGACGAGGAGAAGAAGGCGCGTGAGGAGGAGGCCAAGGCCTTCGAGGACCTCTGCAAGGTCATCAAGGATGCTTTGGGCGAGAAGGTGGAGAAGGTCGTTGTCTCGAACCGTATCACCGACTCGCCTTGCGTCCTCGTTACTGGGCAGTTTGGCTGGTCGTCGAACATGGTTCGTGCCGCTCATTTCGCACAGGGTCTGACAGGCGCTGATCGTTTTCGTCTCATACAGGAGCGGATCATGAAGGCGCAGGCTCTTCGTGACTCTTCTATGTCGTCGTACATGGCATCGAAGAAGACGCTTGAGCTGAACCCAACGCATCCGATCATCAAGGAACTGAAGCGCAAGGTGTCCGAGGACAAGGCGGACAAGTCCGTCCGTGACCTCACGTACTTGCTCTTCGAGACTGCCCTGCTCACCTCGGGCTTCTCGTTGGAGGAGCCCACGTCGTTCGCCAAGCGGATTCACCGCATGATCTCGTGAGTCCTCAAAGCTGCCTTTGTCGTCTAATAGGCTCTGATGTCAATCACTCGTAGTCTTGGTCTCGACGTCGACGAGGAGGCAGACGAGGAGTCAGCGCCTGCTGCTGACGACGCCCCCCCACCGTTGGAGGGCGCGTCGGCCTCGGCGATGGAAGAGATCGACTAAACTCTGTCTCAATCCACTCTCTTGGTGTCTGGGTTCTCATCGTTGCTTGTTTGTACTGTGTCATGCTTTGGTCGACGCGTTTCCCTTTTTTTTTTTGCTGCTGCATTTTACGCTCTCCTAAATCAATAGTCTCTGTGTGTGTAGTTGACATTCATCATCAATCAAAAGAAGCACTTTCTCTTTTCCTCGGTCGTTGTGTGGTGAAATGCGGGAATAACAGGCGTCTGTAGAGCGCCGTTCGACCTGTTCTTGCATGACGCGGTGATAGCCAAATAGAAAAGAATTGACAAGGAAGGACATTCGATCTACGTATCTACCGACCAGTGAAATCAATCAAGATGAGACGGCTGCAATGCCGAGGGGCCCATAAGGGTCTTTGTGCAAGCTAGCAGTGCCGGCAGCAAACAGCATCAACCTTCGCGTTCGATGCGTGATCAGGCGTGTCGCAGAGATCCTCATGCTCTCACCTGCCACGGCCTATTGATTTAAGTTCCGCCGAGATCTATTCGATCTCGAGCGGGAGGGTGATGGCGACGACCTACGGTCACAATACGGGCGACGCGTGGATAAACGCTGGGCCCGCGGCCAAACAAAGGAACGGGCGAGGTGGGTCCCGGTCGTAGCATTGAGCGAACAAAAGGCGGGGTCGGGGTAAGAGTATTACAGGGACTAGGGGGATATGCGACGGGTGCTCGACGGGACGACAAGGAACGTGTCGTTGCGGAGCGGGGGGACGTAGGGAGGCGAGGAGAGGGTGTGAGAGGCGTGGCGGGAGCCGGATCCAGCGGTTGAGTCATCTGGGCGAGGCCTTATTGGGCCGTCTTAGCGGCTGCACCAAGCACCGTCTCTCCCCATTGTTCCCCATATCTATCCCTATACTCTATTGCGTCGGTCCCATCTAACTCTCCCGTTTTATAACCAGTGCCCGTCCTTTCGTCCTTGTATCAATATTCGCCCTCGCAATGCCTCCCATCGCTGCTCCCCAGCCTCGTCGTCCTCGCCCCAGCTCCCCCCTCCTCCAATCCCCGACCCATCCACGCTACCACATATCGCAGGACGACCCCTTCATCGTCCGTCCCTCCCTGTCCCGTTTAGTTCCCCTTTTTTGACCCCCTCACTGCAGTGTTGTACCCCCAAGCTCAAGCCGTCGCAGTCGGCCTTCACCCTCGAATCCCCTCCGCTCTTATCTCCCATCCGCTTCCAAGATCGTACAAAGCGCGGTGTAGTATGTCTGCCTTCCCACCGCCTCATCCACACCCGCTCATGGCCCGTCTTAGATGTCCAAATCCCCGACTCCATGTAGCTCTATCAGAGGATCATCTAGCATCCCCCTTGCTATTTCTCGGTCCCCACGCCGCCGTCGCCATCTCTCCTCGCTGAAGTGCCCCTTTCCCCCTCGCATCCCATCAGATTTTGACAATCTGCCGTGGATTGACCTGCTTTCATCACCATCATTCGCCCAGGACGCCTGGGACGGCTCAGACCTGTCCCAGCTCATCCCTGAAGACACACGTCCCGTCGCCAGTCATCGTGAAGGCCCCGGCCCCATACGGCGCCGTAAGCTGTCCCCACGAACCGCACCCCATGCGCGCAGCCTGCACGCCCGTTCACCGCAGCGCCCGGCGGAATTACCAGCGCTTCTAAGCGGCCGCAGAGGGAGCAGCATAGCACCACATACTCCTCCTCCGCGGTTCCACCCCTCCAAGACTCACTTCTTCAATCTGATGCCCATCATGACGGACTCACCCCTTTCCGAAGCGCGCTTTCCCTTGCACTAAATCTCCGCTCACGACACCTCTCGACGCCTCGTTCAATATACGTAAAATCCAATAGTTATCTATATCGTGCGTCCGGATTTCAAAACACGGATGGCCCCTTCGCACGTCTTACACGCCTACTTTCCGCACCCTCGCAACGACCTATTTCCAACGGCTCGCATCAACCAAGGGTATTCCGCAATCCACCTTTCCGCCGCATCGTCATGTCCAAAGATCTTCCGACCTTTTCCGCCCGCACTGTTCTCCTACACGATTGTATTCTCCTATTCGTCGATCACCAATCATCGCTCACCGTGTCACCTCGCATTGTTTCCGTTCTCATCTGTCTCGTCATTATTTGATCGCTATCAACATATATTTTATGATCTACATTTTATCGAACTCTTGCGCTAATATTATCCTACCCGTCTGATTTCTTGCTATAGCACCCTGTGTATTACGTCTCTACGTTCTTCTTCCCTTTCTATCCTATCTCGTACCGTTGCAGACAAAGGCGTACCATGCAGCGTTGGCTTGTGATTTTCTGTTCGTCTCGTCGCCTCTGCGTCTTTACATCAAACACTTCGCTTCAAGGATCCTTTCCATGTCTGAACATCTGCTAATATTTTCGAGCTGTCTGTCGCACCTTGCTTTGAGTCTGTTTGCTGTCCGTCTGTTTCGCACATCCTGTTTTCGCTTTTTACGTCGCATCGATGAATGAATGCCATACATGTCCATAGAGTGGATCTTTTCTCATCGCATTTGTGCGTGCTTGCTAGGATGAGAGGCCTCGGGAAGCCTACCGTCGCCTTCCCGGTCTTTAAATTCGAGGGAAGGCTTCATCATTCAAAGACTGTCCCATCATCCACGGATGCGAGTACTTGATCAAACTGCGTATATATATCAACGGGCAATATTCGGAGGCTGTTGATGCACGACGGGCCAACGGCCATAAAAAAATTGCGTCACCTGAGCGATTCGAACACTCGCGGGCAAAGCCCAACCGCTGGCAAGCTAAATAGCAGGCGATCCCGTTAACCACTCCGGCAAAGTGACTTTCCTAAAATTTCCTGGTGACTTGTGACAATGGTCATTCACTTGAGACAAATAGACATTCCAGATGGTCCGGGTCTAATTTCGGCCATGGTTTTGGAGGAAAATGGAGAGTCATCTCCAGCGAGGCTGAGTGAGGCTTGAAAACACAACCTGCCCCTCGAGAGTGCCCTCATCAGAAAGATCACATGATAACGAAGTCCCAATCGACGAAAAGCCAAAAAGGCCTGCCCCAGTGAGGCTCGAACTCACGACCTTCCGATGACTCTGTTAGTAACAGTCGGACGCTGTAACCAACTCAGCCATGGGGCATGGATGAATTATTGGACCTTGACATTCACATACTGCTGCAAACACAGGTTGAAACTGCCATCGCAAAAGTGCGATGATATCATCGGTTCATCGTCGAAATCTTGAAAGCGACGACCAAAAGACCCGTTGAAGCTGTGAGTCCTATAATGTCTTTTTATCATCCGATATGAGAGAACGTATCTGCGAAAATTCATGTGCTCTGCATATCACCTCTGATACAAGTCCTTGACTCGTTCTGACAGATTCTGAACTGTGACTCGTATCATCAACGACAATATATCTATATCTTGACTTGCCTGGTTCCCATAAACTCAAACATCCTACCATGGCCACCTCTCGCGTCGTGAACTTCGGGGCAGGACCGTCGGCGCTCCCAGCGTCTGTGCTCGAGCAAGCCGCCCAAAGTTTGATGGACTTCCAAGGCACAGGCATTGGAATCGCCGAGATCTCCCACCGCTCGAAAGAGTTCACGTCGTTCCTCACCGGCCTCGAGTCGCGCATTCGTGCTCAGCTGTCCGTCCCGCCTACCCACTCGATCCTCTTTACCCAGGGCGGAGGCTCGGCACAGTTTTCCGCAGTCGTCTACAATCTCCTGGCGCGACACCGTCTGCTCCATCCCGAGCTCACCGATGAGCAGCGTACCATGGACTACGTCGTCACCGGCTCGTGGAGCAAGAAGGCGGTCGAGGAAGCTAGACGTCTGGGCGGCGGTGCGGTGAACGTCGTCGTCGACGCGCGGAAATACTCGAAAGACGGAAAGTCATTCGACAATATCCCCCCTCACAGCGAGTACACGTTCTCTCCCGATCCTGCGCTCATCTACTACTGCGAGAATGAGACTGTTGACGGGGTGGAGTTCTCCCACGACGAGGCCGCGCCGACATCCTTCCCATATCAGCTTCTCAAAAAAGGAGCCCTGCTCCCTCTCGTCGCCGACTACTCGTCCTCCTTCATGTGTCGCCCTATTCCCAATCTTGCAGACCATGCCGTCATCTTCGCCGGCGCTCAAAAAAATATTGGTCCCGCTGGTCTAACGATCTTGATTGTGCGCCAAGATTGCCTCGTCGATACGGACGCCGCAGCCAAGATCGGTGCCGCACCAGTGCCGTTGACAATGTCTTACAAGACCCTTGCCGACTCCAAAAGCTTGTATAATACGCCGTCCGTGTTGCCGTTGTACATCTCTGGCCTCGTCCTCGAACGAATGGAACGATTGGGTGGTATCAAGTATTACGAGGAGTTGAACAGGCGGAAATCGGGCAAAGTCTATGCCGTACTGAAAGAAGGAGAAGAGAAGGGAGTCTTTCAGAAGAAAGTGCAAGACGGTTCTGAGAGTTGGATGAATGTCGTGTTCACTTCTCCAAAAGAAGGCTCGGAACAGCGCTTCCTGGATGGTGCAGAGAAGGAGGGAATGAAGGGCCTAAAAGGGCATCGGTGAGTACAGTCATTGAGCGTTCTTCGATTTTTATTCATTCGTGTCGTCATTGTGCGATTCTAGCTCCGTCGGCGGTAAGTTGCCTATCTGTCTCTCTTCTGATATCGCTACTCACTGCGCTCTAGGTATACGCGTCTCTCTGTACAACGCGGTCACTGAAGAAGAGACGGACAAGCTTGTTAGCTATATGAAGGAGTTCATCGCTCAGGAGGCCTCTTAGACTGTGCTGTAAATAATGGATGAAAGTCAGCTGTATTGAAGCCTCGAGAACCTGAATATGGGCCAATCGAATCATGACGTTCGCGCTGACTCGAGTTGTCTACTGGCTCTAGTATTGCGTCAAATCTCAGTTGCAAAATTTCCAAGCAGGCCGTCATTTGGCGAACAGCTGCGAAATCTACTCTGGTGTGGCGCAAAATCACGACCATGTCTACCTCACTGAGGCTCGAACCCCCGGCATTGATCGAGGTAAGACCTAAAAATCTGCCCCAGTGAGGCTCGAACTCACGACCTTCCGATATTATGTAAATAACAGTCGGACGCTGTAACCAACTCAGCCATGGGGCACTGTAAATATGAATGAATTTGACATCTAAGTAGAGTATGCTTGCTCAGGCTCATCTCGACTATCGTGCTTGACATTCCTGTCGGTATCACCCATGACGACATGACGAAGAAAGCTCGCCCAACCTCTACAAAAGCTTCGACAAATGAACAGCCGCTCAACGCAACGTTCCCTGCCTTGTCCCATAAGCATAACATACCTTGTCGTGTCCTTCTGGAAGACCAGATCTTGGTGCTTGATGTCGGTTTGGATCATCCGCGTTCATCTGCATCTTATGACTTGACTGTTTTCATGCTGTAGAATGTCTTCACTCCTGAAGAGTGCTCGCAATTTGTCAGATTTATTGACAAGCAGCCCCTTCAGCTCACACCTCCCAAGAAGAAGGGAGAGGCTGATAGAGTAAACCGTTTGTATCAGCAGTGCTTGGCTTGGCCAGTCATGGCAGGTCATGGCTGATCTGCAGCCCTAGATCGTCTTTCTATCACCTCGGTCGCCTTCGCACAACATCTGTTCGCTCTGTTGAGCCCGCATCTACTAGCCTTTCCATACCCGGCGTCTCAAAAGCGTCTCAACTCCCTATCTCGACCTGCGCATTCACTCAACTCCAATATCCGTCTCTACAAGTATACGCCAAACCAACATTTCGGTCAGCATTATGATGACTGGGTCCGAGATACAGAGACAGGAGCCAAGTCTGAGTGGACCTTGTTGATTTACCTGACAGGGGCAGAAGATGGCGTGGAAGGTGGTGAAGTATGCTGCACCTTGCGAGAGATCGAGTTCCAGCGTTGACTGTTACATTCACTCCTTGCCAGACGATCTTCTATCCGAGCTCCAAGTCATCTGACGCAATCGTCGTCCCCTTGACTCGAGGCACTGTTCTTCTTCACCGGTACGTTCTGTTGGTGTCCAGCTCTAAGCTTCCACACCGGCTCAACTCATTCAGACATGGGCACGAGTGCCTTCTACACGAAGGCTCTGAAGTTCGTAGAGGGACAAAATATGTTCTTCGTTCAGACGTTATGTTTATGAACTGAATGCCTTGTCGGAACTTCTTGAGTGAAGTCAGAACACCAAGGACACCAAGATATTATCTCCTCCCTTTCTTTTGTCTAGACGGCATGCCCGCTTCAACGACATCATCGTCACGATCCCTGTTGTCTCTGTCACCACCCTCTTCCCTTCTCCGTTTTCGACCACGCCCCCCTTTCACCGCTTGATCCTTGAGCTCATTGGCGGCCAGCCTTCCCGCCTCATCCACTCGCTCTCGTAGTAAAGCAACCTCATCCTTATCAGTGGGCCAAAGCTCCATTTTTTTGCCTACGACCTCTTCGATCCGTTGGACGAGTTCGACGTCGTATTGTGTTACGAGCGTTATTGATTTCCCAGACCGACCGGCGCGCGCCGTTCTACCGACTCGATGAATGTAGTCTTTTGAATGGGTAGGGATGTCGAAGTTGATAACAACGTCAACTGATGGAATATCTAGACCGCTAGATTTGTTTGTGTCAGAACATGTAAAACATGAATCATGCCAAAGCTGTAGCCTTCATTACCGACTAGCAACGTCTGTTGCTACGAGAATGTTTCTACCACCGCTCTTGAATTTGCCAAGAGCACCTAATCGCTGACTTTGACTTAATTGACCGTGTAGTGGAATGGCGGGGAAGCCCAACGTCCGCAAAATTATGGACATTCTGCTGAAGGATATCAACAAAATTCGAACTCCTTTTTAGCAGTGGACGAACCGTTGAGCATCATGCACTGTTCTTGTAAATATCATGATAGAGTTTTGTGCCATTGAGTTTGCGAGATATATGAGGTGTACGTCTTTCTGGCTCAGTGGGACTAACAAATAATATTGAAGCAAGGTGTCAACAGTTGAATATCTGAACGAATCTATGTTAACATTGCTAGGGAGTATCAACAGACGTTCGTGCACGTACTTTGATGAAACTTCCACCCTAACCGGATTGGATAGACTGGCACGTTGCAGTTTGGCAACTTTTGTGGTCATTGTTGCAGAGAAAAGATATGTTGTCCGCTCCTTCGGAATGACCTTGAGTATCTTGTCTATAACAGGCCCAAAGTCCATATCCAACAGACGATCTGCCTCGTCCAAAACCTAGAAGTGCGTTCAACATATCTCCTGTGAGAGCTTATACGATTCTACCCACCAGATATCTAAGTCCTCGCAAGCTGAAGCCCTTGGTATTCTCCAGGTGATCAATCAGACGTCCAGGGGTAGCAACTATAACATGTGGCCGCTTTGCCAGTGCTATGGACTGAGAGACCATGTCCATCCCTCCCACAATGACCGCGCACCGTACCCCGATCGCAGAACCCAGTGCTTCGAATTGTTGCGAAATTTGATAGGCCAATTCGCGCGTCGGCGCCAAAACACAGGCAAAAAGACCTTTTGGCTCTTCCCATAATTTCTGTAGGATCGGGAGCGCAAACGCAGCTGTCTTTCCAGACCCTGTCGATGCTACGCCGATGATATCACGTCCCTCGAGAGCATGAGGAAGAGATTCGACCTGGATGTCAGTAGGATTCTTATACTCGAGCTGGTTCAGCGCTTCCAATAAAGGATCAATAAGGCCAAGCGACTTGAAGGTGGGAGTCGAAGAGGTCGACGTGCTAGCCTCCTCTGCCGAAGGCATTGAATGAAAATTGTTGATTTGTGTAGCAAATGAAGGCCGCTCGACCTCTGATCGGCTGTTTCGTAGTCCAAATCTAGGGTTAGGGCTTATGTACTCGTGCCCGCGAAAAATGTCTGAACGGCAATTGCCGAGCTGCCGCAACAGCACTTTTGAGCATGGCTGTATGTTAGCTGTATGTCTAACAAAAACATGACAATTCTTGAAAATATACTGGTGCATAATGTATGATATCCACATTCCATGTGTTAAATTATTTGAAATTTGAGTCAATTTAAAGCTTTTGTGGTAAGATCTTTCTCTATATAGCAGAAAACAGACCCTTCTAGAAAGAGTGGTCAACCAAAGATGATTCTGTTATGAACTGCTTACTATATCTTTCTTGTTTTACCACGATCCATATAAGGACACATAGGACCTTTCTCCTGACTACACTTCGCGTTCCTGATCCATTGTTACTTGGTCCATGCTCCTACCTGTACGTATTTATTGCAGCTGTGGCATAGTAGGGAAGCCTTAGGCTATCCACTTCTGTCCAATTTAAGAACTGCTGTTAACCAGCCTTCTCTGATTCAAAGACACTAGTCTAATCAGCTCAAACCCTTCACATCTATCATTCTCATCCTATCTGCACTATTAATTGATCTGTGGTCTAGGATCCTCTCATCCTAAACAGCTGTTTGTGACAGATTCTGAATAAATAAAAATCTAAATATATTTGACAGACTTCTCTATGTAACATCTCAGCCACACATCTTATAAGAAAGTGAGAGAATGCTGTATCAACAAATCATCTTATAAGAAAATAAGAGAATGCTGTATCAATAAATGGTGTCTTGATATATACCCATGACAAGTTTACAATCTAATCAGTCAGTATAGAGCAGACCTATTGAGGGCTAGTAATATTTGAATACATACCATCTATGCTAATAGAGTCATCTTGAAGTAATATTCATGATTTCTGGTGACATTCACAATAGTGGTGGTTTGTAATCATTCAAGGCCCTAATTATTATATTGTTATATATGTTCTTGGAGAAAACAGTCAACATAATAAGCTCCTCCTAGCTTTATATTTTGTACATGACAAATAACATATATAGAGAAGCCTGTCAAATATATTTAGATTTTTATTTATTCAGAATCATCTTTGGTTGACCACTCTTTCTAGAAGGGTCTGTTTTCTGCTATATAGAGAAAGATCTTACCACAAAAGCTTTAAATTGACTCAAATTTCAAATAATTTAACACATGGAATGTGGATATCATACATTATGCACCAGCACATTTTCAAGAATTGTCATGTTTTTGTTAGACATACAGCTAACATACAGCCATGCTCAAAAGTGCTGTTGCGGCAGCTCGGCAATTGCCGTTCAGACATTTTTCGCGGGCACGAGTACCATCATTGCACCGGAGCTGCAAAAAAGATATTTCTTTGTAGTATCTTAAATTAGGCTCTATCTCGCTCCACATTTTTATATTACCTGCGGAAGCCTCTTGAAATGTATCCTCTTATTTTTTCATATTTTTGAGCAAAATCGAAGAACTATTGTGATATGATTGAGAAGGGGTGTCCGAAAACGAGCAAATCTTGGGGGTTGCAAATCTTGCCGACGATCGGGTCACATGTCGTCACGTTTAAACTCGAACTCCGACGGCGTGCACTGCGGAATGACCTGCCATGCGGAGATTCAAAAAATGACCAAGCATCACACGGCCCGAGACTTTCTGTCACTCTGCCTGCCATCAGGTACTGCCCGTCGAAAACGATTTGGTGAAGAGCAGTGGAGCCCTCAAAGTCAGACAAAATGACCTGAATGCTTTCAGTGATACCTCTTAATACTCTAATTTTTTTAGTTTTGTAATTGAGCTCTAGGACCTGAGAGATCTTGAGCATCTCTCAGATACCTCTGCCTTGAAAACCATTATTCATTGCCTCCTCACTGCTGCACCCAATTTCTGTTCTCGCAAAAACTCTCATACTTGAAGAGTACTTAAATGAACAACTATGAATTTTTTCAAGAGGTGCCGTCAAAAGTTGCTGCGGGGAGCTCGATTTTGAACCTCTCATACCATTTACAACTCCGGTGCAACGATAGTACCATTCACCGGTCTTTTCACGTTCTAAATGGATGTCATTATAAAATAGACGTCAGTTCGACTATCTTCGCTTCCGATATTTTGAAGACTGTCTCTGGAATACCAATTAACATGAAGGGTCCAAGTAGATAAATTATATGCGCAAGCAACCAGAGAACCAAAAAAAAGTCTGCAGATGTCAATCGATTCCCTCCCCCATGCCCACAACAAATGTACTTCTCCCCCCTCTGGGCAGAACAAGGATTTTTTCTGCTCCATGAATCTGGTAGGTCTCGACACTTGGCAAAGATAAGGAGCCCATAGTCATTTCTCCGGCCAATGGTAGAGCCGTAACGGAAACCTTTGGCAGCGAGAGTTCGCCATGATGTAGGGCGATGAAGGTGATAGGAACAGTATACGTACTTCCGTCCTACGACTTCGGTCAGAGAAAGTCAAGCGCTCTTGAGAATCAAAAGAAAAAAGTACCTGGGCCTCGAAGTCGCCGCGTTTTCTCCCACTCACCAGCCATTCGCGGAGCATCTCCTCGATGTCAAATCTCATCTTATACCCCCTCTTGTCATCATGATTCCTTGTCCCCCAGCGGAACGTCGCATGCATAGTGAGTAGTGCCGAGATAGGCTGACCAGCGTACAACGGAGGGAGTTGGTCTGATGACGTTGATTCGGTCGTGAATGGGTTTGCCAAGATATGTATTCGAGCGGCAACAAGAATCTAGCACCGATACCATGAATGGACATATGACTCTGATATTCATTTGACTTACATTCATGATAGGAACGTCTACTGGGATCTGTAGTTCACGCCACGTCCCGTCGTTGATGCTGGGATTTTTATTCTGTCGAAGGACCTGCGGATATTTTAGATCTCACCGCATGACGAGAAGACGATAACGCGCACCTCCTTGATATTTCGAAGAATTTGTCCGATTTCACCTTCTTCGTTTGTATCAGGAACATCGAGCTCTCCTGTTACCCCATACAGTTGTACCCAGCCCGCGTCACCCTCCAAGGTTTGAATTACACGATCGATGAGAATACTCCGATGTGTTACATGCTCAGTCTCTTGCGCGAGGGCGGCATCCACAGTTTGCTCTATGATACCTTCGATTTCTGGATGCAAATTTAGTGAGGCGAGTTTTCAACGAAGAATGACTGCTCTGACCATCACGTAGCATCCTGTACTTGATAGAAAGACAGAGCGGATCACGGACTGAGAAGATGCATTAGATGGATATAGGTGAATATAGGTGAGATAAGTTAAGGCCTACCTCGCCCATTTTGACATTCCAGCTGAAACAAGAAGTTCGCTGGTCTTGAAGGTGTGATGGTCTTTGCCGATGGGTTAATCTTTGTGGGAATTATCCAGATTGTCACCCACTATAATGCTACGTTGATGTGGATGCGTTGATGATATAACCAACCCCTCTTCGCCTTCTTCGCCCTTGAGTTGGGCTGTTGCGAGCCGTATATGTTGGTAAGATGTTGTCGAGATGGTGAATTTGGAGAACAACCTGCAAGCATCGGATGAGTAAGATCACTCATGCTCAAAAATCAATTTCATACTTTGAACCTCTGAAAAAGTCTTGCACATTTACAGCAACAGGCAAGAGTGTTGGAACTCTACAGGTAAGCCAAAGTGACCGTGATATGGAAGACTCCGGTTCCGTCGTGTATTCAACAGAGATGTCAACTTGCTATGTACCCATCTGATCAGTATGAAAGTCGTCTCAGCTGCAACGTTCCTTACCATCGCGTGTAATGCCGAGGCATCCGAATGAGGCACCAAGACGGATATGACCGTTTCCTTATCTACATCGACCAACGTGACATTGCTTTCGTTGCATTCCAACGCTCCCGATGACCCTATGCATTTCCTGTCAATCACAGATGGGAACATTAGCGTTAGTGGTCGCATACCATCGCTCTCTAGTTTAGCCTGTGAAGATCGAAATTGAACTCCTGATGTGCTCGAAAGTGTTATGATGGCTTTTGAAATTTGGTTCCGACCGGTACCCACGGTCATCAGTATGCTCGAGGGCGCGCCGAGTTTGACTTGTGGAATAGGAAGTCAAGTTCGCCGCCTCGAAACCAAGGGCTTGTGAACGTACTGCATCGAGGCCGTTTGATTCGCACGTCAAAAGCACATAGGTCTCTCGCCAGTCGAACTAGCACCGGAAGCTCAGCCTTCTGGCGAGAGAGCTTCGACGCTTCCGCAGGCTGACGATGAACCCACTGGAAATGTAGGCGTGATATTCGGACTTCGCTAGAGTCGAAGATGAATGTGCCCCATGACGATGTCTTCACAAGGTTAGCAGCTACACCCATGGTGTCATAACGCAATGGCCACGTACTGGACAAAATAAGGTCAGCGTAGACATTCCCGACGCTAAACTTCGGGTCTTTACGTTGAAGACCAAACGCTCCGACTCACGGCCCGTCAGTGTGACACTGACCTCGTCTACAGGGATTTCCTAAAGAGAGCACGGTCATTGACGGATCCCATCACGACCTTAAAACATACGCATGGCAAACGATTGTTCACTAGGACATCGACGAAGGAACCGTCTTCTGAGCCCGCTAACCGTGCATTGGGATTCACTATTTTGATGGATATTGCTGGGTGCTCTGAATGTATAAGATCTTGGAGACACCATGAATATTGTAAGTATATCGCATGCGATAGAGAATGAACATACCCGAATCTATATTGTTCGCTAAGTCTTGCAATGCTACAACTATCCGTGATACATATGCCGCCTTGTCGTCTTCAGTTACCAGTAGGTCGCTCCCGTGATCATCTACATACGACTTCAAAAATGAAAGCGCAATATTGATCCACTGTTGGTCCCTTGCACTGCCCAAAGCTGCGTGGATGTCGATGGCTTGCGAGAGCATATATGATTCTAGAGCGATCCATTTATGTGGGGAATAGTGAGCCGGTAGGGATGAGAAGGTTTGGAAAGCAACAGGTAGACGTTCTCGATGGCTACAACGATGGTTTGTACAATGGATGATGGATATGAAAGGAGTAAAAACGTACACGTCGAGGGCGGCAAGGTTCCAATGCAGCTTCAGTGCAGATTTGCGTCGGCCGGCTTTGGCATTGAGCTCAATTGCGCGGTTTGTGAGGCTGACATATAGCTCATAGAATGCGTCTTCGTCCTCCAAAGAGGCCAACAAATCGGTTCTGCTGATCTTCTGCGACGAACGCTTCCGCGCACCATTAATAGATGGAGATGGGAAGAACAATGCCATGGTGAAGGGCGGTTTGGATGGCAAATGTCCGGCTTTGATACCTATAGTTGTGAGCTTGAAGAAGAACAACGGTCAATCCTTCGAAAATCAAGTCGATGGCAAGAGACCTACTTGGTTTCGAGCTAACTCAAGCAACTCAGCCTTGGATGCGTTGAAGGCAGTTAATGAGGAAGCCTCAAGGCCACGCGCCCACGGCTCCGTATCCTCCACAACGCTGAGGGCAGACGAGTAAATCCATGATTCGACAAAGTATTGAGGAAGCGTATCCTGAGACAATTTTGGCAATATATCAGACGGTGCGCTATAAGGGTACTTACCTCTACATCCCGTAGCTGACGCCCTAGCAAAGAAAGGAATTTACTAGCTTTTCGACAGACGTCGGCGACTCTCCCAACTTTCCCCAAGAGCGCGCATTGCCGCGCAAGGAGATATATCCGAAAGTCGAACACGGAAATGGCATTCGCAAGGATGAGATCCCGATACGGTTTCTTGTCGATCGAAAGAAGGGGCACCGAGTCATCATTCTGTCCAGCGAGAATGAGTGTTCCAAACCAAAGAAGACTCTTTTGGCTTATGACATTGGTAAAGGAGATTTCGAGTTCATCATATTGAAGTAATGCGTCTTCAAAAAGATTCATGCCTTCGAAAGAGCTAGCTAAGCTTTCCTGTTGGAGCGATGCTTGAGATGCGCAACAGTGACGTGGGGAAAGCATCTTGGCTTACCTTTAGAATGAAGAACGTACAAAAATTCCACCCCGGCATTCCTCTTTGACTATCCGATCGCTTGACGTCCTCTGATCGTTGTGCGACCGCAGAATCAAACGCAGACAGGATACCCTCCTTTATCTTCGATATAAGATCTGCCCAAGCTGCAGGATTGTCCTGGCCAGTAGTCCATGAAAGCTGCACGCATCTATTCCCAATTATCTCCATCGCATATTCCACGAAGAAGAATGGACTCACCTGTCACGTTTATCTAGATTGAAATCCGCTCTGATTTTATCCAAGACACTTCCCTTCATCTGGAAAAACCCCGACGCAGCACTTCTAGCATCTGGTCGAGTAACGTGGAGAAGAAGCCATTCTTGGTTCTTGCGTTGACTCACGATGGTGTGCCATTCCTTGATCTGCTTCCGAACGCTAGTCTTGTATGTTTCATTGTCCTACAAACGGATGATAAGATACTACCGTTAATCTGGGCGTTACCTCATTTACCTCACATGTTACAACATATAGATTGAGCAACGGTTTCTCCAGCAGTGTGGATGGGACTTGCGAAGTGTGCTCATCCCGGACACTGTCGAGGGCAACAAGCTCCACCTCTAGCTCTTGGATTGTCCTAATGGATGGCCGGGAAACAGGTTTCCAATGGAGATTTCGAAGAGGAAGTTGAGATGATAGACCATTTTGGAGATGTTGCCAGTAATCAGAGGAGAGAAACGACAGGGAAGCAGAATAGGTGATGAGGGCGCGCTGAGGGGCCATGAGTGGGCCGACCGTAAGTTGTCTTTAGCGAATATGTTTTATAGGTGTTTCATAAGCAAAGATTGCTCTCTTCGATGCTTAATAGGACGTTAAGGTGAGACCATCTCTCACACGGTTCACGCTTGCAGACTTGCCCGATATGGTCATAGAAGCGTATACCGTCATTAACGATAATTTAGAAGTCTAATGAAATTTATTTCACAGGTATATGCAGTCAATCCGTCTTTACACCACTATCGCTCTGTGGCGTGTCCATTGGGTACCCGTGCCACACACCAATCAGAGCAAGGACGTTCGCTGTTACCAACATCCCGGATGACACCACTGTTGATGGGTATACATTCCAAGCATATTCAACAGCGCTCAAGATGCAGAGCCTGAGGAGTCTCTCAGGCGAGCAACAAAGATGAGAGTGTGAGGTGCTTACTTTACGAAGGTTGGGTACGGCGTTCGCCACAGTAGAAAGGGTAACTGCTGCGCGTACCAAGAGTAAAACTGATAATGAAGTGAACGAGCGAAGATGATTCCAATCAAATTCGCACTGAAGACGATGGTAACGACATCTAAGGCGCGCAGTGAGCATTGTTAGATCTGGTTGCTAGCTAGCCACCTACCATCTGCAGTTATTTGAGAAACCCCGCTTGCTTTCATAGGATTTGTAAGAGCCTTCCGCAATACCGCTATAAAGCCACCATCCTTGTAGCACCACTTGAAGAGACCAAACGCTATCAAAACAGAGGCATGACCAAGGAGCAAACCTCGGGCCAATCCTGGGCTCAGGAAAGTAGCCTCGTCGAGGAAGCGCCAATTGACCGTCCATTTGTAGAGGAATACTCGAGAGAGGTCGAACGCGTTCGCGAAATACGGCCAGGGGTAGTCACGCAAGAATTGCCGACAAATCAACCCTTGTACGAGTGTCATGATAGCCACGAGACGAAAAGTGTCAAGAGGCCCTCGACGCTTGACACAGATAACCAGGATACCAGGCAAGCACAAAAGAGCGGACATCTTCACCGACACCGCAGCACTAGCTCGTGATACTATGATGATTGCGGTCTAGCAAGAGGTGATGTTGAAACTTACCTAAAGATGACCGCACCGAGATCATAAGAACCAGCTGCAAACGACAGTACTGCCATCTGTGTCAGAACGACAGCCCAACAGTCATTGAAGAGACGCAGCACGAATATGGAATGCAACCTTTTGCTCAACGGCAAGAGAAGGATGACCCAGTTTGGCAAAGCGCCCGCCGTCCGATAGATGGCGCATGAAAGGACCAAAGACACTATGTATAAACCAGCGTATATTTGCTGTGCGAAGGCAATATCCAATCCTGCGCCCGTGATTCGATACAAAAGCTCGTGGATATGGACATGCCCTGCGGGATACCTACACGAAGACATGTAACCCGACTAAGCATTGAGTCAAATAAGAACACACACTAGGGGCCCAGTAGGTCCAGATATGTTTGAATAATCGCGTTCCCCTTTGATGTATAGTTGAACTTGGTACATGTAAGTCTCCCAATCAATCTCGGTATCTAGATAAAAGTAAATATCGGACGGCATCATGCTAGAATCCGTGCACGAACAGGATACGAAGCGAATAATGAGTTGTGTCAGTATTGCATCTCCTATGATGACCACCGCTGCTAGTGCCCAGAACAACTTGGGGTCATACAAGAGTCGACGGACCGCATTGGTGATCGAAGAGGTGAGCTGGAGCATAGGCCGTTCTGTCACACCTGTGACAAATCTCATCGAGGACCTGGGCAAACTATATCCCGATCAAGACTCAACGTCAATTTCGGCTTCTCCCGCCCCTCAAAGCGAACCCTCTCTACACACTACTCTGCAGGCTACCACTTCTTCACTTTGTTCATTGCGCAACCTAGTCAAGGGGGAGCGTTACGAGGTGCTGCGCAGCTGGCTCACAGCTCGTTTTTGACTCGGGTATGCGGCGCACCCGACCGCTACCCGACACCAATCCTGAGCTCATTGTGATCGAGACACCTGGCTTATGTTACGAGTATAGGGTCGAAAACTGTCATTTAGCTCAAGATGGAAGCCGAAGAGTTGAACAGGGGACATCAAGACTGAGCTGGAAGGATGGCTTGTTTGTTGCTATCGCTGCTTTCATGTGGCCCTCGGTATGTATAGTACAACAATTTCTTGCGAATATGGAGTCATCATCTCCGCCCAGATATGTTCCTATCGGCTTGCTTTGATTGGGTTCATTATAGTACTGGTATCATTTGTATATGCCAGGTGCACTCAAATTCTCTGGGGTATAGCTCTCTCATCATGGACGGTGCATTTGCATGCTCAATGACGCTGTTCCATTAGAATCAATCCTTGTTATCCCTCCGCATGGGATTCAATTCGAAACTCATCGAGGTTTTCCTCCATATCCTCTTTTCGCCTCGCGCAGCTTTATACCTCTGATCATCCTGCAAAATTTTGTAATCAACGAAGGCCTGCGGAGGTGGGACGTTCGGTTCTATCTTGCGGCCATCAAGAAAGCATCAAGCGGCGCAATGAGTATGGAAGTAGCGTACGAGGTAAATTATCGAATGATATTCATAGTAGTACACGCTGCTCAACTTGTTCTGGGTTTCTCATTAGAACATTCTTCCCCGTTTTCCTGTTTTGATAGAAGTATACCACGGTATACATGGCAATCTTCAGACAATGAATGAGGACACTCAAAATCTATAAACAAAGATCGAAAGCGAGCGTATAGCAGATGTGAGCACGACAAAAGTAGAGTGAGCTTGACGCTTGGCGTCCTGCACATGGGTATCAAACGAGTAGTAAATGCTGTACGAGTACACCGATGCATCATGGCGGGAGAAATGTGTGATTAAAAAGGTTTTGCGTTATCCTCACTTTCGTATGCGCTGAGCAGGTCATCGTACCCCTCATCATCACCTTCCTCCGCCGCACTTTCTGTAGTCCGCCTCGGTTCCCTTGACTCTGTAGAAACCTTGCGCGTCCTGGTAGGGTGACCATCCGCGGAGATCTTCTTCGTACGACCCTCATGGATGTCGTTCGAGACCTTGCGGACCCGCCCTTCTGACGAAACTTTTCTAGTCCGCACGTAACCTTCGCTATTTCCTTCTGTTGAGATTTTCCTTACCCGTTTCGGAGATCGAGGCGACGGGGGAGACGCTGACGACGATTGGTGACCATCATGACTGTCGTGTGCCATGTCAAACATTGTTGCTCGCGGTGTCATGGCACTATCATGATCTTCGGGCCACTCGGGTGGGGCCAATGTGTTTGGACTAGGGGGTTTAAGGTCAGGAGAGTTGTGTAGCATTATATTGGAATCTGATTTCTGGATTCGCAAGTTTGCGACGCGAGCAGGATTACGCTTTGAACGAGCACGCGGACTTCTAGATGGCGTTTGTGCGAATGAAGAGTCAGAAGTGTCCTCCAGCTGTAGACTGGGTGGTGGAGTTTTCTTGCGGACAATCTTCTTGATGTGCACTGGTGGCTCTAAAGCTCGAACATTCGACTCAGTGAGGACCATCGACCCGCGCTGAGATTCTGCACCAGTGACTTCAATACCACTAGAGAATCGAGACGACGGAGGTGTTGGCGGCGGTGGGGAGGCTGGAATGGTATGAGGAGAATCCGGAATGTCCCTTCTACTCCAACCTCTGCGAGCAGAATCGTCCGGACGATCTCGCACTGCTGAGAGGCTGCGACTTGCCATTCGTTCAATCCCAGCGGAAGGGCTCAGCGTGCCGCGGTCAGATGAAGAAGTGGGCGAGGTTGGGCGTCCCCGGTGTGTTCGAAAGGCCGGGGCCATTGGCGAGACGGATGCTCGATGGAGAGGCACCACTCTACTTTCGGTAGCGTCTGACTCTCGATCTGAACGAGGTTCGATACCGCGGGATCGGCCGGCTACATCGGACATTGACGAAAGAGAGGACTGTGAACCTCTGTGACTGAGGTGTGGCTTGCTGCGCAATACCTCCGACCAATCTCGTTGGTGGCCTCTGATAGCCACGGAGGGAGGACGAACGGTCGGCGGAGTGCTCGTACCCCCTGTGATTAACGAAGACGTGCTCAGTAGAAGCGGACGTGGTCCCTTCTTGACTTCAGGCTTTGGGGAGGGCGTGGTGTGAATACCAGCGAACGACGCGAGAGAGTCCCGCATCCCCTTCGCTATGACCGCAGCGCTGTCTGCCGCCGACGATGGAGTATCTGGTTTGGTAGGGGAAGACACCGGACTCCGTCGAGGTTGCGGAAGCCAGCTATCTCGTGGTGGACGGAAGAAAGCGGGGCGAGTCGGTGGGGAATACGACTCTTTGCGATCGGGTCCAGGCAAGGAGCTCCTGCGGTTGTCATCATCACCCTTCTGATGACTTCCATCACTGACTGATCCACTCCGCGGCTTGTTCACGGCCTGCAATGATAACGAATCACTAGGAGATTGGGTGGAATTTCCGCGGCTACTCCATGCTTGCATGGCCTTAACTCTCCAATTAGTACCGACTTTTGCCAAGGTAGCAGCTGTATCCGAGTCCTTGAACTTGTCGGCATAATTCCAAAGAGACCCGGGTGAGGGGGGAGCAAGGGTATCCCTGGACCTCGCGCTGTGTGGCGACGGCAAAGACGGCGAGACGGGGGCTGGCGTTAAAGGAGAGATCGGAGAAGGTGGAGGCTCCTGATTAGTAATGCCTCTCCAAACAACGTTAGCCCAACGCGATGTGAGTCCAGACGATGTCGGTGCACTGGCCGCAGGAGGGGTTTCTGTTTGATCACCATCATCAATTTCTTGTTCCTCGTCAGAATCAGACGTGTCCGGAGAGGAGTTAGGAGAGGAAAGCTGGTTTGTGAAACCTTTCCAAACGGTATCCCTCAAACGAGACCCTAGGCTGGCATTGAGAACTGCAGGCATTCGAAGAAATTGCTCTCGCCTCTGAGCAAGCTCGGCCGCTGTTTGGAGGACACTCTCCACGCCTCCTGCCGCCTCGATTGAGTATATCTGTAGAAGTGCCATTCCTTCCACGAATGCGTCGTTCAGCTCCCAGGCTCTTACTGGTGAGGGAGGTGGTAAAGAGGTCTCGTCAGTCCACAGACCAGGAGAACGACGTCCAGACTTCCCCAAACTGGTTTGATCTCCATGAATAACATTTTGTCATTTATAATGATGAGAACACACCGAAGCAACGGGCCTTTGGCACGAATAAGCATGCTTGTGCAGATGTCAAGAAGGTATTCTAGTTTTGGACAAGCATCCCGGGTGGTCATGGGACGAGAGAACAGCGCATCCCAGATCGAGAGAACAGACGATAGTGGGAGTGTATGAGTGAGGATTGGAGCTAGCCATCGACTGAAATGGGTTCAGATGTTAATGGATCAGGATCGTTGCGGAGAATCCAGAGACTAGACATACTAAGAATAGTGTGGTAGACCTGGGTCGAGCCCCTTGGCGCCCTAACATACGTGCATTAACATTGTCAGTGAACTTATCATAGCAAATTCTGGAGAGATGTTACCAAATCCATGGAGAGGTCCGGGTCTGCCCATGCGAGTCGTTCACCAAACTTTTTCATCCACTGATTTCCTCCTTCCTCGTCCTCCAGTTCAGCGAATTCTCCAACCATTGCCTCAAATAGCCAAAATGTATCAGCTTCAGCATGTGCCAAATCCAACGGTTCCACTTCTTGCGTGAGAACCAAGTAGAGCGGTATAAGGAGGGAAGCCATGTGGGGCGAATGATTGGCGGGGTTGAGACATGAATGAACATAGAGAAGCCGGATTAAAGCAGAAGCATGCTTTGGGTGCACGCCACCAGTATTGAAAGCTGTCGAAGGAAGTAACATCGTTGATGTACCAAGCTTTGGCCGTGACGCAGAGTCAGGTGAAGTGAGCGAAATCTCAGGAATCACTTCTGTATCAGACTCTAGGCGAATTTCCGGTATACCCTGAGAGCCATCGTCGGCATCACGAGAATATATCGCTTGCAAGCGCACGTCCAGGTTCGCAGCGCAGCTAATCCTGATGTCATCAGGTGCGGTATCATCCAGAGGACACAACGCCGAGACTTCTGGCTCCTCTTGCAGTCCTGAGAGGAGATTAGGTGGAACGCGAAATAAGTCCTTGACGGCGTTTGTTAAGGACGCGTCTAGTGGAATCAATGGGGTCGTGGGCGGAGCTAGACTGGAGAAGGGTTCAAGTAAGCGACGAATGAGATCCTGTTCACGATAATGTTAGTCGTCTCATATACATAGACAGGGTAAAGGGTTATACATAGTAGCTGTCTCGATGTTTCCGGGCCTCTCCATCCCATGATGCTTTCAATACCGGTAGCGTACCTAATAATAGCCTGATGCTCTAATTTTAGAGTATACGGAAGCGCCAAGGTTGATCATATCTTACCTCCACGTCCTAGGCCGCAGCCAAGAGGGAGATGCAGGAATGCCTGTTAAAAGCATGACATTATTAAAAAATCGCACGAGGTCAAAAGACGTACCATGAGCGCAGACCTTGCGTAGACGAGGCATGTCGACAAGAGGCGTCGCATCAGACCTATCGAGAATCTCCGAGATTGCGTTCAACCTTCAACGAGTTCCTGATCAGCAGACTTCAGCAGCGTCCTCGTATAATAGACTTACACATCGTCTGGCCGCAATTCAGGTGTCCATGCTACGCCGTAAGACCGCGCAACGTTCATGAGATAACTGTCAAGGTCTGCAGCTGATGCAGATGGAGCTGATAAGGCGCGAACAACCTATATATAAAAGGTTGAAAGGAGAATGAAGCAGCTAGAGTCGAAGCGACGGACATGGGAGGAAACATAATTGTCCCGATTGGTGATAGCAGAATGAGTGAAATCGGATCCAAGGCGATGAGCCAAAAGATCACGGACAGCGTGAAGGTCTGGAGTGGGGTGTGAGAGCGACAAGGTATGAGGCTGAGATGCGGCATGCCTTTGAAGTCCGTGTGTGGAGCAGCAAATATGATAGTTGATGCGGCTTCGACAATAACTGGACTTGGAGGTATGTCGCTGTGGATATTGAGCGTCTGAGACGGATTAACGGCACCACCGAGGCAGACGTACTTCTCCAGTTCATTCAATCGCTCAAGCAGCACTCCAATTTGCATCTCCAACAACTCCAGTAAGTCTCCATAGATTTCGTCCTGAATCAACTTTTGAGCCTTGGCACGCGCCAGTGTCGCGTTTCCTTGCTGTAGTAAGATGGATATGTCCCTGCCGACAACTTGCCCTTGTGCATCCTTTCTGTCCCGTAGTTGACCCAGCCGCTGTGCCGTCAGGCGGAGTTGCGCCTGAGGTAGGCATTTGAGTTGGTGTGCACGTTACAGTGTTATACAACACACCTTGACACGAGTGATATCCCATCCACTCATGGTTTTGAGAGGGCGTTGTCGTGACTATTCGTGAATAGCGATGTATACTTTACAAAGTGGCCAGCGGAGGTAGGAGTAAGGTTCGAGAAGATCAGTGGCCTGAGTCAATTCAGGAGTGTGAGAGCAAGAGGCATGAGCAACAGATGACACGCTCAACCTTGCTACCATCTAATATCCGGCGTTGTCTTCTGCGTTTAGAATGAAGGGTGGCCAGCCGTCATGCCAAAAAGTGTCATTTAGACCGACTGGCAGAATCCCACGCATAATGCCCCCGACAAAAATCAAATTCATCAATAGTAGCAATGGGCGGTTACAATTAGCAGGTACAGCATGCAGACAGCAGGGTAAAAATACAAAGAAAGAGTACACATTGAACTAATAATACCATAGGGGAAGCCGTTTGGAAAGTCGACCTGATGTGTGTTTGCCTTTGTTACTCCCTTCGTCGCCGACCTGACTGTCCTCCAACATTGATGGTTCCAACGCATCGGCTTCTGATGGCCGTCGAGACGTACTCGGCACGCTACTAGTCTGATTCCGTGTGAGATCTTCCGTGGTGCGAGGTGCGAGCAAATCATCTGGGAGTATCATAGGTAGAGTCGCTCGTCTATCAGTCCGCTGTAGTTTTTGTGCTTCTTCATCGTCGCATTCCAGGTCGACAGCTTTTGTGTGGCGGGGGAGACTAGCACGGCGAAATGCATACACCCCGAGGCAAGCACCATAGGCTAACACTGAAAGTATTTTCAGTCGAAGGATGAAATCTAAATGAACTTGTACTCACGAAATGCTGGTGCTACCCAGCTAGCAACCAAGATGTACACGTTTAATAGCTGACACACGCCTTGGGCATCTGAGGCTTTGAAGTATATGGAAGGTCAGTAAGTTGCAATACGATGGCAGCGACTTACTGTTAGGCGGACATTGTAACGAGGGGTTCCAGACCGCAAATGCCAGGGCAATCCCTGCTCTACGTTGACGAATGTTCTCATAATTTTAAGAGCAGCACGCACCAATGTGACATATCAAAAGCAATAGCAACCTGGCACCATCTAACCATGTCCTGAATCTGCTCAAGATTCTGCGGGGGGCGTGATGTAAGCTGGGTGATTGCAGTTCGCAAGGAAGAACAAACAATATGGGAAGGATGATCACGGTCATGACATTAACGATAAGGAATAAGATGTTGAACGTATCTATACGATCGAATGTTTGAGCAGACCAGCCAAGGAAATAGCGCATAGTACAACTACTCACGTTCTGATTGATCGGATATACTCCAGCGCGCATACGAGAGATAACATAGCAGGATAATCCACGCAAAGCATATCAATATTGTTACAGCTAAGAGTGGCATTGATATAGAGACATGCGACAAGGACGAACTCGGACTCACAAAAAGCCACTGTTCTTATCTTTAAAAATACAGGTGAGTGTTCCATGAGCAACCAAAGGACGGATAGGTAGAGAACCAAGGCTTCAATGAAAGAGAGACGAAGGATATCCAGCCAGTGGTATCCAGAAAGGAAGATGATAACAATTGTCGCAGCGATCCAAGAGAGTGGGTGGAGGAGAACCTCAATCTCCACACGTAGATTTAAAGCGAGTGGCACATAATAATTGCCGTGGCAGTAGAACAATGAAGGCCCAAGTAAGATTCATCCGAACAGACATGCGAGTCCGAAGCAAGATGAACGCTGAAGATTCCTATTGTTCGTTAGCGTGGGCACGTGATCAATATTTCCTAGTGCGTCCCGAGCACCTCGTTCCACTTTCCGGGCACCTTCGGATATCAGCCCTGCACAGTGTGCATGCGGCTCGCCCCGGACAGGAGCATCTGTCCTAAGATAATTGGCGGTACCAGTTTATGCCTGGATAGCAATGGAACACACAATCAGAGGAACCAAAATAAAGATATGATTGCGCGAAAGTTCAATAAAATGAACCTAGTTGGTCGACAAAAGCAGTACACATTATGCAGGCCTTCACACACCATAGACTATATGAAAGAATACAGAGGTGCACGAGGACTTGGAACTCCAGGAATAATCTGTCCAGCAGATCATTAAGTAACAGTGACAATTTCGCCCTTGCCGTCCTTCAAGATAACAAGCTCACAATCGAGCTTTTCTCCGGTATCAAGGCAAGTGATATTAGTCGGATCGACAGAGTCCGTCTTGATCATGCGTTTTTCCATGAACGATCGTCCCAGCACGACATCAAAGTGTGACTCCTCGGATAGAAAAACTGAATGAACGGTTTTCGTGTGGCCAATAGTGATCGGCCATTTTCCGATGCTGAAAAACATCTTGTCAGCCAAAACAAAGATAGAGAAGAAAGATAGCTCAACTTGACCAAACCACCGTAGCCATAATGACCCGGTGCTGCGTCGGCAGGGATGAACCCATGTCTCATTGCAAACTTTCGGGAGACGTAGACATATCGGTAGCCATTCTTCAGCAGCATTCGGACTGAATAAATGGTTTCAACAATGGCCTGAGCATGAGAATAAGATGCATACTATCTGAAACGGGCCCAATACTGCCCACAATCGTCCTCACACCATTCTCGCTATGGAATTTCTCAAACTCCTTCTTGTGTTTGGGCGTCGCGTCATCATCTATCTTGGCAACAGATCTCTTGCTACGAACGGACGGAATTTCAACGCGAGAACCATTGTGAGAAGGGCCTGCCTTTCGATGAGGGCGAAAGAAATAATAAGAGGGGTTCTGGTAAGACGAGTCGGATGGAAGGGGTTTGGAAGGGTTCCGGAGATATATCGTTGGAGTATCGTCGCCAGAAGGTAACAATTCACTCATCCGCCAGACGAAAATCGTGTAGTCTGCATCTGTGATCACCAAAGACGATATAAGTCGGCCCGCAGTACAAGTGTAGCACTTAGGGGCGTACCATCGTCAAGATTCCAGACAGATCCGCTCCATTCATACTTCAACCAATTGGCTCCAATACGCTGCCCATGATATCCAGTATGGGCCTTTCTGCTGAGTTTGTCGAATAATGCAGTGAGAGATTCTTCAGCAACTGTTGGCCCACGGTGAGACTTCGCTCTGGAGCCTATACATGAGCCCATACACGAACTAACCTACCTGAATGTATGATCGCAAACGAAGAGGATGGTGTATGCACATTAAACACGGATGGTTTGTAAGACACCATGAGTGAAGATCAGTGTGGGGGCAACGAGAAGGTTGTAGCAGGTGAAAGACAAGACCAGCTGGCGGCCGCGGTAAGAGAATGGATGTGTTCATGACGTCAGGTGCTGCTTCTATTTAAATACTAGGTGATAAGTGTCATCGTGCTTACGCGTCTTCCTCTCTTCTTGCCTACATGTGCCATGCTGTACCCGGAGCGCCGTGGTAATATCTTTGGGGATCGACAAATCTGGCTTCAGACTGTCCCAAAAAATATGACATCCGACAAGCAGGATCTACAAGGAAGGATACCTATTTACAATGTCTAGAAATAAAAACAAGACATCGAGTCGTTCCCTCGTACTAAATCACCTGCCCATTGTCCGCCTACATAAATGCATCCATGTTCTAGATTGATCTCACGAATCATACGTTAAAGACATTCTTAAACTACCGTATTTGATCATAAGCATTGACTATAATATGGGGCTGATACGGCTGTGCAGGTTGAGCCAGATGCACATATGGTAGGTCCCGTCCATCCCGTGCCACCGCATTGACCATACTATACGCACGAGATTCAGTCTCTGAACTAGACAAGATAAGATAGCACATTACCTTGGTTTGAGTTGCGCCTGCAGCACTGGACGTGGCGGTAACAGAGGTCGAAGTTTGAATTGTTGATGTCGGAGCCAGAGTACTCGATGTGGAACCTCCACCAACGTAGCTCGAATATGAAGAGGAGTGTACCGTGGACAGGTCAAGGCCGAAGAAATCAAAATCATTGTGCTCAGTGAAATTAGAGGCTACGTTGGAAGGATCGTCAACTGGAGTATCGGTTGAAGCGACGTATGCAATGAGTTGAAAGCCGTTAAGGTTTCCGGAACCGATGGAGCCACCTTCCCATACTGTGCAGTTCTGAGAGTCATCGTTGAGTATCAAGAAAGGTGGATGATGCGAATTCAAACCTGACACCGGAACGACGCCTTGATATGTGTACTGTTCACAGTAGAGTCTGGGAGCAACGTGATTTTGGGACCGGAGTAGAGCAAAGGTTGGACATAGCCCCTGAGACATGCAAAATAAGTTTGACAGCAAACACACAATCAAATTCACATACGCAGTCCATCGAGGACCAAAAATGATTTCGTCCCCGTTTGGCCATAGAGTGAATAGGAGGCTGTTCGCCATAGTACCGCCAACACTCAGCCCAGTCCATCCATAGTTGACAGGTGCGACGAGCTGAGCGATGAATTCAGTTGCGTTGGGAGTAGTGGCAGTCGTGAGTGGGGGGAATACAAGGCCGACTGTGATATCGAGTGAGGAATCCTAAAAGTTCATCAGTTGTCGATTGAAAGCTGACGACCGGATGTCCTACGTAGTAGCCCTGGTAACAAATCCCACTGCTGGAATCACAGTAGGGTGAGTTGCCTTGTGCAGTGACTGAGATAACGTATCAGTGGGTGTACGGAGGCAAGAATGTGTCAAGAATCCCTTGCCGAAGCTAGCACAAGCTATGAAAGTGGCGAGAATCATTCCCGAGACCATCCTAGTACAGAATTTTCAATGGTGAGTTCAACCTGGAGCGAATCTGCTTTATATACTGAGGTTAGGTTTGAGGTGGTATCCATGCTCCAAGAGGTTACCCCTAGCATTCTCCGCGATTGTAGCGACTGAAATACAAGCATATACGGCTCCAGAGATTGTTACACCAGGATGCCTTCGCGTGAAGTGGGAAGTCAAAGGTCCGAAGTTGTGGCTGAGCCGCGTGCCGCTGGATAATGTTCAAACCCCGACGAGTGTACTCACAGATTTGTCTTGGGCAAAAAGAGCAGCCTGCACCCTCGTCTCCACACCTTCGACCAAGGATCAACACCAAGTGAGGTCACCCACAAAACTTCTATAACAATGTCGGATCCTCAGACTCGCGGAAAAGCTTGGCCTCTTGCCCCGGCTGACTTGAACAACCAGGTTTGCCTCCTCGAAATATACGCCCTCGGAGAATCTGACTTTTTCTCGATTTAGATCCTCGATCTTGTTCAGCAAGCTGCCACTTATAAACAGCTTAAAAAGGGGGCCAATGAAGGTGTGTATATCTTTACTCTCGGATGGATGATAATGTGAGCCAATCATCCGACAGCGACGAAAACCTTGAATCGCGGTATCGCTGAATTTATCATCCTGACGGCAGACACGGAGCCGTTGGAGATTCTTCTTCATCTTCCCCTTCTGTGTGAAGAGAAGGTGCGTCAGTCTAACTTCATATGACATACTCAACGCCGACATCTTTCTCCGCTCCCTACTAGAATGTGCCTTACATCTTCATCGAGTCGAAGGCAGCTCTCGGAAGGGCTTGCGGTGTTACGAGACCCGTCATTGCTGCCAGTGTCACGACAAATGAGCAGCGAGAGCTGCAGAGTCAGATCCAGATCGTGAAGAAAGCTATCGACAAGCTCATGGTTTGAATCAGTATGTATTGTTGTCAGTGGAACCATTCAAGGTTCTCTCATTCTTCACAAAGCTGTGCAATGTAAAGCGGTCTTTGTTCGGACATAATTATGGACAGCCGTGGCGAGTGCAGAAATTCTGGTGTCCTTATCGGATGACAGCCCAAGTGATGCCGAAGTGTCGCCAGCTTGAATCTACCGCTACATGAGGCACCACTTGGCGGACGATGGCAGGATGCTATTGTGAGATTTACCACCCACAAGATGATACCATAGATGCAAATATGGACCCTGCCAGATTTCATAGCCCTCATGTCGATCGAGAAGAAACTTTCAAATGATCATACAAATACCAGTTTAACGACAAGAAGACGAAGTACAAATAACACCTGAAAAACAACTCATATACAATTGCAGACTCGGGAAACGATATATGACGCCAGTCACTATGTCACTTAGGTATGTTCTCGCGAGCTTGCTGTCGCACTCGTCTCCTAGGGGAAACCAAATGAGCTACGGGTATGTTAGATAGAGGATAGCACCCACTCATATGCAGCCTTGTCGTTCCTGCGTGATGGTTAGTCAGTAAACGCCACAGTGAAGTCGCCGTGCGTACTTACTTGAACATTGTGTAGGCATCGCTTTGTGCAGGGTCATTCACATTCGGATCGTTCAGCAGTGCTTGGATACCCAAAACGATCTAAGGAAGTATTAGTCCATAGTGCCACACAAGTTTACGTAGGGCACACCTGTTTGATGGTGATCGCCGCTTTCCAAGATTTCTCCTCGTCCAAGATTGATAAACAGACGGTGCCGGAAGGGTAGACATTGGGATGGAATAATGGGGGCGAGAATTTACCTATTAGGTATTTGTCAATACTGCATTACTGGCATTACATTGTACCTGCTTACACTTCGGCGGCTTGGTTGGATAGTCTGACGGAAAGTCAGTTACATACTGAATTAACGCGCCGTTCTGCGCACCTTCAGGAAATATCATCATCAGCTTATACAAACCTCCCTCCCAGGGTGTCTGTTCCATAAGAATCACGCGTCGAATGTGTTCAGGGCAGATTGCGACAGAAGAAGTGCCAAAAGCAACTTACCCCTTCTTTTCCTGGAATGCCAACTTCCCACTCCATCAAATTCATGGAGCCATCTGGAGCCTTTGTGGGCTTAGCATAGAATCCCTGCATGGAGTACACAAAAGTCTCATAGCGTGCGGCATGCTAAATCACTGAACGTACGAATGGATGATCCTTCCTCCACTGTTTTCGCTCTTCAGTCAAACGTGGACGGCAGATACCTGACATGCTGCTCTGGTTGATAGGTCCTTGTTACCTACAGTAGGTAAAGTAACAACGGGATTGAAAGCGACTTCGCTCCAAAATATCTGGCAAGTGTAGTTGGGCTAGAAAAGACGGTCTTAGTCATCTAAGTATATTGTCACGTGTAGAGCCAAAGATGATCCAAACACAGAGGACGCGCGCCATGGCCGCGTAAGCATTCAAGATCCATACACTACGACGATGAACTCTTTCGCGAGCCGCTTTTCAAGGACTGAGGCGGATATCGAGGTTCAGAATGCAAGGAGGCTCGAAGATGACAGTGCGGACATCTCCAATGCCATGTGGGGCTCACAAGCTGGCTTTGGGAACTTGGTGAACGGAACGCATTCGTTCGATGTCCCCTCGGTTGCAGATGTAAGTTATTCTCCAGCATCAGCATGATAACGCGACATAATGTGCACATCGTATGGTTGCTAGCCTGCGGCATTTTTGAGATTACACACGGACGACCATGCCGATCCCAATTGCCGAATCAAGATCCAGCACGGAACCACAACCCTTGCCTTCCGCTTTCAGGGAGGTGTCATCGTCGCTGTAGACTCTCGAGCTACTGCGGGAAGCTACGTTGGTACGTGTGCTCTTCCCTGCTCCGATGCATACTGAAATACGGCAATCATAGCATCTGGTACCGTGAAGAAGGTGATCGAAATCAACCCCTACTTGCTCGGCACAATGGCTGGCGGCGCAGGTATGCTCTCGAATTGTGACCGTTATATTTTATGCGAACCCCATATCTAGCCGATTGTCAATATTGGGAAACATATCTCGGTATCCAATGTCGCTTGCACGAATTGAGAAACAGAGAGCGAATATCAGTGGCCGCTGCGAGCAAGTACCTCAGCAATCTTGTATACAGTTACAAAGGAATGGGTCTCAGCATGGTATGTTCTCGAGACGACAATCACGACGCTTAACTTTTTTGACGCGTCAACAGGGTACCATGATTTGCGGTTGGGACAAGACAGGCCCAGCATTGTTCTATGTAGACTCAGACGGCACGCGTTTGAAGAGTGATCTGTTCTCCGTCGGGTCTGGGAGCACATTTGCGTATGGTGTGCTTGACCAAGGCTACCGGTGGGACTTGACAGATGAAGAAGCACAAGAGCTCGGGAGGAGGAGTATCTATGCTGCAGGACATCGCGATGCCTTCTCAGGCAACAGTTGTAATTTGTACCATGTGAAGGAGGATGGTTGGAAGTTCATCGGTGAGTTCTCTTTCCACGTTACTCGAACATCCAAAAGTGAACGGAAATCCAGGCAATTATGACATCACGAAACTGCACTACGAGGGACCAGGAGATGATGTGCCAGGTGCACCAGGCGGCGGATATGGGTATGAAGTCCGCACGGGTGGTCAAACTTCGATTATCCCTCTTGCAGTCCCCGCCTAAACGTGTACTGTATTTTGTACTATATACGCCGTCGCGGCCCATGAACGGCAGGCGTTCGGGGTGCCCCTTCCGTTCCAAAAGACTAGGTGAATACTACAATACACTGTGGGTGAGGGAACGTGGGAAAACGGAGCGTGTCTTGTTTCGGACACTGCAAGTTGAGGCCGAGGTTTGTAGCGTTCTGGTCGAACTGTAATGATCTTTGTGTCATGAAGCGCTTGTTCTCCAAGAGGTTTTCTCTTCAGCCCCAACAACTGTCGCAGAAACCTGCTACAACTACCGCTCCGTCCAGCTCGATAGCACACACGACCGGCTTGCAACCGTCCTACGTGCTCCCTCCGCTCCCTCATCCCCGGCCGTACGATCATATAGCGCTACTGGCGACACAGGCTGGCCTCCTCGTCTTTCCACATCTACCGGACGGGGCCCATCCAGAACATCATGTTCGCATCTCGTGGGGCAGGCCGCTAAGGGTGGAGGAGCTGAGTAGCGACGAAGACAGTCAAGGAGCAGCCTGGGCGGAGAGTGTGGTCACTTATGGGATCATTGGTATTCTAGAACTGTTTAATGGTAGATCGTTGGGCTCTCTTGCTTCTTATTGGATGTTGAATTTCATCGCGTGCAGCGTCCTACTTACTGGTTATCACTCAGAAGTCGGATGTGGGACACCGTGAGCAGCCAATCTGTATCCAGACGGGCAATATCCTGACTTTCTCGAAGTCCTCGATGGCAGCCGGCCTATCCATGGCATCAAGGGCGTGACCGCTATCCCGCTGGATTCTGAGCAGCGCGCCCGAACCGTGCTGAGCGCCCTCACATCGAGGAACGCTAGTGCCGCTCGATTTTCTCTCGTAGCGGGATCGTCAAGCGAGGTCGTTGAGCCAACACAAGAAATTTCGGCGGAGGATGTAGATAGCAAGAGACTTGAAGACTCAGACGAAATCACATCTCCGCACGTCAAGTTCGCTGATGAGGACCAAGTCAAGGTGATGTCGCCGTTGAACATTCAAGAATTTGCCCTCCCAGATGGACCACCCTCGCCTCTCTCCGGGGCTTCTACTCCTTCCTCTGCATATTCTGTGAACACATCGCCTATAGCTAAAACTTTGACTGAGCGACTATCATTTTGGAGTAGGTTATCCAAGAGATCCTCCTATGCACCAGTTTCTGCGGAGCTTCGAGCTACGCCCGAAGAGGAGAGGGAGTCGTTAGACCATATCATAGACGGTGGGGAGCAAGAACCTGCAGAAGTCTTAAATGATATCTTAGAGACGACAGCTCCTCCACCGACCACACTGGACGAGAAGCATTCCGAACTGGAAGAAAAGATTCTCAGAGAGGTCGTCAAAGAATACGGAAAAGGCGAGATGTATTTTGCCTATAACTTTGGTTTGTGTCGCTTCCTCGGGTGCGTATGTTTGATCAATTGACTATTCATGCAGATATCACCAGGTCATTGCAAAATAAGCAAGATCAAATCTGTAAGAATCAGAAGCGGAACTCCCTCCTTGCCGACTTGAATGCCTTGGATCCTTCGTTTGCCATTGGCGACAAAGTCGATGTTCTTGCGGAGCCTTCACCAACGCTTCCCCTCTGGCGGAGAGCAGACCGTCAGTTTTGGTGGAACGAGTGGCTGTCGAAACCTTTTATTGATGCTGGCGTGAGAAATCGTTTATTCATTCTATCATTCTTAGATACTGATGCCAACGCACCATCAGCTTCACTCATATGTCCTGCCTATTGTTCAAGGGTTCTTCCAGGTTGCTTCTTTTCCTGTGCCCAGGGAGCCTGAGACAACTGAATCGGGGGATGCGGCGATCGTGGACTATATCATTCTATCACGGCGCTCGAAGAACCGTGCTGGCCTGCGGTATCAGCGCAGAGGCATCGACGATGACGCCCATGTGGCCAACTTCGTCGAGACAGAGACCATCATGCGTGTAGAAGTTAGTAGAATCAACGTCTCTGTCTTATGGACTGAACTTGACATTCCTTGTACAGCGGGAGGGTGTATCAAACATTTTTAGTTACGTGCAGATTCGCGGGTCGAGTGAGTGCCATCTCTGAGGGTATTTTCTCATGCGAACCCTCTGACTGATGTACCGTCGATAGTTCCCCTGTTCTGGACACAGTCAGGATATAGTCTGAAGCCGGCGCCTACGCTATCGCCTGAGCGCACCCGCGAACAGAACATTAATGCGCTAAGCCGCCATTTCAAACGCACACTTCCATCCTATGGACCTCACGTATGTTCTTCAAGGTGAATCATATTCCCGTGCTGATTTTTTCCTTATAGATGGTCGTAAACTTAGCTGAGCATCATGGTAAAGAAGGGGCTGTAACACAAGCCTACCGAGATTATCTCAGTGAAGCTAATTTGTCGGGCGTTCGGTGCGTTGATCTTGCGCTTCATCATCTAGTAAGTTCACAAAGTTTTCTTAGGTATCATGAATATGATTTCCACGCGGAGACCAAGGGCATGAAGTAAGTATTTTGACTTTTTAATCTGGAAAATTTAACTTCACTGCCGTTGCCATAGGTATGAAAATATTTCTAAGCTCATTGAACACCTTGATCGAACGTTCGAAGCGCAGGGGTAATCATCCCTATCTTTCTCTGTTGATTCTCCGAATGTTCATGACGATGCACCAGGTATTTGTGGATATGTAACGAGACCGTACTTTCGCGCCAGAAAGGCGTATATCGCACGAATTGCATTGATTGTTTGGATAGAACGAATGTAGTGCAGGTCTGTTATTCCCCAATCGGCGCGTGCATCTATTGACGCTGATATTGTAGTCCGCGTTCGCTCGACACATGCTGAATCGTCAACTCCTTGCGGTTGCCCTCTTCAATCCATCGGAGCAAGGACGAACAACGATCGACGTTGTCTTTAACGATAGTACATTTTTAACTCAACGTTTCTTCTCCTTGATTTTGAGACGCATTGCTTTTCAGTGTGGGCTAACAATGGTGATGCTATCAGCCGAAGCTAGTAAGTTGGAAGCTCCGATAGGTTGGCATTGACGCTAACAAACATGTAGTGCGGGAACTTCCGCTCTCAAGGTATTTTCCTCTTATAAAGGGTCACTATATGCATTCTGAATAGCTTGTTTTAGGGCGATTTCACTAGGCAAGTATATTACAACTCCCCTAATGCGATGTCATCTTAATCTGAACAGAACTGGAAAGCGGGACCTTGGAGGACTGCTCAACGATGGCATGAATTCGCTGGCAAGGCAAGCTTATCTCGGCTCACACCGAATGTGTCCTCCGGTCCTGACATGACGATTTCAGGATGTATACGTCAACCTTCAGTGACTGGTTCTCTCAGACGGTCATCGATTTCATGCTTGGATATCGGACGTTGTCCGTGTTCTCCGAGTTCCTGCTCAAGCTGCAGTCCACCGATCCACGAGAGCTCATCCGCTTGTCCAAGATTCGTGCTGAAGCCATCGCCACATCTGTCTCCCGCGTCTTGCAAGACGGTGAACGGCTACTCTCAGGGTGGACGTTGTTTGCCCCTGTTGAATTGAATACAACCGTGGGGGATAAATTTGAAGAGAAAGTCTTATTACTAGTGAGTATATATCATCTTCAAAGTGTCTAGTGGTATACTGAGTAGCACATATTGCAGTCTGTTAAAGCCCTATATATTGTCGTATGTGAAGTCCGTGATATCTACATTGTCCATATGATTGATCAACGTAATGCTTCTTAGAGTTATGACTATAATCTCGAAAAGGTCAAGATGTATACCCGCGTTCCTCTTGGAGATGTTGTCAAAATCACTAAAGGTGACAAAGTCTACATGTCCACCGAGGAGACACTCATGATGGCGCTCTCAGGCGCATATATCCTATCTCCTTTAGAAGAAGCTTCCCGCGATCCCATCCAGAATGCTGGATTCACCATCCACTATCTTAATACCCGCCAAACTACCCGCGTGACTAGCTACTCGGTGCGCAACAGTGTGGAGAAAACACTCCCACCACCACTGCCGACTGGGCTCGCACCCGCACCGTCACCACGACCAGTCTCTCAGCTTCGCCCACTCACGTTGTCGCGCATCCTCTCGGGCGCTGCGCCCACCCCCGACACCGGCGGCACCAGCTTCGCAGCGTTCAAGGCGCTGCCGATCGACCCCGCGCGGACATCGCGCGGGAGCCGCTTTGCGTCGGAGCCAGCGGATGAACTTGCGGGCGCGACGACGTGTCGGGAGGCGGTCGAGCTCATGATCGACACTATCCGTGCGGCATGTACGGATGCGGGGGCAGCGGGGGCTGGCTACGAATTCGTAAAGGCCGAAGACGTTGTCAGGTGCGCACGAGTTCGCCGTGTTATTGTTTGCTTACGGCTTATACGTTCTGCTTTTCCGTTTACAGCTTGGTCGAGGCTCAGAAGATGACAAGCGTGTATGCGAAGATGGAATACGGCGTGAAGCGGTTGCTGTGGTTGGGTGGTTGAGGCGTTGCTTGACGCCGATGAGGGTAGATACGGAGAGTCGAGACTTCACGACACGACCCTTCACGAGCTTGCCACACACTTCGTTTCTCACCAGACTCGCCTTCCAATCTCCCTTATTTACGAAACCGGACAGGGACTCCAAGATAGTGCTCGACATTCTGATCGATTAAATATACAAAAGATACCCAGAACAAGACTACGTGTGAGAAGAAATTGTCCCTTGAGCCAGAAACGGCAGAGTCCGCAAATTACAAGCCGAAGGCAAGCAAAGTTGTGTAGAGAAGGTACGAGCAGCAACTAGTAAGGATCAAATTGTAGTCGGGAGAGCCCGAGCTGGCCTTCGAGCCTCCGATTATACCTTGTGCAGAAGAGTAGGATGATGAGCCAGGGTCCAGTAAAAAGTGCTAGAGGTAAGTACTGATGGAGAAAAACAACATGAGCGGGAGAGCGAGCAGATTTAAAGGCAGTACTGACCGGGGCTGCACACAACTCCGTCCATGAGATCTAGTTTCGGAGTGAGCAGTGGTATCTAAATCTCGCGGTATCGAAGTGGGTAAAATGATGATGGAACAAGGGGTGGTGCAAGGATAGGAGAAACACGAAAGAACGAAAGAAATACAGGAGCCCACGTCGGGCAGCGCCTCGTCGCCGCAGTATGTCACCTAGGTATAGTCATCTCCACCGAGAAATCAAACGAATAAAATTCCGATAAATGACCACGCGTCGTTTCTTCTTCTCTCGTTCTTTCGTTCCCCGTTACTTCCGCGTCTGTCTCCCTCGCGCGCGCGTATGAGTCCATGTCGGCATCCAAGAATACGAAGTGGGTGTGGGTGGTGTGCGCATGAATGGGTGAACGGTCAATAGCGACTGATAGTGTGGTAATTGGAGGGACGTGAGGATGGACAAGAACAATTAGGATGTGCGTGATAGGCATAGGGGTTGGAAGGAGTGCAACTATCGAACACGAGGTTTAGGGGGTGAGCGCGGCATGTGATGGATAGAAGAGAGAGAGATCGGCGAGCATGTATGGGTACAATGGAGGGTGCCCCGCGGGCACGCGCACTTCGGGATAGGTCTAGATCTGTGAAGTTTGTGCAGTGTCCTCTCGGGACCAAAAGATATGCAAGGTAAGTGGGGGCGAGGAGTGCTGCGCTTAGTCCCACTCGGCGCAACCGCGTTACGCGGAGAGGGTGAAAGACGGTGAGGCAAGGAGCTGTAGGCGGAGAAGCTCTGTCAAGCACAGCCGACACGAGACAATCAGGAAAGGGGACGAACAAGCACATCCGACGTGGACTCACCTCGCGGCTCACCGCAACGAATCGCTTCCCGTCCCAGCCAGATCGATGAACACTGTCATCCGCTTCATCGCCCTTCGTGCACCACGCCGGGCCCGTGTGCGGCTGGACGTAGACCCGCTGACGCTGCTCATGCTATCCTGATCTTGTTCGATCACGACACGCCGCATATGTTGCTCACACAACATCCGGCCCTCCACCTCCCAGTACTCAACGAGGCGCACCGTGCAGCGCCCCTTACTTCGCGAGTCCTGCATCCGGACCTTCTTTTGAGTGGCGGAGACGACAGGACCGTCAGAATCATCATCCGACTCTGTTTCCTCGTCCGAATCCTCGTCCGAATCTTCTGCATCGCTCTCGTACTCGCACATCAGGTGCTCAGGGTGGAATTGGCTCCCGTTGTGTGACACGGCGCACGGGCCCTCAATCGGCTGCCCACATTCCGGAAGCGCGCAGAGCGAATTGTTGGCTTCATGGTAGTGATATGCGCAGAACGGCTTGCCGTCCCAGACATAGAACGATTTATCCGGAAACGGTTTCTGTACACAGAACGAGATGCGTGTGAGCTAGACGTCAAGGGGCGGGAGGACAAACGAGAGACGCACGTGGCAGGTATGACAGTTGAAGCACTCGCGATGGTACTTGCCCTTGAGCTGACCGTCGGAGGACGACACCGCTTGCTTTTCGATTGGTAAATTACACCGGCGGCACTTGTGTGTCAAGCGAGACAAAATGAGCAGGGAAGAGCGGAGATAGCGGGCGCCGATGATACGACGAATATTCAGGAACTGTGGACAAACTAAAAATACTCACCTTGGGCAGATACATATTCTTCCAGCACCGATCGCACAGCACGCCCTTGCCGCTCTCCACCCGTATCCACCGACCATCCTCGATTTTCCTTCCGCACTTCACACACTCCCGCACTCGGCTCCTCACGCTCCCCGCCTCACTCGCGGACGTGACACTCACGTTCCGCTCCCGCTCCCGCTCTTCCTCCCGCTCCCTTTCTTTCTCTTTTTCTTTCTCCTTCTCCCGGGCGGCGCCGTTCAGCGCGCCCGAAATTGTGCCTCCGCGCCGTCCCGAGCCTGTTGGGCCCCCGAGGCCCAAACTGCGAGTGCTATCACGCTGACTCGGCGTCGTATGCGAGCGCGTAGGAAGCTTGAGCGGACGCGTGCGCGGAGACGCGGAGACGGACGCCGGCGAGCGGGGGAGCGACGCGGCCTCGCTGCTCGCGGGAGAGCGCAGCAGCGCGTCCATCGAAATGTCGACCCCGCCCGTCGCGGTGGTTCCCGAGACGCGTTTCGCGCCGCCGTACGATCGCCCAGAGTACGCCGACGAGGATGCCGAGCTAGCCGACGGCCGGCGCTTGCTCGCGCTCGGCTGAGGCGCAGGCTGGTCTGCCTCGTACTCGCTCTCGCTTTCGGTGCGATAAGCGAGCCCACCGTACTCAGACCCATCGTCGGTGGGACTGAGCGGGATTGAGATGGGAGCAAGCTCGCCGACATCCTCCGTGTCGGCCTCGTCCTCGTCCTCGTCCTTGCCGACCATGACGGCGACGGCGTCTGGGCCCACGTCCGCAGCGGGGAACTTGTTGCGGTACTTCTCGAAGAAGGGGAGCCGCGGAGTGTTCGGCGTGGTTGGTGTCATGGGCTCGCCGGAGCCCATGAAGGGGGCCGGAGGCGGCGGCTTGATCGGGAAGGGGATGGAGGACGGGGAGTAGCCGTCAGGCCGCCCGGTGATGGTGGCGTTGCTGTCGCGGGTGGGATCGTGGACCGGCGACGGCGAGGCGGCGGGTGCGGCGACGGTGGCTGGAGAAGAGGGAATGAGCGCTGGAAGCGGGGGAAACGACGATCGTGCGTCTAATTCGGGCAGAATGAAAGTGGCTCACGATCTGCGCTGCCTATATCGAGCCATTTGGGTGCGTTCGCCCGCCGCCCGTCCATCCCCTGCGGCGGCGGCGCCTGCATCCACGTCCCTCCCGGCCCTGGTCCGGGGCTCGCCGGCGCACCAAACGCTGCGTTGGCGAACATTGCCGCCCGCGCTGCCGCCGCAAACCCCCGCCGTCCGACACCCGCCATGCCAGCCTCTCCACCGCTCTTGGTGTCGATCTCGGGTCCCATGTCCATGTGCATGGCAGAAAACTGACTTGGGGTCGGCGACGGTGGAGGCCGAGGGGAGTACGGGCTCAATGGGGGCCCCGTGGGGGAATACGGCGACAGTGGGAGGGCTGCGCTTCGTGTGGGAGCTGCATTCCCATCGGTAGAAGGGCGACGGTAGGCTGCTTGCGAGACTTCGGGCTGCGTCACGGACGGTCGACGATATGGTGCCTGCGGTGATGGTTGATCATCGTTGCGGGAGCGAATGGAAGACGCGTTGGAAGGCGCCCTCGCGCGCAGCTGGAGATGTGGGGGTGCAGTCGAAGGTCCACGACCCGCAGCCAAATTTGGCGGAATCCCAGGCGACGTGGCCGGCGCAACAGGAGGGCGATAGGATGCAGCAGACGGGGTGCGCGCTGGCGGCTCGGTCGGGGCTCCGCGTCCATCACTGCGGGAGCTCCGTACTGTCGACGCGGGCGAAACAGCGCGCTCTGGCACAGCGGCGGGTCTGTTCGGGCTGAGGGGCGAGCCGAGGGGGGAAGGCCCTCTGTGGAGCAGAGTTTGCGATTGGGGAGAAGGGATTCGTGGCGGGGGGTGGGTAGGCGGAGGTGTTTGTGCGGGTCGTGGGCGGTCTGTTCGTCGTGAGTTGGAGGTGACGGTGGCAGCCGAGGCAGTGGAGGCATAGGAAGAACGCGAGACGGCCGAGGCGCGTGAGGAGCCCGAGGAGCTGCTGCTGGAGGGGCTGTGTGAGCGTGTGGAGGACACGAGATTTTGGATGCGTAGAGGCCGAACTGCGGGTGGTTTGCTAGCGGGAGGGCTGCGTACGGTAGGAACGGGGGGCGTGGGCGGGCAGACGTGATCGCCGAGCTGGTCGAGGGGCACAGGGGATCCGCAGGTGGAGCATTTCACAGTGGGGAGGAGCTGGGAGATGCGGGCACCCGGTATAGAAGGAGGGTTGAGGAGTTGGGCCATGATAGAGATGAGAAAGAGGGGGAGGAAGAAGGAGAGGAAGTGGGGAAGGAAAGGAAGTGGGGAAGGAGAGAAGAAGGGGAAGGGGAGGAAGGAGGGGGGAGAGCGGACCGCTGGGCGGGTCGCTGCCCTGCGATAGTTGCTTAAGATGTGGGCGGGAGAGAGATTGGACGACCAGCGTGCGCGTGCGCGTGAACGATGAGACGAAGACGGTCTCGGTTAGTCTCTATCAGCACGACGCTTCTCCACCGTACGAGTGGATCTCTCCTCTTTGCTCTCTCCCGCTCTGCTCCCAGCTTATATCCTCGGATGCAGCCCAGCCAGTGCCAGCGAGTCAGAGGTAACCGTGCATCGTCGCGTCGCCGGATTGTCGACACTTTATGTACGAGCTATTGCAGCGTCCATACCATTCCTCGCCAAAAAAGGCAATCAACGCCTCTGATCGCCCAATCACGGCGCGTGTCTGCGGTTCTTCTTGCAGGTCCCAGGGGTGCTCCGTCCTCCAGTAGCCACTGGAAACAGTCGCAACTGTTATTAGAAACAGCATCCAGCCCACATTACATGCAAATTCACCAGCCAAGAAAAATAAAAGCAGTGACCGATCGCCCACGATGCAAAAGAAGAACGTCGACGACGTCGATCCGTCCTTTTCTGACGCTCGACTCACTCGACTGGGCTCACCGTCGTGGGCCATCACCATCACCATCGACCATGATCCGCGGCGTCGCACTCGTCGAAGAAATCAACGCTTTCGCATGACAGCCATTGGCTTCTAACCCAATGCGCATGCTGCGTGTACATGTCAACTCATGTATCATAATTCAATACAGTTTGGCGCGCGTTCCCATCACATCATACAAGTCGGTGGTCCATCCGCCGAATACATCGCCATACTATATATATATATCGGCTCGACCGCACGACATGTACTGACGTTTGCCGCTCGGAGACTATGACCGTGCACACCGGGACGCTCAATCCAACGATCCGCAGACTCACATCAAAACTCGACGCAAACGAAAAGTCCAAAGAAACGGATCCGACCAGATCTACCATAGAGTCCCTCGAAAACTTACTTCACGCCTGTCACAGGCCTGGCGCACCACGACCGCTAACTCGCGGCAGCCGCGTACGAAAACGAACCGCGTTGGGTGACAGGCGCACCATCCCCGGGCATCCCGCTCCCTGCGCCTACCGTGGACACGACTTGTTGTGTTTGCTGGTGCATCCCTGACGGACCACCGGCCCCGACGTCCATTCCAAGGGGTACACCTCCCGGCATATTGCCTCCTAAAGTTCTCGAGAAGAACTCGTCCCACTGACCTGTATGCGCCGCGGCACGATGCACGAGCCAAAAAGCCCAAACAAATCGCAGTTTGAAAATCGACATAAATGGACATGCAAATGTATGGAGAAGATCAAAGCCACGTACCCCAGTCGAACATGCCCCCAGGGATACCCTCCAACAGACTATTATCCGCCAATGCCCACTGTTCCAAGCTCCCCGGCATCGCGAAGTTCTGCCCGCTTGCGTCCAGCAGGTTCATGACCTGCACGTTCTCGCCCATCCCCGCGCTCACGTTCATCGCCGGGTTCACATTCGCGTTCGCGTGCGTCAGGCCGGCACCCACTCTCAGACTCGCCAAGTCGGCACCTCCACCGCCGCCACCTAGTGGGGTGAAATGCACCATCGATGGCGGGGCAGACAAGTTCTGGGCAGCGACGCGACGCCCACCTGCAAGCATTAACGCAACAAGCGCTAGAGTCAGCATGCTATTTTAGAACACTTCGCAGTCAAGAGACCAAAATGTAGAAAGGCGGCTCACCTTCTTCTTCCTCGTCGCTCCCGCTGCTGATCACGGTTTCTGGCAGCACGTCCTTGTAGCTCCCCCTCGTCTTGCCGTGCGCCACGAACACGCCGCCTCCCGGTCGACTCGGGTCTTTCTCATACTCAAGGCCACCCAACGGCGGGGGCTTCTTCCCAATGACACCGCCGGTGGGGTTCAACGCCGGCGTCTCGATGGGCGGGGGAGGTCCCTGAGTCGCTTCGTACAGGAGCGCGATAATCTCGGCCGTCTGTGAAACAGAGTATCAGTCTGTAAATCCGATATGAAGTGAGGACCACAAGGCGCAGAAGACATACCTTGCGTCGAGCGGACATGTGGTCCGGCGAAAGAGACTTCTCCCACCGTCTGATGCAGTCACGCAGCTTCTTTAGCTTCAACGCTGCCTCCTGGTCTTGACGTCTCGCCCATGTATGGTACTATCCGATAACCAATACGTCAGTATTGTGTATCTGCTCCAATTATGCGTGCGAAGATGAACGGACCTGCACGAGGGCACAAGATGTCGCGGCATATGCAACGAGCATCCACACGTCATATAAGTTGTCGTGACGGTCCAACCAATCGATAGCATCGCCCGTGAGTTGCACAAGGGCAGACCATTGCTCGACAGTGAGCCCGAATTTGAGATGTGTAGGGCAAGAGTACGAGATACGCATAAACACCCGCCAAAAGATCATGGACACACAAGAGTAGAGCAAGAACAAAAGTCCTGGATGCCATGACGATACGAAGAGAGCAATAAGCCTCTAAGCGGACGCAGAAAAAGGAAGGGGAAAGGAAACCGTACCAGCATTCGTAGCGGTGTCCGGCCCGCGGAACTGCAAGCTTTCCGGGAGGTTCTTCTTCCAATCCTCGATGTCCGTAAGTAGAGCATAGAGCATAGCATCGTTCGTGAGCGTCAATCCCGACGGACTACAGATTCTTAATCAGCATAACGAACAAAACAGATGTGCCAAGAGGAGCCGACCTATAGATGGACTTCATCACCCGCCCGAGAATGATACTGAGACGAACAAGTTCGTCCATATACAGGTCATTCGGGTCTCCAGACGACGGCAATCGAGCATCACAATCGTTGACGTCAATCATGTATGGATGCCCATACGATAAGCTGATCCTGTTGGAACGTGACATATCAGCAAGCGCGGAAGAGAACAGCGGTTGAAGATCGGGAACAAAGTGGATGTCGACTTGCCATCGGTCGCTTATCACACAAGCGCCCCATAATCTGCGTCTGAGCTCGATGTTTTGTTTAATCGCCTCTACACGGTGGAGACCCATGTCTTGTGCCTGAAGATGGTGGTATATTTAACATGTCACATACTCACCGCACACCGAACACCAACGTACCATGCGAATAGCCGTGCCCAATCTGACCCATAGCGCGGACAACGCGTTGGGGACGAACTGCGAATGGCAATCACCCACCATACACAATATGAGAAGACTTTGAACATTGGCGATGGATGCGGTCGACAGAATGTCTTCCGATTTTATGACATTGTTCACCGCATAGCGGATCGAGTCGAATACGCTCTGGGGGACTTCACGCCTCGCGGCGGCGACGAGGCAGATTGAATAAAGCAATATCGGGGGAGGGGAAGGGCTGGCGACAAATTCCGCCTGGGTAATGACAGGTAGGACGGGCGAGATCTCCGTGAAATATGCGTTGACAAGCTTCTCGATCATGTCGCGCTCGATGCGCATATCAACCGGTTTGGGCAATGCCAGCTGCACTTCATCGGTGCCGGGTTCCAGGACTTGTATCAACCCGTCACCGTTTTGTGTCACCTCCCAAGTATGATGGTATCGAGTATCGTAGGACTCATAGATACGGGACGAAATCGTTGCGCTCGAATGCAAAAGATGGGCTTCCGATGTAGGGCCTGCGATGGGACCTCGTCAGCTGTGTTCGGGTCAAACGAGGCAGCCGCCTGTGTAGTAGGGGGCGACGTACCGCATACCCTGGCGTCAGCGGCGCGAGACGACTCACCGTGTGGAGCGGTCGAATCATGTACACTCCCACCAGATGCCTTATTGTGTTCACCGCTATGAACGGTTTCCTCCTCCAGCTTTTTTTTCTTGAAGCGGGTCTCCGCGATGGGGAGGAAGAAAGTACACTCAAAACCATACTGCTTGCAGTGCTGGCAAGCGGGGGGATCGGAATCTGCCAAAATGTCACATCTAGCCCAAACGTAAGCCATTGTGTATCACGGAGTGTGCGCCAACGATTCGATCACGAGATGCAGGAGATTGATCAGAAGCGAAACGTGTGAAACATAAGGAGGAGTGCAAAATCAATGCATATTGGGCAAAGACAGAAGAAGACACGAACCTGATCTTTCTGCTGCGACAGCTGTCGCAAGCCCTCTGAGTTTTCGTCCGCTTTTTCATCTCTGCCTGTGCGGCAGCCGCTGCTGCTTGGGAAGTCGCAGCACGGTTAGCTTCACTACCCGAAGTCGCAGCCTCGCCGTCCGAGGCAGCGTCCCTTGGTGCGTCGGACTTGCGCTTGCGCTTTCCAGTGGACGGTTGCGTCGCAGACGAAGGCGACGGCACCGCCGATGGTGATCTCTGTGCATTGGCTTCGGAGGGGGCGGCTGTGCGAGGAGGGCCATACATCACCATATGTGGGGGCGGGTAGCCCGGATAGTGCGTGTATGGATACGGGTTATGGATGGGATAAGCATACTGTGGTTGTGGAGGAACATGACCCGGTATTCCCGGACCCACAGTGGGGCTCCCGCCATTGGCTGATCCAGACGTAGGGGAGGGGTGGTGGTAAGGGGAAGAGGTATGGTGGGGATGGGCAAAGGGCGAGCCGTTGGTGGGGTATGGAGGGGCCATAATATGATACTGCGAAGCGGGATATGGTTGAATGGGAGACGGGCGAGCGTCGGAAGTGTTACGAGGGGCGTTCTGAGGTTCGTCGCGGGCGTGCGAAAGCGTAGACGGGCGAGAGACTGTGGAAAGTCGAGTGAGCATTCACGAGCAAATGCGACGAGGGAACGACGGCATACTGTTCGAGTCTGGCGTCGACGGGGACTGGGCAGGCGCGGCCGAGGTTGCAGCCTTGGATGAGCGCTTCCGGGGCTTTGTTGAGGACGGTGCAGAAGATCGAGAGGGATTGGTCGGCTGTGGCTGTTCAGCCTGCTTGGGTTTCGTTTTGTCTCCGGGGTCCATCTCTATCCACTGTGTTCCTCCGGCAATGACGTCCGAGACACGCACACCGCGCTGGCTCCAAAAAGCTTGCTAACAGAAAATCGGGTTTCCGTGGGCCGAAATGATCCTCCTTGACGAGAGTGAGCTTTCAACGGCGGGGATCTTGCTGAGGCGATGGCGTGGATCTGCCCTACCTCTCACGCGATTTTACAGAGACTGCGCGATGGGCGAGAGCGAGAATCGCTGCGAGGGAGGGGGAGTATGGACAGAACGCAGTACACCGGCGGCGGTACGGCAACGGAACGAGGGAGGGATGCCGTGACATAGGCAGGACAGATGCTTCGGGCGCCGCTCCAAATTTCGATCCCGCGGACAGGGGCTCATTTCAGGGGCACGTTGGGCCTTCGAGGGTACAAACCCAATGCTTCTCCCACAGTCTGGAACAGGTCGAACCCAGCAAGTGTCCGTCACACCGTCCAGAAACCATCCCTGGCTCGCCTTGCGCAACCCCCGAATACAGAACAAGACAGGCATCAGCAGCCCCCACGTTCAAACGAGCACTCCATCCGGAAATGTGGACACATGGTATTCTGCAACTTTGCCGCGGCGATCGGTAGCGTCCCGCGGCGGAAGCCCTTCTCGTTTCGGAGCAATTATGTATCGCCGCTTACCTTGCTTACGTCGCCAGCCTCGAATTCATGGTAATTTACAGCCTTTTACAGCCCATCGCAAACCGTCTGAACCTACTAGCTGGATCTCTGCAGACCGCGATAAACTCGGACACGGAGCCTTCCGAAGGCAACGAAAATAACTGTTGTCCCCTTTCAAATTTGAGAAGCCGAGAGGACTCCAACGGAAAGAAGTCGAATTTCCCCCGCTCCGGAAGTAAGTACATTGGAATTCATTGCCAAGTCGAGACCAACATGACGAGACATGACGATGTTGTATTGGAGAACGTTCAGACGTTCAGGGCGCGATGCAAGTCTTCGAAAGCATACTTGCGCTGCCCTGACAGGCAGAATGAACGAAACCCAATCTGATACATGACGCACGCTCTGCATTCCTTTCTGGCAACCCCAGAGCAAGTAAAAGAGGAGACAACGATGGCAACAAGCGAATCAGCGAATAATTATACTGCACGACAGGGGAGAAGCCTAAACCGACGCCATGACGAGCGATAAAAAGCAAGTAGAGAGCCGCAGAACAGGAGAACAGAAAAAAGAAAATCGAGACGACAAATCCACATTAACCGAGGGCACTTTCATGAAACGTTGTGTATTCCGACTTGACCTCTCAGCTGGCCATTCCGACACCGGCCTCCAGATCGATGTCGTGCTCCTCCCATGAATTTTCCAGCAATCCAGGGTTTACCTGCCGCTTGTCCTCCGTGGCGACGGCATGCGGCTGCAGCCACGAAAATCCAGCAGGGCGGCACAGGACGTGAGTGAGGTTCCGGCGCCAGTTCCCGTGGGAAAACGGGTTGGGCGGCACAGGGCCTTCCCCGAGCGACTTGTGCGCCTGGTTGCGGATCTGCTCGATAGTGGTCACATTCAAGAGGAGGAGCTATAGATGCTCACGTGAGCAACAGTATCGACGGAAGCGTGATTACGACAAAGGGAGATACGCACTCTGAAATGATACGAAAGTAAGGCAGCAACCGGCCATATCACGATCATTGACAGGCAAAACACGACGACGCTCCCAGCCCCCTCGTTGACGGCGTGGTGGAAGCTGGCGCCTTCCCTTCGCGTGATAAGATACAGATGAAGAGCCGATGTGACAATCATGAGGCACAGCGTGAGCGTCTGGCGCTTCGCCTCAGTCACGGAGATAGGCTATGAGGCGGTCGCGAGTTGACTCACTGCTGACAGAATGAACGTAAAGAAGCAGGTATAATTCCGACGTCCAACACAGTTGTTGACCCATTGACAATGATGATCACAGCCATCGACGCAGTTGTCGCACTAGAAGTACCGATAAGCACGTTCCTCTGGGGAACAAGACGGTAAGAACCCACCATTTTACAATGACTGGAGCGCGGGGGACGATATGTCTGGCATGTTGGGCAATATTTGACGCGTACTCTGTACACATATGTGGCCATTGTATCGCAACAGACAACGAGCATCACTCACATCCCAGCTCGCACTTTGATATCGCGAGGCAGAGCGGTCGGGGTCTGGTCTGATGCTGTCGCAGATGAATAAGGCGGCTCAGGATCTATATTCCGCGGAAGAATGCCCGGGTCACGAAACGCCTGTGAAGCCATCCCCGAAACAGTTATAGTATTCGCTTTATACTGAGATGGCACCGGCGCAAACGTACCGTTGTCAGCATTGATGAGATGGTCAATAAACACATATACGCTCCAATGATTGCAACAGCGGGGCTCTCATTATGCCACCACCAAACGCACGTTGTGCTAAACCATGTCCCCACAATGCCCAGAGCCACCGTGAACGAGCCGATAAACGCCCATGGCGAATCTCCGCCCGTGAGCAATGCTCCTCTGCAGAAAAAATGGTTCCGAGAGGGATGTGACTGATAGTTCCGCATCGGTCGCTTCGTCTTCGGATCGATACGAGGCACGGCAGCCAAGGGTATGATCATGTCGTTCGGGGGGTACGGGGCGAAGGAAGGGGATGGTGTGCGTCGAAGCTGAATGGAAGCAGAGGTCGAGGGCTTGTATCGCGGCACGTACTCGTCGTCGAACTGCTTTGCCTCGAGTGTCGTCCCGCCGTGGCTCTGCGAAACAGGTGAGCCTGCCTCGACCGACAGCTTAGGATGTACATTCGAATGTGGAGAAGCGACGGGGCTTCCTGCAAGTGACAGCGACCTGCGAACGGAGTCGAGGCTGATACCCAGCTTCCCCAGGCTGTCCCGGACACGCGCGCCTGCGGCAGAGGCGCCGCTCGTGCTCATGCTCATGCTCATCTTGCTTGTGGGGTTGTCCGGTTGCCCGCGCGATACTGAGGGCCATGAGTTCTGCGTCCCCGAAGATGCTGCGCGCTTGAGGCTGCCTGCACCTATAGGCAGCAACGGCTCGCGGCTGAACTTCGAGTTTCTAGCAGGAAGTGGGCCCGTCGTATCTTCAGAAGTGGAAGCGCGCGAGGTGTCCCCGTTCGCTACGGGGGCACCTACGCTTCCCGAGGCATCCGAATCGTACATCACCTCTTGTGAAAGAGGGTGCATTCCGAGCGCGAAACTCTGCATGTCTTGTTGCGAAATTCCGTGGGTGGAGGAGATGGAGGAGGGGCGGCCACCGATGAAGCCTGCGGAGGGTATCTGGCTTTGATTAGGCCTAATAGGACGGAAAAATTGTGCAGGAGGGAGGATTCCACCTGCGTGGGTGGATGTGGACGCAGAATTGGAGAGGGTGAAGCTCTTTCGTGTTGGGGATGAGGGATCGGTCGGGGTGGTAGGTATCGACGGACGAGTGCGCGAATTGGAAGAGACACCGGATCCCGAGCGTGTGTGTGTTGCTCGAGGGGTCTGTACCGAGGTGCTGCCGGCTCTGATGCGACTGGAAGAAGCGGGGCTATCGAAGCGCGTGGATAGACCAACTGAGGAAAGGGATGAGGGGAGTTGCGAAGGGCGGTTTGCAGAAGTGACAACGGGAACAGAAGAGGAATATGGTAAAGAGTGTTGGGAAGCCATGATGCTGAAGGCAACTCAGTCTGAGGTAGAAAGGCGTGTACAGGAAGAGGAAGAAGTGTGTGAACTTGTGAAGAGCAGGAGACTATGTGTATACAAGCCGAATTCCTGAAGACCAGTTCCGAGATTCGAGATTAGGGAGGAAAGTAGAGCAGGTCTGCACGCTGGATCCACTGGGGAGGATGGAGGGCGAGCGACGGGATGTCGATCTACCGGCCGTTCTGGCAGCGCTTCTGATGCAGCCCTCTGTTTGCTCTCGTTTGTCGACGGTGCTCTCCTCGACGAGCACCCTCCTGGAGATCATCACTCGGCGGAAACTCGCATGGAAGGGCTGGAACGATTGTCTTCTGTTGAGGTCAGCCTACTTAAAAATACAACAATGCGACGCAACCGCTATAAGATACAACACAATAGTCTCCCTATAGCTCCCTACACCTTCACCTCCTCCCTCGCTTCGCCACCCGACTTCACCTTATCCAGCCTCTTCTCGACAATCCATCCCCGGATAAAGGTGCTGCTCATCTTCGTCTGCCTCAGCAGCTCCATGTCCTCCGCATCCAGCCGTGCTGACTGATGAGATATCACGTCGATGACGAACGTCCTCAGCGCCGGGAGCGATTTTCCTGCCCGGTGTTTATCGACTGCGTTTGGGTCGTATCAGCGTCAGGTGGCGTCTACGAGTCGGGATACGCACTCGCATCTCCACCAGACAAAGTCTCCCGGCTTACGACAAGAGCCTGGATATTCGGATCCCAGCCTGTGGGTCCATATACGTCGTTGATAGGGACGACGTCATAAAACAAGCTTGGTTTGAAGAACTTTAGAAAGTCGTGGACGCGCTGCGAACGAACAAACAGGTTCTCAAGGACCTCTTTATTCGCCTTCTTTGTGAGAAGGGCATCATCTAAACCAAGAGACCATTTGGATCAGTTATACGGGCATCATCGAATGACAGGCTAGAGTGCCCACCAGTTACACCGACAATTAGTTTCTCTTCAGCTATCCACGCCCCCATACTGACCAGGATCTTGTGTCCTGCATGAAGATGATCGAACGTCCCTCCGAGCGCTACCACAGGGTACGTCGACGGCTGTGAGTCCTCGACGACCGGTGACTCCGGAAAGGGCGTGCCGCTCTCAGAGCCGGTATCCCCTGGCATGAGCCATGAGGGACGGAGCGATGCGAGCGGTTGCGGCAGCGGCACCGGAATACTGTCTGAGCAGAATCAATCGGTCACACGACAGGACACAACACAGACGACATCGCACATACCGCCTTCGACCCTGAAAGCGATCTCCATGCCCTCCCCGAAGTCTTCGTGCAATTCTTCGTCAAACCCTCTCAGCAGCACGTCCACCTCCATGAGCACTTTGTCCATGTCCTGCGCGACCTTCGTTGCCTGGACATAGACGTACGTCAGGAGCCTCTGGATCTCGTCCCACCTAGCCGTGTGTGATACGCCCGGGGACGAGCCATCACTGTTGACCGAGCCAATGCTGTCCGCCCGCCGTCTTTGTCCCTGTGGGGGCGATAGCAGAGCTGCGGGCATTTGAGAGCGCCGCCTCGCCTTTCTGCCCGTATTGAACAGGCGCGAAAAGAGGACAATGACGAGGTGCTCATGGGTGGACTTTGCGGCGGCGGCGATGACGGGCGCCAGGAAGTGTGGGGTCTCGAGGTCGTTGATAGTAGCGAGGAGAATCGCGCGTTCGATCGAATTGGGGCAATGAGGCATTGTCGAATCATGCGCTAATAGGCAGTGGACCTGATGTCAGAGTGGACAGAGAGAGAAGTTGGCGAATGGATCAGGGGGCCGAAGACAAATATAAGAGCGTTGTGGGTGTCATAGGAGGGATAGTATTCAGTCACTGGGCGAGGACGATGAGGCAATCGACGGAGATCCGTTGCGATCAGGGTCTCGCCCTCTGTCCCTGGGGGCCTCCAGGGGCGTCCTGTGCCCCCAACGTATTCGTCAATAATTCATAAGATTAGCAAAATAAATCGTAGATCGTGTTTCGAGTAACACATCGTAGTCGTGCAGTAAGGTATCTCATAGCCAGTCCACAGACGACAGAGAGTAATGCCTCGGCTATGTCCGTGTGCGAGGAGAAGACTTGCTTGCATACAAATCCTTGATGTCGAAAAATACACTGATACCAAAGGTGACGCACAATAGACAGGTGCAGGCAGAGGCGAGGTTAAACGCAGTGCACCTGTGAGGTCCAGTTAGATGCCAATGTCATCATCGCAAGGTGAACTCAAACACACCATCCGTCATACTCGCCGAGTGGACACCTCGGCCCAATCAAGATCCATACGAACTCCACCCCCCATAACCCAAGACCAAGCAGGTCGAAAAAAAGAGACCACTTCAGCTCCTTCCTCGCTTGTCTCCACTGTTCCTCCATCGCCAGGCCTTCAAACACGCTCCTCCGCTTCGGTCTCGTGCCCGGCGCACGATTCACGCCTGACACAGCTGACGAATTCTCGTCCCCTGACAGAATGTCTTCTTCATGGTCCAGCGGTCGTTGACCTTGGCCGAACATCGTTGGATCGACAATGAGATTGACCTGCACACCTTGGCCCTGGCCACCTTTCTTGCCTTTTGTCTTACCGCCTGGAAGACCTTGAACAGGTAGTATCATCATCCCCCCTGGCCCGCGTCCTAGCATTCCTTTGCTTTTCCGCCGACCGCAGTAACACGGTCGAATCGCATGAAGGTAGAAAATTGCGATGAAAAAAACGACGGAAAGAATGTAGAGGACATAGGTCTGAGGCTTGTTTCGGGGGGGTGGAGATGTCGAGGGTTTGATTTCCTATAAGTCAAAATGAGAAAAGATTGCCCATCCATGACCAGTAACAAGGAAAAGCATAGCATATCAGAGACGTACCAAGGCAGCGTAAATAGTAGCGATCGCTATTCCCAGTGCCAACAGCCCTTGCACAGTTCTGGCCGCGCCCCTCTTCTTCGGTCCGTGGGTGACCAGCTTACCCTTGACATCTACACTTCCGATCATCTTCACCTCTTCATCCTTCGCCATATCTTTAGTTCCAAACTCCCTCTCCAGCATCCGCAGTCTTTCTTCCTTCGTTTCCTCACTGATTACAGCCGAGCCGAGCCGATCGTTCTGAGACCAAGGCAAGACATCTTGCGACGAGGAATCAGACGTCATGGAGTACGGGTCGAGAGCATTCGAGGCGTAGGGGGTAGAGAAGTTCGCGACGGGATAAGTGGGATCGAAAAACGCAGGACTAGCTTCCTGAACAGACGCGCGCGCCTTCGGTGTGCGCTGCTCTTTGGGATACCAATTGTGGGACCACGGAGGGAACTGTGTGATGTCAAATTCCTCACCGTTGTGGCTTTCAAGGTGTTCGTAGATGGGAGGGGACTGTGCAATGTGAGGGGAGTAGTGAGGTCGATCTCCAGACCGCAGAGACGGGGACGGAATCGTCGATGGTAACGAGAATGGCCTGCGAGCGGGGGAACGAGAGGCATACGATTGCGCATGCGATTGTGATGATAATGTCCCTCGAGAGGACACAAGCGAAGGAGGCTGAAGCGAAAGCCTGCTGTTCGCAGCGAATGGGCGAACGGGGGGCGGCGAGGGTGGATATTCGACTTGCGCACGAAACGCAAAGGCATGGTCCGGTTCGGAAGAGAATGCGAGTTTGTGAGTCTGTCGCTCGAGGTGGAGGTGGTGAGCATAATCTGCTAGATCGAGTGCTTCGACAGATATGTCCGACGCCTCACGCCTCTGACGCTGATATCCCGAGGAAAGCCAGTGGTCATCATCTGATGTGTGGGTTATGTGATCACCAGGTTGTCTTGCAAAGTCTGGAGACCATGGGCGAGGGCGAAGCTGTGAGGACGGAGGCGGAGTGTCTAGCCGATGGCGTGAATACATAGTTCGTAAATAGTCGTTCAGGTTCGTGCGATGGTCGTGAATATTTAGCTCCTCGAAAACAAGAGCTGTCGGTATGTCTGGTCGGCAGGGCGCATACCCAGAGCTCTAGCCGTCCAAGGAGCTCTGAAGGTGTTAGTGGGAATAAGGACAGACGTGTGTAATCTAAATATAGAAACCCCCGACAATTAGAAACCGAGGCAAACGTTCGTTGAGGCCAAGCATCCAAAGCTCGCTTCACAGAGCCAAAAAATCATTATCGCGTACAACATACAGATCATGGAAGACTCTCTAGCCACTGAAGGAGTCCGGACAGCCCATTGCTATCGCTTTTCTCACTCTCCGACATCAGCGCCCTCCCAATACTAACCGAGGTCCCTATAAATTCGACCTCGCCCCCCTCCCACTCTGCGAACTTGAACGCCCCACCGGATGCTCCGCTGCATTCCAACCCGCCTAGCTCTGAAGCATCCACGCCTTCTTCACCCAGGCCTTCAATTCCCACTCCACCCATCTGCGAAGCGCGACGCTTCTCAAGCTCACGTTCGAGGACGGTACGCACACGATTGACAGCGAGCTGATCTGGGGATCCAGATGCGGATGTGTTACTCGTTTTTAAGAGATCGGACTTGTGTGCTAGGAGGAGCAGAGATGGTGGTGTCTGTGACGGTGGAATCGACACAAGCGTATGTAGGACTCGATGCAGATGTCTGATGGATTTAGCATTAGCGTCTGTGACGTGGACAGGGAAACTCGATCGCATACTCAGCTACAGCAGGGCCATTACGTGAGATAGTGCTGGCATCGACGACAAACACGACTGCTTTTGCATCCGCCAGATATTCGGTAAACTGATCTCTGATACGAGGATGCCCTGGAATGTCCACCACAGACAATGCTTTTTTGTCTGCGAGTGTGACTATCGATGTGTTGGATTGAAGTGAGGCATGAGTCGGGAGTGTCTGCTTGTAAACAAGCTGTGCATGCGTCGGTCGGGGAATAAATGCTACGAAGACTGTGTCCACATACTGTTGATAGAATAGCCGTCTTGCCAGCGTCTGGTGGTCCAACAAGTAGTATGGCATTCCCTTTCGACCTCGACTTTCTTCTGGCAAAGAAAACCAGGACTGTGAGAGCATCAGAAGCTGGTGTAAATCGAAAGAGCCTGCAACGCACTCCCTACAAGTAGGACAGCGACTGATAATGACACGCCGAGCAAAGTTTGCGGAGAAAACTGGAATGGAGTTGCAACTGATGCAATTTCAGGAATCAGCTCTGGGTTGAGACTTTGTCCTTCATGTGCTGAATGATCCATGACGAGGTATGTGGTTCCGGTATGGATTGGAAACCCATACAATTACGTCATTCCTCGAAACTTGTTTACAGTTATTGAATCTAGAAGCTGTTGGACAATAAGCATCAATAACCCTTCGGAGCTCGAACCCAACACACACTTAATCGACTTCCTTCAGAGGCGACCTTCAGTCCGAATCAACAAAGTAGATCGAGATCACACGGATGGAGGTCGTAAAACATTTGGTATTCCAGGTAACCAGATAAATAAACATAACACAATGTATTAGTGGTGAGCAACGAATTTATGCTCATATTCTCTCCTGACTATGATAAATAAGCCACAGTATAAGCTTCAGTTGCAGCTGCACGTAGACGCATCGGCTGTTGTACCGAAGGGACAGGTACCCGCTACAGAACAATCAATCAGCGATGTTTTATCTCATTGGAGTTGAAACACTCACGTGCGCCAAATGGGACAATGCCGGTCGCAGGAGATCCAAAGAGACCAGGGTCAACCCCATCGAGCTGAGCATTAACGATACCCTTTAGCTCGGCGTTTCTGGGAGCCGTTTCGCAAAAGAGCGTCGAAGGAGTGACGCCGTTGATGTTGAGAGCGTTGCGAGGGTGTTTGCGATAGGCAATAGCATTCGCGATCAGTGCGTCCTTGTTCGTGACGCCAGCAGACTTGGCGAAATCTATCATCGCATCTGCATTGTTCTTCACAGAACCAAATGTTCATATGTCTGTTCGGGCGCAACGAAAAACTGGGGCTAACCTGTTGGGCACAGGCATCGGCATTTGCGAGAAGAGAGTTAATGCCCGCAACGCCTGCGAGCTGGACGCATGGCTGGTTGGTTTGGATGTCGCCGCCGCTTACGAGGCACAGGTTTTGCCAGCTCTGAGCGACCGCGGGAAGGTCCGCCTGGGCAATGCGCTTGGAGATGCTCAAAGCGGGTGTGACGCTGCGCTTCTTCCCCTTCTCGCATGCAGGAGGGCCAGTGGCACGCCTAGAAGAAAGCGCCAGGCATTGATCAGAACTCTTATATTGATGCCAATCAAAACTTTGATCTTACTTTTCAGGGGAGGCTTCACGCTTACCGAAGAGACCGCCGGTCGCGCCAGTGTTGGAGATCCGGGTCGTAGCGTCAGCTTGTGTGTCGCAAGTGATACTAGTCCATGGAGTCAACACACTGGCAGACATATCGGAATCATAAGGCTCTTACCTCGTTCCAGCGGAGTTGACTAAAGGAAGGGCAAAGCACTGGAGGCCACCAGCGCAAGGGAAAGTGACGAATTTACCATTCGCACATTGTGCGAACGCGCCATTAATGCAAGCATTCTCGCCGCTCGTACATGACGAAGATGCAGACAGGGTATGGAACTTGCGGTTTAATGCCTGAGCATCTTGACCGTTCTTCTTGGTGAACGCAGCACGGCGAGCACTGCAAACGAGTCAGCCGCCAAACCTTCATTGGATAGCAATCGTGCTTACAGAACGGGAACATTGCGCCTGCCGAAGACGCCTCCAGCAGCACCGGTATTGGCAATACGAGCGGTGGCATCGGCTTCGGTGTCGCAAGTGATGCTACGGATACATGTAAGCAAAGTTCAAAACACTACAGAAACACGTCCTCACCTTGTTCCAGGGGAGTTCACAAGGGGCAAGGCGAAGCACTGGAGCCCGCCCGCGCAAGGGGTGACAGCGAACTTGCCGCCGACACACTGAGCGAAGCCTCCATTGACGCAGGCACTCTCACCGTCGGTGCAAGGAGAGTCGGCGGTGAGGCTCTGGAACTTGGCATTCAAAGCTTGGGCATCTTGACCGTTCTGCTCGGTGAAAGCAGCACGGCGGTCGATAGCACCGGCCGAAACCAGAGCAACAAGAGAGAGAGGGAGAACAAAGGTGTTGAAGTACATTGTGAGTGTGTTTCGTAAGGGATGGGCGAGGTAGAATTATAGATGAAGGGCACGGAAACCAGGGAGTGTCAAAGTTTACAAGGAATGAATGAAAGAGCAACCGGGCTCGATGATCGTGAGTGAGGTGGAACCTGGGGAACCTGCAGAGTGCAGGTGAGGGTTTTATACTTTTTTGCTCGCTAATATCTCTTGATAGTCGGCTGTGTGCACAGCAGTATTCCTTAGGGTCAGCACTGTTCATCGAAAAGTTCATCTAGGATTCAAAATGAGATCAAAATGTCCTTGATCCTTCTCCTGAAATTTGATGCTAGCTGATGCGAGCTTTCCGCTAGTCTCCAAGTTTCAAGGACGCATGCTTCCACTGTAAGGCTTCCGTCCAGGTTGCTCTCTATTTCATGCTCTTATGCACATCAAGACTCTAAATCGTCACTAATTATCCCGGTCCCGTGCCTTGGGTCCAGTAGCTAAGTCAAATATTATGTTTCGTGATGAAACCTATCTACTTGATGAGCCACAGTTTCCCTAGATTTAGAATTTCTTTGCTTATGGCCGAGGTCGTACACGGAGCTACCGCTTAATCGTATGCTAGGCCCATCGTCTAGTGGGCTGTACCCATGATATTGATTTGTTCGTTTGACGAGACGGCTCAAACAGTGTTCTGGTCGCATTCATCCTGAGAGTTAATCGGTCTCCGACAATGAAACTTTTGGTCGGTCCTTATGCACTCACTCTCTGACCGAGAGAAGCGATTGGATGTCATTTCTCCAGGATTTCATGTTGACATATGTCAGATCACGAGGATGATCATAGTAGTGCTCATCTCCATCAATAACATGATGCTCAGACAATTTTCGGGTTTTTGAGTCGAAGCCGTATTTCCTTGGCATGATGGATGGACTGTTATCTCTGTGCAACCTCTGATGGAGATGGACAGCAGCGGACAGTAACTTGCGAGTGCATATGGACCGTCAAATTCTCGAGGTGAGTTGGCGCTTTACTTGTACTCTCTGACGTCTGCCTAGTAATAGCCGAGATTGCTCGGCGACTGCTGTTCTCCGTATGCCCATTCGCGTGGCTGGTGATGCAGTGAATTGAGTTTCGAATAGAGAGCGTTGAGACGTTGGGGATTGACTGTGTGCAGGATTCATCCCTGGTGACTTGCAATTTATATCGCCGCTAAGGAAGGGCCTTACTGAGTTTGCATGGGTGTAAAAGAGGCAGAACATCTTGACTTAATGCAGGGATGGTATTTCTTGAGACACGATATCAATATATCAAGGGTCACCTATCCCTTTGCTAATCTGTCCTCAGACGCTGAAGTGCTGATGGGTCCAAGAGCGAGGCTCATGCACGTGATGAATACTGTCGAAAATGCTGCTCATATCGGGTTTCAACCAGCTTTGAACAGTCTCGGACGAAACACACACGCGACTTTCTTTGAAAGCCGCATGAAACATGGTAGGCGTTGTTGCTGCCGAGTCTGAGGCTCGTAGTCCTCCTCCTCGCAAACGTATCCGCCCACTCTCTTCTCACCCATCCGACGACGCCGAACGTCAGAAATCAAGCAGCCCCCGTCTTTTTGCACCCTTCCGGGCCCTTGGTCTCGTCACAAACCACGTTCCATTTGCTCTTCAGACACGTTCATTCAAAGGATCCACAGACGGGCCTCGTATCCATCTCCTAACATGCATTGGAAGGTCATGGGTGTTATGGGAAGGTGGGAAGATGGGATTGTTATTTGTTGGTGAGTACGTGTAGTTTTGACGTGTAGAAATGCCTATGAAATGTCAAGCATAACCTTATGTCAGGTCCTGATACCGCTGAGCCAATATCAGCTATGGCCATGGATGGGGATGCCGTTTGGGCCGCTGCCGGACCCCGCGTGCTGAAGTATGTCCGAGGCAAAGAGGTAGACCTCAGTCTCCTACTTAATGGGTTTGTTCTCAATTTGAGCATGCCCTTTTCGGTATAGATATTACGGTTAAACAATCCGCTGGGAGCCCACATAGCGTCTATCCTCGTGTTTGGATCACAACTACTGGCTTTGACGGAAGACGGAGGGCGCTTGCTAATGTGGGATACCTCAAAAGAGGGTATGCATTGATGTTAACGTTTATTTCCAACACACTGACACGGTGGTCATTCAGAATTCCAAACACAAATTCAATTTGAGGCAGGCTTCGTTGCAACTCATATGATGCATCCTGCCACATATTTAAACAAAATCATTGTAGCGAGCAGCAACGGTAGTTTGCAGATGTGGAATATACGGACTCAGTGAGTCTGACCTCCTCTCATCACGGCTTCGCAGTAATAAATATTTTATAGAACATGTATCCATAAGTTTCTACATAACAATCTTTTAGCTTCCTCCACATCGAATGCAGCAACGGCCATCACGGCTCTCGCACAGTCTCCTGCAATCGACGTTGTTGGTATCGGTTTTACCTCCGGCGAAATTTCGATATACGACATTCGTGCCAATGAGGGGTTTATGCGAATTTTCATGCGAGAGGGCGGTATTAGGGCTTTGAGTTTTAGGACTGGTATTTATTGTCCTGTTTATCAATGCCTTTTCAAGGATACTCACTTTCGCCTGGCAAGACGGGCACCCTGTGCTGGCCTCGGCATCAGAAACCGGGCACATATCCCTTTGGGATCTCAGCGCAAAAGGCCGCCTTCTGCATACTGTGCGAGGTGCACATGATGGCGGGATCACTGCGTTGGAGTGGGTACCTGGCCAGCCAGTACTTGTCAGCTCGGGAGAAGACAACAGCGTGAAGGTCCGTGTTCTCCCAGATTGGCATGAGTATAGGTCTCATTTCTATATCTGATCACAGCAATGGCTTTTTGACTCACCGACATCTGCTCCTCGGTTGCTCAAATATCGATCTGGCCATAATGCCCCTCCGCACCTTATTCGGTTTTACGGAGAGGATGGTAAACAGTTGTTGACTGCCTCAAGGGATCGTAGTCTTCGATGTACCTCCCTTGTTCGAGACTCGCGATCATTCGAATTATCCCAAGGTTCGCACGTGCCAAGCACCCTCTTTGCGTCTCAGTATCGTTTACTGAAAGGCCAAGCATTTCTCAGGCTCGTTGACGAAAAAGGCATCCACACTATCTGTACCCGTCGCTTCCTTGAAGCTCCCCCTTATCACCTCTTTATCTTATTCCACGACTAGATGGAAGGACTGGGACGATATCATGACAGCACATACAGGAGAAACCTTTGCCAGAACGTGGAGTATGCTGCACAAGAAAAAAGGAAACCATGCTCTTGGGCTTGGGAGTACTGAAAAGGGCAAGCCAGTTGGCTCTGTCAAGGTTTGTAACTCCACCTCCCCTTCTGTCGCCATTTTTTTGTCCTCACATCGTTATGACACCCAGGCTGTATGCGTATCTGCGTGTGGCAATTTCGGCATTGCGAGTTCTTCTACAGGTGCTATCACTATGTGGAATATGCAGTCTGGCATGCAGCGTAAAGTATTTAGCATCGGACCATATCCGTCCGAGGTGGCAACCAAGTTCCGACCTCCACCCGGGAAGAAAAGGAGTGACGAAAGGAGCATCACTGGTCTTGCCACCGATGCACTGAATCGTATTCTGATTGCGAGTACGCTGGACGGAACTATCAACGTACGTGGTTCTTCATGCGGTATCTGCATGGCTAATGGACATAGCATCATTTCATATAGTTTTTTGATTTCCATACCACGGCTCTAGAAAAAACGTTGGTCCTACCAAGCGCTGCTGTATCTATTACTTTGCACAGGGACAGCGGTCTGCTCGCTGTCATATGTGATGACTTGGCAGTTCGACTCGTCGATATTGAAACTCGTAGAATAGTTCGAGAGTTTGGTGGATTTGGTGGACGCGTGTTGGACATGGTATGTATTTTAGTTACCCTTTTTTTGACCTCATTGCTCAACATCACGTCCAGACGTTCTCCCCCGACTCAAGATGGGTTATCACCACATCGTTGGACTCTATCATCCGGACGTTTGACATACCGACTGGGCACCTCATCGATGCCTTCCGAACATCCAGTGTGGCAACAAGCGTGTCATTTTCACCTGCTAGTGATTTCTTGGCCACAGCCCATGTGGACAGCGTTGGCGTGTTTCTGTGGTATGTGGCTTTCTGGGATGTACTATCTATATTTCTCACTCTAGGATGGCAGGGCGAATCGCGCGCAGTACTCGGATTTCTCATTCCACAACATCACCGAAGAGGACACTGCAGATATTGCTCTTCCAACGATGCAGGCATCTACTGACGACAATGACAGTGAGATATCCTGATAGGACTAATTTGTCCTTGCCTTCTGATAATTCTCACCCAGCGCTGGAGTTGTTGTCTGCACTCACGGTGGAAGACCAGCATCAAACCCACTTCACTACACCTCAAGACCTCGATGGTGATCTCGTTACCCTCACGCTTCTGCCCCGTTCGCGATGGCAATCATTGTTGAATCTGGAAGTTATTCAGGTCATTTTAATTGCAATATCTGCTCTCTACCGTCTTCTCATTACTGGCATTCATATCATCAGCAACGTAACAAACCAAAAGAGCCACCGAAGCCCCCAGAACAGGCTCCCTTTTTTCTGCCGACCCTCCCAGGCATCGAACACAGATTCGAGATACAGCAGAAGGATACAAAGGCTGACCAACGTACTCGAAGGCTCGAGAAGGCCACAGCAGAATCCGAGAGCGTCTTCTTCAAGCGACTCTCGGAAGCTGACAAGGACAGCGATTGTAAGCAGAGCAATTTCTTCACTTGACTTGGGGTAGTATTAATCGTTGTGTGCTCCAGACGACGCTTTTTTCAGCTATGCAAAATCACTTTCTGCAGCAGCCGTGGATCTCGAACTTCGATCTCTTGTTTCCCTCGACTCACTACAGGCATTCCTCCATGCACTCAGCCAACGGCTGCGTTCGCATCGTGATTTCGAAGCTGTGCAGACGTACCTGAACGTTTTCCTGCGTATGCATGGAGATGTCATGGTCGCCAATGTTACATTACGAGCTGAATTGCAGAAGCTGTTGGGGATACAGAAGCGGGAGAGCGGCCGCGTTCTAGAGCTGATTGCGGCGTCACTGGGCACACTAGCATTTGTTAGAGATACGTTGTAGAAATCTTGTGAGGGGCTATACTGTTCTCAGACAACAATCGTCCACCCTTGGCCGTCTGGATCCCGCTATCACCGATAGTCATACTATGCTGGGACCGGAGTTGAACAGGTTTTAGCCCTTCTGGCTGCCCTGTGCTCGCACAGTCTCCCATTACTATAAAATTAGTGTACATACCTGACCAAGTGTCTCAATTTTATCATGTTGTTTTTTTCGTGATTATTGAAAGCAAGGAAAAAGCGTCGGACAGTGACTGAGGAGAGAGAGTCGAAAAATGGCGTAGACCCCAGAGTTGAACGATGAATCCGAGCCTTCAGTCACACTGAGTCACGCCTGCCGATTAGAAGTCCGACGGCTTGCAGCTCAGCACCCCTGCAAGAGGTCCGCCACCGGAACACGTCGGAGCTTCATAAAAAGTCACCCCCGAGGCCGAAGTTACTCTGCCTACCCTCTTGTGCTGAGATTTTATTTTGAGCATGAAGCCCCTACTGGTCACTCTTAGATTTTTTTTTCACAGAATGTTCATCTACATATATTACCTAGTCCCTTTTTTACATGAGGTTCAGAGTGCGAGATTGGTCAGATCTGGGCTCATTATCGCAGCAGAGACTCGAAATTGCATTTAATTTCTCTCTCCTGCTCCATGCGCTTGTCTGAGAAGTCTGAAAAAACGCACAGCTAGTCTAGACATACATAACATGAATATTTACAGAGCTGCTCCTTTGATGGGGAAGAAGTTGAATTGAAAGTTCACTACTGGTTCACTGTTCAACACTCAACTCCGGTCCCAGCATAGTATCCTCATGGCTAGAAATCGACCTCCAAAGTTGAAAGTTGTCTTTTTTTTTTCGGAAAAGAGAGTCTGGAGGTCCCCGAAAAGGAGTATGGTCCGGCCTTCTCGGCTTTATCCGGCCATGCCTCCCCATTTTGCTAACAGTATGTTAATAGAGAACCGTTCACTCTCGTTCGTTTCTGCGAGCGGACTCACTTTGCTTTGAGCTACTTCCCACGAACACATGGGCCAGTCCGCGCCAATACTTGTTGCTAAAGGAACAATTGCTACATGCAAGTTCGTCCTTCCGGAGGAACACTTCGAGCATCACCTGATGACTGAACCTGGCTTTTGACGTTCAGCTGTATCGGGTGCAGCAATCGTAGGGACATATGCCTTGGCCAAGGGTAGAGGGCAGGCAGTCGCAGCTCTCCTGGCTTCGTCTGCGGCTCTCAACTGTGGTATTGCGGGAGCTACGTTCTTCGGTGCGTGGACTCACTCTCTACTAGCTAACTCTGCCCCAAGGCTGAATAGTAATTGATATGTGTTGTAGGCATTCGAGAGTATCTCGTGAGTCCAGCTTTTGTTGCCACACTGCCTCAGAGGCAGTACGTGCGACGAAGACGGCAGGTGCAAGCTCATCCAGAGGATGGGATACACCGTGGACACTTGACTTGGTGGGATATGCGCACACACAATGTGCTGGATTCCCTAGTGAGTGGTGGAATCACTGGTGGCATTTTACGTGCATGGAGGCGTGAGTTGCATCTGATTCTTAGGAGAGATCAATTGTCCTGAATTCTCTGTAGATGGGAGCCGTGGAGGATTGTCAGGTCTCGCCATGGGTGCTGTGGGGTGTACCCTTCTCCAGTATTCGGCCAACGAGCTCGGCATACAACGCGTGAAATTCGTGTCGCGAAGACTGGGCATAGCAACGCCAGGGCAACAACCTGTTGGCTCCTCAGAACCAACGCGACCGCTCGGGCAACGAATAGCGGGTCTGTTAGGTTTCAAAAGCCTATCGGACGAGCAATTCATAGCGCAAATGAAACAAGATCGGGACACTTACATGAAGAGGATTGCCGAGCTCGAGAAGCTGCAGGAGGAAGAGAAAGGCAGACGATAGTGACCATCACACTTTGATATTTTGTGGTGTTATTACAGAGATCCGATTATTGCATTTCCTTCGTCGGCCCCTCCACACTCGATCTTCCACATCTCTACGAGCCCTTCGCCATCCTTACCAAACCCTCCAACCGCGATCCAGCCGTCAAAACCAACTAGAGCATTCACTTTTGCAACGCCTTTCACATATACAGTCCACGCCGTTTCGAGCACCAGTTTGCCGTTGACGCGGGAGATAGTATGCTGCGAGAACGTTCCAAGCAGAGTACATGTGAGCAGCGTCATCGGATCAAGAAACTTGCTATAAAGATAGTTTAGGAGAATTAACAAATCAAAAAGAATACAGTACGCACACAGCGACAACGGGACCCTCCGCAATCTTGGTTGTGAAAGCTTCATCATCTTTGAGCCCTTCCCACTTGCGATTCCTTTTTTTCTTCCCAGAAGCTGCGCCAGATCTCTTCTCGCCTCCTCCACCGATCCAAACTCGTCCATCTGCAGTTCCTGCAGCAATGAGACCAGAGGCTGACATGGCAAGGGACAAAATGAATGGCGGAGACAGAGATATGCCTGAGGATGGTGGGGGTGAAGCTAAGTGAAACATGCTTAGTTACAACAACGGACGTAGAGGCTAGAATAGAACATACTGAAGTCAATACGCGATAAGACATTGCCTTGGTGGAAGTCGAAATGTAGTAATGCGGAATCATATCCCCCGCTCACTAGTTCGCTTGGACGGTCCGGAATAAACGCGACTGACCCACATATCTAGAAAGAAAGACGTATATGACGAGGTCAGATACGCTGGAGAATGAACGCGGCAGACTTTACATTGTCATGTCGAGATTTCATTCGTGAAATCTTTTTGGTTGCAATTTCAACAGTACCAACCGTCCCACTATCTGTGCTGAATGCGAGGTATTTTCCACTGGGGTTCAACATAATCTGACTGGATATCTTTAATTGCCAGACGGGTGATGCAAATGAGCTCGACTCACCTCATTGAGGACATCTTCGTCGTCTTCACTGATGTCAAATATTGTGGAGGCATCGCTGAGCGATAGAATCATTTTGGGACCTGTCATGTCAAACGACATTATCTTGAAACCACATGAGGGAAAGGTCTGCTAATGGTGGGGGGCTGAAACATACACGTTTTCCGCAGGCGAGCCATACAATCCCCAGTTCGCTTTCGGGTTCCGTGGAGCAGGCTATAGATGAGATCTCTGCACCCAGTCCCCTGATAGCTTTTGCCACTCGGATCTCTGGGGGTTGATAGATACGGATGGTCCCGTCATCTGAGCGGATGAGAGCCATGAGTATGTCATAATCGGAGATCATAGGATGGGTATACCTGAGCCCGCGCAGAGATAGTTGGAGGCTGTATGTGACAACGTAGATATACGGGAACGCACCCGAAGCGTGTTTTGTAATAAAGGCGCGGCCATTGGCTTTTCTGAATCTTCGAGGATGACGGTTCTGATCGGGTGCGGGTCTGTGCGGGTCTGTGCGGGTCGGGGTGCTCCTCTGGAAATATCTTATCTTATCTCCCTGCTATCTCTATCTCTATATATTCCTTCGGCCGACATATATATTACCCATGTCCTCCCATGTCCTCCCGTTTACTCTTCCTGCTTCCCCCATCTAAGCAACCAGCATTACCCACAATCGATTCAAAATGCCGGTTGGTGCTGCCACCACTCAGGCTCCAAAAACCTTTGAGCACTTGAAGAACTTGTTGGAAAATGACATCAAGGTCAAAGTCGCAGGTAGAGTTCCGCCTTACCTTCATATTCATTGATCAACGAGTCACCTTGTTCTGCATCCTTCCTTAGGGTTTGACGGTACTTAACTCGTTCTAGGAGGAATGCGGCTTTCTAACTTGGTTCACCAGTTGACGGCGTCCTGAGGGGCAAATTCATGGTGAGTGCGATCACTGAGCTCGTCTCTTTTTGCAAAGGCTGATGGTTAGGTAGTCAAAGGAGAAGTTTCTGAGCGCAGCTTCTTCTGATGGGTTTGGCTTCTGTAGCGTCATTTTGTTCGTCCTCTGTTCATTTGCTGCTGAAGAACTCGTCAATGACGCGACCCTTCCTCTCCAGCGGATGGGATCTACACGATGCCGTCTATTCTCGTGAACTGCTCATATCGAATAGAGCAAATGGTTACCGCGATATTCTGGCATCGATAGATCTATCGACGTTTAGAAGAATTCCTTGGGAAAACAATGTTCCATTCTTCCTGATTTCATTCCTGGACCCCGACTCGAGAGAGCCTCTTAGCGTATGCCCGCGGAGTGTCCTGAAACGGACAGCAGAGAAGGCTGAAAAGAGCGGATTGTCATGTTATGCAGGCGTTGAGTATGAGGTATGCCATTTCAATTATCGGAATTGATGACCTCACATCATATATCACTTCCCCTAGTACTTCCAATTTAAGGGTGAATATCTCACTCGTCTCAAGGAAATTTATGACTCATACTCCACCAGAATCGCCACACAGCCTTGCCGAGAAGAAATATCAGAACTTGACCCCCCTCACGCCTGGAAGTGAGTGATACTACCCCAAGCATCTAATGAATGCATCGAATATCCACCGTAGTGCATGGATACTCCCTCCTGCGTACTCAATTAAACAGAGACTACTTTGACGGCCTTTTCGATAAAAGTCACGAATTCGAAATTGACATTGAAGGGCATCGTGCGTTTATTGTATGCCATTGTATGCCATCTCTTACATATTGACTTCTTGATCAACCATTTCTTCAGATACTGAGACTGGCCCTGGTGTTTTTGAAACTGCATTAGCGTACACTACAGCTCCGCGGATGGCCGACAATGCGTTGCTCTTCAAGTATTTAGCTAAGAGCATAGGCATACAACATGGTATTGTGCCAAGCTTCATGGCTAAACCGTGGGGAAACGTAGGTACCGTAGCTCACTCGACCGATTGAGTTTCTGACTCTCGCTTTCAGCTTCCAGGTTGCAGCGGGTATGCTGTCTCAAAGAAGCGTCTACAAACTCCTGCTCATCACAGTCTACCATTCATAGGCATATACACGTGTCGCTGCGCGATGCAACGGGCTTTAACATCTTCGCCGTTAGCGATTCTGAACTCAAGACTGGTAGAGAAGGAGCATCATACGACGAGTTGAAGTACCTGAGCCAGGCTGGCGAATGGTTCTTGGCAGGTGTCCTAGATGGTTTGCCGGACAGTGTGTAGTTTCCTTCATCTCACCTGAAAAGAATAGCACTCAACTTACCTTTGTTGTCTAGTCATGCCCCTGGTAAGGTCTCGTTTTAGTACAGCGTCCTCATGCTCATAGTTTCGCAGCTCGTTCCCACTATCAATGGTTACAAACGTCTCATTGGCGGTGAAGCCTTCTGGGCTCCCAACGCTGTCACGTATGGCTATGACTCCCGCGCAGCTTCTGTCCGTCTCATCTCTCCTCCATCTGTACCTCCCGCGGCTACACGTCTTGAAGTCCGTGTACCCGGAGCAGACATGAACGCGTTCTTTGCTTTGAGCGCAATCTTCCAATTAGGGATGAGAGGAATGGAGAAGAAGCTAGCTTTACCCGTCGCCCCTCTCTCGCAGCTCACTCCGGAGGATAAGAGGAATGGGACGGTACGCTTCTGCCACTGTCAGCGTATGCAGCTACTAAGATTACTCTGGTTGCGCGTGAAGGTCAAAATGCTGCCGATTTCTCTGGAGGCTGCGACGCAGAGAATGATGCAGCCAAGCAGCATCGCTCGGGAAGTTTTCGGGAACGATTTTGTGGAACATTTCGGGGGAACACGAGAACATGAAGTGAAGCTATGGAACGAGGCGGTCACGAGCTGGGAAGGTGAGGCAGATCGGGTTTTTCCTCTTCCTGGCTGGGTTCTGATAAGGCCATTTCAGTCGAACGATACCTTGAATTGGCATGAGACTCGAGTCAAGTCCAACGGGACGTCCTGTATCTTTATTGTACATGCTTCCATGCGAACCTGTTCGGTCGCAGTCACAATCCAATCGTGTAAGGAATTGGAAATTGTAGATTCCTTCATTGTATGAGGAATCCGCTAGGCGACAGGACCGCTTGCCGTTCCGCTGGTAACAGTTGTGGGGGCAATGCCAGGGACTGGTATATCTGCTGTCACAGTCGGAGTGACGGTACTGGGTAGAGTTGAGGTAGCTTTAGGTCGTATCGAATGATACCAATTCAAGAAATGCGGAACGTCCTGCGGTCAAATTATGAGAACGTTGTGGTCCAAAGAGTGAAACGAGAACGATTACCGCAGAGATCGTGCTAGCCATCGAGCTCTCTACGATAAACGTGGGGATGCTGCCACCAGGGGAGCTGGAGGTGGCCATACGCCATTCTACATTGCCATTTTCAAGCTCTTTGATGATTTCCACGCTGCAGTAACGGCCTTTCACTGCCTTCTCCTCAAGCTTTGCTAGCTCTGGATCTTCGGTGATATCTACCGGAACTTGTATGAGGAACCTACGAAGAGAGTGAATAAAGACAGAACCAATATACAATCTAGCGACCGACCCTGTCCTCGGAGAGGTCTCATCCAGATGGGCAAATTGCAGAACGGTGAATACTCGTGGTGACACAGGCGGGGTAAATTCATAGTACATCGACCAGATAGACATATTGGAGGTGACTTGTTTCACCAAAGTAGCTTTCTTGACTTCCTTCATGAAGCTGCCGCCATCATATCAGTTCGAGGTCTGACAGAGGATGAATTGTACACGCACGCCACTTCGTTGTTAGCGTGGTCGTGGCCGATCTTACTCCAGAACTCGTCGAACGTTGCATCCTCGGCGGTATGCTCGCTAACTCTACCATGCCATGCGGCACCATCGCCGGCACCCTTTGATCGAGAAAAGGTATGGACTTTGTTTTTCTGGAACGACTTGCCACGCTTCCAGGAATACGTGGAGGCGATGAGTTCACGAGCCGCAGCAAGAAGCGCATCCTCAGATGGTAGTTCTATCGATCATGAGCATATACCTACGTAGAACACCGCATCACATACCAGAGAGCTTGAGGCTCTTCTGTATTGTCAATAGGGATCCTGTTGACATGACGGTAGATTCAGCGTGGGTGGGGTCGCTCAACGGCGCTGAACATGGCCAATTATAGGTATCACTTTTTCAGAGGCATACATACTCAGCCAGCTCCCCGCTGTATTAGACTGATTACTGATCAACATTCAACATGCTGCGAGCTTGACTGGTCAGACCACCGAATTATTCGCTCTGAGAGACAACCAGAGACAAGTAAATTGTGGACAGGAAGTGGCATAAACAGAAAGAACCGCCATCCTAACGTGATTGGAATGTGATACACGTGGATTTTCATCGTATGATTACAAGTAGAGGCGAAGAACGAAAACAATCACAACACTGCAGGTGAATCACAAAATGCCATCTAGCGGTCCTCAGCCCATTCCTGCATGTCAAAAGAACCAATATTAACGATAGCATAATCAACTGCAGAAGAAGTATACGCACATTTTCTTTCTTGATTTGCGCCTGTCAGTCAAGAAAGAAGGACATTAGATGGTACATGGTACAAAGATGCTGGAGACTGTACCTCTTCTTCAGGCGTAAAGTCGTTCACAATGTTGAAGAGCTTGCGAATCTCCTCTGGTGTCTTTCCCTTAATCATGTTGGCGACCGTCTTGCATCCAACATCACTGACAGAGATGTGAGATTAGGCAGATGAAAGCTGATCGTGAGCAACGACTACGCACAGAAGGGCCTTGATGTCAAGATAGTTGGCAGCAAGGATGATCTCGAACAACATCTCCTGATCAACACCGATGAACTTCTGATCCCACTCGCTGATTTCAGTTGTTCGTTTCCGGGTATCGTCCGCTGTCTCAGAGTCGGCAGCAGGAAGTGGCTCGCCCTTATGATGTTCGCAGTATTCAAGAACCTACGGGTGCAAGATGTTAGGAACGACAAGGTAAAGATGAGCTGAGAGGAAGAAGAAGCCGCGCACCTTCTTCAAGACACTGGAAGACACGTTAGGCAACGGGATGGGCTGGTCGGTCTCGCCGACATCTAAAAGTCGATGAGTGTCACTCGGCTGTGCCACTATGACAACTACCTACCCTCCAACATGTTTTTGATGAGGACGCTGCGTTCGGCAACCTCCTTCTCTACAGTGAACTGTTCGTTATCGGAAGTGACAAGAAGAACCATGGCGGAATGAGTTGGTGTGGTGGACGTAGGTAAGATCGTAAAGAGTGAGTCAAGGTGAAGTCCGAACAGAAGATTATGTGCAAGAAAGCGTGAGAGTTTGCCCGCTGACTTTATATGGAACCGAGTGCGGCCGTCCAAGCGCCTATAGGTCCTTCGATGTCCTTCTTGTCTTTCACGCGATGCTGCGAGGCCACAAGGGCCCCCTTTTCTGTCCTAGGTACGCTCCCTTGTTTTCCTTGCCGATTGGTAATAGTGTTCCGACTTCGGTTTTGTTTTCAAGGCTCTGTGCGCACCGCCACAAAACGCGCTGGAGGCACGGTACATAATCACGGAGGTTCCCCAGGCAAGAGGCTGGGCGTGAAGAAGTTTTCTGGCAAGCAACCTCGCCTTATACTTGTATATTCAAAAATTCACGCATGTGCATTTGTACAGACCAACATGTCATTCCAGGGAATATCATTGTGCGTCAGAGAGGTACCCAGTTTCATCCTGGCCAGCATGCAAGTTCTTCCAATGCCTTGACGCGTTGCACGTAACTCAACTTTTGTATAGGTGAAAATGGGACGTGATCACACCTTGTATGCTATGGTTCCAGGATACGTTCGCTTTTACAAAGAAAAGTGGATGCGTGGAGAGCGTAAATTCGTTGGCGTGGTCTTGACCCGAGGTGAAAAGTTGCCACGAGATGAGATCGAGCTGGGCCGGAGTCGCTATTTTGGCCTCGTAAATCTCCAACAGACACAGAGCCCGTCGACAGCGACTCAAGGCATGCCATAGCTATGTTATAGTTTCTGTTGATTCCAATCCTTGTTCGGCACAGTTATCGAGTGTTGATGCAGTACCCAGACACACTGCAGAATTATGTCCTGGACTCCAAGCCCAGCATATGTGTGAACGAAATAATCGCAGTGCATGAACGCTTCTAAGAGGTATTAAACTAATCCTTGGTCTTTCATAAAATAGCTTCGCCTTCCTAACGCGAAGGTCATTGTGTTATACCTCAGATTTTTCCAGCAAGAATACACTGACGTTACCCTTGTCTACTCAGAGTTTAGCGGATGATTACCAGCTGATTTCGCCGCTTCCAGTGCCATGTTGTATAAATAGCAGTCTTTATGTGCACAATTAGTACCCTAGCTATTAGTCATACCAATCACGAATGTGGCTGTGCTCCTAGTCACTGCAACTGGAGGCTGCCTGGGCTGTGGTAGTAAAAGACGACAGTGTAAAGATCCTTCATCTCTCTCACTGTCTCCTCAACATGCCTCAAACACCGACTCTACCTGGCCAGCTTGTCCCTCCAAACTCTGTTCAGGGTTCGTGGCTCAAAGGCCATGTCGCCCAATTATGTGGCCTCAACCATGACCGGTATGCTTCCGAGTGCCTTTGGGCAGTGATATACCCGACTCCGAGAAATGCTGACCTTTGCAAATTCTCACAGCTTTCCAGGCAGTCAGCCCGTGAGCTTCGGCTCAAAGGATCTCGAGCGACTGGAAAAACAAGAGTGCGTTCATTGTAGTGAATTATGCCGGTGTTGAATTGTGTTGAATTGCGCCACCCGCGTTGACAGCTACTGGGTCTGCGAAAAGTCAGATGGCATCCGAGTGTTGCTCGTGATATTGACAAATCTGGAAACGAACGAGCAGCTGGTTCACATTGTGAGTGTCAGATAGCCGTTTTTTGATCATTCCTCACTAAGAGTCTGAAGATCGATCGCCACAACGAGTATAGACAGTTGTTCGGGATGTACTTTCCCCACCACGAACATCCTGAAAGACCACTTCGAAGTACTATCATTGATGCGGAACTTGTAATTGATGTTGACCCTCAGACAAAGCAAGTATGTACCTTTACAATCTGCTTTTGTTCTTGGCTCAACCCATCGTCTTCAGGAAACTCTTCGGATGCTATGCTTTGACTGCTTGGTCGCAGATAACCAGAATGTAATGACCAAATCGCTTGATAAACGATATGGGGTACGTCTGCTTGGCGATCGTGTAAACGGTGTCACTGACAGGGCCACACGATCAGCGTTTGAAACTGTGGTTCTTCAAACCGTACGAAAGAATGATGCGACAATACCCCCACATGGCTTCAAATCAACCCTTCGAGTGTGTTACCGTGTCTCTGGCTGTGATCCGCCGCGACTGACCCAGTCTGGCACCCCCAGTATTCAAGTGAAAGAAATCAATCTATCCTATGCCGTGGATAAAGTCTTTGCTGTCGATATACCCAACTTACACCACGGTAATGATGGTCTCATCTACACATCCGTCAACACGCCCTATGTTCCGGGCACGGATACAAACATGTCGGTTTTGCATTGCTTCATCCATACGCAGGACTTACATACATCGCGACAGACTGAAGTGGAAACCACCCTCCGAAAATTCTATCGATTTTAAACTCGTGCTGCGCTTCCCTCCGTCTCGAAAGCGTCCCAATGAACCCGACCTACTTGCGAAACCAATCTTTGCCCTCCATGTATGGTGTGGCGACGACGGATCGCGGTCCAAGTATGAGCCATACGACGTCATGCACGTCGACGATGAGGAATGGGAACGGTGGGCTCTATCTCTACGCCTCAATATTTACTGGCACTTGCGGGCTCACACTTTGGACGATCTAGTCTGAAAGCATCACGCGAGCAGATTGACGATCGCATCGTCGAGGTACATTGGGATCCCTCTGTTGAAGGCTGGCGCATGATGCGCTTTCGTGACGACAAGCCTCACGGGAACCACCGCAAAGTCGTTGAAAACATCATACAGAGTATTGCTGATGGTGTTGAAAAAGAGGCTGTAATTACTTTTTTTTTGTCTTGAACCGTGCTTCGCTCTTACCAAGAGACATCCCCGCTCGCAGATCCTCTCCAGCGCACTCACTATCAAGAATGCCTGGAAAATACGGCATAATATGCCCACACAGTCCTCGCAGTCGGCGCCGCAGCCACCGCAAAGCTACCCGAATCCTAATCCGTATATGCAGCCTCCACCTTCCTCATTCACAGCACCGCCGTCGCTTCCGCTACCTCCCAAAGTTCAGATTCTCTACGGGCCGCTCGCACCCTCACGATGGAGCAGAGTCGCTGGGCCCAACATTGTTGCCGGTATGTACCGGTGATGCAACGCATCTGACACACGAGCGCTGCGCCCATCCCTGCAAATGTGGACGCGTTGCTGATGACGCGATGGCCGGTGATTCGATGCGATGCGGTTGCTGGCTCGCCCGTTCCTTCCCTGCGACATGAAGCTCCAAGACCGAAGCCCGTAGGAAATGCTCTCATGCCTATGATCTCATTCCTTGCGCTCCTCAAGCCGCGTGATCTCGTGTTGACCATTGCCGGTGCTTCCTGCCCTCACTATTTCCGTCTCCATTTCCTCTTTTCCGCCCGTCGGCCGTGGCGAATGGCGTACCAACGGGGCCCGACAGCGCCCAACCTAGATTGCTGAACGCGATAGGCTACCTCCGATCGCGCGTTTGGATATTGTGGGCCATCGACGTGGATGCTTTTGGCAATTTGGGAGGAGTGCTGTACTAAAGACCCTGTTTCAGGAGGCAGGATTGCTGCGATCGCGCTGCTGGTCTGGATTAGCCTCACGAGAGATCCTTGACCGACACTCACTTCGATGGGTGGCGCGACATTCGATACAATAAAGCGGCCAAAGTCAGAGCCTAACTCAAAAGTATTCGATGACGCTGTGGTAGACACTAGTCGTTGGAGGCACGTTCGAGAATGTATACTCGGCAGAGATGGACGGACGAGAAGTACATGGGCACGATGTACAGTAGAGTACAAGTTTTGGAGCAGCGGTAAAACTGCTCGTTTTTTATGTACGTCGTCCGGGTGGGCGTTACAAAATGAACATCGAACCGTGACAATGTTTGTCGGGGAACGTTGGGAATAATATCAAGGGCAGAAGTGTCAAACAAACAAAAGCCCGGGGTCGTAACAAATCGTAATCGTAATAAAGTCGTTACAGGAGGGTAAGGCGAGTCAAGAACCACAAGCACATTGGGAGGACGTGATAGCAGGAGAGGAAAGCGCGGGATAGCGGGGTCGTAGACGCCGAAAAGGGAAACATGTGGATGAGAATGCATGTCTAGTCGTTACAAACAAATGAGGATAGAGATGAGATGGATTGAGAAAATGACACGGCAAGGAGGAACAGGTGTCGGCTGATCGAAGAGTAGACCAGGGCCTTGTTTTGGGCGCAAAATGACGGAGGAGCCAGCAAGCGGAAAAAAGTTAATGGGTAGGACGAGAAACACTCATGATAAGGAGAAATAAAAGTGAGACGGCGCCGATGTCAGATGAAAAATAGAGATCAACACGCGACAAGGAGTAGCCAGGTAAGGTCACACGCGAGGGTAAAAGTTATGAATGAGGCGCTGCACCATCCGAAACAAGACCATCTAGACGCTTAGCTGATGCGGACATGCAAAGCCCAGCCGTCAAGCTAAGATGAACCAGGGATGAACCAAATGTGCCGTGCCGTGAAGCATGAAAGTTCGTGAAGGGTGAGAAAAGGCAAGAATGCAAGACGAAGGGGGCAGATGCGATAGTAGATGTGTGGAGTGAAGGGGAGGATGATGCTGACGAAGTGACCGGGTTGCGACGGCGTACGGCGTCCAGGTGCCGTAGGGTCGGGCCGTGAGCAGCGCGGTGTCGGGAAATATGGAGATGAAGGCGGCTCCGCGAAAAATATTTGTCGGCCAAGGTCAAGATAGCGGGCGGGTGCGCAAGACCGAAGAGTAAGGATGGGGAACTCTGTATAGGACACTTGTCCGGAGGTTGGAACAGGAACAAGGAGATATTGGTACAGTGGAGCCGATTTTGGGGTATGTTGCGAAAGGGATGAAGCTGTCGCTTTCATGGTTCACAGGAAATCGCAGGAAATCGCCCTCGGAAACGCGTTCAAGCAAAGAAGTCACTGTCATCAGCAACAAAAGCATCCCCCAAGAAGCTGCCGAAGAAACCGGCCCCCTTGCTCTCCTCAGGTGTCGTGAGCTGGGCAAACGAATATGAATTGAGAGCGGCGAGGGAGAATGGACGAAGGCGGATCGGGTGGATATCTGTGCCTTCGTCGGCAAATCCCATGTCATCGAAGTACAGACTTTCGCATGGGGTCAAAGGAGCCTCCGGCGACGACTCGACCGACGAGTCCGATGCTTGACGCTGACGCCTAATGGGAGTTCGAGGCGAAATAGCTAACGCCTCGAACTGTTTGAAAGGAGGTTGAGCCTGCAGCAGCAGGGTGGTAAACTTGTGTTCATGCAATGTCGTGAAAGGCTGCTTCATACCTGGACCGACTCCTCCAAGCGGACCCTCCCAAACGCAATGTCGGTCAGCGCTGGTGTCGCAGGCCGCTGAACCTCGACTTCATTGTATAAGTCGAAGGCGCCTGTCATACTACCAAGCGCATCTCCGACAATACGCCCACGGTCGTCCACACGGTCGTCTCCCCTCTCCTCAGTCTCAGTCTCATTCGGGTCAGCGCTGGGGTCGCGCTGGCCTTGAGTGACACGCCACCAGTCGATATCTGCGAGAACCCTGCGGGAGGATATCTCGGAACCTGACGACCTCCGCGGGCCGTGACCGCGCGCTGTGGGGCTACCCAAGGACGCAGGGTACGGAGAGGAGCGGACGGAGGGCGACGAGATGGTGCGACGAAGAGAGGGCATGACGAAGGTGAGGAGGGAGGCGAGGGGAGGTGTGGGGACCGTGCGAGACGACGAGGAGGGTATGGGAAGGAGACAAGGTCCAAGAAAAGCGAATTAATGCATTTATAATTCCGAGTGGAATGTGAAGAGGAATGTGAAATGGTCTAAAGAAGATCAAGGCACTGGCCGCACTGGCCTGCTCTTCCCTGCGGCCTGGTTACACCTGCGCTGCTCCCGCCTCGATTCTCCACTCCCGTCCTTCCTTCTTGTCTGTGTACACAGAAATCCGTCTGGTACTTCCTCTGTCGCACAGGCTCACAATATACCTCCTTTCTCCCAGACCATGTGCTAAGATCTTTCGACGTCGTAGGCGCCTGCGCATCAGCGCTCGTCAATTGCCAAACCTGCCTGACGCGCCCCACTCGCGCCCCTCTCCGCGAAGTTTCCTCTTCGGTCATCTCAGAAACCTCTCTTCTTCCCTTCGCCAAACCCGCACCATCCCATGTCTTCTGGCTCGGGAATCCTCTCGCGTCTTGGTCCTCCGTGGACACCAGGGAAATAATCTCTGTTGACATTGTCAAAGAGCCTGGAACCCTTGCTCTTAACCGTATAGCAAGTACGTCTTGTTCTGAAAGGGCGGTTGACGAATAGCTGGACGCCCGCTATCCATCAGTACGCTTGTGGTAAACACTAGTAAAGAATCTTCCATCAATTGTGTCTTAATAAACGTCACCGTTTCCCTTCCGGCCGCTGCATCCGCATTTGAAGCTCAAATGGGCATAAGCACTGCACGAGCCAACCTCTATCTTACGCGCGAACGTCACCGACAGCAACCCACATGCCAGTGGGAACTGCATCCAGCTTCTTCAGACCGAGGCTGACAAGGCTGACGAGAAGCAAGCTGAGGTGAGCATGACACCCGGTTACACTATGGCTCACGAGGCTCGTGGCGCTTACGCTGAGACGCCCCACGTCCTGAAAAAAACATCGCATTCAACTCCACCATCAGCGCTCCAGTGGTTGTCATCGAGCTGCGCGTCAGGACGCGTTCAAGCTATCTAGCACACGACCATGTATATGGCTCTTATCTCAATCGAGCCGTTCAGGGCGAGCTGCCCTCCTTTCCCACTACCGCGCGTTTGTGAACCACAAGCCTTTTTGTTCGTTAGTGAGTATGTATTTGTATGCAGGGTCGTCATATCTTCCATATCCTCCACCTCACTCCTCCATTCAATCCTGTATCTGGCCTTGGTGGTCAGACGCGATAGGCGGACAAACCGCCTTTTGACCACGTATATGTAACTTGATGCGCGATACATAAGGTTAAAGCACACGCTCTTCCGTTCCCTGGGAATCTGGCACTTTCGCACAGCGATATTGCATCTTCCTTAACATTTGTGTAGTCGACATGTGCAATTCAAGTCTGGAAGTACATCCATGATCTAGCGTCATTGGAGTACACGTGCGTGTCATACTGGTATAGCTCTCTATCGTTTGCAGTCTGCTTGCATATCGTCCTTCTACGCAAGTGAATCCATGTCGCGTAGATCCATCGGAGCCGCAGTCATGTGATACCATCCATCGTGCTCCCTTCCACTTCCTCGTCTCCGCTTCCTCCGAGTTCCTAAGCTACTCCTCAAGCATGTCTCCGCTTCCTCGCAGCACTGTTTTCTATGGCCTGGTGATAAATCCGCAGACCCTTTCGAGCTACCAAGCGTTGCCGAACTGCTTGCTTTGTGTGTCTCCGTTTGGGGATATCGATTGGATCGAAGAAGACATAGCAGCATCTATGGTCCAGGATGCCATGGCGCAGAAGGGAAGTTTGGATGCAGATCTGGTTGAACTGAAGCGTGGCGAGTTTATCATGCCCGGCTTCGTTGATACCCACACGGTTCGCTCTCCGGATAAGAAAGAATGATCGACCTCTGAAGTTTGATGCATAGCATGGACCACAATTTCCTAACATCGGCAGGTGAGTAGTGGAACATAGATGCCAGGGGCTTATTCTAATTGAGTAATTCCCAGTGGACAGCAGCATGAGCTGCTTGACTGGCTGAGAGAGACTACTTTTCCTATGGAAGCCAAGTATGCCGACGTCCAATTCGCCAGACGCGCTTACGATGCAACCGTGAAACGTATCATAAACTCGGGTGTGAGTCGTACTTTTTTTTTTGAGGTCCTGGCCCAGATTCTGGATTTTCGCGCAGACTACAACGTGCTGCTATTATGGATCACTCCACTTGGAGGCGACGAAAGCGCTCGCAGAGATTGTCCACGCATATGGTTTGTCATTGAACTTACGCCACTTCCCATGTATCCTCACCACTGATACTTCTCCGGCTAGGCCAAAGAGCTTTCGTAGGGGTAGGTAAGCCTCGGAGATCGCAGCGCTCCACATCCGAAGACCGACGTTCTTTGATTCTAGAAATGTAACATGAACCGAGATAGCCCTGTCGACTATATCGAGCCCTCTGTCGAAGCGTCGATAGCTGCAACAACCGCGCTCATCGCGCACATTCGCTCTCTCCCCGATCTCAACTCGCCCGCTCTGGTGCAGCCTGTACTCACGCCCCGCTTCGCAATCTCGTGCACCCCGCCGCTGCTATCCTCGTTGGGATCCCTTGCACGCGAGGATCCCACACTTCTCGTGCAGACGCACATCGGCGAAAACCGAAGCGAGATCGCGTATACCAAGACTCTATTCCCTGAGTGCAGATCGTACGCGGACGTGTATGATCACTACGGACTTCTCGGCCGGCGCACAGTTCTCGCGCATGCGGTATATCTGGAGGAAGAGGAGGTGCAGCTGATCAAATCGAGGGAGGCAGGGATTTCGCATTGTCCGACGAGCAACTTTAATCTTAGGAGTGGGGTCTGTAGAGTGGGCGAGTTGCTCGATAGAGGCATCAAGGTTTGTGCTTCACAAAAGAGTATCCTATTCCTCTAGATCTCGAAGTTGGCTGACTCTTCGGCAGATCGGTCTGGGAACAGACGTCTCGGGCGGATATTCACAGTCTATCCTCACAGAGATCAAGCACGCCAGCACTGCATCCAAAATCATACAATTGCAGTCCCCAACGACTGGTGATATTCCATCGTCCGCGACGTTTGCGAATCGCCAACTTCCTCTCGCGACTCTATTGCACCTCGCGACCCTCGGCGGTGCCCAGGTATGCGATCTGCAATCTCGCACCGGCTCCTTTGCCCCGGGAAAGGCATTCGACGCACTCCTTGTCAGCGTCAACAGCACCGTCGGAAATCCTGGTCTGTGGGGCGTCGACCAAGATGCTGCTTTGGGAATCCAGACCGCCGCGCCTAATGAGATGCTCGAGAGGTTTTTCTTCACGGGGGACGATAGGAATATCAGGAGGGTGTATGTTCAAGGAAAGTGGATCGGTGGTGCTGAGCAGAGAAGGTGATTTTTTGTTGGACGAAGCGCAGCGTGCTGGCCAGCGCTCATGTCAGAGTTTGAAAGGGACCACAGGTGGTCCGTGGCTGATAATAATGTGAGAGAGATATGATACAATTTAACCTACAGGTGATTTCAATTGTCCTCGAAGTCTCCAAATTCCCATTTCCAACAATCCTGTTTGTGGACGCGGTCAGTGTTGAGCAAAGGAAAAAGCAGATTTTCACTAACAACACAATCTTCGTCCTCTTCAACTGCCAACGGTACATCTCTACCCTCCTCCCATTCGCGATCTAGCTCTAGGATATTCATGATGACCTCCCGGATGATATGCTTCCTCACATCCACCCGCCATCCCAGCTTATTTACCGTATCGTACACAATCTTCTTCCCCAAATGGCATCGTGTTTCCAATGCATACCCGGCTGATGCGCAGGGAGAGCCGAAGCCCGTACACACACCTTGTGGTATGGGATCGGCGTTATGGTAAACGTGAGTTACCGGGGCGGACGGAGCGCTCGACGTTGGCGACCTCGGAGGTAAGGGGAGGTGGAGACGATGAGCAGCCAAGCTTTCGCCGGGTGATTCAAAGGCAATAGCGGGGAACCCGAAGGTGGTGCCGAGGAGTGAAGCAAGTGCACCCCCGAGGGAATGACCGACTAGCCAGATATTTGAGTGTGGGAAGAGGGTGGTCAAGTTGCTCACGAGGTTCTGTAAATTTGAATATCGATTCATTAATATTCGCTGTATTAGCAGGTACTGGGTAAAGAGACTTGCAACTCCAACCGAATAGAACAGGCTATCTTGAATAAGCGCCTCGGAGAGACAGGTGTTGTCGCATCTCCAGTGACGAGAGTAGCAGTCACATACGGTGGAGAACACCCACGAGAAATCGACGCGGGCGCAGCAGCACGAAAAGAGGAGGTTATCGTTGTATTTGTCAATCTTGGACGTGGCTCCTTGGACGGTCGTACCCTTGATCGACAATATGACAGTCGAGTTGTCAGAAGACACGAAGACATGACCACGAGGTCCTCCCTCTGATTCTCCCCACCCAAACGGAAAGCTCTGGAGATCGAACGCCGATTATGTGAAGTGGTGATACGGCTTAGAGGCAGAAAGTACTCACAACATTCCATGCCTCATCGATGTCATACCAGTTCTTCTGTCCAGGAAGGGCATATGCATTCCCTGTCATCCGTGCAAGCTGCGATATTGTATGTCGGTCCCCGACATCGGGGCCTAGTACCTTAACCTGATCCCATTGAACCTCCTCGCTCTGAGCATGCCTCACTGATCGCCATCGAGCATGTTGTATTGCCTCAGCCGATCGAGGCCGGTATATTGTTGTGGGAACAGCACGCAGCGCCAGTGAAGCACTGGGTCGGGCACGAGTGTCGTCGAATATGATCTGTTCTGTGCCAGCGTGATCGAGGTGAGGCAGGCGATATTCGTGCGCGAGGCTGAACGAAAGTGGGATCGAGCTTGGACTACAAGCCCCCGGGGACGGCAAAAAGAAGAGAAAAGAGAGGATAATTATCGTTGATACTGGAAACATGTCCTGGACGCACAATACATCTAAAGACAAGAGACTCTGTGCTAGAGCCCTAGTGTAGTTATGTTGCTGATTTATTCATTTCCATTTTGGGCCGTGTGGGGTACAAGGCTATAGTTCCCACGCCTCGCTGGACCTCTATGCCCAAGCAAAGCCAAATATCTCAGCTCATATATATATAAGGCAGCACGCGTCGCGTCTTTTTTCCTCAACGCGACCCCTTAGACAGTGCCCGTCCTGCTATCCATCACAGGAAGGACGAGGCGATTCGGTTCAGCGCAGAAGAATGCTTGGGTGGGTAAAAGAACTCTCGCACTCTCTTCGTTTTGGAAGAATTTTGGTGTCGTGAGTGTCAGACCTTCCCTATATCATTTTTCTTTCCCTTTCCTTTCCCGTGTCAGTCACAATTTCCTCCTCATCCTCTTGGCCCTTGTTGTGAAAAAAAGAGACCTCAGTTCCGCTACAGGGTATTGGTTGTTAATAGTACATATAAACCCTTGAATTTCATGTGAGGGTGTTTTTTTGATCAATGGATTTGTGTCATCGCGGTGACCTAATGGTGCGATCATGAACGTGAGTGATACAGTTCTACGCATCCAGAATGGGAGACAATTTTTTGTTGTGAGTATGACATCTCCGCGAAGTCAAGTGCACGTTAAGGACGTTGCGAACGTCGAGCAGACAATGTTGGGATATATATAGGTTACGGGGTCCTGAGTAAGCATCATAACACGTCTGCCGGCGTCATCACTTGTACCGCATCTCCCTGAACTCCGTGTGCTCCCTTACCTTCCACTCTATTCTTCGTCACTGCTGTTTGCTGTCATGTTCATCATCAACTGGTTCTGGGACGTTCTCGCTCAGCTGGGTACGTTATTTCTTTGTCTGCACCCTCCCGCCGCTACAATAGGGCACGAGGCATACCGGGAACACGCAACTGACTAGCCACTTCTGAAACAGGTCTGCTGCACAAGAATGCCAAAATTCTGTTCTTAGGGCTGGATAATGCTGGAAAGACGGTATGTTAACTTCAGAGCGTCGCCACGGTCTGCTATCGTTTAACTTGGTTTGTTTTTCGGAGTAGACTCTTCTACACATGCTCAAAAACGACAGGCTAGCCACGCTCCAGCCCACACTTCATCCCAGTCTGTTGAACCACTCCTCTCGTATTGACGGCTGTCTTATCGTTCTCGCCTCTAGCCTCTGAGGAGCTGGCTATTGGTAACGTGAAGTTCACGACATACGACCTCGGTGGTCACCAGCAGGGTACGTATCGTTAAACTGTCCTTCGCATTGTGACCGCTTGTTTACTTGATATGCACTTAATTAGCTCGCCGTCTCTGGCGGGACTACTTCCCTGAAGTCGACGGTATCGTCTTCTTGGTTGATAGTGCCGACTTTGAGCGCTTTCCCGAGTCCAAGGCTGAGCTTGATGCTCTTCTTTCAATCGAGGAGCTGTCGAAGGTTCCTTTCCTCATTCTTGGCAACAAGATTGATGCGCCAGGGGCCGTCAGTGAGGAGGAGTTGAGGCATCATTTGGGGTTGTATCAGACTACCGGCAAGGTATGACGTGTTCATGCGGTTGTGTAAGAGTTGACCTAATATCGGAAACAGGGCAAGGTTCCGTTGAACGACATCCGCCCCATTGAGATTTTCATGTGCTCAGTTGTGCAGAGGCAGGGGTACGGCGAAGGTGCGTAGACATAACGATGTTGCTTTCACAGCCCTATCTGACGGGCGTTCATGCTCATAGGTTTCCGCTGGGTCTCACAATACGTGCGTGAAAGCTCATGCACATCTCGTTCTCCTCCTCACTTTGCATTGATTTTCAGATTTAAGCTCTTTGATATGGCGAGTCTGTTCGAACTGGATTGCCTTTGTTTTCCTTTACGGTGTCAGCATGCCTCGTTACGACTGAGCAATATGTTTCGTGTCCTTAGTCCTCATATAGTCCATGCATTTTCCCTTTACAGACGCTAAGATTTTGAGTTACAAGCCCGTATCGCACATCGCTGCTCGCCTGCCACGTCAGGGGTGCCATGGGTCCGGTAGACGTGCCCATTCATCCGTGTTCTAGCTTACGTTTCCACTCTTTACTTCTCACCTGCACGTCGCCCAAACATTGTGCATTTCCCGTATCTGAGGATCCGTCGAAATAGCGACATATGAATCGGGACTTGGTTTTGTCGTCTTTGCTGAACTTCCGCGTCGCGTTCGTCTTATCTGCCGTTCTGCGCATAGGTCTAATTCTGTACAGCGAATGGCATGATGCCCGCTCCGTTGTGAAATACACCGACATCGACTATCGCGTCTTCAGCGATGCAACACGGTTCACGCTCAACCCAGGACCGGGAAATCATGCGCAGGGATTCCTCGGACAATGGATCAACATCGGAGAGTGAGTCCTCCTATCCTTCGCTCGTCTACCGATCAGTATCATCAACCACACGCATCCATCTTCTACAATCATATTCCATAATCGTTTTGGCATGAAGCCCGTACACACGGCAGACGTACCGCTACACCCCTCTACTCGCGCTTTTGCTGTCTCCGAACGAGTGGCTCCACGGATCCTTCGGCAAGTATCTCTTTGCGGGATGTGACATCCTGGCGGGCGTGTTGATACACCGACTCTTGGTGTCCGTCATCCTGTCGCGTTCCGTGCCTCCATCGGCTAGTCCTTCTTCACCCTCTACTTCTTCAGATAGAGCCAAGTTATCTCTCTCCACCCAAAACTCAGATCACCCTGATAACCGCAAACGGATTTCCATTTCACCGGAACCCGCGCCTGAGGCGGCGATTGAGGAGGCGATTGCCAGATACGCGACACTCCTTACGTCTCTTCACCTTTTCAGTCCGTTTGTTTTCAGTATATCAACACGCGGCTCCTCGGAGTCGGTGCTTTTGTTCTTTGTGCTTCTTACTTTGTTCTGTGCGCTGCGAGGGAGATGGAATACCGCTGCGGTTCTTTTGGGCCTCAGCACACATTGGAAAATTTATCCAGTCATCTATGGCGTGGCGTGTGTCGGCGTGATTGGGAGGGAACAGGAACAGCGTTCCGACTCTCCAACCCGGAGGAAGGGCGTGCACGACAGGATGACTAGAATCAAGCGATATGTCAAGATTTTCGTGAACGTACAGACTATCAGGTTTGCCACGATCAGTGCGGGTACATTCTTTGCGCTAGGCCTCGTGATGTACGCCATGTAAGCTCCTACGTTCACACTGTATATTCTATCTTCATTTGCCCCGGCAGCGGAGTGTCTATTGACTGTCGTTTTACCTAGATGGGGCTATCCCTTCCTTTATGAAACCTACCTCTACCACCTCCATCGGCTCGACCACCGACACAACTTCTCTCCGTACTTCTATCTGATCTACCTAGCCTACCCAAATCCATCCTCGGAACCTTACCAGCTGTCTTTGTGGCGCAGCCTGCTGCGATCGCCGTTGACGAGTTTTGTACCACAGATGATCCTTTCCTTGGGCACCGGTGTGATGTTTGGACGGAAGCGGGAGCACTTGGTCTTCGCGTGGTTCGTACAAACGGTGGTTTTTGTCATTTTCAATAAAGTTTGCACCTCTCAGGTATGTCGAATCATTCGGGCATGCAAAAATGCATTGTGCTATCGGTGTTGATTAAAAGCTTCGTGCGTAGTACTTCCTCTGGTATCTCCTATTCTTGCCGCTACTTGTGCCGAGCCTTGCCATCTCGTGGCACCGGGCCTTGCTGTATCTGGCGATCTGGATGGGCACGCAGGTGCTGTGGCTCAGTCAGGCGTACAAGCTAGAGTTCCTGGGAGATAATGTGTTCTACCACTTATGGATCTGCAGTATGATTTACGTGGTTGGACATAGTTGGGTCTTGGGCGGCATCATGGACAGATATGGTAGAAAACAAGGCATCAGAATTTGAACTCTATGGGGAGCCTTCGTCACATTCGTAGTCGATCCTCTTTCCAAGGTTTGTATGCTTGTTAATCGAGTTTTCCATTCGTTGGCACAGTAATCATACAAATATACAAACAGGTAAGCTCCCCTGACTCCGACCTATGCGGGTCACTTCCCGAGCAAGTGCGCGTCCAGTGCCTCTTTAGTGAGACCTTCTGCGCCATCTCGGATCTCGACGACCTTGCCCACATCCGCCTGCGCTTCAGTGGGTCAGCGATCGATCAGCGATGATCTACTCATCGTCGAAAGCTCACGGTGGTCTGGAAGTCCAGGAAGCCGCTGGCATGTAATGTTAGCATACCGGTCTCACAAGAAGGCGGTGCCCAGTTAATGATGACGAGGGGGAAGGATTTCCGCCCATCTGGATGGTTCAGCTCATATGAGAGCACTACATAACGAGGAGAGCTGTCCGGGAGCTCTTTTGAAGAGATGCGATGAAGGATCAATCGATGAGGATGGTTGAAAAGCAGAGAACATACCTTCTGCGAGATCCTCTGGGGTTATGTTGTCGAACTGTTCAACTTCCTCCATGAGCAACTTCTGCTTATTGATCTTGATCACGAGCGCGGCATTTCCAGAGCTACGGCGGGCGAATCTAAATTTCCGGAGGGAGTCTTTGAGCTCTTGTGGGATATCGACGGTGTGCGACTAGGCTGTAAATCTGAGGGTGGTTTGAGATGGGGATCTGTGTTGTGTACTGACCATAGCAGAAGGGAGCAAGAGAGATAAGATAAGCGATCGCGATGCGAGGGAGCCAATCGACTGCTCGGTCAGATGTGTCAGCAATCTTAACCGGGCTCAGTTTGCCCATGCCTGGTCGACGCAGGACCATGCTTGTTACGGCCGGCTCCCCATGTTCTCCATTTCCTCCTTCTGACCACCACCATCGCGCTCTGTGATGTCTGGTGAGCGCTTAAGAGATACCAGCTCAAAATCACGCTCCCGCGTTCGGGCATCGCGCGACGCTTCGCCCGCTGGACCTGAGAGTCTATTTCTGCTTGACGGACCAGTGACAGAAGAGGGTGTTGAATTGTTAGGGGAGTTTGTACACCCTTATCATCGTGAGTCTGAAGAGACCGAAGCCATCGGGGTGGACGAAGATCACCTCGACCAAGCTGCTCGCATTGAACAGATTGAGAAGCGGAACAAGTCTCCATGGTGGAAGAAGCCATCGGTCTGGTGGTTCGTATCCGTTCATGCTACTGTGCCGAGCTTCTTTTTGAACATTGTTTATATACACACAGGTTCATATCGCTGATCCCGTTCAGCACTATGGCAAGCACTGCGACTACCGCACCAAGAATCGAAGTCTTCACAAATATCATATGTGATGCCTACAAACATTCGAAATCGCCAGGCTCTGACTGGGACTCTGAACGGTTGGGACTGTCTGTATTAAGCATGACGCCGTATTCAGTTACAGGATCATCGCTTGATCCATCCGGCGTCTCTGCCGCATATGAATCGCTCTTGTCGGTGGACAACTCGGCTTTTCGCGACGAGGGTCTCCTCCCTGTCAGGGGCTTGAATGACACCGATTGGGTTATCCACGAGCCCCTCGTGTGCTCCTCGGACCCTGTGGTTCAAGCTGGTGTAGCAACCGTTCTGGCAGGTACGTATAATTATAGTCATAGTGTCAGCCCAAATAAAATAAAGGACATTCTAATACTTCTCAATACAGCCATGGCGACAACTACGGGAATCCTAAGCTGTTTTACAACTGGCTGGTGGGGTTCTGTAAGTTACATCATCTCGAAAGTCACCCTGTCTCAATCGAACACTTCATTCAGTTGTCCGATCGTTATGGGCGCACCTTCATCATGGGCATCGCTATCTGCGGTCTCCTAGTTCAAGATTTGAACTTCATAATAGTCACACTCTTCCCAAGCAAGGTACCTGGAGGCCATCTTTTCGTCCTGTTTGGATCTGTAGTCGAAGGCTGTTTGGGCGGTATGTCGATGGACCATCTATCTTGTCCATAGACAACACACTCACATTGTATCGTTCAGGCCTCACAACATCTATAGCAGCCATCCATGCTTATCTCGCTGACTGTAGCACTGCAGCATCTCGGTATGTTTATCGGAAGTGTCCCAATATCTTGACTCTGATCCAACCTGTCAGAGCGCGCAACTTCTCCCTCTTTCTTGGGCTTTTATTCACAGGTGCAGCCCTCGGCCCCTCTCTGGGCTCCTTGACGGTCCGATGGAGCTCCAACGTAATGGTTGTCTTCTACATGTCTACTTCCATACACTTCGTCTATGCCCTCCTGACGTGGTTTGTGATACCGGAGTCGTTGTTGCCTGTTCAAATGATGACCTCGCGCCGAAAGCATGCGGAAGAAGCGGCAGTGTATCGGCGTGCAAACGGCCTTCTTCCCAGACTGAAATCTTTGTTCTCGTTCTTGAGCCCGCTGATAATGCTGGCGCCACCCCTCATCGATCGTGCAGCTGCCTCGCAGAAATTCAGGTCGAGGGATTGGAGTCTGACACTCGTTGCCGTTGCTTATGGCTGTGTTATCTCACTCATGGTGAGAATTTTTTGGTCCAGTTGTCAAATCCATCATTAAGATTCTGCGTTAGGGGAGCCTTCAATATGTCCTTCAGTATGCTGGTGCAAGGTATCACTGGTCCACAGTCATGGTAAGCCTACCTTTACCTGAGTGGATTCAATGCAAATGTTTAATCGGTTCAATAGCTTGGGTACTGGATAAGTACAGTCTCAGCGGCTAGGGCTCTCTATTTGACTATATTTTTCCCTTGTATGTCTCTCTTGACTGTTCGCGTCTCTCCGCCTTGAGATTCACAGTGCTCTAGTGATCATCCGGATGTTTAGACCGAAAGCTTCTATTCAGCTCCCAGTATCTCCTTCAGAGCCACTTGACCCCCGCGCACCTTCCTCTCCGGCGAATGTCTCTTCCCGCCAGATAACCCACCCGTCGGGCCGTCAACCGCACGAGGATCACCATCCCCCTTCTTTTGACCTCAAGCTTGCACGTATATCCGCGCTTATCGATATAGTCTCATATGCTTTTATGGCGCTTGCACCTACACCGATCACCTTTGTCGCAGCTTCCGCCCTTGGCTCCCTCGGTACGGCATTCTCTCCGACAGTGCACAGTCTGTCTCTCGAACTCTATCGCCGGCGTGGTGGGACGGAATTTGGGAAATTATTCGGCGCGATGAGCGTAGTCCAAGCGCTCAGGTAAGTAATCGATCTCCGCTCTCCTGTTCCCTCGATCTATATTCGATATCGCTACACGCTGATTGCTCTTTCTCTTACAACTGCACTGCAATCGTGCAATCGCGCAATCGCGTAATTTTGACGTACAGCTCGCAAATCATAGGGCCTGCCGCTTTTGGTTTTGTTTACATTAAGACCGTCGCAACTTTCCCGCAGACCTTGCTCTTTGTGGCCATGGGGCTTTTCGTCATTGCATTCATACTACTTAGTCTCGTCAGGCTTGACAATGCTGCTCCGTACACGTCGGACGTTGAAGGGCAGCCATCGCCGATTCAAAGGGACCATCAGGAGACTTTTCTAGAGCCGCAAGCCCCTGCGATCGTCGTTGAGGATATGGACGCAGAACTTGGGGGAAGGGGAAGAAGACTCTAGATCGATCTGGCTTCCCTTCGAGAGAGATACAGATGGGAGCAGAAGTTTGGGTGGCTAGTATCTGTTTGTAAGAGAACACTGACTGGTGCGTTTTGCGGTTAGTTGTAATCGACCGAGATAGGCTTCAAAATTACTATGCCTTAGTTTTCTGACCCATTTGCTTTGCTTTTGAGCCATCCACATTTCTCAATACATGCAACACACTCCCGAACATGGACGTCCTTCCTATGTCCTGTGGCTAGACTCCTCAGTCCTTGTCATTTCTCCTGGTCATGCTTCCCGACCAACCGTCTTGGGTTCCGCTGTTCTCTTCTGCCCACCCAACGGGATGATCGAGCTCTAGTCTTCAATAATTGTGGTGTGCATCTAAATCCAACGATCTCATGCACAAGCTTTCTATGTGCCCAACAAATCAGCGAAACGACTCTAGCTCTGCGAACGATGGTGATATTGTTCATCACGCAGGCGACTTCCGGTACTAAGAGTGCTATCGAGTGACGAAAACGGAGAGGTTCAGCGTCACAAGTGGCAGGATCTTGAGCTATATACATGAGCAGAACTTACTACCGCAGTTGTGTCCGCGTGAGTTTCCAGTTTTCTCATGATAGGATACACCGACTACGAAGCATATCGGGTTCATATATTTGTGTATTAATAGGTGCTTTGCCATTATCTGTCTTCGTGCACTGGAACATAAGGTTCTGGTGAACCAACTTACGAAGTCAGTACACACTCAGTACACGTCCTATCACACATACCCTCGAGTTTGCTTGGATGAGGTCGAAATCGACAAACTCGAGCGCCAGCAGGGACAACGGCTGCACAACTCTGGCGTATATATCGAGTCGCCTGGGCATGCCATGAATGGTCGGAAACCCATGCCATTGTGGTTCTTTCTGGCTTCCCCATGATATTAATGATTTCGAGTGATCATCGAAGAATGTCTCGGAGTGTATGCGTTAGGCCACATTTCATCCAAAAGCCGTGTCGATTATCGGCTTATCTCAGCCCCTCGACACATCCAATTATGCCTTCGAACTTCATCATGCCTCATCAGGGTCAGGGTCAGTGTCGCTACGGGCTGATGATATCTGGCATCTTGTTCCAGTAAGTATTCTAAACCTTCAGCTTCGTCTCAGCGAAATCGGAAGTTGCAGCAACAGCACCTATAAAAACCACGGCGTCTCCATCTGGCTTGTTGAACAAAGGCCGGCCGCTGTGTATAAGATCTTGGTTCGCAGAAAGCACCTCCGACAGTCCGTCCTGGGCAAATCTTGATGTGGACAACAGTGACATGCCCCGCTGACTCTCATGATCCGCGAGGATCAAGCCAATGCAGGCGAGCACACCCATTTGTGTTCTGCAACATCCTGCAATGATGATGGTGATAGGGCTGACAAACTTACGTCTTTATGAAATGCTTATCGCGAAAAGCCAATACAGTATAGGGGATTCCGTCTCATTTCAGATATACGGTTCTCCTTCAGTCGCGCGCTGGAGACGTGTAGCCGGAGGCCCAGAGAGGATGTGAAGAGTGCCGAAAACAGCTGCCACCGAAGTGGCCATGTATCTGTGTAGTATGTATGGCGAATGAAAATCAGCAGGTGAGTATACAACCATCTGCTCCTTCGACCGGGTCGTTTCGCGGTGCGCAACACATATTTATCGTATTCCACGCTGTCGATTCAGAATATTGATCAAGATAAGATACCCCAAGCGCGTAGACTGCAGGATTGCATAGCGATTGCCCATATGCGTGCCGACTCTCTTGATACATGAGCAAGGTCCATAGCCATCTCTGTTTGCTTGCTCCAACTTGGGGGACGGACACTAGAAGCAATGGACAAGATCACCCAGAAGCAACGAAGTCAGTCGGCTAGGAAGATTTCTCCTTCCACCAAGTCCATGCGCCGATGCCTAATAAACAATTCCCGACTCCGATGACCGCATTTCCAGCACCGATGACAACCAAGAACAACCAAGCAACGCCAATAATTCTGTCAAGCGTGCGGCCTGTGTAGCGTTTAAGAGTGGCATAGCGGTCCGGTGAGAAGTCTGGGCGGTGCTGAAGAAGGGGAATGGTTTCTAAGGGGGAAGATATGGATGGCGAGGATGGCGGAAGGAGTAACAAGGAAACAATAGGTTTCTGCAAAGATGTGAAGATGAGATGCGCGAGTATGCGGAGGAATGTAAAACGTACGTGATCTGACGTCGTGTACGATGGGATCGCGGTATATAACATATTGGTAATGTCAGTCTTGTCTGGGGTATCGGGAGAGTCGGTGTAAGTAGTGTACAGAATCCTGTCAGTCCACGAAGGAGTTCTCTTTGTGCTGTATCCGGAAATGGCTTCAAATCAGAATCGTCAGAGAAGATACGAGGATTGACATACCTATAATGATCGACTTTTCCTATATCGTACTTGTAGCTACATTTGAATTGCCAAAATTCACCTTCTCTCATTCCTTGAAGGACAGTGTTGTTACGATGCTCAACCAGTAATTGATCGAACTCTTTGAGTTCTTCGCGACCTTCAAGTGTGGATAGTGCAGATTCTAGATTGAGACGATTCGCCGGACCAGCCAAAGCATGCGAGGATGGCAACGCCAGGCGAAAGTTCAGATCACCCAAGAGGAATAAATGCGAAGTAGAATATATTGTGGACGGTGACGTGGTGGAGGTGCCTGGGAGGGGTGCAAAAAGCAGCGAGCGGACGATATGATGGTAATCCGCAATTCGCTGTGCTAGTTTAGGCTCATGGGCTGTAAGGTGAGCACACACAAAACTGTAATAAGAAACATACCTGTCAGAGAGACATCGAAGAAAAAGAAATTCGAACTCACGTGTAGACCTCTCCAACGCCCGCATCGACATTTTGAACCCTGAACCTCACACCCACGGCGCCTTTATTTCCCATGTACGCAGGTCCACAGCCAATCCATGAAGTCTGTACATCAGTCACCCTGCGCGCAATACCTGTGTCTTTTGCGTAAACAAGTAAAGCAACACCAACATTTACAACCTTGGCGACCAAGGAGTAACGACCCTTGTCAGGAGCATGGGCTTCGATTTGCGAAAGAATGAGGGCATTCCTGTTTTCGATGACAGACCTCGAAAACCCCGAAACTGTGATAATTTGTGATGCGATAAGCTTCAGAATATAGATAATACTCACGACCAAGGTGAAGAGGCAGCAGCTCCTGGAAGCCAACAGCAACAATGTCTGGACCGCGAGGGTCGCGCGCGAGGAAGTTGGAAACTTCGAGGGTCGGTGACAACCAGTCGACGAGGTCCTGAGGAACGCCTTGCACGCCCTGCAGAGCGGTATTGTAGGATGCTAGCTGGACGAGAACACGGTCTATGCGCGAAGCGCTGTCGGGCAACATGGCTGGCCTAAGTGATGGAGAAGATTGGAAGGTCATGGGAAGAGGCTCCATCGATGTCACGACACGCCGGCACGTACGTTGTGAATGATTTCACATGCAGTGACAACAGTGGCCTACAGAGAGTCGCGAACGGTCTGAGGACGAGCCCTGGATGGATTCGATGGTGTTGCCGTCGTCGCCGCCGCCGCCGTCGAAGTTCTGGCTCAAGGCTGGAGCATGGCAGACGGGCTGAGTTTACTGGGGTTAGGCTCTCCCGGAGACTCCCTCGGCCGAGTCGTGTCCATTCTGAATCTCTCCACTCTTTCTCTCATGCCCCTCTAATCCGCTCACGACCTGCTTCACGTCTTTTCTTTCGCCGTCATGCCCAGCAACGACTCATCCGACTTGACTTACGACGCCGCTCTCCTGTTGTGGAGAACAGTCATCAACATATTCTTCAGGGAGATTCGGCCCAGAGGCGCGTTTAACATCCCTCGCGATGGTCCCGTCATATTCGTCGCCGCCCCCCATCACAATCAAGTATGTGCTCGTCCTACCATGCCTGTATGGCATGAACTCAACTGACCTCTGCCTCTGGTACGCAGTTCCTCGACCCTTTACTCCTCATGCTCGAAGTGCACCGCGAAACACGACGCAGAGTGCAGTTCTTGATTGCGGCAAAGAGTATGAAGCGGAGGGCAGTCGGTTTCTTTGCGGGTTTGATGTCGAGCAGTAAGCTAGTCCCCCTTGGTCCCCGTTTCTCTTCACTCACCGCACGCGACGTCAGTTCCTGTATCCCGCGCTGCTGATGACGCAAGACCCGGGACAGGAAAAGTGTATCTCTCTCCAGATGATCCATGTCTTATAATTGGGGAGGGCACGCGGTTCCTGTCTGAATTCTCACCGAAAATGCAGATCTTGCTCTCCAAATCTGTGAACTCTGCTGTGGCCGAAGTGACCGAGATAGTTTCGGATACGCAGCTTCGGATCAAAAAGGAGTTTGGAGGTGATAGTGGTAAAGGTTCAGCGCGAATTCGAGAGAAGACCGAAGAGATGAAGGCACAAGGCATAGTTGGTCTGGATTTCAAACGCTTGCCATTCGTCAACCAACAGGAAATGTATCGCCATGTGTACCAGCGGCTCACCGAAGGGAGCTGCATCGGTATATTTCCTGAAGGTGCGTTGAATCGTGCTTGTGCTCCTCAAGTGATTCACTCTTATTTGAAACAACCGTAGGTGGAAGCCACGACCGCACAGACCTCCTTCCGCTCAAAGCTGGCGTATCCATGATGGCCCTTGGTGCTATGGCCAATGACCCTAATGTCAAGGTCAAGATCGTCCCCGTCGGTCTTTCATACTTCCATGCGCACCGGTTCCGGTCTCGCGCTGTGGTCGAGTTTGGCGCCGCTATGGATGTTCCCGCCGAATTCGTGGAGATGTTCAAGCAAGGAGGTCCTCAGAAAAGGGAGGCCGTTGGTCAGCTTTTAAACTTGATTTACGATGGTCTCAAGACGGTCACAGTTCGTGCTCCGGATTTCGACACACTCATGGTAATTTCACCATGTATCATCATTGTATCAAGCTCATCGACACATTAATTCATAGCTCATTCAAGCCGGACGAAGGTTATATAAGACTCCTGGGCAACATCTAACGCTTGGTCAAGTTGTTGAACTGAACAAGCGATTTTTGAAGGGCTATGTGCATTTCCAAAACGAACCACGTATACAGAATCTACGAAGTAAGGTTCTGAAGTACAATCGTCTCGTTCGTGATCTGGGCCTGCGAGATCATCAGGTCAGTATCGCATCTTCTGAATATCAATTACAAGTCCCTTTATAAGTCTGCGCAGGTTCCTCGCGCCCAAAAGGCTGGCTGGAAGACCTTCGGCCTTCTCCTATATCGACTCGGTCTTCTGACTGTATGGACGGTACTGGCACTTCCGGGTGTCATTCTCAACGGACCGATTTTTTTGATTGCGTCTATAGTGTCACGAATGAAAGCCAAAGGTGCACCCCTAACACCTCTCTATGTTCTTGGATATTCATCTTTCTCTCAGAGGCACTCGCTGCGTCTGTCGTCAAAGTTGCAGGTCGAGATGTTCTTGCTACATGGAAGGTTTTGATCTCCCTGGGCGTGACACCCGTGTTGTATGGATTTTACGCATTTCTTGCTACTATCGTGGCCGTAAAGGCGAATGCTCCTATGAAATGGAGAATATGGACCCCTTTCCTGGTCATCATGGCACTGCCCTTCATCGGTTATGCTGCATTGAAATTTGGAGAAGCAGGCATGGATGTGCTCAAGTAAGTGTTCATTTGATCCGGCCTCAAACTTCAATGTCAACTGCTCTCTCCTAGATCATTACGGCCATTGGTTGTCGCGCTTGTACCTGGGCAACAGCAGTATTTGACTAAGCTGAAACAAATGCGACAGGAGTTATCCAATGAACTCGTAGAAGTCATCAATGAATTTGGACCGCAGTTATACGATGACTTTGATAAGGTGCTTCCGCTTTTTTACAGTACAAATTTCGCCCATCTAACGCGTGTCTCATGGCAGTGGAGAATTCTCGTCCCTTCTGCGAGCGTCCCGCCCTCTAGCGGCACTCCAGGACTCTGGCGCAGAAAGAGTGGCACGGGTGCAGTCGATGCGCAAGGCAACCTGCTGGTACATCCCATGGTGAGTGCGGAAATTGGATCTCCTTGTGTCCCGGCCTCATACCTTTCAAGACATGGCTGGATGAACGTCTGTTCGGGTGGAGCCGTAGTGCGAAGCGTGGGACCAGTGCATGGGCTGGTGCCACGCGTAGCCAGGACATCAGCCGCGCACCCTCCCCCGACGCCTCCGATGACGAAGATTCGGGTGACTACGATAACGTTCTCGGCATTCTTCCAGGAGAGGGGTATCTCACACCCAACCGCCATCGATCACGAAGCCACCATAGCTCTTACGCGGACCTTCAAAAGCTCCGCATGACTGCAACACCGCTGCCTGTGCAAGGCAGGGCGACATTATCACCTCATCTAGCGCTCCAGTCTCTCCATCCCGCAGAAGACCACACAGACGTAGCTGGTGCAACATCTGAGGAGGCAGAGTCACTGGTCAATGGCAACAGTTTACATCATCGACAGACACATCGAGATAGGAAGGCAAGTTTGTCTGATGGCGTCGCTGTAGAGCGTATCGCAGCATTGAATCCCGAGGAAAGATTCCAGGATTGTACTAGGGATATCAACGAAGAAATTCGGGAAAACAAAGAGGGGCATGCCCACGGGGACTAATCAATAATACATCTTTCGTACTGCCACTTGTATTTGCTTCGACGGACAATTTGTGTCGAAGTACGGTACATTCTGTTTGGGAACGTGTCATACAATGATGGCACCGGGTGATATACAAGTGAGGTGAAGGCGAAGATGATACGCTAAGCAGGAAGGCCGCGAACTTCAATGAACAAGTTCTGTCTGAGATAAAACTTGGAAAAATCCATCCCACACGCTGTGCACCTGCAGACGCGGATCGGGAGCGGATGTAAATCATGTCAGACATTCCGGATAAGTCGCATGTCGGAGATGGAGAGATATGTGGCACCCACCGTAGATCGCTGGGCTCGTTGAAAAACTGGGCATCCTTTCAAATCAATATCTGCTCGATGGTCCACGGGCGATTGAGAACGCACCTGTATCTGCGTACATCCACCTTGTTGAGCTTTGTAGTTGCCGAGCGCCTCGCCACCCAAATCCATGCACCGGATTTCACGCTGCGTGCCAGTCGTCGAGGCCAAGATCAACAACCCGACACGATCCGCAATAAACACTGACACTCACAGTGGTCGCGGAGTAGCCCCCCGATGCACTGAGTTCGATTTAGTGAGGAAACGATCGCAGAAACGCATGAATCACGGACGGAATGTATTTTGTGATCACGTATATGGGTGTGCCTCTCATGGAGCCGCACGTTTCGACGAGCAGATAAGGCTCATTCGAGTTCGAGGTATTGGAAGACATTGTCAAAAGGGAGGAGAAGATCTTTAGTGTGCGTAAAGGGCTTTCGAAAACGGATCAACCCCCGGAGCTCTTCGTTCATAAGCGCTCGCAGTATAGAAACATTGATAAGACACCACAACCCAACCCGTGCGCCTACATACACCAGCTGGGTTCCTTGGGTTCCAGTGACACCTAGGTCCGCAATACAGATAAGAGATCCAAATCAACCACATGATCGAGCGAATGGTCGTGCCTCCGAAGCCAGCTGATCTTCCGCAACCACATCGGTATACAAATACGCACAGCCAGACTACTGTCCGATAATCGCGCGAAGCGGGAAATCCACGCAAACAATATGAGAGAAGGTTCTGCAAATGGTAAACAATAAGTCCAAAGTGCTACAAAACTCTGGGTTTCCCAGCGGTCAAGATCTCTACCCCTGTCTCAGTGATTCTAGCAGCCCAAGTCAGCTCGTTAAGCCTTCGATTGAAGGCACGAGGATCGCTCGACTCACAGTAGTGTTTCCTCAAACTGTGCGCTTTTCTTCCCATCTGACGTTGTAGCTGTCCAATTATCCGGCCAATGAATTTCGTCCCAGCTGCTTCCGAGATTGATCATCTGGTATGATGAAGTTTAGATAAATCATGAATCCAAGAAGGCAACGTAAACGAACAGGCTCAATTGTAAACGTCTGTCAAAAACAGTGTCAGCTCTGGTCATTTCGTCAAACCCAGAGTCGCGCACCATGCCTGGCTTCATGGTACCAATAGCCTTGTTTTTTGAATAGTGAGGAACGTTGGGTGAAGAGTGGAAGAGATCGTTGATCCCGTGTCCAGTGTATGTTCGTACGACTGAACACCCATTCGCTCGTGCGATAGGTTCACTGATGAATGTTCTGTGAGCGCTGTAAGTATTCAGAGTAATCCTGACCTACATTGTCTTGCCCAGATCGCGGAAAAGGGCGCCAGGCCTGCATAGCTTTATAGATTCATCTAAGCATTCCCTTGCTACGCGAATCAATTTCCTGGAGTCATCATCTATTCTGCCCACAGGATATGTCTCGTTCAGGTCGCCGTGGAATCCTATTAGTAGAAGCGGTTACATAAATGAACTTATGAATGAAGCCACATATCATACCATCGTAATAGAGAGTGACATCTGGTGACTTGAATGTCAGCAATCTCAACAGACCCACCAGGGCCAAACGTACCAATATTGATAATATCGCCTTCTTGTAATCTACGCTGATCCGGGATCCCGTGACAGATGGCCTCATTCACGGAGCTGAGAAATCGTATAGAAGATGTAGAATCACGATGTGAGGTATGACGAGCTATGACCTACGTGCAGACTGATTTGGGAAAATGTCGGTAGTTCAGCGGGGACGGATATGCGTTCCGTTCGATAGCGGCTTGGTGGACAACGGCATCTATATCGTCTGTAGTGATCCCGGGACGGATGTGCGAAGCAGCGATGTCAAGGACTTCTCTAGCAAGCTGAAGCGTAGGAAATTGAGTGAGCCTAGTAGCTGGGAAGATCGGTACGATGTAGCCAGAAGACTGTCACTATTCGGACACAAGGTTGCGTATTTGACGATGCATGCGCCACGCGGACCGTGGCTCACGTTCTTGATATAGGACCGATGTGCCCTCGGAAAAAGCCACGCACCTTGCAAACCTTTCTCATTTTTTCCTGGTCTTCTGTAGACAATATACGGGGCGGTTGTCCTGCTCGCCTGCTTTCGGAAGTCGGGATGCCTGAGTAGATCATAATGCATCATCGCACCCAGGACTGTCAAGACAGGGCAGAGAAACTCATGACCTACCGTCTTCGGCATAATCAGGCTTAGGGATATGTTCGGGGACAGTTCGAGGAGGCGACAGAGGATATACAGGACGCAAACTTCCGGAGAAGCGATACCCATGAAAGGGATTGAATGTGCCATCTGGACGTTGTAAGTCGCGCTGTCACGAGACCGACATGAACGCATCTGTAATACTTTTGTTGATCGATGGGTCATCAAGCAGCAGCTGACGAGGAGTGGCGAGCTCGTGGACGAGCTTGTGCGTTTTCTAAACACGCCATTTCGAAATGAGCTTCACGACTGACAGCGCAAGCCCCACCCACCCCTAAGGGAAGGCAAAATCTGTCAGGACACAGGCGAGCCTCATTTTGATGTCATATATACAGACTCACAGTCGGCCTTGAAGCAATCCTGTCCGCAGAAAAAGGAGCCCTGGATCCCGAGTCTTGATTTTATGCGATCAGTAAGACACCGATCATGGAGGAGCATAATGGACATGCGCTGACTTATGGCATGTCGGACATTCCAGACGAGAGGGGGGGTTTCCGTGCGGACACTTTGAGCTTTGGCAGATGACTATAGGAGCACTCATGGCAAAGAGGTGAGAGTGAGAGGAAAACTTGTTAGTAATTTCGCGTTGCCGACGACTCATTAACCAGATCTCGATCGCTTGAGGCCCGACCTCACGTGCTCGGGCGCTTACGATGCCGTCTGCCCTGGAAATACGCGCAGCCTCATCAATGCGCAAGCGACCATGAAAAGTTGATTTTACTTATGAGTGAGGCGGTATTAAAAATGGAATAATATGTATGCATAGGGGAGCAGTACTGGAAATACACACTGGTGAAACAGAAGGGAGCTTATGGATGCAGTAATCGACGACAGAGAGGTGCAGGAATATGGATGACAAGCGTGAATGGTGCAAAGCAGATGGATGATGAAAGGTGCGACAGTATCTAGTAATTAGTAGCGTGCGAGTGAGTGGTATGATGCGAAAAATTAAAAGGCGACAGTGGGAAGTGAGTTATAGCAGAGCAGCACAGGAATAATAAAGAAACACAGTCCCATCAACCAGGTACCAGGAAAGAGGGTGCTCTATCGATACGCCTCGTGGAAAAGACGCGCGAGCCCCGTTTTGATGTCATCTTCGCCAACCCGCTTCCGCCTCGCGGAATGGGTTGACAAGGGTTCTGCCTGCAGATACATCTCTCACCGCTCGTGTTCCAGCTTGAATGCGATGCGCTTGTCGCTCGCAGCACGGAACAGCGTGCGGTAATGCGCAGAACCGAAGACCTCCGTGAGCATCTGCTCATGAGAACTGATCCATTCGATGGGCGGGAGTCCTCGTATCGTCCGATACACGCCCTCGTTCGGTACACGTTCTACCTTGACGAGAACGAGGAGACCGGTGAGGAGACATTGAAGGAGGTGGAGGAGGTCAGAGACCGGGGTGACGGTGTGACGCATGGAAGGAAAGACGGCACTGTGGAATACCATCTCCCATTGCACTCGTCGGTCTGGGCTGAAGAATGATGACGCATTGAGTGGGATTTGCAAGCGCATGTTGGGCGAACGTGGAAGTCCGCTAGATGACCGATGGGGAGGACTGCACTCGATGGAAAACAGCATCCGCGAGTCGAGCGGGGACGCCTCTCGCCATCCGTGACGCTGGACGAGCTGTTGCTTCAGCGACAAGAGCCAACGACGAGCCCTGGCGTAATTAGTTCCTAAGGCATCAGCGCTGGTCAAAGGAATGCCAGTGCGCTTGGCCCAATCGTCCATGTTTCGGACGTCATTTGAAAAAACCACTTCCGGCGGGGGACTCGACATAGTGTGAAGAATTAGGACGAGAGGATGTGGTGAGCAAGGACGAGCGCAAAGATTTTACTGGAAAGATTGCGAAGGGTTTTGAGCTAATGAAAGGTTTATATGCAACATGTTGCTTACAAGAAACGCCAAAGCGTGGTCTCCGATACCCCGCGATAGATCAAAATAATTAAACAGAGCACGCGCCGACAAGTGAGACGAGGTAGAAAACGAGGAGGAGGGATAATTTAAAGGGCGCTGAAGGAGGATGAGGGGCGCGACATGATATGGGAGTATTTGAAGAGCGGAGGCGTGCGGATCGGCCGGCGTGATAGCAACCGGTTGTGGCAATCGTGAATGGCAGCATTTGGGGCGGCGGACGTGGAACGTGTTTCGACGACGGCGTTTTTCCTGACAAATTCATCCAGATTTCGCTTATTTGGCCGAATGCTCGCGCGCGGAAGCCGTCCCTCTCCCCTTTGGGAAATCCCCTTCATTCCAGCCCTCCCTCCGCGTGCTCCCCGAGCGCTCTAGCCAGCTCTCCATTCACTCGTCCATCGTCCGTCGACGGCGACCATAGACGGGCGGGCTCGATTTTCTGCTCGCTTCTTCTTTCAACCTGTTCAATGTCCATCTTTGTCACTTTTGCATCATCCGACGTCAAAATAAGTAGCCCATAAAGGTGACAACACAGTCGGGCGTTCCTGATGACCTAGGGCAGAGCGGTTAGGCTTAAATGATCCCAGAGGACACTGGTCATCGTCGTTATATCGTGAGAAATCCGCGCAATCCCTGTTTCAGGTCATTCTATCCTATGTACCCTCGGAGATTCCGTTGCGTGGACCAACAGGCATATATATACTGGAAGACTGTCTCCCTGACAGTTGCCATCGGTATCCATACGCTCTTGAGCTAGCGTTACAGCAACGGGTTCTGGAAGCCGACGGTGCCCTGGCTAGGCTCAAAGCTTTGAAAGCATCTATTATCTCCCGTGGACTCGGTCAGTATCACTGAGGCTCGGAGACGATCGACCTAACCCCACAACTAAGATTGCAAGCCATTGCAAGACAACACAGCCCAGCGTAATGGCATTTAAACACCCGACACTTTGGCTATGAACAGCATTTGAAGCCGAACGCAGGAAGGTGAATGGCCGCGGGATAAGATCGTTGGCCCGTGGATGCTTTTTCCTTTCAGTATTGTTATTGAAGATGGGAGCTCAATTTTTGTTAATATTCACGTTACAACGGTTGCTCTGTAAATGCATAATCTGCAGTTTCGGCTTCCGAGCTTCTTATCTTCCAAGAAAGTCAGTAGTGCGACGTCATAAAACCGAGACGTGTTCTATGGGGCGGCTGTCACGGGGATGAATTTTATAATCACGTGAGGACTTCACTTTCGAGTCAACTGCAGATCGAATGCATCTCACTCTGAAGCTGCGCTTTCCTTGAATTGTTGAGGAGGCACACACTGATTTCACCATTCCTACCCGCTCATACTATCTTCTTACCTCACAGCATTTCCGCTATGGCTGTTCCATCACTGTCTATACCCACCCCTTCTGCGTCCAGGGTACCAAACAGTGGTACAACCGCAAGCATGCCTGTGTTGACACCCCCACCTTCACAAGACACAGCTCTCCACTTTGACATATATGCTGCGTATCGACGCATTCTGATGGATGAAGACGTATGTGCAGGTTGTACTTGATGCTTCGATGCAGATCCCTTCATTTCATCACAAGATATCTGCTCCCTTGGCTGCTATCCTTGCCCTGACCGAGTTGGTCCTGCAATCAGATGGTGAGTGTGATCAAATCTGATTGCTCTATCATTGTTTCAACCGCCTTCAACCGCTCTCCGGATTAGCCGGAACCATGTTTGAGCTTGTCAAGGCCCTCAACGACGGTGCCGAAGCCCTCAAGAAGCGCGTGCCCAACCCGATTGGTCTCAATGCTGGCTGCGAATTATTCACCGCTTTTGTTACATTATTCCCACATGAATCCGCTGTGAGCGCTAGTCCTCATTCCTTCTTTTGTTTTCTCGCTAAGCTTTTCTATGGAGAGCTTTTCTGAGTTGAAGACCGAACTAGTCAGGCAAGGGAGAAATTATGCATCCGAAGCTGTCAACTATCGTGCCAAGATCGCAGAACTTGCCCTTGGCTTCATCAAGGACGACTCAGTGGTCAGCTCAATTCACGTTGTCCATTTTTTTGAATTATCTGATACCTCACTCAGATACTCACACATTCTTATTCTCGAGTAGTCATGCAAACTCTTCTACATGCACATAAACGCAAAAGAATCTCTGTGTATGTGACAGAAGCAAGACCACGTGGTCTCGGGTAGGTTTTTATCTCTGTGCCAAATGTCCGACAGACTCAAAGCCTCGTGTCGAAATAGAATTAAAACTTACGAAGCTCTGACTGCGGCAGGGATCCCATGTACCGTGGTCCTCGATTCAGCCGTAGCATATGTCATGGATAAGGTTGACTTCGTGCTCGTAGGCTCGGAAGCAGTTGTAGAGAGCGGCGGACTGATCAATGCCGTGGGCAGTAATCAGATGGCTATCATCGCAAAAGCAGAAAACAAACCTTTCTACGCTCTGGCTGAAAGGTACGCTCATCGCTTATTACCATGTGCAGTGAACAGACCGTGTGTGTCGCAGTTATAAATTTCATCGGCTATTTCCGCTATCGCAATACGACCTCCCGACGCATAATCCGGGAACGCTGTCATTCCCCCAGCTTCCACAAAAGCAAGACACAGAATCAGTCTCCGTGCCTCTTAGTTCCTCTGCTCCGAAAATTATTGCTGGGGGCCCCCCTTCCACAGCAAACACACTGCTTTCCACACCGTCAGTTCAGCGCACAATGACCGCAGAGCAAATCTCGAAAAATCCAGATGTTGACTACACAAGGTAGGTCACATGTTACCGTCTGCTCGCAGGTCACTCATTGTCTGCACCTTTCTAGACCAGATTTGATATCGCTCGTCTTCTCGGATGTGGGTATCCTGACGCCGGAAGGTGTCAGCCAGTACCTGGTCGGAATGTTTGCCGGCTAGTCGACTGGGACCAGCGTGGGACCTTGAGACCCATTCTGACCTGGTGTATGTTCTCTGTATATGTGATTTTATGTGCCGTAGACGAGAAGTTTTCGAAGAAGTGATAGTGTATTGAAGAAGCGGGATGCCGAACATCTTGGTTCGATGCAAAACATGCTGAGTGGATACAGATTATTCGGTTTCCCTGCGATTTCCCTCGTGAAATTTCAGCCTCGGTGCCTACTCACACCCATGTAAGTTATGGGTTCAATCGGAACGTAGATTAGTTACGAAGTCATGATGCCGGGACATTGGCGCGCACGTATTCAACGATTCGGGATCAAAATCGGCGAGCGAAGAGCACCAAAGGAACGCATATCCTTATCATCTGCAGGTGAAAATCTACAGATGCGAAGCAGCTTATGAAGGCAAGAAAACGTGGCTTGGCAACCCGCTGCAAGCCATCGGCGCTTCAGCTCTCATAACGCCCTAGTAATCTACTAGATGGGCAGCTCTGCTAGACAGCCACAATCTTCTCTTGATCTCTTGTTGCATAAGCGACTCAAGAAACACCGCAGAACCGCAGAAGTATGCATCGGAGGCAACAGAGTAAAAGCTATGCGCGTAATCCTCTAGGTTATCTCAAAATGCAGTCGGACGGTCGTTCCGACCGACCTGATATGTACATCGATACCGCAAGATGATACCACGTGAATGCATGTCCCCAACATTCGGCGACTTCAACTGGAAAGGGGATCGGATAAACGTTGTTTTTGTTTTAGACTTTTGACAATTTACCGTTCGATTGTCCTGGAAATATTTTCTCACTGTGCGGACTTGTTCCGTTCTGTATCAACCGGGCTGGCGATGCTGATTGATTTCATCTACACGAGAAGCCTCGGACGCGATAGTATCAGCAACCTCCGACTCGAAAAGACATCTCCGGGTGCGACTCTTTTCATAGTGGGCATCAAAATGCTTAAAAGGTCCTGGCGTCGGGTCGTTCAACGGCATCCCCAACTTGAATCTCCCTACTTCACAATCTCGCAACCCCGCCTAACTTACAAGATGTGTCACTGGCGAAGGTGGGCTATGCGACCTTTAACCGTTCTCTGCGCGGGAACGCATGCTCACTCTCCTCCCTGTCACCTTCCAGAGTGCGGAATACCTTCTTGCGTTGTGGACACGAATATGAATTGGCGAGTTTTCAAACTAGTTCGTTTACACCGTGCGCTGACAGCTTGAACCAGCCCGACGAGATGGTATTCTTGTTCGCGTTGTGAAAGACTCCGACATTGTACTCACTCACGTTCAGATCCAATGCGACAGTCCTTGGTGCAAGTTTAGCGATAGGCACGACCCGAATTGCCCAAGGTGCACGCAAACATGCTTTCAGTTGTGAGTAGTGTCCAATCGGAGACGATGTGAATCGTTGTTGATCCCAGTTTCTACATAGCCGTCAGTTCCCTAAGACCTACAGTAAGTTTAAAGCTTATCACCGTGTTCATGGCTGACGACATTGGATCAGACCCGCAGATAGATAATTGGTGCCCTATGTGTCTCCAGAATGCAGCCAATCGTCGTTAGACCCGTCACATCTTATCTCTTTTAATGATGCCCATGATCGCTTTCTTGCAGTTTCTTGCTGTGTTGATCGTATCGCTGTATGTCGTAATTTCCAATAGTAGTGGTAGTTAGTGGTAGAGTTTCTTTATTTTGTGTAAAGCCTAACAAGAGTTAGATTGGATCAACGTCTTCCAAGCTGTTGTATAAAAAGGAATACGTGCAATTTTTGGAAGCAGGCACATAAGCATCAAAAGATAGCTCCTATAACAAGGCGATCGAAAGGGCTCCTGTAAATGGCGCGATTTCCTCCGATGTGCAGTTCCGTGATCCGAGAGCGAAGCAGACAAGTAGCAGACACAAGCTAAAGTCAGCCCGAACCCCCTGTAGTGACCGGAGCGGCGATTTCTCCACTGAAAGCCTCGAGGTTACCTGTAGGCGATAAGGCTCGACGAAAAGGGGATGCAAGATTATGGGCGCCATTCAAGAACTATCTGAGCGCAAAACAGTGGTCTCCTATGAAGCCCTCGTGGGTAGCGGAGCTGTGAATGACCCGTGAGTATCCGAACTTGAGCCGATGGTGATTTTATGTTTGTTGGAATTCTCGGAGATTGAACCAAGCAAGTGAGCCATTCTCCGCAGATGAAATATAGGCTCCACTGCCTCTTCGATCGATATGGAGACTGCGCTTTGGATAGCCATGCATGTCATGAGCAAAGTCACCAGTCTGAGCAAAAGACCAGTTAGAACGAAGCCTCACACGTACTTGTGCTATTCTCAGAGTCAGATAAGCAGGAAAGCTCAAAAGATTAAACTCAAGGACTGTGCTGTGGTCAGTTGCCTACCACAGATATAGTCACTAATCCGATAGCAACTGCTGGCTCAGTTAGCCTCTCGCTGTGAAATTCAAGATAAACGTTATCAGGAGCGCATCGATGTACGACCTCGAGGCCTCAAGGCCTCAATCAGGAGATCTTCAGCTGCGTTCACTCACCAGACAGTGCATGCCGACGTAACGCTAGTCTCCGTTGCTGATCAACACAGAAGATCGCAGCCGTTCTGTGTTAAGGACGTAACGCGTAGGTACTAGTAGATGACCGACACAGGGTGTCTGAGGTCCTGAGAAATCATGTGCCTCCAGGTTAACGGGGTCTGCCAAGGTTTACCACAGTCACTGACCATGGCATCGCCGGACTCTGCGAAGATCGCACTCTCTCAATGGCTGTTCCCGATCTCTGCCTTTGAACACACCCCTACTGCCATAGAAAGGTCCGTAGAAGAGGAAATGTATGATAGGGCGAGGGGAATAGAATTTTTATTCAGATTGGGAACATCAATAGGACTGTGAGCTGCCTGTTCACCGTTGTATATAAGTGTGAGGTTCACGACCAAATCAGTCATTCACCAGGAATATTTACCGCGGCGACTTGGTTTCATCGTTTTTTCATGCGCTGCTCTATGGAGGATTACCACCGACAGGTTAATATTTCGCTAACGCTCGAGCACGCAATACTGAAGTTTCTTTAGAATGTTGCTGCGTCGTGTATATTTCTCGCCACAAAAACAGAAGAATGTGGGAGAAAGCTCAGAGATGTGGCCAGAGTTTTCTGCTCAAAAACCCGTGGCGTAGAGATCAAAGATATACCTGACAATGACAAGGTAAGTATGTCATAGGTGTTCCAGGACATACCAGTTGCTGAACTCAAGCAGGAAGTCGAAGAAGCTGCAAATGCCATATTAACAACCGAGGAAGTATTATTAGAGGCCCTATGCTTTGATTTTGTCGTCGACAGCCCTCACGCCGATCTCGTTGATCTTTTCGATGCACAAGAAGAGGAGCCGGTCCTGCAAGATTATGCATGGAGCATAGCTCATGACTCGTTAGTCTCCGTCGCGTAGGTAATTGCAAACTCTGGTCACAGTCTTATTTAGGTTCCGCACGCCACTATGTATCCTCTACCCGCCAAGGATTACCGCAGTCGCTTGCTATATTTTGGCCCAACGAATTGCAGACGGCCCTCGCTCACACTCTCTAGATGCCCGTGTGTCATACTCCGCGCCGTCTGCATCTCTTCCTACACCGCCCTCTCGTAAACCAGCCTCACCAGACGGGACTCGATTTGCGACTGAGTTCTTCGGACTCAACGAATCTGAGTTGTCCTGTGTTGCAGGTTCGATCAATATACCTGATATGACAACGGGTCATTGATCTTTAATCTTATAGACGCACTTACGATCATTATTGAGTTCTATCATTTTCAGAATTCACAAGGTATAGTAGACTACTTGGGCGACCTACTCTTCGTCAGTTCTTCCTTGCACCGTCTTTATGCAAGAAGCTTATAAGACAACAGGTGGATCCGCCCACAACATCGTCACCTAGGCGGTCATTATATCCTAACCTAAACAACCAAACACCTGTGAACCACACAAACGTTCACCAACATCTCGATTCAGATCTTGGTCGAACGCCAGATTCTCTCCAGGGCAATAGCACACCTGCAAAAACACAAGTGAATGGCAATATACCGAGTTCAGCTACGAAGAGACTGGATCTCAGTTGATTGTTTTCTACACTCGTCGATCTGACATGAGATCCATAGTTCGTTGGAGTGTCCCCGACGTGTTTCTGATGCCGCCATTATATTGCAGCCAAACAAATAAACCGACTCCATAATATGTATCTATACGCCACTTGACGACGGCAATACTACTGGCCACAAGTCTAAGACACTAGCCAATCTCCATTTGACAGAGCAGTTGCCTCAGACCCCCGCGCTGTTGACCAGGTGGCAGAAGCCTGACTTGCTACATCTTCTGTAATCGAAGGAAGCTCCTCCATTCTGGACTTCCTCCAGTGGTCGATGGTAATATGACTATCCCTTGTCCGCCTTACGGTGAAAGACGCTGGAAGAGCTGTGAGGCTATCCCGTGATACGGGAAGAGAGATACTGCGGGCACTAAGACCAGCCGACGATGGAGTCTCTAAGTTTATGAGTTAATATAAGGTTTGGGTAGCGGCGTATCAAGGAGGTATAAACGAACTTTCACTTTTGCCATCCCAATGCGATTCCGAAGGATGAATTGATACATAACTACTGGTGTCGTCAGGTTCTGAGCTTGTCAAACACGGCGTCGGAACCTACGTTCGAAGAGCAGTAAGCAGGTTGATCATGTAAGACTGTACAACGCCAACGCCGCATCCGGGATCTTCTTCATAACATCGTAGACAAGGCAAGGGCGCTCTTGAGATGATCCGACGTGTTCATCACCCACCTCTGGTATAACAAAAGAGCCAGGCAGCCCCATCGAGGAAGAGAACCAGTAAAAGAGGTATTCTAGAATACCACTGTCGCTAGAGTTGAAGGCCTGTACTGGTGTAGCAAACCCTCTCGTCCATCCTGCGGATTGGAGAGTGAGATCAGACCACAGAATGCTGTTCTCATAGCTTACCTTTCGAAAAGACTCCAAATACCCAGCCAGAATAATTTGTCAAGACAAACCAAGGACAATCCCTCGCAACACAGACATCGTATACCTTGATGCCATTTAGATCAGGGACGTTGCGGAGGTCCAGATCAAAGACCGACCTTGCCCCAAAGCCGTTCACTACTTTTCATGGGACGAACCCAATCCTCCTTGTAATTAGGAAACTGTGCCGCGGTGTGATATTAGCAAGAGTGATGCATACAAACCAAACAGCGTTACCGATTGACACTTTCCGAAGCTCTTCAAGTCTTGCTCGGCGAGAATCCAAGGCGGTTGAACGACGATGATGGCGGACGTCTGACCAGGATCGCCATCTGTCCCTGTTTTGGGAGGAGGTCGAGTCCAAGTGAAGCATCTCAAGATGCTATCGTCCACGTCGCCACCCTCCGGAGATATGCGCCACGATTTACTGGATGGGTAGACCAGATGCAATACTCGCTGAATGGTCTGTAGTGGCAGATGGTCGCACCACGAAACGAATCTGGACAAAATCGGACAACTTAGGATCGAAAGCACAAGATCAACGTAACCCCTTACCTGTCGAGATTATCGGGAGCGAGAAGAGTAGCACGAGGAATGTCGAAGCCTTGACATGGGACTGAAAGCCTCTCCATAGTGTAAGGGTCTTCGTCCTCCACGGCCAGCGTTTGATCTGGGACCTGAGCATTGGTAACTTTCAAGATGCACGATATTAGGGCCCGGGACAACGCTCAAAGATGAATGCTTGAGACGTACACTTCCGCACAGACGAAGCAAGATCGCCCGCGTCGAAGCTAAACATCGAGGTCAAATGTCTGCCTCTTTCTAGACGCGTGCTCAATAGATTCATGTGAGACTTGTGTCCAGAAGGTGGGATCTGGGGAGCTGTCGGACCAAGAATCATTGTTGGCAAAGCGGCTTCGGATAGATACTGTCGAAGGTTATCAGTCCCGCGTACACCCCACGATCCAGGTGGGAAGGGATAAGCTGGCGGCGTTCGCTCAGGTTGTTGGTATCTTGGCATAATGCAGAGGACGGCGAGTAGTGAACGTTGTCTTTGAAGAGAGAAAGCATTCACCCTTTTAAATTTGGATCTGCCATCACGAAAAAGAGGAACAAGCGAAACAAAACCAGAAATGACTGGAGGTCCATCAGTCAGGAATTGTCTGATCTAGCGAGAACAATAGTCGACCACAACAGCTGCCAGTTTCGGCTACAAGGCTGCGGCCTCATAAGAGTTTTTATTGTTACAGATAGGGAGAAACAAGGCGTCGTTGCCATTGCGCCGATATCAATACATAGAAGGACAAGAGTGAGCGATCATGGGAGGAAGAACAAGGCATAGTTAAGCACATACGACCAAATCGTAAACATGATCATAAAACGTCATCACGTAACACATGGGACTCGCAAGATACGCGGCGAGGTCAAACAGATACAATAACAATTAATAGACGCTTGCGTCCATAGATAACTGAGCCCTGAAGCCGCCCTCGATGCCCCTTCACATCATGGAAGACCAAGGGTACCGTTCCTTTCCCGTGAAATGCACTCTGGACAGACTAAATCGCTGACCCGGATAGGGTTGCGAACTGGTGGTCCCATCATTCTTATGCAAGCTGGCGATTTGCACTCTGATACAACTTACAAGCTTGAGTAGATCTGTCATGTAATACTCGAACAAACTCACGAAATGGATGCCGCCGGCTGAAGATACAGTTTGCTCGTAGGCAGTCTTGATGCCGCGTTGCAATTGAAACGAAATGACGACATGGTGTGTGGTATCGTCCGTCGATGATCTACATACAAAAGTCAGAGAGCGTCACCCGTCCATAGTCGAGTTGGGCTAACATTGTGACACATTGTTATTTCTCTTGCTGTTGCTGAGCCCGAGATCAGACTGCTTCTGTACGAGCGGGTGACGCAAACTGGACACTCACCCGCACATTGTTATAGGGCCATACCCGAGCGTCTCGAGATCTGAAAATGCAGCTGGTGACAACAGACCGCCCGCCCGCTTCTCGATTGCCCCTTACACGCCTTGCATGCCCGGTGTGCACCAAGCCAATGGCCAGGCAGCCACTTGCGGGCAGACCGAAATGAACAGGAAAGCGCAGTTGAAATACCTTCTGAAAAGGAAGTTTCGTGACAAAATTTCACCGCCTCAATGCCTACAGCCGGACTGCCTGTCACCAGTTCTGTCGAGAGCACTTTCAGGATAAACATCGATGGGAACACATGCCCACGATCGAATTCCAGCTTTGTAATCGAACCCTTAGTTCCGAGCACACCCACCAGTATCAGCTATCCAACCTATGCATGACTGAGAGACATGAAGAGCGATCAGCTCAATGAAGGTATAGGAGACGAGGTGAGGGGCTTCCCATCTGAGATGTGCACACCTGAATGTCCAACATCCTCAGTCCTTGGATGTCAGATACAAACTACAAGGCCTTTACCGATATTGGCCAGGCATGGTTGACACGAGGCAAGGGAGCAGGACACATGCATATAGATGGCATCCTGATATATGAACTAATCAAGATGGCGAAGTCTGGGGAAAAGATCAAGGCGCTAAGCTTGCCGCACAAGCTCTGTTCTCTGTGATCGGTTGAGTTAAGCGCAAGATGGTAGTATGGACAGTTGTACTTACTGCATGCTCTGATGATAAGAGTCTCCTCGCTCAGATGAAGTTCGAAATGAACGTGATTGTATCATGGTGTCAGACGCAGCTCCTGAGGGCCTGTCTTCTTTTCTATATCCCTATCGACACTCCACCAGACTTGGGGTCATGCGCCAGAAGCACGCATCACAAGTGAAAGCTATTGCAACAAGAGCGCCACAAAGCTTTCGAATATTGGAGACAAATTGACTCACCCGTCTGATAACAGATCTTGCCATGATACAACGGAGCCAAGCCCAACAAGCACACCACAAAACATACCGACGTGGGGTCTAGATAAACATGGAACAAATTGATTTGTGCATATATCTATCACTCGCAAGGGTGCTGAGGGCCTTGGTGACCTAGTCGCGGAAAAGAATAACGATATAATACAAGGCGAGCAATAGGGTCGCACGGTGCTATCATGCCCCACGGGCACGAATCTCATTCACCAATTGCACCTTCTTCCGCACCTGCATGGGCTCCTTTAGTGGCGCTACGACGAGACACTAAAATCGATCCTACCTCATGGGCAAAACGCCTCCTCCAACGTTGACTTCGCAACCGCCTCCGTTTTTCACCCTTCTTCTCGTGACGAGATGTCGCCCGTATTTCAGCCTGCACCCTATTGCGTTGAAGGATAGTTTGTAACTGAGCTAAGGCCTCTCCAACATTGCCGTTTCGGACCTCGACGCTCCGGCCTAAGTGAGCTGATGTGAGAACAACGAGTATAGAAAGAGTAATCGAACGTACCCGCATATGCATCTTGAGGCAATGATAGCTTAGCCAAGTCGGTCTCGCTGTTCTGCTGCCAACGTACTTCGGGCGCCTGTGACTTGGTGGGTGCTGATGGCGCGTTTTGTCCTCTAAGTTTGACCTCAGAGAGAGCGCGCCATTGGCTATCAAGTTCTGGTCCCGGTGCATCGATGAAGGAACGCCTGATGGTATGCGCAGTCCAGCGAGAGCAGGCCGTTGGACGAGAGGCATTCAATGAGGAATTTTGCGAGCCCAAGGCGCCCTGGCGAAGTAATCGTGGGGTAACGCGCCTGGTAAATGAAGCCAGCATGATCGAGCTGGTATCGAAACGAGATGGAGGGGTGAGGCAGCCTGCCGCGACGTGGTCCAGCAAGTGAAAGGATGCAGTGGGAAGCTGCTCGACGCGACCTGTTCAGACTTCATTGGGCGCGCTTGCTCTCTAAGACCCCTTGTACTGGCTATTACATTGTTCACTGGCCATGTCTTCCGACGTCCTACTAGAAGAATTCGAGGTATTCTTTTCGCTGGATACGCGCGCACACTATTCACTCTACATTGACGCAGGTTCTTGAATCGATCTACCCCGACGAGTTCACGAGTCCGTGCTATCGCTCTGCTCTGCCCTTTCTCAAGACTGAGATTCATGCTAAGGGTTATCCGAAAGAGTAATCAAGGTCGATGTAGAACCAGAAGACATCGATGACAACGACTCATGTGCGCCGTTCGCCTTGTTTTTTCTCAGATCGAAATAGACTCGTCTTTCATCAGTGAAGCTGTCGTTGACGGTCGAATACACCGATGGCTACCCAGATATGCTGCCTCTTCTCTCATTGGAGCCTCTCGATGGCGAACTCGATGAGGCTGAAACTGCCGCTTTGATAGAGAGTATGCGGGCGGTGGTACGTCCTGCTCATCTGTTTGCTTGTCGTTCTAGCGAGATGTGTATCCTTGCTGCAGGGAGAAGAAAACGCGGGGATGGCCATGACATTCACCATCGTCTCACATTTGCGAGAGCAATTATCCAATCTCATCCGTGAGAGGCATGAACGCCGCAGAAAAGAAGACATGGAAAAGGAGCGAAAAGTCCTAGAAGTAAGCTAGGCCTTTTCCCGTTCCCGCCACTGCGAATGCAGATTGATATCCCTTACAGGAGGAAGAAGCTCGCACGAGAGGGACACCTATCACTGTCTCATCATTCTCAGCGTGGAAGTTCAAGTTCGACCAAGAGCTGGCATTGAAGAAAGCTCGCGAGGACGATGAAAAGATGAAGGGTCTATCCCTTAAGGAAAGAGAAGAGTATAAAAAGCTTGCCACCCGACTGTCAGGTCAGTCGGATTTGTGTACACCACTGTTTTTATGAAATTGAATGGGCGCTCTTCAGGTCGTCAATTGTTCGAGCGTGATAAGGATCTGGCCATATCTGATAGCACACTGGAGGAAGAAGGCCTGGTATCTGTCGATATCAGCCAGTACGAGAGGACAAGAGAGCTCGAGGACGAGGACGAGGACGAGGACGATCGTGTACACTTTAGCGACAGTGACTGAACTCATAGTTTGTACAGCCTATTAATTTGCCACACTCAAACCAATATTGATAAAGCCATCCGCAGGTGAGGAAGCACAAGACAGCGACCGGGCACGATCAATTTTTCCCCGGGGACTCAATTAATGTGCAGTTAAATCTGAGCATTGTATTATGTATGCTTGACCTTGTATCAGCCGTCTCTCGATATCTACCCTGAATGGCATTGTCCAGGAGATGCTTACTTACAGATGCGCTGCAACTTTATGTATACTACCCCATACCACCTACGTCTATATCAAAGCCCTTGAATGAGGCCTCCTTGCCCCTCCGCTCCTTCCACTTTCCCGCCACCCTCGATCAGTCGACAACCAAGATGCTCTCGTCCCTCTTCAACCAACCAACCATCTATCTCTTTCAATGTACGCCCCTTCCCACGGTCCACAATGAGATCCTCAGCACATGCCCTAAGCCACTCCAAAACCGGTTTTCTGATCCACCTTTTGACCTCCATCGATGCATATCCGACTGATTCAAACCAACCAAGATGCCCACCACCCGGTGTGACCACCATCGCAATCCAGCCGTTATCGCCGGCATCAAGAGGTAAAGCCTGGACAATCGGATCGTCGCCTGAGTTGACGGCTAGGAAAGGAACCCGGAGTCCTTTCAAGGCCTTGTGACATGAACCCCATCTGTAGTATGCGTAGGCGTCTGGGAATGGGAAAGGCCCATACGCCCCTCCTGCGACACAGGTGACGAGCGAATCGAACTCCAGGAGCGTCACAGACTTCCTAGACATCAAATCAGGAATGGCTCGCGCGAGTGGCGAATCTGGGAACTTGGATATCGTGTGAAGGTGCTTTCCGACCAGCTGCCGAAGGTTGTGACCCATGCCTTTCGAATAGACGTGCTTTTGTACCAGACCGCCCTCGAGACTGGGACGCAGTGAGGCTCGTGGACTATGATGCAATGTTATTTGTATTGACTTACATGTCGGCGTTCGCGGATAAATCCCATGGCTTATTTGTGAGGTCAGCCAATGTATGGGTCAGTATATTGTCTCAGGCAACTCACACAACCCAAAGCACAACCAGATATCAGTCGACTATGATCGCCTTCTTGAGCGAGGAATTTCGTCAGGACACTTGCGCCCAGTGAGAACCCAAGACCGAGCAAGGGGGCGTTCGGATAGATGTGTGAAAGGTATATCAAAGCCTGGCGAAGGTCATCCGTGTGGCCAGCAGAATACAGATAGGGGGTCGTCAATGGTACTCCGGCACCTAAGCATTGAGAAGTCAGGCCGTCAATCAGAAATCAACTAGAAGATACAGAGCTGCATACATCCCCGGAAGTTAACCACTACACCACGATAGCCCAATCCACCCTCTGATTTAGGAGAAATAGCAGGATTCAAGACAGCACGGACATATGATTCGTAGGAACCTGAAAGTTCACTACGTCAATAGGTTTGGAGTGAAAAAGTTTCCCTGTCGTACCTCCGCTTAGCCCGTGCAAAACAACCACAACCGGTGTATCGGCATCTAATATGCGTTCGCTAGCAGGGGGAGTGAAGTCCAAACCTCTTCAAAGATATCAGCCGTGGTAAGTATGGACCGCCGTAATACTTAGACATACATCGTTCCACCATCTTTCAGTCGCAACAGCTTCCTGCGAGCACGTGAATGATATGAAGGCTTAAAAGGCACACACACGCACCTATCATATACAACCTTATCGACCTGTGAGAAATCGCCTACAGCAGCATATCCTGTTTGTAGATGACCACTTCACAAGATTCGGTACCCAGGAGTGAATTTCAAAGTGGAGTTACACTCACTTGAATAACCACCACGCAGGATGATATTCTGCTAATAGACTCGGGCACCGCGACTCTACAAAGGACCGCAGAGACGTCGTCTCGACTTCATCAGTGTCCCCGGACTTCTTGGCCTTAAAATACTCAGGGCTGTGGGCCCAGTATTCCTTGGGGGTATATGAACCAAAAGGTTGAAAGCTCAGAGTAGAGCCCATACTAGAGACAAGAAGGAGAACACAGAAGTTGGAAAGGAGAAGGCAGAATGCAAGCTAGCGTGCGGGGTATATAACGATGCGGACCTCCTCAAGATCGAGACCGTCAGTACGTTGAGGGTCTAGCACCTAAGAGACAAACACATTGGACGAAGCCGAGCATCGTTTTAGAGGGGGTCAAGTCCGATACGTTTGGGTGCTTACACCGGGCCTGCTGATAGCGACGGATAGCCGGTGTCTAGCGCTCGGTCATGATGCAGTCACGACGATGACGTTGTTCAACTCTCAATAAATCACCCCCTCGTCCTTGTTTTTCTATATCAACAGCAGCAGCGCGGTAGAGGTGTGCCGTGTGCCCTCCTCTTCAAGGTGACATATTACATGTTCGTCTCCTCACATATCGCGCTAAGAGTCACCAGTGGGCTATACAGAGCACACTGCACAGCATTTCCTGTCTTCGATAATGTGCGGTGGACATCATACATCAAACTTCAAGCCCCACTTCAACCGCGTCAAACTGAACGGATCAGCTGCCATGCCTTCCATCGACTTCTCAGCATGATACCACCATTCGGAGCTGTCGGTGGATCCTACCATCTGAGTAAAGCCGGCATAGCTATTGCGACAGTGGCATTTGAGAATCATTATCATTCTTAATCTTCCTCGCTACCATTCACACCAAACAGCTTCGAGCGAGAAGGCACGAACAGTTCCAGCGGCGACACCTATGCTTCAGGCAATGAAGACAAATGCGGTAACTCGCTTTCCTCATGCGGCTTTACAAGTCTGCTCCTCTTTGAAGCTTGGAAATCTAAACCTGTATTGGGGGATACTTAAGGACCTGATCTCGTTTGTATGGCTCTTACCTCAGGCCCCCACTACCTATCGACCAGAGGGAGAGATTTACGTCAAGATTCCTTTCGTTCATGTCTCCATTTAAGGTTGTTCGTTGCCGTGTAAGTCCATCTCTTTCGAGATTTCGGCAAATAAAGGCGAGAGCGACGCTGACCTGTATATATGCAGTACTTCGACGACCGAGGGAGGCCTGTCAAGCCTTATTGTAGTCAGGGCGATCGCTGCAGGCTTGTTTTCGCATCATTCCACCACATCACCTTCTAATCAGCCGTTACAGCTTCATACATCCTAATGACTCTACTTGGGATACCGCTCCTCCGAGCAGAAAGCCCGCAAGCTCTGCTGATTCCTATCGCCAACGACCAAGCGGTGCCCAGGCCACCCCACAGCCCAGCAATCGACGTCGACAATCACCACTCGCGCCCCAGTCAGACTTGTTCAAGAAGAATACTGGCGATGTAGATGTACGACGTTCAAGGGACGACCGTGAACACCATGGTAGGGAATGGGATGCCAAGACTCCTCGCTCTGGGTTGTCCAACCACGACTATATGAAATCAGACGACCGATCAGGATCTCTCTGGTCTGAAGAAAGGAAGAAATCATCGTGCGTACGTAGAGCACCGTTTTTTCACTTCGCCTGATTACGCCTGATTATGAGTCAACAGATGGCACCCGCAAGAGACAACGGCTCTATTCCATACTTCAGGTCAGACGGTCGTGGTCACAATTACAACCAAAAAGGTTTTAACTTAACATATCCATCGGAACGCCCAATAACTGATCGTGAAGATACTTTCGAAGATCCACCTCCAAGTGGATTGCCGTCTGATGTGCCCACAGAGCAAGGTCGCTTAGCTCCCAGAAATGATACGCAGCACGTATTAGGTGGTAGAACATTTGCTGATAAAATCATTGAATCATTCCGGGAAGTCGCCAAGTATGCACAGCTCGGCATGCCCATTGTGCGGGTGACTGATCAACCTCTTTCTCTGCAGAATAACTAATAGGGCTGTGCAAGATAGCGCCGCATGTGCTAGAGAGGAGGAGAAACTACGAACATACTCGGACCTTTCTTCGGCGCTGGCGAAAGTTTCTCCCCTTGCTACTGGTTCCATCGCTCCGACATTGGCAGCTGTAACTATCAATCACGCGAAGTATAGGGAGAGGGCTCAGTCCGAATTCAAGAGGCTGGGTCATGTTTGGGAGGACATCTTGGAACTTTTGGTCAAAGGAGTCTTTCATGTTGTGGACTCAGAGCTGGAGAGTACGATTCTAGCCTTCAAGGTCAAGGCTCAGGCTTCAACTTCTCATACCGATGCATGCACAGATCGTGCTGGAGTCGATACCTCGTCTTACTCGCGACTAGGCCGATCCATCCTGAAGCGAAAGGCCGACGAGTCTCGTCCCTTATCTACAAAGCCTGCATTCGTCCGCTCGGAAAGCCCCGAGTTTAGTCATGCATACAAGCGGCGTCGTCTAAGTGATGTCCAAAGAGGTGAGACCTGCGATGGACTACGTCAACCTGTCTCAGAGTTACCTTTCTCTGTGATGGACCTGGATCTCCTCGGCATGGTGGAAGAAATGAAATCTAGAATTGACAGTCAAGCGGACGCCTTGAAGAGACTTACAGAAGAAAACGCTCGGGTGCGTCGGGCATGAAGTACAAGTGTTTGTTCTGACGTTTACTGACCTCCATGTGGATACTGACAGTTAAGATTGACGTTGGACAATCAGTCAGTCAATTTGTCTTCAGAGGCTGGTAGCTCTTTGGAATCCGGAATTTTGTATCTGTCGTCTCAGGCTTCCGCAGAGATTTACTGAGTCTCGGACTTGCGAAAGGTTGCGACGGCGAGCGCCGGGCTGGTGCTCCGTAATTTGCCTTGTAGTTTTGTTCGGCTCCTTCGCCCTGGATAATGTGGAGCGCTATTGTATTTGTTGAATAATGATCGATTATCATGCAGCTTGCGGAAAAGTGTCCAATTGACGATTTGAGAAGACTTAAGCAAAGGCATAGATAGCGTAGACTCAGTTGAAGATCACGTGGCCAAACGCGTTGAAGTGCCACCGTCGATCTTTGAATTCAAGCCTCGAGGCACCAACGCGCACCCATAACTCGCCCATGAATCTTCACGATGTCGACGATATACCCAGTGATAATGGAACAGCTGACTCTCCGACGTCTTCAGGTAGCAGCTCTGACGACGCCGTGAACAATCCTGCAGCGCGTGTTTATTTTGGGCGCTTACAATCTCCAGAGAAGAAACTTGCAGTCAAAGCGAATCGCCGCCGCAAACTTCGTACATCGTTTGTACAATCTCCGTTACGCCGTTCTTCTAGATTGTCCACCACCTCAGTAGAGAACCGCATTGCGTCGCCTCTGAAAGAGAGCTCGGATGAGGTGGAAGATGATAGCGGGGAAGGATTCAATATCAGGCAGGGGACTCCCGAGCGAGAGATCGATGTACATGAAGGTGATATTCAATCCCGCCCCGCCGACGAGTCTTGTTTCATTTTGGTGATCTTTCTTAGAGCGCGAGCCGCCGTCTGTACTAGTCCAGAAGATTTCGCGTGCACACGACAACCCTTCCCCTCCGCCGCGTATGCCTTTTTTTGACGACGAACAGCCTCGCTCTCCCCCGCCTCGCCTTATTGATATCTCCGGTACGTTCGAAGAGCCCTTGGTCGCGAATCATAATCAATCGATACTTCCTGAGCCACCATTCTCTCCATTTTCTTCTCTGAACCCCACGGCAGGTTCGAAGACCCCGCTCCCTATCCCACAGAATACCACCAACCTATTGGATATATCTATGCCTGATCTCATATCTTTCGAACCTCTGCTTCCCTCTACCCCTCCTCGACCAAGCTCATCCTCGACGAACGATACTGAGGATCGAGACGCACTGCTGGTCGTTGACCTTCTGACTCCGGAGGGACCAACGAGCTCAATTTACGAGCATCCACAGCTCGACCTCTTGGATCCTTCTCCAGCAAGGAGAAGCACTCGCCTTAGTACCCTCAACCGGAATTCTCGCACTCCTTCTCCTGCACTTTCGAACTCGAGTGTGCAGCCAGGAAGTCGACTATCAGAGCCCGAGGAAGGAGGTGACGAGATTGCCATGCTTTCAAACTCGATGCCTTTAGATTATGTAGAACAATTGGGGAGCAAACCCGCAGGAAATAGCCCTGAAGCAACACCGGTCCCACTTGTGACTATCTCGTCGCCCTCCTCTCACCTCTGCTCTTCCATGCCTGCTTCACCCAGTTCTGCTGGGCCTTCTACGCGACCACGGCGGTCTCCAAGATTGTCTTTTGATAGTGCTGCGACCACTACGCCTTTGCCTTCTCCGCCAACAGATCCGAAACATTCTCCGTCTAACATCGATACTCATCACGGTCCTCCGAGCCCAAACAAGGCACAGGATGTCAAAGGCAAGAGGACAACCACTTCGAAACGTAGAGAGCTCGGCTCCCTTTCTCCCACGTCTGCAGACGTCCTTTCCAATATTTTGGCAACGGGTTTCGAACCGAGACCTGAATCTGATAGATACCCCCCTTCTCCGGCACCGCCCATCTTCACCGATAATATTGTCACACCGTCCACTCCCCAACGACGTCCATCTTCTGATTCTGCGAATCGAGAATCTCGCTTCATGATAAGTGATGTGCAACGACCACCTTCTGGGACACCATTCCGCAGTCCGAGTAAAAGACTTCCTTCGTATCCGGTCAAGTCATCAGGTACATTGAATGACCCTGATCGGTCCCCTCGGAGAATACCTATAGCTCAAGCAATAGCTGAGGGATCACTGACAATGGACAAACTCCCTCGTCATCCTTCTTTCAGCGGCCTTGGTGCAGTTTCTCAATCTGGCATAGGATTGTTTGGCCGCCCTGTGTTTACACGTCCCGATCCAAACGATCCACTTCGTAGCCCTAGGCGTGTCCCCGTTTCTGATAAAGCAGCTGCTCCTTTCCCAATACGTTCGGGCTCTACTTCTCCCAATAGGACGTCACGTGCGGGCTCAGCCGAACCTCAGCCATTGAGGAAGGGTCTGACGACGTTCAAATCGTCATCGAAAGCTTCGTCTGACTCAGAGCTGCCGAGCACCGCAAAACCGAGGAGTGCACTTCCATTCCCTATCCGAGGGGCTACACAGAGGCCGGGCTTAAAGTTCATTGGCGCAATACCGGAAGAAGCGGAGGGCCAGATACCACTACCCCATGTTCCAGCTGCGAACGCAAGGCCAGCAACAGGCGAGGCTGCTAGTCCATCCAAGTCAAGTCTGCGGCAGCCGTCTAACAATAGTCGAATACCCCGTATCGGTGCCAAACCCTATGCAAGACCGATGGAGAGCAAGCTGGTGCTCGCCGCTCGGAAAGCATCCGCTAACGCAGCTCCTGTGAGTAGTCTTACCATTCTGTGGATAGGAGAAGCTGACGGTCAGAAGTCGAAGCCGCTTCGTATCGTGCGGACTGTGACTAGTAGCAGCAGTGGCAATAGCTTCGAAGGTCCTCGACCCGGAGAGGGACAATCGCTGAAGATGTCGACTTTTTCACAGCCTCAAATGCGAGGAACGAGCATTGCGACAGCACCATCTATCTTGAAGCGAAAGCGTTCACCAGATCCACAGATTTCCTCGCCGCCTGTTGTTCGTCCGGGTATGATTCGCCAAGTTATTCCTGGCGTGAATGGCCCCAAGTATGCATCATCTTCGAAGGTAACCTCGGTCCCAACTCCCACAGCCTTTGCTATACCTCAACCACCACCACCACAACCGCGACCACAGCCGGAGCCAAATCCAAGTAAAAAAACACGAGCGACACACATGAGGAAAGTAGAAGGTCTACCTCGAAAGACAGCGACCACGACCAACCAAGAACTGAAGCCTGTTGATGCAATCAGGCCCCCACCGAAGCAATTGAGGTTTGCTGAGCCGGCGTCGGATCCTCCATCTGATATTACTGGTTTGCCTCCGGTTGTCGAAGATACCTCTGCAATTTCTAGACCTTTGGATGAGGCTACCGGGCGATCTGAGTCTAATTCCAGAACTTCAGAGCCAGAGCAATCGCCAGACCCTCTTGCACTGCCCATCGATGCTTCAGAAGAAGAATCCAGCACTCGTCGTTTGACTCGATCTAGGAAGGCGATGCCTGCATCAGATGTATTTGGCGCTGTTCGTTCGCTTCATCCGCGTCGAAGACCACGGCAAGCTCAGTTTGACGCAGGTAGATTCCCCGCAATCAGCGCGACGGCACTGAAGAATCTCACTACTTCCAATACGGCGAAGAACCAGCAGTCCATAGCGCGCCTGGAGAAAGAAATCGTGAGGAAGGATGGGAACAGGCCGGAAAGCCCTTCCACCAAAATCCGAACACACATCGAACGACAGAAGGAGGAGAAAGCCAGGGAGAGACAGGAGCGCGCGAAGCGGAGGGCGAGGCGGAGCGGTGATGGACAGAGCGATGGAGAGGGTCTTGAAGACCTAGGGGATCTCAGTTTCAGCTTAGAAGACTCACTTGTCCTTGGACCCGACAGAAAACCCCTCAAACATCGAATGGGTGCGGGCGATGAAGTGGATTACGTGACACCGGATAAAGGTAGGAATGGTAAAGGAGCGGAAGGTCATGAAGCGAAGAGAGTGAAATGGGACCGAGGCCTGTTTGACACCGTCTATCTGGACGATATCAAACCGGGAACCCAGGGGACTTCGCTCAAGGCGGCAGTAGTCACTCAGAAGGGGGCACTGTCTGCAACTGCGAAGGTGCGTTGTTTCCTATGTTCTCTGCCTCATCAAGGGATTGAAACCCTCTGGCCGTGCCTAGTCCCTCCAGTTGGATAGCTACGGAAACTTGCTTGCCGATTCACCGCTCAAGGATCTCGTCCCCGAGAACATCACTGTCAAGAAATTTGTTTATGATGACGATGTAGAGGCTCATGAGATACCGAAACCAAAGACCAGGAGCAAGAAATCCAAGAGTTAGTTGTTCCATATTTCCATTTCGATAATTATATTGGCATCACTCTATTTTCTATTTTCGCAATTTCTTCGATATTGTACGCTTTCGATGATCTTGTAATACATTAACAGTGCTACAACCTCTTTTCATATACGATATGCATCGGCACCCCTCGAGCCTTATTTTCCACCACGATAAGCTAGCGTAGGGCTAGCTTGGTTTGTTGGTAGCACGAAGAGCTCGGCGATGTTCACATGTGGTGGTCGTGCTGCTGCCCAGACAATTTCCTCTGCGATGTCTTCAGCGGACACTATGCGATGATGTAAGAGGTGTTCTGATAAAAGAGAACAGAGACTCACGGGGCTGGAGCCCTTGGTAGACTTTGTCTGCAGCCGACTTGTCTCCACGGAAGCGGACAACGGAGAACTCAGTTTCCACCATTCCTAGATCGCTCGTTTGAAACCCGGATACGGTTCAAGAAATCAGAAGAGCCTTACCCGGTTGAATCTCGGTTACCCGAATGGGGGTGTCGACGACTTCACGCAGCAGAGCACCAGAGAATGCATTGACAGCGTGCTTCGTGGCGCAATAGATGGCACCACCAGCATATGGCTCTCGTCCTGCTATGGAGCCAAGATTGATGACGTGGCCTGAATTCCGGGCCTTGAAGCCTTACAAGAAACGTGAGGTCACTCCACATGCGATGCCCAAAGAGCGAACCTTTGATCAAGAGCTGCGTGATCGAGATGAGTCCGAGAACGTTGGTCGCAAACATGCTCTCCGCATCAGAATCCAGGATACTCCCAACGCGATCAACACCATGAACAAACCCAGCATTGTTCACTTCACGAAGGTGAGCGATAGCTCTGCAAACAGAGCAGTATTTACATACCAAGAATGTCGACGTTGTGCAGATCTCGGGGTACTTTCTCCCACAGACCAGCAACCTGAGTCTTGTCAGACACGTCCAGCTGCACAGTCACGATTTTCCCGCCTTGCTGAAGACCAGACTCCTTGTGCGCGGCTGCAGCTGCGGCCGCGACATTCTTCAGTGCATCAACACGGCGGGCGAGTAGAATTAGGTTGGATCCGCCCTATACAGACCACCCTTAGCGTGATCCATGTCGTACAAAGGAAGTGAGACTCACCCTTGCAAAGAGAATCGCAGTCGCCTGTGAAAATCGCCAATCTCTCAGATCTCTCACCTCTCACACCATGTAGTAGAGAGAACTTACGGCACCTATTCCAGCGCTAGCACCCGTGATCAGGACAGTCTTCCCGACCAAGCGCGACGAGTTGAAGACAGACATGGAGCGAGATGAGTGATGCCGACGGGGGATAGGTGATGGGAGTTCTGATAGAGGCGAACGTAGAGAAGTAGAGCACGAGCGGATGGGTCTCCGTTTATCTGATCGGTGCAGTGTCTCGGCCGATATGCTTTGCCACTGGCGGGATTGGGCGGATACCCGCAACAACCTGAGAAGGCACTGGGACATCATACATCACACGCTCGTAATCCACCCGCCCGAAGGCGTGTTTTGCAGAACATGGGCAGCATGGTGCAGGTCGGGTAGGTCGGGCGGTTGCGGATGGTACACTCCGCGACGTTCTACTCATGCACATTGCACTCCAACCTACTGGCGCTCCTCCTTCGACGTTTGAACGATTCTAGCCTAGGGCCTAGGCAGCAGCATCGCGAAGTGATCATGGATAATCTCAACTCAGATATCTTTGCTCGGCGCTGGGACGCTCTTCTGGCATGGCTTCAGGATCATGGAATGCATGTGGGCAATGCATTGCTTGTACGGCCCAAGAAAAGACCTGGTTGAGCCCTACCTGTTCTGTTTTTCAAGACCTCCATGGCCCTGACCTCCAAAACCCTCACGTCTAGGTTCAGGAAATGGTCTTTTCACGGTCGGCAATGTTCCTGTGCGTCCAGGACTTTTTCGGCGCCTGTGTGACTGCGTTTATCCTTCTCCGTAGCACTCCACTCCCCTTTTCACCCTTCCTGCGACGGCGAAGATAAACATAAAGACACTCTCGTCACATTATCCTGTCAAGACACATCATGACCTCCCACTATCTGCGACGCAGCTTATCTCACTCCACCTTTTTCTCCACCGCCCCTCGCCTGGCAGCGAATCCTCTGACCCTCTTTTCGGACCCTACATCTCAATTTTGCCCAAAGAATTCGATAGCCATCCCTTGACCTGGGTCGTTCGTCAAAATCTTGGGAGGTGCTTCCTCAGTTCATCAGAGAGAACCCTTCTAGGTTTCTTGCCTCCCAGTGTAGTTTCAAGTTTGAAGAATCTTGAAATGAAATTTTACCACGATCAGAGGAGGGTCTTTCAGTACATTGTGAGTTTGGCAGAGTTTGCTGTACATACGCTTCAAACCTACACTTGTCGCTCACACTCGTCTTCTTTGAGCAAGAGTTCCAAGAAATTAAGCAACGATCTAGTATACCTCTTCAAAATAACGATGCAGCCGAAGCCTCCGTGGCGAGACAGTACCTCTGGGCATGGCTCAACGGTTGCGCACCCTCACTTGTCCAACTCAGAACTCTACTTGACGAGTAATCGAACTGACAGTGAATACTCGATGCCTTTACGACCGCATCGTCACGTCCAAACACGATCCCGACAACATCAGCCTCTGTCCTGTCTTCGACTTCGCCAATCATACATGGAGGTCGTCGACAATGCAGCCTCTTCCTTCAGATGCAGAGATCTGGAATAGTATCGCGCAGGGCAATGGTTCCGATCTCACCTGTGTGACGTGCGCCGTAGACGTCGCGGGAGACCAAGAGCTATTCTTAACGTACGGCGCACATCCTAACCGGACGCTTTTCGTAGAATATGGGTTCGTCAATGAGGTTGAAGATGCCGATCTTGTCTCCGGGAATTATGCAGGGGAAGTGAATCTGGACGATATTGTGGAAGATCTGTTTTCAAGACGCGGAGCTGTAGGTGTGTGGATGAAAGATGTGTTGGAACAACGAGGATACTGGGGGTAGGTGCAGCCCCATTTCAATATAGAACGACCGACATCTAATGCGGTTCACCTGGGTACCGTGCAGTGATTGGACGATGCATTCTGCTCCTCAACCGGCACACCCTTCGTACCGACTCACCACGGCACTTCGTCTCTATGACACGATCTCTGAGGACACGGTCGAGGTGCCATCCGATCCTGACATAGCTCTCAAACCTTGGTATGATACAGTCTTAGGTCGAAGAGAGACCGTGTCGATCGAGAACGAGGAGGCGTGGAGATGCACGTTACTTTCGATCTGCAATACTGTGGAGAAGAGGGCAGAGGCATCGATGAAGAGCATCACAGACACACCTAGCCCAAGAGACCCGACGGAGTGGTATGAATGGATGTTAGAGAACGTTCGGGTGCTGTGGTGGGAAGAGAAGTCGGTTGCGATCGCGGTGGCAGTCAGTGTACGGGATGGGATAGAATTTTAGAGGTAGATCGAATTTACATAAAGGTTCGAGACAAGAAGTGTAAGGTATCTTCAATCTTCCACCAACGATTCAAGAGGACGGCAGTGATGCGAGTCTGGTGGAAACTGACCTTAAGACCTTAGCCAAATAGACGACGGTGTTAGGTCCGAGGTGAGTGCCCTGGTATTGAGCTTGATCGACGGCACGGGCTGGAATGGCGGTGATCGCGGAAGCAGTGATCACCAGAGGGCTTTCTATACGATATCCTGTGATATTTTGAAGTTCCATGCCTGCCCACGCCCTGTGAACAGAGAATAGTGTAGGTTAGAGATCATAACGATAGGGACAGAGACAGTTCCAGCCAGTTCCAGCCAGTGTTGGTGGCGTCGATGGCCGTGAAGCAAAAATAAATCAAAGTAAAAGACGTCAGAAGCAGAGAAGGGAAAACACAACGATCATACATGTTGTATTCGCGAGTTGACAGATGAAATTGTAGAAAAGCCCGATAAAATACTGATAAAATGTTCTTATCTGTTATTTACGACAATGGAAGGATGGGAAAAAAAGCGTTCCCCAGTCGGCCAAATTCACGTCGAACGAAGGGCTGAGGCGGGTGGCATGACACATAGTGGGGGACCTCGGCGACGCATAGGATGACAATGCACATGGGAAGGGCCAAACGAGATGCATTGAGGCTCGAAGAGGCAGAGACAGAGACAGGAATATCTTGTCAGTGCAGTGCGAACCTGTGCGAATACACAGGAAATGGAGGACAGCAGTATTAGGACAGCTAGCGGTAGAGCCGAATAGAGCGCTTAGAGACGCGCGCCAAAGAAGCTGACCAATTGTGTCTTGTGGACCGCCGCCGTCCTTTTCCTCCGGGTCCGTTTCACCTCAGAGACTTCATCTCTCTTCCTCTCCTTTGCCCCTCGCGGCAACGCGCCCTCCTCACCCTCCTCTCTGCCCACGTTCCAAACGACTCAAGCAATGGCCGTTGACCCGTTCCTGGGCACTAAGGCCCAAAAATCGTTCATTGCTACCAGTCCGTACACCTGCTTCAGTCTTACATGTGCTGTTGGTCTGATTCTCATCTTTCTGCCGCCCGCAGTCGTTGTTCGTGAGCACGCCGTTTGATTCCTGTTTCTGACACCCGATCTTGAACCCGCACACAGAGGCGATTGTTGTGCTAGTCATGATCTCGATCACGTTCCGTTTGGTGCGTTGGAAACTTCATCACGATCCCCGAGACGCGCTCATACCTTCTTGTTCCACCAGGTCGCTGAGCATGTGGATTTCTCATCGACGTCTTACTACAAGGTGCTAGTCCCCGGACTTTTAGTGAGATCATCCGGGGCTTACGCTCTTCCAGACCCTACCATGCTATATGGCCCTGTTCCTGCTGGCCGAGTTCGTATCCGCATGTCTAGTTTCGCATACACGCTTCATTGACCCTATCTCGAACCAGGCTTTTTGAGCTAGCCATGGCATTCGATGCGCTCCGACTGCGGAACGTCATTCAACTCGTTGGCATATTGGGTACGTTTCATGCGAGTGCATCCCTCAGTCTCTCATCATGCACCATGCAGTTTTCCATGCCGCTCTCATCGTGTTCGCGGCCCTCCAAGTTCACGAGACACGTACAGCATTGGTTAGACTCCAAGACTGTGATGGATCGGTCGATTTCGTCGTAAGTCCACAATTGGTAGGCACATCGTATAGCGCGTCTCATGTGTCTCCAGAAATGTGGGGGTCCCCATACTCTCTTCAGGAAAGTGGAACCGTTCCTGGTGGTCGTGCCCTGCATCATCGCCTTGGCGTGGCTGGTACTATTATGGTTCGTCAAGGCGCTGTACGCCGAATTTGGGTATGCACGTTTTTCCCTTGAAGTAGCTGCATTTCTTACCCTGTTTCAGATGGGCCATCTTTCGTGTCGTCGGAGCCAACCCAGCAACGAAGAGTAAGCACACTGACATTGTTGACTTCTTTAATGCAACCAAGCGAACATGACTTGCAGCGATGTACCAGTTCTATCAGATCATGATCTGTCTGTTGAAGTTTGACTTCTTCTGCTTCACGGGCGTCACGATCCAGGTTTGTACTGCCCGTTCTCCCTTTCGGAGCTTCACCGTTGATCTGATGACTTCCTGTGCTTGGCATAGCTTCTCATCATAGTCCTCAGCAGCAGCTCTGCGGAGTTTGGTCTTACAGTTACTGCTATACCTGTTGTTCTCGTTCTCCTATTTGGCTGTGGCGTTGCTGTCCAGAGAGAGATCAGATGGTACGTGTACATATCATCTCTGCAGTGTCGCATGGGGTGACATGGCTGTACAGGATGATGATTTCGTCATTGGTATTGATGCTGGCTGCGGAGACGTATTGTAAGCATCTCCCTTATTTAAAGCACGGATTGTCGGGCTTATGATCGGGTCTCGCATAGTTGGTAACAATTTTTCATTCGAGGCGCCGATGCGGTATTGACGATGCATGCTAGTGTACAAGCTAGTCCGATTCTTCGAGCCTTCTTCAGAAGCGCAGTATGAGACGACACGCGCAACACTCACTACCTTCAGTGCGTTCGCTTTTATCCCAGACGAGAATGTACAATCCGCTCAACTTGATCCTTCCGTAGCTATCGTCGCGTTCCTGCTCCTCCTTGCCACATTCGGCATAGGCCTTCGGTGTCTGAACGATTTTGGAAAGGGTCTTGTAAGCTCGAAGACTTATGGTCAGTCGTATCCGATATGTTTGTGGTCCTCCTTGCAGAAGTCTTGCTGTGTTTCTGACCGCTTTAATTGTTGGTTACCACTGCAGATGCACCCCTCTTCAGGCGCAAGCGCGGCTCAAATGCCAACTCAGAGCCGAAAGAGGACGGCGGCGAGCTTGAGCCGCGCCTATCTATCGAATGATGTGACTAGACTGTTTTGTGTTTCAGTTGCTGTGCATTCTCTGTTGTGGGCAGTGTCGACGTTTTCAGTGTAGTACATGCTTCTCAGTATTCGTGGTTTAGGGTGACGTTAATGACCGTATTATTTATTTGCTGGTAGGATTGGACATTTGTTTACTGACCAGTCATAGTTTTGTATATGGTACTCGTCCGCCCGGCCTTCGCTACAGCCTTTTGTTTCAACGCGCAGGTGCGCATAGGCTTCATCATTCGCTAGTTCTTCGTTCCCGTGCAGCTACAATCAAACCTGTTATGCGATAGCCATACATCCGTGTATGTACACCAGCACGTGTCTTAACCAATAGGATTTTTCAATCTTACCACAAGACTTGCGAATTGTAGCTGTTCATGCATCCGAGTTTTTAATATATTAGAGACCCGCGTATCAAGCAAAGCCCCGGACGATATGCGCAGGCTATGATATGAGCGGGGTTGGAGGGCGAGCCGACGGTGATCCCAATCAGAATGATTCGGGGATATGCAAAGGCGATAGACGAATTGATTTCCACAACGATGCGACAAAATCGGTACACTCTACGGTTGTTAAGTATTAAGTACAAGATGAGGAGAGGGGAATGATCACAATGACTACCGATACAATCAGCGTTGGCCATCTATAGAGATCCGAATGAGCTACAATCTCGACTAAGATACACGGCCCAATTGAACACTCACAAGCTTTGGTCTCGTATTTGCCTTCATATCATCCAGAGAGTGAAGATCAGAGATGGGCGCAAAGAAGGAACCGGAGGGACAGCTTACCGATCCCAACGATCACATTGCCAGGGTCCTGCGGCTTTCCCTCGAAGAAGTTCTGCAAAATCGTCTTCGTGCCCTGGGCATACCTGGCCTGCGCGTCGAGAGTGGTGCCAGAATAATGGGGCGTCATGCCGTTGCCCCCGCCAAAGGGGTTCTTTACGGTACGCCATGGGTGGTCCTTGGGCGCAGGCTGTACATTCCACACATCTCCGGCATAGCCGTTGAGCTGGCCGCTCCTGATCGCCTCGGCTACGTCGTCAGCGTTGCAGATGGCTCCACGGGCGGTGTTAACGAGCCATGCGCCCTGAGATTTTTTAGGGGTACAGCGCGGGAGAGGATGATGGGGTGTGACACACCTTCTTGAAGTGTTGAAGAAGCTCCTTGTTGATAAGTCCAAGCGTCCCCTCATGGAGGGGGGCGTTGATGGTGACAATGTCGCATTGTGACACAAATTCCTAGCGACGAGGGTGATTATCGTCAATAGTCGATCATGAAATTGCATTACAAGACGCACCTTCATGTCCTGGACCCTGCGAGCGTTTACTGCCTTTTCCGCTTCTAGTATATCATAAGAGCGAATGCCAATTGGTTTGGAAAACATGGGCGTACCAGCAGGAAGAGGATTGTAGTCGAAGTAGATCAGTTCCTTGCAGTTGAAAGGGACCAGACGTTGGAGGACGCGGTAGCCGATACGGCCAGCACCAAGGGTACCCACAACTTTGCCCTCGAGGTCATACGCGTTACGAGCGATGTCCGACACTTGCCAGTCGCCGCGCTCGATCATTTCATGTGCAGGGACAAAGTTGCGGACAAGGAGAAGAATGGACATCAGGACCTGCTCGGCAACGGACACTACATTGGAGCCAGAAACCTGACAGACAAATTCTTCAATATTGGCCTGCAGACATGCTGCGAGTGTGACCTACCTCCAGGACTTGGATCTTGCGCTCGACAGCGGCATTCAGGTCTATGTGGTCGGAGCCTACACCGGCTGTGACACAGATCTTCAAGTTCTTGGCCTTTGCGATTTATGTGAGAATATGCTCAGTGACACTAAAGTATTGATTTACCTTTTCCATGAGCTCCCGAGTCAAATATCCGGGGTGGAAGGGAGTCGTAATCAACACGTCGGCCTAGGACAGCAGTGAGCTGAGGTGCGGGACGCTAAATGGAGCGAACAGACATACATCAACAATGTGTCTCTGGAAGTCGCTGTCAGGGCCTTCTTTCGAGCTGCTGACCTGTAGAGCGAAACGTCAAGAAAATGATGGCCGAGCGGAATAAAAGAGCTCACAATGTATTCGTGACCCAAACTTTCGAGGTATTCACGGATCCCAAGCTTGCTTCTGTGTCAGACATCACTCGTCCGTAACGGATTCATATTTACCTGGTTCTCGACAGTACCAAGGAGGCGCGGCTCCTCTTCAGCAGCCTTGTAACCGTTGTACAAGATAGCGAGGACCTAAGGGCAACGTCAGAAAAGCACAGCGACATGATATTGGAGGGTAAATAACCTTCATGATATTACTGTGAAATTGGAAGAGGGGTGTTTAAGTTCGAGGCGAGTTTGGGAGGGAACTGGGGATGATGGATCCAAGAGCAAAGTAGCAGCTCTTTTATACGAAGATACGGAGGGAATTGTCGGGGCAGTCGTGGCGGCTCGGAGGACGTGAGACAGTCCATCCGAGTGTGAATGCCTCCATGCTCCGAGGCGTAGATGTTTTCGGTGTGCTCACCACCCGATGTTGGACACAGGACCCGGGTCGGCGCAGAAGACGCGCCCATTCGCGCCCGAAACGCAGTTCACGTGCGGCTCTATGGTGATCACACGCTTGACTCCGTTTTCTCCCGGCCCCTCGACCGTCAGAGATTCCGGCAACGGCAAGTCCGTCTTTACCCGTACAAAGACGGCGGGGGGTACATGACCAAATGACATCCAATGTCTGTAGCGAGAGGTCCACTCGTATAGGTCACGTCAGAATTTGATGGCAAATGATTTTCGGCAAAAGCAAGGCTCAAACCCTCACTTCAGGAAAAACTCGGAAATCGCCAACTACGTTGGCAGAACCTTGCTTATCGGAGTGCATGCATTTCTAGCATGCATTTTAATATGTGATATCTGAGAACATATCAACCAAAGAAAAATAGTTGAGCAAAGAGATTGTAAAGGCTCTGAATTTATCACTTTCTGAAAATATACACCGGAACATCCGCTCCAGGCCCTCACCGAAACTTATACACAGAACGACTGTCTTCTGTGTAAAGGTCAGTCGCGGAGACTACACCAAAAGGTCCTTGAGGTGAACATGTTTCCCTAGAGGGACATTGCGGCGGACAGTCCAAAAAAAACACTCAGTACCATTGATATTGTATTCCGACATGAGTAGACACAAAAACGGACAGCTAGTCTAAAAATATGGTACACTACGGTACACCGTCACAAGACTATGATGATGATGGTAATGATAACGATAATGATAATAATAATAACAACAACAACCGTTCGACAGTCAAAGTACTCGTCTACGCCAATGGCCAACCAACAGATGATGGAGCGCCAAAGAATGAGAACGAGTCGCAGAATAACAAGGAACGTGGATATGGGGAGCAGTCGTAGACACAAACAATGCAAGACATCTCGCCAAGGTCTTGACATTAAGGTTGTCAGTGATAAGCACGAGAGGATGAGACCAAGGGAAAAGAGACGAACCTAGTTGTTATCATCATCGAAAGAGAGGTTGGCACTGGGGAACTGAGTCTCGATGACGTCCCAGAGCCAATGCATTGGCGTCCCAAACGTGATGTCGGAGGATCAGTTTGTCCTGAGCCACCGGTGAGGAGGGCAATAAACTTGCTGAAGGCATCGATGATGATGGACTCACTGTCCCCGCCCCTGGAAAACGGACCGGAGTCGTTGTCATAGGGGTAGACCACTGCTTCCACCGAATCGCGGCTGCCTAGGGTGAAGTAGCGGCGAACATGAGACTCAAATCCATTCAAACAACCAATTGTGGTGAGCGTGGTGTGGCCACGTTTTATAACATATTGCATAAGGTTGCCATTGTGGTCTTTGTTATTTGGCGTACGTATATCTTCGGCGGAGAGAATACCTCGGAGCTTGAGGAGACATTCGACTGGATAATCGAAATCAGACGGCGCATCGATGCGAGGGTACATCAAGCTAATAAACTTGGCAGGGTCGATCTCAGGGCCTGGAATATGAACAGCTTGTTTAGACGCCTTCAGCTAGACGGATTAGCACACGTCTAAGTCGAGCACGTTGCCCCTGAAGTTCTGCAAGTCTTGTCGAGCTTGACGACACAAACATCCACCGTGTAACTGTGAGGGGCAGTATGGACACTGACGGGAGGTGCCCAGACGACGTGTCCAATAACCCGATCCTTTGGCCTCGTCCACTGCTTCTTCACCTTCACAAAGAAATTCTTGAGCTCCTCAATTGCCGCTCGTGTCTTGATCAGCTCGCGTTGAGTCTCCTCCAGCTCCCTTGTCGCCTGCCCAGCGGTAGGGCCATCGCTCTTCTACCTCACCGTTAACGCCGTAACCCGCTTCTCCAAGACGTCAACTGTGCTGTTCATGATGCCGATATGGCCCTGGATAGATACGAGGAAGTTGTGGGGAGCTTTGCTGCCCATGAGGACGACCTCCTTCTTAGGCCCGGCTTTGTAGGTGTAGTCAGAATTGCGCTCATCTTCTCGGGGAAAAGAACGTACCGACGCACGAGTATGTATTATTGCCTTCGTTTTCAGGGAACAGGACGTGACGGGCCGTGACGGCGTACAGATCTTGATCCACTTTGAAGTAGAAACCCATTGTTTCCTGGTTATAGAGGGTCTTTAAGCCAGCAATAGGCAGGCTAAATGTAGTAGTCACGGGATCGATAACGGCCTTCGGGGATCGAGATCCGAGACGGATGTGAACAGTTCGGGACCACTGGAGCTCTTAGCCACCGACTCACGGTACGCAACATCGACGTCGGAAATGCCGTGCTCCTTGAGGAGATCGAGGATGTCGTTAGAAGATTTGAATGCGACCTCGCCGGTGAGAGTATCGGGCAAGACTCTCTCCCGGATCGTGATGGGAGTGGTAACCACTGTTCCGTACGGGGAGAGCTTGATGTCGGAGTCCTCGATGTCGGAGACATTCCCGTCGCCCCCGTCATCTTCATCGTCGTCATTTTTCTCGTCGTCCTCATTCTTGTTGTCCTCCTTAGCCCAGCTGAAACGAACAAGATCGACAGACGAATGCTGGATGTTTCGCTGGTTGAGAAGTTTAATAACCTTGGCACAAATGTCAGTCCGCATATTGTTGCGCTTCGAGAAGGTCACGAACCTCAGAACGAATAGTAGGCCACAGGTCGCCCTCGCTAAGTATGTGGTGCTCGTAGATTGGCCGAAGCTGCATGTGACGAAGTTCTTGCTATGGCCCCGAGGGCGCTGTGAAGACATCCTTGGACATCCAGAAGATCAACTTGGGACCCGGCGTCTGGGACCCCGGAGACTGAAATAGTAAAGGTAGGCCTCAAGCTTGGGGACTTCATGGGGAGAGGACTCGACAGAAGAAACACTGAAGGGTGAGGAGTCATTCTCCTAGAGACTGCTATGGTCAGAGGGGTAGTCTATATCGTTATCATCGGATAGGGGACATTGCTAATCCTGTTGGAGTACGCGGCGCACTCTTTGTCGAATGCTAGAGAGTGGATGTGAAGCTCCAAGGTATCAATCACTAGAAAAGTATACCAGCGGGTCAGTCTAGACGAAGACCAAACAAACACATAAGAACTCGCTTGTGAGGGGTTCAGATGTTCCGCTAAGAGAGCAGTCCCAGTGAGAACACCCTATATCGAGTCTCGACCCTAGCGGTGTTGTGGCGAGGTTCGGAACTGGTTCGGAACGAACTTAGATGGGGGACTACATTACATATGATTCCGTGATCGTCACATCAACGCGCTATGTCACACTACGCGTCTAACGCGTCGTCTCAAGGCCGCCATTATGGACGATCAACGAGACCCTACCGCTCTCTTCTTTGGCAACGATTCCGTAGACCTCTACGCGACTCTCACCCTCACTCAATCTGCGTCATTCGAAGAGATTAAGAGGGCGTACAGGAAACTTGCTCTCATATATCATCCCGACAAACATGCCACCAAAGGCGAATCTGCTAAGGCAGACGCGTCACTCAAGTTCCAACAGATAGGCTTTGCATATGCTGTGTTGAGCGATACAAAAAAGCGGAATCGGTATGACCTGACTGGCAAGACTGATGAGGGATTCGACGTGGGTCTGGGAGAGGACGGATGGGAGGCATACTTCGAGGAGCTGTTCGACAGAGTCACAAGGGAGAAACTTGATCAAATGAAGAAAGAGTATCAGGGTATGGATAGAATTTCTCAACGATATATGTAACCTGACTATACCTTCTCCACAGGTTCTACTGAGGAAACGGAGGACCTCAAGAAGGCATACCTTAACACAGATGGTTCCATTGACGAAATCATGAGCCATATTCCTCATTCAAGGCACGAGGATGAGACACGATTTATCATCTTGATATCGAGTCTTATCACAGAAGGGGTGCTACCCACCAAGTCCGCTTGGATATCGAGCACCAAAGACGAGAAAAGGAAAGTCATCCGGGAGAAGCAAGCTGATAAGGAGGCAGAAGAAGCAGAGGAAATGGCCCGTGAATTGGGAGTCTGGGACGAGTTTTATGGGAGCGGGAAACCTGGTACATGCAAAGGAAAGGCGAAGGGAAAGGGGAAAGAGAAGAAAGACGATGAAGATGGGGAGGATGAGGAGGACCATTCCGCGCTGCAGGCACTCATCTTGAAAAAGAAGAAAAATGCGGACAGCTTCATCGACAATCTCGCTGCCAAGTACGCGGAGCCTCAGCCGAGGGGCAAGGGCAAAGGTAAACGGAAAGCTGACTTAGAGGAAGTAGAAGATGGCGCAGAGTCTCCGAAGAAGAGGAGACGAGGCGTCGCTGTTCACCCTCCAGACATAGATGACAAGGAGTTTCAGAAGCTACGACAGAAGCTGTTCGGGGACAAAACGAAGTCCTTTGGAGAGGGCTCGACGAAGAGCAGAAAGGGCAGAGTACGAAAAGGAAAGTAGGGCCATAATTACCTATTTGACTCCGCTGTATTCTGTTTTCTCACCTTGTACTTTGAGTTTTGATCATGCTTGCAAGTTTTCATCTGAATTGCACTATATAATAGTAATGATGGACGTCCGAACATGAAAGAAAGCAAAGCAGTAGATGCAGACATGGGTATACGGGCTCTTTGTCCTACCGCCTTGTGGAACTTACACGTATCGTACAGAATCAATCCCAAGACTCCGTCGCGCATGGATGATAGCAACCAGCTCCTTGATGGACTCTTCCAAGATGACCACGTTATCCAACAACTGTGATAAAGTCACTGTCCTGGTCTTTTCCGACTGGGTCTGTTCTTCCGATTCTTCCACCTTCCCCTCACCCCACCCTGACATAAACACGTCCTCTTCTTCTGCATTGAACTTACGTGGCTTCGCAGGTGTCCACGGGCCAGCCGATGGTAAGGGCGCCTCGAATGGCTCGACAACGATGGATCCCGTCTGTTGGTAATGCGGCCCAAAAGGACTCGCAGCCACATTCTTGGAAGGCGTATTTGCATCCGCCAGAGAAGAAGTTTGTTTTGAATGAGTAGGTTTCGACTTTCTTGGCGTCAGGAACGAGACAAACGAGTTTGCCTTCTTTGGAGTGGGTTTCGGTTTTTGTGGTGTCTCAGGGAGCGCAGCGGGAGTAGTCGGACGAAGTTGGATAGTAGCACCGGCTTCATCTAAATCCAAGGCAAGGGTCAATGCGTCTGTCAAGTTCTCCGAGAACAGAAGACCTTGTCGACGTTCAAGGAGGTACTTGTCAAAGTTATCGACAAGCTGGCGATATCGTTCCAGTTGACCGACCAATCCCTGGAAGATGGTGTGCACGACTGGCCGCAAGGAGTCATCCAAGCTCGATGCGGGGAGGGTCCATGATTCGGATCCCAACTTCTCTTCGATTTGATAGTCAATCGAGCGATCGTCGCCGTCTTCTGGATCTGATATACCACTATCCCTGTATCCAAGAACCATTTGCTCCTCCTTGTAACCAAAAGTCAACCACCCCGCCAGGGAGCGATTGGCATCGAACGCCAGCGTAGCTAGCACACCGGTCAGTGCGATATTGAACTCCGGGGTGTTTGATAAGAACCTGCGCAGTGACTCCAGAACCAATGATAAGATGGGGTCGTTGGGGTTAAGTCGGTGTTTCAGTTTCTCTCGCGATTCGCCATTATGATCCATCCAGAACGAGCTATACTCTTGAATGGCAATGAGGGCATCTGCGAGGTACTTGTCGTAGCCCGTGCTGAATGTATCGCCGACATATAGTGGATCAAATCGCGAGATTAGATTCAGGTATAAACCCATTTCACGCTCGTGAGTTGAGTATGTGGTATTTGGTTGAGAATAAATAGGGCCATTCGATATTGGTGAAAGAAGGTCGTCTGCACCGGGGTAGACGAACATCTCTTCCCCCTCGTCGTTGTCGCCGTTGTCATCCACGGGCGTTGTAGCCTTCCTTGCCTGGGGGAGGGGATTGATTATAGCAGGTATCGGGAAGCTCGTAGCCCTGGAATCATATATGACTCTAAGCAGCTGTTCTGCACAGAGCTGATTGTGTTCGTACAGCAGTGACTGAAGCAACTGCAAAGCAGCAGCTGCAGTAGGCTGATTACTGGAACGAAGATTGGAGAGGAGCAGATCCTTGAGAGTGAACCGACCCATGGATGTAAAGTACTCCGATTGCCGTCTAGAGTCTGGCGCCTCCATTTCCAGCAGGACCATAGCGCTACTCTTTCGTCGAATCTTCTTCATTTGCTTGTCGGTTCTTTTGGTCTGGGGTGGTGCATTCTGGTCAAGGGTGAGCATGCTATGAGGCCGTTGGCGAGTGCGCGTAACTTCGTCATTATCTTCGCTCATGAGGAAATCGACGAGGAGATTGGCAAGTTGGCCATCGTGGAGAGTTCGAATCATGATCTCAATATAGGACATCACTGCCACAGCGCTCCCATCTGCGTCCGAACATTCGAGGATGGAAGGGTAGAGGACGTTTTCGAGGAAAATTCGTCGAAAAGCATCTAGGATGGATTGAACGATCGCGCTGCCGACAAGGGTCGATGCATCGAGACTAGATTCAGCATCTTCGTGAACCACATTCCGTCGAAACACGTCTTCCAGGAACTCAAGGAGCTTCAAGAAGTGGTCCAGTCGAGATCTGAAATCAGGGTTCGTAGATATCTCTACTCCCATACCTGGAAGCTTCTCTCGGGTCGCTTCAAGAGCTGCAGCCTCTTCCGCCTCGATTGGGTTATTCCCGAGAACCATGCTATTCCCTTGAGCGCCATCCGCCGGGACGGGAGGTCGGATCTCTAGTTTTGATGGAAGGAGGGAGTAGACGGCACCAACACCTGCTCCAAGAACTTCGGAAAAATCGCCATCCAGAATATACTCAGCAAGCGAGAGAGCAGCATCAGTGATCGGATCTGAAGCAGGCGTGTTGAGTGAGAGTGAAGGAGACGAGGGATCCTCCCCGGCTAATTTGTGAATTTGTTCGCCAGGAGACATGGCAACGTCCATCAGGAAAAGGAGCCCAGCTCGCGCAAAGTCGCCAATCTGCCCCTCACGATGAACAAAGCGAAGGAGATAATTGAAGAGGAGAAATTCGTATTCGGTTTTTCTTGTGTGGGACGACCCATGCGCAGGCTCCTGAGATGATGAAAGGGAGGGAGGACGATCGTTCCTTGAAGTCTCAGACGTAGCAGGTTGGCTATTTCCTGCCTCCTCTTTGACTTCTTCGTCCTCTTCTTCTTCTTCTTCATCCTCCTCCTCGTCTACCGAAAATAGTGGTTCGGAGTGATACCAATGCTTGTCGTGGAAGAATATCATGAGCAATTCTCTGTATGTTCGGATGCGGCTGCAAAGGATGCACAAGAGATTTACCACTGTGGGACTCATCAGTAGAATGAGAGCGAGAAAGATACTGTGCTCACAGTCTTCCTCGTACTCAGATGGTAAACTACGAACCGCGTTTCCAGCGGCACCCATGACCTTTCGACTTCGATTGTCCATCTGTTCCTGAAGATCGTCACCAACACAGTTTCTCAACAGACGAAGGACTGCTTTATGCACAGCAGAGTGAACAAGGAACTGCTCGTCCAGTAAAACGACCATGTTCTGAACGGCGCGAAGGACTTCAGCTTGAATGCCTGACGGACGATCTGCCTCGCTCAGTCGGACAAGGGTACCAAGCACGTCTTCCACGCACAGTAAGAGTCGTGTGAGTGGAGGAAAGTGCAGGGAGCTCACCGTTCTTCAAAAGATATTCCAAACAAACACCAGTTGCCCTGTTAAGATGGCCCTAAGTGAGCGCATGAATAGATGCACTTCACGACAGTGTACCAACCCTTCCTCAGTCCTAGTCGACTCTAAAACCAACAAATCCACCATAGATTTGAGATGAACAGGGACATCTGTAGACTTAATCCCCCTAGTCAGCTGTCGTTCATCCGGGTGCAGTAGTGTGTTCTAGAGGCAAGGCACAATAATGAGGGATCGAGAATAAGAGGCTATCATGAAGTAGCGTGAACGATAGTGCACCTTGACAAGGAGCCATGATTGATGGAACTCTAGAGCATAATCATGAGAAGGCTTAGGAGAAGGTTGACTACCGGAACGCAAGAACTTTGAAAAGTAGTCCATATCAGCAGCTATCGACTGGCAACAGCCAGACTATGGCAGCTGCAACGAATTGCCCTCACTCAAGAATTCAGATTCAGATCGGCGACATATCACGATCACGTGCGCTTCTATAAATGTTTGCAACTGTTCTCTCATTCAAGATAAGTTGAAAGAAATCCATGTTCAACGAATAGCGATGAGAATGCAGTCTAGTATAGTACTATATGGGTCATTACATGAACCAAAGACACATCATAGGTATGTTGTCCATATACAAGTGAAGATCTATCTTCCTGTGCCACTGCGAAACCTGGATATCAATACGTCTTCGAATGCGGAACGGTACTAAAGTATCCAAGTCGCATCTGGCAATCGTATAGATTGTATTGATTAGATATTTTGACAAATAGTGCAGTTGAACGTGATCTCGTTCCGGAAGAGCGCAGCTAGAAGGTTGGTGTTAGTCAATGTACTGATGGAAAATGAGGAGAGGTGTCACGTACGGAGAACAAGCAATGCAGCTAGGAAAGCCACGACGACGACATAAAGAATGGTATACTTGAAGACCTGGAGAGAGACATGAGCCAAAGTGATACTCAATACACCCAACATGAACATACAATCCAGCGACGTTGCCGCTTTTGCTTCGTAGAGAACAGTGGAGGGCGGATCTGCTTGGACGGCCGCAGCCAGACTACCAGAGAGCCAGGGAGTCAGAGGTTAGAAACACTAATCAAGTTAACAAGACCTACATAACATCGTGGAGTGTATTCGATCGAAGTATGGGATCAGAAGGGGCGGAGTCATGATGATCAACAGAATGTGCGCCAAGAGGAAATCAGATGTCCACAGTGACATCTCCACGACCTTGACGATGAACTCGCGAGCGGGCTGCGACATAGCGGAAGTGCCAAGACCGCGCCCGTACCACTTACCTGTCCACCATGCCCGATTCGTCTCATCGTGCTTGAACTCACGAGAGAGGAAGACAGCAATCAGGATTTTCTGGATAGCACGCTGAATTGCGACTATACTGATGACTCCCAGAACTGCGTGGGAAGCATCCCAAAGTTCAAGGAACCACTAAATAGAGATGTCAATGCCAAATGAGATGATGGCGAGAGGAAAGACATACGAAAAATTCGAAGAATGCGATCATGCCAAGTAAACCACCGAAATGGGCAACGGACGCGACGACAGAGCCAAACTTCGCCCACGAACTGAGCATGGGCCCAAGGAACAGCGAGACGAAGAATAAGGTCAATAGGATCGCAGCATTCCACACTACAGGGCCGACAGCGATGATGGCAATGCGAATCAAGGGACTGGGAGGCTGATTACCATTCCTATCGGGGAAGGATTTAACGAACATGTAGGCAACAACGAATATGGTGGCGACGCAGATTGGCCAGACAATCTCAGAGAAGATGACTGTTCTCCAACCGGCACGAGGAACGTCTCCTGACAGCTTTTCGGACGGGTGACCGAGCTTCTTCTTCTTGTACCCAGTGATCATGGTTCGAGACAGACGACAATATCCATACCAGCTGCTAGCCTTCGTCCTTGAATTACCGCGTGACATCCAGCGCAAGAATTCTCGGTAATCAATGATGAAGTCGGCGAAAGAGAACTGATGAGGATTGAAGACGAAAGGAGCAATGCAAAGTGATAGCACAGAGATCCAGAAGTAGATCAGGTGAGGAATCCAGAGGGCCATTGTAGTGTAGAGTAGGAGGAGAAGATTCCGCATACCCATGTAGATACTCGGGCCAGCGAATCGGGAGTAGAGGATGGTGAAAGATATTCGGGTTGTTGCAAAACCGCGTCCTGTTGCGATGTAGCGTGCGCCACCGAATGTCAAGTTGCTTAAGATAGCCTGCGAGTAAATCTGGGTGGAAAATACTTCGAAGATGGGCGATAGTGACAGGAAGTGTTTCGCAAGACGAATAAGGGCCTTGCCTGTTCCTCGCTCAACCAATTCTAAGGGGTAAAGCGATCAATGAAACGATTCCAGCATAAAAAGGATACAGTTATACCTTGCAAAAACAATGGTAGGAAGGCAATGAAGAAGACCAAGAAGATGGACACGATGCAACGCTTCACCCATTCAAATACAGGAAGCAGGTTGTAGCATCCGGGTTGTCCACTTATCACATTGCCCTGTGAATCAACTCTGCATATGGAGAGCTGCTTGTTCAATGTGCCGATGTAGAGCACTAGAGGGCGCTATTAGAAAAGGAACACCGCAAGCGCGAATCACAACTTACTAGTCACCATGAACACCTGGATAGAGTAGATGACAAGGATATTGTTGATGTGGAAACCGGGATGAGCGTAGTAGAATGTGAGGAACCGATCGATCGGAAGTTGTGTGCCAAGGTAATAGTACTCTCTACTGAGCATCTGCTCACCCATACCGGTACCAATCTTCGTCTGGAAGTTGAGGATGGTACCGAAACCGAGATCTCGACCTTTTCCGCATTGGTAGTACTCTGAATGCTTGATGCGTCCACCGCGACCGAAGGCATTCATACCAGCGAAGATATCCTCGTTCAAGTGGAGACCCTTCTGGGCCTTGGATATACCACCACGAGTGGTCATGAACGTCGCATGCAAGAAATCAGGGTGACCATAGTGCAACTTCCCGCCGATCCATGCCAGAGCACGAGCTGTCATGGTACCAAACGTCTGTTCTTTTCCGGCGGCGATGTCACCCAAGATGCCGATGTTCTCCGAGAAGATGTACTCGCGAGTACCGATGATAGCGACCGGCGACTTCTTGAACTCCTTGTGACCCCATTGAGCGTAAGGGCTCTGACTAGATATCGAGTACTCCTCGAATTCGCCAAGGACATTTCGAATCTTGATGCACTCTTCTAGGTAATTGTCTTGATTGGCATCGATGACCTGTAAGTATTCGCCGCGGTAAAAGATGATCGCGTGATTCTGGTTATCAGATTTGCCGTCTCCGAGAATGGGATTACCAGCAAGCTCGATACGGAATTTGGGTCTTCTCTTGCCGGTCTCCTCGTCCAGCTCGGAATGGCCGTCGATGAGCACAGAGAACATACGAGGGTCACCGCCCTTGGGGCCGGGCTCCTCATCGAGATACGCAATTTGGAGGTCAGGATACGCACGGAGCAAGAACTCGGCATTCTCGCGTTCTTCCTTGTTGAACTTGGCGTAGCGCTGCATAGAAATGACAAACTTGAACTTGCGTCTAGCCATGCGCTCGAGCTCGCGTTCCAACCGGTCAGTATTGCCACCAAACATCTGAACAACATCAGGGTTCTCGACTCGGTAGAGTAATTTGATAGCCTTGGAGTAATTCATCATCCCGGAGACTGTACGATACAGCGTCTGTGCCCGGAGCGAAGCCCAGATACGGGTACGAAGGGTATATTCGGGAGACGCCGTCTTGAAGCCGATGCAGTAGAAAGGAAGATCATCAGTCTTGCTCTGTGACTTCTCATCATCGTCGGGCGACTCCTCAGCCAGAATTTTTGTGTCCTTGACAAAGTTATCCCATTCGACAGGGTGCAACTGCTTCAAGTACTCCAGCTGCGTGACACGAGTGTTATGGTCCTCCTCTCTGATGATCTCGCGCAAGCTCAACAAGATCTTCTCCGAATAATGAGGGACGAGCACGGTGTACGTAGGCATAGCGTCGACGGGGAGAGGCTCTGGGAGTGCAGTCGTAAGGGAGGATGCGAAGAAAGAAATACGCCGCTCCGCTTCGCCACCAGCTGGGAAGAAGTTACCCTTGAAACCATTCCCTTCATTGTTCGTGAAAAAGGGTGGGGCTCGGAGGGTACGGCGTCCATCAGGACCATCGGTTTGGTGGTAGAGAAGGCGCTGTACGTTGTCAATGGAAAGGAGATGCTCGCGATACATGGAGATGATGATGGCATTCCAGATCTGAGAGACGAGAACTTTGGGCTTGTACTTAACCTCCATGTCGCCAGTGGCCAGAAGCTTGGCGTAGATGCGCTTGGGCAAGCGGGTATACACGTCTTTCCAAGGTGTCCAAATGGACAGGCCAAGTGCGAAAGAGCGTCCGATGGAAAATACGACAACCCAAATGATGTACCACAAGTACGTGTCCAAGAAGAAGAGCACCAAGTCCATGACATACATGATGGCGAGCGTGAATGGGACTTGATTGGCGCACAGGGCAGAGCCGAGTAACTTGTCATTGCAGTTCTGAACCTTGGTACGAGCCATGACAGCGATGGGGCTACTGAATGACGAAGTTAGGAAAAAATACGATTCCGCAAACTTGCAGCCAAAGACGAGGAGCCAAAGTATGATGGACGCTGCACGAGCAGAGCGAGGAAGATCGGGATAGGACGCTGTGAAGGTCTGCGAAGCCATGTACTTCCTTGATTTGCCAGCGACACGATCACCGAACATACGTCCTGATGGTAGAAGACCGAAGACCAAGGTCACGACGACGGAAATGAAGAACTGGACGATGCCGATAATGAGGGGAATCTGTGAATTCGTATCCACACCATCCACCTTCGCAATGTACACTGTCGGGCCAGCCGTGATTGCGAGAATTATTAAAAGGAATATGAAACGAGTCGTTAGGTGAGAGGCGTTATTCCACGTCGTAGGGATATAGAGAAACTCCGCGATCGTCGCAAGAAGCATGATAGTGGTCGAAACAGCTCCTCCAAGAGCAGTCGCTGACCACGTCATAGGCGCCGATGGAAACTGCTTATTACGGGGCGCGTAAACCTTTGGGGAGTTGAAGGCAGTGTAAAACCAGTAGACAGCGATGTGCAATATCCAGATGCGGTTGAAGTTGACCAAGAGATGCGCAGATGAGCGCTTCTCGAAGTAGGTCTTGAAAAAAACACGGTTCCAGTCGATACGACTGAATTTCATGAACCGTTGGGCGGGAGGTACGTCAACCAGGCGAGACTAGGCGCAAATAGTCAATAAGGATGTCCATGTGTATTCAAGATACAACCACTATGGCGCACCTTATCGGTGAGAACGATCCTCGCAAGGCCCTCAGGATACCAGAACAACTGGTTAATATCGTCATACCCGATGATCTGATGATGGTCCCGTTCCCTCCTCACATACTTTCCATCCACAGACTCATACCCTTGATCACGCATGAAGCGATACAAAGGTTTGATGATCGTCTCAAGATAGACACCTTCCGGTACTGGGTCAACCCGGTTTTGACACTCAGGACTCCTATAATAATCGTCGGCACATTTGAAGATGAAGCATAGGCACTCCGGCGTGAGACGAACATTGCCGGCCTCTCCCCAGCACAGCAAATAGAGGGCAAGCTGCCGGAGGCGGTCGTACTGGCTCATGTTGTTCATGGCATTGCGCCATCGGTTCAAAGCAGTGTCAAGAGACTTGGCACCGGTTGACTTCGCCGTGGTCCCCCTGACACTCTTCAGGCGTTGCAGGCCAGGGTTTTGTGACTGGCCGACGGCATCGTCGAGATTGAGCTGAGCGGCGAAATACCACTTGCGGTAATTGGCATGTTGGCCCCCAATGTAGTCAGCATGCAAAGTGAGAAGCGCTTGATTTGGAGACATTCGCGACGCGCGGGAGTCGAGCAAGTGCATCAGGAAGTCAAACTGACGAAAACCGGAGTTAAATACAGCTACCCATAACTTCTCGCAACACAGAATCGTACCTGGTTTCGCATAGAGTCCCTCTGGAAACCGAACTTCTGAGTAAGATCGAGGAAAATGTCCTCAATTTCCTCATAGGAGATTGGTATTTGTTTCTCTGCAGACCAAGCAGGATAAGGGTCGGATGAACCTGCAGGCCCAGGTTGAGGCATCCCGCTCATACGTGAGTCGATAGATGGGGCGTAACTGCGGCTGTGACCACCGTCTGATTCTGTTTCGCCACGACGACCTACATGACGGGAGAATGAAGGATGAGCATGTGACCAAGAGGGGGAACATAAATCACCGGAGCGGCAGTGACAGTTATTAAAACACGTCGTTACTCAAGGCCTCCACAGGTTCACAGTGACGACGACATGGGCATGTCGTCTGGAGTCATATGTGGAACCCAGAAGAGAAAAGAACCCGACATGGGGGCTGAAGTAACGCATGCAATGGCTGACATACCGTACGGGTCAAACTGGCCTGGCTGGTCGTAGTACTGCTCATTACCAGCAAGGTGGGCAGTGCTGTCGGTGCGAGCGCCGTAGTGATCGCTCGCGTCGGATTCGGCATCATAGTCGCCCCCAGGACGGGAATACTGTTGGGATGGATTGGCGAAAGGATTTCTAGGGTCTGGCTGACCGTAACCTGGACGAGCAGCCATGGGAGGTATAGGTCTTAGAGATAGGCAGTGTAGACGTTGATCTGTAGCTGAAAAGAGTGAACGATCGACGAAGAGGAAAGCAAGAGCTTGAGGCAAGGATCTGATGGGAAGGCTGAGGTTACCAGCGACCCTCAGACGTTGTGAGAGGAAGAGTGATATCCGGCCGCTATTTACTCTTGTATTTCCCTTCGTAGTCAGGCAATGCGGTACATAAGCATAAGCGCGCGCTGCTTCTTACTCCGCTGCTGACAAATTTCCATCTCGTTGCATGGAATAATTCAAAATTATTCCATGCTGAGCCTGACGTCTCAAAGATCTCATCACTAGTACCCCTGCTGGTGCATCGCATAAATGCGACACTGCCGCACCTTGCCGCACTGGCTAGGGTATCCGGTGACTAATCGAAGAGGTAAAACATGTTTTAAAATAGTTTTGATGATGCAAATCACGTGCTTATGTGGAGCGCGTCGACGCGTCGACGCGTTCAGCCGCTCAAGTCGTTCCGCCACTCAGATTTCTCACTTGCCCTTTCTTTGCCAATGGATAAACCCATCATCCTCTGGCAGACTAGGCCTGAGATCTCTACTGATGACGCCGGCACGACGATAGCCAGTGTTGTGCTCCCTCCACCCGCCCTCTACGATCCAGGACCTTACGAGAAGTCTATGCTGGAACCGACAGCACATCTGCGCTACGTCCCGTCTCTGGCTTATTTCTGTATCCAAAAATTGATTGAATATGCTGATCAATGTGACTTCGGCCTCTGGTCTTCGCGATACGAACGGCCTGCCTCATTTCTTTCGTACGACATCCTCCGCGCCCTCATCCCCTCATACCTTCCCGCTACTGATGCGACTTCACATGACGACATCCGGATGTCTGAAGTGGACCCACGCTTATGGGCTGTTATACTCCAAGTCTTCACGGAAGTACCCGATGTCATGCGCATTTATCCTATTGCACTCTCCGATAAGCACCTGCCTCTCCTCCAGCGCATACCATCAACTTCCAATTACTCCCTTCTGACGGCTCTCCAACTTCCTGGATGCACTCACCTGACGGACGATACGATAATCCAGCTCAAGGCTTTGAATGGACTTTGTGCGTTCGATGCCAGCGAGACGAAGCTGACTGCACAGGGCATCTCTCGACTTGCAGGCACGATGTCATGGTCTCTAGAAGGTGACCGGGATCAAAGACGAGGCCCGTGGCAACTTCGTATCCTGCGGCTGCGTAAGTGCACGCAGATTGGGGATGAAATCTCCAAATGCATCTCCAGATTTCCTCTACTCTGTGTCGTAGGTGAGGCAATGCAATGAAAATTGGGATCATCACTCAACTCACAAGAGCCGTGATTATGTAGATCTTCGCGGGACAAGATGCTCGTGCAGGGTCCTTCAAACGCTCAGTGCGTTTCGCCCAGCCACAAACAACGCTTTGTTCCATCCTGCTAGCCTTCTCGACTCGCTCTCAGAATTATCTTCATGTCCGTCCTTATTTTCATCAACAAATCCTTTTGTTCTCCATATCGACCGCCGTGACTATGGTATCTCACGTCAAGGGCGCAGGCTGCATAACTCGATCCCACTGTCCAATAGGCCCCGGCCTACCGTTGCGCCAGAGGATACCTACATTGTGCTTTCTACTTCTGAAGGGTCAACAACATCTAGAACTGGAAAAAGGGCGAGAGTCGCCATGGGAAATTCGGAAACGTTAGCTCGCAATATTGATCGGCGCGAAAAGGAGATGCAGCACGCGTTCAATTCTGTTGCGTGGAAAGAGCGACATGAGAGACTGCAGAAAGAGAGCATGGCTCAGTATAACATCGATGATCTTTCAGATCCCTCTGAGATGGACGTGGACTCGTACCGAGCGCCATTAAAACGGCACCGTGAAAACGCTAGGCCAACGCGAAATTCTTCGCTCAGCGACGATCGTCAAAACCATTTGTCTGTGAGGGTGCGTCTGAAGCTTATCTCTCACAAAGCTTGTAATTGATCAGTCATCCTTGGGCCTATCATGTGAACCAGCATTTATCAACCGCAGCAAGTCGCTCGAATACACAAACTTCACAGGTGTATTCACGTCACGAATTGCAAGGAATCTCACTCGCTAAATCATCTACGTCTTCCCAAACCGCATCGGGTCATCGGTCAAGCCTAAGTTCACATTTGGACAATGCTGCAGGTACTTCTAGGGCGCGGTCTCCACGACCACAACTGTCACGCAGCAATCTACTAGACGTTCGACCATCACCGCCACCGCCACCGCCGGCACGTTATGCTGCATCTACCCTCGGTTTGCTTCCACAGATCTATCAGGTGTCCGTAGCACCGACCGGGTCTCTACATCTACCGGATGTCACAAAACATAATCCTACCCATTCTACAGCCACACCTGCTCTTACATCCCGACTCCATTGGACTCTCGATCACGCTACATCTGAACAGGGCCAGTACCACATACAACAAGCAGCACCTAGTGGTGCTCAACTTCGACTCCTTTCCGACGCGGATGCTCAGATAAACGACCTAGTGAACTCTGTAGCCACCGAAGAGTCTAACTCAATAGTAGCCCACCGTTCTGCACTAGCTTTTTACACTTCTCCTCTAGTTCGACTGGTTGATGATGTTTCACGTCGCATCGCACCAAGAGATATTCTGCGACAGGACCGAGCGCACGCACCGAAAGATGAGACTCTCGAGAACTCTCTCAAGCTCTCTCGTGATCCTCCGCCTTGGAGTCTCATGCACAAACCCCCACCTCAAGTGTCCAATGTTACCCGAACAACCGATGAACCTGCAATTATTAACCGCTCAAGCGCACACGCGAAGAGAAACATCCAAAATGTGAATGCCATGCTGGCGAAGCGAGTCAAGACAACACACTGGCAGGCGGATGGATTTCATGACAAGACTCGGTCGCCCGCGGCACCAGTAAGGTTAGCAGGCCCAAAAAATCCCTTTTTACAGCAGCGATTTGGTGGACCTGGGAGCAAAGCTTCCACCAGCATTTCGAACTCAGACCATACAGATGCCAATGAAGCTCCTCCTAAGAATGTCCTGAAACTGCCCCCACCCGACCAGTTGAAACCCCTCAAACTGATATCTACCCTGCCCGTCCCATCTCTCCCGCCATCTCCAAAGAATAGCGACAAGGGCTCTCAGAACTCTCGGCTCGTACGTGAGGTTGGTGCCGAATATTCGAAGGCTAGAAGAGCATCAAACAGACATATTTCTCTTCCTCTTCGGAAACCATCCAGCTTGGCCGTGCGCAAAGGAGCCACACAATCCAAAGTACCAGAAAAAAATGAGAAGAGACTTCAAAGTTTCGAATTAATGCCAGAGTCTGTCGGCTCCACATTATCACAGAAGGCGGGTCCAGCAAGTGATTCGCTTATTGAGAGAAAGGGAGGATTTGATTGGAAGGCTTGGGGTATCACTACCAAGAAAATGTAGACTTGACTTCTCTGTTCTGGTCATTCATCGTCTGAGAAGTCCGTGAAAATGGCAGCACGCCTACTTTGGGCATGCATCGGCTATACCTCATAAGACGCTCTCATGTGATACTTTCGAAGCCTCCATTACTTAAAGTTCACATCGAAATCTCCATAAGTCTTTCCCCCACCAAGATCTTGTCTTCCTACTATCAGACTATCATGCGACATCTAGCCCTTGTACATTCACACAATCACATCTTCGATGACTTCATTATAGTCACAACAAGACTCATCGACGTCGCATAGAACACCAAATTCCTGTTAATAGATCGCCCTGTGATTGGTGGCACAGAGCAGGAATAATTCCAAGAAAAGTATGTAGACCCTAAATCGCGTGTATCCCTAAAGCATAAAAACTCATTATTTCGCATGATATCACTCGCTGCGACTCTCGTGCGCTTTTTCTTCGAGATCAGACGACGGAGATGCACCGCGGTGTTGACCGTTCTCTAAGTGCTCCATGTGCGCTTTATGGCCTGTCATGAAGGCTTGCTGTGCTGGCGCGATCACTTCACACATCATAGGTTTAGTATCTCTGATGCGCAGAAGAATCTGGGGTGCGAACCTCGACTTGAGTCGACGAAGAAAACCTCGTACACAATGTACGCGAAAAGGGTCGCCGGTATGTTGGTCAACGCGGCCAGGGCAGCATAATTGCCTCCTGCTGCTTTGGTACCCCATATTGTCATTGCAGCCAACCGTCCACCGACATCTCGCGCAGCGTTAGCAGCCACTGGTAACCAACGTGAGTAATTGCTACTAGTCATAGCCAGATCACACGTACAGCCTTGGGTAGAATAGCCCCATATCGCGATGCCGCTAGAAGATAGCTCAATTTCATCACAAGGGTAAATCATCAAGGCCAACATACTAGGTCATTCCAATAATCCATGGTGAGAGCATCGGAGGTATGAGGAAGTTCGTTGGGTCAGTGCAGGCACATATGGCCATGCCAATGACGAAATCCTATGGGGATCCTTCAGTGATCATTCAAAGACAGAAACTAGACGTCATGACGTACAGTCACGAACTCATTGAATAAGACCAGTCCTAGCGGCGATCCTGCAGGGACATACAAGGCGAAGATGCCTGCTGGTCCGGAAGGTGTGAAGTTGATCTCGTCGAGCGTGCCTTTTACGACCAACAGCGCTTCCACCTCCTGAAGATGCCATTAGCTTCATAGCTGGAGCGGCGAGTGTCATCTACGTTCACCGTGATCAGATGCTTCCATGAAAGATATACGATGAGACAGGCAATGTAACCGCCTAAGATCTGAGCAACGATATATCTGCAGTCGAGCATCAGATCATTCGAGTATGTGCCAACCTTCCTAGCAATACGCTGACCTCATACCTTTCCCGACAGGAAACCCTTTGAACAACATGCATAGGATAGTCACTGCGGGGTTGAAGTGCCCTCCGGATGTCGCGCTGCACACCACAAGCGCCAGACCGATACCCATAGCATAGGCGAAACCGACCGAAAACACCGCTGCACAATTAAAGAGAAAAACGATCAGCGATGGCGATGGGGAAACATATCTAAATGAACATACATCCGAGTGGGAGGCCTAGAAGATTGCCCAAGGTGTATGCTGCTGAGGCGCCGACGCCCGCGAAACAGTAGAAGAATACTCCCATCTGTCGCCGGCGGACGATTAGTAAGTGAGCTAATCCTATCTGATACTCCCCCCCTCTTCACACTCACCGCTTCCGCAACGCACTCGATGAACCAGTGCGCTTCCCGGTGGCGCCTCCGCTCCCATGCCGCCAATAATCGTGGACGCGTTTGAATATCTGCCAGGTGTAAAGGGTGGTGCGTTGGGTCCATATTGAAAATCGTTGATCAGTCTGTGGAGCAACTAGTGAAAAGATGGGGCGAATGCGGGGAACAGGGTGGGGGTTCGGCGCGCTGCTCAAGAATAAGAAGCTCCAGGAGGAATCGGCGCTCGATTTGATTCATTTATATATCAGCCGTGGTGCTTTACTTATCCTGATGCAAGCAGATCTTGTCAATAGGTCAACGAAATTGGCACGCGGACTTCTCTGGGCAGAACGAGAGGACTGTGCCTGTTACCTTCCGCTGCCCCGCATCCCGTGCCCAAGATAGTGTGGGGATGGCGGCCGTGACCCGAGATACATCTCTGATCATGCCTCCTTCATCCTGTTCCATCGTGCATTCCCTGGATATCCCCGCAAACGCTGTGCTTTTGGACTCGATTGTCAAATGTATCCTTACGTGCGATGGTTCAGATTCGCTGCGGAGGTTCAAGTCTGCGGACCTTCGCGCACATAAATGGATATGCGGCAGCCATTTGCGCAATGGAGGGATCCCATGACTGGCTTTATTTGATCATATGTCCTAGAATTATCAGACAACTGCTTTCATCCCTCGCCTCATTGGGACCTGAACCTTGGCAGTCAGACATCTGACCGCAATGTTGTCACCAAGCTTGCTTGACCCTGCGGACTCGGACTACAAGCCTGCGCTATGACACATCCCCATAACAGTTATGACCCACAGCATGGTGCGAGCTTCCGCTGTTGGGTAGAGCCTCCTAATACTCGCAGTATGCGGCGCCGTGAACTGCATGCTCCTAAGTATCACAGTAATCCCATGAGAGGCTACTAACGATTCAAGTCGTTGCCGTAAAGCTGTCGATGCAAGCGTGATCGAGATAGCATCGACAGCGAGAAGGATAGAACTGTCAAACTATATCATAGAAGGGCAGTTCGGAGAAGCAGAAAGACAAGGTGTGCGCCAAACTCCAAGGTTATAGAAGTGCCGGATCCCAAAGATCTCAACATCGAGACAAGGCACCCAGGCGCTGAAGTTCGACTCGAACTGACACGAACGGGCTTGACGACAGATAAGCTGGAACTACACGACACCTGTGTTGATTCTATCAAGTTTCTATCCTCATTCATTGGGTTCCTAGCTGCCCAGAGACATCTAGAATTTAGGACCAGATCGACTAGAAAAGAAAACACTTAATGTAAGGCACGACTGGCTGTCACGCGCTAACATTAAAGTGATAAAAGATGATCAACGTGGTAAGAAAGGAGTCCCGAAGATCCCATGGACTCAACTAGAAATGCATACTAAGACATGCATAGGAAGAGATTCGATGAGAAAGTCAGGCATCTGACACCCGAGGTTGTGCGGAATCGAGACGAGCCCGATTAAGGATGACCCTCCTATGAGCTACAAGGTCTTAAAATGTACCGGGAAGGCACACATATGCTCCTGAAACCGAAAAGTGATCGCGCAAACCGTTAGAGACTCCGTCATACATACCATGACTATGTGATGGACGTGGGACGAGATGGTGCACCGGGCCCGAAGTAAGAAGTAAGAAACCCGCTTTCGCAGGCGAAAGGGTTATACTGAACTAGCAAATCCGAGCAGAAGATCTTTCGATGATTTTATACCCAAACAGACTGGGGATGTGTACCGTGACTGTACGCATGTAGTCACTGTAACATTGACAGGCTACTTATCTTATACAGCATCTTCGCTATCAACGCGGTCATGCACCAGAGGCCATGTCCTCAACGGTTTGAGAAGATATAACATCCAGGATAATGGCCAGAGAATTAAGAGAACATTCGTCGCGGTCCGTAGGTGATGTTGGAACTTGGAAGGCCCGGAAGCGTCCGAGTGTTTACGCGATCACAGTTATGACGAGATCTTTGGTGCAGACCGTCTTGTCGTGCAATAAATGGTCCCAAAATTCAACAGCTCGCTCTTCTCTTCGCTATCCACCAACTATGCCCGTCAGTTCTTCATAACATACTACAAACATGATCCTCATCCAAAATTTTCTAATAGCCTCAAGGCTCAAAGCACCAATGCCAGCTTGGACGCGTTTTGCGTCAAGCATGCCACGCCCATACAGGTTTCACGTCGGTGCTAGCTGGATAGCCAAACCACCAGAGCCTCGCTCGCGAAAGAAGGTCAAGCCTTTTCCTGGTGACAGCCCAATAGGTCTATGGAGGAACGAAACACTATCTAGGGCAAGCTCCAGCTCTAGCAAGGATGCCGGCGAAGATTTCTTTTATGTCCAGGATGTGAGCAGTCCGTCACACTTTCCCGCTATTTGAGAGCTTTGAGCTAACGAAAAGATGTGCTCTAGATGCGAAATCAATCGGTAGGTGAGGTTTCGTCGTCATACATCCATCCACTGTTCTCACCATCTATGGTGTATTTTCAAGGGCGTATCCTTGGGAGTGGCAGATGGCGTCGGCGGGTGGGCTGAAAGCGGCGTGGACCCTTCACTCTTTTCCCAAGCTTTAATGTATCATGCACATCGATACTCTTCAAGTGCGTGGCCAGGTGAGCCGGAGATCGACCCAACACAAGAATATGAAGAGCGCGAAGAAGTGGAGGGCTGGGAGTTACTACCTGGGAATTGCATGCAGCTAGCGCTTGAAGGTGTCCTGCGAGAGCGGGCAGTGCTGGCAGGTATCTACTTCCATGACATACACCATGGCCATCGTATTCAAGTGGTTTGTGTATTTTGACAGGCTCTAGCACTGCGTGCATAGTCAATCTCAATGCGTCATCGGGAATCCTTCGGGCTGCTAAGTAAGTTGACTTCAAGTTATCATCACTCATTTTAGCTATTTACAACCATTCATTAGTCTGGGAGATAGCGGTTTCATGATCATTCGATCGTCTACAGTCTTTTACCGACAAAAATCTCAGACTCACTTTTTTAACTGCCCGAGGTATGTGGACGATGCTTTCTCGCCTTCTAGCAACTCGGCCTTCAAGCTCAATCATCAGACAACTTGCCAAACTTCCCATACGTGCGGACTCAGACGCGATGGACTATCCGTCAGACGCCGACATATACGAAACAAAGCTCAGAGATGGAGACATTATCGTAGCATATGTACGTTCTTCTACCCTCTGATAATTTACCGCATCTTCATCGACTCACTCATCGACTCATAGACCGACGGGCTTTCTGATAACGTTTTTAACAACGAGATTACCGCCATATGCAGCCTAGTCTCCCGGGCCGGTGGACCCGAAGACATGCAAGTGCAAACGATGGCAGATCGAACAGCAGAGTTTGCTCGAGCATGTATGGTAAATCGCACACGCGTCAGTCCATTTGAAAGTACGTTCGGGCTGGTCAACATCCATCGACTGGGAATGCTGATGTTTTGTCCAGAGGCTGCTGCTAGAGAAGGCTTCTATTTCCGAGGGGGGGTAAGAACCGTGTCGAGCCATTTTCAACCCATGCTGATTTCGAGTATTTTCCTTTTAGAAACTAGATGAGTACGTATTCTGGCTTTCTATCGCTGAATTTGTGGTCTTACGCATCTGTCTCCAGCGTTACAGTTTTAGTGGCCTTGGTACGGGAAGTACTTTAATGTGCTAGATTTACCCCAAAGGTCAGGTTTGTTACATGGTCATGGCTGCCCAGAGCATACATCACTTTACATAGAATAGCCACGCCCTAACTTTGCTGCATGTTGGATGTAATTTCTTTGTCCCTTATGCGCCTACCGGACTTATACCAGCCACTTTTATTTTCTCGCCGCCGAATTAAAGCTTTCTCTCGATGAAACTTTCGATGGCGCCGGCAGGCGTCAAGGGGTACTCCTTCAACACGACCTCGCCGTTCTCGACAAATGTGTTTGGCTGGACGAATACCATTCGGGGCTTTCATCGACAAACATATGAGCGCGCTTACCCTTCAATTTATCCTGGGCGTTGACCACGCACCTGTTTCTTTAGCAAGACTATGTCACGGATCTCGCCATCCCAACCGGGGAACGGCGTCGTTAGTTCTGCGTAGAACTTACGTGCCCCGGCGCCATCGGCTGTGCTCTTGCGCACCTGGAGGTCAATGAGGAGTTTTCCTGCGACTTCCTTGCCGTGCGAAAGGACCTTCTCGCGGTCCACCTGCAATTCAGTTCAGCAGGAGGATCAGTGAACAAAAGGGAAATATTACGAACTCGGACGTAGAGGTTCTCGAGCTTGCCATTGGCATCCTTGACTTGTTCAAGACGAGCGATCCCGCCATTGATCAGGTGCTGTGTAATTCCAAGGCTAAATTTGAAACGATGAGCTCCCCTGAATATCCATAGCCTAGGAATACACGGAGGCGACTTACCGTGCCTGCATATGTGCCTGGCCGTGTTTCTTCGCCTTGGGATCATAGAACTCCAGCGCGCGAAGACCGGCGCGCGCCATCAATAGGAAGGTGATATACTGAATGTCTTCGACGTCCTTCTGACTGGTATACTTGATGATAGCGAGGCGTCAGTAGAGGCACGGCAAAAATAGCAAAACACTTACACCGAAAATTTCAAGGATGTTAGGATTGCTGACGACTAACAGAGGCGGACTGACGTTAGGACGACAACATAAAGAAGTAAGAAGTGAGACGTACGATAAAGCGCCACAGTTTCCGCCCGGCATTCTTCCATAGATGACGACACTTCCCCGAGCACTGCATCCGGTGTCTGCCCGGGCTTGTACCAAGACGTGCTATGTAATCGTGTAAAGTATCGTGTGAAGCTGGGGTCCCAAAATGACAGGACGGGAACACTTACATAGGTTTTCCAGTGAGTGGGTTGATGACCTGAATGGGATCTTGATCAGTATCATTCTTCATCCACAAAGTCTGAGCAAACCTTGGAGTCAAAGTTTTTCTTCCCGTCTGCATCCTCCTTGAACAGTTTGCCGGAGCCGTGGCCGAGTAGTTCGTGATTGGCAACCTGCACTTCAAAGGCCCGCGAATCCCAGGCGTTGTACAGGTCAAGGTCATCAGGATGAATGAAGGACACTTCTTGGCCTTCACAAAAAGGTAAGTTATACGTGACGAAATACGTAATCAACCAGAGCTTTACTTGGTGGTTTTGCGGCGAGGATGTTCTGGTGAACGAATTCACTTAGCACGAGCATGAGAGATTGGAAGACAAAAACGCGACTTACGGCAAGAGACACATTCTTGAAGCCAGTGGACTCCCTGATGTCATAGTAGTTCTGTGCTGCCAATGAACATCCGATATGTGATCGACAATCTGAAAGGTACATACGGGAATCTGAATAGAGCGCATCATAGAATGAGCAATAGGTATGAGTGTTCTGTGGAGAAATGCTACATACATTAATACCAGCGGGAATACCTAATGACCTCGTTGCATTAAATGTCTACAATTCAGAATGGATGCGAATGTACACACCACCAGTGGCAAACGATACGACTTCCAAAGCGGTGAAGTCTGGCCTCTTGAAGACGTCAACTTCGAAGTCTTTTCCCCAAGGAAGCTCCTTGATCAATTCAGGAGCGTTGTTGACAAGGGTCTCGTACTTTGCGCTGAGCTCCTTGTTGACGATGGCAGTGAATCCTGTAGCCCAAATTTGATTTCATTGGAAACTCGGCGGGGTAGCTGTATAACTTACCTTCCCACTCGGCGCGGCCGCCGTAAGGATCGACGTAAGTCTCGATGAAGCCAATGTATGATTCAACGACGGGCCCGACATCCTTAACCCATTGCTTAGACCCTTCTTTGTGAGCATCGATCGATCCAGTTTGGAAGCTGGAGGACACGTATTATCAACACCGTCGGGAGATTTGTTTAATTAGAGACATACGATTTGATGTAACCGTCCAGCATGGCAGTTTGCGTATCATTCGAGGTAAATTTCTTGGCCTGTGACCTGAATTAGCTATATGAATGCAGGAAGAACCCATGTCGGATCCGCATTCACCTCGGTCAGTGCTGCGACGGCCTTAGTCAAGGGCCCTGAGAAGTCGCCATACTCGACGGTAAGTTTTGCAGCACTGTCCAATATCTGGATATCATGTGTCGAGCTAGATGTTGCATCCGCAGACGCGACGAGTAGAGTGAAGTCGCTGCTACTGTTTTTCTTGACACTGAAGAAGGGATCATTCGCTCATAGAATCCCGGGACATAAGGCATGGGACCTACCGAGTATTGAGAACGTCCACGCCAATTTTCTCAGCCGTCGCCTGCACGGCAGCAACTTCCTCATCTGTGATGGGCTCTCCGAGGTAATAGTTTGAGACGTGACCGAGCAGAGGTTTGCCAATAGAGAGCGCTGACTCGGGTTCCAGTGCGTAGATGTGCTCTTTCAACTAGATCGCGGTGTTAAATGACAAAGTTCGGCTGGCTGCGACATTACACGCTTACCTCGTCCCAGAGTGGGATGGCATTGGCTGCGTTTGCCGATTTCTCGATCACAGCAGCGAACTTCTCTTGGGACAGACGCGGCACGATCTTTGTGAATCCAAAGGATTTATAGTTCACCAAGTTGCTCAATACCTAGGGAAGACACAGCTGAGCACCCTCACACGGGGGTCGGGAGAAATGAGATGGATCCAAAACGTGTATTTACTTGGCTGGTATATTGCAAAAGATCCTCCCATTCCTCATCCGTGAGACCAGCTTTCAGCTGCAGAGCCTTCAGATCCCCCAACGTACCGTCCGTGCTGAAGGTGAGGATCAAGAGATCGTAGAGCTTGTCAGCCTGAGGCGTCCATTGACCCTGTATGATACGAGCGCCCGCCCAGGAAGCTTGCCCGATGTAATGAGCGTATTTCTTTTCCTTGGAGCTGACCACATTGTCGAATGAATTCAAAGTCCTCGAAAATCGGAATTGATGGAGGAAACGCGGTGTAGCATGGCGCACCTGAGCTGTCGGAATGCCTTTGCGACGTTAAGGCTGCCAAAGGGGGCAGTCCGATCGGCCAGAAAACGTTCAGCAGCAATATTAGCCATGGAAGCAGAGGATGCGAAGGGTTTCCGGGAAAGGGGGAGAGAGAGGCTTGTATATTGCAGGATCCGATTGGGAACACGTCGCTGGATGGGTGCCCATGTGGTCCGCCGGAGCACAAGCATTCAAATATTCGAAGAGAGAAAGACCCGTTGTGGAAAGAATCTATAAATTGTGTGACGTGTGACTCTTCGGCATGCTTCGGCATATCCATTCGTCGAGCTTCTCGAGATCCATGGAGATCCATGGCGCTCTCACCGGTCAGCATCTTGTTGTCCGAAAACTTCACTGCGCTGTAGAGGTTATACGTGTTGCTGAACATCGTCTCGTCTCGCTCACATGCCGGTGTACTAGCAAGGTATTCACTTCCCGCTTTTGCACCGAAAATGTGCTCCAAAATAGAAAGGGGACGACTGGTCGACTGTGGTCAAGCCGAGATCATGACTTTTCAGTTTTTGTACGGACAGCTTCCCGCACTCGGACATAGTTCCCCCATAGGACCTTCCACTCAGCCTCCTGGATGCCTTCCCCGGCCTTCCCGATCCCACCAGCCTTGTCCGCACCCACGCCTGCCCAGCCCAGCGCGCGCTCGTAACATTCGAGCGCTGTCTCCATTGACCTCGGACCGCCCTGGGCTTCGTTCAGGACACCGACTAAGTTCCAGGCTTCCGCAGCTGACCTTCGAGCATCCCGAAGTAGGCTTTTCGCCGGCTTTGACATCGAAGGTGATTTCGAGTATATAGAACGAAGCGGCGCTTCCGAGGAAGGAGGATGTGGGACTTTAGACTGAGGAGCGTCCGGATGTGTCGACGGCAACCCAGTCAACGTCAGAGCTACTCGCTCCGATGATTGCGCTGCCCGTTTCAACCATTGCACAGACATGTCTATGGGCGACCGGAGAGCGTAGAGGACCTCCGCCAGATGGACAGAAATCAAGGCTGAACGGTGAAGGATGTACAATGCGTGCAGCGCCTGAGGTGGTGTCAGCGATGACGCGGTATTAGTGACCCGAATGGACCGCAGTAGATTGAGCGCAGACTCCTGTGTGCCTTGCGCCTCTCGTAACTGGCCAGATGTCGCATAATAGGCCGATAACGAGACTAGCGCAGAGGCAAGCGTTCGTTGAGCCAATGGGGAGGGAGGCATTGATGCAGGGATAATCGGAATTGGGGGAACAGACTTGGAATCATCTGAATCAATCATCTGAATGGATCGCGCCCACCATGCGAGCGCGTCTTCTGCATCGCCTAGCCTGTAGTTTAGGTCTCCTAATTTCAGCGCGACGCGAGACGCCTCAGGTCCTTGACCGGACACGCGTGCCCATACGCGCTGAAATTCGGATCGGGCCTCAAACAAGGCGTCTTGTGTCCCCATGCGCTCCATGATGCTCGCGTGCCGAACAAGCAGATCCGCCATTGTCTGTGGCCGTAGTACCTTGGAGGGCTCCTTACCCAAAGCGATCTCCAGCGCAATGTTCAGGAAGTTCTGAGCGTACTCAAGGCTCGCCTCCACGATGTTCATTCTTCCCGAGCCGAAACTACCCTTTCCGCTGAGCGCAGTAGACCCCATGATGCTGCTTGACGAACCGACGCCCCAGTTCTGCGCTATCCAACTGCTGCGAACGGCATGTCGGCCCTTGAATCCCAATGCAGGATCGGTACCTCCAGTTCCGCCCCCCGTCCACTTCTCTTGTTCCACATCCCACTCCCACTTCTTAGCCTCTTCATCGCTTTCCGGCGCCAGTGCAACCTTCTCCACCCACATATGAGCACCCTCAAAAGCTGTCCAGACGACGGTACCCGTGCCAATGAGTCCGATCATGGAAAACTTAAATAGACGAAGGAAGAAGTTGAGGGTGAACATGGTGTGTTTCGCGTAGTTCTCGTCTATAAACACAGACGGTTCTGGGGTGTGGTCTGCTCGCCATGGAGTGGGCGATTTTCCTGAATTAGACTCATATCGACGGAGTATGTTGGAGCGTAAAATTGGAAGATTTGGTGAGCGAGATGGGAGTCGCGGTGTTGGTCTGCACTTAGAAAGCATAGGGTTGGGATGGACTGGAAATCGCGGTGGCTGCTGGTAGCTGACGAGACCACGGATTGCTGCAATATTGCGGGATATTGCATCCGCGCGAAATTGAAATTACTGATCGAGCGCCATCGGAAAACTGCGGGATCTCAAGCGGAGTTCCACGCTGTCACACGTTCCTCCACATCGAGATCTCTCACGCGCAAGTTTTAGAAGCCTGTCTCAGTCTCACTCCCATTGCATGTTGTGCAGCAGCCTTGTCTGCGCAAACGGTGCTGCGCTCTGCGTGATAGTCGATATCTCGACTCGCGTGTACGAATGATTCCATCAGCCATCAATTGTGCAGCGGTTTCGGGCGTCGCGTGTTTTCCGATCGGCTCATTCCAGGATTAGAGCACAGAGGCTCTACCGCGGCTCGAGCTACCGTTTGGTGCTGTTCCATGACGTTTTCAGAGCAGAAGCGCCTCATGGCCATGAACCAGTCGAGGGCCCACGCACGGGATCATGAAACCTTTTCCTGGGCGGCAAACGAAGCATCGCCCCAGGCACCTGCTCTTACCGAGCCATGGACGGTCCAGAATAAATAGCACGAGCACGCATGAGATGAAGTTCTTGTGTTTGGACCCCCTTCCCTTCCTTTCTCAGAGGTCATATCGCCATGCGCTGTTCCACTTGGTTGACCGTGGCCTTGAACGCGCTCTCCGCGTATGCCGCAACGACCCCTTCACGAACCGTCGCAAAACGCTGGAAAACAGACAGCGAGCTGTTCGTCAAGGCCGAAAATGGTCAATTCCAGGTCAACGGAAGGTGCGTGGCCTATCCTTATCTACGGTTTTTTTTTGTCATAAAAGGCACGAAAAAAACTCATTTCTTGAATCTTACAGCGAGTTCAAGTTCATTGGAACAAACGCGTACTGGTTGCCATATCTCAACTCTGTGGATGATATCAACAGTACTTTGGCCAATATGTCTGCTGTTGGTATCAGGGTGGTCAGAACTTGGGCATTCAATGGTGCGTTTGCAACACGGTCCCTGAACATGGCAGCAAACGCTCAGAACGATCGCTTTTCATCAGATGTCACAGCCATCCCTGTCAATGGCACTTGGCTCCAGCTGATCGTCAACGGAACGACATCGATCAACAATGGCACCAATGGCCTGCAGCGGTTGGACAAGTTCGTCGAGCTCGCTCAATCGCACGGGATTTACGTGTTGTTCTCGTTGACAAATAATTGGAACCCGATTGACAACTCCTCGGAGGTGACGATTGTTCGTCGCGACGACCAAGGGAACTCTAGTCTCCCGCGGAACTTCCTGTCGAACACATACGGTTGGTGTAGCGAGTCACACAGATTACGTTGCGAATGGATGCTTACAACTTGGTGGATCGACAGGTGGAATGGACGCTTATGTTCGCGAGTTTGGTTTGAACAAGCAGCACGATGAATTTTACACGAATTTCACAATCATGGACATCTTCAAGAATTATACGAAACAAGTGATCACCCGATTCATTGACAGTCCCGCAATCTTTGCATGGGAGCTTGCCAACGACCCACGATGCAGCTCTTCCCTCGCCGCGAGCGACTCTTGTAACACGTTGACCATCACGAACTGGCACGCTAATGTCTCGAGCTTCGTGCGCTCGATCGATCCTAACCACCTGGTCTCGTCTGGGTAAGTACCATTGCGCCCTCTGCTGTACGTCAGGTTCTCATGATCCTCCTCGTGCAGGAATCACGGCTTCCAGTGCCCGTTCTGCCCAAAGCTGTTCCCTCTCACCCCGCCTGCGCCTGCGGCTAGACCCTCTCCTGCCCCGGGTGCCTCAGGTGCACGGCGCCGTTCTGTCAGTAGGGTCATGACCAAGGCACGTCTCATGCGTGATATCGCCGACAAGCGTCGCAAAATTCGCCTCGCCTCACCGGTAGCAGGGGGCGTCAAGATCCGGGGGCGCTGGACGGCGTCCGGTATGTACTCTCCTCCTTACGGGTCTCTCAGCGCCCCTGATCGCAGCCTATCCAAACTCATAGGCGTCTCAAAGAGGCAGGACAGCGGGGTGGGGTCGGCGTTCGATGGCTCGCAGGGCGTCGACAGTCAGGACATCCTCAATATTCCAGACATCGGATTCGGCTCGTTCCAGCTGTTCCCTGATCAGAACAACTACAATACGCTAGGGACGGGTTCCGACAACACGCAGAACACAGGCTTCGACTTCAATGCCACCCTGCAAGAGGGCATCAACTGGATCAACAGTAATGCGGCTTCTGCTCAAGCGTGGGTCCATGTTTCATCTTATCTACCTCTTTCGTTCCCGTCAAGGCCGTCCTTTCCTTACTTGACGAGCGAGCGTCACGTATCTTTCCGCCCCCTCTTCCTCCTCGTGTCCATCTCTTCTCTCTTCGTCGCGATCAGATACTGATGGGATGACTTGCGCAGCGTCGGCAAGCCCCTGGCGCTCACGGGCTTCGGTGTCGTCACGCAGGAGAACATCCCGTTCTTCGTGCCGTTCAACAGCACGCTCCCGTCCTTCCCCACTGCCGCGAACACGGGCAACACGAGCACGGGCACGCTCGGTGTCGGCGCCACGGACCAGCAGCGCGACCAGACGTACCAGCAGTGGCTCCAGGCCGGCATCGACGCGGGCGTGCAGGGCCTGGTGCAGTACCAGTGGACGGCAAACAACCTGACGCAGCAGCAGGGAACGCTCATCCCCTTGGGCGTCTTGCCGGTGCAGGACACGAACGACTCGACGGGCACGTTGGGGCAGTCGCCGAACGACGGGTACAGCGTGCAAGGGTGCGTCGCGTCCTTCTTTCAGGGTTTGGGAGGGCGGCGCTGATGTGATGTCTGATCTGTTTTCACGCGCGCTCATGCGCCCTCTTTGGAACTGCAGAGTCGGTCTGAACCAAGAACAGGCGACGCTCTCGAACGCGGCGCAGCAGGTCGGGGTCTCGCCCTGAGAGCCGCACGTCGTGACTTTCCGCGAACAACGAAAATTTGTGGATCGCGGGTGCGCCCCGCTGGATTCTTCTCCCTTCTACGGACGCACTCGAATTCGCGCACGATCTTTCACGGCCTCGCTACGCACCCGGAAGACATTCCTAGCTTTTTGGATTCGCGGTATCTTAATGCGCCTCCCGGAGGCCCCTTCGTTTAAGCATGACATTCTATTTACGAGCGCATCTACGACGTGCGGATTTTTTTTTGCCGCATTCGTTGGACACGTCGATGGACCTGGACCACTGTTGTATTTGAATCACGCCTTCTCACGACCCCGAGCGCGCGTGTACGTGGTAGTAGCAGTAGCTAGTAGTAGTATGATCGCTGGACTGATTTGTTCGTTGTTGTCGTAGTACCCGGTCGAGTCGATGTCTGTCTCATTGGATTTGGATCTGGATTCATAGACTTTTGTTGTTGTTGTTGTTGTTGTTGTTGTTCGTGCCGTTACGCGCACTCATTGTTTTTTGGACGCTTCGATTCGCGCTTGGCATTCTGGACGGATCGTCAGGTTCTGACGACCGCCTTGTCTGCGTCGGACTTGCGGAGGGGCGATACCAGTGCGATACGAGGCTTTTGTTGTACCGTACGCACGCGTGCGTGCCTCGGTTCTGTCTCGAGAACACCGTCGCGGCCGCGCGGCGATCAGACGTCAACGAAGAACAGAACAGAGTTCGACGAGCGGACGGGAGAGCGCGCGACTGGCACTGGCCGTGCGCGGGCGAACGCGAGAGATCAGGACGCGTCGGTCGATTTTTTCTGCGGCCAGTCTATCGACGTCACATCCTCGCACAGCTTCGCGAACCGGGCCCGGAACCACCGCCTGCTCCCCTTCGGCGCGCCCGCGCGCTCCTGCGCCCCGTCCGCCCCGTCCGCCCCGCCCGCGCTCCCCCCGTCCTTCTCGTCGGGCCAGAACCCGTCGACGACACGTCCGACCGCCTCGAGCGCGCGCGCGAACCCCGCACGCGCGGCGCGAAAGTCGCTCGGGTCGTCGGGCGCGGAGTAGATGTGGGACGCGAGCTCGTCGGAGGCGACGCAGAGGGCTGCTGCGGCGGCGAGGAGCGCGTCGAGGGCGGGGGGCGGCGGGGGGGCCGGGAGGATCGGGAGGGGCGGCGAGATGAGGAGGAGGGCGCCGACTTGCTTGTGGAGCGTCGCGGTGCGCTGGAGCACGGGGATGAGCTGTGGGGGCGCGGCGCGCGGGAGACGCAGGGGTCAGATCGACTTTGGGAGGGTTGATAGTGGACCGCATGCGCGCGCGCGTACCGACTCTGCGAGCATGCGCTGCTCGGGGAGGATCTTGCCGGAGCCGAGCTCGAGCACGCCGTCGTCCCAGCCGTCGTCCAGATCGGAGCTGCCGGCGAGATCTGCAGCGTCGTCGTCGTCGCCGTCGTCGTCGCCGTCGTCATCGTCCGCGCTATCGACGACGTCCTTCAGCTCGGCGATGGCGTCCGTGATGGGATCGCCCTGGGCGACCCAGAGCTTGCGGACGGCGTGGATGTTGTCCTTTGAGAGCCCGTGGGGGCCGGTGGAGCGGGCGCGGTCGATGAGATCGTGCACGGCGGCGGTGCGGACGAGGTACTCCTGGCCAGCGGCGCTGCTCTTCGCGCGCGATGTAGTCGCGCGCGCGAGGGCGAGGTGGGCCTTGGTGAGCTCGTGGACGGCGTCGAGGACGGCGCGGGCGAGGCGGCGGACCTCGGCGGCGAGGGACGCGCCGTGGGTGTGGGGGCGGAAGGCGGCGGCGTTGGCGGTGAGAGTGGCGGTGTGGGACGCGAGGGCGGCGAGGGGCGTCAGGGCGGCGGAGGGGGCGGGGGCGTCGGGGTTGAGGGCGAGGGAGGTCTTTGTGATGTCGGAGTAGATGAGGGCGAGGAGGGCGAGGAGGTCGGCGCGGAGGGCGGGGAGGGGCTGTGCGGGGACGGCGACATCGGGGGCGGGGCCGTGCGCGAGGGCTGCGCTGGCTGCGGCGGTGTGCTCTGCGAGGAGGGAGAGGGCGGCTGTGTGTGCGTGTGCGTCGGCCATGGGCAGCTGGGGAGGGGGCGGGGCCTGTGGCGGTGGAGGACGCGGCTCACGTGGGTGACATAAGCTCGCTGGCTTCCGCGACCGTCAACGTCGTGGCCGATGTCCTCTCTCGTATGTGCTCTTTCCTGCTCTCCAATCCACACAGCTCATGCTAGCCCCCCAGATCCTGCGCGTCCTGCGCAGCTCAACGCGGCCCCCCTCCCATCCCTCGTCCTCCATCCTGCCCTTGCTCGCCCGCTCCTTCTCCCATCGCACGCACCCCATTCCTCCCTCCCTCCTCCACCCCGCCCCCCTCCGCCCACCCTCCCCGATCATCGCACTATGCACCCGTCGCCACCTCTCGCTCGGCTCCGTCTTCGGCATCGGCCCCAATAAACCCACCCCGTCCGCCCACGCCGTGGCCCACGTCGCCCGCATCGAGGCAGACGCAGACGCCAACCCCGCAGACGTCACAAAGCAGCTCGTCCTCTTCCAAGCTCTCGCAGACACCCGCGTCTCGGCCGGGTGGGAGCTCATCTCCGCCCGCTGGGAGAGGATGTGCGAGTTCGTACGTGGCACATCTCTTCTCCCTCGCCATCGCAGCGATCCCCCGCCGCGCGTGCTCACTGGCTTTTTTTTGCGCAGGAACCGACCTCGCCGCTCCTCAAATCGGACAAGGCATTTGAATTCTACGTCCAGTCCCTGATGCACACCAACCACGAAGCCTCCGTCGTCCCCGCCGTCCGCAGACGCGAATCGCTCCTCGCCGCGCACGCGTCTCCGCCGCTCGCATCACAGACCTCCGAATCGGTATCGTCGTCGGCGCCACTCACGTCTTCGTCCCTTTCGGCAACCGATGCTCCTCCGCCTCCTGTGACCTCTCGTAGCGACGAAATCGCCAAAGCTATCCTCGCCGGTCAGACGGTCTCGCCCCCTGTGTCCAGCGGCGCTCCGGGCCAGCCTCTGACCGCCGATATGGCGAAGCTCGCTACCGCGATGGGTGGAGGCGCAGGCGGCAGCACCAATCCGATCCACGTCCTGGTCAGCGAACGTACGTGCTCTGCTGACTCCCCGTCGTCCGTGAACCGAGATCTTTTTTCGTCCTCGCAGCCAAGGGAGCCTGGCTGCCCAAGTTTGCGCGTTTCGTCGTCTATGTCTGCGTCGGTGCCTTTTGTGAGCTCCTTTGTCTGCTTCCTTTTCACACGCGCGACTCTGACGGACGTCGGACGTCGGACCTCCCAGTCACGCTCACCATCCTCGCGGTCCTCCTCGAGAACTCGGGCCTGGTCAAGCAGGCACCGCGGCAATCTGAGTTTGAGGCGCAGCAGTCGCACAAGCCGGTCAAGTTCAGCGACGTGCACGGCGTGGACGAGGCCAAGGACGAGCTGCAGGACGTCGTGCAGTTCCTGAAGGACCCGACGATGTTCGCCGCGCTCGGCGGAAAGCTGCCCAAGGGCATCTTGCTCACGGGCTCGCCCGGTACGGGTAAGACGATGCTGGCCAGGGCGGTCGCGGGTGAAGCGGGCGTGCCGTTCCTGTTTGCCTCTGGGTGCGTGCAGGACGACGTGGTTTTCTCCAGGGGCGGGTGCTAATCGAACGAACCAGGTCTGAATTCGACGAGATGTTTGTTGGGGTGGGTGCGAAGCGGGTGCGGGAGCTGTTCGCGGCGGCGCGCAAGAAGCAGCCGGCCATCATCTTCATCGACGAGCTGGACGCGATTGGCGGGAAGCGGAACGCGCGGGACCAGCAGTACATGAAGCAGACGCTGAACCAGCTCCTGGTCGAGATGGACGGCTTCCTCCAGGACGAGAACGTGATCGTGATCGCCGCCACGAACTTCCCGGAGAGCCTGGACGAGTCCGTGTCCCGCTGTGTGTCCGTGTTTGTCCCCGACTGACTCCCCGCCAGGGCTCTCGTCCGGCCAGGCCGCTTTGACAGGCACATCGCCGTCCCGCTCCCCGACATCCGGGGCCGGTCGCAGATCCTCAAGCACCATATGACAGACGTCGTCATCGGCAACGGTCCGTCCCCCGTCTCCCGCTCGCGTCGACCGACCCCCCTCGCTCACTGTTCCCCCCCCCGCAGACGTCGACCCTATGATCCTCGCCCGCGGCACCCCTGGCTTCTCCGGCGCAGATCTCCAGAACATGGTCAAGTGCGTGCCTCGTTCTGCTGCCCTCGTGCGCCGTGCCCTGCTCACGCGCCCCCGTTTAGCCAAGCGGCCATCCAGGCCTCCAAAGAAGGCTCGAAGGAGGTCAACGCGAAACATCTCGAGTGGGCAAAGGTTCGGTTTTTTCCTGAACTTTGTTTCCTGCTGCGCACGGCGCCCGACCGACCCCTCATCTCTCCAGGACCGCATCGTCATGGGCGCAGAGCGCAAGAGCCAGTACATCGACGAACACGTAAAAAAGCTCACCGCGTACCACGAAGGCGGCCACGCTCTCGCCGCCCTCTACACTCCCGGCTCCATGCCGCTGCACAAGGTGACCTGCGTACCCCGCGGTCACGCTCTCGGCGTGGTACGTCCTGGCGCGCTTCCCAAGCATCTCGTCGATGGCTCACCTCGCTCCGTGATGTCTGCCAGACTTCGCAACTCCCCGAGAACGACCGCTTGAGCGTGACCTTCAAGGAATTTCTGGCCGACATCGACGTGTCCCTGGGCGGACGCGCCGCAGAAGAGCTGAGTGCGTCGGAGCTCTTCCGTTCCGCTTTCGGACGCGCGCTGACCGTGAGGGTGTAGTCTTTGGGCGCGAGAACGTGACCAGCGGCGCGTCATCCGACCTGAAGCATGCGACCGCCGTCGCCACCAGGATGGTCAAGGTGCGCATGCATGTCCTTTTTTTTTTGCTCCACCCTCCTACCGCGCCCTGTTCTGCTCCCGTCGGGTTTCGCCGCGCCGCACTGCTGACCACGGTGTGCAGAACTTTGGATACTCTGACAAGATCGGGCCGGTCTATCTGAACGAGCGCGACGAGATCATCAGCCCGTCGAAGCGCGAAGACATCGAGAGCGAAGTTCGAGGGTGCGCATTCTTTATTTATTTATTTTATCCACCCCTCCACGAAAGCTCCCTCCGTTTCTTCTTCCGACCGACGCACATTCCGCGTTTACGTCTCCCCTCCCCTTATCGGCGCCCCCACGCGCGCGGGAGCTCTGTGCGCTGCCAAATGCGCCCGAGGCTGGGGTCGCCCCAAGCGGGCAGCTCCAGCTCCACGCGCGAGGCTTCTTTCCACGAAGGCGCGAGCCGCGTATGGCTGCCCGCGGCCGTCGCCTCGGCGCGCGCCCACGTACTGCCCACGTCCGCGTCCGCGCGCGGGCGCGTGGGCTCGCGTGGGCGTTGCTCTGGGCCGTCTTTAATATGCCCGTTTTCATACATCTGTCTGCGCCCTCCGGGATCATGAGCGCGCCTGCTGACCCTCCTTCCTTCCTTGCCCGCTGTCTTCCTTGGTGCGCCGCTCCGATCCGCGCCCGACGCCTTTACCCTTGTCGGTCGCCCCTCCTTTTTGGATCGCACGTCGTTAGCCTCCTGCGCGCCGGCCAGGCCCGCGTGTTCGAGCTGCTCAAGTCCAAGCAGCAGGAGCTGCACCGGGTGCGTACTTATCTGTCCAATCGCCCTTCGCCGTGGGCTGACTGGACGCCCGCGGTCGCTTGGCTCCGCGCGCTGGTGGTGCCGGCGTTTTCAGCTCGCGAACGCGCTGATCGAGCACGAGACGCTGGACATGGAGGAGGTGAAGAAGGTCATCCGCGGCGAGCCCATCCGCAACATCAAGGAGGTCATCACCGAGGACCTGTCGCGCATGGCCGCGGGCGCGGGCGCGCCGGCGCCCGCTAGCCCGTCGGCGCACGCGCACTCGCACTCGCACTCGCACTCGCACTCGTCATAGCACGCGCCGGGCCCGCGCCAAGGAGTGGCGCGCGCGTGCACGCTGAAAAAAGGATGGAGGGGCGGCGGGAAGAGGGTCCCGCGACCGTGCGAGGGGGTGTGTTCTGTGTCCATCGGGAATCGGGAAGTAAAGTAAAGCGATCGCGGGCCCCCGCCCGACGCACCGAGACGGCGGGCCGATGGGGAATCTCTGTGCGCTGCGCTCTTTCAAGGTGTTGCGTTTTTTTCTGGCAGTAGTATGATACGGTAATATGCTGGTGGTGGTGGTGGTGGTCCCCGGGGCGGGCGACTGGCGGGCGGTGCTAATCAATTTCTGATCGGCCACTCGATCCTCCGACGGGGGCCCTCGATCGAGGTCCGTCTCGGTCTGTCCCATTCAATTCGCTATATATATATACATACATACATGCATACACCCACATATACACATGCGCACGATACGCGCACACGCCGATGCATGTCTCTCGTGTGTATGCCCGCGCGCTCTCCTTGGCAGTGGTTTGGTGCGTACTGGTGGTAGTTAGACTCGCGTCGCGTGTTGAGAATCAAAGGCGAGATGGCCGCGTCCCCGCTCGATCGAGCTGTCGTTTGCCGCGTCCTCCCGTCGCCAAGCAAGAACGCGCCGCTATCCGCCACCAATCGCCACTATCCGCCGCCGCGGGGAGATTGGGCGGGGCCGGGAGGAGCTGGACGATCGGTCGGTCGGTCGGTCGGTCGGCAGCGGTGGCGGTGGCGGTGGCGGCGGGGGATTCGCGGGAAGATATGAAAGCTTAAACCGCGAAGGACGCGCGGGGGCGCGTGTGTGTACGTACGGGTGTCGTGTGGCGCTGGGATCATACGTACTGCGCTTCCTTGCGTCCTTGCGTCCTTCCTTCCTTCCTTCCTTGTGTCCTTGCGTCCTTGCGTCCTTCCTTCCTTCCTGGGGATGGTTGGGTGAGGATGGATGGATAGCTGGGTAATGGGAACTAGGTAATGGGTAATGGGTAATGGGTAATGGAAAACGGGCGGGCGGGCAACCCACGGGGCGCTGCGAATGGATAGATTGCGTGACGGGGCTCGAACGAGCATATATATATATGTGTATGTGTGTATGTGTGTGTGTGCACGCACGCACGCGCGCGAACTAGATGTGGACGCGCCGGAGGAACTGCGGGCGGGCGGGTGCGTAAGGGGGGTCACGTACGCGTCCGTCTGGTCCCAGCCCTTTCAGGGTCCTGCGCGGCCACCCTCCTCTCCAGAGCCAGCCAGCGCGGGCCAGCGCGGGCCGGTGCCGTGCGGACCTCGAGCGGCGACGAGGCCTCCATGGAAGGCGGGGCGGCTGTTCGGTCGGTCGGGCGGGCGAGCGGCAGGATGCGCGGCGCCGGGCGTGTTTGCTGTCGTTGGTCTGGGGCCCGACGTGGATGGGATGAGATGGCGGGGAGCCAGACGTGGGCAGCCGTTCGTTCGCCGCGGCACAGATGCAGATCCCGAGGTGGCCGGATAGCGAGCGAGCGAGGGCGCGCGTGAGTGAGTGAGTGAATGGCAGACAGATCAACACGCTCGACGATGCGGGTGCATGTACCGCCAGTGGTATATCGCGCGTCTGTTGCGGAACCGCCGCCGCGTGGGCACGTCGCTCGTTGTGCGCGCGCGTGTCACGCTCGTCGTCGGGAGGCCAGCCAGCGTCGGACGTATTGGGTCCACGAGGGGCCCCCCTGTCTGTCTGTCCTCTGTCTGCGTCTGTCTGCGTCTGCGCCATAGGCCAGCTCTGCGTGCATAATCGGGCGCGCGCGTACGTACACACGTCCACACGTACGTGCGTGCCTTCCTGGGCCCAAGTCAGCCGACAGGGCCAAAAGAGACGGCTGTGCGCCCGTCTGTCCGTCCGTCCGTCCATGTACAGCATGCAACGAGAAACGAACGCGCGAGCGCGATGCGACGACGGGCGCAAGCCTGGGCAAACGTGCTACGGCGCGCACCCAACGACCCGTCGAGGGTTCGGTTCTTCGGCGAAGCCCGTCGGGACTCGGGACTCGGGAGAGACTCGGGGGTGCTCTTGTCTGCTGCAGATCGTCATCGGCGAGATGGACTGATAGCACCACATGCGCGCGCGGCGCCGAAGCACAGAAAGAGCAACCCCAAGGTCGACCGGGCGGTCACAAGTGGCAGCATTATGTAGCATCGGTAGCCAGCATCGATGGGCAGGGATCTCCAAGGAGCAAGTCGTCTAGCTGTCGATCTCTCCGAGGCCTCGTGCGCTTTTCCCTACTAAGCCCACCCCACAAGAGCGGTGGGGGAACCCAATGATACCGTTTCCTCGCGAAATTCCGGAGAATGCTGTCAGGGCGCTGCGGGGTGTGTAAGTATCAGATATCTAGAGGCTAATATTGAGGCCCGTCGTGAACTGAGGTCGGGCGGGCACCGGGGGTCCGAGCCCGGTGCCGGGATTGGACAGGGCCCGGACGTCGCCGGGGGCCACAAAGGCCTTGCTAGACGCACTGGGCAGTGGGCGTGTCGCTTGTCGCTCGCAGAGAGAGAGAGAGAGAGCATGTTGGACGCGACGTGCCGCCCACGTCACGTCGTGCGCTGGAGCCCGCAAAAGGGATGGCGAGAAACGGAACGGAGCACGAGGAGAGAAGGAGGAGATGGAGAAGGCAACGTGCATGCTCGATCGGGACGCGATACGAGAAGATCGTGGTGGGCGCGACAGTTCGCGAGCCTCGAAGACTTCCGGGAAAGAAGAGGAAGGAGGGAGAGAGAAGGGCGTGCCGCAGTGCTCGGAGGGCTAAATGTTGCGGGCTTTGCGCCCTGCGTACTCGCGCGCCCTCGAGTGCCGGTGCGTGAGGACAGGATGGATGGGGTCTGATGCCGTCGTCGAGCGCCGCCGCGCGTTGACAAGACGACGACGGGACGACGAACGACATGACATGGACGGTTCCATGCATGCCTCTCGTATGCCGATCGGCGCGTGGGATGGCGTAGGGCTCGCGTCCGAAGGCGTTCGTGAACGCCACAAAGAAGGAAGAGAAGCGAGCGTGGACGAGAAGCCTGCCGGGGCGGGCGTCCCCGCTGACTGTCGGCGATAGCGCGGGTGTCACGCGCCAGCGAGCGTGCACGAGAGCGCGCGGACGCAGCACAAGTGCCGGGGGGTTCCGAGCGCGTCGACCGAGGGTGCCCGATCTGGCGGGGCGTCGACGCAGCTCGTGCGTAATGGTATCGTCACGGCCAAGTGCGTGCGTGCGTACGTGCGTGCGCGCGATATAAGGTTCAAGGACGATCGATGAGAAGGGGCCGCGGGGGCTCCGGACACTGGCGTGCGGGCGGGGCGGCGTGATCACTGATCTCGTCGCGAGAGCGCAATCAGAGTTCGACGCGGTGACGTAGCGGGGGGGGGTTCGGTTCGTCCTGCGCGCGCGTCGGGCGGGTACAGCAGAGGGGTTGTCGGGGTCACCGGGTACCGGTCGCCTGGGTGGGGACAGCGGGCGGGCGATCTTGCTCTGTGGGTCGCGCGATCTGGGGCCCGGAGAGGAAGCGAGGGACGGCGCGGGAAGGTTTGCTGAAGGCTGACGGCTGCTGATCTGGGTGTGATGTGCAGATAAGCCTAATAAGCCTAAACTCGGGCGCGTGGAAGGTGCGAGCAGGGAAGGGAAGCGAAGGGAAGGAGGGCGCTGTAGAAGACAGCGAGGAATGGGAAAGGTTTGGGAAGCGATAGCGTCAGGTGAGGGTTCGCGCGAGTGGAAGCGTCGAAAGGAATCTTGCAGGAACGCAGAGGTTATCCGGGGTGTCAGAGGATGGGGATGGCGATGCCGTGACGTGATGTGGGCAGCAGATGGCGCAGGCTGTGAGATAATGGGTCGTCCGGGTTCAGGTCAAGGCTGGACGCCTTCTGGGGGACGGAGGACGAGCGTATGTGCCGTACGCGATAGGGCTGATGGTCAGATGTCCCCTGGCTTGCCCGCGGGTGTCGCTGAAGGCCTCGTCGCAATGGAGGAACTGGGGCGACGGGGAGCAGAGCGGAAGCGACATGGGTGCGCAAGTACGTGTACGTGTCGAGGGGAGTCGGTGCGAGGGCGATTTATTGCCGGATTGGAGACGGCGCGGCGAGATCGATCTGGAGGCATGGGATGCACTCCAGTGCTGGGGGGAAATGCCGGGGCGTCTGCCCGCGTCTGGGCAGAGGAGATCTGAGGGGCGTGATCTGAGATGCCCCGTGGGGCGGCGGGCTCAGCGGACGGACGGGGCACGTGAAAAGGACGGGAGAGTGTGACGGAAGATGGAAGATCTGGGTTGGATTGGGGGAGGGGGGGAGGGGAGGTGGGCTGGCAGACGTGTTCCAAATGGCCCTACGGAGGGATGTGCGGGCACGACAGTATAAAATTCAACCCCAGACACCCCCCGGCGGAGTTCCCCAGGCTCCCCATCCACTCGACGCAAAGTCACCGACGGTGGATCCCTCCTCGGTGAGTGCCACCGCTGCTGCATCATCGCCCCCCCCGCGCGAATCCACCCCAGGGCGGACTGACCTCGGCGCCTTGTGCCAGTAACAGTAACGCACCCCCGCGCCCAACCTAACAAACGCCGATCGTCGACGCCACCCTGCTCCTGCCCGCTCCTGCTCCTGCTCCTGCTCCGCCGACGTGCCCCTCCGCCCCTTTCCCCCCCCCCTTCCCACCGTGAGTTCCCGTGCCGCGTCTTGCCACCGCCGCGCGGTCGCTCACCGCTGCCGCCGCTGGCTTTATCCGCCTCCGCGCGCAGATGTGCCATCGACAGCTGCGCTTCTCCAAGAGCACGGCGTGCGGTCACTTGATCTTCACCGGGGAGACCAACATCGACTGCCGCGGTCAGACCTGCTTCCTGAGCGCGTCCCACCCGGCCACCTGCGGCCAGACCCAGGCCTGCCACTGCCGCAGGTATTGGACGTGCGTCGATCCCTCTCCCGCTGACCTTCTCGGAACTCCCCCGTCTGATCCCGGTCCAAATGCAGCCAGCCGGACCGGATCGTCACCGCCGAGGTCCGTCCCTCCTCCTCCCTCCTCGTCCCTCCTCCTGCGCGCCCCATCTCACCCGCGGTCTAGACCCCGGCCAAGTGCCCCGCCTGTTCCTGAGCTCCCGTGCGCTCGACGTTGTTTACGACCCGATCTTGTACACATTAGCTTTTTTTTTTATTCCATCTACAAATAACATATACAAATTCACCCGCGGTCGCTGCCCCCTCAGTCAGTATAGCCGTCCACCGTCCCCGCGTCCTGCAACATCCTGTCCGAGAACCCGCCGTCCCCGTACTCTTCGTCCTCCTCGTCATCCTCGTCCACGTCCATCGTCCCCCCGCCCTCCGCCTCCGCGGCCGCGCGCTCCATCGCCGCCCGCGCCGCCTCCGCCTCCGCAGCCGCCTCTCGCTGCGCCGCCTGCGCCTTGCGCACGTCCTCGAGCGTCCAGAGCGACACCCCCGTCAGGTTCTCCCCCGCGTTCTGCGAGATCGTGCGCATGAACAGCTTCGAGAGCGAGAGCGCCATGTCCGTCGACAGGTTCGCGGCCGTCTCCGTGATGTACTGGTTGATCCACCGCGGCAGCTTCGCCCGCTTGTCCGCCCGCGCGAACCGCTGCCGCGTGGCCGTCCCCACCCGCGTGTCAGCGCCCAAATGAGAGCAAGAGAGAGATGGGAGAGCAAGAGAGAACGGCGGGCGACCGGCGCACGCACCTTGTCCGCGAACACCATCAGGCCCCAGTCCGTCTTGCCGCGCAACGCCCGCCCGACGCACTGCGCCGCGTTGCGGATCGCGTCGAACCCGAGGAACTCCGACTCCCGGATCCGATACGCGTCGCGCAGGTACTCGAGCCGCGCCTTGAGGATCCGGCTCTCCGTGTACTGATACGGCACCCTGCACGCACGCGCCGAGCGTTTCAGAATGCGACGTGCGCCGAGGGAGTGTGAGTGAGAGACGCGCACCCGAACATGATGACCGCGCGCCCGTAGTTGTGGTCAAAGTCGATGCCCTCGGAGACCTTCCCGCGCGCGACGGACAGCAGGACCGCGCCGCGCCCGTTGTCGCACGCCTGTCAGCAAACGCGTATCAGCAGCCGCCGCAGCCTCGACGAAGCGCGCACAGAGCGACGCACCCGGCGATAGTTCTCGAGCGCGATGCTCGTCTCGTTCGCGTCCGGCGTCTCGACGAAGATGAGCTTGTGCTTCCACACCTCGTTCAGGATCCCCTAGCGGCGGCGCCGCGGAGTTCTTAGCCCTCGGCATCGCGGACAGGACGGGGCGCGCACCATGTCGTTCCACGCGGCGACGATCGACTCCATGTACAGGTAGCTCGGGAAGAACGCGACGACGCCGTCCGGGACGATCTTGCTGTACTCGACGAGGATCGTGCCAAAGTTGCGCACCACGGCGGGGTCGTTGCGCACCTCGAACCGCGAGCTGATCGCCACCTGGTCGCTGCCCCGCGTGATCACCTGCGCGCGCCCGCCGAGCGACCGATGGAGATGGAGGAGACGGAGATCAGCATGTGTGCCCCGTGGGGGAAGCGGACGCGGGACGTGCCAGAGGGAGGAACGAGTTGCGCGTGAGCGTCATCGCGTACGTCTCTTGCACGACGGGCGTGAACTGCAGCATCTTCGGGTACATGTCGAGCGGCGAGAGCGTCCCGGACGTGATCACGACGCTGCTGAACCGCTCGAACACGGGCTTGATCGCGATCGCCGGGTCGAGGCAGCTGTCGCCGCCCGTCCGTCAAACCGTCAAACCGTCAGCGTCAGCGTCAACGTCAACGTCAGCGCCACGGCACGAGTCTGCGCGCGCATGCGCGTCTGTGGCGCGACGGAGATGAAAGAACGCGGACGTACACGAAATGGAAGATCGGGTTCGGCACCGTCGCGTTCTCGGTCTCGAACGGCTCGAGAATCAGCAGGAACCCTGCCCGGCGCGTCAGCGCGGTCGGGGCTACAAACGCGCGGGCGTGGGCTAGCGCGTCCGCGGGACGCACCTTTCTCGTACGTCGCCACGAGCGTCGCGAAGCTCGCGACCTTTTGCAGCGCCGCGTACTCGTCGATCCGGCTCAGCTCGAGCGTCTTGACGAGCGACTGCAGGCGCTCCGCGCAGAACCTACCCGCCAAGGTGAGTGGGCGTTCAGCAGTCGGCGCGGCGCAGAGAGGGCCGTCAGAGCGAGTGCGTGGCTTACCGGAGCGGCCTGCGCTCGATGTACGTGATGTCTTTTAGGTGCTGCAGGAACGACAGCGGCGTCTCGGCGACGACGTGTAGCACGCGCATGCGGGTCTGCACCAGGTGTGTCAGTTCACTCATGCGAGGGGCGGCGATGCGCCACGCGGGACGCACTTTGAGGTATTCGACGAAGCGCTTGAGGAAGGCGACGAAGTGCTCCGCTTTGCGGATGTTGCCCGGGACGGCCTCCGTGAGCAGGTCCTCCGGCAGCACTGCGGGTGCGGTGAGATACGCCGGTGCATGGGAGAGATACGCAGGGGGGGGGACGCACCCGGGTTGCTCATGAACGCGTCCTCGTCCGCGGCCGCCTCCTGCAGGCCCTCGACGAGCTTCGCGTACTCGTCCTGCAGCTTCGACGCGTCGGTCTGCTTGATCCTGTGCGTGCGGCGAGTGCGGTCGGCGACCGCGGCGCGTTCATGTGGGGAAGAGCAAAGGCGACGCACTCGTTGATCTTGTCCGCGAGCTTGTTGACGCTGCGCGAGGCGGAGTCGAGCATCGGCCGCGTGAGGTCGATGCTCAGAGACTCGAGGCAGACGTTGTCTGCGGACCGCGCGTGTGCGTGTGAGTGTGTGCGTGCGCGCGCGCGCGCGGAACCCCGGCGCGAGACAAAGCGGACGGACCGATGTTGTGCGCCTCGTCGAAGACGACGATGGCGTCTTTGGAAATGTCCTTGGACACCTGCTCCGCGACCTTTGGGTCGAGGAGGTAGTGGAACGAGTAGATCACGATGTCGACGAACGGCATCTGCGGAGACGGGCGATGCGATGGGACGGAGAGACAGAGGGGGAGCGGGGGCGGGTGAGCGCACCATTCTCCGCACGGTGAAGTACGGGCAGACGCCCTTGTCGCGCCCGTTCTGCAGGACGTCCGCGAGCGTCCATATTCCGGGCGGGATCAGCTGGCCGGCCTCCATGTCGCCGAGGTTCTGCAGCGAGGCTCGCTCAGGCCTGCGGGCCACCCAGACGAAACGGCGCGAGGAAGGGAGGACGCACGTCGTGAAAGCCACAGGTCTCGACGGAGCCCGGGTCGTTCCGCGCGCGCTCGCAGACGGCGGAGTTCGTGAGATCGCGGCAGCGCGCGTCGACGACCTTGCCCTTTTTCTCCTTGGCGACCTGCCGCGGGGGCGGTCGGAGGGGGCGCGGCGGTCGGGGAGGAGGGAGGAGGGACGCACCTCGGGGTGTATGCAGAGGTTCTTGCGGCTTGTGAGGCCGATGCCGGTGAAGGCCTGCTCTTTCCTGCGGTCGTCGTCGGACTCTGCGACGGCGACGCGGTACTCCATGAGGCGCTTGAGCTCGGAGAGGGCCTTTTCGATCTCGGGGACGGTGCGGGAGCAGTAGACCAGCTTGCGCTTTACGGGGAAGAACTGGGTGCGGGTGAGATGCGGCGCGCGCGCGCGCGAGAGAGAGAGAGAGAGAGAGCGGGAGGACTCGCCTGTTGGTAGGAGACGATGAGGGACAGGAGCGAGACGGTCTTGCCGGTACCCGAGGGCATCTCGAGAACGCAGTGGCCCTGCGTGTGCGCGGAGCGCGCGTGAGCGAGGATCGGGTGAGCATGGACTGCTGGTGCTCACCGTTGCGTCGATGGTGCGCTTGAGATCGCACATGTACGCATATTGCTCTGAGACGATGCGGTGAGCGGGGGGGCGCGCAGGGAGAGACGCGTGACGCACCGGGGTATATCCGGTCATAGGGGAAGACGATCTGTGTGGGCGGGGTCTGTGAGCGGGCGGAGGGGACGGCGGGAAGGAGAGCGCACGGGGAGGTCGTCGATGTAGAACTTCATGGCGGGAGCAGCCTGGCTCGCACCGTGCCTGCCGCCGGCGTCCATCCACACATGGGTAGCCGCACCGCCACCGCCCCCCTGGTCCCGTGACAGATCCCTCGGATCGGCATTGCATTGCAAGGTAGAAGTACAGAATACACGCTGCGACACAGGCCAGAATGTACACTGCGACACAGGCGAGAATGTGCGCTGCGACACAGACGAGAATGTACACTGCGAGAGAGGCCAGAATGTACACTGCGAGACCAGAATGTACACTGCGAGAGAGGCCAGAATATACGCCGCCTCACGACCCGCGCTCGTCCACCACCTCGCCGTTCTCGCGCTCCCGCACGCTCTTCTCCCGCACCCGGTCCCTCTCCCGCCGCTTCTCCTCCTTCTCCTTCTCGTACCGCCACGCCGCCGCCATGATGTTCGGCCACATCGCAGAGCTCCGCCGCGCCCCCAGCCGGTCCACGAACGTCGCGATCTTGTCGTACTGCCCCCGCAGGTCGAACGCCCGCTCCTGTCCGCGTCCCGTCAGGCTGCTGTGAATCACACCCCTGCCGCTCGAGAATGCTCACGGCTTCCGCAACCCGGCGCGCACGATCCGCGTCCCGCAGCTTGTCCAGCTCCTTCCGCCGCTCCTCCTTCTGGTTCTTGTTCAGCCCCGACCGCGGCGTGCTCGCCCCCGCCTGCGTGAAAAACAGCCCGCCGTCAGCTACGAAACAAACCCGCGCGGGGGCACGTACGCTCTTGAACAGCGACGCGTAGATGTCCTTGTTGCTCAGGTCCACCTCGACGTTCCCCGCCCGCTGCGCAGGCTTCTTCAGCACGGGCAGCCCGTCGTCCGCCTCGCCCGCCTCGCCCGCCTTGGCGCCCTCGGCGGGCCTGGGCCGCGCTTTCGCCGCGGGCACCTGGCTCGGGTGCGCGGAGGAGGTGCTCGCGCCCGCCGGCTTGTTTTTCTTGATCGGAGGCAGCTTGCGTTTCTTGAACGACGGCAAGGGCGTGGGCCCTGCGTCCTTCTGGGCTTCCGGCGCCGCGGGCGCGGGCGCGGGCGCCGCCGCGGCGTCCTGCTCGTCGATTTCGGGTGAGGGGTCCCGGAGCTTTGCCCTCTTGGGCGCGGGAGGGGTGTGCTCCTCCCTCTCTTTTGTGGCCGATTTGCCGGCCTTTTCTTTTCCTTTTGCGTCGCCTCCGGCCTTGCCCAGCTTCAACCTCACCGTCGGGAGGCGCTTCGCGGCGGGTTCAGGCTCCTCCTCGTCGTCGTCGCCATCGTCGTCGATGTCGACGTCCTTGGCGTCGCGGTAGCCGACGGCGTCCTCGAACGGGTCCTCGTCGTCCGAGTAGACCACGTGCCGCTTCTTCCGGGTTTTGGAGGACGAGGGCGCGGGCGTCACGACGACGGGTGTGCGCTCCTTGCGGCTCTTGGGCCGCTCGCGCCGTTGGGAGGCGGAGGAGGAGGCGCGGGACAGGCGGGCGTGCTTGGCCGAGTGGGCGGCGTCGGAGAGATAGCCGGGGTCCTCGTCGAGCGGGGCGACGTCGCCGTCGCCGTCGCCATCAATGTCGACGTCCATGTCGTCATCGAGCGACTCTGTCGTGCGCGCGCGCTTGCTGTGCGGGTGCGGGTGCGGGTGCGGGTCGTCGTATTCGTTGTCGGCGGGGGACAGGTCGTCGTCTGCGGGCTCGGAGGCGCGCCGCTTGGTGGCCTTGCGCCGGACGGAGGGCGGCTGGGCGGGGTCGGGCTGGTCCTGCGGATGCGGTCAGCGGGGTGAGGGTGTGGTGGTCGAGTGTGTGCATATGTACCTGGTAGAGGGCCTCTCTGGCCTTGAGACTGGGAATGCGGATTCGCTTGGAGGTGGACATGGGGTGGTGGTGGCGGTGGTGGCGGAGGACGACGAGTGTTTCCCAAGTAGGCAACTTGACACATCACATAGGCGCCCGTTCGCACCCTCGACGACGACGACGACGACGACGACGACGATGGCCACCCGCGCGCTGCTGCACCTCGCCGCCCGTCGAACGAGCCCGGCGCTGCGTCGGCACCAGAGCACGGCGGCCGCGCGGATCTCCGTCCTCGGGCAGTCGTACCCCACCGACGCGTACACGAACATCACGCCCTCCATCGTCGCCAAGTTCGCCCAGGCCCTGCACGCGCAGCCAGGCCACCCGCTCTGCACCCTCCGCACGCGCATCGAGCACCACTTCGCCGACTACGCGCACCTCTCGCCCGCCTCGCCGCTCGTCACGCCCTACCAGAACTTCGACTCGCTCTCCTTCCCCGCCGACCACCCCGGCCGCTCCAAGACCGACTCGTACTATGTCAACCGCGACCTCATGCTCCGCACCCACACCTCCGCCCACGAGGTCGACACCTTCCGCAGCGGCGCCCCCCGCTGGCTCCTCACCGCCGACGTCTACCGCCGCGACGAGATCGACGCGTCCCACTACCCCGTCTTCCACCAGATGGAGGGCGCCAGCCTCTTCGGCGTCGACCCCGCCAGCGTCCGCGCCCTCGAGGACGACTGCGCGCGCATGGAGCGCGCCCTCGCAGCCGCGAACATCGCCATCGAGGACGTGCCCCACGTCTCCGCCGCGAACCCCGCCCAGCCCGCGCACGACCCGCGCCGCGCCGCGCTCATCGCGCGCCACCTCAAGCTCTCGCTCAACGGCCTCCTCTACGCGCTCTTCGCGGGCCTCGCCCGCGCCACCGCCGCCGACCCGCTCCGCGTGCGCTGGATCGAGGCGTATTTTCCGTTCACGACGCCCAGCTTCGAGGTCGAGGTCTTCTTCCGCGGCAAGTGGCTCGAGATCCTCGGCTGCGGCGTCGTCCTCCAGTCCACGCTCGACCGCGCCCGTACGTCCCAGCGCACCCGCACCCGCACCCGCACCCGTGCACGCCGCTTGCTCACCCGCGCCGCGCAGACGTCGCGGACAAGATGGGCTGGGCGTTCGGCCTCGGCCTCGAGCGCATCGCCATGATCCTCTGCTCCATCCCCGACATCCGCCTCTTCTGGTCGCGCGACCCACGCTTCCTCTCGCAGTTCACCCCGGGCGAGTTCGCCACCTTCCGCCCGTACTCGAAGTACCCCGCGAGCTACCGCGACGTCAGCTTCTGGCAGCCGCCCGGCGGTTTGCACGACAACGACGTGTACGACCTCATCCGCGACGTCGTCGGCGACTTGGCGGAGGACGTCGCGATCGTGAGCCCTCGTTCCCCGCAGTCTGTTATTTGACAGCGCGTGATCGTTCCCCCCCCCACAGCTCGACAGGTTCGCGCATCCAAAAACGAAGCGCGACAGCATGACCTTCAGGGTGAACTACCGCTCGATGGACAGGTGAGCGTCGCGCGCCACGCCCCCCGCGCTCCCCATTTTTCACGACTGACGCGCCGCGCCGCAGGTCTCTGGTCAGCGAGGAGGTCAACGAGCTGCACCAGCAGGTGGAATCACGCCTGAGAGAGCAGCTGGGAGTTGAGATTCGTTGATGAGGCGAGGGAAATTAAAATAATAGTGCTACGCTACGCGTCGTCGACGCCCACCCGTCGTCCTCTAATGCATGCAATAGAACACTCCCGACTCCCTCCTCCTCCGCGGTCGGGATCACGACTCCTGGACGACGCCGACCTGGGCGGCGCGCAGGACCCTGTCCTTGATCATGTAGCCGGTCTTCTGGCAGTCGATGACGGTGCCGGGCTCCTTGCCCGGTATGGGCGCCTGGTAGAGGGCTTCGTGGCGGTTGGGGTCGAACTTGTCGCCGGTGGGGTCGAAGGGCTTGATCTGGTACTTGAAGAGCGTCTGGAGGAGCAGGCGGTGGGTGATCTCGACGCCGGTGTAGAGCTCCTGGAGGTGCGCCGCGGGTGACTTTGTATTTGGGGGTGCCGGTGATGATGACGATGATGATGATGACGACGACGACGACGTTGATGACGATGACGACGGGGTGGCGGAGTGGTCTGATGGGGATGGTGCGGGTGGTGGGGAGACGAGGGACTGGGGGACGGATTTGAGGGCGAGGGCGAGGACGTCGACGGTCTCGAGGAGGTCGCCAGCGAAGCGCGAGACTGCAAAGTCGCGGGTCTGCTCCTTCTCGCGCGCGGCGTTGCGCTGGAGGTTGAGGAAGTCGGCCTGGAGGTAGCGCAGGCGGCCCTGCGAGCGGGACGGGGATACGCGTCAGCATCAAGGCGGGGCCCGAAGAGAGAGATGCGCACGGTGAGGTCGACGGCCTCTTCCTCCTTGGCTTTGAGCTTCCTCTCGACGGCGGCGCAGGGGCCGTCCTCCGCCGCAGCGCCGGCGCCCGCCTCTGCCTGGCCCTGGCCCTTCTCGCTGGCCGGGGCCTTTTCGTCGGAGTACCAGCGCTGGCCGACAGCGGGTCTGCGGTGCACGGCGGCGATGGAGGCGCGGGCGACGGCGCGCGGCGAGAGCGAGGTGGTGGCTGCGCGGAGGACGTGCATTGCGTGTGCGCGGCTCATGGTTGTGCGAGGGCAGGCGGGCGGCGGCGGCGGAGGAGGAGGAGGAGGAGGCGGGGCGGGGAGAGCGAGCGAGCTGCGAGTGTGGGTGACACCGAGGCAGGAGCGAGTGGCCGAAGGAAGGCGCAAAACTTTCGGGGCGCGCGGTCGCGTGGTGCGCACGTGCGCGGCCGATTTTTTTGGATTTCTATTTTCTCTGGGGAGGCGGGCGGCCAGGATCAGAGGACAGACAGCTGCGACGACGACGACGACGACCCGCACGCACGCACGCACGCCGTCTCCGCCATCGCGCTCGCACGCGCCGCACACACACTCGACCCGCAGGACGCAGAAGCACGCGCGGCGACGGAGGGGCACGGACGTCCGACTATCACAGTCCAAACGGACGCAAACAGCATGCGCCAGATGATGATGATAATACGCGCCGCTCGCCGCTCCTTATCCCCCCTCCATCCTCGCAGCATGGCCTCTGCCTCGACGTCCTCCGCGTCCCTCATCGACGGCACCGCCATCGCAAAGCACGTCTCTCTCTCTCTTTTCTGCGCGCGCGACCGCTCACCGCTCGTCCAGGTCCATCCGCGATGGCGTCGCAGCCCGCATCGCAGCCCTCAAGGCCACCCACCCGCGCTTCCAGCCCCAGCTCGCCATCATCCAGGCCGGCGCCCGCCCCGACTCCGCCGTCTACGTCCGCATGAAGATCCGCGCCGCGGAGGAGGTCGGCATCGCCTTTAACCACATCGCACTCCCCGCCGAAGCCCGCGTCGAGGACATCGTCGACGTCGTCCGGAAACTCAACGACGACGACGCAGTCAGCGGCATCCTCGTTCAGCTCCCGCTCGGCCCACACGTCGGCCCCGACGGCGAGCGCACCGTCACAGAGGCAGTCAGCCCGCACAAGGACGTCGATGGGTACGCGCTCGCAGCCCTCTCTCGTCCGACCACGGCTCATTTCACCCTTGTCCAGCTTCCATGCATACAATATCGGACACCTGTCGTCCCGTGCTTCTGTGCCTCTCTTCACCCCGTGCACTCCGGCTGGCGTCATCCGTCTCTTGGAATCCACTGGCATCACCATCTCTGGCGCAAACGCTGTCGTCCTCGGCCGCAGCGACATCGTCGGCAGCCCCGTCGCCGCCATGCTCCGCAACAAGGACGCCACCGTCACCCAATGTCACAGCCGTACAAAAAATCTCCCGGAAATCGTAAGCGTCCCCCCCCCCGCACCGTCATCCCCGTGCGCCCGCTGATCCCCGTGACGCAGGTGAAAAACGCGGACATCCTCGTCTCTGCCATCGGCAAAGCCGAGTTTGTCCAGGGATCGTGGATCAAGCCGGGCGCCGTCGTCATCGACGTCGGCACGAACTACGTCCCCGACGCGACCAAAAAGTCGGGCCAGCGCCTCGTCGGCGACGTTCACTTTGCCTCCGCCTCCGCCGTCGCCTCGCACATCACTCCCGTCCCCGGCGGCGTCGGCCCCATGACCGTCGCCCAGCTCATGGCCAACACCCTCCAGTCCGCCGAGCGCCTCTGGGAACAGTCGCGCGCGCGCAAGGTCAAGCCCCTCAAGCTCACCCTCCTGGAGAAGGTCCCGAGCGACATCGAGATCGCGATGGCCCAGACCCCGAAGCCCGTCGCGCAGCTCGCCCGGGAGATCGGCCTCGTGCCCGACGAGCTCGAGAGCTACGGCAAGTACAAGGCCAAGGTCGACCTGAGCGTCCTCGAGCGCTTGGACCACAGGAAGGACGGCAAGTACGTCGTCATCGCCGGCATCACGCCGACCCCGCTCGGGGAGGGCAAGTCAACGACGACGATCGGCCTCGCGCAGGCCCTCGGCGCGCACCTCGGGCGCCCTGCGTTCGCGTGCGTGCGCCAGCCGAGTCAGGGTCCCACGTTTGGCATCAAGGGCGGTGCTGCTGGAGGCGGATACAGCCAGGTCATTCCCATGGACGAGGTGCGATCGAGCTCGTGTCGTGGCGTCGTTCTTCGCGGCTGATGGTCCTTTAGTTCAACTTGCACCTGACCGGCGATATCCACGCCGTCACGGCCGCGAACAACTTGCTCGGTGAGTGATCTCGTGGGGATGCGGGGCATGAGTCGCTGATGCGTGACGATAGCGGCCGCGCTCGATGCGCGTATGTTCCACGAGGCGACCCAGTCCGACAAGGTAGACCCAAACTCCATATGTCTTGATGTCGGTATTGACGATCGCGATAGGCATTGTACAGCCGACTCGTTCCGACGAAAAAGGGCAAGCGCGAGTTCGCCCCCCTCATGTTCAAGCGCCTGCAAAAGCTGGGCATCGACAAGACCAACCCCAACGACCTCACCCCCGAGGAGATCACCCGCTTTGCGCGCCTCGACGTCGACCCCGAGACGATCACGTGGAACCGTGTCCTGGACACCAACGATCGCTTCCTGCGCAAGATCACCGTCGGCCAGGCGCCCACCGAGCAGGGCCACGAGCGCGTCACCGGCTTTGACATCGCGGTCGCCAGCGAGTGCATGGCGGTGCTGGCGCTGACCACCGGTCTCCAGGACATGCGCGAGCGCCTCGGCGCGATGGTTGTCGCGACCAGCAAACAAGGCGACCCGATCACGGCGGACGACCTCGGCGTCGGGGGCGCGCTCGCCGTGCTCATGAAGGACGCGGTCAAGCCGAACCTGATGCAGACGCTCGAGGGCACGCCCGTCTTCGTGCACGCGGGGCCGTTCGCGAACATCGCGCACGGCAACTCGTCGATCCTCGCCGACCGCGTCGCGCTCAAGCTCGCGGGCACGGAGGCGGGCGACGCGCCAGACCGCGTCGGGTACGTGCTTACCGAGGGCGGGTTCGGCGCGGACATGGGCATGGAGAAGTTCTGCAACATCAAGTGCAGGGTCAGCGGGCTCACGCCCGACGCGACCGTCATCGTCGCGACTACCCGCGCGCTCAAAATGCACGGCGGCGGGCCCGACGTGTCGCCCGGGAAGCCGCTCGCGGACACGTACACCAAGGAAGACCTCGTCACGCTCAAGGAGGGCACGCGGAACCTCGTCAAGCACATCCAGAACTCGAAGAAGTTCGGCCTCAAGGTGCTCGTCGCCGTCAACCAGTTCGCGTGAGTGTGCTTGCCTTCCCACGCCCCCAGCTCGCAGAGATCGCGGACGCTCACGCGCGCCGCGCTATCTTAGATCGGACACGCCCGCGGAGCTCGAGCTGGTCCGCCAAGAGGCGCTGGCGGGCGGCGCCGACGCCGCCGTCGTCAGCAACCACTGGGCCGAGGGCGGCGCCGGCGCGCTCGCGCTGGCCGAGGCCCTCGTCGCCGTCTGCGAGGGCGACTCGGGCTTCAAGGTCCTCTACGACCTCGAGCAGCCCATCGAAAAGAAGATCGAGATCATCTCAAAGGAGATCTACGGCGCCGACGGCATCGAGCTCAGCGAGCTCGCCAAAAAGCAGATCGAGACCTACACCCGTCAGGGCTACGCGAACCTGCCCAGTACGTCGTTCCGTTGATGTTCTCTGTTGTGTGCACAGGTGCTGATGGCTCGTCGCAGTCTGCATGGCCAAGACGCAGTACTCGTTCTCGCACGACCCGAAGCTCAAAAACGTGCCCTCTGGGTTCACGATCCCCATCCGCTCCGTGAGGCTGTCCGCAGGCGCTGGCTTCCTGTACCCGCTCCTGGGCGACATGCAGACCATGCCCGGCCTCGGCACGCGTCCCGGTGCGTCTCCTCTCCTCAGCGCGCCCCTCCGCCGCGCGCATCGCTCACACTTACGCTCATGCTCTTCCCGTAGGCTTCTGGGAAGTCGGGCTCGATCCCGAGAGCGGACGCGTCGTCGGGCTGTTCTAGACGCATCCGCCCCTCGCCGACTCCGACTTGGACTTGGACGCGGACGCGGACGCCATCTTCCCCAGATAGATCTAGAAGGTATAAGTATAACCTATGTTGCGTTGCTCAACGAAGGCGCCGTCTCAACACGGTTCGCTGTACCCCGTTCAACACGGGCGCGGTCGCTCGCCCTCGAGGGCACGCCGCGGCGCTGTGGCAAGTCGGGATAGGGGCGCGAGGGCCGTCGTGTGGATTGACTTTCGTATAGTGGATCTGATACAATAATACTGAATAAAATCGGCTGTGCGGTGTCATGTGTGCGCTCGGTCGCGGCGGTGTCGATATGATATTTCAATTCCCAACCGTCCTGCCGCCGGGGAGCCGCACCCTCATCACCGCCTGCGCGAGCGGGACGGACGCGGGCGCGCGGGCGTTGGTGGTGGTGGTGGTGGCGGGCGCGAGGCTGCCGCTTTGGTGGTCGAACGTGATGTTGTTCACGAAGGCGTTGACTTGGCGGTCGAAGGTGTTGCGCGCGGCGTCGGCGTAGGTGAAGGTGTTGTTGCTGGTGCCGTTCGAGCCCGAGTTGCCCGTCGACGCGAGGTGGAAGGCGCCGCCTGCGGAGCGGGCGGGGCGCGTCGTCAGACAGTGCGGGGAGCGGGGCGCGGAGTGAGTACTGACCGGCGAGCTGGCGCTCGTGGATGGTGGAGCCGAGGATGAACGGGCTGGGGAGCAGCGTGCGCTCGTACGAGTGGTCGAACGTCGCGGCGACTGTGTGGGAGGAGCGGGAGCAGGAGCGGGGGGTGAGGACGCGAAAAGGGACATGAGGACGGGAGAACACTCGCTGTTGGACCCGTCCGGAGACGCGGAGAAGTTGATGGCGAGCGGGTAGGAGAAGGCGTCGCGCAGGACCGTCGCGCCGTTGTGCGTCGAGAGGACGCTGCCGGACGAGACCTGGAGCACGTTCTGCACAGGCAGCGATCAGCGTCAGCCTGGGCGCGGGAGGGGGAGGCGCGTACCTGGACGGACGCGTTGTCCAGGTAGGTCTGCGTGTTTGAGAAGGCCAGGTCCTGCGTGAACACCACCTTCGTGCGCTTCCCGCTCCCGGCGACGATGTCCGCCTCGATGTGCACGCTGTGCGTCGTGGTCAATGTGACGTTCAGGTCGCCGCCCGCGCCCGCGCTCCCGGTCGACGTCGCGCGCGCGAACGGGGCGACGTCGTAGACCGTGATGTTCCCCGTCGTGCGTGCGTTCGACGAGTCGAGCAGGACCTGGAGTAGGCCCGAGACGAACCAGTTCTGGTTGATCGCGTGGTCCACCTCAGCGGAGGCGACGTCGAGCGTGATGTTGTGCGCCGCACCGTCCGTGAGGACGGGGATGAACGGCGTGAGGTCCAGGAAGTACGTCGGGAGGTCGAGCGCGCCGTAGGACGTGATCGGCCTGGATCAGAGTCGCTGGGTCATAGCGCGAAACGGGGACCGGTAAGCGGCGGCGCCTTACCTCCATGCGGTGGGTATGATCCCGCCGGTAAATATGACGGCGTACGGGAATGCGATGCCTGCGACTTGGCCGTCGACCAGGATGCGCACCTCGCGGAACGGGCCTTGTCCAAACGTGGTGCCCGATGGGAGGTCAGGCAGGAACTGGTTCGCGACGTTGAAGTACTGCGAGGGCAGGTGAGCGTCGCGGCAATAAGTGTTCTATGACCCGCAGCTGACGCACCCAGAACTCCTCGTCTCCGTTTCCGGACGCATACAGCTCGGCATAAGCTGCGACTGCGTTCTGGGGGAGAGTCACGTTGAGCTGAGCGGATACCGTTTAGTAAATCCATGTGTCCTTTGTGGGCGGAGAAGCCCACCGAGAAGCCCGGAGGCACGGAGGCGTCGTTTCCGGTGTTGTTGGCGAGCGTCGAGATGGGCACGATCAAGTCCGCGCGCGGTGCGGGCGGGTGTGCCGCTGACGACGCGAAGAACGTCGCATCGACGGTAGCTAAAGGACGTTGCCGACGCGTTCAGTTGCGCCATGCCGGTGCGAGATCGCGTGCTTACTCGCGTATTCGCCGTCGAGGCCGGTCTCGATGAGGTTGTCGAGCTGGAGGATGAAGGTGCCGGGCTTTGCGAAGAGCGGGAGGTAGCGCGTGACGTCCTTGAGGTACGTCCAGATGATGCCATCGCCTCGGGTGGGCTCCGGCGTCGACGTGCGCCAGACTGCAGTGGGGGCGGGGTGGACGGGGGCTCTGGAGAGGGATGAGGAAGCGAAGGGGCTCACTTTCGACGTTGTGGAAGGTAAAGATGCCCAGGCGGTCGAACTGCGTGCCGTTCGAGGTGACGGTCAAGTTCAGGCTGATGCCGCTCCACGAGCCTGGCTCGCCGCATTCACTTGGAGGCCTATATATGTGGATGGTCTCGTCATTGCGTCCGAGAGCAAATCAACGCAACATACGTGAACTGCACAACCTCCGCACTGTCCAACATCGGTCAGCCAGAGCATAGCACGATCGCGCGGACACTCACTCTCCAAAGGAGAACGCAAAGGTGCGCCTGGCGTCGTCGCGGCATCAGACCATCTCCGCCTTGCCACATCTCGACACGCACGACTCACTCGAGGATCCGGATGGTGCACTGTTGCGCGTCCTGCGGGAGAGGCGGCGGCTGCGCGACTTGGAAATCGACCAGTCTTGCGGCCCTCGCCCCCTTAGACAGCAAGCACAACGCGGCAGAGAGACCGAGCCAGACAACGCTAGAGAACATGCCGATATCGCTCACTGGTGCAGACGCAGACCACGCTCTGCAGAGGTGGGCATGCGGCCGCACTTATATATGACGAACTTCGCATGAGAAGGCATTGATGGGAAGAACGCTGATAATCTAGCTTCCGAGCCACTTCGACGTCCATGTGCTTGCAGAGATAAAGTTGGAAATATCTGAGAACTATCTGAAACCCCTTGACCCATATCCAAACAGATACTCAGAGCCAGACGAGATTGTGTTGTCGGACAGATCTCGACGCAGGAATCAACGAAGTTGTGGTTGCTGGTACCGTTGCACGCGACGCGAAGCGGGCGTGGGGATTCCCGAAACGCTCGACACCACCATCAAGGTGCTCAAACGGCAGCCAGAAAACAACTGAGACGAAGCATAAATACCTCGACTATGTACGTACAATCCCTCAAGACGCACTGCATGCTTGGAGACTCTGCCTGTCTGTGATCCATGGCAAGCAAATTATGACATGTCCTCCCGTCCTCAAACCCATCTTCTCCTTATGGCTCAAATCATGTAAGGCAGGTCCTGCAGCCAAAGCATCAAATTTGGATGCAGATTCAACAACTGTCGTCGTCGATATAGAGCGTATCCTCCTTCTCCCAGTAAACCCCTCGATGTCTTCAACCTTGTCGACCGAATATTCTGAGTATCTCTTCCTCGAGAGGGGTATACAGTCCCTCGACATCGCGTTATGGATCGGCATGATCCAGTCGCGTTCGAGGGAGATTGCTGCAGCTGTTATCAAGAAGGCTGAACACTACAAAGACGCAGACGGAGTCGCCCACGAATTCCTCGCCGTACATCTTGACCATTCTTCAATCGAAGACGACAATGGTCAGGTGGTCCTCTCCATTGAGCGCACAGCTGGTCCCTTCAGCACGGCGCCCCTCTGGAATGCCATAACCAACCTGTCTTCCCTTGCCACAGACAGAATCACAATTCCATTTCCTTATGTCAAAGATCCCATCGCCTTCATCAACCACTCTTCGCATGTCATTCTTCTTTCAACCCTTGAGTTTCCTTCAGAGACCGCTCCTAACGATCTTGATCTTTCTGTCATCCTCGATTGTGCTTCCCGCAGACATCCTTCGTATGACTCCAGATTCCAATCTTACTGATATGCTAGTCTGGTCTTTGATTCCTTAAAGGGCATCTTTCGAGGACAACAACGCGATTCGAAGCTTGCGCCTAGACGCGGCTATTTCAGAGCCATCAAAGTACCGACCTCGAATGGATGGGCTGAACCCAAGCATGAGTATTTCCAAGGGGGTACTCACACAGAGTCTGTAAGTGCCCACTGTGTGTATCAAGTCGACTTGATGGCCTCATTGGTTCATTTTCAGTGTCGGTTCTAGAGAAGAGCGAGAGTGTAACTGCCATCGACGGTATCCTAGGCGTTCCTACTGCATTCCTGTCACCCACAGGCTCCGAGACTGATACGGATGACAGGCAAGTCTCGCGTCTCACGAAAGCCGCGGTTGTCGTCATGCGATTTCCACTTTCCTGTTTGCTAGCGAAGGACTCTTGTTAGGTTGGAAGAGGCACAGAGCGTTCGTCTGTCTACGTTTTTTTTTTACATACGCTGCGGACGGTGTATGATGGATGTGCAGGCAAGTAATGGTTTCACAGCAAAATGCATAATCGTATATAGTCGCTTCGACCAAGAAGTAACTCGAATGTGTACGTACAATCCCTCAAGACGCGCTGCATGCTCAGAGACCCTGCCCGCCCACGATGGCAAGCAAATTATGATGTCCTCCCGTCCTCAAACCCACCTATCTTCAACCACCAACAACGATCAGAACTGATGAGTGAATAACGCATCGTCATCCGTCCGCGTGGGCTCTGCAGTACCTCCGTTCTCCGCCCTCCGCTCTCCATACAGTCCGCCCTCGGGATCCTCGGGGAAATTCGTCGTCGACCCGCTCCTCCGCGAGAACGAGTCTCCGTCCAGATCACCTGCCTTGGACCGCGTCGACCTCTTCTTTTTCTTTTTCTTCGGGGCCACCTCGCCCCCGTTCGCGTATGCATCCTCCGTGCGCGCCCACCGGTCCTGCTTCTTCTTCTTCTTCAGCGTGCCTCCAGACTGTGGAAGGGTATCCTCGAAGTTCGCAGGGTAGTGCCACCGCCCAGACGTCGTGCTCGCAGCGTCGCTATTGCGCTGCCCATAGTACTGCTCCTCCTCCGGGTTCCAGAGCTCGCCGCCGTGCCCGTTGCCGTTGGGGGCTGTGGATCGCCCACCGCGGTTCTCGGTAGAGAGATCGATGCTGCTCGAGCCCGGTTCCTGACCGTCCTCGTACGACTGGCCCTCCAGAGTGGAGCGTGGGAGACGCTCCGCGTACCGGCCAGCCCACTGTGAGCGCTTGGCATCGCGCTTGATCTTGGTGGTATCGACGAGCCCGTATCGCTGCGCCCATTTGGGCGTGCGGCGGTTGTTCTTGTTATTACGGATGTTCTGTGTGACGATCCGCGTGAGCTGGGCAGAAAGTGGCAGGCATCGATGGATCAGTTTACCTGAATGTAAAAATTATGGCCGTGTCCTAGTCATTCGCGTTAGCCAACGTGGCTATCGGGAGACAAAGGCCTGCGTACCGGGTATGTACCCACATATCGTCAAGAGAAGATTAAGCCAGAAGTCGCTCCCAATTCCGAATCGCGCAGCAACAGCTGCTCGTGTTTCGTGAAAGCACAGAGACGGTCGTCAGTGAATCCTCGCCACGACTGCGAGTGAAGATAGACAAGACATACCAAGAGGTGGGAAGAGGGTACCGAGGATAAATAGCACAACAGCGTAGCCGTGATGTCTCTTGGGTTTGAGGTCTGCTCTGGTCATGGGCGGCGCCATGATGGCGCAGATGGACGAAGAGCGCAGGGAAACGATGGGGATGGGTGTGCAGGATGGGATGAAAGCTGTGTTTAAGTGCAGAGTGGGTTCGGCTGCAGGTTTGCCCAGCGCCGGCATCGGCATCCGTTATAGAAGGCGACCGGCATGCCGGCCGATGATGCAGGGGTCTGGTCTCCAGTCACGACGAGACCCTCAGTTGACTTTGGCTGTACATTGCAATCACACATCAGCAGCTTGAGCGCAGTGTGATGGGCGCCGTTCGAAGCATCACGGATATATATCCCTCATCGTCTCGGTCGAGACTACACGAGTGAGTACCGTATGATCGCTGGTTTTGAGCTGAGGCTCCACAGACTCAATGGAGCGAGTCTATCAGGAGCACCCAGTCATGGTCGATGCCTCCTCTAGAGGGGGGCTGGTAAGTTTTCGCTCCCTTCAACTCTGCCGACTGCCTCTTTTGCTCCCAAAACTCCCCCGTCCTCGGGTCATACCATCTCTCTGTCCACGTCGCCTTCCCTGAGATTGATGCCGCCGCGCCTAGGCGGGTCAGGTTCACCTGGAAGCTCTCCCCCTGCGGCGCATACACTGCTGCCCAACGTCCCTTGGCGTCCCGCGTGGCGCTCACCCTCTCCTCGCCCTCCCCCAGCGCGCTCGCGACCAGCGTGTTGTCCGGGACCCTGTCGAAGTAGTACTTGCCCGGCCCCAGCGTCTTGTTCGTCAGGAGATTCTGCACGTGGACGAACTGCCCGCTGCCGGGGAGGACGAGCTGTTCTTGCCACGGGGCCACCGCGACGACACCCGCGTACAGCGCCGGGTTCCAGAACTGCCAGACCGACCACGCGCCGTACGTCGCGCCCGCTGCGCCGGAGAATACCTGTCGACGCGGTCGCGATGCACGTCAGCCTCTCCGCCAACAGCGCGAGAGTGGAAACTTACTGCCGTCCAGGCGCCGTTCCTGACGTCGCTCGCGTTCCAGATGCGGGGGCTCGTCGCGTCGATGTTGAAGTACCCGCCCTCGTAGTGGCTCTCGAGGTCCTGGACGGGGATCCTGCCGCCCTTGCGGTGCAGCGAGCTGTTATACATGATCTCCACCGGGACGTAGTTCTTCTGCGCGTCCCACCTCCCCGTCCCGGGCAAAAACCCAGTCGACTCGTGCCCGCTCTGCACCGCGTCCATCTTCAGCCAGCTCGCGTTCGGGAAGGACGAGGAGCCCATCGCGGCGGGCGTCTGCGCGAGCCATTGGTTCGTCGGGTGATAGGTGACGAAGGCGTCCACGCTCGGTCCCCCGCGCGAGGCGTCCCTCTCGGCCTTGAGGAGCCCGCCCACCAGGGCCTCCCAGACGTCGCCCGTGTCCGCGAACGGCAGCCGCCCGATGCCGCCGACGTCCGTCGCCTGCCCCGCGTTTTTCGCGCGCGCGACGTTGTAGGCCGTGATGTTCGTCGGCCACCAGCGGTCCGAGTCTGCACCGACGATCTTAGGCAAGCCGGCGTAGCGCCGGCCGAACCACTCTCCGTAGACGGCTGCGTTGGTGGCGTTGAAGAGGATTGGGGGCCCGTGCCAGCCTGTGGGGCAGGTCAGTGTGTCGAGTCGAGGGAGGGAGGAGGAGAAGCGGAAGCGGAACAAACGTGCCTCCATTGACGTATCTGCCCCATGTCGGCACGATGGCGACGCGCATCCCGCGTTCCGTCGCGCGGTCGATGCACCAGTCGACGTTTGCAAAGTACTCCGGGTTCGGCTTCGTCGGGTCGAGGTCGACGAGCGGAAGTTCGCCGTATCTATTCGGCGCCGTCACGCTGCGCGACGGGATCAGCGGCGCGTCCGCGCTCGACGCGTCGAAACCGAAGAATCGATCACGCACTTGAGTTCCGGGATGGCGACGGTCATGATCACGTTGAATCCCTTGGCTTTGCGGTCGTCGAGGTAGTGGACGACTTCGGACCGGTTGAGACGGTGGAAGAGCTCCCATGCCGTGTCTCCCTGCCAGAAGAAGGGGTTTCCTTGGGCATCTACGACGAAGGTGTCTCGGGTGTAGAGGGCGAGATGGCGCCAGCGGGACGCAGGCTCTGCTGTGTTGCTCTCGGGGACCGAGGTGGCGGCTACGAGCGCGCGCGCTATGGCCGCGGCCGCGAGAACCCAGTGCGCGAGAGGGCGTCGGAGCATCGCAAGGCTTCTCGGATGCAGGAGAGATGTGCGGGGCGAACGGGCAACATTCTGAGAGGGTCTGCGCCTCAGGGATTAAATAGCATTTTTTTTTGCGAATGGTTTTCGGGAGAGGTCGATACCGAGCTGCTCATGTGTCCGTGTCACGATGGTCGATGGCTAGGGCAGCGAGAGGCTGCGGCGGCAGGCCGATCGACTTTCAGGACAGACGTGGGGCCAAATGCAAATTACACTGTTTATCAGGCATGACTGTATTTCCGCATTTCCGTCCATGAGACCAAACGAAGCTTGCGTTCACCAGCTATGAACATATATGCAGGACACTGCTGCTGCTGCAATATCTCGTCGTGGTCAAGTGCGCCTGATCTTACGTGCCATGGAAGAAGACAGCTGACGGAACCGACTGCCGACGAGCACATTGGTCATCAAGCAAGTGGTGGGTGGCGGACTGAAGTGCTGGATCGAGGAGCCCGGGGTATAATCGTGAAAAAATAAGGATTAGCATGCAAGCAAGAAGCCGAAAAAAACAAAATGAAGTCTGTCGGGGCGTTGCGCTGGTGCGACAGGGATGAGCACCGCGGGGGGACGCAGATCGGAGGATCTGGAGTCTGGAGCGAGGGGGACCCGAGGGGCTGGCGGGTGGATTTACTGCATTGGGCGCCTCGAGTTGAGTTGACCACCGACGACTCCCACTTGACTCCCTCTTCGCCGAATTGATTGCTCGCTGTGTTCTCCATCGTGTTTCTACAAAGGCTGGACCTCGTCTTGCTTTTGCTTTCTGCGCGTCTGCAACTCGCCTCATAGCCATACCCCCACCACGAGCAGGTTCCCTTGTCTTTCAAATCAGGTGCGTCTCTGGCACCGTTGGCCACTCATCACGACCTTGCATTAGCCTCGCGTGCGCGTGCGCGTTCCTCGCTCGCACCCACCATACTCACCCACAGACTCAACGTTCAACCCGCAGATTCCCAGCCCCACGATGGACCCGAGCACCCCGCCCCGCTCGCCCGTCCTCGCCCTCTCCGACGTCGTCCACGACTCCGCGACCCTCCCCTCCTTCGCCGACCCACACTTCGCCTACCCCTCCTCCCCGTCCCCGCGCTCCCCGCACACGCCCCCCTTCTCCTCCCGCTCACACAGCCCCCCCTTCCCGTTTCACGCCCTCAAGCACGCGGCCGACGCGGGCTCCCGCCACGACCGCGATGACTGCGACCACGACCGCGACCACGACCACGACGCCGCCGACGCCGAGTTCGACGCGGAGCTCCTCGGGCGCGAGCTCGCGACCCTGCTCAACCAGAACGCGACGGCCGCGAGCGCCGCCCTCCTGAGCGCCGCCGCGCAGCAGCGCCAAGCCCACGCCGAGCGTCAGCGGCGCGCGCAAGCGCCAGCAGCAGCAGCGGCAGCATCATCACCATCAGAAGAATCAGCAGCAGAAACAACAGCAACAGCAACAGCAACAGCGGCAGCGGCAGCAGCAGCGCGCGCGCACGGCCTGCTAGAGCCCGCGGGCGGCGGCGCAGACGAGGCGCTCGAGGGCCTCGGGCTCGACATCGCGGCGATGCTGCAGGCGGCGGCGGCGGACAAGGACCGTCAGGCGGCGCGCGAGACGGAGAAGACGCGCGCGGCGCCCGCGTTTCACTCGCTCAACTTCGACGCGGGCCTCGCGCTCGAGCTCGGGGGCGACGACGACGCGTCTGCGCCTGCCAGGGCCGGCGCGCGGCGGCGCCTCTCGGAGGGATCGCAGTTTCTGTACGAGCGGGACGCCGAGGAGGAGAGCGAGGGTGAGGGCGAGGGCGAGGGCGACGACGGGGAGGAGCGACAGCATCGGAGGAAGCGGCGGAGGCTGAGCAGTGCCGGGGACGGGATGAGCCCCGCGGTCGCTGTCCCGCCCGAATTTGGCGACATCTCGGACATCTTGGACCATCTGGCCCGCTTCGAGCAGCAGCAGCAGCAGCAGCAACAACAACAACAATTACAACTGCAACTACAACAACAACTACAGATACAACAGGCCTCACACACGCACGCTCCTCGACTTGCAGTAGTAGATGGGGATGGCCCGCGCGCGTCAGAGGCTGTGGCCCACCTGACGCCGTTGGTCGAACCCTCCATATCACCGCCCTCGCCGGTCTCATCACCCACACAGGCGTCTGCGTCTGCATCCGCTCCGGCATCAGAAGAACCTGGGAGGCCGTCGAACGCACACCCGCGGCCTCCGCCACTGTCGACCCTGCCGCCCGGACCCACGTTCGATTTTTCGTCTCTGGCGACGACATACCCCGCGGCCGTCCCCTGCCTCGTGCCCGCGCCGCTTGCTGTGCCGCCCCAAACGCGAGCTCAGACTCGGACGGCCTTGCACACGCAGCAGCCGCAGGCGTCCACGTCGACAGCCGGTGCGGCGGCGGCCGTAGGCAGGGTGTCGACGGCGAGCAAGTCGCACGGGCGGAAGAACCGTGGCGGGGACGTGGCGGGGCCCGTAGAGAAGGGGCAGCAGCAGCAGCAGCAACAACACGGGTGCGAGGAGTGCGGAAAGGGGTTCGCGCGCAGGAGCGACATGCTGCGGCACATGCGGATCCACACGGGGGAGCGGCCGTTCACGTGCCCCGAGGACGGGTGCGGCAAGACGTTCATCCAGGTGCGCGCGCTCTGCCCTCGTATCGTGCGACTGACGTTGACGCGACGTGTGGGCGGCGGGGGGGCAGCGGTCGGCGCTGCACGTGCACATGCGGGTGCACACGGGGGAGAAGCCGCACAGCTGCGAGTACCCGGGGTGCACGAAGATGTTCGGGGACTCGAGCTCGCTGGCGCGGCACCGGCGGACGCACACGGGGAAGCGGCCGTACAAGTGCGAGGACCCGCTGTGCGACAAGACGTTCACCCGCCGGACCACGCTCACGGCCCACATGCGCACCCACGACCCCTCCTGGGAGCCGGACCCGAACGTGTGAGCGGCCCTGCAGATCCCCCGTTCGCGCTCCGACTGACATATAGCCGCTTCCGGCCAGGAAATACGACTTCAAGGGGAAGAAGCGCACGCCGAGCGAGGACCCCGCCCACTCGGCATCCTCGGACGAGAACGAGCTCGAGGAGTCCGTCCGCAAGATCTCCGCCCTGCTCGAGCAGTCCGACCCCACCCTCTTCTCGCCCTACCCGCTCAACCCCGCCGCCACCGGCGACGACACGCACCACGACCGGGGCCTCGAGTCGGAGGACGAGCCGGGCGCGGACGAGGACGTGGACGTGGACGTGGACGTGGAGATGGGGGGCGCAGAGACGCCATACGGCGTGGGCGCGGACGCGAGGCTCGAGAGCAGAGTAGCGAGCATCAGCGCCGAGTTTCGGGCCGCGTTTGCTGACGCGGGGGTGGACGAGGACGGGGAGGAGGAGATAGATCAGCTGGAGGACGACGAGGACGGCGGAGGAGAGCCCGCGCGCGAAGGCGGCAGCTCGGCGTCGGCGGGAGAAGAGGGCATCGTGGCTGCGGCGAGCGCGCCGGGGGTGCAGGAAGGGGGCGGGGGCGGGGGTGGGGGTGGGGGCGGGGGCATTGGGTTCGGGATCTGGGACGAGGAGGACGACAGCGACGCGTTCCCGGTGCCGCTGCGGGCGAGGAAGGGGAAGTAAGGGGCGACTTGCAGGGGCTGAGGCTGGTGGTGTCGCGTGTCGTGTGTGTGCGTTTGCCCGTTTTGTCGGCGGTGTCGGTGACTTACTGCGTCGAATGTGCTGTTTGCTGCCCGTGTGGTGTGATAGTCATGGTCTTTGCGCCGGACGCGGGAGGCGGGCCGGGTGGGGAAATGCAGAGCCATCGGTGCGCTGTCACGTGAATACGGCGCCTCCCCGCTCTCGCCGTCTCGCGCTGCTTCTCCCAGGCAGGACAGGCCCCGCCCACACCCGCCGTCCGTGCAGCCCTCTTAAAGCCTCTGAGCCCCCTCTGCCCGAATTCACCCGATCCCCGTCCCCCTCCCCCCTCGTCGTACCCACCCCCACCCCCACCCCCACCCCCACCCCCCGCAGCCCACGCAATGTCAGGAGAGGAACAGGTCAACACAGATCTCATCACCCTCACCCGGTGCGTCTCTCCCGCCCCGCCGCACACCCGCCCCGCCCACACGCTGATCGCACGCGATCCCCCAGCCATGTCCTGAGCGAGCAGTTCCGCCTCGGCGCTGTCGCCACCGGCGACCTCACCCTCCTCCTTACCGCCATCCAACTCACCTCCAAGTTCATCGCCACCAACGTCCGCAAGGCCCGCCTCATCAACCTGTGCGTGCTCCCCTCTTCCCCGCTTCTCCGCGCCCGGCAGCCCCTCCTCACGCGCCCCCAGCGTCGGCCTCGCCGGCGAGACCAACGTCCAGGGCGAGGAGCAGAAGAAGCTCGACGTCCTCTCCAACGACATCATGATCAACGCCCTCCGCGCCTCCGGGAAGACCGCCGTGCTCGTCTCGGAGGAGCTCGAGGACGCCGTCATCATCGAGGACCGCTACAAGGGCAAGTACTGCGTCGTCTTTGACCCCCTCGACGGCAGCAGCAACATCGACGCCGGCGTCAACATCGGCACCATCTTTGGCATCTACGAGATCGTGAGTCCGCCTGCCCGCCCGCCCGCCCGCTGTCCCCGTCGCCGTAGACGTAGAGCTCGAGCTGAGACCCACCTTGCCCCGCACAGGCGAAAGACTCCAAGGGCACGATTGATGACGTCCTCCGCCCGGGCAGCCAGATGGTCGCCGCGGGCTACACGATGTGAGCGGCCTCTCGTGCCCCGAGCGCCCGCACAGGCCTCACCTGTTGACCTCTCCGCGCCCACGCAGGTACGGCTCCTCGGCGAACCTCGTCCTCACGACCGGCAGCGGCGTGAACGGCTACACGCTCGACGCCGCGCTCGGCGACTTCATCCTCACGCACCCGAACATCCGCATCCCGCCGCGCGGGAAGATCTACTCGTTCAACGAGGGCAACTCGATGTACTTCCACCCGCCCGTCCTCGCCTACCTCGACAGCATCAAGTACCCGCCCGCCGGATCCGGCCGCTCGCCCTACTCGGCGCGCTACATCGGGAGCATGGTCGCCGACGTGCACCGGACGCTGCTCTACGGCGGCATCTTTGGCTACCCGGACGACAAGAAGAGCAAGTCGGGCAAGCTGCGGCTGCTGTACGAGGCGTTCCCGATGGCCTTTTTGACGGAGCAGGTGCGTGCACGGCCGGCCCTCTTTTACCTTGGGTTCGCGGTGCTGAGCGGCGACGTAGGCGGGAGGTATCGCGACGACGGGGACGAAACGGATCATGGACATCGTGCCGACGCACATCCACGAACGGTGCTCCGTGTTCCTGGGCAGCAAAGAGGACGTGCAGGACCTGATGAAGTTCTACCGGGCGCCGGAGAACAAGTCGGCGTAGGAAGGGGGGGGTGGGGATTCCTAGACGAAGGGGAAAGACAATGAGAAGCATCAGTCGTTCACACCGTGTATATCATCAGCATTGTATCATGTCTGGATTTCCTTTTTTTCATATAAAAAGCTCATCGCGCGCGAACGGGCGGGCGGGTGGGGTGTGATTGCAATGAGGTATGCGAGGTAACAGTGCTCCAGACAGAAAAAAACAATACGCGATACTTGGCATGCATGGCAGGCTGTCGGGCGGCTCCTCGCCCCTCAGTCTTCCCAGATGTTCACGATCTCGGCCTGGTTCGTCATCACCGCGGCGTCCTTGCGGACGGGGTTGACGCGCGGATACACGAACTGGACGGGCGGGGCGGGGGACGCGTCGGCGGGGCACGGGGCAGGGCAGAGCGCGGGGGACGGCACGCACCTTTTCGTCGTACTCGTGCATGACCTCCGCGGCGATGATCGCGCGATCCTTCAACAGCGCCTGGTACGTCTCCGTCAACGCGCGCAGCTGCAATCGCGCGCGCCGTCAGCCATCGCACGCGGGCACAGAAGCGGGAACACACTCACCTGCGCGCTCACGCCGGCCATCGCGCACGCGACGAGGATCCAGTTGCCCGAGTTCCACGCCGTCCAGAGCAGCGCGTGCACGGGCGAGTACACGCAGAAGAGCGCGAGCTCGCGCGCGTCGGGCGTCCACACCTCGAGCTCCTGCACGCGCCGCGCCGACTCGGCCGCGGAGCTGCGGCTCGCGGCGGACGTCCCGATGCCGAGGAGGAAGCGCCACGCGGCCGCGGCGGCGCGCCATGCCTGCGTGCGCAGGCGGCGCGCGAGCGGCGGGGGGTCTGCGGGCGCGGCGACGAAGCGGGCGTGGGGGGAGGAGACGGGGTCGGGCTGGGCGTGCATGTGGTAGAGCTTGGTGTGCGTGAAGAGGAAGAGGGCGTTGAAGGAGGCGAGCGCGACGAGGAGCGCGGTGACGGGCACGGTCTGGTGGCGGGCGATGCATTCAGAGTCCATAAGAGCGAGTCGGAGAGAGAGAGAGAGAGAGAGCGCACCCAGTCGAACCAGGACACGTCGTTGTCCTCGTGGAACATGTCTTCCCAGCCCACGTCCGTGTCCGGGACGTTGCGCACCTGGGAGACGCGCACGCAAAAATGCAGGAAGTGCATGAGGCCGCCGACGAGCCACGCGGAGGTTTTGGGGGAGGGCAGGGGTACATTGTTCGGGAAGATGGAGATCTCAAAGGCGATGCGGCTCGGGATGGATGTGAGCCTGGCGTGTGCGGCGTGACGTCAGCCGTGCGCTCGAAGGATGCGAGACGAGGCGCGCGAGAAGGGGGGACGGAAAGCGCACCGTTCGCACAAGCTTTTCTTGCGCACCACGCGCTTGGTGGGTGCGCCGAGTGTGCCGACGCCGGCCTCGCTCTTGCGCGCGGCCTTGCGCTTTGCGATGACGGGGGACGGATAGGGCGGCGGGCGGTGTGAGCGGGCGGCCTCCCAGTCGAAGGGCCTGCTCGCGGAGAGCGAGGGCCCGAGGAGGGGCGATGTCGCGATCGGGTACGCGGTGCGCTTCGGGGTCGAGGGCTGGGTGGCGGGGGTGGCTCTGGCGGCGGGGGAGGCGGGGGAGCTGCGGTGGGACGAGGGCGCGGAGGCGGACTGGCGCGGGGAGGAGACGGCGGTCGCGTTGTTGGTCTGGGCGAGGCGGCGGAGGTCCATCGTGGCCGTCGTCTGCCTTCACCTCGCCTGCGCGACCCAAAAGGCCCTCGTCACGTGGCGGTCACGCCTCCTCGCACACGCGTGTTCAACAACGGCTATTGTGCATTGGTCACAAGGCTATACTATGCTAGAGCTGTATCTACAAGCACATTGGTCACTTGAGTTAAGAGCCATCAGACTCTACAAGGTCAACATGACATACTAGGATTAGAGTGTGCCATCATCTTGTTCTTGTACCTGATCCCAGATGTAAACTCAGCATATATAAGTCTGTTCCTCTCTACCACTGGCCACAGATCCCAATGAGCCTTGCAAGATCACTCAATAAATAGCATTACTTACTATAGATCTTTCTTAGCTCACTCTGATACAGGTTAGCCCTGCAGAGCTTGTAATCAGAAGGGCCTAGCTCAATCAATAGCAGATGCATGACCTTGCCAGTGTCCAGAGGCTACTCAATAGGTTCCAGTGCAACTTTAGTATTTGCCAACTTAGTCTTAGTTGTAGATGCTATAGAGTCACTGCTTGTCCTGGAGGAGCTGTTGCTCATTGTGGTGGGAAGAAGTGAACCTGTCAAGCTAAGGTTTATATTGTTATGTCACTGGCATTTGCCTTTATCTTTAAATTCCTGTCCCATCAGCCCAAATCCCAGATACTCATCAACAGATCATTGAGGTTGAGTACTTATAGTACACAGTCTATATGTATGACAAAATTCACAATAGACAACTCATGATACATGAATCCACCCATATCATAGGTAGAAAGTACTCTGTACTCTTGCCTATGAAAAATATCTGAATGGCAATTGCTAAGCTACTGTAATGGCACTTTTGAGCATAGCTGTATATTAGCTGTATGTCTAACAAAAACATGACAATTCTTAAAAATATACTGGTGCATAATATATAATATTCACATCCCATATATTAAATTATTTGAAAATTTGAGTCAATTTAAAGCTTTTGTGGTAAGATCTTTCTCTATATAGCAGAAAACAGACCCTCCTAGAAAGAGTGGTCAACCAAAGATGATTCTGAATAAATAAAAATCTAAATATATTTGACAGGCTTCTTTATATATGTTATTTGTTATATACAGAATATAAAGCCAGAAAGAGCTGATTATATTGGCTGTTCTCTTCAAGAACATATATAACAATATGATAACCAGGGCCTTGAATGATTATAGACCACTGCTACTGTAAATGTTACTAAAAATCACGGATATTACTTCAAGATGACTCTATGAGCATAAATAATATGTATTCAAACACTACTAGCCCTCAACAGGTCTGCTCTACACTGACTGATTAGATGGTAAACTTGTCATGGGTATATATTAAGACACTATTTATTGATACAGCATTCTCTCATTTTCTTATAAGATGATTTGTTGATGTAGCATTCTCTTACCTTTTTATAAGATGTGTGGCTGAGATGTTATACAAAGAGGTCTGTTAAATATATTTAATTTTTTATTTATTCAGAATCATCATTAATTGACCACTTTTTTGGAAAGGTCTGTTTTCTACTATATAGATGAAAGATCTTACCACAAAAGCTTTAAATTGACTCAAATTTTCAAATAATTTAATATATGGGATGTGAATAACATACATTATGCACTAGTATATTTTTAAGAATTGTCATGTTTTTGTTAGACATATAGCTAACATATAGCCATGCTCAAAAGTGCCATTGCGGTAGCTTGGCAATTGCCATTTAGATATTTTTTTGCAGGCACAAGTACCTAAAATAGTTACTTATAGTTAATTCTGCTGGTTTGGAGTCATGAAGCAGACATGGAATCAGAGGAGGCACTAAATATGGATCTGTCATTATCATAACCAAATGTACTTATCACATGCTCCATTCACATTATATATTGGCTGCTGTTACGACTGCTCGTCGGTAACCCCAAGAGTAGGAGGTTCTTCCCTAGGTCACTCGTGGAGGATGTGTGGAACGGCGGTCTCGACTGTACGTGTAGCACAGGAGCCAGAAGTGTATTGCGATATAGCAATGAAGACTGCAGTAGGAAGACTACAGTGGATGAGGGTGCTGTGGTAGGAAGACCACAACGAACGAAGAGAATAGACTGAAGAACCTCAGCCTACTCTATGGGCCTTTTATACTACTTTAGGAAGTAGGGCGTGAGAATACCATATATGTATCCGTAGGTATACTCTAAGTCGTTTTCTCTCAATAACGACTACTCTTGTGTTTCTCCGTTAGTCTCCTTCCGGCCAGGAAAGACTAGGAGCTCAATGCCCGATGTGTGAGTAGTTTGTAAGGCGGCGTTCCATGCCCGCTATGCAATAGGCCCGTGATACTCGACCAACGATAAGGTGATCCGTTGGGAGAGGATGACCAAGGTTACTATCTGTACCTTGTTTGTACGCCTCACAAGTGAGGCCGCTTGATATTTGTGATGATCGTGTAGGAATAGACCGCCGTTAAGGCCCGACAGAACGTGATCATAACAATACCCCCTTTCTACGTCCTATTCGCCTGGTAGGACAGCGCTTTGCGCTTCATCGCCACTCCATATACGATTTGCTTTCTTGATCCAAAAACGGTCTCCGGATGCGTCTTCCGGGACATGACTTCGTTTTCTGGGAGGAAGACCAACTTACGTCGTTTGATCCTCTAGGAGTTTTCCATCTCCGTTGAGCTGTTTGTTTGTCGAGTCATGAGGGTACCAAACCTCCACTCTATAGGATGTTCTTCCTTCACCCTTCGGTTGTTGTGATCTTTCCTGGGTTCTCAAGCCAGGATGTCAGTCCGGTCGACGCCGGACAGGTGTCAAGAAAGGCGTATGGATGCGAGTGGTGTGTGGATGAATAGAAACTCTAGCATGTGGGTTCCATTTCGTGTCATCAGGTTCTTCTTCTTCCTTCTCCGAGGGCCAAACCTCAGTGTTTCCAGGATAGTCGTTATCCTCGTGATTTTTGTTGTTCCTCTTGGCGTTCAGAGGATGGCATCCACGGGCAAGTAGGTTGATCGCTTTACAAAGGCTTAGGCCTACTTCCCCAGACTACCATCTTAACGTCCCAAGCAGTATCGCTCCCATACGGTGAGCTCATCTCCGGTGAGGTTGCAGCCATAAATCCCAAGCAGTATCGCCCCCATACGGTGGGCTCATCTCCGGTGAGTTAGTTCGACGTCTAGAGTTTGTTTGATTCACTATGCGTATTGGGTTTGAGGCAAGGATGTGAAGAGAATTAGACTTGAAGGGTGCCGTAAGGAGTAAGGAGGAGTCTGACTCCTTCCCCAGATCGGCCTGTTCGCTTGCACGAATGGACATTAAGACCACAGCTGATATATTTGTCGGGTTGCGAGATATATCCACGACTAGCAGTTTAAACATCTTGCTGGACGTTCCGTAGTTTATCGTCGTTGCGGACGACAGTAGTTTTACATCGTTTCGGATGTATTAAGGCGCCCTGCGCTGCCTTGTAGTTTACTTCTAGGTCATTTGCAGACCTTCTTCATCATCAACATGGAGTATCTGTGGGGAAAGATGTTTCTGCACGCCGGACCATTCATCGGTTATGTGCATAGGGCCCTAGACCAGACCTTATCCCGCAGATCTCCACTGAGGCATGATGGGAACGGTTTATACTATATCAAACCGGATAACTTATACGTCTCAATATTAGGAGACCGCTCAGTTTAATGCCGTGAGGTAGGCATCCTCGCAGTTTAACGCCATGCGATAGGCGAGCTATCGTCTGACTATGTCCCTCGAGTCACGATAGGCTTTTCCTTCCGAGGATGAAGGTAGTTTAACGTCATCTCGGACGTTGTCGACACATTCTCGTCAAGAATGATGTCGACCGATGATCCCTATACTGAAAAGGGATGAGTAGTTTAACGTCTTCTCGGACGGTTGATGACCATGGTCTTGGTCAACAACCACAACTCCTATTCGGTAAGGAGCATCGTAGTTTAGTGTCATTGCGGACCGATTGACAGCATGGCGGTCAATCCACAACTCCTATGCGGTAAGGAGCAAATAGTTTTCCATCATTGCGGACGCATTGGTGTCCAGGGGATTGGACATCAATGACAACCCCTAGGTCCAGGGGCACTAGTTTAACGTCGTCGTGGACGCGCGGTATCTTGTCAAGATCGCCACGCACAATCCCTGTTCTTGAAGGGACAAGTAGTTTAACGTCTTCTCGGACGCGTGGGGATAACCTTGATTTCCACCACGCACGATCCCTATGCTTAAAGGGACAAATAGTTTATCGTCATTTCGGACTAGGAGACATCCCAATCTTGAGACACATCCTAAGATCCCTAGAACGAAGGGACGATAGTTTTACATCATCTCGGATGCCCGTAGTTTTCCGTCGTTGCGGACGTCGATGCCATTGGCCTCGAACAATCCCTATGTGGAAAGGGACAATAGTTTAACGTCATCGCGGACGTTGTTTCGCCACAAATATTGTGGAAAAACAATGCTTAGTTTAACGTCGTCCCGGACGCTTCGTAGTTTATCGTCGTTGCGGACGAGACCTAGTTTTACGTCGTTGCGGACGATTGGCGGAATAGACTTATGAGTGGCCCCCCTCTTGCCGTTCTTCCGCTATATGGGCCAGACAAGAGTCGCGTGATCTAGTCCCTTCCTACTAGATCTTCGACTCGAGGCATGTGTCCTAGTTGCCTCCTGACTAGGTCTTGGAGCGGAATTTCTTGTACTTCGACTCCAGGACTAGACTGAGCGCTCCATGAAGAGATGCTTGCTCTTCCATGTCCCAGACCCCTCGCTTGGATTTGAACCAAGACGACCCGATATTCTTTTACCGAAAAGCGAGTGAATATCGGAAGCGCTTTGACCTCTTACAGGCAGGGTTCTGCGACGCGGATCCTCCCGAAAATCCACGCTTCACCAGAATGCAACCACGCTCCTTGGGTCAACAGTAGTTTTACGTCATCTCGGACGAGGATAGTTTTCCGTCATTTCGGACGAAGACTAGTTTAACGTCATTGCGGACCCTAGTAGTTTATAGTCATTGCGGACCAAGCCTTTGGTAGTTTTACATCGTTCCGGATGTTTTTTATGGCCTCGCATCATTATAGGAAGACTTGTGAGGTAGAGGCGGCCCGCTCTCTACATCATCTCATGCGCCAGCTGTAGGATCCCCTAATGCGGAAACAATCCTGTAAAACGGGAGATCCAAAGTGGGACGTCCCAAAACACCAGTCAGACCTTGACTGTGAGGGTTCACTTAACGAGTTGTGCATCATAATTTCTTGACTTGGACTTGCAACCGGTTATGTATGGGCACTTCGCTGTACCAAGGTGAAGAGCCGGCTTGTCGACACCTACGAGTAGAGTATATGTCATGTAGAGGGTTCCCTAATGCGGAAAAAACCCTGTAAAACTGAGGATCCAAATGGGACGCTCGATGCATCTGTCAGATTAACTCCTTGACAGCGAGAATGTGAAAGGTTCCGCCGTAGGTCGTACGTGGAATTATGCCCGCTGTTGTCCTTGATTCGTACCATCATTTGAACCTAGGACTAATGGTCAGGTACTTCCCCTGCCTTCTTATCTTTTCACAGTTTTAAGACATGCAGGTCCGATAGTTTAGACGTCATTCCGGACGCGGGGTAGTTTAACGTCTCTTTCGGACGAGGTCGTACAGTTTAACGTCTTGAGGGACGATCCTAGTTTTACGTCGTTGCGGACGAACAATAGTTTAAGGTCATTTCGGACCCTAGTAGGGGTAGGAGTTCCTCAACTTCCTTACCCCCTTTCTCGCTCCGCGATGGCCCTTCTCTAGTAGTCATAGGGTCCTTGGTACCCATCGCCTCCTTCATCAGGCCGATAATACGGATCGGCGTCGTCGTAGTTTCCCGGGTCATCTAAAGCATCCCATGCATCGAGCTCGGATCGAGTCCAAGAGCGATTTCTTCTAGCCTCCGAATCAGTGCGGTGAGTTCTGCGGCTACTTCGGTTATTCTGTCCCTCGTCTGTACGAAATCGAGCACTAGGAGGAGGCGTTCCAGGCCGGTGTCGAACACTCCCGCCAGTAGTTGTTCCGCGGCGGAGGGTTGCCTGGGTTCCTCGACTTCTTCTTCCCTCGTTTCTTCGATAGACGGGCGGTTCCTCCTCGTCGGTGCCCCCATGGGATAAGGGAAGATTTCGTACCCGGTGAGAGGGGGACATCGTGGGATTGCTATGTGTTGGGCGACTTTCCCGTGGCCTCGGTGGAGGGCGTTCCACGACCGTGCGCGGAGCCCTTCTTGGATTTGGTACAGCCGTGGGACGTTCTCCGGGACGTGGTACATTCCAGACAACAACGCGGAAAGGGTCGGTCCTATTTGGTTGGACGGCGCCCAGTTCTCCGGTGAAGAGGAGAGCTGGAAGGAGCTCTCTGTTGACATACTGGGAGAATTTGTCGGGATGGATGAGGAGAGCTCGTGGTCGTCCGTCGTTATGTTCATACCAAGAGGCGGTGTCAGGGTCTGTTTGGAGGGCGAGTCCTCTGATCTGGAGACTGGCACTAGCCAGTCATCGAGGTATGCCGCTATGCTCATTCCCGGGTTGCCCTGCGGCGAAGTTAGCGAGTCGTTGTAGAGCCATGGCTGTGGCCATTTGTATTACCGCGGAGATAGTGCTTCGCTGGAGGAGCGCGTCCGCGTGTCGCTCCAATTCTCTGGCGTGAGGATTTGTACCAAGGGTAGTTCTTCCCATGGAGCGGGGAATCTGTCCACCAGTTGGTACTGGTGGAGGTGTAGCTCCCTGTATAACTGGTATCGAGTTAATTTCTCCATGGCTTGGGAGTTGAGCTGCTGTTCTTGCTCGTAGTCCCGAGGGACCTGCAGCTCCAACGTTCGCCGCGATTGTAGCAGGAGGTGGAACTCCCATTGGTACTTCGTCAGAGCCCGGTGGGTTTCTGTCATCAGGGTTTTCATTCCGTGATGCATCTCGTGGGGGCCCCTGGGATGACGGTCGGCGAGTTCTTTCCCTTTCTTTGAACTTGGCGTAGTCCTCGGCGTCGTCATCTGAGAAGTTATTGAGGTGTGGAGTGAGGGTGACGATGGCGGGCTCTGGATGGTGAGGGCTGGTTCCTCTATCAATTCGTCCAGCATTGCTTGGGTGAGGACTGGTTCCTCTATCCATTTGTCCGATGTCTGGATTGGACACCATAAGGACGACATCGGGGGAGGAGTTTCTGGATGGTGATGAAGCATCGTGGTCTTCGTGAAGGAGCATTTGGGTGAAAGAGAAGGAGCTTTGGGAAAAGTGGGGAAGATGTGGGAGGATGGTCTGTTTAGAGCTCTCCGGACGCTCTTTTATAGACTTTTCCTTCCGCCTTTCAGGGTGCTCCCGGACGAGGTTTATCGGGGTATTGGTCATGAAACTCCTTCATAGCTTCTTCCGCTGTCCCTTTTAGGAGAGTGTAGGGTTCCCAGGTGTTGTCTGCCTCGGGATATCCCATCCATTTGACCAAATATTTGGTTCCCCGTCCTTGTTTCTTTGAGTCCACGATCATTTCTACTTCGTAATGTTCTTCATTGTTTAATACCTCCGGCAATGGTCTGGCGAAGTTTTCTCCGTGTGCCTCGGTTTCCCTATACTTGGTTAGCGTTGTGGCGTGGAACACCGGGTGGATTCTCCATTGTTGGGGGATTTGAAGTTTGTATGCCAGGGTTCCTATTTTCGCCAATATTTTAAAGGGGCCATACCTCCTAGGAGCGAGCTTGAACTTTGGATGGGTTGTCCGGATATGGGTTCCTTCTAACCATACTTGGTCTCCTTCTTTCCATTGAGGGAGTTTCCTGTGGAGATCCCGGTCCTTGGCGTAATTGCTGGCTATTTGTAGGCTGGCTGTGGCTTCTTCCTGGACTTCTGTGATCACCTTAATGCGTTCAGCTACCGCGGGTACCTTTGTCTCCAGCGCAGTGTCGGCTGAATAAGGGGGGTTGAACCCGTATAGCACTTCGAAAGGAGATTTTCCAGTGGCTGAATGTTTCCGCGTGTTGTGCGAGAATTCGGCAAACGGCAAAAGGTCCACCCAGTTATCTTGGTGGTAATTGCAGAACGTTCTCAGGAACTGTTCGATCTCCTGGTTTACTCGTTCTGTTTCTCCGTCCGTCTGGGGATGATAAGCCGTGCTGAGAGCGGCGGTGATTCCTAGCCGTTTCCAGAGTTCTCGGGTGAACTTGGCCGCAAATTGAGGGCTGCGATCGGATACTATTTTGGTCGGCAACCCATGTCTACTGAAAACGTTGTTCTGGAAAAGCGCGGTTGTTTCTTCTGCCGTGATCGTTTTCTTGCATGGGGTGATGACTATGCCTTTGGACAGACCTTGGTCCACTACCACGTTGATTGAGTCGAAACCCTTGCTTTCGGGTAGATCCGTGACGAAATCTGTCGAGATGAAACGCCAGGGGACGTTGGTGGTTTCCAAAGGGTGGATAGGAGGGTGCGTCTTGTGCATCAGATTCTTGGTTGATTGGCATACCGCACATCCGTCCACGTATTCATGGATGAACTTTGTCATGTTTTGCCACCAATAGTGTCGTTGTACCAATTCCAACGTTTTTGTTCTCCTCGGGTGTCCTACCGCGGGTGCGTCGTGATGCGTTTTGACAATAAGTCTTCGTATGGCATCGTCTTTTGGGACGCATATGTGGCCGTTTCGTCTGGTGATTCCGTCTTCGTGTGTCCAGTGTCCCAGTAATCCTCTCATTCCTTGTGGCCCTACTCGCAAGAGCTTGGCGAGGGCTACCCTTGTCAGGGCATCGTGTTCCGATTTTGAGCATCGGATGAGGGAGATGAGGTCCGAGGATGCCATTTCTGTGGACTTGATATGCCGTGTCGGGGACGGTTCTACCAGTGTTTTGTCAGATTTGTTGAAAAGGTTGGCCGGGAGCAAAATTTGAGCTTTGTTGTCAGATTCCACCCCCTCACTTAGATCTGGACGCCTGGACAGAGCATCGGAATGATTTGTTGACCCCGCTTTATAGCTGAGCGTGAAGTTGAATCTGCTCAAATAAAGGCTCCAACGGGCGTGTCGTCGTGAGAGATCTCGCGCCGTTTGGAAGTGTTCCAGGTTCTTGTGATCTGTCCAGATCTCGAATGGGTGTCGTGCACCTTCGAGGTAGTGGTTCCAGTGTTCCAATGCTTTTATGATGGCCAGGAGTTCGCGATCGTGGACGTCGTAGTTCCGTTCTGCTGGTGAAAATGACCCGGAAAGGAATGCAACTGGGTGCCAGTCGCCATCTTTTCCTTCTTGCAGGAGGGTGGCTCCGTAAGCGATTAGTGAGGCGTCCGTTACTAGTCGATATGGATGCATGGGGTCCAGGTAATTCAGAACGGGTTTGCTGATAAATGCCCTTTTTAATCGTTCGAAGGCTTCCTGGCACTTCGAAGTCCAGTTCCATTTTGCATCCTTTTTGGTGAGGTCGTGCAGAGGTCGCGCGATAAGGGAGAACTTATCGATGAAACGCCTGTAGAAGTTTCCTAGACCTAAAAAGGAGCGAATGTCTCGGACGGTGCATGGGACTGGCCAATCTTGTATAGCGTCCACCTTTGAGTCTTCCATTGCGACATGGTCTTTTGAAATTGTGTATCCCAGATATTGGAGTTTTTCTTTATAAAACTCGCACTTTTCTGGCTTCAGATAGAGGTCGTTGTCGCGCAAGATCTGGAAAACTTGGTTCAGGATCTGGATGTGTTCCGCCATGTTTTTGGAAAAGATGAGGATGTCGTCCATATATACGGTTATTTTCCAGGCCGTGATGAGTTCTCTGAAGATCATGTTCATCATGGCCTGGAAGGTGGCTGGTGAGTTGGTAAGGCCGAAGAACATCACCGTGGGTTCGTAAGAGCCCAGCGGAGTGATGAAAGCTGCCTTCCACTCGTTGCCCTTCTTGATTCGTATATTGTTGTATCCCCACCGTACATCCAATTTGCTGAAAATGGTGGCCCCTTTGATCACGTCCAATAGTTCTTGGATTAGTGGAAGGGGGCACACATTTGGGATGGTGTACGAGTTCAAATGGCGATAGTCCTGTACCGGGCGCAGTTTTCCATCTTTCTTTCCTATAAAGAAAAATGGGGCTGCCGTTTGTGAGGTGGATCGACGGATGGTCCCCCGAGTGAGGTGTTCCTTGATGAATTTCCCTAGTTCATCATGTTTTTCTGGGCTCAAGGCGTAGATTTTTGGTACTTGAGGTTTGAAAGTCGGTTTCAGGTCTATAGCGTGGTCCCAGTAAGTGTGCTCTGGGAGTCGCTGCGACTTTCGTTCGCTAAAGATGTCCAAAAATTCGTGATGCGCCTTGGGGACTCTTTCCTTTAGATTGGTGACGACGATTTCGTCCTCCAAGTCCTGGTCGAAGCTGGCAAATCCTGATGGTTCGGGAGCCAGTTTCCGAATAACTGGTTCCTCTATGGCCTGTTTTCCTGAGTTTTTATGTGGGAGATCAGGTTCTCCCCCGTTTGGTGAAAGAGATAGTTTGGCTTGAGCCTTTCGTTTCTCTTCTGCGTATTTCCTTATGTCCTGTAGGAGCCATTTCCTTTTGAGGTATGCTCGTAGTTGGACACCAAACGTTCCGCTATGATCGCGGAGTCCTACATCTTCCGATAATCTTCGGAGGTGCTCTAGGCGCTGTTTTTCGCGCTCGTTAATGCGTGGTTTGTGCCGTGGCTCCACGTCTGATAACTGCCTATTGTTTTGCGGTTCTTCCCTTGCCCTAGTGAACCCATGTGGTTGCTGGCATTTTTGGGGGCACCGATCAAAGTGCACTTCACGTCGCCTCCACTCGATGGAGGGGTCGTGGTATTTCAACCAATCTGTTCCTAGGATAAGGTCGTCTTTCCCTAGATTGGAGATAAACATCTGGACGCGCTCAGTATGTGTTCGTCCCCTGATGTCCCGAATGGTGAGGTTCACATCCAAGGCTGATCGGATGAGACCTGCTTTATTAATGGTGTCATCGACGTTCCGGACGCGAATGGGGTTGTTGAGTGTGTAGGTGGGAAAGCGATGTCTCCTGACCCAAGTTTCATTTACTATAACCCCCTCGCATGCCGAGTCGATGGTTGCCTTTGCTCCAGCGTATTGACTCCTGTTTGATACTTTCACGTTCAGGCGTATGGGAGTGATGATACGGTCGTTCATTGCTCTGATACGAATACAAGTGCGGGCATCAAACTCGGGTCGTCCTTGACCTCTCTCCTTCGCTGGTGAGGGAGAGGTCAGGAAAAACACTCCACGTGTCCCAAGATTACTTCTCTTGCTTCATCTTCTCCTAATTCTCCGAGCACTGCTCTGATTCGAGCAGAATGACTGACGCTTCCGTCTCCCCGTTGTCCGTTAGGTAACATAGCGCGTTGCCCATGGTTCGTTTGGGGTCGTCCGGATGGGGCAGAGTAAGGACGTTCCATCGAAGGACCAGGTTGTGGTACCCGCTGGTCATTGCGAGGGACATCCTCTGTCTCCACTCCTCGATATATTCCCGCTTGGTTTCCCATAGCGGGTGCGTCGTCTTCTCCCTCCAAATTAACCGCGCGGTTTCCTCTCCCTGTCGTACCCAAGCGTCTCTTCGAGTTTCCTCGAATTGGTGGAACGCCTCTGCGGGCCGACCAGCAGTTAGCGCCAGAGTGTCCTATCTTTCCACAATTCGAACAAGAGGTGGTTCGCTTGCCGTCAAATTTTCTTTTTTGACTTTGGGCGTTACGCTTCTTGGTAGCGTCAATGTCCATATCGACCACCTGATTATTCATTTTTCGAGGAGCGTTTGTGGAGTTATAGCGGATAGCAGGTTGGGAATGGAAACGGTTTAGATAGTCGCTACGGAAGGAGGTGGAGTTGGCGAGGATGACCTTTTGAGCAGATCTGGCTCTGAGTCGTCCGTCTATTTCGCAGGCTGTATTGATCCAATCCTGAATGGTGTCTTTTGGCTGTACTTCTTTGTCATATATTTTGTCCATGACGCGCGGGTCTAACCCGCGTTGGAAGTAAGGGACTTGTTCCTTGTCAGAGATGTCTGCATCGGCGGCGATGAGAATGAATTGGTTGGAGTATTCATCAACCGTCATTCGTCCTTGGGAGAAAGCCATGAGTGCGCTTCGCGCCTTGTCGGTCTTGCCCGTCTCCCTAAATTGGAGCTTGAACTTTGTTAAAAAGTCCCTCCAGGTGCCTAGATCAGTAGGAGGGTCCGCTCCTACTGATTTGAGGAGGAAGTTCTCGGCCCAAGCTCCTGCCGTGCCATATCTCATGCATGAGAGCACCAGGGATATCTTGTCTTGATCGGTCTTGTACCGATCGGATTCTGCTGCGAAAAGAAGGAGGCATTGGAGCATGAATTTCTGGGATTCAATGCGGTTGCCTGTGTAGTTGTCTGGGAGTTTGACTTTTCCTCTTCCGGGTTGTACTGTCGCGGAAGGGGGGTCTGTAGAAGTCGAAGCTTGTCCCGACATGTTGGCGAGCGGTTCGTTTCGGGTATTGATCGGTGTTTGGTCTGGTGAGTCGGAGTCTGATTCTGAGGTTGTTTCCTCTTGCTCCGAGTCTTCGGGGATTACCGGCGCCGGTTCCCTGTATTGTGGGGCTAGTTCCCACTGAGCTTCTGTTTCGTTCCAAATATCCTCTTCTTCTGTTCCGTCTTCAAGGGTGAAGTAATAACGCCCGTTTCGGTATGAGCAGTTATCGTAATTTGGAGGGGCGTATCTGTTGTTGTCTTCGTAGACCCAGAAGTCCCCTTCGCGCCGGATCGGGCGATTGTTGTGATGGAGTTGGTTATTGATACGTCTAGTGCCGGGTGGATATTCCTGGCCTAGGTCTTGCTCCAGAGTGTGTGCAGTAACGCTCTCTTAATGGGGGTCTATTGTCCCCACCAAGGAAGGTTATGAGAGAGAGTGTGGCAGCAAGCTAGTGCGAGCAAGGTAGGGGCAGAAGAGTCTATTCTAGTGTTACGACTGCTCGTTGGTAACCCCAAGAGTAGGAGGTTCTTCCCTAGGTCACTCGTGGAGGATGTGTGGAACGGCGGTCTCGACTGTACGTGTAGCACAGGAGCCAGAAGTGTATTGCGATATAGCAATGAAGACTGCAGTAGGAAGACTACAGTGGATGAGGGTGCTGTGGTAGGAAGACCACAACGAACGAAGAGAATAGACTGAAGAACCTCAGCCTACTCTATGGGCCTTTTATACTACTTTAGGAAGTAGGGCGTGAGAATACCATATATGTATCCGTAGGTATACTCTAAGTCGTTTTCTCTCAATAACGACTACTCTTGTGTTTCTCCGTTAGTCTCCTTCTGGCCAGGAAAGACTAGGAGCTCAATGCCCGATGTGTGAGTAGTTTGTAAGGCGGCGTTCCATGCCCGCTATGCAATAGGCCCGTGATACTCGACCAACGATAAGGTGATCCGTTGGGAGAGGATGACCAAGGTTACTATCTGTACCTTGTTTGTACGCCTCACAAGTGAGGCCGCTTGATATTTGTGATGATCGTGTCGGAATAGACCGCCGTTAAGGCCCGACAGAACGTGATCATAACAGCTGCTTTTTTAATGCACTCTATGATGCATTTCTAACTGGCCTGTGGCTATCTAGATAATAACCTTGATTGTTCTATATAAGTGATCAAAGGTCAATAACTTACTTATCCTATATAGCATACACCATATGCAGTAGCTGTTAAGCCGCTAGGCTTATCACGTGCACTTAATACACTAAGTAGGGTTCCCTAAGCTAAAACTAAGATTGACCGCCCAACGAATGAAGACAATGGCTTGTCTGCATGCGTGATCCAAGAAGTCTTGGTTACTATTGATCTTGTCTTCGAACAAGTGGAGAAGATGATTATTTATAATTGACTGATGTTCTTCAGGAATGAACCAGTCTTCTCCAATAGAGCAGATTACTTCAGGTGGATCCCAGCAAACGACTCAATAAGCAGCGAGTCCTTGATAAGCAATAGAGACGGGAGAATGATAAGGGCTTTGAGACGAATCCAGTGCTTCGTCAGACTAGGTATGATTCGATTGATCTGACAGAGTTCGCGATGCGTGGGCTTGGAAGGAGCCAGACGCTAGGCGCAGTGCAGAGATCAAGATTGTATACGAAGTGAACGAGCTGAGGCTTCTAAGAAGCTCAGCTCTCCTATATATAGTACAGGGCTATTTAGGGTGAGACGGACATATGGTCCGTGCTTCTAAACACTAAGTACTATCAACGATCGATGCATGTAAGCTGCAGTCATTGTTCGTACTCCGTGGCTCTTCGATGTAACCATGTATAGTAAGTATATCAAATGTCTGTCCGCAGCAATATGCAATCAGGAACCAATCATGATTGATATCAGTAAGCACAATAAGAAAGAGATCATAGTATGTAAGCGTTCATGCGTCAGCATGTAAATGATAAACAGTCTGAGTCCAAATTATGTGTGTAGCTCATGACCATGTCCTGAGTCACGTGCCTAGACGCATGTCAAGTCACAGTCCTAGTCGTTAACAGTTCGAGTCCAAGGAAACACCTGACCCTCCCTTCTGTCCACGTGCCAAACACGTGTTAGGACGCAGTCCTAACAGTAGCTTTTATTGACAATATCACATTCCTGCCCTTAAGGCACTAATACATCCTATTCCTCATAGTGTTGTCTTTGTCCAAATATTCACACTAGGGAATTCTTGCTTAGGATAGGACATCTTGAAGTATTTGTGAGATGAGTGGCTATCAAGATTGTGCATAGTAGTAGCTAAATCCAGCTTAGGGAAGGGTTAAGCATGTAGGTATTTAGCATGAGAACTGCTTAGTAAGTGAGAAGGCCTTACCTAGGGTATAATTCCCTATAGATGTATGACATCTGCTCAAGATATTCCAAGAAGTAATATTACAATTCCTTAACCATGTTATTTATTATAGATCTACAATAAGTGCAAGTGTATGATCACCAACAAAGTTAGGTCAAATATAGGTGTACATATCTTGCTAGATGTGCTAACTGCTTTAGTAGCATGGATTTCAAGTAATGTCAATCTTGCCTTAACTTCTTATGAATCTCTCTTCACTTCTTATAAATGTTAGGACTATGTCCTAACACATGATTTACATATGCTCTCAGAGTATGGTCAGGTGCTATGCTCATATATTCAAATTGGATTGGGAATGTGCTCTTATTCATATGCTGATGCATGAACATTACATACTTATTATTCATTCACAAGTTTTGGCTTGAATGCTCACAAGTACTATAATCAGTTCCTGAGTTACTATGGATGTGGACAAACATTTGATATGGTTACTATATATGGCTAAAGTGTTTACTGCAGATGACAGATTATGATTGATCAGCTTATTTAGTGTTTAGAAGCATAGACCAGACCTCCATCTGGCTCTAAATAAACTATACATATTAATAGCCAAGCTAAGCTTTTTAGAAGATTAGCTTATTCACTTTGCATACATCTTGATTTTAACACTGCACCTGGCATCTAGCTCCCTTCAGCCCAAGCATTGTGAACTCTGTTATATCATCATAAACATATCTAGTCTGACAAAGTACTAGATTCATCTCATAGTTCTGATCATTCTTTCTTCTTTACAACCTATCAAGGACTTGCTGCTTACTAAGTCATTTGTTGGAATCCCTTGGAGGTCATCTGCTGTATCGGGGAAGACCTACTAGTTTCCGATAAATATTATCCCTTTATCAATTAGCGCCTCCTTCACCTCTTTGAGGACAAGATCAATAGCAATCAAGACTTTGTGATACAAGCCCAAATATGAGCAATAGTCTTTATTTATTGGGCTGTTACAATTAGCTCAGGGAACCCCTTATAAGTGCAACAAGTGTACATGACAAGCCTAGCGGCTTAACAATAAATCTCTCTTCACTTCTGATATTTCCTCCTTTATCTCATGTATATCTTTCTTTAAGCTTTTTCTTATTGACTTTTGCTATTGGTCCATGCAGTTGAGATACTTCTGCACTAGCCAAAGAGCATTGTTCATAGCATGATTTACAGCATGGTTGACAGTATGGTAAATAATCTAAATGACTGCAAGTTAAATGACATGATTGATAGCAGGGCCAAACCAAGCTAGGGCATCTGTGTGAAATTGAGATGTTTGAGTCAAGCATTAGAAGACTATGCATATAAAAATACAACTTACTAGGGTTAGCACACACAACCACTTAATTCTTGTAATAAATGCTATTTGCAAACTTGGTATGTGTCAGTCAGTCTTTTCCTAAGCTGCCAATCTAAGTTAGAAAAATTGCAAAGAGTCATCAAATCCTTACTGTAGAGGACTCTCAATTTGGTCTTGTGCATATCTGCTCTACAGATATCCTATGCTATAGAGTTTGGATTGGGCTATGGTGGAAATACAACTTTGCCAGTGTTCAGTGGAAAAGGGATTGGCTCTAACAGAAACTTAATGGGATCCAGCAGTAAGTCTATGAGCTCTAGTGGTATTTCATCATTTTCCAAGTCAATTTCAGGTGGATTGGAGATTTGGGATTGCTTATGGTGGTTGATGGAAATGGACTGTGAGAAACTCGGAGAAATCGGAAAGGGCCGTCGCTCGCCGAGATTTGCCTCCGTCTCGGCCGGAAATCATCAACCCCAAAGTCGGGGCATTCGCTCAAAATGTTTCCGAGACATGCGCCACAGACAGGGCGATCGATTTCCTGTTTTTCCTATGGAAAAATGGAGCTTTGCTAGCCCCACGAGGTAGAAGATGGGGCCAACACGTGTCGATAAGAATTGTTTGTACATCATTATATAACACAAATAAAGTGCCGAAAAGGAAGTAAACAATGAGAAATCGGAATTCGAGGTCCGCTCACAAGTTCAACTTGCTCGACGGTTTTCTGTTCTTCTTTTCTCTAACGCATCCCTCTTTCCTCCTTCCCTCTTCTTCCTCTCTCATAGCACCCTCCTCGTTTTTTTAACGACTCGTCTTTTCCCTGCTTCCGCAGTTCCTTCTATACACATATCATCATTACTTCCACCCTGCGCGCCCGTACTTCAACCTCCTTGTCGCCCTCGAATTCGATCAGCGTCAGGATGGCCCAACCTTCGTCATCTCATCATCGCGAGCGTGAATCGCACCGTTCCGAACGTTCTTCACACCACCATCATAGAACAATCTCATCCACGACCCTCCTCCTCGTACTCTCTCTTATACTTGCTGTCCTTGCAGTGATGCTTTCCCTTCCCAGCCAGAGCTCTTCTAGCAACCCCAGCGATCCTAGCGGTGGTGTCATGAGCTACCTCACACCCAAACGCACCCAAGCGCTCATTGCTCGCGAGAGAGATGTTGCGCTTCGTGAAGCCGAAGTTGCTCGGCGCGAAGCTGAGATTTTGGCTGGTGCACCGGGCGGGGTTATAGGTAACCCACCTACCCCTTGCCCGGCATGTCCAATCATTGCTCAGGCCACGTACGAGCCCCCTCCTGCACAAACCGTCATCAAGGAGGTCGTAAAGGAGGAAGCACTTACTCCTCCTGGCTGGTGGAAGGAGGGCAATGTTCGTTTTGACGACATTCTCAGTCGCGAGCTCAAGATCGCGGAACGTGAACGAGAAATTAGCCGTCGCGAAGAGACGGTTAACCGCAGGGAGCACGATGCATCCCGCCGTGAAGCTTGGATCATGGAACAACTTGTGTACGTGTTCAGGTTATTTTTCTCCGTCGCATCGATCAGTTGGTTGACTTTGAGTAATCTAGTGCTCTCGGTAACGAAGCTTCTGTAGAGGAGGAATACGTGTATGAGCCTGTTCCTGCGAAGCGTAAAAACTCTGCCAAGGTACCGCCACCTCTCCAGCGCCGTTCCGAGTTCTGAGACGAAGGAGGTTTCCGACTCGACACTTTTCTTCATTTCACGTTCAGTCAGTCAGAGTCCTCTGTTGTCCCCTCCCCCTCCCCCTCCTTCGTCCAGGCTTGGGGGACAACGGTGTTTTTCTTCTTTTTGTCCCCCTCGTCTCTGTAGTCTGTGAACCGATCTCCGTTACGCGCTCTCTCGGTCGAACCGCCGAAGATCTCTGGATCTACGACGCGCTCCCACGTGATATGTCACCTGGCCTCGTGCACTCCGTGACCACAAATTCGAGGTTCGATCGCGAGTGAATGCACTTTGTGTCACGGAGACCGGTTCTCAGCCTACATCCCCTTTCTCTGTATCTGTCAATACAAGTTTACTGACCACATATTCGCGCACCCCACAGGAACTCCCTCCTCTCCCCGCTCTAGTCGTCACAGAAACTGCAATCGAGACCGCCACCCGTACCGTTACCCAAATCCAAATTCAAACTCCTTCTCCTGTTGTCGAAACAATCGTTCCAGCGCCTGCCAGTACTCGTCGCGCCGCCTCTCCCACGCCATCGCCGCGTAGTACTTCTTCAACCTCCACCCTTCCCAGGACCACCTCTGTTGAGGTAGTCGTGGAGACTCGTGAGGAAGTTGTACATGAGGAGCCGATTGAAGAGGAGGAGGAGGAGATCGAGATAGAGGAACCGAGACGAAGGAGGGTGGTCCGAAGGCCGCCTCCTCCGCCTCCGCAGCCCCCTGCTGCTTACAGGCAATCCCCCCCTCAACAACGCTGGCCCCCTGTCGATTGGTGAGGATCGAAAGCAGTATTGTGACGATTAAACGAGTTATTGGGCTGTATTCACGATTTATTTCCTTCCTTCTTGCTTCTTATTACCTCTCGTTTCTTACTTACACACCTGGCGGCGCCTTGCTATGTAACCTGCATCATCAGCCTCCTTGTCTCCGGCCGCCTTTGATATTGTTGCAATCCGCCGTGAACATTTACATTGCTCTAAATCTTCCTTTATTTACCCGGTGATGCCTTACTCCCTCAACTTTACTGACCCTTTTTACGAACTTGACGACGGTGGAAGAACACGATACTACAGTACGGCTGGCACATGGATGACGGATTGCTCGATACGTAGTGTAGATTATTCCCTATGTGGCTTCCTGAGCGGAATAGATACATATGGCACTGGGGGGTTGGTCTGTGTACATTTCACGGTCAAAGGGAGACAGACGTGTGACGTACAAGCACGGGGTTTGGGGTTGTTTGTACTTGCTATTTTCCTACAACTGTTCCCGACGCGTCAGGATTTCTGTTCGCGCCCGTTGCTTTTCAGCGCCCTGACAAGCTCACTGGGTCTTGCTCTCAGATGGCAGCCATCTCTTCAGAAAAGTCGTCTTTCGCGGATGTGGGCTCAATATCAGCACCGTCTTCCTCAAAACCCTCCTCCTTCTCTGCCCTCTCTCCCCTGACGAACGTGTATCGGCGGTTCTCAGACTGGCGCAGTGCACTCGGTCTTCCTAACCCTGGCTCGGTGGAGAACCTCCAGAAGGAGATCAAAAGTGAGCACTGTATCATATACGTGCTCGCCACTGTCGATTGACCCAGTCTGTTCCCGCCCTAGACACTCATCTGACGAACTTCTTCTTCGATGGTGCGCGGGCGGACCTGATGAAGGGCCTCTCGATGGATCCCGCCTTCCAAGTAACACATTCCTTCTCGCTCGCGTCCCAAAGCGCTCCTCCATCGTACAACTTTGGTGCTGTTTTTGCGAACCAGCAGGCACGTGCATTCTCGCCTAGGCGTCGTGACCTGGCACATTTGACATCACCTCCCGCAGGTTTTCCTCCAGGGAAGTGTGGATCACGAAGGGAATGTGAACGCTCGGTTGAATCAAGGCTGGTCACCGACCAATGTTACGAAGATCCAGGCTCAGGTACGCACTCGTCGATGTGTCGTCCGATGCCGCGCCTAACGCACATCATAGCTCTCGTCTCAAGCCGGTCATAACATGATCCAGCTAGAGCACGATTATCAAGGTTTAGACTACAGCGTAAATGCGAAAGCAATCAACCCTTCGCCGACGGACGGCACCGGGGTCTACGTCAGCACGTACCTCCAGTCTATCACCCAAAAACTCGCCCTCGGCGTCGAGTCGGTCTACCAGCATCAATCGGCGCAGCTCACCGACTTCAGTATGTCGTATCTTGCGAAATACACTGGCGCGAATAAGGATTGGATTGCGACTGCGTCGGTTCAGCCCGCTGGCATTCTTCAGGCGACCTACTGGCACAAGCTGAGCGAAAAGGTGGAGGCTGCCGCGGATCTGCAGCTTATTGCTGCGCCCGGGCGGAGAGATGCCATCGCGGTGCTTGGTGCCAAGTATGACCTTCGTATGTCGACGTTCAGAGCGCAGCTGGACTCGACGGGCAAGGTTTCGGCACTGCTCGAGCAGCGGTTTGCACCAACGTTCGCCTTCACGGTGGCCGGTGAGATCGATCACTTCAAGGTATGCCCCTCTATTGTTCCGGGATCTTATTTGTTGCGGATGCTTACGAGTGGTGAATCCAGAACTCGGCGAAGGTGGGTGTAGGCGTGATGATCGAGAGCACGAGCTTGACACCTGAGGAGATGGGCATGACAATGCCTCCAGGCCCTCCCCAACTATAATTGCATATTATGTTATCTGCTTAGAGTATTGCATTTGTAGTTGGACACGCAGAGCATTTCCCCTTCTCATCATATCGTACTTTACCGATCATTCATCGTCTGTGTCAGTAGGCCCGTCGGCGAGACGAAGATTCGAGACCTTAGGCGGGGCTCACCGTGGGAACTTGCTTGGGGAGACATTTCGCCGAGTCTACTTATATGAAGAGCCGCGGCAGCTCTCGCGATGCACTGGGGCTAGAACGACAAGCATGACACCGCTGCTCTCAGTGAGAAATGTTTCCTGTTCACGACCTGAGGGGGACCAAATTTTCTCCAATGTGAACTTCAATGTCAACGAGGGAGACATCGCTGTTTTACGAGCTCGCAGCGGCATTGGGTGAGTGTCTGGCTTCGTCCCGTGTACCAACGGGCCCGTCGTTGATGGTAGCGGTTCTACAGCAAAACAACATTGCTGAAATGCATAGCCCATCTGAACTTGTACCACGGGTCCGTAGAGTTCAAAGGAAGGCAAGTCTCTCCCCTTATCTTCTATTAGGTACAGTTGTATTGACCGGAACTACAGGACTCCCAAGGCGTACGGTATGTCAATCACGTTGAAAGTCAACTGAGGAGTTACTGATACGGTATTGATTCTGCATACAGGCGTCCCTACATACCGTACGCACGTTCAATACGTGCCCCAGCGACCGTCACTCCTACCTGGCACTCCTCGCGAATTGTTCCATACTCTGTCCACCTTCCAGTCGCGTCACGCGACGGGGACTGCCAACCTAAACAAGTCGTTAGATGTTGCGCGCTCATGGGGAATCGACGAAGAGTTGTGGGATCGCGCATGGAATACGCTCAGTGGCGGAGAGGCGCAGAGGATTGCCCTCGCGATCAGCTTTGGGATGAATGGCACGATCCTGTTGCTTGACGGTTCGTACCTTTTTACAAAACCTCCTCGCCCAAGCGTCTGACGATATTGACCAATCGCCTCTGTTACAGAGCCAACTTCCGCCCTTGACACAGATGCTTCTCTCAAAGTCGAGAAGGCTCTCATCGAGGCTGTCAGATCCCCTGAGTCTCCGCTCCAAGCTCTCGTGTGGATCACGCACTCGGAGGAGCAGGCAACAAGAGTCGGCACACGTTTTCTCCGCCTGTCACCTACGGGTATCCGCGAGGAAACGTCGATACCAAATGACGCCTAGACAGCTTAGAAAGCTACGCAAAAAACGGGCATGCACATCATGTCGTCTATATCGAGAACATACGACATATATGGGAGACGTCTTTCATTGGGATTGTAGGGTCTATTACTTAGCCTAGCGTTCACCGGTAGATGTAGTCTGAGTGGGACTTAGCGTATCGAAACTAATGGCTTGTTCTTAAGTATTCTTCATACAGTTTTTGCGCCACCAGGCGTGGACAGGTGAGGCCTGTGAGGACTTGCCAATGTTGCCATATTGAGGCATCATCACCTAGTATTCACCTCTTCCACTCGACCTGATCGCACCAACCGAGGTGCATCATCACCATGCACCAGGATGTGTTTCATATACATGAAAAGGGTGTTGCAGAGTGCTCTATCACCGCAGCTTTACCTTCACAACTGACAGATTGACGCTCAACGTCTGAACTGACCACGGCAATGCAACTTTACCATTGATCGTAGGTTGACTATCATCCACATATATCCTTGAGCACCCTGTAACTTTGGACCAGCCCATCTCTTTACCACACATATTGCAACAAACGTATGTCCGTTGCATTGGGATGTCTTGCCGCAATTGAACTCCCTCTCTTTTCCTTAGACCTCAATCCATGGAGTTTCGCCTTCTGGTAGAGGCTCAAGAAAACACAGACCGCCCTGTCATTTTCCTATCAAACAGACGATGGTCTGTCACAGAACCTCTCGACATGACCTCCCAAAACGTGCCTCAATATGCATGCATCTCCTACGTTTGGGGCTCCGGACGACTTTCCAATCCCTTCCATCCATCAGTCAAGATGTCTGATCACACACTTCCTGCCCTCACCGCGGCAATGCACGATCCCAGTCTGACAGCATTCTGGATCGACGCCTTTTGTGTACCCGTCGCTCAACCGCAGAAAGGAGCCACGCTGGAGAGTATGGGAGCTATCTACGGTCGCGCAGCGCGGGTTGTCGTGGTGCTCTCCAATACGACCTGGCACGCAATTGATCAAATTACGCGCACAAACTTTGCGAGTGCGCTCGAATTTTCGGACTCGCCCCTCAAAATCTTGGAACAGGATATGTGGATCAAAAGCGTATGGACATACCAAGAGGTCGTAAACAGTCAAGGGCTTTTCCTCACAGCAGAAAGCGCAATCTGCGAGCCAATCGAGGGAGAATCCTTTCTCAATGCCTTGGGCCAATACCTTGAACTTTTTCGTCAAGCCAACGGCCTCACTACATACGACCTGCGAGAACACTTTCCATATGTCGACGCCTTTGAAGATTTGATAGCAGATTGGAGAGTGGCTGTATGGTGCGGTAGGTCCGCTTTACAGGTCATGTCTGGGATGTGGAGGCGAAAATGGTTCGAGGAAGCAAATTACTTTTATGCGATGATTGGCACCATAACAGGTCTTCCCTCGAGACGCTCCTCTCATCCCTCTATCCAGTCGCTCTCCGAGTCATTCATGAGAGTTTGCGAGGAAAAAAGCGATTTCTCTTTCATATACTCGACTGCTCCTCGAGACACCCTTTCAGGAAGGCTTTGGCGCCCTTCTCCTACTCTCCTGCAACCTGTATTGTCTTGGCACACCTGGGGTGAAAGTCAGCGTGGGGAGCGGCATGCGAACGGGCTTACACTCAAGGACATGTTCCAGTTGACCCAATCTCACATTGTGAACGAACTGCATGCCCGTCATACTTTGGAGCGCCTTCGAGTGAAGAACGAGCACCCTACTAGCGAGGAGGTCACCGTTCTTCTACTGTCAGTCCTCAAACAAATGGGGTTCACTGGATGCGGACAGCATCTTACCTTCTTCGAGGGATTGTTTTTTCCACAGGATCCGATCATGTTAGATGCCGGGGTTGAAGTTTGGGTGTCCACATCAATAACTTGGACTTTCGGCGCTCCAGGCATAGCGATTACCACCGATGGAGGCCGCAAGCAGTATATCTCGGGTGTTTTTTTGGGTGACAGGTCGACTGCTATGGTTGGATCGGAAGTGGCATTGCTCGATAATGCTGTTCGTGAGTGTTATCCATCAGCTGTCATGGGATGGATTGTTCTATTCTTTCATCGGATCATAAACTCATTCAGTACGTTCTGGCAGAACAGCTTGATAGATCTATGATTGGATGACTGTACATTACTTCATGAATGGCAACTCCGATCAGGACACGAACTTCAGAAGCCTGTTCCGTGGGGCAAAGCGTGACCACCTTGTCTTGATTAAGGAGCGAGCAAGGCACAGCCCCCTATCGATCTTATTTAACCCGCTACACCTTGGTACCCAACGGGACTTACACCACTGCACCTCAATGCCTCCGACATGTTCCCCTTCCTCACAACGCGTTTCATTCCTCGCAGACTCTGCACAATTTTCTTCCGTCAGAACCCAGTGGGAAAACCCTCATGACATCCTTTCCATCCTCATGATTATCGGCGGTGACATTGTTCAACGAGCAGTCGCGCAACTCGCCGGCTCTCGCTTTTCATTCACTCCTGTCGCCTTCTCCTTCGGTTGGGTCGCGTACTCCATCAATGCTGTCTGTTCGGCCATCGGAGATGGGCGCCTCATGCCCGCAGTAGAGGGCTCGTTCATGCTTGTGAACGCGAAAAATGGGTATACCCGTACAATCCAGTCATGGGTCCTCGCACGGCTCGTTCGGGATCATCGATCGCACGAGGGAGGAAAACATAGTCTCTCGATTTTCTTCTACCGAACTTCATCTACGCGGCCTATCGGCGTGACAGACACAGATTGGGTTTATTGCAGCGGAGTTGCCGTCATGATCGTTCAAGCGGGTATCGCCGTCATACCAGGCGTTCTGCACGACAATTGGGTCACCCTCATTCTTACTTTAACAGGCACTGTGCTGGCCCTCGTGGGAGGTGCGTGGCCACAATGGTATGCAGAAAAATGGTCAGCCCGCCCGCTGCTGCCCGGCAACAAGAAAGGCGAAGTTGTCATCCTGACAAGGGGGAATGGTAGCAAAGAGGCCATCGTTATCATAAACGAACACGGAGGGCTACGGCTAGAGGACCTCGCGGCTGAACGGGACGTGCGCTCGCAGTGCACTATCATCTTCACCTCTCTGCTAGCAGTCCTGTGGATAGTGCACCTGCTCGTCGTCGCTAGCCTTCAGAACGATGCGTGGTATCTTCTCGCGGTGGGCGCATTGGGCATGACACAGAATATTGTCGCAGCAGGGGCGCGACGCAGTCCAGGCGCGCTTGGGATACATCTGGAGAAGGGTGAAGTGGTTCATAAGGAGAAGGTTTTTTTGACCTTGCAGGCAGCAGAGGCGCGTCAGCGACATGTGGGATTGTCGCTCCTTCCTATATTTTTTCCTGGCGGGCTTCGAAAGGAAGAGGAAGACTGGAGGCAATCCAAGTTAGCCGAATACGATGAGAACCGATCTATTCTAGGGTCTGTGGCCATGCCTGTCATTGAGTCGGATACAGACGAGAAGGACGATGTTTTCACATCTGTCAACTCTTCACCCGCAGACAACTGAAAAGATTTCTAACCCACGAAAGCATACAACCCATTGGCGATGGTGCGGATGCACTGGCCTGTAACTAACAGTTCAACAACTAATATCATACCTTTCTTTTGTAGTAGATCTCCCGCTAGACACAGGATTCTATATCTGAAATTTTTTGGTTTTGGGCGAATTGTTCCATGTCTGAGTGTAAATGATATTTTCTCCAGGCATAGTTAAATTTATAATCTTATGAGGCCAAGTTCCTTGGCAGGACCTTTAGCTCAATCGGTAGAGCGTTGTACTTATGAGGTTAACCTACTTGCATGCAAATGTCCCGAGTTCGATTCTCGGAAGGTCCACTTTTTATTTCTGACAATAGCATCTTCTTGCAGCACAGCTATCGTGACCCAAACATTTTGCCTGCAATTGTTCGGCACACAGGACTTCAAGAAGGGGCGATGGCACTTATTGCAATCCCAATAATAAAATAGGGTCTTTACCGCATCAACAGGAATACTATACATGCGCAACGCTAAGGGTCATCAATTAATATGAAAGCGCAAAGGGAAAAAGAATAATACCGAATGTAACGATATTGAATGTGATAAGAGGCTTCATGGTGTACCCCCAAGGGAGTCGGTTGGTCTTGCTTCGGGATGAGAACGCCCTGGAATGTGCTCGACCCCTTGAGGGTCGAAACTTTCTTTCCATGCCATGATCAATTGGGTCATCTTCATGCTCTGCACAAGCTGAGGCCATAGCGCGTTCCGCACATCGTCTGCCTGAGTGTGCAATATGTCCTCCACATTCTCCCGAAATTTGGCGAGTTGGATCGTCAATTCTTTACGGACTATCTCGACGGTAGGACGCTTCAGTGCCTCTATGATGAGATCCAGAGGTGGAGGGGGAGGTGGCGGGGCGTTCAGGCGTTTGGTGAGGGCAATCTGAAGCGCAGCCATTCGCTTGGTAAGATCAGTATAAGAATCGCTTTGTGATTGAACGATTTTTCGGAGCTGCAAAAAAGGTATTAGAGCACTATGAATGAGGGCACTTGAGAGGCGTTGAAAATGCCCACTTCTGCAATTTCAATCTGCAGCTTCTCGTTCTCCACCTGTAAGCGTACATTTTCCTTGGTCATATTGCCCGATTGCGCAATCAATTCGGCTACCTCATCTGCTATTACCTGAATGTCACCGCCCGCTTCCGACACCTCCTTGTTGAGCTTTTCGATTGCTTGCTGCACGACCGGGGAAACCAGATCGCCTGCTTGTGCAACGGTAGATGGGTCAGTGAGGATTTCACCAATTTTCTCATCCAGCATGGTGTCGAATTCGCTGATCACGTCTCGCACGTGTTGCGTTAAGCTGTTGTCGAGTTCAAGCACGCGATGGTCGATGCTGCGAATGCGATCCTGAAGACCGTCAGCCGCTATCTCCATCTCGGCCGACTCGTGATCTCGGTCAGGATCGTTCGACAACGCATGGTAGGCTGCCTCCGGTGTGTCTCCTGGGAGGAAAAGACGCTTGCGCTTCTTCGCGGGTCCCTCTGCATCAATGCCTATGGAACTCCCCGCTGTTCCGGCCATCCGACTTTGATGTTGCAAGGTGACCTTTGCCATTCTCTCCTGCAGTTGGGCAATGCTGCCACCGAGACCTTCGACGGAGTCCTTCATATCCTTGTACTTGTCCTCGAAGGCTGGGACGTCATAGGGCGCAAGGACTGGCCAGAAGCCGATGTCTACAAGACGAGAAACGAGTTGATCAATGACCTTCCTTTCCTCATCTAATCGTATTTCTACTTGTTTGAGGATTGTCTGTGTGCGTGTTTTTTCTGCAGCCGGGAACGCCTCGAACCGATTGGACTGAATGAGACTGCGGTAGTGCTGCATGTCGCGTTCGATCGTCGCTGCCTTCATGCGTTCCGAGACGACATCTGACAGAAGCCTATATTGATGTGAGAGGAGCACGTTATGAATAGACTGCAATAAACATACGCGATCCGTTCACTCCACGCCGCCCGCTTCTCCTCCACAGTCATCTCTTCCTTCTTGGGCGGGGGAGGTGGAGGGTCGGTAGGAGGAATGGGTTTCCATACCGACTCCATAGGCACGGAGGCCACGATTGAACGGGGATCTGAAGCTGAGTGTGCTGGTTCTAGAGGGGGTTGGCGCTGCGAGCTCCCTTGGGGAACAGCAGACGACATGCTAGCCGTTGCTGGCAGCATGGCACGTGGGCCGCTTGGAGGCCGTACAATGTTCGAGCCACTTGTAGCAGCAGTTGCTGTAACCCCTGACTGAGAAACAAAGACCTTGCTTTCGTTGTTGTGGATCCGTGACCCAGTTGAATCGTCGATTGGTCTGCGACGAGACATGTCCTCTGCACTATTGCGTCTCCGAGAGTCAAAGGAGGTAGCCGATCGAGCTGGAGATCTGTCCCGTGAGCGTGGGTGATAGGAACTATCATCGCGTTCGCGTTGGCGTCTGGGTGGAGTCCGGCTATCACGACGATGGCGTGGGGAACTGTCGCGATAGCCGCGGCGTGGGCTGCGTCCTATAGAACGAGGCGATCGGACAGGGCTGCGAGAGTGATAACGGCGAGGGGGTGGGGAGTGATACCGTCGAGGGTTGGGGGGTGGTGGATGGTATGCAGTGTTCCATTCAGGGTCTTCGGGATGCGCATATAAGCAGGCAGCGGCACTGCGAGAACAGCCGAATGTTCCATTTTGTTGAAGATAAATCGGTTCACCTGTGTGCGAAAAATACTACAGAGGACCCTACGATGAGCTGATTTCGACGGGAAAGAAAGATGAGCGGACGTGACAACGACGGCGTTTGTACATTCTTGGGGTTTGCCGGTGTGGGACAGTCGAGGGATGATTGGAAGAAAGAGGAAAGAAGAGGGGCAAGTCGGAGTGAGGAAGCCCGAAAGGAGATCTGATTGTTTCTTGAGATCTCTATTTGTTTCTGGTTTCTCACCGGTCGTCCGTTCTCACATCCTCTTGCCACTCTCAACCTGTCTGATTTTTCCGCCGATGTCCTCAGACCATAACACCCTCTTTGCCCAGTCCTATTGAGCATGCCTGTCCTCAGATCAACCCCCTTTCGTATCACCTCAGCTGTTGTCATCGTCCTGGCAAGTACCTGGCCCTATAGTATCCTTCTTGTGCGTCAAACTCATACCTTGACATTCACACAGATATCCCTGCATTTCATCCTCTCTTCTCGCTCATCCTTCTACTCCATCGCGTCAGTACTACGCAAGCCAATGACTGTACCCGGCCCACCGGCGCTATCAGTTTCTTCCCACGTCTCCTCCCCCCAACCAGTAGACACAGATCCACCACAGCGTCTTGCAAATGCGACATTCGTTATCCTGAGCAGGAATTCCGATCTCGGACCCGTCATGACAAGCATGCAGCAGATCGAGGACCGGTTCAATTCACGACACGGGTATCCTTGGGTGATTCTCAACGATGAGCCATTTACCGAAGAATTCAAGTCGTGCGTCGATCCGCCCTTCTTGTCTTGTCTCTCGAATATTTGATGGCATGACAAAGGCGCGTGAGGCTAATGACAGATGCGCCGGTTTCATTTGGTGTGATCCCGTCTGAGCAGTGGCTTCAGCCAGAATGGGTCGACGAGGCTAAGGCCGCCCGTGTAAGACATAGCATGCAGCTGCAACGAATTCCCTACGGTGGTTCGTGGAATTGTTTTCTGTGCCAGTGTCGAGCGAATGAAAATCCCACCTAACAAACAGGAAGCGTCACGTATGTTCGAGCCAATGTGCGCCAAGGTGCAGCATCACTGATTGTGCTCTCAGTTATCGAAATATGTGTCGTTTCCAATCCGGTGTGCGTAATCTCACCAATACCACTTCTCTGACCCTCGTGTCTCATAGGGCAACCCGCCCTTCCTAGTTCTTCTTCCGGCATGAGCTCTTACAGCCGTACAAATACTACTGGCGTGTCGAGTAGGTTCATCCGCCTCTGTTTGATGCGTCCTCTACGATCTAACAATCTTAGACCTGGAGTCGATTATTTCTGCAGCCTTGATTATGACCCTCTATTATTCATGCAGGATAATAACAAGACTTACGGTAAAGATCTTGCCTTCATTACAAGCGCTTATCTTTAAAACTGTCCTTTTTGTTATAGGGTTCACTATTATCACAGAAGAGTTGCAGCCGACGGTGCCATCGCTGTGGGAAGCGGTATACGGTGACTAGTCTTGTCTTGTAGGAAAATGCTACCTTACTGAACGCCGTGCGCATTGTACAGATTTCATGACGGAGAATGCAGGGCTGATACCACAAAACAACACCGTGAATTTCGTCACCAACGATAGAGGGGATAGCTATAACTTTTGTCAATGTAAGCTGCTCCTTATCTCATTTCCGCTTCAACTTCTGTTTCGCTCCGTTGCACGCCTGTCAGCATAAAGTCTGACGCGTGCTTCAGATTGGAGTAACTTCGAGATCGCTGACCTCGATTTTTGGCGAGAGGAGCGATATCTTCGATTTTTCGACTTCCTCGATCGTCGAGGAGGATTCTATTACGAGGTTTGTTCTCGTTCGTTTCATCTGCTCCTCGCTGAACGGGAAAGTGGTGCCTGCGCCTTGTAGCGCTGGTGTGATGGTCCGATCCGCAGTATCGCGCTCTCGCTTTTTGCGCGGAAAGAGCAATTGCACTTTTTCAATGACATCGGGTATCGTCATCAGCGGCTAGAGCACTGCCCACAAGGCGGCGCGTGGGCGCGTGGGCGGTGCTGGTGCAATCCAGACGACAGCTTCGGTGCGCCTATGTTTTCTGCTACTCTCGTCGACATTAACATCATATACCGACTCATCGATATTGCGGAAAGATCATCACCCCCCACAATGTTTATCCACGTGGAACGAGCTGTAAGTGAGGGGGAAAGGGAGGAGATCCCTGGGCTATGGTATTGTCTTCGTCTTGCTGTTCTTCGTTGACTCCTTCCACGAATACGAGGGCTCAGTGTGTACATTCTGAGCGTCATATACTGATATTCATCTTACTCAGCCAACGTGGGCGTCGCCTCGAGGAGCATACTCGTACATTTCCTACGGTATTCTGCAGAATGTCATGTCAACTTTTGGTGGGAATATCTGGGAATATCGACGACAGAAGATCCCGGAAACGTGCCAATTTGTGCGAACGTCGCCGCGAGCATGACGTTTGGCTGCCTCTTCTCAACTGCATACATCATCTCGGAGGTCCGCATTCTTTAAATCACTTCCGATGCTATCATTGGTGTCCTCGCCCGGTTCATATACCACGCAAACGGCGAGGGCTTGTCACATGACCCTGCTCTCCCATAACTCACCACACTTATTGTCAGCGACATCCGTGGAAGATGGCTATCTTGCGAACGGGACATATCGTCGGAGTACAACGTGGTTGACATCCTGAAGACGCCGCTTGGGAAGAATCGGGACTTCGGATCCTCGAATAGATAGCCCAGATGTGGCGAAGAATATATGGAAGTGCCATTCTTGACGAAGTATACGAAGAACTTGGTCTTGTAAAGATGATGGACGCTACAAGTGAATAGACATACATACTATACATTGCTCTGGTCTGTAGATCTACCTACACATGGGGTTTGTTCAATGTTCATGGAATTTGAATATCGAATTGCTTGAGCCCGTAGGCCGTAGGGCCTCGGCCTCGGAAGCACTTGCAGCTTCCCAGACTCGTCTCCCCCGTGCATAGGATAATTCGCACTCGCCACTTCACTGATCAGTGACTGGTGACTGGCAATCTGCAATCCTCTGGAAGCCTGACCGTCGTCTCTACTTAAGTCCCCTTGCACAAGTTCATTTTTGTGTGCACGCTTAGGAGTAAGAGGGAGCAAGGTCGGATGTTCTCTCCCCGACTGACACTATTGCGCGCCGTGGCCGGCGTCTTCCTCATATTGGTACGCGTTTTCCTTCTAATCCCGCTGCGCTCTATATCACAATTGCATCAATGGTTCACTGATATGCACACTCTTTCGCAGACCAGTCTCCACCTTCTTCGCCTCGCTCAGCCCTTCTCGTACTCTTCCCTCCCCGCGTTTCTCACAAGCGTGTCACGGACCCCCGCGTTCAAGGTACCACCACGCCTCTCTGTCTCTGGAGAACCACTTGCAAACGCGACATTCGTCGTGCTGTGCCGCAATGGAGATCTCGGCGAGATCATGGGTAGCGTGCGTCGGATGGAGGACCGCTTCAACGCGCGGCACGGTTATCCGTGGGTCTTTCTGAACGACGTGCCTTTTGATGAGGAGTTTCAACAGTGCGCCATGCATGACTTCTTGAGTTTCTCATTCATTGATGCTGTGGGTAATGAAGGCGCATACGTGCGCTTACGGACGCGCCGGTCTCGTTTGGGGTGATACCGCAGGAGCACTGGGTGCAGCCGGAATGGATTGACGAGGAGCGCGCTAAAGCGGAGAGAAAGAAGATGGCGTCGCATGTGTTACACCTGATACCCTATGGAGGTCAGTATCACTACCTCTAGGACTTGCCTGTTTTTGTGCTCACAGGAGTGCGAGTTGACAGGCAGTCTTACGTGCGCCTCAATACTCTCAGTTGGCTATCATCGTTGACCTGTGACCTGGTGTTATGCAGGTATCGCAACATGTGCCGATTTAACTCTGGGGTGAGTAATATGTTTCGAGACCCTTCAGCAAAAGGCTGATTGCGGGGGTAGTTCTTTTACAGGCATGAGCTGCTCCAGCCATACAAATATTATTGGCGGGTAGAGTGAGTCCGCGCCCCATTATCGTACAAAGCTTCGAGACCCGAATAGGGCGTAGACCGGGTGTCAATTATTACTGTGACCTTGATTATGACCCATTCGTGTTCATGCAAGAGAACAACAAAACCTATGGTGCGTACTAGATCGCGGCGTACAACGGTCTACAGTGAATGATTTTATTTTCTATACCTGATAGGGTTTACTGTTGGCTTGTACGAATACAAGGACACAGTCATGACATTATGGGACACGGTCAAGGGTTCGGCATTTGACCTCGCTTTCTCCGACGAGTTTGACAAGTCAATGTAGACTTCATGCAGGAACACCCTGATCTGGTGCCCGAAGACAACATGATGAAGTTCATCAGCGACGACGGGGGCGCGAACTATAACCTTTGCCATTGTAGGTTTACGCGGGCTGAGGTTGAGCATCCGCCGGACTGACACCGATGCAGACTGGAGCAACTTTGAGATCGCCGATATGGATTTTTGGCGCGGTGAAGCCTACAGCCAGTTCTTCGACTTCCTCGACCGCAAGGGCGGGTTCTATTATGAGGTACAAATGAGGCCTATATATCAATCGTATTTATCATGCTGACAGTGTCCTATGGCCGACCAACAGCGCTGGGGGGATGCGCCAGTGCACAGTATCGGCGCATCGCTCTTCTTGCGCAAGGAGCAAACACATTTTTTCGAGGATATTGGATACCGCCACGAGCCATTCCAGCACTGTCCGCAAGGCGACGCATGGGTCAGGGGACGGTGCAGCTGCAACCCTTCGGACAATTTTGGTAGGCATTTGGATCTGTTATTGGCTCTCTCCGTCATTTCCGGCGCTAATCGAAAATCTTCGGAACATAAGATAAATCTTCATATTCATGTTTGGCACGTTGGGAGAAGCTGTGGGTATGATGACGGCGTAGGAAGGGTCTGCGGTGTGAATGTCGGATGCAATAGTCACTGAACTATGTATGGATCTCGGGCTATAGAAAATACAAAACATACAATTATAGATGTAGTGGTGAAGTATTTAGGTAGAGTTGTTCTGGCAGAAATAGCAAAAAGAGAGTGGTGGACAGCCACCAGCCTGGAAGCTTGATGGAAGTTCAGGCCTTCTGGCGGTGGCTGAACCTGGCTGAACAGCATCCGCAGCCAACAATCGCTGCTGCTTCATTCCTCTCACTTCCGGCCTTTCCTTCAAGTCGCCCTTTGCTCTTTCCTCTCGTCCTCAGTGACGGCGACGGTCATCCAAGATGATGACCCCCATGCGATACGTGGTGCTTGTTCTAACCATCATTGTCAGTTCGTGATTTCGTCGCTGTGTTCGTGTTCTGACTTTTCTGGGCGGAAATAGATCAGCTTGCACTTCATCTTATCCTTCTCTCATGAATCCTATGGAAATGCAACTTCTATCTCTCGCATCTTCGACGATGTCCCTCAAGGCCAGTCGCAGCGCGTCCCAGAGGAGTATTATTGGCACGACAATACTACGGCTATTCAAGGCCGTCGCGCCAATGCAGCCATTGTCATGCTTGCGCGTAACAGCGACCTCAAGGGCATCATCAAGAGCATGAAGCAGATGGAGGACCGCTTCAACAAGAAGTTCAAGTACCCATATGTTTTCCTCAATGAAGAGCCCTTCAACGACAAGTTCAAAGAGTGCGTGCCCTTACTGACCCTAGCTTCAGAGCGTGCTAATGGTATTGTGGGCTCCCTAGGAGCATCACTGAGTTGACGGATGCGAAAGTAGAGTTCGGTCTCATTCCTCATGACCACTGGTTCCAGCCCGACTCGATTGACGAAGAGAAGGCTACTGCTGCGCGCAATAAAATGGCCGCTGACAATGTAATCTATGGAGGTGCGTGATGACTCCGTACTAACTCACCTCAGAATCCTGGAACTCACTTTCCCATCATATCGGTATCCAGGCAGCCTCCCGTACGTCTTTCGCATATCTGTGATTCAGTGCCTTGGCCTCAATTTCATTTCAGATACCGGAATATGTGTCGGTTTAACTCCGGGGTAGGTAGCCCTTGGCATTTTGGCCCAGTGATTCATTCTTCTGACCCTGGTGTATGCGCAGTTCTTCTACAGACATGAGCTCCTCGCCAAGTACAAGTACTACTGGAGAGTGGAGTGAGGCACACCGTTTGCGTCCGCGCCATTGCAATTCTCACCTCTACTTCCTCTAGGCCAGACGTCACTTTCTTCTGTGACCTCGACTACGACCCTTTTCTGTACATGCAAGACCATGAAAAGGTTTATGGTGAGCACTTTGACCGGAGGATTCTTCGCTTCCGGGGACTAATCCTCGTGGTAGGATTCACTATCGCCCTCCCCGAGTACCCTGCGACCATCGAAACACTCTGGGATACGGTTCGCGGTAGGAATAACCCTTGCCTGTGGGGTCGTCTGGGTCATCTAATCATATCCTAGACTTTATGAAGGAGAACCCAGAGCTCATCCCGAGTGACAACGGCATGGGCTTCCTCTCAGATGACGGCGGTCTTACCTACAATCGGTGTCACTGTGAGCCTGCATTCCCTCTGCCTTTGAACAGGGAAAAAAATCTGTACCATGATTTCTCAACTCGACCGCTTTTAGTTTGGTCGAACTTTGAGATCGGTGACCTTGACTTCTGGCGAGGCGAGGCTTACGGCAAGTTCTTCGAACACCTCGACCGCGCCGGCGGGTTCTACTATGAACGTTGGGGTGATGCGCCCGTGCACTCCATTGGCGCGGCGCTCCTCGCGCCCAAGGACAAGTTGCACTTCTTCCATGACATTGGCTACCGCCACGAACCTTTCCAGCGCTGCCCACAGAGCGATGACCACAAACGGGGGAAGTGCTGGTGCGATGCTTCCGAGAATTTTGGTACGAGTCTATACTTCTCCATCTCCTGTCTTCAGCGTGGAATGCTGAATGACGCCTTCCAGACTACGATTGGTACTCGTGTCTTCCCAAGTTCGACCGATTGTTTACGTAGACATGGCCTCGGCGCAGCGCGCGGGGTCGATAAGATGGACAGACACCCGCTATGCGACATCTCAATAAGTATGTACGTGCGACGGCTATTTAATTATTGCAGGTCATAATGATATTGCATTACTGTGTGCCATGTGAATGTATGAGATGAATCGAACCAGCGGGTCATCTACATATGCAGAACTAGTAGTGGAAACATATGTACAACGTCACTGTGCTGGCGTCCATGTTCATCCCCCGCTTTACTCCAGCGAGGAAGATGTGGGTATTATGATAATATGGACTGCGAGTAGTATTGATACTGTGAACGGAGAGGAAGGATACTAAACTCAGAAAACAAATAGGACATGAAAGACAAAGTGGGCATACCGAGTCGTACAGTCGTGTCCAGTTGGACCCTAGGGAAGTATCGATTAACCGCTCGACGTGCTCTGCGACAAGTGAGTGCGTTAGGGCTTGCTGGAACCGTTCACGCAGTTGCACAGCAGTCTGTGCTCCGAACGCCGCGAAACATGGCAACGTCGAGTCTGTACGAGGCACATATTGCTCAGATTGAAGAGTCAAGGAGAAAAAGTGGTAAGGACCCGTGCCGTACCTTTCTGCATCAACTCGACCATCGTGACGATCCTGTCGCAGTGCTTCCGTGCCGCCTCGAAGCCCTCGCGGAACAGCCGCCTAAACTCGCGTAGCGGCTCGCTGTCTACACCCCCGAGTACCTCGACATACTCCAATGGAAGCTTGAATGGTGCGGCCTCAAAGCCAATGTTGCCGGGCGAGTTCGACAGCATGAACCCAAAGTCAATGTGAATGAGGTGGCCCTCGCGATCCAACAAGATGTTGCCGTTATGGCGGTCCTTAATCTGGAGGAGGTAGGTGATCACAGAGTAGCCTTTGGCGGGTGCGAAGCGTGAGGCGGAATCATTTTGTAGGAAAATGAATAAGAGCACTGACCCGCTAGTGACTTCGCAAAGTTTCGCTGCGCTCGTGCGAACTTGGCAGATGAAGGGTGACCGTAAGTCTTGAGAGAAGGTCAGTGATGTCAAACATAGAGAGTGTAGATTCATTTCACATTTTTGAAATGGTCTAAGAGGGTAACGTGCCCCAACCGACCTTCTGTCAGCCGTCGTGCATATTCTGCCTTTTTGATCGAGTGTATCGATACGGCGTCAGTGATGGTCTCCACAAGACCAGAGGAGCCCCCAGTAATGAGAATGCGGAAGCTAATGACAGGAACAATTGAAGGGTAGCTGGGCAGTTATTCATCGAATAGCATGAAAATGACATACTACCGTGCCCAGCATTGGCAATTCTCTTCTTGCCATATTCGCTTGAACTCTTGGATGAGTTGCACAGCGAGTTGCTCCTGACGGAGATCGCCGCCCGTCTTCATGATCACCGACAAGCAATCCCAATTGGCTGTCAGCAGCCAAGTATCAATATCTAGCTGTTAGTCCTTCGCTTTGCAATATCACTTACCCAGGTGGCCGTATGGCGACCCCTGACGCACTCGGCTCTTCTTTGTCGCCCAGGACTCACTGAACACGACTGCTGACGGGTCGACCTTATTCAGCTCTCGCCGAATGATCCCCTCGTCCTCCGCTGTGTTCGTATCCCCACTCCCGATCCCTAGCTTCATCACGCCCGTCTCGCGCATCCTCTCCATCCTCTCCTCCTCAAGGGCCAACATCTCCTTCATGATACGGTCTCGTATCGCCGCTGCCTCTGCGGGCTGCAGCTTCATCCGCGGCAAGGACGGCGCGCCCGGATGTGGCTCATGAGACATGCCGGTGAGAGAGGGATGTATAGGCCCTGCACCCGTCGGTGAAGGGGTCGGCGGCGTGACCGAAAACCAAGTCGTGCCCGGCAGCCAGCTCAGCGGACCGGACGAGGAATCTGATGGCCGTTCCGGAGCACCTGGTGGGAGCACAGGGGCAGGAGCATTCGGTTCCCAGACGAGATTAGCATTCAGCTGAGCGAGCATGACGGCTGCCGTACGCATACGCTCAGAGTAGTCTTCAAGAGACAGTGCCAGACCTCGGCCATTCGGTGATGATTGAGCAGTTGGATGGTTGGGAGATGGGGCAACCTGTGAACGTGATGATGGAGACCGGTGCATGACAGGTGAGAAATATGGGGAAGACGAGGTGCTGTTGGAGGCATCCAGAAATGGGGACGGTGGAATGGATGATGACCGCGACCATGTGGCGATGTCCAAGTCTTTGTTCTTCAGGGGAGGTGGGAGCACAATGGACTCAGACAGATCGATGGCGCGTGAGCGCAGGAACTCTTCAGCACCGAATACTTGTTCGACCAGATCAATTTCCTCTTCCTCCGGAGGAGACTCGACAGATACCCCCGGTGTATCAGGGACAGAACTCGTGAAAGCAGGAGATTCTGAAGGTTCGGGAGTGTCCTTCCCAAGCACAGCGTCGGAGCTGTTTACGACTTCTGGAGGCGGTTTGTGTCGACTGGACGAAGCCTTGGTAGTGAATGGAATGAGATCTCGAGACGCGCCCTTTCGCTCGTTCTCCTTGGTGACTATCTTCTGGAGTACAGATTTGTTGCCTCGCTTCCCAGGGTCAAAATCCAAGTCGCTGTTGAGAATCTCGATGACTAGTAGATACGGTGCGCGTTCAGCTGAGTTAAGAACTACACATTCACCGGGAGGTATTCGAACTATTCGATGATGTGGCGACGGGACACCATTTGGGGGCTGAGGAGAATCTGTACATGTGCACCACATAGGCATGCAAACCTATTCGCAGGAAAAAGAATACGCAAAATAAGACATCAAGCAGGTGAGAGTTATCTGAACCTTCGAGGACAAACTTGCCTCAGCGGGAAGTTTGTGGTTGAGAGCAGTCAGCTCAGCCCTCAACGCGCTAACGCGAGCGAGTCTTGGCACGACCAAGAGTCTATTGGAGATGTTCTCCAAGTTGAGGAGAAATTGAATCTGCGGGTGTTCCTCAGGTCAATGCCGGGGAAAGCGAGAACCATAGTACCAACCTCAGAACGGCAGAAATGACTACGTAGCAGGAGAATCTGAGACTGCATATCATACCGGTTCAAAAGAACGTCTGCTGGCGTTAGACTGTTGGTTCGAGGTTGCTTCGTAGTGAATAACGAAGGAGATGACTGGAAAGGGGTCGACGTGGGTACGGGTGAAGGGGCGTCCAACTGGCCGAGAGGATCATCCGAAAATCTGGGCTGTCGCTCCTTCTTCATGTGCAATGGCAGTGCGGGTGTTGTCTGAGCCGCACCGATGGTGCGCCGCCGTGCCAGGCGAGAGACGGGTTGGCCGTTCGCGTCGAGACCGCCCTCAAATACAGCACCCTTATGTGGCGATGTCTCGCTATCGGGTGAGGCGAGTCCAGGGCTGTCCGGGTCATCATCGTCCTCTGAAGAGTCCTTTGAGGGCGATATTGGACCAACCTGCGCGAGGTCATTGTCGTAACGCTCAAGGCTCTTCAAGTCGGTGCCTAGGTCATCCATTCGTCCTTGTTCTATGGCCACCTCACCCATGACTTCTGTGACCTGGGGCATCCCTGGAGAGCCGGCCAAGATCATGCCTAGACCAATAAATGCCGGGACCACGTGAGCCTTCACCTTTTTACGAGCAAAGATACGTTTAGGTGTAGGAACTTGGCTGGGATATGGAGTTGACACGGGTGGGGGAAGGTCACCGAATATGAGTTCATGGCACATGAGAAGTGTTCGTTGACATATGACGAAAGATTCATTGTCATGGCCGGACACCGCGAGGTCCTGGAGAGACGCTTGCATGAACCATAAGGTCTGCGAAAAGGGTTCCGATATATGGAGTGTCTTTTCATGCGCACGAGAGAGCTACATACGAGCATAGCTACATGTGTTGATTTGCCAGCGACTTCGGTCACAAAGCACTCGAGTGCTCGCGACTTGGACGGTCTGGAGACTAGTAGATGACTGAGATGCCAGACCATAAGCCATACGCGCGTGAGCTATCACGAAGACGAACGCACCATACAAAGCCCCATACATCACGCAGCTCCTCGATGGTAAACTCCCTGAGCCGACGAGTGAGGTAGTATGTGATCCCAATGCTGTCCGAGTAGATCATCAGATACTGCAAGGCGACATGAACAGAGAAATGTGTAGGAGAAAGAAACAGCCTGAGGAGGAGACCATGAGACATGACGGCCCGTGGCGAAGGATAGTCTCCCACACGCAGACCCTGGAATTTAGAATAAAGATGAACACAGTCGTTCACCTTACACTCGTGAAGATGTTCCAAATATAGAAACGCGCCACGTCGGTGGCCATCATCGCGTCCTGCAGCCTTCATCCTCTCTGCAACCATGTTGCTATCATTCCTTGCTCTTCTCTCTCTACCGGTCTGTCTTTATGCTGCAAAGCCCTCGCAACAGACCCATGAACGCCTCGTGAAGCTCGCCGCTGAAAACAACGGCGTCATCAAGCTTGACACCGAGCTATTTAACCTCCTCACCGCCCCCAGCCGAGACTGGTCATCCTCTATCCAATTCACAGCTCTCGACAAGAGGAGGAGATGTGCACCATGCAAGTACGTTGCTCCTTTGAGGGTCAGACTCTCAACCGAACTAAGAATTTGTCCTCAGGGAGTTCGACCCATCCTTCGCCTCTGTAGCGAAGGCTTGGTCCTATGTATCAAGAAATGACCGGGACAAGCACTTTTTCGCGACTCTGGACTTCGATAATGGCAGCCCGGTATTTCAAAAGGTATATCAGCCCCCTCTCTGTGCATTTGACGCGCTGAGGTCTTCTTCGTGCAGCTTGGTCTTACCTCGGCCCCCGTGGTCTACAACTATGCTCCGACTGAAGGTGACCGTAAGCAAGGTCCGGGGAAAATGAACCCTGTCTCCTACGATTTCTCTTCGTAAGGGCATCTGATCCATATACGCTCTACCACTTCTCACCTTTTCTTCCAGAGGATTTGACGCGGAACCTCTTGCGATCCAACTCTCCGCTCTGACACCTGTCCCCATCCCCTACCGCGCCCCCATCGACTGGGCCCTCTGGGGCACTGTTGGCACCCTTGGCCTCGCATTCGTTCTTGCTATCCGGTTCCTGGCCCCCATCCTCCGCAGCCGCTGGACCTGGGCGGCCATCACTGTCCTCACCTCGCTCGTCATGACGTCCGGCTTCATGTTCACGCGTATCCGCAACATGCCTATGACGGCGGCCAATGGTCAATGGATCGCTCCCGGCTTCCAGAATCAGTACGGTCAGGAGACGACCGTGGTCGCCACGATTTGTGAGTGTCGAATCGCGCTGCTCACCGCGATGCAATATTGCTAATAAAAGGACGTAACAGACGGTCTTTTGGCAGCATCGTTCCTGATGCTGACGCTCGTCGCCCCGCTGCAAGGCTCTCCATCTAGGCAACGAACCCAGATATATCTGTGGTCGGGGGTGATCCTCATCCTATTCTCGGTACTTGTTTCCTTCTTCAGGGTCAAGAACAGAGGTGAGAATCGGTCGCCATGCTTGTGCATGCAATTCCTGATAATTTCTGTATCAGGGTATCCATTTAAGCTGTTCCTGTAGGTCGCTCAAATATAGAATATGTCTACTTGCGATATCTGCGAGCCATATGCGCTGGAGCGATCGATGTGCCTTGCTCTATTTATTGTCTTTTGCTGCCGATTGAAAGTACCGATAAATTGTGAGTTTACCGCGCTTGAGAGATGCACGCAACGCTGTATATTGTTCCGCGTTATGCACAATAAGAAAGGAAAAAATATCTGAGTCCAACACAACATATGGAATACATACGGGCAGTTCATGCAAAAAAGGAAGAAAAAATCCAAACGTGCAGAAATGGAATACAAGAACTCTAATTATTCGCTTAAGCTCCTGGTTGCTGAAAAACATCTACATAGCGACTCCTGACATTGCGTTTCGACGCCTGAGACTTCGGGCGACCAGGCGGTGGCGGCGGGGTCGGTGTTCCCGAGGGCATGGGGGGCGGCGAGCCAGCAGGGCTGGGCACCGCGGATTCTGCCATCGGAACTAAGTTCGACCGTGGGCGAGTTCCGTTCAGCGATCGCCTTGGTGGAGACATCGTCAGATCGATGGCAGACGCAGAACGCGCGGGAGGCGGTATGGGCGTCGTTCCGTTAGGCATTCTTGGTGCTGAGTGGCCAGGGGAGGCAGTCTGGGCGCGCGCGGGAGGCGCAGGGGGCCCAGAAGTTGTTGTCGCCTCGCCACCGGACTAACACAAGCACATCAGTAAACGTAGCACGGCAAGGAAGAATAACGTGCTGACCTTCTTGTTGACCCATCGCTTGAGATCCTTGTCGTAAACGAAGCTACTCTCTTCACCGAGCGTTGCCTTGACTGGACCTCCTTCTCCACCCTTCCACCAACGGCTGAACCATGAACCACCAGGGCCCCCGTTCTTGAGTTCTAGGTGAGTTGTATATGAGCAACGAACGGGACAATCATATATGAAAAGGGCTGCTTACCGGGTCGAGTTGGAGCAGAATTTGAAGCTTTGGTAGCCGAAGTACTCGCCGGCTTGGCCTCTTCCGGGGAGTCATCGTTCGACGGTTTGCGCTTAGAGAAAGAGTTTCCAAATCCAAGGTCTTCTTCGTCTTCATCATGCGCCGTGAGTGTTGAGGAAGTGTGGGCGTGTGACGAAAAGTGAGTGGCAGCAGGCCCAGGTGACGGCGTAATAACAGGATCGTCCATGAGAGATATGAATCCAGACGTCGAAGGCGACGGGCCCGACTCGACGCGATAAAACGTCGCAGCCGTGGGTGTAGGTGCGTTAGACTCTTCAGTGTACGATGAACCCCACCACGTGCTGTCGTGGCCTGTTGGCTCTCCGTTGTGTGCATCGGCACCACTCGCATCGGAGTGTGAGGGGCTGTTTTCCGAAGCAACGTCGATAATACCAGGCAACGGAGTGAGCCCGTTAGAGTAGCCGTACGGGCTAGCATTGTAACCATATGGCGCTTGAGAAAAGCTAGTCGTAGCTGCATTAGCAGAGGCAATGCGAGGCACTGGAGATGATCTTCGTGGCCTATAATCCATGGCAGAGGATGCACGATCGATTTGAATCTGAGGAGCCTGTAGTGGCCGTATCGCTTGAGCTGAACCGCTGCGCTTGGGCTGTGATCCCGGCAAGACGTTGTAGTTGACCGTTGTCGGTTGGGGGGATGGGGACGTCGAAGTAGTAGTCGACGAGATGGTGCTGTAGTGGGAAAACGGTCCCGCAAATCCTTTCGGTTCGTTTGGAGCAGCCTCGTCAGTCACCGTGGGGGGACCATCACCGTCGCCAGCTATGAACTTTGTCAACCGTCCCTCTAACCAGTTGCCGATGCTATCCAGGCTTGGCCGGCTCATCTTATTACCCATCCATGAACCGGATTTATCCAAGTGAGGTGCTGCGACCAGACGATCCGAGAGCTCTCGAAGTTGTTCAATGAATGTAGGGTTCACACTGGCAGAGCCTCTGCTGAGAGATGCTGCTATGGCCTCGCAATACCTGATACCCAATGAGCCGAATGAGAACACACGAAATTACAAGACTGTACCTGTGAGCGGCTTGAATGTGGCCTAGTTCCGCCAAGGATGCCGCGCGAATCAACTTATAGGGCTGTAGATGAGGAAAGCCGCCGAAGGCCTCTTGTCCCTTTTGCGGCGTAGACAACGACATCGCAAATTCCGCGATCTCGGAAAATATTATGGGGTCCTTGTCCACGTTCAGATTACAGTTTAGGGGATTACGAGATCCGATGAGAATGACCCGGGAAGAGGGGGAGCCAAGGCCGACCAATACAGGTGTTTGAGGAGCCAGAAGATAGCTATGCAAGGCGTAAAACGTTATTATATCGGCGTACAACTGGAGTGACAGTTGTGCTTACCATGCATGAGCCGCCTCGGTCCATTGGTTAGCAAATAAACAATCGCCAAGAGCCATCAACGCTGCCGAGCATTCGGCACTTGATGGCCCAGGAAGCATCATAGCAGCCGTCTCTGTCCATCTCGTCAAAGTCTCCGTTGGAAGGGATGTAGGGATTGAGGGCGTTGGGGAATTCGGAGTCATAGGAGTAATATGTGGCAAGGACGGGACTTGAAGGTTGCTGATCGGTTTCGAGAGCTGACTCGGTGGGGCAAGCTCTTGCACTGAATAACAATATTATCACGAAAAAGTTCCAAGCATGCTAAGCATTGAAGGCGTACCAGCAGCAGCTCCTTGTCCTGCATACAAACTGTACGCAACCTTGAGTCCTTCGCGACTGTGCGACGCCGAAGTCTCTTTGCCTCGGCCGTTGAGAGATCCGATGGTCGTTCCAAGTTCCGCCTTGATGAACTCATTAACGACCTCCTTCCAAGATTCCTTGTCGATGCTGCTAGCTATGACCATAGCATGCGCCCAGAGTCTTTCGTCGAGCGCATGATTGACTGCTTGGCGGCGGTCGCCGCGCATCAAAAAATCTTCAATCTTATCTAGCGAAGAGGCTTTGACAGTTGAAGTAGCAATTATGGTGTCGTTAGGGTCCAATGCCGAAAGGCCGATTGACGGGTACGGGATCTCAGATGCCAGTTGCATGGCGTCTGAACTTGACGAGAATCCAAGAGATGACGTGGGACCGTTTGTAGGGGCCGAGAGAGTTTTGTCACCAAGCCTTGGAACGAGGGCAGCTCGAACCGCATTGTCAATTTGTGAGCTACAAGGTGAGAGCATATGAGCACAACAACCAAGCAAGCGACGACTCTCTGACCTGCCGGAGAGATGCCCATCATTCTCCACCATAACTTTCAACAAGTTGACAATGACCAGCTTTCCCTCCGCCTGTTTACGTTCTGGACTACCCTGGCTTAAGTATCCCAGGCCGGCAGAAATCTCGGTGGACCTCTCCTCCAGATACTTGATGACCCTCGCCTTGTTCGTCTTCGTCTGGGAAGACGTGGTGGTCCGTACCAGACTAGTCGTCGGTGTGCCTGGGTCGCAGAACAAGGGACCAGGGAATGGCGTTGCGGACGCATCCAGTGCAGACTCCGGAACCTCCTGACGAAGTAATCTCACTTGCACGCCCGTCGTCTGTCGACTAGAGAGAGCGACGTCGAACCCTGTGTTCAGGGTCGACGACCCGTGGAAACATGTGACCATCTTCCCACCAAACCCAAAGCTGATGAGTGGTGCGCGGCCAGCAATTCTACCGAGGGTATCGTTAGTCCCAAGGAGCGATGGCGACGGTGCATATGCTGCATGAGTTACTCCGCCCAGAACAGTCAGTGTCTGGCCCTGATCGGCTACACCGTTACCTAGCAAGGGACTGTGGTGGCTGTATGGCGATGCCTGAGATAGATCAGAAGATTGCCGTGGGTGCTGAGGCACGTAGGACGTGTGCATGGTCGACGAGAAAGAATACGCTGAGCTGTTAGACATGGAGCGCTCGCGTTCAACGTGAGAATCAGGCGCATATGAATCTTGGACAGATGTGCGTGACCTCCACGACCGTATTGAACTGGGAGAAGAGACCCTGGAAACATGCGCCTTCGGCTCGTATGACTGTGATGACATTGGGTGATACTGTTCTTGCATCACAGCCGAGATAGACTGGGGAGGCGGTGGAACAAAATCAGGCGTTCGAGTCCTGTAATCCTGTTCTAAGTCGTACAGGGAGGAGCTGCCAGGTGACTGAGCCCTAGCAAGCACCTGAGGAGGCGATGCGAGAGGCGATGCTGCCTTGGGTTTATATGGATCATATACAGTGGATGGTGCTGGCTCAGTCGGCCCATGAGAAGGCGGAGGTGAAGTAGTGGTGAAGTCAGCTGTATGTGTACTGCGTGGCGTAGTGCTACCAGTTTCGGTGTTTGTCCATGGAACACCCGCATATTCGAATGCTGCCACCTCATTGCCAGTAGAATGAAGAGGGGCGTCCAGACTATGAGTCGCATGATTCTCAGGATCGTAAGGATCATGGTTGTCGTTAGAAGTCAACTGGGATGCATCAACACTGGCCTGGAGAGAACCAGGCTCTTCAGGGGTAGAACCGTATGGGTACGATGGGTGGGACATGTAGGGCGCTACTTCAGGGTCGTGTGATTCATTAATAGCATTTCGATGCTCCGCATTTTCTTCGACGATAGAAGATGGTGAGGGGTTTTCTAACCAGGCGGGGGAGAATTGCACCGGTAACGCAGGAGCATACGAAGAGACGAAGGCAGTCTGGTCAGGAACTTCTATGGCTTGGGGAATGCTTGCAGTCCGACGAGGAGGGATTTGTGCAGGTGGGAGAGGTTGAGAGTTTATCTGAGAAGGTGGGAAAGGCTGATTTTGCGAGGGTGGTGGTAAATATTGTGAGGGAGGAGACGTTTGATAATGGGCAGTGGTCGATGGCTGGTATTGAACAGGGGGAGGCGGCGCGTTGTAGGCGGGCGGTGGGGGGTGGTATTGAGCGCTCACTAAAGTTGGCTGATAGCTCGAATGTCGTGCAGGAGGTGGGGGGTCGACGTGAGAAATAGGGGAGGTAATGCCGTTGGGGGGACGAGGGTTCGGCACCGACCCGAAGGGGGAGGCTCTTCCGTCGGGATACGCTGAAGCATGTGCATTGAACACGGGATACGTTTGTTGTCCTACAGCTGGGGAAGCGGAGCGCGCCGTCGCACCGAGCGTGACGCGTTTATTAATCTTTGGCGGAGGCAAGGGGGGGTCATATGCGTCGAGCTTCTTGGGCCGAAACTGTGCTGCACTAGGAGCGGGGGAAGGGGGGACCGGAGGGTTTACAACGCCAGTTGCGTATTGGGAGTACGGCGGCGTTGCGTATGCATTCGTGGGGCCTGACGGGGGAGCACTGTATTGAGCTGGTGGTGACGCATAGTTCGACGGCGCGTATGGGTTATAAGCGGCTGTGGAGGCGACGGCCGCTGGCGCGGCCTGATGGCTTGTCCCAGCGCCCGCCACATTGTAAGGGTCATATGCAGACTGGGCGGCGGCATTGGTGACAGGCCCCGTAGCTCCATTTGAGTACGGCATGGAAGGCGGACGAGCATGAGAATCAGGTGCGTATGGCGATGGCCGAGTGTCGACGGGGTACGCAGAGGGTGTAGGGTTGTAGGATTGTTGCACAGCATTAGTTTCGGGTGCTGCGTATTGGTCGTGTAAGTAATTTCCGTACGACTGCTCGCCACCTGAGTGTGCAAACGTTTCAGACAAGACACGCAGAGCTCGGAACGTGACGCACCATTGTGAAGAGCACTAGACCATTGACCATCGCCTCCTGCCTGAGCCTGAGAGTAACCGCCATACGAGGGCTCGTTCGCCGTCGCACCTTGACCATAGTCGTGCTGATAAGCATAGGCGTTCGCGCTTTCAGTCGTGCCATTCCACGACGCGTATTCTCCTTGGCCGTTCGAAACCGACGTGAACCCGGCGTCGTAATTCTGACCGCTCACTGTTTCCTCGCCAAACAGATCAGCAACAGAGGAGCCTGGGTCTGCATGCGAGGGTTGTGCCGCGCTCTGGCTAGCCGCATCGTCACCGCCGCCTATAGCCCCGAACGGGTCGGCGGTGTCTTCCGGCCCAAAGAGTGACGCAGCTGCTTCTACACTGCTCATCGTAACCTGGGGTCGAGTAGAGCACTGCAAGAGATTTCCGCAAGAGAGCTGGAGTTGATGAGACAAGAAGAAACCTTGGAGACGTGCGCACCGGCGGCAGTGACGAGAATGTACGTGCCGACTTGCGCGATTTATTTGTGTTGTTTGGCTTCGTTTGAGCTCTGCTCTGACCCATATGCATCTTCTGAAGCCAGCACACTGAATCCGCACGGAGATTAGATTCTCTAAGGGACCCATCGGCCCTCTGCTCAAGTCCGAAGAATTCCCAAAGCGAAATCAACATTATATGATATGCTGGGCTACGCAACAACGTCTAGCGCTATGTAGGAAATGTACGCAAATGTGATAATTAGAAGATGGGGTTCCAGTGAGTGCATGGTATGTATGCGGTATAGCAATGACAAAAGCAGGACGGGTAATAAACGGCCGTATATGTATGCGGGAGAGAGAGACAGAGGAGCGAGAGAGATGCTAAAGAAGTGCGGTAGTGTATACGTGGCATGCAGACTAGGAATCGAGAAGCGAGATCAGGTGACGAGCATTGAATGATGAACGACAGAAACCGGAAACAGAAATACGTCAGTTATCCGAAAGGTTGGTCGCCTCCAGAGTCGCTGACAAGAAGTCCTCGTTGACCTTGGACCCCAGGGTCTTCTCTAGCAAGCGCTCAACTGCATCTCGATCAGTTCAAGGTCAAGATAACAGATGCACACAACTTACTTGCAATAAGATGCTTGCTATATGCACTGGAGTACCGGCGCATGCTGACCAGCTGAGGCTTGATCTTACTGACCAGCTCCTCTTTTTGGTCTCCTTCAACGACAGACAATGCACGTTGAAGAACGTAGTCTGCGGAAGGACTGTAAGGACGCGCAGAGAGGGCGAAGGCGGAAGACATACTGGCAAACTGGTCCTTCATCATGGTGACGATGGGGCTGACACCATCCTGCTTGGGTGTGATGATCTCGTCTATGAGCTGTCGCCGACTCTGCGAATCAGCCGTCACGAGCGCCTTCTCGCACACGTTCGAGGCAAATTTATGACGCGACATGTGCAACATCTGACCGCGAAGTTTGGAGATGATCAGGGCCCTATCTTGTGGCTTCCCGTGCTCCAGAACGAACTGGATCACATAGTTCTAGGCGGCAGGAATCGACAAGTTAGATAGGGCAGGCGGGGCAGAGCGCTAATGTCAGGGATAACTTACGCCGAATTGATCCTGCATGAGATTGATTGTGTATTTATGCAGTTCATCAAGAAGAGGCCGCGTCTGTTCCTCGCTCAAATGTTCGAAGCATCGCTGAAGAACGCGGCACCCGTAGGGGTGGGTCGACAACTCGTAGACGTTGCCTCGGAACGAGTTCACGAAGGCCAAGCGATCAGGGGATACGCGCTCGATCAACTTTTGAATGACCTTTGAAGAGTGCCGTCAGATCGTGTGGGAAAGTGATATGCAAGGCGCTTACATGATTCCCGTTAGCATCTTTGACACACTTTAGGACGTGAGGCTCTAGCTCTTTCACGAAGGAACCTTGCTGCTCTGGAAGCACGAACTCTACGGCCTTGATGGGAACTGGTCAGCAACCGAAGCGACATAGCAATAGAAAGAAAGACCGTACCTTTTGGACCACTCGACAACCATACATTTGCAAAGACAACGGGAGAATATGCGTTTCCATAGCATTTGCCAATACAGTTTTTTGTACCTGTGTACCATGCTCGAACAGCTTTTGGATCACCTAAAGGAAGGTTCAGCTTACAGATGATACGCAGACGGGCAAATGAACGTACATAATTACCAAATACGTCTTGAATTAATTGCAATGTATTGTCGGGTACGATCTCGTCGAACACAATTTGTTTCTCTTCGCTGGTCGCGGTCTCGAGCTTTTGCTGGATGAAGCGGGACCCGTGCTGATCACCGCTAAACTCCACGATGTAGCCGAAGATGTCCTGGGGCGCAACGTCAGCGCAAGCAAATGGGGATAGATGACGGCACTTACCCTCAGCTCCCACTTGCGCGACTTATTAGCGCGGAACTCGTCCAGAATGGGGCTTCGGAGGGCTGGATTGTCACCCTCACGACGACGGCCAGAGTGGATGCCTTGCTGATACATATGCATGGACTGTGGGCTGAGGCCAGCATAGATCGCACCACCAGGAAGCATCAGCGGAAGCTGGGATCCATAATCAAGGGCCCCAGCGTAGGCCTGATGTGGCGACGGCGACGACCGCAGGGACGGATACATAAGACCCTGGGACGTCATCTGTTGGTGTTGCTGTAGATTATACTGGCAGTGGAACATGTGTGTTAGTCTCCAAACCAACGGACAAAAGAAGCTCCTGCCCACCTGAAGTTCCCGTTTCTTGTCCGATATAGTAGCAGGGGCGGACGTGGCAAGCTGAGGAGTCAGCATCGGCGAATGTGAAGGTGGGGCGTGATATACCATAGGTTGGGTAGGATAATAGACGGGTGGCCTCGCGGAACCTGAATAATCGTAGAATACGCCGGGCTGGAAGTGCAGAGAATAAGCCATGAGAGATAACGTGGCAAAAGGTAAACACTGACGGAAGGATATACTGGTGAATTAGCCGCGCTGATTGATTGAGAGGCATACAGAGATGGGTCCGGCGTGGTCCGGTAAGCATCATAAGGGTAAGAGTAATCTACGTAAGATTCGCGCCCCGAAGACTGTCCAGAGTAGTACGTCGCATAATCGGCCTGCGCGTACCCATTGTACGGGCCTCGAGGCTGCTGCATGGGAGGGGGACCACGGATCTGCACGGAAGGGTTTCCTCCGCTGGCAAGAGATGGTTGGTTACCGTGTGGTTGTTGACGGTATGGAGAGCCCTGCTGGGAGACGCCATAATCGTCTTCGACCGCCATACCACGCACACCGAGCGCCAGCTCATTGTCGACCATCGAGGAGGTTGGCATAGTGTCGTAGCCCGCGGCGTTAGGGTTCTGGAGAACCTGTTGACCGATGAAAGGGGATGACGTGCCAAAACTCCCCTGCCTAGGGGGAGAAGCCGCAGATGCATAACGGGCAGGGGGGTTGGACTCTTTATTCGTGCCCGTTTCGAACCGTTGCGGCGAATATTGCTTCGATACACCGGCAGATCGGTCGTCCTATAAATCCAATATTATGTCATGTGCGCGTGCTTGGAGAGATAATATTTCACTCACCATACGAGGTGGAGGGAAACCTGCACTGACTGTTCGCTGTCGCGCGTGAGGATGGAAAAGCGTCGTGTAAGCGACGGCGAAGGCAATGCTACGTATTACGACGGCACTGACCAGCTGCGACAGATCCTTCTTCTGCGGACTCCCGTTGACTTCCTCCCACGTTGCGCTAGTCGAACGGCCCGTGCTCCAGCCTTCGGCCAAGTTCGCTCTGTAGGAACCATCGGTCGGCACGTCCGCCACGCTCGCAGCGGACGATATCGACGCGTTTCTTTTTGAGGTCGGCGTTCCGTTGGCCCACACCTGCGCGTGGCATGTAGATGAGCGGAAAGACGGGGGGAGGAGACACGTAGCACTCACTTGCCAACCCGAGTTGAGGCCCTTGAGGCCGTTGGCAGCGCTCATTCCGACTCCAAACATGTTGCCAGTGGGATGAGATGATTTCCTCTGGCCTTGCTGCGCCTAAATAGGGATAGACGCGCGGTGAGTGGCTAAGGAAGGCAAGGTTCGAAAAGCGAGCGAAAAGCGAACATTGCCCGGAGACCCCGAAGGCGAGGGTGCATCCGACCGCGTCGAGGAGCCGGACGGGTTGCGAGAGGGGGTTTCACTGACACTTGCTGCCATGAGCGAAAACTGAGCAGGCGACAGAGCGGGGAACGACTAGCTCTGCGTGAGTGAGCGAAGGAGAGGTGGAGCGAGCGTGACTGGCAGAGAAGAAAGGCAGAAATTATTAAAAAGGTATAAGGCCTTTGTTACGGAATTAAGCTGGAGGGGGAGAAAATAATAAGGAGACGTGTGACGGGCTGAAGGGAGAAGGGCGTGTTAGCGCTGAAGCCACGCGTCGGCAACGCGGACGGGGGAGGTTGTATGATGAGAGTCCAGCGAGACGGAGACGTACGCGATTAGTAGCCAAAGAGACGAGATGAGATGGAGGAGCTTAGCAGTAGCGAGCGGAAGAGAAAAGACCGAGAAGGGCGAGGCAAGAGAGGGTCGTGTGTGTGGGGGGGGCGACGGTCTGGGAGGACGCGTCGGGGGGAAAAGAAAGGAAATTGGGGGGAAACGGGGGATTTGGTCCCGTCTGTTGAGGCGGCTCACGGCCAGTCGCGGCGAGGAGCGGCCAGGCAGCGGCCAGGCTAGCGGAGAGGAAGCCACCGCATTTTCTGCTGTCACACATCCCTCCCGCACAGCCTTCGCATCCCTCCAGCTCCCGCTCCCGGCGATGGGCCCCAGCAGCAGTTCCCCCCATCCTACCCCCCTCCCTCTCACCCCAGCTGCACGCACGTCCTCACCAGACACCTGTCTCATCTCGTCTGGTACTCTCGTCTACTACGTTTGCCCCAGCCGAGGGGCCGAGGCACGATCTCCGTATCACGATCTGCCACCCCTCACCAAAGCCCGCCCTCCGTGGGACCCTTGCCCGATTCGGACAGCCGCGCGGAGGCTTTCTTACGATTTGAGTTGACGAAACAGTGATGCGCCATGACCCGCAGGCGCCTGGCCCTGTCCCCAGCCTATGGGCGGTCGCCATGTAGTTTGCCACGTCCCTGTTTTACCTCAATCGCCTTCTTCTTCCAGCGCCCGCTAGATGCAATCGCATAACGGCCCCTACTGCGCTCGCGTTCACACCGCTTCACTTTCCGGTCAATCCATACCCCACACATTCCAACCGGGTCCGAGCCGCTCTCAGTGCACTCCGATATGAATCAAATGTCTCAGATATATCACGGGCGGGGAATGTAATGTAGCAGTGTACAACCGACGGCGGGTATTGGTATTCTTGGAATGGCGGCACAGACAGAAAGCAATGGCGACGGAAGAAACAAACAGACGTGCGACAGCATTCACCGCGACGAGTTGAAGAACCAAGACGCCCGTTTGCCTGCGAGCCAATGGCGGTCAGCTGAGCCACCGGCCATTCAAGAATCCGCAGACGGCACGTACCAGAGCTGTCCAAATCGGCACGACAAGGCACTGTTCGTTAAAAACAGAATCTCACCCGTGTCACAGCAACAGGCACTCACCTTGACTCTTCGCCTTGCAGCCTCGCAAGAGGGTTGGCAGATGAACCGCCCCCGCCAGTGATGGGCACCGGGCCACCGCTCGACGCAGCACCCCCTCCACCCCGCAGAGGCTTCGCGATCCGTCCGAAGCTCAAAGACGATGCAGCCGCAGCCTTTTGAGCTAAAGGCAAAAATGATCTGAGCGATTAAGAAGGCGACTTGCGATGTGAAATTACCTCGTGCTTGGTCCAATCGGTCTTTGACGGCCTGTAACTGGGCCTCGAACTTCTGGTTCTGGACGGCCAGTCGACGGTCCGCATCCTGAAGCAGAGCTTCCAAGTTCTGTATCCGCTCATTCCGGGCCAGGAGCTTCCGCTCGGCAATACCGGCTTCTTTCTTCAGCGCGGAGTTCTGGTCCACAAGCTGCCGAGCACCACAGTGGTTAATTCAAAATATGCTGATCGCTACCGCAAAGAGCGGCTAGCTAGACACGTACCTGTTTCTGGACCAATGTCAATTGCTCGAGATTGCGCTCCAGGAAAGCCATCTTCTTCTGCTGCGCCTTCGAATTGCTATTGCGAATAACGTTGTTGTATTGCTCCTTGATTTCATCCAGCTGGATCTCAAGCTCTACGACCTAGAGATACAACGATCGGCGACGGTATTTTGACGGATGGGAGAGAAAACCCCTACCTTCTCGCAACGGTTCTGGAGATCCCGCATGAGGGACTTCTTAACGCCATCAAACTCAGCGAGCTGAACGTTGATGGCCTTGCGCGTGCGCTCAAGATCTTGAGCGCTCTCCGCCAGGTTCTTACCTCCTTCGATGCCGGCCGATGTGACAGCGAAAGCGCGCTGAAGGGAACGACCGTTAGTTTAGGGAGCCGGAGGAACGGCGATAAAAGAGCCAAAAACCTTAAGCTCCTCGTTGACACCCTTGAGGCTGTCGATCGAAGCGTTCAAACTGCGAAGCTCGTTGTTTTTCAGCTCGAGCTGCTGCTTGAGGTCGGCAACTTCGCTGATGTGAGCTTCGCGCTTGGCGGTGTACTGAGCTTCAAGTTTGGCCTTGAAACGGGTCATGATAATTGCTATGACTAGCGAGGCAACAACTTACCTTGAGCTCAACCATGGACTCGGCCACGTCGACGTTGCTCGTCTCTTCATCATGGATGGTCTTCTCTGTAGTACGAGATGCGAGCCAGTCAGGAAGAACGATACACATACAATATTTAACGTACCGAGAAGCTCCTCATACTCCGCCTCAAGAGCGGCCAGCCGCGCTTCGAGGTCTTCCTTCCTTCTCGCGATCATGTCGTTCTCGTCTTGCTTCTGTCCAAGGCGATCGAGGGTGTCACGGATCAGCGCTTGACCCTCCGAGAGTTGTCGGCGCAAGTGTGTGAGGTCCTCGACCGTGAGTGTTGACACACCAGCCGCAGAGTCTATAGAATCGAGCTTGGTCAGAATTTGACGGAGCTGCTCATCCTTCTCGGAGAAGGTCCCTTGCTGTTCGATTGTCAAAGATAAGAATGATTGCCAGACAACCATAGGACTCCAGACGCACAGAATCAAACTGAGCCATCATGATCGCCATCTTCTCTTGCTTGCGCTTCTCCTTGTCCTCCAAAGATACATCCTTTTGGGACGTTTTGAGCTCAGCGATGATCTTCTTGAGCTCCTCCAATTCGCTCTTCGCGTCGAGGTTCTGCTCCTTGAGAATGTCGATGGTAATGACACCCTCCTTGTTGTCATAGTCCAGCCTCTCCACTTGAAGACGGAGTTCATTGAGTTGGGCGGACATCGCCTTGTTCTCCTGTGAGCATAGGTGGCCTGTGAGATGTGCTGAAACCAAAAAAAATACCGTGGAAATATACCTTGGATGACGACGCATCCTGCTCCTTCAAGAACGCCAACTCCTCCTTCAACTCGCTCACCAACTTCTCCGCAGCTCGGAGGGCGCTCTCCCTCTCCGCCAGTTGATCACTCAATTCGTTCTCTCTCTTCAAGAACTCCTCCCGCTCATCCTTATCCAGGCCAATCACAGTTGGAGTCTGAGGTCTGCTATCTAGCTCCTTAAGGCCCTCGATTGCAGGGTTCACTGGCGTCATACTGCGCGCAGGGGTTGTCGATGCCGACGGCGTTGGCGATGGGGGCGGCTTCTTAGAAGGCGGAGCAGCAGCCTTATCACCGCCCGCCGCGGCATAGTCTGCGGGATCGACACGACCTCCGGAACGCCAAATCGCAATTTCTTCCTGTAGGGTAGCAATGGTCTTCTGGTACGACGCGTTTGCGACTTGAGCCTTCTGGAGAAGATTCTTGAGCTCAGTAGGTGAGAGTTCGGCATTGACACGGGCAGTGTTCTTGATAGACTTAGCCCGAATGCCGAAACGAAGAGTGGAGAGTGTTTCAGACTCATTGTATGAAGCCGGAGAACAATTGATGATGAGGGTCGTGCGTGAGTTACCACCGAGGGACTCTTGCAAGATACGAGTGAGTTTAGAATCACGGTATGGAATGTGCTTTGCCTATGAAGTAAGAGAATTTAACGAAGGCGCAACGGGAAGGGAAATGCCGATCTTCCTACCTTCGAGTCGGTAAGTGCGTTGATTACCATACCCAGAGCAGACAACGACTTGTTGATCTTCTTTGCTTCTTCGAGTGTCTGACCGGAAGCGCCCGTCTTCCCCACTTTCTCCGAACCTGCCAGATCGACAAGATACAGATTACCTGTTTTCTGAGCACCAGTTTCCGTATTCCGCTGGCTGATCGTGATAAGAAAAATAGAATGTGATCGTGAACTTTCCGCGTTCATGTCTAGAGCAAGTGTCATGCATCAGAAGCATGGGACGCAGCAGACAGACGTACTGGTGGACGTGACCACTCGGGCTGCTCCTCCTTGTCGCATAATCTCGTAAACCTCGCGTGCACTGCTGACATAGTAATCAGAAAGGTTCTTTACGTAGACACCCTTCGACTTTTCCTCATGCACTTGTAGGTTGTCGTTCTGAGCTGTAACGTGAGACGCGCCGCCGTGAGCAGTTTGATACAAGAGACACGATGATACTTACGTTGCAGAAGATCTCTGATGCGTTCCAGATAGATCTCCATGTAAGACACCTTCACAAAGTACTCCAAATGCGCGTCTGACTCGACGATGGACTGGAAGATCTGTTCGGTGATACGTGGGATGATACCCTTCAGCTCCACGGAATCAATGTCGGCACCCTAAAAGGCAAACATTTATATCTAAGACTAGCTTGCTGCATAGACAGCACGACCAACCATCATGGTAAATGTCTTTCCACTTCCAGTCTGACCATATGCGAAGACCGTTCCGTTGTAACCGTCCAAGACATCTAGATGCTGTCGTCAAAAACATGTCCAATGTGCGTAATACGTTGCGGTGTGAGGAACATAGCAAGGCTCGTATAATGGTATCGGAGGCAAGTATACGCCGGCATACGGCTGCAAGGACAATGAGATGTCTAACTCACCCTTTACGATACTAAAGTAGGTACATCAATACGAGTGAGGACGAGCCACTAGTAGACTATAAGAAGGTGCTCACTCCTTTACACCATAATCGAAAACCTCTTGCTGCTTGGTGCCCATGGGAAACACCCGATCAAAAGTGAATCCATCTTTCTCCGGCCCTGAGCTAACTTGGGCAGAACGCAATTGCACCGACTGGAGGTTGTCATCGAATGCCACAACGATCTCTGAGCCTTCTCTGTTCTCGATGGCGTTTGGAGGTCGAAATCTAGAATGAAACGTTGTGCCCGAGTCCCACATTGGCCTCCGAAGGCTGCAGGCGGCAGACTCACCGACAAACGACCTTGATGTTAGTGGAAGACATGATAGAAAGGGAAATCTATGCTTGATGCTGGAGAGTCAATCTTGGGTGGGTATTTTGGATGATAAAAAGGGGAATATGGAAATTAGAGCGAAGGAACGCGAGGATCTATAGGTATGCACGCGTTCCTTGGGCGGTAGTCCGAGGCGGACGAGAGAGTACAGCCGTCGTGAAGTGTTGCAGTGGAGGGACCTTGTTTGTAGTTGTTGATCCACTGTGTCCTCGACTCATCACATAGCTTTTACCCGTGCGCGCCCAGTGGTTATACAATTGGACCAGTGGATCGTATATAATCGTATCAAAACAGTACAGGGCTGCAAGCTGCGAAGCGCATACAATACATTGCAAAAATCGACGGAAACAAAGTAGGAATCGAGGGCAGAGAGACAACTCATTCGTCATCACTCCCGGTGGATGGTGGAGCTGGACGACGTCTGCTGGACGATGCAGCGGGTCGACGAACAACCTGTTGTTCTTTCTCGGCTGAGTCTGCAGCATCTATCCACTCTGAGTAAATGTCAATGGGTTCCGTCAAGTCTATCACGAATGGTCAATATTGTTCAGGCACGAAGGGCATTCAACACTCACGATTCACTTTGCTTTGATATCGCTGATCACAAACTCTGCACATAAGCTGAGCGAGACCTTCTTTACGGTCGACTTTAACTGTGACGGAATTGTCGTGGTGGCAAAACAAGCATGTGAAGGTTGTATCTGCGAGACGGCTATGAGACGAGTGTAGTTGGTCACAGGCGGACAGCGTACCTAACGGATCTTTTTTTCTGGATGGCGCGGGTTTGCGTGAAGACTTTTTACGCTTCCCCATGACGTTGTGGTTGTCTGTGAAACCCAGATGGAGAGTGGGAGAAATGGCACTCACTGCCGCCCATTGCGCCTCAGTGGCGCTGCAGATCGAGGTCAGGTGATGTTCCGCAATGAGCTCACGTTCACGCGCCCGTTGCAGGCGTTTGCTGAGAAAATCTGTGCCCGTGGCTACAGGCCAGCTGCATAATCGTGTTACGCGAACCCATTGATTCTCTGCGTAGAAAGATGCGGAGTTCTGCAAACCGCGGTCTGAAAGTGGCGACAATTGCCACCTATAGTACCGACACGTCCACGTGGTGGGCCGCGTCTTGGTTGAGGTTGTGCGAAGTCACGTACACGTACAGTAGCCTCTGCTAACAACTCGGCATACAAGCACTGGGGCAATAGCTTCGCTCCAGTCATCAAACCATGGCCACTCGTCGCACGGCCATCCCCCGCACTCGTACACAGAGCACGAACCTACCTCCCTCAAGCCGTCCTCGGTCTGCCTTGGCTAAACCCCACCAACGCTCTGGCCTCTCAACACCCGTGGAAGAGCATGCTTCTCAACCCTCTCCTCTACCAACAACCCTTCCCCACAAATCTCAAGAAGATGTTGAAACAAACATACAGGTCGTCATCCGCTGCCGACGTCGCTCAGACCGCGAAATTCAGGAGAATTCCCCCATCATCGTCAGCTCCAAGGGCGCCCGCAGTGAGGCGATCACCATCGAGACTGCTATCCCCATCTCCAGTCTCGGTATCGTAACATTTCCTCCGACACGGACATACCCGTTCGACGCTGTCTTTGGTCCAGAGGCAGACCAAGCGATGGTCTATCAAGAGGTTGTCAGCCCTATGCTGGATGAAGTTTTGAGAGGCTATAATTGTACCCTTTTTGCATATGGGCAAACAGGTACGGGTAAAACGTGAGTACAGTTATCTGCTGCACCGTCGAGCTGACCGACGAATGCCACCAGGCACACTATGCAAGGAGACTTGACCACTACGCCGATGGGCAATCCTTCGGCTCAGGCGGGCATGATCCCTCGTGTTCTCTCTAAACTTTTCCAGCAGCTGGATACTATTAGCCCTGACTGGAGCGTCAAAATCTCATATGTCGAGCTATATAATGAGGAGTTGCGCGATCTTCTGGCACCTGAGATGTCTGCACCTGCAGGGACCATTCAACCCATGGGCATGGGATCAGGGAGCTCTCGAGATAATAACCAAAACGGCCTGAAAATCTTTGATGACGCGACGAAGAAAGGCGTATTCATTCAAGGGCTAGAGGAAATGGTTGTCAAGGGTGCTTCCGACGCGCTCGCCCTTCTTGTCAAAGGCAGTCACCGCAGGCAGATGGCTGCCACCAAATTCAACGACCATTCCAGTCGATCGCACTCCGTCTTCTCAATCACAGTGCACCTGAAGGAGACCTCGTCTCTAGGCGAAGACTTACTTCGTGTTGGCAAGATGAACTTAGTTGATCTAGCCGGCTCCGAGAACATTGCACGATCAGGCGCAGAGAATAAAAGAGCTCGTGAGGCCGGGATGATCAACCAGAGCTTGTTGACTCTGGGACGTGTTATCAATGCTCTCGTCGAACGTTCTTCGCACATTCCGTACCGGTGAGCACTCACTCTTTGTATGTGGCCCTTTTGCGTCGACTAACTCGTTTACTTCTAGCGAATCTAAATTGACTCGACTCCTTCAAGATTCTCTTGGAGGTCGTACGAAGACATGCATTATTGCCACAATCTCTCCTGCACGCTCTAATATGGAGGAGACATTGTCAACTCTAGAATATGCGATTCGAGCTAAATCCATTCGTAATCGGCCAGAGGTCAACCAACGGATGACGCGGAACTCGTTGCTCAAAGAATATGTTGCAGAAATCGAACAACTCAAAGCCGACGTGCTCGCCGCCCGCGAGAAAAACGGTATCTTCTTCTCAGAAGACACGTGGAATCAAATGAGCATAGAGCACGAGCTCACGAAGACAGAGATGGAAGAGGCTAAACGGCAAATAGAGATCGTGGAAGGCCATTTGAAGGGTGTGAGAGAGGAGTATGAGGAGAGTATGAAGCTGTTGATGGCGAGGGAGGGGGAATTGAAGGAAACGAGAGAGAGACTGGATGAAACGGAGGGTGTTTTGAAAGTCAAGAAGGAGGAGTTGAAGATGACTCGAAACGCGTTGGCGGAAGAGGTTGTGGTGCGGAAGGCGTATCAGGAGAACGAGGTCGGCCTAGATGAGGTAGCTCAAGGACTAAAAGTGGTGGCCGAAGAGGGAGTGAACGACATTAATGCTCTCTTAGCCAAACTATGTACGTTGGCCATCCCTTCAATTCACGACACCCTCTCATCCGTATTTGATCATCAGCCCGCAAGGCGGCTGTGTTTGATTCAAACACGAAGGCTGTTTTCTCCCATAGCAAAACGCTATCTGCTGAGATGCAGAACTTCTCCTCTGTACTGGAGAAGTTTGTTCATTCTGCCTCTCAAAGTGCGGCCACCCTGCGTTCCGATGCAGAACAACATAAGACCAAGGAACTCGAAGCACTGACCAATTATTCCGATCGCATTGGCGAGCAAATTCGGCGAGTGAACGAGACTCTACAGGTCATCCAGGCTAAAGATGAGGCTTCTTCTGAGGCAGTCAGCGTCATTGAATCTGCAATCAACGAGGTCCATCAGACTATCAAGACGGGATTTGCCTCGTGGTCTGAAACGTTCAGAGTATCGACTTTTTCGATGTGCACACAGATAGAGAAAGCCAGTCTGAACGGTTCTCAAATGGTATGTTTGTTCCTCACTGTGAGCTTCCGGTCTCACTTTGTTTGTGCTTGAAGGTAGACAAGGCACTTAAATCCATGGGTAGCCTCATCGAAACCATAGTCCGTGAAGCCCAAGAGCACGTCGAGATCGAGCGCAAGTCTGTCCTCGACACAAAGGTCCTCGCTGATTCCGCGGCTAATGATGAGATTGCTCGCTTGCAAGAGCAGAATGCGCACCTCGCCGATCTGCTGGAGAACGAACGAGTCAAGTCTGAGCGGGCTAGGGACGATCTCATCCAGCGCATCTCGGGTCTTCTCGGAGATTTCGTGGTAGACAGAGACCGTAGCCTGCGTGAAGCCTTCACAGACATCACAGAGAGCAACGTGAAGGCCGAAGGCGCTATGGCAAACTTTATCGGGGAGCATGTCAACAGGGTCGAAGGCGTGGTAGTCAGAGGCCTGGAGTGGAGCGCCGGATTGGAAAAGAAGGGGGGAGAGGGCAAACGCTTGCGGGACGGCGCATTGAAGGTACGGCATGATATTTTTTGGTTAGCTATGTCCTCATGTTCTGTTCGAAGTCCCTTGGTGGTGTCAATAGCACTGTCAAAGAAGGATTCGCCAAGGTTCAGGATACGTGCACGACGTCTCTTTCATCATACTCAGCAGACATACAGCAGCAGACTAACGCCTTGCACGCTACGACCACAAACGGTAATTCCATTGCATCTTTGTGACTGCGCAGTAGTATGATGCTTACGTCGCGATTGATAATAGCTCTCGAACGCCATGCGCGCGCCAAGAGAGCACGTATCGAGGCTACGAACACGATGAGTGTCGATGTTCAATCAGGATCTCGTCAGTCGCAGCGGGTTCTTGCGTCAACTTCGAGGAACATCGAATCTCACGCTTCGCGGGTGATTGCTGAGGTGAGTCACTTGTCTCTAAACGAGATGATTAGTTTCTAAGTATGCGTATGCAGAGCTCAAAGCTTTCAGAGTCTGTTGATTTGTATAGCGATGCAACTGCAGAGCGCCTGTCTCGTACAAGCCAATTGGCCCATACTCTGGTTGAGCAAGGCGCTCGCGATGATCCGCCAACTGGCAGTACGCCCCGAAAGCGCTCTCGAACATACGTGGAACATTGGGAGCTGACGAAGAGTAGAGAGTTGATATTGAAGGGCTGGAGACACGCTCCCAGCTCTGTCCTGAATGGCGACACGTCCGTAGCGGAGATTGTCCCGCTTCCTCCACCCGAAGACGAGGAAAATCTAGATCCAGCACAGGTCGAACTGGATTCCCCGATATTTGAACCTGACAGGGATCCTGACTTGGCGATCTCCCAATCTTCAACGCTCACCGCTTTCACATCTTCCACATCCTCAGGAACATCAATACTCCCCACTTTCGAGAAACCTCCCTTGAAAAGTAAGGTGACCTCAACACAGTCAGTTTTGCCTGTGATGAGGACCCTGTCGGAGCGCTCGACTAATTTGATTACCAATAGAACGAGGAGAGCGCGTTAATATCGACTCGATGTGGATCGTGGACAGGACTTCCTTTTGTCTTATATATTTCTTGGTGTATAAGCAGCTGTACATTATATCCAGCCCACTTGCTCGATTGCTTGGCGGGTGTAGTTTGTTTAATTTCCAATGACTTTCCCTGCCTGCTATATTTTTTGTGGAGATTGTGCATGACTTGCGTTGGTGACATCATAGTCACATCGGATATAACGCGTGATTAGTGTCACTGCATGTATCGTCACGTACATTGGGTCCTCGACCTCGAACTCGCAACGGGCTCTTTTGTAGCAGTAACATAATCCATGGCGGCAGGTATCAAAAGCGAGTATCTTCGTCAACTTATCTGTTCGTTTTCACTAACCAAACTCACTAGCCGTCATCCTACTCTCCTTCATTCTGGCTGTAGGGTTCTTGATGATAATTCTGTCATGTGCGCTATGGTCTAATTGGCTACCCCTCCTTGTCGGTGAGCCCTTCGTTCTTGCGCTCTCAACGGTCTCGTTCAAATCTGTGGATCACAGCTTTGATGTTCGTGATGGCGCCACTTCCGAACGCGCTATTCTCACATTGTGGCGGAGACGACTTCTCCACCGACGCCTATGAAAGCTCAGGTCCTGTGGACCTTGGTCGTTTCATCACAGCCATGATTGTCGTGACTGGCTTCGCCTTTCCGCTTGTCCTTGCCCATTCCGAAATCATCAAGCCTGGGGCCAGTGCCATGTCGATCGTTGGTGGAGGGTGAGCTACGCACCCATATTCAGACGATGGTCGCTCAACGCCCCTTCTGCAGATTGATATATGGGACGATAATGGCATACGCTGCTGCTTTCAAACAAGACGATTCTGAGTTTGATTGAAGGAGGACTCTGTTGAGGGTAATTGTACCAATGTAAGCTCGAGTACTTGCGATATCTGTGTTCTTTTGTTGGTTTGGATGGCCTCGTTTGAACGAACTTTGAACGAGTGCTTCGACATGGACTGCTATACAGACTTCGCTGATGGTCGGAGAACAGCGGTCCCGATGATGATACCGTTGTTCCGTCGAAGTTGATAATGATAACAGTATACAAATGTCGCAGAAACAAGAATAATAGCAGTATAACTACTCATCTCGGACGATAGCCGTCAGCAGTCCGGTCCCAACCTTTCCCTCGTCGCGACTGAGACCCATCACTCTAACTTCTGCAGTGATTTCAAATCGACCACACGACACGAAACATAAAGCTGTTTCAATCTCCCGTGATTCACCACTGTCTAGATTTCCAAGAGGTATATCTAACATAACACCCTCTTGGATAACGTGATCCGAAGGGTCTGCAAGAACATCCACAGTGAGCACCAATGGTGACACTATACGGCTCCATTCAGACCTCCGCGACACGCGAATAATCAAAATATGTACTCACGGGACAAATTCGTGACTTTTATTTGAAGATAGACGAAGTCATACGCTTTGGGTAGGAATTTGCTATCCTTTTGGTCTACTGTCTGCCAAGGGTCATCGAGGGCATTGTCGCGACAAACCAGACACATCGACACTCTCGCACTTTCGGTCCGTAGGTTCTCTAGCATGGGCAGACTCATTCTCTGCTGTCGCAACGAAAGCTCTCCAGACCGGGTACCTCCAGCCTGCAATTGCATAAGCGCATATAACAGGACGAAGAAATGATCTAGCGCACCTCGCGCCAGCGCCCGCGAACGCATTTAAAGAGTTCCTCCCTGTACCAGAACAGTTCGCGCTGTGCCACCTCCTCTCCAGAGGTAAGGTTTGACTTGGCCACTACAAACTGTCTGTCTGACAGGGTAGGTATTGGCTGTGATGCAATGTCGTCTGGAAGCAAGAACTTTTTAAGAGGAAGAACAATGCTGATCAAAATGATTAGCTTTGAAATTGGAGGACGCAAGGCTGGGCACTAGACTTACCGCGATGTTGATCCTGGTGCAACTAAGCATGTGGTAGATGCATGTAGAGAGCCTGCATCCTCGCTCAGAAGTGAATTATCATTCATCGGTGGCCAAATCTCACCTTCTTGTATCCGGTCGAATGTAACCTCGAACGGGAGGCCATACGTGTTCCGCACGTCTATGGAGAACAAGCACCAGCTATCTTCATCGACACACAAGAGCTTCTTTCGTGCAGTATCACTGTTGTTGTCACCTTGGTCGTCATTTGAATTGAAGACCGCCTGTGGTCTAAAGGGCAGGATATCCATTCGATGGCACTCCAGCATGTGGTACACGGTCACCAGCACAGGATATGACAGCCGTCTGGTGTGGAAAACGTCTGACGGTTTCTGTAGAGTGTCTTGTTTGCGATGGACGTAGCCATATGCAACATGAATCGCACCACTCGTACTTAGCATTGAGAAAGAGATTAGTTTGCAACGATTAGGGTTGATGGGTAGCACTTACCAACCGACTTTACCAAGGCATGTAATCACAATGGTAACCTTTCGATGAGGTGGAATTTTGGTTTGCTGCAGATCTGAGCTCCATGAAAAGACTGGTCGACTGATTAATTCATACTCTGTCTCATATGTGTCGAAGACGGAAAGTTCGCCGTCAACCAACGCTTGCTGTGCAGGTGGAATAGTCGAATCATCAAAGGTTAACCGGAGGAAGTCAATCGGTAGTGACGAGACATTTTCCAGTGTCAGACGGATGGTCGAACTGTTGTGGGTCAGCTTGGTCCATTGTAAGCATCCCATGTAAATACGTACGTCTCACCATCATACAGCATGACAGCACCGTGCGTAAGGGAGCTCCATCGAATTCGAAGTAACGGCTGTTCTGGAACGACTTTGCAATCCAGAAAGCGACGCAACTCCGTTGATGCTTTGGTTCCTTTCTTCTGGATACTGAGCCTCTTTCCAGCTTTCTCCCATGGACGGGATTCCAGTCCATGGTATTTAGAGCGCCCTGATTCACAAGCAATTGTGCTTCGTCGACGGGATTTCTTATCTTCTTCTTCCAAAGTTGAGAGCGGCAAGACAAACTCGTGTGAAGCACCCCCTGGCGCTTGAACAAAGCATCCCCGAATAGTCAATATGCCCGTGTCTAATGGCTTGCCTGACATGGTAATCGAGTGGAAAGAGTTTGCTGGTATGACAACCGATATGGGTTTCGACTCAAAAGGCACGCCGGATGTACTAGAGAGATAGATGAGCGAATTGTCATGAAAAGCATATTTGACAAACCTGAGAGCCAAAGCTTCAATCTCGAGATTAAAGACATATGGATTGCGCAAGGTTAAGCGAAGCTCCAGAATTTCATTCTTTACCACTAATGTTTGTCCCTGCTATGGAAAGTTGAAAAGATTTTGGGTCGGCCACGTAGCGAAAAAGGTTTACCTGAGATGCAAACGCCCTTCGAGGATTATAAAGGAATGGATCGGTCATTCCGGTTAGGATGCTAACCCCATGTGACTGACGGGGAGATAGGATTGACATTGGGTTCTCAACGAGGAGCTTCACGGGTGGCAGCCTATCGAAATTATGAGATACGTCATTGAAGGTCTGCAATATTTCTTACGGCAATATTTCGATACTATCGACAGGCCGTCCAGACCAATAATCGATAACTCTCTTGTCTCCTCTGCGCCGTGCTGTAGTCAGTGCCCGAGCAGAGGTGTAGTAGAAATGGTATTGATCCTCCTCGCTCAAGACTGCGTGTAGTGATTTCAACGCCGACAAAGCAAACTGTGCAGCAGCTGGGGAATCTACAGTGATGCACTTATTAGATCACAATATCAAAAAAGCATCACATAACACACCTGGTAAGGCTTCCGCGACAGCCAAAGCTTCACGAACGATGCCTACCTGAAGCTCGGGCCATCCGTACGGATCTTCGAGTATGACCTCTTCTGGGTCTTCGTTCTGACTGGCTTCCGTCTCCAAGGGCCCGTCACTTGTGATTGACCCAGTGTCAATGAGCTTCACTACGCTAAGATTGACTCCGTGGACATTGCACACATGCTTCACTAGCTTTAGAACGCTCTCATTTCCGTCGGGCCGCTCATTCTCCTTCACACCAACAGCCCCCTTGTCTTGCATCATGCTCGCAGCATTTGCAAGAGCATACCCAAGACCGATGTCTCCAGCTTCCTCCCGGCCACATACCATCAGATCCATAACACAGCCGATAACTTCCCGGAGAATGTAGGCCTCCTTGCGGTGATATCCCAGTGAGGAATACATAGACGCTATTTCCTCAAGTATGATGATGCGTTCACGATGGCCCATGTGCAGGAGCCATGGACCGTGAGCCTGCGCGAGAATAACAGATATGTGGGAGGCGGTAATGCCTGAGATGGACGAAAGGCGGTCGCGGTTCGCGGGAGTATTATACTCGGCGTATGCGAGAGTTGGTGGTATATAGGGCAGAGGGCCGGGATGTAGCATAGCCGTAAACGCGAGCGGGCCCCAGCCCTTAGCTGACCAAGTTGCAAAAAAAAGGGAAGTCTGTCGGAGAACAGCTGTAGAGTACAAATAGGCCAGTATGTCCAGGCGTTGCTCCGCGTCAGATGAAGATGAAGGCACAGCTTTGGAATAGAGTGTGATGGCCTGACTCAATCTCTCCGAGATATCTGACCACGGCTCTCTAGAGTTGCTGAAAGAAGCTTGCTATAGATTACGAAGAGAATTCCATTGTGATGAACATACGCCAAAAGAGAGAAGACGCACTAATCCCTGACCGGACGACCACGCATCCAATACAGACAAGACAGCCAAGCCCTCTAGCGCAGAAGCGTGCCATACGGTGTCTGATGGTAGCTTGAACAACGCGATGGCTTCTGTATACCTAGCATCAACGCTTTAATCTAGGATACTAAAAGAGTACAGGACTTCGCGAACCATATTGAGGCGTCCTCTGTTCTCCCTGCAAGCAAAAAAAAATCTCCTAGAACTTTGTAAAGCCTGCCATGGGACGAAGCAACACCAATTCCACTTAGTCGCTTTTTGGGAGTGGGCGGAATCATCAGACTAGTCTGACGGGACGGAGAAGGATTGAGCGAGGGCCCTGCCGATGATGTCCGTTTCAGCGCCATCCCTGCGACGGATTTCGGCCGAAGCGATGCTGAAATGCCTAGTTCAGGTTGACTATTATATGACGGCAGCGGGCTGAGAGAGTCATGAGATTCAGGTTCGTCGTTCAGTGGACGTGGCATATCAGACGCGGATGGTAGGAAAGGAAATATGGCGCCATTTAGATATTCGTTTCCAAGAGGGCTTTCCAAAGTTTGCAGCTACCAATCCAAGTGTGAGCTGCCTTTGTAATCCATGATATTCGTGTAAGCACAGACCACTGACGAGAACTCGCCCAAGATATTGGAGCAAAGATCAGCTAGTAACGTTTCAATGTTCTCCTTCTTGTTCCCCATCATGCTTGGAATGATCACCAGTCCTGGAAGATGATCCCCGAGGTTGAGATTCGTAGTACCATCACCTTCTTCGAAGACAAAACAACTCCTCGCCAAGGGATACAGGGAGTCCGCTGGAAACAATTCATGCATAGCCCCGTTGAAGTCGGCGAGAATGGAAGACAGTGAGTCGTTGTGCGAGCATGAAGCGATTCCTATGACTCCCAGTGGAAAGTGAGAGGGCCGAAATAGAGACATAGCGAAATGAGAAGTCGGTGGAGGGTGAGTAGGAAAACTAAGATGCAAGTAGCCTTTGGACTTAGGACTAGGCATGAAACGAGCTGAGTTCGATATTTAGAATGTAATAGTAAATTATCAGGAATATAACTCACCTTTCTCATCTCGAGTGCCAGGCGGGATATCACTCAGTCTCATATTCTCGAATGTACGAATTTCGGTTGCCCATTTCTCGAAAGTGGTCCTTGAGATAGACCCAACCGGCAGCAGGAGGACACGCAGATGAGATAGCGACGCAAAAGCATGGTGATCCATTTGTTGGGCCAACCAAGGACGAGGGAGTACAAAGTTTGAGGTGCACGGTCACGGAGGAGCTTGCGATCGTGAACTACGAACTAGTACATGGACTTAATACATGGACTACAGCTTACGTACGTGTTCACGTACTCCCATACACTTTCCATACCTTTCGTTGACCACGTTAGCTGGCATTCTCTAGGATTGCTCAACACCTTCGCCAACTCATATTTGCAAGTCATTGGCTGGACTATGGTGCGCAAAATCTACTTAATCAACAGAATCCGTCTCATACAGGAGATAGGCTGCAAGCGATAAAGCATTGGGAGGGGGGATGATGCTGGCCGCGGCATTTGTCTTCACCTACTATACGATCTGGGCTATCTTATTGGCGAGTAACATACTTTCTGGTACGACATCTTCACTCAAACGATCTCACAGCCTTTTTTCGATCCTGCAAGTCCTATTCACGGCTGGTTCCCTTCACGCGAGTGGGCTGTTCGTCTGCCAGCATTCACTCTTGTCGTAGGCTTGTCAGCCATCGGTCTATTCGTCGGTTCTACTATAGTGAAGGAAAACAGGAAGAAAGCGCAAAAGGCAAGGTTACGCACTGCATGATTGTCCATAAAGCACAACCTTCCGTTACAATTATTGTGGATGGAATAAATACTCCAACGCGCTCCATAAGTAAACATCAATATCGTACTATCATGCTCATCAACTAACCACTCGTGAGTCTCGCCGTCTGTCTCCGTTGTTTTTTCCAATCTCCCGTCGTTTGATTTCCGATGCTTGGAGTTTCTCTGCCGCTAACACGTCATTTGTAGCTTGCTCCACGAGAACCTCCCATGGAACAGCCGGAGAAGGCTCTGTCAGACTTCGCAGGGCGCGTGCAAGCTGAAACCAATCGCATTAGATTAATGGAGACACGATTGTAGTAAGGGGGCACCTTGCTGTTTGGAGTTTCTGTACGTCCAGATATTTGCAGTCTAGCCAAGGTTGCTGCTTGCGATGCAGTATCTAGACCTATGACCGACCGAGAATGTCGTAGGAAGAGGAATAAGTCGGCAGCGGATGAGGAGATCAAGCTTGCTAGTGGCTATGAAGATGGCTCGTCCAGTTAGGCATCGGCGCCGAAATGCATATTGAGACATACCGATGTCTGACCTTCCACGACGTAGGTGGGAATGATGTTTTCGAACGGCGGCCATAGTTCATTCCATATCATGCGGGATGAGGAAACATTGTTAGCAAGGACTTGAATGAGAGCATCTTCCCCTCCGGCTCGGCTAGTAGTAGACAGCTTTCTCTCAAGTAACAGCCACAATTTGATAGCAGCATATCCATGATTGATAGTTGCAGCTGCATTTGTGGTCTCAAGGGCACCCGGAACGAGAGAGGCCAACGAGTCGCAGTAAGTGTAAACAAAGGCAGAGAAATGGGACATAAGCACTGATCCTGGAATAGCACTGGTGTGATTCAAAGCTGCAAGAACGAGAATGTTCCAGCCGCGCGTGTTCATAAAGTGACGGCCTGAGTTCTATGGCTGGGTAAGACAGTGTAACGTCAGAAGGTATTCGGAAAAAGAGATTTACCTCTGAACTATATTCTAGTATAAGTCGATGAAGGGTTTCCTGGTTGTATTTTGTGCTGTGCATGATCATTTTGGCAATGGACAACGAGGCAGTGAACTCGACGTCGACTTGACCATCTTGGCCCCCATATGTTTGCAGGTAAGCGGTCCCGTCGTTCGCCAAGTTGTTGAATGCTCCACGCCACTCGCTTTGATAACCAGAGGAGCCAAAGAAAAATGTCGATGATATGGCCTGTCACGGTTGTTGGTGAAAGCTGAAGGTCAATGGAGACAAACATACCTCCGACAGGGAAGAGAGTGTCAGTAGAGGAACGCGGGTCTTCCTGCGCAATCCTTCGGAAAGAATATCGAATACAGCTGCTATCACACCGCTGGAAGGATCTTGACTGTTGACTGCAGGCGCTTGCTGTCTTGTCATGCTGCGCAGGTTTGCCGTCACTTGGAGTATTTGAGCGAGACTCTGTTGTGATACGTTGAATCTGATCAAAGCCGCTCTCAAAAAATTGTCTAGATATACGAGCAATTCCTGAAACCTTCTTGAGCAACTGCAGGCTGTCAGGACTGTAGAATAAACTTCACTCACACCGCTCTGCCCCTTGTTCTTTTGTAGAAGAATAGCGGCGATACTGATTAGAGGGCTAGGGTCAAATTTCTCAGGTGACCACTCTGCTGCGCGTCGGATTATCGTTGTAAGAGAGGTTCCGATGACTTGGTAGAATACTCGTCAGTAATAAGACGGAGGTAACAATGAAGGGAGAATACATTGCATAAGTTCCGCGCTGTAGACCTGACTGAACACCAGGTCAACATACTTCTGGAGATTTTGCATCGCAATCTTGATTGCATCGACCTCTGTCTCTAAGGCCCTAGAAAATGCATCGCGAAGTAGAATCTCTCTCGTACTGTGTGATGATGAAGCACGCCTATCGCTTCCAGTGACTAGACGTAGCACCGCGAAGAAGGCGTCTGATTGACCCCTCTGTGTGAAGTACTCAGCAAAGAAGATTACGAGCACCCCATAAAAGTTGCTACCTTGCATAAGGCGATCAAGAGTCCACTTTCTCCGAATCTAAATCCAATCAATGAGTCAGAAGGCCGAGCAATAGACGGATGCAAAGATTGAAATTACATTGAAATACAAGTGTCCAAGAAGGATAACGCTTGCGACACGAGAACATCTTCCTTGTTGAACCTCAGGTCTATGATAAGCCCTGCAGCAACCTCAGTAGCTTCCCTGTGTTTCATCAATACCATGCTCGTCCATCATAGAGAACAGATGCCCACAGCACATAGCTTCCCGTAAACGTTGGCCATCGTTTGATATATGCTTGAGATATTGTGAGGCCAAGCTGTCTAAGCTCAAAGCTGACGTTTTGTAGCGATATGTTGATGATGCGGCGAATCACCATGCGAAGGCTACCTTGCAGATGCTTCAGAGTGGCGTTCTCCATATCATGTTTATATATGATGATCAGTACAGATTCGAACAAGCTCTTGATGGTAAGGAAAGGCAAAGAAAACAGATCCTTGATGTCGAGAAGCAAGGCCAGCAATAGATCGACAAAGATGGATCCGATTAGCAGCGCTGATTGAGCCTCATCAGTCGGTCGAGCACCCGCCATTGCTGCAGGAGGCAGAGAGAATGAATGAGGCGCATCCAGAACAAGGCGCATTTCCTCCAGACATGGCCACGCATCAGCAGGTACAGCCGCCAGGTCTCTGAAAGACACATTGAACATGTGGCCACTGGCAGAAGGCACTGTTGCAACATCAGTGAACCCCACAATGCGTAGGATTTGCAGTTTTAACTTGAGCAAAGAGAATATGTCGATGGGGACACCAGCCGCAATCATTTTTAAACTGAGCAACGTGATGGAAACCTTGTAATAAGGCTTAGTACACAGGGTCAGTTGAGATGTGGCTGTCTTACGCGCAGAAGAGCCATGTCAGAATCATCGGTCATCGTTGTATCATCAGATTCCCTGTGAGATACCCCATACATCGACTGCTTCCATGTTACTTCATGCATATATCGAGCTGATATGATTGGTGATACTCACCAGATGAGCGGAAGCAGGCCCGTCTTCGTCTTCGCCGTTTTTCTGCATGTAGTCATCTTCAAGGAGGGTCTCAAGGATTGTCTCCCATGTTAAAACTGTAAAGTTTACGATGAACGCTGTCCGCTTCGAGCAGCAAGCAAAATATACCTGGCCACCAAGGAAAATGGGGGTGAAGTTGAATCAAGAAGGCCACAAGCTTCACACGTTCTGAGATGGGTGCCTTCGCAATCGACTCATTCCAGCAGCGGGACATAGCCTCAAAGTGAACCGGGAGTAAAGTATGGGACCACGTGTCAATTGCGACTCTGACTTCCTCCTATGAGAGAAGAGACAGTCACGAATTAAGCAACAAGAACGAAGGATGGCAAAGCATACCTGCGGATCTTGCCACATCGAAGTGAAGTAGTGATAGAATATGCAGACAGCGCTAGAACGCCATTGCCTATCTTCAAGGTTGAAAGCAGGGTTTGCGATATCTAGGATAATCCGAAACAAGCGCTTGAGGGCCTGGAGACTGATAAGTCGATCTTATTAGTGACTGCTAGCGAAAGGGGCTTTCTCACTAACCGTAACTCCCAAGGTACGCTGAACTGGAGCGAATTCACCAGTATGATTTCGAATGGTTGCGTATAGACAACTAACACGCGTAACATAAGATTTGGACGTACGACTGCCAACTCATGGTGCTGAATCTCGTAAAATTTCCAGACACTAGATAATTATGCTCAGTATAAACTTGACCGAAGCGCAGGAATGAAACAGACCATGAAGATAACACAGCGGAGTTGCGTAGGATAAAATTGTCCACTTCGTGAGATTCTAAGAGCGAGCAATCGTTGACGAACAAACTGAAGAACTTGGCGAGAAGACGACTAGTATCCTCATTATCCTCGTCCACGTAGCTTCCTAGAACAGTAATGAACTCTACATCGATGTGAATGGGGTCTGAAACTAGCGAGGCTCGGGTGGATAACTTTCTCCTGAATGTAGCGTCCAGATTCAATACAGAGAACCTTACAAACGAGATGACTGGACGACTTCACCTTGATGGCAGCTCGTTATTCTCATCATTAGTAATGAGACCAGCGTCTGTTAACTTCTTTCTATCGCATCCTGCCAGCAGGAGAAAAGCGGCCAAGGATTGTCGAATAAAGATATTGCTAATGGCAATGGAACGTTACTTGTGTGGGCATCTGAGAAAGACGAACGAACCTACACATCGTGGACCGTAGTCTTGTTTGTAAGTGCGGTAAGTATTTCTGATGATGAACGCTGGTGAAGAGTCACGATGATGCTCAGCAGGTCTTGGCGTCCTCGCGATTTCAGCCAAACAGAGTACAACACTGCTCTTGCGAGATGTGTAGAATCTGCAACCGATAGTTTGAAGCGATTTGCGAAGGAGGTAAAGCGTCGGAAAACTGTCACGGGAATATCAACGCCGGATCGTGCAAACATGCACAACCACTGTAGTCCACGTAGTAGGTTCTCTTCGTTGGTTGTTAGCCTCGTAAATGTGTTCCACGGATCGATGCCGATGAGAGCGCTGGGATCTGTGATGGTTGTAGTAGGCTCAGCCACCACACTGAACCTTGCGCTGATATCTCCTTCGCGAGAGAAGAGGCGCTGCAAGGCAGGAACAGGCTATCAAGTATAAAACATTAACATAGATCGTAGACAGGTTTAGAGACACCGTAGACATACTTTATGCAAATGCCATATCGTACACGTGAATTCGAGCCATTTCATGAACAGGTCGTCGAATGCAGTGAAAACGATAGCGGCTTGACAGAGGCGAATGATACGTTGCAAGCACTTATCGGCAACGTCTACTTGTCCCTGCCTCGCGATTTCAATTAACAATGACACACATTATATGCGTTCACATACCTGTTGTTCCAGGTCTGCCGTAGCGTTGTGACCATCGCTGTTCGTAACATCGACCCCTTCCGTAAGTTCCAGTACAGTCTCATGAAGCACTTCTGAATAGAAGATAGGGTCTTGGTCATGAAGGGCAAGCATCCACCTCGCGACATACTTGCTAAGGAGCGTCCGTCTATGATCCACGTATTCGCCACCGTTTCCAGTAGAATTGCTGTGCGCTGATCGTGAATGCGAACTAGGCCAAGGTTGAACCCCAGCTACCGAACGCACGCCAGGAGGGTCACTTCGATTACTAGCGTAATCTCGAAGAACAGTCTCAATCGTTTCACCCTGAGTGATGGTGAATTGGCGGATGAGAGTATTTGAAGCCTATGACAACGCACCTCCGCAAAAATCCATGAAAGTAATCCTCTGGTGAGCCTCCGTAAAGCGTACTCTGTAGCCATTTCACTCGGCCAAAATCTCCTTACAAGTAACAAGAGGCCAGCTTCGTTGATAGACAGATCGGCGTCAGATAGACACGCTTCAATGGCGGCCATAAGGGTTTCAACATCCGCCGAGAGATCAAGACCTAATGGCAACGGAAAACTGCATAGTGCTGTGCCTTCATCAGGTCTCTCACCAAACAACTCTGATCGCATGTCCAACCGCTGATAAAACCCAAGGTGATGCAGGTGACAAAGAATAATCCGTGCAGCTACATCCGAATGCAACTGGAATGCGATACCTAAAGCGTCGCGTAGGTGCGCCAGCGACAGGACTTCGTGTGGGTGGGTTGGGCCATCATGTGTAGTGACTAGAAGAGGTTGCGCGGCCAGGAGGTCAAATGAGTTACTTGGGGAGGGCCTGAGATTTTCATGAGGAGTCTTGATTGTAGAAGCTATGAAAACAAGTGTCGGCCAGTCGTACAAGAGAGTGTGTTGGGATGGTTGTAAACGATTCCCCCGACGGTACTCATCCAATATGTCCGAAATCGAACTTTGAGCAGATGATAAGGCATCCTCGTAAGTGCCCAGGAGTGACTTCGGGTCGATGCCCTGTGCAGAAGATTCCTTCGAATCATCGTCAATCACAATAGAACCTAGAGCCACCCCGTTGTCTAAGATTTGCGATTGGACCCATAATGTATCTAGACAAATCGATAAGTCCTCGAAACCATGCTTCCTAAGTTCGCCGGCGGGGACAATAAAGTCATGATAGTAAGCAGCAAATGACTGCTTCAAGGTTGACCACGAAATGGTCATATGTGTGGAATTAAGCGATGACGAACCACAAAAAGAGAGATCGGCATCTGTGATGGTACGGATACAAGCTGCATGCACAAAGTGGTCGCAAGTGTCGCACATCAACGCTTGCATGATGATACCCCAAAGAGGTTGGCAACAGATACAGCATAGCGAGAGCGTGAAGAGGTTCACTTGTCGAAAAGTATGAGATTTGATTCTGACAACCTCGAGTTCAGAGGCTCTCTTTGTCGGAAAGACATGGCAGAATCGATGCATCATGATTTTCTGGGTGTTTGGATCGGATTCCATCGCATATTCAGAGGCCAAATTTCCAGCGGGGTAGTCATAGCAGTCGAAGTGCACAGAACATGTGCAATATGGACACAAGAGCCCAAAACCCGTGATAGGCTTCATGCAAGACCGACAATCGCCGTAAGAAAAGCCATTGAAGATAGCAGGAATAGATGGTTCTATGAATCTCCACGGTACGAATTGATGGGCGTACGGATGATCCCATATATGGTGTGTCGTGCCATCCACTTCTAGAGTGACTTCGTTGTACGAGAGTAAAGAGAGGGGCTTGCTAACGGTGTAGTGACCTAGAGCTTTCGGCCAAAAAGAGATCAGAAGGCTGAGAGCAGCCCGCCTTGCTCTTGGGGTGTGGTAGGCTACAATGTCAAGGATGTCTAGATATGCGTCCGGCTTTTGATCAATTATCATCTGGAAGAGCCGGTAGAAGCGATGTAGCGTTGACAGCGATGCAGAGGCAAGGTCAATTCCTTCCGTGATCGCAGCCAATAATGGAGGCGTGATCGATTTCAGATGATAGAGAGATATGGCTTGTCCTGGGGCGTTGCTCGATGATATGCGATAGTCAGCAGTAGGAATTGACGACAACCAGGGTCGCCAACCAGCAGGCAGGTGCGTTACAGAAAAGCTATCGTCGTGAGCTTCTTCAACTTGAATGGACACTATTGGAGGCGTGGTGGGCTCGACGCTAACGTCAGGGTATTCTCCTAATTAATTGTGGAATGAGGTAAGGAAACGATATGCCAGAAGCGGAAGGAATATACCTTTTTTCTCAGCCGACGACATATCCCCAAAACCTTGCAATTGCCTTGCTTGAGCGAGCATACCTCGTAATACACCTTCCTCGAAAAATCTCAGAAGCCGTCCATGCATTTCGTTTCTGTAGGTGGAAAAAGCAGGAAGGATTGCAAATCCAATTTGGCTCAACACCTTTGGAGAGTCAGTATGCATATGTATAAGTAACTGAGTGACGTCCAGAGACACAGCTTGCAGAGCATTTGGAGGACGTAGAAGTCGGGGCGATGAAATCTGGTATCTGCAGTCTTCCGAAATGACAGAGTTAAGAATGGATATACATTGAGAAAGCAGTTCAGGAGCCTGATGCTCGTCTTCAGGTGATAGTGATCTCGAATTTCGGCCGGGAGACTGGAGGCTTCGTCGACGTCTACGGAACGGGGAGCTTGAAGACTTTGAGTTCGAGTTTTGTCGACCGGATGGTCGGCGCATCGACGGACTGAGAAGTAGGAGTCCCGTGAATTTGAGTACTCTACTTGACAAGAGTATCAAAAATACCTCTCGTAGAATATCTGCCATTGTTGCGCGAGTGATATCGAAAGAATTTCCTTCAGCTGGTTCATGAGATCATAGGTAACGTCCGTTGTAAATTCAGCTTCTAATTCGTCCTCACTGTCACTCTCAGGGCGAGTCGGAGAGGATATCGAGATGGACTGCGAGCGTTTAGTGCCGGTGAGCACAGCCACGCCTCTCATGATCGCAATGCCTCTGACGTGCCTCCTAAAATCAAGATGAGAGGCAACTTCAAAGATCGAAGGCGGCCTCGGCCGATTACGGAGTTGTCCTAGAAGGTGCGCAAGCAGCTTTTGGGATTCGTCTCGAGCCCTGTTTGCGGGCTGGGATGCAAAGACGGCTGCTAGGTGAGACGGAGATGTAGGTGATTTCTCTTTGATTGGGGACGGCGGTAATCGAAGAGATGGTGAAGAGACTTTTGACGAGGCCCTGGGTCGCCCAGTGAGTTGACCTAGTGGTGACCTAGGAATCTCAGTAGGACTGCCATCGTGAACTGCACTGGTGTCGACGCGAAGAGTAAAATTCGCTCGGCCGGACAAAGAGCTCATGCTCTATGCAGTAGAATGAGAATATATAGCATGGGTAACCGACAAGAGACTGACCTTTCTGTAAAGTGAGCCCTTTGCGCTGCTCGTTCACTGTGTATTGTGTAGATGACAATTCGCTGTTAGAGTGATGCTGAGAGTTATGCTGTCAGCTCAATTACATCGTGGGAATATTCTATGCACCAAACATGACTTGATCTTGCCCGTTACGACATCATCAATCAGATCTTAATCGTATGCCAGCGTATGCCTCCCAGACACAGACATACCGGTTCGCCACCAAAGCTCAAGCAGCAGACGCTGTCTGGTTTTCTAGAGCGAAGCCCTTCACCGCCCCCTTACGTCGATGCTGCCAGAAAACCAACTCCACAGCGCTCCCCAGCTATACACAAGAGAAAGGGGCGCTTAGCAGCAAAATCGGTGAAATCGTATGAGGAGATGGACGAAGGAAACGCCAGCAGCGATGTCGATGCTATTCACCTTGAGCCTTGCCTTCCCATTGTGATCTCCAGTGACGAAGAAGAGGCTCAGCCTTCGCGTAGGCCAAAGAGAACTAGGCGGCAGAGTATTGTTTCTGGATTTCGCCCTGCCTCGAAAATCGAGTCTCGTACACTTCTTGACGCCACTCATGACAATGACAATAGCTCCGATGCGGCAACGAATTGGAAAGGCAAGGGAATCGCGCGACACAGACACGATGTCACTGACAGTGAGAGCCCGCTCAAGAGGCGCAAGTTGATCAAAGGAACTAGGCCTTCTTCTCAAGATGGATCGGATGAATTGTTAGACGACATTGATGAAGCCGGTCAGTGGTATAAGTTGTCGACGTTATCCTGAATGTATCTGAGGCCCGTACCCAGCTATTATCGATACTCGACTGCGAACTGGGATCAAAATGTCAGTATACCAGCAGAATTTAGAGAAGCTGATACGTGAGATTATATATATATATTCGTTGTGTATAAACCAATGATACCTACCTGTCATTCACAAGGTAAAAAGCGAGGAATAGCAATGCAAGAAGAATCTACTGAGTCAGAAGATAGCGACGATGAAGGCGTTGGAAATGAAACTTCCGCTTTTACGGGCGCTAAACCCACTGCAGAATTTGGGAGCGATGTTTCAGATGAAGACGAGAATACTACCTCAGATGGGGATGACTTCATCGTTGAAGATGATGGCCAGGAAACGGCGCCTGAGCTGCCTGCAGCTTTTAGCATGAGATCGCATCAGGATCTTGCTCACCACTTCAAGATCGCATGCCAATTTTTTGTCCACCTTGCCGTCCTACCACAAAGGAGGCGGAAGTCCTTCTTCAGGACAACACTTCAAGGTGTGTGGTATATCCTTGCTAATTATCGATAGCTGTGCTGATGGATTGGTCCATCATGTCAGAGAATGAATACTTTTCCCTTCCCGTGCAGATCATCCGTCGGCAGCTAGGTAGTTTACGGGATTCTTTGGTCGCCTCTTCCGTCTGGAAACCCCACTTTCGGAAGGCTCTCGAGACTCATCCAGAGTTTTCATTGACTATGATAGATTTCGCCGTACCTGATTGCGATGCATGTCGATTGAGCGGAAGGCTGTCGACCATGTGTGGAAGATTGAACGGCAGTCCCTATGATAGGTATACTTTTGAGGCAAGTAGCTTTTCGAATGACACAATACATGCATATGAAATAACTGATGCATCCTGCAGGCAGTTGAGGATGAAATGGATTCTGAGGACTCGGACTCAAATGATGACCACGATTATACCGACGATAATAAGTCCAAAAAAGAATATCATCTCGGTCGATTTTGCGCTGCACGTGCGCAAACGTTCCACAGGTTCTCACACTGGGAGGTTCGTTGTCAAATATTCAACCATTTGTGGCCGACTGGCTGGCATTTTGACGTTGTTGTAGTATCACCTTTTCCAGGCCCTTCTCCGCGAAGTAGATCATCTTCGGATCTCCAATGGCAAACATGGCTTTACACGTGTCGCCAGAAGCAACATGAAGCCCCCTAGTGACTTATCAAACCCCGATAGTATCTTGGATTGGTTAGAGGGGACAAACGTCATCAGTATGGAATGGCAAAGGCTCAAAGAGTTGATGGAGAGCGCACGAAAGTTAGAAGGGAACAGAGAGCTGGATGTCGAAGTTTCTTGACAAGGCTTGTGCGAGTGCAACACATACCCACTATTCCGATCGCTCTGATATCTCTGTGTTCGACCTGTTACCGCAATACTGTACTACATACACTTTCGTGTGGCACTCTCTCAGTCCTCGCTGTACCTACTCACCTGTGTGGCTCGTGAAGCTGGTAAGTCTATGCTGCCGATTCAAGTAGAGTCTAGACTACAGATAAGATTCCATTACATAACAGCTTTTGACTGCCACTCTTTGTGAATCGTGGTAGGCGTCAAGCTTCAAGGAGTCTCAAAGGCGCACACCACTCTCATTGACCACACCTTGTACATTCAGTTTTGACCATGTCTTCGATGCCATATTATACTCAAACCGGCCAACCACCTGCGACTCCAGGCACGTACCCGTACGGCGCCTACCATCCTGGCACCCCCGGACTATACACACAAACCCCTGGCACATATTCCTATTCGGCAGCTGGCGCATATCCCGCCACTGCTATCACAGGATACGGTGCTACAGCCTGGCCATACTCTTATAGCTACTATCAGCAACATGTTCCTGCTCCTCCCCGTCCCTCAGTCGCAACGCCTTCAGTAGCAGCACAGACGCAGACAACTGTCCCGGCTGCTACACACAGAACGACTTTCAGCGTCTATCAGCCCGCGTATCCCCGCGAGAGCTTTTCTTCTGCCAGCCTGGGAAGTTCGACTTCTCGCGGGTACAGGAAGCAGTCCAACGTCAAAGGATTGTTCACAAAGGAGTGTACGCCCCTTTCCTGATCGCATACACATCATCATCTCACCCGTATTCTGGGTCAGTGAGAAACTTGATGTTCAGTTTTGGAGATGATCGCAATCCTGCGAACGACACAGTCAACGTGATGGAAGAGATCCTCGTCGAGTACATTGCGGACGTGGTAAGTACGATAATGCTTACTTATGTATCACACTCTCAACATTGCCGATATATGCAGTGTCAGACGGCGCTTTCAGGTACAAAGAAATCGCGCCTCTCAATCGAAGACATTCGACGAGCCTTGTCTCGACCAGCGGATGCCAAGAAGCTTGCCAGGATGGAAGAACTGCTATTCATGCAAGAGGATATCAAGCGTGCGCGCGCGCAATTCGACGCCTCGGAGATCAACCAAACGAGCGCATACCAATCTTGATTCTCATACTATCTACGTGCTTCACGATGTTCTGTTCCGACGTACGATGGAGTGCATGACGCTTCGACAATTGATGCCCGTCGAGCGCGTACTTCCCTGTACTTCCTTTTGTCTCTTTGATTTGGTAGTGTATAGATATAATGTAGAATAGACAGAAAATGCAAGAAAGAGAATTACAGTACACGCATATTACAAGTTGTCATTCCTCCATGGCATCTGCCTCCTCCGCATCTTCTGCTGGCGCCGACCCGTTGCGTTCTTGCTTGCGAGCCACGAGACCTAGACACATGATGTTCAATCTATGCCTTCCGTGAAAGAAAGCAAACAAACCTCCGCTTTCCGCCAAGGGCTTAGCATACCGTTTGAGCCACTCCTCGGATTCCCATACTGTTGGAAGGGGAGGGTCAGGCGATCACGCGGCGGGCTTGCTATACCAGTCAGATAGAACTCACTAGCATGGCTTCCAGTGAGCTGCATTTGGCCCTTCAATGGTCGGGCTACGTTCACCTTTAGTACTCTTCCGCGCAGTTCATTCATATCCATATTGTCAATTGCATCCTGAGCATCCCCTGCGGAAGCATATGTGACGAAGGCAAATCCCCGGTGCTTTGCCTCTGTCATAGAGCTAGTTGCGGTCGTGATCATACGGATGAAGCTGGGGCGTAACATACCAGTCTGCTGTGTTGGGTTTGCCGCAGCAGTGGGCAGCTGAACCTCTATAACGTCACCTATCCGTGGAATTCTAATGAGTTAAGCTATGAAAAAATGCTATCTACTCACCGAATGTTGAAAATGTCTCCAAGAGGACTCCCTCGTCGACATCATCGCCGATACCGCCCACAAAAACTGTTTTCTTGGCCTTCGTTCCTTCCTCCATGATTTGCCGTCACACTCAAAGAGGTACACGTGATCTCACGCACATATGCCAATCTCTTTTGAGTCTATTTTGGCGTACCCTATTCCGAGCTTAAATCGACAACTCTTCCGAGAACAAATTATGCCCCCAGCGACTTGCGTGGCGCCTTAGATGAAGGTGACATTCTATCGAGCTTCCGAAATATGGTCTTGTTCTGTCTAGGCTTTGGGCGTTTCCCATCTTTCCATTACGCACACTGCCATATTTCACGGCTGACCCTGGGAGACTTTCGACCAAACGCGACATAGACGTGGACTTTTTTGCCTCCTTTCTGCTTATCTGGCAGACTGCCAGGTCATCATGCCCAACGCCTGTGCGATGGCCGGACATCAAGTGCACCAAACTGGTCCTCCGTTCTCGAACCTCGTTCTCTGGTCCGCGCGGGCATGTCGACTCAAAGTTCGGTAGCGACGAAAATCTTCGCCGGTTGTCACATCCGCAGCTTGATGCCATGTCAGTTCTGATAGCAGGGCGGCCTGTTACCGAATGTAGCCTTGGCCTACCTCAACGAGCCCCAATGCCTGGACGCCCACGGCCCTAACCCTTTGAAGCAGCCGTTTCCCTTCCATCTTCAGGTACAAGGGCTTCAGTACATTGCTCGCCCTTCAGTGCCCCGTCCTCATACTTTCCATCGTGCCCTTCCACTCGAAGCCATGTCCCGCGACCACAATTTCGACACAGACACTGCATCCAACTCGTCGTCAAACAGCTCTTCTGAGGATGAGGACGAGGTGAACCGTCGTATATGTCCGGATTGGGAGCGCCACCGCGAAATCATTGAGCAGCGAGGGTTTCATCTGGACACAGTACGAGACGTGAAGCATTTTTATGAAGTGTACTGGGGTGAGGAGGGAACAAAGCATTGCGCAGAATATTCTCGCATATGCAATCTTCCTGACGACTCCGCGCTGTGCAAGGATCCAGGTCTCGTACGTCGTATGCTCTCCGACAAAGAGAGAACACTGATCATTGGTATTTCGTAGCATGACAATCTTTTCCGGGGACGTCGGGTTAAGGATGGAACGAGGATCATGGTAAAGGCGGTTCATCTCCGTAGCCGTGAATTGGATGTCACCCGATTTCTTTCCTCGCCCCCGCTGAGAAGTAACACGATGAATCATTGCATTCGTACGTTGATCCACCTCTCTTTGGTGACCATGGGTATGAAACATCACTACAGCTGTCCTTGATCTCATAGAGATTCGCGCTCATGACATGGCCTTTATTGTGATGGAGGAGTGGTCATCTCAGCTTATTCCGGATGCTCCATGTTGCTTAAGACTGTTTTTGATGGCTGTCCGCTCCTGTATTGAGGTAAAATATCCTAGAATAATTTGTTGCAACTTAAGTTCACCGTTTACTTGCTATAGCACATCGCCTTCATGCACCTCCACGGAATTGCTCATCTCGACATTTCGCTGCGGAACCTTGTGACGGATTATCAAGGTCACTATGCGTGCATCGATTTTGAGTTGAGCAGACGCTATGGACCACTTGACCGACCTCGAATTCAAGGCGTACGAGGAACAGAACTCCCTCCGGAACTAGAACGAGGTGAATCAAGTGACCCGTTCAAAGTAGATGTCTGGGCACTAGGCGCAGTGATCATCAAAGCCTGCCAAGTACGTTAAGATCAGTCTATTTCATGACGCCTTGTAATATCCTAAAGCTCCTTCAAGTTGACAGGCTATATTCTTCCAGAGCTGATCATCATCACCAATTCGATGCTCCATGAGGAGCAGCGCCGCCGACCAGCCGCCATGGACGTTTTGAAATCATTTGACAAAATGATCACAAATATAGGAGACCAACAATGGCATGACTGTTCGAAGCGAACAGTGCACCAAGTTTAGATGGGTGTTATGAGTTATGACGTCGTGACTTTGGGCGCTTCCAGGCGAAAAAGACGCTAGTGTGAAAGATAACATTCATATGCAGGTTCGAGATGCACAGCCGGACGGAAAATGTTCATAAAAAGAAAGGATATGTATGAGTAAAACAATCAAGTTTATGGCGGATATTGTCCGTCCTGAGCAGCCTGCTGTATAATTGCCTGTCGCTGCTGCTGCTATGTTGATTCATTGAGTGACACCCCTCTGAGCATCCACAATGCCGTTCCTCACCATCAATGATTGAAGGCGCAACGCCTGCTCCATCTGCTCTGTGGAATACTGGGGGCTATGAAGGTTAGACATCTGAGGGTAAAATTGGGCTATATTGGCGGCTGGTCGAGCTGTGACTTGTTGCTGCATGTTTGGAGAAGCCTGGTGCCCTGGACGTTGTTGAGCAGATGACGGCCGAATGGGATTTGGCGTTGCAGATGAACGAGGAGGGGACAATTGTGGAACGGCAGGAGATGCCGAGGCTGCTCGAGAGGCATAAGGCGGGGACAGATGGGCGGCGTTCATCGCACCAGCAGCTAGGTTTGCGCTTGCAGCTGCAGCGAGCGCTCGCTGCTGAGCTTGAGCATGAAGCAATTGTTGTGAGGGAATACGGGTATTCGCAGCTCCCGGCATTTGAACCGGCAAACGCTGCTGCTGTGAGATGTTGACTTGGCTGCGAATTTGAGGGACTTGATGTTGCACGCCATTTGCAGACCTAGGAGTTCCGTTCGGCGGTTGCTGCTGCGTCTGCTAGAGCCATCGAGGTGGACATGAAGGCAATGTAACAAAGGCAAAGGAACTTACAAGGTTCTGTACACCCATTCGTTGAGCATGTTGCAAGGCCGCTTGTTGCCTCATCGCTTCTTCATGCTGCTTTCTTCGAGCCATTTCCTGGCCTTCCTTCTCGGCCTTCATTCGACTGAGCTCTGCAGGGCTCAATTTAGGCATCTTGTTGTATTGCCCATGCGTATCATGGATTGCAGTAGACTTCCGAGTATTTGCTATATAAGATATAGCAGAATTGGTTTCATGCATGGAATCATGATCGGATACAAGACTGACCATTATTTTTTTGGATATTTGATTCTTTTTTCTTGATCGCCTTTCGGATAGTATCGTACATGAGTGCATGTCTTCGACGTTTCTTCGCCTCGTTACTCGGCGCAGGCACGGATGCTGCGCTTGTAGCCACTGTTGTGACGCTCGCCAAACGCTTTCTCGTTGTCATTTGCGGTTGGGGACGGACTGGCGTGGCCATAGGCGGCCCCTCCGGCACAGCAGACCCTGCGTTAACCCGATCGCCCCCAAGCCAGCGAACGTAATAACGTTCCTTGCACTCCCAATCTAGCCGCTTCTCGGTCGATATGGCAGCTCTGGAAGAGTTGAACGAATCGGCAATGAGTCCCCAGTTCCTTGGATATTTCTCGACAAGACGCTTCAAAAGCAAATCGTCTTGTGTCGACCAGTACAAGTCTGCTACTCTTTTGGGTGCATCCTGAGGGGTTCCAGGTATTGGTGAATCGTCAGTCACTGAAGTGGAAATGGGTTTGCTCCCCTCGAATAAAGCTACATAAACCTAGATCAAAATTCCAGTACTCTCTAATAGAGAGAGAGAAAACATACAGCATGTGATACCCCATAAGATACTTGGCAGAGGAATTTCCACGTCGGGCACGACAGGCCCTTCATCGAAGTTGGTCCACTGATCATTCTTCCAATGTTTCGATGGCTGAAGCGGCCCTAGCAATGTCGGCTTGATCCTCATGTATTTGGTGACAGGGGTCAACTTGGAATAAGTTGTGTCCTCGGCTCTCTTATAAGGATCATCTCTGTCCCTCTTCTCACTTTTCTTCCTACCCTCGGCTGCTGGTCCGATATCCAAGAGGCCATAAGGTTGGAGGTCAGGGAATATTGCAGACAGATCGGCTGGCGGGGGCATCTCATCCATTGTAGAGTATTCCGAAAGCCCGGGTTGGTTCTTTCCGGGATGTAAATCGTCCATGTTAAGGAAAAGTGTGTGGTCATCTAGATAGGCAATCTGACTGCGGAAAGGCGCGTACACGCCGGACTTCAAGTGAGCTTTCGTGGATGAGACTGTGTGATGAATGGTAACGGGAGGAAGCGGAGGTTGCAAGCTACTCGGAAGGACTGGATTCTTCGAGGACGACTTGAGACCAGAGACATCGGAGCCTCCGGTTGTGTTCGCCTCTTTGTCTATGGCGGTGGACTGAGGTTGCTGAGAATCCACGATCATAGGCGTATCATCTCCATGCAAGACCGAAAAATCTTCAAATTCTTCCTGCTTTGGTTTGACCTGATCCGGTGGGTCTTGAGACGGTTCACCTCTGCTATGAGCACGACAGGCATTCTCAATGGCTTCATTGATCATAGCGGAAGTCTCTAACGCATCGACGACGTCTTGCTTGTCCTGGTCTTGTTCCTCATCGCTGTCGTCTGACGCATAGTCGACGGTAAGCATACCACCTTGCTCTGGTCGAGCATCATCGACCTGCATCTGCTCTCCGTCGGTAGCTTCGTTCTCTCCATCATCACCATCGTCGTCATAAATGTCGGTGGTAAGCAGAGGAGGTTTCTTCCACTCAACGATGATGCCCAGTTCCTTCCTCTCCTCTCTACTCCCAGCTCGATGCCACAAGTGAACAGACAACGACACCTCACACACGAGAGACATCTTCCACTTGCGTTCTTCGCGAAAGTCGACACGCATCCATTTCTGTGACTGCGTCAGTGCGATAGCCGCTGTAAGAATCGAACGTAACGTACCATCTCTTCTAAGAGATGATCCCAGTGAGTTTTTAATAGACCACCCACGCCACGCTGCTTCTTTGGCTGTCTGTAGCTCCATCTACCTTGGTCCTTCATTTGCTCTACCCGCTCGAGTGCTCTGAGATAACGCAACTCGGCAAAGATGACCTATGACGTATCAGCTTCGTAGCGTAGTTTGCTATGTCTGTTAAACTTACCCCCCACTCACGCGTGCTCAGGCACTTCGTCGCCCGATTCACTTTTTTCCAAATCGGATTTGCACGCATAAGAGCCCCCCATCGGTTGATGCCTATTGGCGCCCAATCATCCTTGCCCTCTCTTCGCCCATCTTTCTCAGACCCTTTGTCACCGCGTTCTCGATCCTTGTCTCTTCTCCTCTGTTGTTTACCTATTTTTCCCTTACGCTGGAATTCTATGGGAAGTGTCTTCAAAGGAGGGATTGTGTAATGACGGGTGAAGGGGAAATCATTGCGATACTGTATGGCCACCTGCACAGGCGAAGGTGGTTCCACATCTTGGTCCTTGGACGTGAAGTCGAAATCAGGTGGCGCAAGCATGGGGGATAGATGTGACATGACAGTGATCGCAATGGACTGCTCATGGATGGGCATATCAAGATGTGCGGGATAGAGAAATAGGGTAGCCTGAGAACCCTGGTTAGGAGAGGTGCGGAGGCGGGTTAAATTCGAGAACACCTCTTCAGGAGTCGATGACCTCTTGTATTGTACTTCCGTCGGTCGGTCGTTGTCAAAAAAGCCCTTCGCCTGACTAGTATCTGGGAAGTCATCCGTTGTAAAAGTTGACTGAGAGGGCTGTTGAGAATAAGATGGTGAAGGGGCCTTCTCTAGAACGTCAGGGTCATCAGATGCCAATGGGGAGGGGTAGACTTCTAATGAAGCCAAGTCTATAGCTTTGTCCATCGTCTCGAACCTGGGATCGATGTGCGCATTCTCAGATGGACGGACAGCCTGTGAATGTTCTTCAAGCGATGCTAATGGGTTGGATTGCTTGGCAAAGTTAGAGTCAGCAATTGGTGAGGAAGCGGGGTCTTCAGCTATATCCATAGGGGTGCTTGATGCTAGAGCAGGGTACTCGAGATCCTGCATATCATCGTCCTGGCATACGACGACTGGATCGTCGTGAGGCTCGCTCAAAATACGGGAAGACACAGGAGGTTCAGACATTGGCGAATCATGCTCTATAAACAAGGACTTTGTAACCTCTTGAGCTTGAATGCGCTGTGACTCTTCCTGAGGGGTATGTGTAAGAGGAGGCATGGACAAGGAAGAGACAAAATCATCTGTCATAGTTAAGATACTTCCGGTTTCAGGGCTAAGCATCATGTTAGCTAGCCCTTCCAATGAATCATAGCGGATAGGCTCACTGTTTCTCTAAGTTGAATCTCTCCAGAAAGTCAGAGACATGTGTGTCGTCGTCATCTGCAGCGACAAGAACATTTCCTATATCGTCTCGCCGGCGCAATAGATGATACATTTCTCGCAGTAGTGCATTTCGACGCTGAGAGATTTCCCTGTGCAGTAAAAATGAGTACCGATGCCTTCGTAAAGTGGGTGATGTTGCAGTACTCGAGCTTAGCAACGCGTTCCTCAACAAATAGATCCACTGGCGATGGAGAAACCCCTCGAGAGGTGCTTATCGAAGTCGGTGAGGCACCTTCAACCATGGATAGGTTTCTTCGACACTTTTAATGCGATTAATGGTATCAGAACACCCTGCGAGCTTCAATGAACGATGCAGAACGTGAGGGGTGGTCGCCGGAGTGTGGCACGAAGACCGATTACCGAATGCGGACACCCGTTGTGGCCTGTTGTGGCTGACTTGTGAGATCTCGGTCCTCGGATACTCCTCGAGCTTCCGCCCAGAACTGCAACTCGCGGAGACTTTCCGCATGTCATCTCCCCTTCACGAACAAGACGGCGTCGAGGCCCTCCAGAAGATCATGGATCCCATGCAGATTGATGACCAGGAGGAAGGTACCCACCCCGAGCACCCCCCGTCTGACGATAGCTCTGAAGAGCCCGAAGAGGATGCCGAGGAAGAACGGAGAATCCGAGAAGGGTTCATCGTAGACGAGGAGGAGGAGGAAGAAGAAGACAACAGCGAGGAAGAGCGTCGTCGGAGGCGCAAGAGGCGCAAAAGACGTCACCGACGAGGTGGGTTATGTCCTGGGCATACTCTAGTTTCTTCGCTCAAGGGTGATATTCTTATAAAGAGAGCGACGAAGAGGAAGGGTTAGAAGAAGACGATCTCGAGCTTCTTGAAGAAAACACTGGAGAGACATTTGCTCGCAACAAGAACAAATTAACTCGTTTGCGAAGGGGTAGAGACTCGCCACCCGTAGCATCGTCCTCCAAACGGAAAGCTGTTGTCGAATCATCGGATGATGACCTCGACGGGGATGACCTGGAGATGCCTCAGGTTCAAGATATTCAGCGTATCTGGGACGACGCACACCAAACTGGAGGTCGCGACGAGGAAGAGGATCTGGACGATTTCATTGACTATGATGACGAGGAGGAGGGCGTCGGTGGTATGGATGAGGAGGAACGAGAGGAACGAAGACGAGAGCGCCGAAGGCTTGAAAAGGAACGTAGGAAAGCTCTCGGCTCTCGTCCTGAACTTACAGGCATTGACGCGAAGTAAGTACATCCTTCGTTGACATAGTGGTATACCTCAACACTCTTTTTCCAGCGCGTGGGATGAGATCCACGAAGTTTTCGGCGATGGTCATGATTACGATTGGGCATTGGTTGACGAGGATGAAGACTATCGCGAAGAGCAACCGAAGCCTGAAATGAACTATCAGGACGTATGTTCACTTTATTCAAAACCCACGCTTTGAACGTTCCTCACTCCTCACCCTTAGGTTTTCGAACCTTCTGAAATTCGTGCCCGTCTTCTAACCGAAGATGATGATCTCATTCGCGCTCAGGACATACCAGAGCGAATGCAACTCGCGACGTCGTCATTATCCCAATCATCAACACTGTCGATGCATAAGCCATTGACAGAAGATGATTTAGACGAAGCAGCGACTTGGGTTGTCACCCGCCTCTCTCGCAAAGAACGAGACTGGTTCCGGTCTGATGGTCAACACTTCGAACTTTTAGCGCACCTTGTCACCGCTATCACGTTCGCTCTCCGGTACCTCTTCATCCAAGAATTCGAGGTGCCCTACATCTGGGCTCATAAACGTGACTACATCACGCATTTCGACGAAAGCGACATCCGCACACGTGTCGATTTACTCAGTCTCGATGATCTTTGGCGCGTCTATGCTCTTGGACAAAAATATCGTTCTCTGCTTGAACGCAAGAAATCCTTGGAGTCGCTCTATGCTCGGCTGGGCGTCGCTGACGAATATTTCGAGAACGAGGTACGGCGGAGCATCGACAACGTAGAAATCATCAACGATACAACCGAGTGGATGGGGATGAAGTACAAGGATCACAAGAAAGACAGCGCTTTCGAGTTGCATTTTCATGACGATGAAGAACACGTTGACACCAAAAAGCGGAAAATGCCTAGTCGGATATCCATGTACGAGGTCGCCAAGAAGAGTGTCGTGTATAAATTGTCACAGGTAGGTCGGCATTGACGATACCGACACTCTGTTGACGCCGTCATGTAACACTAGGGTTTCGGTATCAAGCCTCATGAAATCGTCATGAACTTCATCTCATCTGAAACGGCACATTTTGTCGAGGATCAAGATCTAAATCCAGAAGCTTATGCCGAACAGTTTGTCGACCCTGATCCCACAAAGGCTCAGCCAGCCTCGGAGGTGCTCCAACGTGCTCGAATGATTATTGCCACGGAACTGGGCAAGGACCCTCTTCTGCGACAAGAAATCCGGAAGAAATTCAAGACTGACGCCAAAGTATCAGTGCTTCCTACCGATCGAGGGATCAACAAGATTGACGAGCATCATCCGTATTTTGTGAGTTGCAGAACTAGTCATCGAATGTTACATGTTCTTATTCTTTCCCTATCCTAGGCTTTTAAGTATCTATATCAGAAATCTGTCACGGACATGCTTGAATCCTCCCAGTGGCTGCACATCCTTGCGGCTGAAGCAGAACATCTCGTGACCGTTAATGTCTTCCTTCCTGACGATTCCAAAGCTTCATTCGCTCGGCGACTTGAGGAAGCGTTTGCTTCGGATAGCTATAGTGACACCGCGAAGGCTTGGAATGCTGAACGTATGCGAGTCGTATCGGAGACGCTGGATCATCATCTGATTCCTGCCGGCGCCAAATGGACACGGGAATGGCTCAGGGAAGAGGTTGAGGATATCATGGCTTGGAGATGTGGAGAGACGTTACGTGAGGTAAGTGTGTATTTTCATCATGATGGGTAATTTATATACCAAATTTCCTCAGCGTATCGACCTAGCGCCATTCAAGACAGAAGACTTAGAACCTGGTGAGACCCCATCGGTCCTAGCGATGTCATGGGGCAAAGGGGATCCACACAAAGATGCCATTACACTCGTCTTTCTTGACGAGGCTGGTCGTCTACGTGAACAGACCAAGGTCGACAATCTTAGTGATACCGAATCTCGAGATGAGTTCTTTGATCTGCTCAGACGCCGCCGACCAGACGTGATTGCTATCAGCGGATTCTCCATGGCCACAACAAAGTTGTCTCTACGCGTCAAGGAGCTAATTTATCCACAGGCAGGCGACGGCATGAACGTTGATAGCAACGAGACAGGCGGTGAATTCTCCAAGATATCTGTCACTTACGTCCTTGACGACATTGCTCGCCTCTATCAACACAGCAAGCGTGCTGCAGAGGAATTCACTTCTCTCACATCTATCGCAAAGTACTGTGTGGGTCTAGCGCGTTATATTCAGAGTCCCCTCAATGAGTACGCCGCACTCGGATCCGACATAACGACCGTGTCGTTTGAGGAAGATCATCAACAGCTCATCCCGAAGGAGAAGCTGTTGTCGTCATTCGAGCGTGTTCTCGTTGACATCACGAACAAGGTTGGGGTTGATGTCAACCGTGCTGTTACAGACTCGTACTATCAGCACCTCTTGCCATTCATTTGTGGTCTGGGGCCTCGAAAAGCTCAAGTACTGGTCAAGAAAATCGCTGCTATGGTATGTACTCAACTGAAAGCACGTTTTCACTCTCTGATATGCAGTACAGGGTGGCAACCTCACGAGCCGTGACCAATTTATCCGTGCTGGTCTCCTTACCACGAAGATTTTCTTGAACGCAGCCGGTTTCCTTCGCATCTCACAGGAAACCGTTGGTAAGGCGGTCAAGAATCGTCATGAGGACTTGGACATGCAAGACCCCCTCGACAGTACCCGTATCCACCCCGAGGATTATGACTTGGCGCGGAAAATGGCTACAGATGCTCTTGAGCTTGACGAGGAAGACGTACATGGCGAGCATCCATCACACGTTGTGGCTCTTATCATCGAGGATGCGGATAACGTCAAGAAGCTTGACGAGTTGAACTTGGATGATTTCGCGTCCAGTCTCATGGAGTCTGGAGGCGAGAGGAAGCGTCACACGCTGAATGTCATTCGCGCCGAGCTAATCAAACCGTTCGCGGAAGTGAGACAACCATTACGCATGCCTACGGAATGGGAAGTGTTGACAACACTGTCGGGAGAGACGTTGCGGACGTTGCGGGTCGGACTCATCGTCTCTGTCCAGGTCATGCGAGTCAAGGATAACTTCGCCGCAGTCCGACTTGACTCCGGTATTGAAGGTGTCATCAATTCCCAATACGCAGCCGACCAGCAGCCAGAAAACCTGAACACTGTTCTGCAGAAGCGACAAACAGTCCCCGGAGTGATCATCGACGTCAAGCTCGATCTGCCACATGACCACTTTCTTGTAGAGCTATCGTCTCGACCTACGGACGTGCAGGCGGGGGACAGCCAATTCCGGCGTGTCAAACATGACCAGGCATGGAATCACTCACAGCATGAGCGGGATAAGGAACTGCAAGCACGAAAGAAACGTGCGGAAGTCAACAAGACGCGCCGGGTCATCAAGCACCCCAACTTCCACAACTTCAATTCGTCACAGGCGGAGGCATACCTCGACACACAACAGAGGGGTGACGTTGTTATTCGGCCATCATCCAAGGGCAACAACCACCTTGCGGTCACGTGGAAAGTGGACGACAAACTGTACCAACACATAGGTGCGCCTCATTGTCAGGCCCGCCGCAGCGCCCACGATGCCTTCTGACATTTAATCTATATAGATGTCGTCGAGCCGAATGCAGACCCGACTGGCCAGAGCATCGGCAGCCAGCTTATCATTGACGGCAAATACGAGTTCTCGGATTTGGACGAGTTGATCGTCAACCATGTCCAGGCCATGGCGCGACGTGTGGAGGAATTGATGGCCTTCGAGAAGTTCAAGCCTGGCTCGGAAGACGAGCTGCGTGAGTCCCGAATCGTTATCTATCGACCGCTATCTGAATGTGAGCCTTTTGCGCCTCGCATATTTTTAGATCTTTTCCTTAAGAACTTTGTCGCCGCCAATCCGTCGAAGAGCGCATATGGCTTCGGTCTGAACCGGAAGAAGCCCGGTCATTTCAGCCTGTGCTTCCTCACGAACAAGAACTCGACCATTCACACATGGGTTGGTGTATATCTCGTCTAGTTCAGTGGACATTTTGCTGAGTCGTTTGAACAGCCTGTTCGCGTCGCACCAGAGGCATACTACCTGTTTGACACGGCGGCCACAGGCGTTCCGGAGCTATGCAACGCGTTCAAAGTGCGACAGATGCACGAGTCACAGAGCCTAGGCGGACCCGGCGGAGGTCGCACACCCTACGGCGGGCGTACTCCAGGTCGCACACCGGCAGTATCGGGGATGGCAACGCCAGGCCACATGTCGATGCGTCATGTCGGACGGACGCCCAACCCTTACGGTGGACAGACAGTGAACCCCGCCGCAGCGGGGGCTGCGACACCCGCCGTATATAACGGAGTATCCGGATTTGGAATGCCGACGCCGACGCCGTTCGGTTACCAGACACCCAGCGGATTTGGACAGAAGACGCCAGCGTCTGGGGCGTTCGGGCAGCCGCCAGGCGGGATGAACCCACAGAGGGCGGCGATGATTCAAAATTCATCAACCTGGGGAGCGCCTCCTGCAGGCGGCGGATGGTGATGATTCGTTTTCCGGATGTAGATGATGTTCTCGCGAGATTGCACATGTATTTTAATTTTTCATTGCTATCGAACGATACTGTACTTCCGAGCTGTTGACTTGGTCGGCAATCTTTTATTTTGCTCGTCTCTTGTCATTGGTCCAACCTTCCTGTGTCTGGTTGGGCCTGTCGGTTGGTACGAGACTTCGAGAACCTGCCGGCCTGGGCAAGACGGAGCTCGGTGTCTGTGGCTTCGCAATGGGCGGAATCCAAGGAGGAATATGGACAACTGTGGCAGATGGGGCGAAATGACTGTGTGGATGGGAGCATCTCCGACAGGATCTATGACAAGAGTCGAGACACTGCAGGACACTGCTGATGATCTTAAGAATCTTTCGAGCGCCATGAATACCGAATCGCCGACGTGTTCCAGCGTGTGTCGATGACGTCGTCATCCTAGGCCCCACGCCACTCCTCGTCCATAACCTACGCCTCCCAGCAGTGAACATGGTCAACGAAATTGAGATGCACGAACTCTCTTCCTCCAAACGGCCCATGGACGTCACCGACATGAACGATGACGCTGACGCTGACGACGACGACGTCGTCAAGGACGCGACGCTGGCATCCTGGAGCTGGGCAGCGGCTTCACTGTGTGTGCCTTTTCGCGAACCTTGTGGGGTTCTACGATGTGTGTGTGCACTGACGTCTTCCATCTCCACCAGGCTGGGCGCCTGGTCCTCTGCGCTCATCTTCTTCCCGCGGGCCTTGCTCTTCGCCGCAGAAGAGGGCCAGACGCTGACCCCGCTCGAGGGCTTCCTCGCGCTTCACTTTGGCATCCTTCTCGCAGCCGTGTCCCTCGCCCTCATTCTCAACGTAAGTCACCCCCCTCCTGAACCCTATCGCCTTCCTTCCCTCGTCACCGCACTCAAACATCCTCGGAACCAGATTCCGTCTGCCCAGCCCATTCCCCAGCGGCTTCAGCACACGCCTCCCTCCCACCCGCTCCTCGTCCCTCTCACTTCCGTAGCTCTCCTCAGTGCCTTTCTCTCGTACAACACCCGCACCGCGGGATCCCTCCCCTTCCTCTTCTCCCTCTGCACAGGCACCGTCGGCATATGGGGCCTTTGGGCCGTGAGCACTTCCTTCCGCTTCCCGTGCTCCACACGCGCGCCTCGCTCACCCTCCTGACTCGTTTCTGACCTGCGGTCGCATGCGCGACACCCGTGATCCCATGGGACCAGGTCATCTTCGCAGGTCCAACGCGTGTTTCGCACAAGACGGGCGCCGACAAGCACACGAGCGCGTTCATCTTTGGGAACAAGGCTGCTGCATCGGTGCAGAAGCGATACTTTCAAAGAAAGAACGCCAGGGGGCCACAGAAATGAATGAATCGCCGGTGCAGCTGACGTGCACACGTCGCTCCCCGGCGAAAACAGTACACAGCGTCGTGTGCCCATTCCCTCCGGTGTCTGTCTGTATTCATAGAGCGTGCGCGAGGGGCCAGAACGCGATTTGGCCACCGACACCTAAACTTACCGACTGTGTGATCCCATATACGAAAATATATTTATGCTCTGTCCCTTGGTCTGAGCAATCAGCGATGATCTCGCAGAGGCTTGTAACCCAATTCTGTGTTTGTAGTGTGGGAGAATACATGCGTAGAGATACACCGTCCATGCAAGAGAAGCACCGAGACTGTATGAGAGTGCGTCATGGGGCCTAGCGCCCCCCACCACCGCCACCTCCACCCATGCCCATCATCTTGAACATGTCTGCCATACCGGGCATGCCACCGCCTAGACCGCCCAGCGCGCCGAGACCGCCCATGCCCGAGCCCATCTGGGACATCATGCGCTGCATTTCCTCCATGTCCATCTGGTCTCCGCCCTGGCTCTGCATGAGGGTCTTCATCATCTCCTGGAGGCCGCCGCCGCTGCGCATCTGGCGCTGCATCTGCTGGACCATCCCCGGGGGCATCGCGCGCTGACGCAAGCCAGGCCGGGCAGACGGATCCAGGGCGAGAAGTGGGTGTCAGCGATTGCGGCGTCGAACGAGAAGACGGAGAGAGGGGATCGATGACGCACCTGCATCGCCTGGATCTGCGCCGGCGTCGGCATCCCCCCGGCGCCCCGCCCGCGCCCGCCCGCTGCCGACTGCATCTTCTGCATCGCCTGCATCCAGCCGTTCTTTCCGCCGGCCTGCTTCGCCATGTTTGCCATCATGCGGTACTGGCACAGCAGCTCTTCCACCTCGCGCACGGACGTCCCGCTCCCCCGCGCAACCCGTGTCACGCGCCACGTGAGCCCAACGGGCTTGCCGTCCTTCCCGACCTCCATGAACAGCGTGCCGTCCGAGTCGAGCTCGGCAGAAGTCATGCTGTCCGTGATGTAGATCATACGCTTCATCCGCGACGCTCCTTCTTCGTCCGAACCCTGCAGCATTTCCTGGGGCAAGCCCGGAATCATCGAGGCTATCTTTGACATCGGACCGCTGGAGGAGGGGTGTCAACGTTCCTGCACATGCGAGGGTGCCTGGACGCGGTGTGAGGAGAAGGGACAGGCGCGACGCACAGGTTCATCACGTTCTGGATTTGCTCGCGCCAGTCTCGAATGCTCAGTTTGCCTTCCTCCAGCTTCTTTGCCATCTCCTTCTGCCGATCTGGGTTCTGCGTCGCAAGGTCTTGCATGTGTTCCATCAGACCCTGAACATCGCCCAGACCGAGAAGCTTCGAGATGAAGGGTTGTGGAGAGAATCGGTCCAGGTCGGTGAGATGCTCGCCAGTGCCCAGGAAGATGATGGGCGTGCGAGTGGCTGCGACACTGAAACAGAGTCACTCCTTTGCACCTATCCAACTTTGAAAAAGAACCTACGCCGAGATGGCGCCACCGCCCTTTGCGTGGCCGTCCATCTTTGTCACGATGATGGCTCCGAAATCCGCACTATCCTTGAACGCCCGACTTTGCGCCTCGGCCGCCTGGCCTGAGACCCATTCAGTCCCCTGTCCGACCAGCACGCGACGCCCCATATGTATCCAGAAGTAAAAGGAAGCACGCACCGATGCTCGCGTCGAGAATCAGCACCGTCATGTCCGGCTTGACGGCGTTCCCGATCTGAACCATCTCCTCGAAGAGCTCGCCCTCCTGCTTGTGTCGGCCGGACGTATCAACGATGATCACCTCGAATTTCTCCTTCTTGAACTTGGCGACGCCCTGTGCGGCGATCGCGACGGGATCGGTTTCGGTGTAGGAGCCAAAGTAGGCGACCTTGGCCTTCGTCGCGGACTGTCGCGTCTGGTCGAACGCGCCCGCGCGGAACGTGTCCGCGCAGACGATGCATGATTTGAAGCCGCGCTTCTGGTAATGTACGGCGAGCTTCGTGCATGTCGTTGTTTTACCGTTGCCCTGTGTCAGCCGGAGAATCAGTGGGTAGCGCGAGAGAATGAGGAGGCGCGAGGACATGCCTGGAGGCCGACGGCCATGATAACATTGGGGTGGCCCTTCTTCGGCTTGTATGGCTCGACGCCGGGATCTACGAGGTGTACGAGCTCATCGAAGACGGCCTAGAGTCCAGACCTGAGCACGGCGGGCCAGTTGAGAGGACGATGCAGCCCGTACCTTCTGTACCACATTTTTCCTGTTGGTTTCCTTTACTTTTTCGCCACTGCTCTCGAGCGACGCCTTGACCTTGACCTTGACCTTTGATCGCAGTTGTGCGACGAGCTTGACGTTTACGTCTGTCTCGAGCAATGCATTGCACACCTCCTTGAGGAGCGCATCGAGGGCCTGGGGAAGAGAGAGCAATGAGCAACCAGCTCCAGCAGGACAGCGGCCGACGGACCTTTTCGTCGACGACGGGAGCCCTGTTGAAAGACGAGAGAGCCGCGTTGAGTTTCCGGCCCAAGTCTGCGAGAACCATCGCAAGCCTACCGTGGGAATACCAGAGCCCTGCTCGACGCGCGTGCCTTAAGCCACCACTTGCCCCGATTAGGCATACTGCCTTCCTATTTCGATCACCCGACTCACACCATGCCGAACAGCGAGAGCGAGGACGACGTTCAGGACCTCGACGACGCAGACTTCGACGACGTCTTTGCAGAGGATGGCGAGGACGAGCTGCTTGTCTCCATTGAAAATGCCGCCGACGATGTCACCGAGGGCGACCCCGTGCGTCTCGCGTGTTCCGCTTCCTCGCGCTCGGCGCGCTCACAAATATATTGCTCAAGGAGTCGGACGAGGACGAGTCGGACGATGGCGACGACTCTGAAGAGGAGGACGAGGAGCCTCCCCCCCACCATCATCCACGCCCGCCTCTCCCTCCGCTGGTAGACGCCCCAGCGCCCCCGCTCATACCCGCCAAACGACGCTCGCCCTCGCCCCCACTGGGCTCATCGTCCAGATTCGCTAAATGTATGTACGTCTCCCTGCAAGCTAACTTATACCGACCTCCGTCTGGTCTCTCACCAGCACCGACACCGCCGTCACGCCGACGCGCGCTGTCCCCCGCCGAAGCCCGCCGCAACGCGCTTTGGCCCGCCTTCCTCTTCCCGCGCTCCTACACCGTCGAAGCGATCTGCGCACTCCCTCACCCTGTGCCAACGCACTCCCTCGCCGCTTCCACGTGCATGCTGCACCTTCTCACGGGCTCTGAGGACGGCTATGTGCGCGACTACGACATCTTCAGCGCCGTGAACGGCAAAGTCTTCCTTACCGCGCCGCAGCGCCACCACGCGGGCGTCGTCGAGGGAATCATGAAGTCCGGACAGCTGCGCTCGTGGTGGGAGAACCCCGTCAGCCTGGGCGAGGCGCACGGCGCGGATGTCGAGCTCTCGCCCGTGCACAGTCTCGCGCTGCAAGCTGACGCGCTGTGGTGTCTCGCTGGGTCCAACGTAGGCAGGATTTTTCCCCCTCTTTTTTCCTTCTCGCGTCAATCCATGCGGCGCTGATCCGTCTGTCTATTTGCTTTGACCTCGGTCCCTGTAGACGGGTAGTATCAATTTGTTCACGGTCCGTCACGAGCCTGGTCGTCTGTTCAAGAACATGCCAGGCCACCGAGGTCCCGTTTCTGCCCTTGCGCTGCAGCACGACGAGATGGGGTTCTTCTCGGCAGGCTGGGATGGGGACGCCCTAGTACGTATATTTCGTCTTCTCAGCTTCCGTCCTCCCCTCTTTCCTGTCCCATGTCTTGATCTAATCGAATCAAATTACTACAAACAGCAATGGGATCTCAACACAGGAGGAATCGTCCGCCGTTTCACGGCCCACGGTGCCCAGCTTGCCGCACTCGCCGTTCGCCCCCTCGCCTCGGACTACCCAAGCGCGCCCCCACCCTCATCTGCACATGCAGACCAGATGACATATCACGTCAACCTCACCACGCGGCCACAGGACGCGAGCACAGGGGGCGAGCACCCCCAGCCCCTAACGAAGGACGCAACCGATGACACCCTCGTGACAGCCTCGACCTCCACACTGCACGGCACGTTCTCCTCCCTCCCGGACGCGCCGCATCATTCCGGACCACCCCCCTCCGCAGACCCTGCGGCCGTGCCACAAACGCAACCTCAGACGGACGCGGACGCGGACGAGAAATCCGACGCGTCCTTCGACCCGCTCTTTGACGACGAGCCCGACGCCGACGGAGAAGTCGACACCTCGCCCCCTTCCCCCACCGCGCCATCCGCGCCTCCGGTGTCAGCCCCACCACAGGGGCCTGCACTACAACCTCCGACACCGGGGCCGGGGCCCTCGCCCTTTGGGAGCGCCAGCACGCCTGCGGCAGCCGCGTCCGTCGCCAAGCCGGCGATGGCTGCGGTGCCCAAAAACGCGCCGCCCCTGCTCGATCGGACGTCGTTTGCGGCATACTCGCCTGAAGTGCTGATGACGGCAGCGATGGACGGACAGGTCGTACTGTGGGACTGCCGCGTCGCGACGCCGAGCCCTGGGCGTGGCGTCGGGCGGCTGTGGATGAGCGAAAAGACGCCGCCGTGGTGCTTGTCGGTGCGTGTGCCCCCTTTCCGCGCCGTCTGTCTGCGTGACGTGCCGGGTGTACTGACTGATGACTCGGTATATCACTTTTCTCCTATTTTTATATTGATTCCCGTCATGTGCCTCGGGTTGGGGGGGCGTGCGCAGGCGTGCTGGTCCATGAATGGCGCGCAAATTTACGCGGGGAGACGGAACGGGACGATCGACGTGTGGGACGTGCGGCAGCTGGGGCGCTCCGGGCCCAGCGAGGTACCGCGGCTGCTGAAGACGCTGAGAAACCCGGTGAGTTCCGGGGTGGTGAGCTGCGTGGCGGCGTTCCCGGACGGGCGACACATTGCCTGGTGAGTGGGATCTTTTCGAAGTGAACCGTATCATATTGTGGAGAGGGTGGGTCGCGGACGGGGGACCGAAGGGGCGGTGGACTATACCAAGCGCGGCTGAGCTAAGCGGTGGGGAAAGGAAGGTTCAGAACGGAGGTTGTGCGGGGTCGGTCGGCTGGCGGGGAAAGTGGGTTTGTTTGCCCTGGCGGACGGGAATATTACGTGTGGGGCTGAGCTTGTTTGGCTCGTGACGAGAAGACGCCAGGACGGAGACTGCTGACGTGGGTTCTGATGGGGATGCGTTTTTGGCAGCGCGTCGAACGACAATATCCGACTGTGGAACGCGGCGGAGGCTGGGGAGGGAGAGGCCAAGGGACGTGTGCAGTTCAAGATCATCCCTGGGCACCACGGAGGGATCGTGTCGCAGATGGGTGAGTGGGCTGTGTGTGTGTGTGCAAGTGACGGTGGGGGACGCTGACGCGGAGCTGTGTTTGGCAGTTGTGGACCGTGGGGGACGGTTTCTTGTGAGCGCGAGTGGGAACCGAGGGTGGCACGGGGACGCGACGCGGACGGTGTTTGTGCATGACATCAAGGCGGTGGTGTGACAGGAGGACGGGACGTGGCTGACGTGGTGTACTAGAGTTTGATGGGTCTCGCCCATGTGTCATCCACAGAGTTCTCACATTTCAAATGGAATATCTACGATCGGACCCGGGGACAGGGTCGCTGTCCACTTGTCGGTATCTCTACCGCCCTATAAGAATAACCAGTGCACAATGCAACGTCCCACACTCGCTCGCCTCCTTCCCAGCACACAGCAGCGATGTGTGCCCGCTGCGCCCCCTCTGACGTCCTCTTCGTCGACCCGGCAGACCACGACCAGTTCTTCCGCGACGTGCACGGCCGCCGCTGCAACAGCCTCAACGACCGGTACCTCTTTCCCGCAGATGAGGAGGAACTTAAGGTCTGTGAATTTGCTCCCGCACCGGCCCTGGCGGACCCCACGCGCTGACTCGTTGGATCGCCTTTGCGCCCTCCCTCCCCTCCCCTTCCCTTCGACCCCGAAGCGCTTCGAGCTCTCCCATCGGATGCTGCAATTTGTACTCGAGGGGAAGAACTACGTCGGGCCCGTCGAGCGGGTGCTGTCGCCTGCGGGGCGCGGGGACGATAGCGAGGAGCTGCAGGTGCTAGACCTGGGAACCGGGGGCGGTCTCTGGTGCGTCCGTCGTCGACCGGGCCACACGCCTGCCTGAGAGCGGTCCTGACTCGGCATCCCGTGTTTCCCATCCTAACGGATCCAGGGCCATCGACATGGCGGACGAGTTCCCGCATGTCCAAGTCACGGGCGTGGACCTTGCCCCGATGCAGCCCCGGTGCGTCCCCCGCGTGATCGTCCGTCGGTGCTGCAGACTGTGCGCTTACCGCATCCGCATCCGCATCCGCCAGCCTCGTCCCGCCCAACTGCACGTCAGTCCTCCCCCGCAGTGCCCCGCTCCGCGTTCCCGCACTGACCCCGTGCTTCCCCCCTAGGTTCGAGCTCTGTGACCTCGACCGCTACTGCCTCCCCTATCCCTCCAACTCCTATGACGTCGTCCACGCCCGCTACATGCACACCGGCGTACGTCCCTCCCGCCCCCGGGTCACGCGCCCCGTCCACTGACCACCCCAAACACAGATCCACAACTACCCCCTCTTCCTCCACGAGCTCACCCGCATCCTCCGCCCCGGCGGCGTCCTCATCCTCATCGAGTCAGACCTCCGCCCCATCGCCGACGGCAAACCCGCCCTCTCCCCCGCAAAATCGGGCATCCCCGGCTGGTGCGCCCTCGCCGACGCTTTCCGCCGCGCACTCGCCCGCCGCGGCGTCGACGCCACAGTCCCGGAGCGCATGGCCCATATGCTCTCCGACCTCTTTGGCGCCCACTACGACGTCGTCCGCCAGCAACAGGCGGACATCCCCATCGGCTTCTGGCCAAAAGGTGCGTCCCGACGTCCCTGTGTCCACACACACATACCCCCTCGCGCGCTCAATCCCCGCGCCTTCCCTTGCTTCCGCGCTCACCGCCCTCTCCTCCGCGCTCAGATCCGACCCTCCTTGCCGTCGGCCAGCTCGCGTGGATGAACTGGGACCTCCTCCTCCTCGCCACGCGCCCGCTCCTCCTCTCCTCAGGCATCCCCGAGTGGCAGGTCAAGTCCCTCATCGAGGAGGCCCAGCGCGACCTCTACCACCCGCTCGTCCACATCGCCAGCCGCCTCTACGTCGTGCACGCGATCAAGCGCGCCTGAATGACGCGAACAAAAAAAAATATCGCGGCATCGCCGTGTCAGTCTCATTGTACCCTTACCCGCTTGTCTCTCTTTCTCGTCATCGTGTATCACCACCATAATCCGCATCATACTCGCTTCGCTTTTTCTGCTTGCTTCATTTCGTTCTGCCATTTTGTTGTGCTTAGCTATGCCTTGTTGTTACTGTACCACCACCACCACCATCGCCACCATCACCATCACCTGGAATCATTCGCTGTTCGCTTTTGGATCCTCCCCAGCATCTGTACCTGTCCATGTGCCCTCTTTCCCATTCATTCGCCCTTCGCACGCATGCCTCCTTATATACCCGCAACAATCATCATGCACCATCATCATCAAATGACATTCGTACACACGTACACACGCCTGAACACACCATATCGTAAAGCAGTTGCATCATCTCTATTCCTTCAAAGTACACAAAGGAACGACCACCACTAGACCCTTTGGAGTAAACGATTCAGAAAAACAGGTGTCACGCCGAGGCGGCGGTCGCGGGATGACCAACTAAGAGAGAGAAGACGAAGCGAATGGAGATGAAGACGATGAGAAGTTCGGGAAGGAAAAAGAGAAATGAATCCCCTTCCTCCGAAAACCTCTCAGCGTCTTCAAGCGTTGTTGGCTGCGGCCTCGTCTTTGGCCGCAAACTCGTGCAGCACCGCGAGTGCCTCGTTCACCTTCGCCGCCATAGCATCGGGGGTCTTGAGGAGTTTGATGAGGTCCTCATTGTCCATCTCGAGCAGCATGCCCGTGATCTTACCAGCAAGCTCCGGCTGCGTGCTGGAGGGCGTGCAGGGCGCAATGTCAGCTGTGAACAGAAGCCGCGTTGCAAACCCTTCACGTACGGGGATATATTCATGTAAATGATTTCACCCAGCAGCTGCTTCTGCTCCATGGGCGAGGCTGCAGACAACACGGCGGCATTCAACCCCGAGACATCTGCTGCCGGCGCAGGCGCCGACGAAGCCTGACCAGCGGCAGGGCCGGCGCGAGCGGGAGGAGCTCCCTTGTAAGGCTGTGGGCGGCCACCAGGGGCAGGCGCGCCTATGGCGGGACCACGGGGCGGCACAGCACCCTGAGGGCCAGGGCGAGGTACCCCATTGACAGGGGGCACCCCGTTAGAGCGCGGTCCGACGCCCGACTGACCCGAGGGAGGTCCATCCCTAGGCATCGGAGGGCGGGGCGCACCGCGAGGATAACCCGGCATACCACCGTAGCCTTGAGGAGGCGCTTGGCCATACGGGGAGGGGAGCGGCATACCTGGAACCTGTTAGTTGGAAACACAGCGAGGACGAGGAAATATGTCGGGCTGACCATAACCCATCATTCCTCGACCGCCTTGTGGGGGGTAACCCGGACCAGGTGGGTAGTACATCGGCGCATTGATGTAACCCCCTGGCAGACCGGCGGCGGCGGCTTGCTGCATCCGAATCTGATTGCGCTGAGCAATCTGGCTCTCCAGCTGCTGCCGTCGGACCTCGCGCCTCTGCGCAAGGGATACGTAGAGGGGTTTGGACCCGATCATCTTGTTGTTCATCTCCGCGACTGCCTTGGTCGCTTCGTCCGGAGAAGAAAAGCAGACGAAACCGAAACCCTTGGACGAGCCCTTTTCGTCGCGCATGACCTTGCAGCTAGTGATATTTCCGAAAGGCTCGAATTCCCCGCGGAGCTTCTCGTCATCAACATCGTCCTCGAGATTCTTGATGTAGAGGTTAACGCCCTGGTACTTGCTGAGCTTCTCCATCTTTGCCTGCTCGTAGGACTTGCGAAGCTCTTCTTCGCGCTCAGCCTTTTTCTGAGCACGCGTGACGAAGAGCTTGCGACCGTGGTGCTCAGAGTCGTGAAGGGCGTCGACAGCCTTCTGGGCTTGCTCGTGCGACTCGAAGTTGACGAAACCGAAGCCCTTGCTCTTGCCCTCATCGTCGACCTGCACGATGGAGGAAGTGACAGGGCCAAATTGGGAGAACAGCTCAGTAAATTCGTCCTGCGTAACCTCGGGGTCAAGATTCTTGACGTAGAGGTTAGTGAACTGGGAGCGCATCTCCTCGATCTTGGATTGCCGCTCCTACAGACTATCGTGAGCAAACAAAGCGCTGCAATATAGTTAAGACGCACCTTGCGAGAGATGTGGTAGCCGACGTAAACCTTCCTATCGTTGAGCAGCATGCCATTCACGGCCTTGATGGCGGTCTCGGCGGCTTCGGCAGTCTCGTAGTGGACATAGCCATAGCCACGAGACCGACCCTGCTCATCGGTAGCGACCTTGCAAGATAAGACATTGCCGAATGCGGCAAACGTATCATGGAGGGCCTAAATTTTTATGAGATTAAATCCACGAGTAAAGCCTGCCACCCAAGGACGTACCTTGTTGTCGATAGCCTCATCGAGGTTCTTGATGAAAACATTACCTTGACCCGTCTTGCGCAGGGCAGGGTCACGCTGAGACCACATGATACGGCTACGAAAATATGAATACAGTCCTCAAAGCAATCAAACTGAGACTCACCAGGCGCGACCCTTGATCAAAGAGTAGTTCAACTGCTCCAGCGCACGTTCGCCTGTATTGTACGTCAGAAGATGACTATCTACGCCAACGGAGAATCTACCCACCATCGGCGACGTTCAGGTAGTTGACGTACGCATAGCCGAGGGAGCGACGGGTGACTGCATCACGGCAGACACGGATGCTGTGGCAAAAATGAGCTTACCTTCCTATATGCTGACTGCCTAGTTGATACGACGTACCTAGCGACGGGGCCAATCATGTTGAAGATCTCAAACAACATGGCCTCAGTGACAGTGGGATCGAGTTCACCGACGTAGAGGGACGCCGAAGGAGTGGAAGCCACGGAAGGCTGTTGGGGAGGGGGGTTGTACGCGGGAGCCTGGGCGGCAGGAGCCTCGACGGCAACCTGGGGAACACCCTCGGCGACGGCAGGAGAAGCGGACATTTTATGTTTTATTGGAGGGTTGGTGGGGTCGTTACTGCTTTATGGACTTTTCTGCGACTGCAGGGTACAATGCCACAGCGGGAACGGGCGTGCAGGTGAGCGATCGGCCAAAATTGGAGAGAGGGGAGAAGCACACACAGGAAGAGACGAAACAACCGCTTTGTGAATGGGTTTTTTGGGATTTTTTGACTATGTTTTCTGGCTGTGAGGAAGAGAAAAAACACCAACGTGAGCATCGCAGGAATAACGACGAGGAGGGAGAGCAGACAGACCTTAGATGATGATGGTTGGTTGAAAGTAGAGACACGGCTCGTTTTCGTTATATCAGGCAAAGACTTCAAACTCCGCTCGCCACACAAGCCAGTATGAACCTTACAGTCCTGCCCGGTCCGGCAACAGTGCACAATCGAACAAAGAACAATCGATTAACTTGCCACAACCACAGCCTGTTGTCCACTATTGATAGTACAGAGCCAGTAACTAAATGTATGGAGATATATGGATTATCCAAGAGACTGGGGCGGGAGCACATCGTGAGACAACACTATCATTCAACCGCGCGTGAAGTATGCCTTTGCACCATGAGTGGCCAGCTCGGACTTCGCCTAGAAGCATATGATGTCAATTTTTTCTGACCTGGACAGCGAGAGAGCGTCACCCGCCTTCTCTACACTGTGGCCAGCTGCAGTATGATGCTGCCAGATCTGAACGAACTTCAGCAATACAAAACAGCGTGGGTGGTTCCTCTCTCACCTGCCAATAATAGAAGGCGTTTCCAACGCCTTGTAACGTCCAACCTACAGTGGTGATTGTGCCAAGAATTCCTGCTGCCAACGCGCCTCGTGAATACATTGAGACTGTTTGGATCAGCCCGGCGGAACCAGTGCTACCAGATTGTCTGAGTATGTTACGCGACTTAGCGTGACGTGCCATTTCCTTACCTAGGAATGCCGATAATCCTATCCAAACATAAATGCGTTAATATGAGAACAGAAGCGGGTGGACAATGTGCATATACGCACATATAGATGGAGAATAATAGATGGAACCCGCCAAAGAAAAAGTAGAGATCTGCGAAATGTGAGCAGATAATATTCGGGCGATGATACGAGAGACCCTACAGTAGTACAAGGCTTGTTCCTGAATACAGCCGCATGATGAAATAGGACCGTCACAATGATCTTTGACCATGACTCACCTTCATGTAGCCATTATAGATGGGTCTGCGAGGATGTCTGAATATTTGACAGTCGTGAGATGTCATTTGTCTCACCTATACCAAAGAAGAAACGATAGACCCCCAATGATGGGAATATATCTGAAAAAGGCAGACAATCAATGCCAATATGAGCGCCGTGAAACATGCGCACTCACCCGATACTTGCCCCAAGGTCCTTTCCTCCATCAGACGAACCAGCTGTGAGAACAAAAATACATGCCACCATGTTGATGACCAAAGTTGCCGCGAGGACGAGCCAAAGGAGGTAGAGTCGTGACATGAGAGGTCTAGATGCTTCAGGAATCTCATCTGCTATTGAATGGTAGATGAGGGGAAAAACTGGGCAGGGCACCCTTACATGAGTTGAACGCGCACAGTGGGCGTGGAGTGTCCATGCCGAAATCGAGTCACACGTACATGGAGGCCAGTTACTACGACCATGCTTTCTGATATTTTCGGCTTTGCTGTTTAGCTCTTGCTCCCTTCGTTCGAGGTCTCTCTCTCGCTGATTGAGTTCGACTGCACGAGCAGCGTGTTGTTCTTGGGCATACGTCGAAGAAGGTTCGGCGAAAGGGTCGTCAAAAGGGTTCGTGTCGAGAGAGTTGGTTGATCCAAACGGGTTTTTCGTGATATCGCCTGAGGAATGGGGGGAGGGCAGAGTGAGAGAGCGACTAACAACGAGTAGCGCGAAAGCACTTGCTCGACGAATTCATTGCAAAGCTAAGACGTCAGTGTGGATTGACCTGCAGTTTCCAGCGCGTCACTCGGTGTTGGTGAAGGGATGGAAGCGGCGAAGCCGGCGATCCGCAGCTAGGTGGCCGGCAAAGACCGCAGGCACGCCAGTATCGAGCTTGCGGATACCCTGATTTGGGCGAAAATTTGTGACACCAAGAGGTAAAAATTCGACACAGGCATAATTTCGGTACGTCACACTGCATGCGATGAATAGATGGGTGTGTGATTGAGACCAGGCGAGGCATCATGCATGGGGTGCCTTACATCTGTGCTATGATTGCGTTCGCCAAGTCAGCAACTGGCAGCAAGGATTTCCAGAGCGTCAAGAGAAAATCTCGGAAAATGGAGGGGGATGCCGCTGTGAGAACGGTAACGCCGGCGCCACGTCAATTGCTAATTGGGTGGATATATAAGGGGACAGCATGCCAACCCCGTTTCTTCCTCCAACCCTTCATTCCCTTGAAGTCCCCTCCTCGCCTTCTCCTCGCGTTTTTGCAACGGTCCGTCCCCGTTCCTTTTTTGTTTATTGTTTTCCCGTTCGCTGATTTTTTCTTTCTTTTGGCAGTCGACTGTGTTCGGTGTCTCTCGCTTATATAGTCCCCTCCCTCGACTTTTCAGTCAACTCACTCTCTTTACCCTCTCCTCGAAGCTACAGTCTTCTCTCTCGCAATGTTCAACCTCCTTCCCCTCGCCTCGGTCGCGCTCTTCGCCGCCTCATCTGTGAACGCCATCGTCGTTCCCCGCAGGGACCCTCCTGCAGGATGGGCGACCAACTACCTTGAGGTCCGCGTCTTCGCTTTTCGTCCACGTCTCTCGCGTTGACTTTCGATGATTAGGACTACACCACGTACCACGTTCGCTACCTTGCACTCGACTGCCAAGACAAGCACAATACCGATTTCTTCGACCAGTGCTGCCATCCGTTGTTGGTGCGTTTGGGCATCTATTCTTCACAAAAGAACGGTGTCTTAGACCTCATCTTTTACAGGCTACCGAGACATTGCAGACCGCGCGCGCGTCTCAATGTATCCCCTCTGCCGCCGCCTCTGTCTCTGCATCAGCCGCGGAGCCCTCGTCAACGGTCGCTACCCCTGCCGATGATGATTGCGATGACGATGATGAGCCCGTCAGCAGTGCCGCTGCGCCCACCTCTCAAGTCGCCGTAGCTACCTCGCAAGTTGCTATTGTTTCTACATCGCCCTCGCCCTCGCCCACTCCCAAGTCAACCAAGGTCAAAGATTCTTCTACAAAGGCCGAGGCACCTGCTTCATCGCCCGCACCTACCACTTCCGCTACGCCTGTCACTTCCGCTATGCCTGTCACTTCCGCTGCGCCTGTCACTTCCGCTGCACTTGTCACTTCCGCCACGCCTGAGTCCACGTCGAAGAAGCCCGCTTCATCGTCTGCCAAGCCTTCGAAGACCTCCTCGAGTGCTCCTGCTGCTACTTCTGCCAGCTCCATTTCTGACAGCGTCGGCCAAATTTTGTCTGGTGGATTGTATGTGTACTCTAATCGCGCATGACCTCATGATTCTAACACTACAAAAATAGCGCTACCTTCTTCTATCAGGGTGGTGTTGCCGGCGCTTGCGGCGTCGTCCACTCTGACAACGACCTCATCGCTGCCATCGATCAGGACCGCTACGGCGACTCGGGCGAGAAGTCTGACCTCTGCGGAAAGCAGGTGAAGATCACAAACACCAACAACCAGAAGAGTGTCACCGTCACTATCGTTGATGATTGCCCTACTTGTGTGTCTTCCAACTCGATTGATCTCTCCGTCGGCGCCTTCACAGCCATCGCTACGGAGGATGAGGGTATGGTCCCGATCACGTGGTCATTCGTCTAAACCCTCCCCGTTCACGGACAGTTTCCCGCACATATTCTGTTTCCTCTGCTGCATTGATACGCTTTTTTCTTGGGGCTTGCCCTCTAGGCTATTGGTGGTTTGGCGCTGGGAGAGATGAGAGCTTTGATACGAGACTAACGACCCTGGTGGCGGTGGCCTTCCTATACTTTACTCTTGCCGCTCATCGTCCATGCCCCCATTCCCTATTTGCTCTGAAAAAATTTATGCTCGTCGGTTATCTTTATTACATGGGTCTACTTAACAGAGCACGCATATAGTTTCCATACAGTTGATAGCTAGCTACGCCTCAATGGACTCTCGGTCGTGCAGAGCTTTTATTCGCTGTGCTGAATGAAAGGAATGTCTGGTACTTTCATGATATATGTTATGTTCTGACTGGTCAGGTTTCGATGCTGAGATATTGAGTTCACCGGATCTCGTATAAGTGGTAAAAGACACTGAGCATGAAAAATGGGCGACAAGATAGAACAAACAGTAGTTTCTGGCTGTCCTACTAGCTTGGGTTCTAATCCCACGGGCATCAGAAAACATCAGTTGCAAAAAAGGACTTCGGGATGCTATACCGTCGTCGGTTACATTCGATCAAACGGCGCAGCAACGCCGGATATGGATGTACATACACTAGACGCGATGAGACAATGCCGCTGAAAGTAGCATGCATCACCGCAAGCGAGGGGGTGAGAAGGGGTCGTGGGCCGCACGTTACAATTATCACCGCACACATCAGTTGAGGTTGTACGGGACGGCATTGCGGACCTGTTCGACATGAGGCAGCCCCAGACAACCGCCCTCGTGGATACACCGAGCGACGCTCTTGGCAGCGTCTTGCCCTTCAAAATACGCGCCGTGCAAGAAGCCTACATAAAAGCGTGGCGCCAGGCAGGGTCGTTGCATCAGCCCTGACGTACAGAGGTGCGCGCATATAGGGGGGCTGAGACCGACCGAAGTATTTTTGACTCATAGCCTCTCCGCTGAACCATAGCCGCCGTTCGAGCGTCGCGCGCAGGTTCTGATGATGGTCGCTGACGAGGCTGGACGGCCAGTTGCTATAGCTGCCCCTGTACAGCGGGTCGCTGAACCATCGAGGGAAGTGGAACGCTGTCGGGTCCGGAATCGTCGTGTTCGGGTACATGGCGCGCAGGACGCCCAAAACCTCTTCCTTGACTTGCGCATCAGGAAGCGCTTCGATGCGTTCAGAATAGTCTCCCTATGGTCGGGAGATGAAAGATTTTAGCCTTGGAGAAGCTGATGTGCAACATATTTTTGAGGGAGATGAAGTACCGTTACGGTGACGAAGACGATCCCAGAGCCGGGGAAGAAGCCTTCGAGATCGAGGCTTTGCCAGACAGGATATCTTCCGCGCTCTTGATCGGCATATAGAGCGAACTGAGATAAGTAGCCCGTGGTGATGATCGTGAGCCATCTATATTAAACTCAAGGCTGATAAGGATGGCACCTGCGTATCAAACCAGAAGTTCTCTGGAAACTGCAGGAAGATCTTTGTGTACGTGGCCTGGTTTTATTTCGTCTGAGCGGCCGAAAAGATTAATGGGATACGAACATAAAAACTGACCATGGTCATGCTCTGGATGGCTTCAGCTTTCCAGTCTGGAAGTGCAGGCTCGAATATGATATCGTCATTTTGCAACACTCCCAAGCTGAACGTCAAGATGGCATAGTCCGCGCTCAGTTTGGTTCCATCAACAAGGGTAACTGTGACACCATTTTTGGAGTACTTGATGGAATTGACCGTGGAGTTGAGAAGGAGGTGGTCTTTGGTGAGGAACTCGGCCGCTTCGCCCTTGATGAGGTGGGAGAAACCGCGCTGATCGATGGAGAGCAGGTTATCTTCTGAGAAGCCGCCCTGGTCAGGGTCATACGTGAAGTTATTGGCCTGTATATGTGTGTCAATATATGCGATATATGCGTTCACAGGCGCGTTGTGAACTCGAAAAACAGGCACGCACCCACGACGATGCAATCCAAGATGTCTGCTCAGGAGTTTGTGCGTACTCCCAATCAAACATGTAATATTCAGAGGCCAATTGATGAGCTGTTTTTGGCTTCGTGTTTACGAGTGAATAGCCAGTGCGGGATGTTGTATCGACCAGGGCGCCCTTGACTCGACCGCCTAGATAGATTGTGAGATATCCATTAGGACGTGCAGAGTTTATTGAACATACCTCCAACAATAGTCAAATTCGTGTAGGCATCGATTGCGGCATTGAATTCATTGATATAGTCTACTTGGCCAGTATAGTCATACGTAGCTAAAATGAAACACCAGTCACTTGCTTCAAAATTCAATGAAGATCAACAAGCAACAAACTCACTCATGCTGTCATAGTAATCGCTGACCTGGGCCGTCAGGTTATGTTTCTTGGCTAGCGTGTAGATGGGATTCGCAGGGCCATCGCCATCCTGCGTCCCTTGAATCCAGTTCGCGCCAAGCTCCAAAGTAACCTGGTTTCCGGGCACACCAAACTCAAAGCTCTTCATCCGCCCGCCAAGTTCGCTGCGGGCCTCGATGATCTTGAAGTTATTGATGCCGCTCTCGTGAAGCGTCCTGGCCGCGATGACACCGGCTACTCCGCCCCCGAGGATGAGTACCTGAGCGTCCTTGTGCGCAGCATCGTCGCGACCAACAGGGGAGGCTTGGGACGGAGTAGAACAGATCATACAGAGAGCGACGTAAAGCGCAGCCCTTCGGAAGAAGTTGGTCATGTGGGACATGAGGGCAAAGCTAGAGGAGGCTCGCTGTACCAGCCGAATGGCAAGCTGCAAGATATATATACATGGTTTCGATTTCACCGAGCAGATACTGATGGTGATACTGTACACAAACAGAAATGATCTCGAGGCACCGCGCGGACGTACTTAAAACCCGGACAGAAGTGAGCCCGACGCTTCGCTGATAGCATAGGCGACTCCGCGGACGAATGGGGTGTACTGGCGTCCCGCGCTGACAGGCGTCACCTATAAAGCGGTCAAGTGGACCTTATTCTGTTCTCCTTGGCATCGTAGACTTCGGGCTGTGCCGCAGAGGTCGAGCGTAGCATGTCAGAGTTGGTGTTGTTCTCTCTCAGGAGAGTGCAGAGACGTGAGATGATGCGCGGGAGTCTTGTGGCGAAATATGGTAGAATATTACGATAGGGCGTTATCGCGCACTCATGGTCACCAGGTGCTTGTGACTGTAAGCAGAAAACGAAACGGAAATTGGATACGTCTGACTCTTTGATGAGCGCTCCCACTGCCGTACTCGCCTAGAGCTGCCTGGGGGCGTCTAAGTAATGCAGTCGCGGACAAGCAAAGTCGACAAAAAAGAAAAACAATTGTAGCGGCTGACGCGCCTAAAATTTACAAAATCTGACTGCAGATTCAGACTCAGGAGGCCAAAAGACGTCTAAAAATGCCCTTTTCGGGATTTTCCCACGCGAAATTGGGACCCGCCAAGTTTTTGGCGAATTTTTACGGGTGCTAGATGCCCCAAAAAAGATACATGTGACACCATGTGAAGTAAACTAGTTGAGAACTGCCTCGATGCTCATCATCGCACTTTGAGAAACAGTGCGATGACTTTTCTGCTTGTGAATAGCCCATTCCACTGCCTTCCTGGTGAACCCTCTGCAATATGCATCTATAAAATGCCATGAGCGATTGAAGAAGCAGCGAATGACCTCGACAGGACAATTGTCGAGGCATTTAAGCACATGCTTCTTCGCATGATCAAACCTCTCCTTATAGACCTCACAATACCAGTTTACTCATCATCTCAATTGGGTTGAGCTCACAATGGAATTTTGGGAGAAACATACAGATGTGACTGTGAGTGGTAATATCCTGTTCAAGAAGGAAGACTTGATTCCTGACATCGGCCTGGTTTGAGAGAAGACGAGTCATGCAGCAATGCTTGTTCTCAAGTGAGCACACCGGCGAGCACTTAGCCCATATGCACATCACCTTGACGATTTTTTGGCAATAAAATATAGATGTTTTTAGCAATTTTTTTGATGGATTCATACAGTACTCATTGAAAGGAGTCAATTGGTGTATTTTATGTGATTTATAGACCTTTTTTGTGGGGTCAGCCAATTTTTGGAGGTTTCTGGGTCAAAGAATTACTTTTTCCGGACTAACGGCTCGTAGGATTTTACTCAAAATATTTCCACGACATCTACTCAAGCATTGCTATCAATTCCGGTGTAACCGGGAAGCCCTAGAAATGGGTGTCGAAATTTGTCGACTTTGCTTGTCCGCAACTGTAGGGCGTCTGCATAGATCGGGTAGATCAGTCTCGAATCTCAAACGACGAAGACATGTACCTCTCCATAGCCCTTGGAATAAAGCTGCAGATGGTTGATGGTTGTTGACTAGCAAGAGTAGTATCGCCTACGGCCTCAAGGAAGGGTGTGATGGTCAAGCGATGGTCAGCGTTCGAAGTGAAGAAAACGATGGATCTGGGATCTCGGTGCAGAGCGTCACGCGCGGCTACGTCGTACCAGACCAGTCACCTCTTCCGTCATTCTGCTCAACGTCACTGTCGCAACAACTATGGAGTCCCTCGTCCAGAAAATACTGGTGGTTGGCGGAAACGGCTTCATTGGTACGCTATCGACAGATACAAAACAAAGCCGATATCGAACCCCCTTTACCTCACAGGCTCCGCTGTCTGCAAAGCGGCTCTGAGCCGAGGTTTTCAAGTGACCAGTTTGAGGTAAGTGCTCCTCTTGACTATTATTGAGAGAATCGTCATTCAAGAATTCCCCAAAAGCACATCCGGGCAGCCATTTCGAACACCTAAGGGACACTCTCCTGCCTGGACCTCCAAAGTGTTGCCCTTTATCCTTAAGTTTGCTCTAAGTTCTAGTCTAACATTCACGCGTTCACAGGTAGACTGGCGGGTGGGAGACGCGCTTCGTCCAGAAACATATGCGCACATGCTTCCTGGTGTATCTGCCGTAGTGCACACGCTAGGTACGCTGCTGGAGGACACAGGGTACAAGAAGGCGCTGCGATCTGGAGACGTCGGCGGTGCCGTAAAAAGCTTCATGCGAAGTGTCACCGGAGTCAGAGGGAATCCACTAGAGAAGGGTCAAGGCAAGGGGAGCTATGAGGTGTTGAACAGGGACTCTGGTATTTCTCCGCGTCTAGTCTTTTTTGACCAACACAACTGATGAGTCTTCTATAGCACTGACAGTTGCGGAGGCTTTTATGGGAAGTAAAGCGACTGTGGAACTTCCTGGTCCGAGACCATTCGTATATATCTCGGCGGAGGACATCTTTAGACCCATGATTTCCGCGCGCTATGTTGAGACAAAACGGGAAGCGGAGAGAGGGATCGAACAGTTGACGGCAGGGCGACCCGAATATCGAGGCGTTTATATTAGACCTAGTATGCATCGTACTAGCGCTCACAGTGTATTCTATCTGACCAGTCTGTCAGGTCTAGTGTACCATCCCCACTTCCGTCCGTACACGTCCCCCGTTGCCGCCTTGCTCGACCTCTCCTCTGTCGTCCACTCAAAGATACCACGTGGACTCCCAACGCCCTCCAACCTCCTTCGCGCGCTCTCGCCTGCATTCCCCACGGGGACAGCGCCGTCGTCGCCAATCCAGACATCCCCTCTGGACTCCGTCGCGAACGCGCTGACGTTACCTCCGATACACGTCGACCATGTCGCGGAGGCCATTTGCATCGCAGTGGACAACGCGCGGCCGGATATACACGGTGTGTATGGGGTGCGAGAGATGCGAGAGATGATAGGATGGTCACAGAAGGGCCAGCAGCCTTCCCTTCGCACAGACTGAGTATACGAGTTGTCGCTACCAAGGTGATCGAGAGTCGAGACAACAACGCTTACAATTGATCGCATCTTGTTATCTTATCTTATCTACCCCAACTGATTTATTCCTAAACATTGCACCATGTTCGGCTCCTGACCTAAGTCGGCTGACCCAGCCCTTGAAAGCGACGTTCTCACTCATTTCGCTCTCTATCCACAACATCCACGTTCCCCACCCAGCCCTAGGGCACAGAACGGCCTATGCCGTCCTTGTCGTTGCGTACCCTCCGCTCGCCAGCAGTTCGCAGCCTCAGAGCGTTCGGTAGTTCGGCGAGCTCCAGCAAGGCCATTCCGTTCTTCCTGCACGGTTCGCGCGCGGGCACACTCACTGCGGATGATGGGCACGCCGACGGGCGGTTGTTGCGGATGATCATATTTGGCAAGCCAGGCGCGGGCAAGGGCACTCTGTCCGCGCGGCTAGTTAGCAAGTACGACATTCTGACGCTTTCGACGGGGGACTTGCTGCGCCAGCATATTGCAGAGAGGTGTGTTGAGCTCTGTTGCTATCTGGATTGCTTATCTTGTGGGAACGCGAAGCTCACGCGGTCTTTGTGCTGGTGCTTTCGTGTGCAGGACGGATGTTGGACGGGTCGCGAAAGAGATTGTAGCCAAGGGCGGGTTACTTCCAGACGATATCATGCTTAGAGTCGTAACGAGCAAACTAGATCATTTGCATAACAAAGTACGTGTTATGAGCTCGTGTTGTCAACGCGTTTTTACCCCGTCCGACAGCACTGGATATTAGACGGGTTTCCTCGGACAGTAGGTCAAGGGAAGCTGCTCGATGCACATCTACGGTAAGGACTGACCACCTTACCTCCCAGTGGCGACACACCTGATACTGTGCTCTAAGCAGAATTCAGAATGACCCCTTGAGCCTGGTCGTCAACCTTGACGTACCGGACCAAGTCATCCTCAGCCGAATTTCTGACCGATGGGTACATCTGCCCTCCGGTCGTGTGTACAACATGTCCTATAACCGTCCCAAGGTCGACGGATTTGACGACGAGACGGGCGAACCTCTCACAAAGCGTCCAGATGATAACCCTGTACGTTTTTTTCTGTGGCGTTGTTCTCCGTTGCCCATGATATTGTCTCCAGGAAATATTCGCGCGTCGGCTGAAGCAGTTCTATGCATCGACTTCGCCGTTGCTGTCGTACTACGCCTCGCAGCAAGCGTTGTCATCAACAAACACGCGACTTGTTGCGTTGTCGGGCGAGACATCCGACGAGATCTGGCCCCAGCTAGAACGGACTGTACTATCTGTAGTGCCGAACCTCCGTGAACGAACTGCGACGCGTGAGGAGCGCCGACGCAACAGTATCAGTGAAGCGGTTTTCGGCCGCGAAGGCGACCCGAAGTCCGACCGAGCAAGCTCTAGAAAATACTGAGACGGCTGTCTCGTCCATGGCGGGATGTTCGTTTCCTCTGCGCCCTTACCTCGTTCCCCTTTAGTGCAGTTCCTTTTGCCTCATCCATATACATCACTTTTTCTTCTTCTGTAGAGTTCGCTTTTTCAGCGCCGTGTTTTTCTTCTCGTTGTTCAGCTGGTTTTGGCTTGTGGTTTCTGACTTTCTCGACATTTGATAGCGAGATGTTTTTGTGCATATCTTGCATTTGGCTGAAGAGGATACTGTATTTTTTACGCGATTGACGAAATATGCATCTCCATGTGAATAGAACATGCACAAGCACCTATGATAGGGCAGCTGATTTTGACAGTCTGCTGATCAGTCCGGTGCAGCAGCCCGTTCGGGCTTCGCATTTCGCAAGACCAACAAGCATATCGGGCTTGGGCACGGCATGTCAGACTGTCACCTATGCGGTCCATACTGAAGTGCTGAAGCGTGGGGCCAAACACTCTGTTTCACACTGAAGGACTGAGATTTCCGGACTGTGGAGAGTTTTGTTCGAATTATTTTATTATCTCAGGGCATACCTGGATCAGATGAATGTTAGACCATTTGTATGGAGATGCATGCTTTCTCACATTTTGACAACGAACAGGCCTTCGGGGAGTCCCTGCTGGACTTGCTCGTGCACAACGGTCAAACCGGCATCCTCGAATATTCTCTTGAACGCCAAATCCGATCTGAAGACACGGTTTAAAGCAGTGCTAGGAAATTTTATAGAGAGCATATACGTACCTCGTCACGCTCGAGTCTTCCTGGTCGAAGATAGTGATGGGTGTGTTGTACTCGCCATCGCTGCATAAATTTTCTTTCACTACGATGACGCTCCGCTTAGGGTCGCGCAAGGCGGGCTTGCTCCGTTTCAGGAACGCGACGAGGTCTGTGTCGCTCAGGTACATGAGACACCACTGGCACCACACGACATCGAAGCCCGAGTCAAGGTCAGACGTGGGGACCTCTGGCACGAAGCCGACGCGGCCTATAACGTCGGTCGACTTCGTTGGGTTCGCGGGGTCGAACGTCTGCAGGCCGCCTTGAAAGAACGCCACGCTTTTACTGTTGTCGGCGATCCCCTTCCACGGCACAAAGGGTGGCTCGCCACTGTCGCCTTGCTGTGTGCGTGGCGCGTGTGTGGCGGAGGAGGGGTCGCTTGCAGTGCCCCGCGCATACGCCTCTCGTACGAGGTCGTCAACGGGCTCCAGAATCACCACATCGTCGAAGAGGTGTAGCAGTGTATCTGCTGTGACGCGGCCAATCCCTGCGCCCACATCGAGTGCGCGTGTACGGCGGGCTTTGGGTTTAGGACGGAGGGGACGAACAGCGGATGGGACGGTGCACAGTTCCGGAAATAAGTGCATTAGAAATTGTCGGGAGCCTAGTGTTTCGACGCGGGGAAGAGACTGAAAAATTGAAAGGTCAGGAGAATGTTCATCAGCAGTCGATCGGGCTGTATTACCCCCTTTCCAAATCCACCTGCGAGCGTCGAAAAGAAACATCAGGTTCGATGCATGAAGAAACCAGCCCGTAGATGTTCACCCAGGACGCCATCGTAGCTTGCCGGCTGCGTTCTCCAGTAGTTGATACCATCGTCTGGACCAGGCTCTTGTTCGGCTTGTATGGCTTGGACGCGTGCCATCTTGAGTCTCGGATTCAAATTTCAAATGAGGGAGATCTGGAAAAGGATTGTGTACAAACAGGCGTACAAACAGGCGTACATAACGCGTCGCGTGCATCATTGAATATAGAACACGTCCAACTCGTATCACCGCCGCGACAGTGCAATCATGGCCTCAGTATCCCTCGACGACATCTGGAACGCTCCTGCAGAAATACGCTCCTCCACCTCCGCCCTTCCCATTGAGCTCAACGACAGCGACGGCGAGGCAAACGCACCACGCAAGCGAAAGCAGCCTCTCTTCTACACTTCTGATGACGACGAGCCCCCACCCGCCTCCACACGCGCAGCCCCTTCAGCCCTAGCGCCAACAAACAAGCCGTCCATGCCAGACATAGACGCTCTTTTTGAGAACCTCGACGAGCCAGACGATGTGTTCCAGGGCCTGGCACCCGCCCTCGATTTGGATCAGCTCCGGCGGGAAGCCGACGCGCACAATGCGCGCACTGTGCAGGCAGAGTACTCCAGAATACTGCCTCGGGAGATGCAATCCTCAAGACTCTCCGACACTCAAACGCAGAGCAAGGACAAGGACCAGAAGGGCAAAAGCGCCCTCGTGGACGATGACGATGGCGAGCCCGAGCAGAAGAAGAAACGGAAGCCGATCGCAAAGCTCGATGAAGCACGATTGCTGGGCAAAGATGGATTCCCTCAGCTCTTGAAGGATACCCAACATTTCAGACCACGGGGAAAAGGGCATGAAGTCTGTTCACCACGCGTTCGAGTGATATCCCCTCTATGTACTTACGGACGCCTTTGCCACTAGGCTGCGGACCTCGACAGCGTGCTGCAGATATACCAGTTTTGGACGCATCGAATGTATTCAAAAAACAAGTTCCGAGACAGTGTGCAGCGCATCGAGAAACTTTGTCACTCAAAGCGTATGCATGTACGTCCTTTTGAGTGCAATGCATGTCCGTTGACTTGATTTTCATATTTAATCAGGTCGCCCTCAGCGTCTGGCGGGACGAATCAAAGGGCCTCATCAATGGAAGAAGGTTTGACGACGATGAGGCAATCGAGCTTTCCGACAATGACGAGCCCTCGGCTAGGGTCAAACGAACTACAGCCATGTCTGACGCCGATAGAGATGCTGAAGGCTCGCCTACTTCCCAACAATCATCACGTCCTCCGCCCTCCTCTTCCCCTGGGCCTTCCTCAGCTCCCGAAGACGAGTTTGATATCGACACTCTCATTGCTGAAGAGGAAGCCCTCAGAGCGCAGCGTCCACCGCTACCAGGGCCCATCTCCCCTGCATCGCACTCCTACACCACTGCGAACGCCCAACCAGAACGCCTCCCAGAGACGAGCGACGAAGACGAGGCAATGTGGGATGCGCTCGACACGGACTTCACGGCGCCTACGCCTGCCCCACCGCCAGCGAGAGCGGCCCCCGTGCGAAGAGACGACGAGGACGAGGACATGTGGGATGTAGTGCGCGAGATGGAGCAGGCGCAGGAGCAGACCATGGCCCGACCTGCTCAGAGCGCTGGTGGTGGGCCGCCATCTGGCACCAATGACGAAGATTGGGACGACATGTACATGTAGCTTTCTTCTTGGTTTCTGGCGACATGTACGCTTCAGCATACAGCATTTTGGTTGAATGGCCGAGTATTGGCCAACGTAGATCATCGAGAAGATGACAGTCGCATTCAGCGAGCGCCTCTGGCGACTTCTGACGCTGCTGCTCGGTTGCTGCTCTCAGCGGACAGGGGAAGATCACTTGTTTCTCAGAAAAAGAGTGCGTTTCAACCAACTCATGATAGCTCAAACCTCGGTACAAGCGTTGTGAGAGCTTGATCATTTAAAGCAATAGGGCCGGTGTCATATTTGATAGGAGTCGATTCCTTATGAACCGGCATGCTTTAGCTTATGAAACTGTTGACGGTGTGTTCAGGGTGTTCGTGGACGTGGTTTACTATCTCTTGCATCGCTTCTCCGACTATCTAGAATCCCTGTCTTCAGTCGTACCCTGAATATCATGACGACGCGTCTTCGTCAGGTGGAGCCCACAATATGCATCGACCGCTGCCGTTTCCGCTGGCTGCACGTTCGACGATGCTCGGATGTGAGCATGTCACAGCCTGCGTCGCAGATATTCTGTGCATCAAAAACGTGAGACAACAGCACCGACGGATCAAAAGCCACAGCGGTTACTGACAATGACCGGTCGGAGAGCTTGGCGAGCGCATCGCCCTATGACGGGGACACAAGCAAGGACGTCAATCAATGCAACACTCTATCCATGTGGCACGTCAAGCTCGAGCCTACCTTGCAAGAGTATATTTCCAGAGAGTGATCCAGGTTACCGACCTGTGGCATCGATAGCAGACGAGTTAGAATCAAACAACGCGCCATGGATTGCCGACAGACGTACGGTGAAATGAGGAAGGACATCGGGGTTGGGCGACCACTGCGCTCTGAACACCGTCACCCATCGGCCCTGAAAAGCCCCCGGCGCATCAGCTAAGAACATCCGGAAATTGCGCGGTTATGTACCGTCTGGCAATCATGCTTAATCTTGCTGAATGGCTGGACGACGGGGAATCCCGCGTCCTTCGCCTGCATCGACGGTTTGATGTCCCACACTAAAACAAAACAAAACAGGAAAACATCGAAGTCAGCAAGATGGAGGGATGCTCGACTCGGGGAGGGTACGGGGGACTCACATCGCAGCGTGTCGTCGTAGCTAGTGCTCACGATCGTTCGCCCCCGCGGATCCCAATAGGCAGAGCTCACGGATTTACCGTGTGGCCAGTTCGAGCGGAGCGTGCACTTGCCGGCCTTGGAGGTGAGCAGCCCCTCGATGACGTCCGAGTCGAAGTCAAGCGCCCCGTTGTCCGTGACCTGCTTCACGGTGCGTACACAGACAGGCAATTAGCGACGTTCGACAGGGATCACAGAGAGCAAACAACGCACGGGTAAGCCTGCCAGCGCGCGGGTATCCCACACTCTGATGGCCCAGACATGATGAGCGAAACAGCCAACAAGGCGCACACATTTTCCTGCACGTACTTCAAGGTCCGGTTATTCGACGCCGTGAGCAGCAGGTGCGGGTTCACAGGGTTGATACTGACCGAGCCGATCTTCTGGTCAGAAAGCTCGTACCAACGCGCCTTGGACTTATCCTGGCGCAGATCGAGGTGCGTGACGCCGCCCGAGGCGTCAGATGCCCACAGCTCGTGCCCCGCGGGCGGCAGGTCAATGCTCGTAATCAGGACCTCGCCCGACGAGAACACTTCGCGCGACACGCCCGTCGCGAGGGAGAGGCTGCGGATCGTGCAGTCGTATGCGGTGGTGAACACCTGCAGGGGGCAGAACGAGATCGGGCGGCGGAGGGCAGGTTAGCGAGCGCTGCGCGGAAGCAAAGGGTGGAGGAGAGGCCACTGACGCTGTGCGAGTCAATTGGATCAAATTTGATTGAAGAGATGGAAGACTTGGACGTTGCAGGCCAGTGCGCTTGCAATTGCCATACTTTGCCCTCGCTCTTCGCCGCTCGACGCGTCGCAGGCGTACCTTCCGGTTCGTCGTCGTCATCGTCGCCTTCGTCCTCTGTAGGTGCGCGCGCGTCCCATATCCCCAACTGTCCGTGTTTATCTTCCACCGGCCAGAACCACGATCAGCCACTCGTCACAACTTGTCCAAGAAATCAAGACGCCGATGGACGCGCTCACCTCCAAAGAAGATAAGATCCTTCGACCTGTCAGGGTGGTACGCCGCGCTGTACACTCTGTCCTGCGTCACCTTGGCGCGCGCCGCGACCTTCAAGCTGCCCACGCGCTTCTGCAGCGCCGCGACTTCGCGCGCCTCCGCCTTGTCGTCCGCGTCGTACACAAACGCGTCCTGGGCCGCCGCGCGCCGCGCGTGCGGCGTGCGCACGAGCGCCTCGAATTCTGCGGTGAGCCCCGTAAACACGCCGTGCTCCCACTCTGCCTTGTCCGCGAGTTCCTCAAGCGTGAGGTCGTGGTGCCGTGGCATCCTCGCGGCGCGCGCGCGCTCCTCTGCTGCGAGACGCTCCTCTTCGTCACGTTTACGCTGCGCCTCTTCTTCTTGCTGCGGATTTGCCAACCGACCGGGCAGAAATAGAACAGAGGCATCAGCGCAGATCCTGCCCGCGCCCCGTTCTCATGAACAAGGTCTCGAAGGCAAAGACAGAAGCAGCAGGAGCGGAAAAGGGAGGGGAGGGGAAGGGAGGATGGCCCACTGGGAGAAACAGCCCACACACGCACCTCGCGCTTCCGCTTCTTCGCCGGGGTCTCATTTACGTCCACCGCCGCCCCGCGCCTGCTCAGCCTCGCCGACTGTCTTCGCGGCCCCGCCTCCTCCTCGCGCGCGCGCTTCGGCCGCCGCGCGGGCTGCACGGGCGCTGCCTTCGCGTGCGCCTCGTCGCGCGCGCGCTTCTTCGCTGTGCCGGAGCTCTTGCCCTTTCCCTTTTCCTTGGCCGAGGAGGCGGGAAGGCCGAGCGCGGAGACGGCCTCTTTGAGTTCGAGCTGCTCGAGGAGCGCGCGGTTGCGCGCGATGTTGGCTTCGCGCTCGAGTTCGCTGGTGGGTCAGGAGGTTAGATGATGAACGAGAGCGGTGATGTGTGGCAGGGTCACGTACTATGCGGTCTTGGGCATGCTCTCCTATGGTCTCTGGAACTTCTCTGGGTCAGTTGGGGTCGATGAGGTCGTTGATTGAAACGCGTGACGCGCCGATGATTCAGCGGCGCGTGCCGTCACACCGTTCGGATCCGACAGACCCCGATGTCTTCCGAGACAATCCCGCGTTCTCCCGTCCCTCATACACAGCAAAACTAATGATCAATTCAAGGCCGGCGATGACATGAGTAGGTCGGTATAATGTTGCACGGAACATGCATGCATACAACAAGAACAAGAAGCTCAATGGCTTTCACAGCATATCATAATAATTACCTAGCTTTCAGTTTATAATGGGTAGTAGGTGCTGTAAGACACTGTAAGTAGCTATGAATAGAGTTGAGTCAGATTAGAGACAATGCAGAAGGCCCTGAAAAACATGACGATGGACATAAGCATAGAGGGAAAAGAAGAAAATATGAATGTGGAAGGACTAGGCATAGAATTCCTAAATACATCAAACTGGTATATTATGAAGAATAGACAGAAGGCAATAGCAGTAGCAAGAAAGAGAGAGAGAGAGAGATAGAGGTAGCACATACAAAATAGGATAGAGGGAATACTATTCCATATAACAAGAAAAACAGAGTAGCCAAAAAGAGCTTAGTGACAACTTTGTTTATCTGTCTATAATATGTCTGGCACTAGGGGTAGGTAGGACATACTATGTAAATGGTCTCCTGGGAGTCCCATGAGCTTGTTGGCAGGCTAGCATGGAGGCAGATACTGCTGCAATAGTAGTAAGACCATGAATGCAGGAAGGTAAGGCAATGGCAGTATGAACTCATTATAGGAGATCTGGAAAGACCACCCTCTCTTAATTTTCCAATTCAGATTTGAATATAACTCCCTATTATAGAAGGAGTGCTGCCTGCATAAGTGCTCATGTGGGCAGATAGTGTCAGTGCTAGTATATAAAGGAAGCAAAGCTAATACAGTGTGAGCTTGTCATAAAGAAAGACACAGGTACAACCTAGTCTACATCCAAATCACAATACCTTGTAGGTCGTAGGTATTTCAGCTTGAATTTGATATAATTTTGCATTCTACTTGTACCACACATTAGATATGACACAAAATTTAAGTTTTACTCATGGGTTCTAATAGTAATGATCATATGCTTTGTGCAACATAATGTGACATGCCCTCACACAATTAACAAACCTACTTGTCTTTGCTGCAAACTTTGTTTTCACTCATTTTATCTTTATGAACTAGGTTAATAATAAATGGACATAGCCTGTAGGTCTTGAAGATCTCAAAAAGATTATTAGTAGCTAGATGTTATGCTCAGTGAAAAAACCCTCAAATGTAAACAAATGTGGTCAAATAAGAGCCATATATTTGACCACAAATAAGAGCCACATATTTGACCACAAATAAGGGCATTTGACCATATGCATTTCCAGTCCAGAAATTGGCCATGCTCTAGAATACCATTAATTGTAAATGGATACTCAAATTTCTACTCCATCCTATTTAACAGCATTCAATGTAAAGCATATGCAGTTGAATGTCAGCTATTATGTATAGATGTAAATGACATTAAGCACAAACAAATGCTGGTGAATGCTATTAAATATGGTTGAATATACCAATGCCAGCAAATACTAGCAGATACCAATGAATACTAATCTAGCATTATATTTGTCTACACTTCCTATATCTCCTATATCTCCTATCCTCATCACTCCTTCTCCCACTTGTCCCACCACTCTTCCCACTATGCTCCTACTGCTCTTCACACTACTGCTCTCATCGTTGCTCTTATTGCTGCTCCCACTATTGTCCCACATATCTTCTGGGCATGGCTGCCATCTATCTTGTGTGCCTTTATAGCAGGGATAGGGCATTGCATATCATAAAGAGGGGGCTATGGAGTTCAAGCAGTGTGAGCCTTCCTTACCTAGGCTTTCTCTGTGCATGCCCTATTACTAGTGATTCCACAAGTGTAGGTGGGGGAATGCTCATCTGGAAAAACACCCCCTTGTATTAGCTCCGGATTATATCTACTAGTGTCTAAAAGTATCTAAAAGTGTTAATAGTATCTAAAAGTGTCTAATTTCCTAATTGGGAGCAACACATTGTGAGCATTGGATTGGTTTCTAATTTCATGATATTAGCACTAATTTTATACTAAGAAGTCTTTAATTATTAGTAGGAAATAGTAAGTACTACTGCTCTATCAGTGAGAAGGTAAAAATGTGGCACATTTTATACTATTTCAGCATATTACTTTCCTTCATATATGCCTATACTATTATCTTGTAGCTCTTTTGCTGACTTTCCAGCTGCTTTTATAAGGGATATAGAAAGAGAGAAATATGCATTGATGCCCCCAGCTACTTTGTTGGCAGCTTGGCAGCTGCCACAAGAGGCTATGAAGACCTAGGTACCTTGTCCTTGCACACAAGATTATTAAAGTTGTCATTGTTAGCCAATGCCTGCTACTGGTCATTATAAGACACAACATGTGGGTTGGACTTAGAGATATGCTATATGTAGCCTTATAGACCTTGTCTATTAGTATAGTGGCTAATACTGTCTTGTGCAGCACACAATTATCATCACTATTGATATTACAATTTTTAGCACTATTTATATTGTTTATTGCCTTGTTATACAGAAGATGCTCAAACTTGGTGTTTTCCTCTAGCTATTAGGCTGTGGAAAAGACAGTCATATTGGTATGTGGTGCCAGAATAATATATTTCCCTGCCATATAGGAAATATATGCATTAAGCATATTAAGATCACCTCCAACAATCTTGTGCTTATTTATATATAGGCATGCCATACATATACTCTTGTCCCCACCCTCTACCTCACTAGTGGCTATTTGGAAAACCCCTCTCTCTTATTGGATCTTGATTATTCATAATTATGTTTTTGATCAAATTTGCAAATTCAGGTAGCATTGTCTATACTAGTAGAGTCCCATTGAATATTACACTCAATCATAGTTTTACACATTCTCAGTCCAAATTGTATAAGTGCCATAATTTATTTTTATCCTATATAAAGTGTATTATCAATTTTCCATTGGTTTATTAACTTCTTAGCTGGTGTTTAAACTAAATCCTGAAAGACCTGACTTTTTAGGTATTTATTGACCTATTTATTTATAAGATAGAGGAAAGATAAATGTTAAATAAAATCAGAGATGTTGAGGTTGCCTATATTATGTCTACTTATTTAGATTACCAAGTTCATATCTTAGACCTTGTGGCTTAGTGGCTTAGAGCATCTGTCCTGGGTACTTGCATACATGAGGTTGTTGGTTCAACTCTGGTAGAAGGCAAGTTTGTTATAAGGTATATTCTGTGTTTAGGTATTGAACTAGTGCTCTAATAGACATGACTCTATAAAAAGGCTATGAGAACTATGATGCTTGATTTATTATGATTTTTCCGAAATTTCAAGTTATAATCAATCCTAATAATTCCTAATTTAGGAAAATTATGTCTAATTAGAACAGGTTTAGAGGGGGGGTAAGCTAAAAATGTCTAATCCTAATTGTTCTTAATTATGCATAAATAGAACTAATTAGAGCTTAATACAAAGGGGTGGTTTTCCAGATGTAAGTATGGGACCTTGTGCACAGGATGTTTGTGTGCCCATATTTAAGGGAGGATCTGGAAGGGGCAGATGGAGAGCAGGGCAGGGGTGAGAGCATAGTGAGTAGGGAGAGTGTAAGCAAGAGCAAGGTTAAAGTGTGGGTGTGGGTAGGTAGGAGCATGTCTGCAAGAGGTACTGGAGATTGTGCAAGAGCACACTATTCTCTTTCACAGTGCTGACATTGCATGTGGGATGTTGTGCACATATATATACAGACATAAGCACATACCTATTTGCAGTCGCACACACATATGCATAGCACCATGCCACTCTTATGACATTAATTGCAATGAGCCCTCTTTATGCCTATGCTTGTGTTTATAGTTCCTGTGTGGCAATGGTGACATGACAAGCACCTTGCTCTACATAAGGCTTACCAAGCATGGGCCCTGTGCCTGTATGGAAAGGAACATTGCCTATAGCCCACTAAATGATGTGCTGAACCCCTAGCCAAGCCTGTGTACATCTGGCACATTTGTGGCAGGATACATAGTGCCAACCAATTATATGTGTTTTGGCAGTGGGCACCATTAGTATTAGCATCAATGGTAGCATGCTGCTGATATGCTAGTGATGCTTCTAAGTGCAAAACACACCTAAGAAATACCCCTACAAGTGCAGGTAGGCAGGAGCTGATTCTAGTGCACAAGAAACTATAAGCTGTGCAACAACCAATAAGGGAGCATACTAAAAGTGTTTGAAGTATAGTAAACAAATAACTCCAAAATCAAAATATTTAGCCAGTCAGTTGGTTGGTCAGTCAGTTGGTTGGTCAGTTGGTTGGTCAGTTGGTTGGTCAGTTGGTTGGTTGGTTGGTTGGTTAGTTGGTTAGTTGGTTGGTCAGTGTTTGATTGGGATTTGATCAGGATGCAAAAGGGAGGGAATGGGTGCAAGGCTACACTGGATACTGGCAGAGGATAACAAACTAAATGAGAGGGAGAGAGCAAGATAACGAGGGCTCTGACAGAGGGCTGTGATCAAACGCAACAATACAAATAAAGGGGCAAAACATAAACAAGAATCGGAATGCAATAGCTCAAAGTCTTATGGACACAAGCACATAAATAGAATTAAAATGAGGGGGGAGCCAAAGCTGATGTATTGCAAGGCTATAGATGCCCTTTTATAGTAAGTCCAAATAGGTACAAATAGGGAGACCAGCAGAGGCATAGAGCAATTGGAAATGTGTGCCAAGAGTGATCAAAGGTAAAGAAGATAAGGAAGTGATATTGCAAATACTATAAGATAAGAAGCAATAACTCTAAAGTCTAAATAAGTGGAGAGATTGCCAAGGTAAGTCCACATGGACCTGGAGATAAGAACCACATGCCATATGGGTAAACTATTTAGAAACTTGGGAGCTCTAAAGATAACAAAGGATAGGTCAACAGAAAGCATAAGGACAATAAGAGATAGAAAGGCAGATCCATTCCAAGTCAACAAAGTGTTTGGCCACCTCCGATTTGGGACACCAAAGCTGGCTGAATATGCCAACCATGTGAAGTGTACCAAACCGATTGGCAATTGGCTGTGACAGTTTGCAGGGAGCCCCTAATGCTGAGAGTGATGATAGATGAATAGAATGACTGTAAATAGCTCTAAATGACTGTGTGGAGGTCTAAATGCAAAGTCAGCACCTAACAAATAGCTGAGAGCACAGAATAGATTGGGATTGGCTAGTCCTAAATATGCTGAACAGTCAAAGAATACTGAAAAGCTGCAAAAAGTGGGGTATTGGTGCCTAGAGAACACCCATGCTCATCACTGCCATTCTCAAGTATTACCAATTATAAGCAGTACATGTCCATGCTGCATGACTTGCATCAGAAAGCCCCTACTCTTGCCCCCAGGGACAGTAGTGGAGCCATAGTTGGGAGTGATGTGGGCCTGTCATTACTAATGCTGTCTAGAGAGAATACAAACACCATCTCCACTGCATACATTGTGCATTGTCAGGGCCAGTAGTACAGACTTAAGCTGCTTAAGGTGGTTCACACAAGTCTGTTGTCCCCGGTGCAGTGCCACCAGTGCCACAGTTGCCTAAAGTTAGTGGGATTCTACCAAAAAAGAGAACATGGGATGCTCAATGAGTCAAATATCTGTAGGGGAGACAAAAAGCAAAAAGTAACTTATAGAGCCAGTGAAACTTGAAAACAATTGAGATTGGTGGTCAATGTGAGAGGGATCTGGTTGGGACATATCAAAAGCATGAGTGAGATGAGTATGTGCTGGCAGATGTAGGGATAACCACTAATGAAAGCATGTGAGTTATAATACCCCTCTTTTGCACCAGTTGAACCATCTGCATCTGATATGGGTTATGCTATTAGTAATATAGCCTGGAAACCTAGTTGGAGTTTAGAGTTTGTCTCTTTATCATTAATCACAACCTCTCATTATTGTTACCTATGACTGCTAGTGCCATCATTATTGTTAGCATCAACAGAAGTGTTAGGCACCTAGCTCACATTATCACTCCTCTCCTTGGGCAGCCTTAAGGCTTTACTGTCAGTACTTGTTCCCTATGCATGTGGAACATACCTTCCTTTTTAACTTTCTCTTATTCTCCACTACTTTACCTTCCATATTCTGTTGCATCATCACTGTCATTGCTCTCTCTTACATTGCTACTGTTATTCCCTATCCCAATTTATCCTATCACTTGCTATTTTTGTGTGGCAGTACATCTGCCATTGTTGTCCAGTCACTTTTTGTACGATGTGCTCTCTTACTTCTTTATGTTATGCAAAGGTGGGTTACTTACCTTCCTTTCATTCCATAACTCACCATGAACTTTAGCACCTACTTGTTGGTGTGGTTGTATTGGCACTGATAGGCAACCAGCCCCACTTTGGGGGCACAAATGTCTCTTCCAAAAACATGCATCAGTAAGTCTTCCTGTAGGCTTTCATTAATAACTAATCTTGATGTAGGTATAACAGGTTATGCATGCAGAGTTGACAGAATCACTATTTCAGCCTATTGAAAACTTGCTACTGCCCTCATCAAATGCAATAACCAATCTAGCATCTAATTCCTCCTCATCACTAATACCAGCTGTGCCTGCTTCCATGGTGCCAGCACTATTTCTCTATATGACTGCAAGTTTCCCATATTTTGACAAGACCATGGCCTTACCTGCATACCTCCCATTGTTGATAAGGGATAGCAGTGAGAGTGGATCAATGCCTATGGAATTCTGGAATGCCCTCGTCAATAGTCTTCCTGTTCCTGCAAATGGTAAGTCTTGATGGGGGCCTTGTTCTGTAGTCAATAACATACTCTATTTGTTAGATCCTTTTGCAGCATTAATATCCAATGATTAACTTGAGTTTGGATCAGACATGCTTGTGGACCATCTATTTAAGGTGGCTGCAACTAAAGGGCCTAGGCTTGTGGTTCTATTTATAGTACCCTCACCCAATTTATCTCATCATGCCCAGGCACTATCATCTATCTTGGGTTCTTTGCTAAATGCTACCCTTTTAAGGCAGCAGCCTAAGGCTACTAATACTGATATATTGTCAAATAAAGAGCTTGCTGTCAATGACAGCTCAAATCCTTTGGAATAAGGACCAAAGCAGAAGTATGCTAATAACTTGACAAGCAAGAAACAGAGTATATGGAATTATTATATGCTTATAATGGCAAATAATTATTTGAACATTGGTAAAACTCCTAACATTTACTATCAATGCAAAATGGCAAATGGATACTTATTCTGATCAAATCAAAGTATTGCTAGACTATGTAAGCTATCTTGTGAGTTTTTTTGAAATTACTAAGATATTCTTCTAGGCATACAAACTTGACCTTACAACAAGGCCATATATTTTTCTTTATGTTTCTTAGTGAGTCCTTGTGCAATATAACCATGCTATTACTTATACATCTAAGATAATAGGCCTGAAACAGTTCTGCATCCAAAAGGGGCTTTGAAAAGTTATATTTCAGGGAATTTACACAAGGTGCTTGATGATTTGGGCTAGGATGATTTTGTTAATAATTTGCATGTGATGATTTGTACATTCACAAGAGAGCAATGGATAACATAGGAGCAGATGAGACAGGTAAATATAGAGGTCAATAATGCACTTGAGTTGAGGTGAGAGATTGAAGTACAAGAAGCTAAGTTAAAGGCTTGTAAAGCTGATGTTAATGCTTGAACAGCACAAGTTAATGCTTAGACTACACATCTAGAGAATATAGTATTAGTGCAGGCTACTATGCTGCAATAATAGGTTGTTGATATTTTGATTATTTATAATCACAGTACCTAGCTTGATGCTTATAATAAGGCATATAATGTACTTACACCTACTATTAGTATAATAATCAATCAAGATCAGTATAGTCATATCTTGTCCATAATCTGTCTAATAACAGCTCAATTCCATATTGTTATAATCACGACTTATCAGGCCTAAATGGCGGTCTATTCCAATATGATCATCACAAATACTAGGCAGCCTCATAGGTTGAGGTGTACATCAAGGTACAGGTAATAATATTGGTCATCCACTCCCAATGGATCACCCATCATTGGTCAAGTATTACGAGCCTTTATTGTAGCGGGCATCCTTCCCTGCCTTATAAACTACTCACACACAGGGCATGGAGCTCCTAGTCTTTCCTGGCCAGAAGGAGACAAATGGAGAAGCACAAGAGTAGTCACCCTGAGAGAGATAACTTAGGAGAATACCTATAGATACATATTCGGTATTCTCATGCCCTATTTCCTAAAGTAGTATAAAAGGCCCATAGAGTAGGCTGGTGGACTTCAGTCTATTCTCCTTCGTTCAGTACTGTCTTCCTATAGTACTCCTTCATTCCCTGCAGTCTTCCTACTGCAGTCACTACTGCCCCTTGTATCCTCGAATACAAGACATTGCAATATACCTCTGGCTCCTGTGCTACGTATATAGTTGAGATCATTGTTCCACCCTTCCTCTACGAGTGACCTAGGGAAGAACCTCCTACTCTTGGGGTTACCAAACGAGCAGTTTGTAACACATATATCCATGTAGGCCTTGGTAAACACAACTGCATGCTTATAAGTCATAAAGCTTACAGTCTTTCAAATATGGTTAACACTCTTGTTTCTACACTCTGTAGCACTTGTATTTATTGACTGTATCCTCTCGTTAAACTACATTAGGTTACTTGCAAAGCAGGCTTGACCATAGCATATATAATCATATATGTGCATCTCATTGATGAGAAATTGAGTGTTACAAAAATATCATGCTTCTTGCACAAGGTAGTAAGGTGTGGATTGACAAGCAAGATCATATACAATGATTTTTGGAGCTTGAGGGAAATGAGTATATATAGCAGAGAACACATCATTCTGGCCCTCTATAGTAGGAATTAAATAAAAGCCAAGACAAATAGAGTGCATGCACCAAAGCACTAGTATTCCACTAGTAAGGTTATTCCATGAATAGGCCTTGTAGAACTTCTTGTAGTTACCTATCTCGTCAATATCAAGATCATATGGTTTATAGTCATACTGAAGTTTGCTATAGACTCTGTGTATTCAGATTAGCAAAAGCCTGTAGCATGTTCCTATCTCATTCCAGTTATCTTCTTGAAGTAAAACCAGGGGACTGGGGTTATGTTGTGCTAAGTGGTTATAGACCTCGGATGCCCAAGAGGCCAGCCATTTCACAACATATAATACTTGTAATAGCATCTGGGTTGTCTCCTTGGCATAAGCATTTATAATAACACTAAAAGCCAGACAAAGTAATTATAGCCAACTTACAGTAATACCTGTTAAAGCAAAATTTTCAAGGGGTTCAATAGCTGTATATGGTACTAGCTATAAAATAATATCTGATACAGCAATCTAATAAAGAAGACTTTGATATGCCTTCTAAACTTAAGCACTCAGTGCTCAATTATGCAAGAGGATGATGAAGCTTGCAAGGTCTGAATACTTCACACAAAGCTTGGCCCAGTCCAGATAATTGAGCTAGGCAGTGTAGTAGCAGTAGCATCAAGAAATTTATTGATACCTCCTCAAATATTAGCCTTGATGATGGCCGGCAATTGATGAGCCTTGTATGTAGAAATTGAATCAATCGTTTTACTTGACTAGTCAGTATATATTGGTGGTTTTACCACAGCAGTTAATTTTGAGCTATGTGTGCCAAGACTGACATTATATGCAATTACAATACTTGAATTTGGTCCATAGGTTGGATAAGCCATTCCACTGTCTAATTTTTGAAGCTGTACAAATGCAAACTAGGCACAAACAAAGGTTTCATCAAAGCAAAATTTGTTTCCAAAAGAGTGCTCTTTATAGCTATGCTAAACTATTGCACAGAAAGCTGAGAATGGAGTCTTGGAGGTTGTAAAGGTACTAGTGAATGTATTAAGCAATTTATGTGTAAACAAGTGCAAGTTATTCCAGTTGAATATACTAATATTTTCTAACTTTGGACCAATAAGGCACTGCCAATGACAATAAACTAGATATAGTAGTATATTAATGGTTGCTTTATATTTGTTTGTAAAGCCAAAGACTGTAGCAGACTGCAAGATAAATCCTTCACTAGTCTATGGTTCAAAGCCACAGCAGCACTAAGATGCAACTCCTAGAACAAAATGCATGCTATTGGTACTAAGACAAAAAACATAAAGTGAAGCTTCATGAGGCAATGAGCACTAGCATGGCAGAGGGATAGATGTATGCAAAATACACCCTTGTAGACTCAAGCCATTGTCTTGACCACCAGCTTTCATAAGCAATATATTTTCTTTATTGGAAGCTTCACTTCTGAGATGTTTATCGTAAGGCAGGCCATCTGGAAAACCACCCCATTGTATTAAGCTCTAATTAGTTCTATTTATGCATCACAAAGTAAGTCCTACTTACCAATTTCAAGTGTGAATTTACCAAGCAACTGAACCAAACCAGTCATTCCATTGCTGGTAACATGTCCTCCATATCGAATTCCTTCAAAATAGCACAGTATATTGCACTTGTGGTATAAAAACCACAGAAAGTCCAGTTGGGTTGGTTGACATGAAACATGGTTTCCCCTTCCCACTTGAATTTCCCTCCAAGCTGTGCTTCAGCCCACCATTGCAACTTGTGAATAACACCTTGCAGGACCACAAGGCCTTGATGAAATAAGCTATCTCCTGTAAGTTTGACTTAGTTTTTGCATCCGGGGGCGACACGCTCATGTTTACCCACCACTACCTATAGTGTTCTTTGAATAATCGACCTCCATCGCAATAAAATGCCTCTCTGTGCTCAAAAACACCGGGAAGACTAGTCGGTGACGCTTTGAACGTAGCATTGCCTCAAGTTTGATGAGAAACCATGGCAGGCATGAGGATTGGTAATAATCTCAATTTTGGGCCTTGTTAAGCTCATTCCAAACCTTGAGGCCCATGACCGCAGCTTCTGGTTCTGACATTTGAGGCATTGTGTTCTCTGCAACCTAATGAACCATCATGTCCACCACTGCTGTACTAACCATCCTATCTGACAGGATGATTGCCAAATCAGCAGTACATGTGTAAGTTAAAGCACCATGGACATCAAGTGTTGCTGACCAGGAAAGTGTACATAGCTACATTGCAACCATCCTAGTGGTATCACTGAACTGCTGATCTAAAACCCAGACCATGGCTTCCTTCCAGGCTCGCTGTCTCTCAAGAACCCAATCCATCTCTTGCCACAATATCACTGTCCATAATGGGAGTCATCCTCCAAGGTAACGTGGATCTTGAATTGCCTGTGCACCATTGAGAATTGCCTGACCAGCCAATATCACAGTAGCACGAATGGCTTCTTTGTGCGGGATACTTCTTTCAGATAAGCAAGATGCTAATAGGTTTGGAGGGTTGTTGGTGAAGAGTTTGTTTGCATGCTGCTCCACAATGCTGTGGTCCTGATGCAGCAAAGGGAGCCAAATGAATTCATGCACAAAAAGGTGTTCTTGAGGTAAGAGGCCAACTGTATACTTGTCAGGAATCCGCATTAGGTTATCAATATATGCCTGGAGCGCCTGAGGAATATCAGCAGGGTTTGTAGGAAATTCTCTGCCAACATCTATCCATTCCTTGACATCAAGTGCGGGGATTTCATTGTCATCAAGGATCAAGATAACTATTCTTGAGTAAAGAAGCTGAGATATTGAGAAGCTGAGAAGTTGTGAAGTGAGTGAGATGTGTGATGTGTTTACGATACTGAGTAATCTGAGAGAGTTCACTGAGAGTTCTGACAGTCAAGTTGGGCATTTTTTTGCTGCGGAAATTGGGTAAATCAAACAGATTATCTACCCAGCGGTCCCTGAAAGGTCTGACTACCGGAACCATATCATACCCCCCCAAAATAGGGTCATGCTACCGGGAAAAAGCTCATATATTGGGTCCCAAAATGGTCCCCTAGACTACCGAAATTTCTCAGAGCAGCGGCGCTATGCACTGCCCCACTACCGTGGGAAAATCATACATCTGGCGGGATTGCCGGGGGTCCTATTTTCACTCCTGGGTTTGATCATTTGGAAGCAGACCTTAACACAGAACGACTGCAATCTTCTGTGTTGGTCAGCAACGGAGACTAACTCCAAGCCCACTCCATCAATGGAGAGGGACCGAATTCTTGAGTCCCTCAAACTGCGCCATGCCAACAACACGGCGCATGGTCAGAACGGAACATGGAACATATTAGGACGGGGCACGAGGACTGGGAATCTCCTGTACTCCCGAGCCGCATTGGCCATGCGCTCGTCCTCTTTCTACTCTTGCTGACGTTCAATGCTGGCTACATAAATAGAACAGGTCTTCAGTATTGATGAATTTAGACATCCCCCAAACCCAACTTTTGTTCCTAGTATGAATTACCTCACGGTTTCACCTCATCCAACATATACTTCTGAGCCGCAGGGAAGAGCAGTCGACCTCGACCATGTCCCGACCTCATACTATGGAGCTACCCCAGTCCCAGCTTCGGAGCACAGCGGTGGGCAAATGCTGGTAATGCCGCATCTACGTTCGCCCAAAATGATCCATTATGTTTACGAGGTCTCATTTCTGCCAAGTCTCATGGGAATCATCCGGACCTCAGTGCATGGCAGATACAACCCCAGGCCAACGACGGAGTTGCGCATTCTTTCCATCATCCACCAGCCACCTACTGGCCCCCGAACACTCACACTGCTCAGGCTCCGATACCGAGGCAGTACTCGCACACTCTGCAAAGCGTTAACGCGGGAACACCGGGTCCAGCGGTATGTCTATATCCCTCTCATTCACCTCCGCAGTATCATCTCACCTTCTCATCTGGGCCTTCATACTCAGTTCTACCAAGAGATGAGGTCTACGGTAATGCCTACATCCACCAGCCCGACTCAGGGCCAGGTTAGTGCTCCGTATGGTGGGTACTACTATGGACAGGTCGACTCGGTAAGTTCATCTCACATAGTGTCTTACTCCTGTTATGACTACTTATTGATTATGGGGTATCCAGGCTGCGTCTGCAGCCACTCAGATGTCTTCCGCAGCAACGTGGTCTCAACTCTCCGGCGAGACTGCGCACTCCACCTATCATCGTACTCAAGGTATAGCAATGGATACGAGCACCGCTTATCCCTATGGCCAGAGCTTCACGCCTAGTGCCCAAGCGGCGGCAGCGGCCACCTATGCAGCCCCGTCTGACACGGCTTCGTCCCATGTGTATTGGGCTCAGCCATCCGGCGTGACCGACGACACTCGTGGGCCAGCGCTCGCGAGCTCAGCCCAACCTCAGAACGGCGGACTCTCTTTGTCCATCCCAACCCATGACTATGTCGAGCCTCAGGGTGTGTCCGAGGCCAGGCAATTGTACGCTGCCCCAATTCTGCCCGTCGTTTTCCACAGCTATCATGACGGCCCACGCATGTCGATCACTGTTGAGTTGTACCCACGCAGCGAGATGCCAGTCGCTTCCTCAAATTTCCATGGCTTGTGTTGACGAATTCCCTCCGTTTCTTTCCTTGTCTCGTTTTTGTTGTTTTGTTTTTCTTGTTCTGACAAATCCCGCCCGATGTCGCTGTCGTTGCTCTCGATCCGCTTTCCAAGTTTTCATCACGTTGCACGGTACGTACATACATACACGTAGGGGGATCTTAACCGCTTCTACAGCATAACATACCAACTGTCTAGCTTTCGATACATGGGCGGGGAGTGCTGCGAGACACTGTAAGTAGCTGCGAGGGAAGTGGGTCGGGTCAGGTCAGGTTAGAGACGAGGCATGTACAGTACATAGATCCACTGGTACAACTTTCGCAGAGCGCTGCAAAACATGGCGAGGAGAAAGAAGATGTGTATGTGGAAGGACGAGGTATGAATTCCAGGATAGATCAGACCGGTATATCATAAAGGATAGACAAGAGGCGACGGCGACGGCGAGGAACAGAGAAATGGCGCATACAGAACGGGACGGAGGGAACGCTATTCCATACAACAAGAAGAATGAAGTGAAATGAGAAAGATGAGCAATCAAAAAAAGAACCCGGCAACGACTTCATCCACCCGCCTACGACATGTCCAGCACCGACGTCTCCAGCAGCCGGAACTGCGTCGTGTCCTTCGAGTGCTCCGACCACCCGACGACCTCGCGCCAGTTGTGCGCGTTGGCCTCCTTCTCGCCCGCTCCCGCGAACGTCTCGGCCTCCTCCTCCGACAGCCCGCGGAAGATGAGGAACAAGCGCGTGAACACCGCGTCCGCCGTGACCGCCATGTCGACCGCCGCGGCGATGCGCGCGGGCGAGAGGAACCGGTACGCAATGTAGCGGTGCATCGCGAAGGAGTGCAGGTGGGTGCTGATGGATGCAATCGAGGTGGGTGAGCGTGCGGGGGAAAGAGCAAGGGAGACGCGTACTTGATGAAATCGGTGCGAGCGTGCACCGACATGCCCAACTGGTCTAGCACCCCCATCAGGTGCGGCAAAAAGTCGTTGAACGGCATCGCAAAGCTGTTCCTAGGGGCTACAAAGTCGGCAGGATCGAGCATCGTCGCGTCGGGCCTGCATCGAATCCCTTCCGTCAGCCTTGTAAAACAAGTCGTTCGGAGGGCCGCGCGCACATGACTTCGTAATAGATCGACGACGCGACCATCTCGGTCTCAAAGTGCTCAAACCCGCCGCCGGGGTGCACGCGGAGGAAATACTTGACTTTGCCCTCCTCGAGGGTCTCCGCGGTGGGCCACGTGATCCCCATCGTCCACATTGGCGCGCACTGGAGCGTGACCTCGCAATACTGCGTCGACGGCGCGATGAGACTCAAACGGCAGCGCGCGACCGGGGGCTTCGCGGCGACGGCGAGCTTCGTGATCACGCGCGTGTCGACAAGCAGCTCGGGCGGGACATCTTCGCCCTGCAGGCGGGTGCCGGAGAACTCCATCTTGTGCGTGTCGCCGTCGTGCACGATGTCGAGCTTGCCCCAGAACATGCCGTCGACGGTCGTGCCGTCCTCCATGCGGGCCATGTCGAGCTCATCAGACGAGACGGTCGTGTCAAGGGCGACATGTTGGCCCGGGGTTAGCTCAAGGTTAAACGTCGCGGGCATCTCGAGGACGGGGGGCGGGCTAATGAAGCAAAAAATCAGCATTCAGAGTAGAATAGGAGGGGGCGGTACGAATAGGGACTTACGGCGGCGGACTGCGGAGATATGGGACGGATCAACGAATGAGAGCGCCAGACCGGGACAGAGAGGGAAGAAGAGATACGTACGGAGGTTCGTCGGGTGGCGGGGGACCGTCACTGACGATCTCGACGCGGAGACCGGGAACGCCCATGGTGGCGATCTGGTACGAGTCTTCGCTGGTCAACTGAGGGAGAACGGGACATGAGGGCCGAGCGAGGCTGTGCGAAGGGGAGGGGGATACGGACGTATATATAATCACCAGACACGAGGCGCTTTGGGACGGTTAGTAGGAAACCTAGGAGAGGGATGGTTGGGGCTCACGGCGGTATGTATGCTAACGAAATCTATTGGGACACGGAGACTAAAGACAGCGTCGGGAGGAGGCTTGATCCAGTCTCGTGCCAAGGCGTCGAGCTCCTGGAGTGGAAGGCCGTATGAAGAGAGAGGAAATGGGGAGGGGAATGGGAAAGCGCACCGCAAATGTAGCTGGGAGCTGAGACGACGAAGAGGATGAGAACGAGGGTAATGGTGGGCGGGTAAGACGCACCATGCGAACTGTCTCCATGTCGATGTAGACGAGGGTGAGGAGGCGCTGCCTGCTGAGGGCGTTCTGAGCCTGTTGGCGCATGTCTGTGTCCTTGCTCTGGTTATTGTTTCTGTTGCCGGAGCCCTTGAACTTGCTCCAGAAGGAGCCCGAGGGCAAGCTTGAGTTTGTGGATCTGGAAGACATAGCAGAGTGAGGGGCCGAACGAGTGAGAGGAAGGAGAGATGAGGAGGAGGGGGGTGCGTACGCGGGGGAGATAAGCATTGGAGAATTGAGAACGAGGAGAGGCAAAGCGAGGAGATGATCGAGCTGGGACGGAGACCGTCTTCCATCTGGCTGTGTCCCCGATCTGCAGGCGGAGAGCAGCCCTTGGCCCAGCGGCTCCGGGCACGTGCCCTCCCCTCCTGCTTCTTCCCTCGCGCCTGTCCTGTCCTCCCGCCAGCAAAAAATGCTCCGCTCGTCCTGGGCCCGTCTCCCTGCCCCCGTCCGCGGCCCCCGTCCCCGCACCCTCGTCTCCACCGTCCTCCTCAGCAAGAACTGGGACACCCACTCCCTCTCCGACCTCAAGTCAGAGGCAAAGCAGCGCGGCCTTCCCCAGTGCGTTGTCCATCTTATCCCCTGTCACCTGCCGTCACGCCCCGTGCGCGCTAACTCGACGCTCCGTTCCTTTGTTCAAGGAGGGGAAACAGAGCGACCCTCATCACACGCATCAAGGAGCACGATCAGCAGTCCCCCCTCCAGCCCGCCCACGTCCCCGCGTCCCGTGAGCCCCCAGTCCCTGCCCTCGTCCGCAACGCGTCCGCCGCCCCCGCGTCCAGCACCCCTCCCCCTGCATCCAGCGCTCCTCCTCCCCCATCTACCCCGTCTCCCGTCGCCGCGTTCCCCAGCCAGTCCCTCGACATCCACCTCCCAGACCTCTCCGCCCCCTACCCGGAGCTACCCGTCCAAATCGTACGTCGATTCCCTCCTCTTCGCCTCCTCCCTCTTGCCCCGCCCCCGATCCCCATCCTTCCCACACCTCTTCCCACGTCTCTGACTCACAACTCACACCTCCTCCCTCCGACTCAACCAGCCCTTCGTCCCCGACTTCTGGGACTCCTTCCGCGTCAAAGCAGCCTCTGCCCCTCCTCCTCCCTCCGAGCTCCCAGTCCCAAAAATTCTCGTCGTCGCTGGCTCCGCCACCCACCCCGCCGGCGGCCCCACCTTCAACCTCTCCTCCGCCGTAGAGTCCCTCGCCACCGTCGATGCTCCCTCCGCCACCGCACCCTCCGCCTCCGCCACGCCCGCCACGGGCGTGCGCGGCTTCTGGGCCGACGTAGCAGGCGACCTCGGGATCCCCACGACGCTCGCGCTCCCAGGCGCTGCCCGCGCGCAGCAAAAGGCACTCATCGAGAGCCTGCCGGACGAGGCGACCTCGCTCAGCGCACAGCGCGAACACCACGCCCGCACGCTCGACGCGGACGAGCGCAAGGGCGTCTGGGTCGTGCTCGGTGTTCTCGCCGGCTCGTGGCTTGCCGGCGGGCTGCTGAGCAGGGAGGCCCAGTTTGCGGAGCACGCTGCGGTCGCGGAGGAGGCGAAGCACGAGTGAGATGTCGGGCTCGGTATGTATCAGGGAACTCTCCATTCCTAATCCGCTTGGATACATAGCATACTGCACACACTCTATTGGTCTCTGTCATTCCGCTATAGAGCGTCTTGGTGTGTCTGCCTGCAATTTACCATACGTACCGCACACCTTCGCCCAAACGGGCCCTGCGCACTCTCGGAGATATCCGGAAGCTGCGCTCCCGACGCGACCACGGTGACGCAAATGTGGCTGAACAGGAGCTCGTTCTGAAAGCGCTTGTCTATATACGCAAATGTAGGTATCCTGAGCCGCCAGAGCATTCCTCTCGACGCGGCCCGACCAGAAACATTTCGACGCTCGACCTAGCTCTGGCATCCACGATATCCACAAGTTTACGCTCGCGGTTCTCCCGCAGGCAAGTAAGACACCAGCGCGTACCTGCACGCACGCCACCAACGGACCGTCAGCGAGCCACAACCCCGGTCCGACGAGCACGCGCACATAAAATAAAAACACGCACCGGCCGCTCGTGCGCCACTTCTCGCCGCGCGCGTCGAGCGCGGCCGCGATAGCCTCCGGGATGCCGACCGCGACGTCCGCCTTGTTCGTGCGCAGGCTGAGCAGCGGGAACGCGCCCGCGAGCGGACCTGTGCGCGCGTGAGCACAACGTGCGCCGATCGCGCGGTCGGGACGCAATAAGCGGTCTCGTCAGCGAAAGGAAAGGCCGCGGCAGGCGGGTGGGCGAGCGAGACAGACAGACTCGCCTGTGGCGGTGGAGAAGGGGGTGGAGACGGGCCATTGGACGTCGCCTGTGAGCTTGCGGTAGCTAGATGGGACCGTGCGCGCTCGAGGTGAACGCTCGACGAAGTCTCGGCGCCTGCCACTCACTTGAGATCACCCTGCACGGCGCGAAACGGACGAAATCAGCGTCGGCCGCACGGCCCGTCAGCACCGCGCGCGCACCTTGAACACGACCAGCCCGCTCCCCCGCAGCTCCCCCCACAGCGCGGGCGCGTGCGCGCGCATATCCCAATACGGCCACGGGCTCGTCCAGAACTCCGCCAGAGCGCTCCGCGCACCGAGCGGCGCGTCGCGGGGGACCGAGAGCGCGAAGACGCCCGAGGCGAAGTAGGCGGTCCAGCGCGCGACAAGGGCGTGCAGGTGCGCTGAGGAGGGGGATGGGGACGGAGACGGAGATGCGTCGGTCGAGGGGGGCGTGGAGGACGCCGGCGGCGGGGGGAAGAAGGTCGGGGAGAGGAGCGCGGTGAGGGTTGCCGCGAAGTCGGGCGGGGTGACGTCCGAGACGAACCACGGGATAAGCTTGGGGCTGAGACGAGGCGCCCGGATGGCACGGTGAGGTGGATAGCGCTGCGTGGGAGATGGCTTGGACATGAAGGGACACGTACTGGAATGTGACGTGCGAGACGTAGGGCGTGTACGTCACCAGAAAATCGGCGAACACCAGGTCCGTGTAGAGCTGTTTGTCCGGCGCAAGCGCGGCTCTGTCTGCTTCTGCGATCCTGCTTCGGACAAATAAGGACGCACCTCGAAGCCGGCTGCACGACGTGCTCCACTGCTCGAACTGTCATCTGCCGCTCAATGTGCAAGGACCACGCACCGTTATCGAGGACGAAGTCCACGCGGGCATCTTTGAGCGTCTTGACGTGCTCCCAGACGGCATTCTGGTCGTCCTTGAGGATGAATTCCTGGCGTGCCTGCTGGGCTTCCTTACCAACCGATTGCAGATGCTGGATGTCTTCGTGCGTCATGTGTGTGAGTAACGAGAGGTCCTGGATGTATGCAATGTAGGGCTGGTCGATGGCTGGGGAGGACGGACGAGACATACGGTAGCGTTTCCCCTGTGATGACGAATGAATAAAGTGCAAGTGCGTGGGTGAAGCCCATCCTTACGCACCACAGACACATCTGTATCATCTCCTTGAAGAGGACTTGGAGCTTGTCCGGATCAGACTCGAGCGCCGACTTCTCTTCCTCAAGCTCATGCATTGTAGTTGCAAGCTCTGGAAGGAGGATGTGCATCAGCTGGCAAGATCTAGAGGAGTCTCAACAGGGTAGAGACGGGCATACGATGGATCGCCGTCCCGCTGGCCTGGAAGGTCGCCTCCTTCTGCGCATAGAAGGGATCAAACGCGCGCCAGTGCTTCGTCTGAGCGAAATACGCGCGGATGAAGCGATAGCTGACCACGGCCGGTCAGGCTACATCTGCACCGAAAGCGACTCAAACTTACAGATAACATCTGTCGGAGCAGTGCAGATCGAAGCGGTGAGACATTTGGCGATCGGTCGTGTAGGCACCTACTCTGCGAACAGCCACGGAGCGGTGAACCATGTGTTCTTGCCGTCTTTCTCCAAGCGCGCCAGCTCGGCATTGTATATGTCTACCATGGGCTCCCCGTCCTCTGGTACGGGTCTTTTGCCGATCTCATCGTCAGGGTGTATACCAATCAAGCCAAACTCTCTTACTCGAGTGGCCTGTCCCTGCCCATCTGGTATTTCAGTCGGCTGAAGTTCTCGATGAGGACCTTGCCCTCCGTGATCCTCGCCTCGTTTTTGGGTATTTGATCATCGCTTGCATCGACGACGTTCAGATCCTCGATCGAGGAATCGTGGTTGGTGCGATATACGGTATCTATGATGCCCGTGAGGATTACGGGCCATCGTTTGACGACTGTCTCATAGCTAGAGGTGTTTTGTTGGGACGACCGGTCAACTGGGTTCGTCGCTGATGCAGCATGGGCACTGACGAGAAGCTGTGGATTGCGCAGACGGAAGGTTGAGATGCTGCCGGCGTGATCGGTGACTGTTCGTTCTTACCCGGACTTGTCGAGGGGATCGTAAGGCAGATACGGTGCTTCGAACATTGTGCGCTTCCAAGGGTGTAGACGCGTAGATCTCAGATAGCCGAGCGAGCTCAGGTGAAGAGGCGGCGGCGTCGATGACTACTTGCGGAGACTTGCGGTATCCCGGCCCGCCCTTCCCCCTCAAACGGCGGTCAGTTACTACTTGGACCTGTTCTTTCGAGTGCTCGACGGAGTGAGCGACTGTCTTCACCATCTTCATTCCAAAGGCTGATTCTGCAGGGAGCCTATTCTCCTCAACGCCTCTCGCGTCTCCCAACGAACAACGTGGCGCAGGGCACGATCAACGCGCAAACATCATGTTTTCTCCTGTCCGCTCGCGACCGCCTCGCCTCCCTCTCGCTCTCTTGCGCTCCCGTCCGCGCCTTCTGAGCACCACAGCCCCCGTCCATGACCTCATCGGCCCATCAGACCCGCTGTCCAACCTCCGCCCCGTCATCTACACCGACGGCCCCTCGTCCTCGTCCTCGTCCTCGCCTTCGCCATCGCCCCCCGCCATCCGCCGGCACCCGTACTCCCTCACCGAGTTCCGCCTGCGCACCAAAGCCCCCGGCGCACGGGAGGTCGGGCCCGGCGCCGAGCCCGCCCTCGCCTACCGGTGGCGCCTGCAAAAGCAGCAGCTCGACGCGTTCAACCACGCCTTCTGGGCAGACGTACGTCCCCTCCCCTCCCCTCCTTTCCCCGCTCTCTCTGACATCCTCACCCACTCACCCGCTGTTGCACCAGAGCAACGCCCGCTTTGACGCCTCGCTCGCCTCCGCCGTCGCCGGCACCGCCCCCTCCTCTCCTCAGCACGAGCGCGCCCTCAACGCCTTCTACGGCCGCTGGGTCCACGCCGAGGCTGTCCGCCAGGAAGAGTACAACCGCGAGTGGCGCCGCCGCAGCGTGGAGGAGATCAAGCTCGCGTTTCGCGTCTCATGGCAGCGGCTCCTTGCTCGGTTTACAGCCGCATGACCTCGTTACTTCGTTCTTCCTCATCAGCGCATTGCTGGGATCACACAGTGTACAGCACCGTTGACGACAGACACCGTTTTTTTTTCACATCCCTGAGATGCAAGATGCATATGCTCATAACATGTATGTACTTTTGGAAAAAAACAAAGACAACCCTACACACCGCGCGCCCGACAAACTCGCTAGTCGTCAGTGTCAGTCCACTCGCCTACACGCTCAAAAACTCCACCATCACCAGCTCCTTCGTGCGTTCATACACGTCCTCTAGATCAAGCGCCTCCACCCGCCTCGCCTCATCGCGGTAGTCCTCCGCGAGCGCCTCCACCTGCTCGGGCGCCATCCCCGACCACCGCGCCGCGATCTCCGCCAGATCTGGCACCGGGTCCTCCCCGCCGGTGGCCCCGTCACCCTGAGGGTGGCTCACGCGGTGGACGCGCGGGCCTGACCCGAGCGCCTGCGAGGGCGTGAGGATATAGCCTGGCGGGGTGTGCTGCTTTGCAAACGTCGCGGAGAGGGCGGTGTAGAGGGCGGTCGAGCGGAAGCGCTCGTTGAGCGTCTCGTCGGTGATCCCTGCGGTCTGGCGGATGGCGTCCCAGCTGGGACGAGAACGGAGTGGGTAAGAACAGAGGACGAGGCGAAAAGGGGACCGGGAATAGAGAAAGAGGACGTACTCGTCGTGGGCGTAAATTCGCCGCCAGACGGCTCGGAACGCGGTGAGCCGCCTGCCTTCGGGCAGATTCTGAGGTCACAAATAAAGAAAGATCGAACGTCAATCTCGTTGCGGATTTCACGTGACCGGAAAGAGAACAACGCACCCTCGCGCACGAGAGGAGATGCAGCGCCGTCGCGTAGTCCTCGATGGTATCCACGTTATCCTTCAGCGACAGCACGTCCGCGGCGTCCTCAACGGTTAACGCATTACCCCGCAGCAACTCACGCACGAGCTGCTTGAACACCTGTACATGATATCAATTTACATGCCATGGCTCGTTTCGTGTGCAGGTCGAAACGCGGAAAGAGACTAACCAGCGGCAGCGACCGTTTATCCCCGAGCTTGCTTGCTTTCGCTTTCAAGATCGTCTCAGCCTGCGCGTCGACCGATTGCTTGCCGCGAGAGGGCGACAATGCCTCCTTGAGCTCCGCAAGGAGGGCTTCATGCACGCTGACGAAGTCGAGGCCGTCATGGAACGCTATCGCGAAGGTCGCAAAACTGTTGGTCGAATGGTTCGACGCACACGACGAGTATGTAATGGATGCTCACATTCCAGTAAGTTTTCTTCGTCCTTGGCACCACTCTCTTGCAAGTGTGCGAGGTGTGAGAGCTTGCCGATGCTGAGCATCAACTGAATGAACACACGTGTCAGCCGTTTTCAGCATTGATCCTCGCGATGAATGGCCTACGCACCGCCTTGGCTGACAAGTCCCCTGCATCCTGACCTTGCGACAGCAGCGTCTCCGATGCGGCGCTCCACCTGCGCTTACCCATATCGCGGATCCAGGAGATCGATGGGTGTGAGAACTTCGCGAAGTACCGGTCCACATAATCTCCGTATGCGTCCTCCTGTGCGATCATGGCACGGAGCTCGCCTGCACGACACGAGCATGAGAAAAACTAAACAAGACGGAAAAGTATAATAGCGTACCGTGCTCGATATACCAATGGTACAGCTCCTCCGTGAACTCGTCCCGGAACTTCTCTATGTATGCGTGAATGCTATTGGCGTGCGGATTCGCCTCGAGCGGATACACGGCGTCCTTGTTGCAGAGCGATGCAAGACTCCGGAAGTCCCTATACTTCTCGGCGAGTTGGAAAGCGTGGTCCCCGAACCCGTTTCTCCCTAGGCCACCGATGTCAGGCCTGGAAAAGACAAACGAAGAGAAACATACGAAGGGTGTCGAGGACCTCCGGCCTCAGCTGCCGGAAACGATCACCCAGCAGCAGCCGCTCACGCTCTTTCCCTTGCTCCTCGCTGACAGCAGAGCTGCGACATCGCATCTGATAATTAGTAGCCGTGCAACGCAACAACGTACCTGACCTACCTCTTCAGCCAATCTAGCCGCTCCGTCATGGACGCGAATATCACCGACGCGAGCTCTGGCAGCTGACTCCTGGGCTCGCTCGTCGAACGGGCAGAACTGTCGTTCCCAGGGGCTTCGACAAGTGCAGTGGTTGTGTCAAATAGCTCGATCGCGATGTCAATCGTCTGTAGTCTGCTCGTCCAGGGCTTGATGAATGGCAGCTCGATGCCGTACACCCCGCCGTTGTACTCTCGGTACTCAAGGGCTGAATTCAACATCAACTGAATCTAGGCATCAGCGTAGAGATGGAACCGACGAGACAAAAACGCACCAAGACGACACTGTTGGCCTCCCAGAGAGCTTTCCAAGCCTCTGCAGGTGCTTCGTGGATACTCTTGCGTGTGATGTCCATAACGTACGGGAGTAACCTCCCAAGGTCGTCGACCCGAAGCCGGAAGAATGCCCGCAGGAAGTCGACATGATGACCCTCACCGGTGCTGTTCATATAGATATAGATTGCTGATTTCAATACGCTGAAAACTGATCCATTTCTTCATGGCTCATGAGCCTCGGTATAGCCTATAAAGGGGCTCCACGCACGATAAATAGTCGTTCAGTGTCTGCCAGAGTTGTTGGGCCGCATACAACTTCTCTGCATCTGTCGCCAAACGCTGTCTACTTCGTTGCGAGATCTGAAACGAATGGATTCTCATCGATTTATAGACAGTTGCGTTGACCTTTTACCTTGCCTAGAACACCATTCTCGTTGATGAACTTGATGAGGAAACTCAAGCGCTCTTTGCGTGTCGTCATTTGAGACGTGAGGTCATCATTTGGTTGCACAACCAGATGGTCTACTCAGGGTCAGTCTGCGAATATGGCAAGGAAAAAGAACAAGCGCACCCGATTCTAGGATCGCACGGCTAAGCTGTTCAGCTCCAGACATTAGGCTATCCTCGTCAATCTCAGGTGGAAAGCTGAAATGCAAAGGGTTCTGAAAGTGGGGTTCATACCTTCCAGAAGAAGATAAGATAGTGCCCACAGTACCTCTGGAAGTGATCCGAATTTAATGGCCTGACTCATGATAGACTGTATGAGAGTGCTTCGTCCAGTCCTGCCGCGAAATAAACATCAGGCTCTGATGAAAAGTAGAACAGTGAAGATGCATTACGCAGGGTCAAAATTAGCCACTTTGTCGCTGTCGACGGTGGCTTTCATCACGGTGGCGGCCGTCAAAACAAGCAATTCACTCTGGTCGCTCACAATGCCCACACCAAGCATGCGATCCGCAGCTGACTTGAGCCGTATACGGTCTTTGTACTCGGTGTCTGTGAAGTGACGTTGACGAGCATCTACGAAGTGATTCTACAAAAGGAACGAACCTTTAGCACATATTGTGATTGCATCACCGAAGTGAACAACAAGTAGCGCATCTTTAGGTATCAGTTGTAGTTGTGGCTGCATCGGGGCTTCAGTAGCGCCGAACGTCTGTAGTCACAATGAGCTTTTGTTGAGAAAATAGCGATTCGATGACATACGCTCTGGTAAGGCACACTCATGACATTCTCAACTTTCAAAGTCCCTGCTAATACAGATACCTGAATAAGCGAATATATTCGACGGGGAGTAGGCCCAATGCTGATTGGCAGATCGTCCTCCGTGCCACTATGAGAGGTCAAGAACACCAAGCTTTCAGAACTGGAGAGGAACATCATTTCAGTGGCGTAGATTACAAGAGCGAATGGTTATATCACCTCTCGACTACTAAATCCAGCAACTCGATGTCTATATAAGCATTCGGCGTTGAAGGAGGACTGATCGATTCTTGCAAGGCTGGACGAATGATACCCATGAGGTCTTCCTCCAAAGTGATCTCTTCCCAGCCTTCGGACGACATATTCCACTGCTGTATTCGAGAATCGATTAAAGCCCAGACATCCGTACCAAGATTATTCTTGGTACCCAAAGCAACGGCAATAATATTCCCTGCTTCAGGCTGTAGAATTGGTGCTGCCCACAGACTCGGGAAAAAGCGCGATAACGACAGTGATGAATGAGGGCGAGAGAACAATCGAGATGTCAAATGGTATTTCCCTCCTGTCGATGTCAGTGTGAAACGAAAGAGGCGGCCACTTGAGGTAGACGCGACGTAGGTTTGTGGCTAATCATGATAGAAACGATGAACTCCAGTTCCAATTAGCCTCAGACGCACTCACATCGGATCTGGTCAACGAGGTTGTACTCTCTCCGGGTTCGAGCTCTAGCTGAGTTGTGGAGAACCGATCTCCCCCTGCGAGGCCAATACCAATGCTGTCCCAGAAGCGGATCTCTCCAGAATTGGATAAGAGTATGAGACCTGGTTCACGAGAAGCACCATATGGGACGAAGGCGTGAAGTGGAGCGTTTTGGGAGTAGTCGATTGGGCAAGAAAATATATAGCAAGTGGGGGTTCCAGCGAGAGCCTATAAGCGGTTGAACATAGAGTGATAAAATGAATATGCGACCTCGGTGACAAGCTCCGTACTCACTTGGGAATGGTGCCACACGAAACATGTAAGGGAGGTTGCGACCAATGCGAACCCAGTCAACGTATCGACACGGCCGGTATACGCGTCGCGAAAGAAGTCTGTCAAAAGCTTGAGCATTTCAATGCAATTGTCACGAAGCTAACCGAGACGCACCAGCAGTCCTTAATATTTGTTTCACCTCCGCAGGGAGATGCGCATGAAATGCCACCAGCATTTCATTGGATTGGGCGAACACAGTATCCGGTCGAATACCTCTTTGGTGCAGCGCCCCATCATCAACGTCCATCCCAGATACGACGGAGACATCCCTGGCAGCTGACTGTCGATGTTCAACGCCACGCGCAGGTGTAGAGAACCGCGAAGCAGGTTTGCTTGCACCGCGGGTTGTACGCCTCGGAGGAGGTATAGTACCAGGGGGACGCGACACAGGACGATTCGTACGTCGAGCCATAGGTGGAGCGTTATACATTGCCATGATAAAGAGTTTTTGTCGAGGACACTGTCGATGCCGATGAGGACAATACCCAGATCTGAGTTTGAGACGCGTCGCGAACGTCACCAAACATATGTAAACATATACCCTTCAGACATCCGACATCGCCATGCTCGTCGCAGGATATGGCAGCGGCAGCGAAGACGACAGCGACAGCGACGCCCAAATTTCTCAATCTACTACCTATCATGCCTCAACATCATCAGAACCCTTTCTAACCTCTCAGCTTCCCGCTCCGTCCACGCCGAAATTTACCGTTACTTCTCAACGATCATCTAACGTTACAGCCTCAGGCTCTAAACTGGCGTTAGCTGGTCTTACTCTGCCCGCTCCGAAGGCAAATAAAGGCAAGAAGAGGATAACAATTGATCTGCCAACTCTTTCACAGGATGAAACTCGTGAGGAGGATATCCAACCGACAGCTAAGAAGCCCCGCATTGGAGGCTCTGGATCGTCTTCATTGTTTTCCATGCTGCCTGCTCCCAAGAAAATTGGTCCTATTCCGGCCGCACCCCAGCGTGTCCTTGGCGGGGGAAAAGGACCAGGACTTGTGTTCAGTGATTCTCGAAGCCAGGCTGTGACTGTGGAGGAGGTTGATGAAGAACTCGAAGCGTCGGTCGATCACCCAGAGTCTACAACAACTAGCCACCCCTCTTCCAATCTTTTTTTACCGCCATCGCTAGGAAAAGGAAGGAAAAACATCTCAGTAGAAGATCCCACACAATCGATCACTCGTCCCAAGTCGATTCCCAAACCACCTCAGTCTACCACCACCACAGACGCCCCCCCATCAAGTACGTTATAGGAGTCTTCTACTGATTTTTTGTCTCATAGACATGATAGATCTAAGTGCTTCACTAAGATTGGGCTCGTCGAAAGCCCAAATCAGCCTTCCTTCAGTAACGTCCGCTCCCAAAGTCGACGACTTTTTACCTCCAGAGCCGACACAGACAGATCCATATCCCGGATATTATGTGCTTCCGTCCGGAAAATGGGCTGCATACGACACTGAATACTACCAAAAGTTCTACAAGAAGTGGAAGGCCGACTACGATGCCCATGTCCGTGCCCTAGAAAAGAATATGGAGAAAGGGTTCGAAGGTGCAGAAACAGGTGAGACTCAAGAGGTCAACGCAATGCGGGAGATGGAGAAGGCGAAGGTAGAGATCAAGGAGCGAGAAGAGAAGAAGGCGCTGACTCAAGGCGCCGATGGTGCTCCCGCTGCCCCGAAAATGAACATCAAGGTTTGTTGTCGCCGTATCGATTTTTGTACGTCCTTGTTAAACATTGCGTTAGGGCGCTAAACTGGGTGGAAGGGCTCGATCTCGACACCAGCTTACTACTTTACTCACGGAGGCATACGAGAACCGTGAGGCTTTGGAGCAGAGGATTGCAGATGGCCGGAGGAATCGAAAGGAGGCTGGTAATAAATACGGTGCGTGGCATTGTGCGAATCATCTTCGTGTCTTACCTTCCTGCGGTTGATAGGTTTTTGATTAAATTTGAGTTTCATTTATGGTGATGCGTCCGAGACCACTTGACCCGTTTTGTCTCAGATCTCTCTTGGAATGGAAGTGCAATCAAACCCGAACATGTATGATATCAAGCTATGCAAAATGTAATACAGAGATAACTCGAGAATCCATATATCATTGCCAACATCTCAGTGAGTGTGAGTCGTGTATTCTGTGGCAATGGCAATCAGACAACGCTTACAAACGAAACAGCAGCGCCCAAATGCTTACTTGTAACAGTCTTCGTGCCCTCTGATATGGCATGCTTGGATAGCTCTCCCGGAAGGATCAGTCGCACAGCCGTCTGTATCTCGCGCGATGCGATGGTGGACTTCTTGCTGTATAGGCATAGTCCTATGATGCAAAGTTTGATTACTCTGGCCTTCCATGGAAAATCGACAGACTTACTGGCTGCCTCCGTCGCGATACGCTCAAATATATCGCTAAACACATTCGTTAGTCCATGGCGATGCTATGACCTCAACTCGTTCCAACGTACATGATGAAGGAGTTCATTATGGCCATCCCTTTGTTGCTGATTCCAGTGTCGGGATGGACTTGCTTCAGCACTGTGGCATGTCGACCGGTCAAACACTAGCCGCTAACGAGCTACAACGATCTACTGACCCTTATACAGGTAGGAGGCCCATGTCTCCTTCCGGGCCTTGCGGCGTTTCTTCTTGTCGACGCTATTGTCTACTTTTTGGCTTTTTCCACTGGGGACGGACGCCGCCGTGGTCTTTGTGACTGTCATAGAGGGTGCAGCTTTCGCGACGGAGGCGGTGGAGGTGGGCTGCATTGATGGTTAACTCAATAGAATCGCATGAAAAGCCCTACACCTTGCCTTGGCCATCGTATCGATCTTAATGGTAGAGGTATTATTGGGGAAGGGGGGGTGAAGTGGAGTGGAGGGATGAGTGGCAGGGTCGAGTTCTGAACGCGCTAAATAGTACCAGGGTGCGGAGTAAGAAGACACGTCCACCTCCGTCACGTGGTGAGAAAGGTGGCACACAATGAGCTTGGTGAGACATTTTCGCTTGTTCTGGGCGTCCATTATTTCCTTTCTTGTCCATTATCGCTCATTCGCCACACGGCTTTGCCTTCGCCATACTCCAGCCTCTTCCATAGGACGCTCTCGATAAAAATCTAGTGAAATCTGACGGTGCCGTTCATGCCCACCACGCCATCCGCATCTTCTGTCCACAGCAGCGCTTTGCCATCGCGTTCCAATGCACCGTGAATCGTCATTGGCCGGTTCACTACCACAGGATTGATCGCCCTATATTCAAATGACCTCAGCTTTGCATTAGGCCTGTGGAAAAGGAGTGTTTCAAGGAGCATCAAGGCAGTCAATGGTCCATGAACGAGCCGTTCTAGCCTCATGGTTAACAAATACAACACGCGCTTCGCGAGGACCCTGGACATACCAGAATAGCCTTCCGACCTCTGAGCATAGTCGCGGTCAAGATGAATGTGGTGTCCATTGAAAGTCAAAGCCGAGAAACGGAATAGAGTTGTTGCACTCGGTGTGTATGAGAACGAAAAAGCTGATGTCGGCAATCCTTCCACTACAAGAAAATGGACTGTTCGTCTAGTGGCACGCATGACGGAACTGATCAGCACGCACCTTCACGTGTTGTCCGTTTATTGACCCCTAGAGCGAGATAAACATGAGACCTCTCCTCCAGCACGGCTGGCTCTGCCTCTCCTTTATTCCTGATTTCTATCTGCTGTTTCACAAACACCATGGGTGATCCTTTCTCAAATCCCTTCTTCTCGACAGCGCCCACAGTCGATACGGACGTTGCCTGGCCACCGATGATCAGAGATCTCCTCCACTCCATCTTTCCTCCCGCCCACATTCGTCGCACATATGGTTCTGGAGGACAGAAGTCTGCATCCGTACCGTCCGGGCGGAGCTTTGTCTCCGGCGTGCGAGGGTGGAAGAAGGCTAAGTGATGGCCATATCCCAAGGGAGAGCCATCTCGAGGTGCTACATAGGGTGCGCGGGTACCGTCACGGGTGGGCAAAGTGATGTAGAGATCAGAGACGTGTTCAGCGTGTAATTTGTCAGAGAGGACGTGTCGTTTCTCTTGAGCCATCCATTGATCGAGAGCGTCTATGCTCTTCGATGAAGTTGAGTAAACACGCGGGGAACGAGGATCGCTGATTTTAATGAGAAGCTGGGTTCGGAAAGCGCGTGTGGTCATTGTGGACGATGTTGTTTCTGACGAACTATATCGAGCATTCGAGCAGCCGATGCTGATATTGTTTGATAGGAGCATCTGACCATGGAAGGTCCGGGAAGCTGCTCCGGCATATCCGAGGAACAGAATCTAATGTACATACTCAAATCTGGGATTGCTAATCCACATCGTGCATCTACTTCTGGCGAAGAATGACCACATAAGTCTTGTAGGGATACTCGAAAATTCCCTTATCCTCGTCGACCCATTTCTTTCCGTCACCTCGCTCGAGGACTGCTCTAATTTCATCCCTCAGTTTGGACTTGACATCCTCTGGCTGAATAGCGATATAGCTCTTGCTTAACGCGCGATTCGTCACAATGTCGATAGACCCATCGAGGGTGTAGGACCAGACTTCCTCTATCGGTGGTTGAAAGAGTTTTTGGTAAGATGGGGTTTCGAATAATTTCCGCCAGAGGCCGAGGCGGAATTGGGGGGTGCCCAATTCGTATCGTTCGATTCGGTCTCGGACTTGACCGATCCACGTGGCGGAATCACTGTGAAGTAGGCTTATGGGTCGGCCTGAATCGATGCTCAAGACAAGGGGACGCACCGGTCCTCAAGATTCCAGATGAGCGCCACGACGCCGTCAGGCTTCAAAATGCGAGCAAATTCTAAGGCCGCAGCATCGAAATCCGGGCACCAATGGAAGGCCTAAACCCGACCTATCAGTAACGCGCCTGGCGTACCCAATTACCAAGATACAGACCTGCGCGACGACAACTAAATCAGTCTGTCCGGCTTCAACGCCTGTCTGGTCGAAGGATCCTTCTTGTGCAACGACGCGCTCGTCCGACACGGTCTTAACAAACACATCGCGCATGCCCGCGCTGGGTTCTACAGCCCTCAGCCCCCCGATATCTTTAGACCATTCTGGGTGAGCCAAGAGGGCGCGAGTGAATATGCCAGTTCCTGCGCCGATCCTATGATCGAGATGCCATGGAATCCAATCAGGACATAAGATCCAGTCACAATTTAAGGGTACATGAGTCTCAACTCACTCAACGATGTTGAGCGGCGTTGGGGCCTTGACAGCTTGACGAATGTACGAAATGGCTGGAGCCTGGTAAGAAGGGCGCGCTCTGATACCTTCGAGTTGACTAGTTCTGATTCAGAATACTACGACTGATTATACTCACTTATCGTATAGCTCGTTGGTCCCTGTCCCAAATCCCGTTTGTGCGACATGATGTACGACACCTGTCATGGTGATATGATGCTTGTGTTGTGGGAATGTTGTCTAGCGGCCTGAGGAGTCCGACCAGAATTATTATATGGTTGAGAGACCGCCGAAGTGGAGATAAACGAGTCATATTCTGTCATATCGTGCGATAAAGGTGCAAGATATTGACGGAGGCCGACAAATCCGACAGGCTATTTGTGGCGGCGCATCGTGGACAGTGCCAGTGGGTGCTGTGGTACACTCTTACCAACTCTTACCGCTCAGATCACCTTGAGAAATACCACACACATGCTCTTGATCATCGCTGATAGATGGAACGATCTGGCGAAGCGGGATGTCTCCTGCACGCTTTAGCCTGTGTGCACTGTGCATTAATAGTCCCAAAGTTACGAACTGTAAGACTACTAAAAGATATCGCGCGACGTATTGCAAACACGCGGCGGGTACCTTGGACATGTCTAATGTTTTATTTATTGCTATCTTTGCGAATTATACAACCGTATCAAGCACTCTTACAAAATTTCTTTTTCTCTGGGCAATCATTTGGGAAGGACCATGGTCGGCGGCAGCGTTGTGACACGAGGAAGCAACGATGCTGCCCTCTGTCGGGAGTTCTGGATCAACAGCTCATCTATGACAACGAGTGCGGCCATCGCCTCAACGATGGGCACAGCACGAGGAACAACGCAAGGGTCGTGGCGCCCACGGGCCGCCAAGGACCCAGGCGTTCCGTCGTATTGTGCAGTCTCTTGCTCTTGTGAAATCGTAGCAGGAGACTTGAATCCAATCCTGAACCGATCTCAATTTTGTGACCAAAAAAGCCAGCAGTTGGAAGGTCGCTCACCTGAAGTAGATGTCTTCCCCATTTGTGATACCGCCCTGCACACCGCCACTCCAGTTCGTCGCCGTGCCCAACCGACCATTTTCCTTCTTGACGAAAGGGTCATTGTGCTTGCTCCCAGGCACCTCAGTGCCACGGAAACCTGACCCTATTTCAAAGGCCTTGGTAGCAGGGATAGATAGCATAGCGTGTGCAAGCTTTGCTTCAAACTTGTCGAAAACTGGCTCTCCGAGGCCAGCCGGAACGTTGCGAATCACGCAAGTCACGGTACCGCCGATGGAATCGGAAGCATCTTTAGCGCGAATAATGCGCTGTAGCAGACGTTGATGAGTGGAGGCCCGGATCATGTAAGACGTCGAACTATACCTTGATCATACGTTCTGATGTTTCAGCATGAGGGCAGCGAGTAGGAAACTTATCAACCTCCTCCCGGGTGACGGTTGCGAGTAATTTGCGGAATTCAGGAGACAGAGAGTCTTCAACATCGTCGTCTTCTTCGTTCAAGTTGGAAGATGAAACGGAGGATGGCAGGTGCACTTTCCCAACGGATGAAACAAATGCAACGATCTCGATACCAAGCGCCTGTTTGAGGTATATCTCCGCGATTGCACCTGCGGCGACTCGGCCTAGCTATGCTGTCAATATCAGACGCCAGCGCCAAGAAGATATCCGCGCACCGATGGTCTCACGGGCACTGCTCCGACCTCCACCGCTGCTAGCCTTCACGCCGTACTTTTCTAGGTAGGTGTAATCTGCATGGCTGGGACGAGGGTAGAGATCTGTCTCGGAATAGTCCTTCGGGCGCTGGTCCTCGTTTTTGACAAGGAGCCCGATGGGAGTGCCTAGAGTGACACCATGCTCAATGCCAGACTGAAGATGTACAAGATCCTTCTCGTCGCGCTACAAACCCAATTAGAAATATGATGCTTCAGCATGTCGACATCGAGCGGAACAACGATGTTATAACTTACAGGAGTGGTTAGGTTGCTCTGACCGGGCCTACGACGACTCAACTGAACCTGGATGTCCACGGGCGATAGCGAAAGGCCCTACACGACCTTGAGAAACCAGTCACTTGGTGTATGAAGAGAAGTGCTCACAGGAGGACAGCCGTCGATGATCGCGCCTACCGAGGCGCAATGGCTCTCCCCATAGGTGGTTACGCGGAAGAGTGTGCCAAAGGTTGACATATTGCGGTGGACGTGAGCAAGGTATGAGGATAAGAAAGATGATATCCTCCGGATCAAGAGGGTTCTTGTAGATTTTCGTGTGAGAGCCTCCGACGAAAGAGGGAGGACTTCGTAAGCGTCAGATACATCAGTTGCAAGCCGTAGATCACGGCGGAGAGCAAAGGCTGACGGACTTTTGGAAAGAAAATACAAGGGAAGAGATCTACGCAATATATCCTAGCCAAAGCGCGCAGGCGCAAATAGCAGAGATTACAGCAGCGAGTTGGCCGGCAATAGCGGAAGGGGTCACGTGTATTGTCCCTTCGCATATTACTTCAATGTGCCTTCACGGGCGTTCAACTTCGTTCGCTATCGCGTTCACTAACGGGAATTACCTCAATAGTCCTTCGACACATCTTACTGACCGGAAGATTTTCATTCATATTGACATATCTGTTGTCGACTTGTGTGTGAATTACTGTTTTGATATTGGATGGCAGCTCGAAAGCTCGAGCTAATTTCAAACGGGACTCATTGTACATTCTCGTTTACCGACTCTCAGTTCTTTGTCCATCGTCAAGGACGTGGTAGGTCTTGTTTAACTTGCACCGAACTCACGCCTCATCCATCAGTGGTACTTGACAGATAAGCCCAAACTTGATGTACCTCTGCAAAGGGTCCTTTGGGCAGACAGTTCCGAATCTGGAACGGTCGTGCATGTCTTGGCGAAGAAATCCGAGCGAAGGGGGCTCGTACTTGTCAAGGCAGAAGGAAACGCGAAGAAAGGCGCCAGTGATGAGCTGGCGCGGGAATGGTCGAAGTTATTGATGGATGCTGCGTATGCAGGTAAGTCCTCAACTTGTATTGGTAGAGTTCCGTTCAAATCTCTTGCTTGCATAGGTGTCAAACAACAGAGACGCTTCAAGATATTCATTAATCCTAACAGCGGTCCCGTATGCTTCGTCTGTTGTTTTTCGTATACATACATTGAGTACGATTGCATATCTAGGGCAACGCAAAGACTCTGTACAAACGGAAAGTGGAACCCATACTCAAGGCTTGTCGATGCTCTCTCGATATCACCTGTCTGTCCTCACCTCTACCTGTCCAATGTAGACCAGCCATCTCTGATTTGTGTTCATGTTCAGTTACCGAGCGTCGAAATCACGCAGCGGACATTGCTGCTAAGCTGCCTCTTGACGAGTTCGATGCTCTTCTTACTGTGTCTGGTGATGGTATGGTGCACGAGGTCTTCAACGGACTTGCGGCGCACAAGGATCCTCTGAAAGCGCTTGATATACCCATAGTGCCTATGCCTGCTGGCTCTGGCAACGGGACTTCTATTAATTTACTCGGAATAGAGGTATATTTATTCGAGTTTTTCGAAATCTTCTACCTTGAACTTGTCGAATTGTGATCTAGGAAGGCTTGGATATATCGGCTGCGGCCTTGAATGCTGTCAAAGGTGAGACGCGGTAAATTCTAGGCGTTATCTACTGCAACTGAGTTCGTACCTTGTTGTCAGGCCGCCCAATGAAGGTTGATCTATGCTCAATACTGCAGAACGGAAAGAGGAGTTTCTCCTTCATGTCTCAATGCGTCGGACTCATGGCTGACCTGGATCTTGGAACTGAACACCTCCGTTGGATGGGGAGCAATCGTTTCGTCTACGGATATCTCCGAGGAAGTAAGTACATCTTAATTATGCGCACGCTCTCGTCATACCTGACCTTATTTTTTGCCGCAGTATTGACTCGCAGGATCTGCCCTGTCTCTGTCTCCATCAAAGCCATAGAGACCGACAAGGTCAAAATGGTGGAGGCTTTGAACTCCTTCGTGCCACAGACCACCATAAACGAAAACTCATCTCTCCCAGAAGTAGGGTGTGCTTCCGAAGACACCGATGGCTGGATTACCTTTGAACAGCCCCTGATTTACTTATATGCAGGTAAAGGTCCATATGTCGGTCGGTGCGTGCTCTCCACATAATATACCAGAACCTCGTTCACACGTCCGAGATAACAGTGATCTGATGCAATTTCCTATGTCGGTCCCAAATGACGGGACTATCGATATAGTCATCCAAGGACTTGTAATATCTTCTATAAAGCAGTATTATTCCTTATGTGTTGACAGTTCGGGCTTTTAGGTCTCACGTGGAGAATTGCTGGATGCTATGGATGGTGCCGACATGGGCAAAACATTCTGGCGCGAGTCGGTACGTTTGTCTTGTTCTCTAGGCTTGCCGTCTTCATAAAACTTCTTTCAGTCGCACTATTTCAAAGCTCAGGCCTATCGTGTCAAACCCCTCAGCAAGAATGGTTACCTAGCCATCGACGGGGAAAAATTTCCTTTTGACGAGTACTTGATTGAAGTTCACAGAGGCCTTGGCACCGTCATGAGTATGTATGGACAGTATGTGGCTAATTTTAATGTGCCTCGACCTAGTAAATGAGATGATCATCATATACCGTGTTTGCTGTGGCCTGCTATGGCCGCGGCCTTATTCCATGTCTGATGAATTGTGTTTTGTTTCATCTTACAATTAAGCTTACCAGAATAATACGATATGTTAGAATGGACATTGGAATTTGATTGAAGTTAACAATGCAAGCGGCCTTCGTGCAAAAGAGTCGCACAACAAAGGAATGCAGTACGTATATCTATCAGGAAAGCGAGAATGAGTGACGTTAATTAGTTGTGTCCGTATACAAGTCAGAGTCCAACCCTATGCAAATCCAGATCGCGAAGAATCCCCGTAGAGTAACAGTCCAAATGTTTTGTCTGTATGCTAACAACAGTCTATAGGTGCAGATGCGAAACAATAGTCGTGATCATGGACGCGCTGTAAAAGAGCAGGTGAGTCCTCATTTCTCCTCAGCAGGAGGGGCACTTACAAAGCTGCTCCTTGCGGTAGAACCAGAAGTAGCCGATGACAATAACGATCTGGCAAATCAATGCTATCCAGAATGGCGCCGAAGCCATAGGACTTCCCTTCAGACCGTCTGAGAAGTCCCACTTCGCCGCATCAGGGAAAACACTTTCAGGACCGACCCTATTGGGCGCAGTTGCACGAGCCACCATCACACAGATAGAACCGATGATTTGTGAGAAAGCAAGAGTTGCGCAAACGTGCAGACGCGACAACGTCTACCAATAAACGTTAGTGACATGCGAGCGATGGACGAGATGATGACCCTACCTGAAGGAGAATCATGCCTAGACCGACACCTTGAATAGCGTCAAGGACCCCTAACCATAACCAAAGAGAGATTCCAAGATAGGGGCCTCCTTTCCCTGCCCATGGAATGTACAGCGCGAGAGACGACGTGCCCCATAGCATCTGACACCATCTTGGCGCACCAAGGCCGACAGCGAAGACAGGAAGAAGCCAAGTGTGAGTTTTGCTGAAGTACGTCAAGACGTAGAGCATCAAGCCCCAGACGCCAACGAAGAATGCAACAATGAGAAGGGCAATCTGCCACTTGGGTATAGGTACGCTCCACAAAAAGCTCCAGTTACGACCGTAGGGCTGAGCAAGAATGTGAGATATACATCCCCACGAGATTAAAAAGGGTGAAAACTTACGCCAGATAGCCAATAGTCACGAAGGATTTCGGATGCAAGGAACCTGAATACATTAAGTACATGATGCATCACACATAGAGAATACATAACGTACCAAAGAACCAATTTCCGGCGGAAGAGAGTCGCGATAAAGTTTGGTACCTTGGGAGGCGTCTGGCGATAATACTCTGTGGAAGATGTTAGTATCTATAAAACAAACACGGATCAGACACGGATCATACCTGGCAATCCATAGAGCATCAAGTACGCAAACAAGAAACTGATAGCAGCCAACGGCCAGAGGATAAGGATGGTCCACCAAGGAGGCATGCTGTTTGCCGATGCGCCATTGAGTTCATGACCCCAGTACCAGAGAGCAGCGACCCAAATTTGCTGGGATCCCTGGACTATACAAGCCCGCAACATCCAAACTTCTGTCGCGGCGCCCTGTCATGTGGAGTGAGTTTTTGCTTAGATGGCACGAAGGGGATAAAACATACTGCTTCCTCGCCAAAGTTGAGACCGAAGAACAGGAAAGCAGCAGCAGAGGCTACCGCATACGCCCAAGTAGCAATGCTTGACAGGATTTTGTGCGCCGGGTGAAGGGCCGTGGTAAGTGACGGTAAACCAACGAGGAAGAAGGCCAATCCAAAGAAGAGCCACGGAGCAGACAAAACGTAGACGGAGGGTTTCAAGCGGAAGAGAGGATACCATACAGCTGAAGCAGCTAAGAAGACAGCACCAAGCACGTAGAGTTGCAAGTCATCAACGGAATTTTGTCCTGACAGAAGCGTAATTTGGAAACTCGTGGCACTCAACATCTAAACGTAACGTCAGAACAAAAACGCAGAGAGAAAACATTCGGACGCACCTGGCCTAGCGCGATGACAATCGTGTACAAAGGCCAGCCACCGATTTCCCTGGCCATTGCAATCTGTAATCCTGTCATAATAACGACCTCGCCATTGTCATGTGGAAGAGGCCCATCATAATCGCCATAGCCACCGGCAGAACTTGGCGGTGCATTTGGGGCTGAAAAGAAGGTCAGATGCGAGAGGAAAAGAACTGTGAAAACACGTACATGATGGGCGGGAGTGGTCATACAGGGATGGTGCAGGGGTTCCCCAAACTGAGTCTCTTTGCGAAGATCGGACACTTGCAGCGCTGGAAAGTTTATCTTTCCGAACCTTGTCGAAGAAAGCTTCTTCGCTCTTCTGAAGGTAGCGCTCGATCGACAGTTCACCCTTAGAGTTCTCTGATGAGAGGTTCTGCAACTTCTGCACAAATTCTTGAGCGACACCACCATCGGAATCGGTGAACTACGGAACATGTCAGCTTTGAGCGGCAAAGAGCTGAGAGATCACCATACCGAAGCGATGGCCTTGTTCAATGGGGAGTTCGACTTCTCATCGACGATGGACGCGATAGATTCAACCGAAGAGATTCGATTATGAGCACCAAATGGCCGGGTGGGAGCCTCCAGGAATGGATCAGGGGCGTTCCTTTGGTCCTTCGCAATGGTTCGATTAGCTCTGTCTAAGAAGTTACCGAATTCTTGTTGTCCGTCTGGCCGAGTATCGATACTGTTCCGATAGTCTCCTTCCACATCTGAGATATCGGTGCTGAAAGACCCTCTGCGGTTGTCGGGGAGAAGCCGAGGAGGAGCAGTCAGGAATGGATCACCACCAGGGGTCAAACTTTCCTGACTCCACTGTCCACCGGGCGTGTTCACATGCGGGCTGTTACTGATGCTGCGGCTATCCCAATCTGGTTGTGACGGGTGAGTTTCGTGAGCAGGATCCCAGTCATCGGTGTCCTCGATAGCGCTAGTTGCAACCATGCCGCCGTCAGAGGGCCTCCACGCATCATGACCTGCGATGGTCCGACTTTGATAGATACTACGCTTATGGAAGTCCTCTGTACGCTGTCGCCATTCAACCACAGGGAAGCGCTGAACAGCCGAACGTGCACGAAGTATCGCACGCTCTTCCTCTGTTGACTTGAGGGCCATCTTGATCGTTTTGGACAACTGCGACAACATGTGCCCAGTGGAGCTAGATTCAACAGGGAACCACTAAAAGGATATCAGTAAGGAACTCCACGAACGGTTTCATACCACTTACCCAACCGGGCATCAAACCCAGACCACCCAATCGACTACCGACACCAAGAGCACCTTTTCGACCGAACTCAACGGCAACCAAACCAAACGGCTCGTCACGAGATGGAATCAACGCGAAGTCGGCACCACTGAAGAGATAAGGGGGAAGGGCCGTGAACTCGGGCTTGGAATACACGCGATCGGGATAGAGTTCCATGAGACGATTCAGCTTCTCTGCGGCGAAACGCCCATACAGGTCAATGACGGGACCGACAGTGATGAGTTGAATACTGGGACGCTTCTCCAACCTATTCGTCGAATGACGGTTATTTTATAAAGTCAAGAAGAGAAGACGCCGGACGTACAATGAGGGCATGACATCAGCAATCAAATCGACACCCTTTTGCTTTGACCAACGACCGACGAAGACGAACAGATCCGCGTGAGGATCTTGATTGATACCAGCCCATTCCTGTGCTTGACGTTTGTGCTCAGGACGTTCGGCTTCCGCGCTCTGATCGATCTGAATGTCCTTGACCTTGACAGCGTGTTCGTCAAGAGCCTCGATATCGCTAGGGTCAGGATTAGGCAAAGAGTCGACGTGCTTGAGGGTCCACAACGCGGGGTAACGAGCCCAACTGCGTTTACCATATTTGTCGGAGACACCGGCGACACCGATGGATTTCTGGTGCACGGCGATGAAAGAGGCAGCGGCGTGCAGCAAGTTGAACGTGTTACCAAATTGAACGTATTTCGTACAGTGCTCCTTGCTGATGTTGAATGCCGAACAGACCTCCTTCATCTCCTCCTTTGTGCGAAGCGGCCAGAGACCTTGGAATTCGGCGTTGTGAAGCGACAAGCAGACAGGAAGGACTTTCGGTAGCAGATAGATGGGGGCCAAGGCACCATGGTAGTCGTTGATGTGATAAATATCGATATCGGGCATCCTGCGGACAGTAGCAGCAATAGCCTGGTTCCAAGTCGAATAGAAGATGGCAGAGGAGAGGTCGTCCATGCGAGCAGGGTAAGGGTCGGCCTTGGTCTGAGCTCGGAAGACCGGGCTATCGAGAATGACATAGGTGATGTTATCCAGAACGTGCGTTTCGACTTCGATGAGGTAGGGCTCTCCGAAAATGATGACCTCGATAGGCTCCGCTGGGTCTCCCTGAGGGTACTCGACATCCTTGACCTTGGGAATAACCCACACGAGGTCGACATCCGTCATTGCTTTACCCATCAGACTAGACATGACACCAAGACCACCGATCTTGACCTTGACCTTCCAATCGATGATCTCATACTCCAGGGTCGCGATGATGACCTTGCGGCGTTTGTCTTTGAGCTCTGGCCAACCGATGATGTCCCCATGCTTATGATGTCCAAAGATTTTCTCTGTAGTGAGTACACCGCCGTCGAGATCAGATTTCGACTTGTTACCAAGAGTGCCGAGGATAGGGAAGTAGTGACTATGGTCCTTGGCGGGTTTGACTCCCCACTTGTTATGTCTGATACCATAGAACGACCACATGAAGATGACGACGGCGAGCGTACCGGTGACGACAGGAATCGAGAGCAATAACGCGTACATGATAGCACCGACAGCCGACTGACCGCGAGGGACGAGCGTCCAAGTCATGCTGCGATCATCGACGACCAAGTTCCACGCTAGATGGGGATGTGGAGGGGCGGACATATTAAGATAGTTTGGCGCTGCAGTGTTAGGGGGTAGGCGGTCCAACACGCCGTCGCCATCGACATCGCCGTAGTAGTAGTTGTCGTATCCGAAGACGTTCAACTGCACGTATGTCGGCCAATTAGCCATGATCTCTAGCTCCCACTTCCCGTCTCCGCTCTGAGTCATTTCTGCAGAGATACCCTGATCGAAACCCCACTGATTAAACGGACCACGAGCAAGGAACTGTGGAACACGGCGTTCCTGGGAGAAACCACGATCCGCATGGACGACCATGCTCGCAGACTTGGCGACGTCACTCCAATATTGCACCATGATGTGCTGACCCGTCCAAAAGTTGTCCGAAGAGGCAAACACGCTCTCGTCGATGGTGGTCGTATCCTCCCAATTCTTCCAAGTCGTCCAATTCATACCATAGTTCCACGAGTAACGGAAGCTGTCGGCACCATATGCTTTGTGCGCGAAGGTGTACTGACCACTGGAGAAGCCGAAGGAGCTGCTGTCGTAGTCGGAATCGGGGAAAACGATGACATTATCCGAGGCTCCTTTGCGAAGCAGGAGTGTGTCAACAGTCTATAGGAGAAGGATGATCAGCATCTACAACGAATGATGAGGAGGGCAAGACAAACATTGGTGGTAGTGCCATCAGCCGCTGCCGGCTTGTTGAGCGTAAGAGCGAGAATGCCGTCAGGAACATTCTGCAGCTCGACAGACCAATAATATGCAGACGTCATATCGCCCGGCAACGTGGTGGCCGCTGGGTTAGTGACGGCTCCACAGCTGATGGCAGTCTTGCTGAACGAAGGAGTACTGCCTTTGCCCGAGGAAGACATATTAAGCGAGAGCGCGCTCGTGATGCTATCGCAGTCCATGGCGACATTAAATTCGAACCTGACAGTAACGGTCGAAGAATTCACGCTCGAATCGAGGCGAGCGTCATGACCAGGATAGAAACTCGTCAATGCGGCGCGAGGGCCAACCCATTCAGCGAGAGGTACGAGCGCCTTGTAACCATATGGGTCCATAGTAATCGTGTTCAGGCAACCATAGTAAGGAGCTTTTCCGTCGTTGTTGTAGGAAGAAAGTGAGTCCTGGAGGGTGTACTGTTCGAAAGGAGCAAAGAGATTCCGGACAATGGTACCAGACTGATACGGCGATGAGATCCATAGCGAGCCTTTGCAGTCGAACTGATAAGTCTGTGTGCTGTTCTCGTTCGTGAAGAGCAACCAAACTTGATCCGTATGATTACCAGTGAGCGTCTGCACGCCAGAGATTCCAGAGCGTGAAGCGGACCAAAGACCCATCTCGGTCTCAGTTTCGTTCGAACCAGGGCGTTGAATCATGTAAGTCCAGTTACCACGTTGTACGAGATTGAAACCATCCTGCAAAGCATTGTAGACAGTTCGCAGGTACATGAAATGCGAAATCATGCGCCTGCTGTCGGCCGTGGGATCGAAGTGGTCCAGTGAATTCCAATCATCCATACAGCCGATCACAGACTTGTCAAGAGGCATATTGAAATACTGCTCGGAACCCAAGCGGTAGCATCCGTGACGTTGCCATGCCTTGGTGCTGAACATTGCCTGACGACTGACGTGGAACGATCAATACGGGCGCGGGATAGAAATTGAAAGGGATTTCTACATACCCATACAAGTAATTTGCAGCACCAGTATCATAGACGTAGAAATTCTGCTCCTCGCCATAGTACAACTAGATTCAAAAAAAAAATGAGATTGCGAAGTCAGATGGTGGCGCTGTAATTTCACCCACCAGAGGTATACCAGGCATAACCAGCGAAGTGATGAAAGTTCCCAGGACACTACGCTGCGTGCCGTTCTCCAAACTAGGCCAACGGAAGACATCGAAGTTACTCGTCCCAAACATATGGCGAGGGTCTACCACGCCGGTTCCAGGATTAAGAAAATCATTGTTGACGAACATCTGGTTCCAAGCAGTCACGAAGTTGACATCGACATCGAAAGCCACCTGCAAATTTCCATCCATCCCAAGGAAACGCGACAAAGAGCGGTAGATGGAATAATGGAAGGCGACACCATCGAGAGCGTTGAGTGGTTTGTCGCGAAGGAAGTATTCGTTCTGGCTTGCCGTGAGGTTAGCAGCGGCCAGGAAACCGGGTGGAAGCTGAGTAGGTGTTCTGCCACGCCCACTATGTGAAATAACAGTCAATCAATGGAAAAGAAGCAGAAATATGAAATGACTCACTAGTACAAAGAACCAAACGTGTCACCACCAGTGACTTCGCCGGAGATGTAGAAATTCTTCTTTCCGACCGCAGAGGCGCAAGAACGCGTGCTTGAAGCCCAGGAAGCAAGGGCATCGACAGTGACTTGAGTAGATTTGTCGACACGGATGGCATCCAAGTCAAGTGCCTCGATTGCCATACACGCGAAGACCTGAAGTTTCGCCATGACCTCGGGCTTCCATTCACGAAGACGATCCTGCACCGACGCGAATTTCGCCAGCTGACGTTCCCAATCAGGATGGACACCAAAGGCCTCCATATCACCATACTGGTCAAAATCAGACTCCATGCATCCGGTGTGCCCCGGGTCTACGACTGTCCCGTCATTGAGCCAGAGGGTAGGGAGTTTGCATGAGGTATTGCGCTCGTTCACAATCTGTCGACCACCATGATGTCATGATAAGCCCCTCGGCACGGAAGTCGTAGCCATTGCAGCTCACCGAGAAATCCTTGTACTCCGTAAAATTCCAAGGAGTATACGTGGGGTTCTTCCATACAGAATCATATTCGTCGAGATCAAATGGAGTAGATGAGTTGAGATGCCTGCGAACTACATGACCGGCGCGCTCGATGAAAAAGGTGGATATACAACGTACCCTTCGAAACCAATCAGATCTGCCATAGTTCCAACGGTGAAATCTGCCATGAAGTACATCCCACGCGCGTGAATCTGGTCGATTGCCCACCGCCAATCATCAATAGTACCCCAGTGAGGGTCGAGGACAGTGAAATCGAGAGGGGAATAACCTGTGCTTGCGCTGAGCCCAACAGCGTCGTCGGGAGAGAAAATATCACTCACTGTCTGCCTGCCATAGCATGTTCAGAAACGGGGTGCCGGAGATGAATATGCCCTGGACACCCATTCCCTGAATGTAGTCCAGCTTAGAAACCAAGCCTTTCAAATCGCCTCCGGACCGCAGCTGTGTCTCTCGCCAGTCGGACTCGAACATGGTGCCAAAGTAATCGTCGTTGGATGGATCGCCGTCTGCGAACTTGTCCATAAGGATGGTGTAGAAGGGTATCGACCGCCAGTTGGTCGGTGAGGGTGTATACGTGGTATTGGGGCGCGAAGCTTTGTATTCGATGGGAGAGGCGGCATTTTGGTTGACATTAAGGTTGTACTGAGTGAGGTCATCGCGATATGGCGAGGCGCGTGCCAGCCCACATAGGGAGAGGAGGGAGTATGCGACGAGCGGTAGTCGCATGTCGAGGGGGGGGGGGGCGATGTCTTATCGTAGAGGTGAGGGTGTACAACGCGGAGGAGGCCAATGGCCGAGAGAGCAAAGAGGGAGGGACGGCAAAAAAGAAAGACCTATATCCGCGAGTTGGAAATGTGGTGAGGAAGGGAAACTGAGCAGGGGGGGCGTGTAGCACTACCCTGGTCGACGACTTGCCGACAGAAACAGACGAGGCAGTCGCTTGCCAGGTCCCCTCGTTTTATTCGCGGGTGACCGTTGCCGCACGTGGGAAAGGTACGGCGTCGGCCAGTCCGCCTCGCCCGCCAAGCTCGGCCTCTCCTGCTTGTACACACAAATAGGCACAAATACTCAAAGGTCCACGACTCCGCTCGACGTTTGGCCCTCCGTCTCTTCACATTCTGTATTCCTCGATCCGCGCTTTACAGTCTGTCGCGCGGCGGGTCCGTCTCTCGCCGGCGAACGTTGTCTTTGGCCCCACATCTCGCCTGCTGCGCTACGGTATGCAACGACTGTCTCTGTGGGGATCGCAACGGTGACTACCCACCGTCTCGGATACAAAATCATCATCTTCTGTGAACGCGAAGCTTCAACCATGGCTTGCACATTGTTTCCGTACATACTACGTGTATCGGCCCCCGTTTCTCCTTGGATTGATCCGAGCCCGTACATCCATCCCCTCCGCCCCGAGACTGACGAACCGCCTATCCAGGGACGGATAAGCCCCAAAGCTAACTGGATAGAAATCTGCATCGGATGGCAACTGTCAACACATACACTGCTGATGTTCATGCCAATCAGATATATCAACGGCTCCGTCGGCCCCTTCCTACAGCAGGCGGGACAGCTGCTACATCTTTGTTACAAGACACCTCATTTAAATGTCTTTGCAAGGCGTAACTGACGAAGTTGTTCCGACGCCTCTCAGAGGGCGGCCCCGGGCTTCTAGATATCATAGATAGAAGTGAGTACATATACTTAGACATTCACTTATCTCCATTGAATTCTCTGGGTTGTCTATCGAAGTAGAGAAGTACTCTCATAGAATAAAGGCGGATAACATGGCCATAACGAAAAGGTTCCCTGAAGGTCCATATCATAAGCCGGCAATTCCGAAACATTCAGAGCGTACCCCCGTTTAGTACGTCCTGACATTGATCTGTACGCGCTCATCACGATGTGATGGTAACGGTGCAGCGCATTAAGACCCCCTAAAGCTCAGCCTTCCCCATCGCCGACTGACATTCCTGTGGAAGCTGATGCGTCCTGCATTCCACAGGTTTGGTTATCAGTCAAAAAGATCGTCGCCGGTTTTAGACTTTGCTTCCCAGCGCTCAAACTGATTTTCCCGAAGTATACCTTGAGATGGGTATCATTCGCGCACATCGAGTGTATCGTATTGTCGGAGGTGAGATTGACATTGACAAGTATAGTGTACATGGGTTCCGGCGTGAATTATTGAACACCGAGCATGCCGATGTCCTACACAGAAACTGTTTATAGTTTTCCGTGCGGGCAGCAGAGCTATATATGAGCATGGTCGGCGATAAGGAGGAACACTGGACTTTTGTCTATTGGCTCCCCTGAACTGGTGACTGGAAACGTACTAGCCAAGTATAACGATGGCATATGACCCGGGTGAGCGAGCTCAGTGTTCTTAAGGTCTAACTTTACCCCAACCATACAAAGACAAGGACAGGAATAGCTATATAGCTTCGCATCCCACACTTCTCTCCTCAGTACTTCACGTACAAGTCTACCCACGAGTCGCTGATCATATCGCCTCGATAGCGCTGATGCATCTCATTGGGGACCGTGGGATGGTTGATGGGGCGTCTCGCTGCATGCTTACCTGCCATGTCGAAGGTGCGTTTGATCATCATTTTCACCAGAGTCAAAGGTCGTTACCCGAGAGGGCTATGTATGAGTCTGTCGTCGTGAGTTGTATCATGAACACCGATAATGGACACCCCACGTCTGCGATTTATATATTGGTTCATCAACTCCTTCGACGTACATCTGACTGAAAATACCCATAAGACCTGAAGTAGACATCCGAGTGATGGCGGTCAGCATCTTTGATATATCCGGAAATGAGATCCAACGCACAAGTGCAGACGAGCTCCTGAAAACACCTTTGAAGGGTCATTTAATATTTGACGAGCGCCCAGGGACGGTGTCGCGGCACGGCACGTGAGCGCGCGCTCAGTGGCAGTATCACCTTGCTGCCGACCACATTGACTTCTCCCAGCTTGCCCAGCGATCCCATTCCAATTGTCAAGGCGAGCGGTTGCCTCTGGAACTTTCGTTCTCGGTTTCTCATCTGGTCGTCAACGGAGGTCAAGTGCATCGTCGCTGGTTAATTGTCGGGACACGGGACGGACGGGACCACTGCCGGGTTGGGTTAAAGGTGTTGTTCTGTGCGCTCATTGTTCCTGGACAGAACTGAGCCTGTTTATTATGTCCACAGTCGTCCCCCGAGCACATACACAATAGCTTCTTGCGAGCGTACATATATCATCGCCCCTGGCGACGTTGACGACCTCCCTCTTCGCCACTCATGGCCGCGGTAACCATGAGCAGCAATCTCGACGGCCTCTCGCAGCCTCCATCACAGGCCTCTTCGCCCTCCGCCACCGCGAATACATTTTCGCCATCACAGCTGCCTGCTCCCCGTGCCGTCATTAACAATCTCCAGCATGTCCGCCCACAGCCGTCCCTACCCGGAACCCCGACGACAGCTCAGCAGACCCTCATGGACCCTCCCTCTGGCATGAAATATCACGATTTTCTCCGCACTTGGAATGACAATCAGGTATCTCGCTGGCTCGCGGATATCAAGTGCGGCCACCATGCGAACACGTTCAAGGCGAGCGATATCCGCGGCGATGTCCTCCTTGAGCTTGACCAGGATACGCTCAAGGAGATGGGAATCGCCAGCATTGGCGACCGGCTGAGGGTTCTGAATGCGGTTAAGACTCTGAGGCAGAAGTGCTCGACCAAGAGCGAGAGGCTCTCAATTTACGGTACGGCGCTTTCGCGGAATGGGGATGGCATGGCGCACAGGAGGTCCGGTTCGGTAACATCGCCAACGTCGCGGCTGGCTTCGCGCAAACTGGAGCACGGAAGACCACCACCTTTGCAACTCACCCCAAATGCCAACCAGTCTGCCAATCTACCGCATCTCATCCGTGAGGGCCAACCCGCTCCGGACTCTGCCTCACGCTCGACCATGCCCCTTCGCCCTCTTCCTCAACCAAATCAGCAACCTCAATCCAATGCCTCGTCTACTTTTCACACGACAACGCCAGGCAGCTCATATTCAACGAGCTCGCGCCCGAACGTCTTACCATTACCGCCCGTGCCTCGCAGCCAACCTCCTCTCCCACCCACTGGCCGGCCATCAACTCGCAACCTTCATTCTGGTCCTGGAGTACCTGGACGACGAACGCCAACGCAGGTAGAGGCGCCCGAATTCACGTCGCAACCACTCCCACCTGCTCCTGTGAACCAGAGCCTGCTCACACCGTCATCGAACGGTTCGTGGTCGGGCTATGGTCTCCCGCCAGATCCGCGTGCTGGGATTGGCAGCGTCAAGACACCTGTGCGTTCTCAGTCTCCTATGCTCCCAAATGTTCCTATACGGACGGCGACGCGTTCTCCCAATCCCGCCTCGGCGCACGGGAGAAACGTGTCCATGTCGAGCGTCCAGAATGGCTCGAGCCCCTTGACGAAAGTGGGACCTCGTCCGTCCACCTCTGCACATCCTTATTCCCAAGGCCTTCAACCCCCAGCACAACCGATCAGCATTCTTTCGCCTATTGCCGAGTCGTTCCTCTCCAACTCCGCAACTATCACTGTTCCGTCTACATCCGCCTCGCCCTCACCCCCTACGACTTATACCGTGGGCCGTGGGCCCTTCGTACGTCCGAACACGCCGTCATACAACAACACCCCTTCGCTTGTCGACCTCAGAAAGAAACTCATCAAATTTCAACTGGCAGAGGAGGGCCATTCGTGCACACTCAATATTGAGGACTGTGCAGGCGGCATTGAGGTACTGGAGAAGGCGCTCAAGAAGTTCGGGAAATTGGGTGGCAAGAGTTCCGACACAGAAAGCGCCATTGTTGGCACTGACGATGGTGGATTGAGCGTGGATGGCTGGGGGGTGTATGTGAATTGGGGCAACGAAGATTCGCCAGGTCTGTTCTCACACGTCGCTATCATCAGAATGTCTGACACCTCGCAGGTATACCTCTTTCCGAGGCTCAACTATTGGCTGTATGCCACGCATCACCGGACGATCCAGCACGGGAGCATGGCCTCACGTTGCGTCGCACTGGCAAGGCCAAGCGGTCAAAGGCCCTAGCGCATATATTCGGAGAAACACCACCCATTCCTGGGCAACGGAATAGCCCAACAAGTCCGTTGTTCGTCGGACCTAGACTATCGACCGGTGAGGAGGACGAAGACGGAAATCTGTTGTCTCCCGGCTACGGAAACTTTGCGACAAGCCAGTCGCAAACAGCGAAGAACAAGCGCGCAAGTTCAATCAGCATCCTCAGCGGTCTTGGTGTGCGGGATCCAGAGAAGGCGTTGGAATCCCCGTCTTCGCCTACACAGTCTTCCACCGCTGGAAAACATTCGTCGGGATCCAGTTTTTCGAAGGGCCCGTCCAGATTGCGCAACTTCTTTGGTCAACGACCGCCGAGCGAGCTCATCACGAACCATTTAAGCGAGTACTTCCCCTTCACGGAGAAGAAGGTCTTGGAGCGCACAGCGCGGCACAGTATGCTGCGAGCGGGCGGCTCTGCTGCGTTTGGGAAGAGAGACAGTACGATGTCGTTTGCGCCGCCGCCGTCGAGATTCAGCGTCAGCACGTTGGGCTCGCAGCACCGCTCTTCGCATCGCGGGTCTATAGCGTCGATCCCGCCGCCTGTCCCAGACAAGGCGTCGGATCGCGCAAGCATGATCACCGTGGACGAACCCCCGCGGGTTTCGCTCTCCACCGACGATGGACACGACGTCGATGCGGATAGCGACGAGGATAACAAGCCGCTCGCTATGCTGAACAAGCGCGACTCCAAGGCACACTTACTTCCTCCAGTAAACATCTCGTTCGAGTCCTTCTCTGAGTCCATGAACAGTCTCACAGGAGGCCAGCTGGGTGCGCACAGGCTCTCTGCGCGTCCGATGTCGACGGCCTCGAGACGGATGAGTTATATCAAGGAGCTACGGAGCAAACGTGATATATCAGATACAGCTAGTATTATGACGATGGATGAGATCACGGCGGAGGTGGAGAGTAGGCGCGAGAGCGGCAACAATACTATCGCGGATGACGCCTCGTGGACGAAGGTGGATGCCGATAGTGATGAGGATACGGAAGCACCCGCAGCGCCTGTAGACATACCCCCAGAAGGCGATGAGGATGAGGATGACACGATCGTCGAGGACGATGTTGAAGAGGAAGAGGAGGAAGTTGAGGAAGAGGAAGATGACGAGGACGGCACCGGAAAAGCTATCACATCCAAAGGTCACATTGCTTTTTCGCTCTCCCGTCGTGTGCTTACCCTGTTCCCATAGGTATCAAGTGGATCAAGGGAGCATTGATAGGAGCTGGCTCGTTCGGAAAAGTGTATCTCGGGATGGACGCCACAAACGGTCTTCTTATGGCTGTCAAGCAAGTCGACATCCCTTCCAATGCCTCGACGAATGAAGCACGTCAAAGAAGCATGTTGGACGCTCTGGAGCGGGAAATCGAACTCCTCAAAGATTTGCAACATGAGCACATCGTGCAGTACCTGTGTACGTTTTCCTTGCCCGAAACGCAGTGCAATCATCACTGAAGTTCGTACCATCTACATGCAGATTCATCGGCAGACGAGGAGCACTTCAACATCTTCTTGGAGTACGTTCCCGGCGGTTCGGTCACTGCTCTTCTCCGCAACTACGGTGCCTTCGAGGAGCCACTTGTACGGAACTTTGTCCGACAGATCCTGGATGGTCTCGACTACGTACATGAACGAGGCATTGTCCATCGGGATATCAAGGGTGCAAACGTTCTGGTCGACAATAAAGGTGGCATCAAGATTTCCGACTTCGGTATTTCCAAGAAATTGCAAGACAGTGCGTCTCTTCATCACATTCACGTACACATTTTGACGATACATGCCCAGACATACCCGGAACTCGCCTTCACCGGCCCTCTCTACAGGGCTCAGTATTCTGGATGGCGCCGGAAGTCGTTAAACAGACCGCCTATACCAAAAAGGCGGACATTTGGAGTGTCGGGTGCTTGGTTGTCGAGATGTTCACTGGTGAACACCCATACCCGCAACTGAACCAGATGCAAGCCATCTTCAAGGTAAGACATGGCACTCATCCATGTCCGCAGTCATCTCACAATATCTTTAGATCGGCTCTTCCGCTAAGCCCACTATTCCATCTGATATCACTGCAGAGGCTCAAAACTTCCTCGAACTCTGCTTCGAGCTAGACCATGAGGCTCGCCCGTCTGCTGGGGATCTTTTGCGACACCCGTGGCTCACCAAGAAACCCGGAAAGAATTCTGGTAAATCAGCAGCGAAGGAAGCCTCGTCATGACCCTTCCTTTCCTAACGTCGGATGTTTCGTGTTGTTATTTACGCGCCATCTGTTGTCCTTGTTCATAAATCTTAGAGTACCGGAAGGACCAGTATTGTAATCATGTCCAAATCTCGCATTTTTCCATTTGACGGTTGACATCATTCGGAGTACACACGTAGCCCCGCACTTAGTATCCTATACTTTCATTCCTCCTCTATTCCCCGTTTGCGCTTTGTACCGCTATCTGCTTTTGTACCAGGGCCCCAATGAGGAGCAGGGTTCTGCTGATAACGAACCAACTTGACTTTTGAAGAGGGCGTGACGGTCCGAGGGTGGCGCTTAAAGCTGGCTTCCGTTCTGTTGTACATCGGCGTCAATGCGAAAGTTAATAAGAAACGAGGCGAAGGCAGTACTTCGGTTCTTTGCTGAGGAGTACCCGAGAAGGAGAGTTCTCTGTGATTTTATCCATTTTTACTGGATGGGTTTGCACCCATGACCGGAAAACATCATGTAAGTCCGCCCGCGATGCGGTCGTTTTAAGTGATCCCGGGCAGGCATGTGAGCGGGATACTTCATGTCCGCCATTGAGCAATGCAGATCTGCCCAAAATGGTGTCAGCTCCACTGAACCAACAGAGGTTGCACGACGCCTACGCTACGTCATCCAGTGCAGGGCAAGTACAATGGAAGAAACTGGCTACTCGAGAGGGAGTGAAGTAGAACGGCGTTTCCAGCTCCTGTAAAGGAAACTCAGTGTCGTGCAGGCACTACAGGAAAATACCCAAACTCGCCTCTTTGGCTACCGTGAGCATACCCTTCATGCGCACAGCAGTACCATACTTGTCGTCGTTGTTCTCTAGATGTTCGAGAATCTTTCCCACGAAAGCTTGATCATGGATTTTGCCAGACCACATCGGACCTGCAATCTGTTTGAGAACTGTCAATGCTCAGAAGTAAATGAGGCATAGGTTGATACGCAACGTGCATCGCAGAGCCGCATTCAGGGCACTTTTCTGATACTGGAGGACCTGACTGAGCCTTGAAGAGATTGTTCACGTTTCCGCTGCGCTCATTGATTTTTTCTACCATCTTTCCCAAGGATTGGCCATGGAATGACTGACAGATTGAACAGACATAGTAGATGGATGTATTGCTAGAGTACGTCAGACGGAATTAGAACACTGTTTGCCATGATGCACATACCTGGCAGCCTTCTTGACTTCTATAGGAGCTGACTGGACCCTGACGAACAGACGAACGTAGAAATCGATGGAAAGAGACAGGAGAGGTTGGATGTAACGCCCATAACGAGATGCAGACGTAGATATTGTATTCAAAACAAGTCTGAGCGCCTGAAACGACATCGCATGAGAAGTACTTGTGGGCAGTGACAGGGGAGAATATTACCACTTCATGACAATATTCCGCCTTGACAGGAATACCGCCATAGTTGGAGTAACTGATCGGAAGGGGATCAATGTCAATGGAAAAATGTAAGCTACGAACTAATCACCATTTTTCAGGGTAATTGTTTGTGGCCAAAACTGAAAGATCTGTGCATGTAACGCAGAGCAAGCCTTGATATGCAATACTCGTCAAATTCAGACAAATCAAAGACACTAGAGTTGTCTGACCTCCGTCATTCACGCACTGCACTGCAGCGTCAATGAATGGTGCTGGAGTGCCATAGGGATCAAGGTCCACGACGTCAACCCGGTTTCGTTCCAGAGAGTGTGAATACATAAGTGCTCTATCAGAATGAATATGTGAATCAAGACCTATGACGGAATTAGTACACGCACCGTGCGTCGCCTTCATTTATCCTGACCTTCCCAGGTATTGATTTTGACATTTTCGCCTTCTCAGGCTCATCTGCCCCCATGCTGTCCGACTCAACTGTTCGCTCTCCCAGCCCGTTCAGGTCAACATTTCGCTTCATGGCTGCGGTCGCCGACGGAGAGAGATCATTGGCAATGACGTATCTTGGTAATAAATTCATGGTCAGGCGCAGCGTCATTATGAAGTTGAAGCAACCAAGATGAGACTGACTTCACCATAGGGAGTTCCTTGGCATAGCGGATTGAACGAAGACCAGTGGCAGACAATGCTTCCAAGAGCACAAACTTGTACGGATGATACTGCGCGACAAGTTTCCAACGTGACCCTTTCGTTCCAGAGAGTGAAATCGTACCTCAAGCTCCTCTACTGGCTTTCCGGCCCCCGCAATCTCGGCTACTGAATCAGAGCCCACCTTATTCTCACTCACGACGTTGGTGGATTTTCTGATTAAGGAAATGGTCCAATAAGAAGATATCGAAAAGTGGGCAAGCTTACGATGCATCTTCCCCGTCTGCGTCCAATTTCCGCTTCTTGTCTGGACGGCTACGTTTATCAGCCTTCCTTTGCTGCGCCTGTCTCCATCGTTGCTCCTTGATTTGGTTCAACTCCTCGCTCCAGACACGAATGGCGGCCACGCTCAGATCGCGATTGAATTCCTGGATCGGGTTCAGGAACGCCTCGTTTGTCGAAGGTAGTAGGATGTGAGACGTGTTCTCCGTGTGGAGAGTAAATCCTTCCGGAACGACTATGGGCTCGAGTGTGCCAGCCATGTGCACAGTTCTCCGAAGAGCGAGATGAGCGCTTTGAAGGCGCAAGCGTCTGAACGTCAGGAATATAATGGTTAAAGCTGCTGGACTGAGGACACGAGCAAAAATAGCTCGAACCACCGTGTCGGCATCAAAGCGCCACCGTGCTAAGCACCGGACACTAAAGCGATTATCAGATAAACAGGATTGGTGGCCGACCAAGGTGGCGTCAGCTGGCCATGCAAACGATATTCGGACACGCAATCGATGTCCAAATTATGCAAAATATCTAGGCAATACAGTAAGAGAAGGTAAAAATCGTCCAGATTTATGTACCGAAGCGGCAGTCCGAAGTACGACCCCATGTATGTAAAATCTGGATGAGTGTACGAAGTGCCACTGCTAAGGCCTAAGGTCCGTTAGCCTAGTTCAAGTCGTCAGGTGCAGCAGGAGACATCCATCTCGTCGAGTCATCAATAAGAAAATTCTTCCGCTACTAACGCTATAGATCCACTCATGTCGCCTCGTCGTATGCGAGCCGGATCGATCTGTGATGCAACAATCTTTCGTATAACAGCGTTCAGCGTTGTTGGCCCACAACCTGGGAATCAATCGTCCTCAGCCACACAAGCTAGATCAAAGAGGAAGGGAGCTTACAAGCAACAGCCACGGCACCAGCAGCGCTCCCTACTTCGTCCCGCAGAATGACATCTAGTTTTGGCCGCCCGGGTATTGCGAATTCGGCCATTACATTGATATCCTGCATCTCGCCCTCGTCCCATTGGAGTTGCACTTGCTCTCCGAAGGCCCCTGTGCCCACCCGAGGCATCAACGCATGGAGAGAATTTACGTCGGATACAGCAGACCGTGTATCCCAGTCGGGAGTACGAGGAATGGCGGAAAAAACAGCATCCTGGCGTCCGTATGAGTGAAATGAGGCTTGTGAATGTCGAGGCGATGGGATGGCAATATTCAAAGGAGCTCTGTGCTCGTCATCAACAAGGTTATCAAGGTCGACCTCAGAGAGCACTCGCTGGCTATCACGAGAGCCGTTGCGCGAGTGGCCTTCGGGGACAACTGATAGACGATTTGACGGGTCATGTGGAAGAGACGACGGCAGAGTGGCGGCGCTCTGAAGGCTCAGGTCACCAAAAGGGCCTTGAGAGTTCGACAACCTCCTAGACAATGCGCGCCGAATTCTCCCTTCCTTTTTGACCGTGTGATTCATCGACGATTCACCCGGGATCTGATCATCATTATCACCATCGAAATTTGTGAGATCCAACACATGTTCCTCGTGGCCTAGCTCCCCGATATTGGGCTCACTGTTTTCATTAAATTCTCCGGTGTAATAGCTGAGGTCGACGTAGGCATCCGCAGGCTCTGTATCGCTTCGATGTGGATCATCGGATCCGATTGTGCTTTCGCTTCGCTTGACATGCTTCCCTTTTTGAACAAACCGTGGCGTCGGAGATAGCAAGGCGGTCTTAGTCGAAGCGGATAAAGGAGTGGGAGGAAACCGTGGTGACGAAGGGAGATGCCTCGCCGATGGCTTGAAATTAGTCACGAAAATCTCGATTTGAAGAAATTGAGTTGGGACAAGAGCCCTGCATTGACGTAGCGTAGTAGCACACCATTGAATGTGCGCTAGATATGGAACGTCAGAGAATGGAATGTGAAATTCATCGATCGCAACGTACAGAATTCGCGGACGACCCAGACAAATCTAACCTTTTGTGTTTGAAAGCGGGTCCCGCTCCTTGAACCGGAACCTCCCAGGAACCTCCCCTCCCTCCCTGACATACAAAGGCTCAGGTACTTCAGCACAGACAGTCCAAAACTAACACCTGATCCACCGGCAACGATCAATACACTGGAGTACATGCCCCAATCAGCCCGACTTGTAGATCCAAAAGGACCATCGACCCAGCATCGCATGAGTATCCCCATAGCAGGAAGATCGTCGATAGGTGGACTCTCGCTCTGCGGATGCTTGCGGCTGCCGGACGTCAACGCTACAATGGCGTCCCAGAGGTCCTTCGTCCATCCGTTCTTGGCACGAATCAAAAAAACAAGCATCCGTCCATCGTCACCCGCTATTTGCTCATCGCAAACGGATGCGGAGGTAAAGGGGTGCGAGAGAAACTTCGAGACAGAGGGGACGCAGAGCAGGAAATTCTGCCCGGGAGCCCATGTAAGATAGCCTGGAGTTATAAGCCGTAGTCGAATGGTGCGACCCGCGAGAAGCTCCACATGTGCGTATCCAGATGGTGGAACATAGCTCGAAGCAGGCTTCAATGGGGGAATTATAGAGTGACCCGATGAAGCTGCGTCAGAATGAGGAGTGAACCGTGAAGGACCAGATGGAACGGACGTCCGATGTTCGCCATCTGCTAGTGTTGAAAGAGGTGACCGTGGGTTCCGTGATTGTTTATCACCGTTCAGAACGGCTCCGTCATGAGGTTCGAGACGTCGCAGCTCTAGCTCCTTCGCCGATATGTGCCTCTCAAGATGGTGAGAAGAGGAGACATGACTGCCAACAAACCCGTTCATATACAGCCATCTCGTCCCTCGCCAGGTTCTCTCGCCAATCCACAAGGCTAAAGCAGCCCAGCACCACCACCAAACAGGCGGGTGATGCAAAGCAGACATGATGATCGTGAGAGGGACCAGAAGAATGTGTAGAAAATAGAACGCCTCGTAATGCCTGTCCCTAATGGGTTGAAGGGATAGTATAATCAGCAGTGTGAAGAGACCGAAGGCCTGAGCATCTAGGTGAGCGAAAACGGTAAGAGAGTGACCAGCGAATTTCTCATACCGTCCATGCATACAGAAACTTGGGATATTGCCAAGCGTAGACGTATGCTATTTGGCCAGTGCCGACCCGTCTATCTTCGATCAATTGTACGCTCCAAAGGGCAACGTGTACCGCAGAAATGAACCAGATAAGTCGACCGAGCCAGCGATGCAGCCACATGAGTTTGTCGAAGTGCAAGTTGATAAAGAAGGGAATTGCGAAGATCGCGAAAGGGGGGGCCTTGAGCGCAAAGAGAATACATAGTGGGAAAAGAGCAAATGCGATGAGGCCAGCTCTTCCACCTGCAGTCCACCAGGCCTTGGAGATAGTGTACTGGGGCTGAAATTTGAAAAACATAGACGCGTCGTAATTTACAGTCCGAAGCATGAGAACCGAGTCCCGACGAAACTCCCAAAGTTTATTTGACGGTGCAAGGTAGTCCGGCCCAACAACCATGACGGCAAATGCTGCAATGCTTAGAAGAGTTAGAGACAGGATCTGAGCATTCGAAGGTAAAGGGATGGGTTGTTTGTGCGGTTGCCCTCTTCTCTTCGCCATGGCCAAGCTGTGTTTTTTCCGCCAAGTTCTTCTGCGTAGGGACCATTTGCTCCAATATGCACCTACGGCTCCCCCCCTCAGTCCCATAGAGTGGAAAAAGGCGAAGATAAAGGAAACGGATGCGATGACTATCCATAGCAGATACGCATAGCGCCAACTGGTCTCGCTGAGCCTATGTATGGTCAGGTATGCGGTGATCCACTCTAGATCATCAACAATCGCTGGAGTAGTAGGATTTGGAGTCAAAGACGCCGTTGAAGACGGCGTAGAAGATCCTGAGCTCATGGTGGGGGGAAAGAGACAAAGGGCCGATCTTAAGGAGCCACGGCGGGGCGGCCAGTAGGAATGATTTTACTGTCGGTGAGCCGAGGCCCGACTGACTGCGGGAGAGAAGCTGCGCAGCGAAACGCGCAGAGCCAGGCAGAGCCTGTTTTGAGGGGCGGGAGGCTTGAGCTGGAGGAAGAGGGGTAGGGACGGTACGATACACATGTGGGCAGAAGAGCGTGGATAAAAATAAGAACCTGCCTTAGTTTCGAGATGTCCTCTGCGGTGAACGCGTCGAAATGTCACGTGTTCCGAGGCGCTCCGACTCACGGCCGCTTTTGTCCTCACAGGCCTCACAGTCCTCACAGTTATGAGAAGTTTGTCAGCAGAATCATGCAATCATTCATGTTAGTACATCCCTTTGAGTTCTTCATGTTCACAATGTAGAACACTCGTCCCAGCACAGTTCCAGAAAGTGTTCACAATATCAAGGGACTGTGTGTATTGTGTAACCAGTTCTTCTCGCTCAGCCTCGGCTCTCCTCGGCTTGGCCAGCTCTGTCCATTTGATACTGACATTTGTCTGTGGTTGCTACAAACCAATCAATCAACACCCGCAAGCACTCTAACCGAGACCTGCTTATTTATAGTTTGTCGTCGTCAATGACACATCACTGCCTGACATGCTTATAAGCCGGCTACACGAAGTATCCTCTCTTGGGTAAAGATGGCACTTTTCGTTGATAACGACTATCTATCTCTTGTGTGAGGTCAGCGACGGAGACCACCCTTTCGTAGCCTTGGGGCATCGAACTGCGCCTCACAGAATAGGTGTCCATGTCAGATCCAAGAAACGGCCAAGCGTCCTCTGGATGTTGTCAACCAGCAAACGTACAAACCATCGACGTTCAAAAACAGCACCGGGAACAAATCAAAACCATCTTTCTTCGATGTACCTCACTCAAGAGTCTCGCCAGAGCGAACCTAAAAACGACGATGAGCACTTCCATGCAGCGCGCCGTCGCAGTGAAGAGTAGTCTTACCTCCTTGCCGGTCTTCTTGATTTTCTCCAAAAGGTCATCGTAGCCAATAGTACCTTTCACAAGGACTTCCTGCTTCTCGAGGCTGACATCGTACGAGCTGACACCTATGTTTCCAAGGATTAGCTGGAGTTTTTGGTCACCACGCAAAGCTACGCACCTTCAGCCTTCTTCAGAACACGCTCGACAGCTCCAGAGCAGCCGCCGCAGGTCATCTATATCACGAAACATTAGCTCGAACAACACCTGTTGAATCTCGACTCACCTTGACATCGAATCTGTAGGAGTGTTCGGACTGGATCATTCGTCAGCCACGAGCTTCGGCTTGTCCGTTATTCCATGCTCACCATTTCGTAGAGACCTGAAGAGATGTATTTTGTGAGTACTTGAATAGAGCTAGAACAGACAAATCGTCTGCTTACTAGGGGGTTACACGCTGACGAAGGGTATAGATGGAAGACTGTGGGCGAGTCTGAAGCTCTTTATATCGGACCTATCGATCGCGTCATCTCCCAAAGTGGATCTTACCAATCTGCGGGGATACAGCCGAGCTGTCAAGCGCTGCCGCGGTATCTCGCCGAGGTAGTGCAGTGCAACCAATACCAAGTCAACCGCAACCACCGCAGATTCCGAAAGTTTCTCGAAGAGGCCTCAGGTGATTCAATTGTTCTCTGAGAAGAAGGTAAAAAAAGGTGTAGTTGTGTGCATGTCATCGGGCAGTTCGGTGAGTGCAATGAAAATGTTATGCACATCATTTTCTGAAACAGCCTGATCAACTGGCCTGAAACGTTGATGAATAAACAGGACAGGTCCATAAAGCATTGCAGGCACATGCACTCAGTCACTGGACGCTGCGGGCCTGCGCCATCTCCACTCCCTCATCGCCTTCTGTAGCAACAGCTTCCCAACCAAATCCTGGAGCCGCAGTTGGACGCCCACGCATCCTGGAAATCCAGGACGACAAAAATGCTGCGCCGCGGAAAAGAAGCGACAATAAGCCAAGTGTTATAAGTGTCGCCCGAAGAACTCACATAACTTTCCCGGTAATTGAATATCTGTTCCACGTTGAGTGATATAATATATGGGTATTCCGACAAGCACAAAGCCTGGAGCACCTAGTGAGCCATGCCCAAAACAGAAAGCTCTCATTATGAATCACCAAGAACAGCCATTGCCTCCAGCGGTGCCGCAATTATTGGCATGCAGAGTAGGAACAAGGCGACCTACTTTGCATGAAAATATAATAATGGAAAGATTGAAAAGAACGAATTACTGCGCAGAATATCAGAGGTGTCGTGATCCATGTCTTGTAAGGTCTGCAGCGACTATTGAGATTCCGAAATTCCAAGATATTGTTCAGAAATACCTTTTTAGCATAGGCTCCTTGATTCGCAGTATGACAAGGCCTAGAACCTGCATTCGCATTAGTACCAAGGAAACTCATGCAACAAGCGTATTACCGTGAGGAAATAAAACGCCCACGATGCAACGACAGCGAAGTTTATTAACGATCTAAAGCCACCTCCGAGGATAATAAAAAGGATAGTGATCGTCGCTTGCAAGCACATAGCATTGAGAGGCGTTTGTCGGGTTTGATGGAGACGACCGAACAGGGCAGGGAGGTATCCCTCCCGTCCGGCGGCATAGATAAGACGTCCCGAAGTAAAAAAGGATCCTGTATTGAGAGAACGATCGATGGTCGAAAGAAGAACGATAGGGAATGACACCATACCGTTCAATGCTCCGAAACATGACATCGCAACCATGATGGCGAAGACAGAACCTCCAATCGGTCCAAATAGAGCTCTGCCGAAGTCGAGCGCAACTGTATTACTTCGTCCTACAATATTCTGGATGGCGATTCAGTGAGATGCATATGAGGCCGGTCAAGGCATTCACCTTGTCTAAGACTACAAAATAGGATAGGTTGGTTAGAAGAAAAAGTAGCTGAAAGACCAGATGAGTATATGTTCTAGACATGAGTGCAGTCGCCCAATCACCGTCACGATTATCATGCTAGAGTGGATAGCTCTGGGTATATTTTTTTCTGGGTGCTTCATTTCACCTCCAACATAGTTTGCTTGATCCCATCCATCAAAAGCCCATAGGCCAGAGTAGAGAGCCAGCGCATAAGAAGACGGACTCGTGTTTGTACCCTCGAAGATATTTGAAGTGAGGGAAGTCGATGCTCTACCTCTGACCAGCTGTATGATACCAAGGACTGCTATTAATACCTGCGATATGATGTCAGTACCTCATCTCATCGTTCGTTTGCAATAGAAAACCAACTAGGGAGATGATCTGAGATAACATATTAGCATCTGATGATCTCTATCATGAAAAATAACATACCTTGACAGCCGTGAAAACAACGGCAGTATGAGTTCCAAGATTCCGCGTAGCAATGCAGACAATAGTAACTATCAGGACAGCTATGATGGCCGTGATCTGAATAGCCCACTGAGGGATCGCGTCCGGCGGTGCGTCGCTGACCGTAGCATGCCAGAACAATCGGTTCAAGTATTCCGCAAAAATAAGACTGATCACAGCATTCGAACCTGATCGAGCGAGATTCAATTCAGAGCATCCGGATTCAAACGCAAGTCGTAAATACCTGGCTTGAGAGCAGCGATGGCTGTCCAGGCAAACAGATACGAGACAAGAGGGCCATAAGAGTAAGCCAGATACGCCTGTGCACCTCCATTTAAAGGAATGGCTGAGCCCAGCTCGGCAAAACTACTTGCACCTGTCCATGCCAGCAACCCAGATAATAACCATACTATCAGGCTTGCGCCAACGCTTTGGGTGTTGCCTACGACCACGCCTGGAGATGAACTACTCAATATCAGGACAAGTCCTCTTTGAAAGGGTAATCGCGTACAAAATGCCTGAACCAATCTGATAGGCGCATTGACGAAGTCAGTTTGTCACATGGAGATTCCAGCATTACTGTGGTTCACCTGCAGGCCCACAACCAGAGCAATGCCTTCTCAAATGAGCACCCATAACAATCCAACAACGCATAGATTGATGTAGGCTTACCATTCATCAAACTGATATCTTTATCATTAGACGCTATTCGAACTTCATCCCTTTCACTGACACTGGCACTCAGTGGGAGCAGATCTCGTTCAAAGCCGAACCCGGCTATCGAATATGAGCGTTCCCGACGAGGATGAGTATTGGGGGCCAGCCCCCCAGAGAGTTCAAGAGCTCGTAGCGAATCGTCAGATTCATGAGAGGAGCGCGAATGAGGAGGTGAAGGATATCGGCCCGTATTATGTAGAGGAGACGGAAATGGGGAGAAGTTCTCGCTGGGAGAGCTCATCTGTCCAAAAATTAGAGGAAAGGATTTGTAGCGCAAGCAGTTCACAGGTTCCAGAAAGCAAAGTTCCAGAAAGCAAAAGAAATTTGAGCTATGCAGTAGAACCTTGTGGGACGCACGCAAGACGCGACAGAAGGGTCCAGTGACGCCAACTGCACGTGTGAAATGATGTCTAGGTCTCACGGTCACACTGTCTACATGACATACATGACGAAACGATCCAGATCTGAGATTTACACCATCACAAGGAACGCCGAGCACCCATTCGTAGAGTATGAAAGTAGTATACATCAGGCCAACTTGCTTCGAGCGAACGCTGTGTTTCAGTCAGCAATAATTATGCTCAAATTATCGCTTGAAGTAAGTCGGCTCAGAGGCAGCGCCTTCGGAAGATGATAAGAACCATGACTCATGTAATTGATTTTTCTGCACTATCTAAAAGAGCTCGAGAAACAATCTGGTGAATATCTGTGCAACGCTCCTGACAAGACTCTAGACACTGAACAACAAAGTATGAAAAAAGTTGGCCGTATACAAGGAGATTGAGACGTACCTGCAATGTGTCCTGCGGCAGGATACGCCCTGTCTGCCATGTGTTGGTGACTATACCCAAGGCAGGGATACAGGCGAAAACCAAGCTGCCTTCTGCCAGATGGCCCTCTTCTTCTGTTGGGTCCAGCCAAATTTCCCTGTTTACTACACACTGCACAGAGAATAATGTGACTATTTAAAAAAGTCAATAGTCGCAACCAACACGCAACTTACGGCGGAACAAGCGACAGCTAACCCTAGGAGCTCTATTCTCGCATCTGCCAGTGCCGTAGAGGCAGCTACAGATGCAACGGCGATACATCCTTCTATTCCGTCGCATTCAATGACAGTAATGAAGATATCGATAACGGATTTCGGGAGCAACTCCAGTCGGACAGAGGGAATCAGAGCTTGTTGTATGAGGACCGCGATGGATCGATCTTCGGCATCCTACAAGAAAATCAATAGGAGGTTATGACCGGGCAATTAGCTGATCCTTACTCGAAGCGGTGCCCTTCTCTTGCCACATGAAAATGGAGCAAACTTGACTTCAACGTTCAATCTCCCGTTCTCATTATACCCAGTGTTTTTTGATTGACGGGGTCCATATCTGAATTGTTTAGGAAATTAACGAAACACAGTGGTAGATGGAAGCAGGGCTCACACCGCACATGCAACTTTGGTGCGTTCAGTCTCGATATAAGCTGACCCGTTAGCCTGACTGATGAGTCCTGCCTTCAAAACTACCTGACGTAAAACAAGGACATACGATGATGAATGATGAATGTAACGATAAAAACTATACCTGCGCACATATTGGTCGGATGTCGAGTGGTTGTCGGCCTTGACGTGCTTCGCCTACCGTCCAAGACGAGTACGAGGTGTCGGCCGACTCGGATTCGTCAAAGACAGGCGGAAAGCTTTCGTCTGGGCCATTGATCCGCCTTCTATCGAAAGCAGCGAGAGCCATGCAGTGTTATGTTAGTCTACATCCAAATCACAAAACCTTGCGGGTAGTAGGCATTTCAGCTGAAATTTGATAATTTTTGAAACTCAGCTCGCTCACGTGCAAGATAGCTCACGTGCTAATCAAGAGAAAGCTCAAAATATCATTTATGGGCAGTCCTGATGTGCAAGAACAGATTAAATATGTTTAGAAAGGTAAAAGAGACCCGAAACAATAGTGAAATAAAAAATCTGAGCACAACGGACGTTGTTTTTGTCGGGACTCGAACCAACAACCGGAGCAAAACAACAGCATCTGCACCAACTCACATATCGCACCAAGTAAAAGTCCATTTAGTAGGCACTATCTATGCAGTTGGTAAGCTTTACCCACCTATGAGTCAGGTTGGGTGACGCATGGCCCGCAAAGTTCATCATTTAAGAGCAGCTAAAGCCGAAACGCGGACTACCCGCAAGGATTCATCATTTGGAAGCATACCTTAACACAGAACGACTGTAATCTTATGTGTTGGTCGGCCACGGAGACTAGTGTTATGTAGAGAGAAAGGTTCGTGACCGCGAGCATCCAATATTTAACGGCATGCAATGCTAAACGGCATCCAATCAATCACGACAAAGTGAGCCGATTAAAATCATTCAGTATTTATCCTTGTCTCTTATGGGGTTTTTTGATCCATATCAGGCAAAAGCGTAAAAAACCTTGCTGCCTCGCCTGAAATTATTCAATAATCAATGCACACATCTACTTACGTAACGGTCATCTTCGTCATGAAGCTCTCGTTTTCTCTCGCCAACAAGTCCAAGGAGAAGCCAGTTGGCGTTGCGCCTTCTCTTAAACGCTCCGCTGCTTTTGCATCCATTGACGATGATGCCACTGAAGATGCCCCACACACGACCAGCAGTACCTCTAAGGGGGTTACAAATCGACGACTGATAGCTCAAAATGTCGAAATGTCAAAAACCGCGAAGAAGCGCATGGAGGCGGAGAAGCAAGTGGATTCTACTGTGTTCGAATACGATGAAGTATGGGACCATATGCAGGAGTCAAAGCTTCGACAGAAGGAGGTCAAAGAGCAAGAATCGAAGGAGAGGAAGGTCCGTATCCTCGATCCTTTCTCCAGATTCCTCAGATGTAACGTACTAGCATCTGTAGCCTAAATATATCAGCAACTTGCTTAACTCTGCGGAAACTAGACGCCTTGATCATCTACGAGCTGAAGAGAAGATGATTCAACGTGAACGAGAGGCGGAGGGTGATGAATTCATGGATAAAGAGGCATTCGTTACACAGGCTTACAAGGATCAGATGGCTGAGGTTAGACGAGCAGAGGAGGAGGAGAAGCAACGCGAAGGCATGCGTTTCCTGAGGTCGAACATCATTCCATCATCTTACTCATATCCAATGTTTCTAAACAGCATTGGAGAAGAAGAAAGGCTCATCTTCAGGGATGGCACATTTCTATCGCAAGATGCTTGAGGAATCGGAACAAAAGCATGAGGAGACAGTCGCTGCCACCCTTCAGGCGCAGAAGAAGAAGATTCAGGGTCCACAGGGCCCTGCTCCAAACCTCACCATTACAAAGCCTATTAACTTCATTCCACAATCAGACCTGGAGCTCGCGCGCCTTGCCAAGGCCCAAGGGAAGGACGTGGAGCTCAACGATGATAACCAGATTGTGGATAAGCGCGACCTTCTTTCCGCCGGTCTCAACTTATCTGCTCCCAACACGCGACTACTGGGATTGCGGACATCAGTCAAAAAGGTCGATACCGAGAAGGTCGAGGTCCACCGAGCTGCTGGGACAGCTGCCAGTAGACAGGAGATCAATCAACGCCGGAAAAAGGAAATATTTGCCCAGATGGAGGATGAGCAACATCGTATCCTGAAGGAGAAACAGCAGCGAGAGGAGGAAGCTGCGGCGCGGCTCATAGCCAGGCGTAACGATGACGAGGCAATTCAAAGCGCTGTCGAGCGGTACCGACAACGAAAACGTCAGAAATTAGAGCAGGCGGCATCTGAAGGTGTCTCGTAGTATACATACCCTTGCACCGACATTGAGCTTCCTTTCCTGTAGGACTTGTACCATTAATTTGTGAAAGGGGTTTGCCCGCAGAATGACCCAAATCATGTGATAGTGGGGTCGAAAAATAACATAAATACTAAGATTAGATAAAGCGCCTCATAGGCCTCATACATTCAACATCCACTATGTCCAATACTGTTGGTGCAACGTCCAAGGTCGGGACTTTCCACTTTCTATCTCAGACCGCCAACTCTCAAGCGGTCGTAGGATAAGACTTTGGCAAAGGGACAAGGGGAGGAGGCGCAATATATACGCCAGAAGGTGACATAGACCCAGACTTCCGAATTTTGCAAACAATGCTGAGAGACAAGGTGAAGGAACAAGAACAGCTAGCCTCTCTACGTGCCAGAAGCATGTTTGAGAAGAAGCCTGCGTCGAGCGAAATGGACCGTGACTTCGAGGGCGGCTACGGGGGTCAGGAAGATCTAGAGGACCGATACGCAACTACAAGCGGAGAGCATTGAAGCTGCGAAGTTGTGGCCGGATCGTAAGGATGGTTGGTATGCAATAGTCCTCCTTTGTCATTTGTTCTTCGATCGACGACTCGCAGGTCGCTTTGGGCATTATCCGATGGCGGTCATGCTATCATCCGGACACGAAGTATGATACGCTTCTCAAGGTCGCCTATAGCCTCGACAGTGAAATCACAGGTTAGATTGGCATGATACAAAGCGTTGAATCTCAGTATGTTGCCTGGTCGAAGTTTCAGAATGAAGGTTGGTGACTATTGACCACAAGCAATGAAGACACGTTCAACACGGGGGTGGGACAGTAATAGACTATCAGAAACCGCTCAACACAGTCGAAATGGCCTTAGCAATGACGCTGCGAAGATACTCAGGATGAACTCTCAACATAAAGACGGGGCGACTTACTCGTGAACGGTAAACAATGGGTGCAGCGTGTTCAGCCAACTTCGCAGTTCAATCAGTAACTATTATTCGAATAGGAGAGTCAGAGAAACTCACAAGTAATCTGAAACAGGGGCACAAGGTGCGATCTGTGTTGAGACATCCGAGGTACCGTTTTGATAGGCCTCACAAAACCCCGTTATGTTGACGTATCCGAACGTCCCAGCGTTGTTCAACAAGGTGTTGAAGATGGGCTGCGTGTCGAAGACAACGATTTGGTCAAGATCCTTGTGCTGCTGCCTGAATTTTGTCGCGAAGGACCGTAATTGGTTGTTGTAGTCGGCGATGGACGATGTAATTCGCGCGGTTACCGTGGGGCCTTGCACGACCAGGAGTGGGGCTCGGTTCGTGGGAGGAACAGTGAGGAACAGGAACGAGCGAGCGCCAGATTGGTAGAGCTCTTCAACCTGACCGAAGAGACGTGTCATGAGCGTGGTATGAAAAGCGCTCTGTGATACATTGTTCCACGCAAATGAGTTCCCCTGTCGAATGATAAGTCAGTGCGAGTCGAAACACGCATACAAGGTACCTGCTCATACAACGTCATTGATGCCTATCCACAATGCGAAGAGACTATTGTCACTTTTCCATGGTGCGCCAGCGGGCTTAGACCCGAGGAATTGTTCAAACAGAGAGACCTGGGTTACGATCGATCTGGGCGGTTTGAGCGTTATAACTCGACGACTGTTCCTATCGCACAGCCTGGCACGTACTGCACTGTGGGCGAATATGGTGCAACGAGCGCAGAATCGATCGTCGCTCCTCCAAATGCAAGATTGAATACTTGTGTATCGGTGACATTGTAAGTCCCTCCTGTGGGCGAATATATATCAGAGCGAAAAATGGCTCGAATGAAACAGAGCTAACCAAGATATTGAACCCAATTTTGACCGTTCGAGGATGTGAACCCTGGCACAGGAGAGTTGATACCAGCAGAAATATTCCATCCAGTCGTGGTGTAGGAATCCCCGAAGACGAATAAGAATTTCGTGCTCCCCCAAGTAAGTGCTGAAACACTGGACACGCCAAGAAGGACACTGGCCACTAAAGTGGTTTGAGCACGAGAAAACATCGTCGAAGAGTGGAAATTGCTGTGAAGAAATTGGGAATGACGACGAGTAATTTGGCCATGCATGGAAGGTATTTATGCATGCTAGGCATTTCCCCAGGACACGCCAGGGGTCTAAGGACTCATGATTCTTCAATCATGAGTGTCCGACAATACTCCGAGTACTGAATTCAAGCAGAGCGGACGAAATCGCAGGCTCTCGCGCAGGAGGCCTTGATTCTAACGGAAGAGTCTTGGATGTCGAAAATGTCGTAAGTGCTTGCGATTTCGAAGCTCGACCCCTAATGAGGGAAAGAGTCCTAGGAGATTGTAAACCAGCTGAGCGACCTGTGCGCTTGAACATTGGACGACGAAGGGGTTAGATGAAATTCCGTCATAAAAATAAGAACACGGACGCAGACGGACCACGATGGTCGAGAAAAGAAATTGATCAGGTCAGGGGACCAAGTCCGCGTGCAACTGCGTTTTTGAATCCTGATTCCTGACAGCATACCAATGCAATCGTGAGGTGAAATGAAGGTCCCAGAGCATTCACGTGTACGAAGACTTGAACATGCCTTACAGCGATATGCTACTGAGAACAAGTTGACTCTGTTGGGCGTCTGTGATATGTGTGGTCATATTTATGGACAAGGATTCAGAACGATTGTCTTCTGTGTAAGGTCAGCCACGGGGACGTAGTGTCTCACAAAAGCTCCAAAATTACATATTTGAAATTTTTACGGGCCGTTCGGTACTACAGACGCGCTGAATTCCTCAAAGGTCGAGGAACGATTTGAGAGGGTTGGTGTTAAGACTTGGGTTCTCCGTCGTGGTAGATGTACCTGAAAAGGCCCACATTGCCACATGTCTACATACAGCACGCTTATGGTCAGATATCTAGCAGGGGGCAGGTAGTAGATGGTCAACGAAGATAGTACACTAGACTGTAAGGACTGATGGCTCATGCATGGTGCTGTCTCTGGCCTGAAGAGTAACTAGTAAGTAGCTGCGAGTGTAGTGAGCGGCACATGTGTAAAGTAGTAATAACGGTGCTGATGAGTCCGAGTAAAATCGCAAGATGTCCATGGTGACAACGATCAAGAATGTCAAGGATGAACAAGCCGAAGAGGAGAAAAAACCAACTAACCCATACAATACCTCGTTGAACGAATGTCACGTGAAGTCAATTCTACTGCATGCCCGGAACATAGCCCAATGGCGTCCTACTATGGTGCACGCGTGATTAACGGCTCTGAGACATCCTGAAGAGAACGTTTCGAGCCAGGAGTGCATACAGGTGGAGCAGCCACAGCCGACTCTACCCAAGGGCTCAAATACGTGCAGCCAGAAACGGGAACCATCAGCCCAGCAGTATCTGTTGGGTTGGCCCATCCGTTACCAGCACTGATCGTAGAGGTACCGGATGCGGTGAATGTCGGAGCAGGAAGAGTAGGGATCACGCCCGTAGGGGTGTATGTAGGGAGAAGGGACGCAGCACCGTCCGCATTCTTGACAGTTGTAGGTGGCCACGCATATTGCGAAGACTGAGCCGCAGGGATGCTAGAGCTTGCTCCTCCAGTCTGTGCAGCTGTCAGCGAACCAGTCCAAGGGTTACTATTTCCGCAGACTCCATCGGCTTCTCGAGGGTCTGTTGGCATCCAGCCATTCTCTAGACCAAGTTGGTAAGACCAAGCAGGGGCTTCTACTACACCACGCGTGGAATTGCCAATTTTCCATGTCCAGAAGAACCAGTTCTGTATGGCGCGACGTCAGTACGAGGCACCAGGACAATCAAAGAGAGCCCACAGACCTGGAGGGCGTCCATGCTCGACATAGCGAAAGCCTTGATGCTGTCCTTCATAGACTGGTCCCAAGTTTGCCAATCAATCCAAGGATCGCAACTACCAACTCGGGAAGGATTGCCAGGGTAAGTTCCCTCATAGCGCGTACCCAGATTGACACCGTTGACGTATAAACCACAGTCGGTGACAGCGTTACTGAACTCGCCAGCGGCAGTAAGACCGAATGCTGCCATTGACGTGTTCATGGTTGCACCCCAAGCATCGCAGGGTCTTGTTGTCTGCTGCGCCATTGGTAACGTTGACTGGTCAGCGAAACAGAGGTACGGGTGATAGTCCAGCGAGATGCGATCGGCTCCGTCCAAGAACCCTGACCATTTATCGAGGCCAAGGAACCCGTCATGGTAAGAAATGAAGGGACCATTGCCTGCACCAATTCCACCTGCTTGACGAACAGAATTGTATGCTTGGAAGTAGCTAAGAGGACCATTGAGCTGGGTTCGTTCAGACTACGGTATCATGAGGGACGTACAATCGAGAGAGGTTATCTTGACCCATGGTTGTTCCTGACGGCTCATTCATGATACCAAACATGACGACCACATCTCGATACTGAGGTTGGGATATAAACTCGGCAAGTATGCGGATATAATCAAGGGATCGTTGAGCGTTGGCATAACCCATAGTTCCGTTAAGTACGTTGATAGTTCCAAGTCTCCCAGAATGATTCCACCCATTTTGGCTGCCAGGCATGGCGTGTAGGTCTAAGTTAATCCGAATGCCGTATTTCCGCGCCCACTCGATGGCTTTGAGGAAATATCTACAACACAATGAGGCATGTGCGCACGAGCAACAAAAATAAGCTTACTTCCAAGCGGTGTTGGCCAAGAAAGGCTCTCCATCACGAGTCTCAATTGCCCAAAAAGGCAGAGGTATACGGACAAAATTTAGACCAGCACCAGCAATCTGAGCGAAGTCTTGCTCCGTCTGTCATTCATGTCAGACTGAGTACAAAACACATGCGTGAGACGACACGCACGATGAATGTCTTATAATGTTCTTCCAGCTGGTTGAGCCCGCCGCTGGCAGTGTCTGCAGCCATATTGACGCTCAGAGTCCATTCGTCGATGGCTTGAGGAGAACTATTCAGGTATTTTTGATACAGGGCAGGAGAACTATTGCAGATGCAGTCAAGGCAACGACGAAGGCAAAAATCGTGAAAGTTTCAACTGACATGAACTATTTCAAAGAGTCAGAGTCAGTGTAACAAGCGTGAGGGAGAATACATGAAACATACTGGCTCTGTGTTCAACCAACCACCAAGGTTGACCCTGGGAATCGAACGTGAGAAGGCCAAAACGATGCGTGAGTCGACCCTAGTGACATGTACTCACCCGCGGATTCGATCAACCCCCCATTTGAATGTCTGGTTCAAAGCGGGGCTCCACGATTGGGCTCGTGCGCCATTGTTGAAAGGATCTTCAGAGTCGTAATACCAGTATCCACCGAAGTTGTTTTGATAGGTGAAAGTGGTTCCATCTTCTGTCGTAACCTTACTACCGTCCCCTCCGGTGATCACTGCCCGAGCGGCGGGGGCACTAGAACTCGACGCAGAAGCCGACGCCGATGCACCTTTAGAGGGAGAGACGACATTATCCTGAGAGTTTGTGTGGGATTTGATGACTGTGAAATAAAGAGGGACAACGACTGCCACGATGATGACAATAAGACCGCCAATAACAGCAAGTATGATAATGTTACGTCTGGACTTGACGCCGGGAGTGGCATACTTTTCCCGCTTTTCGGAGAGATACCGGCCGTCTCCGCCGACATTAGACATAGGCATGCCAGCCTCCCCGTACAAGCCAGGAGTGTGAGGATCATCACGGTATCTCTCTTCGAAAGTATCGCGCCCGCCCGGTTGGGGGGATGCCCTCGCCGACAACGACTCTGGGTTGAGCGCATACACGGAGGATCCAACCTCGGATTGCGGCCGAGAGTCGAAAGAGCCAATAGAATCCCTCGGACCTTCGTGTCCCAAGGCCGCACCCATGAAACGAGGGCGAGCTGCACCCTGTGGAAGGTCGTAATCGAAGTTACTCATGCGGGGAGAAGGGGACATGATTTCCTCGGAGGGATCGTTGTAGGGGATGTCTTGCTGGGTCCCAGCTGCAGGATTGGGCAAGGGATCATAAGAGACATTGTCTGCCGCTATATTTGAGCGCGACATGCTGCAGTTTCAAGCTAGCGGCGATCGGCTGCTACACGTTCTATGAGCGTCAGTGACAAGAACGGCTGAGGCACAGGATACTGACGTACTTGAAGGGAAGGAAACCGAGAAACCACAATGGTCGGTGGTGGCGGGTAGGAATGGGGAATGCGGAGACGGAGCGGTGGATGGAGCTTGTGGTGGGAGGGATGGAAGAGGTATAGGATGGACAATGCGGGGATCCCATCCGCGCGTGCGGTGACTGGTCCATGTTCGGGTCCCGTGACGCCTGTCTATTTTCTGCGCTGAGTTTGGTTCTCTCACCCCGCTCTGCTTGGCCGCCTTCAACTGTCTTGTGCCCTGCCGACCTGCCACTTTTATTTGATTGACACGATGCGATGTGACAGATCGCCCTCAATATTTTATTCCCCTCCTGTCTCAAAGATAACATGTAGTATATAAATGAGTCGCTTGCGCCGAGGAACACAATACAAATCAAACTCCCGTTTGGGAGGTGGTGTACAATATCAAAGCCTCGTTGTCATTGGACGCCCAGAACCCAAAAAACACGCCTGATCCTCCTCTCAGTCTATCACCGGATGTCAATATACCCCATCAGGCCGGCTCTTCCTGTCCGGGTCGTATAACCCATAAATGCTGTACGTCGGACTGTTGTAGTTAGCGTAGTCATCGGGGTTGCCATGAGCGAGCGCCATTTGAGTCAGGGATGGGAATAGAGGAGGCGATGGAACTCTAGGAGGCTTGTCATCTGCCCGCCTACGGAAGTTTGACGTGGAGTATCGGTCTGCGTTCCCATCGTCAGAGTAGGCGTTAGCGACCAAATCTGGTTCGGTCTTAGACGCCCTATAATCGGACAACATCAAACTGCCAAGGGATGTCGATGCTTCCACTGGACTTCTGAGCTTCGTGTGAGCCGTCGGGAGCTTCTTCTGCCCACCTGCCATAGGAGGTTCTTGAAACGGGTCTGGGGACGACGGCAGCGGTGAAGCCAGCCCTAATGCTACCGTCAGCGCCTTAGTACCCCCACCTTGCTCGTCCGGCGCCCTTCTCAGAGCAGGAATAGGCGGGACTCCGTACGCTGAATCCTCAAAAGGATTCATCTCGGTCAACACCGATGACACTCTCTTCCCAGAGTTCCCAGTGAAAGCTGTTGTGGACGAAGAACGAAGATAAGAGCCAACGCCATATGGGGCTTTGATACGAGCCCGTCCTTGGGCATAGGCAGAACCAGAAAGGCCAATGGAACCAGAAACAGCAGCAAGTGACGGGGAAGCAGCCTCGGTTCCCCGATAGACAACGGATTCACGAGCAGCACCGTTGACCCGCTTCCTATCGACACTTCGCCGCGCATTTGCCTTGACCCCAGTATCTTGAGCGAAGGACTCATTCCTGACCCTAGTGTCTTCGCCGGCGTCCATGGTCGCTATATTACCTGAACTGACCGCAATACCAATGTTTTCCGGGGTAGGGCTATCGATGTAATTCGATACCGGACGCATGAATGTTGACATTGTCGAGAGTCGGGATGGGCGATGATTTACAGCATTGTGCAGATGCCGGAGAGTCGGCTGAACAAACGTTGCATTTGTCGCCTTATGTATGGTAGCGCTCTGGAGGGACGGAGACAGAATGTCCTTGTCTTCAGAAACAAAATGCTGGTCCTGGGGGTTTTGGCCCGATGACGCAGTAGCGGCGATGTCAGTATGTTTGGCTGCTGCTTGCGCCGGCCGTGGTATCCCCGACTGATACTGTGTCCATGGCCAGACTACTGTGTTTATTCGAGGACTGGCAGTGGAGAATCGCTCTTTTCCGCCGAATATGGGAGATTCACTGTCGAACTTTTCGTTCGAAAGCGCTTCTTGGAGAATGGGCAGGGAAGGGATTAGGTGGATCCGTTTTTTCTGGCGAGTACAGAGGCGGAATAGTATGAAGGCAGCTACCAAGAGAAAGGCGGCCCCCACGGCTAAGAGGATGATGATGACAGTCGAGAAGTGATGAGTTGTATTGGACTGAACATTGTGTTTGGTATCGCTAGCGGGATTCGATGAGGGTGAAGGAATAGATGTGATGAAGACTGAGGTGATGGAGGTCGATGTCACCACAATGGCTGGCAGCGGCGCTTCGGGTAATGTAGGGGCTAGAGAGATGTTAGGTAACAGCAGATTGACCGTTTTTGACGGTCCGCCAGCCACGGGCTCAGAAGGAGAGCTCTGTTGTGCCAGAGTCGACGTGAATGTTGTGTTGAGGTTTCCGCTAGAGTCAGGAGCAGGGTCGGGCACGGCCGATACCTCTTTGAGCGGGCGGTCGTTGTTATTTTTCGAGGGTGCATGGTTCCACAAGGTACCTTGGCCATCGTTAGGAGACTCGACTCCTTCACGTTCCGAATCAACAACAAGATTTACTTTCTTAGGTTGCGTTTTTCCTTTCTTTATCTTGGGCTTCCGAGCCGGTTGATTAGGAGAAGAACTGCGATCCTCTCGAAGTCGTGGATCCCTTGGGGGAAGATTACGAGAGAGAGGACCATCAAGTGAGTAGCGCGGCATGGGTATGACGAGTTTGAGAGCGACCAGCGCTGGTGAAGGAGCGACGAAGGCAACTTGGGATGCGGGCGTGACAAAAGTAAAATACAGGAGGAGGCAGTTGGAATTTAAACCGACACCGCGGCTGGTGCAAGTGAACGCGCCGACGCGTAACGTTCACGTGATAACATGGGCACGCAATGTCTGGACGCAGCTTCGGCGGGAACCGCCGCGAGTTTGGAAATTGGAGCCATCTCTTCTCTTTTCCGCTCCTGCCGCTTCTATCGTTGCCTTCGGGGCCTTGTCCATCTGAACGGCGTGTTGAGAGGATCTGAGCTGACGCCTTTGTTCCCTTCCTATCGGTCGGTCGGCACATCTGCAGCAAGAAGAAGAAACGCAGCGCAAACGAGACGAAGGGGAGCGTCTCGCGGCAGAGGAGCGCGCGCATGCCGCGAGGATGCCACGGCACCATGATCTCACACTCGAGGACCTCGCGGACAAGGCAGAGTGGGAGCACGGCGTGCTCACAGGGCTCACCGCAGAATTCGAGGCGGTCATGCGTTCGACGCGGACGACAAGGTGGAGGCGCGCAGGGTCGCGGCGCTGCAGAAGCGCGTGGGCAGTTTGAAGGTCGCGGCGCGCGCCAAGGTGACGCAGGACAGTGTACAGCGCGGCGTACCACCCTGACAGGTCGAAGGATCTTGTCTTCTTCGGAGGTGAGCGCGTACATCGGCGTCTTAATTTCTTGGACAAGTTGTGACGAGTGGGTGATCGTGGTTTTGGCTGGTGAAAGATAAACACGGATAGTTGGGGATATGGGACGCGCGCGCCCGCAGAGGACGAAGGCGACAATGAGGAGGAGGAGGCGGAAGGTACGCCTGCGACGTGTCAGGCGGCGAAGAGCGAGGGTGAAGTGTGGCAATTGCAAGCGCACTGGCCTGCGACATCCAAGTCCTCCATTTCCTCAATCAAATTCGACCCACTCGACTCGCACAACGTCAGTGGCCTCTCCTCCCCCCCTTGTATGCTGTCATTTACTACCGCATTCCCCTCCTCCGTTTGTCAAGATCTGCTACTAATTATTATTTCCTGCGAATTTACGTGCACGCGTGTGATTTCAAATTGTACTCGACCGACTCAGTCAGACCCTGTCAGACCTGGGTCGGACCTCCAGTCAGGTCAGAGCCTCGACCTTTCGCTAACCTCAGGTCATCGGTCAGTCACCAACACTGCTTGAGATTATGTTCGAAGATGGAAGATAGATCGAAAGTCCTCTGGGTCCATGAGTGAACAGAAGACGAAACCTGAGAATGACGGCGAGAGAGTGACACGAGCTGGAGTACAGAAAAAAAGGTAGATGATCGAAGAGCGCCCCACGACATCAGCTTTCCGGAGATAGGGATGCTCTGCTGACTCCCTCTACAATGGGACGCCACATCGTGAACATTTTCGGTCTGTATCCAAGCTATGTGACAGATGTTGCTCTTGCTTAGAATCAGGTCGGATGAGAGGCTGTAAGATACGCACAAAAGACAGACAAGCCCTATTGGGAACAGGAGAACAGCGCAGATAATGCCACAGACGCCAAAGTGAGTCGTTGGGTCATGGTGGCCCTGAGCACAGCGAGCCAAGACTGTCGTTCCAAGTAAATACATGTTGCATGAAGGTCTACACAAACTGAGAAAACGATGTAGCTCACGTTGGTTCCTGTATTGTTCACCGATTCTTGCCTCATGATCGTATGGCACACCTGCTGCCTGTGGACCATATGATCGTTGTCCTGGACTGGGATAAGACTGATGTGGCCCTTGTGAATACGAGAATCCTGCGCCCCTTGAATCTGGGTTAGGGTATCCAGGGGGAGGCGCTTCTGGAGGCGGTTGGGCTTTGGAATCGACGTCCATGATCATGAGAGTAGATAGGGGGAGGGCTCGAGTGTGGTAAGGGGTTGGGATTAGGTAGGAAGTAGAGTTCGATCAGTTTGACTTATATCCAAAGATATGCACACCGATCTCAAAGCTATAATGAGGGCTGTGCTGGACCTCCCCCTCGGTCTCAGCGCTCGCCCAATTCAAGTCAGAGTTGTCATCATCTGGATCGAAAGGCAGTGCGATGAGGAATGTTGCTGCCTTCGCGTGTAGACAATTTGGTGACTTACCCTAGCATAGCCCACTTCCTCTGCAGCGTCCAATCCTGACAGAGTAACTAGAGATCAGTATGAGCACCGGACTCGACTGCAGTTGACCGCACAATATCTGGAGGCCAATGCTGATGCTGGCCTATAAATGGTCTGCCGACTGCTGCCGAGGTTCACTGTGTAATGTGTCACGTGAGAAGCCATCCAGCAGGGTTCCCACGTCTAGGCAAATCGCCTTACTAGTTGTCCATCGAAAACGCGCCTACAGTTGTTGGTTCTATTCGTCTTCTACACGGCCGACATGGCGAATGAAGAGTATGAAGTTGGTAAGAATCAAGAACAGTATCCGAGGCATCTTGAAGCTCAACTCTCACTGTTCAATTGGGAAATAGAATCGATCCTCCAGGCGAAGGTCCAGAAACGAGGGAGGAATGCGGGTATGGTACGTGTTGTGATGTTTCTGTGGCACGTCGCTCCCTGTGCTTAGTGTCGACTCTCATTTTCAGAGGTACCTCGTTAAGGTACGTGTTATATGTTCGGAACACGCGCTTGCATAGACCCAACAGCGTGTCTAGTGGAAGGGGTATGATTCAAGTGACAACACGCGAGTTTTGTGCCTCCCTATAAGAAAGAAGAGTCGTTGATTGATATACAATACAGATGGGAGCCTCGTTCCTCCTTTGAAGGCTCGGCAGACGAAATACTACAGCGGTTCTGGCAGCGCATCGATTTAGGTGGCCGTGATATCAGTGATATGAGCCAATTCATCAATAACGAGGAGTTCCATCCTCGAGGTCCACCGCGTATATCTCCCACCATGTCAGATTGAATACACAAGCACTAACTATGACATCAATGCAGCTCGCAGGAGCAGGAGGTCAATTGGTGAGGGAACCGACTTACCTGACCATCAAGACAAGGCAGAGACCGTCGAGGAAAGCGAAGCTAGCTCGTCAAAACCTGAACGGGCGAGTGTAAAACGCCCTCGCGCGTCGACCGATGCTGAACAGGTCCAGAGAAAGAGAGGGCGTGTCTCAGGAACGAGACGCAAATCTCAAGTGGGTCGTGCAGTCGGCGGCGTGTGCGTGCGCTTCCTGCATTCTACCCATTTTTCATGTCTTATTCTTTCTCACAGAAATTCTCCTGCCAAGACAAGTCCGGTGCGCAAAACACGTGCAGCATCCTCTAATGAAGTGGTGCGCTGTTTGATCACTGACTTCGAGTTCCAACGCTGAATCCTCTTCTAGGTTCCTGACTCAGAAGACGAAGAACACCTCTTGGCGACCCTTGGTGCTGCTGGAGCTCATAGCATGCATTCGGCAAATAACGAAGAACTTACAGGCCCCAGCGATTCAGCTACAGTCGAAGGCATGGTCGTGACTGAGCCTGTAGCGGAGCGAGACCACTCCCCTGCTTTTGCAGTAGCTTTACGAACGATTCCAACTTTGCCTGCACATCGTATTCGCACCACTAATTCGCTCGCTAAGCGCACAGATGATGCAGAGCTCGAGCATTTGTTAGAGGGGACCGTCTCTGCCAAGACAAAATCCTTGAAAAACAGGTCTGATGAGGCCGTCGCTGGAAGTTCTACCCGCCCTAAAGCCGGACCCGGGAGATCATCCTTTGGTTTAAGGACGAACTCAATTCTCACCTTCGACAAAAACTCGAAGTCGTTAAAGACGCTGAAGGGGACGTATCGGCCCATAGAGGATGAAACGCAAGATGATGAAACACCCGTAGCACACCTTGCATCTTCATCGAGAGGTGTAAATGCTGCCACTTTCGACAGTGCAATGCTCGATGAAGACATACCAGAGCCAGATCCCTCTCGTATCAACGGCGGCCCATCGTCTTTACTGGCACCGAGCGGACAACAACTTTTAGAGCTAGGGGGATTTAAGAGTGCGGATGCTGACGTTCTTTCCGATTTCACTGAGGATATTAGCAATCCAGAAAAGGTCACTTCGACTGGGCCAAATGTGTAAGTCATCTGCTATTTGGTGAATACGTTGGCTGACTGCGTGAACATCAGTGTAACGGCCTCAGAACCTGCACCCCCCAAATCTGTGTTCAGTTCTGCATCGTGGAAGACGTCGACTATCTTTGGACCTTTGTAAGAAAAGGCTCACTTTGTGCCGTCTGCCGATTAACCGCTCTGTCTACAGGTCCCTTGGTGCGAGCTTTTTCCGCCCGCCGATCGAGACCCTTCCAGAAGAACAGTGAGATCCTCGTTCTGAACACTTGAACTCCTACTTGAACTATAATTATCATTGCAGACCTTTGTCGCCAGTCCATGCGCCTTATCTTCTCAGCCTTGACCCTGCTATCACCATACCCGTAGTATTAAAAGACATTCAACCCTCGACATCGCCGGACGGCGCTTCATTGGATTCCATTATTAGCCATGGCGCTAAAGGGCCGCCCGGAAAATTATACAAGGATGACGAAGCTGTTGCCCTCCTGAATACGTTGCAAACGGGTGGATCCTCTGCCAGGTTGGCTTTACATGAAAGAGCCAACGAAGAGCAAAGGGGGTTCTTCGTTCGTTTTAGACTACGCCTGGAGAAAGGTGGCCTGGTGGGTGGCCCATTCCGTTGCAACCTCTGAACAGTGTTGACTAGTAAATCTTAGTTTCTGGTCATGGCTGGCGACAAGACCGTTGCATGCTGCTGCTCCACCAACCAGGCTTTGGGAAAGAAGTTGGGGATTCCGTCTGCGTTGCAGGGTCTTGCCGAAAACGTGGTCGTTTCTCATGTCAAAATCCGTGATTACTCTGCTTTCGCTGATGCTGCAGTACAAGCAGATGTTCTCCGCTGGTAGTGCCGTCTATCATGCTTTGGTAGTACCATATGTTCCCTATAATTATCCAGTCGTTTCTCCGTTCCGGACTAATGAGAAAGCCACTGTGAAAATGAAGTGATATGACCATAAATCATCATCGTCATCATATAACCTCATCCAGTTTCAGCCCTTTTGGTTGCTCAACTTGAGCCAGACTGATCTTCCGTGCTCAAGATTCATAATATGAGGATTTGAGGCGAGATGAGGAAACCCGTCAAGTTGAGTTGCACGTGAGTGAGGCGAACGCGCTGTTTTGTCATCTCGACGCGTCCAACTCACACTTTGTTGATTCGCACTGGTGGCACAGGATCCTCCGCTGTGACTTCTACTTTTATTGACATGCTTCGTCGCATTCCCACAACCACAGACGGCAAGCCTGTAGACAGGTTGCAAGAGAGCAGTCGCGTCAACAAACCGTTCAAGCCACCAGCGTCTGTCATGGTGCGCGAACAGCCGCTGCGCAAACGAAGGCGCGTGTCATACAAGGGAGCACAAGCTGATGTAGATGACTCGGACTCAGACGATGGAAGTCGGAAGAAGAAGAGGCGCAAGTCAGAGGGGGATGCCAAGTATACAGAAAATCAGCCTGTTAACAATATTCAGCATTATCCAGTCTTTAAGCCGAAGCCTTTCGAGGAGGTCTTTGGCGCGAAGAAGTATACCATTCCTATAATGAAGAATAAGGACGGCCAAATTATCAAGACTGTCCAGTCTAACATCGCTCTCGGCATTCGACCCCAGGTAAATATCATCCCCCGCCCGCTTTACGACCCCATGGAAGACCACGCGATCGTCTTGTATGATCCTACCATTGATGATAGAGAGACGGATGAAGAGAGGAAGGACAGGGAGAAGGAAGAGGCGCAGGTTCAGGCTGCCAAGGAGGCCATGGAGAAGAACGTCGGGTTGTACAACCCACACAAGAGCTTAAAGGAGTTGTTGGGAGGTAATAAGCGGAAGAAACGGAACACGAAAGTTCCTGTAGTTATAGATCCACAGCTCAGCAAAGTCCTCCGGCCTCATCAGGTGGAAGGTGTCAAGGTAAGTCGACGCAGAACTTTTTCGGTGTTTATGTGCTGAACTGGCACAGTTTCTCTACAGATGTACTACTGGTATGGTAGTTGAAAACCAATACGGGTGCATTATGGCAGATGAGATGGGCTTAGGCAAGACCCTTCAATGCATCGCCCTTCTGTGGACATTGTTAAAACAGTCCACTCACGCTGGCAAGCCAACCCTCGATAAATGCATCATCGCTTGCCCTTCGAGTCTTGTCAAGAACTGGGCGAACGAATTGAGTAAGTAGCTGCCCATTCACATCGGGGACTACCTTCATCCGATCGACCGTTTCTTTAGCCAAATGGCTGGGGAAAGACACCATCGCAGCCTTAGCTGTTGATGGCAAAGGGGGGAAGGCAGAGTTACTCGAGAGGGTGGCACGCTGGGTCGCAGCAGGAGGTCGAAATGTCACTCAACCTGGTCCGTACATCAATTGTTCGATCAAATACCTGATTTAATTGTCTTTGCAGTGATGATCGTCTCTTATGAGACATTGCGAACTCTCACAGTCCACCTAACTGGTTGCCGCATTGGCCTTTTACTCTGCGATGAGGGTCATCGTCTTAAGAATTCTGGTTAGTCGCGCTGTCCTTTGATCTGCATATGTGAGCTTATCTCCTGCATCTCAGAGTCTTTGACATTTCAAGCATTGAATGGCCTCGATGTCAGACGCCGAGTCATTTTATCTGGAACACCTATTCAGGTGAGAATAAGTTTCTCGGGCGGGACGTAGCTCTGACATGGCTCGCAGAATGATCTATCTGAATATTTCTCTCTGCTCAATTTTGCGAATCCAAATTTTTTGGGATCCAAGAACGACTTCAGGAAGAATTTCGAAAATATCATCATCCGTGGTCGTGATGCTGATGCCACTGATGCGGACAAAGCAAAGAGCGAGCAAAAACTCAAAGAACTCGGCGACCTGGTGTCTAAGTTTATTATTCGGCGTACCAATGATTTGTTGTCTAAATATTGTACGTTTAATTCGACCAATGACTTCTATAGTAGCTCACCTATTCGTAGTGCCTGTGAAATACGAACAAGTCGTATTTTGCGGACTATCGGACTTTCAGCTGTCTCTCTACCGACTTTTCATATCGTCCCCCGAGATCAAGGCTTTGCTGCGTGGCGCCCATTCACAACCTTTGAAAGCCATCAATATTCTGAAGAAGTTGTGTAATCATCCAGAGCTTCTTGATCTTCCCAACGACCTGCAAGGGTGTGAGAACCTGATCCCGGAAGGGTTTAAGGGTGCGGGTAACACCTCGAATGCTCGAGGTCGCGACAAGGATCTGAATGTTCATTGTGAATGGAGTGGGAAGTTCCTGGTACTAGAAAGGTGTGCCTGCTGCGAGTTTTGACATCTGAATACTGGATGATATCTGCTCCATAGATTCCTTCATCACATACGAACGGAGACCAACGACAAGATTGTTTTGATCAGTAATTATACACAAACACTCGACATCTTCGAGAAGCTCTTGCGTAGCAAGAAGTGAGCTTCTTCAGAATGTAATTCACTATTTTTTAGTGCTGACCTATACACTTAATCTCAGGTATGGATACTTCAGACTCGATGGTACCATGACGATAAATAAGCGTCAGAAACTTGTCGACCAGTTCAACGATCCTGAGGGCAAGGAATTTGTGTTCCTCCTTAGTTCTAAGGCTGGTGGATGTGGTATCAACCTTATTGGAGCAAATCGGTTAATTCTATTTGATCCGGGTTCGCAAATGCATGCATTCTGTCAAACAATGGTTAATTCACTCTGCTTTCTAGATTGGAATCCCGCCGCTGATCAACAAGCATTGGCTCGTGTTTGGCGTGATGGACAGAAGAAAGAATGTGCGTCCTTCCTTTTCCCGTCGGAAATATCTCGTTTAAGACATCTCTGCGGCCAGGCTTCGTGTACCGCTTCATTACAACAGGTACAATCGAGGAGAAGATATTTCAGAGGCAGGCTTCCAAACAAGCACTATCATCTGCGGTGGTCGACGAAAAGGAAGACGCTGAACGGCATTTCTCGCTCGATTCACTGAGAAAACTCTTCCTGTTCAACGAGAAGACATTGTGCGAGACGCACGAGACATTCAAGTGTAAACGATGTAAGAATGGGAAGCAAATGATAAAATCGCCGGCCCTACTGTATGGCGATGCTAGCACGTATGTGTCTATCGTTTCAGAGCTGCTAATAAATCTTAACGTCTTACATAGGTGGAATCATTTCACGAACGAGGAATTGAAGAATAACCACGATGACCTCCTTCGCGCAGAGGTTGGATTGCCTGAAGTATCGTTTGTTTTCCAGTATATCAGTCATTGAGTCTTTCAGGTATTCTCCTGATCTTGGCCCTTCGATGGGACATTTGAATTTTGGTGGACTAGCATAGATATATCCATAAGATGCGTTTGGGTGATTACAGATTACAAGGTTGTTAATGATACAAGAATCTAGAGTTTTCAAATGCTGAAAATGGGCAGGGGAAGTGCGATGGTGCGACTCGTCGGGCACAAATCACTTTGAGTACAAACTTCGGATTTAGAAAATCTCGCCCCAGTCAGTCCACTGTCCACCAATCGCCCTTAATTTAATCTTCTCCCCCATAGAGCCAAAATAAGAAGCCTTGAACCACGCCTGCATGTCATCCTCACTGAATGGCCCAAAAGTCTCCCCGTTCGGCTCTGGCACGTCCCACTTGTACTCGTATTGTACATCGGCAGATGGAGGGACCCATGTTGGCCCCACTTTGCCGGCGGAACGTACAGATCGAACGAGCTCTTCATAAGTTTTGGAATAGATGTCGGTATCGCCTAGGGACAATAGTGTGGAGGCGAGGTGGGTGAGATGGTCGATATCTGACGGTACTTTTGGTGCTTTGCTTTTATCCTCATCCATGGAATCAAGACTCAAGGCAGACTTCTTTTTCGGAACGGTAGTACTGCCAACAGTACAATGATATCAGAATATGAATTCACGGAATGTTGAAGGAAAACCATACCTCTTCTTGTCCGATCCCTTTCTCGCTTGTGTACCCAATCGTTGCAGCGCCTCAAGCACTGTCTCTCCCTTCTTCAACATTCCAACCATCTCCCTTTCGACTGCCTCCTTTCCACCCATCTCCTCCAGCTCCCGCTCCTCTGCTTTCATCATTTCCTTCTGTAACTTTTCTTGTTGCCGCTTCCGTCTCCGCGCTTGCTTGATCTCCCTCTCGTCCAAACCTTCCATCCACCGATCGTGTAATGCATGCGGGTCGAACGTGCGCACGTAAGTCCCATCAGCGGAGAACTTGCCTTCTTCCATCTCCTCGCGCATATTGAATGAGGACAACTCGAAGCCCATGCCTGCCTTCTTCCTCCGCTCTGCATCGTCTTCGTCCTCTTCGCCTGACTCCTCCTCGGATTCTCCATCGAACTCCTGACCTTCGATATCACCTAGCCGCAGAAATTCAGGTTTGGACTTTGACTCGGGAGCAGGCTTCTTCTCTTCCTTGTGCGCCGTGGTAAACATGTCATCGTCCTCATCCTCGGCTGCATCCTCTCCACCCGGACGTCTGCTAAGAACAACGCCCTCGCCGTCATCGCTTGAGTCAGAATCATAGCCCTCGGTATTGACACGTCCTTTTCGCGCTGCGGAAGGATTCTCTAGTGCAGCATCAACTTCCTGCGCAAAGTTGCCAGGGTCTTCAGACGGCTCGACGAACCGCGTTCTTTTGGATGTAGATTGGCTAGAGGGCCCGGCCTCAGAAGATGCTGGCCGCTTTTGATGTAGACGCGGCGGCATGGTGAAGTCAATCGCTAGAGATACTGTAGGCGCGCAAGGCAGGAAGTAACTTCAGATGTTGGAGTGTTTCGGTCAGACCATTTAGAAAGCACCCGTGGGAAAATGCGAAGATGGTACAGATTGCTTGTGAGTTGGGCGTACATTACTGTACGTAGTTGTCATGTACGAGTACAACGGATTCGAGAGAGAAAACGATACTATACTGTATCATGTCCGCTGATGTCACGACCAACAAGAAAAATCAAGCCTACGAGTCTCTTCAACTTTCTAATGATGGCTCCCCTTCCACTAGCCGTCGACGCGAGGGTGTAGTCGGGTCCCCCGCACCGCTAGCGCCTGCGCCCAATAAACCCTCCTCCTCCTCCTCCATGTGGTTTCGAGCACGAACAGAACTCCGTCGCCCACGAAGATGCAGTGGGGGTCGGTGGCGATAGAATAGCGATTGGGTAACAATTGTAACATCGAACATCAACGTGCCTCCGCTGCCGAGGAGGTATCTGACATACCGATGACATAGTTGTGTAAATGAGAAGAAAAGACATAATGATGAGGACTGACGGTAAGCTCTCCTTGAAGTATGCAGATGCCTCGGCAGGCGATTTGAGCATATTAGGTGATGACAATATAGATAGGACATAGAAGAAATTTCCCAAGAAGGCAAAGATGAACAGATACATCGAGAGACCCTGAAGGACGCATACATTCAGATTTACATCTGTGAGTCATGTCTGAAGGATGGTACTGACCTCAACAGACTTTCTAACGTACTATTGAAACAAAGATAAGCTTCAACAAAGCAAACGAGGATTGGTCGACGCACGTTCTTCCAGATTTGGGGCAGTCGCGAGGTCAGATACAATGTTGTACACATCCAGGCAGAGATGCGACCAGTGATACGCTCCCACGAGACATGGTCCTTCGGAGGGTGATATTCATGATAATCATAGGAAGAAGGATTCTCAAAATCCAGCGAGGCGACGGATGACATGAACGATGGCGCTGCCCCGATATCTGGCACAGAGGAGACGGACGGCATGGCAGCAGGCACTCTTACCTCTCCGTCGGACAGCACATGCCCTACACGGACGTCGCTCGCATTGAGAAACCCTCTCTTGGTGCCCACCAACGTGCCAATGCCAAATAGCGCCCACGCACCCATGAACACAATACTTGCATTCCGTTTACTCGCTCGGGAGCTCCTTCGCCGCTGACTCTCATCTTCAGCACGTCTCTGTTCATCGCCCTCTTCTGCACTGCTGACGCCTTCAGCACGTTGCAATGGTCGGCCTCGAGAAAGTGTCTCAAGCTCGTCAAGTGGCGACGTGATTTGGAGATGGTGCGGCGGCAACGGAGAAATTGTCGATTGTCGACTATTTCTTCCTAGAGATGCAAAGGGTCCTTTGTTCCAGGAGACACGTTTGAGCCTGCTAGAGCGACCACTTTCCGAGTGAAAACTATCGGCCAAGGCGGCGAGTGCTTCCTCGTCTACTTCATCTTCATCTTCCCGGTCTCTATCGGTCTGATGATCCACTGTGTCAAGAGGCGCTTCAGCGCTATGACGGGGCCATCGCGTGCGTATCGGTGAGACTGCACGGGCATCTTCAGCCTGTGCTGCAAGTGCCGCTGCCGCTGCCGCATGGGCAGCTACGTTTGAGAGCGTGCGATAGTGTGGGGCACCTGTGTCGATAGAAACGCGGCCGCCCCTAATAGACGAGATCGTGCGGGAACGCGAACGTATAAACCGGGATGGAGTAGACAGCGAATTTTTTCGGTAATAGAAGTATTGACTGATCAGCATTAAATCGACAAAACAGAAGTAGGTCGCGAGCCATTTCTGCCGACCAGTCGTTTTCATCAGTGCGTGACTCAAAGGTGCATGCATTATGCTATGTGGCAGGCTCACCTGAAAGGGAAGTTGACTTGTGAGGATGCATCCGATCAAATTCGTCAAGTCGCCTATGTGGAGGAGGAGCAGTTGAGTCGAAAGCTAGTGTTCAGGTCTCGGGGAAATCTCGCAGGATGTGGAAGACAGTACCAAGGAGCCAGTTCGCGAGGAATGGGAGGGCGAGCCCCTCGACCGATTGTCTACGTATGTTTTCGAGAACCTGTCTGAGATGTAGATGGTGTGAGATCGAGTGATATTGCGCCAGCGGATGTCGCCATCCATGTGAAGGAGGAGGCAGAAGACACTCACGGGAATTGAGCGCCTAACCAACAGGCGATGGACACATAACCCATAGATTCGCTGAAGAAGGCCAGCTCCAGCATCGTGAATGTGAATGATTGAGGGCAATGTCGGTCGTGTCTGGCAGCGATCAGATTGCCAGCCTCACGAGATAAATAGTCGACGTGGACGCTGAGTCAATCGCTACGGATTTATCTCTCTTTTTGATTGCTCTCTATCTACGGGAAAGTGAAACTTCATTCCCTTTTCCAACCTGCTGATAGGCCCGGACCACTTCGGTATGGCAAGGACTTATGTAGGGACCTTGGGGCGATCCAAGCTTTTTTTAGTCGTGTGAGCTGTTCTGCTTGCTCGCGATATCTCGATTCTCGACCTCAACAGGAAAATTGTTCGAGGAAATTGCTGAGGCCTGCAATATTACCGTCTGTCTCGTTTTCCAAAGGCTGTGCCATGGCGATGCTAGCCTATATACATGAACGTCCACATCGCTCATGTAGGCTTGAGCTCGACCCCAGCACTGTTCTGGATTTGGATGAGCGGTCCTCACGGCCCGGGCCCCCTGCTACCCCAGCCGTGTTGGTGCTTGCAACCACAAGCCTGCAGGTTGCGTGCTGTAGCGTCAGCTACACGCTGCCGGTGAACCACCCTCGCAACCTGACATCTTGACTATGGACTCAAGACTGCATAAAAAGACTCTGCAAAATGGGCCATGGATGAATCCCACTCCTGAGCAGTTGGTGCGTGTAATTGTGAACAACGGCCCCTGCACTCTCAGCCCAGGCGCTGACCGACTGTTGATACCTCCAGCGCGCGCTCATCCTCGATTATCTATGTCACAACTGTTATACTCGCACGGCCCGAGCTTTTGCGAGAGATAGCACCGTCCAGCATCTGAACGCGGATGGTGATGAAGTGATCCGGCCGAAGGGAGAAGGGGATTCTGTCGGCATCACAGACGAGGATCTAGAACAGGTCGAATTGCGGCGAGGTGAGCATTTCACTAACATCAGCCGTGCACTCGTGATAATACCTTCGACATAGAGGTGCAACAGAAGTTGCTCTTGGGTGATGTAGACAACGCGACGAGCCTGCTGAACGAGCGCTACCCCTCCGTGCTTTCCACCTCAAAACTGCCCCCACCTGGGTCACCTCGCATCCTAGACCCACACATCAAAGTATCCTCTTCTTCATTCATCAACATTCGTTCTATCACGCCCTCTTCTGTCGACCCATCCATCCTCGCGCTTGAACTCCGCTTCCTAGCGTTCATCGAAACTGCTCGCACAGAACCACTCCCCCCGCCAGCCCAGTCTCATCTCAATGCGCCCGATTCACGACCAGCCTCCCCCAATTATCTTCGCAATGGCAGACTAGACGTAGATCCCGATGAGCGCCTGCTCCAACTGTACGAATCTGCCCGTGCGCTGTACGAATTCGTGCAAGAACTTGAAAATCCTGAGCAGCGTGCAGACTACCAAGAGCCGCTGGAGCGCATAGGCAGCCTCATTGCGTACAAAATTCCAGAGAAGAGTCCCGTCAAATTCTACATGGAGCAGGCGCGAAGAGATTCCGTGGCAGATCAGATAAATAGTGCTGTTCTGTGTGAGCTTCTCTATTGAATTTTGTATGTCTTTCTAGCACTGATCTGACGCGTTTCAATTCCGAACACAGTTAGGATGGGTCGTCCAGCACTCTCATACCTGGAGCTGTATGTTCGATACACGACAGTTGTCTGGAAATTCTTGAACGAGTTGAATGTCAAAGCTCCCGCTGCTGCCAATGTGCCTCACGGAGTCAAATTGCCTCCGCGGCGAAGAAGCACTGTTGGTGCGACTAGCTCACCCTCAAAAGACCCTTTCGTTGATAAGGACAATCCTGAAGTAAGGGCAGCTCTTGTTCGAATCTTGTAGAGCTGACAATCTATGTCCCAGATCATTTCTGAATTCGAATTGAGAGACTTTGTATCATCGCCTTAGCCTGTTGCTTGTTCGATGGACATCATGGAACGTGTAGAATTGTAATCATTAGCTCCTTCACTGTATGCCTTTGGCGCCATGTCCCTTCTTTTCTCGTGTCATTCTGACTGTGTCGCTTTGTCAATGGAATAGCTATAGCATTTGGATACTTATTGATTGCCCCTTCATTGTGATAAGATGCTATCACGCACCTAACTTACACAGTAATCTCAGCGTCTACCCATCGTCCTGCATTGACTTTTTTCAGTGAGGCATCATTCCGAGCGATCCCGCAGCTTCGAAGTCCCAACACTCGCAATCGACTCCACCGACTCCAGATCACTCCATCTAATAGATTGGCGTTGCCCTGAGCAGTCGGAGCTAACCAGACATTATAAGACAAGTCCAACACTTCAAGCAAAGGGCATTTCCTTGGCAGACGGTGAATCGGGATCGGAGAAGGAAGACCAATAAGCGCAAGGTGGGTGAGGGAGGGAGGAAGAGTCAATAGTGCAGATGCAGAGAGCGATGCCGATATTAGGATAAAACTATGAATGGGAGGAGACTCGTAGCTATCGTTGTCGCCATCCCAGCTGTCCGAATCACCGTTATTGTACTGGCTGGAAGGTTTGTCTGCACCAGATGAAGGTTGCTCTTTTTCTCGGACACAAAGAAAATCGCTGCGCATAGATGCCTGCGGTCCAACGACAATGACTTCGCCATTTGTATGACCTTCCAGATTGAGTAGAATATCCAAATATGCAGAGGGCAGAGGTTGGTATATTGAAGTATATCGCAACAGTTCGCGCCTGTGATGAGGAGTGAGGTTGGAAACAAGCTCGGGGAACGAGCCTGATTCAGGGCCATAGTACTCTAGCAGCACGCGTAAGCTTAGGTTCGTGAGCGCAGGAACCCTGCCCTTGTTCATACGATGCAGAGGGGCCGTGGGGTCTTGCGAGAAGACAAGGGCAAGGGCGTCCATACGCCATTCTGAGCTGTTCAAGATACCACTGAAGCCCGAGTTAGGGCTTTCAGTGACCCAACTGCGAGGTATTGGTCCCACAGTCTGAATGGAGGGAGTTTTCGCTAGGGGCGATGGAAAGATGGAATCATAGGGAAGCGAAGGTCCACGACTTTTGTGGTAAGCGGACAATGGGCGAGAAGGACGTGAGTTCTGTTCATGCCGAAAATGTTCGCCTCTGCGGATTGAACCATGTTAAACAGCAACTTGTTAGGCATGCGGAGACAACGAGGAGGCACCTAAGCGCATGGAGTTTGTCATTGACTTCTCGTGGAGCCTTTGAGCCCTCAGCCTTTTTGTCCTGTAGTTTTTGTTTCATTTCGTCGTAATGCTTGAGCACGAAGTTAGGCAATTAAAAAGCATGTTGTCAGACTACACATCCATGGGAGTGCTGTTAACTTGAAACTTGAAGTACTGACCTGCCGTTCCTAAGGTAGGCCTCACTCATACTCGACAACATCACGTGATTAAGGAGTGTCACTTTGGCAGAGAAAAGCGTTACATTCGTAAACTCCTCCGGCCACAGTACATTTTCGAAAAATTGGCTCTCACAATTTTTGTAATAAACAATTTTATGAATCAATTGTGGTCTCCAAATTTTGAATTAGAGCTTTGTCTTCGAGGAGATAGGCAATGAAGTGTGTGAGATATCACACAATACGAGTAAATACTAGGATAAATAACCCATTATTACCTAGTACTAGCTGCCAGCTTGCCTAGGCCCATAGTGGTGATGAGAGAAAGCTTCATGTATTATGTTCAAATGGAGTCATGTTGCTATGAGAAGTCTTGCAAACCTCGGGATACATCCACATAAAGAGGCTTCCAGAAACAGATTCGAAAGAGGAGAATGTGAGTAAGATTCGGATGAAATCTCAGCTTGAGGGATTGAAGTGCACCCCAATATAACTTCATGCCGGAGCTCTTCACTGATTCTCGCCACTTAGGGAAACCCAGTTCTCAGTACTAACGGTATTATTCAGAATTGTCTTTGTGTTACTGTACATCATTGGATCGTACCCTCTTATTTCGTTGGATAACTCTCAGTTAGCTATTATCTGTCACTGAACTGTCACTGACTGTCACTGCTGAGTCACACCACGTGATGTTGTCGAGTATGAGTGAGGCCTGCCTTACCATTCGGTCAGATTCGGTCAGATTTACCTCCAGATAGGATGCACCTGCGTGGTCCGTGCGGGCTATTTGTGGCTGTATTGTTCAAAGCTTTTGTCTGGAGAATGCCTTAATCCAGAAGAAGCCGTGGCACAAGGCAGCCAACAGCCACCCATGTGAATCAGTCAAAGCCACACCACTGGAGATTGATATAAAAGCCCTCACGAGGATCACTGACAGCCAGAACTAAACGTCCTCTCCGCTCTCACCACATCACTTATATCATAGAATCGCACCCCTCACCAAACATCGCAAACATCGCAATGCTAGATGCGACCGGCCTGCATAGCAGGTCCTTGCCTCAGCCTGAGGTCTCTACCCTAGCCGTTGAACGTCAAGGTGAGAACGACAAGCTCTTCATCGCAGAATGCTGGTCTCATCCCAACATCCTTCGTCAGTAACGTCTCCAACTACATGCCCCTCTTCGTCGAATTTGTCAACAGCGCCAGCTGTAGCTTCTCATTTGCCCCCTCGCTCCGGCGAATCCACATCCCCTTGCTCGCGAACCTATTTTCGTGCCACAGGTAGTCTTGACACGACTGCCTATCAAGCAGCGGAGCACTGTGCTGTGAATCGCTTCAAAGTGCACACCATCGCAGTGTTCACAGACATCCAGAGCAGGACAACTCGAACTTCCCTCACTGCCGCATATCGGCCGGTTGACGAAATTTATCCACACACCTAACACCTTCCCACCGACTCTCACGGGCCGCCGTCCTCACACCCTGTCATCTCTCCTCGTCAGTTGTACAGACATCCGCCGAGCGATACATCGTGCTAGGCCGCGAACATTCCCTTGTGCCACATGTCATCATGTAGACTCAATACCGAGCAACAAACTGTGTGCGCTCCCTGCATCTCGGCTTCTTGAAGCTATTGCATGCCTTGATCCGTTTTTCATCGACACTGTGGATGCTGGTGCTAATGTGGACACTTGTGGTACTCATGTTTATCTTTCCTTGATAGGATGGTTGTGTTCTTGCCAAAGACTACTTGTTCAATGGAACATGTTAGACGTGGCAAGTACTCAGTTAGCCTATCGGGGAGGATCATAAGACTATATTTAGAATCACTCCTGCACAAAATATATTTATGGCGGACAAGTTGAACGGAAGTAAAATAAGTTGGAGAACTATATTAAGAGCTGATCTGGAATCGGAGCTTTGTCTCCCCGTCAAGGTAAACGGTTTCACAGCTGACTTTTTCCATGTCCTCAACGACGTAGTGTGCCCCGCAATCAGCAATAGCCTCCCTCTCATGGCTGGTACACACGGCGATGACAATCGCGCCAGATGCAACACCTGCACGGATGCCGGAAGGCGAGTCTTCGACGACAACACAACTCTTCGGGTCGAAGCCGAGGCATTCGGCTGCAAGCAGGAAGGGGTCGGGGGCAGGCTTGCCAGCCTTGAGGCGTTTGTCGTCCGCGGTGATGGTTACCTTGGGCGGTGTGATGCCGACGCGAGTCATGCAGCCATACGCTATTTCGCGTAAATACACGACTTCAGTGATATTCGATGATGAATGATTCAAGGACGTACCATAAGTTTTGGCACCAGACGTTGCGACAGCGTAACGACCTTCGGGAATAGAATCTAGCAACTTCCGGATACCTGGGAGGATGCGCACTGAGCGATCTACGCTCTCGGCTTCAATCTGCCAGGCATGGCGAATATCTTCCTCCTCGTCTTCTCCATCGGCAAGCGGGGATGATGCCATCGCCTGAGCGACCATGGCACGACTCAATCGAGTAAGGAATGGAGGGTGCTCGAGATCAAGAGATGACGCGCGCGACGAAGTATCTGACGAGCCTCTTGAGCCATAAGGAGACGACATGCCAGAAGAGGAACCCGATGATATCGACAATGATGCCGAACGGCGGTGAAAAGCATCGGCATAATAAAGTATGGTCTCCTCGAACTCGGTCACGGCGTCGTCCATCTCGTGAGCCTTGAGGTGGGGTTTGAACTGGGCAAGGTTGTCAATGGCACGCTTGCCATGAGTGGATGCAATGACATGTGATGGGTCCTGCCCGATGTCCTGGGCGACTTTGCCCCAGGCTGCTTCCACCGCCGCGATGGAATCAGTCAACGTGCCGTCCTGGGATGTAGATGTTTTAGGTCAATGAGGTTGTGGTGGATAGGACAGCATTACCATGTCAAACAGAACGGCATCGGCGTAAAAGGTTAAAGGAGAAGAAGGCATCGACAGGTAAGAGTCCGGCTATTTGACGAAGTCGTATGTGGGGAGATTCGTGATGGTATAAAGGCAAGCGGTAGAAAGAGAATTCAGAGCGGTGTTGGCTTGTGAAGGCAGATTTTAAAGTAGACGGAGGATTACCATTGCGGGAAAGCGGTTGAGAGTCAGATATTTTCGCATAACTTAGAGTTGAGATTTGGACTGGAGGCCGAATGTGCATGTTACCGTCAATGAGAAGTCTTTCCTAACTCTCCCAGCGTCGTTCATTTCTTGATGGGGCACCTCCACCATTTACACGACGGGGGTAAGAATACATACGATTCGTTCGCAAATTGAAATACCAGAGATGTCAAGAGTAGGTAGTTGACGAGGATACGTATCACCGCGATACTGTCAATGCCTAATGACTAAATCGAATGACGCCCAGCACCTGAAAGAGCATCTTGTAACTCACAGCAGCTTAGTGAGACCCTTCAGACGCAAGTTGCTTCCAATCTATAAGATCAGTATCTTCTGATTGCTTCGTCGAGCGCTCTGCCTTCATCTTGTCAAATTTCCAGCGAAGAAGGACATCCAGCTTTTGGTCGGGAGGAACGGCAGTGCGAGGATTGTTTTCGTACAGATAGTACGCAACGATGCCGGTGAAGACTCCAAGGAGTGGATCCAAACCTCTGTAGATGGTGTCGAATAAGACACTGCTGCCTAGAAAGCTGGTACGAATGCTCACCGTGACAACAGAGGGGCCATTGCAGTTGACGCGGACGTCCAAGAACCAGCACGGCAAAAGCCGGCAGTCGTTCTATGAAACACTGGCGAGAATGTGACTTGATGTAGCGCACAGTTGAACGCTACACGGGTGAATGATTGTTATAATGGATTACCGATTATCTTCAACGCTTTTCTAATGCCAGCTCATGAAACGAACACCAACACCCCAAATCCTGCAACTGTGTGTCGTTGGCTACGGTACATACTGTATGTAAGGGCACCGCGAGGCCTCGGCGCGGAGCGGAAGTAAGTAGAGGAACAGTACGCGAACATTCACCCAAAAATTTCCCTTTTCCTTCCGTCCATACGCTACGGCCTTCATCATCTCCTTCATCTTTGCCCTCAGAGAGCCGTTCCTTTCTCTGTCAGTAGCTCTCCTTCTTGTCTCAGCAGGTCTTCTTTCTCTTGCCTTCATGTCAACAGCAGCATTTGAACGCCAGATTCGTCCCATCTATGGTGCGTGGTGCTGTGACACGCAATGCATCAAACACTCAGCCAACTTCAGACGCCATTGACACGGGGTCAAATAAATCTGCTCTCCTTGCTTGTAACAAGCTGCTGAAGAAGTATCCTAAGAATGATTTGCTGAAGGTGTGTTCACAACGTGTCCATGTGGGGAACAGAGCTCATTCTCGTGTAGGCTTTGAAAGCTCTTGCCCTTGTACGCTCTCAAAAAGTGGAGGAGTCTTTAGCTCTCTGCGATGAAGTGCTGGCTGCTAAGCCATCCGATGATGGAACCCTTACCGCCATGATGCACGTTCTGCGGGGTCTAGGTCGTCGTACGTGCTCTCCTTCACGCAACGCTCATACACATGTCATAACATACGACAGACGCCGACACGGTCGCTATGTTCGAGGAGGCGTTCAAACGTCAACCTTTGAACGAGGATCTCGGAATGCAAACGTTCTTTGCTAACATTCGAACGGGTAATTGGAAAACTGGCCAGCAGGTGCGTCATGGCTTTTTCTCAATCCAGTGTACAACCAAGGCGTGTCATCCGGGTCGTATGACCTGCCATCATTCTCTGCGTGTTCGATACTTGAAATCAAGCTCATCCTCCGTCTCTCAGTTAGCTACGAAACTGAACAAACAGTTCCATGAGGATCGTTATGTTTATTGGGGCGCCATGTGCGCTGTCCTACAGGTGAAAGCATTCAGTATATCGTTGTTTTATCTCAATTTATTCTCTTCCAGGCCAATGACTCTTCGACGCCGCCGAACATGCGCGAGTTGTTGTACAAACTTGCGCACAGGCTTCTGACGTCCGCATGGAACCCTCTAGAAATGAATGCTGACCGTTTCCATCTTTACCTGTCACTTCTGCTGGAGCTGCAACTGTATGATGAAGCGCGCGCAGTTCTAGAGAGCGACCAGGGGAAGTCTATCTGTTCTAGAAGCTTGGCTTGCGACGAGCTTCGACGGGACATATGGAAGGCAAAGGGCTGGCTAAAGGAAGAAGGCGAAGCTGCTGAGAAACGAATCACAGACAAGTATGTCCCATCCAAATGCAAGGTCATTTCCAACAGAACATATACTTGAACTCATTACAGAAATCGAAACTGGTTGGAGTTCGTGTCGGTCTTGGATGCTACATTTTCTTCCATCACTTCAGGTGATGCCAACGATTCCTCGCGCGAGGAATGCACGCAACATATTTCGAAGACTTTGGAGTTCTTGAACAATGTGGCACAAAATGACAAGAACAAAGATCGATCGGCTCCTCTCGCCCTATTGGAGCTAGAGAGACGAGCTAGAGAGCATGGTGTGTCAACAGGTGAGTCTTTAGCATCATGTCCTATCGATACGTCATCCATTTTTTTTTTACTAGAGCCTTCTCGGATGGTCGACCTATTGCAACAATATTTCGACCAGTTTGGTGACAAGGCTGTCTGCTACGAGGACCTGCGGCCGTACATTTCCCTTGATGCTGACGACTTATCTCGATGGTCATCATTTCTGACGTCCATACCCTTCTCATCCGTAAGCATGTCGTATCATAATCGATTATGACGATCTTAACGCGTAAACAGGATTCGCTTTTCGAGCTTCAACGGTCGATCAACGTGCAGAAGCTCTTGCGATTTAACTTACAGGATTCGGATCTGACCGTGGAGCTTGAATCAAGCCGGGCATTGCAGCTGGTCCAGTTCTACATCGAAGGCCTTCAACTAGGCAAAGAGCTGCCTAAAACCGAGCTTCAACCCGCCGATGACCTTGCTGTATTGGCTGCGCAAGTCTTCGTTAGTATGTATGACCGGTCGAACGATGTGACGCATTTGCACAATGCGGTTGTGTTCCTGGAATTTGCATCCAAGAAGAGCCCTCAGTCTTACCAGATCCACTTGTCTCTGAACAGAATTTATCGTTTGTTGGGTGTGTTTTATTTCTCAGACGCAGCTATCATTCTACAGGACTAACGATTGCGTTTGCCAGGCGCTCCGCAACTTGCGCTCGAGCAGTATCGGCTTCTGAATGTGAAGCAGGTTCAGAACGATACTCTTTCACACTTCGCCTTATCACGAGCATCCAATTTCTCGCTTGCGGCCACGGGTGACCTGACTTACGCGTCTGAGTGTCTGGAGTCTAGTCAGATCTACATGAGCAATTCCACTGAGGTAAAGAAAGGAGACATTCAAAGTACCATCCACCGTGCTAATTTGTGCCAGACGGCGGAATTTATTGTCAGAGCTTTCAGCGCGGAGAAATACTCACAGGTGATATTCTTCCTGGCCTTGAACGTACAGTCCTGCTGATACTCTTCTTGATGCGAAGATACCTGATTTCATCGTTTTCGAAGACCGGTTGGATAATTCGCTCCAACGGGATTTGGTGAAAATTGAGCACGTCCGGATGCGTGTCACTCACGAACCCATCATCGCCGATCTTGTTGATCTGGAGCTTGTTGAGCTTAAATTCATCTTCGACCGGTGTATGTCTGCGCAGAGATCTGTCCCTGGTGTGACTGCGGCTCACATTCACTCCTTAGTACATTACGACAATCGAGATTTCGACATTCTCCCCAATTATCAACCTCTCAGTCAGCCGTCGTTTGGCAAGCAAACGACGCTTTTCGGCAAGGAGCCGGGTGTCAGTATCTTTTATCTTTCTTTCTTGGAAAACGAGTAGTCATTGGTCACGATTTATTCATCAGCTGGGATGGTTGTGTGTCTTCCTCAGGGTTTACATCAAGGCGTTCCAGCATGCTAGTGATCTCGACGATACAGTGGAAGAGAAGCTGCTCGTTGGCGATCGGCCCAAGCAGAGCAATGATCCGGAGAATAAGTTGCCTTTGCAGGAGCGTTTGGCTGCTCGTAAACCACAAGAACTTCAGGAGGTGTGCAGCACTTGGCCTATCATAGTCTACTGACTCACTTGAAAACCTAGCTCACTGTCGACGAATTTGCTTTCCTTGATTATGCTACCGATCTTGCTGACTGGCTAGGACCTTACCACGATTTTACCCGACCATCGCCGTCTGCCGTCTTGGCCGAAGCAGCCAAGCAAACCGAGTTGAAAACTGGTCATGCTCTCAAAGGCTTGGACCTCCCTGCCGACAATGGTCATGCAAATGGCCATACAAAGAAGGCAGAGGACGCGCCACTGGTAAAGGAGCCTCCATCGTCATTGATCAAATTTTTTGAGTGTTAGTCGAGTCATCTACCACGTGAATCATACTCTGAGTTGTCATCACAGGTATGCAACAACGTTTCAACGAACTCATAGAAGCTCAGCGACCGCCACAAGAACTTCTTCATGTCGCGGCTCTCACGCAGGAGGTCAGTAGCGCGTTTTTGACGAGGTCAATTCTCACGCATGTTTCAATTCAGGCCTTGATACTGTTTACTATTGAGACATTGCGTTTCAAGAACGCATCTGTTGTGAAGGTAAATAAATTGGGAGCATTGGTTCAAACCTTCAAGGGCATTCGCACCGAAGCCCTCTCGGTGCTAAAGGGAATGGGTACCCAATTGGTCAAAATTAGCGAGAATGAGGGCACCGTAGACAAGCGCAAGGCATTCGTGGAAGGATTCAAGTCTCTAGAAGATGTACAAGAGGTATGTCCATGACTGTATCCGTTAAGCGAGGCACGCAGCTTATACTTTTGAATATGAGATCACCCACGAGCACATATTGGATGTCGCGAAAAAGGTTACGGATGCCCGTAAGAAGGTATTAGAGGGCTTTGGCAAGGGTGTTGGCCGCGTTTGCACAAGCCATGCATGAGTCGTTACGATACGATACGATGACCATAGATTACTTATGTAGACACGGCCAGCGGCCCCTAATGTGTTCTGCGCCCTTGACAGGTAACACGACAAACCTCTTCTCGTCTATAATGCGCTAGCGCGGCCCACTGATTGGACGCCAGTGACCTGCCGGAATGAGTTGTGCAATTTCAATGACCACGGCCCCTTCCCGTGGAAGTCGCGGCTACGGTCGGGCAAGCCTCACCCAAATCTGTGACATTCCTGTGACAGAACAAATAATGTCAAATACCGCGGTCGCGTCTTGCACGCGGCCGCTTCGGACACGACTGTTCGAAATATCATACTGCCAAAGCTCCGGCGAGCACTTCTTCTATCATCTATTGTGCCACCATGAGCCAATGTATGCCATGTGCTCTTATTCTTAAGTATCTACTCATGAATTATCAGTTGGAGAATCCTTTGGAAACAATCTTTATTACGGAAACGCAGGTGGAGGTGGAGGATATCTGACCGGAGGTTCGCCTTTTGGTAGTGCCAGTGGTAGTCCAGGGGGCGCATCACGAGTGAGTCGCTTTTTAAATTGTCCCCGCTCAAGGATTGATCATAAGCTTCTTTCTTAGCGAGGGGCCCTGGGGCAGTCTTTGCGTCCGCTCACCGTCATGCAGGTGCACAAGGCTACACAAGCACATACGGATGCAGACTGGATGGTAGACAATACGGAGATAGGACAAGTATGATATTCCTCACTATCCCCACGTCTACATACTCAATCTTGACCGATAGATAACCATCGTGGGCAAAGTTATCACGATTAGGGATCAAACCACAAATAGTCTTTACACCATAGATGATGGCACCGGTCAAGTGGAAGCCCGCTACTGGTCTGACTCAACATCTCAAGAAGGAGATTCCTTTGAGGGTGTGAAGTGAGTTTCCTGACTTGTCGATCAGTGGTGCCGCTGAAGTTTTTCAAAGGGAGGGAAACTACGTCCGCGTGTCTGGTACACTAAAGACGTACGGAAGTAAACGTTACATCAATACTGCTCATATACGGCTGCTTAAAGATTGGCCTGAGCATGAGCTGTTCTTCCATATTGCCGAGACCATGGCTGTCACGTTGATGTTTGACAGAGGACCTGTAAGCAAATGCATACTCGTTAGTGAACTGTTCGTCAATGTTCCTCTTGCTCGTACTAGCCATCAGGGCCTGATCAAGCCCAAAATGCTCCCGTCGGACAGGGACAAACTTCTGCCTCTGCGTACACCGCAGCGGCGAACACCGTAGCAGCGAACGACCAATATGCTCACTTGCCACCTCTTCAACGCAATATTATCCATTTCATAACGGCCCAACCATTCAGCGACGACGGTGTCCACGCCTCAGCCATTTCTCGAGGAGTCAAAGCTACTGGAAGTGAAATCAGGTGGATATTTCGTCATTTGTGGGGCTGCCTGAAAGCCACTGAACACTCCATTTTAGCTCTGCATTGGAGAAACTTACGGATGATGGCCTCATCTACACGACCAGCGATGACATGCACTTCAACGTCTCAGGATAACCAGCATCTTTTCTTCACTCATATCCTAAACAGAATCCTATATCAATACTTTATCATCAACTCGCGGGCTTGCAGTCAACATTTTTAGAAGAAGAAAGTCGTTTGCGACATTCGCTACAAGGCTAAATCAGTAAAGAAAATGAGACTGTCATCTCGGACAATGTATGTAGAGCTCTCATGTTGAGCGTTTTGTCAAATATGTCAGATATCTGTACCGATGTGCACAATTGGGTGCTCGTAAGACCAGTCGGCAAAGTCCGCGGCGAGAGACACCCTGAGACACCGTGCGCGGCCCTACGACAGCCTACGATCATACCTCTATACCAAAACTACAGCGAACATCATATACTCTCAGCATAGTCGACAGAACAAAAAAAAACTGAAGGTCGAATCAGGTCTCATTCGCAGTCTGACAAGCTCTTACTTGCCTCGCGTGGTCCAATGCCTCCAGATGCGTCGGCGTTTGCGTCCAGTGACGATCGCTCAAGTCTTGAAATCAAAGCGGATACACAGTGATGCCTGCTTTACCATTGAAGGAAGCGAAGTTCACAAGGTATCAAAGCTGGCTTTCCGCACCATGAGTTGGCGTTCATATGATAGTAGATCATGGTCGTTGCTCGTGTTTCTCTTTTGATAGGAACCGATTCCGATTCTCACAAATGGGAGTATGAGCTCGAGGACGGCACTGGGCGCGCTACCGCCGTTCTTTGGACCATCAATCTGAGCGAGGATGAGAAAGAGCGCCTTTTGGAAAATATCCCGTGAGTTGTGTCTATACTCGCTAGTCGTACCTCTAAACATCCTTCGGCTCAGGCCGCATTGTTATGTACGTGTTATTGGGGTGATATCAGAATTCAAGAATTACAAGTCTCTGAACATCTCGGACATTCGTCGTGTCGCTGATGCACACGAACCGTTCTACCACCTTGTGCACGCCGCCACCGTCACAATATCGGTCGAGCACGATCGTAATGTGAGTGCTTCGTCTCTTGATGATGACTTGATATTGTAAGACATGATCGTCACAGGCGTTAGCACATAGCGACGCTGAGCCTGATACGCTAGAAAGCATGAATCCAAGCTCCATACCATCCGCCCAACCTACGCAACACGAGCCCTCGACTCCGACGGAGTGGCCACCCACTTTACCTCAACCGTTTGACCATGATATGCCTTCATCTTCTTTCTCGGCAAGCAAAAATAAAGGTATACTAGCGACAACTGCCAAGGCAGAAAGCTTGACCTCTTCCGGCACTGACACCGACGTGGAGTCAGAGGATCCTATTCCCGTTTTCGATTCATCAGGATCTCATTCCCCATCGCCAGAGCCTCCTTCCCCGCTTCAGAATGTTCAACCATACCGACGGCGTGACCCATACTCCCATCTTACCTCTCTTCAAAGAGGGATCCTTCTCCAAATCCACACTCACAAGTCATCTTTTAACGAAGGGGTACCTGTGACTCTTATTGTTAAAGGGCTAGCACATACCAGTAGATCCGTAGACGACTTCTGGTAGGGACAGCATTCTTGAATGATCGCACAGGCGCCAGACATAAACTCACACATGTAACACAGGAATGCAATCGAAGCCCTCATGGATCAAGGCATGATTTACGCGTTATCAGACGAAAACCATCTAATGGTGGTGGATTAGCTTTGGGTCATTGTGTAAATCGGAGGAAAATATTCTACTCACCTACTCTTCTCCTTTTGTTTAGCTTGTGCGACGTGTATATCTAGTGGAGCGGTCTTCCATACGTTTCGGACATGTACGATTGGTATATCCCCAACATATCCATGTAGTTTATAGAGCGCTCAAGCGCTCAAAGATGCCATCTTCGTTTAAATCCTTGTCTGGAATCTAACAGAACATGAACATGTCCCAAATACCTCTTCCTGGAACCGACCAAGGGTGAGACTGCGGACCCGCCCTGACAGCTCCTGACAGACGCCCAGGGCCAAAGGAGGACGCTTACGTCGCTCTATATGTCGCCGATTAGCTAAGTAGCCCCCCGTGATGTCACGGCTCTAAATGAGACTTGCTCTTCGATTGTAGCAGCGAGCACCATGGCTTGGTGGTCGACTTCATGGCTACCATTACCCTCGATTGAATTTTCGTTACCTTCAGGAATACAACGCAGATTTATCTCTTTTCTTCTCAAACGATCACTGGGTCACCTTCTCAAACCGGGACAATTCGATGTACAACAGATAGATTCTCAGATTGGATCTGGTTATGTGCAAGTTAGGGATCTAGAACTAGATTATACTGTGTGTTTTTCCTTCTCTTTCCCTTGCGAGTCATTAGTGTTCACGCTTGTCACAGGCTATCAACTCGCATCTTATAGGGCTGCCAGTAAAGCTTCACGATGGCTCTATATCCAGTGTCACTGCGCGTATTCCTTGGCCTAATCCCCTGACAGCCAACGTCGGCTTGTCAATTCAATCCCTCCATCTCACTTTCCACGTTGATCCGAAGGCTCCTGTACCAACTGCTCAGGCGACTACGAACCTCGCAGACTCAGTCGTGAGTGTTGCCGAATCATTCATTCACGATGAGTTGACTCCAGGAGAGGAAGCCACGTTGCGCGAATCCTTTCATCCAGACCTTGACATATCTGTCACCTCTACTCGTGAGAACGTTCCAGGTGGACTTGACCCATTTATCGCTGCGGACGAAGAGGCTTCATCCGAGGTGGATCCTGCAGGGGTGTCTATATTTGCTACCATGATTGAGCGGTTGTTGTCGCGCTTTGAGTTCGATGCTAAGGATACGAGCATTACATTGGTCTATCCAGGGCATTCAAGCTTCATCTTCAAAGTATCTGAGATTGCCTATGGGAGGGACGATAGATCGAATACGACAAGCAGAAATTCAAGCACTGGCCCTAAGGATGTCGCAATTGGACTTGAATCTCCAGGAGAGACTCGCACAATTTCTATCTCCGGAGCTACGCTTTTGTATCACGATCTTAATTCTACAATGGGTACGTTGAACGTTTCTGTGCACTCAAAGCATCTATGTCGATACTATTAATCATATAGGATGCTCTTCCTCGGCACATAGTCCACAATCGCAATCAGCTTTCAATCCGCTTATCTCTCCGCCTTCCCCTTCAGCATATCATTATCAGTCTGATTCTGACTTGGACGAGGATACACAATTAATGATGTCTCAATCCATCGCTGGTCTTCCCCCACGACCTGTTTCCCCAGCGAGCACCGTCGCGAGCACCGTAGCCAGTACTATGTTCCAGAGTGCCGTTTCTATCATTGCCAAAGACGATACCGAGGGTTCCAATGCGCAGACAAACTCACAGGATACACCACTAGCCTTTGCCTCAGAGTTGTCCAACGGCCTCGGGGCGATTGAACAAGAGCTTTTCCCTGGCGATTCTCCGCAAGCCAAGGCGCCGGACCAGGGGGAAATACAAGTTCTCGAAGAGACTCTTCTATCGCTCGCGTGCGAGCCAACCGTGATTAGATTAACCACATCTCTTTCACCTCGTAGAACCGTAGTGCCTTCCTTTGCGCTGAGTACTGTTGCACCAAGTGTAGGTGCATCATCTACCGAAGGCCAGCAGGCGAAGAAATCAGGACGAGTTAGCATCTCTATTACGACAAGTACAATTGCATGTGCGCTCGGAGCGACTCATATTCGCAGTATCTTGGACATCGCAGAGATATTGGGTTCTCATACGTCTCTCAAGCCCTCTCCTGCACCGAAACAGGAGATCAAAGACTCGGGTGGCGCTTCAACTACCACGGTCTCATCTTCAATCCTGGACGACATCAAAGCGAGTATCGACATACGTGGGATTGCGTTACTTTTCTTGCCATCGCTTTTGACAGTCAAAGACGCACAGGGACTGCCTAAATCTAAAGGAGAAGTTCTCATCGACTTGGGTGCATTTTTTGACCAGCCTCTGATACCTCCAAAACTTCTTCATGGTTATGTTCGACTGCTCGTGGAAACGGTCGCCGTCACCGCATCCATCTCTACGTCTGTCAGCAGAACGAATGTTTCCTCTGCAGGACGTTCCGGTCGTCAGCCACGTTCGGCCGAGAACGAACTTGTCTCTTCGACATCTACTGCCATAGCCTTGACTGTTGCCGATTTATCTATCTGCGCATTTCGTCGGCCTTCAGGATCTCCCTCATCACCATCTAGCTCGCACGAACATGTAGTTTCTCCTGTGTTGATCACGGATCCGCACCTGTCCCTTCAGTACCCAACTGAACACCAATCACCCGCAACTATATCCTCATACGATAGCAATCATCCATTGCAGAGTGCTCAAACTCCACCATTACCAGTGTTTGATGTCGCTGATTGGACGACTCCGCTACAACATGCAAACCAAGCTAGGGTTTCTCTATGGCGAGTAAAACCCTCGCATCGTCATAACCAATCCCGCAGGGTCTCTGCGAACAACATACCTAATTCATCTATATCCCCTGACAAGGCTCCGTCAGCGAACATCCCAATTGAAGCGCCTGACCCGAACACACATGGACCAGCGATTACGGTGAAGGTCGCTGCTGCATCGTCTGTCACTCATGGTGGAGATCAGATATCCGGAAGAATTGCGGACGAATATTCCGTTGATGCAGATTTCTTACCTCTGCATTTCTTTTTCGACCTTGGACTGATACTCGATGGAGACGACGATCAAGAGTCTAGTCAACTGCTGTCATTCTTGGAAGAGATCGTAAGCCCAGTGAGTGGGCAGCAGGGGACCCTTGAGTCGGATTTCCCACAACGAGATTCCGGTTCAGAGTCAGGGGGTGACGAAACTGATGAAACTGATCCGACACCACCAGCTTCTCCGCGAGGTCAGCGCATATCAAAGATGCGGGAACAGCAAAGGGAGAGGGAAATGGAAAGAAAGCGGTTGGAAAGGCTGGTACTGGAAGATCTGAACTTATCCATGGACTACCGGCTGAAGGAGCCTGGTCTGTCGGCACCCTCGACGCGATTAAAACGCAAGGTTTGTCAATATGACAGCTATTGTAAAAGCTCTGGCATTAACTCTACCCAGGTGAAATCTCGAACCCAGGAAGTTCAAATAGTCGATGTCACTATCGGCTTCCCCATGATTAGGATGGAAATTCGTTGCCCTCCTCCTCCGTCATATTCACCTCGTTCCGGCGCCCTTATCATGGACATTCATGGCCTTACATTGTCAACCCATTCACCTCAATCTAGCCATAAACCAGGCGCGCGTTTTACGGGCATCGATGCCACAGTCTCTCCGCCTTCCCCTTTGCATAAGAGCAATAGCACATTGTTGTTGACCGCAGAATTGCGACGCTTGCTCATCGCCAGCTCTTTGGCAGGGGAAAGCAATGCAAGTGCATTCATGTCCTTGGGACCACTTTCTGTTGCTGCGGAAGGTTCTGGTGGTGGACGATTAGGCGACAGGGGTTCAGGCCTCAATGCCCCTCCAGTCACCATAGCCTTGACACAAACACATAATCTGGCAATCAATCCCTCAAAGGCTCTAGTCCTTACTATACAGATTCCTTCACTTCATATCGATCTGTCGAAACCTCTCTTGGATGGTGTTCAACTGTGGGCTGACGACATTCAACAACTTGTTGAGAGGACAGTATCTAAAAGCGCTGATTCAGAAACGTCATCGAGACAAGGTCCATCTCTCATAGGGAGCAGATTTTTCGTGCCCGCCAAACACAGAGCTAGTAGTAGCTCATTAGAGAGCAACGGTATCGGTCTACAGGGGAATGAACCGCTTAGCAACGAAACGATAATCAAGGCCACAATCTCAGAAGGTAATTGAAATCCTTTTTATTTTGTCCATATATTGATGGATTAAATCAGCCTTCGTGAGATTGATGGTACCCCGAGAGGTGAATGACACATCCGTCCTTTTGCAACCATTCGACATCCTCGCTTCTGAAGTCGACGCACTTCTCGAGTTGAAGCCAGAAGGAAAGGTCATTGTACGGTTACCCTGTCGCTAATCATCTTCTGATGGCTGTTCTGACAGGACGAGACGGTCATGACTTTATCAACGATGATCATCGCCATCGTCGACGGGCAAAGCCCTTCTTCTATGCCATTCTTGTCTCTGACTGCACCTCACAGCCTGGTATGCTTTGTTAGAGGCAGATAATGTCCACTTATCACTGACTTTGTTCATCTCAGCTCTCTAGCCCTAGGCCTCTTTTGAAATTGCATTTCAGCTCTCTAGTGGTCCCAGAGTCAACGGCTAAAGAAACGCGTATAAGGTTGACGTTGTGCGGTTTCACATACAACTTCCTTCCTGACCTGCAGTGGATGTCAGACCTCGCTCGATTTGCCAAATCTCCACCAGGTGTATGTTTTTCGTCGCTTATCATCTGTCCTCACTAATCTTTCTACATCCCTCAAATCCTTAGGCTTTTGAAAGCGTTATACCTAGTGAACGTACGCGGATTACTGTGAAGGTTATGGACGGCTCTGTTCGTTTATTTGCCCCACAGTATCCAGGCGCCCTAGTCCTTCATCTCGGCGACCTCGATTTCTCAACCGACATAGTCGGTGATTCAACGGAGACACACTTGAATCTAGGAGTCTCAACGTTGGGAGTCTTGCTGGTAGATAACCATCTTGCCGCTGCCAACGATGTCAACCGGCTGTCTTTATTAGGCGCGAAGGGCATCATGTTCTGGAAGGTTTGTGATAGAATTTGATTGAACTGGTGTATATTGACTGGGTCCCGTTCGTCACCAGAGATCAGGTTATGCTTTGCTGGCTGAAATATCTGACCTGAAGTTGTTAATAGCGATCGTGAACGGAGATACCTCTAATTCTGATGTGATGAATGCTTCTTCATGCTAGGGAAACACATTGGATCACTGATGAGTTTGTGCAGGTCACTGTGGAAGGCATTACACTTCGCCTTCATCTGTGCGCCGACACAATGACAGCCCTTGGCGCTTTTGGAAGTGACTTAGGTTCAGCATTCAGCAAACACGACACTGAACCGTGCGTCTGTTCATCGTACAGAGCAAAGGGCCGTGAAACTGATATTTGAACTTAGCTCATTGCAACCTCAGACCAAAGAGCCAGCTAACCTATCCACTCAGAGAAATATAAATCATGAAATTATGGGTAAGATTCGTTTCATGATTTTATCTCGAGTTTTCACGAGTCCTTGTAGCATCTGTGGATGAGCAAGCATTTCATCGAATTCCTGAGGTTGGAGCAGCGCCAGATATGATCAACGACGACCTTCCATCCAATCCCGAATATCTTGACGCCTCCTTCGGCGCCGCGGCTGGTCTCCGTGAGTACGACGATGAGGACTTGGAAGATCTCCAAGAAGAAGATATCTTCTTGTATAATACGACCTCCGAGAAAGCTGGACTCATATCCAAGGTCGGAGGGGAGACCATCAAGTTACTGCACTCTGAAGGACTTGATGTCGTCGAGAATTATTTTACCACATTACCAGCACTCTCCGAAGAGATCTATGAGTCAGTTTTCTCATCCTCGTTGACCTCTGATTATTCAATTGCCTCATACAGAAATGGCATGGTCAAGGACCGCCTGCGTATCCATCAAGCTGACGTCACACTCTTCTTATATGAGGGCTACGACTGGGCCTCGACGCGTCAGACGATCGAACACGAGGTCAAGGAAATGAAACGACGACTGGCAAAAATCAAACAGCTGGTAGCAAGTGGCCAGACATACGATCCTAACGTTGATGAAGCAAGCACGCTCTTATTCAATTCTGTCTATGTTGGTTTGGAGCAGGAGTTGAACGAGATGGGGTCTGACGCGCTGATTGAGGCTATCGACGAAGAGCTGAAGGATGATCTTGAGACTGCGAGCCAGAGTTCATGGCAGTCATTGAAGCCTCAAACTCATGAACAGTCCGCTCCACGATCCCTTCGAATCCATGGCCATCGGCTTACCAGGGCAAGAGGGCCTAGTATCGAGTTTCGTTTATTTGGTTTAAACGCAGAAGTGGACCAGCATGCACCTAGCGACGATACAGTGTCCAGGGTTCTTGCCACAATCAGGGACGTAGAAATCCTGGATCATGTGAAGACTTCGACATGGAGAAAGTTCCTCTCAGCGCTGCGGTCCGATTCGCATGGTAATGTCCGCGAAACGGATTCGAACATGGTACGCGTGGAATTGCGTACCGTTCGTCCAGTTCCAAGCAACCCCTCCGAAGAAGCCAGGCTGCGGGTGAGTCTCCACAAGTTTCATACTAGAATTTGTACCTCAAACGACGGATTCAGGCCAAAATTCTTCCCCTTCGCTTGCATGTCGACCAGGATGCGTTGGACTTTTTAAAGAAGTTCTTTAGCTTCAAAGACCCAAATGCGGCCCCAGCTGCTGGAGCACCTAGCAATGAAATCTACTTCCGTACGTCTACTTTCATTATAGATGAGCAATGATTGATGATGACATCCACGATGAAGAGCACGCAGAAGTGTTTCCAGTAGGACTCAAGCTGGACTACAAGCCCCGCCGTGTCGATTATAGAGCTCTACGAGAGGGAAGGACTATTGAACTCATGAACTTCTTCCACTTCGACGGTGCTGAAATGACACTCAGACATATCACTATATCTGGAGTACGTTGTGCAGTCTCCCTTCACTCATCACACTGACATGCTAGGATAGATTACTGGTTGGCCTCGATTCTTTGATCTTCTTAATGACCTTTGGACACCCGATGTGAAGGCCACGCAACTTGCAGACGTAATCTCTGGAGTCGCTCCCATTCGTTCCGTGGTAAATGTTGGTTCTGGAGTTGCGGACCTGGTCCTGCTACCGATCGCACAATACAAGAAGGACGGTCGAATTGTGCGAGGCATTCAAAAGGGTACAAGGGCCTTTGTGCAGACCACGGCTGTCGAGGCCATCAAACTGGGTGCGCGTTTGGCAACTGGGACTCAAGTGATTTTGGAGCAGGCAGAAAATGTACTTGGAAGCCATTTCAGCGAGTCAATCACCGCAGAGACTGTACAAGGATCTCCTGTAAACAGCGAAGGCACTGGGCCGCGATGGGACACTGACGAGGACGCAGCCGATCTCATCAGTAAATACGCCGAGCAGCCTCTAGATATGAAGGAAGGGATGCAGTCGGCCTACACGAGTTTACGGAGGAATCTCAATTCTGCGGCACAGACCATTTTGGCAGTTCCTATGGAAGTATATGAGCGGTCTAGCAATGAGGTACGTCGATGAGTACAGTCGACGTTTCCGAGGCCTCTAACACAATCCATAGGGTCCAGTTCGTGCAGTGATCAGGGCTGTGCCAATCGCTGTTTTGAAGCCGATGATTGGTGCCAGCGAGGCAGTCAGCAAAGCATTGCTGGGCCTGCATAATTCTATGGATCCCAACGTCCGGCTTGAGAACGAAGCGAAATACAAGCATCGTCAATAGTCTATCCTGCCCTGGGCGTACTTAATTTATGTTCATGCTGCCTGTTATCAATGTTCCAGTCACATCCCCCACGGTCCCATTCACATTGTACTTTTATTCATTCGCGGATCTTTCTCCCACTCACACTTAGCCCTAATCATGTATGCATAGTGTGCATGACCCTGCTATTACTACATAACGGTCTACTTTTTTAAATCTGAAAACACATCGACAGCAATACATACATGGGAAAAAGTGAAAACACATCTAATCGAGATCCATGCCCATTGACCGTCCCTCTCCAGGAAGCAGAGCACTCCTTGGTTTGGCGGAGACCTTGATTTTCTCCTTGACCATGACTTCTGCACCCTCGGTCGATGTTGGCTCAAGCAATTTGATCGACTCCAGCTTCTTTTTGCGGTGTGCGCGTACCTTGTCTCTGCTGGCCACCATTCTAATTGGGACAGCGGGTTGAGTCCTCCAGAGTTAAGCCGGGTGAGCAAGAGCGCATGTGCGTACCTGTTCTTCCAAAACGCACGCTCCCTCTTCTGTTTGATCTCTGCTATCCGCTTCATAGCCTTGATCGTGGTCTGGACGAGCTCGCGGTCGTAGCGGACAGGAACATTTCTCCGCTTTTCGAAGTCGATCGTTGAATCCTGACAGCAGCACGCATATGAGCCCGTGTCTTTCCTGAAACCAGACAAAGATGGACGCACGACAGTCATCTCTTTCCCTGCTGCCTTCCTAAAAGCCTTGGTCCACCTCACTTTTCTCGGATTGCGCTTCATTCTGATCCGGGAATGCGGTGAGTAACACATCAGCGTAGCTTCGAGGGATGAAAACTGACTTGAAATTTTTATGGCATCTGGAAGTCGGCGAGGGAGTCAACATGCACATTCTCTGCCCGAGACGAGTAACGAGCTCACTTGGATGTGCAGAACCGGAAAACCTTGGAGTCGTTTCTCACAAACGCCGATCCTATGGTAGGTGAAAATTAACAGAGCGGCAAGACCGATGATTTACTGCCATCCGCACCATGACCAGGATAGACGCTTTTTGAGCAGAAATAGCACTTCTCAATACGCATTTGAGTAACGCAATGTCAACCACCAGGTACAGGGTGAGTTAGCGGGTAATTCCGCGATTGCTGGTCTAAGGAAAACAAAGAGACAGGAAATGTATATGTGTGGTGAATATAGAATGCGTACGGCCGCAGATTGAGCGGGGTTCCTTATTAATTGAAATTACCGCATAAGGAACTCGATTTTCATTGGTTGCGCCACTCGCCGGTGGCGTCAAAAACATCACAAACATTCTGAATCAAAGGCATCTCTGCAGGCAAGTCATTGCACCAATGGCCATAGAATGATTGCGGGTATCGGGAAAAAATGCATCGTACATGAAGATCGAACAGTAAAGAGGGGAACGATGAACGAATGGCGACTGAGCCCGAAACAAGAACTCATGCGACAGAGGCAAAATTAATCGTTGACCTGCAGTGTAGTATGCGTATATATGGCAATGGAATGTAAAGCAAAAATATGGTCCAGTGATCACAAGAACAGCGCGGAAGCTCTGCACAATGCCCGCGTCGCGCTCTCCTCTTACGCTGTCTCCTTCACACTACTGACAGAGTCCTTTTTCCGCTTGCCCCCACCCAAGTGTCCGAGTTTCTTCAAACCTGCTGAGATGCTCTTCCTCTTCTCTTGTTGACTGTTCCTCTTCGACGACCGTGAAGACGCTGACTGGACGGAGGCGATGGACGCGACCTCAGCCTTTTCACTGGCTTCATTAACTTCGTCCTCATCCTCCTTCGTTTCCACAGCCGGATCGGATTCTTCGACAATCTCTGCGGCACCTCCTCCGACAAGACGGACTGTCGTTTCGGGCTCTGAGTCTTCCTCTTCCTCTTCAACAGGTGGTTCCTCAATAGCGTCCTCAGCAGAAATGAGGACAGGCTCCGACCCATTTGTTGAAGATTCGACGTCAGAGTCAACAGAAGATGCGGGTTTCAACGGGGATGACACTGGCGATGGCTGCATGGGAGGAGCATCCATTGTGGGAGCAGAATCGGCGAGCAAGTCGGTGACGTCCAAAGCCGCTTCTGGTGATGGTATTGGCTCTGCCGAGGTTGCGGCCGACAGTACGCCCGGAGATACAGGAAGTGGAACAAGAGTAGGCTCTTTGACTTCAGCGGCGGGGCCGTCAGTGAGCGGATGTGCCTTAGACGGTGTTCCGGATGTTGTCAGCTGAGCTTCAATGTCAATTTCCCGCATCATGGGGCTACGAGAACTCTCTAAGTCAAGAGAAGAAGCACCCGAGTCTGGGGAGGTCGGCGAAGGGATGATGTCGCTCTGCGTGGGGAGTCCAACAGGAAGTGGTGCAGGGACTTTAGTGACAGAAATCACGGGAAGAGGTTGCCTTGTTCGCAAGGTTTCTGAATCGTCTTCAAAGACAGGAATAGGCACCTCAGCTGCCATACCATTGACGGTTCTGGCCAGGTCAAGGACGTCGCGAGCCTGTAGGGAAGACATTGTTATGCCTTGCAAGTAAAAACAAAAGATGAATATGAATGCCTCACCTTGCCCTTGTCCGGTCGCGCAGGCGCATCAGGTATCAAACCCGACTCGTGCCATTTCCTAACACTTTTGTCTGCCCATGCCTCTAAAACATTCCAGCCTCGATACTCTCCCGACAGGCGCAACCCGCCAGCACCAGCCTCTCCATTGCCATCACCTGAGCCGCGACCTGTGCCATCGAAGAAATAGCTCTCGTAGCCCACGCCATCATCACTTCCTTCACTCTCAGCGGCGCCACCAAGCTCGTACCCTTCTCCACCCTCAAGCTCCTCCACTATGCTGGCCAACCATCGTGCCCAACCAGCGGGGCCATCTCCACGCCAGAGTACAACTTTAGTATCAAAGTCGCGTCCGAATACTATGACCTGACCGACGAATCCGCCCTCGCCAGGATTGGTATCGACGCCGACATAGTTTCCAGCCTTATCTGTAATGAGAGGAATCCATCCGCGCTGCGAATATTCCTTTCGGACCCATCCCTCCGGGACAGATTTCATGACTTCGCGAAGCTTGGCATGAGCACCTGTATTGGGGTCATCGTCAACCTCTCTCCAGAATCGCCATTCGTCCAGTACTTCTTCCAAAGGAAGTAGAGTGAGGCCATAGAATAGCCCCTCCGAGCAGCCTGCCGACGATTCAGCCTCTTGGCCGTTGACGGCGAGGTAGGACTCCCGGACAGCCTGGGGAAGACTGAAGCCGAACTGCATCTCCAAGTTAACAAGGTCCTGAGGCAGTATGCCGTAGTTCAGGGTGTCACCAAGTTCGGGGTATTCATTTGAGAGCCAGGTTCTGAAGCGGTTCCAAGTATGCTCTAAGGGTGGGTATGGGGGTAACATTGGGAGAGGAGAATTATGTGTTGGAAGCAATGATGATGGTCGCGCACGTCTTCAGAGTGGGCATGTGCAAAGTAAGAAGATAAAATCGGTTGCAGTGAGTTTAAGAAAGGATGGGCCTACCCGGTTGGCACATAGTCATATTGGCCTCCACCATTTGATTGGGGTGGGTATGTGTATGTCGGGCTCAGGGCAGAGTCCGGTTCAGGCGTGGTGAGTGAGTCGGTGTTATATGCATCGTGGAAGACGTGTGATGGGAGAGAGAAGGCATCCTGAGTATGTGAGAGCGCCTGTGTTCTCCTGTTGGACGAGGATTTTGAGGAGAAGAGGGAGGCGAGCCAGCTCATTACTGTGGATAATGGAGACGAGCTTTGAGGGAGCAGTGGTGAGTGGCAAGCACGACGGCCTTCGCGGTCGCTTCACTCCGCTTTAGGCACTCCCTCCGAGTCCTCTCGGCATCACCGGCCGGCACGCGGCAATCGTGAGGTCCGTAACCGCCGCTCCGGCAACGTTTCTCTCATCAGGCCTCTGACACAGACACTTTGCATCGTGGAAAAAGTACTACATCGACTACGTATTACAGGTGCTCTAGTCTAGGTTTCGTGGTCCATTCATGCCCTCATCACATCCGCCCAAGGTTCGCTGAGACCTTGAAGTCCGCATCGGTCTTTGCTCGGATCTCCTCCAACGTAACACCCTCGGCGATGTCAACCAGCTCCAGTTCTCCAGCCTTGCGGTCAACGTTGAACACACCGAGCTCAGTGATAATCTGGCTGACGGCTCGGGCGCCCGTCAATGGCAGAGAGCATTTCTTTACGATCTTTGGGCTTCCGTCCTTGGCACAGTGTTGCATAAGAACGATGATAGTAGTCGCGTCGGGGCTAGATACGAGATCCATCGCGCCGCCGATACCTACACAGCGCACACCGTTCAATGACAGTCTGTAGCAGTGAATAACCTACGACTTGCCTTTCACAAGCTTCCCTGGAACCATGTAATTCGCAATGTCCCCCGCCTGCGAAACCTCCATGGCCTGGAAAAAGAAATTAGTTCATTGCAATATAAGATATCAAAGGTATATGAGCGCACTCCAAGGATCGAGACGTGAAGATGCCCGCCACGAATCATAGCGAACGACTCGGCGGAATCTGAAATCGAATGAGTAACATTATACTGGTACAAGAAAATGAACCCGCGTACCGAAAGTGGAAGCACCGGGCAACAGTGTCGAAGCCTCCTTGCCCGCATTGATGATATCCCTACGTTACCAGTGAGCAACATCCGCCTACCGCAAGCTCCAAAGAAATGGTACTAACGGGTCAACTTGTTCTTTCGTGGGATACGGTCCCATTCCGAGAATTCCGTTTTCGCTCTCCAGCCAGACCTTGACACCAGCGGGCAGATGCTCCGGGACGAGAGTCGGCATACCGACACCAAGGTTGATATAGTATCCATCTTTGATCTCCTTTGCGGCACGCCTCGCAATTCTGTGCCGGATGTCTTTTGCAGGATCTACAGGCTTCTGCGACTTTTGGTCCGCCTCACTGGGTGCGAGGTTCAAAATTTCGATCAACTTGGGTTCTGTTGCTTGGACAATCCGGTCGACGTAAATGCCAGGTAGGTGAATCGCGTTGGGGTCGAGTTCGCCGATAGGAACGATGTGCTCAGCCTAAATGATATATGCGTTACTCGAGCGGAGAAAAAAATGAAAGGCAAAAAACTAACCTCAACAATCGTCAGTTTTGCGTTCCTTGCCATGATTGCATTAAAATTATTCGCGGTGTGCCTAAAAAGTACATCAGCAAGGACCTACAAGTGAATCGGAGTTGGCAATGCGATGACGCACTTGAAGATGCAATTACCAGCCTCATCAGCCTTCCAGGCGTGGACAAACGCGACATCTCCAGCAATAGCAGGCTCCATGACATATCTCTTCCCATTGAAGTCTCGTGTTTCCTTCTTGTTGCCGGGGATCATGACGCCATGATCCATACCGCCAGGGTTATAGCGAATAGGAATATCCCCGGTCTCCACAGCAGTATAGGCTCCGGTGGGCGTGTAGATTGCGGGCATGCCTGATGCATGAGCCCGCATGCGTTCAACCAACGTGCCCTGTGGTACAAGTTCTAACGAGACTTCTCCCTTGAGGTACATTGACTCGAAGTACTTATTCCTGAGAAAAAACTATCAGCGCTGGGCTGCTTGATAGGTTATACAAAATACACACCCTCCAAGATATGAGATCATGAGCTTCTCCAGTTGCTTCGACTTCAGCAGTCGCGCTGATGAAAAAAATGTTAGGATATTCCACGTGTATGCGCGAGATCCTGAAGGAAACGTACTAAGACCGTGATCACCAGCACCGGCGTTGTTCGACACGGCAGTCAGATTCTTCACTTCTGGCCGCTTGACCAACGCCGAGATCAGCGTCTCTGGGATGCCGCATAGCCCAAAGCCTTGAAACCGCACGGATAAAGTAGCATGCAGGCCGTAAAACTGTCTTGCTCACCTCCACTGAGAATCAGGCTACCTGAGACTACATCCTGGACTGCCTCCTCGGCAGAACTCCACACCTTCTTACTGCGAGGGACATCCTTCACCGGCGCGACGGAATAGGGTCTGAAGAAAAGGTGAGAGGTGGGTACCGCGGCGACACGAAAGCGACAGTGGAGCGGTGCACGAGCCGCCTTGATAGATAGCATCTCAACCTGGGGTGGGGAAGGAAGAGGGGGTGAGAAGAGAGTGCGGGGGTGGGATCGGAAGATCGAGATGTTCCACGGGGTTTTATACGATGCATATCGCAGAGGAAAGAGAGCATGGGTGCACAATCGTTCACGGCCGCGGCTCAACTATTCTCTCCAGCCCCCGCTCGGACGTGGTCGGCGGAGCCCTCAGACGTCGTCGATGGCAAGAATTTCAGCCGCCGAGTCGCTGACTAAGCGCTTTTCTGCCGTTCCGTTTGCAGTTGAGCCTTGGTTGAGCCGCGCGGCACTCCTTCAGACCAATGCCCTAGCGCAATTGCGCTTTAAATCCGCAAAAGCAGTATATTACGAACCTGTTGCGTTTCCCTAGTTTCCCTCCGAACAGTGCCTTCAGAAGCTGCATGACCCCGCAAGAACCCCACATTCCCCTCACTCTCGTCACAATTTCCCCAGACTACTCCGCACCGTGAACTCGCACCCGGTCTTCGCCTTGACCTCCTCCAGCGAAACGCCCTCAGCCAGATCCGTCAGCTGGAGTCCACCGCTATGCCGGTCCACATCAAAGGCAGCCAGCTCTGTGATGATCTGACTGACTGTCCTTGCACCTGTCAGCGGGAGCGAGCACTCCTTCAGAATCTTCGGGCTTCCGTCTTTGGCGCAGTGCTCGAGGACAGCAATCACCCTCGTGTTATCAGGGTTGGACACCAGATCCATCGCGCCGCCGATACCTATATCACTGCCGCATCAGCAGGCCATTTCGGAGCTTTACGAGTCGCGACCGAACCTTTCACAAGCTTCCCTGGGATCATGAAGTTGGCGATATCACCGGCCTGCGAGACTTGCATGGCCTAGACAACATCGCACGATTAACAACCATGCCGCACTGTTGATCATATAACAGGGAAGAGACGCACCCCAAGAATAGCGACGTCGATATGGCCGCCACGAATCATAGCGAACGATTCGCCGGAGTCTGTCGCATCCAGGTTAGATACACTTTTTGGTTCCTTACACGTCGCAGACTCACCAAACACAGATGCCCCTGGCAAAAGAGTCACAGTTTCCTTACCCGCATTGATGATATCACTAATGACCAGATATCAGTGGGCCACGACGCTCTCAGTAGAACTGGCGTCCACGTACGCATCCAGCTGTTCTGGCGTCGGGTATGGACCCATCCCCAATATCCCGTTTTCACTTTGCAACCACACTCTCACACCAGGCGGCAGATGCTCGGGCACAAGTGTGGGCATACCTATACCAAGGTTGACGTGGTACCCGTCCTTCAGTTCCTTGGCTGCACGTCGTGCGATACGGTGACGCAGATCCAGCGCGACAGCCTTACCAGCATCTTTGCCTTCCGATGATGCTGGAGCCAGTGTGGTGAACTCAATTTGCTTCTCTGCGGTAGCTTGAACAATACGATCAACATAGATGCCAGGGAGATGGATCGCGTTTGGCGATAAGGAACCAATGGGTACGATGTTCTCAGCCTCCACAATCGTCAGCTTCGCGTTCTTGGCCATGACGGTACTGAAATTGTTCGCAGTATACCTGATGGTCATTATCAGTATGGTATGGACGGGCCGAACACATAAACTGACCTAAATACCGTGTTGCCGACTTCGTCCACCTTCCAAGCTCTCACAAACGCGACGTCTCCGGGAATAGATGGCTCAAGTACATATTTCCGACCATTGAACTCTTTCGTTTCCTTCTTGCTTCCAGAGATGGCGACCCCATTCTTCATCCCGCCAGCATTATAACGAATGGGTATCGAGCCTTCTTCCACCGCTGTAGACGCGCCTGTTGGTGTGTAGAATGCGGGTATTCCTGCAGCATGTGCACGAAGACGCTCGACAAGTGTACCCTGCGGCACTAGTTCCATTGAGATATTTCCTTGAAGATAGAGCGATTCAAAATGTTTATTCCTAGCATCTCGAAAGTCAATATCTCTTTTAGTGCAGGCATAACCAAGTCACGTACCCTCCAATGTAAGATGCGATCATTTTGTCTATCTGGCCGCTATGGAGCAGTTTGCCTTGATAGGGAATAAGCATTTAAATTTACAGTCGTAATCCGGATCATTCACCAAGACCATTCTGCCCTGCACCAGCATTGTTTGACACGGCAGTCAACTTGGTCACTTCTGGACGTCGAGCGAGAGCATCGATGAGTGTATCTATTGATGAATAGATTAGTAGTCAACCCAATCTATAACCATTCATGAAGACGCACCAGGCGTGCCGCATAGCCCAAATCCTATGACGTCGCACAGTATAAGCTCCGAATTGCTTCCACCGACAGACTGCCCAGTCTTGCTCACCTCCACTCAGCAGGGTGTCTCCAGACTTCACGTCCTTGACAGCTTCGTCTACCGAATCGAACACTTTCTTTGTCTTTGGCAGGGGCAAGTCCGCCGGCGTGCTGTACGCGCGCACATACAATACATATGAAATGCTAGCCTTCCGCAACCGAAGGGCGCTCGACGTGGCGAGACCTCTCGACAACATGGTGGAGCTTCAGTCGGGCCTGCGGTAAGTTGTTGCGAGGGCAATTCAGGAAGGAACAAAGGCGACCGTGAATGCCTGCCTAAATATATGCGGGCTGTCTCGTAGCGCAGCTGACGCCCACAGTTACTACAAACGGTTAACTGGTTCACGGACTACCCCACAAATTACCATATATGGCATTTTGATGCCGCGGAAAATGCAAATACTCAGTGAGGATGCGGATCTTGAGCCGACCGTCTGAACAGAACAGGCTGACCTCGGCCGAGTTGGAGAAAAAACTGATTTGCACTTCCTCTGAATTAATACTACAATGTGCACATTCTGCGCTCAATGACCATCAACGTCTCTTCGCCGGCCCTCTTGGTCGGGCAAATGCCTGCTTCTCCTCCGGGGCAACTCCCGCAGTCCCGGAGCGACTTGTGTCGCCGCTGTGATCCACTTCTGCCTGCAGAAATGCAGCGTTAAGTTCGCTGGGGTCAGATGTTTCAACCTTGCGCGGAGCAAGATTCGCGCCGGGCAACAATTGTTTGGCAGTTTGATACACATTTGATGAGCCAGAGGAGTAGAGCATCCGGTGTTTGACTGGTGACGAGGACGGACAAGAATATATGAAGACTGGTCGCAAGCATCGATCATCGCCGTCAGACATGGACTAAGGGGGTACGCACTGATTTGTCGGTACGGAGAGTCTCGCGACCAGGCGAAAAATGCGAATGCTAGAGAACGAGTGAGTTTAGCAGTAGTCATATACATCACCAGCTCGACACTCACCGGGCTCAGACGAGGGGATCTTTGTGCTTAGATCGTCTGCACTAGATTCGGCGACAGTAGAAAGGACCAAAGTTTCCGAGGCAGTATCGATCGTCTGTGAACATCAACCACGATATGAGCAAGACTATCTGAGACAGGGGAAAGTTGTATCCACCAAAACGACCAGACGATCTCCTGAACCACTCGCAAGATCCTTGATGGAATCTTCAACTTCTGGAGACCAGTTTAATCCAACTCCAGTGCCTAAAGGACTGTGCCTTGCTCTACTCCCTTCATATGCGCCGCTGCCCGCTTGTCGCTCAGCAGCTCTGACATCCGCCATCTCTTTCTCTTGCGCGCTCATAGGATTTGGAGCAGCTACATGCCGCTTGTGTGCAGCATAACCTTCGGGAGACACATCGCTCTTGGATGTGGCAAAGACGGTATCGGTGAAGTAAGTTGACCCTAGACTTTTGGTGAGAGAGTTCCGGAATAATGCGTAGAGCATCTTCATTCCCTCGCGCGTAAAGATCGCGTTCTTCGTACAGTTCGAGTTTTGATATTAAGCGTACCTTTTCCTTCACAGTCACCGTGTCTGGCACGTAGTGCACAGCGATCCAGTCTGAGGATGGCTCATCGAGCCGGACGAGGACATATGCCGGCACATTATCTTCAAGCAACTCTTGCAGCTTGTTCAGGTCGTTCTCAAAGGTGCCAATGGGAGGGATGATGCCATCGGGAACCAGCAGTTCTGATATTCAGCAACGGTATAAGAGGGGGACAGAAAAGAGATGTAAACAAAGATGGACCATTGCGGATAGAGATCTTGAGGAAACGAACATTCTTGGATGTGATGGCGCCCGAGAAAGCGTTGGTAAGTTCCTCTGAGATCCCTAGGCCTGGTGTCTGTGCCATGTTTCCTGCCCGTAAGATGTAACAATATACGGTAGCAGAGGAGTTGGTGGTTATAGATGGGGTGTTGTACTTACAAATGCGCGCGCCGCGCAAATACCATCGGCAACAACGCGCCTTCCGATTCGACCACTATTACGGGTACACTTGGACAGTCCCTCGAGAGCTCATTCCGCGCAGACAACGTCGCATAGCAGCCTGCTTTCCTTCGCTTTTGTCAACTTGTAGCAGGCTACTCATCCACGGAATCAACTGATACGATCTTGAGCTCCTGGAGCGCCGTCACGCAACTGCACACCTGTCCGTCACTGTCTTAGAGGCGCTGCCGCTGTCAAGTATAAGTGCTAGAGCTGAACCATCACTGTTCTTCACTACAGATTCACAGACCATTCCCAAGGCCTATTCACGCGTCGTAATGACATCCACCAAGACCCCACATTTCGTTCCATATCCAGCTTACAAGGTGTGTCTTTGCCCTTGTGTGGATGCTGTTTATTGAAATCAACCCATCACGCTATTCATAGTCCAAAAGACATTCTCGTAACCTGTCGAATTCGCATTTGACTTCCTCACCACCCCGTTCATTTATTGTCACCGATGGCTCGACGACTAGCAACCCAACATCACCTGTCAGCTCCGAATTCGGAGAGCCCAACGCATTGCGAAATGGAAACGGGAGCATTTCTGTTTCCAAAAGACTTTCTTCCTCTACTGTTACGATCCAACCTCCACTCATTCATTTCAATGGCAATCCATCTGTCGGCATGCTAATTTCAGAGACAACTTCACCCGCCGACCCAGTCGCAATAGAAGACTCCATCAATGCACCCCCACAGCCACGGAACGTAGGTTCATTGGCTGCAGATTCCATTCCTACTTCCCTTACATCGGCTTCCCCACCTACATCATACACGCCTGCACCGGCACTGGCGTTCCTCCCGGAATTATCCTCTACTGTACCCGCCGAACCTACAAGCCAAACTGAGCCAACTGCCGGACCGTCGAAGTGGCAGTCTACCAATCTTCCAGCACGAAGGGTGTCCACGTTTCGCCACGTTCCCCTACGGAATACATCTACGCCGCTGTCCCCTTCTCCTCTGCGTCCAAACGGTAAACATCCGCGCACAGTTTCTTTCACCTCTCGTCAGTTTGATCAGGCTCATGTGCCTGCTGAGAGGGCACGCAGCGTACTCTCCTCTCCCGTCACTCGTGTTACGCCCACAGACGCGAGTAACAGCACTTCCAGCCTACCTAACCATGTTTCGTCGCCTCCACTCCCACCGAAAGACACTCATCATCATGAAGAGCGTGATCATTTAGATTTCAATCACCCCCCTTCTCGCACGGCCTCCCTTCCTCCAAAGCCCCCGCCGAAAACTCCGTCGCCAGCGCTAACCCCTGCAGGCTCTACCCCCGTTGCATCTCCTTCTCCAAGTATCTCTCCTCTTCCTCGCTCCAGCACCCCCATTCGCTCTTCAGCTCCATATCGCCATGGTTTCCAACCCGGAGGCGTTCGCCGCCAACTCACTGATGATTTTCTTGAGGCGCGCCGAGCTCTTCGTGATGCCGGTCGTATTGAGCGCACGCGCCTTGAACGGCGGCTTGAAAAGCTGATCGCTTTGCATTTTAATGCGAAGGGACAAGCCAGTACAAATTCGAGGGCACAGCCATCGAGGAGGGCATCTTCATTCTTTGATATTGACATCAAGGAATTGAGGAATCTAGATGCAGCAGATCTCTGGAAGAATATGATGCAGAATCAAATCACACCTGGGAGCAAGGCAGATATTCGAGGTGCGCTAGTTAAACCATGAATTTGAGATATTCCTTGACTAGCAGTGACCCTTTTCATAGCTCAGGAACAAAGCATCACGCCTTGGGAGAACGATAGCGACGTATCACAGTGTCCACTGTGCTCGTAGGTCCGATTTAACCTGGGGTATTCTTCAACTAATCTTTGCCTAGCGCATCATTTCACCCAATCACAAATCGTAAACACCATTGTCGTCTTTGTGGTCGAATCGTTTGCTCTCTTCCTGCAAAACGCGGTCAGCGACCTGTCACATGTTCACTCCTCTTCATTGCCGATAAAAAGACAGGGAAGATAGAAGAGGTGGGCGAAGGAGTTGATTATGGCGTGCGGAGACGAAGTAGCATGGGGCCACAAAACAAAGGTAAAGAGAAAGAAGCGCTTATTGAAGAGGAGAAGTTCCTCCAAGGAGTGAGGATCTGTCGAGAGTGTTCCTCAATCCTCAAGTACGTTTTTCAGGATATTGTTTCTCTAAATTGCCGTCCAGAACTTATCGGTTTGAAGGCGTCAACAGCACAGGCAGGAAGCATTCCACGTACCAACATATGCCAGACTCTACGAGGCGTTCATAAACCTTGAAAAACAGATTGAAGACGCTCTTCCAGTCTTCCAGGAACTGCTACTAGCTCTCAAGTCAGCGTCTACCTTTTAATCCACTGTATCATCGCTGACGGCCAATCAGCAACGATGACCAGCCAACGGCCGAAGCGTCTGCCGCTCGAAAGCGTCTTTTGGAGGCATTTTCGCAGTACGACTCTCTGGCGAAACGAATCCGAACGCTGCCAACTCCAGGGCCCGGGAGTTCCCAAGATCGTGTGCAGGCAGCGATACTCACGCGAGCGAGTGTGTTCCTGCAGAAACACATGTTCCCTCTTCGGGTTTGTTTGCATCACCGCATAAGCAACCCATCAGGATGCGACTGACTTCTCAATGTTGCTTGCAGACTCTTCCAAAACCCAAGAAACCCATATCTTCGCCAATCACGGAAGCAGAGACCCCCGTCATCGACCCAGACTCAAACCTGGCTCACGTCCTGCAGCCATTACTCGAGCAAGAAGCCCTTCTTGAGTCTTTCGTGGAAGAAGCCAAGGCTCACAGGAAGTTCGAGGACGTGCAGACACTCAAATCAAACCTTCGTGAAATCAGATCCGAGATCGACAAGGTCCTAGCAAATGCTGATTATGAAGTACATCGACAAAATGGATAGATCAATCGATACTTGTAGTAGTGTAGATAATAGTCACCGATTATTACGTTCTCACTTCGTTGACGCAAGTCTTCTTCCGCCAACGATGTTCGTAAAACCATTTTTCACACAGCATTGAAATAGGATTATCGTATAATGAGGGCGCAGTGAAATAAATAGTTACGATGTGACAGCACGCAGATAGTAGTGTAATATGACATTGCGAAAAAAAGCCCAAACGAGAAATGAAAGAACGTGGGTTCATGTGAGTGTCATACGTCAATAACCAATCATCCCATCTTCGGGGCTCAGTAGCAACTCCCTTCTCATCCGACGAGGAGGAGTTGGGATCTTGAAACTTTGATTTGGTTGGGCACTGTGTGGAATGTCTCTCGCGGGCAAGGGGGATGGAGGCTTTTTTAAAGCTGCCTGGGCACTACGACTTCGAGAAAGACTTGCACCAAGCCGACTGTCATCAGCTCCGAGGAAGCTACCGTTCGTTGAAGATTGGCCGTTGACAATCGGAACCATAGGGGAATACGGACGGGGGGTCGGAGGGGAAGAGAATGATGAAACGTGTAGGAGGATGACGAATTCCTCTGTTGCATTGGTCAAGACAACCATGCTGTTCCGCAAGACAGGGGACAAAGGGTGCGAGACCCCATATGTCTTGATGATATTTGACAGTTGGACGACGGTCTATGTTCAAGAAAGCAACTCGGTTACAGAAAAGACCTGATAAAGATTGTGCAGTACCTTGACGAAGAGATGAGCGTCCTCTCTCAATGCTTTCCGATCCACTTGAACACCGGCTTGGAGGGTCAATATACCCTCCTTCAATTGGTCGGTCAAAACCTGTGCCTTGCCCAAACTTTCCCGGACTTCTTCACGTCGCTCCGAGACATCAGCCAGCATGGTGTCCATCATACTCCAGACTGGTGGTGCAGCTTCAACTGCTTTGAACATAGCCTCGATAGCCTCCTTGTCAACAAGAGTACTCAGATCAGAAGGTAGTTCCGTCGTAGGCATCCGGCCAAGAATAGACGGCGATGACCCTGCCGACGATCCCACCAGCGATGTTTGTGAACCCTGTCGAGAATGAGAATCCCATGGCTCCTTCGAAGCTTTGAAAGGCGACCTGTTCGGAGCTGTGACTGACTGGTTGGCAACAAATCCCGCCAGACGGAGAGCTGCTCGAGGAGTAGGAATATCTGTGGCATTACCAGTTACGATCCCTCCCTGCAGGTTCGGGAATTCAAGATGGGAAGGCAAGGATTTTCCAATCTCCACGTCTTTCGAGCTGAAAGAACCTGCATGACGGCGAGCCATGTGAGTCCTTCCTCCGGGACTATCCACTGGTGAGCGCGGCTTATGTGGAGGTACGAACACTGGTGCTGTGGAAGGTACTGGCGATGGTGAGGGCGAAGGTGATTGCTCCAGGCCTGACAAAACGGGTTGCATCGACCGCACCTTTCCAACTGGGGGAGGTCGATGATCACGGAGCAATGGCTCGACGGCATCAATGTGAGGAGTCATCGACTGCCATGCGTTTGAAATCTCTGCGGTTGCACCGTATAAAACCAGAAGCATTTGCCTCGTATACCGCACATCATCACGAGTGGCGAGGACCTTGAGTTGGAGTGCCAGAACCCCAACTGCTTTCCCGAAGACAGTCACGTTATCCTTGCAAGACTCGATGACAGCTCGGCAAACGGAGGGCGTGGGTACTGTTCGTCGACTCATCGAATCAAAGCGGTCCAGCGCATTGATCAGTTGAGTCATATAGTTACTAGCTGGATCGAGTACTTTAAGCAAAACAGATGAGAGACGTTCGTCGATAGCGTAAACAGTGTAATGTTGAAGTGTTTGATAGACTTGCGAGACAGCAAACAATATGCCACGAACCGCGTCCACAAGGCTGAGGAGAGACGACGGGATGGTCTTCGATATGGTGGACGACGGAAGGGTGGAAAAGCGACGGAAATAAGAATTTCGTTCGACATCCATGGGCGGCGCGGGTTGTTCCAAAGAGGTGGGCGACGCAGATACAGGGCCATGGGCGAAGGGACGAGCGGTAATGGATGTAACCGAAAAAGCATCAGACTCTGATGAGTCCTGCCGATACGAGATAGGCGAAGGCATTGGGAAGTTATCCAATGATTTGTTGACTCTCAGAGGGGTCGTAAAGGTGACTTGCGTACCCACAGGAATACTAGGGAGGCCTGCCGCATCTGCATCAGAGTTGAGCCGTAATCGAGCAGGTCTTAAATCTGGAAGACTTTTCTTTCCGGTGAGGCTGGATCGAGTGGCAAGTCTACTAGATCCAGCATAAGATGCATTGCGGGCGTGTGATTGGGCCTCGCTGTAGTACCTTGAAACGTCATCATCTGTCGAAGAGATAGACTCCTCTGGTGTGGGTAGGTAAGAGTCGGGAGAATTTGATGGTGATACGGAAGAACCAATGGAGATAGAAGTCGAGAGTGATCCCAGATGTAAAGGTAACACGCGCCCTGGACGCGGTGCAGACGATGGTGGCCCAAGAGATACTTGCGTTTCTTCCAGTGAGTAAACAGACGCATTAGAGACCACAGAGAAGGAGCGGGCATGAGGAGTCTGGCCATGATCATAGTCACCCTCGTTGACTGGTGAGTGAATCCTTGAACTATCGTCTCTATAAACCAATAGTGATATAAGATCAATATCAGGGCCTGAAACTGAAAGAACTTGCCTTCTGTGAACGAAGTCGTTGATGAAACCAGATTCATCACCGGATTTGCTGTGTTCTGGTGACCCACTATTCTCCGCCATCCATTTTTGAACTTCTTTGATCCAATCCTTTGTCGTAAGGTGGCTGTCGGTTGCCCCAAGTTCTAAGACGGCTTTCGGAGGCCATTCCAAGGGATTCTGTTCGATCCGCAGGATGTGAAGTCGTTTGAACTGTGTGAGGTATGCCGGAAGTCTGATTATTTTGTTTTTGTACAAAGAAAAAACCTAGCGATAATTCGTATGCGTGAATAGTTTCAAAATGAGCGATTGAAACACTCACTCTCAGATTGACCAAGGACCCAGGCTCAGAAGGAAGACGTTTGATCTTATTCCGACCGATGTCCAGAATCTCCAGTGACGGCATGATAGTCAACTGTCGTAACATGAATGAGGAGAGTTCCGCATGGAAGATAGTGTCAATGTACCACTTCAGGAAACACGGTGAAAGAATTGCTCTTCAGATTAAGGTATCGAAGACGCGATAGTACTGCGAAAGCCATAGGAAGGGTAGCCAGTCGATTGTTGGCAAGCGTCACCCTGATGCAGTCGATCAGTTTATACCAGCATATTTGAATGCAGTGACTGGGTGGTATCATGATCTACCCACCTAAGAACGGTACTGTCATCTTCTGCATTCTCCTCACGTCCTATGGAAGCCAGCTCATGTGCCCCATATTCTCCCACATCCGACAGGTTCCTGTGACTCAAGTCCAGCGTTGCCCCACCATCCTCTGACTTGAGCAATGCCTCGGCGATATGGACGTGGTTCAAGGAAGTCGAAGAAATTGGTGACGATGGTCGACTTCGGAGATATAGGGTTCCAGGTGAAGCACGTCCGAGTAGAGGTTCAGCATCAGAGGCGGACATGAATGTGGGCGATGGGAGTTGTCAAATGCAACGAATAAAGGAAGGAGTTGAAACAAGGACGGCTTTCAAAACATGGCTCGGAAGTGGGAGAGTTTGGGAAACACTGGCACCGCTTCGAGACCGCCACAAGCTGACTTCAACACCGGCCGGACGCTTTGAATTTGAGCAGCCGACCCCTCCGGCCGGAGACCGTGAACGATGCCGACAGACCCCTTATCAACCTCGTACTGCAGTACTGCTAACAAGGCAAAGGCATGTGCTGTTTTTAACGAGCTAATACAAGCCATATTGTTTGGGATGGTCCTAGCTGAACTTCCGTTTAGAATTTTGTTTGGACGAACTGAGGTATCCACTCTTTATTCGAACAATCGATACCCAATTGACCCTGCTCAAGCCGATGTCACATACTGGGGTGCAATTAACTCATCACTTCCCACTGAAAACATCCAAAACGACAAGCCTGGGACTCGAACCCAGAATCTCTAGCTGGTCCTCACCGGAAACTAGCGCGTTAACCATTACGCTAGCCTGCCATACACTGTCTTTGAGTCAATGTTGCTATTATCTCATTTCAACGTAGATCACCATCAACCATTACTGCCGTGGAGCGAATTGATCACACAGATAGCTCGAGGATCGCATACAAGGTATCACATCAAAAGATCGAATCTACACAATCACATCCCATCACCGCCTGTAAGTAGGATAAAAGCCTCCAGGAGTCCACTCTGTGTGGTTGAATCCTTCCCATCCATCCGGTTCCATCAAAGAAGATGCCGCCAGCGCAGGGATTTGGCTGTCTGGCGCAGTCGAGCTCAATGATTGAGCTTGGGTAGTCTGCATAAAGTACTGTAAACTGAAATCCATGTCGGCGTCCCCTGAAGTTTGGTAGATTGTACCAATGGGACGCTCAATCGCCTCGTCGTGTATGAGGACATTGGTGCTTGGGGTATCAGGCCAGCTATAGATATTGGGTGGAGTCTGCTGGCGATCTTGGCGGAAATGTGGGATAAATTCTAGGGAGCCATCTGTGTCGATTTGTACCTGTGGATGATCGTATTTGTCCAGTAAGGCTGACAAGAATTTTGAATATAAGGCAGGAGTGTGGCGCCCATCCCAGACGACCTCTTTGGAACCCAAGACACGGATTAGGTCTCGAACGACTGTTATTATCCTCCGGTGCGTTGCCAGATCAAGAAGAGGTACGAGTTTAGGTCGTAGGAGCTAAAGGCTAGTCAGTGATACATTATGATAAGAGGAAGATTTGGTATACATTGAGAAGGAACGCGGCCGCAAATGCCACGTACAAGAAATTCGACTTGAACAGATGTGTAAGTCTGATATCCGACGCAATGAGGGGAGACACACCTCCATTGCGAAACGAAGAATGCCTGTCGGGTACAGATCACGAACTATGATGTGTATCACGAGGAAAGCGACATCGATGCACTAATCCTAGATGTTAGTTGAGACGTTGGGTTTTGAGGTAGGAACATGCCTTCTGAACAATCGGGCTTTCGCGCATTACCCCTTTCTTCACTGCGAACGGAAAACCCAGTGAAAGAACCACCAATCTGAGATAGGCTGCGATTCTACGACAAGGACAATCAGTGAGATGGAACTATATTATGGAGAGGCGACACACAGTCTGGTAGTGTTGCCACGGTAGTTACACAATGGATCTATGTGGAAGCGTATGAATATACATGCACTTCAGTCGAAAGGTGCGTCGGAACAAACCCGAACTGTTTTGATCCTCCGCGTATCGTTGGGACCAAAATGCCATCTTATTCGATAGTTCTTCTTCGTAATGCAAACAAGTTGCGGTAACATCCAAATCCTACAGCAAGTTAAGAATCAGACGGGAAAAAAAAGTCTTTCACTGCGCACCTGTCCAGCTTTCTCAGTAGGGTCATGGCCGACTGTGTCACGAAATCGAGTCATGATGTACAAAATGTCAACATATCCACACAGGTGTATGTCATAGGGAAGGGTGAGGGCGGATGCTTTGTACCAATTGAATGACGACCGTGAGACAACATCGTTCAAAGACGACATAGGCTGTTTGCCAAACATGGTTGCATGAGCGCCATCGACGCAGAACAGGTTTAGCCAAGTCCTCGTTCGATTCAAGCGCTCCCGTTCAGGTAACCCAGCCGGAGGATGATGGTGTAGACCAAGTTCAAGGGCCATGCTATAGAAAATGATGATGAGATGCTGACTGAGAATCTGTATACCGCCTATACGCACCGGATCCCGACGCCCATGAACAACCAGCTGCGATCCTTAGCCCACTTTTTTGCAGGCATGGGATAGACGCCGAGCAGGACATAAGCTTGACAAACGTCGATAGATTTTACTCCATCAACAAGAGCCTTCCCAGCAGCCTCGCGAGCAAACTCCATTGCCATTCCGTATAGATTAGGCTTTGCTGTATAAAATCGTGAGGCAACAGCACATACTACAACAAGCGATAAGTCATCCAACCCACAGCGTTGCCCGCGAATGTTAAGATACTCACTGACGGTGAAGAGAAATGGAGACGCCCATATAAGTCTTGCTGGAGTATGAAGGTCAGGGTCGAGTAGAGAGAAGAAGGGCTATTATTGTGTCAAGCCATATTGGCTGTTATTCCAATTGATGGCGTGGCGACTCACATTGATCCTATCAAAGAAACTGCAAGTTCCAACCCATCGTGAAAAAGACAATCAATGGGAAATGGAATGCGCACGTACATTTGAAAAAGTACGACGATCTCCTCCGGTGCGACTACAGCGTATGTGATGATATCCGGCGGTGCCAGCTCAGGAATACCTTATGGGTTCCCAGATTGACAATAGTACATCATGACATTGTGAAAAACTCACTTCTCCAGTACTGTGCTGCCCTTTCTTCGTTCTTAGCTCGAGAGCGAGCCCTGAGGGCGTTGACGACTTGGATGTCCTCTTGGGAATAGCGATAGGGTGCAGGGGACAATTCTACAATGAAATGAACAATAAGTCAAGTCCGAGGTTCCTGCATTGGTCGCCACTCACCAGGGCCATCGTACGGTGCAATGCTAGTGATATGTTTACTGAATTCGAGCCTTTCTGACCATTGCCGAATTTTTTCTTCAAATTTCATTTTATCAAGGTCATGGAGCAGTGATTGGATTTGGAGATCTTGTTTTTGAAAGCGCTTTTGTAGATCCTCGTGAGTCCTGTGCCACGACGTTCGATGTCACACGGCAACACTGATGATATGGCTTGGAAGTGAAACTTACGGTGCAGGCTTTCGTTTCTTACGACCACGGACGACACAATCGTGATTGCCCGTCGTACATCGTCTGCACGTTTGTTGACCAGGCTGAAATTCGCATTTGACCTGCATGCCAACTCGTCAGTGACATCGAAGTGATTTCCAAGAAGGTGTTGTCTCAACTTTAAGAGACTTGCAATGAGCACATGCGCCAGATCTGCGAAGGGCCATGTAGATCAGTCCCTGTTCTTGTTCAGATAGAGAGAGTGTACGGACGGCCGTCGCAATTTGGATGTGATATCTTCGCTATCACTGTCGTCACTACGATTGCTCATGCGAGATGGAGTGGAGGCATTTGATAGAAACGAGAAGGTGAAAGATGGGTTGAAATTCATTGAAGCACTCGACGACGGAGGGTTTGGAGCGTGGGCGTCATGGAAAGAATCGGTGTTCATAGGAGAAACGAACTTGAGCTTGAACGGGGAGGAGGGCGGCTGAAGACAAGGATTGATCGGGGGGGTAGAAGAAGGAGAAGTTATAGTATGAATTAGTCATATACGAGAGATCATAGGAGATCATAGGAGATCATCCAGAACCGCGTACCTCGATCGACGATAGCGCATGATATGACGATGGGCGGTCTGCGCCTGGCAACTTGACCTGTTCACCGACGGCAAGTCGTCAATTTCAATTCGAGCGCTGCACAGTTCTCTCGCGTACGAGATCCATCGGGCCAGTGCCGTCAGCGCGCATACGATCGCCTTTCCCCGTTAGTGTCCGGCGGCTCTTCGTCGACGATAACTTCACGGGGCAACTGGAGCAGCCTGAGACAACGGGGGAAGACGGGCAGTGCTGAACTTTTAACCTGGGACGAACGCAAAAGCTCAAGCTCTATCCGTCTTTTCCATTTATCGAAGCCAGCGTACCGTCCAAATTCCGAGAGATTTAGCCAGTGATAGTCTTCTGATGAGGTCGCTGTTGAGGAGGTCCAGAAGGTCTGAGGATTGCCGGTTGTCTTGAGGGGCGCGGGAGAAACGGATTAATGGCCCGGATAGGCCTCCCTTTCTTTTATACTGATACTGGTCCATGTGTCCCAACGCCCCGTTGATCTTGGTTGTATACGCACGGCGTCAGCCGAATGGCACTGTAACTCTGCTCAAAAAGGCAAGGATTCGACTTCTCTGACTCTATGTAGACGAGTGTAGACGCTCAATGTACACGTTGCCCACAGGCCTTTCGTGTGTGGTGTTGTGCCCTTTAGCCGTCAGCAAAAAACGCACAGGTGGCTTCATGATGACCACCACTTTTGAAGGATATAACTGCCATCGCAATCCTGCATCGACAAAAGAAAGTGCAAGGAATGGTTGTGAAAGATTCGCCTTGTTTTGTTTGGATAACGCGTCCAATACATGCTGACTGAAAGGTGGTGCCCGGCCGCGTAAGTCATAAGCGACTGCATCAGAGCCAATGCTCAATACATAGACGCGGACGGGCGCTCACCTATCGCGTATATAAGCGCCGAGCGCCGGCATCGAAAAAGAGCTTTCTTGTGCGTGAAATCCCACGTTCACATTGTAACAGACACGAATACATCATCAAGCTCAAGCCTCATGAAATACAGGAGAGTCTTGACACTTACATGCCATCTTGAACACTAGAACACTGATTCGGCAAAGCCAATCTCTTGCCGTTAGATCAGCTTTCGCCGAGGCCAGTAGCTTCCTCAGATCAAAGTTATGGAGAGTGAGAAGGGGCCGCTCCTTCGCCGCCTTGCGCGGATCGTTGCAAATCTGTTCCCTGAGGAAACGCCAGCAACTTATTGCCTTTTGAGAAGTTTGTGTGATTACCTGCCAGCAGTTTTTCGGAACGCCTGGAGCAGTCAAGCTTTGCGAGAATGACCTGGAAATTTTCAATGATACTTGACACGTGCAGAATCGAGCTGAAGAAGCTACGCCGCAGGTGATCACAGAGGTGAGCGCTGCAATTGTACCGATGATGAATCTTCGGTATTCCACTGTTATTCCTCGAACTTGCATGGCCAAAAGAAGTATCGCCGATCACAGTGCTGGTGGTGTGACTGGTGGCGCGCGTGGAGGCATGTGACCCTACCTCAGTGTAAGGCTTATGATCTCTTTTTTCGAGAACAGCTTGACGTTTGAACATTTGAACGCTGAACGGCACCTGGCTGCTCCTCAGAAACAACTCCAGCTCTTAGGAATACATCTGCGTACATAGCTGAAGAACAATCCATCCTTTTGATTGGATCATATCTCAAATCCAGACATGTCTGGCTCAACTGCAATTGCAGGATCATGGTCCTCCCTACCTGTGCCATTGACTTCATGGATGTGAGTAGCATTGTTACGCCTCGGCATCACATACAAGCTTATTCTTTCGATAGGTTCGATGTCATACAATCTATGGGATATACTCAAATGACACCCGTCCAAGCTTCAACCATTCCATTGTTCATGAAAAACAAGGACGTGGTGGTAGAAGCAGTCACTGGATCTGGAAAAACTCTCGCCTTTGTTATTCCTATTCTAGAGCGTCTGATTCGACGGCCAAACAAGCTTCGTAAGAATGAGATTGGAGCGCTCGTGATTAGCCCTACCAGGTGCGTGCTTAGAAGTTATACAACATGTATACACGTTCAGTTCCTGACCCGCAGTGGATAGAGAACTCGCATCCCAAATACACTCTATCTTCACTCTATTTTTATCCTCACAACCTGTATCTTCCACTACCGAAGATCCTCCTCGCGCTTCCGAAACTCCTTCGGACGAATATCCCTCTCCTCTCCTTCTCGTCTCATCTTCCGAATCGACTCCTGCACAGGATGTTCAGCGCTTCATCTTAATGGGAGCTGATATTATAATTGGCACCCCTGGACGTGTAGAAGAATTTCTACTTGGGAAAGGTAGGGATGCAGTGGTTGTCAAAGAACTTGATGTTCTCGTCTTAGATGAAGCAGATCGGTATGTTTGTTGCTCTCGCTGCATTTTTATCAGCCAAGATTTAACAGTGCTTTAGCTTGCTTGACATGGGGTTTCAGCAGACCTTGACTCGGATTCTTACTCACCTGCCAAAGCAACGGAGAACCGGTCTGTTCAGCGCTACCATGACAGATGCCGATGCCATTTCGGAGCTTGTCCGGGTAGGACTGCGCAATCCTGCCAGAATTGTGGTTAGAGTGCAGTCAAAGAGGGTTTCAAGTCACCATGCGAGCGATCCTGAAGGCCGCGGACAAACGATCGAAGAACGCAGGATACCTGCTAAGTCAGTCCTTTGAAGCCTCTTCTCCCCCACGTTTTCCCCCACGTTCAATGATCGCCATGTGCTTCTGCTCCAACCTTCTGACTGAGAATCCATCGCGCAGCCTCAAAATATTTCATGTGTCGTGCCGGCCGTCAGAAAAACTTATACAACTGACTCGTATAGTGCTCCACGAGGTGACACACCACCGGGCTGCACGGTTCATAATCTATTTTGCAACTGGCGTTTCTGTTGACCACTTCTATCGCGTATGTTTTTGGCATATGCTCTCACAGTCCAGACTGAAACCAGACTATCAGGTTCTTCCTCTGTTTCTTCCGGCTAGTGCAAGCCTGTTCTCTATGCATGGCCATCTTCAACCTTCTGCCCGCACACATACTCTATCCTCGTTTACTTCATCTCTCTGCACACCGACGGCTCCCTCGATTCTTCTCGCAACTGACGTTGCCGCAAGGGGGCTCGACCTTCCTGACGTTGATGTAGTCATTCAATTTGACCCACCCTCTGATACCAAAGCATTTTCACATCGATGCGGACGTACAGCGCGTGCGGGTAAGAGCGGCAGAGCCTGGGTCTTGCTCGTAGGACGGGAGCGAGAATACGTCGGTGAGCGGCATAACCGGCATTTGAGATCTTCCTTCTAACTTAATATCTGGGCTGTGTGCAGATTTCTTGTCTGTTCGAAAGATCCCTCTTCATGAGCACCAGTATATTCTCCAGAATGGCGCACTCTCAGCAGAAGGCGAAGATCGCCCAGAGGACAGTGCAGTATCCTCCTTCCAGTCAAGTATTCGTAGCGAGCTGTTAAAAGATCGCTCTTCGCACGACAGGGTCAGTTTTTCATTGTCGGTTGTGATACGGGTCATAACATTCTCTATTTTTTTTAGGCAACGAAGGCTTTCGTGTCGCTTGTTCGCGCATACAGCAAACATGAGGCCTCATACATCTTCCGAGTCAAAGATCTCGATCTTGTTGGCACAGCGAGGTGCTACGGTTTACTCCGTCTTCCTCGAATGCCGGAATTCAAAAATGTGGACAAAAGTAGTTGGAATGATGCTGACGTTGATGTAAGTCATCTCATCACCTCTATCCTTGATGTACATTTCATCTTATCTGCACTAGTGGGGCTTGTACGCTTACGCAGATACAGCGCAAGAGGCAAAACGACTCAGCGCAGCTAAAGCCATATCTTCACAAGATATGCGCCAGAAACGGCTACCCAAGGACAAATCCCAAAATGTGGCGTGGAGCAACAAAATCACCAGAACAGAGGAAAGGGAACAAAGGAAGGAGAAGAAGGATAGGAAAAGAAAATGGCTTCGATCTCAACAGCAATCAACAGAGGCCGGACAGGTTCCAGACGGCAACGATGACGACGACGACGACGACGACTGGGAGGAGTTAGCGCGGGAAGAGCGGATGGCAAAGAAGCTGAAGAAAGGAGGTATAAATCAAAGCGAGTTTGATAAAGAATTCGCCGATCTGTGAATTGTAGGAATTGGTCCGTCCAACAAGCATCGACGCAGATATCTTGTGGCAGCTCATGGAACTGACGTCTGCGACATGAGTGCATGGGCTATCATCCCCAGTGAGAACGTCCAAGTTTGAGAATGAATGTGGGCGAATGAGAGCAATATATTCGCCAGCAAACATGAGCAATCGACCATATTCATTCCCAGTCCGGAGGTTGGCGATGCACTGGAATGCTGTCAACCGCTGGCGAATGAATTTATCTCAAAGTTATCTCATATGATAGCATTCGATGGTGCTTGTATCTCAAAGTATGGGATTGGATGTCAACTGATACAATCAATAGGAGTAAGTGATAATTTTGACTGTTATTCCGGTCAAATGCCAGCCATTATCAACGAATGCACATATATTGTGACTGGGAGCGAACAATTGTGTAGCAATGGGAATGGATGCAGGCAGATGAGATTGGCTACGTAGTAAAAGTAGCATGCAAGAACAAATGCCAGCAAATGCTAGCAAATGCCCTCAGATCCTCGGCTTACCCAGTCCTTCTCTGTCCGAGCATCCTGCTGCACCTGCTCCCGCCGCTGTGCCCGCTCCCACTGCTGCTCCTGCTCCCGCCGCGCCCTACTGCCCACTCTCCGCTGCTAATCCATCGCTGCTCCCGCTCCCATTGCCGCTGCTCATGTTCTGCCGCTGTCCCGCTCCTGCAGCCGCCGCGCGCTGCCCACTCCCCACTGCTGCTCCCACTCCTCAATGCCGCTGCCCACTCCTGCTCCTGCTCCTCGCCACTGTTGCCCACTGCTGCTACCGCTCCTATCGCTGCTGCCCGCTACCCATTTTCCGCCGCTCTGGCTCCTGCCACTGCCGCCCGCTGGCCACTCTCCACTGCTGCTCCTGCTCCTCAATAATGCTTCCCCTGCTCCTGTCACCGCTGCCCACTACCCACTCTCCGCTGCCTTCACTCCTGCTGGCTGCTGCCCACCCTCTACCACTGCTCCCGCTCTCATTGCCACTGCCCGATTTCCGCCGCTGCTCCCGCTCCCGTCGCCACCATGCGCTGCCCACTCTCCACTGCTGCTCCCACTCCTTGATGCTGCTGCCCGCCGCTGCCTCCACTCCTGCTCCTGCTCCTGCTCCTGCTCCTGCTCCTGCTCCTGCTCCTGCTCCTGCTCCTGCTCCTGCTCCTGCTCCTGCTCCTCGCCACTGTTGCCCGCTGCTGCTGCTGCTCCCCATCACCACCGCCGCCATCAGCTCACGCGTGTCCATCCCTTGTGCTTTCTCCACCTCCACATCTTGAGGTGTGCTTTGTGGTGTGCTGTAGTCGTCGTAAATAAGCATAGATGCAATAGATGGTTATACATACATACTTGTTTGGAACAATCATCCCGTAGCTCCTGTTTGTCGAGAACCAACCCAAAAGCACTTTGAGGCTGTGATTTAGCTTGAGCCTGGCCATGTATATACCTGGATTTTGTCAGCAGAGAGAGCCGTGTAAGCATCAGTGCATTCGTAGTAAAAGCTGTTAGGGTGGTCTTGAAGCCAGCGAGCAAGAAAAGTATTCCTGGAAAAATTTGTGAGAGCCAGACAGAGAAGGATGGCTTGAAAACTCACTGAGTACTGATGACAGTGGCCTTATACTTGTCCTTAGCTAGTACCTTTGAGCATTTTCTCATCGGTAAGTGTTGTGTTGTTTGATCAGAGGGTTCCGGAGCGGTGTTTGCTCTGGCACTAGCAGGCGAGTGTACGACCACTTGGTTCATGACCTCAACAGAACTAGCCACAGCATAAGCAGCTGTGGATATTTCTGCAATCGGTTGTGTAGAGTCGTGAGTGGATACAGATACCTTCGCCGCCTTGGGCTGCTGGAATACAATGTTGGTTCCCAATTGTGACATGTCAGTATGATGTCAGTGTACAACAAAACAAACACATACAATGGATTGGCGACTTCAATAATCTGTGAATGATGGTGAGTACAGTGGCAATGGCAGCAGAACACATGGTGCAGACCTTTTTAGAAGCTGGTGCTGGTACCTCCACAGGCCCAGCCTCAGTTGAGCTTGCCATAATAGGATGTGGAACAATCACCTCGAGATCTGTTGCAGGCAGGGCAGGTAAAGGATCTGTCATCACTGGCTGCAGTGCGTGGGGATTCTTATTTGAGGATATAATATCTAAAAGTACCGGTGTCATTTTCTCAGCGATTGCAACAGCCTCCTTCTGCGGCAGTGCAGCATCCACAAGCGTAGTCTGCTTTGTTGTCCGCGGTGATGAGCGCGCCACCCCTCTAAGCGCCGGGACCCCGTTTTTCGCAGTTCTACGAGCATGAGCATGCTGACCTCAGGAGATACCCCAGAGACCGCCGGGTGGCCCCGCCACCCAGAGCGATCCCTCCGATGCCCACTACGACCTCAGCATTACGGTATCGGGCCGACGCGGTCTTGTCTCACACCCCCCCCAGTCATCGCCTCGCATCATCTCACTCAGCCCCCACGCGTATCGCACGACGACCTCGAGCCTGCTACACCCGCAAAGACCTCGCCAAGCTCTCGCCATACGCCTCGCAAGCATCGACCGCACGGACTGCACCACGAGCAGCTCCGCGACGCGATATCGCAGAGAGCTTTATTGCGTGCGCTTATTGGGTAGTACAGGTCCCGTGATCCATTGCCCCTCCACCTTCCTAGAGTTTACCTCGTCTCACCGCTACACCTCTTTACTAAATATCGCTTTGTCTCGCGACCGCGGCACGACAGAACCTCGCGGTCTGCGAGCACCTCTGCGCGTGGTCTTCTCTTTATCTTTCTATGTTACGGTCTTGGCGCGATATCGATTTACTTTACCTTACGAGTTCGCGTTTACTATACTCACTTCGACTTACTATAAATATCTGCCTACGACACTGCAATATACCAGTTTCGAACACCCCTCTGTTCAGAGCTCAACCTCGCACGGAGATCTCGCTCATATCGCATCGCATCGACATCGCACTCGCTCGATTTAGCACTCGTCGCCTTCATCGCCGCTATCCACAGGGCCCTCGTCGCTGCCCTTGAAGTTGCCTCGGTCACTCGCGCCTTGGCCCACGGTCTGCCACTTCACACGAGAGTATTCTCGTGTGACCTTGCATCACCTCGCTAGCTATCTCGATATCTCGTAGTACGTATATCGCGCCCCATCTCGCAACTTACAAGAGTCCCTCGATATTTGTAGTAAAAGTCAGCTCCCCGCCTACCCTGTGTTTAGTGGTGTGTTTTGTGTTGTGTTTTCGCACGCAGAGCCATCGCAAGCGCATCAGCGGTGTTGTGACCGTGGTCGGCGCATGCATAGACAGGGTGAGTGCCGTTGATTTGAAGGTCATTGTGTCTTATGGTGGTGAGGATATGATTGTTGTTGTTGTAGTTGTGTGTGCATGTAACGGTGGAGGTGCATCAGCAAAAGTGACAAAACGTGGGATGGCCTTGGACGGATTGGGGGGTTATATAATCTCGAGAGCCTGCAGGCAAGGTCATATATGGCATTGCATTTGCCGCGCTCTCCTTGGTGGTTCGGCGCAATCGTTGCATTAGATTGCAATCTGGAGGCCCCGATGCCAATGTAATATATTCCTGGCCTTCATAATATATTCTTATACATGCACACCGGTGATACGCTAGAGGTGGCTCTAAGTGCCGAGCACAACACCAAAACAACCTCTAATGCAGGGGGTGCTGGAGCTAGTATCTAATACACAAGGAATTGTTAGTGATGACTTTAGAAATCGATGGCGTACTGAGAAGCAACGGGGAGTATGAGATTATAGCGCCCGAACGGTTTCGGGACTGCGCCGAACACCGACCGAACGTTCGGTCGGTCGAGTCGGGGATTTGGTCGGTAACGAGAAGGTAGTGTCGCGACCGACAACTACGTGCTTCAAGAGCCACACGGGACTCTGACAATATACGAGGGAGGATGGGGGGTACGAGCGAAGTGACGAGTACGAACGCGAATGAGGCCGAACGACGAGGATGACAAGTTTTCGGGAGTCGATGAAGACGATTTCGATGGTTGAGACGAGTGCGAATGAGCTCTGAACTGTGGGGTGCGAAAGCTGCTTTATTCCAGAGTTGTATGTAGGTTTTTATAGTAAACAGCGCCCCTAAGTAAAATATCGAACCTGAAATGAGAGTAGATGTCGAATGGGCGCCAAGCCTTAGCGATCAGAGAAGATAAGAAGGTAGGTGAGATGTCCATATGGGTTCCGAAGGTGATAAGGTAAAAGGTAATCAGTGATGTCGCAATCCCAAACGTTCGGGATCCGTCGCCCGAGTGTAGGTAGCAGGAACAGGCGTTGGAGAACCAATGAAAAATAAAGGAGAAGTATCGTACGACCAGGGTGGCCAAGCAATGGTGCAGGATCGCGTTTGACCGACCACGCGGAAGTCGGGAAGATAAGCGATAAGGACTGACCGACTCACGGAGGACATCGGCCGATACGGAATACTGGCCCCGATCTCGTACACACCTATCGTAACACTCCTGTGCGGTCATGGTAAGTACGTGAAGTGTGGGCGAACTGACCCAAGTGCTGCCGAATCGTCCTTTGGTGGCTTGTCGTCAGTCGGGTGGGGACCGACCGTGTTCGGTAATAGTCGGCGTCTTCGGTACTTGTCTAGCGCTGTTCGGTATCTCCCCAAAGCTTCCCAAATACCTCCCTCGGAACCTAGCGCGGGTGCATGCTCATCACCGGCCTCAAAATATATTGTTAAACATGCACACCGGCTCAGAATGTAATGTTATACATACACCCGGCCTCAAGATATAACGCGATACATACACACCGGCCTCAAAACTCGCCATAACCCTCCTCTGCAAGCACTCGCTCGTCCCGCTCCCTTCCGTCCCCTTCAGGCAACGGGTCGGGATCATCGTCAGAGTCCTCCTCCTCCTCCTCCTCTGTTAAAAGCCCATCTTCTCCCTCCTCTTCTTCAGATTCCTCTTCCGAATCGTCATCCTCAGTGCCGCCTTGCTCGTCGACTCCCTCGTCGGAGGGCTCCTCCGGCACTTGTGCAGCTTGCCCATCTCGGAGAAGGCTGGTATTGAGGTGCCATGTGCCCTTGTGACCAATGCCGCCGCTGCAGAAGCGCATGAACATGTCGCGGTCCACGAACCTAGGAGAAATTGAGAAATAGAAGTAGGAAATGATGTGAAACTTACATGTTAATATAATACCCCTCCCAATCTTCATCGTTCTCTGCTGGCTGTCGAGCGATGGACAGCCCAAGTCGCTCGGAGGTGTGTCCACGCGCAAATGCAGGGATGAGGTGTACGCCGCGGATGATTTCCTTGGGGTCTAAGAAGCCGAACGCGGCAGGATCGTCTTCGGGGATAAAGGCGACACTGTGCAGCCGCTTGCGATCCCACCCACCTGGCGCGTCAGTGTCGAGGCCAAACCAGCGAACCCACAAGAAATCCATTTGCTTGGGCTCAGAGGAATGACCGCGGTGGTGCACCATGCAATGGAAGACGCCAACGACACACGTGTACCAGTACAGATGCATTGGGTTGTCAGGGGTGCCATCCTCTTGTGAGAGGACCATTACATCTGCTTGTGTTCGCGTATTAATCGAGTCTTGCTGTCGTCGCATGTCGTATGAGGTGTAGTTGATCCGCAGCACGCTGTGTTGATACAGCCGGTCATTGACGATAGTGATGTTGTCACGGTCCTCGTCTGAGAACTCACGTTCATCGCCATCGTAAGCGAGCCCTAGCACACATGCCAAGAGGTGATCCTTGAGGCGAGGTAGGAACTCCTATGGTAATGGAATGAGCAGGCAATCAATCAGGTCGACAATCACCACTTACCTTGAGCGCGGGGTCTCCAGAGTGGTCGTGAATCCAAGACTGCACGTTCAGGTGCTTCCTTGTCGATACGGCAATGTGGTAATGGGCAGTGGGGTCAGACAAAGGCAGCTGTTCAGGCCGCTTACGCTTCTGCGTGCACGTGCGTGCTAGCTCGCGCCTACGATGTTCATCTGACCGCTTTGCGACTTTGTGAAGGAGGCGTTCACGAGCATCGTGCCTTGCCAGCTGCGGAACAAAGTTGTTCTTGTTTGTACGGTCGTAGCGATGTTTGACCACCTTGTGTGCGAGCTCACCCTGTGTAAGAGATACTCAACTAATACTACTTATGTGAAGGAGCAGCAGTTCTTACCACTTGTGTGCTGTACGAGTCTGTTGTTCCAAAGCGGACGATCATGCCAACGTAGTCACCAAGGGCATGGTATTTGTAGGTTACCAGGTTAAAGATTTTGCGCAGTTTTTCCGAAGCGAATGTTGTCGCACTGGTATTCTTTCCTGAGTCGAGACCCTTCTTGATCATTGCAGCCTTGCGTCTTCCTCGCGCGGCCATCTCGTGAGGGAGTTCCCTTGTGTCGTAAGCTGCGCAGGTCTTCTTGACAAACCATCGCATTGCGGCGCCGAGCACGAGTGTGGCGGTGGTGAAGAACCCCAGGGAGGTGCCTGTATGGAGGCGCAGCTTTGCGTATGCATGCCACGTTGCGAGGTCGAACAGGAGGTTGGCCACAATGGCGTCGTGGCGTGCAGGCAAAAGGCCTTCGAATACTGGCATAGCACACTGTGAAAGGGAGGTTATACCAATGTGTGACATGATTCTTCGACTCAGGAGAAGTACTTACCTGTAACAAGTCTTCAAAATCTCGCGCAGCAAGCTTTCGCATGGCCGAGGCATTCCTGTGAAAGCGTCGTATTGTGCTGCGACCAAACGTGGGTACCGCTCGATAGCTACAATGTATATACTGTTAGATTTGAATCAAATACAAATAATAGAAACAATATACCGTTGATTCAATTTTTGAATGGCATCATCTGCAGCTGCTTGAAGCACTCGCATCAGATGAGTGAAGGTAGCTTTCCATACACCCAGCTCGACCTCATGCAGGAGGTCGACCACAAACATCGAATGGAAGTCAAACCCAAAGCGCGCTAGCTTTGTGGAAAAGGCATTCTATAAATAATTGTTAGCTAGTTGTCTGAGTAGATAGTGGAGAAACTTACCCTTGTTGGTACGAGCGAGCGTTCACCGAGCACTGTCTTCAGCCTGTCTGCCTTGAGTGGCACACCGAACTCATAGATCAGTCGGCGGGCAGTTTCAACATTCTGCTGGCGTTGGACATCATCTTCGCGATCCTTGCAGCGAGTCTTCATATCAGACTTCATGCCCATGTGGACAACTTTGTTCTTCTCGACAAGGCATCGAGGGCACAGGCACTTGGCGAGATACTTGATACTCGCAAGTATGACCCTGGATACAGGTAAATTACTAGAAGGGCAAAAGACATGATAATAGACTTACTTTTCGGGGTAGTCCGCGGAGTAAGTGAAGAATTGTGGAAACACACGACGCATGATACCATCACCACATCGAATGACGATTCCATGGGTATATGCTTCCATGAAATTGTTGTCAAGGAGGAGGATCCATATCGCATGTATGAGCTCACGCTTGCAGTGCATGAGAGTCTCTGCCGTCGCGCTCTTGCCGAAAAATGAGCGGTAAAAATCTTGAATAACGTCCGGAAGCTGGAAAATGCACACATTAGAAAGCTATCACACCGGCAAAATGCAAACTCACTGAGGGGATGTATGCTAGATGATGGCATGCATATGCCGTGGGTTTTGCGCGGGTGTACTTTGATTGGGAGCCAAAAAACAAGTAGAAAGGCCAGAGTGACGCCGTGCCGAAATTTGCAAGGTGCGTCGCGTCCGACCAAAGCATGAGCGGCGCGACGATGCGCTCCAACTTGTCATCAGGCTCACGTGGGAGTTTCTGTATTTCCTCGTCAGGCTCGAGCATCGAGTGTGAGCAATATATTTCTGAGTGGACGCGCTCGGGCTTTGAGTTCTTGAACGGCTTCCAAAACTGCTGAAATGGTGTGGCGTGAAGTGTGGAGAAGGTGGTGGAATCTGAATAGACAGTCTTGATAATGTCGACGATATTGCGATGCCAGACACCCTTGACTTCAAATTCTGGCGCCTCGTCTTCGGGAGTCTTCACCTTGTCAGCAGGGAGGCGGATCTTAACAGACGATTGATGCCAGCCCTCACCCTCATTGAAGGGGCTCGAAGAATCGGCAATGTAGCTGTCTATGCGCTCGTTCTCTCGAGCAGTGTTGAACTTTGTGAAGTCCTTGATGCTGAATCCATCCCTCATGGAATCCCCGAGAGAGTGCGCTAAGCGATCCATCTCGCTTGCCGATTTTGTCGCAGACTTTGTGTACTGCCAGCACATCATAATTGCAGCGACTGCGTTAGTAAACGGAGCATACCAGGGTTCCACTGATGCTGGATCCTGGGCCGGTGCCGGATCCACCTTGGGGAATGCTGCGGAGTCACAGACTTTATCGAGTGAATTTTCAGGTTCTGGGTTGTGCGTCGGGTATCGCTTGTACTGGCGGAATAACCCAAATTCATTGGGTTTTGTTTCAAAGATGAGTTCCGGCGCTGGCGCCGGCTCAGGCTCAGGCTCAGGCGGAGGAGGGATTGGTGGTACAGACTCCGGGCCAGGCTGGGTAGGAAGAGGATGCTGTTTCGAAGGAATATGGGAGAGGGGGGTGGTGGAGCCAGGCAGGAAATCATCAAATCACTTTGGGAAGCGTATTCCACGTCCAGAGCGTGCAGAGCACGTAGTAGGAGGCAGAAGCAGGGGTAGAAGTTCTGACGATGAAGCTTCTGGGATGGGGATCGAGTCCATAATGTCTCGCTGATACGCAAAAAAAACGCGAATATTGTTCAATATATGTAGTGAGCGCGCGTGAAGGCCGACGACACTCACCTCTGCTGTCAACTCTTCAGGTTCTACCGACATCTGAGCTCTCTTCCTCGACCGTGTCTCCACCTCTTCCGCCGCCTCCTCCTCTCGAGCGCGCTTTTGCTGAAAGGTAACATCTTGAATCTCTTGATAACCTTTGCAGTTCCGTTGATGCATCTTGAGAGCGCGTCGGTCGTGGAAATTTCGGGGACACGCGAGGCATTGGAAAGCCATTAAAAGGAGGAAAAACAAGAATGATATTACAGTTTTCATCCTCGTCGAGGGTGCACGACCCTCAATGAGCTCTGAAAATGACAAGACGAGTCCGACTCTGCAAAAAGTCTGCGGATGCAATCACATGACCGCTCAACACGTCGCGACTTGATCATCATTCGGTCATTACTTTCGCTTTCACTCTCACTCTCACCATGCCTTATCGACCCCCTCCCTCCGAGAATTCTGACTCAGACGTGGAACATTCAAGGTATGTCTCGAACCCAGAGAGAGCGGTATCAAAACACGCCATGGAAGACGCACGCCGTGCACCAAAAAGCATGGCACAGTGCAAGGGAAAGAAGAAGGATAAGACAATGTGAGCTAAGGCTTCTTCCATAACTGTCAACTAACCTTCTCCATTATCAACAGACATGACGACCAAGATATTTACAAGAGCGCCGCGCGCTGGATTTCACGTGGGATCACTCTGTACAATGATCTCCATGACGTTTTCCGCGTCGGTATGCGCATACAACTCGGGCACGCTGGCACATCAAACTCAGATGACGAGACCGATGGCAGAGTTTCTGCTCATGATCTTCGCGTGCGAGTTCTTCGTTATCCATGTCATTTGTCATTTCTCACGTATTAGACAGGCAAAAGGACCAGAAGAAGCTATACTTGAAGATCTTCAAACAGGTTCTCGACCTCGTTCCTGGTTTCTCTGTCAAGGTTGAGTCTGAAGGTAACAAAGACTCTTTTCTTGCATTGTTTGATATGGTGAGTGCATACAAGCGCATATATGCACACTTATCACATCTAGTCAGATGATCAAAAGCAGCTCCAACGCTCGCACGGTGGACACGACACACATGAAGAAGTTTGTTGCTCAGTACGCGCCACTTGATCTGGTCACGCAGCCGTTGAAACCGGCACTTGTGCTGGCCAACAAATGCGATCGTGGGTTTTCGCATCCGATGCTCGCGCGTCTTCTGTGCCCCAACAAGTATCTTCCAAGCTTTGACGAGGATTTTACTAGGTACTGATGTCAATGCCTCACTTGATGGAAACTCACTCTTGCTCTCTCTCTGCAGCACCTGGAACAAGCTCAAGAACAACGAGATTAAGGTCTTGGCCAAGCATTGGCCCGCCTTCGTATACAAGGACTACCAGTACGACCCAAGCGACCGTGAGAAGGGATTATTCCGCGGTCACCTCCTTATCTGCGTAAGTCTCCACCTGGTCCGTTCTCAAATTGCTGACATCTTCTATTGTTGCAAAGGCATGGCGCGCTATATACATAGGCCCATCAGCAGCAAGGCTAGGCCCTGACAGCAAGATAGCTTGCACAAAGAGCGGCAACGCAAAACTGCATGGCGCTAACGTCGTAACACCGCGGACTATTGCGTATGCCGCTTGCCAGGTAAGCTGGTGTCTACAGGTTCATGCAAGAGCTAAAATTGAGTCTGCAGGCACGCTTTGCTATCAGTTCCATCGAGATGTGGAGCCCGGACGATGGCACATTCAACTATCCAATCTTTTACAGGCGGATTGTGGAGCTTTTTGAAAGGTACCAAGCTGATAAGTGGACAAAGGACACCCTTGCATGGTGGAACAAGTACCTTACATATTGCTCTTCGGGTTGCTTGCACTAACAAAATTCTTTGCAGGACGGTCTTTGGGGATGAATCAGGACATGCAATGCCCAATTCAGGAGGTGAAAGCGACACAGACGGGTCCGACAGCGAATGGGAAGCCCTGCACACATTGCGCTGCGAACGCTGTGCGATAGAAGAAGAAAAATCTGGTATTCAGGTTTCGTTACATATCCACATGCTACTGACGTGCTACGTACTTTACAGCACAGGCCGCCAGTCTGGACACCGGTGCGCGAATTTCTGCTGCACCTTTGTTGGGCGCGGCACTTGAAGCTAGCAACCCGACTCCAGCGGCCCTGAACATGCTCGCAACAACAGCTTCTCGCATGAATGCCCCCGGCGCCGACGACACAGACCACACAATAACGACTGGCTCATCAAGTCTGCCGCCTCTCAGACAACTCGCGATCCAGTCCTCTCGTCATGGTCAAAGTAACCGGCGCATGTTGTGGCACATCCTGGACGAAGATGAGGATGAAGATGAAGACATGTACCTGGATAGTAGGCCCCGTGGCAGCTCGTCCAACAGTTGCATGCACGATGGGGAAGACGGCACTACACGCCAATCGCGCAAGCGCAAGACGCTTGTGGACGACGACTCTGACACTGCTAACAACGACACCGGCAGTGTTGCCCATCGCTCACGCAACCCCAGACGTCTTGTTGAGGGGGACGACGAGCACGAGCACGACAACCACGACGACGACAACCACGACGACATGGCGCCGCAATTGCGCAAGCGCACGGCCTCGCACGCTCAGTACGATGATGATAGTAGCCGCACCTCGAAAGCACGCAAGGCCAAGATGAACGCTGGCGCTACGTCGACTTCCAAGGGCAAGGGGAGGTCTTAGACGGTCATCCTTGCTGTTCAATCCTCGGGGGTTATATTATTCTCTTGTGCTCTGCTTCAATTTCTTGTGCTCTGTGCTCTACATGGCTCCACGGCGCGCTCTCGTTTTGGCTTTTTGTGGTTTATCTTCCGCATTACTGACTCATGTATATTTCTTCTTGCCGCTGAATATATTCTTATTGTTTGATTGCCGTGTATACTTACTCTTGCTGCTCAATATATACCGGCTATTAAACTAACGTGTTTTTATTGTCTGACCAGCAAATATAAGCTCGATATTAGATTGTGGATCATGCAATGCCTTGCAAGCATTGCCTGGCAATATATTCTTGCCAATCCTCACTGAGTAATATATACTTGTCTCAAGGCTTGGCAAAAACCCCAAGAAATATGAAGATTGCATTTTTGCTCGTGCCTCATATGCTAATGCAATACCCCCCCTCCCAATTGGAGGTCTTGGTGGGTTTCCGGGGTATATAAAGGTATACATAGCTATCTATCATTTGTGCACTTTTGCTGATGTGCAACAGGTAAAGCTGGTGCTAAAGAAGTTCCTACGGGAGTACTAGCTAGTGTCGACTTTGCCACTCGAGCCTTTTTCTTCCTCAGCCCTTCATTTGCATGGTCAGTATCCGCATCATTAGGATTCCACTCACGTTTGACGATGGCCAATGGCAAGCCCTCTAAACTAACATTAGCAGGTTCCTTCTTGATGGCCTCGTGGCCATGATTCGTCCAGAATCCCAAGTAGGCTTGTGTGATCATGAGATCAATCTTCTATCGCCCTCCTTCACAAAGCAGGAGCAGGGGGAAGTGGTTGGACATTGTGACGTGAATGTACATGCGCGCTTCGTGAGTGAAGCTATTTGAGACTTCGGCTGCCTGGCCATTAGCAAGCAAAGAATGAAAGAGCGAGTTGAGCATCGCCTGCATCTCCTTTGCCACCACATATGGCACAGCTTGCCTATTTATATCTTCAGCGAATTGCAGCCCAACGTTCTCACTCTGTGGACCACCTTTTCCTGCTTTACCTTTCTCTTGACTATTCCACCCTTTGCGAGAAAAGTAAGGGAGTTTACTGCAGTCGCTATCCATGTTCGGTGCCAATGGCATGATCATATCCTGCCCAAGTAATATACGGCTTGGGCACCATTGCATACTCCATGTTATAGCAATAGGTGTGTTTACTGATGGCGAAACAGGCATTGAAGGGATGGGGTGACTAAAGGGATTGGATGTCGTAGAAAGCAGCTGTGGAATGGCAGTGATGATCTTGTTATAGGCATTTCTAGTGAGAGAGATATGTGAAGGCTGAAATTAAAGATGATTGAGTTTTAACGGACATACTTGTATAGCACAATTTGTGCAAAGAGAGCCATATGCTGGCTCTCTGCTTGAGCAAGTTGCTGGAGGTGTTGGTTATATGGGCAGTTTCCAGCACGTACAAGCATGTCATGATCAGCTTTGATAAGTATGCGCAAGATGTCGTTGTAGTCATTAGAATTCTGTTGAGATATATTAGGGTTTGTTGTCGACTCGCAGGTAAAATTTGAGCATGCTCACAGATACCAGACTCTGTGATGAATGAGATTGGTGATATACACAGGAGGAGTCCGTCTGATATGGAAGCTTGAGTTGATTGGATGAGAATGGTGAAAAAGCTGGTGAACTTGATGAGAACGAGGATGGGGTTGCTGTCATGTTGAATCTAGAATGTAAAGGCAGCAAATTGGAGCTGACATTAAGGAAACTGAATTCGGGTGAAAGCATTTGAGATAGAGAATCCCAAAGTCGAAAGATTCAATATGGCTGATGTATGTGTTTGGTGGCTCCAAAGAAATGGCAGTGGAAATGGAAAGTTAAATCAAGGAGTTTTCTGTGTGCTCTAGATGTGATAAAAAAGAAAAAGTGCTTCTATTAGCTATGAAAGGATGAAATTAAGAATAGGAGATGTATTCGAAGGCAAGGAGAGAATGAGAAGATTGTGTGCTGAGTACAACAATAAGTTGATGCTAGCGGTCATTGTTGTAGCGTGAAGTACTCTCCAATTCAGATTCCAATAATGCTACTTGCACACATTGTCTCTATGATAGAAAAATCTTGCTGGTTATCAAAGGGGTTCACACATGCATTAGGTCAAATCAAAGAGTCTCCACCTGTCAAAAGATATACTATTATACACCAGCTAGTACATTAGGAAAAGCGCCTAAATCTGGCAACACCGGCAAATCCTAACATGGGCATGTATGCCCTGACAAGCACTGGTAAGCCTGGGTATGTTTTTTCTGCTCTCGCCAGGCTTCCCCAGTCAACGTCTCTATACGGTCTCGTCCAGGTCGGTACAACAATAAAACTACATAATGCAATACTTTGACAGTTCCAAGCCACTTGCTGCGGCAAAGTTCATGTGAGTCTAAGTCAATTCAGGTTAAGCCGTGCAAACAACAACAAAAAGAGCTCGGGTGATGAGACAAAAAGATGGATTACAGTGGACTAAAGCTGAAATCTTTGCAAAATGAAACACCTTCATCATTAAAACCCTTGTCCTCTGACCCCTGTTCATAGCATTGTCAAACTCACGCTAAAACCCAATTGGTCCGACTCGCTATTATTACCATCATCGCATTGTTGTCAATGTCTTCGCTGTCACGAACGGCTGTTCGGGACGAGAGGATCCTAGGCCACAAATAAGAGGATTTGGGAGGATGATCGGGACTGATCAGACTAGTGTCTTGCAATCAGAGAAGACTGTGTGAACAGCAGTTCTTAGATTGGACAGAAGTGGATAGCCTAGGGCTTCCATCCTGCGCCGCAGTATCTATAAATATGTACAAGCAGATGCACGGACCAAGTATCAGTGGAACGGGAACGCGAGGTATAGTCGGGAGAAAGGTCCTACGAGTCCTTATCAAGAAGGTGGGAAGAGGTGAGTAAGCATAGGTGAAACGTTTCGTAACATTACCCCCCCCTCTAGGCCGTCAGTGCCAGAGACGGTAAGTAAAAGTTCAGGAAAAACATAAGCAATGCGCGTAGTCCGAGTCGTACAAAATAATACTTAGGGCACATATTCTCGCTGCCCACAGTCGAGTCATGACGCGATAGCCCTTGAGTACGGACGTCATGATACCCCACCTCGTTACCAACCATGCGGGGACTGCGTTCTAGAGCCGAGTCCCTCTTCTCATCATGGCAGTGGGTACCGGCCCAACGGATTCGAACCGTCGTTTGCCCCGGCAGTTTTACGTCATACCGGACGAGGGCATCTGTCGTTTAAGCTCCACGAGGACGGAGTATAATGGGCGCGGTGTTGGACTCGCTGGAGTCGTATTCAGTGAAGGGGAGAGGGGGTCGGGTTCGTAGCGAAGGACGGATGAGGCCGGGGGGCGCGGGAAGAAGGTGAATGCGGGGGGAGACAGGTGTGAATCGATATACACCTCGTTCCCTGTCGGTTCTCGTGGGGTAGGTCCCCGGCATTGGGCGAAGCGGAGCGCCATTTGAGGCCGTAGACGAGGCACGAGATACCACAGCCGTGGTAGGCATGTGATACTCGGTGGAGGGAGTGGGGTCGTCGGCGGGGTGAAAGGAGTCTCGAAGATTCTGCAAGCCCATGAGTTTTCGCTCTCCAGCGTTAATACGGGCAATGATCGTGCCCTCTTGGATCTGCAGGGCTCGCTGTGCGTGTCGGACAAAACTCCTTTCTTCCTCTAAAATCTCCAACGCCCTCTGAATCTCCGGTCTGGTCGGTCCTGACACAAATTCTGTGTTAGGCGTCCCCTCGATAAGTCCCATCATATACGCAACGGGGGTCGTGAGATAAGTTTCTCTATCCGGAAAGATGACGCCTTCGTTGGCTTCGCGGATCAGAGGGGGCGGTGAGGGAGAGTGGGAAGGTGAAGGTCTATCGAAATCCTCCGTCAGTAGTCTGATCATCTCGTCTTGTCGTCGTTCGTCCTCGTCCAGTCCTTCCAGGTACTCGCTGAATCCTTCTTCCGCCTCCCGCGCTGCTTGTTCTTCGTCTGTGTCCCACGGTACGGACCGTTCTTCTACTACGGACATCTCGGGGGTCGAAGGAATGGAGGGATCGGTGGAGGGCGTTTGCTCGATGAGAGTGTTCTCAGAAGAGAGGTGGGTGGATTCGTTGGAAGGCATGTTCGTTGGGAGGATGAATGAGTGATTGAAGGAATGGGGGAATTGTAATGATTGAATTTGGGTTTTTATACGTTTCTGGTTTTGTTTGTCCGATGTTTGCAAGGGCTGCCCGTAATGGTAGATTATGATGTCGCGCATCGTATGCTTCCAAAAGTTCTTTGGCGTTCCCTAGGTTTGCTCTCGTGACCCATTCGTCCGCGGAGCTCGGGTATCCTTTCCAGTGTACTAGGTATTGATACCCGCGTCCTCGTTTCCTCTTGTCAAGAATTTCTTCGACTTCGTATTCCTCCTGTCCGTCTATGAGGTCGGGTGGTGGCTGTTCGAAGTTGGGGCCGTGAGCTGTTGTTTCTTTGTATGGTGTAAGTAGGGAGGCATGGAACACGGGGTGTATTTTCCATGTCGGCGGGAGCTTTAATCGGTACGTAATTGGCCCTAGTTTTTCTTCTATTTGGAATGGTCCGTGTAATTTAGGGGTTAATTTGTCTTTTGGATGCGTGGTGGTAATGTTTTTTCCCGAGAGCCAAACTTTCTGTCCTGCTTCTAATTTGACTTCATTCTCGGCGGTTTTTCTTTTCATTAGTTCTGCCGCAACTTCCAAGCTGGCCTTCGTTTCTTTTCGGAGTTGGTCTAGCCTTTCCAGCCTTAGCTCCACTCCGGGGATGTCGGACCTTGGTGCGATCTGGGGTACGAAGGTCGGGTTGTAGCCGTACATGAGTTCAAATGGTGATTGGTGCGTGGCTGAGTGTTCCCTTACGTTGTGTGCGAATTCAGCGTATGGTAATAGTTCGGGCCAGTTCGTCTGCTCGTAGTTGCAGAATGCTCGTAGATACTGTTCTAACTCTTGATTTACTCTCTCCGTTTCACCGTCTGTTTCGGGATGATAGGCGGTTGATAACGCTGTCGTGACTCCTAGCTTCTTCCATAGTTCTTTTGTGAATCGAGCGGCAAATTGTGGACCTCTGTCGGAGATGATCTTTTGTGGGAGTCCAAATCGTCTCCAGACGTTTTTCATGTAGAGGTCGGCCGTTCCTTCCGCATCTATGGTCTTGTTGCACGGAGTGTAGACGACTCCTTTAGTGCTTCTGTCCACTGTTACGTGTATTGCGTTATATGGTCCGACTTGTGGAAGATCCGTAATGAAGTCCATGGTGACTGTCTGCCAGGGTCCTTCTGGTATTTCGTTAGGAATGAGTGGAGTGCGTGTGGGGTGTGTGATATTCTTGGTGTATTGACATGTTGCACATCCTGTTACGTACTCTTTTATGAACGTGGACATTCCTGGCCACCAGAAGTTATCGGATACTAGGACATAGGTCTTCCATCTTCCCGGGTGTCCCGCTGCTGGTGAATCGTGGTACATTTTCGTGATTTGTCTTTTAAGTCCGTCGTCTGGTGGAACGTATATTTTTCCCCTGTGCCAGATGAGATCGTCTTCGTAATTCCATTCTTGTAGACCTTTGGAGAGGGCTCTGGGTCCGGATGCTTTGATAAGTTCCATCGCATCTGTTACTTCTTTATCTTTGGCTGTGACTTCTCTTAGCTTTCGTCTCAGCTGGCTATCGAGCATTTCAATTGTTCCTCGTCCCGTTGCACTTTTGACGAACATTTGAGGTTGTAGTAGTACCTGGTTTTTGTTGTCAAATTTTACCCCCTCTTTCAGGTCTGGACGCCTGGACAGAGCATCGGGTCGGTGGGTAACGCCCGGTTTGTGGACGAGGGTGAAGTCGAAGCGGGAAAGGAAGAGTGACCACCGTGCTTGCCGGCGGGAGAGAGTTCGCGCGGTGGAGAAGTACAGGAGGTTCTTATGATCGGACCAGATCTCGAACGGGTGCCGTGCGCCTTCAAGGTATACGCGCCAGTGATCAAGGGCGTGTATTACGGCGAGCAGTTCCTTATCGAAGATGTCGTAATTCCGCTCGGCCGCAGTGAACGACTTGGATAAATAAGCGACTGGGTGCCATCCGTCATGGGGCGTCTCTTGTGACAAGATGGCTCCGGAAGCGAAGTCGGACGCGTCAGTTTCGAGACGGAACGGGCGATTACCGTCCGGGTACACAAGAACGGGAGTTGACGTGAAGCAATGCTTCAGTCGTTCGAATGCTTCGTTCCTTTCGGGGGTCCATTCGAATGGAACGTCCTTCTTCGTTAGGTCGTTAAGGGGTCGGGCTATAGCGGCAAAGTCTTTGATGAACCTGCGATAGAAGTTTCCAAAGCCCAGGAAGGATTGTACTTCCTTCAGGTTCTTCGGAGTTGGCCAGGCAGCGATTCCATCAACCTTGACGGGGTCCATGGATATACTGTCCGCGGAGATGATGAATCCGAGGTATTCGACTGTGTCCGTTTCGAAGGTGCACTTGGAAGGCTTTAGGAATAGGTCATTGTCCAAGAGTATCTGCATAACTTGGGTTGTCACGCGTCGGTGTTCTTCGATGGTTTTCGTGAACACTAAGATGTCATCCATGTAGACTGCCAGGACTTGTGCTACGATGAGGTCATGGAAGATAATGTTCATCATTGTTTGGAAGGTGGCGGGTGAATTGCAGAGACCGAAGAACATCACGAGGCATTCGAATAAGCCGAATTTGGTCATGAAGGCTGTTTTCCATTCATCGCCTTCTGCTATGCGGATGTTGTTGTACCCCCATTTTACGTCAAACTTGGAGAAGATCCTCGCCTTCGATTTGGCGATGGTTCTTATTACGTCGTCAATCAGGGGTAGCGGATATTTGTTTTTTATGGTCCATTCGTTTAGTCTCCGATAATCTTGCACCGGTCGTAGACTTCCTTCCTTCTTTTTTACGAAGAAAAAGGGTGACGCTTGCGGGGATTTAGATATCCTAATGGTTCCTCTTTTTAGGTGCTCTTGGAGCATCTCGTGGAGCTGGTCTTCCTCCTCTTCCGTCAGCGGGTACAGTTTACACCCCGTTGGCTCCCATCCTGGTTTCATATCGATCTTATGGTCCCATTGTGAGTGTTCTGGAAGTCGCTGTGAAGCTTCCTGACTGAAGATTTTGGCGAATCGTTTAAGTACGTATGCCGGAACGATTTCCTCGATAGGTCGTTCCGTTTTTGCCTTGTTTGCCTCTTCTGCTAGCTGTTGCGATTTGTTTCCGATGGAACCGATATGAATTGCTTCAAGGGGGTGTACTTCCAATGGATTTTGATAGTACCATTCCTCATAGAATTCGGAGAAGAAGGTATCGTCGATTTCGTCTTCTTCCGGATCGTCTTCTATTCTAGAATATCCGACTGTTCTGTTTTTCCTTTGCTGTGCGGGCGTCAGTGCTTGTATGGTAAACTTGGGCCGGCTGACTAGACATGTGGTAGCGCAGTTTGAAAATGTAAGGCTGTTTTTTGCCCAATTGATTTGTGGGTTATGTTCATGCAGCCAGTCCGTTCCCAAGATCACATTTTCGCCTCCTAGGTTAGTGACTAACAGCTCGCATTGTTCGTCGTGATAGTCGTCCTCTTTGTTTGTCATTCTCATAAGCATGCAGGCTTTGTTGGTGATTTTTCCTCCGTCGTTGGCCGTTCCATCTACGTTGAATACAGGGATAGGTCTGTCAATTTTCTGCGTTGGTATGTTGTTTTTCAAGCAGAATTGTTTGTCGATGAGAAGTCCTTCTGCTCCTGAATCGATCAATACTCGAGCTTCGGTGGTTCCTCCTCTATGTTTCAGATGCACGTTTATTCTCATAGATGATTTCCGATTTGATTTGGTGAGCCGTACAAATGTTTTTACAGGAGGAGTTGGGACAGGTCTACGGTACACCGGAGCCGTAGGCCTAGTTAAAAATCCGATTCCTTTCGCTTGCTCATCTCGCTTAACTCCTGAAGGAGTGCTTCCTGTTCGTCCCACCTCATCTTCCCGATAACCCTTTGGATCTCTTCTCGGCTAATCTCAGGCTCCGTCTCACGTACAGGCGCATCCGGTCCGGGTGCGTGGGCCTGGCGAGCTGCGAGTCGGGCTCGGAACGGGTTAGTCGTCGCCACGCTTCTACCTTGCGTCGCAGTGCCTCCTTGAGGACTGCTTGAAGCTCCTGTCGAGAACGTTCGGCCATAGCTGCTTCCTCCGCCTCCCATCCTGCCGCCGGTCTGAGCCGAGCGGTTCCCCATCGTTCCACTACTCTGTTGAACATATCTAGCTGACCCTTCATGTACCCTAGACGAACCCCTGACAGGGCATTGGTTGGCCATATGTCCTTTTTGACGACAGTAGAAGCACCCACCCTCCATCCTGAGGCGGTTGCGTTCTTCGTCGGTGAGAGTCGTTCTGACCGAATCTACGGCCATGGGTACGACGGAGTTGTTCATGGAGGGGGGAGCGTTGGAGGAGTTGTAGCGGAATGGGTTGTTGGATCGAACAGTAGCTGAGGGTACGGAGCTTTTTATGCTCTGTAGCTCTCTCCATTGATTATCGAACCTTCGGGTGTATTTTACCCAATCATCCATTGTCGTCGGCATGTCAGGGAGTCTGTAAATTTGTTTGAGGATCTCCGGGTGTATGGCGCGACGGAAATAGTCGACGGTGGATTCGAGATCGAATCCACTTTCTCCTGCCGTCATGAGATAGTCCGTGACAAACTCGTCTGCGGACCGCTTTCCCATTCTCATTGTGAATAATTTTTGTCTCGCCTTCTGTTCGAGACTCTCATCTTTGAATGCAGCGGCCAGTTCTTTCAAGAAATCCTTGAACGTTCCCCATACTTTTCTCGTTTCCGTCGGTTTGTACTCCCGAAGTTCCCTATCGAAATAATATTTCTGTGCAAAAAGTGACGCCGTTCCTTCTCTCATGTATGATAGCACCATCAGGGTTTTGTCCTTGTCGGTGTCATACTTGGTTGGGTTGGCGAGGATATACATGTGACATTCGTATATCCATTCCCTATATTTCGACCTCGTGCCATCGAAGTCCTTCGGTTTGTTTCCTCTGTCCGACATTTCGTCTTCGTTGTCTGTGGTGTCTGTTGTCGGCGGAGGGTTCGGTTGTGGGTTTGGGTTTGGGTTTGGCTGGCTTGGTCCTGCTACAGGTTCCGGGTCTTCTTCGTCGACCGGGGTTAATACTCCTGCGGGAATTGGGGTTTCTTCGATATCTTCTTTGGGAATATCGATCGGTGATAGAACAGGTTTTGTTCGGATGGGGGAGTCTACGGTTCTGAGAGGTGCCTTCCTGTCTTCCCAGGGTACTAGCGGGGCGTCGACTGTTTTTCCGCTGTTCTGTCCTCCTACGTAAACCCAGTTTCCCTTGGATGTTCTTCTGATCGGTTGTCCGAAGTGGACGAATGTGTCGGAGTGTTTTAAGTAGTCGGTTCCGTGTGGAACTCGTCCTACGCTTCTTCCTGAATTTTTGGAAGTCGTCTTGTTGGATCAAAGAGCCCGCGCTAGTCTCGACCTGATCAAGGTTCGAGGGTCAAGGCAACAGCAGCTCGTTCTGGCCTGGTACAGTATTTCTGCTTCTGGTATAGTACCGTACGTAACGTCGAGTGCAGTTGTTTCGGTCGTACCTCCACTGGGTTGACTACCAGATAGAAGTATTCTACAACCTGAAACGACCCACACTGAAGTGGAATCGTCCAACCGTTCGCTCGAAGTGTATAGTAACTACTACGGTCGACGGACACTTGTCTTTTGGGACTGCCTAGTGCCGTATGTATCTAGCCGGTGTTCTGCTGCAAAGAAAAGGGTGGAGTAGGATTGTGTGGAGAGGCTATCCAGATGTCACGAACGGCTGTTCGGGACGAGAGGATCCTAGGCCACAAATAAGAGGATTTGGGAGGATGATCGGGACTGATCAGACTAGTGTCTTGCAATCAGAGAAGACTGTGTGAACAGCAGTTCTTAGATTGGACAGAAGTGGATAGCCTAGGGCTTCCATCCTGCGCCGCAGTATCTATAAATATGTACAAGCAGATGCACGGACCAAGTATCAGTGGAACGGGAACGCGAGGTATAGTCGGGAGAAAGGTCCTACGAGTCCTTATCAAGAAGGTGGGAAGAGGTGAGTAAGCATAGGTGAAACGTTTCGTAACATTCGCTGTCATAAGATATGTTGTTGTTATTGTTGTTTGAGTTGCCTTCTGGGTCAAGATTCTTACCTTTGAGTGCAATATGAGGAGCCATAGACATCAAGGTGGAGCAAGGTAAGCTGAATGAGGAGGTAGAAACATTGAGACCAAGGTGTGGAGGTCAGAAACATTCAAGAGAAGCACATGTCAAAACAACAAGTTGTGTTTGCAAAGATGCGTCACTCGCATAGTCGGACTTTGAAATGCATCTTGCTCTTATCCCTTATGTCAAGTGTCACAAATAAGGCACTCAAGACACAGTACATTGTTATATGCACCAAGAATCAGTTCTAATGTCACTATATGCGCTGATTCCCATTATTGACTGGGACTACTGACTACACTTCCTCTATACCTCGTCTTAGGCTTCCTTTTGAGCTGCACATTGGCCGCTTGGGACTCAGTGATGACTGGATGTTGCGCTGACTTTTTCTATGTAAACTTGAATGTGAATTTTATGGACATTCATCCCTGCTCATTGTTTGCATGTTGTTGCATCTTTTTGAAAATCAATGCATGTAGAGGCAACCAATCCCATGGTATGTCCCTATTATTCTCAAACTTTGACCAGTATCTTGACATTCCTTAATGATATCCCCTGATTTAGATACTCTGCCAAATTGAAGTAAGCCACATTCCATGTTGAGTGTGCTCTCTTGGTTTATTGAGGGCGGCTCCTTGCCTGCGGACGTGCTTTGCAATCTGCTGTCAAAGCTTGCAGGCAGGTTGGCTACGGAGATGTCACATGGCACTATGCACATCAAGTGTCTGTGCAATGTGCCTGCATACAGCAGGAAGCCATTGGACCAGCTGAGTGTTCAGGAGTTGCACTCAGTTTTGTGGTAGGTGTTAATTTTTAGAGACTTGGCCACGGCTCTTGTTTCTCAACAACTAAGCAATTTATTGGCACATAGGCTGATGCCACCTTATGCACTATTGGACTGAAGCACAAGCCTAGTCGGAAGCAAGTTTGCAGCTAGAGTCAAAAGAAAGTATAGGAGATCGAACACCAGATCCACAACACAGCACCCAACCAGAAAGCAGCTAGTGTGTGCTGCCTAGGTGATATGGCTTTGTTTCTTTCCTGCCTCTTGGCCTGCATTGATGTGTCTTGTTCTATTTTAAATTCTATGTATCATACAATAGCATGCACAGAAATATAAAGAGATTTGAAGTATATTATTAACTGCCCAGTCCGAAGGGATCTAACCTGAGAATGTAAAGCCTGTTGAGACTGGCCAGACTGGCGAGATCTCATCAGACTGACCAAATCTCACCAGGATGGCCATTTTCATGTTACCCTTCTCGACTCTTACAAGACCGGTGGCGCTTGGTGAGGTTGTATTGCCGCACCTGGCTTACATGGCCTGCCCAGGCCATATCAGGCCATGGAAGATCCACGCGCTTTTCCTGATGTAGCACCTCATCATTATCATGGTCATTGTCATCATCACTATTGTCATCACCGCTGCCTACTCCTCTCATATTCCCGATGTCTATGCCAAGCTTGTCCATGGCAAGATACAATTGCAGAGAATTAGCATCTGGGATCGAGAACATGTGTGGAATCATTGCGACACAAGTCAAAATTGTTTTGACATTGATCACAATGAGGGTGTTATCCCCTTGCGCTTGGCATGCCCAAACAGTACCTGATAATTCTGAAAGCAAAAAAGCATTCTCAAGACTGTAAAGAGAGATGACGGCAAGTGTGTGGATATAGTTATTGACTTTATGCCGGAAGAAATAGAGCACTTCTCTATATCTTAATCTAGCATCAAACATAAACTGCATACAGAGCTTTAGCAAGAAATACAAAAACATGCTTGCACAACTCACCTTCACATTACGACTCATGCGAGATACATTGTTGACAATCTCCTTCCATGTGGTGCGAACATACTGACTGTTTGGCAGATGAAGGCGTCCCCAATGCTGCACACATGAGTCTATGGACCAATCATCCTATATATTAGCATGTCTTGCAATGCCTTGGAAATATGCCTTGATTGCCTCTGCTTCACATAATTGAATTGGCCTTGGCCGATCCTGGTAAGGATGACACAAAATGAATTTATCATAAAGGTCATGGCTTAGGATACTAGGAGAAATGAGACTTGGCTTAGCAGCAAGATTAGGATACATAGCTTTGAGAGCATTGACCTATGCTCGATGCAGCGCATGCTCAGCCAGATTAGCAAATGAGTTCAATGGTTGCTTAATTTCAGCACCCAGGTCTCCCATGGTCCACTCCATGGGAAACTGTGATGAACAGCCAAGAGGACCTAATTGAAAGGTGGCACTGGGTGCGTGTGTAAGAGCGTACATGCATTGCAGGACAAAGTGAAGGCAAGAGACTTTGCACTTGACATAGAGAACTTTGAAGTCATGCACAAAATCTGCCAGCAAGGTTGATGCTTTGAGCAACTGACTATAGGGAATGTGTAGCTGGAATATAATCCACACGCTAGCAGCAAGTTTGCAAAAGTTTTGCCAGCATCTGTCAGAAAGAATACCATGCAGAAGACCAGGACCAAGCCCATAGATGTAATGAAGGAACTCCCAGCACTTGTAACCACTTGAAATCTTCTCAGCCGGATTGCAAGGAGGATGATCAAATGAGCCAGGAAGAAATTGCCTTGCAGTTGCTACATCTTGTCCATGCTGCTTCTAGACATCGCCTACAAGACAAACCTAGTTCTGGGTGCCTTTATTATCACTGTTCTTCCTGTTGCACTCCATCGTACCACGCCAGAGCTTCAATAGGAGGTCCAGGATGTTGAGACCAATGAGGTGCATGATGTTGCCAGGGAATAGTCCTGGAATTGGTAGTCAACATTCTGACGGCATACCGCTGAAGATACTAGGCCTTGATATCCCAGTCTTGAGGCACCGATGTTCATACTTTGCAATAGATGCGGACTGCTGGAGCTGAATGCAGTCATCTTGATATTCTTCAGGAGACCAGACAGGCAGGTTGGCAGGTTCATCATCGCTGTGATTACAGCCATCCTCGTTGTAGTTGTCTGGCTTTAGACAGGCTGAATAGTAATGTGAACCACCTGGTTTTCTGTGTCCTACCTTATTGCAGCCCTTACAACAGCCCTTCTTTCCGTGATGGCTGACACCTCTATAGAGAAGAGATGCTCCAACAGCATCTGCAGTTACAAGAATAATCCATGGGTGAGATGGGTTTGTTGCTCTTCGAGAGACATCCCAAACTTGGAAGCCTTCTTTCTGCAGTGCTGCAACGTGATGAAGACCGGGATACATAAACAAATCTATATTCTTCGGCTTGTTGGGACCAGGAATTATAGCTCTGGGCATCATATATCTCTTCTTGTAGCACTTGTTGGGAGCGAGATTCACCAAGATCCATATGTAAATCCAGCAGTCCGAGGCTTTGTTCTTGTACAGCTGTGCCCTGTCCATTGAAAACATCACGACTATGTCTCCAGGTAGATACCGGCCATGCTGATAAGCATCCCAACAGTCTGAGCCGTGAAGTATATCATCGAAGACTGCGAGCTTTCCTAGAATGTGCAACTCTGCGAGGATAGTCTCCATTTGTTCTTAGAGATAATGCACGGAGGAAGCACCTTCGAGTGAGCGGTATTGTGCTTGGCATTGTGGGCCAAGGGGGTATATATGGAACTGCTGTCAAGGTTTTTTTGTGCCGGTCAAAGCTAAATGCACTTCATCGTACCGAGACTCATAGCATAGAGGACACTTGTCCAGGTCTGCATAGGGACCGGTGTAAGCGATGCAGGTGTTCGTGCACATATCGTGTATGATGGAAGTGATCCCAGTCAACTCAGCAACTTTCTTCTTCACTAGATGATGAGAGAGAATCTTGTCTGTTGGATGACGTCAAAGGCAAGCAGCACGAGACTTGTTGTAAATTTTCTCAGATCCATCTCTGTTGGTGAGAAAGAGATCAATAGAAAGACGAATGTCTGGATCATCAAGCTCAGTGACCTCCTCAAGAGGATGACAAAGTCGCTCAAGTACTCCTGAGTCAAGTTTGTCATCCTCGAGACATGCTGATTTCAATGCATTGATGAATTTGAGTGCAGTGTTTACAGATGGTATGCGGGATGTTTCTGCGTTGTTACCCTTAATGTCGGGCTGCCTCTCCTCTTCCACCAAGTCCTCCAGCGCCTGGATCCCTCTGCCACCTTCAATGCCACCAATGTCTCCAGGGTCTTCAATATCCAAATTCTCAATCAAATCTTCAAGATCCTGGATGGCCTGCTGCAACTGGTCTCTGTCATCTAGCACGGGAAGCGGGGCAGCATTCTCATCTAGCTCATGGTTTCCTTGTTAAGCAATTTCCTGCAATGAAATAGAGTGAGTATAAGATCTATGAACAAACGATAGTGATTGCGGAACTCCCTACCTGGTCAGGATCGATAGGATTCCCATTCTCAACTGTTCCAGCTTGATGTCTTGGATGCATCTGCCCCATATCTGCCATAAGTCCATCTTCATGGAGCCAAGCGTGCTTCCAATGTGTCCAAGTCCTAGTGGGAATTCTATGCAATAGGTTCCGAGCAGATATCTGGCCTACTGCCTGCTGAGCCTCGCGATCTTGTTTGTGCTCATACCAAATTGTCCGAGAGCGCCAAGACTTGCCCTTGTTAAGACAGGCCATGCATCCACAGTAGTAGACATCCGGTTTATTGAGATCTCTGGCCTCTGGAGGACTGTGGGGTTGTATAGGCGGCATGTTGCAGGTTGACCCAAGAAAAGGTCTAGCAACCACGCTCTATTCTTGAGACTTGGAGGACAATGCTAACAAAATGGCACTGTGGATATGTCATGTTTGTGATGTTAAATGAAGAGGAAAGAATGCACCGGTGAAATCAAGGGACTGAGAGGAGTGGTGGCAGTATGCACCCAGCACCGATGCTCACTGGCACTTATTGTGACTTCACTCCACTCCGCTCGTTTCATTTGAACAACACACTCATACCTACTGAACCTATCCCTCCCCTGCCCACAAGCATCAATGGCAACCTGTGCAGCGCGCTCTCATTCTCTCTATTATCCTCTAGGAAAGTGAGGACTTTAAGCACAAGCTCTATGTCACAAAGCGCCACGCAGACCGCTCGATCTACTACTGGGCATACAAAGTGGATCCCCCGCCGCCTCTGCGCCCCTCTTTGTACCGACCCTTTTACACCTGAGCCCACGATTGACATCTGTTGTGCCAGAAAGGCATCCCCGTGTACTGCCCCGTGCTCATGGATAGCTCCATCAGCGATATGCTCTGCTTCCACACATTCAAGCGCTCTGGGCTCAGGCTCGACATCATGCACAACATATGCATGCTCAACAAGCAGGTGCACCGTGCGTGCAAGGTGGGCATGATCATCCTCAGCGGCAGCGCCTGCAAACACTAGATCGCTAACACTATGCTTATCGTGCACACCTTTCCTGCTCTTACACGCCTGCGTGGCTGCTCACTCCTTTGGCTATCATTAGTGTGATGGTGCAGACTATGCTATCTGAATAGCACGTTCCCCGCTTCATCATTTCACGCTCACGCAGCCACCCTGCCACACAAAATTCAGAGCCAGCTCCAAGTCGGTCAAGGTATGTTCCCCTGCAGCCTCCTCCCCCCGCCACCTCCTCTTCCGCTGTCTGCGCTCTGACCCCCACACCGCCGTCTTCACACAGGTATACGCGGATGCGATGCTTGTGTTCCTGCTACTTGTCACGGCAACGTTCGCGCGGGACGTGCCTGCTGCTGCTAATAGTTGACCAAAAAAAGAGGAATTGGTAGGACTTGTCGTGGTGAATGAAGTTGCGCGAGTGGATGTACTCGATCTGCAAAATATGAAACAAGTGCTGAGTTTATCAGATATCACCAGAGAAGACCATACCAGTTGATCGGCTAACAGGAGCACCATCTCGAGACTAAACTTCTCAATGGATACATTGGTTTTAGAGAGTAGCTCCTTCTTGCTCCAAGGCAGAATCCACAATAAATTCAGTTAAAGAAGCTCTCTAATAGATATTTGAAAAGATACAGTCAGCCTTAATTATTGTAAAGTACACTATTCAATTTGATTCGATCTGACCCGAGGGAAACAGATGTAGACAGACTTAACGACAAGAAAGGTTCGAAAATGGTGAGTGCGTACCGAGAAACAAACTCAACTGAGAAAATCCCACGCCGTATCTGATGGCATTCGCTAGCATCGCCAGGACTCGATCTCGTCGCAGCTCAAACGAGGGCGTTCTCACTGGGTATCATCACTCACAACATTCCTTGAATGCGTTCCGTTATGCAACGCCCCTGGTCACAAGGCTGAGCACGTTGGCTGACGGCCCTGAGGCGGTGCGTGATCGTCTGCATGACCTTGATAAGTAACGTTACGCAGCCCATATCCGTGCGCTGCACCTTCAAACGTTTCTGGCTAGCTATACGTATTCCTGCATCGATCCTCTGGCGGGAGATACTGTCGAAGTTCTCGCGCCTCAAATTGTATCCTCTGGTCCAATTGATGATCTTCTGGACGAACGTTTGACAGGTATTCGCTGTGCACTCAGATCACCATGTAGACAAACTTAACGACAAGAAAGATTCGAAAATGGTGAGTGCGTACCGAGAAACAAACTCAACTGAGAAAATCCCACGCCGTATCTGATGGCATTCGCTAGCATCGCCAGGACTCGATCTCGTCGCAGCTCAAACGAGGGCGTTCTCACTGGGTATCATCACTCACAACATTCCTTGATAAGAAACGTTACGCAGCCCATATCCGTGCGCTGCACCTTCAAACGTTTCTGGCTAGTTATACGTATTCCTGCATCGATCCTCTGGCGGGAGATACTGTCGAAGTTCTCGCGCCTCAAATTGTATCCTCTGGTCCAATTGATGATCTTCTGGACGAACGTTTGACAGGTATTCGCTGTGTACTCAGATCACCACAGCCTGCCACAGTCAGCTGTCCATCAATCTAACAAAAGATAATTTACCGTCTTAGGGCGTTGAATGGCCAGACCTGCCAGAACCCTTGATGCTCTAAGCTGCTTTTAAAGGCTTCCACCATACGTGCAACACTCGCCATTCTGAACGCCATGAGGCTCATCCTCATCGCATCTTACAGTTCTCTCGCATGTGCTAAGACGTTGTTGGACCACAACTTGGTTTATAGGTCTCCGTTCCATGACCATCCGCAAGTATGTTGTCCGCTTTTTGCATCTCCTGTTCTTTCTCAAAACTTGTTGGAAACTTAGTTTTCACGCAATGTCCTTGAGATACAAACGCGAACTATCCAGCTTGCACGAAGACAGGTGGAGGCCGCGAGCCAATTCAATGACGACCATTATCCCACCTTTTATGGTGCTGATTTCAGTAATGTTCGTATCAAGCTTTCTCATCTGAATTTGTCTCGATGTCATTCTTATAACATCCAAGAGCCCCTTCGTCTGGAATGGGGGAATCAATTTCACTCACTCAGGTACGTGCCAAGGACATTCGTATGAATCTGCCCCATTATCTGATCGCTAATTGACGCAGTTGCAAGTGTAAGTTGAGTTTGATTCAGAGAAATTCTGTATTATATGTGACTAAAAATGTTGTAGGGCGACCCCTTCGACTCATCTGTCCTCCTTTGGACTCGTGCTGTCCCTGTGACGAACAGTTCTTCGAATGGTCCAGATCAAAGCGTTCCTGTTTGTGTATCATACAAAGTCTTCCAATCTCCTTCTCTATCTGGCTCGCCAATTGACTCCGGAGAAGCTTTCACATCATATGATGTTGACTTCACGGTCAAAGTCGAGGCCACCGGATTGAAAGCAGATACAAAATACTGGTATCTGTTTGCTGACTGCACGAACCCTTCGAGCACCAGTCCAATAGGTGTCACTAGAACATTTGCAACCCCAAATAGTATGTGAGACGATGCAGCATGCCATCATAGATGCTCACACTTCCGATAGCACCAGCTCATCTGGTCAACGGTGGCAAGGAGCTCACACTCGCTGTGTTTTCTTGCTCGCAGTTCCAGCAAGGTGAGACCATCAATTTGATACAGCGCTGGTTTCGTGTGACTTGACGGCCTATGGACAGGTTATTTCAACGCGTACGGGTTTGCGACTCACAACATTTCCGCAGATGTGTTCATTCACCTCGGGGACTACGTGAGTTTGGCATACCGTTCCTTAGAACCGCGAATTCAAAGAAGAGTGCCACAGATCTACGAATCTTTGGGAAATGGGTATGTGTCTGAATGGTTTGGGCTCGACAACATCCAAAGACGCCTTTATGTTTGCATAGTGCAGGAATCGGTAGAGAAGTTCTCGGTCGAGAGCTTGCAACGATCCACGACTATCGTCAACGTCTAAACCAGTATAGAACAGACGTCAGTCTGCTACAGGCTCACCAAAATGCACCATGGATTACTGTTTGGTACGAGGTTTAATTGTCGTTGTTATTTTTGATCAGTCTTAGGATTAATAATCCCCTCTTTCCTTTCTATAATCTCCGTTTAGGGTTAGTCTCAGTACTCCACAGTCTACTAGGTGCTCACGACTTCTATGAATTTTGCAGGACGACCATGAGGTCTATCGAACTTGAACATCAGAAATCCAAGATACTGACTTGAGACAGGTCGCTGACAATGCGTGGAAAGCGGGTACAGCAGACTCGAACGATACTTCCATCGGATGTTCTTTCTCACCATCCGGGGCCTGCTTCACCGACAGAAAGTTGGCTGCTGTCCGAGCGTATCATGAGTGGATGCCTATTAGGCAGGTCGCAGCAGATGATAAGCTGAGGATTTGGCGCAACTTCCGGATCGGCAAGCTTCTTGTAAGCATTGTGTGCTTACTATCGACGTCAGCCGAAAGCCAAAGACTAATGTTCCGTAGGACCTGACAATGCTTGATACTCGTGCGCCACGTTGTGCTGTAGAGAAGGCTATGACTGATCTGTATATCTGCAGGCCAATATGATCGTGATCTTACGGACGTAGGTTTACCCGCTTTTCTCTAGATTCCTGTAGTGCTGAGGGAAAATTGACAGGTCTATTACAATACAGGTAGGTCTAAGTTCGTACCCAATGAACTACTACATGTTCATCTGGAAGTACAGAATGTAAGTACGAGTGATCTGGTATCGATATTTCCGGCAACGTGCCATCATTTAGATGTCAACACAATTGCTGCATACTCAAATCGTTCTCTCATGGGCAATTCTCAAGAAACTTGTGAGGCATTCATTTTCTCTTTACGGTGAAAGTTTGATCACATGCGTGGGGCTATATCCAGGGTTCTTCGACACGCTGTCGCAGTCGAAATCACGGGGATCCACATGGCGCATCGTCGGGTATAACGATTCTGACCCACTGTACTCCCACTTGCCCTGAACTTGGCGTTGCCCTGCAGACAACAGATCGTCTTTACTCAGCTGAACGATTCGGGCGTATGTAAGTGACTGGCTTCATGTGACACGTCCAAAAACTCAGTCCCTGGCACCTTTTGCGATAGTTGACCTGGTGCGTGAACGAGCCTCAACCTCCAATTTGACGCTGAAACTTTGCCGTAGGATGCCTGGGACGGCTATCGTGCGAACCGACGACGTGTTCTAGATCATCTCTACAAGAACAAAATTGACAACACGATCATCTTATCCGGGGATAGTCACGCCAACTGGGTATCTGATCTCGCCCGTGAGTGTAAGGGCCTCTTCTTCCGCTAAGCCATTCATGTCAAGCGCAGGGTCCGCATGACAGATCCGAACGATACACGGCGAGTGCCAGCTCTCATCAACGCCTCGGATGCCCGTAGTAGCGCCTGCTTACCATTTTCATACAGATATGACCCTACGACTGGACAGGGTGCAATAGGGGTCGAGTTTGCCGGAACAGCGGTCACATCGAGCTCAGTGTTCGGTAATGATATCCAGCCTGCTGCTGCCAATGCTATCTCCGAAGTATATGTGACGGCCAATGACGAATTGCAATGGAGCGAAGGGTCCTATCGTGGCTTCTTCACCCTCACCATCAATACGTCTACGCTTACCGCGACATACTACGCCATGAAAGACATCAGTCCGTTCTACTCCTTTCCTTTTCCAGCGCTTCGAAATTTGATCGCGGTTTAACCACTAGGCTCCCCGAATCTAAACGGCTTCGCGAGTGCCCAATTTATTGTAAGAAACGGTAAGTGTTTGGGATCCCTGCCTTGACAACAGGTGCTCACATCGCCGCACCCCTCGCAGGCGCCAACAAGCTCTCCCGTCCTGTGGCCGGTGGCCAAGTCAATGCGGGCGTCTTGAAGAGTAGCGTGGTCGGCAAATGAAGCGACAGCGCAGTCGGATGCTCGGATTATGCAAAGATGTTTCTTGGTGTTGTAGGCGCTCTTCTTGGAAATGTTATACGCTCGAACCTCTCGCTCGAAGATAAACCGTCTGTGGAGATCAGATATGAAAGTTTAATGGCATGTATGACAGACTAATGACCTGGTATCATAGGGCGGGATCAAGCTGTAACGACAAACGCGTCGATGTTAGGGTATCACTGGACTTGGGTTTATGGGTTCATGCTGAATGCAGGTCATCCTGAGTTACATGTCACAGACCACATTGAGGACGGAATGCGAAGCGCTCTCGAAGTGCTCAATTGCAGAATCGCACAACGATGAGAAAAAAAAGTTCACCTGTGCACATTTCTGGATTTTTTTTCTACCTCTTTGTTCTGACGACAACAGCATGGGATGGCCATAGATTTGAAGTCCTCTGCAAAGACAGTAAAGGCCGCGGGCGCAAACACATACCACGTGCAGCAGCCACCAACGTTTTCCATTTGCACACTCCAGCTCAAACAGACAAACGACGGTGAAGGGAAGAGATTCTTGTTCTATGCAATGCGAATCGTAACGTACACATATGAGTCATTACTTTTGATCGTTACAGTGAGTCCACGAATAGCTAGCACAAAAAGATGCGAGAACACGATGATAGCAACCGACGAAAATCAGAAAAGCCCCTAGTCGACCTCCTCGACACTGGGGCCTTCCTCACCGCCAGCACCGCCGGCGCCGGGGAAACCGCCTGGTGCACCACCTGGGAAGCCGCCAGGAGCACCGCCTGGGAAGCCACCAGGAGCAGCACCTCCAGCGCCGTAGAGCTTCTGCATGATAGGGCTGGAAAAAATGCAGCGTCAATACGGGAATCATGACGGATCGAAGAGAGATGAACATACTTAGCGACAGCCTCGAGCTCCTTCTGCTTGCTCTCGTACTCGTCCTTCGAAGCCTCCTGCGAAGCGTCAAGCCATGAGATGGTCTCGTTGACGGCAGTCTCGAGCTTGGCCTTGTCAGCGGCCTCGAACTTGTCGGCGAGCTTCTCATCATTAAGAGAGTTGCGGAGGTTGTACGAGTACGATTCGAGGCTGTTCTTCGACTGGATGCGAGCAGCGGCCTCCTCATCCTCGGCTGAGTAAAGAAGTGTGGGCGACTCGTTTGCGCTGCAGATTTTGGATTAGCTCACCCTTGTACTTCTCGGCATCGTTGACCATCCGCTCGATCTCCTCTTTCGAGAGACGACCCTTATCGTTCGTGATCGTGATGCGATTTGACTTTCCGGTGGTCTTGTCGGACGCCGAAACGTTGAGGATACCGTTGGCATCGATATCGAAGGTGACCTCGACTTGAGGGACGCCACGGGGTGCGGGGGGAATGCCGGAAAGCTCGAACTTGCCGAGGAGGTTGTTGTCCTTGGTACGCGCACGCTCACCCTCGTAGACCTGGATGAGGACACCGGGCTGGTTGTCGGAGTAGGTCGAGAAGATCTCAGACTTCTTGGTCGGGACGGTAGTGTTACGCTTGATGAGGGCGGTCATGACACCACCAGCCGTCTCAATACTAAGGCGACCTTGTCAGCCGTCGTTTCCGCTAGGAAAGCACAATTCAAAGACCTACCCGAGCGACAGGGGAGAAACATCGAGGAGGAGCAAGTCCTGGGTCTTTTCCGAGGTATCACCGGAAAGGATGGCAGCCTGGACGGCGGCACCGTAGGCGACAGCCTCGTCGGGGTTGATGCTCTTGTTGGGCTCCTTGCCGTTGAAGAAGTCCGAGACGAGCTTCACGATACGGGGGATACGAGTCGAGCCACCGACGAGGACAATCTCGTGGACGTTGGCCTTGTCGATCTTGGAGTCGCGGAGGACCTTTTCGACGGGCTCGAGGGTGGAGCGGAAGAGATCCTGGCAGAGCTCCTCGAAACGGGCACGGGTGAGGGAGGTGTAGAAGTCGATGCCCTCGAACAGGGAGTCGATCTCGATGGAGGTCTGAGCGGCGGACGAGAGGGTGCGCTTGGCACGCTCGCAAGCGGTCCGCAGGCGACGGAGGGCACGGGGGTTCGAGGACAAATCTAAAGATGCAAATCAATATCTGATCGAGATGCCGATAAGATTGATCGCCTACCCTTCTTGAACTTGCGCTTGAACTCCTGGACAAAGTGGTTCACGAGGCGGTTGTCGAAGTCCTCACCACCCAAGTGGGTGTCACCAGCAGTGGCCTTGACCTCGAAGATACCCTCCTCGATGGTAAGAAGTGACACATCGAAAGTTCCTCCTCCGAGATCGAAGATGAGGACGTTGCGCTCGCCGGTCACCTTCTTGTCGAGACCGTACGCAATGGCGGCAGCGGTGGGCTCGTTGATGATACGAAGGATGTTCATTCCGGAGATGGTTCCGGCGTCCTTGGTAGCCTGGCGCTGCGAGTCGTTAAAGTACGCGGGGACCGTCACGACGGCGTTCGTGACGGTCGTGCCGAGGTAGGACTCAGCGGTCTCCTTCATCTTCAAGAGAACCATCGAGGAGATCTCTTCGGGGGACTAAACCATCGAGTTTCAGCAAGAAGAAAATCGCCTTCAAATCGCCAAGATGCCACTCACGAAGTCCTTGCTCTCGCCACGGTACTGGACCTCGACGTAGGGCTTGCCACCCTTGCTGATAACCTTGAAAGGGAAGTGCTTGATATCGGCTTGGACCTCAGCATCCTCGAACTTGCGTCCGATGAGACGCTTGGCGTCGAAGACACTAGAAACGACATCATGAGCGACAAGGCCGATCCGACGTCTGGAGAATAACGTACGTGTTGATGGGGTTCATCGCCACCTGGTTCTTTGCGGCATCACCGATAAGACGCTCGTTGTCGGAGAAGGAGACATATGAGGGAGTCGTGCGGTTACCCTGATCGTTCGCGATGATCTCGACACGGTCGTTCTGCCACACACCCACGCAACTACAACGCACGGCGGTCAGCAACGATGCGCACGCAAGAGCAAAGATAAAAAAGCTGCGACTGTACTCACGAGTAGGTGGTGCCGAGATCGATACCAATAGCTTTTCCGGCCATTGCAGGAGTTGTTTTGTGGGTGAGGGTGGGGAGGTTGAGATGGAGAGATGGGTGAGGATAATACAGAGACTGGTGAAAACAGGAGTCCCATCTTGCGCAATCTTTTATACGGCTTGTTGTTCCGTCCCCTTCCAGGACCTTCTTTGGACGTTCCAGTCGTTTCCACACCGCTTCCACAGCGCCTGACGTCAGCCACACCCACGCTCCCACTTGCCTGCATGTTCGAGAAGACGCACAACCCAACGCGAACTGGTCAAAGGAGGGTGGTATTCGGCTAGGTATGTGAATATTGACGGTGTACGTGAAATGTACGCTTTCTACGATACATGAAGTGGACGGAGCTTTGACTGGACCACAAAGAATACGAGACGCAGCTGTCTGTTTACATCTGAGAGAGATCGACTCCATGGGACAAGACGGACAGGATAGGAAAAGCTGAGACATCGTGTAGAGGACGATGCGCGAGCGATGCAAAATAAATGGAGAAAAGCCGGGATAGAAATCGTGCGCCGTAAGGGGGAGAAAAAGTCTGAAGATTTGCAATATCAGCTGGTGAATAAAACCTCGATGAGCCTCGCCGCCCGGGTCGAGCCCCCTCTTATGTCCCGCGCCTCAGCGCTCGACACTCAGTGTGGAGGGTCATCCAGACTTTTGTGCGCTTGCAGGTCGCGCAGTACTGTAGGGTCAACTGGCGCGCGGTCGACGAAGCATCAGACTCTGAACAACTTTCGCATCTAGATTATCGGAAGCTGACCTGGCAGGACGCTTTTTCTGCGGACATGGGGTCCTTGAGTTACAGGTGACTCGGCCCCAACCTCTGGCAACGGTCGCTGCACAGAACAGAACGTGCTCAGGTCAGTCCCTCAGCCAAACATGTGCAGTCGCTGCGTTCCACTGACATCCAGTCCCGGATCCGCCATCGGGACCCGTTCAATTCCACTGTCATCAAGCTCGTGTGGGACCTCCCCATCGATCGACACCGCGTTCAACTCCATCGACAGATCCATGATGTCTGAATCCTCCACCGGAAGCGGTGGCGGCGGCGACGGTTCGTCCTCGTCAAAGTTCTCTGGTAGATGGCCGTTCGCGTTTTGAGCGGCCTTCTCGCGGAGCCTTTTCCACCCTTCGTACCGTTCGACGGCGTGTTGCTGTTCCCTACGGGGCGCATGAGGGGAAGACACGGATTTGGAAAGGAGATTACGAACTCGATTTTCTGCTGCTTGTAGTGGTGCGTCGTCTCGTCGAACAGTTCCGGGCTGATCTCCATGAACATCTTGAGCGCGTTGTACACCATTCCGTGTATTGTCCTGTGCATCGCGATGAGCGAAAGGCTTTCTCGCGCAGGGTGAGTATATGCTCACCGATTCCAATGCGACTTGGAATTCTGGTACAAGGCCGGGAACACGATCGGCAAGATCACCGCCATGTTGTCGGTCATCAAATTGACGATGTACTCGTTGTTCCAATAATACAGGGCGCGCTCTGCGACCTGGAAATGCTGGCTGTTTATGCACCGCGCGAGTTGCTGGAACAGAGGCATCTGTATCTTCTGGAACTCGGCAAAGTCGATGACGTCCAGTATCTCTTCCACCTCGCTGAGGAACATCACCTCTTTCGGCGAGTTCACTTTCGGCCAGTACTTGAGCAGGCCCAACACGACGTCCTCGGCCAAGGCGCTGTCCTTCTCCAAAAACTGGACGACGCAGTAGGCGAGTTGTGGATGATACATCGACAGACTCTTGACCTTGTGCAGGGGGATGAGGACGCGCATGAGGAAGGCCTTGTGCTCCTCCTTGAGCGGCAGAGCGAAGCCGTTGATGATGGACCCCAAGATCTCTAGTAACTCCGCGATGCCGTTGTGTCGTTCGGTCTCATAGATGAAGTGATAGAAGACGTTGTTGATCGACCGGCGGATGGGGGCACGGAGGTTAAGGAACTTGCCATAGATTCGATGCAACGTCGTTTTGAGAAAGTCGCGCTCGCGCGGGTCCTCCGAATCGAAGAGCTCGAGGAGATTGAGGACGAAGGTCTGATCAATGTATCGTTTCGCGAGGTTGGTATTGAAATCGGGGCTCTCCACGAATCGGAGGAAAAACTCGTACACGATCTTCAGATGGGGCCAAGCCAGCTCGAGAACCGGCTCGTCCTCTTCGGGGTCGAAGGCATCGCCTGTGGGATTGACAGGAGGGGGTATGGAACGGAAAAGGTTGGTCGCGAACTGTCATGCCAGACTCAGCATCAAGTGATCCGGCGCGGAGTGCCGCATACGTACCATTTTCACGACCTCTGGGTATACGCTCTCGGTGATGACACCGCGCTGGGTGGTAATGTACTCTAGCATCTCGTGTAACGTCTGGGCCTTGATCTGCTTTCCCCTGAGCTCTGAACTGGCATCGTTGAAGTCGAAGAGCACGTGGCACTGGTGGAGCTTCTTGAGGAAAAGCTGCGGACGTTCGTTCGGGGGAGTTTCTGCGAAGATAGGTCAAGGGAGGGAAGCCGAAGAGGTCCGATGATAGAACGGCATACCCATGAACGGGGGAAGGCGCTCGATCTCCACTTTCTCGGTGACAACAAAGCGGCTGCTCCTCTGCTTTCGGGGGGGCTTGCCGACGATGGGGATGGTGTCCTTTGGGCCCGAACGAAGGCGGTTGAGGGTGCTCGCGCGGGGAGGGGTGGCAGAGCCGCCGGGCTCGAGACCGAGGTTCATCCTCTCGGGAGAGGCATAGCCCGGGCGGGGGGCGGGCTCGTTTGGGGCCTCGGCGCTGACGACGACGATGGGCGGTGCGGGCTGGGTCTTGTCGTTGTAGAGATACTTGCGATCTGAGCTGGCTGCGGACGAGTTGGCGGGCGAAACGGAGCGGACAGAAGAAGCGGTGTTCTGCAGGGACGGGAGGGAGTGATTGCTGTTGTTATTATTGGAGAGATTGGATAGGCTTGCGACGGCGGAGGGACCTGGCTGGGGGAGAGGCTTTGAGGTGTTGGGAGGGGGGGCGGCATGGAGCGAGGAGGTGGAAGAGGAGGCGGAACTGGGAGCTGATTTTGAGTCTTTATTCTTGGACGAGCTGGAGTCCTTCCTGTTAAGCTGGGGACGGCGGGGAGAGTGAGCACACGGGCAAAGGGAGCGGGGGCGACGGGTTGGAGAGTTACCAGGGTCTTCTTGAAGCTTTTCATTGCGAAGGAGGACGTTCAGCGAGAGGCTGGGAGACCCGCTAAGGAGCGAGAGGAGGAAGGACAGTTTGGAGACTGTCGCAGTCGACGGCTGTAGACTGGATCGATGGGTGACCGTGACGCCTGTGACAGACCGTGCGTGACAGACGGTCTCTGCGTCCAAGCCAAGTTACCTTCACACCGATGCTCAGCGTCGAGCAGCCGTCCAAGCCGTCCCTTCCAACGCCGGCGCTGTCCCGCGAGCGTCCTGTCCGACGGCGAACGGCGCCGACGTTGCGTGTATCCGTGCATGCGAATCCAGATCTCGTGATGTCCGCTGAGCGTAATGTGCAGATATAAATAAAGCCAAGCAGTCCTCCGCGTTCGCCGTTCAACCACGCCCTCGTCCCTGTCCCCGTCCTCGTCCCCTTCCCCGCCTTCGCCCCCCTCTCCGCCCTCGCCCCTCTCCAATGGCCGGTCCGTGCGCCCCCGTCGTCCCCTGCGCTCACAACTGACTTTGCCGTCCTCCAGCCATCTACGCAGTGTACACCTCCCCCACCCATCCCCCCATACCCAACCATCTCCCGACATTGATTGTCACCCCGCACGGTACGCGCATACCCCGCCCCCTCCCCCTTTTGCTCTGACCCCCCCTTCCTCCCTCCCCAACGCTCAAGGCCAGCCCTCCAACATCCTCTACTCCTACCTGCACACCAACTTCGTACGTGACCAGACCTCGTCCCCAGCGCCCCCCCTCGCTCATCACGCCTCAGAACTCTGAGAACTACCTCCTCACGCCCTCGCCCCAAGGCGACCTCTGCGTCGCCAAGCTCTTTCCCCCCCGGCCCAACGCCCCCAACGTCCCCGTCAAGGCCTCCGCCTCCGACCCAGGCCATTCCGCAGCCGGCGCCCGCGTCGTCCGCTGCGAGGCCTCGCGCAACCTCAAGTGGTCCATCACCAACACCGGCGTCATCTCCCCCATCTACAAACTCTCCCTCCCCTCCCCCGATTCCCCCGATCTCCCCCTCTTCCAGGTCTCCAAACCCAACCCCAACGCCGCCTTCTGGTCCATGTTCTACTTCGCCTACGCCGGCCACAACATCCCCCCGAAGCGCATCGAGTTTGGCAAGATTCAGAAGAACCCCCCGGGCCCCAACGGGGGCGGCACGCGCATCACCATCTCGGGAAAGACCCCCGAAGAGAAGGCCGTCTGGCAGACCCTCGGCGAGGGCAACGAGGACTGCGTCGAATGGGTCGTCCTCTGCGCAGCCCTCAACCTCCTCGAGTACGTCCTCCCTCCGGCCCCTGTCCATCGCGGCGCTAAACCGCTCGCCCCGCCCGCAGCGACGAGATCATAAAGGCAGCCGAGAAGAACCCTCCCCCGCCCGCCGCAGCGCCCATGCCCAACGGCGCCCCGATGCCCGGCCCGGGCCAAGGCGCGCGCGCCCCCGTCGCCCTGCGCGACCCCGGCTCCGTCCCGCCAACAGGCGGTCCCGCCATGCAGTCGATGCGCGGTCCCCCTCCACAGAACGGCCACCCGGGCCCAATGGGTCCAGGACCCGGCGGTCGCCCGCCCCAAGGCTACCCTCCTCCGCAGGGCTACATGCCCGGCCAACCGCGCCCAGGCATGATGCCGCCGCCTGGCGGCCCTGGTCCCGCGGGTGCCTATCCCCCGCGCGGCCCCCCGCCACCCCAGCAGCAGCAGCAGCAGCAACCCCAGCAGCAGCAGCGGCGTTTCTGACCCGCTCGCTCTCACCCGTCCTCTCATCACCGAGCATCGAACTCTACACCTCACGACCGGCTGTTTCCCGTAGCCTTGCACCGCCCCAAGTCCACATGGACCCATTGTACACTGTTGCGTGTTTTTAATCCCTCGCGTCGACTGTCTGTTTTCTTTTTCTGAGCACGGTAGTAGCCTCTCTCTTCCTCATGTCCTCCATATGTCTCTTTCTTGGGTCCCGAGTGTTCATGGCCACTGACCGGTGTTGGACCGCCGGTCGAGGTGCGGTGCGTCTGGCCTGGCAGCCAGCGCCATTTCCTTTTTCGTTTTCGTTTTCTTCTTTCTTTCTTGTATGTAACATGCCTCGATGGCTGTCCGCAGGCAACGTCCATGTCGAATTGCCAGGGTCCACGTTCAGTAGCATAAATACTGTTATACCCGTATCCGGCTGAATAGTTGGCGCCGTCGGTGTGACCGCACACACCTCGCACGCCGAGAAAAAAGATTAACTTCCATTGCATGCGTTCCGAGGCGTTCCGTCGACGAGAATAATAATATACAACCCATACTAGTTTGAATGAAAAAGGGTGGTGGTGCCCGGCCCTGGAGAAATCGCGGCGGAGGGCTGCCTCGCTCATGGTTCTCATGGGCTCTCCGTCAGCTTCTCCAGCACGTCTAGCGACAGCGCTGCAAAGGGTGAACGGCCGTCAGCCTCGACGTATCGTAGCAACTAAGACGCCCGACTCACACTTTGGTCTCTCGAGGGGCAGGCCGAGAGCTATAGTGGGATGACGTCAGAGCTGCTCATGAGCACCGGGAAGAAAAGCGCGACTCACCACGAGCCCACACTAGCTGAGTCAGGGCGCCGAGAGCTGATACGGGGAAAGACGAGTGAGCATCGATGTCGTCACGTTTCGACGGGCCAATACTTGCCTCGAGACACGCCGAAGATCACCGTGTAATACTGCAGGTGATGGAAGAGTCAGTAAACCCTCTGGGATCCGACGTTGGCGCTACGCTACCTTGAACTCGTCCAATCCATAGTGATACAGCACGCAACCTGTCCACCGCGCTTCAGTACAAGTAATAGCAAGAAGGATGTAAGTACGAACCAGAAGCAGCGTCGACATTTGGCCATGGGTTCTTGCTCTACAGGAACATTCAGTCAGTATCAGGACCCGAAAGCGCAAAGACGCGCTAACCTTGCCGTGTTCCATCAACACACCAGGTGCAACTTCATAAGTCTGCGGGAAAAACAACGAGGTAAGCAATCAGTGATACGAGCAAGCTTCGCGGAACGGTCATCAAAGGGGTTCTTTAATATCACCACAGACCTTCTTCACAAGTTGGATGATTGGGCTCGCCAGCAGGTCGGGTCGGGTGTCGCAGAACTCTTGCAGCGCGATGAACCGCGGGTCCGACTTTCTGAGAACACCGTGGCCGTAGCTGCGGATACAAAGGCACAGAGTTAAATGAACGGCGCTAAGGCGGGGCTAGGCAGAGATCCTCACCCAGGGACGACCTGGCCGCTTTTCAGTGTTCGCCAGAGGTACTCCTTGATGTGGTCGTGCGTGATGTCGTTTCCGATGTCTTTCATCATGGACAGCTGCCATCTGAGAACCTCCTGGTTGGCGAGGCTGGTGGGAATCCAAGGTCATTCGAGGTCGCGTGATCGTTCAGTTCAGAAGAGGTGCATACCCATGCAGAGGACCGGCGAGGGCAAACAGAGCCGCCGAGTAAGAAATATATGGATCGGATAATGTCGAGCCGACCAAGTCTGCGCGCCGCGAGATGAGCATGGACCCGAAGGAAAAGGCAATCGTCAGAGCACTCACGAGCTGTATGCGCAGAAGCGTTTCCTCCCTCATGATCGCCATGGATAGATATGTACAGCCGAAGGTACTCTGTCAGGTCGTGGTTGTTCCCGTATCCCAGCATGTTCGTGTAGTTCCCGACAAGGTCCAGGTCCTTTTTGATCCCGGGCAGCTCCGTGCCAGGCCTGTACACGTTGCGGTATATGCGCGCCGCGAGCGCAGGGAGGCGGGCAATGAGGTTGACGCAGTCCTCGAGGGTGTATGTCCAGTACTCGCTCTTCTTGATCCCCTTCTCGTACGCTGCCTGGAAGGCGCTGTCGTGGTTGAGGGCGGCCACGCCGATGCCCAGCTGGGTCATGGGGTGAAGTGATTGGGGCAACCTGCGCTCGGTTCTGGATCGTCATGCACCGGGGAGGGACGGGATGGAGGACGCACGAATCGACGAGGCGCTCGACGAAATCTGGGAGCTCGCCCTTCTCCGCGAGCTCTTGCGAGAGCTGACGTACCTCGGCCTCGGTCGGGACCTTCCCGGTCATGAGAAGCCATAGCATGCTCTCAGCGATGATCTCCTTGCCGCCCGGCGCCGCTGGCAGTTGTTGCTGGCAGTCGGGGATGCTCAACCCGTGGAAACGAATACCCTAGGCGACGGTGTCTCAGACGCGAGCCCTCACTGAGCACGGAGGCCGGTTGTAGACGCACCTCGTTCGGATCGAGCACGGAGGCCTCCCAGAGCATCGACTTCAAGCCGCGCATACCGCCAATGATGTTCTCGACCGTGACGTCCCCGACGACCTTGTGCGAGTGCTCGGCTTTCTGCACCGGATCGTCAGCGGCCAGCTCGTGGCGTGCGCAACAGCGGGCATGCGCTCACCAGCCTCCTGAGCTGCTCCTGCTTTGCCGGAATGACCTCCTGCAGCGCCTGCTTCAAGGTCTACAGAGAGACGAGATGAGCGGTGCATCGAGCGGACATTGTGCGGACGCGTACTCTGGTGGAGGCAAGGCGTCTGCCGAGAGGAGAATTTCTCGAGAGCGACCTCGCACTCGACGACGCGTGACGGAACATGATGGACGCAAGCGATGCAGAGTGGAATATCCTGAGTGAGTCGGAGGCGGCGGCGCTAAGGCGAGCATGGTCTTATAGCAGTGTGGGGCCCCGGGTTTCCCCAGACTCGGATGTCATGCGCCAAACACATGCCGCCGTGAAATTCGGCACAACGCGTCCGAGCCGGAAGATCTCTGGCTCACAGATACCACCTCCCCCCCATTCCTCCCCCTCCCAGACGGCCGGAATCCGCTCAGTCCAGACACATCGGAAGCCATGTATTCTGATCAAGGACGGGCGCTCGAACGCCACATCACCCGACCTTCGGTGGGCCGATCTAGACAGGCACACAGGTATCTAACGGTCTGCCAGTCGACCAGCTTTTGTCCGAGCGCAATGCTGTCCCGGCGTCGAGCGCGACATCCGGTCGACGCCAAAAGCGCTCGGTCGTGGACAAGTCGTGGACACGTTGCACGAGGGACGGCCAAACACGCGCACACAGCAGACGGGTAACGTGACACGCGTCCGCGAGCGCTACCCGTGCCAGCGGTGTGCCAGCTCATTTCGCTGCTCGTCCGTCATTCCCGCCTCCCGTCCTCTCCAAGGCCAGCCATGGCGTCCGTCCTAGTCCCCGTATTCTACGTCGTCATTCTCTTCGGCAGCCTCTTCGTATTCGGCAAATACTACAGGAAACGCACCTCGAGTACGTACTCCCCGCTTCGTTCCCGGCCTCCCGTCTAATAATATCCCCACGTCCGCGTCTGCAGTGATACAGCTCGAGCCGTACTTCCCCAGACACACAGAACGCGATGTCTACGTCACCCTTTTACAAAGATCAGACCCGCCGACCCCCGAGCCGCTCCTGAAAGCCGCCCTCATCCGCCGAGCCATGACAGACATCACCCGCTTCATGCGCCTCCGCGAGGACAAACCCGCCCTCCAGAACCTGCTGCAGAAAGGCTCCATCGGCGACGACCTGTGGAACAGCCTCCTCGCCGCAGAGAAGGAGCTCGAGGCAGAGATCGTGGAGGTCGTCGCGGAGGCCAACACATTCGTCGAGGGCTGGGGCCAGATCATCCTCCAATCCGCGAGCGAGATGATCGGTAACGAGAAGTCGCGACAGATATTCGAGTCGATACCGCAAGCCCGCGCGCTGAACGGTGCGTGCTCGCGTTGACTCAGAAACACGTCAGCCGGCTTAAATATGTGCGGGACGATCAGAATCAAAGTACGGCTCGGGCAAGCGTCCGAAGCCCATCGCCCCCGCCATCCCATCTACACCAGCAAGCCCAGCACCCGCACCACCAACGGTCAAGACACCCACCACTCCTTCATCGAAACCAAACGGCCTCCCGCCTTCCTCCAGCGCTGGCGCTGAATCAGCCATCTCCAGTGACGTTGAGGGTTCCGTTTCGCCATCTACACCAGCAACGCCCCGCACACCGTCGAAAGTACGTACCACGTCTTGTGTTTCTCTCAGTCCAATTCTCATACGCACATCCGACAGTCTGCCAAAAAGTCAAAGAAGAGAAAGTAGCGCGTATCGTACATCATCTATATATTCTCTCTTTTTCGTGTCTTTTTATCGTGGGTGCCGCTAGGAATACCCATCCATCCCTGTATCATGAGTATCCGTCAGAGCTGTCCGGGCAAAGAGAATCTGGGTTGCAAAAGTACAATGATGACATATTATGAAACCAGTCGAGAGCGAAACCCTATTCAACGGTGGTCCTGTAGGGTAGAAGAATGAAACACAGCTTGCAATATCGATAACCTTCTTTCCGACACGTCTAGGTTTACCCTCTGATGACGATAGCCTTCTCTCCTGAGCCATTCCGCGCCTTGCCCGACTTGTCGACGTGATCCAACCCAAGGACGTCTTCAGGAGCAAATTTGTGGTCGTAGATCGTATCCTCTGTGTAGCGAAGGGACATTAACTCATGAGCGCACGAGCCAAAGGAAAACGCAAACCCGTACCATCCTCTATGTACGAGGGTTGTTTGAAAGTCGCGGCTTGAATGAGGGCAAATCGGTACTTGGCAAAGTCCTTGTCTGATACGCCAATCCGCGCTTGCAGACGCTTCTTAGTTTCGTGGAACTTCTCGCCCTAGGCTCGCGAACTGCATCAGACTGTGCCAACAGAGAGCCGACGACAGTGAGGAGACGTACGGGTTTCACGACGAACTTGAATGGCACTCCATGTGTTCGTGAGACATCCTTCGAGAAGTGGAATACGCTGATGACCTTGTCCGACTCCTCAGCCCTTAGTTCCTCGATGGGAATTTCCTGTTCGAGTCGAGGTGCTCAGCACTCCACCTTCAGGATCTGGGGTTCAAAACATACCTCAGCATAGAGTTCTACAGGATCAGGGATATTCCCAATCATTTCCGAGTTGGTGAACTCCTTCTGTGTCTTCCCATCCTTCGACACCTCAAAGACGCGGATCTTGCCAGACCCATTGGTAGTCGTTACCTGCTTCAACAGATGATCCGCGAGGTCATGGATCATGCTCGTCTTGGGCAGCAAGAACGAATGCGTCGATTCCTCCTTATTGTGTATGCCCGTCCACGCCACCTTGAGACTGCGCTTCGTCTCGAGCTCGACTATGCTCACGTCGAGCTTCTCGTACAAGATGATGGTCGTCGTTGGGCTGACATATGTCGGCGAGATAATCTCTGCGACACTCTGGTTCAACGAACGCTTGAGAATGGCTTTCGGTGAGCCGTTCGCGGCGTGGGTTGTCGTGAATCTCAGCATGATGGGATCATGTCGCAGCGTTTCTGCCACTTTCTGGGCCATCTACATCGAGAATGCATCAAGTTAATACGCAGGAAAAGAGTGTCTCGACTAGAAATAAAATTTACCGCATCATATGTCTGCTTCTTGCTCAGAACAAGGCTGAATTCAGGACGGTCCTGATCTGGTTCCTCGAACTTGGGTCGGAAGAGGATCATGACACGGTTCTGGAGGAAGTCGTAGAATTGGATGGGATTTGAGTGCAATCCTTGACTTTCCAAATCGTGAACCCTGGGAACCAACCTTGAATAATTTTCTGCAGCAGAGTCAAACAAACGCTTACTCCTTCTCGCTGATGTCCACCTGGAAACACACGACGTCGCCGTCCTGGATTTCACTCTGAGCAAAAGTGACCTTCGGCTTCATGAGCTCAATCATGCCCGGCTTGATCTCCTCGTAAAGCTTCAACGGTGTACCAGGTGTCCAACGCATTCGCTCGTTGATAATCGGGATGAGATCGCTAACTTTACCATTCCGCTGAGCGTAGCACTTGCCGATACCGTGTAGTGTTTGCTTCGATGTGTCGAAGTGTTTCAGGAAGATCATGATGGACCCTGGTGGAAGTTCCGGCTGATATGATGAAGTCAAACGACAGGCATATTACGAGGATCACGGCTACATACTTTGCTTGGCTCGGGGATCACATCCAGATATAGCCGCAGGTCTGTTTGCCTGGCGGCCATGTTGTTGCGGATGACGTCGACGGCTGAGAGACAATGAGACAGACGAACAAGGCGACGACATGAATATAACACGCACTGAGTGTAGGCTCATTCTCTGGGATATGAGTGTCCGGTCGCACAGTCTTGTTCTGACGATTGACCAGGACCCATAGTCGTATCTGAGTTTCTGGATAGTTGAAATGTTGCGCTACTCGGGTTTTGAAAGTACTATAGGTTTCTTGCTTGAGGACGCGGAAGGTTGGGAGCTCTGATGGCGGCCAATTCTTTTCATCGAACGTAGCAAGGTCGAAGCCTTCGTGTTGAGCGAAGGTATCATCCGTGATAACCTAGAGCGTCAAGAGTTCACCTACGCGGTTCGTGACAGATAAGATATCCATACCTTTGCGGTGAGAAATAAATGCTGCTCCTCTCTCTCCTTGCGTTTAGCCTCAATCTGCAGTCTCTCTTCGTCAAGGCGGCGCTCTAGACCGTGCGATCAATATTAGTCAAGTCCAAGAGCGGAACCCATAGCGCGTACTCAAATGAGCCGGCGTGTCTTCCTCCTTGAATGGTGACAGCACCTCGTCGATCCCGGTTTCCCGAATGTACACCAACATGTAAGCGTTGGTGAATCTCTTCATTGTCCGTACCTGGTTGCGCTGAAGAGTTGGCGGTTGTCCATTCATTGATTCACCACCATAGTTTTCCTCCAAAACTTCACGATCAGTAACAGGCGTCACACGGTCGTCGTCGAACTTGAGCCAGCGAGTGTCCCGATCTGGCTTGATGAGAGCGAAATAATGTCCACCGTGAAGATCACCAGAGTGAACTAGTACGCCGTGCAGCTTGTAAACCCATGGTTGGGATCGATCTGCTGTCTCGTCCAAAAATTCACCAAGGTCAATTTCGAACGGAAATTCATGTCGATCATTGATCTGTCAACATGATTGAGCATAAGAGGCGTATTCATAGGCAAAAAATATTTACCTTGACCATTGAATCACGCTGGATATCATACTCGAAACGCTTAAGCTGAAGATGGAGAACGGGGGGGAAGGACTGGAAGATGATGCCCTTCTTCGCATCTTGAAGACCGTAGCCTTCAGCTTGATATTTGTTCTCTCCGTCAAGGGTCTCAACGGCAACATAATCTTTGAAGGAGTCGTACAGGTTTTTCATACCCTTGACATTGAGCTGGATATCTAAATGGAACAATGATTCGCAAGACGTTTATGGCTGGTAGAGGAATTCGATTACCATTGAAGTCTTCGATTCTAGATGACTCGAAGTCCACGTCGACACATTTGATGTAGCTCTTCATTTTGCCTACGAAGAGCTTCGAGATGGCACCCTCAGCTTTTGTCCCCTGTGAAGAACATCAATCAGACCTTAGTGTCGTACAACAAGAAATATGATGCCATACCTTCATTTTCGATTCAAGTTTGTCCTGTAAGATACGGTTCAATTCTTGAACATCATGCTGCAGGAACGAATCAAGGGACTTCCATCCGAAGGATTTAGTCAGTTCGGTTGTGCCTGGTCAAGTGTGTCAATTGGGAGCTATAAAAAGAACTCCCTCTTCTTCCACTTACCGACAGGCTGATCCGATGTTTGTAGATGATAAAACACACGTTGAAGCGCCAAGGCCACGCTCTCCGTGGGGTGATCGTCTTCAGTGGGAATCTGGTATACAGCCTAACAAGAGAATTGATACCAGCAAGAGTGAAAGGGGAGGGGAAAGGCTGACTTTGCGGAAGTACCGAGTGCAATAAAGAGATTGGAGCAAAGAATTGAGATAGCAGGTCGCACCCTGGTTCTTCATTCCAACAAACCCTGTTTCCTTCTTAGAATCGTAGCTATTGAGGGAAGGCGTCAAGGAATATCAGAGACGTCTGGATCGTGCACGTACTTGACAAAATTGTGCCACAGGACCCCAGTTGGGTCCTCGAGTACACGAACGAATACAGAAACCTCGGCCGCCTCGTCTTCAATTGTTGGTCGAGTATATCCCTCCTGAACATTGAAAAGTTTCCGAAGCTCGCTGAAGCGTGTGAAGCCCCAATCGCACTCCTCAGCAATGAAACGATGGTGGGCGTCTGGTCATAACATAATTCAACGACATCGCTGTGCTGTATATCTTATGATCGTACTCACGGCTAACAGTGTAGATTGTTGGATCGTTGGGGTTGGAAATCACGAGCGCGAACTGTGCACAAGCATGCCAGCCTTCTGGGGCCCGCTTGGGATCAGCGTAGTCGAGATATACAGAAACGGTGTCGTTCGGTGGTGCATTTGAGTTGCCGAAGGGGAAGAGTAATATGCGCCTGGTAAGAGCGGCCGAACAGCGCGATAAGCAACGGTCAACAGAGGAAGACACCGACGAGCACTCGCCATTTGTGGCCCCCACACTCAAACTCTGGACCTGTGAGTTTTTTCTCCAGCTTCTTCCAGCCCTTTAGTGGCCATGTAAACACCTTGAATTCCTTCACATCGTGGCCCAAGTCCGGCATATGTTTGGCGGCAAATGCTTCATCTGCGTAAATGAACATCAGTTAGAGACCGTACATCGCAAGGCACGCTGCTGAGAACTCACGGTCTTTCACAGAGACGACCTCGTCGACCTCCATAGGAGGTGTGCCATTGGCTTTCTCGTCCAAAACCTCCATGTCACTCTATGACGCAGTCGTGGTGAGCTCTGAGTCGTGGGAACCACAGAAACAAAGGGCCTTACCATGCTCAACCGATATCCTTGAGGTTCTAGGATGCAATGTGAAGTCCTTTACGAGCGTATAATACAGCACGCGGGACGAAACGAGGACTGAGGGACACTGAGAGATGAGGAACACACACAAGGCGACACTGGGCTTACCGATACAAAAGGTGATGGCTCCCCAGTCTACAGCCCGACACAAGCCGTAGGCGTTAAGACTAAACTCCGACACCTCTGACATCTCAAGTACCTGGGTGTGCAACCACAATACACCGTCTCAGTTCGCAGGAGGGGGCCTCTCGCCCTCTCCTATCCGTTCAGATTTCACGATTGTGTCCCTCCGCGGTCATCTGTGCTCATTGTGCCGACACAGCGACGCACGAAGTTCGAACGCCGATACGTCAGGGACTAATTCTTGGTCAGCATACGTGGTCTATAAAAGACCCTTCTTCGAATTTTCTTCGTCAGTTTATCCTCAACTATATATCAATGCACTCCTCCTTCATCCATATCAAAAAACTATCTAGCGATTCGCGTGTCTAGTGCAATACCCTAGCCATTATTATTTCGCTTCCATGCTACACGATCCTTAAATTGTCTCGACGGGGAGGTATATCACTTCCACCAGCTTTTCCGCTGTCCACCGTCGGTAATGAGTCAAAATTGTGTAATATCAAGCTGTTCGGAGGTGGTTTCTGTTTCAGCTTCGTCTTGAGGCTGGGCAGGTTGGGATTTCTCCCCCATCTTCCTCGGTACGCCTATCGTGATTCATTGACGGTCTCGTTTTTTCGCGGCTGTCATCTTCACATTTTGGGCAAACACTACTTCTTCGCTACCTTGTTCAATTCGTATCCAAACTCTTATATAGCTCGTCCAATACTATCTGCTTTCTGAACACTACATGCTTCATTCAGACCATGAGAAAGACTGTGCTCTCTCCTTGGCTTTGCACCCAGGTCAGACAAGGTGAGAACTGCCGTTTGCATCAAGTCCACCGTGTCTCGCAACCTCATTTCTAAAGCTGAAGCACTGGCATCTGAGTCACTACCGGGAGCCTTGATGTATCTACACCGTACAAAGTCAGAGAAGATCGCATCCGCAATTCATCGAGGTCTTACAGGGTCTTACCAGTCCCGATTTGATTGCCCTCATTCCGCACTATGCCATTTGTCCTCTCAACTCATGGCATACCCTTAGCCCAATCACACTCCCCCGAACGGTGAACACGTTTTTTCGAGGCATACTTCACTCCACACAGGCCTGCATGTCGTTTAATTATGAGTCCCCCCCGCAACAGCGCCCTCTCCGAATAGCTCTGCTGGTGGAGCCATGGTCCCAGAGAGAGGATATCTGAATCGCTCTAGCAGGCACGGTGTAGGGAAGGTATACTTCATCAAGTATCCTACGACAAGTGTCAGATTTTTGTTACGTCTAATCATGCGCTTTCGTTCGACAGTAATCACTAGTTTCGATTATCGGCAATAGTATACGGAATGGGGTGAGCCGATTGATCATGAGTCGAGGAGGATGCAACGATCACAGAGACGAGAGATGAGCGGCGATTGATACGAAAAGGGAACACTGCCACGAGCAGGCGCGAAGTCGAGAAATGGCGGCTCGCAGACGCGTCTGAACCGAAACGGCAATTCTCCCCGGCCTCATGTCTGCAACTGGCCTTCTCTCTACCTCCACAAAGCTGCTCCAGCGTCCTTTCCTTCAAAACATCTCCCGGCGCACTCCAACTCTGCGCCCATTGCTCTCCCTGTATTCCTCACTCACTCGTCGATATCGACTCATCCCGGACCCGGTCCGTCCGGTATGAACCAGTATAAAATATGGAGAACTAAACCCGACGCACATCTCGACTATGACACCGACCGTCCACGACAGAAAACATCCGCGAAACAAACAACCGCCGACCCGCGTGTGAGCAGCAGGGCGGACGGGAAGCACCATCAGTCTAGTCGCGGGTACGTGTCCGAGGGCCATATTTCCTCTCGGCCACCTGCGCATTACAACACAGTCCCCTCTTCGAGCAAGGCCTCTCGTTCCGCTAATGCACCCTCCTCGACACAGTATCCCCCATCCTCCTCGCAGTACCCTACGGCATCGTCTCATAAATTACCGCAATCAACTAATGTCGTACCAACTACTTCTGCTCAGAGATTCCCCGAGGCTGTTCCTGGCACGCGGGCGCATCACCAAAGATCTGCAACCGCCGACCGAATCACGCCTTCCGTTGAAAAAGCTCGCGTTGCAGATGATCTTGGTAGGAGCTCTCGCCAACGACCTCCGAATCCTGGGCAAGCCCTGCCTACGTCCGGTGCGGTGCCGTTCACCAGTCAAACACCAGGATGGGCTCTTCGTCCCCAGGAACCACGGAAATCTTCAAGTCGGCATCAGCAGAGCGGCACGGATGGGAGGCAGGAGGCAGAGAAGGCAGAGAAAGCTAAGGAGAAGGAGATGCGAAGGGAGGAAAGGCGCCGGGAAGAGCAGCGTCAGGCAGAGCTTCGACAGGAGGAGGCGCGACTTGAAGAGGAGAAGCGCAAAAGGAAGGAAGAGCGTCGCAGAGAGAGAGAGGAACGACGCAAGGCTGAGGAGAGGTTTCAGGAGCAGAAGGCGCGGGAGGAGAGGCGTAGAGCCGAGCCGAGCCGAGCTGTCGAGGATCCATCTCAAGGTGTTTCTTATATGCAGCCAGTGGCGAAGGAATCCCGACATGGTCGTATCAGGGAGTCTGACGAGTCTGACGGTTCACTGCGGAAACCTGTGTCCACACGGCACAGGAGTCACCATAAAGAGCACAGCTTGCCAGTAAACACCGGCGTAAGCGCTCCATATTTATATTTCACAGAAGCCGTTGAACGCCTTTTTCTGCTAGATTATTACGACTAGTCAACACAATATTTCGCAGACTAGTATCCCTGCTGCGCATCATTCGGATAATACTTCAGCGAATCTCGGTCGTAAACACCTCACGGCTCTTCAGACATCCGTTGCTCAATCAGGACAACCAGCCGAACGAACAAAGCATTCCAAGCGGTCCAGGTCGCAAGGCGAGACCGTGCCTTATCCTCCTGGCTATGCAGTGAATGAGAGTCAACCGGCTCCAAGGACAGAGCAGGTAATTGTCTGTGCAGACTCTATACTAATCCGCATCAACTTACCTCCCCATCTAGCGCAGCCACAAGTACGACACTGTTCGGTCACTCGGACAAATTGCCGAGACCTCGACCAGTCGCAGTACGACTGTTCCAACTCAAGGAGCTTTGGCGTCTCAGCAGAAAGCAGCGACTGTCGGACGCTCGTCACGCACGCACGAGGTGCGTGCTATGTAGCGGGTTTAGTTTCAAGTACTCATATCAGTATCGTCTAGAAACAGCCCTCAAGGAATGGACTCCCTTGGCCATTTGATCGTTCGGAGGCTTCACCTGCTCCAAAGCAGGAGAAGCAAGACTCGACGCCTGCGCCTGCACCTGCACCTCCAAGGGTCATCCATTCGAACCCTTCGCCTATCATAAGCATCAGGGCCGGCCAAGGTCCGTCCGACTCGCACCTACCTGAGCAGACTGTGAAGCAAAAAGCTCATCTGCGTCCTTCTGTGTCTGGAGATGTAAACAACCACTCTCCTCCCGAACATGCTTATCAGCCATCCCTGCGCCCCAATCCTGTCGAGAGCCATGCACAGGAGCCTCCACGTCCTCCTTCTACCCAGCCAATCTATCCCTATGCTCGTTCAACGTTGCCTGTTGGTCAATGGTCTGGCAATGCTGCCTCCTCACGAGCAACGACACCGCATCCAAATCAGGAGGAGCAAATACTGATGGTCCCTTCTGCTGCAATACTCCCTGTGAGATCTCTATCCCATGATCATCAAGCCGAGTCAGCTCGCTCTCCGGCGCCTGCACGTTCTTTTACACCCGCCCCGCCTCCATCTACTCCCGCTCCAGTACCGTCACGCACCCCATCGCATGATAGGGATATGTGGGGAGCCACAATGACATCTGGCAGCCAACCAGGACCCTCTCAGTACATGTCTTCCTACGCAGCTCTCCAGTCGGTACAGACACCTCGGCAGGCTCCATCTCCGCAAGCCTTTCCAAATCACTTTGCTGGAGCTTCTTGGTCAAACAGCACAGCACAGAATTCCACGGCTCAACCCTATCACGCTTCCAATGCCTCTCCTCCGAAGCACTCTCCACTTGGCGCGGCGGCGACGTACAACGCACATGATACCAATTCCAGGCCCATAGCGCCATATAGCGATCCTAGCCCTGCTGTGCCAGATCTTGCTTCTAGGTTCCCTTTCCGTGAAGATGTCGTAGAACCTACTACGGTATTCCATCAATATTCTTCGTCCACGAGCCAGCCGCCTTATCTTCACCCTTCCCAGGCCTATCAATCTGATTTTGGCACTGCGTCAAAGGACAGGCATGGAAGACAGGACACGCAGTACAACCAGACGCCGGTGCCTAATCCATCATATCCAGCATACGGGGTGACTTTCCAAACACCCAAACCCGCCAAGGTTTCCCCAGGACAAGGATCGCGGACCACGCCGCACAATACCCCTCCCAAGGAACCACCTGTGGTGCAGCACTCTCAGCCAACTCCGGGTCCATCTTCTCAGCCCCTACCACGTTCTACTAACGATCATCCGTATGCTCACGACCCCTCACGAACTAATGTCTCCCAAGCGATGTTCTACAATCCGACTCCTTCAACATACCCTGCGACCTCAGTATACCCCTCCTCGTCTCAGACGCATGTAGATGCTACGCATGCCCCGAACACCGCCAATGTAGCAAATTCGAATTCCATCAGCCATCACCAGCATCGATCCACTGGTACCAACCCTTCTCCACGATCCCAAACTTTTCCTGTTGCAGCAACTCCTGCCATTACTCGAGTCACATCACGCACACCCTCACATGAGACAGGATCAACGACACTACTGGGTCATACTCCATCTTCACAAGGCTCCATCCTGATGCCTCCAGTGTCACCTGCTGTTTATGGCTATACGGTCTCCAACCCTCCCACCAGTCATAGTGCTCAACAGCCGGTAGTTTCGGCCCCGTTTAATGGCCCATCATCCATACAGCCAATCTCTCGATCGGCTCCTCCTTCGACTCCCGCTCCTCGCCAGACGAACATTCGACATCATGCATACGTCCCATCACCCACCATCCCCTCCACCACCACTCCAGTGCCACCACCTCCTGCACCTACACGATCGCAATCGCAGCCGAGTCAACCTAGGGCCACAACATCGACCGTGCCAGCGCGCTCTTATTCGCAGACGCAAATTGTACCAGATCCAGTTTCCGCGCCGCGGTATGCGAATGTTCCTATGGCTAGTTCTTCGTATGCTCCCCGCACCCTAGTGCCGTCTCCATCCCCTGAACCGGAAATCCTGATGACACCATCATCCATAGCGCGATCTCCAATGAAGCTTCCTGTTTCTCCTGCTCCTGTCGTGCAGACCTCTTCACAGTCCTATCAGGAACAGAAGAAAAAAGGGGGGTTATTATCTGCGCTTGGACTTCGTCGTTCAAAGATAACATCGAGACAACCACAACCTCCATCCCCTCCCCAATTAAAGCCAGTGGTCAGCCGTGAGGCTCAAGGATCGGTACCGGCCAAGGTGGTGACTTCGGAAAAGTCAACACCATTTCCTGTGGATCCACGTACCAAGGTCGCGACGACGTCCTCGCGTCATGGGATGGCCGCGCCTGTAGCAGTTCCAATTCCTGGACATCATATCCGTGAGAGGAAGACGAGTGGGTCGTATGGCTTTGGACCGTTTCGCTTGCTTTCCAAAAGACATCGCACAGTCTCTGCTGCATCAGCCGAGGCAGTGGACGGCACGAACGCGGTGAGTGTTAGACTTCTGATTATATTTACTTTCCGTGAACGCGAACTTATACGCTTGGCCGTCCTTGTTTCTCAGGCGAGCACCATCATCACGTCACCAGCTGGATCGACTCGCAGTCCGACCCCAGGACTTCCACCACCTCAACGCGATCCGGTGCAGGCCGCGGGAGACTGGCGAAACCAAGAGGAAGAGAAGGCTCGTCATCGCGGCGGCGCGCGCAGACGGAGACCCGGCGTCACGTTCGAGGGGTACGAATCGGACCACCCCCAAGCGGAACAGCACAAGCAGGGATACGTCGCTCGTATGCGGAGTCGATAAGATTGCCACTGCCAGCACGTTCTGTTACCTTGGCTCATCGTTTTCTGCTTTGCTCTTTTTTGCTCTTCTATTGCTCTCGAAGTTGTCATCCGCTTTTTGAGGTTTCACAAGTATGGAACTTGGGTGTTGCATATGGATTTATGAAAACCGTGTATTTATATGACATCGTCGGCTTTTATCTAAATTGTATCTGGCAACGCGAGTGCTATCTGACGACTGGTCCCTATAACATTTTCCCTGACCGTTCGCATATGCGCGACAAGATAAAATTTACCCTGCATTTAATTTCTCGTGTTGATTCAGAGGAAAATACAAGACGGCATGGTGAGATCGGAGGTAAATTTTGGGAAAATTATGTTTTTAACCAAAGTTTACTCCCAATCTGCCATTGTCAATCGGAATTGATATTAATTCAAATTCGCGACCTGAACGCGTGACGTAACGCGATCTCGTGTCGGCGCGTCCGATGAGATCTTGGAACTTTCTCTCTCTATCAAGTACGGCTCTCAACCGATTCATCGAGGTACACGACCGAACACCATGTACAAAGGAAGACAAGGAAATCTTGAGGTTGAAAAACACTCAGGTCTGAAATATCCTCACCGGCTCAACTTGTTTGTCCGATCTTTCTCGTCTCAAACAAGGATGTCAGCACTGACTTTCAGGTGCAGCTATGACAAACCACCAGTAGACGATATCACCGTGGAGGAATTCGAGACGTGTGCCATAGACCGCTTGCGCGTTCTGGCAGAGATAGAGTCCTGCTTCGCGCGCAACCGACCTTACGATGAACTGAGGACCATTGCCATCATGCAGTGCGAGAAGCACCTCCCACTCAACGCCACAAGCGCGTATACGGTGGACAGAGATGCGCAGAGGAGAAAAGATCACATCGGACACTTCGTTCTGCGTTTGGCATTCTGTCGCTCGTGAGTGGAATTCTTCCATGCCCCTCAATGCCCAGCTTAGAGACGTAACTCGTTTCGTAGCGAGGAGCTGCGTCGACGCTTTGTTAAGGCAGAGGCAACATTGTTTCGTGTAAGATATGACACGGATGGCGCTGCCGAAAGGAAGGCGTTCCTGAGCTCCAGAGACTTTGCATGGTCTTTCGTATGTAGAACGTTCTGCAGCCCGCTCTGCGACTGACAGGCTCTGGAAAAGGTGGACGACAAGGAAAAGGCCATGTATGCTTCTCAGCTTGAGGCAGCTACATCCGGTATCAGGGTCTTTGATACATCTACAGATAAAGCAGAAGATTTTTTCAAGGTGATGCGCCTTCTCCCTTCTCCATCGTCGATATCCTTCATAACAAATTTATTCAGGTTAGATGGACTCGTGTACCAGATCTTGTCGAAAAACGCAAAGTGTTTCTCAAGGGCGGGTGGGCCTATGTTCCCGCCCGAGAACAGTCCAGCATCGTGTTTCAGGAATTCCAAAATCACCTCGAAAAATCTTTGGAGGTACGCCGAATTAACGTTGTACTTCCTTTCGCTCTCATCTGATCTCTTCTTTTTTTCTTTTTTCTTTTTGCAAATACAGGTGACCGCCAAAGCACTTCCTCGACTAGACGAAGATACGCGTCTTGATCCTATCCTCGCGAACCTCTCGCAAGGTTTCCTAGCTGGCGCATCATCCGAATGGGCGGATGGTTTGAAATCCGTCGATGGTATCACAGCTGACATGGTCGAAGACCTCTCGCGGAAACATTTCCCGATGTGCATGCGGAATCTTCAGGATAATCTCAAGCAGAAGCGCCATCTCAAACACTTCGGTAGGCTACAGTATGGCCTTTTTTTGAAGGTAAGCAGTCACGACGTGCTTGATTGCCATATACTAAATGCTACTACATTCTACCTCTCAAGGCTCTTGGCCTGTCGGTGGATGAAGCGCTCTTATTTTGGCGCAGAGCTTTCAGTGGCTTCACAGATGATCAATTCAACAAAAATTACAAATATAACATTCGGCATTCGTATGGATTGGAAGGCAAGCGAGCTAATTACCCCGCGAGGAGGTTTGTTCTCCAGCAAATTTTATCTTTGCGAGGGCCTCCTGAAATATCTCCGATAGTTGTCAACAGATCCTGACGAGCGATCAGCCGGGATCGAGCGACTCGCACGGCTGTCCATACCGCCACTTCTCTATCGACAATCTGCAAACGGCCCTACTCTCAGCCTACTCTTCACAAGGTCTGACGTCGGCCGATTTACCAGAGATCCTCAACACGGTCAAGGGTGGCCACTATCACGTCGCGTGCACACGTGTGTTCGAGATCACACATGCAAACAGGGGTGTGAAGAAGGGTGAGGGTGTCGGAGGCGGTGAGAGTATCACACACCCGAATCAGTACGTTACAAGGAGTATGGAGTTGGAGAGAGCGGCGATTGAGGCGGTCAAAGTGGAGGTAGACGGAGATGTTGTGATGGGTTCTTGATTGTGCGATACCTATGAGCGTGTATTTATAGATTGGCTAGATACGATTGTCCATACCATTGCAGTCATTGTGCCATGGCAAGGGAGATTGAATGGCATCAGTCTGGGGTGGCAACGAAGTGAAGCGAATCTATTGTGCCACAGGGCTCAGGCAGTACACTTCGTCATTTGTTCAACTCCTGAACAGATGATTTGGCATGTAATCGAGGGGGGGTCGGAGAAGGTACAGAAATGTGGTGGATTCTGGCTGAGGTTCTATTAGGGATGATTCGCATTGGCAGTAAACATTGAGAGTTGAGTTACGCCCTGTTACAGCCTGATACATCTTGAGAATGGCTGACAATATTGGTGGGAGTTGTACAATGATCGCGGATGTCGTGAGATGAATTGTTAAAGATCTTTAGGAGCGGGATAAGGTGAAGTTCAAAGAGATTTGCGGTATGGTGACGTAGGCAGATAAGTCGATAGCTTGTGGAATATTGTGTGCATCACTGTGTTGAGGGGCTTGAGCTTCGAAGGAGGGGGGCGGAAAATTTCTCTCCTGAACCACCAGGAGGAACTCGGGGCGCAGATATGTGCGGGGGCAGGAATAGATGGGGGGAGAGCGAGAGGCGAGCGAGAGGGTGGGCAACGGGATTGCGGAGACCAAAAGCTGAATTGGGGGCTGTTTCCGCATGCAATAGCCCACCTCGCTTGCACCGCGATGACAATTCTGGCAACCCACGGCCAATCCATTTCAACCGTCCAATTATTGCTCTAACGATCCATCATGCAAACTGGTCGCTCACAGATGTCGTCCACGAGCTCGGAACCGCCAAAATGGAGATGGACTTGGATTCTCACCGCGACATTCGATGAGGAGCAGAGACGCTGAGATGCCTTCGAACGTCTAACGGTTGGATTTGCTTGCAAATTGGGGTCTGAATTCTGGTCTGGGTGATGGTACCATGCATTATTCTTTTCTTGTCATAGCTGTTTGCCTTGAAGCCTAGGAGCCCGGAAGCCACTTCACGGCGACTTGTTGCAGGCAAGGTTCTACAAGTACTCAGTCAATCCGCAGCATCAATCCCAGATTCTTGACGATCTTCTTGTCTTCTGCTTGCATGTCGAAACATTCCTGGATAGCTATCAATCACTCAATCCGAGTGCGCCTCGTCGGGTTTGACAACGACGGACAGGCTTGATGGAGAGGGCTCAGTGGCCATTACTAGGCTTTTGCGGTTTTCAAACCCGAAAAGTGCGTTGGTGAGTTTTTGAATCTTGTCTTGGCTCGGTTTTCCGGGAAACACAAGCAGGGGGGCAGGCTTGATGTTCTTCGTCGTTCACACCAGACGGAGTACGTGTCACGCGTCACATGAAATGTCACATGTCTGCACCCGTTTGTTGTGGTCTGTGATGCCCTCCATGACGATGGTCGACAAAGGGAACAGTGTCGCGGGAATTGACACGAGTGTTTCCTCTATTTTGTTCGGAGGCAGAGCTAAGCAGAGATGTGTGCGATGAGCGGTATTGGAAATACCAGATGGAGGATGCACAATGAGGCCTAGACTTCTCGTTTCAGATTGCCCTCGCACACTGGTTCACAAATCTGTCTAGAACAGTTGCTTGCGCAGTGCAGGATAGCGGGACTGGTACGGAGATGGCCTAGGCTCCCCATTCTCCATCAGACATCATTGTCCAGTCAAGCAGTCTTCCGACTTTGATCATTGTGCCAAGTGGGTGCAATGCAAGCATCTCTGCATATTCGAGTTTACAGCTCTGATAGAGCTTTGGAGGCATTCCAAGAGACATAGTCGTGTCATTTGCATATACTTCTGCCCCAGAGGGTCCTTTCGAGCGCAGATTGTCGTTGTCGAGGTACCCAGTTGATATGCAGAATGCGTGTTCGTGCAGAAACGGGGAGTTGTAGGCGCGTGCGCGCCGCGTCGCGGCGAGCTCGAGAGCATGCCAATTGGCATTTTACGGCTTCTTCCTTACCTTGAGAGTTCACCGCTCTCCTAATAAATAGAATGCTCAAGCTTGCCGAGAGGCTCGCTTTTTGTCCCTCTAACCGTCACTCCATCTTGTATCGACATGCAGGAAGTTGTTCAAGACCGCCCTGTTCCTTCAGAGCTGAACGTGGACGACGGTGACTACGAGGTTTACCTGTTTTGGCCCTCGTTGAGACTTCAGGAATCCCCGAATTCAGGAAATGAGCATAGTATATATGGAGTTCGTTTGGGAGTGCCTTTTGGTCGAAGCAATACGTACTCACGATCTTCGCAACAGCCTGTGTTGCCTTCATTTGATTTCGATGACTACTGGGATGGATTAGCGTCCCCTCCCGCGGTGCGTTCGGTGTTTCTTTCAGCGCGTCATTGAATTGACAACGCGGCCCAGTTGCCTCTTTCTTTCTCCGAGACTACCAATTACCGATTCCCCAATGGAAAACGTATGATCAGTGAGCCTGAGCGCGAGCCTGTGCAGACTGGCTACAGCCAGCTCGTAAAGATGGGTTTGCTCTTTTCGGTGAGTACTTGAATCTTCAATTTTCATCCTTCTGGCTAGTGACGCACTCGTTCTGTTTTCTTTTTTGCATCTTGTGGGGATTGACCACGACTGATTTGAACTTGGATCGAGCAGCAGGTCAGCCATAGTTTGGATTGCGTCTGGGACAAGGTTCGCGTGATCCTGCAAAAGGCCAAACGAAGCCCTGGTTGAGGTCCTTGATGATGATGACGTTCGCGCGGGGATTGGCTATCTTTTTGAAATATATCCGACTTGTAGGACCGCTTGTGAACAACGGCAATAACCAATGCGATATTGTGCACGACGCCAACGCCGGAGATTCAAGTGAAGGCTGCGTGTCGATTACGTAACTACAGTGTCCTGCAAAAAGGGACCGAAAGGCTCCGCTGGAGCGGTGTTCTGCCTTCCTTGTCCTCTCCGTCCTGTGTCGCGTTCATCCATCTCACGAAGACATCTATTTTACGAATTCTATGAGTAAACGCAAGCCTACGCCCACACAGCCTAGCTCTCCTAATGGCGGCGAGATCTTGCACCAGTACCCAGACACGGACGGTCATTTCTCTTTGGTCAGGCGAGTGCTTCATGTTTGCACACAAAATCACCAACGGAACACTTATGTGTATATATGTACACCTCTCCGACGTACAGGAATTTCAGGCTTGCTGACCTCGTCACCATAATGAACGGCGTCTGCGGCTCATTCTCCGTGTTCTCGTCGGCGCGGTACCTCCTTACGAACGACGAGTCGTATCTGTGGATGGCGCACCTGCTCCCCCTTGCGGGATTGATGTTCGATTTCTTCGACGGCAAAGTTGCGAGGTGGAGAAAGTCCAGCAGCATGATAGGCCAGGAACTCGATTCGTTGGCCGACCTCGTACGTCTCGTCTCGCCCTCTCGTGCGAAAGATGCCGAACGAGCACTCATCGTCGATCGCACTTGTGCAGATATCGTTCGGCGTCGCGCCCGCGGTTTTGGCGTTTGCTGTCGGCCTGCGCACCTTCCTGGACACTGTCGCGTTGACCTGTTTCATCTGTTGTGGACTCGCTCGCCTCGCCCGGTTCAACGCGACCGTTGCAAGCGTTCCCAAGGATGCCACAGGGAAAGCGCACTACTTCGAGGGTCTCCCGATCCCCTCCTCGCTGGCTCTCGTCAGTCTCCTGGCATGGTGGACAAAACACGGATGGATCGAAGGCAAGGAAGGCATCCCATGGGGCAAGGTCGCCTTGTGGGAAGGGCAAGACGGTGCTGGAGATATTCACTGGGTGAGCTTCGTGTTTGGACTATGGGCCGCGGCAATGGTGAGCAAGACGTTGCGCGTGCCCAAACTATGATTCGAGCTGAAGCGGGTCGAGGGTCGCCGGGAAGGGATGGACGGACTTTTCTTGACTAGTTTACGACGTGATGTTTACCACATGGTACAATGTAAAAAGCTCCTATATAGTTAGTAGCGGAATTTCTAGTCCATTAAGAACTCTGCTGGACCTGCGTCTCCTGCATGTACGAGTACATACTTTTGCGGATACGAACACGCGGGTGTGGCGTGGCATCAGCCTGGCGGCGTCGGACGCGATCATAATTAACGCGCTTTTCGTCGCGTCTTTGTCTGCAGCTCCGCCATGCCCTCTCGCGACGACGCCCAAAAACTCTTCATCCAGGCCGTCCTATCCCGCAGATACCTCTCGAAAAAGCTGACGGAACTTTTGGTTGGCAGATGCATCGCCGCTGTCCGAGGTAGGCTTTGCTCTGGCTGTCTCACGATACAAGCTGCCCATGTCTGGCGGTATCAGCTGCGGATGATACCCTGAACATCAACGACAACTACGACGCGTTCATAATATCGGTCAACAATGCGTTGGACCCGCTGGACCTGGAGCTGGCGTTCCTCCACGACGAGATCACCGGGAGGCAAATGTGTGCACTGGTAACCCATCCATTCCCTCATGATCCTCCCCACCCGCTTATCTTTTCGCCGCACACAAAAGGTCAACCGCAAGGGCGACGAGCTCGCGCAGATAGCGACCGACTACTCGCCGCTCGAAATCGCGTACTTCAAGGCCCTCGTAAATCCCGCTCTCTCATCTTTACGCCCGCCCGTCCCCACGCACCTGACGCGCTGCCCTTCTCGACGCACAGGTCGAGCGCATCATGCTCGCGCCGAACGAGTCGTACTCCGTGTCGTCACTTGCGGCGCTGCGCGAGACCGCGGCGCTCAAGTCGAGCATGACGAAGACGCAGGCGGAGATCGTGCTCGCGAGCTTCGTCGCGAAGGGATGGCTGAACAAAAGCCCGTGCGTCGCCCCAGTTCCGCGATCCACACGCACACGCACACACAACACTGACCACTGGTGCGGCGGAGCAGCCGCGGCCGGTACTCCCTCTCGACGCGCACGCTGCTCGAGCTCCAGCCGTACATCAGATCGACATACGCAGACGAAGTCGTCGAATGCACCGTCTGCTTCGAGGTGCGCCTCCTCTCCACGCCCCATCCCCTACCCCCTAGACAGAAAATCCAAGCGCTGACGCGCTCCACGCACGCGCCAACCCGCCCCACGCACGCCCGCGCGGCGCAGATCGTCACGCGCGGCATCGGCTGCTTCACCGCGAACTGCAAGGCGCGCCTGCACGACCACTGCTTCGCGAACTACCGCAACAGCAAGCACAAGTGCCCCGCCTGCACCGCCGACTGGTCCGCGAACGAGAAGAGGCTGCTGTTCGTCGGGGAGAAGGCCGCCAGCGCGGACGACGCGAAGAGGAGGGAGCGCAGGAAGAAATCTGGCGCGGGGAGCGACGAGGAGGAAGAGGGCGAGCTGAGCCAGGATTTTGTGGCGGACGACAGTCAAGAGATGATGGAGGTGGAGGCGAATGCGACCCAAGCCGATCCTGAGCCGACGCAGTCGCAGCCAAATGGAAGGAATGGCCGCAGTCGCGCCAAAGCACCGAAGTCCGTCTCTGTTTCAAATCTCTCCTCGACGTTTCAAAGCTCATGTACACGACATCTACAGTGCATCTCAAGTAGACGAATCGATGGACGTCGACGAAGAAGACAGTCCCCAGCCAGCCCCAGCCAGGAGGAGCAGGCGGAAAAATTAAAGTCACGAAGCATTGACGTCTATCTTAATACCAATGTATTACAATCTCAATCATACACTCGGACCCATACCCTGTACACTGCCAGGCGCAGCCACCTTGCCCTCCTCTGACGGGGGCTCGGCCAGCCGGTGTGAGAACCCGAACCGATCCTTGCCCCAGACCTGCCGCTTGCGATGCTTGCGCCCCTCGCCGAACTCTTCGTTCCACTTGCGAAGATCGGCCAGGCTGCCGAGGGACTCGGAAGAGGAGGGCGTGATCTCCTTCAGTGCCTTTGTGAAATTGTGCAGATGGAGGATGCGACTGGACGCAGGGGGCGGCGAGGCTTCGGCCGGTGCCGCGAGCTTCGGCGGCGCATCCTTTGCCGCGTCTTCAGCAGGCTCCGTCTCCTTCACGTTCACGTCGGCCACGATAGCGGGGACACTCTCGGGCACTTTGTCTGGCGACGTTTGAACAGGTCCGGCCTGCGATGTCAGTGCCCACGGAACGACGACGTTCTCTTTCACAGCATCCAGAGCTGCAGCAACGCACAGATCTGCGACATAAGAGCATCAGTAAAATAGAAAAAAAATACACATACACCGACTGGCCACTCACGTTTCAGATCCGAGCCCGAGAAGCTCCCAGTCAGCTGCGCGAGCGCCTTCAGATCAATGTCTGACGCAAGCGACTCGTCACGCAGAAGGATCTTGAGGATCTCCTCGCGCTCCTTCTCGCCAGGAAGGTCCACCAGCAGTCGGCGGGGCAACCTCCGGAGCACTGCGTCATCGAGATCGAACGGTCTGTTCGTCGCGCCGATGACGATGACGTTGTCCTCCCTGGATGACCTCAGACCGTCCATCTCCTGCATGAACTGCGTGATGACGCCTCTGTGCGCGATGGCCCCACCCGACGCGCGCGCAGAGGAGCGCGCACCGAAGAGGGCGTCGATCTCGTCGATGAAGACCACGCACGGCGACAGCTGCCGAGCCAGCGCGAAGACAGCGCGCACGAGTTTCTCGCCCTCGCCGACGTACTGTTGATGATCACGTGAGAAGCTGTGCGACGAACGAGCGGACTCGATCTCACCATGTCCATGACGTCCGAGGGCGAGATGGCGAGCATCCGACATCCCGCCTCCTTTGCGAGGGCTCGAACGACGAGCGTCTTGCCGGTTCCTGGGGGCCCAAAGAGCAGACACCCAGTCATGCCGTGCTCCTTCAAGATACCGTGCTGGAACGCTAAGGGGTGCAAAAGCGGTAACGATACCATTGTCCGTATGGCATCGATTGTATGAGTGGGCAGATGCACTTGGCTGAAAGACGTCGGCATAGAGGCTATAGAAAGGGCGTCAGCGCACAGGAACGAACTAGCAAACTGAGATACTCGCTTGCGTCGACGATGCATCCCAACAACTCCTGCTGATGAGAATCGAGCTCGGGATCCTGCTTGAGGCGTTCGACGACCTCGTCCGTCCCTTCGGCCGTCTTGCCCTCGTCCCCGTCTTCGTCCGCCTCTTCTTGCTCCCGAGGCGACTTGACATAAGACTTTTGCATCCACGCCTTGCGAATATCATGTGAAGTTCGCTGAGCAGCCCAAGCTCTATGTATATCTCCCCACCCAACAACGACCGTCTCGAGAGTGCCCGCCTTCGCGCCAGATGTCGCCGCTGAGCCTTGCGATATCATGTTCCCGACCGCTTGATCCGCGATCTGCTTCACAGCGGACCAGTTCTCTATGCGGTTGCCCCAGTCCTCCCACATCTTCTTGGCGTCGGTATCGCTGGCCGACTTTTCGCCTACGGCCAAGCCGTCCGCAGAGGACCCGTCTGGCAAGCCGTGCGTCCGATGGAGCACGCCGCCAACGGCACCCACGCCCATCCGCATCGTCAACTCGTTGATCTCCCTCCGTCGGGCCATCCGACACGCCTGCTCCTGAGACGCCGACCGGAGCGTAGGCACCAGGATCGAAGTCCGGAAAAAGGGCGACTGCTTCGGCGACTCGGACGGACCACTCGGCCTCGCGCCCGCGCGCCCGACGATCCCAGATTCCAAGAGCCTGCTGAACCCACTAGACCCGCCGATCACGACGACGCCCGGCGGGCCGCCCAGACCGCCGCGCTCGTCGCCGCCCTGGTCCTGCCCGACCAAGAGCTTCGGCAGGTCAGCGTACAGCGCCGCGTCGCCCTTCTCCCACTTGCGCAGGCGCTCCCGCAGCCGCTTTTCCCTCGACTTTTGCGCCGCCTCGTCCTCGCTCCAGTCGGACTTGCCGGGTCGCGCGGCGGGCGCGTTGGCGGCGGAGGGCGAGCTCCTGCTCATGAGGAGATTGACGATGCCCTGCCCGCCGAGGTTGGGCGCGGACGTGGACGGGGGCTCGGCGATGGGCGGTGCGATGCCGAACACGATCGTCACGGGGCTCGCGACAGGACCGGAGGGGCTGACGAGGGCGCCCTGGCGCCGCTGGCGGACAGCGGCCACGAGCGCGGGATACCAAGAGGCGGACGAGGCGGACAGGGTGCCAAAGTCGCGGACGTAGATGATGCGCGGCCTGCGTGAAGACGACGATCCCGGGGTGTCTGGACCGGGTATGTTGACTAGGCGGTCGAAAAAATCACGCATGGCTGCGGATTTTCCGCGGGCGGGAGAGGTCGCAGCGGTGCGAGCGGCACGGGAGGGCGTCATGATCTGGAAGGTCATCTGCGAGGGGATGCCCATCGGGGACATGTCGGGGGTCTCATCGTCCTCGTAGAAAGACTCGAGTCGCGCAGGGCGCGCGGGGGAGGGGGACGGGGAGGCGAAATGGAGGGGGTTCGGGGAGAGCTGAAGGCAACTGGCAGCTTGGGGGTGCGGGGCATGCATCAGTCAGCACAGCACGCGGTATGCCTGGAAGGATGACTTGGGACTCACATGGACCGAAATGACCGTACTGCGCAGCGGCGAGCTGGACGGCGTCCAGGACGACGACGTCGGCCTTGGTCTGGCGAGCCATCTCGCGGACGGTCTCGTCGACGATGTAGTCGCCCCCTTCGATCGGACAGTAGAGCGCAAGGGTCGGCTCCACCGGAGGGCCCGAGACGGAGGTGTACGCGGCCTTGTGCTGCGTCTGGGGATGGAGGGTGATCCACAGGTTGTTGAGAGCCTCCTCGTATATTTCTGGGGGCGGGAGAACAGTCGCATTGGAAGGTTCTGCGAGAGATTCGGGGGTCCATAGGACATCTAGGTCGCTGGGCAGCCGGGGCGGGGGCGGGGACTCGCCCGGGGCTGTCGCCGACGACGAGTTTGCCTCGGACGGTCCGACCGAGTCGTCTGCAGGGCGTTCCTCGCCATCGGGGGGCGGAGGGTGGACGGAAGGCGGGGGAGGAGCGCTGGAGGAGGAAGCACGCCTGTACACGCGGGTGTTTCTGGGAGGGGGGTCCTTCCTCGGATAGCAGGCGGGATTTGAGTAGGAGAGGAGAGCGCGGATGGGGTCGGTGGAGGACCTTCTGAGCTGCAGCCGGGCCCTGCGCAGAATAAATTGGGAGCGCATGCGCCTCGTCCGTCTTCACCAGCAGCGGTTAGTCCTCCAGCCCACTCGCTGACTCAACTTTCTCACCGCAGCGGCTGACTTCCAATTCACCGTTCCCGTCCGGTAAAAATGTCGAATTAGTACGGAATATCACAGTCGGGCACCCAGCATGTAGTGTATGCAATAACGAGGCTCATATGTAGAAAGCTGACGCGCTCGGCCGTGGCGAAACACCAACGCACGCTCGTCGCTCACACTCCGCACACGACCCCCGCTTACGACGCCTTGGACCGCATCCCCTCCTCCCGCGCCTGCTTCCTCTCCGCGAGGTCCACCCCCACCAGGATCTTCGACGCCTTCCACAGCTGCACGACGTTGATGATGTTCTTGATGAACGAGATGATCCCCGTCGGGATCGCGATCAGTTGCGGCCACGTCAGGTCCTCCACGAGCGGGTGCCCGAGCCCGATTGGCGTCTGCACCCACTTCATCAGGTACAGCGCGACGAAGAACATCTCGTTGCCCGCGCAGATCACGAACAGCGTCCGCTATCCGCGGTCGCGTCGCGTCAGGTCAGGTCAGCCCGGTCGTGTGACGCTCAACGGACCGCGCGCGCGCGCGGGAGACGGGACTCACGGAATCGTTATAGTACAGCCATAGGATCCGGCTCACGTCGCTCGTGACGAGCTTATGGCTGCGCGAGCCCGTGACGAGCGAGCTGGCGGGAGGTGCGGGCGCTCAGGTCAGGGGCGATGAACGGATATAGACAGGACGGCTCCGCTACCTGTACATGTGCATGTAGTGGCTCGCGAAGTCCAGAGCGATCAGGAACTGGAAGAAGAGGGCGAAGTCTGGGTATACGGAGGCCAGATAGCATAGGAGACACGACGTGGTGCATCTGCGCGTTCAACGTCCCCTCTGTCAGTCGTGCGACGCGACCCGTGCGGCGGGGCAGCCAGCAACGCACCTGTCGGTGACCATATCCAAGACGGCACCGAATTTTGAGGTTTGGCCCAGCGCCCGCGCCGCCTGGCCGTCCACGGCATCCAACAGACAGGAGATGCAGTACGCGAGCGTGCAGTACTTCGGATGGTAGCTCATGAAATGCAGCGCGACAGCAGCGAGGAGGACCCGCGAGTAGCCTGGGCGGCAAAGTAAGCGGGGCGCGCTGCTGCTCATGAAACCCTATGAGAACCTACCGATAAGGTTGGGCACGAAGAGAAAGACATTCTCAGAGTAGGTCTGTGCCGTGGCGAGATCGACGGCTTGTTTTGGGTCGACGACGTCCGAGTGTCTGCGGCGACGCTGGATGGGCTGTTTTCCTGACATGACGGGACACGAAGGATGGGGGTGGGCGTGAGGGAGGAAGGGGGCTCGAGGACTCAGACCGTCCGCGCCCAGGGGATGCCGCCCCATGCCGCGTCCCACGTCATAACACCCCGTCAGCACGCTCCGTCCGCTTCCCCGTGCACTTGGCTTTTTTCATGAAAATCCTCAGAAAAGGGCAGTATGACAAATGCGACATGTGCCGAAACACCCGAACACCAATGCCCCTCGTCTTTGATGTCGTCAAATAAAATAATTAAAAAGAGCACTACATGAAGCAGAGATCCAGAAATTAAAGCTAAGTAGAAGAATGGCGTCCGACATAGTGTCCAGGCATAGACGATAGATGAACCAATTCCGTTGTGAACACGAATCACGAGCGCTGTCAGAAACCTGTTCACTTCTTGCCCAACACAACACCGAGAACGATGGCAAGGATGGCAATGACGAGCAAAAAGATGAAGAAGCACATCCAGCGCTTTTTGCGCGCCGAGCGCGCATGCTTGACCGCTATCTCTGTCTGTTTCAGCCTAGGACAAGGGGTCAATATTCTGCTGCCGTGGTCGATTTTTTCAAACGAGGACAGACCCCTGTTCTGTGTCATGCTCGACTCGAGTGGCAGACTGCTCAATCTGGTCGATGGCTTCTCCCTGCTGGAGAACAAGAGTGTCCATCTAAAAAAAAAGTAGAAGTGAGAAGTAAGACAAATATAGCACGTCACAGAATGGCGTAACTAACGTCGTTAAACAGTGTCGCGAGCTCAGCAAGGGTGTTTTCGATTTTGCGAATATCTTGATGCCGTTCTTGTACCTCGTTGTAAGCGAGCCTCGACTCGCGGTAGCGCGTCGTAGAGGTCAACTGAGCGGCGACATATCAGCAAAGGCATTCAAATGAGCGAGAGGGGCGACTTGCCGCTTGTGCGAAAACTTGTCCACCTTGCCCGTCATCGTCATCGACGACTGCCGAAATTTCCTCAGGGGTCGCGTCGGGTTTCACTAGAGGGCTCTCGGGGTGGGTAAAACGTCGCTGATCCTCACGGCCGTCACATACCAATTTTGAACTGTCGCTCTACCCGTTGCCGGTACCTCGCGCGGTAATCCCGCTCCATTTCCTGATACCGTTGGAGAACCTCCATAAACCGTGTCCTAACAAGTTGCGTCTGCGCGCCCGAGCGTCAGAACTTCTGCGGGATGCTTGCGACCAACGTACGAGCCTACCTGATTTTGTCGTATCCGCGCGTCTTGTCCAGGAGGTGTGGGCTGCTTCGCCAGAGCCTGGATGCGGTTCCTCAGCTGGTTGCTGAGCATCCTGGTGTTGGCGACGAGCTCGTCGAGGGCGGCGGCGTTCTGCTGCGTGAGAGCGTCGTCCATGGCGTTCAGCGAGCGCGAATGCATGTCCGATATTCTCGCGACGTTCCCGTCGAATTCCTGTATCGCATCTTGGAGGGAGTTGATCTGCAAAGTCCAGAGACGTGATAAGATCCCGCGAAAACGTGGCGAGGAATAAGAGAAATTTACTTCATCGTAAAAATCTGACATCCCCCCTCCGGAACCTGCGGGCACGCTGACCCCCGCACCATTCCAGTTCACCGCGCCGTCCTGGTTCGGCAACCCAGTCATCTCATACTCCCCTCGAGGAGCCGGAGGGCTCTGGGGGCTCTGGGGGGACTGCCCCTGCAATCGCTGAGCCTGTTCACACCCACACAATCAACACATATGGCGCCCCGCGAGCAAGAAACAAACGCACCCTCATCGCGGCAAGCCTGTCTCTGGACATTGCGGAATAGTATCAAAGGAGAAAAAAAAAACAATACAGAGATGGAGGGGTCGTGAGTAGTAGGCGTGCGTGAGCGACAGTGAAGCGCTCCGATCAAGGCGTTCGAGCACAGAGGTGCCGGTGAGTTGGTCTGAGACAACAGACGACCTCCTTTAGCGGCTGTCGAATAGCCACTTGCCCATATTCTGACCGTGTCAGCACTTATTACGCAATGCGCAATATCAGTCGGTTCCTGGCCACTCGTTTCGTCTGCAGAGCGCCCGAGCACTCACCAGTGCACGCGGCGACATCTGTCCGACCATCACAGCCCGATTGCTGTCCTTCAGCCACGCAGTACTCGCCCGCAGTCATCTGCACCCACGGCTGGTTCCAGCTAGTCTCCTCTATATACTCCAAAGGCAACGGCGCCGGCGATTCTCCCTCAATCTCCGACGTGGTCTCCGGATATCCGTATCTGACCGCATTTGACCCCACGCCATCAGCAAGCGTATACTCGTAATTGTTCCCCGTTTTCTCATGCTTGACCGTTTCACTGTCAGGCATGGAACGGATGAGCATCCCTGTTCACGCTCTGTATAATAGCCAGCATTCTCGATCGACAACTATACTGCCTTGGCCGCCTCTTCTTTGGCATGCACACGCGTCGTCTGGGATGTCCTAGCCAGTCCCGTTTACGGACATCATCGCCTTCGACCATAGCCATTCCGCAGTCGACGTGGTCTCAACTTGAAAGTTGACCTTCACATAAACGTCGTTATGGACATGCTTGGAAGCTCTTTCTCGAAGCATCTATACTGGCACTCCAACATGCATGGCACGCAGGGATGTGGATTGATTGGATGGGCATCGCCACCATCCGGTGCATGGAATCATACCCGCGCTTCATCTATGCATTCAGATCAATGCAAGACTCTGACCATGCGGAAGTCGTACGGTTTGCACGATCTGCGGATCTTTTGGCATGGATGGTAGCGCTTGTTGAGCTTTCCTCAGGGTCTGACCGTCTATGATGTTGAAGACTCGGACGAAGGCTTGTCGATATGGAATGTTCCTCTCAGCATACGAGTCGCCACATGCATTGAATCTTTAAATGTCTTGTTCGTCCCTGTAATTCTTAGGTATTGACGGTTTGCAGAGCTCTGGCGATGCCTTGCACCTGTAAGCCATCGTCTTAGAATGAGTACTTGCTGTGCTTTTTTGGTCGGATCAATCATCTTGCTCTTTCAATGCACCCTTCGGTCATAGTATGTGATGTGAATTTTCTATTTCAACATTCAGATATCTGTTATGTTAATTTGCTGAAATGTTGACATTTCATTTGAAGTCCGGCACTACGACGATTCATATAATGAGCTCCACTTGGTTAATTGACACTCCCACCAATTGACACTCCCACCAACAATGAAGGAGTTTTTGGATGAGCATTCCGTCAGGGGGTTTCTTCGCAAACACTTCGCCGTGTGCAGCCGAGGTTCGTGTGCTAATTGGTATTTCGGACGACCGTCGGATTCTAAGCTGGCTTCAAGATCTAGACCTCGTTGAGTTATCTTATCTCGGGCGAAGCCGAAGCCGGGCGAGTCACTTGCAAGTCATTGGGCAGGAATTAAAAAGTAGAGCTGGTCGAGCCGGTCTGTTTACAACACTCTCTCCCAGCCCAAGATGTGTGGAATCTTTGCCGTACATGGTCTTGAAAAACCCTCCGTCGACAGAGCTCGTTTCATCGCTCTGTCCAAGAAGCAGCGCCATCGCGGTCCAGATTGGTCCGGGTGCTACGTCGGGAAACAGTCTTGCCTCGTTCACGAACGTCTGGCCATCGTCGGTGTCGGCGAGTAACTGATGCTCGGGACTTGCCCGCAGATATTTGACGATGCGTTTTCTTGACATGCAGACACCGGCGCTCAGCCTTTGGTGAGCGAGGACGGGAAACTCATCCTCGCCGTCAATGGAGAGATCTACAACCACATAAAATTGAGAACCACAGTCAGCTCTGACTATAAATTCAAGACACACTCTGACTGCGAGGTCATCCTCCCTCTCGTGCGCGATCCTCTCTCCTCATCAGTTTCGCATGACTAAATTTCGTGCTTCGACTATAGTACAAGAAACATGGCACGGAGTTGTGCGGCCTCCTAGACGGCATGTTCTCCTTCGTCCTCCTCGACGAGTCTGTCTCTCCTCCTCGTATCATCGCCGCTCGCGACCCCATCGGCATCACCACGCTCTACCAAGGTTGGAGCTCGCGGAGACCTGGCGCCGTCTTCTTCGCCTCCGAGCTCAAGGCCCTCGTGGATGAGTGCGACAAAATCATCACATTCCCCCCGGGTCACGTCTACGATAGCAACGACAACTCTACGACGCGATACTACACCCCTTCATGGTGGGATGGCGACTCAGATGCACCGGACGCGTCAATACCGACTAACAAGGCCGACCTCACGCTCCTCCGCGAAACCCTCGAGGCTGCGGTGCGGAAGCGGTTGATGTCGGAGGTTCCTTACGGCGTGTTGTTGAGCGGTGGGTTGGATAGCAGCCTAATCGCCGCTATTGCTGCGAGGGAGACAGAGAAAGTCGCACTTGCACAGTACGAGGCGCGGAAAAAGAAGCTGGAGGAGATCCAGAACGGTCCGGCGTCGCCTCCAGGGGGTATCATCCCTTCTGTAGACGTCACTGAGGAAGGTGGGTTGTATTTTCACCTCTTGAGGGTTTTTCTTTTGGCTCACAAACTCCGCCTCGCATTAGCCACGCTGGCTGCCTGGCCTCAGCTGCACTCTTTCTCTATTGGTCTCGAGAACTCCCCTGATCTTATCGCTGCTCGCAAGGTCGCCCACTACTTGGGCACCGTCCACCATGAGTATGTATTCACCGTCCAGGAGGGTCTGGATGCCATTCCAGACGTAATCTACCACCTAGAGACATATGATGTCACCACCGTCCGGGCTAGCACGCCCATGTACCTCCTCAGCCGAAAGATCAAGGCGATGGGCGTGAAGATGGTTCTCAGCGGTGAAGGGAGCGATGAGATCTTCGGAGGTTGGAATTCCTTCTACCTATCGTCGACGACGTTCTGTTCTGAAGAGTATCCTTCCATAGGCTACCTCTACTTCCACGCCGCACCCGACAGCAGATCGTTCCACCAAGAATGCATTCGTCGTGTCAAGAATTTGCACACCTCGGACTGCCTGCGCGCCAACAAGTGACGACGGTCCCTTGCTCGCTGCTTCGTCCATCTGATAACAAATGACGTTCTAGGTCGACGATGGCGTGGGGCCTCGAAGCACGCGTCCCCTTCCTTGACAAGGCCTTCCTGGACGTTGCCTTGAACACCGACGCTAAGGAGAAGATGTTTAGCAAGGGTGCCTCACAACAGGTCGACGAGGATGGCCGCCCCAAAATGGAAAAGGTCGGTCTCGCGCTCCCGTCTGCTCCTCGAGCGCGCGCGCTGGGGGTTCTGACACAGCTGCACCGTTTAGTACATCATCCGCAAAGCCTTCGATATCGCACCCAACGGCAAGGTTCGCCCCCGGGTCTTCGCGGTCCGAGCGCATGATGATGGCTGACCCACCTCTTGCCTTGATTCGTCGCAGCCATACCTGCCTCGGTCCATCCTGTGGAGACAGAAGGAGCAGTTCTCGGACGGCGTCGGCTACTCCTGGATAGACGGGTACGCCCTCACCGCACCGTGCGCCCGTTTCTCACCGCTCACCGCTCGCCGCGCCGCCGCAGAATAAAGGCCAACGCCGACAGCGTCATCTCCGACGACGTCTTTGAAAAGAGGCACGAGCGCTGGGCATCGGACGTGCCCGACACGAAGGAGGGCTACTACATCCGCGACGTCTTCGATGGTGGGTTCTTTCTCCGCCGTAGCTTCCCCACCCTGAAGTCGGCTCCTCACCGTCGCGACACAGGCCTCTTCATGTCCGAAGCTGCGTCCCAGACCGCCGTCCGGTAAGTCCTCGTCACAAACAATCAAACAGCATTCATGAACAGGTTTGATATTAATCGTTATTGGCAAAGGTGGATTCCGCGGGGAGACTGGGGCTGCGCTGCAGACCCTAGCGGGAGAAGTGTCAGCATACACAACGCGGCGTATGAACCGAGCCAAGTCGATCCAAAAGCGGCATAATATGGTGGTACAGTCAATGTCTAGACCAAGTATAGATTATTAAGAAAGGGTTGAAGAGAGCAAGCCGGATCCGATGGTTCGAGCAAGAGAGTGACGACGAAGGTAGGGCGTAGGAAATGGAAACATGTTTACGAGTATGAGCACGTTGCGAGCGAAGCGCGGGGCAAAGATGAGGGAGTGTGGGCACGATACCTGTGCCTGCAGAGCGGCGGCGGCAAAAAAGAAAAGAAAAGATGTGAAAACATTCGTATAGCGAGAGCATGCAAAGAATAGGTACGGTACGGTATTGCAGAACATATAACAAGAGTACTTAATGTCATAAACCGAGAGGAAGAGGCAATCGATAGAGGCAGGAACGGGAACATTGCAAGCATGGAGAAGATGGCGATACCAAGGTCTGAGGGGGGGATGGCACGAGGCGCGGAAGGAGGAGAGCTCAGAAATTCCGGTAAAAATATGGCGGTATACGAGAGCGAAGGAGACGTTGAGAAAAGTATTAAGAATGAGCGTGCGTGAGTCTGTGGGTGTGTACGGGGAAGACTTGTATCTATGGCTTAGGCGGCGTTCAGCGAGGGATCCTGCGCCATCATCTGTCGATAGAGACCCACTCCAGAGTCCTCGGACGGCGCCGGCGAGGCGAGCATCTTGTTCGAGGTGGTCGTGGCGCGGGTCGCGGCGCTGTTCTGAGACAGGTTGCGCGAGCGCTTGGCGGGGCCAGGCGTGCTGGTGGCGGTAGATGTGGTGGTGGTAGTGGTGACGGTGGTGGCTCCCGCAGCAGCGGAGCGCGTACTCTTGTCCCACGCCGGTCTCGTCACCGTCACCTTGGCCGAGTGCGAGTCGTCCGAGACAGCAGGCCGTCGGGCGGTGGGCGTCACTTGTGTCCGACGACTCGCGGGGCGTGGTGCGGCGGCGGACTCGGCGGACACCAGACGGTTGCCGAATTTGGCGTTAGCAGAAGATTCTCGTGAGTATCCCGAGGGCAGAGCGGGACCGCCGCGCCGCGCGCCGTGCACGCCCACCGGCGCTCTGGGCTTGACCAGGGGTTTTTGGAGGGTGACTTTGTCCGCGCCCCAGTAGGAGAAGCTCATCTTGCTCTTGCGATCGGAGTCGTCAGAATCCATCCCTCCATCCTCGTCATCCTCGGGCATGGGGACTATCCTTGGCTGAACGGAGTGCACCTGCGCTCGCGTCCGCACGACGCTGTCAAAAAAGTTGAGGTTCGGTCACTTTCTCACACTAGCGGGAAGATTTCACGCACTCTTCCATCGATACGACGCCTTCGCGGGGTTGTGCGACATCTCCGATGGCCCACTGCTCGATCTGTGCAGAGCTGAGGAGACGACACACGCGCTGATTCGCACACAGAACGTACCTTGATGAACTTGTAGAGATTACGGGGCCTCGCATGAGAATTTCTCCGGCCGGTGGTAGCATACTTGGCCTTGCCCTGCAGCTCCGGCAAAGAATTCGCCCGAGCGCTGCTCGCGCTGCCCAACGGCAGCGATGTGGTCCCCACCCTCTGGCATCGGAGCACGACGTCGTTAAAGACGACCAACCACAGATCTTTCTTCCCCCCCACGCCGTTCGCGCCCGACTGGAGCGCATCGCTGAAGCGCTTGAACGACGATTTGCCCTTGACGGCCCTTGGGCCGGTCACGGGTGGTGGTGAGGTCGACTTGAAAGACTCTTGCCCGAGCCCCGAGAGTATCCGCTCTTCCTTGAGTACCCGCGAGGGCTTGGGAACCGCGAGCTGCTTTACCTTATCGAGCCCCTCGATGCGGGCGAACACGTCCCGCGTCTTGTCCCGCTCCTCTTTCTGGATCTTTTCGTCCTCGATGCTGCGTACGATCGTCTCCACCTCCGCGACCATCTGCAGGGTGCTCTCGTACTCGAACGTGGACGGGTCCGTGTGGAAGAGAAGGTTTTGAAAGAGGAGTGGGTACTTGAGGAGACGCTGGAAGGGCTTCGATAATGAAATCGCGAGCCCCGTTTCGCCCTTCTCCGCGGCATCAGCCTCGAGCCGCTGCAGGAAGGTGCAGACCTTGAGCCATTCGTCCGCGTCTTGTTTCTTTGGCCGCTTGGTCGCGCTCGCCGTCGAAAGCACGTCCTCGACTTGCTCCAGAGCTCGTTCCAAATGGAGAACGTAGTCTGCATAGCCTCGCAGGATATGGGACTGCTCGGAACGGAACGGTCAGTCCGCGTGAGAAACAAGAGCCCCGGACGCGAAAGCAACGTACGTTCGCGACAAAGACATCAGCCAGAGATCGAACAAGGGGATATTGCTCATCGTAGCGTTTCCGGAGACCATCGTTGAGTTTCAGATGGCCCTCCAATATACTGCGCTCGATCGTCTCCAAGCACTGGCGCAAGTCGTCGGGCAGCTGATGGGGCGCGACGCCGCCGTTGACGGTGTAGTCCGCCGTGGTCTGGCTCTTCTTTGTTTTTCGAAGCATGCCGCGACCGCTCGCGGGCGTCGCTGCGGACTTGCGTTCTCGGTCCCGCTCGGACGGGGTGGGTCCCATGAAGGATTGGCGGCCGAGCGAGGTCGTGGACGCGCTGGGGTTCATGCGCGGAGGGGGTGGTAAGGACTGGTGTGAGCGGGAAGGGAAAGGGACGGACGGATCCCTGCCTCCGCTCCGCGGTGGTGCGGCTCCGTAAGGCGATCGATGGCCCTGTTTCGAAGAAAACAAACCTGGGCCTCCGGGAGGTCTCTGACGGGAGGCTGAGTAGCCCTGGCCCATCTGGTCGTTCTCTTCGTCGTCGGAGTTGACGGACTCCGTGTCCATGTTGGGCGTGTCCTTGTCCTTGTCGTCCTTTTTCGAAGCCGTGTCGGGTGCGGTTGGGGTATCGGACCGAAAACCAGTCGGTGAGAGGAAACGAGAGGCGATGGGCAAGTGGTCTACGGATTCTAAGGGAGAGTCGATGCGGGCATAGTCGTCGTAGTCCATCAAGGTGGGCGACGAGACCGGGGAAGTGGAGTATGGATGCAGAAGCGGAACGATGAACGTGTCCTTGAGCTTGATGAGCTCGTTGACGTATCTGAGAGAGGGTCAACGAACGCGCACACGCAACGAATCTAGGAAAGAAAACGGAGGGATATACCTCTCTTCACTGGCGACGATCTCCCACAGGACCTCCTGTCGCGTGCGCTCTCGAGGGCCCAAGTTGGAGACGAGATCCTCTTCGGCGCCCTCGCTCCACGAGGCAGGAGGTATCACGCTGCCCGTCGCGGAGCGCTGCGAGTACGGCGTTCCTGAGCGCAGGGACTGGTGTACGGAGGCGGCATCGGCATAACCTTTCTGGGGGTATGGAGATGTAGCGTTGCGGGTCGAGGTCGCCTTGACGGTCGTGTTGCTAGCCCTGGAGGTGGAGCCGACGTCGGCCCTGGAGGCAGAGGCTGCGGTGGAGGTGGATCCGCGGGTCTCTTTGGGTTGAGAACGCGATGTGGTTGCCTTTGCGGGAGCTGACGGGCCGTCGGCGGGCAGGGGACGGTCGTTGTTGAGGCCTGCGGGGGTGGGCGGGGGAGAGATGAAGGCGACCTTCTTCTGGACGTCTTGGTTGCCGTTGGATGTACTTACGCTGCCGTTGGCGGTCTTGCGGGAGCTGCGGCCTGCGGAATCCTGTTCTGCGCGGGACGCTACGCGGGATACGGCGGCGGGGGGTTGCGAGGGTTCTTCGAGGACGTCTGAGAGCGGTGGGCGCGGGGGGTCGGAGTCGGGGGGGAAGGGGGGGAGGGGTTCATCTATGGGGGGAAGGGGGCGTGATGAGATGTCGGGCAGGGGTTTGTAGGACGCGAGCGACGAGGGCGTGCCTGCTGCTGCACGATTCGGGGGCCAGTCGGGGAGGGGAGGGAGCTGGAGCTTTTCCTTTGGGTAGGAGGGGAGGATCGGATCTGGGCCGTCCTTGGGTTTGTCCTTTGAGAGGCCCCGGTTGAGGCGACTGAAGAGGGCCTTCATGGCGAGGGCAGCGACGAGGAGGGAGGGACGAGGGCAGCGAGGACGGGGGCGGGGACGAGGACGGGGACGAGGAGGACGAGGAGGACGAGGAGGAAGGAGGAAACGTGTTTGGACGGCCGGACGGGTGTTTACATGCAGACAACGTGCAGCCGCGACGACCGTGAAGGATTGCAAGCGCACGAGATATGAACGAGATGGATCCTTCTCCCCGCCCAGCCCAGGACACCAAGCATCTCGCCGTTCTATCCTATCCTTTCCTCGACGCCCGCTTTTCCCTCCGCCAGCTCGACGACGGCCAGGCCAACGGCACTGCCTTGTGGCTGGGCGCCCAGTGCCTCTCCCTCTACCTCCCCTCCCTTCTCAGCTCTCCCCGAACACATCACACACATCCCCGCCCTGCAGCTCTCGACCTCGGCAGCGGCATCGGTCTTACTGCGTACGTCCCTCGCCCTTCTCCTGCCCCACCAGCACCAGCAGCAGCAGCACCCCGACCATCACCCCTCCGTTTCCAGGCTGGCCCTGCGTTCTTTGGGCTGCGACGTTCTCGCCACCGACACAGAACAGGTCGTCTCGAGTGTCCTCCGCACGAACATACTCAATAACCCACCCCCCTCCACCGCTTCCCCCGGAGCCATCCAAATACGTGAGCTCGACTGGACTATATCTCCACGCGACTGGGACTGGTCACATCCATCTGCCATCGCGTCCCGGTCACCGCGTGCGCACCCCTCGTCCGCCGATTCACATGCTATCACTACCGCCCCAAACGCCTCGCTCAGGCCTCCCTTCGACCTTATCGTCTCTTCCGACACCCTCTACTCCCCCGCACTCGTCACCCCGCTGCTTCGCACACTTCACGCCGTCAGCACTCAATCTATCGCCGCAGGCGCGTCGCGCCCTCCGCCCGTGTACTTGTGCATCGAACGCAGGGACTCCGCCGTCATCGATCGCGCCCTGACCGAGGCTAGCACCCTGTGGGGCTTCGCCGTGGAGCGCGTCCCCCATCGCAAACTCGCGAAAGCAATGGCAAAGGGCGGCGTCCGCTGGGCCCGCGATGATTGGGAGGGCGTAGAGTTGTGGAAGCTCGTCTTAAAACGCTCTTCTTTCCCTGAGTCGGACCTTGTCTGAACGGCAGTACCGCAGTCCCATCGAGCGATCGGCTTCACTCGGGGGTAGAGCGTCTGCTCCTGTGTGTGCCCTCGCGCCGGAACGCATCGTGGCTCAATGCTTCTCTACGTTCCAACACACGGACAGGGTGGCGACTTGGTCCACCGATGCAGCACTCACATTCTGACCGGAAGATGCACCGGCGATACAGTACGTTACAGTGGTGGATCGACGGTCAGCCGCAGGCTTCGATCAAAGCCATGTGCCGCCTGTGGGGAAACAGGCTTCATGAGCTCGGCCAAGTGACCAAGCAGATGACATACCAGGTCTTTCCATGTCTCTTCTGCGTCGTTCTCCGTTTGTAGTTGATACACCTGCATGAACCCCTTGAAGCTGCGCGATCGCCCACGGGCGTTAGTTTTAGCGCGCGGTCTTAAAAATACTGTGAAAAGGTTTGGGGGGGTGACCCACGTTAGCGCGCCGTCGTCGGTAACATCCATGAACTCCAGCAGCTCCTCCTTGGTCTCCTCGGTGAAGGGTTCGCCGTTGGTATCACGCGCCCACGCGTCTAGTCCTTCAGGGGAAAGGAAGGCCCCCTCGGGAGGCGAGAGGAGCGCGGGCCCCGCCCCTGTGGCAGACGCGCTCGGACGGGGCGTGCAGTATTTGGCAAAGATGTGCTTGAGGCAGGCTTCGAGCTGCGATTTGCATATGCGCGCGGGATCGATCATCGATCAGCGACTGCATACCAAGCAGAGCGCCTTCGCGCGACGCAAGGGGTGGAGACAGGCGAGCAGGCTCACCTGCTCGCTGATGGCGTCTTCTTCGTCTAGCAAAGGCACGACGTCTGATGAGGACAAGCGAGCGTCTTCATTATTTGCCATTTCGAAGTGCGAGCGCGGGAATCGAGGACTTATGAGGCGGATGAGCGGAAGAGAAACGCGTCTCGAGACGCGACTCGCGGCACGTGAGCTTTAGGGCCGGCGAGTGGCGTCGGGTGCAGGCCGGTCACCGCCCGAACGACCTACGTTCCGCAATGGCCTCCAAACCCGAGCCGCTCTCCATCGAATCCCTGCTGCAGAAGCAAAAGGCGGAGAAAGAGGCTGCGTCAAAGGTGCGCCCCTCTCTCGCTCCCCAAGCAGGCTGACTGAATCCCCATCTGCAGCCCAAATTCCTTTCTAAAGAGGAGCGGGCGACGCTCGCGATCTCACAGCGCGCGCAAGAAATCAGGGAGCAGAAGGCCAGGGATGAGGCTGTACGGAAGGACAGGGAGACGCTAGAGCGGGAGGCTGACGCGCTTAGATACCAGGAGAGGGATAGAGGCGGAGGTAGCAGGTACGGAGGGCGTTGTGAGTGCCCACCGCTTTGCAACGTGTTTCCCTGCGCTCACGAGTCTCTCTCTCGATGCTTAGATGACGACCGCTATGACCGCGACCGCGACCGCTATGGACGTCGGGACAGGCGAGGAGGTCAGGACGACAGGCGTGGCGGCCAGGGCGATAGACGCGGAGGCCAGGATGATCGACGCGGAGGTCAGGATGATCGACGAGGAGGCCAAGACGATAGACGGGGAGGCCAGGACGAACGACGTCCCAACTACCCAGGCGTGCCGACAGGCCCCCGTGCAGACCGCAGCAAGGACGCACCCTCCGGCTCCGCGTCTTCAACAGCCTCTCCCGCCCCATTCTCCTCGATGCCTCCCCCCTCTGGGCCCTCCTCGGGCCCCGGGTCCGCCTCCTCTACACCAGCGCCCGACGGCTCGACCTACGCCCCTCCCATGACCGAGAACGACCTGTCCGCGATCCGCTCGCGCTACCTCGGCGTCGACAAGAAAAAGCGCAAGATCCGCAAGATGAACGACCGCAAGTTCGTGTTCGACTGGGACGAGCAGGAGGACACGTTCGCAGCGGACGCGCCCATCGCCGCCGGCATCCATCGACAGGGCGCGCAGGTCATGTTTGGGCGCGGGCATATTGCGGGCATGGACGATGGCGGTGGTGGTGGTGGCAGCGGCGGCGGCGGTGCATCCAGAGGCGGTGAGGTGGACAAAAACCTCGCGGATCCCATGGAGCGTAGGAAGGCCTCGAAGGTTGGCTATGACGACCGGCATTGGACGGACAAGCCTCTGGACGAGATGAAGGAGCGCGATTGGCGTATTTTCCGAGAGGATTTCAGCATTGCGGCTCGAGGTCCGTCGTCTTTACGTGCACAACCTTTTCTGCTTCGCTGACCCAGGTTCGCAGGTGGCAACATTCCGCATCCTCTGCGATCTTGGGTAGAATCGACTATCCCTTCGACAATCCTAGAAGTCATAGAGAAAATAGGATACAAGGATCCATCGCCCATCCAGCGCCAAGCTATCCCAATAGGTCTCCAAAATCGTGATATCATCGGTATCGCTGAAACCGGTGCGTACGCTCAACCATCGAATCTGGGATCTACAGGGTGTCTCACACTCTGAATGAATGAACAGGCTCCGGCAAAACAGCGGCGTTCGTCATCCCGATGCTGACATTCATCTCGAAATTGCCTGCGTTCACGGATGAGAACAGGCACCTGGGCCCTTATGCGTTGATCTTGGCGCCGACTCGTGAGTTGGCGCAGCAGATCGAGAGCGAGGCGCAAAAGTTTGCGACACATCTTGGCTTTAAATGCGTGTCCATCGTCGGAGGGGTATGTGCTTGCGCATTCATGTTGGTTGCCCTCCGTTGATCGTTCTGTCGTGTAGAGAGCCGTTGAAGAGCAGCAATTTAATCTGCGCGAGGGTGCAGAGATCATCATCGCCACCCCCGGTCGTCTGAAGGACGTTCTCGAGCGCCACGTCCTCGTTCTGTCCCAGTGCCGATACGTAGTCATGGACGAAGCGGATCGGATGGTCCACCTCGGTTTCGAAGTCGACCTCACGTTCATCCTGGACAAGCTCCCGTCCGAGACGATGGAGGGCGAGGAGCAGGGCGAGGCGATGGAGGTCGACGGCGAGACGATGGTCAAGAAGGGCCGCACACGCGTCACGACGCTGTTCTCCGCGACGATGCCCGCCGCTGTGGAGCGGTTGGCGAGGAAGTATCTGAAACGGCCGGCGATCATCAATATCGGTGAGGCTGGCAGGGCCGTCGACACGGTCGAACAGCGGGTTGAGTTTGTTATTGGCGACGAGAAGAAAAAGTGCGTGTTCGATTCACAGTTTGTTTCTCTGATGCTGACAGTATGCTTCAGGCAGCGGCTGCTGGAGATCCTCAACAGCGGGGGTTTCCAGTCGCCGATCATCGTCTTCGTCAATCAGAAGAAGACAGCGGATATGGTCGCGAAAGACCTCTCTCGTGCAGGCGTGCGTACCCTGTCATTTCTATCAAAAAATATTTTCAAATATTGCTGCAGTGGAGTGCCTCGACCCTACACTCTGGGAAGAACCAAGAACAGCGAGAGGCCTCGTTGCAATCACTGCGCACCGGCGAGGCCGATATCCTGGTGGCCACCGATCTCGCAGGCCGTGGTATCGACGTGCAAGACGTCTCGCTCGTTATCAACTTCCAGATGGCGAACACGATCGAGGCATATGTCCACCGTATCGGTATGCATGCGCTTTATATCTCACTCATGGCTCGTGATACTGAGGGCGTGCCTTGCCACAGGGCGTACTGGACGTGCTGGAAAATTGGGCACGGCGATCACTTTCCTCAACAACGATGATGACGAAGTGATGTGAGTCTGTCCTGTCCTACCCGCTTTCGCGCCGCATGGAGCGCCTTCTCGACTCATGGTTCCTCGTTGACCTTTGCGCTAACGAGCATCTCTCTTTCCCACACGACAGGTACGAACTGAAGCAAGGTACGAAACTTCAAACTTCATAGGCAAAATATATCTGCCGGAGTGCTCTCTCGTGCCTCTGGAATCCCGCTTTGGTGTTGGTATTGATCTGATCGTGCGCTTTCCCCCCTTGGCAGAGATATCGAAGAGCCCGGTGTCCAAAGTCCCGCCTGAGCTTGCCCGACACGAGTCGGCGCAACACAAGGTGTCCAGGGAGATGAAGCGGAAGAGGGATGCGGACGACCAAGGATAAGCCTTTGTGTCAGGTCACGGCAGGCGGGCGTTGGGCGTCATGGCGACTCGAGAGGTGTGTCTGCTCTGACATCCAACGCTGGCTCGTTCTCTGATTCAATCGATGTGTGCTGTTCGGCGATGCCAGAGTATTTCGGGGATCATATTAGTGGACGGACATTTGCATGTTGTGTAGTGTACCGATGCATTATAATGATGCCATGTCGGTGAGTCGGGCGAGGCGGCCCTTCTTGCCTGCATGCGCATTGGAAAAGCACGTCTTCTGAACAGCTGGTAGACGACTCGCGGTCAGCCGCACTCTGCCTACGTCTCTGCCTCAGTTGGCTCGCGCGTCGGTCGTCCTTGTGCGTTGGCTTGCACGCGGCTTCGGGGTCCTCGTGGGTGATCTTGTTACCTTTCGGACGTTTGTTAGGTTCGGAGATGCGGACGGCACGGCACAGTTAAGCACGATTGGTTCATAGGAGTCATTCGGGGCCGTTGAAGTCCGGGGTGGTGCTCAGTCCTCATGCGATTCTCATCAGGCTACTACGCGTCGAGGAATGCGCATGTTTGCATGGAATAATCCATTCCTTCATGGACAGCTCGTGCAGACATCCAGACTTTCTATATTCAAGCATTGCGCCGGAGCGTTTCTAGCCCAATCTGGAGTCTCTTGAATGACCTTGTGCATTCCTCGGGCCTCATAATTCTCGATGCCCACGGTGACCGGATTCGACGGCTTGCATGTTTTGCCTGTCTGGTTTCGGAAGATTGTTGCGCGAGATGATTTGCCCCGGTGCTGTCACGAAGGCTTGGCCGTGCGCATACATCGACAGTTCCTGCGCTGCTAGACTGATATGGCTGGTACGTATCCTTTCATCCCTCTGCGGCTGGCCTTCCCAGACGGCGCGAGTCGACATGGACACCGGCACGTCAATCACTCACCTACGGACGCGTGCAATTCACTCCGAATGAGACGCCAAGAATCCCCGAGTCGTTCGCTGGAATGCTTGACACCGTTCTTGTACATACGCCGCCTCGCTAGCCTCGCGCCTCCAATGACCGCTGCTTATCATACCGCTCTGGGCCGCGTCGCATCTGTCGCTCGTCCACAACTAAACCTTGAAGCTTGACAGATCGCTGGAAACGGGAGATCCGGCGCTGGCTACTACGCTTGCAAGCACTGATCCGCTCGCTGCTGCGTCAAGACACTGTCAGATCTGCCAGTCGCCACGTCGCGCACGAATGCTTGGCCGCGCAGGCGAGTTGTCGCAGGGTGCGCCAAGACCCAAAGCGCACGATGGGTCTCACAGAGCCCGACATCTTTCGCAGCCATCTTCCGCCCAGTCGCCTTGGCGTGCCCAAAGTCGACCCATCGCTGTCCGTTGCTGTCCGATTCCGCGAGCGGCCACCGACGCGCCTGCCAACTCGCAGTTTCTCCGAGCGCTCCAAACGGATCCACCACGGCGCTGCCACCGCGGGGCTCTGCCAAATCGTCACCCTCGCCGCGATCGCACGCGATCGGAGGAGTCCCGCCTCCACGGACGATTCCCCTCCTCTCCTCCTTTCTCGGTTCTCTGTCAGCACCCGGGCGCGCTGGCGCGTGATGCTGCGCTCTGTGGCTCCTCTCTGAGTTTGCGTGCGCGCGCTGCCATGGAGGAGGGATGCTGACGGTCCAGCGCGGTGATGATCCGCGATGGCCGAGACGCTCTTTACATCCATCAACTGTCTATCCGGCTCGCTGGCGTTTAATATCTTTCGACGTCCGCGCGTGGCTCAGATCTCGAAACGGTCGTGGAGCCCCATCCGACCATGCGCGCCCCGAGAGAGAGTCACCAGCTCGCAAATGCAGCTGCAAATGTTCTTTTTTGTACTCATGGTCGTGACATACAACAGGACGGGCTTATCAGACGCCCTGGAGCGCACTGCCGACAGGAGGTTTATGTAGAATATTGCTCATGCGCTCGCACACCGCGCATTTCTCTCTCTCTCTTCTTTCTGATCGCGACGTGCGATGCTGTCACCGCACGCCAGCGATGACCCGTGGGCCGTCGGCGACTGTGTGACAATGTTATCAGGAGCTGGGAACGTGGCGGAGCACTAGAGCGCATCATACGCCTCCGCCAGATGGCCAATGGCGATTTCAGCGACCGTGCGCATCCGCCGCAGGCCATGGGCGCAGTGTTGCCCAGCGCTCGGATAAGCTTGAACATTGAGCCCGCGTTGCGGCCATGCGTGCGTGCGTGCGTGCGTGCGTGTGTACGCATGTATTATATGCGTTAGGTAGGGTTTTGGGCCGTTTCTTCGGTCGGCAGTCGACATGGCATGGCCGAGTCACCGCGGGGGGCCGAGGGTGCGATCGCACGTAAACACGACCGTCCACTCGCGACTCGCGATTCGTCTGTCGGGGGCGGTGGTGTGTACCGAGTTGTCCGTCAGGCGCGTGTTCCCCCCTGCGATACGGCGCCACCCGCGTGGCAGAACACACGTCCAAGCACGCACGGCAGTGCGCGCAGAACGCACTTCAGACGGCAGGCGGAGGGCGCGCCGGACGCGCCGGACGCGTCGAGGGACGTACGCGAGCGTCATGCACTTCATAACCTACCACATCCCAGACACAAGCACCCTTGAATACGTGGTCCGCCAGGCTTCGCGGAGCCTGGTGTCCGCGCCCTGACTGACCGTGGCCCGTCTTCCGTCCTGGCGAGCTCTGGCGTCGCGCCCCTCCGTCGCGCGACGAACCGCGACTGCGACGGACCGCGCGCGCAGGTGTCCCCGCCGGCGTCACGCGACGGTCCACGGATTGTGCCCATCGAGTCGTGGAGCGGTGCAAAGCCAAGGACAGAATGTCACGTACTGAGGCCGACCCGTTGTTGTCGTGATTCGCACCCCGCGATGACCGACCGACCGACCGACCGACCGACCGACCGACCGAACGCCTGCAGTGCGCGCGCCCGTCGTCCCGTCGTCCCGTCGTCGCGCCAAGCTAACAACACACAATGCGCACGATCCGCGCCGCCAGTCCCAGGCAGGCGGGCAAGCAAAGCGGGCGAAAACCGGTCGACCGACCGGCAGCGTCGTAGCGTCACGTGAGGACTCGAGCCTCTCCCACATCGAGCAGAGTACGCACGCCCGCACGTGCCCGAAGCGTCGTCGTCGTCGTCTGGCTGCCCAGTGCGCACGGCGCCGAGCCAATCGCGGGCAGTGCGGGGGAGGAGAGGCGTAATTACGCTCGGCGGCGATGCAGGTGCGGCGAAGCGTGCTGGACGGAAGGGCGAGAAGCGGCGACGCGGCGACGCGGCGACGCGCGAGATCAGAAACGGGGGCGTCGGAGGCCGCTGCTAGGCACGCTCGCACGCCGCACGAAAACACGCTGCAGGTCGGGATCGTGCGTGGGAGGCACGTCTGGGCGTCGGCGGGCGCCGGGTCGCGTCCCAGACGCGGATCCGTCCTGTGCCCACAAGCTCTTGCGAGCGGGTCCGAGCGCTGAGAGGACGGGGAGAACGCGACAAAAACGGTGACGATGACGATGGGGACGAGCGGGTCGACGAATGGGACGCGCGTGCGTGGCGAGGGTCCGCACAAGTCAACAGAGGGCGCATATGCGTCCGCGCGCAGAGTTAAGCTTAAGCTCGAATACCGCCCACCGAGCGTGTTCTCTTTCCTTTCGCGGTGAGATGCTGGGAGATGCCGCGAAAGAGATGAACGAACGTGGCATCTGTGAGCGGAGGGGGCAGTCGGAAGCCTTGGGAAGGTTTGGGGGGGCTTCAAAGGAGCTTCAGAGGGCGAGCGGGCGAACGGGCGAACGGGGGACGGCGCCAGCGCGGGGGCGCGCACCTGCCCAAGGCGTGCGCCGTGTGGGGTCGCGTGAGCGCCCGTCGTCGCGTCGCGTCGCGTCTTCGAAGGCGTTCCACGGGCTTCCGAGGGCTTCGAAGGGCTTATTATCGGGCGTCGGGTGGAGTCGGCGCTCGAGTAATACAGCGCGCGACGGGCAGAAGCCGTGCAGAATCCCGCAAGTTAGAAGCGCGGCATCGCTGCCGATTGGGCTGCGCGGGCTGGCGGGGTGTGGCGGAGTGTGGCGAGGCTTGTAGGCGTGCGGAGAAGCGGTTGTCGAGGGCGGAGTTTGCAGCTAGAAGGTCGGCCGGAAGTCTGGGGAGGGAGGCCGGGCGTACATTGCCGGATGAGGCAGGACGAAGCAGGGCGAAGCTCGCGGGGTCGTGCTTCGCGAGCGTGCGTGCGTGCCTGGTGCGATAGGAATGCGATAGAGAAGTGATGCTTAGAGATGCGGCGTGGGCGGCCCATCGCGGCGCGTCGTGTGCCAAAAAGTGGAGGGGGGACGGATGTGGCGATCGCGCGCGGCAGAGGGGACGTATTATCGTGCGCGCTGCGCGCCGTACTCGTGTATTAGATCCAGGTCTGGGTGCGGTGTGGGCGCGGGGTTTCAGACTGCAGCGGTTTGCGTGGCGTGACGCTGTGGGCGCACGTTGCGGCGATCTGAGCGCTGGGCGCTTGCCGGGGCGTGATGCATGATGTCAGGGCGGGTGCGCGTCAGGCGCGATTGGGTTGGGACGCGGGCTGGCAGATCAGACCGCTCGTCGCGCGACGCGCGCTACGTCACGACTGGCAGCAGCTGGCTGGGACAGGGCTGGACAGGGATGTTTGTTGCGTGCGCAAACGGCGAAAAGAGCGCGAGCGAGGGCGGACAGGGGCAGCGCAAAGACGTCAGGGCTATTTTGAGGAGTTGCGAGCGAGCAGGGCGTCCAATGGGATGGGTGGCGGAAGGGACGATAGGCCGAGGACCGGCATTGGCTGCGGTAAGCGTTGTTACATGTGGGACAGTGATAGGAGAGGCTTGGAAAGGCAAGGACGGGTCTATTATGCAAGGGTCCGAGGGGAGTTATGTACAAGAACATGGGTGTTGGTTGACAGCGTAGCATCGAGTGTCGTGAAGGGAGGATGAGCGGGGGAGGCGATTGGATAGGGACGAGCTGTGTGGGGAAGGAGAGTGAATTGGTAATGTGGGAAGGGACGGATGGGTGAGGGTGGGATGGGGAGATGCCGGCGGCAGGGGCTGAGAGGGAGTGTGTCTGGGACTGGGAGGCGGGAGGGCGCAAAGAGAGGTGTCGTGGGAGGGTGCGTAAGCGGTCGGATGGGAGGGGGTTGCTGACGCGCTGACGGTTGGCGCGGTGCATGGCACTGCTGACGGGAGAAGGATCACGCACGCCGTGGAATGGAGCACCGGGAAAAAAAAAGCACAGAGGGACGGAAAGTGAAGAAAAAACAGGTGTGGTGGTGGTGGTGGTGGTGGTGCGTGGAGCGGACTGAGTCGCTAGTAGCACGGGAGGAGGGCGGGACCGCCGAGGAGTCGTCGACGGAGGTGGCTGGAAAGACCTGGTGCGGTGCGGTGACGGGCGGGGGAGACGGCCGAAAGGGGACGGTTGCCGGACCGGGGGGGATTGAAGTGTTTGTGGGAGGAGGAGCGGGTTGGGAGGCCTGCTTGACCTCGACCATGCCCTCCCCCGCGGCTGCCCTCCCCCCGCCCGCACAGGTCCCGGCCCAGGTGCTCCCCGCCCAGCCCGGTCCTGACCACCCACCGCCTGCGTCCGCCCTGCCACCCAATGCATCCAGCGCTGCAGACACAGACCCCAGTCTCCAGGAGCAGGTGACGTCTCTCGAGACCGTCCTCCCGCTGCCCCGTCCCTCACACCCTCCCCAGGCTCCCTCTCCCTCCCGCTCGTCTTCGCTCCTCGCCCCAAAGACGCCCCAGCCCCAGCTCTCGCCCAGGCGGCCCTCCCTCATGCAGTCCCAGAACACGGACCACTCCACCGTCACCTCTCGCCTCGGCTTCTCCTCTCGCAGAAAGTCCCTCGGCTTCCTCACATCCACAACAACCCCCTCCACCCCCCGCGACTCTCCTCCACCGCCCTCCCCAGATCGTGACCACCTCTCCCCCACCCCTCCCGACCACCCCGACCCCCCACCACCGACGACAAACACCCTCAAGGCCACAAAGCACCTCCCAGGGCCCCTCCACGATCTCAAGCGTTTCCTCAACCACCACATCCCCCACCACCACAGCGCTTTCCTCCATCCCCACCACCACCACCACCACCATCACAATCCCCACGTCCCCTCCACCGCACCCGTCTCTGCTAATCTCACCCCCGCAGAGCCCTATCTTCATCCCGGTGACATCCTCCTTCACCTCCACGACTCGGACAATCCTTTCCTCTCCGACGCTCCCTCCAGCCACCCGTCCACCCAGCCCTCTACCCAGCCCCCGAGCCCACCCCGCTCCAATGCCTCTCCCGAGCCCTCCACAGCCTCGGGCTCGACCCCCGTCCCAGAGCTCAAGCCCCACAAGGATCACAAGCTCTCCACCATCTTCATGCGCAAGGACAGGCACAAGGACGACAAGTCGCCCGCCGCCAGCATAAAGCCCCCCAGCGACCGCCCGCCCATCGACAAGTCCCCGTCCCCGTCGCTCTCCGCTCGCTCCAGCAGGAAGGGCTCTCACTCCCCCGCTCACGACGGTCCCGCCCACGCGCCCTCGTCCCGGCAGTCCTCCCCGCACAAGCACAAGCACAAGCACGACTCCCATGGTCGCCGCGCCCCCTCTCCCCGCGCCTCGGGCTTCCTCACTCCTGGCGGCACCGCTGCAGCCGCCCACGGCCAGCACCCGATCACCTCCCTCTCCGAGGCCACCCAGGCCCACCTGTCCAAAAAATACGGCAAATGGGGTCGCGTGCTGGGCTCCGGCGCGGGCGGCACCGTCCGCCTCATCAAGGCGAGCTCCAAGAACGGCGGCCACATCTTCGCCGTCAAGGAGTTCCGCCCAAAGCGCACCGGCGAGTCAGAGAGGGAGTACCAGAAGAAGGTCACCGCCGAGTTTTGCGTCGGCTCCACCCTCAAGCACACGAACATCATCGAGACCGTCGACATCGTGTCCGACCACGGGCATTATTACGAGGTAACGGTGCTCTTCGCGCGACGTCCGTGCAACCCGCTCATCCCCCGTGCATAGGTGATGGAGTACGCGCCGTACGACCTCTTCAGTGTCGTCATGTCCGGCAAGATGTGCCGCCCCGAGATCTATTGCGTCTTCCGCCAGATCTGTGACGGCGTAGAGTACCTGCACGAGATGGGGCTCGCCCACCGCGATCTCAAGCTCGACAACTGCGTCATGACGACCGACAATGTCGTCAAGCTCATCGACTTTGGCACCGCCACCGTCTTCCACTATCCGGGCAAGGCCCAGCAGAAGGCCACCGGCGTCGTCGGCTCGGACCCGTACCTCGCCCCCGAGGTTCTCGCCCAGGAGAGCTACGATCCCCGCAAGACGGACGTCTGGAGCGTCGCCGTCATCTTCATCTGCATGATCCTCCGCCGCTTCCCCTGGAAGATCCCCGACCCAAAGTCGGACCCCAGCTTCCGCGCCTTTGTCAACACCCACCCCGAACTCTCCCAAAAGCCAGAGCCCAGGCGCCATGCCACCGCCCCGCTCCCGCTCCCGCCCTCGTCGTTGTCGTCGTCGTCGTCGTTGTCGGACCGCGGTCTCGGCGTGAACGGCAACGGCGCCGCCCACAGCAGCCAGACCCTCCTCACCGCCAACGTGCCCTCGCTCTCCCCGCGCAAGTCCGCCTCGACGCCCTCGCCCTCGCTGCAGCACCCACCGCGGCACGACGACAACGACGACGACGCCAGCCGCGCGTCCATCACCGACGCCTCGACCATCTCCAGCAGCGCCTTTGACACCCGCTCCGTCTCCGAGGCCTCCGACACCGAGCCCTCCGTCTGGACCGCGCCCTCGCGCGACTCGCACTCGGGCTCGTCCGACGCCTCGGGCACGTCCGCCTCGCGCCTCGCGGGGCGCCTCCTCCCCGCCACCGTCGGCGTCTCGCGCTCCACCGCGACGCTCCCCGTCCTCCTCGCCGCGGGCCTCCCGCGCGCCGAGAGCCCGCAGGACATGGACCCGTCCGTGCAGATCTTCGCGCGCCCGGGCACGTCCACCGAGTCCCTCCCGTCCTCCCCGCACATGAGCCCGCTCTTCATGGGCGCCGGCGCCGGCATCGCCATCGGCATGAGCTACCCCGGCGCCGAGGCGGACGACATGCCGACGCCGACGATGAAGCCCGCCGCCGCGCTCCTCTCCCCGCGCATGCGCGGCGCGCCGTTTCACAGCCCGCTCGCGCCCAGCCACGAGCAGAAGCGCGAGGAGGTCGACCGCGTGCTCGGCGCGGTCAAGGACCGCGACGACGTCGAAAAGGCATACCAGGACGAGCGCCAGGCGAACGGCGGCGGCGACGGCGGTGACGGCGGTGGCGACGAGGGCAAGGAAGAGACGGGGGAGAAGGAGAAGGACGCGGCGTCGACGCGGAGCGGCGGCCGGCGGGCGACCGTGAGCCGCGGCGGGCCGCGCCCGCGCGCGGATAGCGCGGCGTCGGTCGCGACGTTCCACGGCGGGATCGGCGGCGCCGAGTCCATCTTCCGCCTGCTGCCGCGCGAGACGCGGCCCGCGATCCGGCGGATGCTGTTCGTCGAGCCCGCCGCGCGCTGCACGCTCACGGACCTGCTCAAGGGCCGCGGGAAGAGCTCGGGCCTGCTCTGCGGGTGCGGGCTGAACGGCACGAACGCGGGTGGCAGCGCGAGCGCGAGCGGGATCGACACGCCGCCTGGGACGTGCCAGGACCACGACTGTGCGCCGGAGGAGGAGGACGACGGGGACGCGTGGCTGAAGAGCATCGTGCCGTGCTCGGCGCTCGGCGCCGGCGTGCTGTCGGACCATACGCACATCAAGGTCGCCGTGGACGATAAACAGCACAAGCGGAGGTTCTTTTAGCGCGAGGCGGGCGTGTGTGCGCGGAGGTGGAGGCGGAGGCGGAGGCGGAGGCGGAGGCGAGAGGCAGGATGGATACGGACGACGCCGGTCGGTCGCAGAAACTAACAAGAAGGGGCCCCGCACGCGCGAGCGTGCGAGCCCTTTGTGCACATATGTTCTATCTTGTCCCATATGTCCCCAGATACGTATCTCTCGAACGTGATCTCTCTTTCTATTTTTTTCCTATTCTGCCTTGTTTTCCTCTTCCCATTTATTTGTTTTTTGGCGTTCGCCTTTCCTTTATTTGCTGCCCTCCGCCCGCGCTAGACTACCCCCGCCCGCACCCTCCGCCCACAACTATCCATACATTCGCCCGCCTGCCTGCCTACTTGCCTTTCGTGTCCACTCCCCGCGCGGCGGCCTTCCTTTGCACCTTGCGCCTTCTCCGCCCTCGCCGCGCCCACCCTCGCCCGCCCGCCCGTCCGCCCTCGCCCGCCCCGTGTGCGTCTCCCGCGCGCCGCCCGGGCGGCGTGTGCGGGCGGGGGGGTTTAGAAAAGCTACCCGCCCCGCCCTTATATCTCTTTGTCTTCCCTCCTTCCTTCTTTCCCTCTCGCAGTCTCTCGAGATTGCTATTTTTTTTATCTATTCCGTACCCGTATCCCCTCCTATGATAGCGCGCCTGCTCCACAGTGCTCTGTAATAGTACTACAAACCCATAGCATTCAATTAAAAAAACGGACGTTCCGCGGTCTTTCTTTCACTGCGCCTGCAGCGGCAGCGGCGTCCTGCGTTGCTTGTTCGAGCTCAAGCCGCGCGGACGATCGAGCGATCGGGTCGACGTGCGGGCGGGATCTCGACGGCGCGGACGTGCGAGCGGCGGCGATCGAGCGAGTGCCTGGGATTTGCGCTGGCGCGACCTAGAAGCGTCGGGCGGCGACGGCAGGTTCTACGATATCGATCGGGCACGATCCAGCGTAGAGACCACGGCTCGTGCGCGCATGAAATAAGTACAATGGGTGTGCTACCGATGCGACATGTCACAGCTCGTCTCTGCCCTGGCCCGCCTGCGCCTGGCGTCGGCCACGGGCCACGGGCGGGCCCCGTCTGCTCTTCGCCTTGCCCTTCGGTTGTTGCTGCTGTTGCTGCTGTTGCTGCTGCTGGGACGGTGGCGACGACCTCGCCTTTGGCTTCGTCTTGCCCTTGTCCGAGAACAGCTCGTAGCCCGCCTTGCGCAGCGCCTCCGCGATCGCCTTGTTGTCCGGCGCGCCCCCGGCACGCGCGCGGTCCGCCTGCTCCCCCTCTGCGCCGCCGCCGCCGTCCTCCAGCGTGTCCTCGTCCAGCTCGACCTCGCTGAAGAACTCGATCACCATCTCGCCGTCGTCCAGCTCCTCGACGACGACGCGCGGCGCGCCCTCGCCGCCGAGGATGTTGTCGCGCTCCAGGAGACGCTCGAGCGTGCGGCGGATGACGGCGGTATGGTCCACGGAACCGTCTGCGTCGTCGAGGTCCTCGCCTTGCGGATGATCGTCGTCGTCGTATTCGTCGTCGTCGGCAGCGGCAGCGGCAGGCGCGCCATCGGGCTGCGCGGCGCCCCCGTCGATGGGCGGGGGAGGGGGAACGCGCTTGGGGCCGCGCGGGGGGAGCTTGATCGGGTGATCGGCCTCCGGGATGGCCACCCTCTCCGCGGGGAGGACGTCGACGACCTCGCGGCAGCGGACGAGGGCCTCCTCGCGCTGATCGATGCGCGACTTGAACCCGGGCTCGCCGCACAGGCGCGGGGTGTTCACGACGAGGACGTAGTGGCACGTCTTGGTCTCCTTCACGAACAGGATCGAGTCCGTCGTCGTCATCGAGCAGTGGAACTGCACGGCAGAGGGGCGTAGGGAGCGTGTGTGCATGCGAGCGAGCGAGCGTGAGTTCACACGCGCACAGGCGGCGGCGGAGAAGCGCGAGTGGAAAATAGCCGCACCTGCACTTCGATTTCGCGGTGCCTCCCGGTTTTATCACACACGGTGCCGTCGCCCCACCGCTGGACGAGGTAGCGGGAGCCTGCGCTGCGCGCGAGCTCGAGGTTCGCCGCAGCCCGCTCTGCGACCGACAGGTCTGCACCCGGCTCGAGCGCACTGGGCGCCCTGCCCAAGTCGAAGGCCTCCGACTGGTGGATGACGAAAGATAAATTGATGCAAATGTTGATGATAAATCTCCGAACAAATGAGACAACGGCCAAGGCTTACGTCGGGGTCCTCTTCTATTTCGTAACTCCCTGGGCAACGAAGAAGCCGTCAGAAACAAAAAGGGCCAAAAACATAAGTGTTCTGTTGTCAGGCCCAAAATATGCCCGCTTACCGGGTGCGATTGGGTGGGAGGGGATCACCTCTCGGAATTGGCGGACATGTGAGTTGTGACAGTAGGCGTATGTGAACCAGCCTTGTCGATGCTGGCAGCCGCGTCAAGAATTGCGCGGTGCGGTGGGCTGAGGCCCAGGGAGGGACGTACGTAGATGCAGGATCCCGTGAGAGGCTGCAGCAAGGACCAGCCCTGAGCGGGCGTCCACTCTGTGTGGGAGTCCTCTGGAGCAGGCGAGTTCTGTTCGACCGTCGAGGGGGGTATGAGACATAGATACGAATCCCGAGGACCTAGTTTCATGAATTCCAGAGAATGGGAAGACATGTGAGAAGCGGCAGTCTGACAAGGATTCATTCACGAGATGTAAGTGGGGGGCCACGAGGTACATGACGGAGTGCTTGTACAGACTTGACTCTCTGCCTCTGTCTGGCCCGAGCCGATCTCCTTCAGCGGTCGGGAGCCATCCCAGTGCACCTCGTGCCATGGTTGGTCGAGAAACTCGAGCTCGCCGCCGCGCAGACCATCCTTGATCCAGCGCTCTGCGGTGTCGTTCTGGAGCGGGAGGCCGTTCAGAAAGGTGACGCGGTACTTTGGAAAGGCAAAGGGGTCCTCCGGGAGCGAGTGGACGACACGGGCGTCGACGGTGAGTGCGTTGGCGAGGAAGAGGGAAAGCAACGGCCAGAGGGAGGAGTGCAAGGGAATGGAGTGCATCGAACCAGAGACACGTTGATCTGTGACGGCGCGCGTGACACCGCCTCCTGTCTCCGGCGTCTTACGCTTTGTGGCGCACCGTGAGATCCGATTCAGGCTCCGTGTAGCCTGTTCTGGGCTCCGCGACTCAATTACCCGGTCGTCAGTTTCCTTACCAGGAATAAAGCAGCCCATAGGCTCCCATAGGCCAGTCGCATGCCGGGATCTTGCCGCACACTCGCATCGATCGAGATGGAGGCAGCACTCCACCGACCATAACCAACATCAGGTGAGGCGTCCACCCGACGATACACGCTCCCTCGCCGGCTGGGGATAGCCTGCGGTGTCTGATGATGCATCAGAACGCCGAGAATCGTAAAGACGTGTCCTTCGATGGCTGAGATCACCCCTGGGGTGTGAACAGGACAGGACCGATGAGCGACCATCAAACAGAGGTCGACAAGGGTTAGAGCGAGATGAACGCTGGCCGCGACGATAACCAGAAATGGGATATTCGACCTGAGTGAAGGGTATTTAATTAATTACGTACGAGTGTCCCCAGACCCCCAGGAAGAATGTGGAAAGATAATAAGTCAGCTCAGAATTGGTCGAAATACACGCGAAAAGAACTCTATTTCGGCGTGCCGAAATATTCATTAAAACGAGGGCAAACTCTACCGCACTCCTTTGCCCCCGCCCTTCACCAACCCCTCCCTCCCCACTCCTCCCTCCCTCTGCTAGGGCATGTCAGCCTCCCCTCCCCCCGAGGACATCGCAGACGATAACAAAGTGGGCGATGAACTCGACGACGCCGCCCAGACTGGTCCCGATGACGACTCTGGTCAGTGCCTTCAGTCCCCATCCAGCGTGCTTGTTGATCGATAAGACGCGTCGAATTCGGTCTCGCCAACTCCAACGTCCGTTCCTTATAGGCGCGAACAAGGCTGATTCCGCCACAACCCCTCCTGTGAAACGCTCACGCGGGCGTCCCAAGGGCAGCAAAAACAAGAAAAGCGCGACTGCTGCCGCCCCTCCAACGTCAATTGCTGCGGGCCCCTCCACCGGAGAAAAGAGGAAACGAGGCAGACCCCCCAAAGTATGTCGTGCGACCTAGAGTGCATATCTCGCTCGCTCGACTGATCGAATTTCCCCCCCCCTCTTTACCTCGCCCTCGCAGCCCAAGAAACCAGAAGAAGAGGGAGCCTCCGGCGAACCTCCCGTCAAGCGCAAGCGGGGGAGGCCTCCCAAAAATCCCAAGCCTATAGAGCCTGTGTCTGAGGATGCGGGGGAGGCTACCGCCCCAGATGCGAGCGCGAAGAAGAAGCGGGGCCGTCCCCCAAAGTCAGCGTGACACCGTCTTATGATAGGATCCATCGTCCCATTTCAGTCTCCCCTCTCGATATGGACGGGTTTCGCCTGTACTGCCCCTCCTCCCCCTCACGACCACAACCCATACGAAAGCTGGTGTCCCTCGATCCCCCCCGTCCCGATTACTTATGTGAACCTTGTCTTGTCAAAGTTGTTGCCGTCTAATATCGTATTTTTCTTTTGCCTCCGTCTTCATATCGTGTACTCCTCTTGTTATCGTCGTCCTCTCTCGTAGCTTTATATTTTGATGAACTCGGTGTCTTCATAGCAATCTCGCCGCATGTACGAACTGAAATGGTCAACGCTGAACGTTGAACGTCGAAGGGGCCGAGATCGTTCGCAGATCTTGGCAAGTGCGCTGGTGAGGGCCGGTGCTGTCCACCGCTTCTCATCCCTGCCCACATGCCGATTCGCAAGAATCTTCCCAAGAATCATGCTCATCAATCACCGCGGGGAGGCAGGTCCCGAGTGCGTCGTCTTCGGAAATAAATTCGGGTTTTTTGTACGTAGCCATTTTCCTGGGGAAATATCTTCTGTGCCCCTATCTATCATAACTTCGAAACATTCTACAGCTGCCTTCGCGTGCGATGGAATAACGCCATCCACGTCAAACCCATGCTCGCAGCCGCTAGTACCGCCGACCCCAAAATGCCCGCATTCGTCAATAATTCAGTCTGTTGTACGGCTTTTCTTTTTGCGGTCGCGTAGCTGATATCCGGGCGGAACGTGACCATCGTGTACAGCGGAATCCAACCGCTCGGATTTCTAGAAGGAAAAGGTATACGGGAGAGCATCGGCCCAAGGGAAGCCAAAGTGAACCGCTGGCGTGAGCCTAGTGAGAAAAGGACGTTGTCCAACGCCTTCCGGAATAGATATGCTGGCGTCGTCACCAGATGACGCATCTCGACACTTTGAGAGAGAACGATTCAGCAATCAAGGAGGTCAAGAGAGGAAGATCCACACACTAATTATCCATCGCTAGATCGCAGATGGCAAGCAGATCTTCGTGCCGCGTGTTGGAGTACCGGCTCAGGGCTCCCGCCAGCCGCTCGTCAACGTACTCGTCCGACTCGCGACGGGCAGAGAGATCGATGTTGGCCTCTTGTAACATGACGCTCATCACTCGGACATCCTCCAAACCGCAATTCAGGCCCTGTCCGTAGAAAGGCACCATAGAATGGGCCGCGTCTCCGAGGATGATAGCGCGGTCTTTGTAGTGATATGGGTTCGCCTGACAGGATTTTAAGGGGTTCGGAGGGATGAATGGAACAAGGTGGCAAGCGCACCTTAATGGAAATGAGTGAGCTGCGAGGGTTATTCGTAAACGAGTCCAGAAGGGGGCGTTCGCCAATTAAGGCAAGCGCGTCCGGAAAGTAGGACTTGAACCATGCGACAATTGCGTCTGGATCCTTGAGAAGTTCGAACTCTGAAGTCGGCGCAAACAGGGTGCAAGTGAAAGTCATATCCTATGTAAGGGCGTCCCATTATGCTCGGCGCTCGGCGGCATTAGGCACTGCTTATAAAAAGTCTCACCTTGTTTGGTAAGGCTATGAGCATGAAGGAGTGACGAGGCCATATGTGGAGATGATTTGGATCAAGGAGGAAAGTCGGACTACCATCAGCATCTTTCCCTGGCTGTATTTTCAGCTCGAGGTACTCGTGGGGTATATATTCTTGCTGATAATCCATTCTGTCGTACATGGGAAAGAGGATGAAGACACCATCGGCTTCGGCGACGGCAGAAGCAGAAGTACGGAGCGTACCGGACAACTCTCATCAATTGGCGCCGGACGACCGAAAAACTCCCATCAGCGCCGACACAGAAGTCAAAAGGGATTTCGAAATCCGTATTCGCATCACCGTCACGGGCAGTCATCAGCCGACGGTCAAAGTCTACAGACAAGACCTTGCGTTGGAAGAAAACGCGAACATTTGGCACGGCTAAAATTTCCTCCAGGAGGCCTTCGTTTAGAAGGGCACGATCAATGGAATTGATACACTTGTCAGCGTAGAAGAGTATACGGCTCATAAGACGTCAAGGAAGAGTTTGCACGTGAGAAAAGCTGATTTACCTGGCCATCCGGGTCGTACTGTTGGCTGTGCTGAATACCATGTATGTCGTGTATCATTCGACCGCGCATGGGAATGACGGTCTTCAAAAAGCGGGCTGCTGCTGCTGAATCGACGGCCTGCAGTGCCGCAATGCCGCGCGATGATATGGCAAGATTGATGGATCTCTGCTGGGCTGCAGCCTTGGAGGCCGACAGTCGCATATCTGGGTGTAGATAGAAGAAAACACGTTACGGAAGGCGTGATACGGCCAAATGTGTACCCACCTGGACGCGCTTCGAATACGTCGACCTGCCAGCCCATCTTAGCTAGAGACATTGCAGTTAGGCAGCCGACAGGTCCTGCCCCAATGACCACTGCTTTTCGAACGGCGTCCTTTCTCGGGTCCATGATCGCTCAGGTTGAGGAAAGAGAAATGAAATGTCAAATATGAAATTGGAGGAAATCACCGGCAAGTTGACAACCCGTTTAAGACGCCGGATCTAGTCATGCGAACTCGGATCTTGCACTCTTGCGATCTCTTTCACAATTCGAACGCAACTTCTGTTGGCGTACGATATTAAATCATGACCCTTTCCTCCAACGTTTCATTTCGCGAACATTTCGTCTTTCCAACCAACGCCGACATTGGAGCTACCCGCCTCGTCCAGGAAGGTCGAGGTTCGATCATCTGCGCAGCTCACAGCGTTTTTCATATCGTATAATCATGGCACCTTGTAGGAAAAGAACCGTGCGCATATCTTTGCGGAAACTCTCTGGGTCTCCTCTCGACGCGATCAGAATCCCTCGTTCAACAGGAATTACGCGTATGGGCCTCGAAGTAAGCCAAGATGATCTCATAGCATCGCCCCACTCAAGGATGACGCTGATTGATATTCTCGATTCAGAGCTGTGGAGGGTCACTTTGCACATCCAGATGGCAGGGACTGGATGAATATCACCGATCATGTCAATCCTCTCTTAGCAGAACTTGTAGGTGATTACACGGCTAGGCCATTTTCCTGTCTATGTCAACTCAGCTACCAGAGACGTAAATTGACGATCAGCATCGGTGCCTTACAGGTGCAAAGGAATCGGAAGTTGCCTGCATGGGCACGTTAACGGCCAATCTGCATCTCATGATGAATACATTCTATAAACCGACCTCCAAGCGGTTCAAAATTCTATGTGAAGGGAGGGCTTTCCCATCGGATCAAGTACGTCCCCACCCAACCTAGCCTAAGTAATCTGCTTGAATACTCACCCCTGGTCTCGTCTTCGATCTCGTTCCCGGTCTCGTCTTTGGCGCTGCTTAGTACGCCTTCGCGTCACAAGTGACGTTGCACGGGTTAGACCCTAAAGATGCTATCATCGAACTATTCCCTCGTGAGGGAGAATTTACTCTCAGAGAGGAAGATATCCTGGACGTTATCGCAAAGCAGGGACCATCCATTGCCCTGGTAATCTTCAGCGGGGTCCAATATTACACGGGCCAGTGGTTCCCCATGCAGTCCATAACGAAAGCAGCGAAAGCCCAAGTAAGTCTTCCTTCCTGCCGGGGCCCCGCTAGTTACTGGAAGAAGCGTGCTTGTAGCCAATGATAGTCTGTGCGAATGCCGCTTTTCATACCGAGAGCGTAGTCATTCGTCATGTCCTCACTGCTTTACATTGACTAATCGTGTTGTCTCGTTAGGGAAGTATTTGCGGTTGGGATCTTGCCCATGCAATAGGGAATATACCCTTGTCTCTTCATGACTGGGACGTCGATTGGGCAGTTTGGTGCACTTACAAGTACCTCAACTCTGGTCCTGGGGGTATAGCAGGACTTTATGTACATGAGAAGTGGGATGATCGAGAGCTACCAAAGTAAGAACGTTCCGTTGCATCTATTCTTCATTAAGCACACATACTGCTTGCTTCTCCCGCTCTGCCAACCTCCATTGTTCACACCGACTAACATGTTTCATCCTTTCCACGTTTTCTCCTGTAGGTACGCAGGCTGGTGGGGTCACGATCCATCCACCCGTTTCCAAATGCCACCAGCTTTCTCTCCGATCCGGGGTGCGCAAGGATACCAGCAATCCAATCCATCCGTTCTCTGCACCGCCTCACTTTTAGGATCCCTCCAACTGTTCAAAGAGGCTGGCATGATGGATACCCTGCGTGCCCGGTCCCTCAAATTGACTGCGCATCTCGAAGCGCTGCTCGTTCGATCTCCGTATTATGTACCTCCCCACGAGGTAGCTGCGAGCTACCATCCCCAGGACACACTGTCTGTGACCGCAGAGCTGCCAAGACATGCATTCACCATCATCACTCCGCAGGACCCAAATGGCCGCGGCTCCCAGCTTTCTCTCAAATTTCTGCCTATTGAGGCACGTGTCATGCAGAGTGTATATGACGGGCTCAAGAGCTTTGGCGTCATCGGGGACGAGAGGCAACCGGACGTCATACGACTTGCTCCCATGGCTCTGTATAATACATTTGAGGACTGTGACTGGGCAGCGCACTGCCTAGATGAGGTATTCCGTCTTTTGGAATAACGGCATCCTTACGACCCCATAAAATAATCCGTTGGTTTTTCATGAATTACAATAGATGTATTGTTAAACAGAGCTGCCTTGTTTTCCGCTAACGAAGTCCCCAACGACACGGACAAATATATCCCCTCGCAAAATATCATTATGCTCCTCGTTGAGCGCTTCCCAATCCTTGAACACCCTCCGGTTGGACGAGCCACCGTCCTGTTTCTCGTGGATACGTTGTAAATGCTCATACATGACTTCGCTCTGACGCTGGTCGACGAGGGTATCGCCCTTCGAATGTACGACCAACCAGCGGATGTGCCCGCCGTCCTTTCGAACGGGAAATTTTGTTGTTGCGTATGCTGCGTATGAGTGGTGTTCACCGAACGCACTGGCAATGAACCATGTGCGGTAGTCCGGGAACGATGCAAGGAGAAGATCGATGTCGTATATGCCTTCGGAAAGGATGACACCCTGCACCGCGCGCAAAAGTGCAGGCCGCGGTGCCAGCGACGGTGTGACGGGCGCTGAATCAAGTATGATTGACGCCAACATGTGTGCGCCGCAGCTGTGTCCCATGAGAAATATCAGTTCAGGGTCATAGAGAGGACCTGCGGATATTGGAGATCCATCCCATTCATGCGCAAATGTGAGAAACCGCAGTATATCCTCCGCATGCGCAGGATGCAGCAGGGCACTGTCAGCCGTGGGTTCGCGCGGCGTGAGTCGATAATTAGGCACCGCTACAGGGCAACCGGTGAACGTGGCTAGGCTCTGCGCCAGAGTACTATGGTCCGCTTTATCCTCGCTGTGGGGAAACCATGTCAGCACTGAGCAAGGATGCTGTGACTCCTTAACGGACTTACGATCGCCAGGCGCCTCCGTGGATGAAGCAGATGAGTGCTGGTTTATGTTCCTTGTCAAGGGAAACATGTGGAACATAAAGGTCGAATTCATGGGGCCTGTCGCGCGAGTCTGATTTCCCAGTCTGCGGTACGTAAAGCAAGTCCAAAAACAGTTCCATCGATAGTCACTTGATTCAAAATTCGAGGGGCCTTTTGACGTTACACTTGTCGATACAGCTAGATATGTCAGCCATTTATGAATGTGAAGAATCCGGAGAGAATATATCACATACTGCGACACTTTCCTGCCGGTGATCGATGACTTTTGCAAATATATAAGCTGCGTTCTCGTTGATTCTGGGAGATATGCGCACCAAATGCGAAGGGCTGGAACTCGCGTTTGAATGGTGTGAAGTGGAATTGTGGATAGGATCCTTGTGATATCGCGGGCCAAATCAGCTGCTCCCTCTCAGAGACGTGGCAGGTCTTGTCTCGACGGATGATGGTCCCGAGGTACGATAGAATTCTATATAAAGACGAGGTGGATATAAGAGGCGATAACAGAAATTCGGGTTTACAGATTGACTTCTATGGTTCCTGTACACACTGGGAACTTTTGGGAGGTCGTAATTGTTTTCTGGCCTGGAATACCTGTCGGAAGGTGCCCCAGACACCGCCAAAGAAAACATGAATTTGGCGATGTTCCCAACATTCATGCACCGACTCCGGTCATCTCAGCGGCCCGGCTTTTGCCACTCCAGAAGCGACGGAATTGTATCGGAAATTTACTTATATTTTGCCAGCTCCCCACCCAATTTTGTCCCTGTCCGATGTCCAGGAAACATCAGTCAGGACAACCAGGCGCTACAGAATCATCCTTACCACCCAGTAGCCGAAAATCCCACCGAAATCACTTGTTTTATCGATTCTTTGACCATGCCCTGGTCATCTGCACGTCAAAAGGCCTTCTATAACATATGTCATGATCATGAGACTTGCGAAGAAGTTCGCGTGCATATCGCATGGAGAAAAAAAATGTGGACCGCTGGTACATGATATCCGCGACGCCCAATATGTAAATCATCACGGTTCAAGACCTTTTTGACCAAGGGCCGTGAGAGACTATCAGGCATGACATATAAGCTAAGTAATCTGATGCTCTTGTGCATGAACATGGAACCGAAAAGTGCGTATAATGGCCATTGCGGGTGCACCGAGACGCATCATTAAATGTGGCAGATTCATACTGTATTACAGGCGGATCAAAATGCACGTTCATATATCATTCTTGACACACATATTTACCTACCTGTGACATTTGACGTTCTTGCGCTCCGTTACTTGACTTTCACTGAGGTACAACGCGGATGACGATTTTGCCAGTGTGCTGTCCTCGTGAAAGATAATCGATAGCTTCTGGAGTCTGCTCGAATGGAAAGACTTTGTCAATGTGTGGCCTAAGCTCATTCGCACCGACGAAGCGGAGCAGGTCCTCGTGCAGCTGTTTGGAGCCTACATAAACGCCACTGCATATGAAACGTACCATAGATAAGGTGTGTGAGTGCGCCAGTGAGCTGCATCTCTTACCGGAGCGTGACACACTTGAGAAGGTTCAGCATTGCGATATCTGGAACCTTCTCCGGGTTATTCCCGAGGAATCCAATGGATGCGATCGTTCCGCCTCTAGCAACGCAATTGTAACATCGCTCGATTTCCTGCGCGCCAACATTGTCCAGAATCAGATGCGCGCCAATACCATCTGTAATCTACATCCAGTCGTACGAATCACTGAAGAAAATGGTGCAAGAACGCATGCGGACCTTTAAAACGACCTGGTCCCAATCAGGTTCTCTTTTGTAATTCACAACATGGGTGGCGCCCAGCTTCTTGGCTATCTGTGTCATACAAATCAGGTGACTCTTCAAAGAAAGACGACATCGATTACCTCGAGCTTATCTTCAGAAGAAGATGTGACGATAGTCTAAACAATGCTCAGCAACAGCAGTGAGCGACAGTGAAAACCACATTGATTGACCTTTGCTCCAGCGGCATGGGCCAAAATCAAGCCAGCAATAGAGACACCACCTGTCCCCTGAAACAAAACCGTTTGTCCTGGCACGAGCGGAGCGCCGCCAAACAATGCGTTCCATGCCGTCACCCCTGCGCACGGCCAGCAAGATGCTTCCTCATACGACAAGTGTTTTGGGATATGTAGAAGACCCATCTCAGGAAAAATGCGGTACTCTTGCAAGACCCCATCGATCGACCCAGCAAGGATGACTATGAAGGGTACAAGGGAGTCTGAGTGAAAAACACTCAAGACACCTCAAAAGAGACGCACCACGTTCATCTGGTAGAGTGCCGTACCAGTGATTCTGGTCAAAGTTGGCAGTCACCCTGTCTCCTTGCTTGAATCCGAGGACAGCTGAGCCGATGGAAAGGACCTCTCCGGCCATATCGCTCCCCGGTACGACGTCCTGCTTCACGGGAAGGGGATATTTGCTGCTGAAGGGTAGATAGTCCCTGAAGTTTAGTGATACAGCATGGATGCGGACGAGAACCTCATGGGGCTGTGGAATCGGTATGGATTCTTGACATTTGACAATGCCGGAGAGAATGTTCTTTTCCTTCACGCGGAAGACGGTTTGCTGCTGAGCTCGAGACATGATGTGTGGGCTGCTATTTCATCGTCTCCATGGGCACATGCAGTTATATATGCCATCGTCAGCGAGTCTTTCGTCTTTGTCAGTGAGAAATCGAGTATTACTCACCCTTCTGGCTAATGCCGACATAGACATGGTACGACGGAGTTTGGTTCATCCTTTAGCTTCAGCCATTCAGCAGAGTTTGTTTCCCTGAGAATATCTTATGCATCGGTGCCTTGAAGGAGCGCGCGAAGCTTTGGAATGGGTTGAATGTCAACACAGGATGCAGGATCATGTTAGCAGCGCATATGGGAGTGGACTTCCATCCGTATCGAAAGCTGATATCCGCAAACGGACATTTTGAATTCACTCGTGACAGGAAAATCGAGTGGTCCGAAAGTCAAAAGTTTCCACATGTAGCGTGAACAGTTCAACAGACAGGCAGTGGATCTCCAAGAAATATTGCCAAGCCACAGCAGACTACCAAGCCAGAAACGCTGCGCCGCGTAGAGAACACAGGGTCGGAGGGAGTCAATGGAGCGGACGAGAGCGATGACATGCAGTGACAAGCACCGACAAGCACTGCACTCGACTAGCGGCACCCTGACGTCATGTGCAATTACGTCACCGAAAAAGCGTCAGTCCACGGTATATATTCCCGGATGCTCCCCCCGCTGTCGTGTTTGTCGCCTTACTGACACCCATCCCTCACCCACCACACAATGGCTTTCACCGGTTCAGACATCTGCAAGGTCCGTTTATACCGCTCTCGTTCCATTTATCTTCACTAAAAGCATTCATCCCCAGATCATGTCAGTGCCAAAACCAGTATGATCATGAGACCATCTTTGACCTTTTTCTTTTAGCTTCGCCGTACTCCTCCCTCCAATAGGAGTGTTCTTGGAGCGTGGATGCGGCGCTGACCTCGTGAGTTCTTTTTCCCTACAGTTCTTCATCTCCGCTCTGACACCAGTTGGTCCACAGTTGATCAACATCCTTCTTGTACGTCTCGTTCCCACATGTTTTCATGCATCCTCTGATCGCCTTCATTCTAGACCATCCTAGGTTACATGTAAGCATCTACTCATGTTTTGTTATCAGTGTCTGATAGGCCCATTTTGCCTTCTATAGCCCTGGAATTATCCACGGTGCGGCATTTCTCTTCCCGTCTACACCTTCTGTTTACGCCCACATGCCAGCGCTATACATCATTCTCAAATATTAGCGGGACGTTCCAATCAGAGGAACACTGCAGTTGATGGATTCTTATTCTTTATGCTTTCACGACTTTGAACCTCTATGTATGACTCTTGTGCTTTACTAGTTTTCGGCGTTCTCAGCCCTCAGACTTTGCCGCAGTTGTAATACCCATTTCCACGGGCTTTGCTCGCTGCTTTTTGAAATTCGATGTCAGATCGAAAATGATGAGCGGAATACAAAAGAATACAAGTCAGTCTTGAGAAATACAATAGACGTTGATACGTTGATACGTCGATAATCACTATTACATCCATTATTCTTCGTCTTCGTCTTCGCTTTCTTCGTCCCCCTCGTCGCCATCTTCGCCATCATCGCCCTCCACTTCGCCTTCGCCGCTGACTTCATTGTTGCCACTGCCCTCACTGTCACTACTGCCCGCGTCATCGCCACTGCCCGACCCGTCGCTCTCATCTTCACCTTCAGAGCTACTCTCTTGTTGATCGAACTGGTGAATCATCCGCGCTCCAACCAACCAGCACCTTTTGAAATTCTCAAGCACCTCACCGGCCTTGAGTCCCTCGCCTTTGGAGTCGGGCTGCGCATGCCATCCGCGTACATCGTCCTCTTCGATGATATCGTTCTGGTACAGCGCAGCAAGTATCTGCCCGAACAGTGGCATGCGCGTTGACGCGGCACAATGAGCCTGACCCATTGTTCTTAACGAACATGCAATTTGATCGCGGAGAAAGACCGTACCTGCAGGATAGTGACAGTTTCAACACCGTCGGCTCCACCGATTCTGTTGATCAGTTCTCCCCAACGATCCACACATCGCTTAATCGCCATTCTTTGTTCCGCGGCATTCTCCACGAGCTCAATATTATCAACGATGCCTGCAACGACTGCCTCACGTACGCGACGCAATGGTACGTTGCTCGCCATGCGCAACGTCTTCAACTCCACAGACGCGTTGTCGAGCGAATGGCCTTCTGAAAATGCGCGTTCAAGTGACAAACGAACTTCGTTCTGGAATTCGGTGTCAGCCGCATGTGCACCAGCGGAGACCGCGGCGGCCGCTGCGGAGGTAGGGAGGGAGGTGGTTGAAGATGATGGGGATACGTGTTCGTTGAAGGAATCGTCTGAGTCTGAATCCGATTCATCAGTGGAGGTGACGGAGCCTGGGTCAGATAATTCAAGATCTGAATAGTTGTCGCCTGTGAAATAGATTCAGCACTGTCTAGAGAGGATGTGAACGTGTGAAGTATCTACCTATGCGCATCAACCGCTGGTTGATAAAATTGTCGATATTGTTCTCGTCTTCGTCAGCCTCCTCATCCTCCTTACTGGCAGTTCTCCGGGGCCATACGAACCCATTGGAGCCTTTCCCAAGATTAGCAGATAGCACCGCCTGGTCTAAAGGAGTTGTGCAACATAGTCAGCTCGCAACCATCTCATACATTAAAAAGCAAGTACACGCTACCTTTTTCAGCCTCCTCCCACTCGGAGTCCTCGTCACTGTCTCCCTCACCTTCGTCATCCCCCTCCGCATGACCATCAATCTCACTTTGTTTCCGTTTGGAGACCCTCTCAAACGGTAATAGCTTAGTATTCGCACCAAGCTTTACCCCATCAGCTATGAGCGCACCCCGCGCGACACGGCTGCTATCCCCAATTTCAACGCCTGCGCCGATGATGCTGTTCTCGATGAGACAGTTTGTGCCGACAACGACGCCCTCGAAGAGATAGGAGTTCCGCACGACGCTGTTTACACCGATGGAACAGTGTGCACCGAGAGTGGATGCGAGGACCTGCGCGCCTGCAGATATTCGTGTGGAAGGTCCGATGAGCGTGTTGTTCCCCACTTTGCTTGTCCTACCCAAGAGAGACACAGGTACGCTTCAGATCAGCCATGCCGTACAGGTTACATGATACATCGTACGTACCGTGAGAGTATCACCGAATTATCCCCTGGGATGTACTTGTTCCCGCGAAGATGTTCGTATACGTGTCCACTGGGGTGATTGTCGTCTGGTACCAATGGGAAGGCCCATCGCGACAGGATGTCCTTGCTATTTCCATCCGTCAGAATAGCATTGCGGTGATTCGACTAGGACGGTGAGAGTGATTGAAAAACATTGATCGACATACCTGATGGCATCGTAGCTCTTTGTGTCTTGAACCCTGGCAGCATAACCCTCCTTGACCACATAGCAATAGATATTCTTCATAAGTAAATCCGACGTGAGAACGCCGTGAACAAAGTCTCTCCTGACATCAGCATAATCAAAGTTATCCTGAAAGAGCGAGGGAACCTGACAATCGAGCGTGTCATAGACCAGTCACCATATTAGAACCTCCACAGGCCACTAGACAGAGTCAAAAACGCGAAGAACTTACATCTACGGAACAGACATCGATGAAACAATCTATGAAGTCGTTCCGAATCTCGATGTTTCGATGCGATTCGAAGATTTCTCTAGGTATGCGGGTAATGCTCTTCGGGGGATAGCCGCTGACTGGCTCGTAGTGTACGCACTCCGAAGTGTCCTTGTTCAACACAAACACCGCCGAATCACCCCTCGATCTGTAAAATAGATCACACAGACCATCAGTCGAGCTCCATGTCTGTGCCTTGTACGCACCTCGTCCGGTGCCTTGCCCCACTCTCCTTCACCACCATCGTCATGATCGCGTCCTTGTTCGTGCGTCGCCTCTCCTTGTGTGCCCTCACGACCTCATCGATGCGCACGTTGCTCACCAGGTCACCCGCAACGAGGATGAAATCTCCAGTGATGATTCCATGTGTGTAGATATCGCGCATCGCGTCTCCTGGAGAGAAAGTTTCCTTCGCGGTAACGATCGGTACAATTTTCAAGCTTGAGGCGGGATGCGACCATTTGGACTCTCTACGACAAAGCGATGACAATACATAGGAGTTTAATAAGTCGGTCAACTGAACAAGGGAGGATAAAACACATGCACCTGATCGCAGCTTTTACTTGGTCGGCATAAGACCGACAAATCACGAATGCTTCTTGGACGCCTGCAAGAGCTAAGCTCTCTAATGTCCAGTCCAGTAACGGCGCGTTGCATATGGGCAGTAAACACTGTCGCCTACGTTAGGCCACCGTGACCACGATGCATGGTCCTGGCTCACTGACTCTAGGTCTGCTAGCGGTCATAGGTTTGAAGCGTTTATTAAAGCTGTCAGCCAAGATGACGGCTTGCAAAACCTCATCGTCTTCGTCGACAAGCTTTTCTTTGCCCAATGAAGCTTTTGGAGGCATTTTTGGAGTAGAAAAAGGATCACGAGTGTAGTGAGCAGCTTGTTGCGCGTCGAGGAGTCATTTTGAAGCATGATTAAGGTGAACCACGTGGGAATAGAAAATATGGGGATCCAGATTCTTTTACAGACACCATGACACTTGCACAGACAACATACAAGAGAGGAAAAATCGCATTCGCTGATGCCCTCGCACCATGACAAAAAGACATGATTTACAGACGAAAAGCTCAGACACATGCGCACGCGATCCAGTGAGTGAAAAGAAAGTGGGTATCAGAGTAACAGACCGTAGGATCGCTATTAGTGAAGAGAAAAAGATGCGGATCAGGCTAGGCGTAGTGAGTAGATCGTGAAAATGTAAGCCAACATGGGACCAGATCCAACACGTAAACTAGGTGAAGCGAAGAGGGCATAAAGATCGAGGGGATGAAAGGAGCCGAGTCATAAAAACAAGTAAGGAGGCGTGTGACAAAACCAAAGAAAACAGGATGAGATGAGAGCTCGTTAACAGTCGTTTACCGATCCATAGGTCCTCAGCCATGTACTGTTCATGCTGCCGCAGCAACGACTGGGGTAGCAGCGGGTGCCTCAGGTTTGGGCTCCTCGACTGCGGGAGCGGATGCAGCCTCCGCAGCAGGCGTAGCAACTTCCTCAGCGGCAGGCGCTTCGGAAGCTGGGTTCTCCAAGGGTGCAACCGGCTCGGGCTCATCGATCTTCGGAGGGTTCTCATCGACCTTGGCGGGGATGGGGTGCTCAGCCTTGGGTTTCGGCTTGAAAAATTCGCCGACACGAGCAGAAAGACGACGGCCGACTTTGGCGGGGTTGATCTTCTCCTTCTTCTCCTCCTTCTGATAGAATCATGAGAAAGAATCAGGAGACGTATATTGTTATTTTACTCACAACCTCCTCCTTAGGGGCCTCAGCCTCCACAGCTCCCTCAGCGGCGGGAGTCTCGGCAGCCGCAACCTCAATGGTTGGCACCTCACTATCATGCAATAATGAGAAATAGTACGCGAATGATTAGAAACCGCTTACGTCTCTTTGACTGGCTCAGCAGCGGTCTCCTCAGCAGCGGGGGCATCAGCTGCGGGGGTCTCCTCAGTCTTAGCGGCCTCCTCAGTGGCAGGGGCAGCAGACTACATAGGCGCTCAGTCAGCGAATATAAAACAATGAAAGAAGGGACGCACCTCAGACTCCTCTTTCTTCTTCTCCTTCTTGGGGCTCTTAGGAGCCTTCACCTTCTTCTCACCCTTAGCCTTCTCATTTTTGAAAGGAGCAAGGAGTTTGGCGAGAAGGCTAGGACTCTTGGGACGGTCCTCCTTCTTGGCTTCACCCTCAGCCTGACAGGGAAATAAGAATAAAAAATTGAAGAAAGCAACAACGACACTCACGGGCTTCGTCTCATCCTCCTTCGCGGGTTCAGCTGCAGCCTCAGACGTTTCAGCGGCGGGGGCGGTAGCAGGTTCCTGTGATGAGAGGATCAGTCAATGGTATCCTACTAAATGAAAATGCATGTCACCTCGGAAGCAGCCTCGGCCTTGGGAGCATCCTGAATACAGGTCAATTCTAGAGCGGTGGAGGCATTTGGATACACTTACGGCAACCTCTTCGGCCTTAGGCGCCTCAACAGTAGGAGCGGTCTCAGAGGGGACTTCCACAGGAGCGACCTCCTCAACAGGGGCGGCGACAGGGGCAACGGTCTCAGCAGGGGCAGACATTACGACAAGAGCGTGAAAGTTGGGCTGAAAAAAAAGAAGTCAGACGACAAGGAAGAATGATGAGGATGGCAACCGGACGCGCAGAAAGAACAAGGCTATACACGCACGGGAAGAGGGTATTAATGAACACACAAGAGAGAGGGGGGCAACCCGTAGCCCGTTGAGGGATGTAGAGTAGAGAGAGAAGAGAGAGGAAGAGATAGGGAAAGACGGTGCCCGCCATTTTCAGCCTTCTTATCCTTATTTGGCTCGGCTCGGCTGGACCAAACAAAACACAAAGAACTCTATTTCCACGCCCAATTATCCCCAAACAAGACCCTCTCTGCAACTTATCACCCGCCTCTTTACATACAAGTCGTTTGTTCTCGACCTGCTCAACCAGATTTTTTCTTTCACGTCCTTATAGTGATTGTAAAAGACGCGTGTTATGTCGAAGGGACTTAGTAGACGGTGGTCTGTGCGCGCCAGACGCGACCCAGAAGTGAGTCACGAGCTCGGCCTGGGAAAAACGGGAGAATGTCTAGTTCATCACCATTCAGTGTGATCATGATGTGACGAAAGCGGCAACCTGCGCGATCGTGTCATGCGGCATCGAGTACTAGGATTGGTGTCCTACAGCCCGCTGCTCCATCAACGTCAGCCCTATGTCCAGAAGCCTTCACATAAGAATCCATGGTCTCCTCAGCTTTCCATGTCGCAATCCACTGGAGGAAAGACCCTGAGCCTCGACCTAGCCATGGGTTATTTACTAGTGGGCTCGACCGCTGCAGCGGACCAATAAGAATTCCTAACAGAAACGCTTCTGGAAGGCGGGTGTTGACGTGGGGTCACACCGGGAGACTGATCCCGACGTTTCATTTTCAGCTTCAGTTCGGATGGTTCTCACACCTTCCAAATATTTCCCCTGCAGACTCGACTATGGCCTGGGATCATTGTTCACCTATAGTCACTCAGTCACTTGGCTGTTCAGTATCTCCCGGAATGTACTCTCTCTATCTGCTTAGGCCCAGGTAGCATCATTACCTGTCATATTAGCTGCAGCGGCTGTCACCTGAGGTAAACCTTCGCTGTTGAGGACGACACCATATTGCTAGGAGACCGCGTGCGTGTGTCTATCGTCTTAAATTCAAGGTCTATACTCATTCCCAATGTCTAGCACTTCCACCTCCGTTTCGTCGCCTCCATCTGTTGGTGTGTAGATCCTAATGTCCAGGGCACTTGGTTGGGGGTTCGGGCAACGCACATCTGACCTCTCGGAAGTTGCTTGCCATCAGCCAGCATTCCGTTCCTTAGCACTGATCTGGCATGGGAATTCTATTAACTGTCAGAACTCTGATCTGACGAGAGCAACCTACCAATTCCAAAGCTGGTCCGCTGTATCAGGTTGCCTGGGGTTTCTCTTGCTGGTTGCTTTCTTCTATCAGCGGAGTGGATGCACACGCCCATTATATCAAGTGCATCAACGCCAGCTTATGCGCACTTTGCAACAGTTTTCTGTGCAAGCATTGCTTTCTGGATGTTTGAAAGGTATGTCATGACTAACACTGTACATCTTTCTGACCGTTACTCCTGAAACAGTTGCAAGTTCTTCTGATCCCTACTGATACGTATATTTGGGCCTTTGGTGTACATCCATTCACAGGTTCCTCAGGTTTTCTCGAACTCATCGTGGTCAGCGGCAGCCGGTTTTCACGACAGTGCTGAGTCTTCAAAGTGTTTGCCTCGGTGTACCGCCGCAGTCCTGGGTAGTCTATCACTGACGTCACATGCCAGCCACTTTGACCTTTCACGCTTGCTGTCGAGTGCCATGCCTGTGTCTTGATGTACGTCCCCGAACCCATACTCATCTACAAAGCGGTTATTCTTTACGCAATAGCCAGGGCAGCATCCTTCGCGACATCGTTCATAAGAGCGCTTTTGATCCGAAGTACAACAGCATCCAGCGACCAGTGATTAATAGCTCGGTAGCTCCACACTGTAACCGGCTCAGCGTGCGCTGTTGGGAACCGCTTCCTTACTGCCCCAATGTCCTCCAGTTGCACCGATTGCGATATACTAGCCGTTCCCTCCCATTGTTCTTCTTGCATTTCTTCTTACTTACATCGCTTTCAGTGTAGATCACGAAGACGGAAAAGGTCTTCAAAATCGCAGTGGATGTGTCGAGTGACCTGCTCTGTTCGAGCGTGGAGGTTTGGTTTGGAAGTCACGGTTCTAGAAGCACTCGTCGTTCCTATCGTGAGTACATGCCATCGTAACACCGCTGGTTACACAAAGCGTATGTGGGCATCTTCAATAATGTCTTTATACACCAATTTTATTTTTTTGTCCACGCATCTGATCCAACATCTGTCACTTCACCGCCTTCCCCCCACTTTCCAAGAATCTTGAAATAAAGGATCTGCCTGACTCATACATTATTCCCTCCAGGAAAGGTCGGCGATGCTGAACATCTACGCTGAACATCCTAATATGAGGAACCCTTCATTTCCTCTGCTGGTCACCGACAGTATGATATGTGTCCACTCAAACTCAAAGAGAAAATGCTCCTATGATCTGATGTATTTCTTGACCCCTTTCTCTCCCTTCCTTCTTATGATGGTAACCGGGTAAGTGTATTGATACAAAGCTTTAACGATATCGCAATATGTTGTTGAACTTGAAACTCCAAGCTCCAAGGAATACCTTAGGCGAGGTCGAGTGCCTACTTTATTCCTTTGGCGATGGATAGTCAGTTCGAGAGACCTTAAAACTGTTGATCACGATGATAACCGATAGCCCTCCAAATGCCTCGTTGTGATTCAGTGTTCTAGTCTCCTACTGATGTCGATGACCCTTTCACAATGACAGGTACAAAGCTGACGCCCGCAAAGTCGCGCAACCCTACTAGTTGCACACCAGGGATTTCGGATGCAAGTCGCATAGATGCAGAAATGAAACAGAAATATACTTTTGTGATATGACAAGGAAAAATTTCCAGCATTGACAAAGTTCTCACGCTGTGGCTTGGACAATAGCAGAAGCGACTGGACGGTTCCGAGGAGGAACACGCAAGCCTTTGGCTTTCATACGTCTCCGCTTGGCCTCTGCGTGTCGAACAGGGATGTAATAGTTTATGAGCGATACAGAAAATGGAATTTTCAACAACCAAAGGCGCACCTTCGAGATAAGGCCTGTCCTCTTCAACATCGAAGTGAACATCCTTGCCTTGCACATCGACATCCATCTTGACTTCTCTCGTACTCTTCACATCTTCGCCGTCCTTCTTCCCCTTCACTTTCCTCTCCACCTTGAACTTAGCAACAAAAAAGCCATCCATGTTGTGTACGTGCGGGTAAAACCGCCTTGTCAGCTTGATGCTCTCGTCGAATTGTTTGCCCCGGTATCGGGTATATCCCTCGCGACCAAACTCGAGACCAGTGTCAACTAGATGAACATTGGGGCGTTTGCGGAGAGCGTATTCGACAACGGCTTCGTTCTCGTCCACAGTCACGGAACACGTGGAGTAGACGAGATAACCGCCTGTTTTGGATACAGGATTGATGCTGTCGATTGCACAAAGAATTAGTTGTTTTTGGAGGTGGGAAAGAAGTGTGAAATCGCGTTCGGACTGTCGAGGAGTGCAAGCATTTGTCAGAAGCGATGAAATGCTATGATCGATAAGATAAATGGTTCCATGCATACCTTGTTGACTTTGACACTGGAGTCCTTGCTGATGACGCCGGTCCCGCTGCAAGGGGCATCGAGAAGGACACGATCAAATCCCCCCATTACCTTTGGGAATTCTCTCCCATCATACGAACACACTACGACGTTCTTAGCCCCCAGACGGTGCACGTTCGCAGTCAGACTCTTTGTCCGCGCCTTGTTGGCGTCATTAGCGAATACGACGCCGGTGTTCTGCAGAAGAGCAGCGATGTGGGTAGTTTTGCCTCCGGGCGCAGAGGCCATGTCAAGCACGCGCTCATGCGGTTGAGGCGAAAGCGCGATCACAGGTAGAAAAGAGGACGCCGCTTGAAGCATATAATGACCCGCAAGATATTCTGGTGTTGCACCTGTACAAATCGAGGCGGTCTGAAATCATCGTGAAGACAACGATGAAGGAAGGCCAACCTATTGGCACATTGCTCTCAAAAACTTGCAAGCCAACATTCGTCCATTTGCCTATGGGTTCGAGGTTCACTCCTCGGTTGACGAGTGCCTGCGCTAGGTCTCTTCGTCTCGTGCGAAGAGTGTTCGTGCGGATGGTCACAGGACGAGGCACCTCGTTTGCCTCAAAGAACTCGATTGCCTATAAGTCCACCTTAATCAAATGCAAAAATATTCAATCGAACAAGATCATACCTCGGCGACTGGGAACAACTGAAACAATTTTTCTGCCAAGAAATCGTTGTACCCGTAGTAGCTCCCAATATCCGACAAAAGTTGGTCGATATACTCAGAGCGAGATCTGCAATGCCCACATAGGATTTCAGTGTCGATGAACCTCCAAGCGAGTTCAAAGCAGCACCACTTACCGTCCTGTCTTCTCTCCAAGTTTCTTCCATTTGCCCAATATCCTGACGCACTCTCGCATGCGTCTCTGTACAACATGAACATCAGGCCCGCCTAACCTTTTCTCCTCCTCCCTTTCCGCGGCTGTGGGCAAAACAAATGCGCCATTTTCTTCACCCCCCGCTTCGCTTGCACCATCTTCATCATTTTCGTCTAACTCGTCATCATCTTCGGCGCCGATCTGCTCTGCAAGCTGCAACTCCTCTGCATCAAGCTGGGCCTCTTTCGCGGCTCGGACATCCAGTGCTCGTGAACGAGCTTCCATATTTGAAAGAGTCACAGGGCCCTCGTCCTCATCTTCTTCAGAGGACGAGTCTGAAGAAGACCCATCAGGTATTATTTTAGTCGGCTTGTTGGCTTGTTTTGATTTTTTCGACTTGAGCTTCTGCTGGACAACCTGATCATCTGAAGAATCGGAGCCTAAGTCTAATTCTTGGGTCTGGCCATCAAGGAAATTATCGCTGATATGTCACTGTTAGCCCAGAGGCATCTCGAGATGAAAAGGCATACTAACTCCGCCAGATTAAGGTCGTCCTCATCAAGCCCCTCAAGTCCATCGTCGTTCTCACTGGATAGCGATCTGGGGTGTGATGAGCCTTAGAGATAGAGATCCAAGATATACCAAACGCACTTAGTTTCGGCTTTGAACCCATCGACATCCTCCCAACCCTCACTACTCCCCCCCTCCCTCACGTCCTCCCAAAGATCAGCGTCGTTCACCTTCGCTCTAGGTTTATTCGCATGAGACTTCGGCTTCGCCACTGGGGCTTGTCCTATTAACGGCCTTTTACCCGATTCTTCCTTGGCCTTTTTCGCCGGTCGCTTGCTCTCATCCACCTCAGGCCCTGACTTGCGCTTTACAGACTTCTTCTGGAAAGGCCGTACGTTTCCATGAGGAGCTATAGGTTCGGGGTCACCTTGCTTGTTCTGCGCACGTCTTCCCATGATGAGTGTAGGGAGAATGAAATATCAGAGGGAAAAGGTAATTTTGGTAACTCTGTTTATGGAACCCTAACCCGGACATTATATGGACCCCCTTGGTTCGATTCTCTTCAAGACTCAACAATAGCCTCATGATCATACACTGCCCACATTTAACCCAGCCTAATCCCGAGGGCCAAACCTGCCAGAAATGAGGCCCGTTGCTGGAAGTCCGCAGTCAAAAAATCGACTAGCCATCTCCACAGCGAGAGAACGGTTGGTGGTCGCTTCCCTCCGCTCCCCTCCGCTCTATAAAGCAAGTTCTCAAACCTAGTGGACATGCGTCCCCAATCGACCTTGATGACAGACAGAGAGCCGAGGTACTTTTGACCATCGGACATCGGGTCATGGTCAGATCAAGCTCCTAAAAATCCGCTTCTTGGAAACGCAACACCCACCTGGAGTAGGACAAAGACACCTCCAAACGCGAACGCAAGGGCCTTTGCTCCCTTCTTGACGAAAACCCCAGCGCAAATACCGCATACCGTACCGAAAGAGAGTCCGTAAATATCAATTGACGACGGGGGATGGTCCGGAAGGGGTGGTAGATCGGAAAATTGTTGAGAGCCTTTCGAAGGTACTTTCGGAGAAGACGTGCTCTGACCCGATGCTGTTTGCACACTCTCGCTGAGACTTTCGACACTTTGAATAAAACTCATACTGACTTACGTTCACATTGAATAGGCTTCCAGTTTACGAACAGAGACACACCAAGCCCAACACCAGCCACCCCTGCTGCTTTGAAAGCCAGGAGCAATCTCTGTTCATGAGGCTTGGTGCCTGCCGGCCGTGAATACTGGCAGGGTGAGCATAGCAGGTGGTGTGGGCTGCCGAAACGCAAGCGCGGCTTCAATGGGAAGCGTGCCATTGCTACTTGGCGCGGAAACATGGAAAGAAAAGACGACGCCATCGGAATAGTGGACACAGTGAGCGCTTTAGCGTTGGTCGATCGACTTAACTGTTGTCGCTGTCAAGCTCGGCAGAAGGAAATAATGACGTCATCATTCGACGTAGTGATCTGATCCCATCCTCCTCATCCACAGTAAAAAGGGTATACATCCAAAAACTTCTCAAAACCGTAACAACTGTAACATACACACGTGATCCAGTACAAAGCCCAACTGGGCGCCACATTCAGTGCCGCCGAATGTCGTTCTCCAAGTCATGAATCATACAAGCATCCGCTTAACAAGCGTCAAGGTATTTGGTCAACGCCGTCTTCTCCGCACTATCGATACTGAGGCCGTAGTAGTGCTTCACCGTGATCCAAGCGCGCACATATGTGCATTGGTAGCTCACCAAGGGAGGTACCCACTCGGCAACGTCTTTGTCACCTATGTATGCACGCATCAGATGAGCCCCTTTATGAATAAAGACGACACTTTACTTTTAGCTTCGTTCAAGTTATCAGTGACGGCAACGAGCTGAGGGCGTGTCAAGTCGTTCGCGAAAGACTCGCGTTGAGCAGCAGTCCAAGACCTGGCACCCGACATCCACGCCTATGTCTCCAAGGTGAGTCTATCACCTCGTGTCAAGATTATTTTGGAAGTCACCTCTTTCAGCGGCACAAGATGATCCTGGACGATAATGAAGTTAAGTTGTATTGAATGATCGTCATGAACTCCATCCACGCACGATATCGAGGTCGCTTGCAAGTGTCGTGCTGACGCCATCGTATGGCGAGACCCAGTTGCCAGATGTAGCCGCGCAGGCGCTATTTGTAACGACGTCTGTCCCATCCCTCTTCAAGACAGCTTAGAGGATAATTCAAATTTAGTCGTCGAGAATACGCCTAGATTGATCAAACTCACTTTCTCTTGTGTCACACGTCCCGGATACTGTTGAAATCAGGTCAGTCCTATGAGGCACCACTAATTTAGCTGACCACTTACTGGTGTCCCAGGTCTTGAACTCGCTTCGAGCATACGCGGGCGAGTTTGATTCCGCCTCTACGGTCACTGTTATATCGTCAACGACAGGTGACAGTGCTGATGCCGACCATACTCACACTCTCCCAGGTAAGTCTTCGCTACGGAGACAGAGACGGGTGCTGGAAGAGCTCTTTTCACGACTGGCATCGGAGCAGCCAGAACAGACGAGACCAGGGCGGCCACAAAGAGATATGAAGTCGAGCGGACCATAGTAACTGTCTTTAGGATGGGACGAGTGGAATGGTAGGCTCGCTGTACCAAGTACTGCCTTAACTGCCTCTGGTTTTATGCTCGCGTCGGTATCTTCAAGGCAACCAGATGTTCAGGTTGTTCTCCGTGAACGCATGCCCCTCTATGCACATGTGTCCTGTCCTTTCGGCCGATCCTTCTCAATGTCCGCATGCTTTCTCCTTATCTTCGTTTCTACGGCACCGAATCATCTCGGCCGTTTAAGTAGTATCAGTCACTTGCGGAGAGAATCAATTGCTGTTTTGGAAGAGGTCACTCCTGGTCAACTTCAGGTTGGAACCATGTGCTCGCCGGGCGTCATATCTCCAAGGTGGCGATAAGTTTCGATCTTGACGCAGTCCTGGGTAGGAACGTGACACGATTGCCATCTGGACGAAGCTCTTTAGGCGACTAACAGAGAACGTGTCTGACAACTCGATCATTCACGCATGATTCTGAAATCTTGAACGTGCAAGTGGAGTGTTCGTATCTAAACAAACGGACCAAATAAATTACTTCCAATAGACGACAGCATACACCTAGATTAAATACTGTCCATGAGTACCACTCTGTACCATTTCGAAACACTTGGTACAGGACTGTGAAGGTAACGAAAATAGAAAGCCTGCACAATGAAGGAGAGCTTAAGATATTGTAGGATATTGTGCTACGCATGGTTACGAACATCGACGGAGATAGAACTAATCCTGCGATTTTGAAACTCACTGCGCTGCCCGATTAGCAGCATCCATGACGAGCATTCTCCACTGTGACGGATCAACGATCTTGTCTTCGGTCCCGTTCCGTTGACCCAACGCAGGCATGTGCACAACGTGCCGTGCAGCCCCATACCGTGGCGATTCCTGCATGTTTCCATTTGGCACCGACGCATAGCGGCGGATGTTCATAGCCGCCTCGGAAGAAACACTCCCACCATTCATCCCGTTTGATAGGACATCACGACCATACGGTGAGAATGATTCTGGTGCCTCGAAATGCAGGACGGTACTGAACGGACGATGGTTTCGGAGATAACTGGTATTTGAATTCCTGGCTATAGGCGGCGGGCGCAGAGGTGGACAATATGCTCCTGTACCGCCTAGATTGAAGTGAAAACTCGCAGCGTCAGAGCGAATTGATCGCCCACTTGGAGTCGAAGTATGCTCGCGGGGCGGCACAATTCGAGGGGTGTGCGAGGCGGCCAAGTATCTACTCGATTGAGTCACCGGTGGGCCTCGGATTACATATGGGTTGGGGAGATTGAAGGGGATAAGATGGGAGTGCGAATACTGGTGATAAACTGGCACAGAGGAGGATCTGATGGGCCAAATGGGGTCGTACTTCGTGAATGCCATGGAGGGAGCCATGAGGGTCGGTGAGTATGGCGATGGCGATGGTCCCGAAGTCGATAACGTATCTACAGGCGTTTCATGAAACACAGGGAAGGGTTTCAGAGGTTCCATGCTCTCGGCGGGAAATACCTTATGACCTGATTCTGCATGGAGAGTAGAAGCAGAGCGAACGGAAGAATCAGATGATACAGTTGTCACGGTATGAGCTGAGTCAGGTGTACCAGACCGAGAGATAGCGTCTTTGAAAGTGTCGGGGAACAAAAAAGAGTAAGACAGGTCCCCTGAGGGTTGATAGGCAGAGGAGATGCGACGGGAATAGGAACCCTGGTCAATAGATGAAAGAGTGTCTCCGTTGACAACATAGAGTGCGCGAGGCTCTGGAAGTATTGTTGCCACAGATTTTCTTCTACTGTCTTCTGCGGTTGAAGCGTCCAAAAGCAGAGTTTGGGAATTCACAGTTAGTTGAGAATTCCTTGTGAGATCAAAAACATCATCGAATTTGCTGAACTGCGGCGTATTTGGCGGTAGATTCGTGATTGATTTGCCTGACAGTGATGCAATTGGTCTAGGCAGACATGCCATGATGCACAAGGATGCGGTGTATCCTAACACTGCGTCGTTGATGAACCTCTGATCTGATTGAAGTGAGGCGTGGATCGTACCCAGTACGGCGATAACCCAACAGCCCACCCAAATCACATAATTGAATCTTCTGCACACGGCTTCAGGGCCTTCGAACAGGGGTTGAATCATCAATACGCAAAAATAGAACATCAAGATACTCACCAAGATTGACGCAGGGAAGCTGGGGTCTAAAAAACGTGAAGAGGATTGCACTGCCTTGAAGCAAAAACACTTTGTCAATCGATGTATGTTCGATTGTGTAATGGCGTGCCTTACCCGAGTGGAGGACAAGAAGGAGGCCAGCGCGGGCGAAATCTAACCACAGGCGGAAGTAGACAATGATCCTAGAGCAGAATAAAACAATCGCTCAACACTTCAAAGTGCATTCTTACATGAGATAGAGTAAGAGGGACGTAAATCCATGAATCGCAGCCAGGCTCAGCATGACGGCCCCTAGGTGTTGAGATCAACGGGAAGTCGAACACCAACTCCATGTGAGACAGCACCAACGTTGGGGGAGATCAAATTGACTCCATTCCCGCACCAGCAGAACAACAAACATGGCACACCAGGCAAGACATAGGAACACAAGCACAGCTATAACATGAGGTAAAGAACTTAGAAATATTAGAGTGGAACGGGGAGCTCACCGAAGACAACGATTCTTGCCCTACGAAAGGTAGCCCAAGTGTCCATGGTGTCTCAAAAAAATAAGAAAAAGAGCGAAAAGGGACGAAAGATAGATTAAAGAACGAATGGGAACCCGCACGACCAGGATTCCCAAAGTACTTGTACTTGAGGAAAGACCAGATCGAAAGGTGTACTGACCCAGTCAGTACCAAGGAATGAAGGGGGCGTTCCAGAGGCTGTATACTAGACAGGAGTCAGCCCTTTTGAGGCACCACTCATCGGGAGCTTCGGTGAGCGGTGAACGGGTTGACAGCATAGACAGGGAGTGGCAGTTGCGACCTTGAGGACAAAGAGATCATTATGGGCGCCCTCGTTGTCAGACTGAGGTCGAACGTGCACAGCCGTAACGACATCCAGCAAAAACAAGTATCATTGAACTTATGTAGGATGGGAGCGCTGGAGAATATGGATATCCGGAGACCACGTCGGAGGTGAGAATCGCCTACGTTGCTGCCCTTGAGAACTACGCTGGAGCGTAGAGGATCATCATCGTTTCCCATGATCACTGGTAATCATGGTCCTCTGGCGCGCCGACGTCGCGATCTTGAAGTGAAAGGCTCACGTCAGAGCAGGCTTCCACTTTGGTATAATGTACCATATCTAGGACCACGGAAAGGCGACTGCATCTCAATATTTGAAACCTTTACCCACTGTCCTTGGGAAGAGCGGCTGGATGATGACTATATGAAAGTTATAGAACGAATACTGGAGTCAAAATCTAAGCTTTGGAATTTGTGCACGCTCCCGTATTTCTCTCGAGAACTGCAGAAAAATGGCATTTTTCATCAAGTTCTCCCGGGTCCGGACTCACCAATTTCGAGGATCTCAACCTAAGTCAACTCTTTGAGTACTCTTTGGAGCTTTATCAGTAACGATGTGCTACGTAGCGATAAAAGCCGCTTTGTGGCCTCAGGCTGCTATCGAAATCTGACATCATCATCATCATCATCATCATCATCATCATCATATGCGCGAAATTTGACTGATATTTGTCGTAAATCACAGCACGACCAAATAATCCCATTTGGAAATCGATCCGCAATATACAATCTTATACAGTTTTTTGACATTCCAATCTGCCTCACGCGTTTGCTCAACATGAGTGAAAAACCTACAAAGCAAAAGTTATGGGGAGGAAGATTCACAGGAAAGACTGATCCATTGTAAGCACACATATCATCGTCTCATTCTGCTCTGACTGATGTTCGTGCATGTGGGTGATACTAGAATGCATGCGTTCAATCAGTCATTAAAGTATGATCAGCGAATGCATGCTGCCGATATTCGTGGATCGATCGCGTATGCCAAGTCGCTCACCAAAGTCGGTATACTGACACAAGATGAAGAAACAAAAATCACGGAGGGGTTAGCAGTTGTTGGGCAAGAGTGGGCTAGTGGAACGGTAGGCCTACTTCGATGTTCATCTGTTTGCTGATATCTCATCGCGTATGTATAATAGTTTCAACCTGCTCCAGATGATGAAGACATCCATACAGCTAACGAACGACGCCTGAGTGAACTCATTGGCCCCTTGGGCGGAAAGCTACATACGGGCCGGTCGCGAAACGATCAAGTCGCAACGGATATGCGTATTTGGCTTCTGGACGAGGTGAAGGAAATTGAAGCTGGTCTCTGTGCGCTCATTCGTGTGATGGTTGAACGTGCCGATAGAGAAGTCGATTATCTCATGCCTGGATATACGCATCTTCAGGTAAGTTTGGAACACTGATTTTTGAGCCCAGTTCAAGTTGTAACTCTGTTTTAGCGCGGCCAACCCATTCGATGGTCCCACCTCCTTCTCTCCCATGCATTCTCGTTTCGCTCGGACCTTGAACGTCTCCGCCAGCTGATACCGCGCATCTCTGTACTTCCGCTGGGGTCTGGCGCTCTCGCGGGCAACCCTTTCTGTGTCGATCGCGATTTTCTCGCGGCTGAACTAGGATTCCAGTCCGTAGCAGAAAACAGCCTCTGGGGCGTCGGGGACCGGGACTTCATCATCGAATTTATGATGTGGGCAAGCTTGACCACAACTCATCTCAGTCGGATGTCAGAGGACTTCATCATCTACTCTACGGCTGAGTTTGGATTCATCACGTTGAGCGATGCTTATAGGTTTGGTCTATCCGAGTGCTAGAGAACGATAAGAGGTTGACGTCGAGCTCCCTCAGCACAGGGTCGAGTATGATGCCCCAAAAGAAAAACCCCGATTCCTTGGAACTCCTGCGAGGTAAATCTGGTCGTGTTTTTGGCAACGTACGTCAAGATTTTTTCACTCTCAAACTGATTGTTGACCTTGCCAATCAGGCTGCCGGATTCATGATGACCTACAAGGGTCTTCCTTCGACATACAACAAGGATCTGCAGGAAGATAAAGAACCCCTCTTCGACACGGTCAGCACGGTTGCTGCATGTTTCCGGATAGCAGAGGGCGTCATCGCAACCCTTGACGTGAGAATGACCAGTATGACTTGAACGCACTGAGTCATAAGTTGTCTTCAGGTACATCCTCAAAGAATGCGGCAAGCGTTGACAATGGACGTCCTCGCCACTGACCTGGCTGATTATCTTGTGCGCAAAGGAGTACGCGTCTATGAATATCATGTGTGGAGTACATGGCTGATAGCGCTTGTAGATTCCTTTCCGGGAGACGCATCATATATCAGGGCGAGCTGTCGCGCTGGCTGAGTCGAGAAAGTGTCAGCTCAATGAGCTTACCTTGGGCGATTTTAAGAGTCTGTCTGACAAGTTCAGCGATGATGTCCACCAGATATTTGATTTTGAAGCCAGCGTGGAAAGGAGGCAGGCGATAGGAGGGCCAAGCAGGATCATGATCAAACGTCAGGTGTCTGTCTTACTCGCAGCTCTAGGATCATAGATTTTGACAGCTGTATCTGTGATATTTCGTTAAGTTCGGAATGGATGTTCCATCTTTGAGCGGTGGGCGCTTGAATAGCGCATGTCGCAACAAATGACCACCACGATCTACTACAAGTAGATCCCTTCATGGCTCCAACAGAGCTAGGTCGATTCACGACGGAGGCCAACGAGGATAATAGCGTTATATTTACATATTTCCGACGTTTAGTATTTTGAAAAATATTAAAATATCTTATGGAGACTCCTGGGCCAACCAGAAATTAGCCCACGCCACAGCACTGCTCATCCACAGCCCCCACAATTAGCGCCGGCAGCTCATCCACCCCTCCCAGACCTTGATCACTCTCGTTGGACAGCAATACCACTACCTCTCCTGTTTGCAGCATTGACTGTTGCCTTACTAGCTGATCTATTCTCTGACAGTCGTATCCCTTACTTTCTACATCCACTGAGCGCCGTATCATGGCTAGAGACAGACTTGCAGCAATGAGGGTAAGCATCGTGCTTCTTCACTAGCTTCCTTCCAGTAAAGTCCTGATAAGTTAACTTGTGCCAGGCGCAACAAGGCGGAGGGGGTTATACGAGCAAGTATGTTTCGCTTCATTGTTGCTTGCCACACGGACTTCAAGGTTTCGCTGGAAGCTGACGCTCTCACATAGCAACTCGTACCCAACACAGCACTCTGGCGGTGGCGGAGGGGTAGGATATAACAACCGTCGACCAAATCCCTACGCGCAACAAGACGACAGTTCAGGCTACGAAATGTCGGATGTGAAGGACAGTACAACGAATTTGACTGCGGGAACCGGGGATGCTATGTCTGCATTCTATGACGAGGTGCGCTCCACTTTTGCTTAGACTTATTTTAGAGGTTGCTAAAAAAGCATGTGTCCTCTGTAGATTGCTTCGATTCAAGATAGCATCAAGGCGCTCAATGACAGTGTCTCGCGGATATCAGACCTGCATTCGCGTTCACTCAACAATATGGATGACAATGCTGCGCAACGGAACGCGCAGCAGCTTGACGAGCTGGTCGCGGACACGAGCTCACTGAGCAGCATGCTCAAGAGGAGAATCAAAGCACTCGAACGCCAGGGTGGGTCTGGGCGTGATGCCCAAATCAGGAAGCAACAGGTCGGTCTATTGTATTGGTGTTGAGCTCATGAGTGTGGATTAACCTCGCTTCCTGGCAGACCGGGCTAGTCAAGTCAAAGTTTATGGAGGCGATCCAGAGCTATCAACAGGTAGAGCAACAATTCCGGCAAAAACACAAGCAGAGAATGGAGCGCCAGTACAAAATAGGTTCGCGCCCATCCATATCGCTTAGCTGACTTAGCTGATGGCGCTTCGACTTTGTTCGTGGTTACAGTGAAACCGGATGCTACACCGGAGGAGGTCAAGGCTGTCATTGAGGATGACCAGGGCGGCCAAATATTCTCTCAAGCCGTAATTATCCGGATTTACTAGACGGATAGATATTTAACTGATAGTCGTGAAGCTTATGAACTCGCGTTTGGGCGAGTCTCGTGCAGCTTATCGCGAAGTTCAAGAACGACATGCCGATATCAAGCGTATTGAGAAAACCCTCGCAGAGCTTGCACAGTTGTTCAACGACGTGAGTTACCAGACATAGATGGATGCCTTGGAACTTATGCCGTTGAAATGTAGATGAGCATTCTCGTGGAGCAGCAGGACGAGACAATCAATGTTATCGAGGCGCAGGCAGCAACGGTCGAAAAGGACGTCGAAGCTGGGTGAGCCTCTCACATTTTCTTCGTTACGCAATCTTTCTCAATGCGCCGCATACGCAGTCTCGGCTACACGGAGAAGGCCGTGGATTCTGCTCGTGCAGCACGCAAGAAGCGATGGATCTGTTTCTTCATCATCCTCATCATCCTCATCATCATCGCTATCGTCGTTGCCGTTGTGGTCGTCCAGAACATCAACAAGAATAAGAACAAGTAGAGCATGGGTTCACTTGCTTATCCTTGTTTGTTCTTCGACCCTTCCCGCACGACTTCGCTGAATAGTAGTGACGGACGGTATATGGATTCTCTTGCATCTCTCGCTCTTCTGTTCTCTTGGACGTTGTATTTATTGTCCATGATCACGTTCCCTCACTCATACACTCGTTCTTTTGACGTCTTGCGCTTGTCGTATGCCCTGAATTGTGTATCGCACAAGCCTCCAGTTATGAGGACCATTTTCCATACCACTTTTTGTCTTTCTCCTATCCTTAATCCATTGGCTCATGTCTCCCGCCAGGGTGAATCGGCTTAATACCCTTTGTCATTCAACAGATGGCTTCTAGCCGGAATACGCTGTGCTTATAAGCAATATGTCACCCGATAAAGTGGATCGTATTCAAATGCAATAGTGAAGACGCATCCAACGAGAAGTCGAGAACACAGAGGGTACCGGCGACGATCGCCTTCCGACTGGAGAAGTGGATCGAACTGCGAAAATGGAAGGGAACGAAAGCATTTCCTGCCCAACTACCAACATGGACTCGAACACAGAGGGGGTTCTTTGACGTCCATGGCGAAGCCACTTCGGAGGGGTCACAAATCAGGAGACACCTGCGCATACAAAGTGCAGAGCTCCAGGCGCCCAAGAATCGCAAAGGCCAAATCGTGGTTCTTCGCGTAAAAGAGCGTGAGCATGAACAGTCCAGCTGCTTGGATTGGCCAATCTCGGAAGATTTCCTAGCTATGTGACTATAGCGCATTGCCTTGTTGGCCCGCACGCCCTTCCCAAGCTGGAATTTGGGAGGTTCGGAAACTTCGGGTGGTGGGGAAGATGAAAGAAAATTTCCGATCGAACTCTGCATGTTAATCTGCGAGATACTGCATGCGGCGACGATATGTAAACGTGGAATGTGTCTAATCCTGTCCCGCATCAGATAGCCTGCGAGGCGAAGTGCGGAGGCACATCAGATAGATGGATATCAGACTGCCGCAGGCAGCCACTAGGCAGCCATGCATCCACGGAGACATGCACTAGCCTGAACCTTGACGGCACTGAGTCCGAACGAAGGCAACGTGTTAAAAGAACAAGAGAATCAGACTTGCCGTTATGGATGTGGGGATGGAAACGCGAAATACAATTGAACACAGCGCCGGAACAATCGTAAAACAAAGGCTGCGGATGCTGAGCGCTGAGGCGATAGCCCAGCAAGGAGCTGAGCGACGACAATTTTTTTTCGAGGTGCTCGGAGCTGGCAAAAAATGGATCGAGGCGACTCCGGCGACGGATGCCGAGCTCGGATATGGTGCACGGAGAGGGTTGGAACGAAGGACATGCCTCTATAGAAGAGCATCACGTGCAGGGCTGTGATAGTCCGCAATCTCAGATTCGAGTGCTGACGCGTCCCCGCTGCACCTGTATATAACCTGCCCTTCTCCCTGTCCCTCCTCTTACCCAGCCCTACTCCCGCGTCCGACTGCCCGTTTGGTTGTAAGTGGTTTACCTTTCCACAAGTCCTCCTGCATCGTGATTCTGAATGTCACTGTGCTTCCTACAGCTCCCTACAGCCTCTCCGCCCCTCACCTACATTTTTGCCACACGACCCTATCATGCCAGCTAAGAAGCGCTGCCAATTCCAGGGCGAGCAGGCCTGCAATCAGGCAGCTCTCCGAATCGTAGGGCAATGCCCTCATTGTCGCGTCGATTTCTGCGGGACGGTGAGATTTCTCATTCCTGCCCACCTTATCTCGCTAAATGGTCTCACCCCTTTTCCCTTCCTCCTCCCTCCCGGCGCATAGCACCGACTTCCGGAACATCACGCCTGCAATAATCTGGAAGACTGCAGACAGCAGGCTTTTAACCGCAACAAGGCAAAGCTCGAGAGCGAACGGACAGTTGCTTCGAAGATGGCGACTGCATAACGGAGCCTACAGCTGAGCCCTACCGCCCCGTTGTATTCTGGCTTCGCTTCCTCCCTTCAGTCTTTCCTTCCCATGCGGCGTCGGCTCCTCCTACATCACTCGCCGCGACATCTCCTTTTCCGTGTCGTTGCTATACTGGGCTCGTCGCTTACGCGCCTCGACTTTCTCCATACGGATTCCCATCCGGTCCACTGGGCGCACATGAACATTTACGATTATTTAAATTCACCTTACTAATTTGCGATTCCCCTCCATCCTCTTCCATCCTGTCCATTTGCATCTCCATTCCGCTGTGTAAACCGTACTTTGCCATATTATTGTACCTCTGTCCACTGTGAATCAGTATCGTCTTTACATATCTATCATCTGAATAATGCCGAACCCTCTTCCATGCAGTTGGGCGCAGGTCGATGGATCGGTTCAGACCGAATGGGCCAGAGAGTGATAAATAAACTGCTATAATACTTTGCTTATCAATGAGCTGATAGTGACTGGACTTGGTCGAGGTGGACCGAGGCGGAACTGGTTCCTGAGACGCGGGACAGCTTTCCCCGCAATTGCAGGAACTTCGGAGCTCAGTTAGACATCGGCAACAGATTCAGACCACTCACACTCCACTCACGCACACGACTGTCGTGGCATACATAAATCCGGGGAAACCTGGGTAGTTGTCTGGCCTTGATGGTGAGCGTTGCGTCGCAGAGCAGTCGCGGGAAACTCAGGTACTCGCCGTACAAACGCCGCCCAAGTAATTTACTTAACAGAGCGCCCCCGCCCGCTGCGGGGATGGGACGGACAAGGACGGAAGACGACCAGATCAGATGGGCTAAGGGGGCCCGGACCTCCGAGGCGCGGGTACATAAAGCAGGGCCTGAATATGTAACGATTCAGAAACATCGACATCGATCGTCTGGGGCATCGAAGGGCATCGACTTGACTCTTGCTAGCGCCCACCATCTCTCTCGGTGAGCCTCTTCTTCATCGCGTGTGTGGCTCGGGCTCACGATATACTGTACTTTCCCGGACGCCCGTTCTTGTGCGGGTGATAATCACGTGTTTGGGCGGTTTCAGCGGATTTCCAGTAGGCCTCCTAATTGCGGCACTTGACTCGCGCGTAGATACGACTCCAGGCGAGTATTAGCGTTGTTCATCTCAATCCACATCAGCCGTCTGCCATCGCCCCCGCCCTTCGCCATCCTCGCTCTCCGCGTCTGCACACCGATTCTAACTTATCACCTTATTATCTCGTGATTGATCTCGCGTTTGGGCGGCCATGGCGAGCAGATTGCGACAGATTTCGGAACACATCAGTTCTTCATCATCCGATAAAACAATGGCTGCAGCGGGTGCGTGCGAATCGTGACATCGTGCGGCGACAGGGCTGATGATGATCGTTGCATTGCAGAATCTTGGGACAAAGTGCCTCTCGCGCCGCCGGACAGGTAGGGGCCCCTTGATCTCCATTGGACTTTTGACTGCGAAGCGACATATCTGACACGCGTGACAGCATCTTCAAGCTGACCGCGGCATACAAAGCGGATACGTTCTCGAAGAAGGTAAATTTGGGCGTGGGCGCGTATCGTGACGATAACAGCAAGCCGTGGGTGCTCCCGGTCGTCAAGAAGGTGCGCGCACAACCTGCACTGAATCAAACGCGGTCTCACGTCCCATTGATCATTGTTCTGCAATCTGCGTGGCAGGCGTCCGAGATCCTCCTGCGCGACCCCGATCTCGACCACGAGTATCTCCCCATCACTGGCCTTCCGGAGTTCACGTCCGCCGCTGCGCGGCTCATCCTCGGGAGCGACTCGCCCGCGCTCGCGGAGGGCCGCGTCGTGAGCGTACAGACCATCTCGGGCACGGGCGCAAACCATCTCGGGGCGCTGTTTCTGAGCCGGTACTACCAGTTCGACGGGGACAAGAAAGTGTACCTGAGCGACCCGACGTGGGGCAAGTCTGATCCATTTTCGGATTCGAGGCACGCGAAACGCTGACCGGATGTGGCGGTGCGCTGTCCGCTGCGCGCGCAGTGAACCACTTTGCGATCTTCAAGAACGTCGGCGTCGAGCCGCTCACGTACCCGTACTACGACCCGCAGACGATCGGGCTCGACTACGCGGGGCTGACGCGGGCGCTGCAGAACGCGGCGCCGCGGTCGGTGTTCCTGCTGCACGCGTGCGCGCACAACCCGACGGGGGTGGACCCCACCGAGGAGCAGTGGAAGGCGCTCGCGGACGTCGTGCTCGAGAAGAAGCACTACGCGTTCTTCGACTGCGCGTACCAGGGCTTCGCGAGCGGGGACCTCGACCGCGACGCGTGGGCGGTGCGGTACTTTGCGAGCAGGGGCGTGCCGATGCTCGTGTGTCAGGTACTGTTGTCCCGCGTCCGTGCGTGGTTGCGTCATGCCGTCGGTGCTTATTTTTGGGCGGTGACGTGACAGAGCTTCGCGAAGAACGCGGGGCTGTATGGCGAGCGCGTTGGGGCGCTGCACATCATCTCGCCGACGGGGGAGACGGCTGATCGGGTGCGCAGCCAGTTGTCTGTGCTGCAGCGCAGCGAGATCAGCAACCCGCCTTCGTACGGCGCGCGCGTGGTGAGCCGCGATCGCGACTTGGTTGAATGATGTGGATCGGGCTCACTCGACTCTGCGGCGCGGCAGGTGTCGCTCATCCTGAACAACGCCGAGCTGTTCGAGGAGTGGAAGCGGGACATCCGAACGATGGCGGGGAGGATCATTGATATGCGCAAGGAGCTGTACCGGCTGCTGGCGGAGGAGCTGAAGACGCCGGGCAAGTGGGAGCACATCGTGAACCAGATCGGGATGTTTAGGTGAGTTGGTGGCGTGTTTTGAAAAAGCTTCTTTTGGCCCGCGGTTTGTGTACGTGCGGGCGAGCGAGCGAGCGGGCGAGCGTGCGAATTGATCCGCTTCGGCGGAGGGGAGCTGCGCGCGTGTGGGGAAAGCGCGTGCACGCGCTCACGGTCGTTTGTTTATCTCCGGATGGGGGAGGATCGTCGAACGAGGGGGACGGGTGCTGATCTTGGGAACAGCTTTACCGGGGTGAATCCGGAGCAGTCCAAGGCGCTGACGGAGAAGGCACACATCTACCTGACCGCGAACGGGCGCATCTCGATGGCGGGGCTGAACAGCGGAAACGTCAGGTACTTTGCGGAGTCGCTGGACAAGGCGGTGAGGGGGCAGCTGTAGGGGCGACGGTGCCAGGGCGACGTTTTTGTATGATTTAGAAAGTGGGAGGGCTCCAATGTAATTCATGGTGACGGACACGCAGGCGTGCTGATCTCCGAGGAGGATGGTGACAGCGGAGGCAGTCTGGTCACGAGCTGGACGGAGGCCGCCAAGGGGTCGTGTTCGCGGGGATGGGTGGACGGTCTGCGCTCTGGGTCTAGGCACGGATGACATCATGGCGAAGGGCGTCATGTGTCTGTTTGGAGGATCGAAAAATGATGTTGAGCCGCGCGCCGCTGTCCGACTGCTGTCCGTCTCTGCCGTCTCTCAGCCCCTGCTCCCGTGGCCTGCACACTCGCCGTAGCCTGCACACTCGCCGCTCCCTCGCACTCCGCGAGCACTCTCCCCAACCCCCCGTCCGTTGCGCACTCTCCCGTGGATCGACGCGCCCAGTCGCCGTCGCATGCATCCCGTCCGCTCTCTCCGCCGCTGTCTCTCTTGACCCCCGCGCGTGCCGTTCGAGACGCCCTCGCGAGCCTTCTTTCTTCCACCACTGCGTCATCGCGCCCTTCCCCGTCCTCGTGGCTCCCCTCCCCTCCCCCTTCTTCTCCTTCGGGCCCTGTTTCCTTTCTCTGCTCCAGTCAGTAGTACGTTTGCCCTCCTCGCCTGCTCCACCGTTTACTTTCCCGTCAGGTTTTTTCCTTTCTGATGGGCATCCTAGTGAGCATCCTCGACAAACTCATCCCCGGCCTCCTCTCTCTCTACCAGCCCCCGCCCCTCCCCCCCGACCACCCCTCACGCGACGACGACGACGACGACGACGAACGCCCTCTCGTTCCCCGCTCTGCCCTCATCGCCCCCTCATCGCCTCTTGTCCCACACCCTTCCCCTCCCCATTCTCCCGTCCTCCTCATCCCCGTCCCGTCTTATCCCCCCAGCCCCCCTTTCCTGCATCCCTCCCCCCCCCTCAAGTCTCCAAATTCGCTCGACGTTCCACCACACGACCTGCCGGCTACCGCCCTTCCCCCCAGTCTACCTCCCTCCGACTCTCTCGATCCCCTCCCCCTCCCGCATCCTAGCCCCCATCGCTCTCCCCCGCTGGATTCCAGCTCTTCCCCCTCCGGCCTCCACATCTCTATTCCTCCCCTCGACTACCAAGAACAGGCTCTCTCCCCCGATGCCATATACAGCCCTGACAGCCTCGATATGTGCTTTGACGATGAGGGGCTCAGCCCCCTCGAAAAAATATACCTATTTTCCCGCAGCCAAGCCGTCTTTCACAAGTCAGCATCCTTCCCTTTCTACTCACGGGAAACACGCCTCCTGACCCGCTTTGTGCTTTCAGGGTGTACATCGCTCATGAGCTGCCGTCAATCCTGCCTCAAGTGACGCCCCTCGAGGCTGTGGAGTATGTCCTGCCCCTACTCAACGGTCTCGCTACGGACGAAGGTACGTCATGCCGCTGCGCAATCTCATCCCTCCGCGTTTCATTCATCTCGCTTCGCTTCTTTCAACTCAGATGAAGCCGTCAAAGAGGCTCTTGCCTCGCAGCTTGTCCCGATCATCCTTTGGTTTACCTCGGTCCGTCCTTCTCCCTTGTTACCTGCCCACGCGAGCCCTGACACGCGCCGTCGCTCGTTCTCACAGAATTGTCGCCTCACGCCCGACGAATTCCCTGATCTGGCGGCCGAGCCTACCCCGCTCCCCGTGCAGTCGTTCACGCCGATCATAGGCACTCTTCTACTTGCACGCAGCGTGCCCGTAGGCGCAGCGGCACGCTTCGCCGTTGTAGATATCCTCCGACGCGTGCGGGAGGCGCCTGAACCCGGGCGACAGACGTTGTTCGGCGACGCGGAGCGCCGCCTCCTGGAGCAGGAGATTTTGCACCAGGTCGTCATCGGTATCGGGCGACTGGACATACTCGACGAGGGAGAGGGGGACGAGCCGATGGCCGATGCGGAGCAGAGTGGAGGATGGGTCGACGAGGAGCAGGCGTTCTCGATGCCTCCCGCGCCAGACTCCTCTGCATTGATTCCACCGTTGAATCTTTTCTCTCCGCCACTCCCACCTCCTTCTGACCCCCTTCCAGCCTTCCCCCCTCCTTTGGACTGGTCCTCGTCCTCTGAAGACGCGATATCCTCTCACCCGCCTCCGTCTATCGCGTCCACCTTCTCCGATACGCCACCTGCGCTCTCGCCACCGGATGAGACCTCTCAGAGTCCGTCACCCCCTTACCCGCCATCTCCAGTCCCCTCTGGCGACTCGCGCGATCGTGAGTTTTCGTTTTTCGACGCCAAGTCTCAGGACCCGCCAAAAGACTCCATGCCAGAAGGCTGGCAACCTGCGAGTCCGCACGTCATGGATATTTCTTTACCGCTCCCGACAGATTCAGTGGAGTGGGCGCCGGCCATGCTGGACTCCACGGAGTCTAGCCTTGCAGGAACAGAGGGGCTGTCTTCTGACTCGGTGGGAAGTGGAGACATGACCCTTATGGATGTGGATCCAGACCCTGGAATGGATGCGGAGGCGATTGTGGATGCCAGCGAGCAGGCCGCGATTGGCAGGTTAAGCAGTATGAGTTTGATGGCGGCTGTCTCGGCCGGAGGTACGTCATTTCATTTCATCTCATCTTCGAACCGTGCTCACTCGCCATCTTTGCAGGATACCTCGACGATGATACCTCGGCTGCATTTGTCATCGAGGTCGAACGCGTCGGTCGCGACCCAATTCCCTGGGTACGCAAGGAAACTTCATATGCATTGGGTGCACTGGCCAAGGTCGTGCCCGTAGAAATCGTTATCATATCGCTGGTATGTCATTGTCTCACATCGTCTTGGACTTCCAGAATTCTTAGGCTCTTTACGTCTTCACAGCTCCCTCTCTTCGAGTCCTTGTGCACGGACTCACATTGGCACGTCCGGCATTCGGCCCTGTTCGCGCTTCCCGCTATTCTCCCTCGTCTTCAGCCCCACCATCGGCGGACATTGGCTTTGGACACGCTCCTGCCGCTAGCCCGCGATGCGTCGCCTTCGGTGAGACTTCGCGTGCTCGAAGCACTCGGCGAGGTGATGTACACGTTTCGCGATGACCCTGGCGGCCCGCCGGATGAACTATTGCGGCTCTTCATCGGTTCGGAGGTGCGCCCGCTGAGCCCCGTCGACTGGCATGATGGGACGCCGGCGGCTTCCATCTCGGAGCCCATGTCGTCGCGACCATTGCCTTCTCAAGAACAGGACACGGACTGGTACTTTGACGGATCCGCCCGTGCACTTATATGCGCGTTCAATTACCCCGCGGTCGCGCTCACACTTGGGCGAGGGCGCTGGTCCGAGCTGCGTCCACTGTACTTGCGGCTTGGGCAGGAGCCCGGAGCCAAGGTGCGCACAACTCTCGCGGCGTCGGCCGGCGAGATGGCACGAATCTTGGGCCCCGAGAACGCGGCGAGGGACGTTGTGCCGCTGTGGCGCGCCGCAGTTTTCGCGTCGGAGGGCGAAGTCAGGATGAAGGCGGTCGAGGCGGTCGAGGCGTTGGTGAGGGTGGTGGATGAGAAGGCTCGAGAAGTTGTGGTAAGGGCTCTGGATGAGAGCTGGGTTGCGAGGGCCTTGGGCGGATGGAGAGAGAGGCAAGGTGTGGCCAAGGGCTTGGCGGTGCTCGTTGAAGTGATCGGGGACTGCGCGATTGAGGTGGTCAGGTCGTTGGTGCGGAGAGCGCTTGTGGATGAGGTTGCAGTGGTCAGGGAGGCGGGTGTGAGCGTGGTGCGTGCAGGTTTTTATTTTTTTACTTTCGCTCGGTATCCTAATTTGCTCGACGTCATCGACGACTATCAAGGTTCCCTCTATTCTTCGAGCGCTCGCAAGATATCCAGTGGAGCAGCACAAGATGGGCGCAGATATCTGTAGCCTTGCCCAGGCTCCTGTTTTCCGTCGACGAATGACGTATGTCCTGTTGGCCTTGTGCTATCCGCCTTGATGCTGATCGTGGAGCTGTCGGTGCCTGGGCCAACGCGTCATTGTAGGTTCGTGGCGTGTTTTCAGAGCATCATCACATCAGAGGGCGGCGAGACGGTACTAGCGGACGAACAGTTCTGGGAGTGTTTCGCCGCGCTAGCGGATGATCCCATCGTCGACGTGCGGATCGGCGTCGCGAGACTCGTGGGCATTCTGTACGGTGAGCACAGCGACATCGAGTCGATTCCGTCCGTCCGCTAAGCGCCCTCTTTCTGGTTGGCAGGCCGGCTTTTCAGTGACGCCCACTCGGCGCCTCCGCGATTGGAGGCACTAGCTCAACGGCTGCGCGAAGACAGTGCTCGTGAAGTGGTCTCGTACGTGCCCCTACCGGCTCCGGGTGCGCCGGTGCCTGCCGTGGTCGTACCGCTCTCTGCGAGCGTCGACGAGGAGCTCAACGCCAGCAGCTTCGCGACGTTCTCGAGGCCACCACCGGTGCTTGATGGGAGCGGGAACAGTCACGCAGACCTCGTGTCTCAGAAAACACAGGCGTAAGCGTTGCGAGCGCTTGCGACGGTGGAACGGTGGCGTCGCTTCTGTCTGCCCTGGCGTCCCTGGGAGCAGCCGGATGGGAGCTCGGCGTTTCCGCGATTGAACATACCCGTTGTGTTAGAGGGAGGGGGTTTGGAGATGCAGGATGGATGTGTGACGCTCCGTGGTTTGGCGATACCACTGACAGGCTGTCTCTCAGACCCGCGGGGACATACCCGAGCTGGGATCAGTGAGACGGTGCAGGGCTGGGCAAATTTGGGACCGCATCCCACCGCATCTGACCATGTTGATGTGTATCATGTTCTTTTGATGGCGCGGTGGGATCCGCGGTTCATTGCCGGGCTTGGTGATGGGATGGGCGCCACGGCTGTCGGAGGAGTTCTGAGATGGGGGGAGGATTTATGCGCGATTCTGATGCGCGACGTCGTGAAGCAGTACATATTCTTATTATTCGTCCTCCGTGTTTCGCCTACTTACATATCGCATCTACTAGTTTATTATTGACTTTTTGTTTGTTTTTTTGTTTTTTTATCGTCCTTATTCACTGCGTGCACCCCTGCAGACGGGGCTCGGAAACAAGTCGGGATGTCCTCAACTTGGGATCTGGTAAAGTGGATCAAACGGTCCACGAAGATGGATAGACGTCATGGTGTGCGTGGGGTGTTGACATGGGTGGTCTGGAGCCCCGTGTGGTATCAGAACGCGCTGCGAGTCTCGAACAGCATATCCGACGCTGCTGGGGAAGATGTATCCCACGCCGCATATTTTTAGGAAACCGGAGGGGACCACCGGGGCGATCATTTTGAATGCTTAGCCGATCTGCCGAATACGAGGGCGCTTTTGAAACAAGAGACAAGACGTTTGTGGGGGGGCTTTTGGACTGGCGAAAGGCTGGAGACATCGGTGTCGTTGCGTATGTTTTTCGCCGTGGGACCTCGGCCGCATCATGGGGGAGGGCTCTGTTAATTTCTTTCCAGACGAAGCAAAGATGAGGGCGTCCAAAAGGGAGCGATGCCGTCAGCCACGTGGCGGCGTTTGAGCGGCAAGTCGGAAAGGGACAGTATCAAGCCCAGTGAGAGAAGAAGATCAAGTCGCGCAGCTGAGCTCCCTGACTTGAGCGGCCCTCCCCCCTGCGTTTGCGCCGTCCTGCTTCTTAAAGCACTACCGTCAGCGGTGCTCCCACTCTCTTTTTTTTCGCGCGAGGTCTGGTCGCCGTCTCTGGTCGCAATGCGCAAGGCCATGCTGCTCTATTATCGGTACTTTGTCTTCGGTGCGCGCGACGGCGTGGGGCTCGTGCGAAAACGCGCGGGGGGCGGAGCGCTGAGCTGACGCTTGGGTCGTTCGATTCACAGGGCTTATCGTCGTCGGCGACGCTGTCCTCTGCAGCGCCGGCGTGTGGAACCTCAGCCTTGCTCAGGCAGCGGGGTCAACTCGTGAGTCGCCTTGCTAGGCCGCTGCTCCTGCAGGCGCGATAATCCGTTATTGCTGCGATGCAGCGCAGGTGGACCCGTTTGTCATTTTTCTGGGCGCTTTCGGCCTTGTGATTGTACTTCCCACGTCAGTCCGCCCGTCGCTCACTCGTCGTTGTCGGAGCCCTTGATGCGTCTCGCATAGCTTGTTCTTAGATGTATTCTGGAAACATGCGCTCACTGGACGCGTGTGGATCGAGTCTGTATGGGTAGGACTGTTGTCGCTGCTGCACCTCGGTATGTCGCGATCGCTGGTTGCCTTTCTTGGCTGGCCGAACAGCTTTTTTGGTTCCCGTAGCGGGTGCAGCGGCCGTGACTGCAAACTTGCCCGCTGTTATGTGCGGACATCAAGGTCAGACTTTCGGTATACATCGTCAGCTGGTTCTCATTTTGTGATCGCAGACGCCCACGTTTTCGCTAATTCATGTACATCCACGAAGCTCATTGAAGCTTTCGCATGGTCATGCGCTGTATCTCGTGCGAACTTTCACCCCCCGGCATTATTTCCGTTACTGAATTTATGTATCCTGATCGCATCCCAGTGCTCATCTATCTATTCGCCCTCATCTCTTCCGGTATCATACACTCCCGCCTCGACGACATTGTGTGGCATGCTCACGTCCGCACGTACCCATGGTACCGACATGCCTATTGTCAACAGATCAAAAGTCGACCGGGCTCCCCCGCTCTCCCTCACCGTCACTCCGTCGTCGCCCCTCAACCTCGCCGCCCAATCAATTTACCCACTGAATCAGAATTGGGCGCCCACTATCAGATCGAATACCTCGGCTCCCCTATCGCCGTGGAGGCAGCGGAAAACCCGGTGCCTCCCATCCCTGCGGTCACAGCCGCCCAGTCGATGCTACAGAAGACACGCCAGGTGTCATTGACGATGCCCTCGCTGTATCCTGAACACATACAATCGACTTGGATGGCGCCTGAGCGCGGGCCCCTCCTTCCCGAACCGTCGGCTTCACGACCCGAGTCCAACCCTGCGCCTTGGCGGACTGTGTCTCTTCCCGCCGACGAGTCGCCGTTGGGTGAATGGCCACGCAAGGATATCATGAAGGCGCCTCCGGGGCCGCGGCGCACAGCCCGCAAGCCGCCGCCTTCCGCGTTTCCCGATGCATCCCAGAGTCCCCCCGTTGCTGAGTCGGCGGAGGAGAAGAGGGTTTCATCCACACAGTCGCCTTCATCCCGTCCAGTGCGGCCGACGGGTCCGCGGCAGCGGACTCGGTCCAGCTTGGACATGCTGCGCCCGCCTGCATTAGATCTCTCAGGGATCAGCAACATTCGGACTTAGGACTGTTCCGGTCGCGCCGCTCGTCTGTTGTTGTCGTTGATGCGAGCTACCCGGTGTGAGGGAGGTAGCTAGGGATGCGCCGGCCGTCTCCCCGCCATTCGTTTGTGCCTTCTGTCTTTGACTCGGTGTTTGCTGCCTCTACTATCTTTATCGTTGTCATTTGGGCTGATGTGTATGCGTGGTCGTGTGTAACAATCGTAGTGTTGTTGTCGTTGTCTGCTAGAGTCTCGGTGGCAGAGTCACTGATTACTCCGTTCTCAGGGGGTGATGATACAATGGAGATTTTGTATCCCTTCCGGTTTTCCGTGCACGTGTTGTAAGTCATCGACATTTTCATGTCCTTCGTTGGGCTGTATCACGTCGGGCATCAAGTCGCTTGTTTGGCTAGAAGAGACAACAAGGTGCGACACCTCGGCGCTCTTGCTTTCTATGGACGAAGATGTTACTTTTTTTCACTCGGTCCGTTTTGTGCTGCATTTCAGCCGATCGTGGACGCCTACAGCGATCTTCAACGGTCTGCACTCGGCTCAATAACGCCTAACATAATTCAGACCAGACTGCGCATATGTTCACAACAGGGTTTCTTGCTAGAGTATGTATCGAGCGGCGGCAGACCACTTACCTCGTGTCGTCCGGTGCTTGAAAGACACCCCTTTGGATAGGCTTCACTTTCAATGGTGCCCCGCCTGGCATGGAAGACCTCCCAAACAATCATCACAGCGATGGCGGCCGGTCACTACACCTGGTTGGCTTAAGCCTGTCGGACGTTTGGTCGCACGCTCTCTGAAAGCCTTCCTCGAAAGTCGGGCTTTGGCACTTACAGTCATTGTGAGGCCTGCATTTGTTCCGAGCGAAAAGTCATTCGATTCAGCGATGGTAGACGTCTACAAGCTGAACAGAACACTGTTTTCTTTCGCTCGCCGTCCATTGACGCGGAAAACCAGTAAACCAGTACCAGCATTGTCGAACAACAACATCATTAGCGCGAGGCATCTTGGAACCAGTTTCATGGGCTGAAAATCCTTCCACAGGCTCATCCCTGCGTGGTATATGAAAGGACGAATCGAAGAACAGGAAAGGTCTGTGTTTCATGTTGATGATTTACCTTAGTCTCTCAAAGGCACCAACGTTGGCGATTCTCCTTCGACCTCCGATATAGGCTTCGGATATTTGTATTTGACGATTCCTGTTTTGTCGGTGTCGCGGTTTGCTAAGGTTTTCCAGACCGCAGAAGAAATACTTGCTTGATGAGGATATTAGACCTCGAGTTCCCATTCCTGATGCTGGAAAGGACTGGGATACATTCTGGATGTCATGGTCGGGCTTTGATTTGCCATACTTTCGGGTGGCTGTACAAGATGACGAAGCATCTTCTCGCTGCCTTTGGCCACGCCTATTGTCCTTCGTCTCGCCATTGTCGGACGCCGGTCGTGTTTGGTATCTTCAACCCACCCGATGGTCATGCCACACGGAACATGCACACGTGTGCGAAAGCCGTCCAGTTGCCGCACGTCTTGGACATTCTTCGCAGACACTTCTGCTGCTTTCTTTCTTCTTCCTCTATTATTCTTCACACCCTACTTGACTCCTCAGCGCTTTAGCAGCTATAACTTACCATTCCTAGACCCGAAATCCACAAACTTTTGTATCCTCTAGAGCTCTGTAAAACCTGCCTCCTAACAGCACTCGGGCTCGGTCGCGACGGCGTCTGGATACGCCATGAGTAGTCCATTCATTATCATCCGAATTGTATTTCTATGTGAGCTTCATTCCTCGTCTGATCTGGGTGAATTCCGAGCTGAATGCGTTCACCTTGACTAGCCTTGCTTGTATATCTGAACTCGCTCGTATTGGTGTTTGCGGCATGGAATATTGGGGCTACGAACTCTGTCGGAATCTTAGGTGTGTTTCTTCTTTGATATTTCTACTTGCACTTATCAATTCTTGGCAAGTCCATGGTGCGGCTATTTTCTTGATCTTCAATGCCTGCGCCATCTTCCTTTTTGTCATCGTGTCAGTGGCATTGTACTTATCCTCATCCAAGTCTCAATCTGATCATCCGGGGTACTGTAGGGCTCTCGCTCCGCTTGTCGTGCCGAAAGCAAGCACTGCATTTGTAGGGTTCGAATGCGGCTGGACGGGAGTCTTGAGCGTTTTGCAGCTGGGTGCGAGCATCAGCGCTACCATCAGCGGCCCTCCTGCTTTATGCATTCCTAGAGGTTAGTAGTCATAATTGGCTCCTCTTCGTTGGAGCGATCGTCTCATGCTTTGTCTGATTGCAGCTCCATTCAGCGTGTGCGCTTCGGCGACCATTTTGGTCCCAATTAGCTGGTTGGCGGCCATCTTGAGTACGAGTTTCGGCAAATCATCTGAGTTGTATTGATCTGATCTCACTTTCAAATAGTGTTTGGATATTTTGTCATGATCTTCGGCGCAGCCATAGCTCATTTGAGTCTGCATCCCTTCATCTGGACACGCTCCTTCTACTCCATACCGTGGTTTGTGGGCCCTGAAGTGACGCGAAGCAGTGCTCCCCAGCTCCCCCCTTTATTACTTCACGACCCCATTCGTCACTCCATCATTCAAGGAACATACACCAGCCAGGGTTTGCCTCCTTGGGATATCGAGAAAAATCTACAGCCTCCTCCGTTGTTGAAAGTGCGGAGCTTGGCGAGCATCGTAGGTGCAAATTCGCCTCTGACTTCAATATTTCATCGTACTCGCCCCACGGCAAGCAACCTTTCCCTGTCGCCTGTCATCACGCAAAGTACGGGAGAGGGAGAAAAGGTCCCTGCATGGTATGCTCGCCAGAAGCCCTTCCGACCAGGACGCGATCTACCATTCACAATCGATACTGTGTCACCTTCTGCCTACCTCCCCGAGGCATCTACAAGCGTCTCGAAAGGCAAAAAGCGAGACCCTATGGAGGGATCTGGGTTTGTGAAAATGACAAAAGAGGAAAAGCCTTTTCAGGGATCGTCAATATATCCTGAAAAGGAGACACGGCTCTTATATCCATACCCACGACCTGTGCCCGCCCCGTCCGATCCAGACAAACCTATCGATATGGGTCGAATGACGCAATGGATGGAGGCGGATGCAGCCAGGGGAATCACATTGTCGGATATGCCAAGGCCACAGAGTTGGGAACGCGAATTGTATAAGAAGTAAGTCAGAGCTTGTGATCAAACTTGGTTAAATTATTGTACGTGTACCAACGCAGTCCTTGCCACTCTTTAATCAATGTAGCATATCTTCCGATTGATGTCGTCGAAGTTATTGTCCGAGCTCACATTACTGTTCATCCGTCGTCGAATGAGCCTCAAGCACTGCCTGAAGCTCAGAAATTTGGCGTCGAGCTTCTACCAGCGCAGAGCGTGCCGACTGGAGCTCTTGCTTGGTCTCGGCCAGCTCCTTCAGAGTTTCGTCTTCAATCTCTCCAGCACCGACCGCCACGCCTACCATTAAGATGTCAGCGGCCCTTCCCTGGGTTATCATGAGAAGCTCTGACCTCCAACTAGTTTCACAAGTCTCCACAGACGCAGAACGACTAACAGAGACACGAGTTCACGCTCTCTGCCGCGCAGTCCGACCTCGAGTACGAATGTGGTGACAATAATCAATGCATCGAAAAGATGAAGCGCAGCGTGTACTGTGGAGCCAATCGGGTTGTAATATTGAAGCCCAAAGGACCAGAGTGCCAGAGGTATTTCGACGAGGAAAAGTGTGGTGATAGCGGTGGAAATTTCGGAGAGGATATCAAGCCAAAGAGGGGACTCAGGCTCCGAGGGCGAAGTACAATTGGAGGACAACAGAGTATATGACAGGTCAGATAGAACGCATACAGCGTCGGTGATGATCTACAAGTCCATTGCTATCAGTCATGACTTATGGCGTCTGGGTTCACATCTCGTACCAATGTGATCACGATCTTGTGAGTTGTAGATGATTCAAGGGCTTCTCCTACTCTTTTCTTCCACGAAGATGAGTCATTGCCACCATCAGATGCTGCTTCTATGTCATGTTCAGCTTCACGAGAAGGCAGGAGTGGATCTTGCTCTGACATACGGAAGACGGCGAGGAAGTCGCAGAGGACACATGATGCATGTACTCCTTTTACGCGTTCTTTGTGTTTGTTTGCGCGACAGCCTCTCCTCCCGAACATTCAGCTCATCTTCCCACTCCTTACAATCAAAAACATGTCAAAGTCCCCAGATACTATTGACAGTCTTCTCGGTGCGCTCAAAAATTCTGCGGAGGCAGAAAGCAAGGAGATACGAGACACTGTAGACTACATCTCATCTTGGCTCACTTCCTTGGTAAGTTCCTTCCAACCACTGAGGAACATTCATGCGTATTTCTTGCTTTCAGTTCAACTCTTCCGTCCCATCTTCGGAATTCTCTAAGAGAGTATCTCAAAAACTACGCTACTCTCTTCGTCCGCTGTATACCGCTGCTCCAGCTTCGTCGTTTCAACTATCAGCTGCGGTCTTTGCCAAAATCATCAGTGATAAAATAATACATGCTGCTCAAAATCAGAAAATGAAAGTACGCTATGCATGGGAGCCTATCGCAGAATCCATAATCTCTGGAGTTTTAGTATGTTTCACTCTGACTCTGTGCTCCACCTTAGTGATCAATATTCGCTTCTGTTAGGATCACCTTGATGACAAAAATAATGGTGAAAACCGTCATAATACAATATACTACTTCTAACTTCTGGGTTGAAGCGTCAACCAAAGGGCTCGTTGCCCAAGCCTTCTATGCGACTATATGCTCCGTATTCTTTTCATCCACGTCTGCCATCACCTCTACGAGCTTCACTGTCAGTCTAAGGGTAACAGTAAGCGATTCAAATTCTCCCTACATCCTTTCCCAGCGCTAAGAGATCTATTCCACGCTGTCCCGTACACGCATATATGCATCAACTCCCCAACGTCCAACGCTCGTTTTGTTCATAGACTTATCTCCTCCTCTCCACCACTTCCGAAAATCATCGCGAGAACCAGGAAAAGCTCCGCGAACCCTCAGTGCTTGGAAGGTTAGTTCTTGTGCGCGAATAATTCGTTCAAAGTTCATCGTGTCGTTAGCCTCAGCCTCGGGCGTCTCATCGCAGAAACGAAAGGTAGTGGTCTTACGATCTCTGTTGAACCCCATCTGAATATCAACCAGACTACATGGCACTGGAGCAACTATTAGTTTTGTTGGCTCGTCTGATTCCACTGACAAACGGCTCACCTGCTCGGCGTCGATTGCGTAAAGATTTTCTTGAGGATGTCTTCATGTCTGCTCCCGTGAGATCTCGCTATTATGAGGACATACTTGCCGTCACGAACCACATTTCCATGCCGGATTGGGAGGATACATCGACCAAAATAATTGAAGTCTTGGCCCGTGATATAACTTTGTAAGCTGTGTCAAGTCGTGAAAGGATGACTGACTAACTGCCCTTTCCCCCTCAGTCCTCAGCCGTTCTCCGTGAAGGAAGTTGTTATCTGCGGTACTTCATTCTTCCAGCCCGCTCCACATGATAGGTTCTTTCTGGATAAAACCGCTTTTTTTCTGAATCACATAACCAAGGTCAGCCTCTATGCTCTCGAAGCAACTTCTACTCAACAGGCTAAATTCAATGTAAGGACGATATGTATGAAGGAGTCCAAGCCCCTTATTCAGTCGTTCGACAAATCAAAGTGTCTATGACCACCGGCCTCGTTGTAGTTACCCTGTCGTCTCCCGCAGTAGTGGGAGATAAACAGATGGATAACATTCCCAAAGATAGGCCTATGCTCATGACTTTCAACTTACTGGCATCCGATATAGACAGGTTCACACGCGCCGTGAAGGCGCGAAATTTGGTATGTAGTATAGCCGTCACTCCTTGAGAACTGTTCGGCTTCATGTACTACTAAATTTCAGGAACGTGCCCTTTCATGGGACGGCCCCTCCTTGTCTAACACAACAGAGCGTATATCAATCAATTCACCGATCAAATTGGATATAGAAGGTCGAAACCCTTTCCATTCAGCCTCTTATGAGGTCAGTTTAATTGGCAAACATCGCATCATATTCTCCAATCCGTCTTTTCTTTTCACAGGAGAAAGTCAAGATTGTAGAGCAAGGTCTGTTTTGTGCCTTTCATCGACAAGTGACCAGGCTTTTAATGATCGTTGACTAGTCTCTCATCTGTTAGAGAGAAGCGACGATAACATAGGCTATATCAGCGGGTTTCACAACAGAAAGGAAAATATCAGCGACGCTGAAATTCCGGTCTCTGATACGGCATATAAGTCTGACCTATCTCGCCAAATCAGCGTTCCGGACATTGGCTTCAGTACACCCGCTGGCATTGGCGGCCTCCCCTCTCAAGGAAAAGCGTGGACAATCGTTCCCGCTCTTCCTATCACTGGACAGACCGACCAACATGCAAAGACCATTTCCGATACCGCCTCTATCATTCATCAACATCCAAGTGATGATAAAGACGAGGTGCCTTCCCTCCGATCATCTTCAGATTACAATACTCTTCGTCGTTCACGCAGTCAGGACATGCGCGACAAGATTTTTGGGACTAGTGACGAGGAACTTACCGACATCTCTGATAGCGAACTTGTGCATAGATCTACTAAAGCCCCTGGGAACGTAAAGCCTGTTTCGAAGGCAAAAGGTTCGCAGTCTTGGATTGACCTTGTTCAGCTGCTAACCAGCACGGATCAAGGGTCAAAATCAAACAGAAAGGTGGTGGCCCCCTCTCGGAGCCAAAGCGGCGTTTTGGATGACGGGAAAGAAGCTGCTGACCAGAAGCAGGTCGACAAAAAACCTACATCTGCGCCTCTTGGGCAACTCATTCGGCAGAGCACTAAAGCAAAGCAGGCTGTTCCGAACGGTGCATCCAAACGATCTACCCCGCCGCCAATTGGCGACTGTGTCGACGACATATCTGCTAAAATATTCATGGATACAAGAGGGAGGAAACCTCGCGCATCGGCTGCCGCTGCTTTGAAAAGAATTGCTCGAGATGCACAAAGCCCAGAGATGGACGATCATTTTGCTGAACCGGATGAGACGTCAGGTGTATTCGATAATATCTACAACACATTGAACACGAAGCCAACCATGGGAACAGCCGGTCTGTTGAACTCATCACCTTTCTATGCGTAGTCTGATTACGCGCGTTTATAGACAATGCTTCCGATACTCAGACATTTTCATCTCCAGGTAAGAGGCTTAGCTTTGATAGAGGCAGATGTCATCATGACGGAATCATTCGCCAACAAGGACATCGCGACGAAATACCCGTGCCTGTAGAGACCGAAGGAACCGCTCGGGCTACTGATGTTAAGCGCAAACGCAGAACTGTACCCGACAACGGACCCGCTCGTCCCCAACGGCCTTCCAAACGACGAAAAGCTTCAATGGCGTCAGACATCGAACTTGAATTCAACAAACCTCAAGCACAAAGTGCTCTGCGCAGCACTGCGAGGAAGTACGGCCATCAGAAGCAGAAGTATAGAAGATTGCCCCCGGCTCCAATTTTGTCAGTGGACTACGACGAAGTACCACCCATTTCCACGGCCAAACCCGCCTTGCCTTCATCGAGTCATGAATCGAGCCCCCCTGCTCCAATTGCCGTAATCGTTCCAAGATCTCGAGTTGCCGCCATGAAACCTAAGGATACAGAACATATGGCACCTGCAAGAACAAGCGAAAATCGTGCTGATTTGAACATGGCTGCTCTACAAGGGATCGAAACCCATCCTCTTGTGTCGAAGTCTGGGCCTAGGGTGGCGAACTCTGCGGGAGGCCCCTCGAAAATATCTCGAGTTGTAGCCGAACAAAGTTCAAAGCCGCCTCGTGAGCCTCAACCGGTCATGACAGAAGTAGAACAGGGTGACAAAGATGTTAACTCCTCGGAACTGCGTGAGATGGCTTGTGAAGTCATTAATCAGGGTCGCGGCACGGTGAGCTGTGCCTCATCATTTCGCAGAGCCGATGTTCATTTTGACAACCCATAGGCGGTGGTCAAAGACGTGATCCCACACCTGAACATAGCTAAACCAGTGGGAACTCAGGCCCTCGAGCCAGAACCACAGCCCAGATCAAATATCAAACACAGTCAGCCGATACACAAAGCAAAGGCAAATATCTTTCCAATCCTCTGGGCCCTTGCTATATGACATCATCACCCATGCAGGTTTCCGAAACTCAGCCAAAGAAGCCTACCGCAAAATCCACCGGAACAGCCAAGGTTCTGACCACGCCATCTCACCCTTTGAAGCCTCTGTTGCATCAGAAAGCAGGGGGGTGTTCTTTGGAAGAGCCTGCTGAAAGTGTTCAGAAGCTAGGTATGCCCGATCCCCAATCGTCATCGAAAGAGAAAAAGAGTCAGGCTTTCCGCTTCGTATTAGAACGTACGGACGAGGGCTCTGATGAACTAGGTAAGAATCGATTCAAAACTATGTACCTCGCCACAAAGGTGAGGATTCATTTATGCTTTATGTACGTCTGTTCAATGTCTCTTCTGAGAGAAGATTGAAGAACGGAGATTGAGACTGGGTCCATCGTCAAAAGAAAAGAAAAAAGTACGTTGCCAAGATTTTATATAAATGTTTCATCTTTAATCTCCTGCCTGATATCCAGCAAGAAGCCGTGACGATAGATCTCACGCAAGATGATGAAGACTTAAAGTTACAACCGCATTGGAGTAGTGCCCGATCGCCCTCCGCCTTCTCTAATCTGTCGCTCGTGAACCGCGAGCAGAATGACTTGCTCGCTCCTCCCCCCGACGTTGAAGACGATAAAATCAAGTATAATGACTTCGAAGTTTCACTTGACTCATCCCTTCGTATGCAAAGTCCCTTGAGGGAAGTATCTCCAGACAACTCCTCAGTGCCTTCACCGATTCCACGCAAGACTACATCTGTCGCTGGGCCGAAAAAGAACGTAGCATTTTCGTTTGCCATCGAGGATGACGATGACGATGACAGTGAAGGTTCATTTGGAGATTACATTCCTCGAGAGAAACTGTCAAATTGGCCATCGAAGGAAGCACCGATCGGTGAATAGTTTATTACGTTCGGTACCTCCATAACGCTCTGATAACTCTTTTGAAAGAGGACCGCACCAGGGTGATACCGCGGCAAAGGAAGCAAATTTACTTTGGAACGAGAGAGCCCTTGAAGAAATTACAACACCAATCACGTCCGGAGCGGGAGCAGCAAACGCAACATGTCGGTAAGATATGATGGTGCTGATCCCGATACAACCTAACGATGACCACAGGATCAAAGTTCGCCAAGCCTACTAGCGTCGCTCGCAACTCGACCGGAGAACACTCCATTCCTGCGAAATTGCTTCCCCAAGATTTTGATTCTGAAATAAGCGCGGTCTGTCACATGACCAGTTTCATGACAGACATGCGAATTGACTTGATTCAGATCATCGACGAGATTACCTGCGTTATTCAGGCCAGGATTTCAAACCTGTATGACGGAGTTCGAGACAGTGTTCGCAACGCTCGACAGCAATTGCTCTCTCAAGCCGCGAATGATCTACGTTCACTGAACGAGCTGAAGTACGTTTCTCTGTATCTCCAGACCTCGAGGCAGCTTTCCACCGTGATTTGTGCCCTCATTCCTTTTATAGCGTTACAACCTTCAACAATCTCATAGACCTTGAAGCCGCTTACGTCGATTACTCAAAGCGTTTCCTTACCGCGCTAGGCGAAGCCGGGCGCCTTGGAGAAGAGGGGCTACAACTTTCAAAGAATCTCTTGAGGGAACATGACCGCGGTGTGCAGATCCACACCAGCAAGTTACTAACTTTGCGGGAGCTACCCGAAAGTGTAACGAAGTGGCTTTGATACTTTTCTTTTTCCAGCGTGGCTCCGTCTGTCCCAGAGAATTACTCGCTCTCAGCTTTGTGTTCTGTGTCAATTCTGAAGGGTTCGACTCCATCAAGGTGGCTCTGCTATTGTCGATCTCAGTCAACATCCTTTGGGCTTCTACCTCGTACTGTAAACCTGTCGAACCAGCTCGAGCCGGATGGACTTGGGCGAACTTGTGGACTCCTCGGAACAGTGTACTTCGTTGTATGAACGCTTTTGAGTCATGTCACTTGCTGTTCGATTTCTCACATCATAATGAATGCATACAATTGCAGACATTAAACACGAAGCCTGGAGCTTATTGATCAGTTTGACTTCATCGACAATCACCCACGAACATTAGTTACACTGAGAAGCTCATAGGTCAATTGAGATCGACATGAGCCCAGGTATAATGTACAACATAGAAGGTAAGTAGACCTTCATCGAGGAAACCGCTTGTCGCATCAATCCTCAAGCGTGCCTTTCAGCGTAGGCCTGTCATATGATCGCAATACTGGCTGTAACCCGATGTGGCCCAATATAGGTTTAGTATGTACCGAGTTGAGAGCCCAGAATGAGAGCAGAGCCAACAGACACGCCCCAAAATATATGGCTATGCGAATCGGAAGCGGATTTCCCGTGAGGAATGGATAGGGGACTGAGTAGATTATCAATGATGGCACCCATAGTTGAGGCGAGAACGCCAAAAGACTCACACATCCCGTTGTAGCTAGCGCAGTATTCGACCCAGGAGCCGTACCACAGAGTTGCCAAAACCGATAGTAAAGGAGCACCGCGCCTTGCTGCTTTGTGAGAGTAAGGCCTCTCAAAGAGGATAAAGTCCAAGAAAAGAGTGAGTGCGGGAACGGCGTGCAGAGCGAGATCTACATTGAGGTCAAGCCGAATAAATTTGGGTACTGCAGTGGAAGAGGTGGGCTCCATATTTGTTGATTCTCTTCGAAGAATAAGGTTCGGGAGAAATAGTAAGAGTGACCAGTAGATGGTTGAGATGACCACAGACAGCTGGTGAAAGGAACATCAATCATTCGTGCAGGAATCCTGCGATGGAAGTCATACTGGCATAGCGATCATGAACAACGCGCGTTTGAGGGCTCTGAGCGCTAGTAACCTATCATTATACGCTGCTCAATGACAATATGTCAAAGACGTACATTTGACAGTAGGGAAGATGTCATTTCCAAGGCTCAGCAGCATAGTAACCCATGCCACTGCTAATCTACACGGACACGTCAGTCGGAGTCCGGACAGTATCTCAGAAGGATGATGCATCAATCCATCTTGCATACAAGACTCACCCTTGGATTGTCAGGAACTGCATATGTCCGCCTTTCTGGCTTCTAATCCACTTGTCCAGGGGTGTGCTGCTTAGACTTCTGTACCCATAAGACATCGCTGAAGCAGCTGATGCGTGAAGCATCAAAGCTATCATTCGCAGTTGCGTAGACCGTGACATGGTCGAGTTCTCTTAGCAGGAAAGATAGTCTGTGGAACGTCAAGTCAATATAGGGAGGAGAAAAGGGCAGTCTTTGGCCGTCTAGTGACGTGTCCACAGAGGTCCGCAGCGCCTTCAACCGCAGAATCGTAGTATTTGTGATTGGGATCATGTCATATAGATGCTTCTGAAGCTCGTCACCGGAGTCATGTAGTGCCGCTGACGCTATAACTTGAGGTCTTGAGGTCTTGCTTGAGTTTGCATTAGGTGATTGGGGACCAAAGCAAATAGTACTTGTTGCAAGAGATCACAGGGAAAAAGTAGTGGAAAAGTAGTGGAAAAGTACAATTGTATTGATCGAGAGTTCTAAGTAACGAAACCGGTCACCACAGATTATATATCTATACTCAGCTCTCATCCATAGCAAGGGTTGTCGCCTGTAATCAGACCTTCCCTTTCCATTGCCGCCACAATACCATGCTCACGCTACAAGAGACCAGTGCAGCACCCGCGCCCACCCAGAACGTCAAGCGCCAACACGAAACACCGATACACACACTCTCGCCACCAGAATTGTGGGCGGATACGAACGCATATAAGTAAGAAAAGAAAGGGGTCCCTAGGAAGGGAGCATATGTGACAATGCCAAAGTTGCGTCCAAGATTAGTTGCGCCCCATATTGAGGACATGATACTGGGGCTGTAGACCAAGTTTATGTGTCAGCGAAGGGCGAGACATCGATGCCGATAGGAAAAAGGATCTGAAGCGTACAGAATGGTGAATGTGATGCCATAGGCCAGACCAGTGCCAACACTGAAGGATTTATTCAACTCAATGATCGCAAAAACTTGGCAAAGAAATACCTCAAGATCCAGAGGCTCTCTCTCGATCTAATGACTGTCTCAAGAAGCGCAAATGAAACCCCCAATAACATTGTCGCTCCAGAAAGAAAGGCAACACGGCTGACAAAGTGCTTCCTTGGAAATGATCGCATACCGCTCGAAAGAGATAATGCAACAGGAGACACAAAGTCTGCGAGCGGACCTGCGAGCAGACGAGATACGGTGTTCGCGATCGAGAGGATGCGGACCTGCGTTGAAGTGGCAGTATCGGTTGATGGATCGAGTGTGATGATGTCGGTCGAAGATAATGGGAGAGACAAAACGATGGTCCCAATGTTTGAGATCACCATCTCACACTAGATACAGATATATTAAGACCTTCAGAAACGTTGTAAACAGACTCACAGATCCTAAAGTGAACATGATGATGATCGCCAGAAGCCAGAATTGTGTATCCCTGAGGAGATCCGCAATACTAGCCTCCTCATCCACTAGTATAACCTGCACATCGACATTCTTCTGCTTGCCAGGCAAGAAAGGCGTGCGCTCAGTCGGTTCCAGTGATTCTTCAGGATCAGAGTCCGCGAATGATGATGACTCCTCGGACAGTGAACTCAGTCGAGTTGAAACGGAAGGGGTGTGTAAGTTGAACGCTCCCAAAAGGTGAACCAGACCAGCCGCAACCGCATGAAAAGTCAAAAATTGGGTCACGTTCAAACCAGCTATGGGATCAGTAAAAAATCTAGAAGCTATGAGAGACAGAAACAAAGGAGATAAACCAAAAAGAGCCATGCTGGAACCTGACGCGACACCGATATAGTCAGGAAAATTCTTAGATGCTGCGAAGAGAGACGAGAAATACCTAAAGGAACTTATCATTATGGACCTTCTGTGAGTTAAATGAATGAGATACGCACGAGAAGACAGTTCCGAGGCCAGCCATGCAAAAGAAAACGACAAGGCGATGAAATGATGATTGGGATGTGGGTGTGATGGCGGGCGTCTTTGCAATCTCCCACGCAAAGAGCCCAAAGCCTGTAGAGAAAAGAATGGAGGAGGCAAGAGAGCATGCCCATGGGCCAAATCTGTCAATGACCATGCCGACCACGGCAGAGAAGGGGTATTGGCCTATCATGCCTCTAAGAGAAGCACTTATCAAGCATCTAGAAGGCCAAGGGGTAGGCTACACTTACGCTAAGACAATCGTCGTGAGCTGAGGCTGAGTAAGATTCAGATGTACAGCAAGTGCAGGCGCAAGTAAAGGGAATGTGAATATCCCCCCCGCAAACAGACTGCCGATGTATCAATCAGAAGGGTGCATGTGGAAATGTTAAACATAGCTAACGCATTAGCTGCGATGGAGCAGCATGTCAATCCTAAACGAACTCTTTGCAGAAGGGATGATTGTGCAGACATTATGCTGTCGGGGGCATGCAGGTCTGTGAGAATACGATCGTGGTGGGGAAGGCCTATTAGAACGAGTGACGCCAACGAGCCGAGCGAGCGCACGTGATTGGCGCGTCTGCCAAACATACACAAGCACCAGCTGGCTTGGCACGCGTCTGATGTACACTTTGCATATCTAGTACATCGTATGGTGCCCGGCCATATTGACTCGGATTGTCCGAGAGAAGAATTGAGAGGAGACGACGACAATTTAGAGGAGGACGAATGGCCATAATATGTAGTGCTTGTCAACGATCAGAGCTAGACCACGGCAGCAGTCGTTAAAGAAGGGCCCTCAACGTTGGGCCGGCGCTCTCTGTGGTCACCTAACCACCCAATATGCTCAGCATAGCCTCGGAGTGCGGACCGCCAACAAGGAACCCAATCGAGTCAATCAAAAAATACACAGATCGAGACTCGTGCGCCTTCCAGCAAGCAATGCATTCTTTTGCAGGCCCGCTGGGTATGAATACGTGTGGGAGCGTGTAATGGAAACTCACGATCCACGGCTTGTCGCTACAGGCAAGAACGCTGAGGATCCGCAAAAACAGATACCCTTGAGGCCTTGAGGCCTGAAGTCAGTTTAGAAAACATTGACATGCATAATCACGCGGAGATGAACCTTGCCATTTCCGACCTGCGCGGTCCCCTCGTAGTCAGTCATCAACGAGGAATGTCGGAAGCCATGCGATAAAAACGCGGAGGAGCTTACCTCGGCCAATGTTGATATCGATCAACCAGGTGGCGTTGTGAGCATATCAAGAAGTTCCAAGACACAGTCGATCCGTAGTTCGAGACTTACACCATGTAGTTGGGAGGCCCCTAGCAGCCGATGCAGTCGAGCGGAAAGCCTCGGAATCTCATTCAATACCCACTCAACAGTGAACGTAGTATGCCTGAAAAGAGAAGCTAGTTGTTTCAATTGCAAGGTCTTCTATATATGGCTGTATTTTTTTTGCTGGTCCGGATGTAAATCTGGACTGATGGGTGTCAAGAGACATCTGGCTTCTGGTAAGTGTCTGTTGGAGGCGTAAGTACTAAAACGAAAGCTTTTAAAATATGGCTTGCGTCCTCAGCCACGCGCCAAGATCCCCTGTTGTCTCAACCTGGAACCATCATGAGGTAAAAACCACTGAAGCCTCTATATGTGCGGTCAGCTTTTGCCTCCGATTACGCCAGTACAGACCGGTACCAGCCGATACCCAAACGCGGTCCGATGCCCACTGAAGTTGCTTCCATGATCATCACGCTACTCAATACCTTCAAAACCCAGCATGCTCACCTCGACAATAATGGCTTACCGCCTGAGTGGCAACCTCATCGACAGGAGATTCAAAATCTACGCAAGTGAAGTTGATCTCCGAGCTCGAGCAGAAGACTCGCAACGAACGTCAACGACGGTACTCCCTCAGCGACGAACATGACTGCTACTGACTATCCCAAGGATTCCATGTTCCTCTCAGGCACATAACAACCTCCGCACGATGGGTTATTTCGAAAAATAATAGATGGGATGACAAGGCCTGACAAGAATTCATGCGCTTACAATTACCCCCGGCGAGAAGGTAACGATCTTCAGTAAGCTCCGCACTCAACTTTCGATCGCACAAGATGAGATACGTACGATGGAATGAGCGAACAAAGCATGCGAGACAGGTGAAGACAGCTCTCAAAATCGAGATCGAAAAGAATACGTCTTCTCCAGGTCGATTGCACTGCGCCATAGCGCTGCATGCTGAGCCGACAAGGTGGGCATGCGAGATGAGTCGTATGTGGTCGCAGTTGCAGCACAGTAAGTGCTAGCACCCGGTGGCAGTTTTTGACTGTGTCGTGGTGGGGCGCGGCTGCCGAAAGCAAGTCTGCTCTGACGATCATGGAGATCGTCATTATACCACTTAGTCGGCGAGCAAAACATGTGTTTCCGTGTGCTACGCTGAGATGATGCAACACAGGATTGGTATCTAAACCCCAAAACGACTGTTCGGTCTTGGAAATATTCTCGACGTGTTTGCGACATGTGCTCGATGAGCTACGATCTTAGACTTCTTGTGCGTCGGGTCAATCTTCTTTCGACGTCCATGCTGTAATTGACCTCGAGCAAGAATTAGCTTTGACGTCATTCGACGCCAGTGTGCGTCATCGGAATTCGAAGTCGAGCTGAGGGCCTTCATGCGTACCCAAGCGAATCCGGTCCGTGCAAGAAGAATGTCAATTGGATACATCAAAACTGGGGCAATACAAACCGTAATACAAACATAATACAGTACGACAGCTGGTCAAATACACTGAGAGGTCCAAAACATACAATTTGTCTTAAATGCCTTGTGTCACGAGCTATTTACGCAAGGAGCGTGAGTGACTCAACCCTACCGTGAGCAAAAGTCAGCCTAGCCATGTGGCGAGATTAAAGTGATGACACGTACGGCAGAGTTACGGTTTGGGCCTCACCGTCTGGTCTAATTAGAGCAATGCGCGTGCCCTATGTCGAAGAGTACAACAATGAACATTACATTTTCTTTGAAGCTGGTGGATCCAACATACGTCGGCTTGTACGCCGAGACTCAGCACAGTGGCATGCTTTACACCGCCATGAGTATCCCAGAACCAAACTCGAGAACCATTCTGCGAGTTTTGTGAGCGCAAAATTCCTTCTGGAAAAAAAGTGCACACACAGCGATAGTCATAGCCGAAATAGTAGGAGTCTAGAAGACGGAGCTCGTTATTTTGAAGTCGATAGGCTAGGTTCTGTCTGAGGATGGACTCTGAGAAGATGGCAGCTCACCTTCGTCTTTATAACTCATGAAAAGCAAAGTGACCACCCTGAAGACTCCTGTCGTGTACACGATCGAAACAATGTCACACTCACAGAGCGACACAGTAATGAACATCGAAACGCAGTTAGAGGCAGATGATGGAAGGTCTTCACGGAGGGTGTATCCTGATCTGTGCGTACAGAGATGTTTTCATGTTCTATTTGGACGGAGATCGGTTACGAAAAAAGCGAGAGATGTAGAAAGAAGGTAGGTGATTGCGGGAGAATAAGGCGTCCACATTGCAGGTGAAGTACGAGCTATCGGGCCCGGTCTCACGCGGTCGAGACCGTCGAAGCTAGTGTTGGGAAACTGTGGGTAGGGACATCGTCAGAACGTGCACGATGGAGAGCCAAAGAAAAGCTGCGGCAACGCAAAGGGCGACGAAATGCCGGACTCGGGATTGAACGTTGAACCACAAGAAGACAGAAGCAGGCACGAGGATTCACGAGGAGATACACGTAATCCATAAGCGAGGGAGATTCGTCTGGCAGTCGTCCGACGATGTGGGTAGGCTATGCAGCTCCTCACGTATGAATGAACTCCACAAAGAGGGAGAAAGGTACCGATATAGGAAGCTCAGCGAATGCATGGAGGCATTTCAGGTGTGTGGTCTGAGCCGAGAAAGACATTATATATTCGATGAGATGCCTGAGGCCTAGATCACTTGATCGTGACTGAAGCAAATGAGAACTGCCATGGAAAGAGGAGAGACGATCTTGAGCTCGGATCAGGGATCCAACTAGCCCCAGCTGCGAGAATGTGCAATGAGGCGCCCCCAGAAGTAGATCCTTCGAGCTTGCACGTACGAAGGATCGAAATGTTAAGGCGCCGGGGCGACAGATCGGAGTTTGGTCTTAGATCTCGACGCCACAAACATACGTGAGTCTCTTGTTGCCACTACTCTGACGATGCCATCTCAGAACGCTACTGCAAAGGCGAATTCCACTCGCCATGATATGTCTGTTATACTTGTCACTGGCTCGTATGATCATGAAATACGCTTTTGGGAGGCTTGGAGTGGTATCTGCTCAAGGACTATCGCTCGTTCTGGAGAAATAGGCGTGCGGTCCATTCTCTACCTTGACATCCGTTTCTTGGCTCATTCAGCGGCATTCCACGCAGCAAGTAAACCGACTTGCTATCTCACCAGAGTGAGAATAAGTATGGCGTCTTCTCCTAGCTGGTCTGCTAACTCAATCTTATAGCAAGCGGTTATTGGCTGCTGCAATTCATAAGAAAGTCAACGTCTACGAGATCGCAAGTTCATCCTCAACACCGGTACACTGGGCATTATCGTGTCTCTCCTTTCATAACTGAATTTCCCCTCGTCTAGGCCATCACTTTCGACGCGCATACGATGAATGTCACGTCGGTGTCTTTCCATAGCCAAGGGAAATGGCTAGTAACAGGGAGCGAGGATGGGACGATAAAAATATGGGATTTGCGGTACGCTTACTGACTGCATCACCTTTTGCATCACCACTGACTCTATTATAATAGAAGCACGAATCTCCACCGAAACTACAACAACGAAGCTCCAGGTGAGATAGCTTTTTCTAATTGGGGCCCATCCATCTCAGACGCGCTATCTTCTTAGTCAACGATGTCTGTGTGCACCCCAATCAAGGCGAGCTGATCTCCTGTGACCAAGCGGGTCGAATCAAGCAATGGGATTTGTCCGAAAACATATGTACTCACGAACTCGTAATGATATTTAATATTTCGTCGTTGAGTCTACAAATTGATTCTTTTCCTAACCAAGACCCCTGCCGGGGACGTGCCCATACGTTCTGTGACCCTTGCATCAGATGGTTCATGCTTGGTAGCCGGCAACAATAAGGTACCTATTTTTGATTACCTACGGCAACCTCACTTACGTCTACCAGGGCAAGTGCTACGTGTGGAAAATTAACGAAGAAAGCTCGCAGCTACCCCGTTTCCAAGCGGTCACCAAATTTCAGGCTCATTCGAAGTACCTCACTCGATGTCTTCTCAGCCCCGATGTAAAGTGAGTCGGTCCGCGATCATCCGGCTTCTCTTCTTTCATGACATGCAGATATCTTGCAACATGTTCAGCCGATGCGACAGTCAAAATCTGGTCAATATCACCCAATTACGAATTCAAGCAGGATAAAGTACTCCAGGGTCATCAAAGATGGGTGTGGGATTGCGCTTTCAGTGCTGACTCGGCATATTTAGTCACAGGTGAGTATCTTTCAACCTAAAAAGTGGCCACAGATGTTCAGCTGCGACTTGCCAGCTTCTTCTGATCACACTGCGCGTTTATGGGAAATGGCATCTGGCGAAACGGTCAGACAATACAATGGGCATCATAAAGGTCTGGTTCCCTCTTCGATCAGGGTGAGACTTCTAATGGACATTCATATCCAGCGGCGGTATGCTGCGCTCTCCATGATGGCGCCGGTTGACAATGACTATCTGTTCATCCGAAATTGTCTCATATCATCATCACCTTGTGCAAGGCTGGATATCTTTCACTGAATAGCATATTGCTCCACTCCGTCCAATCTTATGCGAACTGCATTTGCTGTACCGGAATGCGTGTATCAGGGAGGTTCAGCGCGATCGCTTTGAATCAACGTATCGTTCATTAGAAGCATCTCGTGTGGACAATTATGATATAAGGAGGCAAGAATGGTAGGAGAGATGCCCGATTTGCCTGCATGCCGTGCCACAAATCCTGATCGAGGTTTGTGTCGAGGTGACGAAAGGTTATCTAAGGTTCTCTCCGTCTCGGTAATAGAGGGGTGTCATTCTGCCCATACATCGCCAACCAGTGTGGGAAGGTTATTGGCCTCGTGTGAGAAGCGCGAAAGAGTACATCGAGCTGAAATGACAATTATTTGAAGTTCATACGCAGCTATACTGTCGTTGCACCGGAGTTGCAAGAAAAAAGAGTATTTCTTCATAACATCGTGAGTTATACTTTTCTTCGCTCAAAATTTTTATTTCACATGCGGAAACATCTTAAAATATGTCCTGTCGTTTTTTCGTATTTTTGAGGCCATGGACAGAATTGTTGTAAAATGCTTGAGAAGGAGAGTCCGGAAACGAGCAAAACTTGAGAGCTGCAAATCTTTCCGACGATCGGGTCACACGTCGTCACATTCAAATTTGAACTCTGTCTGCGGGGCAACCTGCGAAGCGGCGTTTTAAAAAAATGACCAAGCATCACGCGGCCCGAGGCTCCTTGTCACTCTGTCTGCCATCGAACACTGCCCGTCAAAAACAATTTGGTGAAGAGCATTGGAGTCTACAAAGTAAAATCGAATGCTCCATATGTCTTCAGTGGTACCTGATTATCTTCCCTATTTTATTTTTTTTGCAATTGAACTCAAGGATCTGAGGGATCTTGAGCATCTTTGAGAGAACTCTGTTCTGAAAACCATTATCCATTGCTTCCTCACTGCTGCACCCGGTTTCTGTTCTTAAAAAAACTAGCATACTTGAAGAGTACTCAAATGAACAACTGAGAATTTTTCGAAAGGCACCGTCAAAAATTGCTGCGAGGAGCTCGATTTTGAACCTCTCATCCCGTTTGCAACTCCGGTGCAACGATGGTAGAGGGGCACGAAAAAGGCATCCTCGGATGCTCTTCGGCTCACCATGGACTAAATGTCACGTCGTATGTAGTAAAAGATCTTGGCCGTAGAACAGCGCTTCAGAGATAGAGAATGTTGGTTCAAGGAGACAAAAATACCTGGTGTGAACGTGCTGGGTAGGACCCTTCTAATGGCCTGGGATCCAAGTAACGGAAGTTCCAAGGAAGCGATCATCTTGGTGCACGTTGTGGATTCTGTTATTGGATATAATTGAATGGTTTAAGACAGACTTTGCAAAGGCTTGCAAAGCAAACTTCATGCTTCTTTAATAACAGGCGTCTATCGGAGCCTCGGCACTTTTGGCGACAGACGTGGGACGGTATCTTGGGAAACAATCACACGAAGTGTGTGGGTCAATCTACAGGTAAACATAGCTCACGAGACGAGCGCATGAGCGTAAGAACAGTTCAAGAGGGCGAGCTCACCGATTCTGAACATTAACTTTCATGGTATGACATCAGTGGTCTGGAGCTACTATCCTCCATAGGAACACAAGAGCATGAGGTGGTCCAACATCGGGGTCTTCGGACTCCTGAACAATATGGACGAGCTCAACCAACGGACCTCCGCGTCTGACAGAATACGATCCAGCGTATTGTAGAAGGTATATGAAAACTTGATCAGATAAGAATAAACACAGAAGCAGACTGGCGGTAATGTCTTTGTGAATTTGTATTGGTGATACTGCAAATTACTCGCCTGGGCCACGTACAAAACAGAACGAATGGAGGGTCCCTAAAAGACGCGCCACAATTCCTGCGGTTCTCGAAATGCTCGATTGACAGCCACATGCTGCATGACTAGGTGAGTCGTAGGGCTGGGGGACATGAGTGGGAGCGCACCTGGAACCCTTAGCGAGGGAGAGAAACTTGTGATAGAAACATGTATGACAATTCTATGGTCACAATCTCATCGACAAACATTGAGCGTCGATGCATCGGTAGAATCCACATAAGTAATGGAGCTGTAGAGCCCAATAAGTATTGTGCACACAGGGCCCTCTTTGACTGGTCCAGATCTTGTTGGGCATGTTATTAAGTCTTCTATATTCAACTCTTGAGGAAAAAGAGACGGACTCATCATGAAGCAGTACGGCCATCATTCAGTCAGAGGGCCTCCGATCACCAGACACGCAGAATGTGGTCTTTTCGTTGATCACGGAATCGCAGTGACTCCGAAGGCCTGGAGTCTGAAGTTGATGCTGGATCAATAGGACACTTATAGCACCGGTTGCAGGATAGGATGCACGTAGATGCACGCGCGCCGGTATGATGCGGCCCGCTCACCAATAATAGCGCGTCACTGTTGACCTTGAGAATACTCTGAAACCTCTCCCTTCAACTCTGATTGCTCCCTTGGATGCATGAATGTCGAAGGCATCGGAAGATGCAGTTAAAGAGCCACAAGGGAACTCTGTATATGCAGCGCTAGCACGTACAATGACACGGAGTGCAGCGTTATATTTTTCTCGACCAGTGCGGCTGTTCAGACCCTCTAAAAGTTTGTTGTTCATTGTTGAAATTCACACCATGTTGAGCTGATCCTTTGACCCAGTGAGCGGATGGCATTCCTTGCGAGGGTTGGCTGCGAAGGAGGGCGCTGTCTTGTCACCTAAGTTTATTTCGGAACTTGTACGGGCGCAAGGAGTTCGTACAGCCATCTACTTATCTCCCTAGACCATACAGCAACTTACACGCCAATCAACCTTCACTGTTGCCGCAGCTCATAGTGATCCCCAAACATTTCATTCCCCCCCTCGTCGTCAATGCCTTTCTTGGCACTGTGCTGTGGACGACATATGCGGAAGCTTCGAAGGTGCTTGAGCCCCATATGAGTACATATCCTATTGCCATGGCAGCTCTTTCGGGCGCTGCTGCCGGTGGTATGCAAGCGGTTCTAGCGGCTCCTGCCGAGAACGTCCGCCTCGCGATTGAAGGTGGATCAATCTCGGGTGGAGGATGGTCTCACGCATGGAAAGAAGTTTTCCGTGGAACAGGGACTGTTCATCATGATAACAAGCGGCGAAATATGGAAGAGATTCGGCAGGTACGGGATTGGATGAAGGAAGTGCGAGACATGGCCGGCCGTGGATGGGATGGGTGGGGTTGGGGTCTAGCAAAAGATGTGTGTGGTGAGTAGGCCTTGAGTCGCCTTTTACACGCGACCTGAGTTCTATTGACAACCCGCTCTCTGCATCACAAGGCTTTGCTGTCTTTTTCTCTGTCTTTGAAGGTACCCGCCGATTGGCTTCAAGTCTTAAGACTGTCTCACAGGATCTTGTGCAATTTTATCAGCTCGGAGATGACGGAGGTCGCACAGTACGACTGCACGCGCCTCGGGTGATCAACGGACTAGTGCTGGTGTCTGGTGGGGTTGTCGCAGGATTGACATACGAAGTCCTTTGTCGTCCTTGGGATGTTGCTAGAAGGACTGTCTACCTCGAGAAAGTCCACTCCTCTGTGGCCCATACACCACGGCATTTTGCCATCACCGTGCTTGCACAGAAGCTTCGTGACGATGGGATCCTATCTTTCTTCCGAGTCGTCGCGCCTTCCCATCACCATCATAACGCCAACGAAGCTAAGGTTCGCAGACGGAGGACACATGCTGCATTGCGGACTGTTGCTCGTGTGGGTCCCTGGGGAGCTGGATTTTTAGTGTGGGAAGCTTTCGGTCCTGGTATTTCATAGGAGCTAATAGCTGCTAATAGCCACTGAAGCGACGATTGATGATTATCTCACCGAATGCTGTGATCTGCCATTATATAGAGACCGTGCCTGCGGCATGCCATGGGAAACGTACAGTCGATGTTCCCTCACTTGCTCTGCCGACGGCCGGCAAGGTGTGCTCGCTTCTGCTATGATCTGCTTTCTGCAGGTATCTCTCACCGATCGCCTGTCCGAAACGTCACAGACTGATCCCCACTTAGTCCTCCAAACTTCGAATCGGATCAAGACTTCAAGCTTCAAGCTTCAAAAAAAATCAAGTCGCAAACCTTTGCACTCGCTTGGATGTCCCTTCGATGTCAGCTTCAAGATCCCCGATCAATGTCCGACGATTACGCCTCCCGGACCTACGTTATGTTGAATGTTATGTTAAGGCATACTCGCATTGTTCACCGATTGGCATACCGAATCCCGATCTCTCAAATCTCGGCAGTGCACGTTGAAACTGCGATACCACCTCATGACTTTGCTGCTCAATGTGCATGTCTACATATCATGCTGAATATATATCTGGGGCTATGCCGAGGAGAATGGGGTCGATCAAATTTTCTTTGGATAGTAGTGAACGAGAATGAGAACGTGGACGAGATCATAGATAAGGGCGAGACCCTAAGCAACGAGTTCATTTACTATATCTCGAGTCTTCCTTTCTGTGGCACTTCGAGAGTTGCACTCGCTAGGTGTGCGACGATTTGAACATTGGCGATGGTTCAGACGTTCAGAATCATCCCGGTTATGTCCACGGCTTGATCATGTACCGAAGCTGAAGGAAGGTCAAGGAAATTCATAGTTCAAGAACGGATATATGGAGCCCAGGAAAGCTCTGGAAAGTGCCTCCATATTATCGGCAACAGCCGCACCACATCGCCTTATACCGTCAACACCCAGCAGTTGTTTATAAATCTTTCTGCGCTGAAACGCTCACCATTTTATCATCTCACCTCCGCGGGAAGTCTCATAGCCATGGTCCGTTGCTCGCACAGAGGATGTGGAAAGGAATTTGACCCTCTAAGTCTCGATGAAATCTGTATCTACCATCCTGGAGGACCGGTACATCTACTTCGATTTGCGACACGTATAAGATTTTGACTCGCTTCGCAATGTTCCACGATGTTTCAGGTATTTCATGAGGGTTTGAAGTCCTGGTCATGCTGCAATACAGTAAACAAGCCCGTGCTAGACTTTGAGGAGTTCACGAAAATCACGGTGAGCTCTCAATCTGCGATATGTCTCGTCAAGAGGTTTAGATGGGGTTTTCTGCAGGGGTGCACCCGTGGTACTCATACTACAGAGACGTTGAAGGAAGAGTCTTCTAGACCTCTTCCAAGTGCAAGCGAGAGTATCAAGATGACTTCGTCCCAGGATGGCAAAGAAGTATACGGAGTACCTTCGATCGCGAGCACAAAAAAGTCCAGCCAGACCGCCTCTATCATACCTTCCGACATAACGCCCAGTCAACCTGTAGAAGAAGAGGATGACCTAGACGCTCCAGTAGCCCCCGGTACCACATGCCGCCACAACGGATGCAGGGTCGTGTTCGTAAGCGATGAACAGAATCGAAAGGGCGAGGGACCTGGTACGTCTTGCACGTATCATCCGGCAAATGTGAGTGTACCTATAAAACAGTAGCCGCATATTTTGATCATAGATTATGAAGCCAATCTTCCACGAGGGGAGCAAGGTGCGGATGGCGTTCAATTTTGCAATCGCTTCGGTCATTCACTCCACAATTTTGTAGGGTTACCTTTGCTGCAAGCGCCGTGTCCTTGAGTTTGACGAGTTCCTCAAAATCGACGGCTGCAAGCGGGGTCGACACGTGTTCGTCCCGAAAGCAACCAAAGGGATTGTAAGCCTGCCCTCACTCCGACGCTGGCCATCGGCTGATTAAACACTATAGGAAGGGGTCGAGGAGTTGGTGGAATGCCGCATAGATCATTACCAAACGCCTCACACCGTTCAGGTATCTGTATTCGCCAAACAAGCGGACTTGACACGCAGCACTTTGACTTTGGAGGACGAACAGGTGAGGGTTCCTATCATTTGTAACAACGATCTACTTGTGACGCCATACGGAAGGTCCATTTGGATATCTATCTTCCTGGCGCAAAACGATTCCGTCGGTCTCTCAATCTCTTTGGACAGATTAATATCTCAGAGTCGTCTTATAAATTCTTTGGAACGAAGGTACCTAAACCCCACACCTTGATCATGCAGCCTTCGTCTTACACTGATTATACAGGTTGAAATTACCTTGAGAAAAGCAGATGGGAAAAGCTGGACATTGCTGGAAAAGACAGATCAAGATCTTGGAAACATTGCACTTACCTTCGGCGTCGGTGGTAGAACGGGTACGATCGGTGCAAAAGAGCTGGCCAAATGACCGATCGCGAGATTATTTTGACGAGCTCATTGTAGGAATCATGTCAATGGTTTTGACCGGTGTCCACCACAGGTCGCCAGTGAGCAATAAATTGGCACGTAGGCCTACCATAGCTAAGTTACGAAATTATAGAGTTTTCGGTAACTCAACAAGGTCATACACTTGTATGAGATCACCCACGCGAAGATCGTCGAAACCATCAAGACTGATACCACACTCCATATCTTTCGCAGCCTGTGTGATGTCCTTCTTGAGGTGTCTGAAGGTGTCAAGATTTCCTGTAACAAGATGAGAAATTGCTGGACAAATATGACTACAAACAATTTACCATCATGCACCACCTCGCCATTCCGCACTACCTGTGCACCCTTAGTCTTATCCACAATTCCATTTGTGACACGGCTACCGGCAATCTTCTTGGTCCGCTTCCCAGATAATTGTATGTCAAACAACTGGAGGACGGTGGCTTCGCCTTTGACGCGCCGTTCCGTCACTGAAGGGAGTAGATCAATGACGCGACGCTGGACCTCATCCACGACTTCGTATATAATGGATGAAGAATAGATCGGAATATTGTTCGAGCTTGCAGCATTGGCAGCGGCCCTTGGGACGGGGACAGAGAAAGCGACGACCATGCCTGTACAATTAAATTGAGCGCAGTTTATCTTGATGCGGCAGAAAGCTAACCTTGTGCAGCCTTAGCTCGGAGAATGTCCGACTCACTGACCTCGCCAACACCAGTAGAGATGATCTTCACACGAGCCTTGTCGTTCCCAATGCCTTCCACGGCACCAGCAACTGCCTCTATACTGCCACTCACGTCGCCTTTGATCACAAGTCGGAGCTCCTGAGGACCCTCGGGGTCTGACTCAACAGTCAGCTCTTGTCCTGATGCTTCGGCCTCGGCCTCCAATTCCTTCTGCTCGCGCTCTAGCCGACGGTGGCTGTTGATCGCCTCGAGGTCGATCAAGGTAGCATCCTGCTCGGCTTGCCGCTCCCGATTTGCTACAGCCTTCTTGATATCCTGCTCTGTTCCCTGCAAAACCTCGTCACCTGCGTTAGGAAGCTCCTTCCAGCCTGCAACAGTGACCGCCATTCCGGGATAGGCTTCTTTCACTGCTTGTCCAGATGAGTCTGTCATGGCGCGTACTCTTGCAAAAGTTGTGCCACAGATGATGTGGGATCCAGCCTTCAAGCAACCACGCGTTAGTAAAACTGTCGCGGTGGGTCTAAAATTCAATTGAAGGCCTTAGAACGTCGCTGCAACAGATTTGGAGGAACATACCCCAGACCCTTCTGTACTTTCGACTCCAAGATATGCCCATGGGCATTGCAGTCACGCTCAGCCCGCAGGTCTTGCATTTCAGCGACGGTTGCTATTGTTTCTAAAAGTTCATCGAGGCCCTTTCCTGTCAAGCCAGATACTTCGACTGATGGAATATCGCCCCCAACGGCCTCTAATTGTACACCTTCGGTCAGTAGTGCATTGTGAACTTTGCTCTAAGGACAATGTCAATGATGAGAGAAGAGCTTGAAGTCACATAACTCACGATGTCGATCCCTGGTTTGTCAATCTTGTTAATTGCAACAACTAGTTGCACTTTGCCCTGTTCCTTGTGAGCAAGTTCGATGACCTCCTTGGTTTGAGGCATGACTCCATCGTCAGCTGCAACTACGAGGACTACAATATCTGTTACGCCAGCTCCACGAGCCCGCATAGCAGAAAACGCGGCATGCCCCGGGGTATCGAGGAATGTGATTGCTCGCAGCCCGTCACCACCGGCACTGTTTGGCAATGGAACGGAGAATGCGCCGATATGCTGAGTGATTCCACCCGCCTCACCCGCTGCGACAGACGACGAGCGGAGTGTATCTAATAGGGTTGTTTTACCATGATCAACGTGGCCCATGACGGCAACAACGGGCGGTTTTAATGGGAGACTAGAGGGATTAGGATGCGGAGGTCTGGAACAAATAAAATCAATACACCCAGAATGGACATGCAAGGCGACATGTGTCCTACAATGGATATATGTCGAAAGCAGCTGCATCATTGATTACCGGATTTCTATTGAATTCCTGGGCAAGAAGCACAGAGTACTCAGAGGTCAAAACTTGTGGTGGGGGATTAGTGTAAGGACATGAGAGACGTGATGAAAGAGTTACCATGATCATAGGAAGCCTCTGCACCCATTCCGGCCTCATGCATCTTCCGGTGCAATGTGTCTTCAACGGCTCATCAGCAACATTTAAATAGTCAAAATGAGCTACATACTTAAGGATACTCCTAAAAGCCTTGCAAGATTTCCAACAGAGACGGTTGTAGGTATGAAAACATCTCGTTTGATCTGTTTCAGCTGTACCTTCTTATTCTTCTTCTTCTTGAACTTGACCTGCTGCGAATCTGAGCGGTCTTGATAATGTGTCGAGAAAGTTTCGCCTTCCAAAGCAAGTGATAAAGAGCCGCGCTCTTTGTACATGGTTTTCGGGCGTTTGCCGCGACCATCGAAGCCCTCATGCGCACGGAGGTGGTTCTGTACCTTCGGGATGATGAGTGTATCTCCTTTCTCGGTGTTCTCCTGCGTTTGCCGTGGGGAGGAAGAATTTTGGAAGCGGCTCGGTGTGGTACGGCGATACGAGGGCGCGCGTTGTGGGTCGAGTTGTTGGGGTGACATTTGCAAATGAGGCGCAACGTCTCGGTCTAGGTGTGTTGGTGCTTTGCTAGAGGTGACCGTCTCGCGAGCACGAGCATGAGTGCTGAAGGGGTCCGACGTGCTGGGATCCTGAGTCCATTTTCCAAGTTTTGAGGATGAAGAAGGTAGAGGCTTTGGTTGGGAAGGTCGGGTCCACTCGTCGAGACTGGGCACCGACGATGAAGGTTTTCGAGCCCATCGACCAGCATTGGAACTTGCGGGCGTAGGTGGAGGACGATTCAGGAAATTTCCTGGGCTCCATTTGGAAGACGGAAGCGGTGAAATTGGAGGACCGAGGGGGTCCTGTCTTGCCCATTTATCAAGCTTTGGAGGGAGGGCTGCAGCCGATCGTTCGGGTTGCCACTTACTTGCGAGCTGAGGCTGAAGTAGTATCAGTTAACTAGGATCATGAAACGACCGATGAGCAACTTACAGCGGGCTTGGTCGCTGTTGCAGCAGATCGGATCTGAGTGTGTTTTCGGAGGCGTGAAACTAAGAATTTTGAACGTCGGTGCATATTCTATGGAGTTTCGGTGAAGAAGGGTATTAAAGGGAGAAGATAGTACAGTTGGCGTGGTAGGCAGACGCTTGTAGGCCCTCCAGCAGTGATCACTTTCAAGTTCCCTCGTCCGCACATCAGGTGATCTCCTCACGTGTGCCCGAGTCTGCCCGAGTCCAAGCTCCTCTCAGTGTGCCCAGTGCCCACCATGAATACCAGTTCCCTCCATAGGCCGTTCTTATCTCCATGGAGAGCTCTTGGTGCTCCCCCATCGATTTATTCCAGAAAATATGCTCTTTCGAGGTTCCCTGATCGTAAACCTGGCGTCGGACGGGTTAGTCGTAGATCGATTCCTCGCTGGACTCGGGACTCTCAGGCAAACGCGCCCGATTCGCGGGCAACATCCGAGTTCTCCTCTAAGAGAGGATTCAAACAGGAAAGTGATCCATCTACAGGGGAGACTTCGCTATGGAAGGAGAGTCAAAGGCGACCTGTGGGTCATTCTGAAGAAGGCATCAAGAGGCTTCTACTGGGAAACAATACCCTAACCGTGACCAGGTGTGAGGGATGCGACTTCGTCTTTAAGCATTTCTCTATGCTGATGGACATTGCACACTAGGCAACTCGAAATGCTGAACATATTCATCGGTTTCGAACAAGCGAATAAATATACGATATGTGAGCCTTCGGTTTTCTTCTACGTACACCTGTGCTCATCCATGCATGTCCAGCAAATGAGAGTGGGGAGCCGTTGGGCTTCATCGCAGAGGAGCCCCGTGGCTTTCTATCTACATTCTCTCGCCAAATATTCCGCACTCACCGACCATTCCGTGCCATCATCATGGATCATGATGGCACACCTATACTTTGGGTGCTTATCGTTCTCTCTGGTATGCCCTTATTTCCACTCAAACTTGGCAATCGAATAGATTCGACGGCCTTTCGACTGGATCAACTCTCGCATGTTTGTTTCGCGCCTGAAAGACTTGCACGAGTATACAGTTGACAAGGAGCCTGTTCTCGACACGTTCGCCGAGGTGCAACAGCGTTGGCATCTCTGGCGTAGGCGTTATGACCTCTTTCTGAGGTAAATCAGGCTTCGGCGATCTATTTTTTTTTTGGAACTGAGTAACAAGCAACGCAGAGATACTCCTCATCGTATCTTATCAGCCGTTGACGAGCCTCAACCAGAACCGGAATTAGATACAGAACATTTTAGTCAATTTTCTCGGATAGACGAGGGTTTATGGGCATGGCACTTTAATCTCCGAGATGAACGTGGCCAGGAAATTGCTACTATCAATCGTGCATTCCGTGGATTTGGGCGCGAGGCAAGTAGCGAGCACGACAAGCTTGTCCTAGATCTAGACTGAGTATAATTTTCGAGGTAGATATTCACAGACACAGGTACCTCGTCTTCCGTTCAGAAGACAACACAATTTTCCTGATCATCTCGAAGGTCAATATTCTATCGACTTCGCACCGAGGCCGGCGACCACGGAGACTTCTGTCCTTCGCACACTCAATCTTGAAGAACGTGCTGTGAGTTGTAATGCCTTTGTTGGTATGCACAGATCATGACTGATTGGGTGGTTCCAGCTGATCCTAGCGATGGCAGGTAAGCACATCGCCGACATTCCTACCCTCATTGCAGTCGTCTCAGTATCGATCACGTCCAGTCAACGTGGATTTCGACTATTTCTCCAGACATTCGGAGGGAGGGTAGGTGCTTTTTCCGATCTGACCTGAGTGTTGACATCGATTGTCGCAATAGGCATGGGATGGGACTCCCCTTCTTTTTCGGAGGAGGGGAATGAGGCTGTCTACATCTACGATTCAACGTGTATCCCCGCGTAAGGTCTGAGATGCAACTCCAGACTATGATATAGATCCTTTATCTAGTGACAATATGAAGCGTATGATGATACATATCTATAGCCATACAAAAATCATAAATAAGCTTATACGATCTCAATACTTGTCCCTTGTCCTGTAAACCTCCACGAGGAACTTGTCGAAGTCCACCTCATTCACCTCGAGAATACTCGTGTCAAAAGTGCTGTGTCTCGTCCGGGCACCCGAGTCCTCTTTGGCATCCAAAAATGCGAGGCCGAATTCGCTAATGACCAGGTCAGCAGAGGTCAGGAGAATGGCACGACACGCTCACTTTTTCTTGACATCTCCAAAATCGAGCGCAGCGTTGATGCCAACGACGATATATGTCCGCGCCTGTTCGTTCAGACATGCTAGGATAATCGGCAAGGTCTTCTTTTTGGTTCGCCGTCCTATGTTGACGCCGCCGACGCGATCGCGGAGGGCGTCCACGAGCCAGAGGCCAAGGCGAAAGAGCACACCCGGGCGGGTGAATAGGACAAGATCGGGGCCTTGTTTGAGCTGGACAACGCGATGACCTTTGATCGTCCGAATATCGTTCTTGTCGATGATAGATGACCCCGTGCGGATAATAGCGCGGTTGATGGACATTGAGAGGAAGAGTGCTTCCCGCAGGCGCGTGACGCTGATTGTTCATTCGTGTCGTCAGATGAAGAGGAGGAGAGGACAATCTTTGCGTCGACTCACTCATTGAGCGCATCCCAGGCGTTCCAGAAATTACGCGTTACCCACCAATCACCATCTTGCTTGTCGCCCGCATCAATTTCGTCCTCTTCGCTAGCTTGCCCATTCACGTTCGGATTGCCACCGCCACCTTCTCCTCCAATACCGTTAGCTTTGTCCATCTCCTTCTTCTTATCTTTGTCGTCCTCTCCCCACCGCCCGCCCGCTCGCCAGACACGTCCACCACCGAACCACTCTCCGCCGTTCCTCGCTCCCTCAACCTCGACCTCTATTCGCACACCGGTAGCGGCATCAAGCAGTGCTTCGAGTACCTCCACTGCATCGGCGGCAGAGAGTGGCTGCATATGGTAGCCGTAGCAGCGAACGAAGGACGGGTAGGTGAGGTCAACCATGCCGTATTCGGGCGCGATGGCGTCGAGCTTCGTCCGCAGCTCTCGTTTCAAGTCCATGTCCATGTGAGAATACGGCTGCTGGGTTTGCGGTATCGAGAAGCTGAAGTGAGCTTGCATGTCAGGACTAGAGGCTCGCTGAAACACATATGTGCCCTACCCCATCTTGGCCAAGAGGCCAGTGAGCCGTTTTCTTCCCTGCTCTTTCCATATCCCCAGTTTGCTCGCGACGTAGCTAGAGTGGAACATTGCGTCGTAAAGTGTCCAATGTCGGAACAGTGCAAAGCGAAGCTCGTCCGTCGAACGTAATGACATGTCGTCGGCATTCAACGCGGCTAAGCCCTGGGTGTCGTTATTTGGAGGCGGAGGATTAAGGCGCGAGACTTCGTCATTGTATATTGAATGATACTTCTCGTACTCGTCTCGCGATATTCGACATGTGCTGTACTGGTAGGTCAAGCCCAATACGGCTAACCTGCGTGCCTTTTGAGGAAAGATCGGCAGGAGAAGTTGTATAACAGGCGGCGTACCACAGAAGGTCGTTGTCGACGCGCTCGAGAACCGTGGCAAGGATATAGACGGTAGATGCAGCGCTCTGGCCATACCAGGTACCAGTCATGTAATGCTTGTCTAGTCTTGCATGATATTGATCACGCAGTTCTCGAGATATTCGATGTGGACGCTGGGCGACGCTTAAGACATCGGTAAAACCAGACAACTCGAGGCACTCACATCTTTGTTCACCTTCCGACGTTTACCGGGACTGCGACTGCCATCTCCCAGCGATCTCCGCTTACCTGACGAACTGCTCCCTCCGTACTCTTCCTCATCTTCTTCCTCATTCTCTTCGGGCACGCTGTCGTCTTCTGAGTCCTCATCTGAGTCTGGCTCTGGTTCATACTTCGAGGAGATTTAAATACCCGCTGGCACGCGAACCCCACAAGGTGGAACTTACTGCAAGGGCCTCCCAGGCCTTTCGCTCTTCCTCCAAATTCTCAGCACCTCCGTCATCCCACACGACTATTCGTTCTCCGTTGTCGCCGCCTCCAAAGAGACTCGAGAGATTTTGTGGACGACTAGAGTCGATGATGTGGACACTGAGCTTTGTCGTGAAATCGCCGAACCACTCGGCCGAGGGGAGATCCAGAATTGCGCCCATGTTGAGCAATATGAGTGTGTGCAGCTAATTTTTCACAAGGTCAAGGAGACACAGAATATTTACGAAAGAAAGTCCAGACCTCGGTATATGACATCAACTCGTCTCTCATGCGTTCTAGGTCTGCAATACCAGAGACAGGGATTGTGCGATGGGTCACGTCGTCCTGCATGAGCAACTCTTCTAGCATGCGAGCTGCGCATAGCGCGTCGACATCTGGCGCAACAAGTATAATTACCGAAGCGGCAGATGTGAGAGGTGACCGGCGGTGGGCAGCGAGGATGCCATTGTAGGCTTCGGCATAAGATGGACGTGACGCCGACGCGAATTGAGGTGGTGGAAGATAAACCATGCTCAATAATCACCTCCAGGAGTACAAGCCAAGTAGGCTTTATTGGAGAGCAGGAGTGAATAAAAATGAAAGTGAGGAACAATGGAGAACCTGGCGAATTGTGGACGGGCGTGTGATCGTTGACCTGGCCTCAACCGAGACGCGTCGCGCGCACGCGTCTTTTTGACGTAATCTCAGCGTGACGCGTCAGTGGCTGAGGGTAATTGAGCACTTTTTGCTTCTGAAAGGCTCAAGATGATGTTTGGCTCAGAGGGGATTGATTGATCTCGTCTAAAAGCTACTAGCTAAAGAAACTCCTCTCCTGGATGTCTCTCCGCTTTCCACGCATACCCCAGATACCCCAGTTGGTCTTCACCATCACTCTCGGGTCGAAATCCGCAACCTCCCACTTTTCACTCCCAAAAGCATTTTCTCCTGGCGTGATGACCCAGTCAAATTCGCCCGCGACTCCCGGAGCGGTCGAGAGCGATTTAATATCACGCTCTACGTCCGCTGGAGAAAATCCGGTGACAAAAATCGGACACTTCGTCGTGAGGAGCAAGGGGATATCGTATCCCCACTCCGTCGGCGAGGCGACCTGCAAGAGAGGCTGCCCAGTCTCCTCGTTGACAGAGTTGGGCGAAGGGAAGCCAAAGCCGGGGGAGAAGAGGAAGAACAGATCTGTGTACGGGTCGAAAGTCTCCTGGAACTGCGCGTGTACTTCATGGTAGTTGCACTGTATTCCTGTGATGGTGAGTTGCGGGGTGTACGGAACGGTATAGGAGGGTATGCCGTAGAGTTCCAGAGAAGAGCGCGCACGCTTGTGCCGAACAATGGGGGCAGGCGTCGGCGGCTCGTAGACGTTAGGTAGATAAACGGGCTTTTCCTCCTGTGATTTGGGAGGCTCTGTATTCGCCTCTGGTTTGGGTCCGGAGGAAGCCTCTGACGAGGTTGAGGGTAGTGTATTAGCTTTAAGTGTCGCCGGGCCAGAATTCGGAGGTCTCGGTAGTGACACTTGAGGGCCGATGAAATAAAGATGAAAAAGAGCGGAAGGGAATAATAAGGGGAGCTGTTCCCAAACGTGAGGCGGCAATGAGGATTCAGCGCGCGCGCCAAGGATGAAAATGCGCATCTGTGGCTTGCTTGCCGATGCTTCCTCAGTTTCCGGAGTACCCATAGGTCCGTGCAGTGTTGATCGGAGAGCTAAGAACCAAAATCAGTCGATCCGAGGAACACCACAATTTGTGACAACGTATACGCACCCGCAAGAGAGCGACTTCCTTCTGGAGTTAGACGCTGACTGCTGAGTGTGAGGTTGCTATATTGATGAATGGTCGAGCCGATTGTGATAGGATACGTGAGCAGTTTGCTCGCATGTCGACGCGATCGCTCTGTATCCATGGAAGAGAAATTTCGGGTGTACCAGAACACATCCCAGTTGGCAAAAGATATGGCGGACTCGGAGTCCTGGGGGCCTGCAAGGGCGAAATGCAAGAGGGTCAGCGCTGTGCATTCAACGCGTCAAAAAATGGGATAGCACAGCGCACCCGGTAGCTCAAATTCGCGTAGCCTGCGTCCGCTCCTCAAGTCGTGCTCGTCTTCATTCACCTCTCGCAGGCGAGAGCAGTATTTCTGATGCTCCTCGTCTGCCTTCCAATGTTCTTCTGTACAATGTGTCGGCCATCCACAGTCCGGACACTCAAACGCCACATTTTTCGGCTCTGCGCGGGGTTCAGGGGCACACACAGGGCAGGGAGCAAGTGACTGGATAGCCTCCCCTCTGGCACGCACAGCTGGGAACGGGGATTGGGAGAAATGGTGGAAAAGATCATCCTGGGAGAGGACGGGCTTTGGCTCGGGTTTGGTCTGTGTTTTCCTCTTGAAAAGGCTGAATATTGACCTGCGGCTCTGCCTATTTCTGCAGGATAGCTGAGCGCGTGCGGCTGCGCGGAGGAGGGGCGCGGACGACTGCCTCGAGAGGCGGAGAGCCGTATGCATTGGCTGACGGTGCTGGTGAGCCGGCTGGCTGTCCCTGTTTATCCACACCGCGTCCGCTTCGATCCGGCTTCCGCGTGCTCGAGCCACAGTTCCAGTGTCTGCCGCCTCGCCTCCTCCACACCCTCCTCCACACACTTCTCTCTACCGCCTCGGTCACACAACCGCTGCGAACGAGGGGCGCATCTCTCAAACAACCATGGCCGACTACAGGGAGGCAAGACCCTCCACTGACGAAGGTCTGTTCACCGACCCTCACGCTACTCACCCCCGACGTCATTGACGATATGCTAACCGATGTGCATGACCCGCAGAGTCGGCCCCTCTTCTCGACGACGCTCACGGACAGCAGCAAGGCCATAACCCCCATCACCCTTCGTTCTCAGAACGCCTTGGGTCCATTGTACACGAGCCTCTTACTCTCCTCAACAAGATCCTGCTCGTCTTACTCCTCGCCCTGCTCATACTGAGTTCTGTCTTCATTGGTCTCTTCGCCGGAGCCCAACACAAACTCCACACGCCGCACAATGAGCCCGGCGGACAGGAGCCTCCCACCACGGTCACGAACACGGTTACCGTGCCGACTACTACCACTGCCGTGACCACCACCACCATCGTTCCCGCACCCGCACCTTCTCTTCCTCCGAAAGAAGTATGTTGAGTTTGCATGTTTTCTATGTGGACCATTTGATGCGACATTGCTTTGATTTTAGCCAGTGTGCATGACCCCCGATTGCGTTGTGCTTTCCGCGGCCATATTGTCTTCCTTGGATACAACTCAAGACCCTTGCGATAATTTCTACGACTATGCCAGTAGGTATCCTCTATTTGTCCTACCGGCATGCACTTATTTTACTATCAGCCGGGGGATGGCGGAAGTCTCATCCCATTCCATCCGACAAGGGCAGCTTCGCCACATTTACCTCTCTTTTCCAGGAAAATCAGCAAATAGTTCGCGACATCCTTGAGAACGAGCAATCCGCGTTTACTGTCGGGTTCACGTCGTCTTATGATGAACAAGTCTTGACCAAACTTCGTGACTTGTATTCTTCATGCTTAGACGAAGATACGCTCGATCAGTTCGGCGAGGGACCTCTGAAGGACTTTGCACGCACTGTGAAGAAACTATTCCGAGGCGAGACGACGGACATCGATGCCAAAGAACCACGTAACGATGTGCAAAATGGCCGTGATGGTCTGACTGCCGCGATCAGCTACTTGCATTCTCGAGGTAAATTCTCAGGCGGCTGACACAGACAATAAATTAATACTTTTTCTACTAGGTATCCCCGGACTATTCGACATCTCCGTTGAAGGGGATGCTGCAGTTGACCCTAACTTCATGGTCCTGTGGTTCAGCCAGCCAAGATTTGGTCTGCCATCAAAGGTTTGGCTCATCTCAATCAACGCCCTCCTCCGTATTGCTGATGCAACCTTCGGTCTATCGAAATAGGAATATTACGATGACGAGTCGGCACGTAAGATCTATCAAGAGGTCGTTGAAAATCTTCTTCTAGTGCTCTATGAGGAAGAAGAAGAATTACGGCGGGAAGCCACACAGAATCTAATCCTGAACGAAGAAAGCGTCAAACTATGGCCCCCTTGGCCCTGGCCACCGTGGGGCGGAGATGATGACAAGCCCGATGGAGACAAGGACCCAAAGGATCACAAAGAGGTAATTCACAAGCTGGCCAAGAGGGTCGTCAAATTCGAACGGCGTCTAGCGAATGCGAGCCTGGACCTGTGTGTTATCTCTAAACCTTCTCATTGGGACGGAATTCACCTATCTCTTCCAGCGACATTCTACTTCAAGACCCGATAGGGACGTATAACAAAGTCCCCATTTCAAACATCACCTCAACGCTGCCGCAAATCAATTTCAACGACTACTTTGCGACCTTCACTCCCCGAAACTATCCGGACGAAATCATCATAACCTACCCGGCTTATACGCGTTCGCTTGCCCACATCCTGAACACGACCTCTTCGGACGTCGTAGAAGCGTACTTGGTCATCCAGGCCGCCCTTGTGCTCGCACCCCGCCTCGGCGCGTCCACGGACCTTTGGAAAGCTGAACGGAGACTGTACGAAGTTCTTCAAGGCATCAAGCCTGGCGCCGTCGGCGATAGGGCTGAGTTCTGCGTGGACAATGTTGATCGGGCGCTCGGATTCGCGACAGGTCGGTACTTCGTGAACGAAACCTTTGGCGGAGATGCAAAGGAGAAGGGTACGAAGGTTATAACAGGTACGCTCCTCCATCTTCTCGTATAATAATGGTAGAGACTGACGTCCTGCAGACATCGTGACGGCTTTCAAAGCGTCGCTGTCTAACATTGCTTGGATGGACAAGGAGTCCGCGGACGCTGCCGCCGCAAAGGTTGGTTACATCATTGCTCCCCTACTACTGTCCGCCTAAGTTCCCGTTTCGTCTAGGCCGACGCCATTCGCGTCAAAGTTGGCTATCCCGAGTCTCCCGACACCCGCAGCGCTGAATCGATTGCGCGGTATTACAGCCTCGTCCGAGTCGACAAGCACACGTTCTTCGACAACATGCTGAGCTCATCGTGAGTAAATTTACCATTGCTAAGGCTCTGATCTTGGATACTAGCTAATTGAGTGATGGCTATGGCAGTGCAAGCGATGTATACAAGGCCTGGCAACAGTTGGGTAAACAGCGCGACCCAGGAGCATGGGAGATGAGCCCACCGACCGTGAACGCATATTATAATCCTCCTGGAAACGAGGTCAGGAACCCAACCGACTGAGCCTTTTCCTGCGTCTGACTCTTTGTAGATCGTATTCCCAGCTGGGATTCTAAGGCCACCGTTCTTCTCCAAAGACTGGTCAGTGCTTTTTGTCTTTGTTATTCAATCTTTGCTTACCGAGATATGTTCCCCAAGGCCTTCGTACCTTAAATACGGTGCCTTTGGTCAAGTGGCCGCTCATGAATTGACTGTATGATCGTTCTCTTGCTAACTATCTAATTCTCAACTAAGCGTCTTCGCAGCACGCCTTCGACTCAGCCGGAAGGTTGTACAACCAAGAGGGCAAGCTCGAAGAATGGTGGACAAATGCCACTAGCGATGGTTTCCAGGTCAAACAAGACTGCATCGTCAATCAGTTCTCTTGTAAGTCGCCTTCGTCTGAGCGCTTCGTTCAGCTTTGTGACTTGATGTTTGTTAGCCTATACCATTGACGATGGAAAGGGCAACTCGGTCCATCTGAATGTAAGCATCTCCCATATTGCACTGTAGGGACCAACTTTTGAATGCGATCCTTTTAGGGCAACCTGTATGTTGGATGATGCATTGTTCTCGAAATCATTCATTCATCATTTGCAGGACCTCTGGAGAGAACATTGGCGATTCGGGTATCATTCAAGCATATCGAGCTTGGCAGGCCCAATTTGAAGAGTCGTACAAGGAAGGGAACGAGTATCTCCTACCCGGATTGAACTTCACAAGGTAAGGAAGGTTGATTGCTTTTTTAGCCTTTATGCTCACTTGAAGTTCGCGGCAAATCAGGGATCAGCTCTTCTTCCTCTCTTTCGGTCGTATTTGGGCTCAGAATATCAAGCCAGCTTCCTTGGTGAGTTTCGTAGTTTCGCAAGAGCCTTTGTATACTGAAAAGGAACCGTAGCTCCAACGTGTGCGCACTGATCCCCACTCGCCAAACAATTACCGAGTAGAAGGGACATTGTACAATGTTCCAGCATTCGCCAAGGCGTTCAATTGTTCATCCAAGGCCAAGGTATACAAGCCTCAGATTATTGTCGATGTATGTCAGCTAATGGACCGTCATAGCTCAACCCACCGCCCGAGAAGCAATGTTTGTTTTGGTAGCTTTGATGCTTTTGGGATAGATGCCTTGAGGTGCCAGTTTCTATACCTGGGAAGATCGTGTTCTTTTAAGTCTCGTTATATTTATGAACAATACAAATTACAAGATAGTCGCAATCCAGAAATCACGGAAACTTCTCATCCACGTCGAAACGTGGCGTGCCCTAAGTTTCGAGGTCTAGACTCCCCGCCGTGTGGCCATCTGCTAGAGTACTCCCTTTGTGCTTGGCACATCGTTTCCTCCCGTCCTCTCGATCGCTTGACGAATGGCCAACGCCAGAGCCTTGAATGCCGATTCAGCGCTGTATGGAGATGCATCATGACCAATATATCAGCACGAGGTAAGAAGCGCACAAGTGTTTTATTTAAAGAGTGTACGCACCGGTGATGATCATTTTCCCCGCGGAGCACATCAACGTGTAGTGTGCAGCCGGAGGCCATGGCAAAAGAGTAGAAGATGTGCGGGAACATTTCTGTGGACAGATCTCCTATTTTTTCGCGCTTGATCCCCAGATCTGTCACGCAGTATGGGCGTGCACAGATGTCGATCACTGCGCGAGACAAGGCCTGGAAAGTTTGATGCATGGAGAAACCGTGGAATCAGAACGCGTGAGGTAGAATACATGTACGAACCTCATCGAGAGGCGCGAATCCTGTCCCATACCGCCGTATCCCCCTCACCTCTCCAAGAGCTTCCTTGAACGCGGTTCCAAGCGCGATTGCGGTGTCCTGTGTAAGCGCTGCCCTGTCAATCTCACCGGTGACACATGCATCAGATGAAAAGAGGGGAACGGCACTTATCAGCTGTGTGGTGGTCATCTATCCAGAGATCCCCTTTAGCTTTCAGGGTGAGCGATATGCCGCTGTGCTTCGCGAGGGCATGGTACATCTGAGTAGAACGTTAGGAAAAATCATGTTCGGAACTTGGGATAACTTCTGGGGAAGATCTAGTGATTGTGGGACGTACATGGTCTAAGAATCCAATTCCAGTAGAAACTTCGATAACCTGCTGCGAAGTCGAGCCAGGCTGACAATCAAGGTTGATAGACACTTCGATCTCTGTCTCGTTCGTTTTGCGAGAAATGGTGGCCTTTCGTTCCGCCATTTTGAAGCGATGCCGTGTTCAGGATGTTGGAGTTTTCGAGCTACTGACTCGATCGCAGCGAAAGTGTGGCCAAAACATTTCTGCCCCGCCAATCAGTCGGATCCGTCAGCAGTCGAAGTATCGATTTACGGTCGGAGAAAATGAACGAGGATAAACATGACAATTATATGACATTCCGCGGGTGGAGACCACTGCTTCAGGATGGTATGTCCAGAATGGGAGTAAAAGTGAACTCGCCGAAAAAGAGCCTACCCAATGCAGCAGTGCTCACTTCTCGATAAAATCGGATATATGCCATAGATAAATAAGTCAGAGGTCTTTCGCAAAAGGCCCTCTGCCCTCCAATTTTACGTCCATGGCCTTCCACAATCCACAGCCCTTCCCATCGTTTTGCTCGTGAGCCGTGCACATCCACCAGTATTTGAACTCCCCGTGATCCCTCGCCTCCGCAGTATCTTTCCCATTACCTTGCCCTCTCTGGTGCTTCTTCATGTCCGGTCTAAGCCCCATTGGAACACCGCATTTGCATTTAGGGATGCTGTCTGGGTGAAAGTCAGGTCGATAGAAGCGGAAAGTAATATTGATCCGGCAGTTGGACGGGTTAGATGTCAGGGGTGGCAATACGGGAGGGGGTGGAAAAGCAGGATGGAAGCGATCCAGGGCAGGCTGTGGAGGAATAGAGTGTTTGAAGCGCTCTTGAGTCGATGCGTGCATAATGATGAGCTGCATGATGCTCGAATGAGGTTTGGCGTGGAGAACAACGCAGGTGAGGACGTACTGAGTTATGAGGTAACGGTATATTGTATGTTCTCGCGGCCCGTTTGTCTATTTCGTCGAGTGGGATTACTTCACGAAGACGAAATACCCTGGGTGTTCCTGAGGTAAGAAGTATGCGTCACAATTCCAATTCACAAGCGCCCCCTAAACGAAGATTTTGACACACCTAGACTCAAGCTTGCAATGGTAGGATACGGACCTAGAGTTGTCAGGCGATCTGAATGTGGTCCTACGCTCTCCTTGGCGCCTTCATAGCAATTCGATGCCGCGAAATTAGCCCTCCATATGATTTGTTCACCGTTGGTATTTGTAGGAAGACCTCCCCATTCGAGAGGAAAGCGTTTTCGTTTGTGCATCTCGGCATTCACAACACGCTCGATAATGGCGCAAGCTCTTTCCATAGGCGAAGGAAATGCTTTGGGCGGGTCCGTTTCTCGTCCATTATACCTGGACATCGGTCGTTCATCTTTTCAATTGTATACTGGAAAATCGGTTGAAGGTCGGAACCCACCAGAAACGTGCTGCTTCAAGACAGGCGCGATCTAGTCCGTCAGTTCCCTCTGCGGTTCTCGCGTAGAAGGAGGTGCGATGAGGACTCTCTACCAATCGTTCGAAAAGCCACCACTGGTTTCTCTTCCAATCCTGCGCTTCGTGTAGCATAGTATAGAATAATTCGCACGCAAGTTCGGGGGGTAGGATGGAAGGGTGAAGTGTACAAGGTGTGTGATCTGCAACCATAGATGCATTACTGAGCATTAATGGGGCAGGTCGAGGTATGGATGATGTAGCACTAGAAGGAGGACGGAGGACGTCCATCAGATTCACAACGGGTTTCACCGACTTGACGGGAGAGGATGAATGAGGATGACGAGAGGGGCCTGCATTCTCACTTATCGAACTTGGGGACTTCAGCTTTGAAGGAAGACTTGCATTTGCGACAGACTTCACCGGCTTGACAGGAGATGACGAACGAGAGCGAAGAGACGGGCTTGTAGTCGAACTGGACGACTTCGGCTTTGATGAAGTTGAGGTGGGGAAAGCCGGTCGCTTCTTGGAGGAGGTGGATGTGGATCGGTCCAACCAGTCATTCAAGTCTGCTGGTCGCTTGCGTTTGTTGACTTTGCGTCCTGCATTCTCACCTGATCTTACCAAGTCGGCAGCGACGTTGACATCACCATTCGCAGCGACAAGGGCATTGAGCAAAATTTCCTGGGAGTGATTGGGTGATTCAAATATACTTGAAAGAATAGCGAGCGATGTTTCAGTGTCTTGAGTGTCCGCCATGATGGTTTTGAGCGCGCCCGAGAACTGCTGGTGACGGTCAGTAAGCAGAGTGATGGTCACGTGGCAAACGCGATCTGTCACACTGACTTCATAGAGATAGGCTGTCACAGACTCAGATAGTCCCACGAAAGTCGACCAGACTAGCTGGCTCAAGTTTTGAGCTACAAGTTTCATCCATTATCTATCTGGCTTGTCTGTGTAAGATTGATCATATGCTATGGAGAAATCCATTCACATTTTAGTTGAACCACCCTTTCCCCGCATTCCAAATCGCCGCTTCGTAGTTGTGGTAAGTGTCGCGTTCATCACTTGAGATAACCTCCTGCTGAGCTTCGACAGGCCTGGTTGATCACTGTAATAACCTTCGTCATATATGGTACTATCAGGACTGGCGCCGACTGGAAATTTTTTGGTTCTCGAGGCTCAGACGTACTGATCTCACACTGCAGGAGCGTTGTGCCCATCTCGGTTTCTGAATTCCATCAGCGCCAGCAGACCCTCGCAGAAACTCTGTATGATCTGAACGCGTCTGCGTACATCGTGGAGCCAAGCGCCAGTAGCTTGTACTATGCCAACATCTCCAGCAGCTCGTGGCACCTCTCCGAAAGGCCGCTCCTTTTCATTATATCCCCGCGACTCTCAGAGGATGGTACCATACGGGCGGAATCATCCATCTTGACTCCTGTCTTTGAGGCCACTCGCGCTAAACAGCTTCCCGTCGCGGCAACCAATGTATCATATCCAGAATGGCCTGAAGACGTCAGCCCATATCAAGTTGCCGTCCGTACGTTGTCAGCGGGCAGCAAGATCTTCGTCGACGGAAGCGTTCGCCATTTCATCGTGGACGGCCTTCAGAGTGCAACGTCTCGAGATCAGGTCCTCATTGCGCCTGTCGAGATTCGTCAGCTACGGGAGCGCAAATCTGCCGCTGAACTCGAGATTATGAAGTGTGCTAACGAGGTGGGTTTCTTAACAACAAGTTCAGTCGTTTTTCTCTACATTTGTCTCAAAACATGATTTCAAGGTCACTCTGCTTGCCATTCGCGCTGTTCGCGACAAATTGAGAGTCGGGATACGAGAGTCAGAGGCGCGTTCGTTGATGGATAACACACTTGCGACTGCAGGACTCAAAGACACTTTTTCGCTTGTTCTGTTCGGTGGTGAGTCGGGAACGGGTGTCTATATTTGCTGGACCTCTCACAGACTGGCTTCAGAGAATGCTGCGCTTCCCCACGGCTCAGGCACAGATCGTGAGCTTGGTGAGGGCGATTTCGCTCTCATCGACTGTGGGGGCTCGCTTCACGGTTATCAAAGTGACGTGACTCGAGTGAGTACTTTCGAGACTGGAGACATCGTATTCTCCACGAGTTATTGTGAACTCGTGCCTGCTGACCAGCATGGTTGACATCAGACGTTCCTCTTGCGAAATTCTGCGCCATCTACAGACAATCTTGCGCTATGGTACATAGTTCGCGCAGCTCAGAGTCGTGCTTTGCGTGCAGCCCATGCCGGCGGCCTTACGGGAGATGTGGATGAAGCAGCACGGGAAGTTATAGATGCGGCAGGGTACGCGAAACACTTCACACATCGCTTGGGGCATGGTGAGTATATCCCCCTTTGAGGCAATGAGCCTTCATTAAAATTTCCTGTGTCTTCGATAGGGATCGGGCTTGAGACTCATGAGTCCCCTTACTTGCGTGGAGCATCAAACGATATCATCCAAGTCGGACACACATTTTCTGACGAGCCGGGCATCTACATCGAAGGCCAGGTGCGCGTCACTTCTGTCTGCAAGCATTGCCAAGGCATTTGTGCTCATCATGTAACAGGTTGGAATCCGTCTGGAAGATTGTTTCTACATCAATGAGAATGGAAAGCCTGTATATCTAACCGAGAGAGTAGGCGGACAGGCAGTGAGTCCATGGGCGCCCTGAGCTGGTTATAGTGCGTGTATGTACTATTTTGGTGTACCCACAAGAGGACACAATGTCCAAAACAGAGTTCTCTGTTCCCTGAGAAGGAGCAGGCGTTTTTCGGTAACGAGGCAGGTCCGAGCAAAGATAAGGTCGAAGCTCTGCATATCGTATAGTTTTCGTGGTTGACCTGACACAGAAGATAGTTGCTCTGCATGTCGTACACGATGACATTCGCAAGCACTGATCGCAGTTTCCGTGTTATAGGTGACTGGCGTCGGGCGTGGGCCTACATGGGCCTGTGCTCATCGTTCTATGCGATATTCTGTTCGCTCCACAAGAACCGACCTCTGTCATATGCATAAGGCCTAGGACACGTCAGTCTTGGGTTTCTGTCAGTCAACATGATTCGCGACCTCTTCGGAGCAAACAATGTGGGGACTTGTTTTATTGGATGCAGAGGGCGCTCGGTCCAGAGGAACCAATCCGAGGCATTGCGCGTGAAAGCTGGGGAACACAAGGCTCACGACATCATGCTTCTCTAGGTCGATGTTTCCAAAAGAAATCGAGGCGAGTGCTACGACGGATGCCGGCAAGCAATGGAATATGGCAGAGAGGCGCAAGAACACATACACAACGAGTCTCACGCGCTCCGAGTGAGGCCGTGTGAGCAAACCGTCGTATGTAAAGTCGGGACTCACATGGAAGCTCAAAGACCGTAATGATAGTTGAAACAAGTCCCGGGTTACTGTCAGAGAGTGTGAATCGAGCAAAACTCTGCAAATACTTACAATCATTCAACGAGCACTCGAGTGACAGTGCCGAAGAGGTCGTAGCGCGGTAAAGACAAGACGTGTCGAAACTCGACAGACATAGCTGAAAAGGCTGATGAGATGCTCGACCACAGATATCTCAGCCCAACTTGTCTTTTACAGTTCAACTCTGTTTGACAGACGCCGTCGTTTCCTTGAGTTAGCCGGGAAAAACTGTCAATTCATTCATGATAGTCGCGAGGAACAGCGCCTCCGCGATTTTGAGTCGTCTGACAGAAGCCTGCACAGTGCAAAGATAGAGTTACAACGTCGCTTGTAATCGACGTCAATCATACGAAGCTTTCCGGCCCCTTTCGATGGACCTCGAAAGTGACGCGCCAAGGATAGAGATGATGGTCATGATGAGTACCCAGAAGTAGCCGCCAAGGATGTTATAATCCAGAGAGAGGGCAAACAACGAACTGTGGACGAGGTGTCACTATATGCTTATATGGTGCTCACTTAAGGAATTCATACAGACCTGACGAAAGCGGGACTGAATGCCCTGGCGAAACACATCGCAAACTGAACGATGCCATTGGTCCTGCCGAGCGAGGACGGACTGGGAGCAGCTTCCTTAACGAGGATCATGCTCACACTAAGTCCCAACGACCCATCGAAGTGTTAGAAAAGTGTGCCAAACCGTCCTCAAGATGAGAAACGCACGAGAATGCCACACACGCGACCCTTGTGATACTCAACAATGCCGCGATACCGCACCATACCATAGCCTGCACTCGGCCATCCGCATCTTCCAGAACCAGGTCCGAACCGCTCTGGTTCGGAAAGCCCGTGCGTGCGATGATGTTAAGGAGTGGGAGAAGGAAGAACGCATACGGCCAGAGCGCCATGCAGCCGTTGTACACGCGGATATGATCGCAGCGGCTCAGCAGAGTAGGCATAATGAAGATTTGGATGAAAACGGAGATCGTCCCGGATGTGGCGAGGCATAAGCCAATTTGTGAAGCCTATTTTCGATATGAAATTGATATGGGGTCAGAAGAGCGATAAACAACGTGAGAGATTTACTCACGGAAAATGCCAGTCCTCCGGAGTTGATAGGGGAATAGCAGAAGAGGACAAAAACGACATCGAAGGCCGTAGATATGAAACTCAGTGCGCAGCCCGACATGCTTAACGCCTGCACGAGCGGGATTTTGACAATTGCTTTGATGCTAGGGGGTTCAGAAAAGGATGAATCTGCGTCCAATGTGACGCTAGAGAAAGATGAGGAAGAGGATTTCGGCTTTTGGTTTTTCTGACGTTTGCTGGGCAACGTCTAGGCAAAACTTCGGTAAGTGAGCAAGGAACGGAACGGCGAAACACACCTCTTCTAGGAAGAAGTACCCAAATAGTACACCGGTGAAGGATATAACAGCTGCGATGAACCCGGGAAGGAAATAAGGATATTCACGGAGGAATGGGTAGTCGAATAAATTAGGGAACCTGACTGCGGGGTGGGAGAACGCGCCTCCGATCAGAGGACTAAGGGTCTTTCTGCTTCAGCAGATGTCCGAGGATAGATAAAAAAAAAGGGGGTTGCGCACCCGGCAATGGCCCCGAGGGGCCATGTAAGACCGTATATGGGGAACGCGATGGCTTGATTTGTGGAGTCTGTTAGTTCCCCTAGGACAGAATGGATCACGGCGACGTTGCCGGAGAAGAGACCCGCTACAAATGCGATGATCTGAGAAGGTAAACCAAAATACGTCAATAAAGGGGCCTACCTAGGCACCGAACCAAGAGAACAGTAGTAAGAGTACGGGAGAGGCCGAACAGAATGCTAGATACAGCCATTCCCGAGATACCCATAAAAATGACAGGACGACGGCCAATGGCGTCTACGGGGAGAGGAGAATCAGGAGATGAAGCGTGGAGAACATTCCAACACATACCAGACAAGCGAGCCCACTGGTAGATAGAGAACAGCTGGAAAATTGCAAACGAACTTTCCACCAGGCCGCTGTAGAACCCTACACGGGAAGGATCATCCGTGAGGTGCAAGTCCGCCATCATTTCATTCACATATGGAAAGATATGAGTGAAAGCGATGGGGTCGACGAGACGAACGATGCATAGGGACGCGAGCTGTGCTTTTGGGAGGGGAGTGACTACCTTTGATTTCTTGGAATCTTGAGAGATGTCCTGAGATTCGAGAGACGGAGCTGAAGAGTTGGATAGAAGTGGGCATGTCTCGTCATTCATAGAAGTGCGTTCACCAGGCTGCGGGGCGGGGTTGGAGGTTGTGTACGATACCGTGGACGTCGTCATGCTCGTAAGGACCTAGGGGAGAGGAAGGAAGGAGGAGAGGGAAGAAGAGAGGGAAGAAGAAAGAAGAAAAATAAGATGGGGAAAGGCATTGCGGGGCGAAATAAGATCATTTATGGGAAAGTTTGCGAGGCCCGAGTGAGGATCGGATGGTATCACGCTTGTTGCTCATAGAAGGGCTTAGAAACGGCATCGAAGATCATGGTTTACGTCGATTGCGAAGCCGGCAAGAGTCAACCCGCCTCACGCGTTTGGAGATCTTGGGTGCGATACCTAGTTGACCAGTCATAGGACGAGAGGGAATTTGGCGATGATTCGAGAATGCGGACCGGCGACCGTTCGGGGATTGTATGTGTCGTGTAGAGGTTCAAGTATCATGCGTGTTGCGGGGGTTGATCTGGACAGGCTCCAGCAAAATCGAGTAAACCATGGTCTGCACGCCGGCGAATTTACGTCGATTGAAAGGGGTGAGCGTCGCATGGCCAGACCGCGTCGGGGGCCAGCAGAGACAGTGGTAAGTCGAGCTTAGGACGTGGCCGGGCACGTGCAGGGAGTCCACCCAAGCAGGACCAAACACGAGCTCTGGCACACGGCAGGCGGTCGGTGGGCTCTGGCACGCTCACGGACGCTCTCAACTCTGTGATCAGCCATGCACTCCACTCACGACAACATCGTCCAGCTCGTCGCTCCTCGCCCCGTCCGCATCTCTCCCTTCTCCCACTTCCATGCCTCTCAGAGCAAGTCCCATTCTCTGCGCCTCGCCTCCGCCCCCGCAGACACCGTCGAACGTGCCAAGTTAGCCGAGGACGACATCGACGACTGCCATCGTGTCTTCGTCGACAAAGAGCCGGCCTCTCCCCGTGCCTCTCCCCGTGCCTCTCCCCGTGCCTCTCCCCGTGCCTCTCCCCGGTAAGCATTTTCCTCGATCCTGTCTCGGGGGCTGAGCGCTCCCCTTCCTTTCTCGGGGGGCAATCTCCCATAAGTAACCCTCGATCGCATCGCTTGACCGCAAGTGCTCTTCTGCCTCGTCAATTAGACATGCCTAACGCTCTCGTTCCCAGCTCTACACTCTCATCTGAAGCTCTTGAGGAGTTCCTGTCTATCCTTCGTCCCACTCTCTTCCGACCACAGTCTCCGACGCTGCTAACTCGCAAGATACCGACTCTCGCCTTCTCACATGAGCGCGCCCACTCTCTGTCTTCCCGTTCTCTTGAGCGCCTCGAAAACGTACCTATCCTGTCATCAGCTTTCCGCAACGAGACCCGCACACCATTTAAGCAGACTAGCCCGCGCCTGCGCACCCCCCGCCAGGAGGACGAGGAAAAAGACAACGTGACCGAGCTAGTGCCAATCAGGCCCGTCGGTTCTGGCCCGCTCGGTGCGCGCCCTTTCTCTGTCTCACCCCGTCATTCTAAAGTTAATCACTTATGATGACATCATTGTATAGCGTCGCCTATTTCCCGCATCCACACTCGCAACCCCTTCCAACGTCACGCTTCTTATGAGACATTCAAATCTACAGGCAACCTCTTCCAAGTCGGCATGACCCCTCCACCTCAAACGCCCGCACCCGCTCCGTCGTCCCCCGCCATGATCCCGCTCCCGCCTCCGACTCCCAGCGAGGCGGACCCTCTGTGCTGAAAACCTGCTGGAAACAAGACGACAGCGGACGATGTCACTCAAACTACCGTGTACTATCCTATCTCTCCGGCTAACACTAGTATACCCCACTCTCTTTTGTGTCGTGCTCTTATCTACGTCCCGTACGTACCTCGCACTCGTTTTTATTGTACCTGCATCTCTATTCCCTCATCTATTCCCTTGTTCGTCATTTATGCCACCATCGTTGGGTAGAAAATCCCCGGGCCATCGCATATAGCGGGGTTCCCCATATTTATCTCGGGCTATCCTGCGGAGGTCCAACTCCGTATCTGACAGTTCAGATTAGTGCGGCAGTGGATCACGCAACGACTATTACTTTATTTTACCATATGATATTGGGATGTTTTTCTTAGTCCTTGACAGTTCCTGGCTTTGTTCGTGTACGGATTGCTCTCGTGAAGAAATGATATATCTATTCTCATCATTCATTGACGTCGCCTCGTTCAAACGAGGAGTAAAATATTGGGACTTCAAGCTTCACGATGGCCGTCTGCCTAGGCACCCTCATCTCTGGCCGCGACAAACCAAAAAAAAACACTAAAGGATCATAGTATAAGTACAAAATCGAGTTTTATATGTAAGCCCACGCCAGCGCTGAGTCCAGTGTCAACGATGAATCTTCTATTGAGGCCACTCATAGCTTGGATGACTGTGGATCTGGCAGGCTGTACAGTGCAGTGAGCTCTGCCTTGTACTTGTTGAAAGCGTCCTTCCTAAGTAGCATCGGTGTTGCGTCAGTCTATGGGTCGACAGCCCTCAAAGAAGACACATACCGGCGAAGCTTCAGCGTGGGCGTCAGCGTGTTGTCCTCGACGGTGAACGGGTCCAAGCTGAGATGGATGCGCTTCACCATTTCGAAGCTAGCAGAGATAGCCCAGGCGTCAGCTTCTCAGAAAACGGGAAATCACATGTCCCTCACCCCTTGAGCGCGTTCTTCCGCGCCTCTTTTGTGAGCTCCTTCAAGACAGCGTCGACGATGCGCTGATCCTGGCACAGCTCCTGCAGAGCTTTGACATCTTCAGGGCCGACGCGCGCGCCGAGTATACGGCCCCCGATGGCGGCGAGCTGGGCGGGATCTGGGACTACGACGGCGAGAAGGTAGGACTGGAGGGAGTCGCCGTGGACGAATATCTGAGTGACGAAAGGCGAAGACGAGTACAAGTTTTCGATCTTCTCCACCGCGACATATTCACCTTGAGCGAGCTTCATGATGTTCTGTCAAGGGGACAATGGAAGAAGGTGGGAAACTGAGAACCACGATATGGAGGGTCGTTTCGTTACCTTCACACGGTCAACGATCTTGACGCGCCCACAACCATCGATCTCGGCGACATCACCGGTATGCAGCCAGCCTTCGTCGTCGATAGTTTCTTTGGTGTTCTTCTCGTCTGCAAGATGCTATATGAGCCCCAGCTCGCTCACCCGAAAAAAGACAGCCCTTACCCTTATAATAACCAACGAAGCAGTTGACACCACGACAGCACAGCTCGCCACGGGGGTATGGCTTGTCCTCCGATGTGTATCCCATGGCAGGGACATCAATAAGCTTGAGCTCGGTCATAGCAGTCGGAGGCCCAACAGTTCCACTGGAGGATGGGTCGTTAGGAAGCGTATGTGTACACACGGCGGCGTTCTCGGTCATGCCGTATCTTCGTCAAGCTCAAGTCAGCATTTTACGATTAGTGGCACAAGCAAGCAGTTCAATACCCTGCGTAAGCTTGTAAGCATGATCGTATCAACGGCCATGATTGTGAGTTCACCTTCAGTAACGGTACCGCCGAACGCAATCTTCAAAAAGTCCATGACTTCGCTGCTTATAGGCGCAGAACCACAGGACACGAGCTTGACATTGCCGCCAAGCACGGCTTGAATCTTATAACAAGGAACGACACTACAGATCAGCTTTGTCTCTGCATAGCAAGTTTACTGCTGACCTTTCGGAAGACGAGTCTATCCCAAAGCGGATGAGTATTGTCACCCGTTGTATGCAGTCTTTCCAGCTTCGCTTGAACAGCCTTGCGGAAGAGGGCACCCTTGAGGCCAGGGACGTTTCCAGCGGCCATCGCAGATTGATAGACGCGGTTGAGCACACGCGGGACAGAGGGGAAGAAATTAGGGCGGAGGATCTGCGCGTCTTCGAGGAGTCGAAGTGGATCGCCGGAGAAAAACCCGATTGTACCGCCAACAGCCAAGATACACAACTCATTAGCCCGCTAACAAAGAGACAATTTAAGCATCCATTTGAGTTGGTTATTTCAGGGATGAAGCTTGCCTCATAAATATGTGCCAGAGGAAGATAAGACATCATGCATCCACGTTCGGGAAGCGTATATCCATACAAGTTCGCCGAGGGGGCGCTCGCCAGTTGTGAGTGGGTCAGAAGAGCACCTGTAGCGTGTGAGAGATCAGAAGATATGATGCATTTCTGAGTCTACCTTTGGGGTTACTCGTCGTCCCCTAAAACATTGGCATTAGAACAAACAGCAGCAGTGTCAAAAGACAGAAACTTACGGAAGTGTAACAGATCGAGGCTATCTGATCTGGCGTAGCTGGTAATGTTTCGAGAAGATGCGCTTTTCCAAATTCCACCACTGGAACGATGATTTGATCAGACAATTCATGGAGCCATTACAGGCAACATACCATCGCTCAACTCTTTGACTTGGACATTGATAGTCTCGCCCCAAGAAGTCAAAATCTGTTTGCTCTCTGGCGCCAAACCATCCATAGATATGATCATCTTGAGGTGAGGAGTCCGAGGCGCAATCTTCAAAAGAGACGCGACGTGATTCGATGTCGCAAAAATGACGGTAAGGTGCGCGTGATTAATACTGGTTGAAGAGATCAGACACCGTTGGAAATAACTGCAATCGCGGAACTCACATGTACTCTAGGTGTAGCCATCAGGGTCAACGTATGTTTCAGCGTGATATACACGAAGGCTTACCGACAGAATCCTTTCCAAGCGTGTCGTATAAGCTAACACCGACTTTACCATATGCATTCAGCGCCCACTCGACGAGCTGCCATTCTAATGCGTAGAACGCGCGTCAGTCAATGTGCTGTACGGAACCGAGACGACGTCGAATCTCACCAGGTCGATTCGGACTCCAGATTCCGACTGTCTCCATCTCTCCCCCGCCCAGGACACCCTTCTGGAACCATGTGTGCAATGCACTCCCAATCTCGCGTCTCTTCACATCGACCTCCCTGTAAGTTAACCAGACATAATGGTCGGCAAATTTCAGCGGATTAGTTGACACCAAGGGGCGGTGTCCGAGACAAGACAGGTCTGCAGAGAGTGCGAGACCGGTCTCGAACACCTCCGGTAGAGTTTTATGCACGTTGTCAGCTTTGATGTCGACAAGGCCGAAAATGGCTGGGAACCATGAATCAATGCCTTGCAGGATAGGCAAAAACAGATGAATATCTACCATTCTGGTAATGACCTGTATGTGCAAGTGAGCGCGCGTCCCTAACACCATGATAGCGAACTAGTCGGCTCACCAGTCTGCCCTGGCCTCTTGGTGCCAGGCACTTCAAAAGACTGCTTCTTGTAGTCGATGTTAGGAGGGAGCGGGACGGTCTTGTCGAGCGAGTTTGCCATTGTCAAGAGTGTGGGGTCGCGGTGTCAGGAAGGCGATGGTAATGGCAAGAGGAGGGATGGGATGGCGACGTACAGCTGCTGCTGAAAGTCAACGACGGTAGAAATAGAGCCGGGGATACGAGGACCGGTCGACGGCCCTGAGCCTCTGGCGCTCCCGTTCGAGACGACATTTATCACGTGCGATTGATCCCCACACTCGAGCGCGGGGCAATCTGTGGGGCAAGGGCCAAGTTGCAGCCAAGTCCGACGAGAACACCCGACCGTTCGCATCCACCTGACGTCTTCGTGCCAGGGGGAAGATCGCACGGGGATGGGCGAGATGAACCTGAGCCTCAAGGCCTAAAGGCTGCTCTCAGACCTTTACTTATCCCCTTCGATCGGTCTTTGCCACTGTAACAGCCGTATTCGACCGAAACTCGGGTAAATTGGATTTACATAGGTATTGTTACTACGACAAGCAACGACATCAAAGACAAGAAACAAGAAAGAAGCCATTCATGGAGTATTGAATCGAGGGCGCGCAGACAAAGTTTGGACAAAGTTTCGTACACAGAGCATTGTACACGTTGTGTTATCAAATAAGAATAACAAGAGACCATCACGGCGCATTGAGAACAATCTGGAAACAATGTTCGGTATATTATCGCGAAGCAGTCAATCTGGTGTCCTCACCTTCATAAAATCCTCGTAGTTTATTGTCACCCAGCCATCACGGTCGGTGTCGACTCTACGAGCATTTCATGAGAACATACACGATCGAGATAGCTTCCGTGACGCACCGTTGGAAAGATTCCGTCAAGCTCTTGACCGCAACACACGCCCTGACAAATCGGTCGAAGGTGATTCCCGGCGGAGGACCATACCCAGTTGAGGGACCGGTCGCTACGCGTATTGGATCTGAGCCGCAAGCTCATCTCCCGGAAAGGGCCATTGAAGCTCACCATATTTCTGTTCAATCAGCGTCAGAATGCTCGGTGCAAGGTTATATCCGAAGCTGCGCAGGGCTTCTGCGAGTTCATATCCGTCTATGGTTCCCGAGCGATCCTTGTCGAAATGCTTGAATACGTTCTGCCAATCGCTGATGTATTTCCACAAGCCGGAGAACTCTGCGGGAGAAGCTCCATCGGCATCTGAGCTGTTGTCATCAGTCTGGCAAAGCGTACCGTTAAATCCGATGGTTCCGCTACGATCGGTGTCCTGCACAGGTCAATCAGAAACATCAGTTAAGCTCAGAGGTTCAAGGCAACTGACGAATATGTTCATGAGCATCTTCACAGTGTCCAAATCGAACCCTGAGAGCTAGGTGGTCAACACATGGGATCCGATGAAATGATGATTGATTAATATGCTCTGGGACTCGGGGCACACTCAAAGGTCTCAAACGATCAAGACAATAAGGACCAGCCAGCTCAATATGTGCCCCCAATTTCGAGATCTATGACGCAAGACGACTCGCACTGACGGGTGTCACTCACTTGACCAGTTCCCTGCAACAAGAGATCACATCAGATCCAAGGCGAATCGGGGTGGGTAGATGAGCGTACCATTCACAAGGGCAGACTGGAGTTCATTGGCACTGATCGCGCCTGAACGATCCGCGTCGACGGCAGAAAACCACTGCCATAGCTGAGGATCAGCTCCAAGAGGTGGCTGCTGATAACCATACCCTCCTCCCGAGTATCCTGGGGGTGCTGGACTGTGGTTGTGGTGATGATGTCCAGAGCTCACAGAGTGGCGATGGCCGCTGTTATAGTTAGGATTGCTGTAGTAGGCCATGGTGAGAATGAGAGAGGCGCACTGGCAAGGCTGAGTCAATTATGTTTGCCGAAACGGAACAAGGAAGCTTTCCGATTGGTTCCGGGTCACTCTTAATTGGTGGCTGTGCTTCGGCAGCCTATCTTTTGCCACAGTCGACCCGTGAGGCCTGCAAGGAGATTCTCATACGTAGCCTCAACAAGCCTCAACAACCAGAGAATCATTGGGAAGCGCCCTCGAATCACAGCATCACAGTATAGCGATGTTATTTTTTAAGCGATGTTGACCGGTGTCATTCTTAGCTGCCAGTAATAAGGCTGCTATGACTCGCTGAAATTCGCACTGGCTCATGACCGGAACCTTATCACCCTCTATCTCTGCATTTAACCATTCTGATCCAGGGAACATACCTTCCGTCGGAATAATCGTGCGGCTAAGCTACAGGTGGCCTTAGTCTACCTCTAGATGACCTTCCTTTCGACGGGTTTTGATCCTAATCTACGCATGAACAACCTCTCTCGGTATGGTTACATATCATGCCCTGTTGTTCAAACCAATGCACCATGTCGAGCGCAATCGATTCAACCTTCGAGGATGCCCATAGCCAAAAAAGGCAAGTAAGAAAGGCGGGGTAGTGCGGGGTCGGCAATCACGAAGCCGGTTGGTTTGCAGCCGCGGTCTCAGACGCTGAAATCAGACTTTCCCGGCGACTCACCTTCGCCACGAACTCTCAGTTCCTCCGGCATCCCTCTTCGCAGACGATTCTCATGGCCAGCGAATTCAAGGCGGTCATTTTCGATGTTCGTACCCAAAGCACACATCTCCGGTACCATTCCGAGATCCTATAATTATCCTGCTGATCGTTCCATTCATTGGCATCTGGTCGCAACCTTTGTGCGAACGATTAGATTGGTGGGGTTGTACTCAGAAGCCCCCTGATCGCTATTGCGGCGTATGAGCGGGAGCATGGAATTCCCAATAACTACATTAACTGCTCGATGTGAGTCACTATCAGCTTCTTGCATCGAAACCTTGTGAGTAGTGTGGAAGACTTGACATTGTCTTGTGGACGGGCTGTGAGTTAGTACCTATCGTGGCTCCGAGGGGGCCTGGCAACGCTTTGAACGTGGAGAAATGTCTTTGTTCCCATTTTACGAGGCATTTGGCCGGGAGTTGTCTGACACCGGAAACGGCAATAAATGGTATAATGAATACTGTAGGCGCAAGGGCATCGGTGAGACGTGCTGTCAATCATGAACAGGCGATTTGAGTTATCATTTCTGACTTGTTCGGCGTGGAACAGAATGCCCAGAGCTTCCCCGAGGCTTGAACATCGACGGGCGCGATGTAGGTGCTCAGTGCCTGCTGTCCGTTTAGGTGGCGGCCATTTGACTTGTTCTATCTCAACAGCTCTTTGGTCGCATGATGCGAGAGAGCGCAACGTTCGACGGATGCGTAGTGGAAGCCATCCACAGGATCAGAGGTTCGGAAGCCTTCTTTCTCCTATCGTTTGGGCGCCGAATCATGTTTAGATTGACATCCGTCCGTTCATCATTTACACCCGTCTTCGATTCAACGTCTCAGCGGCAAAGCGATGGCGACTTATCGCACTCACTAACAACTTTTCCAAGACCGACGCCTCACTCATCGGGCACGACGTCACCGTGTTCGAGAAGACTCCGGGCGGCACCTTGGAATCCGAGCTCAAGTTCTTGGGATGGGAAAATGGCGCAGTCCCTTCGGGGCTACGAGAGCTGTTCGATGACTTTATTGACTCCAGTCAAGTCGGAATGAGGTGCGCGCACGTGAAACGCGAGTAATGCCGGTGCTTGACGTGACATTGCGGGCCTTGCAGAAAACCGGAACCTGAGTTCTATCTCTTCGCATGCCGTCGAAACAATATCCGTCCAAATGATGCCATTTTCCTTGACGACCTTGGGCAGTGAGTCTCCGTTTAAGCCTCGAGGATCTCGGAAAGCAACGATAGATTAACCATTGCGGTAACAGCAATCTGAGGGCCGCGAAGCAACTCGGGATGGAAACGATCCGTGAGTTCATTACACGTTGACCAGACGAAATTAGCGTACGAGGTTGCATTCCTGATCTAGACGTACCAATCGGAGGATCGCTGGGAGCAGTAAAAAGGCTCGAAGAGAAGTTGGGTATCGATCTCACAAGTGGGGTTGAACCCAGCCAACGGACACCTTCCAGGCTGTGACTGCGCGTCAGAACCTCAACTAACAACACGAGCTATCGGAATGCTGAAAGAGGAAGGGAACCTGTGTATTGAAGGATATCTAATTACTCAATCCGTTCTATGTGTCCAGCTACTCTAAACAATGGAAACGGACGTCAGAACGGCTTATCCGACGCAGGGGTCTTATCTACGTAGTGGTCGCCAATCTGCGGACGACAAGGCAGTGCACGTTGGAATGTCAGGATTTAAAACTCCAAGTCGTGGAATGACTCACGACAGGCAACTTAATCAACAGCGCGTTCTTGACTTTCGGGGTTACAGAAAGTAGCTAATATTTCCAAAGTCTGTCAGCCGAACATTCCTTCGCTCACTGCTATCCGGGACGCACCAGGAGGGCGGCAGTGCCAGCACCAACACCCCAAAAGCCGAGGCTACCAGCCCACCGTTTGGCGGACTAAGAGCGCAAGTCAGTGTGAGGCAATTGAGTTGAAACAACGGAACCGAAAGCCTACGCTCAAGGTGAACGTTCCAAGGCGCTGCGTGGCAGGCGTAGGGTGGAAGGCAAGGCGGGCCATTGAATGCGAAGATGAAGCAGGTGCAAGATGACGGCGCTCAGACGTGGACGAACACGGAAGGGGTTGCGGACTTTGAAAAGATTTCCTTCGATTCGGCCGGGCCTGGGACGCACGCACCGTTCGGTGCTTTACGCCCTACGCGACTCGACCTCGAACCTGCGCTCGAAAGCTGTCAATTCATCGTCTGTGCTCGGCACCTGCATTCTACGTGCACTCTTTCATCGACTGGAATTCCGCTAGCTCCTGTCTCCGGCTATCTGCGTTGCTACAGGATGGCCAACCCCCGACAGCGTCGTAAAACCCGCTCCTCTTCATACAAGCCTGTCCACCACTCCCGGCAAGCGAAAAAGCTCCTGAAAAAACAGCCAGGTACCTTTTGTCTTCCCAGAAATCCTGTACACTGCTCGCGATAAATCCGTTGACACTCTTTCCCAGTGATCCGCGGCCCAAAAGCTCTCCAAGAGGCCTGGGACAGACGTAAAACTGTCCGGCAAAAGTAGGTCGAGCTATTTTGAAAACTTATGGACGTCTGTTGAAGCAGCTCGGCTTGTTCTCGTCTATGCATGATTAGTTATGCGGCCTTGGGTCTCGCAACTTCTCTGAACCCTAGGGTCGCTGGTGGTGTCGAACGTGTCACGGCAGACAGAGAAGACAATGGCGATACTCTCGAGGTCGACATGACAAGCTCGGAACCCTCTTCGTCAACCCACAAGGCCGACGCGAACAGTGGTAGCCTACCCAAGGGACATGGCCGGATTGTCCGAGATGAGCAAGGGAATGTCGTGGAGGTAGAGATGGAAGACGAGGTCGATGACGAGGCGCCGGAAGAGGAGCCTCTGATCGAGGAGAGAGCCTCAGGCGTCACTCCCGAAACAAAAGATTGGGTGACGATGCCTGCACGGAAACAAGCGACGGAGGTTGTTCAAGGTAAGCACAGTATGAGCGTCTCTCGCGGTCGCTCGTTCGGGTGTGCTCATCGCTTTGCTGTCACGCTGTCTCCAATCGCGGTCGATCTACGTGTCCTTGCACTCAATCAAGCTCTCGAAAAAGCGTCGTCGTTGGCCAAGCCGGTACGGCGATTCTCGTCGACGGGCGAGGGGCAATACCTACGACGACTTGTTGAAAAATACGGCGAGGACGTGGAGAAAATGGCACGAGACAGGAAGCTGAACGTCGAGCAGCGGACTGTCGGACAGCTGAGCCGCGCGATTCGCAAGGCGGGCGGGATCGGCAAGCTGCAGAAGACACCGCGATAGCGCAAGACGGGGTTGTCGCGCGGTGGAGGGACATCGACCAGCCCGTGGTCGGATAGTCTAAATTTGATGACCGTCGGTGTGGCGAGGGGCGATTCCAGGCTCGAGTGTACATAACTGACGTTACTTGCTTAGCAGTGACGGACGACGAAGTAAGAGAGCGGAGTCATCTGATTCGTCGAGGGACCAGATCGGTACCTCGGGTAGGGAATGTGGAGGGAAAGGGCGAATTGAGTTCCGAGGAAGGAGGGATTAGGGTGTCGAGCCAGAAGACGGAGGACGAGCACAGGCTATGCTGCCAGAAGTCGAGAGGTCCTTGGAAGGTGTCGTGTAACATGCGGATTCTTTGTGTGTGCGGGGGCACCCACGCGATCGAGGCGTCGAGTGGCACCAGGACTCCGAAAGGGGAATAAGTGCGACAATTTCGCAGGAATTTGAATCGGGGAGGGGGGGAAGCGCTGAGCAGCCGGAGGGACCGGAGCGGGGGCGGGGTCTGGGTCTGGGTCTGGGTCTGGGGAGTGGGCTGATGGCGGAGGACCGGGGGCGTGTGGCGGAAGCAAGGGGAGAGGGAGAGGAGGGGGAGGGGGCGCGGGGAACGTGGGCTCTAGGAGTATAGGGCCTGAGTGCGAGGGCCCAGGATCTGGGGGCGTAAGATCCCGTTGTCGGATCTGGAAACGGAAGCAGAGGTCGAGGAAGAGAAGGAGGGGTTACGCGTTACGGGCTGGGGTTACTGATGCTGTTACATGGAATATATTCTCTCGTAAAAGCGTCATATCAGCCAGGCATGTTCTTTCATCTGACATGCTGCATTGCTCTCCACCCTCTATTTATCCATCCCCCTCCCTCCTCAGAACACGTCCCTCATCCCCTCACACATGCCTCCCAGGTCCTCCTCCCCGTCCTCCAGACGCTCCTCCGCGACGTCCCCTTACCCCGCATCCGCAGCCCGCGCCCCCTCCGGTCAGCCAAAGTCGTCCAGGCAGCAGTTCTCTGCCTGCGGTGCGTGTCGCATGCGAAGGTGTGCACCCTCACCACGCCCTCCTCCGTCCTCGTGCCCATCGCCCTCTCCCAGGGTTCGCTGCGATCTCAAGGACCTCCCCCTCACCACCACCGGCCAACAGACCCACTGCTCGAACTGCAAGGAGCGCGGCCTCAAGTGCGTGTAAGTACTCCACCCCCATCGCCTTATCGCTGTCCTCACTCCCTATCACCGTCCGACAGGGATGAGTTCGCAGAAGTCAAAGCTGTCAAGCTCCTCCGGCGCGGCCGCCGGCTGCAGCAGGTCGAGTGAGTCGCGTGCTTCACTTGCCAAGTCTTCCATCGACCGACCTCAGCAACTCCCCATCTTATGTAGGGCCGTCTACGGCAAGACACTCGACGAGGATAGCGACCTTTACCAACCCCCCACCCTCACTCCCAACCTCATCCCACGACTCAGGCCGGAGTTCTTTTCTTCTCCCTTCTACAGCAGGTTCCACGTACAATGTGTGTGTTTTTATTTGATTTCCCGCGTCCCCCCCGTCTCATCAATAACTCATTTTGTATATCCCACAGACCCAATTATCGACCCCTCCGAGTTTTGCTCTCGGTTCTTCGAGTTTGCAAAAGGGAATTGCAATGCATTGGACATCTCCGGCCAGCTCATCGCAATGATACTCGCCGTCTGGGCCACCAGCTTTGGCGTCAACGAGTACGGCATCGAGGAGGTCGATAACAGTCCGCACGCCATCCACAACCGTCAAGAGCGCACGAATGAGATGGTGAGAGAAGTATTGCAGCTCATCGATATGCACGGCGTGGTTCGCAAGCCCACCTGGGACGGTGTACGCGCCCTGCTATTGTTGTCGCCTTTGACACAAGGTTTGCAGATCCGTTCCATGTATGACGCATCACGCTTATCAGATCTTCCAGAGGTTCAGACCCCTATGGAGAGACTTGTAAGCTATCGCGCGCGAGGTCGTCTGCGCAGTCCGCTCATCTGCTAGGCACAGGTCATGCATGAGGCTACGATCAGCCAAGTCTTCACCCTTTGCAGCATGGCTTCCGTGTCATCAGTGGGCACCGGCCAGGGGAAGGGGGTTGACTTGTTGGTCAGATCCCGTATCTTCTGGCACGCACACGTTGTGGAGGGCATCACGAGTGGGCTCCGCGGAGGAAAACTCCTTCTGTAAGTAGTCGTCCATTTTTGGAAAATATGGTTCGCTGATAACTTCGCAGCTCCGACGAGGATCTCAACGCCTTTCAGAAAACAGTCCCTCCGCTCGGTACCACCGCCGTCACAAGGTCCGAGGCTTACGAATTCACGTACCGTTACGCGCAGGTTCCCCTCCAGCTTGCGTCCGCGTGCCGCAAGGTTCACGCGGCCCTCACAGGCCCCAGTGCTCGACAGAATGACGAGATCGACGAAAATCTGCTCCACGAAGCTTGGGGAATTCTGGATCAGTCATGGAAGGCTTTTGAAGGTTTAAAGGAGCTGGGAACCTTGGGCATCATTCGAGCGGAGGAAGTGGAGCGCTACATCTATGGCTGGCAGGTAGGCCGTGATCCCTACTCCTTTCGAGCTTCGTACCTAACAGCGTCACTTCATTCAGATCTTCATCTTCGAGTGTTGTAAGTCTCCCCATCTTGAGTTCATCAAACGGACTCACAGGTGTATGTTTCACAGTCAACGTCATTCGCGAGGCACTCAAGCAGCGTGTCGTCGTTCACTCTAGTCGAAGAAAGACTCCCGAGTGTTCGCCAATCGTAAGGAGCCCAGCCACCACGGATGCAGCGACTCGTTTGCTCAAGGTTGCGACTACCCGATGTTACACCACAGTGAAACGCGTCGTCTCCATCATCCGTCGGTTTTTGGGAACAGCTTTTTTCGAATACGACGCGTCCCTTGTGCGAGATGGAGTCTTCTTCGCAGGATTCATGGTTGCGGGCGAATCCGGGACGGAAGACGACGTGCACGTTTGTCTTCAAGCCTTGCATCAAATGCGATGGGCGTTCTCCAAAAACGAAGAGAGGGCAAGGACCGTACGATTGGCATGGGAGGCAAGGAAGGCGTCTAGTGGACGAAAGGCACAGCTATCCCCGTCCATAAGCTCCAGCGATTACGACGCGTATGCCAACGCGCTGCCGTCACAGGACCCTCGTCAACTTCCGCCCTCTTCGTCCTTGTCGACCTCTTCTTCCCGCTCTTCTCTCCGTGGCGAATTTTCTGCGCTCAACACAGGTGGTGCGGAGGATGGCAGCTGGACATCACCCTCGTCGTCTTCGGTTTCGTCTGGCGCGCGTTCACGTCAAGGATCGCTTCAAGAAGACTTCATGGGCCCGGGGTCGCACAGAGGCTCCCCGGTCTCCAACCATGCGCCCACTACCCCACCCTTCATGTCAGGCCCCACACCAACTCAGCTGCAATCTAGGACGTTCAATCCCGTTTCATCCACTGAGGGCTCAGATAATGTCGCAGTTCACTCCTTGGTTCCCCACCGCATTTCGCCCACGTTGCAATACTTTCCAGAGCTCGAACACTTTTCCTTCAGCCCTTCATCGGCGCCGGTTGGTCATACGCCGGTGGGAAGTACTTCCCACCAATCGCAGGCAGCTCCCTTCGCGTTTGACAACGTTCCTTCGTTGTCGCCCTTGAGCATGCGCAGCCATGATTCCCAACCAAGTCAGAACTCGATGGGGACCCCGTTTTCGGGGCTTTACGACCCTCGCTCGAGCATGCTCTTTGCGGGATCGTCGCACGCTGCCCCTCTGTCGACCGGTGACCAACAATTCGGAGGCTCGAGTTCTTATTACCATTGATGGTTCCTCTGTGTCTCAGCTCCGTTCTGGTGCCGTTTGTATGTTAGCAAAAACGTGCTTCTTGTGCACAAAGGTAGATCAAATGTTTTTTATTCGGTGTTTTTTTTTTATCCTTCACTCGGTCCGTGCGATACCTTGTTCATCTTCGACTTTCTTTGTTCTTTTGTTCTCTTTTTGGTCTACACCTTGTTTCGTTCCCGTGTAACGTTTCACTCTTGGACATTGAGACCATTGTCTGCCAGCTGTGGCTGCGCTGCTACCGAGCAAGCACGGTTGTATAATGTTTCCACCATCGCTTTTTACACTACCCGCTGTATTTCTTCTTTCTTCACTTGTCGACGTCTCTTTGACCTTTCGGCTCCATCACTCGCAATAACCACATAGATAATGCGACCGGGCCTTCCGTAAAACATGATCCGGGGAGGGGCGCTGATCCCCGACCGCGGTTGTCAACGTGCGCGACGATATATTGAGGGTGCAGGAGATCGTGGGTCCCCGAAGGTGCCTCCTTTTGGCACTTGGCCGATCCTGGAGCCTTGAGGCCTTGGGGCCAGAGGGCGCCTGGCCAAGCGACGCAGCTGCAGGAAAGACGCTCGGGGAATATGAAATGGCTCGAGTAGCGACAAGCCAGGACAAGACGATGTGCGGGCCAAATCGGGCGTTTCGAGCTGTTGCCGTGCTACAGTGGTCAATGAATCGGGACACCCTGGGAGATGTGATGGGGAAGGGTTTAGCCATCGGGGAGCGGGGCGTAGCGGTGCCGGGACAAAGTTTGTATTGGTTGGTGTGTTGTGCGAACCACAGACGGACACTTGGAAAGTCGCCATGCGCCGATGACGGCAGAGAGGCCCATTAAGGTCACTGTTCGAGTCGGTATCCCCAATGGGATTGTCAAGTCGCCGACTCGCCCCAAGGAGGAGAGCCCAGACTGTGCTAGTTGCGCCTTCTTCAACTAGGGACCGATATATTGGGCCAAGGAACCTTCTCTCTCGTATGTTGGCCGGTGACGACTGGATGTCCCACTGCGTTGGTGTCTCGATGATCATTCACCGCGGGCTCAAGCCACAAGCGATATGCAGAGAGGATGGGGATGCAGCACGGACCGTCGATGCATGATCGAGTCCATTAAAGATAGAGATTCGAGGTGGAGTCATTTGTAATAGTCAAGATGCAGTCACAAACTGGCGTTGCGTCTCGTTGGGTCAACAAAGTCGGGGCGTCGCTGAAAACGGAGATCACTTTCACACGACCCCCGTGTCGACAAAAACCCAGTTTTGCGACGGCATTTTGATTCAGATTACCGTATTTATTGAGGTTAGGCGGTGCCGCGGCAGCAAGTCGAGTCGAAAAGGCGACCGCGAAGTCGGCGGCGGCCCCTTGATGAGTGGCATTCGGATCGACGGTCCCCTGGACGAGGCGATGTCTACACCGAGACTCGAGAGAGACCTGGCCGCAATCTCACTTCTATATACGGCACTTGGATCTTGCGCTATTGTTGGTGGCGGCGGACAGTACGATAACAAATATGAGCACTGTTGACAGCGTCGGATGGCGAGATCTCGTAGGGTTGCGGCCATGCGGAAGCAAAATGAGTGTTTGTCATCGGGAAATCGCGGATGCGGCACATGAGAGATCTTGATCTGTTGTGCCCCCGAGTGGTTGGCGTCGTGGTCATTGTGTGGCGCAGCGCAGCGTCAAAGGCTGTGCGCCCCAGCTCACTCATCCGTCGAGAACCGTGACCATCTGCGTACCTTCATGGACTTTTTCTGTACGTTCTCCATCGAAAGCGATTCCCAGTGCGACTCAGACTGACGTGATCGCTCCACATAGTCTGCCTTCCCATCTTCTGTAAGTATGGTCCTCTGAGGCTTCTGTAATACCACTGCAACGCAACGGGACTGCTGATCACCGCTCATCAACGCGCATTCGCTCTAGTCGGCTGTCCCACCAAGATCAAGCCCGAGGGCGATCAGACGCCTCGGATTTGTCCTCGTTGCCATAATGGTACGCTGTGTTTAAGGCCCGGTTCGCCTTCTCGCGGTCTGACCAGGCTTTCCCATTCGCCAATCATCGTCCTCAGCCTCCGTTCTTTCGGCGAAGTCTCGCACATGGTTCGAGGTGTGCTTCGTCCCGCTCATCCCTATGCGTGCCTCGCATGTTTGGATCTGCGGCATCTGTCAATGGACCGTTCCTCTGCAACAGGGGTGCGTGCGCTTCACCCCACCACGTTTTTACCGCACCGTCGTTCATGTATCTGCATATTTTGATCTTCTAGCTGGGAACCGCAGGTCGCAGCCGTCAACTATCAGCACCCGTCCGCCGGCCCAAGCCACGGGATCCCAGGGCCGTCAAGCCCTTGGGCACAGGCCCAGGGCCCCTTCCAACCAGGCTATCAGCCTGCCTACTTCCCTAACCAGCAGAAGTAGGCTGCTTGACACCGTTTTCGACGTCTTTCAACTGTACCGTCTCCATCTATGATTCTACGAATTACGGACATGTGTGTATCATAGTCATGGTGTCGTTTCTTTCCCTTCTCTCCTTCTGTACGATTTGTATATCTGGAATAACAGTGTTCCAGATCCGCCAACCAGAAATGCGCCGGTGGCAATAATACCACAAATAGCCCCAGAGCTCAGTTTTGGATGCTTCTCGTGGTGAGCGTCAATCGAATGGCCTTCGATGGGGGCCTCGGAGTCACTCCCTCGTTCCCGCTGAAAGCGCTGGAGAGCGGACGTGGGTTCCGTCATAGTGAGTAGACCGATAAGAGGCGGACGCTGGGCCGTTGAGCCGTGATGAACAACGTAAACATTCTAGGCGGTTGTGCGCATGAGTGAGCAGAGTTCAGAGACAAGAATACGCTGTCACGCACTCGCAGGAAGGCATCTCCAAGAATCCAGTCTCCGGAATTGATCTAAAGTTCGCGATGAGCTCATAGGTACTCCTCAAAAGGTAAGGAACACACTTTATTGCTGGGTTGGATACCCGCAATACACCAACCCTCTGGGTCTACCCCTTGCAAGTTGATGTCCGCAGGGTCGACAGGGTACTCCTTCATGCTTTCATGGTCTCCAAGGACGAAGCCGATGGTTACAGCTCTATTGCATCTCACCTGCCACTGGCCAGCATCCGTTTTCCTTGTGGCGCCAACAGCGTTCCACAAAGCATCCACGTCACTGGATGGGCCCAGAATGAACGATGTGCCAGTGTCAAGAACAGCAATGGGGGTGGTCGAATCATGCACTCGAGAAGGCGCCAGAGAAGTGAAAAGGGTAGTCGAGTTGAGCGTTATAGACCGCAGGGGCAGTTTCCAATAGTCAGGCACCGAATTTCGACCGGGATAAACAGCCGTATATGTGAAATCCTCGGTCGAGTTCCCAATTGCCGGATCGAGCTGTCCGAGGGTGAACGACGAATCGTCCAGCTCTCTTCCCAGTTTGAAGGCAAAAAATCGGTGAGAATCGTCAAAGTATGAGAACAGGTTTTCCAATAGAGTCTTCCCAGTATTCGACGCGATGGATGCAGCAAGCGGGAACGACAGGCCTAGAATGCCGCTGTATTCTGAGCTAGACAGATCGAGGTTATGGGTCTGATTTGCTAGTGCTGGATGTGGGTGGCCAGTCAGTGAAAATATCGTCATGGAGTATGCGCACTATGACCCACCGAACACTTGAGAGGTGACTTGATAAGAGCCAAATGTCACACTCTCAAACCCTATGGTTCCAGAGACTGAGCCGACCAGGTAATTGAGCTCAAACTCGGCCGAGGATGTCTGAAAGGACGATGTTTTGCTGTACTTGGACAATCCAGTGCAGTCAGGCTCAGTGCAGTCCTCGGACAAAACCCACTTAAATCGAGTGCAATCGGGTCAGCGATTGCTCAATTCGTAGTGTATCAAGGAAGTGCGACTGACTAGATCAGATGAGCCGGTATCGAGGATGACCTGCAAGTCTTGCCCGCCGATGCTAGTAGACAGTATTAACAGTGATATATAAAAAGCAATAAAAGTGGCAAGGTAACCTGATGCGCGCCACATAAGTGCTGCAGCATAGTTTTGGTAGTCAGTTGGGTGTATTCATTTATCATAGAGGTCAAATCACTATTGGTGCATATTGAGGAGAGGCACACCGCCTGCAGGCTGTAGAAAGGACTCATTGGCCAAGATTGTCTGATTTTGGATAACGCGTTGCAGTGTAATTGAGCGGCCCGAGTGCCTGGGAATCTTGGAGGGAGATGGAACGGCATTGATCGCTGGTATGAGAAAGTAACAGCGAAGGAAGATAAAAAGGAAACTTAAGAGCCCGCACTGCTGGGGCATCTTGTCTCATGTAACGAGGGACGGCGATGTAGGCACTATCGTATATCAGAAGGCGTACATGTGTCTCGTTTCAGGCCAATGGACTTCTGCATAAGCCTCGATAGCTGCTAGAAAATGCGGGTCACACGTTCCAAGATTGTGATCCAGACTGGACGCCGGACGGTTGAGCTCCTGCTATATTTACCACTTGAAGTTTACGTCGAGAATAGAAAAAAAATGCGGAATCGCCCGCTACACTTCCGATCATGTCACATAACGTCTTTTATGCCAGTATCAGTGCACCGAGAAGTGGTAGTACAGTGCAGGAGGCCAAAGAAGACGGAGACTGACGGTGTGCAGCAACTCCGGAGTCATGCCTCGTGGCCGTGACACTACTAAGGCGCGCGTCACATCACTGCCTCGCCACTACGTTAGCTCAACTGTTGTTCTCTAACCACCCTCGACCTCGACAACATGCATACCAGCGAGTACGATTTCCTCTTCAAGCTCCTCCTCATTGGCGACTCTGGGGTTGGCAAGGTACGTCACTCGCTTAGAATTGCAGACTGTATGCTCACCGTACAGTAGTCTTGCCTCCTTTTGCGATTCGCTGACGACACCTACACGGAGAGCTACATCAGTACTATCGGCGTTGACTTCAAGATTCGGACCATCGAGCTCGAGGGAAAGACGGTGAAGCTCCAAATTGTGAGTGCCTTCCGTCTCAACGAGTCATGGCGCGTGGCACTGCGCAAGCCGCGAGGTTTCCGGAATATCCACAATTCCACGTTCATTCGGGAACAATCAGTGTCCATGGCTCTAGAGCCCTATGTCATTGGCATCAAATCGGTCGTTTCTGTGTTGGCCTCGGATGTACTAACATAATCTTCGTAATTCAGTGGGACACAGCAGGTGGGTATCGGTCTTGATTGCACCTCTCACATGCCCTCATCTCCTATTTTTGTTATCCTCAGGCCAAGAACGTTTCCGCACCATCACTTCATCTTATTATCGTGGTGCACACGGCATCATTGTTGTTTACGACGTTACTGATAACGGCAAGTTACTACGCCTCTCCCTGCCTCGCTGTCCTGACAACGTCTTTTCAGACACATTCACGAACGTAAAGCAATGGCTTCAGGAGATCGACCGTTACGCATCAGAGGGTGTCAATAAGCTGCTTGTTGGCAACAAGTCCGACCTGACAAGCAAGAAAGTCGTAGAGTACAGCGTTGCGAAAGTAAGTACAGACTCCACATTGGTGACTATTTTCTCATCACGTTGTTCCCTGAAGGAATTTGCGGACCAATTGACCATTCCATTCCTGGAGACGTCGGCGAAGAACGCTACCAATGTCGAGCAGGCTTTCTTGACAATGGCCAAGCAAATTAAGGACCGGTACGTACCAAGCTTGATTGGGCAGACGGTCACTGAGACATGATGTCTAGCATGGGTTCTACGTCAACACCCTCAGGGGCTGGCAAGTCCTCGACCATCACGCCTGGCCAGACCGTGCAGCAACAGCAGTCCGGTGGCTGCTGCTGATTGTTTCGGGGCCGTTTCCCCTTACCTTACCTGCATTTCCATTATCTGCTGGACCTTTCACGTATAACCCAAGTCTTCGCGTTTTTTTGTCCGCACCTCGAGTAGTCAGTTGCTGGCGTTGTTCTAGTCGTTCTTTCACTTTTCCGCAGGATGTTGCCCACAGTATACTCCTATGTCAATATATCGGTTCCTTCAGATTGGTTATTGGATGAATATTCGCACGTGCTCATGGAATTCGAATCGACTGCGCGTGCGCATCGTAGACCAGCTCTCTCCTTCCTGCCACGCTACAGTTCATCTGGCTTGTACAATCGGTAATGCAACAAGAACCACATCATTCGATGGAAAATCGTAGGGGCGGGCGTGTACTAAGTCGCGGTGGAGGGCGTGCAGAACGCGGGTCGGCCCGCGTTCTCGGTCCTGCGCAAGAGTTTCAAAAACAACGTGAACAATCCCGACATTTTCCTCCCTCCAAGGATCGTATCGTCCCAATCACTGGCCCAATTACCGTTCGTACAAATGCCTTCGAGATAGTTCAATACCCAACGCGGACATTCATTCAGTATGATAGTAAGTCAGCGGTCACACGGCGCGATTCGCATCTGCTCATCGACATGGCTTGAACAGTAAGTGAGTGTCGCTCATCCAGAGAGCGCCCACACGCTCCCTCGACTAACTGTTTGCAGCAATCACACCAGAAGTGAATAATGTCCGGAGAGCGAGGGAAATCGTGGATAAGATGCAGATAGCATACGCGAGTGTGTTTCAACCCCGCGCGGCATTCGATGGGAAGAAAAACTTGTATTCTTCCAAAGAAATTGCTCCCGGCGGATCTATCTCGGTAGGTTCCCCGACTTGTTGCCTGATGGCTCCTCCAATCCGTTTCAGTTTGAGGTCCAAATGTCGCCTCAAAACACGTCCCGACATGTATACAATATCAAGATCGTCCGGACGTCTATGGTGTTTGACCCCAAGTTGAGCGCCTCTCTTTCTGGGCATGACTTGGCTTTGACTGGATACTATAGAACGTTCCGTAATCTGACCACCTCACAACGAGGAGGCATGCCTGCAGATTTTGCTTCGGCTCTTAACCTGGTTCAGATGCTAATAATGCAGGCGCCGATGCTGTATGTACTCAGTTAGATATATAAATGGGATAGCAAAGTCATGGATGTGCTTTGCTACCAGACATTCGAAGACATACAATGCCAGGGCTGTGTTTTCTTCTATTGGGGCCAGGCCTCTCGGGGGCGGACTGGAGATTTGGCCCGGATTTTTCCAGTTGCGTGCGTTCTCTCGAGATCACGGAAAGATTCTCATCGTTCGTCTGTAGGAGTGTAAGACCTGCGGTTGGGAGGCTCATAATCAATATCGACACTACAAGTACAATAACGTATGGTTCACAATGATTCTATATCCTTTTGTCGCTGAGCTTCGTATTCAGTTATGCCCCGGGGCCCCTCATTTCATTTGTTCTAGATTTTCTCAAAATGACCGTTCAAGACCTCGCTAATTTAGATCCTTTGAGTTCTCGATGGAAGCTTCTGCGAGCGACGTTGCACAAAGTGAGGATCACTGTTGACGTGCCTGTCGGGCGACGATCCCGTCCAATCAAAGACCTCGTTCCGCGAGGCGGACTCTATACATTCAAAAAGGGCGACAGGACTCTGACAGTCAAGGTGGGTCTTCCGGGATCGCGCTCCGGCTCCGGTCAAATGCGATTGACGTCCATGTGTAAGGATCACTATCTGGAGGAGCATAATAAAACCCTTAGCTATCCACGAATCTTTGGTGTCCGCATGCCAGGCAAACATGACGTCGTACTGCCTGCGGAGATTTGCAGCATTGAACTTGGTCAGATGTTCAAGAGGAAAGCCCCTAGCGACATCATGCCCAAGGTTCTCGATTTTGCTAGCAAGCGGCCTCTCGACCGCCTCCGTGCAATCGAAGACGCGGCATCGGGCTCGGTAATCTTCATACCATCGTCGAGTCGCAATTAATTCAACCTTTGTCTGTGCAACAGGTGTTGAACTATGCGCAGTCAGATTTCGTTGGTCTCGCGGGGATGAAGATCTCGACTACTCCTTTGAAGGTTGCTGGTCTCATCATGACACCCCCGATGATTGGATTCGGGAATGACGTCGACATCGAACAGACCGTGCGTTCGTGCCCTATCCTGAACATCACGTGCTTCTAACATCTATAATCGCATTCAAAGCTGGGCTCCTGGAACGCAGTCAGACGAAAATTCTATAAACCAGGACGTGCCACGGGCTTGGCTGTCGTCGACTTCTCCCTTGGTCCCTACGATGTCTTGAAAAGATTCGTGGATGATCTCGTCAACTGTTGTAATAGATTGGGTAAGAGTGTGTTAGATTATGATTGCTTGCGCAGTCTCATGTTGCCATTCATCTAGGTCTCAGTCAGTTTCACTTTGTGTGCATTCCAACTCCCTCCTCTAACATTTAACAGATACGCAAAGTGCGTCACCAGACCCAACACAGCTCGCTCTTGTCCAAGGCCCCATTGCAGGGAATATACATCAAGTAGCTAAGCAACTGCGCAGCGTCATTCACCTAAAACTGAATCGATTATCAGGTGTTGGTCCGAGCTATGGCCACATACCGTCCGAATCTGCTTGTTATCATCTTACCGGACGTAGCTGCTGAAGCTAGAGAGGCGGTCAAGTTGTGGAGTGATACAGCAGCCGGTATTCCAACGCAATGCATGGTAGAATTCATAACTACTTTGTTAACCGTTCGACTAATTTTATCTTGCCAGAAACTCTCAAGAATTCGATCTGCAAATGATCAATACTGTACGAATATAGCTCTCAAGTAGGCAAGCGTCGTATGGTACATAGCACAAGCTAATGATATCTTCTGTTCTAGAATTAATGCTAGAATGGGAGGCGTCAATTTTATTCCAAGAATGCCGATCTCGACTATGATTCGGAACACTCCAGGGCTCACAATCGTTGGTGAGCTGTCAGTGACCATGTAGAAGGGCTGCGTGATCTGACTTGGGATTAGGTGCCGATGTGGGTCACCCTGGCCCCGGGATAGACAGACCATCCATTACTAGCCTCGTAGCCTCGTACGATGCGGACCTTTCCCGGTATACAGCATTCACCAACGTGCAGAACCCGAGACAAGAGATCATTGCAGATCTGAAGGACATGATGCTGGTGAAATGATCTCTCCGATTCTCACGCGATGTCTTTGTGTATTGACTTGAATGCAAAGGGTGCCTTCCGGCGTGTCTGGAATTGCAGAGGCCGAGCTCAAACGATGTTCCCTCGATGTGTTGTCTTCTTCCGAGATGGCGTTTCAGAGGGCGAATTTGCGCAGGTGGTGACGTTTGAAACGGTAGCCATACAAGGTAAAGAGGTCTATCATGCTGTGTACCCGCACTGTGTTTTGACGCGCGACCACTTGTACGTAGAGGCATATGAGCAGTTTCGCGAGGAAGCGGGAGCGCCCAAAGAGTTGACTCTCAAGCTCCAATTCGTCGTGGTCGGCAAAAGGTTCGAACAACCAGGACCCTAGATTCTGCGACCCCAGTGCTCACACATTCGATGCGCACAGACATCACTTCAGGTTCTTCCCTGATGATCAAGCGTGATTCACTCTCACCGCCTCAGCGCTCACGCTGAGCTCCTTCGCTGATTCCCTCCCTCATAGACCCGGCCATGGTACCGATAAGAGTGGAAACTTGCAGCCAGGTCTGGTGGTCGACTCGGGGATCACAAATCCGTTCATAACCGACTTCTATCTGCAGTCCCAGGGCGGCTTGAAAGGCAGTACGTTCCGGTTCATTTTCTTTGGTCAGGCCGTGTTCTCATATGCCACCTTCATAGCAAGCCGCCCTGCTCACTATATCGTACTTAAAAATGGCCTCAAGATGGTACCTGCTCAGTGCGTCTCGTGTGATCATTGTACGCGATATTAATGTTGAACTCGTCGATATAGGATGTACGAACTATCATATTTTCTCTGCCATGTCTATGCCAGAGCCACACGGTCTGTATCCATACCCGCCCCTGTCTACTGTGCGTTCCTGTCTTTGTTGAGGCAGCACCGGTGCTAATGCATTGCTCCCTACAGATGCTGATGTGCGGGATGTGTTTTTTGTCCACTTGTGTTCACTAACTAAAAACCTTTTTGTTCTGTATCCGCCCGTATAGCTTGTCTGCACGCGTGCGCGGATGTATTTCGAAGGGCCCGTCTTGGAACTCGCGTCGGAGGCCGGTGCCAGCATCGATGGCGCGCCATTCGACCTGGACGAATGGAAGCGAGGCTTTAGGGGCATCCACGACAATATCAGAGACCAAATGTTCTTCCTGTGACAAGCTCATCGTTCGCACAAGCGCTGCCATTCTAATTCTGTTTGACTATTCTCGCGTTTCCTAACGGGTTCGTCTCCTAGATCTTTTGTAGCGGTTGAAGATTTGCTTGTAGTAGACGCTCAGCTATATTTTTACCCCGACTCCTGTCTTTGGCTCAGAGACAGTCGTGTAAAGTACTGCTTAGCATCACGTCTGTCGCATCTGACAATTGATATTGATTGGACCTTACGTTGACAGAAGAAAGGACGCGACAATAACCGAGGTCCGCGTAAAGATGAGGCACCCACATGACGAAACCTGGAACTCTCATGCTGGTGCTCATGTAAAAAGTACAAAGGGGCTGCAGAGCAACATATTTCAAAAATAAACGGACCACACGGCCTGGGAACGCAACTGAATACTAAGTTCACCCACCGGAAGTCTAGCGCCTGTTGCGAGATGCAACGTTCATTTTATAGACGACCGACCGACGTGGAACATTTGACGTCTAGTGTACAGATCCCTTTTCTGGCACTTAAAGTGTAAGTGAAACGACAAAGAAGCCATTGTGTGCCACGCGGTGGAATCATGGCGAACCACCAATGATACAGTGTCATGACACACAAAGCTAGTAGGTGGGAGTATATTAGCATCGACAGATATCCGATGGAGAATGCGAGGCAACAACAGGTTTCGAAACCCTCAGGGGTGTCATATGCTCATGCCTATGACACAAGAAGTGGAGTACTGGACTGGCCCGAAGACTCAGATTCTCGGGAAATCGATCGGCGCCGGTATTCCGTGACATATCCCCCGCTGTGTACACTGCCGCGCAGGACTTGATAATATTAATAAGTGCGCACGACTGCGCAGGAGCAAGGAGGTATCGTATCCGCACAAATTCTAACAAGAGGCTCTGCGGCTGTGCTTGTCGCAGCGCATATACCCGCGCGCTGTATGTGGTGCGATTCAAGAAGTCCGCCGAAATGCGCCTCCGGTTTCGGCCGTCGACTGGAAGCCCGCCGATGAGAAAGTCAAACGAATCGATTGTATAGGATTGCGGAGTTGCAGATGCGATCGCGGCGTTAACAAGGGATAACAATGGCGAGACATTCCAGCTGTACATTCCAACATCGGCCAATGGCGGGTTCCTTTGGAATTCGGTCAACACGCGCAGACCGCTGCGCTGAGTTCTTATCTGTCATACTGGAATAAAGTGGTCTGACATGGCCTGCAGTCCCCGAACGTCCAGGACGATCAATCGCGAAGGTGGGAGTGTGAAAAAAAGGGGGCGAAAGGAGCTAGAGGCTGTGGAAAAAAGCCTGCGCAGCTGCATATCAGAAAGGCTGAGGAGCTGGCGGACGGAGGCCGATGCGGGGATGCGGCGGCTGCTTGCCTCGCCAGAGAGAAAGGCGGGTGCATGTCACGCACGACGGATGTAGTCGATCGACGTCAGTATGGAGACGGGCCTGATCGCGTGCCTCCGTGTTCCTAGACATACACTGTGGTCAGAGCGCATCAATTTACTTATGCATCCGGGAAGGGTTCCATGGGATAAAATAAACGGAGCCGACGAGCTGAAATACAAAGTCAGAACGTGATGGTAGAACGATGGCGCGACGTACGGAAAAGAGGCGGCTTTGACGAGCAGGGAGGATCCACGTGGATTTACCTGTTGGACAGGGTTCATCCTTGGCCGTTCTTGCTCGGGCTGAAGCAGCGGTTGTTCGGACTGGAGTCGAGGGCTGCAATGCAAGTCGGTATCTTGGATGTGAAATGCTGCCCGGCACCTGAAGCACGCGGGGGCGGGCGAGTCTGTGAGAAGGGAAGAGATGTTGATGTGCTTATGCACCACAGGGGCACATGCAGCGTCAGACCAGCGCGGGTAGCTATCGCGTATGAAACGTCGCACCTTCGCGAGTCAATGCCAGCGACTCCAGAACTGGTCCTGGACGTGGCCAGAAGCTGAATGGGCGCGAGGCTTGCCGAATCGGGGATGTTGGGTTGATAAGTGCCATCGAAGCCCGAGTGCGAAGGCGACTCTGGGGAGAAGGAAGGGCTCTCGATTGGAAGGACTTTGGAAGGCCGGGAAAGGAGGATCCGGCCGTTCCACACGGGCGTTCTAACCGACTGCATGCATCCCACATCAAGGCGGCCCTGCAGGATGGACGTGTGTATGCGCCTCTATGCGGATACTCTCGCGCCGCATCACAGCGTTTGCACCGATAGGAGGCGCCGAGCAGGCGCGACAAGAACACGAGCAAGGTCCAAGACGTTCCTCCGATCATCGCTGATGGTGCGCTGCTACTGCGACGCTCCTGGCAGCCATACATGCCCGAGCCCCAACCGATGCATGATCAACGATCAAAAAGGAACCCGGGTGCGGTGAGGAGGGGACTGCACAGCCAGGCGTCCCCTCACAGCTCCTGGCATTGCAAAGGGCAACCTGCCTGCTCCCATCATATCCAAGAACAAATGCGAAATGCGAAGGTGCGAAACAGGAAATCGGAGATCGAGACTCGCTACGTGACAGTCGCACTGCGACCCACAGACAACTGAGCTAAATCATAACCGTCGACATAGGACGCTTACAGAGGCACACGGGTGGACAGGTGACGCTCCGCAGAGCCAAAAATGTATTATGCAAACCGAGCTATTTCGTGCGATAGGGTGATCTACATTAAAAAAACACGGATGCCATTCGTCAGCGTTTCAGGGTTCAAGGTTAAAGGTGTGCCGTCACGGCAAGCACCGAGGGAGATAGCGTGTACTTACGGGTAATGTACAAATGGGCAGGCGAACAAGGACTCTGAGTAACGAATGTTGGACGTGGTATCGGAGTTGCATGAGGTGGAGTGCGAGCCTATTGGGGAAAATGGCCAACGAATGAAAGGGATGGCCCTCTCACGCCATCTTCTCAGCGCGACGGGCGGGACCGCCAAGAGCGCACTCATCCGCTTGTGGAAAAGCGGCGCGAGTTGCGTGGATTAATTTCGCGTAGGGCGGACTCGGTCGCGCGGCGCTTTGTGCTTGTGCGGCCGGGCTTCTCGTCCTCAGGCTCGTCCCGCGAGCGTTTCCGCTTGCGGGTGTATGGAGGATGGGAGAGGTCCTCATCGGGGTCGGGAAGCTCGAGCTGGAATTGGAGGACGGCGGGTGGGCGGTAGAGGACTGGCTTTGGTGCGACGAGGGGTGCGTTGCATACGACGTGCACGAATTCGGGAGAGGGGGTGGGTGGCGCGTCTGTGGATGTAGGGGAGTTGGGTGCGGAGGGGGAAGAGACTGTAGAGCGCGGGTTGATGTGAGCAGGGGTTGATGGGAAGGAACAGACTAGGCACTTACGGACGAGCCCTGGGACGGACAGATGCTCTGGGATGTGAAGCGTAGGACGCAGGGGCGGCTGAGGAAGCGACAGGAGCGTGGAAGGCCCCGCCACTGCGTTGGAGTATTGAGTTTGCTTCATCGAGGACGGACCGTGTGCGGGTTGGTATGGATGCCTCCAGTGCATCGGCCACGCGTGTTGTGTGGGAGGGTAGTAGTAGGGGTGGTGGTGGTAATAGGGGTAGGAGGAGGCGGGGTGGTGTGTGTAGGCGGGCGGGAGGTTGGCGGCATGGTACCAGGCATCGAGGGGATCAGGGAGGCTGAGGGAGAGGGTGGAGAGATCCATGGGAGGGAAATGGAAAGAACGGAGGGAGGGGGGGGGGTATAAAAAGGCGACATATTTGCGGTGAGAAAGGTGACGGTAAGGAGGCGCAGGGGAGCGGCGACGCAGATGTGTGACATGACACACTACGCTCGACTGCGTCCCTCGCACCTTACTCGATCCGCGCTTCCTTCCGCCCATTCAGTCTGTCCTCTCAGATCTCAGGTAACAGCCCTCTCCGTTTCCTCTCCTAGCCCCAGCCTCATTGTCCCATGTCCATATCAGATCCTCTAGGGTTTCACATCATGCTTTCCCACTCCCTCCTCAAGTCCGCGTCCCGGCCCCTCTCGGCTTCCAGGGCCTATTCTGCTGCTCCCCTAGCCACACCACCACCGCAAAACACCGTCCGGTATCCATACTACGTCCCCCGCAATTCTCGTGGATCTCTCCCCGTATACACCGATATTCGCAACGGCGGCTCTCGCTTTTTGATCTCTGTCCGAAACGTACAAGGCAATGTCGATGTTCGTCATCTATCTTTATACCTGTCATCGCCCGTCCTCTGTCCATCTGACCGTCCCTTCGCCAAGGCCCTTGTCCATGACCTTACCCAGTCCCTCTTCCCTCAAGGCTCGCCTGAGGCAGAGCGCATCAAGGTCTACGCCCTCCGATCAAAGCACGTCGTCCTCTCGGGCGGCCGTTGGAAACACGACATCGTAGAATGGCTCAAGGGAAAGGGCTTCTGAGCGAGAAGCTTCCCTATCAGGCGCCCCTTCCCTTCTCTAATTTAACATTCCTCTGTCATCCCACTCGCGTTCGCCATCCCTTCCGTCTGAATCCGTCAATTCTAAGTCACTTGTCAGCCAGGGTGAGTCTTTTCGGCGTTCGGTAATCATTCGTCCCCATCCAGTCCAACTCCCCTTGGACGACCCGTTCCATCCATCAATGCTGCGGCTCCCACTGGCATCTCTCCAATTGATTCTCGCGACATGATGAGATACAACTGCATGAATCATGATAGATCCATCAAACGATGCTCTATTTTCAAATCGCCCAAAACATGCCAACGTGGGCGGCCTGCCCGTGCTCGAACCTCCACGGCACACAATAACTTCATATTGTGCACACCTCATATTCTCGACTTCCTTTCGGCTTCCTTGGTGGAGGGTATTTCCGCTTGCCCCCAGTGAGACGCTATCGGGATGTTTTCCATGCGACCACTCCGGGCGGTCCACCCTGTCTTTGACGCAGCGCCCGAGGTTCCCTCGCGAGGGGCTATTCTTGTGAGACCGGCTTAGTGTAGCTGTGAGATATAGAACTCGTGATGGCAAACCGTACAGCTGCATGTGTCTCATCCTGTCTGATCGTGCACACCGGTGGAACCATACCGACCGCTGTAGGTGTTCGGGCCATCTCGCCAAGGCCCTAGGCGGTAACCGACCTTCCGTGGCGCCTTTTTCATGCTGTATATGTCCCGAGTCAAATTGATCTGTCTGCATACCCGTCACTCCAGGTCACTCCCTGGTATCGCACCTACGAGGCGACGCATTTTCCCACTGGAAGATGTCACGGGCAGTCGAGGTCCCCAAGCCAGTGTGCAGGGTGGATGATTCCCTACAGTTCATGAAACTACAACAGCTCCACAGTAGAGCGCAACGGTTGTTGACAATCATAATATCATTTATGACCGGCTGCCTACATACATTGACAAGTGCCTTGGTTGTCGTATCATGATCCATTAAGTCGTCCCATCTAGTAGCATCTAGTCCCATCCGGTTGGCATCCGGAAATGGATGTGTCAGAACGTGGAGAGCTTCGACAAGCGTGTGCGGTGCGAAGTGGGGCAGATGCCCTCGAACTTCGTCCAGCAAGGATTCGAAATGCAACACGTTGGACGCGAATGTAGGGCATACGTCCCGCGCGTGGTCGTCTGCACAGCTGCGTAGGGCCCGCACTGTGCGTGGGTGCGTGTAGTAATTCACATTGCAGCGCATCGCGACATCACGGATGTATGCGGCGCACGGGAGAGCATCTGCCCTTTTGAGGCGCGGCGCGCGCCTGTGCTCGAATTGCGGCTGCGGTTGTTCCAAGAAAAAATGCATCGCGCAAGGCTGAGGCACCTCGGACGTTCTTTTTTTCACATAGAAGAACAGATAATATGGGCATATGACAACGTACGGACCTTTCAATCAGTATCAATACCGACGCTCTGAACTCCGGGCGAGGGCGAACTTCGAGGCCCTTGCCATCAGGAACGCCAAATGGAGCATACAGCTGTACATCTTTGTACATATGCATGGGCATTGCCCACCAGGCAGAGCACCGTCACGGACCTTCAGATAGAATGGATGGTTTTTGTGTGCTCACCGCCTGTCCGACACGAATGAGAGATGTCGCACTACTGCAGCACCTAGAGAGGATCGAGCCTTCGCAAGCAATTGGATTATGTACGCCCTCCGCACGGGAAGCCGCTGCCGGAGGCGGAAGCACAACTTGTTGACTTCAATTTCGAGTCACGCAACGACATATAACAGGATTGTCCTCCAAATTTATAAACGCCATTTTCGCTGTCTCGGAACACAATGAGCACGCCTTCAAACACTCCTCCCATCGGCGTCGGGGGCGCAGGCTCCGCCGTGGGCGCGCCGATACGGTCTCAGACGAAAGAGGGGACTAATAGCAACTTGGGCACGTTCGGTGTGAGGTTTTCGCTCCATTCTTTCCTCCGTTTTAGGTATCTGAAATGTTCATGTTATATATGCGCATCGTTCTTATGCATATAGGTCAAATCGGGTCTGGCGCAGATGTTGAAGGTAAGTCGACGTGTGACCCCTTCATTTGCAGCTTCTAAGCCGCCGAACACAGGGGGGCGTAATTATGGACGTCGTGAACCCGGATCAGGTGCGCGGATAGTTGTGTGTCTTTTTGTTGTGATTGGCACTGAATGTCACCCCATTGGTTGCAATTTGCGCGTTTATAGGCACGGATAGCCGAGGAGGCAGGAGCATGCGCCGTCATGGCACTCGAACGCGTCCCCGCGGACATTCGCCGCGAGGGAGGAGTTGCAAGAATGGTACGCAGCTAACCATTCCGTTCCGTGCCCTGTTGTTCCCTCAGAGTGCCAACCTCGACGCATATATGCAGAGTGACCCCCACATGATCAAGCAAATTGTCGATGCCGTGACCATCCCCGTCATGGCGAAAGTGCGGATCGGCCATTTCGTCGAAGCCCAGGTAGGTCTCCTGATTAAACATGGCTTCTTCATCCTTCCTCTTCCCCGCAGTCTTGGGCTGGGGTCTGGAAACTCGACACAGGAGGAAACTCATCTATCCTTTTGGTCCATGCGTGGAATAGATTCTACAGAGCATTGGGATTGATTACATCGATGAATCCGAGGTGCTGACCCCTGCGGACGAGGAGCACCACATAAACAAACACTCGTTCAAGGTTCCGTTCGTCTGTGGGGCACGAGACCTCGGAGAGGCACTTAGGCGCATCTCTGAGGGCGCTGCGTTCATCCGCTCAAAGGGCGAAGCTGGCACGGGCAATGTCGTTGAAGCCGTGCGGCACCAGCGCGCCATTGCAAGTGCAATCCGCCAGGTGAGCGTAATGAGCGAGGAGGAACTGTACGTGTTCGCAAAGGAGATCCAGGCGCCGTTCCATCTGCTCAAGGAGACCGCGAGGCTCAAGCGCCTACCGGTGGTCAACTTCGCTGCGGGCGGTATTGCCACACCTGGTGCGTGCTCGCATCTTGAAAGTTGATACTTAATGAGTGTGCTCTTGATCGCTGATGCCGTATCAGCGGACGCTGCGTTGATGATGCAACTCGGCTGTGACGGAGGTATGTCAGATCAATGCTTCGGAAATACTTGAGTGATCTGTTCTGTACTGATGATTTTCTTCAGTTTTTGTTGGTTCGGGAATCTTCCATGTAGGTTTTCTCATCGATCAAGGAAAGACACATGATGCTGATCGTGCAACTCTTACCAGTCTGGCGACCCCGCCAAGCGCGCGCGTGCGATCGTACAAGCGGTACATCTGTTTCTTCTTCAATTGTTTGACGCCGCACTCTGATACCGCCTCGAACAGGTGACACATTACAACAATCCAAAAATTCTCGCCGAGGTACGATCGTTGCGTGTCCCTATCAATCTGTTCATCTCACCCTGCAACCCGGGAACAGATATCCGAAAACATTGGTGCGCCCATGGTGGGCCTTTCCATGTGCGTCCGGAGTCTCACATCATCGCTATTCTTGTTCGGAGGCACCTGTCGTTCCTGACCTTGTCTCTGGTTTTGACTTGGACAGTGATGCCGACCTTCAGGGTGGTCGTATGGCCAAACGCGGCTGGTAAATTATGGTTATCAGAGAATCAAAGACGAAATGAGAAAGCCTTTATATGGATTATAATTCTCGTATTACCTGCTAGAAGTACCAGTTGAGTATATGTATGAAAAGCTCTATTGGACCGAACTTGTTGAGTGTCTTGCTAGCACTTTGCTCGAATTGGTCGGGTCGTCAAACCTACCTCCGCATAGTTGTAATAATTGGATGACCCTGAACGAAAGCCAAAGGCTCCGTGAGCAACGTCCTGATGGGTGGCGCGAGACTTGGTGTGGGAGGCAGAGACTCTCATTGGGCAGCTAGTAAATGTGTGTGGTCATTCAAGGTGTTGTTGACGTGACCGCTCGTGGAGGGCGTTATGAGAGTTTCAAATTTCATGTATTCGCAGTCGCTTACGTAGTCAGGCGACGGCGACGTCATGCTTCCTCACAAGCTGCTCTGCCGAGTCTACTCAAGTTCCAATAACTCTACCTCTAAGAGTATGCCTTCTCAAAGCCCAGAAAAAGCTCTTGACGAATTCATTGCCGTACGCGGAATTTCCCACATATTTAGTTTCCCCGGACGGTGTTAATGTTCCATGCAGCAAGACCCCGCCTCGCAGTACACCTTTGACAGTGAGCGCGATGCTCCTTGTTCTAATATATGTCGAGAGAGCAAGGTGAAAGGCAGGGAGTGTATTGTCGTGAGCTCGTTGCATTTTTACAGTGCTATCGTGGTTTCTAACACGTATCGAAGTTGCAAATGCATTCCAAGAAAATGTTCGAAGCTATGCAGGTATGTACCGTTCGGGCTAGGTCGAGGAGATTTTTCGCTTAGCCTGACGAATATCGCTTATACCATTCAGTCAAAGGGATTCTTTTGTATTCTTCCTATGGACCCCTCGCGGACACACATGGAATGCACGCCGATACCGATATCAAAGTCATGACTTCGCGATTGTACTCGCCTATGAAGACACTATAATGGACATTTGACTATATGCGACCTAGGCTTGTACCCTCTACCAACAATTACCAGAGCACTCTACCTTGATCAGGAACGCGGCGAAAATCGGACAGGGCAAAGCACCCGCAGGTTAATCTGACCCTGTCGGCGCAATAAATGGTTTGGAAAAATCGACATTTGAAGACACTTGATAGATGCTGCTTTTTAGGCGCGCTCAAGCCGAAGCAGGGACCGGGGAGGAGATCCGCTCAAACCGCGTATCGATACCTAGCGTCCCAAAACGAGCTTGCTCTACTTGGGCATCTGCGATCTCGCGCCGCAGTTCAGCTGCCCGAAAGTCAATGGTAGCCATCTCTAACTCGTGCCGGGCACGTCGAACTTCGTGCCCGCTCTGTGCGTAGTCTGCCATTGTAGCCTGGCACAGGGTTTCCAATCGTGCGATCTGCGTCAAGGTGTCAGTGATGGACAGTCTGATGAACATGCATAGGATGCACACCTCGGGCTCAAACTGCTTGGCTGGGTATGGCTTCGGTTCGTAGGGTGGGTGCGTAACTTGAGACTGAGAAGCCTCGGCCTTTGGTGAAGGGTCGACATCCATGCGGGTTTGCGTCCATGTAGCCGGACTGTTCAGCTGAGGAGATTGAACCGACTCATTCGAGTTGGCGGGTGATATGTGTTGCGCAAAAGCCGGTCCAGTGGGTATATTCAGATAGTGGCGTGGGCCTGTGGGCGGTGAGCGAGACCGCCGGCGGGGAAATTGCTCCAGTTCTCTCGGATTCGATGCAGGCGAGTGTGGAATATCCGCTCTCATTTCAATGTCCTCAGTTGTCTCGGGCTCTTCTTTACTTTTGCCCTTATCCCGCGAAGCGTTAAGCCATGAAGCGAGTTCCTCCTCTCGGTGTTCCATGGGGACTTGCTGTTCTAAATGCACCTCTTCTTTCACGATTGTTGGGCTGGAAGGGCGGGCATGAAGTGGCGACTTGCTTGAGGCAGCTCCAGGAGGACTGTGATCGCGTGAAGGAGGCAGTGTATCTGGTTGCTTCTCGAGTGGGCTACGAGGAGGATGAGAGATGGAGCGAGTAACATCACAGGATTCATCCTCTGCCTTCGTGGAGCCTTGGCTACGGCTCCGCTCCCGGCGAGAGTGAGTAGGGCTGGAAGTTCGCGAAGGCGTCCCGTGATCGCTCCTACCATGGTGCTCCTTGCCTCGGAGAACAGAGCGATGAGAGCTTGTCGTGTGGGGACTGTCTGGCTCAGTTTTATTGCGCACAGGCGAAGGCGAATAATTGCGAGGCGTGGGGTAGGTGCTTGGTCCTGGCGAATTGCCTCGCAGAAGAGGACGAGGTGGCGGTGAGTCGGAACGACGTGGAGCTGCCAAGGAACAACATAGGTTTATAAAACACAAGCGTTTACAAGGAGAAGCGTGAATACTTGCCTGGGTATCGGGAAGGTGAACGCGAATCCCTTCGCCTGGAGTGGTCCCGATCATAATCGTATCGTTCAACGTTTCGACGAAAATCTGGGCGAGGGCGGAATGTCCTGCTTTCATCTCGTGTTCTCCAATCGTCATCTCTAGGTGGAGGACGACGTCTGGTCGGAGCTGGACGATACTCTCGCGCTTGCCTTGCTGGTCCCGGGAAACGATCATTGTATCCGTCTCTGTCGTCTCTCGACCGTTCCCTATATCGATTGTTTGGAGTCCACGCATCTCGCGATGGCAAGGTATACGTATCTCTGGTCGGAGAGGGAATATACCTGTCGGCAGATGGAAGATATGCGTCTCTGGGTGGCCTGGAGACGGGCGGTGACCGTGGAGGATATCGATTGTCTCTGCTGTAGCGTTCTGATGGGCTCACCCGGGGAGGGTAGCGTTTCTCACTCGTGGCATGTTTTGGCAAAGCTGGGTCGAAGTTAGGTCGTGGAGGAAGGCTCGACATCCTGAGTGTCTGACTTGTGCAACTCAGAGGTCTTTCACATGAAGGTGTTTTGTCGTGTTTGGCAAACAGCCTCTTTGACTCAACGCCAACTCTTCTGGGGTTCACCGTATGGCGACTCGACTCTATCCTCTTGCCTCTATCTCTCAGTTCGAGAGAACTCCCTCTCTGGAGGATGGCATTCCCGCCGATTTGGAAGAGGATCTCAGGAGCTACGGCTGTAAACTTATTCACCAAGCCGGCATCCTGTTGAAACAGTAAGCATGTCAATTTCTCCAGCAAGTTCGAAGATTATATTATAACAGAAAACAAGTTGCTATTGCGACTGCACAGATACTCTTCCAGAGGTTCTACTACGTCAGCTCCATGAAACAGTTTGGTATTGGTGTGAGTCCGTAAATGAGTATCACACGCTAACACAGGTCGATATGAGGGTGTGGTTTCTTAGGATGTCGGCATGGGTGCACTGTACCTTGCATCCAAATTAGAGGAATGTCCGCTACGTATGCGTGATCTCATCAACGTCTACGACCTTCTTCTGCAGCGAGCGGCGCATACTGTGGCCTCCACGTCGTCCTCTCACCCTCCTCCCGATTTCAAATATGCTCCTATGTCTTACTTTGGCAACACTTTCTACGACCTTAAAGACGCGCTCGTCGTCTCTGAGATGCAGATTCTCAAGCGACTGGGCTTCAATGTGCACGTCGTGCTGCCGTACGGGACTCTCGTCAACTACATGAGACTTCTCGGGCTCACAGGTCGCGAGGACGCGGTATCTAAAGCATGGGGATATCTCAACGATGCGTATGTTTTTCATCGCTCTCGAAAAGATAAACATGTTTACGCTTTACCGTCACACAGGCTGCAAACGCCTGTGTATGCTCTCTTTGCGGTTCCAACAATCGTGAGCGCGGCAATCTTGCTCACTGTCCGACATCTTGGTATCTCTCTCCCTTCCACGCCTGAAAACAGTTGGTGGGAACTGTTTGATGCCGAATGGGACGATGTGTGGAATGTTTGTGGCTACATCATGCGGTTATATCGCGATCGTAGTCTGGAGGATAGAGTGCGAGTCATCGGTTTGATTGGGAAGAAGGAGGTACGTAGATGGTTGAACGAACGTGTAATAGTCACCACAGAATCTATGTAATAGTTTCGGCTATGTCATTCCGTCAACTGCGATCGTCTTTGCCTATTACTGTCAGGCTGTGCCGATGTTCGAGCACAATTCAAAAAGCTAGATTTGCATCGCTTTCCACTGTTGAGCATGTTAATTATCAAAAGAATACTACCAGCCCGCCTAGCTCAATCGGATAGAGCGTCAGACTCTTACTGACAGGCGGGTTCACCACCTCTGCGGTGATCTGAAGGCTGCGAGTTCGACCCTCGCGGTGGGCTAGTCATTTTTTCACACCCAAAAGAAGTATTCCCACGCGTGGCCCGAGAACTGGTTAGCAGAAGTTAGCTTGTCCCGGACTCGATTTCAAAACCTCCGCAACCATGCTCGACCACTGTTCAATTTCGCACAAAGGTACGTCAGCCAGCATCACACCGAACATACATCTCACAGTCGTCCAGGCGGTGTCGTGCTGTGGTCTCGCTCCTTCACTCCAGCTACTTCTCAGCTGGCCTCGTCCTCCGCGTCCCCCGTCAACTCACTCATCCGTGAGGCTCTTATCGAGGGACGCACAGCGGGAGAGAAGTACGAGAAGGATGGTTATGCAGTGAAGTGGACCTTCGTCAACGACCTCGAGCTTATCTTCGTGGTGCGCATGGGCTCCGACGTCTTCGGACGACCGTCGCGCTAATTCTCTCATCTCCGCAGGTCGCGTACCAGCGCATCCTGCAGCTCACCTACGTGGACGATCTTCTCGCCGCCCTCAAGACGCTCTTCGTTAAGCTGTTTGAGCCCTTTCTCACGTCATTCGTTGCTTCACTCCATGCTGCGAATAATCGGGCGACCGCCGCCGTGAGCGCCGCTTCCGAAGCCACTGCATGGGACTTCGGAAAGGCTTTTGAGGGTTGGGATACGATGTTCGATAAGTTACTCAGAGGGTTAGAAGAGAAGGCAGCGGAGGTAATTCTTGCCAAAATCATATTTTCAAACACTTAACACCCAATGCAGGGCAGAAAATCCCGTCTTCGTCCTGTGACGCATCCTGCGGTCGAACCTCCCAGTCCTCCTTCTGATGGCACGGATACAGCTCCTACTCAGTCCTCTGTGGAAACTCTCGATGAACAGCAGATTGCTCGGAACGTACAAGCTCTAAAGAACAGGCTGCGCGGCAGAGGTGGGAGACGGGGAGGCAGGGGGGTGACGCGGGTGGACTCCGGGAGTGGGAGGGACAGCTATCCAGGCTCTGAGTGCGTTCGACCAATTTATGGCTCCATCTACATGCATTGAAATGACGTCAACTGGCAGGTCTGATACTGCCGGCAAGCGGAAGCCGAAGGGCAAAATCCAGAGAAAGTGGGGGACCGAGGCACCCACTGAGTCAGATATGGCGTCGTTGGATTTCAGCTCTGACAAACCGACCGAAGCAGAGTCGCATGCCGGTTCGCTAGATCTGCAGGCGCTCGTTGATCAAGGGTCCTTGGGCACGCGTACGAATGGTCTATACGAAGTCAAGGACTGGGAGTTCGACAAGAAAGCTAGCGATGCGCAAGACGCCGTATCTCAGGTTTTGAATACGAACAAGTCGCCGTCCAAGTCTCAGCCCCCTAGCTCCCTTGGGGCTCTAGGTTCCATATTTGCCAGGCTCACAGGAGCAAAGACTCTTACAGAAGAGGATCTTAAGCCTGTCTTAGAAGGCATGAAACAGCATCTGATGAAGAAGAATGTAGCGAAAGAGATCGCGGACAAGGTTTGTGAAGGCGTGGGCGAGAGTCTGGTCGGTAAGAAGGTTGGAGGCTTCCAAAGTATGTTCCTTGTGTTGTTTCCTTGCTTCACTGAATTGCAACTGAACGGCCTTTCAATGTGAATAGCAACCAACAACGCTGTTCGTCAGGCACTGTCTAACTCGATAACTCGCATCTTGACGCCGAAAACTTCTACGGATCTTTTACTTTCTATACGAGGCAAGCTATCATCCCCGTTGCCATCGACCCAACAGCGGCTGCCATATAGCATTACATTTGTCGGTGTCAACGGCGTAGGCAAGAGCACTAATTTGTCGAAAGTCTGCTTTTGGCTCATCCAAAATGGGCTGAGAGTCTTAATCGCCGCGTGCGATACTTTCCGGTGCGTTTTCGAAACATAGACGTTGGGGCTATGTCGTGCTCGTGCTCTCTGTGAGATTGTGCAGAGTTCGATCGTGACCGCCTCTTGTTCTATGCTGATGTGAGGTTGTAGGAGCGGTGCCGTGGAGCAGCTGCGGGTTCACGTCAGAAATTTGAGCATGCTGGGAATAAACGGAGCTACCGATAGTAAGGGGAGGGTTGAATTGTATGAGAGGGGTTATGGCAAAGACGCTGCTGGAATTGCCAAGGAGGCCATCACGTACGGTAGGCGCTCTTGTTCCCTGCTGTTTTACCTTTCTGATCGTCTTGTTCGTCCGACTCATCAGCGAGAGACAATGACTTTGATGTCGTACTCATTGACACCGCTGGGAGAATGCAAGACAATGAGGTATGCAGCTTGCGCTCTCGCCCAGTTCTGTCCTGATGCTCTTCCATAATAGCCTTTGATGCGTGCGCTAGCCAAAGTAAGCCAGATCCTATTCCAAATCCGAAACAATGAGATCAACTCATGACGATTTATAGCTCGTCGCAGTCAACAACCCTGACAAGATCATTTTCGTGGGCGAAGCACTCGTGGGCAACGAGGCCGTCGACCAATTAACAAAATTCGATCGTGCGTTGCGTGATTTCTCGTCGGCATCTGGGGGTGCGGGGAAGGGACGTGGGATCGACGGGATGGTGGTGACTAAATGGGACACCGTCGATGATAAGGTCGGCTGTGCTTCGAGTTCTACAACAAGGACGGGAGATGCTGATAAAGCTTGTCTCATGTGCAGGTTGGCGCTGCTTTGTCGATGACCTATGTTACAGGTCAACCGATCATATTCGTGGGCACTGGTCAGGTATGTATTCCTGCGACTTGTGATCTGTAACATGACATCTGACCGTCTTCATTGGCTAGACGTATACCGATCTTCGCCAGCTGCGCGTAGGGAACGTAGTACAGGCTATTCTGAGCGATTGAGCTATGATTATGAGGCTTTGTACACGGTTTTCCATATGCATGTACCCTCGGATGTATTTCTGACTAGCACTGTATGTATTTAGCGACCGTTCTTTTTACCCACACACAGCGCTGGCGTGCTTCCCAGAAAATTTGCATGAGCTTGCGATAAATATCACATCGTAGCATGAGTGTAGTGTGTTAACGACTGGCTGATTACTTTGATCACAGCTCATCGTCAGAGTAGTCCTCGCCCTTGATCGTAATGTTAGCTGATGAGAACCCTCGACCCATTTTCTTCTTCGAAGGCGTCTCAGAGACCAGTATCGTAGGCTCATGCCTGGGCTTACCCCGCACTTTGACAGGCGTTGCCGTCACAAGCACCGTATCTTCTCTCTTAAACCCTTTCCTTCCCTTTCCGTCGGCGGGCCCTAGTCTTGCTCCGCCCAATTTCTCGCTTGACATCTCCTTGTCGACCTTTGTCTTGTCTTTGAACACCCTCGACATGCTCACCTCTCGCTGCAACGTGGGAGCGCGCGAACTCCCCGCCCGCCGCGCTTCGGCTTCCTGCACGAGCGAGACGGATAGGGACCGAGAGCGTGAACGTGACAGCAGCCTTGAAGAAGAAGATCGAAGGGGGCCGGCGGCGAACGAGGTATCGGGTTTAAAGAGAGAATAGGTCGGACGAGACGTATTAGGATGCGCGGTCTCTTCAATATCGTCCTCTTCGTCTTCGGACCACTGAGGGATCCGGAACAGTTTCATGCGAAGTAGGCGATACAGCTCTGGAAGCTTCGAGCCGAATCTAAAAAAAATGGTGGCGGTCAGCGCATCGGTAAGTTCGAATATGTAAGGCTTTGGAGATGCCTACGATGGACCCACGACGTCGTCGCAAAAGGTTTGAGTCCAATCTCGCAGGTCCTTCGGTTCCTTGTTAGAAGTCGCGTTCTCACCATCAGCGCGATCCTCAGTCGGTGCTGTCGGAAGTGCCATCTGCCAGAGAACGAGTCTGTCCATGAGGCTTTCCAGTCGGTCTTCCATAATTTGCACCGGCGTGCTGACTTCAGATTCTGATGAGGAGGGTCGGTGATGTATTTTGCGACGCTTGCGCGGAGGTTCCGGTAGCGGTCTCATCGGTGGACTGGGACAGGGCCCAGGAAGACAAAGCTTGATAAAGTGGAGTAGTATTTGAATTTGAACTCTATGCTCCCTTCATGAACCTTCGATCGTCAAGGCAGGCAGAGATATCCGGCTTACTCTCGCTTTTCCATACTCTCGAGCCATTTCTCGGGAGATGTCTCCCTCTCTTGTTCGGACTCAAGGGCTTCGATAGGTGATGGCTCGTGGTCCTCTGCCCTTGAGTATTGTTGAGCAAAGGACATCATTTGAGGCTCGATGTCATCTTTCGGGTCATCCTTCAAGACATTTGGCAGGTGTTCATGGTACTTGTACGAGCACCATCGATCTGTCAGAATCACAGAGTCCAGGGCGGCGTGAAGCGGATGAATCGAGAACGAGTGGAAGCCCTTGGAGAGGCTTAACAAGAAGACCACCATCTGTGTTAGTGGCACAAGTGCCTAAACGCACAAATCAAAAAGTCGGTTTCGAGATGGCTAAAGGGTGGGCTGGACGCTCACGTCTGGTAACCAAAGGAATTGTAGATATAACCTGCGGGTTTGCTCTTCGAGAGACAGATCGCCGTCCATAGACAAGCAAACCGGGTAGACATGCTGTGTGATGTGTTTTTCTTGATTAGCATTCCACTTTATGGGCCCAGAAAAGGGAAGACTATAGAGGATTGCACTCGACATAGACGAGACATGTAAGTCGACGCGACCAACGACTTCGCCGCAAGAGGAACACGATGACGTAGCGATTTGGCAGGGTCACGGGGGTCGGCGCGCGGCCTTACTCATGGGTGTGCCTAGCTATGATATCTCCTGTATGTTGCGGGTTTCCCGGTTGTTGCTGAAAGCCTCTCAGCATCCGGTCCAGGCAAGACTTTTCTCGTCGTCCTTGGTTCGTACAATGAGAGTACTCCCCATCCCTGTGCGCGAGGACAACTACGCCTACCTCCTCATCGACAATACCTCCAAAAAGGCCGCCGTTGTCGATCCCTATTCGTTTGATAAGGTCAAGGCTGCTGCAGATCAGTACGGCGTACAAATCGTAGCTGTCATCACTACGCACCACCATTTTGACCATAGCGGTGGGAACGAGGTGCGTTGCAACAGTGTCTGGCTGCCGCTAGGAGATATTGAATCTATTTGGGCATCGATCATAGCAATTCGTGAGTTTGGTCGCTGCTACGAGACTGCTTCCGCGTGGGTTCACGTTGTGACAATTGATATCAGGCCAAAGCCTTCCCGGATGTACCAATCTATGGTGGCAGCGACCAAGTCAAAGCTGTAACCAAGCTGGTCAAGGACAAAGATGAGTTCACAATCGGGGACTCCATAACAGTCAAGTGCGTCGCTGTCTCCTTGTGCCCCATAAGATAATTATGGACTTTTCCATTTAGGTGCCTCGCGACCCCCTGCCATACTCAAGACTCGATCTGCTACTACGTGACGGACGCGAAAGACTCGGCGCAACGCGGTGTATTCACGGGCGACACCCTGTTTATCGCAGGCTGCGGTCGGTTCTTTGAGGGCACGGGCGCAGAGATGCACGCTGCACTCTCGTATCTCGGCACTTTGCCAGACGACACGCTCGTGTATAATGGCCACGAGTACACCGCGAGCAACGTCAAGTTCGCACGTTCCGTCGACCCCGCCAACAGCGCGCTTTCGGGTCTGTTCGGGCTATTGACCGAGACCAAGATGACCACTGGTTTGACCACTATCAAGGACGAGAAACTGTGGAATCCGTTCATGAGACTCTCTAGTGAGCCAATACGGTGGGCTTCATCTATCAGTTCATTTGTCCCGTTGCTCACATTCCACGACTATCACAGGAAGGCGACGAAGGCCACTGAGGATGCGTCATTGGGTGCAATAATGGATGAGCTCAGAAATCTAAAGAACAATTTTAAGGGGTGAGTTTGAAGGTACGTCGGAGTGATGTACAAATTTCGAGCAGGCTGATAATCATTGTATAGGCGAATTGGTCGAACACAGAAGGATGACAATGTATTTGACCATGTTTAATAGGAGTGTATCAACATATGTATTGATATTTCTTTATGATTTATGATTCGTTGTGTGACTTACGCCATCCGCACAAAGCAGCCAAGGAAGAAGTAGATTTCCGAGCAAGTCGTAAGAGAAAGTGCAACAAATAAGTCGTACCAAATACATGTCCGCCGTAATTTATTCGTTCCCAAGTCTTCGATGCACATACATGTCACGGCATGGACATGGTCCTGAGTTACTTGTCAACCGTTTTGGGCAAGTTTCCACGATTCCCATGCTCATGACATTCCAAAGACTTTGAGCACAGCGCTGCGCGCATATGGAATGTACGACAGCGTATACCACAGGAAGGCGAGGTACTCGATAATGACGAAGACTGAAACAGCGGGAAACGTTAGCTGTTTGATATCGAGGTAAGCACCATGAGGTAGTAGTGACTGACTGATGCATAGGATCTATAAGCCAAGGGGAGGCGTTATTAGATAGTGGGAGGGAGGACACGACTATAGCATACGCACTCCACTATTGAGAACAAACGCTCCCACAAATATGAGACCTATCGAGACAAGAAATAGGATAGTTGCGACCACTCGGACAGGCTTGAACATCTTGACATGCCACAAGTGTATCAGCACTCTGCAGTGACCAGTACAACGAAAGATAGCTTACCATCTTGACCTGCTTGAAGAACTGATCCACAACATTCAATACACGTTTGATGGGATGGGCTCCCAGAAATTCAAAGCCACACGTACCCCAATCAAGAAACCTGTCCCAATGAGCGAAACGACCGTTCCAATGGCATAAAGAACTGCACGAAAAGAGGCCCCTGTCATCATCATAATACCCCCCAGATCTACGATGAAACACGCACATGCGAAAGTCGTCAAAGCCCCGAGAAACAGAAACACCGTGCCGAGGATACTCAACAAGAACCCTACACCGAAACTGTGCTGCTATGAGCTGGCGCTCGCCACACCTCGCAGATACGGCCGCTCAACCGCAAACACGAAAACACGTACCACCCCGCAAACCCATACAACCTCTGCGTGCGCGTAAGCCCAAGCTTCGAAAATGCCGAATCGCCCTCGAAGAATTGCGTCTCGGGGACGCCAGCTCCTGCTGTCTCGAGATTGAACCAACCCTTAGACCCTGCCATGATGTCTCGCTGATGCTAAGGTTACTCGTTTCGTTGATGACAAAGTGAAAGAAACTGAGAATTCAAGTAAAGTCGGAGGTATTACCAGGTCGGGAGGTAGAGGAGTATGAGGGGATGCTGGACCTGCAGCTGACGATTAGTGGGAGGTAAGACGCTCGAGTCGATGCACGGGAACGTGCGGAAACATCACGCGGAACCTGTTCGCAGCCTAACTAGCCTTGGCACACTCGGAGTCTCGGACACAGCGTCGGAGGCAACTTCATTGGATTTTGTCACAAGTGGTAAGTAGTAGGTAGTCAAGCAATACAACAGTCCATCGGTAGTATGGGTACGGTTTATGTGAGTCAACAACAAAGCTTCATGGATCGAAAACATGACCAAACGTGAGGACGAGCACTTAACACAGAAAAAACAGCACAGCCTACAGAAGAACGTAACGATTTCATGAGACATTTTGTGGAACCAATTTAAAAGAGTGGAGGTGAAGACAAGACCGGCTTTGTCTACCTGTCAAAAACGGACTGAAGATGAGAAACATGGCTGAGAAACAAGACAGTAGCACGGTCACAACGGCTTATTGCTCAAGACGTCTTGAATTTCTGTGATTGAACGAACGGTGTCGTGCGTCTGAGGCCCTCCAGGAGGAATGATAAGGATGCGCTGCTTGATGGTGTTTAGCATTTGCCGGACAGTGGGCAAGACACGAGCTGCATAAGGAGAAATAAGAGGATCCTAAACAGGAATCAATAGGAATCAACTTCCTTGCATTGGGATGACGAGAGAGAAACATACGCCAGTGTTCAAGACAGCGGCGGCACGCTGAAGCCACCATAGAGAGGATTTAAATGCCTCATCGACAGGCGCGCTCTCGCCAATCGCTGCAGAGAGCTAATGTCGCGGGTCAAAATATGTTCAGATACAAAAATAGAAAAAGCGCACTCTATGCACGAGCGTCAGAACAACAGCTTGAGACAACGGACCCGGGCCATTGAGGGGCATGATGACTTCTGGGTTGGACCTTGCCAGCAACTCACGAAGCTGGCGTGGGTCCTGTGTGCCTAGCACGGCAAGGTAAGTGTCATCCCATTCCTCATGCTGCGTGGGAGGCGTGCGGTGAACTGTAGGCGCAGTAGCAGGTGGTGGAAGAGCTGGATGAGACGCCTGCGGTGCAGGAATACCGGACGGGAACCAAGGGCCGTGCATTTGTTGAGGTGGAGGGGGGCCATACTGGATCGGGATCGGAACAGGGTGCTGACGGTGCTGGCCATACGATACAGCAGCACCCGGTCCTTGCTGAGAAGCGGGAGAATGTCTCGAACCTTGCGAGGCGATGCCAGAGTTGACACTCAAGTATTTGACTTGGTCTGACAGCGATCGCACCGACTGCTCTAGCTCCCTGATGACAGCCTATGAGAAGAAGGTTTAAGTTGAAGCACTACAACAGCAAAGAAAACATGCGTACTTCCTGGCCTCGAAGAGTGTCGCTTTGCCAAGCTATGACTTCCTTTTTGAGGTTCAACATCTCGCCATGCATCTCGCGAGACAATTCCTGGTGCATAGCAGACGATTCTTGCTTGTACGCGGGAATAAGGGTTTTGCTGATCGCATCCTTGACATGTTTCTCGATAACGGGAGCGATGGAGGATGACAATGTCCGCGCAATAAGGTTGAAGACATCAGGGCGAAGAAGTAGCTTTTCGATCTCGTTTGGAAGGGCCTAAAAACCAAGTGAGCATGTTCCTACGCGTTGATACACGAATCGAGAAAGGCCTACATTATTCATGGAATCGCCAAGACCCTTCGCGATCTGACCATTCAAGGCAGCTTTCACTTCGTTCTTCGTGATGTTCTCCAGCGACGGCAAAACAGAGTTCTGAACCTCAGCCCTAACAGCCATTTCAACGACTCTGGTCGTGTTTTTGGTCAACTCATTGGAGATAAGCTTCAAGATTTTCTCTTGACGAGCGAAGTCGGCAGCTTGCTCATTGGCCCGAACCTCTTCGAGACGTTGATCTGAAGAACATTTAGACAAGACCAACAGCACGATGAACGTCTGACTTACGTTGTTTGTCCAGTTCTTTTCCGACCAATCGTCCTATGCGACTATACAATGTCTCCTCCATCTTCTTGATCTCTTTGGCCATAGCGTTTCCGATAGAGCTCTCGTTGCTACTCTCAGTTCCCTTGCCAGACTTCTCTTTACTGCTGTTCTCGTCCTTGTCTTTCCATCCAACATTCCTGCCCTTCCCCCTGCCACGTCCTTCGACAGGACGTCCTTCCTCACGCACTTGCTCTGTCTCTACCTCATCGGAAGGAGGTGATCTCGTCCTGCTGGGCCCCAAAGGAAGGGTTGACTGGACAGGTGGCGCCATGACAATAGGGGGAGTGTGTTGAGCGGCGAGTTGCGTCGCCTTGGGCTCCGTAGTGTTTTGATAGGTATATGGCGCCGATGCTGTTGGCAACTTTGACAACGCAGTCGCCAGTGCCCCGTCGAACCACTCCCGGCGAATTAGGACTTGATCTACGCCAGTAGAGTGAACAGAGAAGGCAACGAGCGCCAGATCGCCAACGGGCACTTTCGCTGCGATGCATGCGGCATGAGCCTCTTCCCCGTTAGGATCAGCGACCGCTGTCAGGATCGCAAAGTGGATAGTGGGCCTCGGCCCAACAAACTCTAAGACTTGCTGGATGTAACCGCGAGGCTCGTCACCGTTGGTTGTCTCGAAGCCCAATTTGAACGCGATCATGCTGTCGCGACGACTATTCGCAACCCACAGTGTCTGGATTCGGGCATCGTAATTTGCATGGCCGAACATATCAGAATCTTGGCTTTCTCCGTTCACAAACTTGACGGTCGCAAGGACGTTCCTACTAAGATGGGGCAAAAGTTGGAAGATAGTACCGTGCTTTCGACCAATGATGAGGCCATTGTCAACGAATGTAATGGAGGAGGGCATATCGTCGCCTCGGATCCTTTGAGACCAGAAAGGCTGATTGTCTTGGGTGTTCCAGAGAGTCAATATCGAATCTTCCGAAATCGTCGCAATAGCAGAGTGCGCAAGGTCGAACTCCATCGCAACCAGTGGCTAGATTGGATGTCAGTATCAATCCCCAAGTCGTCGAAGAAGTAAATACCGAAGACATGGAGAAAGGCTGCACAAGACGAAGTAAGTCCGATTGTACAATAGGGTCACCCCGGTACATCGCAGCCGCGTCCAGAACATTGAGGAGGTATATGTTAGCCTGCGATGCAACGGCCAAGACGTCCTGCTGCCTAGAATGCCATTTCACGGAATGTAACGCATCCGCACCGCCGGCTGGACGGATGCACAGCAACAATTTGCCGCTATAACATATATATATATATATATCAATGACCCATTAGTCAGTGGCAACAGCAAACTCACGGGACGTCGTCTGTGATGTGCTCAGGTAGTTCCCAGACTACAAAACCTCCATCAGAGGTCACACCCGCTAGTCTATTTCCGTAAACCGCCATGTCAGTAAGAGCAGTGGCAGGAGGAAATAGTTGGGGCAGCTGAAGCAAAGTACGATCGCCGCTTGATCGCGAGATCACACGGACACGACCTGATGAATGTCAGCACAAATCGTAGCGGTAACACATATGACCGACCTTTGGTCATTGCATATGCAACCCAGTGCGTTGCCCCAATAGTGGTGCCGGGGAGAAAAGTAGAATCGACCTTGACAAGAGCGATAGCGGTGGACTTGACGGCTTCGGCAGGCGCCTGAATCTCGCCCAGTGGTTGCGATACATCAAAAACAACCATCTGCGGCTGAGACCTGCATAGGCTTGTCAAGATCATAGCGTGCGATCGGAGGAGGGATTACTGACTGAGGGCCCGATTGAGACCTGCCTTTCTGACCAGAACCCCGAGCTCGGCCTTCATGTCCTTTCCAGCTCCCGCGCGGACTGGGAGAATGATCTTTATCCCTAGTAATCTGACCCACGGGAGATCCCGCCAGTGGTCCCGCCACGATATCAGAGGAATGCGCATCCCTGCGCGGCTGAGCGGGGACCTTCGGGGGAGAATTTCGAGGAGAAGACGACTGAGTGGGTTTCGGAGGTAGAGGGCGTGGTTGAGTTCTGGTTTGAGAGGACTGCTCCACAGGAGTCATCTCACCGCTCGAAGGCAAGACATCGTATGGGACGGAGTGGCCGGAAGATGGTTGCGTCCTGGTCAACTGGTCAATGAGGTTGTCGACGGACTTCCTTTTTGGATCAGAAGCAAGAGATGGGGGCGACCAATGTTCTTCTTGACCACTTAACCCACCTTGCGAGAGCGTGGCAAGGGGAGCAGGCTTCCTTGCCGGATTCAAAGTCGACGCTAAAGCATCAAATGGTGAGACGAATTCGAAGAAGGGTTTTTGAGACGGAGACGGAGGCTGCGGCTCTGTTTGACCAGCAGGTGAACCGTTAAAATTCTCGCGTGCCTCTCCGTGAGGTGTGGAAAGTTCCGGTTCGTAATAAGAGCCAGTCTCATGTTGAGATATGTCATCAGGAGGAGAGACATAGGGAGGGGATGGTCCAAGATGTGGCAGCAAGGAAGCTTGGGTATCACCGTAATTTGGTTGGGGAGCACTAGGTAGATAAGATCATTTAGTATATCGCTTCAGTCGCAAGACGAGTAACAACGGGCATTATGGCGAGTGGGCATTCACTGTACATTCTCAAAGAGACGGCTGCAATAATCGCGATCCGTCTTGCCCATGAAAACGCGATAAATCATTGCATTCATGAATGGTCGATCAATTAGATCGAACAGGCCTCCAACTTTACGTCTCGAAGATAGTAGGAAGCTCCCTGGCGAGAGATAGAGATAGAGAAGACAAACTCTCACCCTAGTATCAGTTTTTCGAGCAATAACCTGCCCTGTGACTCGTTGTCGTTCGAATACCCAGATCGCTGAGATGAACCTGGGGGGGTCGGAATCTGCTGAAGCGCTGGTAGGGGGGCCGGACCTGACGGGACATCGGAGGGCACCGAGCTAAGGAGAGATAGTAAAGCACTCTGCCTACTCTCAGGAATGGTGATCGGAGCAGACGCAGATGGAGACGCTGACTGCGCCATAGAGGAAACTGGCGTAGCCGGCGCAGAGTTATGTTGCGAACCAGAGAAAGGGCCCCCTCCGCCCCGGTGCCCCGCTGATGCGCTCAAGTTACTGAAAAGAGATTCTACATGGCTGGGAGATGACGATTGAACGTGTCCTCGTAGAGACCCGGTAGGAGAAATGTGTTGATGCTGCTTTGTCTGCTGCGGCTGGAAAGTTTGGTCTCCGTAAGGGTGCTGTGGCCCAGGTGGGCTGGAGCCTCTAGAGAAAAGATTGCGAATCTCGCCTGAGCGATCCATGAGGAAGATCAACCAATGGTGTGAGTGTGTTGGGGAGAGGAGGGTGAAGGGTGCAGAGATCAAGTTCTCAACGCCCAAGTCTTCAGAAAGGCACGAGGCGGAAACGTTGTAGCCACGCGGCTCGGCCACTGCCGTAGCCCACTCTATTCTCGACAACCCTTGTCGCTGCGCCTAACGGTGTCCAGCCCTGGGTGTAGGGTGACCTGTTTATAGATTCGGCAGACTTGACACTTCAAATGCTCACAGCATACTTGTTAGGGTCGTTTGCACTCGTTGAGCACGTAAATCAACTACTACACATTCCACGACGACGATGACCACCTTCAATTCAAGCTTCACATGGATCAAGGCATGTCTGAGAATGTCTAGATGCTGACGAGAATGAAGTCTTGACTTGAGATGATTGATCGTCGTGGGTATTCCATCTCAAGCGCATGCAACGAATGCATTCATGTTACTACATGTCTATTGATTGTACTATCGAATCTACAGTGTCTGGAACAGCCTATCGAACTACACATGCATGTGCGCATTAATGTGATTCTTTCGAAGTGAAGACACAAAGTCCTTCTTGGGCGAAGACCGGTTGATGTCGAGTTCCCGCGATCGCCGAGGAGCGAGGTCTGCGAACAGTGAGGATGTCCACGAAACATCACGAATAGGTGAACAGACGTAGACCAGCGTTAGTGACATCGTCCAATCTTGGAAACAGTAAGTAGTCTTGATCAAGCTGGAACGATCAGTACGAGCAATCGTGAATAGTCATGAACTTCCCAGAAGAAATATGAACCAGAACCAAGTAAGGCAAAGTAGAATGCTATGCTTGAGCGAAAACCCCGCATTACTATTGCAGGAGCCATGACTGCCAGATGCTCCGTTCGGATCCAGAGACATGTGCATTCGCGTGTCCGATGGTCGACACGGATAAGAAATCAAAGATCGATCGAAAGGGGGCCATTCTCAGGGACGCTTCCACTGCCGTACGTAGTCCGTACGCGCAGTGATGCAGAGTGGGACAATCTCTAGAAGACTAGCCTGTGTATGGAGTCCTGAGGCCGGATGATGGAGCACAAGGCACTGGATCAGGCATGGACAACGCACTCTGTCAAAAGATGGCCTCCAAGGTCGGGATCAGTACGGAGACCGCAAAAGTTCCGCCCGAGGATGGCAGTTAGTATCGTTGCTGACATCGCACTTACTGGAAAGAGATGCTTCGCGCGCTGCGCTCTTCAAGTTGGAGATATCTGGCAGAGAATTGACTTACTTGGATGCAAGGAGGGCCCGAGGCCGAAAATCCAATTGAGATCCGATCATCTGAGAACAAACACGTGCATACAAGTGCGATAGCATAAAAGGCCTGCGTTTCCACTTTGAAAGATCAGAACCGAAACACACCTGTTTTCTCCCACAATCAACCCACAACTCGTCTCAACCTTTGAACTCATCATGCAGGCCGTGAGCGTTGTTTCACCATATATACCCTCCGACACTGACATTGCTTCTCTAGACTGTCATCGTGAACACCCAGCATTGCGGCTCCAGCACCTGCGGCTGCGGCGCATCGTTCGTGCATGTCTCTCCCTTCCATCCGTGTAATGCTCATCTGTAGGGTTCCCTGCATCAGCTGCCAATGCAAGCCCAACGAGTGCAAATGTTGAATACTCACTACGATGTCACCGCAACGTGCTGTAGGAAGTAGTTATCTGGGAGGTTGAAGGAAGCGAGGCCCAATGTCACCAATGTGTTGTATGTTTGAATAAGATGTTTATCGATTGTATCTTGTGATGTGAGGACAATCCAGAGAATTCAACATTCGACGTTCGGACCAGGGCTGATGTACACTTGCGATATCTGCCATACAAACGAGTAAACTATCAGTACGGGAGGTATGGTCCCTCAACGGCTTAGCTCGGCGGCTGGTAGTCGTTCGTTAGTGCTGGATCGGAAGTAGATAGCAGCAAATGGAACTGACCAAGCGCCCGATACCTTTGACGTCGAGAAGGGTCGACTGATTCCAATTGCTGCAGAAGATCGATGCATTGTTGAACAAGGGCCTTTGCCTCTAATGACCCGATGTGGGTAGGATGCTTGCGCAATAGAAGTTGCTTGTAATAGACGAGCGTGTCCATGCACCCTAAAGAGGCCATTGTATAATGATGACGCAGGAACCAAACGCAGGTACTCACATTTACTATCAGGTTGTTCGTCCAGAAGTTCCTGTATGACGACAATCTCGCGCTCAAGGAGCTTGTAATCGTCCCCTGTACCGATAAGAGTATCAAATGACGCCCTCGTATGATGCGAGGGACAACAGGGGACAAGTCTACCTGTGCCGATAAGCCAGCGGTGATAGAGCCAGACGCTCTGATCGTTTGGGTCTGTATACATGGCGTTTTGAACCAAATCAAATTCTGAAAACGAATTGTTCAGCAACGCATCGGTGATAGCACAACAGCTGACTACCTTGCTGGAGGGACGAATGTTTATCAAGCTTGCCACTATCCCATAGGGACGCGAGAACTTTGGTTCTCTGGTGCCATGCGCTAAAGTTTGAGAAATTAGCTTCGATCTTGCGAGTGGTTGACGCAAGCTCGACGATCTCTGGTCTTCGAACGGGCATGCTCGCAAGAACGTAGCGTCGGTAGCCCCATGCAAGGACTGCGGAGAGGGTCGTATAAGTTCGGGCTGAGCGAGATGCCGATACATACAGTTTCGAGCATCCGCATCCAACATCTTCTCCACGATGAACAATTCTCTCTCCCAGCTTGCCTTCCTCCACCCATGCTCATCGTTATTGTCACCACCATCTGGAATGTTCTCGAGGCACCATCGTCTGTGATTCCAAATCCAATAGACTTTGGGGTGTGCCTTGAGAGCCGTTGTCGTCATGTCTAGGTCATTTGACAGAATTCCATTGATTTCCGCAGGCGAACTAAAAATATCGCGTGAGTAGTTGCCTCTCAAAGGGATCATGCAGAGGGACCTTGAAGGAAATATGCCTCGAGTAAGGATGTTTCGGCGGTAGTTCCAAATAGTGTAAAACTCGGGATTGATGTTCAGAAGACGCGAAGTCAGTTCGAAAGCCTCTCCACTCCAGTCGTTGCTCTTTTTCTGTGTATGCTTGAGGTCAGTCTCACGTCTATATTTATATGGGAAACGTACTTTGGAAAGAACTTTATCGGTGAGGGCTAGATAAGCCGCCAGCTTTGCTTTTTCCTTCTGCTTCTTCTCCTCTTGAACCTTGAGACTTTCTCGAACGCGTCGCACGCCATGCTTCGAGACGAGAGTCAGCAGATTTCGATACAAGCGATAGATACAGTGCAGACCATGGCGTCTGATGAATAGTGTTTGAAGGGTGAGGTGGTGGTAGTGGTCAAGATCAAAGTTCTCGACCTGATAGTGAAAGGTGCAATATGTCTGCCTCGACATCGAGGGCGTGGTTGACGCGATTCCCAGACGCGTAGTGACCGTGGGAACAGAGTAGTCTGGGTGCCGGATTGTTAGCCTTTGCCATCGACCACGACGTCGAGGATCACTGTCCTCTCGTCTTCTCAAAGATGCCTTCCGTTGTACTGGAAACACCGACGCTTGAGTCCCTGCAGGCTCCATTTCCTTTGGCATTCCCTGTGCCCACCCCGGTCACTCATCCTGACCTCGTGTCTCCAAAAGACATCCACCGTGAGGAGGATCTTCTCCGCAACCCTTCTTCCTTCCGTCACTGGTGGACTGCGATTCATAGCACGAGAGATGCTCAGAACGCTCTGCAGAAGCTCGAAAAGTCATCCGGCCTCGAGCCTGAAGTGGCAGCTCTTCTAGGACCTCTTGCCTCTCCCGCTGCTCGGAAGTCACTACAACGTCTCACGTATCTATACGAGGCCGCTCTCGTTCACTTTTCGGCTTCTTTTAAACTATGGAAGTCGTATCTTCATATGCGCATGTCTTATGTGCTGGGCAAGCAACTTATTAGGAAGAGGGCGGGTGGGCGGAAGAAGTTTCCTGAGATGAAGGATGCGCTGGAGGAGGAGCAGGAGGATCTGGAGGAATGGGAAGGTGGATTAGACGGCGTCGTCGGCTGGGAAGAGTGGAAGGCTCTCGTTGCTACCTTCGAGCGCGCTCTTATGTGGCTACCGAAGGTACGCGTGGAAACCATCTTCGATGAGTTTAGACTCACTGCAACGTTCTCATAGCTGCCTAGGCTATGGCTCATGTATGCCTCAATCTTCAATCACCCCCGATGTCCTTCTGTACTCTCGCACTCCCATGCTCGCCGAACATTTGACCGTGCTCTTCGAACTCTTCCTCCATCCCTTCACCACCGAATATGGGTGCGTTATCTCCTTTGGGCGGAGAAAAAGGGTGGAACTACCACTGTTGCAGTCTATAGAAGATACCTTGCTGTCGATCCTAGCGTCACTGAACGCTACACCGCTCTCCTTCTCTCACCAAGCAATCCCTCCCCACGCCCCTTGGAAGCTGCTAAGCTTTTATTATCCCTTGCCCGCAAGGCTGCTCGAGGAGAATACACGAGCCCCGAAGGCAAAAGCCCATATCAGCTTCTCGGAGAATGGTTAGACGTTGTCGAATCTCATGCCGAAGAGGTTGGTTTGGATGCCGATGAGACTGCGGAGGCAGTCGAAGCCGAGAAGACGGTAGAGAACGAGAACGAGAACGCCAACGTCGCTCAAATTTCTCCTCAACCTGCCTCCGTGGGTGGACAACTCATTCGCTTTGCCGGTCCTCCCGTCACTGTCACAGCCGCCGGCGAGCCAGCGCCTCCGTACGATGAAGATGAGGATCCAACCAGTGCTCGAAAGCTCAATATTGAGAAAATTATTCGTCAGGATGGCCTTGCGAAATACAAAGATCAAGCGGGACGGCTCTGGACTGGGCTTGCAACGTACTGGATCAAGCGCGGCGAGTTTGATAGGGCGAAGGCAACATTCGAGTCTGGAATTGGATCCGTTCTCACCATTCGTGACTTCACGCAGATCTTCGACGCATACGCAGAGTTCAGCGAATCTTTGATCAGTGCTTTAATGGACAACTTGGCGAATCTTGATGAGGACGATGATGAGGAAGAAGCACAGGCGGAAACAGATGCAAGGATGAAGGAGTTCGAAGCTTTGATGGACCGGAGACCGTTCTTGGTTAACGATGTGTTGATTCGGCGAAATCCTAACGACGTGCAAGAATGGGAGAAGCGGGTCGCTCTTTGGGGCAAAGACGATGAGAAGGTATAGTCCGCCGAGCTTTACTTTAATGCACAGTACTCACGTATTGTTGTCAGGTTGCCGAAACATATACCCAGGCGCTCTCAACCATCAACCCTCGCAAAGCAACGGCCAACTTCCACCGTCTGTATATCAACTTTTCCTACTTCTACGAGGAGGGAGGTGCGACGGGACAGGCCGAAGTCGATCTCGACAATGCTAGGAAAATTCTGGAGAAGGCGACCAAAGTCAACTTCAGAACTGTCGAAGACCTCGCAGAGGTTTGGTGTGAGTGGTCTGAGATGGAGATACGGCAGGAGTGAGTTCGCAGTCATCTGGGCGTGAATATTATTGATATCGCGTAGGCAATATGACGAGGCTATCCGCGTCATGCAGCGCGCTGCTGCGATCCCGAAGAACACCAAGATCAATTACCATGACCATGTAAGAGATTTTTCAAGCCCCTCATATCATCCTTTTGATCTCCGTATCAGTCTCTTCCAGTCCAGGCCCGCCTGTTCAAGTCTCTCAAGTTGTGGTCCTTCTATGTCGACCTTGAAGAATCCTTGGGGACGGTTGAGTCCACCAAGGCAGTCTATGACAAAATCTTGGAGCTACGCATCGCGAATGCTCAGGTTCTCGTGAATTACGCTGCATTCCTCGAGGAAAATAAATATTTCGAAGAGAGCTATAAGGTTAGTGAAATGCTTTGCCCAATTTGCAGATGTCCCATTTTGTCCTCCAGGTCTACGAACGAGGCGTCGAACTGTTCACTTTTCCTGTTTCATTTGAAATCTGGAATATATACCTTTCGAAGTTCATCAAACGCTATGTAGGTTCTACACTGTCATTAGCTCGAACTCTTACTTAGCTTATCAATTTGTAGGGCGGCACTAAACTGGAACGTGCTCGCGATCTCTTTGAACAAGCACTTGAAAAATGCCCACCCAAGTCATGTAAACCAATCTTCCTGATGTATGCTCAACTAGAAGAGGACCATGGTTTGGCAAAGCGTGCAATGACGATATATGATCGCGCGACCCAAGCTGTTGCGGACGAAGACAAATTCTCAGTGAGTACATCAATACTTCCTTCGCGAGCAGCGCTCCGACATTGACAACTTTATATCTAGATGTTCACGATCTACATCGCAAAAGCCGCCGCAAACTACGGCCTTCCTGCCACCCGACCTATCTATGAACGTGCATTGGAAGTCCTTCCAGACCGGCAAACCGCGCAATTGTGCCTACGCTTCGCCTCACTTGAACGCAAACTCGGGGAAATCGATCGTGCACGAGCAATCTACGCACATGCCTCTCAATTCTGCGACCCTCGCGTCAACCCCGACTTTTGGGCAGAGTGGCATGCCTTCGAGATCGATACGGGTTCAGAAGACACCTTTAGGGAGATGCTTAGGATCAAGAGAAGTGTGCAGGCGCAATTCAACACGGAGGCGAGTTATTTGGCTGCGCAGACCATGGCGACAAGATCAGGTGCACCTGCGAAGGCAGTCAGCAACGACGTGGCGGCGACGGCAGATCCGATGGCTGCAGCGGAAAAACAGGCGGGCGGTGGAAAGAGTGGTCCGGCGTTTGTCGCTGCGAAGCGTAGCGCAGTACAGAATGAGGATACGGAATCGCCGAAACCCGCAGAGTTCGTCGCCGCTGCTGGGAACGACGACGAGATTCATATCTCGGACGATGAAGATATTTGAGCTATTTGTCCCATTGGCTTGGTGTATCCATAGTGCTTTTTTAGTCTTTTACTTTATATTCATCGCATCCTCCTATGGCATTTCAAGAGCTAGCGGGTGTCCCATCGGTCGATTTCGGCCAGACATAAGTCCTCCCATTTAGCATCCCAGCCGTCTTCTTCAAGCCATGGCTGCTCCACCCACTTGTTCATCGCATCACGAGAAGCCTCAAAGGTTACGGAGTGGTGACGCAGTAGATTCACAACCTCGATGTGTAGGTCAAGGGACCGGCGGTATGGCCGAAGAATTTCTGATACCGATGTGACTTCGAAAGAGATGAGCAGGAATCGCGCTCAGCACGAAAAGTGGTACACACCGAACTTTTCCAAGGGCCAGGTGGTCCAGAGGGGCTCCTCGCGGACCCAGGTCCATCCTTTCATTTTGTGAGCTTCTGACAAGACCGCTTCGAGATTTTCTATCGACGAATTCATTTTCTGGAACTGTTTTCGCTGTGGCCGTCATCGTCAACGTTAGGCATTGTGAAGACGATCTGAGCGAGTATTCTTACGAGTTTCAGGATCACTAGATCCATGTCTGCTATGCGGTCTTCCATGAACGACAGCTTCGGGCCTACGATCCGCGTTCGAGGTTGGTTGCCTTCTCCTATGGCCGACAACTGGTTGCTGCAGTATCCGTGAATATTTCACTCTGAGACACAAGAGAGAAAATTTTACTCAAGATCTGTCCGCGCATCGACCAGACTTCTAATGACTTTTACGCCGTCCATAAGAACGAGGTCATCCCACGTCTGGCAAGCCGCTCGCAGCTCTTGCAAATACGTTCGAACTTTACGATGATATGTCGATTCAGTAGATCGGGCCGGTGATGATGGAGATTTTGGCTGGTGCTTGATCTGTACAGGAGAGGAAGTGGGTGTCGATGGGCCGTGAAAGGATGCCAGTCGTCCGCTCATGGTGGGCAGATTGCCAAAGAGGATGTTCTTTGCAGTCGGACGGATGTCACAAATAATGTGAATTTCCAAGTCGCTGAGAAATCCTGACCGACGGATATTCAGGCTCAAGAATTAACGACGTTGATGTATATGGTGCGTCCGTACTACGACGTTGATCTTAATTGAACGCGTACGAGAAGAGGAGCTCATGTGATGTCCTCCGAAAGGCACGTGGACCGTATGTAGCTCACGCAGCCGCGTCGGTTTCCGCTCCTGCCTTGCTTTCGTCCCCAACCCCACGATATACAGCAAGAATGGACCCAGATGCGCCGATCAAGGTCAACAACAACCACAAGCCAGCAGAGTTCCTGAGGGCAGAGGCGGAGCTCGTCCTGGACGAGGTGCCATCCGATTAGTCTCTCCTTCTCAGAATCCACTGACTTTGATACGCAGGCAAGGAGACAAAAGGCGGAGAAGAATAAGGATCTCGGCGAGCCCATAAAGCTCCAGGGTGTTCCCATAGACATTAAGATTCGTGGGAGACACATCTGGATCGCAGAGAATACCGCCATTGCTCGAAAGATGGATTTGGAAGTATGTCATTTGAAATGAGGGGCTGGCCAATCCTTGCGGAGTTGTTGATCTTCAGTAGACAGGGCGGACGTTGCAGATATATCGAGGCCATTTTGGTCCTGTTACATGCATCGCGCTCTGTGACAGAGTTGCGGGCTCTGGGGACGGGAAGATATTGATAACTGGTTCATGGGACCAGGTATGAGCGTGTTTCTCTGTGTTATGATTCCACATGACTGACCGGGTTGGACTTCAGACCATCAAGCTGTGGGACACAGACGTGAGTTCTCTTTGTGTTAATTTGTGTAATCCAGAGGCTCACGGTTTGAAGACGAAAGCCTTGATCTCGTCAACGCCAGCCCACGAGGACTTTGTCAAGGTACTTCTAGTGATACCTTCCCTCAACCTTCTGGTCTCAGGAAGCTCTGACAAAGTAGTACGCTTTTGGCATGTATACATTCATCGCCCTCTAACGATACACTAGCTAACATAAAAGTTATCAGGGACCTATCGTCGCCCTCTTCATTAGAGCCGCTACCCTCGCTAGGCTCGATATCCGCCCACACACGACCGGTCGAAGCTCTCGATGTCCACATTTCTCCCGACGGCGAATCAAAATCCTCGGTAGTACTGTTCACTGCTGACACGATGGGCATGATCAAGGCATGGGATCTAAGTAGGCAAGGCGGAGACCGGCCGATATGGCGAAGCACTCTGCGCGATGACCTCGGATACCACCGGACGCGGGTGAACGAGCTGATGTACGGAGATGGGCACCTATGGACAGGTTCGCATGCCCGTCTTCAGACAGAACCCGTGCTGAACCCTGATCGGTGCCCACGCAGCCTCGTCTGATGAGACGATCCAGATCTATCAATACCCCCCGCCCCCATCTAGCCAGAAGCAGCCGAAGCCAGTGCCCCCCATCACCCACCCCACCGGGTTCAGGGCCGTCCTGCCGCTCCCGATCCACCCCCAGCTGGACGCAGACGCGTTCCCGTATCTGCTCGGGGGGAGCGGCGATCTCATCCGTGTGTACGACATCTCGTCGCTCGAGGAGCCCGAGTTCATCCGTGAGGTCGAGGGCCACTGGCACGACGTGACGCATCTGCGCGTGTGGTTGAGGGATCGGAAAGAAGGGAAGGGGAAGGAGGTGTGGATCGTGAGCGCGAGTCTCGATGGGACGATTAGGAAATGGAGGTTGGCCGGTAAGTTTCTCCACCTCCTCGAAGATGTTTGCCCCGAGCTTGACATGGCACTTGCAGACATAGTTGTTCCGCCCAAGCCCGTCCCAGAGGAGAAGAAGGAAGCTACGATCGCGGTACCACCTCCAAAGGCCGGGGGTGCATTTGAGATGACAGAAGAAGAGGAACGGGAGCTTGCAGAACTGATGGAGGACGATTGAACATCTTCTGACCGATGACAGCCACGAAGCCCATCGCACCGTTAACATACAATATCGCCCTGTAAGTTATTATACACAAAACCAAGCTGTATGTATAAATCCTTAAATCGTCTTGTGATCTTGTGCTCAATCCCAAATGCATCATAGCTTCGCCTTCTGTGGCTGAATGACGAAGCTGTTCGCCGACGCAAGGCTCTTGGCTGCCGTGGTGACGAGTTCGTCGACGCTTCAGAAAATGATATCCGGAAATTAGCCTTGCACAGAGTCGTCAAGGCAGGTGCTTACATGTCCTTCGCTGGCTTGATATCCTGTACATGAATGAGAACCGGAATAGCCCCAGAGCGAATGGTAGGCAAGGACTCACATTGATAGAGCCAGCCACCCGGCCCATCAGCCCTGCAAGTCGACGCTCTGGCATGAGTACTACACGCCGAACACTTCAAGAACCACACTCACACATTCTGCCTTCGGGCGATTTTTCAGGATGTTTCTCGAGTTCGACCTCGTGCGGTATCTTGCCCTGTGATGTCAGCTTGCGAATTTCCTCGTGACGATTCTCCTCCCTTCCTCTCGCGCGTCAACGAAGCGGCTAGGACTTGACATTCTATCCCACTTACCAGTCGCGGACGTAGTCCGTCTTGCGGACGCTCATCGGCCGCCCTGAGTAGAGCAGCGTCCTCACGGTGTCGTCGTACCCAGCAGACACGACGAGCTGCTTGTGTATCGGCGGCGCGCCTGCCTCTTCGCTCGCGACGAAGCGCGTGCCGACCCAGACCCCCGACGCGCCGTAGGAGAGCGCGGCTGCAAGGCCCCGGCCGTCGGCGATGCCACCCGCTGCGACCACCGCGACGGGCTGTCCGGTGAGCGGGCTTGTGGCGCCTTTGCAGAGGTCGACGACGGCGGGGATGAGGATGGAGAACGGCGTGTCGCCCGTGTGTCCGCCGCCTTCGCCGCCTTGGGCGCCGATGATGTCAACACCTGTGTTTTGTGAGATCAGGTAAGCATGCGGACGTAAAGGTATTTCGGGAGATGGGCCGTTCCTTGGGCGAGCGCCTTTTTGACATGCTGGAAGATGTGCGCAGAGGTGAGACGTGCGTCGTCTCAGTTGTCGAGGGCTCACCTTTGGGTGTCCTATCATGCTGACGTTAATTGAATGTCAGCTCGATTCGACAGGTTTGATGATGCGGGGTCGTACTTCATGACGGCGATCCCGGCGGCGTGCAGTTTGTCGACCACGTCCCTCGGAGGGACGCCTACGGCACAGACAAAGAGGGTGGCCTTGCTTCTGATGATGACGTCTATGAGCTCCGAGAGCTGGCCCTTGGTGTAATCGTGCTTCGGGATAGATCGTGGGTCGTCCGCGTCCATTCACAGCCAGCCAAGCAAGCAAACGGACGCACGTTGGTCTTCCGCGCGCCTCCCCCGATCTTGGGGATGAGCAGGTCGACGCCGAAGGGCGCGTCCTTGTGCTCCAGATGGCTCTTGAGCTCGTTGATGGATTCCTGCAAGAATTTGGGGCTCTGGCGAACGCCTCCGATGACGCCGATGCCGCCTGCCCAGCGGCTCGTGATCTGCTTTGGCCGCCTGGATGTCAGGAGCGTGGCTTACCTGCGTTGGTGACGGCCGCAGCCAGTTTGGGTCCGGCGGCGATGTTCATGCCTACATATTAGTATGATGAGAGTAGTCAACTTTGAGTGATTGAGTGTAGTAGAAGTACCGGCAAGCATGACGGGGTGGTTGATGTTGAACAGCCTAGTGAGAGGCGTGGAGAACACCTGCTCTGAAGACGGCATGGCGGCGATAGGATGGTACTGCAGCAAGAGAGGGACGCGTCCCCAGGTTTCTGACCTTGTGCCCGAGCGTTCAATTGAATGTCCTTCCCCACACTCGGCAAGCGTCGGCAAATCGCTAGCCGGTCCCGTTCGGGCCGCGTGGGACGGAGTGGTCACGCCCTGGATTGCCCATTTTCTGCGAGAGCACAGACATGACCGACAAGTGCCCCGTCGACCACCCCGCCGTCGCCGCCGCCGCTGCCGCCGCCGCCGACGCGTGCCCCGTCGACCACACAACCCGCTCCACGTGGTCCACCGTCCTCTCCCACCCCTCCTCCAGCACCCCCTCCACCCCCGCCGCGCCCGCACCGCCGCCCGCCGCCCTCTCGACCGCGCGCGAGACCTCCTCGATCCCGCGCGGCGACGGCGAGCCATGGGTGTACCCGTCCGAGTCGCAGTTCTTCGCCGCGATGGCCCGCAAGCACCACAACCCGCAGGCGCCCGACATGAAGGTCATCGTGCCCATCCACAACGCCGTCAACGAGCGCGCGTGGGGCCACGTCCTCGCCTGGGAGCGCGGCCGCGGCGGCGCGGCGTGCGGCGGTGTGCGGCTCGTCAGCTTCAAGGGCAGGCCGCGCGACCTGACCCCCAAGGCGCGGCTCTTGACCCTCGTGGGGTGCGTCGCTCGTCTCGCCTCGCCTTCATGTTTTCCATCCCCCTCTTTTTCGAGCGTGCGACGACGGCTGAGGCTGAGTCTCTTGCGAGCAGGTACGCGCCCCCGTTCGACAGGCACGACTGGGTCGTCGACCGCTGCGGCACCCGCATCCGCTATGTCATCGACTTTTATTCCGGGCGCAGTCCCGCCCCGGGCTCGGCCGCCCCGTCCTTCTTCCTCGACGTGCGCCCCGCCCTCGACAGCTGGGAGGGCATCAAAATGCGCGTGGGCTCGCTGATGAGCTCCTTCACGTCCCCTGCGCCAGCTCCCCCGCAGCCTCCGCCTAAAAACCAGTCGTGATACCGTACCTTACACACCCGCGCACGCGTATTTAGCACCCCACTAAGAATCTAGCTCAGTGTTCGATGCGTGTGCGCTGCTCGACGGTGAAAATGCGAAAGCGGTACAGTGATACAACAGGGCACGTATGTGTGTGCGGCTACCGCTTGTTCCTCGTCTTCGCTTTTTTGGCCGGGGGGCGTTCGGGCTCTTCCTCGCTCTCCTCTCCGTCCGACGCCCCCTCCGCCTCTTCCCCGCTGACCTCCCCGTCGCTGATCTCTTCGTCCTCGTCCCAATCGTCGTCGTGAATGCCCTCCTCTTCTGCTTCCTCGTCCTCGTCCTCTTCTTCGTTTTCGTCTTCGTCTTCGTCCATATCGTCCCCATCGGCCTCGTCGCCTTTCGCACCCTCCTTCTTTTTCCGCCGCACGTTGCGCTCCTGCTCCTCCCTCCGCTCCTTGCGCAGCTTGGCCTTGGCAGCGTGCGCCGCCTTTTGCGCCGCCGTCTCGGCCTTTGTTTTCTTGACTGCACGAAACAAAGCGATTGGATCGCGTCCGGTCAGAATCGCGCCCACGCAGACAACGAAAAAAAAGAAAAAAGTAAGAAGTAAGAAGCGAATGAAAGCGAGCGCGCACCGAATTCGTGGTAGATCACGCCGCCCTCCTTGCCGGGCACGCCCTCCGTGATCTTGACCAGCCGGAGCTCCATCCGCGGCCCGATCTCGTCCAGCCGCACGGCCTTCTTCTGCCCCTTCCGATTATTCCGCCCGACGTAGTCGTCCGCGAGCGACACCGCGTCCGCGTCGTCCCCCGCGACCGAGCTCGCCGTCGACGCCGCGCTCTCGTACCCATCCGGCCCGCCGCCGGCGCCTCCGCCCGCGCGGCGGAGGACAAAGTCCGCGACGTCGCGCTCGCGGCCGAGGTCGACGACGGCGGCGTCGGCGTCGCCCTCGAGCACGCGGCGCACGCGGCGCGAGACGCCGTGCGGCTTGACGGCGATGCGGAAGTGCCGGAAGTCGACGGTGCCGCGCGCGGGGTTGTAGGCGACGAGGACGATGCGGCGCGCGGAGGAGAGGGTGAGGGTGTGTGGGGCGAGCGGGGGGAAGAGCGTCTGGAAGGCTTTCATGACGAGCGGGAGGTGCGGGGGCGTCGTTGGGGAGGGCGGGGGGAAGGAGGCGAGGACGAGCTAGAGTGAGTGGGTGAGTGAATGGGTGTGAGTGTGTGTGAGCGTGTGAGTGTGTGAGTGTGTGAGTGTGAGTGCGCGGAAGGGGTGCGTGTGCGACGCACCAGGGGCGGGCTGAGGTACTCGACCATGCCGAGGCTCTTGGTGTGCTTGCTGGCGCGCTGCACGTCCTTGATCAGGCTGTACCGCTCGATGCGGAAGCTGAGCGTCGGGCCGTGCGAGAGGCGCACGATGCGCAGCGACGGCGCGACGTCCGTGAGCGTGAACGCGAGCAGGTGGGTCACCTGCAGCGCGGGCGCCATCGTCAAAAAGTCCTTCAGCTTGTTGCGCGCGCGCTCCTGCGCTCGCCAGACCGCGTCAGCGTACGCACCAGCGAGAGAACGGAAGGAAGGAAGGAAGGAAGGAAGAGGGAGGGAGGGAGGGAGGGGCTGACCCTGAGGCGGCTGGCGGTGTTGGGCTCCATGACCTTGCGGACGTCGCGGGTGAGCTGGGTGAGCGAGTGGCCGACCTGGCCGTGCTTGATGACGAACGACTTGGGCACGCTGCTCGCCGCGGCGGTCGCGGGCTGCGCGCCCTTGAGGTGCGTCCTGTTCTTGCGTTTGCGTGCCATCGAGTCCCGGGTCGAATCAGGAGAAAATACTGCTGCCCACCTCGCAGCCTCATTTGGGCATCGCGCCACACCACCGGTCCGTCCGTGGCGTGCGTGGTACTTGTACAGTACCAACGACCGTCGATTAATGCGTACCTACCCAAGCAACAATATACACATGAAGAAGAGAGCGAGCGAGCGAACGACTACCACGACCAGCAAGGTCCGCATCCGCGACACAACTCAACAAAACAAGCAATAAAAAAACCAAGACGATAAGACAATAAAACACTCGAACCAATACAGGGGGTCGACAGATATATATAACAGTAAACAAAACGAACGAACGAACGAACGGATGGATGGATGGATGGACGGGCATCGGCGCTGCGCCAGCGCGGCGCACCTATACCTAATACCTTATACCTATAGCGAGGCGAGGCGAGTGGGGAGTTACAATAACCGCCCGTGGAGGGGGGCGCACGGCAGAACGAAGATAGTACACGGCCGAGTCGCGGCGGCGCCGAGGGGGGTGCGTGGTGGCAGAAATACAGCTCCTAAATTCACAGTGATGCATTAGCCGAGTTACTTGGAGAGATGGGGGTGGGTCGGCGCGCGGGCGCAAGCGCTCGCGCACGCGTATTAAGAGGGCCACGCTGGCGGATGTAGGCTCTGGGCGCGATGAGGCTGGATTAGACGTGTATGTGGACGGGGGCGGTGGGCGTTGGTGTGGGGCAGCGCGGGTATACGGTGGGGAGAGAGGGGGGGTGGGGGTGCGCAGTAATAAAAAAAAGACGAAGACGAGGCGGGAGAACGCGGGCGAGGGGGTCAGAACTCGGTGAACTGGAAGCCGACGACGTCGAAGCCCTGGTGCGCGTGCGGGGGCGTCTCCGCGCTGAGCAGGCCGGGCACCTCGTGTGCGGGCGGGAGAGGGAGGCGGGTGAAGTAGCGCGTGTCGTCGACGGCGGTCATGTGCGGAACGATGGGAGCCTGGTGGACAGGGAACAAAAATGAACGGACGCACACGGACGGAGGGGACGGAGGGACGAACCCGGATTTCGCGGCGCTCGAGCGCGTCCCAGTCGACGCCGCGGAACCAGGCGTGGTGCAGCACGTCCTGGGGGCCGTTGATGAGGTTCCCGAGGCGCTTGCTCCTGTCGGGGTGCAGGAAGCCCCTGACGAGGTCGCGCGAGAGGGTGTCCATGTCGCGCGGCCAGTGGACCTTGCCGCGCAGGATCTTCTCGTAGATGCCGTACGCGTTCTCGTCGAAGAAGGGCGGGTAGCCGACCATCATCTCGTAGGCGAGGATGCCGCAGGCCCACCAGTCTGCGGGCTTGCCGTGGCCGTCGGACTGGATGATCTCCGGGGCGAGGTACTCGGGGGTGCCGCAGAGGGTCCAGGTGCGATCGTCGACGATCTTGGCGAAGCCAAAGTCGGTGAGGCGGAGGTAGCCGCGGGCGTCGAGGAGGAGGTTCTCGGGCTTGAGGTCGCGGTAGATGATGTTGAAGGAGTGGAGGTAGCGGAGGGCGAGGACGATGGTGGCGAGGTAGAAGCGGGTGACGTCCGGGGTGAAGCGGCCCGTGCGGCGGAGGTGGGTGAAGAGCTCGCCGCCGGGGACGAAGGAGAGCAGCATGTAGAGGTTGAGGTTGTCCTGGAAGGTGGCGTAGAGGTCGACGATGAAGGGGTGGCGGACGCGGGAGAGGATGTGGCGTTCTGCCTTGACGTGCTCGACCTGGCGCAGGCGGATGACCTCCGTCTTGCGCAGGACCTTCATGGCGAAGAAGTTGGAGCGGCGGGCATTGGTGGGGCGGGAGCGGACGAGGAGGACGCGTCCGAAGGTGCCGGTGCCTGAACGGAAGCTGATGAGGGGGGAAGGAGAATGAAGCGGGGGAGAGAAGGCGGGGGCGGACCTAGGGTGCCCTTGAGCTCAAAGTCGGACAACTTGAGCTCGGAGTGGATGTGCTCTTGCTCGTTTTCGAGGTGGCGGAGAGGATATACGGGGGGCGTGGGACTGGACGGGACGGGACTCTCCTCGTCCTCGTCCATGTATGCGTCTCGAGCGGCGTTGCGGGCGGGGTGGTCGGAGCGGCGCGAAGGCGAGCCGTCGCGTCGGGAGAGGAGATCGTCGTCCATGTCGACGGAGTCTGTGTGTGCGGGGGACAGCGGCGGGGTGATGGGGGCGTCGGGGAGCATGGGGTCGTCGTCGGGGACGCGTGCGGGGTCGCAGAGGATGGGACGGAGCTTTGGGGAGGGGTGGGGGTGGACCATGGCGAGACGACGACGGAACGCGGCCGGTGCGGGGGGCAGGGAGCAGAGCGCGCGCGGCTCTGCGGCGACGGGGGCGTCGTGGGCGTCGTGGGGTAGGATGTGGACGGGCTGCGGCCTGCGCGTGTGCGTGGACGGAGCGAACGACCACACACCGCACGTGACCTGACGCGCCCGCGACGCCGCCTCCGCCGCATTTCACAGCCTCCGTCCGTCCTGCCAAATGCTCTCGCGCCCATAGGCTCCGTGAGGCCCCGCGTGGCCCCCGCCCCACGGTGAGCGTCTCTTCCCACAGCCTCTTCCCCTCCCTTATACACCCGCCATGTCCACCCCAGACGACCTCCCGCACGGATACCAGGCTCTCCCCGCACATCCAGACCAATCAGACCCCCTTGTGCCCGCCATGGGCAACGAAGAACAGCTCCCAAAGCCCGAGGGCAGGAAAGGCGATACCCTCGCCCTCTACGCCGCTATCGTCAGTCGTCCTCGCCCATCTACAGACTGCGCTCGCTAACGCCCCCGCAGACCGCCGCAGCCGTACAACGCCCTCTCTCCCCGAGCGGAAGTCAACTGCTGACATTTTTATTTATTTGACGCCAGATATTCACCGTCGTCACCTGGGCCATGGTGCTCAACAACAACCCCTCCGCCCTGGGCTGGTTCGCCTTCCACCCGACCCTCCAAAGCCTCGCCATCTTCTTCTTCACCCTCGGTCCGTCCTCCTCAACGCCCCCCCCCCCCCCCTCCGCCGTCGCCGACTCGCTGACCGATCCCCCGCACAGGCATACTGACCCTCCAGCCGACGTCCCAGCCGTCCACAAAGGCCGCCGGCCTCCAGCGCCACCAGATCGCAATGCTCCTCGGCGTGCCCACCATCATCCTCGGCGCCCTCTCCATCATATGGAACAAGCGCATCCACGAGGCGCCCCACTTCACAACCTGGCACGGCGTAAGCATCTCTCCACCGTTCTCCGAACCGAACATCGCTCATGCACGGCCCTGACATCGCCCTCATACGTATTGCCGTACCGCCGCTCGCCGCGCGCACGCCATCTCTTGCCGTCCGCACCGCGCAGGTCTTCGGCATCCTCTCGCTCACATGGCTCGCCGCCCAGTTCGCCCTCGGCGCAGCGAGCGTCTGGTTCGGCGGCGCTGCCCTCGGCGGCGGCCCCAGAGCCAAGCGCGTCTGGAAGTACCACAGGCGCGTTCCCCCCCCCCCCCGCAACGCACTCACACTCACGCGCTCACGCGCTCACTCGCACGCTCACACGCCCCGTGCGCAGGCTCTCCGGCTACGTCCTCCTCCCGCTCGTCCTGGCCACCGCCAACTTCGGCGGCGCGTGGTCCGCGTGGGTCACGAGCAGCAGCGCGCACGGCGTCCGCATCGTCGCGTACACCCTCGCCCCCGCCGTCATCCTCGCCTCGCTCTACAGCCGCATCAGGTGCGTTCTTCGCTGCGCCGCGGCGGCCCCCCGCGCTCCCGCGCTGACGCCCGCCTACCCGTTTCGCAGGCCCTCGAAGATGAGGTTTCTCTAGGCCTTGCTTTACTCTACCGTCTCCTCTCTTCTTCATGTCGATTCTGTATTGCGGATGGATACGCAGCACGTGAGAAATGGCTTTCGTCGGGCATCGATATTTAGCGTCCGTTGAATATTCGGCGACAAGACAAGTAAAGAGACGGAGGTAAACGCGAAAGACGCCCGAATCACTGCACTCCCTCGCCGGCGGCAGCGGCCTCCTCTGCCGCCGTCGCCGCCGCCTCCGGCACTGGCACTCTCACGGGCTCCGGCTCTGGCTCCGGCTCGGGGATCACGAACGCGAGGAAGCCAGGCAGGAACAGCTCCATGCGCTCCCTCGTCGCCGCCCACAGCAGGCGCTGCGCCTCGCTGCGCGCGTCCGCGCGCCCCGCGGGCGACGGCGGCGGCGGCGGCACGAGCATGCCCGCGGCGTTCATGACCAGCACGACGTTCTTGAGCGACTCGGGCACCGCCTCGGTCTGTGGGCGCGGTCAGGAGGAGGATCGTCAGCGAACACGGACGCAAGGCGCCGGGGGTGGCCGCGCACCATCTGGTCGCTCGGGTCGGAGCCCATGAGCGCGTCGAGCGCGTCGAGCACGCGCACCCACGGCCCGCGCACGTCGCGCGCGGGCGTCTCGCGCACCTCGAAGCGCATGAACGCCTTGCAGAGCAGCGCGGCGGCGCGGAGGCGCGCTTCGGTCGTGTCGGGGTCGCGTGCGGGCGCGGCGGCGAGCGCGGCGAGGAGCGGGAAGAGCACGCGCTCGTAGAGCTCGTCGAGCTCGGCGTCGGTGGCGGCGTCGGGCGACGCGAGCGGGCCGAGGAGCGCGCGTTGTAGCTGGGCGAGTGCGGCGTGCCGGATTTCGCGCGCGGCGCTGGTGGATTGGCGCGAGAGCGCGGTGAGGATCGGGAGAGGGAGCTGGCGCAGGCCTGTTTGTGCGTGCGTGCGTGCGTGCGTGTGCGCGTGAGCTGTGAGCGAGCGAGTGCGTGAGAGGGAGGTGGCGGGGTGCGTACGGGGGTCGGGTTTCTCGCCCGCGTCCGAGGCGACGCGCGGGAGGAGCTTCATCAGATCGGCGAGGAGGTCGATCGCCTTGCGACCGCGGTCGATCACCGGCGAGCTGTGGCGGTGTCCGTGAGATCGACGGCGCGGACGCGCGGACGGGCAGACGGCTGCTAGCGCTCACCTGGTCGAGTCTGGCTTGGGGCGGCGCCGCGGCTGCCGCTGCTCCGCCTCGACGACGATGCCCGCGGCGGTCGCGAAGTCGTCGAGCACGGCGACGAGGCCCGGGATGTTGTCGATCGTCACGCACTGCTCGGGCCCGTCGGCGATCGCTTTGTGGATCAGGTCGAAGGACGTGCGCGAGGCCTCGAGGTGCGAGACGGTGGAGCGCACGAGTGCGAGCACAAGGTTCCATTCCGTCTGTGAGCTGTGTGTGCACGCGCGCGCGCGCGCGGTGTCAGTGACTTCGTTCGAACGACGAGCACGTGGAGCCTTACTGGATGATTTCGCGGTGGTTGTGCACGATCAGCATGACCCCCGAGACGATCTGCTCCGCGACGGAGTTGGAGACCGCCGGAGGGAGGCCTCCGAGCAGGTCGAAGGATATGTAGATCTGATCCCGGAGGACAGGCTGGACGGAGGGTCAAGAGATGATCATGCGTTGATGGGACGACCGTACCTTGGTCGCGAGGATCAGACAGATGCGGAATAGCGATACGACGGCGCGCTCTATCAGCAACACGCTGTACCTCGTCGATGAAGACAGCAGAGCGCTGAGATGCTCGAACGCAATGGGCCTGTCACGACGTCAGTGGGCGCTGGGAACCTGCCTCTCAAGCACGTACCAGAGCTCTTCTATGTGCTGAGGTGTCTGGCATACCACGCTGACCATCGTCTCTAACAAAAACACAGACGCGGGGTCGTACGGGAGTGAACGCGCCGGGCTGTGATGAGGCGATGAAGACGCGTCAAACGAGGCCGTAAGTTCGTCAGACTCTTGCTGCAGTCTGGCCACGGTCCGCTCATGTGCCAGGGCTTCGAGAGAACGGACCGCCGCAGTCAGCGGCTCCAAGTTGAGCTGCCTGCAAGAAAGTCAGCCAGCGGTCGGAAGCAGGGCATGCCGACCATCCGCTCACGTTATCTGCGCATACAGTTCGTCCAGGCGGCATGTCGTGATACAGTCTATGGTGCACAACGTGTTTTCGATCTCCACGTCGGTGGCATCTGGGATGTGGCTCTCTTGCGAGGAGGTGTAGGGTGTCATCAGATACGACGACAGTGCGGACAGGAGCCCGTCGCTCCTCGGCGCTGGTCGCGCTGGGGCGTTGCTACTTCCACGTAATGGAATCATGGAAACGCCACCGAGGAAATCTTCCATCTGCAGCATCCTCGTAGGCAGCAGAGAATGGATGAACAGATTCTGAAACATTTCAAAGATCTGTTGATTCAAGGTGTCGCCTGGTTGTGAGTCGCCGCCGCACTTTAGAGAGGACAAGTCAACAAACCTGTGTCCATCCCTCGCGAACAGCATTGCCATTGCCATTGACGATGTTGAACAAAACCACCGCAGCCAGCTGACCTTTCAGGTTCGCACCGAAGTTGACGGATAGCGATGACACCGTGACAGACTGTCCTTCTACCTCGACGACAGGATATATGGGCACTTCGGTGGGAAGGGTCTCTGATAGTAGACTCGTCGCCTGCGACAACGACACGACAACATAATCGAACACGTCAGGCAGGTGGAAATGACCGGCCAACGTTGCGCATTGACGAAACCCTGCGATGGCACGCTCGATGATGTAGTCGTCGTCGAAAGTCATGAACGCATACGCGATGGCCGAAATGACCGGTTTCCAGACGGACTTGAACATGTCCTTGTCGAACAAGGCCGAGTTGCAGATCATGAGGTCACCTGAAAAGCGTCGCGGTCACCAAAAATATTGGGGACACCCGAGCATATCGTACCTGACATCCGCGAACGAGCCAGCAGTTCTTTCCACGCATACTCGAAACCGAGTTGACCGACGTGCTCTTCGGGCATCACGATCTCGCGTTTGCGGATCGAGTCATATAAGGCTTGCTGTGAAAATTGTGAGGACATCGGTTCAAGCGCTAACACGCTGTCGATGTCTTACCAGGTACTCGGGCGAGAAGTCAGCGCCGTCATTCACGCCTCTCAGATTGCGTTGATAGTCTTCGATGGTCATTCGTTTCTGACGCGAAAATGTCTTTTGAGAAAGAGTCGACGTGATATCAATGAAAAGCACCCACCCGAACGACAGGGTTGTGCAAATCTGTATTGAGCATGATCACCGAGTAGGCTAGGACATAGACAGCATCCTGTGATTTGATCTCGGCTGGAATGAATCAGTGCTCATGAACCCATGGTATATATTGAAGACGCACTTGGCTCGGAAGCAAAATAAATTTCTGCGAACGTTTCTGTTATGCGAGCGATCTGCTGGGCCTCGCCCGGCAACCGGAAGGACTCCAACAGCTCCCGCATAGCATCCGCGATGGGTTTCTATTGGAGAATGTTGTTAAACCCATGCACATACGAGAATATGGATAGAAACTGACACCTCGGAACTCGAACAGGCCAATGAATGCCTTCAGAACATCGATATTCTCGGGCCTCGAGATAAAATCGCCAAGCAGTTTCTTGTCCAATCGTGTACACGATTTCAAAAACATGGCAAGACTCAAAGGCCGTGATACCTCTGGAGACAAGTCGTGGTAAATGAGGCCGCTTTCCTCCAAGAACGCAAGGCCAGTCTTCGGCTTGGTGTTAAAGCGAGCTGCACCGGTGAGAGTGAGCTTCTTCTTTGATTTGATGTGTGTGAGCTCCTCCGAAGAGATGTAATTCTGGCAGTGCGCGTTTAGATGACGCTGAACAACTGGCATGGCATGAATAAACAGTTACCGAAGGCCATGTCACTGAGGCCTGAAAGCGAATGAGTGTCAATGAACAGGCGAACAAGAATAGTAAATATTACAAACACCCCCGGCGCGTGCCGCCATGTGATTGACAAAAGTGAGAAGCAAGTCCAAGCACAGGTATTGAGAGTTCAGTGGGTTGTTTTGAAGGGCATCAGGATAGTAGTTCGTGTATACACCCTGAAATTAAACGAAAGACACATCAATGAAAGCACCACACAGTCAGGTTCGTCTCCACCTTTGTTAAGAGGTCGATCAGTCGTTCGAATAAATTCTCCGAGTTGATGTCGCAGTCATAATTGGTGAAAAGGTCAACCATGAAGCTCGGATGCCTCGAGATTTGGCTCAGCATCTCTAGTAGCAAGTCGCGGATCTCTCCCTTGGCGGGAAGCGCGTGGGTTTTGTTGGGCACCGGACTCCCCTTCTCAATCTCGTCTTCCGGAGTAGGCTCGAGGAGTGGGGACGCCGTTTGTGGAGTGCCAGGACGTGGTGAGAACGGTGCGCCCTTTGTATTCGGCGTGCCGTACCGTGATCCACCTTTGTTGGAGGTGATTGGGGGCCCTAACCGATCAGTTGTGAAGGCCAATAGCAGTTCCTGTTGGAGTTTGAGATGTTTCCGCGTCGTGTTCATCATAGTCGAGATGGTGCGGAGAGCGAGTTGGAGGATAGCAGAGTTCTCGGAACGGGCCAATTGGAAAAGATATTTGCAGCCATGATCGACGACAAGTGCGCGCAACGATGGAAAGTCGCCGAGGCGAGGGCCTGAAATTTCAAAGGTTGTATTGAGAATACCAAGGGCGAGTAAACGAGTAGTGTCTGTGTGTAGCCGGTCGTTGGGATCAAGAATGTTGATTATCACGCGGAGAAGCTCTACAAGCGATGGAAGGCCATCTACAACCTCTGTGCGTTAAGTCAACACTACGGTGATTCTGTTGAAAGGGCTTACACTGGTGCCTTTGTGGTGTTTGTGGACTTGCGATAGTTTGAACGGCCAAATGATCGCCCTCAGAATGCACTCCCGATGGTGGATGAATTGCGGTGGGGGATGCGTCGGTTTCACCCTGCGGCGCTTCCTCAGTATTGAGCAATCTGCTTTCTTCTATTGCTGGGTCTAGGACATGCAGGCAAGAGAACACAGTTCGCACAAGCGAATGCATGGTCAACTCGGCAGACCGCCTAAGAGCCTCTATATGCATGTATATGAATATTTGGGACATACAAACTGGTATTACGGATGAGGACTAACCGCTGAGCCTCATCTGCACACACGTAGTCAGCACAGTCTCAAGCATCTCACATACTTCGATGTCGCCCAAGATACCCCCCACGCTCCCACACATGCAATCTTCGATTACAGTCAAGATTCGAAGCAGGACGACCTCGTCCCCAGAGGAGTCGCTAGCTTCAAACTTACAATGCGAGACCGCCGAGCTGAACTCTTGGAGGCCTACCTCAATAGATGGACGGTCTAGGGATATAATCCCGCAAACAAAGAAAGAGTGGAGTGCCGAGAGCGCCGCGGATGTTATTGGTCCGGTTGAAAGTGAAGAACGAATGATGGCAAAGAATGGGCTGAGGATGTTTATTATTGGAATACTGTCAATGGCTGAGAAACGTCGCCGAGAATGAGGAATATCCAATTTTATGAGAACGAGACACATACTTTCGACATTTCGGACTTCTCGCTTGAGCTCTTCGAAACTAGACATGAGCTCATCCTCCGTGCTGCTCCTTCGTGCCGAGCTGGATCGAGGTGTTCCACTCCGTCTGAGGCCTAGATTACTTGCTAAAGCAGAATCACGGGTGTTGAAGGCCTGACTTGTAGATGCCCAGCGCGAATTCTTGCGCATGACTGAGGTTACTGACAAGATCTCAGAATACAGGACATGTTTGGGCGCAAGCGTGCCATTAGTCTCGGAGTATCTGATCCCCGTACTACGAAATGAGGCCATGCTTTGAGAGGACCTTGTTAGCCGGGACGATTATATGTGGCCAGTTGAACCAGATGAGCGTGAGTACAGGATATCAATGAGATGGCGAAACGACGCGTGCGACGTGTCTCGCCCAAGATGACCTGCAAGCCCTAGTGTAGGGTTGGTCTGAGGCTTCCAACATCTCTCCACTGACTCTACTAAGTAACAGGTTCTCGCATCAGAGAAACAAAGGACCCTGCAGATGTGCTAACAAAACAATGTGTACAAATATTACTGCCCCGGCCATCATGCATCACTCGGATGTTCATTGTGTCATGGCCAGCTGCCCTGCAATTGAAGCAGCCAGTCTAGAGCGTTTCCTCTCCGCCTCTGCAAATGGCCACGTTGAATGCAACTACGACAAGGAAGGAAAAACAACACGAAACGCACCAGCTTCTTTCTCTCGTTCAATGTCTTGGACGATAGCTTCTATCTGCTCGAGATCGAGGTTCTGGTACGTGTGTCAGTTTAAGAGCAAATAAGGTGCAATACTGATGCGTACGGTGATTTTTCCGTAGCTCTCCATGACGCTGATCTCGATGTTCTTCGCGCCGGTCTGCACGACTTCCAACAGACTCTTTACTGTGAGCTTGATGCTGTCTTCCCGAGTCATGTCATCTTTGTGGTTCTTTTCCAAAAATTCACGGACGGTCTTCGAAGAGCGGCCAATAGCGTTCGCCTGTCGAACCAGAGCTCAACAAGTCGTAGGAGATCTTAACTTCGAGGACGCACCTTCCATGCGCTGTAGATACCGCTGGGCTCGGTCTGGTATAGTCTTGGTTTCGTGTCATGAGGATCAAACCCGACGATGAGAGTCGATATACCGAATGGGCGAACCCCTCCGGATTGGGTATAGCGCTGAAAATGCATGTAAATGATGCTGAAAATTGGGATTCCCAATCAAACGCACTTGCTGAATACCGGCAATGTGTCTGGTAATATATTCGACCGTGACAGGGTCTTCCACAGTCAGTCGGTGACTCTGGCATTCTGTTCGCGCCCTGTCGATCAGTACTCGGCCGTCGGCCGTAAGCCCTATATCACAGCGTAAGATAAACCAAGTCGATGAATGCATATGCAGCAATGGATCTACAAAAACATACCAGCAAACGCTAGACAGATATGATCATCAAGCATGACGACCTTCCGCACTGTTCTCGGGTCTTGAAGCTGCAACACAGACTTCTTCTCGACTCCGAGAACTACGACGTCTTTGCCCCGCACTCCTACCTGGAGTCAGGTCCGAGATCAGGTCCTGAGGTCTAAGGATAGTCGTCCAGAGAACATACCGCGCAAGTACCCTTTCGTACAGCTTCCAGTGCATACTCAACCTGTGAAATTGTATGCAGTCAGCGTCCATACTACGCTCCATGACGCGGCCGAAGCTGACTTGGAACAGATGCCCATCGGGCGAGAAGACGGTGAGGGCTGTAGAGAGTACTTCAGTTGCGCGTCGCAGGGTTTGATATTTTCTCTAGATCCCTTACCGCGATCGTAGGACCTGGACATGATGAGGCAATGGAAGAAAGAGAGCAAGGGCAAGTATATGCGTTCGCCTCCTGGCGTTGCGCACGCTGATCAGTGGACGCGCGTATCCCGTGATTACGTCAGTACGGGCAATCCCGAGACGCGACGTGCGTGACTTGGATCTCAGATCTTGCTTGTTCAGCCAACCGCTTGGTGTCCCACCCATTCCTTCTCCGCTTGAGCTCACCGCCATGGCCACTGTCATCGATATCGACGACAGCTCGGACATAGAGATACTGGATTATACGGAAGTGAAACCACACAGCCTGAATAAACATCAAACAACGGTTCCGTGAGTCTACTGACATGGCGAACCATCTCCCTTGAGATGCAATTAACAGGTGCCAAATTAGAGAACCTATGCGATGTCAATTCTGCAATGAAGACATAGAGACGATGGATGCCCCTCGGCGACAGAGCCACTACGATGCACACTTTCATGATGAATCTACTCCCTGTAAGTGTCCCGGCCCTCGAACGCTACACGCCCAGTGTTTTATTCACGCTTGGTATCAAAGCCTCTTCCACGTCCTCTTCGCGTGCTTCTAGTAACACCAACATGAATTCAAGAAATAAAGATAGGCCCCCGTCGACGCGAGAACGTTGGAGGAGCGCGCAGGACGAATTCTGGCATCCTGCCCGAGAAACTGCGCCTCCACAGAACTACACTCCTGGTCAGTCTCGCCGAGAGGCTTCTTGGTCATGTCTCTCCCCAATCGACCTGACTTATACCCACGTGCCTGATAGATCTGGTTCCGATGTTGAAACGTGCTCTCGTCTCCTCTCACGAACGAGGTTTCACAACACGAGCCGTGCTGTGTTACCCACGCACAGTCCACATTTACCGCGAAACGTGGGACGCGAGATGGGGTTGTGGGTACGCCATTTTCCCTGCATTGACTCTCTTCGCCCTATTTCTATTGAGGCCCGTTCAGCTATCGGAACTATGTGATGGCATGTATAGCACTTATGGACCAGTCCTCCCAGCCATCCTACTTTGCGCCACTTAATACACCCAAGCCACCGGGCGTGCGCAATCTCCAGGCGCTGCTCGAGGATGCATGGAAGCACGGTATGCAACCGTGACCGGCTCCATGCAGGCAGCGTGACTTGACGAGTATCTTGACGGCTAGGTTATGACGAAGAAGGTGCAGAACAATTGAAGCATAAACTTGTTGGTGCCAACAAGTGGATCGGGACGGCGGATCTCTATGTTGCGTTCACCTATCGTGGCATCCCGTAAGTGCTCTCGCGTTGCTGTTATGGAGGCTCATCCGAACCGAATGCAAACAAAGCGTTGAACTCGCGGATTTCAATCTCTCCAACAGCGGTACGTCATTTACGCCACCATACCATCACGGCATACTCATTATCGCACTATCCGTGTTCCATTGCAGACATCAAGCCCCTACTCGACTGGGTGAAAGCATATTTCACGCCACTAGAGCGGCCTAAGGGCACTGGTGCCACGGTGCACGATGCTTTGTACAGACGTTCCCCAGTCACTGTGACGGACAAAATGCCACTTGTGCTACAGCATGAGGGGCACTCCCGTCTCGTCGTCGGGTACGAGATCATGAAGGATGGTTCGACGAACCTGCTCATGTTCGATCCTTCGAAGTGAGGCACATGCTCTCGAAAATTTTCATTTGTCCCTCGAGACATCCCTGTTCTTGAAGGCTGACATTTTTGCTTCCAGGCGAGTACCGGATAATCTTCGTGCGGAGGCGCGTTCTCGCTCCGAGACCGCAGGAGACATCTCGGGCCACCATCATCGTGGGAAGCGGCTCATGCAGCAGGCACTCCGATCATTTCGGCCATCAGAGAGCAAACGGCGACGTTCGAGCAAGTCCCCGAAGCGCCGAGAACAGAGTCCGTTCAAGCGCATGCGGGCTGGGCAGGAGCAGGGACAGGACGTCATCGTCATCGACGACGATGACGACGACGATAACGATAACTTAGCCAATGATGAGAAGGGCGGGCAGAACGAGAGTGGCAGTAGAGGGAAAGTATCGACAGGGGACACCGTACGCGACTTCAAGGCAACGCTGAAAACTTTCAGGATCGAGGAAAAGATGCTCGCGTAAATCTCTCAGGACTCCAAATCTCTTGCGCAGTTTCTGATATTCTGATCGTGTACTTTTAGAAAGAAAGAGAAGTATCAGATCCTGTGGTTTCCCCTCGGACCCCTACTGGACGAGAAGACCAAGCGCGAGAGGCGTGTGGTAACCAGTGAGAGGGTCTGCTGACCCGAAGGCCCGGTGGACACAGGACAAGGCATGGACAACTACTTCGTTGGCGACGAGGTCTGGCGACATCAAGGACTTCATGGGACGATTACCAGACTATTATTTCTCTTCTCGTTATGCAGTTATGAGGCGTACCCTACCTAATTCCTTATTTCTATTGCAGAGGATCTACGTTGTTGCCACGATATGCATTGAGTACTTGAGTTTGACGTGTTTGTGGATGCCGAGATGGACTCGTGGACTAAAAATACAATTGCAGTAGTAGCAGAAAATACAATCTAATTAACATGAAGTCATCACCGCGTCCCCACTCGGCTCGCCCAATGGCACTACATCTAATCCCGCCACCGCACATCTCAGCGCGCGCTCCCAAGCCTCCTCCACCCTGTAACCGCCCGCCCGCATGATGCCTTCCCGATCCCTCCGCACCGCATCACTGAACGGATCGAAGTAGTTGTCGCGCATCACGTACTTGTCCTCGTACGCGTCCCAGTCGTCCTGCAGCGGGACGTGCGGGACATCAGGTACCGCCGCGCTCTGCGCTGCGCGCGTGCGTAGGAGGAGCGCGGCACTCTGCTGCACCGCTTGCGCCGCCGCGGCGGTGCGAGCCTGGGCACGTTTGAGCGCGTCCGCTCGGGAGCGAGCGACGAGCCGCGCGGCGTCAGCGTCGCTGTTCTCGAGCGAGTCGATGAGCGCGCGCCGCTCTGTTTCGCGCGCTTGGCGCTCTGCCTCGTCAGCCTGGCGCGCCTCGTCCGCGCGGAGCTGGCGCTCGCGCCGCTCGGCATCTTCTTGTTCGCGAAGGGCCTGCGCATAGGCCTCTTCGCGATGGAGATTGCGCTCGATGACAGCAGCGTTTTCTTTGCGGAATCTCATGATGCGCTGTTCGGTCTCGCGGACGTCGATGTCATTAATGAGGTTGAAGGCTGGCGCCAAGACAAAATAAGCCAATATGCGGGGAGCGAGAGGAAAAAAGCGCACTAATATCCTCCACCTCTTCTAAGTAGTCGTTGTAAGAACGGAGGTCGGGGAAGTCTTCCCTGCGTTTGTTGAACCTGCACGCGCCAGGTGTGAAATGTGTGGCACTCGCTGGACACAAAAAGACGCACTCTTTGGCTATCTGCCTCCTCACGGCGACCTCTTTCTCGACCGTGAGGTCCTCGAAAGTTTGAGGGACAAAAGTGATTTTCCGCAAGATCTTTGCGCAGAATGGACATGGACCCGGACCGAGGGTGTACAGGCGATCGATGCAGGACTCGCACCTTTGGGCCGGACACGCGTAAATGACATGGGTGCATCATCTGAGGAGGGAGAGCAGGGCGAACATTTTATGATAGCAAGCTCCTACGAGGAGGCGCAGCTTCGCGTTGAGATAACGGTCAGACTTGCATACGGGGCATTGGTCATCCGAGGACTGTGGGCGTGAGTGAGCTATTGCGACGAGGGCAAATCTGGAAAGATGTGTAGTCACAAAGAACTCTGAGGTCCTGCCTGAGGGGTCCTTGACGCCTCCGCCGAACACCGTCGAGGACGTGCTCTGTACCTGCGGAGTGACGGAGCGGGTTTGGGGGGTCGAGGCGGCGGTGCCCTTGCGGATGGTAGTGCCGCGCAGCCAGCCACCGACGTTTGAGCGACTCGCGTTTGCCATTGATGACGGTGGGTGGGGCATGCACTATGGCGGTGAAGGCCAAGGTGGGGGAGATGTCAGCCGAGGCTGTGTGAGGTCAGCGCCCAGCTGCAAGCGAACTGTGCTCGTCATTCTTCACAGCGCCGAGTCCACTCTCGTCTGCATCTCTTCATGAGGCTTTTGCCACCTATTTCTCCCAGCTGCTTAGCGCGTCGACTGAACCCGGCCATTTCTCGACCGTTCCGTCTTCAAGCGAGACTACGGGCTGCGAGTGTCCGCGAGAACCAGCCCCCGCTCGAGACACGTGGCTTCTGGTGCGGGAGTCCGCTGCGAGCACCTATACCCAGTCCGAACGGCGGCAGACCAACACTCGCTCAAGACAAAAGTCCTCATGACGACGATGCCGCTTCACCCAATCCCAATCGCAGCTCAGGCACAACCGGTTTCACAAATTCGCCAGCGCTGGACGCTGCTCTGACTGCTTTCATGGGTATTGGAATCGGTGAGTTTCGATATGATTTACCCTCTTTGCAGCGCCAGGGCCCACGTACAGCGGTGTAACATCTACGAGGAAATATGATGTTCACCATTTCACTTCAGCTTTTGTCGGGGGCATCATTTATTACGCGTGGTACAAGAAAAATGTCCTGGATAAGGTAGACTCACAAATGTCGCTCTCGTACTCCACCGCGGCTGACCCGTATATACAGATAGAACATGCTTTTGCGCCTGGCTACGACCCCGCCCTGGAACTTGCGACACATCACAAAAAGACCAACAATTCCACCGTCTCTGCGGCCATCGAGGATCTCGAGCTCGAGGACGGTCCCTGGACAGAGCATCTACGGCGAAAGGAGCAGGACATATTAGACCGCATCATTCACGGTGCTGAGACCGGCCATTACTTTATGCTTCTAGGTTGCAAGGTGTGTCGGGTCGACGATATTTCCAACCAATATAGGCTGTTTACGCGTGAAATGTTCGTGAAGGGCGCGGGAAAGACAACGATGATCCTTGACTCTATGCAGGCCAATCAGGCGGAGGGTGTTGCAATGTGCGATGCCCATCCCGATCTAGAAGTGTTCCGTCTACGTCTGGGCAAGGCTTTGAACTACGAGTACAACGAGGACTCTCAGACAGGTCTTTTCCAACGGCGAGATCCCAGAGAAGGTCAACACTTCGTCGAACGTTATGCTGACGAAGCCTCTGACCATCATGACATACTCTAGGTGGACCAGGCCTTGATATCGAGCGAGGTATGGGCTGAGTTCCATGACTGTGCGATGTCTGCCATCTTGACGCGTCTTGCGACCAGTGATGAACAAGCTCGAGAAGGTTGCTCTTCGCTCTGCTAAGCGGACAGGCAGGCCTCTCGTCCTCGTGATAAATAATGTACATTATTTCAAGAATGATGACGGTGGGCAAAACATGCTTATGCAACTTCAACAAAGAGCTGAAGCCTGGGCCGCTAGCGGTTCGCATAATTTCTCGAGTTCTGCTCTGAGTCATTCACCAACATATCTTTTCCACAGGCATCATGACCCTCGTTTTCAGCTCGTGAGTCTTGGGTCATACTGTGGGCGATAGTATTCTCAGTTGCGTTCAGTGATGACTTTTGGCCGTTCTTCGTTCTGCGTGAGTGATTTTTTCCCCCTCCACCTTGCCTTTGTCATATCATCCCAATCTCATATGTTATCTAAACAGGGAGGAACGCCAGTCGGATGCATGTCAGTGCTTTCCCCCACACGTCTATCATTTTAAACGTTTTTCCCCTTGCAGGTATTGACCATCTATGACCTTAACACTGCCGAAGCGCGGAGCGCTTGTTCGAGAATGCGGTACTACACGAAGCTGCCGGCACCTCCTCACGAAACACTGAACGAGGCGATCGCAATTGTAGGCGGACGGCTATCGTATCTCAACCGGATCGCGAGAGCGCGAGACATCGTGGAGATGGCGCGGCACATGCTGTTGGTCGAAAAGGGATGGCTGCTCAGCCAGATTGGGCTCATCGAGGACTGCGACGATGATGTGATGGACGAGGTGTGTCATCGTCGCTCATCCCATCTGAGCTAAGGCCGCGTGCTCAACTTGGTGGCGCACTCTGATAGCAAAAATGGAGCTCCTGCTCGTGGTTGCTATTACGAGAATTCGTGAAGCAGAGACAGGAGGAAGAAGAGAAACGGAAGATCGCGATCGCGTCTGGTATACTGTCGCCGGATGATTTATACGATTTACCATTGCCTGCGATCCCTTACGTGGGTGACCTTTCACGTTCGGTGCCGCGAGACGTTCTGACCTGTGTTTTGCAGTGGAAGTGTCGGCAGATCATGACCCGTGCAGACTTCTTGGAAGGTCTGTAGTCGCTCTAAACGATCTGCGTGATATTGTTTTGACACGTAACAGAGCTGGACAGGAAAAACATCATCTCCATAGATGTAGGTGCTTGAATACTTTCTGCAGTGGTATCGCGAAACCAGGCTTCTTATAGATCAACCACGATGTCCGCCCCGACTCGATGCTGATCTTACAAGCCGCACGAGAAGTCGTGGAGAGCGACGGGTTCGACGACAGACTCAACAACGTCCGCGACCGTATAGACGAGATCGAAAGCCTTCATCGGACGAGGGAGTTGACGGTGCGTGCACACGTGCTTCATCGCTTTTCTTCTGCATGCCACTCATGCACCCACCCCCGCGTATGTTCTTCTCTGCAGTTCAAGGACTTGGACAAAGGGGATCGCATCCGCCTGATGGTCGACAAGGGTGGTGTTCACTTGATCGAGGACTAGATATCATTTATCACAGGAATTTATTACATTGGACATAACGTGGCGGTGTGGACCAAGCGCGGGGTTGCCATTTCACCCCCTTGTGCCACCTTGGTGGCCTTGCTCGGGCTTGCGGTAGGCATACAAGTCTCAGTATCGTTCATGGCTACTATTATAGCAGTCCATTGTGCATTGACTCTGTAAGAACAATGATGTGATAGCCCTGACACTGACCTGTAGGTGACCTGCCTCGGGCATGCAATCGAACCGGACGCCCTTTTTGTGGCTGGGTGGCATGGCTGCCCTCTTCGGCTTGGCTGTGGTACCAACAATAGCTTTTCTGAGGGTGGAACATAGCTCGCGCTGCGGACTACGTACTAAAGGTATAGCCTTACGGGGCTTGGACGCAAAAGAGTCAGATCTGTCAGCCTCGTCGCGATGGCCGTGGCGGTCGCCGCATTGACCACGACCGTAACGTATAAAAGGAGTCTCGAGACGAGACGAACTTCCCATCCGCTCTTCCCTCCACACACAGCTGCGCTATCTCCCCGGTGCATTGCCCAACTACATCTACCTCTTACTCGTTGCCCACGCCGTCGTCCCAGAAATGCAGCCGCAGACCGTCTGCGCCATGCCCGAGTCCGACCTGGACTTGGTCGTGGTCATCCACGCCGCTCACGAGTTCATCCCGAATGCCCAGACACTCTGGAGGCCGAAGACCCTCCGGACAGCCAGAGTCGTCTCCACTCGATGGGTGCGAGCGCACCGAAGGCCATCAAGAAGGTGTAAGTCGGCCCTCGACTTGAACGGTGCGCCCCGCTCTCCGCGGCAGTCTGCGACCGTGTGTGCTGACATCGTCACGACCGCCAGACAGGGGCGCCTCGCCGATGAGTATGGTCTCGTGTAGATCGCGAAGCGCTAGGGACGACGTGAGTGGCCTCGTCTGGACACCCCTGCCTCCCCCCCTCTTCATTCCATCAAGCCATGTCGTTGCTGCTGCTCACGATCGTTGTACCCACACAGATTTTTCCCTGCTGGGATTATGTCTATGCCGATCAGCAGGGGACTGCACGCATGGGATGCTGCAGCCGATCAGCCCGCCGTTGTGTCTTAACAGTCAGATGCAGAGGCAACCTACCCTCGGATCCCGGAGCCCTGGAAATGGAGCTCTCCAGCGAAACAGACCCTTGCTATTCCGCGTACGATTCTCTCGTTTCTGTGGAAGACATGCGTGTTCTTACTCCAGGTATGATATAGCGCGATGATATCTAGGGACAAGTCGTGTTCCCAAAGCGCGTGGTCCTAATACAGTGCCTGTATCAGGCATATCTATACCAACGATATCAATATCAGGTATATCACCGCTGTCAGTCGGGTATACCGACGTTGTCAGTATCAGGTATACACATCGACGATGCTAGGAATGTATCGTTCGTGGTATCAAGCATATCGATGCTGTCAAAAAGATGACTGCACATTGTTCTTCTGCTGGTCGGGAACGGCGCGGCGGTGCAGAGGCCTCGTTCAGGGCATTGTGCATGCTCGACGATCTGGGCGTGGTACATGAGGTGAGCCTTTCTTGGTGCTCTCGTATTTTTGCGGTATTGACGGTGGCGCCAGTTGTTGGGTGTAAGCTGGAATGTGGCTGCGGCTTTCTTGCTAAAGATGGCTGTCAACCTCTGCCACTCGTTCCCCTGCAGCCTCGGAGATGGATGTGCGGGTACATCGGTTGCCGCTGTGTCGCTTTGGCCTTTTTATTGTTTATTATTGGGAGGGGATATCCACTGCTTGATGAAGGAATGTCACTGGAATACAGTCTATTTTTCTTCAGTCTCAGTAAGAGTGAGCTATGCACACGATGATAAGAAACCAACGGAGCGTCAGCGACACAAGAATGCGCCAGTCAGACGGCCCAGTCTTGCTCGAGGGCCATTCGAACTTGACGGACATCGTAGTATGATGCAATGGCGACTTGTCATGCACTCGGAACTGTGAGAGGTTGACTGCCAACGCTCAAAGCAGCGTATGCCCTTACGAGAACGTCGTGCGTAACGGCTGAGAGCTGACTGAGACGTTGCCAGCTTAGTCTCCCGCGCTGACCCGCTCGACGTTCTCCCTCGTCTGCGCCATGTCTGCACTATATATCCTGCCCAGTCGCCCGTCTCGTCCACCCCGTCTTTCGTATCCTCGGCCCTGGCCATCCTCCCACACGTCCATCTCCTCTCGCTCGCCGTCCTCGCGCTGGCCGTCTTCCCCTCGCTAGCCCCCATCTCCCGCCTGCTCTCCCAAGCCTCAGCCGTCCTCCCCCACCCCCGCCGCACACACGCCCCGATGGCCTCCGCCGCGCCCGAGCTCCCACTCACCCGCGAGCAGTGGACGCGCGCCCTCGACGCCCTCCCCGCCACCCCCGACCGCATCCCCGCCTTCTTCTTCGGCCACGGCTCCCCCGCCCTCACCTGGCCCGAAGCCGACCTCGCCAACGCCAAACTAGGGCCCATGGGCCCCTACCTCGCCCACGGCGGGCCCCACGGGCCCCTCGCCGCCTTCCTCCGCGACTTTGGCCCCGCCCTCCTCGCGAAGTACAACCCCAAGGCCATCCTCGTCTTCAGCGCCCACTGGGACACCGCCGGAGAGACCCTCGGTGAGCTCCCCCCCCCCCCCCCCCCCCCTTTGCGCTCGCGCAACGCTGACCCGTCCGCGCCGCCAGTGTCCGACTATGGCGACGAGAACCCGCTGTTCATGGACTACTACGGCTTCCAGCCCGCCATGTACGACGTCACCTTCAAGTCGCGGGGCAACGCCGCGCTCGCGCACCGCGTCGTCGGCCTCCTCAACCAGGTACGCTCCCCCGCCCCTCCGCCCCGCCTGCCCCTCGCCCACCTCCGCCCCGCCTGCCCCTCGCCCACCTCCGCTCTCCCTCCCTCCACCCCCACCCCTCCCAGGCCGGCATCAACGCGCGCACGACGCGCCCGACCGAGCCCCGCGGGCGCGACGGCCTTGGACGCACGGTCGCCGGCCTCGACCACGGCGTCTTCGTCCCCTTCCGCCTCATGTTCGGCGACGACGCGCTCGCCATCCCCGTCGTCGCCGCCTCCATCGACGGCTCGCTCGCCCCCGAGCGCAACTGGGCCCTCGGCAGCGCCGTCGCGAAGCTCAGGTGCGTCCCCCGCCCAGTCCCCCGTGCCTCGTGCCTCTTGCCTACCGCCCGGCGCACGACGGCAGGGAGGAAGGCGTGCTCGTGCTCTCCGGCGGCCTCACGGTGCACAACCTCGGCGATTTCGGGAGCCTCGCGCCCGCCAGCGCGCGGCCGCTCCACCACGCTTTCAACGACGCCGTCACCGCCGCCATCACCCTCCAAGACGTGAGCTCTTCCTTCCCGCCCTTCCGCCCTCTCCCGTTGCGCGCGCACGCACCCCGCTGACGACCCCGTCCGCCTTTCTCCCCCCCCCCCCCCCCCCCATCACCCCCCTCTCAGCCTGCGGAGCGCAAGGCTGCGATGGTGGACCTGGTGCGCCACGAGGGCTTCCGCACGTCCCACCCGCGCGAGGACCACTTCGTGCCCGTCTACGTCGCCGCAGGCGCCGGCGCGGAGGGCGGCGCCCATCTCCTCGCGGGCACGTACGGCTGCCAGACCGTCGCGTTCGGCCTCTGACGCGTTCCGAGCGGGAGGCAACGGGGTTTAATGTTGTTGTTGGCCTCGACCGGTCCACCCCAGTACAATATATTGCGACAAAGACGTCACATTTTCGATCGTGGACGTATTATTTGCGCGTTTCGCACACCTTCCCGGCGCGCGCCCGCGGACATATTCCCTATGGTATCTCGGTCTTCCGGCTCGCAGATAGGCATGACATTGAGACGCAAACGTTCGGATGGAGGTGGGCGGACTAAGTACGTAAATTGGGGGATTAAATGAGCAGCATATAGTATCCGAAAAAGAAGGTAGGTAAGGTGACGAAACGTCGCAGAAACGGCAGTGCTACTAGTGGAGAACGAGAACGAGAATGAAAAAAAAAAGAAAGGCGTGCCTGGCGTGAAGGATACTCCGAAAGCGACTGAGAATAAAAAGAGGAGAAGCGGAGGTTGTGCTGTTGTGGCTGGAAGGCACTCAACGAGATAGGCAGGCGGATGGTGATGTGTATGAGGGAATCTTCCGAGGTAATGGACTCATAATGGGATTGGGGAGGAGGCGGACTCGACGTGTTGCTTGTCAGATGAGACGAAGGTTCAAGAGAGATCACGAAAGCCAGACGACAGAATTAAAGGATAAAGAAGCGGGGATTAAAAATGAAACCAGACGCGTGCCGTCCGTACTTGCTTGCACCAGACAAGAACAACGACGATGCCGGCATTTGGGAGCGGGACGTACGCCGCTAGAGGTTCCTTAGCCATCGAGCCTGGGCCAGCTTCCCTCATCTATCCACTTGTTCACGATCTCGCGCCCGACGTCTTGCGTCATGTACGGCCTCTTCAGCTTGATGCCGAGGACCTTCTTGATCTTCGTGTTGGAGAAGGCCATGCAGTGCTTGGACAAGGAGAAGGTGTCCATGTACGCGCTCAGGTGCGTGTTGGGCACCGGTGGGTTCGAAGTGGTCAACATCGTCGCCCACGCGCTGACGTGGGTGTCGTTGATCTCTTCCACGACTTCCTCGAGACGGAACTGGGACGATCCGCGCCATATCTCAGCGAGGGAAAAAAAATGTGACGGCGGGGAACGCGACGCACCCTGGCAACGGTGTTCGTGACAAAGTTGTAATATTCAAACGTCGTCCCGAACAAGCTCGTCATTGTCTGGCCCGCCTTGTGCAGCGTCGTCTCGTTGTCGTCGACCTACAGAACGGCGTGAGCGAGGGCTTGCAAACACGAGGGCTAGAGTTACTGACGAGGTTGAACAGGGGAGCGACGACCTTGACGTCTGCGGGCGGCATGCCCTGAACCTCGGCCACCTTGCTCTTCTCGTTGTGAAAGTAGATTTCCTCGCCGGCGACCTTGTCTGCCTCGGCGCGACCGAGCTTTCCTATCCATTGCGCGCATGTCCAGAGCGCGACCGAGACGTCATCCACGTGAACGGTGTTCATGGAGTTATTTCCGGGGCTCCAGCTACGCAGGTGGGAAGATGAGACGCGCGGGCCACAGGCGGACAAGAAGGCAGCATACAGTGACTTCATCGGCTTCTTCATAAAGCCGTAAACGGAGGCGACGGTGAGGACGTTGGTCACTGGACAGATCACGGGTCAGCGAGCGGGTCCCGAGCAGGAGGACAGGGGGAGTCACTCAGGCCAAAGTCGACGTAAGGCCCGTAGACGAGACCGATCCTCAGGATGACGAGGTTCAGGCTGGGTGGCGGAGACAGCTGTCAGCGCCCGGGTCCATGACAGAGAGCGAGCGGCTAGAAGGCACTTGCCCTTCGATCGCGCCCAGGATCCGCAACGTCTCGTGCCACCAGGTGCCTAACACCCCGAGCGGCTTCGGGTCCTCCTTCTCGTCGTGCGTGCCCTTTTCCGAGCACTCGTACCACGGCATCTGCAGACGCACGTACGACTTGACCTTGCGCCTGGCGGACTCGAGGCCCACCAGCCGCGCTACGTTACACGTATAGCCAATCTGGAGCTGCGCCCCCGACGCCGATGGGATCAGGCTCTCGCGCGGGACGCCCGAGCCGCGACCACGTACCTGCTCAGGACGGTCGTGCGCTACATCGCCGGTCAGATCAAATACAACAGAGTAGGGCGGTTGGCCTTCTGGGGGGTCAAAAACACTGGAAACGATAGCTGAAAAAAAAAAAGACGAGTGAGGGGGACGCGAGCCAGGAAGAGGCCACGGAGAGCCTACCCGGAACGGTGAGGTTTGCCTGCTTATATTCTACATTCGGCATGGCGAGGACCTTTGGAAACTCGGAACCAATATAGCTGTGGATGGGTGAGCAAGCGACAGGGGATGGAAGAGAGGAGCAACGGACGTCGTGGGCGGGGATACAGAGTACTTATCAATTATGCGCAAACTCTGTCGAGGGTGTGTGTGAGAGAGCGGATGGGCCGCGATGTCGCTGAGTGCACACTGACAGATACAAGGCGCTCTCCATCCAGAGGGACCAGGTAAGCGGCAAGGGCTCGAGCGCACGTCTTGACGCCGCCTGAAGGAAGGTGGCGACGATCGCCGAGGTCGGGCGATGGATCACTACGAGCTCCTCGGAGGGCAGAGGGGGAGGAGGACTGACCGAAAATTATAACACTTGGCTTGTCGGACATGCTGATACGGGCGAACGGGTATGTTAGACAGACGTAAATACGTGAGGAAAAGGAGGCAGAGGGCACGTGGGTACGGAGACGGAGGAAGTCGAGGAGAGGATTAGGAAGGGCGGGGGAGACAAAGGATGGGCCAAGGGCTAAGGAGCGAGTGCAGATCGGGCGAGCACTCGTCCATGCAATACACTTATAAGGTAATCCCACATGTCACGAATCATATCACCACGGCCGCTGCCGCATCCCTCTTCTTAACTCAATCTCTCTTCTGTCGCGCCCCCCCAGCAACATGCACCCTCCGTCCCTCCTCCGCGGCTCGCTCCAGGTAGCGGTACACCGACGAAAAATCTCTGCCCCTCAGTTCCGCATGCCGCCCAACCATGTCCGCATAGATACTCTCCGCCGCTTCTGCCATCGGCAGGGGGCTTCCCGACGCACTAGATACCTCCGTGGCCAGGCCCATGTCCTAACCGCGGCACAGATACGCGAATCAACCGACGTCCTTAGATCAAAAGAAGCACCGCCGCGAACGTACCTTCAGCATCAGCGCCGTCGCAAACCCGCCCTCGTAATCGCGCTCGCATGGCGGTGACTTCTCCGGCAAAGCACCGGGCACAGGGTTGTTCACCGACGACGACCAGCAAGCCCCCGTCGAGCTGTTGATCACCCCGGCAAGCACCGCAGGGTCGAGGCCCAGCCGTTGTCCTAGCAGCATCGCCTCCGCTACCACCACTTGCTCTACTCCGAGGACAAGGTTGTTGCAGATCTTGGCGACCAGCCCTGCTCCGGAGGGCCCGCAGTGAATGATCCGTTGGCCCATGTGAGCGAGGATCGGAGACACGCGCCCGAATCCGGCCTCCGTCCCACCGACAAGGAACGTTAACGTACCAGCCTTCGCTCCCGTAACGCCTGGAACCACCAACTCTCGTAAAGATCATCTGCCTGACCGGACAAAGTGCTCGCGTACCTCCGGAGACGGGAGCGTCAACCATTTCTGCGCCGGCCTCGCGCGTCTCGACCGCAGTCGCCCGACCCACCTGCACGTCCAGCGTCGTGCTATCGATGCAGAGCGTCGATCTCGCCTCCTCTTTATCCAGCAGGCGGAGAGTAGACACGATGCCGCTCGACTCTGAATAGACTTTCCGCACGTGCGGGGATGACGGGAGCATGGTGATGATGGTGCTCGAAGCCAGAACCGCCCTGATGTGCGGTGAAGTCGAAGCACGTCAGTGATGATCAACGAAAGTCATCAACGAGTGACACACTCTTCGGGCGTGGTGGCGATGGCTATCGTGGCCCCCGGAAAATGACCGTGGAAGTTGTCGCAGAACCGGCTGGCGCTTTCAGGGACAGCATCGCAGACGACAAAGTGCGTGCCGTTTGCCTCCGCGTACCGCTTCGAGAACAGGTTGAACGCCATCTCGGATCCCATTCGACCAAGGCCTATGAAGCTGATGCTCTTGCTACGTGAAAGATGGCGTTCCCATCTCTGCAGAGATCGCGCTGTGACTCTCATATTCGAGCAAGCTTCAAGTGAGAATGTGAGAGACTATTGAAAGAGAGCCCGGAAGCAACGAAGCCTATTGTGGGGTAGCGCTCGGGGTCTGAGTGCCATCCTGCAGACCCCGAACAATTGCAAAGGATCGAGATCTTCCACCTCGGGCAACGTCAAATGTCGGCCGATCTGCGATAGGGTGAGCAAGGTTACAGTGGCAAGCCTAACTTTTTAAGGTCAACGAAGGACCATTCAAATAGATAATTACAGGATCGAATAACATATCTAGAGGCTTCGCTACAAACAGAGCTTGCACAGTTCTCTACCAGCACCGAGTCATACGCGCCGTGTACTTCGTGAATGCGGGAGCCATAATGATTGGCTATGTCTTTTACTATGCATCATATTGACATACAGGCACAGAAAGCAAGTGAAAAAGGGCGGAAAGGAGATGAATACGATCCATGCCATGCATACCATAAAAAGCGGGCGGGCCTCAACTACATCGACCCCATAGTGCTCCACCCAACCATCATCCAAGACACCTAACCTAGTTCATCTGTCGGATGAGCTTGTTGATGTTGTCCTCCCGGTTACCAAAGTCACCGCCCTCCACGTAGTGCTTGAACTTCCGGATCCTCCAGCCGCCAGTGGGGTTAGAAAGTTTGAATGGCCAGAGGAAGTTGGCAGCCTGTAGATGGATGCAAGTCAGAACAAGCACTAGAACATGAACTGTTCTGCAACACCAACCTGCTTGAAGTTGGGACCAACGGTGAAGATCTCGTGAACGAGGTCCTCGACAGATAGGATGTCATATTTGCCAAGGGATTCCTCGATGACAGCGTTGTTGGACAGGGGGATGCGCTGTTTGTCGACCTTGCCGTAGCCGCGCTTGTAGATCAGCTCACGAACGGTCTTTAAATTTGGCTCGCTGAGAAAGTTTTAGCGTTGTGTAGATTGACTACAAGACACGCTTACCCATAAGTCACGTAAGGTTCGACCAGGCGAAGCATTTGCTGCGTTGCCTTCGTCACTCGTACGAAAACACCGTTGTTGATCTGCAAAAGGCGGAGGAGCTGCAAAATCTTGCGTGGTTTTGGCGCAATCTCGTTGATACTGGTTGGATATCAGTGTCCGTTGGACATATCATTATTGGACTTACTCACCCCCGAATCCGCACAACAAAATAGACCTTCGGCTGGGCAGGAACATAAAAGTCGCCTGATGCGCGCGCAGCCCGCTTCAGGCGGATCTCCTCCCGCTCCTTCGACAGGTAATCCTTCACGTAAGTCTCAGCCCGCTTGAAGATGACCTTGCGCTTGGCCTTGGCTGCCTGGATCGATGGATCAGCTACTGAAACACGACATAAAACTCAAGAGGATATATTCAGTCCCGAAAGATGGTTGATTGAAGGCAGCAGGGTAAAACAAAGTCTCACTAGCCATTCAAAGAAAAAAATGCATCATCGTGTTTTGGCTGGAGAAAATACACACCTTGCGAGCAGCATCCGCCTTCACCAAACGCTCCTCACGGGCCTTTTCATTTTGCTTTCGTTTCTTGAGGAGGGTCTCTGGGACTTCGATGTCCTACCACCAGGATCATGATAACGGAAGATGAGACGTGACATTCTATTGGTTTTTCAGTAAAACACCATACTGACCGAGACGGTGGGTACGCTATATGGCAGAAGAAGTCAAATGACGATGCTAGAGTGCAGACACATGGATTAGACGTACGTGGTGGAGGCCGCCATTTCTTGAGGATCGAGGGGAATGTCGAGCTCGCCAGCCAGACTGTGGCTACGAATTCGGTGGCTGCGGACTATACAGTCTGACACACATATTCCCACGATTCCTCACTTTCGCCTCGTTCCCGCATCACTTGCTCTACGGAATTTGGACCATTTGCTGCGACACTATCTTGCTTGACTCGAGGATCAATATCTTGCGTCTCTTGCAATGTTGGGGTCTGACCATCTGGCCGGACTGACAAGGCTTTTTGAGAGTACAGGCCACATGAATCTCAAACAGATCAAAATAGCAGTGGCCGAGCAAAGTACTTTGTGAAACGAATGTCGCGCAGGTTGCTAGCTGCTACGTGCAATTTATACATGCTCACGGTGTCTACATGCCCATTTCTATGCGCTTCCCTCATGCTCATCTACTTCCGCGTCTCCCCACTGAAGCGCTTCCGCACCAGTCTTGTATCACGTATGTCACAGTAGGTCGACAGTTAGCGGGAATACATCGCTTTTACACACAATATCGGGCCAATTCCCGTCTATTCCTGTCACCAAGCACTCACCAAGCCTTGAAGCTTGAAGTTTGGGGCTTCGAAATTTAGAATCAATCTATAGTCCTGACTCTCAGTCAGGCTGCACCGACGGCTTCAGCGACCTCCCTTTTTCAGATCACGACATGTCAAGAGCCGGTTTGCTGATCGATGGATCTAGCAGTCGTCATTTTCGTGTTAAGTGATGACTCGATGCTCAACGTACTCAGACGTATGGACGACATTGGGACTATTCCGCAAAGCCTGGGCAACCTGCTTCCCACCCGACCCGACCACACTCTCACATAACTTTATTATATACACGTTCGTCGGCTATTCCAGCTTGTCAAATGACTTGACGTTGACTTGCTGCGTTTACAATGATATTCGAAAGCTTGTCGTATGAATCTGTGCATGTTACGTCATTGAAAGGTGGGACCTGATGGGACGTAAAGTGACTCGTTCAGGGCAACTAGCAACGTTCCCTGAGTTCAGCCAGGTTCAACCTCACATTTGCGGGTAAGTATCCTACCCCGAGCCCGTATGGTGCTGTGTCAAAAACGTTCTATTGATGACTGTAACTCACGGATAGATCTTAATAGAGGATATGTTCATATACTGACGGAAGACCGCAAGGTCCGACGCTCGGCTTATCTTCAGGTATAAGTACACGCTGTTGCAGCCTGCTTCGCACAGTCACCTTCATACTGTCCTAGTCATGGCTAGTCTGCACATTACGCCACCACACGATGGCCTCTTCACCGATTCAGATGAACTGGACATCTTTCCCACACCCCCGTATTCTTCATCAGCCTCGGACTCAGAACGTACTATTCAGACAGCCCCTGTCACTCCCCACAATGAGGCTTCTGAGAGTGAGGAGGAACCATCGCCTTGCACACATTTCCTCTATAGATCCGATTATCTTGAGATAAACCTAGGTCGTAAGCTGTGGGGGCTTTCTCTGTCTGCTTATGGATTCACCGACATAGTTGACGGGACAGTCAAGCTACGGAAAGAGTGTACACATGTCGTACGGCTCACGGCGACGGTAGATCTTCCCTTTTCACACCATAGGAAGTATGCTGATTATGATTCGTCACTAATAGCTTGAAGGAAAGGTCAAAGTGACGGCTGTATCTCGAGGTGTGGTGGACGAGATGACCAGTCTGACCACGGTATACGAGACAATCGACATACCTATCTTGGATACCTCTCGAGGACCCTACTATTTGACTGAACAGCTCTATTATTTCGCGATACCCCTTCCAAACCGCATTCAAGGAGGAACCTTACCTCTGCCTCCTTCATACGCAGCTTGGAATCCTGGAGTCTCCTGCGAAGTATCCTATACCCTGAAGATTGATGCATATCGTAAAGGCCTGCTGCGAAGGCACGAAGAGTGAGCTCATCCGTCATATAAACATGCGAAGGGAGCTTATCCACCGTGTTTGCATGCAAATTGCTGCTGGTCCACTGGGTGTAACAGGAAAATTGTACCGTTACTTTATCTGCCCAAGACCTGGCCTTCTCGCCCACCGTTCCACGGGAATATTACACATGGTGGGGATACGATCAAGACGATCCACTTAATCCCTTCATTTCCTTCTGACGCTGTCCGCAGAAAAACCGTCAATGTCCCGACTGTCGAAGTATGTCCACACCTTTCGCTCGATATTGAATCTCATGTTTCAGCTCGCACGCTTTACAGCTCTCGTTGCCAGCCGCCTCAACTATGACTTCTGGCTTTCATATACCGCTGAAACTCGTCATAAACTGCTCAGAAGCGCCAGCCCTCTCCGCGCTCCTGTATCAACATGTCGATTTGAAGGTAGTGAAACGGACCCGAGCTTGGGTGAAAGGCGATCGTTTCGCTGGTGGAAGAGATATCATCTTGGGTTCCGCCGTGGCGCTTGAAACGGATACTTTCCAAGAAGGCAGAGTGATCTGCCGGTATGAGTTGAAGGTCGGAGAGCTGGGAAAAGAACAATCTTGGCGAGTGGAAGGCGCCATAGATGTATCGGTAAGGCACAACCTCGAAATTGACAGGTTGAGTCTCATAGTGTTTCTCCAGTATGTTGTCAAAATCTCCATACGTCCGCCTTATAGCTCGACAAATCTCCCGAGCTATAGTCATGTCGAGGTTTTGACTGTCGCGACTGAGCCTTGGGGCACATACGAGCGCGAGTTGCGCCAATTTGGTGCATCCGCGCCGGCTGTGGGACTAAATAACGCTGGAAGGGAACTTCGCCCCACACACAGTATGGATTGGTAATTATTGTTATGCCAGTTTAAATTCTTTTGACATCATTTCTCCCAAGATATCCCCTTCGTTACGCTAGTAGACGTTAGTTATGACAGGCATTAAATTGTGGCCATTCGGTTTCTATCATTAATTCGTATCTATATATTTTGTTCCGATGGAGCAGTCTCTCGACCTTGAATAATCTGTACAATGGATCTCGAGCGAGCAGGAGAGTAAGGCACTGAAAAGCAGTGCAGAAGTTCATAGCAGGGTGGTCGCGCTTCGCGGATCGACTCGCGGTACTGAGTGCCCCCTGCTTTCGATCCACATTTCTCCCTTACTGCGCTTCGGCATTTTGGAGCTGGAAGGCTATCCGTCCTTGTCGCTGTCGCCGAAACATAGTCATGCTTGCAGCTGCGACCTCGTTCTTCTCGCGATCCAACATCTCGCAGTCGTATGCCATCGGAGCACCGACAACGTCAAGTCGTGTTGCAACCCCAACACCATCCAGCTCACCATCAACCTCTTTGTCCGCCATCGCTCATGTACCATCCTTCCAAGTCGGTCTATGGCGTGTACAGTCTGGATCCCACAAAGTTACGAACAAACGTGTGTCTGTATGGTCTTTCGACAAGAGGAGTGCAGAGATGGATCGAATGACTCCATCTGCGCGGGAGAAAGCTCTGGACGTCCTGAAGTCGGAGGTATGTGGCTTTCTTGCGTCAAGAGAAGTACTTGACGTCGCAAGTTCCCCAGGCTACATCTCTGAGTAGGCTACGCCATCCTTGTATATTAGGTGGGTGGCGAACATTGCGTGTACACCCTCCGTGTGATCTGAAAGTGTCAATCTGAAGAAATGGTCGAACCTCTTGAGGAAACCCGAAGCGAACTGATTTTCGCCACTGAACCCTTGCTATCATCTCTTTACCTCTCCATCCCTGGCTCCCCCCATTCGTCGCCTTTGGTAGATCTGGATGAGGTGGAAGTTCGTACCAAATCAGCTCTAGATCGGTGCACTGCAGCTGATGCCATCCTTACTTAGATCCAGAAAGGTGTCTTGCAACTGTGCAAAGGCCTCTTGTTCCTCCACACCTCCGCACGTATCATCCACTCCAATATATCTCCTGGAAGTATTCTCATCAATAATGTGGTATGCGAGTCTTCCATATTTATGTTGTATATTCTGAGCTATGCTTATAAAGGGAGATTGGAAAATTGGAGGTCTCGGCTTGACAATTCCATTAACCAAACCGGACGGATCGTTGACCAGCTGGGAATTCCCCACCTTTGACAGCCGTATGTCGCCTTATACTCAACGATCGTTTGACTATGTCGGTGCGTAAGAAGGGCCATCTATTATGTTTTTTCTCATCCAGCATCTAGCTCCCGAGTATGCACTTGATGAAGTGTTGAACTTTGCTTCGGATATGTATTCTCTCGGATGTCTCATGTATGCTGTACACTGTAAGGGTGAACCCCCATTCAAGAATTTCGGCAACCTTGGCAGCTTGCGCGATAATGCAGGCAAGCCGCTCACCGGGATGCAGCGCCTGGACAAGGATCTTCAGGGTGGGTGCATATATGAAAGAAATCACCTAGTCTATTGAACTGTGACGTATAGCGATGCTGTCTTCGCTTATCACCCGACAGCCACATAATAGGCCTACTCCGGCGACTCTGCCATCTCATGCATTCTTTTCTTCGCTTCCTATATCGACTCTCAACTTCTTAGACCGTTCCAACTTTGCGGCCAAGTCAAGGGAAGAGAAGATATCTTTCATGAAGGGGCTGACGAACGTTCTGGACCGATTCTCTGATGGCCTTCAGACACGTAAAATACTACCTTCACTGCTTGAAGAGGTGTGCTCGATAGTTTGTCTGGTGTGATCGAATTGCTCTTGGCTAATGGTATGTTTCAGATGAAAGATACCCATTTGCTTCCATACATCCTGCCAAACGTGTTTTCGATCTCTAAGATACTTTCTGCGCCACAATTCGCCACTCTCGTTCTACCTAGTCTGAAGCCTCTATTTGCCATAAAAGAGCCGCCTCAAAACATGCTCACGCTTTTGGATAACCTTGGAATGCTGCAGAGCAAGACTGAGAAGCATGTTTTTCGTGAACGTGGGTATTCTCTATTCTAGTAATTAGCATTCAATGATTGATGCTTGAAACATTTCAGATGTATTACCTCTAGTATACAATGCACTGGAATCTGAACATGCTATTGTCCGTCACCCCCCTGCCTTGGAACTTCATTTTCATTCTCTAACATCGTCCAGGTTCAAGAACGCGCTCTGAAGGTAGTACCAGATCTATGCGAAACCATTGATTATGCCGAAGTCCAAGGTGTTGTGTTCCCGAGAGTTGCCGTACGCTATCGAAGTTTTCATCTTACTCACCTACTAATGCGACTCTTAATGCAGATGGTGTTTACAAAGACACGTATTCTGTCAGTCAAAGTTGCTACCCTAGTAACCTTTCTGAGTATGGTAAAAACTTTGGATCAGGTATGTAAGTTTTAATCTGCTATAACGCCCTAGACTTACGGTCTGCGTAGTCGAGCCTTACTCAAAAACTCGTTCCCCTCTTGTCGAAAATTCGCACCAAAGAGCCAGCAGTCACGGTAGATTGCTCTGTAAATTTCGATCAATTGGCTGTAGCTGACTTTGCTTTTTAAGATGGCCACCCTATCAGTGCAAGAGGCTATGGGATTGAAAGTTGATCGAGAGGCCGTAGCTACGCTCGTTCTTCCGCAGCTTTGGGCCATGGCCATGGGCCCATGTGCGTATTTCGTTCTTCAAACCACTCGTCTACCTGTTCTGATAAGCTTAACTGCAGTACTAAACGTAGAACAGTTTCAGCGATTCATGGGCGTTATCCGCGTGTTAGGCGACCGAGTAGAGAAAGAGCACAACCAATATCTTCGCGACTCCCAACGTATAGAAGACCGCTCAGCTACAGCGGTGAATGGCGCGTCCCCCGGGACTGCCTTCAACCCATCTGTTGATTTCGCCAGTCTCGTCGGTGGCAGTACGATGATCAAGGCAGATGGTACACCTGATCCGAATGGAGGCTGGGAAGATGATATGTGGGGAAGCATCCTTTCGTCATCAAATGCCGAGGTTTGTATATTTCGCCTATCAAAGAAAACCATACAATACTAAACGTGTCCCACAGACTCCTCGAATGGCAAGCCCCTCCGCTGCATCTATGACAGTTGTTGCATCTGTAACGCAACAAACACAGTCATTACCATCTTCGCCGAAGATAGCCTCTATACCGGTCACCAATGGCGGTGTGTCCCAAATGCTACGGCCAGGAGGAAAGGGTCTCGGGGCCAAGCCGATTCCGTCAACTTCATTCAACACCTCCGCGTTTTCGCCGGGTCCGCAAGTCAGTCGGCCTCCCAACTCCTCTAATCTGGGAATGCAGCCAATGCAACCAAACAATACCGGTGGCAACGCCCGTTTCTCCCAGACATCGAATGCTGGGAAGTCAACGCGCAATGTCTCGCTATCTGAGATCGCAACTTCTCCCCGCCCCGCATTGAAACCATCGATTTCGAGTCCACCGACCCAGCCATCGCAGCGGACAGCGCCGAATTACAACCTATCTTTTTCGACAATGTCGCCATCAGTCCCAACCATGCAGCCATCAGTCCCAATCATGCAGCCGAGCATGCAGCCGTTGACGCCGCAGATCTCGCGTCCAGGGATGGGAGATTTACTCACACCATCGAAGCCACCACAACCTTCCTGGGGGAGTGCTGGTGCAAGTAAACAACTCTCCAAGGACGATTGGGGCGACTTTGACCCGTTGGCGTGATCTCCATTGACACTTTTCTCATTGCCTTTTTGCGATTATATATCGTACGCATATTTCACATGGGTAATCTATCAGAGCTGGACTGTCAGAGAGTGTCCCTCTCGATTTCGACGCCTTGTTGGCTTCGCACGTCCCATGCTGGTACTATGGTCTGATGTTCTTCATCAGTGTCCTTGAATTGTAAAGGTATGACATCCGCCTGGATGGGAATGTTCAGGATATCCTTCAGGAGAATCAATGCGCCTAGCTTAGAAGCGACGATGTTCTTCTCCTGGCAATATGCACTGGCGATACCTGACGACCGCGATTGAAATGCGTTCAGGGAAACAGATGACGACAACTAAAGTACCCACAATTTGCACAACCTTCGTCTGTCTCGCATTCACACGTTTCCACGGTTTCGCAGGCATGGCGCAAAATGTCAGAGACTAGAAAAAATCTGAGATATACATGAAGCTTCTGGACGAGACTGGGAAATATACCATGATCAAAAGCTTTGGCTGCAACGCCGCCTCCCTTCCCTGGTACATCATAAAATATGACACTTTGCGAGTTTAAGCGGTACGACGAGATAGAAGTAGCCTATAGCCACGTACCGCGCTGGTCGTTTCCTCTGTGTTCCGGCAGCCTTGTATTCTTTCTCCGCTGCTTTACATTCCGTCCGCAAGTCAGCAGCCATAGGAAAACGGTTCAGAAAGGCATGCTGTGCAGAATGGATTGCTTCCGCTATATTGAAGCCCTTGTCCTTCATCAGCTTGAGCGTTTCCCTCGACACATCAATCCACATGCCAGTCGTAGAGCGCTCGTAGGGTGGCATATCGACATCGACGGTGTCGAGGATGACTTTAGCCCTGTTCATGTATTAAATTCCGTACGCACACAAAAATAGACGGATTCTACCTTATTTTGAAAAAGCCTGACACCATCCAAGTTCAAAACAAACGAAGTGAGGATTCAAGTGAGACTGCGTACCAAAAACAGTTGTCGATACATCCACTCCTGCGAGCGTTCAGCTACATTGAAGACTCGTGTCCGCTGAACCTGAATAATATGAAACGTACTGCCGTAGAACGCTTTACGAGGTGACTTTCGAATCTCCCTAATGCGGTGTGTTTGAATCGCGTCTATATCTCTGGAACGCTTGTCAATGACCAGCAACGCCATAAGATCGAAGTCCACTCATACGTGAAATCTCTGTTTTGACGTTCGACTTGAGTTATGGGGTTGGCAATGATAAAGCAGTAGCATACCTCGGGGAAGTTGTCCAGCTAACATCTGTTCGTATGACACTGGCGCGTTTGAGGTCGTGGCTGATTTCTTTCACCTGGGAGATAGGTTCGATAATGAGAGAATTGATGAGTGCACTTTTACTGACCAAAAACGTCAATCCCTGGTGAATGAACTCAAACACAAACATGTCAATCATGGATCAACAGAGAAAAAAAAGAAGACATACTATAGCGCCTGCGTACAGCTCGAATAGAGCTCTTGATATCTCGATTTCCTCAATGATGCGCACAAACCCATCACTGTGTAACTTGGTGACATCCACGACATCATACTTGTCTTCAGCGGCACCTCGCAGAGAGATGTCTTTGGCTGGAAACGGTAAGTATTTCGGGTGTGTATGAAACCTTCGACAGATATCTCAGACGCTCAATCACAAATCAAAGAAAACAGGGGCTCACCACCCTTCCTCGTCCTTGACTAACTTGGTTTCGCAGAGTTCTTTTGTTAGCAAACCGAACCATTTTTCGTCGTCCAGGGACATCGGCATCTCGTGAGCTGCACATTGAAGGTGAGATTCTAATACAAATTTATTGTTTAGATCAATGGTGATGTCGTTTGTCGGCTTGTCAAAAAGATCTCCGGGATTGTTCACATAATGTCGGTCTATAGGGAGGCTATCCGCGACGAGGACACCTAGTGCATCACGGGCTCTTCGACCTGCTCGTCCGATTTGTTGTCGCTGCAATGGCTGTCAGAAATGCGAAAAAAAAAGCACATGATGTACAACTGACAAAGCTGGCGAGGCCGCCTGGAAAGCCAAGCATGATTACAGCATCCAAGACACCGATATCTACGCCCAATTCGAGAGCATTGGTAGCAATAATTCCTAATAAATTACCAGAAAATGCTTCGTGTTCAATTTTGCGACGGTCTTCTTGAGCATAACCTGTGACCTAGAAGTGAGTTCAGATCATTTTTACGGTTGGGGTGACGAACCTCCTCTGTAAGACATAACTTTGTTGAGTATGTCATATCGGCCCTCCTCGCTGAGTTGAGCTCGAATTGCTTTCATAGCCTGGAAGATTGTAAATCTCGTGGAGTGTCACAGAAAGGCCGATCAGCTCCTACCAATTCACACATCTTCCGGACCTTCAAATATATGAGTACGTGAGTTTCAACATCTGAAACAACTTACCTTGCAAAAGAGGATAACCCGGATACCCCTCTTCATAAGATACCTCATTAACCCGGTGGCCTCGCTCATTGGACTGTGGGATCCCATGCCAGGGGCCAGAGGGTCGATGAATGGTGCATCCCATATCAAGAAGTCTTTTCGGCCAGACGGGGCGCCATCCTCCGTTATGGCCTCAACGCTCTGGTGGGAACATTTAGGGAATGCATCAATCGCTGAGATTGCAAAGTCAAGTACTTTAAGTCCAAACATCATCTTCATGTGTTCTCCAGGTTGAGCAATGGTCGCACTGCACGACACAAAGCGGATACGCTGGTCTGCTAATCGTAAGCGGGAAGTACGTTTCAGCTCATGATCGTCACTTACTGCCTACTGCCGCACAAATTCTTCGTAGACGTCTCAGGACCAGGGCTACGTGGCTGTATTGAAAAGATCAATGCTTGTGCTGTGATCAGTGACGAAAAACAGAACCTTCCGAATGAGTCTGTATAATAATGCAGTTCGTCAACAGCAATGAGCTTCAAGTTCTTTAAGAATCTAGTTTCTGGTTTATCGGTGGGATAGAGGGCAGGATATTGGTAACATCACGCTACCTTCGCCATAAATCTTCGTGGGGTAAGATAGACATGTGTATCATTTCCTACAATGAATGAGTGAGCTGCATTTGCCTATTCTAGTAAATGTCCTACGCACGAAATTAGTGAAAATGACGGATACTGTGTCGCGAATCTCTAGAGAAGGAAGCCAGAGTTTGGTTGTGGTCATGCTCATTCTGATGATGTTGCTTACCTCGCCGCATTTCTTGAGGCGTATCCCCGTCGTATGTAGCAACCTTGTTGAGGAGCCGTTGGTGTTACGGGCAATATAAAAATAAGTTGGTTCACCTTGATATGCTCGAGTCCAGGACACGCGCATAAAAGCTGTTCAAGGGCAGCTTTCTGATCCTGCGCGAGAGCCTAGCGTAGGATGTAAGCGTCTGCAGCTGGTGAGTGCAGGGTAGGCAGACCTTCGTTGGGTATACATACATTGCCGTCGCCGCATGGTCTTCTTCGAGGAATCCCAATACCGGAGCCTATCATTGTATTTCATATTGACTACAGCACTTGCTAAGGGCAGGTCTTACCTGATAGATAACAGATTTACCGGAGGCGGTACTTGTTGAAACAATGACATCTTTATTCTCCTGTAAAGCTTGAAGAGCCGCAACTTGATGTGTATATAGGGAAGTTATCTTCCGAGAATCCCTGAATGCTCGCTGAACAGTTTCTGAGAGGGGTGGATCTAGCACTTCTGCAAGCAAATCGCAAGAGTCAGAGTTGATCAGATTTGATTAAGTGCGCACAACTCTCACCAATATTCCCCTCCCTTGCCTCAAATATTCTCCGCTCAACAATCTGCTTTCTATACCACTCAGCCTTCTCTATTTCGGCAATGATATCTTCGACCGATGGACGGTCCTCAGCACTTGGTATCTCCATCTTGTCAGTGTCACTGAACGCTGCAGTCTTCATGGTTGGGTGAACGGGTATGTGATCATGGGCTGCTGCTTGCAAGAGGGTTGCCGGATCTTCAGATTTTGGGGTCGCCTCAAGGAGCCTGCAAGTTGCTGATTTGAGATGATGTCAAGAATTACACGATTTGGTCAATTTCACTCATTGACTGCCAGGGCAAAACGCTCGTTTCGTTTTTCAATTAGTTTCTTGACCTGAATAGGCGTCAAAGACGGCGGAAGAGTGAACCTGCGGATATTGAGATGTCAGAAAATGTGATGACCAACGCGGAATCTCACATGTATGAGTCTCCTTTGTTGCCTCTCACATTGTCGAGAAAATCAAGGACAAGGATGTGTTCATCTGAATTTGTGTCATGAGATGAAGGTCCTGATTGCATGAATTTCCTAAAGTCCGGAGACGACGCTCGACCGTTAGTCTGTTGAGTAGCATTGATACGTATCTCGTCTTTCGGGGTGTACGCGAACTTTACGACATCTGGGAGAAGTGCTCTGAACATCCAACGGAATTGAGCTTAGAAGAATTTATGAGCAGACATAGAGCAGTACTTGAGTTCGGCAACTTTCGAGAGTTCCAACGGCCTGTACTTCGGTTCACTGGTCTGTATTCGATGAACCACAAATGAGTGCACGCACTCTTTGAGTATGCTCTCAGCAGATTTGCGGACCACTGGAAAAGTAGTAGCAAGGTGCTTTCTCGACGAGCAGAATGCTAAGACAGTGTTCAACGCCTATATTTCAACGTTCAAAGCAATCTCAGATATAGTTATTCACCGGCGAACCATACCTTAAAAACCTGCAAAGCGCCGTTAGTTCAAGAGACAGATGGATAGTATAGGAGACCAGGGCGTTGACAGGGCCTACCTTGAACAACTACAACGCCTTACGGTCATCGTATATCATGGTCAGAGGTATGTCAGATGCTCACGTCCTGAAAATATTTGGGCCACCCTTGATCAACCCTCTTTTGAGCCTCTGCCTTACCGACACCCTTTGCGTTAGTGGGTTTGCGACGCTTCTTGATATTCGGCTCATCATCTGCCAGAGGTTCTTTGGATTTTCTCTTTCGAGCAGGCCTTGCTAAGGAAGAGCCAGGTAGAACAGGTAAATTCATGTCGTGGCAGACTTCGAAAGAGAGACGGGGCTAGCGGCACAGTATAGTGTATTACGAAGCTTTCTCTGGTCTTTCTATCCCCCGACTATTAGCTCCGACTCCCATCCATCTCAATGGTTGTCCGTTTCTTGCGTCTTGATCCGTACGAACTTCCACAACTCGTATTAGCTTGATGACATTTCCTGCAGGTGAGTATGCGGAGAGGCAGCCCTTTTGCTATCGTGATGTCATACTCAAAGCTTTTCTCTGCAATGTAGTCATGCCTCGTGATAACAAGTCCTACCCTTTCCTCATAAACGAGGGAAATGAAGAGCTTCACAGGCAATTTCATGTTCTGATCATGACACTTTGTCTCGTCACTGCCATCAACAATGACGGTGTATCGACTTTCAGCAGGTTTCCCAGTGATGTCACTCCACGGTCGACCCATCCTGATGTTCAAATTTGCGAAGATGCAGCGATGCTATCAGTGCCGTCGGTACCCTGTTGGTTCGGAATAATGAAGTCGTCGCTTTGACGGGTCATTGCGAGGCTAATGCCTTCGAGGCCCTGATCGCGTTCGAGCCCACTACAGAGGATGACGATGACGATGATGGACAAGAGACAACGGCGGAGAGAATGTCAGCGGAGCCTTGTGTTCCAGGCAACGGCCATACCGCTATTGCAAACAGTCTTATTAACCCTCGTAGTGAAACTATCACGAGTAAGCACTGTGTCGTTGCTACAAGAACGTCTCATCCGTAAGATTGTGGTGGATAAGCAACCCTACTTCGTACTCGGCCATGGGTAAGCTTTATTCTGGTGACCCTTTTCTTAATATGTGAATGTGTTAGATAGTCTAGATTCTTTAGAGAACCACGCAGAGACCTTGTTCGACTATTTCTCCATAGTTCGTCAATCGGTGATCGACAAACGCCCTCAAGACAGCGGCCCTATTACCGACTTGATGATACGCTATATCATGACCGTTTCTTGGCAGAAGATGCACCGGTGCATCAATGACCCGCTTTCTGTGTCAATTCTCTATCGCTCGAAGAGTATTTCTGGCGAAGCTATCCAGCGATGCTTTGCAGCGAGGTGGCCTGACGACGCTCCCTGGGTTTCATCCAAGAAGGATCATGTACTTGGTAGATGTTTCCCGATTCATTTCAAATTCATGATCAACAAAAAATACCCGGGACTACCCCAAGTCGATGGCAAAAAACTGCGCCGAAAAATCATGCAGCGTCCAGCAGGCACTGCAGGTAAGATATGACATGGCCATCGCTGTTCTGACTACTCATATTTCATATATGACCGGGACACATGTGTGAAATTTCACCATGTCGTCTACTACACCCTCGAATTTTACGCATTCGTACTCAATCTCCCCCGTACCTCTCAATCCGAGCGTCGGGAGCACTTGTCACATTTACAAACCAAGGACTTGAACACCCATGACCTTTCTCAAGCTGAAGAATTGGCCGAGTCCGCGTTGGCCACAATGCGATCTGCCATCACGAGCCTCAATCATGCTTCCAATCTGCTCTGTCGGTTTGCCACTTCTGAGATGCTTGCCTTACACCTCCAGACATTGACCGCAGACCCCATGCGCGCGCTCTTGCCAGTAGACCTGCCGCTCCCGGGGACACTCAATGCTGACAAGGGAACAAAAGTTGGCGTTGATGGAACCCAAATCCATGAATCCAGGACCGCAGAAAATATCGTTGATTTCTACTCCAGGTGGTTTCAATCACAGAGTAGTCACCCGATAGCTTTGTTTCAGTTGGCAAAACATCCCCGTTGTTGGAGCCAGAATCCGATTTTGGACAACCTCAGCGTTTCTCTTCTTGCCATAAGGCCCTCCACATCTGCAAACGAAGCATCCATTGGCGAAGAGTGGAAAGAATTGATCAGATCGGGTTTAGATGAGTCTGAGGCATGCTCTGCAGGTTCTGTTGATCCGTCTCCCCTAGAACATCATTAATACCGGTCTGATCGTAGAAAATTGCGGTGCCACTCCTGCTAATTCGAGTTCGGAACTCGCTTCACGAAGTGACGATATTTTGCGTATCATTCAAGAAACTTTAGCCAATGCGGCTAATAGTCCGGGCTTCAAGAACGTCCCGATATACAAAGCATCCTGTCACAAGTCTCCAAATCGCCAGAAGCAACAATACCAAACACCGAATGGTGATTTGCCTTCCATTTCCAGTGGAAGGGTACACTGTGAGGCGGCCATGATGGCTTTCATGTTGGACAACAATCTCCATGTTGCGGAGGAACGCCGTATGAAGGTGTGTTTTTCCCCTGCCACTAATCTCTCAACTGGCGAGCTGTCCAGAGTCAGTTGCCCGATTCTATCATGGCGACGAAACCTCCATGTCCTGTCTGTGTGGTGGTAGTGATAGAAATGAGAGGAACGATTATCGGCGCTCAATACAGTCACTCCACGTTGTCTCCCGTCAAATTGTCTGTTTGTCTTCCTCTAGAGATCATCCAGAGGTTGTTGACTCGGTTCAGATACTATCTCAGCATCGAGCTCGAAGTCATGTTGAAGAATGACAGACATAGGGACACCGTTTCTGGGTGGTCCAAGGCCCGATAGGACAGCAAATCCGAGCACAGCGAAAGTGACATTTCCGTTCGCAGTGACATGTAGCCCAATTGATAGACAACATCGAGGCTGTGGACAAGCTATACCAGTAATCGAGCTCTTCATTTAGCATGCCAGATTATACACAAATCTTGTATCTTATCTATCTTCTATACGCTACAATATTGGACTTGTTATTGTCCCTCGCGATGTCCCCCTCGACAACCTCATTGACAGACCTCGGCGCGAGACGCGACATGTCACGCGATGAAATCTGGCCAAGCGTGACCAAGCTCTCTTTTAGTTCTTTGTTGGCCCTCCTATAGTTTGTGAGTTCCGCGTATCTGACGGATTCACCAATCACCCTTGACACCAGAAAGCATACTTCAGGTCCTCCAAGTCATGCGTCCTTCCGTACCGCGCCTCCTCCGAATTCTTCCTCGTAGTGCGGTGGTGACAACAGAGCCTGGAGCTTCCAAACTGCCCAAAGCCAAGATCTTCGAGGAACTGCCAAAAGATGTCAGGAAGCCACCGTCGCTCCTCGAGGTGCTATTGAAGCGAAAGGAAGAAGCTGGTGCAAGCTATCCACCAAACATTCGGATAGAACCGGTCATGTCGAGGCAAACGTTCGCGGGGGTCGCTAAGGAAGTCAGGGCCTCATTGCGAGCTACGTTGAGAGAGCGATAAGGTGTGCTCACAAGGCATGCGACGGCCGGAGTAATTGTGAGTGACCTACTCGAGCCATAGCATTCTAGCGAGGGTGACCTCGGACTGACACAAACTCTCTGCATTGCGCCGTCGCGCCTGCATTCATATGTATTTTCCCCTCTCCATTTACCTTCAGCTCCATTATACTTGATCCCGTTGAGACTCTTTGGCAAGACATCGACAACTTACATAGTAACATGGTTCGTTGCTCAGTGTCATTGTGTCAGATATTTGTGATTCCTTCAACATATATGCCTCTAATGTTGGTTCAGTCTGACCAATGAGTGCTTTCGCTGCTCTCCATCTCTCTCCATCAACGCATGTAGTATCACTAGTCAGCCTACCACGTCATTCGAACGGAAACGTGCACCAGGAACTCTTATGCATATGGTTAATTGATTTTTATACATAGCGACATTTGAGTTAAGCGCTAGCTAGTACGTGTTTGTCGGACCGGAGGGTTAGGAATCAGGATCACTTAAACAAGGCCTCATAGGCATCAGGCCTCGTCAACCTACCCCCATCAACAGTTCCCATGTCGTCAAGGGTGTGGAAAGGTAGTAACTTTGCTTCTGTTCTAGCTTGACCGCATCATCCACTAACTAGCTAGCTCTTGCTTGCAGTCTTGGTCCCATTACTTCTCTTTCCGTCCTTTTCCGCCCTCGCATTCCGTTTCCTTGTCGGACACCTCGTGAAATCCGGTGGTGGGGCATTGATCAGGGCCCAATGCCCTCCCAATGATGGTGCTTATGCGCTTGTATACACCTCAGTTCCAGGCATCGACAAACAGCTCTGCATACTCGTCACGTTCTTTCATGCCGCTTTCCAGCCCAAAACCGCCCTCTTCCTCGCCGAGTTCGCTGCGTCTGGCGCCGCATTTATCGTATTGCCATACGTAGAAGCTTCGCGTCAAGGCCGTCCTTTCCTGCTCGCCTTCCCGACCCTATTCGGCATCATGTACCAAAATATCGGTGTGGGGGTCATGTATCCCCTGTACTGGCTCGCATTCATTCTCTCGGGACAAGCGCGTCTTCGTCCGGGGCCTGCTGCAAAGATTGACCAAGCACACGCAGAAGCGACAATGTTCGCCCTTCTCATTGGCGCCGCCGTGCCATCTCTTTTGATGTATTTCTTGGACGACGCAATTGTGACTGCCGCTTGGCAGGCATTCCCTGTCTGGATGTGGTTGTCGCAGCAGGCGCACCTCCTCGTTCGTCCATCATCGCGTCATCCTCAGTCGGGTTATAAGACAATCCAAGTCCTGTTCATCGCCACTTTCATCCTTTCTGCCGCGACTCATCTCGCCGTGGTATGGCCGCTGCTCGAGGAGCCTGATGCCATCAAATACTATTTCCTTCCACGCATCGCAGTCCCAGACCCGCAGACCACGACTCTAGAATATGCAGCATTGGTATTCCTACAGTGGGACGCCACGTTCGCATTCGGACCTAGCCTCATCGGGTCTCTGTGGGTTGCAGAGACTGTGTCGCAATTTTCAATCCTTGCCCTCTGGAACGTCGTAGGGAGCATTGCGTTTGGGCCGGGGGCTGCTATCTCTGGATTCCTCTTATGGCGGGAAGCGAGGTTGAACAGTGGGCAGCTTGCGTTCACTCTCAAACAAGACTGAGGCACCGTGTATAACAGATGCTCCGACGGTAATGTGATAGCCGCACCACATAACAGTCGATGTTAAAGACAAGAACAGGAGCATATAATATACTATACAGTTGGACGATACCATAACCAAACATGAAGAATGACTGGAAACCTTCACTGGTTCACCGCTTACCCTTCTTGCCATTAGATTTCGCGGGAACTTTCTTTTTTGGCCGGCTGTCAGAATCGTCAGAATTATGCCCGCGTCCAACCTCGACTCGTTTCTTGTCGGCTGCATCGAGTAACGTCAGTGAGCCGTCAACAAAACGGGAGAGCATGATACGAACATTTCGCGGCCTTCTTCTCCAACTCATCCCAGTCTTCGCCTACGAGAAAAAACATAAGCGGGCGCTAGGCATGCTCTTCGATGCAGTACATACCATCACTGTCGTCATCGAAGTTCGACTCGCTACCTTCGTCATCACTTGCGTCCGACCCATCAAACACGCTTCCAGCATCTTCACTCTCCTCACTCTCTTCTTCGACAGACTCAGCCTCAAACTCGGATTCAGTATCAGAGTCGTCGTCTTGATCGGACTGAAGGAGCGCATGTAAGATGGTCGTATGGTCACAAGAAACAAAGGGCAACGCACGTCATCGCCACCTGTACCGCCAAGGAAGTTCCATCCACCGGACTGGAAGAAGTCGTGAGGGCTGTCATTGATGGTCTTCATAATCGGTCCCCAGTTCAAATTGACGGGTCCTTCAGCCAGTGGAATGTCAACAGAACTTTAAAATAGATGTTAGGAACGCTCTAATTGAGGACGAAACAACTTACTCAAGCCAGTTCTTCACGTCGTCCAGTTGAGCACTTGGTATCGAATTGATATGAAGTGGTGTTTTCGTGAAGTCCTTGAAGACCAAAACCACATCAAATTGTTTCAACCCGAACTGAACACGCTCCAAGGACGCGATCTCGATTTCCGCCAGCGTGACAACCAGGAAAGGAGGATCTGATAGATGGACAAGACACTCGGTGGTAGGCTGCAGGCGAACATTCGTGCGGAAGGGGACACCCTCAAATGACAGCTCTCGGAAAGGGATATCCGGTTCCAGAGTATCACCAGTCTACAAGACAGATAATTAGAGGACTGAGCGGCGGCGGTATTATTTGAGGAACATACGAAGGAAGTAGAGGCTTCAGTGATTTTCTCTGCAAAGGATTTGAATTCCTTGTTCATGATCTGTCTTCGTTTACGCTCCTGCTGCTCCATTTCGATCTCATCCTCATCACCATAGCGATACTTCCGTTTACGGTTACCCGTCTCGTCGAACTGAACATCAGATGCCTCACGGAAGAATTGAACATCCTGCACCAAGGTCAGTCGGTATATTCATACTGCGCGGAAGGTGAGACGAACGTGGGCTTTCTTCTTGCCAATCATGATAGGAGCTTTGAGATGAATGTGAATGATGACGAGCAATTCATGATCGCATGGTTGGAAGAACAGATGTTTGATGTTGCTGAAAAGTATGTCTTTCGCCATAATTCAGAAGCCTTAGTCAAGGAGTGCGAGTGAATGTATGTTTGGACTCACCGATCTTCTGGGTACCCATGGGTGACTGGTACCGCAGACCATTCTGGTGAATTTCGACCTCTCCTGGCAATCGTTTACCATCGAGTGCAGGTCGCACAAACACTTCAGGCAACTTGATCGGCCGACGTCCTTTCATTTCAACCAAGATGTCTTGTTCAATAACATCAGCAAGCTCTTTCTTCTGCTGCTCGCGCTTGTTCACTTCCTTCTTCAAGTCGGTGATCTGCTTGCTAATTGTGTCAAAGCGATGGCCGTCCGCCGACCGGTATGTGACAGATCTGATAAATGTAGCGTCAGGATCCTCGAAAGGCTGAAAACCCAGTTAGTGGCTCGAAATCAGCAAGATGAATGTCCCAATGTACCGTGTCTTCCTTCTTTCCTGCAAGCTGTCCCGGTGTCTGGAAGTTGACGCGCAGATAGGTAAATTCGCCCTCGTCGTTCTTGCTGACATTTTTGATGGTGTTGATGTGGAACGGAACAGCAAAGCCGTGTATAGGCAAGACAATCGTTTGAGCTTTGCGGTCAACAAATATCTGAATCGCATCTTTAGCATCGAGCAGGCTTCCAATAATCGAGAAGGGCATACCCGCAAACTCTCAGCCTCCTTGGGTAAACCGAGCTCTCCCTTGTAGCTCTGGAAGCGCTTCCAACCTTTGCCCTCCTTGCCACCCCCACTTGCACCTTCTTCTGAATACTTTTCGAGTCCCTCTGCCTGAAGTGACTGATGTAATTCGCGCTGATGTTCTTTGATCTTAGTTGCGGCAGATTGTAAGACCTCCTCCTGAGCAGCACTGCGAGTCTTGTTTCGTAATACTTTGCCGCCAGCCGTCTTGTGCTTTGTGGGCGAAGGATTACCGTTGGTGGGCTTTGCCGCAGGTTTCTTGGCTTGTTTTGATTCCTCCTCACCGCCATCGCGTGTGATGTAGAAGAGGGTGTCTTTCGTATGCTTGACTCCTTCAGTGAGACAAATAGCCTTGTCATGACCGACCTTGACAGTGTCGACGAGTTGAAGAGCATACCTGATCAGAGTAGATGAGAAACAGCTGTCATACATTATGATACACTTACTTCTTCTTATCTCCGTCTTCGAGGTCTTGGAAACCGAGGGAAAGGTTGAAAACCATGTTGGCTTTGAGCTGGCGACCGTTTTTAGGAGACAAAAGGTATGCAGAATCTCGGAACTCCATTCCCATCTTCGGGGCTGTCAGTTTGTTGAGAGAGTCAGTGACAAAAGATTCACTCACTCCGAATCCGACATTCTTTACAAAATGCTTTTCAAGGTCAGGATTTTTCTTCTTGATGAAAGCCAACGCATGCTGGTACACATCTCGTGCCGTCACACCGTCCTTCATTTTCGACAATAACTCCGTTTGCAACGATAAAAGTAAATTGTATATAGATTCTTGCTCCTGAAGGCTGTGTCAAAGCACAAACAAGGGCGTAAGGAAAAGAACGGTACCTTGTCAGGGTCGACAATAAACGTACGGCCAACATTGGAACAGTAACCCTTGTATCGCATTCCTAAGGACACCAGGAGAACGCCCTTGTGAGAGATGTTATCTTCGCTGGACTCTGCAGTGGACTTCAGATCATATCCTGCTCTTGAAGATCGTGACTGGACGATCGGCGAATAGCAAAATTCTGTCGATGGCCAATCCACCTAACAAGTTTCATCCTGAGTAGGTAGGTTCAGATACCAAAGCCAGGAACGTGATGGCGTACATCGTTTAAGCCGCGTCCCTTGCTCCAAACTTTCATGTCTGGACCTTTTGCGGTCTCTCCCTCTCCGGATCCTAGACGAGCCTCGAATTGCGCGGATAACTGGTCATGTGAGATCTTAGCTTCTCTGTCTAGAATCTGCTCAAGCTTGAGCGCTACATGGTGAGTGAGTAGTGTGGAAGTCAAGTTGGCCGAGGTACGAATGGCTTTCTGGGAACCTGATCAATGATACAGTCATAGTTTCGCAAAAAGGTCTTACAAGCTCTTCATCGTCCTTAACAGCCATGAAGGAAGATATTGAAGGCGCAATGTCGGACATTTCTGGCTTTTTGCTCGATACAGATAACGCTTTCTTCCACTCATCATATAGTTTGCCAGTGTAAGACTCCTTGGTCAGGGTACCAATGCGTTGGTGTGACGTGAAGGCTTGAAGGAACTTCGGGAGGGCATCACTGGGTGGATCCTTCGGCTTCCCTTGAGCATAAATCTCCACAGGAACTACGGTCTTGTGTTTCGCGAGTTGTTCAAGAATCTTCGCTGTTATATGCATCGCCTCTTAGGACAGAATGGCGAGAGATGATGATGCTAGTACCTTTCTTTGCAGAGCATAAGATAGAAACGCGCTCTTTTTCAAAAAGCATGAATGTAGAGGGAAACTCGTATCCCAGAAGCCAAGTCTAGAAACCCCTTCGTGTCAACAGAGGCGAGCACGAACAACAAACCAGGTCACAACGTACTTGGAACGCGGTGCCCTTCCTGACAGGTTCATCCTCTCCAGATGGGTCTCCGGCAGCGAGAAAGAGAGCGTCTACGTCGACAATCGTGCTGTAGTCGTCATTTTTGGTCGCTTTCTGGAACCCAAATAACATGAGCATGAGGAGCAGCCTCATGCTAATTGCTCAATGGAGTTGCTCACTGTCCATGAATCGACGATATGTTTGAGACGGGAGTTAAATTGCTCTTTGTTGAGCTGGACATCCATGACGAGGAGAGCGAAGTGTTGGAGGAAGGAAGGAGGAGGGTGTTAGCGGTCAAGGGGAGAGGGACGGCGCGTCAGTGGCGAATAGCAAAATCACACTGTGACCCATCGCGTCAGTCGGAGTTTGAACTGACTAGACTCAGTGCGACTCAGTAGACGCGTCCTTCAAGTCCACCCAGCCCGGTAAGTCACAGCAAACTTCACATCCGTAGTCCTATTGATCGAACCTTTTGCGATGTCAGACTGTCCTAGTAATCATTATGTGAACTGGTTGACGTCCGGTGTGCAGCGCCCACACACCTTACAAACGAGGAGAAAGGAAGACTCAATCACCATCGTTGGCCGCTATTGTCGCTTGGGTGCTATTTGAAGTCCCAACTAGAACTTGAATACCGGTCAGGGATGCAGGGATATCATGGCAGGTCAGAAGTACGAGGTGCGTTGTCGTGCAGGCTAGAGCGTAGCGCGCAGGCCACGATCGCCTTGCATGAGTATGAAGTTGTTGTAACAAAGTGAGGACAGTCGAATCAAATCTAGGTCTTCTATCATCCATTATTGCTCAGAGGGGCGATGTACCAGCAGTCGCAGCACATCGTCATGAGTAAGTACTAGCAGAGACACTAGAAATAGAGTGCAATACAGTACGCAGAAAAGCTCCGGCTACCTGCACATTTCCGTATCAATCATCCTTCAAATCAACTATGACGGTCGAGTGATCTCCCCATGCACCGTTGACTGACACTCTGTCGGGTAGACCCTCATCAGGATTGCCTTGATGCATGTGCGCGCCGTTGGCCTCGTGAATATGACCGAAAACATGCAATCTGCATGGCTTCAATTGCCCCACCTTTGTAGCCAGAGTCTTGCAGCCAGCGTGGACACCCTTGCGAGACTGATCCAATGTATGGTAAGGCGGTGTGTGCGTGATCAATATTTCTGTGTCAGGAGGTATCTGACTGTATATATCTGATGCAGAACCGTCGTCATTCTATGAAGGACCTATAAATTTGTCACGGACCTTCTGCCTCATCCTTGGTTGTGTACTGAAAGCATCCAGGCGCGAACCGTGGGCAAGCCTACATTTTGAAGCGAGATGTCAATTTCAAACTGAGGGACAAGAGGTTTCGAGCTCACTGGCGAACCGTAGATTTTCCAAACTTTCCCTGACGACGTTGAGAGTTCTAGAGATTCATACTCTAGGTAGTGTATTCCGGCATTTCTGACAGCCTGGCTTCTTATCATAGTACGTGCTTCTTCCGCATCCTTAAAAGCCGTGTTGTTAAGCCTACACTCAACATACTCGGTTGGACACTCACTTTTGAAGTTATGGTGCTCTGTACACGATGTGAACTTTTGCCTTCAACCCATGCTCTATCCAGACATAACTAATACACCATGAGTCAACGTCTCTCGATCATGGGCGGGAAATACATACATCATGGTTCCCTGCAATGATTCTTGACGCCGTAGTTGAATATGAAATGCTTCCGTCATACAAAGGACCTGTCCACTTACACTTTCGTTGGATGAGGTAGAGTCATCAACCAGTCGATGGTGGTCTTCAATTGTTTCAAGGTTCCCCAGCTGCTCAAGTCTCCTGCATGGATAAGAACGTCTCCTGGGGGCACAGGGACGATATGCGAATGTGTATCCGAGATGCATACGAATCGCGTCCAGCCAGAACGTGTACCAGGGTGAGGTGGCACATGATCGCCATAGTCGATATGCACGGTGGCCATGGATGTGGACAGATTTGAGACGGACGGTGCGGTATTCGTAGGCGCTGGGGTACTCATGGACTCAGAACGACGGAATTTCAGCTTGAGGCTGTCGAACATGAGGAACAGGGCCTTGAAGGCGTTTTTAACTGTCAGAGTGCTGACGAGGGCAGTGAAACGAGGACATCGCCACAAGACGCAGAGTTAGATGCTAGATTGACAGTATCAGAGCTCATCAATGTCACGATGGGCCCGAGGCTGTGGGGGCTATGTCGAGCAGCGCTCAACGCAAACGCAAACCAATCAAGACAAGCAGAATCATTCACAAAGCATTACCACGCTCATAGTCTCACGTTTATACTGTAGTGTATGTAATGTTCGATAGTCCGCCTAGACCTGTGAAGCTACCACTTGACCCCCGGCGCATCACCTGTCGTGGTATTCCACTCTCGCCCTGCCGGGACGTCCCAATCTCCATGGCAGGCCCAATTCCAATCGGTGTTTGCGATGATCGTCTTCTGTGCCTCCGTGAAGGCATTCACAGAGCACATGCCATCTTGGTCTGCGGGGCATCCTTGGATTCCTGTTAGAGGGGCAACGGCATCGTTAATTATCACACGGATCTGATCCGTATCCTTAGCCGCGCATGACAAGACTAGACGAATGTCAGTGCATATACAGCCACCATATTGAATTACATCCTACGCTGGAATTGAATGTTGGTGGCAAAGGGAGCCAACTCTGATACTCGGAAAGTTCTGTGCTTCGGGATGTGGTCAGACGGCAAGGGGCCAGATGCAGCGAATGACGTCAAGTTGAGAGCTGTGATGACTGGGCAACGGACCATGATTAGAGACACGCAAGGAGCACTCTTTGCTAGATTCACTCACTATTCAGGACAACAACTTCGTGAGTGGCATCCACGTAGAAGCTGTGATCAAGCGGGAAAGTGACGGGGTTGTCATCAAGCGTTGCGTTGGTCGAGGTATTGTGTATTTCAATTGGCGTATGTGTGAGACGGGCCACCAATTCCTGAATGTACCCAATCCCTTGCACACGGGCAACAGGAGAACCAAACGCGGAGTTATACCTACAAGTATATCAGGCTTCAACGTAGCGTGCAAGGCGGTAAAGATTCTTACCAAAAGTATATATCCATCCTATTATGATGTGTGTAAGAAGGCCACTCGTGAACAAAGAAAAACGCACATACGCATAGTCAAAGCCCTCCCACTCTTCTTGAGTGAAGAGCCCACAAAACGTTGAGAATCCGATAGCAACGGTCTAATGGCATGATCAGCGCTGGGGATAACACTGGAAGGTCGAACAGATCATTTTCACCTCATAGGGACACATTTGTTGCATAGTGTAAACGTCTTCAATTGTCAGGTTGTAACCATCAATCTGAGCTTGCAGACGGTCGCGTGCATCCTGCAGGTAGATAGCAGCCCATTCCTTCACAAAAGGAGTCCCACGGTCAGCTTTGGAGCGGTCATTAGTATTGTCGCAGCTGTATCAATAGAGGTAAGCGCTGAGAACGAGATAATGATGGTATACATACGTCTTGTAAGGAGACAATGTGTTGTTAAACTAGTTGCACTGATTGTTATGATGTTAGATACACAGACAGTAAGACTACGTACACCAGGGTCTTCAATAGTGATGCTTTGAAGGTATTTGTCTTCATAAGGAATACCAAAGAACCCGCTTGCGAAGTTGAGAGCGGAAGTGAGCATACGATCTCTGCGTAGCCTTAGTGTAAATCAATATATTATATATGAGTTTCAGAAGCACTGACTGAGACTCCGTGCGGAACACGGGGAGTGAATCCTTGAAATTCTATTGATGCATATTAGCATCCAAAGCGGATTCGCAAGATAGAACATATACCTCGAGCAAGAACCCATACTTCAAACGAATGGAGATGCCGAGATCGACTTCGAGGAAACGAATCAGCATTTCATGATGTGATCAACGAAATAGTATGTCTCACATAGCTGTTGCCTCCCAAACGGCGTGAGGACTGAACGAGTCAGGCAAACATAATTCTCGCCTCGAAAGGATTGACATACCTTCCTCGCCAAGTTTATAAGTCCTGTAGAGGTATCAGACAGAGTTGAGTTGCGAGGAACGGTTTTGAAGAACATACCAGCTGTTGAGAAATCCCAACTCACCTTTGGCAGTCCAATTAGCGGCGCTTTCATGTAAACGGCCTGCTAAAGCGGCAGGCCCGCCGTACGCCGCTGAAGCATACGTCTCCGCGTCAATACATGCACAGACGCGCATAAAGTAGCTGCAACGCACCCCATGAAGTTGGGTATCTAGCCCCATGGCGATGAAGGAAGTGCAGTCCAGTGACACTGCAGCCTTCCGGAGCCTCAGGCCCTGAGTCCACTCCAAACGCGCCTTTCTCTACACTATACCACGGAGACAGGTTGCCCCATGATTTGAATATATCGAAAGACTTGTTGCTCCCTTTGGAAGTCCCTCCAGGGTGTAAGGAGGCTGGAGCAACAAGTTGAGGTGCACCGGTGTGAATGGGATACGAAGGGGCCGTGGCGATAAGCGCAGCCTCAGCGCCAGTTGGCGTGACACCTGCATGGCCTACATTGGTAGGAAATAGCGTTGGATAGTCGTTGGTCGGTGATGGGGGCGGCCAGTTGTGTACTTGGGTGGAGCCGACATAAGGGGGTGCGAGGACGTTGACCGAGTCTCCTGATGTTGTACGGGTGGAACTAGACGGGGAACACACCGAAGCCGCGACTTGAACGGCAATGCACGCTAAGCCTCCCGTGACGAATGCTGCGACGAGTTGGGTGAGTGTGAAGGAACGTTTTGAGCAGCACGAGCGAGACTGTGTGAGGGATGACTCCGATGATTCGACGGGGATGGATGACGGGAGCAACGCCTGCTGCTCGTCATCTTCGTGTTTATATCCTTCTCCGAATTCTACATCCGGTTCGCGAATGCCCATTTCGACGGGTCGAGGGTGGACAGTATGGGAGATTCGGGTTGAGCGGATAAGAAAGGAGAGTCGACTTTAAATGCAGGCTTGTCTCCATTTGTCCACAGACCTACACCGAGATCGGCTAGTCGGAAACGTCCGAGGTCATCAAGGCGGGGTCTACTGACTGCCACCAATCTTCTCTCCAACTTTCAGACACAACGGCGTCATGCATCGTCATTGCCTAGAGGACCGAGGTCTCGAAGAATAAACACAGCTTCCTCGACGCGACCTTCCAAAACCGTCAACCTTTCTCGCTTCCCCTCCCATTCCGCCAGAACTTCCCGCTCATTCCTGGTCAGTAGGCCTTCGTCCAGACTAACGTCCACCCGCTCCCGTTTCTCGAGGACAGCCTTCACAACCGGTTCCTCTTCTTCTGCTCGCTTCCGCATGCCGATATTGTATAGCATCTTGTACAGATTCACGAGTAGTACCGAAGATGCCTTCTGTAAATCTACGTACCTGTGATATGATACGGAGTCAATGATCTGGCTCCGGAGAACATGCAAAGATGTACCAAAGATAAAATGTTCGAGTTGGATTGCGATCTGCGCTTTTTGGGACCTCCTGAATGCTGACCAGGTGTTCGGCAGATAAAGCCCCCAGCAGCGGCCGAACGTCCTTAGGAGCCATCATGGCAATTTTGGAGATCTAGCGCGTACATGAGGACCAGCAAGCTGAGGAAACGTCACTTCCAACTCGTACCTGCTTCTCGTCCATCTTCCCTGTATCCATTAATAACCGCAAAACTCGTACAGCGTCATCGCCATGGCGCTCTCTCGCGACAGCCTCAAGCACGCGCCTCCGCAACCTCTTTTCGATGACTTCGAATTCTACATAGTACTTGGAACCCACAGATGATATAAAGCAGGCAGCTCTGCCCGCCAGTGTCGGATTGTCCGCGAAAGCAAGCATGCCGAGGTAGTTTTTAATCAGATTCATGGTCTTAGGCTTTTTTGAAGATGACAATGCTAGGCCGGAAGCCAGGTCGTCATCGTCCGATAGGTTCGCAGCAACATTGGCGATTGTGGTCGCGTCTACAGAGACAAATTGACTTTCATATGGATAAGTATCAGACTAGGGGTCGTGACATACCTGATCGTAGATCCAGAACGGACTTTTGCTTGCTTTCTGTTGACTTGAGGGCAGCGCGCACAACTAGTGCAGCACTGTCGTTAAAGCGCTCTCTTGCGGCGGCCTCTATTAACTAGACGGAATGTTGGGGTGTGTATTGGTATTGCATAGACATATCAACGTACCTTATTCCGTATGTGAATGTTAAATTTCTCGTAGTTCACTCGGAAATACACGCTGTCCTGGTGACGCCGTCAAGACAATATAGAGACAACGGGGCTGTAAAACTCACATCGACAACCTCCTCCTCTACTGCGCTGCGCTAGAATTCGAGGGGAGATTAGAACTCGACTGTGATGGAATGGCCAAGAACCAAACCTTGGAGGACTTGCGCAACTGATCTTTTGCTTTCCGTTTCTAAACCAGCTCGGATCAATCGTGCTTCAAACCTTAGTAAAGAGAGCACCTACCAAGCCGACCTTCTCGGCCTCTTCTTCTTCTCGTTTTAGACGTGCCTCTGCTGTTTCTTTTGACTGGCGCAGCTCTTTCGCTGTGGGGAACCCCGATATCTTGGCCTTTTCCTCAGCTTCGTATTTGAGACGTTTATCTCGTGGGGAAATGTGTGACAGGAGAGTAGATGGTTTTAGATATGAGCTCACTACAAGCTTGTAAAGCGCTTGGGTGTATATGGCGATACCTTGACGTTGATATGAGTGTGGTGGATGGTGGGGTGAATGTCATGTAAATGATACCTTTCGGATCATGGACCGATAAGTGGAACATGATATCTGGTGGCCGAAGTTTTCCATGGTCCAAAATGACTTGAACAACGTCCGCGCCCTGGGAACGAGCGTCTCATCAACCGTCGAGCTCGAGTCAGACATATAACTCACCGCCGACCCAAACAACTGTTCCGCCTGCCAGACATATCTGCCAAATCGCAGCCTCATCAAGCATTCTTCGATATTTACTTCAAATACCTCCCCTTCATCGTCGGATTGTGCGTGCCAAAGTATATTATGCTGGACCAGGACGAGAATGGCAGCCCGTACCGTCCGCGATTTAAGAGTGGAGTAGCGAACTAGCTGTTGCAGAGATAGTCGGCCTCGGGCAAGTAGAGTGGATACAATAGCCTGTCGAGTATCAATGCTTATGAGAATCATGGGCGAAGTCTAATAGCGCACTTACAGAAGTTAACGGGCCGAAGTGGGAGTGAACAATTTGCACGCACAGGCGAGCGGTATCTGCGTCGGCCATGACGGACTGCGGTGTATGAGTCCCTCGGTTCCAGTATCCAGATCGCTATGCTTTCGAAAGGGCCAGAGGTCACGACAAGAGATTCATGGATGTAGAGTACTGAGTGAGAGACAAGTTGAGCAGAACGACATTGCCATTTCCACGGGCGCCAAAGCCACGCGGTTATCTTATCTCTTTCCGTACTGAGGCTTCTATGTCTGGTATTCAACCGAGGCCAGTTCGAGCACAAGTGAAGTCATCAAGCGAGTGCACATCATTGTATCATGAGTTGCCGGGGCAAAAAAATATCACTACCCTATCCTACGAAAGACATAAATGTTAAGAAAAAACATCGACACTTAGATACAAGGGAACATGGAATATCGCATCCGTTGCTCTCCGAAATCATTCCTGATAGATTCTAACTCCACCTGCTCCCCAACTGTCCATTACAGCCTTCCCGGACCCTGTCGGCTGAGTGAACGCAACTTCCCCTTTGTGAGGGTCGAGCTTACACCCATGTATGAATGTTGCAGTGGCAGCATCGAGGAGACGCGACGCGACGCCTTGTCTCCGGTATGCTAACGGAACAAATAGACGGGGGATTCCAAGAGGAGTGGAAAGAGGTGCTGGGTCGCAAAAGAGCCCTGTGCTCGTATCCACGGGGACGAGTGTTGCGGTGGGTGGGGGGATATGTGGGTCGGAGGCGTAGTCGCGTAAAGAGACAATGGCCATCGCGGTGGAGATTCGCTGAGCGATCACGCAGCCAATGATCTTTTCGCGTGAGGGCGAAGTGATAGAGGGAATGAGGAAGAGATATATTTTAGATACGCGCAAGACATCATCTGGTAATGGCGGGGACGACAGAGTCAGGCTGATTGTTTCCATAAGAAGCGAGAGCTGGCATAGTAGGATCAACAATTTATGTCGGGGCGTGCGAGAGAGTAGAAGTCCTGACCTTTGAGCCAATCTTGCCCCCGACGTCTGCTTTGAAACAAACGATCCTCCCCTTCTTCCCGTCCTTCAGTTTCACTCCACAAGCCACCTCCCGCACACCGGCCTTTGCGCATTCCTTATCCTCGTCCTTGCCCCATTCCATGCCTTTTTGAACTCGGATACAGTGTGCCTTATGCAAGTTTTCGTCGTCAGGGGCACCCTTAGTATAGGTCAGATCACAGAGCGAGCATGTTCGGAGGACAGTAGTATCTAGGCTGAAGTGCAGTTGTGTGAGCGACTTGGGTTTGGCCTCTTGCTTGGTCTTCGACTTAGACTTTCGATCAGCATAGACATGCGAAGGTGCGAGGCGAGGTCGCTTGGTGGGTTGTGTGTTCGTGAAGGAGATGTGTTCGCTGAGAGGTCGTTTGAGAGATGATCTAGGAGGCGACGAAGAGAGATCCGATGGGGAAGAAAAGCGTGGAGATGGCCTCTTTGACCGTGAGCCATAAGTCTGCACTCGAGCCTTTGCGCGGGGGACACTTTTGGATGATAGCTCTGGACAAGCATCGTCTGGTTGCAGAGCATGATCGGTCTGTATGAAATTAGGCGTATGATCAATAGCATCACCGTTTGATGTACATACGAGAGAGGGAGAGGCTTCCAGGATCTTCGAATGCTTGGACTTCCTATTGTTCATGGTGTATCTTTGCTTGCGGTGTTGATGGAGGAAGGAACAGAGGAAGAAGAGGACCGATTCAAAGGCAATCAACGGCGCGTCAGTGGCGGACGGTACACGCATCGTGACCGCGTCAGTCGGGCTTTGAAAACGCGTCTCGCTGCTTGGCGCTTCGCACACAAGACGGATGTTTAAATATGAGGATTGTGCGTGCTATTACGCTCACAGATTACAGACCCGACAATGAAATAAATCAATATTTTACTTCTCGAGCAATGCCCTTTGAACCGTATCCTCGCAGATATGATACAGACAACCAGCTCACGCACAGCTTGAACCTGCACACCTAACTAGCCAAACACTACACTAGCACACCATCCACTCCCAAAGAGTCGGAACAACAATGGCGAACAGGTCCGCCGCAAGATATGCTGAAAAGGTCAGTGGTCCAATACGATAAAGTAAAATCAAACCGGAAAAATGCTGGGTAGTGATTGCGGGAAATATGCACCTATACCTTGAATACTGCGTGGGTCAAAAAATGCTGAGGGTGGAATGAAGATCTGGCTGCTGAACCAGGGCTCCAGTCGGGACATAGTCGTGGCTGCTAGGAGATTCGAGGAACGATACTCGGGCTGTGAGCATCTTCTGTGGAGACTGATCCAGTTATTGAATCCTCGCACGTTCTGTATTCGTGATGGTCAGCTTCAATAAGCCGGATAATCATATGAGACTTACTGGGTGATGAGTCCCGCTCGCTCGTTGGTTCTACTGCGGCCTCTGGATCAACTTCGTCAAATCCTCTTTTTGATGACATTTTGCTGGATAGTGTCGAGGCATCCGTGGATAACGTATCTGGCTCTCCATCTGTTTGGAGCTCATCATCATCACCACCATCATCGAATGTCTCGTCCCAAACTTGGAGCTCTAAAGCATCTTCCTGCCAGTCTTCGTCAAGCCCACCTGACTGGCCAATATCATCAACAAGATTCGCTATAAAGTCTGAGGCGATACATGAGAATTCAGTTGCTCGTTTGAATAGGAGTACATACCAGTTTCATGATCTGCATAAGTTCGCACGTCTGTATGTTGGCCGACAGTTGCGCTGTGATTTGATTCTACAGAACGTGCCCCAGTCCCAGAGGCGGTTTCATCAGTTTGATCGTCTGCATAATGACATCAGATCCAAAGCATGCAACAAAAATGATGATTGGTCACCTTCGAGATGTTCTTCGAAGTCATCACCATCATCCTCTGCTTCATTGTCAGAGTAAGATCCATCATGCTGATAATCTATCATGAATGCTGAATGAGACAAAGACTGGTAATGTCAGGGCCAATATCGAAGTCTCTTACCGTCAATTAGTACTTCAGCCGCATTCGATGCAAGGTCCGTGTGCGGCTCAGCGAGTTCATCGCCTATGACGTCAACAGACGAGACTGGAAACTCTTCTGGGGAGGTCTCCAGAGGCGCGTCGATGTATTCTGCTAGATGACCCTCGAATTCAGGAAGAACGGCTTCCTCGTCTGTAGGCTCAGTAAGTGGCGCTTCACCCGTCGCCTCATCATCCTCATGAGGTTCGGAGTATTCCACATATTCCGTCCTCTGAAGATCTCCAGAGACAGGAACATCAGTGTCAGCGGTGCGATGAATGACTGAGGAGTCCAATTCGTCATCGACTGTCGTGATCTCGGCGGAAGTAGCAGCAGCCAAGCTTTCATCGTCGCCTTCTTGCTCGAGTGCGCCAGCCTCCTCGACCACAACTTCGTGGAAGCCAGACTGTTCTGATGATTGATACGGAATGTCACCTTCATCCTGTGCTTGTTGTTCGGCCTCCGCAGGTATGTCGTGTTCCAACGAGTGTGCTTCAGCGTCGCCTTGGTCATCATGCGCGTCATTGTCGCTTTCTTGATCACCTTCTTGTTCGTCATCTTCCGAAAGTTCTGAATACCCCTCTTCATGAGGGTGATCGTCATTTGGAGCTATAACCAGCATGAGAATCAATACATGGCGAATATGAGTGAGCCACACTTACAAGGCTCATAATACTCGTGCTCAGGTATGGGGTCATAGACATGGTCACTATCATCTGCAAGGTTGAGTCTGTCGATTTGATCCTTGAGTGACCGGTAACGGTCAATAAACCTTGGTACGACGGATAAGAGACGAAGGCGAAGGGGGCCGGATAAATCTGAGCCGTCATGCAAAACATTCAAGTCATGTAAAGTTACTTCACGCGCATATATGTTATCCTGTGTGAGGAGGTGAGTCCGATTGAATGGATGATTTGATAGTAAAACAGGAGACTGACTTCAGAAATCACAAGCCGTATATCGTACGCATCCAAGACCATTTCGCCGTCGGTGAATTCGTGGATACGTTGAATACGCTCCTCCTCGCGCAAGGCGGCAAAAACGTCTGATAAACGTTCATAGTACAAAGTTGGTCTTTGCTGAAGAAGAATTGCAAAGCGTTGTTGGTCTTCTTGGGGACTGCCAGGACGTGGACTCTGGTGGCTTGCAGCAGGAGCATTGAAAAGACAGCACTCAAGTTGTCCCGAAGATGACGGTAGCTCCAAAAGAACTGGGGGTGGAGGGTCGATGTAAACGCCCTCAGAGATCTCGTGGGGGTCAACGTCGTCAGTGAGCTCGTCGCCAATCGCGGCTTCAGCATACGAATCAGTCTCGGGGTCGGTTTGAAGGGTTGCTTGTGCGTCGTGATCCTCAATATGAGATGGGGGAGCCGCCAGATGCTCCGAGAGATGGGTGGAAGGCTCGGCCTCACTTTCCGGTAGTTCAGATGAGGAAGTAACAACATGTTGATCATCAAGCGATATGTGACCATTTTCGAGTATGTCGTCACCAGGTTGGTGCAGGACAAGATGTTCGTCAACACCGTTCTGCTGTGCTGATTCGCTAGATGGTAGTTGGATAGCTTCCGACTCGAGTACGGGAGGCTGAATCTCAGTTTGTTTCTCAGGAAGGACGGCTTCTCCCGATTCTTCGGTATGGAGTATGATGTGCGAGAGATCGGTTTTGGGAGGATCAGGCTGAAGAACGGTGGTCACTTCAGTCTGCGGCAGGGAAATATCCGGGTGGCCTATGATTGGCTCCGCAGGAGCTGGGGCTAGTGAGTCTGCACTTTCTGAGGAAGAGACGATCTGCTCGCCCATCGAGCTCTCAAGCGGAAGCATAGATGATAAATCGTACAGAGGTACGACAGATGCATCGGTGATATCTGCTTCAGGGATCAGTGAAGCGTCGTAGAGATCGACGTCTACCAACTCGCCGCCACCGGGGACAGAAAAATCGCCATCATCAGCCATCTCATACTCGACGGCGTCGGTATACTCGGGCTCCATGTCGATCTCTACGTCTTCCTGGTGAGGGTAGGGAGTCGCAGTGATTGCAAGAGGGTGGGGATTGACGTCGTCTTCCATGATTGCTTCGATATGAGGCCAAGGCTTTGGGGAGGAGACAGTGGTATACATCTGGACATCTATGTCCGAGTAGTCCAGCATTTGAGCATCGTACACGTCCATCATTGCTGAAGTTGACGTCGTTGTTGTCGAAAAAGTTGAAACAAAGACGGAACCCTGAGCCCTTCGCAGCTCATGTCACATGTCACTACGCCTTGTGACGCTCAGTGACGACCCTCGTTCGGGTCAGCAAATTTCTGAGACAAGCATTTGAAGCAAAGGTCGCCGCCACATTCTATTGCGATACAATCGACTTCACTCTTTCGATCAAAAATGGAGGTCCGTCGAGAGGACGGCGTTCTCGAGTGCGAGCAGCCAAAAAGCTGACCCAAAGCGATCTTTCTCCCATTTCAGAACCGATGACCGACGGGGATAGCGACGACGCCGACGCCTCAAACTTCGTCGCGCCCGATGCGGCCTACATCCTACACTACCAGCAACATATCACCGCTTCCCGCGCGCACCTCGCTGGTTCCAATAGCTATTTTGGCAAGCTTTCCCCCTCATACCACGCCCCAGATGCTGTTTGGTCGAAGGACGAAAAATCTACGTTTTTTGGCGCGCTCGCGCGACACTCGCGTCTGCGCCCAGACCTTATCGCCGCCGACATCGGGCCTACTAAGACAACGCTAGACGTCTGCGTGTACTTGGATGCGTTGCATGCGGCCTCTGAATCTCGTGAGCGCACCCATGGGAGGAGCGACAGATATTTCATCCCTATTGCGACTGAGGCGTCGCCCGCGCTCATCGCGTACGAAGAAGATCAGGCGGCACGCCTTGCTACGCTAGAACCCGCGGCGACTCGGCGCGCTGTTGAGCGCATGCACGAGGAGGAAGCGCACGCGCATCGTATCGCTCTGCGCCGGCAGGGTGGTGGCAGAACCTCTGAGCGCGACCGAGAACGCGAACGGGAGAAGAGGAAGAAGTATGAGAAGTGGAGAGGAGATCAAGAGGCGTTGTGGAGGAGAGATGCATTGATTGATGAGCTGGATCGCGTTGGACTTGGTGTCTTAGATGGTATGTTGCGAGAGGAGGCCACGATCGCGATGAGTATGCAGGACGAGAACGAAACGGATGAAGGCGCCTTACCTCAGGCTTTTGCTGCTCTTCCCTCAGCCAGCACCGATGACGCCAACGAAGATGACGAATGGATGATTGATCCCGTTCTCCGCCAACCGTCTCGTTCTCGTTCTCAAAAACAAACTCCCGTCTCAACCCGGGTGCCCATCTCACCCCACACTCCCCTCCCGCTGTCTAGCCATGTATCCTCAGGTGTTCACACGGCTGCCTCCCCGATGCCTTCAACGCCTCCTCCCGAGTTCGGCGATCCTGGAATCGCTGTACCTGACATACGGAATCTCTCTCCCGCCTCTCGCCGCCGTCTCCGTAAGCGCTTATACATGCGCCGCAAGCGCGCTCAGGTCTCAGGTAGTGCTGTCTCGCTACACGTTGGACGACTCAAACCCGGGCGCAAGCGCAAGGACGAGGGCGAAGCTGTGCTGTCAACCCCAGTCAGCCTGGCGGTGAAAGCAGGCATAAAAGCCACTGAAGGAGGCGAAGGAGAGGCAGCGAATAGCAGAAAGAGGAAGGGAATAAAAGTAAGAGGACTTACGCCTCAAGAAAAATTCAAGCGAGCGATGGACGCTTCAGGCGTCAACGCATCGTATCTTTCGCGACCAGACATTGGTTTGGACCTATTCCATCTCTCAGCACTTGGCGGGCTCGCGCGGTACGTTGATTTTTTTGTCTCAATTTCACCGTTTTGTTGTGCATGTGACTAATGAATTGGTTTCATATCAGTTTGTATGCTACGCTAGATGCTGATGCAAGACGTGAAGAGCAAGACGGCGCCAATGACACAAAAATCGGGACTATCCCTGAAAGAATGCTGGCAGGCCCTATGATCTCACAATTGCATACGCTCGTGCGCAATTTTGTACGCGATGTTGCCGTGAGGGCGATCGTGCATCGCGAGAAGGAGCACTCTCTCAAGACGAAGGTGTGGAGGTTGGGCGAGCGACAGGTGGAGCTATTTCAAAAGCTGCCTGCGATGTTCTGACTGACACGATATTTGTGATCTTCATGCACGATCTTGCAGGTCGTGAATGCGAACGTGGAGCATGCACTTGAAGAGATGGGCGTTGAACCACGCATGCAAAGTCGACGAGAGTATTTGGCTCAGCTGGTGAGACGATTTGGGGGAGAGAGTGAGTTGGATGGAAGCGAAGGCGAAAGCGAAGGAGAGGGAGGAGAGGAAGAGGGAAGGACAGGCAAGCGCAAGCGGAGACTGTCGCGAAGTGCAGACAACGATAGTAGCGGGGAGAGTGCTGATACAGGAGATGAAGATGAAGATGAAGAAAAGCAAAATGGATCGGCTCATACATTCGCACCCGTATCGATACACAGGCAAATGTATGCACCGTTCATCCACACTCATCCACCCCTGGGTCGTGGATCTGCAAATCAAGGCGACGACGTAGAGGGATCAGACGATAGTATAGATGAGGAAGCGCTGCTGCGCGAGATGGAAGAGGAGAAGGCGTTGGATAAGTACGACATTGCCAAGGAGAGGCGGGCAGAGGCATGGATATGGCGGATGCTGAAAGCCACTCGTGGAGTCAACACAGAAGGCCTGGAGAGTTCGGAGAGCACATCGGAGAGCACAGGGAGTACGTCAGATAGCACAGGAAGCACGGAGAGCGTGAAGGGTGAGGGAACGGACGAGGAGGAAAGTGACGAGGAGGGGGATCAAGCAGAAGAGAGGAAGCGCAGGAAGCGACGCAAAGTCGACGATGACATAGAGGATGCGCCGATCTACCGAGCGCCGGACGGGAACAAGATCAAAAGTGCAGTGTTCGTCGACGATTCCGACGAGGACGAGGACGATGACGAGTAGCTTGGTAGTTGTGTATTATGTAACACAAATTCAAAGACTTGTCGGCTCCGCTGCTTTTCGTTGGCTGTCGACCGGTAGGAATATCTGGGCCTCGTAGCTATCTTGCGGGTCGCTTTGCTTTCAGGTTTCGGAACACTCATGTCTGAGCAAGAGCTTGCAGCGGCTCGTGCTGCTGATACAGAATTCCTCGTGCGGCGGTCGATGACCAAAGGCTATCAACTATTATCTATCTTGACCCCGCCGTTGTACACTGCGTTCACTCTTTTTCGGCGAGGCAGAGGGCACATTACCGTCAATCGTCTCCTCAGGGCCACCTGGTTAGGTGGTGCAGTTGGTGTGTCGATAATTATACTAAATTTTTCACGCAACTGAATCATGTCTGCAAGGTGTCGCCGGCGGCGGCGCGTTTGAATACGTGAGATCTGCGAACTCAAGTATTGAGACCGTCAGAAATCGCAGAATACGAGCCTTATACAACGTGCGTCTCCGTCATATCCTTTCTGTTCGTTGTACCTATTGACTCGGTGCCTCTCAAATAGACTTCCTCCTTGCGCGCAGATGACCACGCTACTATCGGGGCCCTTCTCTTTGCGGTTGTTACCCCTGCACTTTTCTGGAAACGTGCAACATCTTTCAACTGTGAGTCTCCAGTCCATCGGGCCGTAAGAGCACAGTTTCCTCATATTGGTGTAGTGATCCTTGGTGGTGCTGGTCTCGGATCCGCCGCAGGACTGCTCACTCATCTTGGTAAAATTGTTACTGGAGACACTGCCCCTCCAGCAGATATTCCAGAAAATGAGACGCCCTCATAGCTCACCTGTAAGCCCCGATCTACCTTGAAACCCCGCATCTGACTGGGAACACTCCATCGTAAAGGGTATATCCTCTCGAACCGGATTGTCAACGCTCACTATCTCGTTCACTCTCTCATCTGTACCATACAACATTATCCCTACTTCTTATGCACAAATATGTGCGTCCCTCAGGATCTGGCCTCGTTTCTTAACCTTCCGTCCACAACAGGATGAACGGTAATCATATCTTCCTCTGCAGGTGCCTTGGCCTCTCCATCTTCATCTTGCTGCTTCCCTACTCGCAGCTTCGCTCCGTCGAAGCAATCCACTCCGCTCATGTGTTCCTTCGACGCAACCCCAATATGGTCTTGATAGTGTTGCTTGGACCGCGACCAACGGATGGCGAGAGAGGCAGCCCGCTTCCATTGCTCCGCGATGTGCAACTGATGTGTCTTGATCCGGGACTGTCTTGTGCGCTCCTGAGCAATGATTCTATGTGTGTCAGGGTCAATGTGCTCCTGCGACTCGTTCATGCGAGCGAGCCTATTGACGAATTGTGCTCCTAAAATACGCGTCACATGCGTAAAACCTTTATTTGAGAGACGCAGACATGAGGGTGTGGGGCTGGCGTACCGAGTAGGTACTTTCTAACGACCGTGCTGGTGATCTGGCCCGATTCGTCGTCAATCAAATGTTTTTGTCCTTTGAGGGGGAGGAAACCGTCATGTCCTTGGGCCATGTATTCTCGAGTCACGATTTTGTATTTGCGCCCCTCTTTCTCCCGTTTGATGGGTTCGCCATCGACAACGGCCGGGGTGGTATGGCCACTGTCAGCAGGAGATCCCAACCCGCCGTCCGAAACCTCTTCTTGCAACCAAACCCCAAGGACACGTTCACCAGGCTTCTTCCGAGAATCCCAAGAGACACGGAATCCTGCTATCACGGGGAATCGTCTGACAATAGTTGCGAGCACTAATTTAGTGAAGATATCGTTAAGAATTAGAACATCGATCGTACCCTTCCTGCGCTGGCCAAGTCTCCAGCGACGCTTCCAATGTGTCCCATAAGGTCTGGCCATCCACTTCTATCACAACGAGGGGATCTTCAAAGGGAAGGATCTCCAGAATGTCACCCAACGAAAGGTATCCTGGGCCGTTCATATAAATATCACAAAACGGGGACCAAAAATAAACGTTATGAAGGGCCTACCTGGGCCGTAAATAGAGTCCCCTCTCAACATTCCCGCACAGATGAATACCCCATCTGCTCCTCCGTTGTACCCTTTCATGCAAAGCGCGTCGTCATACGTGTGTCGCAAGATGTCAGCGAACCAGTCTCCTGCAGCGGACTGTGAAGATCGGTATGTGTCAATGAGCTGAGCCTGAGAGACACTGGAAGGTGAACATACCTCTTGAATGCGGATGAACTGAGATCGAACATCAAGTTCTGCTGCTAATTTGCACAAAGGGTTTTTGAGCGATGAACCGACAGATTTCAATATATTATCCAAGATTCTCTGCAGTTGATTGCAGGACCGCATGCCGGGCACAATCTCGTGATGTTTTCCTGTGCGTATTGTGCGCGGTCAGTCTAGGGCAGGGACGAGCTACAATCAAATGGTTACCGACCCATGATTTTCTTGATAACTTTCCTTCTGACGCTTCCTTCTGATGTGTCCTCTAGCTCAAGGGTCATCTCGCTGAGGTCGCGGAAATCTGTCCCGCTCTTGACAAGCAAGACGTCCCCATGGTCTTCCTCGGCCCCCAAGACTTCAGCTGTGAGATCATACCCTTCCCAAGTGTCTACTCCACGACCAACGAAGTACAGATGGTCGTGCCCTCCTAAAAGAATATCGACACCGTGAGTGTTGGCGACATCTTGGTTCTCCTGTGCAGCTGGGGTAAGAGCGAGTAGCTTTTTAGCGAGCGCGATATCCTGCAGATGAATCAACAAGAATTAGGTGCTTTATGCTCACAATCAAAATGTCAATCATCGTACATTGGGCACTCTGTCATATTAACTCAGTTTGTGTGGGGTTTACATGAAGACATTAACCCACCTAGCATGAGTCAAAGCGATGATGAGGTCGCATTTGTATTCCCCGGTGGGGTCACGAAGACGCTTGGAAAGATCCAACCCTACCTCGGCCATGTCTTTGTATACAAAACTCTCAGGCCATGATGAGACAGTTCCTATCCACTCCCTGTGCGCTCCTTCAGCAGAAGATCACAGGCGATGGTCGAACGATGTGAGCACCGTACTTCTCGACCAAGCCTATCACACCGATGCGGACCCCAACGCGTTCCAGCACTCGGAATTCGTATAGGCTGTCTGGGACTTTCGACGTTGTTGTGTCTACGATGTTACTGAGAAGCCATGGCTAGCGAGAACAGAGTTGATCTATAGATCATGTCTTGCATTATGGATGCTCCTGTCTGCCACTCACAAATTTGGTATCCTGGATGAGTTTAGAGAGATGCGGATAACCTTTGGCCAATTCAGGAACAGCGAGATCACTGGGATTTCCCGCATTATATATGTCTCACCGAAATCAAAATCATGATTTCCTTCGTGTTTATCAGAATATAGGCATTTTCAAAGTCGACGATTAGATCAATCTCACCGGTCATGGATACGTCTGGTGCCAGTTGATTCATAACGGGAACCTGGAACAAGAAATACCCATGTCTAACCCACTTGCAGCACGTCTGAGTACAATGTGCAGCCATCACTTACCATATGGCTACCTCTAGTGACCGAGCTTTCCACGGATGGCGCAAACACATCTCCAGAGAACAACGTCAGGCCTTCCCGAGTCCCGTCGGGTCTTTCTGCCCATCCGTCTCGTATATCGTCCATCAAGGCCGCGAACTGCGTGACATCGATCGTCTCTGGTGATGTAGGCGAGATCTTCTGAGGCCTGACTCTATAGACATCGTTGAAGTGGATGATGGGTAGTTTGGTCATGGTGGGTTATTTTTCGAAGATGCCGAACGCGATTATAAGATGTGATACGGATGAGGCAGCAATGCATGCATACTAGGCGCCTCTAGGCGCGCATGAGCAGGTATGAGCACGTAGGAGTGACCACGTGCAAATTCACTCGCATCATGTGCGAGAACGCGTTGATGAGTGGCCAATTAAGACGACCTAATATGCAGCAATGTGTAGTGGGACATTGAGTCGTTCAAGCAGGCGTTCATGCACACCTCTGAGGTAAAGCAGATGATATAGTCCCAACTAAAGAAAAACTAACACGACAATGGTACATTTTCTACACTATTCGCAATGCTCTGTCGTTTTTGATGACTCTTCTCCTCCGAGCCCGAGAGCTGATATCAGGCGCCCCCCACCTTCCATGCATCCCACTCGTCGCAGCCATCTACATTCAGGATATCCTGTACCGCGTGAAGAACCATTGATGCCGCTCTGTACGGTGTCTCGACTCCAATCTTCCCTCCCGCCATAGCCAGTCCCGGTTTTCGTAAGCCAATACACCAAATGCTTTTAAGTGTATTGACATGCACTATCCGAGATATACCTGTGGAGATGGTTATGCGAAAGGATACAATGAGGAAGTCTCTGCATTCCTGGCGGAATTCCTGGGCGTACCGACTGGTGGGAGTGCTGTGTGGATTACGAGGACGACAACAATGTCCCAATTGTGAGATTGTCGTACATATAGAGCACAATCAGAGACACGGAGTGACGGACGCAAACGTGGGGCAGTTCGTGGAGTCCTTTTGGCGCACGAAGACCACTAGTCGCTATTTTGCTAGGAGGGTACTGGAGGCACCAAGCTGACTAAGACGACCTCCCGAGTCTAGTTGAGCAAAATGGTGAAGTTGTTTCTGTCACCCTGGCGCAGCACTGTTTTCCTGGAGAAGCGATCGGGGTTTCCACTGTCCGAAGATGGCGAGCCTTTCTTATATAGCCAATAAACCATTTTCCCGCCGGGTCGCCATTTTTCTTCCAATTGATTAAAGCCTATAGATTCCATAAGATCCTTGAGATATTCAAAGGTCGTGTAGCGCGAGTTGAGGACGCAGGGAAGAGGCAGCTGTTAAACACGAATGAGGTTGAGTTTACACGAAATGTTCAAATTCCATGAGGACTTACGACTAGGAAAAGCAGCCCATCGGCACGCAACGTTTGGTGTGCTAGCCTCAGCATGCGACCTGCGGGACGACTAGTCAATGGAACACGTAATAAATGCATTGAGAGGAAGTACTAACCGCGATCAAGTGCGTCGGGGACGAAGTTGACAACTAAGCTCAGGCTTATGATATCCCATTTGCTACCGTTCGACTGTGGGTCCATGAGCAGAAAATCTTGCTCAAGGATAGACGGATGCCTTGAGCGCAGGTCAATGGGTGTCACATTCAGCCAGGTCGCGTAGGACTGATAGTTGTCTGGCTTCAGGGCTCCAACCTCTAACAATCTTTAGAGACGTAGAGCATATGTTTAGGTGCGGTTAAAATTCATGAAGACTGACGTCGCACCTGTGTCTCTCCCTCCTACCCAAATCATTCCACCCCAATTCCTTCAACCATCCTACCAAGATCTTCTCGCTTCCCCCACCTCTATCGCTTCCCTGACCGATGCTCGACATACGCTGGTACGCAGACAGCCCGCCGAGCTCCTCAATCTCCTTTTCGATATCGGCCAACGCGCGAGCGCTCTCCGCATCGCGCGTCTCGTTCTGCAAGTGCTTCTGGTTCTTCAAAAGAACATGGAAGCGACGGATAACGGTGCGGCTGGCCTTGGCCTTGCTGGATGTGCTGGAGCGGTCGTTTTCAGACGTTACAGGCGCTTTGCGCTTCCGTGCCTTGGGCATGGTCGATCTGGAGACTGGAGACTGTCCAAACTCAAACGCGGCCTGTCGCGATCAATGCGCGTTTTCGCCTTCCGCGGCGCCTGCCTGCTGGTGTCGTCCGCCAACCCCACCATCTGCCGGATCTTGCTCTTCACCACAACACTACCACAAGCTGGTCGTCGTCGGTCAGCGCTTATCTTCTTGCATTTAGTTATTTATACGTTTCATTATCCTCCGGCGGTTCCAGAGATATCGACGCTCATTGGCACATCCTCCCTCCAAAAACTACAACTTCTTGCATAGTCTCACCTCTTCACGAGTAGCTCGAGATAAAATCGTATGTGTTCTGAATTCTGAGACCCTTCTGTCAAATACAGTACGAAGAAACTGATGCCTCAACGAATACCCGTTCGAGTGGCAGGCTAAAATTTCACTCAACCCCTATCTTCATACTCAGATCCATTTTTTTTCTTCCGCAGCAAATAGTTCACAAAGTCTTTATATATAGGCCTCTATGCTTGCCATGGCCCACCTCAACACTTTGCACCTGTATAATTTCGACCGCCATGTCTAACACCGTCTTTTGCTCTCCGAACGATAAACTCTACTCGATCGAGGCTACCCGCTCTTTTTCATCCACCAACTCCTTCGAGACGACGTCCAGCCTGTCTCTTTCCGACACAATAAAACCCTCCGACTTCTCCCCCTCCTACCATCTGAGCTCCTATGAGGCAGCATACCACTCGAAGCCCTCGCAGCTCAACGCGTCTGCCCCGCATTCCCGCCCGCTCCGCAAAATCTCCAGCACGATCTCCCCCATCCTCCCGCGGCACCCCGCACGCGCCGTCCGCCGCGTCGCCTCGTTCGCAGCAGGCCTCACCTCGTCCCTCAATCTCACCTCGCACGAGGACGATGCCGACGCTGACGCCGACGAAACGGACCCGTTCGCGATGCACGGCGAGCCGTATCACCCCGCCCCAGTCCGCACCCCCGTTCTCTCGACGGAAGCGTTCGACCTGTCGATCTCCGATCGCTCGTCGTCGCCGGAGAGCACGCGTTCGCTTCGGTCCACGCGCAAGGGGGATATCTGGCTCCGGTCGCACGTCGACCTCAACTTTTACTATACGCTGACGGCGCGGAGGCAGTCCCGGAGTGCGCGCTGATGCGCCTTCCGTCCCCCAATACCAACCGAGTCAGTCAAGGTTCTGCCACTCGGCACAGGATCACCCGTCACTTGGGATCTCCATCCCCTTGACTGCGTGCGCGGCCTCGATGACAGATGCCGTCCTGCGGGCTGTATGTGGATTGATGTACCTAACGTTGCATGTATCACGCACGGCATCAATTTGTGCGACATCTCTCATCGTTCAGAGAGTCCCTCTCTGATGGGACGTCGAACTCGCATCACTCTTGCAATGAAGATTTGTAGGCACCACATGCAGCATCATGAAACATACTTGTTGATGCACATCGCTGAAGGTCCAGACTGGAGTAGTAAGTAGCATCATGAAAGCGATGCCCCCATCATTCAGATGGTCATTCAGTCGCCCTTCGGAGCCTTGCATGATCCGCAGAAACAAGGAGCGTCGAAACCCTACTGACAGCAAGTCTCATGTGGGAGGCAGGTCGCCTCACAATAAAGTACAATGACCCTTGTATATCTCAGTCTGTCCCGATTCCGAGAACAATAAACTTGCAGGTATATACATGAAAAAAGTGAGTTGCTCGACACGAAAGCGGGTGGGGGGCTCTAACAAGACAAAAGAACAAAGGTCAAAATCTGTCCCAGAGTCACAAGGAATCTGGCAGAGCAACAGCATGGGAAGAGTAACACATTGACACAGCAGTGAACGGGTCTACTATAGTAGCAAGGGCGAAATCCGGAGAGAAAAATGAGATGCGAGGGTTGGGTGGGGGTCGGAAGTGTGGAAAGGTGCGGGTCGCATGCCGCTTAGACGAAGCCCCTGCCGCCGCGTTTGGAGTCGATCCTCTTGAAACGCTCGATCTCTTGCCTCTGTCGCGGGAGTTAGCTCGTTACAAGCCAGTGGCACCGGAAACATACCACTTTGATGACACAGAGGGAGGTCATGAAGAGACAAATTGCAACCGCCATGAAGCCATAAACCTATTGTCGAAATAAATGTCAAAATAGCCACCAAAAACACCACAGAGGCCACTCACGGAACTGGAGACAAAGTGAGACGCAGTCAGGGCGATAAGCGCGAGGAGAGACGGAAGGGCACGCACGTGAAAACATCGTTCAGGGAGACATCGCTGTACGCGGTGATGGGTGTGACGCAGAAGTTCTTCAACACAGTCGTGTTCAGCTGGTCGGCCTTCTCCTGGCTCGTGCAGAAGTTGCCTCCGATAGCGATCAAGTCCGACGCGTTGAAGTAGCCGCAGCACGAGAACTGCGAACCACGGAGTTGGCGGCAGCTGGGGAGCGAAAACGAAGGCACGCACCTGGTCCTGAAGCGTAATGCGACTCGACTCCGGGAGGCCAGCCCACACCGTATGAAACTCTGCGCGCTGGCGGAGCGTGTAGAACCACACGAAGGTACCAACGACGGTGATAGCGATGGAGTCGAGAATGAGACACCAGTTGAGGGCAACGAGGCCGATAGTAACGTGGTTGCGTTGGACGATGGCGAAGACGGAGAGGAGCCAGGTGACACCGAGAGCGATACCGAGGACGAGACCGGCTGATAGACCGTCGAAGCGTTGGTAAGGGGGAAAGGGCTCGAACGCGAACAATTCAAATCACGCACCGGTCAGGTCAGCATCGCTGAAGACCATGTTCAGCAAGAGGCTCTTCTTGTGCCATACTTGGGAGAAGACGATGGCGATGATGGAGGACAGGAGGAGGCAGAAGCTGAAGAATGCGTAGAAGCCGTGCAGAACCTTCATACCCATTTTGTCTTGTTAGAAGATGGGAGTCTGGAGATTGGGAGCACGAGGGTGAGCGAAGGCGGGTCGCAGAGGGGAACAGGACGGACCAGTGCAATGAGCGGGGAGGCAAGCGGCCGGATGGAGTCAACTCGGGGAGGAAAGATGGAGAATCTCTTCCGGAGAGCGATAGGACCAGCGCAAGAGTGGCAGAGCAACGAGAAGTGAGGATTGAAGAAGGGGAAAGAAAGGCGACGGTCAACGTCTGCTTGCACTGCAGAAAACGAAAGATCAGCGAAGGCCCAAGCGGCGCGTAGCACCTGAAGAAGAGAAAACGAAAGGAAAAGAAAGGGAGGGAGGGAAGAGGACACGAGAGAGAGAGAGAGGTGGAGGGACGTACCAACGGAGCGGGTTACTGAGAGACGGCTGATGTGGCCAAACAACACCAATCAATCTCTGTGATCGCAACTGTCGCCGCGTCTGCTGTTCCACTTCGAAGACGGGAACCGGCTCTCTGAGGTGCAGCGTCCAGGCTGCGTTGGCTGGCGAGCGCGACAAAAAAAAAGAAGGACGATACGAAAGACGCGTGAGGTTATTCTGGCTTGCTCTTTCCCATCCTCCCTTGAACTATGAAGGACGCGCACGGTCTCCATGGCTACTTGCACGACCTCTCGCCGGCAGCCGCGCTGCGTCCAGACACGACGAGAACCATTCCTTGCCTATTGCGGTCACGCTTCCCCACCGCGTCCGCAGCTGATGTTGCTATATTCTGCGCAGTGCGCACCTCGTCGGACGTTGTCCTGCCGTCTCCAGTCGTCCCCACCCACCGTGTTCCATATTTACTGTCCACTGCTTCTCCTTGTCTATTCTTGCGATTGAACGGCATCATTTCTATTATCGGTTCTGCAATGCATCGCTTTTGTTTTTGATTGCTCCGCCAGATGCGCTCTATTTACAGCGTCGGCACCTATTCCGTGGTTAGGGTCCCAGGCGTCGCATCGCGCAGTATTGACCCTCCCTTCTTTATGATCTAGATATTTTCAAGAGGCAACGCCCATGGCAGATATCCCCGCGACGCAGCCTGCTGCGTCCCTTATGATCGCTTGGCAGCTCAGAGACAAACGAGTGTTGGTCGTGGGCGGCGGTGATGTTGCGTCAGGGCGCATCGGGCACGTACTCGCAGCCGGGGCAGAGGTCACGGTGGTGTCGCCCCGCGCGGGCCTCCATCCCGCGACGAAGCAGCACATCGACGCGTCCGACCGCATCACGTACCACGACCGCACCTTCGTCGCGGCAGACCTGGACGGGGCGGACATGGTCCTCACCGCCATCGACGACGTCGCCGTCTCGCGCGCGATCGCGGCCCAGTGCCGGGCGCTGCGCATCCCCGTGAACGTGGCCGACGACCCGCCCTGCTGCGATTTCTACTTCGGCTCGCAGATCCGCCAGGGCCCGTTGCAGATCATGATCTCCACGAACGGGCGGGGTCCGAAGCTGGCGAATATCATACGGCGCAGGATCGAGGAGAGCCTGCCGCGGGGGGCCGGAGAGGCCATTGAGAAGGTGGGGCGGCTGAGGGAGAAGCTCAAGGAGCGTGCGCCCGGCGTGGGCGGTGACGTGAGCAGGCGGCGCATGAGGTGGATGGTCGACCTGTGCACCGCGTGGGAGATGGACGAGCTGGCGCTCTTGAGCGAGGAGCAGATGGAGAGGATGCTCGACGAGGGCTGGGAAAAAGACTCTGTGCTCAGCCCAGAGGCGCTGGGAGTGGGGTCGTGAGATTCGGAGGTCAGTCGTGCCAGTGCCCGTTCTGCGGGATGCCCAGCTGATCGGCATTATCTGCGATCGGCAGATATGTGTATCGTTATTATTCTCAGGCGACATGCGCACGACGGCAGCAGGTAAGCCTCGAGCAAGTCTGGTCCCATGATGCGTCGGTGCTTCTTGCCTCGCGCGAAGCGCATGAATGATTGTCTTTTTAGCGCTTCCGTAGATGATGTACAAAGGGTGTCGTCTCCGTGATGTATTCCGCACTTGTTGACTGCCTCCCGCTGCAGAGCCGCACGAGCGAGTCACCGGCGGCAGCCGCCGTCAGCTGAGAACAGCATGGAAAAAGCTGGATGCATGACTCAGTGAGTGACGGCGTGACGCATATATACGAGTACACGCGCGTCACCCGTCTGGCCCCGCACCGCACCGCACTCCACCGTCCACTCTCCTCTTGCCTCCGACTCCCACAACCACCTCCCCCTTAGACCACCCCGACCCTACCCTAGACACCATCACCACCATCATGAGCGACGATTGGGATGCCAAGCTCGTTATCGGCCACAAGGCCCGCGCTCCTAAAGTAACCAGGACCACATCTGATCTGAACGGTATGCCGCTCCCTGTCCTAGCCCAGCCCCCGCGCCGTCGCTGACCTCGCTCTCTACGCAGCGGTATGTTCTCTGCAGCGAGTATCGTGCGTGAGGGAGAGCGTGTGCTCACCGGAAGATAGGCGAGGCGCGCCGGCGCCGTTGTTGCGACCGACAAGAAAGTGACCGCGGGGGGCAACAAAGCCCACCAAGGTGCGCCGCGCCGCGCTCCGTCCGCTCTTCTGCCCTCTGACCGCCGCCCGCAGGCACCGACCACCAGCGCATAGCGAAGCTCGACCGCGAAAACGAGGTCGCGCCGCCGCCCAAGATCTCGCAGACCGTCGGCAGGGTGCGTCTCTCTCCGTGCATATCTCGGCGCCGTTTCCTCGCACGCGCTCACGCCTGTCCGTTGGCCCCGCCGCGCAGGCGATGCAGCAGGCGCGCATGGACCTCAAGCTCTCGCAGAAGGACGTGGCGCAGAAGATCAACGAAAAGCCGTCCATACTGCAGGACTACGAGTCGGGCAAGGCCATCCCGAACCCCCAGATCCTCGGCAAGCTCGAGCGCGCGCTGGGGGTCAAGCTACGCGGTGCGCATCGTCCCGTTTTCGTTTTTCGTCCCCGTGGTTCTGACGCCCGGCGCTCGCAGGCACGGACATTGGGAAGAAGCTGGAGGCGCCGAAAAAGTCGTAGTTTGGCCCCTCCGTAGTCGCCCGCTCGCCGACGTCTGTCCTCGTGTCTGATGCTTGCTCTCAGTGTGTGTGTGTGTGTGTGTGTGTGTGTCGTTGTTGTTGTTGTTACAGTCTCATACGTTCATTCCGCGTTACATTCGCTGTACCAATTTGAAAAGCTTTATGTGTATCGGATGGTAGTACAGAGTAAGAGTAAGGGATACATGGGGGCGATAGAACAGGTACACGAGGATAGCAGAGACGACGATTTAACCAGCCTGATCGCCGTCGGCGGCGCCCTGCAGGAAAAAAAAAGCGTCAAAAACTGCCAAAAGCGCGAGAGGATCGTTCTGGGGAGCGCACGTAGGAGATGTAATCTGGGCTCTCGCAAGCCTTGTACTCCTTCAGCAGCTCCTCGGCGGTCGCTCTGGAACGCAAACATCGGTCAGATCGGCCGCGGCCAGCCAGGGAAAAAAAAAAAAGCAAGGGGGGAGGCGCTCGCCTCGCGTCGTCGAACTCCTCGAGCCCGTTTTCGAACATCTTCTCCTTTTTGTACTGTTCCAGGAACGCGTTGCGCTTGCGGAGGCGGTCGAACTGGTCGAGCATGCGCTTGAACAGCTATTGGGGCGGGCAGGGGCGATCAGCGATCAGCGCGTATTCTCAGAGTGGCAACGGCAGACGGGGGATGCGCACCGACGCGATGCTGGTGTGGTTCGCGAGCATGAGGCCGCTCACGCGGTGGTTCGTGGTCACGTACGGCGAGCGGCGCGTGAGCGCGACCTGGATCGAGGCGGGCCCCCACGGGATGAAGTTGGCGAGCTGGCGCTCGCGGATGCGGAGCAGCGACTGGTGGACGTCGGTCGGGTCGACGTCGCCCTGGATGATGTTGAGGATGGAGATGTAGCACGCCGTCTTGCTCGGCGTCGTCGAGACCATGCGGTTCTTGGGCTGCAGGAGGCGGCGCATGACGTCGAGGACGGTCGTGCGCCGGATGGGCTTCGCCTGGGCGGACGGTGGAGAGGACGTCATCGTGAGCGGGAGGAAGGAACGGGGAAGGGAAGGGGGCGCACCTTGTCGATGTTGTCGCTCGTGAAGGGGGTGTAGGAGGTCATGAGGAAGTGGCAGCGCGGGGTCGGGATGAGCGAGGCGATGATGCCGACGAGGTCGTTGTTCATGTAGCCCGGGTAGCGGAGGGTCTGCGTGCTGGCGGCCATGACCGTCGACACCTGGACCGGGCGCGCGGGGACACAGGGCGCGGGCGCGGCGGTTTGGTTCAGACGGGCGCGAGAGAGGGCGGCGCGGGAGAGGTGCGCACCAGCTGGTTCGTCTGGTCGAACGAGGGCGTCGACGTGTGGAGCCTGTCGGCGTTGATGCGCGCGAGTGCGCCGTTGTCGAGGACGACGACCGAGTCGGCGTGGTTCGTGAGGCGCTTGAGGGTGAGCAGCGCGTTGTACGGCTGCACGACGACGTCGCCCTCCTGCGCGTTCGGGAAGACGGAGTAGGTCTGGATGAGCTTCTTCGGGAACTTGTCGTTCAGGCGCTCGAGGAGGAAGGAGCCGAGCCCGGAGCCCGTGCCGCCCGCGATGGAGTGCAGCATCATGAATCCCTGCGCGGAGGGCGGTCAGCGCCGCGGCGGTGGCACGCGATCGCCGGGTCAAGGGCGGGCACGCACCTCGAGCGAGTCGCTGCCCTCGGCCTCGCGGTCGACCATCTCCATGATGTCTTCATAGAGACGTTCGCCCGCCGAGTAGCCCTGGGCCCAGTTGTTCCCTGCGCCGCCGCCGTCCTTGGAGACGAATATGTTCTCTGGGTTGTAGAGGTTCGCGTAGGGCGAGGTGATGATGTTGTTGATGACCTGCACGCACGGTCAGCTCGCGCGGGGCGGAGGGACGGCGGAGGGACGGACCCGCGGCTCGAGATCGACGAGGATCGCGCGGGGGATGTAGTGCTCGTCGTCGGCCTGGTAGAAGAAGACGTCCTTGCGGTCGCCGCCCTCGGTGGCCCACTCCTCGAGGATGCCCTCCTTGTTGATGCCGTGCTCGGCGCAGAGGCGCTGCCAGAACACGGAGCCCACTGTGCGCGCGAGACGGGTGAGACGGGACGGGAGGGAGAGAGAGAGAGACGGGCGCGCACTCTGGTTCCCGCATTGGCCGATCTGGACGGTGACGATCTCGCGCGGCATTCTGTTCCGTCGAGTCCAACGCTCGGCCTCAGTCTCAAGCTCGAACCCGCGCCGCCTTCAACAACGCGTCCACGGCGCGTCTGTCACATCCGTCACACAATGTGTCACACATCCGTCACGCAGCGCGATCAATGCAACGGTGGACGATGGATTGCAGCAGTCCCAACGACGGTCAGCCTTCAGCATGACCTAGGCAAAACAGGTAGAGTAAAACCAACAGGAACCGACGTGTGTGTATGCGTGTAAGTATGTGTGTGTGTGTGTGTGTGTATATGCGTGAGTGCGCGCGCGGGCCTTGAGCCCGCGCTATGAGATGAATAGAATACGTGGCTACCGAGCGAAGCGGGAGACGTGTCGGACGAGTGGCAATGTGGCAAACGAGAAAACCCAACGGGAGAGAGAAAGGGACGGGGACGGGAAGACGCCGCGATGGAGATGAGGGGATAAACAGATCCGGGTGGCTCCTTCAGAGTCGACAAGCACGCACGAGACGAGAGCTAAAAAGAGCTAGAAAAAACGAGAAAAAAAAAGCACACAGGGAAGCGCGAGAGGACGGATCGAATAATGTAAGAAGGAAATCGAGGTGCTTGTTGGATATAGCGTATGTATATGCGCGGGCGTCGTGATGATGGGCGAGGGAGACGAGAAACGATAAAAGAGAAATCAAGGGAGAAACGGAGCGCAGAGACGGAACACGAGCAGAAAGGAGCCTCCCCCCACGATGTACGTAGGATGAACGACACGGCATATCACCACACGACAAGCGAACCAAGCAGAAAAAGAGAAAAAAAAAGAGCAGAGAACAGAGAACAGAGAACAGAGAACAGAGAACAGGACCTATCGGCCACCGAAAACGCAACTCAACCACGACACCCAGTCGAAGCTTCAACCTCACCGCTTCCCCCCTCTCCTCATCGGCAGCTTTTTGATAGCCCGCCCAGCAGCCCCCGTCCCAGGCCCCGCAGACGGCGGCGCCCCCATCGTAAACAGCGACGACGCCCCGCCCGCCACAGGCGACCCCAACGGCGCCCCTCCAAACATCGCCGCCGGACTCCCCGGCCCCGCCCCGAACCCAAACTGCACCGGCGCAACCGCCGGCGACGCAGGCTGGCTCCCCGGCCCCGCCCCGAATCCCCCTACACCCGCGCCAGAGGGGCCGCCGAACGGGTTCGCGCTCGCGGGCGCGCCGTTGAACGAGAACGCCGGCGGCTGGCCAAACGCGGGGCTCGCGGGCGTCGAGCCCGCCGTGGGCGCGTTGAAGCTGAACCCCGTTGGCTGCTGCTGCGGCGCGGCGGCTGGCGCGCTGAACGGGAACGCCGCGGACGTGGAAGACGACGGGCGCGAGGCGTCGCCGAACGAGAACCCAGACGAGCCCGGGCGCGCCTGCTCCGCCGGCGCGCCGAACGCGAAGCCGGACGACGGTGTGCGCGCCATCTCCGGGGCTTTCTGTTGCTGTTGCTGTTGCTGTTGCTGTTGCTGCTGCTGGCCAAACGCAAACGGCGCCGGGGACGACGCGCCCTCGGCAGGCTTGAGAGCACCGAACGAGAACCCGCCCGCGGACGACGGCGCGCTCTCCGCCGGCTTGGAAGCCCCGAACGAGAACCCGCCCGCAGACGGCGGCGCAGGGGCAGGGGCCGCAGGCTTGACAGGCGTGAACGAGAATCCGCTCGCGGTCGCGGGCCCATTCCCAAACGGCGACGCCGGCGCTACCGAAGTCGGCGTGCCCGCCGGCTTGAAAGAGAACGGCGACGCGGCGCCAGACGCGCCGGCGCCGGCGGGGGGTGGCGTAGAGAACGAAAAGGCGGGGGGCTTCGTCGTCGCCGCCGCGGCGTTGGCAGCGGGGGTGCTCCCCGGGACGTGGATGGAGAGCTGCGGCAGCGCGGCTTTGGCGGCGCCGGCGCCGGCGCCGCTCTCGCGCGTCGGGCTCTCGTCCATGCGGACCTCCGTATCCGCTTGCGGGGCGATCATCGGATGAGCGTGTGCGTGGGCATCGGGCGTCTGCGCGGGGGCCGGTGCGGGCGCGCCGAACGTGAATGGCTTGCTCGCCGTCGGGGCGGTCGCTGCGGGGGCGGCGGTTGCGGCGGCGGGAGTGGGAGTGGGAGCGGAGCCAAAGGAGAACGGCACCTCTTTCTTCTCGGCTCCTTGTGCGCCCGTTGCGTCTTTCGCGACGGGCGTCGAAGGGGCACCGAATGTGAACCCGGACGGGGCGCCGCCGAAGAGGGTCGACGAGCTCGGGGCTGCCGCAGCAATAGCCGGAGCAGCGGTAGTAGGAGCGGGTGCAGCGGGTGCAGCGGGTGCAGACGAGCCAAAAGCAAACGGCGGCGGCTTCGACCCAGGCGCACCGAAGGGTGAAGCGGGAGCCGACGTCGCTGGCGTAGCGTTGTCTTTCTTTGGCAGGAGACTGAACGGCAGCTGCGATGGCGCGCTCGAGGTCGCCGCCGATGCCGGAGGGGCAAACGAGAACGCCGCGGGAAGCTTTGGCTGCGCGGCGGTCGGCTCAGGTGCAGGAGAGGGAGCAGCAGGCGTGGCACCGAAGAGCGCGCTCCCAGCCGGAGCCCCAGCCCCGCCGAACCCGCCAAACCCTCCAAACGTCGCAGGCGCAGGCGCAGCTGACGCGACCGCCACCGCCGGGGCAGCCCCGTCCTTCTTCTCGGCCGGAGCCGTGGGCGCGGGCGTGGGCGTGGGCGTGGGCGTGGGCGTGGGCGGTGCGACGCCCGTGCGCTGGAATATGCCCGAGCTCGCGAAGAAATTGGGCATTGGAGCGGGCTCCTGGGCGTCGGCTTCAGCGTCGGCTTTGGCAGCGGCTTCGGCTTCGGCTTGCGGCGGCGTAGGGGCCTTGGGGGGCGCCGCAGGTGCCGCAGCAGCAGGGACAGCGACGGCAGGAGGCGCCGCGGCGGTAGTCGACTTGGTGAGCGAAAAGGGCAGCGCAGCGATCGGGGCGTCTTTCGCAGGCGCGCCGTCGGCAGGCGCGGGGGACGACAGCACGGTGGCTGCGGCCTGTCGCAAACTAAAGTCAGTCGCGAGCTCGAAGCGGGTTCAGATATCAAATAAAAAACGCACCGCAGAGGGCGGGGCGAAACTGAATCCGGGGGGCGGGGCAAACGTCATGTCGACCTCCCTCGGCCTGGCCTTGACCCTGTCCCCGTCCCTGTCCTCGTCCATGTCGACGTCGCCCGCCTGCACGCCGACGTCCACCGGGAGGTCGAATGCGCCGCGCCCGTCGCGATCGTCCTCCTCCTCGAGCTCGCGCGCCGAGAACCGGTTCCGGCCGCGGTTGCGCACGGGGCCGACCGTGCGCGCGCCGCCGCTCGGGCCGGAGGGCCGGCGGCCGCCGGCGACGCCGAGCCCCGCGCGTGCGCCGGGGCCAGAAGCGGCGGGGGGCGGGCCTGCGATCTTGCGCGCGGGGGCGACGGGGATTGAAGGCGGCGGCGGCGGCGCGGTGGCGCGGGGGTCATTGTCCTTGTCCTCGCTCTTGGTCTTGTCGTCACGGGCGGCGGCGCCGTGCTTGCGCCTGCTCGGGCCCAGGTAGGCAGCGGGGGCGTCCTCGTCCATGCTGTTCTCGTCTGCGAGCACGGCGCGCACCTGCGCCTCGCTGTCGTCTGCCATCGCCTCCGAGTCTTCCTCGTCCCGTTTGCGCGCTGCGGCGGCCTCCTTCTCGGCGGCAGCGGCGTCTTCCTTGCGGCGGCGCCGAGCGAGGAGCTTCTTGAGGGGATCGCCGCGCGGATACGGCACGCCGGGATCTGCCTTGTCCTTTGTGTCCTTTTTGGATTTCTTCGGGGTCGGAGACATGGCGGAGGGGGCGTGGCCGAGGCGCGGTTTGGAGTCGTGGCCGCGGTGCATGGGGACGACGTGGCGGGCCTTGGTGCGGGCCTGGGAGAGCACCGGGGCGGAGGGGTCGGGGGCAGCGGCGTTAAGGCGGGTGGGCACGAGCGGGGTGCGGTAGATCTCGAGTTCTTGGAGGGCGCGCTCGGCGGCATTGGCGGGGCGGAGGTAGTCTGGGGAAGGGGAGGGTCAGAGGGGTGCGTGTGAAAGAGAAGGAGGAGGACGGACTGGAGGAGGGGGCGCTGGTGTCTTTGGGCTGCTGAGAGCCAAAGACGAGCGAGCTGCGGGATCGGACGAGGGGCGCGGCCTGGGCAAGCGCGTCAGCGAGAAAGCGAGGGCAGACGTTGTGGCACTGACCGATCTGTGGGCCTGGGCGAGGGATCCGAGGGTGGTGACGGGGGCGGGGTGATGGGGTGCGGGTGCGGGTGCGTGGGAATCGGGAACGGGGGGCGGCCTGACGAAGACGGGGCGGGACATGAGGGCGGTGAGGGGCGGGGGCTCGGAGGGGTTGCGGTCGCGGCGCTGGGGGTTGGGGCCAAACTGGGTGGCGGGGGGCGTCGGGGAGAGGCCGGAGCGCATGCGGAAGGGCGGGTTGTGGGCACCCGGTAGGGCGAGGTCCATGGAGACGTCGCGGCTGACGGAGAGCGGGACGAAGGTGGGCTCTCGGGTGACGGTGCGGGAGTGCGGCGGGGGATCCATGGACATAGTGCGGGAGAGGCCTTGAGGCGCGGTGGGACGGGGGCGGAGGTCGGCGGGGTGTGTTGCGATGGGCTCGAGGGTGTGGCGGGCCTGGAGGCGGGCAGGTGCCTGACGGACGGGGTGGGGGAGGGCGGAGAGCGGGGGATCGAGGTAGCCGGTGTTGGGGCGGGGGAGTTCGCGGACGGGGCTGTGGAGGCGCATGCGCTTGGGCCGCGACGGGAGCTCGTCGGGGTCGAGGTCGGCGGGCGAGTCGGCGCGACGGCGATGGGCGGCGGAGGCGGCGTTCGGGGGCGTGGGAGGGGGACGTCTGCGCTTGCCCTGGGCGGACGCTGGCTGGTCGAAGCTGTCTGCGGTGGAGAACCAGGAGAGCGGGGCGGTGACGATGTTTTTGATGGTGGAGAGCACCGAGGCGGCGCGAGTGGGCGGCGGGCGGCGGTAGTAGGGCTTTGTCTTGCGGCGGGGGAAAGGCGCCTGCCGCGGCGAGCGGGTGGACTGCATCTGTGGCGACGGCGACGGCAGCGACGGGGAGGACGACGAGGGCGAGGACGAGGGCGAGGGCGAGGGCAGCGAGGTGGGGTCGTGGGCAAAACCAGACAAGGGCAGTGGCCGCGGGGTCCCGCTGATGCATCGGCGGTGTGCGGGGGCCGCGAGCGCGTCGATGGTCCCGTCGCGTCGTGACGTAATGACTGGCTGACCTGCGTCCGTCGACGATGTTGCGCTCGCTCGGACACACCGGCCGCTCTTACAGCACACAGCAGAGCACGCACACAGCCGCACTCTTCATCGACTCCGTCTTCCCCATCCGTCTCGGCGCCTGGGAGTGCGTTCGAAAGTGTCGCTATTTTATTTGCTGCTCACTCTTTCCTGCAGCCTGCGCTACTACTACGGCCTCCTCCGCCAAGAGTCCCTCCTCGATGCCCTCGGCGCATCCCTCAACGCCGTACACGCCCATGGCTTCACCCCAGTCGCCCTAGAGCCCCACCCAAAAGACGGCGGCGTCTTTCTTCGCTTCCAGTACACCGCACCCGCACCCGACCCCGCTCTCCTCGCTCAAATAGAGCGCGCCGTCCGCGACCACCTCCGCGCGTCCGGCGGCGTCCCCTCCTCTGCCGGCCTCCGCCGGGGCGACGCCTGGCTCGTCCGCGGCACCCCCTGGCCCGAGGTCCGTCCGCCCTCGCCCGCCCTCTCTCCCCCCGCACTGACACCCGATTTAGGACATGCGCCGCTTCGCCTCCCCCATCCTCCGTGTCGCCTTTGACGGCCCGGACGTCCCCGAAGAGGTCCTCTACGCTCTCCTCCGCCCCTACGGCCGCATCCTCGACATCGTCCCGCCCACACCCGCACCCGCCGGCGCCCTCCGCGCCGCCACCGTCACCTTTGCAGACACGCGCGCTGCCGTCATCGCCCGGCACGCCCTCCACGGCCTCGCGGTTCCCGCCGCTGCCGCGTCCTCCACGCGCCTGCGCACCGCCTTCCAGCCCGCAGTCCAGGCCCACGCCCTGCGCGACTGGGCCACCGCCCACCCGCGCATCGTCATCCCCGTCCTCGTCTTCCTCCTCGGCACCCTCACCTACACCGTCCGCCTTCCCTCCCCTCCGCGTCCCCTCACCGCGTGCTCACTCGCTTGTTATTCTAGGTGTTCGACCCCATCCGCGCCTTCATGGTCCAGGCCAAAATGCAGGACTGGCTCGACTACCGCCGTGCGTCTCCTCCCCTCCCCAAGCCCTCCTGTCGCGCACGCCGCTGACACCGACCGTCCATCGCAGAGTTCACGCTCTACAAGTGGCTCCGCCGCAACGCCCTCGAGCGCCTCTCGCTCTCCCTCGACATCGCCCCCGACGGCGACGTCGTGGACGAGGAGGGCGCCTGGCAGGAGCGCCGCGAGGCCGAGGCCGCCCTCAGGCGCTATCTCGCCGACGTCCCCAGTGCGTCGTCTGCCCCGTTGCGCCTTCCGCACGCTCGATGACTCGATTTTTTGCATAGCCACGGTCGCGTTCGTGCACGGCCCGCAGGGGAGCGGCAAGTCGCGCCTGCTAGGCCGCATCCTGAAAGATATCGACCGGTGCGTCTCCCCTCCCCCCCCCCCTCCTGCTTAGCCGCTCACCGACCGCCGCCGCCGCCTCCTTCTCCCAGCCCTGCCCTCGTGATCGATTGCGCGCCGCTTCTCCACGCAGGCACCGACGCCCGCCTCCTCGCCGCCCTCGCCGCCCAGACGGGCTACTGGCCCGTCTTCACCTTCCTCAACTCCGTCAACCACCTCGTCGACCTCGCCAGCGTCGGCCTCATCGGCCAAAAGGGTGCGTGCGCGACGCTCTTTCTCTCTCTCGTCTCTCTGTCGCGAGCGAGCGACGCCGTCCTGATTTGTGTTTCTCTTGCATGCGACGCCGCGCCGCGCAGCCGGCCTGAGCGCCTCGCTCCCCGAACAAACAACCCAGCTCCTCGAAGTCGTCGGCACCGCCCTCCGCGCGTCCGCCGCGACGCGCCGCACGGGCGCGCAGTGCGCCCGCAACCGCACGGCACAGGCCGCGCAGGCGGAGAAGGAGGCCGCGCGCGTGCGGGAGCGCATCGCGCGCGGGACGTGGTTCGATCCGCGGATGGGCGCCGTTGCGGGGGGCGGGGTGATGGCGGAGCTGGGCGTCGGTGACGAGCGCGTGTGGGAGGCGGATCTGGAGGCTGCGAAGCCCCGAGGCGCCGCGCGCGATGCGGGGGACCACGTGGACGCGCTGCCGGCGGTTGCACCGGATATGGACGCGGACGCGGACGCGGTGGGCGCGCTGCCGATCGTGGTGGTGAAGAACTTTGCGCCGGGGGGAGGGAGGGAGGACGTGATGGACGTGTTTGCGCGCTGGGCGGCGGCGCTGGTCGAGGGCGGCGTCGCGCACGTCGTCGTCGTGAGCGACAACCGGGAACACTCGAAGCGGCTCGCGAAAGGTGCGGCTCATGTGCGCGGAGGTTCGATTTTCGGGTAGCTGACGTGATGATGCGACGCACCGCGGCCAGCGATGCCGGCGAAGCCGCTGAGCACGATCGCGCTGTCGGACGCGGACGCGGCGGGCGCGCTGATGTTCGTGAAGCTGCGCCTGCGCGAGGCGGGCGTGGAGCCCGAGTGGACGGCCGAGCGCACGGAGCGCGTCGAGCGGCTCGGCGGGCGCGCGAGCGACCTCGCCAGTGTGAGTAACCCCCCTACCTGCTCTCGCTCTCTCTTATTAATTTTATGTCGACGGGTGTGCGGCGCGATGCGGCGCACAGCTGATCCACAAGGTGCGCGGCGGGCAGCGGGTCGAGGACGCGGTGGAGGACATCGTGGGGCGCGGCGTCGCGGAGCTGCGCAAGGGCGCGTTCGGGGACGACGCGGAGGACGCGCGGGCGCTGCCGTGGACGCGCGTGCAGGCGTGGGCGGTCGTCAAGGCGCTCGCGCAGGCGAACGAGGTGCGCGCGCTTTACCTCCTTCGTATTTCGCGCCTTCAAGCGCTGACGCGCATGCCGCGGACGGCGCGCGCAGGTGCCGTACCACGACGTGCTCGTGAACTTCCCGTTCAAGGGCGACGAGGGCGCGCTGCGCGGCATGGAGCAGGCGGAGCTGATCGCTATCACCGCGCACGACGGTACGCCGCGCTCTACTCTGCGCCTCTATTTGTCCCTCCCTTATTCTGTGCGTCTTGCTCACGCTGTCTGTCGCGCACGCGCATAGGCCGCGCGGCCGCGATCCGACCCGGCAAGCCCGTGTACCGCCACGTCTTTGAGCGGCTCGCGAACGGTACGCACCGCTCCCCGGGCACTGGCATTGGCACTGACCCCGGCATACACAGACGCTGTGTTCGCGGCGACGCAGGACCTCGCGCTGGACGCCGCGCTCGCCGCGCGCGCGGAGGACACGATCCGCGCGTGCGAGGCGGAGCTCGGCGCACTGCGCGCGCTCGCGCCCGACCCCTCCGGCGGGTCCTTCGGGTGGGCGAAGGTGTGGCGCTGGGGCCGCGGAGGGGCCGCGGCGGCAGCGGTGGCGGCGCGGGAGCGGCGGGCGGCGTATTTGTTGCGGCGGATGCGCGCGGCGCAGGGTGTCGTGGAGGGCGTGGAGAGGCGGGAGGGGGAGCTGAAGAAGGTGCTGAAGCGGGGCGGGTGAGGGGGGCGTGCGGTAGCAGTGTAATAGTGTTGACGCAGGTATCTCTTTTTCGAGTGCTTCTCTTGCTTGTATGTAAGGTCTTTCTAACCCCGTAAACACACAGGAGATGACCTTGGATCTGTTTGTGTCTCAAGTGTGCATTGCTTCGATGTGCTCGGACCTTCGTTGCGGTCTTACACTTCCATCGTTGGAGCAGTCGTCTTCGAAGTTAGTCGTCCTCGGGGGCGTAATGTGCGACCCCATCTGCCAGGTTGGAGTCAGCGATGTCATGCTGGCTGATTTGCCCGTCGCAGGCGGAGTCTCAGGAACTGTCGCAGTGGGAGAGTATGATCAGATGCGAAACTTTTAGTGAGCATGAGAAACACATCCGAAGAATCCGTCAGAGATCGGCGCGGCCTCAATAATCGTGAGCCGAGCCGCGCTCTCGACAGTTAACGGGTTGTGCATCAACGTGCACAACGCCGTTCTGATTATTTTACGGTACCGATACAACCTTGCGGGCGCCACTGCACGGCGTGCAAGAACCAGCGAGAACCGTGCGGGAACCACCACTGAATAAGAGGTATCGCCTCAACTCTCTCTGAATGGAACATCACGATCCGTTAGGGCATCAGGATATTTTAGCACATCGCAGCACGTCAAAGATGCGCAAACTAGTTCCATGGGGTTTGGTGCATGTCTGACTGACACAACCGAGATTCACGCTTCCAGCTGCTGCCTGACAACTGGCTGACGGATCGAACTCGCGCGCCGCGCGCTGCCGAAGCACAGCGCTGAAGGTCCAGACAGACGGAAGAAGGAGCGTCTATTTGACGGATCGAACTCAGCGCCTATTCACATTCGGTGCCCGTTCATATTCGGCGCCTGTTCATATCCGGCGCCCATTCACATGCCTTTTCTGCCCTATATCCCATCTCCGCAACAGCGATCTCGCCGTACGTACGTACACGCATCTTCTAGTGTCGCGCGCCGCCCCCCTCGTGTGTACCCAGCCCAGATGTGACAAGCACCTTTGGACACACCTGAAGAGGGGTGTGGAGGACTCTGAGGTACGTACGTCCCTATCTTGTTTTCTTTGTCCCTTCTCACAGCTTTGTGCGTCATATCGCGTTATGTATATGTACTGTGTCTAGTTGATGGCCTTCCCTTGGTGTGAATTACGCTGTGCAGCTTTCTCAAAGAACCACTAGCGGGAAGAACGGCAGGACCAGCATTGGAACCAGCGTTGGGAGAAGTATCGAGAGTGGCGGGACGACTCAGCGGCAAGACGAGCGGCAAGGTGAGTGGCAGGACGAGCGGCAAGGTGAGTGGCAGGACGAGCGGCAAGGTGAGTGGCAGGTGCCAGGCCGCGTCCAAAGGATGTGTCGCGGTCACGTTCTAAATTACCCGTAGGATGGCGGCGAACCGTCAGCGTCATTTTCAGGCTGCGGCACCAGAATCAAACTATTCGGACTCTCATCAAAGTTGAACATTGAACGCCGAGCGCGCCTACACTTCTCAAAGTTGACACTCATCTCCTCAGGGTCAGGTGGTCTCTTCGAAGCTTGATTCCTTCTCCACAGCTCTGAACCTGCAGTCCTAATATAAATTAGCTTGGCTTTGCATTCTCTGTACGTATCTCCTCATCACCCTCACTCTTATGAACGACGAAGCTGATAGAAACATGCAAGAATTATCGCACGACGTGACAAGGAAATATGCCCCCCTCGTTCTGCCAGACAGTATTCATTGCCAGCATAATGCTCTTCTAGAGTCGTCCTCTACCCTGTACTGGGACCCTCCATCTCATGTTCAAATGACATATGACGTTGGTCATGGTCGCTCACCTGACTATGGAACACAGAGCATTGTCAGTGCAGTATATTCTGGTTCACGCTGTGCGTCGATATCTATGACTCTGTTGTTTTATACCAATTCTGCTCGCTGAGTATTGATCCAGACCGTCTAGTAGGTTTGTCACAACATCTTACACAAGGGCTAGCGCATCATGTGAATTTTCACAATGGTGAGTATTCCCTTCAAGGTGTCTATGACCATTTTTCCCAATGCTCACAGACGCCATGCTACATCAAGACTATCATCTCATATCGCCTGTGGAATCGGCTGTGCACCGCGATGGTGATATGGATCATCAATACATGTACTATAGATCTTCCTACTCCTCGAGCGTCAGATTCCATCAAGACGCAGCTGATGCTTCATTGAGTGAGGTTTTCAATAATCAAGTTCTATCGCTAGGTCTCAATCACTCTTAGGTGGATATATCCCACACCAGCCTGCACAGTCGGGTATAAGTGGTGACGTCGAAATGACTGGCACTCAAGGTGAGATTCCTTTTCCAGATCTTTGTATTTTGATGGGCCTATGACCTATTACCTTCAGGTCTGCATGTGCCTATGAACGAGCTGATGGCCCACACTGAAAAACAGGTCTTCCTAATTCACCAATTCTACCACGACATCTTGATTGTATCTTCTCATCCCTACAGGTAGCCCCGTCCTACTTCGAGGACAATTCGCAGTCTGGAACATATCTGGAGGAGACGTTCGGTAAAGAAAGCGTAAAGTCGCTCCTGTTCCAGGACCCTTCGGACCCTGTGATCAAGTCGGCGCCGTACAACTCCAACCCTCCCGTACACATCGTCAAGCAAAAATTATTCATACCCTATGACAGGACGAAGCGGACACTCCAAGAGCGTTCTAAGAACCCTCTCCCATCCCCAACCTTCTTCAATTGCGATGATGGTGCCATCGGTGTGTCTCTGGGACGTGCTAGACAGGGACACGGTTTGGCCATGAATTCGAACCATTCATCACCTCTAGGAGATCGTCAAACTTTACAGTTGAAGATCTGGGTACACTGTCTTCTACCCGCCTGTCTCTTGAAGGGCGCTCAATCAATCTCCATTGCTAACAGATTTACGACACCGCAAAGCCTGACTTGGACAAGCAACTTGCAACAAAACGCCCAACGGATTTGAAGAAGCTGATGAGCTCAATTGCCAATCATGTTTATCAACTTCTATCGGTACGTCAACCATGATGCATTGATGTATATCCATAAGTTGATCAACCCACATTCGCTAGACTGGACCCTGCCAAGTCGAAAACCCGGACGATTATGTTCTCATCGGGTACACCTTCGTATCCAAAGGGGCTATCATGCCCATCCTCCGGTGTCCTTAGGTGCCAACATCTTCCGCGTAATACCTCTCGAATACCAATAACGAGACTTGTGAATGTGCAACAAATATCCGTGATTTTCTGCTCTATATATTGACCCTGGCACTGGTCGTCTTTTTGTATCTCTATCCTCTATATTACAGCAATCGATTGTCCTAGCCCACAGACACGAATGCGGCTGCTCCTTTGAAGTCATTGATACCAGTTGCCTGCGGGGCATAGCACTTGCCGAACGAACATCTATCGTGTGTGGCCCACAATACCAAGACCAATGCAATAAGAATGTACATCGGAGTTGTTCCCGATGGTGCTATGTCACACTAGTCTATAACAGCATCTCGTTCCTCGTCATGTACGCATACGCCTTGATTGAAAATGCGACCTTGCTCCCTCTGTTCTCCACCCGTGCGGACCACGCAGCCAACGACGTGATGGAGAAGGAGACCCGTAGGAGAAGGGAGGCGAGCACATGGATGGGGCCGCGGATGCCGCAGTAGGCACGCTGCCGTGGTGAAGAACGTCGCGTCGGGCGTAATGAAGGACGTGATGGACATGTTCGCGTGGAGGGTCGCGGTGCTCATCAATGGCAAGGTTGTGAGCGACAATATAGACGCACTCGACCGCTGCGCCCCGAGTGCTGACGCCTGATTTTGCTGACTGGACGGCACCAGCGCTGCCGTCGAAGCCGCTGAGCACGCGATCGCGCTGTCGGATGCGGACGCGGTGCGCGCGGTGCAGTTCGTGAAGGAGCGCCTGCGCAAGAGCGCGTCGAGCGGCTCGGCGCGAGCGATCTCGATAGCGTGAGCACCCCCCTCCCTCTCTCCTCCCTCTACTTTGATTTAGCATTTTTATCTCGGCGGGTGTGCGGTGCGCTGACGGCGTGATGCAGTGGGCAGCTGATCTACAAGATGCACGGCGGGCAGCGCGTCGATGATGCGGTGGAGAATATCGTGGGGCGCGGCGTCGAGGGACGTGTTCGGGACGACATGGAGGACGGCGCACGCTGCCGTGGATGTGCGTACAGGCGTGAACGGTCGTCAAGGCGCTCGCTCTTCTCTTTTGTGCGTCCCCGTGTCTTGTGTGCTGACGCCGCGGATGGTCGTATGGTCGGATGAATTGTGCGCGCAGGTGCCGTACCACGGCGTCCTCGTGAAGTTCCCGTTCAAGGGCGACGAGGGCGCGCTTCGCGGCATGGAGCAGGCGGAGCTGATCGCCATCACCACGTACGACGCGTACGCCGCGCTCTGCGGCCTTCGTCTCTCCTACTCACCGCTCATCGGTACTGACCCCGACCTGGATTGACGCCTCACGCTGGACGCCGTGCTCGCCACGCGCGCTGGGTCCCGAGGCGGACGCGGGCGGCGAGCGATTCAGGTTGGCGATGCTCTGGCGCGCGTGGGCACGGGAGCGGAGGCGTGGCGATGGAGGCGTAGCAGCGAGCGGCGCAGGGGGTGGTGGTGAGCGTGGCGCGGCGGAGATGCGGGCGTGTTTGTTCTGCAGGGCAAGATGAAAGACCGTTTATGCTTCTTGACAGCGAGAAAACCCACGTATAGTCGTAGTAACGTTGTATTCCGCGCAGCGTGAGCGTGTTCAACGTTCAGGACAGAGATCTTTCAATTGTCACGCTTCCAGCCGGCCAGATCTATTAGCTAGATCTTTGTCCTTTGCTTGAGTCCTCATGAAGTGCGTTGAGCGGCTTAGCGCGCGCGCAAGCGATCTCGCCAGCGCGAGTACCGCGTCTCCTTTGTTTCTGCACAGTGCGCTGGTGACTATATTGCGTGATGCGGCGCGCAGCTGATCCACGATATGCAAGTGATATGCACGGCGGGCAGCGCGCCGAGGGCGCGGTGGTAGCTATCGTAAAGCGGCGTCGCAAAGCTGTGCAAGGGCGCGTTCGGACTCGACGACGCGAAGGCTCGCGGAGGACGCGCGTGCATGCGCATGCGTAGGCGAGCGAGGGCCGCGCGTTTACTCTCTGTGTCCCTGCCTCTTGGCGCGCTCCGCGGTATGGAGTCACCGCACACGGGTACACTGCGCTCTGCACTTCGGTCCCTCCCTCTGCGTGTCTCTCACTCACGTCGCTCCCGCGTGTCCGCGATCCATCTGGCAAGCCTATGTACCGCCAAGTCCTCGAGCGGCTCGTAAACGATACGCATCTCTCCCGCTCTCGTCTCTTGTTACTCGTCCGCTCGCCGCGCGCGCTCAGGCGGTTCGAGTGGACTAAGGTCTGGCGCTAGCCCCGCGGAGGTGGCATGATGGCGGCGGCAGGGGAGCGGGCGGAGAATTTGCTGCAGCGCATGTAGGCGACGCAGGGGATGATGGAAAGCGTGAAGCGGCGGGAGGAGGAGGTAGGGGGCGGGGCGGGTGAGGCTATGTCGAGGGAATCATGTGCAGTATTTTTCTGTCGTGAGTGTTGTTTCGAAGAGGTTTCTCTGCTTGGTGAGCCGTTTATTGTCGCGCAGCGCATGAGGCTTGAGCCCATGGAGGGAGCACGTCTGAACTACGTCTGAGCATGTTCAGGACAGAGATCTTTTAATTCTCACGCTTCCAACCAGGTCTTTGTCCGGGCCCCCTACGCACGAGCAACCTCGACAGCTCTTCCGACAAGTTCATCTTGTTCTACATCCCCACATTGTCTATACTACTATAGTCCCATTGGAATCTACAATCCAAGTCCGATCCTGTGGGTATTGAGCATTGATCGCTGATACAAACCGAGCAAGAGCATCTCTAGTAACAGCATACTACTCCTGGGGGTGTCTCTCCCCCAAGGCCTCTCCCGGTGCCGAGTGAGTTCGGATTTGGATACTATGCTCGTGACGGTCCTTGATTCGTATTTGCAGTGAGCGCTCTTCTCCCCACACTGGCGCCCGAGGTATATGGGGAAGGGACGCCGCCGCCCGGCTGCACATAATAGGCCATTCATATCGTGTACTTACAGTATTGCGCACCCTCCCGAGTCCAACCAGCTCTAAGCGTGTCTCTTCATTTCCGATCCCAATCAGTCTTCCATTGCATACAACCCAGACCTTCCACCAATGTCAGGGACACACAACAATCGTGCACAGGGTGATCCGTCAGGGAAAGACACATCTATGGCCGCAGTCATGTGTAGCGCTACAGTGCGTTGAGCATTCCCCTCGTAGTAGTCACCACAACTAATTCGTCCAGTCAAGTCGGAAGCAGAACCGTCCGTGAGTATCTACGCGATGTGGGTGCCATCTCTTGTCCTCACGGTGATCTCTAGGCAGAAGGGTCCTCTGAACTCCCTGAGGACGATATCATCGAAAGCCAAGTTTGCGATGCGGACGCACTCGACGCACTTTCGTACTCGATTGTGCAGGAATGGAAGCAGGAAAGTCAGTTGTCGTCACTCGAGACGACTCTGGATCTCCTCCGCGAAGCGCGCAATTCTCAGTCTACAGATAAGGATGATATCCCTTATCGAGATTCAACGAAGGACTTTGCCCTCGTCTTGGTCGTCAAATATGTTTGGACGGGACATGACGCGGCTTTGAATGGTGCTGTGAAAGTCATCACAGATGCCCTGGAGTCGGAGACTGGCTGTCACGAAAGCGATGTCGCACAGGAGAGGCGGACAGAGGCAAGTATATCCATCCATCCTGTTTCAACGCTAGCTTTGGTTAATGAGTTTCATAGCCTGATGTGTCATCGCTCATTGCGAAAGTTCTCAACAACGAAGGTCAAGCAGCAGAGGGCCTGCGTTATGTTTTAAATAGCTTTGGCCAGGTTGCACCGGTCTCGAAACTTAATTCCGCGATCTCGCTGTATCGTCAGGCTGTTAGATAGCGTGGGATTTCAGATGTCAAGCGATTGACGTCGATGTATCTCTTTGCAAACGCTCTTCTCTTGCACAACCTTCACACACGACAAGCTCGGTCTTTGGACGAAGCGATTTCAGTCGCTCAGGAAGGACTGCGCCTCCAGGCACCATCTCATCGCATCCATTCACACCTGCTAGGGATACTTTCGGCTGCTCTCGTGATCAAGTACATCTTGGAGGGTCGCGCCCATGACGTTGCCGAAGCACTCCGTACCAGCGCTCAACGGTCTGCAATGCAAGCAGAGGCGCGGGAATCGTTCGAGCGAGGTCAGACCGTCGTGAGGCAATTCCAGACATCACGCCGGGCAGAGGATCTCGACGCTGCATGTCTACTCTTCTATCGAAGCATCCGCACCTTGTTCAGCGTGGATGCTCCCTAGTATCATGAGGTACTCGACCGGCCGGCTGAATGGCGCTGTGATTTTTTCGAGGAGACAGGCCGCGAATTCGACCTCGAGGAGTGCATAGCTCTCCATGAAGAGCACCTGTTGTTTTTCCCTGCCACGCATCGTAGTCGCCCGAAATTGCTGGCCGACTTGGCCAGTGCTCTTTCGATGCGATCCGAGAAGAAGGGGCAGAGGGGTGACATGGAAAGGACAGTCAAACTTTGCAGGGAAGCCCTTAGGCTTGTTCCCGCTCCACATCCCATCCGCCTAATGGTGCTAAGTAACTTGGTGAATGCGCTCTGGGGTCGATTCGAGCAGGAAGGTGAATTGGACGACCTTGGAGAGGCCATCTCGCTTCTCAGGGAGGCCCTTGTCCTCTGTGCTGCGCCGCATGCCGCCTATCCCATGCTCTTGAACAACCTTGTGGATGCCGTTTCAGTTCGTTTCGAAAAGAACAGGAAATTGGACGACCTGGAAGAGGCAATCTTGCTCCGCCGGGACACTCTCACGCTCCGTCCCGCTCCTGATCCTGGGCGCTGCGACTTTTTGAACAGGCTGGCGAAATTGCTGATGACGAGAGTTGAGCAGTATCGCCGGCTGGTTGATTTGGAAGAGGCGATCTCGCTTGTCAGGGAGGCCGCCATGCTGTGTCCTGCATCGCATTCGGACCATCCGAAACTTTTGGACAATCTTGCAAATATGCTCTCCGAGCGTTATGAGCATGGCGGTCGAGCGGAGGACCTCGATGAAGCAATTGAGCTTCACCGACGTGCTTTGGCGCTCTTTCCTGCTCCACATCCTTCCCGTGCGATATCGTTGAGCAACCTAGCGGGTTCGCTTCAGAATCGATTCGAGCAAAGATGTCAACTGGCCGACCTCGAAGAGGCAATCTTGCCGCTCAGAGAAGCTCTCATGCTGTGTCCCTTCCCACAACCGAACCATTCGAACCTATTGAACAATCTGGGGACTGCGCTTTCAAAACAATTCGAGGAGAGAGGCCAGATCGATGACCTTGAAGAGGCGATCGTTCTCTACAGGAAAGCTCTCTTGCTCCATCCTGCTCCCCATCCCACTCGTCCGAAGTCCTTGAACAGTCTAGCGAATGCACTCATGACAAGATTTGAGCAGAAAGCAGATCTGGATGATGCCGCCGAAGCGGTCTTGCTTATGCGGGAAGCGCTTACGCTCTCTCCCGCACCACATTCCGATCACTCGATGTCACTGCACAACCTGGCAAATGTACTCATCAGAAGGTTCGAAAAAAAAGGCCAAATCGCTGATCTCCAAGAGGCAACCGTACTCTACCGCAAAGCCCTTGCACTCCATTCTGCTTCACACTCCGGTCGTCCCAAGTCGCTGAGCAATCTGGCAGCAACGCTGCACATCCTCTTCAAGGAGGAAAGTCAGCTGGATGTCCTCGAGGAGTCGATTCTCCTCGTTCGGGAGGCGCTTGTGTCCCGACCCGCCACACATGCCGATCGTCCGATGCTGTTGAACAGCCTAGCGCTTGTTCTGTCGAGTAGATTTGCCCAGAAAGGTCATCAGCGTGACCTTGGAGAGGCCTTCTCACTGCATCGCGATGCTCTACTGCTACGTCCTGCTCCGCATTACAAGCGCCCTGCGTCATTGAGCAATCTGGCGAGTGTGCTGTTGGAGCGGTTCGAACAGGAAGGTCGGCCAGATGATCTCGCAGAGGCAATATCACTTGGCCGAGAAGCTATCGCACTCTGTCCTGCTCCACATCGCAATCGTGTGAAGGCTCTAAACAATGTGGGGAATGCGCTGCTGAGTAGGTTCAGACAAGGAGGTCAGGTGGAAGACATCGACGAGGCGGTCTCACTCCTTCGAGAAGCTCATCTACTCTCTCCTTCTTCACATAACGACTATACGATCTCGTTAAACAACCTGGCGAATGCACTGTGCAGACGATTCGCGTACAAAGGCGCACCCAATGACCTCGAAGAGGCGGTCTTGCTTCTGCGAGAAGTCCTTGTGCTTCATCCTGCCCCGCACCTGGATCATCCAAAGTCATTAAGTAACCTGGCCGATGCACTTCAGAGCCGCTACAGTCAGGGGGGTCAGTTGGATGACCTCGAAGAGGCAATCTTACTTCTGCGGGAAGCCTACACGTTCCTTCCCACCCCACACGCCGGGCAATCGAAGTCGTTGAGCAACATGGCCATCGCCCTCCATAGTCGATTCGAGAGGAAAGGCCAGATCGATGACCTCGAAGAAGCTATTTCACTTGAACGAGAATCCCTTGCTCTTCGTGCTGCTCCACATCCCAACCGTTGGACATCGTTGAACACTCTGGCAACAGCGCTACGAAGCCGATTCAAGCAGCAAGGCAAACTAGATGATGTCGAGGAAGCAGTCCTGCATCTGCGGGAAGCCCTCGCACTTTGTCCTGCACCACATCTCAGCCGTTCGAACCTGGTGTATAACCTTGCAATCACACTCTCAAGCAGATTCAGGCAGAAAGGTCGGAAGGACGACCTCGAAGAGGCAATTTTACTCCTACGCGAAGGACTTCTGCTCTGTCCCGCTTCTCATCCATTCCGGAGCCATTATCAATCGTGGCTCGCTCTTTGTCTTTGGAAACAATACAAACTGAGCGCCGACACAGCCTTACTCGAAGAAGCCATGCTCTCATTTCGTACCGCAGTTGCGTGTGACTCGTCTGTCCTCGATTCCTCGAAAGCAGCTCAAGTGTGGGCAAGATGCGCAGATGAATCCGATCAGGAGTTTGCCTTGGAAGCCTGGATCCATGCCGTTGAACTTCTCCCTCGTTTGGCGATGATGGCTTCGTACATGAAGTCCCGTCATCAGCTATTGGCCAACCACTTGGGGGATCGTCTGATCGCGAGTAGCGCTGCCACTTGCGCCATCCGTTTAGGTCGATACGATCAGGCTGTCGAGATGCTGGAAGAAGGCAGATCTATATTTTGGTCACAGGCTCTGCAGCTTCGGACCTGCTTTGATGGCCTCTGGATGGTCAACCCCGAACTAGGGGGAACGCTGCAGGATGCCTCCCGTGCTCTCGAGCAGAGTTCATTCCATAAGACTTCCAGTGTCGGTGCTGTTTATGATCCGTCTACAGCGATGACAGCGGAGGCTCAGGCGGCACGATTTCGTCAACTGCACGACAAATGGTCGGCAACGCTAAAAGAAGTTCGGGATTTGGAAGGCTTCCAAGATTTTCTGCGTCCTAGAAAATTAGCATCGCTGAGGGAGGCTGCGGCTCATGGTCCCATTGTTCTCAATGCCACCGAGTCTCTCTGTGATGCGCTGATCATCACCTTAACTGGTGTAGAGCGCGTCTCCCTGTCCTCAATGATGACTGGTCGCGATGCTCAACTTCTCACCAACTCTCTACTCGATGCCGTCTTCAATAATCTCACACATGCAAATCAAGTTTCCCTGCAGTCCTTGCTTCAAAAAGTGTAAGCTTCCCGCGGTGCCCCGCTCACCGAGCAAGATCAGGCTCAAAAACGACATAGGATGCCTGAACGGGACGACATCTTCCGGGGCCTCCTTGCGATACTCTGGACGTCTGTAGTGTAGCCGGTGATTCAGTGCCTTGGTCTCGAGGTGAGCACATTTCGACATCATTTGTGCCGAGAGCTGACAATGAACCATTACGCATACTATAGAAATCTGATTTTTCGCTGCGTGTGTGGTGGTGTCCGACGGGGCCGTTCGCTTTTCTTCCAATCCACGCAGCTGGGATATATGACGGGGAAAGCCCTGAGAACGCGTCAGATTATATGGTGTCGTCCTACATCCCGACACTAAGCTCTCCTCGCTAGCTCGCCTACACCCTCGAGCTCAGATTCGTTTCAGGTGATGGTAGCGATACAACCTGAGCCCAGTGATCTTCGATACTCCCAGCTGCCTAACACGCGCGAGGAATTGAAGCAAATCGCCAAACATGTACCAGCCTCCTTTCTCATCAAGCTCGGCGACCGCGACTCCCCGTCTTCGAATGTGGAAGCCGTCCTTTCCCGTCTTCCTCACGTGTCCATCGCCCACTTTGCGTGCCACGGTATCGCCAACTCATCTGATCCGTTGGCCAGCGCCCTTCTGCTCAACGATGGCCTCTAGGAGGTCTCCAAAATCATGGAGCAGTCTCTCCCAGATGCATCCCTAGCTTTTCTCAGCGCATGCGAGACTGCAGTGGGGGACGTGCGATTACCCGATGAAGCCTTTCACCTAGCGGCGACGATGTTATTCTGCGGGTTCCGCAGGGTGGTTGCGACTATGTGGTGAGTGCCAGAGCTCCCTGTTCTAAGCGATGTCTCAATGGAATGACGACAGGTCAATCTACGACGAAGATGATCCCAAGATCGCGGACGAGTTTTATGGACATCTTTTCCATGGGGTAAAAGGGCGATTTACCTGATACCACAGAAGCGGCTCGTGCACTTCACCTCGCGGTGAGGAAGCGGCGCACCGAGCTCAACAACAGCTCTTTTGCGCGCTGGGTACCGTTCGTGCATTATGGGCTGTGATAAATAGTAGTCCACTACGTAGACTGTTTTTCGTTGGCCTGGTGGCTGTATCGACAAAGTGCACACTTGTGGGAGATCGGAGCTTGAACGACACAATTAACGACGCTCTACTACTCGAACGACCACCACCTCAAACGACGACGAGATGGATGGACCGGGGCACCTGCTTTCGCTCAAGGTGATGCGGCTCTCCGTACGTTGCTGGTCTTGTTGTCGCATGAACGACTTGTCGAGAGGATGACGGTCAAACCTCATAAGTAGCGGCCCTCTTTGGCGAGCGCCTGGGAGCCCTTCTACTCCAGCTCTCCTGCCTTCTCTGCACACTCCACCGCCTCCGTCCTCTCTCTCCAAGGCAAGGCTCCGCTCCCTGGCCACCCGAAGACTCTGCGCGACCTCTCGGGCGTGGCCGAGCTCCTCACCCTCCCCGCCTCCTTCGGCGCCATCCAGCTCGGCGAGACGTTCTCGGGCGCGCTCGCGGTGAACAATGAAGCCGTGGGCGCCGTCGGCAGCGTGCTGCTGCGCGTCGAGATGCAGACCGCGACGAGCAAGGTCCTCCTTGCCGAGCTCGGCGGCCCGACGTTTGTCCTCGCCGCGGGCGACACTCTCGAGACCGTTGTGCAGCACGAGATCAAGGAGCTCGGCCAGCACGTCCTCGCGTGTACCGTCACATACCAGCTCCCACCTGGTGCCCGCCCACCTGCAGCTACGTCCTCAGAGGGTGCAGTGGATCGCGATCCGAGTGTGCAGACGTTTCGTAAATTCTACAAGTTTGTGGTGCGTGCCTCTGAGCGTTCGCATGCGCGGCGTTGTTCATCTGTGAGCAGGTCACGAATCCGCTGTCGGTCAAGACGAAGGTTCACGTGCCGCGCTCGCCGTCCGCCCTGCTGTCGCGCAATGAGCGCGAGAAGGTGTTCCTCGAAGTTCATATACAAAACCTAACTCAAGAACCTATGTGGTTTGAGCGCATGCTCTTCGAGCCCGCGCAGGGGTGGCGAGTGGACGATGCCAATGTCTTTGCTGCAGGCGCATTGGACGCCGACGCTATGTCTGTAGGCGGGGAGAGTTTGTTCTCCGGACCGACAGGAATGATGCAGCCTCAAGACGCGAGGCAGTACTTGTGCATCCTCAGCGCCACTGTCTTACCGACTTTTGCTGTACAGCATTCACCAGGGCAGGTGATCCCCCTCGGGCGACTTGATATTACATGGAGATCGTCGTTTGGCGAGCCAGGGCGGCTGCTGACGTCGGTGAGTGATTATCGATCTAAGACTCCGCATACTCTTATTGAGCGATCTACTGCAGATGCTCTCTCGACGTATTCCTCTTTCCCCTACCACTCAGCCACCACGCCAACCTCCATCGGCCCTTCCCCTGCATCTCCAACGCTCCGCCACTGTCCAGACCCCATCACAGGGCTCACGACCCCCTTCGCGGGCGAGCACGCCGCCGATCGGTCCTGCATCATACCGTCCAAGTTCACCATTCAAGAATCGCCCCATGTCCATCCCTCCAAGAACCCAGAGCCCCGTCACTTTTGGGTCTGCGGGGCAGGCAATGGCGTCGGGGCAGGGGCTGACAATGGCGACGATCCCGATGCTTGATGCTGTTGACGTCGATCTCGTCGTTCGAGCCATACCCCGCGATCCTCTCTTGATCGAGACTCCTTTCAGCGTGGCGTTCACGCTCGCCGTTTCGGCGACGATGGTGCGCGCGCGGGGTCGAGACCGCGTGCTCTCGATTGCCGTGCAGCATGTCCAACCGACGCAGATACGCCCATCACAACAACCGTCTGCTCCTGCTGTTGAATCTGTCGATCAGCGCGCGTCAGTGAAGCCCATCGGGCTTGCGCCGCCTTCTGTGACCTCGACGCCGCTGAGCAGGGTGATGGACGATCGCACGCTCGTGGGCTCGCCGCAGCAGCAGTACCTGACGCACGGAGAGGACGAACGCTCTGGAGACGGCGTGCCACTTCTGCCGAGCCCTGTGCCGGAACCTAAAGACGCAGAGAAATACGCCAAACCGAGCGCTGGGGGAGCGAGATACCTTGGCGCGTCGGCGCTCTTCCTCCCGCCCGTCCGCCTGTCTCCCTCGGGCGAGGAGCCGCAAGGGAGTGTCGAGAGCGACGACGACTCTTCGGCCTCGCACGATGTCAAGCTTCCGGCGGCGAAGGTGGAAGCCTCTTGGGATTTCGAGCTGTCATATCTGCCGGTGAGAGCGGGTTTCTCGACTGTCGGTGGGCTGAGGGTGTTGTTGGTGGAGGATCGGTGGGAGGACGGGGACGAAGAGAAGGCCCTTGTCGAGGGGCGGCGACCGGCACCCGCGCGGGTGTTGAAGGAGTGGGATGTCGTGGGTGAGTTATGGGTGCAAGGCTAAAAACCATGCAACCACTTTATTGTCTAATATTCTCTGCTGTACGCGCTACACATGTCACTCGGAATCGTTGACTTCTGTCGCTCGAGACCGCTCGACAATTCAGCCTCACCACTTCTCCAAACCACTGAGACAGGAAGTCATGCTTGCTTATGGCGAGGGGTGCTGCGAGATGATTGTGTAGATAACACTGCATTTTGGCTGATGCTTTGACTGGCATGCCTGGCATGACTGACATGTGCACAAAAGAAATTGAGTGTGCTGTCAGACATGTATATAGAACACATGACTGCTCTGGCAGGTATGCTCTTGGTATGTTGATTTATTCGCCCTCTTAGTGATCCCTGCTAGAGAATATATGTGCTGCTGAATAGTGAAGCACATACAGCCTCTAGCAGGGATCAGGTATTGAGAATAAAGAATGATTCAACACACCAAGATCATCTAGCCAAAGCAGGCCAAGATCCTGTTGATATTAGACAGACACATTACCTTTCAAGAGAATCACGAAGCTTTGCAAATTTTACACATATTGTGAGGAATTGATAGCCATAAGCTGCCCATGTTGCTCTAAAGCCTCTTGCATCTTGATCAGACAATGCTGATCTAAAACTTTCACAGTCTTCAAACAAGGTGAGAATGGTATCCCTGATGATGAATAAACAATGACTGACCTTGAGGAAGGATACATGACAGCATCTGTAGTGACTCTAAGTTGAATACAAACCCTCCTTTGATATCTCCTGACTCTTCAAGTATCTATAAACAGAGAAAGATAGGCTGCTGATTAATGATAGGTCTGGGCTATAAGACTCACCATCCTATCAAGAACCACAAGCTCTGCATAGCACCTCCCTTGCAGATCATCCAGGTTGATTGAGCTTGAGGGTGGTGTCATACTAGGATTCAACAATGTTCTTGCATTGTCATCGTCGTTGTCATCATTGCAATCAGAAGTTTCCTCTTTAATGAAGGAACTGCCGTGCTGAGAGGAAAAGAGTGAGTAGCCATTGACAGCACAATTGTCGCAAGATGCAGCGCAGTCCTCCGGGTTGAACACTTCCTCAAAACGGCCCAGCAGCTGGAATCGGCGGCAATCCACGTTGTTGCGGCAGAATCGCTCGACCTCCTGGACAAGTTCTATCAGCCGTTCCATTTCGGGCACTGCCTCACGCTGGATTACCGCAATCCGACGCTTGCAGTCTTCGGAAGAATAGTCTGCAACAAAAAGTAAGATGAACCACTCGGCGCGAAGCTCCCTCGATACACATACACAGAACACAATCCGCTCGCTTCCCATCTCGCCCGGCACGTCCAGTTTCGTGCACATAACTAAATCAGAGGTTACGTCGTTAATCGAAGAGAATACGGCAATGAAGCCAAGTACCTTAGGAGCGACGACGGAATGTCGTGGTGAATCACGAAACGCACTGTCAAAGGGTCAGGATCAAAAGCCTTATCATTAGCATATGGAACGAGCATACCATTGAGCTTGTTGATCCCTAACCCGAATGCGACCTAAAAAGAAATATATTGCATCGTCGTTTCCAAATCGCGTCAAGCAAGATTACTCTGCTTACCGTCCCTACGATTATATTCCAATCCCCCGCGTGCCAACCTACGAGTACGTCCTGCTTTTCGGAGAGCTCCATATCTGAGTGAAGGTATCTAGCCTTGAGACCCAGTTCTCGAAGCTTTCGCGCGACTTGCTCGCACCGCTCCTTCCTGTTGCAGTAGACGATGCCGGCATCACCTTCGTGCTCTGTTCTGATGAAGGTGGCAATGTCTTGTATTACCGTCTCGGCTACCGTCGATTTCTTGGTATGCACGATGTATCGAAGATTCGCACGATGGAGTGATTGCGAGAGGAATAGATGATCGGTACGGAGACCAAGGGAGCGCACGATTTCGCTACGGTCTTTGGCGGTGACGGTCGCTGTCAGAGCCATTAGAGGAACGTTGGGGAATTGTTCGTGAAGGATCCCCAATTTTGCATACTAGGAATAAAGAGGGTGTGAGCGCTATAGTCATCTGAGATACGTTCGAGAGACAAACATCTTCTCTAAAGTCCTTTCCCCAGGTACAGATCAGGTGTGCCTCGTCGATGACCATCCTTGCCAGTTTCTGCTCAGAATGCAGATGCTTGAGAGCGCCCATCATGCGTCTGTCGCAGGCGAGTTTTTCGGGTGTGATATAAAGAAGGGCCGGCTTCGGCCCATGCTCGACGAGTCGGCTCCATATTTTGTCGCAATACTCCTCGGAAACATTCGATGCGAAGAATTCAACGTCGACGTCGATGCCTCTCAAATACATGACCTGATCAACCACGAGAGAAATAAGGGGTGAAATGACTAGAGTCATGCCACCTCTGGTTGTATTGTCGTGGATTGCGGGGAGTTGAAACGTGAGGCTTTTACCTCCTCCGGTCGGCATGACAGAAAAAACATCCCTGCCGCACAGAGTCGCTTCGATGACCTCCATCTGGCCTGGACGAAAAGCTGTGAGACGAAAGGTCTTATTCAAGATACGTTCAATCTCTGCGAGGTCAATGGGCGGCGATGACAGAAGGCAAGTTTCGTCACAATCCCATTCGTCCACATCAAGGAAATTGCTCCACAACTCGTCATCGCTGCTGGAGGGACTGGATACTTTCTGCCGTTTCGACGGAGGAGGTGTCGGTAGATAATTCGTAGCTGGGCGCTTGTTAGCGCTTGACGAAGAGCGTCCATCTGAGGGCTTGGAGGGCGGCGTCATCGTTGGCTATTCAGGTCAGACTGGATATGGGGGAAGATGAGCACCGGTGCGAGGCTAAGGAGAAGCGGAAACAAAACAAACAAAAGATACCTCAGCGCTACGGGGAAAGAGGAACTGTATGACCCTGGCGTGTTGCGGGGAACAAAGTCGGCGCGCACCGACGGGGATGATTGCATCCCATTTAGTCAGTTATCACGATCTGCAACGACTCCGGCCACGAAGAAGATGATATTGAAAATAATTATATACGTGAGTCCTCAATTCGTTCTCATGTCGTTACCTATCTTATCACATCTCGATCTCCATACCTTCAACGGGTCTTTCAGACTGCCTGCCACGGATGACTAACCAGCTGTTGTACCGATAGGAGAGCTTGGTACCTAACATCTGGATTCTTGTGCGACATCAGCTCCATCACACGCGTCTTTGCACCGAAATCGGTCACGACCCTGCAAGAACGAGTTCTCCATGACAAATACACAACACAATATTGGATGGCAGACGTACTTTTTGCCTCGTTCATAGTGTTTAACATACTGTCCCAAGTCGTGCGCGGCTACAGCGAGCACGACGGGGTCCGGCGACTCTTGAAGCAGACTGACTAGTTGCCTATGTAAGGCAAGGCGATGCCCGGCATCATTAGCGTCCAACCTGGTTCAGGGAAGCATAACACAAACTTGAGGCAGGCATGGTCCTTCTCATTCAGTTTGACGGCATTCTCTTTCCAGAACATATCCGATTCGTGGACTGGTGTCCAAGACAGGTGGCCGGAGGTCAGCTCCGAGGTATATTCGTCCCATGTTCTGCACGAGGCTTAGATCGTGCCAGATCAAATTCACAAAAACAGTAACATACGTAAGGCTCTCGAACCTTGTCTTGAGCTCGTCACGGAGAAATTGTACATCTTCGAGGATATCCTCATCTGACCATTTGCGCGTGGCTAGGTTGTTCGAGAAAGGTAGAAGCTGTGAGACTAGCATGGCGGGAAGGTTCGCGGACGGGGCTTTCGTGACAAGGTTCTGTTGAGAGATTAGGTTTTTTGACACGGAATTGTCGAGCTGCAAGAGACGCACCCTAAATGTTGCGACTATGACACGAATTACTTTCTCTTTGACTGCTGCTTGAGCAATGTCAACAAACAATGGTATGATGTCATATTTCCTGGCAAACAGTCAGCACGCTCTATAAGCGCAAAGAAAACACAAGTTTTACTGATTGATTTGCTCTGCAACCTCCTGCTCGAATGATAATAGCCAGAAGCAATATCCAACTTGGTAGCTCATTTGAGGACCAGGATTCCGCTTCAAGACGTCTACTAAGCTGTCGAATCGTGAGCCTGGATAGATCGCCCTGAAAGAAAGAGAATAGCCCACCCACCCAGAGATGATGCTTGGATGTTCCCAGACTGCTTTTCGCACTTCAGGGCGAGGTAGGATAACTTCTAGGCACTGTACAGCGATATCTAGTTTGTTATGCGACGCGTTCTGTACAAAAGCCGATATTGTGGCGAGGAATGGCTGAAGGTGATGGTGAGAAAGAGGCGTTGATTCAGAGCTAAGATATAGATGCGGTATGCGTTGGTCCTAGATCAATAAGCAGCACGACTCGTATGACGCACGTACCTCAATAAGACGGTGAGAATCTGAGCGGCTTTGAGTTGTACAAAGTCATCTGTGGTCTCGAGGACACTTTATAAAATCCGTATTGGGATGAGCATATTTGTGTAGATCTGGTATAGAGCGCACCGGAGTAGTGGCCCATAGGGTAGCTCCGGGTCTGTTTCTGCTGCTTTTGTGAACAGCGATATGCGTTCGTCGTGATCTACTGAGTCGACAATTAAATGCGGAGTTATAAACTAGATGCATATCGCGCACCGGCGATGGCGTCCGTGATGAGGACTAGGATACACTGCAGGGTGTCAACTGCTTGGAACTTCTTGAGCAGCCGAAGGTATAGGAGCGCGTAGGTCTGGCCTTCCGAGAGTAATATAGACTCTACTTTTGCTCTCGGTTGTCGGTCAACCCTCGTGATAAGGGCGAGCTCTTCCGAAGTCATGAGCCCTGTCCGTTGATATCCCTACTCCGGGACATCTAAGCTGCATCGACAGAAAGCAACGCTGAACGGTGCATACCTTCCATAAACCAGGTTTCAAGCGCAAGCTCGCAGAGCTCTCATCAAGATACGCGTTGGAGACCAGTGAGAGGGACATGGTTGGAAGATAGTGGCCGTTGCCTTACAAGCCCAACGAGTTGCGCGGACTCGAGCAGCGGAGCGGCTGCCCTAACAGGCAAAGTAAATTACGTAAGCAGATTTTCTGTGCTGTTTCCGAATCGAGTAACGAGCTGTCTGACATCCAGCCATGAACCATTCCTCCCGCTCCTGGCTTTCCTCATGTAGGCGACATACCACAGGTATGATCTCCTCCAAGTGCACGTATGTATTACCGCCTAACTTATTTTCCAGCTCGTGCCCTCAATTCGTGCTACCGCGGGCTGGCTACGGAGGCCGTAGCGTCAACAGAAACGACCTCGACAGGACCCCCCCCGCCCGTTAAACCTCGTCCAAAGCAGGCCTCTCGACCGATTCTTCACACTTCTGTGATATTAAATCGCTCGCCTATACTTACGCGCACTCCCTCGTTCTTCGAGCGCGCTTTCTATGCCTACCAGGCTCGCATCCGTCGCGCGCTGCACAACCCGTTCCCATACGAGTTCTACTTCAAGCAGGGATCGCTTCTCGAGGCGAAGTTTAACCTCGAAGAGCGCCAGCGCGACCGCACCGCGTTTGGGCGCGGATTTGGCGCGGATTCCCGCAACGCGCCTGGTGCGAAGCTGACGGCGGAGGATCTGAAGAAGTTTGGGCAGGCCGAAGACGAGTCGACGGTGTCCCGTAAGCACGCGAGTGACGAGACCGGGGATGTAAAGAGCTTAGACCGAAAGGGACAGCGGAACCTGTACTTGCTGGTCCAACGGAAAGAGAATGGGCGTGACGTGTGGGGATTCCCGCAAGGCAAGGTCGAGGAGGGAGAGCTTTTGCATCAGGTACGCCTATGCCGAATCATCACGAAACTTTCCATAAACTTTGCCTATCAAAGGCTGCGCGCCGTGACCTTCTTGCACAATGCGGCGAGGGTATGGACACCTGGATCGTCAGCCGAAAGCCGATAGGTCTCCACGAGATTGAACCTTCCGCACCACCTAAAGACACCTCGATGCCCTCGAAAGTATGTCCACCTATTGAGCCTTTTACGCAACTCATTCACACATGTGTTCCAGACTTGCGTCTTTTTTTTCAAAGCTCACATCATGGCTGGCCAAGTGCAGCCAGACGGTAAAAATGTCTCCGACTTCGCCTGGCTCACAAAATTGGAGATTCGGAAGCGGGTAGACCCTAAGTATTGGGATGCAACCAAGGATATGCTATCTGACTTCTAAATTCATATAATATCACTCCTAGCATGCCATGGAACCTTGACAGTTTGAAACATTCTATGGCAGACCGCGTCTGATGCAAAGGTAGACTAGTGAGAGATAGCCTTGGGCTTTTTCTGCGCATCATCAAATCGGCGCACAATGACATCGCACTTGGTCGTCTTGCAGATGTGCTTCGACCCATTTTTGATTGCGTCCGAGAAAAGGGTTAGACCTGCGGCACGTTCTACTGTCTCAACTATGACACGCCTCCTGGTCAGCATGGCGCCGTCGCGTTCTTTGAGGGATAGGAGACGCTCACCAGGGACCACGAAGCTTTCCAACGGTGCCTCGTCCGGAATAATCGCGTTTGGGAGGACAAACGCACCTGTCGAGATCTCGAAGACGTTGGGTGTGGAAGGAGAAGATGGCCGCGACGTGAGAACGACTTTGGCGAAGTGCGTCGGTACAGAAATATTTGGAGGGTTGCCAATTACTTCGTGCGTCTGCGAGCAAAGACAGTATTTCAGAACTGAGTGTAGACGTATGGAAGAGCGAAAGTAAGACGACTGACCACTCGCCATTTACCGTCTGGATCACGGTGTGGGAGGTATAAAGGAATGGTAAAGACATACACATCCGCGAAGGAGCCAGTCAGACGCCGGCACCAATCCTCTACGTAGGCCCAGTCTAAATTATCATACGATAGTCAAGGTGAGTGCTGGAGCACAAGATACTATCGCAGACGAACGCACAGTGACGGTTGAACCCTGCACCAACCTGAGGCGCGATGTTAGAAAGAAGGAACGTCTCGTCCATCGCATCCTGTTACTTCAATCATAAGCTAGACTCGTCAGACAAAGATTGGATCCACGAGCCTGGGATTTCTTCGCATCAGCGGCTGGAACCCTGTACACAGATCGTGAATATTTTCGATCATAATTGGAAGCGAGTGCGCTCACATGTGGCCACGGTCATAACCACTCCGGAAATAATCCTGCAGCCGTGCGCGGAAAGGCAAAGGAATTGCCTCGTCTTCCTTGAATTGCGATTTCTGACGGTCACCCTTCTCACTCTCTGATGAACCCTTCCCAGATCCAGAGCGTCCGAGAGACGATGCGGTCAGATGCTCTGCTGTCTGGGATTAAAGCCCTCGACTTAGAACTTGGGCTGATCAGCGAGCATATATTCATACCCAGGCAGGGTGTCGCAGACGGCGATCATAAGCAGCTGCGTATGCCTTTCTAACGAGCTGGTCTGAAAGAGGGCCTATACAACGGCATGAGATGAATATAGACTGTTAGACTGGACGACTCCGAACCCGGGTTGCCATATTTTAACACAGGAACAATCTCGGACTTTGCTGAAGGCGACAGGCGCAAGTCTCCTTTGGCACCGGTGTCAATGACTGGAAAGTTTTGCGAAGCAGAGGTCGAAGCTGGAACGGCGACTGCGAGCTCTTTCCTCTTGGATACACCGAGGGCAGTGGCGACTCCTCCGCCGACAGCAGCGCCGACAGCAAAAAACGCTGCGCGGATGACTGTCGCACTGGGCATGGAGACGAGATGAGAGCGAACAAGAGAGGGACCGATGCGCGCTGTTCACCGACAAGACGTGTTTGATTCTGCACAACGCCGCGCAGCTTCGGCCAAATCGGGATGTACGAGTACGGATGCAAAATAGTGGGGAAAAGCATGTACACCAATTCTCTATTATTCAGTCGTACACAATCGGAGAAGAAAGCATAGATATCGAGAATGTAGACATGAAGGTATGATATATATATATAACGAGCAACCGAGCAGACGTTGGTAAGAAATGAGGAAGAGCTAGTGACTTTTTATCTTGCGCTGCAATGTATTGGGCTGAGTGAAATAGAAAACACATGAAAAGAGTCAAGCAAAGGAGGGGAAGTTAATCTTCAGGGCTGAAGCGATGCGATCGGATTCAAGAGTTATACAAGATGATTTAAACGCAGCGTAGGATGAACTAGAATGACTGGGATCACGACGCGATTGAGAGGAATAAGAAAAGCCTCATGAACGAAAAGCCATTAATCGATGTAGTCGGCAAGCAATCGTTCTTCGAAACCTATTAGATTGGATCACTTATCTCCATTATCCCGCACCGCACTGCAGGCGTTTCACATCTCCAGAGGCTGGTGCGACTGAGCCTCGAAGCCACGAGACTGACTCTCGCTCACCACCACACGCTCGCGCCTGGTCCCAAAGCCGGAGACCCCAGGGCCCCTTGGCTGCCGAACAACACCGCTGGTGGGACTCTCGAGTCTGTCGTTATTGTTGACCATGCCGCTCACACTAGCGGGGAGGCTAGGGACGGGAGGGATGGAGCTCCCGAAACCAAGAGACTGACCGAAGAGAGCACCAAAGCCCCCTGGAGAACGACGCGATGGTGATGCGATCGTCGCATAGCCTTCGCGTATGTTGCCATTGGAAGAACGAGTGTTCAGGCGCGGAGCCTGGGTATGGAGAGTCTTCATATCTGGCATAGACTTCTTCGCACGGAGAGTCTGCGACAACGGAGAGGACGATGTGGGAGACAGGTATGCAGAAGGGGTGCGCGTCAAGCCAGGATGGTGAGAGGACTGTTGTCTCTGCAGAACGTCGTTAGTCAGCATATCGTGGCCTCGCATCTCCGCGGCAACGAACCTTTTCTGGGTCAATGCGGGTAACGACCGCATGACGTTCTTCACCTTCGCCGATAGAATAGTGATACACTCCGAGCTTCTGAGCGATAAGATGCACGATCCTCCTCTGTTTGGGGGTTAAAGTCCTGGAGAATGCGAGCTCGTCGCGCATGTGATCGTCCTTGAACAAGAGAATACGCGAATAGATGTCTAGGGTAGAGGGGTCGTTCAAATCAAGCTCGTTAGCCGATGACTTGCTTGAAGAGCTTGGAGTGGATGGGATCATCGGAGGCGGTGTCTGCACCCCGTAGGGCTGGGGAACTGGCATGGGAGGCGGGTTGGGTGGCGAATACTGCTGCTGTTGAGGCTGGTAAGAAGCGGCGCTTGCGGAAAAGGAGCGTTGAGGACTGAAGGTCGGGGCAATGATGGGACCAAAATCGTCATAGTGCTGCTGCGGGACACCTTGTTGGACGGATAGCTGCTCCTTCTCAAGCTGCATAGACCGCATGCGGCGGATGGCCTTCTCGCGCTCAATGCGTTCTTTCTCTCCGGCCTGGAGCACCTTTTTGTACTCGACACGCAGCTTGCGGCCTTGAACGTCGAAGCCGTTCAAGGCAGCAACGACGGCATCAGCATCGGACGCCTGTCTAAAATTGGCGAAAGCCAAGCCACGGAAAGAGCCTGACTGGTCAAGATGGTAATTGAAGGCATACGGGGTAGGAATGGACAAAGATGCCTGGATTCGGACGATGTCAAAAATCGGAACTGGTGAGCGCTGAGAAAGTCAAGAGGGGCACTGACGATGATGTCCAAGAGAGTCTCGCGCTTAACATTAAAAGGGATGTTCTTGATAACGATGGCGGTGGGTATAATCTCGTCATCGAAGGCCTGGCCGGGAAGGCCTGCCATGTTGAGAGGCGTACCCATGTTAGAGAGAGGAGGGGAGCCTCCACCAGACGAGAGATCCGAGGTGTTGGGGGGCGAAAGAGAGCGGTTGTCGCTGAAAAGGGAGGGGTTTTCGAGCCATTGCTGTTGAAAATGCGAGGTTTAATCTATGACCTGCTATCATCGAGCACGATCAAGAGAAAGATGGCGCACAGAAGGGAGGCCGCCGCGAGCAGGCTTGTTCTTCAGGGGAGACTGACTCATGCCGAGAGGGTTGTACTGGGGCTGGCCTGCGATAGCAGGGGAAGTTTGAAAATGATACTGAGGTCTACCGTTACCGCTGCCGCTGCCGTCGTAATCGTAAGTATCGTGTAAACGTTGAAGGGATGGCCGGGAAGAGAGCGACAGCGAGGCGATATCCGGAGTAGAAGAAGAACTAGTCATGATATCCTGAGAGAAGGGATACAAAGGATACTTGTGAGCTATAAACCGTTCGTAAAGAAGAGGAGAAAGACGAAGTGCAGCAGTGAGTGAAGGACTGTGATCAACGAACGCGGGAGGGTGTACACCGGACCCTAAAGTATTTCTAGGCTAACTCCGATTTCATCAGTCCCACGAGGCCCTCTCTCATTCTTTTTTGCTGCCTTTTCCGTCTCGTATCACACAGCAGCGTGCTCTCTCACGGGGAACCCGCATTGCATTGCGTCGCTTAGTGAAAGCTTGTTTTGAACAGCCTCCCTCCTCAAGAAACCACTAACAGCTCATCATGGAAGCTATGGCGAGCGCTAGATCTGCTGCGCTGCCACTGGTACTAGCCATCGATGCTGTCTTGCCATGGAACGCGTCCAACAATGCAGTCATGATCGTACACACCGCACTACAACCCCAGCCATGATACTATGTACTCAACGCCTGCACAAAGCAAAGACCCAAACACTCTCCAAACCTGTAACCCTGACCAAAGGATATAGACCTCCAAACCTCCAGACCTTCGACTGATATATGCCGCACTCATTGAACACTGCCAGAACTGACAGCTACGCGTTTCGGTGGGGCCAGAACGGATTCCACGTCAAACGGCACGGATATTGACCTAGAATGGTCCCACGGGCCCCGTGTTAGTTTGCTGCTCTGTAATGATGGCGAAGGCGATGCTCGTCCCGTAGACACGGGTGATGGGATGGGAAGATGAGACGGCTGGGATTGGGGCGATGTGACGGCATTGGCTGTGATCACGGAGGTAACCTCGCGCGAACGGGGTACAGGTCCACGGGCAACGGTGGATGGGGGATGAAATGTGGGTCGAGGGATGGATGGCAGTGTGAATTTGGATTTTCCCCTCGCAGGAAGAGGGCCGTCGATGAGACGGAGCGCAGTGGGGGGAGGGCGACGGGGCATTGTTGGGCGAGGAATTGATTATGAGGTGCTCGGAAAGGGCTACTGCACGTTTCAACGAACGTGAGGGTTCTTGTGATGGCCTGCGAGCACGATTCACTGTTGTTTAAGTATGGTCTCTAGATGCTGCGGCACAGCGAACTGACCTCGGTATCTCTGCTTCTTTGGTATTTGTTGGGTCCGCACGGCCAGCCTGCGGCAGATGCTGTTCTCGAAGGTGAAAGCCGCGTGCCACTCGTAAAGGGCAGTCGGGTCAACCGACTGGAACAGAGTTTCGCTGACAAGAGAAAGAAACAAAGGGAAGCCACCGATGAGACCCACAACCAGAAAGCCTAGCACGCAAACTGATGAAACCGAGCGAAGGAACGAAGGCACGAAGGCCTCAGCCATCGCTTACGTAATATCGGTACTGACGACGAAACCGACATCAATTTCATGCGTCGTTGCTAGGCGCAACATGAGAAGCGGATATCTTGTTCAGACACAGAAGGTACATGATGCAAAGGACCCAAAGAGTACAGAGAAAGGGGAAAAGGTAGAATCGGAGGCTTGACAAAGACAGTACTCTGAATGATTATTGATGCGAGGTCTTGCGAGGTGCACAGAGCGAAAACAGTGAATGGACAGATGTAAGATGTGCTGCGGAATAGCAATACAATGGTGCATGAACTAGGCCGATGGTTCGTCGCTGATGGGACGATAGTGCTTCATAAGCTGCGATTTGAAGGCTGGCGATAGATGTGATTAGGATGATGACAAGGAAACCTATCGAAATGTGAAACATACAAGCCGGAGAATCCCAGATAGTGGAGGCCTCGGTATTTAATGGAGAGGCATTATTAGGCTCTAGAGGTATGATAAGAAAATGCATTACAATGACATATTACAAACTCAGCACCTCCGAGGAGAGATTGCAATGACAGCAAGATTGTCTGCACGCTGTAGACAGCAGACCATTTGTCCTATACACAGCGTCATGTTTGATAACTGCTCAGAAGTTAAATAAGTCTCCACGGGACGCACCTGAAGGATATCCAAGCAAATAGCGCCAGTACCAATGTCAACGTTTGGATGAAAGCACGGGGAATCGAATTTGATATGGGGAGGAACGAAAGGATAATTTGAAGGGAACGTGATAGAAATTTTGAAGGCCAAGCCAGCGTAGACCTATTGACAAGGCGTTGAGGATGCTGAATACATCACGGATGCATGGAATAGCGCACCGTTCCGGCTGGTCCTTCAATCGTTCCAATCCAGTCGAACATATTTGCGTCGGATTTTGGGAATGCGGACTAGGTACAGTCATTCCAGATCATCATCCCCAGTCCGTTAAGAATAAAACGCACGATTCCAGGAGATGAAGACATCTAGTCAGACATGATAGAAATCAGTTGTTAAATAGCATGTGTATAAAGTAGCCACGCACCATCAGATTCATAAGCTCATTGCCGAGTCTATCAGTTGCAAAAGACGGTAGGATATCAAGAATTTGCTGAGTGGAAATCACGAGTTCCTGACCGTTTCGTTACGCTGCCAGCACTTTCATTTACAGTGTCAGCCATGGCGGATTTGGGGGAAGAACGCGCGGGGGCGAGAGAAGATGTAACTTGATCCATATCAATGAAGTTATGAAAGGCTGAGCGCTACAAATTTGGACAGAGAAGTAACAGGAAGAGGAAAACAGATCAAAGTGCGATGAAGGTGGGGAACACTGAAGACAGCGGTGAGGAGGAACAAGGACGGTGGAAAGTTTGTTGAACGCGCGACGAGACGGTCACGTGCTACGTGACGAGCGCTTGTTTGGCGAGGTTTGTCGTGACTTTGGATTGCCTCCGGTGTCGAAGCTAAAGCACTTTGCTGAGAATAACAACGAAGGAATGTTCTGCACCAACGATGGCGAATGTGTATGGGTGCCGCGCGCACGACACTGTGTCCTATTTCGTGGCTGCGTCATCCAGTGTTGGCTGAAGGGTGTTGATTGCCCCAGACGGCGCCCGAATAGACACCGGGTCGCTCCGCCGCGCCGTGTGACGAAAGCTCCTTCTCTCTGTACATCCACCGGACCGCCATGTCCTCCACATTCTCTCCAACACCTGGCGAGCTTGCCATTGTCAATCAATTGTTTGCTCAGAACGACCCCCAGAAGTTCGGCATCATCACGGGAGAGGTTGCTGTTAAGATATTTGGCGGTGCAAAGCTCTCATCCACAACCTTGGGGAAGATATGGAGTATAGCAGACGCGGAGAACAACGGCTTTTTGACGCGCAAAGGTGTAGCTGTTGCCGTCAGGCTTATGGGTTGGGCACAAAAGGGCGACGATGTGTCTGAGGAGTTGATCAACAAACGTGAGTAGGGCTCGCAGCCAGCCTGAGGCCCTAGCAGGGTTGCAACACTCATTCACACTTCTGGCAACAAAACAGCTGGACCCTTGCCTGTGCTCGAGGGATATCCACAAATCCCTGCGCAACGTGCAGCACCGAGTCCTTCACCGAGGTCCCCTCCTCCACCGGCGCTTCCGCCATTGACGACTATGGACAGGGCGAAATTTAATCGACTGTTTGTGGGCTGTGGGCCGGTCAACGGCTTGCTCAACGGTGCGTCTTAGCTTAGTCATGTTGTGTCCTGTCGTGTTCTCAAGCTCTGGCTCAGGCGAGAAAGCCAGGGACGTGTTCGTGAAGTCCAAGCTTTCGGTTGAGAAGCTCTCTCAAATATGGTTTGCACTACGCCTTCTTTTTTCCTGGCGAATCCTGACGATTCTGGTTCTGGTGCAGGAATCTATCCGACACGCAAAGCCGAGGCTCGCTCGATGCTACTGATTTCTCCATTGCGATGTATCTGATTCAACTTTCGATGTCGGGCCAGCTCTCTTCGATCCCTGCCACGCTTCCCCCCGGTTTGTATGAGCAAGCGACTGGTAGGAATGATGGTGTCACTGCACACGCTACAGGCGGTAGCGGCTCTTTGAGCCCAACGCTGACAGGTTCATTTCCGCCCCGCTCCGCAACTAGCGCTATCCAGCCGCAATATACTGGTCAAACTGTTCAGCAGCATTTCACCGGCCAGCCTCTTCCTCACCAGTATACCGGGTCTGCATTCAAGGTAGCGCCTACCATCCCTCCTCGGCCCGCGCCAGCCGTTCCACCTTTCCCTGTGCCGCCAACTGCACATGCACCACAATGGGACGTCACGCCCGCAGAAAAAGCGAGCTCGGATAGATTCTTCGATACCCTTGATAGTCAAAAGAAAGGCTATATTGAAGGTGATGTTGCTGTACCTTTTATGTTGCAGTCCAAGCTGGCCGAAGATGCTCTGGCGCAAGTCTGGTGCGTGTTGTATCTCCCAAGTCAGTAGATAGTATGACCTCATGTCGCATTCTGGCATTGTGCTCTACAGGGACCTCTCCGACCTGAATAATGATGGCCGCTTGACTCGCGACGGTTTCGCAGTCGCCATGCATCTCATTCAAGGAAAGCTTACTGGTAAAGATATTCCCGCCTCTCTACCAACCTCTCTGGTTCCACCGTCGATGCGGACGAATGGTGTCGCAGCATCTCCCCTCCAGACCCAGCAACCGCAGCAAAGTGAAACCATTAGGGATTTACTATGGGACGAGACTCCCCCTCCATCGGCTATCACTCCACAATCCGTACAACATCAACCAACTGGTTCACTCCACATGTCTCCCAGCGCATTCTCCACTCCTTTTCTTTCCACTCAGCAGGCGTTTGCCGCTGCTCAGGATCCTTTCGGCAGCTCCACCAGTAAGTCGTCATTTTGAACATAGCACTCATCATTCATAATTTCCATCCTGCAGCCACCAAAGATCTTCTGGGTGATGATGATGATGCCGGCACGACCTCCCCTCCCATACATGATCATTCAGCCGAGATCGGAAACGTTCAAAACCAATTGGATTCAACCAAACGCTCGTTGGAGACTACCAAAGCCGAGCGTACCAGCATTGAAGCTACCATCGCTAATCAAGCGGCACAGCTATCCGCTCTCCAAACGCAGCTCAGCTCGGCGAAGGCAGCCTACGAAACCGAAACGCGTCTCCTTGCTGCGCTGCGGGAGCGATACACTAATCAGACAACCGACATAAACAAGGCTAGGGAGGAGCTCATCCATGCGGAGAGTGATCTGAGTGCCGTGCGTGTGGAGAAATCCGAGATCGAGCAACATCTGCTTCGGGACAAAGAGGAAGTCCGAGACTTACAGCGGAAGATGACCGAGGCGGGTAGCACCATCGAACACGTGAAAGTGGAGATCGAGAAGGCAAAGAAAGACGCAAAGCAGCAAAAGGGGCTATTGGCTATCGCGAAGAAACAACTGGCCACGAGAGAGACTGAAAGAGCTAAGATCGAGAAGGATCTCGAGGAGGCGAATGCAGAGGCCCTGGCAGCTGCAAAAGAACGGGAAGAGGCAGAGTCATTGCTTAGCAAGGAGATACCGGCCGCTCCGTTCGCGAACGACGCACATACGACGACGTCTCCTTCGGTGGACAGTTTGGCGTTCGCCGCAGCCCAGCCTCTCCCCGCTACTCCTGGCAGTCCGGGATCCATTATGAGTGGATCAGGAAGCAAGAGCAACAACCCTTTCGAGAGACTTGTGATGTCCCATACTGGCTCGTCGACTCGCTCTCAATCACCGTTCTTGCCATTCACAAATGCATCAGTCCCAACACCGTTCGTTGCGCCCCCTCCCCCGAACGGCACGGCAGCGATGACAGATGATCCTTTCAGCTTGGCTTTCGGAACCGAGGAGCCCACGAATGTACCATCCTCGGGACTTACAGATGTTGGTGCAGAGCCACAAAGCTTAACGCCCAGGCTGCCATCCATCAACGCGAATGTCACTTCGACTGATGAAATGTCTTCGCCTCTCAGTGACAACGATATGTTCAGCACGCCACCTACAACTGCTGTGCCAGTCCTGGCACAGCACTCTGGATCTATGAGTCAAGCTGGCAGTTTCCCTGGTGTAGAGGCGACTCTTTCCCAGCTCTCCCCTGCAGAGGCATTTTCCTCTGAACCTCCCGCAGCGCACGAGCCGGAGACTGATCTGAATGCTCCGCTCAAGGAGATTGACATCGACGAATCTGATAGTAGTGACGACGATACTGAAGACAGTCAGCCTCTTGCCACCTTGGTGAAGAGGGCATCCAACATCCCCCCAGCGCCTCAGGAACCTGCCATCGCCACTAACGAAGCGACTGGAGCTCCTAGCACTGGCTTTTCGTTCGACGATGCGTTCGTTGAATCGTCTGGTCAGGAGACTCAAGCTGCCCCTCCCTTGGCACAGTCCTTGGAGAAGGGGCTTCCTCCTACATCCCAAGCAACTACTCCATTTGATTCGTTTGCAGATACACATGTCCCCCCGGCCATCGAGACAGTGCTAGAATCTCCTTCCAAGGTGCCTGCTGGCGTGAGTGATTTTGACGAGGCGATGGGCAAGATCCCTGGTTCTGCTTCCGGTACATCGGATCCTAACTTCACGTTTGACAATTCGTTCGACGATAACTTTGATTTTGGCGCTGCGAGCGGGACTGCATTTCCTCCTGCTCCATCCTCCAATGGAAACGCTGCCCCTGCACCGTTTCTAGCGGTCGCCCCTGCTCCCGCTCCTGCTCCGAAGAACGACGGGTTTAACTCTGTCTTCGCTCCACAAGTCAGCGCTCAGCCGCCTTCTCTGACATCGCTTCCTCAGGCTGCCCCCGCTCAAATTGCGCCTTCGCTTTCGTTTGATGACGCATTTGGTTCAGCATCATTCGCCACTCAATCGCAGCCGAGCCAGCCTTCGGCGAGCAGCGAAGCCCATGGTATCTCTTTTGATGATGCATTTGGTGGCGTTGGCCCATCACAGGCGCTAGCTTTGGACGACAACTTCGGGACGGCTTCGTCACGAGCGTCGTTTGTGCCTCCTCAAACCCAATCGCCAACCAGTGCAACGCCTTTTCCAACTGCATCCCCACCTCGTGACTCTTCATCGTCCTACAACGCGTCTCGGATGTCGGCGTCTCCGCCGGTCCGCGCAACGTCACCCCCTCCCCGTGTGTCCTCTCCGAAACTCAGGCCGTCGACAGCGTCCTCGAGCAAAGACGGCCATGAGAAGAAGGAGCCGGTGAGGCACTCTAAGCTCAGCGTATGTGCTTTCCTCTATTCTGTAGGCTCTATGGTGCGACTCACAAGCTCTTAGATCCGATTGCCCTTTGGGAAGAAGAAAAAGACCATGGAGCCGGCGCCCCTGCCACCCTCACAGCTTTCGCAGCACCTGTCGCCCTTGCCCGAACCTACCGCTGTTGGGACGACGACCCCTGCGGTGGAAGATGATGTCGAGCCTGTCAAGCAGCTGTCGGCCATGGGCTTCAGCCGTTCGCAAGCAGTTGCTGCGCTGGAGGCGAATGCGTACGACTTCCAGAAAGCGCTCAATAGTTTGCTTGGTTCTCAGTGAGGTTTTTTTATGTTCATCGAAGGAAAATAAGGAGCCCTTGTATTCTCTCTCTCTCTCTCTTTTGACTGTAAAGCTGCAAGCGATAGTGCTTGGCTTTGGTACATTCGTTTGATCCTATCTACATACAATCCTACGGACGCTCATTACTAGCTTTGTTTCCGCTCTCGATTGTGGCATCTATTGCTCCGTCGATTCTTATCTGCTCTCTACAGATTCGTTATAATGAATGATGTGTTTTGCGAAAGCTATGCCAGGCAGGGTGGCTGGGTCAGCTGATAACAATACCACCCCGAGCGGATACCAGTTCATGGCCACAGTCTGTGCTCGCCCATTGACCTTAACTGCCGCAGTTCAACAGGGCTTTATACCTCTCTGCTCATCGCCTCCCATTCACCCTCGGGGCACATCTACCGTTACCCTGCGACAATCCTATTATTATTGGGCTCGTGCCTCCCTGATACAGTATAAAGCCAGCTAGCCTGGCAAGGGTGCTGGCATCGCAGCCTCTCTTCCCCTGTTCTTCTCTTCCTAGCTCTGTTGCTCTGGCGTGCACCCTCGACGTTCAATACGCTTGATGCCTGCATTTGATGTTGTGGTCGTGGGCTGCGGGGGAGGCCCCTCGGAAACGAATTTGTCTGCGTGCGTCGTGCGAATCTGTCCCATGTCTCAGCCTCGGTGTACTGACGTCGCCCTCGGACGCGCCTGGTTGGGCTCCTGCGTAGCTATCTGCTCAAGCCTTACGATGCCGCGTGGTTGGACGGGACCGTCGCTCTGGAAGCTGGTGAGTCGCGCGCGTGCTGCTGTGGATGCGAACGTGCGCTCAGCTCAAGTGTGCACCCAGGCTCCGGGCTCGGGACGCTGAGCTACGTCATGGCGCTGAACCCCAACCTTTTCGATGATGAAGACGCCCAATCCACCTGCGGCCTCTCAGCATACGACGTCTACTCGTCGATCCGGTAGGTGCACGCGCGCACGCGCACACGAGTCTCGCCGGTCGCTCACGTTATTCTGTAGCTGTTTCCTCATCACCCACGCCCACTTGGACCACATCAACGGCCTCGTCCTCTCCGCGGGCACGCTCAAGGGCCCGCGTAAACGTATTCACGCCGCGCGACACGTTATCGACAACATCGAAACCGTGTTCTCGGATCGCGTCTGGCCGAAACTCGCCTCCTGGAGCGCGAAGGACGACGATTACAAGCTGATGTACGACCCGTACGTACACACAGCCGCCCTCCTCCCTCGCGCGCGTGCACATCTGATCCGGGCCCGGCGCCACGAGGCCAGGCTCAAGTTCACAAAGTCCTACCGGACGATCTCCCCCAACGTCTCCGTCCGCATGACGGCGGTCACCCACGGCCACAACGACACGACGGGCGTGTACGAGTCCACCGCGTTCTTCCTCCGGCACGACCCCTCCGGGCAGGAGCTGCTCTTCTTCGGCGACGTCGAGCCGGACAGCGTCGCGTCGCGGCCGCTCACCCTCGCGACTTGGCGCGCCGCGGCGCCCATGATCCCCGAGACGCTCGGCGCGATATTTATAGAGTGCTCGTGGCCCCTCGGGCGCCGCGAGGATCTGCTGTACGGCCACCTGAGCCCCGAACACCTCACCGACGAGCTCGCGGCGCTCGCGACGGAGGTCGTGCGCGCGCGCGGTGGCCTCGAGGAGTGCGCATCCGAAGACGCGACCCCGGTCTCGAACGGGGGCGGCACGAACGTCGGCAAGGCGCAGCCCGCCACGACGGGCAGGCGCGTGGCGCGGAGGGCCAGGGTCGCGCCCTACGGCGTTCCCACGCCGCACGGCCACCCCCAACACAACATGGACATGGACGAGCCCCCCTCCTCGGATGTCCAGGCCCTCCGCAAGAAGCCGCGCCCGAGCCCCGTCGACCCCGAGCTCCTGCGGGACGCGCTCAAGGGCCTGCGCGTGTACATCACCCACTGCAAGGACGACCTCGAGGGCCGGTACGATCGGCCGATCCGTCACGTGATCGCCGACCAGGTGCGGGAGCTCGTCGAGAAAAAGCGGCTCGGCGCGGAGATATTGAGCGTTGAGCAAGGCTCGCGTATAGGTCTGTGCTATTCCGAGCTGGGGCTTTCGTCGCGCTGACGCTCGTCTGCGCCTCTCTAGTTATTTGATGCTTTCATGGACGATCTCTCTCTCCCTCTCTCTCTCCTATCGTACATTCACGTTTGGGCCCATAAGCACCGTGTATCCTTAGTCGCTGTAGCATTACTCCCCCGTCGCCTTTGCTGTCCACCGTCTTGCTTAACTCCTTTCTCTCTCTCTCCCTCCTTCTCTTAGCCTACGAGCATACCTACCCCCTATTGGCGTTCGCCCTAGCCCGCGACCGTCTTCACGGCCTTTCGATGTTCTCGCACGTGCCAGATGCCCATTACAACAACGAATTATGTGTTATACGCCCGTCCTCCTCGCCTGTAAGATCGTTTGTACTTTCGAAGATAATCATAAGGGGTCGTGGCGAGCTAAGTAGGGCTTGCGTGCGTGCACCTGGCGCAGCCGGGGCATCCTCGACGGCAGCTCGATCCGCGCATAAAAAGCATCTCTGGTGCGGGACAGACGGGTCCGGTATAAAGAAAGAAAACCCGAGTGAAACATGGGAAAGACAGAGTGCGGGGGAAAAAAGAAGAAAAAAATTATGGATAGGACAGCAGAGCAAACAAGAGGTATGTAGCAACGACGCAAAGCTATCGACTGCGATCACGACGAGGCGTAGAGCTTGACGACGCCGTCCGCGCCCGCGCTCGCCATGAACGGCAGCGACGGGTGGAACTGCACGTCGAGCACGCCCTCGTGCGCCTTCTCCCGGTGGCTCGTGATCTCCTGCACGCACGCGCGCGTGCCGAGGATGTCCCAGAAGCGGATCGAGCAGTCGTGCCCGCCCGAGAGGAGCGAGAAGCCCGCCGCGTCGATCGAGAGCGAGGTGACGCCGTCGAGGTGCGCCGGCATCGAGTGCGTGCATTGGCCTGAAATTCAGAAAGAGGCGCGGGCGCGTTAGTGTGCTTGCGCAGCGCGTGGAGTCATTCCTACGCATAGAAGAACGGCACGGACCTGTTTCGATGTCGAAGACGCGGATGTACTTGTCCTCGTGCGCGGTGACTAGGAGCGACATCGTAGGATGCGAGACGAGGCTGTTCACCTGCGACGAGGGCCCGTCTGCAGCAAAACGCACGACGCGCGCGGTGAGCTCCTTGATCAAGACCCTAGAGCACCCACGAGGACGGGCTCACCGTGACCGGGCTCGCTCTGCAACCGCATGAGCTCCTTCCCCGCCTCGATGTCGAAGATCTTCACGACCGCGTTCTGGTACGCGACGGCGACCTTCTTGAGGTCGACCTTGATCGCCTCGACGGCCGTCGCGCCCGGCATGCCCTCCGTCTGCTCGCCCTCGTGGTCCAGGCCGTAGTACGACCACGATAGCTTGAGAGCGCCGCCCGCGGGCCCGCTCACGTCCCACACCTTGACCGCGCCCTCCGCGCCGCAGCTGATGAGCGTGCTCTCGTCGCGCGCGAGCGCGAGGTCCCAAACCGCGTCCGTGTGCCCGACGAGCTCGCCGCGCATCCGCGTGCGGTCGAACGGCGCGTACGTCGTGTGCGCGGCTGGCGGGAGCGCCCACACGCGCACGGTCTGGTCGAGCGAGGCGGAGTAGAGCAGCTGGCGCGACGGCGCGATGACGAGCCGGGTGATCGCGGCGGAGTGTCCGCGGAGCGTGAGCCGCGGCTCCACCTCCGTCACGAGTCGCGCGCTGTACATGTGGGGAGAGGGGTGAGCGGCATTAGTGTTTTTGCGATCAGCCAGGGGAGGGTGTGTGCGGGGCGGGGCGAGATAATTATACGCACGCGGATGAGGCGAGGCCGGCGACGTCCATGCGCCATATTTTGACCGTACAGTCGTCGCCGCCGGTCGCGAGACAGAGTTCTGTGGGGTGGAACGCGATCGCACGCACGGCGTCCAAGTGACTGAGAGGCACATCAGCAAACGGGTTCACACGCTCAGATTCTAAAGGAAAAAAAAGGGAGAGACGGAAACGGAAACGGAAGAAAGAGCGCATCGATCGGACGGGCCCCCAAAATAAATCACGCAGCGACTGACTTTCTCAGCGTCCGTTTCGGCTTCCACGCCTTGGCCCCGTTGCTGTCGTCCAGCGCGCCGGACTCGTCCTCGTCCACCTCGCCTTCCTCCTCCTTGCCCTCGTCGTCCGCCTCCTGGCCCACGCGCGGATCCCACGAGGCCGCTCCACTCGCGACAATGGTCCCTGCCTGCGCCGCGTCGTGGGCCATCTTCAGCTTCGCGCGCCACTCCCCTGCGTCATCTGGACGGAAGATCGCCGTGACCTGCTGTGCCTCGGCCGCGTCCCTGTCCTTGTCCGCGTCCTGGCCCTGTGGCTGCGGGACGGGCTGTCCCGCTTGCTGTGGTGGCTGAGACTGGGGCTGGAGCTGCTGCTGCTGATAGGGGTGACTCATGGTGCCAGAGAGTGGCGGCTGGGGCTGCGGTTGCACCGGGACCATGCCGGGACCCCCTCTCGGAGCGGGCGAGGAGGACGGGAGGATGCTCATACCGTTGAGAATGGGAAACTCCTTGCCGACCTCGGGCATAATTTTGCGTGGGCGCGCGCCGTAGTTGAGCTGCTCGAACGAGGGAACGTTGGGGAGCGTGACGGGGAGCGCGGGGTTGGCGAGCAGCTGGCGCGTGGGGAGCGGGTTCATGGCTTGGTGGGACGTCAGATACGATATTTCCTGTAGGCACCTAGGATGAAACCGAACATAGAGTCAGCATCTGGGGTCGCGAGGCGACGGGGAGGGACGCACTGCTTGAGGTAGTCGCGGCTGCGCGCTCTGCTCTTGGGATCGCGCCCAGGCGGAGGCTTGCCCACGGTGGCGGCGGCAGCGGCGGGGCCGTTCGTGCCGACCCAGTTGGAGGTGGCTGTGGCTGTCCACGCGGACGGGCGGCTCTGGGAAGGATTGCCGTTCGGTATCCGAGTGTCGGGAGGCAGCAGGGAGTCTGGGCGGAGGGAGAACGAGCGTCAACGACGACGGTGCTCGAGATATATGCCACAGGGTGTATCGCGACGGGGGAGGGAAGAGAGGACGGACCTTCGCTGCGGGGCGAGCTGCCGCTGCTGCCCTCCTTGTTGGAGAGCACGTCGTCCTTCTGGGACTGCGCGCCGGGCTGCTGTCCTGGGACGGACTTGGGGGCGGGCTGGGGTTGCTGGGAGGAGGAGGCGGCGGGCTGGGTGAGCTGCTTCGATCTGGGGGGCGGGGACACGTCAGTGTCAGTGTGGGGAAGGGCGCGGGCGGGCGGACGGGCGAGAGGAGCGACTGACCGCTCGACGCGGAGGGCGTATTCGAGCATTTTGATGCGGCGCATGAGGTCGACCTTGATGTTGTCAAAGGAGCGGCGCTCGCCCTCGAGGAGGGCGATGCGTGCCTGCAGAGGTCGGGCGGTGGGAATGAGCATTGAACGAGGTCAGCGGGGCGGGCGGGGACGTACGCGCATCTCGGCGCGCTCGATCTCCCACTCGTTGCGGTCGCGCTCGTAGCGGCGCCATTCAGACTGGAGGAAGTGGAGGACGTTGGAGAGGGTGAAGTCCTGGCCGTTCAAGGGGGGCGGAGGGATGTCTGCGAGGTGCTGCTGCTGTTGCTGCTGTTGCTGCTGCGGGTGCTGTTGCTGTTGCTGTTGCTGCTGCTGCTGCTGCTGCTGCTGCTTGTTTGGCTGGACGGAGGCCAACATGGGGATCTGTATGTGGTGGGGGTGGATGTGGTGGGACGGGAAGGGCGGGAGGAGGTCCTGGCCGGCTCTGGCTCGCGACGGCGCGTTGGCGAACATCCTGCACAAACAACGTTACAGCCACAGCCGCTGGCAACCACTCCTCTGCTCGAACAACGCGGGCGCGGTCGGGGGGGATGGCGAGCACACCGCTCGACTGCCTCGTTCCTGCTGTGTCTCTTCAATTGGGCCAGGCCCGCTCCCGCTCGAGATCTCGCTAGCGCACTCCGTTTTACGACATCTCCCTGCCCCGTGTTCACGCACGCACCGCCAATCGATGCAGCCCTCCGTGCTCATCAGGCGAATCGCGCCAACGTTCACTGCACCCGTCCCTCGAGGCACAGGACCAGTCTCTGACTCTCTCTCGGAACATACCAGGTCTCGCGCTCTCCATGCACACTCGAGCGCGGACATCGCGAGCACCAAGGATCGTGTTGCGATCCGCACACGCTGCGCGCTGTCCATGAGCGACGAGCCTCATTTCACGACCGGATAAGAGATCACGCCTGCGCACGCGCGCTCAGTGCTCACCCGCAATTTCAGTGCACCACCAACAGAGCAGCCCTATTAGATCGCGCAACGCATGCATGAATGATAGGTCGACGCAAATATCCAACAGCGAACATCTAATAGCACAACAGCAGCGCCCATCGTGCACCCCCGCAAACCGTTTATTTCTTCCCAGACCTGGCGATCGGCGAGAATGATGAGGGGACGAGTCCGACGCAGAACAGAGGACGCACTTCTTGATCCCGCCGCCGGGCGGGCCGCCTGCAAATCCCAGCGGGTCAGACCGATGACGATAACGAGCACGACAACAACGGCTGCGCGCATGTCAGGGAAGGAACACGCGCGACGCTTACCCTTCGTGGCTGTGTGTGCGCAAAACGCTCGATCAGCGGGGGCGGGGGGCGGGAAAAGAGGGCAGCATGTGCTTGCCTTTCATCTGTGCGGCCTTGAGCGCGGCGGCGTCCGCCTTTTGCTTCTCCTTGAAGGCCTGGTCTTCCTCGTCTATCTCCTTCTTGTCCTTCTTGGGCGCCTGGCGGCGGCGGCGGCAGCGGCGGCGGAGGGATTGGGGATAAGATGGAGATGGATGTGAGTGTGGGCTGGGGCCATGAAGAAGAACAAACGGACCTTGAGAGGCTTGAGTTTTCCACCTTGTCTGGACATCGTGAATGTGTTCGTGAGCGAGTGTGTTTGAGTAGAGCAAGTTGTGAGGACGAGGACGAGGACGAGGAGAGGATTTGCACGGCCACGTGCGAGCAACCCATCGGGATCTTATCTTATCTTATGACCCTTGGTTCGCCAGAGTGCGATCATCCAAAGCTCAGTAGTCTCTCAGATGTCCGCAAGGTGGCTTTCGGTCGTCCTCTTGCTTGTCTTGCTCTCCACAGGACCGTCCATGGGCCTCTCGGATCCTCAAGCTCGTTTTCAGCTTCACCAGGGCGACGAATGGACGGTGGAACTGTCTACGGAATGGGACGTGAGTCACCTCTAGTACGCCCATCCGCCCCCTGCTGAGATGCATCCACCGCAAGGTCCTGGGACCGTTCCCGATCCACGCCCGAGAACAACACTTCCTCTCTCCCTCCTTCCCGCTGAATCGTGAGCCCGATCCCCCTGCTTCATCCATCCGCCGTCTCATCCTCCATCCACACCAGTCTCCCAGCCCATCGACTTCCACAAGTCCTGGCCATCGTCCTACGCCGACGGCGGCCTCGTATCCTGGTCGACAGTCAACGCGACGGACTCGGCTTCCCCCGACCCCGGCAACCTCAAGGTCTCCTTCCCACACATACGGTGCGTACTAGAACCTCGTCCTCCTCACGCACGCGCACGACTGATCGAAGCCCGGTCGGAAGCACAGGTGGAGCGCCCTCCGCGCGACAGAGGGCTGGGCGGCGCTGCAGCACCACGCCGTGCTGCACACCACCCTCACCGTGCACGCCCCACAGCCTCTGTCAGAGTCCGAGTCGCAGCCCGAGCCCCAGGCCGTCCTGCCGAACCTCATCGTCACCCTGACCCAGGGCGCGTTCTTCACCATCCTCCCCGCGCACGATGCCGGGTCCTCGTTAGACTCCGCCATCGTGCCGGAGTGGTACTCCGGGAACATCTACGCGATGGAGCGCGCCCCGCCCAAAGCCGTCCGCTTCCCCGCGCCTCCATCCGCGCGCGGATCGACGACGTACGACGTGTTCGTCAGCGGGGACTACGAGGTACTCCCCACGCAGCAGAGACGAGCCTTGCCAGTGGCCGCCCTGACACCGTCCCCCGCCCGCTCTAGATCCGGCTTTTCGGCGACCCCACTGCGCGCGGCGAGGACACCCCGACGCTCGACATCACCATGACCGCGGCGCTCGAGCCGCCGGGGCCTGTGCCCGTCGTGCGCCAAGCCACGCACGACGTCGCGTGCGACTTTGTCGACGGGTTCGCGTTCGGCGACGCGCTCGGTGTCGGCCTGCGGAGCGTCGCGGGCTGGTGGACGGTCGACGCCGCCGCCGTCCCGCACGGCGTGCGCGCGCAGGTATCGCAGCCCCTCCGGCTTCCTATTTGTTTCGTGCGGCCTTGCGTGCGCTGACATCGCTCCCTCGATCGCCGCGCAGGGACTCGACGTCGCGCTCGTGCGGCCGCAGATGACTATTGCCCCGGGCCAGACGCGCATCGTGCCCCTGCGCATCGCGCAGGACCCGCGCGCGCCGTTCGCGGGCGATTCGCTCACCGTCGAGCTCACGCTGGCGTCCGGGACGTCGAGGACGACGGTGTCCGCGACGCTGCCCATCCGGCACCGCGCGCACGCGCTCGACGGACCCCGCGCGGGCACGGGCACGGCATCGGAGGCCCTCGTGCAGGCGTCATATTTCTTCGCGGGCGCCGTGCCGACCGCGTTCAACGTGCTCTTGCCCCTGGAGCCGACGCCGAGAGGCGAGCGGCCGCGCCCGCCGGTCCTCGCGCTCCGTGAGTCGCCTTGCCTGCCCCATTTCCATTTCCCCTCTCCGCGTGCGCAGAGCCCGAAAACTGAACGCGCGTGCGTGTGTGGCGCAGATGGCGCGGGCGTCGATGTTCTCGCTGATTCTTTCTGGGCGGACGCGATCCCGCGGCAGAACCTGAGCTGGGTGGTGATGCCCGCCGGCCGCACGTCCTGGGTGAGCTCGCGCGCGCCGACCGCTCGACGATGTGCAGCGCCTATCTGACGCGGGCGACGTAGGGACTCGACTGGCACGGGCCCAGCGCGCAGGACGCGTGGCAGGCGGTGGACGCGCTTGGGGCGATTCTCGCGCGCGCCGAGCGCTGGGGCGCGTGGCGACTCGCGCCGGACCCGCAGGTGCTCGTCCTCGGCCATTCGAATGGGGGCCAGGGCGCATGGTACCTCGCCGCGCGCTTTCCGGACAGGGTCGTCGGAGGTGAGCCGGGCCCCGCCTTTGCTGCTCGCGAGCGCCGGCGTGCTGACCGTTGTAAACTTGGAGCGCAGCGGTCCCTGCTGCCGCGTACATCAAGGCGCAGGCGTATGTGCCGCTGACGCAGTCGAGGTGAGCCGTGTGTGGACTGGACTGCGTGCGTTCGTCGCTGATCGTTCGCGCGTCTGGCACGTTGACAAGGTCGGCGCACTTCATCGACCCCTCGCTCCGTGCGCTCCTCGAGACGTCTTTCACGCCCGACGACAACGACCTCTTCATGTCGAACCTCGTCGACACTCCCATACTCGCAATACACGGGTACGCGTTTCCCAGTCCATCCGGTCGTTCACACTGATGTTGATTCGACGAACCTGCCGTCGTTGTAGAGGCAGCGACGAGAACGTACCGACTTGGCACACCAGGGAGCTGGTCAGCACGCTCAAGACGTGGAACCCAGCCGCCAACATAACGTGCGCTCCGATCCGCCGTCCCGCCCTCACAGCGACCCCGACACCGTCCTGACCTATCGTCCCCAGCTACCACGAAGCTCCAGGCGAACCGCACTGGTACCCATCCGTCTTCAAGAACGAGCAAGTCGCGGGGTTCCTGCGCTCGATCCTGCAGCCCGAAGCGCAGCCGGAGCGGCGATCCAGGTCGTTCACGCTCACTGTCGCCCTTCCGGCCGAGAGCGGACCCCTGCACGGCTGGAGGATCCTGACCTTGGCCACACCGGGCAGGTGAGCGCGCTGTGCCTTGCAGATGTGCATGCCCGCACCGCAGATGACGCCCATATATGCTCGTCACAGACTCGCGCGGCTAACTGTCCAGGAGCAAGACGGTGCCGTGTCCGTCAGGACCTCCAACGTCGCCAGCTTCTCGTTCGACGTCGTGCGCGCGCGCGTGGCATCCCTGAAGGTCGACGGGGCCGAGCTCCGCCTCCCTGATTCCAGCCTAGATGCCAAGGCGATCCACGTAAAAAAGACCGCCGACGGATGGGAGGTGAGTGCCCTCAGCCATCGACTCTCCGCGCGGCCTCTCACGTCGTCCCTCCGGAAGCCGCGCGCGCCTAGAGGCGCAGCGGCGCTACTCGCACCGCAGCCGTCCGGCCGCCTCGCCACGATCCTGCAGTCTGCTGGCCCGCTCACCATCGTCGTCCCCGCCCTCCACGCCTCCTCGCGCGCACTGTCCGTCGCGCACCGCCTCGCACACGACCTAGACGTGTACCATAAGCTCGACGCCGAGATCGTCGCGGACGGCGCGGCGCTGCAGCGCCTCGGCGCAGGCGAGCTGGGGCCGGGCAACGTCGTCGTCGTCGGCATGGGCGGCAGTGGCGACGCGGCGGCAGAGGGGCGCTTTGCGCGGCAGGTCCTCGGGCTCGGGAAGACGGCCTTTGGGATGGACGACGGGGCTATGCTCACGTTGAGAGGACAGCGTCTGGACGAGCCCTCGCAAGGTGAATCCGCTGGCACGCAGGGTCGCGTGAGCGGCGAGCGGCGCGAACTGACGCTCTTTTCCCTAGGCGCGATCTTCTTACATCCGCACCCGACGAATTCCTCGGCCAGTATGCTATTCATGATCGGGAGCGACCTCTCGGGCCTCGAGAGGATCGCGAGGCTGTTTCCTATCCGCACTGGCATCTCATTGCCAGATTGGCTGGTGATCGAAGGCGAGGCGGACACGTCGGGGGCTGCAGGCGTACAGGCGGCAGGGTGAGTTCTGTCGGACTATTGCGAGGCTGAAGACTCAAAAGCTGTTGAACGATTTTGAAGGCTATGGGACGCAGAATGGAGCTGGAAAGAGGTCGTCTCTTGGCACCATTAACGAAGCGTACGTAGGTAGTGTGATACAGGGGATATATAGGTGTAAGTACTCATCGTAGGACCTAAAAATCAAAGTTCGAGTCTCACGCGGATGCCTTTTAAACACGTTGACAGAGGGAATGATGGTACAATACAGTGTGTGATAGATAATAGGAAAGCCCAGAAGAGAATGCACGAATGTAGATGGGACAGATAGCGCGAGCAGAACTACGACAAGCGATTCTTTCATGACTGGAATATGGACCTCGCCACCTGAAACCGCCACCTACGTCAGCAAGTGGTCAAGAACTCAGGACTCGACGACTGACACTCTCGAGAAGTAGGGTAACCTCAGGCGCAGCCCGGATAAAATCTTTGCTCCAAAAGTCGTACTTGGGGTTGCGGAGAAGTTCGATGAAGGTGACCAAGGCACCCCACGGGTGAGGGCGATGAACAATGAACCTCTCCAACAAAACCTTGGTTACAACTTCACTGAACATATCGTCCTTCACTTCGACGAAGAGGTAGAGAACGAGTGAGCTAAACCAGTGGGTGTGCGCGTTGGGGTAACGAAGGTGTAAGACAATGGAGCTCAATAGATGGTGTTGACCTATCAGGAGAGTTAGCCAGGAAAGCAGGCGTCAAGAAAAACACTCACCCTCAGTGTCCATGCTCGTCGCCAAATATCTCAAGGCAACCACACCAGGGTCGCCAGCGTTGAACAGAGAGGAGCCACTCCTGGCCTTGGCTTGAGCTACCGAAGACACTCCGATGTACATGACCAAAGAGTTGATCAAAGACAAGTTGTAAGTCTCCGAGATTCCGTCCGAAGGTGACTGCTTCAAACGATCTTTGAGAGAAGGAAGGAAGGACGGTGAACCACGATTGAGGAGGTATTGATCGAGGTGAGTGCGAAGATCACCAGTCTTCAGCCCAGAGGTGAAATCAGAAAGGATAGGAGGTATAGGTCCCATTTCGGGAATCGAATCAAATTTGACATTACGAAGGTGCGGGTCGGGGAGGGTCAAGGTGGGGGGGAAGGCGCTAAGGACGATGTTGCGGAGTTGGATGCAGCGAGGCGGGATCATATCGCAGAGGCTGAAGTAATACTCGCTGAGGAACTCGGGAAAGTCGTGGAGAAGTACAAGAAGCAATCTCAGCGACCCGCGATAAAGGTCGCGGGACGATTGCTGCAATTCGGCAGACTTGAGGAAGGGAGAGAGGAACTTGAATAACGAGAGTAAGAGTTTGTAGAAGGCCGACCATCCCTAAATAATGAACATTTAAGCGCCGTGAAAAGATGTCCAGGAAAAGTAAAATTACCTCGCGATTTTCGGATAAGAGAAGTTTTGGCATAAACAGCCGATGAGAAATGAGACTCATCCACGAGAATGCAAACCCAGGGAAGTACGTCGGCTGCAACGAGCTGAAAGTGTCACTGCAATGAGGATGTGGTAAGTACCAACCAGCACTCACACCGACTAGAAACATACCTGATGGCAAGGAGTAGCTGGAAGTAGACTGATCCGAGATGACCCTCGATGGCATGCAGATCATTGATCAAGCTAGAGAAGAAGCGGAGGAAGGGTTTCTGTTGGAACGCGGGTCCTTGTTCCTCATGCATGTTAGCAAGCACCAAGACAAAGATCGAGAGAATCTTGGTCAGATAATGAACCTTCGCCTGGTCGTTGTTGACGCCGGATGCATCCCCGTGGTACTTGATGATGTAGACAATGAGCCTTGACATCGCATCCAAAGCATGGAATGCGTAGGCGTAGTCACCTGACGCCATGCACTTGAGATAGCTGTTGACGCTAGATTCTGCACACACTCGGAAGAAGAACGACGAGACGTCCTCGGCCTTCAAAATGCCCTGCTTTGTCAACTGAGTGATATAGGCGACGAATGACTTTTCCGGCGAATGAGAGCGCTGGAAAACGGTGACCCATTGCTGGAACCAGATGAAGAGCTTTTCACGAAGTTGTTGCGTCTCTGACTTATTGGCAAATGTGCGCGCGGTGACACCATCTCCAGCAACCTGCGAGGGTCGGCGAACACCCCTGAGATCTTCCAACAATCGGTGGGTCCTGTCGAGGCGCAGTCAGAAAGAAATCATAATGTTCATAGAAAATGGACATACTCGTCGTGTCCCTTCCCGGACTGAGCAATCTGCGTGAGGACCTCAATCGTGAACGAAAATTGACTCTGGGAGGCAAGGGGAGGGTCGCAAGTAAGGCATTCGCGGATGAGACCGGCAGCGAAGTTTTGGAGGCTTGGACGCTGGTCCCCGGATAGTAGCTTAGCCAACTGCTGATCCTGTTGAGCTATAGTGATCAAGCCACTGCGAAGCAAAGTTACGGTGACCGGGATGTTGAGCTTGCGCTGATCGGATGATGCGTCAGATATGCCTCGACAAACTGGAAAGAACACAAACCCACCTCGTCATCGGCATATATTAACCAGGTGATCGCCTCCTTCGCCACATCTTCAAACGAGTGACACAGCTGATCCAATAGGGCCACATAGATATCCCGGGCCAACTGAGAAGGAGTCTTGTACAGAAGTTGAACAATCTTCTGCGAGATTAACAGCGGTGTGCGGTGGCGATCGGGAGACTCTGCAGCGAGGTAAAGGATTTGCCTAACCAAGTGACGAACTTCGTGATTGGACGCCAACGCAGCAAGAGACTGGATTGGGAGTTGAATCAAAACAGCCTCTAGCTCCTTGACCAAAGCCTAGAGCAATGTGAGTGGATTGTACAGTAAAAAGATACACCACTTACACCGAACCGGTCCATAGCTTCCTGATGAGACGGCACTGTTGGTACTGTGAGGGGCTGATCCATGACCGGGGACGAAGGGTACATCGCTGAAGACAGTGGATCATGACGAGAGTATGACATAGTCGACGACGGCCGACTCGCCCAGCGACGTTTTGTGTCCAAGCCAGCTTCCAAAAACATAAATCTATGCACAGTGCCTAGATAATCAAGCTTGCTCACCGAAGTCTTCATACACGCCGATCTGATTTGGCTGAACTCCGCTTGGTTTAATCCTGAGAGGATCCGGTAGAGTTTGAGAGAAGTTGGAATTAAGCGCAGCGCTGTCCCAAAACATCTGACCCCGATTTGTCTGTGAAAGAGTGCATAAAGAACTTGAATGACATGGTGCATTGATTTACGAACCTGACGATGACGTCGCCGAGCTTCATACGCAGGAGCAAAGCTTTCGTCCACATCGGCGATAGCACGTTCCATGGCTGCCTTCTCGATGGCTTGGCAGGCCAGGTCGAGATTCTCTTGAACGAGCATCACAACCACCGGGTCAGGGATCATTTGCTATAAGCTTATGTCAACGCTGGACCATATCCCATGAAATTGTGCAGAGCGCACCTCACTGAAACCGTGTTCAATCAAAAACTGGCGCATATGGCTCGACAGGTTGCTTCGCAGCGGCTCCTTGCAGGTGACGAGGGCAAGGCTTCCAGCTAGCTTTTGTGCCATGCTGTGCGCTGCTTGACGCAGTGTTTCCTCGTTTCCTTCCGTTGCAAAGTCCTTCGCTACAAGTTCGCGGGTCGAGATGCCCGCAATCGTCACAGAACGTTCTACGACGGGAAGGATGATCTAGTGAGATAAAACGTCAGCGTCCGAGTTTGCGTTCGTGTGAGATATGTCAAACTTACCTCTCGCACAGACCGATCGACAGCCAGTTGAACAGCGCGTTTGAAGGTGTGGTTGGTGGAGAAAGGTGCGAGTTGAGCGTTGACGGTGACATGCTGAATGAGATCCGACAAGATGACTTCGATTTGAGATCCAATTACACGCTGAGCGTCGGTAGCATTAGCAGATCCCAGGGCCAACAACGAAGAGCCGCCTTGCATATGGACGGATGGATCGTAGCCGCCCATGGGCAAGGAGTCTATGTCGCCAACATAATCGGGTAAACCAGGCCCTGACATCGGATCGCCGAAAGGCCTACTACGCAGGACCGCGGTGGCTTCGACGGTATCGAGATCGATGTCCAAGCTTTTGCAGAGCACTTCGATTTCAAACTTCATGTTCAGCTTTAGTTCCGCATAGTGGTACAATTCCGCAAGCAAGCTGACGACCGCCATAAGCCAAGGGTTCGGAGGTCTAAACACTTTCGACTTCGCCGCGGGCTCCAACGTTTTGCAAACGAAAGGAATGGCGACAATGAGTCGACCGTTGTCATAACCCTCGACGAGCAGCTCCTTGAAACCTAAGTTCTTGTGCTTGATCGGTTTGTCCCGGGCTAGCGTGATGGTTCCTAACCAAGAGCCCATGTTCTTGAGAATCGCACGTTCGGAGCTCGACTGCATCGTTTTTTCCGCGTTTAACAAGTGCGCCGATTTTGCAATCGTCTCCTGGAGGACAAACTTCAGAAGAGTCCCTTTGTCGAGAGCGTCCAAGAACCGAAGGTATAGCTGATGATTGTTGGGCTCCGTGCTGACACGCTGATCGACAAGATAGTTGGCAAACCATCGAGCATAGTCATCTTTGAAGGAGCCCTTCATGTCCTCCAACTTGCTGTCAAAGTTTGTTGGGGCCAGATTGTTCACAATGAAGAGAATTTTGTCCGAAACCTCTTCCGGAGGCGGCTCCAGGGCGTCGTCGTACTTATCGGGTTTGATGGAATTAAATACAGGTAGGGGTTCCGCGGGAGCAGTGGAAAGGGCTCTCATATCCGCCGGGTTAATAGAGCTGTCGTTGGCGTTGGCGAGGGCTCGCTGGATGCTGGCAGCGAGATCGGGGCGAGCTTCCAGCAGGTGGGGTATGCTGAGCAGAGCCTGGCATAGAGGCTGCCACTCTGAGAGACGGGATTCGAATCGCGACAGCGCCTGGATACCGAATTTGAAAAGATTGGTCTCCGGAGAGCAATTCAAGGCATCGATGACATATCGGATGGCGATACCAAGAGGGATGTAGTCAACGAGTTCGTACTGGATGATGGACCCAAATAGGTAGCCAGTCATGGCCAATTCCCGAGGAGGGTACCATGTTTGGAAGAATTTATACTCATCAAAGAGAAAGTGGAGCATGCAAGAAAAGATTTCGTGGTCGCGGGAATTGGATGAATTCTTGTTGCGCTGCAGCATGGCGATCACCTCGTCGATGGTTATGTGTTCGTCATACATCTGCTTGAAGATACCATCCACCTCAACCTCAATGTCCGATGCATATGTGACCACGGAGAAGCCTGGCTCGGCATCAGAGCCAGGAATCAAGTTCATCAGGCGAGGGTGTATCTGGAGGCAGGCGTTGCGGACTTCAAGGCAATAGTCGACGTCGTTAGGGTGCATGATACTAGCACTGTTCGCAAGCGTGTGAGTAGAATGTCGGCACAACAAGTAGAATACTTCTCACCTGTTACGGAGGACGCGAAGAAATATGGTAATCGTCAATGGATTCAGCGTCATGGTCCGAGAGTCAACTGCCGCCTCCGAGATCCTGGTTGCTTTCTCGCTCTCCATTTTTGTGTCCAAGAACGCGATCACGTCGTGGAGGAAGTCCGCACCATGAGCCGTAACATTGTCTGCCAACCACTTGTCGAGATTCAGATATTCTCTTCGAGAAGCCAAAGCCGCAACATCAAGCGCAAAAGCGAAAGGCCGGACATCTAACAGAGCATCCAAAATCTGGGAATATCGTAAGTAACAACGATCGATGCTTTACGAGCGCATTTACCTTTAAATCTTGTGCAACATCCAAGATTCTGGTGATGTTAAGAGGACTGTCCTCATAGAAATCGCGGAAAGCGTTGGTGAGGTAAGTTGGTTGAATCTGCCAAATTCGCATGAAAACTAATTGGTGATTAGGGTGTCCAGCCAAGAACATATTGAGGAGCTTCTGAGAATATTCCAGCCGGATTTCGTTCCAGGACAATTGCTGATACATATGTCAGAGCGAACGCTTCAATCGTAGAGAAATTGTACTTACAGGAGCCTCAAGCAATCCCATGTGAACTAACTCCGCGCTTATGCGGACTGCTTTGTCCAACATCTCCCGCACGAAATTCCTTATATCAGCGGAGTCCGAATCCGCCAGGCGGACCAACACTTCGAAAAGATCCAAGGAGTTCCAGGTATGACCCTGGACGTTCGCAGCGAGGGCCTTAATCGTTGGGCTGGCGTTAGTAACATCATCCATCGTAACAATTCGCCGACCAGGCAGCGTAACAAAATTAAAAGTGTCGGCTGGGAGAGAAAGGAGAGCGTCCAGAAGGCGTAATTGATACAAGGAATTAGACCACATTGACCAGAAACCAGTCACGGCATGTACTTCAGCCTCGCGAGGACTGTTCAACAAGATGGCAATCAGCAGCTTGAGAGTCGCTGTATCAACACCATTGCGATCCGGGATGTCGAATGCTTTGATGGCATTGGCCCAGTTCAAAGGGACAGACTGCGGAAAGCGTCAACATGCAAACCAGCCAATGAAGTGATGACAGCTTACATAACTACTTAGGGCTCTAACAAACGCATTAACGTCACCTAGAGTCGAGCCCTCCGCCGCTTGCCGAGCCAATGTCGACATGTACTCGATGACTTGGGCGTCCCGTGGAGGGTTGGAGTCGGACACACCGAACCGAAGCAATAGTGCGCGTACAGTGTCTACGTCATTTGTAATCTCAGGCCCAAATTGATTGAACGCCTGAACGAGGGTCGTGCCCGGCGGTAGACTTGAACAGACGTCATTTCGAGAAGACCGGAGTGATAATCGAAGCATTCCTACCTCAAACGCGGAAAAATCTGGTGCAACATGGGCGCAACCGTCTCCGACCCATACTTCGCCTGTGCCGCTGCGATCAGCGCCTGTCTCTGGGTCGCGTCCAGCGTCGGCGACTCGAGCGACGGCGCGACAAGAAGGTTTGACAACAACTTCGCGACCTGCGATGGCGACAAGTCCGCGTGATCGAAAGAAGGGTGCTGACACAGGGACAGCACGGCGTTCTCAAAGTCTACACGTATGATGGTAGATGCCTGTTGAGAGAGCTCTCTCCGTGTGGGCGCAGACACAATGGACGACGCCAGCACGAGCCGCTCGAGCGGGCGCAGGCCTATACGATCCGCAAATCGCACGAGGTCGAAGTGCCGAAATATATCCCCTTCACCCCGATCGAGCCCATCTCTAAAACGATCCGCGAGGAAAGGGTCGCGCGCAAGACGCTGTGTTTCTTGAACAAGTAGGCGGAACGTGAGCGAAGTTGAGGTATCGAACGCGGAGAGTGCGGCAGTCGAAAGGAGTCGGGACTGGGAGTGGGCTATGAGGCGGCGGATGAAGTGGAGGTATGTTTCGATCCCATGCTGTTCAGACAGCTGCAGCGGGCGGTAAAAGAGGGCGGTAAGGTCGCGTGTCGTAGGCAAAAGCAGTGCGAAAAGAGCAAGATGCACGTACCGAGCGGATCTCGGCTTGGTTTCGCTCGAAGTTGTCTTCGGTGAGAGTGGAGAGAAGAAAAACGATTTGAGCCTTGACGATCGTGTGTATGTTGTTGTTCGGAGGGTTGTCCATGACGGGGGTTGGTGCAGCTGGAGCCTCCGTGCGTCGACCACTTCCTCCGCTGCCAGAAGTCGCTCTTATGGTTGAGAAGGGAGGTCCGTAAGGCTGAGAAAAAGACGCAGGCCGTCTATGACGGCGAGCACAATGTCAAAGGCTACTCAGGCTCTCCGCCGTGTGCACCTACGCGCGGACTGTCTGCACTCATTTCCAATCTCCGCTTCAATTCCAGTGGCTAAGCTCTAAGAGCTATGTTGCTTGTCGGCAGGTTTGCTTGTTAACGGGTCCTGCAGAGTAGGTCCTACTGTAGTGGTAGTCCCTGGACTCATGAAACCCAATTGACTCGTTCGCGAGGCTCACGGTCCCCTTCAAATAACCTCTCATTAACCATTAATGCTGTCTGGTATCATCCAATAATACAAAACTACCTAGAAACGATGTACAAACCTATTCAAACCCTTCCCTATTGATAAAGTGCCAATAACCCGGAGAACAAACAAATCGAAATGGCGAAGAGCCGGGGACTCCATAACGCGGCATCGTTACTCTGCGCAGATTGTGCCTGTCGTGTAATTTGAGGCGCGTACTTGCACATCGCAGCGCCCTTCAAGATCGCATCTGGTACCAGGATGACGGGAACACCGCCCTTAGTATACTCAACTTCCACCGTTCCATTGCTACCAACGGCCCATTGGGTGCACGTGAAAATGCTGAGGGTGCAGAGTTATTCAGGATTTGTGTCAACGTATAAATGGAGGGCTTACTCTGTGGAAGCGAAACTATTGTCCCAAGGCGTGTATGCCTTGATGCTGATATTCGCCGGCTGGCATTTCCCGTTGTGAGTCTGTCAATATTAATCGAGGGGGATTGAACAATGCGTACCGGCGAACCAATGTTCGTCAAAATTGTGATGACGTTTCCTCTCATGATAGAAATACCGTCAGGCTCGGTCGTCAATACTTGTGTTGTAGAGTTCAACCAGCTTGTCTGAACAAGATAGTTGCGAAGCTGCATTGATCGACGTGAGCAAAAGAGGACATAACGGATGCCCAGAAGAACGGATGGCATTTCAGCCTACGTGCCTGGTTAAGAGTGGCGGTCATGTTGTACGCCGTAGTCTTCTGGTAACCTGTCGGCCACAAAGCTTCACGGTTGAACTGGAGAAACAAGTGCTCAGTAGATGGCAGGTCATGTCACGGATGCACATACAGGATCAGCAGCACCGCTAAGACTCTGCTCCTGGCCGTAGTAGACGATCGGAATTCTGCTCGAAGATCAATCGCACTCTCAGCGGAAAAATTCGGGATACATACCCATCCTGAGAAGAGCACCAAGTTAGTGTTTCACTTGAGCAAAGATAAAAAAGACTGCTTACCGACATAAAATTAAAGGCCATTGCATTACTGTCATCCGATGAGCATGCCGAATCTACCAAATTCCAAGTAGGAATATATACTCACTAAAGCGATTGAGGATCGACGGAAAGATTATGCCAGCGAGGAAGATCCTGGTTCTCCAAGAAATTGCCTAACACGGAAGTGTCCTACAGAGGTAATATTGGGCAAGGACGAAACACACTTCGAATGTATCCACTTGCCTTCATGCTCTTCTGCAAATGCTGGAGCATGAGCGTGACGGCCGACATGTTTCCTGGACCCGGGATGCTAAAGCCTTGCACGAGGGCATCGTACATCGGGTAATTCAGGATGGAGTCCATCGAGTTCTGGTACGTGGAGGCCAAACTTTCATTGGACGTCAGAGAAGGAATCCTCGTGACAAGTGAGTCGCGGTGCACTTACGCGACATCGTCACCAAAGACCTCGCCCATGCAGAACACGCCAGCTTTGCCACAAAATTGTGGCCAAAATTCCGGTTTCACGTGTCTGGACCCAAAAGTTGACGAGTCACAATGGAAGCAGAGGATTCAGGTGCTTACTTAGCGGCTAGAATATTGCTATCAGCTGGAACGGTGAGGAATACACGCCGAGAGATGCTCACCATCAATACGCAGACCATCGATCCCGTACTCTTGGACAAGAGACTGAATCCATTCTCCATAGGCAGATATCACCACTGGGTCCTCGGTGTTCACGTCAGGCAGCGCGACCTTGGTGTCGCCAAGCCAACATTCTTGAATGCTCGTGATGTTGTTCCAATCCACGGGACAATACGGGTGATATTGAGACTCGTCAAACGTTTCAGCATGCGGCTCGTACGCGAACAGGCATGCATGCAACCGACCTGATCCTTGAACATATACGTGGACAAATCAGGCGTCGTCGATGTTGCCATCACGTTATTCGCAACAACGTCGACCATCAGAAACCTTCGAGAGATGGAAGCTTCAGTTGCGAGTACGCCAAGGGGGCAGATCTGCTCACATGTTACGGCGGTGCAGTTCATCAGAGAGCGCCTTCAGATCGTCAGAAGTGCCATAACGACTGTTCAGCTTGGTTGCATCTGCGACCCAGTAGCCGTGGTAGGGATCGCCGTACGCAGTGCGCGGGCCTTCGTAGTTTTGGGAGACGGGACTGATCCAGACTATATGCGCGTAAAATGCTCTCAATCACGGTCGGCGGGCAAGACAGCGGTGAGCGGCACTCACTGGCGGTGAACCCGGCATCTTGGATGTAGTCCAGGTTTTCACGGATGGTGTTCCACGTCCCTCCGCACCAGGTCTGCTGGCCAGGATCACACGCATTAGTATTTGCCCCGGAGGGGAGAGCGTAACGGTCCGTGATTATTCTGCGCGACTGTTAGAGCGACAGGAGCTTCCCTTGTGAAGGTGCGTACTGGTATATAGACCGGCCTCTCCATTCGGCCGCGGTTGCGGCGAGTGCAGAGCCCATGAGGGAGAGAACGAACGACGCAGTAAGGGCATGCATTATGAACCGGCAAGGGTACGCCGAGGCTTAAAAATGAGTGTAGTGTCGGGAGGTGACTAAGTCTGATATTAGAGAGCGTAGACGAGAGGGAGCGACTGAAGGGGCCCTTGACCAGCACGGACTACGCTTGCGACGGTGTACCGTGTTGGCAGAGACGTTGGGAGAGTGTGTGCAAGAGGTAAAAAAGGGCCCTGCCAGGAGAGTCGGAGGCGAGGCCATATGTATTTCTTGATGTTTGGATCATGTGTACACCGAAGCCATGCAACCGTTCCGTCGGCGAGTGGCAGCTATTTTTGATTAGCCTTTCGCCTCCTTGGTGAAACGCTGAGTCCGCCTCGGGATCAAGTACACAAACGGGACTCCTGCGGTCGTTTTCAGGTGCTCTAGCAGAGCTCCTGCTGATTCCTGTGGGATTTCAGTGCAGATGTGGGGTAAGTATTGGATATAACCCTTTAGTTGACAGATCTGCGGTGGCTGTCTGGGGCTGTCTGGGGACTGCCAGAGGGTGCCCAGTACGTACCGATTGCATTTTCGGCAGTAGAGCACCACGTGGGAACGATGTAGCAAGTGAACCCGATTTGGCGCTCGCCGCTACGACCGCAACATACGTACTGTACACCAGTCCGTACACTCGACGACCGGCACATTCGAACCCATCTCGAAGCTCTTCGTTGCTGCAAGTTGGCAGAAGTCGGCTTGCCTTTGACGCGTAATACCTGTTGACCTCTCTTGGTAAGACGCACAACGCGTTGATCGCAGAACCGCATGTCTAGTCACCTTGAACCTCAGTCATTCACAAGGTTTGGATGGGTGGTCTGTGCATGGGTTCTGGTGGTTTCATTCCAGGTATGATCTCTGAAGCAAGACATCTCTCGCGAAGGCATCCCCTGCCCAGAATCTGAACTCATTCTTCAAGTATGGCTACCACATTTCCACGCTTAATCAAATCCAAGCCGTCCTCACATGCAGGGGACGCGATGCCTCCATCCCATTTTACTACGGCCTCCCGTCATGCATACCCATGTCGGACAGCACCTTTTCCGTTGTAACCTCAGTGTTCACCGTCGGTGGCCTCATGGGCAGCTTGGTCGCAAATCTTATTCTGGACCGCTATGGCCGCAAGGGCGCTGTGCGAGCCAGTGGCGCGCTCTTTGCCCTTGGTGCAGGGTTGATGACCATCTCGGCATCTATCGGCCTTCTGATGTTTGGAAGGTGAACGGTCCTGTTTGCTCGAGGATCCAAGTGGGAGCGCTGATCCCGAATTGCAGAGTGCTAGCAGGCGCCGGTGCTGGGATCGGCCTCTGTGTTGGCCCAATTTATCTGTCGGAACTGGCACCTCCGAGAATCAAAGGCAGTGTCGGTGAGGGTCACTCGCACACACGGTGCTCTATGCTGTGATGTTGATAGCATGTGTGCGCGAAAGGTGTTCTGACGCAGCTCGCCATCGTTATTGGCATCATGGTCACACAAGCCATGGGGCTTCAGATGGCCACCCCTACACAATGGCGCTTCGTTCTCATGTTCTCCTCTGGCTTATCCGTCGCACAGCTCCTTGTCAGTCCGCTCGTAGTGGAAACTCCCGTTTGGCTGAAGAGGAGAGGGGAGCTGGCTGACCTCAAAGCGGTTGAACAACGCCTTTGGAAGTACGACGTGTCAGATGCTGACAGTAAGCTCATGGAAATTTACGAGGCGACTCGCTTGATTTGCAACAGCTGATCTGTATAGACTCTGCTGCTGATGTCGAAGATCCTCTGCTCGAAGAAGGCGAGGAAGAGGAGGAGGATCACCCCAGTTTGGCAGCGGAACGAACACATTCCGTATCCGTCTTCCAGCTGCTCACCGCTAGGCAGCTTCGTCGACCTTTCTTCGTCGCGTCCTTTGGTATGCTTGCACAGCAGCTGTCAGGCATCAACGCGGGTAACAAATAGCTCCCTCGCTTTCCACGACTAAGGGTTGTAAGTTGACCCTTTGATAGTGCTCTACTACAGCAACGACATTCTATCCAAATCTTTACCGGACATGGGACCCTACATCTCTTTGGGGATCACCATTGTGAATGTTCTGATGACAGCACCACCTATCTTCCTCATCGAGGTATCTGAAGTTGACACTCAACTCATCGAATGATGTTGATTCATGTGACATGTAGCGATGGGGACGACGGACACTTTTATTACTGTCCTCAGTGGGAGCCGTCTTGTCACTGATCCTCGTCGGCTACGGACTGGATTCGAGTGCGGTGACGCTTGCGAGCGTGGCCATTATGACCTTCGTCACGTACGTTCCAAAGAAACATATCAGTGCGGATCTTGCTCACGAGATTCTCACAGGTCGTTCGCTACAGGATTGGGTCCCGTTCCATTCGTCATCATTCCGGAAGTATCTCCGTCGAATGTATGCGTTCATTTCTCCTCCACACAGTACTCTCTGTGAGTTGGATAGTAGATACTGACTGCTCCGGTTATTCAGGCCGTGGCAGCCTTATCATCCGTAGCACTCTCACTTAATTGTAAGTTTATCCGATTCACTGAGGACGCATGATTGACCACATGATGTCCAGGGGTCGCAAATTTCTTCGTCGGCCTCGTATTTCTTCCCCTCCGGAATATCCTGTCTGGGGGTGATGTGGAGCGCGAGGGGAGAGTGTTCTACGTGTTTGCTGCTGCTCTGAGTTTATCGACATTGGGCTTGCTGAGAAGCTACCGGGGATAACATTTTCGGGGTTTTGTTCTTCTTGAGGGGATTTTTCAGTCTCATGATGAAATATCTTGGTGGTGGATGGCATTAATAAGGTCTTGCCAGTACTAGTCGTTTGTAGCATTTTGTTGGTCCGAGTCGAAGAAGTTCGAACAGATAGTAGTGACGTGATCCACTTGTGTCAAGGTCCGCGTCATTCAGTGCTTGTTCTTGTTGCACAACACATCTGCACCCCGAATATATCGACCGCCGCCCACCCACACAATATGACGACCATCACAGACATCCAGTCCAAGGCCCAGCTTGATGCTCTGCTCGAGCAACGGAAAGACAGCCTCGTCGTGATTGATTTTCACGCAACCTGGTGCGGTACGTCCTCCGTGCACTCTGCCATCGGCGAGTTTCCCTGAGTCAAGAAATTTGCGGCACACATCACTCTGTGTATAGGACCCTGCCATGCCATCGCTCCCCGCTTCAACGAGCTCAGCCGCGAGTTCACGAGCGCTGCCTTCGTGCGTGTCGACGTCGACCAGGTGCCCGAGGTGGCGCAGCAGTACTCCGTCAGCGCGATGCCGACGTTTTTGTTCATCAGGAACAAGGGCGTGGTCGCCACGGTGAGCTACATGCCCTCGTGTATAGGATGCCTAGAGACTGATTCATTGTCGACCTGTACAGTTGAAGGGAGCGATGCCTAAGCAGCTCGAAGATCTCGTCCTCGCTCACAGTCAAGCGCCTGCAGCCGCGTCTTCCTCTGCTGCTGCTGCTTCCTCCAGCTCTGGCTCAAATGGCGCTTCATCCGACGTACGTACTGTACGCTAATCCGCGATCGTCGCAGGGAGCTGATGGCTTCGCACCCTCAGCCATCACTGCTCGAGCATCTCGACCTGAGCCAAGTCAACTGTCTCAACGAAGCCGCAACCCATACCCTCAAAGGCATTGTCTCACAAAAGAAGTTTAACACCACCAAAGAATTTTTGTTGAGCGACGCCGATGAGCAGCTCCTCTTGAACATCGAGGTGTGTGTTCATCGTCGTCTTGTTCTGTCAAGCACAAGATAGTCAGTTCTGACGTGTGCGCAATATAGTTCAACCAGGTGGTCCGGGTGCGCTCAATTGTCATCCAGTCCTCAATCCTTGCCCAAGCACCAAAGAGCATCAAGCTGTTTGTGAATCGGCCGTCGCTCGGGTTCGACGATGTCGAAGATGCCCAGGAACCCGAAGCCGCTCAGGTATTGGAACTCACAGAGGAGCAGGTCAAAGAAGGGAAGCCTATTCAGTTGAGATTCGTGCGGTTCCAGGCAGTCAACAGTCTTCATGTGCGTTTTCCCTGCACGCGTGCGAACGATCACTCATACGATGCTCATGATCTGTGTATAGATTTTCGTGGCATCAAACCAAGGTGGAGAAGATGAGACGCGCATCGACGCTGTCGACGTTTTTGGTATTCTTTCGGGGTGTGTATTTCCGTTCGTTGATGTTAGATGGCATGAATCTGAATATAATTCACAGCGTTACGAGAGACCTTAGTGGCCTGAGGAAAACAGATGACTAGTGGATGTATATGACACCTTTGTATTTGATAGTCTTGTTTTGATCTATAGAGAAATGTCAAGATGACCGGCTATGCTTAGCGCTCAATGTGTCACCGCGGAAAGTACATGTCATTGTACGTCTCGATTTTTTTTCTTGCAAGATATCATAGGTTACATATGTCAAGATAATTAATACATTGGCAACTTGGAAGACCTCGGAGCACAAGCGATGGGCGGGCCAACTATGCTCGCCGATCGCAAACTTTCTTATGGCCCTTCCAATGCTCCTTCTGACAAGAGTAGTCACAGTACCTGCACAGTGCAATCGGTCAAGAGCAGATATTTAGTGGGACATCGACGAAGCGAACCTCGCTTTTTCGCACCCCTTGCATTTCTTCAAGAGCGCGCTCGGGTTTCTGCACCATGAACAACGGTAAAGCTCTACATCGCTGAAGTTGATCTTCGGATGAAGATATCCTTGATCATCTTCGTGCTGGTGGCCTCCCGCAATATCCGGATCTTCGATTTCGACCTTCTCGAGCCAAACGGCGAGGTCATCCTCGGCAGCGGCCGCAGAAATGTCAGATGGCATGGTCTCGGAGAACTGGGGGATGTGAGTATCCCACTCCTTCCACGCCTGTTCCATACGGTCGATGATGGTGGTGCACGTCAGGCGCATCTGGGTCTTGCTGATCGGACGTGAGAGGAAAGTAGAAAAATCGTCTGCAAGCTGCAGCTTCCCTTTCAGTTCCTGAACAGCGGGGAAACCCCAATAACAAGATAGTAAGATGAAGTCGATAAGTGGGCTGCGCAATTCTGACCTTGAGTTCCCTATTATCCGCGTGGAGTTCATGGCCTTTGACGAGGAGCATCGAGAGTAGGTTGATATACAAGACGCTCTTCATGCTGCGTGTATCCGGGGGTGCCTCTTGAATATAGGTGTGAGAATCTTCCATGGCGCACATGGCGAGCGCAAAACCCTCTGCCAGGTTATGCCCCACATTCATGGCTTCGTCCAATTTGGCCAACGCGAGGGTCATCGCGTGCTCGGCTGCTCGATAGATAAGACCAAACCGCACGTAATCGGACATGTTGGGGCACTTCATCCCCTGCTTTGCGATGCGGAGACCATCCACGGTGTCGGCACCCAACGTGAGCACGTAGTACCAAAATCCAACGTGTGGGCTGCGCTCTATGGCTTTGCGGGCCATGGCATGAGCTTCAGGCAGGCGAGACTTTATGATCAGATATTTCAGCTGGACAATGTCCGCCTTGTCTAGCTCGCCTGCGGAACCATGATCGTGAAGTGCTTTTGCTGCGAGCGGGAGTGAATCTATCCACCATATGAACGGCAGTCCTATGCTCCTTATCTCCCGCTTTCCCGTGCGTGGATCCTCCACCTCCCATGCGCCTTGACTGATGGAGTACTCCGTTCGAAGGATGTACTCCGCAAACTTTAGCCCGAGCGCATGAAAGTCACGATCTTTCGTGATGTCCGCCATCGCTACCTGGAAGTCGCGCATTGTGTTGACGAGCGTGTATGTTTCGCAGCGCGGCATGCCATAGTTCATCAGCACATCTGTGAGGTTGTCTGGCCAGCGTTTGCCAACGGCTTCAACATACTTCCTCGGATCCAGACGGGTGTCTTCAATTTCGTTGTCTTTATAGTATAGTCGTAGAATGCCACCAAGGCCCGTAGCCCGAGTACGAATGTCGGCATCTCTCGTACACGCGACAAGCAGGTTGACAACGCTGGGGATGGCGTGAAACTCTCTGTGGCAATGTTGTGCAGCACCGGATAGGAGCACAAGAGAATGATCAAAAAGCATCTGCGGTACTTGGGGCTTGCGGATGAAAGAGATTATCGTGCGAACCAGCCGCGGAACATGGACAAGTGGCAGCAGCTTAGGGTCAGGAGGTTGCTCGTTATTGGTGACGCTCGCTACACTGTGCGATAGCACTGTGATCGTTAGCTCAACCGCTTTCATGTCATGCGGCTGTTCATCGAGCAGTTGCAAGAAAACGGAGGTCTTTTTTGCGATCTGGAGACGGACGTCTATACCTCCATGATGGGTGACGGAGCTGAGAGCCTGTAGAGCAATATGACAGCATACGGGCCGATCCAGCAAGGGTATCACCATCGCCATGAAGTCTAAAGACAGAGGCGTCGACCTTGACCGCTCATTGAGAGATCACAGAAACATACCAGCTTCTTTGAAGATACGATCCCTTAGAATCGTGTCTGCGGACATTTTCGCGTAAAGTGCAATAACGGCTCCTGCGAGTCGATCATTCTTGCTGCTACGGGCGAATGAGTAGAGAAGGTTGAGAGTGCGCGATATATCGTCAAAATTCTTGTGCAGCTTCTTGAACCCGCTGCGGGTGACCATATCTAATATCAGAAGGGTGAAGCAAGACAATAGTGTAAATTTTTGCTGATGGTCTCTTTTGTCAAAGAACAAAGGATCGAGGAAGCGGAGGCGGAATCTCTAGTCACTTAGAGGAAATCGAGCCTTCAACCGTTCCAAGGCGCGGCGGATCACGATGGAGATTAAATGACATACCGGGTAAGTCAAGCATGGCACATAGAATATCTACAACATTGGACCATCCCTCTGCGTGATAGACGCTCTCTAAGAATTCGTCTGGAGGGACATATTCCGACGACTGAGCGCCTGAAATGCTAACGCGCGCGGGCTTGGGGCGGTTGGCTTTTGATTTTTTCTTCTTTGCTGAGCCTGGCATGGTGAGTGTGCAAAACGCCTGAAAAAGCGACCGTAAGTAAATTAGAGAATCGAGGATCTTTATACGTCAAACAAACCCAAATGCCTCTTTTCCCACGAGAAATTAAACGTTCCGTATGCAGCTACTAGCAGTAGTTCCATGTTTGTAAGCTTTATTCTAATAACTTGTTCCAAAGTCTGACAGTGGGAAATAAGCATGTTTCTGTCGATTATTATGCTTGTGCTACGGGGTGGCAGGCTGGTGTCGATCGTACAGCAGGGAGATACAGGACGTGCGAAAGTGTGAGAGTCGGTCGAACCGACTTGGCCGAAAGCGGTAATAAGCAGGTGTTGCTGGTCACCGTGCCCAAAAGGACTACTTGGAACTGGTTTTCCTGACTTTATCACCTCTCCGTCCTCGAACGCCGTTACCACAAATATGGCAGAATCACAGCGCAAGGAAACTGACGCCTTCTTCTCATTTTTCGCCTCGTTTGATCTTACCAGACCGGTGACGACCGTCTCCGACCTGAGCGATGGTGCCGCGCTCATCGAGATCCTTTCCACTATGTGAGAGCAGGTGTCTAAGCAATTCTGTTTCTTCGGCTGATCTCCTATATTCTATGAAATAGAGATGCAGAGTACTTCCGTCAGCCTACACGGCCTTCCGCTCAACCCTCGGACAACTGGGTCTTGCGATTCAGTGCCCTGAAACGGGTCTACCGTCTCATGACACAGTACTTCTCGGACGTCTTACGCCAACCCACAAGCGCATTGGACGTCCCAGATTTGCAGGCAATTGCAAAGGACCACAATGTTGCATCTACCTTGCTTATGTGCCGCCTCGCCATCGCCATCGCCGTGCAGTGCGAGAAGAATAAGGGCTTCATCGAAAAGATACAGGGATTGAGTGAGACCGATCAGCACTACTTAATGAAGGCCATCGAACAAGTGAGTATTGCATTGGCTTCGACAATGCGAGAGCTCGTAGTAACATCGTTGTAGGTCATGGTTAAGGTGAAATCGGCAGCTGGAGGTGGAAATGCTGGTGAAGCTAGTATGACCGAGTCAGTGCCTTTCTATCATGGTGGTCTATAAGTTGACGATCGGTGCAAACTTAGGGACGACCATTACTATCAGATCCAATCCGAACGTAGTCGCGTGCTAGCCGAAAAAGAGACCCTTGAGAAAGTGTACCAGACTCTATTGGAGGAACACCGCACTTTGCAGACCACTTACGACGATGCCGTCTCTGAAAAAAACGAGGCGCTTGCTCGTGCGCGGGAGGTCCAACGGGAGGTGGATAACCGGAGGAACGATAAAGCAGACGTCATGATGCGTGCTGAGATCGACCGGCTTCGCGTTGACCTGTGAGTAATAGTTTCTTCGCTTATTCGCATCGCATACTCAAGTGAGTCATTATGTAGTCAGAAGAGCGAAGACAATCTTGCCGTGGCTGAGTCCGAAGTTGACAAGCAGACAAACATGGTATCTGACTTGACGCGCAGAGTAGAGGAGTTACAAGTACATGCAGATGAAGCGGCGAGGTTGAAGGATCAAGTGGACGAGTAAGTTTCCTCAATGGTACAAAGGGTATATTGATGTTGATCCTCAATAGGTATCGTCACGCAGCAGACCGGTTAGCCAAGACCGAAAATGTAATGGAGAAGTATAAGAAGAAACTCCAAGAGGGTGCCGATCTACGACAGCATGTCAAGGTAAGGCCTTTGCCTAATCATATATCACTCGGTATGGATACATATCCTTTACAGTCACTAGAGAAGCAGAATGCGGATCTTGTGGATAAGAATGCATCGCTCGAAGAGGAGTACCGCAAAGTCGCGGCTTTCAAGCCCCTCATGGAGTCTTACAAGAGCCAAATCGTCGATCTGGAAGGCAAAGCATCGACGAGGAATAAGGAACTCGACACCTTGCGATACGAACTGGAGCAGACAAAGACAAAACTGCGGATCACAGAGGAGGAAAGGGCGAAGGATTCCGAGACGTTGGAGCTCTACCAGGAGCGTGTACGTGAGCTTGAGTTGAGCTCCCATCGTCCCATCCCGTCCGCGAAACCTGCAAAAGCTCCGCGCATCAGTGACGTGGCCACCGACGAAGATGGCATAGCCACAGAAGAGCCGCTTGACTCGCACGAGGAAGTGAATATGGAGGAGGAAGCAATCAGTCAAGGTCTGGGTGGAGAGTTGGATGATGCGCTCACTGGAACCACCATGACCGATCTCAAACTTCAAGTCCGCAAGTTGCAACGCGAATTGGAAGCCGCTAAAACCAACCATTCCGACTCGAGTCGTGTACTTGTGCTCGAGAATTTGCTCGATGATGCGAACCGGATGAAGGCGAGGTATGAGGCTGACTATCTTGCTGCACATCGGGAGAAGTTGGTCCTGCAAAATGACCTCGAAGAGATTCGCAGCGGAAAGGCATTGGGTGACGGGTGAGTATATTTCGTGTTAAGCAGGGCTTCCCTCTCATATTATGTTTCTATGTCCAGCACCGAGGCTGCCATCGCTCTGCGTCAACGCTTGAACGAAACAGTGGATCAATTTGACGCTTTGCGCAAGGAGCATGCAGAACTCGAGGTCAAGTGTGAAAGCATGACCAAAGAATTGACGATCGCTAGATCAGACTGTCAGTTGCGTCTTGTGATATGTCATAGTCTGATGCTCATCCTGTTCTTTGTCAGTAAACTTGGTCAACAAGGACCAGCTTGAGATTCTTGCTTCGTTGCGGGAGTCCGTCAATGAAGACAAGACAGGCTTGGAGGCCGAGCTCGATCGGATGCGCAAACAATTGAAAGAGGCTGCCGAGAAGAACAAGATGCAGTTAGAGCAGATCAACGGCCTGCTGTTCGAAAAGGTGAACCTTCAAAGCGACGGGATTGGCCAGCGGGAGAAAATGCTACAGCGGGAGCGTGACTTTGGGTCAGTCATTTGGCATCCGATCTATATGTTAGAAATTCACTAGCTCACCCATGTTTTCTAGTGAACTTCGTGCGGCCATGGGCAAGGATGTTCCTGAAGATGTCAAATCTCGCGTCCTTTCACAGCATGAGGATAACGTACAGCTGAGGGAACAGCTCAAGACTACTCAGGAAAAGCTAGTGAAGGCCCGAGCTGTTAGTATCCTCCGCTCAGCATCTTATATGGGAGGTGTATATTCTGATCGATGCACCTGCAGTTCATCAAGTCACAGGACAAGCTTTTCAAAGAAGAGCAAGCGAAGTTGACTGGATCGGCCCCACCTGTTAGTTCGCTCCCACAACCCTTGTACATTCGAATCGCTTATCGACGTCCCTGATCAGGGTACCTTCGACGAGGCGGAAGGCAGCATTCGTTCCAAGGTCAAGATCTTAGAAGAGGAGGTTGCACGTACAAAGGTCTTCAATCCTTGCTTCATTTCTCTTTGTTTTCATGCTCATGTTGACATATCACAACTGCTAGCGACTTCTCAAGGAAGCCAATATCCGATATCGCAAAGAGCAGGAGCTGCTACTGGGCGCGGTACATAATCTCGGGATGCGTGCAGCGCGAGACCATTTGGGACATCCGCAACAGCAAGGTCGTCTGGGACCCACCAGCTGGTTAGGGCAGCAGCGCAGAAACGTGCGTATCTATCCAATCACTGCCGGGAAGGCCACTGACGGCGCTCTTTCTTTCCAGTTTGGCTCAAGTCTGCGGCGGTGAGCTGGTACCGGCACATCGTGTTCATTTGATTTCTTTCTCTAGGCTGCAAAGAGTCTGGTATCGTCGGGAGGGGTCCGGGATTCTTTGATACCCTTAGCGTATTCTCATCTACATCACTGACTGCATCACCCATGTCTGTATCACTTATTCCATTTCACTCATTTCGGACTTTTGTTGGATATCTTCCTTAGTACCAAGTAGAACTGTCGTATAGAATCATGTTCACGCTCTTTCTGTTCTGTGCGTTCAACATATGTAACCGGTTACGCGTAGCCAGTGTGCCAGAGCCAACGAGTGTAGACATCGCTATCTTCGACCACATACACAGCAGCGAGAGATGACTCAGGCAGGAGGTTCTGTGATTACATTTCTGCAATAAGGACTGACTTTTCTCTTCAAACACTCTCATTATACATCTTCACACAGCTCGGGCATGAGCGACATTGATGCCTCGAAGGCCGACATGCAACTCTACAAACCAGTGGCGACTATAGCCTCGGCCGTCATCGACGGCTCGCGCCTCGAAGGCGGGGGCCAACTCGTGCGCAATGCCGTCGCGCTCTCTGCGCTCATGTCCAAGCCGATTATCGTGCAAAACATTCGTCAAAATCGAGTCCCCCCGGGATTGAAGAAACAGCATCAGGCCGGTACGTCGCACCCGCTCGTACCTGCGCTTGTCCTGCCCCGCCCACTCTACCGCGACCCGCGCAGGCATACAGCTTGTTGGAGAGATTGCGTCCGCGACGCTCGCCGGAGTACGCGACTGCTCTACAGAGATCCACTTCCACCCGGGCGCGCTGCGCCTCTCGCGCGAGTACAAAGCCGATTCAAAGACGGCCGGCTCGACCGCGCTCCTTCTCCAAGTCGCACTGCCCACAATCCTCTTCTTCTCGGCTCCCACATCGCCGCCGACACGCCTCGTGCTGCGTGGGGGCACAAATGCGCTGCACGCGCCGCAGATCGACTACACGAGCGTCGTCCTGCTCCCATTCCTCCGCAGGCTCGGGCTCGAGCCGCATTTGGACGTGCGGAGGCGCGGGTACTGGCCCAAAGGCGGGGGCGAGGTCGAGTTCGCTCTGCCCCCAGTGCCGGGCCCGCTGCGCCCCGTGACGATGCTGACGCGCGGGGCTGTCCGTGCCGTACGCGGGCGCGCATATGTGTCGGGGGTGCCGGCGTTCCTGGCGCGGGAGATGCGGGACGCGGCGATGGCGTATCTTGTCTCGAGGGGTGTGGACGCGTCGGTGATCGATATCGAGGCCGTGCGTGAAAGGGACAAGGACGCGTTGGGGGGTGCATCGGGGATTTTTGTGTGGGCGGAGACGGTGGAGGGATGCTTGATCGCGGGCAGCGCTGTGGGAATGAAGTTGCTACATCCGAAGACGGTCGGGGAGGAGGCAGCAGAACTGTTGTGGAGGAATCTGGAGCACGGGGGGTGCGTCGATGAGTTCATGCAGGTGCGTTCTTTGAGTTATATTATTGGGAGTCATCTGCGGAGACGCGCTATGGGCAAATAGGACCAGATGATCATCTTTCTCGCTCTCGCGAAGGGCGAGTCAATCGTGAAGACAGGGCCGTTGACGTTGCACACGAAGTAAGTGGCTCTCTCACCCGGGACGTTCTCATTGACCCCTCTCGTTATTCATCAGGACGGCCATATGGGTTGCCGAGCAGCTCACCGACGCCAAGTTCGAAATCGAGGAGGATTCGTCGGGACAAGGTGTCCTCATCCGATGTCAAGGTATCGGTCTCACCGCCGAGCAAATACCACATACGAACAAAACAGAGGCTAGCCCACCACCACGTGCGAAAAGCCGCGTCTTATATGATTCCCTATCGAAACGCTGAGTACAAACAAGGATTTCAATCCATTATTATCCTGCGCACTGAGCAGGCTCGCCGACGACAGCCGCCGCGCGCGCGAAAATAATACATGTATAGCAAACTGTCCAGTACATATGGTGGAAATTAGATGCGCGACGGGAACCCCTGATCACCGATTCCAAGATAGAAGACTCATGTCTCCGAGCCGCCTGCGGGAAAGGGCACGTGAGTGGACAATGGCGAGAGCAAGGTGGGGAAAGGGGTACCTTGGCTTCAGGAGGTGTCGGATAGTACCTGTGACGGCGAGCAGAACGAAGAGACCGGCTGCAGCCACGTATGCCCAGCCGAGGAACGGGTTCTTCCCCCCCATCCACGATACCGTGGTGATGACTATCGACTTCGTTCCTGAGTAGGACCGCACTGGGAAGTCTGAAAAGAAGGGGATAACATGAGCTGAGATAAGACGGCACGATGAGCAGACGTACTCATGGTGACGTTGAGCTGATACCGGCCCTTGAGCAGTTTGTCGCCATCGTTCCTGCCGTAGAGCTTAGTGAACGTGGGGAGGCCGGCGGTGCGCATCCAATTCTGAAAGTGCTCGTTGGAGCGGAGGTCGGGTGGGGGCTTGTCCGTCGTGTAGCCATCGGGGAACTGGGCGGCCCAATTCGGAGGCGGAACAATCTCGTCAAGGTTATAGTCGGGGGAGTTCGTATATTTCTTTGCCTCTCCCGGCCAGGCGATGCCCTGCTCGCTGAACTGATACGAGTCCGTAGCGTTCTCAGAGGGGTTGAGCATCGTCAGGTTCGAAAACGTGTCTGCGGTAGTCTATCATGAGATGGTTGACGGTGAAGAAGGGGCGAATGGATCGAAGGAGGTATAGATACATGGACAGAGGTGGAAATGGAGCCTTACCGTTGAACATTGAGTTAGCGATCAAGCCGCATGGGTAGACGACTTTGTTGTCGAGGATGGCGACAGGCTTGCAGTTACCGTTGTGAAGATCGCTCGCCGTGCGGTTTTTCCCCTTAAGCTGGTCGGAGTCGTAACTCTGGACATATCGACGGTGATTTTGGTAGAAGTTGGTGAGCTTGTAGTAGAGGAGGACAGTGTGATCGAGATCGAATGGAACGTCGAACTGGACGATACACTGATTGCGAGCGGAGTTGTCTGTTGAGCTGTTTATGAAGGCATACTGGGGTGCGGTATATTGTGCATCGGACTGGGAGGAACGAAGGCGGTAGGTGTAGTGGGGAACATTGACAAGGTTGTTCTGCGCATCCGAAAGGGTGGACTGAGCGGTCAGAGTGTCACAGTCTGTGTAGTCGATGGTCATTTCTGTGACCTGTCGTGAATGAACAGAACAGTGAGTGAGTGGATCTGGAGTGGGAGAACGGGCGAGGACGCACGGTGCTGCTGCCCCACACGAGCAGACCGCCGATGGGGGCGAAAAGGATACCGATGATGAAGAGAGTGGGAAGGACTGCCTTTGGAGTGAGAATGGGCTGCCATGCCTTCAATCGTTGCTGCTTGAACGCAGTATCTGGAGGACGATGTCATGATACATAGGCGAGACTGAAGCGAGAACGACTGACTGGCCGGGCGCTTCCAGCTGCCCTTTTCCTTCTTTGGTTCCGAATTGTCGTTGGGGTCGGCGTTCTTCCGCCTGTTGAAGATGGCCATGAAGAGAGCAGAGGCCTCTGGGAGGACGCCTGAGGGAGAGAGATGATGGAGGGGTTGGTGAGAGTGCCGGACTGCTTGGGCCCACCCGGCTGACTACGTGATCTCGCTTGCCTCAGCGTCAAACCCGGCCACACACTGCCTTTGGGCAGTTGGGCGCTCACTGTCATCAGCGTCGCCGTCTGTCGCAGTCCCTACACAACTAGTCATATCGCATGCCGCTTGCGTGAATGATGTGCGGCCTGCGGGCCATCAACTGATTCAATATGCACAACATACTACCATAACTCATACGCCAATTAATAAGTAACAGAATATAACACTTTCTACGTGATCCACACCCCATAAGCGTCTAGCCTGCCCTCCGAAAGCAACCCGGCCGTGAGTGGCGCGCGCGCACCAATTGTACAAGGCCACACTGTCTCGCCGCACCGTCATACTACCGTCAAGTCCCATACCAGCATCCATCAATGACCTCCGAGGTGGTTAGAGCGTGGGGCTCGTCGGCTTATCCAAGTCGTCCAAGTGTGATGTGGTGGTCGATGAGGACGTAGGCGCGGAGTTTTGTCGGCGCTCCCTACGCAGGGAGCGCCGCAGGCGTGTTTGAGCCATGATCGTGGCAGATGGAGAAAGGACAGGAGCAGGGACAGCAGCCGGAGCAGGGCCGGGTTTATGCGTGGAAAGGCGAGCGGGCAGTCGTATCTTGAGTGAGGTGAAAGAGCCCGACGTCGAGGTAGAAGTCTGCGAATGAGCGGATTGTACGGGGGCCACCGCGCGGGGTGTCGCCCCTGCCGTCGCAGGGAGAGCGGGTGTAGAAGGTACAGTGATGGTGCTGGGTGCTGTGTGCACGGCGACGGGCTGATGTTTGGCGGCGAATAAGGCAAGAGGGCGGGCCGAAGTTTCGCCGTTAGTCAGCTGAGGGGAGGCTTGAGATTGCGAGGAGGGCGGAGCCGCGACCACAATCGCGTCCTTGGCACGTATACGAGAGGATCTGGAAGGTGTAGCATTAGTCGGAGCCGACTTCCGTGGTCTCCCAGGAGGCCTCTTCGCCTTGACTGGCGCGAGCGACTGGGTGGAGGCTGGATCGACGTCCATAAGGGTCGGAGCTGAATGAGAGAAGACTGACAAGCCTTCGTCGGCAGAATCCTCCAAGTCAAGCTGAATGACCTGTAGCATCGAAGAAATGCAGATGAGTGAGACGACGGCTGGAAGGCGGTAGTGCGGGCGCAAGTGAACGAAGACCTACGTATTTGACGTCCCGCTTGGATGCTCTAGATGGCTGTCTGCGTTCTGGCTCTGTTGCTTTCGGTTCCGTTTGAACATCGAATGGCTTCTTGAACAAGAGGGAATCCAGGTCTATGGGACTAGGCTCTCTTTTGATGGGTCTGCGTTCTGTCTGTTGCACTCGCTTTGATGCGCTCCTCCCCCGAAAGTGGCGGCCTGCAGAACTGACACGGGAATGTTGATCATTCTGTTCAACCAGGGTAGAAGGACCTGGCTGGTTAGATGCGTTTGACTGAGCTAACGATTGCACTTGGGTGAAGGGATTTGGCTGTACGGGGGGCTTCAGACTGACAGAAAGCCTCGGTGGAGCAGGAGGCTTTGACGGAACCAGCTGTGCTCGGGGATCTATATCTGTTTGGACGCCACCATCGACTAAGAGTCGTCGCATGCCATTCGTGACGAGTTTCACGGGCTCTGGAGTGGCCGTCGACGAAGAAATTTCGGATGACTTCATATCGAGCAACATCTACACAACGATATCATTAGCGTATGGGTAAGGTTGCTTGGTCGTCAGCCTCACCAACGCCGTCCGTAGATCCTCAGCTTGAAACGACTGAAACAGCAGCTGCGGCGGAGGAAATACTTGACCCGGATCCTCTACCTCTTCAAGGGAGCTGAGGGAGGTAAGAGGTGAAGACATGCCGCTCGTGGCACCAAAGTGTCTTAGGCAGATTGTCAGCAAGTAAAGGATAGATCAAGGCGCATATATGCTCACTGGTCAGGCGGATTTCGTACTTTGTTCAGTTTATTCCAGAAATCTAGCTTGATGATTCGTTCTGGGACTCGATACCGTCGACCGTTGATGAATACTTCATCAACAGAGACTCTAGTTTCATCAACAGGAGAAACTTCGGGCTCGACGATTTCAATATTGCCGTTGTTGACCTGACCGGGCTTGTTGATGTCTATTGGTGGGGCGTTCTGCTTGGGTATCCTGTGTTTTGGGAGCTGCAAGCAAGATTAGCCCCTCAATCCCATATCTGAGGTGGCTACTTACCAAGGTATTTTCAGCGTGGAGGGGACACATCCATTTTTTGTCGAACGGAGGCATGTTCATCAGAGGAGGGTCGAGGCAATCAAGGTGCCAGTGATTGGGGCAGTAGTCACAAGACACGATGCTCTTCCAGCTCTCGTTGCTGGATACGTACCCTTGAGCTGACCGAAGACGTTTAGCTGCAGGCGCAGTGACTGCCATCCCATCTGGAATCGCAGATGTGGCACATCGATAGCATAAAACTGGGTCTCCGTTTCTATCCTTGGTCCGATAAGGATCACGCTCCTCAAGCTGTCCATGCCGACTAAGATAGGAATTGGTTAGATGTTAGTAGTGAAAGAGAAGGCTGGGCTGACTTCAAACGAGGCGGTTTGACGGTGGACGTGTCCACATAGGCACCGCGTGCACTGGTACCGACTATTTCGCATGAGCTTCTCCGTGACGTGATCTATGAAGTATGAATATTTACTTACCACTTTTAAAAAATGTCCTTATTTCATCGGGGAGTTGGAACTCCACGGGAAGGGTGTTTTGAAGGTGTACGATAAGGGGTGACATGAAAGAAGGGGGAGGCTTGGGCGGAGGATTCTGTTGATGTTTGTCAGTCTTGTTCAAAGTCGAAAAGAGTTGTTCAACGCACTTGGCGAAGTTTACAGCTGGGACAATACCATCTGTCGTCACCTTCGGGAAGGTCTGAGTGCTCCATTGGGGGGTCAAGGCACCAAAAGTGATATGCTCGTGGGCACCCATCACAGTATACTAGTGAACCCAGCGAACGGCACGCCGAACAGTGATCTTCATTTCGCTGAGAGGATGTCATGATCAACGGCTTTCATAGAAGAGCTGTGGGGGCATACCACGAATGAGGTGGGGTTGGAGTCAGTCATCTGCAACGTGACAGTCGATGGCTCCTCCTTGACCCTGACTACAACCTTCTCCTTCCCTTTCCCCTTGTCTTTCTTCGATGCTCGGGAAGTTCCAGACATCGCGACAGGATCCTCCAAATGCGAAATGGAGTTGGAGCGGGAGAGCATGGGACCGTCCGAGTCCGCCGCTGCGAGGAAGGGATCGGAATCTGGAATATCTAACATAGCCGATGCCACCCCCTCGTTGACGACGATGCTGTCCTCTGAAGGATTGAGTGCGTTGAGCCCGCGTGCTGAGACCCGCTGCCCCCGATGGGACGAAAGCCTGCTTTGAGCACAGGGCGCCGTGTGACGTGGACGCATAAGAGCGTTTCAAGTGAACCGACAAGGGTTCCCCATGGGAGGAAGTGAAAAAAGTTCAACACAAAAGTTTTTAATGATAGCTTTGTGAGAGAAAAAATCACTACGTACCCTTTGTCAATCCTAGCTCGTTTCCGCCTGGGGCCCTCCACCGCCGGGTTCTGCTCCAAGCTGCCGACTGTGGGGCCAGTCGTGACCCCTCCGTAGGTAGTACCTGGGTCGTACTGAGGCAAGTAGGAGACGACAGGCATAGGTTTTCTAGGATCTCGCTTTGTAGCTGCCTGCTGCACAGAAGCGAGCGAAGGTGGCCCAGGGAGGATTTCTGTCGCCAAGGCTGGATCTCCAGAGTCAAGACCCGAGCGGGGCTGCTGCACTGCGGGTACTCCTGGCAACATATAAGCTGGGACATTCGCTACAGAGGTCATACCGTCCGACGACTGATTAGTCGATTCTCAACGAGAGAGGGGGATGCGGCTGTGACGCGTTGGCGACTAGACAAGTTGGTGGAGGTGTTTATAAGAGGCAGCTAGACAAGTCTGTGCAATGGTGGCGAATCATGACCATCGCAACTTATTCACACTATATATTACATGCAGCCAACACCATACTCACTACACCAGAACTAATGCATACAAGCGTACATCCAACATGTCATCAACCAGAAGGATATCTTTCTATAACAGCCTCCATCCTTTAATATTCTCAAGAGCGTCTCTCTTGCGCATCAATGTCACCCACAAAAGGGTCCAACCTGAATGCCACTCACATAGAAGAACGGTCCTGGTTGTATGAGAAGGACGACAACAGAGAGCTCGTGCGTTGAGAGCCCGAACGGCACAGGTTTTGTCGTTCATGTTGTGATTGCCGAGCGGTCTTTTCGAAAGATACGGTTGTGGATACCATGACAATGGGAAGATAACGAAAATTAAGTGCGAGAGTCATTGGAAGAGAACAACGGGCCAGGTAATCCAAACATGAACAGCCCATAAATGTCAGTTTCTGAGGACGATGAGCAGAAGACGGTCACCAGCCAGTAGAGATCACAAGAACGGTGTTCCCCAACACAGGTCGGGTAAGGGCAGAGGAGTTTTCCTTGAGAGTTCACCTGTACCTCGTGTTAGAACTTGTGAAGACCTATTGCGCCTGGGTGATGATATATATGGCTGGATGTACCTTGTTACTTGAGATTCTACATGGTGCATGATACTCGTCCTGCAGCTGACTTGACATAGGGTTCATCGCTGAAAGACCTACAAGGATATACAGGTAAGGATCCATTTGTGAGGAAGATGCACGATGAGATACCCCTATTATAGGTGGGGACGGCATAGCCTGACATAGCCTGGCATAACCATGAAAGATGGGCTTTGTCAAAAAAAAAATGATACACGCATACAGGTATTATTAGGGGCAGAGCATTATACACTTACCTGGGACGAGCTGGTTCATAAGTCTCCAATGCTGAACTCAACAGACAACTGAGCCTCATTGTACGTGCGCACATCTCATATGTCCGCGACTAGCCCCGACTGCCAAGACTCAGTGAGAAACAGCCATCGAGTACAGATACATTTTGCACACTGAACGAGTGCGTCGCCGAGGATAGCTTTCGTGATAGACCCAGTCAGAAGATTTGAGGCTAAGGTGATTCCTGGACGATGCGGCATACGCTGTATAGGACATAGATTGAGAACACAGTCGAGGTCAGAAACAGATGAAATGCTGAAGCGCTGATGCATCACCTTGGAAGAACGATCTTACACGTGGTTATCTTATCTTGACTGTACAACCGTAGACAACTGTACCGAAGCTGTACCGATGGCTCTATAACCCTTCTACAATTGGCCGCTATTGGCCGTTCGTTTCATCTTTCCGAACGGTCTGCTTTCTCCCAGCATCATGGATCGTCCGGACATGGTGTCAAGCTCAACGTCAGCGCTCATCAAACGTTTCAAGATGTGCCTCAAACGTGTCCCCCATCGTGAGCTCCCATTCGCAGTCTGGATTGCACGTCTATGACGCTTTGGTCTTCGTGCGATGAGAACTCTATAGCTGTGGTCCTCAGAATATATATAAGATCCAATCCCTCCAGCTGCTTTACGGCCAACCTCGCTTTCTCCATTGATGTTTGCTCGAAGTATAATCGCTTTGGTAGCACTATCGACAGCTTCGTTTGTCGGAGGTTTAAACATCCTCTTGACTAACGATGATAGTTGGGCATCGGCTAATATCAGGTATATACGCAGCGATCATTGAAGATTCGTAGCACTGATGAAGGCTCCAGGGCAACGTACACTGCACTCAAAGCTGCTGGGCATGACGTTCTAATGGTTGCGTTAGTGCACTTCGCACAAAATGCAAGCGTTTTCTTGACTTTTTTGCCTGCAATATCAGACCAGCCATCAATCAATCTGGACATGGAGGAACTTTCGTTTTGCCTTCTGGAAACATCACGGCTCCAGGAGGAGAATTTGGTTCAATCCCTGTGGGCGCACCGTTTTTTGGACAGGATGCGACAAATCCTGACCTATGTAACACGACGCATTGAATGCCTGTAATCCTAGCACTGATACATTTTCTGCTAGGGTATTTCAATGGCACCCCCGCTGCTGCTGCGATCTGGGGCATAGACGTTATAGCGCCTATGCACTTTGGCAACAAGACAATCGACCTTGCCGTGTCCGGCCCCAATGAGGGTCAGAATAATGGCCCATTCTCGTTCACCATCAGTGGCACTATCGGTGCTTCTTATGCATCCGTTGAGCGTGGGGCATGTATTCATACCCACAGGCATTTCATGCGATGGCTAACACAACTTGTTTTCCGCCTTAGATTCCCGCCATCGCATTTTCCGCTGGTAATGGCACTCACAGATCTTTTACTACCAACGCTGGCGCCGAGAATGATCCCGCTAATATTGCTGCCGCAGTGAGTACTCATTTTTGAGGGTTTCGGATTCGAATAGTAAAGCAAATAAAGCTTGTGACGAAATTTGTTGCCGCTCTCGCTGAAGGAGTCAAACCGTCGTCTCGCCTCCTTCCCTTGGGTCTCGGGTTCAAGTGAGAGTTTGATGCTACCTTTATGGTTATCTTCGTTCTGATCACTGTGTAGCGTCAACTTCCCTGTGTTTGGGCCCACTAGTAATTGCACGAACCCGCCCTTCGTTCTCACCCGTCTCACTAGTGGAGCGACCATCAACAAACTTTCAATAGACCCCACAACCGGCCTTCCTTCGTCCACAAATATGTATAGATATAAAGTTCCAACCTCTTCCCCTACCTGAACTGAGGCGGTTACTGTTTTAGTCAAGCACCTGGCCTAAATACAGTCCTTAATGGTTTACCCAACCTTCCCGGTGCGTTCGATGGCTGAAAAGCTAGCCCTCGTAATGTTCTCGTCTAATTTCAGTACTTCCAGGTGAAACACCTACAAGTGCCGGGTGTGCTACCGCTGTCAGCGTATACTCTGTCGACTATGATGCTCCGGTCACTGCTGCGGCGCCCATCCAGGCTCATCTCGCACCTCTTTTCCAGAGATCACATGAGAAGTGATAGCAAGACGAGAGCATGAACGGAAGTTGATTGTTGGGATAGCATGCCTAGCAAATCGAGTTCATTGAGAATGTTCTGCTGACAAGTGCATGATGCGATACGACATGACGAGCACAGACTTGATCTCAGGTAATGTACAACGGTAGATACCTCCGTCTCCAGGTAGTGAGACAGTGCGCGCGCAGCAATAGATCGAAGGGTGGGACAAAGGAAGGACGAAGGCACCAGATTTGCGTCCGTCTTTCCAGTTAAAATATCTCTTCTAAGAAGAATGGGCAAGCGAGGAAAAGGGAAGACTGAAGGGTAAGAAATTTGGACGTCGTCGGAGCTACAAAGATCATCACAGGGGTGTCTTGGTATTACGGGAATGTGAAAGCTTGCTACGAGTGAAGTTTTGGGAGTAGACATGCGCGTTAACGGATGGAAGAAATTTCGAGTTCGCGTCGACGGGAAGACCAAGACAGTAGAGAGAAATGAGGTCTCTGCGACAAGAATTGGGGGCTCGACAGGCTGAAAATACTTGTACAGGAAATAGTGCGCGTGCAGTGATTGACACAAGGATGGCAGGCGTCTACTCCAGCATGGAGTACAATTTCACAATGGTCTCCTTTCGCGAGATTGACCGCTGCAGTGTGATGAGTAAAAATCTCTCCGCTACGCATAGAGCTGAAGCCGCACAGACAAACAGAATCTGAGCTCACCTACAATGCTGCGCAGCGCGGAGAATGATACAATTATACAATGTATCAGCGTGCCGCTTCTAGTTTTGCTATGCTCTTCGACTGTAGAGTTTTGCTACTGGGTGATATGCTGTAAGATATGGCCAGACCCATCGGAAAGAATTGACATGCGCGCTTGTAAAATAAGAGACAAGGGTCGAGGGGAAATGGAGACGGACTGCAGACGGACTGCAGACGGACTGCTAAAACAGTCGCATGCACACAATTGTATAAGCAGCACGTGCTTTGCGATCTTAGTCGAAAAGTTGTGCAAGTCTAGGCAAGTCTCTTGCTAGTGTCTTGCCACCATGGCTCGCGGTGTACTGCTCACATCGAACCTTCCTCAGCTCCAAAATCTTATCAAGAGAGATCCTGTAGCGTACAAAGAAGAGTTTATACAGCAATGGAATCATTACAACAGTGTCCGCCGCATTTTTCAGATCAACCCAGACGAACAGGCACATCACTTCAAAGAGCTTGTCTCATTCATCTCTCAGGTTCGTCAAACCTTGCTCTGCAACTCGATTGTTTGACTGATTCTTGACATAGGTTGCGTCTTGTTACCCGAAAGAGACAGTCGACTTTCCGACTCACCTTTCGTCCCTACTACTGGAACACTACGGAGCACTTTCTGCTGATACTCGGCATACGTTAGTCCAGAACCTTGTCCTTCTCCGAAAGAAGAATGTCATTGCATCGATAGAGTATGTCATATCTGCGTCTTCTTCACATTGTCGCTCATCTGTATTATTCAGGCTGCTCAAAACACTCTTCCCTCTTCTTCCCCGCACGACATCTTCGTCCCTTCGTACTTTCATACGCAAGACAATTTTGAATGATATCAAAACAGCCAACCAGCACTCGAAGAACCACAAGCTCAACAGAGCTGTCCAAGCGATGCTTTTTGGTATGCTAGAGCATGGGATGGACGGTGAAGTTATTGGTGACAAGGGCAAGGCAAGAGCTCAATCCACGCAGAGCGCTCCTGCTACTAGTCAAAATAACCACGATGCTATGTGGGCCGTTGTCCTGACGAAGGAGTTGTGGAAGAAAGGCATTTGGTGCGTCTTCCTTCATCGGCCCTCCAACTCTGAAATTCATGCATGTGAGCAGGGATGACGCGAAGTCCGTGGCAATTGTCGCTCTGGGATGCTTTCATCCAGTGGTCAAAGTGCAGAGTGCTTCGCTACATTTCTTTCTTGGGAGTGAGGAGGAGGAAAATGACAGTGACGACGAAGATCCTGATCATGTATGTTGTCGACTCAATGCATCTCCTATCGCAGTTTACCCCTTTCTCCAGATACCAGACATCAGGTCTCTAGAGCACAAACGGAATGTCACAAAAAAGACACGTAGCGGCGACAACAAATTGCGCAGAAACATAAAGGCGGCTGCGAAGGTACTCGTCGTCTGTGTACAATCCTTAGACATCTTCTTACATCTCTTCCAGAAACGCAAAGCAAGATCCATCGGATCGACGCCCAACTTCCCGGCGCTCCACCTTCTGAACGATCCGCAAACGTTTGGAGAAAAACTTTACGATATCCTTAATAAGTACGACAAGCGCTTTTCCCTCGACCACAAGATCCTCATCATGCAACTGCTATCACGCGTGATGGCAGCGCACAAGCTGACCGTTCTAAGCTTCTACACTTATATTCTTAAATATCTCACTTATCACCAGCTACGCGTGCCTGCTATCCTGGTCGCTCTTGCCCAGTCTGTCCACGACCTCACTCCACCCGATGTCTTAACGCCAGTGATACAGAAGCTGGCGCACGAATTCATTCATCCCGGTGTTGGCAGTGAAGTCATCGCCGCCGGACTGAATTCCATTAGAGAGGTATGTCGAAGACAGCCGTGGGCAATGGAGGAAGACCTTTTGGGTGATTTGGTGGAATATAGGAAAAGTCGAGAGAAGTCTGTCACAGCTGCAGCTAGAGGATTATTGCAGCTATATCGCGAAGTCAATCCTGGTATGTTGAAGAGAAGAGAGCGGGTACGTCACCTCTTCCTCGTACAAACGTGCGGCCGTCATTTATATTCATATTTCAGGGAAAAGCAGCAAGCATGGGAATCGCGGAAGGCAGCCAACCATTACCATTTGGTCACAGTGCGCAAGCAGCTGTGGATATCGAAGGCCTTGTGGTAAGTATCACGAGTATTTGCTATCCCCTATTATGATTGATCCCTTGATCAGCTCCTCGAGGACCATCTCAAAGAACTGCGGGCCGAAGCTGGCGTTCAATCTGGCGAAGACGATGCCGACGAAGATGCTTGGGATGGTTGGGACGTGGAATCGGATTCATCTGAACAATCAGACGATTCTGATGGCTGGATCGCAGTGGCCAGCGACGGAGATGACCACTTGAGCCTCAGTGACAGCGATGACGAAAGTAGTAAAAAGAAAGAACGATTGACTGAACCAATTCCCCCACACGAAGAGAGTCGCGTTTCGTCATTGGCCACTACGAAGGCCAGTCTCTCGGAATGAGTGTAAATTGGCTTGTGTACTAACCATGACTATTCAGATCCTCACACCTGCCGACTTCGCTTTGCTCAACGATCTTCGCCTCAAAGCGGCCACCAAGGAGGTAGAAAGTGGCGGCGGCAATGCTGCAAAGCGCAAGCTAGCAGTCCTCGAGGCATCTAAGAAGGCTATGTCGTCGAATGCGGACGATTCCAACAACTTCATTTCGGAGAACGACATCCTTGGGCCTCGAAAGAAAGCCAAAGCTGACTATGAGGAGCGTATGGCTTCAATCGCAAAAGGACGCGAGGGACGCGAGAAGTTTGGTTCCTTGAAGGGGAAGAGAAATAAGGAGATGCCGAGCAGTTCAACCAACAGGGAAAAGAAGAAGAACAAGCCAATCATGATGATAATGGGCAGCAAGGAAGTCAGAGGAAAGAAGAAGGCGTCGTTGCGGGACAAGCAGCAGAGGTTGAGGGCTCATATTGACAAGGCGAAGAAAGCATATCATTGAGTATCTCGATTTCACTCTGTTGAGTATTCTCGGCAGTAATATCATTTATTGCGTGGAATTCTTTGAGTCTGTATTCGTGAGCGTATCTTTGTATCTTACTATTGCTAGAGACCGTGGATATGCGAAGTGGTAGGCAGTCTACACGGTCTCGTCATTGACTTGATGAGCAAGCTCGAAGCCAGCGGCGAAGTGGAACAAGCGAGCATCAACGACGAAACCCTAGCATAGATTTGATTGATGTATGACTGAGATTGAGCAACGGGCTTACCTTTTTCTCGTATTCTGTGAAAAGTTCAGTGGGCGACGTTAGCCTTTTTGCAAGTTTTACGAGTCTGAAGCTACCTTTCAGCTCCTTGTATAAGCCTTTCAGTTCCACAACGCGTCGGACTATTGCTTCTCCGTCATCGAGCTTTTGATCCGGTGTTTCGAGCTTGCCTAGAAAGACGACATTGAGAGTGACTAGCTTCATGTTGGCTGTCGTCATGCCTGAGATCATTGATCGCATATGAGTCCTGAAACTCGATAGGCAGCACACGACTGACCAGGATCTGTAGCTAGGACTGCCGTCATATCGACAACGCTGTCTGCTACATATCCCGTCTCTTCCTTCAATTCCCGGATGGCTGCTTGTTCGGCTGTCTCGCCGTTGTCAATAAGGCCAGCCGGAAGTTCTGATGGCATGTTGCAATGAAACAGGCAAGAATGCCGAGATATAGAACAACTTGCCAACGATAAATTTGCCGATGGGAGGGCGATATTGCTCTATAATCACAGTCGAGACAGGGAAGGCTCGGGTCTTGGACCGAATGAGAGCCAGGATGGCGACTGCTGTAAAACATATGCATTTCGGTCGTATCAATGCGCTATAGGCTGTGAAGTAACAAACCGTCTACGTCCGTCGATCCCCTGGTCCTTCTCTCTGCGACCTCCCATGCTCTCTGAGAAGAGGTACAGAGATTAGCTATTGGACTTCAAAGCAACATATGCATGGAACAGCACACCTCCTTGCCTTCGCTGTCTTTCCACTTGATTTTCTTCAGACTCACCCACCTACTACTGTTATAGACACGTAGGTGATTGTCAAAGCTAGGATACTGACTTTGCATTACGAGTGTCCAGATCCTCCTTTGAGAGGACGACAGGATCCTGGGCCATCACACTTATCGTCCGGATCGGTCCTTTAAATCGGCCTTGTAAGATGTGCAAAAGTGCTGAACGACTTTGGCGAAGGGAATGATGGATGAAAGGAAGAAACCTCTGGGGCATTATAGCCAAAATTTTGTTTCATCGACATTGGACACCGAGGCACATGCATGTCATGAGTGCTCGAGCGCGTCATGAGTGATGTGAGCCTTCGCTTCGTCCCTCGTCCTCTGCGCGCCCGAGCCTTTCTAGTCTCCGCCGCCACTTCTTCTATGTACTCCAGACTGGACATCAACGATGGCGATGTCGTGGGCACTTTCAAGCACACAAGGGTTTCACACCACGATCTCTGCCCGTATTTCCATCAATCCTCCACCAGCGGCGACTTGCTCCCTCCATCTGTCTCTGCAGTTGCCGGCCCACCTGTTCGTAGACCCTTATGAACTTGATCACTACAGTGCACCCTATTCTTTCCAAATATTTGGGCCATCCAACCTCGAAGCGCCTGTATTTATTGTCGACAACAGCGACACCACCCTCTTGCTCAACATCACTCTGATGGATCATGGCGGTAATGGTCAAATCGCTATAATCGATGTGCCTTTACACTCACGCTACGGACGTCCTCTTCGCGGACACGCGACTGGCATTCACAACATTGTCATGACCGCTCCGACTGTATTCTGGGCTTGTAACGATCTGGGTGAGTCTTGCAAAAGCTGCCATGACTATCATCTTCATCTTTTCCATGCAGCTACTCCTCTCGTCGCCAAGGTGCCTGCAGACCTGCCCCCGTCTATCCGACCTTATTTGACTGGTGCAGCTGTGTCATTCATCCCCATCCCCGCCGAAAAATCAACTCCATTGTCACAAACGATTCGTATTCCTGTAGGCGAGCTTCAGGACTTGCAGAGAGTGGAGATCATCACTGCGCTTGGAGTCTTCTTCGCTTTTGCATGGCTCTTCCACGCAGCATGGCGGAATGCGCGCCGTCCACCTTTTGACGAGGTCTTGTCCAGCTCGAAGAAGGATTGAATCGCTGGGACGGTGTCGCAGTCAGAAGTCAGCACTATAGGGTATCCTTCGTATATCATACCATCGTCACGAGATTCCATCGAGTAAACAAGACGTTAAGTAACCACACACCGCCGCACCTTCACCATCTTCCCCCATTTCCCTCTCATGCTTTCTTTCAGCGCTAATGAAAAAACATCTTGAACTCCACTACCTGTCTTCGCTGAACACTCAATGTACTTGGCACCTATCTCCTTCGCCACGTCAGATCCCTGCTCCGATGTCACTGGCGTCTGTCCCTGTGCTCCCAGCATCCTGCGGGTCTGGTCATCACGACGCAAATCCGTCTTCGTACCGACCAAGATAAGAGGTGTTCCCTCACAAAAGTGAGCCACTTCTGGGTACCACTGCGAGACGTGACTGCGTGTTTATTCCCGAGTTTGTACCAAACGGAAAGAATAGTAGGCATACCTTGTCTTGGACATTCGCTAGACTCACTGGGAAGTCGATTGAGAATACGATGAGGATGACGTCGCTCTCTGGGTAGCTGAGCGGTCGTAGACGGTCATATTCTTCCTGACCAGCAGTATCCCACAACGCAAGTTCGACGACCTTCCCCTCATATGATACTTGCGTCACGTAATTCTCAAACACTGTTGGAATGTATGCCTGGCGATAGTTGAACGAAACACGGTGGAGGTGTCACTGACGCGGACATACCTCTGGGAATCTATTCTCTGCATACACTATAAGAAGACATGTCTTGCCGCAACCACCTTGGTCAGAAGGAAAACAGATAAGCGAAGAACGAGTTTGAGATAGATGTACGCGCACCATCGCCCACGACTACTAACTTCTTCTTGAGGTCTGGTCTTCGAGGCGCCTTGCCTGATTGCCCAGTCTGATAACTATCCATAGGAATTCAAAAGAGAGATGAAATGGAAAAAAACTTGAACCTCAGTAGTCGAGATGTGAGATAGAGACAGGTTGAAGGAGGTGGAGGATGATGATCAGTAAGTCTTGTGGTGAAGCTATCCCTTCAGTCCATTGTGCGGTCGCAAGAACGCGGTAACGTGATCGTATGGACTCCAATAATGCGTTTGCCCCTGTTTGGCCACCTGCTGTGTGTCATGTCTTCAAACCGCTATCTCCTCTATCCTGTCGAGGACGTTGATAAAGATGGATGGCTCTATGGCTGGTCGGACCGTCAATGTACTTGCATTGCAGGTATCCTTCAGTGTGTTTCACGAAGTTCGTTCATGTCTGATTTCTGCCGCTGTCAATACTGACATTCCGAGCTCCTTTGTATCTTAGATGCTGCTCAACAATGCCTCGATATACTCTTGCATCAAGGGGCCTATCCAAATGCTCATTGCGCCCTTCCGAAGGTACTAGGACATTCCTCTCTATGGAATGAGAGGCCTGTATCTCGATTACATTCAATGTCTGACAATGCCCCCTTCTCGTGCGTTGGCTCGTCGCGCCATATTTGGTGTCGCTGACATGGCAATCTAATAGATCTCAGTCTCCGACGACTTTCCTGTATCACCGGTCGGCTTTTGGTAACATGCGCCTCCAATTATCAGACACAATTTCGGGCGCGCCGCGCTCTGACGCACAGTATTTTTCGTTCGACGAGTCGCTGCAACTCGGACACTTAGGACTCAATCAATCGATAACAAATCAGGTATGATTGTGCACATTCCATTACACTCTATCATGTTTACACGGTATGTTTCAGTTAAACTTTGCTCAGCAACTTGCTGTCAACATTCTTGCATCGGGCTCCCTACTTTCGCAAATCCAGATGGTCATCGGAAAGAGTGTTCCTTGGAGGTCCTTTGGCTGTCACCAGTCCATTCGGCTGTTCTATTGTGCACTGCTATTCCTAGAAGAGTTCATGAAGATGCAATGGCTGATCAACACATCTAACTTGGGTTCGTTATTACCAGTTCACAGCTGCTTTCATCTCATTGCATGCCAGTATCACAGGGTCGGATGCGTATCCGGTCAATCATCGTGTTGCTGCAATCTTCTAGGATCTCGAATCAGTATGTAATGGATTTGGATGTCTTTATCGGATATACTGCTTATAAATTGTTAGATTGAACAACACTATTTGGCTCACTCTTAATGATTTGATTCTGGGTGTTGCTATTGGATCCTTTGTTTGCGAGAATCATGCAGCAATCTCATCAAAGTTTGACAAATCCATGAATGTCAGTATTTCAATCAATCATTTTGCTTTAATCAACTTATAACCTGTATAGTATGTTTTCATTGAACTTGTGACTGAGTGTCTAATATGGCTAAACAACTGGCCAGCTGGTCTTAAGCTAAATACAGAGCTTAGCTCTTTTTGTTGTCATATGTTTTTAGGCATTATTGGTATCTGGACTTGTGAGTCATTCTCATAATTAATAGTGTAATTATTTATGAATTTTGTATATAGATTTTTATCAGAGTCTATCTCTTCATTTTCCTATGATTGTATATTTTATTGGCATAATAGGCTATTGTGGCTTAACATTTCTATTATCAACCTTCTTGGATTTGTTGAGATTGTTAACTCTTCATATATCTCTTGGATTTATTATATGGAATAGGTTGATCAAGTTTCAATTGTCTTTTCTTCAATCACTTGGAAATCTTTTTCATGGTAAGTGTAATTAAAATCTAATCTTAAATAGGCATTAATAACTTTGTAGGAAAACAGCTTAATGTGCTTCATAATAGGATTGAACCATGGCATTATGAAGTTGATCAATTGATACTCGGCACAATTCTTGTTACTCTTTTTACATTTAGTCTTCCCACTTTTCTCAGCTATTTTATGCTTTTTGCTATTGTAAGTAATCTGATTTTTATCTTAGCTATATATTACTAATAAAATTATAGTTTAAACATTTAGTGATTATTATTGAGACTCTTATTCAACAGCTTATTGAGTTGATGAATAAGTTTCCATTATTTCCATTAATACTCAAAATCAAGCATCCAGCTAGACTTACTGGTATGTGATTTGTGGCAAAAAAAAGTTTAATATCTTATTTTATTGATTAGGTTTCTTTTACTTTCTTTTACAAAATGGTATTCAAAATCTTAAGGTAGGTTGTATATTATTATAAAAATATCATAAAGCTAATTATTAAATAGGGACAATATATGTCTTTTCTCTCAATTTTCCAGTATTTTGATGATATATAATATTATGAATTTCTTAGCTTATATATAATTCTCTATTATAAAAAAGCATGCTTAATATATAAGATAAATGTGTGATATATATCTTATCTTATCTAGAGAATATAATTGGCTGGTATATGTACTAGACCCTGTAATATAATACTAATACACATGGTTAGCTAATATTCTTCAACTATATTGTATTTAATAACAAATTAGATATATTCCTCTTCTTGTTTAAACTTTATACTGGGTGCCATTTAGTATTCTCCATATCTATTTATTACCTTTTTGTTTAAAATAGCCAAGGATTTAAGATAGTCTCATAATATATTAACTTGTACTCTATATCTGAGTAACTATACAATAAAAGATTAAAAATAGTAAAGTAAAAGATGTATTTTAGTTTTAGATTGATGCTATTTGTTATATAAGCATATTTTAGTTCTATCTTAGACCAAAAATACTTAGGATTTTTTTATAGTTTTCTAGTGCTATAGTATACTACTTAGTTAATGGCAATAATAGCTTTATAGGTCTGCTATATGTGCTCTATACTATAAACATAAGAAACTAATATTTTGAGGTAAGTCAAGTAGTTTTTAATATGCACATTTAACCTGAATTTCTTTATGCCTTGCTAATTAGCAATATTTCATTTAGTATTGTTAAAAACTTACTTAGCATATTACAGGATTACACTCATCAAGCCTGGTACTATAGTTGAGAAAATAATCTAGATTACAGTCCTTAATAGCAACTCCTATATTCTGCTATATCTATATTTAGTGAGGCATAATTAAGAATAGGCATATAGTGTGACTATAACTTGCTAAATAATAGCTTTTTAAGTAAAATCACAATCATTGTTGCTTGGAGTAGGCTAATTATTATTTGACCTTATTAATTGTTGGTAGAGCTTTGGCTATATCTAGGAATTGTTTTGGTAATTAACAATAAGGCCAAGGATGGATTTGTTTAGAGTGTAGTATAGTGTAAGAATAATTTAATTATTAAGCTATTCAATGACTTGGTCAAAGTGCTTTGGCCATAATGTTAGGATATTTTCTAGTTTGATATTATTATAGTTATTTTCTCCAAGCCCTGGACTATAGAGGTATTTAAGTTGGTCTAGGAGAATATTATTGGCTCTTTCAACAAGGCTATTAATCCATACAGAGTAAGCTGCTATTCCTTTGTATTTGATGTTTTAGTCTCTGCAAAATGTAGTTATACTATTATTTTCAAAGTACAAGCCTCTATTAGTTATAAATGTGTCCAGTTTGGTTTAACCTGTGGTAATTGTTGTAAGCCCTAATATAGTGGTTTTTGCAGTAATGAGCATGCCATCTCTCTAAGTGCTAAGATCCCTATTTTTGCACTCTGTTTATAGCTAGTCACATAGGTTTGTAAAGCCTTGAGCAGCCCTAGTATAGGCATTTACTTACTCTTTTTGAGGCTTGAGTCAACTTGCAGCATTGTATAATACTTTCTAAGGTCCTTATGCAAACATATTCATAATAGTAGGCTAGCTTAGTTGTTATTGTAGCATATTTAGCAGCACCTTGTGACACTTGTGATTATCTCTATATGTAGCTCAGCTAGTTAGTAAAATGCCATTAATAATACCAATGCTGCCATGCCCTAAATTTGTGTGCCTTGTACTATCCTATAAAAGAGCTTTGATATTTATCTTCATGATACTTTTCTTGTAGCAAGCTTTATTGTACATATCTATTAGATATTTTAGGTCTTGTAATTTATTTTTCTTCATCCTTTACAAAATCTATCTTGTTTGTGCCTTATATCTCTTTACTAAATATCACTTTGTTTCTCAACCATAGTATAATAGGACCTTATAGTTTACAAGCACTTCTACACATATGTCTACTTTGTCTCTTAATTTTACTGTCTTGGCATGATATTGCTTTTACTTTACCTTATAACCTTGCACTTGCTTTATTTACTTTGATTTTACAATAAATACCTATCTATAACTCTATTATATACTAGTTTTGAACACTTTTCTATTTATAGCTTAATTTTACAAGAAGATCTTGCTTATCTTGCTTATCATTGCTATTGTCTTTGCCTTACTTGCTTTACTTTGCTCCACCATTATACCTTTTGTTAGAGCCCTTGTTGCTGTTCTTAAAGTTGCCTTGGTCAATTATGACCTTGGATTGTGTATTATACATTGTACCATACTAGCTGTATACTATGTAACCTTAGATTGCCACAAACAACCTTGCTAATCCTTGTACACTCTTTATGCTATCTTGTACCCTATTTTATTACTCATAAAAGATCCTTTGATTTTTAAAGAAGTTGCATCTGGGAAATGCCTCTCTTGTATTAAGCTCTAATTAATGATAATTTTATGAAATTTTACTAAAATAGCATTAGCATTTTTTTGCTTACCCTCTCTATTATTTTAAGAGCTGATTACAGCTAATTAGTTGGATAGATTTTCGGAAAAATAGAATCTATTATAGTATTATTATTTCTTGCTATTACTACAATCTATAACCTAGAGATATCTATAAAGGTTACTACTTGAATATTTATAGCTAAAGTCTTATTTTATAAAGAACTTGTCTTTGGCCAGAGTTGAACCTACAACCTTATAATTATACACATTCTAAATAGACGCTCTAAACTACTCAGCTATAAGGTTAAACTAATATCTTGGTAATTCAAATATATTAACATAATTTAGGCAATCTCAATATTTCTAATCTTATTACTTACTTATTTTTGATTTACTTTTGATCAAAAAATATTCAAAAAATCAGGGCTTTTATAATCTCAATTTATGTACTAAATAAGAATATGATATACTAAATAAAAATAAAGAATACACTCTATGTAGGATAAAAAAATATTCTGGTACTTACATAATTTGGATTTAGAGTCTGTATTATTGTACTTGAGTTATAGATTTGAGTAAACTCTAGAGTTATAATAAACATGGTATTTATTACAGATTTGATCATAAAGAGAATTATAGATAATTATTTATAATATATCCTAATTATTTTAGATAAGCATTATCAATAATTACGTATAATTTGGATTTAATATAAGGGGGGGTTTCTAGATGTTATTGTATGTACCTATTAGATAGTATAGGTCTTATAATACACTTCTCCTTATTTACCTTATCTCACTACTATACTCTTTACTAAATATTACTTTGTTTCTTAATTGTAGCATAACAGAACCTTATAGTTTATAAGCACCTCTATACATAGTTTTTCTTTATCTCTCAATATTCCAGTCTTAGCATAATGGCAATTTTACTTTACCTTATAACCATATGTTTATTCTACTTACTTTGATTTACTATAAATACCTACTAGCAATACTGTAATAGACCAGTTTTGAATATCCCTTGGTTTAGAGCTCAACTTCACAAGAAGACCATACTTATATTGTGCCTCATCAATATTGCTCTCATTTTACTCAATTAGTCCCATATTCTTTATTGCCTTTATCACCAAAGCCTTTGTTACTGCTCTTAAAGTACTCTTGGTTGCTTATAACCCTAACCCATATACTTATATATAGCTCACATAATATTGTATTACCTTATTCAACTATCCTTAATACCTCACTAGATATCTTACATAATATCTTATAGTATGTATCTTATACCCTATTTTGTAATTCACAAAGGTCTTTTAATATTCTAGTAAAGTCAGCTCTCTGCCTACTCTATATTTAGTAGTGTGTTTTATGTTGTGTTTTCATATACAGAGCCTATTACAAACTACTTGTTCAGTAACCCTAAGAGTAAGAGGTTCTTTCCTAGGTTGCTCGTGGAGGAAGAGTGGAACAATGGTCTCAATTGTACATGTAACACAAGAGCCAGGTGTGTATTGTAGCATAGGCAATAGAACAAAGGTTGCAGTGTGAAGACTGCCATGGAATAAAGTTCTGTATGTGAGGATACAGAAAAGACAAGAGAATAGACTAAAGAATGTTAGCCTATTCTATGGGCCTTTTATACTACTTTAGGAAAGGGTGTGAGAATCCTGTATATATATCCATAGGTATTCTCTAAGTTGTTTCCCTCTCAAAACAACTACTCTTGCTTCTTTGCTTGCCTCCTTCTGACCAGGAGGACAAGGAGCTCTATGCCTATGTGTGAGTAGTTTGTAAGGTGGGAAAGGATGCCTGCTATAACAGGCTTGTGATACTTGACCAATGATGGATGATCCATTGGGAGTGGATGACCAAAGATTATATCTGTACCTTAGTGTATGCCTTAGGGTGAGGCTACCTAGTAGTTATAATAATTGTTGATATGCTAGAGGCAGCTCTAAGTGCCAAGCACAACACTCAAACAACCTCTAATGTAGGGGTGCTAGAGCTAGTATCTGATACCCAAGGAATTGTTAGTGATGACTTTAGAAATCGAAGGTGTACTGAGAAACAATGGGGAGTATGAGATTATAGCACCCGAACAGTTTCAGAACTATGCCAAACACCAACCAAATGTTTGGTCAGTTGAGTCAGGGATTTGGTCGGTAATGAGAAGGTAGTGTCACGACCAACAACTACGTGCTTCAAGAGCTACATGGGACTCTGACAATATATGAGGGAGGATGGGGGGTATGAGTGAAGAGATGAGTACGAATGCAAATGAGGCTGAACGACAAGGATAACAAGTTTTTGGGAGTTGATGAAGACAATTTTGATGGTTGAGATGAGTGTGAATGAGCTCTGAACTGTGGGGTGTGAAAGCTGGTTTATTCCAGAGTTGTATGTAGGTTTTTATAGTAAACAGAGCCCCTAAGTAAAATATCAAACATAAAATGAGGGTAGACATCAAATAGGCACCAAGCCCTAGCAATCAGAGAAGATAAGAAGGTAGGTGAGATGTCCATATGGGTTTCGAAGGTGATAAGGTAAAAGTTACTCAGCGATGGCAAAATCCTGAATGTTTGGGATTTGTCACCTGAGTGTAGGTAGCAGGAACAGGCGTTGGTGAGCCAATGAAAATAAAGAAGATATAACGTACAACCAGGGTGGCCAAGTAATGGTACAAGATTGTGTTTGACCGACCATGTGGAAGTCAGGAAGATAAGCGATAAGGACTGACTGACTTATGGAGCACATCGGCTGACATGGAATACTGGCTCTGATCTCATAAACACCTATCGTAATACTCCTATGCAGTCATGGTAAGTACATAAAGTGTGGGCAAACTGACCCAAGTGCTGCCGAATGTCCTTTGGTGGGTTACAGTCGGTCGGGTGGGGGCCGACTGTGTTCAGTGCAAGTTGGTGTCTTTGGTACTCATCTAGCGCTGTTCGGTGTCTTCCCAAAGCTTCCCGAATACCTCCCTCGGACCCTAGCGTGGGTGCATGCTCATCATTGTATCAGAATAGACCACCATTAAGGCCTGATAAGTCATGATTATAACAGAGCCATTGCTAGCATATTAGCATGTAGATAAGAAGGCTGGTATTTGTTGACTAAACTTATATGCAGTAGATTGTATACATGATACCAGATTATGTCATATAGTTGATTATCAATATTTGTTTCTAAGATTATAGAAGATTCCTAGTAATTATAGATATGACAAATGATGCAGCTTAGCAATGGCTGGCTATTATAGTTATGTCATATAGGGTTTTGTTGAAAATTGCTAGGATCTTGGATATATAAGATAAAAGAGAGGTTTTTAGCAAATAATGGTTAATATGTGGGCTATAAAAATAGTATGAGGATATATATTCTTTTTATCTACTATAGTCTTCCTACTATAGTATATTTTGTCCATTATAGTTCCCCTACTATAGTTCTCCAAATATTATCAACTCATATACTATTGTATAGTCAAGACCATTGTTCTACTCTTTTTTATTATGAAATTTAGGGAAGAACCTACTACTCTTGGGATTATCAAACAAGTAGTTTATCATATATAGATGAAAGACTAATTACTACAAAGAAGAGAATTTATATAAAAATGCTATTTAGTTTTTGAAATAGAGCTTGTAAAAGTAGTATTAAGCATAAGAAGAAATAAATATGGCAATTCTTTTTTAGAGAAGAAAAAGAGTTTTAATAATATAAAAGTAGAAAAACTATATTAAATGAGCAAAGTTATTCAAGATGGAAGAAGGATAGAGATGGCAAATCTTTCCTAGAAAAAACACATAATAAAAGCTTTGTAGATAACAAAGCACTTTGGAAAAAATTATATAATAAATTAGGGGACCTCAATGAAGATAGAAAAGAAACAGATATGAAAAAAAATTCCTAGATAGAGCACTAATAATAGAAAAAGACATTAATTTGAAAAATCCAAAGAAAAAATAGTGGCAACAATATAGTAATTTATTCCTAAGGAAAATACACATACAATATATGAAACAGTATATTAGAATGATCTAAGCATGGTAAATAAGGCAATGTTACACAAGTGAGGAAAATGGCAGCAAAAAAGGTTATTGAAAACAATAGCAATATACTAAACAAAAGTAAATAAAATATAGAAATTTGTATTATATTATGGTAGGCTTAGATACAGCTAGTTATTTCCAATTTCTACTACTCCACTTAAGCTCTAATAAGGGCTCTATAAGAGACTAGCTAGGCTCACTAAGGGCATTTTTGGTAGAGCATACCAAATAAGAGTTCAACTTAGCCAAATTTTCATGATTGAGCTCCCTTTGGCTTCCTCTTGTATCCACACTTATTATCTTTTTGTATAAACACAAAGATGAGTTTATATAAATATTATTAGGATAAGTGTATATATATAATCAACTAAATAATAAGGAAAAAAATTCTTGCTCTGTAGTATATAAAATAATATTGCCTAAGTCAGAAATTGAACCAGCAGCACAAAAGGACCAAAAACAAACTTAATAATTTAGCTATTAGAAGCACACTAAAAATATTCAGTCAACAGCCAAAATATATTTATATTCTAAGGGTTACTAGAAGTTCTTTTATGATTTTGCCTTTAAAAAGCTTTTTGAGTGTGTTTAATCGCCATATTTAAGTATAACAGTAATAAGATATCATTAAACCCACTTGTTATAATTATAGTCTGCCGGGACCTATAAAGGTCTAGTCTAACCAGCAACTAATCATTACAAGTACTGGGTGATGCCATTTATAGCACAAACATTATGGTCTAGGGTATAATTCTTAGGTCATCAACTCCTAGTGGATATCAGCATTACTAGTTAAGTATCAGAGAATATATTCTAGAAGGGATATCAAAGAAAGGACTAATTACTACTTCACAAAGAAACCTATCTTGTTGGAACTCCTATGTCAAAAGGAAATGATAAAAGAAGCATAAGAGTAGGTGCTAAGAGAAAGCAGTGACCATTAGAGAATTTCTGAGGGAAAGTAACAGAATTCTCATAACCTCCTAAAGTAGTATATAAGGTCCACAGAATAGGCTAAGGATCTTTGGTCTATTCTCTTCATTCTTAGTTAGCCTCTACACTATCTATTTTTGTTTAGTATAGTCATCTAACTATATCTCCATGAATACTACCTCCTCCTATACAATCATATAGTCAAGGCTATTGTTTCATCCTTTCTTATCGTGCAACCTAGGGGAGGACCTCCTACTCTTGGAGTTACTGAATGAGTAGTTCATAATACCACTTAAAAAGCTTGTTAGAAGCAAAATTATAAAAGGATCTTTAGTAACCTCTAGAATGTGAATATATTTTGGCTATTGACTGTTTTTAATATGCTTCTAATAGCTGAATTGTTAAGTTTGTTTTTGGTCCTCTTATACTACTAGTTTAATTCTTGACTTAGGCAACATTATTTTATATACTACAGAGCAAGAAATCTTTTTTTCTTTTTATTTAGTTGATTATATATATATACTCATCCTAATAGCACCTATATAAACTTGTCTTTGTGTTTATACAAAAGGGTAATAAGTATGGATGCAAGAGGAAGCTAGAGAAAGCTTAATTATGAAAATTTAGCCAAGTCAAACTTTTATTTGGCATATCCTACCAAAAACACCCCTAGTAAGCCTAGGCAGATTAGAGTTGGCTTGGCTTGTCCAGCCATAATAACTCTAATAGAGACATGTCATAGCCTTTTAAAGCCTACTTGGTCTACTCCACTTGGTAAGCACAGGGCTAATATTATGGTAACAAAGCCCTAGGAATATACAAACTATGGTCACTACTCTTATAAAAAGTTATACTACTTTCCATCAATCTGTAACCACATGCTCCAATTTCTTTGTTCATTCTTACTACCTTCAAAAAGCCAGTTAACTGTGATAACTTCAAGAAAACCTTCACTTTCTTTTGGTTCTTCAAACTTTTCTGCAAAACTTGAAAATGCCATGTAAGGTAGAAAATCTCTGTGTGGCTGCATTGGAGCATAATTAGCATACTATATAAACTCTTGCAAATCAACCATATCTCACCTCATGTAATGCAATAGAAGCAGGTAAATTAAAAGCCCGATAGAGGTTGTTGTGCCATGCCAATTCCACCGAACCTCTAAAATAAAAACATCTAGACCAGGTCGTTAGCTATTGTATTCATATCAGCAGCTAAGTTTATCCCAACCTTATTCTTACATCTGATTTCCGCGCTAGTTCAATGTAATGCCTCCGGGTCTGCACATCCCGGTTAGTGTTGTCTGCGCGTGCCACTATGAGCTTATCCAGCCAAAATGTATAAACATGATTTACCGATGACGCAACTCTTCCCGGCTCTAATTGCCTCATCTACGGCTTTGAGACATTTCGGACGAGAACCTAGCGTGTCCTGGTTGATGTGAGCATACCCCGCAGTTCTGAAGTGCTGCCTATAGAACGAAGATTTGCCGATGCAAGGAAAGCCAACAAAGAGAACTATTTCAGGGAAAGACGCCGCGGTTGCTGGAATGATAGATGTTCCTACGGGCAAAATGCGTGGCACTACAAGAAGCTCAGCATATCAGGTACACACACTTCTCTTCAAGGACATACCTGATTCGAGTGACGATACATTGAAGCCTGGTAGTTTGTAGGAAGCCTCGGAAAGATTGAGAAAATAAGCCTAGAATAACTTCGGTCGCGTAAACTGGGTCCGAACTCTTTATCACTGACCTCCGGTGTATGAAACGGCAGTTCGACATTCAGCGCAAACTTCCTATCTGTTGAAGCAAAATCGTTCGGACGACCTGCGGCATCACCGACATAGAAAGAAGTGGCTTTGTCTGAAAAATGATAGATGATGAGCGAACGACTCCAGTTGTGTGTCAAGGGCATTGACCTATTTCAACACCTTCGGCTTTGAACACGCGTTCAAGCTCATACCACATACCGGGCATAGGCTTTCGATAACCATCTTTGGCTGTAGCAGCAAGTAATCGAAACGGAACGTCAGGGAGCTATATATCGTTGTTACATGTGAGAAAATAAAGCAGACAAGGAGGACTCACTGCCGAGGCAACCAGTGAGATCTTTTTCTTCCATTCCTCAAGTTGCGAAGACCTGATAGCTTGATTGGAAATTAAGACGACAGCAGACCTGATGATGATAGGGCAGTCAATTTCAATAGCCACAAGATATATTGGAGCCGAAAGTGAAGTAGCACTAACCCAGAATTGTGTACCTCTTTGAGTTTCTTGGGTACGACATCCTTCCACCACTTCCATTCTGACGGCGACTTCTTCTTCTTGAAGATGTGAGACTGAAGCAACGTGCCATCAAGGTCGAATGCGGCGACTGTCGTGGATGCTCGGGGCGACAGATTGACACCGTGCAAACAGGTGCGTTTCGGACCCAATGGGGCCAGCCATTGAAAACTCGCTGTGGACGATGGCTGACTTTGTTTTGCGAAGATGGGAAATACTGAAGAACATAAAAAAATCGCCGAAGCAGGGGCATGGTGGGCTCACCCTTAACAATCTTCTGGGGAGTTTCACTCTCTACAAGCGCATCTCGAGACAATGGTCGTTTCTTTGAGTCTTGTAAGAGACATGAGTAGTTGAGACTTGACACGATCAAGGTAGATACATACTGGAAAGGTTCGTGGACAGCTTCGATGACGATGCCATGGATCTCGACGATACGCAGACGCGTCCCCGCGGTCGGAGTGGTGGTCGGACGTGTCGCAAGACGCGTTGCATCATGAGTTTCAGACGCCTTGGCCTCGGCTCGTTGAGCATAGGTAATCAGCATGTACGTACAAAGCGGAAAACATATCTCTCGATCAAGGATAAAGTAGTGTCTTTACTCTCCTCGTAATTCTCGTGAGAGCTCCTTCCTTTCCTTTTAATTTATTCTTCACCTCTCCTCCTTATCCGTCCACCATGTCTCACACCAACCATGACAATATCTGGACCGATGCCATCACTCCGCACCCGACGATGCAACACTTCCCTTCGGAACCCCTGTCTCCTCACCCTTCGACGTTGGTCTCCACCTCTTCGCCTCTCCCGTACAAACAGGATCCGTGGACTTTCTTCCGCACACGAAGACGCAGATCTCTGATAGCGCTTCTCCTAGTCGCGTCCTTTCTGCTCTTATTCTTCGCTCAGGCGCGAATAGGTGAAGATAGAGAGAGACGGATATGTTTTGACTCTGTCAAGCTGGACGTCGGACGCGACCAAGCGCACCTTACTGTCCAGTCCCCATCGGCTGTCACCGTCACTGCACCAGCCCGGACAGAAACTGTCACTATCTATGAAAACGCGCCGATAATTCCCGCTGTGACTGCCTCTCCACCCGCCACCACAGAACCTGTTTACCAGCCGCACACTGTTGAGTCAGTTGTATTTGCGTTCATCATGTGGTCCGAAAATTCAGCCATAGAAGGTTCAATTCTTATCAAGGTGAGGTCTTTGGTTTTTAGTCTGTGACAGTAGGAAGCGCAACTGATTCCGTAAATGTCCTGTAGTCGGCGATCATGTATAGCACACGCCCGCTTGAATTCCATATTATCTGTGATGAACCCTCACAGAACTATCTGCAGGGACGTCTTTCTCTGCTTCACCACCCTGTGTTCGATGTCACTGTGCGCTTTTATCGTCCGTCTTGGCAAAGTATGGTAGACAGGATCAGCCGCGAAGGTGGAATCAGCACGGACCATTCCGCTGGTGTCCGTAAGTCGTCGTAAGGACCGCGGCCGCTATTCGTTGAGACTGACAACCTGTTCTCTAGCCGGCCTTATGAAGCTCTTCATTCACGAGATTCTACCGGACAGTGTCGCCAAAGCCATATATGTCGATACAGACGCATTCTTCCTCACAGATCCCACTTTACTTTGGCAAACCTTCGCACACATGAACGCATCAACGGCTATCTCCATGCCCACACATCCCGATCAAAAGACTCCACATTGGCATAATGCCTCCAAAATCTGCTCCTGCATCATGCTCCTCGACCTTTCTAAACTTCGTGCCCTCCGCCTCATGGATTCTAGCTTCTATCGAGACGATACGTCTGGACTTTTCCCCCCTGCGCTCTCACCTCCGACGTTTGAGGCTCTTTTCGGTCCCCCAGGCCCTGACGGCCACTACAAAGATGTTGCCCTGGGAGACCAGGGGTATTATTGGGCTATTGTCAGCAATCGTACAGACCTATTTGAGCATCTTTCGTTTGACTGGGAGGTGTCGAGTTGCCTGCTTGACATGTATGGGACCGGCGTCGGACATGACGATGCGACAGAAGAAGAACAGCGGCGCGCTATGCTCCATTTAAACGAGACCCCTCACCAGGGCGAGGCAATCATGCCCAAACTTCTCCACTTGTGAGTCTCTCTTCGTTTACGCATCTTCTGTAGTTGAAATGATACATCGCTCGCTTTTCAGCAATTGCCTCGACGGCGTTGATGTTTACTTTGAATGGACCGGCTGGTACGATCCCGACAACAGCTTGACGCAGCGTTGGGGGTCTGCACTCGACTACCATGTCGGCACGAAGTGGATATGGTTGAATCGTGGTCATGGCAAACTCGACATGGACACGATCGTTGAACCGCTATTTGCCGACCAACGTTTTGCACTAGAACACTCACGTGGTTTTACGCCATGATTTGACCTTGTTATATGATACCATTAATCTGCTTAGATTTACTCACAAGTATATCCCTTGTCTCAATTATTGTATCTATCAATCCTTATTTTCACACGTCTAGACGACACAACATCAGGTTTGATCTCCAAAATATTCTCTATCCGTCGTGGGCTTCACTACAATTTGCGACTGCTTTGGTTTTGGTCGATGTGTGTCGACTGCACCGATAGGTAATGTGTATCTAGATTGAAAGTCAATCTTGCATCATAGGTGGCAGTCAGGGATAGCTACCTTTCCTCGTCACAACCATATGCTTTCGGAGTGAGCTTGATGACAGTATGCAAAGGGATCTTGATGTATGGTAGATCGGCTTGGGGGAGGTTATGGAAATATGCGTAACTGTAGAGCGCGTACGTCAGAGAGAAATCAAGATCAATTCAGATCACTCACAGGCACCGAAGAATAGCCTAACACATAACCTGCCTTCAGCAAGCGTGGGCAAATGAGGGTAGTCCTACGTACCTGGTGACCAATAATGAGGATGTTCTCTTGCCGTTCAAGCTCCATGATCACAGGCTCCAGACGAACGACAACATCTCGGTAAGATTCACCCCCTAGAAGGGCTTGAATCACTTATTTTCTGATCTAAAGGATCAAACGATACCTCGATATCTGTAATTGAATTTGTCCTCGTCTCGATTTGCGAAGTCCTCCGGATATGCTTGCTACAATACAAATCAGAGCAGCTGAACCCGGCACCAAAAAACAATTACCTCTATCTCTTCGTAGGTCATCCCATCGCAAACACCAGCGTCAAGCTCGTCCAGTGACTTCCAAGTCAGTTTGGTGTATGGTAGCTGATGTGCAGTTTGTATTGTGCGTTGCAACGTGGATGTCCAAACCTGAAACGGCACGACATATGGCAACAGCAGCGATATGACAGCAAAAAATGTACCGTTAGCGGTGCATCGCCAATATTGTCTGTGATGAGAGCTGGCAGCATGGTGGCGTAACGCATCCCACGTTCAGACAGGTACGAATCACCTCCAATCTTTCCTTCAACATTGAATTGGCTTTCTCCGTGCTGCAATTTTCAAAAGTTAGCGCAACGTTGGCCATCCATCAGGAAGAACTCACACGTGAAAAGAATATACTCCTCGGCTTCAGGTGCAGATTCATCAAGTAGAACGCAATTCGACTCTGTAAGTACCCATGGATCCGACAGACGGTAGTCTGATTTCCGACATTGGTGATGCGCAGATACGACAGGTGAGGTTCTGTTATTGTCTCGTATACAGATTCGTATTGTTTGATACGGCGAAGGAAGTCCTGCTTGGCATCTTCCGGAGACATGTCCTTGTAGTCCGGGTCACCCGAGCTTACTTTCAGTGCGACATTTGCCGCAATGAGCGCCGGATCATCGCAAACGGATTCGAGAAAAATGACAACGATGCCCTTTTCCTTGGCTACGCGGGCTTCGATCTTAGCTCTAGAGCACTGCCTGTAAGAGAAAATATGACTGAAATAATCATGAAATTTCACCTTCGAGCTCGCGTGCTATTCGTGGCATCTATGAGGCACAATCAACAATTAGTGCCCCCGACGTTAGAAGTAAGAGCTTGTTCACCATGAATTCCAACATTGCCGCCTTCCTTCAACCACTGTATCAACATTTCTAGACTGTCTTCTGCAAGTTGGTCGCGCGATCGTGTTGCTTCAACATTATCATGACTAAAATAAGATGCCGTGTGATCCTCTTTGATCCCGCTCCTGAAGAGTGTATTGGCACAATCAGCAGCATCCGTATGAGTGATAACTACTTACTGCTGTTTCTTCAGCCTTGCACGGCTACGCCGTAGTTGGCCGACATTGAAAACCTGTACCATCTCTTCAGCGAATGGTAAATGTGGAGAGATGCACATGCGATATGAACCTTGACATCATATTCCAACCACTGATCCATAATGAGTACATCCCAGCCAACGGTCAACGCGATTGGCTAACCTGCAGGTAGCGCATGAGCTTATTACTCAGGTATGATTTCCCTCGAGCAGGCAATCCAACCTGTAGGAATGCATCAACAATCTGATCATTAATGCTTGCGCGAGTTTGTGCCCGTACCATCGCCAACACGATCTTGGCTTCAGAGTAGTCAGGCTTTGCAACTATGTCAATGATCAGCAATCTAGCTTTTTGGATATATATACGTCAGACATACCCTTGCCTCCGATTCCAACTACCGATCGCGGCGGGGTCGTTGCCTGAGAGCCCTTCCGACTGGAAATATTAGATTCATCGAATTGTTTCAGCCTGTAGTAGTTCCATGAGAGTACCATCCAAAGACTGATATCCCAATCAAGTCATCCTTACATTGGTCCACCAGCTCCGAATAAGGCTGGCGGTTCCAGCGAAGCGTTCGAGGGAGCAGGTATGATATCCTTTGAGTGATTTACCAGAGCATTGTCGACCCTTGTCAAGTCCTCAGGTTCGAGGTGAAAGGCAGGGCTTGTAGGTGTAGTGAAGACCGAGTCGGCCATCGCTATCGTACCCAGATGAACGAGGAGAGTTGGCTAGTGCAATTCATGTGATTACGAATATAGCAAGCACTTTACGGGGTAGATCCAGATCTGCACAGCCCCGACTCTGTTTGGCAACAGCCTTGGGATAAAACAACCTCAGCCTCCGCCCTGCAGTCTATGGGCATAAGTAGTATACTGTACATCTTCACGTATTCTTACAACATTACTCTACTGTGATGCAACATCAAGATAATGCACCTCTGAGCATGCCCGCAACCTCTCCGCAGCCTGTTCCGGCGTCAGATCTCGCTGAGACTCGGCCATGAGCTCGAAGCTGACATCGCATTGCTGAATGAGACATTTTGTGAGATTAAAGTGAGATCGACGCACCCAACCAGGAATTTCTTTACGCTTGCACTTCTCAGAAGTGGGGGATAGAAATGCAAGTGCAGATGCGCCACGTTCTCGTCTTCGTCGTCTTCGCTTGGGGTACCATCTTTCGGCGGTACGGGACGCTGATGAATACCCATGGAGTATGCGAACGAACAATTAAAAAGGTTGTCGTATCTCCTCGTGATGGCTGAGAGAATGCTTGCGAATGAGAGCTTCTCCTCGGTAGAGAGATGGACGAGGGAAGGGACATGACGATGATGAGGCAGCACTGCAGAGTAAGATGTTGGTTCGCTAAACAGCATGAGTATGCCGCAGATCACCTACACATAATCTCAAAAGGCCACGTCGCCCACCACGGCACCACAGCTACCCAATGCTCGTTACGTGCAACAACGCGCCCCTTGTCCCTTGAGACACCAATCTCAAAATGTATGTATTCGCAGAGCATACATGGTCTGCCCTTCGGACCACGTGGTGCCTCTGACGGTGCAACTTCAGGATTAAGAGAAAAGTGGGCGAGCGAGGCGAGTTCTGTCGACGGAAATGTGGGAACCTCGGTGAGGGACCACACTTGACCATGAGGGTGAGGATTAGAACATCCCATCATCGCACCCTTGTTCTGTGTAGGCTCTAAGCAAGAGCAGAGGGACACAGGTTCCACAATGACGCCTACCTCGAAGATTTGAACATATTTTATTCCTTCCTGTGTACCGCGTTCCTTGTACACCTTGATCCACTCCTCGATCACCTTGTGAATGTCGTTTAGGGCTAGCCGTGCGAGGGTGAGGTCATGGCGAGGATGGAAGATGATGACGTCACATCCCCCCTCGACAGGTTTCATGGCCAAGAGTGGGTGTGGGGCGGTAGGTGCAACTGGGCCAGGAGGAGGCAGCACAGCAGCGAAGTCGTTGGTGAAGACCATGGTGGAATCGTAAGCCGAGTTCTTCTGACCACCAACACGGTCATTTCCCGGGCAGAGGTAGCATTCGGGATCATACTCCGGCAACGATGACGACTGTGGAGGCTCTGTCTGGCCTAGCCATGGACGTTTCGTCCTGTGAGGAGAAACGAGGATGTACTCATTTGTGAGTGGATTAACTACCAGTAAGAGATTAGATGTGGCTACGAGGAAAACGAACGAAAGGAAAATACGAACAACGACGGTGGGGATGGGTCGATGGATCGAACGCTTCAGCCATCGGATCGATGATGTGAAGAGGAACTTCATTCTGTCTGTGGAGAATCGAGGGCTCTTTATAAGACGATCTGCTCAAGTGAGCCTTGACGGCTTCCGCCGGCACACCGGTCCGTTACTCTGCACCTGCCTCACCATGTCCGACTCTGTCTCCAAACGTCGTCGCATCCAACGGTCCCCTTCTCCGGTCTATAAGCTAGATGACACAGATGCCTATGAACCTTATGTCCCCGTAGCCCAACGCCGGCAAGCAAAGATTGCAAAGCTCTCATCGTGGGGGGCCAATGGTGACAGAGACAAGGCGCGTCGGCTGCAGGAGGAGATGGAGGAAAAGGAGGACGAAGAGATGGAGGAAGTGAGACGAAGAGAAAAGGCTCGTAAGGAGAGGACATTATTGATGGAGGCCCAGGAAGTTCATTCCAAAAAGGCTGCCGAAGGTGCGTGGCGTGGTTCTTCCTGTGTCTCCTCGACGCTCATGCCCCACTCCAGATGCAAAGAAGACCGACGCCGAAAAGACTGCAGAGGAGGAAGCTCAGATTCTTGCTGCTATTGCGAGCAGAAAAAAACTGGCGTCCGATATGGAGCTGGCCAAAGGTATCCAGTATACAGAAGCTCTTAAAACAACGTTCGTGTTCACCTTCATTTCACCCACCATGTCATTAACACACAGTCGACAGATGGAGACCGCCCAAGTATATACGAGATACTCCAGTAGAAGAGATCCAAAAGATACGCGACAAGTATCACATCGTTGTGGAGGGTGACGAAGCTACACCACCCATCGAGCATTTCGCCGTGAGAAGCGCTCTTCTGTCCAAAGTATTCATGATCCAGCTAACTTGACAACTTCAGGACATGAAGATACCTGAACCACTGTTGAAGTTTCTGAAGTCAAAACGTATAATCACTCCAACGCCAATTCAACTACAAGGCCTACCAGTAGCGTACGTCTCTTGGACGTCTGTCTGACTGTCGGCTGACTTATTATCAGGCTCTCAGGCCGAGACATGATAGGCATTGCGTTCACCGGTTCTGGGAAAACACTTGCATTCTGCCTCCCGCTTATGATGCTTGCTCTCGAGGAAGAAGTCAAACTCCCTTTTATCCGTGGTGAAGGCCCGGTCGGCGTCATATTATGCCCCTCGCGCGAACTGGCATCGCAGACATATGAAAACATCCTGCAATGGGCCGAGGCTCTCTCGAGCACAGGTCAGTATCCTCGCTTGAACACACTGCTATGCATGGGGGGTATTTCGATGGGGGAGCAAAGCCACGTGTTAAATAAGGGGCTGCACATTGTTGTTGCCACTCCCGGGCGGCTCATCGACATGCTCGAGAAGAAGAAGTTTAACTTCGACAGCTGCAAGTACATGTGCATGGATGAGGCGGATAGGATGATTGACTTGGGCTTTGAGGATGACGTACGGAACATCATGAGCTTCTTTAAGGTGCACATCCCTATATCTGCTGCGTCAAATGAAGAGTCCTGATGAACCGTATTCGACAGCGCCAGCGCCAAACTCTCCTCTTCTCGGCCACCATGCCCCGTAAAATCCAGGACTTTGCCCAACAATCCCTCATCCAACCTGTCCTAGTCAACGTCGGTCGCGCTGGTGCAGCCAATTTGGACGTCCTACAGGTCGTAGAGTATGTTAAGCAAGAGGCCAAGATGGTTTATCTCCTTGAATGTTTGCAAAAGACTGCTCCTCCGGCGATCATTTTCAGCGATAACAAGAACGAAGTCGATGGCAAGTGAACATTGTCATTTATTCACTTAAAATTAATGATTTCACTGCATGCTTCAGACATTCAAGAATATCTTCTTCTTAAGGGCGTAGAAGCAGTGGCCATACACGGTTCTAAATGTACGCCAGTCTCCAACGTGTATTCTGATCTAAGGCTTACTAACATGCTCGGCCATACTCGTAAGCGCAAGAAGAACGACAATATGCCATCAAGTCTTTCAAATCCGGTGCGAAAGATGTCATGGTCGCGTCAGGTGTTGCCTCCAAGGGGCTTGATTTCAACGACATCCAACACGTCATTATCTTCTCTATGCCCAAAGAGATTGAGGACTATGTCCATCAGATCGGCCGCACTGGGCGAAGTGGTAGAACAGGTATCGCAACGACCTTCGTAAACATGAATACATCAGAGCAAACCTTGTTGGATCTGAAATATCTACTCATGGAGGCGGGCCAGAAGTGCGTGCCGTGTGGTTTCACTATCCGTCAAGGAATCTTGACACCTGTGTTCCGGTTTTTAGAGTCCCGCCATTCCTGCAAACTATCGAGGACCCGCGAGCTGCACAAGGCGGATCACTCAAAGGATGTCCAGTCTGCGGAGGTATTTTGGCTCTATATGTTCCTATGTTCTTCGAGCTTATTCGTGGCCTAAGGTCTTGGACACGGTATTTCCAATTGCCCGAAACTGGAAGATACTCAACGCAGACAAATGGCCTCCCACCATGGCGCGCAAGACATCGGCGGCTATTGATTCTATCAGTGGATTGCTATGCAGCACTTCCTGTGTGTATTTCTTTATGATGTTCTTACTACTCATTTGTCTGCGTGAGAATCCCGCGGCTCGATAGTTGTGATCGATTCATGTATCTTTATTTTTGACCCGAATGTAGTCACCTGAGTAGCTCCAGCTTAATATTGTGAACACATAAACACTGTACTTCATTCATCAATAATAGCAAGGGCTTTAACATGAATTTTTGCGGCAGAATTGTCGTAGAAAGGCGTGACACACACCACATGACGTGACTAGACGTGATCGACTGGAAGTTCAGCTGTCGTTGCAGACAACCAACTCTCAAACTGCTGCTATGAACAAACAACCGGGGTACTGGTACCCATCCATGGGCAACCAGGAATTGATAGATTGCTTCGATACTTGGGGAATCAAATTGACCACCCAACAGCTCCTTAAACCGTCCCCCGAGTTCGTGTACGACGTTTACCTCGCTTGCATTCTCCAGGTGAACGGGGTGACACAGCAAGTGCTGGATGAAAGGCTCGAAATATTACTGGCCGCGATTAATGAGCCTAATCCGGTATCGTTGATTTTGATCCTATCCATGCTACCGAGTGCTAACTCTCATTGGCGCAAAGGATATCTTTGGAAATAGCCTTAGCCAAAACCTCATCTTGTACCAGATGTGAGTACCTCCCATTGAGACTCATCAAGCATACGTCCTTGAACCACACTTTCAAGATCTCGCCTTGCAGATGCTGCGAAAGTGCCAGATTTCAATATCAAAGACCTGACCTTTCCTGATTCAACTCGGACGTGTGGCATACTCTGTGCCATTGCGAATTTCATCAAATTCAACGAACAATGCGAGGTCTTCATCTCCGAGCTTCGCGACGGGTCTGCTGCTCTTGTAAAAGAACGAGAGATCGTCGCAATGGAGCTAGCTGAAGTGCGAAGGAACAATGCTGCACTCAGGTATCTTCAAGTCATTGCTATCCCGATCGCTTATCCTACATTGTTGCAGTGCAAAGCAAGCGGAGGACAGACCTATGTGTGAAAGCCTTCAACAAGAGAATGCAGGTCTCACGGCACACCTGATTGCGCAAAAAGAGATACAAGGGGTTCTGCTGAAGGATATCGAAAATCTCAAGGCGGACAGGGAGTCTCTAGTGCAACGAAAAGTTCATGTCCTCTATATTGATGAGTTTATAAAACTGACCCTTTTTCTCCACAGGAAGGGCTCAATGCAGACAGTGCAGTTGTGTCCGATACAGTAGCACGTACACGTTCTCGCATTGTACAGTCTCCGGAACGTATCAGACGCAATATCTCAAGTATGAGCACAACGGCAATGGAGGACAAGAAGACACTTGGAGCTCAAGAGGCGAAAGCTCGCGATCTTCAGGCCAAAATCTCCGCTCTCTTGAATATTGAAAAGGTTTTGTATTTTACATCTATGTTTTCTGTCGATCTAACCACATTTCTTTTTACGCCTATTAGGACGTCCGAGGGGCCTTGGAGCAGCTACAAACTATTGAGAAGGAAGCTTACGCTCTTGAACTCACCCAAAAAGAGTTCATTGACACTCGAGACCATCTCGACCAAAAGAAAATCGAGCGTACAGAATTAGAGATGAAATATCAAGCAAGCTTTGTTCCGCCCTATCTATCAAGTGTGAAACTCATGTCATTTGTGTTCCTTAGCGTGTGCAAAAACAGCTATCAAACGCTCAAGAAAAATTAGAACGCGCACAACAACACGCCGAAGATAAGCGGCTTGCCGGTCAACACACGATTGAGCGATTGCAACGCGAATATGAAGAAATGGTTCTCGACCGCCGTGACAATGAAAAGCAGGTAGAGGAGTTGCGCAGTAAGGCGAATGAGTTTGAACGACAGGTCAGATCGTCTTCCCAATGTTGAGGTACAGAGGCTTACCACAACCCGCAGATGGCTGAGCATCTACGCAGTTGCGAAGCTGAGCTGAACGAGCTGCTCACAGAGTATTGGAAACTGCGACATGAGACTGGTGTGTCTTTGTACCTATTGAGCCATTTTGCAAGATACTGAATCTATTACAGAGGTATATATGGAGATACTCGCAAACAAGCTAGGCATGCGTGTTTCTGCAACCTAAGGGGATTTCTGAATTCAAATATATGTGTCTCGCCTACCAGTGTATTGATTGTGTTAGTATCATGTATACCTATATCATTATTATCAGTTCCCCTTCCGTACCGAGCCACATCATCTAGGAATTACATTAGTACAGAATTGAATAGTACAGAATCTTTACAAATTCATCGCACGAGGTGAACGATTATCGTCCTTTCCGCTTCCCTGTGCATTCCCGACAGTACCACTTAGTAGACTTTGGCGGTTCTGTGAGACCAGCGCAACTTAAATGGAACTGTGACAGACAAATCTGTGAGATGACACATCGAGAAACATGAGTTAGCTTACCCATTCGCGTTTGCATCCAGCATTGTCGCAGGCCACCATCTATGTGACAGGTCAACGGATGGGTATGTACAAAGCAAGCATGGTACTTACGTGTCCATAAGATACCTGATCGCAGTAACAATACTTTGGCTCGTTTGGATGAACTGGCAGGTCCCCTGAAACAACAGCGGTGGAAGGAGGAATCTTTAGCTTGAAGTTTGGTTGAGGCGCAGGCGTTGTTGCCTTGCTTGTGTCTCTCTCAGCAGCGTCTTTCTCCTTTTTTCTCCCCTTGCCTTTCTTGCTCTTTTTAGAAGCACTGCGTCCCCTGTCAGCCGCCACATCGCCAGAGGTCAACCCGAAAGCAGGACTTTCTTCGTCTCCATTGTCCACTTCTGCATCCTCGACATCGACGTCCATGTTTTCGTCATCAAGTGCATCAAAACCGGGGAGTGGGCTTGATTCTATGCGTGGTCCACGGGTCCACCGTGGAACAAGGAGGTCGGGTAGGAGAGCTGGATGATAACCAGGATGGAGATCGAGAGAGAGAGCATCTTCTTGTTCCTTGATAGCTCGATCTAGCATACGGATATGCCGATCCACCTATACGTGCATCGTCTGCCATGACATGAAGAAATCGATGGCTCAAGATGGCTCACTGAGTTATATGCAGCTTGAGCGATATGAACCTTCTCAAGAGATGCCTGAACGGCGTCTTCTGCTAGACGGGCGACCTGGGATAGCAGCTCCCGGGGAAGCTCAAAGGGCGTTTGGGATTCTAGAAGAACTGGTGCCGATACTGGTGTGCGCTGAGTCGATAAGGAAGCGGCGGTGGACGGTCCGACAGGATCAGGTTGTTTGGACGGGAACGGATTCCGAGCACCAGCATGTGGAGATGGCGCATTCCGAGATATGAAAGCACTTTTCTCAGAGTGATTAAGTTCAGCTTCGGTGCCATCTTTCATCGTTGTGTCCCCGTCCCCAAGTGGAGTGCTTTCGGGGCTTTCTAGCGGCATTTTGACAGGGTCTGGTGTTCGGGCTGGTAAGCCGGCCAAGGATCTCCGGACCGAGATATATTGCTGCAGAACTGGGGTGACCTTTGCAGCGTGCCCTGCGCGATGCGAAGTATATCCGTCTGTCTACCCAATGCTGAGAATGAACCAATTCACATACTGGTGGCTTCCTCATCTAATTCCTTCATCAATGCGAAATGTCGATGTAACTGCAAAGGCAGCTGCTCGAGAGCTACAGATTCCTGTTTAGAGCAGCAGTCAGTCTCAGGAGACGCGGCTAAACAAATACCTTCATGATACTCCTCCTTGAACGCCTCCCAAAGCTCCGCTTCTTTTGATACCTCCTTGCTCACAGATTCTTCATGCTGAGCACCGTTTGGCGAGTCCACCGTCTCACCTACATCATCTGATCGAACATCATCCTCATTTGAGGCAATGGAGCCGGGGGCAGCGTCCTGGCTGTGATCCCGCCCAAATGCTTGAGAGCGCCGTCGTTTGCGTGCAGGCATGAAAGCGTGGGAACATATTTGACTCGTGCCTCAAGGTCTCTCAACAGCTCTCAACCTGTTCTGCATGGCTGGTGACTTGACCCTCAATAGAGTATTATTTGCAACTTTTAAAGACGTGATCTCTATACCATCTTCGATCTACATACGGTGAACTGTTCCAAGGTCAAGGGAACGTACGGCATGTGACATTGCTAGATGAATTGGATATTATATTGTGGTGCAGAGTGATGCGACGGATTACGACGATGTGCAGGAACAACAGAAGGACAAGCAGAGCAGTAATAGGTAAAATACAGCGGACCAAGGGGTATGGAGGGCCAGCTTGTGTTTTCGTAAAAGGTACTCAATCTAAAAATGTACGATCAAAGTCATCATGGAGGTAAAATAAGTGAGAAGGATGTGAACATCAAGTTCACTTGTTGGTGGTCGTCTTTGAATCGACTTGTCAGTGTCATAGAACCAGCCGTGTGAATAAGATATACGTACTGCAAATCCGTTCAGTGTTCGGCTGGAGTGGTATGAGGATATGGCTTGTGTTTGGGACGTTCGGTAGGATCTCGCAGAACCCATCGAATGCATCGACGTAGAGCCACTGGGCGTAGAGGGAACTGCATTGGTTGTACGAGTGACACGAGCAGTTAGAGGCGTAGGAGCGCTGATTTGCGACTTCTTTGGCGTCTCGACGGGTTTGCTGCGACTAGACAGGTTTGAAGCAGAAGCGAGCAACGCTTTCGCAGTGCCAGGAGCAGGCGCGCTGATCTTCGCACGCCGTCCCGCAGTGAGGAATGGATGGCGCATCGCGTTCTGAGGCTTGATACGGCGCTCAGGATCCCAGACAAGGCACTTTGCGATGAAGTCGACGAAGAGCTCATCGTCGCAACGCAAAGCCTGCGCAAGCGTCTTCGTGCCTGGACGTCTTCGACGGCCCTTGGAATTAACGACAGGCCGTGGCGCACCGGTTGAATCTAGGTGAACATATGTGAGCAACCCAAGACATCCCGGTGAGGTGAGATGACTGACCAAAGAAGAGTCTCTTTCGAGAACTACGGTTGACAAAGTCTTTGTCCGGAACACCCAGCACCTCCATGATGCAAGACAACTGCTCTTGCTCATTCTCGCCAGGGAAAATGGGAAAGCCGGTGTACAGTTCGGCAAGAATACATCCAAGGCTCCACATGTCGATGGCCATGTGGTAGTTCATGCCCATAATAACTTCGGGGGATCGATAGAACCGGCTCTGAATGTAAGTATAAACTGGGGGAGAGATGAGAACGTCGTCCTACAGGCGATGATGGGATGCCCGGCAACTCACTTTTCTCATGTTCGAAGCAACTGCTACCAAAATCGATGACCTTGATGGCACTCTTCGCAGGATGTCGTAAAAGAACGTTCTGCAGACAGGATGAGGACGATGAAGGTGCGTGATACGAATCAACCTTACCTCTGGCTTCAGGTCGCAATGTACAATACGGTGATGTCGCATCAGCGAGAGCGAGGCGAGCATTTGCGTGGTGAAACGGCGAATCAACGCGGTGGTAAATCCGACAAACCCGTTGGCCTTGATGAGCTCGTAGAGATTGATGCTGAGGAGTTCCATGGCAATGCACAGATGATCGCGGAAGTAGAAATGCTCTGTCATCTTGATGACATGGTGTTTCTCGTCGGCATCCTGTAGAACATTGCGTTAAACGAGTGCAGAGATCGAAGAGTAGATGCGTACCCATTTGCGCAGATTGTCGAGGATCTTGATTTCGACCAAGGCCTGATGATGAAAGCGTTTCTTGTTGCGGATGATCTTGATAGCGACGGATTCACCAGTGCAGTGATCGCGACAGTTGAGCACTTGACCAAAGGAGCCCTTGCCCAAGGTGTCTATGACCTCATAGCGATAAGCCAGGTGGTCGTGATTGACGATCAGATAGTCGCCTCGCTCATCGTCGTACCCAAAGTTATTCGTCGGTTTGTCAGGGTGCGCGGGCTTCTTCTCGCTATTCGCGCCAATATAATACACAGAGGGGAAATTCAAAATTTCCTTCCGTTCGTAATCAGACAGTTGATGACGTTGGCTGCTCTTGAGGATAGCTATCAAAAAGGCATGAGGAATGAAAAAAGGTTCAGAAGCGAAGAGCTTACCAGCCGGAGTTGATGGTGGAACAGGGGGTGAAGGTTCAGGGAAACGAAGCATGCCTTCCAACTCTTCTTGGGTGGCCCCATGCGCCAGCTTCTTCTGCTGCTGCCGCTTGATATAATGCATCATCTCCTCGTCACCCAGCAACTCCTCTTCATCAACGGAACTTGGCACAGGGGATGGGGTATTGAGCGATTGCCGGCTGGATGACGGCGTACCCATTGCCTGATGTATATTCGAAGCATTGGAGTTGGAGCTGCGAGAGTGAGGCAATGACACCTTGGGGCTGAGAAGCTTGAGCTTGGATGGGGAGAGCGCGGAAAATCGGTGTTGAGTCTCGCTCGGAGCCACCGACGATAATGATGCCACTGAGCTGGTCGACGATTTGCGGAGGCCACTGAACGACATCGAATCGCGATTGCCCTTCCTCGGAATGCCCGACACAGATGTATTGGCGAGCCCAGAGGCTTGTCGAGCAGAAGACCCGTTCGAGGATGGCGAGGCACGGACAGACTGGCGTTGCACGGCCGTGGTGAGCGTCGCCTTGGGGGTCTCGCCGTTTTCCAAGACGCCGAACTCGTTGGTGGATGCGGCAGGAGATGGCGAAGGTTCGTTGCTAGGGGCCACAAGGCCGCTCACGTTCATGCTTGCCCTACGACTGGTCATCGTGGCAGAGCTGGACGTAGACCCTTTCAGTGCGGGTGATGTGACGGTCGAGGTGCGACTATGAATACGAGGGATCTTCGTGGGAGTTTCCTTCGGATTGGCCGATGAGACATGTAGAGACGAAAGGGGCTCCTTGCCATCCTTGGAAAACGACGTATTGCCAGCTGTGATGCCGACCGATGGTGAACCAGCGATGGTGGGCAGTTGGCTACGGTTCCTCAATGACGCATCCGACTGCCTCTGCATCGAGCTGATCGTCTGAGACGTGACTCGCGATCCAGTGGTAGTAGTGCGAGTCATTGAAGAGCCGGTCGTGGAGGGACTAGCCTTAAGATTGGCAACTCGTTGAGCTGTTGCCGGCGGCAACGCACTGATCTGCAGAGGTGGCATACTTACGGGCTGGGACTTCTTCTGGTCCGTGGAAGATAGAGTCTGCAGCACGACAACCGTCAATTGAGTGGTGGCAGAAGGCAAAACGCGCGTCAACTCACCTTGCCACGACGCCTGCCCATCAAAACCGAAATCCTGCCCTCTTTGTCATCCTTCTTTGACTTCTCTTTGTCCGAGTCCTTGCTGCGAGTGCTCTCCTTGCCGCTCTTGCCATCGCTCTTGTCTCCTTGCAAATTTCTCTTTGAACTGGACCCTTTCAACAGGGAGCCCAGACTCAGCATAGACGACTTTTTCTGGGCGGAGTTCGTCACAGAGGGAGTCGACAAACTCGAGTCGATCGGAGAGATACTGCTTTGAGTGGGTAACGCCAACAGTCCGTTTGATGCAGTTGGCGAGGTCGAGGGCTGTGTAGAGGTGGACGCGTGCAATTGAACACTCTGGGACGAGGAACGACGGAAGAATGGGATAGACGACGGTGTGAGGCGTTTAGATGATCCACGGCGTATCGAACTGGAAGGACTGAGCGGGGTGCGCTGCGCCCCTAACGAGGCTGATTGATTCGCGCTAGATGCAGTCCCAGGTCGGCTGGAAACAACACGATCAGGTATCTGTGGCTTCCGCGGAACAAAAGCTGATACTAACGATGACGGCGAAAGGGCATGAGCCGAAGACAGAGACGACAGCGACGCAAGAGAGGCTGCCGACGTCATTGCCTCGGGCTGACTTGGTGACCATCCCTCGTTGCGATCCTTGGAATGTGACCTGCGACTGAGGTGACCAAAATGAGCAGAACGGGGACTGACTCCGAGAGGAGACCCCTTTATACCCGTGTGCTCCTTGACAGAAGGAGATGACGGAGAACCGGACAATTTCATTCCAAGCGCATTAGTGAAACTCCATTTCTTGGACGGGGTCTTGAGCACGGCCGGTGCAGAAGCAGCAGACGTGTACCCTGGGACCAGATTCTGGCCGGGAAAGTCCATTTGGGGAGTCAGCGAGGTCGTCTGGGATACACTCCTGGCTGACGGCACGTCCAAGGGCATGTTACGGTCGCGTTCATCCTCGGCAGAAGTTATATCCTTGCCCTTCTCTTCGGAAGGCTCAAGAGGGAACTTTGCGCTGGCGGCAGACTGTGGCGGCGAACGGTAAGTGGTAAGGTCCTTGGGTAAAGGCGGCACAGGCGGCACAAGATCCCCAGCGTCCAACAGCTCGCCCGCCGCGAGCGAAGCGACGCGATCCTTGGAGACCGCATCCGCAGACTGCGAGCTTGAGATATCGCTGCCACCACTATTCCTTCTCGTCTTTCCAATCGAATGTCTGCCCGACTGAGCAGAGACTGACGTGGCGCTGGTCGTGGTCGAAAGCGAGGCTGAGTCCCTAGAACTGGTCGTGGGGGTGCTCGTGTAGGTCGTCGAAGAGGCAGATCCGCGCTTGCCCGTGTAGCTCAAACGAGCGCTTGCAGTCGACTTTTTTGGCTTGTCTTGTGCAGGCGAATTGAGCTGATTCTCATCGCTACTGCCAACAGCACTACCAAGCTCGCCTGTCCCAACATCGCCAATAGCCAATCCCAGTCCAACGACAGGGTGTCCATTTTCCTTCTCCCTTTCCCGTGATGCATTGCCTTCGCGCGCACTATCCCTGCGAGTGAGCTTGGCGCCGTCCGTGCCAATGCCTTCCCATTGACTGGTAGTCTTCGCTGGTGTGCCAGGGCGACTCGAACCAGGACGAACACTCCCGACGCTCGTACGCTTACGCGAAGCAGTTTTCCCAGACAGGCCATCCAACTTGCGAAGAGCCTCGGCTGTGGCCTGATCGTCGAGACCAGACCAACCTTCCTGTGTACCGCGAAGCAACGAATGGGCGACATTGGGAGAGTGGTGCGTCTGACTTTCTTTCAATGAAGAATAGGAAGGGGTTGACGTGATAGCGCCGTTACTGCCCGCATGGCGAAGGAATTGTTGGATAGACGAGGTCGAAGGCGAAGGTGGGAGGTGGGAGAAGTCAGTCGTGTGAACGCGACGAGAATGGTGACTCTCTCCGTGACTGGACGACGACGAACTCGCCGACGTATGCCGCGCGTGCCTCTCCGGCTTTGAGGCAAAGCTCGCGGCGACAGCGTCTCGTTGACGCTCCTTCCCTTTGTCCCGGCCAGAGGGAGGCGCGCCTACACCTAGACTGCGATGCTTACGGGTAGAAGTCTTCTCGTCCTTCGTTTTGTCCCCAGCAGACAGATTCCTTTGATGCTTCTTGATCAAGGTCCCCGACTGGTCAAGTTCAAACTCGTCCGAAGTGCGCTTCTTCGCCTTGTGAAGAGGGGTCAAGAACGCGCTGGGCGGGATGGGGACAATATTGACACCTGAGAGCGAAGACGACCTCGAAGGCGTCTGGGGTGCTAGGGCCGTGGCAGCGGACTGGCTGGGCGCTGACTGACGATGGCGGGGATAGAGGATCTCCTCACCGCCACTTTCCTCGGTGACCGATGGACGCGTGCGAACGGGCTTCGGGAGCGCCCAGACGTCCAGAGGCTATTGAGAATGGTCAGAACAAGTGAAAGTCCGCGAAAATGATCTCGATAAATACCTCTTCACCCTCCTCTCCCTCGCCATCAATGGCTTCTATAGTCCATGGGCTATCTGGAGACTCGACGTCCAATTCCTCCTGGGCGTGCACCTCACCCTCTTCTTGGACCCCATCCAGTTCACTCTGACTTTCCGACTCGAAAGCGTGATTGCGATCCAATCGCGTCGTCCAACGCGGTGTGGCCAGCTCACCTAGGCCATGAAGCCCTCTCCTGTCGATTGTTGCGGGATCTCTGATGGGTGTGACTGGCTCCTGGGCGTAGCGTGATTCGGGTGTCTTGCTGTGGGTACCGGATGTGGGGAGCGGGGGAACCGGGGAACCCGAAGGAGAATGGACACTGAAGTAGTAGGGGTCCAGTGACGAGGAGGGCGAGGGCGAGTGGGGTACGTCGGAAGCCTGCGCAGACGAGTCGTCCGTCAAAGGAGTCGGGCGTAGCTATATGAAAAACGGATCAGTGAGAGATGTGAGGGGGTACGCGACGGGCTGCAGACCATGTGAGCGAAACGTTGGGTATCCTGGAGGCGATGGTGATCTGGCTGCGCACGAGGGGTGGCATTGAAAGAGTCATCGATGTCGAGGGCAGGAGGGCGGACCCTCCTCTTCGAAGGGCTCTCGTCGTGGGCTGGTGCGGACGACGAGAGGGGAGAGGAGGACGCGGACATGGGAGGAGAGAGGAAGGGTCGAACCGTCAAAGGCACAGGGTGGGTAAAGAGGGACGAAAAAAAGAGAAAAAACAACAGAAAAAAGGAGGCGGCGAGCTACGGAATTTTGTATTGTGGATCGATGGGTTTGATAGATAGAGTGAACGCCACGGCGAGCTCGACGAACGGGCTGCGAGTGCGGGATGCGGTTGATGGGCTCTGCTCGCGCGGCGGCCCCTCGTGTCCCTTGTTTGGCCGCATTTGGCATCGGTGGCTCATCTTGGCCCGTCCCGCCCGCGAGCCGCTGGGGCCGTCACGCTGAGCTGACTGAGTTGCTGACTGTGTGCTTTGCGCTGCGCGTTCAGTTGAAGCAGGCTGCAGGCCTCCGCAGGACATCGTCCACAGTCTCCTCACAGACACGCACGCGGCGCCTAGACCAGAGGTGACGGAACACCAGCATTAGATGCACAAGGCGTCTGTTTGTGCGTGTGTGCACGCACGCACAAAGCGCAAGAGCCGCCTCGGTTCGGTGATAGGGTCAGAGGGCACGGCAATGAGCACGCCGTATAGGAAAGCAGGCAACGGGCATGGAACGTTCACGTCGATCATACTTTATAAAAAGCTGCGAACGGGCGCGACATGCGTCTGCTGTTCATCTCGGCGGAGACTGGGAGGGGAGCCTGGATTGGGGCGGAGAGCGAAGATGCAAAGTCCGGGCGCGGGGCCCCCCGAGGGTTGAAAAGACGGCGAGGACGAGGGCGACTCCGAGCGACTTTCAGCCCCCGCGTCACGTCTTCCCCCATCGCTTTGTGTCCCGCCTCTCCGCTCTCCGCCATCTCAGCGACATTTCCGGTACGTCCAGAGCCCATGCTCTTTGTCCTCGTCCTCCTCGTCCCCCTCGCCCATGTCGCTCACCCATCGCCTCCAGCGTCCCCTTTGTTGCGCCCCTTATCGCCCTTGTCTCCTCTCTGCCGTCCCCTCCCCCCGCGCTCCGAGGCGCTTCTATTCATTCCTCTATCGGGTATAGACGCCTGCGACACGTGTTCGCCACCAGCGTGATTAGTCCGACCCTCCCCCTTGCCCGTGTCCCCTTCGTCTGCACCACCCTCGCCCCTCCTCTCTCGCCCCCCCCCCCCCTTCCTCTCCCCAGACGATGTCCTCTGCCCGTGCACACTCCACCGATGCCGACGACGAGCACAACGACGGCTCCCCTTCTGCTGCCGCAGTACAACCCTCCATGACGATGCACCCCGTCTCCTACCCCGGCATGCCCATGCATATGTACCCCTTTGCTCCCGGCATGGTTCCCACCCACCCTCAGATCAGGTCCAAGCGCAGGCAGGTCAAGAACGCCTGCACCAACTGCCAAAAGGCTTGCAAGAAGTGCGACGACGCTCGCCCCTGCCTCCGCTGCGTCAAGTACGGCATCGGAGAAGAGTGTGTCGACTCTCAACGCAAGGAGAGGAAGAAAGGAATCAAGCGGGGTCCTTACAAGAAGCGCGATGGAAAGAGTGAGTTCCTCGTTTGGCCATCCCTCGCACCCATTCTACCCCCATCCCGCGTGCACTCACGATGTGCCCCTCTCAACGGATCGCGCAGACACTTCCCCAGACGAGCAACTGGATGACCCAGTTCAGCAGGGGATGCCGATACAACCCGGCGCTCCTGCCCCAAGTCCAGGGCCCCCGGTGCCGTACATGGGGCCCATACCTTACCCATCCGGCCCCTTCTATCCCCCCTACCCCGTTCCACCTCCTAAACCGGGAGAGCCTTATTATCCCGGCTTCTACCTCACCCCTGTTCCACATCCCCCCCCGAGCAATGGTCAGGACCCGGAAAACGTGAACGTGGGCTATCCGCCTCCTCACTCTCAGTTCTATCCCACCACCTTCCTCGCCCCCTATGCTCAGCACTATCCCCCAGCCTATATGATGCAGCGTCCAGACGGCCAGATGCAGATGCAACCCTCCCCTTATGCATACCCGCCGATGTACGGTAAGCCGCCTTCCGCCGCCGGCCCTAGCATGGACAACGGAGCCGGTGGCATGCACATGGGCGGCAGGCGAGAGGATCAGCCGGACGGTGGCAGGGGAGACGGCCTGATGGGGCTCGACAAGGCGGTCTGATGGAGGTCCGGAGGTTTTGTAATTGTAAATGTATTTCTGGTTGGTGCACTTTTTTTTGAATATGGTCTCGTGTATGGAATCACGCTTGCTTCGTTCTGCGTACAAATGTCCTTGCTTATACCGAATGTGATGTTATCTTAGCCCGCTGAATGCCCGTGGGACTTGTTGGTTGGCATCAGAACCGTAAGGTGACCTGGGAAGGGTTGTGTGAAGCTGCGGGCGTAAGAAGGTAGCATGGCAATGAAACAAACACGTAAACAAACAGACAACGGCATGAGAACAAACCGCAGGGCCACAGGAAGCATCTACAAAGGAATGCGACAGATGACAAGATATGTGAGACGACGTAGCACACTGCCATCGCTGGGTACTTTGTAGAACGGAACGAACAAGGAGGGGAGACCCGCGGGCGAGCCGCGGGGACAGATGCGAGCTCCGCTTGGAGCTTGGCGACGGACAAGGGGCGCGAAGCGGAGCGGGGGAGGGAGCGGAGGCGGTGTTGAGGCCGCGGCTGCGCTGAGCGACGGCGGGCAACGATCAGTATGCGCGGTGATTCCGTGAGGGCGACAAACGCCGCGCGGTTCTCACAGGTCGAGAACGGGAATCCAACTTCGCTGCATCAGGGTCGGAGCGCCCACATGCACTTCCGGCCTCGACTCGAGTCCCAGCCCCCGTCTGCACACGCTCGAGTCTGGTCTGGGCTGAAGCCCCTTGCGTTGGACACGTAAAGCGGCACTGGAGATGTGGATGCCAGCCGACGCTAATCAGGCGAGGAAGTCTCCTGAAAGAATGCGTAACAGATATATGCGGCAATTATCCGAGTATTATATTACAGACGAGAAAAACAGACGGGAAGAGGAGAATCGGCTGCCGTTTTGGACGTCATATCTCGACGTCATTGGCATTATCCAGGCATCTCAGCTTTAACATTACATCACTGCCTACAACGCGAGTGAGTCAGGCGAGACAAGCTCGAGGGTTTCAGAAACTGCTCACCCCATTCTTCCAACGAAAACAGATCCAGCGACCCGCCAAAATACCTAAATGAATCACAGCCGATGAGTAAAGCAAAGGCACGATGTATGACGGGGATCACTGACTTGGCATAGAGTCTGCTCATGGGGAGCCCGAAGCCCAGCCCGGCAATCGTCCCCATCCCAGTCTGCACGCCTTTCCCTGTCATCTCCCCAAATAAATTCACCTCACCCGCACCGCTGCTGCCCGCCCCAATCGCGGCGCTCCCACCGATATGCTGAGCTGCATAGGGCCCGCCTTCCGAGCCTTCGTCGTGAGAGGCGCCACGGCCGGCCGTCGTAAAAGCATAAGAGAAGATGCGCGACATGTTGGACGGGGAGACCCCGCCGCCATGATCGCGGATGCGGAGGGACAGCACTGAGGATGCAGACACGCCGGCGAGGTGCGGTGGTGGCGCGACGGTGATGAGCACGGGATGGAGGGGGTGGACAGTCGAGCTGCCGTGTTGTTTGTAGTGGTGCTCGACGGTTGCGCGAAAAGAGTTTTTGAGGATCTCAGTCAGGATATACTCAAGATGGACAGGAATGTATCTGGACGCGGGGAGGAAGTTTACACCCTGCGAAAAGAAAAGGCGTCGCACTCACGCGAACGTGGCATCGGTGTGGCCGTCGATGACGATCGGCGGACTGGCACCCAGGGTAGCTTCACATAGCTCGCTCACAAAGGACGCACACATCCGGATCATCTCCACTGGCGAGCATTTCATGTCGACCACCCCGGCATAGTCCCTGTTCCGCCCCGAGTCCTGAAGTACGTGTGACAGCAAAATGTGCTGCTCCGCGATCAGACGCACCGCAATGCGATTTCGGATGGCGGCATCGAGGAAGCTGCTGATCTGCATGGGGGACATGTAGCGTGTGCACTCTTGAAAACTATTAAGAGAATAACCAACACATCAGGTGCACTTCAGCCAATCCTGCATCTTCGAAGACCTTTTTGGATGCGCTCACCCTTTTGCAATCGTCGGAATGTCGTTTGCGTGATCGTGCACGAGCGTGTCGAGCTGCGCCGTGAACTCAGCGTTCTCTTGCAGTGAAGTGACGCGGGGGTACGTCGCGAGCCATAAGAAACTCTTCCGAAACCCATCGAGGATGCGTGCGATGTACGGGTTAGTGCCGACAATGAACGGTAGCCCCTCGAGCGAGCGGATGCGCGTCGCGAGACGACGAGGTATCTCGGCTTGTGCATATGCCACAGAGAGCAATACCGACTCCTCAGTGAGAGGTCGGCCTAAAGAGAGCAGAGTACCTAGAGTAAGTGGCCTGGGTGTATGCTGGGCATGGATGGCGAGTAAGCGCGAGAGTTCTGGCGACGCTGGCTGTGGCGTCCGACGATAGTGAGACAAACGACGGATGGCTATTGATCGTGACTTGCTGCGAGAGGTCGCGGTATACGAACGTTGCACAGTGAACATGGTTGTCGCAAGAGCAGTCACTAAAACTCATGACGGTCCGAGTCTCGTTATACGGGCGGAACAAGCGTCACAATGGACAATATGGCTCGATGTCAGATGCTTCTTGTTCACACATGTACATGTACATTCTCAACGACAGGGAAAGCTAAATTAAACATAGACAGAAAATGTACACAGGCGGAGTCTAGTTATACACTTGGTAGAGAGGTCTGCAAAATGGAAAGAAGTGTTGAGCGAGATGATCCCTTCTGGTAGTGGAGTAGATTACTTACGTGCTTGAAAACTTCGTGCCTTGCTGGACTACCTTCTCAACAGCATCGAGGAAGTCACGCTCGGTGGCAACCTTCCGCCGAGCGCGAATAGCGAACATACCGGCCTTGATGGGAAAGAACGTTATTTTCATACACTTCTGATGACGCAGCACGTTCTTACCTCGGTTGAAACGGACCGTAGCTCAGCGCCAGTTGTGTTAGGACACAACCGGGCAATCAAGTCGAAACGAATGTCCCGCTCGACGCTCATACTGGAATGACATCGGAGAATTCATCAAGAGACGCTGGACTACGAACAACACAATCACTGACCTTCGGGAGTGGATGCGGAGGATGTGCGCTCGGCCTTGTGCATCCGGTAATGAAAACTCCACTCGCCGATCCAGACGACCGGGACGCAGGAGCGCGGGATCAAGGGTATCTGGCCTAGATGCGGATGAATTGAGCGTGTTTCTGAAACTTGCCAACCAGCGATACCCACCTATTCGTCGCCATAAGTACTTTGATGTTCCCTCGTGGGTCAAACCCATCGAGCTGGTTAATCAACTCCAACATCGTCCGCTGTACTTCATTGTCACCTCCAGCCCCATCGTCGAACCGCGTCCCACCAATGGCGTCCACTTCATCGAAGAAGATGATGCAAGCCTTCTTGCCTCGTGCCATCTCAAACAACTCACGAACCATCCGCGCACCCTCCCCAACATATTTCTGTACAAGCTCGGAACCAATGACACGGATGAACGTGGCGTCTGTCCGGTTGGCAACTGCACGTGCACACAAGGTCTTGCCAGTCCCTGGTGGGCCGAAAAGTAAGACCCCCTTCGGCGGATCGATGCCGAGGTCGACGAAACGCTCTGGCTATAGATATCGTCTAGCAAGGAAGTTAGTTCAAGTGCGAAGATACTCACAGAAAGTAATGGTGTCTCGACGACTTCGCGCAGTTTCTCAATCTGCTCCTTGCATCCACCAATGTCCGAGTACGTCACATCTGGTTTCTCCTCGACTTGCATCAATGTGACCGACGCATCGATCTTCGGGGGAAGAGGTATCATGATTTGATATTTATGTCGGTCTACGCTGTAAGTCACTGTTAACTTACCGCACCTTGATTCAAACACACAAGCAACACTCACCCGACACGCATACCCTCCTCAATATCCGATGGCGCTACACGATCACCAAGGCCGACAACAAACTTGGCAATTTGTTTGATGTTGATGACATATTTGTCTTGTTCGTCTGCGCCCTTCTGGCCTTGAGCAGCGCCTGCGGGGTTCACAGCTCGAGCTGCCTCTGCTTGCTTCTCGTCCACGGGAATAATCTTCGTACACCGAGCGACCTGGAAGGCGTGTGCAGACATACGCTGACGATCGGCGGGAAGGTCCCAGAGGTTGGGTGATGAGAGACCGGTGTCGGATTCCTTCACGCCTGGAAATGGTTTAATAGATTGGTAAGTACGCGCTCAGTATAATAGCTTACCCAGCTTCTCATTGATTCGCTTCTGAATGTCTTTAATATCGCCGTCTATTTTCTTCAGCTGTGACGCGTAAGGGCCTTGTCCCTGAAGAGAAATAAGCTCTCGGGGTGATTCCAGTGTGTAAGCATGATACACACATAAGTCTTGAGAATCTGAATGTCACTATCATCCAGAGCTATAGTGTGTCGGAACGTATTGAAAATAAAGATAGATAATGCACACTCACAGACTATCTTCTCCTCCTTCTCGTCCACCTTCTTGTTGTCTAAAACACAGTCAATATCCTGCTTGATTGATTCTAAAGACACGCATACACTTTTCCCAATCACTTGGAGAGGGGCAAGACATCAGCTCGGGTATGACGCTTAACGAGTTATAGCGTACGCTTTAGGTGGCATCGTGAACAGCGATGAGGGCGGTTGTGGTGGTAATAAAGAAACGTAGTCGAGCGAACATGGATGGACGACGCGTCACTCTCAGTCTGGTCGCGTGCTCGGGCTTTGCCAGAGACAAGTCGACTTCTAGACTCCCACGGTCCCGGATCCGGATAACTCGATTAGTACGCAGCTTGCTGGTTCTCCACCTGTATTATTGACTTGAACGACGACGATGGCCGGCGCACTCCCAAACGCAAAACGGAATCTTCCAAAGATCGCAGATGAGGAGCGCGAGTCTCGCTTCGGTCAGGTCTTCGGCGTGTCCGGGCCTGTAGTCATAGCAGAAAACATGACCGGGTGTGTCATGTACGAGCTTGTCCGCGTCGGGCACGATGAGCTCGTCGGAGGTGCGTTGAGCTTGCGTTAGAGTCTAACGGATTCTAATGCGTGGGCAGAGGTCATCCGTATTGATGCCGACAAGGCGACGATCCAGGTCTATGAGGAGACCTCAGGCGTCACCGTCGGAGATCCGGTACTACGAACGGGGAAGCCGCTCAGTGTCGAGCTTGGGCCTGGTAGGAACCCGTCAAGTGTTTGTCCATTGAGAGAGGTACTTATATCCCGTGTATAGGTCTGATGGGTAATATCGTTGACGGTATCCAACGGCCATTGCGCGTACGTCCCATCCTTGCCCTTGATACTTCAGCTTGCACATCGCTGCCCCTCAGGCTATTCAAGAACTTTCGAAATCCATATATATTCCTCGTGGAATCAACACTGAAGCGCTTGATCGCTCACTGCAGTGGGAATTCACTCCCACCAACTTCCAGGTGCGTATCTGTCTTGAAACCTAAGCAGAGCGCACGAGCTTTATTGTCTTTTACCCTCTCTTCCCAGGTCGGTGATCATGTCTCAGGCGGTGATATCTTCGGACGCGTATACGAGAATTCCCTCGTCGATGCGCACAAGATCATGCTATCTCCCAAAGCAATGGGCACCATCACACATATAGCAGAAAAGGGCAGCTACGCCGTTGACGTACGTCCTGTATCTGACATGTTCAATGGAATTTCGTTCATCTAATGCGCTTGGGTAAGGATATTGTCTTGGAGACCGAATTCCAGGGCAAGACCACAAAGCATACAATGATGCAATTGTGGCCGGTCCGTGCACCACGTCCTGTCGCAGAGAAGCACACGGCGAACTACCCCCTTCTCACTGGCCAACGCATCTTAGACGCTCTATTCCCGTAAGTGCGCAAGCGGGACAGCTCACTACCACGAGGCCTCACGATCATTGCAGATGTGTACAAGGAGGAACTACCGCCATTCCTGGCGCCTTCGGGTGCGGAAAGACGGTCATCTCACAAGCCCTGTCCAAATTCTCCAACAGCGACATCATCATCTACGTCGGATGTGGCGAGCGCGGAAATGAGATGGCTGAGGTCTTGATGGAGGTATCGATATTCCTTGCGTTTAAAACATTGTTTTTTGTTGACCATGCTATCTCCAGTTCCCTGAGCTGACAATGGAGATCGGTGACCGCCAAGAGCCCATTATGAAGCGCACGACGCTCGTCGCGAACACATCCAACATGCCTGTCGCCGCTCGAGAAGCATCTATCTACACAGGAATCACCCTCGCAGAGTACTTCCGTGATCAAGGTACCAATGTCTCGATGATGGCCGACTCGACATCGCGTTGGGCCGAGGCGCTGCGTGAGATCTCAGGTCGTTTGGCAGAGATGCCTGCAGACTCCGGCTACCCCGCCTATCTGGGTACCAAACTCGCCTCTTTCTACGAGCGCGCCGGAAAAGTTACTGCGCTCGGCAACCCTGTCCGCCAAGGCACTGTCTCTATTGTTGGCGCGTAAGTTTTTCCCCCATCGTAACTTCTTTTGTCCTTGTGCTGCGGCTGAGCTCCTCACCGCAGTGTGTCGCCGCCTGGCGGTGATTTCTCCGATCCCGTTACGTCCGCCACGCTTGGCATCGTCCAGGTCTTCTGGGGACTTGACAAGAAGCTGGCCCAGCGCAAACACTTTCCTTCTGTTAACTGGAACTTGTCGTACTCGAAGTACACGAAGGTGCTCGAGCCGCACTATGAGAGCACAGAGCCTGGGTTTGTTGAGCTGCGCACGCGGACGAAAGAGATTCTTCAGAAGGAAGAAGACTTGGCCGAAATCGTGCAACTGGTCGGGAAGAGTGCGCTGGGCGAGAACGACAAAATCACGCTCGAGGTTGCACGGATGCTGAAGGACGATTTCTTGCAGCAGAACGGCATGAGCGAGTACGATCGCTACTGTCCGTTCTACAAGACGAGCGCGATGCTGCGCAATTTTGTCGGATTTCATGACGCAGCGCTCAAGGCGGTCTCGCAGGGGGATCTTACGTTCGCCAAGATCAAAGACGCAGCAGGCGATATCATGTTCAAGCTGTCGCAGATGAAGTTCGAGGTTCGTCAGTCTTCTTTTGGTTAAAAGCGGATGTTCAGAAACTCGGCTTCTAGTCTCCCTCTCAAGGGCAAGAAGCGATCAAGCAGAAGCTCGACGGCCTCCACGCAGAAATCCAAGACAAATTCAGAACGCTGGTGGAGTGAGCGTATGAATTTGCGGCTTTCCGGCTTTTGGATGAGACGACTGCAATCTCGCAGCCTGACTGGCTGTATCGGCGGCCAGTAATGTGATGAACGAGGACTTTTCGTTTGAAGATGTGTAGTTTTCTACATTATACATCCATACCCCCCCCATGTCGTGCGCTGTGTTGCGACGAGTGCTGGCGGTAGACTGTCCACGCATCGTCGTCACGTGAAACAGGACAAGCGAGACATGATGGCCACTCAAATTGGCCACTACGCCACAGGTGGGCTAGCCGACAGACTGACGTCACGATGATGGCGCTGTAATGACGGGGCTGGTCTGTCGCATCATCCGCCCACAGCCGCTGGGTGCAACCAAGCAGTTCACAGACGGTGCGTAGACCAAGCAACCTAGTACTCATGGTTATAGGAGACGACACAGGACCACACACACAAACCTGGGCGATCTGGATCTGATCGCGACCCCTTCATCTGGTCCGCAGTCGAGGCCGCCGCAGCGCCGTCACGCGCACCCTTTTCGAGCGACTTATCGACTGCGGATATGACGGCGGCAAGCGCGGAACTGTGCGCTTCACAAAGACCCTTATAAAGCCCGACAGGAGGTTTACCATGATGCACGTCTCTTGCACGAGCACCATGTTGCTCTCCGCCCTCATCACCGTACTTTCCGCGGGTCTGACGGTCGCAGCATTGCCTGGGCCATTCCGCGTGCAGCATCCGGAAGAACCACACGACATCAACGATGTCCTTTCAACTGGTCGGATGGAGCCTGCACAGTGGAAGCTCGATGATTTCGACAGGTTCACATCGCCGCCGAGGCCTCCTTCGGAGTCGCACCACAAATCCATCTACGACATCCTGAGCGACAATTCTGAGTGTGTCTGAATATTCCCCTTCATCACGTTTCACGTTTGACGCCGCTTGCACAGGTTTTCCCACCTTCTGAAACTGGTCAACTTCTCTGAAGACGTCGCAGACATATTGAAAGACACCTCCACCAGGTGACACTTTACGTTATTAACCATGATGGTCATGAACTTACACCTCTCCCCATAGCATCACCTTTTTTGCTCCACCCAATTGGGCGCTTCGCCCCCCTCACCATAGGCGCGAGGACTCTCTTAGTTCTTTGGGTTTCCACGACTTGACGCAGAGCGATCCTAATTTTGATCTCCTGCGCGCTTTACACGCCATAGAGTCGCTTGATACCCCATCGCCTTTAAAAGGGGATGGCGTTCTCGATGGTGATGATGACGAAGATAAAGAACGTCGCAAGCGGATCCTTCAGAAGATCGTCCGGACAGTGTTGCTGTACCACATCATTCCTGCAGAGTTGAATGCTCAGACCCTCGCTGTGAACATTACTCATGCAACCAATCTCACTATCCCTGGTGAGACATTGGGCGGCCAACCTTTGCGCCTTCGTATTGCCTCCGGACCTCCCATCATTCACGGTGCGCTTACCGTCAACTTTTACGCCAAGATCATCAGACCAGACGTTTCTGCTCTAAACGGTGAGCATCTTCCACCTCGTCCATGCATCATGACTGATAGACGCTGTCAAAGGCGTCATTCACGTCATCAATCATCCTCTTTTCCCACCCACGTCAATCTTTGAAGAGCTTTTCAATTTCCCCGATATATTTTCTACTGTTGTGAGTGTCCCAATGTGGATCTAATAACTTGCATAGCAATTCTAAATATCATCCAGACTTCCGCCGTTCAGCGTGTCCACTTGACCAAGGATCTCGATTGGCGTTATGTACCTGAGAAAGATAACAAGGGGTCTTTCAAAGGCACTCCGGCGTCGACTTTCTTCGCCCCTTCCAATTCCGCCTTCAAGAGATTACCCGAGAAACTTCGTCTCTTCCTGTTCTCGCCCTTCGGCGAGCATGTGCTCAAGAAGCTGTTGGCGTTTCACGCAGTTCCTGATTTCATCCTGCATACTGGTGAGTCTATATAACTCATCGTCTCTGCCTTACTAAAACATCTCTTTCAGACTACGCATACAACGTGACTTCGGACTCCGAGGTGTTCATGGATATTATTGTTATCGAGCACAACGCCCCTGAACTTACATTGCCTTCACATTGCGGGACGCCCCCGTCCGATTGGCATCCACACCCTCCTTCTGGGCACGATATCCCACTGCCCCCGCCCCACGGAATGCCCCGTAGACCGGAATACCCACACGATTCACAAGACGATGAGATTCCTCGCAAGCCGCTCTTCCCCTTCTTCGGGTTCCATCGTGGTCCTCATCACTCATATTTGCCGCCGAGTCCTCATTCCGATTTCTCTTGCGGACCTCATGGTCGCGAGCCTTCTCGCGATCATCCCATGCCCGATTTCCCCCATAGTCCACCTCGTCCTTTCCCTGGCAGTCGAGCGCCACACCCGGAACTACCCTGCGGTGCCCCTATGTCCGAGCATCCTCGCGGACCTCGTCGGCTACCTCAACCCTTCTCCGAATCCCCTCACAGGCCTCACGCTCCTCCTATTGGCCCTCCTTCGTCTTCTTCACCCCCAGGTGCCCCGGGCGGATCTAATCTGTACGCTTTCAACTACACGCTTCCCACGCTCCTCTCGAACAGCAGCCTTCACGTCCGTGTCGTGAAACGTGTACACAAATTACCTCTCCCCGGCCCGCATCACCCCAAATCATACACAACCGAGTTTTTCGTCAACGGTCAGCCAGTCTTCCTCTATGACATTCCCGCGCGCAACGGTGCAGTACATGTCATTGGGAAGGTGCTTAACCCTCGCGCACACTCCCGACAAGGACCACTCAGCAACCATCATGACGAATCGCGTCCCGGTTGGGTAGATGATGCTGCGGATGATTGGGAGGATTGGGAAAGTTGGTTGCCGGCTTGGGCAGACGAGCAGTGACCCTTAACAACTCTACCTACCATTGACATGAATTTTCTCTAAATTTTTCCCAATGATTTTCGGCGAAGTGCTTTCATTTCATTCTCATCAAATTCAACAATTATCATATGTACGAATTATTCCTTACTGTATCAGCGTACATCGAATAAACTTGATTGCTCGTCACCCCGCTCCTTCCCTGCCATCGTTCTCATCCCCTTTACCTTCTCTTCGCGGTCTGATTTGGAAGCAAGATGCCGATGCAGTCTTGTCTTTTGATGTACCACCCACTCCGTTTGTTCCTCAATCATGACCGGCTGTTCCGGATTGACTGTGCATGTGGGACATACAATCTTGCGTCGTGCTGCCAGAACTGCGGTGGGACTGAATGCAAAGGTGTAAGTGCGGTTGGCATTAAATGTATGACGAGATGAACTGCTTACTTGGCTGGTTTGCTCCTCACGGATAGCATATTCATCGCAGCTATCGATAGCGAGCGAGGGTCGGGAAGTGGCGCCTGTTTCAGGAACCCTTTCAGATGCGCCAACGTTAGCTATGTTGCAGCCCACGTAAGGCTGTCATTGGACACACCTTGTGTGATTTGGAAGGCGACTTCTTTCACGTTAGTTGTCCATTGGTCTCCAAGTTCTAGCAAACTTTGTGAGTCGGCTGCAAACAGATAAATGGATGCCATACCTGTTGCATCTAGCAGATATGCAACTGCCGTGGCTAGTTCTTTACTTGGCTGTGCAGCATACATTGCAGGCAGGAGCTTGTTACGAATCCAAGATACCTGCCGCTTAGCATACTTCCGAGTGGAGAGCTTCATATCATCGACAGCTTCTGCAAACGCTTTCTCTGATGGTGACGCTGCATTGAGGTATTCATGGAATTCCCTGTAACCTGTTCTTACAAATGAGCATCAGTAAATAGATGTGATGAAACATAGATGTTTCTACCGATTGATTGGTAGATTCCCAACGTATATTCTGTTGAAGACTGATTATTCCCTTCCGTACTGGAAGATGGAGCTCGGGAAGCAATGCTTCGCATAGTACGTATTTCGTCCAAGAGGCCTTGCTGCAAAGGCTGAATTGAACGTCGCTAACGTGAGAAGAGTCTGAACCGAACCTGAACCATCTCCTCAACACGTCTGTCAAGACGAGGATTCAAAGATTTCGGGTCTGCATATAACCAGAAACACAGCGTGTCGTATCTATTCATGTGAGCATGATGAGAATCGCATCTGATTGAAGATAGGGACACCGACCTAGGGCGCAACGCTGTCTTGGACTGTTCGGAGAATATGTCGCTTGGTCTTCGCCCACTGTCTCTCGTAATGACTAGGCTTCGCAGGACCTTCCGTGTGTCTTTCCAATGCCATCGGCCGGCGACCACAGGGTCAAGTGTAGAGAGCAGGGAGTGCAAAGCAAATGCTGCCTGTGGGTCTTCGGATGCTACGGGTGGTGTCTCCGGGAGGTTGTTGAAAAGATTCAGGAGATCGGACGGCAATGTGGCTGTTGATTTTATAAGGTCTTCTGAGATGAAGGAGGCAGAGCTTGAGCCAGATGAGATCGGTTCTGTAGCCAACCGGTCTGGAAATATGAGATGTTGGATCCAATAGGATGTTCCACCAACGACAATGGGAATCTGTCTTCTAGCATGCGTCTCCTCTATCTGTCGGAGAGTGCCATGAATGAAAATTTTTGGACATCAGAAGCATGAAAAGAACATCTAACCGCCTGCATAGCATCATGAACCCATTGACCGACGACATATTGCTCTCCAGGTTTTTTGAAGCTCATCAGAAGGTGCTCAACACCATGCCTCGCCGAGACGGGAAGCTTGTTGGTGATCACATCCATCCCGTCGTAGACTTGCATCGAATCAGCATTCAGGATTCTTGCGCCATTCCAACCATTCGCGAAAATCTCCTGGCGTAGTCGAAGAGCAAGCTCGACAGCAAGTTTAGACTTGCCAACCCCAGTCGTTCCGCAGATCGCTATGAGAGGAAGCGGAGACATCATTCAGTGCTGTGATATATTATCTGTATACAATATATGAGCTCGCTCTGCTTGCCGATAGCAGAACTAGTGAACGAACTTGCAAGCTTGTCGTTGTCTTGACACGTAAAAACAGGCTTCTGAGTCCTTTCGACATGATGATGACTGGCTGAAATGCAGCAAGATTCAGCATTATCTCTTGATATGGTAGATTGCCCTGTCCGCAAAAGGGCAAATATGATAAATGCTACCTTTTACGCATCTTGACATGTTGAAACGTTGACAGCTGTTTCTGAAACCTTGGCCGAGGGGTTTCCTTCTTGTGACTTACACTGTATCTCACATGGTCTGCTCTAATGGGTTGCATTGCCTCAAGGGACGAATTGACCAAGTCACGACACATCTCGATAGCCTACAAGAGGCTTCAGATCGTCCTTCATGAAGTGTCCCCTAACCTTGTGTAAAAGGGTATACACGGGAGAACGTCGCAGAAGAAAAAGGTATAGCATACAATATTACAATCAGACTGCAGGATCCGTAATGAGAGGGGCCGCTGTAGTCCCACTAGCAGCTTGCTCTGAATCTTGTTGTACATTAATTACATCCTCATTTGATGCACCTTGCCCTCGTCCACGGCCCCTTCCGCGCCGACCCTCACCTCTGCCCCTACTTCTTCCACTCCCTCGTGAACGCGGCGACGTTGGAGGAGAGAGCTCTGTGTCGACGTGGTCCCCGTCACCCTTTTCAGCATCTGGTCTGCTTGGCGAGATGGGGGATATCTTGACGGTCTCGGTCGCAACAGGCTGCACGCTTTGGGACTTACCCCACTCCCCTACCCCTTTCTTCCCTGAATCCCACTCTCTATGCTGGATTTTGTCCATTTTGCGCCGTGCATTCTGTTCTCGGGTGCGGTCGACACTTTCTTGCACTCTTCGCGTCTTAGCCTGCCTAACGCGTTCGACCTCCTGCGTCTTTTTGAAGGCCGCCTCATCTGCTTGGACATCCTAAGGAATGATGAGCACTTCACTAATGACCATGAAGCTGCATCCCATACCAATCGTCGCTGCTTGATCTTTTCATTCTGTTCTCTGATGCGGTTTATTCTCTCGGCAAGCTCTTCGTCACTCAGCTTATCCTAGAGAAGATGTGAACGGGATGTCGAAGAGTATTGAGCAGCATAGACATACTCGAGGAATACCTCCAGTCTTCACACGCTCCAGATTTACATACGGTTTCTTCTTGTCTCGCGGTTTGACATCGTCAGCGGAGACGGATTTCTCGGCCTCGTCAGCAGCAATTTCAGTAAGGGAAGTATCATCTGCGCTGGGATCGGGTATAAAGTGCGGAATGTCGGACGATGAAGACACTGTGGGGTCTTCGAGATCGAGCCCCAGAGAGTTTATAGGAGGGTCGGAGGTTTTCATAAGACCAGTTTCTCTGCCTGGAGCAAAGTTGGAGTTCTGAACACTCGAAAGCACACAGTTCTGAAGTCCTCCTGCAGGATGGTTGTTGAAGACGTTTAGAGGCGTTTGACGTACCTGTGGGATGCTTACATTACACTGCGCGCAGAGCCTGGGGTTTTCTATGGAAGCCCTGCGGTCAGACTGAACAAGGACGAATATGGTACCAATGTCACTCATTTATCACGATCTACGTGACAAAAGCGTGATGCTTGGAGAGAACTAACCCTTTTTAAGAAGATCTGACACAGGAATGTCCATGACGCAATAGGGTCCCAGACGGTCCGCGACTGGACCTGGCCTATGCCGAGCCCAAGGTTGCGATAATAGAGCACCTTCTCATCGATCTCTCCTTCACTCTTGATCACCACAATGTCTCTTTCTAACAAGCTCGCTGTGACCGACCTTGACCTCACGGGCAAACGCGTGCTCATTCGCGTGGACTTCAATGTCCCTATGCAGGACGGCAAAATCACCAACCCCGCCGTACGTCCCTTTTTGTGTCTCTCATGGTCCTAACATAATGCATATTGTATAGCGTATCGTTGCAGCGCTGCCGACGATCAAATACGCTCTCGAGAACGGTAAGCCAACTGTGGAACCACTGTCACAGATCTTACAATTACAATCTTATGGAGCTAGGCGCGTCCACGGTTATCTTGATGTCTCATCTTGGTCGCCCAGATGGACGGCCGAACTCCAAATATTCCCTCGAGCCTGTCTCCCATGAACTCTCTAAGCTCATCAGCAAGCCTGTTACTTTTCTTTCTGATTGTGTGGGACCCGATGTTGAGAAGGCTGTCTCCTCCGCTACACAAGGCTCCGTCATTCTCCTCGAGAACTTGCGGTTCCATATTGAGGAGGAAGGTTCCGTCAAGAACAAGGATGGAACAAAGACTAAGGCTGATCCAGCAAAGGTCACTGAGTTCCGGGAGGGTCTCACAAAACTTGGGGATGTCTATGTGAACGATGCATTTGGTACCGCTCATCGTGCCCATTCAAGTATGGTTGGCATCAAGCTGCCTCAGCGTGCTGCTGGATTCCTCGTCAAGAAGGAGCTCGAATTCTTTGCTAAAGCACTCGAGAGTCCCGAGAGGCCTTTTCTCGCTATCCTTGGGGGTGCTAAGGTCTCCGACAAAATCCAGTTGATTGACAATATGCTCGACAAGGTCAGGAAATCGCTCTTTTGCCACTGTCACATTCTCATCATCAATCTGACAGGTCGATTCGCTCATCATTTGTGGCGGCATGGCCTTCACGTTCAAGAAAACTCTTGAAGGTGTTTCTGTCAGTCTATGATTTATGTCGCTCTCGGCTGTAGCACTCAGATCAGACGGTATCATCAGATCGGAGACTCCCTTTTTGATGCTCCTGGATCCGAGAAAGTTGCCTCTCTGATCGAGAAGGCTAAAAAGAATAATGTCAAGCTTGTCTTCCCCGTTGATTACATCACTGCGGATAAATTTGACAAGAATGCAAACGTGCGTATCATACCTGCGTCTTCTTCGACATTGAGCGAGACATTGTTTGGAAAGATAGACGGGAATTGCCTCAGATGTAGACGGTATTCCAGACGGATGGATGGGCCTTGATGCAGGTCCCAAGAGCCGAGAGATTTATCGTCAAGCCGTCCTGGAGGCTAAGACGATCTTATGGAATGGGTCAGTACATATCACAGGACTATGATTCGGCAACTATACTCATCTTTTCTCCAGCCCGCCTGGTGTCTTTGAGTTCCCCGCTTTTGCTGAAGGATCAAAGTCGCTCTTGAATGCCAACGTCACTGCCGCCCAGAATGGTTCCGTCGTCATCGTCGGTGGCGGCGATACCGCGACTGTTGTTGCTCAGTATGATGCGGAGGACAAGTTAAGTCACGTCAGCACCGGTGGGGGTGCCAGTCTTGAGCTTCTTGAGGGCAAGGTCAGTTGTTCATCCACGTGTGTCCATAGTATAGGCTAACACACATACAGACGTTGCCGGGTGTTGCAGAGTTGAGTGAGAAGTAGAACGGTTGATAACAAGTATGAAACAAGAAGAAACGAAGATGAAGAGGTATCGCTTGTTCTGTAAACCGTGATGCCATATATCACAGACTGTATTTTTCGTACGGGATCACAGGGCGACCATCGGCAACTGACAAGCGGACAGAAGTGAGCAAGTGATCACATGGGGCAGTCGAAGCTCGAGCTTTGTTGAAGGCAACAAGACACCAGAGCTGTGCAACCTTTCACGTGTAGAGAGTTGATAAGGTTGACACGGTGGCGAGCTTATACACAGAACGACTGTTTTCTGTGTAAGGTCAGCCACGGAGACTGAGTGGCGAGAACTTGGCGAGACCAAGAGGCCAAATACATGTAAATGTCGAGCATTCCGTAATTGATGTGGCAGAAGCCGAAACGTCTGTAAGAGTCAAGCTATCCTGAGAATCGAGATCCAACGAGCATACACTAAGCAGCTTTCAACCTTACCACCAAGTCAGTGCTGCTGGCCATGGCGCGTCCTACTCGACGTCGTACAACACGGTCCACGGCGCATATAGACCCCGAGCCCAAGGCTGACTCTCCTCACTCTTCTGCCACATCCGTCTCAGATGTCACAAAACCTGCCAGGGCGGATGACGACAGATGCCCGGCCTGCAAAAACGAGAACGTGGAAGACCTAGCATCTATAAAGAAAGAAAACTGGATTCGATGCGACGCATGCAGGGCTTGGTTTCATTGGAGATGCTTAAACGAGTCTGGGGATCTGGACACCATAGACAAATGGTGCGTCTACCACAAAGCTGCTGCAGCATTCAGTTATCGTCAATGATGCTTCACACGTCTACATCAGGTTTTGCACATCATGCCAAGAGCAGGATCCCTCTCGTACTAAAACACTCAAACCTCCTGCGCGGAAGTCGACGCGAAAGAAACTAGCCCATGACTACGCCAATATGCACACTGGGCTAAGCTCGTCGGACCCAAATAGGTGGTTAAACATGCTTCAGGGAAAATCTATCGCAAAAGACCATTTCAAACGATTGAATGGTGAACAAGTCAATCTGGACTGGGTCAACGGTGATCCCGATGGGTTCAGGGAACCCGTTGTGATCGAGGAGCCAGAAGGATTGGGTATGAAGATGCCCGGACGTGACCTGTCGATTGAGAGCATTGCAGACACTTTGGGAAGAGATACGCCAGTTGAGGTCATCGGTACTTTGTCTCTTTCTTGATGGCAAGATGCTAGATGCTTAGATCGTCTGCATGATTTCTGCCATAGATGTAGCCTCACAGTCGAATTCTCCAGGTTGGACCCTCGGCAAGTGGGCAGGCTACTGGTCGACAGAATCTGCATCTCGTGACAAAGTTCGGAACGTTATATCGCTCGAGGTTTCCGGGACAAAGCTTGCTGACGAGATATTGCCTCCGCGGTTGGTGCGGGAGATGGATTGGGTGGAGAAGTATTGGCCGAATAACAAGAAAGGGCCTGGACAGGTGTACCCGAAAGTCCAATTATATTGCTTGATGGGAGTCGCAGGCGCGTGGACCGTACGTATCAGTGTGCTACTTCGTAGAGTCACAATGGGCTCACAAGTCGAGTAGGACTGGCACATCGACTTCGCTGGCTCGTCGGTATATTACCATATACTCCGAGGTTCGAAGGTATGTTCATGGACGTGTCACGATATATGATCCACTTTTCTATCCAATCCAGGTATTCTACTTCATCCGACCAACACCCTCCAATCTTGCTGCGTACGAGCGCTGGTCTGGTTCAGACGTGCAGAGTCATACTTGGCTAGGCGATATGGTGGATAATGTTGTAAAAGTTGAGCTCAGCGAAGGTAACACCATGCTGATTCCTTCGGGATGGATACATGCTGTCGTGCGTCATATCTTCATCTTCACAGACTGTCTTCCGCTGATGGATCGACAGTATACACCTATAGATACATTAGTTTTCGGAGGCAATTTTTTGCACTCATATGATGTGGCAATTCGTGCGTTCAAAATGTTGTCGTTTTCTGCGGTCGACTCAATTCTCCGCCTTAGAACTCAGAGTACGTGAGATTGAGAATGTTACTCGGGTGCCAAAGAAGTTTAGATTTCCCTTCTTTACTAAGTATGTCAACACTATCTCATGTGGACAAACGTTGACACGAATGTGTAGAATGTGCTGGTATGTAGGCGAAAGGTACCTGAGAGACCTCAAAGCCAGAGAAGAGTTTTCGGAACGTATCCTACAATCGTTGGATGCGCTGGCCGGATATCTGGTGTTAGAGGCACGAGCCTTGGAACGAGGCCCGGAGGCATCGAAACGGGAAGCAAGGGAGCAATTGCCTAGTGATAAAGTCAAGGATGCTTCGGCCGTGGCACGAGAGCTGAGATGGAGAGTAAAATTAGCATCGGGCGATTTCAGCGATGATGAGGATGACGATCGACTAACGAGGAACCACGAGCAGTCTTCGGCGTACAAGCGAAAGCGGGAAGAGAGAAACAGCCCTGAATCATGCCAGGACCCTATTTCGACGTTCAGGCATTTCCAGCCGAAAATCTGGGACGGTGTCTCTTCAGAGGTAATTGTCTCCCAACAAAAGTCGAGGACCCGTTCGAACTTTGAAGAGGAGCGGTGGATGGATGCTTGGCTCGATTGGAACAAGGAGCTTCTTGGATCCGCCGAGGATGGTGTGGCGGTCAATCGAAAGCGTCATGTCGTCGTAAAGGTGCGAAGAACAGCGAAGGGGTTGGAACGACATAGAGTGGAGAGAGTAATAGAAGAATGGGATTGGACTTCTCCTCCTAACCGTTTAAACAACCTGCTCGCGGACGAGGATAGTCATATGGACTTTTGACATATTTTAGTTGCTGTAATTCCTCGCTTTCTTGTAGGGTGATCTGTCTCTTGAGTGCGCAGTACTTATGTGTGGACTCGCTGCTGATATATAGTATATCAGTAGGTTCGCAGCGCTCTACAGGCGTTGTTGATTGACTTTGAACCGTTCAGGAAGCTCCCCGTTCAGCCGTTCCCGCGGTTGGGGGAGGCAGCACGTGCAATGCGACCATATGACCCACAGATGGATTGGCCGTAGATTGAATTATCGCCGACAGACCTAAAGCTACCTAAAGGTGCCAGGAATACAGTTCTTGCTCTCTTGTCACCGCATCCTCAAATTGGGACCTATATCGCCCGCGTCCCCCGGTCGACTTGAAAAGGAATATCAGCTTCGTACTTCAAGTTGACTCCAGGGCCTAACTACTACAGCCTTAACAACAACCCATTTCAGATTCTATGGCCGATGCGCAAAGCCACCTTGATATTGGATCGCGTCCTCACCATCGTACCTTGGATCCCGAACCTGGCTTCAGGACGAGTCGCCGTCGTGGATATGTTCAAGCGGACACACAGTCAGGATGGTCTCCGGACCTGGGTGCAATTCCTGACGAGACTGTTTACGACGACTCTGATGTCCTTGCTCCACCTGGTGAGAATTTCCTCTCAGTCAAGCCTTACGACTTGTTCATGTATTCTGAACCTTGCTTCACGAGATGCAGGTCATTCCTTCACAGCATTACAGAACCGCTCTGTGCCTTCTTTGCCATCTCAGCATCAATCGCCACAACAGGACTTGATGCCATCCCTCCCTTCATTACCACCATACGACCCTACATCCGCGCTCGATACATTTCATGCACTTCAGCTCAACGATCCTGTTACTCGAGCGGGAAGTGCGATGTCACGTTCGTCAGATCCAACGCCCCGTGGAGATCCTATTCCCCGTGCGAGCTCTTCTATGTCTCATCATTCGCAATCACAGATGTACTCAAGACCCCTCAATGGACTACCCTCTCGACCAAATGCCAACCGGACGCCATCATATCCATATTCTTCACAGTCACAGCAGGAAAGTTCACGACCGTTTGACAATATCTCAATTCGCTCGGGGTACAGTTCTGGCCCTCATTCCAGTGGCCACGAGGATAGTAACTACACTCCTGCTCTGGATCATATTCTAGGTATCGATCATACCACCCAATACCATACGAATGATCCCAACCTTGCCGGGGATTTGTATTATGCTGGTCAAGCTCCCTACGGTTATCCTACTCAAGGCTATCCCAACCGATACGCCCCCCCCGTCCATCCTCGACTTCCACAATCCGGCGAGTACAACCCTTTGTACGCGGCAGCATCTGACGTTCTAGGAGTTGGTCCACCCCCAGTCGCGTCTTCTACGACTGCCTATCCTATGACTGCCCAGGCTCATGCGGCGGAATATTCTCAGAGCAGCACATCTCTCATCTCCAGTCAGTCGGCACCTGTCATGGGACCTCCCACCCAGGTACTATATTCACAAGACATTGCTACGTCTCAATTTATACAACCATCCAATCCGACTTCAAGTGCTTCCACCATTCGGTCTCTCGATGAGGCCGAATTTGAGGAAAGATCTCCATTGTATCGCACGGGCACGACTGCTTCTGCCACACTCCGTACGCAGAAAACGAAGGCTGTTGATCTTCGTGCCCCTCCATATACCAAAGAATACATCGATAATTACCGTCAGCGCATCAAAGCCGACCCTGACCCTGAAGCTCACTTTGCTTATGGCAAGTATCTTATCGACGCTGCGAAGAAGATAGGAGCAGATGCCAAGGATCAGCGCGCCGTCCGCAAATTTCGTGATACCCTCATCCAAGAATCGCTGAAGGTAATGCGACGCTTGGCGACACAAGGTCAGCCCTACGATGAAGCACAATTTTTCTTGGCCAACTGTTACGGGACTGGTATGCTGGGCCTTCAAGTGGATCATGAGAAGGCGTATCACCTCTACCTTCAGGCTGCGAAACAAAATCATGCCGCTGCTACGTATCGTGTCGCGGTGTGCAATGAGATTGGTGCTGGGACAAGGAAGGAGCCTCCACGAGCCGCCGCTTTTTATCGCAAGGCAGCATCATTAGGCGATACCGCTGCCATGTACAAACTAGGGATGATCTTGTTACAGGGTTCTCTTGGGGAGGCAAAAAATCCAAGGGAAGCCATTGGATGGCTACGGCGCGCGGCCGAGCAGGCGGACGAGGAGAATCCACACGCTCTTCATGAACTCGCACTACTCCACGAGATACCGAACGGCCAGTTCATCCCTCACGAACCTCTCCAGTCGAAGGAGCTCTATACACGGGCTGCGTATCTGGGATACACACAGTCTCAATACAAGCTTGGTCAATGTTATGAATATGGAGCTCTTGGATGTCCTGTTGATCCCCGGAGATCAATAGCATGGTATACCAAAGCTGCGGAGAAGGGAAATTCGGAGGCCGAACTTGCTCTGAGCGGATGGTACCTGACAGGAAGTGACGGGGTCTTGGTACAAAGTGACTCAGAGGCATATTTGTGGGCAAGGAGAGCAGCAAATAAAGGGTTGAGCAAGGCTGAGTATGCCGTTGGTTACTATGCAGAGGTTGGTATTGGTATCAAGCAGGATGTTGAATTTGCCAAACGATGGTATATGCGAGCGGCTGGTACGTTTTTTCTACACTCTAAATAATACTCTTGACCAACAAGTTGTTACAGCACAGGGAAACAAACGAGCTATGAACAGGTTGACAGAGATGAAGCGGCAAGGAAGCAAGCGAGCGAACATGGCGCGACCCACTCGACAGCAGGCAAAGGATGAATGTGTCGTTTGTTAATGATACAACAATGGAGAGCAATCGATTAATTGTAGATTCCCTAATGAGGATTCTGGTACTCGGGGCTCTTCTGGTTTGATGGAGACTAGACAGATGTTAGGTCTTGTCACAGAAGAGACACCAAGGCTCCGCTCCGCCGTCTCCAACGGCATGGGATGTGTGCCTTCCAAATGATTATTCCTAAGAGTAAGCATACTAAGTAAGGCAAACATTGAATGATGGTGTGTCGGAAGGTGACCGAAGGTCTGCCGATGACGAGGACCGGGGCTCGTACGACTGTCTTAGATGTATGAATTCGATGCAGTGACGCAATACTGGGCAATATGAGGGACTAACCCGGACAAAATCAAAACTTTTACCTCAAAAACATCTGTTTTTTAACAAATCTCAACAATTCCTGGCAAATGCTGTCAATTGTCGACAATGTCCGACCACGATTGTCGCAAATTGCCGCAATTGGGTGCAACTTATCCGGCAGCCAATTTACCAATTCCATTCTACAGAACTCACAAATTTTCAACCCCTCAAAAACTCTTCCCAGATACCATACAATTATCAGCATTTGTCAACAATCTCCAAGTCTACAACACAGCCCTCAATCCAACAATATCCAACAATTGCTGACAATCAGCTAGGGCCATAGGTGGCATGGCATAGTGCACCCTAATATAACTTAGAGATAGAGTAGCAAGGCATAACAATATCTGACAAGAACCAAGAAAGCTTAAAAAGTGGATATAACATCAAGATTGGGCAGGATTAAAAAGCAATTATGATAGTGGACAATTGTCAATAATTGTTGGCAATAAGATCAAGGGCAGTTTGTCAGCAATTATCAGTAATTGACACATCTTGCCAACAGTGCCTAGTTGATGACAATTGCTAACAATTGCTGATAAGAGACCACCTGCCAATTGTAAACAATTGCTAGCAACTGTGGTGTTTATATAGAATTTGCTAGTAATTGTTACAAATTGTTATATATTGCTAACCAGACTCTAAAAAGTTTTATTTTTGTTTAAGAAAACCCTTCATAGGGTAAAGCAAGAACCATAATTCAGATAATATAGAAGGTTAAGAAGGTTGATACCACATTGTAGATAAAATAAATTACATAGCAAGACCTGAGTTTGGATAATTCTTAGAAAGCCTCTTTTTGGGAAATCAATAGTTGTCTAACATTGAAAGATTGCTTGGAGATTTTAAATATTATTAAGACCCTTTATTTTTAAGAATATGCTAGTATCTCTTAGAATTATTCCAAAAGGCCTATCAAAAGCACATCATGTGCTAAGAAATTGAAAATCTTTTAAGTAACAAGACCCACCAAAGCTCTATGCTAGTGTCTTGGAACCTTTAGCTCTTAGAAAGTTACTTGCAACCATAGTTATAAAGTATACAGAATATATTTTATGCTATATTATAGATACAAATTTCTAGCATTAAAAGGGCAAATATGGACCAATAGCACTACTATAGAGTGCATGAGATGAGCCCAAATATATATAAAGGAATGGAAAAAGAAGTACAACTTTACCAATGACTGCTATAGACCCTGCTGATACAAACAATAGGGTCACAAATTACATAAGTAAGGAGGATAAAGAAAAGCCTATTTGAGCAGCTCCTTACAGCTATAGTTGAACCTATGCTAGGGATGGTGCAACACACTTGAACTTGGGCTTAAGCTTAGGCTTAGGAATGCTGCATATGCATGCAAGCATGTGTTTATAGTAATATAAGTGTAAATGACAGATACTGGTATTAGGAGAGAATATAAATATTAGCAGTAGTGGTAGGACAGTGTTATTGTGTAGAGGGTGGCTATGTGGAAATAAGGACAAGCATAATAGGAGTACAGTGTATGCTGGTAGAGTAGGGGCTTGGGCTCAGACTAAAGCTTAGGTTCTTTGCATGCAATAAGTGTGCAAAGACATGGGTATGGATACAAGTATAGAATATGGGGAGGGTAAGGATAGAGGTTATTGAGGTGCTATATTAGATGCCCAGGCATATATCTATAGGGTCAAAACTAGCAACGTAGCTAGAGCATATAGATCAAAGGCTACAAACAGTGAGCCTCATGGCCTGTGGAAGACTTGAAAGAGAAATAGAGTAGGATAGGGCAGTAGTAGAACAAGATAGGATGAATGTATTTAGTATGAGCTAAATATGTGACAACAAAAACACAATGTTTGTGTTAGTATAGAGTGATGACTAATACCTATTAGTCCTTGTTTAGCATCATGCCTGAGTCTGTGACTCTAACCTATTTTTTCTATTTTCCAATCCTCTACTACAACTACTTTGACCTTAGCTCATTCAATACTATTCTTGTTTCTAATCTCTTTTTCTCTCTCTTTATTCTTTTTTTCTATTAACCTTATCTCAGACATACCCAATATTGAACCTCAATAGTAATAGGTGGCTACTTTGTCTATTTTCTACTTTTTGTCTCACTAGCTTGTGCTTAGCTCTCCTTTGTGTGCTTACCCACTTTGCTCACTTGCTTTCCTATGCTTCAGGCATCTTCTATCTAAGCATCTTTGATATTAATGAGAGCACCTACCCTAACTGCCTCTAGAACCCACTTATTAGCTAGATCTTTAATATAGTGGTAGTTTGTGAGTGCCTTATATTGTATTATGATAGATAAATGGACCAGCTAATATGTATATGCTTCTCTAATAGCAAGAAGTCCTTACATCTGGAAAACTCCGGATTATATCTAATAGTGTCTAAAAGTATCTAGACGTTTAATAGCATCTAAAAGTGTCTAATTTTCTAATTGGGAGCAATACTTTGTGAGCACTGGATTGGTTTCTAATTTTATAATATTAGCACTAATTCCATACCAAGAAATATTTGATTAGCAGTAGGAAATAATAAGTACTACTGCTCTATCAGTGAGAAGGTAAAGATGTGGCACATTCTATACTGTTTTAGCATATTACTCTCCTTTATATATACCTGCACCATCATCTTGTAACTCTTTTGCTGACTTTCCAGCTGCCTTTACAAGGGATATAGAAAGAGAAAAATATACATTGATGCCCTAGCCACTTTGTTGGCAGCTTAGCAGCTGCTACAAGAGACTATGAAGACATTAGTACCTTGGCCTTGCACACTACAGGACATAACATATAGGGTTGGGCTTATGGATGTGCTACATGCAGCCTCATAGACCTTGTCTATTAGTGCAGTGGTCAATATTGTCTTATGCAGCACACAATTGTTCTTACCATTGATATTATAATTTTTAGCACTATCCACATTGTTTATTGCCTTGTTATATAGAAGATGCTCAAACTTGGTGTTTTCCACAGCTATTGGGCTGTGGAAAGAACAGTCATGTTGGTATGTGATGCCAGAATGATATATTTGCTTGTTATGTAGGAAATATGTGCACCAAGCATATTAAGATTATCTCTAACAATCTTGTGCTTATTTATACATAGGCATGCCATATATATACCCTTATCCCTACTCTCTACCTCACTAGTGGCTATTTGGAAAACCCCTCTCTCTTATTAGATCTGAATTATTGATAATTATTAATAATGCTAATTTGAGCTAATTATTCATAATTATGTTTTTGATCAAATTTTCAAATTAAGGTAGTGTCTATACTAGTAGAGTCTCATTGAATATTACACTCAATCATAGTTTTACACATTCTAAATCTAAATTGTATAAGTGCCATAATTTGTTTTTACCCTATATAAAGTGTATTATTTATTTTCCATTAGTGTATTATCTTCTTAGCTGGTATTTAAAATAAATCCTAAAAGGCCTAACTTTTTGGGCATTTACTGCCCTGTTTATTTATTAGATAGAGAAATGATGAATATTGAATAATATTAAAGATGCTGAGATTGCCTATATTATGTCTACTTATTTAGATTACCAAGTTTATATATTAGACCTTGTGGCTTAGTGGCTTAGAGCATCTATTCCGGGTGCTTGTATACATGAGGTTATTGGTTTAACTCTGGCAGAAGGCAAGTTTGTTATAAGGTATATTCTGTGTTTAGGTATTGAACTAGTGCTCTTATAGACATGACTCTATAAGAAGGCTATAAGAACTGTGATGCTTGATTTATTATGATTTTTCCGAAATTTCAAGTTATAATCAATCCTAATAATTCTTAATTTAGGAAAATTATGTCTAATTAGAACAGGTTTAGAAGAGGGGTAAGCTAAAAATGTCTAATCCTAATCTTCCATAATTTAGTATAGCAGAGCATCAATTATAGCTAATTAGAGCTTCATACAAGGGGGTGGTTTTCCAGATGCTAATAAGCCCCTAAACAATAAACAATGGCAACTTTCTTGACTTTCTAGCTATTGGCATTGTAGAAACCACTAGTGACAAGGGTGCCACATTCTTCTACAATATTAGCACTAGGTATGTCCTACTATAGCATAAAGCCTTTTCCCACTAACACTTATCCCCTATATCTTAGATGCAATAATGGGTCTCAGCCAGGCTACTAGTAACCCTAGCTTATTAGATTGGTAATATATGCCATCTAGATGGATAAGGTATCTTACCCACCTGATTACTGAAATGGCACTAGGCTGGTTCCAGGTCATCTGGCTACTATCTATTTATCTTGTATAGAATATATCTGGTTCACTATTTAGTATTAGCCTAAAAATTACTATCATATATTCATGATATTTATATAATATTATAATATTTGGCTGTTTATTTTAGTCCTGATACCTGCTGCTGCCCCTCATCATACACATAATGCCCTTAGAGCATAGATATATTTATTGTACATAATATAATCTATATATAATAGTCATAGAATAACTCTGTGTCACTTCAGACAGTGTTGCCTTTTCTGTGCCTGCAACCCACTCTTATACTCGTCACTGATATGCTAGTAATGTCTCTGAGTGTAAAACACACCCAAAAAATACCCCAATAAGCATAGGTAGGCAGGAGCTAGTTTTAGTATGTAGGGAACTGTTAGCTATGCCACAGCCAATAAGGGAGTGTACTAAAAATATTTAGAGTGTGGAAACAACTCCAATATCAAAATCTTTAGCTGGGTGATGTTTGTTCAGGATTGATCAGGATGACTAGAAGTATTTGAAGCATAGCTGCAATCAAAGTGACATTGACACAATTGGCAGGGAGTGGACACCAGTTGAATATGATATAGACTGAACAAACAACTCCAAGATTGAAACCTTCAGCTAGGTGATGCATGATTGGGATATGATTAGAATGTAAAGGAGAAGAAATGAGTGTGAGGCCACACTGGACACTGGTAGAGGACAACAAACTAGATGAGAGGGAGAGAGCAAGATAATAAGGGCTCTGATAGAGGGTTGCAATCAAATGCAATGATACAAACAAAGGGCAAAATATAAATAAGGATTAAAAGGCAAAGGCTCAAAGTTTCATGAATGCAAGCATATAAATGCAATCTAAATGAGAGGGAGCTAAAGCTGGTCTATTGTGAAGGCCATAGATGCCTTTTTATAGTAGGTCTAAACAGGCATAAGATGGGAAGATTGGCAGAGACATAGAGTACTTGGAAATGCATGCCAAGAGCTGTCAAAGGTAAAGAAAATGAAGAAGTAATAGTGTGAACAATATAAGATAAGAAGCAATAGCTCTAAAGTCTAAATAAGTAGAGAGATTGCCAAGGTGAGTGCACATGGACCTGGAGATAAGAACCATATGCCATATAGGTAAACTAGTCAGAAACTTGGGAGCTTTGGAGATAAGGAAAGAGAGATCAATAGAAGGCATAAGAACAATAAGAGATATAAAGACAGATCTATTCTAAGTCAACAAAGTGTTTGGCTGCTTTTGATTCAGAACACTGAAGATAATTGGGTGTGCCGAAGATGTGAAGCATACCAAACTAATCAGTGACTGGCCATGACAATCTGTAAGCAGCCCCAAATGCTATAAGTGCTAATAAATATATAAAATGACTGTGAACTGCTCTGAATGTCTATATAGAGGTCTGGATACAAAGTTAGTATCTAATAGATAGCTGAGAGCTCTAAATAGATTAGGATTGGTCAAACCTAAGTTCACCAAATAGTCAAAGAATACTAAAAAGCTTTCAAAAGTGGGGTATTGGTGCCTAGAGTGGACTCATGCTTATCAATGCACATGACTTGGACACAGACTATTGACTTACTTGAATACTATTAACATGCTTATGCATAAATACTTATGGTATATAACTTATTCATGGGCTTGGGCTTAAACACTTACTTATATTGATCATAATTGATGCCTTGATTGCTAAAAAATATGGACAGACATTTATCATTGTTACTATACATAGGCATATTGAAGACTGTGGATTACTAATCATGATTGAGAACTTGATCTTTTAGAACCCCTAACACCTGTTAAATGGATTAGTATTTAAAAGCACAGACTAGATCTTGATCCTGCCCTAAATAGCTTATATATACTTATAGCTAAGATGAGCTTCTAAGAAGCTTAGCTTGTTCACTTCATATACAACTTGATCTTTGCACTGTGTCTGGCATTTGGCTACCTTTCTAGCTCACACATCACAAACTCTACCAGATCCAAAGTATTATACTTAGTCCGATAAAGCACTAGATTCATCTCAAAGCCTTATTTACTCTCACATTACTACCATGTATTAGGGACTCACTGCCTTTTATGTCATCTCTCAGAATCCATCAGAAGTTATTTATTGGATTAAGGAAGATAGTCCCATCTCTAATGATCATAGCCCTATCATTGAGAATCATTTTATCCATTTCTTTGAAGACAAGGTCAACAGTAATCCTTATCTATTGGATGGTTACCATTTAAATAGCCTAGGGAACCCAATCTTAGTGCTTATAGCATATGATAGGCCTAATGGCTTAATAGCCTGCTTCTTAGCCTTAGTATCATTGGGATACTTCTTATATGCATCCTCATGAATCTTTTTGAGGCTAGCATTGACATAATCCTAGTAGCCTTGATCACTGTTCTTAATCAGCAACTCTCACTATCAAGAACTCTGAAAGTTAGATTTTACAGGACTGTTTTAGATAGAAGAAGGGAAAAGTGGTGTACCAAGTACACATATTGGCACTAGTGCTCAAGGATTACCTTGATGTTGGCTATGGCTCTAATGGATTCTGCAAGGTTAGCTATATTTTCCTAATCATCAATCAAGAGTTTGATTTGGCTAATATGCAGATCAGGTTCTCTATATAGTGAGCAGATTTAAGTAAACTTACTCACTTTTTTAAGATTGAACAGTATTCTGTCGTAGCTTTCCCAATCAATATGCTAATTTTCTGCTTTTTATAGGGTTACTTTCCAGTTAGAAGGAAGCCCAGAACCTCCCAGCATGCACAGAACTTTCTAATGGAGACAATAATACTCTATTAATAGACCCTGTGAATAATCTATACAATATCAAGGCTCACCTTCACTAAATATAACCATTACCCTTGTATCCTATTATCTGTATAAGAGTGAGTAATGCATGAGTATATTTCTTGATATTTGTTTAATAATGAATAATTAGTATATGGAAGAGTCAAATGGATATTTATGCCATAGACCTTGGCATTGGGTGATAGGGACTAGTTGGAATCTATGTTGATACTGAGGATGTCATGAATCTTTAAGATAGAACTGTAAAGATAAATCTGACATGTATGAGAATTGTTCAATCATGAAAAGCAGAGTTAGTTTAGTTAGAATAGAAAAAAAGGAATTTGTATATAGTAGCTGCAAAAACAGCAAGCTTCTAAAATAAGGTATCTTTTAACTCCTTGGAGGCAATGATCATCTAGACAAGCATTATTATGCTACCATATGTATCTTTATTAACTTCTTCAGCCCATAAATCTTTGATGTTAGTGGTGGTAGTGCTGTATATGCTTTAAGAGTGGTTGGATTTCTATATGATATTGTTTTTATGTAACACTGTAGGATCAATGTTAGATAGAGGATTTGTTAGTCTAGTATCTTTAGGTAGAAGGCTTAAATAGAGGCCTTATTGCAAATACTTGTTGAAGTCCATATTGCTGCCACCTGCTATAAAGAGGAGGATATAAAGTGGATACTGTCTGTATTACCTATTTGGCCATAAGAAGGAAGGCCTTTTTAAGGGCATGGTAGTGATTTTCTAGGAGCATAGGTTTAATATTAACAATCTGCTTGTAGAATGTCTAAACTTCAAGTGTATACCTAGTGCTTATGGTTGTTACTGCCACTGTCTGCTATACAATAAGCCTAACTTTGCTGCCATTGAATCATTGCTAAAGATACATTGCAGATCTTATAAATTTCAAGTGGTATTTCTTCCAAAGTTTCATTGTGAGCTAAATCCCATCAAATAGTGCTAGAGTTTTGCTAAGTGTATATACCAAGAGTTGTCAAAATCTTCTAGTAAACTTGATTTAGAGTAAATAGTTATTATAGCTTTAGATACTATTTCTATAGACTTTATATAGTGGTGAGTGTTTTAAGTGAGTAGATACCAGCATTTCTAATTTATGCATTTGCTAGATTTGCTGCTTATTCTCACCAATTTATGAATATATACTAGTGTAGTTTAAATGGCAAGCAGGCTACATGAGTAGCAAAAAAGTATTATGGCCATTGTGTCTTACCAGATATTATTATACAAGAGCTTTCTACTACTCAGGCAATTTTCTAGGTTTATAATACTAATAGTATTACTCTTAATTATATTCATATCATTGCCTATATTATACACTATTGTATTACTCTATAGCTGTACTTCTTCTTATTTTATTGGATAACTCTCAGTTAGATACTATATGTTACTGCTTAGTTATCCTATATAATATTATTGAGTATGAGTGAGGCCTATATGACAAACCATAAGTTTTAATCATTCTTCAAAAGTCAATTTTAGAGAAATTTGAAATTCTCTTGTATTAAAAGATTATACAAAAATTCCTAGAAACTATTGAAACTCTCTCTTTTTAAGAATTCATTAATATTCCTTATAATAATTCCAGAAGACCTATAATAAGCCCAATATATGCTGCAAAAATGAAGATTTTCTAAGTTTTTAAATAGAATGTTTTTCATTGCTCAAATAAATAGTGGATTTTTATAAGTCCTAGTAACCTAGGTTGATAGGTGACTAAAAGACCTTTCTTATTTTCCTCTTTTTGTCTTGCTAACTTAATAGCTTGACCTCAAAAATATATCAAAATTTATTTGTAGAACTAAAAGTCTTATAGTAAATCTTAGAACTGCCTAGTAAGTCAGATGCATCTTTGAGGCCCATGCCTTATTACAGGTACCAACTCATATAATAAATGAACATTATTTTGAGCATAATTTAGAGTGTGCTATATTATGGTAGGAGTAAGAATAGAGTATACAGTTATGTCCAAATATAGCCCTATCCATTGTTATTATGGGCCCACTGCCAACTTGGCATTACTATTACTATTGTATATGTAGGTATACTTATTGCAGATATTGTAGTTCTTATAAAGAGTGTCAGTGTTGAAGCTCATGTACATTGCTAAGAGAGATAACAGCATCATGCTATTGTGGTAACAATATGTATACAAACATACTAAGCCTAGAAATCTTGAGCCTGCTATTGTCTCTAAGGCTGTTCAAGCCAGAAGTCATTGATAGCACCTACTATAGCAAGCCTGAGAAATTGTAGTTGCTGCTACTACTACTCATGCTACTGCTGCCCAACAAGTGCAAGGCCAGGTATGACTGCTACTATCCTTATTGCTAGTATTTGGCAGGTGGTGGATAAGGTTAGCATGTTTCCTTTCTTCTTCTTATTCTTATCAGTACTTACATCCTTCCTCTATACCTAGGCCCTTATATGCCTTAGAACTATGTTTACCAATACAGACTAGATGACACTTATGCCATATTAAAATAGATGTTATTGCTAAAAATAAGACCACATAATTCAATTAGAACAATATATCCCTCTAGGTATATGTTATACCTCCTACACTGTATCTAGGCTAATATCTATATATACTGAATATACTTCTTGTCTTGTCTTAATGCTGATATATTACTGTGTGATAGTCCCATATGATTCCTTATACATGCTTGCCATCAGCTTTTCTATAGTATCCATTAATGGGTCTAATAGTAAGTGTTCCTTCCAATACATCAATAGTTTTATAGCTATTTGGCATACTAGATATGCTAATTCATTGGGTTCAGACTTCTAGCATGTCTAGCATTTCTAGTGTGCTAGTATGAGTTTGGCTGGAGTTAACTAAGTATGTCAAAATAAAAAAGGCCAGGGTAAGATGCAAACCAACAAGCTGTTGCACAACAACAAAGGACTATAACTACTGTACCAAACAAGTATTAAATACTGAGGTATTTTGGACTTAGTGAAAATTTAACTCATCCCTAGTAAAAACTACAATATTTCACTTTTTGGGCACTTTTCACTGATTAAGGATATAATATGTCTTATATAAGTAAAATTCAATAGTTTATTTTACTCTATAGATGCTCTCAGATATATCTGGAAATATAGTCTTTAGGAACTATCTGGGGGCTAGGCTATTTAAGATATACTTGTGCTTTTAATTGAAGCATATAAGATATGAGCTTGGAACAAAATTTGATGGACTCTTTAATCACATAAAGTTATCTTCATGTATAACATGTTGTATTTCTAGTAAGTGAGAAGTGCCAAAAATACAAAATAGTATAGTTCTCTTGAGGGATAAGTCAAAATTTCGCTAAGTCTAGCTAATGTACTCATATTTTTTTCACCACCTAAGTATTTATCACTTGTTTGGTGTATTTATCACTTGTTTGGTGTAGTAGTTGTAGTCCTTTGTTGTTATGCAATAGCTTGTTGGTTTAGATCTTGGCTTGGCATTCTTTATTTTGATATACTTAGTCAACTCTTGGCAGACTCACACGAGCATGCTAGAAATGCCAGAAATATATTTTTCTAGAATATCTAGTGAATCTACTGGGGAGCTGGAAACTTGCACACTGGAACAATTAGAAAGTACCTGTATAAAGCAATTCTAGCATTCCAGACACAATAGGGAAAGTACCAATGTATACACTTCCTTTTTCTTGTATTCATCTGCCCCCCTAGTTACTATGATGCTTGATCACTCATACAAGTACACAATGCTCCTTAGCCCAGTCATTCTTAGCTCTATCTTGTTGTTTAACATATTACAATCAATTTTGGTGGATGGTGGGAATATCATGATGGTTTTGATGCAGCTGGTGCTTCATTGATGGCAGCATATAGCTATAATGCAGATAAGAGGCTAGGGGTGATATCATACCAATGTACATAGACAAATAGAATGAAAATGATTGGTTAATGAATATTTTTGGATAGCATGGTCCAAATCCAAGATCTATGAAATATCTAGAACTGAAGATCTTCTAGACAATAGAATAGAATATTCCTTGAATTAGTAATCTTTTATTTTTCTCTAAGTAGAAATTCATCAAGGACAAAATAAAACATTCCTAAACCGTGGGGTTTCAAGAATTTTCTCAGAACAGTGTCCGGCTGTGTAATACCTTACTTCAATTATGCGGGCGGAAATGCCGTAATCACCCGCCAAAATCAGGATCAGACCTCCGCTGGGGTATGCCGGGGTCCTTTCTGGATAGTCCGGATACCTAAACACCATCATGGCTAACACAACCGTTCGAGGCGCACAAGCCATTCACGGCCAAAATCCGCAGGTATGTCATTTCCCAATTCACAGAACTGCATGTCTCTTATTCATTTAGTTTCTAGTCGAGACTGTAATCCGCAATCGTATCTATGAATCGTCTTTCTGGAAAGAACACTGCTTTGCATTGACAGGTTTGCTTTGTGCTTTGATATGCCTTTCGTACATTGCTTATCTGGATTTTCTCTACACAGCGGAAACTCTCATTGACAAGTCTCTCGAATTGCGTTGTATTGGGGGAGTCTATGGCAATCAGCGTCCAACTGAGTTCCTATGCTTGTTGCTCAAACTGCTCCAGATACAGCCGGAGAAAGAAATTCTACTGGAGTATCTCCAGGCGGATGAATTCAAGTGCGGACCAGTATCTATGCTACCACTATTCGCTAATACGATCTGCAGGTATCTGAGAGCATTGACTGCGATATACATACGGATGACGTTTGGAGCATCGGACGTGTATGAGCTGCTAGAGCCATTGCTCAAAGATTTCAGAAAATTGCGCTATCGGAACACGAGTACGCATTTGACTGACTGTATGCATGCCACGACCTCATTTGCGCACTTCATAGCCGGCAATAACATTACTTTCATCGACGACTTTGTTGACCAACTGCTCAACGATGAGCGCGTCTGCGACATAATTCTTCCACGCATACCCAAAAGGCAGATGCTTGAAGAAGCAGGAGATCTGGGACCACGAAAAAGCCGACTTCTGGATGCAATGGAAGGCAAGATTGATCGTGGCAGAAACACGAGCAGCAGTGGTAGCAGGAGTAGGAGTAGGAGTGGCAGCCGAAGTGCCGACGAGATGATCCGCGGCAGAGGACGGAGTCTCAGTCATAGCGATAGCACGGCGTCAGATGCTGGTTCGCGGTACGTGTCGCGTAGTCCCTCCAGATCGCGATCTCGTTCTCCCTCTGCGTCGTTCGAGCAGTCACAATCTCTCTCTTGACCGTATGAATGCAATTACAGCACTATCATCAATTGCTGGCCACCTTTACGGAGACTGAACAGTCGACGTAGAGTGAAAAAAAACTGTGTACTGTATGAGCTATTTCTTTTCAAACTTCTCTGTCTGGAATGCTGTGAGCTGCCTCGACAAATCTTTCCAACGCTCCTCTACGAAGGGCATCTTTGTTATGCTCATGGGTGAAAGATAACCGCGGTTCTTCCAGTCAGTGTACCACACTACAGAGAAACTATTTGAGCAAGAAGCGCGAGAAGAAACAGCTAGACGTACTGATATCTTCTCGACGTGTAGGAGCAGCTGGTGTTCGGTCGTCGCGCCCTTTGACGCAGTCGTACAGCGAAAGGCGGTTGTAATACTGGCAGTAGACAGAACCGCCAAGTTTCTCGACTGCCTGGATTGCACTCTTGGAAGCCCGTGACGGGATGATGTGTACAGGGACGTTTAGTTGCTCAGCGCCCTACGCGAGAAATGTCATAAGTTCAGCCCTTATTTCGATCTATAGGAGTGACATACATCGCCCAATAGCTTGATGCCGTCGTGCACATTATGGACACATCCACTCGCTACCAGCTCGCGTGCGGTGATAGGATTTTCTGCACTCGACGTAAGTCGTCCTTGAGCTATCCAATGCGCTAGGCGGTCTAAATTCACTGGCGCGTATGTCTTTCCATTCCTAACGTACGTATCCAGAAGGCGCCGGGAAGTCAAGTTATACCTGAAGGGCAGACGAGGACACGGTACACGCACTGGTTGAAGAAACCGCGCTTCGGGAACAGTTTCGAGATAGGCGTCTGTCCACCTTCAAACCCTGCTTTTGGTTTCCCATTTCCTGACCGTGCCTTCTGGCCTTTGTGACCGCGACCGGAAGTCTTTCCCAACCCAGAACTACGACCTCGACCGAGGCGTTTTTGCTGGAATAACAATTAGAGCAGCTGGAAAGACAAGTACAGGTGTACTGACTGTGTGCTGGGAGCCTTGAGCTGGGTGGAGGTTGAAGAGATGGACACGTCCAGAGGCTGCCCGAAAGCTTGTAGCAGACATAGCAGTCATAGCAGTCTCGTCTCTCCCGCCCTGTTGACTCCTGACCTGGATCATGTGATCCTACGCTATGGCCGCATGCTTACCAAGCGGAATACACCACCGCCCGGTTTTGTTATTGATTTCGAACTGCTCCATTTTTGTCCGGACAGTGTGGGAAACGATACTGACCCAACACGAGCTCCTATGCCGGTCCTACCTCAGAATTCAAGAATTGCCGACTGCATCGGTGAGACCTTGCTTGAGGGTGTTACATTCATCAGTACCATTGTTTGCCAATTGATCATTCACTTGCATGTTATCTGCTGAACGTCTGCTAGGCGACAATTGTTGAATGTTGAGGGCTCATTCACAATGGTATGTCTTGATATTTTCTCTCACTCGCTTATCCTTGTCTTGTTCATTTCTATCTTAAATTGTTTGTCATCCATCATTGCTATCATACTAATCAACGGTGTCTGCAGCTCTCCATGTATCCTTTTGTCAACACAGTCCTTGCTGGCTTGCACCAGGGTATCAACAACAGCATCTTGGTATTGCTGATACATATGCTCCGGAAGCACATATGAGTTCTTTTGATTATGTTTATAACTTCAGCCACATCAGCCACAAATCAACAAAACGGGCCATTTCAGCCACATCAGCCACAGCAAGCCCCAAAATGGCATGCCACAGTTTGGCTATGCTTGCTGCTTCAGCCACAGCAGCCACATATCCAATAACAATTACCAATCATACTGTCACTTTTCCGGAGTTGCAAACAATTTTGTGTTTTCTTTGTAGTGGCCTCATTTCAGCATCTTTCCCTCCCCAATCTTAGCATATACCTACCTTAGCTTCTTAGAATGCAGATCATCATTTTTTTGTGTTTCTAAAATGAGATACCAAGATGCTGAGACATGAATGAAAAGGGACATCTGAAGACAGGCAAAAACAAAGAGCTGCAATTTTTCTAACCATTGGGTCACATGCTGTCATGTTCATAATTGGACCCCACAGTTGCAGCTCTAGAGAGAATGTACAGTAGAGTTGAACAAAAGTATGACTAATTATCATGTGACCTAAGCTTCTTGTCATTCTTTTCACTACTCATTACCAATATTTTGCTGTGGAATGTGAGACACTAATAGCTGTCCTAAGAACTTTTTTATAGCTCAGTATTTTCTTGATTGGTAGTTATACACTAGGATCTGAAAGATCTTGAGCATCTCTTAGAAAATTCCTTTTCTACCCTAGTATCTTAGCAATTTTGCACCTTGGCACACATTTTTCTTTTTCAAGAAAATTTATACACATAATGGTGGCCTATGAGAGCACACATGAGTATTTTTGAAGCATGCAGATTTCAATCACTTTCAAAAAATGGAATGTGATCCTCACATTCTATCTGTAACTCTAGGGAAATAATGATGCTATAAGCAGTCAGCCACACACATCAGCCATAGCTATACTAGAAAAGGTATCTATTTGTATCTAGGTACTAAAAAAACTTTCTAACTTAGCAAAATCTTGCAAATAATGTAAGGAATATCAGGGTGTGGAAAGACCTTGACAAGCAAGGTAATTCTACTAGGAAAATGCTGACTGTGTTAGTAGTGCCTTGCTTATAGCAAACATTTTTACTAGAAGCTGTGTATATTAGTGCTAAAAATTATGACATTATATACAGTATAATTTATCTAATCAAGAAATACTGTTTTTTTTGTATTCTATATACAGTAGGGTTATAGCTAATGCAGCATAACCAATTCAACTAAATAAGCTCATAACTAAACTTCTATATTCTATTGTCTCCCTTATAACACCCTAACAAAAGAAAGGCCTCAATTAATAAACCTACCAACATTTTGTATTAGTAAGGAGGCATGGGAACATTATTGCCATAGTTAAATATAGGGAGCAGGTTTATAGTGTGTATCTTTTTACTTAACAGATTGTCTGCTTCTACTGAGCATTTGGAAAACCCTTCCTTCTTATTAAATCACAATCATACATAACTATCAACAATATTAATTGGTGCCAATTATGATATATTTTATCTGATTACCAGTAATTATAATCATGATCAAATCTGCAAATCAACATAATGCTGTCTATACTACTAGAGTCTTATAAGAAAGCACTATTCAAATTACTATTTTATATCCCTAAATTTCAGATTGAGTAAGTGCTATAAATATTTTCCTCTAATATAGAGTGTATTCTCAATGTCTTATCAGCTTTTAGTAGTAGTATCTAGTATTTAGACTCACATTCTAAAAGACTTATTATTTAGGGTATTTATCAACTTACTTATAAATAAGAAAAATAAAGATAAAAGTTAAATAGAATTAAATATGTTAAGACTGTCTAAAATGTGTCTATATATTTGAATTACCAAGCTAAGTAAATTAGACCTTATAACTTAGTAGTTTAAAGCATTTTGCTAAAGTGCTTGCAAGTATAAGGTTATAGGTTCAACTCTGGTTTAGGACAGGTTTGTTATAAAGTACAATTTTAGGCATAAATATTTAACTAATAGTCTCTATAGCTAAGCTCTGTTAAAAAGTTATAGATAACCATAATACTAGTAAGTAATCCTAGTACTTGGTTAAGTGTTATTTTTTGAAAAATTTAAATGGAAATTATATATGATTAGAGCTGATTATGCATAATTCAAGATAATTAACCTTTATAAGCTATAGATAAAAAGAGAGAGGGGGGAGAGAGAAGAAGGAAAGAAAGATAAAAATTCATAATAATAATAAGTGGAAATTCTATATAATTATAGAGAATTTGAGCATAATCAGAAGTGTAATTTTCCCAGATATAACTTTTTGGCAATTTTTAATCCTTGAGATTATCTCTATGCCTTATCTATCTATGCTAGCTTATGGCAATCACACTGCTCTAATATTTAACCCTGATTACCCTCAAGAACTTTGTTGCTACTTTGCTAACCTTAATTTCCACTTTTCTTGCTTAGTAGTTATTGATAAGATAGAGTGAAAGAAATATGCATGCTACTTTGCTGATTTTGACACATATAAGCTTTGGAAGTCTTTAATGACCTTTTATAATCCCACAAGAACATATTGGGACTTTCACAACTCAATTTACAGGCTCTACCTAGGATTAGGTAATAATAAGAGATGGATAGTTACAGATATATATAGGCTCATTAATAAGTACTAGAGGATTAGAATCATGTCTCTAGGTAATCTAAACAACTATTATTGTTGATTTCTTATAATCTTACTATTCCTCTGTCATAAGAATTGGATAAACAAAGCTAAGCAGAGTTGAGCTTTTTCTCAAGGTTAACAAACTGAACTATGAGCTTATATCTTACAGAGATTACAGGTTAGGTTCCCTAATCATCTTGCAGATAACCTACATCAAATTGCAGAAATCTATGACACTATGTAATTTGTTTTCTATGGCACTAGTATCTTCTCCACATCATCTTAGTCTCCAATAGTTGCAGCCTCTGATTTTATGTCTAAAAAGCCTAGTGACCTTCTAGTTATTCTAGATTGCATTTCCAACTCTCTGGTTGGCACACAGAGTGATATGAGTCTCTCTTAACCTCCATGCTTGCAATTATAGTGTTGAAACAATGGTTTTAAGTGCTATATATTTTATAATGTGGCTGACACCTTATCCATGCATGCTCTGAGATTTATGCATATGTTTGTATAGGAAAGTGCCATTGGAACTTAGAAAAACAAAGTTGTCTTGCCTATAGATTGCTTTGTCTCATATGTGTTATGAACTGCTCATTCAGTAATCCTAAGAGTAAGAGGTTTTTCCCTAGGTTGCTCATAGAGGAAGGGTGGAACAATGGTCTTGACTATACATGTAGCACAGGAGCTGAGTGTATTGCAACATAGGCAATAAGAACAGTGAGCATTGTAGGAAGACAGTGCAATAACAAAAGGGTACTGTAGGAAAACAGTACCAGAATGAAGAGAATAGACTAAAAATCCTTAGCCTATTCTATGGGCCTTTTATACTACTTTAGGAAGGGGCGTGAGAATACCATATATGTATCCATAGGTATTCTCTAAGTCATTTGCCTCTTAGAATGACTACTCTTGCTTCTCTGCTTGTCTCTTTCCAATCAAGAGGATAAGGAGCTTTATGCCTATGTGTGAGTAGTTTGTAAGGCAGGAAAGGATGCCCGCTGCAACAGGCTCATGATACTCAACTAGCAACAGATGGTCCACTGGGAGTGGATGACCAAAGATAATATCTGTACCTTCATGTATGCCTCAGAATGTGAGGCCGCCTAGTAGTTGTGATGATTGTATCTGTATAGACCGCTGTAAAAGCCTGATAAGTCATAATCATAACAATACCCCCGTTTTACATCCTATTTACCTGGTAGGACAACATCTTGCATTTCATTGCCAGTCCATTGTGAGTAGTGTGTGGATGAGTAGAAACTCTAGCATGTGGGTTCTAATTCATGTTGTCAATTTCTTCTTCTTCCTTCTCTGAGGGCCAAACCTCAGTGTTTCCAGGATAGTCGTCTATCCCTATGATTGTTATTTCCTCCTGATGGCAAGTGGTGTCCACGGACAAGAAGGTTGATTGCTTTATGAAGGCTTAGGCCTACTTCTCCAGATTACCAGCATGCTGTCCCAAGCAGTATTGCTCCTATAAATTAAGCTCATCTCCGGTAAGGTAGTGTCAGCATCCAGAGTTTGTTTATCACAAATATGGGCCTAAAGGTAGGGACTACCATATGTAGTATTGGGTTTGAGGCAAAGATGTGAAGAGAATTAGACTAGAAGGGTGTAGTGAGGAGACAGGAGGAGTCTGACTCCTTCTCCAAGACTGCCCGTTTGCATGCACAAATAGCCATCAAGACCATAGCTGATGCATTCGTCAGGTCTACAAGATATATCCACGATGGTAGTTTAAATGTCATTCTGGACATCCACTAGTTTAATGTCATGGTGGATGCCTGTAGTTTAAGGTCATTGTGGACCCATTAGGGTGCCCTGCACTACCAGATA